TCGGAGACTGGGGAATTTGGTGGCTGTGGTGGCTCTAACAGGTCGTGAAATAATGAGCATTAACTAGGCAGGAATGGAAAAAAAAAAAACATACACCGTAAGTGGCATGCTGGGAGTTCTAGACGATAGGTTAGTGGGGCGGCGATAACAGTTACTCAGGGGCAGTCTTACAAAAGACGCGATTTGGTCCTATAGAACAACGAATTGTGAATAAACTGAAAGATGGAGGGGAGAAAGGAATGACCATACATCAGATGACGATTTTTTTTGAGCGAGGTTGGTCGGCTGGGAGGGTGGGTCAGTGGGTGAGAGCTGAATAGTGGTACCATACTCACCATGGCGGAGCATACATGCCTGTCGATCTGGTTTTGGACGATGAACGACTGGCCGCAGGCGGTGCAGGATGGTAACATTTTGACGAGACAGGATGGGTAGGAGAGATGGGGCCAAGTTGGGAAAATATCAGGGAATTTTTGGGGTCGCTGACGAGGTAAGATGGGTAGGCGAGAGAGGGCCAAGTTGTGAAAATATCAGGGAAGTTTTGGGGTCGACAAAAAAGGTGATGCAATCAGCCGATAATGATAGGATTACTTAAGAAATGACATTCCCAGAAGGAGTGCCGCAGGGTGAGTTCTTACGGCGCCAATAAGCACATGATAAAGAACGATCTGTTTCCTGCTAAAGTAGAGTAGATACACACATTGAATAGTACAGAACACAAAACACGTATTAACAAATTGAATGGTTTGTGAGAACAAAGTAAGGACATGTGGTCGCCAAATTCGAGTGCGCTAAAAGTGACGATGATTAAAGGAGTAAGGTACAGACTTGGAATGACTGGTAAGGGGATACATTACTTTCTATTCGACTAAAGGCGGGATAGCCCATATTTTGGATGGGTCTATACAAATAGGGCACCGTGGGCCAGACCTATCAGTTTCTAAGTGGCGAAATTTCTAAGTGGCGAAACAGGTGCGCCCGCAATGTAGCAGGCAAGGGCCCAGATTTCTTGGAGGTCATATTGTGGACCGTTTTTGGACAGGGCGGTGCGTGATGCACATAGTTTACTTAGGAAAAACATTTGGCGGCCAAATGCAGCTGGGAGGGGCGGCATTTCGGAGTTGCGCCTAAAAATAGGAATTGGATCAAATGTGACGGGCCTGATTTTGAACAGGCACCGGAAGGAGACACTCAGAGCTTTTGAGAGACGAAAGAAGGGCTCCCGAATGCAGCAGGCAGGGGCCCTTATCGCTCAAATGTGATGGGGGTTATTTGTGGACAAGGCACCATGGATGGGACTCAAACCTTTTGACAGGTAAAATTCAGGTAAAACACGACGACCCGAATGCAGCAGGGAGGGGCCCACATGCACACCTACTACGCTTGATTGGAATTCGATCAAATTTGATGGACCTGATGATCGGCAGGGCGCCGGTGGACGACATCCAGAATTTTTGACAGGCGAAATATAAGCAGCCATATGCAGCAGGCAGGGCGCCTTATCAGCTGATTGAAAATATCGCTCCCATAGATGGGACCCATAATTCTTGACAGGGAAAACACGGCGACCGAAATGCAGGGGCCCACATGTGGCTTAACTGCTGTTAAAATGAGAAGTCGATCAAAACTGATGGACAGCACCCAGTCAACGGCACCCATAATTTGTGACAGGTAAATGATGGCCACCCATATGTTAACATGGCCATCTAAAGATGATGGACAGCAGCAGTCGACGGCACCCAGAATTTGCGACAGATAAATGATCGCCACCCATATGTAAATGATGGCCTAAGGCGGCTCCAGTAGACAGCACCCAGAATTTGCGACAGGTAAATGATCGCCACCCATATGTTCTTGGCAGAGGCCCATATTCCTGACGCGCATCACAGATCTGCAGATCGATCATATCAAATGGCCACCCATATGTAAATGATGGCCTAAGACGGCTCCAGTAGACAGCACCCAGAATTTGCGACAGGTAAATGATCGCCACCCATATGTTCTTGGCAGAGGCCCATATTCCTGACGCGCATCACAGATCTGCAGATCGATCATATCAAATGGCCACCCAGAAGTTTACGACAGGTAAATGATGGGAACCCATACTAACAATGATCGACAGAAGCTGTCGACGCCACCCTAAGTTTTATGACAGGTAAATGATGGCAACACATGTAGAAATGATGGCGACCTGTATGTTAACATGGCCACGTAAAAATAAGTAATGGACGGAAGCAGTAGACGGCGACCCAGATGTAAATGATGGGAACCCATATGTTAACATGGGCTTAGATGGGAACCCGTATGGGAATGATGGCGACCCATATGTTAACATGGCCACCTAAAAATGATTGACGGAAGCAGTAGACGGCACCCAGAATTCGTGACAGGTAACTGATGGCCACCCATATTCATGACGTGCTTGACAGGATCTGCCGATCGAGGGTCTCAAATGGGGTAATGCAAAGGTGAATGTGGGGCCAAAATACGTGAACAGATACTTATCGAATTCTCATCTCTGGCGATTAGGTCAGCAACGGAGACTAAGTGGTCATAGCCGTTCGAACGTACCATCTAGGCTTGAGCGTTCTGTGAAGCTATGGGTTAGTGCTCGCAACGCTTTAGGGCAGGCTTCCGGAGACTTCTGAGAACTTACCTGGTGATAGCACCTCACCGAGGTCATTAAAGGTGTTCTAGTAAGAACTTAGACGACAGTTTATGATGTATGACATCGGAGTGGGCCCGTCCGCCGCTCTCAGAAGCTCAATTTGGGCTGCGTCACAGGCACGGTAGGCGCTTTGTCACTCTAGGGCGGGCTCATTTGCGTTGACCCAGCCTTTGGCATCCAAGAATCCTTTGTTGAATTACTGGAATGGTGGGTGAAAACAATGCACAATCGATTCGACTTTATCTACCTTATATCTAAGTTCCAGTAGATAATGTAAGCTACGATACATCGAATAAATACCCGACTTCTCGCCAACACAGGCCCATCTCGGATGGACGAACAATAATAAAGGTTTTACCAGAAAACCTTGGTGCATTGGTGCGGCGAAGCTACGAGCCTTCGCCAAAGTATCTCAACATCTTCCCAAAATCAAACTGTGGATTCAAACTCCACATGTTCTTAGGTATTTAACGAAGGCCTATTGACGTCCTACTTGCTCCTTGTACTCAGAATAGCTGGCATGAATTGATAAATGTTTTTCTTTCTCTTTCGGTAGGTTACGAGCACCGCGTCGGTGGCTGGTAAGCATATGCTGGTATTACAGGAAGACCCGACCCTAGCCCGTCCGATCCTTTGCTTGTGTGCTCCACCCGACATGGGTTAGACCTACCGCTTCTCGTCGAAATTTACGAGGTCGAAACATCTGCTCGAGGGTGAGTTTGCCCCACGCAGGACTCACAACAGCGTCCAAGAAATGGAAGAGGCGTCGATCATCTGGACCACTCTCATCGGCATCAATCGGACTCCGGGATTCGCAGATCCCTATAGCGAGGGCGAATAGCATAACGAGTTACGAGTTAAGCGATTGTGCAAAATGGCGGAAACATAAGGAGAGGAGAAATCTAAGGTAGAGGGTGTAAAAGGTACTGGCTTTGGAAACTGAGCAATGTGGTAGAGAGAGAGGCGTTCGGTATTGAAAACATTTGAATGACGCCAGTAGAAGGAAGAATAAGACGATAAAATGTTGGAGAAATCAGTTCGGGAATTTTGAAAAGACCAACGCGTTTTTCGGACAACCCTTCGCCTGCCCCTGCCCTTCTACGCACTCAATTCTCCTTGATTTCCATGCCTTCCAGCAAGGAAATCAAGGAAGGTGTGGCACCCTTGCGCATGAGCTGCCAGTGGTCCAGCGGTTCTGGGACAGAGGAGATGATCAATTAATGAAATTTGATATACGGATGGGACTTACCAATCGGATGCCTGGGCTGCACTGGGACGGCGAGTACCAGCTCGTAGTGCAATGTTCTCATGGCCCAGATTTCGTCGCTGTCGTATTCTGCTTCGAAACCGTCCTTGATCTTTTCGTGCATGAGGGCTACCTGTTCTGCAGCCACATAAAGTGGGCTTTCGAGAGTTTCTTGATCAGTCTTTTCGAAAAAATCCTGCCAGAGAGAACAGATAATGCTCATCTGGACGCCGAGAACATGGCGGAAGACATCTTTGAAAGGGAGCAGTGTGACCACGGCGTCATGTCCGAGCTTCCAAGAGAATTCGTAGCTGTCATTGAGGACTTGGACAAGCTTCCAGGCAGCGCCTCGTATCGTGGAAGCGTAGTACATATCCTGGGCTGTCATGCCGTCCTCCGTATAGGTGTCGGGGTGGAAGAGCTCGGAAGTCATCGCAATGACGAGTAGCGCGATAAGATTCTCGGCGTCCGGTATACACGTGGGATCAAGGATATGCTGCTCGTACTCTGAAATCAAAGGGGGGTTAACCTGGAGCGGGGGAAAGAACGGCGACAGACTTACCTGGAAGAGGGACTTTGTCAACGTGATGGCGGTACTGGAACAGGAGCATGCGGTGTAGAACCATCAGGAACTCAGGGTGGTCAGAGTTCGTAACGTATCGGTCGGAGCAGAAACATATAACCATTGACAAGAAGGTCTGCACAAGCGTTCGCACGTTGAAGAAATGCTGCCCGTCGCATACTGAGTCCTCGATGGTGTACACGGCATGCAACATCCCCGGTGGCTGCAATCTATTCAAAGGCAGGGCGGTAAGAAAGGGCGCGATGACGGACGTAAGAAACCTACATTTCCATTCCAGGCTCCAGGTATATAGCCTCAGCCCTCCATCCGGGTAAGCTTGGTTCGTATACGTCCAGGTCGAAGTAGTCTTGTCTCCGGCATTGTGACCTAAGACCCTCTGCGCAAGGCGTAAAATTGATCCACACCTTGGCCCCGCTTCGGCATACCACTCGAGTGCTGGCTCCGTCGGCGTCCATATGTAATGCATGGCTGGCGCCAGCCGTGGCTGCGATGGACCAGTTGGTGGCACCCGTTGGGAATTTGGCCGTATCCAACGCGCCCTTCGATGATTTGGTGGCAACCCACGACGCGGTGTCTGAACTATGGTCGGCGATATGGGGAAGGGCAACCCCGTCCAACGACAATGCGTTGAGAATGCGTCTCTGATGCAGAGGTTTTAGAGACTCCTCAATGATTCGACGGAGCGGTGAGGTGACCATGCGTGTGGGACCAATGGGTAACGTGAAGTCTGCATTGCACGCCATGAAAACGAGTGAGCGCAAAACTTAGCGAAAAATACTGACCTTGGAGGGTAACCTCTTCGCTGGGGTTCATGACAGCGGCCATCTGTTTGGCATCCGATAACTTCCATAGGCGTTGTGTGGACGCGGCATGTGTAATGACGATGGTGCGACCCTCGGAATACAGCTTGACCCTTCCTTGCTCTCCAATGCGCTCGTATTCGTCCGACGAGATCACTCTGAACGCAGACAGCTCTGGCTTTACAACATGTAGGGGCCTTTGATCGACGTAGCTGTCCCTAACACGATCCCACAAATGGAAGAAAAGGTGAAGGTCCTCCTCGCGCTGCTACAATGAGCGCGTGCTGGAGGGGTTAAACGAATCAAACACTTACGTGAGCGGTAGGACGGAAGGTATGAGTTTGCAAGCCATCCGCGCTGTAAATGTGGACGTCATCTTCTCTGCTAATGGAAGCCCCAGTAATCCTCTACAAACACATAAGACGTCAGGAGAGGCTTTGCGCGGGGACACAAGATAATGGGTTAGACGTACCTTTATGTCATTCGAATCTTGGATGTAGGGCGAATTTGAATTCTTAACTCCACTAAGGCGAAGGGCCCCGCTCTGAAGAGAAGGTGCGTTTGACTCGTGCCACAGACATGTTTGGATGAAGGTCTGCCACTCCCTGGTCTTGACGGCGTAGAGGTAGTTTGTAGGTCTGCCCCTCTGAGACTTTTCGGTTTCATTGTCGGAGTCTGTCTCGACTTCAGACAGGTCGGCCAAGGGAGCCTCTCTGGCAAACTTCTTCTTGCGTTGGATGGTGGCCTGATCGTAAGCCTTGCGATGTGCCGGAGCGGGGGAGGAACCGATGGGCATGGACGGAATGGTGGACGAGCGCCGGACCCTCTGGCTAGCAACGCTCGACGCTAGCTTCTCGCTGATGGCCCGGGTTGCTTCGAGTTTCTTCTTGGTTTGATGGACCTGGTCGGCTATGTCGGGGAACTTCCGAGTCACTGCCTTGATCAGAAGGCGAGCGTGTACAGGGTCGACCTCTTCCCATGGATCGCTTTCACCCTCTTCGTCGGAGGATTCGTCACGAAGAAGCAGAGACTTGCCGTTCACTTGAAGGCTCCATGTCAGACTCTGAGAAGGCGACGGATGTTCTTTGTTATTCTTCCGAGGGCTAGGAAGGTACTCGTCATCATCGTCGTCGCCGCCGGGCGGGAGTTTGTTCTTCCCTTTTAAGTCCTTAGTGTTTTCCTTCTGTTTCTCCAGTCGCCTGGCCTCTTTTTCCTTCTCCTTCTCCAGTCGCCTGGCCTCTTTTTCCTTCTCCTTCTCCAGTCGCTTGGCCTCTTTTTCCTTCTCTTTCTCCAGTCGTTTGGCCTCTTTTTCCTTCTCCTTAGCCAGGGCCAATTGCTTCTGCCGGGCCACGCGCTCTTCCTCCGCCTGTTTCTCTCGGGCCAACCGCTCCTCCGCCTCCTTTTCCTTCGCAATGCGACTTGCCTCCTCCTCTTTCTCCTTCGCGATGCGTTCCTCCTGCTCCCGTGTTTCCCTCGCAATGCGATCGTCCTCTTTCCCCTTGTCGGTCGGTATTGGCTCGTGATCAGAAGGGTCCTCAGGGAGGTCGGAAAGCGGGCTCATATATTGCAAGCGTTGGGGGACGTTGGGTAATTCATGGGGATTGGGGGTCGTAGGTGGATGTGTTTCATCGTCGGTTGGGTCAACGTCCATCGCTTGAGGGTCTGTCGCAGGTAAAATGAGGGGTGGAAGGCCTGTAGAAGTGGTTCCCGGATTGTGTGGTAAATCGCGGCGCGTCTTTTTGGAGGGGGGATAATGCTGGGCTTCCTCGGGGTGCAGTTGCTCTAACCCTAGGCTCCTTGCCCTCTTCAAAGGAGGCCGGTTTGGGATAGCAGGTAATAGGCGGGGAGGGGAGAACCACATTGAGTCGGCGACCCGGGGTGCTACAGAAAGTTGCTCGAGTGCTGTCCTCATCGCGCGGAAGGCTGGAAAGACGTCTATCTGCCCTATGCCCATGTCGACTACCAACTTCATGAGTTGGGCCTGCGCCCCCGCCAGCTCGCTGGGATGGTCGTTTCCGATGTCGAAGGAGCCCTAGATAATATCGAGTTCATGTAGTTGAACATAGACGGCCTACAGGAGAAAATACTTACCTGAATGAGCCACTCGGGAGACGTCGTGCGTGTGTCAAGCCTTGTGTTGGCGGCGACGGTGATTGGCGTGATCATAGCGCTCAACCTTGAAGAACTGTTGGGAACCTGGGCGCATTCGGCACGAGTACCCGCTGAGGACCTAGGTGGAGGGGCAGCAATCTGGGTAGACACCGGGTTGGATGTGTCCCTAAGGGTGGGCTGGAGGACCTCCTGCATCAACCCGAGGACGCAGCCGTATATGTTCTCGACGAGGGTGAAAGCCCCTCCTGTCTCTCCAGCCGCCTTCATGGCTAGCGTGAATTTGGCGATACGGTCGTTCATGGTACCATCGCTTCTCAGGGGAATTGGTAGGTCCACCACAGGCTTTACCGCAGCAAGTTTTTGTCTGGCACGTTCCAAGGTGGTAGTCCAGTCGTCGCAAACGGGGATGAGGACCTGCTGTAAAACCGTTTTGGGAACGCTAATTGCCCAGTCCTTGCCAATGGGCTTCGGTCGCGAGGGCCTACGCAAAGCCCCAACGGCTAACAAATAGTATGAAAGAACCCTAAACTTTAAGAGGAACCTGAGCGTGGCATCGGTTGCGATCTTCCCCAAACGATTTAGGGCCTGAGGAAGACTGTTTGTTTCTTCAACGTGTCGTATTGCGGTAGCTAATACATGGATTGTAGGGTGTCCGCGTAAGCCCTTCCCCAACTCCCCTTCGATGAAATCAACTTCTTCCGCCAAACGCTGGGGTGCAAAGAAATGGTTAGCGGAGTACAGGAGCGGGAGGGAAGGGAAACGACTTACGCGAACTTCAGAGGGACAATTCGAGGCGTAGGACGCCCAAGTCTCTTCTGCGGTAGGCGTCTCCGACGGCAGGCAAACGAGTTTGGCTAATTGGGCACGAACTTCGGCCAACGAAAGGTCGGAGGAGGTCAAGCTGGAAGGCGAGGGGAACGACGGATTGAGGGCCTGTATGGGTGTTGATGTAGAAGCGACCCCGTAAGAGGTTTGGAAAGGGTCGCCATGGGAGGTTGTGGCGAAAAGAGGAATATGCAACGCGTGAGTGTGACCGTAGGGGTTAACGAGGAAAGGAGGAGGCGCTGCCCCAGGAAATCGTGTGCGTCCTTGGGTGAGGTTGACGGTTGACGCATGTCGACTAGGGGCACCCGGGGATTGAACCAAGGCCGACGTAGAAGCTTGAGGGGTGGGGGTCACCAGGGTGGGAGTTGGGATACGTGCGGACGACGGCGACGACGACGATGGCGGCGACCGCTGCGGCGAAAGAGGGAGGGGGGCGATGGGCGCGTGGGCTGACGGCCTGGTAGGTTGAGAAATCGGTGGGGTTGAATCGCCTGACTGGCCTTGAGACGACACCAGGTTCGTCCCCTGGGAGCTCCCAGGAGAGGATTGGTGCGAAACATGGGGTTGGAGTGTTGCTGGCGATTGGGTCGACGTTTGAGGTGGCTGAAGTTGGTGGGCGTTAGTCGTCTCTAGGGAGCTCCCAGGAGAGGACTTAGGCCCGTGAGAAGCGGAGGACTGGTGGGATTGCATTGTGCGCTGATGAGATGTAGAGATATGTGGGGAACTGCGAGATGGTCAGAAGGTTAGTCATCCAACGTATACATACGCCTGCTGACAAATGTTGTTCTCACGCTCACATGTACCGGTAGGACTTACCTGCCAATGGACTGGGTGTCGTTAGTCTCCGGTAGTATACAAGGGTACTATATTACAATAAACATTATCCCTAAGTCTCGACGGTTTCTCATGGAGGAGCTTACCTTGGTGCCAGGTGGCTGTCTTAGGATGTCTAAGTTTCTTTGGAAAAGGGTCGTAAACCGATCAATTCGTTTTATTTGGATACAAGGAGTAGTGCTGTAGGTAATCGGATGATATAGAAAAGCAACATAAGTGTCCACATTCGTAAGGAAACCGGAATTGTCACAAGCTAGCGGTGAGCCCAGATGCGGGGCAGTTGGAGGCCAAAAATGCGCGCGCTGACGCTTCGCGGTTGTGCCTGAGTCGACGGAGGTCAGGGCGCCCTCGCAAAAAAGATCTCCATTGAGTGTTGGTCATGGGCTGCGCCCCCTTGCGGATATCCTCCAACCTGTTCTGGTAATGGTTCTCCCGATAGCTGGTCCACCTTCCGTAATTTTCACCGCTGTCGTGATGGTCGAAGGTTTCAGGAAGTGGCCACCAGGACTTGAGGGAAAATTGGTCCGACCCACGTCCAGTGAAGCAGATGTAACTCCCGCACAAGATCTGGACTTCCTCTGTGGTAAGAGCGTCGTCGATGAGCTGATGTCCTGTGCGAGGGTGAACAAGGGCCAATCCAGGAGCGCCTGTAGGTCCTGCGAGGGCGTCCCATGGGGATAGAACAGAAACCGCCAGTCGCCACAAAATACCTCCACGTTGGATAGCTGCCCTCATCCGAGGATCAGCGAGGAGAAGAGCGCGCGCATGGAGGTAGGCGTCGTAATCGCGCTGAGTGAAAACATAGCCAGGGGTTCGAATTGGCAAGGCCTGCGGGGGCGGACGCAGGTAGGTGGAACGGGAAGGGAATTCCAGTGTGACGGGAGCCAAGGTGTGAAACCGTATTCCCGCAGTGGCGAGATGGACCGCAAGGTCGCGTAATCCAAGACGATGGAGGCGCATTACAAGGACTGCGTCGTCGGCGGTGGTCACCGAGAGAAGCCATGGGCCGGTGGTCTCATCGAACTGGAAGACATATAGAGGGGGGACCAGAGCTTGATCATTGGCGTCGCGGGAGACCAAAAACCACTTGTAGAGATAGGGGCTTGATGTCAAGGGGTCGCGGTTGGTAGCATCCAGGTCGAAGTTGTCAGGATGGGGTCGTCCTGACTTTTTGCAAAATTGTTCCAAGAAACCCACTGCCAGGTGGCACAGGGGTGACTGGAAGAACGGGCTGGAGAGGGAAGTGGTGGGATGGAACCCCAAGGTCCGTAAGAGCCAGACCCTTTGTGGTTCAGGCAAGGCGACGGTTGGGCGATCTGTAGGCATGGGGAGTGGAGGGACGAACCCATAGTACCGGACGAGGACGGCGAGGACTTCGTCGGCAAGTCCTTGTTCATCCTGGCGGGTGGAGGGAAGGAATTGATCTGGAGAGGAGTCTTCAGGGAGAATCGGGGGAACGTAAATGTGGCTGACATGGTGAGGAGAGGAAACAGTGCTCGACTGGGCGGCGAGTTGAAGGTCTTTGCCGTCACCCGTTACGTCTGGCAAGGCCCCGTCGGAGGATACAAGGCAGGGTTGGGCGGAGAGTGAATGGTCAGACCCTGGCGCCGTTGCGTCTGGCAAGACCCCGTCAACAGGGACCAGTACATCTTGGCCATAGTAGTCGTTGATAAGTTCGGCTGCCTCTGCGGTGACCTCACCTGGAGCCAAATCGAAACAGCAATGCCACGTCTGGTTGATAGGGTCGTACCACTTCTGTGCGGAGGTGTACTCGTCGAGGATGTCGGTGTCTCCAGCCAGCTCTCTGACTAGGCGGGAAGGGTCGCGAGGATCAGCACTCCAAAGGACGACTCGGCATTTCGAAGTTTTAGGAGTCGCCCTCCTGCCTGCCCACCGCTGCCGTTCCACTTCGCTAGAAGTGCGCATCATCTCAGCGATCGCCTCTTCCCTTCGAGAGATGAACGCGCGCATTTCGTCGCCCCTACTCTGGGAATGATGGTTATCCTCATGGCGAAGGCTGCTGGTGGGTACAGTGGTTTCTGATGGTGGCGGTGGAGAGGGTGAAAGACGAAGGCTGGGGCCAGGCGTCGGGGGTGCGCTGACGAAAAGCTGGAGTTCATGTGGCTGGGGGAAGATGGCAGTGCCTGCATTGGGATATTTCTTTTGGGCATCCTTGAGGTTGAACCAGACAGGGACGTTGTAGGCGACAAACCAGTCCGGAGAGGGTTGTTGTGCATCCCTGTCCGGTCCAAAGTCAAGGAAAATTCCGGCACGTTGGGTTAATCCGCTGAAATCAAATACTGAGGAACACAGGAAGCCTTCGATCCAGGTGATATCGAAGCGGGCTTCGAGCAAGCGCTCAATCCAGGTCGGGTAATAGAGGCCCTGTCGTCCTGCTTCGAGACGGATTGACGCTCGGGTTTCTTGCTCATGCCGGATCCAAGCAACACAAAAGGCGATCAACCCTTGCCAGACTCCAAACCATTCGGACGATTCGCGAACGGAAGTAAAAACTTGCCGATAGGGGCGGTGGTGTCTCGTGTATCCGAGGGCTGACGGAAGGAAGGGGGCGACGGCTGGGATGGCGAATTTAGCAATGAGGACGACGACCATGTCCGATAGACCGTTTTCAAGCCTAAGCCAGGCATTCTTGACGTCCGAATGTAGGATAGTGCCACGACTGGTGAGCTCCACTTCAGGAGAGCGTGCGAGGGATAGGCGATTGAAGGGCGGTCGAGTAGGTGTCAGGAACGATGGGTATAAATGACGTCCATCCGTAAGCGCGTGTCCACCAACGAGGAGAGTGGAAGTGGGAAAGGCGAGAGGTGGGCTTGAACGGGTTGCGATCCATGGAGTGCTCCCTCGCAGGAGGGGGCAACTCTTCAATGGGGATCTGGCAGTTCGGCGAATACCATATGTCGCCGTTGGCTTGGAAAAGCCTTCCGCCGGTAGTAGTGCTAGAGGAACGTGGGGTCAGGGCAAAACCGATGCAGCTGATGTGATGCGGGGCTCACTTCATTGGGAAAAGGGAACGTGAATTGGGAAAATGAGGCCAGGAAAACGCGCGAGGCGAGGGTAATGTTGGATTGGGAGTATCGGCTACGACACCTGGAAAACGCCCAAGGTGAGGTAGTAGTTATACGGGGTTTTGTTCGGGTGGTTGTTGACTTGTTGACTGGCAAGGGTAGTAATGTATCGGTGACGACACCTGGAAAACGCCCAAGGTGAGGTTTGATACGGATGGGATCAGGTTGAGATAGATATGAGGGTGAAAAGGGGTATGAAATACCGGACAACTTCACCTGGAAAACGCCCAAGGTGAGGTTGTGGTTGTGACTAGAGATGTCCCAAGGAGAAATCCCCGAGATACATAGTAAAGTGACGTGGGAAATGTTGAGTCATCAGCCGTAGCGATACGTGTGATGACTAAGGTGACGCGTATAGCTCCCTTCCACAGCCATGTAGGATTACCATGATACCCCACCATGGGCGACTTCCGGGTGCGGTATCAGGGTAGTTGGTCGACGAGTGGATGGATATGAGGGCTGTGGAGGCAACAGATGCCGGGGAGGTGGTAGTGGATCAGCGAGGGTGGCAAGGGAGGCAGTAAAGGGGAGGGTCAGGGTGGCACGTACATTTCATGGTCATGGGCGTCTTCCAGACCTTGAAATGATGCGAGGAGGACCTGAAGAAGGTATAGGAAGGTCTACTGACCGGACTCTTACCATGTAAGTGTCTGTATTAACGGAGGGCGGCGAGGTTGCGCAGGACTAACGTTGCTCTTTAATTTTGACGGGGAAAATTCAGATTGATTGCTTCGTCGCGGAAGAGCAGCAACCGCGTTTCAAGCAGCATGGCGGGCCTTTTGCGAATACGGAGTTCGTCACGAAGATCCAATGAATCCGTTTCTTGTGCTAGATTCAAGGTCTTCTCGAATCAAGATCCTTTCGTGGCGACGAGGAGCGAGGGTGCACCCGTATTCAGGATTTGGGATACTACACAGTCAGATGGGAGTGAAGTGAATGGGTGGAATGTTGGGAAAATTTGGTGGGGTCGGAGGATGGCTATTCGTCAAAGAACATGGGTTGTGACCAGTCGACGAGGTGGCGCCTTGGGGAGGGGGAGGTGAGGGCAGGAGCACTATTGGGTGGGGGTCAGCGGGGGTTTCGGGGACATAGCGGGTATCTGATACGTGGATTCAGGGGGCGCGGGCCGACCCTTGTAGAGGCGGAAAATGTGGGCTGGGCTTAGGGACGGGGGATATTGCATGGATGGGGAAGGCGGGGGGTCAGCGAGCGCGAGGCTAACCCCATATCAGTAAATGGAGGTATATTTTGAGAATAGATGTCCATAAGGCCCAAAATACGATGTGACTTTTCAGGTATCTTGATACCCTTGGAACGCGGGGGATTGCTGCTACATTGAGGCGACCAGTTATTGTGACCGACTTGGCGACGCTGTCGGGAGATGAGTTGACCATGCTGTATAATTCTGACAGCTATAGTAGCGCTCCGTATGGCAACAGAGAGGCTGTGGACAGGGCGAAAGCATTCAAGGAGCACTGCCTCAGGTGGAGCCATACCATACCACTGTGTGTCGCTAGCGACCTCAGTAAAGTGGAGTTGGACAGCGAGCCTAACCCAAACATTCGGCGAGGTAGGTCGGTTCGCGTTTGCACCAGGCCCCATGTTGACATATGCGGCGACTTGTAGCAGTGACCAAGGTGATTCGAAACAAGAAGAGTGACAAGGGGAACACGTCTGCGGATGGGGGAGCAAAACGTCCAAGAGAAGATGAAGACGATGAGAGTGGAGGTGACGAAGGACCGGCTAAGCGGTCGCGTACAGGTATTTTGGGACTTGCACCGGCAGGGGAGAAAGGCTGAGATGATACACAGATAGCGGCACCAGCTTAGGGCAAGGTGAAGGAGAGGTCGACGGAGGGAGAGGGGCACAAGTGGGTGGGGGGGGCAGCGGAGGTGAAGGGGGAGATGTGGGCGGCGGCGGGGACGAACAAGTAGATGAGGATGGATCTGGTGACAAAGGCGACGAGGAAATGTCAAGTAAGCAGAGGAAGAGTTGATGCGATGTTGAAACGACAGACTGACCCTTATTGTAGGGCTATGGGACATACTGGACCCAAAAGCAATAGAACTAGCCACGTCTATGATGGCGGCGACTCATGGGCCAATACGGAACTCACCAAGGTCAACTACAGATACAGAGATCTGGGGAGAGCTTGGGGGGGTGTACAGGACGAACGACATTTCAATGGTGTTGAACGTCAGGCGCGGGCTAGAGGGGCAGGTGATGAAAGACGCTGCGACGGTGTTGATCGAGCGGGGGCACCTCTTATTGGTGGACTACACCGCATGGTCATGGTTGGAGAGGACCCTCCATGACGCTTTCAGCAGCTACGTGGGGGGTGATAGGTCGCATTGGCTCTACCCCTTGTTCCAGAGGGTGGGGTCATACATGGCGGTACGAGTTAACGCCCTTACTCTGAAGGCCAGCGACTACTTCCCAGGGGCAGGTGAAAGTACGACACAACTGCCACCTCTCAAGACACTGGATAAAGCAGAGGAGACATTCGATAACCTCAGAGCCATCATTGAACCGGTGATGTTGAGCTGGCTGGATTACCCGGCCAAACCGGTAGACAAGGCGAGGGGGTGGCTGCTGCGGGTGCTCGTTCACTATCTGGGTCCTGTGGCTCTTTATCTCCCACAAACGTGGAATGTATGGCAGCAGATGGCAACGGTGATCGATCCGGGTGGTCGGAAACCTAGTGAGCGGAAAGGGAAGGCGTGGAAGGAAGCTGTACGGACCTACATGGGGAGGGCGGATTTGGATAGGACAAGGGAGGCCACGAGAATGTTTGAGGAGCGTCTATTCGAGGTTTCAGGAATGAATGCAAATGAACTTCGGATCGTGGTATCATCAAGCCTGGCAGCACCATTGGACCTCGAGGTCGAGGAGTTTGGGGACGAGCCAAGGGTGCTTGTGGGAGTTGCTTCGGCCATTCCTGGGGTGCAAGGAGAAGTGGGCGGATGGGAAATTTGTGATGGAGGTTTGTGTGAGTATGAACAAGTGCTAATCCCGAGGACCTGTTGAGGAACTGAAAATTATTTTTAGCGGTGTTCGACCGGGTTGCGCTGGACCAGTTTTTCGATCAAATCCGACTTCTGTACCCACTGCTGGAGAACCCTAACGAGGCGCCAGCGAAACCGGGCCCAAAGGAAGGGAAGGTAGCGAGAAGAACCTTCAAGTTCCTAAAGAACGTGTACGACAGCAGGGACAAGAAGTTACCATTCCGCGATCTGGCGCCATCCAGAGCCACGATACTGCGGGAGAGCGGCCCCTTCTCTGATTCAAACCTTAGGACAAGGGCCGGGTTCTTTAGCGCATTGGTATACCGAGGAGCGACGCACAACACCCCGTTTCTGGTAGAACGTAGGCGACATTTCTTCCTGAACCTCGACGACTTCCAACAAGCCGTGAAGGATTGCGGGGAGCAAGACGATACTTTTTTCGTCAACAAGAACGCGTACGGTGTTTGCACTAACCGAAGCCTCGACCACGTCCCTTCGTACTGGGAGGCGTCTGGGAAGAGAGTGTACCTGGACTGGCTGGAGGGGAAGGTATCAGCGCCGTCATTCGTGGCCTTATTCGAAATGTTCCTCCAAGACCCGGAACTGCGAGGCTTTGGGGGACTCACCTCCTATCTACTGGCGTCAGACTATGCTATAGCTGGGTGCGTCGACATGCCCTCCGAGGCAGATATGGCAGAAGTCATTGTGCGGTTGAGCGCGGGCGGATTGGGGGGACTGGCGAAGCTGATGGGGAAGACCCGAGAGGAGTTGAAAAAGGACGCCAAAGCAGTTCTACAAGCGTTCTCAAGTCTTCACAACGTGGTTAGGGAGAGGATAGAGGCGGGGATACTAGAAAAGATGGGCTTCAGGCCTGTTCGTGCTAGAGCACATGCTCTGCAAATTCCTTCGCTTACCGCAAAAGGTGTACCATGATATATATGAGTAATCATCGCTATACAGTGCACCAATTGAATGGTTTTCTGTACGTCATTTCTGTACATCAGCGCAGATGGAACAGGTGTTGGGTTATCAGGGAGTTGCCGAAGACTCGGGAGTTGCCGGCAGGATTAAGTCGATCCCCCAGGGTACAACGCGGTCAACAATTTACCCTGACATGTGCGTAGGAGAAGAATGGTGGAGCGTCCAGGTGGACTGGAAGGTAAGCTGATCAGGGTTAGCGATAGGACGTCGAGAAGCTAACTGAAAAGGGTTAAAACAACAGGAGCCTCTGGGGGATCACAACGAAAACTTAATAGAGAATGGCCTCCTGAAGAGACACATCGAGGACTACCATTGGGTGTGGTCATTGGATGATGGAGAGGAGGCGCCCCACGCGAGGAGAGCCTTGACAGAAACGTTGAGCTACGTGGAACAAGGCGAAGAGGTGGAGGCGTTGAAGACGATGTTGCTAGAGAGGGACGATCATTCGAGGAATGGGGCGGAAGATCCAAGGTTTTTGGCAGCAGTTCAGGACAGATTCGCTAGGAGGATAATGAATGTGTTAAGTGAGTTGCGCTGTGGTTGTGGTGAGAGCATGGGGTACTGAAAAACGATTAGGAAAAGCAGGAATGTTCAATCACCCTGATTGGGAAGGGAAGCCAGAGCTGGACTACGAGTGTCGCCCCTTCTTTGCGCTGGATGTTTTCGTGGACAGCGAAGAGTTGTTTGAAGCCTTTTTGGCACGGAACTGGTAGTATTCGACAAATATTACAGTGTTGGAATGCAAAAAAGACATAAGAAACGATCTAGAAAGGTCGCTGAGATAACCAAGCCTGCCCTGTGAGGTTGAAAAGGAAACCCAATTCAACCGGAGGGCCTGGGGCGACCTCTTCCAGGAGGGAGTCTAGCGCTGCGAGGGGGACGGGGCATATTAAGGTCGTATAGGAAGTTTTCAAAGTCGGAGGGGGATGCAAGATGACGGACGGCATGGAGCCGGATGGAGTCACGCATGGAGCGGAACGATTCTTTGGTTTTCGCAAGTTGGCGGGAGTGGAGATGGTAAGACTCGCGGCGCTGGGTTTCGACGGAGGCTTTGAAAACGTTGTAGCTGGCTTCGAGGGAATTCAATTGAGACTGGAGCGATTCCCTATGGGTTTCGTAACGGGCGGCAGCGGTGCTGAGAAGGTCGTCGTAGAAGGAGGCCAAAGAAGAGTGGGACTGGTCGAGGAGATTTTGAAACCACTGACGGAAGGTTTCATTGTTTTGGTTTGACCGGGAGTAGAGTTCGAGGGCAACCTGTTGATTGTGGGTGTAGTTTTGGTGGGAAGAATGGGGCCATTCATGCAACGCTGCCTGGATGGAATCAGGAGGGAGGTATTGGGGAGGAGGAGAGGAGGGGGGTGCAGGACGGTGATCAAAAGAAGGTCCCTGATCGGAAGTGGCAGACATAGAATCTGAGACAGAGGACTGGGGCCCTGTGCGCTGGATGATGGCTGAGTAAATTTGTCAATTCCCTGGAAACGGTAGAACCTGCCTGCATGGACGACATTGGAGAGGGAACATCCTCAGGGGGGAGCACAAACTGGTCCCCTGATGGGGGGGATAGCTTGGAGAGCTTACGTTTTAGGACGAAGGGGGGCGTAGAGGCAGTTTTCCTCTTGAGGATTGACGTGGGGGGTTCAGAAGAGGCTCGTAGAGGGGTGGAAGACATTGACACATGGGCGCTGGGAGAGACGCTAGTAGAGGGTTCACAGGTCGAAGGCCAAACGGTGATTGGGGGGTGGAGTTGACAGAACGAAGGCATTAAATAGAGAAATTTCAGTTTCAACCATGACTACCGATCACGCATGACGAGAATCCCTTGGCATCGGCATAGTTGATAACCTTTTGGCGACCTGGCAGATCATTGGTGTCGGACCCTGGTCCACTGGGATATCCGCGAGGAATCAAGACGCAGTGGGCCAGGACGCCATCTCTACCAGCTCGGCTGGCCTGTTGATAAAAGTTGACGATGCTATGCGGTGTGGAGAGGTGACAAGTGAGACGGATGGAGGGATAGTCGGTGCCCGCACTGATGGCTGGGGAGGCAATGAGGCCTCCCTGGGGTGTCTGCAGCCATCGCTCATAAATGGCGGAAGCCTCTCTTGATGATAGCGGATGTTGGCTAGAGTCGGCATGGTAGAATTCCAGGCCCAACGCCTCCTTGGCGGCGTATCCGTCCTTGAGTGAGTTGACGAATATAAGGTAGCGGTCAGTTTCTCGCAATGGGTGGCGGCGCTGGAACTTGGCGAAGTATTCCTTGAAGGTGACAATGGACTCCTGGGTGGAACAGGCCCTGGGGAGGAGAACAAGTTTGAGCTCCTGGCGGGCGGCAGATGTCCTGATGACAGATGGAGTGGCAAGGTTGAACTCATGATTAAGATAAGTGACAGCCTTGGGGGGCAGAGTGGCGCTCATGAGGACGACCTGGCAATTCAAGTCCTTGCGAATCATATAGGCTTCCCCCATGGCGTCAGGCCGAAAATCCTGGTCGGTGAAGTAGACGTGAGCCTCGTCGAAATCATGCGGTTGATGGTGCTAGATTGCTGGAGTTGGACAAGCGCCGATTTCCACGAGGGCTGGCGAATAACGTCGCAAGAAACAAGGACGATGTTGTGGGCACCAAGGGGTTGAGTATCTTGGGCACCGAGGAAGTGGTGGAATGGTATACGCGCTGACGTGAGTCTCCGCTTCCAGTCTTCAAGGAGGGAAACGAAAGGAACAACAATGATTGTGACCCCAAACTCCACCATACTGGGAATGATGGCGACTGCACTTTTCCCTACGCCTGTTCGTAGGCAGACCACCACATCTTGTTTGAGTTGAAGAAGAGCCAATACGGCTGCGTGTTGCTCCGGGATGCGCCACTTGGCTGGGCCACGGACGACGTTGGAGAGATGCGCGAGTAAGGTTGACTCGTGGACAGGGGAGGTATGGTTATCGATTCGTTGGACAGTACGCGAGGAATCAGATGTGCCCTGCACCCGAGCCGGTTGGGGAGGGTTTTGGGGGGCAGCTGGTGGCAGGGGAGGCGCGTCAGAGGAGACAAAGGCCGGAGGGAGAGAAGATGATGTACCTTGCGCATGCACAGTAGATATGATTCGTTGGGAGGTGAGCAAGGAATCAGATCTGCTTTGCGGTTGGGGAGGGTTTTGGGGGGCAGCTGGTGGCAGCGGAGGCGCGTCAGGGGAGACTGGCAGAGGGGGTGCGTCAGAACGAGTGGCCAAGACCGCCGGGGGTGGGTGAGGGTCAGGGTCAACATATTCTAGATCGAGGTCATTGTCCAGAAACGGATTGGGGGTGGCAGGGGCAAGGGGCTGGTGGACAGGGATATTGGTGAGTAGCTGAATGATGTGATCATGGGACTGCTGAAGATGGTTCATCTGGCCTTTCAAAGCCAAGAGGTGCTTGAGGATAGGCTCATGGCATGCACGGAGGATAGCAGACAGGGCTTGGTCAGAGGGTTTCGGGGATGAACCAGGTGAGGCGGGACCAGTGGTGGGCTGAGTATAGGCTTCGGTGGTGGCTTGCATGTAGTTGGAGACAGCTCCACTCGGTACCACTTTGAGGACTCGTTGATAGCTGATGCTGGCGCGTACAAAGAGAACGATGGTATCAGCGCTGAGCCCTTCGGTCTCTTCGTGAGAAAGGCCGTAAATGCGTCCTTCGGTAGCAGGAGAATGGCCCGCCTGGTATGAATGTACAACGCGCATAGGGTCAACAGAGTGCAGGTCGTCAATGGAGGTTTTGCAAAGCTTGCGAGTTAACGCGATATTGATGTGACGGTGGTCGCTGACACGCATAGGCCAGTGAAGGACAGGCTCGGCGATCATGGAGAGGTGCTTGCTGAGGTTTTCCGAGTTAAACTCACGACCCATGTCGGTGAAAACCAGGTCCTGATAGAGGCGAGCCACGTGGGGCTGGTCAGGCCAGATGTGGGTGGCAAAGAACTAGAAGGATTTGATGGGTTAACGAACCCGAAAAAGACCAAAGTGGAATAAGTGGCACTTACTTGGGCCAAAGGACGGACATGAGTGTGGATTTGAATCAAAAGATCGGAGAAAAAAGAGGAAACGCCATGGGGCAGGATTTTGTCCCTCTGCTGGTTGTTGGAGGTCTTGCTGTACTGCCCGATAATGGTCACATGGGGTCCAGCAACCATGAGATTGCGAGTTCTAGTGGTGGTGTTGCGCGCAAGCGTGGAGGCGATTTCGGTCATGCGCATGGGAGCCCCGCTCGTGAGTTCAACACCTAGGAGGGTAAGGGCTTCCACTTCAGCAAGGCAGGCGAGCCATTGTCGGACACGGATGAGGTTGAGCTGAAGACCTGCTGGGGTGGAGATCGTAAACTCTTCGGACAATCGAGGATCTGAAAAGATATGGTTGGCCAGAAGGCCACGGTGGTGGTGGAAATCGTTTCGGGGGTCGGAGATAAAACTGTAACCAGCCTCGGAGTTACGCAGGGAGTCGGAAATAGGGTAAGAATAGTTGACGCGAATAGAGGAGTCGAAGATGATGTCCTCATGGAAGACTTTGAGAAGCGTTGTCTCGATTTTCTTGACCACATTGCGCAGTCCGTCCACAGAAACTGGGTGACCTTTGTAAAGCATTGTGGTGTAGTCGTCATTTTCGGCATTGACCCAAACAACGTCGGGGAAGGCCTGGTGCGCATAAGCGAGGGAAGAGGCGTAGTGTTGGAGGGACATGAGGGTAAGAAAAGGTATAGCTGCAGTGTTCCCTTACAAACAGCTTGATTCGGTCCCAGGCGGAACTGGAATCAACGCCTTGGGCAACAAGGGAGTGGTAGTGGTTAATGGCACACAGCCGAACAAGTCGCGTGAGCTTGGAAATGTCGGGGGTGACATCCTTAGGGCTGCTGAACTCCCCTTTCTTTTTTATATTGATGAACGCCAGGAAGCACAGGGTAGGGTCGGGGAAAGGACATTGGACGGTGGGGCTCCATTCCACAAAGAACAGTTGTTCCAAAACCAACTGAAGAGAGTCCAAGTCCTTGGCTTCGACAAACACGCAGAGCGCCTTTTGCAACGGAATAGACAGGGGTAGCGAGTTAGGGCCCTCTGGGCTGCGGACTAAGGCAGACAGGAGCCGGGCCAAAACGTAGGAGTATTGCTTATGAGTCGTTTCAGGCTGGTGGACGTCTTGGAAGGGGGTGTGATTAATACCACTACAGTCGCGAGTCGCGAGGGAGGATTAATTCCTGGTACAGAGGACATGGAATCGAGCCAGCTCACCGGGTCGCGTCAGATGTGTTGATCAGGTGGAGGACATTTTCATGCGTGATATCCGGAAGCTGGGAGGTCTGTTTATAGTATTGGAGGGCGAGAGGGGGGATCCATTTCAGGGGATCATCTGCACCGGGCGTCTTTACCAGATCGATGAGGGACAGAGGATCTTTGGATCCAACGAGAAGGTGCCAGCGGCATCTCTTCAGCCATGGAGAGATGAGGCGCGAGTTAGGGATGGTTTGCGGCGGGTTGGGAGGGAAAGCATGGAAGGACTCGAACTGGGAAATGAAGTTGGTCGAGTTGGAGGGTGCATCAAGATTAGGAGATGGTGAGGGTTTCCGAACTCTGACATGTGTTTTGAAGATGGCAGAGTTCAGCCTTTGAGTGTGGATTGGATGAACCGGGGATTGTGGTTGCGCTGCTTGTTCAGCCGCATGTTTCGCGACGATGTGGTTACGAATGTAGGTTTGTCCGCCGGCGGTAGGGCAGTGGGGACAGCCATAGTGGTCGACCACTGGGAAGCCTTGATACGCGGTGAGAGTAGGTTCCATGACGTTTTCGAGTTCAGGGATAACAGTGATGTCATATTCTTCGGCAACGGCTGCAAAAATTTTACGGTGGGGGGCAGAAACCTTCAGTCCATGCTGGGCGGACAAGTGCCGCAGGGTGAGTTCTACGGGCGCCAATAAGCACATGATAAAGAACGATCTGTTTCCTGCTAAAGTAGAGTAGATACACACATTGAATAGTACAGAACACAAAACACGTATTAACAAATTGAATGGTTTGTGAGAACAAAGTAAGGACATGTGGTCGCCAAATTCGAGTGCGCTAAAAGTGACGATGATTAAAGGAGTAAGGTACAGACTTGGAATGACTGGTAAGGGGATACATTACTTTCTATTCGACTAAAGGCGGGATAGCCCATATTTTGGATGGGTCTATACAAATAGGGCACCGTGGGCCAGACCTATCAGTTTCTAAGTGGCGAAATTCTAAGTGGCGAAACAGGTGCGCCGCAATGTAGCAGGCAAGGGCCCAGATTTCTTGGAGGTCATATTGTGGACCGTTTTTGGACAGGGCGGTGCGTGATGCACATAGTTTACTTAGGAAAAACATTTGGCGGCCAAATGCAGCTGGGAGGGGCGGCATTTCGGAGTTGCGCCTAAAAATAGGAATTGGATCAAATGTGACGGGCCTGATTTTGAACAGGCACCGGAAGGAGACACTCAGAGCTTTTGAGAGACGAAAGAAGGGCTCCCGAATGCAGCAGGCAGGGGCCCTTATCGCTCAAATGTGATGGGGGTTATTTGTGGACAAGGCACCATGGATGGGACTCAAACCTTTTGACAGGTAAAATTCAGGTAAAACACGACGACCCGAATGCAGCAGGGAGGGGCCCACATGCACACCTACTACGCTTGATTGGAATTCGATCAAATTTGATGGACCTGATGATCGGCAGGGCGCCGGTGGACGACATCCAGAATTTTTGACAGGCGAAATATAAGCAGCCATATGCAGCAGGCAGGGCGCCTTATCAGCTGATTGAAAATATCGCTCCCATAGATGGGACCCATAATTCTTGACAGGGAAAACACGGCGACCGAAATGCAGGGGCCCACATGTGGCTTAACTGCTGTTAAAATGAGAAGTCGATCAAAACTGATGGACAGCACCCAGTCAACGGCACCCATAATTTGTGACAGGTAAATGATGGCCACCCATATGTTAACATGGCCATCTAAAGATGATGGACAGCAGCAGTCGACGGCACCCAGAATTTGCGACAGGTAAATGATCGCCACCCATATGTAAATGATGGCCTAAGGCGGCTCCAGTAGACAGCACCCAGAATTTGCGACAGGTAAATGATCGCCACCCATATGTTCTTGGCAGAGGCCCATATTCCTGACGCGCATCACAGATCTGCAGATCGATCATATCAAATGGCCACCCAGAAGTTTACGACAGGTAAATGATGGGAACCCATACTAACAATGATCGACAGAAGCTGTCGACGCCACCCTAAGTTTTATGACAGGTAAATGATGGCAACACATGTAGAAATGATGGCGACCCGTATGTTAACATGGCCACGTAAAAATAAGTAATGGACGGAAGCAGTAGACGGCGACCCAGATGTAAATGATGGGAACCCATATGTTAACATGGGCTTAGATGGGAACCCGTATGGGAATGATGGCGACCCATATGTTAACATGGCCACCTAAAAATGATTGACGGAAGCAGTAGACGGCACCCAGAATTCGTGACAGGTAACTGATGGCCACCCATATTCATGACGTGCTTGACAGGATCTGCCGATCGAGGGTCTCAAATGGGGTAATGCAAAGGTGAATGTGGGGCCAAAATACGTGAACAGATACTTAGGAGATACCATACTCGGATATTGGAAAACTTACGCCGAGAAAGCTAAGAAAGATCAGCTCGGTGGCATACACTGGCAACAATTTTCCGATAACGTCGGGGACTTTACTGACGTGCCGGACGAGCTTATGTCTCTGTTCCGGACGACGAAAGGTCTTCGATACATGCCAGACGTTAGTAAAACAAACATCTGGCAACGCAAAGTATTGGTTTCACGGAAACGTACTCGCAATCTCTTTGACCTAACAAGTCTTTGGAAAAAGCAGGTACTCTCCAAGTTGGAAGAAGACATCCTCATGGACGTCGATTCCGATTCTGATCAGATGAGCGTTGATACCCCATCAGATCGATCGGACGGAATCGACCCAAACTTCTTTATCAACTATACTCTGGGTAGAACGTAATGCATACACGACTCAGGGGGCTTTGTTGACATCCCAGTGATCGGCTTGCACTACCGATTCCCAGGATATTCGGAGACGAGTACTAGTTACCGTTAGTGGTTCGGACTTCATTCGGCGGAGGCACTTCGGTGCGTTTGTCGGGGAACCCAGCTTTGCGGCGGTGTTCTAGGAAGAGTCCGTCTAAATCTTGGTGTCGGCCCGATCACAAGGGGCTCTGTCCCCCTGTTTGGGCAGCCTCCGCCCCCATTTAAAACTGAACACGAAATGCGTTAACGATATCCAGATATTAATTCACGAGTTCAATAAGCTTTAATCTATCCCGGTAGGTACTACGATTGTCTGTCGCTTACAGACGGTATTAACCATGGGTGTTTAGGAAGCCTATCTAACCCTAAACCTAACTCTAACCCTAACCGTACGTACCTTTTGAACTTAATCGTTCAAGCTGATTTGTCTAACCCGATCAATCTCTAGCTAACCCCAACCCCTAACTCTAACCTAACCCGAACTCTAACAGGGAACATTCGGGAGAGCCCGATCACTTGCTTAGTCAGCAGGCGTATCGGTACGTTGGATGACTAAGCATAGAACGGTCTAGACCAAGTCACGTGACTTTGACGTCACATTGATCGGCGCCTTTTCGGCGCCCGGATGTGACATCGTGTGACCCATCAAGTCCGTAACTCACTACTAATAGAATTTGCGTAAGCGGCCCGAGCGTAACCCTCAACCCACGGGCGCTCTATTGGTAAGAATCAGCACAGCCGAGATAAGACAATAGCGAAAATCACATGGATAAGTCGTTATTGTTTAGCTTACCCCTTTTAGAAAAGAAAGCACAGGTCCTGAAGAGACTTATAAGAAGTCGAAAGCGGACCAGGTTGTTTCGACAACCCGCTTGACCAGCTTTCGCCTTCGAAAAAAGTCTCGCTTCGCTCGACTTTTTTCTCCACCCACCCTAACCCTAAGTCCGAGAAGCCGTTTCAAGGGCGATGGTCGCATGCATCGCTGTGGGATACAATCTCCGGAAGAAGGGCGAATAGGCTTTAACGACCGAACGAAACTCGATCCTCCTTAGGATGATTGAGGCCATAACTCTAGTTCGAACCCTTCGATAGCGGATAGCGGGTAGGCGGTTTGGGTACTACATCGAAGAAACGAGTAGGCGAAAGGTATTCACAGACAGGTTACCCCTCTCTGTGATATTGGGTAGGAAAAAGTCCGATGATCTCAGGTGGAGATCGGGGGATTGATTTATCCTTTTTAGGGGGTAGTGCCATCTGGTTCCCTCCCGGTCTCGATTATCTGCTTCGCCATTACAAGGCCGGGTCACTTCTGCCAACAATACGATAGGCTTGAAGCCACACCACTACGCGCATCCCGTTGCGGTTGTACATAGTTCGCGATCAATAGGTCGAATATAGAATAGATGTACGTACAACAAATCGAATAAAGATAAAGTAATGATACACGAGCGAAGCTGGAAAATGGCATAGCTCGAAGCACCAGTCATACGATTCTGTGAGTGTCCGACCACCCACTCTTTGGCGTTCCGAGAGGAGAGTTCGGATGTCTCTCCTCGAGCATCGGGGACTTCTCAGGTCTCCTCTAGATACCGGGTGTCAGTACTCGAAGGTATCCCAGGTCTAGAACCGTACGAACCGAAATGTCGCCCGGAAGATCACCCCCATCATGCGTGACCGTCGACTTCATCTCGACAGAGATGACCATTTGACCCCGAGGAGCCGTGCGACTCACCCGAGACGAGGGTTCGATAGAGGACGTTTGTTGTGATAGCGTTGACCTCAACGTCTTTCGAGAGTTGAGTCTGAAAGATCTGGTTAGAAGGGCGCGGGCTAACAACGAAGTCAATAGAAGGGGAACTCACGATGCGAGAACGCTGTTAGAGTACACTATTCCAATCGAAGGTAAGCAAGAGTAACGAGGAGTTCAGGTCTCGAGAGGACCTACGCTTGGCTAGGGACGCATAAATGGCAAGCCAGATCACTGTCGAGAGACATCGATTAGAAAGAAACGATCACATAGATAAATGCTACTCACTGGCATTGGTGTCGACATTGAACTGGAATGGAATAGTTAGATGTCGTTTAAAGGCAACGTAGGTATAGCGCACCGTGATAACCATAACTATCGCCGTCAGACTCGGAAGGAGCGCGGTGCCTGGAAGAGGAGGTAAGCGCCAAGTCAGACCAGCACCGCACATCGCTCACAAATCGTGTACTGGACGATCTTATCGATCAAGTCTGTCGCTCTGCAGTGAACAAATCAGTATTCCTTCATTCAGTACAGTATAAAAGGACGACTCACCTCTTGAAGACCTTCGCCCTCTGTCTGTGCAACCAATAAAGCATCGAACCCGCGATGGCGATATCGATCAACGCTCCAACCATCAAGAGGGACATGATCAACCAGCCCCACTGGTTTCGGTAATCCTCGAGCACGGTCGCCTTAATAGCGTTGATAGCGAGGATGATTGACCCGATGAAGCGAACGGCAGCGACGACCTGGCAGACGGCGCCTATCATGTTCCACCACCGGGGTAGAACGCGCCAGACACGAACGGCGAAGAAGGTCTGTGGCGTCGAGGGTTGAACGGCGAAGGGTTAAGTGGTGTTTGTCGACGAGGTGCGTGTCGAAGGAGCAATAAAGTACGTGCGTCATCGTGAGTGGGAGTGAATGAACGAGAGCGTGAAGACGTACGTGGGCCAAGAATGTTACTCCTCCTCCAGTCGCCGTCGAAGCTCCGATGAATTTGAAGGGGAAGAGATTTTCGGGCCTCCCATAGTTGGTGATCGTAGCTTTGTACACCTCCGCTGCGATACAGAAGGTGTGCGCCAATTCAAGTACCCTGAGTAAGGCGTAAGTTGCGACTCTCGCAGAACGAGCAACAAATACGACTGACCAGATCGCCGAAACCAAGAGCTTTAGGTGCAGTTTATCCTCCTTGAACCGCTGATAGTACGTTATCAACTGAAGCGTGACGACGCCGAATAGGAATGCTGAGAATAGCGTTCCGATTTGAAGCGCTCCTATCGTCGAGTCGGTAACTGCAAGGTCGATCGGTGCTGTCGACATCTTGCCACGTGCGATTGAATTGAATAGTGAGTATGATTGGCGACTCTTCCCGGTCTAGTCGAGCGCCACCAGGACCGTTGAAGGATCGTCGGGGTTGAGTCTGGGTGCAGACGAAATCCTCAAGGATCCGCGAGTACAGAGACTTCCTGGCCCGAGGGATGGCAGAAGGTGGGGGAGAGGCAACCTCGTCGTCGTCGTCGCCGGCTGGCAACAAGTAGCTTAAAAGGTCCACCACCGGTGAAGTTTTCCTGCATAACCGCGACCAGGCAGATCCCGAATTCCCAGCATCCAGGGGTGCAGGTGCCAACGAGTACCAAAACAGGATGTTCAGCTCCTAATCGGCGTTCGGGAAGCAACCGCTCCAGGTCAGCTGGGCGATGGTGTTGTGGGAAGGCGGTCTGGGACCCCGTCCTGGTGGCCCACGCCACATCTCCTCGACAATTAGACGAGTTTTTTACCTGTTCAGGCATGATTGCGGGATTAAAGAGGCTCGTCGTCGTGTGATGAGCGTTTGTCGGGAGCCTGCTGGTGGTGAGCGCCCGTTGAGTAGGTTGGCAGATGTGTTCCAAACCTTTAAAAACGACGTGTAGACTCGAGGGTGGTGGCGTCATCTGAGAAAGCCGTAATTTCCAACGCAGCGAGGAGGCCGCCCGCCCGTTTGGGAAAGCCAAGTATGTAACCAAAAGGAAAAAAGACTATCAAAAGCAATCGATCACCCGAGCGATGCCCGCATCAGTGAGCCAGGTTTGTCGCCACGAAGGTCGGAAACTACCTCAAGGACTGCTGGATTGCCATTCGGATTTGCGAGGGAAGTCACACAGTTCAAATGATAGAACATCTTACCTGAGTCTCGACTGATCTGCGCACGAAACACAGCAGGCTAGAGTGTAAGCAATGAACAGTGTACTACGCACAAGGCGATAGGAAATATCGTCGCGAAGTCGGGCGCAAGGAAGGTTGGAATAAAAAATTCTGAAAGTTGAAAGTGCGTGACGAGACGATGTGACGGAGAAAGCAGGCTATAGCTTGTCTTTGTTTGGTTTGTGTGTCTTTGTTGGCCCAAAGCTTCGCGTCAGGTTAAGCGCTCACGAACTGTACCAGTGGCACACGAGGCCATGGGCGTTTGCTTCTCGAAGGGACGCAACGGGTATCTGTCTGTGAACTTAGCCGGGCCTAAGCGCGATGCTGTATTGAAATGACGATAATGTTTCGATCCCCTCAGTGGTTGACGTGGATCCAAGCTCCCAAGGGACCACATGGATTAGTGCAACTAATGCACCACTTCGAACTCGTTGTCTCATAGAACGAAGATTTTCCGATTCCATAGAGCTGAGTCTGTCATGAATTTTGCTTCCTCATAGACTCGGTCGGTGACGAACATTTCCAGCATCAGCTTCTACTCCATTCATTTGACATTCTCCTCGCTCCAGGACATATTGACTCCACATCGCGCTGTGGTAACCATTGTATCTCCCTAGTCAGAGAAAACTGATAACGCCCACTCCAGTATGGGCTGTCAAAGTCTCCAATGTACGTCAATGAAGTGGGACCTAGAGCCCCTGTGCTTCGCCTATAAAAACGCTGCTCGAAAACCTGCCCTTCCACACCAGCCTACAGCTCAAGAACCAGTGATACGTATTACCATGCGCCTTTACTACGCCCTCTCTATCTTTTCCGCAGTCATCTCAGCGTCTGAATCTCGCGCTGTAGAGGCTATCGCGCCTGGCATTAATACTGGAACCGCACCCATCCCTGCAGATAGGTTGGCCGTCGATGATATCTCCCTCGCCGCTACATGCAGCGGTACAGCGCCCTTCAACTCACCAGACGCCACCACCCTCGCCGACTTCCTCCTATTCCAGCCCGAAACCACCGTCGCAGCCCTTCCCAGACTCTCCATCGCCTGGATCAGCCTCGGAACGGCGAAGATCTGCATTTCTAACCTCGGCTTTCAGTCGATTAACATTACATACACCGAAATTGGAACGGGCGTACAGTCTATCGTCGATACCTGCTGTCTTACCCCGACCTGTGTCGGTGGGACAGAGACTGGACTCGCCGTTGGAGAGACAACCCCGAGGATTCCGCTTCGTTTGAAAGCAGCCTCCCAGCAGTGCTAAATTGGATTCAAGAAGGCTGTTCACGAAGAGTGCTTCGATGATCCTTCGACACTTCACGATGCCCAGGACTCAGCCTGAATGGACTATTTCTAGTATCCACGAACCATTATACACCTGATGTACTTACGATAAATATTGTCTATCGGTGCTAGCTTTTCCAATCGTCTCTTCCAACATACCTTCAGCCTTGGTGGAGAAAGTCGCATGTTTCTTTCCTTTCTTCTGCCATATCGACAACTTACGACCGATGCACCGCTGATTGCTGGAGGGCAGCTTATAACAGGACCTCGTTATATCTAGTAAGTACTACAGTGTCAGCGGAAGATTTCGGATACCCCCCTCTGGTGATAAAATAAACTCCCATGTTGCTCAGATCACCGCCGAGGGAGCGCCCATAGCCCGATATCGGATGTTTGGATCAGATGAGCCTGAAATTCAGGATCTGACCTGCGTTCCAGCAGCCTAAGTACTATACCCAGCTTTGAAGATTCAACTCGACGCAGTGCCCATTTCAGTGCCAGCGCATCTTTCAAGGTCCAACGTATTTAGGCCATTCACACCGGCTGATACGGCGAGTGTTATCCGTATTCAGCGCCTAGCCTTGAGCTCGGTGAAGATTCAGCATTGCCCTTCAGTCTTCCTAATGTAATTTGGGGCTCCTCGAAAATACGAATATTCCGTCTAGTACCTTTGACCATGAACTTGCCGAGATTCCTCCACTGTCACACAGCCGGAAGATGTGCGATGTGCATCATTTCGAGAACCTTGACTCCGCAGATGCCAAGTTAGCGCCCATCACTGCTTTCAGCCTTCCTCCTCTCCTCCGCCAAACCCTTGATCTCGTACATAGACTCACGGCCCTAGTACGTTCAGGCGATTTACTTCCGCGTATAAACATGGTCATTTGACCCGCTCACCCGGCGTGCTCGTGCCAAAACAGGATTCGCGCTCACCTTCGCGACAGGGCGCGCAGTCTGTACGTCGGAAGGGCACGGTAATATGCAGTCCGTTGGTGGCAGGTGCTCCTCGATTCACAAAGCCATTTATGTGGGAACCTTTGCACTGTAATTCGCTTACGCGTGTGAGCGCAGACCTCTCAACTGGTGTGCTAACGGCGGCGAAGGCTCAGCGTTTCATGCTATCATCAAGGTGGTAAGGTTGTGGAGTTACGACATCGGAAAGACCCACCTCTGGTTGATCATTACGCTCGAGACTGGAGAAGATCAGAGATTGATTTGAAACACTTTAGGGCAGCTACAAGGTTCTTTTGTTCCTTGGTCGAGCATATAAATTCTCTTCCCAGGTGTCGAAGCGGGCGGTTCTCTCCCCCGACTTGCGCCATGGCGATTCCAGGCCTTCAAAGCAGTATTGGCGCAGTACAAATCGGTTCTCTCTTTTCCGTTTTCCTATTCGGTATCGAGACGCTGCAAACACATCTGTATTATCAACAATTTCCGGATGATGCTATCCATCTCAAGATCATGGTACCTCTCAGCGCATTCTTTCCAAAGTCCAAGCTAATCTTTCGCCTTTCAGGTTGGATTTATATGGTCTGTGGAAAGCACTACTCAATAATTCTCGATCCCACTGACCGACTTTCATGATACAGGCTTGTCGAGCTTGCGCATACGTTCTGCGTATCGGCGGAAATATACAGGCTCACCATTATCGAGTACGGTCAAATTCTGAAACTCCTGAGCGGGTACTTCCCGTACCTCGCGGCCTCCACCTGTCTAAGCACAGTGGTTACAATGATCGCCCACGTACGTACACTTGTATCCCCTCTAAAGTGACGCTCACAGCCCTTCAGGCCTTTTTCTCTGGACGGATCTGGAGGGTGATGCCAAAGCCATGGAACTTCGTCGGGGCATTCTTCTTCGTCGTAGCCATCGTCAGGTTTATTGGAAGTATGGTCGTTGGAGTCGAAGCAGTGAAGGGCGACGACATCGTTGAGTACTCGAAGAAATGGGGCTGGTTGGCGATGGCGGTACTCATCGCCGGGGCGATTATCGACATTGGTCTTTCCTCGTCTCTCGTCATCTATCTGTACTCACAACGACGCAAAGTTTTCTCTCGGTTCGTCCCTCACAAGCATCTTTATGTGAAATTCCTGACGCAAACTCTCCAGCTCGACGCAACTCATCGATAAGCTTGTTCAGTTCGCTGTATGTGAGTTGAGGATTCACTGGATACTCAGTCGCAAAGGCTCACGAGTAACCCATGTTTCTAGGCACTGGGTTGTTGCCTAGGTTCGTGGTCTTTTTGAGCAATTAGAGACTTCATCTCACTTGAATGGAACAGTCTCACAGCTATCGCTCTCGTTATTGCCGTAAGTTTGCACCTAGAACCTCGCGGCTCCGGCTTGCTGATGATAGCATTCCTCCGATTAGTTCAACATCGAGGACCGCTCAATGGTCTGGGTCGCTATCTATACCTGCCTAGCGAAGCGTACGTTCTGAAATCAAGTTGTTCCCTTCAGCGCAATAGTCTAACTCCATTGTAACCAGTCTACTCCAACAGTGTCCTCGCAGCGTAAGCTTCGGGATTCACCTCGTTCGCGCACCATTACTCAACCTCTTAATAGTTTAAACACTCGAGCAAGCCTCAGGTCATCACGAAAGACGTTCGTTACCGGATCTTCTACAGGCTCTGAACACCGTCATCATCGCGGCGGGACCGTCAGTCGAGGGAATGCTCATCCCAATGACTTGGTGATCTCCGTAGAGATGAAGTCGACCGTCACCCATGACATCGATATGGACGACCGTGGATATCCTCAGGTTGGTACACCCAGGTACTCGATTCACCTTGACCTGACCTGAAGTCGTATTCAGGGACCCCTTGACGTGAAGCACGCACCAGAACCAACAAGTGGCTGGACAGACGGGCATAGAGTCGTGTAGAATTTAGGCGTTTAGCCACTCATTCTCTCTTTTTATTTATATCGCATTCGTGTATGTAACTTTAGAAAAGGTTTAGAACGGCACCCGTCTAGCCGCTATCATGTTGTACTTGAGGAATCACAAGTTGCTGAGAGCGATGGAATTGATGAGCAGTGCGAGAACGAGATTAGCGGTCGTATATCGGCAGGATCGCTGGAATAACGGCGTGACGCGAATTCCCTACCTACCTACATACCTACCTACCTATGCTGCCAAATGGCACAATGGAGATCAGAGACCTACCCGCCGATGTAAGATTTTCGGGCGCTTAATGATCAGCACTGCACTGAGGCGTTCATAAGGCACCCGAAGCGGGTAGTGAATACAATCATGTTTCTTAAAACATTTAAACAAGCGTAGGATTACAAACTAGTCGATCCATCCAGAAGTACTGGTCACATCCCGAAGTTCGATTTCACTTGCCCGTGTCTTTCCGTGTCCATCATAACTGGCCTCGTAAATACTAGTGAAAAGATTTCCATCGCTTTCAGTCATGTGGTATCCACCAGGACGCCTCGAGGGCCTCTGTCGTTGCTTGAGGATAATGAAAAGGACGCGGTTGCATAATACAGACTCCATGGTCATCTGAATCCTGGAGAAATACATCAGAGGCGCGCTACGAATGGCAAGGAATAGATCGGAGAAGCATACGGCGATAAAATAAGCTGGTACTGCGGAGGCTAGGGACGGGGACGTGGTGAGTTGGAGCGCACGAGGAAGTCAAAAAGACACGCTCACGAGGGATTTAATATTTGGTATGATGGTATTTGCCAAGCTCAGAACTGAGACGAAGTTGAGGCTTTCTGAACTGAATGTCGTAACATAGGTCGACTCACCGACGACGACGAGACTATAGAGAATACCTACATCGAATCGCGATGAGAAGCGAGCCCCACAGCCGAACACAAGACTCACCATTTCTGTACAATTGAATGACCCATGATGAATTAGATCGTCGAACTGGAACGTCGCGCTTTAGTCAGACTCGAGATCCTGGAACTCAGAGAGCGCTTACTATGCTGAATGGCTTTGACAAGCGTGACGCCAATCGTCACTACAACGGCGTTAGGCATACATAATAGAAGTTAGACTTAAAACTAAACTCACGGGCTTCTGAGATAAAAACGACCACGTAGGTCCATCTGGCCACGAACTCCGTAGATAATACCAAGCATCCGGTCAGTGGGGGATTAAACAAATAGGAATCCACATCTAAAGGCAAGTCAATGAGAGGCACGTAGTCGAATGCAGATCGAGGTACGTACAGGTCGATCGAGCAAGTTGCATCTGATTCAGTATGCAAGAAACAGTGATCTTTGCCTATCAAGCGTATTTCAGTCGCCGCTAAGTCGAACTTGGGGACGAAGCGTACCAGGAGGAGGAATAGAAGGGGATAGACGACGGAGCGCTTATTTGCCCAGATAGCGCACGTTTGGAGGTAGATGACCGCTAGTGGAGGGTTAGCCAGCGAATGGTCGCGTCAAGGCCCGCGCTTACTGTGAGCTGTATTAACACCGACGATGATAGACCCTTTGGACGACAGTGAGCACAGGGAGGTGAGGACGTCGAGACGAAGGTACTTACACATTGCGATTATGTAAATTCGACGGCAAAGCTTTGGAGGAGTTGAGCTGGGTAACATGAACCGAGATTCACAAACTCACGTCCTGCGTGTGGACCTTGACATTCACTGAGCAGACAGATCAATGAAGGCGAGCGAAGGACAGGGAATAGAAAACCCACGCACAGATTAACATGAGAACCTGAGTACAGATTGGAACATAGCGGTTGACGTAGAAGAGGGGAGGGCCCCAAGAAAGTAGCCTCGACGGCCACACAGCGGACACCTGATTCAAGTTCAGCTTGAGCAGCGTTTTGCAAGGGATTGGGAATACTTCGGTTGGAAATGTGAGCGCATAGTCAAAGATCTAGTCACATTATGGGAGATGAGGACACTGCTTGCAGATATAGACAAACTAACGCACCAAGAGAGTTAAACAGGACGCTGCCATACACCCGTGCAGCGATACTTCCGGCATGGCGACTCCTCCCTGACGCGTTGAAACGGAATACAGCGAGAATCGAGACCGTCGATGTCCTTGGGGTTGAGAATCGCTGAGTATCGATTTATCGGTGACATTGAACGTTCTTTGACAGGTTCAAGACGCCATGAAGTGGGAGATGGCCGGCTGCACCAAATTCAGTCGAGGGGAGGAGGGCGTAGCAAAGGTCAGGGGAACGTTTCCAAGACGTTTCCTGGATGAATTTTTGGTGGCACAAGTTACCATCAAAGTGGGAAACGCCGGTATCCGGCGAAATTCCAGGCGTTTGGCGAACACCACCCTAATCTCCAATATTCTGTGAAGGAAGTTGGAAATAATGTCCATGAAGACGGTGATGAGCGTCTCCCCAGGATTGCGCTGTGTGGATAGCATGGGTTATCGACTGCCATAAGCATTGTATTCAGAACGATCAATGAGTCCGGCCACCACCGATTGAAATGGCCTTGGCCTCTTGGCTCCTCTTGGGGGCAGTGGAAAAAGCGCCCGAAGAACCCTAACCTTACTAGTATTATCAAGCCCCTATCCACGCTTAACGCAGCGGCAGCGACCTTCCTTTCCAGCGGAGTACTACGTGCGATTCTTATTCTGATCTTTCGAATGAGAGGATAAACCAAAGGTCTGATTTGGATCTAATGTACAATACATTTATTTTTATAACTTCACTGCACGCATGGTTAACAGCGTCGGCGCGAGGGGCACATCTCAGTCAGAGGCGACCTTAATGACAGCCTTCGCCTTGTTGGTACCCTTCTGAACAGCCAAGATGGCGTCACCGACCGACTGAAGCCCGTCAAAGACTTGCTCCCGGTACTTGAGGTCACCCTTGGCAACGAGGGCAGGAACCTCCTCGTAGAACTTGTCTTCGTACTTGTGCTCGAGGCGGGAGACAATGAAGCCGTGCATCGAGATGGACTTTCCAACGACATACATAAGGTTCTACGCAATGGGCCAGGTGAATTTAAGATAACGAGAAACTGCGATAGGCTTACCTTGACTGGTTGACCACCGGTGTTATAACCAGCGATCATACCACACTCGATGAAGCGAGCGTTGATGTTCGCGGCTTCCAAAGCAGCGTCGAGGGTCTCTCCACCAACATTGTCCCAGTACCTTCAAATAGTAACCGCGTCAGTCATCGAATGATTTCATGAGAAAAGGTGTCTTACACGTCGATGGGTCCCTCCTTCTGGAGGACCTCCAAGGTGTTGGTGGTCTTGTAGTTGAAGGCGACGTCAGCCCCGATACTCTTCATGAACTCCACCTTCTCATCTGAGCCCGCAGATCCAATGACCTTCAATCCATCGAGCTTCGCAAGTTGGATGACGAATCTGAAATTATTTCGTTATGTATGACGAAAGGCGAAGGAGGAAAGGAGCTTACGATCCAACAGGACCTGCGCCAGTGGTGACGAAGGCAGTTTCTCCCTGAGGGCGACGATAAGCGCTTAGAAAAAAGGAAAGAGAGGCCCAACATACCTTCTTCGCCTGGGAGTACTCCTTCCATGCCATGTACGCCGTCTTTCCGGGCATTCCGCAAACACCGATGTAGTAGGACAATGGGAGGTTGTGCTTGTTATCGACGATTCGGAGGCCCTCCAGGTTGGGTCGGACGATATAGTTCTGGAACTCTAAAAGAAGAAACGCCTTAAGCATTGGATACCAGGACCATCGACAGCCTTAAACGTACCCAACATTCCATAGACATGGTCGCCGACCTTCACGCTAGACGATTCCGATCGCACAACAACACCAACTCCATGACCGTTCATACTGAAAGATATGGTTCAGTTTACTGATCTCTCTGAGGCGGGGAAACGAGGGAACGTACGGTTGGCCGAGAGTGAATGCGGGCTGGAAGGAGGAGCTTAAGTGACAGGCGCAAAGGTTATCAAGAAGAACCACTTACTGAATAAGACTTCTTCGATGGATCACGCATGCGTCCTCGCATGTAAGGATCCACGGATAGATAGAGAACCTTGATGAGGAACCCTCCATTGAGCTGAACGGTGTCGACGTCGATCTTCTGAGACTCGTCGTAAACAATCGTCTTTCCAGGTTCAGGGAAACCTGTAACCGCGATGTCGTCAATACTGATCTCCACATTCAAAGCGGATTCCACAGATACCTTCGGGAATGGAGTTGAAGATAGCACGGCCGTTGGTGACTGGAGCCATTGTGAAGCGATTTAATGGGTCTGTGTGGTCAATCGAAAGGGGAGAATATGAGAGAGACAAATCGTAGGTACACGTCCTGGTTTAAATCAATTGCGTCAGGGGCGGTAACGAGAGGCGGAACCGGGTCCATTGGTTCCCGGGTGTCCATATTCACTGATCGCGACTTCTCGAAAGGTCTAGCAAGACTTGTATTCGCAGAGGGTTGGTAAGCTGCAATTCTGCAATACCGGTGAGTAATCAGTCGGAGGAGCGATGACGTGCTTGATATTGGGCCGCATGGTGTTTGGGACGCGATAGATGTGAACACATATGGCCTTCCTCAATTCATTGCCAGGCAAAATGTCAGTGCTATACTCGGTATACAGCGACGGCAGATGGCGGGGGAGTATCCTGAAAGGCCTTTTTCAAGGACGGATACATAGCAACGAAACAACTGGAGCAGACAAACAAAAAGAAAAAGATGGGAGCTTAGCTGTATCTCTCCGTCTGGGAGTCGAACCCAGCTTTCGCGCGGCCATATTGAGATGACAGGCGCGTGTACTAACCGATATACTAACGGAGACTTAAACATACGTATGCACAGCATCTTAAATGCCATCATCGGAGCATCAACCGTACATGCGCTACGGCGTTACTATTGAGCCCACGAGGCACCTACGTCCTTGCTGAATTCATTTGCAGGCAATATATCGCAACAGTATATACACATCGATGGGCCCATCTGATAGTATTACAACATACACCCCTAAGAAGGATATAATCTACAAGTCCACTGGCACCTTCCGGTCATCGTCCCGCTCATTAGGTGACGAACTGCTGTCAGAGGCGCCAACACGGGAGCGCCTACTATGATCGGGGAGCTTGATGGTATGGGAAATATCGTCCATTCGGTGTTCCTCCGTAACCGTGGTCACAACGGGCATATTGCTGTGCCCCGTGCGCTGGTTCTCGACATCATTTTCTCCTCCGTGAAGCCACGAAGGAATCAACGATTTCGAAGGAGGGTTGTGCTCACTGTGAGTAGAGGAGTACCGAGCGGAGTGAGCGCGGATGGCGATGAGAGCGAAGACGATCCCTGGAAGGGGATTGAGCTGGTAGTTTATCAAAGGCAGAGTAGATACTCACCTGTAGTTGGAATCAGACAGTGCTGGATAACGACTTGCCCAGAACTATTCAAAAAGAAAAGAACGATATTGATAGCCATTTGGACGGTATAAAGGAGCGCGCTCTCGACCACAATTCGAACGATGGTAATCATGCTCAGGCCCCCAGAAACGGACACACCAACACGTCGAGTTCGCCTATGGTGCTGCCAAAGCTTGAAAGCAATCATACCGGTTGTAACGACATTCTGAGCGAAATGGAGCGGAAACGTAGTCGACATGATTGGTCGCATGTCTTCAAGCGACCGTGCCGTCGGATTGCCGAACCACCAAAGGTTGACGGAATGGAACGCTATAGACGAATGGTTCGTCAAACGTAGAGACAGGAAAGCGAGCGTACGCACAGATGCTGGCAAGTAGCAGGACCAACGGTAAGAGGATGGCGTAGTAGTTCCTTTGCCAGATGATGAAGCATCGATAGATCTGCATGGAGGTTAATAGATCCTTTGTTTAGGTCACACGAGCAATTTCAAGACTTACCACGAGCGCGTCGCCGATCCATATAACGAGAGCTAGAATAACTGGAAACGAGTACCTCGCCCAATTCGTCGTATTTCGCATGAAATGAACGGGTGATTCGAGGGACGTCTGGTACGCATATCCTTCGATCATGCTGTATATGTTGAAAACTGAAAGCTCCAGAGTAAGTGCTAGCAGAGCGCCTGTTCGTTCCAAGGAATACTCACAGTTGTGTAAAGTGATGAGTACGAACATGACCACGATACCCACGAGGAAGACCCTCGAGGAGAAAGTGTGGAGCGTCCGCTTTCGCAGCATGATGTTGAGCGCCGCGACGAAGAGACAAAAATATATCCCTGGTAGAACTTAGCGTCCCAAAATTCGGTGCAAGCTTATTTCCACGCTCACCGTAGAGCAAGGCCTGCAGAAAAGGCGTTAGCAAACGTCATCAGACAATAAATCCCTGTCCAAAGTATCCATACCTCGGCCCAAAATCCAGTCATATAAACGATTTTGGAGGTAACGAACCCCTCCGGAACCAATGCCTCAGCTTCTTTCCTGCCCATGGTTAGGAACAGCCAAGCTCGCGCAGCGAGTGAGAAAGGCGGGGTGCGGTAGTAACGAAAGACCTCAGAGGCATCGTAGGTCCGCCTCTGGGATAGAAATAGGTTCGTCGGGCGGTTAACGTACGGGGTGATGAAGGTGACTACACTGGTGACGGTGAACGTAATACGTGGGGTGGCAAGTTTCAGGTATTATGGATGGTTAGCTCACATGGCAGAAGGTTACGATATACAGAGTTCGGAGGACTTCTATACCTCGAGACGCGCGTTCGCATGGGTACCCCAGTGTGGCAGAACGAAAGCGAATCAAACTCGAGATGTTGTCGTAGCGATGCAGCTCACTGTCCTTCAAGCTTCGCAAGTTGACATATGAGAGAAGGACAGTCTGAGATGAAAGTCGTCGTCGGAATAGGCACAAGCTGTGAGAGTATCCGACCAAGAAAGAGAGCGCCGCGGTATTTAACGCTCAGCGCCGTGTTTCAGCGATAGATTCCTACCATTCACCGCCGCCGGAACACACGGCCTGCACGACCCACGAGATTCGGACACAACCAACTTTGGATGTGACACGGAAAGTGCTGACCAAGATAGACTATAGTCGCGAGAGTGAGAGCATGGCAACCAGTATTGGATCATGGTCCTGGTGGAGCGTCCGAAATCAAAGGTGTCCGCAAGATCCAAGGAGACACTTTTGCCAGTGGACCATCACCTCGTCGCAGATACTTTGGCGATAGAAAGTAGATTCCATGTGTTTGGTTGACCCATCCATCCCTAACAACCGCCCGAGTGCACCCACCCCACTCAGCGTTCGTAAGGACGCCGCGATGTCGTTGGGGTCAATGAAGTTCAAGCTCTCCCCACCAGGCGGTGCAATTCAAATCCTGCATCATTGATATTATCTGCCAGGGCCGTCAGTCTAGCAAGGTTCAATAAAAGGTTGGCAAGGCGTCTGAATTTAACGACGTAACGACATGGTATTGATTGGGATATGTCCCCTTTCGAGACACGGTGATGAAACCCTTTGTGCCGCAGACCCTCTGTCATCTATGTTCTCTTGAGTCTGGAGAATCTTCGTCGGGGTAAAGCTAGATAGACCGTACATTAAGCATTAGTTCGAGCAGACTTGTGGGTCGAGACTGAAGAGCACAGACCTTGCCAGGGTTAAACAAGTCCAGCGGGTCAATCGCCTTTTTGATCGTCTTCATCAACGCGACAGTACCCTCTCCCAACTCCTCCACTAGGTATTTCTTCTTCCCAAGGCCGACGCCATGCTCCCCGGTGCCTAGTTCACATACCAATCAGTTCGATATCCCAGTAGTAACGGTCATATCGACCACTGGGAACTCACAGGTACCATCAAGCGCAATAGCACGCTTAACCATCCTATCAACTGCGCCTTTCGCTCTCCCAAACTCGTCATCATTCTCGAATAAAATGAGCGCATGGAAGTTTCCATCCCCTACATGGCCTACTATCGTCGATACGAGGCCAACCTGCGCCAGATCTTTCTTCGTCTCGTGAACGAGCTCGGGAAGCCTCGATACTGGGACGCTACAACCAACCCGTCAAAACCAGTCGCACACGAGAGATGGACAGGACATACCAAACGTCCGTCGCAATGCCCTTCGAACCAGGAATAAGCGCCAATCCCGAATAATGCGCATTCTTCCTATCCTGCCAAAGCTCATTCGCTTCCTCCCGGTTCCTCGCCAGCTCGAACCCATTCGCACCATACTTCTTCACCACGCCCTTCACAATCTCAGCCGTCTCCTTCAGAGACCGCTCCGTTGGCCCTTGGAACTTAAAAAACAACGAATCCTTCTCTGCCCATTTCCGCTTTGAGACGCCATAAGTGTTGGTAGCGCGCATGAAGACGTCGTCGACTAGTTCGACACATTGGATTCCAACGCCCCTGTTGAGGATTTCGGCGACTGCTTGTGTGGCGGCTTTGACGTCGGGGAATTGGGCGACGGCTACTGTGGTTGGGAGAACTGGAGCTAATCGGATTGTCACTAGTAATGGTGGGTCAGGGGTAGGTCGCCGGTGAGAGAAGGTAGCCCGACGCACCCTCTGTCACGATTCCCAGGGTTCCTTCAGCTCCGATGAAGAGTTTTGTCAGGTCGAAGCCTGCTGATGACTTTCGGGAGCGTCTTCTCGTTTTTATTACCTCACCCGAAGGAAGGACCACGGTCTACAAGTAAAGTCAGATCATAGGCCCTCGTTCACGAGCCGACGAGTAGCGTACCGCGTTGAGGAACCATTCTCCCTTCGCTGTACCATACCGAACAGCGTTTGCTGGATCCTCGTCAGCGACTAGCCCCGCAGATGAGGCTTGGAACACTTACTCCCGGAGCACCCAGTACTCAGCATACCACCAATAGTCGCCCCTGGAGCTGGATCGATCTGATGCCAAACGTCAGCTCGGCCTTTCCACTGAAAATCGAAGACCACCTACGGGGAAGAATAATGGGATGCCTTTCTCCTTCAACGTCTCGTTTATGTCCATCCATCGAGCAGCTGGTTGACAGACAAGATCCGAGTCCTCAGCTGCGACGAGGTGTAAGAGATAGTTCAAATCATCGCAGAGGGGAGAGGGAGACGCACGATGGATTTTGAGGATACGATCCATGCGGTTCAGGTCGACGCAGATCCCGCCACTAGAGTGCTGCCATCGATCATAAGACTAAATCCATACCCAACAAGAGGTAGGTAACCCACAGCGCGGAAGTGACCTTCTAAGCTGGTAGCTCCGGAATAAGGGATGACTGGCATCTTGAAACGAGTGGCCGTTTTCACGATGAGTACGACATCTTCTGTAGTTTCCGGGTACACCACGACGCTGGGGCTAATCCCTGGGTTCGCAAGGGGTGGGTAATCGAGCGAATATTGAAGAGACGACAACGCACCTGGATGGTAGTCGTTCGCCGAGAAACCATGGCTATCGAGGTCGTCGGGGTTCGTCGAAACCTTGTCTGGTCCTAGGTGAGACGTGAGCTCTTCAATTGCCTTAGCGAAATCTTCGGGGGAGCCGTATTTATTGGAAGAACGAGTCGTTGCGCCCGAGTATTGATTAACGCCCCACCCAATACCTGTACCAATGGCTAGCCCGACAAGCAGGACCTTGGTGACATTGTGTTTCGGCGACCGAGAGGGAGGATGGTTGCGCCATTGACGATCATCTTGGCGAAAGAAAGATTGACTGAAAAGTCTTGAAGGAAGGAGGATAGGCGGAGTGGAGAAACTTCTGGTGGTGTGTATGGATCCTCTGTAGGCGGCTCGACACAAGGACATCCTGACCGGGGGCTAGCTAGGCTTTCAATAGAGTAGTAGAAGGATAAGAATCCAGGAAAAAAGACAAGAAGGCAACGTGTACTCACAGTGTACATATAGAGCACCTTCCTGGGGCGTGCACTTCATAGGATCAAGAGTCCGAGGGGCTCCTCCCCACAGGTTTCGATAACGCCATGATACCTAAGGGCTTACATCCGATCCGTGGGTGAAGGGCATGGACCAGGGTTTTCGAAACGGCAGGTTTGCGGAAAACTGTGGCAATAGAGATTCTTTGAACGAGGCAGGCATTCTTCGCGGCATCGGCTCAGTCCTGGTCGTGGTTGTTCATGAGAGAAGTTTTGTCCAGGATTTGTCGCGTGTTCGCCGCGTGCCCGAGTCGATCAATTCTTTTCTCCGTTTGGAAATTCCGATGTTCTCGGCCCCTGGACGATTCGTGCAGCCAGCTGTTCCGCTTCGTTAACCAACACCCACCACGAAGCCGTCTTGTTAGCTGTCGAAGACGGGGTCAGATGACCAGTCTCTCTCTCTATCACCTTAGCGGTTGCAGAAAAGATTGCTATCATTGTCCACCATGGCGCAATACAATACATTTTCGACGGTATACGCTTTATCATCTCAGTGGAACTGCTGACTGAAACCATTCCTTTCTATCCAGGTCCTGATGTTGTTTCGTAATACGCTCTCTTCTTCAAATAGCGCTTGAAGGCAACACTGGCTCACCCAAGTTCACCAGCCACGATGTCAGCTCTAAACGGATGGCACCCAGGAGAAGAACGCATTCGAGAGAAGCTCGCGTTCGACAAGATCCCCTCTCTCACATACTCGTACACGATGGTAAAGGGAGAAATGCCGGAGCAACACTCGACGTTCTACTCCTCGAACCTCCACTTCCTCCCCGTCGTCACTCTCGACGCCGACAGCCGCCCATGGACCTCGATACTTGCTGGGGAAGGAGGAGAAATCGGGTGGGTCAAGCATCCCCGCTACAACACGCTCAATCTTATCCCCAAAGTCTGGGAAGGCGATCCATTGTGGGAGAATACGAAGCAGGACCGTAGCGGCGGAGAAGATGACTTGCTGATAGCTGGGATTGGCGTCGAAGTCTCTACCCGACGAAGGAACAAGTTCGCTGGGAAGGTGACCGTGCTCGAGAGAGATGAAGCGGCGAGGCGAATGAAGATGGATATCGAAGTTAATCAGGCCATAGGGTGCGTAGCTGTACCCTTTTCTTTGTACCAATCACTAACGCCTAGTCGACAGAAACTGTCCCAAGTATATCGTGCTTCGCTCCGTTGAACCATACCCTGCCTCGAATCCTACAATATCCCTGCAAAATCTCCACGTTGGCCAGTACGAACGCCTCCCAGAAGCGGCTATCTCCTTCATTCACGCCGCAGACACTGTATGGCTGGGAACCGCCTACCTCCCCTCAGCCTCGCCCCAAACCTCCAAATTCCCTCCCCACCTCGGAGTCAACCATCGCGGCGGTCGACCAGGTTTTGTCCGCGTTCGCCCATCCGACGGCCGCACCCTCGTTCTCCCAGACTACTCTGGAAATCGCATCATGACAACGCTCGGCAACATCGAGCACACACCCGTCGCTTCGCTCACCATCGCCGACTTCGAATCCGGGGACGTCCTCTACCTCACTGGACAAGCGAAGAACTTGGTCGGGGAGGAAGCTGAAGACGTTATGCCGTTCCAATCCGTTCTCACCACCATCCATATCACCGGCTTCGTGTTCGTCAAAGATGCGTTACCCATTCGACAGCAACCCCTCGCCGATAAAGGTCCTGAAGGTGTCGAATACAGCCCGTACAGTCCGCCAGTCAGACCTCTCAAGGAGGAACTCGAGGCCCAAGGCCTCAGCCTCTTCGCCTCTTCAGGATCTGACGGGAAGCCCACAGCGCTGCTCAAACGGATCCAGATCGTCTCAGAAAACATCGCCATCTTCACGTTCTCCCCTTCCGTCCCTATCAACCACAAACCCGGTCAATATATCATCCTCGATTGGCGATCCTTCCTTGGTGAGCGGCAGTACCGCCACATGAGCCCAACCAGCCCCACATCTCTGAACGACGATTTCATTCGGACGTGGACGATCTCATCCTTCGCACCCCACGACCCTGATTCGAGTCCTACCAAAGCGAACGACTTCCAGCTTACGATCCGATATCAACCAGGAGGCGCTGTAACAAGCCCTCTCTTCACGATGGCGCGGAAGATCCAACAAACCCGTCCCGAACTCCTCGACGATCTCACCTCTCTAGCCATCAGACCGAGGATCCCAGGAGTATCCGGGGAATTCACACTGGACTTGCCCCGCGAGAACGAGATTCAGTCCGCTGGAGTCGAGGGACCGCGAAAGCTCGTCTGGGCTGCAGGCGGGATTGGCATAACGCCCTTCTTGAGTATGCTCCGTTCCATTGTGCACCATTCCAGGCGTTTCCCAGCAGTCAAATGGGACATTCTATTCCTGCTCTCCACTCGCGAGCCTGAAATCCTGGTACCCCTCGTCATCGACGCGTGCGGCGCCTCCCCCGACGACCTAACGAACGTTACCATCCAACTCCCCGTCTTCTTCACCAAAGGCCCCGATACCCCTGTGGTTCCCGACAACACCCCCTCCTGGCTTTCGATCACCCACCATCCTACCCGCGTGACGCCTGAATGGCTTCGAGGCAGTTCGCTGGACTTTAAGGGGCGGGAACTGTATGTCTGCGGTGCTCCACCGTACGAGAAGACGATCATGGATTCGCTTACTAGCGACGAGGTTGGGATTAGCAAGGACGCTGTGAAGAGCGAATGGTTTGCTTTCTAAATTCCCCGTACTAGATGGTGTATCTTCATATTATAGATATCAAGGTAATAAATCCCCTGTCAAAATCCCCTGTCAACAAAAGAAATGGTCGTGAATTGTTTCAAAGTTCCGCTGATATTCGTCCTGCCTGTTCAGTTCTTCGACTCGTACTCGGCGTCCGACCCTTCAGATTCCTTCGCATCTTTAAACGCTCCTGCCTGGATGTTATACCGCTTCGCATACTCCCCATTCTTGGCCATCCACTCGTCGTGTTTGCCAACTTCAGCCAATTATGCATCTAAAGAAGACATCCCCATTTCAGCGTCCTCCTTTAGGACTAAAAAGGGGAAGGAATACTGACATGGTCATATCCATGCCCGAAGGGATACATGACGAACATTACCGTCTTTCCCTGTTTTTCTCTAAGTAGACGATTGAACAATTGGTGCTCGCCTTCGGCGTCTAACGCGGAACAGGCTGAAACCTTTGGCTGTGGCTATCAGGAGTTTGTAAACGCCGATCTGCTCTTCCTTGGTTACGACGTGCTCGAAGAGAGGGGACTCGGTGGCGTTGCATGGGATTCTTTGAGTCAAGTTGGGGCTCTGGGTCCGTCGAGTCGTTTTGTGCAGGCGTCGTCGCCTTCTCTGAAGGTGGGCTGGGATGCTGGGTATCGGCCATCTTGAATAATAAGAGTCGTAATCAGAGGGCAGTAAAGGTAGTTGCGGGTGTTCCTTTTCTCTTAAGCCCAGTCCAATCCATATATCCCCCAAAATGTCAGATATTGCAGTTATGAGTGTCCAAGATTGATGTTTCGTCCACACTGGACTCCCGGTGAGCGCGATCATTGGACTTAGGGTAAGCGCCCGTGTCAGCCCCTAACTCCAAGTCCGTCACGTGGTTAACACGTGTCGTAAGTCACATGCCCGTCGACACGCAGGCGAAACGGAAAGCTGCTGCTCATCGCCAACAACGACGACGATTAACGCGCCATGACGGCCATAACCAAGAATTTGCCCTGGTTCATCAAGGACCTCGGCGTCGGGATCATCGGAAAGGTGCGCACTCGCTGTCGCTGTCGTCGTGTGCGAGCTGACCGACGTTTGACGACAGGAATGCTACACCTCGCTCGTCGAGGAGCTCAACGTCACCGACGTCCCCTGCCTAAAGTACTCGTTGTCTAAAGGGTTGGGCGTTGGCATCGTTGTCGGCGGGTCCATCGTAAAAGTCCCCCAAATCCTCCTGATTTTGTCGGCTAAAAGCGCACGGGGACTGTCGCTGCCGGCGTACATCCTCGAAACGCTGTCATACGGGATAACCCTAGCCTACGCCACCAGAAACCACTTCCCCTTCTCGACATATGGGGAGAACCTTTTCTTGTCGATCCAGAACGTTATCATAACACTTCTGATCATCTCCTACAACCCAGCAAAGAAGAACAAATCCAACCAGCTGTTGGCGACAGGGCTGACCGCGGCAGCCACCGCCTACGCACTCTCTGCAATCCCAGCTTCAACGCTCACCTTCCTCCAACTCCTTACCCTCCCGCTCTCCCTCCTCTCCAAACTCCCCCAAATCACACAAAACTACCGCGCACAGTCCACTGGGCAGCTCTCCGCATTCGCCGTCCTCTCCCAAGTCGCAGGCTGCCTCGCGAGGCTGTTCACCACCAGCCAAGAAGTCAAAGACCCGCTCGTCGCAGCCGGGTTCTTCCTCGCGCTCCTCCTGAACGTCGTCCTCGGCGCCCAACTCTACATGTACTGGGGTCAATCCGAGAAAGTGCTCACCACCGGCATTTCCGAGAAGGACGGAGGAGATCATTTAAAAGAGCATGGTCTTGGTGGTGGGCCCGGATCAACCCCCGCCAAGGGAACCAGTACCGCTACGACCCACTCCGCAACCGAGGCCATAAGAGAACGAAGAGCATCGCCGCCCTCGTTTAGCCAGCCTTCGCCCAGGCTTGCTTCCCCCGCCCCCTCGCCGATTGGCCTTGGAAGGGTGTCGAACCCGCCTTCGCGCCAGGGTACACCTGTTGGTGGACGGAAGTGGTCGAGGAAGGTCGATTAGACTATGACCTTGGGTCTTTTGGACGTTGTAAAGTATCATACCTGTACTCGTTAATTGGGTCTTTATTTATCGATGGAGCTTTACCTGTAGGTTGTGGTGTGTTTCTCTAGGCCGTCCCTTCAATTGGGTTCTCCGGTGATTTTGTATCCTCGAGTTGGGTTGCTCTCCTGCGTTGGTTTGCGATTGGCTTAGTTTGAACCGGATGGCTTCGCCCTTGTTCTGCCGAATCTGATCCGCCTTCAACCAACAAGAACACCTCGTGCGCCTACCATGTAGACACCTCCCCATCAACCCTGCTTCCACTCCCCACCCTGTTCACTCGCCATCTATATCCAATTTCCAAAGCATCTGGACCAATCGGTACTCGATATCTGAGCTCAATCGTTAATTGCGACAAGGACTACGCGATATGCCGTTTCGACTGAATTTGCCTTCTAGATGCGAGTCTATTGGACTTCTCGGCGCACCCAAGCACTCAATGGCTCAGGCCTCAGGTTTGGATTGGATCGTGGACTGGATGGCGATCGATCTGACACACCTCACAAAAAATACGTAAGCCAGACCTGTGGAGTGTGTTCTGGGCGGACTGGTGTCCTGTCTCAGAGTTTGCCGTCCTCGTTCTCCCTCTCTCTCTGTGGTCCTCCCGTTGGCACTCTCCATCCTTGGGGCCCTATCCCTCGTCCTCTCCTTCATAAATTTGGATCTGGTTTTGTTTTTCCCTCGTCTTCGACTCCCTCTCCTAAAACTATAGCGAATGAGCTAAACCGACCTCCTTCCTACGCATGACGCTCATACACCACCAAGTCTCCCTCCAACTCACCGACTGCGTCCCACTGCCCATTGTTTCTGGATACGTCCTAGACGGGGTTCGGAACCACGAACTAAATCCCCGCCCAAATTCACGTCGCTACCTCACCTAAGACAATATGTCTGCTCAACTGAACCTCTCGTACGTCCCTCTCCTATCTATCACCCATCTGCCCTCACCACCCCTCGCCAACGACCACCTCCAACCTTCCTGCTAACGGACATTACCTCTTCCTCTGCAAACAGGTTCATTCTAATAGGCTCCTACCTAACCGTCGGCATCTTCGCGCTCGAAACCGCCATGCTCACAAGCTACCTCCACTGCAAGCGCACCAAATCCGATCCCCGCTACATCAAGTACGCCGTCCTGTTCGTGTATACGATAGACGTCGTCGGTTTGGTTGGCGGGTGTGCCTTGGTCTACGTTGTGCGTTGTCTTCCTTACTCCTCTCAAGTCTGAGAGCGTGTTTGGCTGAATTGGTTTCGATGGTTGGGATTGCGTTTTTGTAGTATACGTTTAGTAATTGGGGTACGTCTGATCCATTCTCGCCTTTCTCGCTCTATTGTCGCCTTTACCAACCCCCGTTTATGTGGTCGTTGTGTAGGCGATGCGACGAGTGAAGACGGTGTCTTACATTGGCCCTTCCCCATCACGGCCATCACCACAGCTCTCAACGCCATCGTGGTGCAGTGTTTCATGATAGGGCGGTACTGGAAATTGTACGTCCTTGTTTTATTCCACGCCTCTCACCCAGAGCCACCGTTGACGACGATACCTACTACCCCAGCTCGCGCATGAAGATCATCACCGCCATCCTTCTCGCACTAGCGTTCTCCTCTGTGAGTCCATCCATCCCATCCTGTGTGCGATAACCCCTTTTTGCTTACGTCTACAAATAACAGCTCTTCGCGACTATAAGCGCCCTCGTCCTCTCCTTTGTATACAAGCGCCTCGACCAGAGCACGAAACATATCGCTGCTGTGCTGTACGTCCACCTTCTACCGTCTGCCGTCTACCTTCTACCGTCTATCGTCCACCGTCTACCATCCGTCGTCCAAGCCACGGTCACGGTAGTCCCAAATCCCAATCCCCAAACTGACCTGTTGTTCTCGATTATCGATAGGGTGAGCATGATACTCGCCGTCGCCACCGACATCTCCATCGCCGGATGCCTCATCCACAAGCTTTGGAATGCGCGGATTCACTCACGCGAGACGAGGAGGTTCGTCTTCTTCGTCACTCACTCTTCGGTTACGTTTTGAATCTGTGCTTATTGTTTTCTTTCATTTTAATACCCCATGATATGCCGCCTGCCATGCTATAACCCCCATTGCCTGCCTTTCTTCTGGGCATTCGATAGCTTGGTCAAACGAATAACGACGCTGGCCATAACCGCGGGCTGCGCCCCGGCTGTCAACTCTATCGCGGTCCTGATCGGAATCGCTGCGTTTCCCGACTCACTCAGTACGTCCCAGTCCCTTCTCCCCCGTCCTCTTACTCCCACCCAACCAGTTTGAACTCGCCATAAAATCCTTATACTGACGCTGTGGCGTGGCGCTACGTGTAGTATCAACAAGCTTCTCCCTCCCCCTGGGCAGCATCTACGCCTGCACGATGATTTACACGCTCAACCGTCGACAAGCCATACGCGGGCATGGGCATGGGGACTCTGGGACTGTTCAGGAGCCGGTTTTTGGTACGTGAGTCGTGGCATGTTACGTCACTCCTCCCTTTTTCTATTCCTATTTCTATGAAAACTGACGAACGACGACCACCCCCTAGAAGACACAACCTCCCCCCGCAACCGCCGCCGATCTACTACGACGACGTTCGAGAGTATGACCTTCTCTCCCTCTCCACAGTCGCGAGTCTCGTCGCACGCAGACGCGGACGCAGGAAGCGCGCTGGTCGATATGCGTGCTGGGCTTGGCGATACCCGCGCTGGGCCGGGTCCTAGATCGTACAGCAACTCAACGAGTTCGAGTAGGACGCTCGCTTTGCATCATCATGGTGGAGATCTAGAGGACGGTGGTGGGCGTGTTTCGCCCCGTTCGTTCGAGGGGAAGCCGTCCATAGCTAAACTGTCGTCAGCTAAACCATCGTCACCAGCTAAACCATCGTCACCAGCTAAACCATCGTCACCAGCTAAACCATCGTCATCGATATCATCTCATTGGGAGGGACATTCTGGTGGGGAGGGACATGACGGATACCCCGAGAAACCGCCTGCTACGTTTAAGTTTCCCCGTTCGAAGTCGAGTTAGCCTTGGGCTGTAATGTTGTACTTATCCATGTATCATCTCCATGGATCGCGCCCGCTCAGACCTTTGATGAGAATGCTATGGCATGTAACTTCTTGGTTCGACAAGTAACAAAAATTCTAAAAAGCCGTTCATTCTCAGTATACTAAGTTTTCTTTTATGTTGAAAAGACGCCCCAAATATCCAAAGGAGGAAGTGCCTATTCAAATGCTGTGCAAGCGCTTATCACAGGCCGTCTGTTTCGGATAGAGCCTGGTGTTGTATGCCTTCTACGTAAAAGCGTCGACATGAGGGGCCATCGACCATCATCAGTGCCTATCTCCCTCTTATACACATCCAGTTTTTCGTTGAATCTCGTGAGCACTCGCAATAGGCCCTACCGCAACTGGTACCAATTCGGATTATAGGAAGATCATGATCTAACTGTCGAGGCGATGTAACTGTCCAGGCCGAGTCTTCTATCCCAGAGCGCTGAGCGTCTCCCCCATGTTCGCAAAGAAACACCCTTAAATCCGTGCACCATGTTGAAGTAAACCGCAAAGTGAAGCCTTTGCCCAAAAAAGACACGCACGAACCAAAGGCAATATGTAGTGCATGTTTGCGTCACACAACTGCACCACGCGAGTTTCAGGTAAGATCTTCTATCACTATGTGCGTACTGCTTTGAAACACTTTGCTATCTACACTTCCCATGCAGAGTGACAAGGCAACAGCGTCCCTTGTGGCCATAATGTGGCTACCTGGCCCTTGATGCGGGTATCCCTCGACGATCGATTAGCTGATGATTGATCGTCCCTTTCCCTTTCTGGCTGCTCGGCCTTTCGCCCAAGAGTGGTTTCATCCTTTCCCTTACGTTGAAAATTACGCCTTTCCCAAATGCTGCCACCAACATCAGCGAATCCATGGTTCTGAACCGGTTTCGAAGATTCGTCCGCCGACTGGGATGTGTTTGATCGTCCAAGAACTCCCCATACTAAAGCACTCCACTCAATTTTGAACTGGCGAGAACTTTGTCTAAAGGTCGAGGAATACACATAGCGGCGTGAGAGGGGACCACAAGGCTGTGTAGATGCCATTCGGACTACACAGTTGCTCAACTGACCTCGCACGGTTGCTTCCTGAACGCCGATTAAAAGCTGAATACCCCATTCTGTTTGATGTGGACGCCTCTACCCCTGGATTCTGGGAATCCATAACCGCGGTCATGCTGGAAAATATCACCGTTAATGGACATTTTGAGGTTACTTATTGCGAACTGGCAACGCCGCGCAGGACCAAGCCATCCCCCGCCCCCCTCCGTCCGTTCTCGAAGAGATCTTGTCTACCGTGGCGGTCGACTAGACCAGGAAGCAGACGCTAATCGCCCCCCACCCTTCAACTGAATCGCGCATGGCAGGATGTCGACAGCATCGGACGACTTTGAATTCTCGGACAAGACGATAGGCGCACTTCAAATCGACACACTCTTTTCAGCGTTCCTATTCGGCGTCGTCACCCTCCAGTTGGTCAAGTACTATCAAAACTTCAAAGAGGATAAACTGTACCTAAAGATACTGGCTTCGGCGATCTGGTACGTCTCTTTGTTCATCCTCCAGTCAGTCGTGTCTGACGCACCGGCCAGGGTACTCGAGTTGGCACACACTTTCTGCATCGCGGCGGAGGTCTACAAAGCCACCATCACCAACTATGGAAAACCAGAAAATCTGTTCCCGTTCAAATTCATTGGCGCTTCGACGGCGACTGGGGGGGCTTTAACCTTCGTGGCCCACGTATGTGTTTTTGTCCATTCTGAACCACTCTATCTGACGCTCTGGCTTCTGCCATTGGACATGCCCCTCGTCGACTGATTCTATTCGACCTTGCCGCGGCAGACGTTCTTTTCTTTCCGAGTATGGCGCCTCCTACCCAGGCGGTGGAACATGATAGGCGCTGTTTGCCTGATTGTCGCTACCATTCGCTTCGTTGCATCGGTCATCCTTGCGGTAAAGGCAATTGAAGCAAAAATTGTGCAGGAATATCGAAGCCAGTGGGGATGGCTGATCATGACCGTCTTGGTGGTTGGAGCGATGATCGATATCGCCATCGCGGGATCAATGTTGCATTGGTTGCATAGACAGAGGGAGAAGGTCTTTAAGAGGTGAGCCTCGCTTCTATGTCTGTCTGGAGGTATACTAAACGCATGTATCAGAACGGTAGATCTAATTGATAGGATCGTGCAGTACACCGTCTGTGAGATGGCTCATTCCTACCTGTTGTTCTGCCTGGCGCTTAACTGTCTCCCCCTGCAGGTACAGCGCTCCTTCCTAGTGTAACCGCTATCATCATGGTCATCGCAGTAAGTTATAAAGCCATACTACCCTGAGTGTCGGAACTCGCTCAACCCTCTCGTTCAAGTTCAATGCGGACACCGGTGCCAGTGCGTTCCCTCAATCTATGTAACCCGCCGCACTGGCTAACCCAGCCTTTCTTCCAGTGATCTGGCTCGCCATTTATGCATCCCTCGCAAAGTGTAGGTCTTCTCACATTTCTCGTTGATGTATATATGTCTCATCTCCAATCGATTCAGTTTACTCTAACAGTATTCTCGCATCGTAAGCGCTACTAATTCAGAATTGGTGCCTTCCAAGTTCTAACGACATTAATCTCAGCCTCAACTCGCGAAAGACCTTGAGGTCGACGTTCTCGCAACCTCCATCATCCCTCGAGCCCTCGTCGGGAGTTAGCCGCGCAACTCCTCGAGGCCAGATGGTCATCGCTGTCGAAATGAACTCCGTTGCACAAGATGGAGCAGAGCTTCCGGGGGACACATCGGTTAGTGTCGACTCGGTTTATTCGATACCCTTGCATGCTTACGTGTCTTCTATCAGAGGGGACCTGAGAAGTCCCCGATATTTGATGGGAGCCATCCGAACTCTTCCCTTGCAACACCAAAGAGCGGGTGGTCCGACACTCACAAAATGGTCTGAAAGGTGCTTCGCGGCTGGCACAATTTGTACAGTAATTCCACTCTTGTATCATTACTACTTTGTTTCCATTCAATTTCCTGTGTTTCTTCGCGCTCATCTTGCGTCAGTCGCGTCGAGTGGAGCAGACTAGCGCGGATCTTCGTCAGACAGGCGCTCCTCGCATTCACCGTGGGTAGTTAGAGTCGCAGGGTCGGTTCCTGTGAGCCGATGCCCGACTGGTCCATTGTCAAATGCGATAGGCATTGAGAAGCTCGGAACTGTCTCTTCATGTACCATCCATGAACGGCCGGTCGTCACTCGAAAGATGATCAATTGCGGCGAAAGAGCCTTATCAAATATGTACGCACAATAAGAAGAGGATAATGAGCGTCGATCAGAAAGGAAAGGACTTACCGCGACAGTAAAGTAGAGCTTGTCGACGAAGACACCAAAGATGGTGAGCCGGAACCAGGTGTCAACACTAACAAGAGGAGACCTGGCTTCGGTAATTCGGATATCGAAGACTTCGATGGCAGCACGAGCCACCCCACAGACAGCAAGTGGAACAGCGGAGTCGACGACAATGGATATAACACCTCTATAAGGCTTGAACCTCCACGAAGGCAGTGATTTAGCGAGTCGTCGATTGGTTAGAAGGAGACGGGAAACTCGGATGGCAATGGTGACAATGACGTTGAACGCGACGCTCGAGAAAATAAATGCGGCGTGAAGTGCAGCGGCGTCGGCGTCATCGTCAATGATTTTGACAAGATGGGCGACGAGTATTGCTAGAAGGCAAAAGCACAGAGGGTTACCATCCACTCTTGAGTCTTTTGAACGTTTCCAGAGACTACAATGTCTGGCCCTCCAGACCTCGAACCATTTGTACTCCACGACCCATCCGGCCAGGTGGTCCATTTGTCGAAATTCCAAGCCAGTAGGTTGTGGTTGCGTGGCGGTTGAAGTCGTCTCTTCCGGTTTCGGCCCTCTATACCATCTCTACTGGTACGTCTGCAGTGTTTTGAGGTTTGTCGTGTCTAAGCTCAGCCAAGGCGTTCAGTTCGCCATGGTTCTCTGTTTTTCCTCGGCTCTGGGTGTCTTATTTCTGTCCTATTCGCGGTCGCTACTGGACTCCATGCCAGCGTACAGTACCGACTCTTTCACACACTATCCAAGTTCCATTCGGATATGAGCCATTTGTATGACGATCATATGAGCCTTGTTGCCTTTGGGAGAGATCCAAGGACCATCGCCTCAAGGGCTCTGTTTGACCTATGCATCGTCATCTCCAACCATATATTAGTGGGTTATCTCGTATTTTGTTGCGCCGAATATCTTAACTGAGATTTGCTAGATACAACGGAACCATGTGCGCCGTGACAACTGCTCGAGATTGGTGTCAGTATCAATGACGATGGCAGAGCTGGGCTCTTTAGGTGTGTACCGTATGCACCGAAAATCATCGATCTGAACGACTGACAATTGGAATTTGGTACAGGCGTCCTCATTAGCCACGTCGTGTACTGGGGATGGACAAGGTCTTTCAATCGACATATCCACCTCTCCTTCATCTCCATTGTTCTGGGTATACACATTGCGCTCTCTGGGCTGATTGCCGCACGGCACCATGGGACTAAAGAGTCTCGCGCACCATCGACATCCCTTCAAACTATCTACAAGTCCACTATCCCCTTGACCGTGGTTGCCTCCACCCGACTGGCCATCGTCATCTATGTAGAGTCTCTCTTTCCAGCTACCGATGTCGAGGTGTGGTCCAGAGCTGTGGTCACAGACGCAGTCGTCTCGTCTCTTCATTACTGTTGCTCGGTGGGTTCTTCGCTGATGCGCTAACAGCAAGCTTGACTGAGACGTTCATGTAGGCCTTGACTGCTCAGATTGCAATCTTCGGAGTTTCTATGAGGAGGGGAGTGTTTCGGACCGCCACGAGGGGTGCTTGAGCCTTGTAGGAAGGTATTGTGATTCCGTAAATGCTTCGCCGCTGGTTGACAGACCCAATGGAGGTCACGAAGTATGCATCTCGGAATACCTTCTTACATATGGACTTGGAGGTCGTGAAAAGCCACGCCGACAAGGAAATGAAGCAAAGCTCCTCTGGACCTTGTGATGATAACACACGCAAACAAGGCGACTGAGGCGGGTGTGTACTCCTAGGCTCGCTACCAGCCGGTACACACGTGACCACATCAGGGTCAACTCCGTGTACCGGCTGGGAGTCACCAAGCCCATTTTGGCGTGTCACGCTTGTCACACTCTGACTTAGCGAAAACTCGATGAAAACGCGCGCGCGGTTAATTAGCCTATGGTACACTACGGTAATTTCCTCCTCACTCCACCCTTCCTCCTCGCCATCTGTAGTATCGTATAGTTGAAAATTATCAGAACCATCGCCTGAATGACTGTAACTGTCAGAATGTGAATGGTCACGCTCGGGAGTCGGTAGGGATGGTCAAGGGGTTTTAAAACCCCCGGGGTAGAGGCCAAGGGTAGAGCGGGGGTAGGGGTAAGGGTAGGTCTCCGGCTGACTCCTATGGCCAAACCCCTACCCCCGGTCGGGGGTAAGGGTTTTAATAAAAATCAATCAAAACCCATTTATTTCAGCATCTATGTATATTTTCTACTAAATAACTGCTGTATGCGCAATAAAACACATAAAAATATACATATAGACAACTGTAAGTAATTGTTCATGCCAAAATGATTAAAACCCTTGGTCAAAACCCTCAGGGTTGGGGGGTAAGGGTACTACCCCTACCCCTCAGTCAGGGGTAGGGGTTTTGGGGGGTGGGGGATAAGGGGTAGGTGTCCGGCTACCCAGGGGTTACCCCTGTCCTTCCCTAGGAGTCGGGCTCTCGCACACCCACAACCTCACCTCCAGCCCGGGCCATCCCATCCACCCCCTCCAGTCCAAGGATGGCACACAGGCCATTGGCTGATATACTATGTTCCTCCCCCTCCTCCCCACATGATATACCCTTATCCCTATCCTTTCTATTATCCCCGGCCACCTCCAAACGGACATGTCCCTTCCTCCTCGTCCCCTACCTCGTTTACACCCCCGGCAAACCCAAGTTGAAATTGTTGAGAAAATTGTATTTTTTAGAGTAGTGTTCAATCGATTTATTTACTCGAACTAATGCTATAGACAATGGCTCTGAAGATATGAATTTTGGAGTGAATTTGAGGACCGAGGAAGGAGGGAGGAGTGTCGTCGAGCGAAATTTCGCTAAGTCGATGTCACGCTCGGGGGGTCCCTGCTAAAGGTGCCTTGGTTGTCCCAGTCGTTACGCTGCGCTCCACTTGTTTGTGCTGGCCATCAACCGGCATCGACCAAATACGGTACAAACATAACACAAACAGAGTGGGGCAAGGCGTAACGACTGGTCGCGAGTCTAGTGTACTCCGCAGTAACCGATCCAGACCTTGCATTCTGCCGCAACGACTTTGGCGCACTAACTCTACCCTTTGCTCCTGTCAGGGGGAGAGCGCACGACTCGGGGGCATGGGGTCAAAACAAGGCAAGCAAATGTTTAGATGCTGTGCAAGCGCTTACTACCGGCACCTATTTTGGAAAGGGCCTGGGGTTGGGTGGGTGTAGCCCTCCAACGCCCAACTTATCAGTGAAAGGAACTTCGCAATCTTTCATCGGAATTACAGGGCTACTCCAACTCAACAGACCCCATATGTGTGTCCAAAGCGTGTCTACCACCTCCATTCTGACCCAAGTGATGAGTTCAATTTTTTTGGGACGTTGAAAGAGGATATTAGACCGCATTTCCTTCCTAGAAGTGTCCCAACTACGATATCGGAACGACAGTGAGCCCCATGAAACATTCAAGAAAAGCAGATAATTTCAGTATGTCGGACATCAGACATCAGAGGATGGGTTCTGCAAGTAGAATTGAGCATGGCTGTGAGTAGCCGGTTCGTTTTCTGCTTTCTGAAAGCAGGCCAATGCTGCACCCATCAGTATCCCTGTTCAACACAACGCAGCCTCATACAAGGGAGCTACATGGAAGTTCTATAGTGGGACACAACCCCAGGTGGAAGGCGTCGAGGTTTTGTTTTATCTGTGCGCTTATTTCGCATCTGTTGCAAAGACCGCGACTGAGAGATTAGTTCCTGTTCCTTTTCCTTATATCTCTCTGTCGCCAGCCTGGTATCTATAAAACATGAGCACGCGGGATTCCCGAGGTGAAGCTCGCATCGCGTCGAATTGACGCGAACAGTGTCCGGACTGATATCGATGTTGCCCTTGAGGTGCTTCTCCACTGTCGTTCCTGGTTCATGTATGCGAATATTCCTCGAACTATAAAGACGTAGCGTCCGTAATGGCGGCATAGAGTCCAAAGCGACTAGTTCGTGGGCGATCGGTCTACCTACGCGTGCCCTCAATTGATTCACAATACATACCAAAGAGGACCGACGATCCCAAATCATATGTGAGTCATGCGCCTCCACCAGCGCTGCTTCCAAGTGACCACGACTTCATTCATCAATGACCCTTGGCGACCGAGCAAGCAACGAACAACTCTCCACCAAGCCACAAACGTCCCTCATCATCTTCCAGGAACCTCGACATTCATTCAGGCTAGTACAAAGGAGGATGCCTTTGGAGGTCCGCCGACGCCTCAGACTTCATTCTATCGAATCCAGGCCCGTGTTTCGAATCCCATTTAGAATGGATAAAAATATCCATCACGCACTGAGAGATTCCCCCGCCGAATGCTGACGGTTCTCTATTCACCCTACATGGAATGAATGAGCAAACCCCAACAAACGCCGGGAAAGGTTCCAGAATCCCAACGAGATGAGGTCACATCCGGACTGGCAAGGGAGAAACTTTCTCGTTCAGGATCTTTTATGTACCCGGAGTACGACGGCTATCCAAGCTGACTGACGCCTCTCCGAAGGTAAGGAAACACGTACGAAACTTGGACACCAAATGTCATGCAACAGAACTTGTGTCGGGCGGTAGAAGTAAGCACGCAGAACACAGCTAACGAAAGGGAACGACTAAATAGCCGGCCATCGTACTCATCAGGGCAGTGACATGATGCTGGGAACCCAAAGCAACGAAGAACAGGCAAGGGCCGCCATCTTCGTGAAATCCGTGCCTGATTACCTGAATCTTGGGACCACCTGAGAAAAAAACCTAAACAGGTGCCTGCCAGTGCCACCGCCTCGAGCCCGGTTGCGCTGCTGAGAGATAAACAACGTAACACAAAAGATAGGGTATAAAATGAACGAGGCATGTTATTCGTCGGAGAGGGAAAATTCGAGTTGCAGCGAAACTCAGTTTGACGTCGACGTCGACCGTCTCCACCCGGGCATCCTTTCTCTCACACCTACCACCACCACTCCCACTCGTTCACTTGAGTACTCGGTACCCAGCCCACTCGTCCAACCATGAAATTCTTCGCCGTCGTCGTTCTCGCTCTCGCAACCGCCGTCATGGCTGCTCCCACTCCTCTCGATAACTCGTCAGTCCCTGTATTTCACCCGCCTCGAAATTAACTAACGACTCTTTCTCACTTTCAGGAACCTCGTCGGTCGTGAAGCTGCAGTTGAAGCTCGAGAGGCCCTCCCAGTCCGTCCCTAACCTTCCCACTCCTGATTAACCGATGCTGACTTTCCTGCCCTTTTCACCACCCTTGACGACACTCGCACCACAGTGCCGAGCCCCGTAAGTCTCCTTTATTCTTCCTCTACCACTGCGTCCAATGCTAACTGACTGTAGCAGAGGCCCTCCTTGCTGGTAAGACGTGGTTGAGGCTTAGAAGCCTGATGGCGAAGCCCAACCCGTCTCGGACAATAGACTCAAGCACCATGTGCTCCACCCCCATCCCTGGATCTTCAAACGTCAACATTGCCTCCCTAGCCGAATCCAACGTGTTTCCTCCCCTGTAGTAGTACAAGCATCCCATCTAATATTGAACGCCTCGCCCGAACTATCTTTATCTCTGTTATCGGCCTGTGTGAGAGTGCCCAGAGAATGACGACCGTCAGTTGACCGTCAGCGACGCGTCATGGGTCTGTAAGTTTGGGCGCTCTAGAAACTGAAGTACCCCGAAAGGATCGTACTTGCCCCAGTATTGGTATAGCATTGCAAAACTCAACATTCACGCTTGTGCGCCCACAGAACTACGTCAAACGATGTCGTCTTTGTTTGGTTTGCGTGACCAGGAGCGCAACGACCGTGTACCTCCTGTCGTAAACTTGTGGGCACACCAGCTCGACAACCTTGTCGCTGCTCCACGGGCCACCCACTACGTATTTAGGCTACTGGCCAATATGTATCTCTCCATCTCTCCCTCCGAATGGCGAGGCTAGTGCACCTTCAGTCTGGACAGATACTTGATAGCCCCTGACCTCATCACTCCTACTAACGAAGAGTCGATGGCTTCTGATCCTCCCAAATTCTTCTCAAGGAACGATCACGAACACCCCATTAAGCTCTTACTTCGGAACCTACACGTCGCTTCCAATGTAAAGGGGGGATAAACCATGGATAAATGTTAACAGACACCAACTTGTACTAACCTTTGTACATCCCTTTTCTGTCGATATTCTTCCCTTCTCCCGGCCCGTTCATGATGTCGTAAGTACCTGGCCTTGAAGGCGGTCAGCTATTCCGTTCCGGTTCAGTAATTGAGGGTCGGGGAGAAAGCTGAGAGGGTCTTGACTTTGAGGGTGCGAATTGGTTCCCTAGAGGATGAATTTCCGAGGGAGGAACGTTGGGCTGTACCGACGTTCCCTCGATGTCACTTTCTGCTAGCGGAACGAGACGAAAGTGTACTCGATGGAATGCGTAAAAAGAAAAAGACGAGACAGTACCCCAATTTCAGGAAGAAATGTTCAAGCACGACTTGGGGTTAATCTGCTAAATTCACAGGTTGCGACCACTCCGGTCAAGTATACGAATTCACTCACGACAGCGCTCCTCGATATCCTTCTAGTTGTAGGATGGACTTCCCGGCTCCCATATCGCATGTCTTCAGGGACCACCCTCACACGCTCTCAAAGACATGCAGTTCGGGCAGGCTTGAAAGTTGCGCGCTCCCACAGAGAAAGCCCAAGTCGGGTTGGAACGCCGTAGTAGTAGCGTCTGGGGACGAGAGTAACAAAAGTGGTGCATAACCCCGACGTTCCCTCGATGTCACTTCAGGGTCCTCTCCCAAGGGCCCAAAGGAAAATACCACTACCAAAGGTTCCTTTCATCGCTTTCATCGGCCACGGGAAGAACTGTTCAAGCAGGTAATAGGAGTATAGTAGGACTTCGGGACTCGGTGGCCCTTTCGTCTGATCCGTTAGGAACGAGATACCTATCACCATGTAGCAGTACTAATCAATCTTCTACTATCCGGTGAGGGAGAGATCCTCACTCAAAATCCTCGGATCGCACAGAGGACGACAATAATCCTCACAGCGTGACCAACTCCCCGAACCTTCAGCCTCTCCAAGGGCTGACCGAGAAGAAGAGTCGATATCCAAACTCCTTCCTGACAATACATCCCACCCTCCGCCCAAGAGAAAGAAGAGAGATCGTCACGAGACTCGAGGAATAACTCGAAATACTATCTCCAGACATTCCGCCCTTAGACTTAACAGAACTCCCAGGTGCATGTCACCTTGAAGTTCGCCGGACGCCGGACAAAGGGGCGCCCAGATGAACGAGTCGTCGATATCCAGCGCTTACCGAATCCCGCATCCCAAGTCCGACCCCTACACTCTTCTTCCCACTTTCGCGGTTCCAGTTGCCGAACGACACTCCAGAAGAGAGAGTTCGGACGAGCCCGAGCCCTGAACTTTTCACACAGAAGAAAGAAAAGAAAAACACTCCATTGGACCCGTTCACTCTCTAAACCGAACGTACCCTTAGTACACAGATGAATCCAGCCTCCACGGAGGGTCGGAGACGCATGACAAGACATGGACTCCCCTCATTGCATCTCCATTCAAAAGTTATATTTACTCAATCGAAAAAAAGTAATAATCCTCCCGCGTTTTCTTCCATTCGTCGACGTTGTAAGAACGCGACGTCTTAGGGTTAGGGTTAACCGAAACGAGGGTCTAAGGGGATGATGACAAGTCATGCGAACCATGCACTTCTACCAAAACCGTGAGCTTTTCTTCTACTCGAACCGTGTACTTTCTTTCTTCTAAACGAACCGTGCACCTACTACCCACTGTCCTTTACATAGTACAAGTACCTTGCACTTACTTCTACCCAAATCGTGAACTTTCATCCTCCCAATGAGCAACCATGCACGAAAAGAGACGCCCTCAGGCTCCTCAATCTCAATCCAACACCCTCAATAAAAAGTTTCTTTCCTTAAAAAAACACATTAAGAAAGTAAATACAACAACAAAAAAACGCAAGCGATAACGTCTCGAACCAGCCAACACCGCTCCACTAAAATACGTGGATTAGCCAACACCGATCTACAAACATTCTCAGATTCACCACCACGACAATCTCTCGAGCCAACGTCTGGAGGCTACTCGGTAGTAGTAGTTCGACAACGTCCACCCACGACAGTAGAGTCCATCGTAGCTAGAATCCACCATAGCGTCGTGTCGCATCACCGCTACAGGTGGCGGCCCTGACGGCTGACACACACCATCGTCCATCGTCCGTCCTTGTCCTCTCCACCATCATCCATCCTGCTCTAACCCAGCTCCTCTAACCCAGCTCCTTTAACTCAACCTCTAATCCTTTACCCCACCCCTCACTACATCCCCCCAACACCACCCAACCCCCCCTCCAAAACATCCGCAACCATCTCCAAAACCTCCTCCACACTCTTCCCCACATTCCGATCATCCTTCGCCACAGCCTGCCATACAGGCCCGTACCTTGGTTCAGCAGCCGCACACGCCGCACGGAGGGTGGCACGGTGTTCCTGTCAAAAGAGGAAGGTTGGTTAGTATGTATGCGGAGACGAGGTATACATATGAGGAGAAATGAAAGATAGCGTTAAAAGACGACGAAAGCGTACGCAAAAAGAAATATGAAAAAGCGGGTAAAAAAAAAAAAAAAAAACGAGAGAGGGTACGCAGAGAAAGCAAAAAAAAAAACCCAGCGCGTAGCAAGCAAAAAACCCCCAAACCCCCAAACCCAAAAAACTCACCTCACTCCCAAACCTCCTCTCAAAAACCAATCCCCAAGCCCACCCATCACCCCAGCTCTCACCCCCACCAGCTCTCCTCACTCTAACAAACCACTCCCGCGCCTTCTCAACCTTCCTCTCACTCCAAAACAACCTAGCAACAGCACACACAACATTCTTATCATCACCCGTCTTCTTCAGCGCATCCACACTCTTCGATTTACGCTGCGGACGCGCTTCAGAAAAGATCGCGAGGGACCATAAAAGTCCGGATGAAGGCTGGTCTTGGAGTGCACGGGCGAGCATCGATTTAGCTTGAGGCGTCGAGATGGGTGGTAGGGACGAAAGATTCAACGCAAAACTCAACGGCGTAAGCTTCCCCTTCTCCCTCACAGAAGACGCGGTAGCAGCCCGCTCCTCAACAAGCACACTCTCCGCCCACACCCACTCCGCACTATTACCCCCCTTGGCCCCACTCTCATCCTCATCCTCCTCCTCTTCCCCATCCAACCCAACCTTCCTCCGCCTCCTCGACTCAACCACAACCTTCTTATCCGCAAACACCAACCGCGCCTTCTCCAACACCGCTCTCGCTTTAATACTCTTCCCATCCACCTCTTCCAGACGACTAGCCGCTATCCACAACCTCGCATCCCTAGGACACGCCTTAAGACCGGCGGAGAGCGAACCGCGCGCTGCGGGGATGTTATTCTTGAGGAGGTAGATTTGGGATTGGATGAGGTACGATTTCGGGGATTTAGGGAATTTTTGGAGGGCCGTGTTGATCGTTTCGAGTGCCGTATCGAGTTGGTTCTGGCGTCTCTCAAATACCGCCGACTTCATCCAAATCTGTACGTCCGACACGCGTCAGCATCAGGATCTATCCGATACCACCAAAAAAAAAAAAAAAATCGCAATGGAATAGAGACACCCACCCTCTCAGTATCAGCAACACTCCTCGCCCTCACCAACAACTCCCTCGCAGCTCCCAACTCGCCATTCTCAGCTTCAAGTTTCACAGCCGCCAACCAAATCGCCTCACTCTCTTTGTTGGCCACAAACGCCCTATCGAGAATCTCACGCGCACCATCCACATCACCCGCGTTCCATTTCTCTTTGGCGGCCATGAGCCAGAGGACTTCGGCTTGTGGACAGTGTTGGACAGCGCGGGAGAGGATGGCGTCGAGGCTTTCGCTGTTCAGGGAGGTGATTAGTTTCGTGCGATTTTATAGTTAGGGAAGAACGTACCGAGTCCCATGCGCCTTCTCCAAATCCACAGCCTGCCTCCATAACCTCCTCCTATCCGGGTACACACGAAGCGCATACGCCAAAATCGCACGCGCAGTCCCAACTTTACCACGCGCCTCACACGACTCGGCATCCGCCATCCACAAATCCAGGCGTTCGTCGTCATCTTCGTCTAAAGGAGTAGATATATACAGTCAGTCTCAGCGTTAAACACAAAGGAAAAAGGAAACCCACCGCCCCCACCTTCCCCAACCATCCCAACAGTAGCCTTCACAATCGCCTCACACGTCCTCAAACTCCCATCCTCCTCACACTTTTCAGCCTCCTTCAACCACTGCTCACGCGTCAACAGCACCTGATGCTTCCTCAACTCTCTAACCGCAAGCTCAATCGTCTTGTCCACCGCTTCCAATTCTTTTTGGCGCTGCTCGGGCGATTTTTTGTATTTCTTCTCCTTCGGCTTTTCTTTGGGTTTCGGTGCAGGAGTGGTGGTGGGTGCGGAGTCGGGTATTTGGTCCACATCCATCCCGTCTTCTTCTTTCTTAATCTTGACCTCCCCTTCCTCCTTCTTAACCTTCGCCTCCTCCTCATCCTCCTCGACCCTCAACGCCTCCTGCTCCAACAACCTCCCCGCCGCAATCCAAATCTCATGACTAGTAGGAACAGCCTTCCGAGCCTTATTCAGTACCGCCTTGGCCTTGTCGGGGGTCTCGAGTCGTGCTAAGGCTAACCACAACTCCACAGAAGACGGGATAACCTCCACCGCACGCGCTAGGAGGATCCGGGCGTCCGAGGCGGAGGATTCGAGGTTGACGGTTTCTTTCCATAGGCGGACCGAGTTGGGGATATGTTCGAGGGCTGGAGGGGGTGGAGTAAGGAGGCGTTAGTTAGTTAGTGTTCGTTAGTCGGGAATGGGATAGGAGAGTAGACGACGCACCTTTCCGCAAAACCCTCTTTTTCGCTTTCACATCATGCTCCAAATCCGCAGCCGCAAGCCAAATCTTCACGCTCTGTCCTACATGCTGAACCGCGTTCGCGAGGATGACTTTGGCGTCTTCGTTTGACTATACGTGTCGCATAAGTATATAAAGTTGAAAGAAAGAGAGCATAACACGCACGTGCAATCGAGCAGCCTCCAACCACACATCCTCACTCGTCTTACAATTCTCGCACCCTTCTCGAATGATCTTGCGGGCTTTAACCAGTCTTCCGGCATGTTCCTCAAGACAAGCGGCGGCGATCCATCCAGGCGCGTGCTACACATCCCCAAACACGTCAACATCAATCACCCTCTCCAACCGAAGAAACAACGGGGAAGCGCACCTTGGGATTACTCTTAACCAACGAATCAAACAACATCCTCGCCCTCTTAATATCACCAATCTCCGAACTCGACTTATGCGTCGACGAAAGCGTGTCGAGAGACGTAAGATATCCTTTGGGATCGATCGACGTCGAGGTACCTGAGATACTTGACGATGGGTTGGATACCTGCCTCACCTCGGCGTTAGTCCTCGGGGTTCACTTAGCGTATCCATATATGAATGAATGACGCACCTGGTCAAGTTTGAGGGAAAGAATCTTATCTCTGGCTTGACCGATCTCGACAAAGTTGGTCATCGTACCCGAGTCAAGTGTCGCTCCAGCGGGCGTTTCAAAGCCTCCCGTCTACAAAAGAAAGAAAAAACGTCAATTCTCCCAACCCAAGAAATCCCCAAAAACCCGGCGAAAGCTAGGCTACTCACCGCCTGCTGCGTAGGATCCAACGAACTCTCATACTCCCCTTTCGCTCTATCCCCCACCAACACACTATCAGGCACCACATAACTCCTCTCATTCTCCCTCCTCCTCTTCCTACGCGTCAGGTTACCCACTTCAGGGATATTCCACTCCTCTTCTGTGAGTTCTGCCAAACCGCGTTTGAGATCCGCGAACTGTTGTTGGATTTTCGGGCGTTCGGCGCGGTGGCGGGCGAGTTCTTCTTGTTCTCTCGCCTCCCTGAGAGCGTGGGTTTGTTAGTATCCCCCTCTTCACCATGGTCATCGCCAGTAAGGGTATCCCGAAACACCCGGGTATACCAACACAACACGAAGGAAGTTGGGAAACAAATAGAAAAACCCAAAACCCAGAACACTCACCGCTTCGCCCTCCTCCTCTTATCCATAGCCTCATCCACCCCTTCCCAAATCCTATCCGCCTCCTCATCATCCGCCTCATACGTCGTACCCGCAAACAGTCCATACTCATTATCCGGGTCCTGGAACTGCTCGGGGTCGACGTCCTCCTCCCCCCGCCGCGCCCGTGCCTCGGCGATGACTTCCTCCGAGGGTCCTTCGCGTGCGGGGCCGATGTCTGAGCGGGTTGTGAAGCCGGATGCACTGTTGTGGGTCGGGTGTTGTGAGTAGGGAGTTGGATAGGGAATTGAGTGGGGAGGTTAAAGGGGAGTATGGTTAGTATTCATGAGAGAGTGTAGAGATGGTGTACACGCACCCTCGACCTAAACCAGCGACATACGACGCCGGAGCGGGCATCGACAAGAACGCCAACTTGTTCTTTTTATCCATCTTGGGATCCTCCTTCTCTTCGTATTCCTCCTGGTGGTGTTATGTCGGTGCGTTGGTCGTCCTTGAGCTTCGTGTTTTGAAGGGTTGTAGCTTTCGTGCTTCGTCGGCGTCTGGGGTTGTCCTGTAATCCGAGCTTCTTCCTCTCGCTATCCGGGATTCTTCCTCTCGTTATCCGGTAATCTCGTCACAGCCAGTTCGCGAGAGATGAGAAGAGAGAAAAGGCGTCTACCCAGAACCAGAAAGGGTCAAGCGCAAGTCAAGAGCAAGTCAAGAGTCAAGCTCGTCGCACGCCGAACGAATCAGAGGTGTAGCACAGCATTACAAATCCACATCAAATTTGATCCTACTCGTACATACTGCCAGTTTGGGGGGATGAGCCCCTATTTGCGGGTTGATAAGAGGAAGGGTTTCTGGTCTCGAGTCAGAATTACAGCAAGTCAGAATCGTCTTTTCTTCCTTGCTATTTACTTCCATACCCTCGCTCACACATACGAAGGAAAACTTGAACGAGGTCAATAATCAGGGTGTGTGTAGGTACCCTTTGTGTATGTGTGAGTGATCGTGCACAGCCTGAGGAGCGGCTCTAAAGTGTCGAAAGGTCTCGCATACAAATTCCCCAACCTGCATTTCACTCCCTTTCAGCTCAGTAAGTCAGCCCAACCCAGCCCCAACCACCCCCTTCTCCCTCATTAATCCATAATGCATCCCTCCATCCCAATCACCAAGCCTCAAACCCTCCCACCCAATTGGTCGTTCCAGCTTGGGAACACCATAGCCATCCCATCCGAGGCAGACCTCTGGCACCCTACCAATCGTGGCATGACAGACGAAGAATGGGCGAGGAACAAGGCAAAGCTCAACTTAAACACTCGAGCACTCGCATTCGCCGTAATGCACGCCTTCAATAGGACCCCATCCTCATCCTCGTCCTTGCACGGTGCACACACCCCTCCCCTACTCGAACATACCAAACCTTCCGCAGTCTTCAACCACATCTACACCGCCACATTCCCCTCCTCAGAAGGCGAAGACGCTCCATTCACCGTAGCAATCCGCGTTCTTGGGAAGCTCGGGCGTCTACCAGGTCGCACAGAAACAACAGTCGCACTGATGACCTTTGCTCGCTACATCCTGGGTCTCCCTGTACCCAAAGTATACGGCTGGTGCGACAGGGACGCAACCACAGGAAACCCCGTCAACGCACCCTACATCATCACAGAATACTTCCCCTACTCCCCGACGCTCGACTGCATCAAGATGTGGTACCACGAAGCACCATCGGAGGAGTTCTGGTACCAACTAACAGATGCGATGGCCAAAGCACACTCAGAGTTGGTAAAGAGCGTCCCGTTCTCCACTGAGTACGGATCTGTATACTTAGACTCGGAACGTATCGAGTCCGACTCTACCACGGCAGAGTCGATTAGGAGGGAGGACGATGCCCTCCTATCCGACATCAAGACGTACAGGTTGGGCCCGTACATGCCAGGCCCAATGGAATTTCGAGTGGGATGCAGCGAGCGAAAGGTCAAACCCCGCCCTATCACCGGATCCAATAGCATCCAGACACCTTCCTCCACCTCACTCCGCAGCTTCTGGGAGCTACTATGGACAAACGAGGTCGAAGCTGTGAAGGAGTACTACCGCGCTAAGCCAGGTGCTCTGTCAAAATCTGGATCAACTATCGACGGTGAAGGTGAAGGAGGTTCTGATGCCGACTCGGACTGCTCCAACCTCGACGACATCCTGCGCACCGCAGACCACCTCCTCCAATACATCAAACACATCCCTCTCCCAGACGATCCCAGACTCTACACTCCCAGCATCGTACCAAACTTCTACGCAATCCGCAACGTCGCCATCCGCTCCTGCACTGAACCCCACTCGGGGTCACACCAAATCCAAATCAAGGCTTACCTCGATTGGGACAACACCTCCATCCTCCCCTTCATCCTCGCTTCTCAATATTTCGACGAACTTATAGACGGAGCGGACGAGGGTACACCACACTGGAACGAGATTGAGGGTGGATTCCATTGTGTTCAGGCTATCACGGATGATGGCGGACCAGCGAACGACGAAGAGATGAAGCAAGTCTTCGATCATCGAAGAATCGTCTACTTGAATCGGACGAAAGCACAACGCAATCCCGACGCAGAAGAGCAAGAAGAAGAAGGTGAATGGGACTCCTCTGACGAAGCGGAGGAAAGACGCGAACGAGCCATCATAAGACGCAACAGACTTTTCAACGCCCATTTTCAGCGTGAATACGAGCGGGCACTGCAGAGACACGACACCCGATTTTCCATTCCAGGACTCTGGGAGGCTAGGAACGACGTTTTAAAGATTCACTTCTTAGTTACAGGGGGAATGGAGACGTGGATGGGCAGGACTGACTGGATTGAAAGGCGAGCTCGGGAGGTGGTGACAGGGAACTTGTAGATTACATTCCGAAAATACCAAGTGTGTTTAGAGTACGTGCCAAAACCCCAATACTACAACCAATCCACCATCTCGTTATCATGATCCGTAAAAATGAGACCATTATCATGTACTCCACTCGGCCAACGAAGATCCTTCGACAAGCGAAGAGGATACCTCACCTCGCCCTCCCTCCCAGCCCAATCAAAGTCCAGCAACTTCACACTCCCAGCCTTCGCCCCACCCTCGCCCCCATCACCACCCCCACCCTCGCCACCCACAACCAAAACATTCCGCCCACGAATATTCCCATGCACAAACCCAGCTTCGTGCAACCACCTCACAGCCTCCCTAACCACCTCCCTCTCCCCTTCCGCAACTCCATCAACACAAACCCTCCCCTCAACGTGCTCCATTACTACCATCTTCCGCGTACCGCATCCAGCTTGCGCGAGGGGGTCGTCGTGCCAAATATCTCCATGGTACAACAGTGTCGGAGCTAGACCCTTCCCCTCGAGCAATCTATGCGCCTCCACACCGTACCGCTCGACAAACTTGACAACTATAAACCGCCTCTCCTCCGGCACGACCGCCATAAACGCCGCACACCTATACGGAACCAGACCTCCCAAGTACTCAAACGCGACTTTTTGTCCGCGCTTATCATCATAGTAGGAGGTGGCTCGGGGAAAGAACCGAGATGGATTGTCGGACATTGAAATCTCGGATTCGTAGAACGTCGTCAGATCGTCTACGGATTGTCGTAACGCAGTGAGCACTCGGGCGATGCGGAAGGTATTGGCGTCGTCGAGAACGCGGCTCTCGCCAATCCAGATGTAGTCCGTCAGACGATGGACGATGGCGTTTGTGGTTAGCACCGCACCGAGGACGGCGATCCACGGTCCTGCGATCGAAACGATGAACGACGGGCAGAGCAACCTTTCCCGGAGACCCTAGGATTTGGAAAAACGCGATGAATTTAACTTGGTCAAATTCTCATCACGTATGATAGAGAGCATGAAACACTTACCCGTTGATTACGGTCACTCCAGTGACGAAGGTACGCCAAGCCTCCCTTGGTAGTCCCATCTCCATCCTGACCGATCTCGTCCGCCTCCTCGAGGAAGACGACCGCGGCACACCCCAACGGTTGTTCAGTGCGCGGTAATGCCGCGACGTAGCTCGGTGACAACCAGGCCTGCTCGCCATACCCCAACCGCACGACGGTGAAGCACAATATCTCGGTGAGGAGCACCCTCATCCCCTCAGTGCGGGATTCCGATTCCGGCTCCCCTATCGATATCCGCGACGCCTTTCGCATGAGCTCGGTCGTGAGACCGAGCATATCGTCGGGGATGGCCAGTTCGGGGTCCGTAGCGCGAGCTCGGAAACGCGCGAACACGGGGTGGTAGACCTCCACAGGGAGGGCGAGATCGCTCGTCCTATTCCTATATCGTCCGTCCAAAATCGGCGCATCCCCGTCTTGGATCGCACTGTAGTTACTTGGCTTGCTGCCCTCCGAAGGTGTGAATTTCCCGGGGACGGAGAGCGTTCTTTTTAAACCTGAAGAGACCGAGGTGATGAGGCTTGGTCGAGATGAGATGGAGGATTGGATTAACGCACGTTTAGTCAACTCTGGGAAATCCTCCTCCTCCTCCTCTTCCTCATACTTCCGCCTAGGAGACATCTTCCTTCTCCCTTCTACAGAAAAAAGAACACAAAGTCAGTTTCAAACGCTCATAACGACTCAGCTCCTGTTTAAATAAACTCCCACTCACCGTCAGCCTCACCCTCAGGCCGAACCACAACGACATGCACACAATCATCCCGCACACCCTCAAAAGACGCACCAACCCGGTCCAAATAATGATCCCACACCAACGCACCAGGGATATCAAACGGCCTCATCGCCTTGTCCAGCTCATCAAACGGGAGCGAAACACCGATAAGCTGGAGGTCGATCTCCGACGTCCCTTCGAGGTGGTCTCTTCCACCCCGAGCCTGAGCCTGAGCGCGCAGTTGGTCGCATATGGCCGCGCGCAGGCGGGCTATGGAGTATCCAGGTTCGACCTGGACCTGGACGATGTCTTCTCGGCTGAGACCTGAGAGAAGGCAGTTAAGTTGAACAGACATATTGAGGAGAAAGGGGGGACAGAGGACAATGTCTCGCTGAGTGCCGGCGAGCGATTATTAGCGCGGTTCGCACGTGACCGAGACGCCGGTGTGCAAACACGGGTAGTCTAAGTTTGGATGCTATAAAAGCCCTCTAGCTCTCGTTGCGTAGTAAAGAATAAAACCAGGAATACATTTCTAGGCCCTGAAAAGTAGGTAAGTAAGTAAGTATAGTATCTCTGGCTTTTTCAGCGGGTCATAAGGAGCTCAAAAACAAACCAAGGTGATGGTGTAGGCAAACAACCAGAAGGCGTCGACAAACAAAGGCAAATAGAGATTAGGCGCCGCGACACTGCAGGAGTAAGGACTCAGGAGCATGTGAAAGACTGGAAATCAGCGTCAGAGAAAGGGACCAAACGTTAAGACTTACCGCACAGTTACCCAGCGCCTCTCAGTCTACTACGGACGATATGAAAATCGTCATCCCTCTCTCTCTTTCCGTGGCTGCGCTCGTAATTGCCTTCCCTCAACGTACCCCAACCCCAACCCGTCGACACCGACACCGCAAGTAGTGCTATCACCAACCACGTCCCTCCCATCTCCATCTCCATCTCCATCCCCATCTCCAACAACCAACACGTCATCTGCAAAGATGGGTTGAGCTTCAACACTTGAGCAGCCTTTATCGAGCGCAATACCGTCAATAGGTAAGGCTACAGTGGAACGGGTGGCTTCTGCTCGAATCTATCTAGGACGCCTACCTTCACGAAGAATAGCTTGGTGTTAGCAAGCCGGAGCAAAAATCTTGGACTTTCGACGCCGAGTCGTCACGATTCAACACATAGCCCGGGGACATCGAGAGCGAGACGCCGAGCAGAACGCATATTGAATAAGCTGTGTTTGACCAGCTTCCTGTTATGGCGCCCAACAAGTGAGTAGCCCTTTGGGACCTACGACGTAAGTATGCGAAATGAGCTTTCCGTGACGGATATCCTCCCCATCAAAGTTCGTTAAAGTGTCTGCATTGGGGTTTCCCTGTGTAGGTGCAAGTAGTGTCAAAGAGAATATTCGATAGAGCGCCACGGCGTTCTGTTCGATATCCGCCGAGGTCCGATATCTTCGAGGGCTCTTGGAGAGAAACAAAGGAGGAATTTCTCTTTCGCAACATTTCCCCTCTCTCAGATTTCTGAATTTCTCACAGTCGCCTCGCACCCACTTCCACTATCGTACCATCGATGGATTCAACTATATCCATTACCAAGCCTCAACGCCTTCCACACAACTGGAATGAGCAACTCAACCGTGGGTTGTCTGGGTTAACCTGTATTCCAAGCGAAGCGGAACTCAGTGGAAGGAAACCATCCAAAGACGACGACGTATGGAAGGTTACTTCCATCGGATTCGACGAACGAGCACTCGTAGCAGCTATCATCCATGCATTCAACCTTCCCTCCAGCACGATCCCCACTATCACTATCGGGATCCGCTCCAGTGGAGCCTTCAACACGGTCTACGAAGCCAAGATACCACCACCACCACCAACTGCCAGCCTGAACAACTCCGACACGAGCAACGAGAAACCATTCACCGTCCTCATCCGCTTCGCCAAAAAGCGTGGACGCCTACTCGGGCGGATGGAAACTACTACGGCGATGATGACGTTCGTGCGGTACCATGTGGGGCTGCCCGTCCCCAAGGTCTATGCCTGGTGCGATGGAACTAGGGAGGACGGCGGCAACCCAGTGAACGCACCTTACATTATGATGGAGGATGCCCTCGTACCTCAGAACTGGTTGCGAAAATGGCACGATTTTGCCCCGAATGAGGGGTATTGGCACGACAAACTCCTTATGGCCGCTCAAGGCCTCGCCAAACTCGGGAAGCCGTTGGAGTGGAAAGGGTTTGGATCGGTGTACTTTTCCAACACAGCGCACGGAGAAGGGATGGAGAAGAGAGAGGATGATGAGCAACTTCGACGCTTCGACGCGTACCGCCTTGGTCCATTCATGCCGGGTCCTATGACCATGGTGAGCAAAGACGGGTATGGAGCTCGCGAGGGGGGTCCGTCTCTAGGCTCCGAGAAGATGGATTCTCTGAAGGAGTTCTGGACAGCATTATGGCGGAAGGAAGTGGACCTTGTAAAGCGGGAGTGCGGAGACGACGACCTCACGAGGAAGATATCAATATACGATGAGGACGAAGAGGGATCGATTACAGGCTCCCAGTTTTGGCCTCCAAATCCAACTCTCGGTGTGTTTCTCGAGACAGCCGAACTCCTCCTCACATATATCGAGGAATGCAACCTCCCGAACCTCCCCGAGCTCTTCTCGCCGTGCGTCGTCCCCATGGACTATGCTCTACGAAACATGCTCTTCCACCCCGACTCTGAGGAAATAGTAGCCTTCCTCGATTGGGACGACGTCGCCATTCTGCCTTTCATCCTCTCCACCCGGTATTTAGCAGATCTTTGCTCACATAACATTACGACGGTGGAATGGGAAAGCCGTGGTGGGTTTCCATTCCTCCCAACCGATGAGGAAGAAAGGTATGCAGGCGAAGCTACCGACATTTTGAAGACGAGAATAGAGGGTAGATCCGACAAGTATACTCAGATGGAGACCACGGCTGCGCGGGTCGGAAGCGAGTTGGCGGAGCCCGAACCTCCCCGAGCTCTTCTCGCCGTGCGTCGTCCCCATGGACTATGCTCTACGAAACATGCTCTTCCACCCCGACTCTGAGGAAATAGTAGCCTTCCTCGATTGGGACGACGTCGCCATTCTGCCTTTCATCCTCTCCACCCGGTATTTAGCAGATCTTTGCTCACATAACATTACGACGGTGGAATGGGAAAGCCGTGGTGGGTTTCCATTCCTCCCAACCGATGAGGAAGAAAGGTATGCAGGCGAAGCTACCGACATTTTGAAGACGAGAATAGCGGGTAGATCCGACAAGGATACTCAGATGGAGACCACGGCTGCGCGGGTCGGAAGCGAGTTGGCGGGATATTCATCAGAGGACGAGTCGAGGAAGGAACTAGTACTTGGGGGTCCACTACAACAGATCGAAGATCGAGTGAGGGGAGACGTTCCACCAGGTGACGACGGCCAGAGCGAGTCGCATAATGGCTCCGACCAGGATCACGTCAGCCTCGACAGCAGCGACGAAGAGTCCGATGTGGATCGCGAAGAAATGTTCGAGGAGTACAACCGGCGCCAGCGAGTCGTCAACACCCACTTCCGAAAACAGTACCGGGAGCTGTTGGAGACCCAAGACCCCCGATTCAAGACTCCTGGATTTTGGAGTGCTGCGGAGGATGCTCTGAGGGTTCACTACTTGGTGACCTCAGGACCGAGGGAGTGGGTTTCGAGATCGGATTGGCTTCGACGACGAGTTCAGTGTCTCAACGGCTCCGATAAGTAGATTTCTGTAGTACTCTGATTAATTCAGTTTTCTGTACCATCTCTTGAATGAGCGGTTGATAAATCAACAAGGATTCCGTTTATCATTCAACTGCGTTCTCAATGAAGTTGTAGCTATGATGAACCCTCGATTGAGCCCCGCCTCTGTGGGCAAAGGTTGACGGGGTGAAAAAATATACAAGGTCTTTCTCCCAAGCTATTTCGTCAAGTGCACCTACCAGTAACGAGAGGAACTACACACCGCCATCCACTGAAGATATAAATCGACGTTCGCGCTCTGCGTTTACGAAATTTCTGAGGGCATTCCGCGATGGACCTTGGCAAAAAGGCGTCGCACTGGAACAATTCCCAATATCCGTATGCACACTTGGTATGTAGATTTGTGTGCTATTATCCCAGCCAGATTTACGTCAACCTCGAGGTTGGAAATGTATTTAAAGGGCTTGAGCGGGAGGATATGACTTCAGTGCCTGGTGCATCTTCATCCCCTCTCTCGCTCTTTCGAAATAATAAGGCCGGTCCTTACCCAAGTATCTACTACATCTGTTTAGCGTGTGTTCCCTTCCCCTGCTCGTCCTCACTCCTTCATTTGCACGATACTAATCACCGTTCATCTCATAGAATCATTCACTATGCGCCATCTCTACGTTGTGTTTTTGGCACTCTTGTGCCTCGCTTCCACCTCAATTTTCGCTCTACCTGTAAAGGTATGACTTGTGCATGTTAGTACCCATTAAAGATACTTACAGACTCGACGTTCTCAGCACGTAGACTCGCATTCCCCAGCTGAGAGGAGCGCTGGCCGCCCTTTCATCGTGCGCTCGTACTATCCTCGTGATATTTTCTTGAATCGCCAAGTACGGGAGTACCGTCCCTACTGCAGATTCTCCCTACTGGAAACACGACAAAACAAAGGGAAAGCCACCAAGAAGCCAACGTTACCATCCATCGTACGTGCACACATTGGCATCCAGCACCCTATATTTGGACTGACAGTAATCACGGCGACATCTCCTGCAATTTAATCTCCTCCCAGAACTCGGTACGTGCACAACATCCTCATTCATTCCATACGTTGTTACTCATGAGAGCTTTCACCCGGACAGAAACTCAGGAACCAGATCCTAGCCTGGATCGACGAGGCAGCCAAAGCAGCTGGTAACCCCGAGAACGGGGTCTATCCCTCCTGGGAGAAAGGATCCGAGAAGATCCACGGTCTAATCACCTCAAACTACCCCCACTGCGTAGTAGAAACTCGCAAACCCACACGCAAGGACGGTTCGGTCGTCTACCAGGCCAGTATCCAGTGCTCGGGCGGCAAGCCAGTAATTTTTCCGTTTTGGGATATTACGCCTGGAACTCCAGGGAAACCGCCGACGGCGCCGGAGATTTTGGCCAGCTTAGAGCTGTGGTGGAGTTGTCGAATTAATGGTAATGGGCTGTTATATGATTTGTATGTATGGATTGTGAGGAATTGTGACTTTTGGCTGCTTGTAGGGGGAGCTATCCGTCGATCCGGGGATGCAATGATTGATACACATCGCAACGTTTAGAGGAAGTTATCTCCGGCGAAAATCAGAAGGCTCGATATAAACCCGATACCTTCATATGTATAGGTAGTACTAGTCAGCTTGAGAATTATGGAAGCGTGTCTACATACTCGTACATATTTACGACATAAGAGCTTGGTAGCCAGGTCGGATGATTGGACTCGCGCCACGCCGTGCACGGTGCGCCCAGAACTTGATCAGGGGCCCAGGGCCACGCCCACAATCCGTCTCCAAAGTTCACGTCCCCGATCAGCACATTGTAGGGCCTCAATATGGGTGGACATTGTATATCTTGGATTTTCCACGGTTATAACGGTGCAACCGCCGCCTTTGCACCCTTCAGAAACTGAAACACCAAAAGAGCAACGAAGATTCTGAGCCGTAGCTTCAACTGGACCTCCCATCAAGGCTACCCTCGGCGACTTTCTTCTGTCTTTGGGAGTAGACTACCCGTTCTTTTCCTAGGGTATACAATACACCGTATAGTACACTGTAGTTATCCAGATATCAGTGGAGACCCCAGTCGACACACATCCCACACAACAGATTCATCCCATTCCCTCCCCCGCTTTATCACGACCAGCCTCGCGGTTCTCAGTGATTGTATGGGTACCCCGCCGCCCCGCCGCCCACCTGGAATTCCACCGTTCCCAGTAGTAGGAGTGCACTGAGATTCGAACGCGGTGCTACCCCCCGCCGCCGGTAAGTGTAGACAGTAGCACAAGGTGAGTGGCTCATATTCGTCTCTCATCGCTGGTGTAATCGAGTTCCTTGAATCTTCCTTACACTAGAAGTCCTCCGCGCTTCGTTTTCGCAAGACGGCGCCTAAGTCAAAGTAGCTAAACTATCCAGGTACGCGGAGGAGAAGAGAAATGCGAACTTGTCACATCTAAGGGCGTAGGGAAATAAAGGGAAGGCGTAGACAAACAAAGACATACGAGCCTCCCGACACTCTTCGACTTTCTACCTTCGATATCCGCCGAGTTCCGATGTGCTTGAGGACTCTTGTAAAAGGAACAAAATGAAGGACAGAGAGATAGGTTGCGATGGGACCCACGAAACAAACTGAAAGAAAACTGGAGAGACCATATAACCGCTCCAGAGCTCGACGACGATGACGACGACTCAGAATCCGATATCAATGTGGACCGCGAAGAAATGTTCGAGGAGTACAACCGGCGCGAGCGAGTCGTTCGCGTTAACACCCACTTCCGAAAACAGTACCGGGAGTTGCTGGAGAGCCAAGATCCACGCTTCAAGTCTCCTGGATTTTGGAGCGCTGCGGAGGACGCTCTGGATCTGAGGGTTCACTAGCACTACTTGGTGACCTCTGGACCGAGGGAGTGGGTGTCGAGGTTGGATTGGCTTCGACGGCGAGCCTGAGTGCAGTGCCTCAGGCCTCCCCGTTCAACAGCTCCGATAACTTGAAGTACAGGTAAGTTGTGCTTATATGGTCAATATGTCCAGTTTGACGCGACTAGTAATCACCTGTGATAACCGGTAACCAGCCCCCACTGTCCTGCTCGATCTCGGAGAACTTGAACATCGCGTTGTCTATGTAGTCGTAAGTTCAGATTCGAGAACTTTCCACGAGCCCTTTCAGAGAGTCTGTATCAACAACCGGATTATCCGAGCCTAAGACAGGAAATGGCGGAGAAATCGTCTAGAAGCAGGAAGAGAAAGAACCTGGTCTTCAGATCGCCACGTCAGTCAGTCCGAGTCCTGATCCATTCAAGTTGAAGTCGTCGTTGGGATGTTGGGCAGGTGCCATGCAGATACCGTTCTGTAACTGGGGGATGTGTTCCATTAAATGTTCATGCTATGATACCCGTTATAACACGGACGACGAAGACGGTTTTTGATCTTGGTTGGAAGGTAAGCCAAGGTACGATGAGGACGAGGTGGGAGTGGGCAAAATCTCGGAATCAATAAACACGCTCCACCTAGATCACTGAATCAAATTGGACAAACAGCTGGCACACTCAATCCCTGTCACACCTCGTTTCACAGAGCGTCCACCAAAAAAAGCTTTATGGTGAATGGCACACTAACTCCCGACACGAATTCTTCTACCACCAATCCGTCTATTTCTGTTTCTTCGAAATCCACGGGGAGCGCTGCTGCTGAGGCTGAGGCTGACCGTTTGCGGGGGACGTCGCTGCCAAACAGCAACCACGATCACCATACAAACAACTTGAACGGGCACGGCGATTCTGAAGCCTTGGACGCCGTCCGACCACTCAGCGCTACTGGTTTTCGATCGAGTACGAGCGTGCTTATAGACGAACGAGAGTCCATCGATTTGGGTGTAAACACCGGACATACAGGCTCGAGACACCACCGACGGAAATCGTCCAGTCTCACCGCAGCCGCTAAACGCCAGGTTTCGAGCGACGACGACGACGACCACATCGACACCTCCGACCACCAACAAGAACAACCTCGACAACACCAACAACAACGAGGCCGACGACCACAACCCCTCTCCTCCATACCGCGCAGAATGGCTATGGCAGCCATGTCCATCGTCTCGCCCCGTTCGGGCAACTACGACCGCCTCGAGGGCGGCATGGGACCCTCTCGCCTCGGGCCCCCACAACGCGGCTGGCGCCGCTTTGGGTGGAAGAAATTCGCAATCGGTGCTGCGCTCCTCATCGGCTTCGTCTGGCTCTGGGGACCCCGCGAACGGAATCTGGATTGGGAAAGCGTGAAGGATTATACCAAGGGGTTGGGTAAAGGTGCGTTTCCTCTCTTCCCTAGTTGTATAGAATCTCTCGTACTGATGGGTATGCCGTTGGTATGGGTATGATAGACCTAATCCCATTCAACCCAATCAACAAAGACACCGACTCTCCCCCTCCCCCGTCCGTCCAACCACCCACCAACGCCCCCACCTCCTTCGAGTCCGACCCTGACCCCTCCAAAACAGCCTACTGCACCACACCCCACGACCCCACCAAACCCCTCGTGCAATGGGCCCTGATGATCGACGCAGGGTCCACCGGCTCGCGCATCCACATCTACAAATTCAACAACTGCAAGTCGTCGATCACGTACGAGTACGAGGTGTTCAAGATGATGCAGCCCGGCCTGTCGTCGTTCGCTGATGACCCCGAGGGCGCCGCGCGGAGTTTGGACGTCCTCCTCGACGAAGCCGTCCGTGTCGTACCAGAGGATATGCAAAGTTGCACGCCTGTAGCTGTGAAAGCTACCGCCGGGCTCCGACTTTTGGAGGGCCGTAAGAGCGAGGACATCCTAGAGAAAGTGGAGGAAAGGATAAGACGCCGGTACAAGTTCCAGCTGCCCGATGAGAATGGGGTGGAGATCATGGACGGAAAAGACGAAGGTGTCTATGCGTGGATTACGGCTAACTACCTGCTCGGTACGATCGCACCAGGCGGTAAGCCGAAAACCACAGTCGGCAAAAAGGGGAGCAATACGTACGCTGTACTCGACCTCGGCGGCGCCTCCACGCAAATCGTATTCGAACCCTCCAGTATCGGACCCGCCTCACCCCTCGAACCCGGCGAGCACAAGTACGACCTCGATTTCTCGGGATCCGCATTCGAGTTGTACCAGCACTCGTATTTGGGGTACGGATTGATGAGGGCGAGGAGTCACGTACATCGGTTGGTGGATTTTATGGCGGGGATTAGGCCGAGGCCTGCGAAGGCTAGCAAGTACCACCCTGTTGACGTTGACGGGGACGGCGAGCCCGATTACGAGGTTGTCCCGAACCCGTGTTTGGCGCGGGGGATGGAGAAGGTGGTCGAAGTCCAGGACGAGTTCTTCGACCGTCCCCCCTCCTTGGACGATGACGACGACGACGACGACGAACCCCTCACAGTCAAGAGGAATGTGACGATGTCAGGACTGGACATCGGCTCCTTCGAAGCCTGCGACAAAATCGTCCAACTCGTCCTCGCCAAAGACGCAATCTGCGAGATGAAACCGTGTTCCTTCAACGGTGTGTACCAACCCAACCTCCTCGACTCGTTCAAAAACGGTAAAGTCCTCCTCCTCTCGTACTTTTACGACCGGCTACATCGACTACTCCCACCACCACCCTCCTCGTCCTCACCCAAAACCTCCAAAAACCCAACGATCGCTCTCACTCCCTCACCCCCTCTAACCGTCTCCTCTATCGCCACCTACGCCAAGACAATCTGCGCTGGCCCTGAAACCTGGTCTACGATCCCCCACTTCACCGACAATAAAAAGTTGATGGAGGAGTTGGAAGGACGACCGGAGTGGTGTTTGGATTTGACGTTTATGCATGGGTTGTTGAAGTGGGGGTATGAGTTTGAGGAGGGGAGGAGGGTTGAGCTGGGGAAGAGTGTGGGAGGGACGGAGTTGGGGTGGTGTCTGGGTGCTACGTTGGGGTTGGTTGGGGAGGGGAGGGTTAGGTGTCGGGCGTAGATGGATGGGTAGAGCGTGATGGAGGAGGGTGGGGGAAGGAACGGTGTAGCGTTGGGAGTGGAGGGTAGGAGGTGCAGTGTGGGAGGGAGGAGGAACGATTGGTTTATCCCATTCTATTAATTCGTATGTGCTCGGTATTACTAGCTATAATTATTTCCTTTCTTTTTTTGCCCCCTCGAGTCACTCCGGCTCGCAGTCTCGGAGACATTCCATCTCGCAGATATCGCATCTCGCACTCGTCTTCGCACACATTTTGACATTGTCTTCCTCTTCGTTCTTATAGAACAATCTTGGCCTTTCTTCTTCGTTCTATAGGGCGATTTGGTTGTGTGCGTCAAGCACGCAGTTGGAAAGTTAAATTGACGCAGCAGACGAACTGGACAAGGCTAGACAAGGCTGCGCGGCTGTCATTCTAGCCTGAGATTCAGATCCCCACTGCTTTGGTTCGAAGTCGCCAGAAGTATCACGTATTACATGGAGTAACCCAAGCTTCACGGGGGACATTTAGCTGTCCCATGTTCCGACCGGTACTCTGTCTGGTAATCTGTCCAGTGGCAGCGTGAAAAGACCACTCGGACTACAACTGAGCTGCAAAGAAAAATAAACCAGTTCAGACGAGAAACACAGTATCAAGACAAAGAAAACACCTTAGAGTGGAGGTCCCATGGCCTTCGAGAATTGGGTACCGGGGACAAAGGTGCTGGAATGGGACTTCCACAGTCGAACCCCGTGCCCCTTCACGGCAGCAATGCCACATTTGCTCAATCAAACCTTTCTTTCACATTTCTCTACCAAACCAAGAAGTGAGACGGCTCGTATCACTGTGTCTAGGTGCCACTGGACATTTTACCAGACAGTCAGTATGACAGCACGGTTTCGATCACCACCGGACAGCTGTTTGCCCGTCGAGAAGGGACCTCGAGGTACCTCAAGGTCGTTCCCACGCATATTACCTTTTGCGGAATCCTTCTAAAAAAGCGCAAAGAATGGCCAAAAAAGTGCAGTGGAGGATATAGTGATTTTTTACAAAGTAGAAAAGAGAATATCTGAGCTCAAAACGTTGGGGGGAACGCATAGGTATCAAGTGCATATAGAGTGTGGCGAGGAGACGGGATGGGGCAGACAGGTCACATTAGCCTATCTTGGACGCTTCTCGATGGAGGCGGCGCTATCACTTGTCAGTGTATTATTAGTCAGGACTCAGCAGTGGTTACTGACGGTCCACCTCGACGGTTTGCGCACGGGCCACTTTTGCGGGCGTTACATGATTGTCTGCGTGGTTGCATGTATAGTCGAAAGAGAAGGAAAACAACAACCTTAACTCGGAGTCAAAGGGATTCAGAAGAGGCTGCCCGTGGGAGGGCTGGATGCAACGCTCCGCAGAATCTCCACCTCGATGGGCGGTGTATTCTATGTATAGCTACTAGGTGGTTCTCTGTGCTACGACATTCGTGCTACGTCACTGTCGAGACAGGTCCCCGTGGCTACGGTACTGTCGGTATCCTCTATTCTCTTTTTCTACCTAGTGCTATCTGCAGTAAAAGTCTTTATTCTCTCCGTAATTTACAAGTGGTTCGAAGTAGCACAAATCGAGAGTGGTGGTAGACCATGGCGGTCGTAGTAAAACAATAGCAACATTCGCCCTGGGAGTTTTTTTGCTGGCGACCTCAAAAGGTAACTTTAAGGTCCCTTCAAGGGTCGTCGGACTTCGAAGATTGGGACCTCTGGGTACCTTCACGAATCAATTAATCACCTTTAGTGGATCGACAATTCAGGGACAAGGACTCTCAGGCTTGTTCCGGTTGGACGTCGAACCTTGATCGCAGTAACAGCAAAACATATTAATAGATATGATTGTGCCAAGAAACCTTCCTCTACCAACGACCGCCGCCCGCGGAGTGCCTCAAATGTACGCCTCAACAGCTGTATTTTCAAGCCCAGACACTTATCGAACCACTCATTTAACAATCCAGAGGTGGAGCCATTGGACAATTTTGTATGGATAAGTATAGGCTCTACCCTGAGTCCGCTACATCAATACTTCTTTCACGGACGTGCTGACACCTTCCGCAAACACGGAACGGAGATTGGGCGCCCAGAACGGAAATCGGAATGGAATGCGCCTTGCTGCGGCCGGCGCTTACTACGGGCGTCTATCCTACCGCCCCACCCTTGTACAACTCTGACGGGCATGCGATGCACAATTTGGGTCCAAGACCCCTACCGGATCGCACATCCAATTCACCGCTCTGAAGATACCGCCACTGGTGGCGAGTGTGTACGAGTACCCTTGCAGGGGTAAAACACACAGACCCACCGTGAGCACGCGCTCCAAAAAAAAACTCCAATGTGACAGTCTGACAGTCGTGAAATAGTGGAGTAGGACTCGATCACAAATGATTGTGGTGGCTGAAATGTACGTACTCCTTGAATGGATTTGGGAACGGGGAACCATGCAGCTGGCAGGGTTGAACGTTGACCGTTGAACACCCCCGCTGTCCTGACTCCTGAGTCTCCTTCCATGCAATTAGTACCGGCAAGTCATCAAGTCATCCCGTTGTTGTCAACGTCGCGAATCAGGGTTATGTACATTAGTGAAACTGAGTAAATTGAGCTCTCCAGGGGCCCCGAGTAAGTGGCTCGACTACATCGTTGTAAGGATATGGTCCGTCCGACGTATGGTCTGATTTCAGAGCTGGTGTACTTGTCAGGCAGAGACCTCAGGCGGGCCAACATGGTATTCACTATCACTAGTATTACTGTCATTACTATTATTTGACATGGAGAATTTGCCCCCTCCCGATCCTGATTGGAAGCAGGTGTAATCGAGTTCCTTGAATCCTTGTTTCAACCAGGAGTCGAGTCCGCGGTTCGTTTTCGCAAGGCGGCGTCTAAGACATTCCCTAAAGTGCCAACTCACACTGACATGGTGACAGAGAAGCTGTCCCTTGAGCACATATGAGTCGAGAACCCGTTGGTATCGCATTCTTATGCCAACCTTTGAATCGGATTTGATGTAGGTTTCACCCCAAGATGGGAGAAGAACATCCTCGACAGCCAATGGAATGAACAATCCGTGGTCCCAGGTGTATTTATGGCCCGATTCATACCAAAACGAACGCCGCAGAAGACACTTGCTGCAAGGGAGGATTGAGGGTGTCCGCGCATGGATTGTATCCCCCGGGACGATGGCTGGAACCCCGTGCATGCATGACCCGCCACGACATTTAAGCACCCAATAAGACGTCTACCCAACTAAGCTATATCTTTATCCTCGACGGATAAATACAACCTGACAGCCCCAGATTTTCTAACCTACAGCACCCCTCCGCCTTCTATCATTGCCAGACAACCGCCTATGAGCAACCGCCGCAGCCAACGTATGCAATCAGGACCGGGAATGAGCATTTACTGTAAGTGTGGTATAGTTTTCTCGACACCCTGCTGACGACTTTCCTGTAGGCAATCATGCGATTACTTTCAACAACAGCACCGTGTCTGGAGGAACCTTCATCAACAATGCCATCAATGTCTTCCAGGGCCATAATAACGGTAAGCAGAGCATTCAAGTCTAATCATCAGAACTGTAGTCCATCTGACGCGATGTGTAACGCCTTCGCAGGCAGCGTGGTTGTCCATGTCAACCCTGTTGCTCATGCCTATCCGACAATCCGCGAACACACCGTTGCGTCGAACAACCGCAGGGACGAACCTTTGAAGGCGTGAAGAGCGATGAGACGAACATGAACCACTCGCCTTCTGTTGCACTTTCCGTTGGCACCACGTTCCAATCTCAGTGCACTCCAAAGATGATCAATAATCAACGATATGGTTGTCAAACGCCGCGGATCTAAATTAAATGCTACTAGTAGGCGCTGCCGCTCGATGTTACAGTACTAAAGATGAACCAGTTTGTACATCGAATTGACACAGGCAGATTTAACGTATCGCTTCAAGTATCGTTGATAGTACTGAAGTACTGAAGAACGATATGAGCATGTGGTAAGAGCCTCACAAGGGGTTCGAAACTCACCTTTACTCGAGGCAACTTCGGAAGCCCTCAGCAACCCTCGGAGGCAGACCTCAACGCCAATAAGACGAGGTCTCCACCAGTGCTGTATATGGTTTCGTACCCTCCAGCACACGTAGGCTCAGGGCAGCACCTCTCGAGTACAGCTCTTATACCCCGACCCTGCTCCCACCGACGCACATCCACAGCCCAGTGGTTCTCATTGTACATGCACCACATCACCCCCTGCCAGCTGAACGACCACCAGAACCCGCCCTCGATGCGGACGATGGCTTCGGGGTCGTTGATTTGCCTGTCGTCGGCTCTGTCAAAGGCTGCCCAGGTGTCGAAGCTCAACCCGCCTTTGCAGATGGCGCGTTGGTTGTTGGAGATGGAGATGGGAGGGATGGGGTTGGTGATCGCACCACTTCCGCTTGCGGTGGAGTCGGTGTCGATGGTGGAGGTGGTATCACGGGTTGGGGTTGGGGTACCTTGGGGGAAGGCAACTGCAAGCGCAGCCATCAAGAGAGAGAGAGGGATGGTAACTTTCATATCGTCCTTGTAGGCTGGGAGATGATGGGTAACTGTGCGATATGTCTGAATGACTTGCTGCTTTCTCTGACGCTACTTTCCAGTCTTTTATACGCTCTTTACTTCTGCAGTGTACTCACAGTGGGTGCCTTTTTGCCTTCCAAGTGTCCACAGAACAGCGCTCGCGAAGGTTCTTTCGAATGGAAGTAGTACACTCAGAAGTGTACTATTCTAAGTATTGTCTGAACCGGTGATACTGAGATTTCGAATCAGAAGGATGACTGTTGACGTTTGTTGAAATAAAGCCAAGCAAGAATTTGACGAAGAAGCCCAGGCGCTTCTGAGTGTCCACAATGGACGAGTTCGAGTTAAGCGCCCAAGCGAGTGATGATTTCCACACTAGCCATGCCGGTGTGCGCGCGCATGAGGATATATGGGGTTTGATACGTCCGTCCAGAGCGGGCATAACCACTCATACTAGCTTACACTTGTGCCATCCTTCGCCTCTAGAATCCTCGTAGACACGGCACTCAATATACGACATAGAACGCCGTCTGCAGGTCTGATACAGGAGGTGAGGGCAGCCCTGGGCGCTTAACTCCAGCCCAAGATCCTGAAGCATTCTCTGAAGAGTGCGAGATGCCCATCTGTGTGTACACATGCGTCTACAACGAGCGTCTTCCATATGATGCATGGTATAGCAAGATACAAGATAGCAAGATAAAAGGAAAGGATCTTCCTCGGAAAGAATTAGAAACATACCAGAACTCCTTACCCGTCCCCGTCATGATCGCCTGTCAATTGTCACAGCATCGCCAAATTGACTGTCCATTCATCTAGTAAGCTTCTTACCAAATGTAGCTGTTCACTGTGCTTCTCAATAAAGGACCAGGTGGTGGAAACTGACTCCGACCGAACAACATCTGGACGCCTACTGTGTCCCCCGCACTATCGGCGCCTAATTGGTCAGATGGACCCCCAAGTATGGGAATTACCCAAGAAATCATCGCTCTGTGTGAACCAACACGGGCATCATAAGGCGTTACACCGGACTGGAACCTCCCAGTCCCTGACCTCATCAATCGAAGCTCACGAAAAAAGATGTGAATGATTGCATCGCAAATGCGCAGATCAAAAAGTCTCGAGAAAAGCGAGAAAATCCAGAAAACTCTTTCCCCCTCGTGAGCAGCGACCATGTTCTCTCCCATGATATTCATCTCGTCGTTGACTGTGTCCGTCGTACATATGGGATAAAAGAAAACATGAAACAGGGCCGTCATGTTGAGAACTAGTTCTCATTCTCCACGCGCCTTTCGTTGCACACAGGTACGCCCAAGGACTTTGAAACACATTAAACCCCAGTTTCTCTCCTAGGATGTGTCCGAGCGATCAGGTACTCACAGTATACGCCCGAGCAGGGTATTCTAACTATGTGCTCTCGCTGATCGGAGTAGGTGCGTCGAACACAGTGCCACCTATCGCAATTTCATACCCTCCAACTGATCGTCACCCATGAAACCTAGGCATACATCTCTTCATGGCCCTCTATGGCCTCTCGATCTTCCTTGAGACACCCCTCCAACAGCGCAAAGGCCGCCGTCGATACATCATCATCAGCTTCATCCTCACGTTCCTCGCAGCACTCAGCAACTCCCTCGACGTCGCGGCATACTTCCACGTCCTCTGGGACACCACCTCCCCCATGGAGTTCGTCAAGCTGATGGCGCTTTCGCAGAGGGAAAGCGAGTGGATGCATTTGGCTAGTATTGTGGCAATTGCGGGACAGCTATTGATCGGAGACGCTCTTTTGGTGAGTGGACGTGTTCATCCAGTCCAAGATTCGAGTACGAGTATACCTTGGTCATAGGTCTACCGATGCTACGTGTTTTTCGTGGGGTACAGGTGGATAGCTATCCTCCCGGGGCTAACAACGATTGCAGGAGTCGGTGAGTCGTTGATCTCTACCAGCGCCAATCTGATTCTGATATGTACCTCGCGTCAATTCAATCTCGCGATCCTGATGCTTCGTCCCCCTCCTCTTCTTCTTCCCAGTTCTTTTCCTGATCGGAAGCAACATTGGAGGCGAAGGTCCACGGCAAATTGCTGCAGCCGCGAAGGCTTTAACAGTCACCACCAACCTCATCGTCACGATCCTCATCACCTTCCGTATTCTCCGCACCCGCCGTATGATCGCACGCCTCCTCCCCAACATCGACACGAGAGTCTACACAGGTGTCATGGCCATCCTCATCGAGTCCGCTCTTCCGCTTAGTGTGTTTGGAATCTTGGCTGCCATCATGAGGGGGCTGTTCCAAGTCAAGTGCGATCGCCTGACGGAGGCCCATGTGATTAGCTATACGCTCTTTACGGGGCTGTTTTATTCGTTCTGTGTACGTCTATCTTTCTACTCTCTACCCTCTCCTCTATCCCGTTATCATTCCACCTGGATCCCGTTCGTCGTACTGACTGTAACACCCAAACTCAGTCTCTCTCCCCGCACATGATCATTTTCAGAGTCACAACCGGGCGCTCATTCATCAAGTTCCCAACCGCGACTGACGCCCAGTCCAACGACGACCATGGGGTCTCTGACGGCTTACAATTCGCTTCTGCTCACCAATACCAGCACCAACAACACCATCCCAGCATAGAGCAATCGTACTTAAAGTCGATTCCTGATGTCGACGACAGTGGTCCTCTCAGTCCTAGTACTATCGTGGCTGAGAGACGACTTGGTGAGGGAGATTTGGAGAAGGGGTCCATTCGAAGAACGTGCAGCTGCCAGTGTAAGTGCGAGGGGTCGTCATAGGAAGTGTGTTTCGAGAATTATGGAAGATAGAATGGTACATATATACCCTTTCGATCGCCAAAATAATCGAAGAGCATTTACGAAGTATCGTCGACTGGGGATCGAACTCCCTCCTCAGGGATGTATTGCTTGGCAACAGCCCTCCAGCCAAACTCGAGTCGAAGTTCGCCTCTCTGAAGATCCGCGTTTTACAACCAGCCCAGTCTGCACGAGGGTCTTAACTCAGGCAGGGCTGAAATGTTGTGGTCAACGGCTCGGAGCTCTCAGGCCAGATCTGCACATCCCAAAATCCGAGCACTGGGAGGAACCAGTCGCGGTCATACAATGTCCACCAAGCTTCCCTTGTCGTAAGTAAACGATTGCTCTCCTCAAACTCGCTGATCATTGATCATTCTTCTCCTTTCTCGTCTCTTCTTTCCGACACCCTATTCTGTGGGGTGCCTTCTCGCTCTCACTCTCCTTCATGTCGACCAGATCCCTAGCCTATTACGTCTATGTACCTTATCTCATTGTACACTCCGCCTACTTCTTTCTCTCACGGGCTCATACGATACAAAATCTTTTTCGCCTTCTTTTTCTTCTTTTTTCCTCAGTCTCTGTTCATCCAGATTCTGAGGTATGTTTTTTCCCTGTATTTTGTTCGTGTCTACAGCTACTTATTTGTACCTATAGCACTCGTCTTGTCCACTAGGTACAGCTCCCAATTCTAGTCTCTGTTCATCCAGATTCTGAGCACTCGTCTTGTCCACTAGTACCTAGCCGACAGGTTATGAGCCCCGGCGACTAACTATAACAGTTTGCCACCGAGCCAGATCGCTAGTTCTAGCGGAACCGAGCTGTTTCTAGAACGATTTTTTCGGAGACGTTGGAGAATAGGGTCGCGGGAGAAGATTTTTTTGACGGCAGCTATACAGGTGCGCCTATCATCTCGGGTGCAGCAGTTTTCTTCCGTTATTTCTTTCTCTTTTTCTGTTTTTTACGCGTAAACCTTGTCTATTTTTTCTTTTATCTCTACTATGAGTCAACACCATTCCCCTCCTCATTCCCCAGTGCAAAACCCTGGAGAGAATTTTGGTAGCGATGGTGAAAACCAACATCAGGCCATTTTTTCGGGCTATGATGGCACCATTTCATGGGTTCTTCCGGCCCCGGTGTTTCCAGCACCTATGCCGATGCCCGAGCAACCAGTGGCTATGCCACCTCCTATGGGATTTCGCCCTTCTACGGCCCCACCGTCCATGGTTCCTTCATCTTTCAATCATGTATTACCCCCAGTTCAAGGCCACGTGCCGAATTCGTATACTCCTTCTTTTGGTCCAACCCTTCCACCGTCATACAATTTCGGTGGTAGTAGACGCACATTTGGTGCTCCAGGCGCTTTTCAGCCACATTTATCTAATTTTGGACAAGAACCTTATTCGATGAATCAATCTTTTGGTCAGGCTCTCTCACAGAATGGTTTACCTTCAAGTTCTGCCGAGAATTCGTATAGAACTCCTCTTCTTTCACCATTACATGTAGATAGAGAACTACCTTATCATAACGCTTCCCCATACACCTTTCGGCAGAATGCCATTCGGGGAAATCCCTCCTATTGTAATCTAGGTGCTCCACCTTTTTTACCTGCTGCATCTGGGATGATTGGTCAAACTAACGCTGTTAATCCTGCTATTCTCGATCCCACGTTTATGGCCAACGGAATTCTCCCGAGACACTCTACTCCCACTCGAGATCCACATCTACAGTACACACACCAACGACATTCACCGTCTACGCCTACCGAACAGATGCGACCACCTCACCCACCGAACCAACCCATGTTCCCAAATCACTATCAGTTTCCGTTACCGCCTCAGGGCTACTATCAACACCCACCGTTCGTATATGATATGAACACCATCACGGGTTTGAGCAAGGGCTTACCGAGTACGGAATCTATACCCAAGCTTACGGGTCGGGAAAACTTCCGTGCCTGGTTCGAGGCCTTGGAATCGGCTGCGTTATCGGCGAATGTCTATCCCCATATCGCTTCTGAACCTTCTGAAGGAGCACCATATGACCCTATATCCATCCCCACCTACCCCCCATCGGTCGCGCCGGACTCACCCCCTCATGTTTTGGCTTTCTACCAACAGTGGTGGCAAAAAGACAATGTCGCCTCCCATCTCGTTACGGCAAAGCTCTCGGATACAATTCGCTTACAGATTCCGACGAAGAGTTTGAACCGTCGAATGCCCGCGCGGGAGATTCTTCGGGAGGTCCAGAAGATCTACGGTGTGGTGGACTACACGTCAGCACTTGTTCTTGTCTCCGAGATCACCAACCTTACCTGCAACGGGGAGAAGAAACTGTCGGTCGATTCGTATATTTCGACCTGGCGTTCGAAATTCAACACACTCATTCAGTCCAGCTACAACCCTGACGGCCGTGTCCTCGCCCAGAATTTCCTGCTTGGTTTCCCCTCCGACGATATCGACTGGAAGATATGGGCAGCACGTCACATGCACTTCCTCGAGACGGACTCCCCTGAGGGCATCCTTGCCCGTATTCCCTTCCTCCTCCAATCAGCGACGGATAATCTTCTCGCAATCGACAACACGACTAAGCTTCAGAAGCCCTCTTCAAGCTCAACTTCGCGTCGTCAACAAAAGTCTACCGTATCGTCGGCGAATCCGAAGGCGAAGGTTATTTGCTCTCACTGCAAGCGTTCGGGTCATGAGGTGTCTACCTGTTGGGCTGAGGGAGGACCCATGTTTGGGAAACGAGAAGAGGTGTTGAAGAGCAAGCGAGATGATAAAAAGGAGTCTGCTAGGATGGCAATTATCACACCCCCGGATCCTCCACCCCCTCTTCCATCCTCCTCTTCGACATCTGGAGCTAAAGCTGCCCCTTCCTCTAACACTTCTATCGCCTCTGTCGCGTTTGTACCACCCACTGTAGAAACCTCGATGTCATCATCTACCGAGAATATGACTATTGTTGACTGGTACGACCTGGATGTGGTGTCCTTAGTGGATCGTTTTGACGATGACGATGTCTCTTATGATCCTAGCTCTGGATTATCTGCCTCTACGGCTACACACGACCCCTCCCTCGCACTCGTTGCCCCGAGTCAGGATCTACGTGGATCAGTTTTTCCCCAGGAGTACAACTGTCTTCTCGACTCCGGTTGTTCATCACATATATTCAACGACCGCACTCTTTTCTGGACACTCGACTCCTCGTTCCGCCGGGAGGTTGGTACGGCCAACATGGGCTCATTCACAATTGAGGGCCGAGGCGATGTTGCGATACAGATCTACCATTCCGGTAAACCTATCGTACTTCGATTCCCGGATTGTTACTACTATCCCAACACCCCTATCCACCTTCTCTCTGTTGGCGCCTTCAACGAGAAAGGCTTGGACTGCCTCTTCCGAGCTGACCAAAGCTCGACGATAACTTTCCCTCGTGACCACCAATCCCTTCCAGGTTTGTCTATTTCCATCTCACATTGGAACAGACTGTACCTACTATACTTCAACTTCCTGCTTCCCACCCATACGATCAGCAGCGAATCACTCGTCGCTCTGTCTCCACCTCCCCTCTACTCCCATCTCTGTCTCGTCTCTATCCCGTTCGAGGATGCTTATGCGCACGAGGCCGCGTTTCGCGCCACTCTCACGGCGCAGCGCCCCGTCCCTCTAACGGTTCATCTTTGGCACCGCCGCTGTGCGCATGTCAGTCTAGAGGCGATAGATATGATGGTTAAAGGGACGTACGTTGAGGGTATGGTCCTGGACGAGAGGAAGGGAGATCCACCCACCCATCCATGCCCGACTTGTGTTGTGGCGAAGGCTAAGCAACAACCTTACCCCCATAATCGACATCGTGCCTCAGCCGTACTCGAACTCCTCCATCTCGACGTCGTGGGTCCATTCTCTCCATCACGGAAAAAGAAGTTGTACTTCTTTACTATCCTCGACGACTACTCCAACTACGGAACCACTTACCTCGTCTCGACTCGTCCGGAAGCAATCAAACACTTCAAGGACTACATGTCGAAGTGGGAACGTCAATTTGACAGGAAGGTTCTTTCTGTTCGATTTGATGGTGCTGGGGAATTTATTCATACGCTTCGGGATTTCTGCACGTCGATTGGTATTCGCTCCCAACCCACGGCTGCTTACGCGCACCCTCAGAACGGAAAGATAGAACGGTATAACCAAACCAACGAAGACGGTATGAACGCGCTTCTAGCAGACTCCGGTCTTCCTCCCTTCTTCTGGGGCGACGCCGTTCTCGCACACCAATATGTCCGCAACAGGGTACCAACCTCGACTCTTCCCCCCAACATAACGCCATTTGAACGATTCTTCGGCCATAAACCCGACATTTCGAACCTGAGGGTCTTTGGGTGTCTCTGCTTCCCTTATGTGTACAAGGAGAAGCGAAGGAAAGGAGATCTTCCCCGTTATGAGGCGATCTTCGTTGGGTATGAAGAAGACCGTGTCGGATGGTTGGTTGTTACCCCCCAGGGCAAGGAGAACTTCGTCCGAGACTGTGTCTTTATGGAGAACGTTCGCGGACGCCTTCATTCGTCGAAGAGTCTAGTTCCCCTCTCTCCCAACTCCATCACCTCTAGTGACTCGTCTATGCTTCCCCCTATGTCCGTCTCCACCACGGAGGTTGTACCTTCGATCAGGGCTAAGGACGTTATCGATCCAACGTGAGGAGAGGCTCAAGACTCTTCGACCTCGACTACCCAACCGCGCAGCCCTGGTGACCGACGACGCTATTCACAGTTTGATGGCCTTATCGTTTCTTGACTCTTCCTTTTGCGAATGGTCATTCTCCTCACTCGAAAACTTTCACATCGAACAATGCTCCCTTCTTGCGTCCTCTATCGACCGTGCACGGTACTCTCGTCCGAAGACATACACTCGTCCCCCCAAAAATCTTGCCGAGGCGCTGCGGAGGGAAGACTGGGATGCCTGGTTCGCCGCGATGCAACGAGAAGTCCACAGTCTCCGTGTCGATCACAAGGCTGTTACCGCGGTCCCTCTTCCGCCTGGTGAGAAGGCTATTCCTGTCCGATGGGTTTACGACTACAAGTACAACCCCGACGGCTCCATCATACGAGGGAAGGAGAAGGCGAGGTTGGTTGCCCAAGGTTTCCGTCAGGGACCAGGTGAATATGCTTGTGTCGTTCGACCAAAAGCTATTCCTTACCTCCTTATCAGGCGATTATGGTGACACTTATGCACCAGTTGCCCGCCTCTCGAGTATTCGCTCGATCTTGGCCTGGGCCTGCTTCAAGGATTTGGAAGTGAAATCTTTCGATATCAAGACCGCCTTTTTGCACGCTAGGCTTTCGAAACCCATATACATCAAACAGATCCCACATTTTCCCGAATCTGATTCTTCCCATGTTCTTCGTCTTCATGTCGCTCTTTATGGCCTCCGCCAATCCGCCTATGAGTGGTACCATTTACTCAACTCGGTTATCACCTCTATTGGCCTTGTTCGTCTCGATATGGACCACGCCGTCTGGGTCGGCCGCTGGTCTTCCCCACCCCCTGACTCCAATCTCACCATGCCCTCTGACGGCTCACCCCTTACAATTATTGTCCCTGTTCATGTCGACGACGGTCTCGCCGCAACAAACTCCACTCCCCTCTACCACTGGTTTATCGACAAACTCCGGGAGCGTATCAATGTTGTTGATCTTGGCGATGTTTCTCTCTACTTGGGCATCCGCATTATGCGTGATCGTACCAAGCGTCGAATGTGGTTGTCCCAGGAGTCTTATATCGAGGAGGTACTCGATGACTTCGGGTTGAAGACCTGTAATTCCCCCCTTGTCCCTATCAGCCGCCCCTTGAACGAAGTAAAGGACGATCCCACCTCAACGACCAATCTTAACCCCGATGAATGCCGAACTATGTATCAACGCATAGTCGGTATCATTACCTACCTTGCTGTCTGTACTCGTCCAGACCTGTCCTACGCGGCTATGGCACTCGGACAGTACAACGCTTCGCCAACCCCAACTCTTGTTGTCATCGCTCGTGGTGTTCTTCGCTATCTACGCAAGACATCCTCACTCACACTCGCGTATTCCCCATTCTCCGATCCGAAAACCGACAAACCATATCCTCTAGGTTCCCCATCGACTGCGGGGTATTCGGATGCGGACTGGGCTACCGATTCATCGGACAGAAAGAGCGTCTCTGGGTATTGTTATTTTCTCAACCACTGCCTTATCTCGTGGTCGGCTTCGAAGCAAAAATGTGTCTCTCTTTCTTCTACAGAAAGTGAGTACTACGCACTAGCTCATGCCATGCGTGAGGGCTTGTGGCTTCGGCCCCTGCTCTCCGCTATCGGTATTGAATATCCCATCCATTTTCCACTTTTCGGCGACAACCAATCAACTATCACGATGTCCCAATCTCTCTGTGTCAACACCCGATCCAAACATATCGATGTTCGTTACCATTTTGTTCGTGATAATATTCGTTCCGGTCTTTTCGATTTGAATTGGGTTCCTACTTCGGCTATGATTTCTGATATTTTCACGAAACCGCTTTCTTCTACTCTTTTTGAAACTCATCGTGATGCTCTTCATCTTGTACCTTGCTCTATCTCTGCGTAGGCGTCTTGAGGGGGTGTGTCGACCAGATCCCTAGCCTATTACGTCTATGTACCTTATCTCATTGTACACTCCGCCTACTTCTTTCTCTCACGGGCTCATACGATACAAAATCTTTTTCGCCTTCTTTTTCTTCTTTTTTCCTCAGTCTCTGTTCATCCAGATTCTGAGGTATGTTTTTTCCTGTATTTTGTTCGTGTCTACAGCTACTTATTTGTACCTATAGCACTCGTCTTGTCCACTAGGTACAGCTCCCAATTCTAGTCTCTGTTCATCCAGATTCTGAGCACTCGTCTTGTCCACTAGTACCTAGCCGACACTTCACAAACCCCAGATTCCTCCTCATCGGCTCATACTTAAACATCTCTCTCCTCGTCCTCGAGTCTGTGATGCTCGTCTCCTACTTCTGCAGTGAAAAGTCCCAACACGATTCGAAATGGCTGAAATACCTCATCGCGTTCTTGTATGTCATGGATTTGTTAGGGAGCGTGGCCGCTTGCGCTGTTGTCTTTCTTGTGAGTGCATTCTTTGCAAAGACCTTTTGGGTGTTTACGAGTACCGTTCTTGGACATTTTTACTTGGTCCACGCTCACGTCGATCCCTAGTTCTCGTATGCCTTCTGGGGTGCGCTTTCCTTTTATGGATGATGCTAGACGTTCAACTAATCCTCGTTTCGCTAACGTAGGGGAATACGAAGCGGACATCCACTGGCCACTCGAATTGAGCGTGATAACGACCGGAATCAACGCTTTCGCAGTGCAGTCATATATGGTCAGGAGATATTGGAACTTGTGAGGCATATATTCTCTCTTCTGTGGCCACATTCAATTCACTCTCTTGGGGCCTGTCGATTTCTATGTTCAGCTCGCGGAATCGTTATATGACCACTTTACTTGAATCTCTCGCTTTGGCATCGGTAAGTCCTTCCCTTCACTCTTGGCCTTCCTCCACCGATATTGCGCACGATCATCGTCCCCGGCGTGGCTGCGAAATGAAAGTTCTGCGGTGTCGTGGTTACAGCAGTGCTCAACTTTATTTGGGGAGTAGAAGAGCAGAGGGAGAGTGGTTTACGGTTCGCACTGTAAGTCATGGCACTCTTCCATTCCCAGCGCTCGAATATTGAGATACCTCGCCACAGGGTGGGCCTGTCACTCGCAGTCGCGACCGACTGCCTCATCACCGCGTCGCTCATCCACAAGCTACGAAGGATGCCAGTTTATGTCGACGAAACCAAGAGGTACGCGACGTCATCTCGCTTCCCTCTCAAGTGCCCAAACTCACCCTCTACACACCCTTGCGGATTCCACTTGAAGTCTAATTAATCGGATAATAGTCCTTGCTATTCAAACAGGGTCTGCCCCTGCGCTGTTGGCGTTGACAGGACTGATCACCTTTGCAGTGTTGCCGGGCGACCTCAGTGCGTGTTTTTGTTAGCCCCGCTGAACCTGAGTACACTGACCCAGGTTCAACGTTCACCATGATCTCTGTTTACTTCGATGGAACGATAGTATCCCTATCATTCTCGATGTCTCTGGGAAGCGTATACGTGTGTACCATGCTGTACACCCTCAATCGGCGTGAATCGCTTCGGAGACTGGCTCGGGGAGGGGAACCCTCGTGGATTCATCTTGATCATCTACCACCTGGTGAGTGAAGGTCTCTGTCGCTCTTAAAATAATTAAACTTTACATCTGGGTCAAATGAGACTCACCCTCGATTTCGCCGACGGGGGCCACGAGCGGCAGAAGCAGGGAAGGAGATCCATCAGGTATGCATGATTTTCATCGCCCTGGAGTTCACAAGCTTGAATGTGCTGGTAGATGGTCCAGGGCGAACTTCAGCTTTATCACGAATCTGGAGAACAACCTTGCGCAATCCCAAGTTGTCCTCTACCTCGAGCGGGAAGTCCGCTTCACTGGCCACAGAAGATGGGGAGCAAATCAAAGTTCGCGATACTCGAGGTACGAGCGGTGTTCTAGGGTGTCCTATTCGACATTGGCAAATCGAGGTTGTTCAATTACAGGTCGCTCGACGTCACTGCTCTCCCGAACACGAGGACGGTGACCAGTTTCGAGATCACTTCCGAACAGTGTTCTTGTGGTCACGCCAGGTTGATTAGGGTCGTTGGGAATTGGGAGGAATTCTGCATTAATTGCTTTACCAAAATTCGAATTTTGTGGCATTTCTGAGTAGGCGGTCGGTAGTCGTAATGCGACGTTTACCAATGAAATCCAGATATTTGGGGTCCGACATTAATGAACGGTCAAAGTCGATTATCCTCCAGGCTGTCAAGGTGCAACTCGTCGCTGGCGCTCGTGTTCCAAGTGCCACGTGAACAGACTCAGCAAAAAGCGGCAACCATCCCCAGTTGTACACTGCTTTTCCTTGCGCGGTATCATGCAACGTTGGGCAGTCCTTTATCTCCCATCTTGAGTTGTAAAACAACTTCACTGGTCGACGTTCGCCAGATGCCTATAATATTCCTCCTGAATCTCGGATCGCGTGACCTACGAAAAGCGTACTTGGAGCTATTCCGGAAGAACCACCTCATTCTTCTCCCTCCCTCGTTGGTTGATTGGCCAATGAGAGCCCTCGCCCGAATGTTAAGAATTGAGACATTCTGTGATGCTCCAAGAATTTGAATTGAGTCGTCCTTCTCCGTGTTATGGCAGGACTTCTGAGGCTTTCTCGGCACCGATGGGCGAACACCCCTGCAATTCTTCTACACGATATAAGATATCAACCTCACCTCTACACTGTCCTTCTCTCCAGGCCCTTCCAACATTCTTCCGCCATGTTACTCAAACGGCTACACATACTGGGTGGCCTCCTAACTATCCTCCCACTCCGAGTGGACGCATTGATTCGGTTTGGCTGTTCTCAGCTGGTCACCCAGCGATTCGATCCGTGTGTATCATGCCCCTTCAACTGAGGCGACCTATCGAGACCAACGCTCTTCACGAGCTAGACTGGTAACACCTGGCCAGGTTTCTCCACATGTCCATCAAATCATCGGAGGGGTGGGTCAAGTTTGCGGCCTTCATACCTTTCCTAGCAGACTGACCTACCTGCTTTCCTTCATCCACATCGTCAAACATCCAATCCATTTCCCTGGTCCGAACTCTAACCGACAGAATGCGTATGTTTCTTTCTCTACCCCGCATGTCTCCTTAGGCTTCATATTACACGCCAATCCATTTCGAAACCTTAATGGATTGATCGGTCAATGGTGAATGAACATACTTACCATAAACTGACAGATTCAATATCACTATGCATCCCGATAACGACCTCCCCGCACTATCGACTTGCACCACCTGTCGGTTCAAGGAAGATTTCTCAAACTACTGGACGGCCATCATGTACTTCAAGCACTCGAACGGCAGTTTCATTCGTGTAAGTCTCCGGTCCGAGTCATTACCCTCCTCCATACCTCAATCACGGAAATTATGGACCACAGGTTCCTCAAATTCCCAATCACTACACTGGAGCTCCTGATGGAGGCATGACGATTTATTACATTCAACCCCCTGGCGGAGAGAAAGTGACCGCTTTTGCAAAGGTACGTGGCTATCTGGCATGTATCATTTAACCTTCGCGGAGCGCTCATGCCATGATCACAATTCGTGTATGAATGTACGTTTAGGGCTTCCGAATGATCACAGGGGACCCAATGCGGCGTAGCAAACCCGATCTGGACCCAGAGAGCGTCGAAGCTTGGTCTCTCTCGTTCCGATGCTGGGAGACGACCGGTTTCTTTGATTACTCTAACCTCTATGCCCCTGGTGCTGGACCCTACGACACAGTCCATCTTCCCAACAAGAAATGTGCGGGCGGTATCCGAGCGAACATTTTCTTCCCTTCGTGCGTCATGCATCACTTCTCGTTCTTAGGTTGGTCAGCTAACGCCGAATGCAATCCAAATTGGGGACTCGATAGGTGCTGGGATGGGGTAAACCTTGACAGTCCAAACCACAAGAGTCATGTCGCCTTCCTCGAAGGAAAGGTCCCACCTGAGCGAGGAATCTTCTTCATGAACGGAACTTGTCCCGCCAGTCATCCAGTTCGACTCCCCCTCCTGTTCTACGAGACGTACTGGGATACGCGCCCGTTCGCCGACATGTGGCCTGACGATGGAACCCAACCCTTTGTCCTGAGCATGGGAGATCCGTAAGTCGTTCTGATGCTTGCAGGTAATAATGTTGCTGATGGGTAGGGTGTTTGTCTGCTAGAACGGGATACGGACATCACGGAGACTACATCTTCGGATGGGAAGGCGACTCACTTCAGCGCGCAATGGATAAATGCCATGATGGCTTTGGATGGCCCGAGGCTTGCGAAGAATTGACCATCCTCTCCGACGACGACATCAACGCGTGTAAGCAACAGCCTCAGGTCGACGAGGTCGTGGAAGGCGAATGTAAGTCTAGTTCCCATCATTCGCTGGGTTTGTGGGTTGACTTGGTGGGCGTGTTTGCTAGACCTTCCCGAGCTTCCCGGATGCAACCCTATTCAAGCTGGGCCCGGACGTGCGACCATGATCAATGACTGTAAGGCCATCTCGACTACGGGTGTCCGTCCCGCTCCGACTGCACCTGCCGCAGTTGTAACGCCCATTAACTGAGGTGTGCTCTTACCGAGATCTTCTGTATACATCATATCCCAAACCCCTCGGTGCCGCTCCACAAACACTCTGTCGGTACCATCAAGTAATTATCCGTAGTATCATGATCAAGTTTGTTTCATTGTCAGTGAAGCTGCCATGATGGCAGTCCTTCAACTTGAACTGAGTAAGATACCAAGCGGCTTAAACCTGTGAGCTGTGGGCTCAGCACGGTTCCGACTACGGCGGACGAAAGCAGAGACAAAGGGTCCGGACGCGCTACGCAGGACACACCGTACGGGATGTGCGGAAGAAATCAACCGACTCTGGGTAAATCATAGTCAGGGCCAACGGCGAAGTCGTTTCTTAGGGTTTCTCACTTTTTATCTCCACTGCCCCCACTCGAGCGAAATAGGGCTTTTTCATCTTCTCTCGCATGACAAGGAAACAATAGCGCTCAACACATCACCGACTTAGGCGCCCAGCCCAAAATGGCAAGCGATGCCAAGCACAACCGCATCCGGAGCCGCTCATCCCAAAAACGTGCGCTCCCGCCACAAAATCAAAGAGTTGTCATGGTTTCGTTCATGATGCTGAGACGTTTGTACCCGGTCGTCCTCGCCATACTTTTCTTACGCTTTGAGATCTATTGAGATCTATACGGTGTGTTCTCACATTTCACCTGTGTGCAGAAGCAATTCAGTAGAGGTGATCGCGAGGGTTAGGAGGCTTGTCGATCCTCCACGCAACGTGAAAACGCTCCACTGCGCAGTGAGTACATTGCGCTTGGTGACCATTGTCGAGGTCATAGGGGTACGACCTTGAACTCTGTTAGGCAGCGGCTTTCTCGTGGCCGACTCTCTGAGATCGATCCCAGCTCCCGAAGCCGGCCATGACGCACTGTGAACCCACGGGGACACAAGCTCCACGAAAGCATAATTGAATTCCATTCAAAACGACGTTCACAATTACATTTTACGCAATGCGTTCTTCTCTGCTCTGCAAGGTGCGTCCATGTGCGAAGTATACATCGCGCGCCGTGGAGTAGGAAGGATGCGAGTCGTAACTACTTTGTACAGATTTAGCATCGTTTTTGTTCTCTCGTATTTCTTCGAAGCTGTCGGATGTCTTGATAAACGAGTCTTCCCTGAGGACCCAGACTCTTAGAAGCGTTAAGGGTTGAAGATGTAGCGGAAGAAGAGGCCTACAGACCGTGCACCAAGGAAGTTAGCTGTCTTGAAGGGTCCTTCATTCGAGCTATGTGGTAAACCACAATGCTTCCAATTAGGTTACCTCGACACATGTCTGATCGCCAAACGTAACCATCTCCCATGTCACTTAAACTGGATTTGGGGATTGGCGTGGGGTCGTGTGCGTGGACAAAGAAAACTAAGGAGCAGAGGAACCCAGCCATCGTTTTTCAGGAGCAGGCTCGAGCGCGTTTCTAAGTCCCCTGAAGCCTTTCTTCAGTCCTGGGCGCTTTATTTGTGCCATGCGCGGGCATGATTTCATATCCGCAAGGCTCTGCAAGGCGAACCGAATAACGAAAAGCTTGTCGGCCCAACGGAGATACAGGTCCGGGGCGTCAGCCAATCAGAGGCCCGTTAAGGCACGATATGTTTGGGCTATGGTCCCACGCAACTCTGCTCCTTATGTCACGGTGCGGGTATCCTTCGTGGGCTCACACAAACGCGAACGCTGCTGTCTATTCAACGCCACGTCCTATGTTTCTTTCCCATTCCACTACCACCTCGTTAACTCTCAGTTAACAATTAACCTTCTCGCGGCTCGAGACTCCCCCTTCTACCGAGGTCCTTAGCCTTCTTCTCGCCGCATCCACGCGATACAATCGCACTCGCTCTTTTATCCAACCCTCGTCGCTCTTTCAAATTTTCTCTGGCTGTGGTCTCTAGTCTCTTTTTTCTTCGCGCTTGATGATACTCCCTGCTCGCTCTTCTGCGGTCCAACAACCCCCCACTCCCTGCCATGCCGCTGCCATTGATCTGAAGAGGCGCCATAGCGCTGTCGCTGTCGACCTTCAGGAACGACAGTTGATCAGGCTTCCCATTCCACTGCCTTCAATACCCATCCTCGACCCTCTCGTCTCGAAGATCATCCAAGGCAGCAATAGTGATCCTAACCCTGGTGGGGGGAACGGTGGAGGGAACAGCGGTGGAGGTAATAATGGCGGCGGTAACAACGGTGGAGGAAACAACGGTGGATCGAATAACGGTGGGGGGAATAATGGAGGAGGGAATAATAATGGAGGAGGGAATAACGGAGGAGGGAATAACGGAGGAGGAAACAACGGCGGAGGAAACAACGGTGGATCGAATAACGGCGGAGGCAACAACGGTAATGGGAACGGGGCAAACAATGGCGGGGGGAACGACGGTAACTCGGGAGGAAACCCAGACGGAGGAGGAAACAACGGCGGGGGTCAGCCAGGCGGGAATTCAGGCAGCGACGGCGGGAGCACCGGAGTTCAACCCACTCCAACAGATCGCGGCTCACAGTCACCCTCTGGCACTGCCTCTCCATCTCAGCAAGGCCCTGGTCGTGGCGGAAGTTCGATCTCAGACTCTGACGATCCTGAAGAAACTGGTCGCCCTCGCACGGGCAACGGCAACTCCAACACTGATACATCCCAATTCCATCCAACCGATAACCAACGAGGCCCGGTGAACGCTGCACCTGTGCCCGACGAGGACATTCACTCAATTGTGACCGTCTCCAATGGTCGCACCATGACCATTCCCAACACCCGTATCAGCCCTACTGGAACCTCGATCACGGGGGTCTCCTCCAACCCTACCGACCTTGCCGACCCCGGTAAGACGGCATCCCACAACGACCCGGGTCACTCCAACCGAATCATAATCGCCGTCGCCGTCGTGTCCTTCCTCCTCTTCGCCGGGATCCTCTTCCTCGTGGGTCGACGGTACTGGAGGTCCCGCCGCACCGAGCAGCAAAACTTCTGGTGGTTCAATCGCAAACGCACTTCGCGCACCTTCCACGATGACTCGCGCCGTTCCTCCAAGCGGAGTAGCTTTGGGACGCTCGACTTGCGTGGAGACGATCCGTTTGGGAATAGAACGCCAAGCGAGTCACCTGTTCCTCCAATGGTGCAGGTCCCACCCGCGCAGAATCCGTTCCAAGGTCCGAACGAGCCTTCGTCATCGATTTCTGTGGATCGGCGATTCTCGGTTGGAAGTATGGGCAGCAAAGACTCCCATTTTACGGTCGTGCACTTTGGTCGTGCGAGCCTCGATACGTCGGATTCCCACCAACAAGCCCATACCCCCTTGGCCTCCACGTTCTCATTCCCCAAACCCCCTGGAAGCGACCGCGCTTCGTCGTTGTCGTCGGCAAGGAGCTCAGCAAGGTCGCCCTCCCCAACTACCCGAAGTCTCGCAGCGATCGCTGAATCATCGGAACCCCAGTCCTCAACTTACTCGATCGCGCCCATGGATAACCGCCAGAGTGTCCTCTCTGGACAGTCGTCGAGCTACTACCACTCGGACGACCCGTTCAGCGACTCTAACGCCAGCTCCGTCGGCACCCACGCTCCTTCCGGTTCCCGTGTCCCTCCTCAGATCGTGGTGCAACAAACGTATGTGGCGTGCAGTCCGCACGAGTTATCTGTCAAGGAGGGTGACAGCGTTGTCCTTGTGGAGACCTTCAGTGGGGGCTGGGTCGTTGCTGAGAACGTGGCCACTTCGAAGAGGGGGATGATACCCCTTGCTTGTCTGACTGGATGGCCGGCGTCGCAGGAGGCGTAACGAACGTGGTTCGGGGCTGGCTTTTTGAATGACGCTTTCAGCGAGACCCTTTCTTTTTGCTCTTTTACAGATGATTCGCCTGACTGTTTTTGCGACGATTTCGTTTCGATTTTGGATTGATTTGCTTTGTTTCGATCTGTCTTCCGGTTTTCAATTTCACGATGGCATGATCTTTGAACCTGGATTGGACTTACCATCTGTACCATCTTCAATCGTAGCCTTACCATTCCCGCTTTCTCTCTTCTATCCCGCGGACTGCTCCCCTATACCACCTTCCACGCGATTCCCATACCTATCCTTCCGTTCTCTTCTCAACTTCTTTCGTCTTTCGTGTCTGTGACATGATCTGTGTACACATACCGACCAGTACTGTTCTTCCCTCCGGTTCTGTTACATCTTCCATTGTCTGTTCTATTAGAATACATACGCATGTGCTTTTTTCGCCGTGTAGACTTTAGCTTTTTTTACGATTCATTGACATTTATTTGTGCTGTCTTCCGTCGATCTGTCTATCTGTTGTTAAGCTGTCTGCTAGTCTGTCTGTCTCAGTACCAACGTGCGTGTCTGTCCAGTCCGTCTTCTGCGCTTTCTGTCAGCTATTTTTAAGCATAAGCCGCCATCAGGTGTAATTGGGTAAACCACAAACTTTGTAAACTGTCCAGCTTGAACACGACGTGGAATGGGGTTGGATGGGAACCTCAGTCCGATTGCGCTGGAGTTCTGGACAGGTGGAGCTGAGGACGCCCATGTCCAGAATGCGCGCGGGAGAAGCGCTCCGCAGACCAAGAATGTTCAACTATCATTCAGACAACCTTGATTTACTGTTTGACGGGTGGGGCGGTCAGAAAGAATGTGAAGTTAGATTGCGGAAGCCGCAGATAAAGATAAATTATGTGAAGGCGAACGTGGGCCTGGCTCAACGGGGATGCGGGGACGTAGGCCAAAACACAAGACGTGTTCGCGGAGAAAAGGTGAAAGACAATAGCGATGGTTATGCCACTGCTCTAGCTACGACATCAAGTAAAAACCCCAAGTTCCCTTTCTTACAGATATCCTCTGCCATTGCGTCTCCAAACCTGCTCCGCCGCTGCCTCACCCGCCTTGGTTCCTTCATCAGAAGCAAACTGGAAGTGGACACCGACAAAGACGCGGGAGTCACCATTCTCTTTAGCAGCCTGGGAGAGCGAGGTGAAGGTGCGGCTGAGAACGCCAACGTTATCGAGGGCGACATTGCTAGAGATCGTGACTGACGGTGTGAGGTTGTCGCTACCGATGTGCCGCCTGATGATCTCGGCTGCTGCTCCACCGTACACGGCGTGTCCTGAGAGGTAGTCTTGGTGGCCTGGAGTTGGGGAGAGAGGTTCCCATGACGGGTCGCTGAGGTTGTTTCCGGACTTGAGGAAGACCTGAGTGTAATGGAGAGCTGTGATCGGGCGCCATGCGTTGTACTGCAGAGCATTCGAGTCAGTCAGTGTCTTTGCCTTGAGTTAAAGAGTTCTCGTCACCCCCCACCACGTGCCTTGTTCTTAGTTTGGAACGCGACGATGCCAGCGTTAGAAATGGCCCAGTTCAACCTCGCGTACAGTTCGGCAGATTTGAGGACGTCGTCCTTCAGAGACTCGCCAACGATAACAGAGGCGAATCGATTCCAGAAAGTAATGGAAGACTCGAGCCAGAAGTAGCCAATCTACTCATCAAGCGTTAAAGCTCTCGTCCAAACGCTTCATCGAAATCTGGAGACATTTGCGTACCTCGGTTTCATCAGCAGTGCGCGTGCTGTTGGTTCTGCTCCCCTTCTCCTTGATTCGCAGCAAGTGCGGCTCGTAGTCGTCGCCAGTAGGAGAGGGTGGAGGTCCCCATTCGGGGACTTTGTTGACGCCACCCCATGGTTTGAGGTCTCCGCCGTGCTGAGACGCAGGAATTGGGTTGTTCGGAGGCGTGGGCTGGTAGACACCAGGCGCGGCAGGCTTGAAGTCGTACCGGGCGTACTGGAATGACAAGCCGTCAGCTTCGAGTAACATTAGCAATGCCCAGAAGACCACGACATACCTTCGAAACACCATCGCCTGCGCGGGCCCGTAGCACCTTCACAGCCGCAGACTCGCCAATCCTCCTGCCAGTGTTGCTCTCAGAGGTGGTAGGGGTGATGGTGTTCTCGATCTCAGTGAGGTAGGAATCGATCCTCTGATACTGGGCGGAGAAAAGGGTGTTCAGTGCGTCGTGGGCGGCGTAGCTGACGGCGAGTTGCTGGACTGTCTTGGGTTGTCGTGACGCATCCTGCGCGGCGGCGAGGATTGCGGTATGGACGTATGCCCCAGCGTAACCCTCGTGGAAGGAACCGAGACGGGGGGATGATGCGTTCAAGGACCAGGTGGTTCTCAGGTTCCTGCGTTGACGGTTGAAGCATTAGAATGGGGAGAGAGGGTGTTGCGGAAAGGGACATATGTACCAGTACTGGACGATATCACCTGGGTAGGGTGCAGCCAGAGCTGTGCTGAGGGTGGTGGCAAGGATGGCGAAGGCAGTCGACAGCTGCATCTTCTCCAAGCAATCGAGAGAAAGTCCGTTCTGTCGATGGAGGGTGGATGTCTCCCAGCGCCAGTATTTATAGAGGACCAGAGATTAATGACGCCATCTACCAGAGTACCGTGCTCATCAGGACGATTAGAGCAGGTCATTTGTTCACATCGAAGCGCGAAGTGTCGAACTTCCCCGTCGTGTCAGAGTTAATTTTGGGTAGAAGAGAAAACCGCCACACGGACCTTGACACAGAAGACGGAATGGGGATGTACATGGGAGGGTATCGAGCCTTTTTGCCAGAAGTCCTACATCTCTTGCGTTCCTCGACGCGTTACTCAGTGGCTGGTGATGGAAGAAAGCGGAAGCCAATGCACGTTGCCTTTCCTTCACCCTGGTCCCAAAACTCCGCCGGTAACGCAATCAATCCGACTGCCCGCTGTCCCCCTTCATTTAGACAACCCCACATGGCGATCTACATACCTGGTACATAATCATCAGTATCTCATCAAAACAGATAGGCATTTACAATGATAGCACGGGCAAGTGAGTGACTTCGATGGTAGGCGCTTAGAACCCAAATGCAGTCGTCTACATGGCGAATTAGCCGTACAAAGCCAACAGAGGACAGTGCTTTCGCTCGTTCAAAAGTAGCTACATACCGGATTGACGGTGAGTCTGGCGGCTTTGCGGTGTACATCTAGGATGGGAAAATAAGAACTAATTTGACGTGCTTTCGAAAAGACTGTCGCCATTTCGAAGCACATCAAGCACAACGCAAACAGACGCATTTCGCATGGACATGGAGATCGGACAGGAAACGATCATAAATAAGCGCGCCCCGGATTACAATCCGGATAGCACGTCAGACTCATGGTCGCGAAAAGGCCATCGTCACAAATAAGTCTCACCAACTCCCACTGCCCATCCAAAATGACAATTAGACGACAGTGTTGCGAAATTGGTTTACAGGAAAACGCAATTCCGAGGAGGTGACCCACATGCACACAACTCCCTAATCGTTCAACGTTCAGCATCCGTACGGAAGGTTTCTAGAATAAAACGAGGGTCAAGCAGCATGCAGTGCGAAAGTGACAGTGGCGAAGCTTATTGCAGTTACCCTTCTCTACGAGAAAGGGTGAAAGGAGAGCACCTCCATTCATTGCAATTGGGTATCACCATGGTACCATAAGTCCTCATCGCAGTATTAGTACCCTTATAATCGCATACGACGTCATCAGCACAACTACCTACATGATAAGCCTCCATAGACCTTTGTATGTAAGAGCCACAACACAAACAACAGCCCTGGAGACATCGACACCCATGTCCAGAAAGCGCGTGAAAAGCGCGTGTTCGACAGCCTTGCTTCACTGGTCAACGGGTGGAGCGTCAGAAATAAGTCAGATTTCAGAGGCAGATATAGATAACGATAGACTATGCAGACGTGGTGAACGAGCCGGCTCAACCGGGATATGGGCTCTAAACCCAGAACGAAAGGTGGAAACGAAGGAGGAACGGAAGAAAACAACGAATGGAAGACCAAAGAAACAGCGGCAGAGCAGATAAAGAGTACCTCTTCAGATCGCAAGCATCGAAACGATAGTGAGCAAACTAAGCATCGACCATGCCCATCCGACTCCACGATGAGCACTGGACGCAGAACTCGAACGACGATGAAGGTGTACGACAGAGGAGGAGGAAGAATTACTGACTTCTCTCGTCTCCAAATCCCTTCTCCACTTCTGATTGTCAGTTTCATCAAAGCCTTGCGTGACGGCGACCGAGAAATCCGCAAAGTAGATATCTTGGTCTTTAGGCGACGCCCAGTCCACCGTACTCCCTGCACAAGAAAAAGGCGTTCATCAGCTCAACGTCGTCCAAAACGAGAGTAGGGAAGAACACTACGTACCTCCAAAGAAACTCTGCACCTGGATCCCCCTAATCCTCCCCTCCTCACCCTCCCTAATAATAATCCCCTCTGCCCTAATCTTACTCTTCCCATCCACAAACAGCTCCACCTCTCCATTCGCCTGTCCGGGATCATTCAGCCTAACCCTCTGCGCCACCGTCGTCCACCTCCCCCTCTCAAATTTGAAATTCCCCCTCCCAATCGAAATACCATACGTCGCGTCGCACCTATTCTCCGCCGGCTCGCAGAGAGCTCTGTTGGATTCGAATCCGGGCACGTCATAGGGCGGGAAGTAGGCGTAGATCTCGCCTGCGCCGTTCGTCCTCCACATTAGACGGGTGGAGAAACAGGCGATGTCCTTTCGTCCGCCGGAGCACGAGTAGGATTCGTCGTCCGAATTGCCACCGACTAAATGGGAGAGAGAGATAAGATAAGCGTTGCACCTCTCACTTCACAAAGGAAAATGAAAGAAGGGCACTCACAGAATCCAGGCAACTTCCCACCCTTCACAAACTCAAACCCCTCCGGAAAATACACCGCATACCCCAGGGTGGCCTCCTTCGCAATCGTCAAATCATGATCCTTAGGCCCATGCGAATAAAACGATATCCCCCCTTGCGGGTCCGAGTTGAGGGTATACGAGCCGTTGGGAAAATGAACGTGAATGGCGTCTTTGCCGTCGGGTCCAGTAACGTAGCGGAGGGGAAGAGCTTTCATAGCTTTGATGGGGTTGAGCGTCGAGTTGGCGAGAGGGAGGGAGTCGGGGTGGCCGGGGAGCGTCGTCCAGCTTGAGAGACCGCTCGAGAGCGGGAAGAGGGAGTCATAGGTTGGTAGGGAGCGGGTGGTGAGCACAGAGGGTCCGAGGGACATCTTGGGCCGTTACGTGGTATCGGGAAGTGGTATACGCTTCCAAGAGCAAGGTATGTGTCGAAAGCGAGCTAAAAGAGAGACACAAGTCAAGAAACGAATGCAATCCCACCCACCATGGCAGGAGGGTTATATACCGCCTTCGACGAGTCACGCCCTCTCACAAGAGCGCAAAAACAGAGCGGACAAACCGAGTCACAAGCACCGATCCTACCTGAAGAAAAAACTTCCAAGCCGATCCATCCTGCAATCAAAAAGTCCAAGCTGATCCTCCCGCAGCGCAGCTCGATTCTCCAGTCTCCCACACTCCTACTTCCCCGCACCGATCCTCATTGGACAAAACCTTCCAAGCGCGGAAGAAAAAAAGACGAAGCTTAAAACGCGATCGGAGAACGGAAGGGATGCCCATTCAGTGAGGTGTCCTGCAGACGTGGAGGGTGGATAAATTTCGGAACGAACTTGTGCCTCACCTCCAAGACCGCGACGAGGCTTTTCCACCCCTGCCAGATAAGGCTTCTCCAGTTTGGCATTGGACCCAAGGCTACTCACATTCAGTCTTGAGTCTTGTTCTGACTCCCAAGCCTGGGACCAGGGCGTTCCATCTGACTCCCCAAGGCCACCAAGGGCTTTCCCATCTGACTCCCCAAGCGTGCAACCAGCGCTGCCCCGTCTGACTCCCAAGCACGGAAAAGCGCTTCTCGTATTCCTTGAAGACAGTCACGACGAGGGAGATTCTCATGACCCACACTAAAAATGTAAAAGAAGCATTCAGCAAAGAGCAAACGGGGAACAAGGGGTAGAAGGGAACGGAGCGCACGGGCGAAGAGGAGGGGAGGTTAGAACGGAGAAAAGCATGCATCAAAGAAGCCTCTCACCTCTGGGAACCCACTCAGAGTGTTCTTGGTTGAGCGGTCTTGGGCGGAGGTGGCCTGGGGTGGATGACTCCCATGTCTCAGACAGAAGTAGAGTCGAGGAGTCAAGTATCACCAGAGAGGAAAGAGAGAAAGAGGATATTGGAGCTGGTCCAATCTCTTAAAGAACACTCCAAAATTCTACGCACACAACACGCATTTCATAAACGACGTCGAATAATGATGTAGGATGGTATAAGGAACAGAATATCCCAGGAAAGAACAAAGAACAAACGAAAGGCGTTACAGTACTATATTAAAACGCAGTCATAGTTAGCCATAGCAGAGTCCAACACCTCTATAATCTGAACTGCTCTAGCATCTACGTCGAAAGCCAATGAAATGGACAAAATGGTAGTGGCGAGCGGGATGGATGGATGTAGGGTTAAGCGGCGGAGTGAATGAATTTGAGGATCGGAATGGCTGTGAGCGGCGAAACGAGTACTTGAAGTGGGGGGGATACATAACGATGCAGAATGCATGCAAGTAGGGGAAAACGAATGCAAGGGACGAAATGTAGTCCACCGGTCCAGATTGCAGAGCGATGCGATGATGAATTAGTATGCAGACGAAAGCAAGAGGACAACCGAGCGACGAATCAAGAGTAGAAACATGGATCAAAGAAAGAATGCGAATGCTCTATAGGGTAGCCGAAAGCCAGAACAGTCCGATAGGAGGAGTGAAATTAGGATGCTGGTGAGGTCAGAAACGAAACCGAAAGAAACTAAAGTGAGAAACGAAACCGACAAAAACGAAAGTGAGAAATATGTGAGAACACAACCGAGAACAAAGCCGAAAATTCGGGAAGAGTATAATTTTTGAATCCAAGATTGAAGCGATGAATGGGAAGAGGGAGGAGGGAGGGAGGCAGTAGTGGGGTGTAGGAGCGGATGAAAGACAGAGAGAGAGAGAGACGAGGGAAAGGAGACGATCCAGAATTCCTCGACCGATATGCCGTGATCGATTGATCCAGATCATGATCTCGATCACCCGGCACCCGGCATCCTCGATCACATTTCGGCGAGCGATTCCAAAGCGGGATGAACATGAACAACCAACCTTCCACCATCCGCCCTTCCACCCTTCCACCGTCCACCAATCCACCACCATGTCGCCCAGCAAAAGTCTCAGACTCATCTCAACATCAACTATCGAGGGGAGACCTCTAACCCCCTCGTCCTAGACCCACTCCGACTCCCAGCCGCACTCCTCATCCCAGTCCCAGCACCATGCTCAACAAACCGCACACTCCTCGCAGGCGAACTATCCCGCGTGTGCACACCTAGTCGTGAAGACCTGAACGCGCTCCCTCCTCCTCCAGTACTAGTACTCCCGCTTCCTCCAGCACAGGTACTCCCGCCTCCTCCAGTACTGCTACTCCCGCTTCCACCTCCTACACCAGTCGAACCGTCACTTCCACCACTGCTTGGACTCCCATTAGCGCCTTCGGCAGGTGTAACCATCAGCGACGGAATCGGGGACGCCGTCCCACCACCACCGCCACCACCACCACCACCACCATCTATGGATCGAGAGGGCGCACGACCTCGGAATCGTCCACTGGGCACCTCCTCCATCTCGTACCTCTCCCCTGACGATGATCCCCGTTGATCTTGGACGGGGAGATGCGTCTGCGACGAATGAGGCGAAAGATGCGTCGACGAACGACCCGAATCGTGTGGTGAACCATGCGAAGAGACGTGCGGTGAACCATGCGAGGAAATGTGCGGTGAACCATGAGAGGAAATGTGCGGTGAACCATGAGAGGAAATGTGCGGTGAACCATGAGAAGCCAGACGTGGTGATCCATACGACGACCCCAAAGGAGGCGACAAATGCGTTCCCGAAGAACCCCCAATCGACCGCGAATGAGTATACGAAACCGACCCCTTCCTCCTCCCAACACCTCCAACAACCGACTTTCCGAGTCCAACACCCCCAACAACCGACCTAATCGCACTTCCTACACGCATCTTCTTACTACCCTGCTTCGTCGAGTGCTGTCGTGTCGGTGACCGCGATCTCGACTTCGACTTTAACTTCGAGCCCGAATTTCCCTGTCCTCCACCTCGATGTGGATGAGCATGACCCTCGTTCGAACTCTCCGATTCCCACGTATCTTCATCGTCCTCGCGAGAGCCGGTAGTCGCACCTGCTGCCTCCATACTCATACCACCACCTCCAGAACCACTCCCAGAACCACTCGCACCCGTCCCATCACCCGTCCCACCACCCACACCCATCCCTCCACCAGTCCCAGACCCACCACCGACCCCAGATCCTCCACCCGCCCCAGAAGACCCCCGCACACTCCCCCTCCTCCGCCCCCTAACCCTCATAACAACCCTCTCAGCCCTCCCACTCGTGCCCGTCCTCTTCAGCACAGGCCCAGCCACCACCTCCCTCACCCGACTCCCCACTCTATGCAGGCCCTCCGCAGCAGCCATCAACTCCCTGGACACCGTCCGTTCGAGATCGTTTATCGTTTCGTGGACGGCGGTGCCAGCGTGTGTAGATGAAGCGGGGGATGGAGGGTCGTGGATGACTGTTACTTCGACCTGTGGAGGAGAATTTGGTATGTTAGTAACGATGTAGTCGGTGAAGAACGACGAGAAAGCGAAGGACGATAAAGAAGAACGAACAGTCCAGTGGAGAGCGACTCGATGAGACCGAGAAAAAAAAAAGGCCAAACCAAAAATAACCAAAAATCAACGAAAGAAAAAGACCACTCACATCCTCCCCAGGCCCCAACCGCCTCTCAATAACCGGAATGTCGTCCCTCCCTCCACTCCGTAATCTCCTCGCCTTCACCTAGATCTCTAATCGGTAGTCTTCCCCCATCAGGATACGCTTCCTCTCGATAATCCAATCCCGTTCTATCCTGTGGTACATCACCGAGATCCACCGACCTCGACGGGGAGGTCACCGACAATCTATGAGGGGAGAACGGGTAGGAAGGTTCTAGTAGGCGAATGTGTGGGTGTCGCTCTTCTTCTTCCTGTCCTGGCACCGTAATCGAAATCGATGTTGTGGGGGGAGATGGTGGGGAACCAGGAGAGAGAGGAGATGGAGAACCAGAGGGCGGTGAAGGCGACACAACATCCGCATCAGCTTTCGCTTTCAACTTGGCTCTTCCACCTTCCTCCGTAGCTCGCTCCGCGAACCTTACTTCGCCTGGTGCTCCCCCTGCTCCTCCTTCTATCCCTATTCCTCCCGAGAAACCGCTCTCGAGATCCTCACCACGCCTGTCCCGGTGGTCCTCATCAAACTCACCCGCATGGTCCACATATATTTCAAGCCTCTCCCCTCCACCAATACCATCTTTCTCACTCCCACTCCCTTCCTTCGTCTTCTCCGAATCCGTCTGGCCTTTTTCCAAATCCACCACCCCGACCACTCTCCTTTCCTCCTCCTCCTCCTCCTCCCCCACTCCCTCCCCCACTCCTCCAGCCCCCTCATCACCCCGATCCCTATTAATAACAATCCCCGCATCACCACGACTAACCAACCGTGCATGGTACGTCCACTCCGGTGCACCTCTCGCAGTCCCAGTCGCAGTCGCATGCCTCGACCACGTCCTCCCCGAATGCACCGACCACGTCCTACTAACCGAATGCACTCTCCTACCAAGACTGAACGAGGGTATCGAGAGTCCGTGCACGGTGATCGAGCAGAGGACCATGAAGGATACGACGGGGTGTATGACTTCGGTTACGCGGTGGATTTGGTCGTAGTTGGATGTTGTGGTGGGTGTGGGGTGCTGACGATGGATTACTTCGAGGGCGAGGGTGGAGATGAATACTGCGCCTAGGGAGGTTCCAAGTTAGTATATATATGCGCGTGTAGGAGAGCAGTAGGATATAAAGAGTCCTTTTCACGTACCAATCCCAATCGGCCCAAAATGCCCACTAAACGTCGCCTCCCTCAAATTCTTCACATCCGGTATCCACCTATACAGCGCAATCATAACCGGCAACCTCCTAAACACCAACACCAACACCGCAATGACAATCAACCTCCACACACTCAACTCAATCTCCCCATCCTGGAATTTATCGAACGGCATCCACGCGCCTACAAATATAAACGCAGCAACGTTAAACAACAAGTCTATTACAGAGCTGAAGACGGATTCTTCGGTTTGCCGGTTGAAGAAGCCGTCCCAGGCAAAGGCGGTGCCGCAGGCGAAGGCGGCGAGGAGGTCGTCCGTTCCGAGGAGGGTCGTGACGCCGATGGTGAAGAGCGCGAGGGAGACGTATTGGGCTACGTACGAGTGTCGGTCGATTAGGTCGAGTCGTTCGCAGAATTTCATCAGGTGTCGGAAGCCGAAGCCGAGGAGTGCGCCCATTACGATTGCTAATGCGATTTGGTCTGTATTTCATTCGATGTAAGATTCCAATTAGAAGATTCGGAGATGAATTGGGACGCACATAGCCAGAGAAGCAGAAACCAATCCTTCACCGCCGTCTTAGCGTCAATGTCGAGCAGGAGGTAGAGAGCGAGGAAGAGGAAGGGAAAGGCTGCTCCGTCGTTGCATCCCGATTCTGCGGCGAGGAGGTGGCGGAGGTGAGCTGGTACGTGCTTGTCGGCCCATTTGCCACCGATGACTGCGGCTGCGAGGATGGGGTCGGTAGGTGTGAGGCACGCTGCGATGGCGAGAGAGGAGACGTAGTTGAGTTTTGGAATGAGTGCGTAGATGAACGCTGCGGAGACTACCCAGCCCTGCTCGCACGTACCATTGGGTTAGCTAGATGTTGGTTGGAATGCGGCAGAGATATGGGGAGGGGACGCACCCATGTCATGACTGGCACCAAGAGGAAGAAGAGGCTTTTCCAGTGGCGCGCCATGTAGGCTTTGGGCAGCTCCACGCCGATCGCGAATACGCCGATGGCGAGGACGACGCGCGTGAATTCGAGGACGACGACGTTGGTCACTTCGTCGTTGTTCCCTGTCCATGCTCGTGGATTGAATATGTCCGCGCAAAAGGGGCCTGTATAGTCGAGTACCAATCGTGAGCTGTCCTGTCATCGCGAATGCCATTGTGGGGAGTTGGAGGGAGGGACGAACCGATGATGACGCCGAAGAGGAAGGCCCAGCACGCTTCGCTTATGTAGAGCTATACCATGCACTCGTCACGTCTATCCTCAGGAGAAGGTAATAGAAAGACGCACCCTGGACCTAAGAAACAGCGAGAACATCCCAAACTAGATTCAAAGGGATGCCTTTTCAGCTCTATGATCCTCCCCCGCCCGTCGAATGAGGAGACAGCGCACCAGAACGATGAATCCTCCGAGGCAGGCATAGATGATGTGCGGGATCGTAACTTCGAACTATCCATCGTCGTCGTCAGTACATACGCCCATACAAAACCCAGGAAGAGCGAAGGAAGGAGGGACGCACAGGAGTGAAAGGCATCGCTTCGAGAATCAAAAGAATCTCGAATCGACCAATCGACAGTTCCGCGTTGGAGCGCACGGTCCAGGCAACGGGTTTAAAAATAGATTTCTTTACCCCTTGGACAACTTGTCTATGCTGTTGTCTCCCTTTTCTGGCGGTTCTTATCGGGGAATGGGAAAGAGGTAGGGGATTCCAGGGAGATTGGAGGAGGTGGAGGAGGGAAGAGAGCGGTTTAGCGGGGTTTCGCCCCACACAGGTTTGTCTTGGGATCCGGGATCTGGGTGCCAAGGGTTCTTATCAATGCTTGGCTTACCAAATCGCTTTTCCCGTGTTCGCCTGCGGGCTCACTGCCGCTCCCTTTCGACTTGTGGTTTGGTGTTGGTGCTCTTTTCATATGTGCTGTGTGCATGAATATCGTTGGGTGTGTATTGTACACGTTGAATAAACTGTTCTTTATGCAACGCATCTCAGAAATTTAGGAGTTTTGTGTGGATTATACCTGTACGGGAGGTCGACCAGTACCAGCACAGTTGGATGTATGGTGCCAGGGAGGTGGCGGTTTCAAAGCCATGCGAGAGGGGACTAGGGTCCCAGGAGGCGGCGGTATGCGTAGTGTAAATAGGTATCACTAAGTATCACTATCACTATCCCTATCACTATCACTATCGGTATCACCATCACGGTCTACCTCTACCTCCACCTCTCTACCTCTACCTCGTCTATCATAAAATTCTGTTCGTCTAAACCTTCGTCTCGAACCTCCATTTCAACCCCACGTGTGGCGCAGCGTTATCTGCAGATAGAGGTAATGATAGAGATTGGGCTTCATGAGACGAGGTTAGGGTTCTAGAACGCGTATCTGTGATACACTCGACCTCGATCAACCTCAAGAAGCAAGAACGCCGGCCGGACGCAGGATTGAAGGGAAGGGATGGGAGACGGACACACCGCGGCGGGCGCTCGGTGCTGGGCGCTCGTTATGAGCCGTGCGAACTCATCAACTTCTCTTGGCCCGTCTTGTCCAACTCTTGTCCAACTCTTGTCATCCCCAAAACGGGTTTCCTCAACCCTAAAGTAGCACCCATGTGGTCTTGGAGTTTTGTCCCATCAAATCCAAGAGGATTTGCGCTCTTGTCATCGACTCTTGTGAGTTGTTCGGACTTGGCTTTCTTGGCCGTACGGCCACTGGCAAGTACATAGCCTCCCCTCTCCATCGCGACTTCAAGAATCAAGTTCATGGTTGAAGTTTCTGTAACATTGGCCCACGGTTTCTACTGTACTCGTCTTCTTCGTCTCTACTACGTTCATCAACGGCCGTCTTCCGATCCTCGATCCCCTTTCCACGGCTCTTCACATTTCTCTGAAAAACACATTCCCGCCATATGTTTCTCGAACCTCGTTCAACGTAGCGCTAGTCCACCGCTGCGCAGCCTGAGACCGCTCTCACTAACCGCTAAGCAACCATCCCTTTAAATTTGAGGAACACCGTGGCCAGGGGTCTGACTGATGCGACGTGGTCCGCTGCAGCTTTCCACCGCGCCCCTCCATGCTTTTTGCCTATGGTAAGACCCTCCTCACCGGCTCCACTCTAACGTGGAATTTCTATGTAACGCACCATCCATTGACCAGTGGTGCTATTCAAAGTACCACCGGTCGATATGTTTGTGCACGAATCAACCATCCAATTCCATCGCCAACGGGCTCAACTTAAGCGATTGCTGTACATACAAGCTCTGCCTTTTGATCCCAAAACTGCTTCCCTCGCGTGGCGTGCAACAGGCTTTGGGGGGTGGCGATTAAAGCTTTGGGCGGTGGCCATTTATTTAAAGGAAAGGTGATGGTAGGTAGCTCTAAGCGTTAACGTTGAAGTCAGTTGACATATGTAGTATCCCTTTGGGAGGAATGGAATTGATCCTGATTGACTCGAACTCCTCGACTCGGTGATTACTGACTTAGTTTGTTGATCAACCGTTTCATTAGGGGTATGTGCTGTTCCACGAGTCGAGGAGCATTATGTAAAGTACATGGATTATAAACGAGCGAGTATATCTTCTCTCGAGTAGCGTTACTGTTCTCTGAGCCCGTTGCTCACTTTCGGGTTCTCCAGGATCGAAGTTTGAAATCGACCATCTCCCGACTCCTCCGCCAGAGACTGGGGTTGAACTGCTTCAAACTTGCTCTCACGGTAGTTTTAGCAGTCAGCAGGAAGACTGAAGTCTTCCTCCCATTCAGCCTTGGCATCCACACCCATGCCCTTGCTCGCAAACACCCTCCAGAGCAGACACTTGTTGGCACCAGCATAGCGGTTCTGGTCTGCTTGGATCCACGCGTCTCGGGCGCTGAGGACTGTAAAGGTTTGCATCAGTATCAAGGGTTCATGGCCGAGAGTGATGGGATGACTCACAGGTAGGATTGCAGGGCATCAGACTAAACGAATCAATAAAGAGGTGCATCCACACGACGTTGCCTTCAGTCGTATCCGGGTTTGTGCGTGCGGTGTGAGACCACCCGTGCTCCTGTACGAGTGCGTACATGACGTTGTGGAGGGTGTTGGCCCAAATCTCGCCGCGGTCTGTAGACGTGGGACGCAGGTTAATATGATCGACCTTGGGAGGCGCGCCACCCATGGAGACTGGACGCACCATGTGGACGCTCTGGATCCGTGTTCTTTCCAGCACCATAGGTCAAGGGATTGGTCGAGCTATAGATTGAACGCGTAAGTAACGCGTTAGCCTCTCCCCTTCAATGCATTGGAAGAGGGTGGAAGGGGCTTACGCATTAATCGAGTAGGGGTACTTCCTAACTCCGCCAGTGTTTGCCAAAACCCAGGTGCCCAGGACGTAGTCGTTCATTGCGGGAGTTTGGTTCGTCCATCTGCAACGAAGAAAAAATTATTTTCGTTGAGCACGGTGCATTCGCCGGTAACCCAAAACCTTGAAGGACGACTAGAGACTCACTCTGCAAGAGCATCCGACCACCCCTCACCCAACCCTCTCGATTCAGGGGTTTGGAGGCACCGCGCCGTCCCACCTCCAACCAGGCGATTGGATATTCCATGGCCCATTTCGTGGACGACGATATCGTTCTGGAAGGTGCTGTCCCTATGGGGCTATCATCCCAAGTTAATACCATACCAATCTTTTAAGCGCCAAAGAGAAGAGCGATGGAAACACATACATTCGTAAGATCGAAGATATACATCCTGCACCTGCCTGGTTGTCCACTTCCCCAAAGTCAGCCCCTCATCCACCTCAAACAGAAAAGAGAAAAGAAAGCACAAAACCAACTCACTCAGGCGGCGTAGCAAAAACAGCATTATTCCTCCCCATCGCATCCTGCACACCAATCATCACACGATCACCTCCCTTCCCTCCCAAGCCATAATTATCCTGTTGGAAGTTATACGCCGCCCCCGTAAATCCATAGCGGTAAGTAAAGTCGTGCACGGTATTGATAACGTAGAACGCGTTGGTGCGCGCAGCGTCGACGTTGGATTGTACCGTCGGGTCCCGCGAGGCGTCGTAGGCGTAGTTGAAGATTCCAGGTGCGGATTCGGTGCTGGGTTCGTTACCCAAGAGGGAAGATTTGTAGGCGAGGACGTTGTTGCCGCTGGGAACGGTTGAGTTGATGGAGGCGTCGAAAAGTGAAGAGAGGACTTACGAAGTGCGCAACCGACGGGGGAACGGAGGGTCGTGCCATCCTAGGGGTGAAGCGAGGATGTCCTGAGGGTTGACCACGAATTCTTGGCCTTGAGGGAACGCTTGTTTGTGAATCGGTAAGACTCGGTACTAGAGCACAGATCCCTTCAGTAAATCAATACTCAGAATCTCATGTCGAAGCGACTCACGGAAGCATCGGCAGTGAAGTCAACCAAACCGATCAACTCCCCCGTATGCGCGTCAACGAAGGCTTCATAGAACGTGTCCTCTCCCTCGTTCTCGATCTGAGCGACATGGGCGAGGGCAAGGGACCCGTCTGGAAGGACGAGGTACTCAAGTTTCGCTGGGTGCCCGTTGTACTTCCCGCCCAAAGTTTCTTCGATGGTGGGGAGGACGGAGGGGAGGTCAACAGTAGGTGTTGGAGAAGCTATGTTGGCTGTAGCATCATCATAGGGATGGGCGTTAGAGCTTGGAGGAAGAAAGTAAGAAAGGGAAGAGATGACGCGACGTACTGGGATCAACGAAGGAGGATCCAAAAGAGACGACCTTGTTGTCTTTGAACGCAACATTCGCAACCGCGTTGGCAACCGGAATATCGTTCTACGGGTTCCTCTCAACTTCTCTTCAAATGAACGAACTGCTGAGAAAGGATACGTACGACGACCTGGTGGAGGTACCCATGCTGCGTCCCAATATCCGACGTGAACCCACTTCTGTACCGGACAGCGGCAGGATCGATGCCCAACCTGTCCGCGACAAAGTTGAGTGCGCCTTGCGTGATGTCGCTAACGGAGCCCAAGAGACCATCCACGAGCGTCTCGCCTTCGCCATACGTCTACACATCGCACACTAGCTTAGTAGACTGTTGATATCGAAGGACATAAGTCGAAGAGGCACCTCGAAGATAGTCTCAGGCTTGAATATTTGAAGGTCCAACAACGCCTGTCGCCGACCAAGCCCAAGCCCGTGACCAGCGATCGCTGGCCCAGCTCGGACGTGGCTAACGAGCGCTAGAGCAGTAAGGACTGACGAAAGGAGAGTGTGGAAACGCGCCATTTCAGATTGCAGATAGTCAAGAAAAAGATGGGGTGTTGCAAGGAAGGGAGTGTTGCACAAGTATCAGTGATACCTCAGACTGGAGTTGAGGTAATGAAAGACAGGGTGGGCGGGGATCAAGTGTGAGCTAGTTTTATACAGAGAGAGAGGACGAAATGGATCCATCTTCGTATGTCACGGTTAGCAGTAACCCTGTCGAGGACGTTGCGAATAAGCGGGGTATGTAAACTGGAGTATATTGAGCGGGATCAGTCAAACGAGGACGCTAACGTTCTGCTAACGTTAATTCACAGCTGAGTATCTTGAAGCCGAATATGTGTCGTAGTCGGCTATGGCTGGCACAAAGGTAGATTCGAACTGAGGAGCGATTAATCACATTTTCTGTGGCAGTACGTTTATCTTCCCCAAGGAATCGAGTCTCAGGCTAGTTCACGAGAATAGTCAAAATGTATTAAAGTCGATGTTTAACGGGTGTCCCAAGTCCTTACCTCGACCCATCGGAAGAAAATTCTTGCCATATGTACCGACACCGGATGAGACTTTATAACATTCCCGGTACCGAATTCCGAACACGCGAGTGGCAGCGAGAACGGAAGTCGAGTTTCTGTGTGCGCACGGTTAGGCGATGATCGATGACGTCCTGCATGTCAGTCGACGACGGTATTCGCTCATTTGAATTGTGACCGGCACAATAGCAATAAGCGCCCATGCTGACAAGGGAACTGGGATTGATTTAGCGCTCGCGAGATTGGGAAAGACGTCGCAGAACGGGCCACCGGGGAAAGAAACCAAGGACGAGAGAGGCTCTAGGCTGATAGATGCTCATCATGCTCTTCCAACATTTCCAGTCATGGTGAGTTCCAGTCGGCCTCGACGGCAGCCCTCTCCAAAGTATACCGTTACGGATTGTGCGCGTGTGATGCGCTCAGTAGTTCAATCATGCGGACTCGTCGTCGCCGAACTCCCGGGCCAACTTGGTGCTTTGATAGCTCCTACCTCATTGTAAATCGAGAAAGTTGATGAAATTGAGGAAGGGAGAGAAGAAGAATGTTCGTAGCGTTGCGCAGCCGCCGTCGTAGGAGGGAGCTTTCTCGGAGTAGGTTGAGAAGGAGTGATAGCCTTAGGACCATGATATAAATTCGGAGAATGGAACGAGTTGGTGAAATTCGAACCCAGGACCAAGAAACTGAAACGACACGAAGTCAGCGCACTGGTACAAATACGAACGGGACACATACCTCTCCACGGCTACCTGCACAGAATAGGGAAAGCGGAGACGAGCGACTGCAGCTGCGGAAGAGGGGCCGAGACACCAAAACACTTTGTAATCGAATGCACCAACTACAGACATGAAAGGGAAGGGATGAGAAGGGAACTACGCCACAAGGCGAGGGATTGGAAATACATATGTGGAACGGAAAGAGGGATGAAGGAGTTGGCGAAATACGTGGGGAGAACGGAGAGACTCAAGGGGCTAGTGGTGGAGAAGACGAAAGAGTAGAGCGAAGTAGAACGTAGTTACAGATCAAGGACAATTAGATTAGCATAACGGCCCTACGCCGCGCAACTAACTTACAGGCATACAAACCTTCCTATTCGTGCTTAACCACCCTCGCCATCGGCAAGGGTGGGAGGGTACGCGGGTGGTAGATAGACACGCAACGGACAACACATAGATTAGACTAGTAAAAGTAAAGTCCGCCTAGAGCACACCGTTCGATAGGACTATAATATGATTTTCATTCATTCATTCATGATATAAATTTGGTTGCGCGGTGTCTGGAAGCTAGTTAGTTCAACTTTGACTCTAAGGCCGTCTTTGTGGCGCATTACTACCTCGTACTTGGGTCGATTTGCAACCTTTTCCCAATGACAGGACTATGACCCTCAACGAGATGGAGATTCTGCCTGCACTCGAGCATTTGCCAAGACCATCTGATCCAAGCGGTCACAAATAATGGCCTCAGCCTGCCGCATTGCATTCCCTGCGGAACGGGATTCATGAATTAACTGTCACTGCCTAAACGGAAGCGAATTCGCCTTCGATGACTGGTTCTTATCTTCTCGTTTCCACCCGTAAGCCGCAATCTGGGAGGAAAAAGGAGGTCGAAGACAATCTCCATTGCCCGTCCCTTTGTCCCTCACTAACACCCAAGTACCCCACGCCATCATAATCGGCCCATTCGGCTGGCCCCTATCATCCAGGTTGGCTGTCAAGTGTCATTAAAGCTCCCTTTACTGACCGGTAGAAAATGTGATTCAGTCACTAAAATTAAAAGGCTTAGGACGTCATACAGCCATTCTAGGACACCTAAGCCACTTGGTATCCTAATGACGAGACCCATTTCCATGCACTTGGACGATGAACGGTACATGGAGGATGGCGTACCTCCGGGATCGGTGCGAAGATGTTGCAAGCCACAAGCGACGCACCACAGGAACCACAGGAAGCTGTCACGTTTCACAACCGCTAACCGAATAAGCTCGCCAGGTATAAAAGCTGTTTCATTTCTTCGACGATCGCTCTTGGGCCTCCTCTCGTTTCAAGCTATTTCCCCCGTTTCTCCCTGTTTACCTTTCGAAGATGTCCATCGATAGGGACACGAAAGTATCGTTCCACAGCATACCTTCAAAAACTACCAATATGGGGCCGTACACGGCGTCCCCGACCCTGACCGAGTTTAGCACCACGACTGAGGGGCGGAGGAACTCGCGACAGGATACTTCGTCGACGTTCATGGGCAGCCCGGTCGTTCCACCCACCAACAAGCGTCGGACGATCGTCCTCTGTTTCGATGGCACAGGCGACCAGTGAGTTGTCACCTCTTCTTGTTCTCGGTTCAGGTCGTCTGAACGGTGCTCCACTCGCAGATTTGATGCCGACGTACGTCAACCCATTTGCTATGATTTGAATGCATGGATCTCATGGCTGTTCCTAGAACTCGAATATCGTGGAATTCTTCAGTATTCTGCACAAAGGCGACCCCGAGAGGCAGATGGTTTATTACCAGGTGCGCTAGTGGCGTGTTTCTCTAGGCATGAGGTGGATCATCTCAACACTCACGAACAGGCTGGCATCGGAACGTATACTGCGGAAAGATTCGCCACTCCCTTTTTGACCAAAATATCGAAGGCATGTCCACCGCCGCCCCGCATCTACATTCTTCAGCTCATGTTCCTGCTTATGGGCTTAGACCCTTGATGAAGCAATCGCCTGGAATATCGATTCTCATATCAAACGTACGTTGTGGGAATACCCCTCGTGTTGAACACCCGTGCTCATTTTACCGTTTAGAGGGCTATGAATTCTTGATGCAACATTGTAGGGAAACCACGACCTTGAGATCAATTTCTTCTGACAGACCGCCTAACCATTTTAGATCGCAAGAATGACAGAATCTGCATTTTTGGTGAGTGTGAACATCCCACGAAGGACCAAACGGAAGCTAACCTATGTATCCAGGCTTCTCTCGAGGAGCATATACGGCTAGATGGTAAGTAGCGCCCCTCGGGTCCACATAGGAGCGCTCTTACCGTTCCCCGTTTTAGTCTGGCAGGAATGTTACACAAGGTCGGCCTCCTACCGGCGGGAAACCACCAACAAGTCCATTTTGCCTACAAGATGTACAAGAACGATAACCCGTTCGGATGGAAGCAGTCTAACGCTTTCAAGAAAGCTTTCTCGATCGAGGTGGACATCGAGTTCCTTGGCGTCTGGTAGGTTTATCTCCGCCGCTTTGCTCATTTCCGGTCAACCCACACTCGTTCTTGCAATAGGGATACTGTCAACTCTGTTGGCATCTTCCCTCGTCGATTGCCATTCTCCAAGTCGAACACCATCGTCCGCACCTTCAGGCACGCCATCGCCCTGGATGAACGTCGTGCAAAATTCAAGGCGAACACCTGGGCTCGGCTGGGCTACGAAGAGGCTCATCTCAGTATTACCGACCAGAAGATTGAGAAGCGCGAGAAGAGGGCGCAGAAGAAGGCGCAAATGGATAACCCTAGTGGTATCGCGTTGGAGAATCGCTGGAGTATTCATCGTCCCTCGCCTACTGACGTCGAAGAGGCAAGTCCCCCACTGCCACATTAGGGATGATTAAGCCTTCTAACAGCAGTCTGGAATAGGTTTGGTTTGCCGGCTGTCACTGCGGTAAGCGCCAATTGTTCCCTACTTTCATCTTCCTATCATGCTCACGTGTGTGGACCAAGATGTCGGCGGCGGTTCTGGTGAGTCCCTGAATCCTATTCCTGTGCAGCTGCCTCGTGGATTGAACGCTGACCTTTGCCCTTCCCAGTATCGAATGAAACGAAGATCAACTTGGCGCGAATTTCTCTTAGATGGATGATTCGCGAATGCTTCAGAAGAGAAAGTGGAATTTTGTTCCAAGTCGAGGGTCTGAGGGAGATCGGTATGGACCCTGCCTCCCTCTACCCAGTCGTCATCCCCCGTCCAGCTCCCCTCAACCCCAACGCTGCCGACCTCCGCATCCAACGACGCAACAAGCCTCCGCCAATCATCATGACCGGCGAAGACGAATCCGACGACTACGACTTCGTCAACCAGATGACGGAAGAGGAACACGAGCTCTACGACGCTCTCGCGCCCAAGTACGACCAGCTGAAGCTCGTCAAGTCGTGGTGGCTATTCGAGATCATTCCAATACGCCACAGATACCAGCGAAACGAAGACGACAAGTGGGTTAGCAAGGTCCGATGGAACTTCGCCAAAGGGCGAGTTATTCCGAGGATGAACACCGATGGAGTGAAGGTGCACAGGAGTGTCAAGATTAGGATGGATACCGTGTATGAAAACGGGAAGAAGTATCGACCGAAAGCGAAGTTGAATCTGGATAAGGTGACCTGGGTGGATTGAGCGCTCTGAAAATAGTTTACAGCTTCTGGATACCCTTGTAACGATTCTGAACGATCATATGACATGTGGGAAATGCTTGGGAAGTCCCTCCACCATTCTGTCTGTCAATAGGATACATCGACGTGGTAATGATAGAAGTGCTAAGGATAATAAATGTGCATTGGATTTGGGATGGCTTTTCTTTTCAGAGGACCTTGTGGATGTGCACATTGATTCGAACCGTGGTATGTAAACCCACTTCGGTGGCGAGAAGCTTCGCTTGAATTTACCTCCCGATCCAATGGAAACGGAGATTCCATGTATTCCGCATCGCTTTGTTGTCCGTTAATTCAGAATGATAGTGATCATACCCTACTTCTCATAAGCCTCTTGAATCGCCTCAACGCTCACTTGTTCGGGAGACCATGAACGGGGTCTGGCTTTGGACGCCTCTGAGCGTGACGGCATTGCGTGATGGGAGAATGGCCAAGACGTCAAAAGCTCATGTCTGTTTTTAGTCACTTCCCCTGAACGGCGACGGCGTCCACAGCTCTTAAACGGGCGGTGACATGGCCTCACGATCGTTTCCCGAGAGGGTCTTGGCCCTCTCTTCGCCTCTCTTGCTCAACACCTTCCCGAGGCTGTCGACATCGAAGCACTAGTACTTGGAAGTCGCCAACTTAAGCGCCCGTCTCCACAACGTCACCTTCCATTCCACCTGTCGCGCGTTCAGCAGTTGATATATAGCTTTCCTTGTCAGTCCCAAGCCCCTTCTTGCGCCCTTCGTGCCCAAACATCTCCAGCGCCCGCGAGTGCAGCTCGTCAGCCGCCAAATCCAGAGTTGCCAGGTTCCAATCGCACTGTGACCATGGCCGGGGTACAGCAACCAGCCACGACGGGCCATATCCAAGAGCCAACCGCGTTCTCCATGACAGAGACTGTTATCGATCGAGGACACGAGCATGAACGTTCGAGGACCATGACGAGCGATTTCGAAGTGATAGTCGAGGGTGCAACGGCGACGACGCCACCTCACCACCTTCCTCCAAAGCCTCAACCTCAGCCTCGTCGGACGTTGGATCCCAGTGCATGTCCTCCTGTGATACCACCAGAGCATCCAAGTAGGACACTGGTGCTGTGCTTCGACGGGACGGGCGATCAGTTCGATGCGGATAACTCGAATATCGTTCAGTTGGTGTCGTTGTTGAAGAAGGATGATAAGACGAAGCAGATGGTGTACTACCAGGTGCGTCCCCGCACTGTGTCCTAGGGTGCTCGAGAGAAAGCTGATGCAGTATTCGTCTACCAGACTGGAATTGGGACGTATACTTCACCCAAAGTCGCAACTCCGTTGATGTCCAAGATTCGAAAGGCGCGCTATTCTGCTCATGACAACTGTAAAACAGCTCAACGATTTCATCTCCCAGACATTGGACACGATGTTTGCTTCAAGTATTCACGCCCATGTCATGAGCGGGTACGAGTTCCTGATGCAGAACTGTTGGTACCATCTGGCTCTTTCCAACGATCTCGCTAACTCTCGTTTCCAGATCAAGCTGGGGACCGAATCAGCATGTTTGGTCAGTACTAGCGATTTCGATGATAAAAACAGATCGCTCATCAAGTGCACAGGCTTCTCCCGAGGTGCCTATACGGCTCGAAGGTGAGCATCATTTCCCTATACCAGCTAGACCTGACGCTCATGTCGACAATAGTTTGGCGGGAATGCTCCATAAAGTCGGCCTCCTCCCAGCAGACAACTTTGAGCAGGTGCCATTTGCGTACAAGATGTACACCCGCACAGACCACATCGGCTGGGAGCAATCGAACGAATTCAAGAAAGCCTTCTCCATCCATGTGGATATCGACTTCATCGGTGTTTGGTATGTCTTCATCTGATGCGTCGAGTCTCGCGTTCTCATCAGCGACTCACTGTAGGGATACCGTCGATTCGGTTGGTATCATCCCCAAGCGACTCCCCTTCACCACTTCCAACACCATTGTCCGCACCTTCCGACACGCCGTCGCCCTGGACGAGAGGAGAGCCAAGTTCAAGGCGAACCTCTGGAACAGACCTACACGCGAGGAAGAGAAGCTGGGTGATCAAAACGAAGAGTCCGTGGAGAAAGCACTATCCAACATGGCCTCCGAGGAAGACATCTCCCTGCTGAAGCTTCAGACGAACGACCTACGGCTCCCCAGTCTGCCCAAGACGCCGTTCACAAGTAGGTCCTCCAAGGAGGGCTCGGCAGACGAGAAGAACGGCACAAGCGCTAGTGGTAAGAATAGCAAGAATGGGAAGAAGAGTAGGAACCTGAGGAAACAGGATTCGGATGAGAAGATCCTCAGCACCTTCGAACGGATGTACTCGACTTCCCATAGCAAGGCTGTCAAGACAGACATCGAAGAGGTTTGGTTTGCCGGGTGCCACTGTGGTACGTGCCCCCAGCCCTCCTCCACTCTGCCTCACTTTTGACCCACCAATACCAGACGTCGGCGGCGGCTCCGTCAGCAACAAAACCCGCCACTCGCTCGCCCGAATCTCCCTCCGCTGGATGGTGCGCGAGTGCTTCAAAGCAGGGACAGGCATCATGTTCAAATCCGACCGTCTCTACGAGATCGGGTTGGACCCTACAACCCTGTACCCCTTCGTCACACCCCGTCCACCACCTCTGCCCGTCACAGAGGAGCACAAACTCCGCAAGCACCCTGCCAAAGAGATTCCCATCCGGCCCCAGGCCCTGCTTACGAAGAAGAAACCGCAGAACCTCGAGGCGCTCGCGCGGGCCTCGCAGGCACCCGCTGGCCCTATGTTCCTTGGGAGCGAGGAGGAGGAAGAGTTGCGAGATGCGCTCTCCCCGGCTTATGACCAGCTTAGGATACAGAAAGCGTGGTGGGTCTTGGAGCTCATGCCCCTTCAACTGCGGTACCAGCGGGGCGACAACCAATGGGTCACTTACTTCGCGTAGGTGTATCTCCCTAACGTTTCACCTGCCCGCTGACTCTGAATTCTCGTGTTTAGCTCGAACTTGGCTAGGCCGAGGTTCATCCCCAAGCAACGCACGAACGGAGTCAAAGTCCATCGTAGCGTCAAGCTTCGGATGGAGGCTGAGTATGAAGAGGAGAAGAAACGGTTGAAGGGGAAGAAGTATCAGCCCAAGGCGGTGCTCCGAGTTGAGCCCACTTGGGTCGATTGAGCTGGCGAAGACAAGCGCTTGATGACCATGAGATGGTGGAAGGAATGAGCGACTCGCGATTCTGCTTCGTAGTTAATTGAAACCAACATATATTCCCCGTATTAATTGATTCAGAGCCTTAAATTATGACGATTCCGATTGGAGAATGTCCCTAGGAACTGAATTAAGCGCCCAGAGTCAGTGAGCATGGCATCATGTCAATGATTGATTGATCGCCGACGGAAACGGCATACCACGATGTTCATGACCCACGAGGCGTCCAGGCCAGCGTTGCCCTTTGACGTCGACGCTCACGGCTTCCGCAAAATGTCGACACTTGAAAAGTTGGGACTCTCGTGCTGTGCTGCTCTGCTAGCGCTTCTGGTGATTTATAAAAGAGGTCCGTGGCTGCAATGGTCAAAGGTATCGTATCTGTATTCACCTCCAAGGAAGAAACTGACCGATTAGCAGCGAAAGTCGCGTCGAATTGAACCCCAAATTCTTCGATTGTCACACCTTCCCCCCGAGATCCTCGTCGAAATCATGAAACACATCGAATGGAACGATGTTCTATCTGTCCGAAGGGTAGTACTCAGTGTTCCTTCCCAAAATGAAGCTGCAATCTGACAAGTCGCACCTAGTGTTGCCGTGCCCTGCACACGGTATCAAAGGACAGGGAGGTCTGGTTGTCGCTTCTGAGAAGATACTGCGACACTGTCATTCCCCGACCGTTCTTCCTGTCCAAGCCGGTGGAACTGTGCTCGGGCGATGACCTCGAGGCTCGAGTCGTCCAATGGTGGACTGGGTGGGAGGGACTGCAGTCCACAGTCCAGACGTTCACCATGGATGACAGCATTCCGGACATTTGGGGGCCGCTCTGCCCATTGCCGGGGGACCGGTATTTTCTTTACAAAACAAACGACGGCTCCATCTACTACTGCAATCCGAGCCAGGCAGACGGCACCATGCATCTCCTCTTGCCCTCCCCTTATCCCAACGACCCATGCGTCAGCGTCAGCGTGGCAATAGACGTTATAGGGACTCAGAACATCGATCCAGAGTCATCCTTGCCCTCCGCCTCCTCTTTCGAAAACCGACTCTTCCCCCCAGTTTTCAGGCTCGCAGCAGTTCGAAGGTCAACGGTCGAGATCTGGGAGATCAGGCCAGAGGTGCAAGGAGAGGCCATTGTCTATTCGGCCCGCCTTCTCAAGTCATTCGTCGACAACAGCGAGACGCAATGTTGCTCATTGCTCGGGGACCATGTTGCCTACACCTTGCATCGACTCCGAGGTGGAACCAAAATCGTCGACTGGACAGCGGTCGCCGGCGGAGGGCCTGTCTTGGGTACTGACATAGCACTTTTACAACCCTCTGTAGGTGCCATAATTCATCCTATGTGAGTTGTTGGCTAACCTGTCCCGCAGTACTTCCTTCTTCTCCCCCATCGAAGAATCCTCGCACAGTCGACTTACATCTACATTGCCGACTGGAACGCATCTCGCCAGCTCGATTCGTCACCCACTTCCGGTATTCGTCCGCAGTGGAAGTCCACGGAGGACTTCACACACTTCCATTCCTATTTTGTCCCATTTTACATCGACAACACCTTTCGATTCATTGTGCGTAGCGTGGAGCGTCCCGCTCTAATCGGAGTCATCGTATCCAATGACCCGGATGTAGCGGTTCCGGATAGTGTTGCCTTTGCGCAGCTTGCAGAGTGTGACCCCGCTCCACATGACGACGACGTGTGGTTTGACTACCGCAAGGGAGTCTGCGTGTTTGAAAAGAACGAACGGGCCCGTCTCCTCTGCTACAAGTGGCCAGGTGACGACCTGCCGGAACCGTCAATCTCCGAGGTTGCATTCCCTAAGCACACATACACTATTTATGTAGACAAATCCTATGCGCGCTCGCGAGTAGTTATGTTCATCTACAAGCGACCCCTCCAGACTGCAGTCTTTGGATAAATTAAAGGTGGCTTAGATAGTACATTGGGCAATATAAATACATATCTCATCCAGGCCGGTTGCATGCTGAGTCGTGTCGTCGTTGTCAGATCCCCGACTGATTGTTTTTGATTCCCGCTGGCGTCAGTACCACCTGCACGCATGTTAGCCCGAGCATCTGCAGCGAGTAATGCATTGCGTACCCAGCACACCATCATGGCGAGCAGCTTCTTTGCCTTGTCCAAGGCCGGCACACGATCGTGGATGAAAAGGAAGCTGTTATAGTAATAGAGCTCGTACTTGTCGGACGTTGCGTCTACACATTCCATGACCGCGAAGATGTATTGAAATCCGTCCGAAAGGATGCACGCCAGCGCCTTGCCTCTGGTCAACGTGTCGTCAGTAAGAACAATACGACGAGAAATGGGTTTCGAATCGACTGCCCGATCAGCTCTCAGGCCTGAAACGCCTGCTTGCTACCTCTCGCGACCCACGTCGCAGAGTCAGACTGGCCTTACGCCCAACTTTCTCCCCCAAAACGTGACTTGAGACTAAATGGTTTATGTCAACGAGGTGAACGAGATGAGTACAGCTTGCGCCTCACGATTCAGAGCATGCGACATACCACGAGTACTTGTACGCCGTGAAACCGATCGCGATTGAATCAGTTGAATAGCCGGAATCACAGAACTATGTACTACGCGGAAACGTCCGAGAGTCCGACGAGTTTGCGACGATGGACCTGAGTCGCGGGAAGAGAGTTAAAACGACCCTGCATACAAAGCCCAGGGAGGAAATGGCTATACCGGTGTGTGATAGAGGATATGGGTTTCGAATCGACTCCCCGATCAGTACTGAACCGCCTGCCTCTCGCGACCCACGTCGCAGACTGGCTCTACGCCCAACTTCCTCCCCCAAAACGCGACCCGCACTCGCAGAGGAACCTCCTGCTGGAGCGGGAGTTCCCTTCCTGCTCGGGCGGGAATCCCCCAGGAAAATCTCCTGGGGGGCGGACTTATAGTGCTACTCTACTATAGTATACTACGTCGCTTTGCATGTTTTCGGTATGAAGCCTCCATCGTCGCCCGTTCAATGAAAAAACATTATAAGAGATGTAGCCAGAAGTGACCTGTTCTCTGTCAAGCTCCAAGCGTGTAAAACGTGTTAAATGCAAAGGTGATGATATCTGGTATACAAATGGGTGGAAATGCGAATAAATATATCACACTTGAAGGCTGGAATATAAAAATGCTAGGTATCGTATGCTAATGAACCTGAAATTCCGGTTGCTCTCTCAACTCTGCCCCGACTTTCCAATCAACACCCCCGGTTGCCCTTTATACCCCACCAAACTCCCCACCCGATACTCACCATCCGACGGCCCCACTCCCCTCAACGGCTCCAGCTTCGTCGTACTCCCAAAGCTCCCAGTCTCCGACTGTCGATCAGAAGCCACCGTCGAATTGTCACCACCACCATAATACGACCCCAGATACGACGAACTTTCCGTGAAGCGATGTTTCATCAACGACGCGCTCTCCAGGCCTTTCTCGACTTCGTTGGACCACGGGTCGACCGCCAATGAGCCTGCCAATGAGCCTCTGTGGATACCGGTGGCGCTTTTGCTTATTCCAGCCCCTCTCAAGCCCATACTAACGTTGTTCCGGTTTCCTTCATACCCTCCGAAGCTATGTCCGTCTTGGAGAGGGATTGAGGAGTCGTTGTCGAGATTGGTGTCGTCTCGTTGGGATGGGTGCTTGATTGGTGGCATGCGCCGGGAGGAGAAGGCTGCGAGCCAGGCTTTCTTGGGTACGTCCTTCGCTTCGTCGAAGATGGTGAGGATTGAGACGAGGGAGACGATTAGAGCGAAGATCTGTGGTAAGGGAGGGTCAGATAAGAGGAACGGTCGTCGTCGAGGGGAGGGAGTGGAAAGGTACCTGGCCGAAAGTCATATCTGTGGACCCGGTGGGATTCGACCCAATACACGCCTGTACCCAGAGGATATGCGGTCCGAGTACGAGGAAGAAGAACTTGAGGAGATGCGTTCGAGGTGTCAGTGCTTTACTGTTATTTCCATACACCCCAATCAACAATGGGCACACGCCGTGGTAGGGAATGACGAGACTCACCTGAATTCCTTCGGTAGCAGGTACACTTTCCACGGCCAAAACGCCGTGGCGTTCCATGAAATCAGCCACCAAGCCATCGAGACGGTGCTGATCATGAAGGGCATCGTGGTACTTGCGATGTCGAGTGGGTTCTCCTGTGCTTCGCGAGAGAAGGCTTTGGATGAGCCGAGGACGAACGTCAGGACTTGAGCTCCGAAGACGATTGGAATGGATAGGGATCTGCATATGTCAGTTACTGCGAGCGTGCTCCGAAAAGGATACAGTACGTACAGGATCGTTGGTAGAAAGACTTTCATGTTGCGATAAGTGAAGTTCTTGACGCTCCAAATGATACTCGTGATAACCACGAAAATGAAAACCCAGTCGACCAGGCTGAGGATCTGGATTTTGTGGCAGATCAACACAGCGGCCACAGCAGCAACCAGTACTCTAGAACACATCGTCAGCAAGATAACCTCACCACTGTGAATGGAATGTCCACCTACATCATGCGTATGTACCAAATCATCCATGGGTGTGGTTCATGTGGCTTGGGTGGTTCGCGAAATAGGCCGTAGGCGAGGATGAAGAAGGCGATGGTGTCTTTGCTCGGTATAACCCATATCCAGGCGGGGACGATGTTCCACTGCATGATGGCGACGATGGAGGAGCTGAGAGTCGGGTTCATGAATCGGGGGTATACGTCGTGCAGGATGCCTTCGGTCCAGGTGACGATGTCGATGTTTTGTCGCATCGGAGGGTTGATGGCATAAGGGTCGACCTTGAAATCGGTTGGTTCCATGTAGGACAGGAGGTGAGATCTACAGTCGCGTTAGTTCAGAGCAGCATTGGGAGGGCAATGTAGGCGTACTTTGGAGGCACCTCGTATCTCCGTCTGAGACTCCAAATCCACGATACAGCCAAAGTGAAAAAGAATAGCACTGCTATCGACGCGACTTGGATAACCCACGGAAGCTGCCACGCGATGTTGTACCACAACTCTCTCCCAAACACCTGACTGCACGCTGGCTGCGAAAAGTTGATCTTCTCCGAGGGGACATACATCAGGCACACCAACGCAATCGTAAACGCCAAGCTGAGTATCGTCAACACCCGCAGGATCTGAAACTCGGTCGATTTGTGCTTCTCGGGGAGGTCGACGGGGAACCACTTGGGACTCCAGATTGACCGGATGGAGAGGTACCAGAGGTAGAGTGTTGCTGGGGAGGCGACGGAGACGAGTACGAAGACGCCGTCGTTTTGGGTGAGACTGGTTTTGAGGATTGAGATGAGGGCTGCGATCAGGAGGGAGTAGATGACGCTGAGGTGCGCGTAGAGCATCGGCCGTCCTAGCCATGGTATGTAGACGAGGACGATGGCTAGTGGGTGAGCGTTAAAAAAAGATTGATGGACGATCCTAGTGACAGCACAACGTACCATATATTACGGTTGTTATATAGACTGTAAAGACGATTTCAGCAGATAGTCGAAACGCACGAAAGGTTGGGCACTCACTAGATACTTGCTGTCCAATTCCCGTCACATCGCTATTTGGACAAGGTCCAAAAGGACAGATGTCCGGAGGGGGGTTGACACAGAAGATTTTCTCGTAGAGGGTTGGATTTGCAGGGTCATAATCGAAGACCAAGCGTGAATAGTTGGCTGCACCGGACATGACGGCGAGTAGTAGCTGCTTGTCGCGCAGCGAACAGGCAGAAAGTCGCAAGCAACTTGGGGGAAGAGAACAACCAGTGCTGTCCCCGGGTGCGTTCCTCGGGCGCAGGCTTGGGCAAAGCCTAAGCCAGTGGCTCTGACGTCGTCCGCAAGGTTGTGTTTACACCGAGATCTCAATCACGCATTTCCATCAGACCAGCTGAGATGAAGACGCTCTTGGCGAGCGCCCATAGCGCCTTGGGTCTGATCATGAAGGTCGATCAGAGCCCAGAAGTGGACTACATCAACGCCTGTGACGAGAAGGGTCAGAACATTGCGCCGCACAAGGGTACTCAGAGCTCACCATCGTTGCTGCACTTGCCCGCCGTTTGTGGAGAGCGCTTGCCATGGCAGCGGCGGCCGAAGTGGGCCGATATTGGAGCGGAGATTATATCCATCACGGCAAGATCCGGAATGTGTTTTTAAAGAGATTTTCGCGCGCAACTGTTTTTCTTCTTCTCCACGAAGAATTGCCACGCTGGTCGTTTTGTTGTTTCCTACCATCGACACAGTGCCTTTCGACTCTTCGGAGTTGAATCTTCTTCAAGATAAACACCAGTCTAGGAAGTGTTTCGGTGCACTACCCATGCCGAATCATGTCGATTTTCCCTGGGATATTTCTTTTCTGCTTTTTTTCGCTTTGCGAGTTCGGGCTTGGAGATGGATTTTTTGGTCAGGCGGGCGTCGCTGGATCGTTGGATGTTCAGGTGAGCATCGGTTCTTTCTTCTTGTTGATCTACACGTTCTCTTTGTCGATGATTCCAAAAAATATACTGATTTTAATGAGCCTGACCCGTCCTTTGGGCGGATTTGACGACCTCTTTTTCCTGAGACTCCCCTTCAATCGATTTGGCTTCTGTTTTCTACAATCTCGTTCCTGACCTTTTGCCTCTCCAGGTGAAATTTTCCGCTCGTTCTTGCAGTCTACGTCCATCGATTTGTACCATATCCCCAGTCAATAATGATATCCTATATCGTCTTCGTCCACCATATTCTCTGGCGTCTCGATGATCAAGATTGTACTGCTGTTGGCGATGTCGATGAAGATTTAATAGGGTCGACTATCCAGCCTTGTTGACAAGTTTGCGACAACGCTATCAATCGGGTTCGGTGCACTGTAGCAGACGATCCCACTACATAGCATCTCGAGTCGTTCCGCCCAGAGTCGCCAACTCACCGACTTGGTACCCGCAGACTCAGGTCCTGCAACCCGAGAGTGCCTGATGGGGACGAAGTTTTTCCTAAACCCCAATTCTAAACGAATTCTACAACAAGGTGTCCCAGTGTTACATCCATCTAATAAATAGGTGCGCTCTCCAGATTGTTACACGATGTTCGATCGTTCTTTCTTCACGGAATGGTCGTCAGCCTCCGGGCTCGAAACTGGGGGATTGGAAGACTCGAGGAGGGATTCATCGACATCGGCTGAGCCATGGTTGAAAACGATAGGCTGGGAGAGAGGTCTGGTTTTCGTATGGATGGTCTCTTCGTGGCGCATCCACGAGCGCCCAGTCGTCACTCGGAAGATAATCATCTGAGGTGATAGAGCCTACAGGGAAAAGAGTTGAGGTGAGTCCATGAAATTTCTGCTCACACGAGTCGAGGACTTACCACGAAGGTATAGTAAAAGCCATTAAGAATCGATCCAGCAGTGGCCATATTCCTCAACCACCACGGTTGCCTCTCAACATACGCCAGCGCAAGCATCTCAGTAATCGTCGACCCAATCCCGAAGAACGTCAATGGAAAAGCCGATTCGATGAGGATGCCCACGGCGCCGCTGTACACCTTCATATTCCTTCCAGGCAGCACCTTGGAAAGAGTTCGTTGCGCACGGATGAGCCGGTAGGCGATCATGGAGGTGATGAGGATGTTTAGGATGATGGTGAGTGCTACGACGGTGGGGTGGACGTAGCCGCCTGTGGCGGAGAATTTGGCGGGGTCGGCGCGGTTGAGGAGCTTGGTGAGGGCGCGGACGGAGGTTTGGTATATGTGAAGGCCTGGGTGAAGGTCGTGAGTGAAAGGAACGTCGAGGCAATCAATGGGGTTGCAAGGCGTACCGGTGACAGTGAGGTAGAGGATCGTGGGGAGGACGATCGCCCACCAGACATCCTTCCAGATAATCCAACATCGGTACAACTACAATGGGCATTCTCAGACCAGGTTTCATCTGCCTTCAAGGACCATAGTACGCACCAAGAGTCCATCCCCGATGATAACAGAAAGAGAGGTAAAGAAGCTCGCCACGAACCGCTCCCACTCGCGATCAATGGTGAAATACACAGTCGTATAGTCGTCGATCCCTCTGACCATCGTGAAAAAGTTTATCCGCGTGTTTCGGATGGCATCCAGACTGGAGGCGATGGCTGTGAGGATAAGGATGGCGAAACTGATGATGATGTACGGGATGCGTCCTCTTCTCGACTCGCGTGGAGACTCGAGGAAGACGGAGAGGCCGTAGAGGACCATGAATAACTGGACACCTGCATCACGAGTTACTCTTTAGTCTGAAGGCATGGAAAGGGTGACTCTAGGCGAACCTATATCGACCAATGATAGGTCTTTGGTGAATTCGATCACGCTGATGCCCCTGAAGCGCAACTTGAGTTCGGGAGAGAGTTCAACAGACATCTCGTGGCGAGCAACTCAGGGGACTGTATCAGTAGGTGAAAGAAGGGGAGTCGGCGGCAGGCGCGCTCCTGAGGAGATTCCATGGGTCTTCTTCAAGGATATTTTATACGAGCGTCGCAGCGGAGAATTCGCCACACCGGAGTCACTTTTCTTCAGCGCAAGTCCTATCGAAGTTCCTGATGGATGCAGATGGCAGTGGAAAATCACAGTCGCGGTGCATGTGCTACTACTACTGTACTTGGTGGCGCGAGGATCCATGGGCGCTCGATGCGGACTCTATTCCGCTGTTCTTAGGACTTGGCATCGTCTGTGCGCTGATCATCCCAGTCAATTACTTGCATACAGGAAATTCCTTTCACCTGCATTGAGTATAGATGATGCCGGAGTGACACTGCCTTAGTGTTATTGGTGACTGCCTTCCACGATGAGCGTACACATCGGAGGCGTACTCAATGTAATAGGCACTGAACCTGGCATCATACGCTTTCGCAGAATGAATGGGATTGGGTGTCCGACAGCGACGGTTTCGGGCTGTATCAGGCTGTTCCCCCAGGTTACTTATTTTTGAATCAGGATTCCTCGAGGCCTAATGGGAATGTCGATGTCGTTTATAAAGATAACGCAAACTGTCGTTTTAAGTACACAGGGGATCTGCGCCTTAGTGTTATGTATATGCCACGACTACACATGGGGACAGCGGAGAGTCAAATATCTTGACAATCTGTCATCGACGATGCCCCACTTGGAACCGTAGGCGACTCTGGTGATCAGCTTCACTCACGTTGTGACGCTTTTAGGCATCGGGCTTCACTGTCTTAGAATGCCTGTTGACAGTTCAATCTGAAAGATATGATTGTTGCTGGACGAGTTATTTCAAGCATAAAGGGCATCTGATATGTTGTGTTTTTTTTGCTCCAAAGGCGATCTTCGTGAGTTCCTGCCTTAACAACCATGGTCGCTGCATCTCGTCGTGAATCTCTACTCTAGTGCTCCGCGAAAGCTCTCACCAATGACGCACTACTTCGCAACAAATGGATCGTCTCAGTACGCCAAGCCTCGATGGGCGCTAAGGGCATTGGGTGCTCTCACGCACCGCCCAATTGATCCGCTCCCGACGGTGCCACGCGGCACAGGGAAACCAAAGGGAAACCCGTGTGAGAGGGATTGGAGCTGGGGGGAGAGCGTACCTGGTCGAAGCAGCGCAGTGTCCTTCTTCCACTCGGAAGAGATTTGAGGTGATAATCCATGCTTCCCGATGTACAGGTACATTACAACAACACCAGACTACAATGCGAACCCAATCGGCGATACATTGAACAAGACTACGATGCGGATTTCCGTTGGTTGCCCATTTCTTTTCGGCCAGGGGGTATTGGTGGTCAATGGTACCACTTAGTTGCGCCAGGCATTGGGCGTCTGACTCTTCATGAGGAAGAAGCACCGACCCGGAGAGGAGACGGTTTGTGTTGAGGCTTGCGCGCTTCAAGCTTGCTGTGACAAGAATCAGTGTGTTGTCGCGACTGGGAACCCAGGCAGGAACTCACATTTCGCCAATCGGCATTGCGACAGAGGAAGCAGCGACAGCCAGGAGGACGAGTTTTGTCAAAAGAGTGAATTGCATTTTGCTGGTTTATCTGCTAGCAGACGTGGAGCAGCTTCCAGGGGTGGGGGTGGGTTGTTGGTTGAAGGATGGATGGACGTGTGCCTGGGAGCGACGACCTGTTAAGTACCAGTTGTAGTATTGCCATGTGATGATGTTGTGATAATGGTCGCTGACGCATCGGAGTAACGTCAGGCTATTGACATGTGGTCCATGTGGTGAGGGGTACTATAAATACATGACGACGGGTTGGATTTCTGCTTTGAACTACGGTCATCTCGGCTGTTACAAGCTGGATTGGTCGAGCCCTAGCCCAACCCTCTGAAACCACGACCCCTTCAGTGACGCAACAGCTCGTGAAGAAGCCCTCACTCTTCTAGAACCAACTGAAACGCTCTCGCTGTGGCTGTGTTATTCCAACCCCAAAGCTCCCTTCTTTGTAGGAACGATCCCAGGAACGCTCAGAGAAGCACAGGTCGATTGCTTTACTTGGACCCGTTGGTTACCTTGACAGGCGATTCTTTTGTGCCTTTCTCAAGTGCATAGACCAGGACATATGCGTTCCCAAACCCGGGTATACATTTCATTAAGGGGCTAATGAAGAGATCTCCCTCTTCGAAACTTTGAATCAATGTTTCGTCTACTATCATTCACATCAGTGTGTAAAACCCACATAGAAGTGTAAAAATGGAAATTGCTGTTTCCAACGCAAATATTCGGGGAAAAAAAGTACATAGCTGCATGAAGAAGGCTGACCTGCGTATTCTGAAAAAGTTTGAGAGAAATCGGCCAGTTTGGTGGTAAGATATGGGCCTTTGAGTACGGGAAAATTCGCATTTTAAGGTCAAAATGAGGGTTTTTGGCCAAAAGTGAGAGTATGTGGTCTCAGGATGGCGGGAAAAGCTGTCAGTTATCATCAGATACCCTAACGCCTCATGAAGACACACTTTTTCCGACGTGAATCGAACAGCATTCAACGCAAATGGCTGGAGACCTTCGAGCGTGACAATCGCCGGGGTGGGGAATTGAAAGTCCGCTCTGGCCGGCCGAATCCCGCCGTGTGTCGCGTCGCGTCGCGTCGCGTCCACTGCGCGCAGAGTCGCGATTTTGTTTGTTTAATGGTTTCTACTAGTGCAAAAGTTAAGCGAACTCCTACTTAAACGATAGAGCACAGAATTTCTGGCCTGTACCCCAAGTTCGGGCACCCCCACTCCCTCATGGGTCGTCTCTGACCTTGTCTCCTCTTTGGCCATGGGCAAGGCTTCTGATTCCGGTGGCAGTAAGGCCCGGCTTGAAAGGCTGTATTCAGAAGCATGTCGCCGCCTTGCCTTGTCAGAATCGGCGCGTTACGGCTCTGTCATTGAGGAGATTCGGCGAGAAACATCCATCACTCTTGATTACTTCACTCTTCGTCGCCGATACAAAGGCATTCCCCCTCGCAATCTCGCCCATGAACGTCAACAGCTCCTCACCAAGGAGCAAGAGAAGGTACTATGTCAGTGGATCATATATTATTCTCAAATTGGCTGTCCCCTTGATAAGCTTGGGTTGCGGAAGAAGGCTGCAGTCCTTTGTGGAAAGATGCCGTCCGAAGGATGGGTCTTCTCTTTCCTCAAGCGCCACCCAGAGATGACGCTGGGACGTCCATCTGGTCTCGATCCAAAGCGGAGTCGGGCTTTCAACAAGCCTGTTGTTCAGCACCACTTCAAGCTCCTCAACGACATCGTCACCACACACAACATCCCCCGTGAGAACATCTACAACATGGATGAGAAGGGTTGTCAGCGGGGAGGTGGTCGTAAACTCTCTGCACGCAAATACATCGTTCCTCGAACTAGACGCCCTCACTACCGCCATCGCAGTGACAACTTAGAACTAATAACCATCATCGAGTGTGTATGTGCTGATGGCACACCTCTCAAGCCCGGGTTTGTGTTCTCGGGGAAAGAGTTTTCTCGAGAATGGTTTGATGTGGATCCAGAGATATGGTGCGTCATTAATCAGTCGCATTAATTCTAATCTAATTTTGGCTTCTTTACTATTTAGCATTGCCATGTCCGAGAATGGGTGGACGGATGACTTCTTGTGTGGCGAGTGGTTTGAGAAATCATTCATCCCTCAAGCCACACGCCGTAACACCTCCGGGAAGCCCATTCTTCTCGTTCTCGATGGTCATGGCTCACATGAGAAGGTCAAGATCATCGATCTTGGCCTTCTCCACAACATCATTATCTTCTGCCTTCCTCCCCACACCACTCACAAGCTCCAGCCTCTCGATGTCGGGGTATTCGGGCCATTTTCTCGTGCTTGGGCTGAACGCTGCAACGAAATCCTCGACCTGGACCCCAATGGCATGCCCCGGGAAGATTTTGTGAAGGAGTACATGGCGGTACGTAAAGATACATTCAAAGAAAGCACAATTCAGAGTGCCTTCAAGAAGGCCGGCCTCTACCCCATTGATGCTTCAGTTTTCATTGAAAGCGACTTTGCACCGAGCTTTAATACATCAACAACATACGGCCTTGTTCCACCTTCCTTTCCAGCAACTCCGAGCCCCTCCTCTGAGTCCACACGGGATTCGACACCCGAGCCCGAGACCGAGCAGGATGATCACTCAGATTCGGAATCTGAGTGCTCCGATGATGACGAGGACGATGACCAGTGCTGTCGCCGTGAGGCTTCTGAGCCTGACATCGATGGCAATGCTGCTTTGTCGCCTTCCTCATCATCACCGCCAGCGATTGACCCATTCGGGATCCTGGCTTCTATCGATCCCCTCGTCTCTCCTCCACCCACACCCACTGTCACCCCCGATCCTTCTCCCTCTCCCTCTCCCTCTCCCGAGCTGCCCAAAGCCCCCCGCCGTCCATCACGTCCATCAGTTGGGGCCAAACAAGGGTCAACGTACGTTCGAAGGCTCGAAATGTACGCTTCTGCACTCGAAATCGAACTGCAGAATCGTGACGCTCATTGCAAATTGGCGCATGACAAAATTGCCGACCTCTCACGCAAGCTCAACGCCCGCCAGAAGCCGACCCAACGCCAACAAAAGCTCAACGTTAACGCACGTTGTCTCACCTCAAGTGAAGGTCGACGTCTCGCTTTGGAACAGGACGCCGCGAAAGCTGCAAAGGCGCAGCAAAAAATCGATGCTGCCAATCGTCGTCGCGCGCAAGAGGCTGAACGAGAGCGAGCGCGTTTAGAACGGGGTCACGATTTCGCATATTCTGGGACGCTCGCAAGCCAAAAACTCGCCGGACTTCAAGATATTGCCATTGATCTCAGCCTGCCTTCTGGAGGCACCAAGGCTGAGCTGCTGGGGCGGATTCGAGCGCATTTCGACGCGCACCCTTCGAAGAAACTTGAAACTCGGTTTCTTGCTCTGTTTCAAGCTCGTGCACGTCAACCAAATTACCCTCCCAGCTCCGTCCTTCCTCCTGTTCCTCCTGCCCCTCCTGGTCCCTCTACATCATCTCAACCGCTTCCCAACATTCCAACCCCTGTGGGAAATCCTTCCAATGCGTTCCAACCATCGCCTGCATCGCACCCCTCTTCCAACTTCGCGATTTCCGCTGCACAATTCGCCAATCCTCCTTGTCCTCCCCATCAGACCATTCCCCAAATCACTCACATGGTCTCTCCTGTCCTACAGAGCTCTTTCAATTCGTTTAATCCATACTCTAGCCCGCCAATTTATCCATATTCTAGTCATTTCTATGCCGCTAATTCCGGTTCTTCGTACTCTCAGTTGCCATAGACTGCTATTCCCCCTCCCCTGCTTGGATCCTATTGCAGTACACCCTATCCGGCGATTATTCACTTTATAATCGTACTTTACGACTTAGTAATATACTGAGCAAGCGTTTTGTAGTCTTTTCTGCTGTCTTCTTCATACTGCCATCCTCCCAAATCGATGCTCGACGTTCCGCTGGTCTCTCCCTCGATGTCCTTGATGTGTAGCGGAATTTGAAAATGATGTCACGCTTTGCCCTTCGGAGTTGCTCAAATGCGTGACAGCCGTGGCTGCCGCGTGTCACATTTTTTTACAGATCCTTGAATCTCTGACTCGTCGCCCCGGAATGTCTCTGGCAGAAAGGTATGTTCGTTTTCAGATGATATTTTTGCACAGTTAGAAAGCATATACACGAGCGCACAGAATGGTATAATTTTTACGGGAAATGTCGCACTGAAGGCGGGAAAAACTTAGACATTCATCAATTTTTTACACTTCCTTGTGAATGATAGTATGAATGGGATAGGACATAGCGCGACACGCCGGTTCGATGAATTCGGAGGGGCGCAACCCCTGAGTCTAGGTACGGCAACCACTTTCGTCATCGGGGAGACAATGCCGGTGGGAACTCCGATATGCTTCCTCGGCCATCTTCCAACGATGTGCGAAATTCTGAAGATCAGAAGGCCATACAAGCAACCAGGAGTGGAGCGATATCGCGTGGAGGTGGGCGTCTCCGAGTCGGAGACCACACATGCGCAGTCACGTCAGTCTAGGCAGCCTTGCGAGTAGGAGGACAGTTGGATCGAATTCCTGTCAAGATAGGAGTGAGACAGCAGACATGAGCTATACTTAAAGTCGCCACCAAATGGCTTAAATGTAGTTGGCACCCTGGCAAGCGCTGATGGGGCGATGTGCTATACTACCAATGAGAACCCAAATAACTTCAAGCGACCGGTCTTGACCCACTTATACCGTGGCCTATAGTCCCCCGTTATCAAGTACATTCCACTGGGAAGCCTCCCTCTCACAGCCCAGACTAATGGCTCGGAGAAATGTCTCAATAGACGTCCCGTTTCCAGGCCCAAATACAGCCGCGATCCTGGAATGAATAGGCTCGGTAGATTGCACCCGCCACGGCTTTCTCCTTGCACTGAGAGGTATTTAATTTTGTTCCGTTACTGTGTATGTACTTACTTGTGGTTTCTTTCCATGTGCGAAGCGCATAGGGGAAAGACTATCAACTAGAGTTGGGGACATCCTCATCACCGAGGGCGTCGCACTTGTGGGTCCGCAGCCCGTTTCATCGGTAGTACTGACAACGAGGTCGCGCGTTATAGTCACTAGGAGTAAACAATACCAGAGTCTTGTCTGTATGGATGTGGATGTCCGTTCGTATGGACTGCACATTCTATAGGCCTCGCCTTTTGTCTATAGCCCCGATCGTCGGAGCGGACGAGGGTGTTTTGAAGGAAGAGTCGCATGGATTCGAGCTCGGGTGAGACTCACAGGGAGTCCATAGGTATCAACATCGAGAATATCTGCACACAAGGAGAAACTCCTCAGTTCTATAAGAGTCGGAGAGAAAACTACCCATATCACTATCACTATCACCCTAGGAGATCAAACCGCAAGGGCTGTCCTGAACTCCGTTCATCAGCTCTCTACTCGTCGAAAGCCTTCTCAGTTACCGCGATGAAGTCCTACGTTATCACGGCCTACGTCACAATTCTTCTGGCTGCAAGCGTCATCTGCGCTCCTGTCGAGGACTCGTAAGTGACATATGTGAAATCCATCAACCCGTTAAATGCATTCTGACTTCGCAGTCCCGGGTTGGGCGCTTAATGCAGTATTGCGAATACCATCATCAGCGCACGACAGTCCAAGCCCCCTTCTTGGAGAGCACCGGATAGCGATGATACGTCGCTGAATATTACTCGCCGTGAAGCGCAAGTTCGTCCTCCTTCGTGGCGAGAGTCGGACAGCGTTTAGAGCAACCGCCTGTACCTTCCCTTCAAGGTGTCTCATGTACTATAATCCGATGCTAAGCTTGAAACCTCCATGCTGGTCTACAATAGAACAATAGACGCCACTGCGACCATCGTTTATCATACATCCAGCGATGCAAGGGAGCCAGATAACTTCCCTGAGGGCCAAGTCCTAGATGGAGAAGAGGACCGAACCCGAATTCTGTGGTTATGTTAGTACGACCCGAAGAGATTGGTACGCGTTCAGGTTGTCTATTCATACGTAGGTTTGATTCTCTGGCCAGGATGGCCATCCTGAGGTGGTAGGTCAGTATCCGTTGACAATGGGTGGCAGTTGAAGGGATGAAGCGGCGTAAAGCGGTAGTGGAGAATTTGGCCAAGATGGCGTATATACCTTTTGAGAGTCCTCCTTTATCTACTATTCTTACGTCTCTGTGGTCTGTGCGCAGTGGCATGGTACTCCAGGCCCTTGGAGTCCGACACGGCTGCAACGCAGACGGGCATCGTTCCACCGTGACGAAATATGTTTCAGGCTCGAGGCCAGGGGCTCGAAGGGCTTCTTCTTCCGTCTCATCTGGTTTTCTCTCGTTTCTTTGAGCAACCTTAGCAAAGCCTCACAGCGCTCGAGCACATGTGCTCCTCGTTCAGCTTGTTAGTTTGACTCACACTATGCATATCGGAACACATGATCCTTCGGTCCTTCCTCATCGCCGTGGTTAATTAGCTTTATTTACTGGCTATTTACGACATACCAGCGACGACTTGACTTCTTGGCGCACGCTCAAAGCGGACAATACACTGCATTTACACCACTTTGTGTGAAGCAATAAGCCCCCAGGCGCAAGCGCCGTCAATGGCTCATTAGACTGAGTTCTCTATTGCCTCTCCACGTCCTACGCCATGAAGTTCAACTTGTTAGCCACCACCGTCGCCGCTTTCTTCGCCATCACTGCGATGGCTGCTCCTGTTGAGGATGCCAGTGCTTTGTACGTTGCTTAAGTTATCGCCCATTGTCGACGCATGCTAACCTTCACTTACAGGGAGGGCCTCCTGGCTAGAGAACCGAGCCCACAGGTAGACACTCGGCCTTTTCACACCGTAATATTTAGGACGTAGGCTAACCATAAACGCTACAGGCCGCAGCTTTGTTCTGCATCGCCAGCTGCCGAACCCGTGGTCTTTGCTGCAACACTAGCAACCTTCAATGCCGGGGCTGCTAAATCTATGCCTCGGAGAAATTATTGGCAGGCTCCTGTATCTCAATTACATTCCTTTGTATTGCTGTATGGCCGGACTTTATAATTACGCGTTGAGAATGTGATGTTACTGTGATATTCACTCCCATGGAACCGAGCGAAGGGTAATAGGAGGCCATTCCCTGTGTTCTTCGTCGCCGATCCTTTGAATGTCGCGTGACAGAGTATGCACTGCGTAGAGCGTGACCGGGTATGGCGTTAGTCTCGGATTACCTTCTTTTCTCAGTTTTCAAGGTCCTAAAGATACGACTTGTGGGCCCGAGTACAATGCAAAATAGATCATCCGATGTCTACTCACAATATAAGCAAGCACTTATAATTAGCTCCCGTTCGTTCCCATTCACTTCACGGGGTCCCTGTCAGACGTCTCCCGGATCCCCAGCTATTAAGTGGACAGGCACTACCACTTCCGCGACTCCGATTCTCAGATTCTCAAGTTCTGACTGGCGTTCCTTTCTTCCATATCTCTCCTTATTCCCATTGACCGACCCTCCGACTCCCATCGACGGATACAGTCCGGACATGTCAATCCGTAAACGGGTTTGACACGGAGTCCAGTGACCACACTTTTGATGTGACCTCAAGCGCTCAAACGGGAAATGTATGCGTGTGATTTCCAAAGGGTCCGGGAGGCATATAAAGCGGCGATGCTTGACGCCCCACTCTCCCCTCAAGGCTTAACGTGAGCCTCAAATCTGATCGCGCTCGCCTCATACTCCTCCACCACCCAAGTTCCTGTTTAGCAACGGAGATGAAGGTTTTCACGACGGCAGTCTGCGCAGTGGTGCTTCTGCTTACCACAAGCGTCTTAGGCTCCCCTATAGATGCGTACGTACCAATCGAACTGCCGTTAGAGGAGAGGATGAGATCGCTGATATACTGTTATTCTCTCTAGCCCCAAGATCGAGGTTCGCAGCGAACCTCTCATCGCAAGGGAACCGCAGGCTAAGCCTCCAGATTGGAGAAGGGCTTGGCGCTAATTGGACAGCTGCAACGGACCAGCGCCGTCACTAACACCAACACCTCAAAAGAAATCATTTGACAGGCTCTCCTGTATCGTCACGTATTCCTTTGTACCATCATAGACCGGACCTTACACGTCGAGAATATGATTCAGTCCATGTCTGGGTGGACGAGATAGTAGCCACTTGGCAAGCTAGCCTCACGGGAAGATCGGCGCGGAAGCAAATAGACGCTCATTCAACTCCATTCCGGAGTTCTTAGCCGCCCGTCCCTAGGACCCCGCAAGAAGTCGAACTTGGCATGAGTTATGCACTTCAAATGATGCAGTTCGGGTTCGTCTCGGTTCCTCAGGGAAATCGGAGTTCGACGGTATGCTGGTGTGCCTACGCTAATCTCGGATGGCAATGGAATGACTCAATAAGTACTGAGCGCTGAGCCGATAAGGACCTGGAGTCGAGTATGTACCTTTCTCGGACGTGGATCTGACATCACGGACAATGAGATTAGTGAATGGTCCTCCGGTGTTCATATCTTTGTGCTTCCTACTCTAACTTATTCCAATGCCTTGTTTGACGTGAGTATGCAAAGTTAAGAGTCCGATCTATCATATGAACGACAAAACCTATCTTCCGTTTCTCCCACCAGGTGCCACCAATACGATACCATACCCAAAGTTATGTATTACTTTCCCAAAGTACGTCGTGGCCTATGTACTTACCACGCACAAGTGCCCGCCACCCCTCTTAATCTGCAATCCCACTGCCCTTCTGATTTCGTGAGTCTTTCCGCGCTTTTCGCCATCGTACCCGTCGGACTATCTATTGTTTGAATATAGTGAGCGAGATTTGAATGGCTTCCTGTCACATTCTGACGTTTTGACGTTGGGAATGGGCTTCGATCGGGTGCCAGTGCGTATGTAAATTCTTACCTGGGCTTACCTATTCACCTCTTCGGTGTATATCATGCATGTTGGATGTCGAGATCGGACTGTCGGAGGGGTCGAAGGGACGTGAGTACTTGAGTTCAAGTGGGAAACTCGGACTCTCGGAGCCAAACAAGGAGCGGTTATGAAAAATTATGAATGGGACCCGGAATGTGTAGAGTAGCGTGCTGAAGGATCCAGGGGTGAGGAAGCTGTGTACATACTCATGTGCTAACAGGTGCTAGTCTCTTTCTGATAGAATACTTATATAAAGGGGGATTGGGTGAGACTAGAAGGCAGGTACATAACGCGGTACGCCCCTCGAACCGACGTCGACACCACACACTCCACTCGACTCAAAACTCGAAACTCAAACTCTTACTCGAACCCGCACGCAATTGTGCTCGCGCTCGCTACACACTCTTTCAAACGTCCAGATCTATCTGTTTCAATCAAGGAAAATGAAGGTTTTCGCGACTATGGTACAAGTCGGTGCGGTGGTGCTCATGCTCACCACGAGCGCACTGGGCGCCCCTTTTGATGCGTACGTCCATTTCCAAACTCGGGGGACAGCTGATACTTACGCTTTGTTGTTTTCCTCTTCCTTCGACGATACAGTCCCAGCCTGGAGGTCCGCAGCGAAACACTCAATGTGCGGGAGGCGCAGGTTAAGCCTCCGGGGTGGTGAACGACTTGGCGCTTTCCGTTGCACCAGAACTTGAACTTGGCCTTAGGGCGGCGTTGTCGTCATGTGTCCATTTCACCCACCAGTATTAGTTTGGTTGTCCCAGACTCAGATTATACTTCTCCCAAGGTTGACTACTTGGTTATACTAATTCCGTTGAACAAATCCCGTTGCTACAAATTGCTCTTGTTGAGATGATATGGGAGGAGACGGCGTTCTCACTCACGTACAGGTTCGAAGCCCGGGTTGAACGAGACGGGCGCTCGAATCGGAAGAAGGATTCAAGGAGGAATATGGAGTGCGCGCTTGGGACAGTCACTTGCGGGTAAGACGTCATCAGGGCGTCATGGAGCTTGTCTCATGACCACTGCCAGACTAGTTCCAGTCTAGTTCGATATTCAAAATTAGACTGCCAATCCCAGTCGTTCTCCTGAGCGCCTTTCACTTTCGTCTCATCCCACACTCAACGTACTACTTGGATCGTTTCCTCGTCCCCTCCAGAGACCACCTCGAATCTTGAGATCTTGAAACATTGACCAAGGATGCCGGTGGAACTGAAAGGGAGCTGCCACTGCGGAGCGGTCAGGTTCTCGGTGCAGTCGAGCACGCCTGTGCCTTATCAGGTACGCTGCCGTTCCTGTCTGGTTGAGTTGGTATCGTGGAGGGCTGCTGATAATGGATTTCTCTTTGACATGGATTCATTCTGCCGCGAACCAACTTATGCCTGTGTATTTGACGAATGGATGGCTGGTTACTGGCTTGGTCGTGGTCACCTCCTTCAACTGTCATTGCCGGTGTACGACCCTGGTCCACTGCGACATCCGACAACCCGTGGGCGTGTGCTCGTGCGCTTTCCACTCACACGTCGTCCATCGTGGGTGGGTGCCACTTTCCGCGATCCATGTAATACCGCCTGGCCGCCCTCTGGCTGGTCACGCCCGCAAATCTCACTCATGCCTGCGTGGGGTGACGGTCTATCTGCATCTACACTGTGAACGACCTATCCGGTTGGACGACTCTACCTGCATGAACGACCCTACCTGCACTATGAACGCCCTACAAAATCCAAACGACTCGGACCTGACGTGCAGTTATGCCTCTGCTCCATCTGTCGTAAAGTAGGTGGTGTAGGCGGGTCGATTAACCTCGGAGGACACAGTGAGACATTGAAAATTGAGGGGAAGGAGAATATCAGGTGCGGTTGTTGTTCGTTCTTTTGCATAGGGTTGTGAGGGAGGACTGACATTTTTTTTTTTGCTTTCTAATTTGGTGCTTTTGTCATACACGAAATCCTTCTGTGGTTGGGGTGATTCCGTGTTGGTCCTACTTCCATGAGCTGGGTTCATTCCGTGCTGGTCCTCCTTCTGTATGGGTCTTACCTCCGTGTTGGCCTCCCTCCTGTGTTGGTCTTACCTCCGTGTTGGTCTTCCTACCGTATTGGCACTCAACCCCGCTCCCTTGATGATCGATATCCTGCCATGACGGGTTTTACTCGACGTCGGTTAACATTGACACGCCTGCCTATTGCTTATCACTTCAACTCGCGTATCGGGGTTGGGCGTCGGACTCGGACTCTTGACTCTCGAATCGCGATGTGGTTCAATGCGATCGGCACGTCGACGATGGGTTACCCCGGTTTTGTCCCTGAATCTTCTCCTGGATCTCTCAATCGCTGTGCATGGAATCGCCCTCCGTGTAATCGCCGTCCATGTGTGAAATTGGGAATTGGGTGGAATTGTGGATGTACCCCTTCGCACGGTAAAGCGTGTACAAAGCCGTCCTGGATCGCGATACGCCCGACCAACGAACTGCGTCGTCCGAGAGGAATTTTTGTAAAAAGTGTTCGTCGATGTTGTGGTTGTATGATGAGAGTTGGTGAGTTTTTCCTACATATTATGTTCAGTGTAAGGAACCTCTGGGCGTACGTACTGACATTGTGTATGGTATGTTATGCGACTATGTAGGCCCGAGTTGATCCATCCCTTCGCCTCGGCTATTGATTCGCCGGAGCTTGAGGCTCCTGAGACGATGGTAAGTTCTTTCCCTGCCTTCCACGATGGATGGATCTTAAAAGACCTGGTGATACGGAACTTACGACAACAACGACGCGTTCTTGGCTGGGATATAGGTCTGCATCAAGCTCGATTCAAAGCCTGGATATGTGCGGCTTCCTGAAGGAAAGAAGGAGGTGTACCAGGGGTATGGAGAGGAGAGTATTGAAGGGTGGCATAAGAAGCATGGGTGTTTTAAGGCGTGATTCTTGGGCGTGGAGAGGTACGAATGCTTAACGTACTCTGAGTCTGTTGAAGAGAGTGTATCTTTTATCTTCTAGTTTTGAGTTCTGTATATCTACCAGACCTTGTTTGTATCATGAACACCGAATATGTTCGAGATTTGGGATAAGCGGCTTCCTCAGGAAGATGTCACACGCTTGTGTGTAGTATGTATAGCTGACGGTGCTGCTCTACGAGAAGAAATAAGGCTCAGGAGATGTGTTTATGCAAACTCAGCAAATAGGCGCCCAGGGTGGCGCGTCCTTGAGTCCTCAGTCCTATCCTTTCCTACAGGGTTTTGTTCTAAGAAAGTCGTCTTCCCGAGGCCACAAGGATCTCTTCATACCCATAACCGCCACTCGAACAGCCGGGCGTTTGCAGCAGGACAAGTTGTGTCTGTTCTGCAGCTAAACGCCCGTCGGCCCGTCTGGTTCCGGTTAAGCGCGGTCATGTGAGAGTCGCGTCTGGAGGTTCTCACGGTTCATCAAAGGCCAGGAATGAACGATCGTTCAAGCTGGCTGGCGCAAGCCTCATGGCACGATTCCTCTAATTACTCCAACGACGACCACGACGACCTCAAGACTACCCTCGACATCGATAAAGACGACACCGACACCACCAACGACAACGACGACGACCACACCACCAACGATGGTCCCAAGCACTCCAAGCTCGAAACTGGCCCGACCAGGCATCTTCACACCAAAGCGACCGCCTTCAGTCTCGTCTCTGTCCTCGATCTCGTCGCTCGAGTCCATCAGCCGGTCAGCAAGTAAGACACCCTCGACACCGCTCCTCACAGCGAACAAAAAGTACAAAGCGCCCTTATCGACCGAAGCCCGCACCAAGAACTCGCTCAAGCCCAAATCCGTGTTGTCCCCTGTGCCAGGGAGCCCGACGAAGAGAGATGGGGCACGGAGTCGGCCTGTGACGCCGTCGTCGCCTAGGAAGGGCTCTGAGAGCCCGTTCTTGATGCCAGCCACAAGCGAGATGGATGTTAGCGTTGTCGATCCTGAATCTGTGTTGGTTGATTACCAGACTGTTGAGGCTGGCGACGTTTCTGCTGAGATTGACGAGGCGTGGTTGCGGGCTCAGCAACTGGATCATGGGAAAGAGGATAAAGTTATGGTTTCTGTCAGGTGTGTCTTCACTCATTCTACACTAGACGCGGTGCTAAATCTCGAACAGAATACGACCTAGTGACTCACAGTCGGCTTGGGTCCCCAATCCAGTAGAGAAGAGCATCAAACTCGACCCCAACTACGCGAAACACGCAGGATCCGGTGCCTCTACATCGACATTCAACTTTGACGCCGTCCTCACCGGGACACCCAACAAACCCATCTACACCACAGTGGCCAGGTCACACGTCCACGCTGCCATGGACGGCTACAACGCCGTCATCTTTGCCTACGGCCAAACCGCGTCTGGAAAGACGTTTACGCTCAGTGGTAATGAAGAGGAACCTGGTATCATCCCTCGTGCGATGAGGGACGTGTTTGGGTTTATCAAGAGGACACCGACGCGCGAGTACCTCCTTCGCTGCTCCTACCTCGAAATCTACAACGAGAATATCCACGATTTGCTTGCTCCGCCATCCATGGCTGCCGCGAACCCGGTTCAGATCCAGGGAGGTGTCGGCGGGGATATCGTCCTCACACCGCTTCGTGAAGAGGTGGTGACCAGCCTCAAGGGTGTCCGGGAGGTGCTCAAGCGCGGGGAGGGCAATCGAAGGACGGCGTGCACCGACTGGAACGACCGGAGTAGCCGGAGTCATTCCGTTTTCCGACTGGTCATCGAGAGTCGAGAGCGAGGGAGTGGGGATGATGACGACGATGTGTCGTTTAATGGGCGTACTACCCCGGCTCCCAATGGGCGCCAGACACCCGGTTTGAATGGACGACAGACGCCTGGTCTGAATGGGAGGCAGACTCCTGGCCCTGGGGGTGCGCGATTACAAGCTCGTGGTGGACGGAGTGTCCAGACTTCGGTCTTGGTGAGTACCGTATCACTGTCTTGGCCCTTGATTCAGGCCACTGATGAGGTGTGTAGAGTTTAATCGATCTGGCTGGTTCAGAGAAGGCAACTTCGGACAAGGAGCGGACGCGGGAGGGGAAGTATATCAACACCAGGTCGGTGATCATGTCGCGTCGGTCTTCGTCGCGTATACTCATATGCGTTTCCAGTCTGCTCACCCTCGGTACTGTCATCGGTACTCTAGCCGACAACGCCGCAAAGCGGAAATCGTACGTCCTCCCTCTCCCATCCTCGATCTCAGAGTAGGCGGTACTAATGCATACTCCTCAGGGACCACGTCCCCTTCCGCAACTCCAAGCTCACCCGCATGCTCCAACCCTCTCTATCCGGAAACGCACGTATCAGCGTCATTTGTACCGTCAACCCCGACACGTCTGCGATTACTGAGACTATGAGCACGTTGTTGTTTGCGAAGAGGATCAAGAATGTCAAGGTGCGTATCTCATCCTTCGTTTCCTTCCCTCCCCTCCTTTTGGCGGTTTCCGACTAACCTGGCCGTCTTTAGCTTAACGCCCAGAAGAAAGAACTCATCGATACTGATGCCCTTATCGAGCGGTACCGGAAGGAGATTGAGGATCTCAAGAAACGGTTGGCGGAGAGGGAAGCTGAAGCGCCTGTTAGGAATCGGCGGTTGTCTGCGAGGGAGGTGAGTGTCCAATTCCCAGCTCACAGCTGCTATCTGCCAAATACCGCCTGTTATCTGACCGTACACCTTGACAGCAAATCGACGAATCAAAAGCGATGAAAGATCTTAATGGGCGTATTCAGCAGTTGACGAAGCTGATTCTTACGAGTCAGTCGGTTGAGGATATGAAGGAGGGTGAATCGAGGCCTGGGAGTCCGCAGAAGATTGATTTTGATATGTCGCCTTATCAGGTGAGTTCCGCTCTTTCCTCCTCTACTCTCTCATGTAAGACTAACCCTCCATCCGCGATGACGCCAGCTGCAACAAGAACTCCTCACCGCACGCACCCAACTCGAATCGCAAGCGAACCAAATCCTCTCCCTCGAAGCTCAACTAACCGCGCGTCCGCCTCTCCCCCTCGACGCGCCTGAAGAGTCAAAAGACAAGTTGATAGCAGAGCAAGCCAAGACGATACGTGAGTTGGAGATCGTTGTGAGGGGTTATGAGGATAATTTGGGTGAGCCGTTGAGGAAGGTTAGGGAGGATGTTGAGAGGGAGTTTGAGGAGAGGCTTGGGGAGTTGGAGAGGAAGGTTGAGGAGGGGAAGAGGTGGGCTGATGAGTTGGTTAAGGAGGTTGAGAAGGAGAAGAGGGTGCGTTTTTGTTTTATCCCTTTATATTCTTTTTTTTATCCCTTCCTGTTCTTTCTTTTTTCTCGTTCTCGTTTCTTTCATAGGGGTGGCTGGGTATGCTAACGAGTTCCAAAAACCACAGTTACGAACCAAGTTGGAAGTAGAGCGTCAAGCTCTTGCAGCCTTCGTGTCCAAGTTTGATTCTTTGGGATTGGGTCTGGGGATTAGCGCTCCTCCTCCCTCGTCGAAACTCAACCCACCGAAGTTGGCGGAGGGAGGAGCGATGCAAGTGTTTGCGGAGAGGCAGCAGGCGAAGCAGAACCAGAGCGCCCAAGTTACCTCGAGTTCGATGATCCCATCGACACCCAAGATTGGTACCTCGATGATCCCGTCTACGCCCAGGATTGCGCCGATTGGGTCTACATCGTTCGCTTCGCATATTTTGTCGAATCGGAAGACGGGGTCGTTGAGCGCCGGTGTCACACCGAGCACGCCCGCACCTGCCTCTAACAACGCAAACGGGACGAGTGGGACTTCGACCGATACCTCGGATGGCACGACCACGACTTCGACGGAATTCACGCTGGAAGATTTGGGCGGTTCGCCTATCAAGTTTCCCGACACCTTCTCCCAATCGTCGACTCTTGTTCATGAACCTAGTTTGATGGAGCAAGTCCTACCGGAGGACCTTGGAGGTGAAGTGACGGATATGAGTTTTGATGAACTCGAGGTTGAGCATCAGCTTTTGGCGAGGAGTGTTAGTGAGTTGCCGGTTCCTAGTTTGAATAGTGCGAATCGGTGGAAGATGAGGAGGGCTGAGGGGCTGGGTGTAGGAGCGGGAGGGGTAGGGGATAAAGAGAATGCTGCGCCTGCGTAGGTGTGTGTTGTGGATGTGTATAGGTGTGGGGAGGAGGAGGAGGAGGTGGATGGAGGTGCGCGCGCGGAGACGTGGAAGGAATGGAGGAGCCTGAGGGTGTTGTGATTTGCTCCCTAGGACTGATTTTGTTGTTGATGAATAACCCTAGTGCGTTTTATTTGTGTATGTAAAGATAGTGTACTGTTGTTCTTTTGTGTGTGTTTTTTTTGCTTTCGTTCGCTCTGCTTTGTTTCGTCCTTTATTTTGTCTCTTCGGTTATCTTTTCGCTACTCTAGTCTCGCTTCGTCTATTTCTCGTCTGCTTGTCTCCTCTAGTTCTGTTCTGTTCTATTCTGTTCTGCTATCTCTGTTCTATCCTCTCGCATTTTTTGCTATCGCTCAAAGTTTAAACAAAGTATTTCTTATCTCTTATTTTTATCTGCTTGGATTTACTCTAGATCCTTGGTGGTGCCACGAAATTGTGGTGTTCTGCTCGGTCGGTCAGTCGGTGGTGTCACGGTGGCATGTTCTCTCAACTGGAGGAAGTGCTCCATCTTGAATGTCGTGATACTGGGTGTGTTCGAGGGGGAGGATTGGACGCGTGTGTGTTTGGGATTTGATGTTGAATCGGTTGTGTCGTCAGTCAACTATGGGGTAAAGGAGGGTGTGGTGGAAGACTCTCCATCTGGAGTCTGCTCTATCCTCCGCATTTACTATCGTTCGAACCAAATACCTCTATCCTTATCCTTACCTATTCGAAATTTATCTTATTGCTTGCTAGTAGCAGTGCTGGATTAGTGATCAACACTAAAATCGGATTCTCGTTCAACTCGGTACACGTTAACGTTATCGTGGCGTATGTATACTGCAGTAGTGTGGTAGGGTCGTAGGAGTACTAGGACGTCGATGTATAGTGTTAGAACTGGAGGAAGATCTAGGAATATCAAAGAGGAATGGATGTACGCACTGCCATGGTATAGACTCGGAAGAGTTATATTGAACGATGTTTCGAATTAAATCAGGGTAATCTGGGACTGATAAGGTCTACACCGGGTCTCTGGAAGAGCTACAAAGGTTAAGGTCAGTTCATCTTGTACACGTCGAGCTAGCCAAGTCCGACTCCGAGTGCTTGACTAGTACCTCCAGCCTACCCGCCACATTGGAGTACACAAGACCCCTGAAGCCCGACGCCTGCCTTCCCGCTCCCTCGAAACATTGTCTTAATTGATGCCAATTTCTAGGCAACCGGCCAAAGTAACGGCACCAGCCTCTCAGAACTAAAAAGCCTAACGCATACGTAGAATTCTGTTGCCATATACCCCTTCCACAATGTAGTACATACGTACATGTTGATGCACGTCGATACCGGATCTATGGCTACTTTGCGAGCTAACATCTCGAGCGCTGGTCCTCCATTGTATGTTCCAATAAGGAATTCGAGAGTAATGATGTGAAAAGCCGTTACGGTGTAGGGTGCACTCAGGCTAAGCCACTCCAACTACCGACAGCCTGAGATAACCCACTCAAAGTACACAGCGAGTGACAGCCAGCGTCCTCCAATTCAATCCACATCAAGAAACCGTTGCTTTGATGCGGTGGTTCCAGAATTCAGAAAACTCCAGTCGGCAGGTAAGTCTATGAGGGGATAACCGCGGTTCGAGGTCTAACATGGGCGCTTAGTGTTTAACGTCATATGGCACCCCGATATGGAAACGGTATTCTTGTTCTCTGGCTGTCACTCGTGCCTAGAAATTGGCATCAATTAAGACAATGTTTCGAGGGAGCGGGAAGGCAGGCGTCGGGCTTCAGGGGTCTTGTGTACTCCAATGTGGCGGGTAGGCTGGAGGTACTAGTGAGGAGGCGTGGGCTCGCTGGAGTCTCGTCTTCCCACCTGACCCAAGGGTTTCTCGGGTACTCAATAGGTTTCTAGGGACGATCTTGAGGACTTTCCAACCTTGACAAAGGCGACGAAGAGCGTCGCAACGCAAGACTCTGAGCACGATTACTGCGTTCGCGACGTCCGTAAAAGCTGCAGGAAATACATCGCCCCATTCCCCGGGTTCTGGAAAGTGATAGATATACATAGCCCTTTATATCGGGGGCAAGCATACAAGCAACCCTCCATCCACCAGCACTACCAAAGGCGTACTTAAAACTTTGCAGCGGAATATCTCAGCCATGAAGTTCACCACTGTCGTCGCTGGTACCATCGCCCTTCTCTTTGGCGCTATTTCGATGGCAGCTCCCCTTGCGGAAGTCGGCGCGCCGTATGTTGTATTCCCGTCTCTGTGTCCGTGGCTTGGGGATGCTCTCCACGCGTACCTCCATAGGAACAAGCTTCAGGCGAGAACCGATAAACCTATCGAATGGGTATATGTTCCAGGATACTATCAACAGGGGACGATGGATTAACATGGTTATCCCTTCAGCTTGCTTTGATCAATTCGCTGGACCTCCAAAGGCCATGATGAGCCCAGAGGGTGGGTCGCGATGCAGCGCGGGCGCTTTTTGTATTCTGATAGGAACATTCAATATCGAATTATTTCTAGCTGAGATTCACGTCGAGCTCCGCCTTCAAAAGCTTGAGAATGCCGGCGTTGTCCAAAACAAGATCTTGCCGAGTGGGTTCAATTGCAGCCGCCTTGGTGCGCGCCTTGTCAAGCCGAGCCTCCTCGAACGTGCTGCAGTTTCATCTCCTTATGGATGCCGGATGAATCTTGAGTGCATGCGACCTTTCGGGTATACTGCGCGTCCTCATCTGTGTTCAGCTTCCGTTTGAAGGTGGACTCTGTATCGATGATGATATGCTGCATCTTCTGCGTGCTGTGTTTGTGGTCTAGGTTGGTTGCTGCTCGGTCCTTCGCCATCTCCAGCTCGTTATCGCGCTTATCCAACGTATCTGTCCCCGCACGTTCTCTCTCTACCCGTACGCGCTCCTTCAGAAACTTGATCTCCTTCGCCTTCCCACTGCACTCCTTCTCCTTCTCCTTCAGCTTCTCCCTCAGCACTTCCTTTGCCTGCTTCGCCCTTTTCACCTTCTTCCTCTCATTATCCAGCTCCCGTTTCAGCCGTTTCACCTCTTCCTTTAGTTTCTCTACCTGTTCCCTCTTTTCAACATCAACACCCGTGTCTCCCGCTTCCAATTCTGCTCGTTCCTCCCCTCCCCACCGCGCCCTCAAGGCCTTCATCATGTTCGCCATTTGGGCCTTTGACTTGGTTTTACGAGCCCGCGGATTACTAGACCCATTGTCCAGCAGTTCGATCGGATTTCGTTGAGAAAATGTTGTGTAGAGTGGGGATGGCAAACGAGAAATAGAAAATCCCGCCCATCGCTCGCGGCGGGGTGCTCACTAGGGGCTTATTTGTCAGCACGTTTTCGTGTGTTGCGTAGGTTCCAGTGGACTTCTACCACAATATCTCGTTTTAGAGCACTCTTTTCGCTTCATTTCAGGTGAATTGACGTGTCGGGTGCCATGCGGGAAGGTTTTCGATTTTGTCCTTGTTCATTCTCATTCAATCGTGGGTTTACCTCTACTCACTCTCGTCTTGACGGAGATGAAATCAAAACCGGTCTGTACATATCCTCCCATCTCGTGGCTTCTGTACTGTAGGATTCAATCCGCTCTACCTTGGTTTTTATTGCTCTTGTCCCAACTAATCAACACCTTCGAGATGTAGTGACAAATCCTCCCTGAGTAGCGTCGATACATTGGTCTTCGCGGCGCTCGAGTTCGCCAGGCCCGTGGACAACATGCTTGAGAAGTTATACGTACTTTCCTCGATTCCTAAAGGGTCCTTTACCTCCCTGACTCTATCGCTCTCGAGTGAGATTGAGGCCAAGTCGGATAGCGGAAGACGGCGAGGATGAGGAGGCCCTTTAACCTAGCGTGGTTTTAATTGTCACTAATAGGAGCACGTGCTCCTCAAGAGATAACGAAGGTCAGGTATACTTGAACTTCAGGAACTACATGAGCGGACTGAGAAAAAAACTAAAAATACACGAGGGAGAGAGTAAGCGAGCGGAGGAAGGCGGAGATATTAGACTTTAGTATGCTACACCGCGCGGTCGGGGAGTATGAGCGCAACCCTAACAAAAGCTAAACGAACGTAGGGTGATGGAGAGCCTCGAGTAGTAGTACCCTACAGCTAAACGCTAAATTTTGGCTACACATACTCAAACACACATACTCAAACGAAATTGAAAAGTCTCCGAGTCCTCATAGATACCCCATCGGTGACGTATTCGGCGATCCTCTATCATGGTAATAGTCCTGTCCGCCGTGACGCGCCATCGAGGACTCCCCGAATCTCACCCCGTTTCCCCCTCCAAAGTCTTGAACCCTAGACGGTAGCTGGTACCCTTTATCCAGATACTCGTTGATATGGTTCAGCCACGAGGAGATCAGCCTACATCGTTCCTGCGCGTCTCCATCCGAGTCGACAGGTCGCAGATCCAGCAACCCCTCCTTGATGGCAACGTTGGAGTAATGAGCGAGCCAGTAGAGGGGCATGGATGAGGAGACGAAGGGTGTCGTGGCTGTCGTTGAGGACGTTGTAGGGAAGGAGTGTAACGGGGGCGACGAGGAGGCGTTGGCGTCTCGGTGATGGCGATCAGATATCAACCCCTCGGAATTGTGCGTCCACATTTGCAGCCAGTTGTGGAGGATGTACTCGACGGGGACCGTGTTCGAAGACGGAGGAGAGCCGTTGTGAGAGGTACGAGACATAGAGGTCGCGGGATGGAACACGTTGCGTAGAATGGTATGGATGAGGATAAGGTGGGAAAAGGGATTGAGCTGTGTTTGAACTTCGGGAGGAACGGAGACGTCGAGCGACGCAATCGCTTGCTGCATGCTGATCGAAGCCAGTCGTCTCGGACCAGCGCCATACACAGAAGGCGTGTGCAATGCTTGGTACCATCCTTTGGGATCTTCAGCACTCCAAAGACTTTCGTCACAGGGTAATTTGATTTCCATTTCGGAAGGATGGAGGAGCGGAGCGATGGAGAAAAAGACGGCGTCGGAGCAGTCTTGAACGTAAGCAAGGAGGACAACCCTAGATCGAGGAGAAGGGTAAGCGCTCTTGACAAGCCAGACTGGAGGGAGGGGTAAAATTACCGCTTTAATGTCTCGTATCTCGCCCATTCCCGCCATGCAGTGTCAAGCGTGTACGGATTGCTCAAATCGGGCGGCGTCCAAGCGCCCAAAATCTTGATCAGGCCAAGCTTGCGTATCATCTATCATGTCATTAATCACAAACGGAATCTCCGAAATGGATCAGGCGGACATACCGTGATTAGGACCCCATGGAAAGCCTTGGTCGTCGAGCTTTGGTCAGGCTGCCGCCACAGCAAACCAAGAGATTGGAGAAGCACAACCGCGACAATCAGAGAGAATCGATCTTTCAACGAGCAGTCCGATCTGGACTGTTGCACCAAAGTCAGCTGAGACAAACATCAGGGGCAAGAGGAGAACGGCGAAAGAACGGCGAGTCCAGGAACAATGCTAAGGCGAAAAAGGGATACGAAGGAAAGCAAGAGTAAGAAAGGGACGTTACTTGATACTGACAAACTCTGATATGAGGTTATCCCTCAGAAACACCAAAGTCTTTCTCACAAAGTTGAGTGCGTTTTCTGATCTGACGAAGATCGCGCCGCAAACGTGCATAGCGCTGACAAGCATGGGATGCTTTCCAGCCATAGTCCATGTCGGCCGATGCACCAGCGGTAACTGCACGCAAAACTCTGTAAAAAACATATCCACTACGGCACCACATGTAGGGCACGTTGCCAGAGTTCAATGATCATTTCTCGCGCTACTTCATAGAAAGTGACGAGAACTTACGATAGTGGTCTAACTCCTCGGATTTCGGCTCGGAAACATGAGGAGATGCCGAGGAGTCGCTGAAGACTGTATTGTTGGCGTTGTGATCGATAACAGATGCCGATTGGAAGTTGCGAGGAACATGGGAAGACGAGTCTGAGAAGGAAGGTGAGGACAGGGTTGGTGTTCCTCGCGAGATGTTCGGCGGAGGGACGTGAACGGGCTGGTGATACGAAAAGGATTCGTCATTTCCTATTCCGGAACACAGGTCTCCGCCGTTCCCTGAAGCAAGGTCCGCCCTTGTTCTCTCTTCAGACACATTGGAGCAGGGATCGAATGCGTTTAGGTAGGGGCTCGTCGTCCCATGATCTGGGCGGTGACCGTGAGTTTGAAGTGGGAAGAAATCGTCGATGATTCTAGAGTGCGATTCGGTGAGGTCCACTTCAAAATTCAAATTCGCCAAATTGGGAATGAGATCGAATGGCTCCAAACGAGAGGAGGAACGCGAGGAGGACGCGGAGGAGCTCGAGGAGTAACATAGACTGGGCCGTCCAAATGGGATATTGGTTTCCGGTTGATTGGTAGACACCGGAGATGGGTGGATGGGAGATGACATGATTGGTGAAGGGTATACCATCGTGTACGGCGACTGAGGTGATGGGAGGGAGGATGTTTGCGGCTGTGAGTACAGCGGAGATGTCGAGTCTCTGAGATAGGTCGATTCAGGGTCGATGCGAATTCCTGGCCGCGATGCGGTCGAAGGGGAGCGCTTGGACCCCTTTCGACTGCGAGATGTTTCTGGGTCGTTGATAAAGACGCACTCCCTCCCTCGAGCTACGCACTTCGAGCACGGAAACTGGAGGTTGCACTTCACCTTCGACTCGGCACAAGACTAGAGGACGTAGGGTTAGAACCGTGGTCGATATCTGAAGCTAGAGACTCTTTACCTGACATGACTTTCTTCGAGACTTGTGGGAGTTGCGTCTGACAACAAGGGTTGTAAGCAACCAAACGGCGAGAAAGAAACTTGGATCGACGTACGAGTCACCGCAGGTTCGTTTGTGTCTGGTAAGAAGGTCGCTCCGCGTAAATTCGGCACTGCAAGCCTACGCAGGCCATGAGCATTAGGTTGCAAGAAAGGTCGAGTATCACGTACATCGCATTTATGAGACCGCTCATTTGTGTCTAAGTGATCAAGATAAGTAGGCGGTCTAGAACCGAAGAAGGCACACTTACGGGAGCGGAGGTGCCTGTTCAGATGTGTTGTTCTCGTGAATTTTGCCGGACATAACGAACAGAACTTGTTCTGCGGCAATGAGGGCATGTTTCCTTCATCAAGTGGATTCGGGGGTCGGTCAGGACTCGAGTTTTCAGGTGGATGGCACAGACCTTTGTGGCTTCGCATTCGACTGATCTCGCCATTAGCTCTGTACTCGATGGGAGAATGCAGGGGTGGTTCTGTATTGACGGGAAAAGAAGCAGCCATTGTGAGAGTAGGGAAAGAGGCGTTGACAGTGCTTCAGCATGTATAGTTATATAACCCCTTCAATCTACTGTTATCCCCAGTTTGTCGCGTTTCTATAAAAGTACCTGGACAGTTAAAGGCGTTTGATTGAACTCTCAATGGTGAACTCACCTAAGGTTCGATCAATTCCCAAGACACGAGCGAAATCGGTTGTTTTTCTTTGTGTTGTTACGGCGCTTGTCTGCCTTTAGTGGGAGAGTGTATTCGTTGTTTTCCCCCGTCTGATCTGTTGAAGGAAGAATCGCGGTAAGTGACACATCGAGGGGTTGGTAAAGAAGCGAACCTGAGAGAATTGGTGAATTCAAATATCCCAAGTCCTTCAGCGGCTTCCATTCGACCGGGCACGTTCAGCTGCGGGGTAAAATAGATAAGCAACAGTAATTGGACTGACATCATGATGTTGCCGCGACCTGCAGTTTGGGGTGCCGTTCGTAGTTCCGTCAATGACAATTGTGAGAGGACAGAACCTCATCCGACCTCCCGTGTCGGGATCCATCACCTTCGTGAATGAGATCTTGTCGTGAATGGCAAGTAGGCTCGTGCCAGCTATCCCCCCATGAGACCAGAAAGGCACCGCATCCTCCGAGTCGCACTTGACAGTTGGGCAGAAGGCAGATCCAGTGCACACGAGATCTCTAGGAAGACGCACGCATTTGGTTGGCGCAGCATAGCCTGTCTAGATGAGGAAGCTCACCGATCCCCCACGAGTCTCGGCGAAGGTGGTAAAGTTGTCTGTCGCCTGTAGCTTATCAGGAACTTAGAACTAGAACTATGACCTTCATGATTCCTGGACTTGAGCGGTCATGCTAGGAGACGTAGTTGACCATGGTTCCCGAGCTTCCCCCGAGTCACAGTCGTGGCCGTGAAAGTGATCATGGCAGTCGCCTAAAACCAGACTAATGGGAAGATCGTGGTTCTCGGTCAAGCAGCGCGCCCAAGGCTTGGGTGTGGGAACGCTGCTTTTTGTTTGGCACTCGCTTTTCATCCAAACATTGAGATACCGGGTAACGGGAAGCCTGTTGCCGACGGCGCTTGTTCTCGAACCACATCCTCGCCTTCGAAATCAAATTTGAGTCACTTTGTGGTCTCCATGGACTTATTTAGTGGTCGAAGAACTGAAAACGTCCTTTCGCATTGCTTTCCGATGGCAAGACCAAGAAAAATGAGCAACCTGAGTTGAATTGAGGTGCGTCCTGAGCACATTAGCTTAAACAAGGTTTCTGGACGTTCTAAAGGTTTTCCTAGATGTTCGGATTAGGCCAGCTATAAGGAAGGTCTTGTACTAAGGCTTTCCTTCGAATGATGGAGCCAGGCAGTCCGACCTTCACGACGCCGCGCAGCTCCGCGTCGAAGGTCGAACGATTGGTGCTGTAAGAAGCATAATCAAAATCATGGAATTTTCGCCAGCACTTATGGCAACGGATGGGACACTTATAACTGGGCGCAGCAAACACCCTTGGCAGGCCATTTTTGCACATCGCAAACTTTTACCCCACCTCGACCCAGACATGTCACTCGAAGCTCGACCAGAACGCTTGACGCCACCCACCGCGGCAGGAAAAGAGTTTGTTAACCTTCACCAGTCAGAAGGAATCTTTCCGTTACGCTCGGTGCCTCGCTCAGTATCGGAAGCTGTCTGCAGCACCTATCAGCCAACAAGCGCTATCGCCGTTGTTGGGATGGCCTTTCGAACGCCAGGTGGTTCCGACGTGGAATCATTGTGGGAGGTATTAACGTCTGGGACTTCTACTCTATCACAGGTGCGCATAACTATGATCCATGGTGAGTCCGTAACGATTCATACAAACTTTTAGATTCCCTCTTCGCGGTTTGACTATGGAGACTATGTCGAGCGCGCGCTCCCAGGAAGATCAATGGCGGTATCGACTGGAAATTTTCTGGAGGATGTTGATTTCTTCGACAATGAGTGCGTGATTACGTCCCCGAGCGTCCGTTTCATTCTTAACTGTCTTTTCGCGTGTCCAGACTCTTCGCGATCAGCCCACGCGAAGCCAGAGTTATGGACCCTCAGCAAAGACTGCTACTTCATGTTGCTTCTGAAGCCCTTCAAGATGCTGGTTACGTTCCCGGGGCTAGTCCGACTTTCGATCCCGAAACTTTCGGGGTTTTCGTGGGTGCCGCAACATCAGACTATGTCCATAATCTTCGAGAGAACATCGACCTACATTATTCGACTGGTGCGCGAGGATCTTATCTTCAACCAGAAGGACATTCACATGTAGCCAACAGGTACCTTATCCGCGCTCCTTAGTGGTCGGATCTCCTATGCCATGTCGTTTGGCGGACCTTCTATCGTGGTCGACACGGCGTGTTCGTCATCAGGGGTCGCTCTTTATCAGGCAGTCAGGTCCCTTCAAAGTGGAGACTCGAACGCTGCTCTCGCTGGCGGAGTTAATGTTATCAGCAGCCCTGACGTATGTTACTCGCTCATTCCATCCCCGCCGAGTATCTCACTCGTTCCATGAAGCTCTTTCTTGGCCTAGACGCCGGTCGTTTCCTCACCCAATCGGGCCAACCGCGGCCCTTCGATGCGAACGCCGAAGGTTACTCTCGCGCCGAAGGTTGTGTTTTGTTCGTCTTGAAGAGACTTGAGGATGCAGTTCGTGAAAACGACCGAATCTTGGGAGTCATCGACGCTATCGAAGTTAATCAAAGCGGCCGAGCATCATCTATCACTCGAACGCATGCCCCCACGCAGACGGCTCTTTTGAAGAAACTCCTGGTCAGAGCTCAAGTTGACCCCCGGGACGTCCACGTCATTGAGGCTCATGCGGCTGGTACCAAGGTCGGCGATACCACCGAAATCCAGGCAATCAGGAACGTCTTCGACACCGGCGACCGCAATCACCGCCCTCTCTATCTTACCTCGATCAAAGCCAACCTTGGCCATCTGGAAGCTGCATCAGGAGCGACGAGCCTTATCAAGGTCTTGTTGATGCTTCGACACCAGACCATTCCTCGACAAATTGGTGTTGCTACTCTCAATCCCGCCTTGACGGAACCTCCAACTCATCCCATACTCGTCCCGAATGAACCGATTCGCTGGACCGCGGAAACGAAGCCTCGCTACGCGGTCATCAACAACTACGGTGCTGCAGGGTCTAACGTTGCCATTCTTGTTCGCGAGTTTGTCCAGAGAGGGTCCACGGCGCCCCTTTCGCCTAATCTTCAATTCACGTTCGGCCTTTCAGCCCCGAGGGAGGAGAAGCTGCAGGCTTGGCGTGAAAAGATGCTGGGTTGGCTGGAGGGAGGAGAGAATTCAGATGCAAGTAACCTCGACATCGCCTACACGTCTACAGCTCGCCGCCAACTCTATGATTATCGCCTCTCCTTCCCTTGTACCAATGATCGTGCCACCATCATTCAAATGCTGAGGACGGCTCAAGTACAGAAAGTCAACTCGAAATACCCTTTTGTCATCTTCGTGTTCTCCGGCCAAGGATGTCAGTATCGCGGTATGGGAGCTGACCTTTATCACGCCTCTGAAACCTTCAGAAGTGACGTCGACACCTGTGCGCGCCTTGCTCTGAACCTAGGAGCACGCTCATTCCTCCCTGTCCTCCTCGATCGACGATTTGATCCCGCTGGGATTGACGAGAGTTTAGAAGAGCAACTCGCGCTGTTTGCGTTTGAGTACTCCTTGGCGAGGCTGTGGATGTCGTGGGGAGTCAGACCTGCTGCTGTCGTCGGTCATAGGTACATTTCTCCGCCTCATGGCTCGTAGCATCTTCCTGATATCTCCTACCTTTAGCTTTGGCGAGTATGCATCCCTTGTGACTGCTGGTGTTCTATCTCTCGAAGACGCTATCAGCATAATCAAGATACGAACCCAGCTTGTGCAGCATCATACGACTGGACGACGCAATAGCAGCATGCTGGCTGTACACCTCGACCCGGACCGCGCGAAAGTCCTCTTGGACACCCTACCCGAGTTCGCCGAGCGGAATGATCTCGATATCGCATGTTATAACAGCTCGGAACATTGCACCCTCTCCGGACCGTTGGACCAACTCCAGGCGTTCCAGGCTTTTCTCGAGAAGGAGCATGTCCGCTCGACCATCCTCCGAATTCCTGCTGCATACCATTCTTCACACCTTGCGTCGATTGTGGAGCCTTTCACTCTAGCTCTGCAATCGACGACCTTCCGTCCTCCCACCGTCCCCATTGCTTCGAGTGTCACTGGTAGACTGGTCCAGGTTGGCGATTCGACTTCCATTGACGCGTCATACCTCGCTTCCCAGCCTGTACGGCCCGTCCTGTTCCAACAGGCCGTGCACTCGTTGCTGGCACACGTCGACCAGAAGGCGCAGGGTGCGCTCTTGACATGGGTTGAGATCGGACCTCAGCACGGTCACCTTTCCCTTCTACGCAGTAATGAAGCCATGCCAGCGGACTCTTTGTACCTCGCCTCGTCGAAGAAGGACGAAGCACCTTTCAGAAGTCTCTCCGTATCCCTCTCCCAACTTTACATGACGAGAGTGGAAGTGGACTGGAGGGCGGTGTTCGGGCTTTTCGGAGATGCCCGCTGCGTCGGCCTTCCTTTCATGCCATTTCATGGATCGAGATTTTGGGTGCCTTATGAAGATCCTTCCTTCTCTCGCCACCGCCGGATAACAGTCACGACCGCCTTTCGCGGATTTTGCGTCCAACGCCCCGCGCAAGACAATCGATATACAGCCCGTTTCGTTCTCCCTGTGGAACATTACAGCGAAATGATTCGGGGTCATCAAGTGAAAGGGTTTCCTCTCTGTCCTGCCAGTATTTACTTCGACATCGCGATCAACGGCGTCTTCGAAGTTGGAGGATATCTCCGACACCACGACCCAAGGACTGTGCGATTGGAGGGTGTGAAGTTTGTGAGGCCCTTGGTTTCGGACGGACGAGCAGAGGTGTTCATCTTGACTGTCGTACTCGAATCGTCAACCCAGACCAGGTACAGCTTCACCATTGGTTCCGCCGCAACTTCCGCCCAACATGAGGTCACCCTTCACGCTCAAGGTTACTTCAACGATAGCTCCAGCGCCCAGACCTCCGCAGAATTGTCTTCCCTCCTTCCGTTCACCGCCAGTCGAATCGAAGCGCTCCACAACGACCACAACTCCGACCTCGATGTCCTGCTTCCTTCGACGATCTACGACGTCATTTTCCCTCGCATTGTTTGCTATGCCCAGGAATATCGAGCATTCGATCGGGTAGTGGTAGCGGCGGATAGACGAGAAGCGTACGGGGTGATGAAGTTGCCTGAGAAGACCTTCCAGGGTACATTCGTCGTCCACCCAGTCTATCTCGATGCCATGGTCCACATCGCAGGCTTTCTGGTCAACATGCGAGCCACGGAACAATCCGCCTATCTCTGCACTGATGTCGGGTCCCTCACGCTTCTTCGAGAAGCGTTCGAATACGATGCGGTTTACAGTGTCTACTGTTCGCTGGGTGCGAGCGAGTCAAGTGCGGATGCTGTGGAGGTTGGAACGGTGGTGATGGCCTCTAGGATGGGGATAAAATCGATTGTCGCGCGGGTCGAAGGCGCACGGTTTCAAAGGATATCGCTCGGAGGGTTCGTCAAGTCACTCTCGACGACGGCAGATACCGTTAGCACCGCATCTCCTACTCTATCGGCAGTTGATACCCTGGTCAGCTCTATCGACCCACCTCCAGACTCCTGTATTCCAGACCTCAAGCAACTCTTGTCGAGCACCCTTCATATCCCCCTTGCGAACATCCAGGACACCTCGTCGTTCGCTTCGCTTGGTCTGGACTCCTTCGCCTCCATAGAGCTGCGTCACAAGCTTCGCTCTCAACATCGCCTCAAACTGCCTTCAGACTTCTTCCAGCGACACAGTACCGTGCATGAGGCTCAAACCTATATTGAATACACCACTCCGCGCCATCGTATGGACCCTGATCCCGTCCGGAAGGGACGGGGGCTCTACCTCATTCACCCTTCAAAGGCCGAGAGCCTCAAGGCCCCGCTGGTGCTGGTACACGACGGAAGTGGACTAACGACGGGCTATGACAACCTACTTGATATTGGACGAGACGTCTGGGGCATTGAAGATCCGTACTTTGGGATGAAATGCTGGACATCTCTCGAAGAGATGATTTCGGTCTACGCCGATCTGATCATGGGCAATATTGAGGGCAACATCATCCTCGGCGGTATGTTTCGTATTCTTCACCCCTACTGACGTTAACTGATCAACGCTATCAGGTTGGTCATTTGGCGGTATCGTCGCCTACGAGATCGTGAAGCACATACGGGGCCAACTTTCGAAGCAACAAACCGAACACGACTTTCCACAGCCCTGTCGGGTCCGCGTAATCGGTCTCCTATTATTGGACTCCCCTTGTCCTTTGGATCGCGTTTACCTCTCGGAGTCCCTCATCGACTTCATCCTGGGCATTAGGGAGGACGACCTGAAGTCCGAGTCGGATACAAATAACAAACTGCCGCTGGAGTCCATCGTCAAGGCCCACCTGCAGCACTGTGTATCCCTCTTACGCCGCCATTACGAACCAGCGCTCGACTCTGTCATCAATCAACACCTGGGCGCACCTTCCAAGCTTTCCATTCCCTCGAACTCTGGTTATTCCGTATTGGTTGTGTTATTGGTGTGCAAGGAGGGATTCCGACTTCCGTCAACCCAAGCACCATGTCTACAAGAAGACGTGGAGGATGCAGTCCATCCTTGGTTCTCAGATCGGAAGGACTTGTCAGCCGTTGTGGGCTCTTGGAAACAATTCGTTGACCTCGATGTCGACGTGTCCGTGCGACCCGTCGATGGAAACCACTTCGACTTATTCGCGAGGAATAGGGTGCGTTTCTTTATATTGAACTTCAACGGGAATTTATATTTGTGGTTCAGGTTGGTTCGACATCTGGAGCTATACAACAGGCGTGTGATATCATGGACGGACAACGTTATCCTTGAACTTGATCTCCACGCGAGGGGGGAGACTTGAGAGGGGCTGACGCGGTGACCTCTTCATCCTTCTGTCGGATCCACTCCCGACGGACTATCCATGCCCTTGTGTCACGAGGTAGTGTTAATTCAGAACCTTTCCTCGTATCTCTCCATACGCTTCTTGTACCCCTTCAGAAGCGAGTATCAAAGAGCCTATACCACTTCAGTGCACTGCTGGAGTATCCGTCCTCGGATAACGGATCTCGATGAGAACATTGCAGCGACTCTCCCTTGATCGAGTTTCGAGGAGTGTAATTATCCGTATGTCCATGCACACTGTCAGGAACCGTTGGTCCTCGTGGCTGCGGCTTAGACGCCTGCAATCAGGCCTTGTATGGAGGGTGACCCCATTCCGTTTTACCTCTCTTTGGACTCTCGGACGTTTCCGAGTAGTACATGCTTCTGTGATTCCGGCTATTCAACTGATTCAATCGCGATCGGTTTCACGGTGTACGAGTACTCGTGGTATGTCATGCCCGGAATCCTGAGGCACAAGCTCTACTCACCTCGTTTTGAACCTCGTTGACAAATGAACCATTTAATCTCAAGTCACGTTTTGGGGTGAGAGCTGATCGGGCAGTCGATTCGAAATCCATTTCCGCTATCACACACCGGTATGTCAGGGACATTGCCATTTCCTCCTTGTCTCTGGGTATGTGCCATGTCACGCAGGTGGGTGCATGTCGGGTTTCGCAGGCGTTCCACGCCAAAAATGAAATAGGCGCCCGTGCCGCGTTTCCTAGCCGAAGACATGCCTTGAACTCGCATATTACGAGCCAGAGACATCAGAGTACGCCATCCACTTTTCACCCATCTTCTCTCGCAGACTCGCACTCCAGTCACCGATGTCCACCAAACCCGACCAGTCCTTCACGGCCCAGGACAGTCGCGCCTATTCAGCCCTTAGAAACTTTGTCCGGGGGGAAGTATGGGTAAAGATATACCGGGCCATCTCCGAGGACCCTACATCGGATACAGCGCTTCTCGAAGGGCATCTCGACGACGACTCGAGGTTCGATGAATATCTCAGACAATACTTCGCAGAGAAGAAGGAAGACTTGAAGAAACATCTGAATATCCCTGCTTCCGACTCCACTTTCAAGAAACGCTGCTCGCAAATCGCGGAGAACCTGTTCAGTGCCGCGATAGGCGCAACCCCAAGGGTGAGTTGTCTCTTTCGGTCCGCTCAGCTCGAGAGTCTCACTGCAGTCCCAGGTCAAGGTGACCTTTTCCACCGCCACCAAGACCATAATGGACGACTTGAACTTGGGAGTATACTGTGCTGGACCTTTGACGGAATCCCGTATTGCAGAATTCATCAAGCTTGTGGACAAGGTGCACTCTTGTGGTTTGGACAAACACATCGATGACCTTTTGCGAGCGGAGGGTGGCAATCTGGACCCTGAGCGGCGCCGTTTGAAGAGAACAGTGAGCGGGAGTGTAAGTCAACCAATTATTCATCCTGAAGACCTTTGCTTATCGTTGACATTCTACCCCTCACACTTAGAATGAAGCTGAATGCCGAATGTTGATAGACCTTACTCTGGACCGTGCGGTCGCGTTATCTAACGGGATAACCGGTAAATATGAGTGCATCAGAGTGGAGGTTGCCTTGGCAGAGACCCCACGGTCGTCAGAGAACGCGACAGGCATTGGAGGCCCTGTAGATGTTACCTCGCGTGACGGCAAGATCTACTCCTTCACTGGCATTGTCGACTACATCGTTACACTGTCATCAGGTATGCGTCACATTATCGCTGAGAGGTGCCAGCGCCATTGACCAGAGATGGGCCGTCGAACAGATGACCTCCGAGTCCTTGACCTACCGGCGAAGTTGGTTAGCATTGCGGCTGCGGATGAGCTTCAGATGGCCATTCTTGAAGCGAAACACGAGATGACTGAGGAAGAGCTCATGCGTCACCTTCCTCAGTTGGTAACGCAAGCGATTGTCACGTACGTCGATGGTATACACACCGATAGTAGGCTCCTATTCATCATTCTCTCCCCTAGGATTAAGGTTCTACGGTGAGTGAATCCGGGAGGAGACGTCGTATTATACTTCCTGACGTCACGTTGACTAGATGGAACGCGCTGGCGTGCATCCTTTCGGACGGTTTTCAATACATCTTCGCGGTCATGGAGCGTGTAGACGCAACGTCCGACAAATACATCTTGTACCACTACAAGAGTTTCCAATTCATCGACAACCATGTACCGGGCTTGGAGAAGGCAAAACTCCTTTTGGCGATGATTACGAGCTGGGTATGCTATGCAATGCTGTTCCACCGGTGATGCTGGGCTAACATGCGGGTAGGGAGTGCTGAATCCAGAGCTTGACATCCGGCCAAAGGTCAAGAATCACGCCGATTCGTTTGTTTCCGGCATTTGATCTGGATGATGATATTTAGTGTATAGTAACGGGGATTCAGTCGAACTCTTTCGACACGGAGCCATCCAGGATGGTCGGCTGTTGCATGTATTTATATTGTCCAATGTACTATGTAAGGTATCGTTAGCTTATCCAAAGAATGCGGTCTTGAGGGGTCGCTTGTAGATGAACATGACCAGTCGTGAGCGCGCATAGGATTTGTCGACATAGATAGTATATCTGTAGTTAGGGAAAGCAACCTCGGAGATTGATGGCTCCGGAAGGCTGTCGCCTGGCCACTTATAGCAGAGGAGCTGGGCACGTTGCTGCGTTTCAAACACGCAGACACCCTTGCGGTAGTCAAACCATAGTTCATCGTGCTCAACTGGCACACACTCTGCAAGTTTCGCAATGGCGACGCTATCCGAGACCGACACATCCGAGTCTTTGATAATCACTCCGGTGAGGGCACGACCGGCTCGACTGCACCCAAGAAGTCGAAAGGAGTTGTCGATATAAAATGGGTGGGAGTAGGGATGGAGGCGGCGAAACTCGTCGGTGGACTTCCACTGCGGACGAATGGGTGACGAATCGAGCTGGCGACATGCGTTCCAGTCGGCAATGTGGATATAAGACGAGTGGACTAGAATTCTTCCACGGGGGAGCAAAAGGATGTACTGTCGTGGAGGTTAACCAACAATGCGCGCAGGATGAGGTGCGACACCTACTAAGGGCGACGAGAGTGCTATTTGAGCACCCACGACAGGTCTTTCGTCAGCGACCGCTGTCCAGTCGACGATTTTGGTTCTACCGAGTGAACGCAAGCCATACGCAACATGGTCCCCGAGCAATGAACAACATGTCGTCCGGATATTGTCGACGAATGACTTGAGAAGGCGGGCCGAATAGACAATGGTCTCTCCTTGCACCTCTGGCCTAATCTCCCAGATCTCGACCGTTGACCTTCGAATTGCTGCAAGCCTGAAAACTGGGGGGAAGAGTCGGTGTTCGAAAGAGGAGGCGGAGGGCAAGGATGACGCCGGATCAATATTTTGTGTGCCTATAACGTCTATTGCCACGCAGACGCTGACGCATGGGTCTTTGGGATAAGGGGAGGGTAAGAGGAGATGCATAGGGGAATCTGGCTGGCCCGGATTACAGTAGTAGATGGAACCGTCCTTTGTTTTGTAAAGAAAGTATCGGTCTCCCGGTAATGGGCAGAGCGGCCCCCAAATGTCCGGAATGCTGTCATCCGCAGTGAACGTCTGCACTGTGGATTGCAGTCCCCCCCACCCAGTCCACCATTGGACGACGCGAGCCTCAAGGTCATCACCCGAGCACAGTTCCACCGGCTTGGACAGGAAGAACGGTCGGGGAATGACGGTGTCGCAGTATCTTCTCAGCAGCGACAGCCAGACCTCCCTATCTTTCGATACCGAGTGGAGGGTACGGCAACACTGGGTGCGAACTTGTCAGATGGACCTTTGCTGTCGAGAGGGACAAAGGGACTTACCCTTCGGACAGATAAAACATCGTTCCATTCGATGTGTTTCACGATTTCGACGAGAATCTCGGGGGGAAGCTGTGACAATCGAAGAATTTGGCGTTCAATTCGACGCGACTTTCCCTGCTAATCACGGTCAGTTTCTTCCTTGGAGGTGAATACTCATAAACAACATACCTTTGGCCATTTCAGCCATGGACCACTTTTATAAAACACCAGGAGCGCTAGCAGAGCAGCACAACACGAGTATCCGAACTTTTGAATTGTTGACATTATGAGGAACCTGTGAGCGTCGACGTCGAAAGGCAACGCTGGCATCTATCGAGGCCGCGTGGGGACATGAACAACGTGGTTTGCGGCATTGCCGTTGCCGATGCCGATGCCGATCAATCAATCAGACTACTATGGGCGCCTAATGCAGCAAATCAGTATCATCACAAGAGTTTAAGCCGCTGATTCCAAATCTCTATGCCACGGCTCTGGCATCCTCCACCCTCCCCGCCGACCCCAACGCGACCTTAGCCTTTACTCAATCTCTTCGATCCTCGTAGATCGAGCGTTAAGCAGAGAGAAGAGTTTCACCTATCGATACACACGGCGGTGGTACCAACCGGTACCGCCCATCTGGAATTATACTTTTATGAACCTGATCCCTGACATTGCTCATGGCACTTTTCTGAAGAATGAAACGGCTGGTATTGGGAGCGTTACGCTACGAATCTCGACATCACAAAAGTATATATAAGACCATTATGTAGTAGACCATGTCCGGTAGCAACTTTCGTCTAGGCGACCAAGCCGACGAAACCTAAAGAGAGGAAAATCTTTTTAGGTTCGATGATAACGAAGCAGTATATCCAGGAACCACTCACCTCCGTTGAATCAGACCTTCTCGCATTCTTCCAGCGCAGCATATTTTCCTTCGTTGAAGAGTGAAGCGATGATATCCGACGCATTGGGAGGTGCTACGGGGACCTTGATGCTTCGAGGCTCGCCTTCGAAATTCTTGTAGTGGAATTCGGTAGGGCCGACACAGACGATTCCGTCGCCCTCTCTCTTCTTCACGTCGCCTCCAGACTTAACAGTCGGGAGTCGATATTCACGGAATGGGTCCAGGATGAGAGGCAGACTCTGTTTTTGGTCCAGCCACATTAACTTGTTGACCGGCTTTCCGGGGTTGCTATCCCAGCACACATCGGTGCCGTTCCCCCTGAGGGAAAAGACGAGAGGCTCGCAAGGTCCACCTAGGTCGCGGAAACCAATGCCTCGAGTGTAGATCGGGAGCTGGTCGAACTGGACAGCGGATCCATACTGGGTGGGGACTTTACAGCATACCCCTCCTTCGTCATTGCAGAGGAAGTATGGTCCTAAGCCACAGGCATCGACCATGTAAGCTCGGTAGGTTATGGCGGTGGAGGTCGCTGTGAGGGCAGCGAGAATGGTTGCGAGGAAGACGAATTTCATCGCTGGTGAGGGTGTAGTTGGGGGCTTTAGCTTCGATTTGCTGGGCGGCAATCAAAACACATCCTATCTCACGGCGCTTATTTGAGGCACAGCTCTTGAGCTTAGGAAGGCGCTGTCAAACAGGTTAAGAAGTGATCGCTTCCTCTGGAACCTTTTCCTTTCTGTCAGTCCTTCTCAGAGCACTTGAGGAATGGTGGCGGGCATCCCGGTCACTCATTATCCACAAACCAAACGGACGAAGGTTCGAGCGCTGGGCTTCCGTGCTCGTCGCGCTGTAGAGAAGTGATACGGCGCTGGCAAAGTAAGTAAGTTAAGAAACGGGACTTTGCTTACGTCTCGCTTTTCCAACTAGCCATAGGTGCTTCTGTAGCCATTTAACCTCGACCTAAAGACCTTTCGAGGGAGGATCTTAGCAGTCTCCTCTCTTTCAGATATTTCGAAGACTTGAAGATGAGAAACCACATCAATTCCCTTGGACGAAGGGCACAGTGGGCACAGGTAGAGACGCCTTCGGGATTCTCGCATAGGTCGCAAGCAAAAGAAGACGTCGAAGGCCGCTGATTCTTCTTCTTTTGCTCCAATTCTTAAGGTTTGACACTCCAGCACGGGTATTACTCTCCGTAGAGAACCAGAACATGACGATGTCCCGTAAAGATTCGCGGCCTTAGTCCCCCGGGATACTGAAATACTTCAGAGTGAACTAATTTTCTTCATTGCGCGACGGATAGACTTGGGCGCTAATGCCGGGTAAATCTCTAATTGTCGAGGTGCTAAATCACACCAAGATATCGTAGGGATTAAGGCATAAACCGTACAAGTCGCTCGTTTCGAAAAGTCTCCGATACTACGTGTGTATCCTGGGGATGACAGGTAAGTAAGCACCGTGTGTGGATACTATATCGTCAATCGTACCCACTGCGAAGGTCCATCACCGTCTGAACCAAACAAAGGACCAATTTTGTCTGCGCTCTCTTGAATTCTATTTTTCTGCTTTTTCTCCATGGCCAGACACTCAATCCAAAAGCAACTTTCTGCAGTGTGCAGAAGGCAGACAACGTAAAGGAACTCAGGAAGACTACCACAGCCTTGAATAATACAAGTCTCGTGCAACATGTCCAGCGCACCAAGCTTGCACTTATTTTCTGTGGTCTCGCAGTCTGACGAAAGCCGCACTGGAGGCTGACTGGCGCTCCAGAACATAAAATCTGGTTGAACTCTGATGTATATAGGGACCCGGATTCTGAGTACCAATTGCGATGGTGCGCTCCTTTCCTCGGTTTTTGCATCAGGTCTGACTATCGACCAGTTTGGCAGGCATCTTTCTAAATTGCGATCGGTGCAGCTGGTCCTGCAAAGCGGCCGTGACGTCAAGGCCTTTTCCAACGCCCGGGCCACCTGCATCCAGAGTATAAATCGACCACGATTTGAGAACCCCCGTCTCCTCTTTCTTTCCTCCCCTCGCCGTCCCAGCGCTCAGGACTGTCCCAAGCAGCGACTGCCGTCGTCCTCGCCGTCGTTGCTCCAGATGATGTCCACCAACAACGGCAATGGAAAAGCAGCCTTCGAGGTCGAGGCGACCAACCTGCGTCCTCGCTGGATCCCCACCGTCGGGTACACCGTCCAGAATGTGTTGATCTCCATTGGTGTCATGATCGGAGCCTGCGCGTCGCTCGTGTTGACCTGTACCGTCGTTTTCCCTTTGGCGTGCATCAGGTCGATGTTTTTCTCGCGGTCTAGCCTCTCGTTGATACCCTCGCGCGACTCGCTTAGGCGGGGCAAGGTCGTCCTCATCGTTGGCGCGTCGCGTGGAATGGGTCTCGAAGTTCTGAAGCAGTACTGTCCCGAACCTGAAACCACCATTATCGCCGTTTCAAAGAATGCTGGTATGTGTATCCACCACTATATCCGGGCGCGTTCTTATACTCCAACCAGATGTTCTGCGGAATGCGATCATTCAGATGGGCGACACTCCCGCTACTCTCCAAATGGAGACCCTTGACCTCTCTGGATCCACCAAGAGTATCGCGGACGCTGTCAGCAAGCTGGATGAGACGTATGGTCCCATCTCCCATTTGTACGCCATCGCGAGTATCTCCAACCACCTCAACGACAACACTCCGTGGAACTTGGTAAGTCTTCGAAGCTTCATGCCCACCTTCCCCTTACTAATTCCTGACCCATTCGTAGGATGTCACAGAGAAGATGATCAAGGTCAATGTATCAGGAACAGTAGCTTTGGTCATGGCGATGTACGAGAGGATGAAGACTCGTCGATATGGAAAGATCGTGGGTAGTTTCTGTGGCCCACAACGCTCATAACTGAAGCACTCTTTCAGTGCATAGTTGGTTCAGTCGCAGGCATGTTTGGCCCAGCGAACATGATATCGTACGCATCCACCAAGGCGTTCATCAACACGTTCTCGAGTTCGCTCCGTATCTTGGCATCCGCCTCTAACGTTGACGTCGTCACCGTCGAACCTGGCTTCATCGACACTCGTATGACCCAGAAGATGCGTGGCCAAGGCAGTACAGTTCCAGGCGGGGAGTTTGCCAACGCGGAGACCATGGCAGAACATATGAAACGCGCCGTGGAACGTGGGGGTGTTGGCGTGGTCGCATGGCCTGTCAGACAATCTATTCAGATGTACGCTTTACGAGGTGGGTCAATGCCGAACACTCATTCTCCTGGGACTTTCTAAGCGCATTCGTAGGGCTCAATCCGATCTGTGAAGAGATTGGAAGGTTTGTTTCCATGAAGGCTCGCATGTCAGGAAAGAAGATCACCTAGGGCACGTAGTATCATGTGCGAGAACGGAACAAGATGTACAGAATGAAGTTTTTCCCCTTCTCCTGCGCCTGCTTTTAGGTTTACGGATGGCCCCATCATCGTGGTTCATCTCTCCGCTGCTTTCCACAGCTGCGACGTATGCGTTTACGCACCGCGTGACGTCATCCGAATCCTCAGTTCCTCGCCTCGACTCCTTAAGAATCGTGCTTTCCACAATCTGCTCGTGTCGTTGCGCCAAAATGCCCACCTCCAACGGCAAGTTTCCAGTTCAGTCCGAGTTCACAGACACCAACCTTCAGCCTCGGTGGATTCCAACTGTCGGCTATGCTATCCAAAACGCTTTGATTTCGTTCGCTACGCTTGTCGTTTCCTTTGCTTCCCTCATCGTCACTTGTTCCGTTGTTTTCCCTTTGTCTTTTTACAGGACATTACTCGCACGGAGAACCGTGACTCTCATCCCTCCTCGCGAGTCTCTCAAACGTGGGAAGGTCGTCCTCATTGTTGGCGCATCTCGCGGAATAGGACTGGAGGTGCTCAAGCAATATTGCAACGAACCAGAGACCACAGTCATTGCAGTGTCGAAAACGGCTGGTAGGTAGTGTCTTTATACCTCCTCTTTCTGTTAAAACCAGTCGATAGATGTGCTGGAAAGCGCACTCGGAAGCCTTGGGGACGTCCCTGCTACCCTTCGTTCAGCAGCGCTCGATCTGGCTGGTCCTTCGAGGTCAATTGTCGATATTGTCAATCGCCTGGATCAGGAGTACGGTCCCGTTTCACACTTGTATGCGATCTCTGGAATCACCAACTATACCGAGGATGAGTCGCCTTGGGACCTGGTACGCTCAATACTACTATCGATGATTCCTCTCACAGCCGGTATGGATCTCTTCGCAGGACTTCAATGAGGAGATGATCAAGGTTAACGTCTCTGGGATTGTCTCTCTCGTGATGACCATGTACGAGAGAATGAAAGGACGGAGCTATGGCAAGATCGTATGCAGTTGAGTGATAGCGCCTCAGAGATGTCAGTACTGACGTCAGAACAGTGTATCATTGGTTCCACTGCTGGAATCTATAGTCCAGCGAATATGATCACCTATGCGTCTACAAAGTCCTTCCTCAACACCTTTGCGACGTCGTTACGCGTCCTGGCTGCATCTTCCAAGGTCGAGGTGGTCACCGTTGAGCCTGGGTTCATCGACTCGCGCATCACGAGGAAGATGAGAGAGCAGGGCGCGACCCCACCCGAATTCACATTCAAAGATGCTCGCGCCTTGGCAAAGAAGATGAAAGAAACTGTGGAGGTCGGTGGAATCGGGGTCTTAACCTGGCCATTCAGCCAGGGTCTACTTTTCTGGGGTACGAGAGGTACGAGTCTCTCCACAGGTGTGAAGGGAAACGATGACGACCTTGATCATGCTTATCCGTTTTTTTTATAAAGGCCTCAACCCCATCCTCGAAGAAGCTGGGAAGTTCTTGATGATGAAAGCCAGGGTATCTGGGAAGAAGATCTCTTAATTTGTATGCTGGTTGGCGAATTGTCGTCGTTCGCAATTGTACGAGAATTGACGCGTTTCTCCGATCTCTCAGCGCTGGTTTGGAGTAAGAAGACTTTGTCATGGAGATATGGTTTGAACTCGCCGAGTAGAAGCCGTTCTCGCTCACTGGCGAAGTAATGAAGGATGATGGTCGGAGGTATTCCTCGTCATCCTCCCCTCCTCGGGGTTTGTCATGGAGCTTTTGGCCGATGTTCAAAGCGGAGGCTTTTGCCCGATATGGTTCTTCAACGCTCGAATGTCATTGATATCCTTTGATTCGCGGCCCTTGGTGCTCGAAGAACTCGGCAATGCGGTCCCGAGGTTGGTTGTCAACACGGCGAAAATAACTCCAGTTCATTGCACCCGCGTCGTTCACCAGCGTTTCAGGTTAATCCAAGGAAACACCGGCTCGCTGGTTGGCGCCACCCTCGTTGCTCGTCGCAGGTCGAAAGATGGTGAAATCGCCCCAAAACCATGTTGGCTACTGGTTTGTTTTCCCAGAGATTCGTCGTGTTTTGAGGTTGTGGCTTACGTTTTTGGGGCCCTCGTCGCAGGTATAAAAGGGAGGGACGATGGAAACGAGAGGACATCAGCAACCACAGCACACCCAGTTGTTTAAGCCAACCGTCGTCTAGAACTACAAGATGAAGCTCCTCACTTCCTTCGCCATCCTCGCCTCTGCTGCCCAGATCGCCTCCGCCCACTGTACGTTCCCAATTTCTTTCTTTCACTGAGTCTCATCGGCTAATCACCATTTTTACAGACATCTGGAACACCCTTACCTTCGGTTCTGGTACTTCCACCGCTGCTGTTCGCCAGCCCCAGAGCAACAGCCCCGTCGAGAATGTCAGCTCGAACGACATGAGGTGCAACGTCAACCCCAGGGGCGCGTCTGAGGTCATCCAGGTCGCCGCTGGAAGCACTGTCGGCTTCAACTTGGACAACACCTTGTACCATCAAGGACCTGCTGCTATCTACTTGGGTCAGGCTCCCGGCGGTAGCGTCACCAACTGGGACGGAAGCGGTGCCAACTGGTTCAAGGTGCGTTTCTTTGGGGAGAGTTTGATGAGGATGTGAGAATTGACGGATGGGATACGGATAGATCGATGAGTGGGGTGCCACCTTCAACCCCTTCAACTTCATTCCTTTCAACAAGAGCCACCTCTCTACTACTATTCCCGCTAACACTCCTAATGGAGAGGTATGTTGTCGCTTCTCGCGTTTCACGCCGACCTTGAATTGACGGCGATCACGCAGTACCTCCTACGAATTGAGCAAATCGGTTTGCACGTTGCTGGTGCTCCTCAGTACTACATCTCGTGCGCTCAGATCCGCGTGACTGGTGGCGGTGGAGGCAACCCTCCCAAGGTCTCCATCCCCGGATACGTCTCTGCCAGCGACCCCGGTCTTACCGTTAACATCTACAACCCTGTTCCCACTTCGTACACTGTAAGTTTTCCCCCCTCTGAGCGAAAGATTGGGAACTGATAGGGCTCGCGCAGGTTCCTGGACCCCGCCCCTGGAGGGGATAAACGCTTCGAGAAACGCTCGAAGACAAGAACATGTCGCATATTTCGAAAATTCCCAGTTCTACTTACTGCTCGCTGTTGATACCCAAATAAATTTATAGAATAAAAGTGTATTCTTCATCTTCTTTCGCAGAACCACTTGTAAGAAGAGAAGTCCACCAGACTCAGGTAAATGTCTCACCAAGTCCCGTGGCCAATGGTATCCTTCTTCCATTGCTGGCTGCTGGGTGCTCTGCGGCAAAATAGCGCGCAGACGACACCGCACAAGTCATGGTTCGTATTTTCCATAGATTAACCATTTATCTAATCTTTCTATTTATAAACCTTTCCTTCATTCAGTTTCTCTACCTTCTGAAGCTTCGAGCTCGTTGGTGTGGGGTAAAACGTACTTTCTGAGGATATTCGTGATCACAAGGGAATCAAAAATGTCCTTCTCAATCTTGTTTTGTATCCTAACCTTTTCCGATGATTTTACTACTATAAAACGACCATGGTGTGAAGTAAATGCCTCAGGTCCTGAACCTTCACTGACTCTGCTGTATTCAGAAAAATGAAGCTCGCTGTCTCCTTCGCACTACTCGCCTCTGCGGCGCAACTCGTCTCTGGACATTGTGCGTTCACGGCATCCCTTCCATATTGATGGAGACTAACTCCCTCAATAGACATCTGGACCACCTTCACCCACCCTGGTGGTTCATCTACCGCTGCTGTCCGCGCACCGCCGAGCAACTCCCCCGTCGAGAGTGTCTCCTCCAGCGGAATGATCTGCGGTCTCAACGCCCGCGGTAGCGCCAGCGAGGTTGTCACCGTCCCGGCCGGAAGTACGGTTGGGTTCAGGCTCGACAACACGATGTACCATCAAGGACCTGCTGCCATGTACTTGGGACAGGTCCCTGGTGGGCAGAGTGTCACGTCTTGGAACGGGGCTGGAAATAGCTGGTTCAAGGTATGTTTTCTTTTTTGGGGGGTTCTGGATTGTGTGGTCGCGTAGTAGGTGTGATGGCTGATGCAACTTTGTTGATCAGATTGCCGAATGGGGAGCTACGTTCAACCCCTTCCAGTTCACGACGTTCAACAAGAACTCCCTTTCTACCACCATTCCTTCCAACACTCCCCTTGGAGAGGTGAGGATTCTCGAGCTCATTCGTTGATGGTACATTGACTGGGATGGTATTCAAGTATCTCCTCCGTATCGAGCAAATCGGCTTGCACGTCGCTGGAAAGCCTCAATTCTACATCTCGTGTGCTCAAATTCGAGTTACCGGCGGAGGCGGAGGCAACCCTCCCAAGGTCTCAATCCCAGGATACGTCTCTGCTAATGGTAAGCATCTATCACACCCACGAATTATGAAAAAGTGACCCACTAACCTTTGTGTAGATCCGGGCCTCACTGTCAACATTTACAACCCCGTCCCGACTTCGTATACAGTTCCAGGACCTCGCCCGTGGAGAGGATGAGCTCATAGCTACGCCAATAAAGACTTAAGAGGACGTTGGGCTCCTCACCTGTCTGTTGTAATCTCGGAATTGTTATTGGTCAATGAGAAGCTTGTGCCATTGATTGCCGAATACGAAGTCGAAGACAGGGATGGATTCGGAACGTCCATGGAATAAGATGGAGGGCTATAAATACTCAAGTCTGCGAGTCTTCCTGCAGCGTGCTGGTACCGAGTAATCCGTCATGATCGTCTTCTTCGACATACCCTGCAAGGTCGCCGGCCGGGCCTGGTCCCCAAATGCCTGGAGAGTCAGGTGCGTCAGACCTGTACCCCTAACCTTAAAAGCGCCGAGCGCTTATCACACTGGCTCCAAGATACGCGCTTAACTACAAGCGGATCCCATACCGAACGGAATGGGTCGAGTTTCCAGACATAGAGCCACTTGCCAAAGCGAAGAGGATCCCGGCCACGGCGATCCAGAAGGACGGCACAGCACTTTACACCCTACCCGCGATATTCGATCCATACACCCAACGCTACGTCTCAGACTCCGCGCTGATCGTGAAGTACCTCGACTCTGCCTACCCCGATACACCCAAGGTGTTCCCACCGGGCACGCGCGCTCTGCAAGCTGCGTTCCAGAGCGCCTTCGTACCGAAGATCATGCCCCTGTCGACAGTCATCGTCCCGTACGTCACCGACAACCTCAACGAGAAGAGTCGACCATTCTTCCAGAGCGATAGAGAGAAGAAGTTTGGGAAGACTATGGAGGAGCTCAAGACCAATCTCGAGGAGAGGCAGATGAATTGGGAAAAGTTCAAGGACGGTATGGGGAGAATCGACGGGTGGTTCACCAAGAACGACGAAGAAGGCTTGTTCAAGTCGGATTTCATCATGGGAGACCAGCCGGTGTTTGCGGACTTTGTCATTGGAGGATTGCTGGCCTGGATCAGGAATGTGTGGGGGGAAGACAGTGCGGAGTGGAATGAGATGAAGGGATGGCACGATGGCCGGTGGTTGCGATTGGTGGATCAGTTAAGAAAGTACGAAACTGTACATTAAATTGAAGTAGGAATTACGAGCACTACTAGGTCCTGATCTTCACCTTTAAGGTCCGAGAACATACCCTTCAGAGCTATATCGACGAATGACTCGACTGCTCCGAGGTTCTTGTCAAAAGAAGAGCGGATGACAGCACGATCCCAAATGACCTCCTTAGCCTGCGCCTCGAACGCCATGATGGTTTCCTGAGCCAGATTAACGCAGTTCTTGAGCACAACCCTGTCAACAGCCGCACCCACGCTAGCCCTATCGCTAAGGAACTGGAGGACGCGTGGAATCGGAAGATACGAATGCGACGAAGAGCCCAGGACGATCGCCGACTTTGTGAACGTCGTCTTCTCGAAGATCAGGGTTTTGAGATGGGGGATTGGCGCGTGGTTTCTGGATAGATCCGGGAAATTTTCTTCGGTGTAGAAGAAATCGTGCGCGGATTGCGAGCCTGTTAGGTAGATCTCCTCGAGCATTGGAAGATCAAGCAGGACGTCGGGGCTTCCGGGGGCGTAACTTGCCGTGCGAACGTCGGCGAGGTTCAGGACGCGGAGGTGGATCGGTTTGTCGATGTCGTGGACGACTGGTGGCGGGGGGAGAGGCGTATTACTGCTACCAGTACCCGATGTGAAGTCGACTCGATCTGGCCAGAGGTGGAGGAGGATACCGGATGGCCAGTGCTGGCTTCCAAATTTCTGAGCTTGGATACTGGTCAGGCGGTGCTGGTGGGTCAAATCTGGATCCATTCGCGAAATAGACCGGGGAAGTGGGGGAACACCCTCCCTGGCCACTAGGCCCAGAATATCCTGCATGGCTCCGGTGCAGATCAAGCACCCTCGAGCGGAGGAGGGGATGGCGATATGAGGCAGGGGCAGGTGCCACACTTGGAGGGGCCCATCCAAAGTCAGTTCCGTCAGCTTTGGTACCTTCACCACGCGGTCTTCGAGGGGGAGTTGGGTGGGATCAAGAGACACGATCTTGAGCTTCAGATGAAGCAACTCCGGCATCCTCTCCAAGAAGTCGAGGATGCGATCAGCTGGGATCGGGTAAGAACCCAGGATGGCGAACTGGAAACTCGTCAGGTTGGTGTAGAGTGGGGAGGTCCAGGGAAGGCTGCACGTTGCGAGGCTGAGGGTACGCAGTTTTGGAGCTTGGGAGTCGAGGAATCCGTCTGGAAGGTAGAAGAAGTTGGTGACTTCTGGAGTCATGATGAACTCGATCGACAGGCTCTCGAGCAAAGGGGCGGGCTGGGATATCAGAGTCCTAGCGAGTCGGCTCCAGAGGGCTTGGCCGGTCCCTCGAATATCTAGTGATCGGACCCTGGTCGTCTGCGATAGCGCGTAGTGCACAACTCTCTCCAACTGGTCATTGAGCTTGGCCGGATTGGCGCCAAAGGTGAGATCGAGCAGTGCCGACTGGGAAGCACGAAACTTGGGATACATCCACTGAGGATGACTATCCGAGATCGAGGTCCAAAGGAGGGCATAGCCCGCCGCTACGCGTCTCCAGTGAGCGCAAACGTGGATGATCTTGATCCACGCCATCGATTTCGGGTCGCGTTTCTTTGGCGGAAAGGTGTCTTTGTACTCTTTGAAGATCCGACAAAGGATCTCGTTGGGCAGACAGCCCAGGTTGTTGAGATTCCTCTTCCATGCGCACGTTTGGGCGATGCATATCGCGATGCTCTTTTCGACGATCGTGCGTTGAGGTTGGAAATGTTCCACCCGCACGATGTCGATTGGCTTTGCCGGCGGAGCGTCCACGGTGAAAAGTTGTCTCGTATTGCCGGGCTGCCATGCATATAATCGGGGAAAGGTCAGAAAACACTGAGCTTCTCAATGAGAGAAAGTATACTTATGCCGAGTACAAGGGTAAGGAACAAAGTGATTTAAATCTGCATGACTAAGGACCGACAGATTGCAAAGGAAAATTCGCCCCTTGTGGGGACACGAAACCGCTACGCGGTGATCGAGCGTATAGCCCGGAGTTCGACCCGCAGGGGTCGAGGGCCTCGCAGCCCGGAAATGCGATTGAAAAGACCAATAGATTTCGCGGAAAGCTCAGGTGGTGACTAGTACAGGATGGGTGGAAAGGAAGGAAGATAGATAAACTTCCCGTAAAAAGCGAGCTCTTTAACCATAATCGAAACAGTGCCAGAAGTAAGAAGCAGAAGTAACACAGGTACGAATAGTCATGGCAAGAATAGCAGGTGTCAAGAAGGAAATCGGAGACGTAAAACCCCGTTGCTGGAACGCGTCTCGAGCCCCGCTTAGGCTAGACGTGTTCCCCACACCTTCTGCCATTTTCGCACGCAAGACAAGCATCCGGAAAATCAGAAGTGATGTCGAGATGTTGGCAAGTTGGTCTTGTACGGGTTCACACATATCGAGTCCTCACAAGTCGGTGTTCAGTGGTAGTAGCACCGGTTTTAAGTTAACAAAGAGTGACGGACATTACGAGTATACATCAGGCCGTAGTACTATCAACTGGAGGAGAGCAAGTCACCGAGTTCTCTTCGACATTGATCTATGTACTTAGTAGTAAGTAGGCTCTAACATTGTCGTCTCAACGTGCCGTCCCCCTTTTTGAAACGCCGAAGCCTCAAGGAAGACGACGTAGGCTTTAACTACTAACATGTACAAATAAACACTGAGGCAAGCTGCTCCTGTCACCGCAGAACAAATGTTCGATTTTTCGGATTTAATACTCTCTGCTGATCATGAATGAGACGAACCACTGCCAGCTATTCGAGTACACAGAAGCTCCATTCAGTAGTAAGTATGTACAAGTGTACGAAAGGTACGTATAAGGCGTAGATTACAAAGCAAACAGAACTGCGAACCGAAAGCAGTGGCAGTAAGTATAGGTGAAAGCTCGGAGGCGGAGGTCCAAAGGTGAGAGCAAGCCGGGGTCCGAGGTATATACTCAGCCCTCAACCAGCGAAAATGGATGAATTGAAGAACTACTAGACAAAAGCCGCGACAATGAAAAGAACTAGGCGAAAAAACGGTATAAAAAGACTAAGAAAAGTTTGAAAACATCGTAAAGCGTAAAGCGTTCCGTCGATTCGCATCATGTCGTGTCGCGTAAAGAATTCGTTAGAAAGTGGTTGGTTAGTTGGTTAGTAGGAGCACCAGTCTGAAGCAGTAGAGGTCGAATGGGGTAGGTCGAACGGGATGGAGGAAGTAGGAGGAAGTAGGATGAATGAAGATAGAGATGGCGAGGTTAAAGCTGAGTGAAGGTAGAGATGGGCGAGGATAAAGAAGGTCAAAACGGCTCGTGAGCACAACAGCCCGTCGTCATCCAAGGCGCCTAATCACTGACAACAAATTGCCAATCGTCATGAAGCCACGAGTGGCAGGTGACAGTCGGTGTGAACATCGACATCGGCATCGTGGGCAAAGGGTTAGGACGAGGGTATCGAAGGAGGAAGACCATAGCGTGCTCAAAGTGCTGATAGGTATAATGGTGGAGATGGATCTGGGACTGGGACCGGGGCGTCGGAATGAAATGAAGGTTGGCGTAGCGTAATGGATAGCGCGGAACGTGGAACAGACGAAGGATCAAGTCGAAGTCGAAATCGAAGGTCGGAGGATGAGCCTCGTTTCTCGTTTACTCGACGAGTCGGAGGTAGTTCGAGGGAGCGACTAAAGACGACGAGCGAGTGTTGTCAGTATGAGGTCGATGTGAATGCATGGAAGGAAGAGAGAAACATGCGAAGAGAGAGATAGAAGGAGCAGTGCGTGGAGCAAGAAATAGGCAAAGAGAGACAAAGAGTGAGAGAGATACGCACTGCCAGTAGTCCCATCCGCCTTCCTCGCCTCCCACCACTTGCCAGAACGATCCAAAATATACAAAATCTCGCCCTTCTTGAACGATAGTTCGCCCGGGTCTTCTTTAGCCGCAGTGTCTGCAAAACAAAATGTGTGATCAGTAAAAGAAGTCCAAAATGCCACATAGAAGAACCTATGCGACTAGGGAATAGGGAATAGGAATAGGGAATAGGGACGTACATCCGAACAACGCCTCAGCTTTTGGCAAACTCTGCATCTCCCTCGCCCAATCGCTCTGTGCACCACCGGGGGAGACGGGTTGTTGCAGCGCCTGCTGCTGCTGCTGCGCTCTCGCAGCCTGCTCCCTCTCCCTCTCCTTATCCCGTCCACCAAAGCTCCATGGACTCTTCCTGCCGCCTGTTTCGCTGCCCACCACCGATCCCCCTCCTCCAATTCCAGTTCCGTTAGTAGGGACACCGAGGTTGGAGACTTCCGTTGAGGTATCGGCTACGCCTGGCCCGGAGGATCGTTGGGTGATGGACGCGGTGCGGATGGCGGAATGTCGTGGTGTTGGACCGAGAGGCGCGAGTTCCATCGGTGTGTGCGTCATTCCCGTGTTGGCGCCGCCTTCAAGACCGCCCTTAACAACACTCTGTCCTCCCCCAACGCCTACACCTGCTCCGGGGGTGTAAGCACCCAGAGCAGCAGGGTGCACCGCCGGGCCCCTTCCATTCTCCACAACGCGCGCGATAAGGCTGCCAGGCGGGGCCGTGAAGTACATAACCCACACCAAGTCGACGAAGATGGTGAGGAGCCAGGCGGCGGCGAGCGCGCGCTGGCTGGGGTCCGGCGGGTCGTGGATGTTCCGCTCGACTGCGTAGGCAGCGAAGACGAGGACGAGGGCTGCGAGGGTGGATAGTTGGATGTGGTGCGGTGGCAAAAAGGTGTGAGGGTTGAAGAGGAGGGAGGAGAGGAGGAGGATGAGGAGGAGTTGCAGGAAGAGGCCGAACCATGCGGCTCCGACTGTTAAGTTACCGCGTCGGGCGGTGACGATTGATTGGGTTATTAGTGTCATTATCCAGAAGAGCTGTTTATTGGTTAGCTAGGCTATAGTATAGATGTGGATAGAGAGGAGGGACGTACGACTGCGAGCACGAGAGTTACACTCAGAACGAGGTTGTCTGCTAGTTTTTCTGAAGTAGTGGGTGCACCGACGGCGTACGAATCTCCTACATGTCCCATCCCTCCTCCGTGCGCAGCTATGGGTTGACTTAGCGGCTGTTGGTTCACCGAGGCCGAGGCTGGCGGGTCGTCCAATACAATCCTCGGCTGGGAGATCGACGTCGCTGTGTGGTTCCCGACATCAAGGTGCTGTTTGGGCGTGCTGGTGTCGTCGTTGGATAGAGAGGATGGCTGGGCCTGCAGCTGCTGCGACTGATGTTGCGGGTCGTTGTATGATGTGTCGGGGTTTTGCACTGTCGCCATTTTTGCCTGGCCCTAGGTATCTGTTGGATGTGATGTTAGTTCGGTAAACTACCCCCAATTCCAAACTGGGCGCCAACGGCAACCAACAAGAGACGGGTAAAGAAGACCCAGGAGGACTTACAGGAAAGAAAGCGCTGGGGTGCAATAGTTATAAAGTACAGAGGGGAGAGACAGAAAAAAGGGTAAAACACGCCGTGAGGGGTTCGAGGCGGTGTAGAGTGTTGATTTGACGCAAGTTGAACCAACCCAAAAACCATCCGCCGGGTTGACGGTGATTGCCTTTTTACATCTGGTGGGAATGATCCCAGGATTCCCCAGCCCGTGGCGTCATACATACCCCAGAAGAGTCTAATTCGCGCACTTTGAAATGGTGGAAGGAAGGACGGAGAAGTGTCATGAACGACGGTGGTGCATTCATGAGAGCCAATGATACGCCAGAAGGCTATATTGTGTGCTCGAGATCAGCATCATCGTGGCCTGGGGTACCGAACTCTGAGAACGGCCTCGAGGAAGGGCACGGGATCCGGGAGACCGAGAACACTGAATTTGTGGCCCGGATATGATCCGGCAGCGGCCCGGAGCAATCCGTCCATTGCGATTGGAATTTCAGGTGCATCATCTTGCTGGTTCGCGAGCATGGAGCCAGAGCGATTTCGTCACTCAAACAGTCCCCTTCGGGCCTTCTCGCCTTCTTATATACCCCACGTCCGACACCCAGCGAACGCACGTTGAACCCAACGGACAGATCCCCACAAATCTCCGAAGTGGTACTTAAGGTACGTCCCGTCCCCTCTTGTTCTACGGGGTATTTGAAACTCAACACACGTTTGTAGGAATTCAAATTTGAGGGTGTTTTGGGTTCTGCTTTTGTTGTTCATCTGAACATCTTGACTCTCTACTCTCATCCACAGAGCGTTGAGAAATGGCAGTCCTCAAGCGTCTCCTCACCCGGCGCACCCTCCTCTACGCCGCAGGCGGGACTCTGACCACCGCCGGCGGGCTCTACTACCTCTCCTCCTCCCCAGGCCCGTCTATCCCCTCCTCAAGCAAGGAAACCCGCCGTCCTCCGCCGCCATGGACGCCCCCCTCCCGCGCCGAGATGCTCAACCGGCTCAAAGCCTCCAATAGCGGCAACGACGAGGACGTGTTCGACTTGCTGATCATCGGCGGAGGCGCGACTGGCGCTGGAGTCGCCGTCGACGCCGCAAGTAGGGGGTTGAAAGTCGCTCTAGTCGAGCAGGCTGATTTCGGCAGCGGTGCGTCCTAGACTAGACCCCTCTCCCCCATCCATCCTAATGTTAATCTTAACCCTAAATCCCAAACGCCCTGTTAGGCACCTCCTCAAAGTCCACCAAACTCGTCCACGGAGGGGTGCGCTACCTCCAAAAAGCGATCTTCGAACTGGACTACCAGCAGTACAAACTCGTGCGCGAAGCCCTCCACGAGCGGCGGATCTTCCTCCAAACCGCGCCTTACCTCTCGCACATGCTGCCGATTATGCTTCCCATATACAAGCATTGGCAGGTGCCGTATTATTGGGCGGGGTGTAAGTTGTATGATGTGTTGGCGGGGAAGGAGAATATGGAGAGTAGTTATTTTTTGAGTAAGGGCAAGGCGATGGAGATTTTCCCGATGTTGAAGAGTGAGGGGTTGGTTGGTGCTGTGGTTTATTATGATGGTGCGTGTCCTCCTTTGCTACTGGAATCTGGAAATACTAACGCTGAGATGTTCAGGCCAACACAACGACTCGCGCATGAACATCGCCCTAATCCTCACCGCCATCAAACACGGCGCCACAATCTCCAACTACACTTCTGTGACCTCCTTCACGAAGGACCCCACAACAAACCACCTAACAGGCGCACTCGTAACCGACACCCTCACCTCCACCTCCTTCCCCATCCGCGCTAGGGGCATCATCAACGCCACGGGGCCCTTCACCGACTCCCTCCTCGCCCTCGACAACCCCGCGCACAAACCCATCGTCCAAGCGTCCTCCGGTATACATATAACCCTGCCGAATTATTATAGCCCGAGGAAGATGGGGTTGCTGGATCCCGCTACGAGCGATGGGAGGGTTATTTTCTTTTTGCCGTGGGAGGGGAATACGATTGCTGGTACGACGGATACGCCGTGGGGACAGGTTAGAGTGGGTGAAGAACCCAAGGCGAGCGAGGAGGAGATCCGGTGGGTGCTGGATGAAGTCCGGAGTTATCTAGCGCCGGATATTAAAGTGCGCAGAGGGGATGTGTTGAGTGCGTGGAGTGGTTTGCGGCCTCTAGTTCGCAACCCCAATGTCGACTCTGATTCTGCTGATGATGGAAATGGAAAGACGGCGGGTCTGGTTCGAAGCCACGTCCTCCACCTCTCGCCCTCGGGTCTCCTCACCATTGCCGGGGGAAAGTGGACGACCTACAGGAAGATGGCGGAGGAGACTGTTGATGAGGCTGTTAGAGTTTTTGGGTTGGAGGGGAGAGTGAGGAGTGGGTGTGTCACGGAGAGGGTGAGGCTTGTTGGGAGTGATGCGTGGAGTCGGAATATGTTTATTGGGTTGATTCAGACTGTGAGTTGCTCTCTTTCTCTGTGGCTTTGGGGTCTTTGGGTTTTGGGCTTTGGGCTTGGGGCTTGGGGCTTTGGGCTTCGCTCGTCTTTGGTCTTTTCGAAGGAAGAGCTAACCTCGATGTCTCTACTTCATATAGTATGGACTCGAAACGGAGGTTGCGAGACATCTTTCGGATAATTATGGTGATCGAGCGTGGACGGTGTGTTCGTTGGCGGAGCCGACGGGCGAGCCGTGGCCTTTGTATGGGAAGAGAATTGCGGCTCAGTATCCATGTACGTCCCTTCCATCCTTTCCTCCTTTCTTAGCCCATCCTCCCCCTCTCCCTCTCCTTTCCCTCCTCTCTCTTCCCCTTCTTCCCTCCTCTCCCTTCCCCTTCTTCCCTCCTCTCCCTTCCCCTTCTCCCCTTCTCCCCACCTCCTCTCTCCCTCCCACACTAACCCTCCCCTCCCTCTCTAGTCATCGAAGCCGAAATCCTCTACGCCATCCGACACGAGTACGCGCAAACCGCAATCGACGTCCTCGCCCGTCGTACGCGTCTCTCCTCCCTAAACGCCCGTGCGGCGTTGCATGCTTTGCCGAGGGTTGTGGAGGTTATGAGTGAGGAGATGGGGTGGGATGGGGAGAGGAGGAGGAGGGAGGTTAGGGAGGGGGTGGAGTTTTTGGAGGGGAGTATGGGGTTGGTATTGGGTGGTGGAGGTGGGGTGGGAGGGAAGGAGGGGAAAGAGGAGGTTTTGAAGGAGGTGGTGGAGGAGACGTTGGCGAAAGTTCGAGTTCCGAAGCGTGGATCGTCGTGGTTGGGCCTGGGTGGGATTTGGAGTGCGTGGAACACGCCTTCTCCATCCCCCTCCCCTCCTGGGGGTCTGACGACTCCACCTGGAACTACACCCTCCTCTTCATCGCCGTCCTCCGCGATCCACCCAACGCATGCGTACACCCGTGCCCTCTTTGAACCTGGCGAACTTGCCCTTTTGAAGACCCTGTTCCTGTCGAAGGCTACGAAGGTTCCGGTTTCGGGCAGTTTGAATCATGTTAATAAGAGTTTGTTTGAGGAAGGGATGGTGGAGAGTGTGCTTGGTGTTGGGGATGTTTTGGGTGTTTTGAGGGGTGGGTTTGAGGTATGTGTTTGAATTTTGTTGTTTGGTTTTGTTCGTTTGGGGGTTTGGTGGATCCTCCTTGGATCGTGGGTATAAGGGATCCGATCGTTCGCTTAAATGAGCGTTCCTTCCTCCAATCGATATATACTTCACTTCGTTTAACCTGTCGATCCTCGGATCGACCCATCCTTCGTTACCCGATCCATCATTTATTTTGTCCTTTGGTCGGCTGCGGACGTGACGCAACCCAAACGCTAACCCTCCTCTACTACTAGGCTCAGTCAAGTCCGTACGCTACTGTCACCCAGAAGGAGTACGAGTATGTTTTGAAGGAGGCGGGGTTGCAGGGGAGGGAGTGGTTGAATTTTGAAGAGTTTGTTGAGGTGCGTATTTTGCGGTTTGTGGTTTTCGTTACTTTCGTGATACATATCACGCTTTGCTCTTTCGATGCCCTTCTTACATCTCACCATCTTTATTTTTACTGACTGACTGACTGACATTTCGCCGTCTTCATCTAGGTCTGCGGAAACTTGAAGGAAGTATCATCTGTTGCGCCGCCTAGCAAGTCGACGCAGAGGATTCGACGGTTGAGGATTCCTGTTGAGAAGAGCGGTGGGGGTGTTTAAACTTTAAACGCTGCTTAGTCTTTAGAATGTCGGTGACGGCCGCTTTAAATTATGGTCTGAGACTCTGGCGGTTCGAAATGTAAAATAGATTTTCGCTTTCATTTTCTGGACTAGCTTAGGAGTAGGCGGGTGCTTGCGCGAAGAAAGGATTCACGTGAGGCGGCATATCGGCAAATATCAGAGAATCTTGATTGAGACTTGATTGAGACACGCCACTTTCGACCAGGTTCCTACTTACCATGCCGCAACGACGTCGCGAACCTGGGATGTCGATGACTGGTGTAGTGAACTCCCCGGCCATGGCCTCTCTCTATTCCTCGCTTCGGACTAAAGGACGACCCGGGAAGAAGGCGAGCAGGGAGGACTCGGATGACGCCCAGGAGGACATCGACGTGACGACCTTTGACGAGCATGAGCTCGCCCAGCTGGAAGCGGTGTTGGAGATATTGAAGTCCAAGGCTGCAAAGATGGATAGAATGGCTTCGGACACGGTGGGCGTGGCGGATTTTGAAGAGGAGGAGCTTGTCCAATTGGAAGCTGTTGTGGAAATCCTGAAGTCCAAAGCTGACAGCACACGAGATCTTGAAACTAGTAGACTATACAAAGGTGGTGACTACTCGACGGCCTCTGATATACGACGTCGACTGGAACCTCGGCCCGTTTCTGAGTCTTTCCCGGCGGACCAACTGGCAAAGGAGGACTTTGTGTTCTCTGGTGTTCTTCACTTGAAGCCTGGGGTAACGTCAACGTCTCTGAGCGAGGTGGACGCTCTTGAAGTGGACGGGATCTGGTCGTTGGATATGCTTTGTCGACATCTTGAATTTTTGGAGTGTCATGTTCCACGACAGGTAAGCTTTGATTACTTTTGTGTGCAAGTACTGTATACATCGCGGGAACTGCTAGACTCACTGAGGAATGATTGTTTCTGTAGAGTGAAGATACGTCGAGGCAGTGGATCGATGCTTTCCTCTACCTTGTGGCTGCGATGAAGCCGGGAGGGATGAACGTGGTTCTCAACGCTGGACCACAGTCATCGGATCCGTCGGACAACCCTAGCTTGGACACTCGATGCGGAGGTGATGACTGGACGGTCGTAGCGACCTCTCTGGAAAAATCAGGTACGGCTTTACCAAACCTCCGTCAGAGGCTGTCAGGACCTGAGTACTGAGTTTCCATACTTATACAAAGCGATGCTCATGCGACGACCTCGCCTGCAGGCCTTGGATGAAAATGACCGCGTGTTATTCGTCTCGCGAGATAGAGGACCGAATCAGGTACTCGCCAGCTATATTCCGCCGGCTGTCAGAGGGATGGCTGCGTGTGCGAGGAGAGTAGGGTGGGTGTATCGTTCATTTCGTTGCCGCTGTGGTCCCCCACTTGCTTGTCCATGCTCTTCCGTTACTTATTGCCCTACCCCGTTTACTTGCCGCCATGACAGGAAAACCACGATTCGTGGCGTCTTGACCAATGGCCACGAGTGGATATTTCTCATCCTTACCCTCCACCAGGACGGTGTGGGTGGAACCTACCAGGCGACAGACGTGGTTCCGGTACACACTCTCCATGATCGATTCTTCACGCGCGTCATTTCGAGAGAGGCGGTCAAGTTTGTTAGTGCGGTTGTTGCATATTGGGTACGTCAAGGCTTGTATGCCGTGTTGTTTCGAATCCTGCAGTACATACATAGACTGATGTTTCGTTTTTTGATTGTTGCTTCTAGCTGGTGCATAGTCATGAACCGCTCGATGCTGATGAGGATTTCTTCAGTGTTGGGTATTGAATTTTTGGTTTTGTTATTGGAACTGTACGTTCAGCTCACCGCAACTCTTATTGAAATCGTGAGATCTACATATTGTCTGTCCTGTTTGATAAATCCGAGGTCAAACCTTTCGCCGATGTAGACCGTCGAGCCTCAGTTGGGTTTTGCGCAGTGTTTGGCATTGTTTTATTTTGGTGACATTGGCGTTAGCAAAGGTCCTCCGGACAATCCGCGCTCAGTTGGCCTTCATCACCTCGAAACTTCCCAAACCAGTTTCGCTCGTTTGCACATTTTCCAACCCCCGTCTAGCCTTTCAAACAGGCCAAAAGGCTTGTGCATTCGGAAGACCTCCATATCTCTCGAGGGTTTCGGAACAGAAGACGGCGCAAGGATACCAGTGAACCCACCTGCGCGATTTTCCGAATCCCAACGTGAATGCGGGAGCGGACAGTGGGCGGGCCACAGCGAGAGAAAGAATCGACGATATATAATCCACATGACCCAGAGACTCCCGTGCTCTTTGGCGAGCGTGGCTGCGGGGGCCCGTTGCATGCAAAGAAGCACGGCTTGGCCTCTTCCTCGTCGCCGACAAGCAGATGAATTATCCGTCCGGTTTATCCGTGTGTAAAAGGACGCGATGCACAACGTGAAACCTCCTTCGCCTTGAAATATGGCTCGATTTTCGCTCCTAGCGACTCTAGGGCTCTTCCTGGGTTTGGTTTGGACGGCTCTCGCAGCACCCCGAGTCTCCCAGATCGGCAACAGCCTACTCGACAACAACGGGATCTATTTCGTCTCTTACGATGGCCTCGTCAACGTCAACTCTTTCCAACTCTCCAACCTACTGACATACGGGAACTATCAATACGCTGCTTGGTACACGTCTTCGAGGTTTGCTATCCTCGCAAGACGACAGCTACCTAATGGCGGCTGGCAGACACTCCAGCTCCCGCGACAGCTCTCAAGCAACAATTCTCACAACGTTGTGGTGATTGGAATCTCGCCGGAGGATGGGAGGATTCACGTGGCTTTGGATTGCCATAGTTCCAGGGTCTTCTACACGGTGTCTGAGCCAGGTTTGGCTTTCAATGGTAACTTGAGCTGGGTATCGAGTCGTTTTGGAGGTATTTCAAACAATCTTGGAAATTTGAATGTTGGAACGTACGTCACACCATCACCCTCTTTGGGCGTGTCTGACCTTGTTTCTTTATCTCCCCAGTCAAGTCACCTATCCGCAATTCGTGGTTACGCCCGACAACCTACTTCAATTCGTCTATCGCTCTGGCGTATCGGGAAATGGTGCGACCCAGCTGGCAGAATACCGGAACGGAGTCTGGACAAACGTCGGGTCTTGGGCCACCAATTCGGGAAGCTACAGCGCTCGGGGTGTCACGAGTAACGCGAGGAACCTCTACATCCATGGCTTTACGTATAGGAATGGGAGGCTTCATGTCACTGGGACGTGGAGGGAGCAAGCTGGTGGTGTGATGTGCAATGGAGGCGGGTTGACGAATCATGATACGGTCTACTTCTACTCTGATGATCGAGGTGAGTTGGCTTTACTGTACCATTAGGATGATGTTCGAGTATTCACTGCTTGTAGGAAGGAACTGGAGGAACAGCGGCGGAGCTCATATTGCCACGTCTGGGTCGAACCCCGTTAGGGTCAGCAGTCCTGGGATCATCGTCGATCCAATCAACGCAGATCATGGATTGATGAATCAAGAATCGCAAGACGTGGATTCTCAAGGACAAATCCATGCCATCATTTCCTACGTTCCGGGTAAGCCGGCTGTATTTTCTATGTGCCGCCTCCGCCACTCACGTCGTTTCCAATAGGTCGATTCACCCAATGCGTCACGAGTTATCAGCGAGACCGCACCTCGTACGCACGGCCCTTCCACGTTTTCCGCTCCCCCAACGGCAGCTTCACCAAGCGCGAGATCCCCTTCGCCCTCAACGCCGTCGGTCGCTCTCAAATCGTAATCGATAAGAACGATGATATATATGTCGTTCTTCCATTTGTTCGAGTCGTTTCAGCTAGCAAGTCAAGTGGGTACACCGACTGGACGATGGTCTTTGATGGAGTGGCACAGGGCCTCAATGCGTTTGGGGAGGTTACGGTTGACAGAGCGAGGATGAGGGAGGAGGGGATTCTCTCCGTCTTCTACCAGCTTCGGAGCTCAGGGAATAACCCTTCGCAGGTCAGGGTTATTGATTTCGCTTTGAATACATAAACCGCCCTTCCGTCCTCGTGATCACCGCGGATGGAATGGAAGGTATTGTTCTCACCAACATGATTAGGTCTCAGTCAAGCACAGGTATGGAGGTACACCGATTGCTTGCAAATTATGTCGTGACGTACTATCTTGATGAACCGTTGTAATTTCACCATGCTGTATTCCGTTGGAACGGGAACCTTTCTATTCGGTCCCTTCCACCTCGGTTTTTTATCATGGTAACGAATCCTGACTCAGAGTGATGAGTGGGTCCTCGGAAGGTGGCGCCCTTGATCTCTCTTTCGACAACTGCGGGTCATTCAGCGTTGCTTCTGGCGTCGAACCACTGGAAGGATGCAGTGGGAATTGTTAATCATGGATATAACATTCGCGCTCATCTGTTGTCGTCACAAAAGAAGATGTCCCAAGCTGTGGCGGCGGTGTTGAGTGCCCAGAATAGCTGTACTAAAAGGCCGTTGTCTCCATCAGCACTGATATTAACTGCTTGTATGTCCATTCAATAGCCCAGTTGGTGGCTGCTTGTTTGTATGGTCGCCGACCACAGTTGACCAACATCTTGCAGGCCGAGAACTTTGAGGGACCCACCGCCGAGTCGGTGCTTGGGAGCCCCCATTGGCAGCTCCCGGGTGCCAGATGCACCGTAGATATAGTTCTCGGTAAAGGGGACGTCGTTCGCAGAACAAACGAGGCCAGGCTAAAGAAGGAAACCTTGACATCGTGCAGTGATCTCGTCGCCGAGTCTGGAAAGCAACGTCAGACACTTGAAGAATTGACTTCCGCCACCCGGGACGAAGAGATCTTTCTTGACAAGGTAGTACCCACCGTGGATGCCCTCAGTGACCTAGTATGCGGGTCATATCACTGCCTCCCGACGTTATTCATTCCCATCAACTTTCTCAACTCCGTCCTCAATTTGACGAAAGGCTCGGTTGGGGACGTAGCTAGGATTTGATCTACAGTACATGTATACGAAGGCGGGCCGAGTCGTCAGGCTTGACATTCATCTACCCACCTTCCTACCGTTGAATATCGGGGACCCCAGAAAGCATGACTTAAGGTTCCAGATGTTGTACCTAGGCAACTTCATAATACGCGAATGGCACTTTTGTCCATACTGGTAACTTACCGAGTTGTTACAGGCACTGTGAATCCGGTCGACGCTGTGATGAGCTTTACGAATGACGCGAGAGGACATGTATAGCCGCCTCAGTGAATGGATAAGAGAGAGAAAGGAAATATCAAACTGTCCTGAAGATGTCGTCAGATGTGTATTCCTTGTAGAGTTGGATATTGGTTCGGTTTCCATGATCTGGCGGGAAAATGACCTAAATAAATTGATTTCTTCGCATCTCTATCATGATGCCAATAGATGTCCAAACATGTGGGCAGTCTGCAGAGCAAAGGATGAGGCAAATTCGGTCTCTGGCATCCGAGTGGTGCGCAGGATTTGTGGGAATTTGAGGGATTCTACGAGGAAGTTTTCCTTATAAAAGGGAGGGCCTTTCCATGGAAAATGACACCAATTCAATCGCCTAAATCACCTTCACTCTCTCTATCTATCCCACAATGGTCTCCTTGAAACTTACCGCGTTCATTTCGCTCCTTATTACCTGTTTTCTCGTCAGTGCCTTCGACGGGGACAATGTAAGTCGCCTAGTCGGGAAACATTCTATCAAGTACTCAACCGTGCTCTGTCTCTATAGTATCATGTAGACCGCCGTGCGCTCGCATTCAACGATGATTACTTCCCCCGCAATGACCTTGTCAGGGAGCTCGAGCTCAGGGAGCTTGCCCTTGACAAAATGCATGCACGCTACAACAAATATCTCGATCTCAAGCTTAGAGAACTCGATGGGCTTTATCGTAAACTTGAAGCACGAAACAATCGTGCCAACCCCGTACGTATAGGCTTTCCGGTACTTTATCGAGAACGGAACTTAAACCTTACTCTCAGCAACCTCCTCCAGCCCCGCCCCCCCAATATCCTCCGCCACCAGGCCCGGCACCCCAGCCACCTCGCGACAGCGGGGCACTCCCTGCTTATCCAGGTCCAGAATCCCCCCCACCTCCTCGTCCAGGGAGCCCGCACCCACAGGGGCGCGGGCAAGCACAGACAGGGCAAAGATTTACTCCGGGCCTTGCACCTATCGTAGAGCCTGGTCAACAACGTCCGAATCGTCGAACCTAAACCAACTTCAGAGCGGGACTCTTTGAAGCGGCAGTTTCCTCGTATTGACATGCTACTTATTTATTTTCCCTGGCGGAACTAGTATTTTGAATAAATTATCTATCCTGGTTCTTGTTTGTGATGACCCCGTTTGAAGAGAAGGGCTGCTGAGGAGAGATCAAGCGCCCAGCCTTACCTGACAAGCATAAGATCAGGACTGCAGTGAATGTTTGCTCGCTTTGATAATCGAGTAGACTTCGCTGCGAAGTTGAGGGACCCGGTCCTCGGGTGTCATTTCCGACTCGGCTTTCCAAACCGTGATCATACCTTATGCTCCAGTCGAGAGCCGAATTAAGGCGAACCCTGTCAGCGCCCGTGCTTTGGGGGTCGGCGGTGGAATGGTTGTTTCAGCGACGTGTGCAGGTTGACCATATTATGGGTAGCTTCAATCAATCTGGGTCGCAATGCTTGGTGTATCCTCCCTGCTATTGGACCTCCCCTGTCGAGAGTGGAGGCCATTGTAAGCAGCGAGTGTCAAAGCGACAGAAATATACCATGAGAGACCATGAAAGACAGCTTCAACCAGAATTAACCTAAATATCCCATTCAATCCCGATGACATCGCCGAGATATTTGACTCGGAGGATACAAACGTTCACGGTATATTCTCCCACGCAAAGTCTACTGACTGCCATGTCCGGGACTAGGCACTGTAGGCATCTCTGGGAATAGGATCTCACATTTTGCACAATCCATTAATGACTGTGGGTGCATAGTCAACGCCGCCCAAGGTCATGTGCCCCCGCAATGATGGAAAAGAAGTGTGGGTGTTACCAATCTACGGGCTGTCTCCAATGCATATAAAGGTTAGCATAATTTCTTGTATCTAGTCATCAGTAATACTCGCTTTCCAATGACGGACTCACCTGTCTCTCAGTCCCCCGAGAGCCCAAAAGACATCGACCTCTCTTCCACCAATGGGTCACCTACTCTGGCTACCGGAGACAGTGCATCCAAATTGGAAGGGGCAACCGTTTCCCTTCCGCCTGGCTACCATCCCAAAGTTGCGAATGATGGGAGAGCATATTATTGGGACTATTACACCCAATCGTGGAGGTGGACGATCCCTTCGACGACGAAAGTCACTAACCCTTTTCCCTTGCCTCCTCTGCCGGATGGATGGGAAGAGAGGTGGGATGCGTTCGGTCGGGTTTACTTCGAGGAGCAACAATCTGGAAATAAGCAGTGGGCTCATCCTGCTCTAGGGGCTCGGTGCGGCGAAGGACATGGAGAAGATGAGCAGGGCCTGGAGATAGCGAAGGAGCTTTCGTTTCACCCCGCAACCCAGTGGAGAAGTCGAATCACCGTCAACCTCGATCAAAACGGCCAAGGCATTATCTCACCCCTTCGCCCTCACATGCAGCAAACGTCCTCGAGCCTCGCCGGTCGACCCTACTACATCAACGTCGTCACCGACACAGTGACGTGGCACGAACCCATTGCACCAGGATGCGAAACCATGGAAAGCCCAGACGGTCGTGTGTACTACATCGACCATTACTTGAAAACCTCATACTGGGAGATGCCTGCGTTCTCAGAGGAGGTTACCGATCCTTTCCCACTATCGCCTCTGCCGGACGGATGGGTTGTCGCACCAGACGAATACGGCCGCATCTGCTTTGTAGAGAAGGGGACGGGAAGGAAGAAGTGGACTCATCCGGGGGACAGTGGAGATAACGAAGCGGCTTTGGAAATCTCGCGGAGACTCGGATTCCATCCACCAGAGAATTGGAGGAGTAGATTGACGATTGATTTGGGCGCTGGCATCAAGAGCGCTGTGTTCGCCGCGGAGACGAGCCCAAGGGTTACCTTCAACTCCGCCACCTCGAAGCCTCTCGCGGGGCGGCCCTACTATATCAATGTTGCCGAGAACTCAGTTACTTGGTCTCGTCCGGGGCGGAATCAGACCTGAAGGTAGTGTATGGACCCGTGTTGTGTGTCTTTATGTAGGCCTAACGATGTTGGTGACATCTTCGTCTTTCGTCAATCTTTGTTCACTTACGCGTACGCCACCTGTGCGCCGATGAGAGCGGTGTGATGGTCACACCTCCTAGGATGACCCTATCCTCGATACCTTGCTTCTCGGAAATACCACTCACTTCCGAATGGCGCCCATAGTAGCAGTACGTGACTGTTACGGTGCTTCCCAACGTCAACATGGACCCACAAAGTTGGGAGTCGCTTCACGGACCCGACAGGGAAGCCAAGAGCTTCTTCCTTCGTCCAAGTCAGTCCTCGTCAAATCTTGCCCGATCACTCTCCTATCGACTTTGTTGTGAGGCTAAGAAGAGCCGACTGTCCTTCATAGCGGGGCTGTTGCGCGCATCTATTCCCTGTGCTACTAGGCCACTGGATCATTCTTCGGAATGGCTCGCCGTCATGATAGAGGATCACGGTGTACTAAATTGTGAGCAACAGGCTCACTATTGGCTATCAAAGAAACATATTACCGGTCGTACTAGTGTTCGCAAAGGGAAAAGCAAATCGATCCTTCAAATGCCCGTCCGTGATCCAAGACGAAATTCTTCCTCTCCTCCATCAGCTCCCCCCTCAACTGCTTAGCCTCAGCAAGACTAATGGGGAAGTCGACTCCATCCAAAACATGGTCCTGCAGTTCCAGCGGGAGCTTCTCCAGACCAACCGTATTGATGCCCTTCAGGTTCATAGGTGGCGTCTCAAACTCTTCTCTCCACCAATCCATACGTTGGGCTGGGACATGAGCGGTACTGATCACTCGGATATGAGGATCGACCAAGAACAGCGCGAGGATCTTGCGATGGCCGGGTTTGGTTTTGTCATTCAGGGAGAATGGTTGGACTTGGTGCTGGAGGATGTTGGGGAATGTCAGCAGACGGCCTTCCCGAGTCTCGACGGCTCCGACGTATTGGACGGCTCCTTCGCGGTCTTCGCACCCGTATACTTCCTTGAGCCAGTGGACGACGCCCTGTGGGTACTCTAGGTGACTTAGGACTGCTGCTTCGTCCAGTTCGGATACCTGACGGAATGCGAGGGAGGAGGGGGTGATGTTGGAGGATGAGTAGTAGTAGAGAGCAGTGGCGACGATATGCTCGTTCTACGATTTCGGAAATTGTCAGTAAGTCCCAGAACGTTAACGAGAGAAGTGGCCTGAGTTGCTCACCAGTTGACCTTCGACGTGCCACGTCCCACCAGGATAGTGCGGTTTGTCCGGAGTCAACTCGATGTTGGCAAGTTTCACGATGACTTGGAGAGGTCGTTCATGTTGCATACGCTCCTTCAGAGAGAAAGGGGCAGGCGTCTGTACGTGGCCCTCGTTGAAAGGTTCTTCGATATCGGGAAGGATAGTGCGCGTGTACTTCTCGATCCACTCTTGTCGAAGTTGCTAGTAGTCAAAATCGTCGTCTTCGTCTTCGTCGTCGTCGTCGGTTGGACCAGGCCCACCTTCGTCGTCAGGGATCTCTCTGGGATTGGGGTCAAACTCAACTGTGAGGTGTGGTATTCTTTTCCTGTGGGTAAAGTTTGCATCTGCGAGAGGGGCCAAGGTTATGTTCCAGAGGGGTATCGAGGCTGTGATAACGTCTTCGATGACGTGGTAGAGATCCTTGTGTTTATCGGGATGTAGGTTGTTGATGTAGGATAGGATCCTTCCAAAGATTGGGGAATGTCAGCAATATCCTTGATGCAGAATAGTCAGAGTATAATAAGACTCACTTTGCCCTATCGCTTGAGATATCAACATCGCAAGGCAACCATTGAAACTTGCTGCTGTACGGGTTGGTGGTTCCAGATGAGAAATACCCAGTATCACATTTCTCGGACGGCGCTGAAAGCGTAGGAAGGACGTCGCCTTGACCACACCGTTTTACCGCGTCCCCCGCTTCAAGACTAGTGACCTTGGCACCCACAGGAAGGACTTTCGTCTTTCCATAAACCAGCGGAAACAAACTAGGATGGACGAGATCGAGAACCTGTTGGTCCGAGCCTGGATGCCAGTCCTTCAATTGTGGAGCGACGTGCTCGAGAGGCTCTACGGCCTTTTGCAGCGCCGCCTTATTTCGGGTGGGACGGCGGAGTCGGATTTGACGACGTTGCCGTTGTAGACGATGATAGAGCCGTTGGGAGAGGTGTGGAAGTTGGGGGCGGTGTGACGGAGTTCGTCGATGCAGTAGTCGGCCATGGCGGTGGTAAAGGAGGATTCGTCCCTGGGGACGGTGTAGAAGGGATAATCGTCTAGCTGGTTGTTGTTGTTGGTGCCTTCTGCTTCGTTGGTGCTCTCTGCGTTGCTAGCGTCGTCTTGCTTGCCCCTGTGCGACACGGATGGGTCGTCCCTGGCCCTTATGAATTCTGCTCGAGCTGCTTCGATAGCTTCTGTCTTCCACTTTTCAGCGATAGCTTCATCGAGGATCTGGCGCAACATTGTCTCAGGACAAATGATATAGGAGGACCTACGTCGGAACACGTACCTTTACATGCCAGTTCTCCTTGTCTGTGATTGCGTTCATGAACCGAAGCATGTGGAACTCTCGGAGAGTGGTGAGTGGTAACCTGGATGTATACATATCCACAGTCGTTCTCCGTGAATTCATGTAACAGCCAACACACCCAGCCTGGTAGCCACGTACCTCGCTCTACCCATTTCTCCTATATTCTTTACTGAGAGCGCAGAAGGAAGCGGTTCTCCGATGTGCAGAGGGTCATCACCCTTCTTTGGGATATACTCTAAAGGCCTTCCGATCCCTGGCATTGGGTGAACCACTGAGTAGTCCGGAGGGGTCATGTTGCACAAAGGGAAAGTGAGAGAATGTGGAGAGTCGATAGAGACGACGACCCTGAGGAGTTGATTTCGCCCGCCTTCTTATGGCCTGCGGCGACGTGACAAGCATCTGGTGAGTCACGGTGTGAAGCGACTAGCATAAGAAGGACATCGATCGTGGGTTGTCCTCCAGGCGAGGTCCCTCTGACTGGGCAATCGAGCACAGTTTTCTTTCGTCGTCGCCAAATCTTCGGAATCGAGCTGAAACGTCGTTGGGTTGTGCCGGCAAGAGGAAAGAGTGTATGTACTGACATAGATCAGGTTTGATGCAATATCAGAGATAACCACAACAGGTGTGAATCGCCAGCTCAAGAGTTCTAAGTGCCCCTAGTTGTAGGACTCACCTCTGCACCAATCCACTCCGCGTCCTTTATGGTCATCGCACGCTGGAAACTGTCCTTCAACAACGAGCTCGAGTTCTCTGGTCGGTCACGGTCAACAGGCCGTCCCATGCCGTCCATTCCGAGTCGGCTTCCTTTCCAAATCCAGTGCATGTTTCATTCTCCGTTTCAACGCCCGCTCGCGCTCTTGGCACTCGCATTTTGCAGGACGTCCCGAGTTGGACTAGGCTCGCATTCGACTGTCGACGACCGGACTGTCCATCTTTTCTTCACCTACTTGCCGTGCTCAGGGTTGGATTGTTTGACAGTAAAGCATCCCAATACTCTGGTTTTCTGGCCCTTCGAAGTTGGAAGCTCATCTGCATAAACCATGGCGTCGTTTCTACTGGGCAAAACTGTCGACCAGGAACTCGATTCGTTATTCAAATCAGCTGTGAGTAAGTTGATGCAAACCATCTCATGTTTATTTCAATACTCAGAACTGTTATACCTCTTTGAAGCCTAAACCCGTTCCGTCGACGTCCGAACCAGTGAAAGATACCGTTATCACCACCACGACCGCGGCACCACAGCCCAAAGGGGGGAAGAAACGCAAAACGGACGATGGAGAGAATGAGACCGAGAAGGAGAATGAGAAGAGGAGCAAGAAGGTGAAGATTGCGGAGACCACCACCGCCAAAATGCCCAAATCGTCTTCGACTCCCGCTTCTGCCAAGGACAAGGATAAGGAAATGGGCAAGAAATCCAAGAAGAAGAATATGGAGAAGGAGAAAGCGGGGAAACAGGATGTTCTCGAAGATGATAGCGAGGACGACGAGGAGCTGGCCAAGATCGAGGAGCGGTATCTCGCTGGGCGAGCCAAGTCTAGTGGCGAGAAGAAGAAGGGGAAGAAATCATCCAAGTCCAAGGACAAGAACGAGGACAAGAACAACGACGAGGAGGACGAGGACGATGAAAAGGATGCTCCCGCTTCAGACGACGAGGCCTCTGCACACTCAGATTCGGACTCGGATTCAGACGAGGAGGACGAAGACGACGGTTCGATACCAGTCCACGAATCCCTCAAAGACACCGCCTCTCAACCATCCAAACCAACCCGCTCGAAGAAAAAGTTCGTCGTCCCAGCGGACGAGACGCCTGAAAAACGCGATAAGCGGACGATTTTTGTTGGGAATTTGCCTCTGGCTGTTGCTGAGAAACGAGTGCGTCTCTTTTTCTCTTTCTCTCTTTTTTGATTAGGTCCTTATCTCGTTTGAAATGGTCAGCCCCTCCAAAAACAACTCCAAAAACACATCCTTGCCCTCGTTCCGACAGCCAAAATCGAGTCCCTCCGGTTCCGCTCAGTTCCCTTCCAAGCTCCTACCGCTAAACTGCCCGACGACGGCACCGACAAACCCACCGACAAACCCAAACCCAAACCCCGCCAACACGAACTCGACCGTGCGTCTACCTGGCGATCCTCCAAAGACTCCTCTCTTCAAGACAAGAAGGACGAAGACGCCTTGAAGAAGGACGAAAAACGCTACCTCACGCCGAGCCAAAAGAAGAAAATTGCGTTTATCAACCAAGAGTTCCATGCCAACGCCGATACGGTGAATGCGTATATTGTTTTTGCGCACCCCGTGGACCAGTCGACGAGGCCGAAGAATTTGCCGCCGTTGCCTGTTACGATGTGTCCGTATGAGGCGGCGAAGGTGGCGGTGGAGAGGTGTAATAATACGGTGTTTATGGAGAGGATTATTAGGGTTGATCGGGTTGGGAAGGTCAAAGGGAGTGGGAGGAAGGGTGCAGAGGAGGATGAGGATGGGGAGGAGGCGAGGCCGATGGTGGATGCGGACCCCAAGCTCTCGATTTTCGTTGGTAATTTGGATTTTGAGAGTAAGGAGGAGGATTTGAGGGTGTTTTTTGAGACGTTGTTGGTGGCTGAGAAGGGTGCGCCTGGTGGAGAGGGTGAGGAGACGATTGAGGTGGATGGGGTTGTGATTAAGAAACCGAAGACGTGGGTTACGCATGTCAGGATTGTGCGTGATAGGGATACGCAGCTTGGTAAAGGGTTCGCGTATGTTCAGTTCGCGGTACGTTTTTCTATATACCAAATCCGTTCTCACTACTGACGATGATTCATTCTCTAGGACAAAGACTGCGTAGACGAAATCCTCGCGATGGACCCCACCAAAGTCAAATTCGCCAAACGCAAGCTCCGGGTGCAGCGGTGCAAATCCGTTCCCGGCACCTCGCTCAAAATTAAATCCCTTCCTCCTCCCTCCTCCTCCAAGCAACCCGGCAAATCGCTCGCACCAGGTCTGCCACAGCCTAAAGACCAACGACGCTTCTCGCAACCGGCGACGCCGATCCAGGTGCCGAAAGGTGATCCGAACCTTGGTGAACGGTTGGCGCACCTTTCGAAGGAGGATAGGAAGAGTGTGAAAGCTAAGGATGCGGAGAGGGTGGCGAGGCGGTTGGCGAAGAAGAAGGCGAGGATGGCGATGGGTGGGAAGGTGGTTGGAGGAGGTGGCAAGGATGGGAAGGAGAGGGAGAGGGATAGGAGTAGGAAGGGAGGGAAGAAGGTGGTTAATACTGGGAGGAAGACGGGCAAGCCGAGGGTTAGGAGTGAGAAGGCGATGGGGAAGAGGAATATGAAAAAGGATTAGTGTAGGTTTTGGTTTGTGTGTTTAAGGAGTGGTGGTAATTTACGTTGGGTTCCCTCTTGGTCAGTGGGGTGTTGCCTCGTTTGGACTCGGATGCCTTGGCGAGTCGGAAATGGGCTGAAGGTCATTTCGGATTTTGAATGGCTGTGGCCCGTGGGTGGCAAATGAAGGGTTGGGTTCATTGTCGTATTGAATGGAATATTGACTAGCGCGCTCCCGTGCTATGTCTGATCACATTGCTCATGGAATTCGGTCCGAGAGTAATCTGGTTTTGTGTTGTCAGCTGCGCTGAGTACGAAGAGGGTTAGGCCGGGGGAAGAGGAACCACATTAAGAAAAGTCGCCAGACATCTTGTACGAAGAGAGCGTTGGTTGATTGGCTGCTTGATTGAGTGCGATGAAGTCTGCATTTGCACTGCTGTCTATGACGATCGTCCGCCAGTGGGGTGCAACACCTGAGCTCCCTTGATTAGGGCGCTGGAGCATTTAGGCATCGTTTGTACCTGTAACATGTAACTTTGCACAAGTGAAGTGGCTCACATGAACACCTTGGGTGGGCTCGTTATCTCCCTAGAGTTTGTACTTCATTAACGCTCAAGCGCTCGTATTTTTTTGTACCCCACGAGGGTTCGAAACCGCACCCGCGCCAAGAGCGTTACGGCCCTGACCCCCGCGTCATTGAAGCTAAATAGGGCAGGACTTGCCGGCGGTTTACCAATAACCACGACCACAGCCAACCGACAAAACTTTACATGCCCCACCTAGTCATTGTTACCTTCGATTGCGCCATTCATTCGGATTCTGTGATTCTATTTACCCGCACTATTGTATAACAAACACAGGATGGCTTCTCCCCGTGCCTCTGGCTTCTGGGACCGTCCCAGCTCGATGTCTCGATCCGACTCTGCCGATGAGTATTTTGTGGATGGGGAGGATGAGGATGTAGAGCAGCAGGAGAGGTTGTTGGACGGAGAAGAGGACGAGTACGATGGGAGGACGCCGGTGAGTACCCGTCTCTGAAGAGCCTTTGGAAAGGAGATTGACGCTGTTGTCAGCTGGACAAGACTATTGATAGGATTGGGATGGGTAGTTATCAGTGGGCGTTGCTGTCGTTGTGTGGCTTGGGTGAGGTTCCAGTCTTGCTTTTATTCTCACCTAAAAACTCATGGTTTGCATAGGTTGGATGGCGGATAATGTTGGTTATCTCTCCAACGGCGCTCTGACGTTTCCACTAACCCGATTCAGATGTGGATCCAAGCGGTAGCCATTATCCTTCCTCGAGTACAGCAACACTACGCTGGCAAGCCCGGTTTATTCTCCACAGAATAGGTCTCCATTGACACACAACTTGGACAGTTCCCGATAGCTACATTGGTGCGGTGTCGTCGTCGATGTTTGGAGGGATGATGATTGGCGCTGTTGGTTGGGGCACATGTGGGTGGCAACGCCTGGGTTTATTTATGGACGCTAACCGTTCTTAATGTCGGTGCAGGCTCCGACCTTATGGGCAGGATAACGGCGTTCAACGCTACCCTGTTCCTCACAGCCATTTTTGGCATTCTAGCGTCGCTTTCAAACTCGTTTGTGACGCTCTGCATATCGCTGTTCTTCCTGGGCAGTTCCGTCGGGGTACGTTCATTTGGTTCGGTCTTAGGAAATCGGTCTTACGTACAACCCACCCTCCCATAGGGCTCGATGCCAACCGACGGCACGCTCCTATTGGAACACATGCCCAAATCGAAGCAATACCTCGTCACAGCCCTCTCGGTGTTCTTCTCGTTTGGCGCCGTCCTCTCGGCTGTCATCGCCCTGCTTGTTATCCCGCAGAACTCGTGTAAGGACACGACAACGTGTAACCCTGATAGTGATAATCTGGGTTGGAAGTATCTCCTGATTGCTCTAGCGTTGTTGGTGAGTAGTGCCGTTATCATTTCTATCAGTGAACTATTTAATAATGATCGGGTAGACACTCTTCATGTTCATCTCGAGGATGGTGTTCTTCCGGTTACACGAGTCACCCCGGTACCTCGTCCACGCGGGGCGGCCGCACGACGCGATCAAGTCGCTGCAGCTCATCTCCCGCTTCAACGGGTCCAACATCTCCTTCGAGCTGGACGACGTGCGGGACACCCATCCGCCTCAAGATTCCACTTCGCCGACATCCACCGGGAACACCACCGGCTTGAAACCCGATACCACCCGCCCGCGCGCCAGCTCGCGCACCATCTTTGACGCTTCGATGATCGAGCACGGGCGCACGCCCTCGGCTGGCAGCTCGAGAGCGTCGAGTATCGATAGCGGGAGTTCGGGCTCGGGCTCGGGGTCGTCGCGTCCGCCGCTCAAGACTGCCTACGCGGCTACGGGCGAGACGCCCGCTTTGGACAGCAAGTCCTCTTCGCTGGACGGGAAGGATCCCGTGACGATGGCCAAGGCGTTGTACCCGCCTCCGTCTCCTTCGGCGTCGCGCGGTCCTTCGACGTCGCGCCCGCCGAGATCGCATAGTCGTGCGTCGAGTACCGCGACGCATCGGAGGAGGACGTCGGTGTATGAGAGGAAACTGTGTTGGTCGCTGCCGAGGTGGTTGAGGAGGCCTTTGTGGGCGTGGTGGGACCGGGTGATGATGGTCCTCTCACCGGAGTGGTTGAGGACGACGCTGTTAGTTTGGGCTGCGTGGTGGGCTATGTCGTTAGGTACGTCCTCTTGTTTCGTTTGTTCCCCCTCATTTTGTTTCCCCTCATCTATCGTTGCTGTGTATCCCCAATTTGCACCTTGCGGAAATGTGTTGCTGACGCCGCGTTGTTTTAGCCTATACGATGTTCAACGTCTTTCTTCCCAAGCTGTTGGAGACTGGGACATCGGCTTTGGAAGTGCCGTCTACGTCCCACTCGAAGAGTTTGGAGGAAACCTTGTGGGATGTGGTTATTTTCACTATTGGGGGGTGTCCTGGTGCCATCGTGAGTTTTTAGCTTTCCGCATTTTGTGAATCTTGGTGCTCACGTCTATCTGCTTCGCTTTCCCCGCCTCTCTCATCACCGTCGTAACGCAATACCCATGACATCGTAACCCAACGCCCATGACCTACCCAACCCATCCCTCTCACCCGACACCTCTCCTCGCCGTCACTATCGCGCACTTAGCTCGGAGCATGGCTCATCGAGTCTCGTCTGGGCCGACGCTGGTCGTTAGCCGGGAGCACCTTTATCACTGCTTTCTTCTGTGTCGTGTTCGCCATGGTGAAATCGACGTGGGCGATTCGGTTGAGTACTGTTGGGATTAGTTTGAGTGCGACGGTGCGTATTTGTCTGCTCTTTCGTTCACAGCCGATGTTGTGCTATTTTACCTTCATCGGTGCTGTTCTGTTTTTCTCCTTCATCGGTGATGCTCTGTTTTTTCTTCCTTTCCGATGCTCTGGATTGGGTCTAATCGTCGCATTTTTCTGGTCTTACAGGCTATGTGGGCTGTGTTGTACGGTTGGACGCCGGAGATCTTTGGAACGAAAGGTATGGCTTGATCTTTTTTTATGGATTTTTTTTTGGGATGTTTGTACTGACGGGTGGCCAACTAGTCCGTGGCAGTGCCTGCGGGATTGCGTCTGCACTTTCTCGAATGTACGTCCCTCCCTCCTGATTTCTTATTCACCGACCTTCCTTCCTAACATTACATATATTTTTTTCTTTGTTTGTAGTGGTGGAATGATCGCCCCAATCCTAGGCGGTATACTCTTGATGATTGACCGTTCGTTCCCTGTTTATACCAGCGTGGTGGTGTTCGTTGTTGCTGGATTTTGTGTGTTGTTGTTGAGGGAGACGCCGAGGGATGGGGGGAGTGAGAAGGGGGAGAGGGTGGTTGCTCATTGATAGGATCTCTCTCAGAGTTTCCGGGGTGTTGAAAGTCGGTTTTGGGGTTCGTTAGGGGAGGGTAGGGTCGTTGGTGGATCGTGCCGTTCGGTGGAGAGGGTGGACGATACCAGCACCGTGACATACCGATTTGGATTCAGAGGTTTAAGGACGTTGAACGCACAAACCTTGCGCTTCAGTCTACAGCCTTTTAGGCTGTACCATCATTGATCATGGTTTCTTTCAACTTTGCATTTGATTTTGCATTACATCTCGTTTGCATTTGCATTTGCTTTTGCATCTCTTGCATTTCTTTTTGCATCTTTTGCATTTTTTTGAATCATCTATCGATATTGTAGATTAGGTAGTATTTATCCGTTTTGGATTGTCTGAATTATTTTAAGATGATGCATCTCCTGGTTTGGTTGCAGCTTGACTTTCAACGCTGGCGGCTGGCTTACCTTAAGAACCATTGTCCGTTCCTGCACCCTTCGTGTCCGTCCCACGAGGCAAAGTGCAGGGGGCGTTCTGAGAGCGGCGACTTGAAACGGCACACATAGAACACTCCCACGCGGGTTGATAGAGTCAATCGGCCAGCAGGCAGCAGCGTCCTGGCTGCTTCAAACCATGATGTCGACACTTGAAATTCCGCGATTAACACACCTTCCCCTCGAGATTCTGATGGAAATAATGAAGCATGTTGAGTGGAACGACGTTCTATCTCTCCGAAGGGTAATGCCCTTTGTTCCTTTCAAACACAAAGCTGTCATCTGACGAGTCGCGCTCAGTGTTGCCGAGCCCTTCACTCGGTATCGAAGGACAGGGATGTCTGGTTGTCGCTGCTGAGGAGATACTGCAACACCGTGATTCCTCGGCCGTTCTTCCTGTCCAAACCCCTGGAACTCTATTCGAGTGAAGACCTCGAGGCCCGGATCGTCAACTGGTGGACTGGATGGGAGGGACTCAGGCCTACGATGCAGACCTTCACCACGGATGTGAGCAGTCCTGACACCTGGGGACCGCTATGCCCGTTACCAGGAGACCAGTTCTTCCTTTACATGGGAATAGATGGCGCCATCTTCTACTCCAATCCGAGCCAACCAAATGCCCCTATGCATCTCCTGGCGCCCTCGCGTTCAAGTCTGCGTGGCGCTGGATCTATTGAGTGCGCAAGGCATTGATGGGGCCTCGCCCTTCTCCGAATGCTCCTTCGAACACTGCCTCTTCTCTCCTGTTTTTAGGCTCGCGGTGTGTCGCAATGATGGAAGAACGGGGTCTGTTGAGATCTGGGAGCTCGACGTAAGGACAGATGTGGAAGGAGGCTCAATTGGCTATTCATCTCGCCTTCTCCAGTCCTTTATCGACGATGTCCGGACGACATGTTGCTCGCTGCTCGGCGATCATGTTGCGTACGGCACACGGGCAGCCAAAAGAACAAAAACCGTGGACTGGACGTCGGTCTCAGACGGACAGGTTGTCCAGGGAATCGATATATCGGTTTCATCGCCCTCCGTACGTGTCATCATTCATTGTACTGATGCCCATCGATGACTTGCCTTCATGTACAGTACATTTTTTTCTGCTGTCACATCGAAGGATCCTCGTGCTCAGGTACTATATTTACATTGCCGATTGGAAAACCTCGAAGCATCCAGACTCACCAACCCATTCGTCGGTGAAACCTCAGTGGAAGTCCGTCGAGGAATTCGACCGACCCCACCCTTTCACTGTCCCTTTTTACATTTCCAACTCCCTTCGATTGGTCATGTACAGTCACGAACTGAGGCTGACAAGGGTGATAATAACCACCGACCCAGACGTAGTGGTTTCGGATAGCGTGGAGCTCGTGCTGCTTGCAGACTGCGACGTGCCTAGTATGCTACCTGGTGAACGGTGGTATGACTATCGCAAAGGCGTGTTTACCCGCCACCAACGTGCCTATCTCCTCTCCTACAAATGGCCAGGTGACAGCCTTCTAGAGGCTTCTTTCTCCGAGGTTTCGTTACCGGTCGACACCTATACTATCTACGTCGACAAGGCCCATGCACATTCGCGATTAGTTTTGTTCATCAAGGGTCCACCTTGTAAAAGTGTTTTCTTCGGATAGACTAATGGTATATCAATTAATTACGTGTCTCTTTCGTAGTTAACAGCTGCCCTGGTACGACTCCTATTCACCTGTAGACTCGGAAAATATTTGAGTGAAGTGGTAGTTTGAGAAGGATTGGTTGTACATCTAATACGTTCAATCCAATAAATGTCTCTTTCAGACAGTAATTCCCTCACCCATCAAGGATGTAGCCCATATACTGAAGGCAGATCTGATTAAATCTCTCCAGCCATGCACCCGGATCGATCGTTAGTTTCGTCGACTACTCTACAAGTTGTGTATTCGTTCTCGGATGAGTGGGTGTACCCTTTCTAACTCTCAAGCCTTCCTGTCGATATCACAGAAAGCTGGGCACATCCAACCGCACTTGGGTATTAGAGCAAAGCAACAAGCAGCTCACCAAGCACCCAGAACGTCACCTGGGGCGTTCAGGTGACCCAAATTCCCGCTAGGCTTCGACGGCCGATGTCACGTCTGGAATCTTCGACGCTGTGATGGTTTTCTATCAACACGGTCACCTCGAGGACAGCAGATACCAGGCACCGTCGCAAGGTCCTTCGTTAAGCGCCCGGGCTACATCACCAGAGCAGCGGCAAAGCGCGTTGATGGCTCCCACGCAGCTTGATGGTCAATCGTCAGCATTGCCTTTGTTTGATGTAGACGCTCACGGCTTCGTTATGTCGACGCTTCAAAAGGTATGTTCTTTATGTATGTTCACCCTAGCAAGAAGCTTACCGTCGATTAGCAGGGAAAGTCACGTCGCATTGAACGCCAAATTCCGCAATTATCACAACTTCCCCCCGAGATTCTCGTCGAAATCATGAAATATATCGAATGGGACGATGTTCTATCTATCCGAAGGCTAATGCCCTTTGTTCCTTTCAAAAACAAAGCTGCCATCTGACAAGTCGCGCCCAGTGTTGCCGTACCCTCCATTCGGTGTCTAAGGATAGGGAGGTCTGGCTGTCGCTGCTTAGGAGATACTGCGACACCGTCATTCCCCGACCTTTCTTCCTGCCCAAACCGGTGAAACTTTGTTCGGGTGATGAACTCGAGGCTCGCGTCGTCCAATGGTGGACTGGGTGGGAGGGACTGCGATCCACAGTGCAGACGTTCACCACGGATGGGAGCATCCCCGACATATGGGGGCCGCTATGTCACTTCCCAGGGGACCAGTTCTTTCTTTACGCGAGGCTGGACGGTACCATCTTCTACTGCGACCCGAGGCAACCAAGTGCGCCTATGCATCTCCTCGTGCCCTCCCCGTATTCCTCAAATTCCCATGTCGACGTCTGCGTGGCGTTGGATCTACTTGGCACGCAATGCATCGATGGAGTCGCACCCTTGTCCTCCGAATGCTCCTTCGAAAATCGCCTCTTCCCTCCTGTTTTCCGGCTGGCGGTGTGTCGCGATGATTGGATAACTAGCTCTGTTGAGATATGGGAGATAAGAACAGAGCTGGAGGGAAGGCGCACTATTGGCTATTCGGCTAGCCTTCTCAAGTCTTTCGTCGACGATATCTCGGCAACATGCTGCTCGCTGCTCGGGAACCATGTTGCGTACGGTACACAGCCCCTAGCGCACAAAACGAGGATCGTGGACTGGACCTCGGTCTCCGACGGAGAGCCTGTCCGTGGAATTGATATAGCAATTGGGGGACCCGATGTACGTGCTCTTTTGAATAATTGCATGCATGTACCATGACTTAGCTTCGTCCCACAGTACATCCTTCTGCTCCCACATCGCAGAATCCTCATACTCAGGAATTATATCTATATTTCAGACTGGAGCACATGGAATCCTTCCGATCCGCCATCATCCCATTCACCGATCCGTGCGCAATGGAAGTCCTTGGAGGGATACGACCAACCCCACTCTTTCGCTGTCCCTTTCTACATTGACAACTCCATCCGATTGGTTCTGTATGGCCTGGCGCTGACTGGGTTGATCATATCCACCGACCCAGATCTAGCGGTTCCGGCTAGCGTCGAGCTAACCCAACTTGCAGAGTGCAGGGCCCCTATTCTAACTGACGAACGATGGTTTGGTTACCGCAAGGGGGTGACTAAACAGAAGCAACGCGCCCAGCTCCTTTGCTACAAATGGCCAGGTGACAGCCTACCAGAGGCCTCTTTCTCCGAAGTCGAGTTACCGATGGGCGCTGCCTATACTATTTACGTCGACAAGGCACATCCGCGCTCGCGAGTGGTTTTGTTCATCAACGGTCGACCTTGCAAGACTGTTTTCTTTGGATAGAATACTGGTGTAAACTTGTCCGGGAGGAGCGACGAAGGGTATTGCCGCGATCGTCAAAACTAACCCTAATAAGATAAGATGAAGCTTCTAGCAGACTTGCTGAAGGGCAAGGCGAAAGCCGCTCGAAATGCTTCTCAACGAATATCTTCCACGTGAGCAGGCCGTTTGCAATTGCACGCGTTCCAGGTTCCCAAGAGGCCACACCCTCAGATCCGAGTCCGTCCGAACCTCCCAGTCGACCAATCATACCGCTGTCTGATCATGAAGCCTACCAGACTATTACAGTTCATCCATTCATCACTCAAAGACAACGAATGACACTGATTCTGATATCAGAACCTGAGAACCCTAGATCTTCTGACTGTTCGGGGTTGACTTGGGTCGTCGTACCGGCATGTGGATAGGTGCGGCGGCTTGTCAGGCTTGAAGTACAGTATATAAAGCAGTATTGCGCTGGCTGGTCTGGTTTTCTCGGATCTTTACATGGTCCCCTTCACCCCCACACATCTACCCCGACATCTCCGGCTGGACCCGCCCCTGCCCCTACACCAGCCAGTTTCCCCCGTAAAGAGTCTTTCGAAAGCTCGACTCAAGCTTGAACCTCGATCTCTATGGACTACAGCTTGCTCGGTCCAGGTTCCCCGATCTCCAAGTCCCCACCCCCCTCTCCCGGGCTAGCGATTTGGGAAAGGGATAGGAGCTCGGAAAAAGCAGCATTGGGCCCTTCCCCAGGACCGACGAAGACTTCCGACGAATGGGAAGGGCGTTATACGCCTTACGGACCCGATCCGTCGTCTTCTGTATCCTCGTCTTCGTCACCCGTCTCGCCGTCATCACCACATCCACCCACTTTGCCATCTGCACCACCTCCAACTTCACCAGGCTCAACATCGTGCACCACCGCCACCACCACCATCACCGCCTTCATACCACCAGCTGCCTCATCTCGGCACACCTTGCCACCACCGATGCATCCTCCAACAAGTGCACTTCCCCCGCCAGGCTCTCATTCTCCCATATCTCCTCCGCGTCCAACCCTACAGAACCAGCACCCGGATGACAGTATTTATAGGGAGGTGACGCCGTTGGCCGAGCCCAAGGAGCCGACCCAGTGTACCTCCAGCGTTCCGCCCACGGCGACGGAGCCGTACGGTTACCAAGAATGGGATCTCTATACGTCCTACGGTCCTGAACCTCAGGCTCCTGCCGGATTCGACAAGTCGGATCCCAGCTGCGACTGCACCAACCTCAAAGGCCTTGACCTCAAGCTCAGTCGAGAACACGGTCGTAGCTACAGGGTCAGTGGCTATGACCCCTGGAGCGAGCTCCGAGACCCCTTACCATCCAGGGGATGTCAGCGCTCAGCGCTGGCGCGAGAATGTAATAGGAATCCACCATTCGAGGAGGCGAAGTAGAAGCAGAAATGCCATCCTTTAGAACCTCGGTATGTAGCATGTAGTGAAGGGGGTTGACAGGTCAAGCAGTCGATAAGTCCGTGTGCAAGCAAGTCATTCAAGGGAAAGGAAGAGGCCCAAAGTCGTGCTGTGGAGTGAGATGAAGCCTGGCGACGAGGGGTACGACATTACCTTCATAATTGCTTTAAGCCAAGCCGAAGTCCGTCGCTTTGAGTACTACCGCACGCGTAGAATGAACCAGGGAAGCAATACATATCATGGTGGACGCTGTGGGAGGTGGGTACCATGGTTCGGGACGAAAGAAAAGGTTGAACCTGGGGTTCCAAAGCAGCATGAGAACTATCGTCACTGATCCTTGGGAGTCCGAGGGACAAGAAAGTCGAATCCTGGTGAAAGGAGTCCTAGGGAGCAGGGGGGAGAACGAATACACAGTGCGCGGTAGAGAAGATATTTTCCAAGAGTTATACACCGCAGAGAAGCCAAGAGAAAGACGGGTTATTCTGAGATAGATATCCAATCCAGTACCACTGTGGTCGTTTTGCGAATTCAAGTTGCTGTTGGTGGAAGCCAGCAAGGCCTCGACCTCATCGTTCCAACCCGTCTCCGCCCTCTTTTCCCACGCTCTGTTGCTCTTGACATTCCACCACCTGATTGTTTCTTCCACCGGGTGGGCTCGTTGTACCCGGAATCCACTCGGTATTGGGTCAAATCAAAGCCATCGTACGACAGCCAACCAAAAGCAAGAACCACGGGGCGAGAATGACGGGATAAAGGCCCAGCACATCACCCCAATGTGGTGCATGGAGAAACCGGGTTTGTTCCGCTTGAATTATGGCCGGCGTTGTGGATTTTTATTCATAATCATAAATATCAGACTTTTTCTGAAATCTTTTTGGTGTGCGGCCAGGTCGATCGAACCAGACTCGACGTTTTTTGACCTTTGTCGCCTTACCATGGTCTGATCGTCCCCAGGATCTAAAAGGAATCGCAGAGAAATAGGGAAATCTACCAGCACCAACCCAGCATACGTTCTACAATGTCGACGACTACGACGACTCTCCGGATGGCCTACGGTCTCAACCGTGTCTCGCGAGCTGGCCTCCAGCTGAGACTAACCCCCGCTCGACGATGGATGAGCGTCCGACCGCCCTCCCCCGACGCACAAACGACGACGACGAAGACACCGACAACCCCAGCATCGCGTAAAAAAGTGACGATCCAAACGCTCCACTCGCTCCGGCAATCCAAGACGCCGATAACAATGGTGACGGCCTACGACTACCCCACCGCCCTCGCCTGCTCCTCCTCGCCTCTCACCGACATCACCCTCGTCGGCGACTCCCTCGCCCAGGTATGCCTCGGCTACTCGTCCACGACCCAGCTCTCCCTCGACGAGATGATCCACCACGCACGCGCCGTGTCGCGCGGGAACAAGCACCCCCTACTCGTCGCGGACATGCCGTTCGGGTCGTACCAGGTTTCGGTAGAGGATGCGATTAGGAACGCAGTCCGGTTGGTCCGCGAAGCTGGGGTGGAGGCTGTGAAGCTCGAGGGAGGGCAGGAGATTGTGGAGGTCGTCCGGAGGTTGACGGAAGTGGGTATTCCGGTGATGGCGCATGTCGGTTTGCTTCCGCAGAGGCACGCGTCGTTGTCTGGGTATCGAGTGCAGGGGAGGAGTATTGAAGGTGCGAAGAGGCTTTTGGAGGACGCGTTGGCCTTGCAGGACGCTGGTGCGTTCTCTATGGTGGTTGAAGCCGTTCCGAGAGAATTGGGAACGTACATCACGGAGCGCTTGAACGTGCCTACGATTGGTATTGGTGCTGGGCCGGGAACGAGTGGACAGGTGCGTCTCAGCGGGTGGATCTTCATTCTCTGTACTGAATTCCTGCCAGGTTCTCGTCATTGACGATATTATGGGCACCTGGTCCGGCCACAAAGCCAAGTTCGTCCGTCGATTCGCCAATCTGAAGGCAGTCCGCGACAATGGTATCCAGCAATACTGCGAAGCAGTGCGGAACGGCTCCTTCCCTGATCCAGAGAGCGAGAGCTACACCATGGATCCTGCCCTCTGGGAACAGTTCCTCGCGTCTCAAAAGTAATCGCCGTGTATCCCATTCCGAAATCATCTACATCGCATTGCTGTATCTTTATTCATCAGTTAATCTAACTTCCGTTTCCATAGCACGTTTAAACGAAATGTCCCCGACATATACACTTTTCTCCTAACCATCCACCACGTTGTCTCGGGTTTCCTCTTCCCTGTAGCTAACGGTCCCCACAGCAAACCCCGCTGATTTAATGATCAACAACAGCGTCAGCCTCGATCTCGACCTTCATCTCCTCCCTCACAAACCTCGCTCCAACAATCATCGTAGCAGCCGGGCCCACATCACCAAACACCTCCTTCAACGCCCTCCCCACATCCCCCGTATCCTCGTCCCTCGTAACAAACATCCGCACCCTCACCACGTCTTCTTTCTTCCCACCCAAAGCCTCGACTGCACGGATTATCTCTTGGAAGATTTGGATGGATTGGAGGTACGCGGAGGTGGGGTGCAGGGGGACGCCGGTGGTGGGGTCGATGGAGGTTGTACCCGAGATGAAGATGAACGGTCCCTTGCGCACCCCCCGGGAGTACCCGAATTGGGACTCATACGGGTTGGAGGTGGTGTGTTTTTGGACTTGGGTATGTGTTGACATATCGTCGAGATGAGGGGTTTGATCAGAGCTGGAAGTGTGTGGTAGTGCGCGCTAGTGATGTTGAGCAGCCTGAGTATGTAGTGGGCTCTGAGCCTCAGAGTCTCTGTGCGACCAGGCTGGGTGTTCTGCTGGGTTGGTGAAGTTGCAAGTTCGCGTTCGCGAATGGGAGAACAGGAACAGGGCCGTCGTCGCACGGGACGGAGGGAGAAGATATGCACTGTCTTTCTGACTCGACTTGTCGGTTGCAATTCCTTCGTCGCAAGATCAAGATAAGATAACTCGGCGCAGCCATCGGGGATCTCGGGAAGAACTTTGTGACGCACCAACACGCGTCTGTGGAAGTACTCGAGGCATGTCTCGTGCTCGCATAGTGACATCGGACTTGAAATTTGTTCTCTAGAGGATTTAGGAATCTTGCTGGCAGCTGAGAAAGACAATTATGGGATCAAGTTGCAGGTTCCGAGGCTGGGTAGGCTGGGAAGGGAGGAGGAGGATGATACTGATTCACTTCAAGTACGCACCGCGACCGTCCTGTATGACCAAGCTGCTGCGCGTGCATAACATCCGATGCACTATCCTAAGCTACCAAGGATTTATCCAAAGAAAGTAGTCTTGCAGGGTCGCTTGTAGATGAACATGACCACTCGTGAGCGGGCACGAGCTTTGTCGACGTAGATAGTATACGTGTCCTCAGGAAACGCAATCTCGGAGAACGATGGTTCCGGGAGGCTGTCGCCTGGCCGCTTGTAACAAAGGAGGTGGGCGCGTTGCTTGCTGTTAAAGACAGATACCCCCTTGCGGTAGTCAAACTATTGCTCGTCATGTGCCACAGGGCCACGGTACTCTGCAAGCTGCGCGAGCACGACGGTGTCCGAAACGGCTACATCTGGGTCAGTGGATATGATGACCCCAGTCAGGGCAGGAGATTGCAGTCTATACAAAATTAACCGAATGGAGCTGTCAATGTAAAATGGGACGGAATAAGGATGGGGTTGGCAAAACTCTTCCGTGGACTGCCATTGCGGACTTATCCGCGAAGTGGGTGACGCCTCGGACGGGTTGCATGATTTCCAGTCAGCAATGTAGATATAAGACGAGTGCACGAGAATTCTTCGATGGGGGAGCAGAAGGCTGGACTGTGGGAGGAAGTAAGCCATCCATTCGCATAGGATGAATTATGGCACGCACGAAGGGTGACGAAAGTGCTATATTGACTCCCAGGACAGGCCCTTCGTCTATGACCGCCGTCCAGTCAACAATTCTTGTTGCGCTGGCTGAACTTGAATGGTACGCAACATGGTCGCCGAGAAAAGAACAACATGTCGGCCGGACATTGTCGTAAAACGACTTGAGAAGGCGGGACGAGTAACCAATGGCCCCTCCCTCCACCTCTGCCCTTATCTCCCAGATCTCAATAGATCCGGTTCTCCTTGCATAGCGACAAACCGCAAGCCTGAAAGCTGGAGGGAAGAAGCAGTGCTCGTAAGGCCAGTCGGAGGACACGGTCGGGGCCCCGTCGACGCCTTGCGTGCCCAGTACATCCACCGCAACGCAGACTTCAACGCGATAGTTCGAGGGATAAGGGGAGGGCACGAGGAGATGCATAGGGGCATCTGGCTGGCCCGGGTTGCAGTAGAAGATGGAGCCATCAGTTCCTTTGTAAAGGAAGAACTGATCGCCAGGCAATGGGCATAGCGGTCCCCAGTTGTCAGACATGTTCGCATCCGTGGTGAAGGTCTGCACTGTGGGTCGCAGTCCCTCCCATCCAGTCCACCATTGGACGACGCGGGCCTCGAGGTCATCACCCGAACAGAGTTCCAGCGGTTTGGACAGGAAAAAAGGTCGGGGAATGACGGTATCGCAGTATCTCCTCAGCAGCGACAGCCAGACCTCCCTGTCCTTCGACACAGAGTGAAGGGTACGGCAACACTGGGCACAACTTGTCAGACATTAACTTCAACTTGGGAAGGAAACAACGACACTACCCTCCAGAGAGCTAGCAGATCGTTCCATTCGACACACTTCATTATTTCGACAAGAATCTCATGAGGAAGGTGTGATAATTTCAGCATCTGGCGTTCAATGCGACTCGACTTTCCCTGCTAATCACGGTAAGCTTCTTCCTTGTGTGAACACACATAAACAACATACCTTTTGAAGCGTCGACATACATAAAGAAAGCCGTGAGCGTTTCCGTCAAAGGTCGACGCACAAAGGCAATGCTGGCGATTGACTATCAAGCCGCGTGGGAGCCATCAACGCGCTTTTCCGTGGCTGTAGCCTGGGCGCTTAACGGAGGACCTTGTGACAGTGCCGTGCATCATTGAAACATTCTGCTATCCTAGAGGTGGCCCTGGTGATATCCAAGCATCACACCATCGAAGATTCCAGATGCGATATCGACCGTCGAAGCCTTCGTCAATGTGCCATCATCTATACATCTGGCTACCGGAATTTGGAATCGCGCACGGACACATTGGTGCACGCAGGCTTCATAGAGGGACCCAATTCCATATCACCTTCTGGTCCACGGTCTAGTTGATCAAGTGAGACTGCTCGTGTTTGTGATTCATCGCAAGAACCTGTGGTCTACCGCCCCCCCCCCCCCCTATCACAAGACACACCCATACTTACTTGTTGACGAAGCAACCTTTTCAAATAGTCTGCCTGCCAGTGCGAGCATGCGTTCTTGAAACGCCTGCTTGTCTAGTCACGGCTGATCAGGAAGCCCACTTGAAATCCTTTCCCTCTATCACACACCGGTGTAGTACGGCATATGTTTCACCCTGGTTCTATAAGTTGGTGTTAATCACACTCACCGAACGCGTCTTTAGAGCAACTGCATCCCTTTTTTTCGGGAAGTCTGGACTGACCCTGAAAGTTGAAATTTAGAAATTGAAAAGGTGAAAACCATGGGGGCTCGACGCGCGGTGCACAGACAACAGCAGCAGGGAAGTGGGGACTCAAGCGAGCAACTCCGACACCATGCAGCAACCACACGGGCGACTCGAGGCATGTCTCGTACTCGCATATTATGAACTGGAGGCATCTGTGAGTATGTATCCGCTTTTTTCGTTCCTGCTCCAATCCCGATGTCCCCCAAACACGACCAGCCCATCGCCGCCGAGGAGAAGGGTGACCTCGCCAATCCAGCGACCTCAACGGTGAGTGGATTCTCTCAATGTCCGCTCAATTCAGAGGTTCACTGTGGACCCAGGTCAAGAAGGTGACTTTCTCAACCGCCACCAAGACTATTATGGAGGCCTTGGGCATACAAAGCATTTCTGCCGGGCCTTTGACGGGAGAGCTAATCGAGGAGTATATCCAACTTGTGGACAAGGTCGGAAGCTTAAGGACAGGTTTGAGCGATTGCCTTGATGAGGCTTTGGATAAGGGCGGTGGAAACGGACCTGAGCAACTCGTTTTGCAGGTCTTGAAGACTGTGGACATGAGCGTAAGTCCCCCGATTGAACGCATTCTGAAGCTCCTTACTAATGACATTCTATTGCCGTGCCCGCTCGTTTAGAATGAGGCAGGATCTCGTATGCTCATCGATCCTATTCTGCTCTTCGGGACGATGTTATATCACAATCTGACTGGTAAACGGATGAAACTCAAGCCAGAACTCATCTTGGCTGACTCGGAGGAGAAGGGGGAGCGGGGTGGACCTGTTGAAATTACCGCACGTAACGGGGAAGTTTATTCCTTCACCGGGAAAGTTGACTATGCCATCTGGCGGCTGGAAGGTAGGCGGTATCTCCTTATCTCTAACATAGTTCAAAGCATCACTGACTCGAGTTACGAGCAGGCATAGGCGACGGCACCGCTGTGAAGAAGTTGGCTGATATCGTCTGCGAGGATCCCGGGGACCTTCATATGTTCATTGTCGAAGCGAAGCACAGCATGACGGAGACTGAGCTAAAGAGCCACTTTCCTCAATTGACAACACAAGCAATGGCCACGTACGTCGTCAGGTATACTCAGTGATGGGCTCCTATTTACAGTTCTCATCCTTTAGGATGAAGATTACCGGGTGAGTGACTAGTGACTCGTCCGGGTGTATCATCCCTGCTGATGGAGCCCTTGTTGACTGACTAGATCAAAGGCGCTGGCATGCATCCTCACAGACGGGTTTCAATATATCTTCGGGGTCATGGAGAACGTAGACGAAGCATCCGAGCAACATGTCTTCTACTACTATGACGGCTTGCACTGGATTGACGACGGTGTGCCGGACAAGGATAAGGGAAAACAGTTGTTGGTGATGACTATGTGCTGGGTGCGCTATATGTTGCTATTCCACCGCTGATGATTGGCTAACACGCATATCGGACCTCTAGGGGATCCTGGATCCTAAAACACAACTTGCAGAAGAGATGAGATATCACATCGATTCCATTCAATCTTGAGCTTGTATTTAAACTACAGGAGTCCGCGGACGACAAGACCCTCCCCATACAGTGTTTACACACGACCGTCCTGGATGATGGGTTGTTGCATATTTCTATGTTGTCCGACGTACTATTTAAGCTACCGGTAATTTATCCAAAGAATGCAGTCTTAAGGGGCTGCTTATAGATGAACATGAACTCCTACGTAGGTAGGCTTTACGATAGGGCTGTTGCCCATATTTATATTATCCGAGGTACTATCTAAGCTATCAAGTTTTCATCCAAAGAACGCAGTCTTGCACGGTCGCTTGTAGATGAACATGACCACCCGCGAGCGCGCATGAGCTTTGTCGACATAGATGGTATACGTGTCCTGCGGGAACGCAATCTCGGAGAACGATGGTTCCGGGAGGCTGTCACCCGGCCATTTATAGCAGAGGAGGTGGGCGCGTTGCATCTTTCTGAACACGCAGAGTCCCTTGCGGTAGTCAAACCACAGTTCGTCATGTGCCACAGGAACACTGCACTCTGCAAGCTGCGCGAAGGCGATGCTATCTGAAACTGCTACATCCAAGTCATTGGATATGATGACTCCGGTCAAGGCGCGAGATTGCAATCTATACCAAATTAATCGAATGGAGTTGTCGATGTAAAATGGGATGGAGTAAGGGTGGGGTTTGCGAAACCGTTCTGTGGACTGCCACTGCGGACGAATACGCGAAGTGGGTGATGACTCGGACTGGTGGCATAATTTCCAGTCAACAAGATAGATATAAGACGAGTGCACGAGGATTCTTCGATGGGGGAGCAGAAGGATGTACTGTGGGAGGTAGTTAGCCATCCGTTCGCATAGGATGGAGTATGACACGCACGAAGGGTGAAGAAAGTGCTATATTGACTCCCAGGACAGGCCCTTCGTCTGCGACCGCCGTCCAGTCAACAATTCTTGTTGCGCTGGCTGAACTTGAATGGTACGCAACGTGGTCGCCGAGCAGAGAACAACATGTCGGTCGAACCTTGTCGGAAAAGGACTTGAGAAGGTGGGACGAGTAACCAATGGCTCCTCCCTCCACCTCTGGCCTTATCTCCCAGATCTCAATAGATCCGGTCCTCCTGGCATAGCGACAAACTGCGAGCCTGAAAGCAGGAGGGAAGAGGCGGTGTTCGAAAGACCAGTCAGAGGACAAGGTTGGGGCCCCGTCGATGCCTTGCGTGCCCAGTACATCCACCGCAACGCAGACTTCAACGCTATAGTTCGAGGGATAAGGGGAGGGCACGAGGAGATGCATAGGGGCATCTGGCTGGCCCGGATTGCAGTAGAAGATGGAGCCATCAGTTCCCTTGTAAAGGAAGAACTGATCGCCAGGCAATGGGCATAGCGGTCCCCAGTTGTCAGACATGTTCGCATCCGTGGTGAACGTCTGCACTGTGGGTCGCAGTCCCTCCCATCCAGTCCACCATTGGACGACGCGGGCCTCGAGGTCATCACCCGAACAGAGTTCCAGCGGCTTGGACAGGAAAAAAGGTCGGGGAATGACGGTATCGTAGTATCTCCTCAGCAGCGATAGCCAGACCTCCCTGTCCTTCGACACAGAGTGAAGGGTACGGCAACACTATGCATAATTCATAAGATGTCGGGTTTGTTATCGAAAGGGACTAAGAACATTACCCTCCGGAGAGACAGAACATCGCTCCATTCGATATGTTTCATGATTTCGACCAGAATCTCGGGGGGAAGGTGTGACAGTCGAAGAATTTGGCGTTCGACGCGACGCGACTTTCCCTTCGAGGTCAATGTCTCTCTCGGGTGTATATAAGCCAAGGTGTCATACCTTTATCCACCGCAGTGTTGGAACGCGTTTGTAAACAAGAATCCATGGAAGCAGAAGCAAGGCAGCTAGAGCCGCGCAAGACGAGTATCCCAGCTTTTGAACCTTCGACATCCTGGTTGGAAGTGGTGATCGTCAGGTAAACCGTAAACGAAACTGCTGGCTCAAGTCGCGTGGGAGCCATCACATCACGGTCATCAGTGCCATGGTACGCCTGAAATGCCGCGTCGCCGATGGAGCACCTTGCCCAGCACTAACCTCCAAATATCCGCTGCAGGTGGTACTAGTAGTAGGATTGTACAAATTGCCTCCTTTAATCGTTCACTTTTCGATGATATCCTCGTAGTCCCATCTTAACGTACATTGTCGTTCTGTATCTAAATGGAGCCCTACTCATACCTCAGCCGGCGACGGCTCGTTGCTCTCCAATACGGAGGTTAGTAGTACTATTAGTAGGGGCCGATTCATATATCGCGGTCCCCTAGGATCTCCATTCTCCTCTTTGTACAGCTTCTTTACGCGTTCTGCGATTGAGAGTCCAGAGTTCAGAGTCAATTCTCAGTCTAATCAGCCAGGAAAACGCGCGCACCTAATCGTTCAACCAGTTTCGGGTCAACCTATGGATAAATCCCACCGCGCGATGAGCATATCGTCCGGTCTATCGATGAGCATTAAGACACACCTTTCCCTCCTCAGATCCCTTCTTCAACCAAGGCGGGAAACCGAGGAAGAACTGATCCCAGTACCCGGAGACATGGATCCCAAGATTAAACCTCTCCTCCCACGTCTTTGCGAAGTATTTTTCGAATTCCTTAACAAACCCGTCGATCTCCTGAACAAGATCGTGGTCGTAGCTCGGGTCCGTCCAGACTTGCGAAGCGAGTGACAGTGTAGGCCCGACCAACGACTCGTCCAGCTCGTCGAGTTTGTTGCCTGCTCGGAAGAACCCATTAAGAGAAGATCAATACATAAATAGATTTCCACCACGTACTCCTCTTCGACAGCAACACCCGTTTCAGTGTCGTCAGCGCGCATTGAGCCAAATAGTCCCTAATCTTCTGCTCCGGCACAAACATATCCTTCGGACATCTCGACTCATCCGATAAGAAGTCGATGAGCGTTTTATGGTGCAGCTCCATGGTGTGAGTGTCAATCAGGGAATGAATATCATAGAACATAATCCCAAGCGATCCCGGCTCCATCATCAACGCCGTCTCGTATACCTTTGCCAGTGTGTCCGCACTGCGCTTATCCACGCCCAAATTCGGATGTGAGACGTATCGAATGAGCTTGACAACGGCCTGGGGGTCTCTATCGTCCGAGTTCTCCCTGTACTCCTTCTGCGCCTTAGTGAGGATTTCGGTGTAGAGCTTGTCGAGTATTTCGAATGGATTCCTGGATGCACTGGATGCTGTAGGCGCCCACTTGAGAACGAGTTTCAGCCGGTCCCGTGGGTCCGCGCGTTCCTGACCGATAAACTTGATGATTGTCGAGGGGTAGATGAACTGGCCGCTCGAGTTCTCCACGAGTTTCTCCAATTCCCGTTGAAGAGGCCAGTCGGGTGGGAGGTTGTCCTTCATCGGGTGCTCCTCGCGGATCTTGGTGAATTCATCCGTCAAGTACCGCTCTATATCTGCGAGAGTTTGGAACTTGTACTTGTCCAGGTCGATATGCTCGAGGCAGCCATGGAAGAGACGTTCGATTGCGTGTCGGGCGGGGGGCTCAGGTCGGCTGGAGATCGCAACTAGGAAGGGGAATGCAATGCTGGCGTGGGGCTTGGTCTCGGTCTCGGTCTTGGTACCAACAAAGACATTGTCAATGATTCGGACGATATCCTTCTGATTCTCCTGGCCGTTACATTCGTCCAACCCATCGATGGTGATCAATCTCGCCCAATCATCCGTGGCAACATTCCGCCGGATAGCCTCCTGAACTGGCTCAAACAAAAGCGCACGCATCTGCGATTCCAGCCCCTTCCCAACGACGATGGTTTCGTCCTTAGCAAACGCATCCAGAATGAACGGACGCAGTGCCGGAACATTGACAATGAGACCATACGCCAGTGTGGCCGCCAGCTTGGAGTAGTCGGCGCGCCCTGTGCTCGAGGTGGACCAGAAGAAGAAACTAGCAGCGAGAAGGCCGTCTTTATGCGCTTGCTGGGATGCGGTGCGCATTAGAGTGGTTTTTCCCCCGCCCGCGGCCCCCGTGAGTATGATAACCTCGCATGCCTTTCCCTTCAAGGCCTTGGCGCGTTCGAGAAACCGTCGAAGCGAGTACTCCCGCGTTCCAGGTGCACACTTTGCGGTGGGTTGGGCGGGGTCGAACCCGTCGAAGGTGGCATCACTTGCGATGTGTTTTGCGAGGCGCCGTTGCAGTTTGTCGTAGTGAATACGCCGGTTATTGATGTCGACTTTAGAGAGCTTCACCGCGTCGTAGATACCGATGCTGATCTGTGTAGCGTGCTTAGTGACTGCTCTCAGGCTCAAGGACGTCTGTTCGCACCAAGAACCTGTCGGTCGCCTTCTGTATAGCTTGGTCGATCTTGGTGATAAGTTCGTTGATGTCTTGCACACTGACGAACGCCGTGATGGCGGCAATATCCTTTGCGCCCATTTGGACGAGAGCCGAATCGAGGTCGCTAATATCCAATCCAAGTCAGAATCAAATCCCCCGTAAGAAGGAACGCGCCTCATACCTCGAAAGAGCCTGCAACATCTCTACCAACTGATCCGGCAGCTTGTCGTCATCCTTCAGCGTTTCCTCGAGAATCGCCTGAAGATTTCTGCAATGATCTTCCAATGTTTGCAGCCTCTCCCTGTTAGTCCCCACGCTCTATCGGGCCTCATCAGCACAGCGTGGAGGGATCTTCTCCGGATAAGCGCTCACCTCCGCCTTATCGATCAAGCATTTAATGAGGCTGAGTGGTCCTTTGAGAGGAATTGGGAGGCCGTCAGAGGCTTGTATGAGGAACTCGAGGGAAGTCTTGAGGACGCTCTTTGTCAAAGTCCCGGCTTTCTGCAAGTCGGGTGCTGAATACGCCTGGTGGTGTAGTGGGGGCTGAAGAGTGGACGAGCCGACACTATCCGGCTTCCGTTGCTCATTCTGCTGATCGTCGAGGGCGGTGAAGGATCGACTAAAATTCAACGCTGGAGTCTGCGGTGTAGAATGACCCGAATCCTTGACCGACGGTGGGACAGACTTGATACTTGGGGTTCCTCTTCCTTCAGTCGCAGAGTCGGGTTGCTCTTTCTTCCACCGAAACCGTTTAAGCGGATTCCAGCTCTTCCTCTTGGAGTTGGCGCTTGCAATCGGCATTGAGGACCTGTGAATGACAAGTGCTTGGGTGGAGAGGAAAAAGAAGGCGGGAGTGAAAGGTCAAGACAAAGAAGCGAATGCTGTGGTTTGTGTTTTTCCTTATACGAAGTACAAGGGCAAACCTATGTCAGGCTGGGCCCCTCACGGTGGTCATGAGGCGTGTCTGATGGTGTCAGGATGCCACCTGTTATGATTGGCGCCCATGTAAAGTGGGGAGAAAGTGACATCCTATGAATCAATGCTATCGTCGGGTTTAGGGGGAGGCCGCTGCCTGGAGCGCGACGGAAGATTCACGGCGAATTATAGTCTGCGGGTGGTAGAAAGGGAAAACGAAGGGCGCAGCGCAGCTGCTGGATGTAGGCCCATGGCCTGGCAGTGACGGCGGCGAGCTGGTGACCACTGGCTAGCATCGACTCCTCGAGCGAGCTGGGAATAGCCCAGGGAAGCACGCTCACATACCTTTCATTTATAAACAATTGGTGAACTTTGACGATCGTACTGTGGGCGACATGTGTGTACACTCGCTGTTCTTCTGTGCCAGAAGACGTTCGAAAAGGGGCTTCTGAGATGCCAATGTGACCATTCTCTCCTGTGCAGAAGAAATGTGATTAAAACACCGCTGAGATCAAGATTAGCACCCATAAAGGTTTGGTACCACAGTGAACCTCGAAACTTGAAGATGGGCATTGTCGACTCGCAATCGATGGTGACGACCGCTGGCTTGGCCCTCAGCCAGCTGCGCCTGCCGAAGGTTCCGAGGCTGATTCCATCACTGATGGATGATCCGGTTCCCAACAAACTGCCACCCACATGTTTTCGTCCAGAATGATGCTTGTCGGACAGCGTTGGCAGCGCCCAAAGGCCTGAAGCATGCTGGCGTTGACGAACGCTGTGCAGGCGAGGTTTTCTCTCATCTCACCACTCTCCTCCACGACAACTTAGCGCTGGGATTACTCCCGCTCGCCGCCTCCGGCTATGCTGCCCTTCAAAACGAATTTCGGTTTTGTCATTTGGGTAATAATCCAATTGTCCCTCAATGGACTGGCTTTAGGCGCGAGCATACAGAACTCGGATATCAAAGATCGGTAAGCATTCTTTTGAATTATCAGGTCCACTTGCAGATCACTGAGATGCAACAACACAGTCCAAGCCCTTGTGGAACCCAAATCACAACCGCCGACTTTCAACGAACGCTTGATGTCCTGACAGGACTATCTCTCCACGGGCCAGGCAAGCGACAAGTGGGCCCAGCGATATCACACACGTTCGACGTTGTCTGGCACATCGTCGCTTCGAACATCAGCTATGCGGGTGGATGGGTCCCGTACGTCTCCCAGAATTCGTGTTCTTTCCGACCGCTCAAACTCCGCCTTTCGACTGTAGGGACTCGCAGATTGACGGCCAGATGAATATGCTCAATCGACATTATGAAGGGACTGGGATCTCGTGGAGACACTCGAAGACGATTCGAATCCTGAGTCCTCACTGGCACGAATACATAACCACCAACACGTACGTTCTCCTCCTCGTTCCCTTCCAACCGTAAAATGAAACCCTCATCACCTCCAACAGGACTGGTCTTCGATCCGATATGCAAAGACTCTTCAACGAAGGCGGAGCTACGACTCTGAATGTCTACACGCTAGGGTGAGTAACGAGTGCCTTCAAGCTCTCCCTTCACAGACTCTCAACGCTGCACCTCAGATTCCACCGAGATTTCGTAAACGGCTACTCGTCACAACCCGTGGACTACCTCAACAACCCCAAAGAGGATGGCGTCGCTATACGATTCACAACTCTACCAGGCGGGATAAGCGACCAACGTGCTGGTGGGACCTTGACGCACGAGTCTGGACATTGGTTAGGCCTTCGACATACTTTTGAGGTGCGCATTTCAGAAAGGTTGCATGCGAAGAAATCTGGGCTGAAGGATGCCATCCATATCTAGGGCGGATGCGAAGGCGACGGAGACGGTATCTGGGATACTCCCGCTGAAGCTTCACCAGCATTCGGCTGTCCAGTCGGAAGAGACTCGTGTCCTGACCAACCAGGTCTGGATCCCATATGTGCGTCTCGTCAAACCATTCTTTTCCTTCAACCTTCGTCTGCGAGGATGGCGCTAATACACACTTCCGATTCCGGCAGACAACTTTATGGACTACACAGACGAAGATTGTCGATCAGAATTTACGCCGGGTCAAGTAGACATGATGCAGGCGGTTATTCGAGCCTTTAGATCGAATGACATGGGTACACCGATATAGTGATAATATATTATCTTTGGGATAAATTGCAGTGAATGCAATGGGTTATTGGGTTTTAAAATATATGCCGTAGGAAGGGCATGAAGCGGCTCCAGTCTCCCTGCCGGGTTCCCTCCAGTCGCTACACAGTTTTAATAGATATGAAATGTCCGAGATCAATCGTACGAAAAGAACGTAAGTAATTAAATAAATAACTATAGCAGATATAGGATAGATGAGCCTAGTCCATAACAAGTCCATAACAAGTGTCCATCCATGCGCACAACGTCAAAAGAGTATCCAAGCAACGTTTTCGAACAACATCTCGACCTCCACACTGCCTAAAATTCAACCTCAGCACTAGAAGAGCTCCCTTCTCGCTTCACCGGGAAAGGCTGCTCAACCAACCAACCAGGGTGGAAGAAATTGAAAGTGTAGATGGCCAGGACGATCATCGCACCGTCCAAAACGTCTACACAACAATAACAGTCAGAATTCGACGGAAGTAAAAGTACTGAGAATCGCGGGACACTCACTGAAGTAGACTTCAGTCGTAATAACACGACCATTCCATCCATCCACCAACTCAATGGTCCGGTAGATAGCTCTGCACGAAGTCACCCATCAGTGCACTGCAATTGGACCGAAACAAAGGGTTAATACGCACCGAATGAACAAGCAGAGAGTATTGAAACTCAAAGCCGCGAGCATGAATTTGAGTTCCTTCGTAAGCTCTCCTCGGGGTGCGTAATCCTTATGCGACGGTTTGATGGTATTCACAGGTCGGTCCTTCATGAAGCGCGTGAAGTATTCGAGCACCAGGATAGAGTAGAACACGATGACCGCTATATGGACACAGCCGTTAATGCTTGCTTCCAACAAAGAGCAGAGCGCTTACAGAGTTGGAAGGCGATTCCTCCAAGCATTATGTTGCCGCCCTAGCAGGAGGAAAGAAGGTCAGTAAATCCAAAAAGGTACGGCGCGATAGACGACAGTACGCACCCTGTTCGCTCCCTCCAGCGTCTCGGCTTGCGCAGCAATCGCACCACCAACAGCTTGGATAACCAGCGATAAAAAGTCCTGTCCAACATTTACCCATTAGCCATATCCATCGGTAAAGAAGAGTCAGAGCGACATACACAAGCGAAGAAGATCATCATATCTATCATCAGACAATGCATTAGCATAAGAAGAGCCCGGAGATGGGAGATGGAACTTACACCATCGAGGCGCCAACCGACTATAACTCGTCCCCAAACACCGAATAATCCGTCCAAAGATCACAAAATTGGCGGCGAGGAGAGGTGTCGGGCCTACAATAGTCGCCACAATCCTGAATTTTCAATTCACCAACATCCAATTCATCAGCAAACCATTCACCGTGGCACTGGCTAACGCTACACTCGAGTAAAAAAAAATTGTACTCACTGAATTTGGAACGGCAGGAAAATAAAAGGCTCATAATGGGACCACAGACGAGTCGCCCAGCCTAGTACTTCCAATACACCGCAGAAGATGATGGTGGGGAAGATGAACCACTGGCGGCGCATACATGCTTGGACGATGTGTGCAGCTAGCAATCCGGGCTCGAGGTTATACTCCTGTCCCAAGGCGAGATGAAATGGAGGACATACACGTCGAGATGGCAAAGAGGACGACGAAGATAATACAGACGTATAGGGTCGGGATGTAGCCGTAGGCGTTGTCGACTTCCCGGGCTATTCGGATGGTTAGAGACAAACGCAGAAGGTAGTAAGACGGCCAGACGTACTGTATGGCTCAGACATCTTCGTTTACCTCTACAGACACGGCGACACCGAATCAAGTCCAGCAGAAGCTGAGAGAAACAGAAAGAAGAAGACGAAAGGTGAAAGAAAATCCTACAGTCCACCTCATCAACATCCAGAGCTTTTTGAACTCCAACAACCCATCCTGCGCAGTCCAAAAAACATAACATCATAACACCGCATCCCAATCAATTAAGGGACACTTCTCCTCGAGGAAAAGTTTGTAGTACCTCCTTCCCAATAGACGGGTGAGCGGAAGGGCATCGTTGCCCGCGTTTCCCAACCACTTGTATGATTATCCCCATGTTCTCGAAGATATCCTGTCGTCATCCCACTGTCGGTTTCAGTCAACGTTCGCCGTTCGAATGTTCATCGAAACTGAATGTGAACGCACTGCAATCGGAATCGATGCAAGCGTGTTTGTTGCTTGATCGAGTTTACCGATGGTTGCAGAGTTGCATAGAATATACCCCGGGTTTTGAGTCTCGAACAAAGCACGGTCCCAACAGTAGCAGCACAGGTCGCCGAGCGAAATGATAATCCACTGTTGCAACTACGACGACGCAGAAGAAAACATATTCCAAGTCGCCTATACATGTCGCCTCCTCCAGCTCAATCCTCGAGCAACCAGAAAGAACACACCCTGTCCCCAGATCCCAGAAATCGCCAGAGCGCCACCACTGCGACCGCAAAGAGCACACAGACCACGCCAAGATCAGACCCTTCCCTAGATACGCTGCGCACTCTGAGATCTGAATCCTCGAGATGTAAAGGCAGCCTTCGTATCCATACTCTACTCGCAGTTACGTCAAACACCGACTGCGACTTGCTGCGACCCTTGCTGCGATCTATCCATCCATTCAGGAACCCGGAGATCAAGGGTAGACCGTAGGGCATTGACACTGCGTTCAAGGACCAGTTGGCGACAACGATCGCGATATCAGGTTCAGGCTATCAAAGAGTCCCAGAAGCGTGTATAGTAGGATAAAGGAGACAAGACGGGTGTCGGGGCGCAAGTGGGGTAGAGTCGTTTGCGCAGTCGTGGTGGCAGTTCAGGCGAGAGAAAGAGCTTTGGAATGGATACACCGTCCGTCCAGGATCATCGGACTTCCAATTCAACTTTCATCCCAACTTCTATTTCCCCGTCTTCGTTCGGTCTCGTGGGTCTTACCCGGTGACCCCTCTGCTTCCAAGCATACTTTCAATGGAACTATTAGTAGTAATACTATTACTTTCCGCTCCTTTTCCGAACGTCAACAATACATATCATGCAGTTAAAATTAGACAAGCCGCGCCATTCATGATACTACTTCTAGCCCAATGTGGCTTCACGCCAAGTCCTGAGACTCGGACGCAAAGCAGAGACGAACCTGAGGTATCCATGAAAAGCAGCTCCAGTCCAGAAGACATTACCTTGGAATCAATGAGCACCGCCTGTCGATCATGAGCCTCGAGGCAGCCCCCAGGGCTGCACCCTGTATCAAACATGTACAACACGCGTATTTCATTCGCCTATGTAGACATCCTTCATTTCTCTTTATCTCAACAGCAATTGAACAGCACTTCCTCCATTGAGCGCTCACTGACAAATCGATTCCACACACAGCGCGATACTCACAAAATTCAGTCCCTTTCCTCAAGAAATCAGACACAGTTATGAACGCGATGAAACGTTCTTTATTTCTTTATGTATGTGTACGTGGTAAGTATGTAGGTTGGACTACAAGATGGTAAGGATGGAGTGGGTACGACGGTGCTCCTACAAGTGAAATGGCGAAGGGGGAAGATAATGATAGATGACGATGATGATGATGATAATGGTACAACGGAGCACCGAGGGGGGACGACGATGACAAGAGGACACGACACGACAGAGGGGGATGCGATTCGACAACTACATCTCCCGACAAACGTCTGTAACAATCAAGCACGAAAATCATAGAGAAACAAAAATGACCATAGCAATGAACTAAAAGTAAGTAGAAACGGTAAGAACCAAAGAACGAGATACAACAAACGATACGATAAAACATAAAGAAAATAACATCATGGATATATCAAAGAGTATGCATGCCTTTGCACAAAGAAGAAAAGAAAAATTAAAAGCTTTTACGATCGTCCTCAATCCTGGAATTCATTGAACCGAATCCCATGAGAGACGAGCAACGACTGCAGAGTGAGCGCCCGGGTCTTCCAGTTATCCCTCTCCTGGGTAAGCCTCTCAACGTCCGACTCTAGCTTTTGCTGGTACTCGAGCTTCCGCTTGCGGCTCTTGCGAGCAGCCAAGGTGTTTTGTCGCCGCTTCCACTCGATCTGCTCCCGCTCGGTAGCGTTGGGACCGGGAGGAGCCTCCTGGAGCTCGTCCTCCTCCTCGTCGAACGCCTGCGACCGTGCCCTCTTGCGAGCGAACACGGCGGGTAGCTCCTTCCGAGAAGTCGCCGAGGGAGTGGCGTACTTGCGGGGTTGTGTGGGAGCGTCGAGGGGAACGAGGGACTCGGGCGTGATACCCTTGCGGGTTCCGGTAGCGTTGGATCGCCGACGAGTGGCGGGCTTTGTTGGTGCTGAGCCCACCACAGGAGTCTGGGGGGCGAGTGAGGACTGGCGGGAAGCGGGCGAGTACACAGAGGATGAGAAAGAGTCGAGTGGCTGGTTGTCGGGGGAGAAGGCGAGGAGACCGTCAAAGTCGACCTGGGGCTTGGTCGCTGGAAGAGGCTTTGAGACAGTGTCGGGGAAGAGCGGCATCGTGTAGGATGCGAAAAGGGGATCGCCGCCAGACATGTCAAAGTCGTGTTGGTCGGTGAGGAGGGGCGAGTCGGTGTTCTCGAAGAGGGGAGTGCTGAGGAGATCGTTCAAAGGGGTTTCCTTCGGCGAAGGCTCGTCGAAGTCGTGGCCCAAGGCGGGCATGGGCGAGGTGAGGTACTGTTCAGGATCCATCGAAGGGGAAGAGAAATCGAAGGCGTCCTTGAACTCTGGCGAAGAGACTATCGCGTCTTTATGAGTCAACCGAACAATGGCTCGGGGAAAAAAGACTTTACCTATCATGTTCACCAGGTCCTCGAGCTCCTGATGGTTATAGGCCGGTGCCTCTGCGGGCGGAGCCGCGGCGGGGGCGGGTTGCTGTGGAACCGTCATCGCAGTATCAGCTGTGGATGTTGCTGGGGAATCTGCGGAGTTGGATGCGAGCATGTTGAGGTACGAGTTCTTAAGTGATTCAAAATCGAAAAGCTGTTGCTGATGCTGTGCTGCTGGTACTGGCTGACGTGGTGTTGTGCGAGGCGCTGGCGGCAAAAGTTGTGGGATGCCATAGTGGGCTGCAAGATCCTTTGAGGATTGGAATACAGTCGTCCGAAGACGGTTTGATTGTTGATTTAGGCCATGGTGTAAAGGTTGTTGAGATGAACTCGAAACTGATGTTTCAAGTGGTTGCGACGGTTGTTGACCGATAGAGCGAGTAGCCGACGAGGACGAGGCCGCGTTATTCACAGACGAGCGAACATCTTGGCGAACTGCGTTGGATGATGTCTGGGTACTTGATGAAGAAATGGCGCCTTGGGAATGGGCTGAGGTTGTCGTTTGTGGAGACAAAGGCACCGCTGGGTTGGGTAGCCTTGAAGCTCTGGAAGATGGCGACAACGTCAGTTCTGATTCCACCAGCTCATTCTTGACAGACAAGTCCTCCGCGGCTTGTTGTGTGGTGCTCGATGTGACCCAGGATGAAGGCTGGCCGTAGCCGCCTTGACCGCGATATGAATCGAGGGTGCTCGACATTTGTGGCAGAGATAGATTACAGTCTGTACCGCCCACACAAAAAAGAGGACAAAGAGGCGTAGGCCACTGCCGTTGTGCGATAGCTGAAATCGGACTCACAGATTGGCTCAGACGCTGCTGAGGAGTTTCGCTTGGACGGCTCGACGCTGTTCCAAGCAGGAAAGTGGGGGAAAGTTTGGCAACTCATTTTTCCTGACTCGATCATCTTTATAACTCCCACCGCACAGCATTTTCATTCTCCGAATTAGGAACCGCCAAGCCGCTTAATCAGCTCCGCACCGCTTAACCAATATCCGTCCCCGTTTTCCTGTGCATTGCTGTAAAACTTCCTACACATTCGACACCTGTCTCCACACACCCTATACACTCTAACCCTGCCCAGATAACGTCCAACTATCCCAACCATTCCACCAAAACGACGAGGACAGGAGCTGGAGCGAGTCATTTTCCTTCTTCCGGGGCGCAACCGAGATAACCCATCCATGTGAATCCGCTGACAAATTCCCGCCGACGAAAGCGGTTCCTGAGCCACGTTCCCATGCCATGCCCGCCTCTTCTTCCAAATGAGGCGACATCGCGCCCATCGAGCACCGCCCACACGGCCTCATGCCCGCCCTTCTGACATGCGGCGCTCGCTTGGCACCTTCTCCCGCCCTTTCATAATCCCTAATCGAGTAATTCATGTTCGCCCGCCCACGGTCGACTGTGCCCGCAGGGCGCAGGGTTACCATTCCCCCTTTTTTTCACAGCGGGCACCGAGTTTATCCCGTCCGTATTCGTACTACGGTTGATTGCCGCACTTCGATCGAGGCGTCGTCATCGCTTTTGCCTTTTTTTCACGCGATTGGAGAGGCACCACGGTGATTGGTCATAGACGATGAGCGTCCATTACATTGGGCGCTTCATTGCTAAGCACCGGTGGAGACGTTTTATTAGTCTTCTTATGGCGATTCATAGTTAACCCACCAAAAATGAAAGAAAATGAAAGAAGAGGCTAGAACGTTCTTCGTTCGTCTTCTTTCTTCCAAGTCCTTCCCCTTGCTTTGTGCGCAGTGACAATGACATAGCCTGCCCGAGCACTGTCTTTGACCATACCAAAAGAGAACCTCATCATTGCACAGTTGCGAGCTTGTTGGGTCTCGACCCCGTCGTCCAATCATCGTGCTGCCGTGTCCATTGCGTGTCCGTTGCCAGTCGATTAAGCGCCTATACCAGACCGTGACACCCCAGATCTCCTATTCCTCGAGATTTCTCCACGTTCTCCGTCAAGTGACAAGTGGTGGTCATGAGACAGACTCGGGAACGCCTGCTGTCCTGGGCGCTCCGTATTAAGGAATATGAGGGATGTGGCTACGTGTCCAGGAATAACACTGCGTGTCGATAAATAAGTATGGCTGTGAAAGCTCTAAACCTCGAAGACTTCTGCAGCGTTCATGCTGCCCATCTTCCCGCCGACAAGCATGGAGCGGAGATGAAGGGCACACCGGTCTCCTCGTTCCAAAGCCCGACACGACGCACAGCTCGAAAAATCAGAGCATGCTTGCCATTCGATGATTATCATCCCTCCTAGGCAGCATTACGAGACGGCCATCATCCCCTTTTCCCTTCAACATTCAACGCCGTCACGGTTCCCTTCTTTGCGTTTCGTGACAGGAGTCAGAATTCAATCGTACGTCACTCGAAACTGACTCGAGTCTAGGAACCGTAAAGCCGCTGGCAACGAGGTACCCATTGTCGCACGAGAAGACGAATCCGCACAGTTGCTCGAGAAGGCGAGTGTACCGGTATCGAAGGCCAGTGTTGATTGGATGACATCATTGACAGACTCGACCGCGGGATTGTGCGAGGTTGTCGGATATCTCGGTCGAGGGGGCATCGCCAGTGCGTGGAAAGTGGGATGACAAGGGGGAGGTAAGGAACGCAAACGGGTACGAGGTCAACGGGAAGAACGGGGTTCATATGGAATGTAGGAGATCCGCGAGGCAGTACCAGAGTCAATAGCGGTCGGGTCGAGTTTGAACTTCGCAGGGGTGCATTCGCTGTTCGGGGTCCAACTTCACAGGTAGCCAGCCTGTCCGGAGTCTGAGCTGGCCATTCTAAAACCAAGTGAGGCAGACAACACTCATATCGGACCCACCTCTTCAGTAATCAACCCTACCAATTAGTTTAGAGGGAACGTTAAGGGACCTGTGCAAAGGAAGGACCTGGACGAGAGGAAGGAAACATCGATATCGGGACCAGAGACCCGTCATCGATGTCCCACCTTTATATACACACCGGAAAACCGTGACTCAAAACCCTCCATTGTTCTCGTCCACTCGACTCGATCCCACCTCGACTCTCTCGTGTTGGTGTGACTCAACCCGACGTGTGAAACCGAAACACCGAGAAACACCCATTTTGGGCAGAACGAGACATCCAAATCAGGACGGGGGCATCGGATTGGGAAATTCCCGAAGTTCCCGATTTCCGAACGCCCGACGCGTCGCTTAGCACGTGCAGTGCTGAGTGGGTCAGGTGAATGCGAGGGGTGTGGCTGTGTCGCGGTCGTCCACTCGTCGTTCACAACGTCTCGAGCACTGGCAGAGAGTAGGAGGCAATGAGAAACGGGCCCGAGCAAAACATCGCTGAGTCTTGCTTGTGGAGCGACGAACCCGGAAAGTTGTCATGAAATCGCCTAGCGTCAGCACCTCGCTTGTATGGTGCCCTGATGTGACTCGTGAGTCATTCCCGTTTTCTGTTGGGCGAGCGTCAACGAGATCTCGGATGTCCGGACTCAGAGGCCTTAGGGACATTGAATTTGCAATCCTACTTTAAGACTTTGCGTAGAACGACCGGCTCGTATTTTTATTCGCGAACTTACCATGTCAACCCCGATCTTTAGCTCTGGGAATCTCGTGGCGGCTTTTCGAACTCCAGTGGCTTTGCAGGTCGACGAGTGGAACGACTGGACAAGTGAAACGCGATGGTGTGCCTTCAAGGAGCTATGAGACAAAAAAAAAAAAAAAAAGCTGGCCCAACTTCACTCAGCAGCACTCTAAACATAGAACCAACTTTTCCTTGTCCCTGTCCGTTATCACGGATCGGCGTGAAGCGTGCTTCGGCGCACGAGCCACCAAGGGTCTTGCAATGTGACTGCCATGCCCCTTCGACTCAACAATTCTCGGAGCCGCGGTATGCGACCGGTAGCGACCCCCCTAACTTGGCCAGCACGGTCGAATATAAGCTAGCCTTTTCGGCTGAAGAGCGGACTCAGACAACGATTCCTCTTGCACACGAACCATGACGTCGGCTCTCGTGCTACTGTCGAGTCTAGTGACTGCCCTTGTTGTTCATAGATTCTTAGCTCTGTGGAGGGCTCGTCGCTCGATTGGGTGGGTCTTTTGAATCTCGTACCTCCCCCTTGGCACGTGTGTTGACCCTGTTCTATTGATTCTGCTTGGTAGTAACCATCCCGGCAATTTCTTCGTTTTTGGGTTGGGGAACTTGCTCGCCGAGTTCGCCTTACCGGCGATTCCTTTCGTTAGTCCTGGAAACAACTATTTGTGGAAAGAGAAACATGCTCGTAAGTATTTGGTTATAGTTCGCATATGGTTGGATTTGACAAGCACGATGTTGAATAGCATATGAGAAGTACGGATGGGATATATTCTCCAACGTAAGTGAACCTTACCTTTCACTGGTGTCGGGGCCGAGCCTGAGCCATGGTCTACTATCTTGTAGATCTCAATCTGGCCTGGCGGAGTTCAACTCCTCATCGCAGACGCAACTGCCATCAAAGTGTGTACCGTTCTCTCCCAACCATATTGACAAGGTCTAACTGAAGACTGCTCGCTCGTCCCAGGAAGTCGCGCTAGCTCGAACACGGTTCCTTAAACCAGTCGAGCTCTACGAGGTCGTCAACCTTCACGGAAACAACCTTCTTACTGCCGAAGGGGACGACTGGAAGAGGTACAAGAAGGTCGTGTCTCCTGCCTTTTCTGAGGTACGTTTCCTTCACAGCATGACCAGCGCCGTTACGCAAGGTCTCACTTTGGTGAATGAATGCGATAGAGGAATAATCGTCTCGTATGGGATGAGGCGATTGAGGTGACGTCTCAACTCTTCTCGGACGTTTGGAAGAACCAGGACCAAGTCACAGTCGAGAATTGCTTGAAGGACCTCACGCTTCCGGTGAGCTCCCCCAAATACATACTTTCCCTTTCGCGGACTCACTCGCTCACTGCGCAGCTTGCTCTCTTTATCATCGGCGGTGCAGGTACTCGCTATCACTTCGTCCTCGGACTACTAGCTGACCCTTGCTTTGAAAGCGTTCGGAAAGAAGATCACATGGAACGAGGAGCGTACTTGCCCTCCAGGGCATGTCATGACATTCAAGCACGTCTTAGAAGTATCAGCGGACGTTATCATCGTCCGCGCTGCCTTCCCTCAGTTCATTCGGAAGCTGGTACCGAGTTTGAGAAAAATGGACACCGCGTATGATGAGCTCCAGGTACGTTGAGTATCTGACACCCTGGATCGTACATTGGTATAAGGACGAGGATCCTTTCAGCTGTACATGAAGGAACTCATCCGTGCTCGATCCGAGTCTGCTGATGCGGTCGAGCGTCATGACTTACTGAGTCTCCTCGTAGAGCACAGCGACGAGGATAAAGCCAATCCACTGACGGAAGACGAAGTCATGGGAAACACATTCTTATTCCTCGCCGCTGGACATGAGGTGATTGAATTTACTCTTCCCAACCCCACTTGCACTTCCATCTAAGCTCCGACTGCTTCTGTAGACAACAGCCCAAACGCTCTGTTTTGCGTTTGCTTTACTGGCTCTCCACCCTGATGAGCAGGAAGCGGTATATCAGGAGATAAAATCGGTGATCCCGGATGCAACCTCGCTTGTGAGTATCGTCCCTTATTAAGGCGTCGTCATGATCGAGTAACGGTGGCCATGGTTCCAGCCGTACAGCGCCCTTCCCTCGCTCGTTCGCACTATGGCGTACGTCCCCCTCATCCAACACTCACGCCGTTGCTGAGAACCTGACCTAACCTAACCACCCAGCGTATACAATGAGACTCTTCGCATGTTCACTCCGGTAAGTGGCACCCGTTACCAGCTCGTCTCAGTTCTTGTCGACTGACCAGGGATCAGACATCCGAAATTCCAAAGGTCGCAGCGGAAGATACAGTCTTAACGACTGGAAATATGGCCGGAGAGACGAAGAAGATCCCCGTGCCTAAAGGCACCCGAGTCAGTTTTGACATTCCTGGAATCCACTATAACCGTACGTGCTTTCGGCTATCGTTCACGCCGTCCTCCCACTGACGAACTCGCTCTTGTATTTCGTACTGGCATATAGCGAGATACTGGAAAGACCCACTCGAATTCAAGCCAAGCCGTTTCCTCGAGCCCGACTGGCCTCGAGACGCATTCATAGCCTTCAGCGTCGGACACCGCTCGTGCATCGGGCGACGCTTCTTCGAAATTGAGGCTATCGCTGTAATGGTGATGCTCCTTTCCCGATACAAGATTACCATCAAGGAGGAAGAGGAGTTTAGAGGTGAGACTTGGGAAGAGAAGAAGGCGAGGATTTTGGCGTGTACGATGGGTGGGACTTTGACGTGAGTCGTGAACTTCTGTGTGGTTTGGGATTGGAAGAGTGTGCTGATGGGGTTTCATTTCAGTGCGAAACGCGTGCCTTTGACGTTCGTGAAACGCTGAAGGAGGGGTTAGAGAGAGGGTCAGCCTCCGATAGTTGCGCCTGGGTCCCTCGGAGTCAAGGTGGTGCCATGGCAGTGGTAACTCCAAGGCACCTAGCCTTTCTCGCTTTCTGTACATACATCGCCATCTGTATGGAATCCATACGTTGGAATTCATACGTTGGAATTGCAAGAACACATTGGATGGCCAGAGGTGCAACAAAGCGATCCCAAACGTCATCGCTGACCGCGTTATACAACACTGGAATCCTAAATACCTTGACACGAAGGACTTCAAGCGACTGCAACTACACGAATTTAATTCAGACCTCCCGGAACCTTTGTAGCTGCCAACGACCCTAACTTGGCCAAGTTCAAACATACTCAAATACAGCTTAGCCTACCGCTGAAGGGAACTCCTCTTGGACACCCACCATGACGTCTCCACTCGCCCTACTCTCGAGTCTAGTGCTCGCCATTGTAGCTCATGGGCTTCTAGTCCTATGGAAAGCTCGTCGTTCCATCGAGTGAATATACCCTATCGCCTTATATCCTCGAGTTGCTCGTTGACTGTTCCTGTTCTTGCTTGGTAGCAATCACCCTGGTAATTTCCTCGTCTTTGGATTTGGGAACTTACTCGCAGAGTTTGTGCTGCCGGCTATCCCTTTTGTTAGTCCTGGAAACAACTACTTGTGGGAGGCGAAACATGCTCGTGAATTGGGTTTATCTGTTGGCGCTGAGTGGGGTGCTGATAGGGGTATCGCCAACAACAGCCTTCGAGAAGTACGGCTGGGATATATTCTCCAGTGTGAGTCCTTTTAAGTTCTGAGGGAGATTTGAGCACGCCGCTAACTCCTCTCTACATCTGTAATTCTCCATCTGGCCTGGCGGAATGCAACTTCTTGTCGCAGATGCGACGGGAATCAAAGTGCGTATCCTTACCTTCTTCAAGTTCTAGGGTCAACCAGGGTCTAAAGAACTGTCGTTTGTTCCAGGAAATTGTTTCTTCTAGAAGCCGGTTCGCCAAACCTGTCGAACTCTACGAGATTGGAAACATCTACGGGAACAATATTCTCACTGCCGAAGGGGATGAATGGAAGAGGTATAAGAAGATTGTATCGCCCGCGTTCTCTGAGGTATGGGAACTCGCAACAGTTGGAGCAAATCGGTGAATGAGCTCGATCCTTAGAGGAACAATCGACTTGTATGGGAAGAGACAATCAAAGTTATGTCTCAGCTCTTCTCGGAAGTTTGGGAGGACCAGGACCGAGTTACGGTCGACAACTGCTTACGCGACCTCACTTTTCCGGTAAGTCCTCCCAGCATTCACCTTATTCCCAAGCTCTTACTCGTTCAATTTCAGATCGCTCTGCTGGTCATCGGCGCTGCAGGTAAGCACATCTGCCATCATCTCAAGAGTTCACTGGGCCAGCGCTGCATCTGACCGCGTTCGGAAAGCGTTCGGAAGGAAGATCGCCTGGAAGGACGAATACACCTGCCCTCCAGGGCACGTCATGACCTTCAAGCACGTTTTAGAATTATCGCCTTATATCATTGCTGTCCGCGCTATCTTCCCTCGATTTATTCGCAAGCTGGTACCAGCGCTGAGGAAGATGGACATCGCGTATGATGAGCTTAAGGTATGTTTAGCATCCCAACTCGGACATACTTTCGGAGACTAACGAGGATCGTTTCAGTTGTATATGAAGGAACTCATTCGTGCTCAATATGAGCGCGATGATGGGATCGAGCGCCATGATTTATTGAGTCTTCTGGTGGAACACAGTGATCTGGATAAAGCGAACTCTCTAACAGAGGATGAAGTCATGGGGAACACATTTTTGTTCCTTGCCGCTGGACATGAGGTGATTCTTCTCGCCAATCCAACTATAGCGTCAATCCAAATATAACTACTTCTCTAGACAACTGCTCAAACGCTCTGTTTTGCTTTTGCTTTGCTGGCTCTTCATCCCGAGGAGCAGGAAGTGGTATATCAGGAGATAAAGTCGGCGATCCCGGATGCAACCTCGCCGGTGAGTATCCTCAGGCTCCCTTGGTAATCATTGTGATAACTTCTGAGTGACACTGATTCCAGTCGTACAATGCTATTCCCTCGCTCGTTCGCACTATGGCGTACGTTCCTCTTCCCTGTAACCTAGGATCGGCCTCAGAAACCTAACTCAGTGTATACAACGAAACTCTCCGCATGTTCTCAGCTGTACGTATCACTTACGACCCAGTGGGTTCCCTCAACTCACTGCGGATTAGATACCTATCATCCCAAAGGTTGCAACTGAGGACACAGTCTTAACTGCCGGAAATGCTGCCGGAGAAACGAAGAAGATTCCCGTTCCTAAAGGGACTCGAGTCACTTTCGACGTTCCTGGAATCCACTATAGCCGTACGTACCCTTGTCCACCCTTCAAGTGCAGATTAGTCCGCCCCAACTGGCAGACTTGCTCTTACCGTTATTATTGACATATAGCGCGATATTGGGAAGACCCACTGGACTTCAAACCCGCCCGCTTCCTCGACCCCAACTGGCCTCGAGAGGCCTTCATACCCTTTAGTGTAGGCCACCGATCGTGCATCGGACGACGGTTCTTCGAAGTCGAAGCCATCGCGACAATGGTGATGCTGCTGTCCCGGTACAAAATTACGATCAAGGAGGAAGAAGAGTTTAAGGGAGAAACGTGGGAAGAGAGGAAGGCGAGGATTCTGGCGTGTACGCTGGGGGACACATTGACGTGAGTGGCGGTTTAGACATTGAACATTGTGCTTTAGAACTAGGAGGGCTGGCGTTGATGTCGTCTATTTCAGGGCGAAACGGGTTCCTTTGACGTTTGTGAAACGCTGAGCCAGGGATAATCGTGATAGGAGGATAGGATAGCATTTGAGACCTCTTTACTCGAGTCAATATCCATTGTCATGCTTAAAGATAACGTTCTGCAACGATTTGAAGAGTAGTAGAAAGTTGGCAACGAAGTTGTTGCGGCCCGGGGTTTGTCCGCCCTTTTGTTTGTCCAACCGTCCTGCGAACTTCGATACCTGGCTTCGCTGAACCTCTCTCGAAGTCAGTAGGGCAGCTGTACTGAGCGGTACTTCGCCTCCGAGTTTTTAAATTCAGCCCCGTCCTTCAGTCTTCAGATGCTCATCGTCAAACGTTGGATTCCGCGGCCTTTCGTATCAGTTTTGCATTGTTACTCTCTCTTGTCACCGAGAAAAATGGACCACAGATCTCAAAGTCCAAGCACGATGGCAGCTCAGGTTCTGACCTCAGGCCTGCGAAGACTCTGAAAGTCTTCGAACAGGTCAGATGTTTCGTCTTTGGTTTCTTCCAGAGATTGAAACCCCGGGCCAGCGACCAGCTTTCAAGAGCTCTACGCCCAGGGGCAAAACATACGGACTGAACTGGATGACACGGGGAGCAAAGAGGGGAACAAGAAGAGGTCAATCATTTCCATGTGTCGGAGCAAAGGGGATGGATTAATCAAAGTTCTTGATTGATACATACCTTTTTTGAGGGGCCCCTGCAGTTCCCCATCGACGGAGTTTGGAGACAGTGGTCCCCGTCGCCCTCCCCAGCTCAGGGGTACGCCCAAGCATGGGAATTGGATCCGTGGGGGGGGATTTCCCCCCCCCCCCCCCCCCTTGTTCGGAATCCATCATTCACGTCGTTCCAATCCAGCAAAGTTTGAGTAAACCAACGTAACTCTGCGGGACTCCAATGTGCCGTTCTTCTCGCCGCCGACGAGGCCTTAGCTCGGGAGTGACGTTCTTTGGTGTTCAGGGAAAATTGCATTCAGTGTGGGCGCGTCTGTGGGTATGTGATAGCGGTCTTACGAAAGTTGTATCAAAGTGTATATAATGTAAAGCTTCGAAAATTGGACCCTGGTCAATTTTTCCTACCGGCCCTGTCGCATGCAATGGGAATATATGCCCCTACGCTAGGTTCGCTTGTATCTCCATCCTTCGGAATTTGCAGTGCTGAGGCCGGGTTTCCACGATCAACCTAATAGGTGCTCTTCTAGCGGGAGTTTTCTGTACGTGGCGTATGCTCTCTGCACAAGAGCTTCAAACGAACTAATACATGGTTTAAACAGTGAACACATGGTTCTATGGTATCGTCACTTATCAATACGCTTCGTACTATGCCTCAAGTAAGGACCATCGAATATTCTAACAAGTCCCTGCTCATGGTTTCAATTGCGAAAGGTTATAGCACCACCGATGCCAATTGGGTCAGGTTTGTGGAATGCGCTCGTTCCTCTCTTCCTTAACCCGGTTTTAACCCACTCATAGATTCACGGTACTGGGTCTGTTCCTCACAGATACGTTCCACAGTATCTCAATCATGTACATGGTCTGGATATACGCGTGAGCCCCACTCCTTTGCTTCATCCCATCGATGAGTTGAAGGGACTGATTGGAGGATCGACTGCCGATGCTTTCCGTTCTCAGAGTCGATGGATATGGGATGCCGGAAACGCTGTTAGGTACTTATATCAGTCTGAACCTACCATTTTTTCCAATCACTGATCATCTGTCCCAATCGTTTACCCAGTAATTCATTGGCCCCTGCCGCTCTCTGCTGTGTCTATGTCCATCATCGCGCTGCTGGTCCAACTATTCCTGTCGTACCGGTAAGCAGCTTCAATTCGCCTCCATTTCGCTGTGCCTCGCTTACACCTCTCGTGCTAGGATATACCTGTTCTCTAACAGAAACAAGATCTACTTTGCAATGCTAGCCGCCATATCGCTTTGTGGATCCGGATTGCGGTTGACCCTAGCAGTGAGGGTGTGGCAGGCCGGAACGTAAATTAACATCCTTCATCTTCTGGGTGTTCCTGTGCTGATACCCTTGCTAGCATGCCCGCCTTGGTGTCCATTAACGCAATCTTGACCGCATGGCTTTCCCTGGAGGTTACCATTGATATTCTGATAGCTGGTACGTCGGTCGCTTCAAACGATAGACGAGGCTCATCCGTTCTGCAGGTATCTTATTATACGTGTTTCGAAGAGCGTCGACGGGCCTTCGACGTTCGGACGCGGTCTTGAGAAAGTTAATGAGGCTATCGTTACAAACAGGTCAGCACACTATCTCGACGCGAACCCAACATGTCCACTTACCTTGGGAATCCTTAGGGTTATGCACTGCAATTTTCGCGGTTATGTGTATGATATTGAGGCTGGCACTTCCCGACACCCATTTCTACCTAACTGTTGGATTCTCAATATGCCGTGTTTATACCTGCGTAAGTCCGTCTCCTCTGGCCTGGGCTCCGAGCTCGTTCTAGCTCACAGGCGCCCTCAGACCCTCATGGATACCTTACTGAGCCGGCGGGAGCTAAGAACCATTCTGGACGGCGGTGCAACCACCGGCAATGATGGGGTGAGTAATGTAAGATGTATCGAGTTTTTGGTTCGGTGCTTACCTCGGCAAACAGGGTGTAAGCATCTTCATGACTCTTCCCGGTCCCTCTGTCGCGCAACCGGATCGTCACCGCGACATCTCAGGCGGATCTGAAAGTAGGGGAGGTTTCGAAATGCAGACCCATAGAATACAAGTACTCTCACATAAAAGCTCAGATGACTCTGTAAAGCATTAGATCTCCTGTATTAGATAGAGCTTTAACGCATAATTCATTGCGACTGTACCGGTACGTCTACTCGTATGAGCTCATGTGTCGCCCCTATCCTTTGCGACGCGACGCGTTCGTCGCGTCTGTCACATTTTGTCACGTCTTGCAAGTGTCACGCTTCGACGAGTCTGGCGCGCTGTCCAATGTCTCGCGTCTCATTTCTTCGATTCAGCAGTGTGTTCTGGTCGAGACTTAGGGCTGCGAAAGTAACCCACATTCGATGCTAGTATGGTGGGGGAGTGTCGATTCTACTAATGCGGGGAGCACTGAGGCGCGGGCGGCTAGACTTCCAAGCGTATTCGGGAATCGGTAGACCGGTGACCGATCGCTCTATGAGCGATAAAGCTAGAATCGATGATTCTCTTCCCAGTTTCAAAAATCTTCATTCTTGGGCTGGTTACGAGTCTAGGGAATCGGCTCGTTGCTCCTCAATTGCAAAAAGCGTATTTATAGACCGTCACTTGTCTTCACTTTGGGCCGGTGCTAGGTTGAAGCGGCGCGCTAACAAGCGACTTAGTGTTGCGTAAATTCATCAAATTCCAGGTTCTTTACGGAAGACATTGCGTACACACACCTCGCGCCTAACTATATAATGGACGAGGTGGTTTCCTTGCGTGACACTACTCCATTCCTTCCCTTCTGCGTCCGTCCAACGTAGCATGGGATCCGGATATGCATCGACTTTAGGTTCGTTTCACGCCGCTTATAAAGTGGGTGCCACTGATAGCTGACTTAGAGATCCTGTGTAGGCTCCGTGTTCGTTGGCGTCTTGGGCACGTCCATTTTTGGGATCTACTGTGGGCACGTCGTATACTGACACGGATGCGAATTGAATTCTCCAGTCACAATTTATCTGCACGGGATTGCGACAGCCCAATACGCCTCTTACTATGCCTCAGGTATGACCTCTTTCGTTCCTCCTGTGAATGGGACGATTCAACTGAACGTCGGGCGAAAGAGGCTAGTAACAACGACCCTTTGTGGGTCCGGTAAGTCGTACGCTCTTCGTGCGATTGATTCATTCCGAACGTTTCCCTGGTACCGTTCTCAGACTCACTGTCTTTACTCTATTCATTGGCGACAATTTCCATACCATCGCCATCGCGTACCTGGGGTGGATTTACTTGTGGGTGGGGTTTGCCTTCATTGGACGGAGCCCGTGGGCACTGACACTCTCCACGTCAGAATCGATGGGTATAGCAATCCTGCCAGGCTGCTGGGTTCGTTGACAATGCAGTCAGGCTAACCACCGGCAGTTTCTAACCTTTGAGATAGAGATAGCATGGCCGCTTCCCATGTCGGCCAACATCATGGCTCTTACAGCGTTCATCGTTCAGCTGTTCCTGTCATATCGGTGCGTCTAACGTTTCGGGTTACACTCGAGAGGACGTTGACCTGTCGATCAGGATATACCTATTCACCGACAGGAACAAACGTCTTTTAGCGTTCTTGGTGCCCCTCTGTATCGCGAATTGCTGTCTTGGCCAGGGAGTTGCGGTCAAGGTTTGGCAGGCGGATAGGTGCGTGGCTTGTGGAGTCGGAGTCCACTGAGCCAGCGTTGACCGAATCTCCGTAGCATTGCCCATCTGAGATCGGCCCATGGATTCCTGACCGCATTTCTTAGTCTGCAGGTGGCTACCGACATACTTCTGGCGGGTGAGTGGTTCTTCAACATGGCGCGAACGACTGAAGGGTGAGCATTTCGACAGGTTGTTTGATATACATATTGCACGAGAGAAAATCTGCAGCATTTAGGGCCTCTGAGAGAGCGCTGAACAGGCTGATGAAGATATCACTTCAGACAGGTTCGCCATTTGGTTCTTCTTCATGACATGGTCTTACCGCCCCTTCTAGGTCTGTGCACGGCCATTTTCGCACTCATGTGTCTCGTACTCTGGCTTGCGCTACCCAAGACGCAGTATTACATGATTTTTGGCATTCCAATTAGCAGAGTGTACACATGCGTGAGTTCCTGATGTTCTCCCTTCCCAAGTACCTAGGGATAACGATTATCAAGACCTTGATGGACACACTTTTGAGTCGGAGACATCTACGGAACATCTTGCAGTCGTCTGGCAGCGTGGTAGGAAGTTCCTATTGGATGGGACTAACTATTAACTTACGCCCTTGTGCTATAGACCGATGTTGGCATTTTTGGACTTCAAGACAGTAGTACCCTGACGAGGCCTTCGGACTGTGAGCGTCGGCTCAGCCAACGATTTCCACTTTCAGAAAGGCGTCCAGTAACCACAATACAATTCCGGACTAGCAGTGACTTAGAGCTAGATAAAAGATAGTGTATTCTCCCATAGTGTAGATCCTATAATTACATTTTCCCCCATCTGAGGTTGGACGGTATAAATAGGAGTAGTCGCGTCACGCTAAGCAGTGCGACGCGTTTGTCACATTTTGAGTCACACATGTCACGTTTTGATCGAGCGCGTTCTGCAGCCCAGGCGCGATTGCTTGGACCCGAACCCTCACCTCATCATCGGCGACGACGAGCACGATGGTGAAACGACCCGCAGCGCTCTCCGACTCTGAGTCCGAGGGCGACCAGGCATCCAAACGCGCGCGAACCACGGATCTCAGCGACGACGAGGACTATGAAAATGGTACTCAAGGGCGATCTACCCAACGCAAAGGAAAAGGCAAAGCAAGGGCCCAAGATGACAATGAAGGCGAAGGCAATCAACAAGGACCTCGCGCAGCCGCCGTCGACGCGGACCAGGAGGAGATAGACGCTCATTTTGAGCGCGAAAACGCTGAAAAGCTGTTCCAGATCATCATACGCTCAGAGGGCACTTCACAGAAGGTTTTTCTTCCCCGCCTTTGTTCAATAGATGGACCGCTGATGGCCCATGCACAGGGCATCTCTGAGTACGGTATCATCGAGGCTGTCCATATGGTCGACTTTATGTGTCACGAGAAGTTGAGCTTCGAGTTTGGCCCTCAAATTAATTTCATTATTGGTGCGTTTGAGACAAGTTCGTTGGAGGTATATGCGCTCAATTATGGTGACTAGGGCACAACGGAAGTGCGTATCCTTCAAAACGCGAACATGGACGTATTAAGAACGACTTCTACAGGTGGAAAGAGTGCTGTTCTGACTGCGTTGGTTATCGCGCTGGGCGGTAAAACCGCCGCGACTGGTCGAGGGACTGGTCTAAAGACTTTTATTCGGGAAGGTCGTCCGTACGTCTATTTCCTCACAGTCTCTTTCTCATGGCCTCACACGCACTCAGGTGGGCGGAAGTCACGGTCAAGATCAAGAACCAAGGCTCCGACGCATACAAACACGATCAATACGGCAATTCTATCATCATCACCCGTAGATTCACCAAAGATGGCTCAGCGACCTGGAAAATCATGAGCGAACATGGAAAGGTCATCAGTAATAAGAAGGATGAGCTCTCCAAGATCTGCGACCATATGAACATCCAGGTGGACAACCCAATGAACGTTCTTACTCAAGGTACCGTCCCCAGTGTTCGTACCCTCTATTCGACCTGACTCATTCTCGTTTCCCAGATTCTTCCCGCCAGTTCCTCAGCTCGTCGTCCAGCGGCGACAAATACATGGTACTCCTCATCTTTGATTAGCTTCCCCAGGTATTGACGTGTACTCCTAGTTCTTCCTCCGAGGGACGCAGCTATTCCAACTCGCCGAGGACTATGACGAATGTCTGGAAAACATCAGCAAGACCTACAAACTCCTCCAAGAAAAACTCAAAGCGATCCCCGACTTGAAGGCCAAGTTCGAGCAATCCAAGAGGAAGTATCAAGAGGCCGAGAAAGCACGAGAACACAAGCAAAGGCTGGAAGATCTCAAAAAGGAGTTGGCGTGGTCTCATGTCGCCGGAAAGGGCAAGGAGCTGACGGAGAAGAAGATGGAAATCGCGAGACTGAAGAGCAAGATCCCCAAAATCCAAGAGAAGCTAACTGAAGCGGAGGTGCGTTTCGTTATCTGATGCACGAATCGTCGTTGATAATAGTCTACAGACGGAGCATTCAGAATGGGAGGCCCGAATCAAAGAACTTGAAGCCGAGGTCGACGCGCTCGGCGACCAGGACCTTCTCGCAGGACGCAAGGCCAACCTCACGCAAGAGATCAAACAAAACTCCAGCAAGTTGCTGGGCTATTCCAAGGACATGAAGAGGATGGACGAAGAGATTAAGACCCTCAACCGGAAGATCTCTGAGAACCAAGCGAAGCTCGAGGAGGAGAACGCCAAGTTACTTGCCAACACCCAAGCCCAGCGCGACGCTCTCGACGCTGAGATCCAGTCGGTTCAAGAAGATATCGCCAAGTACGAACGACAGCTCGAGGAGATCACTCAGGAGAAGCGCGACCTTGACACCAAAAAGCGAGAATGCCAGCAAAAGGGACATGATCTCGAGAAGGAGAAAAGGGAGCTGCAAAATGCGATCATGAGCTGCGACAATTTGATCAGGGATGCTCAACGCATGGCGGCGGACAAGTACGTCCCATATGGTCACAACATCAAGGATATCTGCCAAAGGATCCAGGGGATGAACTGGTACGGCGACGTCCCTCTCGGTCCTCTGGGCTTGTACGTTCGGGCCAAGGACCCCGCGAGGTGGGGGAAGCTGTTGCGTATCCAGCTCGGCGGGTTCCTCATGTCGTTCGTTATCACGGATGCTCGGGATCGTCCTCAGCTCAGCAAGTTGCTGAAGGACTATAACAAGTGCGGCGTTTCATTCTTGCCTCTACTTTCGCTGACACTTCGCGCCTATAGCCACAACCAGATCATCATTTCGCAGAAGGATATTTTCGACTACAGTTCTGGCGAGCCGGACCAGAAGTATCTCACTGTCCTCCGCGCGCTCGAGGTAACGTTCTTTCTGTGTTTCAGTGAGCACGGTGTTGATGTCTTGTCTAGATCTCTGAGCCATTCGTCACGCGTGTCCTGATCAATCAGGCGGCGATCGAGCGAGTCGTGTTGAACCCCGAGCGTAAAGCCCTCGAAAACCAATTATTGGAGATTGGAGGGCAGCAATCGGGTTGGTCGGCCGACCTCTTCACCGTCCGTACTTATGGGTGCGTAGCTTGTGCCTCAATGAACTCGTAGTCACTGATACCTCCTGCAGACAAGACGGTATTGTCACCAATCCAATCCAAGACAGACGGTCCAATTCGCTTCTTCTGACCGGTCGTGATAACGCTTCCGAGATTCGGTAAGCTTTTTGTTCGCAGCTCGATCTGACAGCGACGCTCATCGTTCGTCAAGTCATCATGAAGACGAGAGGCGACGACTCGAAGAGAAGCTCAGGGCAAAAGACCAGGAAATGCTAGGGTACAAAAATCAGTTTGGTCAGGCGATGAAGAGTCTCCAAGAGCTCAATGTCAGTGGTCGATTTGTCCTTCCGAGTGCAATGGGATGTTGACGACATTTTCTAGAAATCTGAAACGAAAATCAAGGACTTGCGCGTCCGGGCTCAGAACAAGCTTGCCAGTCTTCAAAGCGAAATTTCTACCGACTTTCCGTCCATTATCCATCACTTGAAAGCTACGATTGAGGTGCGCTCTTGTCAATTTATGTTCGGAGACACGGTGTTCACTGACTTGCCGCGTGTTACAGGAAGCTGAATCGGAGAAGGCGACGTTGAAGCAAAACTTTGAGGAGGTGATGAAGAATAAGGCAGAGGTTGACGAGCAGCAGCAAGGGCTCCAAACTCAGATGAACGAGGTCAAGCAAAAGTTGGAGGAGTATGCGGCGAAGAAAGCGGAGTATGGGGTAAGTACCACCGTATGTGTTTTTACTGCTCTGTGTGCTCATTCTTCGACTGTAGGAGAAAATCTCGTTGGCTGCTATCGAACGTGTGAAGAAGCAGCAGGCTGCCAAGCATTACGGTAAAAAACTTGAAGAGGCCAAGGAAGAGGTTAGACAGGCGGAGGAGCAGGGCGATGTTCTTGAACAGGAGTACCAGGTGAGAGTGATGCTTGGTTGCCCGACGGGGCTGGTCGGTTGACTTGCGTTTTGAACAGAATTGGACCGAGGCGGCGCTGAAGTTTTGTGAAGAGTGGCCGGAACCTAGGTCGACCGAGGAGGTTCAGAGGAATATCGATTCGACGAAGGCTGCTCTGCAGGAGCGTGAGAAGAGGTGTGTCCGTCTCCCCATGGTCTTCGTTTTCATGTATTCCTAACCTCCATTTCAGACAAGGAGCCTCGATCGACGAACTCGCTGCGCAGCTGGCCAAAGACAAGGATACCCTCGAGAAAGCGCAGAATGACCTCCAGGGTCTGTATGACCTGAACAATGCGCTCAAGTCGTCGATGGAAGCGCGGACGCATAGGTGGCACGAGTTTAGGAGGCATATCGCGTTGAGGACGAAGTTGATTTTCCAGTACAACTTGTCGAGGCGTGGGTACTATGGGAAGGTTATTTTCAAGCATAGCGATCAGACGTTGCAGTTGAGGGTGAGTCCACCGTGTTTTCTGTATGGGAAGGAAGGAGGACTGATGTGCTGTGACTCGTGTTTGTCATGTTGGTGGTGGTTGTAGGTGCAAACGGACGACCAGGCTGTGCAGGGTAGTGCGGAGAAGGATCCCAAGGTGTTGAGTGGAGGTGAAAAGTCGTTTTCGACGATTTGTTTGTTGTTGTCACTTTGGAATGCGATTGGCTGTCCTTTGAGGTGTCTTGGTGCGTTTTCTTTTTCTCTCTTTTGTGTTGTGGAGGTGTTGGAATGGATGTTGATCGACTTTTAGATGAGTTTGATGTGTTCATGGATGCTGTGAATAGGCGGATTAGTATGAAGATGATGGTGCGTTTCCATGTTTTCTGCAGTTCGTTACCTTTGGACGCTGACGCGGTTTGGCCATCCAGATCGAGACTGCCTCTGCGTCGCCTGACAAGCAGTATATCCTTATCACGCCTCAGGATATGACGAACATCCATATTGGCAGTAATGTCAAGGTGCATAGGATGCAGGATCCTGATCGGCGGCAGGGACGGTTGAGGTTTGGGGCTGCGCCTAGTAATGATTAGTTGGTACTGCCACTGGTGTCTACGGGCACTCAGGGTCGTAACAGCTTCTGAAACTCTGACCCATCGTGCTCCCTTGGATCTCGAGGTCAACGAGCGCAACTGAATGGCGAGACTGATGCACGACTGGCTGTTGCTCTTTACATTCTTAATCACCGGTTTAATCGTATTTTCTCTGTTGTACATATTCTCTAGTGTAAATGCTTTTCAATACTTTCTTGCACTTTTCTACTGTAATTCGAGTCCCGGTTGGAGATATGCAACGATTTGGGGATGGAGATCGTCGCCTCGTGGATCCCTTGCGGAGTTCTCGAAGGGGTCTCATGACGCTAGACTGTGGGCGGTGATTGTATGTACTTCCCGCGCAGCACCTATTTTACTCTTCAACCACGATGTTGTCCCTCCCTCCTGCCTACTACCGACACCCCTACCTGTGCCCTCTTCCAATCGATGTGAAACGTTGACGGCAATCGCCAACCCCTTCAAAGCTCTTGGCGCCTCGAGGACGACGCGATGTTGGATGGCGAAGGAATCGAAGACGACTTGGAATTTGCTTGTCTGACTTCATCTCTTTCGTTTTCGCTGCTTGGGTTCTCGTTATCAAGTCTCTTGGTTGTTGACATTGTTGACATGAATCTGTGCCCAAGGAATGTCCAAGAAGTCTTGCATGCCGGAGCCGAGAGTGTCGGGGTTGGGTTGTTCGACGCCAGTTGGGTGCAGAAGCTTCGCCGTCGCTGTCGGTGGTTCAATTTCTTAACTGGCGTTTGGATTGTTGGGTTCGTTGCGTGTCGCCACTTTACTACCATGGTTTGGAGCTAGAACCTGAAGGGGAGAGGAGTGCGAGATTTGAGTGGGGGTTTGTTCAATGTTATGCTCAGAAAAGTCTTGGCGAGACTTGTGTATTCCCCAGCCAAGCGAATTGGCTCGAGTTCGCCCCCCTTTTTCTTTCTTCTTTAGACGACAACACGTCGCTAACACACGCCCCCTCCTTCCCTTCCTCATCCCTTCCTTTCGTCTGTAGCCCAGTATAATAGTCCTCGTTGACTAGGGGCTCTCTATTCCTCTCCTTTCTTTTATAACCTTTTTTCTCTTTTTTGGTTCGTGTTCCGCAAAGCACGTACTCGACCTCACATCGTTTGAGGACGTGACAGGTGTCTTTGTCTTGTGCGGACTCGAACATGTCGCATAACCCCCAGCAATCTGTAACGGGCGGGGGCGCCTACGACCCGCTCCCCCTCACCGGCGGCGAAGGACACCAACCGCGGTTTATGGGCCAGTACGACGCTGCCGCCTCGTCGTCGCAGCAGAGCCTGCAAGCGCCATCCGAGTATGGCTCGGCCCACCGCCTCAACGACGCCAACGACCCCAATGTGGCACCCTACCGCGACGACCCGAACGCCGTGCCCATGTCGCCCTTGGGCGCGTCTGCTGCTGCAGGAGGAGGTGGCATGATGATGAACGAGAAGGCTGGAGGAGGAGGCGGCGAGGGTACCGGTAGTGGACGCTCACGCCGCAAGATGGTAATCATCGGCGCCATCGTCGCGCTCATCATCATCATCCTCGCTATCATCCTCCCCGTCTACTTCACCGTGATCAAGAAGGACGACGACGATTCTGCTGGTGGGGACCGGGATAGCAGCAACGCGGGCGAGGACAAGGACGGGAGTGGGACGGCGAGGCCGAGTGGGAGTGCGAGCCCTGAGCCGGACGTTGAGCTGCCCCCTGTTACTGGCGGCGATGGGAGTATCATTACGATGGAGGATGGTACGACTTTTACGTATCGCAATCCGTTTGGAGGGTATTGGTATTATGATCCCAATGATCCTTTTAATAATGGGGCGAGGGCGCAGTCGTGGACTCCGGCGTTGAATGAGACGTTTAACTATGGTGTTGATAGGATTCGGGGGTGCGTGTTCCTGGTCTTGTTTCGTGTGGGGGATTTGAGCTGATGGACGTGGTGATGCAGTGTTAATGTTGGTGGCTGGCTTGTTACTGAGCCATTCATGTGAGTACGGTTTTTGTGGTTGGAGGGTGTTTCTCTGATGGTTTTGTTTCTAGTTCACCGGCTTTGTATGAGCGATATCTCAACGACCCTGCTGGACCTGCCATCGATGAATACGACCTCAGCTTGCGCATGCGCGCTGATACAGCCAACGGAGGCATCAACCAACTCGAGGAACATTATAGGACTTTCATCGTATGTTTTTCTTCCTTTCCTCCCCTTTGGAACCCCCGCTCATCATTGGGATTCGGGATAGACTGAGAAGGACTTTGCTGATATCGCTGGTGCCGGTCTGAACTATGTCCGTATTCCTATTGGTTGGTGGGCCGTCGAGACGCGTGGCGATGAGCCTCACTTGGAGGGTGTTTCTTGGAAGTCAGTCGCTCTTTAACCTCTATCCCTTTCGCCCTTCTCATTGACGTTCCGTTTTCTTTGTCAAACAGCTACTTCCTCAAGGCGATCAAGTGGGCTAGGAAATACGGTCTCAGGATCAACCTCGATCTTCACGCTGTACCCGGAAGCCAGAACGCCTGGAACCACTCGGGCAAGTTTGGCAGCATCGGATTCTTGCACGGTCCTATGGGTTACGCCAATGCGCAGAGGACGCTCGATATTATTCGTGTTCTTGCCGAGTTCATCTCGCAGCCTCAGTATAGGGATGTCGTCACCATGTTTGGTATCCTCAATGAGCCTTTGGGTGATCCTATGGGCTTTGATGCTCTCGCTCGATTGTGAGTTGGCCCTTCTCTTTGCATAATGTACGGTTGCCTCATAGGTTTCCTCTAGCTACATGGAAGCCTACACCATCATCCGCCGCGCAGGCGGTATCGGCGAAGGCAACGGCCCCTGGGTCTCCCTCCACGACGGTTTCTTCGGCCGCGACCGCTGGTCCGGCGTCTTCCCCAACGCCGACCGCCTCGCGCTCGACGTCCATCCTTACCTCGGCTTTGGCTCTCAATCCTCCGCCCCCATGTCCTCCTACGCCGACACGCCCTGTCGCGCCTGGGGCCGCCTGGTGAACAACTCGATGGCGGCGTTTGGGTTGACGACGGCGGGTGAGTGGAGTAATGCAGTGAATGATTGTGGGTTGTATTTGAATGGGGTGAATTTGGGGACGAGGTATGAGGGGACGTATACCCCTGGGTCGTGGCCGCGTGTGGGTGATTGTAGGGATTGGACGGATTGGACGAGGTATACGCCCGAGTTGAAGAGGGAGATTAGGCAGTTTACGTTGGCGTCTATGGATGCTCTTCAGGTGCGCTCCAAACCTGCCTCTCACGAGAAGCTAATACTGACGATGGATTCCACAGCACTACTTCTTCTGGACCTGGCGTATTGGCGACTCGCTCGCCAGCGGCCGCGTCGAAACCCCCGCGTGGTCCTACGTCCTCGGTTTGCAAGAAGGCTGGATGCCGACCGACCCACGCGACGCCGATGGCGTATGCAATAACATCGCGCCCTGGACACCCCCTCTCTCCGTCGGCTCCGGTGCCATCCCCGCCTCCGTCACCTCCGCCCTGTCCTGGCCTCCTCCAGCGATCTCCAACGGCGGCCCCATCGAGGTCCTGCCTTCCTACACCCAAACCGGTGCTATCCCCACTTTGACTGCCACCCCCGTGGAGGCTGCGCCTGGTGAGACGATTACGCGTACGGTGGATGTTGGTAGTGGGTGGAATAATCCGGAGGATAGTGAGGGGTATGTTGCTGAGGTTGAGGGGTGTAGTTATTTGGATCCGTGGGTTACGCCTGCTGCTGCGCCGCCTTCGCCGCTTTGTGTTGGTGTGGCGAGGAGGGGGATGTTGGGGAGGGGTGTAGTGGAGGCTAAGGCTACGCCTGCTCCGTAAGGAGGGTTGTTCCTGTATATGTGCTATACCTGCTTCGTAGAGGTGGGAGTTGTTTTGGTGAAGGAGGATGGGGAGAGTGTTGTGATCTAGTGTGGATGACGGTATATCCGCTGTGTTGCTTCTTGTTTTACTCGAGTCTCTCGTTTATTTTTTGGTCTTGCTTCGGTTTTTGGATTCCCAAGTACCTTACGCCATCTTTCTATACGCATGGACGTTCTCGTTTATTTTTCCCTCCTGGACTTGCTCTATGTATACTTAACAATACAGATACGCAGTACATATCTGCTTATTTACTAACCGACCCTATTACTTACTTGTTGGGTGGTTTTAGTTATTGGCTGATCTACTTTTGGCCGATCTAGTTTGCTGACTGCAGTCTGTCGTTTACGTGCATTTTTTCCTTCGTTCTATTTCCTTAGTCGTTGCGCGCTTTGCGCGATTCAGAGATCTACGTACATGTATAGCGTCGTTAAGCTTCGACAATTTAGGAGCGTCCCTGAATTGGCTGTGCGGAAAGTGCATGTGTACCAATCGAGGTCTCCGTGCATAACTCTCACCAATACCGAAATTTATGGTCGGTCGTTTCCTGGAGGCTGGGAAAGCAAAGGCGTGTGCGGTGTCGCGTTGACGCGCGGTGACCGTGACGCGAATCACCTCGGCAGTGCGAGGCTCACGAATTCCGACGCGCTCCATCGGGAGTTTTTTATATGACGACCACAACGACGACGGTCGACCGCCGTTTCCTCCTTTTTCATCTATCTTTTCTGCATTTCTGTTCTCTGTCGTCGTCGCTCGCTCGTTTGTTAGCTTTTTCCTCCTATTCTTCGAGGCGACGAAGGGACGCACCAACGGGATTTTCAGGCCGGACCCTGCACGAGACGCAGAAGCCTATCTGGGTACCCTGTCCAACGACGGTTTGTTACCGTTCTCAAGGAACGAACGAACCGACAACGTGCAAACGACGAACCATTTTGAAGACGTGAAAACTCGAGGCCTGCAGCGATAACCTACATGTCGTCGGTGGTGGCCTCCCTTGGCCTGCGGACTGGGAATGTGACTAGGGCGAGGATACTGGCTGTTCCCCTCGTCCGACCTAAACTCCCGTCTCCCTCCACTTCCTCCTCATCTCCTTCAAATTCCCATCCCCAGTCTGAACATAACCGGAATGTCCTCACCTACTATCAATTCCAACTATCCAATTCCGAAGACGGTGCAAGACCGGAAGATGGCGCCCTTGAGTTGAAAGATGGGAAGAGGAAGAAGAGGAAGGGCTGGATACCGAGAGGCGGGGTGTCGTCGTGGTTGCAGGCGAAAGCTGCGGAGTTGTGGGCTGGGTTTGGGAGGGCTGAGGGTGGATGGAAGGTATGTGTTTCTTGTTTCTTCTCGTGTTATTCTTATTGGGCTGACTGACTATGTTCGCTTCTGCTCTTTTTCTATCGGCTATTTTCTTTCTTCCTCGATGCGGCACTCGTTCTGGGCGTCCTCGCTCACCGCGTCTTTGGTTTCTCTGCGCCTGTTGACGTTGTGCCTGAACCTCTACTTCTCGACTGCAACAGCTCAAGACGTTCCAAATGGGCGAACGTATTATGGACAGACTGGATTTTGAAGAACTGGCGTTGAAGAGTATAGACCCGTCGATGGGTCCTACGGTCTCCCATCCGAGGTCGAATTTCATGCAGAGAGGAGAGAAGGGGTTGGTTTCATTCCAGGTGTGTTTCCCTTCCTCTTACTTCCTAGCAACCTACCACCCTCAACGATATATTTAACGATATATTTACTAAACTTCGGCGATGTATTCTTGCAGATACCCCTCCTCTACCCGCCCTCAATAACGCCACCCGAAAACGCGCTTGAGCAGTTACGCAAGGACGTTGAACACCGGACGCCTATACACCGCAAGGGGTTCTATACCTGGATGTTCCTCGCGCCTTTGACTACGCCTTTTATTATCGTTCGTGCGTGCTCCTTCCCTTCGTTACTCTGTGTTTTGTGTGACCTCTTTGCTGACCCGTCTTAATTGATGAACCCAACTGGTTGGAATAGCTGTGATACCTAATTTACCGTTCTTCTTTTGTGTGTGGAGGAGTTGGTCGCATTATAGAGGTATGTTGCGTTCAGTTTTGGGGGTTCACCGGTGGTATGGGATACAGGCTAATGCGTGTGTTGTGTATGATCAGCTTATAGATCCTCGCAATACCTCCAATCCCTCCTAGACAAAGACCTGATCGTGCCACAAGCGAGTCAAGTACTGGATAAACTCTACGAGGAGTACCATCCCTCAAAATCGCCCTTTGCTTCGGAATCATCCAAGGAGGCGCAGCAACCTGCTAGGATCTCGAATGGGTCTGCTACGTCATCGAGAAATGGAAACGGAGAGGGAGAGGGAGGATACGAGATGTTGTTGGCGAAGGAGGCGGTACCGGAGTTGGTGAGGAGGTTCGAGTTGAGGCCGGATCCGAGTGGGGACCTTTATAGGGCGCTGGAGCAGGCGAGGATGAGGATGGAGAAGGGAAAGATTTAGACGATGGGGAGTCCCATAGTCCAGATGGGGACGAGAAGAGGTTGATGTTTTTCCCCACCAGACCAGCTTCTTCATGTTAGCTGTCTCGTTACGCTGATGGGGAAGAATGCGCAGGGCGGTGAGTGGTGGGTGGTGGATGGTGGGTGCTTTGGCCCCAACAATGCTTCGCAGATGCGGGCATGGACTCTAGTACGCGCTCGGGAGGACTAGACGGTTACTCGTTCACTGATAGCGGACAGTGCGGTGCGCGGATCCCTTAGGCTTTTAGAATAATCGCCGCTTTTCATATGTTTATTTTTGTATCGACTAATTTGTCCACGGATACTAATCTACTTGGTTGAGTTCATGCGACTCCTCTTGCGGCCAGTCCTGGAGCCTTGGCTTGAGATCACAAGTGAAGAGGGGAAGTGAAGAAGAATGAAAGTTATTTATAGCCCGAGATGCCCGGGCCCCGGGGTAGAGATTGGCAGTGCACCCATCACCACCGCGCGGTTGGCCATCGCCGCTCACCATGTCGTGCCAGTTTCTTATCACTTTTCCTTCTTTCTCTCTTTCTCTCTCCCATATCCTCAGGCTGGTCCACCTACAACTCGCGTTTGGAACGCTATAACCTTTCTTTCGCTGGGCGAAACTGCTAGGACTTGAAGCTGGGCTACTACCTTTGATATTCTGTATCTGTGGATCAGATTCGGAAATCTACGAGACGAGAGAAGAAGAGAGAAGATTACATTGTGTTGGTTTGAAGCATGTTGACCGTGCTAGTGTCGTTGAAGGCGCTCGTTCTCACCTTGGCCATTGTCACGGTGGCGCTCGGTAGACCTTTAGGCTACAGACCGTCGCTGGAACACATCCTGGAACGGTCAGTGCTATTCCACATCCACCTGGCCTGGCTGCCAGTAGATAGGCGATAGTCACTGACGCATAGTTTCTCTCTTGCACTTGCACCCCCACTTTCATCGACACTCTCGATATATTATCGATCCTCGAATGTAGACGAGGATGTGGGACAGTCGTATCAGAGGAAGAGAGGTTCGGTATGGAGGAGACGTTGCGTCGGGTTCGGTCTACTACTCGACTCGAAGCGAGGGACCTAGACCTTTCTGGCATCGCCCCCGGTGGTCACAACGCGACCGTTAACTCGACCGCGACTATCGTGCCCCTCGAGCCTGTTTCGTTCGACGTTTATTGGCATGTTATCTACGCAAACGAGACGAAGGAGGGAGGATATGTCAGGTGAGTTCTTGGGTGTTTACATGGACAATAATGTGCAGGGGCGGGCGGGCGCTAACATAGATCCTCTTTCTGGTGGCTCAGCGACTCGCAGATTATGGAACAGATGAAAGTCATCAACGACGACTTCAAATCTGCGAACATCTCGTGGAATTTCAAGAATATTACGCGAGTGGAGAATGAGGATTGGTTTGTTAATGTGTGGCCTGGGTCGTACGTATCGTTCCCTTTGTTTTTGACTTAGTGTGCGTATGGGATGGGTTGTGCTGACGAGTTAATTGGAATGGTGGATGTGTCGGATTGTAGTCCTCAAGAACAAGAAATGAAAGCCAAGTATCATAAAGGAGATTCCACAGTCTTGAACATCTTCACCGCTCAGTACGTCTGTTCCCTCCCATCCCTCAATCTCTCCTCTAACCCCTAAACCAAGGTTCAACGCAACAACCAAAACCCTCGGCTTCGCCTCCCTCCCCTCCTCCTACCTCCGCGCCCCACTCTCCGACGGCCTCCTCATCAAACACACCACCCTCCCTGCTGGCTCGCACCCCAACTACAACCACGGCCGAACCATGACACACGAGTTGGGCCATTGGCTGGGGCTGTATCATACGTTCGAAGGCGGGTGTGAGGGTGTGGGAGATAATGTGGATGATACACCGCCGGAGGCGAGTGAGGCTGTTGGGTGTCCTGTTGGGAGGAGGAGTTGTCCGGGGAGTGAGATGGATGATCCTATTCGTGAGTTTCTGAATCCTCCTGTGATCAATGCTATGTAGATGTGGGTGTTGGATGCTGATGGATTCTTCTTTGGGGGCTGCTTGTAGATAACTTCATGGACTACTCCTGGGATACGTGCATGACGCATTTCACGCCTGGACAGGCGGTTCGGATGCATGAAGTCATCTGGGCGTATAGGACGAAGAGACCGCCTGTGGATAACTCTACTACCGCCGCCACTCCCCCTGCTGCTACCTCTACCACTATCTCTACTACTATCTCTGACTCTGCGGCAAGCTCCAGTTCGACAAGGTCTACCCCCATTCCGGTAGAATCTGGAGATGCTGGCTCAAGCGAGGAGGATGACTCTGAGGACGCTGAAGGAGAAGAGAAGGAGCATGCGGGGGATGAGGATGAGGATGAAGAGCAGGATGAGCCTAGGTGGTACTATGACGACTCTGACTACCCGTATTACTGATCTCAAAATCTAAAGAATCCACTGCCTTCGAAACGATTTGGCACTCGGGTGCCCTCGTATGGAGTTTCAGTTAACTATTCGAGCAATAAGCGATTAGGACTCTGAAATTGTTAGACGGCTACGTGCAGCACTCGTACACTTATTATAGCTCAGATGACAGATGGGTCTGAGACTAAACTTGAACAGCGTTACTGGAAGGTCCCTCGCGCGTGCAGTAGATATGATAATCGGCTTACTAGGCTACGAGACATGAAGGATGTACCAGCGGTCATATTATATATTAGTATTCATACGTGCACGACAGATGTAGCAGAAATGTTTTGAGACTTGAACAAAGAAGAGATAAGTACATACTCAAATTACATGATGAACAAAGAGATTGGCGGTAGGAAGGCATCAGCGCTCAGCTGCGATGGGTGCTTCGTCATCGTGTATGCGACCTGGTTCCAGTTTCCAACCGATGTCAATCGAAACAGCCCGATAGTATGTAGACAGAAATGAATACACTCACCACATGGTCCCAACCACGCTACGGAAACCCGAAATTTGCATCGTGACAACCAGAGTTGAGAGACGCGTTCTTCGTCACCCATGGCAATCTCAAGAGCAGCCGTCGTCGAAGTCTGGCAATTCGGAATGGGCGACGACATTGTTCAAGCGGCCTTCGCTGAGGAGCTGCCAAGACGCTCCGCCCTGGCCTCGTACCATTCGACCTCCGCGCCGCTGACTCCGTGGTCAGAGAGAATTTTGAGAATGTCGGGGGAGACATCTCGGGCACGTTCAGCAGTAGTGGTTCCAGGATGCGTACCAAGCCACACGACGATGGGGCCGAGATTCTCCTTTCCCTCCTCGTCGCAAGCAGAGAAGCGGACAGCTTGGAGCGATGCGTACTTGATACCGCCTGCATCGAGAACATGATCGATGATCTTAGGACCAACGGTATTGTTCCAGAGGTTCCTCGTGAGCACCTTGTCGAACGGCCCGTGTACGGTCTTTTTCGCGACTTTGAAAACTCGGTCCCCAGGCTTAGGCATCGGGAAGGGAGCTTTCTTGAGACTGGTGCGATAATAGAGCACGGGGACGTCGTTGTCGTCCTCGCAGATGCCGATGTAGTAGTTGTATTGTTCGAATGGGGAGACGAGATCGCCGCCAACGGGGGTGAGAGCACTGTCTGAAGGGACGGTGACTTCGGCGAAGGGACCGGAGGATTCGCTCGTCGTTGGGGAGACGGGGCCTGGGGAAGGAGCAGCAGAAATTTTATTGAGTGCGTCTTGCTTCTGGCAGTACACCATCAATCCAGTCACGACTAGACATAAAGCCGTAAGAGGTTAACCCCTGAAAAGAAAAAGGGGCTGAAAGACTCACAGCCTAAAAGCGAGGGCCGTGCCTTGATCTGGCTAATCGTCGTCGTAACAGACTCGGGAACATCTGAGAGGGTGGACGGTAATTAACTGAGGGAAGACCGTGTATAGTGAGCAAAACACTCGCCATCGCCTTTGAAGCCAGCTTCAATCAGCTCCTCGTCGGTAAAGTCGATGATTTCTATGAAAATTGGTCAACACTCGCGACTGAACAATGGTTTTGGGGATGCTCACTCTTGTCGGCAAGTTCGTCTCTAAGAGGGTGGTTTCCGGGCTCAGACATCTTTACGCGAGTAGGAGGATGAGGAATGAGTTTGGGATGAGTTTCAGATTTCTGCGAAATAGCACCACTGATGCCCAGCCCCGGATCAGGAAGCTGTTGTGTTTCTAAAGCGGAGATTGAAGGGGGCACTGGCGGCAATGGGTCGAAGTACCTGGTAGACTCGCGACAAGTCCGTACCTTTGCCGTCTTTGTCTACTTCTTAGGGTTGAATAACGCGCCTAGTATCTGACGCAGCGGGAAAATCTTGGTTTGTTCAGCGGCCCCATTGCCGGTCCCACGGCGAGTGGGGGACAAAATAGATCTGGGACGCCGGCGCTCTTTGGAAGTCGGCACGTTACGGCATCGTATCGGATCAACGGATCAAACACTTCGCAGGCAGCCTGGAGGCGAGTTTCGAGTGTTCGAAGGATTTGTACCTTGACCTAGTACTTAGTCTTAGTCTTTCAATCCTATTTATTGACGTCAAATCATCCGCTTGTTGTATTATTACGACCGCCCAGCACAGCAGCTGCTCAACATCGGACTGCCACGTTAATGCCTCGTGGATTTCGTCCGGCAAGCTGGTTAAATAACGTCCCCAGGACCTCACTTGTCTTTTAACATGCGACCACGACGCCCTCCAAGAGAGATGGTAAGATTCCTTCGTCAAATAATACAGATGTCTAATAGCAGCTGTCAATAGGCTCCAGCTAGGTTCCCATGTCAATCGCGCCCGCCAGTTCTAAGCGAAGATGGATGAATCCTCGCCGTTGGTTTCGACACGAGGCATCAACGTACAAGGGTGCCATCGCTAACACCTCTTGCTCTTCTTCCTCCCAGACTGTAGGGTCTCATCAACCGCAGAAAACTCCCTCCTTCAAGAGTGCAGAAGAAGGGGAATCGACGCAGCATGCAGTGGAGGACCGTGCGGATTCGGGCTCACGAGTGAACAAGCCCATGTCCGTAGCCAAGAATACTTTCATTGAAACCTTGGATTTGCTCGTCAGGTTCTCCGATGGCATGTCTATACCCATCAAAGGACCTCTCTCGCTCGTCCAGGGTCTGGTAACGCAGGCTAAAGTATGTTCACGACATGCTGTTAGGGTTGCCGCTAACTGAATCGCAAAACAGCGTATAGGTGCCAACAGGGAGTCGTTGAATGAGTTGCAAAGGCATTGCCATAGCTTGGCAACTATAATCAAGAGCGGCTTGAGCGAAGTGAACGAGTCAGTGCTGCCGGAGCCCTTGAGCAACATGCTGGAAAGGCTATCAAAGTGAGTTCCTTGATCTCTTTCTGGGCATTTTGTAAGTGAGACTGACTGGCGATTGGGCACCATGGAAGAGAGATGTCTGCAGCACTGGACCAAATGGGCATCACAGACACGAGCCTTATTTTGGCGTTTGTAAATGCCCGTGAAGTAGAAGAGCTAATCGTGACAATCGATCGGATAATTCAAAGGTCTATCGCGAAGTTTTTGGTATGATGTCCCGAGTCTTCTTGAAAAGCAATACTGGTGAACTGACGAACGGGGTCACAGGTCGCCATTGGTGTCCACGACAGCATCCGGCTCTCCAAAGTCGACCTGAAGATACGGCGAGTCTACTACGACGACGTGCAAAGGCGCCTCATGGAACGCATCGTCAGCGAGGCAATTTACGATGGCCTGGATCGTGACCAGCCGATGGCACAGTGCAAGGAGGGCACTCGCAAGCATCTACTGGCGCTCTTCGCGGACCGAATCAACAACTTCAATGGGAAGCGATGCGAGGTGATATGCGTCACTGGCGCAGCTGGATCAGGGAAAACAGCGATCATGCGTACGACAGCCAAACGGGCGGATGTCGAGGGGAAGCTTGCAGCGAGTTTCTTCTTCTGGGCGAACTCGAATACTCGAAACACCTATCGCAGCCTTGTAACCACGCTGGCGTATGGGCTCGTCGTCAACGTTCCTCCCCTCCGGTCTTTCATCCTGGACGCCTTTGCCAAGGACGAATCCATTGCCGGTGGAAGGAGCTTGGAGAAGCAGTTCAGGTCGCTGATTCTGGAGCCAGTGCAGAGAGCGATGGAGCTCGGACTGCTCCATGAAGATTGGCCCAAGCTCATCAGCATCGACGGCTTGGACGAATGCAAGGGTGAAGAGGAGCAACGCGAGATTGTCCAAACCATCGATGTCGTCTTCCTTGATCCCAAAGTCAACTTCCCCTTCCTCATCTCCTTCTCAAGTAGGCCCGAAGCACCTGCTCGATTCGCGCTCGAGCATCTCTTCGCGGGCCACCTCGAGCACATCAATCTAAACAACGAGAAGTACAGCGCAACAGCGGACATTATGCAGTTCCTTGTGGATGAATTCGCAAGAATCCGTCGCGAGCACGCAATGGGGCGCCTGCTACCTGCTGTCTGGCCTTCGTTGAGAGATCTCGAGCGACTTGTGGACAATTCCTCTGCACAGTTCATCTACGTGGCCACTATCATCAAGTTCATTGGTGAACTACGAGCTGATCAGGCTAGCCGACTGAAGATGGTTCTGGAATGGGTCCCATCGTCTTCAGGGACCAGGAACCCGTTCCAGTCCTTGGACGACCTGTATACAACGATCTTGCTCAAGGCTCAGACGGAGTACGAGAAGAATTGCGACGATGTCGACGTAGACCCGCAGGCCGTTGTCAAGCTGCTTCGCTGGGTCGTTTCACTCAAATGGGTCGAATTTGATAGCGGCATTGAGCCATACGAGTCGGCTCTCCTCCTCAAAGCTGGAACCATCGAGAAGACGTTCTACGATATCCACTCCCTCATCGATGTCAAAACGCTGCAGCTCTATCACAAATCACTTACCGATTTCCTCTCGGACGCAGCCAGATGCCCCCCGCAGCTGTTCATCCCGGTTCACTCCATCGTCAATCGGTTGGCACATTGCGCGATTGCTTCATTCGATCGTGTGCTGATGGCGAAGACGCGAGGTGGGTACCCATTCCGTTAACTGAAGGAGCTATATGAACCATCACGCCATTTACAGCTACCTCTTTCGACGAGGTTGGCAACAAAATTGTTGAGCCCGCGGAGGTGTTCAATAATGACTGTTTCGACAACGTTGATCTCGATACAGAGATGCTTTGCGACTATCAGTGATTTTGTAGCTCATTTCGAGGGGTATTTCGAGCTTTCGTTCGAAGACCTGATCGATTACTCGCTCTATGTGCCAAGCGCTCTGCTATATTTCTTCGACCGCATACCACCTCAGGTGGGGGAGCAAATCAAGCGAGGCGAGGTATGTCACTCATGTCTACCGAAGGGACCTTTCTTATTTGCTGGACGTAGCTTGACAAGTCGTACTCGGCGCTGTTGAAACGAATTGGTAGGCTTATCCTTCATAGGTCTGCTGTGATTTGAATTAATATTAATGGCCTCCCCCATGCGTTTTCGAACTTCCAGTTAAAGTGAAGAAAAGTTTCTTCAAAGACAATTGGCACCCACAAGGACCGCATGTCACCTCACCACCTCTGATAATGGACCCTAACGAGGATGAAGATATGGTTCCAGGCTTCCTAACGTAGGATCGCTGCTTCAGTTTAACTTGAGATCTCGTGCTAACTTCCTGGACGCTCTAGTTGAACAAGCTCGTTGACTACCTGAAGTATATGGGTCGCTTCTTTTCTACCTGGTATAAAACGCACTGTACATATGTCAAAGGATCTCTACAAATAAACTAATTGACAGTCGTGTACGGTTCCAATTTGCTAACAAAATTGGCCCACTTCCCGCCGTGCCACTTGGAGATTTGCGTATCCCACACCTCCGCTCCAGGCCAGACATTCTTCATAGCAAGCAAAAGACCTCCGAGTTCGAAATCCGCGAAAGAGATCTTATCCCCCAAGAACCATCCAAACTCTCCCTTCCCGCCAAACTTCTCGTCGAGATGACCCAACGCCTCCTTCAACTTCTCTACACCCTCCGCATTCTGCTCCGGGGTGTAGTTCAACTCATCGATCTTTTGGACCTTGAGGAAGGCCGCAAGGTCCTTGGCGACGACGACGTTGAGGTATTCGCGAGTGGGAGGGTTAGCCTTCTCCAACAACTCTCTGCAGTAGTACGGGAAGATCGGAAAGATGTGGCCCATAATGGTGTTGATCATGACTTCCTGCTTGTTCCATCCCGCCTCAGCGCCGTCCTTGGTGTCAGGGAACACCTTGGGTGTATCTGGATACGTCGCGTCAAGGTACTTGGCAATCTCGAACGAATCGGCGATGGCTTTGTCGGTGGACGAGTCGTAGATGACGGGGAGTGTGTATTTAGGGCTTCCATCTGGACGCGTGGTTGGAGCGGAGAGGTTGTGTTTGCGGTAGACGGCAGATTCGATGTCGGGTATTTCGATCCATTCTGTCTTGAATGGGAGCCCTTTATAGTTGAGGCTGAAGCGAGCCTTCCAGACGTTGCCGGAGGTGGCTTTGATCGCGGTGGTCGTGGGGATGTCGTAGAGAGTGATCATGTTGATGCTGCTTCAAGTGAGAGGCTGGTGCTGACCATCGATCCCTCACATCGAACCGTTTAAATATGTCCAGTCCTGATTGTTACCACTCTCTTCTACTTACCAACTATATCGAGATCCGCATGGTCGCAGCCTTGGGATCGACGGGAAAGATGCAAGCGACCAAATGTTTCCCTCGTGAGTCTTGCGTTAGTCAGACACTTCTCCGCAGTTGGATTATTCATTGAGCGCCCGCAGTGATGAATTTGTAATTCAAATCCAATTTCGGCGGCTAATGAGATCCCAAATTGTCCTTCTGACCTGTCGGTCTGGCAACGCGCTTCAGCCTTCAGGGCATAGCAGAGTGTATTGTTGTCCTTCGGGAACAGTACAGCGAAAACGCTACGATTACAAATTCCAAGCAGCTTTGATAAGATCCACGGCTCGTTCCGCGAGAATATAGACGGGCGCTTGCGTATGCGCTGCAGGGACATACGGCTGTACGGCAGTTAGCAAAACGCGTAATATGAAGCCGCAGGACGAAACTACGCACAATGACAGACGCATCAACAATTCTCAGACCCTTGACGCCCTTCACCCGCAAATCAGGGTCCACAACGCCCGCCTTTGCGCCTTTGGCTGACATAGCCGCCGTCCCGACAGGATGCCAGACTCCAAAGGCCGAACTACGGAAGGCCTGTTCGAACGCCCTGTGGTTGTCTGGGTCGGCACCGCGATAAGCGCCGATGTAACCATCCCAAGCTGGCCCACTGAAGAATCGCTTTGCAAGCCGGACACCTTCCTTCATGGCCTCAATATCAAAGCGGTCAGTGAGGAATCCCAAATCGATGAGTGGGTCTTGGTAGGCATCGGTCGTGTTGATCGTTACAGAGCCATCTGTCGATGCATTTCAATCAGCTTCCCCACTCTGAGATGCGGGAGATGCTCACGGGAATACGGGTATAAGAGCGCAATCATTGCACTGGCACTTCCAGCACCTCCCTAGAGAAAGCCATGAATGACTCAGAGTGAAAGGGCGAGATCTGGCTTCTTACTCGGATAATGAGCTCCAGATGGGGAGCATCAGGCCCAGGGGAAGGGTCCTTGTACTGCTCCCAAAGGGACGCATTGGATGGGATGCGGGACCACAGGATCTGGTGGGTCAAATTAGGCTCGGTGAGGGGGCCAGTCCGGTTCGTCATCCAGGCTTCCAACGGATCACCCGGGAACGGTCTAGGAAATTGAGTATGATGATAATGAGCATGGTAAGCATCGGGCATCAAAGGAGAGCGAGACTGACGGAGCAGAGCTATTGTCGTTTGCAGCCCAGTTAGCGAAGAACACGATGTGGTCAGTCATCTTCTTTCCAACGTCAGGTAGGTGGTGAAGTGGTCGAACGCCGACGTCTTTCAACTCAGCCGCGTCCCCAATTCCAGAGTTCAGCAAGATCTGAGGTGTTCCAAACGCTCCCCCAGCCAGAATGACTTCATTTGCAGCTGTAACGTTCTCCGTAATGCGTTCTTCAAAAGTCATTGTCAATTGATTGCTACGGAGGAAGGCGGGAAGCACGTACTGGTGTAGCGTATCCCAATCTCCAAGGTTCGGAAATCGAGCTCTTCCTCGGGTCCAGTAGGATGAACGCGAAGGGCGTAGGTGTTCAGAAGAATGCTCAAATTCGGCCTCGCACGGACAGACGCGTTGAGGTACGCAACAGCTGCGCTACTTCTCTCGCCATTATCCACGGTCCAAGGAAGCCATCCTAAGAATCCCCTGTAAGGACTCGCGAATAAAAAAACATTCAAAATCGGAGACACACCGAGACCGATAGGGCTTCCAGAATTGTAATCCAAGTTGAACGGGAATTCTTCCTGAATCTCCGAGTTTCGAAGACAGCGTTCGTCGAATTCTGTGGGACTGCTCCAGCCGAGGCTGACACCGACATTCCCATCGTACCCGTGAACGTCAGGGTCGTATTGACCGGAGATTTCTCGACCACCTGGAGGGGCCTGCCATTTCTCGTGCTAAAGGCGGAGGAGGGCCCGGTCAACTTTGATGCTACGCCAGATGAGATGGAATGCTTACCCTGAAGATGTAGGGTGTCAAGTTATCCCAGCGCCATCCCGGGTCGCCAGTCACGCTGGCCCAGAGGTTGTAATCGTCGGCAGCGCCTCGGGTATACACCATGCCGTCTTTTTGAATTGGTGTTAGTCAAGCCCAGTCCTGGATCTTGAAATATTCTCACTGATCGAAGTGCTTCCACCCAAGACGTGTCCCCTGGAGTACATAACCCGTTTGTTGTTAAGGCCAGTCTGAGGGACCGAGACGTAGTTCCAATTGTATGTGCTGTTGATGCGGCCCTGGTATGCTGGGATTTGTATGGGCAGAACGCCTTCGTTGCTGAGTGGACGGTGAGCTAGACGATGTCGCTGTTATGCCGACATGCTCACTTTGGGCCAGCTTCTACAAGGAGGACCTTTGTCTCTGGGTCCTCCGACAGTCTACTGGCAACGGTAGCGCCTCCAGGACCAGCTAAATGAAATCATCAGCTAATCAAGACTCGCAATGTTCGAAGGGCAAGGACCCACATCCAACAACGATAAAATCATAATCTCTCTCCTGCGGAAGCTCATTCAAGCTATCAAAAACCCTCGCGTAGGTCGAACCAATAGTACCAGCAAGCAACGCCTGAAGCAACAAAGCCTGCATCTTGTCGAGAGGGGCCGCTGTGAAGAGAGGGTGCAAGTTGGGGAAATACAGACGCCTATATAGTGAATGCGATTGAATTAGTCACCGCATCATGAGTTCGAGAAGTCAGTCCGTGGTTGACAAAGAGGAGCAGACGACACTTCGAAAGCTGGATTCTGTGGATCATTTACCCGAGAAAGTCGCGTCTAGACCTCCTGCATGCCCATTTTCCGGATAAGATAGCGTGAATGGTCATGGTCAGGGAATATTTTGTTGAAACCCAAACGACCACCATTGGAGCCGGGCGGAATCGTACGTGCATGAGGGCAAAACCGAAGACAATCCACGGGAAAACGAGAAGCACGAGTTGAAAACTGCCGAGCTCAGGCGGAGCCGAATTGTTAGAAGTTGAGTACAGCTCGCCGTTAATCCGGAGTCTGCACCAACACAGTGGAATTCACTTCGAGGTTAGGAGAGAACGAGGAAGAAAACAACGACTTGTGATTCAAATTGCCAAGCGACCAGGAAGTTCGATTGATTGACGCTGTTTTGGCAATACCTTCCGACACGGACAGTCGTGCCTCTCTCTGCTCCACTGGGCGCTTCGAGTTGGCACTGAGCTAGGCGGCCGAGCACTCGGTCACCCAAACGACTCTTCCTACGGCTTCCCCCTCCACGCTACTCGCCTTTGAAACCGTGAAGGAACGAGATCGTGTCCCTTTTCCCCGCCCTCTAGTTGAAAGATCATGGCGGTGTGCATCAATCAAAAGATTCCAAGACAGAGATAGAGGACCATGACAGGCCGCATCGCCAGCGTGATCAATTCTTTCTCGCCGCTTTCCCAACCACAATCGGTCTAATCTAGCGCCCAATCAGCGCCCATCGGACGTTCAAGCTTATACCCTTTGGTACTGCCATCATACACACCCTTATAAGTGGTGCTTCCACGCACTTGTCATCGTTTCCCTTCTCCCCAAACATACAGTAAGCAGTAAGTACTGTCCCAACAACCTGTATCGCAGTACTGATGGTTCGCCCACCAGATGCCTAATGGTGACTCAAGTAATGCACAGTCGACACGGCGGCGTCGTCCAAAGCTCTTTGCTCGTAAAGAGCCCAAATCCAGCGAATCCGAAAAGGATAAAACTAAGGACAAAGGATCGCGGAGCAAGGTGCTAGCAACCCGTCTATATAACGGCCTGAAAACCGGCCTGGACCTCCTCATCGAAGTTTCGGATGGGCTCCCTGTACCTATCAAAGGACCACTATCGCTACTGCGGTGCCTAATCGACAAAGCAGAGGTACATCGCGTTGCGAGGACCAGCCTTTTTCCCCCTGTAAACCGTAGCTGACAGTTTACTCAGGCTGTCCAAGCCAATCGTGAAGCGCTCGAGCGCTTGGAATCACACGTCAAGAGTCTTCAACAGATACTTCAGAGTGCCGCCGATGGACAGCAGTCATCACCACTCAATGAACGCCTCAAGTCGATGCTGGAAGATTTATCCAGGTAAATAGTGGCGACGAAGTGCTGCTATTAATATTTAAGCTTTTGCTCATTTGCCCACCCCCCAAGGGAATTAACCTCTGCATTCGACAGTCTGGGAGTCAAGGACCTCTCCACAATCGAGGCGTTCACCAAAGTCGGCGACATCGACCAACTCGTTCGTGAAATCGACGCAAAGCTCAGCAACGCAATGATGAGGCTTCTGGTGAGGAAACTTCAGATAAAAACGGATCTACTCTGCTTGCTCACCCCCCGAAAACTAGATTGGGATAGGCATTTACGACAGTGCAAAGATCTCTGATATCGACGTCAACAGCCGCCTCGAGCGCTACCAGGGACTTCAGAACCGCCTGGGCGCCTCGACCGCTACCGCTGCCACCTGGGACGGCTTAGATCCCAAACAACCAGTTACCAAGTGTGCTGAGGGGACGCGGGGGTATCTACTACGAAGGCTCTCGGAGCGATCCAAAGAGTTTGGAGGAAGTCATTGCGAGGTGATCTTCCTCGCTGGGTCTGCCGGCTCTGGAAAAACCGCCATCATGCGCACAGCGTCCCAACACGCCCACGAACGAGGTAACCTTGCTGCAAGCTACTTCTTCTGGTCCACCTCCGAAGCTAGAAACAACACGGGTAAATTGGTGGCCACCCTGGCCTACGGACTTGTCGTCAACGTTCCTTGCCTTCGGCCTTTCATACTGGACGCTTTCGCGAAGGACGAAATGGTGGTCCATGGACGGAGTTTGCGAGTTCAGATGCGCCAATGCTTGTTGGAGCCCGTTCAAGAGGCTCTCCGCAGCGGTGTCTCAGAGGAGATGATCCGCGGGAAACAGATCAACATCGATGGACTCGACGAATGCATCGGGGAGGACAACCAACGGGAGGTTGTAGAAAGCATTCACGAAGTCCTCGTCAACACCGACGTACCATTCCCCATCCTCATCACCATCTCCAGCCGTCCCGAACCCGCAGCTCGGTTCGCACTAGAACACCTTTTCAAAGGACACCTCGAAGCCATCAATATCAACGACGCAAAGTATGAGACAGACGCCGATATCGAGAAATACGTCAGGGCCGAATTCGCTCAGATTTGGGACAAGCACCCTAACAGGGCACATCTGCCTGACGGCTGGCCACCTGCATCGGATATCCGGAGATTGGTGTCTGCGTCCTCCGGCCAATTCATCTACCCCTCCACAGCATTGAAATACATCAGCGAACCCAGGGCGGACCCGGTGAAACGACTCGAATTAGTCTTGAAATGGGGAACTTCAACAACTGGCAAGACCAAGAACCCATTCAAGACCCTCGACAACCTGTACACCGCCATGCTTACCAAGGCACAGAAGGAGTACGAAGAGAACAGCGACGACGCCGACGTCCACCCGCAAGCGATAGTCAAGTTGGTCCTCTGCGTCGTTCGTATGCGGCCCCCCATCTGGTCCAAGGTCGCAAGGGAGAATTGGAGCCCCTCGCTGCATAAAACGACGGTGGAAGCCTTTGAGCATACTCTAGGCTTCCCACACGGTGGTCTCAGTAGAGCATTCTATGACCTAAACTCTCTCATAGATGTCAGGATGATGACGCTCTACCACAAGTCCCTTCTCGATTTTCTGGGAGACCCGACGAGATGCCCCCCAGAGCTGTTCGTTTCTTCTCAGGAAGTGACCAACTACCTGATCAGAGGGCTATCATAGGCCTCACCGAGATCCTCGATGCCTTGAAGCAAGGTCAGTAGCTCCACTCATGAGAGTTCCTTAGCGTCTTACCCATTTTCTTCCTCAGGGATCGACCATCAAGTTCATCTTAGATGTGTCGATGAACACACCATAGCTCAAATGACGGCTGACACTGACTTACTCAAGGAAGTCGAGAATCTCGTTGCAAACCTGGAAGACGCGTTACTGGAGAACCCTGGGCTAGAACAGGCGCTGGGCCGACACATTGAATTCCTGCCTTATCTTCAGCAGGTGGTCAAGAATATAATGAGAATTGTCAAGAGTGGGATCGAAAGCGGGCAGGTGAGTGTAACACCGGATACTTCAGAATAAATACGAGAAACTCTAATACTGATCCTTATGGCATAGCTGGATGAAAAGTTTAGTCTCCTTGCTGATCGAATAGGTGCGTCCAGGAGTGGCCATAGTGGACCTGTTTCAGACGTGACTGTCTCCCAGCTTCAAGCCCCGTGTTTCAGAAGTTTGGGGGTCGAGCAGCCCATCGATAACAGCGATTCTTTTCCAAGGAACCCATCCCGGGGTTACCATTGTCCCCAAGGAGGGGAGTGTTACAATACAGGTTACACGTCCTGTACCTGCTCTTCAAGCCAATTCCACAAATCCTCTCCAAGTTTCTCATCGAGCGCCAAGGGGTTAGGTGTACCGTATCTCGCCCACGGAACAAGATACTAAACGCACAAAGAAAGAACAGTTTTAGCTTCCTGATCCACAGTATGACCCCACAAACAAGAGGAATTTGCTCGACGTACCTTCCCGTTCATCTTCAACCCCTCCTCAGACGTTCCAGCCCACAGCTGCGTTAGAGCACCATAAGGCGCTGGATACAGCACGAACGCATTCTAGTAGTATCAACCAACGACACATCAGCTCCATTCGATGTAGGGATGAAAAGAGAGCTAAGACGCTACATACCATTAAAGCAGTAGCGATGGATGGCGTGTATCTCGTCAACTCCGTCTTGAGGTTCCCGGGGTTACAAGAGCAGGAAATAACACCCTGATCTCCATACCGCTTCGCAAACTCGTTGGCGATGATGACGTTTCCCTGTATGCACCCCAATCAAGTCAGCCATTATCCTCTGATTCAGATGGTGGCGCTCGTTCGCCGGGAAGGTACGTTCGCTTAGAACAGAGGCAGGCAACGGAAGGACGTACAAGTTTACTCTGCGCATACAGAATAACCGAAAACGACTTCCTCCTGGCAGGTCCATCCTTGAACGTATTAAAGTTCAACTCTCCAAATAGAGACGCAACGGACGCCGTATGGACGACGCGGGGTTTCCAATCCGGTGACGACTTGACGGTGGAAAGGAGGGTGGAATAGAGGAGTTTTGTTAAGTAGAAGTGGCCTGGTGGAGGGAGGAGGGGAGTGTGTCAGTACATCTCGCGTGGAGGTCATCGTGACTATGGTGGAGGTGCGAAACGCGAGGCGCGTCCCAATAGACAAGAGGTAGACATGGTAGAGTAAGAGTACTCACCTAGAACGTTCGTTCCAAACTGAAGGTCATATCCTTGAGTCGTGACCATATCAATAGGGGGAGTCATAACGCCACTATAAATAGCCCATGAACATCAATAGCCGCCCTGCCAATGATGCACCCATTCGACATACGCGTTGTTAAACAAAATATGCAGTTCCTTCTCTTTCCTGTACGACAAAAACCATAAACAACGGTCAGTACTCAGCATTGCGACTCCCACCAAGGAGACATGGATATAGAGGAGCTAGATTGACGCACGAAATAAACTCCTCCGCAGCCTTCTTCACAGACTTCAAATCACCCAGATCCAAATGGAGGAAAATGCCCTCCTTGCCAGTTTCTTGCTTCAACTCTTGAATGGCGCGTTCGACCTTTTCTTGACTCCGGCCTGCGAGGTAGACTTTGGCGTTACGCGATAAGAGAGCCTGTTCGGCGCGTAGGCGTAGGAGGGGGTTGTAGGGTACATGGTGCGCAGGGCGGTGTTGCAGGAAGTTCAGAATGGAGTATAGTGGTAGACGTTAGAAGGATACTCTGGTCAGCCCTCGACCTAAACGACGCATCCCATCCTGGACAACTCACCTTCGCAGTCTCCTTCCCAACACCTATCCATCCCCCACAAACCCACCAGCGCGCGAGAAACCGGTCAGTCAGCCAGCAGTCCAAACGCCGAACGCTGTTGTCTAATCACTCACCGGAATTAGCACCAGTAACAATAACAACCTTCCCCGTCAGATCAGGTATATCCTCAACGCTGAACTTGGATTTGGGAGGTAGGGATTGTGAGACGAGGGAGAGTGCTGCACCCATTCTTGATTTCTCTTGGTGGTGGTCTGGCGGTATTAACCGTCTAGCTGGATCGGCTTCTGGTTGTATCAAGCGCTTGGTTGTCTGGTTGTAATCGGGCTTCTGGTTGGTTGTAGGAGGGTACGAGGGCGGGTTGTATAGAGCTGTGTTGTATCAGCGCGTCAACGCGTCTATGTTGTGCGTTCTAGTCTCTCCAGAACTCTCAGAAACGAGCAGATAGGCAGGCGGTGAGAAGACGATGGTGGTGGTCACCTCTCAACAACGTCGACGTCGAATGGAAAAGCCTGGAAATTGAATGACGTGCTGCTCTCGTCGGGCCTTTTTGACGGACGACGGGATTGCTCGTGATATCGCCGTCGTCGTGATATCCCCGCTTGGCATAGCCGTGCAACGCTAGGCAACGCTGAACGTTTGAGCCCCCATGGTCAGTTGAAGCCCGCGAACGCAAGTTGAGTGTCGAGTCCGAAGAAGAGCAGGAAACTCCAACTAGCTTCCTCAATTTGACTTTTAGACACCCGATTGGTCCTCCGTCGTAGTCCGATGATGTATTCCAGCGGCACGTAGCAGTAGCACTCAGCACTGATACTCAGCGCTCAGCAACAGCACATTCGCATGCACGTATATAACGGTATAGTTTACAACACTCTCGAAGGAGAACGCGGGAGGTAGCTCAGGCATCCAAGGGTGAAATCGTGGAGTAAGGAAAATGAAAGTGAGAGAAAAATGAGATGAAAGGAAATGAAGAGGTCAATGAAATCGCGATCTGGAAAATGGATAGAAGACAAGTCCAGAACAATAAATAGGGTGTGATGCATCGAGGAGGAGAGCAGTTGTTGAACGTCGAAACGAGAGCCGTGATCCGAAATCCGAGGCGAGCATTTGCCTACGGACAGTTGCGTTGCGTATCCAAAGCGCATCAAGCTAGGGTGAAATGTGGATGTCGGAGACGTCGAGGTGGCCATAGACGGCGTGTTTAAAGTTACGGAACGGGTGATGATGAAGTTGGGATGGCACGGTTATGAAGTTGGGAACGGCATGGTTATGAGGTCGGGATAGCGCGGTGCTTGATGAGCCAGGGATGACGGATGACTTCGGTCAGAGCAAGACGTTTGGAAGGGTCGTGTTGCAGGAGCTGTATAAGCCGGTAAGCAAAATCACCTTCAACTTATTGGCAGTATAAACGCACCTTGGCAATGAGGTCCTTGACTTCAGGAGAGAGGTAGGAAGGGAACTTGAGATCGACTCTCGCAATACGGCGATAGGTATCTAGAGAGAGAGGGGAGGTTAGAACTAGACGACAAAGGAGATAAACGGCCACGTACTATTCACACTGTTCTTATCTTCAAACGGCGGAGCACCAACCAAGAACTCATAAGTGAGAACACCCAGCGCCCAATAATCCACCCGCTCACTATGCTCCTTCCCCTCCACCATCTCCGGCGGCAAATAATCCAACGTCCCACACAGCGTCATCCTCCTATTCCCCGGCGCATGCACACTCCACCCAAAATCTCCAATCTTCAGCTCGCCATTAATCCCAAGCAGCAAGTTCTCCGGCTTGATATCCCGATGAATAACGTGCTTGCTATGCAGATAAATCAACGCATCCGCCATCTGATAGATATACCTCGCACTCCTCCGCTCCGAGAAATGACCATACTTGGACAATTGCTTGTACAACTCTCCCTTCCCAGCAAACTCCAACATCAAAAAGATACGCTTCTCGTCGTGGAAGTAGCCATACAACCGGAGTACGTTCGGGTGTCGCAAGTTCTGCTGGATTTCAATTTCACGACGGATCTGCTTCTCGACGCGGGACTGGACGATCTCGGATTTGTAGAGGGTTTTGAGGGCGAGGATGTACCGCGGTTCGCATTTGGTGCGGACCATGTAGACGCGCCCGAATTTGCCTTTGCCCAGGGGACGCCCCATTTCAAAGTCGTGCAGCGTCCATTCGCGGGTGGGGTTTTTCCTGCGTTGAATATGGGTCGATGAGCATTTGTTTAGTTGGGGGGAGAAGGGGCGACGTACCCATTGACGCTAGAGTCTAATGCGAGGTCTTGAGCGGCTTCGCCGTACACTTTCTCCCCTCGCTTCTCGTTCTCGGTTTCCAAACCCCCGTCATAGCTTCCGATATCAAGCGGCTGCGTGGTCTGGCTTCTCGAGGACGACTTGGACGATTGCTGCGACGACGACGACGACGACGACGACGACGAGGTTCCAGAAGCCTGGTTTTGGTTTAGGTTTCGCAATGAGGACGAAGCGGTCGGTTTAGACGAGTTGGTGTAGGGATTGGGAGCGCTGAATTTAGTGAGAAGTTTTGCTACGTTCGTGCCGCTGGGTTGCTTCGTGTGTCCTGGTCGGAAGGAAGATGATGACGATGAGGAGCTGCTAATCCCTCCTCCTTGTTTCTTGTTGGAAATCTCGAGAGCGGCGATTTGCCGTGTCACAGAGTTTATCGATGCTGTAGTCATTTTTGCTGCCGCTGTACAAGAGATAAACCGTCTAAACCAGTTTTGTTAGGATTGCTGCCACCATTTGGAAGGGGATTTGGGACGAACATGGGTATTAGACTCTCACGGTTGAGATATTAGAGTAAGAATGGGTCTGGAGGAACAGGTGGGGAACGACGTTGGCCACGGTTGGGCGGCAGGTGGAGGTCGTGGTTCAACGGCGACTTCCGAAAACGGGATATGTTCGACTTCGTCACGCGCCGAGCACGTGGCCGCGACAGGGACTCACGGCAGAGCCTTGACAAACATGGGAGATTGTGTTGATGATGTGGAGCCTACAGTGGGTGTCCTGTGTATCCTTCCTATCTAATAAGACATGTGGTTTGTATATTATTAGATTATAGATACGAGGGGGGAAGGGATCGAGCACACAGCATACGCGCAATCTAAAGGCATAGGCAAATAAAGAGAAGCCATAGACAAACAGAGGCAAATGAGAGGCAGAGGTCGCGCACAGTCGACGCGCCTTCCACCCCAACCTCCACCGCCATCTGCTATGCACATCTATAAGTATCGAATGCACATGTCGATCTGTCAACCAACTGTCTTCTTTATAGCTCTCAATCGCCTTAACACCGTCGAGAAGGACTCGCTGAATTACCGGGTAGACTGAACTTGGATTGGTGGGTCCAAGAACACGGTGCCCCAGCATCGCCCACTACCCATCTTTACTTTCACCATAATGGGCCAGGATGCGGTACAAAACAGTCCAAAATAGGATGATAGAGCGCAGATGGCCCAACGATAACAAGATCTGGAGTGTGGGTTATAAGACGACCCTCTTCCATGGCCGTCGCAGGGTAACTATGTCTCCCACCATGGACCTGCCAGGGTACATTTCCTTCCTCAGGGCGGCACTCGATAGCTTACCTCCGCACCATCCCAATCGCGCCGACGTGCTCGACGAATTGGCCGAAACCGTGTTAACTCGGTTTGGGAACGAGGGCGACTTCGATGACCTCGACAGGTGTATCAGCCTCCGGGAGGAAGCACTTTCACTTCGTCCTCCGGGGCATCCAGACCGCGCTCTCGCGCTCAGTACCCTAGCGTGCGCCCTGACTGTTCGCTTTGAGAACCAAGGCAATTTCCCAGACCTGGCGAAGGGTATTGGCCTTCACGAGGAAGCACTTTCACTTCGTCCTCCGGGACATCCAGGCCGCGCCCGGTTCCTCTATAACCTGGCTACTACCCTCTTGATTCGCTTCAGGAACAAAGGCGACCTCAAAAGCCTGGCCAGGTGCATCTCCTTTCATAGGCAGGCGCTGGCTTTGCCTCCTCCCGAACATCCCGACCGCGCCCTGTCCCTTACCAGCCTGGGGAATGCTCTCTCAACCCGATTCGAGATCAAAGGAGACCTGGGAGACCTGGTGGAGTGCATTTCCTTACACAGAGAGGCGCTCACTCTATTTTCTCCAGGGCATCGCCATCGCTACAGCGCGCTCAACAGCCTGGCGAGCGCCCTTCTAGCTCGCTTCGAGAGCAAGGGCGACTTGAAAGACCTTGAAGAGTGCATCGACTTGTACGAGGAAGATCATTCTCTTCGTCTTCACATCCCAGCCGCTCAGTATCACTTAACAACCTGGCGACCGCCCTCCTTGTTCGATTTGACAACAAAGGCGACCTCAAAGACCTGGAGAAGGGTGTTAACCTTCACAAGGAAGCGCTTTCTCTTCGCCCTCTGGGTCATCCCGCCCGCGCCGAGTCGCTCAACAACCTGGCGTGCGCCCTGTATACTCGCTTCAAACGCAAAGGCGACGCGGAAGACCTGGAGATGTGCATCCACTTCAACAAGGAAGCACTTTCTCTCCGTCCTCCGGAACACCCCAAACACGCCGGGTCGCTCGACAACCTGGCAAGCGCCCTTTTTGCCCGCTTCCAGAGCAAAGGCGACCTCGAAGACCTGGACAGATGTATTTCGTTTCATAGGCAGGCGCTGGTTTTATTTCCTCCGGGACATCCCAGCCGCGGCAAGTCGCTCACCAACCTGGCGGATGCCGTCTCAGCCCGCTTCGAGAACAAAGGGGACTTGGGAGACCTCGCGGAGTGTATTTCCTTACACAGGGAAGCACTCGCTCTTTTTTCTCCAGGGCATCCCCATCGCACCAGCTCGCTCAGCAGCCTGGCGGGTGCGCTGTTGACTCGCTTCGAGAACAAAGGGGCCTTAGAAGATCTGGAGGAGTGTATTGTCCTTTACAGGGAGGCGCTTTCTCTCTGTCCTCCAGGGCATCCCAACCGCGCCGCCTCACTAAACCGCTTGGCAAGCGCCCTGATGGCTCGCTTCAGGAACAAAGGCGACTTCGAGGACCTGGCGATGTGCATCAACCTGCAGCGCGAAGGACTCAATCTCTGCCCTCCTGGCCATCCCAGCCGCGCCTCGTTGCTCACCAACCTGGCAAACGCCTTGCTGGCTCGCTTCGAGAGTGAAGGCGAGTCCCGACTCGAAGACATCGACGAATGTGTTGACTTCCACAAGGAAGTACTTTCCCTCCAACGTCCTGGCCATCCTGGCCGTGCCGGCTCACTTCACAACCTGGCCCACACCCTGCTCATTCGCTTCAGGAACACAGGAGACTTCAAAGATCTCGAGGAATGCATATCCCTCAACGAGGAAGCAGTTTCCCTCTTCCGTCCAGGGCATGCCGACCGTACCGCCTCACGTCAAAATCTGGCCCTCGCCCTGTATATTCGCTTCGTCAGCAAACGAGACTCGAATTTCAGCGACCTGGAGCAGGCGATTATCCATTCCCGAGAGGTATTGCTTTGCCGCTCTCCTGGGGACGAAACGGAATCCAGTCGCCCCGTGTTCAATCATCCTGGTTTGTTGAAGACCATCATCGGCCATGTGCTGCTTCTCAAAGCGAAGCACAAGGCTCTGGGGGATAACGATGCTCTCGAGGAGATGTTTGAGCTTCTTGAAGCTGGGGCTCAGTGCCATAACGCATTGCTTTTGGACAAGATGAACCACGCCAAGTTATGGAGCTCAACCTGCCTCGAATTTAATCGTCACGAGACCGCATTGAAGGCTTATGCACACGGCGTGTCTCTCCTCCCCCTCCTAGCCTCTCTCGACCTCACGCTCCAACAACGCCAGAATGTCCTTGTCCACGCGAAAGATTTGTCAAAGGACGCAGTTCATTGTGCAATCAATCTAAGAGAACTCGAGACGGCGCTCTGGTTTCTCTCCACCTCCCGATCTGTGTTTTGGTCTCAGGCTCTTCAATTCCGGGCTTCATTCGACCGCCTGGATGCCCTCCATCCGGATCTTGCATCCGAATTCCGAACGGTCACACACCAACTGCAAATCGAGACCCAACAACACCCACAAGCCGACCTTGTTCCGGTCGAGAGCACCCCGTCACTTCGTCCGTACCTTCTTTCTCGGAAAAGAGAAGAAATCATCGCGACGATTCGAACCAAGGACGGCTTTCACGATTTCCTGCTCCCTCCTTCGCCCGATGTCCTCAAAAACGCAGCGCGCAAAGGACCTGTTGTTTTTCTGAATGCCAGTGCATTCGGATCCTATGCGCTCATCCTCAAGGAGGATGGCAGTCTTAGTCGCATTGAAATATTCACCGACTTCAACCTTTTGAAACTTTTGGTGGCCACGGTTCGGAGTCTGGCGGGAGGGGTTGGGCGAACCGATGGTGATGAGTCCGATGACCTTTCTGGAGAAGAGGACCGTGCCTGCAGACCCCGCTCCAGCAAGAGTCGAACGATCCAAGACAAATTTCGAGTTGTCCTGAGTGCACTTTGGGAGAATGTAGGCGAGCCCGTTATTTCTGCACTAGGATTGGAAAAGGTAAGCGTATTCTCGGATGGTACACGCAGCTAGTCGATTGCTAACTGGTCAGTAGACCACCAACCCGCGTAGGATCTGGTGGTGCCCAACGGGCCTTTTCGCCTTCCTTCCTATCCATGCCGCTGGAATCTACCCTACCTCTCCTTCTCAGGAATCCAACTGCCTATTCGACTATGTCGTGTCTTCCTACTGCTCTACTCCGCAAGACCTCATCGCACCACCACCAGAGCCCAATCCCGACTTCAAGATGCTTGTTGCTATCGAACCGGAAGGGCATCATTTGGGGGCATCGGGCCTTCCAGCCACCAGGAAAGAACTCGAGAAGATCGAGTCGCGCATCCCAGAAAAGGATCGTTTGGTCGCCCGCATTGGGTCAAAGGCGGCAACGTCTGGAAAAACATCCATTCTGGACGACATCAGCACTGCAACGATCGTCCATTTCGGATGCCATGGCAAGCAGAATCTATCGAACGCGCTTGACAGTTGTCTGCTACTCAGCGAAGGGCGCTTGACGATGTCGTCGTTGATTCGGAATTGCCAGACTTCGACGGGTGCTCTTGCTTACTTGAGCGCGTGCGAGACTGCGATGGGTGATGAGGCGCGTCCGGACGAGTCTCTCACTCTGGCTGCCACGATGCAGTTTGCGGGTTTCCGAAGCGTGGTTGCTACCATGTGGTGAGTAGGATCCTGATTTATTTGCCTCGAGCATTGACTGACTTGTACTCTTTGGAATGTAGGGTAATTCACGACGAGGATGGCCCGATCGTGGCTGATGCTTTTTATCGCCATCTCTTCCGTCACGGTACTGCGGCCCCGCCAGACATCACTGATGCGGCGTACGCACTGCACCTTGCTGTGAAGGCGTTAAGGGAACAAGGAAGGCCGTTCCATCGTTGGGTTCCTTTTGTTCATCATGGAATTTGAGTTTTCGATGTCTTTTTCTTTTTCTTTTCTTGAACTTTTGTATTGCATAATATCCCGTGTATTTCTCGTGCCCGTGTCGCCTAGCCTGGTGCATCTCCAACTAAAATGAGTATCTTCTCCCCCACAACATGCAACTTCACTGAGCTTCTTCAGGATTCAGGCTGTCGTTATCGGGAGGCACATTCGAATAGGGGCTCGGATCGGATCTGATCCATCACGTCATCATCAAACCCCATATCACAAATCCAAAAAGGAAATACTCCGCTTCGAGGACGCCGCCTCCTTCCTCTCCAACCACCACGACCCTGGAATACCGGGACCATGTCTCCTTCTACATCTGATGCTTCATCTTCAAGGATAGCGCACCATTGTCCGACGTGCACGTGCTCTTCTTCCTCCAACCCAACTTCCTCCAATGCCGGGTCTACAACCCACCCAAGCCCAACCCATCAAACGAATAGTCCAAACCCGAATCCAAACCCAAACCCGAAACCAAAACCCCCATTCACAGCCTCCCTCAACCGCAAACCCAACCACACCCACATCCTACTAATCACAACCGGCAGCGTAGCATCCATCAAAGCGCCCCTCATCATCTCCGAGCTCTTATCCTACCCAAACGTAGCGGTGCAAGTTCTAACCACCAAACCCGCTTTGACGTTTTTTGATAGAGAGGATGTGGAGGTGCGGTTAGGCGTGAATGTGTGGAGTGATGAAGATGAATGGGATGTACGTCTATAACTTCTACTTTTACTTCTCTTATCCTCCCTCGCGTCGCTTGATTTAGGGACTCGAGCTAATGACTGGACATACGTACAGCCAAACTACACACTCAGCTCTCCAATCCTCCACATCGAACTCCGACGATGGGCAGACACAGTCCTAATCGCCCCCTGCTCAGCCAACACCCTCGCCAAAATCGCTTCAGGAATCTGCGACAACACGGTCACCTCCCTTCTCCGCGCCCTCTCTCCCTCAACACCCACATTCGTCTTCCCGGCTATGAACACGCTCATGTACGAGCACCCGTTGACGAAGGAGCATTTGAGGATTGTGCAAGAGGTTGTTGGGTATACAGTCGTAGGACCGATTGGGAAGAAGTTGGCGTGTGGGGATGTGGGGATGGGTGCAATGACGGAGTGGAGGGATATTGTTGGGTTGGTAGTGGAGAAATTTGGGCTGGTGAAGAAGGCTGGGGAGGGAGAGGGGAAGGGAGAGCAGACCGTGCTGCCAGACAACCCCAAAGTCGAAGTATCATAACACCCACGGCGAGTCGGAAGAGAAAGGTGACGAAGGAAGGAAAGACGTCGAATACCAGATTCACCTAAAAACAATAATTATACTAATACAAATACATAATCCCATTCTTACAAGATGAATCCCGATTCCTGAATCCGAATCCACGATCCATCGTCTAAAAAAGTCTAATCAATCCATCCAATGCAGTCATTGGCGGGGTTTTGAACTCCTGAGCATCAACTTCCCAAGTATCAACCCAGGACTATCCACTCCCGTCGACGCCCGACTATCAACATCCAACGTCAACTCCCTCCACCTATCCATCCAGAATCCCCATCTCCCTCCACCTCTCCCACAACAGCCCAACGCCAACTTCACCGGTCACTCCTCCCCCTCCCTTTCCGTTACTCTCACCCCCCGACGAGCCCTTGACATCCTTCACCTCTAACAAATCATACTCCCGTCCAAACGCCAAGAAGTGAGCAAAGAGTGAGTTGAAGTGGGGTTCCGATCTACAAGACCGTGGTGCGTTAGCGATGTGAGGGGGAGAGGAAAAGATCTGAAGGATGTGACGAACCTCAGATGCAAGATGTGATGGAAATGCCCGTGGTAGATGTGCGCAAAGACGCGAAGGAGCTGGCGGTATACGTGCTTGATCAAGGACGGGAAATTGGGCGGGAAGTCGTGGCCTACATGGAACGTCAACCGTCAATACTCTGTTCATCTCTGGCCAACCTAGTGCAGAGCACTCACCACTCTTGGTTGGGAAGACCGCCTCGTCATCGATGAGGTTCTGTACCCAGGTCATGACATAATCGATGTACGTAGGCGCTGGTAGATGCACGCTCTTCCTGTCTTGGTTGATCCACGTGTAGGATAGGGAGGAGGAGGCAGACATCGTCGGACACGACGACGCCGTGCACACTTCGGATATCACACCATAGAACTCGTTGAGGTTGGTGTAAAAGTCGAAAACTACATATCAAGAAGTGGCGATTAGCACTCGCCAGTCAGAGAGCAAGAGAGAGAGAAGAAGAAAAAGACGCACTGTTAACAGCAACCCACTCCATAATATCCACATACTTGGGCAACATCACAATCGTCCTAAAGTTGCCCTTGACAAGCGCAGCCTCGACGAACGGGCTACACATATACAACGGCTTCTCCTTTTCTTTCTCCTTCTTCCTCTCCTCGGCAGCGCTAACACTATTCCCCCTCGGTCGACCAAACTCGTCTACATCTCCACCAGCGTCCTCGCTCCCCCGGCGATTAGCGCTACTTGAACTCCTACTCCTCGTGTACGCTCCAGCGCCGTTGCTGGCACCCGTGACCGTCCCGGAGAGGTACTGCTGCGACGACGAAGGCGATATCCGCGGGCTCGGTGGACCACTGCGTTGGTACTGCGATTGGGCTTGGAGGTGATTGGGGTCGGTGGATGCGGCGGAGTTGGGCGTTGGCGAGCGTTTGGAGTTGGTCGTGGAGGATGCGGCGGTGTTCTTGCTTCCGCGGCCTGCCATTCGGCTGATGGGGTTGATTAGGAGTGGGATGGGATGGGAAAGGGAGAAGGGGAGGGAAGGGAGTGGTTGATCCATCAGTTGCTGGTTCGTTGGAGAGCTCGACAACGAGGATAGATGCTCACCCGATGGAATTGAAGAAGGACATTATGGTTTAGATGGGAGAGAACGCCTTGAGACGAGACTACAGCTCCGTGTTTGGACAAGGGTAGAATCTGGATGCGAGTGATGATGCAGATGATGATGGGGTGGGCCTGAGGTCGACGAATGCAAGCACCCTCTTGCTCGGTCGGGTTACTGTATACTAGCGTGCGTCCGCGGCGCTTAGCGTTGGCGTTGGCGTATTAGAGGACCTTGTTCTCCACGGAACCTGGGACAACCCAAAGCGCGAGAGCAGCAAACCGTTCAACGTATGAACGAAACCCCCTCCAGGAATATGATCAAGGGAAACGAATATGTACAACCAATCAAAGAAAGAAAGAGGGAAGCTCGAACGAAACGAGACGAAAGATTTGCGTGGAAGAGGAAGAAGACGAGAAGAGCTAGGAACGCGGAAGAACGCGAAGCGGGGTTGCCAGATGCCAGATGCTGGTTGCCCATATTTTTCCGCCACGTGCTGCTCGTGATGAAGAAGCGTGATCGCCGCCCTTCCCGCCCTTAGCCGACGGTGGCGGCGGGCTTGGCGCGCCCCTTGCCCCTGTCAGTGCGAGATCACTGTGCTCTTTGGTTGGACCCTGCAGGCCTGCAGCACTAGCTGCAAATTACAGCTTGTCTCGAGGGTGTACACTCGCAAAGGATGCATCCAGGTAGTTCAACGGACGACCTGTCGTCCTTAATAAATGCCAAAAGCTCCTCATAACTCGTAACTCGATGGAAACTAATTTTTCCGTTATATGAACAAGCTTGAAGGTGTACATTATTTACAACTTCAATTCCCGCACAACCTCTCCTTTCCGGTTCATAAGTTGCGCCTTTGTAACTGCCTTGCTTCCCGAGCTAAGACCCCGCCACCGAGGAATGTGCCACCAGGGCGTCCCATCAGCCCATACCTGATCAGAGACAACCCACACTGTCCCGCTCACAATCCTCTTCATCGCTTCCTCCATCACTTCACTGTACCTATCCTTGGGTGCTGGCTGGGGTGAGGGGTTCACACCGGTGCCCAAGGGCTTGCAATAACCCTTCATCTTCTTCTGGATCTTCTCGGGAAAGACATCGTCTATCGTCTTTTTGCCCTCGAACGCTGGGAGGGATTTGATAGTGGCCCAAGCGGAAGGAGGGAACTTTTCATCCAGGAAGAGGGCGTTGTTCTGGAGTGACTTGATGGCCGCCATACTAATTGCGTTCTCGACGGAGCACTTTTCCGGACGGTGGAATATGTTGCTGATGCCGACGGGAGCAGAAAGCGTAGGCGAAATGAGGAGCAGAACGAATGCCAGAATGGCCATTGGGAACTTGAGCGTAAACAACATTTGCTTTTGTTGCTCAGTATCGCGTCGTTTGGTATTTATCAAGAGAGAATAGACACACCTGTGACCTTCCTTTAGTCAAGTAGGGTGTGACCCGCACGATTAACGCTTCGGAGAGGAGCGGATACTACGAGCTCAGCTCGGTTGGGAGTGTAAACAGAGAGGGTGCGACCAGCGCAGGGTGGGTAACTCGCCAGAGGACTTGCACTATTTAACACAAATGACAATAGACTGTGGACACATGCCCATCAGAGCCCTTTTCCGATTCACCCACAGAACATACACACTGGTATTAACGCTAGCGCCCACAACCACGCACTAAGCGCCCACATCTGATTCGCAATTCTCTTCATACAACCACGCCTCTACAATTGTAAAGTCATACCATGCCAATCAGCAGGACTCTCACCTCCAAAGTGTTGTGCTCTATTCTTCGAAATCTCTGCCAATCCCATACTCCCATTGAAATGGTAATTGCATACATCACATTTTCAATATATCCCATACATCAGTTTTCTCCAGGATCTGAACGTTGCCTGGACAATGCGGTCTTCATGTTGGCGAGCGAAACGGCACGGCTGGGGTGTCCTGGAGGACAAAGAGCGACCGCTTCCTTGTAGAAGACGATGCATTCCTCGAGGTCTCCAGGGTCGTCTTTCTTCTCAAAGCGACGCCACAGGCCGTTCGCCAGGCCGTCCAACGACTTAGCACGGTCAGGATGACCTTGAGGACGGAGAGACAGGGCTTCCCTCTGAAGCAGAATACCCTGCTCCAAATCTTGCATCTGACCGGTGCGCCCGAATCGCTTGCTCAACGCATTCGCATAATGCGCAAGTGTTTTGTGACGATATGGGTGGGGTGGTGGTCGGAGGGACAGTGCGCAATTGAACTGTAGGATAGCTTCGTCAGATTTACCGCCTTCGGTCAACTGACATGGAAAGGCAAATAAGCGCTTGATCATCAATTAGACGCCCAGAGGGTGGTGGACGGGCCAGTGGGGAAAGCAAGTGCAAAGACGATCTTCCCTATGTATGACACCGCGTACAAGGCCCAGGTCTCCCTACATAGTCCAGTTCCACAACTAATGTTCACAAAGCGAGAAGGCAACCGCATTCTCGAACAGCTCCCCATTATCTATCACAAACTTCTTCCTCTCCTCCATCAGCTCCTCCCTCAACGCCTTGGCCTCCGCAAGGCCCATAGGGAACCCATCCACCTCTTTATACACATAATCCCGCAACTCTACCGGCAACTTCTGCAACCCCTTTCCACTCTTCGGGGAAGGGGCCTGGTCCTTCTCCAGCTCTGCCCGCCACCAGTCAATCCGTTGGGCAGGCACATGCGCTGTACTGATCACCCGGATATGCGGATCGACCAGGAAAAGCGCGAGGATCTTGCGGTGACCGGGTTTTGTCCTGTCAGCCAACGAAAACGGCTCGACTTTGTGTTGGAGGATGTTAGGGAAAGTGAGAAGACGTCCTTCGGACGTCACTACACCCCCTACGCGCTGTACCGACCCCTCATCGTGGTACACTCCGAAGATATCCGTCAACCATTCGTGGTTATTTTGAGGGTAGCACACCTGGCTGGCAGCCTCGGTGTCGGATAGCTGGCGGAATGAAAGGGATGAAGTTGTGATGTTGGAGGATGAATAGTAGTAGATGGCGGTGGCGACAATATGCTCGTTCTGGGGGAAATGTTAGGCATGGGCGATCCTAATCAACAGCAGAGCACTTACCAATTTCCCTTCAACGTGCCAAGTCCCGCCACCATAACTCGGCTTCTCCGGCGTAAGAACAATATTGGCGAGTTTGACGATAACCTGAAGGGGCCGACCGTCCTTCATAAGACCCTTGAGCGAAAACGGCGCAGGCTGTCCAAAGTCTTTTGGGTCGAAAGGCTTATCAACGTCAGGAAGAACAATCCTCTTATTCCGATTTTCCCACTCTTGCCTAAGATCCCAATAGTCGAAATTCTCGTTCAAATCATCCCCCTCTTTAGGACCCCCGTCCTCCAAAAGAATCTCTTCTGCGTCAGGGTCGTAGTGGACGCAATCGTACGTGATCCGTTGGTGGTACTTGAAGTCGGGGTCTGCGAGCGGCGCGAGGGTGAGATCCCAGAGGGGAATGGCGGCTGTGATAACGTCCTCGATGACACGGTAAAGATCCCGGTGCTTCTCAGGATGCAAGTTGTTGATGTACGAAAGAATGCTATCAACACCCGCAACAAGTCAGAAAAGGCACATCAAAAAAGATGGAGACATACTTTGCCCTATCAGCCGACACGTCTACTTCACAAGGCAGCCACTGGAACTTGTCGCTCCAGGGGGTGGTCGCCCCCGAAGCGCCGCTCCGTCTGACCCAGGGTTCAGGCGCTTCGTCTACGACTGAGACTGGAGCACCTTCACCGCATCGCTTGATGCAGTCTTCAAGACTCGTGACCTTGGCACCCACGGGGAGGACCTTGGTCTTTTTGTACACCAGCGGAAACAGGCTAGGGTGAACGAGGTCCAGAACCTGCTCGTCAGAACCTGGATGCCAATCCTTCTGCTGATCGGGCACGTTCTCGAGTGGTTCAACCGCCTTTTGGAGTGCAGTCTTGGTTTCGGGTGACACCGCAGTATCCGACTTGACCACATTGCCGTTGTAGACAACGATGGCTCCGTTAGGCGAGTTCTGGAATGAACGAGCCTTGTGACGTAGTTCGGCAATGCAAAAATCGGCCATAGTTTCGGTCAAGGCAGATTCGTCTCGTCGGGCGGTATAGATGGGCCATCGCTCGAGGGCGGTGGTGATGGCGTTTTCAAGGTCCTGGTCGATGTCGTCGTCCTCTTCTTCCTCGTTGGTATCGTCGCCTTCATCCCCAGATTCCCTGTCCTGACCAACTGAATCATCTTCTCCGTTCCCATCACTGGCCTCGAGGTCCTGTGCGTGACCTCTCGCATAGGAAGATCTGCTATCCTCCTTCGCCCACTGCTTGAGAAGGGCAGCTCTAGCAGCTTCAATGCCCTCGGTCTTCCACTTGTTCGCAATCTCGTCATCGAGGATCTAACGGCGCAACAAGTCGAGTTCAGGACCAAACACGACGAGGTCATTGGAATGAATGCGACCGCACCTTGACATGCCAATTTTCCTTATCGGTAATTGCGCTCATGAATTGCAACATGCTGAATTCGCGGAGCGTCGTCAGCGGGAGTCTGCAATCATTCCAGAAAACGACTCTGATCAGCACTTTGGGAATGGGTTGAACACGGCATGGGGTCCACTCACATTGCACGGCCTTCTTGGTTGAGATCCCCAGACGAAAGGGCAGATGGAAAGAGAGTCCCAATATACAATGGGTCTTCCCCCTTCCTGGGTTCGTAAGCCAAGGCCTTTCCTAGCCCGGGGACAGGATGAACCAGGCTGTAATCTGGCGGAGACGTCGCAGCAGAGGACATTTAGAGTCGCGATAAAGACAGACGTAATCCGCGGTGAGGTGGACGAGCGAAGGCAAGGCGAAGAAATGTGGGGACAGAATCTCAATGAGGCACGGCGGTGCCCTCGTCAACACCGTGGCCCTTTATACGGTAGCTCTTTCGTACAATGTCGACCATTTTGAGTGACAGCGATACCACGAGGGGGTCGTCGTCGATGACTATCAAGGCGGAGGCGATTTAGCGTTTAGGGCGCCGAATGCTGTGGACAGGGTTCAAAGATAACCGTTCCCAGAAGCGAGAAGGATGACTCGACATGATACTAGCGTCTGTGTTCTCCCCGCCTTTACCCTATCGAGTGCATTGCGGACGAACGAGAGCCACATCCTGATAGGTACACGGACGGCTACAGACTACTGGACTGGAAACCGTCAATAGGGTACCTCAAGTCAGCTACGGTGATCCACTTACCTGTTATTCATAGAGCAGAGACGGGCGTTGAGCCCTGTCCTGGTCAGACCACATCGTGGTACGAACACAACTCAGATCAACGCCCCGCGTATTTGCGCGACCGACCCTCGTGGGAAAGAGCGCATGCTGCCTGATATGGTAACCCCCTCTCAAAACAAGCGCTGACACTCTTGGAGCGCTCTCCATGCCAAGAGCTAGTGCGAGTTGGGCAGCGATTGGTTCTACAGATCTCTTGTAGCTAACCTTGACCCAGTAACCACGAAACGAGTCCGTGGATAAATACCTTGGTACTTAGTCTGCAGCAGTACTAATAGCATCGTACAGGAAAGGAGAGGGAAGCAGAGAGCAATTCCGAACGCCAATACAGCTGAGCAAAATATATAATTGCCCGCACCCAAAAACAGACCTACCCTTTTCGCACGAACTAAAACGCCGTGGCATACATAACCATCCTGTCAATTCTAGTAACCAAACGCCCGTCAACCTTGCACAAATTTTCCAGATCGAGCATCTGCGAACGGTCAAAGTCAATCAATCCCCAGGGATGGACGACATTGTGTCGGGGGCATACTCGTTCATCACCTGCAGCACTCGCGGGAGGCATATACTTCAATACATTCCAAGGAGAGAGGTTGCCGTGAATGACGCCGAGTTCAAGTAGATCGTCTAGAACATCCTTTATGGCTTTCCTAGGTTCCAAATTAACCTTTGAGTACTTCTCACGTATAGTAAATGAAGACATAAGCCCTGTACTCACTTATCAGAATTAGTTCTCCATCCATCGCAAGCCTCACCAAGCAACTCGAGAACAAGCACAGAGAAAGTCGGATTATCCTGGACATCCCTTTTCCACTCGTACCACGGTCATCGGACTGCCAGTCGGCTGAAGGATACTGGTCGATGTTACAAGGGATACGGTCCGTGTCTTCGAACAAAACCTTCCGGCGCTTCCAAGGTTCGATTTCAAACTTAATTCGGGCGCGGCTGACGTCGAGGTTGGATTCGTGTGGATTGGCCCGTTTATCTAGGTCTGCCGCAGTGGAGGCGAAGAAACCGAAGCAAGTGGGCACGGAAATACCCTGCAGAGACTCCATCTGCTCGTAGAACCAGGCATCTCCGAGTCGTGCCAGACTGCGACTGAGCTCGGGCTTGGCGAATTTGAGGCACAGGGTGGGTGGTATTGTCGCCTGAATATCTGTGCCTTGTTGAGTTGCGGAGAGAACCTGCGCAATGTAAGCTACACCAATGCGACCCTCAGAGATGCGCTCTACGAGCTTAACCTCGAGGGTCCCGTCGAACCCAGAGATTTCCTTTGCTACCCATGTGGCAGGCACTGGCTGCTGCCAGTCCTGCTGGAACCAGACTGCGCAGGGGAAAGAAGGTGAAGCTCTGAGTGTAACTGATGTGGGCTCTCCGTCGATAGTACCGCAGTCGTGAATGATTAGGCTCGAGAACATATGCTGTGTCTAGTACGAAGTGGTCGATGAGTAAAGTGCCATTCAACAGCGGCAAGGTTGCGCGAATCGGAACTGATGCAGAGTTCAATTTAAACTCAGGGGCCCACAATCAAAGACGGACTCTGGCAAGCCATACTCAATCAAGTCCTAAATAGCACACCACATTACACGAAAGAGTCCTCACAACCAAGCAATTACATCTAATGCTCACAAAGCGAGAACGTAACCCCGCTCCCAAACAGTTTCCCATGGTCAACAGTAAACGCCTTCCTCTCCTCCATAAGCTCCTCCCTCAACTTCTTCGCCTCCGCGAGACTAATCGGGAACCCATCCACCTCCTCATACACATGATCCTGCAGCTCCACGGGCAATTTCTTCAACACCGCCGCACTTCCTCCTTGTCCAGGCCTAGCGCTCGAAGAGGAATGGGCGCTCGACGATGAGGACACATGTCCACCCTCCAACTCCCCCCTCCACCAATCCATCCTCTGCACCGGCACATGCGCCGTACTCACCACCCTCACATGCGGATCCACCAAGAACAGCGCCAAAATCTTCCTAACCCCCGGCTTGGTTTTATCCTCCAACTCAAACGGCTGCACCTGATGCTGCAAGATATTCGGGAATGTCAGGAGCCTCCCTTCGCGGGTGAGCACGGAGCCAACGTCCTGCACGGCCCCTTCCTCGTTCGCGCAACCGTAGACGTCGGTGAGCCAGTCGTGCACGCTTTGAGGGTAGGGCATCTCGTTGGCCGGTTCAGGGTCGGACAGTTGGCGGAAGGCGAGGTAGGAGGAGCTGATGTTTGAGGAAGAGTAGTAGTATAGTGCCGTGGCGACGATATGCTCGTTCTTGGAGAAAAAAAGAAGAGAATATTAATTAAGCTCCTCGGTAATTCGGGAGAGAGAGAGAGAGAGAAACACTCACCAGCTGTCCCTCAACATGCCAAGTGCCCCCAGGATATTTCGGCTTCTCAGGCGTCAACTCGATATTCGCAAGCTTCACAATAACCTGCAGGGGCCTCCCACCCTTCCCAATGTTCTTCAGCGAGAACGGCGCAGGGGTCCTCCCAAACGTCTCGGGATCAAAAGGCTTCTCAACGTCAGGCAGAACGACCCTCCTGAACTTCTCGATCCATTCCTGCCTGAGATCCCACCAGTCCTCATCGTCTTCGTCTTCTTCGCCAGTAGGTCCTGGACCTCCCTCGTCATCAGGGATCTCTTCTGGATCAGGGTCATGTATGACTTCATCGTAGACGATGCGTTGAGGGTATTCGTAGCTCCTATCCGCGAGGGGTGCAAGCGTGAGGTCCCAGAGGGGGATGGTGGCCGTTATGACATCCTCCACGACGCGATACAAGTCCTGATGCAGTTCAGGATGCAAATTATTGATATACGAGAGAATCCTATAGCCAAAGTTAGAATGAAGGAGCCGAAGAAAGACGACGGACGTACTTGGCTCTCTCACCAGACAGATCTACCTCACAAGGCAGCCATTGGAACTTGTTACTAAACCTCGACCTTTGGTTTTGCTGACCCCAGTAGTGTCTTCGTTCCTCAGCTGGCAGCGTCAAAACTGGAAGGACCTCTCCTTCACCACACCGCTTGACCGCATCCCCGGCTTCCAAACTGGTCACCTTGGCGCCCACGGGGAGGACCTTGGACTTGCCATACGCCAGCGGGAACAAGCTGGGGTGCACGAGGTCCAACACCTGCTGATCGGAACCAGGGTGCCAATCCTTGTGCTGAGCCGGCACGTTCTCGAGTGGTTCAACCGCCTTTCGCAATGCGGCCTTCACCTCTGGAGAGACAGCCGTGTCGGACTTGACGACGTTCCCGTTGTACACCACGATCGCGCCGTTGGGCGAGTTCTGGAAAGAGTGGGCTTTATGGCGCAGCTCCTCGATGCAAAAGTCGGCCATGGCGGGCGTCATCGCCGATTCATCGCGTCGGACGGTGTAGATGGGCCATGCGTCGAGGTTGGCGTTGTTGTTCCCGTTGCCATTACCGTCGTCGCTTTCTTCGTCCTCCTGATCATTGTCGCCGTCATCTTGCACCGGCTCTCCACCCTCGTTATCTCCAGTATCAGCATCATCACCCACGCTGGAAGTGGGCACAGGCGGGCCCCGCTCGACCTCCCATTGCTTGCGCAGGGCAGCTCGAGCAGCTTCGATGGCCTCAGCCTTCCACTTATTCGCAATCTCGTCGTTGAGTACCTGAAGAACCCAGTAAGCCCAATCCTCCATCTCCCAAAACTCAACCTCAACACACACCTTGATATGCCAATCCTCTTTATCAGTAATCGCATTCATGAATTGCAACATGCTGAACTCGCGCAGGGTCGTCAACGGGAGGCTACACAGACTTCCATCAGCATCTCCAACATACGAACAAAGAACGGGATCTACTCACATTGCACGCCCTCCTTCGTCGATATCACCAGGCGACAGTGCGGAAGGGAAAGGATCCCCGATATAGAGAGGGTCTTCACCCTTCTTGGGGGTGTAGTCGAGTGGCTTGCCGTGGCCTGGCATAGGGTGGATTACAGTGTAGTCCACAGTCGCAGCAGTATCCTCCATCGTGATGAACGAATTCGTTTCTTCAAGAGAAGGGGTAGTTCGAGAGACGAATAAACAAAAGTCGTGGCTTTATTAACGTCGAGTTCGAAGAGGCTGGATGTCGATGTAGAGTCGTATCGAAACTCGGTCTCGCAACAAACGGCGCGGTGCGATGGGGAGAACCCCTCTCAACATCCCTCTCCCTTTATATCTCCTCCGTCACATCCACATCCATCCATTTTCGGTGTCCAGCGGTCCACGAGGAGATTATCGATCAAGGTCTTCACTAGGGATCAAAAGTCGAGGTCAGGGCTCCAAGGCGTCCCTGTCATGCCCAGAGAAACGGGGAATTCGTTGCCAGGGGCTGCACAGGATGACTCTGTAAGGGCATATTGCCCTCGCCAGTCCCATTCCGCCCCAGGTTGGCTGATAGCGGGCGGGAGGTTGTCGGCACCGCTCAGCCACGACTACCAGCCTAAGGCCTTCTTCTGGATGCAATATCTGCCAGTTGGTCAATAAATACAACTTCACCGCTAAAATATGTCGTTTTTCTTACCATTTCCCTGCAGGATATTCAGCTTCGCATGTTGAAGAAATGGCTCTGGAGTCAGGAGTCAGACACCGTCATAGTACGAACACAACCCACATCATTACTTACTTTGATGGCGCTGTCATCCCCGCGCGCAGCCGACGCCCGTGTGAACCCGACTCAGCGCTCATGCACATGTCTGAATCAGTAAACCCGTCCGCCACATTGCGCACGCCGTGCGGGCGGCGTTTCAGACTTCCCAATTGACGATCACTGGATGACCAGAGATGACTCTCCAATAGACTGTGCGCTTTAGACGTCGACAACAACCGGAATTTCTCAGCCAAGCGCTCGCCGCACAACCCGAACTGGTTCCCGACCCTCGTGGGACCTTGATCCGCATCAGATCTTCGCGGCATCTTTCGGCCAGGCCACCGAGACTCTCGCAGCCTCTCCAGCAGAAGTTATCCTAGCCCCAGAAACCTTCAAGCATTCTTGGTTGACCGGCAATTATTAATTTTCAGCCGTTCTGCGACACCGGAGCCCTCCAAAGAACCCAATGCGCAGATGCTCTAAAGATGGACGTCTATGGGCGGCTTTCTCATGACCAAGGCCTTTTCCTTCGAACTTCTCCAAGTCTGGCTCGACCATTGTCAACCATGACATCTCTTCACATTCGAACTGAAAATGCCCCCAAATCGCAGAAATAGATGGCCCTTCCTCGGCATATCTACCTCGCTCGAGTAGCTATTAACCTTGGACTGTCGACGTTACTTGTTCGAGATACTTGTCTTTGTTTTTTGTCTCTGGAACCCTACACACCTCTCGAGATACTCTACAATGGTCCTCAAATCCAGTTGGCTTTTGGCGCTCTGTAGTCTCGCTGTTCTTGGACCTGTCTCTGGAACGCCTGTTGATCTTGATGTCGCCACCGACAAAGGAAAAGTGTGTCGATTGAAACCGTTGGGACGAGGAAGAGATGACACCGATCAGGTTCGTTTAAACTAGGTCACTATCTAGCAGTTGTACGCCGGATTGACATGACTTGCTAGGTCGAAGCTGCGATTAAGCGCTGTGGAAATGGCGGTACAACCATCTTTGAAGAGGGAGACTACAAAATTACAAGGTCAGCGACTACCTCGGGGTGTCGGGATTGCCGCTGAACAACAACATCTTCCTCTAGGAAACTCTTCTGGGAACTCAACTCGGCTCGAGTAGAGCTCAAAGGACGATTAAGCGTGAGCCTTTCTATCCATCCACAACCCTTCCTACTCTTCTTCTTACTCTTCGAACATCTTCTGATCCCTCTTCTCATCTAGTTCGAGCCGAAGGTGGAGTACTGGCTCGACCCAGCCAACACCTTCCGGGTGGTCTTCATCCAAGTACGTACATATTTCCACATTTCTACGTACTGTGTACCTACGACCGTCCCGCCCCGTACCGGTGCTGTCCGGCTAACCCGTCATGATCATCATCTTCGCAGAGCCAAGCCTCCTGGTTCGTCGTAACCGGCAAGAACTTCGTGATCGACGGAAAGAAGAAGGGTGGGATTGAGGGGAACGGCCAGGTAAGTCCACCTACAAACCTTCAACTTCCCTCAGCACCTTCGAAGCATGCATATGGAGAATTGATTTTTCCGATTCCTATACTTACCACTTCTGAATCTGTGCCGATCATCAATGGCCCGGGCAGCCTTGGTGGGAATACTTTACGGTAGTCCCAAGGCAAGACGGGAACGGGCGGCCCATCGCGTTCACGTTGTGGAAAGCGAAGAATGCTGTTATCAAGGATTTCAACATCATCTCGCCACCGTTTTGGGCTAATGCGGTAGCGGAATCGAGTGAGGTTTTGTATGATGGTATGTTCGTCAATGCTACGAACTTAAATCCCAAGTACTTTGGACAAAAGTGAGAGCTTCAAGTATCGTTCTAACTTCGGGGGGCTATGCGATTGACTTTTTTTTCTTGACAGTGTCGTCTGGAATACCGATGGTCAGCAGCGATAAACTTCATGTTGTTGATGTTTGGCTTACATCCAACAGGAATTGATACATATCGAAGCGAACGTATCACGATGAAGAATTGGGATGTTACCAGCGGAGATGATTGCATTGCCGTCAAGGGCGTAAGTTTAGACCAGACTCCAGAGACCATCTACCTAGCTGCATGCTGACTCTGTAATTGCAGAATTCTTCCAAGATCGTTGCCCGAGACTTTGTTTGTCGGGGCGGAACTGGGATCGCATTCGGCTCGCTAGGCCAATACGCTCACTTGGTAGGGTTCCTGTTCTACATTTATCTTCTTATCCTCTGTGCTAATACAGGGCGCAGACGGATTATGTCACCGATGTCTTGGTCGAGAATGTCAAGGTCGGTATCATCGCTGCCACCTGCTACCCCCAATACATTCTCATTCTCGACGAACACAGGTGTTGCGCCTTCCTTCAAGGCAACAACCAAACATGAACTATGGTGTAGGCCATGCTCAAAATTAGGATTACTTCATCTATACTCACAAAGCTCTAGATCTACTTCAAAGCTTGGGACGGCCCAATCACCGGTACTCCTCCAACTGGAGGAGGCGGAGGACGAGGTAATCCAAATCCCTCTCCATTCCACAATCACAAACCTTCTCTCTAAACTGAGATTCCGTTATAGGACTCGTCAGCAACGCCATCTTCCGAAACGTCATCTTCGACCGGGTCATGACCGGCGTCCAAATCTGGCAAAACTTTGGTAGCGAGTGCGTTCTGCAGGGTTTTCCTCGAGTCCATCCACCTTCCAAACCTAACATTGTTTCCTCAGCGGAGAAGCGCCCGTAACCAGCAAAGTCAAATTTGACGGCCTCCTTTTTGAGAACATAAAGGGAACTACGAACACCAGTAACAGTACGTCGAACCCACTCGAGCGTTGACGGGACCAAGTTGACCCCAGTGGCTCTACTACGACAGTCGTACGATTGGAGTGCAGCTCTGAAGCCCCTTGCTCCAACTTCACCTTCCGCAACTTCCGAGTCCACGGCCCCAACAAGACTGAATCGACCTACATCTGTGACAACACCGAAAACATTCGAGGACTACCAGGTCAGTTTCATTTGCGCCACACTTACCTCGAAGGTTCTGACGGTCGTTTTAGCACCTTGCAACAATTAAGGGTTGAGTTCCTTCGAGTCTCATCAGGAGTAAAGCCTGAAAAGGAGCCTCTTTTGCGTAATGAACTACCTATTGTGTACCTGCCTACAGCCTCTTCGAAAATACCGTGAATAAACGCTGAATTTAGCGCCCTAATTCAGGGGGATTATGTAAGAAACCAAGAACACCAAGCCCCGCAAAGCTGTGAAGTGCTCCATCAAGATCTTCTTCTCTCTCCAACCACCACGACCCCAACCACCGCCGCACCCCTTCCAATCCGACATGGACGACATCTCGTGCAGAATAGTCGTCGTCTCCTCATCATTATCCAAGGGAGACATCCTAGTGCAAAGTCGGACGGATTTTATCTCTTCTATATAAAGCATTGAGGATCCTGACGACTACGCGCTGCTAGACTTGAAACGGCTATCGGCGAAGGCGAAGAAGGGGTTAGGTCTACCTGTGGGGGATGCACGTACACCTGCGATAGAGGACGACGTAGGGGATGGAGAAGGGAAGAATGCGAATGTGAGCGAGAACGAGAGTTTGGTAGAACCCAAGTTCTACCCATGGACGATCTCGAATCGATACTACACCGCCAACGTGCATTTCTCTCTACACTCCCTTTCACGGACGTATCCTGCCGTGTTTGAGGGGATTCCGGCGCTAGTTGTAGCTTGGACGCATGGAGAGGTATGTTCTGTCGACTCCCCTGTCGTTGCAGCTGACCGATCTCTTGTGTGAACAGCCAATCGAGGAGTACATGAAGGATCTACAGAAGGCTATGGGTGGACACGAACCTGAAATCTTACTTGGTGTGCGGTTGCCGGGAGATAAAGATAAAGAGACTGGGGGGATTGAAGAAGAGGATGATCTCGATTCTATGATGATCTCGTACGGGTTCGAGTACATCGACGCTTCAAGACCGCTGGATCCAACTCGAACGAGGAATGAAGACGAGGATGGTGAGACCCAGCGTATCACACTAGTCCGCTGTCCTAACGTCCGCATCCTAAGGCGTACCACACCTCCCACGAGTCCTCGACGCACTAAGCGCATTCATGTGGCCATCTATGACCACCAACACAGACCTCCCACACGACGACAACGACAACAACGCCGACGGCTCCGACACCGACTCCCCTTCCTCCTCCCAGCACACCTCGCCCAGACCTCCCCGCCACCAACCCACCCTCGACCACATCATCAACCGCGACCCCTTCGCAATCCTCCAAGCCCTCGAAGAACTGGATGCCGAATTCAACTTTGAAGACAACGAGGAAGGCGGGGCGAGCGGGTACCACGAAACACTCAAACAACTCGCCATGCTCGAAGCGGAATCCAAAGCTGCGGGTATCATAACCGATTCACCTCCGTCCGGATTCACCGACCTCTCGCCAACTAATGCGAATCCACCGAATCAGAATTCAGATCTGTCAATACCCTTTGGCCTCTCAGAAACACGCTCTCTGAAACCAAAGATTTCGATAGGCTTCGAGGACGATTTTAGCGCATTTGTTACTGCACCACCAGAGGACGACGACGATGCTGAAGAGCTCAGGAAGGACTTTGCGGCTGTACACATCCACTCTGGGAGGACGAGTCCGGATTACGATTTGCTGCTGTCAGCGGACCCAGCTGGTGAATTCGCAAGTCGAGGGTCATTATACAGGTCGCTCGGGTCCATGTCTGATCTAGGTGACCTCGAGACATCACCAAACACCGCTGCTAAGGAACTGGAAAGCAAATAGAATTCAATGATGTACTATAGTATACTATGCTATGTTTATTCAACGTCGATGTTGATGATCTTGATATCCTCGAACGGTTTATCCAGTTTGTTCGTCTTGACGTTCTCGATAGCGTGAACGACTTCCAGACCTGACAACACCCGTCCAAAGATCGTATGCTTCTTGTCCAACCATGGTGTTGCAGTAGTCGTGATGAAGAACTGCGATCCGTTCGTTCCAGGGCCAGCGTTGGCCATACTGACAGTATACGGGCTGTACAGAGCAGCGTTAGCGTTCCTTCCCGCAGGACAATCATAACAAGGAACTCACCGATCATGCTTCAAATCATCCGAAAACTCATCCTCAAACTCCTTGCCCCAAATACTCGTCCCACCCGTTCCATCACCCAACGGATCCCCCGTCTGGATCATAAACTTGGGAATAACACGATGGAAAATGACACCCTCAAAGTACCCGCTCCTCGAATGCCCAACAAAGTTCTCAACAGCCTTGGGTGCCTGTTGCGGGAAGAGCCGGATGTGGATGTCGCCCAGGGTGGTGTGGATCGTGGCGGCGTTGGCGAAGCGCGAGGGCCCGGCGGGGGTGTTGGCGGTTGCAGCGGCCACGGTGCGCTCTTCGTGCGTGGGGCGCTCGTTGAAGACGTCGCGGTCGCCGGTTTTGCTGTCCTCGGGTTCGGAGCGTGTGAACATGTAGAACCTGTTCTTCTTGAAACCGGTGCAGATGAGAGTGGGGTCTCGCTGGCCTTTCTCGGCTAGGATTGGGTTGGCTGATGCAGCCATTGCCTGGGAGGGAGTGAGGAATACCAGAAGTTGAGGAGGAGAGAAAGGAACGTACGACTGTTGTCAGACTCTTCTTCGAAGGAGCACCCTGGTATAGCGTCAAACTGAGGAACCGGACAACTTCGTCCTTGCCCAACAGCCTTGCAACACGATTCGTATACGTATTCACCACTACACCAAATCAGCACCCTCCAAACCAAGAGAAAAACTACACGCACCTTTAATCCCAAGCAAAGTAGGATAAATGATAAACGCCCCACTCTCATCCCAAACCGCGTTAATCCACCGTCCAGGAATCTTTCCGTCAGGACCGGGCAGCTCCAACTCCCTCTCCGCCGCCAACCGTCGTCCAAACTCCATATCCTCTACACGATACACCGCCGTACCCGCCTGCTGCATCTCCTGGATCGCTTCCAGCGATTCGTCGTATTTTCGCGTGAGTTTGCCGGAGAGGAAGGAGAAGATGCGGACTTGGCGGTCTGGAAGGGAGAATGTCACAAAGGAGGATGAGTTGGGGCTTAGCGTTATACATGTTGGCGTCGATTTTGACTGGGTTAAAAGGTTAGAAAGCGGAGAAGGGAAGAAGGGTAGGTGGGAGGGACGTACCTTTTTGAATTCGTACAAATCGGTTTCGCTTTTGTATTGCCAAAGTCCCGGAACGTTTTTGGGTTGGACGAAGGGCTCGATGGGTTGCCAGTACTCGACGAAGCCTGCCTCGTCGGCGGAGATGACGGTGTGGTATCTATCGCTGTACTGTTTCATGCGTAAGTGTGCGTCTCTGGAGCTTGGGGAATGCGGCGTACTGTCATAACGTGCACCGGGAATCGGTGCACGCTGTCGATGGTTTCTAATGGTGTTTCATTCCCTCTTCCATCGTATAATCGTATCCTCCCTGAACCAACCTCGGAACTGGACAAATTGTCAGTAGCTTTCTCCAAAACAGAGAAAGGGAACTCACATTGCGAGAATACCCTGCGCTTGACCGCTTTTATGCACCCAACAACACGCGAGGGGGGTATACCCGAGTTTGATAATGTTGATCATATCTGCAAGCACGTCTTCAGCACTTTGGTTCTACGAAACGGACAAAAGCACGCACCAAAGTTAACGACATCGAACACTTTCGCAGTCTGATCCTCCGACACCGTAGCGAACAGCTGTCCATCTGCACTTGCAGACACCGAGACGACAGGGTTGAGATGCGCGCGGTAGTGCTTGACGAATTCGATTCCTTCTTCTTGCTTTTTCCAGAGCTTGAGGTGGCCGTCGACGGAGGTTGTGATTAGGAATTCAGTTCTATTGTTGGGAAATAAGCCGTCAGTTGCAAAGCGAGAGAATAAGCTCGAACGGTTGCGCACTTGGTCATAACCACGAAATTGAGGACGTCTCGATGCATGAAGCTCTTGTAATATTGTTCGGTGTTGGGTAAGTGCTCGAGGTACAGCTTCTCATGGGGTAACACTAAGGTCTATTTAGTCACCCTTCAGAAAACCCAGTAAACAGCGTACGTACCTTTGCGTTTCTTCTTCGCCGTCCCCGCTGCCCCCGCAGGCAGAGGCATCGGTCCAACGTCGTCGGAATCAGAGTCGTTGGCATTGTCCTGGCCGTTATCCTGCTGAGCGGCTGCTTCATCGCGTATCCGTTTACCCAGCACAGACTCGTCTTCGGCCATCTTCCTGGTGCGTATGGAGATTTCGTGGTTCAGGTCAAGCGCCAGAATCCATGGCCAGTTCCAGTGATCGCGTTGGCTGCTGTGGCGGTGCGCCGAGTTTGTCCCTGCTTGGAATCAAGGACGATACCGTTTAGCCTTGGCGCTGATCGTCGTCGTCCGGTAATCCAGTTCGCCGTGGTCCGTGTCATCGTTCCTTCGAACCACCATGTCTCTCTTGGATGTCGTCGAATGGGCTCGAAATCGGGTGCTATCGACTCTTCTCCACAGTACCACGGGAACTCAGCAGACTAGATCCGTTCCTTCCAATGATCTCCTGGAATTCGCTTCAATGCAAGCGGAATGCCAGTGCGATTAATGACGACAACGACTGCTAGGGAGATGGTTGGGAGATGGATTCGATCTGAGTGCATTGCTCCCGACATCTCTGCGCGAAGACGACCGGACTTGCCTACTCAAAGTTGAAGTTAGCGGAAATGCACCCTCTCTGCACCACCATGACCTTGTACTCCCGACGCAATGTTCTCTGTAATGGACCTCCTTCTGGCGGCCGTCCAACACCCCAGACGAATGCGGGGACGATAGCACCCGACAAACAGGATGCCTGACCATAAATAGGTCATGGGGTACTCGAAATAGCAGCCAATCTGCGAAGAGGGTGGGGATAGCACCCGTGCGCGGGGTGTCGCTAGCTTTTGGCCTTCCATCTGGATGCAGTTGAACTTTTGGAGTGGTTTTGGTTTCCTAGTTTGGTTTTCTCCACTTGATGGATGGCTTGTAGTGGTACTTTCGGGGTTTGACCACGAGGGCTGAAGAAGCGAAATACTCGTCGATGCTGGATGCTGTCTGCCAACTTCCCTGAGCCACGCTAGGCTTCCAACAACACCCGTATCACTACTTTGATTTCCAAGTGACCGGGGGATGGTGTATATAAAGCATCAAGCGTCATCCTCATCTCCCCAACCCAGTCCCTCCTCCCTTCTCCAATCCCGAGTCTCAAAAATGGTCTCCAAATCACTCACCTCCCTCGTCCTCCTCGCCTTCACCCTCACCGGTGTCGCAGCGGCCCCCGCCCCCACCACCCCCTGCGCCCAAGTGCACATCATCGCCGCCCGCGCATCGACTGAGCCCCCCGGCCCCGGCATCGTCGGTCAACTCATCACCCAGATCCAGAACCAGAGTTCCCAGACCGTTTCCACCGACTCGGTCGATTATCCTGCTACGCTTGAGAACTATAACGAGAGCTCGTCGGCGGGTACTGCGGCACTCAAGACCCATTTGACCAACCAGGCGAATAGGTGCCCTAATCAGAAGATTGTGCTTATTGGGTACTCGCAGGTGAGGATGGATTGCTAGTTCTACTCGTGCATCGAGCTAAGTTGCTGACGGGCTTGCTTTTTTCGTACAGGGCGCTCATATCATCGGTGACACCCTCGCCGGCGGAGGAGGCGGCCTCTTGGGTACCCGAACTCCCGCTATCGACTCTAGCATCGCCAACCGAGGTTCGTCTCTCTCTCTCTCTCTCTCCCTCTCCCTCCCTCTCCCTCCCTTTCCCTCCCCTCCCTTCCTCTTTTTACCACCGCACACCCAACTCACAACCCCTCCCTCCCCACAGTCGTCGCCGTAGCCAAATTCGGCGACCCCCGCCACGTCGCCGGCAAGTCCTACAACGAGGGCACAGCTCGCAGGGACGGCATGTTCCCCCGGGGCCTCACCCAGGACTACAGCCTCACCTTCCGCTCGCGCGTCAAGAGCTGGTGCGACTTTAATGATTTGTTCTGTGCTTCGGGTCTTTCGACTATTGTCCATTTGACGTACCTTGAGAGGTACCAGAATGATGCTGCGAGGTTTGTTCTTGATAAGATTGGTGGTTAAGGGAGATATGCCAATGGTGGGTGGCCGTGGGATGTGAGTAGGTGGTGTTTTGAGTTTTTGAGAGGCTTTGGCTGATGAAAGGTGTTTAGATCAGTCTGTGAACTGGTTAAGTGGCTTCACCCAAACTCTTTCGTTCAAAACGCTTTTATTTCGTGATTTCGCTTGTACTGTTAATCCGTGTCGTGTAAAATGAAATACCCTTGTATTGTTACTCTTTCACTATGTGAAGTTGGGGCACGGCAAGTGCACCTATCGATGAGGTTACAATACGAATCGATACTCTCCCGACACGCCCCCGAGTCACCTGCCCAGTACTCACATACCCCACACCAACCAACATCCCTTATTCGCGTTGGCAACCCAGTTTCTTGAGTCCACCATGGCCGTGAGTATACTTACACTCGAGGACAAAGTCGAGACTTTCAACTTCTTTCTCGATGCAGCAGCATCATTGATCAACTGAATGAGGCTGTGTAAGTTGTATTTACGCATGCAGTCTAAGTGTCTCGACGACTAACGACTATTGTCTACAGGGACATTCATCTCCAAGTCTAGACACGCAAGGAGAGCGCTCCTCAACCCAATCCCATACAACCTCATCAACCACACCCGCCAATTCATCCACTGCACCACGAGTCATGTTATACGCACGTTGAAAAACCAGTTTCTCCAACTTCGCACCTGATGCTTCCCTCCCCTTCAGCACTTTAAATAGGACGTCCAGTTTGACGGGCTTGGGAGACCCGTCCCGAACGTCGACACAACGAAATCCATCGGCGTTCACGACAGATTCAAATACGAGCGTCTTCAGGGCCGGTAGATACTCGAGTGGCCGAGGGACCGTTGGGTCACTAAGTCCAGGATCGCGCTGAAGGGCTGTGACGACAGCCAAAACGACGCGTTCGGATACGAAAACGTCTTCCGCTGCCACAAGAACTCTCAGAATATGACCCAGATGTCCATGGTAGTCAGCGTAGTTTTGAAGGCGCAGGGAACGGATGCTCCAGGCAGGAAGGGATTGGATTGCGGGAATATCAAGCACGCTGCGATAGAGGACATAGCAATCCCTTTTTATCGGGAAGGATGCGACGTCATGACGGTCTGTCCAGACGTAAAAGTGCAGGACTCCGTCTTGCTCAATTTCGAGGCTCTGGGGTGTCGCCTCACTGAAGCTGATTTGTGGGGTTTTGATCTCGGCAGGCGACGAGGTTTGAGGCGACTCTACCAATCTGCGAGGGACTAGCGGCAAGGGCAAAGGGTCTGCTTCCTCAGTATCGACTGTCAACTCTATCGTGGCTGATTCGGGAATCACCACATGTTGCAATAGGTCGTGGCATTGCTTGATGCTACCCCAAAATTCCAGCCTTCGAAGACGCGGAAGAGCAACCACCCGGTGAAGGCTTGTGGCTTGGTCATCGAGGTCGGGGATGGGAACGTAGAGGCTGAGTTCGACCAAATCGGGCATCTTTTCCAATGCGTCGAGAAAGACACCGGGAGAAGGTGGGGGGTACTTGAAGGCATTTCTGTCGAGCATTCGCAACGACGTCAGGCCCTCAAGGAGCGGCGATGTCCAGGGAAGGTGGCAGCTAAAGAGAGATACTTTACGGAGAAGTGGGGCTCCTTCCTGGAATAGCTCTGGGAGCCGCGTGTCTCTAGCTCGAGTGAATGGGTCGTTGTTGTGTAGAATGAGGGTATGCAGTACTGGCGCAGCGGGTGGAAGCTTCTTGAGGCGAGGAGTGAGATGATGAAACAATTCACGCATGCTGAGCGACCGGATAGTCCGCGTGGCTAACGCCTTTTGAATCCAACGTTCGTTGGACCCCCTCGAACCTCTATCCAGGCATATGTCCAGTGGTGCAGTCTTGGACCTCATCAAAAGGGTACGGATGGCATCGGCCTTGTAGTCGGAGACGTAGGTCCATAGCTCTGGCTGATTGAGCGCAACTTTCTTCCAATAGCGACAGACACGCGTGACGCAGACGATTGTGCTGTAACTGGGCCCGTCAGAGGTCGGCTCCGATGCAGCGAGCTGGGTGGGACTGAGGTGGAGGAAAATCTTGTGCAGAACCTCTTTGGGAAGCCGGGATATGGGGCAGAATTCGTTCCTCCGCGACTTTAGGTCGCAAATTCGACTTGAGATCACCTTTAATTGTTCGAGAAGATCCTGGCGTTGACCTTGCAAGGACTCGATTTCGATGTCCACGGCTGCTTGAGAAGAGAACTGGTCCATCTGAAGCGAAACGTGTTTCGTCAACCCATAAGAGGCAGCTGGGATATAGAAGGAAACTGACTGAAATGTCCATGGGATGAGAAACTCAGTCAATGGTACTTGTGTTCCTCGACGAATGCGGTGTGGTCGTTGTAGAGAGCAGCAAGCCTTAGCCTGCCGTCGCAAAAGTCGTGCGGCTAAACCCGGATTCGAAACTGTGGTGTCCAGGTCTTGATCGCTCCGGCTAATCTTCTCCAAAAGAATCGAGGCTGGTTTACAAGACTACTTTAACCTCCCGGCAAGTTTCCGCGGTCTAGTAGGTCGCTGGGGCGGATCTATGACCCTGTCGAAGACCCTTTGACTGGAAGCATTTTTATTTTTACTTGTCATCGCATAATCCACTTTCATTGTGTGCGGTCAGCACACGACCAATGCAGATAATTGAGAGTGTGATATGTGATATGTGATTAGTACGGATGGATGCGACAGAGGACCACGCCTAAGTCACCGCACCAGGGGTTCCTATAACCCATCATCACCACCACCAACACGCATTCGCAATCCAAAATGGCAGTGAGTACACCTACTAACACCTGAGGGCAGAGTCGGGGGTTCTCATTAGTACCGTCTCGCTCGCGATCACTGGCAGGACTTTCCACCAGAGATCAAAGAGCAAATCGCAAGTTTCTGCACCCTTTCCACCGCCCTCTCCCTGGCAGTTACCCACAGCACCTACCTCGAGGCTTCAGAACGAAGGATCTACCATTCTTTAACCATTCTGGCCGATACTCAATCGGTGCAGGCCCTCACAGCCCTTTCTCGCAAACGGGCGAGATACTCGTTCGTTCAATCTCTCACCGTGGAGATCTTCGACAACAACGACGAAGCGAACGTGAAGGTTGGGCGGATGGTCGTTGAGGTCCTCCATTCTTTGGTTAATTTAGAGGAGTTGCGGATCAGACTTGGGCCATGGGCTTATGGGAGGAATGCGAGGGATGTGGAGGGTGCTGTGGTCCTTCTTAGGGATTTAGACAGAGTTCTCTCGTGAGTTGACACACTGAACATTAGACCACCCAACCGTGACTAACCAACACTTATCGACCAAAGATCCAAGGACATGCCCCAGCTCAAAACCCTCTTCTGCAACGACTCTTTCGACTTGGCGGATATCCTAAAGTCGCAAAGGCGGTTAGAAAACCTAGTATTTCGCAGCTCGACGAACGTGATTGTGGACCAAGCCGCCGTCGTCGAGACGCTAGAAAGACTCCGTGATGCGGGAGAAATGCCCCGAACGCTCAGAGCAATTTATGGAGTCCACGAGCCGGCGTGTGACGGGCAATTTGCTACTGGGGCGATCCAGCGCGGTCCCACCCCCAACTGGAACATCGTACTCCTCCCGATCTTCTTCCCTGACCTCGACAATCTCTTTGAGCGCCTATCTGCGCTTCTAGGAACTGAGAAACCCTGCAAGGGAAGGATGTGCCTTGATTCAGTCGGAATAGCACAGGTGTTCTGCCGGGATTTATCACAAATCGACGAATTGTTGAGGAAACTGGGGAACAGCTTTCAAAGTGTGGTTCACCTTGGTATCGTGACGGAAGGACCAGACCCAACTGTGAGTGTGCTCCAACTTATTCGTTATTCTGCCGTCACTTTGCCAACTCCGGCATAATAGACAGACGACATTGGAACAGCCCTCCAATCCCTCCCTAACCTGAAATCTTTATTATTCTGCACTCGAAGAGAGGCAGGGGAATACGACACAGAGGAAGACTATAACCCAGATCACGACCCCCGACTTGCAGGTGGAACAGAGGTTTTAAGGAGGCGTGCGGAAAAGTGGGGAACGATTTGTCCACAGTTAAATGCGGTTGCTTTCAGCTTGAACTATGGATGGCATTGTAGGGATACGAGTGGGCGCTGGTTACGAACTGGTAAGTGACGCGTAGATACTAGTAGTCGTGATGTAGATAGGTAGATAAGCGCCCATTGATCAGGCCACTCGATCTCGACATGTATTCATGGCGCGACCGAGTCAGCCAACGGCAATCAATATCCCTGTGGTTCGGGCGCTTAGTATCCAACCTCAACGGCGGCCACCCCTCTACCTACGAACCCTGCCCACCTCTCAGAACAAGCCCTTATTCCTCTCCACCCACTCCTTAACACTCGTCTTCCCAACGAAAACCTTCAAACCCATCTTCTCCTGCTCTTCAGTGCTAAGGCTAGCCCACCTCTCCTCCGTTCCAGCAGATTCGATGGCTAGTTCCGCTTGGGTAAGGCCGTGCGCGACGTCAGGCGGGAGGGCATGGCTGTAGAATTTTATCATCTCGTCGGCGGAGATGGGTTTGTGGGTTATGGGTTTTGAGAGGATGGTACTTGTTGTTGCTGCGAGCTAGAGGGCGAGTTACATAATGAGTCGATGGGGGTTGTGCAGGGGGAATATTGAGCGAACTTGCCTCGTCGTATGTCAACAACTCAGGTCCGATGATGATGACTTCTTTCACTTTGTTCTCGTCTGCAACGATACCTTCGAACGCGGCTCGGGCGATATCCTCCGCTGCGACGAACGGGATTCGACGCGTTGGTACAACCGTTTCGATTTCGCCTTTTTCGCGAATTCCATGGCCGTATGTGTGGATTAGGTTGTCTATCCAGACACCACTCAGTACCTCCACATAGAGACACACCAGCACCCCGAAGGAACTCACCAATGAACCAAGTAGGCCTCAGGATATACCTATCCAACCCCTTCTCCACGAGGTAGATAGGTACACTCCCCATACCCGCCACATTGTGTTCCTTATCAACCGACGAAGCGCTCAAGTACACAAACCTCTTCACGCCCTTCTCCACCGCCAAATCGATGAACGGAATCAACGTCCCGCTAAGATCCACACCGTCCATATGCGCGATCAAGTACACGGTTTTGATGGTGGTGTTGGACTTGGAGCTCGCCCAGTCGAAAGGGTTGGAAAAGGTGGATGGGTCGTCCCAGGAGAGTTTGACGGAGGGAAAGCTGGAGGGGATGCGTTTGCCTGAGCGCGACCCGAAGAGGACGGGGATGTTGGCGGCGGAGAGGAGGTGCGCGAGGTGGGTACCTACGGTGCTCCCGCCGCCGGTGATCAGTACCGTGCCAGTCATGGTGTGCGAGTACAGAGAGAATTAAGCTGGAAAGAGGGATGCTTGGAGAGGTGCGCTCTGAGCCATTCCTTTGTCTTGCTAGCGTCCGTTTTATAGAGCTACCAGGTAGTGTTTATAAGCACTCAGTTTGTAATCCGAGTTCATTGGGTTTCGCGGTGTACCTGGCCAAGGACAATAATCTACGCTTGGTACTTTGTCATTCACCGACTTATCAACGTCTTTCCTAACTATTTCCCCATTTTTTTCCGTTTTTGTCTTGACCTTCAGTGGCAATCTCAAGAGGATTTCAAAGCAACTTTCCACCTGTTCCTCAAGGGCGCTCTCCGAAGCGGAGGACAACGCGCCCCGCCCCTAACAGGCACTGGGCTTGGCACCTCCATCAATATTTTTACGTGTCGCGCCTCGCGTTTTCTATGCCGTTGGCATGGCGATGAAGACATCCCACACTCCTGCGAACGCTCGCTCAACTCTTCTCGTCGGATTCGAGTCTTCCAGTCCTAAAAACTATGCTTTCCGAATGAATCGCGGTGCCATAAACGACGTTCTTTAGCTCCAAGGTGAATGTCCAAAAACGTCATCCTCAGGCGGGTTATCGTCGGCGACAATGGCTGGGATTTGAGAGGATGGAGGGTTACCCGCATCATGATCAAAGGCAAGCAAGTTTAGGAAAAGGAAAACAGCCGGCCGTCTTGATCACCAGGCTGTTTCCTCTTCCTTCTTCAACGTTCCTGTCCCTCCCTTCTTTTCAAACAACACACACCACCAGCTTGAACATCAGCTTTTTTTAGGGTTCTTCACTCCCGTTCATAACCTTTTGGTATCACAAGCCTGAAGCCTGCATTTCTCTCCTCTCCTTACATTCAAGTTCACTTCTGAGCAGGCTTTAGCAACCTCTTTCCTTTCCTTTCGCTTTCTTTTTTTATCTATACCCCGCAGCAAGACTCGCTCTTGAAGAACGAAAATGGCGTCACCGAACGGGTATAACGGCCACGACGAGGACGAGACGATCCACGGGCTTCCCCAGCAGATGCAGAATGGACTCTTGCTCGGTGACGGCGGGGATGCAGGGTACTACGACGAAGACCAACCGCAACAACACCTCCAAACGCCGTCCCAACCACATTCCGCCTATTCGTCGCCTGCGAGAAACGTCCCTATCACCCGGACTGTTGCTATCATCAAGAACCATGCGCTCCAACACCGGTTCGAGATTGAGAGGAGGATCCAGGAGGCTAGTTTTGAGGTTAGTTAACGTTCTTGGCTGGCTTTCTGGGGTTTAGACTGGGATTTGGGAGCGCGTCTCGCTACGCGCTGAGCCCCTAAAGTCCCTTTGCTGTTAAACGTCTCTAGGACTGCTGGAATGGTTCTCCTCGGTTCCTTAATCTCAAGTTCATTACTGACGCTACGGATATGTACACAGATTGTCAAAGAACGTCAGATGGAATTCGACACGGAGACTGATCCAGAAACGTTGGAGGAGATCTTTGGCGAGGATGCACTAGTGTCGCTGTCAGAGTAAGTGCGGGCCATTTTTATCTCCCTGCACCGTCTAACCACCGCTGCGACAGAGGCCCCGTGTGGGTATACGTCCTCGAACGCCGGCGCGCAGTCGAAGTCTGGCAGACGCTTATGGGCCCCCGCGACCCCGCCATAGCCCAACACGAAGCCCCCAACTCCCTCCGCGCCCTCTACGGCCTCTCCGACACCCAAAACGCACTCATGGGCTCGCCTGATAGTCAAACTGCAGAAATTCAAATACAAGCTTTGTTCGCTTCTTCCCCGCCGTTCCCCGCTTCTGACCTCCCACCTGAGGATGAGGAATACCAGGGCGTCACTGCTGCAGGCCTCGAAGCGCTCAACGCACACACCGACGAAGGATACGCTGGTGGATACGGCCCGTCGAGTGTTACCAACCCCTCCGCTGCGGGGTCGCAGAGTACGAAGCTCACAGCCAACGGTACCCCTGCCTTCCGTGCCCGCCCTGTACCAGTTACCACCCACAAACCCGATATCGTGCCGAGGATGACGAAGGCTGCGGCCCTGCGCGCAGGAATCCCGGTCGAGCAGCTCGGTCCGTCTACCAGTGCACCGCGAAAACCGATCCCGAAGGAGAGGCAGGCTGAGACGTTCAAGAACGTACCCGGGCATAAGAGGTCGGAGACGATTAGCGTTGCGAGTACTGCCGCGCCGGCCATTGCGCCGCGGATGACGAGGGCTGTGAGTTTGCGGTTGGGGAAGGCTGCTGGGGGGGCGGGGCCGGTTGTGGCTCCACCTGTGAGGAGGGCTGCGACGACGGATGATGCGGAGAGGAAGAAGGTGTCGGCGAATACGTTTGAGGGTGTGCCTGGGCATAAGAGGCGGGAGACGATTTCGGTTGCGAGTGTGCGGCCTCCGACTGTGGCCCCGAGGTTGAACAAGAGTGCGGCGTTGAGAGCGCAGAAGGATAGTGTTGCGCCTCCTACTGCATGTGAGTGCCATTTACCGCCTCAGATTGTATTTTAGGGTTGCTAATGGACGGCATTGGTAGTCAAAGGCCCTTCAAGACCGTCTACGATCTCGAGATCGAACTCGGTAGGCACAGTGAGCCCGCCCACCGCCGCTCCTCCACTCCGCTCCCGACCGTCTTCGCAAGCGTCAGGCGCCATCTCTCGCCCTCCTCCCTCCTCCTTCTCTTCCACACGCGCAGCTGGACCCCGTGCGTCCTCCGCCATAGGCATGCGAAGCCGTCCCAGCTCAGTACTGGGCACTTCCAAGGCCAACGGGGTCAACGGTACTTCCAACACCACTACCAACACCACCTCATCTGCAGGAGGAAGCGATGGTTCGGATAAACCAGCTCCAGCAGCCAAACCGCGACCCCGTCCGAGCAGTATTGGAGCCCCGACGATTGCGCCGAGGACGAACAAGAGTGCGGCGTTGAGGGCTGCGAAGAAGGAAGCTGAGGCGCAGGCTGCTGCTGCTCTTGCTGCTAAGAATGCGAAGCGGGGTGTGAGGCCGCCGCCGAGTAGTTTTAAGGCTGTTAGTGCTACTTAATGCTGACGGGCGCTACCCTGTTCTTCGGGTCTTTGAGGAGGCCAGCTCAGGAGGGTCCTCTTGGAGTGTGGAGGAGCGACTCGGATTAGTGGGATGGTGCTGAAGGTGGTCCCTTGCTGAATCTAGGGGTATATGTATGTTCTACCATCTCTTTTTATCTTTATGCTTTCCATCTGCTTGAAGCTCTTTATTATTTTGTTACTTATGCTCCTCATCGATATCTTTTCTTGTTTGTATAATGTTTTCGATTCGATACCAGGACCCTAACTGGCCCGGTCCATCCCCCAATTCAAGTTTTACCTCCCGATTTACTTACTTGATGCATCGTATTGGACTTGACGTCTTCATTATAAACGTATGGTACGACGTAGGTAGTTATCCAACGTACGTACCCTCGGTTCTGTTCTTTCTTTTTTGGTCAGCTGGTTGGTGTAAAAAATGGGATGTATGCAAGATGTATGTGTAATATTTAGGAAAGTCGAAAGGTTCCAGTTGTTGTCGGTCTCTTAAGCGGAGAGTGGATGTGAGTCATCGTTGGTCATGCAGAGATAATCAATTGGGAAGGTAACCCTGAAACGCCGGCACCATGTCGTTGCGCAATGCGGTGGGCGGACTTACTAAATCAGGCATGAGCGCTGAGCTGGGTTCACACGGGTGTCAGCTGCGCGCGCCGTGACAGCGCTATCAAAGTCGTGACGCGGGTTGGGTTCGTACCATGACGGAGTCTGACTCCAGAGCAATTTTTTCTGTAACGCGCGAAGCTGGATACCTACAGAAAGATAGTAAGAAAAACGGGCATATCTGAGCGATGAAGATGCATTGACCAATTGTCATGATCAGATATTGCATCCAGAAGAATGCTGATAGTCGCGTCTGAACCGTGCCGACAACCCAATCTCCCGCCCGCTGCGACCAATTCGAGGTATGTAAAAGGAGGGAAGCATGTACGGAGTCATCCTGAGCAACTCTTGGCCATGGCAGGGACACGTTGGAGCCCTGACTCCTGACCTCGAGGTTTGATCCCCAATGCAAGCTGTGATCAATTATCTCCTCGTGGCTCGCTGGACACCCAAAAGGGATGGAGAGGGACGTGACAGAGGAGATATAAAGGGAGAGCGGACGTTGGACAGGGTTGCATCGCGTCGTTCGTTGCGAGACCGCCTTCTGCAGCTTCCGAGTCATCGAACTCGACGTTGACAAAGCCGCGATTTTGGTTCTATTCGTCTCTCGATTTATCCCTTCTCTGCAAGAAATGTGTTCGTTCATCACGATGGAGGATACTGCTGCAACTGTGGACTACACCGTCGTCCACCCTATGCCAGGCCACGGCAAACCGCTCGACTACACCCCCAAGAAGGGCGAAGACCCGCTCTATATCGGGGATCCTTTCCCCTCTGCTCTGTCGCCTGACGATATTGACGAAGGAGGGCGTGCAATGTGAGTAGATGAGTTGATCCCGTTTCTTCATCGCTTCGCGTGTTGGATGTGCTGATTAAAGTTTGGTGTAGCTTGCCATTGACGACGTTGAGAGAGTTTAGCATGTTGCAATTCATGAATGCGATTACTGATAAAGAGGATTGGCATATCAAGGTGTGTGTCGAGGTTGCGTTTTGGGAGATGGAGGATTGAGCTTACTGGGTTGATCAGGTACTCGATGACGAGATTGCGAATAAGTGGAAGACTGAGGCCACCGAAGCTGCTCGAGCTGCTCTGCGCAGGCAATGGGGGACGGAGCGAAATCTAACTTCTGATACCACGGGAACACAAGTACGGGAGCCTGTCTCTACTAGTGAAGATGATAGTGCTGAAACTAGAGATAACCAGGGTGGAGAGCCGGTGCAAGATGGCGGTGATAATGACCGGGAGGACGAAGAAAGCGACGACGGCAACGGCAACGGGAACAACAACGCCAACCTCGACGCATGGCCCATCTACACCGTCCGGCGCGACGAATCGGCTATGACGCCCGCCATGGCCGACTTTTGCATCGAGGAACTGCGACATAAAGCCCGCTCTTTCCAGAACTCGCCCAACGGCGCGATCGTGGTGTACAACGGGAACGTCGTCAAGTCCGATACGGCTGTCCCAGCACAGGTGAAGGCTGCCTTGCAAAAGGCGGTTGAACCGCTCGAGAATGTGCCGGCTCAGCACAAGGATTGGCACCCGGGTTCTGATCAGCAGGTGTTGGACCTCGTGCACCCCAGCTTGTTCCCCCTGGTGTATGGCAAGTCCAAGGTCCTCCCCGTGGGTGCTAAGGTGACCAGTTTGGAAGCTGGGGATGCGGTGAAGCGGTGCGGTGAAGGGGAGGTCCCTCCGGTTTCAGCGATGCCGGCTGAGGAACGAAGGGGTTACTGGAGTCAGCGAAACCAAAGGTCGAGGTTTAGCGACAAGTTCCAGTGGCTGCCTTGTGAGATGGATGTATCTGGTGATAGAGCCAAGTACGTCTCTCGTCTTTCTTTGGCTTCTTCATTCTAATTTGAATGATAGGATTCTTTCGTATATCAATAATTTGCATCCTGAACTGCATCAGGATTTGTATCGCGTCGTGGAGGATGTCATAACGGCCGCCATCCCCCTCTGGGACCTCACGCTTGCACCCCTCGCCGATAGCAGCTACGAATACCCTCAACGCATCGTCTACGATGGAGTCATACACGACCCTGATCCAGAATACATCCCTGATGACGAGGGAGGCCCAGGACCTACTGGTGAGGAAGACGAAGACGATGTGGACTGGTGGAATCTCCGGCAGGAATGGATCGAGAAGTTCAGGAGGGTCGTCCTTCCTGACGTCGAGGAGCCTTTTGATCCCGAGACGTTTGGGAGGACCCCTGCGCCGTTCTCGCTGAAGAACATTGGGAAGGGTGGGAGGCCCCTGCAGGTTATTGTGAAGCTTGCAAATATCGAGTTGACACCTGAGAAGCCGAGATATCCTGGGGGTACTTGGCATGTTGAGGGACAGCTGGTGAGTTTCGCTTTCTTGTATACATCACATGGAGGAGCATAACTGATGTTCTCGTCTTTTCAATCGCAGAACGAACGCATTGTCGCTACGGCACTATACTACTACTCGTCCTCAAACATCAGCCACTCTTCCCTCGCGTTCCGCCAACTCTCCGACCCCGAATCGACCAACGACACGTTCTACCCTCAAAGCGTGCACGACTGGCTCACCGACGTCTACGGTTGCGCGAACGAGGAAGGGGCCGTGCAGGACGTCGGGTCCGTCCTCACCCGTGAAGGGAGACTCCTGACGTTCCCCAACATTTTGCAGCATCAAGTCCAGCCGTTTGAGTTGGAGGATAAGACGAAACCGGGTGTTAGGAAGATTTTGGCGCTGTTTTTGGTGGATCCGCATGTGAGGGTGGTTAGTACGGCGCATGTGCCGGTACAGAGGATGGATTGGTGGAGGGGGGAGTTGGAGGGTGGACATGCCTCATCGTCGAATGCCAGTTCCTCTTCGAATGTCGGACCTGGACAAGGAGGAAATACGGCGGTGTTGAAGAAACTACCTGTGGAGTTGCAGGATCATGTGTATGAAGAGGTGGATGGGTTCCCGATTGGTCTCGCGGAGGCAAAGAAGTTGAGGGAGGAGCTCATGGAGGAGAGGAAGGCGTTTACTGTTGACCATGGGAAACTGTTTGGGAGTGGGGTTACGTTCTCGCTCTGTGAACATTAGGTGTAGTCAGTAGTACATGTAGTACTTTGAGTATCGGATGTAGCTGGGGAGGATTGTGTTTTTTGGTAATTGGTAATGTAATTCCGGTGACTGGAGGACTTGATTTGTGGGACATGGTAGGGCTTGACCATTTCCGAGCTCGAGATCTGGACTTCAGCCCGTCGCTCGACGCAAACCTCAAGGAATTGAACAGGTTTGGTTATACCGATGAATCCAATGGAGCATTTTGTTCAGGTTATGAAGCCCTTGGCGGGGTGATCATGTCTGGCAAAATGCGCACTTTCCCACGACGGTCGGCAACGCAAATTCAGGGGCGGGTTGATGTGACACGGGTTGTGTGCGTACTGCGATGTGGTCTGAAGGTAGGCAAGCGCGCGCTGAACACTTAGACTTCAAAGTTCATTGATGAACAGTCAATTTGACAATTTCAACTCTAGAAATTAAAAACCGTCACGATGATAGCTGATCCACCGCCAGCTTGTCTTGGTTCCTGTAACCGTGACTGCTTCAAAACCTGGCACATTTACCTCGTATTCTCGGCCCAGGATTTAGCGCCCGTCTGCGGATGGGAAACAGATTCAACTCCGCTGTCATGTCAGGATCATCAGTCATCTGACGACTCCGCTGAAGCCTCAAGAATGCTGTAGGGCGCCAAATCGGCTTGCCATCGAACCACCATCTCCCCACCCTCCTCTCACTTGAAAGACCTTTTCCTTTCTCTCCCGTCCAAGCGCCTCAGCCACGACAGCAACTTTAACCAACAGCTGTAATGGGCCAAGGCGTCTCGTTTCTGGTGAGTCGCGAGCGCTGGCCCCTTTTTTCGTCGATATCGATCGATGACCCCGTTTCTACGCAGAATGAACCTGAAGTGGACCCTCCAACGCCCGTAGGGGATCCTACCAGCTTTGATAGTGGCGGACAGCCAAGTAATCATCAACCTTGTCAGGTGAGGGAGAGAGCGTTCGCTGTCTTCATCGGGGGCGAGCGCTGAATTCCGCACAAGGGTCAGAGCGAGGATGATGTGGAACATTCCTCCGGTTTGAACAACGACGCCGAGCAGTCAAGTCTCTTTGAACAGGTCTGTCTCCTTCTCGGAACCTGGAAATCGCTAACGGGCACGCAATACTGTCATCGCACCATACCTCGGCCACCCCCATCTTTCGGCCACTTTTCCAGATCTCCTCAAAGTCGGTCAATTTCTTTCAAAATTTCTGTAGATACGGCCTATCCTGTACGTATTAATGATGAAAGTGAGTTTTATTTGAGCGAAATCGAGGAGGAAGTGAGGTTTCTGGAGGAGGGGTAAATGTCACGCTTTGTCACGCCTCGCCGAAGGAGCCGCTGATAACAGGACGAAATTGTGGGAACATCTGGTCGATTTACGGTCTCCGACGCGTCTTCTGTGGACGAAAGCTCGGAGTTTCAATTATAGCCTTAGCGGCAGGCTAATGCCGGATGTGACATTTGTGACAGTGGCCGAAAGATGGGGGTGGCCGAGGTATGGTGCGATGACAGTATTACGACAAACAGATAGCACGTGTATCACGATCTTCCACTGCCTCCGTGGTAGATCACCGCGAGGTTACTTTCCTCTCTCATATCCTGGACTTAGCACTTACTCGCCTATCGCAGGGGAGCGACTTCAGAGAAGCACCCTCCTCTTCCGCTGCAAGTGAGACCGAGTTCCAAGTCACCAAGGTACAGTCACGCTTTGGTTCCAGGTCGTCAAGGTCTGACCGTGATTTCTCCTCTTGGTCTAGGCGGAGGTCGGCCGAGCAGAAGATGCTGATATAACAACAATCACCTACCCACCACGGGCAGGTATCCCCGCGGTTCACATCTCTGGGGAGGCCAGAGTCTCAGGGAACTCCGTAATCGCTGGTGGAGATGTCATCATTAATAACTATACTGTTTCACCGAATGGTAGGTGCTTCCATTGGTCAATTACGGTCCCGATGGCTGAGATCTTTTAAGGGGAGTCCATCGATGGAAAGCTGAAGCAATCAAGGCTGGAAATCGCAGACTGGTTCGCACCCAACGTCAACGTCCACGCTATTCAACAGCAGAACTATGAGAAATGGACCGATGGAACACTTTCCTGGTTTACCGACTCGCCGGATTACCTGGGTTGGAAGGGTGGAAGACATCGCATCCTTTGGGGCACTGGAATTCGTAGGTCCGCAGTGCCTCTGCATGCCTGCCCATACTCATCTCCTCGTCGCAGCCGGGGCAGGAAAAACAATCCTTGCGTGAGTAGCCGCGCCATCTCCAACGGAAGGTTGCTGACAGTTTCACCAGTGCAAGAACCATTCGCGACCTTCAGAAGCTACAAGAAACTTCCTCCAAGAGGATTTGCGTCGTATTTGCGTACTGTCGGTATTCCGAACGATTGACAGTCAAGGACATACTCGAATCGCTCGTGAGGCAATTCATCGAATCTGACCCATCGCTTGCGGACCTCGTTGAGCCCCTCTGTTCTATGCACCAACGGAAGAAAACGCGGCCCACCCAAAAGGAGCTCTTGGACTTGTTACGGCAACTCGAGAGCCGATTCGACACTGTATTTTATGTTATCGACGGACTGGACGAGGCACTGGTTGACACCCAGTTCGACCTGATCCAGGCTATCAAGATCCTTCGAGGCCAGTTTGCATTGACATCGCGGCCGTTGAAGAGGCTCGAGGCGGGGCTCCCAAACCCCATGTTCTACTTGGTCACAGCAAATGATTCTGACATCGTCCTCCTCATTCAGAAGAAGGTGGAGCGGAACCCCGGCTTCAAAAGTCTCCTGGAGCAGCACTCCTACCTAGGTGAACTGGTCCGACGAATTTTAGACAAATCCAAGGGGATGTAAGTGGCTTCCTGAACTGTATCACGCGTCAGTGTTGATATTTTCTCCAGGTTCCTTCACGCAGCCCTCCAAATCGAAGTCGTTCAACACTCCGTCAGCATCGTGGCCCTTCAACGTACACTGGATAATTTTCCGACCAAACTTCGCGACATATATTCTCAAGCACTGGAGCGTATCAGTGACCAGGAGAAAGAAAATGCCGACCTCGCCAAACATGTCCTCCTGTGGCTGGTTTTTGGTCGCGAGGCGCTCTCATACCGCGAGTTGCAGTATGCCCTCAGCCTCACCCTTCCCGGCTACCCTGCCGGGATTGACAAGGACACCCTTCTGTCACTGTGTTGTGGGTTGGTCACCGTGGAAGCAAAGTCGGATCTCGTGCGCTTGGTCCGTAAGTGGTTCTTCGACCGCCACGTTCGAGCACCGCTGATGGGTATATCGCTCAGACTTCACTGCCCAGGATGCTCTAGCCCCCCTAGTGAAGGAACATATCCCAGACCCTCACGGTGTGCTCTTTAAGGCAGCAGCTGGACGCCTCGTTGACTGCGGTTTCGTTGACAATTCGGCGGGCCTGAAAACCGGATTCGACCTCCATACAGCACTCAAGCACCAACCATTTTGCAAGTATTCCTACGACCACTGGGGCTACCACGCGCGGAAGGCCATGGCGAATCCATCATCCGTTGATGCTGTGGTCGACTTCGTTCGCCAATGCAAGTCATTCCCGGTGGAATATTCGTGGCATCTCACATTGCTGTCCCCACTTCATATTGTGGCGCGTCATGGGCTTTGTGGCATTCTCGACGAAATTCTGGTGAAGGCTGCAGGGGGTAGCGTGACATTGCGCACGTGTGGGGCAAAGGAGCTCACCCCGTTGATGATAGCCTCGAGACACGGTCATGTAGAAGTGATTGATGGGCTACTGCGATACACCAGAAGTTCCGCATTGCGGTCTGTGTTGAGTGGCGAAGGACGACCAGGGAGGCATCTCTTCTTTAGGCAACTGAATCTTCGGGACTGTGTGGGGATGACGGCACTGATGCACGCATCGAGCGAAGGCCACGAAGGTGTCGTCCAACGGCTGCTCGCTCATAAGGACACCCAGATCAATCTCACCGACAGTGGTGGACGGACGGCATTCATGCACGCATCGGGAGCCGGCCGCGAAGGTGTCGTCCGACTGCTGCTCGCTCACAAGGACACCCAGGTCCATCTCACCGACGATCATGGATGGACGGCATTCATGCTCGCATCGAGCGAAGGCCGCGAAGGTGTTGTCCGACTGCTGCTCGCTCACAAGGACACCCAGGTCAATCTCACCGACGATCATGGATGGACGGCATTCATGCTCGCATCGAGCGAAGGCCGCGAAGGTGTTGTCCGACTGCTGCTCGCTCACAAGGACACCCAGGTCAATCTCACCGACAACGGTGGACGGACGGCATTCATGCAGGCATCGGGAGCCGGCCGCGAAGGTGTCGTCCGACTGCTGCTCGCTCACAAGGACACCCAGGTCCATCTCACCGACGATCATGGATGGACGGCATTCATGCTCGCATCGAGCGAAGGCCGCGAAGGTGTCGTCCGACTGCTGCTCGCTCACAAAGACACCCAGGTCAATCTCACCGACATCGATGGGCAGACGGCATTGATGCTCGCATTGAGAAATGGTCACGAAGGAACCATCCGACTTCTGCTCGCTCACAAAGACACCCAGGTCAATCTCACCAACAACAATGGATGGACGGCATTGATGCTCGCATCAAACAATGGCCACGAATGCGCCGTCCAACTCCTGCTTGCTCACCAGGACGCCCAGGTCAATCTCACCGACAACTATGGATGGACGGCACTGATGCATGCATTGCGCCGTGGACCGGATCTCCTCGAATACCCTTTTTACATGGGTCCGGAGCCATCACAACTGGGTGTTCTGAAACTCCTAGTGGACCGCAAGGTCGACGCCAACGCTGTCGACAAACATGGGGATACTGCACTGATTTTCGCCGCAAGGGACGGACGCAGAGAGGCTGTCTCTCTGCTCCTGCAGCACACAGGGATAGACGTTTACCACAGCAACAACAAGGGTGAAACAGCGCTTAGCATCGCTCGGAAGAGATATGTTAGAAGAAAGGGAAGCGATTACAAAGCCATCGTCCAGCTGCTTTCTGAGTACGAGCGACGCCCATCGTAATCTACGGACACCTTCATGATGGCAACATCTCTCCTTGGAGCGTACGTGAATTCACGCCTCCCGAGCGGTGCTGGCGAAGCTCAATTATGCCCCCGACGCAGGTCGTCCTATCCTTGTAGGACACACGACATTGACCACCCCCAAAATGTGTCCAAGAGGGATGGGCTATCGATTTGCTGACACTGACAGGTCTTTGAGTTTGTGTTCGAGAGGTCTATTGGTTACTGGTAAGGGTAATTCGAGAACGTATACTAGAAATTACCGATATTTTGCCCTATCGTCGTTTGGATTCTTTCTTTTCTTCCCTCTTCTTTCGTGTCCTACACTATACCAAGGTATTTAAATCATGTCACGAACAAACCTCGCAGCCTCTTTCTGGACAGCTCAAGGTACGTCAAGACAGATCCCGACCGTAGATCCAATTGTCAAAGTCGCACCAGCTTGACGCGCGAGTGGACACTGGAAGGTGGAGACGCGTTGATTGACGGCGCCAATACGCGGCGCGTTGGGGGTTTTTTCGTACCACGATGTGGTCTGACCAGGACATGGCTCAATGCCATTGCCAGTCTTCTGCGAGAACGTTCTATGAGCAGCGGGTAAGTGAATAGGCTTACTCGATTCAAAGTGTCCGATTGATGGTTTTGAGTATAGAATTCTATGTATGCAACCTGAAAACAATTACAATGACTCTCGTTCGTCCGCAATGCACTCGATAGGGTAAAGGCGGGGAGAACACAGACGCTAGTATCATGTCGAGTCATCCTTCTCGCTTCTGGGAACGGTTATCTTTGAACCCTAGCCACAGCCTTCGGCGCCCTAAACGCTAAATCGCCTCCGCCTTGATAGTCATCGACGACGACCCCCTCGTGGTATCGCTGGTCACTCAAAATGGTCGACAATGTACGAAGCGCTACCGTATAAAGGCCCGCGGCGTTGACGAGGGCACCGTTGTGCTGCATTGAAGTTCTGTCCCTGCATTTCTTCGCCTTGCCTTCGCTCGCCCACCTCCCCGCGGATTACGTCTGTCTTTATTCGCGACTCAATGTCCTCTGCTGCGACGACTCCGCCAGATTACAGCCTGGTTCATCCTGTCCCCGGGCTAGGAAAGGCCCTGGCTTACGAACCCAGGAAGGGGGAAGACCCATTGTATATTGGGACTCTCTTTCCATCTGCCCTTTCGTCTGGGGATCTCGACCAAGAAGGCCGTGCAATGTGAGTGGACCCCATGCCGTGTTCAACCCATTCCCAAAGTGCTGATGAGAGTTGTTCCTCTGGAATGATTGCAGACTCCCGCTGACGACGCTCCGCGAGTTCAGTATGTTGCAATTCATGAGCGCAATTACCGATAAGGAAAATTGGCATATCAAGGTGCGGTTGCATTCATTCCAATGACTTCGTCGTGTTTCGTCCTGAACTAGACTTTTTGCGTGGTTAGATCCTCGATGACGAGATTGCGAACAAGTGGAAGACCGAAGGCGTTGAAGCTGCTAGAGCTGCCCTTCTCAAGCAGTGGGCGACGGAGGATAGCAGATCTTCCTATGCCAGAAGTCAAGCACAGGACTGGGCCGAGGCTGGTGATGGGGGTGGAGAAGATGATTCAGGCTACCAAGACAGGGAATCCGGGGATGAAGGCGACAATACCGACGAAGAAGAAGAGGACGATGGCATCGACCAGGACCTTGAAAACGCCATCACCACCGCCCTCGAGCGATGGCCCATCTATACTGCACGACGAGACGAATCTGCCTTGACCGATACTATGGCCGATTTTTCCATTGCCGAACTACGTCACAAGGCTCGTTCATTCCAGAACTCGCCTAACGGAGCCATCGTTGTTGTCGTGATTAGATGGTCACACTAACCACTGCGCCAAAAAGGCGCCCATGTCCAGCTTAGGTGGACAGGCAGACCGTGGTATATAAGCACCATTCTATGTCATGATTTCGCCTGTTCATGACAGTTGTCTACAACGGCAATGTGGTCAAGTCGGATACTGCGGTGTCACCCGAAACCAAGACTGCACTCCAAAAGGCTGTTGAACCACTCGAGAACGTGCCCGATCAGCAGAAGGATTGGCATCCAGGTTCTGACGAGCAGGTTCTGGACCTCGTTCACCCTAGCCTGTTTCCGCTGGTATACAAAAAGACCAAGGTCCTCCCCGTGGGTGCCAAGGTCACGAGTCTTGAAGACTGCATCAAGCGATGCGGTGAAGGCACGCCAGTCACAGTCGCGGACGAGGCGCCTGAACCTTGGGTCGGAGGGAGCAGTGCTTCGGGGACGACCACCCCCTGGAGCGACAAGTTCCAGTGGCTGCCTTGTGAAGTAGACGTGTCGGACGATAGACCCAAGTATGTCTCTATCTCTTTCGACGAGCCTTTGCTGACTTGTGGATGTTGATAGGATTCTTTCGTACATCAACAACTTACATCCTGAGAAGCACCAGGATCTTTACCGTGTCATCGAGGACGTTATCGCTGGTGCCATTCCCCTTTGGGATCTCGCCCTCACGCCGCTCGCAGACCCCGACTTCAAGTACCACCAACGGATCACGTACGATCGCGTCCACTATGACCCTGACCCGGAGGAGATGTTTGAGGATGACGGGGGTCCTAAAGAGGGGGATGACTTGAACGAAAATATCGACTATTGGGATCTTAGACGAGAGTGGGAGACCCGGAATAGGAGGGTTGTTCTGCCCGATGTTGATAAACCTTTCGATCCAACGGACTTTGGACAACCAGCGCCATTCTCGCTCAAGGGTCTTATGAGGGACGGTCGGCCCCTCCAGATTATCGTCAAACTCGCCAATATTGTTCTTACGCCTGAGAAGCCGAGGTATGGTGGTGGGACTTGGCAGGTTGAAGGGAAATTGGTGGGTGCTCTCTTTCCAAATATCCATCCTTCTGGGATCATTGATGTCGAAGATGCCTCCCAGAACGAACATATCGTCGCCACAGCCATCTACTACTACTCATCCTCCAACATCACAACGTCCTCGCTTTCATTCCGCCAGCTCTCTGACGCCGAGGCTGCCAGCCAAGTTCGCTACCCTCAACACAACCATGACTGGTTGACGGATATCTTCGGAGGGTATGATGATGAGGGGTCAGTACAGGACGTAGGGAGTGTAGTCACGTCTGAAGGGCGTCTTCTCACCTTCCCTAACATACTCCAACACAAAGTCGAGCCGTTCTCGTTGGCGGACAAGAGTAAACCCGGTCACCGCAAGATCCTTGCTCTCTTCTTGGTTGATCCGCATATCCGGGTGATTAGTACGGCGCATGTGCCTGCCCAGCGGATTGATTGGTGGCGTGAAGAGCTGGAGAAGGATCAGGGCACTTCCACGAACAATGGGAAGGGATTACAGAAGTTGCCGGTTGAGCTGCGGGATTATGTTTATGAAGAGGTGGATGGATTCCCGATTAGCCTTGCGGAGGCCAAGGCACTCAGGGAGGAACTGATGGAGGAGAGGAAGAAGTTTGTGATTGATAATGGGGAGCTGTTCGAGAATGCGGTTACCTTCTCGCTCTGTGAACATTAGTTTGTGAAGCTGGACTATGTAGGGAGACCTGGGCCTTGTACGCGGTATCAAACATAGGGAGGATCACCTTTGCACTTGCTTTTCCCACTGGCCCCACCACCCTCTGGGCGTCTAATTGATGACCAAGCGCTTATTTGCCTTTCCAGGGTGAATAGAAAAAAAATCTAAGCATTACACATATCAACGAGTAGAGTATTCAGAGATATTGAAAAATAACGATACATCTTAGGCAACGTCCATCTGGTCATTATCCTCGTCCTCTGGAAACCCAGTCATACAATAACAATACTCGCTCCCACAATCCACAAGCTCCTCCGTCTCAACACCGTCCCAGACGACCTCTCCCACACACCGGCGCAGACTTTCCACCCTCTCCCTCGTCAGATTAATACACTGCTCAATCTTCAACACCTCCACCTTTCCCCCGTTATTCGCCCTGGCATGGATCATGGAAAAAAGCATATCGAAGAACATGGTATGATCCTCTTCCTCCCGTGCGATACACGGCGCCTCGGTGAACCGCACCCCCGCCAACGACAGCGACTTCAAGGATGGGAGGTAGGAACAGTGCGGGACGGCTCCCGAGTTGGGCTGTGGATTGAACGCGGGATCGTCGAGGAGGGCTGTGGTGAACCGGCCCAGTGCGGGGGCGGAGATGGCGATGTGTTCGACGAGAGGGCATCGGAGGAAGGAGGGTCTGAGTGCGATATCGAAGGATTCGAGGTGGATGGAGCGGACTTGGTGGAGGGGGATGCATTCGAGGAGGCGCGTTGCGGCGTTGCCTGGTTCTCTGCACCCCCTCCCCGAGAGCACAACCCGTCCCCGCTGGGCGTTGCCACCCTCTTCTTGGGCCACGTTGAAATCGACAGGCTGGGGGTATAGGGATATGACAGCCTTACGAGTGCCGTTCCCGATGGTAGTTCGGAGCCCCACGCTCTGTGGCGACAGCTACGTAACAGAAGGCTGTTGTCCAGGTATCGTCGAAGGGTTCAAAAGGTAGAAAGGCATAAATCGATCGCCTATGTCTTCCTCGATGTACGAGTGGTAGTCGAGTCTCAGCTCCGCCGAAACGGGAACAGCAATGTGCTTCATAAAGTCACTCCATTCCGCGGGCGAACCGTGCATACTCAACTTCTTTAGACGGGGGAAGCGTACGATTTGGTTGCGGTCGCTGGGTACGTCGCGGAAGGTTCGGATGGGGTAGTTGAGGTGCAATAGCTCGAGGTTGGGCATAACAGCGAGGATATCGAAGAGGGACTGAGGTGCAAAGGGACGCATGTGGAGGGGCTTTAACCAGATGAACTCAAAGTCGGTGAGGTTGGGGAGGAAGGGGGACGTCCACGAGAGGGTATAGTCGTACAAGCTGAGTTGTCGAAGGATGGAGCGCCGTTGGGGAATAGACGCATATCGTCGGCACGAGCTCGAATATCACAGGTGGTGTTCTCGAGTCCGAGTGACTTGAGGAGGGGCGCGGACGGGCCAAGGGACAGGAGACGCCCGTCGAGCGTGTCCGCCGTTCCGCACAAGGAGAGCTCCTCCAGCCGAGTGGTCTCGGAGGCGAGGGCCTTCCTAATCTCCTCCTCGACATCCGGATCCACCACCATAGATGGTTCTCCGCTCTCCAGATAAAGCTTTAACGGCGCCTGCTTCGAGTACCCGATCATCGTAGGCACCATAGCCAGCGGCACGTCCACATCAGATACATCGCTCCAAAACGTCGCCTGGTCCAACGCTGCGTACCTCCATCTTCGACAGACGCGGAGGATGGAAGTCCAAAGAAACTTGCTATCCCCGAGCGACGAGCGTATTTCTGCGAAGATTTTGCAGATGACTTCGGGTGGGGGACGCGAGACTGGGGAGAGCTCGTTCCGTTTGGTCTTGAGCTCGCGCATTCGAGCCTGAAATGCTGTGATTTGGTTCGCTATGGCCGATATCTCTTGGTCGAGCTGGGCACGAGATGCGTCGACGTTTTGGCGTGACGTGGTGGCCCCATAAACGTCACCATTGGCTACTAGCTGGAAGGCGGGAAATGACATGGTGACGCGCTAATATGTTGCCGTCAGACGCGTCGAGATCATAAGAAGAGAGACCTAAGGTTGGAGGGTCCTCAGACGAGATGGTATGAGCTGGCAGGAGCACGTCGATGAGGAAGAGTGGCACCAGGCAGCGAATTGTGTTGCTGCATTTAAAGGCACTGCGAACCCCGGGCCTGCGGGATTGATGGTACAAGGGAATAGGGGCTTCGGTAACCAAATATGACAACCGATTGCATGGGGGCGCCCCTGGCGGTACCTGGACCGGACGGATTTCTGGGGCGAGACAAAGGAACGGCGTCATCCAAGAGCGCCAATAATCGCGACCAGTACACAAAGGCCCCCAATCCTTTGTCGCTCCATCAGGCTTGATGCACAGGGAAGATCAAAAGGTAAAATCGTATTGCGGTGATAAAGTACATTGGGTTCAAGGCCTAGTTGAACTTCTCTTCCAGTCGTCGTCAGCATTCACGCAAAAAAGAGCAGGTAGTCCTCCTCGCCTTCGACTACTGCCCGCCTCCACTCCCACTCCCCTCTCCACCTGTCTCGTCACGAATCCCACCCTCCGCAAAGTTCAGGATACCCGCCGAGTCGAGGGCGTTGACGATAGCTTCCGCCTCGTCGACCTCCATATCGCCAAGGACCTTGTTGACTGCCGTCAACTCTCCGACCTTGAGCGCCTCTTGGAGTTCTTTCGGGAAGGCTTGGAAGACATCCCATCGGTATTGGAGCGCCTTCCTAACCTGCTCGATATCGAGATCCTCGACACCCTCGCCCTCCAAGACGAGGTTCTCGGGAGGAGGGCCGTCGGGGACGTTGAAGGAGATGACGGTGTCGGGGTTCTCTGCGACCAGTTGGATCTGCTCGCGTCCGGCACCTTCTTGAGCTTGCTCTTCTTTGCTGATCTTGACACGGGTGACGAGGTGGTTGTAGGTGCTTTCGACGTCGTCGGAGAATACCTTTTGTGCTCGCTGGTCTCCGGCGATCATCCTGGAAATGGTCGTCAGTCGCGAGAATGGATCGGGTGTAGACAGAAACGTACTTCTTGAAGAACATGCCGACGCCGTTGGGACCTAGCTTCTCGCAGTATTGAAGGAGAAGGCTCTGGTGCACGCACTTCTTCGCGTATTTGTGCTTTCCTTGACCCTCTGCCTCGAACGCAGCAACCAGAAGGGCATCAGATGCTCCAGGAACGTATACATCACGGTGGTCTTGGATAAACTTGAACGATCGCTCGTAGTCGCCCAAGGGAATCTTCGAGAATTCCACCAGTGAAGGTGTCATCTTGGGGAGCCCTTCGTCGTCATCGTCATCGTCGTCGTCCGCCGATTCTGCTGCTGTTGCTGCTGCGACACCGGCAGGGTTGAGGACCTCAAATTCAGTCACCTTTTCCTTGCCCTTCGACTTGGGCTTGTCGACCTTTGTGGTGGGAACTGGGGGTGGTTCTGGTTTCGGAGGAACGTACTACCGAAATCATAAACAGCTGTCGCGATTCTAGTCATTATATCACGTACCTTTGTCTCCCAACCTTCACGGATATCTTCGCTCGTAATCTTCTTCTTTTGCTCCCTGATCTCCTCCTCGACCTCCTTCTGATCACGCTCAATAACTTCGCCCAACTGCTTCACATGCGTCTCCATTTGCTCCACCAACTCCTTCGACAATCTCTCCTCCTTCTCCGATTCAGCCAGGTTCAGCTCCTTCAACTTGTTCTTCGCATCCTGCGACACGCGTTGCAGTAAACTGAGCACCATGCCATCGTACGTTTGCTCGATCTTGTCGGGGTTGTTCCCAGGCGGGCAGTCCTTTGAGGGATTCTTCTCCAGCTGCTCGACGAGGTTGTTGAAGTACGCTGGTGCGGGCGTCGACGCATTGGGATCGGCAAGGGTCTTTGCGATTTCTGTTATCCTGGGCAACAGCACTTTGTTGCATGCGATTTGAGCCTGGAGATGCGCGATCTTCTGCTTTCGGGCCTCTCGTTTCTCGTGGATATCGCGCTGTTTCCACCTGCAGCAACATCAGATCCATTCGACGTAAACAGATGTCTCTAACCAACCTAACCAGCGACTTGTGGTCCACATTAGGATGCCCCTCGATATCTGAATCGTCCGAAAGCTAGAACGCGTATCGTCATTTAGCCATGATAACGCGTCCGAAATTCAACAGTGCTCACCTCGAGGTTGTCCCACTTGGAATAATTGAGAGGCATGTCTGTGGGTCGTCTAGGGCAATAAAGGCGGTGGTCGTTGCAGAAAGAAGGCTTTGGAGCGGTCAGCGCTAAAAAGGCAGCAGCTCATTGTGATGGCTCAGATCGAAACTTCTGGAAACGTCTCGCAGGCGACAGGTTACAGCAATTTCAATGTTTTTTTGGACGCTTTACACTTTCTTTGTTTAACTTTGTCTTAAAGTTGAATACCGATAGGAAATAGAAGGAAATTTCTCAAGCATACGACATGGACGAGGCAAAACGACAGCAAGGCGGGCGAACGCTCCAGCACCTACCATCATTACGGCTATCAAAATAGAAACCGGCAAAGTTGGCCCCTAACCAGGTGACAGAACCCCCCACCCATTTCGCTACGAAAAACAGGCAAATGGCGGGAAAAGCCAATCCAGAAAGAATTATTATAGGATCGCATTCTTTGACATATGCTACACATCGCTGGTTTTACTTTCTCTTCGCAGCCGCAAACTGCAAAATCCCAGAGCAATGAGCTCATACATCCAAGAATGCATTAGAACGAGACGAACCTTGGCGCTGGACACTCGCTTCTGTGCGTTAGGGGCCTAAGGGCAGCTCATGATCAGCACGTGCGTGAAGGAAGTCCACGACCGTGTACGCTACCTTTTTACCAGCGGGCGCTTGTTTGCCGCGCCGAGCCCCGGGGGCCTTCTTTCCACTCGGAGGGGCTTGCTTTCGACTGGCAGCCTTCCGAGTCTGTTTATGAGAGCCATTCCTCTTCCCTTTCGTTGCCTTTGGGGTACTGATTCCCTTGGGCGGACTCGTTACTTGCCTCGCCTGGTGGAATACGAGGTCAGCGGTCACGTCGCCGTTGCCATCGAGCAATTGAAGGATTCGGTTACCTTTGTGTTCGCGGGAGCGCCTCCTTTTTTTTTCGGTGCAGCCAGAGGACTCTTCGACCTCTGTCGCAGGTAGATCTCGTTGAAATTGAAACTCGTATAATATTTGATTGGGACTTACTGAGTTTGCAGGCGCACTTCTGGAACGAGTGCCTGGTCGCGGTTTTGTGTTCTGTCGTAGGTCAAGTGGGCATCGGTAGGTGTGGTTCTCCAATAGGAGTGGGATCACTTACAGGAGCGGTGCCTGGAGCAGGACCTCCCGACTCCTTATGTGTCAGCTATGTTGGTTAGAGGAAACATGATACCACTCACAACGCTTGTATGACCCTGTGAGTCATAGTCGCAAACAGTTAGTGTCTCCTAGTTCGAATGATCACAAAGCACACACTTGTTGAACCTCCTAAAACACGACCATCAGTACAGCCAGTGATAAGTCATTGCGGCTTCAACATGAATACCCACCAAAGAATAAGGAACAGCCTGCTGATGGTCCTGAGATTCCTGATAGGTCGGCAACTCCGTGAAGGGGTATGGAGTGATAATATTCTCTCTTCCATCCGTCTACCGCGCCAGCACCGTAGCATTAGAATCCCTTTCCATCCACAGTGACATCCGTGAAGTACCCACAGAAGGCCTGAAAATACTTGCAACCCTGTTCCAAGCTCCACGGGCCGCACTGCCCACGGCGTTCGCTGCGTTGCGGAAAGTATCCCTGATGCCGTCCCGTACGACGAGTTCCGAATGTAGCTCAGTGTTTCGCAGTTCGAGGTCATGTAGGAAGTCTTCCCGTGCCTCAAGCCAGCGCTCCCGGCGTTGAAGGTACTGCCGAAGCACCAAGCGATCGTCGTGTGCTAGAGCCCGGGGACGGGCGCTTAAGTCACCCTGCGTCAAGATGGACGTTTGGATAAGCATGGCCTATTCCTATTCGACAAGGGCACGTACCTTAGTGCCAGAATCAAATGGTCGGACGAGCGCGCATACAAAGACGACATGAATGAAAACTGTGAACTCATATCTGAAGGAAACCATCGAAGTCAGCGCGCAAAGATCAATTGGGCCAGCCAATTGCGATCCCTAAGACCCGCGTGTCAGCACAGGCCAATGAGTAGAGACAGGCTCTAACACACCTTTAGGGTGATGTTGTTAGAAACGGAAGGCGACCAGCGCTGGAGAACCCTGCTGTGAAGATGTGGTACCTTTTAAAGGTTGGGTGGATAGAAGCGACATTCTGTGTGCGTTACTGCGATCAGCATCCATCGAGTGCCCAGTCCCCACAATGCCAAAGATAACAGGTTTTTGAAAGTCGAGGAAGCATCTAGATGCTGCATTGAGGCTTCTGCATACACACACTGGGGTGTATGACCCTATTCCCCCTAGAACACGGATGAGGTTGGAGTAAATGGAGTAAATCGAGTTGCTGGGAGCTTAACGGCTCACGCCAGGTCGAACGAGGTACCGAAGCACCCGCAGCAGGTCATCGACGACGTCAAAAGCTCTAGCATCGTCCACTTTGGGTGACATGGCCAGTCAATCCTCTCGGAAATTGCTTGTTCTTGCGTGAGCTCAAGGGGCTGACCATCGTTTGTCAACGCCGGAGCACCAGGGCTTCGCTAGGGCTTCGCTAGGGCAACGCTAGGGTATCAGGGAGCACCCTTCTGGCGATGGGCACCATTTGGCAACCTCGTCCATCCGGCCTGCGATGTCTATCTCGATAAGTGATGTCCTCCTGCAAATCGCCTCACCCCGTTAGACGACTCGAACACCGAAATGTGTACGGTGTATTCAACTTTGCTGCTAATTTTATTCCTCCAAAGGCTGTTCGCGCATCATACACAAGTGTCGAGGCTCATAGCGTTCGTCATGATGGAATCCATTCCGCCGCGATCGTTGCAGTGGCTGAGGGAGAGGGAGACAACGTTACGCTCGACCTTCACACCCAATTGCTATCCAGCCTCCTGCAATAGGCTCCTCATCAACGGAATCAAACAGCTTGGCAATCTCGGCGCTGTTCCAGCCAATCATCGCTCTCCATGAGCCCCTGTCTTCCATTTGTTTTGACGACGGTTGCATGGTTGCTCTGGATTGGGTGATTCCAGTGATTCCAAGGACTCGGTTGTGATCGTGTCAGCGAACGATGGCGACGATGATATAAAGTCCCGTCGAGGCGTTTTTCAGGCTTTCTTCCCATCCCCTTCATTTCTCTCTCTCAAACCGTTCGTTCCCCTCCCTCCTTTCTTTCTTTTTTTCTTTTCGCTTTTTGAGGTGTAGAGTGAGTACACGAATTGCTTGTCAGGAAAAGGTTATGAATTAACGGAAAATTATCTCCTTTTGCTATTTCCCCCTCGTATCGATTTCTCGCAACGTGCCCTCGCTGCCAACTTGCCACTTTCTCCAACCCGATCCCACTCTCCCTCAATCGACCGAGAGCAGGCTAGTTCTCTCTCTTCCATCCTCACAACCCGCTAGGCAGCCAGCTGTCCCTTTCCTCGTCACCACTCCTCCCACATCCTTACAGCGCTAGCGCTTAGTGTCGACCTGGTGTCTGACGAGTTTTTCAAAAGAGTCTATTTGATTGCCTAGCCTTTTCGAGTGCTTCTGTATTCTCAACCTACGACCTCTCTTTATCAACCCCACCGCCCATTCACGATGCGTTTCTCGACTGCCATCATCTCCACCCTCCTCGGCGTTGCCGCCACCGTCTCCGCAGAGACTTTTACCGTTCTGGTCGGAAAGGACAACGGATTGACTTATGACCCTCCTACGTGAGTGATCATCATGGCGGTAATTGGAAACGATACTAACTAATTACAGCGTCAATGCCAAAGTTGGCGATGTCATCTCCTTCCAATTCCTCTCCAAGAACCACACCGTTACCCAGTCAACATTCGCTTCCCCGTGTGTCCCCAAGGATCAGGGTGTTGACTCTGGTTTCCAATTCGTTCCCGAAGGTGCTGCACAGATCCCCGCCTGGTCGATCACTATCAACGATGGTACGCCCCTACGTTCCTTCCACTCCTTCATCGTTTCTTACACTTTTCACAGACAGCACCCCTCTCTGGTTCTTCTGCAACCGAGCTCCTCACTGTGAACGAGGAATGGTCTTCTCCGTGAACCCTACCGCCGACAAGTCCCACGAAGCATTCCTGGAGAACGCCAGGGCTGGTGGAGGAGCTCCTCCCGCTGACGGCGGCGCTGGTGCTCCCCCGGCCGCTCCCCCCGCCGCTGGCGATGCCTCCGCATCTGCCACTGGTGCCGCGCCCGCCATCACCCTCACCCCCGCCGCCTCAGGTAACGCCGGAGCTGCTCCAGGTGCCGCCAACGCTGCCCCCAACCCCAACTCTGACCCCAGCGGAACCGCTGCCAGCCAGCAACAGGCTGATGACGCTAGCTCTGCCGCCGGTGCTGCCGTGAAGGGCGCTGGATGGATGGCTATGGGTGTCGCTGGTGTTGTTGCTTTGTTGTTGTAATTGGGTTTTTGGAGATGAGATTCTGGGTGCCCACTTTGACAGTCTTTATGGACGTTTTCTTGACATGGACCTTGGTCGCTGATAGATTTTCTTTCCCTTACATGCACAGGAAGTAGTCGTTAGTATACCTTACACTCGTGCCTCCCTTTCTTTTACATACGTTCACCCTTCACTGAATTCACTGGTTTGAGAGAGCATTGCGACGTCCGAAAGGCGCCCTGATCTGAGTTGGAGAGGGTCGTTTAACCTTGTGTCTGGGTGATGAGATGCCCGATAAAGTATTGACCTGCTTGGCAGCTTCCTGGCCGTCTCCACCTTCGAATTTTGGAATTCGATGTTTGCATGCCTCGTGTTACATGCACATATCAGATTGAATTGTTGGTGTCGGACAACGCCGAGGGCGAGCTCTTTTCCCGCTACGCTCACTTTCTCACTTTCTCTACGTAATCTAGGCCAACTTCAGCCATCGCCCAGAAGCAACGCCCTCGATGCCCTCATCTTCCATCATGGCATTGTCTGAATCCCCAAAAGACGTAGAAAACAAAATGGCTGACTTGCATCTCGAATTATCAGGTTTGCAGGATGAACTTTCTACCATCACCGCCGCGTTTCAGAAGAGGATCGACGACGTCAATGAGCGAATCCGACAGCAGAAAGAGAAACTTAACTCTTTTACGCCCATCGCCCAGCTTCCGAACGAGATCCTGGAAAGGATCTTTGCCATCCATCGCAAAACACATTTGTATCAAGAAGATTCGGCGAATGCCAACCGGTTCACTTCAGCACCTCTGAAGGATCGTTGGAAGGTCGGCCCTTGGAATTGGATATGGGTTATACATGTGTGCGTGCGTTGGCGGACTGTGGGGCTAGCGCAGAAAGAGCTGTGGAGGTATATTTCTTCCAGACAACCGTCCGAGGCAATAGAGGAGTCAATCAAGCGCTCGCAACCAGCCCCACTTTGGGTCAGCACACATCCGTTCAAGACGGCGCTTGTAGCCCAATTTCATCGCGTCGCGTTCCTGGAGCTCAATATTACCCATATGAACACTTCCCCAATGGACGCCAGATGCCGGGATGCATTGGCAGGCACTGCACCCCTTCTTCGCCGACTTCGTATATTCCAGACATCCTACGAATACACAGAAGCTGTGGGGATCTTCCAAGGTGGGGCCCCGATGCTTTCCACGCTTATCTTGAAAGACTGCTACCTCCCATGGACGTCACCTCTGTTTCACCCAGGGTTGACCACGCTTCAAATCCGCCTTCCTAACAACGATCCGCCCCACTTCGCTCCCGAGCACTTGATCGACGCGTTGGGACGGGTTTCGTCTAGCTTAGTCGTCTTTGAGCTGGACCCGCTGCCGGAAGTACAGTTTCCAGTCAGTCGGCAGGTAGTGCTTCGGAAGCTGGAGAAGCTGACTTTGGGGTGCCAAAGGGTGGAAGCAATCCAATCATTGTTCAGCCATCTCATCATCCCTGAGAAGGCAGTCGTACATTTGTCTTTCGAATCAAGCCCACCCATGGATGTCCGAATGGCACACACGAGGGGAGACGCTCCTAAACCCCAGTCCATCCTTCCCCTACGGTTCTTCAACACCGACATACTCCCTCCCTCCGAACTCCAAGCGTGCCCCTCGAGCCACTTGCTCGCGTACACAGCTCTACCTCCCCGAAGTCTCTGCTTGGATTTGCGCGAGACGGCAGCCTGCACCACATACACCTTCAACCTTTGGGATCACCACGTCGACTTCTCCCTCAACCCCCTTCCTACCAGCTCTCTGAGGTGCACAGTGGAGGATACAATGGGCTACCAGCAGCGTTGGGACACTCCTCCCGTGGAAGTGTTTCCATGCCTTTCGTCGAGGGAGATTCGGTCGCTGTCATTAAATGAGTTGCCTGACATGCCCTTGAGACGTTTCGAGAAGCTCATGAGCACCTCATACTCGCCGTCTCCGAGCCTGTCCGGCGTGGAGGGTCTATACGTGGTACGGCGGCTCTCCTATAGGGTCGTGGAATTCCTCATGGGTGAGGTCCCATCCGGTCCAAATGTCGGGCCGCCTTCTGGTCCACCAAAGATCCTCCCGCTACTCAGGTCCCTGACGTTTGAACGGATTGAGTTCATCGAAGCCTCCCGACACCGGCGTCCCACTATCAACCAGATTGCGAACGGCAAACCCGTTGTGTTCGAGGACCTACTCCAAGTCCTCGAGTTCAGGGCCAAGTCTGGGACGATGATCGAAACTCTTCGGTTGATGGAGTGTTATAATCTGTCGGTTATTCAAGCGGAGAAATTGGCGCAGTTTGTGGGAGAGATGGCTTGGAATGGAGAGACGTTCAGTCGAGGCAGTACCCCTAAGTGGTAGTAGGTGCTTGGACTCGGAGGTGCTTCAATACCACAGACCGTACGATAAGCCGAGATCAATGTGACGTCAGACATCATTGACCAATAGACGCTCGTTTGGCGCCTGGATAGAAATGGCTGAGCAACGCCCTTTACCGTTTCGACACGGTTACCCATGGCACTGATGTGGCAATAGAACCCTGAGGTTATCTCTAGTCTGGCATCCAGGTGCATGGTTACTTCGCGTACCTTTTTCGCCATGTCGCTCATTTACGGGTCCGAACAGGTCCGACTTCATCTTTCCTGCCAAAAGCCACGTCGACTGTCGACTGTCTCTCGACCCCTAGTCTGGACGGCATAATTACTACCACAACCCGGAGCCGGTACTTCTTCTCTCGACGTCGACAATCGACTTCCCTCCAACTCACATCCCATGTCACTGTCGGAATCCCAGAAAGCGGTGGAAAGAAACATGGCCAAACTGCACCTCAAGTTGTCAAGCTTGCAGGACGAACTTGCAGCCGTCACCGCCGAGCTCCACACGAAGATGGACGACGTCACGGAGGAGATCCGACAGCAGAAAGAACTCCTCAACTCCTTTGCACCCATCTCCCAGATTCCCAACGAGATCTTGCAACGTATCTTTACTATGAACCGTGCACGGCATCTGTTCCAAGATACGAGAAGTGCAGTGCCGTTGTCTCCCGCACTTCGAAAGGATTGCGGGGTCGGACCTTGGGATTGGATACGAGTTACGCATGTGTGCGTGCGGTGGCGGATGGTGGGCCTGGCACAGAAAGAACTCTGGTCGTACATGACGCAGAAGCAATCCCCCCGTGCAATCGAGGAGTTTATCAAGCGATCCCATCCAGCCCCACTTTCGGTCACCATGTCGAGGGAGAGATGGAACACATCACTCCTGGACCAGCTGCATCGCATTGAATCCCTGGAACTCGACAGTTTGGACAACTACCCCCACCACGCTGGTGACGCAAGTGAAGACCCCGCTGTCAGCCGTACAGGCAGTGCACCTCTTCTACGCAGACTTTGGATTCGCGAGAGTCCGTACATTTTTCCAAAAATCGTTCAGCTTTTGGAAGGAGGAACACCAAGCCTCCTTACACTTGAACTGGTGAACTGCTACCTTCCATGGACGTCACCTCTGTTCCACCCAGGGCTAGCCAGGCTCCGTATCCGCATCCCCGACCGCTACAGGTCCCCTTCCCAACTTTCATCCGAGCAATTCCTGGACGCCTTGGAGCGTGTTTCTCCCGGACTGGTCATCCTCGAGTTGGACATGAGCCTACCAGAGACGCCGGACTCTACAAGTCGCCAGATCGTATTCCCCAAGCTGGAAGTGTTGACCTTGAGGTGCGCAAAGCGGCCGGCAATCCAGTCCCTTTTGAAGCACCTCGTTGTTCCCGAGAAGGCCGCGGTAAAGTTGTCTTTCGATGCATGCGCAACAGGCGGGGTCCAGCCGGCACGCATCGGGGGAGAGGAGACTAAAGCACAAACCATCCTTCCTGTTCGGTTCTCTAATGTCATCACGCGCCCTTCCTCCATCTGCGGGTCCTCATCCCTGCTGGACACTGCATATTCGCCTCTCACGTACGCAGTTCCACCTCCCCGAAGTCTCTCCTTCGCCTTATACGAGACACCATCGCAGAACACGTACACCTTCCGGCTTTGGGATCACCACGTCGACTTCTCCCTCAAGCATCTCCCTCCCAGCTTCTTGACGTGCACAGTGGAGGACACAACCGGCAAGCGTTGGGATGCTCCACCCATGGTCTTTCACTGCCTTTCGTCGACGGGTATTCGGTCGCTATCTTTGACGCACTTGCCTGACAAGGAGTTAGATCGATTCCGGGTACTCGTGAGCCTCTCACACTCTCCTTCTCCGAGCTTCGGGGGTGTGGAGGACCTTTGGGTTGGCAAGTATCTTGCGCGCAACATTGTGTACTACCTCATGGAGGAGATCGAGGACACTGTTAGCACTGCCAAGTCCGGTCCCTCGCGGTCTCTCCCGAAATGCTTCCCGATGCTCAGGTCCTTGACGTTCGAGCGTATGGTCTTCGTCAGCGCCTCCCAGCTCCAATGTTCAGTCATCAAACACATTGTGAACGGTAAACCTGTGGTGTTCGACGACCTACTAAGAGTGCTCGAGTTTAGAGCCAAGTCGGGAGCGATGGTTGAGATCCTTCGTTTCCTGGACTGCTACGACTTGTCCGCTAGTCAAGCCGAGAATATTGAAGCAAGTTGTGGGAGAGGTGGTTTGGAGTGGGGAGGACAAGACGTACGATTGGCCGTGCCGGAGGAAGGGATGCCCCTGCGAAAGTAATAAGTAGATCTAGGTGCTTTGAGACACTTAACATCCCCGAGTAACTGGCCACGGGACCCTTCGCTTAAAAATGGCAGAACAGTGGTCTTGTTCTGTGTATGTATTTGCGTTCGCGGGTGCTCCATGGGCGCTTAACGCTCATTGAATGGAGAGAAGCTGGCTGTGCCAACAGAGAGCGTTGATCACTGAGCGCTGTGGACGTCCTTGTGATGGCAGTCCATGATCCACGATGGCTTGTTAAAGTTAACTCAAATCACTCTCAACTACTAGCACTCACTCCACCGACGGTGAGGCCTCCTGCGACCAGCCCCCTGTCACCGTAGCGCTCACACACCACTGAACAGATTAGGTCTTGGCGGTTCACACTTTGCAATGAAACCTTCTTACCTCACCGCCACCCTCGCCGTGTTCGCCATAGGAATCACGCATGCCCACGCCCAATGCATGCTCGTCAACAAAGATAGGACCAGTCGATGTCATATAAACCAGTGCCAGAGGAGTATTCCCGGGAACCCGGCTGGTCAGTGCTATTGGACCGGGAAACGGTGCCAGGGTTTGGCGGGAAGGTTGGTTGATGTTGTGCTTGGCTCTGCTTGGTCGTGATTGGTGTGTTTTTTCGGGAAGCTGAAGCCGTGGCCGCCACCATTTGTGCCATGAGGGCGACATGGTGCTTCGCTGTTTAACCTTGCCAGGAGGTTTGTGATGCTCTGGCCGGTCGTGTGCGATACGAAATTGAACGACAGATAAGACATCCCACGGACACATTGGTCAGTTTCGTTCTATATTGCAGTTGCTCTCGTTGTTGACGAAACATGTTTCGCTTCAGATGGAACAGTTCTCTTCCCAAGCAGCCGTGGACATCGAAATCGAGACCTTGCAAGGTCAACACAGTGATCTTCTCGAACAAATAAAGGTGATATCAAGTCGAATTTGCGACCTAAAGTCGCGGAGGAACGAATTATGCCACATATACCGGCTTCCCAAAGAAGTCCTGCAAGAGATTTTCCTCCACCTCAGTCCCACTCTCACTGCATCGGAGCCGACCTCTGACGGGCCCAGTTACCGCGCAATCGTCTGCGTCACGCGTGTCTGTCGCCATTGGAAGAAAGTTGCCCTCAATCAACCAGAGCTGTGGACATAAGTCTCCGTCTACAACTTGAAGTCCGAGGCCATCCGCACCCTTTTGATAAGGTCCAAGACTGCGCCATTGGACATCTGCCTGGATGGAGGTTTGAGCCTTGAGGGGGTCCAATGAGCTTTGGATTCAAAAGGCGTTAGCCACATGGACTATCCGGTCGCTCAACATGCGTGATTTCTTCCATCGTCTAATTCCTCGCCTCAAGAAGCTCTCTCCTGCTGCGTCAGTTTTGCACACCCTCATTCTACACGATAACGATCCATTTCCTCGAGCTAGAATACAACTAGTAATCCTGCTGCATCGAAAAAAAGAAGTTGAAAGGGACTCGGTCCACTGACTAAAGGCTCTAGAGCTCTGGTTTTAAACGGAGTCCGGCCTGGCACACATTTGCCATAGGGATGCTCGAACGGGAGCCTTCTCTTTTTTTAGCTCCAATGACCCCTCAATTAAGGTTAAGTGGAACCGTCCTCGACCGAATTCAGCCATGAACAAGCCAATGAAAACCGTCCACGAGGATCTCCGGAGTGTAGAGCAAGTAAATTTCTTTCTTCCCCCCTACTAGCATACGACTTGGAGACGTTGTGCTCACGAACCGTCTAGATGGTTTCCTCGGGCGTATCACAAGCCGACATCGATATTGAAGTAGCAGCGCTGCGAAAGGAACGCAAGGAACTACTAAGCAAATTAAAGACGTTGGCCCTTCGCATTTGCGACCTACATTCCCAGCGGAACGAACTCGCCTACATCTCCCAGTTTCCGAACGAACTCCTGCAAAAGGTTTTTCTCCTCCTGCGGGGTGCGCAACCTAGCAACGCTGGTTACCACCAGGTTATCCGGCTCACCCACGTCTGCCGGCTCTGGAGGCAAGTGGGGCTGAACCAACCATAGAGCTATGGGCGTATATCACCGACGACCAGCCAGATAACATCAGCACTCTACTCGAACGCTCGAAATCGGTTCCTCTGACGATGAGCCTCTATGGTCGTTACAATCAAGATGACATATGGAGTAATCTCTGGTTCGAAAGCAAAATCTGGGACGCTCTATCTCAAAGGATTCTCCAATCCGTGGGCATCCGCAGCCCTTTTGAAAATCTGGTCAGGCGAGTCCAAGCGCTGCCTGCCGGTGCCCCCTCTCTGCACACCCTACACTTGACCAACAGCTCCGACACCACTCGCTCAGACACATGGACAACCGCAATCCCAGATATCCTTACCGCAGGCGCCCCTCTTCTCCGTGACGTGTACTTGCGGGATTGTCACCTCCCATGGGCCACCCGGTTGTTTCAACGACTGCCGTCGCTTGAAATCTACGACCGACATGCTTCAGCCGCCACTTCAGCCGCCGAATTTCGACGCGTTGGAACGGATGCCCGAGTTGGAGCGCTTGCGGCTCGACGTCAAGATACCGAAATTGAACAAAACCGCGACGACGAAGAATCGATTGGTCGCCCTCCCTGCGCTCAAGTCTTTGCAGGTCGAAGGGGGCTTCAGGGAATGCCACGATTTTCTGGAACATGTGGTTCTCCCTAGAACTGCCAACCTCGAGTTATCCATGGACTATTCGGTGCACGGCGAGCGGGGGAATAGTAGTACCAATACGGGAGTTCTCCCTCCTGCCCCGAATTTTGCCATGCCACTCAGGTTCAACCCCGAGCCCACATTCACCACCGCTGTCGAATGAACATCAAGGAATTACGTTTACTCTGTCCAAACCTCTCAGCCTTATCATCGACACCCAGGGCTACCCCAGCTCCCTGTGGCTCTACCCTCGCCCCGAGCGTCTCGATCCGTTCACCCGACCTGATCGGTCCTACCTCGGAAACGTGTGTTATGCCATCCACAAACCGACCGACAACGGGCGTGCCATTTTCAGGGCTCTCCCATCCACCGACATCCGGTCTCTCTCCATTACAATGTTTGACCATAGCGATTCTGCCGAGCTTGGCGCGGTGCTCTCATTTCTACCATCGGTGGAGGAGTTGCGCATTGGAGAGATGGATGGTCTATCAGTCCTTGATGCTCTTTGCGGGGATCCTGGATTGGATGACTCGAACGGACCACTACTGCGTCTTCCAGCCTTGAAGACCCTGGTTTTTGAATGTGTTTCCATCCTGAGCAGGCCTTGTCCCTGCATTGACGTGGACGCAGAAGACATCCATCCGTTCCTGTTCGACGACCTGTTGTCACTATTGAAAGCCCGGCGCGCGGTCTTGGGATCGAAGCTCGAGAAACTGCAGTTCGAGGTCGCTTATAATTTGACGGCGTCGCAGGTGGCCCAACTGGAGAATGTCGCAGAGGTGGTGGTTTGGTCTGGGATTGAGCAAGTGGATGACACGAGATGTGGATCAGGATCAGGAAGGGAGGACTGTACAAGTTGTAAGGGCCAGGCAAACGTGGAGATATCATAATCAATAGTTCTGCGTATGTACATTGGTGTAGATTCTTTTATTCCAATGTCATGTTCCAATGCCAAAGGGGATTCTTCAAGTTCCCATGGCCCAATGTGAACATGAAAATTCACCAACGTATGTAACAAACTAAATTCCACGGCCTCATTTATATATGTAAAGCCACCCGCCGCATTGCAAGACTCGGCAGTTGCAAGGCTTTCAGCTGCTCTGGACTCTGGTTTTCCCGACCAAGCGAACGGACCTCACGCTCGAATTATGACTGCCTCTCGACCCTGCCAATGGCGCCCCTCTTCTCCGCCGTGTGCTCCTCCGTGGCTGTCATCTCCCATGGACCTCCAGGTTGTTTGAAGGACTGACGTCGCTCGAGATCCACGACCGGCATCCCTCCATCGCCTCTTCGGCTGCCGAGTTCCTCGACGCGTTGGGACGCATGTCCAAGTTGGAGCACCTGCACCTCGACATCAAGGTACCGGATTCGAACCAGCCCGCGACGAAGGACCGGCTGGTCGCTCTTCCTAGTCTCAAGTCGCTCTATGTCGAAGGGAGTCTCAGTGAATCCATTGATTTTATGGAACATGTGGTGGTACCTGGATCGGCCAAGGCGGACGTGTCGGTGGTCTACGCGACTGGGAGGGATGGCAGGCAAAGTGCACCGGAGGGGTCCTCCCTCCAACCTCGAATCCTCAAGCCGTCCGACACCAACCCACCATCAGGTAGTAACCCCCGTGAAATCGCCTTCACCCGATCTAATCCTACCAGCGTTATCATCGACACCGATGTCGATACCTGCGGCACGATGCGCATCCGAGAGAACATGGACCTGTTCACCGTGATCCTGACATCGGAGAGGTATGGCACGCTGACTGATGGCGGGCGCGCGGTGTTGGCTAGCCTACCCAGCACCGATATCCGCTCTCTCGCGATTCGCCTGTTCCCGCGTGAAGAGTGTTTCAAGCTCGACGAGCTGCTTCCGGTTCTACAGTCGGTGGAGGAACTCTGGGTGGGTGAGGCGGACGGTTCGCTGGTCATCCACACACCGTTGGAGGACCCGTGTCTGTTTTACGGCTCGCAATACCCTGTGCAGTTTCTCCCGGCTTTGAAGGTCCTCGTGTTCGAACGTGTTTCTATCCTCAGCAAGGACTCTCCATGCATTAACTTGCAATACCGTGACGGCGATTTCGTTGTCCCGCCAGTCGTGTTTGGCGACTTGATGAACCTTTTGAAACTTCGCGCGCATATAGGATATAAGATCTCGAAGCTACAGTTTGGGGTGGCTGATAATTTGACGGCTGCGCAAGTGGAGGAGCTGGAGACGGTGGTTGAGGAGGTTGTTTGGTCAGGGGTCGAGAAGTTTAGAAATGGATGCGGATCGGAGAGGGAGGATTGCCCTTGCAAAGGGGAGTAGTAATACTAGTATAAGTAGTACGGACGGTTACATTGCCAATGTACAGACCTCAGAAGCCATAGAACCACAGGATTTGTCCTTTCTGTTCGATGATGCGTCTCTTTCGCAACCGTATACAAGCAATCGAGTTGATACTTGTTGCGCCACGTTGAAAACGCTGAGCCTGAGGGCCACGAAGCCCCTATTTGAACTTTGCACTTGGCGGGGCTCGAAATCAGACAACAAGATCTGATGCGACACTGAAATCCCGCCGCGACGGTCGCCACGCTCTTCACCACGCGTTCTCTTCCTCCCAACGCTTCCTAGGCCAATGTCCTTCTTCGGGTACCTGCTCCTCTCCCTCCTCTCCCCATCGTCTAATTCACTAACCTCCACCTGCTAGCCGCAACCGCAATCCCCGCCAAATCCGGCGCTCGCCTACACCAGGCCGGGAGGGCTCGTCGCCTCCGTCACCGAGCTACTACGAGCCTGGCGACGGACAGGATGGAGGAGCAAACAGCAACAGCCTCGTCCCTCCCACCCTCCAGAAGAAGCCTCCCCCGCTGTACCTGTGCAGCCCGTTCGCCGATGCAGCACTCGTCAAGGGCAACTTTAAGACGATCGTCATGCTCCCCAAGTATGTCGATATCATGGAGTGGGTTGCTGTCAACAGTGCGTGCTATTCTCTACAGTGGGGCTTGGGGATGGCTGATTGACTTTTTTGTTATGAGGATAGTCTACGACTTTTTCACCAACTTGAACGAGTTTTATGGGTGCATCGCCGAGACGTGTACTGCTCAATCGTGTCCTACGATGTCGGCTGGTCCTTCGTGAGTCGCCCATCCCCCTACGTTCCACGCAACCCTCCCTCACGAATTGGTCTTCCTTCCCCAACCCATCACACGATCTGCCATCTCATCTCGCGATCGCCATCCCGATGTGCCCGTTTTCGTTTGAACAGATTGAATTACCTATGGACAACCCGCGAAGGCAAACAAGTCTCGCTCCCCGCCCCGACGTACATCGACTACGTCGTCACATCCGTCCAACAACTCCTCGAAGACGAGAACGTCTTCCCCAACAACGCTAGTACGTCTAACCCCTCTTTCCCCCGCCGGCCAGCTGCTGATCACACGTACTCTGAACCTGACGCATACTTTGAACGTGGTGATCATTAACCAGACCACGCATTCCACCCGTCCTTCCCCTCCACCGTGAAGACAGTCTACCGCCAACTCCTCCGCGTCTTCGCACACATCTACCACGCCCATTTCGGCGCCATCTTGCACCTCAGATCCGAACCCCACTTCAACTCCCTCTTCGCCCACTTCCTCGCTTTCGGCCGTGAATACCAGCTCCTCGAAATCAGGGATATCAAAGGAGAGGTGAACAGTCCTACTGTCGGTGTTGGCGCGCTTTGGGAGAGGTGGAAGGAGAAGGGGATCTTGGCTGAGTAGATGAGGGGATGAGCAGGCGAGGGAATGGGGAGAGATTAGTTGGAGGTAGATGGAGGGCGTTTTGGTGTTGGCGGTAGGTTGTTTGTTTAAGGTGGGGTTGCCAGGGTGGCAGACGAATAGAAGAATAGAAGACCAAACGACAGCCGACACTCCTCACCGGCCTCACCTCCCGATCCCACTTTCCTCTCCCCTCCTCATACTTCCTCGCCCTCGACCTCGAGACCTCGGCTTCCCTTCACCTTCGACACTACCTTACTTCGCCTTCGACCCCTCACTCCTCGCACCAATCTCGCCTCGCATTACACAAGAACAATCATCATCAGGCGAAGAAGAACAAGCAAGCCTAATCAATCCGGAAACTCACCATCCAATACCATACGCCATACACCATAGGCATACCTTTATACACCTGTTCGTCCTTTATACACCTTTCGTCCTTTCATACTCCTTTTTCGTCGTTCTATGTCCCTAAGCTTTATGTGTCGTTTCTCGACCAAATCCTCACCAAGGATCTGCTGTCTGTTCTGTTTGTATTCGAAACCGTGGAATGTAGTGTACCATGTCACATCTTGGGTTGTAAAACGCAGCGTCCTCGTTTAGTCGGCATGCCTATGAATCGAGTCTAAACGAATCATCATCGTCTTCCTCGAGCTCCAAGGTCATCCATCGCCTTCCTCGAGTTCTAAGGTACGATCCCCCAGTTCACCACATTCCTCAAGACTCAAGGCGATCACAACCTTCAATTCTCGAGCAAAATAAGATAAAAAAAGATAGATACTTTTGTTTTCCAAATTATCTATTATCATACACTTTGTTCGACTCTACGACAACGTAGTAAAGGGGAAAAAAACCGCATAAGAAAAAAGAAGATTACTAAAATTCAACTATGTACCAAAAAAGAATGCGTGTTACTTGTTACGATATACTGCTACAACTTGTTCGATTCGATTCACTGGAAGAAACAACGACAAGGGAAGGAGGGAGGAATAAATAGAAACGTGTGCGATAGAGAAAAGAAGAGATAGTAATGCGTAGGTAGGTAGATAGAATAATAGACTGAGGTGCATGTATGTACGTGCGCAAGTGACGAGAGAAAAGTAAGGGGTATGGTATGGTACGGATGATGCGGATGGACGATGATGGATGCAAATGCATAGATGGTGGTGGTGGTACAAGTTGAAGACGGAACAACAAATGCCAAAATACGAGCCGGACGATGCAGAAAGACTATAAAAAAAAACCCTACGAAAAAAACTCGTCAGATCTCCAATCCCCATCGCTCGACGCATGTGCAAAGGTTTACTCACCATGAACACTCCCAAAAAACACTTTTTCGTTAAAAAACCTCCCTCGTGGACTACCCCACAGTAGCCTCCCTCACGCCAAATCCCTAACACCCTGCTCCCAATCCCCCCGACTCACACACCCCTCACCCCGACAAACAGGACACGAAACCTCCACAACACCATCCCTCATCACAGCATCCGCACCACGACTCGCAACACGCTCCGCACTCACCAAACAACTCGAATGGAACGTGTGCGGGCAGACAGCTTCGACTCTTTGTTTCGGGCCTTCAGTCGACGAGGTCTTCCCATCAGCGTCGGCATTGGTAGACGAAGAGGTGGATGGGGTGGTTGAAGTCGAGGAAGGGTCGGAGGAGGTAGCGGCGAGAGTATCAGCCTCGTCAAGCAACGTACTCCCCTCCGCAGGTTTAGGCCGGATCGAAAACTGGCGCTTCACAGCATCCGTCAGCGACACAAACGGGTCATCATCAGACGGCCCAACACCACACGACACATCGCAGCACCTCAACCCAGCTTCACGTTCACGCCTCTCGACGCGCTGGCGGAGGGTAGGTCCAGGTGCGGGAGGGGGCGTCCAGTCTTTCTTGGGCTGCTCCGTCCTGGGTCCTCTCGCACCTGCTCCTGCACCAGGGGCAGCACCTCCAGCAGCAGCACCACCCAAAGGCACACCGAACGTCGCACCCAATCCTCCACCAGGCATAGGCCCACCAGCCAACGCGGCACCCATCAACAACCTGAACAAAAACGCGGGGTTGTTCAACGAGTTGGCGAAACTGCGAGCAAAGTTGGTAAAGGCGTCTTGCTCGTTTTGGGGGTTGGCAGCTCCCTCGGCGTTGGCATTGGCATTGGCGTCGTTACCGCTGCCGTTCTCGTTGGTAGTGGAAGCGTTGGTAGCATTAGAGTCGTTGCCAGAGGGAGTGGAGTGGCGACTGGAAGGGTTGCTCGCGGTCTCGGTGGTGGCTTCAGATTGGGCGGGTTGGGCGGTCGATGTTGAAGGTCCTGCTTCAGCGTTGGCATCAGTAGGAGCAGCGTTGTTGGTCGCACCCTCTCCATTCTCGTTCGTTGGTGGCGGCGCATACATGGCCCCTCACAGCTCTCCAAAGCTCATAGGTTGAGCAGGCTGACGATTGGCAAAGTTGACCCCGGCGAATCCCATGCGGGGGAGCCGGAGAGGCGGGGGAGCAGGCTGTCCGCCTCGAGCTTCCTGTTGGGGAGGGGTAGCGGGAGCAGCGGATGGAGTGGGGGTGAGGGGTTGGCGGCGTTGCTGGTGGTGTTGGCAGCGTTATTGTTGTTAGCGGGTTGCTGGGGAGGCTGCATGAAGGGGAGAGGGAACGGAAGATGGAGATCAAATGCGACAACACCAGGTGGAAGATTACCACCACCAGGCATGGTCGTTCTTCGAGTCGCATTGGGAGGGGTAGTAGTGGAAGGAGGGGGAGGAGGTCCGAACACGGGTGGAGAGGCAGGCTGAGGTGTCGCGGTCGACGCCGAAGCATCGCTCGTACCGGCATTGGCAGATGAACCTGCTGCCGCCGCCGCAGGTGGTGAAGTCGCACCCTCTTGCCCGTTAGCACCAGTGTTCGCCTGCGTTCGCTGACCCGAGCCTACATGACGGCCTTGATCAGCGTTTCCAAAATTGATGATGATAGCAGGACTCCTCGTAACGAAATACGGGCGCTGAAGGTACAACTCACCACCTGTGGGACGCCCTTGTGCATCTGTGATAATACCAATAGGGTGATTGACAATCACGACGTGCCCACCAGGGACAGCGAAGGATTGGACCACCTCGGGGCCGAAGCCGGTAGCTGGACGAGGTCGGCGGTTGGTAGGGGGCTCCGAGCTTGGTCGACGAGAAGGTTGAGGGTTGGTGTTGGTGTTGGGGACGGGAGGAGGACCCATACGACCCCGGGCTTCTTGAGAGGCTTCGCTCGTCGAAGTTGACGCGGAGGGTGCAGGTGTGGCGGATGGCCCGGCCGCCCCTGAGGAAGTAGTAGACGCTGGAGCTGGAGTGGAGTTGGTGGCCGATGCCTGAGCTTCTCTCTGCGCTCGCTCTTGCTGTGCCCTACGACGCTGCCTATAAGGAACAAAGGTCAAGTTTTCAGGGTCGATATTGAATCGACAAGTAGGACAGGTCGTCTGCTTCGGCCTCGAAAACCAAGGGCGAAGACACTCGGCGTGGAAAACATGGGCACATGGCAAGGAAACAATCTTTGGAAGCTCAACCTTATTGTCCTTCTCCCCATTCTGGAGTTGCTTCTCGTAAGCTTCCAATAGTTCGGGGTCCAGAAGCTTCTCCCAGCACACAGCACATCCACTATCACCGCCGCTGAGCTCAGTACCATTCGCCCCTGTCATTCCGCCGACTCGCTCTAGGCGCTTGACCAATCCGATAGGAACCTCCTCGAGGCCGTTGATAAGCCGTTCTGCCCGTTCTGGATCATCGACATCAGGCTCGATGCCAAATAGATCGTTGAGGAAGCCAGGGTTGGTGAAGAAGTCGGCAAAGTTCTGAGGACCATCTGCACCAGTGTCGGGGTTGCCGCCTGGGTTGAAAGGGGTGGCGTTGAAGACTGGCGGTTGGTCTCCACCGATGTCGATAGAGATGGCGATACCTCCAGACAAGAATGGCGGTAATTGGGGCTGTGCAGGTGGTGGACGGGGTGCTTCTGTTGCCTCGGCAGCGGGTGTTGGCTGGGTGCGTGGTTGTGACGGCGGCGGCGGCGGTGGTGTGAAGAGGTTGAATGGGAACGGCAGAGGGTGGGTATGGGTCTGAGGACGAGGATTAGCGTTGGATGGCGGGGTCGACGAGTTTCGAGAAACTGCTGATGATGATGAAGCGGTGCTTTGGCCGTTGCTGGCCAAAGGTGTGCTTATCCGTTCAGAAGGATGCCGTCGATCTCGTTCATCGTCCTCGTCATCCTCAACTCGTGCTCGCCGGTTAGGACGTGGAACGGATGTTGTGGGCGTTGGTGCAGGTACAGAGCCAGCTGGGGTGATCTCAGGAAGGGGTGGGTCGTCGACAAGGGTGTGCATCTCGACTTCGCGGACATCGTTTTCTACGTCTGAATCAGAGTCGGAGATGGACTGTAACGCAGGCATTTCTTCGTCTTCGTCTTGCGATGAGTTATTGACGTCGTCCATGACGACGTCTTGGACAGCCGTCGACGTCGATGGCCCCGCAGCTGGTGATTGGTTGTCAGTCGCGATAACCTGGTCAGGCATCGTCGTCTCGTCGCCGTTGTTGTTGCTGGCGTCGTTGGTAGTGTTGTTGGCCGCTATTGAAGGGTCTGTGCGGGCGATTTCCTGCAGACGTTGAGCAAAAAGGTCGTAATCCATTGCTACTAGACGAGATGGTGATAGTAACAAAGAAAGGAAAGGTGCGGTGTCTTTGTTTGCGCGCGAGTTATATTGATTTTGATCGGACACCCGCGGGATTTGTTCGACGCGGTCCCAGAATTTGCTAGAAACATTCATTTTCCGGAATCTACTCCACCTTTCATTCTCTATTCTTGGTCCAAATCCTTCTCAATATCGCAATCCAACGTACTCGGGTAACCTCAGCGCAGATAAGATCGAAATGCGCGGTATTGCGCCTCGAGGCGCAACGCTTACGTGAAACAGTGCAACCCACACGTCATTGCGGCACGTCTACGACCGGCTCAGTCTGTCCTGCGCATCCTCAGACAACCACCAGCGACCATCCAGAAACCTTTCTCGCTCACTAGGATGCTGACATACCAATGACTCGGAGCTCTGGTGACTGACAATGGCACACCTGGGATGACTCGGCCATTATCAAGTCGCCAATTCCTGTCTCTTTTCCGGTACACCTGGCGACCTTGGTACCTTCTTGAACGTTCCGGAGAGCCTTCTGAATGGTACAGCAGACAGAAGCACAGGTTTTCTGGTCTGAAACCTGCGACAAGGAATCGTGGACGCGTGCTTCTTGGCCTCTGGGCTTCGAGGATGTGGAGATATCGGCAAACAATCGGCAGAGTTTGACTCCGTTGATCCCATCTACGGATCATTTCTTCCCACTTCGGCAAATCCTTGGCCAAGTTCCCAAACGCTAACGATTCTGCGTCTGTTACCCCATTACTTGCTTCCTTTCCAACTTCCCGTGTTTCAGCCAATCCGTGAGGTAACGTATTTATTATAACTAATAATTAATGGCTGTAAAAGCCGCCAATCTTCTCCCTGAAGGCTTCCTATCACTTCATTGCTCTCGACAATCTGTTGGCACGCCGGGATGAGTGGTCACGTTGGCTCCTTTTCAACTCCAGAGTCCTTCACATCCTCTGGTATCAGTGTCGAGCTGCTAGATATTCCTTCTGGCTTGCCTACACCGCGACGTTCTTCCTCCCTAGTCTCCGGGCAGAATTGCATATCGGGCAAGGTCTCAACACTACTCGATGGTGCGGGCAGGCTCTGCCTGTATTGGATCTGCCGAGCGAATTCGAAGGTCTCCCCTTCAAGGCCGACGACAGGATCCACGTGTGGCTCGTCGCCGTGGTCTGTGTCGACTTCATTCACCTCGAGGCCCGTAGCACCTTCCCCTCTCGCCTCATCCCGGCCATCACTAACTCCCTCTAATAATACATCATTCTCTCCTCCCTTGCCTCCTCCGTCGACCGATCCGGGATGCCACGTCACGCTGGCGCTGCCATTGTAATCTACTGCACTCTCGCAATCCTCGGACTCCTCTGTCTGCGGCGAGCTCGAAGCCTCAACTCCGCCGAACTCCTCACTGTCTTGGAGAAGGCCAAGCGGGTTGTCGAATGGTTCCAGTGCAGCTTTGTTGACGATGGGCCAGTCGTCCACGTCTTGTCTCTCGTCGTCCCCGCCGATGGCGCTCCCGGAATCTGTGTTCTCCAAGACGGTCGGACCCGAGACCACTAACGGAGATTGCGATGGACTGGGATCTGCACCGTCTAGATTTCCCTCTACTATTCCTTCCCCGTGGTCTTCCTGTTGCGCCCGAACCCGACCCGGCGACGTCTCCGTTCCCTCATTCATTCCGTCATCCCCGCAGGAATTGTGATCTCGACCATCTATGAATGCCTGGTTTGTCGTCCTCTGTCTTCTCTCCGTACTATCTCTACTCCTTGGTGGGACCTCCCCCTCGTTTTCTTCGTGTTCGTTCGCCGAGTTTTCCCAACGTGCACCTTTCGAAATCGCCGACCCGACTCCAAATGTCGGACTGGTCGGTCCTTGTCCTCCCCCCGCCTCCCTTCTACAGGTGGACGGGTCCTCTCTCTTGTCCTCTTTGCATTCGTTGATCGGGCTTACCTGTCCCTTACCCTCCAAAGCTTCCAGCCCGACCCCAAGCATCTCCTCGCCCGGTGTTCCTCTGGCAATATCCGGTTTTTTGCGCTCTGCGTGTTCCTCGTTCACTCGATAATCCCCATTGGACACTGGATCGCCTCCACCTACAAATGTCTGATTGGGTTGTCGCTGTCGACACCTCGCCTTGCTCCCACTGGTTGATATCTCGTTCTCCTCGTGGCCGTTGGCCGGGCTTGTCCTCATAATGTTGCCCATCTGGCTGATTGGTTCCGCAGCCGCCGCATCACCGTGACCCAAGGCGAAATCGATGAGCCTGTGCAGTTCGGGATAGACATAAGTACGCGCTCCAGCGAAGCGAGGTACGAGCGGTATGCGACGGAGCCAGGGCTTCGTGCAGCGGTCCGGCTCAAGCACAGCGCATCACCGTCCCGACAGTCTCTACCTGAAAAGGGTTGCTCATCAGCTTCGATATTTTGACTTGACACTCTCTTATCATTTAGGCAGAGATACTTATACTTTCGTTTTCGTCCCTGCGTGCATCGTCGCCTTTTCTTCCCTTGCTCCTCTGCCCGACCAGTGCCTTTTTCGCCTGGTCTTCACGGCTCATCCCTATTCTTTTCACCCCACCCTCCTCCCTCTTCACAATTTTATCTAGTGGTGTCTGGGGTGTTTGGGCGTGCGGCTCCGGACAGCTTCGAGCTGTTAAGCGCCCATGTCTATTCATCTCAGATTCCGCTCAAGTTGCAGCCTTCGCCGGCCTTTTTTCTTTTACCTCTTTTTCTCTTCTCCTCCTCGTTCCTTTCTTACAGTTCACAGTCAGACCATTCTCTTATGCTTAAATTGCTCAGATTCATTATCTTTCTTCTTGCATTTCTTCTTCATGTCTGGCGAAGGCTGCTCCTTACCCCCCACCCTCGGAATCTCGGACCCAGTCGGTTTAGATTTCGTTGTATGACTTCACACTCGATTCAGATCTAGAATTGCATCCCCGTGGCTTTACGAGTTTACACGCAGTGAACGAGATTATTTACGTGAGCCTTCATGATGGGTTTGTCTGACCTCTCGCTCTGTTTTCTTGATCAGCTTGACGGTCAGCTTCCGAGCACGAAGCCCGCATCTTGAGAGACTCTGAACTTGCACACGTTGGAATGATTGGCATTGACATTGACTGTCTGTTCCCCTGCGATACCTAGCTTAACTGAGTCTTCGGGAACGATCTGTAATTCCAGGTAAATATCGTCAAAACGCCGCATCCTACCGGTAAGAGCAGACATGATAACCTACCAGGAGCCGAACCTGAAATGGCCAAGAGCCAATCTTCGTTGGCATCATTTCACGGACAGAGCATACGGTAGCATTTCGATCAATTCGACCGTCATCGGTCATACCCCCTCTGGTTTGTCGAAATTTGGAATCATGTCATCGGTCATCAGAGCTCCGGTCGAAATTTTATTCCCAAACTGCGAAGGGTCAATTCTTCCCCCCTAAAAAGTGGCTTTGAATAGATTGTGTACGAACACTAAAGTAAAGAAATTAAGTAGAATCCAACGAAAAAGTTAGAATTTACCGTGATGTCGTTGATTTTCGGTCGAAATTTTGTTGAGGTCATCGGTCGCAACCCTGTTGGTCGAATTTGACATTTCGACCAATCTGTCATCGGTCAGACCCCCGGTCGAATTGATCGAAATGGTACAGTACCCGTAACTCCAAGTTGCGTTGGTCCACAATGTTCTTCCACGTGTCCGACAGGTCATCCAGCGTCGAGGAGTCCTTCTTCAAAAGCTCTATGAGGTCAGTCCTTGCCTCGAGATTGACCATCTTTCGAAGTGTGGCGACGAGCCTCCCAACAGGGACACCGTTTCCACCTCTGTGCGGGGCCCCGAAGAACATGATGCCGCGGATAGACCTGACAACATTGAGGAAATGCGGCCATTCTTTATCCTCTTGCAAGGCCCCCCATATCATCGCCTGAACAGAATGTGTGAATAATATGCAGCGGCTCGGAGCATTGTCCCTTCACCTGCTTGATGACTAGTCCTCCCATAGAATGTGCAATAAGGACGAGTGGCCTCCTCCTCTTAGACTAATACGAGATGTCAGGGCCTTCGAACGTTCCATCACTTGAAACGGCATGAAACTATCTTTTTTCATCTCGGCGCGAGTGTCGGTGTTCGATATCCTATCCAGCGCGCGAAGAAAGTCTTGCGCAAAACTCTCCAACCCTCCTATTCCCACATTGGCGCTCACGTTCGCATTGTAGCCATATACCCAGACCTTCGCTCTTGCTTGGCCAATTCTATCCACAGGATGATCTCGAAACCACATGACAGAGTCGTCCAAACCCTCTCTGGGGGAGCACCAGCTCCGTTTGGCGTGTTGCCGCCAACACCATGTGTCGAAGGCGTGTCCATTCAGTCCGTGTATCGCAACGATGCTAAGATGCAGAGGACCATGGTATCAGAAAGTAGGTCAATTAATTACAACTAGGGGAAAGGTCATGAGGAGGAAACCACTCACTCCATCTCTCCACCGTCGTTCAACGGGGTCAGCCCATGAAACTCGTCGTCAATCCCCACAGCATCACAACCCTCAACAACCCTGTCTTCGGGCCTCAAGCCCAACGCTGCCCGTAGTATCTTTCCTTTCCGGAAGGTAACCGTCGCGACCTTTCTCCCGTCTAGGCCGGTAGCGAGCGATATCGGTCGTATGGTGTTCGATTTTCCTGGGTATTTGCCGTCGAATTTGGCTTTTAGAGTTCGGAACGGGCGGGAATCTTCTAAGGCCTCCATCGTCGTGTCTGGAGGGAGGTTGGTAATTCGAGCTGTATATCGGGACGGGGGCATATTGCCATTCTACTCGTGTTATGAAGGCGAATCAGTTCTCCCGCTCATTATCAAACTCATTAATATTGGATGCTGTGGGCTCCCTGGTCTCAGCGGGGTTTTTGGGCTCCAGGGTTCAATCTATGGATGAGATCAAGAGAATCTCGGCATGGTCCTCCTCGATTTCCAGGGCCGTTCCATCTTGGTGAGGCGCCCGTGGCTACAACAAATTGGCGCGCGTTGTGGCGCGCCTCTGGTTGATGCGCCTCCGTGCGCGTGATCCGCTCGGTGATCTGGCCGGAGGGCTGGCTCATCACATGATCAAACTCTAATCGGGGAAAGGCGAAAAAATATCAGAGCTCGTTATTTCGAACGACGACGACGACGAAACCGACATCGACGACGACGACTAGCCGTTCGTGGTGCAGCTTGGCCTGACGAATCTCTAGTGTTTGCTCCTTGAAGGACAAGCCGTCTCACATCAAAACGACCAACTAGGCTCGACCCACCGTCGTTCGAGCAAGTCGACCTCTAGAATACCAACGACGAAGGAACCAAATCAAAATGGTGTCCCATATTCTCTTTGAATCAGCCTCTGGCTATGCAATCTTCGAGGTCAAGCTTTCTGAAGATATTGGCTCCAAGTCTCGCGAGATGCAGGAGAGCATCCAGGATCTTGGAAAGTTTGGCAAGATGGTCCAGCTGCAGAGCTTCTCGCCTTTCAAGAGCGCTGCTCAGGCTCTCGAGAACATCAACGACGTCTCTGAAGGTGCGCTGCTCGCCGTCTGCTACAGCGAGCTCGATATCTAAATTCTTTCCCGCCCAGGCGTCCTCAACGAATACCTCCAAAACATCCTCGAACTCAACCTTTCCAAGCCCTCCAAAAAATCGAAAATCCTTTTGGGTGTCTCCGACCCGCTCATTGGCCAGTCTATCAAGGCTGCCCTCGAAATCAACTGCGACGCCTCTGAAAAGACGCAAGATCTCATTCGCGGCATCCGTCTACACGCCTCCAAACTCCTCAAGGGCCTCCAATCCGACGACCTTAAAAAAGCCCAACTCGGTCTCGGCCACTCTTATTCTCGCGCCAAACTCAAGTTCAACGTCAACCGAATCGACAACATGATCATTCAGGCTATCGCCCTCCTCGACCAGCTCGACAAGGACGTCAACTTGTTCTCGATGAGGATTCGCGAGTGGTATGGCTACCACTTCCCAGAACTCGTCAAACTTGTGCCAGATAACCACCAATACGCCCAGGTGGCGCAGTTTATTGGGGACAAGGAGTCGCTGGATGAGAGTAAGTTGGAGGAGTTGGCTGCGTTGGTGGGCGATGACTCGACGGTCGCTCAGAACATCCTCGATGCTGCCCGCGGAAGTATGGGTTCCTCCCTGTCCGAAATCGACATGCTCAACATCAACATGTTCGCCACCCGTGTCGTCTCGCTCTCCGACTACAGGAAGAGCTTGATCTCGTATTTGTCGGAGAAGATGAACCAGGTTGCGCCTAGCTTGACGGCGCTGTTGGGAGAGAGGATTGGTGCGAGGTTGATCAGTCATGCGGGAAGCTTGACGAATTTGAGCAAGTACCCCGCGAGTACTGTGCAGATTTTGGGTGCAGAGAAGGCGTTGTTCAGGGCGTTGAAGACTAAGGGCAACACTCCCAAGGTGCGTTTGGTCACGTTCCCCGGTCTTTATACACGCTGACACGCTGTACCTTAGTATGGTCTCCTCTACCACTCGTCCTTCATTGGACGGGCGCAGCCCAAGCACAAGGGTCGGATATCACGATTCTTGGCCAACAAGTGCTCGATTGCTTCAAGAATAGATTGCTACAGCGGTATGCGTCGCCCTCTGTGCCTCACAGACACTCTTCCCTGATCACGTTCTTTTCTCAGACAACCCAACACCCAAGTTCGGTGAAGCCCTCCGCGCCCAAGTCGAAGAACGCCTCAACTTCTTCGAGACCGGCGAGCCTCCATCCAAGAACGCCGACGCCATCCGCAAGGTCCTCGAGGAGCTCGCCCTCGACGTTGATGAAGACGAATCAGAGGATGAGGAGGACGTCCAGATGAAGGATGCGTTCACGACTCTCGAAGCTGAGCCCTCGAAGAAGGATAAGAAGGAGAAAGAGAAGAAAGAGAAGAAAGAGAAGAAGAAGAAGCGCAAGCTGGAGGATGCTATGGATGTGGATGAGGACAGTGAGAGTGAGGAGGAGCAGCCGGTGAAGAAGGTCAAGTTGTCGAAGGAAGAGAAGAAGGCACTGAAGAAGGCTAAGAAGGAGGAGAGGAAGAAGGAGAAGAAAGAGAAGGGGGCTGAGGGTGGGGATGAGGTATGTTTTCCGGGGTTTCTTTTCCGAGACTCGCGTGGCTCATTGACGTTCGTTCTCAACTTCTAGGAGTCGTCGAAAAAGAGCAAGAAGGAGAAGAAAGAGAAGAAGGAAAAGAAGGAAAAGAAGAGCAAGGCGTAAACCGACCCTCTCGACTCCCCGAAGGTTTCGTCGCTCGCTTTCTTCCCTCTTTCACCCTATCTTCTTCCGTCTCTCGCTCGCTATCTCTTGTACATCTCTTTTTTTTCTCGTGTGTGCTGTTTCTGTGGTTTCCGCTGTACTAATTATCCCATCCTGTCACGACCCTGTTTCTTTCCAATTCCATCTCTTTCCTCTCAAACTTTTCTCGACTCGGACCGGAGATGTATTCCCCGTCTATTGATTCCTGCTGGATTCTCATTCTCAGCGACGATCGCGGTGTCGATAGGCACACGGCGGGTATGGGAGGGCCGAAGGTATATTTGTCGAAGGCGACGGGGAAAAGAAGCGGGAAGAAGAGAAGAGGCGGAGGGATAAGGGGAGGAAGTAGAGAAAGAACCTTCATCGGTGACAGGACCTTGAGGAAGACTCGCTCGGGATCGATTTGAATGTCGAAGGATGCGGTAATGGGTAAGTAGCGACGAGTGCATACCAGACCCTGGAACTGGAACTTGGAAGATGTGCAGGCAGCAGTTTACATATTTCTCCGAAGTTCTTTGGGTTCTTGAGCGTTGGGTGGAAGATGGGTCGATGGGGTCGCATTGGCGAGGGTGCCTGGAGACCATATGGTCGCTGTTCAATGTGTCCTGGGTATTGAATTCAACGATTGGTGATGCTGATGGGCCTTGCTATTTCGTGGACCTCAGGCTGAGGCGCACTATCTACCCTCGGAACGAGCACGAGCGACCAGGGAACCGTTGGCCTGGGATGGTGCATACACCGCTCGCTGCCGTTAAGCAGCTCACCATATGGGTTTTTAATTTATTAGACTATGTATTTTGTGATTTGTCGAGATAAGTGAGTGCCTCGGGTGCCGATTGCCTCGGTTGAAAGGTGGATCATGGGGACGTCCGGAGTCTGGACACTGTGAGTCACTGTCGGTGATGCAGAGGGAACTTGAAGGAGGGTGAGATGGATCCTTGGTTCCTTGTAGAGTTGGTGGAATTCCGAGTTCGAGGAGAGGATGGGGAGGGCTGTCAGTGTGTGGTGTGGAGATGGTGCATTGTAGGACTTGAGTGGTTTACGAGATAGATATCGGCTACTATACTGTCTACTTACTTACGACAAGGTTGTGATATCGGGTGAGATAGAGACCGCCTGAGACGGGTGTTACTTACATGTCAGAAGGCTCAGAGAAGAACAAGCATAAGGGCGTACAGTAACATCGCCGTTGACGCGACGTCCCTGTACACCCTTTCACTTGTGCAACTGGCGGCTGACCGCCAGTACTACTGGTACTTCGGAAAGCCCTGGAAACGGAGTTCTAAGTTGCAGATTAATTGGTGAAGATCATGACGTATGTTTTGCTTTTGGGAACTTCAGTGACCAGTCTTCAGGGATTCATTCGCGCCCCGCCGTGATTAATGGTTTTGACGGCGAAGGTTGGAAGGTACCTTTGCAGTGGAACTTTAGATGTGGAGCGACGGGGATCAGGAGTGTGTGTACGGTGTCTCCCGAGTTCTATGGCATGTATCCTTCCCCCTTGGAGGCCCGGCGAATGGTCAAGGGGCGGTAGGCCCAATAGTCTACTGAATCTGAATCGCTCTTCGCTCTCCGCCAATGTCCGTCGCCACTGTCAGGCTATTCTGAATGCGAGCCGTGCAGTGCATACAGCATAAATCTAAATCCAAGGGGGAGACGGGTAGTAAAGGGACGGCCTTTCAATTGGACGCCTGAATTGCGCAATACGATTTCTTACAATAGAATTGAGCCCCAGGCTATACGAGATGTGTACCACGGCATGTTCCAGTACGAGGAGTGAAATCGAAGAGATGCTATTTACAGAGGCTACCACTATGTGCTATTCTGAGTGAGGACTCAATCAAGCTCTGGGGCCTAACTCATCCCGAACTTTGTGAGAGAGGGATGAACGTTCGGGAATCGGAAGCTAAACGTCCCCAAGTCGCCTATTGCACAAAAGGAAACAATGTCCATACGCACCTAACTACAACTAAAGTTCAAGAGAGCAACACGGCATGGCACGACGTAGATCCGTTCATAGATGGTGGCGGTTGGATGAGAGAGTTTGTGTCAACGGCTCAGTGTCCGGGCTGTCTTTGAACTGTTGACAGGCGGGTTTTAAGCGCCCGAGTTTAAACCCAACTATGGGCGAGTGGAAGTCGAATGGAAGTCTTGACAGAACAAGACCGTAGACAGCAGGCTTCTCTTCGACAATGGGGTTTGGCGTTGCCTAACCCCGGGGTGCACTTGTACCATGCAGTACTAGGTAGTACTAAGTGGAGAAATTACTGTTCTGGGACTACGGGTGGAGATAGGTAGCTGCCTAGAATGCCGATATAGCGCTCGTTGCCTTTGCCCTGCTTGTTCCTTTATTGGAGGATTATGTTATGCCGATATAGAATGTAAGCTGGAGATCTTGGTGGGCTAGTGACGTATACCTCAGGCCTAATTAATGGATATATGGGATTGAGGCACGGGTGCGTGGATGGTTGAACTTTTTTGAGAAGGTGGTACTTGTGTTGGGGTTTACTAGCCGTATCTTTGGAATCTGGGTAATATTGATATCTGAGACGGTAGAATCTGGGAGATCGTGAGTACTGGATGTATATTCCTGGGCGAATCTGTAAGGAGGAAGGAGGGGTGGGTTGGCAACTTCCATGTGGAGTGTCGAAGATGAAGTTGGCCATTGCCCGTTGCCTTGACCCTTTCAGACATAGCGTTTGATTTTGGGAGGTGGATTTCTGCGTGGTGCTGACATTTTCTGATAGGGAACAGAGCGAGAGTAATGTCCTTTTGCTCGACGCCTTTCGGGGAAATAGAAGTCGAATTAATATTACTTGTCTTTCGTTTACTAAATCCACTGATAGACCATGTAGATCTTTTAATTGGATCGATCTCTCGGTGAGTAGTGCATCCTCACAAGGGTAGGGCGGAGTTCACTAGATGCGATAGGTACTGAGATAAATCGTAAGTGCGTGACATCGCCCGACTCTCGAGTCCACATTCCATTACACCTCCCAGTACGACTCCACCCTTTTTCCCTACCGCTTTTAGGAAGGAACTCGAAGGAGGTAATAGCGACGGATAATTTTCTCGCGGCGGGTAATCCTCGAGGGACGGTTCCCCGAGTCATTCAATTGAATTCAAGTCTATACCGTGACGTCCAATGGTCTTTTTGGTGGCGGTCCTAGTGAAAACGGGAGAAGTTGGTGGACATCGAATTTAGTGGAACGCGGGTGTCGGAGGTTTCCAGTGTAGGACCTCGAAGGAGGTATTAAAGGCGGGTAATCCTCGAGGCCGGCTCTATTCGAATTGAATTGAATCTTTTAGCACCACGAACAAGTCCCTGGTGCAATGAGGAGAAACTAAGGAACTTACTTAGTGGAATCCTACATAGTAAAACGCGGGGTCGGAAGTAAATTCGAGGTCGTTAGGTCTTACTGTAATTCAATTGTTGAGATTCCGACGTTTAGGCACTTACCGACCTCGAGTCGGTGATACAGGGCTGCGTCGGGTGGACTGGGTCTGAGGGTCCTCGAGTCCTCCCGAGGTGCTACATGTCCAAGTGACGCGCATATGCCATCACTCAGACTCCTGACGTCGACTTGACTACGGTCATGATATGAGCAGGTCAACTAGGTCGACGGAATCTGGGTGTGGAGCACTGTCAGCAGGATATTCAATGTGAAGAGTGTGGAGCTCATCCCGGACGTTGACAGGGCGGTCACGGTGGATCCCAGCTACGCGCACTCTTTACATTACTGGTGCGTGAAATGCAGGTCTGGCACATCGTTCCCCAATAAAGTTGTTTGTGTCGCCGCGAGTTTAATTTATTTAATTTCCAGTGGTGAGATGCGCTAGAAGCACGTTTTTGTTACTATATTTTCCAGGCGTTCATGTTTCGCGTCGTCATTTGGAACGTAGAACTTGGAATTTGGACAGGTACTCCAAGGTAAGAATGACAATTGAATAGAAAGCCGGGTTGACGGAGGTGTAGTGACGGTTACTGGCTTCCATGAACTGTGACGCTGTCATCTTTTGAAGTATTAAGGACGCTAGAAAGCAGTCGTACGGGAGCCAGAAATAAATACGAACCTACAGCAGGGTAATGTCTGTCGTAAATCATTGAATAGATAGCCGCCGGCTAAGGGGCTAAGGGGAATAGTGGAGAGAATTAGAAGACTACCGTTTGGATGAATTTGTAGTTGATTTCATTCATAGACTGTGACGCTGTTATCGCGTGAAAGCTTCAAGATGCTAGAAGATTGGAGTATGAATTGTGGGCTCCATAGAGCGTAGATATATGTACATACATGTACATCGGGCTCGTTGTTGACAAGGCAGAACTACGCAGAAGTCACCGCCGGAGTCCAGTTGGAGTGGGTACAATCCCAGGATTATAGACTATGCTCAATTCACTAATGCCATTTCTCCCGTGTACCATATAATTTTTCCATTAGTTGCTACACCACGACTGAGGCGTCAGGGAAGGACCAAAACCTCCATCCAGAAAGAAATTAAGCGCTGGAAGGAAGGCCAGAGGGCGCCAAGACGCGATACATGGGCGCCTCCGAATCGGGTGGGAAAAGTACTGAAGTATGACGTCATTTTCCTTCCTCTTTCCAGAGTGCGACTGTTCAGGTTCGCTTCCGGGTTTGGGGACGGGTACGAGGAGGAGAGGGTGTGGTTTGGTGTTCATGTTCATCCGTGGCAGATGGTTTCAACTTCTTTTTTGTTTCGCCGGCTTACGATGGAAACGATCGTCAGTCCTCTCCGACGGGATTCACATCGGCGGCCATCGTGTGCGGAGACTTTACAGTTCATGGAAGTTAATGTTGCAACTTTCCTGCAGCAAACTCTCGTAAGTTATCACTAGAGTATCCGGGCTAGGCGCTTCTATTATATCAAGTACCCACAGACGAGTCCTCTGTTTCACAGAGGCGAGCCTCGTGGCTGCGAATTTGAAAAAAAAAAACACGGTCTCCTGTGAATCAGTAAGTCCGCCGTCTGTGAGGTTTCCAATATCTCATAGCGCATTGAATCCCATCCACGGCGGCAAGGACTGGATTGGCTATAGCATGGCGAGGAGCAATCCGATACGGGTTTAGTCTGACATGTACATATCATGGTTGCTTCATGGTTGCTTCTCCCGCCATGTTGCCTTTACAGAAATGCCTTGGTTCAAGCAGGGATGCCTCATGTCGCTTTCCTTGACCACGTTGCCATTCAATCGTGCGGTTAAGTTGGTCGCGGGATCAGTCGGCAATGGGCGATGGAATCATGGGGAGGAGGGAAAGGTACGACGGGGAGATAGATGGTACGATGTCTGACCCACTTTTTTCTTTTGACAAAGGGCGGCATCCGATGCTTTCTGAAAGGGGTGACCTTGGATGGAAAACGCGGTAGATTACCCCTGAGTGGTCATTTAAACCCTTGGAATCGCCCTTTCCTCCCTCATCCATTGAAAAAGGAGCACACAATTCCTTGTATTTTCAATGGAGGCGTCCTTTATGGCAAACCAATTGCATAACAAAAGAAAGGTGAAAAATGAAAGGAATTGGGACTTGTTCGGACAAAATCATAACAGAGACCGCGAGGCGCGTCACAACGCGATCTCACGTGAAGCGAAATTTGAGTTTTCATTGTTGCTGCTTTCATCTCTTTCACCATCCTCTTCCCTTTCATCCTCTACATTTCCTATATAGCCCGCCAAGAGACCAGTGGCTTTTTCTCTTGATTCCCTGTAAGTCGTCTCTTATCGATTCTGAACAATCCTGGCCTCTGTATTCTGACCGATAACCAGAACGACCATCGACCGATAAAAAAAAGCCAGTAAAAATATGGATCTCCAAACTCTAACGAACCTTTTTACGACAACCTACAACCCCGATCCTAATGTTCGCAAGGCTGCCGAGCTGGAGATTCGCAAGGTGCGACCCATCGAGGCCTTTTTTTCGTTTATCGCAAAGCTTAGATTTGCATAGATCGGGAACGAGGAGGGCGTTATCACGGCCCTACTTCAGATTATAACGAACGAGGGTGTAGATCTGTACGTGTTTTCTACGCGTCCTAGCTGGAAATCTCCCTCATCGCTGTGCAGAGCAACCCGCCAGGCCTGCGCCGTCTGGCTCAAAAATCGCGTCTACAAGGTCTACGGCATCGAGACTGACAGGCGTCCAGAGAGCCCGTACATCGTCGACGCAGATCGCGATGCCTTGAGGAACAACATTCTGCTTCTGCTGGCCAACTCCCCGTCACGACCTCTCACGACCCAACTCGCCACCGTCCTCAAAACCATCGTTGCCCACGATTTCCCTGAAAAATGGCCCGGATTCCTCGACCAAGTCAAGCGTCTTTTGGAGAGCAGCAACGTACGCGAGGTCCATGCTGGCTGCGTCGCCGCTTTGGAGGCTGTCAAGGCCTTCAAGTTCCGTCAAAAGAACGACTACTTGCCCAAGATCATCGACGCTCTCTTCCCCACCCTGGTCAACATTGCTACCCAGATGGTTCAGCAACCACCCAGCGCATCCCAGGAAATCCCCACCATGCTCCATCTCATCCTCAAAACCTACAAATCCAGTATCACCGTCAATCTCTCCGCTCACCAGCAGGCCGCTCCTTCGCTCGTGCCCTGGGGCCAGCTCCTCTTCACCGTCGTCAACCTTCAGATCCCCGACTCTGCTCTCGGTCTCACCAATCCTGGGTCACCCGGAGATGAGGACGAGAAGGAGAGGAGCGAGTGGTGGAAGGCGAAGAAGTGGGCTTATGCCATTCTTGGTCGTCTCTTCCACAGGTTCGGTAACCCTAGCCAGCTTCCCTCGGCTCTCCAGAAGGAATATGGCGATTTTGCTCAACACTTTGTCACCATGTTCGCTCCGGAGATTTTGAACATCTACCTCAAGCAGGTGCAGCTCTACGTCCAGGGTCAGGCTTGGTTGTCGAAGAAGTGCCAGTACCACATCTTTACCTTCTTCAATGCTTGGTAGGTCCTCATATCTTTGGGTCACGACATGTGTTGACGTGCGGCGTAGTATCAAGCCCAAGTCCACCTGGGTGCAACTCAAGCCTCACTTCGAGACTCTGGTCTCCACCTTTGTCTTCCAGCAGCTCACTTTCAACGAGCCTCGCAGGGAGCTCTGGGAGTCCGACCCCATCGACTACGTTCGCGTCTCTGTCGGTACGTATCTATACATGTTCTCAATCACCCTTCCACTAATCAACGCTCTTCACAGATGAGTATGAGAGCTACGCCACCCCCGTCTCTGCGGCCACCACTTTCCTGCTTGCCCTGGCCACCAACCGAACCAAGATCACTTTCATGCCCATCCTCACCTTTATCAACAACATCCTCCGTTCCGACGCCGCCCCTCCTCAGCGATTCGGTGCCCTCAACATGACCGCCGCTCTCAGCCCCCACATGATGAGCCATCCTCAAGTCAAGGGCGAGATGGCGCAGTTCATCTTGAACTTTGTGAGCCCCCAGTTGGAGGCTTCCGAGGGTTACTTGAAGGCCATCGCCCTTGAGATCATCGGCACTGTTGTCAAGCACGGCATGCAGTTCTCGAGCCCCGATGTACGTGCCGTTCCTGGTGGTGTAGGGGAGGTGTGAACTGACTATATGCGCCTTGTAGATCTTGGATAAGCACTTCAGGGCTGTTGCCAAGCTTTTGGATGATAAGGACTTCCCTGTCAAGGTTCAGGCTGCTCTCGCTTTGACCGAGATGGTTTTGGTTTACGATGAAGGTGAGTTCGCGACGGGCTTGTTCCCAGGTATATGCTCATCGCCCTTCCAGTCCGCAACGCTCTGGCTCCCGAGGTCGGCAAAGTTATCCAAGACCTCCTCAAGATGTCCGACGAAACCGACCTCAACATCCTCAACCACAGCATGGAAGTCATGGTCGACCAATACCACAACGAGCTCCTCCCCGTCGCTGCCCAGCTCACCGCCCACCTTTGCGAATCGTACATGCGCTGCGTGCGTGAGGTTGTCGCTCAAGAAGCCGACGTTAACCCCAACAACCTCGAGTTTGAGGATGTGGTGGATATGAATGACGATAAGACGTTTGCGGCGATGGGCATTGCCAAGACTATCTCGACTGTCGTCGACTCTATTGATTCGAGCAATGAGATTTTGGCGCAGGTGCAGGAGATTATTATTCCTATTCTTGTGTTTACGCTCGAGAACAAGTTGATTGGTGAGTGGTTCCTTTGGATCTTTATCCAGGGGAGCTGGGATGCTGATGGGGACATGTAGATTTGTTCGATAACGTGTATGAGCTCATTGACAGCTTGACGTACCACCTCAAGGCTATCTCGCCCAACATGTGGCGCGTCTTTGAGCTCACTTACAGTGTTTTCAAGAACGAGGCGCTCGACTTCCTCGAGGGTGCGTTCCTTCACCAATTTCTCACTCTACGCACTGACGATTATCACACTTTTCGGAAACAGAGATGCTCCCCTCGCTCGACAACTTTGTCTCCTACGGCTCCGACGTGATCAAGAACAACGAGGAGTACAAGCGCATGTTGGTTGATATCTATACTTCGTCCATTTCGGGTGAACACCTCGGCGAGAACGATCGTGTCAATGGATCACAGTTGGCTGAATCCATCTTGCTCAACTTGCGTGGACATGTTGATAACGTGTGTACCTTTCCTTTTCTCTCTGCGTTCTTAAACAACATCTAACGTTGAACGGAAACACAGTACCTCGAACTAATCATCAACACCGCCTTCTCCCTGCTCGACAAAACCGAGACCGCCTCCCTCCGCCTCGCAAACCTCGAAGTCCTCATCAATGCCGTACTCTACAACCCCACCGCCGCCCTGCACCTAATGGAACGCGCCGCGCCGGGCAACGCTCGTCTATTCATCGACCGGTGGTTCGCGGCGATTACTGCTTCGGAGAGCAGGCTTCCTAGGGTACACGATAAAAAGCTGAGCATTTTGACGCTGGCGGCGTTGATGGAGCTGCCTGCGGAGAGTGTGCCGGAGCAGTTGAGGGATGGGTGGCCTGGTATTGTTGGGGGTGCTTTGAGGTTGTTTAAGGATTTGCCCAAGGCTATTGAGCGTGAGTCTTGTCTTGTCTTTTCGTGAGTGTTGGGAGGGGATGTGGTGTACTGATTATATTCGCGTTTTGGGCGTGTATAGGTCGAAAGGCGCTTGAAGCCGAGTTCCACGCTGAAGATTCTGACGACGAGTCGTTCGGAGAGAGGTTGTTGAACTTGAACGATGAAGAAGGTTCGTGCTTGCCCTTAATGTCTTAATTCCTTATCACTCACCATCCCTCTCCAGGCGACGTATGGGATGACGAATCCGCCTACCTCGAGATGCTCGCCAACGAGGGTGCACGCCTGCGTGAGAAGCAGAACCGACCTCCCGATGCTCCTTCTGACGACGAGTCTGATGACGAGGAAGAGGAGATTGAGGAGGAGCTTGGATACTTGAGTCCGATTGACGGTGTAGATCCGTATGTTACGTTTAAGAGGGCTTTGACCAGTGAGTAAACCCTTCCTTCCTTTTCCTCTTCGAGCTTTTGGGGCTCCATGTGGTTATTGTGATGGATCGAGGGATGTTAACGCTATTCCTCTTTTTACAGCTCTTCAACATCAGAACCCAGCTGTATACCAAGCTGCTACGACTGCGCTTGATATTGACCAGCAGACTTTGTTGATGGAGGTGATGAGGCTGGCGGACAACCCTCAGCCTGCTGTTGCTCCTGTTGCTGCTGCGTAAATGCGTTGCGGTTGTTGCCCTTGACATACTGCTATTGTTGGCTTGCCGATACTTATCGATATCCCAGACGTACTGCTCAACTGTGACGCTGAACGAACAGGCACGACTCATTCTGTGATGACATTTTTTCTTTGTTTCATTGTTTCTTTTATACTTAGCTTTTTTCGTACGAGATCGTTTCCTGCTACGATTATATAGCGACGCTCTCCGTTACGCTTTATGATCATGATTTTCTCGATGTGGGTTGTTTCTGGTTTCGGACGCTTCGCGAATCCTTCGAATGTTTCTGATAGTCTGATAGCGGTCAGCGCTTTGTTGGGTCGGGAGTGTGTCATGTATGTATTGTGCAATGGCCCCTCTGAGGTTAACGTTCTTCGCGAAGTGGGATAGATACTTGAACGATGTCCAAGGAGTCCTTTCGGGGAATCTTTCGCTCTCTTGAGTGCTCAAATGAGTTCTTGTGACTTTCGGGACTCCTTTGTATTGTGGGTAGAATCTCGACGGGGGTGTGGCTCACCCATGGTGCCTACATGTCCAGGACCACTCATCTTCGATTCTTCGATGGCTTGCCGCTTGTAGGCATCTTAGTCCTTTTTGTTCAGACTTACTCACCGGCTCGTAGTCGATAGAATTCGCACACAACGTATACACAGGAAATCCGGTTCCGGAAGGCGACTTCAAAATGAATTCAAAGGGAGAAGTCTTTGTTGGGTTGTGGGTACACGAACGAACGAACGATGCTCAGAGTGGGCGATGTGGGTAGATGGCATGCGGATTTGGGAGTGGATGCCACAGCCCATGAACGCTACATACTACTTGGATGAACACATAAAGTACTGCGCCTGAGGTTCGTAAATTTGGTGTATGTAGGTGTATACTGGTTATCCTTGCCTCTTCGAGGTACGTAGGCTGGGTAGTTTCCGTGGTTCTCGTCGGTTAACTCCGTGAATTCGAAGTGGAGCCTGAGTGCGTAAAAGGTCTCTTGCAGTATTTTCGAATAGGGGTTCTGAATCTGTTATACTGCCGCAGGACACTCGATACAGTTTATTGCCCCGGTTCTCCCACTCCTTCCTTACTTCAGTACTATACGATTGAATAGAATTCTATTCTCAACGACGCTATTAGCGGAAGGTCGGAGTACCTATTCATCTGCAATGATCCCATGGTGATCCCATTCTTTCAATGATAGAAATCTAGCAATGTATCGCTATGGGATTCGCGTATTTTCGAGCTCCGTCGGGCAGTGCGGAGTATGTGCGGAGGGAAATAAGCGCCGGCCCCGCCACACGCGGGCGCTTTTCGCCACCGGCAGGCTAAACTTACCTAAGTAGCCCGACTCCACCCCAGGGTCAGGGTAAGCGGCTAAAGTTCCCCCGAACAAGCCCGCGTACGCGGAATGGAGGCGCGGATATGGGAATGGATCAAGCTAGACGTGTTCCGCTCGAGAAACGAAAGCGAGTAGTACATAGGATGTAAGGATGAGTGGAGTTGGAATAAATTGAATTAAATTAAATTGAATTAACAAAGGTGCCCCGCTAGGGATCGGCAGTGTACGTAGGAGATTACCGTCGACTCGGTGATGAGCGACCCTAAACCATCTTCGTCGATCCCATTTATTCAAGTTACTTTTTCCTTTTTACGTGTGGGCGGTGCGGTTTATGCTATGCGATGGGAACGAAGCTCGCGGTAGTTTGTAGTATATTAGTAGATGGGATTCAGAGGTCTAGCATAGCATGGAGGTAAAAGTACGGTTAAGCTAGCGCATATGAACTGCGAAGCGAACTCCTTACTGTAAGCTTAAATTCAAAGAACTTGTCGCATGGTTTTGAAGAAGTGCCGGGTTCGACGAATTCGAAGAAAGTAGAGTAGGGGTACTAGGGTAAGTTTCAAGCTCCCTCTCTCATCGGATTGAACTCACCAGTTCGGACTTGTTCACCGAGAAGTACGAGTATGTACTTGGAAGATCCAGAAGTCCTGAAATATGAATGAAAAGAACAAGAAAGGGGATCCTAGCGTTGAAGCTTTAGAAGCATGGTCCTCTTGCTCTCAAAGTTTACCCTTCTCTCCCGTTGCCGAATTGCGATAAACTTGAGAGTCAGGCACGGCGGTGCAGAAGAACTCCCGCTAACCATGGGACCGTGATCATGATCAAGCCCGGGGATAGCGCTTGTGAGTCCTTTGACGAAGGAACCCATTACTCTGAATGACGCATACGTACTACCAGAGTTACTTTCAGCCTACTCTCTGGGCACTGTGGCAATATCCAAGGACCCGAGTTCGCCTCTTGAGATGAAGCATCTTCCACGAAGATTTGCATTCAACCTCGAATTCAGGAAGAATTTTTCTGTCCAGTTTCCCATTCGAATTCACGAGACACGCTTGGAAGAGTACAATATACGCTTCGCGTATCGCGAATATAGCCTTGCCAGACAAAATCTACTTTATTCTGGTAAGAAGACCACTCACGAAGCTAGCACCCCGAATCATGATCATGATCCACCCCCAATTTACCTGACGGAGCCAGAGCAAGGAGAAAGCCGAGCGGCTCCCCAAACTCAAACTCCTACTCCAAGCTAAACTATGCTGTTAAGTCATAGACATCACGCTTGTTTGAAGTTTAAACATGTATGGGTGTTCTGCTTGGGAGGGATGTGGCGAATCACTTGTTCAATCCAAGTCATCGGGGACGAATACGAATAATCCGTACCACAATAGAAAGTATAGTAAAAAGCCACCTATACATAGGCGAGCGTCACCTCTGATAATAAAGTGACGTCGAAGGGCTGAACAGAAGATGACCGACCACACCTTCCTTATGCACCACCAATTCTCAACCCAACCCCTTCCCCTTCTCGCTCTGCGGCTTGGCCAAAAAGCTTAAGCGATCTGTAGAACCCTTAGAAGTAATTCCATCCATCCAGCCCCTCGTTAATGACCATCGCCACCGTGCCAACCGTGACTGTCCTTTCCAGTTCCGAAGGTAGAGTTTCTTGGCCACGGAAGGAGAAGAGAAGGTGGATGGAACTCCTAAGAACAGCCCACGATAATCAACTGGGTTCCATCAGCGTTCGACACAGAGGAGCACCATTCAAAACCAGCTTTGCAAGTAATCGATTTACCCAATTCACTCTCGGCTCGACCACAACTGCAGTAACTGGAACTTTAACGTCCCACCTTGATGGTGTGATAATCTCCAAGAAGCATGCCATCCTGCACTGCAACGAACCTTCACAGAAAAGAAAACAGGGTCAATACATATGTACATACTAGTAGAAGAACTCGGCTTTCGGAATCTTGCGAGTCTGCGAAGTCTATATAACAACAAGTTGTGCACCCGTACTGTTTTACCTGCTTTTGGTTTGCACGTTTGACCTTGATCAAATAGTACTTGCCTTTCTTCCTTTCTTCGTTCGTTCGAATTCGAAAATTGTTCACCCAAGAGAGAAGAGATCAAAAGTGTAAGCGGCAGTTGCCCGTTGAGTCATATGGAAACTCAGTCGTCGATATCATCAAGGTTGAAAGTTCGTCTGTGTACTTGTCACTCGGGTGGATTTTGCGATGATTGGATCCGTTGGTTGGTTTCGGGGGCGAGAAGAGGGGGCAGTGGTACAGACGGGGAAGTGGTGAATTGACAGAAAGGATCCGTGGGGCGGGAGTATATTGGCTCCACATGAAATCGGCACAGTCAATAGAGTTGGATAGTACTATGTAGTGGCATGCTGGAAAGGAAGAGATTCACGCAACTACTATAGCCTGGCACGAGACACCTCAGCGCCGGCGCGTGTTCGCAGAAGTCGAGCCCATCTTGCTTCTGGTCCTCCCTAGTTTACTCGAGGCAGGCAGGGGATTCGGATCCTCTTCTTCCACGTTCCCTCTTCGCCGGAGCGGGTCGCTACTCGTCTGATCCCAGCCGTCATGATCACCTTCCCTGACTGGACCAGTCACGGAACTTTCTTCTAGAAGCACTGCTACCGCTTTCTAGGTATTCTGCCCTTGTGACGCAATGCTGGGTAAAGTCTGGGCGTTGGGCAAATCGGAGAGCTGATTTGTAGGCCTCGGTGACTGGACTGGAGGGGGATCGTGTACGTTAGGCCTTATTGAAGATGAAATGAACGCCGGGTGGATTGTGTACGCACTCGCTTGCTTCGTAGATAACAACGTCCCAGTCTACTGGTGCGAGAGCACGCAACTCCGCTTGTCTGATATACTCTTGATTCAGCAATTAGCCGAGGGGACAACCCACTGGAATGGCTTACAGTCGTTGACGAAATCCATGGAAGTTGGCGTTTCCGCCGATAAGGCCAATGTTAGCCCAGAACATTCCTTGGAGGTCATCGGGGAGGAGCGATATCGAATGGGCGATCGTTTCCGCTAAACCCGCCTGTTGAAGGCCTGTTGTGATTACCGTCTGTCAGTTACCCGTCGAGCACACAGGATTCTTACGCGCAAAGAGACTACTTTACCTATGTCATCTGGTCGAAAGATAAGTTCCGGCACAGTAAACCTCTCATTGTTCATCACCAGGATTTGATCAGCATCTGTGACCAGGGTATCGTCCTGTCGAACCTGTCCCGGCTTGTTTTTGGCGTAGTCAGGCAGGATGTATTCGCGAACAATATCGTTGTGTCGCGGGTCGGACCTGTAGAGTGGATGCTGTTGTCAGAGACAGGGCGGGAGCAAAACCGCAGGGGCGACCCACCGACAGACTTCCAGGTCTCGCTTAAAGTCTGATGAAACGAAGCAACATGTCTCTTTAACGTGATTCATGATATAGGTCTCGTCCATCATGTTCCACTGTCTGAAGGACACGAGTTCTTTCAGATGGTTTGTCAATAGCTTCCCGCCTACATCCAGTCTGAAGCGGGAGGCAGTGGGTCAGTTTGTCGCATCTAGATCTCGAGAAGCAAGGAACAGTACCGTTTGACGGCAGGCCAAACGACTTGGCCTTGCAGGATAGGCACTACATGGGTAAAACTGAAGCCAGAATCTACTACCAACATGCACTCTGGCGGCGGCACAGAAGACTGCGGGTTGAATAGGGTGCCATACGGAATCAGCGATGCCGCTAACCAAGATGGAGTCAATCATTTGACGCTGGGAGGGTAAACAGCTCCAACGTACCGGTGCACCGATAATAAGAATGGAATTCGTATTCCTCGAAAATGAACTGGTCGTAAACGTCCTGGATGTTGGGAAGATTGAAGTAGGGTTCCGTGACCAGAAGCGTCGATTCTGTGGTGTCGACCTGCGCGATATCGTGAGTCCAATCGGAATGTAGAAGAGATGGGCTCGTCTATACGAACATTCAGAACTTGATCAGAGAAGACACCATCCCAGATGGCTTTCTGCGCGTCCCAGTCGACTACAAAGCCCTAGAAAAGTCTATTGGAGCCGCTTGAATGGAATCTAGTCTCGTGCGACTAACCTTTTCAATCGGGAGTCGATAATGCAAGGATGTAAAGTCCTGGCAGGCCGAGAATTCATGGCCAATGTAAGTCGATTTGTCGCCCCTAGATTTGATAACGGCGTTGGGAATTATTCTGGCCAGAACGCAGATTTAGCGACGTCTTCCTCGTGGGCGCCTACAGAGATTCACCGACCTGGGTTCGACGTCCAAATCGACTAGGCCTGTCTTGATCGTACAGCCTCCATTGTCCAGGATCACAATGTTCTTCTTCATTCAGTCTTGGACTTCGTCGTTGTTGGCGGTTCACAACATGGTGGTCGTGGTAAACCGGCCGTGATGCTTGCCCTGCACGTCACCAAAGCCATCGTAGCACTCTTCCCCGACGCCTTCACCGTCCGCACGACGCTCTGCTCCAAATTCCAGATTACAGAAAAAATGACGAAAATAAAGAATCTGGGGCCGCCGGCTACGTTCGGTGAACGGTCAGCGGCTACAGCGTGACTGAATAGGGGCCTAGAGCATGAATCAGACGACCACCGGGCTTGTCATCCAAGCTTTGACCAGACCCTCATCGTCGAACTCCTCCTGGTCAGTTCCCAGTCTATAACTTACATTTAAGAACACGGAACTTAGGGTTGAATGGCATTTCAGGAGGCCCCTCGTCATCGGACATCGAAACAATCCGTACCTCGTTCCCCAGAACCGAACAGATCCTCTCCAGCGCAGAGTATTCAACGCTATTTGGCACTTTTCGAAATTCATATACTTCGTGGTGAGTTTGAATGACATTGTTTCTATGAACCCAGCTGACAACGAGGTCTCCTGAACCCTCGGATTGCAGGCCCCTCGGAATCACTTGATTGGAATCTACGAACAAACGATACGATAACCAGCGAACGATAATGTGTATTGGCGTCTGGACTTTGGATCATCCGGATTATGCTTTGTACGTCTGAGTGACCCAAAAACCTATTCTCGTTTCCTCTGTTCGTTAAAGTGTGACTTACCAAACCAATGCCCCTTTGACAGAATCCTCTGCGAAAACCGAGATGAATTCATCGATCGACCGACGGAGGATGCTCATTGGCACTCGTTTGGAGACGTCCAAAAGCAGGATGAACCAGGCAACGTATTGTCAGGTCGGGATATCAAGGCAGGAGGTTCATGGTTTGGCCTAAATAAAGAAGGCAGGGTCGCACTCCTGTAAGTCAGAGATATGTTGCCACACATACCCGATCCTGAACACTCCTCTCTAGGACAAACATAACCGAGCCTCTTGGGAGATACAGTTCATCCAGAGGCGCACTCGTCTCCTCCTTCCTACTCTCCAAATCAAACCACCCCTTGGAGGACGAACTAGGAAAGATAGTCTCTCCGAACGCCGCATTCGCAGGATTCAACCTACTACTTCTCTCGCCTACTTTACGCTCCGATGATACCATCTCGTATGACGCCCTATTTGTCACCAACCACGGTGGAGGCGGAGTTCTAACGTCTCGTCGACTTACACCTGAAGAACAACGTTGTGGATGCATGTCCAACGGGATTGATGGAAAAGACGCCAGCCAGTGGCCCAAAGTGATACACGCCACCCGGGAGTTCAGTGCTGTCCTTCAGAGCCTATCCCAAGAAGCCACAGAAACCGAAATTGCGGACCATCTCTTTAATGTCCTCGCGTGAGTAAATTATCTTAAAATTTGGGGTCCATCGTAAAAAAGTTCGTTATTGACTTGGGGAGGGGGGGATTTTCCGAGAAGCTGGCGATGCAGTGAACCTATTACACTCCGTACTGGGCTTCGAAACACAGTCCAGGTCGAGCCGATTCCGATCGTTCTCGAAGGATCTCAGTCGGCGGTTCCAACAGCCTATGGAACGCGTTTATCCACGGTTCTCTTGATTCGGCGAAACGGGGACGCCCATTTTATTGAGCGCGATATCTGGAAGCGCGATAATGACGGAAACATCGCCAGAACAGACCCACCTACCCAGCGCGAATTCAAGTTCAAACTGGATCTCGAAGCTATCAGAAGAGCGCAATCATCATCGCTCCGCGGATAATGCCAGTTCCATGAAATCAAACGCTGTTTTAAAGTTAGTGTAGTCACTCCGTGAATGTCGAGTAGACAGATAAGTAAACTTGAATTGAATTTTTTGTGGGATGTACATAACCATAGGTCCAGCCAGGGATTTGAGAGTCCATTACGCGAATAGATAACTAAATAAAAAAGTAAAAGTTGTACAGTAGTGTATCCAAACCGAATAAAGTTACAACACCTCCAGTGATATGCAAGAAAGGAAAAAGGGGAAGACTACAATCGTTCGAAAGACGATAACAAACACCAAGAAAAGAGGGAGGGATCCATAGCAACATAATGAGTGGACATGACATGAACATGTGAATAGATGTCATTGAGTCGAGTCGTTGATCTCGAGGGAGAGATAGAAGAGTGTCGAGGGAGGAGGAAATCACGGGGCAAACGAAAAGAAAAGAAAAAGGAAACGTCCAATCATTCGGGAGAGATTTCTCAGGTGATGACATGCGTGTAGACGCCATGATGTTCTGCAGGCGGGATCGAGAAATAAGGGTTGTAGCCTCCAGTGGTCATATTGCTCCATTCCTGGGGCGGCATCCCTGGCGAACCCGTGGTAGCCTGGAAGTGGTTGGTGGTCGTATGGCCGCCGCCGCCTCCACCGCTGGAAGCAGAAAGGGGAGTCAAGAGCTCGTTATCAGACGGCGTGCTGCTGTCGTAGCTGCTGGTGCCGTTGGTAGCCGCTCCGTTGCTGGAGTGTTCGACGGTGTTGCTATTACGAGGGGATGAAGGCCTGACATTAATTCATATCATGGACACAACAACTATGACAGATGAAGCTCACTGGAGGAGATCGTTAAGCTCGACCACGCGCCGATAGGTCAAGCAGTTCGTATTCGGCGGGTGATGGCTGAACTGCCGGAGGGTGGTCAGCGAGCTCTGAAGCTGCTGTGAGAGATTAATGTACGCCACTCCAGTGCTAGGGTTGGTTCGACATGGGCAGTATCCTTGAGGAGTCGACCCGTTTGTCGTGGAGTACTGGTCGTTATAAGTGCTGTTGTTCCCATCGGGGCTGTTCGTGAGAGGAGGGTACCCGTTGCTCCCGTTGTCGGAGTAGGAGGACGAGGTCGAGTTACCATTATACTGGCTATTGTTGGGCGACGTCGGGTATGTCATGCCAAGGGATGGAGGAGAGTTGTACGGCTGTTGTCCCTGTTGCGTTTGAGGACGTTGCTGATCCTCGTTGAACGATCCGTTCGAAGACGTGCGCCGGACGTCAAAGGTGTGATACCGCACACTGTTAGGCGCAGGAGAGGGGGAGAAGCGGTACAAGTTGGGGTTGGGCGCCTCGGCGGAGGGCTCAGTTTTGATAGGGCTCAACAGGGTAGGCAAGGCTCGACCGTTGCGCCCACTGTGGTCGTCGTTGAGAGTCGCGCTGCGTTTCTGAAGTGGAATACATTTAGTGGCTCGCGAATGCCACTTTTCGTTGGGATCGCCGTCCCGGAAGTTGCTGTCTGCCCAGCGAGGATGAGGCTTGCCTAAAGACGGTTTAGAAACCTAGCCAGACGAGGATCGAGCTGGATAAACATACCTCTGAGCTCGCGCACGAGCGATTCTAGCTCCGCAATTCGATTGCGGAGTCGCGTGTTTTCGTCGAGAGAGGGGTCGTCCCTACGCTTGGAGATAAGCTATGTCGTACCAACAGGGACAGAAGTCGTGCTCACCGCAAGGCGGGGTCGTCAATTTCGTAAACACATAGGCCCGTCTGTTGACAGAAAAGCGATCAATGGGCTGTATTTTGGCCAGAAAAGCTGATGTACTGACGAGACCTAGCTGGATACACCTCTGGCAAGGCCTCTTGCGGTCGCACTAGGAGATGAAGGTTGGTCAACGTCGATCATGATGAGCATGATAGGTCGAGGGCGCACCTTTCGTTTGGATGTGTGGCAATTAAGGCAGCTCTGGGTTGTCCGGTTTCGCCTCCTCTTCCTAATTTAGAGAGAAATCGGGCATAGAGAGGGATGAACGGTAATTAGACCGGGTTGGACAATCAAAGTAGTGGTGGATAGGTGGTACTGACCTGTGGTCTGTGTCGACTGTGAATTCGAGGTCCATAATTTCGCCCTTGAGTTGTATAGGTTGAAAGGATTCAGAGGACATGATGGCAGGGAGCGAAAAGGGAACAAGCTCTCGAGGTATCGAGGTTTGCCCTTAAGTGCATCCGGAGCCATTAAGTAACAAACAGAGATCTGTATCCAAGATCGTATTGTGCCGGGAGTTGACAGATGCAGTATCTCCCGATTCGGACTACCTACTTTGAGCTACGGTCTGGCCTGGGAGCCAATGTCTTCTTTTTTCTACAGAGATGGTCTCGATTAGATGTCACCGTGTTAACTGACAGCCACAACCCAAAATGGCCATATCGCCCTGAGGATCAAGCAGCATGGGATCATGATGATTTCTATCCAGATTCATCCAGTACATGTGGGACACAACTCCCCTCGTCCTCTCCAATCCGGAAACTATCTTGTTAGCCAGCTGCCCCACCTTGGCTCGACTTGACTTTCGTCGGAATTACCCCCGTCGACTACCTTATCTCAGGGTCGTCGGTGAACCCGGAACTCTGCCCCTCGCCATATAATAATACCTACCACTCCAAGCTTCGAAACAGGGACTTCCAAGGTGGGCATCCAACGTGCCATCGCTTACCAGATGGCCCCGGTATTCATCGTCGAGCCTTCTTTCTCAATTATTCCTGCCATCTGTGCAATTTAGCCCGGTATCCACTATATTCCCTCGTACTCATCAATGAAACACAAAGGAATCTTTTTTCGTGCTTCGCGCCCTGGCTTGAGTCTTTGAGCCATGCGAGTCTCGCATTATCCCATGGGAAAATAGCAAAACGAGGCGCTTGACCTCGAACTCGGTGATCCACTCGACACCGTTGGCTAACGAAAGCTTGTTCGTAATGACCAGACCGAGTCCCGCTCGACGGTTGTCGATCAAGTCATGATAACCCGTCGAGGACGTTTGCTCGCATGGCTGCAGTGGAAAATCTAGAAAAACGAAAGGTGTAAATATTCCGAACAACATCCTGGTGGGTCACGGTGCCAATGCATCGCTGAAATGACGAGAGACCTTGCAGTGCAGGATCTGATTAGAAAAGGAAAACGAGCTCACCATGGATTTTGGTGGCGTTGTGGTTCCCTCGCTCGACAAAATAGGCGGGAAGACTCCGGAAATGTGGCGTTACACGTAAAGAAAGCGTGAAGCCATGCGAGCATCCGTGGATTCTGCATGAGGTTTAGACGAACCTCTTCGAAGTCCTTGCTTGAAGATGAAAACGTCTGCTTACAATTAAAGCACTCTCATTGTCAATCATCCGCGGAAGGCGGCTCCCGAAGGTCTAAATGCCAGTGGGAAAAGTCGTGCGCAAAACTTTCCGCTGTTCTGGATAAATCTGCGAGTTTATCTTGATCCTTTATTGGGTGTAGAAGCTTTTCATAGACACTGAAGGATATCCCGTCAAGCATCAAAAGAAGGGGGAGGGAAAACGTACTGGATGAAAAGGGCGATTGAATCTGTACAATTAGAAAGCCGTCGTCATCGAATTTTAATTAGACACGTTTCCTCTTGACAGTGGGGAGGCATCGAATGCTGGGTCCTGGTCAGCAGCAGTGATACATCGGGTCCTCACCGAGAGAGAAGCACACAAACGCTGAAACTAGTGCCACAATCAGTTGGAGTCATGGAACGTACCGACTTGCCAAAAGTGTTGCTATCTCTGTTTGAGAGAGAAGTCCTTGGCTGATTAGAGACACGAAGGTTAACCTGAACCCCTGATCACGCCTCGTGACAGACTTTGACGCCGTGGATAATCTTCCACGGCTGATATCAGTCATTCACATCAAAGCACGTCGACCTGTGAGAAGTCAAGGTGCTTTGGATATGCCGAGTACCCGCTGGGGACCGTTGTAGGCTGTCGTCGGTATCGGAGGCGGTGTGATCTCCAAACGGTGAAATGACCTGTCAGCCTCCCGATAGATATCATTTAGAGCAATTCTGGTAACTCACCACTTTTAGTATGTTGAATTCCCGGAGCCATTCTGGGCGCTCTTTAGCTTTAGTGGTGGACAAGGGTCCCTTTGATAATTCCATAATGAATACGTTGCAATTCGAGACGGCGGCAATTTGCATCATAGGCACGTTTTCCAATGCTCTCGTGGCCTCTCGTGAAGAACGTCGAAGGCGGGGAAATTCAGGCGGAGAGACGAAACCGGCCGCGTTCACATGAGTCGGACTTCTCTCGGGAACTGGCGGTGTCGAAAGGAAGCCTAGCTCTGAGCACTACGGCGGGGCCTGAAGGTCAAGCTCGTGATGTGAACCAGAGTAAAGGGTACCTTGTCTCGAGCCGGTATTCACCACGAATTCGGGGTAAGCCTTGAGAAAACGAGAGTCGTCCACGTTCCAGTCCGTTCAGAGTTCAGTGGGGAGACATCTGATTGACACAATAAGACAGACTTCGATATGATCCCATCATGCCATCCACGACACGGAAGATTGAGCTCAAATACAATCCACCGTAGGTGCCCATCCGTTTTGAATAGCGAGGGCGAGGTCGAGCATCGTTTAATGTATCTGTTAAAGGAGACTGCACGGGATATCATTATCAGTACAGCGTCAGCCCCTTGATAGCGGATGGATACCGGAATGACACCAGCCAGTAACACTTACGGTCGTTATGCTTACGGTATTCAGTACAGTCGGCTTTGGTGTGACTGAGGAGAGATAGCGGGACCTGGACTGGCGAAATGCATGGCTGACCCACATCAAGAATTCGAGAAGCAGCAAATGTGTCAGAGTAGGTTTCTCCACAGGCACAGTTTGGTATTTGTCTCTTGAGAAGCACAGAGGTAGCTTGGGACAGGACGGATCCGGAAAGGATTAAGGGCTGGCTTGGAAGGAAAGCTGAGGGTCTCGGAGTCCCACTGTGGCCCTCGTGAATGCGGGAGGGAGGGAAAGTAAAAACGTGGCAAACGTGACCAATAGATCCTCGTCGCCTGAAAGAGGAACCAGTTTCGCCAAACGGAATCCTGTGGATAGTCTGTCGTAATATTCCCGTTGAGACAATGACATTTCACTCACTATCCGAAGCCCTCGACTGGCGGTGGGAATGACAAGCGGCCATGATAAACGTTAATTACTTCCAATTAGCAACTCGGCGCTGATAATGGGGTTAGCACATTTCTTTGAACGCCACCAGAAAATATGGAGCAGGTAGCTGTCGAAACCTGCCAGAGTCGAGCAGGAGCATTGAGCACCTTTTGTGTTGGAAGACGATAGCATGGCGGGATCTTTCTGTCTGGGGTGCCATCCACAGCCAATGAGTGATGCTCCACGAGGACCAAATGTCGTCTAGCACGCGACTTTCCCGAGTCATGAATGTGAAGGGGGGGATGGAACGGAATATTTTAGTCGTTTCATCGGAACTCGCTCTCGTAACCGACGAATAAGGAAAGGTTGCCTGTGGTGAAGAGGTACGTATGTCGAAATATCCGGCCAGATCCTGTTCGTCAGGGGGTAAAGGTCGAGCATTGGTGGAATGGAAGCTCAAGGAGGGCGCAGATCAAGGGTATTTTCCGCGATAGCCATCTCCGTTGAGTCTTGACTGTATGGAACAGATCAAAAGAGGAAACCTGTACAGAGCGAGAGCAGCGCAAGAACCTGAAACAGGGCATATGAAAGGGTGAGATTGCGTCGGCCATGTCCCATCAGAGAGTAAACTCAGTGTCCGAGTCCTAAGTTTCTCTTGTCTATGATTCTGTGTGAGCGAGCCCAAGGCCATCCATGGAATTTATGGATCAATGCTTCAAGCGCAAGAGGCAAAATTGCGGTTGTGGCCGAGGTCAATGAATTCAGTCTGTGTAGGAGGATGAGCTCACCTCAGTTTATTTTGGGTTCACCGTGCTCCGTGGCACGCTCGACCGCGCGACAAGGTATGTTTTCTCGCCGTTTCTTCGCAACCAGGCTTCCTCCGGCAAATTGTAACCAAAAAAGTCGGTCACAATTTCACCCAAGGCCGCCGGTGCTCCTAGAAAATCGGCGGGCAAATGGTTTGTGCGGTAGCAGGCGGTTCGAGCTTACCGACACCATGGCAATAGGCATCGCGGTGAGCGCGAAGAAGGCAAGAGAGTTCAGCTCGCCGCCAGCGACGACGCCCACAAATTAGGATTTCCCGAAACGGAAAGAGGCAAACAGCGGCAACGCCAGCCGCCATCAGTGACGTCGTCGTCCTCCGGACACCCCTTGTCCACGCAGTCACTGCAACGATGGGCGCCAACGGCTTGCTACTTACCACAACCACTACCGAACTCACTCGCCTAACCCATACAGCAATACTAACATCTAATCTACTTTGACGCGTGAGTTTAGCAGAGAACCCCTGTCAACGCTTGCTCGTTGGTTTACATTCCATAGAAATATCCAAACTTCCATGGCTTCTGCACGACAGCAAGCCTACGATAATCCCGACTTGTCTGCGACATCCCCAGGAGAGGAATCTGAGGCCGTAATGTCTGGAGAAAACGAGCCAGAGCCCCACCCAGGAGTCGACGGTGTTCCCGTTCGTTGTGAGTGCTTCGAAGACGACGGTCAATCTTATGGCCCTATTTCTGACACCGCTCCTTCTAGGGTACGATGTAAGGGGTTATTCACGGTCTACTCGCTATTTCTGAAGGTTCTGATCTCGTTCCCAGGCGGATAGAACAGAGCCTTATACGCGAATTACACCATTCCAAGAGAAGCACGACACAACTGTGGAGTATGTTCAACGAAGTTCGGGATCTAATTTTTGAATTCGACTGACAATATCCGCAACATCAGGTTCTTCTACAAGCCGCTGACCCTGACGGCGTTGGCGTGCGGCCTCGTGGTTCTCGCATATGTTGCGATGACACAGGACGTCTTAGAAGAAGGAAGGGACAAGCGGAGAGTGTTCGTGCTTCTTTTGTCGCCTTTCTTCTCAATCCGACTCTTGACAAACCGATTTCAGGGGAATTTATGCCGCCATAGCTTCTTTCCTTGTCTTCTCGATGATACAGTTCCGTGATGGTCCTTTCATTCGACCTCATCCTGCCTTTTGGCGCATTGTCCTCGGTGTCAATCTCCTCTACGAGCTCGGCCTTGTATTCCTGCTCTTCCAGGACCTTGCAACAGCACGGCAAATGATGACGTACATCGATCCCAACCTCGGCAAGCCATTGCCCGAGAAGAGCTATGCAGACGACTGCTCTCTAACAGCGAAGAACCTATGGGTACGGTTATCTTATCTCAGTCGGCATTCCAGCGGTTGCTAACGCGTCGCCACCGCCAGAACGCGATCGACATCTTTTGTCTTGCTCATGCCCTCGGCTGGTTTGGCAAGGCGATGATTCTCCGGGACTATTGGTTCTGTTGGGTAAGTGCTTCTGTCCAACTAACCCTCCGAAAGCCACCTTACATTCCTCTTAGATTCTGAGTATAGCATTCGAACTTGCTGAATATAGCTTGCAACATCAACTTCCGAACTTCGCAGAGGTGCGTTGCGACGAATCTAAACCCATTCAATCCTATATATTAATTACCTTCCCCTTTGGACAGTGCTGGTGGGATCACGTATGTCCTTTTCGTGAAGTGGCGGTCTTCCAATTAATCACTCGGCTTAATAGTGGGTACTTGATGTTTTACTCTGCAACTGGCTTGGGACCTATGTCGGTACGTTAACATACCTTCTTCCATCGTTCCTGGCTGACCAAGACTCCGCTCAGGCATGAAAGTCTGCCAATATTTCGAAGTAAAGGTCTGTGTATCCCTCGGTGAGTTTCAGTCAGCGTGTTAACATCAGCCTTTAGCCGTACGAGTGGAGAGGTCTTCGTCAAACTCGAGGAATCAAGTCAAAGGCTAAACGCGTGCTGAGTCAGTTCTCCCCGCATGACTTTACTGCGTTCAAGTGGGGAACTGCGACGGACTTCCTTCATTACGTATCCGTGGTACTCTTGCTGGCGGTATTTCTAGCGGCTGAATTGAATCCGTTTTATCTCAAGGTGCGCCTCTGGCGCTGAATTTGACCTAAAGCCTCTAACCTGGCTTGCACAGAGTCTGCTATGGATGGAGCCTGACCACCCCGTCGTTATCCTCCGACTCGCATTTATCTTCCTATGCGGACTCCCCGCTGTTCGAGAGCTATACCAATACATCAACGACCCGAGGTAAAAGTGTTTCTATTCTCACCGTTTACAGCTGTGCTCACATCCTTGTAGGCGCGCAGTCCGTATGGGTCAACACGTCTGGCTTTTGCTTGCCACCATCATAACCGAACTATTGGTTATAACGAAATGGAGTAAAGGACAGTTTCCAGAACCTCTGCCATCAAAGGTGAGATGGGGGTGGACTATCGGTGCCATCTTACTGGTACTTTACCCGACCGTCCAGGTAAGTTGTGGGCCAAGCCCGTTGTTTTGATCTCCCGCTAACATTAGCTCTTTTCAACCCCAGTTCGGGATCCCGAGTGCTCGAAGGTACATCCGGAGACACAAGAAGGCGTCGAAGTCGAAGGCGTTGAAGGTATCATGATAACATTGAAACAGCACCTTGAGCGGTTTTGGTATTTTGGTGATGCTACGTATGATAGGCATATGTTGAAGGCCAAACGCATGCCACCTTCTTATACCACTTTTTTTTTTCTCAAGGAGAAGCATCGAACTGAGTGATAACCTCTGACCAGGAAGCATGATGGCTAATTGTGTTTCTCGGACTGCGTGGTCAGAAGAGAACCAGGGCGATTGCTATTGGTTTTTCCCAGCTGCGAGAGTTGAGCTGCTTCTGCCGAAGGGACCGGAAGTCCAAGTAAATGAGAGTGCACAGCTCCAGCTGCTGCGCGTGGATACCCCGCGTCCTCGAGGTGTGTTTCGAAGGTGGGTTTTCCTGTAGTCGTCACAGGAACATTTTAGAAGGTGCGTGCCTACCAGGGGTACCTTGGAGGATGTGGCCCTCGCTGGAGTGGGACAGGGATAGGGGGCTGCCGTCTACGTATCGATATATCCTGATCATAAGACTTTACACCATGCGCTATATTTATCTTCTTGTGCCCGTTCAGAGGAGAGCTAAATCTGAATCGAAACTCAGCCATCATCGGGAATGTAGATTGGATTGGATTGGATGTGAAGGGCAGAGGGTTGCCAGGCAAGTCCCGAGAGGGCTAAGTATGGCACTGAACATGGAGAGTTGGAGTCTAAGTGTTAACGTCGGAGGTGGTATTCATGCGAATGGGTATGGGTGACGGGCGGACTTCTTCTGTCACTTCATTTGTGGTTGCCTTTCAAATTTCAAATGTGGTCTCTCCAAGTTATACTTGTAACTTCTTGAATTTAGTATATGCGGGTAGGAATACTGGAAAGAGAAGTCGAGCTTCTCACACACCGAGGTTGTGGAATCTGGATGCCGCAGGACACCACTTTGACGAAACCGAAATACATACCGCTTCTTTTCTTTTTGTCCTGTGCTATTGATGTCAGTCAGTCAGTCAGCCAGTCCCGTCTGGATGGTAAGTATTACTATTAGCTGTGCGCATTCCTTATTCTATGCGAAGAGTCACGGTGCCAAAGATTGAAATTGGGTTCTGGAGACTGGAGCCGTTTGTGACAACTAGGGTGGAGTGACAATAGATTAGCTATAGGTTCGGTATGGCTTCTTCCGTGCTTTGGACTCCATAAGAGTCAAGACTCGAAAATGGGATTGTGGTGTCCTTTACTTAGGCGAATGTATGTATATACGTCGTCTGAGTAACCCAGTTATTATCGTGCCATTGCTGCCCTTCGGAAAATGCCTTAGATCTTTGCCTCGTGTTTAGGTCGACTTATCTCTTTCTATAATTATGTCTCTCCAAATTGAAAGAAGCACAGGCTGAGCTGAGTCTAAAACATGGGTTCGATGCAATTTTGCGATGCGGACCGCGCTTAGATAGCGCTCGGGGCGCGGATAGGTGATAGGGATAGGGGCGATTTGATGCGGCGGCAAGCGAGCGATCAGATCAAGGGAGGAGAGCGCCTTTGTTTGGTTTTGCTTACCAAGCACGTCTGAGCTCTTGGCATCGCCACAGTGCGGCGCCCTGCACTTGTTTGTCGCTGACCACCATCCTCGACGCCTGCTTCTCCCCTTTATCATCTCATTTCACTCACTAGCCTATAGAAACTAGTCAAGATGCCTCGAGCGGAAGGTAAGCTCCCTCAATTCCCTCGCTTTGAACTCGAAATTGACGAGAAATGAACAGTCGGAACACCCAAGTACATCGCCAACAAGATGAAGTCCAAAGGACTTCAGAGGTTGCGGTGGTACTGCCAAGTCTGCCAGAAACAGTGTAGGGATGAGAACGGGTTCAAGTGTCATGTGCAGTCCGAGTCGCATTTGAGGCAGATGTTGGTGGTTGGGGAGAATGCGGGGAGCCATATTGCGTCGTTTTCGCATCAGTTCCAGTCTGAGTTTGTTGCCCTACTTTCGAGGAGGTGAGTTTCTGCGTCTTCATAATGAACCTATCTATGTACATTGTATGTGAAAGGGGCTTACTGATGTGGGTTTTTGGTGGAATGTAGGTTTGGAACGAAACGAGTGCTGGCGAACCGAGTGTACCAGGAGTATATCTCGGATAAGCACCATTTGCATATGAACGCTACTCGTTGGGTTACGCTTACGGAGTTTGTGAAGCACCTTGGGAGGTCTGGTATTGCACGTGTGGACGAGACGGAGAAGGGGTGGTTTATTGCGTGGATTGATAACAGCCCGCAGGCTCTGGCGAAGCAGGTGCGTTGATTGGTGTTCGCCTAGGTACCTACCGTGATTCGGATACTGACTCATTCTTTCTTTCACCAGGAAGCGTCAATGAAGAAGGAGCGTGCTACGATGTCGGATGAGCAGAGAGAGCGGCAGCTTATTGCGGAGCAGATTGAGAGGGCGAAGGAGGAGAGTGGGGATGCTGGTGCATCGAGGGATTCACCGCCGGAGGAGAGAGAGTTGAAGAGAGATGAGGGGCAGGAGAAGGTTGTTCTCTCGCTGTCGATGGCTAAACCGGCAGCGGCAGCGGCTCCTGCAGCGTCCAATGGTCTCAAGTTGAACCCTCTCAAGACGAACCCGCTGAAAGTCAACCCACTCAAGGCCAACCCGCTGAAACGGCCTAATCCTTTGAAGAGTGGTGGATCGTCGTCGAAGGAGAAGGAGAAGGAGAAGGAGTCGCCTGAACCTGTGAATGAGAAGAAACGGAGTGCGCCGATGAGTGCGGCGGAGGCTTTGATTCTGGAGGAGCAGGAGAGAAAGAGGAGGAGGATGGAGAGGGATAATACTGCTTGATGATGTCTTTTTTCGTATGTTTATTCCACCTTTTTTACCCGTTTGTTTTGTATGTAACCTTAGTGTAATTGGTTTATTAGATATCCTCCATGGACGTTCAGCATACCCCGGCCTTGACTCTCCTTCCACTGCCGACTTGACAGTCTCTGCTTCCTCATCCAACCGTGGTCTCTGCTCGGCCTGTTTCCGCTATTCGAACATCAATCCTCGACTCAATGATCGCCCCACCTCGCCAGCGACGACCCTAAACAGGGCACGTCTTCAGCGCTTTGCACCCGCCTCCAGATCATCGAACCCCGCGCTTCTTCGACCCACAGCAACCTGCATTGAAACCAAGACTTGCGCTTCTCTACATCCAGTGACCCGCTGCCCAGGCCCCGGGCTGCATGAGTCATAGCCACGCTCCCGTTCGCGTGTGCTTTCCCCAGTGGCAGTATACCGAATACCGAGATCGGGGGGTTTGGTGGAGATACGGAGGTGTTGTTGGTGTTGTTCGCTCGTTTTCGAGGATGGGTTCGAGGAAGCAGAAGGAAGCGGAAGCGCTTGTTTGGGATTGTGAATGGTGGATGACGTCGTGCATCCGGTGGGGGTGGCGGTGAACTTTGGTTGGGAAAGCGGAGGTGGGTGGGCGGGCAATGGGTGGGTCGGTTGGGTTAGAGATTTCGATTCTGCTTCGTCTCGTTCATGGCGCATAGGAGCTCTGGCGTAGTATCGGACATGTAAGTTCTGGATGCCCGAGAGGTGGACCATGCCCTGTCGTGGTGCGCACATCTCATTGTACGGCGCTTAATATATAGTCTTAGATCAATAAGTAGTTGCGTTGTCACCAGCGGGAGAATGGCTATCATCTCCGCTGGTCTTATACAGATTTGACTCTCTTCCAGTCATAGGGACGACCGAGCGCGATGGGCCTCGTCAGGGGTTAGGCTGGTGAAATGTAGGATGTCTAACATTGCGCCCTCAAGGTTGGGCGCCGTAGGCTTATGTTAGAAATCAAACGCCTACCAACAGACCTTTTTTCCAATCCAAAGATGCCTATCGCTCTGTGCATTGTAGATGTCCACCGCTCTGGTCCGCGATTGTGTCGTTCGGTCGCCTTGGCAAATTTCCATTTAGCTCGAACCAAGTGACGCTAGGTTTCGGTGACCGGACATGAAGAGCAAGCCAGAGCCAGGCTACTGCATAGTCTTGAACCCTCTACAATCGCCTCGGAAAGCCCAGGCACGGAATCAATGGGCGTCAATGTGAGTGCAGCTGCGGCGCGATCCCCGACATCTAAATTATCGCGCGACGCGGATAGCTTAATTTAGTCCTGCCGTTCGTGTTCTATTTTTAGCCTTCCGGCCGTCGACGGCACGCTGGTCCAAGCGTTGAACGGAATATTCATGGTCAGTTTTCAACGACTACGAAGGTTAAATGCCTGGCGTATACAAGAGCGTCACCTCAAGCGATGAATTCGAATTGGTCAAACCACGAGGCAGCAGGGAGACGGTGCACGAGCCAGAAGAAGTGATAGACATGGTACGCAAGTTGCCGTCAGCGTTCAGGCTGGACCCTGATGGAAGGATTTGATTTGGGAATGGCTTATTATTTGGTCTGCCCTTTTTATTACAGTACGCCGCCGCCGATGGAAGCCCGCACCACGTTCCCTACTCTTTCTCGCCACCAGACAGCGGTGACCGTGCCCTCCCTGAAGAGTCGACGACGAGTATGGGTCCAGGCAAACCGATGAAAAAAGGCGTCAAGATCAGTATCGCGGTGGCCGTTCTTATTGCTGTCATTACGATTGCGATAGCCGTCCCGTTGGCCGTCACGGTTGGGAAGAGCAAGAATGGCACGAGTTCGTCGGGGGGAGGGGCTGGGGGTGGCTCCAGTGGGGGTGGGTCGGCGACGTCTGGAAAGTCTGGGAGTCTCGTTACGATGGAGGACGGTTCGACGTTCACGTATGTGAACGAGTTTGGGGGCGACTGGGCTGCTGACCCTGCGCGTCCCTTTGGTTCGGGTGGAAAGGCCCAGGAGTGGTCGCCACGCGTCGGTGTGGAAGAATGGAAATGGGGAGAACATGTTATTCGTGGCGTCAACCTGGGGTACGTTTTCTTTAACCGTATAGACGCGTACTTTGCTCACTTGGCGACTATTTCTTCCTAAAGAGGGTGGTTAGGTGAGTATGGTCTTTGTGGTCTGTTTCCACGTTCTGATGTTTGCAGTCACCGAACCGTTCATCTGCCCCGAGTTATATGAGAGATTTATCGAGAATGATGAAAATGTGACCGTGGTCGACGAGTGGACCCTTTCGCTAGCTATGGGCGACCGCCTTCCAGAAGAGATGGAAAACCATTACAAGACCTTCATCGTGTGTTGTCCTACTGGCTTCTATTCTCGTCAGCGACTGATCACGTCCAACAGACTGAACAAGACTTTGCAGAAATTGCAGGTATGAGCGGACAAGCCTCTTCACAACTGGTCGAATGTCAACATGTCTATTTTAGCCGCCGGACTGAACTGGATAAGAGTTCCCATCGGTTATTGGGCAATTGAGACGATGGGCGAGGAGCCTTTCCTCGTAGGTACATCGTGGACCTATTTCCTGAAGGCGTGAGTGCTCTGATACCGCATTCGAATCCCTTTGACGCTGATGATACCGCGTAGGATTCAATGGGCGAGAAAATACGGTCTTCGAATTTACCTCGATCTCCATGCTCTCCCGGGAAGCCAAAATGGCTGGGTAAGTATCTCATCTTGTTCACAAAAACTTCCCGCTCAATGATGTCTATGATAGAACCATTCTGGAAAAGGTTTGCTTGCCTCTACACCGCCATTCGTCGAAAATAGACTGACAAATGCCGTTCTCACTGTGAAGCTGGCACTGTTAATTTGTGAGATCATTGTGACATCCGTTCCGTTGGTTCTGAATCTGGTGCTAATCGCGAAATTCTTTTCCAGTATGCACGGCACAATGGGAATCGCCAATGCTCAAAGAACACTTACGTATCTGCGAATTTTCACGCAATTTGTGAGCCAACCTCAGTACAAGGACGTTGTTCCGATGTGAGTGAGAAGTATCGGTGGTTTCTCGCCTTGACTGAACACCCTTCTTTCAAGTGTTGGTATAGTGAACGAAATTCTTTGGGATACTATTGGCGAGGAAGCGGTTCAGAGCTTCTATTACGCCGCCTATGAGGCCATGAGGGGTGCTTCGTACGTTACTCGAACTTCACCTCGGTCGACTGAACGTTAACGTATCTATTGCAGAGGTATTGGTGAAGGAAATGGCCCCTATATTGCTATCCATGAGGGCTTCCAAGGGGTACGTCCGGGATTTCTAGGTTCAGTTCATTATCTGAATGATGTTAACTTGGTTTGCGTAGCCTGCGATCTGGGAAGGGTACGCCTTCTCCCACTGGTTCTGGTTCTGGTGTACTCAATGAATTTTAGATTCCTTTTAGGCTCGGATCGAGTAGTTCTTGACCAGCACCCGGTACGTTCGTTCCTTTTCTCTAGATGCCTTGTACTCAACGGAGTCGATAGTACTTGGCGTTCATGGGTGATCCAAACAGCACGTAAGTCTCGTCTTGTGGAGTTCTTTGACCAGAGCTAGACCCTTTCTTTCGATAGCCCTGAATCTAGTGCTCCCAGACCCTGGTAAGGACGATTTTGTCGGTTGATGTTAAAGTTATTCATTGGATCTGCAGTGAATGGGCGATCGCCACCAACCAGTCCCAGCAAGTTTTCGGCGTGACGGTTGGCGGAGAATTCTCGACTGCTATTAACAACTGTGGACTCTGGTTCGTTCTTGGTACCCTCTCCAGGCTTCTCGACTCACACGAGATCGTCCTTAGGTTGAACGGCGTCGACGGAGCTCCTATTCCTGGATGCGAACTTTGGGATGATTGGAACGTAAGTCTTCCATCCTTCTTCCTTCCTTTCCGCGATTCCCGATTGTTAAGTTGTCCTTCGTATCATCCAGTCGTGGAACTCGACGATAATCTCGGGATTGAAACAAGTCACGCTGGCTTCTATGGATGCCTTGCAGCACTTTTTCTTCTGGACTTGGAAGATAGGTAATTCTACGAGGCTTGGCACGTCCTCCTCGCCGATGTGGCACTATAAACTTGGTTTGGAAAGGGGCTGGATCCCGAAAGGTATGCCGCCCAGCTCGTTTTTGTTGGCTCGCTGGTTTTACTCACAAGGTGGGGTCCCCGTGTAGATCCGAGGGAAGCTATTGGACACTGTGCTGAAGTTTTGGGCACGTCTCAATTATTCGATGGTCGATACCCGTCGACTGCGACCGGAGGCGTAAGTAATTTACCCACTGTTATGTCACTCTTGAGGCGCCCTTGTGCTGATTATGTTAACCCTTCTTTCGCAGGCTGCTGCTGGGACACTTGACCCTACCCGAGCTTCAGCGCACCCCTTCCCGCCAGCTACGATTTCACCCTCTTTCTCGGGTGATTTACTCTCTCTTCTGCCCACCTATACTCCGACAGGGACGCTGCAGACATTGTTTGCCCCTACATTCACCGCTGCTCCGTCTGCTGTGGTGGGCACCGGTTGGAATAATCCCGATGATAATTCGCCCGCCTATGTGTAAGTTTCTGCCGCGTTTTTTTCTGCATTCCATTTTCCGTGAGACTCATTTACTGTTCTGCCGTTTCATGATATAGTCCCGTAGCTGGTTGTTCATATCCTGAGTGGGTGCCTGAAACTTCTTGACTTCTCTCTCTCAGATCACTAACGCTTGGTTCTTTGTAGTGCGTGGGATGCTGTCGATGTGCCGCTCTCAGAACCGTTCTGCACCGGCTCTTGAATTCATTCATTCATTTTATTTTTTCATGCTTTCGCATGGATAGTTATGGCTGTGGCATGACCCCCCGAGCATGACATGATGACCCTGTGTAGTGTACGCTGCTTTCTTGGACGATGTTGTGACCTGACTGTTTGCTTCATCTTCTTTTGTTCTCGCATTTCTTGGACTACTTATTGGAAGTGATATGGACTTTTTGCATCTCTGTATTTTATGTAGATGAGCGTAGATGCTAATGCTATGTGATGCCATGATTTCTTTTGAACTTTGGGCGGACCCCCTTGTTTCATCAGATCCTCCCTTGAAACTCGTCGATGGTAGTACTACGAAGGACGTCGAGTCCTCGACGGTGCGCCGGCGTTTTCTGCATGCCCAAGGTACATAGTACATACAATACAGCTCTCGCCATTCTCGCGCGACCCAATCGTAACTTTTTTTGTTGCGCTGGGTAATCAATTTCTCCCTTCGTTCCTTCCTTCGTTCGTTCCCCTCACCCGTTTCTGAGATCGACTCACTCGATTAGGTATATGTCAACAGAGACGGAGTCTACGGAATGGGACGAATTAGGTTGGATTTCGAAGGCGATTAGTACTTGCCCGTCTGAAGGGGGTAGTAGTAGTAGTAAAGTAGACCAAGGTCAGAGAAACAAACGGTTTTGACGATCACGACATCTACCCACTAAAGTTGTCCGACAAACCTGCTGGGTTCTGGGTCTAAGCATTGAATCCCTCCGTGTTCGTCTTGATTTTCTTGGTATTGTACTCGAGTAGTTGACCGACGATTGAACCGCTTTGTTGGGCGGTTCGATTGGTGGTTTCAAGATTCCAGACATGCTTGTGTCGTTGGTGTGTGCTCGTCGACCCGGGGCGGGCGGAACGCCCGGGCAGTTGTAGGGAGAAATCTCGGGGTGGAGGGAAGGGTAGAGAGGGGAGTCGAGATCCCCGTCCTCCGAGTCCCTTGCCTATTACAGGCAACGAGCGTTTAAGGCCTATGCTGGAGCTGACCGCGATTCGATTTGAGAGATCGCGCAGTCGGTGTTTCTTTGTGATGTACTGTGACTACATAGTTCTCATCAAGGGACAGTGGATTGAATGGAACCCCCGGACCCAACAACAACACCAACAATACCCTCCTCCACGGGACGGCACGCATCTAGTACTACTATGTATGTACGTCCTTTTACACACCACACTGACTCCTCCCCCCTTGTCAATGTGATTATCTGGGAGTAGTTGTTTGCGTTTGGCAGTTTTCCAGATGCGATACGTAGATGCCTATACGTTTTCTGACGCTGCCAGTGCTTGACCGCGACTTCCTTTTCGCAGACCGACGCCACCATCAGACGAACTTTGGGTTTGGGGGAGTTCTCAGCTCTCCCTCCTTTTGGTCGGGCTCCCTCATGCCAACCTGGGCTATGTTTTATGTATGTGCTCGTTGTCCTTTTGAGATTGACAGGTTGGTTTCCATGTGGCGGGGTTTGTCGAATCGTGCTCAGCGTCAACCTTTTGGTAACGTGTTCCATTTCTGGTTCTTGCGATGCTGGCCGCCAGGGGTTTGAGCACTGGTGTTAGTTGCTTCGTCGTTCCATCTACTTACTTGCTTACTTCCGTGCGGCGCCACTGACGTTGTCCTCCGAGGAATGTCCTTCAGAGTCCATTGCTCCTGCGTACTGGTACTGGGACGCTGTGATGTGGGGTGCTTGGTAGTGTGGTCGCTGTCAACGAGCAATGCTGGGCGTGTACGGTCGTAACTCGGACGAGCTCAGTCTGTCGCTTGGGCCCAGCCTCCCGGTACACTCTGTCGATGGATGGATGGCTACCTCTGTATGGCTTCAAGAATAGATCTGCTACTCGGAACTTGAGCTACTGGTACTACTCGACGACGACTGAATCGGGCTTTCGACATTCCTTCCATTCTCTTTGATCATTGCGCCATCCTGGGGACAGTGTACACTCCTGGAGTCAGAAATAGAGTCGGGTGCACTGCAATTGACTCTCGAACTTGACAAGCGACTCTTGACTCTTGAATCGGTTGCTATAATCCGCCCACCCCTGCCCTCCATTGGTCTAGAAATTGTCTCTCGGCGTTTAGTTCTCGACGGTGCGACGGAGGCGCATCGCGATCTGGGGTGCGGTGTACGAGGTTATGCGCACCCGCTACCTGCCCAGCTCCAGTCTCAATTCGATGTTCGGACGTGACGACAAACGTCAACTCCCTCTATCTCGGTAAAGTAACGCCATGTGGTCAGTTCAACTGATCCTCGAAAGCTCAAAGGAGAAAAAAGACGCGATTACCGAGGTTGAAGCTGAAGTTTGGAGAATTTCAAATGGCTCTATGTCTCTGTGTGTGATCAGTGCGTACGTGTCATTTCTTGTTATTTTTGGGTTTTATCCTTCTGTTGGAAAAGGTCACTAGTTCACTGATTTCTCATAGATCCTCGATTCTCGCTTTTTTGATCGAGGAAGAAAGAAAATTCGATTTGTTCGATAAGGGGACACACCGATGTCGAGGACTCTTCAATTTCCTTATTCGTAAGGCTGAGGGATGGAAGGAATGTGGTTTGGCGTCGGGGAATGTCATGGAGCGATAGTCGCGCTACGAATGACTCGCTGAAACGGTAAAGGCTGTGACTTGGCCTCTCCCAGGAAGAGTTACATACGGTTCCATGTTGGAGATTGTCCGAATTGACGGAGAATACCATCCAACGGCGCGAACCCTCTTTTCCGATGGTCTCACAACTTTGAGCCGCGCCAGGCTTTCGTGATCAGTGTGAGGACGGAGAAATGTGGACGGACATCGAGGGCGAGATACGTAAGGTAAGTATGCATCTGATACTGTTCAATGTCTCGAGTTCTCATAGACCTTTTTCTAGGTTTGAGTGTGAGTGCGCGAATTGAGCTCATGTGTTTTTGGAGGCGCCTGAAGAGGTGCTGAGGCCCGAGACGGACTCGGAGGCGCCGGTGGAGATAAGCTTCCTCCCAAGCGTTGGTGGTGTTTACCAGTATCGAGGCGAAGACGGTCGGCGAAGATCGATTTCGTACACCGCGAAGTATGCCATAAACAAAGGAGGGTGAGTCCCAGTGGTCTCTAGGTGTCTGCTTGGGGATCGCTTCTGTTACTCCTACGGAGAGAAGATGCGGTGCGTAGGTCCGTGTGAGTGGAAGTCTTTGCTTTATTGCAATAGGTTGGGTGAGGGGTCACAACGGTCTCGCAACAAGGGACTGACTCAATTTTCATTCACCCACCCTCATCAGTTCAAACCCGGATTGCTCATGTAGTCTCTCGACCAAAGTACAACCTTCATGCACTGAGAAGACTACCTTGTTCTGGCCCTCGTTCTCTTGGGTCCTGTCGACGATCTTGACTTGCCCAACCGCGTCCATTAAACTTATCCTAAGCCGTGTATTCGATGTGCTGGGTCTACCTTGAAACCTGGCCGAGACAGCCGACACTCGCTTCTCCTCGACACCCCTTTCCGGCGACAGCTCTTCTCCTCCCTGGCTTTGTAGAGTCGTTCCCGATGGCTTAGTCTGGGATTTGTCCATCTATGCAAGTTCTTTGGCGATAAAATCCCCTTTGTGGTTTGAACACCTCATCACCCAGCTCTCCGATTTCCAGTGCATAAGTCTGGCTGAATTACTGGGGATTACTGGGGAGATTTCGAAATCGGGTGGACCTGTGTGACTGCCAGATGAACTGCGAGGACTCACGCTGCTGGTGGATCTCCAGTGCTTCCTTGCCAAGTTGCGAACACATTGGTCCTTAGGCGCTGGCTCCAGGCGGCTGAATGGCGGCGCATCAGAGAGGACTGTTGCGCCATCAGGTGGCACACCGCCGTCTGCCCCTCGGGAGTCAGTTAGGCAGATCTGATCCCTGGACTGTTTTCTCTTATTCATCTGAAGGGTTCAAGCGTAGGACGACTCCCTCACGCTGGTAGAAGTCGACTATATTCGAAGCCATGATGAAGGCGCCAGCTCCCCAGATGGAGTGAAATAGGCCCTGAAGACCTCAGTTGGAATCCGGGTTTAGCCGCAGAAGATTTTTGATGCCCCAGATTTCGTGAAGGATGACTGACGCGTCTTTTGCTGCTTTACGACGACCACGCGTTCCGCAACGTCGAAAGAACGGCGCCCTCGTCTGGTTTTCACTTGCTTCAGTCAGTTTTACTCCAGTTCCCAACGCTCTCATTGTTCACAGGTGCGTCTGCGACAGATGGATTCCTTTTCTTCCCAAACAGGGATAGACATTGAAATCAAGGCCTTACTACGACAACGCAGAGAATTTCTCAACCAAATTTCGAAACAAATATGCAGCCTCAAGTCGCGGAGGAACGAATTCAGTCACATAGCACGTCTTCCTAACGAAATTCTTCGCACAATTTTCCTCTACTTCAAGCCCAAACTGGCTGGAACGTCGACTCTTGATAGGCCCTACAGTCAGATCGTCCGCGTCATGCATGTCTGTCGCCATTGGAGAGATGTTGCTTTGAACCAGGCAGAACTGTGGACCTTCATCTCCGACCACCGAGCCGACAGAATCGGCGTGCTTCTCGAGTGGTCTAAATCGGCGCCCTTGGATATCTCGCTCCAGTGTAGACCCTCAAAATCTTCAAAAAATCGAATCACGCCAGCCATCGAGTCTCTAATCCGACAAACGTTAGCCGACCGAACTATCCTTTCGCTCGAAATGCGTGCTTCGTTCACGACTCTGGTTGGCCGCGTCGAGCGGATGCCTCCCGCTGCCCCAATGCTGCACACCCTCGATTTATCCAACGACACACAACCCGATGGAAATACAGTCATGCTACTCCCGGACGTATTCGAAGAAGGCGCGCCACTTCTCCGCAAAGTGTCTCTCGTCCATTGTCATCTTCCCTGGACTTCGTCGCTGTTCGAGACGCTGACATCCTTACGGATGATCGACAGGACTGCCTCCCCTCCCCCTTCCGCCAGCCTCTTTCTTGACATTGTTGAAAAGATGCACGGGCTGGTTGAGCTCGCGCTGGACGTTCCCATCCCAGACCTGGATGACCAAGCCACAAGTGATCGACTGGTCGCTCTTCGTCATCTCCGCACTCTGTACATTGGTGGAAGCCTCAAGGAATGCCACGACATCCTGCAGCACATGGTGATCCCCCAGTCAGCCGAAATAAATTTCGAGATCAATGACGAGGGAGTTCTTCACGAATCTTTGTCGTTGGTACCTCGCCGATTGGTAGAGTCCCCCCCTTCGCAGAACGGAAACGCACCTGTCAGATACACGGAAACGACCCCGCAGAGCTTGAAGATCACAAATGGCGATGGTGGCATGTTCACGGATGATTCGCTGCACCTTTCTGTCTGGACAGGGAACCACGACATCCCGTCTTACTTGGCGAGGGGAAGATATTACTACGACGTGTGGGGCCCCAATTTTGCCATCCCCGCAATCCGATCCCTTCCAGCCTGGAGCATCCGTTTCTTGACCATCAGTGGATACCCTCACGAACACGTAGCCCTCAGTGAGGTCCTGAGAGTCCTTGTGGCAGTGGAAGACGTCTTCGTAAGCGAGCTTGACGCCTCGGTTTTGGTCACAACCCTTCTGTACCACGATCCCGGCGTCAGAAACCCAATGGAACCTCGGCCAGTCGAGTATCTCCCAGCCCTGAAGAACCTTTCATTCGAAACCGTCGTGATCGCTGACACGGAAGAGTGTCCGGGAATTCTGAAGAGGCATCCAAGGCCCGTAGAGTTGGACGAACTTTATCAAATGCTCGATGGTCGCAGTGCGTCGGGCGCGAGGATGGAGAAGCTGGAATTTATACATGCGTACAATTTGACGCAGGATGTGGTTGCTGTGTTGGAAGAGGTGGTCAATGAGGTTGTCTGGAATGGGGTTGAAGAGTCATTCACTTGCGATGCTGCTAACCGTGGAGCCAGGTGTCCGTGTAGACAGTAGGTACTTATTGTGTCGTCAACGGGCTCTTAAATATCTCACTAAGGCGATACGGAATACCTCTATGTAAGTACACTGGGAACTGTGACTGCGAATCGCCAATGTGTATACCACTAATGATATCGTTTCTTGCTGCTTCAAGGACTTTGTTGGCCGGCCGACGGAATTTGAAACAGAATGATGCGCCATCATGTAGGTGAAGTGGTTTGGAGCGGGAGGGAGCTGAAGCCTGTCTGGAATTGCGTTTCTCGTGCCTGTCCTTGTCGAAAGCAGTCTCGGGCGTAATCTTGCTCAACCATGTAACTGAAGAGTCGACTTATCATACCCACTGCTTGAAAGTTCGGACAAGTACTCGTGTTATGGGAATGACGGTCGACATTCTGCTTGAAAAGTGAATGCTTTGGTCAACTTTGAAGTTTGATCCGCCATCAATGCACTGGGAAAGTCACACATGGCGTTCTGTCCTTGACTCAAACCTACTCTAACTGACCGTTTCCTTTCCAGACCTAGAGCAAGGTGCCTTCGTTAAAGTGAGCCCTGAATCATGGCCAGGAAACTGACCTTCACTGACCAGCTACCGTGGAACCCTAGAAATCCGGCAGGTGTCCCTAATGGCCCATGTACTGTCGCAGAGCCATGTGGACCTCCAGATTACAGTCCTAAAGGAACGTCGCGAGGCGTTGGCAAAGGAACTGGCTGCTTTAGATGCCAACATTTGCTCTCTGTCAACGCAAAGAAACGACCTCACCCCTATCTCTCGTCTTCCCAACGAGATGTTGCAGCGCATTTTCGCCTTCGTCAGGGCCAGCACCAAACTCAAAATGTACCGGCGGATTATACGGATCACCCACGTCTGCCGTCGCTGGAGGCACGTCGCAGTGAGCCAGTCGGAACTTTGGTCATACATCACCGACAGACCGGCTCCACTCGTCCCCGTTCTCTTCGAAAGGGCTAAATCCGTGCCCTTGACAGTTGACCTTTGCCGGGAACCCGTGTTTGACGAGGATGAAGAGAGACTCCAGAAGACTCTATCTCAGATGGATACGGCTTGCATCCTTAGAATTCGAGGTTTGACAAGAACCCTGGAATCCCGAGCTGACCGGCTCCCACCCACCGCACCCCTCCTCCACACGCTCCATTTCGAAAATTTCGATGAACGCGAAGTTGACTTATTCTTCACAGAGGGAGGAAGAGAATTCAACTATCCCAACCTCCGGATGCTCATATTCAAAGGCTGTTATGTCCCGTGCGATTGGCAAGCGCTGAAGGAATTAACGACCTTCCATTCGACCCAAGGCAAATACGTTGATGGTGATGGATGGGAGTCAGAACAGCTCCTCGGAACACTCGAAACCATGTCAAAGCTGAAGTATTTGAAGCTCGATGCGCTCGATAGACGTTCCTCGTCGTCGACCCGCCGTGTGATCGCCCTTCCCCACCTCAAGCGCCTGCAGCTTTCAGGTTCAAGTAGCCCAATCCGCCATTTCCTCGCTCACATTGCTATTCCCGAAAACGCATATGTACACATAGCAACTTCCGATTTTCGCCATTCTGATTCGCCGGGTGGTACTACGTCCGTGCTGCCTCAAAGGCTAATGCATAACTACGGGAGTTCTCCGCCAACATCGACATCAATACACGGCCAAGCGTCAGTTTGCACCCATGCAATACCTCTTCACAGCCTCGAACTTTCTTCTTCGCAACATTACTTTCACTCAGGCGATGTGTTTTGTTACGCGTGGCCAGAGCCTGTTGAATTTCCCGTTCCAGAGCACAAGAGATGGCTAGTATACGAGCTCTCCGACAGCGTAGACAGCCTCAACTCGCCTCCATCCTTCCTTGACATCCTTTTTCTCAACAACATCCGACATCTATCGATAAGGGACTGGTTTGACGCAATATTCCCCCTTCGCAAGATCGTTGAGGCTCTTTCCACCGTCGAGGAGCTATACCTACGCGAGCCTGTCTCCGTGCTCATGTTGGCCCAATTACACGACGACATTTCCAGGCCTGAAAGCACTGATGGCAACGCCACCATGCCTGAAGCGCCCTGTTGTTTCCCCAGACTGAAGAAACTCACCTTTGAAAAGGCCGTCTTTGAATGCGGCTCTGAACAGTCGTCAACACACAACTTCGACCGCCTCCAGTTCAGCCATATAAAGGAAGTGCTCAAAGTGCGAGAGGAACGGGGCTACGGGATCCACACGGTTGAATTTAACGAGTGTTGGGGTCTGTCGTCGGCGCAACTTGACGAGTTGGCGAGCTTTGTCGGGGACGGGCTTATAAGTCCGGACGAGGAGCGGGATCCCAGTGAGATGGTGTGTACTCACCCTCGTTGTTCCTGCAGAACGCCTCAGAGAAAATGATTCTTGTATCTGTACATATCGTGTGGCTATAAACCCGTTCTTGGATGTTTTCATTTTTCATTGGAAGGAGACAATGCTACATCTGGTGCTGGGTATAATCGGGGTATACTGCTTGGGAGTGATTTGGTATAAGCAATAACGCGAGACTATAGAAGAGAAAAACAGTTTTCTGTCTTGTATCCGTATATCTACTGTGAAGAACAAAGAGAGGGAAATCAGAAAATCAAAACCCAGAACGAAAACGAGATAAAAGTAATTTTAACCCCATTTTTCTCGAACAAGATCGGCACAGGGGACGCGGAGGCGGAAGTGAGAGACGGTGGGGTTGGGATCGGCTGTTCAAAGAAAAATGTCGGTCTGAGCTCCGTTCATGAAGCCCATTTTGTAGTTGTAAACCGGTCGTTTGGGGTTGCCGTCCAGGTCCAAGCCTTCAACTTCAACGTTGTTACCGTCCAGTTGGTTCCAATAGATCATCTACGATTGAGGTTAAGCTTGAATCAAAAACGAGTTGAAGTAGAAACACACCTGCTTAGGACCCATGCGGCATTTCTTCTGGTCGTCTTCGCACCATACAGGGGGTTTGGCACGTCCGACCATGACAGAAGCCGACTTGGGAGGGTTTATGACTTTGCAGCGAAAGGGTTCCATGTACATGTCGGGCTGACCGCAGCTGTCCGGCAACTAGCCCTTGGAAGTCAGGACCAAAGGTTCGTCGGGAGGAAGGAGAAGAAAAAACGCACCCATCCCCAAGCACAGTAACATCCAGCGGGTGGGCAGGCAGGCAGGTTGGGTACTTGATAAGTCGCAAGACGACGCCATGGAGTATGGTAGAGAACGCTGAATACCACCAGGTTGTCTGCGTTGACGCGCTCAAAGGTGGTAGCATAGGAGATGGCCAATGCGGTACCGGTCGCTTCGACCTCTGACTTGGTGTGAACTGTGGTGAGTGTGGTCCATGAACGTCAGTGACTATAGGAAAGAAAAGGTTAACGTAGACGAACTATTGGGATTGGTGATACAGCCTTCTTCAGAGATCTCGTCGAATTCATCCCTGCCGTGAGGGAACTCCCCAATAACTGGGTTGTCACATGTGCTCGTGAAAGCTCGGTTGACGGCAATTTCCAGAGTCACTTCTCCATTGGCTGGACTGGAAGGTCGCCGATGAGAAAGCAAAGCCGAGAGCTGTAGAAAGAAGGGACCCACAGCTCTAGGAATTCGCCAGGGGGTGGAGGGAATTTGTCGCACTGGGCATGAACAGATCAGCGACTGAAAGAGGACACAGTGGAGGAGCAGTACATCATTAACGGCATGGAACCACCAATCGGACTTCGTGAGCTAGTAGATACAGGCCGGTAAGTTAAGTGGATACGGTCAAGAGAAGGCAGGCACACACATTATACAGAGGCTGCACGATGGCGTTGGAATTGTTGTCGTCGACACCTTCTACATTACCGCCGCGGCAATACATGCCTACCAAAGGAGTGAAAATTAGTGAACCGCTTCGGACAGTGTCATAATGACTGGTGTACCTGGACCCCACGCGGCGACGTGGGCTTCTGTTGGAACCGCACACACGCATAGGGCCACGGCGACAGCTGAGACAAGGGTGAGAGAGTTTCTGCGACTTCGGGTCGGAGAGGTCATAGGGCTCCGCAAGTATTCCTCGGTAGCGAAAAAAGGAAGTAAACAACGACTGAACGGACGAGGATCGTAGATGTCGCCCCTTCGGTTGCGAGAACACGAGGGCTACACGAGATAGAACAGAAGCGCTAGGTGGAAGAGCAGAGGGGAAGCGAATTTCCTCGAGGGAAACTGGTCGGCTGACTGCACAGATCCAACGAAAGGGAAAGGAAGGAGAAAGGAAGCCTTCCGACAAGATGGTGTTCCAGTTGCAACAAGAGCGTTAAATACCTTCTGGTGCTTTTTGTGATACATCTCCGGGCAACATCACCATTTTTGTACATCGAATGAGACTTCCATTCTGTGGGTAAGCATAGCGACGGGGGTAAGTGGTGAAATTGGGAAGCGCTAGTCCCAGAAAAGTAGCCGAACATCCGATATCGACGAGGTCGTGTTGTGTGAAGTGCTGTCTTGGGTGGGTTGGAATGCAGGCGGTTTGGGGGCCGAGATGCTCACGAAATCATAAAAGCGTGGATCGAAGGTGTCTGTCTTGCACAGAAGACTTCTAGGAGAGCCAGAATTCACTTGTCGGTCGCCTTTCAAAGAATTGCAATTCATGGTTTGGAGTCGAATCGTCGGAAAACAGCGGCGACGCGGCCGGCGGATTTGCTTCCACTGAGTGGTTGGACCTTTGTCCAAGTCGATCATCACCAAGTCGATCATCGCCTAGAAATAGAGTACAATTTACAGCGCAAACTACCTCCGATTCCGTCGTTCTTTCGTGAAACCGACGTGTGTCGTGTCGCTCCGAGACGCGCTTTTTGTTGTTTTGGGCGAGAGTGGGACGGACGTTACGGGAGCACATATAGTAGAGGAAACCTTCTGTGGCGTATTTAGCCGAGCGTTCAGTCTGGAACTTGAAATGGATCCAACTTGCCAGCAGAGGTTGGACCGGAGTCGATGGCGGTAAGACGGAGGGTGTGCGGACAAACTAGGAAGGACTACCATCGGACGCGATCAGAGGCTCTTGCCTAATTGAGAATCGACACTTTGTCTGCGAAACATTTCGGCAACAATCTTGGACTTAATTGCCCCCCGTTCGACAGCCTGGAGGCGAGGCGTAACCAGATCTGTAGAAGTGAACTCGGTTAGCGTAGCCGAGTTCTACAGTTCTGGTCAATTGACGCCGACTTCTATAGGTTTGGTTTAAACGAGTTCTACACGTTTGGCTGTGGCATCCCGCCCCTTTGCGCCCTTTGCGCCTTGCCCAGGTTCTCCTTTTATCGATATGGTTGCTTTTTATGTCCGTAGAGTATGATTATGACAAGATGCAGATGGCCTGATGGTACATGGTCTCTAACCTGAAAGTGTAGGAGGTAACGGTTATTCTCCACGGAAGTCCCGGATAGCAGTGTACGGCGCTCAAATGCGGGCCACAACAATGAAGATGATCGAGGCAGTTAGTACTGTCCGTCGTTTTGGAGAGAGGCGTGGCGGGGAGTGTGAATGCTCAGTGTGCAATCGAAGACCTGTTGGAGGCATTGATCATCGAATTTAAATAGAATGCAGAGGGGTTCAGGACCTAATTGTTTGCCTCGTCTTCGAGCGTCCAATCGCAAAAATTCGGGGAAGGGGTTGGCGGGAAAGGATCGACGAAAAGCCACGGAATGCGAGTCCCTTGCGCGCATATCCTATTTCCGACACGTGTCTCCCGCCTTTTCGCCTTATATGGAATGAAAAGGCGGGTGGCCAGATGTGTAGAAGTCGGCAATTCACATATGTATCAAAAGGTCAAATGTGTAGAACTCGGCTAACATAGCCGAGTTCACTTCTACATGTTTGGCATATACTCCCTGGAGGCTGAGGCAGAAGTATTCGAAGGCTAAAGACCGCTTCAATCGGATAGCTAGCTCTCTCTGATAATCTCCCCTCTGACTCCATCCTTTCGCTGTAGATGAACGTTTGGAATCGATGCGTTTGATTCGAGATGCAGAAACATGAGACGGTAGCATGATACAGATGAGCTTGAACGAAATAAAAAGAAAATAGATAGATAGATAAAAACTAGAGTTTAGCCTTGACAGCAACCGTCTTCTCATACTCGTCTTGAAGAACACGGCGAAGGACCTTTCCAGTGGGCGATTTTGGAATCTGCAGAATTAGACGATCATCAGTTGCCATCCAACAGCTAAATTATTCGGATCCACACACCTCCTTGATAATCTCAATTCCTCCACGAAGATGCTTGTACTTGGAAAGATTATCCTCCGTCCACTTCTTAAGAGCTTGGATAACAGCATCGGGACCGAGAGCCTTGCCCTTGTCGCTCAACACCACCCAAGCCCGCGGAACCTTCTCGTCAGAGGTACGACCGCCGCTCACACCAGCGACAGTAGCATCGATGATCAAATGATCGGGATGGGCCAAGAGACAGTTCTCAATCTCTACCGGCGAGACCTGGGCACCCGAAACCTTCAAAGTATCCTGTGATTTGAACAAACGCGTCAGTAAACGCCGAAGGTGGTCAGAGAGTAAACGAAAGAGGGTCTAACCTTTGCCCTATCCGCGAACCTGACCGAAGATATCACTCGTCAGCGGACATACAGGCATGGAGAACCGTTCGAGAACGCACCAGAAGTTACCCTCTTTATCCACTCTAAACTTGTCGCCCGTTCGAAGCCAGCCGTCGACAAAGGTCTCCCTGTTGGCCTTTTCGTTGTTCCAATAGCCGAGAGCGACGTTCCGGCTCCGCAACCAGAGCTCGCCAGGCTCGTCAAAGTCCGCCTCGGTACCATCGTCCCGAACGATGCGGGCCTCCATTCCAGGGAGGAGGACACCAGTAGAACCTGGGTAGGCCTTGAGCTTGCCGAGCGTACCGGGGTATGGCTGCGTAATGGCCGCAATGGTCTATTTACAAGTAGAAGCGCAGTCCAGTCAGCAATTGGATTCGAAATAGATAATCCCCTTTCACTTACGCATTCGGACATTCCATAACCCTCCGAGAAGTGTGATTGCTTGGGCAGAAGCCTCGACAACTTCTCGGCAAGCTCAGGAGGGAGATAGGCAGCACCACTTCCGAGTGAAGTCACAGAACTCAAGTCGACTTTCTCAATATCGGGGTGATGTACGAGTTGATGGACGATGGAGGGGATGAGAGCGATCACCGAGACTTTATATCTGAGAGTAGGTTAGTGGGATTGTAAAGGCAAACGGAATATGCGTTACTCACTTGGGGATAGCCTTTAGTGCGACGTTGATATCCCACTTGCCCATGACGACATGGGTCACAGGGGCCAAGAACGCCCGATAGGAATAGGAATGGAGGCCGTAGGTGTGGTGAAGGGGAAGCATGGCGAGAACGACTGGGATACCTTCAGGGTTGGCAGGTGGTGGAGGCTACGTTATGTTCAGTGATCAATGTTTAGATATGAAATGTGAAGAAACATGACGCACAGTGTAAACTTCAGCAGTAACGGTGCCCATCACAATCGCCTGGCCCAAAGAATAGATCAAGTTCCCATGCGAGATCATCACAGCTGCAGAGAACAGCCCAGGTTAAACTCTGGGTTGAGGGAAATGAATACGTACATACCTTTCGGAAGGCCACTCGTACCGCTCGAGAACACCAGATACGCGAGTGTGTTCTCTTTCGCCGGCTTCGCACCGATGAATGGCAACGACCTAGCGCGAACGCCGTCGATGAGATCATCAATGTTCTTGCGGCCGGCGGCCTGGCCAGTCCCAACATAGATCCTGTTCAAGTCCATGCCAACCTCCTTCGCCACAGGAAGCACGATAGGCAAGAACTTCGCATCGACGAACAGCGCAGTCGCCTTGGACAGCGTAAGTGCATGTTTCAACTCGAAAGGCGTCGAGTAGGACGAGATCAGGGCGAAAGGTGTCGTGAGAGCGATGTTGGCGTGGATTAAAGCGATGTAGTCCTGTATTCGAGCAAGACTCAGACATTAAGTACGCCGCAGCCAAGGTGATAACGAAGAACGCACCGAAGAGTTCTCCATCATAATCCCGACGATATCACCATTCTCCTTGCTGAAACCCAGACCGCCTTGCGAACTAGGGGTCCCCAACGCAGTCGCGAGATCCTCCACGCGTCTCACGAACTCGCGGTACATGACCTTCTTGCCCGAGGTGGCATCGATGTGGAGGGTGTAGTCGGGCCATTCTGCCTGGTCAGGTCGACGGAAGAAGATGTTGTGCGCGTTGGTCTCGGGGAGCGCGGGAGGGTCGGGATAGGGCGACTTCAAGTACATCTTGGTGTTATCGAAAGACTACTGCGAATGCGAGAAGGGTCAGGGAGAGAAGGGAGCACCGAAAGAAGGAAGGCGAAGTGTGAAGAATCCTCGACGACTGCGAGGAAAGAGGATGTGGGGGAGAGCAATCGGCTACTCGGGTACCATTCGGTTATATAGATATTACGGCCTCGCGCACTTGAGCCAGTCATGTTGCCTGGATTGACACAACTATCAAGGCTCGCAGAGGAAGGTGAATGGTGAGAAAGAGAAGGGGTAGCCGGTGTTCGAACATAGCCGTATCCGGGTCAGATTCCCATTTCTGAAAGGGGTAATGCGATCATGTTGTCTGGGGTCGATGCTGGGGTAATGCTTCCGGGCGCTCCAATACCCGGCCCCCTGTCCTTGGAATCCGGCCTGCGAGTCCTGCGAGGCCTCCATCCGCTTTAAAGCATGGACGCGATGCGATGATAGTCGTTCACCTGACCCTCTTGACCTCTCGGCGACCGTCTGCGACAATCGTTTTGATTGTTGAATTTGCATACCGGGTAGGAGAATCGTAACAGGGGCTTTGGATTGTGGTAGAACTGCAACCTCCTAAATCTCCTCGATAGAAAGTGGACATCCCTCCTTCCCGCAAGTAGACGCGCCTAATGCGCCGGAGGCTCGCCCCTAGACTTCAGGATACCGTCCAGTGCCATTCGGGCCATCGAAATGTCCACTGCATCCATTCTATGGCGAACAGCGTCGCCATATTCGTCATCCTCCTCCTCCGGATCGAAGTCCCACTCCTCCGAGTCGTCCCAAAACGATCCAGGAACGATAGTCAAAACCAATTGCAAACCCTGTCCATTCGCGATCTTGCTCTGAATGAGAGTGATTTTGTTTGGATTGTCCTTGGCGCGCTCGATGAGAGCCTCCCTGCGCGCCTCGGCATTCGGGGAACCTCTAACCGCCGGACCCTTGGTGTCATAGTCTGCTAGGGGCAGCAGCGAGTATTCTGGAGGAAGTTTAGTGTAATCGATGCACGCGACGAGGCCTGATTTGTCTGTGTCAGGGAATTGTTGCTTGGCCATGCGTCGAAATGTTGGAAGCGCACGCCGGGCGTCGCGTGGTGCGAGTTTGTGGAAGAATGCAGAATCGCCTTTTGAAATTGCTTGTAGCTTGCCCTCTGGATAACGGTTAGATCGTACAAAGGAGACCGGGTGGTAGACTCACCTAGGCGCTCCTGCTGTTTCATGACGCACATGTCCTTGTGCCCACCCTGCCTCCAAGCAATTGTCTGGCATTCCTTCGAGCAGTAAAGCGTCGATTGGCATGCCGCACAGCGTTTGAAGTTGTCCTTGTCGTCGACCCTTTGGCACTACAACGAGCGTGAGGGAATGGATCGCAAAAATGGCTGAGCTGCCCTACCTGTACGTTGTCGCACGTCGCATCCTTCCCCTTCATAGCCTTGGCAAACGACGACACCAACATCCTCTCCAAAGCGAGTTTATGGAATGCAAACCAGACATCACTCACAATACTCCTCGACACCCGTCCACGATGCGGCTCCTCGTCCAGCTTGAGACTCTGCATCGAGTTATCGACAGCCTGAATAACCGACCTATACACCAGGTACTTGGGTACGATCTTGCTAAATATAGCGGTGACCATCTCTCTGTCCTCCGAATCTAGACGTGCGAAGAAGGGACTGCAGTCCACCCAAGCGCCTAATAAGCCAGCTTTGATCGACTGCAAAACCCAAGTAAACCCGTCGGTCGACTCCAAACAGTTGGCCAAAATGCAAAATGCGTCCACCATTACGGCAATAAGACCTGGATGACCACCCGAATTCAACAGCCTCGAAACCGTCACAGCTATATTGGTCGCGAGGGTTATCATGCCGCCATGAAGGAAGGCGTGTCGGAGGGGATGTTTGGCGGGGCGACACAGGTGGATGATCAAGTCCATGTAGATAACCGTACGCGATTCGTGCATCCGTGAGTGGTCCTTAATCGAGTTTCTGAGTCGGAGGAGCGCGAGTTTGGCGACGGACTGTGCCTTGTTCGAGGCGGTGCGGACGATTCTGTCGTGGGTGTCTGGGTGTGGAGCACGGATGAGGGCGTCGAGAGCGGCTGAGGCGGATGGAATGCCAATCAGAGACTCTGGGCCTTCGTCTTCGAGAATCCACATCCTGGTAGCAATCTCGAGGCTGCCTATGGTGTTGACCATGGCCTGCCGGACGCGGCCAGAGCGGCAGAGGGAGTACCACGTCGCGGTGACGATGTCGAGAGCGTGTCTTCGCCGGTCTGAATCACCTCCCCGTTCGACGTAGGCAGCGTAAAAGAAGGCAGTCCATTTGAACACCCAGGCCAGGCGGCCAGGATTTCAGAGTCGTAGATCTCTGGGTTGACATCTTCGTTGAAAAAGTTGCCGAGCTTTGAGAGACCCGTGAAGGCAAACCAGGCGTTTCGTGTCTCTGGAAGATTCAGATTCTCTGGAGTAACTTGGACAGGCGTTTTGTCTGCGTCCAAGTGGTGGAATAAAACTCCGATAGCACCAAAGGATAGCATAGTGGGACCTTCCTGGACAGTAGTGGCTTCATAAGGTGATCTTCCTTTCTCGGTGAACTTTGACATACGAGATTCCAAAAGTTTGCGACATCGAGCAGGTCCTGCCGTACGCCATTTCTTGCATTGGCAAGGACCTAACCGGGTTTTAGTTTCCGTCCGTTATTCCAATATCAGAGCTCACCTGCCTAGGGTTGTCTCTAAGTTTTCTTCTGGCCTTGTTAATGTCAATTGGATGTTGCATGACTGCAAAGGAAGGGCTTGAGGCGCTGGGCTGTCTGTCAATCAATTGAATCAATGTCGTAGTCACTTTCTGCGCCAACGTGACTTCCGCGTGATTGAAGGCCACGCTGGGTCTAGAACTTCGAAGGGGGAAGGCGCTACATGGGCGCTTAGAATACAATTGTCATCTCATGATCCAGCTGCAATACCACGGTTGATTCAGTATAGTGAGGTGGGATTTAAGGCCCACCAAGGCCACTCACCTACTTGCAAGTCCCCAGGACAACGTAGCCCTCAGAACAAGGACAATAATACAAACGGCAGGTTATTTTCTCAAGAGTATATGTTGAGCTCAACAGGGGAGGCCCGAGAGCTATGTACACTTCCTACAGAGTACAGGCTACATAAATTGCAACTGAATGCACATAGGCGCTAACGCTGTCAAGCAAACGCGGACTCTGCCTTCCGAGCTGGGGTCGTCGGCATTGATGTTTACGAAATCTACGATTTCTCACGATCGGCATTCAGACATCAGTGCGGCGGCTTTATGTTTGGACCCTCTGACAACGCCGTCCACAGTCTCCAAGTCGTGTTCCTCGTTGACACAGCGACGACCGCAAGAATCCTGAAAATCTCGGGGAAAAAGAACTAGGATGCCTCCTGGAACCTCGAATCTCAAGGCACGACTTGCTGCGTTGACCCAGGCTCACTCTTTACCCTCGAGTTACAACAACCAGGAACCACCAAGTTCACCGCGGTCCTCAAATTCCAGTTCATTTGCAGCGAAACGGAAGAGTATGTTCGTGCCACCATGGAAGAAGAACCACCAGGAACCACAGGCGAACGGCAACATTAGCCACGCCGATCTCGAAGCTGTTCAGGAGGTACTGTCGAAGATGATATTCCAAGCTGGAGTGGATTATGAGTGAGTTCAGTCAACTAAAAGTGTATTGCTTTTGTAAACGAAATTCTTAGGACACGGCCTATGTAGGTCTATCTCAATTATATCACCGACAAAACATGGGCCGACCAGAATCCAGGGTTGTCCTCAACGCTTCCGCACTTCCTGATCCCCAAGCCGTTTCCTACGACCTCCTTCTTTCGTAGGTTTACCCTTCGCCACACTTTGTTACCGCCGCTTAAATCCCTGGTATAGGCGGATTTTGGCATACTTAAACCTTTACGGTGAGCCTTGTCGCCATCGGCTTTTTAACGTCTAACTGACACCCTGTCGTTAGTCGAAGCAGATTACACGGTCGTGTTTTTCGCTGCTGGCAACAGGCATTCCCCAGGATGGAATTGGATCTGGAAGGCTTATCGTAGCCTGAGTAGAAAGTACAGGAAGAACTTGAAGCAGCTGGTGAGTTTGACACAGACAGGGATGCTTGGAGTACTGCTGACACCTCTTCCAGTACATCGTGCACTCGTCATTCTTTTCGAAGAGTGAGCTTCGGTCTAGTACATCTTAAAGCGTGTCTGACGTCCCATCGTGTCATGTAGTGCTTTTCTCTCTCGCTGGAGCAATCATTAGGTACAGTAAATGTCCTCCCTCGCCGGCTCCGCCACTGACACCCCGCTCCATAGCCCCAAATTCTTCCGCAAGATTGAATACGTCTCCACACTCTCGGAACTCGCCCACTACGTTCCACTGACGCAAATCGACATCCCACCAGCTGTCTACCAGTGCGTAAATAGCCTGTAGTGGTCGGTTACATCACTGACCTCTGCATAGAGAGAACCTGAAGTATGAGCACAAGATTACGCTCCCCGTTCCAACACGCTCCAGTACATTCGGCGTTCCTCTGGAAGATATTATGGGATATGATGGTGAGAAGGGAGGCATTCCTCGTGTGGTCAAGGATTGTATCCAATACCTAAGGGAGTCTGGTGAGTATGACATCAACTTGGCTGCAATGTGCCTTCTCATTGTTATCAGGTATGATGGATGAAGGATTGTTCAGGCGATCACCGTCATCTGCAATGCTTCGAGCCGCTCAGGATGCTTATGACCGAGGTCAGGATCTTTCTCGACGGCGAACGACAAGTTACTGAGAACCTGTCTATTAGGCAACGTCGTTTCTTTACATACCTTCGGCGATCCTTATTTGGCCGCGGTCCTGCTCAAGAAGTACCTTCGCGACCTTCCCGAACCTCTGTTCCCTGAAGAGATGTATCCCATTATCCGAAAATGCCCACCCCCGAATGAGGATCCAAACGACATGGCTGCGGTCACCTATATCCGTGAAACTCTCCTCCCCCTTCTGCCCCCTTGTGCCTATATTCTTCTTAGCCATATCCTCCGTGAGTATTTCTAATGACCTACCCCATTCAGATCTCTAACACATCCCATCAGAACTCCTACATGAAGTCTCCCTTCGAGCAGCCTACAACCGCATGAATGAATACAACCTCGCCATTGTTCTCTGCCCCAACTTGGTGAAGGGCACCAACCCTGCACGCGACGTCTTCATCTGCGCTGTCCCTGGCGCACCCTCTGTCAATGGCCCTGCTCCTGCTCCACCTCCATCAACCGCTTCTCTCGAAGGCAAGACCACCCTCGGCAGCATCATCACTCTCTGTATCCGACGGTACTATGAGATCTTCGACGACGTGCCAGACCGGACGGAAGTTGCACAGTCGGCTCCTCAATCGGCTTTGTACACCCCTTCGCCATACGATGATTCACCCAATGGTCTCCCTCCGTCTCCATACGTGATCCACGATGATGATGAAGAATTGGAAGAGGATGACCACGATGGACCTGCGCCGCCGAGCGCATGGGGTGCCGGTGGTGCTGCCGTTATGGCCTCTGGTGCCTTTGCGAAACGGCACAGGAGTACGTTATCGGGTAGCTCAACATCTGGCATCGCCTCCGCCAGTATGCGAAACGTGGGTGAAACGTCCAGTGCGACCTTCGCTCCTACCAGCCCTGGTGGTGGTAGCGGGCCTGGATCGCCTGGGACACCACCGACGGCGTACTCGACTGTCGGCAGGGCCAAGTCGATGATTAATATTGAAAAGGGATCTGGGTTACCCGGGCATAAGAAGGGTGCGATATCGATTGGGAGGACTGGTGGTACGAAGAAGAAGGCGAGTGCGAGTGGGGTGGAGGCGATGGGGATTACTGCTGCTGGGTTCTTTTCGCCCCCGAAGGATGCGCCGCCGATGCCTTCGTCTCCACCGGCTAGTGGTGCGAAACAGGGCGATGCTGAAGATTCGTAAAGGAGCTGTAGGGGTTAGCAGAGTGGAAAGGACTTTGGGGTGTCGTAGGGTGTGGTGGATAGCCGAGTTTGGGATGCGAGTGCGCGTATGGACGGTGGATGGATGCTTCATGTTTTGGATCTTACGAATCTGCCAATTGGCGCTGACCACAGCTGAGCTGGTGTACTCATGTGCTTGACTACTTTCATCTACTAACTTATTCCTCTCCATCTTGTTTTCTAACGAGTCTGTCTTCACTTCAACCTCTTTCCGTCCTTTAATTAACACATGTACATGTTCGAGCATAGTCGTTTACTTATCCGATTCTTGAGACCCTGTTGGTCCCTTGGACCCCTTCCTGTTCACCCTGTCTTGACTCTTGATCCTGTGTCCGTAACAAGTCCGTAATGATTACGGCTTCATTCCGTCATCGGTATGTCTAATTTTCGGGGTGAAAGGTTCCTTCGCGAATACTGATCTTCTTTCGCAGTGACAAGTGTGCATCAACAAGGGAGAAGGCGCGAAGGGAGCGTCTTTCAGGAATCCAAGGACACTCAGGTGGACCATCGATCGTGCCTCTATTCTGTCAACACCGAAGATCGATAGCAACCTGCAGGGATGCCTCAATCGCGTTCTCTTTGGACTTCAAATAGGTTCCGGGCCCTGAACCTCGCCAAATCGAGAGACGCCGAATACCGATGATCTGTCAAGCAACATCCCGCCCTCAATTGCCAGCACATCATTTCATCTCAGACAAACACGACCGTTACAATCAAAAGCTTCATTCATTTCTTCACTGCCCACCCTCCCCTTTCTTTCGATAGGGCCCACCAATCCGGGTAACAACACGTGAAGAAGACGAGACATGAAGAAGATATGAAGCTCTGAACACGATGAAGCCTCGTGTTCTCCATCCCTGATATCATTGTACTCCGCCACCTTTCTTCCGGAGAGGCTAGCTCCCACTTTTCTTGTCCTTGCCTCCCTTCTTCGTCCTTCTTCTTTAATAACCCCATTCTCTGTTTCTCTCGAATCTTCCCGGATCCCAAGCATCGTGATTAGTGAGAGTCAAGAGACTCTTACTTATGCTTGGGCTTGGAGTGAGAGCCAATGCTTTGCGGACTTCCTCTTCCCCTTTTCTCGCGCAAGGCTAAGCGAGAGCGGCCGATTATTTCTGCACCCATTCCACAAGATACGTCGAGGATGAGTGCATGGCGTAATCAGTTGGCGGAGGCTGGGAACAAGAGTGGTGAGTACTGGCTTTGTTGCTTTGCCACTCGTCTTCGGAAGAGTCGCACCTTGTTCAATGTATTTTGTTCCTTTATTTGGACTGGAAAGTGGGAGGTACAGTAGCTAACTGATGTATTATTTTCTCGTAGACTCCAATAACGCCCTCTATGCCGTACCCAACCCCAATGGATCAGCAGGGAAAATACTCCTCGAACGACCAGTATCTCCGCAAACCTCACCGCCCTTGGACGACGACTTTGACGCATACACCCAGACAGGAATTGGCACCTATGCAAGAGGAGTAGGTGACCACAGCCGAAGCTTCGGTCACTACCAGCAGCAACAGCAGCCAGCACGTATTCCTGCTACATCCTCGCCCCACCGAAGGCCAGGAATCGACTCGATTGACACGTTCTACGGCGGGCATAACCAAAGCCACCTCGCTGCCAATACCTCTTCCAACCACCACAACGTTACGACCTCGCCAAAACAACGATCCTCACCCGTCCGACACCATGATGTAGCTGGAGCGAACGTTGATCGTTCAGGGTCCCACCGCGACCACCACCGTCCGGCTTCACCCCGACACAACCCCAACGGGGGCAACAACAACAACAACAACAACTCTACTCCTAATAGTTCTCGATCAAAAGGCAAGGGACGACAGGACCCTACGGCCGACTATGCGGAATACCAAGCCTATATGAAGGAGATGGAGAAGATGTTCGGGAAGCACGGGGACCTCGATGTGAGCCTCAATCGCGTGAAGGATCCGCGATCTGGGACACGCGAGAGCCTCACTATTGGGCGTGTGCAGATGAAGAACAATGGGGCGGCGCCTTCCAGGGGCAACTCGACGTCCCGACGACACCCCGGATCTAGCCCACCGTTTATCCTATCCAAAACTTTGCCGTCGGGTAAAGTATCCCGACATGCATCTTCGAATGAGAATGGGAATCGGCCTCCGAGGGCGCGGCAGGATTTCGAGGAGACGAGTCGGAGGGTGATTGAGAGTACGCCTGATAAGACTGTGACGATTTCGACGTGGAGGGAGCAGGTTGCGAAGGAGGCGGATGATGCGGTTGAGAGGGTTAGTGTGTATTATGTGTCTGGGGATGTTGGGACGGAGATGTTGGAGAATGCGAGGGGTGAGTTGGATGGGTTTGGGGCGGGGACTCGGAGCGGGAGTGGGAGTGGCAACGGGGCTGGAGTTGCGACTGGGGCGTTAGGACTTGTGGCGAAGCACAACAGCATGGATCGGTCGAAAGAGAGGGTGGCCTCCCCTCCCGTATCGCAGCAGGTCTCCCAACGGGAACCGTCTCACGAAGTATGTCGTTTTTTTTGGCTCGCTTGGCTAGGTCGACTAATGGTTATAATAGGGTCACCATTCCATTACCCGCGAGTCAACGCAAAGCCATCGAAACGAGTCTCAAGGTCATTCTCGAGCTGCACCATCGTGGATCCGGCCAAGCCAATACCTCCCAAACCCCCTCATCATCCCGAACTACGACAAATCAAACTCGCTCGAATCGACCTCTTCGTCCTCTGCTGGCCCCTCGACGACGTCATCCAGCGACCCCGCTTCCCGGGAACTTTACCCACCTACGCCTCCTCCCAAACCTACTACGAGACTACACAGCTTCAAACCAGATCCAATGCAGTCGACTCCCATTGATACACGACTCGATATGCCCTCTTTCCATCCTACACAGGATGGTTCGCTCATCAGCACAATCCTTAAAACATCTGGGTCGTCGAGTCCTCACTCTAGTGCGGGATTGGAGGAAGTGTTGCGGACCTGTCGACCTCCGCTGGTCCATCTGATGCCCATGTTGGCTCAGTTGGGTATAACAACGAAGGAGCATTTAGATGCTATGGCTACGTTTGATGCTGAGACGCGGGATCGTGAACTCAAAGAGGAGGCGTTGAGGATAGGAATTACGATCATGGAATGGGCTGCTCTAATGAACAAACTCAAGCATCTCAAGCCTTATTGATTATCTTCTTTTTGGATAGAGTTTTCTCCTCGGGTTGTCTCATATTTTTTTTCTTCTCTATCATGTCTACTGGGATTCGGGAAGTGGATTCTTGTTATGTATTTATCTGTACTGTATTTTTATGACTTCGCGCGTCCTGGTAGGGAGACGACGCGATCAAGCCTGCCCTAATGTCATTTAGTCTCCACGTGCCCCAAGTTTGGCGGATGCAATTAGGTTGGATTTGGATTTCATTGTCTGTGTTCGTCCACTACATTGTCTTTCAACGTCTACCAGCGTCTTCAAAGGCCTTTCATTCTTGAAATCTGGGTGTACCGTGTCTCGTCTCTGAAGAAACTTGGAAGTCCTTGCATCGACACCTGGAGCTTGCCGACCAGATTTAACCTCAAGAAGCAGTAACTATGGCGCCTAAACGATCAGGCGTCTTCTTGCAGAACGCCTGCCTTCAACACCGCTACATACGGGATCAGGACCTCTCGAATGTCGTAGAACGCCCTGAACGACTTCGAGCTGTCAACATTGGACTGGCCGCAGCGATAGCTCACCTCGAGGAACTCCTGGAGGACACCGCAACGCCCAATGGTTCTGCCACAGCTGAATATTCCACCGACGAAACCGATCTCGCTGCTGCTCTGGGAAAGATGAAGTTGGAATCGGCGGATGGTGCGGGCGGGTCGACGTCCTCAAAGATACCCATCGTCCAAAGTCAAGCCACAGTCGATTTGTTGAACAACGCGGCGGTCAAGTTCATTCATGGCGATATTGACGGCGATGTCTACCTCGGGACTCTGAAGAAGTGGGCGAAGGAGAGTACGGATAAGATCGCACAGGGTGGATCAGAGATTCCGGAGGGGTATTCTCAAGGGGATTTGTACCGTGCGTATCCCTGATCGTTTTCTACGATTTTGGATGGAATTCTGAACCTTTGTCCGATGGTTAGTTTGTCCAGGGTCGATAGCGGCTATTCAGGGTGCCCTCGGAACGACTTGTGAAGCTGTTGATGCTGTTATTGGTGCATCGAGAGGCGAGGGAAAGCAAGAGGACCAGATTCACCGGGCGTTTGTTGCTGTTCGACCACCCGGACACCATTGCGGAGAAGATACACCTTCCGGGTTCTGCTTTGTTAACAACGTCGCTGTTGCTGCTGCACATGGTGGGCTTTGTCTTTCACTTCTACACTATTCCGAACAACGCCCTGACAGTGGCCTTCCATTAGCCCATTTGAAGCATGGGATTAATCGGGTTGTCATATTCGACATAGATCTTCATCACGGTGAGGATCCTTTCATGGAAACGGTGTTCAAATACAGATGTTCCGCTAGGAAATGGAACTCAGTCAATTGTATGGCAAATCAACGAGGAGACGTATCGACAGAAGCTCGAGCAAGAAGCGGGAGCGCCCAATGTGAAGCCGGGAGCTCAGGTCTTCTATGGATCTATCCACGACATTCTCTCCTATCCCTGCGAGGTAATCGTCCAAAATCTCTTTCTCTTAGACATGAAAGGACCTGACTATCGGTGATTCTGCAGGACGGCAAACCCGAGCTTGTCCAGGCAGCCTCTGTATCCCTGCACCACGCCCACGGACAGTTCATCGAAAATATTCATCTTCAAACTTACACCTCGGAGGAACACTTCTGGTCTGAACTCTACGCCAAACGATATATCCAAGTCATTCGTAAAGCAGAAGAGTTCCTCGACGCGACTGGTGGTCCAGGCGATGACGTCATGGTGTTCATCAGGTTCGTTGATTCTCCAAGCACGGGCGCTTATTTGGAAGTTTGACGAATTTGTCGATCCCATCAGTTGCGGCATGGATGCTTGTGAGCACGAGTACGAGTCGATGTCGAGGCATAACCGTAAGGTTCCCACCGGGTATTACTATCAGTTTGCTCGGGACACTAGTGTCCTGAGTGATAAATATGCCAAAGGCCGTCTAGTGAGCGTTCTTGAAGGGGGATATAGCGATCGGGCTTTGATTAGTGGTGCGATGGCGCATCTGGCTGGTCTTACCGATCTCCCGGAAGGGAAGCAGGTCGATAAGGCTATCTGGGACCTTGGAAATCTCGTTGAGGTATGTGATGAAAGCCTTCCTCCAACTTAACATCGCTCAAACACCTCTAGCTCGAGAAAGCGACCAAGAAACGGAGAGGTGGAAGGCCTTCGCTGCCTGCCCCAGGATCTACACGACAGTGGATTGAACGCACGCTCTCTATCCTTGCACCCCTTGACACCAGTGCTGCCAGCATCCTCTCTTCTGCTCGCTCAGCTCCTCCAATGTCCATGACTCTTAGAGATCGGTCGAAGGCCAAGTCTGCGACTTCAACGCCAACCCGGGGCGTGTCCCCAGCTCCAGCTTCCGCCAAGCAGAAGCCGAAAGGAAGGAAGAGTGTTGGGACTCCATCGACAGAGAAACCTCCAGTGGGGAGTTCAACGTCCAGCTCTGACGATGATGGGTCGGGGGCGACGCAGGACAAAGTTAAAGTGAAGAGGGTTATTTTGAAGCTTTCACAGTCATAATACATGGGCTCTCCTTTGCTTTCGTCGTTTCGTTGTTTCAGTGTTTCGCTGTGAATCGCTCTGTTATCCTCCAGCTTTCCTAATTTATTGTTATAATTGAATACTTCGTTCTCGGTTCTCTACATTGGACGGTTCGGTTTCTTAGCAAACGATTAAAACCATCAAGCCAAGCATTCGGTGAGGTTTGGTTCCTGGTCACGAGGATGATCCATTTTTATGGCTCGCGGGAACACAATCCTCTTGAACGACTACCACGACCATCCCTCGATGCTCTTTCCAGTCGAGATCCTTCACCTCATTGTCGACTCCAATGCCTCGGATCCAAAGTTCTTGCTCAATTGCTCTGTAGTCAACAGTACCTTTGCGGAACGATGCCAGCAGCATTTGTTTGCCTCCCCGATCTTCAGCTTCAACTTTGCGTTCAACAATGCGTCACCGTACATCCACAGCCATTTCAACGTCTCAGAACTGCGAAAGGCGATTCCTCCACTCACAGAAAGGGGGAAGAAATTGGCGGACCCACCCGAACGGGCACTGAGCGCCTTCAAGGACGCCCTCACAGGGAAAAATGGGGAACGACTCCGCTCGTACATCCAATCGTTCTCGGCGACGTTGCGGCGCGCTAATTCGGACCCTGCGGAATGGTCGTTTCTAATGACCGAGTTCATGGAACACCCGAATATATTTTCAGCCGCCTTGGACCAACTATGCGATATCCTCCCTCTCCTCACATCTCTGCGATGTTTCCGCCTCACGAGCTGCTTTTCGAAGGACCTGGTACCGATGGACGCTGTCAACATTGATTCCTTGTGGGGCTCATTTTCCTCCAAGGAAATGGATAAACTTGTCCTCGACTCTTGTCCAAAGCACGATTCCCTTCGAATTCTTCAGTCGGTTGAAACATCTTCAGCTCGAGGATACAGAGATCAAGGTGGCGCTTCCCGCGGAAGCGTCGGGGGTGGAGGGTCCGAACCGATGTCAATTGACCACTCTCTCCTGCGTCCGGGTTCAGTCCAAGAAACCTCCTCTAACGCTTCCTCGAAGTCCTCCCTTTGGATCACAACCAGGAGCCTTTCCGCAATCGGTTGTCCTCCACAACCTGAAAGAGTTTGCGTATTTCTCGTCGGGCTCTGTGATGGTTTTGAGTCATGGGATGGCTCGTATCATCCATGATGTAATGCCCAATTTGCGTTGCTTCACCATATTGCTCTCCCAGCACCATGGTATTCCGGACGCCGTCATCGAGATGGACTTGCCTTCCCCCCTCGGCGCGGGTCCAAATATCAGCAGTGCGTCGATAATCTTTATACTACGAATTTCGCACTCACCTCTTTCTCGCCAGTACCTGCAACCGAACTCGCCTTCCCTGATCGAATACAGAAACTTGCATTCGATTTAACCGTGGACCCGAGAGTCCAGAAACCATATCTCCGGCCGTTTCTGGCAACCATGAAGACAGTCCTCGGAGTCGTCACCGACTTCCACACTCTCGAAATTCGAATCCAATGGGCTTCTAACTCGCAAGGAGGCTATTCGATTATGTCGCAGTTTTATGGATGGCAATGGCTGCGGGTGGCAATTCAGGATGGGAGATTCAAGTCCCTCAGGCGATTGAAGATCTCTATCGAATATCGTTACAGGCACAAAGAGTGGAGGGATTTGGTGTTTCTCGGCAAAGTCGATACTATGCGCCACCTTGAAGAGTGGTTTAACCCGCTGACTACTTTGCTCGGAGATTTTGAAGTCGGGTTGGAGTGTGTTATCCTCGATCCAGAAGTATATACGGCGACTGGATTTGTACTCGTGGGCACCAAAAGTGATGGCACCCTGTTACTGGCAACTCGTTCAAGACTTTTCTCAGCAATGCAGAAAGATTTCACCAAACCGCTTGAGATATAAGTTTAGGCTGTACGTACCTACCATATCAAGGAGTTTGAGTTGGAATGACTCCTAAACTGAAAGTGCAAGAGGAAAATTATGTCGAAAATATACATTTGAGACCAATGTGGATCTCGGCGAGTATTGTCTCTATTGGGTTCATCTTTGGATAGCTTATACAAGGCTGAGAACGAACTCTTCATGCAAAGTTTGCAAGGAATACGTGCAGTAGGTACTGGCTTATCGCGGCTACAATGTCGCGATTTTGGCAGAGAAACCGTGAGAGTGCCATCACTTTTGGTGCCCACGAGTAGTCGACTAGATATATTACAAGTCTTCCGCTCTCCACGAGTTCCTCCATACTTTCGAACTCTAGGTACTCGTAACAGTGCGCTCGGGGTTGGCTTGGATTGCTTGTAAATGTCGCCCTTTTCGAATGTGAGTTTCTTCAGTCTGGGGAAATATTCGGGAGTGGGGTACATCCTGATGATTTCGTCACTGTCGACCATCTCGCAGGGCCTTTCCCTAGGTCGGATCAGATGCGCCATCATTTCCAAAGATGTCAGGCCAGCCCCTAACTCTTGAACCCAGATGAGGCCCCAAAGACGCAGACCTCGGTCCCGAAGCTCAGACCTTCATGAATGAACCAACCAAAAGGTCGCTATTGGACCATCTACCGGCGCCCCAAACTTGTCCATTCACGCGGTTGATCGGCTCAGCCCCCACAGTTATACTACCATACCCCGCCCCTCGACTCCGCTGCGCACGTTGTCGAGTGCGGAATGCAGATTATCGATGATGGCCCGGGGGGCTCCGGAGGTGCAGTCACTGAGAACACGGTGTCCATTGCAGATGACATCGATGGCATAAGCGCCTTTTTCTGAATGAAACAAATGGACCTTTGGCGCGGACATTCGAATGTCTTTTTTACTACGATCTTTCCTGTCGCTCGTCTTCCTCCAGACTCTGCACCCATCTTCCTTCGTCATCACCTTTCCTCCACCCCTCTTCATAGAACCAATGTTCAGCAATCCCCTCACCCGACTTGCTGCAACGTGCGGCATCCTCTGGTCGTTGACGGCCCCTGCCAGAGCAAACGTAGGCGCATGGGGCCCGGGAATGTACTGTGGCCAAGGCAACGTCGTAGGAGTGGACGACGAAAACACGAATGCTGCTGTTGAACCGATGCACGATGTACGGGCCCTATTCCTAGTTCTTGCTCCGCTGGTGCTGACCATGACCATTATTTCTCGATGGACGGTAGATGACCCGAGCGGAGTGGTGGTTCCACGCTTACAACGGATGCCTCGACTTTCCTCCTCCTCCAGGCGAGTTCCTCGAACTGTCAGTAACCCATTTCTTTCTACTTTGTCCTCCAATCCGAGTCGGAGCACTGACGACCTCTCGTTTTGCATCCCCCTGCTGAATTCTCGACTATGGTTTAACGTTTAACTCCAATGATGTGCAGGCCGGCGAACGGAAAGGTCAAGTTGGAACTAGCAGTCAATCGCAAATTCACCACGCGCGCTAACAACCCCATCCTCGGGCTCTTCCCCCACGGAGAGGACACCCTCACTTCCATCTCCGAAGAGGGATGCGTTGTTAATCCAAACAGTGCGTCGCTGTGTTTCATCCCCTCGTCGCTGTTACCGTTTTGCGCGGGTTATACGCCGACGATCGTATCAGGCTGAGGACGCTCACCATTCCTTGCTTGAATCCGTACAGTCCACACACGTTCTGAGGAAGAAGCTACGGGATCTGTTCTCGCCATCTCGTACGCTACCTCGTTCGAGCGCGTCAAGCCGGAGAACTTGGTCGTGTTTAGTGTTCGACATCAGTGAGTCGCATCATCTCATTGTGTATCACGATGGAGTCCTGGGTTGACGTTCTTTTGGTTAGCACCCCATGGTACAGAGAAGTAGAATACGACGTACCCAACCTTCCAAAGTGTCCCCCAAATGGTTGTTTCTGCGCCGTAAGTCCCAGACCTCTCCCCTTCGAGTCCTCAGATCACGTTGAACATTATTTACCCCTTTTCCTCTCTACAAACAACAGTGGGGCTGGCTTCCAGATGACTGCGGCCAACCCACCATGTCGATGCAGGCCTTCCGATGCACAGTGCTCAACCCTCCCACATCGGCAGCTGTCCACGTTGGACGCGCGAGGCCTCCTGTGTGGTGTGAAGAGGACCCCAGTACTTGTCGACAGGGTGCTAAGCAGGTATGTGTATGCGCGTCCCCAGACAAGGCTAAAAAGTTGATGGTGAATTCCGACCAGATGATCTTTTGGACCCAAACTGAAGGAAATAATGTCGTCGTTGAAGGCTTGGATTTGGAAGGGAGACCCAAGAGACCTGTGTATGATGGGAGAATGGGGTTCAGCGATGGTGAGTTCACGGATATTCGGGTGAAGACGACAAGCTGATGAGAGTGCAGGTGCCCAACACGATATCTTCTTGTAGCACACACGCCAGCATTGGTGGACAGTGCAGTTTTTCTGTCGGCGTCAGCGATAACGATTCTTTGTGCCTTGTTTACATGCGATTGATCGATATGAATGCCCTAGGAATCCGAATCTTCTTCGTCTTCCGATTCTTCGAGTAAGGACTGTACGGCTGCCTCGAATTCTTTCGAGTCGTTAGCAGGTGTTTCACGGAAGAGGGGAAAGCACTCACGTTTGCAAGCTCCCTTCATCTTGGATAAGCCATGAATATGCTTATCCTCGCATTTCTTCGCGAGCTCAAGGCTGAGCTTGTGCTTCTCTTGGAGAAGGCCCTGGTAATCAGAGCTAAATTATGAAATAGGACCAATGCGATGGGTAAGAACTGACCTCGATAAATTGATGACGCTTCAAAATCTCAGTCCACAGATGATGGATGCGGTCCTCTATCGCAGCATACTCTTCCACGAATTGACTGAACAATTTGTCGATGGCCTCTGCGGTGGACTGCACCTCTTCCTCTGCTTCATCGAGCTGTTTATTCAAGGATAAGCTGATACCTCAGTAAGTAGATAAAGCGGCATACGATCTTGTTGAGCGAGGTTGAAGCACCGTCCAAGAACCGTTGGTCTCGCTCTTGTCGTTTCTTTTCCTTTGCAGCTGCATATATCGAAGTCAGAGGGCCCGACAGGGCTTCAGAGAATTCACCATACCTGCTATTCTCTCTGCCAGGATACGTTCTATCCTGTATGCTGCGTGGTCAGAGGCTTATCCATCGTGCACCCCACTCGAGTCATGATCGTTGGTATTGGTGGTCCCCCTTGTGGTGGTCTTCGACTCACTGCTGATCCTCGCTGCTTGAAGGCTGAGATTCGAGAAAGTCAAAATCAGCGAGCTCTTCCTCTTCAGCCTGTTTTTTCTTCTGGCGGGGCATCGTTTTCGCGGTGGTCGTCGTCGTTGTGGTCGATGAGAAGGCGTCGAGGCTCACGCGACGAGGCAAACGCGCCAAGAGCACAGCCACGGGAGCCAAACAAGCTGTTCCCGGTTTATCGGAGGTGCATTGCCAAGGACGCCTACAACGATGACGGTGGCGGCGTTGGCGGCGTCAGCGACTTGATTTCGAGCATCTTCCACGTCGTCGCCGTCACCGTCGTCCACGATGCCTCGCGACCCAACGCAGCTTATGGCCTTCAAATGGCCCATGGCGCTGTACAATGAACTGCGCAAGTGGTTCCCCCTCTTCAACCTCTTCTCGTTCTTCTGCGCTTTCATCATCGATGCGCCGTTTGGACGTTTCGCGCCCTCAGCGTCTGACCCCTCGACGCACTCGATCTTCCCGCTCTTCAATATGCAGGCGCTGCAGGTGGATGGGATTCGGTCATGGATCTTCATGGAGCTCATCTCGCCGTTTACGTTCATTTACGCATTCCTCATCTCGCCGCTCACTTTCTACACACCCGACATGCCGTCCCTGACCAGCCCCATCACATTGGCCTGCACGCTGTTTATGATCCATTACGCCAACAGGGCTCTGATTAGCCCGCTCAGGACGCCTTCGAGATCCAAATCCCACCTCGTAGTCGTGCTGCTCGCTGCTGGCTTCAACCTCGCCAACGGCTACCTCCTCGGATCGTATTTCTCCTCTCCAATGGCGAGGATCTACATCGGAGGATCCTACGCCTACATGCGTCCATCCTTCTGGATTGGAATGACCCTATGGCTCGTAGGGTTCATTGGCAATATCGCCCACGACGAAATCCTGCTCGACATTCGTAGGAAGGCGAAGGCACGCAAGGAGAAGGATGGGGAGGAACGAGAGGACGCCAAGAAGAAAGGAAAGGAGCCCAAGAAACCAGCAGAGAAGGGTGAATACTACGGCATCCCCCAAGGCCTTCTCTACGACTACATCTCCTTCCCCAACTACTTTTGCGAATGGATCGAGTGGTTCGGGTTCGCGCTCGCGACTTCGCCTCCGCCTGTCGAGCTTTCATTCGCTTCTCCCGCCGACTTCATCCAATCCCTCCTCCACAACGCGATTATCCCTCTTTGCTCGCCTAAAGCCTGGTCAAAGATGATCAAGGGCAACGCCTACGGGTTCGCTCCCCTCCTAACACCACCCTGGATTTTCTTCTTTGGAGAAATCCTCGTCATGCTCCCGAGAGCGTATAGAGGCCACAAGTGGTACAAGAAGCGCTTTGGGGAGAGTTACCCCAAGAACAGGAAGGCGGTTATCCCTTTCGTTTTGTAATCGCCTGGACTGTGTAATGTGTGTATTGCTATTGCTTTCTCTCGCTACTTTTTTTCGCTCCTTTACCCTTACATAGGTTAGCTCTTCGTTCATTCCCTTTTCCAACGCTTCCCCGTTCTTAATGGACGATAAGTGAAATCTAATCTGGTTTTCAGTTACCCAGACCCTGGTCACAGAGGAAACTCGTACAACTTTGAGCGTCCAGTCGCCAACCGGCGAGGAATACCTGTCGTCGTCCCAGGTTTAGCTAGATGAACCTTGAAGAATCGCTACGCCAAGCCATCAACTAACGTGGGAAACGACTTAGCGCCCAACTCGGCGTTGGCGGGCTTAGAATTGCTCGACCTCTTCCTTCTTCGTCTACCAGCCAGCCAGCCCGCGCCCCAACGACAACACAGCGCTCCATGGGTATGTGCGTCAAATCGTTGGTTGATCATGTTTGGGCTGACATCGGAGTGCAGAGCAACCTCCTCGAGCGGAGGAGGAGGATGATCTACATGGAATCGAGCAATGCGTCCAAGAGATTGTGGATGGTGTGAAGGACTCGACAGAAATGGCCACACTGGACACGGCGATAACGATTTTGCGGGAGACTATCGAAGAAGAGACGGATAACGAGATGTGTACATCGGCGAGGCTTGCCCTTGTCAAGGCGCTGCTCGTTCGGTATGCGCACAAAGGCTGGCCTGATGACCTGTACGAGGCTTTGGTGAGTGATATAAATTGTTCAGAATGCCACATGTCTAGCTAATACCATATTCACGGAGATCAGAGATACTTTGCCTTGGAGGAGAACGAAGATGGTCGCCCCGACGCCGTGGACTGTGCTCTACAGCTGATCGCCGAGCATCAACAATCTATCGATCAATCGATGCTGGAGACTGCCATCTGCATTGCAGATGAGACACTTGATCCCTGTACAGAATTCACCACCGACCACGCTGAGCTGCTCCTTTGTGTTGGGAACGCTCTGGTTCTGAAATACCTTGGAGGCGGTGATATTGGTGACTTGGATTTGGCTCGAGGCCGCTTCCTCGACGTGCGGAGGTCATGCCAGGGTAAAGGCGCACTAGCGTCAGTTGCCCTGTGCAACCTCATCCATGCGGAGTGTATCAAATTCATAGAGGGGGACCCAACCCAGAGAAGAGAGGTACACGCGGAGATCCAACGTCATACGCGTATAGCAAACGAAGAGGACGCAGAAGGGGTAGCCGCATTCCAATCAGGAATCCAGATGATGCATAGCGGAGACCAAGCTCAACTGGACGAATCCATATCGCAACTCCGGCTCTCGCTTTCCCTCCGACCTCCACGCCACCCGCGACGCCTTTCCTCCCTCGTCCATCTCACGATCGCCCTCCAAATGCGTTTTGAGAGCAGAAACAATCGTGATGATCTAGAAGAGTCGATTGCTCTGGGTCGTGAGGCTCTCAGTCTGACTCCTGTCGGTCACCCAGCCCGTTGCGCCTCGTTGGATAACCTGGTGAACTCTCTGTCCAGCCGCTTCGACCGCACGGGAAATTTCCAGAATCTCGAAGAATCTATCGTGTATCACCAGGAGGCACTTTCTCTGATTCCGAAGGATAGCCCAGGTCATTCGATGATGCTCAACAACCTCGCAAGTTCGCTCTCCACTCGCTACCAATTCAAGGGGAACTTCGAGGACCTTGCAAGGTCCATAACACTTCACAAGGAGGTACTCGATTTGAGACCGAAAGGAGACCCCCGTCGTTTCTACTCGCTCACCAACCTCGCGATTGCACTTGCTACCCGTTTCCAGACCAAAGGCGACATCCAGGACATCGAAGAATGCGTCGCATGCCATCGAGAGGTGCTCACTCTTACCCCGGAAGGACATCCCATCCGCCTCACGCCACTCAATAACTTGGCGAACTCGCTTTTGCTACGCTTCGAGCAAAAGGGGGACATAGACGACCTGGAAGAATCCATCAAGCTTCATCGGGAGGCGCTTGTTCTGACACCGACAGGCCATCCAGACCACTTCATGTCGCTCAACAACCTGGCTCTCTCCCTCTCCGCCCGTTTTCAGCACAAAGGTGACTTTGGGGACCTAGAAGAGTCCATTGGCCATCATCGAGAAGCGCTCGCAGCGATGCCGCCTAGTCATCCAATTCGAGCCACGTCGCTTAACAATCTCGCAACATCTCTCCACAGCCGCTTCGATCATAAAGGCGAAACTCAGGATCTCGAAGACTGCGTCAGATCTCACAGGGAAGCACTCGCACTGCGACCTCCAGGATCTCCAGACCGCGTCGCTTCCCTCAGTAACCTAGCAAACTCCCTTTCCGCTCGGTTCCTGCAAAAAGGCGATATTCAGGACTTGGAGGAATCCATTTCGCACCACCGAGAAGCGTCCTTGCTATTGGCGCCTGACCATCCAGGTCGATCCAAGTTCCTCAACAACTTTGCTAATTCCCTCTACGCTCTCTTCAATCAGAAAGGCGACTTTCAGACTCTCGAAGAATCCATTGCATATTATCGCGAAGCCCTTGATCTAAGGCCGGAAGGCCATCCGGAACATTTATCGTCACTCAGCAATCTCGCTGTCCCCCTTTTCGCTCGCTTCACGCACAAGGGTGACATCCAGGACCTTGCGGAGTGCATTTCATACCACCAACGAGTGCTTGAACAGAGACCAAAAGCGCATCCCGATCGCTCTGCCACGCTTGACAGCCTCGCAACATGCCTCGGCACCAGGTTCCAAAGGATGGGCGAATTCAAAGACCTGGATGACTCGATTGCGTACCAGAAGGAGGCTCTTGCCTTGCGGCCACAGGGCCATCCAGCGCGCTGTAGCACGCTCAACAACGTCGCGACCTCCCTTACGTCTCGCTTCGAGCATAGAGGTGACTTTCAGGACCTTGAAGACGCTATCATGTGTCATACGGAGGCTCTGGAGCTGAGGCCAGCGGGTCATCCAGAACGCTCGTCCTCTCTACGCAACCTAGGTGGCTCGCTTTCCAATCGATTCCGGTACAAGGGTGTCTCCCAAGACCTAGAAGAGTCCATCAGATACCAGCGAGAGGCGCTCGCGTTGACGCCTAAAGGACATCCGGACCGCTCGTCGTCGCTTATCCGCCTTGCAGTCTCCCTTTCGACTCTCTTTCAACATAGAAAGAACCTTGAAGACCTCGAGGAGTGCATCCAGTATCATCGGGAAGCGTTAGAGTTGAGGGAGGGGGACCACCCAGAACGAGCATCCTCGCTCAACAACCTTGGTGTTGCCCTGTATGCTCGCTTCGAGAGCCAGGGTGACCTGAAGGACCTCAAGGATTGTGTGAGCTACCACGGAGAGGCTTTGCACACTGCCACAGCCCAAACCGAGTCTCAGATCCATCCTCAACGTTGGCTAGGATCCGCACTCAACCTCATTATAGCCCTTCGAGCGCTGTATCGGAAGTTTAGAGAGCCGGGAATCCTGGACGACATCCTGCACCACCTCAAGAATAGACCGCAGATCGAGGGCACCTCCTTCCTCCTACAAATGCAATTCGACATGCTTTGTACGGAGATAGGACGCGAGTTTGATCGTGCGGACGTTGCATTGGAAGGCTACACTCGCGGTCTGGCTTTACTCCCCCTCCTCGCGTCTCTCGACTTGACCCTCGAACAACGCAAGAATGTTCTGGTGCACACCAAGAACCTCCTGCGAGATGCTGTACAGTGCGCCATCGCACAGGGCGAACTTGAGACGGCGGCCCATTTTCTCTCGTCCTCGCGGTCTGTTTTCTGGTCGCAAGCACTCCAGTTCCGCGCTTCCCTCGAGCGCCTGGAGTCTAGCCACCCCGAGTTGGCGGCGGAGCTGGATTCGGTGAACCGGCGCTTACAGGTCGCCACTCGGCAAACCTCCATGGATGACTTCGAGGACTCGCTTGTGACCCCTCCAGCGCCTAATTCAGTCCTCCAGGCATCCCCGTATGTTCTTTCCAAGGAGAGGGAGGTCGTTCTCGCTCGCATCCGACAGATGGAAGGCTTTCATGACTTCCTGATCCCTCCTTCGTTTCAAGGCCTCAAAGCTGCCACAGCTAAGGGGCCCATCGTCTTTCTCAACGCCAGCTACTATGGATGCGATGCTCTCATATTCAAGTCCGATGGTTCTTTGGAGCATCTTCCTTTGGAAGTAGAGCTGGATCTTCTTCGCTCTTTGAAGAACGCAGTCCAACGGTTGGCAGATGGAAACACCCTTCATGGTGAGGTCCAGCATGATATAGACGTCGCGTTCGAGAAGAGAAATCTTCGGTTGAAGGCTCGGATTGGAAAACGTAATCGGTCGGTTGATGATGATTTCAGAAGGGTTTTGGAGATTCTGTGGGAGCTGGTAGTTCTTCCGGTCGTCGAGAGGCTTAGGCTGAAGAAGGTATTTAAAGTTTCAGTCGCCCAAGGCTCTCACTTAACACTGCATCAGATCAACTCTCAGGACGATAACTCTCAGGACGATTCAGACCTGCGTCGGAGAATTTGGTGGTGTCCGACTGGGCCTTTCGCCTTCCTCCCCGTTCATGCTGCTGGCATCTACTCCAGCCAAGGAGAGGGGATTTCTTGCCTTTCCGATTATGCTGTCTCGTCCTACTGTTCGTCGCCTCAAGATCTCCTCGCACCTCCGACCAAATCCGGACCCGACTTCAAGATGTTCGCGGTAATCGAGCCCGAGAAACTGGGACCGGGCATGTCGAGTCTACCTTCGGCAACGCTCGAGCTCGAGAAGATCAAGTCTCAAATCCCGGACCAGCGTCGTCTTACCACCCTCGTAGGATCCAAGGACAATCCAACGAGCACAAAGTCCGTAATTGATGAGATCAACACGTCGTCAATCGTGCACTTTGGCTGCCACGGAATGCAGGACCTCTCGAATCCCCTCAATAGCCATCTACTGTTGAGCGGCGGACAGCTGACGGTGGAAGGGCTGATTCGGGAGTGCCAAACGTCGACCCCAGCGCTCGCGTATCTCAGCGCATGCGAGACTGCCATGGGAGACGAGGAGAGGCCGGATGAGTCTCTTACTCTTGCTGCGACTATGATGTTTGCCGGTTTCCGAGGTGTCGTTGGGACGATGTGGTAAGTAAAGATCGCCAACTAGTAGCAGTTATTCGCTAACATTTCATCGAACGCAGGTCAATACACGATCAAGACGCACCCATCGTCGCCAATGTATTCTATCAGCACCTCTTTCGCCATGGAGGGAGTTCTCCTCCCGATGTAACCGATGCTGCGTATGGGCTAGACCGTGCGGTGAAGGAGTTGCGAGATTTGGGAAGACCTTTCCATCACTGGGTCCCTTTCGTCCATTTTGGAGTGTAAAGTTCCCCTAACCCATCGGCCAAGTAACGCCAGCCAGATGACTGGGATATTTAAGATAGCAAACCTCAGGCTTGCCAAAATGAATGTTTGCCAAAATTACCACTAGTGCCATCTTCGACTACTGGATCGATTAGAGTAAAACTAAGTAAGTATAAAAGCTACTTCGCGTTCGTATCTGTTAGCCACTTCTCTCCTTGCCATATGACCTCCCCAGCCCAATCCTGAAGGTAGTCGAATTGCGACGTTGAAAGATTCCAGCACTCAACGAACCGCAAAGTTTCTATTTCCGCCTCGTTGTCGGCTCGAAATTCGAGCATATCCAACAGAAGGTCGAAATCGAGGAGATATGACTTTTGGTCGGCGCCAAGCGATGGTCGCTTGCCTTCGTAAAAGATTGAATATTGCCTTTTCAATCGTGACATTCTTCAATTTCGGAACGATCAACTCGAGAACCCGGCGATGTGCGATCCTGTCCTTTTCATGCAACAGCTCTGACAAGAAAGATGGCTTCGCGACGTAAAGCTCTTCCACCGCCGGGAGAGTTTCGAGGAAGTCCGAAGCTTCCATGAAAATGGTATCGATGCCTTTGATGGATAGGAATCGTATGTTTTCAGGGAATAGACTTTGGAGAATTGGCGAGCCTTCCCACTCGGGGGAATCGTGCGTTTCGAAAATGGTATTACTGGCTGGGAGAGGTTTGGCGAAGTCCACTGGGAAAGGGCTTAGAGCATTGAAACTCCAAACCTGAGGTTTGGAGTTTCAATGCTCTAAATGTTTGTTCTCTGGAAGGATATTTCTTTGTTGAGGATGGTCGATGGTGTTGATTTCGAGGATGGGCAGGTTGCCAACGAGGACGATGTGAATCGTAGAGATATAAGGCACTGGTCCGTGGGGGCCACGTATTCCCTGTCCTCTTCGTAAAACACAAACCGCACTTCAGCAGTGTCGGAGACGGCCACATGTTTTACAAAGCTGCAGCATTCTGGGAAACGACTGTGAAAGCAGACGTACTTCAACAATCGAGGAAGATGAACAACGCGGTCCTTTGTCCGTTCATCATCATCTAGAGATGGAAGAATCACTTCGAGGCTTAGATTCTCCAATCTGGGCATGGACGCGAAAACGTCAAGGAATTCAGTCGGGAAATAGATTGTCGATCGGTTCGCGTTGTTCTCGATGTCAAGGATCGTCAATTGTCGCATCAACGGAGATGACCATGCCAAGATGTGGCAGTCGACAAGTTCGAGGGAGCGGAGGAGAGGAAAATTCTCTTCCTTGAGCTGTAGCCGGGGCGAGCGAGCAAATCGCAAGTCGCTTAAGTTCACTAAGGACAGGGTTTGCAAGGAAGTCGGGGCAAGCACCTGACCTGGTCGACTAACAGGCGGGGTGGGCTGCAGATTTCGAGTGAGTGCACAGAGGCCATCCAATCGCATATCAGATTCCATGCATTTTCATTCGCATATGAAGTTGAGAAGGAATCATTCCACGGGGTTCGGAAGTTCACCGTGTCGGTAATTGTCGAGACTAGAACTAGCTCTGTGAAGGCCGAAAATTTCATGAAGAGTTTCGTTCGGGAGTCGGCAGATTGGGACAAAGTCGTTTCTTCGTAGTTGCTGTTCCCGAATATGGCTTCTCAACAAACCCAACTGTTGCTCTAGTTCTGTTTCTTGCTTCATCAGGCTGGCTATCTTTGCGTCCATGAGATCAAGGGAATCCTTGGGGAATCCGGCATTGCATCGTCCATTCCTCTTTGAATTGAAATACGGCCACGGAAGTCGACCTGAGGGCTGTATTCCATGATATTTTTCACTAGACTCACAATTGGATGATTCTATAGTTGCAGATCAGGAAATGGAGGGGTCCGAAGGAGGTGGGCGTTCAAAAGTATGTAGAACATGAACGTGTCGCGACCGCGACTGTGCCGGAGAAAAGCGCGGGCCCGGGCCCTGAAAGCGGATCAACACTTTCCAAATTAGTTCATCACCTCCTATGCAACTTTGGCCTTGACTTTCAGTCCGAGCCATGCTGTTGTTACTGCTGTGTATTCGATCAATAACATGTAGTCTTCCCAAGTACATAGCATAACATTAGCATAACGCCTTCGCGTAAGCGGGAGAGAGTTTTCCCAGTCACGAAACGGGCCTAGTACCTGATATGGTCCACAGCTGCTACGCCGCTGATGAAGGCACCACATGGAGTGAGGAGTGAAGATTGAATGTGAATAGTAGATTGCTATTAGCTCAATACTGTAGCAAGACTTGAGTCCCAAGGTCCAACTAAGTCTATCTTTCTCTCTTATACCTCAAGAAAAGGACGTGCCAGCTCCTGCGCACGTCGCTGGTGGTGTAATTACTACTGCTAGTTACTAGTACACGTGTCCCAGCGTCCGAGAAGCCCAGTTCAACGCTCGATGTCATCGAGTGATGTGTAATGTAGTTTAGAATTGGAGAAGACATAAGACTGCAAACTCGAGCACGCGTTTTTGGTCTAATGCAATTGAATGCGCGCGTACAAGCAGTGAATCGGCAGCACACCCCTCTGATGTCCGGTTGTCTGAACTTTAAACTTAAGCGCCTGTCAGCGGTTTGGTGTGTGATAAAACTGCAGTGCTGTGAAATGATACCTAACATATAAGTAAGAAATTCAGTCTTCTCTACGTCCCTTGTGGTCTCTTACCACCTGCTTTTCAGCTACCTGCGACCTGGGTGGATTCAATGGCCTCTAGTAGCCGTCGCGTGCTGATGCTACTCCCAACTCCCCCCACTAGCGGTGGTTCCACTCCTAGTGGCAGGACAGATCGGAGCTTTCCTAGTCCTGCTACTCCGAGGACAGAACGGGTTTTTCCCAGCCCCACTAGCCCAAGGGCAGAGCGCGCATCCCCAACTTCCCCACTCAGCAGTAGCCCCTCCCATATTGACGGGATAGAGCACAGCTTATCCAGTGCCGCCAACCCAGGTGCAGAACATGGCTCTCCACGCCCCGCCAGTCCAGTGGCGTCGAGCTCAACCCCGGTAAACACTGTTAATCTAAACGAGTACCGGTAATCCAACATCGTTTTAATGTCCACGTAGCTCAACATTGCTGACTTACATTTTTCTTACCACCATAGCCAAGATCAAGCCATTTTCTCTCGTGCGGCTAGGTTCGCCGTAAATGGTGGGGAATTCAGCGCTGTCCGTGGAGTGAAGATTGTAATCAGTAAGGAAGATGTGGAGTACTCATCTAGTATATATGTAACTGACGTATACTTCTGTATTTTAGACCAAGGCCCTCGAAGGCCAAGGACACATGATGAACGAAGACGTCCACCCTCGGACACTCCGTCATTTTCGTCCACTACCGCGTCGTCGGAGAGCTCCACAACCACCTGGCAGAGCTTCTCCCGTGAAGCTGTCCCAGCCACTGAAGGTGCAAGGCGAGGAGGTTCTGTTCGCAGGGGCGTTCCTGACGTCCCTCGTGATTATGTACCTCCCCGACAGGACCTTCGTACATATGCCAACCCAGCCGATGAGGCAGATGTTGCGGCTGCCCACGAAGCAGCCTCCAATGCTCGTGTAATGGAATTGGCCCAGACGGCACAACCGAGCTGGATAAAGTGGACGAACTGGTGGAGCAGATAGCTCTATGGAGGGCCAAACGACAGGAACTCGAGTCACTTGAAGATCGACTGAGGCGACGCGAGAAGGAACTCGAAACTCGGGCTGAGGCGCTTGATCAGCTCGAACACCAGCTGTCTCAGCAACGAGCTTCGGAGTTGCTGGCACAAAGGAGCTTGAAGCAGGAGGCAACCTCGTCCCTGACACGGAGGGACCTTGAGGTGGAACAACCTAATGGCTCATCGAGCAATGCCGATATCCAAGGGAGCTCCCAGATGGACACGAGCCTTGTAGCAAAGGAGGAGCCGCGTAGCCTGCAGCAAAGTAACTCTGCGATGGACGCCACGATCCAACATCCCCGCGCGGGTTCATCGACTCCACCTAAACGTCCACTGCCCCCCATTCCGAAGCCGCGACCTCCTCCCATTTTAGTCGTCGACTACGAAGACTTTCTTGACGACATGGCTCAAGATAACGGAGCCAAGGCGTCTCCCCCATATGCGAAGGACCATATTCAAGGGCCTTCCCAAGATGCGGACTCGGGCAGCACACACATCTCCTCTTCTAAGTCCACCATGGATACGGTTTACGAGGCTTTCGACGACAGCCCCCCTGGGTACTCCGACTGGCCTCCCTCCGAGTCTACAGCCCCGACTGGCAGCAGGATCCCTTCTTACCATTCTGGCTTGGGCGAGCTGACTAAATTCTGGAGAGAGCTCGAGAGTAACAAATTCAAAGGCAGTGAAGAAGGGAATTGTACGGAGAGTAACATCGCCGAAATATCGGACGGGTTACCGGCCTTCGAGCCGCTTCGAGACGACGAGAGTATCCCAGGGCAGTGCCAGCTTCCGGTCGAAGTCCCGCATCAGGAGTCAGAATGGGAGAGGGTCGTCGGTGAGCCTTTTCAACCGCTGCATATGTCAACTCGCCTAACCATAACTTCATATTAGTTCTGTCGTGGTTGATAAAGACGCTGATCGACAACGAGCTAGAATCTCACGATTTGGTGCGAATACTCTGCGAGCAAGTCGATAGCAATGAGCAGACGGCTCGTGATGCGGCGAGAGAACTCAAGAAACATCTGGAGCAGTCAGAGTGCGTTCCTTCTCATTTGTGGACATGGAAATCACGAATGATAACACCTTTCGTTAGAGCTCTGGAGGCTCCGCTGGCGATACACCAGGTACTATACGCGATCCAGGCAAGCTGGTCCCTGGCACAGAAGAGGATGTACTGGAAAACTCATTGGAAAAATGCTATTTTTGCAGCTGCTATCAATCTTGCTACAGCGATGTTCGCCCCACTTCAGAGAGGTTCTCTGTACCTTTGAAATTAGCGTAACCCTCGAGCGTCTAATTGAGTCGAACGACACCAATCCAGTCGTTAAAGAGCGACTCCTACACGTCGTCGGAGCTATCATCCATTCGAGCGAACCTGGTAAGTATGCAAAGTCCTTTAATCCTGCATCAGTACTACTGAGCTACTTACTGACGTTACTGAACGCTTCCTTAGAAATTCTATCCAACTCGCTCCTCCCGACGTTATGGAATAGGTTTAAACCTTCCAACATGCCGGAAAGTGTAAGATTTGAGTGTATCCCATTTGAATGCTCGATTCTGACATTGATACGATGAAGGGATCACCGCTCGATCCGGAATTTATAGGCCTGCCACCGAACCACATCATACAAGTTGGAAAAGCGTTTTAGTTGTTGCGAGATTAGGATGTCTGTCTTTGCAACAGGGGGGATATGACAATGGATAACCACGTATGCATATGCGGATTGATTTTGAATAGTTGATTGCCCGAGAGCGGGTTCAGAGCAGAATTTGACTGGTATTACCTACTTTGTACTTTGGATGTCATTAGGGCTTCGGAAACGGGAAAGACACGTGTACTTGTGGATGGCTAAAATGCCCCAGTCCCTTTGGTGAGATGTAAGCCGGCGCTTACACTCTTTTTCGCCTGTTTCCATGCAAAGTGCTGCACCGGCGCTTACACGAGCAGACTGGGCGCTTAAACCCGGCATCCCTGGTTCAAACTTGAATCTCAAACGAATTTAAGACATTCTCTCCCTTTCATCTTCTCTTCCGACTACACCCATGTCGCCTTCTCTCCCCACAGAACTCCTGCACCACATCGCCGAATACAACCACGCCGACAGGGATTTCCTCTTGAACTGCTCCCTTGTGCACAGTGCTTTCACCGCTTTATGCCAGAAACACCTGTTCTCTGCCCCAGCGTTCATACTGGTGTTTCAATTCCCGAAAGGAAAGGAGCCTACGTTCTACTCGAGGTCTCAGTGGAAGGGCACAACGCAATCGTTCGAGGAAGGGGCGACGTACGAGACTAGCCGTGCGCCGCCAAGCGACTTGGACGGGCAGGCGTTTGCGCTGGACAGAGGACCTCTGCAAAGCCTCATGGATGCACTGAAAGGGGATAGCGGGGACCGCTTACGCTCACACATCACCTCCTTCTCCATCACACTCGCACCAGAGATTCAACGCCCCAAGGCTGGTGGCAGCTACTACATCATCCCCCAGCCTGAGATATCCGAAGGATCCACCGGCTTGGACTCAGTCCCAAACTACTTCAACACCGCGTTCAGCGCCCTCATTCCCCTCCTCCAGCTCCTAACTTTCCTGCGATCGTTCTCTATCAGCAGTCGGTTTCATGGGTTACTCCCGATCGGGCAGGTGGACATTACGTCCCTGTTCCAAGCTCTTTCTCCTATGCCGCTGGATAGTTTATCGATCATTGATGTGGACGGTATCCTCCCTCTCCCGACCTTCTGCCGCTTGAAGCACCTACATATAGAAGAGGGAACCATCATCGTCGACAACGTTAACCTCCAACCTGCCGACTCCTCTTCGCATGTAAACTCTGACCTTGACCCCGAGCAACCAGCCAACACGGCTCTTGAATCCCTCTCCCTCATCCTTGAGCGCACCTCTGGCATGCGCCGTACCCCACCAATCATGTTCCGCAGTCTTCTTCTCCAAGGCTCAGTACTAGTGGGAAATGTTAGGATAGGGTCGACGATCTCCCTCCCACACCTTCGAGAACTGCGGTACTTCAGTGTTCACCCGAGGGACTACGAAATGGCTAGCCACATCATGCGCGTCGCTCAAGCCTCCTTCCGGTGCTTCGTGGTAGATCTTTCAAGTCGGATATGCGTTCCTTCTATCATTGGTGAGTCGGAGTATTTATTGTTTTATTACTGCATCGACATATTTTGTAGAGGAAGAGCTGATTAGCATCTCTTTTTCAACAGCAACGCCCGGATTCAACAACTCCGCGACCTTCACACTCCCACCTTCCCTCCACTCTCTCATCTTCGACATCGACTTGACGCACACCGCCGAGGTCAAAACCACCCTCTCAAAGCGCCTAACGCACATCACCAAATGTCTAACTGAATGGGACTTCAACGGTCTGCAAGAACTCGGAATCCGCGTTCAGTACTGTGCAACCTCGAGCTCATTCTCGTGCCAGTCTAGATCTGATCATGATGAAAGGGATCTCACCGACCTATTGGAATGGCCAAGGCTGAAGGAGATGATCGGGCTGCAATTGGGAGGGTGGATCAAGAGAGTTGGGGTGGAGGTCCGAAGAGTTGAAGAAAAAGACGGAGGACAACTGAGCTGTGAGTTGAAAAGGAAGCTAGAGACGGAGAGAAGGGCGACATTGGGCTATCTCCAGAAGCTTTTTACACCCCTCTCGAAGCTCGGGATGCAAGTTAATGTATCTTGCCTAGTGGAGTAGCCGTGAAATAATCTTCATAACTCACTCAGGCTCTGGGAAATTAATCAATTAGCGGATGAGCCATAGTCCACGTACCGGCGCTTGCTGGGCGCTTGTCGCTCGTCTCCAGACCACGCACGTAGCGCAGCACGATCCCGAGCGTTTAGAAACCCTCTTCAATCTTCCACCACGAAAAAGGTCTAACCCAGTTTCTATTATAGACTGTGGATAATCTAAATGCCAAGCAATCCCCTAAAAGAATTTAAACGAAACCACCCAATACACACGGAACGCAAAATGACGCACCCCGTGCCCAAGATCTCCCCTTCCCGAGAAAAGTCATCTCAAGCCACCATGTTGTTAATCGCCAACTCGTACATCCCCAAAAACACAGCACCGCCAGCGGATATCCAAAGCGTCCGTGGTACGACACCAGAAAACAGGGCTCTCCATCCTTCGGTAGTGTATATTGTCCGTAGGCGGGTTGTGATTGAGGGGAGTTGGCGTTTTGAGGGGTCCTGCGGGTTTGATTTGAGGTTAGCGAGGAAGAAAGCATGGCAGTGGGAGGAGGTGGAGAGGAGGTGGCGTAAAGGAAGGAAGGAGGCGAGGAGGGAGGGAAGAAAAACGTACCCGGGTATCAAGCATAACTCGCGTCTTGAGCACGTCCAGCGGCGTTGTAAGCGCCGCGGCAATCCCACCAGCCAAGCTTCCGCACAGCGCAGCTTCGTACGCTGGCAGCGGCTGTTTATCCAGTTTCCTGGACAGCGTCGATTTGAAGAATTCGTAGAGGGGGAATTGGATTGATGTGAATGGAATCTAGGAAGGGGAAGTGAGTCGCAGTACGAGGATGGGGCCGGGAGAGAAGGCTAAATAAACGCACCTCCCGCATGACTGTGATACCGTATCCTCTATACAGCCCTTTGATCCCTTCCTGAGCCAACACCAGCTTCACAGCCGCCCACGACGAAGTACCCAACGCGCCATACGTAGAGGTCTGCATCCGCGTCTTGACCACCTCCGTCGGAACGCGTACCAAGCACGCTGCCTGGACACGGCCATTCAATAGGCACCAATAAAAGAGAAAAATAAGGAGTCCCTTCAGCTTGTACGGCCACACAGAATCGAAGTAGAACTCCGTACAACTTCGCCGGTAGACGCGGCTATCATGTGGTTCAGCGGTGCCAGGTTATCCTGCAGCGGTAGCGTCTTCTTCATCGTATCATAAGTCGCAAAGAAGAACGCAGCTATCCCAAACCAAAAAAACCAAAATTATTCAATAAAGTCGTTCTCTGACTCGAGAAGTGGTCAACGGACGTACCACCCGGTGCACTCCCAACCACAACGCTCCCAACACCCTTGTAAACCCCTTTGAATCCTCCAGCTTTTAGGAACCCTTGAGAGGATTGTAGTCGCGTTTTGATAGTGTCTATAGGGAAGAACAGCAAGTCTACAGACGTTCCCGCTACACCACCTGCCTAGCCAAAAATTCTCGGTGAGATTCCGGTCATAAGTTGAGTTTTGCAGGTCGGACTGACCACCAGGGACTGCAGGAACGTCGGGTGCTTCTTCTCTGTCATTTTCGTTAGGGTTTAATTAGGGTCGTAGGGCCTGGCGGCAGTGAGGGGAGGTGGTGGAGATTGGTCAAGAGCTCACTCGGAAGACGGTCGCGTCACAGAAAGGATCCTGGGATATCCGCGTCCTTCGGATCACGCGATCGGCCGACACGGTCGCGGAAACCGAGCGCGCGCCGTTCGAGCTTGGTTCGAACCTCGCCAGAGTCAGATTTCATCTTCTCTTCCATCCAATCATCTCAGACTTTCTTCAACCAGGGACCAGAAACCACCAGTGATATGGACGAATCGTTAGAACTTCCAAACGCCACACCAGCGATTCCCAAACCAAACGACTCGACGCTCCCACCGGAAGAAAACGACCAAGCTTCCGACGACGAAGATGGCGGACTCGACTGGACAAAACTTCTGTGCGTCCCCAACCCATTCTCATACATTCTAAAGTGCATTGAAAAACTTATTTCATAGGATCTATACTTCCTAATACACGCTCTGGGATGCCTATATTCTCTGTACCTGTCGATGCGATATGATATGACTCGGCAGACCAGCAGCAATGCGCCCCGTAATCCCCAAACGCGGCGAAAAAGAGTACGAACCACGGGCAGGCGTAGGCAACGCTTCAAGCCTCCAACAACACGTCCTAGACCGTTCACGCAACGCCATGTTCGAAACGCTTCGAGCTACACGGACGACGTCCAGGTACCCTGTTCCCTATTCCTGATCTACACTTAAAAATCCTAACTCCCTTTGATTTTAATAAAACACCAGCAAAGCCATAAGCTACGCAATCTGGCACCCCTCCCTCTCCCGCGCAGAAGTAACCCTCAACCGCGGAATCCACTTCTCCTCAATGGGCCATTCCGCACCACGCACAATACCCACCACCTCCACCGGTGGTACCCCAAAAGTCCACAAACGCCTCGAACTCCTCCCAGAAGAAGCCATCTACCTAATCGAACGCGGGTCTCTCTTCTGCTGGAAATGGGTAGAGGGTCTGCAAGACCAACTAGCCCAAGACGAAAAACTCGAAAATGTAGCTGGGGCACCGATGAGTGTCCAACAGGCTTATGCGGAGATGATTGGGAAGGAGGATTTGACGTTGGAGAAGTTCCAGGTGCGTATTTATTTATCGGTCTATTCCGGCCTTTTATGGGGTGTGCAGAGGACGCAGTCTGACGATTAGACGCAGGTCTTTGCATACCTTAGAAGACTAGGCTACGTCGTAACCCGCACGGAACCTCCAACACCCTATTACCCAGTCCCACCTCCCCTCACCCTCACATCGTCAAAACCCACCATCCTCCAACGGATCCGACGCCTCTTCACCACATGCCTACGCACCTTCACAAACCTATTCACACGATTCAACTGGTGGCACCCCCTCAACTTTAGCTGTCTCAGCAAGAACGACAAGAACTACAGTGCGTCTATCTACCCTCTCTTCAAACCCTTTCATCCCCATCCCACGAAGTGCAAATACTGACCCAAACCCCCTGTGTTACAGCCCACATCTTCCGCTCCCTCCGCTTCATCCCCTCCGGACATAGCGTACCCCTCAAAAACACTACCGCACTCCCCCCATCAAGCCCCTACAAAATCTTCTACAACATCTACAAACCCTCTACTCCATTCAAGAAGAGTAACCCCCCTCCACCGGATTTCCAGATGGTCGTTGTCAAGTATGTTTTTCTTTTCATCATGCTCATCACCACTGCCTTTTTTATTCTCTTATACCTACTGCTTCATTCTCTCCCATCTTCCATCTTACTCTCCTTTTTCTCCAATCCCTCCGCACGCACATCCCGCCTCCAAACCAACTAACCAACTAATACCTCACCTCCCACCCTTCAGCGCCCGAACAACACCAATCCCCACCCTCCAAGAACTAACCTACCTATTCGACATCTCACCCGAACTCCCACCTCCAGTCCCCCGACAACGGTACAACCCCCTACAGGGTAAACCGCCCAAGCTCAAGTCTAAACCTGGTTCATCTTCTCCAAAGGGATCTTCAGCTCCGGGTGTGGATTCGAAGGGCTCAGTAACTCCGGGTGTGGATTCGACAGCCACAGCCACAACCTCAACCTCGCACAAACCCACGCTCTCAATCGCACAACGCCTCCTCCCGTGGTTCTTCCCCCCACCTCCACCTCAAGCTACGACTACAAGTCAACCCTCCAAACCGAGACCAACCAACCCATTCATGGCTCTCAAATCAGGAAAAAAGATGGTGCTCATCGCAGCCGTCGATTCCGGGAATATCAGTTTCTTTAGGTTCAGCCAGGGCAAGTTCGCGGAGTGGCCTATGGCGTGAGGAAGGAGAGGGTAAGAGGAGGCGTAGGGAATCTTGGTGTGATGATGGTGTAAGTTATCCGTATGTACTCAGTATGCAAACATGTGGATTGCTGTTGTCAACTTTGCAACAAACGCTAGTAAGAAACCAAATAAATCGTCCATTGCGATAAACAAAAAAAAAAAAAAAAAAATCTGCTACTTGGTCTAAAAACAAAAAAAGTAAACGACAGATGGCCGACGCTCTACAAACTCCAAAGAGCCAAAAGCACAACGAAAGAAAACAAGGTCCTTTGGCTATCCACAAAGTTCGAAATCGACGAAGCACCAGAATTTTCAGATCCAGTGGTAGGCCCACCAGTAGCCTGAGGAACTCGTCCTCCATTCCCAATGTCCGTAGCACTCAAAGCAAGGGTATACGTGGTTTCACTTGTCGCGCTTGGTGGGATGCGTGTGACCGTCCGTGGAACTTCAGTCTCGACGTGGCCTGTTGGCGGTAGTTCGAGGGTTTCTGGAAGTGGAAGTGGCTGTCAGCATCGGAAAAAGAGAAAGGGAAACAGGAAAGCTTACGCTCAAAGTTGCCTCCATTATTCCTCGCGTCTCGGACAGCTTGCAAGAGCAACTCGTTCGCGTTATCGGGCACGTTCGAAAGAATGCCTATCCGCGGCGGGTCGACGCTGGGATGGGTAAGGTTGCCGTAATGGAACGCGACAAGGTTGCTGGTAGCGCGGAGGTTAGACCATGCAAGTGAGAACACGATGGCGAGGACTCACGATCGGAAGAAGGGGGCACCAAGACTCCACCTATACAAGGCCGAGATGGTAGGCGCATCGGTAGAAACGAGGTTATCAGCTACGCAGTCTCGTGCGTTGTTGGGTTCGATCTGGCCAATGAAGTCTCTTGGGTCAATGGGGAACATCTAAATCGAGTGGTTAGTCATGCTCCAACAGCGCGCCTAGAATGCCACTTTACCTTGCCACCAATCTCAAAGGCGAGGGTCTGAGGAATTTGGCAGGGGAACGAAGGTAAGGAATTGGCATTGTCGGGATCGAAATTGGGCGAAACGGTCGTAAGGATGTTGTTCACTACGTCTTCAGGTCCTCTGAGGATCGAGTTGCCCTACAAGAGGCAGAAATTAGCCGGGTAGCATAAAGGGAGAGAACGGGCGTCGTACCGTATCAAGCAGTGCCGAATTCCTCCTAGAGTCCATCCCATTTCTAGCTGGAATAGTAGAATCCGGAAGTCTTCGACCATTGAGATAAACGCCGTCAATGTCGATCTCCCAGCGGCTGCAATTAATTAATCAGAAGCAGCCCTCAGCTAACAATGCGAACAGCTTCACTTACAATGGATACACCTCGTTGGGTGCAAAATTCGGAGGCCTCATTCCACCTTCGGTAGCATTGTAGAGACGGATGGGGACCCAGGTAAGCGTCGAATTGTCGATCCCGGGCGGGAGTCGGCCAATCGTGAGGAGACCTTCGCCTTCGATATCGATCGTGCTTCGTTGGAGCGTCACCTGGGTGGAGCGGATGAGACATTTAGACTTCCACAATTGGAGCTGAAAACTTACAGTGAACATAGGCATCTGGAGTTCGCCAGTCATGGATATCCGAGAAAGCAATGGCCCGTCGGTGTAGGTTGCAGCAATCAGGTCGTCGGTGGGGAACAAAGATCCTGTCTACAAGGAAAATCGAACGTCGTTCTTACAGTTTCGTAACGAGATAAACGCACCCTGGTATTCGTCAAAGCAGACTGTACCTTGCTTCCACTCGGAAATCCCAAACCAAAGATTCCCGAGGTCCCAAACATCACGACAGGGTTGTCCGTGTCATTCACCACTCCGAACGGCTGGTCTACCATCGCAACGCCAGCAATCGTGGCCGTGTCTAGCGCTACTTCACCAAAGGCAAAGGTACCAGTGGTGGAGTCTCCGTAGAACATTTGGACGTCGGTTTGGGTTGAACGCATGGAGGAACGGGGGTAGCGGGGAATGGGAGAATTGGCGCATGCATTGGTGGTGCAGCGGTCAGAGGCAATCCAAAGGTCACTGGACCCTGTGTCTGTAAAGGAATGAGGGAATGTAGCTGGGATACGTGAAGGCGTCTACGCACCAATGTGCAGAGGTGCGACCGTATTGCCAATCCTCATTGGAACTGTGTAAAGCCTGCGTTTCGTTCAGGAAAATTACGGGCCATAAACAAAATGACACTCACAAATCTGCATTGTTCCCCAAACCAATAGACCCGCTGACTTCTCCTCTTCTCGACAACTTCCTCGGAATGCTCCTGACTTGGATGGGCAAGTCGTATCCTCCATCTCTCTTCTCCACTGCGTCTCTTGAGCCGGAATAGGACGAAGGAAGCGCCAAAACCTGCCAGAGACACAGCACAGAGATCACAACCGTCGTCGTCCAAATGCGAGAGCCATCGTTAAAGACCATGTTGGATATCAAGTAGGCTCGACCAGGAGATGATAACGTTTCCAATGAACGACTGCGTATCAATCAATACGAAGCGCACAGCACTCGAGAAAATAAAATAAAGGAGAAAACGAATGAAAGGAAGGGGGGAGGAAGAGAGAGAGACAGGAAGGTGGAGGTGAGAAACGAAGCAAGGGCCTGCATGACAATTGGTTTAACCCGCCGGCGAACGGAGGCTATGAAGCTTCTTTCTGATGATCGTCACCGAAAAAAGATACCGCTGAAGTCGGTGCAAAAAGTTGCTAGGGGAAATTTGAAGCGTTTGAATATAAAGCGGCCTTTGGACCTGTATTTCGTCCAGGTACGAGGAGGCACACGACCGCTAACTGGATGTGTATAACGCCTTCCATCGAAATTAAAGGAAAGCAGACGCGGGTGCAGATTTTAGCCGAGAAAGGCTTGGCGCGTCTTGGAAACCATCAATCCTCCGTGACGACGCGCTCTTGGATTGGGAAAGCCGGCCCCTATGTCCATCATGACGCGCCTTGGCCAGTTGAGCTCATTCTCAATGCAGCGTTGTGTGGGGTTGCAGTCACGGCGTGGTCGTGAAGGACCTCCAAATCTGCGCGAGCTTTGAGTTAGTTCCGTTGCACAGCGCCACAAGATGCATTCTTACCTCACTTCAATTCCATCGAAAAAGGCATAGCGAAATGCATGTGATGCAACGGTCGCCCTGTTGCTCTTGGTCTAGGACGTCGTTTCTCCCATCTTGGTCAACGGCGGGCAAAGAAAACTTGACTTCGAGGTCAAAGAAAGGCACTGCGAGCAGAGATGAGAGGCGAAGGAAAAAAGGGACGATCGCGAATCGCGTTGTAAGTACCGAGGATGCGATGTTTGGTTTTGTTTAACGACGATCTGCCTTCAATGCTCCCCAAGCGTGCGCCTCCAAGGCCATCGAAATGCACGAAACCCGTGAGTCCAAAAATACAACATCCATTCCCATAAAAGATGGGTGCTAGACTACATCAATCTCTTCGAGTAAATACAAGAGGCACACGAACAGGCCTGAAATTCGCCAACCATCAAACCTCCTTCCAACATGAAAAAAGCGAAACCAAAACACTCACGTCAGCGTTACACCACCAGTGGTAGCAAGCACCCTCTCCTTCCTCTGCTCAAACGTCTCCGAAGCGAACTGAGGTTCCTCCAGAACCGTCACCTTGTATTTCTGGATGAGCATCGTAATGACTGCTACGGCTTCCGTTTCGGAGAATCTTATCACCACCAGGGAGTGTTAAGAAGAGAATATAGTCGATGGTAGATACTCACTTTCGACCAAGACACGCCCGAGCCCCAGCACTAAACGGAATAAACGCGTCTTTATCCCATTCACCCAAAAATCGCTCCGGTTTGAACGCATGCGGATCTTTCCAGTACCGCGCTGCATCCCCAACGACACCAGTTACATAAATTAGCACTAACCACCCAACTTGCAGAAAGGAAAAAGTATTGTTTGTCGACTCACGATTGTAGTGAAGACCAGCCATATCAACAGACAAATTAGTCCCCTTTGGTATCGCGATCGTTTTAGTTTCTCCTTTTGGATTTCCAATGACCAAAGTGGTGTCTTCGGCGGCGTATTTGGGGACCCATGGGACGGGTGGGAAGAGGCGGAGGGCTTCGTTGAAGACACTATCCTGTATATCAGTAAAAACTACACATGGAGATTTGGAGAAAGTTTACGCCATGGAATGTGTTAGAAGAGGCATGTCGTCGTACGTCTGACCGGTCTCTGTCAGCAAGACAAAGATGAAGTCTGACATGTATAACTCACCGGATCCCTCCCATCGGGCAGAACAGACTTGATATGCTCATACAGCGCCTCCTGCTCATCCTGATACAAAGCCAGCAGCGCAAACGCAAAACACAGCGCATGCGCAGTCGTCTAGTCGCAGCCTCCCAATCAGAACTCCCACTATCCTGCGCCAATTCAAGCAACGCTCACCTCATGTCCAGCAACCAACAGAATGAAAATATTCCCTAAAGAAAAGAAGAACTCGATAAACTGACTACACCTCAACACAACTCGAATAAACTTACCAAACAGCTCCACATCATCCAATGTCTCACTCTTCACCTCCCCCCTCGTATTCTTCAACAGAATACTAAAGAGATCATCCCGGTCCATATCCCCCGACTCGACTCGCTCACGAAGCATCTCCTTCATATACACCTACCAGCATAACCCCCAAAGTCAGCAAGCGATTCACGAACGACACGCAATCCCAAATACTCCAAGTTTGTGGCAGATGACACTCGAAACTCACCCCAACTTCCTCAAACGACACCCGAATCCCCTCCAACCTCTCACTAACCCCCATCCCCAAGAGCCAATCCGGTATAGCAGCTTTCATCATAATATTCCCGCACGCATCATGTATCGCTTTCTTGAACGTAAGCTTATGCCCTCCACCGGCAACTTCGTTTTCCTGGTTCCACGATGTCTTGGCTCCAAATACTATAGTCCGAAATCGAATATGGTCAGAGTGGGGGATGAGGAGTGGAGAGGGTAAGGTGTGAGACGTACGAACCAGCAGAACCAAGTACCGAAAGCGCGATCTGAAATACACCCCATCAGAAGAGTCAGTACTTCACCACCCCGTCCTAACAAGATCCTACTCACCGCCAACGTAATCTCATTACAATGCTCAACTACCACCCTCTGCCCTCCCCCATCCTCCTTCCACCCCCACACATCCCCAACCAACTCCCTCACAACCCTCACACTCTCCCTCCACACAAACCTATTATTCCTATCCGTAAAACCCGGAGCCACCAACCTCCTATACTTCCTCCACTCCTCATCCTCAGTAGTCACAACACTAGGTCCATAAATCTCCAACTTGTCGTAGAGCTCAACGGGTTTGGGGAATCGGGAGCGGGAGGAGAGGATTTCTTTGGAAGCACTGGCGTCGGCGATGGCGTAGCTTATTTTGGGGCCTTCGAGGTAGGAGACCTAATGAGCGAGGAAGGAGGAGGAAGAGTGTTAAGACGTTGGGGGAGTGGTGCGGTAGTGGTACGTACCTCAGCGTAAGCATCCCATCCATAATACTCGAACACTAACAACAATCCCAATCAGACTCCATCCACTCCCCCACGCACAAAATCCCACAAAATCCCCACTCACATTTATATTTATCCTTAAAAAAGTGATTCCACCCTGCCGCAACACCAGGAATAGAAGGGAGAACAATATGTCCAATCACACCCTGCAACGAAAACGCCCGGCGAGGACCAGGATGGGAACTAGTACATCCGTCGCGCACAAAATAAGCGCCCACATCATTAGTCGCGCAAGTTGCAGTTATATGTAACCCGAACCGAAAAGCCATACGCACTGAATCGACCCCAAAGCTCTCCAAAACGACACAACCCTCCGACACACCCAAATCGCAACCAAAGACGTCGCGACGAGGTACACAGGACTCGGCGGCATGTCTGTCGTGCAAAGCAAATCCGCCTGCGACGCGTTCGAGAAGCCTACTCTCTGCCTGGCTAGCCGAACAAGGGGCAGAATGAACGAAGGGAGGGCAACCAACCCTTTTCGTAACACCATTCATTCAAAAACGCGATGTTTATATGGATGCCCTGCTCGGGTGTTATACACTGACAGTATACCTGATCCTGTATGTCGGAACAATAGTGGAGTCTTCTTCGTCCGCCACGGCACGTCCGAGTCTAAACTTATCGTGGCAAGCAGATGATCAGCCGTGTGCTTGTGTGGGTCCTCAGCGTTATCAATCCCTGGCAGTCGGCGGCGTCTGATCCATAACCGCAGCATGAACGTGTCCAGGGTTCGATGCAGACTCCTAAATAAAGGAAACAGAATCGCATCGGTATTGGCATAAAACCAAACTACACTCTCAACCAAGCTCAATCTCTCCTGGTAAAAACAAGCGGTACTCGAACAGGCCTGCCCAAACGAACGCCAATCAGCTTCCTCAATCCCGAACGGAGAACGGCGACAAAAACCACTCACGTCACAGTAACCCCAGAATAATTCTTCAAAATCCTCTCCTTCCTCTGCTCAAATGTCTCAGAAGCAAACTCTGGCTCTTCCTTGATCGTAATCTTGTACTTGGACACGAGCATAGTGATGACCGCCACCGCTTCAGTTTCCGCGAACCTGCAACAAACGTCAGCGGATTTTTGAAAGAAAGATAGCAATGGGAAGGCTGACTTTCGACCAATGCACGCCCGTGCACCAACGCTGAACGGAACAAACGCGTCGCGCGGCCAGTCACCCAAGAACCGCTCAGGCCTAAACTCCTCGGGGTTCTTCCAATAGCGAGCTGAATGAACGTATGTTAGAAATGAGTTGAAGACTCTGCGAAACGACTTACGGTTATGGTGCAATCCAACAGCATCGATGGTGAGGTAGGTGCCCTTGGGAATAGGAATAGTCTTCGTCTCGCCATTTTGGTTACCAATCTCCAAAGTGGTATCCTCTGCAGAGTATTTGGGGATTCCAGTCACCTGAAAACGAGATTAGCTTGCTGTGATAAAGGGGAAAGAAACCTGGCGCCTACAGGTGGGAAGAAGCGTAGGGTTTCATAGAAGACGCTATTCTGGGATGAGTATACCACGCGGACGCTGCCACAAAGTCGCCACTTACGCCATGGAATGCGTCAAGCGATTCATATCTTCATACGTCTTGAATCACGAGTCAGGTAAGTCCCGGATTGCACTGTGATTGTAGAACTTACAGGTGGCTCATCATCAGTAAGAACCGACTTGATGTGCTTGTAAAGTTTCTCCTGCTCGTCTGGATAGAGTGCCAACAGAGCAAACGCGAAGCAAAGCGTGTGGGCGGTTGTCTACTTGTATCTCAGCTTCAGTCCATCGGAAAAGTGGGAGATGCATACCTCGTGGCCAGCAATCAAGAAGATGAACGTGTTCCCTGGGATGGATGAATACCGCGATGGGAAGGGTAAGACGCACAAGTACTTACCAAGGATCTCGGTATGCGTAAGTTTCTCAGAGTCGTCCTTGAAGTCTCCTGTGCTCGAAGCAAGCAACAAACTGAACAAATCATCTCTGTCCGAGTTGGGGGAGGACAACCGCTCTTGAAGCATCTCGTTCATATAAAGCTAAACAGGTGCACTATCATCAGTTGTCTCCTCACAAATGAAAACTAAGCTACTCACTCCCAATTCAGCGAAAGCCATCTGAGTGTCCCTTCCTCGTTTGGTGAGTGGGAGGGCCCATTTGGGCACGGCAATGTTGAACATAAGATTCTTCGAGACGCTGTGCGTTGCTTCCTTGAAGGAGAGCTGATGCCCTGGTCGAACGGTATCCTCCTTCCAAGTCATTCGGCTTCCGAACCCTATACATCGCCCAAAGTGAGTGCATAATCTAGGCCAACGGAGAAAGGCTACAAACCGGCACCACCGAGAACGTAAAGGGTAATCTATACAAGTCGCGTTAAATGCCAGAATCCAAGTGCACAGACCGCCGAACTTACTGGCATGGTGAGCTCGAGGCAATGGTCAATCTCGATGGACTTCCTGTCGCCCCATACATCCTCGAATAGATCACTGAGAATTCGAACGGTTTCTGACCACACGAGCCTGTTGCTACGCTAACGAAATTATCAGAAACACACAGAACGGAAGTGTGATCAAGTTGAGACACTCACGTCCGCAAATGCAGGCGACACCAACTTCTTATACTTCTTCCATGTATCTCCCTCGACAGTGAGGATATTCTGACCATAGATCGCCAAAACTTCATAGTGTTCGGTAGGCTTGGGGAACCGCGTGCGCGACGCGGCGACTTCCTGGATAAGCATCTCGGATGAGCCTGCGTCACCCATGACACACTTCAATTGCTCTAACCTTGATAGCAGCAGCATCGGCTAGGACATAGACGACGGTCGACTTGCCGAACCAAGAGACCTCCGCGTACGCGTCCCATCCGTAACGAGCATACTCTGCAATGTACAGCGATGTTTAGTGTCTATTCGCGATCAATCGAGGGCGAATATGACGCACGCCTAAATTTATCCAGCAACAAGTGGTTGTGTCCCGCTGCGACTCCAGGGATGGGAGGGAGGATGTCGCTGCCCCAAATGCCATATGAGGTCAAGGCTCTTCGAGGTCCTGCATGGTGACTTGTCGATTGCAAAGGCGGAATCGCCCATTAGGCGTTAGCCAACGGTCCGGCGGGACGAAGACGAATGAATTAGACGCACCCAATAGATCTAAGCGACTTCCAAAACGCCACAATTCTCTGTACAACAAGCAGCACGAATCCAAGGGCGGGTAGGAGAAGCGGGTCCATGGTCAACAACGACCAAGTGGTGGTGGAGAGAGTGAAAAACAAGCGTCGATACAGCGAAGCACCTTGACGAGTCGAATACACGGTCGCTTTATGCCCGACTTAGGTTGGTGATAGGTGTGAGACCCTTGGAGCAATGGAAGGAAAGTGAGTGGGACTCGCGGCGCCCGTTTGACGTGAGCGAATTGACAAATCAATACAATCTCAGTCGAGAGATGTCCTTTGCTGGCCAACAACGGTGTCTTCAGGTCGTTTGTTTCGTGGGTGTTTTAAGTCCAGAAATGGTGGGTTGTATCACGGCAATCAGTCCGAACGCTGCTGTGTGTTGCCCAACGGTGCCAGTCACGGCTTGCTCGACTCCGGAATCCAAGAGACATTGAAAGTTCGATGGTTTCCTTCTTCCATGTTTGCCCATCAAAGTCATGGGCTAGAGATGAATACGCACTAAGCGGTAATTCGGGACAGGAAGACCGGAGCACTGGTCTCCATTGAACTCATCGCGTACCCATCATAATCCCAATGAACCCCGTCACCGTCTCCAAAGCACCGAATCGAATCGAGACCATGCACCAGTTGCCGTCGTTTCCATCATTCACACTGCCGTTCCTGCCACCTGGATAGTAAAGGTTGGAAAAATGATTCGATTGGAGCTTGAGAGGGACGTTGACGGTGGAAAGAAGAGGGCGGGATGGTGTGGGTTCAAGTTCGCATCGGGCGTGTAGCGCATCAAATGTTCGCATCACAGGCTCGGCATTTTCCACTCCTACGAATAGGGGCCGGTAGCGACCGCGAAAGCAGCTCCAACTCGTCACTCATAGCTCATTCAAGGTATAGAGATACAAAAATTAGTTTATGACATAAATACCATCTCTTAACTTAATCCCTCCTCGTAAACACAAGCGGTACACGGACAGGCCTGCAAAAAATAAACCCCGCATTCAGTTCAGTCTCTCACCAAGACGAAAACCAGAGATGAAGTACGCACCCGAGAGTAATATCAAGCTTAGTATTCAAAACCCTAGCTTTCCGCTGCTCAAAAGTCTCCGAAGCAAACTGCGGCTCCTCCTTAATCGACACTTTGTACTTTGAGACCATCAATGCGAGAACGGCTATTCCTTCGGTTTCGGTGAATCTAAAAGACGAGCGTAAGTAAATGGCTGGGGTCAGGCTGAGTTGGTGTGGTCAGCTTACTTTCGTCCAGAACATGCTCGGGGACCTATGTATGGCCTATGAGCGGTGCGACGAGACGAAAAGACGATATCGCTTACCAGCACCAAAAGGCAGGAATGCATCCCTCGGCCAATCACCCAAAAATCGGTCAGGTCGGAATTCTTCAGGATCTTTCCAATACCGTGCTACAAGCCAGACCAGTGTGTTAGCCCTTCTCCCTACACCAAGGAGTGACGCTCGCACTCACGATTATGATGGATTCCAGGGACCGAGATAGTCAAATACGTTCCCTTTGGCACTGGGACAGTCGTACTCTCGCCAAACTGGTTGCCAATAACCAACGACGTATCCTCCGAGGCTAGTTTTGGAATTCCAGGTACCTATGAAAGGTGTAAGTACGGGATCCTCGCAGAGGCTCCAGCTAATACCCACTGGAGGGAAGAGTCGAAGGGCTTCGTAGAAGACACTTGAGGCCAATATTCAGCGCATTAGTACCACCTTGATTGAGACGCGAACTTACGCTAGGCATCGAGTCAAGAGAGGCATATCCGCATACGTCTAGGGTGCATTATGAGCAAGTAAACACAATGGAGCATCAGAGGGACGTACAGGGATCCGCTTATCCGTCAGAACCGAACAGACATGCTCATACAAGCGCTCCTGTTCATCCTGGTAAAGTGCGAGTAGAGCGAAAGCGAAACATAGCGTATTTGCTGTCGTCTATAATCAAAGTCAGTATACACTCATCGCGCCATCCAGAGAGCGGGTGTCCTTACTTCATGCCCAGCAATGAGGAAAATAAAAGCATTTCCTGTCAAAAACCATTCAGCAACTCCTCACTCCTACCATCCCAAACCAAACGCACCAAGGATCTCGCTACGATCAAGCCTCTCCCCATCCTTCGCATCCTCCATACTCGAAGCCATAAGCAAACTGAACAAATCGTGTCTTTCAGAATTCCTCGAGACAAGTCGTTCCTGAAGCATCTCATTCATATAATCCTTCAAAGGGAACGTCAGCCTCAACTCTTCGCAATGACGAAGAACGCGAAACTCACTCCAAGCTCCTCAAACGCAAGTCGCGATTCCCGCAGACGCGCGGTTAAGCCCATGGCCCAGCTGGGGACGGCGGCCTTGATGATGAGGTCCGACGACGCGCGGTGCAACGCATGTTTGAAAGAGAGCTTGTGGCCTTTTGGAATCTCTTCGTCTTTCCATGACATATGGTTACCCAAGCCTAAAGGCACATTGAATTCCTCCTGTTTTCGTTTTGAGAATAGCAGATACTTACCAGCACCGCTGAACACGAAGAGAGTAATCTATGTAAGTCTACGTGTCAACGAAAGGCCAGCACCTAGATCTGAATTGGTACGCACCGGCAGAGTAATGTCCAGAAAGTTATTAACCTCAATCGTCTTTTTGTCCCCCCACACATCTTCAAACAACTCCAACACAAGCCGAATCGTCTCCGACCAAACAAGCCTATTATTTCTCTAGAAACCAAGGGAGTCATCAGAACACCATGCTACTAATCCTCAGCTCCTCGAACCAAATGAACACTCACATCCGTAAAAGCCGGAATAGTCAACTTCTTATACTTCTTCCACTTCTCTCCTTCAACCATCAAAACATTCTCCCCATACACATTCAACACACTGTAAATCTCCGTAGGTTTCTGGAATCGTTGGCGATTGGACGTGACTTCCTGTAAGGTAAATCAAGTAGTCTAAGTTCGGAACACGCTACATAATCAAAATGGAAGTAGCTCAACTGACTTTGAGAGCGCCGGCGTCGGCGAGGACGTAGGTGACGGTGGGTTTTCCGAACCAGGACACCTGAGACCACAAACGCCAATGAGGATGTGTTTCAATGCTCGCGAAGGTGATAAACACGTACCTCTGCATAGGCGTCCCATCCGTAATAGTTGAACACTGTTGAACAGCCCCAATGAGTTCCACCCCTTTAACAAGCTTTCCGACTCGAACGACATACGCTTCATCTTTGCTTTGTACAAGTGGTTCAAGCCAGCTGCAAGACCTGGCCAGGGTGGAAGTACCGCGCTACCCATGGTACCCGTCAGAGATACTGCTCGACGAGGTCCTGGGTGGAAGCTGGGTAGAGTAAACAGTGCGTCAGCATTCACAAACGCGAACAAGAAGTCCAAGTTTAGAGCGCTTACTTGACAGTCTTCATAGCCTTCCAAAAGGCTATCACCTTCTGAAGAACCACCACCAGACCAAACGAGACCAGCAGGAGAGCTATGGACTGCATCGTGGAAGGAGTCTTCGGACAGGTCGAGCGCGGCGATGGCGACGGCGACGAGGACGATGAGCACGAAGCTCGAGTAAGTAAGGGAAAGGAGTGAAAAGGAAAAGTGAGGTGGGAGCGCTACATTTCCTGAGCGCTCATATGTATCAGATCGAAAGCGAATCACAAGTTTGTTTACGTTGGCGTTGATGAGCGCTGGATTCCTGTGCAGTGATATCAGTTTCAGGTGTCCGTACAGTGGCATCAGAGCCTACCACGGAGGCAAAATGAGATCAAAACGCGGATATGTAGTAAGAGCACAAGCACAAGGGCAATCTGAGGGAAATCCATCATTTTATCCTTGATGAAAGAGCATTGTTCGTCAAAGTTGAGTGTTCAAATGCTTCGACGTTCAACCAGAGTCTTCGGTTTATGACGGCCGCCCATGAGCGCTTGAGCGCCCATTGCGGGGAGCCAAGGCTCCGAGTAGAGCTGAGCGCGTAAGTCGAAGTTCAAGTTGGCCGTTGCAGCCGAATCAGAGCGGAGTCCATCGGAGTTGTTGGAGAGCCAGCGCCCACTGCCAGGCTCCGAGTCCTTGTCCCCTTCCCGGCGCTAAATATGGCTCTTAAATAAGGGCATGCAGAATCCGCGTCACCCGTCTGCCATTTCAGCTTTCTGCGTTCTCATTCATGGAGAATTCCATTATTGGTACATCCGGAGAGTCTGAATGCACAGTATGTGCCTGCGCGTCCACTGCAGCCTGCTGCACCCGTGGCTAATCGACTTTTCTGCAGGATATCGACGGACATGAATCATCATGTATGCAGCTCGCGAATCGCATGTCCTGTGATGAGCGCCCTCGCTGACCATATCCCAAGGTGGATCCACTCAAGGCGAGGACGAGCTGGAGGGAGCATTGTCCCGCGTAAATGAACTATTGGACGAGGCCACGAAGGAGATGGACGATGGTGTTCTCGCAAACGTGATCGTTGTGTTGCGGAAGAGCAGCCCTGAAGAAGAATGCGACGAAGCGCGGGCGAAGGTTGAAGTTGCCTTGATCAAAGCCCTTGTAACCCGGTTCGCTCGACATGGATTGGTGGAGGACTTGGATGAAGGGGTAGAACTTTTGCTGAGAGAGACGTTAACTCCTTTCGCATTCACGGTGAGCGGCAGTGCGTGAGCTGCATTCAATCACGCGGCGAGCTAAAAAAATAATGCACAGGATCAGTCACCTATCTCAGGTTCAGAGGACGAAGACTGCACCGACAAAGTCTCATCCGCCCTTGATTCTCTCCGAAAATATCGACGATCAATCGACATGTCCAAGGTAGAGACCGCCATCGTGGTCGCCAAACAGGCTCTCTCCTCGTATCGTGACGCGACAAATGTTCGAGGCGAACTATTGCTCCGGACTGGGAATGCATTGGTTCTGAAGTACCTGGCGTCCGATGATGAGAGACACCTGGGTCTGGCCGCGTCGTCTTTTCAAGATGCTAGACGGCTTTTCAGAAGCGGTGATCACGATCCGATGCTCTTCATTACCCTTCTCAATCTCCAGCACATTGCATGCATCAAGTTCATAGAGCATGAACGCCAGGAGTTGGTGGAGTTGAAGCGGTTGCGAGAAGAAATGGAGGCGGAGGACGAACAAGGGAGGAGCGCACACATGATGGGATCCCAGCTGATGGAGGACGGTAACCTTCACGTAGAGGAAGCTATCCTATGGTTCCAACACTCCCTTTCATTCCGACCGCCACGGCATCCAAGACGCCTGAGGACACTGGACCATTATGCCATTGCCCTAGTTAACCGATTTGGTTCTATGAGCGATAGCCGCGACCTGGAAGAAGCTGTCACATTGCAAAGGGAAGTGCTCTCTTCCCGTTCTCCGGGCCACCCCGACCGCCTAGGCTCGCTCAACAACTTGGCAAGCTCGCTTTCGACCCGGTTCCACCACGAAGGCGACTTGCGCGACCTGGAGGAGTGCATCACGTTGGACAGGGAAGCGCTCGCTCTCTGCCCTCCAGGCCATCCCGACCACTCCGGCTCACTCAACAACCTGGCAACCTCCCTTCTCACCGTGTTCCTGCACAAAGGCGATGTCCGCGACCTGGAAGAGTGCGTCGCATTGAACAGAGAGGCGCTCGCTCTCCGCCCTCCAGGCCACCCCGACCGTCACCGCACCCTCAACGACTTGGCAACCTCCGTTCTCACCCGATTCCAGCACAAAGGGGACTTCCGTGACCTGGAGGAGTGCATCACATTGAACAGGGAAGCACTCGGTCTGCGATCTCCAGGCCATCCCGACCGGCCCCGCTCCCTGAACATCCTGGCATTTTCGCTTGTCACCCGGTTCCGCTACGAAGGCCACTTTTGTGACTTGGAGGAGGGTATAACATTGGAAAGAGAAGCGCTCGTTCTCCGCCCTCCAGGACACTCTGACCGCGCCAGCTATCTCCACAACCTGGCAACTTCCCTTCTCACCCTGTTCCAACACAAAGGCGATTTCCATGACCTGGAAGATTCTGTTTCATTGCACAGGGAGGCGCTCTCTCTCCGCCCTCCGGGCCACCCCGAACGCCCACGCTCCCTCAACGACTTTGCAATTACGCTTTCTGCCTGCTTCGAACACAAAGGCGATTTCTGCGACCTGGAGGCCTGCATTGAGGCCTTGCGTGAGGCCCGCCTTTTGTATTCAGAACTGGATACTTCTCTCGGAGCCGAGCCCAATTCCCGCGACACGCTAGCTGATCATCCCTATTGGCTTAGTGTAACCGGGAACCTTGTGAACAACCTCAAAATCAAGTACCGGGCAACTGGTGACGACGATGTCCTGGATGAAATATTCCAGCTTCTCAGGTCTGGCTCTCAGTCGCATGGGACATTGCCATTGCGGAGGCTAGACCATGCAAGGCTCTGGAGTTCAACTTGCCGGGAGTTCGACCGTTTAGAAATGGCGCTGGAGGCTTATGGATATGGAGTAGCCACTCTCCCCCACTTGGCGTCTCTTGATCTCACACTGGAACAGCGCCAGAACGCTCTCGTCTGGGCCAAAGACCTGTCCAGGGACGCAGTGCGGTGCGCCATTGAACAAGGCCAATTAGAGACAGCCGTTGTCTTTCTCTCCACCGCGCGATCTGTCTTCTGGTCTCAAGCCTTCCAGTTCCGGGGGCCTCTCGACCGACTGGACGCCCTCCATCCTGATTTGGCGTCGGAACTGCGATCCGTTACTCGCCAGCTGGAAGTCGCGACCCACGAAACCCCTCAGTCTGGCTCAGCATCGGTTCAGGGCCTGTCGCAGCGTCCATACCTTCTCGCCCAGAAGAGAGAAGCAGTCATTTCACAGATTCGAGCCATCGACGGCTTCCATGACTTCCTCCTCCCTCCTTCCTTCGACACGCTCAGGACCGCTGCCAGGGATAATCCGATTGTCTTTCTTAACGCCAGCAAGTATGGATGCGATGCCCTGATCCTGAAACAGGATGGCGCTTTGCATTGTCACTCACTCTCCACCGATCTGGAGCAAATAGCTGGTTTCGCAGATGCGATCCACCAGTTATCGCGAGGACAGACAGTGGGCACTCAACTCCAGCGCAAGATTGACGACTTTTGTCAAAGTCGAAATACGCGCTTGCAGTTACGGCGTAGAACCCAACGTACGGCTGAGGATGACTTTAAGCAGCTTCTTGAGATCCTCTGGGATGTGGTAACGGAGCCGGTCATCAGAATTCTGGGATTGCAGAAGGTATGATCTTGATCGCCATTCACTTGACCCGAATTTTGCTGACTGGCCTCTCAGACTGATGAACCGCAAAGGGTATGGTGGTGTCCAACGGGCCCGTTCGCCTTTCTTCCCATCCATGCCGCTGGAATCTATTCTGATAATGCTGAAGCGTCGGACTGTCTATCCGATTATGTCGTTTCGTCTTATTGCTCTTCGCCGCAAGACCTCATAGCGCCGCCGCCAACACCGAATGACGAATACGAAGTGCTCGTTGTTGTCGAACCAGGAGAGTCAGGGCCGAGTATACACAGCCTTCCCTTTACCTTGGAGGAATTGAAAATGATTCAAGGCCTAGTTCCCCACGAGAGGCATTTGGTCACCCGCGTAGGGTCAGCAGAGACTCCCTCCGATCCCGACGCGATTTTGGGACACATCAATACTGCATCTATCGTTCACCTTGGATGCCACGGGTCTCAAGATGATTCGAATCCTTTGGATAGCTCATTAATCCTCAGCGGGGGTCGTCTGAGCATGGGTTCGCTGATACGAGGTTGCCGCACCTCCAAAGCTGCCCTTGCCTACCTAAGCGCCTGTGAGACGGCAATGGGAGATAAAGAACGCCCTGACGAATCTCTCTCTCTGGCCGGGACTATGCAGTTCGCGGGATTCCGAAGTGTAGTCGCGACCATGTGGTGCGTCCATCCCATTATTTCTGAGTCAATGCGCAAGGATTTTGTAACTGACGATGGCTGGAACCAAAGGTCAATCCACGACGAAGATGCGCCCGTCGTGGCTGATGCTTTCTATCGCCATCTCTTCCGTCGTGGTACAGCGGCCCCTCCGGATATAACCGACGCGGCGTGTGGTCTTCATCTTGCTGTGAAGAAGCTGCGCGACCTTGGGAGGCCGTTTTACCGATGGGTTCCTTTCGTTCACCATGGTATTTGAATTTGTTTCATGGATTGCTTGATATCAGTAGAGTTTCTCTACGACTGACGAATATGTATATTATTTTGTTGACACCTATGTAACCACTTTCGGGGCGCGTCCTTGACGGTGTAGGGCTACGCTGTACGAATAGTTGTGTGACGGAGGGGGAAAGAGCCATCGAGAATGTTGAACACAACGAGCCAGCGCAGACAGGTGGTAAAACAGTGTACTTGGAAGGAAGCCCCTGAGTCACACATAACGCGACCGCGAATCGATGCTCGGAGACCGCCGAAGTCCTGGGACGATGCTCGTGGACGTTGACCACGACCTCGACGACGGCTATCGGCGTGGCGACGGTGCATTGTGTACCCAACACCGTGTCAAAGGATATATATCCAACCATGTCATGCATGCCTGATTAATTGACGTTTCCCAACACACAAACGTAAGTAACCCTCTTTTTCCAACAACCATGAAGGTCGCCATCGTTGGTTCTGGTGTTTCTGGGCTGGCAGCAACTTGGGTGAGTCAGGATTCTGTTTCTTGAAGAACATTTCTAAATGCTCTGTATAGCTTCTGAATGAACATAGTGAGCATACAGTACATCTGTACGAAGCAGACACGAGGCCTGGTGGACATGCGAATACCGTTCGGTTCGTTCCTCCAGGAGCGCCTGCGGACAGCGATGGCATAGACGTCGATACGTGAGTTGGTCGATAAGACTATCTCTACCGCTCTGACACATTCAATAGAGGCTTTGTGAGTGCCCACAGGAAACCTATGGACGACTGAACCTTAAGCAACCTCCAGATCGTCATGAACCCCCCAACCTACCCCAACTTTCTTCGCTTCCTCAAGCTTCACGAGCCCAAAGACTCAGATGTACCATCGCAGTCCCAAAGACCTCTGAACGCAGAGGATAATCCCACTGGAAAGACCTCGGGCATCAAGGTTGTCCCAACCGAAATGACATTCAGCGTCTCCAGCGACAACGGCGCCTTCGAATGGGCAGGAAAGAACCTCTTCACTGTCTTCTGCCAGCCTCGAAGGCTGCTTGATCCACTGATGTGGCGCATGGTCTACGATATCTTCAGGTTCAATGCGTGCTCTCGGAAAGTGCTGATGCAGAAAGACGAGAGCGGGACGGAGTTGTCTATTGGTGACTACCTTGTGAGGGAAAACTACTCTGTCGCGTTTCGGGATAACTACCTGATCGTGAGTAGCCCTCTCTTGGTGTTCTCATTTGGAGATGCTCATATCCCGTGTAGCCAATGACTGCAGCGATCTGGAGTACCCCGCCTGGCAAATGCTTCCTCGATTTCCCTGCAAAGACTCTGGTCAGTCAGAAAGTTCCCAGTGACAACACCCTGCGTCGCCTCACAAGTCCCGCAGATTCAATTCATGTACAATCACCATCTCCTTCAAATCACCGGGAAGCCTTCGTGGTTAACAATCGAAGGCGGAAGGTATCACTCGATTCTCTCCCTCATCTCAACCAGTAGACCTTCGCTAATCCCCAAACCAGCCACCGCTACGTAAATCAAATCCTCTCCAAACTGCCATCATCCCAACTACATCTCAATACGCCCGTCGTCAGAGCCTCCACCTCGACGCCCGAAGGAGCCACTACTAAACCTAAAGTCACGCTCAGAACACAAGCAGGGGATGAAGTCGAATACGACCATGTCATCCTCGCATGCCATTCAGATACTGCACTCCAGATTCTACAAGCCGGAAATATCACCCCCGAAGAAGAAAGGATCTTGGGTACCTTCCAGTGGAACCGGAATGAGGTTGTTCTTCACTCGGATGTTCGAGTAAGCTTTCTACATACAGGTGTTTTGCCGTGGCGCCGGCGCGTTGACCGCTTCCCATGTAGATGATGCCGAAGAGCAAGATGGCTTGGTCTTGCTGGAACTATCTCACTACGAGCCAGAACGGGGAATCTAGCGATATCGATAGGGTCTCACTGTAAGTTCACTCGTTTCATTCACGAGCTTTGTTCACTGACAATGTTCATAGGACGTGTAGGCATCCTCTCCCCTTCCTCTGACAATACGCACTCACACCCTTACAGACGGAATGAACGACCTCCAGCATATCCCCGAATCCAAATGGGGACCGGTCCTCTGCACGCTCAACCCACCCCTCGAACCCGCCCCAGACAAAGTCGTAGGGCGATGGAGATACGACCATCCGGTTCTCGATTCCAAGGTCCGTCCAGCCACTCTCTCGTCCTCCTCAGGCCACTGACGCTCCCCACTCGTTTAAAAATAACTCTTCTCGTCTCCAATAACAACCCTCTTCGCCACTGCAGGCCGTCCAAGCCCAAAACGAAATGCCCCATATCCAAAACAAACGCTCCATCACCTTCGCGGGTGCATACCTCAAATACGGCTTCCACGAGGACGGGTTCACATCCGGTTTACTCGCCGCTTGCGCCATCGACGAAGAACCCGGACAGTTTCCTCAGTTCACTTACTCGCCCCGCAAGTCCAATCGGCGCCGGAAGGAGGGAGAAGATGGTCTCATTATACCAGTCCGCAGGAGGACGGTGAAACCCCCGTTTGAAATTCGCTATGCGGACCATCATTTGGCGTTGGAGAGGGAGGGGAGGTGGAGTGTTGAGAATGTGCTGGCGGGGGTGTTTGATGTTTTCGAAAGGACTGGCTTGCGTGCATTAGTTGGTGGATCGTTGGGTGTTGTGTTGTGGGTGTTTGGTCTTGCACTGGGTATGGGAAAGCAGATGGACTAAAGGCGTCTATTATGCGTGTATGCAGATGGCTTCTAGAATCTACTGAATGTCCAGGTTTACCATTTGTCCAGATAACAGCTGAAGCGAGGGGAGGATGGCTCCCAGCCAACTGCGAGAAAGTGTTCAACGTCGAGCAAGGGAAGTGGTAGCTGTGAAAACTCACCGCAATGCCAGCAGTCGAGGAGACGATCAGGGTCGCTTGGGGCCAGGTCAGAAATTGTCAGAGAGTGAACGCGATCGTTCTCACTATTTGTTCTTGATCTGCAAGAGGCGGTTGTAGTGTTCGCCCCAGAAGGATTCTATTGAAACGTGCTGATTAGCATAGGTCTCCGGTGGGCAGAAGCAAGTTCTACTCACCTTGCCAGTTGGGCTCATAAACATCCGCTTCGTTCTACCCGACACACCACCCATCAGAACTCCTCTTCTCCGCACAAACCCTATGTTCGACTCACCAAATACGCAGCATCATCCGTGATCCTCCTCAAATTATCCGCACTCTCACTAACCCTCCTATACTGCTCCCTAACCTCCTCCTTCGTCGCATTCCAGTTCCACTGCGAGATCAGCGTCGTATGGAAGACGCTGTCTCGCCATTTCTCCGTGACGCTTGTTTTGCCTGTGGAAGGGAAGGAGGCTGGGGCGGTCATGAGGAGGATGAGACCTGGTGTGGCGGCTTCGGTGGCGAGGAAGGCGTCGACGAGTTCTTGTTGCTTGGCGGGTGTTTGGAGGTTGGATTTGTTGATTAGGCGGGAGGCGATGGCGAGGTTCTTTCCTGACGACTGCAAATGCATATGGAAGTCAGAGATGTGGTGGGTGAGAGACGATAGCTGAGGGACACACGCACAGCGGCAAAATCCCTTGCAAAAACATTGAAGAATGCGCCCCAAGTCGGGAACTCGACCTCAACCAACCTCGCTCCTCCCTCTTCCTGAACCTTCCTTCCAAACTCGAGCAAAGGCGCGACGGAAGTAGCTGCATCCTCCTTTGACAACACGGGGTTGAGGAGGACGACGGCACCAGCGTTGGAGTACCCTCCCCATCCCTCCTGTGACCACTTCAGCCCGTTCTCGGCGAGGAGCGTCCATGCTTCCCTGGTGCGGGTGGTGTTTGGCTGGAAGCTTATGATGACGGATTGGAGCTTGACTGGGGGAGAGGCTTGGATTGTGGCTTCGAGGACGACGCCGAATGTTCCTCCGCCTCCTACGGGTAAAGATCCGTCAGTGGATACAAGTAGAACCTAGGCGCTACTGCAGTTGCATACCTCCACGCAGAGCCCAGAATAGGTCTTCATTTTGGCACTCGTTGGCGATTCTGAGTTTCCCGTCAGGTGTCATGACTTTGTATTGCAGCTGACACGAGATAAAATGAACTCGGTGGGTTCGGGAGAACGGTACGAGCAGCGTAAACTCACGACTCGGTCAACGCCTAGACCCATGGTATTCGACAGGGCACCATGTCCTCCACCCTAGGATAACATCAAGATTGATATTAGTCACCGGCGAGTGGAGGATATGCTTATGGACGTGCCTGGAGCCAACCACCAACTGCACCAACGGCCGGATCGGCACCTGCGAAGATACCCATTGAGGACTGAACGAAAGAGAATATTCCAAGAGAACATACCTCCAACGAGGGTGATGTTATGTTGTTCTGCAAAGGCATAAGCTTCGGCCCACTGAACGCCAGCCTATACCATCATGGTCGCTCAGTAATCGGCTCGTACGTCATGTTCCGGGAACCACATACTCCCAAAGTAACCGCAGGCTGGGTTTGCGCAGCGGCACAGCCGTGGGGTCTAAAGTCCGATGCGTACGATGTCTAATAGCGGATGGGCGCTTAGATGGGAGCGGAAGGGTGGGGTGGAATGGAGGCATTTGGAAGGCCGCTGGACTTACCTGTTTCAGGTTGTGGGTCTACTCCAACTGTTAGCGCTGATACGAAGGATGAATTCCAGGGATTGCGAGCCTACCCATAATACCAGTGATCCAGGAGCACTGCTCCGGCCCTTGTAATCGTGCTAAAGTAAACAAGGTCAGCACACTGCCGCAGTCACGTCTCCAATGCGAGATTCTGAGAAATTAGATTCATTGGTATCAAACACTCACGCCAGTGTTCTTAATGACAAGTGGCACTTTCGTGCGTTTGGAGAAGGCGAACGCGGCTCTGACATCGTTTGGATGTTGGACATCAATCTGTTGCAAGTTCTTGGAGTTTAAAACATAGCACTGGCATTGTCGGTGAGATCCGACACGTACCATATATTCTGATACACTTCCGAGCCCACATGTCCGATCAAGTGTCGGGCTTATATTGTGAGGGTCGCCCGAGTCGAGCAAACAGTGGGTTTCTGTGTTTTGGCAGGTTTCCCACTGAGGTTGGATATAAGCGTTTGGCCTGCCAGAACGATACTCTGAAGGGCGGTGAGAGTGGTTCCACGAGAGGAATGGCGTGGATGATTACGTGGATCGAGATACATTTCCCTGACGTGCGTGCATTCTGGGGAATTGAAGTCTTCGTAGCACGGAGAGGCGAATGGCGCCAACTTAGCGACTCGACCAGAAATGTCACGCTCAAGACGGTCCCAGAGGTTGGAAGACGGGTCCTGGGCGCCAGTTGAAGTGCTGTGAAGAAGCCCGAAGGCGACTGCAAGGGAGAAAGATCGAGCTTGGGAGGGTCGCATGGGGGGTCAGTAGGGTAGAAAGCGCTTCTGAGGTCGGCGCCCTTATATCATAGATGCGCTTGGAGGGCGCTTCCAAAGCAGGTCCCCAGTTGATTGGCGCATCGCAGACCCATCAAGATTATCACGAAAAACGTCACGAAGCCTACAAGCGCCAGATGGACATGTAGATATCCTGTGGTTGCTCCCCCTCGGATATACGTGTAACATAGGTTTCGGAGATCTGTGCTTTTTACTCATTAGCCACGGACATCTGAAGCCTCCGACGTCAGTTCGAAGCATCTCAACAGAAACTGTCAGAAGTAACGCTGCGCACCTGATTGTAAAAGGAGCCGGCGATGGAGGTGGGTTTGGTCAGTATTACTGGCTGTTACCAGTTTCAAACATAGGTATGTGGCAGCAGGAAGAACCACATTTCAGTCTACTCGGTCCATCAGCGCTCAGCGCTGACCCCGGGCCCTTTCGAAGCGCCGAGATGTCCTTGGTTGCCCTTTGTGTGGGCGGAAACCGCCTGGCAGATGTCTGAATCGAGTTCATCGAGGACTCAAAATGAACGATGTTCTGCGGCTTCCATTTCCCCTGTTGACTGTCGTGGTGGTTGGCGAAAGAGATGGAAGTCGGCGGCCAGGTCATAAGCGCGGAAAGATAAGATGACAATTGTGATGGGATCAGCGTTTTGATCTTATCTACGCGGCGCAGATCTATGAGCGCGTTGCCACCTGCACAGTGGGTTGTCCTCAGCCATGTCGCATCCCGCTGCACCCAAGTCTCTGGAAGACCTTCAAGCCTTTGAATTCACAAGAATTCTCAATGAGGACCCACTTACTCATACCCTAACACTCTTAGGCTCCCTACGAACGGAGCAGGCCATCATCCGAATAGAAAAGACTCCGCTAAACGCCTCTGATGCCTCCAAGTTTCTTCGACCAGGCGACGGTGGCCTTGTTCGACGTATCCAGCTGGAGGAGAGCACGGATATCGTACGCACCTCTTGAAATCTCGGCTGCGACGCGAGGAGTGACGGGCGTTTAGTATACCTGGTTGTTTGGGTGGCTAGAAGGAGAGCGGGTGCCAGATGTGAAGATCAATGTGATCTGTCCAGCGACGGAGACTCATATTCGAAAGGTAAGGTTGCCATCGGGGCTGGAGGAATGAAGAAGCCTAATGTCATTTTCAGTATACGAGGCAGGAGCAAGTTATGGTGCGAGAAACACCCGAGTTGTATGAATCAGTGGTGAAACCGTACGTCGCGGAATTCCCTCCATCGCGAACGCAGTGGTACGTGGTTGACCTTTACTTGGTCTCCAAGGGCGAAGTTAATCTCGAATATCGAATACAGGGTAGAGAATATCCTCAACGGTCAATCCGAGAAGGACAAGGTTCTGTACTCTGACGGCGAGTTCATGATCCTCCCAGATATGAAATGGGATCTGAAGACGGTGTCATCTCTGTACCTCATGGCGCTCGTGAAGGATAGATCCATTCGAAGCATGCGCGATTTGCAATCGAAACACGTACCCTTGCTTAAGGCTATTCGGGACCAGGCCGAGCGCATTGTACAAGAGAGGTGGGGGCTGGGTGAAGGATCTCTGAGGATGTATGTCCACTATCAGCCGAGCTACTGTGCGTATACTCCAGTTACAGTAAGGCCTTGTCTTCTCATCTTTTCGCAGACCACTTCCACGTCCATATCGTCAACGTCAATTACCAAGGAGGACTGCTCGGTATGACGGTGGGCCAGGCACACCTTGTGGATGATCTGATAAATCAGGTAGGCCCACTGCGATCCTATGCGTTAACTCACTGACAATGGTCTCTACCAGCTGGAATTGGATGGAACACTCCTGCAGCGGAGGACTCTCTATTACAGCTTGGGAGACCAGCATGAACTGCTACGACGATTCAAGGCCGCTCAACAGGCCCCTAGCAGCTGAGCTCCTGTATTCTGTACACCGATGCAAAGATTAAATCCAACATTTCCTAAGGTAGAAGATTGGATTAGCCGGGGATGTTTGTGGTTCGTCTGGGCACCGGCATAACAAAAGATGTGGCTGTGCAGGCGCCTATCTCACTCGCTTCGACTTCTCCCTCTTCCTTCTGATGCTCCACCTTGTACTCAATGCTGAAAATCGCTAAAGGAAGAGATGAAAGTCATGTGTGCAAACTTGACAGTGCACCCCTGTATGTCAGTCATGCTTTTCCTGCTTTAGTGCGTCTCCACAGACGCAGATATGGCGCCTGACGTCATGCAGTCCTCATAAATATGCGACCCCTCTCTTGTTCTCTGACTTTTCCATCTGTTCACTGCCCCTTCACTCACGATGCCAACTACCCGACGCCAGAAGGCCGTTCAGGAAGGAAAGATCAAGGAAGAGAAGAAGAAGCCTACGGTCCCGAAGAAACGTCCCCGAACGAACAGTAAAGCCACACCCACCAAGAAGCATGCTCAGGAGAATGTGAAAACGGAGGAAGAGCCGCCCAAGAAGAAGAGAGCGACAGAGCAGGTTGCAGAGCTTGAGGAGGCTCGCAGAACTGCGTCTCCTCGTGCAAAGTCTGCCAAGCCAACGTCGAGGGCGGGCAGTACAAAGCCTGCGTCACGGGCCAAGTCGCATCCTCCATCTTCGAAGGGGAAGGTTCAAGATAGCGTCTACAAGATCGGCGAGTTGCTTCAGCCATCATCCCATTGCTTCGACTGACCGCCAGTGGTCATCCAGGAACGATTGAGCGAGGTCATATCTATTTCTTCTACCGACCAAAAGTCCAGTTGGAAGAAGCTCAATCGATCGACGACGTCAAGAACTTTCATATCCTCCTTATCCCTCGACCTCCTGTCTATGCTTCGGATGACTCAAACCAAGAATCGGAAACCAAGGTCGACCCTAGCATGACAGAGGAGGCTGAAATGAAAGTTCTCTCTCCTGGGGCGGACGCCGTGCCTGCGCCTGTGACCAGACGGACGACCAAGCAATTCCACCGGGTCATATCCATTGGAAAGAAGAGGTTGCCTGACCCTGAAAATGCAGGCTCAACCGGTCGTCGCAAGGAGACGTTCTGGGGGGTGGTAACGAGCGTCGGAGATGATTTGCATGGTCTTGCTGAAGGTCTCGGGCCTAAAACCTACGAGACGAAAACAAGAGGTCAGTTGACTTGTTATGGTGCCTCTTTGGGCGATCTTCATTCCGTGTTTCCGACTCCGAGCGCTAACATGATTTGAAATTTAGGCACCAGGCATGACGCCGCGGCGCGTCTGGTCGCTAGGGGCGGATATGCGATCGTGAATTCGGAGGCGAGGACGCCTTCCCAGCGGGAGACGCACCTGGGATACCATGTCTCCCATCCCTCCAAGACAGAGATGGGGGATGTCCAAGCGGAATTGGGGATTCACACCTCCTCGTCGTTCGTCTTGCAGGTCAAGAATCCCTTGGCACCGAGCACGAATCCCCAAATGTCTCATTCCAAGCAAGCCGAATACCCAGATTGGATCATGGAGAAGGTGTTTGGAACAGGGGGCTTGAGAGGCCGTGAAGACTATGGATTGAGGTTTGCGAGTTGCGAGACACCTGAGCTTCTGGATGCCGTGGGCGCCCAGGTGCTCATGATTGCTGCCAGAGGAGGTGAGGAAGGACTTGAAATAAGTCTTGGCGATGGTCGTGGAGAAGGTACGCCTGTTACGCTCGTTGACTCGAACCTGGCCATGTATTGAAGCCTCGCGGTTGAAGCCCTCGCCGAAAGTGCGAATGAGGAATCCAAACGGGAGATTGATGATGTGTTCAAGGAGATTGGTCTTGATACTGATATATTTACGAAAGAGACTTTGGAAGGAGAGTGGGCTTGAATCTTGTACAATAGGGATACTTATTGTTGTTCGGACCGGTTGTCAGAAATTAACGTTTACGTTGACCCTGGATCGAACTCGCGGCCTGTGGATGGAGTCATGGTGGCTCAACGCGTGACGTCAACCGCAAGGGACCGTGGGCCAATTCATCACTTGCACCGCGTCGTCCACCACAGCCCGTCGTCGTCGCCGTCCACAACGAACAGCAATGGGTATCAAGGGTCTCACCGGTCTGCTCAACGAGCACGCTCCAAATTCTATCAAGGAACATGATATTAAAACGCTTTTTGGTCGAAAAGTCGCGATTGACGCGTCCATGTCGATATACCAGTTCCTCATCGCCGTGCGCCAACGTGACGGCGAAATGTTAACTAACGACGCCGGCGAGACGACAAGTCACCTTATGGGATTCTTCTACCGGACAATACGGATTGTAGAGAACGGAATCAAGCCTGCGTATGTGTTCGACGGGAAACCGCCAGAATTGAAGAAGGGTGTGGTATGTGGCTTTTTCCCCCGTCCGTTTCGAATTGCGTGGCATGAACCTCTGCGTTTGTAGCTGTCGAAACGTTTTGAGAAGAGAGAGGAAGCTAAAGAGGAGGGTGAAGAAGCGAAGGAGATTGGAACTGCTGAGGATGTGGACCGTTTTTCACGGCGGACGGTCAAGGTCACCAAGCAGCACAATGAAGAATGTCAGAAACTCCTCAGACTTATGGGTGTACCTTGCGTGATAGTGTGTAACCTCACTGTAGTCTCTGGCAATTCTTTGACAAGGTTCTCCACAGGCGCCCTCAGAAGCTGAGGCACAGTGTGCTGAATTGGCTCGAGGAGGCAAGGTAGGCATTCATCCGTTCTGCGATACACTACAGAAGCACTGAGGAGCCCCGCTATCCTAGGTCTACGCTGCTGGTTCAGAGGATATGGACACCCTTACATTTAACGCACCAATCCTCTTCCGACATTTGACCTTCTCTGAGGCCAAGAAGCAACCCATTAGTGAAATCAACCTGGAAGCAGCCTTGAAGGGTTTGGACATGGATATGAGCCAAGTATGTATCTCCAATTCACATCCCTCGGCCCACTCTGACGTTGATCCTCTAGTTCGTCGACCTGTGTATTTTGCTCGGCTGTGACTACCTCGAACCAATCAAGGGTGTTGGTCCCAAATCCGCTCTGAAACTAATTCGGGAATTCGGTGGGCTGAAAGAGGTCGTCGAACACCTTCGTGAAAAGTACGGCCTGGCATCATAGCTTTCCTTCGCTATGCTGATGACGGACTTCTAGGGCTGCTGCGAGGAAGGCTGAGGCCGAGGAGGAGGATGAAGAGGAAGCAGAGGAGCCAGCACCAACGTCGGACGTCGAGATGCCTGATGACGAGGATGGCGAAAAGGACAGTGATGACGAAGAGGAGGCCGAGAGAAGAAAGAAGGCGGAGGCTGCAAAGAAGAAAAAGGCACAAGAGAAGGCCAAGTCAGCGAAGAAGGGTAAAGGCAAGGGCAAGGGTGGCATCCAAATTCCAGACGAGTGGCCATGGGAAGAGGCCAAACAGATCTTCTTGAAGCCAGACGTCATCCCTGCTGACCAAGTCGAGGTTGGTGAACCTGACCTTTAAAGGGGGCGTGTTGATTGACAATGTCGTTCTAGCTGGAATGGAAGAATCCCGACGTGGAGGGTTTGGTGCAGTTCCTTGTCACGGAAAAGGGCTTCAGGTGCGTGCTTTTTATCGATAGGGGCTTTCTTCATTTAACCAAATATCGGCTAGCGAGGAGCGGGTGCGCAAGGGTGCCGAGAAACTAACAAAGTTCTTGAACGCGAAACAGCAAGGACGACTAGACGGTTTCTTCACTGTTAAGCCTAAACAAGCACCACCGCCTGCAGCGAAGGGCAAAGGAGCAGCATCAAAGGGTACAAAGAGGAAGGTACGGACCGCGTTTTGGTAGCTCTATCACTACACCTGACTCACCTTTCCTGAAAAGGGGGAAGACAAAGCTGAGGGATCCGGCAAGAAGGCCAAAAAGAAGTGATGATGACCGGTGTTCTATGTTTCGAGGCTGTCCTCATATGTCAGTATCTATTCATCTTTGCTCTGACAATCCTTTTCCGCTTCCGTTGCCTCGGTACGGTCCCGAACACGCGAGCAGAACGTGTTTGAGGCATTCAATGACCAGTGATGATCGCGTATGGAAATTAGGGAAAATCGACTCGGAAAGTTTTAGCCTCGCGATCGAGGAAGAGAGGTCGTTTCAACTTTCAAGGTGGTTGCTTCATCAAAGAGCTTTGGTCGCGTGCGTGCGTCCGTGCGATGTATGGCTTTGATCCTTTGAATTGTGCATTGTCAAAGTCGGCCTGCGAAGGTTGGCTTCTGGGCACGCGTCGGTGGCTGTCGGGATTTCCGCTTTTTGGGGCGGCGCCCTGCAGCACCCCTCTGATGCTCGGTTTTGCGGCTGAGGGATTTCTGATGGAATTTTCGGTGCTTTAAAGGACGAGGGAGCGGGTGCTCGCCGCTGAAGACAACAGTGTAATAGCCTAAAACGACCCAAATCACCCTACTTAGGGTTACGGTACACACAACAGAGAAAGCGTGGTACGCGGTTGTATGTAACGCAAGGTCGGTGTACCTGGCCTCGCCATCCTGTGAAGTTTCTTGGTTCTTGGACATTCTGATTCGCTCAGTCCTTTGCATGACATTTGGGCTATATCTGTTGGCGGCGTCGTGTTTCCACAGCTACGACGCACGCTCTCGCACGCCTCAAACGACTCACAATCACCCCTTGCCCCCAAATTATCTACGTCCAGTACCCTAACGCCTAATTGCGATACCGTCGTATCCAGCAGTTCGCTTGAGCTCTCAGCCATTTCAAAATGTGCCAAGTAAACGAAATTTGGCGCTTCAAGAATGGACACGATTTGCTCAGCAAATCTCACGCGATGAGTCTAGGCTGTGAAGATTCTCCAGAGCGATGCTGGCCTACGATAGCACCTGCCTGGTGCCCTGGACTTCACCAACACTGGATGTCTTCCCGTAAGGATCTGAAGTGGGTTATTGGGCAATAAACGACTTCAAATGGTTTTCCAAAAGATGCCGAACGCCACCATCAACGAAAAATGGCCTTTTCAGACAGTTCTAGATATCGCAGTCTGGCGAGGGGGTCAGAGGCCTCGCCAGATGAGGGACCACCCGATAAACACCTTCAGACGCGGGATAACGGCCGAATATGGAAATTGCCCCGGCGCGGCGGTCTTGGGCAATGCTTGGGGTCACAACCTCGGCGCTTCACTAAGTTAGTCCTTTTCGACGTTAATCTAGTGTATTGCGATGACAAGGACATACTGGAGCAACCTCTCACTCGATCTTTACAATCTGGGAAAGGAAAGCTAAGGAGATGTATATTTTCGACTCCATCTACTCTTCCTTCCACTCTATGGCAATCACACCACCTGGCAGGGCAATCATGAAAGTTCCTCTGAGCGCATCTGTATCGTATTTGCTCCCAATTGAAAGAGGTGAAGAGGGCTTAAGCGCTGACAAGCGCCGATGAAGGACGCCTGAGGGAAAACTTGGCACCGCGCCCGGAACCCCGATTTGATGGCTGCGGCCTTATATTCTCTTTTATCGAGGACAGAATATTTGTGGTTGTGGGGCGATATATTTATTACCAATTTCTCGATATTTTTCTTCCCACATTTCTGGAGCCGTTTATTCCTGCCAGATTCCTTACGGGAAGACACCCACTGTGTTCCTTGTGCACCTGTCAACTGTCTCGTGGCAGCGGATCTATCATGCCCTGAAGCGTGGCTTACCAGCGACATTGACGAGCGCTTAGTAGCCGTGACAGCGGGTTGCTGACTCTGAACTCAGGCGCCAGCCGTGGCTGCGATCGGATTCACACGATGATCGCCATTTGGCGTCAACCACAACTTGTCCGGAACCATCGCATTTCATCTCTCGGCATCGATTTTGTTCCAAACGCAAGTGGTGAGTTAGCTCGAGATATCTTGCGTTCATGCTCGTGCAAAAGCTTGGGGCCCCGAGGATAGGACGGGGGGACAGGGGTTTTGGGGCGAAGGGTACGAGCGGGGAATCCGACGGAGGCCATCCTGAATCGCCAATTCCCGAGGTTTTTGCTGCTTCTTTGGAGGATCTTACGCTGTGATCGGGACTCTTGGGATCCCCCTATCGACCGCGATAAGTCGCGACTGTAAAGCGGGGGTAGTAAGCGTTCCAAGTAGTATGCACACAAAACAAACACACGTGAAGCCTTTACAGAATCTGTCGACTTGGCAAGGGTGATCGATCTGGTATCCTATCTTTTCGTGGCGTCTCCGTCAGGAAAGCGGAGATGGGAAAATAATACGGTGGGATTCAAACCTGGGGGGCGCGAGAGGAACTTGATCATATGGCAGGTCAACAGATACCGTCCTTCTTGCCATCTTTTCGTTTCGTTTTCTTCTTGAAAAGACCGGCCGTCTAGCCTGGTGCTACCCTTTCCCCTCCGACGGCAGCATGGCCCTCTCCTTCCCCTCCGTTCACGAGACGCTGGGTGCCGCCTTGATTGGGTTCTGTCTCGCCTGCGCGGTCTTTGGCATTTTCACCACTCAGGTCTTCATCTACTACCGGCAGTTCTACCAAGACAAGAAGGCCTACAAGATCCTGGTACGTCGTGTTCGGATGCCACCTATCGACCGGAATTAACCCTCGTTTTGGCTTTCGTCGTCCGTTAGGTTGCAGTGCTATGGTACGCCCGCTTGGAAATCCCCGAACTTACTCTACCTTCAGAAGCTCACGGAGAATGCCAGGATACTGGAATTCATTGACCAGATATTCATCGGCTACGCGGTTTATTACTACAGCATATCGTGCGTCGGGGCGCTACTTTCATATACATTTTCGGGGGATTAAGTCGGTTTTCGCAGAAACTATGGCAAGGTCTTGGTCTTGTTCACGGAGGACATCGTTTGGTGCGTTTGGTATCGCCTTTCCAAACTCGAACTGTTCTGACCTGCTTTGCGAACAGGCCATTGATTGTACGTTCCCCTGTTTCCACTGACTTACGAGTCCGTCCTCTGAATAGTACCCTTCCACAAGGCTCAAGTTATCGTCGGGGTGGGTATCTCTTCGGGAAGCATTCGTTGGTTCAATTCTCATGTCATATGATCTTAGAACTTGGTCGGAACGCTGGTCAAATGGTGGGTTGCAGATCCAATATGAAATGCAAAGTTTCGCGTACTGAGATTCATCCACAGTTGCTTCGCCCTGCGGGTATGGCGCTGTATGTCCCTCCCATCTCACCTCATTCGGAATCTCGCCGTAACCGATGATACCGCCCACAGTCAGCCATCGCAACATGCTCATTACAGGCCCTATCGTAAGCCTTTCGAAATCTTGATCTCTGGGATAGTTCTGACCGTGATTCTGGCTCCAGTTCGTTCTCATCCTCGTCCAAGCAGGTAAGCCCTAATCTTTGCGTCTTCCTCTATCCCGTACTTACACCTTTTGTTAGGATGCGCCATTGGTATGCCATTTCCCCGGCCATAGCTACTTGATCGCTCACCGGCAATTCGTTCGATAGCTTATTGCGTTAGGAGGTAAGCCTATCGCTCGTGCTCCATTTGCCCTTCTGACTCTTCGTCTAGTTTCCAACTGAACAAGTTGCTCTTCGCTTCGCGGCTTCGGGTGAGTACAAACCATGGTCACCTTTCGCCTTCCCCGACTCAGCACTTTTTAGGTGGTTGCTAGCGTCGCCTTGGGATCTGGAATGGCCACAGATGCCTTCATCGCAGTTGCCCTCTGCCTACTCTTGCACAGACTACGGACCGGCTTTTCTTCGTAAGCCTTTCCTACATTTCGTATATTTGAAGCTCGTCATCTCATCACCCGTTCCCCTAGATCTGATTCACTCATCAATACACTCATTGTCTATGCGGTTAATACTGGAGCCTTGACTGGTTTCATCAGTTTTGTTACTCTCCTCGTGGTGAGTGTTCAGTCAATTCGTATCATGATCTTCGAAACTGAGGTGTATTCCAGTACAATGTCTTCCCCAATTCCTTCTACTTTATGACCTTCTATTTCCTCCTCGGCAAACGTGAGTCTACCGTCCCATATCTTTTCGTCTGACTAACCCACGTCATCCCAGTTTATGCAATCTCGCTTCTTTGCACCTTGAACACTCGACGTTCAATTAGGGGCAAGGGAACAGACCAAGCTGAACCACCGACTGTGAACACGTCCGGTCATCGCCATAACGGAGTTTACTTGGTTTCCCCAACGGCGAGTCGACACAAAACCCCTGTCCACTACCCAAGCAGCAGTAATCATAACAATCACATGAAGGTCTGTACCGATCGCTTTTTGGTGCTCCATTCTTGAATCCTGTTTAACCTACCCCACCTTCACAGAGCTTGGAAATCGGTGTTCACCAAGAGGTGTCTGTCTCGATGATGGATATCGAACGCAACATGAATGGTTTGAGGCGATAATTCGTTTCTGTACGCTCCTTGCTTGCCTCGTCCACGGCTACACTCTAATCCTCCTTCCAGATGTTGTATTTCTTTAGAGGGAGACTGGAGGGGATTTGTAGCCTTTATCATTATTTGTATCTTTAGATGCCAGTGGCCTGTCGAAATCAGTCCATGGCTATATATATGCGCTGCGACGCATTCTTCACAGTGTACTTACTTGACCATTTGCACAACTGCACAATTCTCCATTGCATTTACTTTCTATTCGTGGACATCCACCCAGGGCAGTTATTGCGGGGTTTGTGCTGGGCATGGCGGGCAGCGCCCGTCGGCGGTTGGAACTCGTGTTTCCCAAGAACTCCCTTGGAAGAGACGTGTCCGCATGGTAGGGTTCTGGCTATACTGTAAGTCTCATAATTGTAACCATCGGGGGTCAGAGTGTGACATTACCATGAGGTCTTTGTCACAACCATTTGCCCCGAAGTTAGCGTGACAGTAACCATTTTGTTGTGTCACGAAATTTCCATTGAGGACGAAGCATTGGGTGATGGGTCCGATGAGCTTCATCCAGCATTCACCCGACAGGAGATTTGGGACTGTGTCTGCGCCCTCAAAGCAGTCGGTATCATCTCAATTGAGCCACTTGATTAGTAGATAGACTGTATTACTTAAGTACTTATAAGTCAAATATATGGTGTGACACAACCGGGAACCTCATAACCATTTTGAACGAGCGTGACGTGACAAACAGCAAAATTAACCATACCATTGGCTAGCGTGACGTGACAAATTGTTACAATTCTGAGACTTACAGTATTTAAACGCAACGTAACTTCGACTATTTACGCTCGTTTCAGCGGGCATTGTTCTTTCGACAGGCTGAACGCTCGATATCGCAGCTTAGAAGACCGGACGAGGTCGTCGCTACGGTCGTCGAGGTCGAAACTCTTGTGAGGGGGAGGCGGGCGCCCGTTGCCAACAGTGACAACCTTGGTCTTGTGATGGGTAGGCTCAACCATGCTTCCCGCTGATTCCAGCTCGCCCACCGAGGCCGTTTGGTTGCTCCCAACGCTGATCTGATAAATGATCTCAACCGCGTGCTCACCTGGCTAAAGTCGCACAGTTCCCAGTTGTTTCCCCTCATTTTTCATCTTAATGCTTCCGTTCGAGTCCTTGGAGTGTAGGTTCTCCTTATATCTATAGGTTACGCCGGAGAAACCCTTGCAGACGGCGCTCCCCACTCTCCTTTATCCAGCTTTCGTTCTGTCCATTCGTTTCCTTCGTTCGCCTGGCCCCGGTTTACACAACATCCGTCCATTCGTTTATTCTCGACGATGTCGACAACCCTGGATCCGTCAATTTCGATACACAGCACTCTCGGCGCTGTCTTCATCGGTTTCGCCTTCGCCTGTGTAGTGTTCGGGGTAGTCTTGACTCAGATATTCTCATATTTTCGCAATTATCCTGGAGATAGGTTTGCATTCAAGGCTACGGTGAGTTTGATCGATGCCGTTCGCTGGTTCTGCGATATCTAATCTTTCCGGTGCTGATGACTAGGTGGCTGTCATCTGGTACGACGCGTCTTTCACAACCCAACGGCATCTTTCTCAAGATAATGCGGTACTTCCAGCATCCTGGAGATCGTCGATCAAGCTTTCATAGGCCACATCGTGTATCACTACAGCGTAAGCAACTTTGCGCGAGTATCAGTGTTGCTACAAGCAGAAACGACATGGTCATTGATTGTGAGTTTGTGTTCGTGTCGAGGATTTGACTTCGCCTGACAGAAGACTCACAGCTACAACTCACGGCCGGGGTTCGTGCTCAACCTTAACTCAAAACATCGTTAGGAGAACTGAAATTGGTTGGTTTTAGGCCATTGTAGGATTCATTGTTAAATTGTGAGTCGTCTTCGTCTTCATCCGTCCACTGTGCTCATTCTTGTTCTTCAGTTACTTCGGCCTTCGGGTATGGCGATGTGAGCAAAGCCCTCGATGTTTGAAAACGTCAGTCTCACCCCCTCTCCAGTCAGCAATCGCAACATCTTCGTCACGGGCCTGGTCATGTTCCTCACGTTCGCTCAACTGGGTAAGAGCATATCATTCTTTCTCCCGGAAGCCGCGATTGACAGGTGCTCGACAGGTCTCGCCCTTGGTAAGAGCTTGAAGATCCCTTTACCCGCCTTCGTGAATCCTGATTGCGCCCTCGAAAAGCTTTCACTGTTGAAGCTTTCAAACTTCCCAATATCTTCGCGGTGCATGATCTTCAAGTACGTGTCAGCCATGGCAGGACCTGTCAACGGTATTGATCGCATGCAGGCACTGGGGACGACTTCCCTCGCAGTGGGAGTGGCGACCGATATCGTCACAGCAACAGCACTGTGCTACTTCCTCAGTAAACTGAGAACTGGGCTCAAGACGTATGTGCTCGCCTCATTGTTGTACCGCTTGTACTCTTACTAACGACCGGGAACAGATCGGACAGTTTGGTGAACGCGCTCTGTTCCTATGCCATTAATACCGGTGTTTTAACTAGGTGAGCCGCCTACCTGCACAATCTCCAATTTCTTACTGACTGGTTTGTGCTACAGTACCCTGAGCGTTGCGACGCTGGTTCTGGTACGCCTTATTGCCACTGTCGCTCTTTTGTCCGCTAAAACTATTCCTAGTACAACGCCATGCCTACAAATAACCTTTATTTCGTCGCAACATATTTCATCCTCAGTAAACGTGAGTCCAGAAGTTATTCTCCCCCATCCATCTGACACCATCCCGTAGTCTACGCAATCTCGTTCATGGCAACGTGAGTCATGTCCGCCTTCTGAAACCTCATAATCGCCGACCTAATACTTCTCCGTAGGCTCAATACGAGACGGCAGATCAGAGGCCGGGGGACGGAGAAGCAGGATGTAACCACCAACAACACTAATATGTTCCATCTCGGTACTCGCATGCCGAGTATGGCGCCTACAGATCTCGAGCGGTGGGACGTCGTTTATCCACCTGTGCAAGCTTACTCTGGGAAGCACGATTCCTATGAGGAGGATTACGGCTACTCGTCACATTCCAAGTACGTCCACAATGCGCTTCCTCGCTGCCCAGAGCTATGCTCACCTTGCCCGCAGACCACCGCGCCTCGAACCTGGCCATTCTTATGCCGTTTAGCAGGTCCTACCTCTCGCTTTCTATCTACCCGCTTATTATTATTATCTTTATTACCGTGGATGGATTTGTTGTTGTAACATTTTGTACCTACATTTCAAAAGGGTTCTATCATTGACAGTAGAGCTCGGTTACCCTTGTATCATTAGTATTTCTCCTGGTGGCAGACGTCAGGATCTGCTTTGTATTCTATCGCGTTTCACTGACACAATCATCAAGTGGGTCAGGGTGGTTTTGAACCACCTTTTCTTAGGAACCTGAATCAGAGCGAGGTAGCTTGTGCGGCTGGCAAATCGAGTCGTATCAGTCGCTGTGCACCGAGTACGGTGCCGATAGTCCCCCGCTGTTGCGCGGAACATTCCTTGTTGTTGATAATAATAAAGTATGAAACTGGACGTCCAGTTACTAGTCGATTGAATACTGATCACTCTGAACAGATGCCTTGTCGTAGTTGCATCGCGGGCGGGCCTATCTCTTGAGGGTACGTCCATTTCCAAGAATTGTCAACATAATCATATGAATCCTATACTCTTCTGCATACCTCAAAACGATACTGACAGTCCCAGATGTCAATGTCGATGACATGGATGCTGAATGTTTGTGGAGCTTAAACAGGCTAAAGTGGGCCAAGATGGGTTGTCATATTCCAGATAAGAGTAAGGTCACATCGTTTGACGCTGGAAATGGATGACCTGGCAAAGCGAGCATATGGATGCATCCGCCACCATCGACAAAGCAACGAGGGTCATAGACTTGTCGTCGACAGCGGAGTCGACATCGTTAACGACATGGGGAAGCCAAGGAGGCTGACCTCGAGTCATCCGACAATGAACCTGTTCAAATCACCATTCAATTCAATTCAGCTCTCGCCGGGGTATAAAGGCTCTGTTTTGCATTGCACCCGTGTCCTTGACAACTTCGGTCTTGTGGAACCTTTGAAGTTTCTTATTCAAGTAACAAAACCTCGGGATTCTGCAGGGATTTCAGCGCAACCTTCCAGGTAGGAAAGTTGGTAAGCCTTGAGGATCCCGGCCGAACTGTCCCCTACTTGTCGAAGGCTGCAGGGGATGTGGGGGACCTTCTCCTTCCGGGAGCCCGCACGAGAAGGACTTCGAATCGGCCCCATTACTAGGCAAGCGGAACAGTTTCAACGGCTATCCAGCGCTCTCACACCCACTGCTGCTGTAACATTGGATCAGAAAAAGATTTGTAGCATGGGTTGAGAAGAACCGTTTAAGTGGGCTGTAAGTTGCCCCATCGCGTATAATAAATTTGAGGGTGCATACTTATACCTGCGCTGTGTCATTTCGGAGAGAAAAACCTTTCTTATGCGGAAGGACTATTGAATCCTGACGAGGCCGTGACGAAGGAGTCGTCCTCCGACATCTTCGCGAGGATTTACCACATTGTCCAACGCCGGCGAGACCAAGGGCGCTCGAGAGTCACCGAGCGCGGCCGACGGTTGCGTGTGATTGACATGCACTCAAGGTCAAGACTCAGAGACACCCTCGGACGTGGAGAGCTGAGCCATGATGAGAAGCGACGAATGGGCTGAGGACCAATGGTGCGACTTGAGGTTGGAAGCGACACGATACAGCCAGCCCGAGGATATTTTCAGGGCGCACCAATCCCAGTTGGACCGCAACCGTGAAAGACAGCTTCAAGGAGATACCGGTCGAAGCCAGATGGCCAGTCCAGATGGTCAGGGCGAGGTCGACTATGTTGGGAGATCATCGCGGGCTCTCGGGAGCGCCAATGAGTTCCTAATGGCCACAGCGAAGCGCAGACCACATGCTCCAAGCTGATCGCGATTCACTTATGCCGTGAGTGCCGGTGTAAACCAGTAGATTATACGCCGATTTTAAGCTCCACACCGTCGTTTAGAAAGTCACAGAAGTCCTGGGCAGGGGTAAATGGAGGCCAGGTATCAGAGGGAGCAGGAGGGAGCCCTGGTAAATACGGACTGGCTAGTTTCCGGCGTTATGAGCATTAGCCGTTCTGCTGCTTCTCTATGTTGAAAAGGTGAGAGTATACACGCGTCTCCAAAGAGGCTTCTACTCGCCCTACCTCTGTAGCTAGAGTGCCAGTACTTGTAGGTTTGCAACGTTGGAACTGGATTCTGGCAGGTAACCTGGAGGTTCAGTCGAGAGAGACGATTAGCTCTGACATTGATGGCACGCCCCTAGTATTAAGCACACCTGTTCCGATTTCCCCGTCAAAGATGCTTGTCTTGGGTGGCTGATAACATGAGAGGTATGGATCTCGTCAGACCGGGGCAGCTTACAGGTAGTGAGGCTTATATTATCTACACTCAGGACGATGGAGTACAACAAGAACATTGAAGATTTTGTTGTTCACCACGTTATACAGCTGACTGTGGAGAGTGACAGCGATCGTTCATTTGCTAACACGCAGAGATAACAATCCTTACTCCTCTGAGATGAGCCTGCTGCAGGGGTATATTAAGAAAGACTTCAGCCCATACCCTCACTTCATCCGTCCGAGAATGACAGGAATTCCGAAGATGTTCTTTATCCTGCTGGCCTTTTACGCCTCCCTTTCTCTCTGCCTTCCGGGTCCAGACGATTGGGGACAGCTGAGCGTCAGCCTTGGTGGACGCCTCCAGAAAGTCGCTCCATTCGCCGCATCATGTTTCGTAGACTTTCACTCGACGGAATGCCGAGAAGTCCGAAGCAACTACCGCAATCAAAGTACGTCAGCTGCTCATTCTCGCCCAGGAGTTCTGTTAACCGGCGACTGTTATCCTGTTCTCAGCATACCGAACTCACACCCCCAACGCGTACATACAGACGCAATGGGAAACATGCCAAAGCACTGAAGAGCAGTGTCTTCTCGACTCTGAAGATCCTGATAACATTACTCCCACTCTGGAACGGCAGTGTTCTCAAGGAAGCGTTCCGCAATACTTTGTACGCTCGAAGCCTACATCACAGACCGAATGCTGACGTTCTATTAGATTGATGTTGAAAGTGAAAAGGATGTTCAAGTAGCGTTCGAGTTTGCCAGAAGAACTGGCATCCCACTTGCGGTTCGGAACACTGGTGTAAGTCATGTCCACCGACGTCCAAGTTTCTTCGGACCTGATGAGTGGAGCGTAGCATGACTACATTGGGAGGAGCAGTGGACCATCTTCTCTTGGACTTTGGGTAAGCCTACCTACTCTTGCTTCGTCAAGTTTCTAACTTTACCACTACAGATGCACAATCTTAAAAGGGTAAGTCACCGTTGCCGAAGTTGCTGGATGGGCACCGACCTTTGCGGATTCTACGTAGATCAAATACGAACCCGCATTTGTTCCTCAGGGTTGCAATGGTACAGTTCAGGGAGTTACAGTTGGGGTAATTCGACTCGGGTGCATGTCACATTTACCTCTCTGACAGCTGCTGCGACAGGCAGGAGTACAATGGTTTGAAGCGTACTCTTTCGCGGAAGCCAATAACATCACTCTAGCGGGGGGTTGGTCGATCGGTACTCGTAACTGTCGATGTACTGACCTATACGCTCTTCACAGCTGGATTTGCCGGAGTGAGCGTTGTGGGAGGATGGCTCCAGGTACCGGGCTCGGACCTAATCACAGGTAGACGTTGTGCTTACTAGTTCTTCCAGGGAGGCGGCCACGGTCCTTTGGCCAACACAATGGGGCTTGGGGCTGACAGAGTCGTAGGTTTCGCTTTTCTTCTTTGTCGGCAACTGTACTAAGATTCATACAGCTTCAATTCAAAGTTGTCACTCCGGATGGGCAAGTTCGAACCGCAAATCATTGTCAGAACGAAGATCTTTTCTTCGCCCTTCGAGGTGGTACGTCACTTCTGAATCAGTACCCGATCTCCTTTATTTCCTAATACTCGAGTACACTGTCAAACAGGTGGGGCAGGCACCTTCGGAGTCGTTATGGAAGCGACGATCTTGGCTTCACCACCCACGACGATTCAATCGCTCGCCTTACACTTCGAGACTCCAAACATCACCAGGACCTCCGAAGCCTGGTCTATTCTCGCCGAGAACGGGCTTAAATGGGCAGATGACGGATGGGGTGGATATTCTTTCGCAGGCACTATCTACCTAGTCAATCCCAAGCTGGATGCAGAAGAGGCCGCGTCGTCTTTAGCGCCCCTCATAGAGTTCGGCGAGAGGATTATGCGGGAGGGAACCGGATCCGCAACTCTGTTAACCAAGGAATACCCGACATTTGGTTCTTTCTACGCTGAGTTCTCAGCACAAACATCGGGCGGTGCTGTATGTTCATGCCCCGAATCAAGTCCTTGTGAAACCGATGCTGATTACTTTCTTACGCAGCCCGGTAGTCGAAGTCTGGCTATGGCTTCTCGGCTTGTCAACAAGGCCAATTTCAGGTCTCCCGAAGCCAGACAGGAATTGGTATCGGCACTTCTGGCAACTGATGAGGAAACACCCGTCAGTATAATTATTGCCACTCCGGCCTCCGTTCCTTCCGATGGAAAAACAAGTTTCAACGACGCATGGCGAGACAGCCTGTACCTGGTCGTTGTTGATTCGTCTTGGAATTGGAATTCAACCAAAGAAGAAATAAGCGCCCATTACGAGACGGCTAGGCGCTCGATTGGGCACATCCGAAGGATCACGCCAGACGCTGCTTATATCGTGAGCTGTCTTTCCATTCTTGCCTCTGCCATTGGACAAAGATCTTACGCGCCTCCAGAACGAGGCGGACATCTATGAGCCAAACTTTGAAGGTAAATTTCATTTCGCCCGTGTCGAGATTCTGCAATTCTAACCATTTGGATAGAATCGTTCTGGGGCACCCACTATGATAGATTACTGGCAGTTAAGAAGAAGTAGTAAGTCGAAAAACTGTCTATAGGGGAGTCACGTAGCTGACGGGCAATACAGCGACCCAGGGTTCCTGCTTGACTGCTGGCACTGTGGTAAGCAATCATCGTTCGTGTATTCATATTAGTGCCATTCTCATCAACCATATGCAGTTGGATGGAAAGAATCTCGGGAGCGCTTCCGGTGCTACCTCCCTCCTCCGCAGTGAAACTGTGAACCCGATACGTGTATTGATCCCTCCAAAGACCTCTTGATCCAATAATGATTGCGCCGCGGATATTGTCCTAGTAGAAATTAACTTTTCATTACTTTCGCATGAATCCATTTGAAGGCTTGATCTCTCTCGTGTCGCCATTGATATCATGCATGCCCATTCTTGTATGAGTTTGGGGCGCGTTCGCTCATAACTGCAGATAATCTGGGTCGAGGGGTGCGCCCTATTGAGAAGCAGAATTGAATCGACGTCGGGTGACAGACAGAGTGATAGACGTACGTGGATCGATCGATTCGACGGCCTAACCCTTCTCCAGAGTACATGGAAAGAGTCAAATAAATTCTCTGTAACAAAAGGTCAGTTGGGCCAGCGCTTTAGCGACATTGAGAAATGCGTACTGGAGTTTCCTGAATGCACAGCGGCCCCAACAACATCTAAGAGCCGCTCTTGAACGACGGGATTTGTTTCACGAGATATAATCAAGCGCTCGAGTGTCATGTTGAACTCGAAGGCACAGCATTCCTCCCTGAAGGAGGCCGAACTCTGTTCCAATAGAATTGCCAACAGCTGTTGCAACGGTTTCAACAAGCGATTCCTCGAAAGAGATGGGTGTCTCACCTGTATCGCATAAAGTTGGTGCGTCATGAGGACTGGCTTCCTAACGAAAACGTTGTCAGCGGCCGTTGCAAGCTAGTCCCATGCGGACTCACTCCAAGTGTTGCTTAAGCTGCTGTGCTGCGTCCCGAGCTGACTGTCCGTCCTTTGAGGCCTGTGTACAGAGAATGCGAAGCAGATCCTTATCTGCCAACTCATTTTCGACCAAGGTTTTGATCAGCCATGATAGCGCTAGGAAGCTAGTAGTAAGATAGACTCCACTGTGAGGAGAGAAAGCTTTACCTGTAACCCGTTCGAAGTCATTTTTTGCTCCTGAATTGTAAACATTCTGCGACAAGTTCCTTTCGTCAACCTCCAAGGTTGACATCGAGTCCACAACACTGGAAAGGCGGTAGACACCAGATCCAGCATCATATCCCTGCTCGTTGTCTTGCCAATGATGAAGACGTCCAACGGGGAAAGGATCCAGGCGCGTGTGATAGGAAGGAATGCTGGTACTTGAGGAGTTCGGAGAGAATTTTGGGAAAGAGTACCGCGGGAGGTACTCGTCGACAAATTCCCCGTCTTCTTCCCTGTGCAGTTTAGATTCTATACCGGCTTTGGTTGAGGAAACGGACGAGTCGGCGGGGAAAATGTCTTCTGACGGCTTCTCTCCCCACTGGGGAATATTGAACCGTAGCTCGTGTTCGCTCCTCTCGTAATTGAGTTGCTCGGCTGAACGTGGGTTTGAATTCACTTGAGGGAGCGGCAACGGGCGTAGCGACCGTCTTGGGCATTCCTGACGAGTATGCGATGGACGACTGCATCCATCCGGCTGGTCAACAGGTTGTGGTCCTAGCCTTGACACTTCATACTCCCGCTCCCTTCGTTGAAGATCGCGGATGGCATCCTTCAGATGGCGTTCCTGGGCCAGAAGGTCAGCACGCTGGAACGACAGCTGGTGCTCGACCTGGTCAAGTCTTTCCGCCCTTGCATCGAGTTCCTGTTCTCGACGCTCAATCTCTGCCTCCCGGGCTTTGAGTTCTTGTCGCTTGGACCGCCAAAGCGCTATCTCTTCAGCCAACTCGTCAACCTGATCTAATTCTTCACTACTGGCACCAGAGTCATTGTAGGTGTGCCCAGTCCTGTCGCGATGGAGAGCTCGTTCTGGACCTTGGCCAACCCGTGGAAGGAAAATTGGAGGAGCGCTCTCCTGAAGCGTGAATGCATCGGCCCTTTGAATAGGCGTCCAGTCGAACTCTGTATCAGAAGAAGACGACTCAAGGGGTGGTGTCGTTGAAACTGGGCGAGGGGGTTGAGAGGACCTAGGTCTCCGTGGACCTCCTTGGTCTGAAGGAATCGTCGTTGGTCAGTCGGCCATAGTCCAGCGCTGGTCGCAAAGAAACCGTCTCACTGATCACGATTTGTACCCTTCCATATCTACTTCCCCGGATCGCGCTAAAGTCACCGCCATGTATCGCAAAATTTGAGGCCCGAGAAAAAACTGTTTGTTCCGCGCTGTGAAGTATGCAAAGTTACGGTTAGCATCGTAGGTACTACCCGACGCGTAAAAGCACGGTACGCACTGGTTTTCATTCAAAGTAAAAGGCTCAGGCTTAAATGGAGACGGAGTCGTTGGCAATGAGCGTTTTTGCGGAGGACCGGCGCCTGGTGCGGTAGGAAGCGCGCGCGAACGGCGACTAGACGACATGAAAGTAGTCGACTCCACTCATTCACATAGAGCGAGAAAGAGAGACTGCAGAAGATAACGGTGGCTCCCGGGCACCCTTTAAGGGCCGGATACAGTTAACAGCACTTAACGTTTATCACGTCAGGCTTCGACACTACTATGCAGTGCGATTACGATTAGGCCGTGGGGTGCACAGGTTCGACGGTCGCATGACGCCTGGAAAGTTATTATTAGCCACAAAGGTTTGGTGCATCAGAGATGGCAAGTGTCTCTGGAAAACCACCTTACATAGTGCGGGTAATCAGGGGCGGAAAACGGACATTGAAGCATTGGTTCAACGAGAACGTTAGCTAAGTTCATCCCAACCTGCGAAGCCAACAGGACATGGGAGTACTGATCAAGAAAGCACGAAAGGGGAATAGAGAAGGTGAGAATTGATGGCCGGTGATGGCCGCGGATTCTAACAGTTCGGAACTTGAAGAATCCACCCAAGTTGACGTTCTCCACAGACCATTTATCGTTATCACTGCTCGTACTTTCAGACTAGGAATTGTGTACCGGTTATCTGGAGAGTATGGGCGGGTAGTTCGAATTTAAGAGGGGCAGTAATCTATCTGCTCCTTCCTCATGAGAATACTCTGTCGACTTGAAGGAGATCTCTCAACGCAACTCGCTGCTTCAAGTTGCCTTCATATTTCCACCAGAATCACTTCGGTGTCGGCTGTGATGTTGACTATCGGGTTCTGAGCGTGATAATCTTTCTTGCGTGTGAAGTACTCTGTGGAATACTAATAGCTAGGTCCTCATCATCTCAGATTGAAAGGGCCCTTGATACCAGCCATGTCGTCAAGTTCGTCCAAGTTACTACTCGGTTTGACCGCATCCCTCGTTGCTTACAGGCTCCTTGCGAAATGGAGAACCTGGCGCTCAATTGGGTAGGTTCTGAGAATGTCACCGAGTTTCCACTGACTTTCTCCCCAGAAAACACCCCGGCAACTTCCTCACGTTTGGATTCGGAAACTTATTTGCTGTGTTCGCGTTGCCGCCCATTCGTTGGATAAGCCCTGGAACCAATTTCTTCTGGAACGAAAAGCACGCACGTAAGCCCGGACGAACTTTAGATGCTAATAAATACCTAAGTTTGTGAAAAGCATTCAAGAAATATGGATGGGACATCTTTTCCAGTGTAAGTACTAGGTTACCTATCTCTCCCCGACCCGCCTAGTACTAAGCCGCTGCGTCCAGTTCTCTATCTGGCCGGGGGGACTTCAATACATCATTGCAGATGCTGCTGCAATCCAGGTATGGCGAAGACACCCTCTGTTTTATGCAGCCACCTGACCAGTCTATCACAACGGCAGGAAGTGGCAGCCTCTCGGACTCGATTTCGAAAGCCTGTAGAACTCTACGAACCGGTGCTGAACATATTCGGCGCCAACATTCTTTCATCCGAGGGGGAAGAATGGAAGAGATTTAAAAAGATAGTATCCCCAGCTTTTTCTGAGGTGCGTCGTTTCTGGTTCGCACTAGAAAACTCATCACAGATATGATTACTCTGAGCAGCGAAATTCGCGGCTCGTATGGGATGGGACAACGCAAGTCGTGGCCCAGCTTTTCTCGGACGAATGGGGAAATAAAGATCGGGTTACTCTCGACGATGTTGCCAAGGACCTCACGTTCCCGGTAAGCACTTTAGCAGCTTCAATAAATCGGGCAGTTGAGAAACTCGTTTGGCCCTGAAGATTGCACTTGCTGTCATCAGCGCTGCCGGTGGGTTGCCACAGTACTTCTTCTGCGGTACGCGTGCGCTAATCCGCATCAAGGCTTTGGACAACCGATCTCTTGGAAGGACGAGGATCACTGTCCTCCAGGACACAGAGTATCGTTCAAGCAGGCCCTTCAAATAGCTGCTCAGAATCTCGTAGTCCGAGCGGCGTTTCCCAAGGTCATTCACAAGTCAGTACCAAGTCTGCGAAAGATAGATCTGGCTTACGAGGAACTTGAAGTGCGTCGCTCGGTATTCGGTATTTGCTCAGGCAACTGACAATAGGCTTCTAGTCGTACATGCGAGGCCTCATCCGGGAACGACTGGACTCTACGGATAAGGTAGACCGTAACGATTTGCTGAGTCTCCTAGTCGAGCATAGCAACGAGGGTACACAAGGAAAATCTCTGACAGATGAAGAGGTGATGGGGAATGTATTCGTATTCCTCATGGCGGGGCACGAGGGAAGTGAAGAAGTATACCTCTCGCTCATTTCATCTAACTGAAACTTCAGACGGCCGCTCTCACCCTTTCCTTTGCTTTCGCGTTACTCGCTCTGTACCCGGAAGAACAAGAAGCAGTATACCAAGAAATCAAATCGGATACAAATCTCCCGGTGAGTACAAGACAGGCATTTCAGTTCACGAGCCTAAACCGACATTATATCGAGTCCTACAAATCGATTACTTCGCTCGTCAGAACCCTGGCGTAAGTCATATCCTTCCCTCAAGAATGCTAAATAACTAGGTTCCATGATTTCGAAGCGTATACTATGAAACTCTCCGCATGTTTGGACCCGTAAGTGATCTATGTATTGCCCTTGTGATTCATTCTCCTGAATCTGGATCAATTTGCATCATTGACACTAGGCATCCGAAGTGCCGAAGGTTGCGAACGAAGATACGACTCTAACTACCGGGAACCTGGCTGGCGAGTCTAAGACGATCCCCGTTCCCAAGGGCACAAGAGTGAGCTTCAGCCTTCCAGGAATCCACTACAACCGTGCGTATTCCAAGTTGCCCGAGTTGTTCCTTCCTATGGTGAACAACTTGCACTTACAGCGAGATACTGGACCGACCCACACGAATTCAAGCCGGGTCGATTTCTCGACCCAAACTGGCCTCGGGATGCATTCATACCCTTCAGCGCAGGCCACAGAGCATGTATCGGACGACGTTTCTTCGAAGTCGAGGCGATCGCGGTGATGGTAATGGTGCTGTCTCGGTACAAGATCATCGTTAAAGAAGACCCTCGATTTGCTGCTGAGACCTGGGAAGAGAAGAGGGCGAGAGTTCTTGCGTGCAAGGCCACGGGAGTGACATTGAGGTCAGTGCTTGAGTTCATCTCACCTGAGGCATTCATCTTATTTCCTTCCAGCCCAAAACGGGTTCCCTTGACCTTCATCAAGCGCTGAGAGTTCTTAATATCGTCACAACATATTGTAGGATACCACTCGGATACTATCCCTGCCTCTCTTGCTGTCTACCTATGCCATTCTTCAAGAACTCGGTCTCACCCATAAAGGCGTAGTGGTAAGGTTCCGCCGAAAGGCGGCGTGTCATGTTCCCAGTGATGGCCGTGATGGCCGAGCCGAGCTCATGCAAAAGTTGGAGATTCCTCCTCCGAGTCCTTGTTGGCCAAAGGTCATTAAATGTTTAACGAGGTGAGGAAAGGCTCAGAGACATAACTGCCTGGACAACCAGCTGGCCTCTACCTGCAACGCTCGTCACATCCCCATGCCAATTTCTCCGGTGATTTTTCAACGGGCGCCGCGGAGAAGCGACATGTCAGAACGCAATTCGCTGCAAGGGTCGCTTGGGAGTAAAACCTGTGCATGGTGACGTTGACGAACTGGTTCTCAGAATGATCATCTCCTCGACGTGTGAAACGCTCGGCTGAAAAGTCCAGCTTCTATCGTTTGGTGAACCGCACCTTGCCCACCAACCATGGCGTCGAGCTCATCCTTGCTGCTCGGACTGACAGCGTCCCTCGTAGCCTACAGGCTCTTAGCTCTGTGGAAGGCTCGCCGTTCAATTAGGTGGGTCTCTTGGGATAAGACAGCGGCTTAAGCATCACTGACACGCATTCAGCTACCACCCTGGCAACTTCCTCACCTTTGGCTTTGGAAACCTGTTCGCTGCTTTCGCGTTGCCACCTATCAAATGGATTAGCCCTGGAACCAATTTCTTCTGGGATGAGAAACACGCCCGTGAGTGATATCCATCCGGAGCCGTAATCACAAGCACAATCTGACTTCATGAGTAGCATTTGAAAGATATGGCTGGGACATCTTTTCCAGTGTAAGCGTCGTTCTTGCATTTTGAATTTCCCTCAAGTCCTGTTTTCAGTTCTCTATCTGGCCCGGGGGACTGCAACTCATTGTCGCCGATGCCGCTGTAATCAAAGTACGGCCTTCATCTTCCCTCCTCCCTGGGCAGTCGCTTATCAGGACATCACAGGAAGTATCGTCCTCAAGGACACGATTTCGAAAGCCTATTGAGCTGTACGGACCCGTGAACATATTCGGAGACAATATTCTGTCTTCTGAAGGTGAGGAATGGAAGAGGTTCAAGAAGATAGTCTCTCCAGCCTTCTCTGAGGTACGTCGGTATAGTTTTACTCAAGATCGGGAGACGCACTGAGGGTGATTCGAATAGCGTAACAATCGACTTGTATGGGAAGAGACCATTCAAGTTCTCGCTCAGCTCTTCTCAGACGTGTGGGAGAACAAAGATCGAGTTACGATCGACAACACTAAAGATCTCACGTTCCCAGTAAGCAGCTTCGACCAGTTGAGCAGTCACCATACTCACTACTTAATATCCAGATTGCACTGTTTGTCATCGGCGCTGCAGGTAATCCACATTGCTCCTAAACTTGGTGCCAGTGCGCTAATTGTGCGCCAAAGGATTTGGTCGGAAAATCTCATGGAAAGAAGAAGACAACTGTCCTCCAGGACACGCAATGTCGTTCAAGCAAGCGCTTCACATTGCTGCAGAGAACATCGTCGTTCGAGCAGCATTCCCCGGATTTATTCGGAAGTTGGTACCCAGCTTGCGAAAGATAAATTTAGCTTATGAGGAGCTGGGGGTATGTATGCTTTCAACGAGCTCGTACCCTCAGAGCCAACCTAACCTCCTCTTGGTAGCTTTACATGCAAGACCTCATTCGGGAACGCTTAGATTCGGCTGAGAAAGCAGAGAAGCACGACTTGCTGAGTCTCCTCGTCGAACATAGCGATGAGGACAAAGAGAACCCACTGACGGATCAAGAAGTCATGGGAAACATATTCTTGTTCCTTGTTGCTGGGCACGAGGTAATGATTCCAGTAATCTTTTCCTCCTTTCGCCCGATTCTAAATACCGATATAGACGACAGCTCAAACACTCTGCTTCGCCTTCGCTCTCTTGGCTTTGTACCCTGAAGAGCAAGACGCGCTTTACCAAGAAATCAAAACCTTTGTCCCGGATGCAACGTTGCCTGTGAGTAAACCACCGCTATTCATGGCCACGAACCTAATGACCTTACTTCATCGGCATCCAGCCATACAATGTACTACCTCACCTCGTCCGCACCATGGCGTAAGTCCACCTTTTCCTCACGGAAGCTTGAACAAAGCTAACGTCTCAAAATTTAAAGTGTGTACTATGAAACTCTGCGCATGTTCGCTCCCGTAAGCTTCATTCAAACTCCTCACCTCTAATTCATTCCGCTCAAACCTCCGGTATAATTAGGCATCCGAAGTGCCGAAGGTCGCGACCGAGGACACAGTTTTGACTACCGGAAACCTAGCTGGTGAATCCAAGACGATCCCCGTTCCCAAAGGCACGCGCATAAGCTTCAGCCTTCCAGGGGTCCACCACAATCGTGCGTGCCCCACCCTATGTACTCCCCCTGCTAGAACCCCTTTCTCATGCTCAAGTCATGATCATAACGACCTTTGAACAGCGAGATACTGGCCAGACCCACTCGAATTCAAACCAAGCCGCTTCCTAGACCCCAACTGGCCTCGAGACGCCTTCGTACCCTTCAGCGCAGGCCATCGATCCTGTATCGGAAGACGCTTCTTCGAAGTCGAAGCAGTCGCAACGATGGTGATGTTGCTCTCTCGATACAAGATTACCGTTAAAGAAGAGCCTCAATTCGCTGGTGAGACTTGGGAAGAGAAGAAAGCGAGAGTTCTTGCGACCAGGGCGGGGGCCACTTTGACGTCAGTGTCTGTTTCCTCGCGTTCCAATGGAATGAGCTAACAGAAGAGTTATTTCTAGTCCTCAGCGAGTTCCTTTGACCTTCATCAGGCGCTAAGCGCCGGTACTCTAGCGATGCCTTTGGTTTCAGACACCCGCACCGAGCTCAACGATCGCTCCATTCGCAGCATCTGCCCACCTAAGAAAAAGAAACTTACGAGAATAATTAATTGCCAGAGGTACAGTAGAGTAGGCGATATATCTGGTAGTACCTATAAGTAATCGAAAACGAGAAACTGAGGAGACTAGCGCGAACGCGTGTAAACTGTCATCGTATAGCAGCTGTCATCATGTGCATAGTGGTACTAAACGAACTAGTACGGATAGTAGTGCTAAACGAGCCAGTCAGCCAGGCGTACGTAGTGACCATGGGACGGTATGATACGGGAACGTGTTGGAATGCATTGTAAAACTACAACTTGTATGCGTGATGGATGATGGAACGGAATCACGGGTCATGGAAGGGTGATAATTACAAGGGAAGAAGAGGAAAAGGAGAAGATTCGAGAGGCAAAGGAAGAGAGAAGCGGAAGAACAAAATGTTCGAAGAAAACCGAACGACTATCGTGATACTACGTGAGACATGGCTCCGAGACAGAGCTCGTTCATACTTTTTCGTAAACCAACGCGTCGGGGACAGCGCCATATACATAGGTTCATAAGAGGCACAGCAGCTGTTGAGAGGCTGACATGCTTGAGGAGGGGGATGGAGAATTACTTGCAAGCAATCGGAAGTTTGTCGAGCAGAAGAGGAAGGGGAATCGCCGGAAAGAGGATAGGGAATGATCAAGAGTCAGACGACACGCTCTGCGCTATGGCGAACCAGGGTTTGAAAGTTGAAATGAAGAATGATCTGGAACCCAAACCTGTGATCTACTGTCCAAGAAAAAAAGTGGTCGAGGCAAGAAGAGGAAGCCAGAAAATGAGATGAAGGAAAAAAACAAAGAAACGGCCCACAATGGAGTCGTTTTTCGATAATAAATTACACTTGAGCCATCACAAACGTCCGGCCAATAAGAAAAGAAGACTGAACAAGGCAATGGTCAGTCAATCAATACCCGTCCACCAGTAAAGCCAGATACTCACGAAACCAAAAACCCAAAATACAAAAAACCTCGATCACTCTCTAGGCCAAATATCAGTGACAGTCCTTCGGCGTTCCTTCGTGACTCTTGGCAACACGGTTGAAGCCGCATGCCTATCCGCCGCATGCGCGGTCGACTCCTTCCCAAACGGCGTCCCACTCCCCGTGCTCGTACTCGCAGGCAACCCAGCTCCATCAAGCGACGCTCTTGCAAGTCTCGGCGCTGTACCCAAACCCAGTGTCGTCCTCCGTCTTGAAAGATCACTTCCACCTTCATTCGACTGACCCCTAGCCAAAGCGATGGCCGCCAACTTCTTGGGCTGTTGCTGGATCTCTAACCTGGCTTTCGGTACCAATGGCGAGTTCGACTGGGACTGATCACTGCTAGACGCGCGTCCGTTATCCATGGAGGTGCCCCGTCGCTTCCGCTCATCCTCTCGTGCCTGTTGTTGGATCCCCGACAGCGCTGCAGTGACAGACGAAGGAGATGGTCTCGAGAAGGTCACTGTCGATCTGGCCGACTTGCCCGAATCCGTCCTCAAAAGCGGAGGTGTTTGCTCTGACGAATTGGAGACCGTGTGAGTAGTGAGACTGGTAGTAGCGCTACCAGGTGCAGTCAGGTTGGGCAACGAAGGAGGTTGGGATCCGCGAACGGTGACGATTGAAGCAACAGATGGTTTCCGTCGTTCGTGGTGTCGATCCCCAACTGAACTGGGAACGTTCCTCTCGCCCGAAGCTGAAGATGTGTGGGAGGAGCTCTCGCTGTTGCTATTTGAAGGTTTGCTCATCGGAGTTCGGCGTGCTTGCTCTGGAGGAAAACTTGTTCGAGTGAGGGTTCGGGTCCTGGGCGTTGGCGATGGCTCCACCTCGGTTCCTTGAAGGGTTCTCTGTGAGTCCGAAGGGCGCAACACTGACGGTGGTCGAAAGTGGTCAAACTGTCCTTCCAATTGACGTTCTCGTTGTTGACTAGGGGTGAAGAGCCGCCGAGCGGAACCAACAAGGTGGGACTGAATTCCATTGGGTACCGAGGGTAAAGGTTTGTTGGCACCTGACGAAGCTGGAGATGGCGTGTCATAGACGTTCCTCTCCCTCTCGCGGAACGCATTGATAGCTGGGGAAGCCCGAGCCATGCCAAGTGACGACTCCCTCCCATAACCGCCGGAGAGCCTGCGCATCGTCTCTTCTCGCTCCCGCCTCGTAGCCGAGTCCACGCTGAGTCGACCACTCGAACTCTCCGCCTCAGCGACCGCACGTTGATGTTGTCTAATCCCCTCCTCATCCAAACTCAGACTCCTCCCATGGCCGGCAGGCGATCCGTACTCCGAAGCAGCACTCGGGGACAGCCGTCGCATCGTTAGACCCACGTCGATGAGGAAGCTTGTCAACGCTCGAACAAGCTCATCGGAAGCTCTCAACCCCTCCCGATACTCCCCACCGACCTTCTTCCATAAGGTCAACATATCCTCCGTGCCGCTGACATCCGAGTCCACCTCTGCGTTAATCTGTGCCTCTAGCGCTCGATTCGTCCCGGTCCGCATCAACGTGTTTATTCGCTCGGTCGTGTAAACCACGTTTTCAGCATGCTTTAGGAGTTCGGCGGCAGTGGGGACCCTGCCCAGCCCGTTCACCGCAGTCGTCGGTAGTTTGGATAGATTGCCCTCGAATGTCGAAAGTGTCTCCATCAATATTCGCACGTGTTCTGCAGCAGACGATGAGGCTCCTGGTGCAGGCGTGGCAACCATGCGTCTGGATCCGAATGGACTGGCGGTGGAATGTCGATCGTGTAGGTGTTTCGGTACAGCGGTCGCAGTGGTCGTTGCGGTCGAAGGGCCTTGAGTGAATGTGGCAGAATTCGGTGGCAGGCTAGCTCTGTCTAATTCAAGTTGATCACGTTCGGCACGAGTGAGAGACAGATCACGACTTCTTCTGGACGGTGGTGGATCGTGGTCCCGGGCAGCAGACAAAGAATAGGTGCTGCGATGGTTACGCAAAGCAGTCAAGCGTTGCCTCTGTTCTTCCTCCCCATCTTGTTCTCGAAGACGATCCATGGTGCGATAGTCAGCCATGGACGTGGCAGCACGCGAAGTTAGTTCTCGTGCAGGCGTAAATACACGGCGCTTGCCTCTGTCGTCGTCTAGCGGACTGTGGTCGACACGTCTGTCCCGTTCACGGAAGATGTCTCCAGCACCAGATGAGGGTCCAATCGTCCTGGCCTCGTCTCGCCGTGGGGTGAGGCCCGCGGCACGGAGACCTTCGCCTACCAAAGTACGACCACCTGGACTGAACAAAGCGCTTTCAGCACTTCCACCACGTAATGTTTGTCTCCGCTCCCTTTTTCCTTCGACAGGCGAGTGGGCACCTGCATTGTGATAATCCTCGCTTCCCCAACGGGGTATTGAGCCGCCACTCCGAGAAACTTCCCGAAGTGTTGAAGATCGACCAATGTTGCTTCTGTATGGGGTAACAGGCTCAAGTGAAAGCTAAATGGTTGAAAGAAATTAATCGAGATGGCAGCATATATGAACTGAACGGAACGTACCCGACTACGGTCCTCAAAGTCGACACTCTTCCTGCTCCTCGCTTCACTCGCTACGGATCTCGTGTCGGCGGACTCCACAGTACCTTCCCTGAACTCTCTAGGCAGGGCACCTCTTCTCCTTGTCCCGGTTGGGCTTCTCCGTGACTGAGCAACGGCGGCGAGCGCACTCTGGGTAATGTCCCTGACCGTGTCTCGGTCCCGATCTCGGGCTCGATCCCGCCCATAGCCAGATGTCGATGTGTATCGGTGTTCAGCACCGTGGTCGTCGTCTTCGCCATCGAGGCTGCGAACCGGTGTCATCGGGACGATTGATGACCGTTTTCGTCTTCTGGTCGGGCTGTTGCTTGCATTAGACGAGCCCGAAGCGTTGGTCATGAGGCGGGCTTTCTGCGGGGAGTCTGGTGCTGAGATATGGCGGAGACGACTGTATGGACTGGAAGTTCCGACCAGAGCAACATCGTTATCTCCGGAGCTTGGGGTAATTGGACGGCGGGATGAAGATGCATGGGAGGAGGATGAATACGAATGAGAAGATGAATGGGTGTGCACCGAATCGCCTTCACGCTCAGTCTCGGATCCAGACGCTCCATGGTCTTGCGTTGGTGGTGTAGGAATCGTTCGAGCTTGCCGCAGTCTGGAAGATGAGGCTACTGAAGAAGCCTGAGAAGGTGACCTCGAGCCTGATGGCCTGCCTGTCGACGGCGACGGCGAGCCTAATCTCGAGAGTTTGTCGATGGCCTTGTGAGGCGACAACGGCGCATATATCAATTCGAGGAGAAATGTCGCCATGGCGGTCAGAGTCAGGAGCAAGGGCGGCGGACTAAGACAAGACTCACCATCCTATTCCGCTGCGTCAGACTCATCACACGCTGCAGCGCTGACTTGTTATCATTCGAGCTTTTGCCATAAAGTCGTCGATCCAACCGCGCGGTGTCGTCGCCGTCCAGATCGTTGGTGTCGTCGTCGAGGTCGTGGTCCCCGTAATGGTGGGGTTCATCATCATGAAGGTGTGCTTGCCGACTGCTGCTTCTGATGCTGCTGGGCGTGGTGTGCATGTGGGTGCGCTCAGAGAGCGTTCTATGGCTACTACCGCTTGTACTTGCGCTACTGTCGCTCGCAAACGACAGAGGTCGTTGTCGAAGCGCTATGCTGCCTGGGTCGCCAGTGCTTCCGCTTCCAGTTGAGTTCGTGGCTGGAGGTGATGGCAGACCGGATCCTTCAGATCCTATGCTCGAGCTTGGACTTGGAGGCTCTGGGAGGTCTGGCAAATTTGGCGGGACGCCGTTGGCAAGGTAGTTCGACGATGACGACGAAGAATGTTGTATTTGCGTAATGTGGTTGTTTGCCGATCCCCCAATGTTGGGGCTGCTTCCAAGATATATCGCTGAGACTGGCCGGCTCTCCTTCGACTTTATTGCGGGCCTTGGGGGCATTGAGTTGGGTTCGTCGACGTCAATATACAGCCCCGGGCTCCAATTTGAAATGGAAAAAGTCGCGGCAAAGGGAAAGGAAAAGCGAGCGTATCTAGAAAGGATCGGCTGTTGTCGTGTTGCTGAAGAGGGCGCAGGTCATGAAAATTAAGGGCGTGCTCGTCGACCGTGGCGACGGGCAGCTTGTCGAGGACGTCGTGGGCAACGATGAGCAACGAGGAAAAAGGCAGGATCTAGTGAAAATGCCTTCATTTCGCCGGAAGTATCCGCTTTCGGATAAGATCATACTTAATTACTTGTATCACCCTCGCTTTTGGTCCGCCGTTGTGTTGCCAGCGACGGTGAGCTTCGTCGTCCGTCTTCGTCCTTGACCCTCGTCGTCGACATCGACCACGTTCCATGAGAACGTCTAGGATGAAATTCCGTTGTCACTCTAGCCCGAGGCTGCGTTGTCAGTGGGCATGACAAACCCATTCCGAATGCCAGCGGAATCCAGGTTCTGAAATTCTTAGCCAGGCGGACAACGTCTATAAACAGCCTGAATGGAGCTCGGCATTATCTGACCACTGTTCAAGTGTTTATCAGTTCCACCGGAAAGCCAGGCGCGCGGAAACTGAGATCCCGGGCGTGATCCAGTTCCCTTCTGCCCGAGCCCGTCAATGGTATGTATAAAAACCCTTTATGTGATTTACACTACTTATATCACCGATCCTATACCCTTTACAGGCCCTCTCTAACATACACACCCCTCGCCCACTCAATGGCTGCTGCACTACCATCGTTGGAGGAGCAACTCCTCTCTGCAACGAACGCGTTTCTCAAAGCGCTAGCTTGCAACCTATCCCCTCTTCGTCTCCTCTCCTTTTTCTCCTCTTCGTCTCCAGTAACCCTCCAACACGCGCAAGCACGGTGTCCCCATGCACAGACATCACGATTCACAGGGCTTAACGCCGTTAGATCGTATTTTGACCTTCTTACAGCCCACTGGACACGTTCTGCGATGCAGATCCACAGCAGACCATGGCTTGATGTCCAAAAACGTCGTATCGTCATCGACGCTAGTGTCACTTGGATGTGGCGCTCGAGCGGTCGAACATGGACCGAAGACTTTATCTGCACAATCGACTATGACGATGCTTTCAAAATCGTCAGCTTTGTCGTGGAGACAGAGTCACCACCAGAAACGTGTATCATGACAGCGAAGGACATACCCTCTGTGTCAGCCGCTTCTTTTCCAGCCATTCGCCCATCGTCACCGCTGGCTCCAAGCCCCAGAAGAAGTTACTTCTCCGTAAGTCGTTCTCCGAATATCCTCTGCAGCCCTCACTGGCACGTTGAAGGGTTCTTGACCTCTTGACCTCCTTTTCTCTGCTTCATCACCGCCCATTCGCGGCTTTAATCTCTTTCTGTGCCCACGAGAACATTCCAAAGTCTTCTTCTCTCATCCTCCTTCCCGAAATTCCCGCAAAACCACTAATTAAAATGTCCCTATAGGAGCTGCATCGGATATAGGCCTACAACTACCGCGTTGCCGCTTGTGCAGCCGACCACGAAGCTCCTAAAACATACCATATATTCCATCACCTGGACTCGGCCTCGGGCATCCTCTACGACACACACACCCCCATTTCTACAGTCGTCGCTTCCACCGCCTTTCGGATTTATCATATGCGTGCTTGTGCCTGGCACAGAGGCACTTTTTGTTCACCGGTTCCCTCGACCCTGCTGGGATTTTCCGAGGAGGCCATTCGTGTTTGACTCCTTTGTCTCACCCATCTCCCATAGGCCGTGGGCTTTCGTGGAGATTGTCGCACCCCCGACCAAGTTTGCACCAAGGAACACGATTTTTTGACACGGATACTCCATGATTGACCAATCCCTCTCTCGTCATGCCACTCAAATCCCCACTTATGGACTTCTCATCCTATCTTTTCTCATCTACCGCCACATCCTCTTGACATACCGCATCTGCTTCCATGTACTTCTAGCACATATCTCACTAGCTCCATTTACGAAAACTTGCGTGTACATCCAATGTCACAATTTACGAGCCCCCTTCAGCCGACTGGCATACTGTGACCGCATGACACCACTATACCCTCAACACGAAAATTACACACCACGTTGACGACTCATCGAACCGGTGAGCCGGCGACACGACACCGACTACTTTAGCCAGTCATCGATCCCCGCCTCCGTCCCCGAACCTCCCGACATACGAGGAAGTCGAAGCTCATGCATTTGCATCACGCTCGGCCAACGAACCATCCCCTGTTCCGACCTATACCCGGAAACGACTGGCCACCTTCCCCGAAGGAAGGAAGGGAGAGCATGCTAAGGGGGAGAGTATGCTAAGCACACTCCATGCGTGTCGATGGATATGATTCACTGCCTTTTGCACCAAGCATCAGCACCAACTTTGTAACGACCTCACTTGATCCCCGACTCCGAATGATTGTGTGGGCCTTGGTGTCCGTGCATGGCGCAAAAGGTACCTTAGTAAGTACAAACAATATCATGCGTCCATATGCAGCGCGCTGTTTCATGACCGACCCCGCCTCAACAACGAGACATCGCTTTAGTACTAATTGCCGCAAGAATAGTAGCCCTCTTGGTGTCGCCCACAGCTGCGTGTTGAGACAGCACTTTCTTGCCATGCGGTACACACAGCACGCTTCGGCGCCGGCCTAAAACCAAGCTTCCTAATCTTCCTAATAATCCCACCCAAAAGCGCAAATCATCCATCCAAAACTCAAGTCAAACTGACTGACCACCGCCATGGGATCATTCGAAAGGAACGTATCGAAGCTTGAGCTTGAGCATCAACGACCGTTCTTCGAACTTCGAACGGGATCTTCCTTGGACTTCTCCCTGAGAGTCAAGGTCCATTGTACCCGTCCAAACAAGCCTAGAAGGGGGTCAAATCCATTTCTTCCAGAAGACCTCACCCTCACGCGTGGTTCAGCCCGAATGGGCGAAGGAGAGCTGAAGATGACGTCGTTTATCGTGCACCAGTCCCGCCCGAGTACTAGGCGGAAAGCGAGTTCCGAGTCTTATGATCTAACCGAGGTGGTCGTGTGCATTGTGGGAGCCAGGGGCCTGGGGACAGTTGATTATGCCTGGTAAATCTGATGTCGTGACTGGCAATAACCATAAAGTGCAGTCTGCTTGCAAAGCCTATCACGCGTCTCTTTGTGGAAAGTGAAAAGCTCGGAAAAACGAGTTGAATGTTACACCGGTTTTTAGTAAGTAAAACCTCATTGCCTAGCAAGCATCCTTGTCCTCCGCACGACACCGCCCAAATTGAAGCTTATCCTTTATTGAGACACCTCTAGCACGCGCTCCGTATCATTCCAGTTGAAGTCACATTTGCTATTGAACATGTTCCGTTACGTTAACTATTCTACACTTGGCAAGCTACCCGGGGTCATTGGTCAAGGATTTTCAAGCTTCGGTCCCGAGCGCTGGAATATACCGAAAAGATAATCGGTTGATTATCTTTGTTACGACGCCCGGCTCCGAGTGTAGATGTGGTACATAGGCGTGAACCGGAAAGTGTAACTTGGAGGAGGGAGGAAGGCGGGTTCAAAATTCGAAAGTGGCGTGTTGCCTATCAAGGCTTGGCGGGAGGAATTACTTGTCGAGCTCACAGCAGGTGTAACACCTCGTGCTTCTGAATGAATTGCTGGTCCTCAGCATCTACCTTTCATAGAAAAACGTGAGGGGAAGCAATTCAATATTCCAAAGGCAATAGCTCAGTCCCCTCCATTTTCAATTTGCCACATCCGAGTCGTCACGATCGCTACCAATAACCAGAATCAATGGAATTACTACTGAAGGGTCTCCAGGTTCAATAGACATCACTTTTAATGAGGAAAAAATTCTCCTAGTTACCTTCAGCACCATTCGAGAACCAATACAGGCCACCTCGGCCAAGTATCTTTTCGCTCGAAACCCGCCATCCAAAAATGGAACGGCATTTTCTATATTTGGAATCGATCCATCAAACACACGATCACCCCGTGTAACCCAAAGAAGGGCGTCATATCAGAGCTCGGGAACACGATTCACAGAAATCAGGCAACCTGAGGGCACCAAAATTAAGATACGAAGCACCGATGCTGACCAGTCCATTCGGTCATCGCGTGATCTCTCATCTCCTTGTGAACGTCAACGGAACACGGTTCGGGCTAAGTATCGAAGTAATTCGGGATGGGTATCATCATACCCCATGTCGATTAGATAGTATCAGCAAAGTGCCCAGGAAGCTTGTGCAGGAATGTACGCACGTCAAGGTGAGACCACTCCTCGATGACAGAACCCTCGCCTTACGCTGCTCGAATGTCTCCCCGGAGAATTGAGGCTCTTCGTTGACTGTCACATCTTTTCTCATGCCATGGAGCGGACGAGCAGCGGCACTACGTTAGAAGGGCAAGTTATGAATGAAATCGATGTGATGACTCCAAGATTGAGAACTGACTGACAACTGTCCGGGATAAATGTGTTTCCTAACTTCCTGGAATACCGCTTCTTGCTCTTCGGGGTACACCGCAAGCAAAGCAAAAGTGCAGCAAAGTGTATGCGCAGTCGACTGAAAGGCGTGCGAGGGACTTCGCGTGGAAGAGCTGAGAATATACCTCGTGGCCCGCGACCAGGAAAAAGATGTTTCCTGTCAAGAGTCAGAATGAGGGTGGAATGGACGTCTCGCGCGAAGGTGACGCACACATCACCTCCCTGCGCACCAGCTCTCAGGAGTCAGGCCGGACCTTTCGGCAATCAGCGTCGACTTTCCCACCCCTAATTTGGGCGCCTAATTTCGCCAGTGACGCAGCCACCTCGTTGACGTCAACGCCCACAACTACGAGCCAACGTTTCACAAAAATCGATAAGACTTTCCAGAATTATCGACCTCGATGCCAAAACGCCTTTCGATTGCCAGAATGCACCAGATCCGACGTTGACCCTGCACCGATCCACGTGGCAGCTTCGTGTTGTGTGGTCGTTTACCTCATTGCCCCAGGTCGTCACTCGACAGTCATTCATCACAGAGAGACGTGGATGAACTATGCTATGCATCGTTGTTTCACCTCGCAATGGTTTATCATCACTCTTGGAATCACTTCGTTGCTTGGACCGTCCTCAAAACCTAGCATCGAACGCCCACCATCGTTACTCTCGCTCAACCCTGATCGCGTTCAAGGCGAGATCCTAGGACTTATCTTCGGAGGGCTTTTTCATCGTCGAATATGGTCCAACTACATATCTTCGACCCTGTCGAGAAGCTACGCCATTTATCACGACTGTGGAGTAGGGGCTCGAAGCGACGACAAGCTTTGGTCGCGGATCATGCACTATCAACCCAGGCGATTCTCCTCATCGACGACGAAGCGAGCCCAGAGATAAATGAGCAAGCGAAGCACGTTGTCTGTGGCAGAGAACTAGTTCGAGATTCGGAGTATTACAAGGACGAGGCAGGGGATGGACTATGTATCTTCAGAGCTGGGAACGTCTTGTTCAGGGTAAGTGATTCAGAAACAATACCGCCGTGTATGCTTAGACTAACCTGTTCTCTAAAAGGTACATCGATGTCTACTGATGAGAGAACCGTCGGTCTTCAGAGACATGCTGAGCCTACCACGACCCGCTGGAGCGACTGATGGTGTAAACGACGATAATCCCATCCCTGTCGATGATGATCCCGAGCATCTAAGGGATCTGCTATGGGCTTTCTACGCTCCGTGAGTCATCATTCTCAACGATTCCACCTTTATCCTTCTGAGACATGGCGTGAAGACCTAGCCAATTCTGCCTCTACACCACTTCCAATCACGTCCCACTCGAACGCCTGCTCAACATCGCCGACCTCGCCAACAAATACTGCATCGATTTCTACGAATCATGGTCGATGGAGAAGGTCTACTCCATGATGAAGGAAGATCCCAGGATCCTTCGAACTGGATCTCCGGAGACCTGCGCACGAATCCTCCATCTCGCCTATATAAACCGGCACTCCAACCTCTACGATTTGGCTACTCGATCCATTGTTTCGAGACTACTATGGTCCGATATGGACCCTCGACCCATCCGCGATGTGGGCAAAAGACACGGTCTCCGAAAGATCCTTGGACCTGCCTACTACAGGGAACTTCTCCGACTCGAAGCTGAGGACAGCTCCTCTAACGCGAAATACTCGGCGGACTTGGATGCTTCACGGAAAGCCTTTTCTGAAGCAAGGATGGCGTTTCTTTGTCTTTGGGAGCGTCTTCGGGACTCACAGCCTTCCCTCTCCCACCGGGACTGCTGGACAAGTCCTCAAGCCTGTAACGAAGTTTGGAGAACGACCTGGCGTGAAGCGACCGCAGGGTCACATTGCCAACGCAATCCTCCATTGGACGTTCTTGGGCGTCTAAGGTCGGCGATGCGATATTGCAAGAAGAATCTTCCCGCCAACGGAGGGATCTGCATCTCGTGTACGATGGAAGCTTTAGAAGCGATTGCCGCCACGAGGGACGATGTGATAGAGCGATTGTATTCGTATTTCTGTCCTCAAAGTGAACAGTAATAGATAGCATGTTTTAATTATGGCATATGTACAGTAATACACCCCGTAGATTTAGCGTATGAATAGACCAAAGCGACGATAATAGAACCGCAGTCAGGACCTGCTGATTTTGATGAGGCAAGTGACGTGGTAATCGGCGAACAGTGTCCTTCCAAGCAGTGTATGGGAGCGAAGGATGAGATAGCCTGTCAGTGAGAACTCCTCGGAACTACGTCCTGACTCAAGACCAATTTAGCTTAGGATATTCCTGGGGAGCTGCGCAAAATCGAGTAAGGAGCATAAATACTGAACGGGGTGCAGTATCCTTTAGAGTCTTCTGAATCATGTCCCCCATCGTCGTATCCACTGCACAGGCCGTCACCACCGATGAACAGCCTGCAGCCCGAACTGACATGAGTAGGTCTCTTTCGCGAGGTATCGGGAACCTCCCGTGGTAACTTGCGAAGACATATCCAGGCCATCCCCCCTTTCGAAGCAGGCTCACACAGCCAAAGCTGAAAGATTGCGCGGAGGAGGGGCTGGTAAAGTACGTCGATTTCCGTGCCAAGAATTCAGACTCCAGGCAGATAACCCTTTCGCACAGGACTGTTTCCTGGGTCTCGTCGGTTGCTTCCTATGTTTCGGTGAGCCGACTTCCCTTCGATCTGCAGTCAACAACGCTGATAGAGAGAACAGAGTGCTGCGAGGTGGGAGCTATACCATGGTTACTCATCTTTGGCATGCTGACACGCAGCTTGTCCGGCCTCTTAGGGATGCTGTGACTGCATTGGCGATATTATCTGTAAGTCCTTTGATGCATGTAAAGTGACTTGTATACTGGATACTGAGGCCGACATATATCTTAGGCTGTCCTTGCGAAATGTGCTGCTAGGGCCTTGCCTCGACCTGACAAAAGTCACACATTGTAAATCTATGGTACAAATTTAGGCTGAGGACTTCTTTGAATCAATACGTCGTTAAGGCCGTGGCAGCGCCCCAATAGGGGCTGGTGGGTAGATAGGGGCACTAGCCTCCTAATCGAGAACCTACTTCACCAAAAATGGACATCGATCCTATTTCGAAGACGGAACCACCCAGAGTGCACCGTTGCGTGTGAAAGACAGTCACGAGAGTCACTGTCAAAAGGGAATGAGAACGAATGGAGCGCGTCAGCCACAGAGCATCGTCCTTCGTTTCGAGCCACCCAGATCCATTGCCGTCGACGTGTTTTGCCATGGAGGCATCGAGCGCCAGCACCAACGAGCAACCAGCACGGTCGACCACAATGGGTAAGTAAGAGATAGTAGATTTTGGTAAAGGGCGAGCATAACGATAACCCCAGCTATATCTCAAAGCGCAGACAAACTCGCCCAAGGCGACGACAAAACCCTACGCATCAGAGGCGGAGCCGTCGCAGTAAGGGTAAGTAAAAACCTGCGTTTCGACGAATGCGACTATAATTTACAGCTTGACCGAGCCTGTAGGACATTTCTAACACGGTTTTTGGATGCACCTCCTGCTCAGGTGAGTGTCGTGGGCCATTTCCTTTCCGCTCTTCTGACAGTTCTGTGCTCTGTAGAGTGCGCGACGGTCAGAATTTCTCTAAACCCTGCAGGGCGAGCTTTCGTTTAACTTGTCAGGGCCTAACAGGATACTTGTGACTGCTTCTTGGACGCCCTGTGTGAGTCCGGAATACGATGTGGAATGAAAGGTACTAATCTGTTGTTGGTCCGCTTGAAGGCTGCCCTTTCGCCACGCTTTGTAACTTGTTCTGTTGAAGCGTTCGTCGGGAATGTCGCATAAAATGGGATTCGCGAAGGACTAGAAGGTTACGATGTCTGTTGGAATAGAAAGTCGCTTCGCATGGTATACTTCTCCCCTTGTGACACCTCCTCGCCACTATGGATCAACATTCTTTGCTGGAACACTAGCACCCGGCCGACCTTGGGTTCCACGTCCAGGAAATGCTTCTTGTTTGGGGTCCAGAAACGCGTTGCGCCACCTTCGAGCCCAGCGTCGTTGAGGTAGAGGTGGAGTGTAACAAACGACTTTCGCTTGGGCTCGTTGTCCTCGAGTTCTATCAAACCATCGCAGTGAGGCTTGAAGTAATGTCCCGGTCCATAACGGAGGAAACTAAGCCTTTCATTGACCCTATAGAGCAATCATCTTTCAGCACGTCGAAAACAGGCCAGACGGTAACAAAACTCACCCAATGAGTTCGTAGGTGGGGCCTTGCTTCCTTCCAGCTTTCCCGATGATCAAGCCAAACTGACTTGTGGGCTCAATCCGGTGGATTTCCTCGACCAGAGGACGAAGCCGTTGATAAACCATCTCCGCAACCTCACGGTTGAAGACGAGGCAACGGTCGCTGTTTCGAAACTCTTTGTGAACTGTTTGTGTCGGCCCTTCAGCGCTGAGTCCTGCTGGTTCCCAATCCCCCACCAGGCCTGCAAGTTCTTTGCATTCTTCGAGGCTGAATACGTCGTCCAAGATTTTTGCGTAGAAGCCGCTGTAGTTGCTTGACAGGGGGGTTTCTGAGAAATCGATGAGGGTCGTTGACATGGTCGTAGTGGTGGTCTAGCTTTGAAGAGCCTGTAATCAGCGAGCGCCTTTATCAGGCCAATGACTCATGGCGCTCTCGGGCATCCTCATGGCGGTTGTGGGCGTTATGAACGAACGGGTGCCGCCCAAGGAGATCTTGGGCGGAGGCGCCGGCCCTAAAGCATGCGTGGGAATTCGCGAACCCTATCTTTGTCCTGACTTTGCGGGAAGGTTGCTCGTCGACCGCGACGACGACCACGACGAGACCGCTGACATTGGCCACGACGGGATGGAATCCCACCCTTCGGTAAGCGACATGTGCGATACCCCAACGGACTTCTATATCTTGGCGTAGTACCCTGCAGTTGCTGGGCTATTGAAGAAATACCCAAATTCTGCAGCCAGCTTGTTCCAGACCTACAATGATCTAAACTACGGTGAGCTGGTTGTTGTACCATTCGCGCACGTTTCCTGACATCTCTCTCAGCGCAAGAATGGGCAGATATGGCTGTGGTAGACTTGGGTGATGATTTTGGCAGAGGCGCCATTCGGGGACGCAGGAAACGAGGGCTTGAAGACGGCGGCGGGTTCCAGGACCAGGTTTCCTATGCGATGCCTTGCTCGTTGTCAGAGATTTTGTCCTTCGATCAGTGAGTTCTCTGCATATTCCACGCGTAGTGATGTTGACCAGGGTTCTTAGGCTTAGAGGCGCATTCGATCGTTTGGACACGAAGGAAATATACCTGGCAATAACTTCGGAAGATTCTTCAATTGTATATTACAAGCTAAGCCAGGGAATAGTAAAGCCTCCAGTCTGATACTCTTCCAACCCCAGTCATCTGTGATATGCAACCAGCTCAAGCAAACCCTGCCTTGTTCTTCTCGACCCAATCCCTCACTGTCATGGTCCCAACGAAAACTTTGACCTTCAACTTCTCCTGCTCCTCGGCTGTTAGAGTGCCCCATTTCTCCTCAGAACCGGCCTCGACCTCCAGCTCAGCTTGGATCAACCATTTTGCAACTTCTTCAGACATGATATGGCGATAGATCTCTTCCAGGACTTCGGGAGGAACCGCCTTGTGGACGACCTTCTTTCCGAGAACATCACTTGTGATAGCCGCCAGCTAGAGGGAAGAATTCAGTGAATGCTTTCGCAGTCGCAAGATCGCTTCGTACCTCATCGTAGGTCAAGAGTTCAGGCCCAATGACTATCACGTCCTTGACCTTGTTCTCTTCTGCGACTATTCCTTCAAACGCGGCTTTGGCGATGTCATCGGTCGCGACGAATGGAACTCGCCCGGTCGGAATCACGGACTGGAATTCTCCATTCGCGCGAATACCATAGCTGTAGGCCGTCAAGAGATTGTCTGGCGGGGTATGTCAGTCCCGGTTCTACTGCTCCATTCTAGCTCACTTACCAGTGAACCATGTAGGTCGCAGAATCCATCGATCCAACCCCTTTTCCTCCAAATATCCAGGAACCTCTCCAAGCCCGCCAATGTTGTTCTTGCTGTCGGCTCCGCTACCGCTGAGGTACACGAACCGCTTCACGCCCTTCTGCACTGCCAAATCAATGAAGGGTTTCAGCGGTTTCCCGGGGTTGAGGTTGTCTGTAGGCCCGATCAGGTACACAGACTCGATGGTGTGGTCAGTCTTGAATGGGTTCTCGAAGGTAGTGGGGTCGTCCCAGTCGAGCTTGACGGAGTCGAAACCATCAGGGATCCTCAGGCCAGATCGAGAGCCGAAGAGGACACTTCGACCGGCTTCCTTGAGGAGTAGGGCAAGACGAGTACCAATGTTGCTTCCGCCTCCAGTAATCAGGGTTGTCATGTTGGATGGGTGTCGATGAGACTGAACATAAGCAGGGTATCATGACGAAGCTTTATAGCTCGATGATCGATGCTTGGAGATGATAACGATCAGGCGAGCGGACGTTCTGGAAGGCTGCTGAGTGGCGAATAATGGCGCGTTGAGCTGCGAGCTGCGCCATGGCTGCGATCCTTGTAAGCATTGTCTATTGCGACTATTGTCTGGGCGGTGTTGCTGATAATGATCTTATCAGCAGGAACGCCATCTATTCCGTTTTCCACTGTATTGGCTGCGCTAGCCTGCAGAAAGCGATACAGTATGTGCACCATACTTCGGCCACTTTCTTAGTCCTAACTCCCTCAAATAGGTCAATTTTCACCAAAGCTACTAGAGATAGGGCTTCGCGTCGAGGCCGCAGCGAAAACGTCAGTGCCTGTTCAAGTTGCGATCGATTCAGCAAAGGCGCAGTGCTGTCTTCGGCGTCGTCGGCGTGTGCGCGTGCCCACACAGAGGTCAAGAGTTGGGATTGGCATTCTGGACAGCTTTCCACGATAACCGCACTTTCTGTTCAGCAACCTCCGCAAAACTGATGGAAGAACGGGAAAACCCTGTGTTTGGCGCGCTGGGCCCGCAAGATAAGCCACTACTTACGTTGAGTAATGGCACCGTCACCTGCGTTCGTACAGCGGGCACTCCTTTCTGCGCTACGACCTCTCCATTGGGAGACATGTGTGATCAGCGTCTGTGTTCTTTGGTGAGGACTGATCTCTGCGATGTAATTTCGAACTCATACTTCATATTCAGGGACGCCTGATCAATCGGCGAAAACCAGAGAGCGGAAAGGCCACTTTTCCGATCCGTGCGGGAAAAGCTTGAGAAGCCACTGTGGTGGTATGCGAAATCCTCGAAGCTATAAATACCTGCTATCTTGTGGTGTAGGATGGTAGGCGCTTACCGCTGTCCGATCCTTCGAGCCGTTTCTATCATGGCTCATTTGTCTCGACTCCTATTCCTCTTCGCCTTCTTCCAGACAATTTCAGGAGTACTTGCGATTCCTTCCCCTGGTCAGAAGGCTCCCAACGGACCTGGAAAGAAGAAAAAGTGCAAGACTATCCATGTCCGGAAAGAATGGTACGTCTATCGTCGTTTAATCCATGGAGATTATCGACTAACCGACCATTGTAGGAGGGACCTCACTGTGAAACAGCGCCTGGACTACATTCGCGCTGTGAAGTGCCTTCAGGCGAAGCCTACCACCATCGTTCGGGAAGGTGCCAGCTCACGATTCGACGAGTTCCTCGCCAGTCATGCCGACGACATGGCATGGATTCATGCGGTTGTAAGTCTAGTTCGTTTTTCATTACTTGGATGAGTAATGGTTCTCATCGCCCACTAGGGCCAATTCCTGCCTTGGCACCGTCATTTTGTCACACTGTACAACAATGCTTTGCGCGATGAATGCGGCTACAAGGGTCCAGCACCGTGAGGGTCTTCCTTCCAATGCACAGTTTCAAGAACTAACGATGACCTGGTGGCAGATATTGGGATTGGAGTCGGGACGCTGAATCATCCAAACCGTGAGTGAGGCATCAGCTGTTGAAAGAAGGAATTTACCCGCTGGCTGTGTTCTAGATTGGCCCAATCCCCCGTCTTCGATGCTGTTACAGGCTTTGGTGGTAATGGCGTCCCAGGGACTTACACACCACCTCCCAACGTTCCCGAGTTCCCGGGTCCGGATTGGCCAGAGGACATCCCTCTCCCGGAATTCCCTACAGGATTACCTGGCTTCCCCGGAGGACCAACCGCCCAAGGGGGCTGCATCGACACCGGTCCCTTTAAAGACAGGCCCATCACCATCGGACCCGCCAACCTCAACATCCCCCGATGCTTAACTCGCGCATTCTACGACGACCTGTTGAATAATCTCGACAAGACGAGCGTCGACTGGGCTTTGGCGCAGAAGACGTATGGCGATTTCGATGCTGCAATCACCTTCCGTAGCCCCCCTCTTGAGCCTGGCGCTGGGATCCATGGTGCAGGCCATGCTGTTGTTGGTGGCTTGATGACTGATGCGTGGGCTTCCCCGGGAGGTAAGAGACTTTCCTTTCTGCCGCCCTCAGACAAAGTTGGTCTGATGCTGATGTTCTTTTAACAGACCCAGTCTTCTACCTCCATCACGCCAATCTGGATCGTGTTTGGGCAAAGTGGCAATCGGCAGATAAGAAAAACCGCCTTTATCAAATCGCTGGGTATACCACGCAATGGCCTCCTTACACGAATGTTACGCTGGATTTCGAGATGGAGTTCAAGTACCTAGACGAGCCTTTGAAGGTGAAGGAGGTGATGGACATCGAGGCATACCCTGAATGCTATAGATACAATGACTGATCTTCTGTGCACTCGCTAATTGTGATAGGACTTGATTGGAACCTAAGCCTTCCAGCCACCCTGGACCTTTTACGAGAACCTGTTGGCCTTGACAAGGAGAGCGTCGATAGTGCACTATCGAAGAAGGCTTTCCAAGCCTTTATGTGCTACATCGAGATTCGTGGACCTATCCCGAACGTTACAGGTTCCAAGATTGAAACATCCAGTACGTTTGATTGATTCTACAACAAATACCTAACAGGACTACGATATATCATTTAGTCTGCGGTCGCAATGTCGACGTGCTCAAACTCTTTGAGTACAGCATAGTCCTCCGCCTCGATGGCGCTCAATGCTTCGTCAAATCGCTCAACGGGCACCTTGACGGTATGTTGGTTGCCTTCGCTATCCGTGTATCCCAAAACATCTGGTAGTCGGCATTCTCCTCCAGCTTCGCGGGCAGTAGCACCGGCAGCGCTGTACGGTGTCCATCGAGCGGATCCCCAGTTGATATAGTTGGGTGCATCCCACACGCTAAGGCCTACAAATTGATTCGCAATCAGCTCGGATTACTTAGAAGAAAGTTGGTGCGACGACGTACAGGAGGGACCAGGGGTAGGACTTCCAATACCTCCAGTGCTTGTAACACAGTTGGCGTCGCCATAGGATCTTCCAAACCAATTGGGGCCAGTGTTCTGGAATCGCACGGACCAGCCATAACCCGACGACGTTCCCCACGTACAGCAGGTGTTCACGGGCACATTGGTGCAGCATCCGTATGTCCCCACGCAATTTCGAGAGGTGTAGGCGCAAATGTCCATAGCCTCTGACGACGCTCCAAACGATAGAGCGAGAGCTGCGAGGTAGAAGAGCTTGGTAAAAGCCATAGCGAAGTCGGGATGGGTGTGGCGAACAGTGAGGTACTGAGCAGTGGGCTCTAGCGCTACCACTCTCATCGCTTGGGGTCCCGTTTAAATAGCGCAGGAAGGACAGTATAACGCTTCCGTTTCTCCGCCAATCGGCCACCCGGCAGGCACATCGCTCAACTTTTCATTATGGGAGTAGGCCTGGAGGATGCCAGACTGTCACCAAACGGAATCATTTTCTTTCGAAGCGCTTGGCATCCTGAAAATTCATTGTCTTCAATCAGTCAAACTTTTCTGATAAAGATAGAGAAGCATGTCAGAAACGCGGGGGCCATGAGGTCGACTGTCCTGTACCCGGCTCGTTTCGGAGCCAACCTCTCGTCAAGAGTGCCGGGTAGTCTCGTGAACCAGGCTCTAGCAGGAGAAGATAATCGTTCTCCACCCTTAGACTGAAGGCGGCGTCTCTGGATTCCGAGACATATCCCGAATGTCAATGTTTGAGCAATTACTTGAAGCCAAAATACGTATCAAGATCTAACAACGCTTTTACTATGAAACTGCGAGATTGAGCACGGCATAATCCTCCATCTCGATAGCGCCCAGCGCCTCATCAAAGCGCTCAAAAGGAACTTTGACCGTACGATGTGCTGGGGACCAGCTTAGAGCTTGATTTTCCCCGATTAACAAGTGGGAACCGGCACCTCCAGTGCTGACACGACAGTTGCTGTCACCGTAGGATCTTGCGAGCCAATTGGTGCCTGTGTTCTGGAGTTGAACAGACCAACCCGGACGATGTTGTTCACCAGCAGATATTCACAGTGCAGCATCCAAAAAATCCGATGCAGTATAGCGCCCTGGCGCTGTGCATGACAGAGTTCTATCCCTGTTTTTCATCGCCTGGCTCCTCGTTTAAATGGAACTTAGTCAGGTACTCGATCACTTCTTTTTCTCGCCCCTAGGCCACCTGAGAGGTACATCTCTTATGTTCAATGGTCTGAAGGATGCCAGACCATCAGTTCGCAATGGAAGACATGTCTTCCATGAATTTGGCATATAGATCTCTGAAGATTTATTGCCTTCAATCAGTCAATCATTCTGACGAAGACAGGGAAGTATGTCAGAACGCGGAACAAAGAGCAGGGCTTTGCGCTTCTCTGGTCAAGGCCGTGAGATACATTCAAAATCATAGCGTACAATACTCAGATTCGAGTTCAGGACTGAAGGTACAATCACTCCACGTGCTCGTAAGAAGTGAGAGCTGCATAATCCTCCGCCTCCAACAACTGAGAGATATACTCCAACTGCCCATGGCCTTCCGGAACCTTGATAAGATGTTTCTTCCCATCGGGCGTCTTAAAGCCAACGACATCCGGCTCGGCACAAGCGTGGTTGTGGTGCGCCTCGTCTGAGCGGGCCTGGAGCGCACTGGTGGTCCATTTTGCAGAATTGAAGTTGACAGCTTCTGGTGTGTCAGGAGTGGAAACGCCTAAGTGAGGAAGTCAATTTGATGGCCAAGAGGACCAGAGTAAGATATGCTATCGGATTGAACTTTGAAGAATCAAAGAACATTCGACGTACAAATTGAACCATCTCCAATTGCTGTTGCGCTAGCATTGGCATTCTGGCAGCGGAGGTCGACTGAAAACAAGGCGGTCCAGGCGGAGGTCGCGTCCACTTGTGACACACCTACGGACCAGCCCAGCGAGTTTCCTGTGAACCACGCGCAGCATCTTCCTTCTTCCACGTTGGTACAGCAGCCGTACAGCCCATCGCACCCTCTTGCTGCATAGGTGCAAACCTCGGCAGCTAGTGCGCTCGAAGTCAAAAGGGAAAGGAGAGACGCCAGGGAAAGCACACGAGACGAGAAGAGCATGGCTGGGGTGCTTTGTTCCGAGGACTTCTAGTTTCAGTTCGAGTCGTCCTGAATTGAATTTATAGGGCCGGTGGACGAGTGAGAAGACCGTCGAGAAGCCCTTTACTTCGACAAGTCCCCGGCAAAGAAGCTCGCCGCGAAAGAAGACGATAAGCCAAGAGTACAATACGAGATAAAACCAAGCAGTTGTTCTCTGGGACTGCTCAACGAGTGAGGCCTGTTAATCTTCGCTGATTTTGGATACGCCGACCGAGACAAGGGCGCATGAGAGGGCGGATATGCCGCTGGTAGTGAGAGCGAATTCATAGCTGTATGCTGTGAACAGCAACGAATTCCTCGGTGGTTCGTCCGGCATTTGTCCGTCCGATGCCCTGGTAAGGTCATCTGATGTCGACTTTGTCTTCGATAGAATAAGTGAGAGAAGACCTATTTTAGGGAGAAGTTTGAAGGGACGAGCTCGCTGGCATCGACCCACTCCACAGATTGTACTCGCGAACGTTCGCTTGTAACGTGAGTAGCGAATAGTTCCAGGGCGCGCAACCCCTCAAGTTCGTCGGGGTGGTTGTCGAACGGAAGAACTGTTGTAGCGTCACCAAAAGTAAGGTGATTGTCGAAGAACACGAGAAGCGCTCGGCGGACAGCACAATGATCCGGATTAGCCACGTTTTTCGCTCGGGTTTAGAAGTCACGGGGAAAGGTGAACTTCATAGGAGGTTAACGTTCCGGCGGAGCGCTCAGTCAAGGCTTGGGGGCGTCAAGTGAGCGATTTAATGGCAAAACTGTGGTAAAACACAGAGAGGTAATTCGAGGGTCATTGCATGGTGGGCAGGTACAAAGGTCCCAAGAGCGAGAATGAGTCCGTTAGATCAGAGTCATTAGGATACACATAGTTCAAGTGCAAGAAAGTAGTGTCCGTTATGGCCGAGGGTTCGCGGTTAAACTGGCGTTATCAACACATTTCAAAGTTCACTAAGGCGTTGTCGCTTAGATGACGCGGATGGTGATGTTGTTCAGCTCCAAGATCGGGTAAGCGGCGGCCTAAATGAGATATACATAGGCCACATCAGCAGCGTAGGAGACCGAAGAATGGCGACGCCTTACCCCGAATAAGTGAAGCCTGATCGTACTCAACTGGGCGAATCCCTTGGGCATTTCATCGGCGGGTGGCATGGTGAAGGTGAAGTTTTGATAGGGCCTTCCCGGTTGTTCGTGGAGTTGAGGAGTATACGGACCGTTGTACAAGAGGCGTCCAACTTCTACAGCCGGACCAGGACAGGATCCGGAAGTGCATGGGAGGAGTCCGATGACGAATCCAGCTTCCCTGGAGCCCTGGTGGCTCATCTAGATGGATTACCATCACACCCACACGTGAGTTACGAAGACAACGAAAAGGGACTGTCGTACCGGCTTGGCGATCTGAACGGTGAACGTTTGGCCGTTTCGTATCCGAGCACCTGGGGTTGGCAGTTGGATGACGCTCGCCTGAGCGAGAGCGCCCACGATGAAAAAGAAAGGAACGAGGAACGTCGAAAGGTTGAGCAACATGGTGTGATCGTAGAGGTTCGCGCCTGGTATGGGTCAGAATGGGGTTGCCAGCCAGCCTTCAGCCAGTCGAAAGGTATATATAGCCAATGCCTCGACGTGGCGGTCAGTTTGTGCCGCACCATCTTCATTTACTAGTGCCAGTTACATTCCCTAGATTTCCATAGACATGTCCATAAAATTGATATAGATCTGGGACACAAGTTCGTCATCCATTACATTCCGTTATCCAAAGGTTGCTGGAAGCCTATAATCACGAGGCCCAGACATGAGTGTAGATCGAGCCCACGAGTCGATTAGAGGGATATCAGTGATATGGATCTGTCCCTTGACTTCGCCGCAGAGAACCCAGAAGAGACCGCAGCGAGCAGTGCCAGAGAACGGTGATGTGACGGTGGTGGTTCGAGAATGAAAATGCGAAGTCGATCGAGAGCCCGAGAAAATCGAATTTGATGGATTGAAACGGAGCGCGAACTTTACGATGGCCGGGGGCTGGATCGGTGCGGCTTTAGAAGGTCAACCAGCCATTCCGCAACTTGCAACGTCCGGGGAAAGGATGCATATCATTAGGTCTGGAGACTCAGAGCTAGGTACCCAGAGATAAATGGTCAGAGACTGCCCCGTCTCCCAGAATCCAGCCAGTGCCACCGCCAGCTATTAATAACTTCGCCTCGCCTGAGGTCTCACGATCCGCAAGTAACTCATCCCATGTGTACTATGGTATAGATCTGAGCAATTGAGTTCGACAGCCGTTCGAGTTTTAAGTCTCAGAGATGAAGAGGTCTGTTTCATCACAGAAAGCACCAGGGACGAGATGATTAGGGAAAAGCCTGGGATACTGAGCCGTCACTGTTCGGAGATACGGTCGCCCCGTAAAGCATCCTGAAGGGAGTTGGACCAATGGAATGGGTTCAGAATCATGGTGATGGGCCTGGTTTGAGTCGGTGAAAGGCCTGCATCCAAAACTTGAGATTCTGAGACTATCTGTCAGATTCAAGCGGCGCTCATGATGCTTGTAATCATGGGGACACACCGTTGTAGAAACTAACCAGAACAGAAGCGTACATGCGAGGCATCGGAATTACAGTACTTTGTATCAAATGAACTATGTCTACTAAACAAGAGGCAGGCTCACATCGGGTGCGAAAGTAGGCCCTATTCCAATTCCTCTACACTTCTTCTTCCATTTCTATCACTTCAACAAGTTCTGAAAGAGCCGCAACTTGTTCCTCCGAGGGTTGCTCAGAATTCCTGAACGCGATCCTCTTCAGTGGGTTCCCAACTTCAACTCTTCGTTGGAGTGCGTCCAATAAGTCATCAAAGTCAATTCCGTAATAGCCCCTTCGTGTGGTAAACCTGGCTTTTACGATGGTGAGGGAAGCGAGTGCAGGAAATATTGCTGGTCGAGTCTTCAACGCGGATAGAAACTGCGTCGCGGTCCGTAGGGTAATCAGGACCTCTTTCACAGCGTCCATCGTGCTGAACATCGCTTCCACCGCTTCGTCCTCAAGATCAGCTTCTGAGTCCTTGTTATACCATCGTAGCGTCCTCGTAGTGTCCAGCGCTATTGCTAAGAGCGCTGGGTGTTCCGTAGGTTGAAGAAATGGTCCACGCAGGTGGTACCTGATGAAGTTAGAAGCATACGAGCTAGCGTCTGGCCAGATCTTGACTATGATCGAATGCATGTTGGTTGTGAAAGAGACGGATTTCGCTTCTTGTCGTTCGAATGATGGGGAACCGGGTGTGGAGGCCGTAGATGCATGTGTGAGGCGGTAAGGGAGCAGGGAACGAGGAGGGGGTGCATCGCCACCATAGTCCCAGCAATCGGCCGTGATACTGGTGTCTGAGGGGATGGCGAGGTGGGGCATGATGTCGGTGTACTCCTGAAGCTTCCCATTGACAGTCATAGTTTGTAGATGGGGTAAAACAACAATCCGGTCCGCTGGGATATCCTCCCGCTTGAACCGAACGTCAAGATGCAGCTTCTCCAACCTCGACATCAAGGAGAATATGTCGAGAAGTTCTGTGAGGCTCCATGTAGTGGAATGGCAGGTGAGGCTGAGCTTCGTTACACCTTCGAAAAGGCGAAACGGTGGGGAGATCCTGCAGTGCTCCAGGGCGAGGGCTCGGAGTTGGGGAGCACCGTCTGGAAGAATAGATCCCAGATCTTCCCCCTGAGGCTGTCTCCAGCCTCGTTCATCTCCAATGTTCCTGAGGAGGAGGGTGTGTAGGTTGGAGGCCGTAGAGCCAAGCGCCATCATCCTTTCTTGTAGCCGTGTAAAAGAGGAGTGAAAAGTGAGAGAATCAAACCGATGAGCATCCGATAAGTATTGCTGAAATACTGCCTCGGCTTGAGGAGACAGATGAGTAGAAGTGAGAGTCACCGATGTCGCTGCATCTTTGGACCTCTCGAGGAAGGCGAGGATACGATCCGGGTTTCCGTCTCTGACGTTCATCCAAAAGCTGGAGTAGTCGAGTGCTGCATCGCGCCAGCGACGGCAGACGTGAGAAAGTCGGATCCATCCCAGTTTGTCGCCGTAGCCTTCTTTTATGTCAGAGAAGATTTTGCAGAGGATATCGTTGGGGAGGAATCCGATGGGGGTGAGGTCGTTTGCTCCATCTTCAGTTTGTGTACTTCATTCTGCAGTTTAACGATTTCGTTTTCTAGAGCCGCAATACGGTCGATGGTACCCTGTCGTTTAACATCTATCCCGTCGAACATACTCTTGAGTGGCACCATCGTGTCGGGGAGGAGGAAGCTGGCCTGTAAAACGTGTCTGTCATTTGTATTCTCCCAGACAAACTGCAGTGGCTTTGGGATGCTCACCTGCTTATAGAGAGTCGAGCCGCTCGGGGTAGTCAAGGATGTCCTCTGGTGATCGTTGCAGGATCGATTCTCAAGGCCAACTTCATTTGAGTGGCTCATTAACTATGCACTTGGCATCGTATAGCCACTGATGCTGCCCAGAACCTGTAAGCGCCCAAGCATCATCATGATGACGACTCTCGCTCGAGGATCGATCTCGCCGCCCACCCTTTAAATTCATAACTCCAACAAAGCGAAGTCAGGTGAAACTCGAAATGCCCAAGCCAATGCTGAGCCATGAATCTAGCCTCAGGCTGGAGCAGCTGTCAGATTCCATGATTGACGCCCACAAATCGCACAGGGTGATTAATATTGATTGTTTGAGATGACTCATTTGATGACTCTCTAAACTTGTACTCCCATCATCATGAAGGCGACCACAGTCTGCTACAAGACGACGTCCAAAGGCCTGAAGATTAACATTGACGTTCGACCACCAGATCTCAGCACCTTTTGTTATGACCTCGCAGACGGCGCCATTGTCATCCGGCCTGCTTTTCTGTACTTCCATGCGGGAGGACTTGTTTATGGGAATAGAAGAAGCTTTATTCCGCGATGGCTTTCTGGTGAGTACCCCAATAGCCCAAGGTGGAATTGGCGTGCGTCTGACATACAATTTATGCAGATCGTGTCGCCACACAGGGTTGGCTGTTTATCTCGGCAGACTACCGTCTCATACCGCCATCGACTGGAGATGATATCCTTGAGGACGTCAGGGATCTCTGGAACTTCCTGACAAATAGAGATCTGACCCTTGAATTGGATATCTCAGCCTCTAAGGATGATCGGAAGACGGCCAAATTCAAATTCAAGGCAGACTCTATCGCTGTTGGGGGATCCAGCGGTGGTGGACTCTGCGCGTATCTGGCAGCAGTGCATTGCCGTAACCCCAAGCCAGTTGCCATTCTTTCGATTTACGGAATGGGAGGTGATTTCTTTGTGAGTGTCAAATTACACCTTCGTAATCCATCGCAGTATTGAATGGCGCCCAGACGCCTCATTATCTCGTTCCTAAGCAAGAGAAATTTCCGAGAGCAGCGGAATTTCTTAAAGAAAAGGACTTCAAGTCATTCCTCCACCCATTCGAAGAGGATGATTTGAGCGAAGTAGCGCACGATCCTAGATTCTCCCGGGGAACTTTGAGCGCACGAGTCCACGTCAGCACACTCTACCTACAATCCGGAGTCTGGCTGGACTATTATACCGGCAGACACGACCCCAGCATCAGTAGGACTCTTCAGCGGCTGTGCAGATTTTCACAATTCGTGTCACCCTTGGAGATATCTGTGGCAGACGAAGGAGTAAGAGACCAAGTTGTCGAGGAGGTGAAATGTGTCGACGGCTTGTTTCCACAGCTGAAGGTATCGTCAGACTGGCCTCCGGTGTTCTTAATTCATGGCAGCGGGGACACCTCGGTGCCGGTTGGAGAGTCTGTGCACCTGTATGGGTTGCTACAAGAGGCCGGAGTGCCAGCAGAGTTGGTGATGGTGGAGGGTGAAGAGCATGGGTTTGATCAAGGAAAGGAGTCCGAATCCAAGTGGGGTAGCTATTTCGATAGAGCAATGGAGTGGCTTCGTAAATACGCTCACGAATAGACCGCCTTGGCCGATAGGGGCCCGGTTCGGCATTTCCCGGCAACATATTTGTCCTTGCTTGTTGCCCACGTCGTCAGAATGTTTGGCAGCGCTTGCATTGGCTTTTGCCTTTCGCCCCCATCGACCCCTCACTGCCGTCCTCATCGTCCTCAACGACCCAGAGCTTGTAAACGTCCAACCACAGTGGTCATCGACCGTCAAGATGCCACCGCCAGGCAACACCAAGTCTGCGGCGGCGCAGATTCGAGCAATGTCCGGGAATACCGACGAGGACCTCTCAGAAAAGTATAAAACACTGAAGAGGCGCTACCAGGAACTCGAAGAGGTCAGTCTTTCACCCAAATCTCTTTCTCTGCAAAAGGGAAGGAGGTCTGACACGACAAATTGACTCAGAAACCTAAGGATTCCAACATGGAACCTCAGAGAAGCGGGGAACAGGATACGAGCGTACAGCAGGAAAGAGAGTGCGTGCCGAATTGACGCTCGTCCATTAAATAGGGAAACGACGATCTGACGGTTTTTGATACTCATCTAGACAACTCCTGGAACGGATTCTCGACATGGAAAAGCAAAGACAAGCCATTCCTATGACCTCGACGCCTAGTTCTTCAACCGGAACCCCGGCTCCACCTACCGCCCCCGAAGCGCGTTCTACGACGAGTCCCAAAGCAGTCAGTCATGAGTCTGCGGAGAAGGAGGAACGCAACGTGAGGCGGCGTCTCAACGACGATGGTCCCAGTGAGGCCACTGTGAACGGTGCCTCAGAACCTTCAAGACCTTCTCCGGACAGGGCCACCTCTCCCTCTGCCTCTGGTCTTAAAAGACCCAGAGCCGACTCGAATGCCGAATCGTCGTCTAACAGTGCCGGTGAAGCCACCAGCTCGGAGAATGTCAGTACCAGCCCATCCAACTCACCAACAATGTCCAAGCGGCGTCGTAAATCCAGCAACGTCGAACTGGTAATCGCGTCGCCACCTCGAGAAACGCGATCACGTCGCAAGGCTGCTAGTCTCTCAACAGCAAGCAATGAAGACACGTCGACTGCAGCTTCCAAAGATAAGCCCACTGGAAACGGCGCAACGGACTCGAGTGGTTCTCAGTCGGTGGAAGCTTCATCGTCTTCTCCACAGCCAACTATACCTGCCGATGCGCAACCGGGCCTTAGTATCGACACCAATCCCCCTGCCACATCGGAGTCGAAGTCTCTTTCCAACGAGAAACGCCCTGATGCAAGTTCCGACTCCAAATCGCCTCCATCCACCTCCGCGACTGATGCAAACATCGACCCCAGTTTAACGGATCAACAAACGTCAACTTCAAAGCCATCAAATTCAAGTTCATCCTCCACATCAACGTCTAGCTCTTCAAAATCCACTAATCCTTACTTAAATCTCTTCTTCCCAAAGACCAACCCAAATGGCACCCCGACACCCACCAGTGCCCATCCAATGGCATTTGCAAACCCATACATGTTCTACCCCATTACTCCCGTCACTCCAAATACACCTGGGGTATACTACACCAACCCGTACATGTATATGGGTGCTCACATGGTACCGGGATATCCTCCTCCTCCCGGGAGTGCGACTTCTCCGGCAACCCCAAATAGCAGCACGCATCCTCGACCACCTGCACAGCCTGCTCCAGTCCCAGGACCTTCGACTGAGGTGCAAGCCCCGCCCGCACCGAAACCGAAGCGCACCAAGGCTCATGCAGTGACGAGCAAAAGCTATAGTATCCCTCTTGTACCGCGAGACAAGAACGGAAAGCCGATGTTGCCACTTAACGTCGGTATCATGACTGTCATCAACCTCGGCACAGTTTGTACGCGGGAGCATTTCCATACAGAGCGATACATATTCCCTGTTGGCTACGAAGTTACTCGGTGCGTGATTCTGGTGGTCCAGGAGTTGACAACGCTGACCTATGAAGTTTAGTCGTTATCTATCGACAGTCAACCCCAACATTGAGGTCGTGTATCACTGCACCATTCTTGATGGTGGAGACGGCCCCAAGTTCCAAATCGTACCTTCGGACACACCTGACAAACCTGTGATAGCTGGTACTGCTACAGGCGCTTGGTCAAGCATCGTGAAGCAGGCGAACGCCATCCGGAATCGCCAGCACTCGAACTCTGTGTCGGGCCCTGACTTCTTTGGGCTCGGGCAGAACACTATCAAGCACCTTATCCAGCAACTACCGAACGCGGACAAACTCAAGAACTACGTCTGGCAGATCTTTATCGAGGGAGGGTGAGTGACCTTTATGCGTCATACAGTAACCGCACAGCTTACGTTTCGTCCAGTCCCCTCGGTGGAAGACACGCCTCGGTCATCCCAGCTCTCCCAGAGGAATACGATGCTTCAACCCCTCGAGGTCCCGTATACCACACACCACTAGAACGCGAAAAGATGAAGGCCGTGGTTGGAAGTGCCAGCCCGGGAGACCTGCCCAAAGGCCTTTCGCACTACCCCCAACACATCATCGCTCAAGCCCGGATGCAGCATCAGGTCGCTGGCCCAAGTACGGCGCCACTTCAAACTCACGGTGGACATAGTGGGCACAGCACACCGACGCCCCAGCCTCCCGCACAGGTACCTCTGCAAGAGCAAGCCCCTCAACAGCAGCCATCTGCTGTTAACTCCAACCCTGAGCAACATTCACAGTCGCCACCAGCCGCACCTCCGGAGGCTCAGCCACATCCTGTTACCGCACCTCCGCCTGTCGCTGCCCTCCCACAGGGTCACCCAGCGACCTTCATCCCTAATACTGGGTTGGCCGCGCAGGCTCCTACACCCATAACGCCCAACACACCTGCTCCGTCCATCGCAAGCCTCATGAACGCCTACCGACCTGGCACGGGACCATCCTGAGCGAGGTCGACGCGTTTTGCGTTCCTGGGCTGCTTTGTTCTCCATTTGCTCTCAGCTGTTATTTATTCATTTTCTCAAGGTCTAGGGCGCTGTACAGGGACGATACTTCAACTTGTTTTGCATCCAATTGTGACACCACACAATGTACATTGTTCGTCGTCGTGTCGACAACAAACACGATAGAGTTTCAAGAGTGGGATTTGCGCTGTTCTTGGGTCGTTGAGGAGTGTCATGTGTAAGGTTCGGCTTTCTCATGCCTTTTTTTCTCTTTGTTCTCCTTCGTTTCTAGTCCATACCCCGTCCTTTTCAAGGCGCCGCCGTGCGTTACACACCTTGTCGAGGTTCGGGTTTGCGAGTCCAAGGATGATCTGGGCGTGCATGCTACACGTTCTGGTGACTTGGATCGCGCGGAGGATGCTTCTTGCCCTCATTGGACGAGATTGATTCATGCGCATAGAGTGGTATCTTGCGTGCCTCTGTGGGGACTCCATCCGATGCCAGGCTCGTGCCGGAAAAAGGGGTAGTATAAGGGGCGGACATATATCTACTACAAGTGATCGACTAGGTAGTGTAGTGGGGTCATAGGGAATAGGGTGGGTAGTACTTGTCGGGCCACGTCCTCACAGCTTCTCTTGGACGGGCTTCGGTTCCTTGCTCTCGCTGGGTGTCCCTGTCGGAGACGTGGGTTCCTTGTGGTCTCCACCTCCCCCTGACTTCTCTGTCGCCTGTGAAGATACTGCGGGTTTCGATGCATCATCCTCATCTTTATCCGCTGTTTCATCAGGCTTTGACAATTTATCCTCTTCCGATTTCTCTTCGTTCAGCGCGAGACTTTGCTCGATGGCCGCAGTAAGTTGCTCCACTTCATCCTCCGCCTTGACCCAGCGGGGTTTCTCTTTAGATTTCGACTTGGGCTTGGCTTTGGAACTTGCGGCTTTACCGTCTCCAATGTCCACCGAATCAGCCGTGGCCTCCCAGAGCTCCATGAGTTCGTCCAGCCATCCTAGTTCCCTACATAGATCTTTGACGATGTCGTCACATTTACCGAGGAGGATGACGTCGTCGGGTTGGCGTCCGAAATCACCTACGCGGTCGAGGTTGATGAGGACACGAGGGCACCTGTCGTTTGCCATTCCTGCGAGAGAAGCGAATGGCTGGACGGTGAGGGATGTGCCGAGGACTATGAGGAGATCGGCCTGGGCGATTTGTGGGACCGCGCGGATGAACTCATTAGGAAGCTGTAGAGTGTTTCATTGTTTCAGCGAAGATGTAAGAGCAATGAAAGGATAGAAGGAATTCGAAGAAGAGGTGGTGAAAAATGCGGGAGCGAGGGCGGGTCCGGTGACAAGAATAGATGGAGGATAATTTAGGGCCAGCAAAGATAGATTAGATGCAGTTCAAGTTGACGAAGAAAACGAGGGTTTGAAATGAAGAGCGATATTACTCACTGATTCTCCGAAGAATACAATGTCAGGTTTGACTAGACCTTTGCACCGATCACATCGTGCGATCTTTTTCTGCAGGATGTGTTCTTTCATTCGGGCGTCATCGAATGGTGCTTTGCAGTCGATACATCGTTGGGTTGCGAAGCTCCCATGAGCCTCGATGACTTTGTCGGCTGGAACGCCCGCTCTGCGTTCGAGTGTGTCGATGTTCTGGGTAAAGCAGCGCAGGAGGAGACCCTTCTCTACGAGGAGGCGGACAAAGGAATGTGTAAGAGTCGGTCGGAACTTTCCCGGGTAAAGCTCATGAGCGAGGGTGTAAACTGGATGTGTCAATTGTGGATTAATTATCAGCGTCAGAACGTCGATTAGAGGGGGTGTCGAGGAGCACGGATGGAAGCGCTCACATGGTACTGGATTTCTTCGGAAGAAGTTGATTTCGAAGACGGCCTCTGGATGAGGGAGATTCAGCCTCGCGAGGTTTGACTAGAATCAAATCAAGTCCATGTTAGGAGGGGTGCGTCGAGGCGAGGGCTCGAACGGTTCCCTCGAATTGGGTGGTGATGAGACGGAGTAACTCACGTATAGGCCTGGTGTACCTTTAGTCAGACAGATGTCCTTGGTTTCTCCAGACATGGTTTACGTACCAGTCTTTGGAGATCGAAAGTCTGGGATTCCGGCAGACGTGCTAACACCTGCATGATGTTTGGGGCGCAAATGAGTTTAGGCCCTCGAGAAGTGTATGTTATTCAATAATACCTGCTCCCATCTATTACCACACCGAGTCCATTGTTGTGTCAGTCGATCTGACCAAGTTTAGGGAGAGGAGAATGCTCACCATTAGAACGATATTTTGACATTCGTCAGATTGAATGTACTTTGCCAGAGATGGGAGGTCTCGGCGCTTCAGTGCCTTGGGTTTGGAAGGCATTTCCACTCAGCTCTACTTCAATAGCTATGAGCCTACGTCGAAAGTCGGGATGCTGGTTGGCGGTAAATGGTCAAGAGCGGATATCATCCCCTCTCACCCGTGTTATCAGGCTCGGTACCACTGATAAGATAAGATGCTGGCCGGTAGATGCCGAAGACCTCTTGTGGGTGCGCGACGCTGGCGCCGACTCTTGGAACACGACCATGACTTGTAAACCTGGCGGCAACTTGGTTTCTCTTCTGAAGTCCTCGAGACGACACAAATCGACTATGATACATTAGCAACATCATAGGCTGGTGAAATATCGGCAGAGGTCGTAACGCCCCTCAAGGACTCGTCATCCAAGTGCGAATGGCTCTTCCAACCTCAAGCCGCATGGAAATGGAAACCCACTTAGGCATGGCTCAGGGGACCGAAAAGACGAACTAGACTCCCACCACATGTCTATTCTCTCATTTAAACCGTCACTTGTCACGAAATCCATGCCTGTTGGACTGGTAACTACAGTTTTTCAAACCACCGCGACTTGACGGCTGTCGTTGCTCAGGGGTAAACTAAACCGTCTAACTATCCTATAACTTTGTGAGTTTTGAGTTTCAGACTTCTGCACCCAATAGAGTTTGACCTCTTTATCGATTCTTTCAGTAGGGAAGTGCTTCTCAATGGCCACCCTGTCTCTGTTCAACGGCGCCCGAGAATGAAGACGCTGGAATGGATCGATGCCGTCCAGGGTCCGCGCATTCTTCACCTTTCTAATGCCCACTTTCTAAATACATGCTAGTTCGACCCCTTCGACGGGAGAATTATGTCGTCGAAGAACACGTAACGTCTTCGTAGTAAAGGCTCCTGAGGCCTACTGACTGGCCAGCGTCCCCTGGGCTTACCTCACCTGTCGTTTTCATGGTCAAGAGAAGTGTTAGATATGTCGCATTGTTTTGATACTCCACAGAATCGCTTGCGTCTGCCGTCGCCATATTCCTAGGGCATCGCGCCTTGGCCCTGTCGTACACATGTTCTGCATGGGAACATGAAACCTTACGCGCTCAATCGTAGAGATAGAGCAAGTCAGCCGGTGAGCCACCCAATGTCGAGGTCGGGGACTTGGTCGTTGACGGTTTAAACAGGTCTGAAATTCAACCGGCAGAAGACGCGCGCCGGCTGGCTTCTGCGAACCGCCTCGGACGAAAATCAAGCTGAATTATGGGTTATCCTCGGCGGGTATCAAAAATAGACCCTCCGGGCGCTACACGTCTAGTGTTGGTGTGTCCAGGTATGCATCGCGCCATGTCTCGTTCAAGGTCGGGGTAATGAATAGGTTATTTTTAGCCCAACGTCCTTGCACCATTTTTCCCTGTGTCGAATCATCATAGTGCTTGGTTCTTTTCGATTCGATATGTCTTCACAGACAGAACGTGGTTGTTATGCCGAGGCTCGCTCCACCAGTCTCCACTGTCGTGCTCAAGAAAGGTCAAATTGCTTCAACTAGAATCTGCACCCGGAAGAACTACTATCCGAATATGGCGACTCACCGACTATAAAAAGGGTGCAAGGGCGATCCCTGTTTCTTCACTCGGGAATCTTTCTCTGGGTATCTTAAAGGAATCGACGTCAAGCCGATAACATGCAGTTCAAGAGCCTCTTCGCTGTTGTCGTTCTCGCTTGCAGCATCGGTGTGCATGGCGCGGCGCTTCCCTATGCTCAATTGGAAGAAGTAACGCCTCCCAGGCCTACGTTGACTGTGCCTGTTCCCAAGCCGCCCGTCCCGACGATTCCTCTTCCTCCCAAGCCTACCTTGCCTCATCCCGAGCCACCAAAGCCTGAACCCCCGAAACCTGAACCCCCGAAACCCACCTTGCCCCACCCGCCCAAGCCTACCTTGCCTCACCCTGAGCCTCCCAAGCCTGAGCCGCCCAAGCCCGAGCCGCCGAAGCCTACCATTCCTCTCCCGCCTAAGCCTACCATTCCTCTCCCGCCCAAGCCGACCATTCCGCTCCCGCCCAAGCCTACCATTCCTCTCCACGTTATGGTATTCTTACCTGCTCTGTTCTTGTCTATCCTCTTTGGCTTCTAGACGGCCGTCGAGACTATGATAGGTCAATTTAGGTACCTCCTTCCATGTTCGCAGATGACCATATGCCGAAACGGTCTTGATTTGATACTTACCTCCAGCTATTTTGGTTCGAACCAGCAGTATTTAAGCAAATCTCGCCAGAACCTAGAGTTTCCTCACTCGGGATTTCATTTCTGGGCACTCAAACAAAATCTTCTACCGAGAACAACATGCAGTACAAATCACTCGTCGCTCTCGCTCTTCTGGCCTTTAACGCAAGTGTGCAGGGTGCTGCCCTTCCTGTCGCTCAAGACGTGGAGCGGTACACCCCGCCCAAGCCTCCGCATCCCGAGCCACCCAAGCCGACATATTACCCCCCACCTCAGCCATCTCATTATCCTCCTCATCCTCCACCCAAGCCAAGTCATCATCCTCCCCATCCACCGAAACCAACTCACTATCCTCCTCATCCACCCAAGCCAACTCACTATCCTCCTCCCCATCCACCCAAGCCGACCCCTCCTAAGCCGACGCACTATCCTCCTCACCCACCCAAGCCGACGTACGCTCCACCTAAGCCGACTTACACGCCGCCCAAACCGACCTATCCGCCTCCCAAGCCAACCTACTACCCTCTCCCCAAGCCCACCAAATATTAAGCGATTCCCTCGCAACCCCGTTGATTCACCTTTCGACTAATCTATTTCCTATTTCGCTTATCCCTTTCCGTCATTTTGCCAAACTTCGTCTTCGTTCGTCTTACTATTTTCTGACTCATTTTTGCTCGAATTTCGAATCGTTTGCGCGCAGTACTATGTGCGATGGTTGCGATACATGTAGTAGCAGCAAGTTTCAAGGTCCTACCCAGGCGGTAACACGGTGAAATGAACATGGTTTCGTTTCGAATCACGTTTGGCGAACTGGGAGCAAGGAAGTCCAATTGTACACATATTACGGACAATGGAAATGGCGCGCGCTCCGTCATATACACAACCTAGGACAGACCACCTGACGCAGTGGAATGCGGTGGATGGACTTCGTGAGATATCCGGAGAGTTGTTTGAGGGAGCAGGGACAGGAGAATTCGTCAACCAAGGGGGTTTGTGCGAGATTCAATCCCGTCACAGCGCTCGCTTACCTCATGCGCGAGCATCTTAAGGCGCCCGTCGAAAGAAGTGTTGTGGGAGGCGGTACCGATGCGAGAAGCTGTAAAGGAAATAAGATTTGCCGGGGTCGACGATGGCCGTGGATTGTCTGGGCCAATCGAAGAGTTATTAATAGAATAGGGACCTTTAAAGCCGCGAGGACGAGGGAGTATTACCAGTCTGGGTTCGGTGAATTTGCAATGTACTGCCCTGGATGTCATAGAAATATGTCGCAAACATGACGAAGACTGCGTCGTCGAATTTCGCCGAATGATGAATGGTGGAGGTAATACATCTTCTTTACCCATGCCTGGTAATTTTTCGGCTAATGTGTAGGGTTTTCGAAGTGATCAGGGCCTAGTATGCCTTCGAAAACGACTGTCGGACGGGCGAAGAGGGGCACGCCCTTACTGACGCTGGATAAGATTACTCGGGTCCGTCATAGTTTTCCGGTTATGGGAGACCGTATCGCACCGCCTCGCTCCGGAGATGGGCATAGAAAGGCCATAATGGGATCGTCGCTCCGTTTCGAGACCTATAGGTTCAATCGAGGGAGGTACGACGGGCGCTCTTGTCCTTCCAGATGATTCTGGTTCGTGTCAGATACCAGCACCTTTCAAAATTCGGAGAAACCGAAGAGGTTGACGAGATGGAGGGGGTACCTTTGACGTGCGAAGGGAGGGAGGGAATGGGGTATATAAACCCTACAGTCGACTTGTTGAATCTTCAGCTCGAAAGCCTCTTCTTTCTGAGTTTAACCGTCGTTGAATAATGCAGTACAAGGCGCTTGTCACCTTTGTTGCTCTTGCTTGCTCGCTCGCCGGGGCGTCGCCCATCCCTCAACGCGACGGCACTGATCCCAGGCCTACGTTGGTCATTCCTGTCCCGGGACAACCGACGATACTCCCTCCCTGGCCCCCTGTCCCACCCCAGCCGACGGACCTTCCGACCAAACCACCCGTGGATCCGCCCAAGCCAACCGTCGAGCCCCCCAAGCCGACCGTTGCTCCTCCTAAGCCGCCCGTCGAGCCCCCCAAGCCGCCCGTAGAACCCCCCAAGCCGCCCGTCGAGCCTCCCAAACCACCCGTCGAGCCTCCCAAGCCGCCCGTAGAACCCCCCAAGCCGCCCGTCGAGCCTCCCAAGCCGCCAGTGGAGCCTCCCAAGCCACCCAAGCCACCCGTTGAGCCTCCTGTCCCTCCCAAGCCGCCCGTCGAGCCTCCCAAGCCACCCGTGGTACCTCCTTTCCCTCCCAAGCCACCCGTTGAGCCTCCTGCCCCTCCCAAGCCGCCCGTCGAACCTCCCAAGCCACCCGTGGTCCCTCCTTTCCCTCCCAAGCCGCCGGTTGAGCCTCCCAAGCCACCCGTGGTTCCCCCTTTCCCTCCCAAGCCACCCGTTGAGCCTCCTGCCCCTCCCAAGCCGCCCGTCGAACCTCCCAAGCCACCCGTGGTCCCTCCTTTCCCTCCCAAGCCGCCGGTTGAGCCTCCCAAGCCACCCGTGGTTCCCCCTTTCCCTCCCAAGCCACCCGTTGAGCCTCCTGTCCCTCCCAAGCCGCCCGTCGAACCTCCCAAGCCAACGGCTGTCCCGCCTAAGCCGCCAGTGGTTCCTCCCCTTCCTCCCAAGCCAACTGTTGTCCCACCTAAGCCACCCGTGGTTCCTCCCGCGCCTCCCAAGCCAACTGACGTCCCTCCCAAGCCGCCTGTCGTGCCTCCCGCGCCTCCCAAGCCTACCGTGGTACCACCCAAGCCGCCTGTGGTTCCTCCCGCGCCTCCCAAGCCAACTGTCGCACCACCCAAGCCACCTGTCGTCCCTCCCGCGCCTCCCAAGCCTACCGTGGTACCACCCAAGCCGCCTGTGGTTCCTCCCGCGCCTCCCAAGCCAACTGTCGCACCACCCAAGCCACCTGTCGTCCCTCCTGCGCCTCCCAAGCCTACCGTGGTACCTCCTTCCCCTCCCAAGCCCCCTGTGGTTCCTCCATTCCCCCCTAAGCCAACGGTCGTGCCCCCGAAGCCAAAGCCCGCAGAGAATTGAGTTGGTCCAACATCATATCTCGCGATGAACTATTACTCCCAAGAGCTCGTTGCTTGAGCGACAACCCGCGCTCGCGGGCAGGAATCGTGAATTTTCGAATGTAACAAGATTGTAGGGTTACTTTTGGTTTGTAGTGTCCATAGTCAGAACAAATGAATGAATGGAAGATACTTTTGCAACTCACGAACTTCACAGTAGCGGACAGCGCTGATGGGTATGGCCATTGCCATCGTCGTCCTTCATTTTCGAAAGCTTACGCTAGTTCCGAGCTTCAGTCAAATTCGATATCGGAGATTCGTGATTCCAGGGAGCTGTAGAACAGGCAAAGTCCTTGCTTCAACGAGAGACCAAGCTCAAGAGCGACTGCGTCGCCAGCGGTGAGGTCGAGCACGGTGTCATTTTATCGCGGACAGACGCGACCTGGACAAGTCGATAGGTTGGCATTTTATGAGTCTTTTCCAAGTACTCAGCGAGAGAGAATGCAGAGAAAGCCCAGGAATTTTGAATTTCGTCGAAGCGCCAGTTCGCTGCAAGTCGTCGAAGGCCAAGACTCGGTGACTGGCACCTGGCTGCCAATCGGCAAGATTGGAGGGCCGACGGACTGAGTTTGAAGTTCCGGCAATGCCGTGGGCGCTAGTTATGCGATCCTAGGTGCTAGCCTCAGAGTGGCTACACCTTCGTGTTCTGGTGTTTCATCGGTGCGGTGGCTCCCATATACGACCTAAAATTGACATGCGAGTGGTATCATCTTCCACCCTACCCCGTGGGGCAAGGTTGGGTAATTACCTGGTGTAGTGCTGCGTGCTCATAAGATGTAGAAGTTCAATTCTTCCCTTGGTCCGGATATGATTCTTGCGACAGGTTTAGCCGCCATGATATTTCTACCCAGCTGACTGGCGGTACCATTGTTCAGAAGCAACAAGAAGGTACTTGCATTGAATTGATTGAGATCGATTCCGAAGGCACCGAGCAACACGCGAGAATTATGATGCACTGCGGTCCCGACGCCAATTTGGTATCTCCGTCGCCAAATGGATAGCGATGCTCTGCAGCCGCGTCCCTCACATTTCGAACTTTTGTTGATAGATATGAAGAGTAAGGATTCAATCATGGAGAGATGGCGAGAACGTCACGGTCTTCCTTCAGTGATTGCTCGCTTTCGTTGGACGAACGAGCCTCCATTTTACTATCCAGAAGGCATGCATGATCCTCCTTTCAAGGCGATGGACAGTGGCTAGCCGTGGCCCGTGGATTGCCGGACGATGCCGTCGGACCCGCATACAAGATATTTCGAGCCTTGCATCTACTTCATACTTCCTCGACTTATCTTTTGGGCTTACTTCGGGTAGCATTTGTATCAATGAACGAATAGAAGGTACTGGGGTAAAGTGAAATTCCTGAATATCCACTTACTCCAGTTTCGCAGAGCACCTCATTGGTCACGAGGGTAGTAAGGTCTCCAAACTTTCGAAGGCGCAAGGGCTTCTCCGAGACATCGATACCTCTTGGTCAATTCAAAAGGAAAACGTGGATTTGTTCGAAGCCAAAGGCAAATGAAACAGAAGGTCATAACACCTCGGTACCGACCATATCCTCGCCAAAACCAGGGAAGATCTGCAGCCCCGTGGCAGGCTTGTGCGCGAAAAGCGCGCGAAAAATGGTCTCGAGACAGCTATAAAAGAGGTCGAAAAGTCAGTCAACGATCCCTCAGCGAAAGCTCTCAACCAAACCCAACTCAGCACCAATGAAGTTACAATCACTCGGTGCCTTCGTGGCACTTGCACTCGCCCTCAAGGCGCAGGGTGCAGCCATCCCCGCTGAAGCACAGCTGGAGCGTCGACAAGGTTTCCCTGGCTTCCCGCCAGGCGACGGAGGAGGCTTCCCTGGTTTCCCTCCAGGTGACGGTGGTGGTGGATTCCCCGGCTTCCCTCCTGGCGACGGAGGAGGATTCCCCGGCTTCCCCCCAGGTGACGGCGGAGGCTTCCCTGGCTTCCCTCCTGGTGACGGAGGAGGATTCCCCGGCTTCCCCCCAGGCGACGGCGGAGGCTTCCCTGGCTTCCCTCCAGGTGATGGAGGAGGATTCCCTGGCTTCCCCCCAGGTGACGGCGGAGGCTTCCCTGGTTTCCCTCCAGGTGATGGAGGAGGATTCCCTGGCTTCCCCCCAGGTGACGGTGGAGGTTTCCCTGGTTTCCCCCCAGGTGACGGTGGGGGATTCCCTGGCTTCCCTCCAGGTGACGGTGGAGGATTCCCTGGCTTCCCCCCAGGCGATGGTGGAGGAGGATTCCCCGGCTTCCCGCCAGGCGACGGCGGAGGATTCCCTGGCTTCACTCCGGGAGACGGCGGAGGAGGATTCCCGGGCTTCCCTTGAGCAGCAAACACACCTCGAGCCCCAGTTTCCCGGTCGGCAATTAGCGGTCAGCTCGTCAGGTAGTTACTTGGGGGATCGGAAATCGGTTCATGTTTGTTGTATGGGTTCCATCTATGGAAGGAATAGTCGTTAGTAAAGCAGATCGTGAATATTTGTTTCTTGTACCAATACACACACCTCGTTTCATTCGCACCGCGCTGTCCAATGAGCACTCTGAAGGGCCTCCATGCCGCATAACCCGGAAAACATATACATTCTGCATTAGTAGGTGTACACGGGATGGATCGGCGTCGGGGGCCTGCCTGGACGCCAGAATGGCAACTGGCGGAAATTTAATCCGAGGAGCCGTCAGTCACACTAGGTGCCTTCCAATCCTTCAACCATGCCCTCACAAACTCGATCATCTCCGAATGCACCTTCCGGATCTCAGCGGGCTCCTGGAAGATATTCTCATACCCCCATTCGTCCCAATGATGTACACCGTCTAAACAACGACGAGGAGTTCATGGATTAGATTGACGTTACATGGGACGAGAAGCTGTAACGTACTGGGAATGAGCTTGAATGGACGAAGAATTGTATCATTACGCTCGTCGGCGTGGACGCTGTGTGGCGTATAAGGCCTCCACGGATCGACTAGAAGCAATAGGAACGAGTTTGTCAGCAAGGGATTCTTGAGTGGGTTCGAAGGAATGGCCCTTACCCTCTCCGTCGATGAACGCCAAGCGGTCATCGGCAATGTCGAAGCTGCCCAACTCATTCACCACTGTGATGTTGGGAAGATTGGGGATCCTGAAATGTTTGCCCGGTGGGAAGGCCTATGGACACAAATGGAAATGAGCATCCCAGTTGACGGATGAAGAAAGATAATGGTATCACCTGCTTGCATATCTTCGATTCGTACCCAAGCGTAAGGAGTCTGGAGATGAGACTAGGCTCTTTCTGGTCCGGTGGAGGAGTCTGTGGATGCCGAAGTCCCGATGTCAGAGCTTGGAATCAAAAGCGTGAAAGGAGAAAGAAGATACAGACTGTAAAGTAGCCCCATTCAGTACACACTTGGAACAACCAGAGACGCCACGTCTGGTCCAGACCATCATCTTGGAATTGTGTATCATTGAAAGTCCCGAAACACTGTTCGCAGTAACACCAAAGGTTAGTCGCACATACAGCAGGCTGATCCAAATCGACGCTCTTACCTCCTCGACCGTGGCTTCTTTGCATTTGGAGACTACGTTCTGTGATGGTGTATGTTAATCGGGAGAACCATCGCGAGATGTGTGGATAAACTACGCTACCTTTTTGATCCATCTACCATAGTTGACGATGGTGAAGTCCACAGCGAAATCTTGATCTATAGCTACTAAGCGTCTCTCGTCTCCGAAGGGAGCTGATTCAAGCTCAGCGGCCGTGAAGCGACCGAAGGGCTTCCCTAGGGCGTCGCAAAAGCTGTCAAATGTAGGATCATTGAATTCTGGCACCCAGCATTTGGATTGCCATGAGCCGAGGGGTGTCTGACGGAAATGAATGAGTGACGTGGCCATTGGAACCAAGAACCTCAACAAACCTCGAGGACAGATACAAAATCTTCATCATGTTCCAGCTCTCCGAGGCCGAAGAGGGATTTCAGCTGACGTTTGAAGACCCCTCGCTGGAGAATCGTGTCGATAGTGGCTATTGAGTTCACAATATTTGCTGAGCACTTAGGGTCAGCGGCATCGCGGATGATGGTCATGTATTCCCAAGCCTGCAGCGTGGCATGGGTAACAGCTTGAGGAGAGGTCAGAGAAGATCGCCTCGGACAAGGTGAACTGACCAACCGCTCGATGCGATAGCCCCATAGACAATGTCCGGGTATATGATCTTCATATGAGCAGCCCGAGCGCCAGCGTATGAACCCTATTGGATTGTGAGTGTGGGGTGTGGCCGAGGAACTACGATACGTACGCCATAGTAGATCCACGGGGTACCGGGCGCAGTGATGTCCTCTTGTATACTGTCGAGTTTCACGTTCCTCATGAAGTTGGCACTGTCTGCCGCGGACTGCGCATTGTTCAACCACCTAGAGGGGAGGTTCATCAACAATACGTCTTCCTCGAAAAGGCGCTAGAATAAGGTCTACCTGAGCGAGTCGGTTGAAAAGTTGGCAACGGGTATCGAGTCACCTGCAGAAGAGACTTAGTGGCGTGTCGTCGGAGGACGCGATCGCTTACCGTAGTATCTGTGCTCAAGGACGATACCAATCCCACCTGTTGCCTTGGCCAGAATATTGACAATTCCAGTGTCGAGGAAAGGTAGACGCTCCTGGCTCAAGGTTGAGTATGCTTATATCCCGAGCATAGCCTGGGCTTACTTCTCCACTGGTCTCTCCTCCGTCCAGGACAATAACGGGGGCACCAGGCCTGGGTTTATAGTGCCTCGAGTTTACCCAGAAGCGTTGGTGCCATCGGTGGTCCGACGTGTTGTCAAAATGATCTAAAGGTTGTTCGAACCATTGCGCCCGGAAGTCATAGTTCTTCTCCTTGCTTTCTCCAGAGAACGGCTCTTGGGCACCATAGTGTTCATCTCGTTTCAATCCACTTGTTGGTTGGTCGTTCTTCCTGAGTTTCCAGAGGTTCACCCCCTGAGCGCCCATTAAGTGGACCAGATCGCGACTGGGGGTCCCATAAGCCTGTACAGCGACAGAAAATACAAGAGACAGCTGGAGCAACGGCAGCAACGCCATTGAGAACGTGGTTCGCAGTCAAGCAGCGCGTCGTGGTCGCGACAGGACCAAGTTGGTGTGCTCCGGTCCTTGTTCGGCACAGCAAGGGCCGTGGCGCGGCGCTTCGGTACCGCGCGCGTCAGCGTCACGAACGGCCCAAACTCATTTCTGCTCCACGTCCATCTTGAACCCGAATCCATTTGTCGGTTCGTTGCGTCGACCACTTTGGCGCGCATAAATCATCTAAATGTCTTCTGATCGCGAACAGAGTGCCTTCGACGCCGCCAGTGACGATGAAGACGACTGGGAGGAAGTTTTGGTTGACCACCAACCAGAGAAGCCCATTGAAATCACCCTTCAAGTTCAGAAAAGCAAAGCAAAGCCTGAAGACGCAGCAAAGTTGGTGCTCTCTGGATCCTGGAGACCGGGAACGGTGCTGATGTTGGCCCAGGAAGAAAGGAATCTCTTATGCTGAGCGCTTATTGAGGATTGACTGCCACAAGTTCCACACCGTTATTCTGATAGGGAATGCCAAGATCAGAAACGAATGGCTCAACGACGAACTCCTCCATGTAGGCTCGCCACTTTGTGACTTCCTCAGTGTATTGACCGCTGTCTAGGCCAGGCTGCTCTCGCTTACCCCGTTGACGCTACAAAATGAGTTCGCCATGATCCACAAGTCTCGCATCCCCGACCAGGGCCAACGCGGACGAGCATTTGAAAGAGCCATGCAGCATCTTGCCGAGTGGTGGGCACATTCCTTCTTCGAGGTGCTACCAGAAGGCCATCTCCGCAACCGAACCTTCGATGAAGTCCAGTCCAAGCTGGAACGCCATGGCGTGCTAGACGACCCAGAACCACTCGACGAAGAAACGACCGAACTTATTCTGGACGAAGACCTAGAAATCATCCGAGGGCCTAAGAGTCTTATGAAGCACGCTCTCATGCGTTGTGGCTCTCGGGATGTCAGTGCTCAACTTTTCACCGCTCTATGCAGAGCACTGGGAATCCCGGCACGCCTGGTTGTCAGTCTTCAGAGCATGCCTTGGAAGGCCAGCGTTGGAAAGCCGAAGCCCAAATACACGCGCAAGTCGGCGAAAGGAAAGGAGAAGGCGGTCGACGACGAAGAAGACTCAGGGAGTTCGCCCAGCAAAGTCGATGTCAAGGGCAAGGGGAAAGCCCCGGCATTTGAAGGACCGGGACGACGTCTGGATGGAACGCCAGTTCCCAAGAGCGAGAAGGCTAAAGGGAAAGAAAAGGCAAAACCGGTGATTAAGCTTCGTAAGCAGCGGGACAAGGGACACCGATTAGGAGATTCTAGAGACTCTAGTCCAGGTCCCAGTAAACTCGGTATGTTTGTTCCAATCTAGGTCACGCCCATTCTTAACCCACTTGTCCAGCTTCCCCTGACCCCACCACAACTCCGCCAGTCTTCTGGACAGAAGTCTTTTCTCGGCCGGACGGTCGATGGCTACCTGTCGACCCCATTCGTTCTATCGTGAACAAACGCAAAGTATTCGACCCCACTCCTCTGACAAATGCCCCCGGAACAGGGGCAGCGGTGTCGACAGCTTCCTCCAGTACAGGTCTCGCCTTTCCCCAAACGACTCGAAAGTCCAATGTACCAAGGGGATTTAAAGAGGAGAACAGGATGCTTTATGTCCTGGCATTCGAGGAGGACGGCTATGCACGGGACGTGACAAGGCGTTACGCTCGGGAGTATAATGCGAGGGTACTCAAGGCACAGGGCGGTAGCAGAGCTGCTAACGCGGGAAAAGCGCGCCAGGAATGGTGGGATAAGGTTGTCACCAAATTCAAGCGCCCGTACCAACTAGTACGTCGCCCTACGTTTTTAATCGTGTCACTTCCTGATCTTCATTAGCACCGAGACGATGTCGAGGATGAAGAACTCGCACAAGCGCAGATGACCGAGGGCATGCCTACGACCATTGCCGGATTCAAGGACCACCCAGTGTATGTACTCTCTCCTCTTCTGGTTAGATAACGCTGAAACGTCTAGCAGATACGTACTTGAGCGTCATCTAAAGCAAACGGAGGTGATTCATCCACCGCCGCCAGAAACGCCAGAACTGGGTAAATTCCGTGGGGAGCCTGTTTATCCCCGCTCATCCGTAATCCCTCTCAAGACAGCAGAGACCTGGCTCAGGACGGAAGGGCGCATGATCAAAGCTGGCTGTCAACCACTCAAGACAGTCAAAGCTCGTCCTGGAACACTGAACCGACAACGTGAGCTCGAGGTCCTCAAAGATGAGCTTCGAGACGCTGGTTTTAGTGGGGATGCCAGTGGCGAGGTGATGCAAGGCCTCTACGCACGCTCCCAAACGGAACTATACGTCCCTGACCCTATTGTCGATGTAAGGCCACTCTTTATCTCCCCACCCAACGACGATATTGATTCCAGCATGTGTAGGGGAAAATACCTAAAAATAACTTTGGCAATATCGACTTGTATGTTCCGAGTATGCTGCCAAAGGGTGCAGTCCATATTCCTTGTAGGTGCTCGCTTCTTTCATTAATACTCGTAACGTTGCTCAATCCCGACTCGTCTGTCCAACACAGTCAAAGGTGTAGCCAAAATTGCCAGGAAGTTAGGGTTTGATTATGCTGAGGCTGTGGTACGTTGACACTATCCACCTTTCATGATCGACATAAGGGGATTTTACTGACAGGGACCCTTTTTCAATTTCATTATGCTTTCTGACCCTGGTTTTGTCTTCTTGTCATTCTTCCTTCGGATCTGGATCTGGAAGACTGGCTTCGAGTTCAAGAAGCGCCGCGCACACCCTGTGGTAGCGGGAGTCGTGGTGGCTGCTGAAAATGAGTCCGCCCTCCTCGAGGCAAGTATCCTTTTTTTATCAGAAGCAATTTAACGGGAACTGAAACTGACATTGTTCATTTGTGTCCGCCTTCCGTCACACGATTTCAATCCTATTCGGCCCCATGCACGCACGGATCTCTTGCAAATCGGCCTCGTTTGCGCGGTGCGGTCTCATTATAGGCATATTGGGAAACACAACGACACGAGGAGGAGAAGGCGCGTGCCAAGAAGGAAGAACAAGCCTTGAAACATTGGGTCAAGCTCGTGCAGGGTTTGAGGATACGACAGAGATTGCAGGAGCAGTACGCCGATCGTTCACAGTCGACGACGAAAGCTGGTCCATCGACCTCTGGCAAGAGGGCGAAACGTGGTCATCCGGAAGACGAGGAACAAGCGCCCAACGATGACGACGAGAAATTTGATTCTGTAAGCTCGACTTCATTTGCCTTTTTCTGGACCATTCGACGAGCCACCACTAACGTTCCTATCCTCTTCCGTCCCTGCAGACATTGGATGACACTCATGGCAGTGGAAGCGGTGGAGGTGGTGGTGGAGGTTTCCTCGTTGAAGCGGATGACGTTGTCCAGGCCTTCCATCTACCCAAATACAATCCCATCCTCCTGCTTGACTCGACATCTTCCAATCCGTTTGCACGTTCGCGCCCGCTGGGGTCTGCACCCGGAGGTGACACTGGTCCAGGTGCCGCCAAACACTCTGGTGCCGCCGCCACCGGGGAGAACGCCGAGGAGGGGCGAGATCTGGATGAACAAGGAGATAGGGAACCCGAAAGGGTGGTGATTGACTATGTCACATACGATCTGGAAGATGAAGAGGGCCCTGAGATGGATGGGGATGGGGATGAGGGCGGTTTGATTCCGACAGGTGTGGACAAAGATGGTGACGTCGATATGGATAGACCGGGTGGTGATGGCACGCCTGGTCCTCCTCTCACCGCCGATACTTCCCCTCTTTCATTGGCGGATCTTGAGGCGGGCGGTCTTGGAGGGAGGCAAGGCAGCAGTATTGAAAGGGACGATGACGACGCGACAAAGGACGACGACGAGTTCGCACCGAGGACGATGCAGGACCTCCTCGAAGCCGAAGCAGCCAAAGCCAAATCCAAACCCAAACCGAGAGCTAAACCGAGAGTCAGCTTGAAGCCTGTGGCTAGCCCGAGTGGCTCGGAGGGCGGTCTCGAAGACCAAGGCCAAGATCAGGACCACGTCCACGCCGATATCGGAGCGATTGGCGATCCACAGGGACAGGTTGTGGACTCGGAGGAAGGATCGTCAGGTCCGTTGTTACAGGGCAGGGGCGGCCGAGTAAATGTTAATGGTAATGTTGGGAGTGTGGCGGGTGCAACGATCATTGGTTCTGCAACTTCTGCTGCTAATGGCGGGTTGGAGCTATCATCTTCATCATTGCAATCTGGGAGGCAGTTACGATCTAGTCGGAAGGGTGGTGGTGGCGGTATGGTTGCGGCTGCGAGCGATGGTGATTATGGAGAAGATGGAGGTGTCAGTGTCAGTGCTACGCCGCGGAGTAGGAAAGGAACTTCCGGTGGAGGGAAGAGGAAGAGGGCGACTGTGACTGGTGGGAGTGCCAGGAAGAAGGTTTCTGTCACTCGGGCAAAGGGCAGGCGGAAGAAGAGGAAGGATGAGAGCGATGAGGAGGACGATGAAGGGGAGGAAGATATCGATGATATTGAGGGAGATGACGTTGATGATGCACCGCGAAAGCGCACTCGCGTGACTCCTGGCGAGGATGTCGGAACAACACCATCGGTGTCGGTGGAAAGATCAGCACCAGCGGCTACACCTGCCGGTGGTCGTTCACTCAGGCCTCGTCGTTCCAAAACGGCTGCCCAACTTGAGCAAGAGCGAGAGGCGGAGAAGGCGTATAGAAGGGCTATCGCTCAATAGGCTCTTAGTAATAGAGCCAAGGTTCAGGTACTTTAGTCCTTTTTTATAATGAACGTCTGTACAAATCGATTTTATGGAATGCAGTGGGGTGTATCCAGGGTTAACCACTAGATGATGGTTCAGCTCCGTTCGCATTCTGGATGGCAGGTTCAGATACTGGCGTCGCTGCAGGGATGGGGGCTGGCGTGGCGTTCGATGAGCTAGGTGTCGGAGTTCCTGTCTCTGCGGGTTTGTAACGTTCGTATGGGGCCAGGCAGGCGAATGTGAGATAGGATGTATGGCCCCGAACTTCAGGTAGAGCTTTGGAGACTGCTGTTGCGGATGCGAAAGATATAGGAGTGCCGGATTTTGACAGTACGACAGGCGTTCGCTTCGAGGATGGGGTGGTGACGCGTGCAGCGTCTGGTGTCGTTGAACTTGAGGGTCCTGCGGTTGTCGAGTCCATTTGCATCTCTTCGGCAACCACCTCGCCTTCTGTCTTTAGTCGTTTAGGCTCCAGCTCGGACACCTCAGGTGTGTCTACTTGCTGCGCCCCATCGGTAGCGACGACTTCATCGTGTTTCCTCTTCCCGGTTGCCGTGCTCTCGCCCTCCGTGGCGGACTTTTGTTTATCCTTCGCTTCCTTCTCTCTATTCGCCTTGATCTGACGTTGTCGCTTCTCTTCGCGCTTTACTTCTGCCTGTTTGAGGCGCTCTGTAACGTCGTCTAATGAAGGGAAGGCGGGTGCCGTTTGGACGTCGATGGGGCGGAGGAGGGTTTCGTAGGTTGTGATTTCGGTGAATCCGGCGTCATTTAGGGCTGCTACGGTGCGAAGGACTTGTTCGATACATGGGCTGAAGCAGCATATCCGCGCTGTATGGTCTTTCTGCAATGCATTGGATGTTGGTTGTGAAGATAGGGACTGGGATGGACAAAACGTACTCGGAGCGCCTTCTTGGCATGTGGAATGGCATCCCAGGGTGCTGGTAAGTCTAGGAAGACTGGAGACGAAGTTGGGATCGAAACAAGATGAGATCTTCGTTGATACAACACTAACCTGCGTCTGCTTCATCTACTACGTCGCCGAATCCATCCTTGCATACGTTCCGGTGTTGAAGCGTTACAAATGGAGTCATGCCATGTCGTCCAAACTCCTCTCTACGAGGCAATCAGCTAAAGGGAATGCAAAGAGGTCTAGAACACTGCCCACCTTGCCTTTGCAGCACGCTGTTCATGAAACTCGAAGGAATAGAGTTTCCCGGTGGGCCCAATCGTTCGAGCAACACTATGCGAGAAGCTCGCTGATCCAGTTCCGGCCTCGATAACCCTGCTGCCTGGTCTGATACCTAGCCAATCTGTAATGAACGAGATATCTGCCAGATACAGAATCTGGGTCCGATGAGGCAGCGCTAGCGTCCAAAGCTCCGGTGTCGGTCGCAACACATGCATGAAGCCTTTCCCAGTTTGTGAGCGAATTTTGGAGCCATAAGGCACTCCTATGAGGGCGTCGTGGGGGTATACACCGAACTTATTGTGTAAGGTTGCGCCAGGTGTGACGGTAAGTGGAATTATAAGTTCCCGGGTCTATCAATTCAACTTGTTAGATATCCAAAACAAAAGTTGGTTTTGACATACCATCCAGACGATGACCAGGTCTCCTGCTGCGATCTCGCGCGCTGTTGACCACATCTCTGTCAGATTCGTGTAGGACCTCGTTGACCTGTGGCAAATATGGCTCTCTGACTGCCTTTTGGCGGTGCAGTCGTCGATTCAGGTCGGTGGTGAGCACTTTTTTTGTGAAGGATCTCTGATCACATGCCAAGCCGCCAAGCCCGATGGGATCGCTTACCTTTTGCGGATATCGCTGACAAATTCCTCCACGTGTCATGTTATTCCCACGTACACGATGGATCGCCCTTCGGAAAGATCCTTTACACTACTCAGTACTCAGTTTCTCTTCCTTGACCCTCATGAAAGGTCCTCAATGGAGCATACAGCGCCATGGACGGCCTTCTGGCCAGAGTGTGAACTGGAATCCGCATAGCGAACAGCAAATATTGCTTATGCACATGCATCCTTACGGTAAGCTTGGTCTTATCGAGATTAGATTTGGGAGGCAGCTAATCCAGGAAATGGGCCGGAACAGACCCCGACGTGACCCTTTGATGTCCTGACCGGGACACAAAAGAGAGTCATACTTCGATCGGTATTATACGATGAGGCACTAGCTTGGCAAACGTCGGGCATCACCAATCAATTCGGGCTGGGCGAGGTGAGGCGGCGGGGTGGCCTCCGTGCACCGAGAGAATATGAGGGGATATGCGACCCCGTACCGGGCATTTCTAGATGGTAAACCCAAGGTAAGCTTGGGGAGGGTCCTGGGGACGACATTCTCATTAGCAAATCCCGGACACTAATAGCTGGTGGGATATCGTTGTCGCGCTGTTTGGTAGCTCAGTAGCATTGTTCAGACATATTGCGATTGACCTCAGCAACATGTATGGGAGTGCATTGGGAGCTGGAGTCTCGGGGTACAAGATGATGGATTGATGGGGAACACACCGCCGACGCGCGAGTTGCTCCCGTTGCACTCCACTGAATTCCTGAATCTTCGTAGCATTGAAGTAAAGCACTAACCGAAACTGCAGAAAAGTAAGTCCAAAGGGGACGGCGGGACGCCACTTCCCTAAGAAGATTGGAAGATTGTGTGCTGACACAGCACACCGCCGCTCAAGTCACCATCAGCAAGAGCATCGCGTACAATGTCGATTGGGGGGTCTGGTATACCGTATACCACTAATTCTCTAATTACCTAGTGATTGCAAGCCTCAAGGGGGACTCGAAGACCCTAGGCGAGCCGACTGCATCAGCGTCGCCGCCGTACAGGCTCCTTTCGGAGGCTGTTCCCAGGATCGTAGAATACCGATCGAACGATACCACCACAAAAGAAACACGAGTTTTGACAGGGTTGAAGCACCCAGCGTTCAATTCAAAAGCTCTGACCTTGACGTTAACCCGTGGGCGTTAAAGGCCTGATGTAGCTAGAATCAACCAGTAAGCAACGTTTTGAATCCGTTTCACCAAGCTGGGACCCTGGTAGTAGGTACCCTCTGGTACCCCCGGCCTGTGCAAGCGACTTTGTTCCCGCCAGACGGAGCTGATCGCCAGGTTATCCAGGAAGAAGATGCGGAGGATCATGCCCCCGATTTAGCTCCCGCAGCCCTGAGATACAGATCTCTGACAATCCACGCCGTACGTGTCTCCTTATTGGACAATTCAAGACAGCGCTCAGGTAGAACAATCTTCTTAGATTAACTCGCCAGTGACCTTCTGGAGCCTTCTGGCGGCTTCATCTTACAGCACATTTCTTCACAGAGAACAAAGAATGTGTGTATGCATTGAATATGTGGCAAAATGGTGCTGAGCGGCGTTAATGTTTTGTTGTGCCTCTTTTGTGAATCTGACAAAAACAAGCGAGATCCAGCACAAATCGGCGGCAGATTTGTTGCACCATGATAGATCTCATCATCGCTTACGGGATGTTTCCATGTTGGAAACGGATGTATGTCTGCTCTGTCCTTCCTGTTCCAGCACATACGACGACCGAGTCCTGCTCTCTCTGACGCGATTGTACTGCGCTATTTTCGTACCGTCTCAAAGCCAACGTGATCCCAAAGCTCAGAAGAGGATCTAATCATTTATACGTGCGATATACACCGCAAAAGGCCGTCTTTTCGTCCCCTTTCCCATCCTCGTATCGCTCTCGAGCCACGCTTGGTTTGTGCGTCCCTGGAAAGGCACGCTATCCATTCACCTACCTATCTCTTATCCACCAGCCCCGCCATCCATCGGGACTCACTTGACTCACTTTCCTCTGCAAATCTCTGGCCTCTAGGCTCTGGCTACTACTTAATAGTTCCTTGCACCACGGCCCATCCGGTTCGTATTTGTGTTGAATGATACCCCAGGCTGTCAACTCACCTTGTGTAGATATCCTTCTTTCTAAATCATTTATAGGCGCGAGATTCAAAAGGGCGTCCCAGCAATCCCCTCTTTTCCACCGTTTCGCAACATATCAACTTCTCTGCATTTCGCTTGATTCTACCGACACCGAGACCCAAAACACAATCGCACTTCTGGATCTACGCTCTCCACAAAATCCTCATCTTTCCCTGATCGGAATACCTTTCTGTGCCGCCTCCTTGAGTATCGGCATTTCACCACTCTTCCTTAACCATCTGGCATCCCCTTTGCTTCAGAAAGACCGCTTCACTGTGTGCGTCGTCGGCTGGACATCCCCAGCTATTATTGTCTTGTCTATAACATCCGTCTGGAAAACCCAAGTCTCGTGCCTTGTAGTGCGACTGCTGCGGCTAGCAGCTGTCGTTGGTTCGGACTTCCTCTTCTGGGTGAGCCCCATTCTCTCAAAGACTACGTTCAGATTCTGATAGTCATTGACAGGTTATTTGTCCATCGTGTGTATTTGGCGGAGCCAACTTCCCCATCCTTCAAGGAACTCGGCGGTACCGTGACAGATCTACCCACTCGACCCCGTTCGCTATCTTTTGAACCATACTTCTCGTGTGTCATCTGCTGTCTTGTTCCCCTTTTCACGGCGACTCATTTACTATGGTTCTTCCATATTCGACAGTATTGGTCCCCGCTCTTCAAGGCGCCTTTTAACACCCACCTCGTTCAACCTTTAAACGACGTTCTCCTTTTCAAGAACATCTCCCCCAAAGACCCGGCTACCTGCCGCGACTATTTCCTACGAAGACAGCCTCCACCACGTCCTCGCTTGAAAAGTCCGGCCCCTTCATTCCTGGAGAACACGTTTCCTTGCCCAGAGTTATAGTGGTTTGCCTCGTTCGGCGCGTGCCATTTACATCATACGTTTGTGAGGTAAGTGTTGAATTTATATCTCATGGCATCCCGTCTCTCCCCTTCCCTCCTCCCTGCCCATCAAGCTCGAGGTTATTCCGACCCTGACTAACTTATTCGCTTGCCTTACTGTAGGTTCCCCCCAAGTTCCCCCAGCCGGGACTCGTCCGGTTCCAACTCAAGTAATCACCTTGCCTCCTGGTTCCGCTCATCATTATCCCTTAAAGCGACTATCATACCCCATCCAATCGCAATCAAAAGGGTATCGAAGAGAAGCTCTCGAAGGATTTCAAGAGGCGTCTGGAAGGTTATTGACGTACACGGATAGCGAGGCCCTTTACCACGCCGAATCTTTCGATCGAACGCCCCAGCTTACGCCTCGCGCCAAAGAAGTCACGGAGAAAGAGGTTATCTATCAGGCTATACAGCGGGTTCCCCAGCTAGCACTTTCCTGCCTCGTTCGCCCTTTTCTCGTTTACGGAGACGCTCGAAGGACCAATCCCTTCCTTCTTGATCAGTCAGTCATTGTTTGCGCCGCCGTCCGAGTGCCGTTGTAAACTCAGACTTGCTTGCGACGCTGCCTGCCTGCCACCCATCCGTCCATCCATCTCCAGCCTATATCCGTGGGTTCCAAAGCCTCATTCAAGGTCTCTGTAATTAAACGATTCCTCTTCGCCCATCCACTATTCACGAACCCCATCAACTAACAACCAATCGCCCCACCTACCAACAACTTCTCCAGCCATCCACCTCTCCGTTACGAACGTACTATCGGCACGGCGGCCTATAACGGCGGTGGGCAATTGACCGTTGACTTGACCTTGGTTATCCATCCATCCACCGCTCTTATAGCTTCTGTCCTTCCCGCCTTCCAAACTTCTTTTACCCCCCTCCATTTTCGCTTTTTCAGTTCTCGTTTACTCCCAACCATTTTTACTTTTTGCCCTTTCTTCTTTCACTCATCGACGTTTGTGCGCCTGTGCCTTGCGATTATCTCGACGTCTTGGCTGTTGCTGGTACGCTCTTCTCCTTGGTGGCCAACACCGTTATCAAGACTACGACAATCTCAAACTCGCGCTACTAGATTCGAGGTGCTGAAGGATTATGGCTTGGACGACGAACGGAGGAGGCCTCCCCAGTGGTATCTTTGACTCTATTCCAAGTAATTCCCCCAAGGACACGACACCTTGCGTCTCATTCAGTGAGTCAAATCCCCATACAGGATTCCGGATAGCGCGATGAGCGCGTTCTGCCTTTCGTTGTACCCTTCAAGGTTCACTGACCGCCTCGTTTTGTAGTCGGTATCGTCGATTTCTCGCAAGAGGTGCGTTCGACCTTCCTATTGGCCTCCCCTAGGCATTCAATTCAACTCCACACCTGTCGCGAGTGCCATTCGCATTCCTTCCTTTCGACTCCTGCAACTCAATTCTTTACATCCATTATTCCGACGCAACCTCCCATGCTCGTCGGAACTAGACCTACTGTCCTTTGAATGACGTTTGCGGATAACCTTGAATTCTTTACTTTTCCCTCGCCCTTTTTCTTGCTCCTCACGTTCCTTAACTATTTTTCTAACTTCCTTGGATCTTTGTTAGGCTCGATGGCTTTACATGACCGACTCTGTTACCGACCTTCTCGGTACGTTGATATTCTTCCTGTTCAAGTTGCTTTTTCTTTTTCTCTTCTCCGCTATCCTTCCCTTGTTAATCTGTTGTGATTTCGTGGACTTCGGATCCCAGACCTGCCATCGGGCAACTGCCTCCCTCGTCAATGGCATTGACATCTTAGAGAGTCGCAGAATCCCCCGTTTCGTAGGCTCCGAACGATCACTCGATTGATGGGCCCATTTGATCAACACGTCGCTCGTGGTTGACCTGTAGGGAGTTCCTTCCCTTCCTTCTCTCTCCTTCTAGTTTTTACGCCATTGGCCCTCGGACGCCGGCTCCTCGTCCTTGTTGACCCCGACTGCGAAATTCTCGGTTACTTGTAAAAACGCCTGATTTCTATGATTCTACGACGCGTTCCCATTGCTGTTCTATTTACCGTTTTCTTTTTTACTGACTTCGCAATTTGGTCCACATACAGGCTTCGAACCTAAAGAACTTATTGGTCGGCCATCACTCGAGCTCGTCCACCCGGATGAGTTCCCGCGTGTTAGGCAACTTCATTAGTACGTCGCCAACGGTTATCACTTTGAGGTAGATATCGAGATGCTAATTGGTGCCTTTGCAGTGATACCATCCAACAGGATAAGGCAGCCGTCCTAGTTTATTTACGTCTCCGACACAAAGACCCCTACAAGGGGTACATTCTCTGCGGAATCGTAAGTCCCCTTCTCCTCGGTTCTACTGGAAGTCGGGTGCTGACTGATTCATAGTCTAGGTAATTCTTGCCTGGCATCCCAGTGGCGAGCGGAGTCTGATCGTCTTCCCAGAACCGTGGTCCACAATGTACTAGTTGGAAGCGTGTCATTCGCAAGTCCGGGGGCGAAGGCTTTGCACAACGCTTCTACGGCGCAAGAAATCACTGTCATTTCTAAAGGGGCACACAACTTCGAGTTTAGGGTAAGCGATGCTCCTTAATGGTACAGGGTGTCCGCTAACGTGGCATCCATGCACTTGTAGCGATGGCACGACCCATCCCCGATGCCACCCAGTCCAACACTACCCCCCATCAGGAATCTTCCTCCTTCTCCATCGTCATCAGCAGAATCTTCGTGGAGCAGCCCTAGTCCTCCGCCATCAACACTACCTCCGCCAACTAATTCAAGCAGTTACAGGAGCAACTACTCGAATGTCCGCGCAGAATCCGTGTACATCGAGCGAAGCCCAAGTCCTATCACTGGTAGACCGAGGCCCATGAGAAAGCAGTCCAGTACAGCAGGAACATCCTCCACTGTCAGAACACCCGAGACGTCGAACAGGGATCCAAGTTCTCCTCCTGGTGGTCCGTCTCCTCCGCGGTCGCCGCCATACCACTACCAGGAACACGCTAGACACAGTCCTCGTGGTTCCCTCTCCCACCCGTCACGGTCGCGATCCCCATCTCCCCTTCTTCCAACCCCAGTTTCAGATACCGACCGGTCCTCCGAGCATATCAGAGGGCGGTCGGGGTCGGAGTCGGATTCGTATTCAACGCCACGAAAGGAGGAGCATAGCGGTAGCTCCTATCAACGACGGGACTCAGGCTATGAGTATGACCGTGACTATGACTATCGAGATTCCAGGGCCGGTGAGAATGGACGCGGACGTGGGGACCCAGATTATCGTCACCTGCCACCACCTGCACCATCGTCACACCGTCAACAACCTCAACGACCGCCCTCGCCTCCGCCTAGACCCTCTACCCCCGTCATCACTTTCCCCCATCTACCCTCCAAGTCGTTCCGCACGGCCTTCATCCTCGATCGTTTCTCGTTACACTGCACCATCCTGTATTGCTCGAATGACCTGATGGTCCAGTCGACGCATGCCATTGGGAGGAGTTTCTTCGACTTTGTGGCTTTGAAGGACGAAGGGATTGTGAAGAGCTGGATAGAATGTGTGAAAGGCTGGGGCGTCAATGAACGAGGGCAGCCGAGTGATGGTGGCTTTGGGTTCGGTCGATTCAATCTGCTCGTGTGTGGACGGGAGAGCGTGTAAGTGACCCAAAAGTAAATTCCCCTTCGCTTTGGATGGCGTTGACATTGTTGTCTTCCAGGCCCCGCCTTCCAGACCCTTCAACACCATCCAGGCACCGACAAGGGTCGACGACGACGCGTCACCATTCGTCTCGCCATAGACACGGCCCACGGACAGAACGGGAGCGAGAGCGTGATTCAGCGTACGCTGCTTACCAAAGGGAACTGGGAGAACAGTTCCCTGTTGACGCCATCTTCTCTGCTCATTCTGATGGTCTGATGGTCATCCTCCGGCGAGCACAAACCTAGATGACTCGAGTTGGGTCCGTGGCTTCGTCTGTGCGTTGTTAGAATTTGTATTTGTGCGTGCCATGAGGTCTATCTTTCTTCTATTTCGGTCTACCGTGTGGTGTTATTGCTGTGGTTTTTTCTTGTACATTTGGTATGCTATAAAGTGCCGTTTACTTCGTTGTTTCCCTTTTGTAACGACCAGATGATGATATCAATTCCGCCCTCCTCAATCATCTTTTCCTATTCCTCGTCATGCCTCCTCGCATCCTACCTGCCCAATTATCGACACCCACCTTTCATACGCATTGCATCTCTGGTATTATTTACTTGGCATTTTCACTACATATACCTACTCATCTGTCGTCGTACACTCAATTTGGTCTTTAGTGCTTACCGTCCCTATATTGTGCTCGGACATATACCGTTGTATTTTTTCTCTTATATACATGTGAATGTCAAAGGCTCAACATTTGAAACTCTGCTGGATGTATCGATGTATCATGCAGTTCCCTTTTCTTCTGAGGACGTGAGAGGAATTAATCCTTGGCGGGCCGAAGCCATGGCGGCTGGAAAGGCGCCGTGTCAACGGGCGTCAAACCTAAGGTGTGCGAGGCCAAGCGCTTTTAATACTCAACCGTGTCACTATTCGAAATTTGTCTTCTTACCCAGAAGTGACAGCGCGACATATTGCTGTGTGGAATTGTAGTAGAATTGTAGTACTCCAGCCCCGCCAAGGTCCCGGTAAAGATCAGGGCGAGGTATTCGCTTGTAAAATCCGCTGACTTAGACTGTCACAGAACTCCTGGCAAACTGCGAACAACTTCAGAGTATGATAGATTTATAATGAAAAAAGGAGGTATAAAATCTTCAGAGGATCTTCTAGAAATTATTATAACCCCATTGAAAGCCACGATGGACAGCTCCCACTACAAACGACTCACCGTCTCTCGCGGGTTCACTTACAACTACTACGTCTCTCCCGCCTCAGATGGCAAGCCAACACTCCTCTTCCTTCATGGATTTCCCAGTACAGCGCAAGATTGGCGTCGCCAGGTCGCGCACTTCAAGCCTAAGGGCTATGGTTTGATCGTCCCTGATATGCTTGGGTACGGTGATACGGATAAACCACTGGAGGCGAGCGATTATGTTGGCAGCCGGTTGGCGCAAGATGTGTTGGATATTGTGGAGAATGAGGGTGTGGAGAGGGTGGTCGTTGTTGCCCATGACTGGTTAGTACTCTCACTTGCCCGCTTTTTCGCGTGGAACTGGTGATACCTTTGGGATTGTGTATACTCATTGTTGTGTGTACGTAGGGGCGCGGTACCCGCAAGTCGACTCGCCAATCTTTACCAGGATCGCTTTGAGGGATTCGCGTTCTTAGCCGCCGGGTACATTTCTCCTGGCAAAGAAATCGACCCAGAGCCCGTCAGGGAGATGGTTTGTGCCCCTTCGCGTTCGGAATTCTGTTTCCGTTGTAGGTCCTGATCAAGACGAAAACAGACGAAGCAGTTGGTGGGGTACGAGACCGGTGGATATTGGTAAGTAACTTGGAGCCTTGCGTGCACACAGTTCTCGTAACGCCTTACCTGTCGGACGAGCTAAATCCACGCTTTGTTCTTCAGGTGGTTTTTGGCTTCTCCAGAGGCACCGGGTATAATCAAGGACCACGTACGTCACGGATCTCGTTTTAAAATACTAACTCAGGTCTGCCAGTGCCTCCCCAGAACCCACGGCGGAACTGAGATTCCTATCATCCCCATCCACCTTTCAACGTTAACCGCGTACACACACTGACTTTTTACTTATTGTTACTGTATCTGCAGATTGACTCGTTCTACGATATCATCTGGGCTAAAGATGCCCTCCCGGCTTGGAAGACCTACTTTTGTCCGACGGGCGCTTTGAAGCGGTCGCTGAAGAGTGATGTTAGGATCGAGAGGGGGGATTATATCACGGAAGAGGTGAGTACATTTAGAGATCAGGACTCATCTAGATCAGGTGCTTAAGCATTTTGGACCTACTTACTAGGAATACCGCCAGTCGCAAGAGGTATTCCTGAAGAACGGATACGAGGCGCCGTGTCTGTACTACAAGGCTATGATCTCCTGCTTGAATTTGGAAGATGCGAGAGGTGCGTGCGCTAGTAATGCCATATAGGTTTAGGGCAGACCGGACTAACGTGCGTTGATTGCAGCTATACCTGAGGAGAAGCACGTCATCCACAAGCCAGTCTTATTCCTTGGAGCGGCGAGGGATGCAGTGTGCCTTCCAGCATTCTACGAACCGCCGAAGGATCTTTGTCCCAAGGCCACATCCAAAACCTTGGATGCTGGTCATTGGATCCTGCTCGAGCATGAGAAGGAGGTTAATACGGAGCTGGAAGCCTGGCTCGGTAGCATGGGCTTGTAACCTGTAATAGCCTGTTGTGAAACGGCAAATTAAAGGCCGTTCGAAACGTTGTAGAAAAGGCCAAAAAGAATGTCCCAGGGAGGATTCGAACTTCCGGCTTCTCGGAGCGAATCAGAGCCACAACGAGATGATTTAACCACTAATCGACAAGGACCTGAAAGTGTAGTCGTTCTTGGCATTTAGATTGTTTTCCGACAATTTTCCTCCATCGAGGTTCGCCCAAAATTCCTCTTCGAATTTCGATTGATCTATCGAATGCCGCAGATGGGTTTGCAGAAGTATGAGAGGGAAGACACGAGTAATCCAGAGTTCCATCATAGCGGCGAAGTGTCCATCGACCTCATGCCACGATCCCGCTAATTACCGGGGACCGAGGTGCACAGATCTGTTCTCCGCCGGGTTTCGTGTCTACCACTAACCATTAATGTGTTCACCCCTGCATCGTCTATATGCCTTATCTCGGTCGGTGAAGGCAATATTCACCCGTTTCCTTGATGATGTAGCCAGAAAAGATGCTGGAACTACGAGTCTGTTCATTGAAAACGAATTGCGCGATCGATCACATGGCAATTTTGCATAAACTGCTCACCACCCGGGTTCGACGAAGACGGGTCTACAAAAACGATGGCGACAACGGGTTGTTTCTTGACTTCATCTCTAACCGACTTATCTACCTCTTCTTACACCCTCAAACGTGAAAAATGAGCGAGGAGATCGCAAACCAGAACCCTGATGCCCTCGTTATTTCAAAAGATCCTCTTCATGTGAGTTGGAGATATCGGGAGGATATTGGAATGCGTTGGCTGATCTTTAATGGTATCTGATAGCCGGCGAACTTGATCCCTGAGCTTTGCGCTTCCTTCTACCATGTAGGAGCTCTTGAATGGATGGAGTGACCAGAAGATTGACGGTATTTGCAGTTGGGTTGGGTAACGGGAACTGGAGGCGGGATCAGTATTCGACAAGGGTGCGTACTTGCCTCTAATTCTACCTGTTGGCTAGAACTAACATCTGCTCTAGAAACATTGTATACATCGCACCTTCCGGAGTACAGAAAGAACGTATCAAACCCACCGATATCTTCGTTCTGCCGTATCCCCAACCACCCTGCGATCCTCACGCCGACCGAATATTCCTGCGAAGACCGAGCAACAATCTGAAAGAATCCGCTTGCACACCCTTGTTCTGGAATTCATTCGAGCTGCGTGATGCTGGAAGCTGCATCCACACCCATTCACAGCACGCTGTAATGGCTACTCTTCTCTGGCCCGGCGAAGTGTTCAAGGTTTCCCATCTGGTTCGTCGTACATTTCATTCATTCATCATCAATAAAGCGGAAGCGGATTTCTGACGTTTTTTATTTTTGTAGGAGGTGAATCCCTATTGACGCAGTCTGATGGAATGATTTGCTGAAAACGTCTTTCGCAGATGATCAAGGGTGTTCGTATTGGCGGGACCGGCAAGGCGCTTTCGTACCTTGACACTCTCGTGGTTCCGATCATCGAGAACACACCCTTCGAAGAGGACTTGAAGGATAGTATGGCGGAGGCGATGAAGAAGTACCCCGATGCCGCTGGTGTTCTCGTTCGCCGCCATGGTGTTTACGTCTGGGGTAAGTGGGGTGTTTTCGCTTGCGAGAGGGCATGTGTTCTGATACATCTTCCGCCGCATAGGAACCGACTGGGAGAAGGCCAAGACTCAGACAGAGGTAAGCGTTCAGCAGGGATTCGGTGGACTGCCATCGTGCTCACCCGGTTCCTTCCCAGTGTCTTGATTATCTATTCGAGGTCGCCGTTAAAATGAAGTTGGCTGGCGTCCCTACCCTATTGAATGAGGATAAGTAGAGGACAGGTAGATGATGGTGCTGTAAACTCTGTGGGATAGACACTATACGGGCCTTGAATCAAATACGACCTCTCGCTGTCAACTGTCCGCCCGAATTTCTTGAACACCCCACGATCTGGTAGCGCCCAAGGCCTTTTGAAGCAAGAGCCTTGTAAATCTGTTGACTGACGATTTGATGTAGTAGTTGAATATCGTCTCGAATGTCTCCATAGAAAGGATCATGTACCAGCTGCACGAGGGCCCTGCTATCCGCTCCCCCTAACCAAGATGTCACGTCCCGACGCGACGCTTGTGACATCCGCGTGACAGTTCGCGTTTGACGTCACGCTACGAGCGCGTCCCGAAGGGCGGAAGCTTTTGTCCAGTTTGGATCGTTGCCACCGCTATCATCCAATTTGCCCCCAAATCCATGAGTTCCGAAGCCTCGAGCTCGAAACTGTGCGTTACTCGAGTCTTTATGAATTTCAATGCTTTCTGAAAGAGAATAATCTACCAGGAAGGACCAAGGAAGTGTGGAGGAGCGATGCCTGAAGTAAGCCCATGTCCATGGAATTCTTTCGAGTTGCCCTAACCTCGAACCCAATAGCGCTCTAAAGAGAAGTGAATCGCATCCTTGGACTGGGGAAATGAAATCCTGAACCAACAATCTACAGCGTTCGGGTATTCGTCATACAAGGGCAAGCAGAAGGAGATTGTAGAAGCTGCAGTATCAGGTGAACCCCAACGGCGCTCGGGAGTCAGGCCAGGTTGCTGATGCTTGTTGGAATGAAGGACAGGATGTCTTGGTGGTAGCACCAACTGGGATGGGAAAGGTGCGACTTCAACCGCCCATGGTCAGCTCGAAATCTAACCGAATTCTGCTGCAGAGCTTGTGTTTCCAGATCCCAGCTATTGCAGACAAAGTACGGCGCTCAGTTCGTTGAACATGTCGATGCGTCTCATGAAGAATGTTACTACGTATAGCCTGGCGTATCGCTGGTCGTATCCCCGTTACTTGGTTTGTAGTTTTGCACAGATGATGCGACGAGGGTTAACAGACATGCCAGCTCTTATGAAGAATCGTGCGTTGGCTACTCACGCGGGAGAATTTATCTGCTAACGCAACCGTTATAGAGGTCGAAACGCTGCGCGGAAGGGGCGTCCCTACAGCCTCATTCTCTTCGGAGACTAGCAAGGAAGAGCGGCAAGAGGTGCGTTGGTACATTGCTCCTCCGTTGGGACCTTCCTGATGCCCAATCTAGATCACGGAGGACCTCGAATCTGACACCCCTCAGCTACGCCTGCTATACGGTCAGAGTTGATACACCTCGGGGTCCTGTTGCATTACTTGTCTGACCTTATCCCAACTTAATAGTCACACCGGAGAAATTGTCGACGCAAGAGTTTCTGCGGTTGATGGATCACCTACATGATGTGGGCCAGCTTAACCGACTTGTTGTTGACGAAGTGTGTAACTTCACATCCTTTTTATGACGGGGGCCAGTGGGCTGACTGATTGAGGTGTCCCGCTAGGCTCATTGCATATCGGTACCCTTCATTCTCTCTTGATCCCTTTGCATCGGCTGATTCTCCCTGGTGGTTAGGAATGGGGACACGACTTTCGAGCAGAGTATAGACGTATCGGAAGCTTTCGAAATCGATACCCTGATGTCCCGATCATGGCTTTGACGGCTACTGCTACACCAGAGTGGGACTCCCACATTCGTCCTCATTGGCGCAAAGGCTGACCAGGGTTTCCTTAGCGTGCAATCCGACATCATACACAACCTCAAGCTCTCCTCTGACAATCTGTTCCGCGCTTTGCACCCTTTCAACCGGGCCAACCTTTACTACGAGGTTTGCTGTCTTCCTTCGTAAATACTCGCGGGGCTGATTTAAAGCATGTCAACTGGTTTAGGTTCGCTATTTGTCCGACCGAAATCCAAAGACTCGCATGGAAGACATCCACAAATACATCAAGACGCTATACACGAGGCGAGGAAAGGTTTCTTGCGGGATAATCTACTGTCGGACCAAGGCGGCGTGCGAAGAGTTGACGCAATTCCTAAGGAAGAATGGAATCAATGCTGGATCGTATTATCGTGGTATACCGTGCGTCTTGTTTCCTCGTCTTTTGAGGGCGACTGGGACTGACGAGACCTTGTTGACCTTGAATTGCACAGGCCGACGAAGTTGGATGCGACACTGAGAAGGTGGTTGGATGGGAGTGGCGAGATTGATGTGGTATGTATTTGTCTTCCTTGCTCCGTCTTCGATATGCATTTGAACTGCTACCATAGGTTGTTGCAACGATTGCCTTTGGGATGGGTATCGACAAGGGCGATGTCCGTTACATCATCCACTTTGATTTACCCAAGAGCTTTGAGGGGTTCTATCAAGAAACTGGTCGTGCTGGTCGCGATGGCTTGGTCGGTGTTACTTGTCTACGATGTTACCTTACACCTGACCACGCGACGTCGTTCTGATTCTAGCCAGCCAAATGTGTGCTCTACTTCTGTGCGTTTATCGAGGCTTTTTTCTTATATCGTGGGACCGAGCTGATGAGCTGTCCAGCTAGGGAGGATTGTATCGACGTGAGGAAATGGGTGATGAGCCCCAAAGATCGTGTCCGTGATGAATATCATGGTCCACCTCCGACTCAGAGAGCAGGCGATAGTTTGGATGCAGTGAGTACCAGCCGTATCTTTGCTAGACCGATGCTGACGACTCTGAAGCTCTTCAAATTTGCGGAAAGTCCGAGCCTGTGTCGACATGTGGTTTGTATTTCTTCCGTCCGGATTGTAGGCCGACCGTTGACGCGCCCTTACAGTCGATATGCCGGTATTTTGGAGAAACGATAGACACTATCGACAAAGAGGCGATGAAGGAGCTTTGTAATGATATGTGCGACGTAGGTGGCCTCTCTCGTGCATGACCGCCCATGATTTGACAGTCACGCATCTAGGTCTGCAAATACCCGGAGAAAACTGCGATGCGACACGCCCGGCTCTCACCAATCGAGGTCGGCGATTGTCGATCTATCGTTCTGGCTCGAAGCAACAATTACAACACGATGAACGCTCAAACCTCTTCAACAACATCAGGGGTGGACAAGGGTGATTGGTCCACTCGCCCTCGGATACCGCTTGCTGGAAAACGAACGGGTTCGAATCTGGATAGAGGCAAGGAGGAGTTTAAGAAGATGAAGGTGTCATTTGCGCCTAAGCTTGGTAGGTCCCCTGTAATGCTTGAGAGAAGGGTGCTAATGGGCATACTGCAGTTACGAAAGCGCATGCCTCTGCGTCTGGGCTGAGGAAACCGTTTAAACCTCCGTCTATGAATGCTGGTGGGGCTCGGAGTACGAGTGCCTCTGGTACTCTAGGCTCGCTGAGTCGACGTTCCGTGAGCATTACCAGGAGCTCCTCGGACATCGAAGAACGGGAGGTTGTAACGTCGAGCGTTGCCCCTCGAGATGTGATCACCATTGAAGAGGATGATGATGAAGAAGTCGAAGTATTGGATAATCCTACGCATCAAGGGCACAGTGCGTGCACTCTTTATAATCCGTGATGGGGCCCAATGCTCATGTTTCCGCAGGGTCGTCGGACGACGATTTCCAAGAACAATTGGATCTTTTTTCCCCTTCTGTGCAAGTCACGCCGGCGACGTCTGTCTCCAGGACATCGTCCAAATCTAGTGTCGTAGAAGAGACGTACGAATCTCCTGCATTGCTTCAACCCGAGTCTCAGAAGATTCCTGTAAGTCGTCGCCAACGTCTTCAGGATCGTTACGCTTTACTGGGTGATTTCAGATATCCAAACGGAATCAGGGCTATGCTTCGATATATAATGCTCTCAAGGCCCTATTCATCTCCGGAAGTGGAAGCGAGAAGATGTGGAGTCGCCTGAAAGGACCATCAGGCCTTGCAGCTCGGTAAGTCATGCATTCGTCTTCGTTAAGCCCGTGGTCTCTCACGGCTATCTCTTATTCCAGGGAAACCGCGTTGAAGACACTCGCTTGCAGTATTGAAGGGAGTCACCTGAGATACTCGAGCTCAGTGGGAGGTTACCAGGACAAGGTCGGGTTTACAGTCGAGGCTATCGATGAGTTGGAGAACACGGATTTGTGGTTTAGCGGGAAGGCGGATTTTTCGGATTCGCAGGAGATTTTGGATGAATTGGTTGGAATATGTAGATGTGGTTAGTGAGCTGGTCTACTGTAATGGGAAAAGTCTGTATCTATGGTCCTTTGCCTCCACCCGCCAGGCCTTCACCCATCAGGCCTCAGGCCAGGCCAAGCATTTCGAGGTGATGGGCGCTTGATTCAGAATTCAGGCTCCGACCGAATCTCCCATCACTTGGCCCCCCGCCTTTTCCCGCGGCACTGCCAAGCCGATCTGATCCCTCTTCCTTCCTGAAATCGCTTTTTGACCTCGACGGCATCGTCCAAGACCGCCCATACCTGTGCTGCATTGCGCACGACGATCTCTGGGACTTCCTTGTGCATAGAATCGACACCATGAATAACGCAATTCTTCGGCTGTTCGTTATCGCCCAGGGTTTTCGACCTCGTCCGCAGCACTGTGCTCATCGTTGTGCTTGGTAACTGTCGACCGACCTCGTGGTTTCTTGTGTTGTCCATGCATATGACGTCCTGGAGGTTCAAAAAATCTGGAATGGACGATGTGGCAGCGCTGATATGTCACTTGGCTACTGTTCAACGACATTATTGTCGTCTGCTGCTGGTCTCACCGCCTGCTTGATTTTTTCACCGAGCCTCGTAACAAGAAGATATGGATCGACGACATATCTTCCACTTTGGGATGGTTTTTGCCCAGCGAGAGTTGCGGGGTTTAGCATTAATCCCCATGTCATCAGCCAAGCCATGACTTCCCGGGGCTGTCCATTTCTGACATACCCGCTCTTGATTCGATGCGACGACGATTCGAGGAAACAGGATCGCCAGAAACCTCCAGGCCGCCGTCGGAAGGAAGATGCTCGAGCGCAATGGAAGAGAGTCCATCCCTGCGTACACGCGGGTAAAGATTTTGTATAAAAGGCCTGTTGGGATTCAGTCAGAAGTATCCGCAAACCCACCCCCATTCTCCCCTTGAAAGCCACTCGAATCCATTCGCTATGGTTCGCTACACAAGTTCAGCAGCTCTCTTCCTTCTCTCGCTTTATTCGCCTCTGCAAGTGTCAGCTCAGTCGCTAGCATCCGCCGTCTCATCAAGGCCAGAGCTCTCAACCTTCCTCACCGTCGTCTCGTCATTTCCCGACCTCGTCGAATCTGTATCTTCGTCTGGCGGAACAATCCTCGCCCCGTCCAACAATGCCTTCTCTTCATTCCTCGAAGCCGCCAACCTCGGTCCCGAAGGGTTGGCTGCCGTTCCGGAGTCTACCGTTCGTAGTCTACTCACCTACCACGTCTTGCCCGAGACGTTGAGGAGCACAGACTTGGTCGTTCGAGGAGGTGCCGTCGCTGAGACAGCCTTGTCTGATAACGAAGAGTTTGCCAACCTCGATGGCGATCCTAACGTCGTCTTCGCCAGTGCCTTTGGAAGTGCTGGTTTGGATGAGGGCAATGTTGGAACCTTGAGGATCTACTCTGGCGCTGGCAACCCTGCCAATGTTAGCAGCGCTGATATCGAGTTCGATAACGGCGTGATCCATGTCATTGAATCGTATGTCCAGTTATTTCTCTCTCGTTCAAGTCCTGACTCACCCGTCATCCGAAAGGGTTTTGAACCTCCCTCAAACTCCTTCCAAGACTGCTGAAGCTGCTGCCCTTTCCGTCCTCATTTCTGCTCTCGAGAGCACCAACCTCACCTCGACCGTCGACTCCACTCCCAAGCTCACAATCCTCGCTCCCACCGACGACGCGTTCGCTGCCTTGGGTATCGACCTTTCCTCCCTTTCCACCGATGAACTCGCCGAAATCCTCAAATATCACGTCATCGTCGGTGCTGTCGGTTACTCGACTGTTTTGGAAGATGGTGAGGAGTACGAGACGCTTTCAGGCGAGACTGTGACGGTTAGGAAGCAGGACGGCCAAGTCTGGGTGAACGATGTTGCTGTTGCCCAGGCCAATGTTATCTTGAGCAATGGTGTCGCTCACGTTTTGAGTGGGGTGAGTTGCATTTTGTTCTCGCCCGGTTATTTCATGTATTGATCCTCTGCTTGTGAAGGTCCTCGTCCCTCCCACTGATGGTTCTCCCAATGGATCTAGCTCGACTTCCCGGCCAGCTAGCAGTCGTACTGCCACTGCATCCAATTCCAACCCCACTGGTGACGCTGATGAATCGGAAGAAGAGGATTCTTCCGCTGCTACCGTGTCGATGGGAGCTCAGGTTGTTGTTGCTGTTGTGACCGTTTTGGGTTTTCTCGCTGCTTGATTTCTGGGGGGTTTCTTTTGACCTACTTGCATGTGTTTTGCTATTCCGATCATGTGTTTTTCTGTGGACCTTTCCATTCATATATTCGAAGGGGGAGAGATGATCAATATGGTAGGGGAGAGGCATCTTGGACCTCTCTTACGGGCGCTTACCCCCACCGCATCACATCAGGCGTACCAGACTTACATATCGATTCGATACAGTACTTCCCAAATGAAATGATCTCGCAAATTCAGGAGCATCTTGGAACCACGGTACAGTTTGTACACCGAGGCACACTGCCTTCTTGTCCATGCTCCAGCTGCTTGAAACCGTTCAAAGTGCTTCTTATTGACGTTCTTGATACGTTTACTGTCTTGGCTTGCGCTTAAATGGCGTCGAACGCTGATCTAACCCCAGGCTATCGTTCCCGATCTGTCTGATTGAGGGTGTTATGAGCTTGAACGAGGGGATTCCCAAGTGGCCTCTTTCGGGAATCGGGGAGGAGGCTCGAGATGGTACCTAATGAAATGACCTATATAACCCCAGGCTCACTTGTGAGTGGCCAAATACACCAACAATCCTTCAATAGGCTGATTTAGTAGCCTGCCACTCCCCGTCCAACCATGACTTTCAGGAAACTCATCTACCTCACTGTCCTCGCAGTGTCGTTCACGGCCTCAGAGGCAATGGACATCTGCGCCTACACCTCTCGATTGTGCGGAGGATCTTTTGGATGCTGCACCGATATCCCGGTCAATACCTGCTGCTGGTGGGAGCAGAAGTCCGGCTATGGTTGGTCAGTCAGATTCAAGAACACGGGCCCCAATTGGTTTGGGTCTTCATACGGTGGTCGCTGCGCTGTCAGCACTGGAGGTGTGGGCAGTAACCTCCCCGATAACACCTGTAAGCCCGGTTTCTCGACGGCTAACGGATTGCTGACCATGATTTAGGCCTCAGCGTCTTTGATGCGCCCAACTATCTCAACTGGGCCTCCGCCAACTGGCGGCGTGACTTTCCAAATGGCGCCAGTGCTGCCCCGCGCTCAGACGAAGGCGGGTGCAGGATGCCAGATGTGCTCGGTTACACGGATAGCGACGGGAATCAGCGCATGTACAAAGTTCCCGTGGAGCGCTTCGACGAGGCATTGGGCGCTATCGAGGCTGAGGATTATAGTGCTCTCGGGGAGTTCGAGGAGGTTACTTCTACGGTCTCGGACTAAATCTACTTCCCTCTCTATCGTCAATGCTACGCGTGAGGATGTCAATGTAGCTAGAATACACCCTTCACCCGGCCATTACTTCCGTCATACATGTTGCTCTACGAAAGAAATAGCAGCGTCTAACTCTTTACCCCACTTCTTCTTGACGTCGAAATCGAAATCGAAATTATGTTCCATTCCCGGAACTTTCACCACCTCTACAGGCACTCCTACACGTTCCAACAGCCTTCCCAGGTTCTCCGACTCTAGAACCGAGACAGCGGTATCTGCCGTGCCATGTAGGAAGACGGTGGGCGGCCAATCCTTCGTTACATTTAACTGAGGGAACAGGTTGCGATGGCGTTCGGGTATGGCTGCCGTCGCCTCCTGCCTAGTCTTTTCGTCCGCGGGATCCAGGGCGACGGTTTGTAAATTCGGCGATACACGCTCCTCGAAGCCACAGATCTTTCGAAGGGCCGAACTGAGGCTTGGGTCGTATTCACCGGTGAAGTAGTCCAGCCAAATGGCATCCTGGAGGTACATCCAGGCGGCCACATGGCGGATGTTGTTTTGTGGAAGGCCGTCAGAACCTGGGACGAGTGGGCAGTCCGCCTCTTCTTTGAAAGGGGTGCCCTCGAAGGGGTGGTAGTAGTTCTTGGGGCCTTCCATCCACTCCCCTACGAAAGTGAAATGTTCGCTCTTAGGAGCTAGGTAATAGGAGGACTGGCTTTCACGGGAAAAGACGTAAGCCTGAGAGTCGATCTCACATCACGAGCTAGAGGAAGCACTCACGAAGATTTCTCCTCCCATGCCATAGATGGACAGGACCGCCTTTGGCCTAGGCGACTTGCAATGCATAGCAGCGAGGTAGGCGCAAAATCCTCCAGCACTCGACCCCGAAACCACGATCGACGAGTCAGCATCCACTTTTAATGGAGTTGTCGTGTCAGACCCAGGGGAGCTGGGTAGATTCAACACTAGATCTGGATCGATTATAAACTTCCATAGGTCCTCCACGTCCTCCTGAATTTCATGACCGGTAGACGAAGGAAGAAGACGGTAATCAGCGGAGATGAAGATATAGCCCAAGCCAGTGATTCGTTCTAACAATGGATTGATTGAGCAGGTTTGATAGCAAATGATGGGTAGAATGGGTGAACGCACCAAAAAGCCAGGATGGTGTGAAGTTCGTTCGATTTCCAAATGCCAGAGCCCCACCGTGGAAGTAGATGAAGGCAGGTCTTCTGTGCGTTCCTGCCTCGTTCGTGGAGGCGGGTGGCCATGCGTCGAAATAGATATCAAGGCCTTTCGCAGTTGTCTTGTATCGCACAGAGGTTCCCGGGGTAGAGACGAGATCCATGGTCTCCTTTGTCGTACAGATGCAAGTATCGAAAAGAGGCCTGGCAAATCGGAAGACTCATTCAATCTATATAAACCAGATATCAGTTAATCGCGGACATCTCGGCGAATCATCTCTATTCTTAGATTCGGAAAAACATTGAAAGTTTCAGGAAACCGCTGGAGTCCTGGAGGAGCCAGATTACTCTACACCATGTAGGAAGGCCGTCACTTTATCAAAAATAACGCCAAACCTTTCCTCTGCGTTAGGTACTAGATCAAAGGAATGCTCCTCTTCTTCAACTTCGAAAAGCTGGGTAGGCACTCCAATTGCCTTCAGTTGACTTTCCATGCTCCTCGATTCGCCTATCGGGACAGCCGTATCTGCTGTTCCATGAAGGAAGACCGTCCTCGGCCACCGACCTTCCCCTTTCACAACGTTAACCTGCGGGAACAGGTTTCGATGTTGACCAAGGCATGACTCGATTGCCTCCCAAAGCCGAGAGGAATCGTCATCTCCCCCGTCAAGGGGAGGTGACGCACCCTTCAATGTCGAAGGCTGGGTATGTTCCTGATGATAAGAGTCATAAATCTCTCGGAGCTGGCGGCTTAGACTGGGTGAATGCTGGCCTGTGTAGTAATCCAGAAATTGACCGAGCTGCAGGTACAGCCGTGCGAGAAGCATCCGGGGATTGGAAGGGTAGCCGGGGATGGGGTGGGTTGGAGGGTGGTGTGAGAGGGGTGAGTCAGATACGAATGTTGAGTCCCCCTCTTGGAACGGATACACAAACTCCTGGAACTCGGAGGGATCGAGAAGCTCCCTTCCTCGGAAGAACGGTGCATGTTTCTCATGTAGATAGTGAGGCGTCTGTCTCGCCAGCGTATCATCAATCACCATGCAGTAACGGACAGCGAAAGTATAACTCACGAAGAAATCTCCACCCATTCCGTAGATCGAGAGCAGCGCCACGGGAGGAGGATCAACACAGTGCATCGCGCACAGATAGGCACAAAGACCACCAGCGCTTGTTCCCGCTACGACGATTTTGTCCGGCTGCACGACAAAATCCTTCTGCGTCCCCCCATTTACGAAGGAGAAGATATTGTGAGGATCGAGTATGAAGGACCACAAGTCCTTGATGTCCTCCACGATGTCATGTCCAGTTGCCGGAGGGATCAGACTGTAGTCCGCTGAAATAAAAAGATATCCAAGCTTGGTGAAACGTTCTTTCTTGAGATGTGAGGATTCAAACCGTTCCCTGATGCGATTTTAAAGACATACTACATAACCACTCAGGAAACCAGCTACGTCTATTCCCGACTGTCAGCCCACCGCCATGGAAGAACACCACTGCCGGAACTGTAATCTTGTCCCCGTTCGGCGTCGGTCCGCTTTCAGGTTGCCATACGTCCGAAAGAATGTTCAAGTCTCCTCTTCTTTTGTACGTGACCGTGAGGGGCTCAGAAGACATCGCTGACATGGATGTGAATGAAGAGAAGGAAGATGCTTCCGACGTGATTCGAACCCAGAACCAGGTCCAGGGGTGCAAAGAAGGCCAAGGCCCGAAATCGGAATTTCAATCTAGCCAAGGGAACTTTGTTAGCCAGCGCTTAAGTATCTTCGTCAGGTGGCGTCAAACGGGAAGAACGCCTGAACCTGAGCTTTGGACAGTGGATAGGAAAGGCGGAAAGCTGTAAGGTATGTGTTTCTCACAGCCCGTGCCTTCCTGTCTTTTAAAAGATGCTCAAGTTGCGGAGACTCGAGTGGCAGTAGATGATGGCTCATGACAATGATGACAGGCTTCTGCGATGCCTAGACATGTCTCGACATCGAACAAGAGATTCTCTACACATAAACACATAGCTCCAAGTGCTCTGGTGGCCCCTTTCGAAGAAGGATCCCGTAAGAAGACCAGGTTTCTCCACGACAATTCCCCTGGCGGAGCTCTCACTCAGTGACTTGACATTTACACCGAAGTCGTGATTTTCAAAAAGAACGTATTCTATGCTGATGAATCCTGAAAGGAAGACTGAGAGTAGTAACTTGTTAAACAGGTCCATACACTCACTCCTTGTCAGAACCCAAGTTCGAAAACTTGGTGGGATTCGGGCCCTTCGGTGGGCACTCTACCTCGTTCTCAAGCCGGAAAGGGGCGAGGTTTGAATACCGTGGAACCATATGACTACGGCCAGGGAATTATAAAAGCCCACTGGCGATCCAAAAGTAAATGTCCAACCAACCTAACCTGGCCATACCATTACATAAAAGACGATAACAACAATGAAAGCCCCCACCAGCCCCCACCTCCTCACCCTCCTCACCCTCCTCACCCTCACCTTCACCACCCTGACTCAAGCAGTCCTCAACGGCCCCTGCGACTTCCCCGGCCTCGGACCGGGCACCTGCCTCCACGTCGACGCCTGCGCCCGAGGCGGCGGAACCTCCGTCACAGGACGCTGCGGGAACGACCCCGTCTGGGTCCGGTGCTGCTTCAAACGGTGCCCTGGGACTAGCGGAAACGGGATTTGTCGCCCTTCCACTTCGTGCTCCCCGCCTAACACGTCTACGGATCCAGGTGAGTCGCACATCGCGAGTGCAGAACGATGTACTTGTTGCTAGTAGGACTTGTTTGTTTGCTGATGGAGGAATGTGTAGATTCGTGCCCTGGTCCTGATTCAGTCAGATGTTGCGTCCCATTCCCGTTTTAACCCTGGAAACCTGAGCGTTCCATCGAGACCGGTACCAGTGGCTGGCGAGCGAAGGTGGTGATAACTCGATACGGGCGCTGATCTTGGGGTGGAGTAGAAAGCGGAGAGAGCGATTAGGGATAGAGTAGCCTACCGTGAATAAGACGTTGTACAAGTTGTCTGCTTCACACTAAGTTTTGTCCTGAGTTATTGTTAGGGGGCCAAATTGCTTCGAGACTAACAGAGTGAGATCTCGTAAGGAACATCAGGTTCTCCACGATGATCATGATTCTCCCGGTGAAGCTCTCACTGACATGTACACCGAAGCTGTGGTTCACTGTCGGATTCTCAAAAAGAAGGTGATCTACGCTGATGAACACTAAAAGAAAGACTGACAGTATTCACTTTGAGACAAGCCCGTCCACTCGCTCGCTCCTTGTCAGAAACGAGATTCGACGATGACTAGAATCTCCTGAATGGGTTCTCGAGCTCTTTTCTCATGCCCGAGGGGAAAGACGATCAGATGTAACACACTTAGCGATAAGAACAAGTATAAAGGCAGTCGGGAAGCCAAAGGAAACCCACCGATAAGCAAAAAGACCGACTCCCACCGGCCAAAGAGGCAAACCGATATGAAAGCCCCCACCACCTCCACTACCCCTGGCACCACCCTCCTCCTCCTCACGTGCCTCGCCTTCACCACCCTCACCCAAGTTGAAGCAGCTCTCAACGGCCCCTGCGACATCCCCGGCCTCGGACCAGGCACCTGCCTCCACACCCAGGTCTGCGCCCAAGGCGGCGGGATGTCCGTCCCAGGATACTGCAAGGACGACCCCATCTGGGCCAGTGCTGCTTCAAACAGTGCTCTGACCCGTCAAGGGGTGGGACTTGTCGCCCTTCTACTTCGTGCTTCCCGCCCAATAGGCCTATTATTGATCCAGGTTCGTATCGAGGAAGCTTTTTTTTTTCTTTTTGGTTAATGGGTTAATGTAAAACGAATTTGGTTGGACCCTTCAATGCTGATGGAGGAATGTGTAGGTTCGTGCCCTGGTCCTGATTCGATCAGGTGTTGTGTTCCATCCCCGGTCATGGGAGCATAACAGGAGCGAGCAAGGAGTGAGCGAGAGTGTGTGTTCAAAGCAGTTTAAACTTACAAACTTTACAACGCGACTCCCCGCAGACTTTCATCAAACGATCAAAGGTTGTCACGGAGTGAAATCCACTGCAACACCTTGCGCGAATGATAGTAGTATTCTCTCCAGTTATTGTTCAATGCCGAACCAAACAGCGGACCGAAACGCCTCCAAGTCTAAACAGAGTTGAGATGATATTTACAGCCCACCGGCCAGTCTATCAGTTATATACGTAGGTAGAAATGTGCTCTAGGATGTTGTCAACAAAACCACAAGAAATTCTTTTGTGTGGAAAGCCTTCCAGAATCCCAAAAGGCTTACGAAGACCGGGCCTGGTTCGGCGCCAAAAACCACAGCACCATCAAGGCTCCAATCATCGCAACGGACCTACAATCCAAAACCAACATCAGCAAAACTAATCCCACAACTCGACCCGGGAAAAATGAGCAGGCGACGTACACAGGATGCAAGCTCGAAATCCCATGCTTCTGCGCAATCGCACCAGCCATAAACGGCACAATCGCACTCCCAGCCTGACCAAACGCCGCAATCCACCCAATCGCACCGGTGAGGATGTAGGAGGGGAGGACGCGCGAGGCTTGGTTCATCGCCAGGGGGTACATGGGTGCCATGAAGAGACCCATGAAGGCCACGGCGATGCCGTTGCCGACTAGCGAGGGGACGAACCAGACTACGAATTCTAGGCTGTGTGGGAGGTAGGGTAGGGTAAGGTGGGGTGTTATGTTAGAGTGGGTGGATGGAGTTGGAGAGGCGTACCCTAGTGTGAGGAGACCGTAGAGGTAGACGACCCAGCGTTCGCCGACCTGGGGGATCGATGTGAGAAGTCGTACTAACAATGGAGAGCCCTAAACCTACCAAAGCGTTAACAGGGAGAAGAATAACTCGACCGACCGCAAGGGCTACACAAGAGACATATCAGCATATGGTAACAAGGGCGGCGACTAACCACGAACCTCCAAAGTAACCAGTGGCAATATACCCGGACGAAGGCCCACCTCCCCGAACCTCAATAATAAACGTGGTAATCCACCCTCCAATAGCGATCTCAAGGCCAACATAGACAAACAAAAAGAACGCCAGAACATGCACGGTCTTGCTCGCCATGATAGTCTTGAAGCTAGTCGCACCCTCGTTAGCCTCTGTGACGATTTCGCCTGCAGCCTTAAGATTGTCCTCCTGTCGCCTGAAGCGGAAGACGAGCATAACGGAGAGGGAGTTGAGGATGGCGAGTCCGAGAGAGACGAGGTAGTGGAAAGACCATCGTTCCATTTGGGAGAACTGGGTCGACACTAGGGCTGATGCGAATGCACCTAGGCCTACAAGTAATCATCAGCTTGCGTACGACATCTTGGAATCAGAGCGAGGACTCACCATAGACGCAGTGGATAACACCCATCTTCGTCTCCAGGTTCTCAGCTAGCGAGCCGACGTAGCCGTTAGCTTGAGCATCCTGGATTCGACGTTAGTAGAAGTTGGTGGATGGAGGCATGGTCAGACGCACCTGAAGAGCGAGACCCATTCCGTTCAAAAAGTTCATGGCTACGAATGCGGGGAAGGGAGGAGCGGAGGTCTGAACGCTGTATGCGATGATTTGGAGAATCGTGCCTGCCGTCGCATTTCATGTCAAGATATCGTTCTCAAGGAAGATGTGAAGACGCCTACCAGCTGCCATGATCTATGCGAGGAAGATATCAGCGCTAATTGCACGAGAAACCCACAGCATAAGACTCACTTTTCCCATCCCAAATCTATCGGTAATCAAGACATTCACTACAGCACCGGTGATAAAGCCCTAGAAAAACACCCAATCAGCCTCCACCCCACCTCAAGATAAAAACCGAAGAAACAACTCACAGTACATGACATGACGAAAACCAAAGACACCACAGCAAAACCAACCTGGACGAAAGTCGGAGCAACCAAACATGAATCAAAAAATCGTTGCACTTGCATGATACACTTCCTGCAGCCTAGGCAGCATGGGACCTGGAGTCCCGTCGTTCCAGCCCAAGTTGAAGAGACACCCGGAGAGGGAGAGCAGTTGGATTATGCCCATGGCGCTCTGGCGCCGGGTTTTTGGAGAGCGGGATTTTTCTGATTCTGAGGGGGAGAGGTTTTCCTTGCAAACGGTGGTAGCTTCCTTGTTCGAGTCGCTGGCCATTGGAGAGTGTGTTCCTTGCACGGTAGATCCAGCGTCGAGGCTTGTCCTTGGAGTTGGGGTAGCGGTAGCGGTAGTCGATCCCATGTTTTGTTCGTGAGCCAAGAGGGAAGAGTCCCAGGAGCAAGAAGCCAAAAGTTCAGGCTAGTGGAGGTCAAGAAGAAAGTAGGACGAATCGACCGGGATGACTCGTCATTTTACCCGCCTTGGCGGCCCAAGCCTTCCCGCGCCACCTCTTCCCGATGTCCACGGCTTTGTAATTCTATGTCCCATACCGAGCCTTGTCGGGGTCAGTGGATAGAGATTGCTCTACTACGAGTTACAAGCAGAAGTATGTACTGGATATGAAATAAATCAAACCCTGAACTTGCAAATGAAGCTCAAAAGATAGGGGCGTGGAAAATCACTTCAATGATGCACGTGAAACGCACGCGGTTCGCGTCACTTCGAACCCCACTCGACGCGTTCAATCTCCTCCCTCCTCCTCCCTTCCTACCTCACCTCCCCCTATCCCGAATCCCTTCAACCATGGAACGAGCCTACAGACAAACCCTCGAACAAATGGGCGGCAGCTCCGAAACAGTCGAAACAGCCATCAAACTCATCCGACAAGCCAAAGCCCGTACACGACCTGGATCAGGACACGAACTGGGGGAGTACTCGACGGGTTTGGTGCCCATTTGCGGGTTGCTAGCTTCAGAACAGTGCGTCTACTTACATCTATATCTCTAGCCTGATACTAGGTGACTGATACTGGTACTGACACCCCTCCCAACTCGCCTCACAGATTGAACAACGACGAAATAACCCCCTCCGCCGCCCAACCCGCTTCATGCCTCAACAAAGCCTCCTTCAAAAAGGCGTACCAAATCTTAAAAACCGTCCTACAAGACAACAAAACAAAAGGCAAACGCCTAACCTGCGAAATGCTGTTACGCAAATACATCGTAGCTTTACTCGCCGCGCAACTGGGGGAGATGTGCCAACTAGCGCAAGGAGAGGTTATGCAGCTCGGGATGAAGGCGAGTCAGATTACGAATGAGGTGATGTGTGGGATATTTTTGTGGGTGTGTGCGGCTGCCAAGGTGCGTTAACTCGCGAAAGCCATTCTCTGGAGGGTGGTGTTTAATGGGGTTTTGGGTGGCTAGGTCCCGGATTTGCCTACAGTCGACGACCTAGCAGCCGAGTACGGTACCAAACCAGCCACAGTCCAAACATTCATAACAAGCTTGAACAAGAAGCTCCCCGAACTCAAACGCAAAATAGCTCAAGAAACCAAACCAAAGGCTTCATCCGCCTCGCCTACAAAAGCCACACCTCGCAGAACGCCAGGTCGTCCTAAACGAGAGCTCCTGACTAGGGAATCAGTGAGGAAACAGGCGGAGGCTGCACAGGCTCCTGCACCAGACGACGATGACGACGACGAACGCTCGTTCCCAGAAACGCCGACAAAGAAACGGAGGTTAGACTCTACGCCCAACCTCGAGAGATCAGCTAGGACGCTCTTCGATTCGACGATACGCGCTTCATCTTCCAAGACTACATTGGACACCCCGACACGCCCTAGCTCACCATTGAAGAAGTCTACGACATTCCAGTTGCAGGCAGAGGAGGAAGTGGACGCCGCTGTACCGTCCGAGAGCGAGGACGAAGTGGAGGAGCCCAAGTCACGCTCCTTCAGGAGGTTCAGACCGGTCTATCTAGAGCAGAAACAGTGGTCTGCTCGGGATCCTCGGCTTAAACGGATCTGGCGTCTACGGGAAGAGCAGAAGCAAAAGCTCATCGAGCTTCACGGTCATCCATTTAGATAAGTATTACAGCCGTTCTCGTACACGATGAGGCGCGTCCTCGTACCGCTTGAACGCCTGCTCAAGCTGTTCAGTTGTTATACCCTCCCCAACCATATATTCCATCCACTCCCTACGGGCCTCTGGAGCCTTCCTCTCCTCTTGTGCACCGAAGAGCCCCGTCGCCACTTCCACCGGAAAATTGAGATACTCGCGTGCTCTGATATTACCCTGCAGAATCTCGCAAAAGTGGACCGACCACCGTTTCGCAATGTCTTTCTCGGCGGGGGTGCACACCCGTCCGGCGACCCTGTCCATGAACGCATGGATCGCAGCAACGTCCTGGTTCCGCAACCCCTCGTTCGTAGTAAGCACCGCGCTGCCCAGCTCGGGGTCGCGCAGCACCGAGAACCTCTGCTGTTCGGTGCGCCGCGCGTCCCGCGAGACGAACAACGCGGGCGCGGTTTCGAGGTTTGCGGGCAGACCGTGCTTGAGGTACGCCTTTAGCTGGTGGACGCCGACTGAAAAGTTGAACGGGGACATCCCGCAGTCGAGGACGACCTCGTCGCCGCAAAGCGAGGAAAAGTAGATCCAGTAGTGGTCCTCCGGGTCCTGACCGTAGGCAAACGTATTGGTCGAGGGATTGTAGTAGGCGAACCGGTCGTGATCCTCCACCTCCACTCTTCCTTTTACGATACCGAAATCGGCGATGGGTGAAGAGGAGTATTTGAGCCGGACGCGTCGTTTGCCTTGTCCAGAGGTGGTAGTGTACATCTCGGCCAAAAGTGAGAAACACAAAGCGACGATACGCGGGAGGAGGTACCCTTCGTGTATGAACCGCTGAATCAACCTGCTCCTGGCGGACGCCGAAGGGGCTGTCGGCCACCACACTTCTGGCTTCCCCATCGGCACGGCCAAATCGCATTTATCGCCTAGCACGATTAGGGCCGCGCTTCCCCCGTCTGGAAACTCGCAGAAAGCGCTGCGGGAGATTGTGTGCGTGAGTCCGGGGTGCATGGGTTTTTCTTGGTCGGTGTTGGATGTGACTAGCATGCAGGATAGGAGGGGGTAGAAGGTTTCTAGGTTTATTCGGTCTGTTTTTCCTGGTGCAATGTAGTGAAGAGGTGGTTAGATTGGACTCGTATTGCTTCGAGGAGGCGTAAGATGGAGCATACCGCATTCAGGTTTGTGTTTCGGCCAGTCCTTGGTTTGACATTCTTGACTGCAATACGCTTTCTATACCAATCTTACTTCAGTAGATGCCATGCTATTACCATCGGGTAGAGATGATGGATGATGCGATGGACGAGAGAAGTTCAAGCTTACCTCCCCGCACGACGAGCATAATCGCAGCCCACTTTCATGTTTTGAGCAGAGCGCGCATCGTTCGAGTTTAGATAGAGGGAGATGGACGGTTCTGAGCTCTTGATTTCGGATCCTGGATGTTGAGAGCGACATGGAACTTGAAAGAGCCCCTATGAGCCGCGACGTGGGATGTCGTCCAATTGGTGCCGAGGCGCCGAGGTCTCGATGACGCAGGTGCAAAGTAGCGCTTCTGGATGAATCCAATGTCGACGCCGAAATGCAATATGGTCAGGTCTTGGGACGTGAAATTAAGGTCGCACAGAAGCAATATATAGTTCACAATGTAAATTCCGGTATTTGTTGCTATCGCCGCATTGCTCAAATGGGTATCGCAAAAAGCAAAAGGACAGAAGATAATCCAACTCTCCGAGCCAACGCAAACACGCTATACACCCACCTCCTCCTGCACGCCATTAACCTCAAACCACTCCAACTTGCCGTGTTTCACAGCCCTCAGGGCCCCAACGCACACACCACCAATCGACTTCCCATCCCTCGTCTCCTGCTGCCACACTTTCAACGTGAACGACCGCAACTCCTGAAAGGTATGGAGATAAAACTGTATTGCGTGTACCACTTCTTCTGAACTTGGTGTTGCAAGCTCTGGGGTACTGCGCCGCGGGCGGAAGTCGATGAGGAGGTGGGTTATACAGCGCGTATTGTGTGCTAGGTCTGTCAATTGGTGGTGGTCGAGTGGGGCGAGGAGTCTGTTGATAACTTCCAAGGACACCGTGGCAGTCGAGGGTCTCACTGAGGAGAAACGCATTTCGGATTCGTGAGTAGGGACGAGTTTGTCGGAGAGGGCGGAGAGGGTTTGGACAAGGTCCGGAAACTCAGGACGGTGGGAGTCGGATTGGTAGACCCAAACTACAGTCAGGGAAATAAGAGTCGGGGGAGGGTGGATTATAACCACTCCCGACGCCTGGATCCATTTGAAATGAGCACGGAGGTGGGTGAGGTGGTGGAATGCAGGGATAGTAACGTCACTGCTTGAAAATCGTGAATCGGGAAAGGGGTATTGTTGGAATGAAAGAAAGGTAAGGCCGGAGAAGATGTTAATCAAGGAATTGAACTTTGGTAAAATAAACTGCCTCGGAAAGTCGCCTAGTTCCAGGGATAGTACCTTCGCAGCTGAATTGGCGAACAAGGTCTGTAGGATAGCCCAATCGACGTCTGGGTGATTGCAGCATTCTCGGAAAGCGATCGACTCGATTGGTGAGGCCTCGAGGAGGTCTAGGGTCCACTGGAGGAGTGGGGGGACCAGGAGGGAGGACGAGGCGATCGTGATGTGCTTCAGTGTCGTCGCTAGTCGGGCTTCGTTGGAGAGATGGTGAAGGAAGATTTTCGACCCTGGAGGGCCTCGCCGACGGAACTTCCAGTGAGGACCCGATAGAATGTTATTCAATTGCGTCGTCCCGTCGCCTCCGAGGAACATCGCAAGCCGTTCGAATGCCTGGGAGAAGATGAACGATTGGCGGGAAAGTTTGACGGATTCGTAACGGTCGGTGAAGGAAGTGAGTCCTTCAACGGACAGAAAGGTACATCCCTTTTGAACGATGGTGTTGAGGAGATTGCTCACCGCGAGCGACCAACGCTCGAATACATCCTCCTCTGAGACGGTCGGGTTGCGACTTTGATTGAAAGAGTATCCCCTGAATGCGAGCGTCACACTAGAAACATGCTTCAACCGTTTGATAAAGCGTTCCAAAGTCTGCAGCTGTGGTAGTATATCGCTCCAAATGCAAGCGAATGGAAAACTGGCGGACAGCGTTTGCACTTTTGTGATCGAGGGAGCGAAGCAGAGGGCTTGGAGTGTATGCTGATACTGAGACCACGGGAATCTGCCCAGTTGATCCATTTTGAGAATACATTCGTGCTCGGGGGAGGGGATGCCGGCGGAGTGGAGGTACGATATTGTGCAGATGTCTTGAAGCTTGCGGCAGACGAGGGCTGTACGAAGGACGTCCTTTGCGGGCAGCTCGGGAGCAGCGAAGATTTTGTGTAGTAGCTCGTTGGGGAGTGAGAGAAGACTGCAGTGGTTCTGAAGAGACTGTGGAGTCGATGTCATGGCTTTGACCCCAAGGCGCTCTGTAAGGACAGGTCCTATTTCAGTTTATACTCACCCGAGTGTTAGCTCCTTGAGCGCCTTGCGCAGCCGAATGGTCGTCGTTGAAGGAAACGCGCAGCCCCTGTCCCCGCACGGCGCCGAGCCCCGTTCATTTGATGCCGAGGCTCGACCTCTTCGCGATGACGCATTGGCAAAGCGGCTCTTCCGCACGTTCTAAGCCCAATGCCGACACACCCATCTGCCCAGTTTTCAACTCCGTCACTCAAAATGACTCGAACGTCGCCCAGGAACGAATAGTCTACACTCCCCCCAATGTAAACTCCGGTACTTATGATCCAACCGATAAGCTTAGGAAGCACTCTTGCCCAGTGTCGTCCAGGGTTGGATTACTACATACCACTTTTTTCACTATCGCCGCATTGGACGATCAGCATCGACAGCTTGTCCTTGAACCACCATGACCTCGAACGATGGTGGTCTACCCACCACTCCTGGCATCCACGACACAACGGCGGTGACAACGCCAACGATCAACGAACCGATGAGCACACCGACTGGGGGCAACAGCGCCAACCACATCCAGGTCCCGGACTCGCATGACGGTTTCTTCGGTTACCAGGAAGAGCGCAGTCTCCAGCAGGTCAGTTAGGCTTACTATGGACTCTGAAAACGTAACTGAAAGCTGTGTGTAGATTGAGGAAAAGTTGATGCTGCAGCGGCGAACTTCAGATGCCATCCCACCTGAAATAGAAAGCCTGCGGGGATCGCGAGTCCAGTCACCAGCACCAGATCCGTTTTACGAAGAGGAGGAAGAGCAGGATAAGCGTGAACGCCTTTACAAAGGCGAGAACCACGCAACCGGTGCGTATTGATTTAGCTTTCAATCAGCCATCGCTGCCAATCTAATTACCGCACCTAGAAATCCTAAACACGGAACAAGTTCTCCTACTCCAGTCGTTCCAGAAATGCTTAGAACTGCGCGACAAATACATGCTCAAATCCCGTCAGCGACTCGGAGACGACCCGCGAGACCACGACGGGCACTTCCAGGGCATCCCAGACGAAGATGCGGACCCTTGTGGCGTCCGCCCAGACGCGCAGTTTGGTTTGGACAAGTCTTCCACCAGCTCTACGGCATCCACCAACAAATGGAAGATCTACCCGCCTCCCCCTCCCCCTCATTGGCACTGGAAGCAAGACCAAGTTGTTAGCGGTGGTGGAAAGCATATCCCGGGAGATAGCTTCAAGTTTGAAGATTGCGAGATCCCTGGGCCTATAGAAGGGTGGTCGTTCAAATTGGATCATAAGGGTGTATACCAGGTGTACAAGGGCGAGGGTGAGTGGCATTCTCTTCCGCTTTAAACGGCTGTCGCTAATGATATATAGAGGAAAAACCTGCCTTCGACGTCCCCGATATTCGAGAATACTTCTTGGACCTAGAATACGTCCTCAAAGTCATCTCGGATGGACCCACCAAGAGCTTTGCATTCCGCCGACTCAAGTACCTCTCCAGCAAGTTTACGATGTACAGCCTGCTGAACGAGTTCCAGGAAATGTCTGATATGAAGGTGAGTCCTCTTCTACCTTGGTCGATGGGTGATAGTAGCTCATCGTTACATCAGTCTGTGCCGCATAGAGATTTCTACAATGTTCGTAAAGTCGATACCCACGTCCACCACTCGAGCAGTATGAACCAGAAGCACTTGCTCCGGTTCATCAAGTCCAAGATGAAGCGAAGCCCCAACGTACGTTCACCCCCTCGTTCTCGCAGATCTAACCATCTGATTGCGATCCCAGGACGTCGTTATCTTCAGAGATGGACGCGAATTGACCTTGTCACAAGTCTTCGAATCGTTGAAGCTTACAGCCTACGACCTTTCGATCGATACACTAGACATGCACGCCCACCAAGATTCGTTCCATAGATTCGACAAGTTCAACCTCAAGTATAACCCTATCGGTGAATCCCGTCTGAGGGAAATCTTCCTCAAGACGGATAACTACATTCAAGGGAGATATCTCGCCGAGTTGACGAAAGGTATGATCTATACTCCTTCCATTTGGTTGACCCGCGTTGAATGAAATGTTTTACCAGAGCTGATGACGGATTTGGAGCAAAGTAAATACCAGAATGTGGAATGGCGGATCAGTATATATGGTCGCAAGCCTGATGAATGGGACAAGCTCGCGAAATGGGTTATCAACAACAAGCTATTCTCGCATAATGTTCGATGGCTTATCCAGGTCCCGCGTCTCTATGAAGTCTACAAGGCTAATGGTTCTGTGAACACCTTTGAGGATATCGTCGTCAGTACGTGTATTTCCAGCAGCCCTTTTGGAGACCGTCGTTGCTCATGACTTCCTTCAGATGTGTTCCGCCCGTTGTTTGAAGTGACGCTAGACCCCCGCAGCCACCCCGAGCTTCACGTCTTTTTGCAACGCGTTGTAGGATTCGACACTGTCGACGATGAATCGAAGGTCGAACGGCGCATTCACAAAAAGTTCCCGTATCCCAACTTGTGGAACCTCCCGCAATCCCCACCCTACTCGTACTGGGTATACTACATGTTCGCAAATATGGCCAGTCTGAACAATTGGCGTCGTATCCGAGGATTCAGTACGTCTTTCCTCCCCAACTCCCCACTCCATTCCATCAAACCACCTCTCCCCTAACTTGTAATTTAACCAGACACCTTCGTCTTCCGACCTCACTGCGGCGAAGCGGGCGACACCGACCACCTCACCTCCGCCTTTTTGACCTCTCACTCGATCTCACACGGTATCCTCCTCCGCAAAGTGCCCGCCCTGCAGTACCTCTACTATCTCAAGCAGATTGGTATTGCGATGAGCCCGTTGAGCAATAATGTGTTGTTTTTGACGTATGAGAGGAATCCCCTACCCGACTTTTTTAAGGTGGGGTTGAATGTTAGTTTGAGTACGGATGATCCGTTGCAGTTTCATTTTACCAAGGTGGGTTTTTGGGTTTTTGGGTTGTTGAGTGGGGCTGATGGAGGTGTGTTTTGTAGGAACCGTTGTTGGAGGAGTATAGCGTTGCTGCTCATGTACGTTTTCGTCCCTTCCTCTCGATGGAATGTATGGCTGACTCGGGACATTTGATAACAGATCTACAAGCTCCCTCAAAGCTCCCTGGCTGAGCTCGCACGCAACTCTGTTCGTCAGAGTGGGTTTGAAATGGAGATCAAGCGGCATTGGTTGGGCAATAATTGGTATCTACCCGGTGCTGCTGGGAATGATATTCATAAGGTTCGTGGGGCGTTCATTTGGGGTTGTCGTGTCGTGTCGTTTTAGAGGGGGGGCTTCAATTGACCTGCCCGTTAACTGCCTTCCTTTGTTCTTTTGTATGGAAGAAAGATATGATCACTGACGCTCTCTTAAATCTATACAGACGAACGTCCCTGATATCCGACTACAATATCGTCACCAGACACTACTGGGCGAGTTGGAGATGTTGAAGAGGGCGAGTGCGATGTCGGTGGAGAGTGTTAGTCCTGCGCGGGGAACGGGGGGTGTGATTCCTACGCCTGATATGATTGGTGCTAAGGCTATGACTGCTGGGAGGTCGTGAGGCCTGAGGGTGAGAGTAGTAGGGTCTTTGGCTGTGGAAATTGTAGGGTCTTTGGTTGTGGAAATTGGTGTGTATTATGGATTGGTGTGTATTATAGGTATGGACCTTTGCAGGCAATTGAAGTTTGGTTGCGTGGTGAGGACTACTTAGGCCCGGGTTGCTTCGCTGAGTTCAACTCGCGATCCATGGGGTACATACCCCGCATCCCCCCCGGGGGCATTTGAAAGGTTCTTGGATGGTTCTTCGAACTGCGCATCTTATCGGGGCCAGAGTTCAAACCATGACGTCATGCACGATGTCCACCAATTTGATCAATCATGATCAAGTGTTCTCCGCTGGGCGCCTTTCCTGTGGGGCACGAGACGCCAGTTCGACATATGTACACGTTTTCTCACTGCTTTTTTTTTGGCATCGAGGCAAGTGTCTAGCGCTGCATTCCATCACTCTCTTAATAGGAGTCGCTGTTCAATCGAAGTATCTTGGACAGTTCAGCGCCCGACCTTTCCTAAAACATCGTTTGTTTTCAGGGACTCGGTAGTATGTATATCTAAACTCTAATTCCTCTGGATCTTCTTATGGATGATTGGCATGGCGTCCTTATATAGATGACAGGAATCAGTGCCCTGCCTCGCTGCAGGTACTGTAGGTGTGGAGTTAAAGTTCCGACGAGGTCGCCTTCTTGGGGGTTGGGGGTTGGAATACATACATGCCCTTTTTGTGTGTGTCACGGTGTGTTCTTGGATCTGGTACCGCGGTTGGCCTTGGATCCTTGTTGCTTTGCTGCTGGTTACTGCTTAGGGACGGTGTTGTGGATGTTCTTGAGAGTGTGCCATGGCATTATTCCTGCGTCCGTGTGCCATGGATATGGTTCCCGAGTTCTTGTGGCCATGACATTATAGGGTCGGTATATTTTGGGTTCGGTGCGGTGCTCGGTCGTGTTTCAAGGTTTGGGGCGATGTTGGACGTCGTGACAGGTCCTGTGGATACGGGTATGTGCTGTATGTTGTGGTCATATGTCATATATGTATGTTATGTGGTTGCTGCATGAGGGATCCCACTTTCATTTGTATTGTCTCGTTCCTTCCTTCCTATCTTCTTCCTGGACTCTCTACTGGGCGCTGACATTCGATTCCAATTGAAACTTCACATTACACCGCTCGCATCGAGTGTATTACTTGGTTGACGATATGTCGCGAGAGTGCCGCCCTGTTTCGAACGATAGCGGCAAGCCGAGGACTTTGGTACTGTGTTTTGACGGGACGTCGGACCAGTATGATGCTGATGTGAGTGCTTACCCGGTGGACCGATAGTTGACTGACCGACCTTACTATCTTACAGAACTCGAACGTCGTAAAGTTCTTTGAACTCCTCAGCAAAGATCCCAACCACCAGTTATGCTATTACGATCCTGGTATTGGGACGTGGTTCCATCCTGGTGTTGTCTCGCCCTTGTTTGATTGGTTTGCAAAGTTGATGGATCAGGCTGTTGCTTGGTGGGTCTTCTGAATCTTCTGTTCTGGAGTTTCGGGATAAAGCGCTGATTCAGAGGGTGTGGATGACTAGGTATCTTGACGCCCATGTTATGGACGGATATAAGTTCCTGATGCAGAATTACCGACATGGAGATAAGATTTGTTTATTTGGTGAGTGGAGAGAGTATCCTCGCTGCCCATTTCTATTCACAACTTGAACTTGGTCCGTTTGCCAGGTTTCTCGAGGGGCGCTTATACCGCGCGGGCCCTAGGCGGCTTCTTGCACAAGGTCCGTTGGTATTTCCGGATGTACTGTATACCCCAATCTCACAGATAAACTCCAAATTTAACCTATAGATTGGCCTTCTATCAAGAGACAACTTCTCCCAAGTCCCATTTGCATATGACCTGTACAAACGAAGGGATAAGGAATCTGTCGAGTTGGCATTTGGGTTCAAACGGACGTTCTGCCAGTCTGTTCGGGTGGAGTTTATGGGCGTTTGGTACGTCCAACCAATTCATAGAGCCATTCGAAAGGGGTATTTTGAGAATGCATTTACTAACCTCGCATTGAATCGGTTGTTCAGGGACACGGTTGCGAGCGTGGGTGTGATCATGGGCAAGACTCTGCCTTTTACCAACTCCAACAGCTCCATTACGACTTTCCGACATGCACTAGCCCTCGACGAGGTGAGCCTCGTTGGATCTTTGCTCCTACGTATACGAATAGAAAGTCTAATTTGACTTTATCCAGCGCCGTGCCAAGTATAGGCCTAACGTATACCATCGGCCTTCGCCTACGCTCATGGCTGCGGCTCTGGACCCGCAAGGTGCTAGTGCGCCTCTCCGCAGCGATACCACCAGCTCCTCGTCATCCAGCTCTTCGGGCAGGAAGGGCAAGCGCAGTAGTGTGCTCCGACGCGTATTTAGCGTCAAGTCTGAGAAGGAGAAGGATGCGGAGGCGGCGGAGCAGCACAGGATGATGTCGATTGACGAGGGAGGGCTGCCGGATGACGTCCTGGAGGTGTGGTTCGTCGGTGGTCATAGTGGTAAGTGCCCAGCCCATCATCATAGACATTCTTGGAACATCCACTCAACGCCTATATGGTGGTACCTAGATGTGGGAGGAGGAAACACCCTCAACACGTCCACACACTCGGTGGCCAATATTCCACTTCGCTGGATGGTCCGCGAGGTTATGAAATCGAGCTGTGGAATCAGGTTCAGCGAAGAGGCTTTATCCAGGCTTTCACTCGATATGACGGAGGTGTACGATGGGATTGATGCGCTGGAGCCTATACATGACCGTTTGACGGGGTCTTTCAAGAACAGGCTCTGGTGGCTTCTGGAGATTATACCCTTGACGTATTCGTGGCAAGACAAAGAAGGAGTGTGGCACAGAACTTGGAGGTGGGTAGTATCGTTCTGTTATCACGTATGACCCCCGAGTGTTGAAGTGCTCCTTCCTCTATTCCATCTAGCTTCCATCTTGGTAGAGGAAGGGATATACATGATCCTAAGCCCAAGTTCCATCGCAGTGTAGAGTTTCGGATGAAGGCTTCGAACCTAGGGTACAAGCCCAAGGCGAGGTGGGAGGAGGGAACAGAGGAGTATGTCTCGTGATTGACCTGATTCTTGGACATATCTATTTTCGCGTGGATGGTGTTTTGGTCTTTGTTGTATTGGTAGTAGCTGTATCGTACCGAGGCTGTAGCCGTAATGCTCGTAATTTGAATGGCAACTATGTTCGAAAACCGAGGGGTACGACGACGCTACTCACCTAGTATTCACCTGATCTGGGTAAGGTAAGACATGTTGGTCCAGACTCCGACGCGATTCGCCAGTTTGCCTTTCTTCCTGTGCTGTCGTTCCAACAAAACCCGGGCTGGTGGCTCCATTGTTGAGTTTGGAGTGAGTTTCCCCTTAAAGAACGTGTTCGAGTTAGCGTTGACGATGGCCATGAACTCTAGAAAATTTCAGATCCGTGCGCCGGTGGAATTATGGCTAGCCTTGCTCACCCCCGTACGCAGACCGCTGTTCTCGACGTTCTATCCACATGAAGGACTGACCAGCTCCCCACACCCGGAAGAGTTACACCAGCAAGCAGTGGCGACCACTTCTAAACCCAAGGTTGTAGGTATGGTCGACCGTTGCTTTTCTGTCCGATGTCGCGATGCTGACCATGATGCCGCAGCGACGATAGCGACTACGAAATCCCAGCAGACTCATACACTGGTCTTTTCGTTGCATGCAGCTAGGCAAATCACATCACATCGGGCTCGCGTATGGGGCTGAGGATGCCATTGACCACCTTCAGCACGGCCGCGACACCGGTGCCAGAATTTGACCGCAGAGCAAAGTTAGCTCTGACTGCATCTAGCAGCTGTCGTCGCATATACGCCGTCCAGACACCAGACACACTGCGGGTTCCATTCGATGGCATCGCCCGACCCAGCATGCGAACTTCACCTGTGCTCCCTTCGCCCTTCGCAGAGCAAAAGCATGGGCTCCCCATGGGGCCAGCTCCATACCGCAATCGCCGACGCTCCAAAACACTACCGGTCAAGGACGGCACAGTTCTCCCAGCACCACGGGCCATCATGGGGCAGTGGTCTCCGATCCAGAACTCGAACTTTGCCAGCAAATCCCTGGCCAGATTGGGAAGAGCGACGATCGTTGAGCATCATCCTGCTTGCCGGTCAACGCAGATGGACAAATATCATGGAATAAATCGACTTCACCTGAGTTGGACGAAAATAGCTGCTGGCTCTCTCCTGATGACTGGAAACAGACTAGGAGAACGGTCTTTCTGACGCTTTCTTGCATGCACTTGGGTCTAGCTCTTTGGAATCTCGCTGTTGGCCTGATACTGGACTGAAGATTCGTGGGTACCGACGTTCAGCGCGCGTGGAGCTCGAGATGGTGGGATCATTGCGCCCTCCTCTTGTCACAGCTTTTATCGACGGTGGTTTATGTTCTGCCAGAACTTTGTCAGGACCAGGTCCACGACTGGGCCCTGTGATTAACGCTTCAACGTCACAGCATGCCTGTGTTTCAATGCATCCAACAAGCGGAGGTTGGGGGAAGATCGCCCGACGGCGAACTGACGACACCTAGCGCAACGCTTCGGGCGAGAGGAGGTGTTATCGAGGCTCGTAAAGGATCACTGCCAGAAGCCTCATCGGTCGAGGGATGACCACCCCTGTCTCTTTGACCAGAGGGACATCTTTATCAATTTCTGTGCATAACCTCCGAGGGTGCGATACGACGCGTAGATGGGAGTCGAGGGTGGGTGATGGCAATAGAGACTTCCAGTGAGTGGCGAGCTCGAAGAACGCATCGGACAGAGGTCCATGGTACCTCCATTCCCATGGTAATCCACCTGTACTCTTCACCGGCACTAACGATGACGGCGGAAGTGACAGATCGATGTCCCACAGGAAGGAGGTACGGTAAACACACGTCGATTGTTCGCGAGAGCTTGTGCAGGCTAGGGGACAGTATGGGTGATCCTTGGACGATGGTGCGGTGGCGAGAGGGCTGCGGCGACGGGCGACAGTTGGGCTGCAATGTGGAGGGTGAGGGCGACCCACAGTGGCCGGTCGACGACAAATCGATGGTGCAAAGCAGCTCATCGCCGCGGTTTGCGTCGATGTGCGCCGGCTGAGATGGGCTATAGACTTTTCGACGACGGTGTGGGCAGCTCTGAGAGAGGCGAAGAGGGAAAGGGGGGATGGGAGCCTGGCTGGTGGGAACTGAACTGGGGTAGTTTATATATCCCCGCGGTTTTCGTCCCAAACTGGATCTGGTGACCTTGGATCTCCTCTGGATGGTGCCGAAGAGAGGTTCTTTCAGGATTCTGACCTATTTTCCTCTGTCATCAGACCAAACAAGTTAAGACGGACACTGAGATCCACGAATTGTACTCACCGTGAGCATTGCTGACACCATGGAACCTATCAGAAGCGGCATCTTGCTATTCTCCTACCGTGGTGGCCTGTCGACTGGAACACATGCAGACATGAAAATGTGGGGGAGCCACGCAAGCTGACTTCTTGACTCCGTGCCTGAGGCCTCGCGCTGGCTTTGTTAGGATCACAGATGTTTTCTCATTGGAGCATCTGTCTAACCCGCGCTTTGCCGCGCATTCCAACACATTCTTTTCTCCATTCCTATCGTCTTGCTCAGTCATGTAGAGGATGTTATGTGCGGACACAACCGACTCGAAGGCTCCCTTCGCTTGCAAGTTTGCGCCAGACCCGGGAAACCGTTCGATCCCATCTGGAGCCCCACTTCTTTCTCAATGTCAATGATTCTTACGGCGTTCCAAGGCATTCCCCGGATTCAACACCCAATTCCGAAGCGAAAGTTGCTTGGTCGCTTCTCCCCCGAAACAAAAACTTCGAGGTGGATTTGGGCATTCGGTTAGACTCAACCATATGGGGGCTTACGCCTTCTAAGCAGGTGCGTACTGCCCTTCATACGATATTGAACTCGCAAGCTCATTTCTTCTCTACTGAGCTGTGCATCACCCATCGGTCAGCAGGAGGTCGGACAATTGGTGCCGTTTGTCAGGGTGCGGATTTCCTGCAGGAAAATTGCCGCACAATACCATTCTCTTCTGCGGAGACTTCCAGGAGATGGCCGGATACTACCTCAAAAATCTTGACTAGCATCCACCTCCCTCCATTTTATGACTCTCAGCGTCGGGTTCACCCACATGCACGAGTCATGCAGTGGAACTCGATCTCCACAGCCGACAGAATCGTCCATCCAGCTACTCGAAAAAATCACGGTTGTTGGCTGTTGCTTGGTGAACCATCTGGTGCTTTTGGAGTAGCGTTCGCTGCTACATGCACTCGCGCTCCTCCCGTTTCAGTCAGCTTTGCATGAGGCGAGAGCATCCATGCTGGCCTTGCAAGAAGTTGCCGATGCAGCCGGCTGATGTTACGGTGGCGGTGCCTACTATCCGCGGCTTGGCACTGGCAAGGGATCCACTTGCACCACGAAGTCCTATGTTTTTCGATAATCGAAGATGGGTGTTCAATTTATTCTAGGTCAAAGAGGGGTGTTTCGAGTCCTTCCTGGTTCTCGGCGTGTCCTTCTCTATCAAGAAGTACAGTCACCCGAAGCACCTTGTGACGAACTCAATCCATTTTCGGCGCTGCCTGCGCAACTTTCGACTCTGTACCGCTTGGAGCTCAGGGTGCTTTCGACGTGCCCAAACCTTAGGGTAATCCAGAACTGATGTCGCAGATACACGAGGGCGAAATCCATGGAAAGTGTCCCAGATTCTTTACGGCGCTTCACCGACTTTCTTTTGTGACTTTGGATTCTATACGATTGCAGGAGTTCACGGGATAGTGCTGCCGTCTTTGACTTCTCGCCTCGCGGTAGGTGACGTTGCCTATCTGATTCACTGTTTCCACTCGGGGATATCTTTGCCTGAGTATGACGGTAAGGGACATCCTTTCTCAGAGTCGCGAAGGCCATCTTGTGCAATGTATTGACCATGCACTGAGTCTACACAGGGATTAGAAAGGTTTGAGGTCCTTCTGGCTCTATCCCTAAAGCAGCCCGGGCCATATGATGCGCATGTAACTGGACCCTGTAGTCCTTCTTACACGGAGTACCCAGATGGTGATCGGTTTTTGTTCGCCCGCTGTCCACCCAACTTTCGAATAGGATCAGCACGTCCAGCCCCGAGCAGCTCTGCAACAGTCGGCGACTCATTCAATCCATCGTCGAGCTCTCTCGAAAACATTTGGAAGAGGTCAGGACTTTATGTAGAAGTCCCGCTGCGCTCAATTGGGGGAAGAGCGGTGTTTGCTAGGAGTCATCTGACGATGCAAGCTTCTGAATCTGGCACGCCCATGACGTTAAGGGACAAACGAGTTCTCTTTCAAGATGGAATAGCAATTGGCAGCTTTATGTACAATGTACATCGGCCGATAGTTTCTATCTCGTCATTTGTACCGTAATTCGCCACGAAGCATAAGGTTTTTAAATGTGACGGATCACCGTTCTCGTGGATAAGGCAGTCGTTCGGCCACTGTCTCGACAAAGGGAGAATGACGTGGTCAACGGCGCGTGGACTCTGCTCACTTTCCCTCCATTAGGCGCGTCAAACGGAAAGTCTTAGCACCGTTGGGTAGGAGGTACACATCAATGTCATATCCTCTGTCCATTCACTACATTGCCCGCAACGCTGGGCTGTGTAGAATAGTGCGGTATCATCGTACTTACTCAAGTGTAGCCACTTTACTAGCGGGAAAATCGTTTGATTCTTGCGAGGTCTAGACAATGGTCCCAACCAATTAAAGATCGAAACACAACACTCGGGATTGATTGTATCGTATCCGTATCTCCGGATGTGCACGCTTCAGCGGCGGAACCCTGGCAATAGCAATGACTTTCATACCCTCTTGTATCCGTCAGTTTGAGTCCCGAGCCAACAAGAACTGCCCGATTCCCGACGTCGCTATCGCGTAAAGAGAATCTCCCGTTTCGTTTCCAACGGGAGAGCACAGCAGCAGTGATCCCAACTACGGAGATGACTCTGGACAGGCACTGCTGTCCCCGGGAGGCAATTCCCAGATATGGGCGCTTAAACGCCGAACGGAGCTGTTGCCCCTGAAATGCCTTGAAAATGACAGAACTTACAGCTTAATCGCGTGCGATAATGCGCTATCTGTTTCATTATGTACGCGGTAGTAGGACTGTCTAAAAAGCCTGGTCACCGTTACCCTTTTTTGCGTCATGAACCAGGGTATGTATTCCGTAACACGGGTGAATTTTGGAATCTTGGCTGGCCGTGAATACCCTGAAGCAGACAGGTACACGAGGGAACGTCACTCAGACACTCATCTAGGCGGGCAAACCTCAATTTGAAACAGTACTTGAAGGGATTCACAGCATTTGTGTTAACTCATCCCAGTCACTCTGAGCAAACCGTTTTGAGTGATGGATCTTGATTTGATCCTGAAATGCAAAAGGCTGTAATAGTCATATTGAGTTTTACATTCAGCATAAAAAGGACGCAGTGCACACCCCAGAGTTATTAGAAATCGTCCCCTCCTCTGCTCGTGTTTGCCCCAGACTCGTGATGAGCAAATTCTCTCTCATTCTCGCACTCTTCCTCACCTCCGCGTTTGTGGCAGCGGCCCCTTTTCGACACACCGTGCCTGGCAATGAACTAGCAGGTTTGTCGAACAATATTCATGATTCTGTCCGGTTCGAGAGGGTTTACCGCGATTGTATGTAGCGCGAAACGAGACAGAGGAAGAGCCTGACCACGACGACCGTATCGACGCAATGTGGCTCCGTGTCGACTTGCCAGACGCGGAGTAATCGTTGGGGAATCAGAAAGTAGGTCGTCTGCAAAATTGCATCGAAGGAACAACTCTTTACTTACAAGTTACCACCTGGAACTCAGTTGGATCGGAGCACCTTGAACTCCGGACATAACGACTCAACCATCTGTATCACCACCTAAGGACTGGACTGCCGTTTCAGCCCTCCCTATGCTTTTACGATTCTGATAGCTGTTGTATAATATTTCGTTCTCAACGGATTCTTAGCACCTGTGTATAATTACCTCTTCTCGTGTTTCCCCATCCGTGTAGTCTGTAATAATAATGACACGACGGAAAGTGCCGTATACAGCTTAAGACAATCTCAGACTGAGATGACTAGACTATGTGCCCGATTGGAAGGTAGGTATGAATCCGAGGGCCATATAATGCGAGCAATGTCGACGAGGCCTCCGAAAAAAATAGAGTGACTTTTGCAGGGATCGAACAAGCGGCCTCGGCCTCCGCCATGACATATGTAAGGTTTTCGCACGATTACGGTGTTCGAGAAGGATATGGTTGAATCAAAAATTCTCGCGCGAGCACTGAAGTCCCACAGCCACAGCCACAGCCTCTCACCTTTTGTTCTCGGGCTATAGAAACCTTGTCTAGCTACATAGGCAGCGGATAGATTAGAGTGGAAGGGTATAAATCGCCTAAAGGTCTCATAATTCAGCGAGATTTTCGAATTTTAAGGTAGTTGCGGGATGACAGGTCATAATTGACCGGCCCTAAAGTAACGGGCGCCCACTGGCAGCCTGCAGGTGTCCGATTTAGCGCTCGCGGGCTTGGGCTGTTTCAATCGTAATTAGTGGGCTATGTATGAGGCCTAGGCGTCATACAGTGTCGCTTGAAAGACTTTTGGAGGAGATCTGATGACGCAGAGTCAATAATACTCGAACTCGGACCGTTTCACTGGCACTACAATGACTGCAACCTAAATGTAGAGCATGTTACTAGTAATTTAGGGGGACATGTTCCGTAGGCGAAGAGGCCATATACCGACAGTTACCGAGAGGATACGGTAGTGTAGTGCAGGCAGCTAAGATCTAGGATCTAGCAGTGCGACTCCGAACATTTACCATATCACTAAACATAAGCGAGCCTTTAGATGCAACAAGGGAAGGGCTGTCGATAGAACAGTAAAGATCATCGAAGATCCTTTCTAAATTGTTAGAAACGAACTGAAAAAGATGTGGCTGGTCGTATTCAGCAAGAAGACTGTCGATATCCTCTTGGGAAATAGGAATAAGCTGGTTCGGTCCCCCGAAGCGTTTAGGGCACTTGTACAAGTCGATACGGCGGGCGTCGGTTGGCATCATGAGAGAGGCTGATGTATGACGCAGTTTAGCTCAAAGCATACCAATTGGGGATTTGGAAAGTTAGAGAAAGGAACTCACGCATGGAAACGCTGTCAGGATGGAAACCGGCATGATCCTGACCGGCTCTGTAGAAGTAAAGGACCTTCTCCCAATGTGGTTGCCAGTTGTGTTCTCAAGTGATGTTATTCGGAGACCCAAGAGCATTGTGCGACGGAACCCAGCCCTCCAGGATGTAAGGGTTGTAAGTAGCACTGAAGCGATGATCAGAAGTGAAAATCTCGAAAAAGCGCAAGATCGTACCGAAGCGTTCCAATCACTGGAATTGCCTTGAAAACTTCACTACCCTTATCACTTGTAGAGGTAACGTGGCATGTCTAGAAGTGTTTGTTGACGACCAGACCTCGTTTGAGAGCCGGCAGACTCATCAGTTGGCGAGTATCTTACCTCCACACTTCTTGACAGTTCTAAGGTAGACAGCGAACGGTAAATCGTCGTCCCGAGCATTAGGAACAGATAGCATAAGCTCCCTGCAGCTATACTTGTCAATAATACCACAGACGCCAAGGAACCCTTCGCTTCAGGAGTTACAGAGAAAGCAGCTAAGGTAACTTATCTTTTGTCATCCGCAGTACTTTAACCAACGAACCTTGCGTTCCAGATGTACATTGGTCAGAAGAAGTACGCGGTAAAGTGGCTCTACGATATCCATGGCAGTGGCAGGGTCTCCGACGGCAAGAATCTGGTGCATCTGAAAGATGAGCTTCTCCGTGGCTTCAATCTCGAAGAAGCAGCAAAGAATTTCACGAAAGCAGCCAAGGGCGCGACGATGCCTATAAATTTGCGAATTTCTGAATGGTCCAGATGCGAATTTTGAGCCAGAGTAACAAGGAAAGAGGCCTATGGTCGAATATCGCGACTCGGATGACGATTCCAGCGACGACTCCGACGATGATTGAGCCCAATTCTCCCTTGGCTCTAGGTTCTTATTGGTCGTCCTTCCCTTGTTACATCCCGAATTTAAGTGCCCTAAAGCTCACTGTCACCCGGTCTTGGTATATGGTCTCTTCGCCTTTGGAATATGTCCCCCGAAAGTACTGGTAACATTATCTACAATGTAGGTCGTACCTACCATAGTACTAGTGCTATTTTCAATGCAGGTTCATTGGAACAATCCAAGTCTGAGTGTTATGGACACTACGTCACTAGATGCACTCCATTGGTCTTTTAAACGAGACATTATGACGCTTAGGCCTCCTGATTAGTCCAGTAGTTACAATTGAAATCGCCCTAGCCCGCGAGCGCTAAATCGGACATCTGGGCGCCCGTGACGTTAGGGCCGGTCAATTCTGACCTGTCATCTTGCAACTAGCTTAGAATTCGAGAATCTCACTGAATTATGAAGCAATAATTATCACTTTACATAACCTCTATCTATTATCTCTACTCTAGTTTCCGACCTCCCTATGTAGCTGGGTAAGCTTGAGAGCGAACGTAGGCCGGTACGTGATTGGAGTGGCTGTGGCTGTGGGACTCGAGTGCTCGGCGCTCGCGCGAGAATTTTTGATTCAACCATATCCTTCTCGAACACCGTACACGATCCGGATTCAATTGTTTACTTGCACGATCAATGCACGATGATTCTGAAGCGAGACCCCCGCATTGTCATCAGCCCTCATCTAACATGTCTGCGACCTCAAGTACACCAAGCATAGCACCCGAAAATGCGAGGACAGTGATGCTACCGCTCAAGAAGCTAGAAAAGTGTAGCGTTTGTCAGAAAACTGACGGTCTCCGTTTATGTTCTGCGTGCGGAGAGGTACGTGTGGTTTCAGCTTTGAGTGCTTTCCCATCATGCTCAGACGCTTTGCAACCGCCATGATTAGAAAGTGTACTGCGGCTCTGAATGTCAGACGAACGACTGGGCTGAACACAAAAAGCAGTGTGGTAGGGGCAAAGCTTACTAGGATTTCACCGGAGTCTCACAGTCCTTGTGGCATGCCGCATTGATAGGGAAAACCGATAGGATCAACCTTTCGTCGTTCTATCCGCTGCTGGCTTGCATGTTAGCGGCTCCTCACCTTGACCCTGACAAGCCAAAACACCCAGCATTGACTCACAAGATATTGAACGAGCCAAATCCAAGCAATCGCCACGGGGTGTGCGGTTTTCCGGACGGATATCAGTCTCGTTTGGTGGTGTTGGGCGACTCATGCGACCCGTCGCTGATCTGGAGTAACCTCGAAGCTTGGTGGCCCACAGCAGAGTCTCCCAAGGTTCGCGGGAAGTTGTTCCAGCGCTTCCTATACGAAGGGTACCTCTTGCCTCACCTCGTCTCCATGTGCTTTGCCCTACTGGCGGAGATGTACACGACCACCTCTGGACCTGGTAAACGTCGCATACGCCTCCAGTACTCCAGTTCGCCTATCGCAGACTTTGGAATCGTGAAAGGCGCTGTTGAAGTCAAGAACCAGGACAAATTCTCCTATTTCCTTGCTGACGAGCAGAAGTTCATGCATGGCCAAAATCCGGAAGACCACTACTGGGTGTATTTCACGACCATCCGCGGCGAGGAGGTCCTTCTGGAATGCGGCATGTTCGTGTTCAATTTCTGCACGATGGTCGGCAACCTGGATCCATACCTCAAGCACGGTTTACCCCCACTAGATGCTGTCCCCGCCCATCTGGTCAACCGCGAGTTCCGACGTTTGGCGCCAAGCTTGCACTACGAAAAGGAGCGATTTTCTGTTCTCCGGGACGTCGAACTGGGCGAGGCGGTGCGCTGCAGTCGGGAATACTTGAGGCCTCAGGATTCCAGGGCAATTGTCGGGTTCATGGAGAAAGTCGCTGGAAGGACCTGTAGCGCAGTCGAGAAGGAGATTACCCTGTCGTGGTGTATGCACCTGTGTGAAGTACTCCATGCCAATCTCGAGGCGCAGGAGTACAGGAACTTCCCACTAAACCCCTCCCTCGCTATTTTCGACGATCCTGGAGAGCTCGACTTTGACACGCCAGAGGAAGACGAGCAATGGTTCAGGTATATGGTCAAATGGAACAGAAAGCAGCGGCGCGGAGAGATCACGGCGGAACAGCTTGGCCAGGTCTTTCGAGCTTACAAGGAGGCGCCTGATAATGTCCGCGAGGAGTTGGCAAGGCATCCTTCAAGGGCACTCAACTTGAGGAGATCCAGGCGCGATATCAATAAGCGTATGTAGATCTACTTCGATGCTGATCTGAAAGGTAGTGCTCGGGCACAGTTCATAGGCCAGCTTACTCATGTATATGATGCTAGATCTTTTTGACTGAATCGTTGCTTCTTCATTCTCTTGCGATGCGAGGAGGACTACTGTCACCAAGGGTCAGATGGCCACGAGCGATGAGGTTCACGGGAAAGAATGGCCGACGACCTGGCAAGTTACAACTTACGTAGCGATGACCACGGAAGTGAAGTTCAGGTGACTGTGCAGGTTGGTTCAACTTACATATGTCCTGCTCTCTAATTAACCTTCTTTTCCAACTACGATTTAAAGGCACCGGGATGCAACGCCCAAGTATTCACCGAACAGCGTTGAACTTGGCTTTCAGCTTCCGCGTGTATAAATAGTAAATACATCGGTTCGAGTTCGGTCCAAACGTCCCCACTCGCTCGCTCCAAAGATGAGGCTCTCTACTTTCAGTCTTGTAGCGTTCTCTGCCCTTGTTTCCGCCAACAGCGTAACACCCCCCACACATTATGGTGTTCTCCTCTTTCAAGCCTTCCAGGCTCTGGATGTGTTTGGACCCCTCGACGTCCTCAACCTGCACTCGGGAACGCAGAAGAACCTTACCCTGAGCCTTCTTTCGCGCAATCTTTCCCCCGTCTCGACTGTCCCAGTCATGATGAACACCACATTTGGCCAATCGCTTCAACCAACTCATACTTTATCTTCTCCGCCTCCAGACTTGGAGGTTCTCATTGTCCCAGGAGGGATCGGAACGCGAGCGCCGGACTTGGGAGCAGAGGTCGACTTTATCCGCACCATCTTCCCTTCCCTTCGCTACCTCATTTCCATCTGTACCGGCAACGTCCTTGTCGCCAGAGCGGGTCTTCTGGACGGAAAGAAAGCGACGGGGAACAAGAAGAGCTGGAGCTGGCTCACTCAGCAGGGGAACAAGACGCATTGGGTGGCGAAAGCTCGTTGGGTTGTCAGCTCGGAGAAGATTTGGAGTACGAGTGGGGTCAGTGCAGGCGTTGACGGGTTCTTGAATTTCATGGAAACTGTGTATGGGGAAGAGGTTGCGAGGAATTTGGAGATTGGGTTGGAATGGAGCAGGGTTACTGATCCTAACGCGGATGAATTTGCGGATATATGGCAGGTGGAAGATGTGCTACCAGTGGAGTAGAGGTTAGTTAGCAGGAAACTTTAAATCTTTGTCCGGACTTCCGAACATACCTCTGGCTGATCAGTTCTACCACGTCTGAAATTTAGTAATGTTGAAGACCCTCACTTGTTCCTTTCATCCTCAGATGCAGAACAACCATATCAAATGTTAGCTGACTCCATTCCTCGCACCGACCTGGTCGTCCTCCTCGGATTTATGGCGTATACTCGAGCTTCACTGCGAGTGGCGTTCAACCTTCCTCGATTCTCGGTCAGGGCCCTACATCCAGTGTCATCCACGAGTACTCTATATGCTTACAACGTGGTCGTGGATCGCGACGCCAATCCTTGGATGTCGACACCCGACGGCCGAGCTTGTGGATCCCTATCCCATAAGTGCTTCGACTTCTTAACCTTAGCAGCAGCGTCTGTCCCGCTTCCACATTTTCCGTGCTGAATAGACTATAGGGGCGCGAGCTAATTGGAACTGGGCATCGTTAGATTCGATAGTTAAACTTGGATTAGGAGATGATAATTCTCAGGCTATCTCAGCCATCGACGAAAGGTCATGGAGCTGCATGGGGCATGGTCGCTCGTGACTTGTGACCGGTTGACCATCCACTATCGTACCCCGGAGTGATGGTTGTCGTCAGTAGCTTCGTGAACAAGACTCGATTACTTGGGAGAAGATAATCGTTCTCCGTCATCAGTCGTGAGCCCCTTTCGGACGGAGTATGTAGCAGAGCACCATTTGTTCCAACAGAAATCGAATTCGCGAAGCCTGATGTCGAGATATGAGAGCGGTGATAAGCGGTACGAGGGTGCGAAGTGTGCCCTGGTCAGAACCAAGTCTTAGGCGCCGGTAGAAAGGCTCGGATCCGATGGGGTGTTAGCCATTGGATTGTATCAACCGTGCTCCCAAGGGAGAGGCGGGCGATGGTCAGGACCGAGATGGGCAAGTAGGGCTGGACGCGAGAAGCCGGTGTCGACAGTCGCATTCAAGAGAATGGAACTCGAAGACTCGGAAGACCTTGGAAAGTCTTCGAACACCGCCCAGACTCTAGAGAGGATCCATCCGCCAATGATAAGTCCCAAAATTAGAAACTGACATATACACGGAGTCCAGTATCCCAAGCGGCCGCACGTTCAAAGGCTTTGTTGACGGTTTGTGAGAGGTTGCAGAGGTGTTCCTGCACATATGGTTGCGAAGATGATACCCATCCTTATACCGGAGCCCCAACATCTAAATGCGATTATCAGAGAAGTTTTCGGTTAGCGGTTGTTTCCGTTACATGAGAAAAAAGAGCAAAGTGTCCCGTCGAGGATGGACTGTTTGATTAAGTGAACCGCCCTCCCAACGAATTCCGGGTTTCGAAATACATACTGTGTTCTCCTCGGAGAGATCCGTACTACAACATAAGGGAACGCCGGAGGGGTTTGCCGAGGGAGCTTCAAGGCAATAATTCCGGACCTCCGCCGTGTTGGAGGACAAGACAGACTTCGTGTTGAGGTCGTTCTCCATCGAGTCTTTCATTTCGGATGCCGATCGCGGAAGTGCTAGTCGAAAAATTGAGGTCAAGACAAAGGGAGGCCAAGTTGGTAAGTAAGTACCAGCGGGAGTGGCGCAACAACATAACGGGTGGACTTTTCGTATGCTTGCCGTTGTCAGAAGCAGAATCAGAAAAGAGCCACTTGAATTAATTGAAATGCGTATTCCCGGGTCAAGTCCGACGGCGGTGAAAAGTCATGAGGTACAAGGGAGAGCCGCGTCAGGGATGATGGCAAGTACTGTGAAGGGCGGGAGCGGCGTCCAAGTTCGGTGGGTCGGTTTCTTTCTGATGAGTCGGCAGCGGCGTCGTGGCTGAGACACTAGTCTGGGGATAGGTAGCCACAATTTCGAAGAAAGGGGAAGGTCCCTCCATGTTCCGAGCGTCAACTTGGCTTGAACATGTGAAGAACAGTGGGATTTGGTGAGCATAGATCGGCCAAGGAAGCGCGAAAATCGATATCGATCCAGCGCTTCGTTCTTTCACGGTAAAGCCCTGTGATCGTTCAAAAGGCGGGTTCTGGTGGACTCAAAGGTCGTAAACACCAGATGAGAAGCCCCAATGCTAACCTGGACGGCTAAGAAGCGGGGGCTGACGGCTGACTAGAGAGATCCACTCCTGTGCCAGCAGTGGCATTTCGCGCGCTTGATCATTCGATGCTGGAGAAGTCGTGGTGCAGGAGGCGTCGAAGCTCCAGAGCGTTTCTTTTGGAATGTTGATATGCTCTTGGAAGACCTCGAGGTAGCCAAAGGTTGGAGAACCGGACGAGCGGCTCGGGTTCTTTGCTATACAATTCACGAGAAACCGAGGGAGAAGCCAGTGCTTTTTGGAAAGCCATAGCCAGTGGCGGCCAATTGGAGGGTTCGTTACGAAAGCTCGTAGAGCTTCGCCAAGTCTGCCGGTGTGTACAACCTGGAGCGTCAGGTAAAGCTTTCTGACAAAAAAAACCTTCCACCAAGTAGTTGCCTCTCCACTCCCGGGACACACAACAGATTTCGAGGAAGGGGGCCCAAGATGACGAATCGGACATGGAGGGTCGATGACGATGGACGTTGATCAATTTGAGCATCCACGTCATTGTTTTGGTCATCGTGCGTTAGCGCCCGAAAGCGCCCATGCTGTTTGACGCGGTCGCTTGCTGCGCACTATGCGGCGGCGACCCGACGCAGCTTATCTTGCGCTTATCGACTGAGCCTTGTAACATCAGAGCGTCATTCATGAGGCATGACTTCACTGGAAAACAATCGCCTTTCTCAGTGCTATACATAGCTGTATTGCATCCACCGTGTTGGAATTATTCGGGTCTCTGGAGCGCTCCTCCACCGTGAACGCAACCCTCGAAGATTGGTGCAACGTGGCTTTGGCGCATGTTGATGGCCCTCCGGCTGTAGGTATGTGCTATGAGAACTCTCGGTCATCATCGATATCATGGTTTCATCACCATGAGGCTCGCTGTGAAAGCAATCAACAAACCTGAAATACCGCCTGAATTTGTCGGCGGTTGGTGGTCCGTGAAAAGGAGTCGGGAAGCTTGGATTAGTCATCGGTCTCGTTGTTTGCTGGTTGTCTCCAACGCTGTCCGACACCGGCTCTCATCCATTTTCTTCTCCAACGCTGACGACCGCTTTTATTGCTCGTCGCTTTCAACAGTGAAGAGCTGGCTATTATAGCCGACATTCGCTCCTGAACCACCAACAACTATACGACCAACATGGCCCAGTCATATTTTCCAAGCCGTGTTGCCTCGCCTGTGAAAGAGGCGACCTTCAGCAGCGCGACCGATCTCGATATGCACGCAGAACGACAGTTTAGGGCGGAGGATGTCCAGGAGGCTTACATCGAGAACAAGGACCGGTGAGTGCATGCCATGCGCGTGTCGTGCACGAGAAGAGTTCTTATGATTGCCTTGCAGACTGGTCCATGCCATCGACCGCACAAAATCGGTCTTGAACGGTATCCGGAGCTTCAACAAGGACGAGTGGGTCGTTCGATACCCCCAGTTAAGGGACCCAGCAAAGGAGGACCAGCCATCGTCCTCTTCTTCCAACAAACCACCGGTTCGCAAGCAGGGCCGACGCTCGTTGTCATTCTTCGACGACCCCAGTTTTGAAACCGAAGTCGTTGTCGAATCACCGCGAGCATCACCAAAACGCTCTGTGTCGATGCCTATCGTTACGGAGGAGGAGTCAGCAAGTTCACCCGAAGCGTCTAACAAGGATGCCGATGGTGTCCGTCTCATTCCGGCATCTGACTTCAACGTCCTCAAGTTGGACCTCAAGCTCGGATCACACTCGTCATCCACTGCCGCATCTCTCGTTTCCCAACTTGAAAAAGCGTCCATTGCGAATTTGCTCGATGAGCGCCTCGCCTCGTCTGTTTCACATATCGACAAACTCCGACTCCGGGTAGAGGATACCTCGTCCAAGGTTCTCGTCACCGGTGACCTCAACGCCGGCAAATCAACATTTGTCAACGCCCTTCTTCGCCGAGAGGTCATGCCCGTTGACCAACAGCCCTGCACAACCGCATTCTGTGAAGTGCATGATGCAGCCGACAACGGCGGCAAGGAGGAAGTCCATGTGCTCAAGGATGGTGTGACTTATGACATCAATGACGATTCGACCTACACTTCTGTTCCCATTGACGCTCTTGAGTCGGTGGTTTCAGATAACGAGGACGAGCAACCTATCATCAAACTCTACCTTGCCGACACTCGGGCGCCCTCCGAGTCGCTGCTTAACAACGGTGTTGTCGACATCTCTCTGATCGACGCACCCGGTCTTAACCGCGACAGTATGAAGACGACCGCCCTCTTTGCCCGCCAAGAAGAGATCGACGTTGTCGTCTTTGTTGTCTCGGCAGAGAACCACTTTACCCTTTCGGCGAAGGAGTTCCTCATCAACGCCAGCAGCGAGAAGGCCTACCTCTTCATCGTCGTGAACAAGTACGATCAGATCAAGAACAAGGACAAGTGCCGTCGCCTCGTTCTCGAACAGATTAAGCAACTCAGCCCAAGGACGTACGAGGACGCAGAAGACCTCGTCCACTTTGTCGATTCGGCCGCCGCCCTCCAGCCATACGCGGCCAACCCCGCCTTCGACGATTTGGAGTCATCGCTGAGGTCATTCGTTCTCGTCAAGCGATCCAAGTCCAAGTTGCAGCCCGTTTCCACCTACCTCTCCAATCTCCTTGCCGACATTGAACTTCTCGCCAGCGCCAACACCATTGTCGCCGATGCCGAAATCCAGCGGGCCCGCGAGGACCTCTCCGAGAAGCGACCTGTTCTTGAAAAGATGAAGAAGAACCGGGATGTCCTTGAGAACTCTTTGGAGGCTGTCGAGGAGGAGGGCGCTACCAAGGCGTCCTCCGGTGCCAAGGCACTCCTCAACAGTGCTTTGGAGCGAGTTGCCAACGGCAAACTTGGTGTCGACCTGCCCCAAGTCTCCATGCCCACTTACCCCGGCCTTTTGGGTATTTGGGACTACGCACGCGACGTCCGACGGGCTTTGCTTGCCAGTATTGATGCTGCAGTCAAGCTTGCCGAGGATGAAGCTCGCGTCATTACCTCCAACGGTGTCGAGAAGATCAAGGACTTGGGAGAGGAGCATCTACCTGAGGGTGTGGAGCGGAGCAAGCGCGTCTTCATGCCCGAGGCCATGTTCGCCGTTTCTCGACGGGCTGGTCGTGGCCACAAGAGCCGACGATCAGGCTCCTACAGCCACATCGGTGGCGCCATCGTTGCTGGTGGTCTCCATGGTCTTGGTATTGGTCTCGCTCAGCGCCATGACTTGCTGGAAACCACCTTCTTCGACCTGTTCGATGTCAACCACCAGTTCCTTGTGCACTTTGGTGACGGCAAGGAGGACTCGGAGGCGATGACCCCCACGGCGCTCAGCGTTGTCAGCGTTGGCCTTGGCGCTCTCACCATGGTTGGCGGACAAGCTGTTGGTGCCCGCGCGATTATCGAAGGCATCGTCCGAGTCACCGACCTGCTCAACAACGAAACCGCCAGGAAGTGGGCTGCTCCCATCCTTGGTGCCGTTACTCTCGGCGCAACCGCCTACCTCATCCTCGAACTCCCTGCCTCCATTCCTCGAACCGTCGGACGACGCATCAAGGCGTCCATCACCCGCGGCGACGGTACCCAGCACGAAGTCCAATTCGTCGATGCTCACGCTGAGCGAATCAGCCGAGAGACGAGGAAGGTTCTTCGGTTGGCCTCGTGGGATCTCCGTGAGCGGTTCCGTGGTGCGATGGAGGAGCGCGCGAAGGAGGTTAGCGGTGCTGAGAAGTTAGAGAAGGAGGCGCTGAAAGCTAAGAACTACTTTGACGGTATCAGCAAGGAGACGATTGATATCAGGGAGGGTGCTCAGTTGGAGAGCATTGGTGCTTGAATGCGTCTTCCTTGACCCCCCTTTAGTCGATCGGATCGGCTCCTCTATCCAACTCATCCACCTATCCAACACACCTCGCTCGACGCGGTAGGCAGCGGGCGGCCACATCAGTAACGAACAAACACAGGAGAAATTGGGAAAGAATGAGAAAGCGCATGGGGACTCGTCCAAAGTGACGTCCGCTTGGTGCTTTTTAAAAAGAAGTCTTTTGCTTATATGCCCTGTCCTATTATTCTTATGTGTACGATTTTTATCTTCCTCTCTCTCTCTTACTTGACTATTCCTCCTTTTTCCGTTTATCATAGCTCGAGTTACATAAAGCTCTTTTAAACTCCCCCACCTCAGTGGTTCATTCTAAATTCAGATTCCGTATCGAAGAAGAAGGCTTCAAGAGTGCTCTTTGGGTGCTTGGTTGCTTCCTCGATTTGACGACACGATCCAACTCCTATTCCTGTTTTTATTCACCCTTCACGTCGGCTTTGTATTAGAAATCACGAAGATATAAGGTTAATTTTTTTGACCACCCTTTCACTCCTTTAGACGTTTTCCTTTCTTTCTACCTTTTTTATTCTTTCGTTCTACGTACTCCGTATCACCACAAAAATGTAATGGAAAAACATGTTGTGTTTTTCGATGTGTTGGCAGTGTTTTGAGGGATCGAATGCGTGCGTTGACTCGGAGCTCTCTCGGATGCTCGGATTCACAGGGGCCTTTTCCTGATCCTTCTCTCCTCTTCGTGCCTTCTGACTGCATTTTGGGAGAGATGTGAGGTATGGAGTACAGAAATCCCTGAGCCCTTTCGCGCCTGGACTTGGGTCGCGTAGTCTGGCAATGAACCCACACCCTCATCTGGTGGTGCTCGAGCTCGAGAAAAGCTAACCTTTCCCATCTCAACGGACGATACCTCTATCCTGAACGTTTAGAATCACTCGACACCCCAGACAAAAGAGAGAAAGAAGGAAATTTTAATTTAATGGGACCAAGCGGAATCTACAACTTTAAACGAGTGGACGGGGCGAGTTTGTTTCGTGGTCAACACGCACAGTGCGCATACCAGAGGGGGGCCTTGGATACCCACCCAGCACGAGCCAAATCCATGTCTGGACTGGACGTGGGCAGGGTACATAGCACCAAGGCGGGGAACGGAACGAAGATACAAGCCTGGCGAGGATGATGATGATTCCTTCCAAGTAGTTAGTAGTTGGTCCTCCCCGTTCCTCCCTCCCTACAACCACAAACCCAATCCTCCCCCATAATTTTTCATAAACCATCACCAACCAACCCCCAACCCAAAAAAACGAACATAAAACAAGGGAATATAAAGATAAGATAAAAACAGAAACAGGGAATCCAATAACCTATGGTAAAAGAGTCGTCAACCGAAACCTCGTAAAAAAAGGGTGTGAGTGGGCGTGCGTAGCAAAGAAGCAAGTATATGTGTAAAACCTGGACGCTCGTTACTGTGAAAAAAAGAAAGCAGAACAAGATGGTGCGCAGGGATATCAAGAGGCAACGTAGGTGTAGAGAGATAATGATGTCGAGGAGGAAAGAGGAGTCGATGTATGATATAGGGAGGGATAGTTGTTGTACAAGTACAAAAGATGCAGGTGTGTAGGAAGGTGTCGAATGATGCGTGGAGGGGGATAAGATGCAAATAGATTTGCCATAGATCGACATAAAGCTTGATTTATACGCACACCACCGGGTCGTACCAGTAATGGGTATCAATCGTGTAGGTTGGATGGGGTAGGGACTGTTGACGATTGGAATGGCCTGGAGTATAACCCAAACCAAACCAGAAGCGATTCCAAGAAAGAAGACTGAAGCAACGTAATAAAACATCAAGATGAAGCTGAAAAGGGAAAAGGAATGCAATAATTTATTTGAGTTCCAAGAAACGGTTATTCCTTCCTTCCGAGCGACCAAGAAAAGATTCCAAGATAAGGCAGCAAGAAACAAAAAAGAGGTATCCAAGTAGAGAGCGAGAGAGAGGTGAATAGGAAGGTTTACCAAACTATCCGATTACCTCCTCGTCTCCGAAGATGCACATTGGCCGTTCGGGTAGGTTGTGAAGCAGCCACGGGGGTAGGAGTGATGATCTCATCAAGTAGTCCACGTTCACCAATCGTATGCGTAGGCGTGACGTGCAGAACAGACCGTGAAGTACCTGCGGCAGCAGGGGTGTTGGTCGGGGCAAAGGTGGCGGCAACCTTGGAGGTATTTCCTGCCAAAACAGCAGGTTCCGTGTGCGACGGCTCGTCTGAGCGGGTGAACCACCAGCCGAGAACACTAGCACCAACGATGGCCATTAACAGCAGCATGCCAACAACCCACACCCATCGCGACAAGCGGTTGGAACCATCCCGAGTCTTGCGAAGCCATATACTCTCCTTCTTTCCACCCTCATCCTTCGCAATCATACTGAACCGCCTCCAGAAATCATCTCCCTTCTCACCTCGCCTGGGCAGAAGTGGGTCCTCTCCCTGTCCGCGCATGATAGCCTTGGCACGCGGTAGGGGTTGGCCAGTCTGGAATTTGACAGATGTCTCTTTTTCAGCGGCCGACTTTGGGATGGCGAACACCGGCATGATCGGTGTTGCGGGCGCTTGGAGGGGGGCGGGGGTCATGCTGGGAATGGGACCGCCGTGAGTAAGGGCGGCGGGCGGGATGGCGATAGGCGGGGGAGCAGTGCGAGGCATGGGGGCAGTAGAGGGAATACCGCCGATCGGTGCGGCAGGTGGGATTCGAGCGGAGGGCATGCGGTTAAGAGCGGTGTTATTGTTGGTGTTGTTGGGGGAGAGTGCCGGTGGGTTCTCAGGTGAGGGAGTTGGTTCGAATGGGTTCTGGAGTGCTGCAATCGGCGCTGCGTAGCCCGGACGGGGAGCGGCGATGGGTGGAGGGGAGTGAGATGCACCGGCAGCCGGGGCGGGCTGCAGAGACGCGTTGCTGCTCTCAGGCGGCGGTGAGAAGGGGGACCTATTAACGGTGGATGTGGGAGACGTTGGTTTCTGGCTGACGGCGGCAGCAAGGGCGGCATTCTTGGAGGCGGGAGAAGTGCTGGGTTTAGGGTCGTCGTCGTCGTCTTCATCCTCCGAGTCGCTGTAGTCCATGTTGAGAAGACCCATTCCGATTCCGCCTACACCGCTGTTGCGGGAAGTCTGTGAGTGGCCGGAAAGCGGGCGAGGAGGGCGGAGGTGGCCAGCGTCATCCGGGTTTCTGGTTGTGTTGCGTGGTGGACTGTCGAATGGGTTCTTGGAAGTGGAGGCGTCACCTGCGAGGTAGTTATCATATCTGCTTACAAGTCAGTCAAACGACGTGATGACGATGATAAAGCAAAGAGACGCACACGTCGTATGCGCTGGATCGCTTGTTTGGGTCGTCTGGTTTGGGAGGAGCGACGCGGCGTTTGGCTGGAGACGGGGAAGTCTCGTAGATGGTATCCGGTTCGTCTGTTGCAAACGGCGGGCGGCCTGCAAGTGGGGCTGAGGACATGTTTTTGAGTAGAACTCGCTAGTGGTTGTAAAAAAGAGTGGAATTTGAATAAAGAATGTGGTGCTTTGTTAGCGGAGGGCGAGTCCTCTCGTCAAGAGAGAAAGGAAAATGGCGGGGAGAGTTGTGTCGTCGTGGAGGAGGAAGAAGGGCAAGCGTTGGAAGCAACACCCTTTCTCGCCTTGGCCCGAGAACCCGGATAAATCAACCTCTGATTGGGGTTAGTGCGAACAACCTGCTTCTTCTGATCGTTGCCTCCCTCTCTCCACTCCTTGTCACTACACGATGCGAATACGATGGTTGCCTGTATTGTTGGCGCTACCTGGCGCAGATGTAGCGTTGAGAATAGAGTGCAAAAGGATCGAAAAACACCAAGTTTTCTGCGTTTTGTAACTCTGCTGTGGACCCGCCCGGATGGCGGAATGTGATGCCAAGCGCGCCGCTCATTGGTTAGATCACCCGACAACGATCCACGTGGGGCTACAGGGGTCCCCTGTCCTCTGCTCCCGACGGGCGTCTAGGCTCCCACTCTCGTCTTCCTCTTTCAAATCCCCTCTCAGTCATCTACCACCTCTTACCAATATCTTTACGATTCGTCGGCTTTCTGGGCCTCTGAAACTCACATTAAAAGCGATTGTTTTACAAAAAAGAAAAAAAAAAAAGTCGAAAAACAACGAGGCCCGGAAACGGAATAACATAAACCTGTCGACGGCTTCGGAGACAAAACAGTCTCCATTTTCTGCAATCGCGAAGCTACATATACTCAAATTTCCTTCCCGACCGACGCCCTCTCTACCGCGCGCCTGTGGTAGGTATGTACATGCGTAGTTATGGACGACGGTTGACCCGTCTGGCTCAGAGTCGACGCGCTTCCCCGCTGCAGGCGATTTCTCGGTGGAGTCCTGTCAGGCTAGATGTATGTATCCATTTCATCAAAGACTGCTGGGATTCAATTCAATTGGGGACTGACAGTATGTAGGCATAACTTACAACACTCCGCTTTCCAAATGAAGGGACTTCAGACCTCCAACCAAAGACGCTCGTGCCCTCTCCTCGGGAAAACGATTCAACGCATCCAGAACCCAGACATCCTCTCAAGTTCAAAAGGACGCGCTTAGTCTGATTACCGGAGACTAACGCGCAGGTGAACTTTGAGTAACTGGACTACACGCTTCGTCACTCGTACGCGCCTCGGGTTTCTACTCGAACCCCTAGACGCGCGCGTACAGTATCGTTCTCGCGTCTGCTCTGCGTCATCTTCTCGAGAACCGCTTAAGCGCCCGCCGCACACCATAGAAGCTGCCACTGCCAATCGGTTCCGGAGATTACCCAAATTAAATAACTGCACTAAGTAAGTACATACTCCATCGAGATCAATTGATTTAATTCATCTATCGCTAGACAGGATCTATTACTTACACGGCGGTGTAATGATTAAAGTAATCAACTATACTCCAGGCTAAACGCGCTTTGTGCAACGTCAGCCGCAAGCTACTTTCTTCTCAGTCAGTCGCAATTCAGGGTTTACCGTCAAACTCTAAGAATTACAGTATTCATGATTTCCCTCCTCAGAGGCTCTTCGCTTTCCCGCTAAGCGACCGACTTCCCATCACACCTCCGAGTCCATCCATGCACCCTACAAACGACGTTCCATCCCACATATTACCGGCGAGTCCACATTGCATCGGAAACGTTCAAACTCCTGTAGGGACTACCGATCCACATGATACCTCTGTGGGCTCCAAAACCCACTTCTAGCCACCTCCTCCAACGCCACAGGGAACGAAAAACAATATAAAAACCCGACAAAATCATGGTGCAGAGATACACGAGGCTGAACACGCGTTTCTCCCCTCCTTGATCGTGGCCGGCGAGTTGTACTAAAGGGCGCGGCGCGTTCCCACCTCGGCGGGGATTGCGCATTGCCCTGCGCAAGGAAATGAAATGTATTCGTCGATCGAACAATGGGTGACTTCCCGTAACGATTTAGGCGACCTAAATCTAGGGAAAACCTAGAATTCGGATGTTTTTGCCCTCTTTGCCGAGAAGCCGAGTCTGAAAAAGGCATGCGTTACGTTAGTGGGAATTTTTGAGGCTGGTCTAAACTTCAAAGTCTAGACAGGGGGGTGGGGGGCCTGTCTAGATGTTTTTGCGTGGCCTAAATCGTTTCCCATCACGCCCATCATTTCCACCTTCCAAATCAGCAGCAATCCCTGGCTTGGCTCTCTCGTCCTTTTGGCATGATGGACTGTGCATTGTTTTACTTTCGACAGATTTCTGCAGGTTTTTGCATACCTATCGATGTATTAGGTGGGCAGTAAACGATTTATCGTAACCCAGCCCCTCTCTCACTCACACTCACCCTCCCAGCTTTCTGAACGCAGCTTAGGGGCTCATCACGCCGAGCCCTTGGCATAGGCGATCCGCTTTGTCAATAAAACAATACAGTCGTTTGCATAATTTCGTTCATGCTGGGGAAACAAAAAATCGGCCAAAAGGAGCCGATCAGTGATGCGATTGACCGGTCTGTGCAGCCAAGCCTCATCCAGGATGCAGCAGAGTGAGCAATTTCTTTCACTTCTACTTTCCGTGGTACCTCCTGAGCGAGGTTTTAGGGTCAGTGGTTGAAGGTGATATAAAAACGATGAATTTTTGGCTTTCCGCTACGCTGGGCTTGGAGAAATTGACATCCTCTGGCGCGCTCGAACATGAGCCGAACCTATATGCACATGCCGCCATCACATCAAATTAGTTTTTCTGTTTGAACGACCTGAACGGAATTATGCAAACGACTGTAAAAGTGAGCGTTACGGGGGTCTAAATCTAGTCCAACCTATATCGCTCGGGGGTTTTCCCAGGGGCGCGAAAAATCTAGGCGACCTAAATTCTTACGGGAAGTCGCCCAATACAATACTAACTTTGCCTTGCGTGGTATGTACTCATGTATAGTAGTGGGAACACATACGCCCACAACGTGCGTTGATGCGCCAGCCGGCAAGCTAAGCGGTGAACAAAGCCTCGCACCAAACGGGACAGCGCTACGAGTTGACTTAGCGCCAGAACAAAAAGACGCGCAGAAATCAATTCGAGGAAAGAAGCGCTTGGCGGGCCCTAGCCCTCGCCAAACCGGACGATCGCGCCACTAACGTTCACTAACCCCAACTGTCGCCTGTCGACACACACCTACACACACAATCTATGAACCTTGCACTCACCAAGCCCTTCTAGCCTCGTCCCGGCATCACCGCAAATCAGATTTTGTCGAAAATCCAGAAAGATGGGGAGATGGGATTCAGGGACAGGAACTACTAGCGTATGCATAAGGGACCAGACGTCACCCGTTCCCCACGTTAGGTTCCTATAAAGTGTGTGTAGGTGTAGGTGAATGTTCACTCCCGAAAACGACGCTGGGTGCCCCTAGCCGTATCTCCCTTGCCTGCCATCCCCGTGGTCCTCCTCTCTGATTTCTCGTGTTCGAGTCCCCCCACTCTTTCCGCCTTGACCCTCCTCCTGCCGACGACGACACTCGGCGTCTAAATCCGACTACCACCACATACCATAATGCCAGGCGCAATCCCTTCACCCCGCTACCTCCCAACTGTCATCCGCGAAAGTTTCCCTCCTGCACCCAAATTCACATCCGAGGATGTACCCGACCTGACAGGGAAAGTCATAATAGTAACCGGGGCCAACGCAGGTGAGATTCGCGTTCGTCCATCTGGGAGAAACCACCGTTTGTGCTGATCGTGGACGCGAGATCAGGTATGGGGAAGCAAACAGCCAAGGTGCGCATATCTTCGTAGTTTCGACACTCGAGAAAACGTAGGCCGACAGTTTCTCTGGTTACCAGGTCCTCCTTTCGCGTAACGCCAAAGTGTACATGGCAGGCCGGAACGAAGCTAAGCTATCCAAAGCGATCGAAGAGCTGAAGGAAGCGACTGGGAAGGAAGGCCTCCCTCTCATCCTCGACCTAGCAGATTTGAAATCCGTTAAGAAAGCTGTAGAGGATTTTACAAGGTGCGACTCACCTTTGCGCAGCATCGAACGATGGAATAAGGCTTTGGAGCTGACTGGCATTGCAGCAAAGAGAAAGAACTACACGTCCTATTCAACAACGCGTAAGTACCTCATCCAGCCCACCAGTCAACCCTCCAAATGAACTCACCCCGCAAAATCCAGAGGCGTAATGGTCCCCTCCCTCGACGACCTTACCGCCCAAGGCTACGACAGCCAATTCGGGACCAACGTCCTCGGGCACTTCTACCTCACCAAACTCCTCCTCCCCACCCTCCTCGCCACAGCCAAGAACCCCATCTCATGTCCAGAAGGCAAAGTCCGTGTGGTGCATACGAGTAGTATTGCGTCGATTATGGCGGATGGAGTGAACTTTGAGACGTTGAAGGATGGACCGGAGAGGAGGAAGAAGGGGGAGTGGGGGTTGTATCATCAGAGTAAATTGGTGAGTCGGATACGAGTTTGGTGTTTGTAGGGAGAGGAGGCGGCGTGCTGACGAGGCTCATAGGGCAACGTCATCCTCTCAAACGAACTCGCAAGGCGATATGGAGACGAAGGTCTCGTCTCAACCTCAGTCAACCCCGGAGCCATCAAGACAGATTTGCTGAGGCATACAAAGTGGTGGGACAAGTTGATGATCGTGCGTCCTCTCTTCATGCGCTTTATGGAGTCCACTGACACTCTCTTCGACGACAGAAAGCGGTGTTGCATCCAGTGGAATACGGAGCCCTCACACAGTTGTACGCAGGGACATCCGAAGATGGTCTGAAATTCAACGGCGAGGTAAGCTCGTCAACATTCCCTTCCTACATCCAAGATCAAACTCACCAAATGTTATTCCAGTACCTCATCCCGTGGGCTCGACTGGGCGAGCCAAACCCAGTAGCATTGGACAAGAAACTAGGAGAGGAGTTGTGGAAGTGGTTGGAAGAGCAGGTGGTTGATATTTGATTTTTGATTCGATATCCGTGTCGTTCACCGTGAAGTTGTGTTTGATCTGCATGTTGTTGTAGTTGTATGTCGCCTTTTAATTCTTGTATAGTGGTGTATGTACAATATCCTTCCTTTCCGTTAGGCTCTCGAGTATCGTTGATGGTGTGGTGGAAGAAGTGAAGGGTCGACAGAGCGTCTGTCACGCGTCACGTTTGTGTTATACTTCCTTCTGAGCCTAACATACCCCTCTGACGCAGGCTGAACGACAGTGAACAACGACACCGACACCTAGGCTGAGCGTTCAGTTGTTACCGTATATTACAGCCCCAATAATAATCCTACCAAGTCAAATCCTCAGATCTCAGTTGGAGATACCATACCAGTATGTCCATGTCGCTGGCTTTGCCGGGAAAGCGCGAAGCCAAAGATAAGTGGTACAAGGGGAAGGAAATTGACATCTGTAGTATCCTTCAGGCGAGAGGTCACAAAAAGGTATACTTTCAGTCATATGTAGAGGCTAAATCTGAGAACCGAGACGAAAGAGAGAAGATACTCAAATTCCATGATGAACAAAAGGGACCCAACGATGGAACGACCTTCCAAGTTCCCGCAGCTCCTTCACAGCAATGTGCAGCCCATACGCTGCGTCAGTAATGTCCGGCGGGGTTGATTTACCGTTGCGGAAGAGATGGCGATAGAGGGCGTCAGCGACAATGGGCGCATCGTCGTCGTGGATTGACCTAAAGTTCCAATCAATATATCAATTAAACGTTCGGCTGGTAGAAGAGAGAGGATACACGCACCACATAGTTGCAACCACACTACGGAAGCCCGCAAATTGCATCGTGGCAGCCAGTGTGAGGGACTCGTCCGGACGTGCTTCATCGCCCATAGCAGTCTCGCAGGCACTCAGGTAGGCAAGTGCCGCCGTCGAGTTCTGACAATCCCGTATGAGGGATGACATAGTCAAGCGCCTCTCACTGAGTAGGAGGCAGCTGTCCAGTGGATTCAATGGGTCCTGCATCCCATGGCACCCAAAATGAACGATAGATGCCGCGTTGATGTCTTCCACAATGGGTTTTCCGGGGGCTGTCTTTGAACCAATGCGGGTAACCAAACGATCCTTCTCTGGGATACGCAGCTCGATCTTCTCGAGTTCTTGCCTAGTAAAAGGGAGGCCTGATACACCCGGCTCAGGTCGATCAGGTTCGATCGCGACTAGCATCTTGAAATTAGGATCGGGTTCTGGTGGGGGTGCGACGAGGTCTTGTGGGCCCGAGCAATAGGACGAGACGGCGTAGTCGGATAGGCAGTCGGATTCGATAGAAGGAGAAGACGAATAGATTCCAGCAGCGTGGATAGGAAGGAAGGTGAAAAGACCGGTCGGGCACCACCAGATTCTGGGCGGAGTGTTGGTCTAGTGACATGGTCAGTACGACATCGTCCAATGCGTTGATCAAATCCCGTACCTTCTTCAGCCCGAGAACTGCAACAACTGGCTGGCCCACCACCCTCCACAGAACCTCGAGGAATACCCTGAAATCATCATCCGCCGTCCGGGGTAACCGTTTTTTGCGGACTAGATTCAAGCGAAGCTCTCCCCCTTCAAAACAGTCACGAAAATCACCTCGCACTTTAACGTCGAACGACAGCCCTCTCGCCAACTGGCGAATCGCGGACACCAAATGCTCCAATGCCTTGATGTCTGTGGGCAACTCAATGCGGCGAAGGACGCCATCCTCCTTGAGAATGAGCGCATGGCATCCAAACTTGCTGGCGTTCAGGAAGACAATGGGTCCCTTGCGCGCTGCATTCTTGAGGACATCAGGAGAAGGGGGGAGCAGGAAATCGTGAAAGCCATCGATGGCCCGGATCCTTGCGATGATCTCCTCTCTCGTCTGAGAAAGAAGGTACGGGCGAAGTGATGGGGCGTTTTCAAGCTGCATCGACTCAGTTTGAGAATGTTGCTGGGTTGCAATTTGTAGTTGGCGAGTAACCAATCGGAGTTCTGACGCAAGATCCGGGTGGAGAGCGTCTAGGCGGTCGAGTGAAGCACGGAATTGCAGAGCTTGAGACCAAAAGACAGACCGCGCGGTGGAGAGAAATACGAGTGCAGTTTCAAGCTCATCTTGTTCGAACGCACACTGCACGGCATCCTTGGCCAAGTCCTGCGCATGGATAAGAACATTCTGGCGTTGTTGGAGTGTAAGGTCGAGAGAGGCGAGGAGGGGAAGCAAAGTCACCCCGAGACTATAAGCCTGAAGTGCATCGCCCGTACGCCCGAATTCGCGGCAAGTGGATGCCCAAACCCTGACATGGTCTAGCCTGTGCAAGGGCGATGCACCTTGATACAGAGGCCCAGACTCGAGCAGTTCGAAAATCTCGTTCAGAGTATCCTCGTTCCCGAGGGCCTTATATTCCGCTTTGAGAATCTCCACAAGGTTCAAGACAGAATTCAGCCCATCCGGGTGATTCTGCAAGGCGTGGCTGGGATCGCCGTGTTGGTCTTCGGGAGGGGAATCCGCAGCGGAAAGCGCAGTCAGACAAGCTCGCGCATGTGCTGTGCACTCTGTGAGGGCCTCCAAGTCGCCATTGCTCTGGAAGTGTAAAAGAAGAGCTCCCGCCAGGTTGTTGAGCGAGCCAGCGCGATGAGGATGGCCAGGAGGACGGAGAGATAGCACTTCCTTGAGGAAGGTAATGCACTCGTCCAAGTCGCTAAAGTCGCCTTTGCTTTTGAAGCGAGTGGAAAGTGCATTTGCCAAATTGTTGAGCGATCTCGCGCGATCGGGATGTCCCGAAGGACAGAGAGAAAGGCCTTCCTTGTGGGAGGCAATGGACTCGTCCAGGTCCCGCGATTCACCTCGGTTCTTGAAGCGAGCGCAAAGGGCGTTTGCCAAATTGTTGAGCGACTTTGCACGGTCGGGATGGCCGGATGGACGGAATGAAAGCGCTTCCTTGTGGAGGACAATGCACTCCTCCAAGTCGCTGAAGTCTCCTTTGCTCTCGAAGCGAGCCCACAGATCGTTTGCCAGGTTGTCGAGGGAGCTGGCACGGCCGGTGTGGCCAGGAGGACGGAGAGATAGCGCTTCCCTGTGGAGGGCAATGCAATCCTCCAGGTCGCGGTAGTCGCCTCTGTTTTCAAAGCGAGTGGAAAGGGCACCCGCCAGGTTATTGAGCAAGCCGCCGCGGCCGGGGTGCCCGGCAGGATAAAGAAAAAGTGCTTCCTTCTGGAAGGAAATGCACTCCTCCAAGTCACGGAAATCGCCTTGGTTGTCGAAGCGAGTCCACAGAGCGTTTGCCAGATTGTTGAGTGACCTGGCACGGTCGGGATGCCCGGGAGGACGGAGAGAAAGTGCTTCTTGGTGGGAGGCGATGCACTCGTCGAGGTCCCGGAAGTCACCTTCGTGGTTGAAGCGAGTCCACAGAGTGTTTGCGAGATTATTGAGCGACTTTGCACGGTCGGGGATGCCCGGGTGGACGGAGAGAAAGGGCTTCCTTGTGGCAGGTGATGCACTCGTCCAAGTCGTGGAAATCGCCTGTGTTTCTGAAGCGAGTGGAAAGGGCGACAGCCAGATTGTTGAGCGATCTATGGCGGTTGGGATGTCCTGGTGGACAGAGAGAAAGGCCCTCCTTATGGGACTCAATGCACTCGTCCAGGTCCCAAAAGTCGCCTTTGTTGTTGAAACGAGTGCACAGGGCGTTTGCGAGATTGTTCAGCCAGCTGGCACGGTCTGGATGCCCTGGAGGACAGAGAGAAAGGGCTTCCTTGTGGAAGGCAATGCATTCTTCCAAGTCGCTGAAGTCGCCTTTATTCTGGAAGCGAGTCCACAGGGCGCCCGCCAGGTTGTTGAGCGAGGTACCGCGGTCGAGATGCCCCGGATGACAGAGAGAAAGCGCGTCCTTGTTGAAGGTAATGGACTCCTCCAAGTCCCTGAAGTCGCCTTTGTTCTGGAAGCGAGTCAACAGCGCGCTTGCCAGGTTGTTGAGCGACTTGACACGGTCGGAATGCCCGGGTGGACGAAGAGAAAGCGCTTCCCTGTGGAAGCCAATGCACTCATCCAGATCTTCGATCTGACCAGTGCAGCTGAATCGCTCGTTCAATGCTAGGGCATAATGTGAAAGTGTCTTGTGTCGGCTCGGATGGTCTGGAGATTGGAGGGAAAGCGAGCGACGAAATTGAACGATGGTTTCATCGATCCCGAGTTTTCCTCCTTCAATCGACTGGGATCCCAGAATATACACATCCCTCCCTTCTTGATCCTCGACGCGAGGCGCTTCACCGTCCTGCGGACTTTTGGGTGACTGTTCTACAGCGTTGTTACATTGCATTGCGGCCAACCTTCGTCCAAAGGAGCCTGAGCGATGGGCCTGCACCACGATCGTCTTGGTGGGCGCTGTCAGAGCGATGTACTTTGGACGGCGTGGCGATGTTAAGGCGATAGGTGTGTGGACTTGAATTCAATACAGATAGAAGATGATCAGGCGCATAGATGCATAACTCGTGTAACCCCGACGCTGGTCAAACTCCGCCAGCTCCGATTATACTGAACTCGAAAAGTCTGTGCTCTGGTGGACGCTCAGCAGCGTGGTCTCGTGCGGCTTCCTTTCGACAGGAGAATTGCTCTGCATTGGACTGCTGGCCACTGCCAGCCAAGGATTGGGCTTGAGCTATTGAATCCAAGTCTGTCATCTCTCATTTGTCACACCCCGTTACGACGTCAACGGATCAAATGGAGGACAAGCCGATATCCTTGGCGTCGGACTGTAGCCGCCGGGGTTGCGTTCCTCAATGTGTGCTCCTCTTCATCCCGCAGTCATCGCAGCACGTCAACGACGTCCAACCCATGACTTGCTGGATCCACCACAAATGTCCCACCTGCACAAAACCATTCAAGAATCGCCATGTGATCAAGTGCTCCCTCCGTTCATCGTCAAGCAGAGCATTCAGGGTCCTCATCCCTTGAATCACAGTAGTCATTAGCCTATCAATGATTTTAGCGCGGTTCGTATAGTCGATGGATTAGGCTCCAAACGTCATAAAGCTTGCGGCTCGAAAATTGGAACTGTTTGACGCCTGCAACCGTTCAGCAACAGCCATGCCCATCCATCTCTGCAACGACGGGGATATCCAGGGCCTCATGTCTCTGGCAAACAAACGGTGTGTTCCATCCATTCATTTATTGAATTGAACTGATTTTAGGCGGTGTAGACCTGCCAGCGAGGCGGCCAACCCAGCCGTTTCGTCTTCCTCGAACCTCTGCATTTCGACCCAAGTTGGACTCGGACCTATGAACTCTTCAATACACCGACTCCCCGCGGAGCTCATTCTCGACATCTTTGACCTCGCCTGCCAAACCGAGTGGGAAGACCAGCTCCTTGCCAACCAGGTCAAGTTGCCGTCAGCGCCATTCGTCCTCGGCCAAGTCTGTCGTCATTGGCGGCACCTCACCCAAACAACACCCTCCCTCTGGACACGCCTCTCCCTAGTCCTTTCTGGAGAGAAAGGCCAAACACCCATCTCGTTCCTCCACTACTACCTCTCACGATCCAAGAACTCGCTTTTGTCGATCCACATCCAGCAAGACCGTACACGAATGTTCAACCTCTTTGAACACGACGCGTACCAAAGGGCCTTTACGCAAGTGATCGACATCCTCGCTCCGCACTCGGAAAGATGGAAGGACGTGTCACTTTACGTCCCAGGCTGCCATCCGTGTCCGAGTTTGCAAAGCATCCAGGGCCGCCTTCCCAACCTCGAATCCCTCAGCATCCGGATGAGCTCCGTGCGACTGAGCCTACGCCTCCGACCTTCCGAATTGAACATGTTCAACCACGCGCCCCGGCTTCAGAAAGTACAGTACCCAGACGTTTCGGATCGACTTAGACTGCACATCGACTATTCCACGCTCACTTCTTTCACCTGCGACAACATCGCGTTTGCGGACGCGGTGGAAATTCTCCGGGGTTCAGCCAATCTTGTCCACTGTACCCTTGCAGTGTTGTATTACACGCAAGTGAACCTGGACGTCCCAACCATTACTCTTCCAAAACTGAAGACGCTCACACTGAGGGAGCACTGTCGCTTTGTGCAGTGCCCATTGCTCCGGGTTCTGGTGCTACCCAACCTGCGCGTACTGAATACAGATAGGCGTAGCTCTACCGACCAACCAATTAAAGCCCTGCTGGATAGGTCGGGGTGTACGCCCGTTGTGCACTTGATGGACAGACGCGGTGGAAGCCTGATTGGGCGGAGGAGGATGCAGGCTTTAGTGTCCAACGCTATTTTACAGCCGTACTCTATTGGTTTAGAGTAGTAATGCTACATGTAGTACCTGGCTAATAGCCATCATTTCCGCGAACTGATTCAGGTTGGGTTTCGCGGAGACACCCAGCAATGGGTAAATTCTACCCTATGTACCCAAGTCTGGGCTGTGCTCAGCTTTTGCTGATACTCTATCTCAACAAAGCTAAGGAGACTCGAAAATTCCATCGCATCCCCTCGTCCTTTCAGCCCACCATTTGAAGTACTCCGGCCTTCCCGCTCGAACAACGCAAGTTCGACCGTCGCTGAGGATCATGTCGTGGTGGCACTGGTGTGCGTATTTCTCCGGAACCGTCATGATTGTGAATTTCTCGCAGATTTTCGAAAGCCACACGCACTTGGCGTGGTAGAGCGTTTCGAGCCGATGGGGGATCTCACCGGGCAAGCACGTGGTAGCGGGCCTAGAGTTGGGTGAGAAGAACTCAAAGGCCAGTCCTTGAAGGGATGGAAAGGGCTCGTCCAGTGAGCCCATGGTGGTAATTATCCCGGGGTCTAGGAGGGCTAGGTGGGTGATTTGTTTGGTGAACGGCCAGCTCTGCGGAGGGAAATAGATATTCTGATCCAAGAGTGTCAATTCTCTGAGGTTGGAGTACCACCCTTCTTCTATCGCCTTTTTCCATTCGCATAGGAATAGAAAGTTGTGGCCTGTGCAGGCGAGTGTTTCCAGGTTGGTCGTTAGCCGCAGGATGTCATGCTGGATATTCATGTACTCTTCCTCTGGTGGAGTGTCGTATGGGTTGTAGCGTCGTTGCTGGGGCAGTGATGAGCCCACCATCCAGAGGTGGCGCACCCTCGACGCCGGAGGCTGCTCCGAATTGTTCGTCGATGTGAGGTAGTGCAGGAATGCCCGCGCCTGGGCTTCCGTTTGGAGGCGGATAGGGACATGCGATAGTAACTCGGGATGGACAAGGGAGTATGTCCTCTTGCATGATAGAAGGAGAGATCTGTAGTACCACTGGTTATCTTGACATACCAATTTGAAGATGGGATGTAGTATCTCGTTTGGGAGAGCCTTGAGATTAATGGGCGCTTCCTCGATTTCCCTGCCAACGTGGACAGAAGCAAATCGACACGGGAGATCGTCGGGACTAGATCATGATTCAATTTCAGCTTGATGGATTAAGGGTAGGTACGCATACACGTTCCTGTCTCTTGCAGGCCTGTCAGGCGCGCTGGTAGTCTTTCTAGTGGACTTGAAAAGCATTATTGTTCATGCAGAATCACTCTCCTTCCTGCCATATGCATCTGTCAGAGCTCACAGAAACACGGTCCTTCGGGTAGGGAAATAGGCATTACTTGAGAAAGAGTCAGGGGCCGTAGATAGCGTTGGCCAGAGGCGTTGCAGGTCGTCGTTCAAAGCGTTCGAGTTACGTCCGAAGTCGGGGAACCCACTGTGTTGAACCTCGCGGACCGTATCTGATCCGGTGATCCGCGCAACATAGTTCGTGATGGGAGTGCAAGGGACTTTCCCCTAGTCACCGCGCGTTGGCAGGATATGCAAGGTACCCTCATCCTATGACCTCAATGAGACATGTACTGGACCCTTGAAATTCTCGAGAGGCTGTCAAGAGAAAAAAGATATTACATTTTGAAAACCCGGACTAATACAGCTTCACAATATTAGAATATAGCGCCATAGCCCTGGACAACTTCGCTCCGATCTGTGCGTAAGTTCGCAGAACACTCAATCAGAACGGTGCTTGGGAAGCCACCTCATTTTATCTACCAAGCACCGAGTCAACGGTGTACAGAGGGAGTGTCCATACATAGCACGGGCGCGAAGCAGGTAGGTTTTTGTTATAAGCGCACTGGTGCACCCAGCAATCGCGGGATTTGACCCCCTTTCTCCGCAACTCTACCATACCAACAATATCTTATCAACCTATGGACATTCCACCATCGTCCATAGCATGCGTGTCGACGAGTCAGGCAAGGGTACCGTATCCGCTTCTTCCGCCGGATGAAGCCTACGCCCTCTTATCGAGGAATCTTGTCGTTGTTGCTACCGTAGCTGTAGGTACAATTACCACTCTGCATAAAGTCGATCTGGAGAATAGGTGTTTCATTCGCAGATATGGATTTGGGATTTTCTGCTCTCCCTTCCCGGGGACTACCAGCTTCACAAATCTCATGCCATAACACCACCCTGCATGGTTTACTTGGTCTCAAGGTAAGAGTTCAAAGTTCCTTCAACGTTCTTCACGACTCTGTCCTCAGAATCCCACTGCCTTCCAGGATCGCGACACTCGGTCTCTGTATCTACTCCGTGGTCTACGCAGGTAAAAATAGCCTCGTCACCATCCATAACCTCTTCCTAACCATAGAGCGGCCCTTAGTGCACCCAATCGGAAACTGCGAAGACAACGACCTTGCCATGGGAGCGATAACAGTGCCCGCATATGCCTCGTGCACACTGCTTGTCCTTCTCCGCGTCCGCGCCACATTCCACGGCTCACCGCATTTCATTTATACATACTCCATCTTCTGGCTTGCCCATTTAGCTTTTACCACCGCGGCCTACTTTGCGCTTCGTCACCCTGTTTCTTCAATCAGTGGGACGGGATTTTGCAGTCCTAGCCGGGTCAACTATTTATACACGGCGTCAGCAACCTTCTTGTGCCTTTATCACACCGCGATGGTCGTCGGCGTTTCATTACGGATGGCATCGATGGCCGACAAGACCGGTGCGACGGAGGAAAGACGGGCTGCAAGATTGAGGAACGCAATCCTTGGAAGTCACCTTCCGTCGTTCTCTCGCGGAATGTTGCGCAACACCCAAATTTACTGCATGTAAGGAGTTTACTCCTACTTGTCATCATGACTGTCGCTCATGCTTCATTTGAGGGCGACGCTTGTCTTCGGTATCTTGTGTGTCGTATGGTCACACGTTCACCAGCATTCGCCCTACTACGGGTCGTTGTTCACCCTGCCCAGCGTTGCGATCATGAACATCATGGCTTGTCGTGTGTACAGAAACACCAAGCCGGACGGTGTTTAAAGTGCACAACTCCCCAGCGTTGATATAGCGTACATCGAGTTGGAGGTGAAGGGCTCTGCATTGACAGTGGATCTGGAGTCCCAAGCAAAGCATTCCTGACATCGAGCAATCGCAAACAAATTAGTTTCGATCTACCACGGTTCTATAATGACTACAACAGAGGAAAGGCTATTACGAGAAAGAGTCCTGGTATCTGCTACAAAAGCGAATGTACGACAACAATCCCGGTCTAAGAGTACGTGTGCAAATAAAATATCAAGCGTATGGATGAGGTATGCGGGATAATATGAACAGACAGAGGGCAATAACCGAAAGGAATCACAGATGTACAACTGACGAAAGCTAACCACGAAATAGTAATGCAATGTCCAAGTGAATGTTAGAGGAATTCGTCGTCTTCAGGTTCAGCAGTGACACCATCTTCGTTCCATATCTCAAGGAACTACACAAAGTGTTAGTCAACAGATACCGTCACCTGGCAAGAGGCTCACCCGTTGTTTTTGTAACTCGACGTCTTGCGTTGTATGAATTGCCTGCACAGCGTAAGGGAGTTTCTCCCAGGAGATTGGTTTATCACTCCGTTTCGTGGCCGGCCTGTCTCCGATGGCGCTCTTCTTACCGATGACGAACTTGTTACATTTGCTGTAACGAACCCACTCTCAGTCGAATTGTCATCAGACATAGTGAGGAAGACGCACTCTTCTGACAATCCATACAGCGTTTTGAGGTAGGACTTCAGCAGCATGACCATTGCAACAATAACAGAGGTCCGCATGAGGGACACAGGATCGCGATCGCCTGCATCTGGGTCAGCCAAGTCGAGGCGAACGACGATCAGAACATACCATAATTAGGAGTTGCTAGTGGGACAACAGCTTCGGCGGCGTTGGACGAGATTTCATCGCCCCCGTTATGCTGCGATGGCTGGGAATGTGAAGGCTGAATTTGCGACAGAAGATGCGCAGGAGAAATGATATCCAGCAATTGCATGCCGGTAGTTGATAACACCGTCGTTAAGTGCTTGATGACCGTGAAAACCTCTTCCTGGGTCTTGTATTCAAAGCTAGCGAAGTTCTCCGCCATGTAGCGAGTGAAATCAACATCATCCTGAAACGAGAGGTGAGCCAAACGGGTGACCCAAGAGATGACGAGGCGTACTTGTGTAGCTTGATAGGAGTCATTTTCGGAAAAGACCTTCACGAGGGATTTGAGGAAGTCCTGACGAGTGGCTCGCTTCTCGCGCACAAGAGTGTACCACCGTTGGAGGAGAGCAGTTGGATGGCCATTCGTGCGGAAACCTATCGCCAACATCAGAAGAGGCGTGAAATATACTAAATCCGAAAGGAACTGACCATGAACAACACCGTCCACAATCTTCTTTTGGTAGTCGAACGATTTCCTCGCGCTAATCGAATATCGTGTATTGAGAAGGGAGGCGTGTTTGCTGTTCAGAATCGAATGCAATGCGATAGCCCGTGCCGAGAGGACAGCGTGCGGACTGGTCTCCAGAGCGATGATAACCGGGAACGACTTTGAAAAAGCGACGTCAGAGCTACACCCAAGTCGAAGCCACTTGGCCTAACGTACTTGGAGAGGATGTGCTAGGCCTTGCTTAATAGTGAAGGTAAGGACATCGATAGCAGCCATTTGAATCTGACTGTTCTGCGATAAAGCCGCGTCGAGAATGTGCGATAGATAGCGTTGCACAATAGCAGAGCTGACTCTAAAGCGAGATCAATGACCACAGACGAGCTCCAAGCCATAACCCACTCACCCAGAGTCGGCAAAGCCGTCCGTATTTCCGACTAACTCTTCCATGTTGACATCGGTGTTAGCTTTGTTCTTGTTCTTTGCAGACTCTGTACATTCGTTTAGACGAGAGTTGGCATCAGATGAAGCGAGAATTTTACCTTTCTCCTTGGCGCTATGCTTCTCCGATTCAGAAATCAGGAAGTCTTGCATGATTTTCAGGAGCCTGGCACGTCCCTCCTCTTCCTCGGAAGCGAAGATGGCATCCATAATAGCCGCGGATTCCTCCTTGGTCATAAGGGTAGGTTGGGCTCTGAACAAAAAGCCTAACAAAGTCGAGGGGAGTGAGCAAGGGGTCAAGAGATCTGGCCGGGAGACCGTACCCAAGCATTGAAGGATCCTAGGCCGGATGTCTGCGAAATCAAACTTGTCATAGATCCGCAACAGCGTGAAGTATATGTGTTCCATCACTGAACCCTGAGTAATGGAATCGATATCGGGTGCAAGGTCTACCAACGTTATCGGAAAGAATTCGGGAAATGATCTAAAGGCTCCACGTACCAGGTTGCTCAAGGCGTAGGCGATCGAAGTTGCAATGCTCGCCAAGCAGCGCGACGATGAAGAGAAGCATTAAGAGAGTCTTGGATTCCACATTATTGAGTTGCTTGGTTGGAGGATGACGAAGGTAGCTAAGAAGTCTCGCTGCGAAAGTCTTCAGTAAAGAGCTTCCACTAATAACAACAAACAAACCATTGCATCCTTTCAATAGGTTGATCAGCCTCTTAAAGTCGTGCGTTAAATGCCGCACTACGGCACACATGCAACCGACAGCTTCTTGAAGGATCTGGCGGAGTCATCTCAGTACAGGGCGCAGCTGGAAAACGACGATACTGACATTGACACCGCCAAATGGTTTCAAGATCAGCGGCTGCAGCGACGTCTGCAATTCCTGCCCGAATTTGGCGGCGGTCTTAGGCATATGCGGTATAGAAGCTCGGAAGATTTTCAATAAAAAGTCTGAGGTGAGTAGTTCTTCGGTCTACAGAGAAGGTCAGTTCAACATGGTGGGGGGCAAAGAGGAAGGAACGGACAGTTGATGCGTTCTTGAGATATGGGAGGAGGGTCGAAGCATGTGTGCCAGGCAGGATTGAGGGATAGGCGGCCGTGAACAAGTGGATTGTCCGGATACAGTTGATGATCGTCTATGACACCAGTCAGCATTGCGATACCGATGGGCGTGAAGAACACTCACAAAGCCCGGAAGGTCGGTTGCATCAACCAAGCCATCAATCAGGGTCTCGCAGATCTCAGCGTATCGCTGATGCAACGAGGCTGCCTCATTACCCTCTTTGTCTGAGATAATCTTGTGCAGCATGTCCTCCAAGGGCGATTGTCGATCCCTAAAGTTGGCCGCGGTACCCATGATGATCGCAACTTTCGAAAGCAGAGCTGCCTTGTCTTGGTTGGGGTTACTGGATGAAGTTGGCTTGACTTTCATCGCTGAAGGAGGGGGCAGTGGCGGAAACCAGAGCTCCTCCAAAGTCTTCATTGCAAGGTCCTTCACCCCATCATCTTCATCCACCATGCGAAGAACCAGCCGCGCCGAAATGTCGATCTTCCGCTGGGTATCGTCGATCACTCCATAGTATGACTTGAGCAACTTGATCACCCGCTTGCGAACGGCCAAACCAGTGTCCTGAAAGGATGATCAGAATCTGGATGGTTGAGCACGAAATATGGACCTACCGCCATGCGTTCAGCGATCTTCTGATAGTAGTTGCCAGCGACCTCGGGTGAGTCGATCATGTACTTCCCAATCAGTTCCACCGCTGCGTCACGAACAGCAGGCGAACTGTCCAACAAGTGATTCTCAATCCCTTGGCGAACACTAGCCTGTTAACACAAGAGACGTGAGCGGAAAGGCCAGCTGAGGAAAGAAACACATACTGTGCCAAGAATGGTCGCGTCGCTAGTCACAATCTGACCCAGTGCACGGAGGGCCTTGGTCCGCATGAAAATGACAGGAGCATCAAGTGCCGACAAGATGACGTTCAAGATGGGCTGGAACGAGTTTCGGAGGCTCTGTATGGTCCCAATCTCTTCTGACAGCCTATCAATACGCGACACCTCTTCTTGAGACCTGGGGTACAAGGGTGAGCGCTGGCAAGAACAAACATCAAACACGACGCACCCAATGTCAAACACGTCAGTAGCCGGGTCTTTCCAGACTTCACGGAGGGCGGTCTTCAACTTCTGACCAAAAGAGAGCGCTTTGCTCGAGTCCCGGAGGTCGAGATCTTCGTCCTGTTCAGGGTGGTCCAGCCAGACGTTAACCCGCTTGAGCGACGCGGCCAATTCATGACCAAGGATAGCAGCAGTCAGCTCTCGGGCGCTCTGTGGTTAAAGGTTCTATCAACAATCTTCTTTAAATACCATCAAAAACCATACTGACCTCGTAAGCTTGATCCTCAGTAGACCGCTTGCACAAATGAGCAGCAACGTCCCGGTGAGCGTCCATGAACTTGGCGAATTGCTTCGACTGGAGATTGTTGACGATCTACAGGCCGCTAAGTCAACGAGTCGATTCCGTAGCTAAGGAAGCGACCCACCTCATCCAAGGGTTTCAACCCTCTATACGAGGTGCCATCCTCGTCCTTCTGCACCTTCAAGATACTAGAGCGGATCCTCGCAGCAATAACGCCAAGGTGATCAAGAGCCATGCTCTTCGCCGCATTCGTGTCAATCTGGGCATTCGACTTGACATCATCCAAAGAAGAAACCATAAACTTGGACGCAATGTTCAATAGAAGACTGGCAGCAGGCCACTCAGGCCAGTAAAGGACCACCAAAAGGTCGTCAATAAGGTTATCGAAAATGGCACGGTACTCCGCCTCGTTGGAATTCTTCGTCGTCTTGCCTTTCCCAGCCCTAGAGTTAAGGAAGAAAATAATGGTCTTCGCAGCCTTGGTCGCAGACTCCAATCCACCACCATATAGTCGGATCTCTTCCATGTCGATATTGTCAAGGAATGGTTCGTCAGACTTGGGCTGGCCGTTGAGGTCCGAGATGCTTTCTTGCCGCTTAAGCGCCAGCGCGTTTTGGCGCTCTTTCTCCAATCTCCGCGCATTGATGCGAACATCGTGTGCAGAGGTTTGCACCAGCTGCATGAGCAGTGCCGAGACGGTTCGGATAGAACGGCCATCTCGTAGACTGAAGGCGAGGTCGAATCAGGACCCAAGTGCGCGAAAAAGCGAAGAGAACCCACCGGAACTGGCCCGCCTTTTGCTTCGTGTCAGAGAGCTTAATGAGGGACGTTAGAATCTCCTCAATAATCCATGACCGCTGGTCTTCATGATTGGAGAAAATCTGAAGAACAATGAGAGTCGGAAGAAGAGAAGACCAATCGGCAACCTACACTTCTGATCAGTGACAAGGCATCGAGCCTCAAACCGCGCATCGCGCTCTTGCCGAGCGTCCGGTTGACGACACTCTCCTTCTCTTTCTTGCTAGCGCTCTTTGCAGTGGATTCCTCCGCACCTTCGACGACGAAGAAAGGTCCGATGGCGATGTAGACAGTTTGGATGATGATGGAATCCGACATGGCCACGCTCTCCGCATTAGCCAGAGCATTGATTCTAGGAAGGACGGACGACAAGGATTGGAAGATTTCTGACATTTGCTTTCGGTGGTAGGCCTGAGATATGGACGAGTTGGCCGATGTGTTGGGGTCGGCAGGAGCGTTCTTGATAAGATGCTGTAACAGGGCACCATTGTAAAGCTTTGAATTGATCGAGTCGGGGGAAGCGCCTTCGATGAAGGGATAGAGGACCTTCGTGAGCTGGTTCTTAACGGTATTCAAACAGCTGGTGATAAGTTCCTCGGAATACAGCTAATGACTTGTGAGAGGAGTTGACCGGAGAATGAGCGGATAGCTAACCTGTTTGGGAAGCCTGTCACTGGCCAAAATAGCAATGCAACAGTCGGCAGCCAGCACGCTATCGCGCGCCAAATCCAGCAGGCGAGTTAACTTCTCGAGTTCAATGTCGTTGGGAGGAGGCGTGGAACCCTTCTTGAGATGTTGCTGTGGCAATTCGTCAGCCTCGTCAGCCTCCATCGAGTCATCGTCGTCTAGAGAATCTTTCGCCTTCTTCTTTCGAGATCCTTTCTTGACCGGAGAGCTTCTGGCGGAAACGGTGCCATTCAGCCCACTCGAAGACCCTGTCGCCTTGAAAGGGTCAACCTCTTCCCCCTCCTTCAAACTCCGCTCCAACATCTTCAACAGCCGGGACAGCGTCTGGATGTCGACATCGGCCATTCGCCCAGCCCTGGTTCTGGGTGTTGCGAGCAATCCCTGCCCACCAGCACTAGCTTGTCGCATTCGTTTCGTCGGCCGAGCAACTTGACCAACATATTTCAAGAGTTTACGGATGGTGGAAGTGTTCAAGAGGGGCTTGGAACAATCGGGGCTCCAAGAAGAGAAGAATTCTTGAGGCAGATCCTCGTGGCCAAGGTCGGCAGGCAAAGAGTCTTCAGATTCAAAAATCTCATCCACGACTGTGACAAACTTCTCCAAAGGACCTGTAACACGGATACGTCTAGTTTCCTTCGTATGAGAGGTGCCTTTACTCACCTCGATCGTCACGTTCCCCCGTCCGTTTGACCGAACTCATTAGACCACGGCGGAGGGGGGTATCTTCACTTGATCCATACCCCCCAAGATCCGGTGTATCTTCGTACTTGCGGCCCTTGCGTGAAGAAGGCGTTAACCATGGACTAGGAGGCACAAGAACAAATGCTTTATTCACAATACGTTGGGGAGTTGGAGTCATTGGGACAGTGGTCTTGGAACTCGAAGACATGGATGTGATGGACGTCGACGAGGAAGCAGTTGTGGGCACAGAAGAAGCGTTCGAGGCCCGCGAGGTTGGTGTCAGTGGCGGCCCCCTGGAAGGAGTGAGGGGCTGCGATATCAATGTCATTGGCTTATAGGACTGGATTCTCTTTGGAGGCGGTGAATGAATCTCCACGACGCATTTCCGTTTCAACGGCGTCGACGATGGAAGCGCCATGTTGCTGCTCAATGACAATGGGTCGGGGCTTGAGTCAGGGACAGCCTTCTGCTCTCTCGGGGGAGGAGTTTTCATGCGAGCAGGGGGCTTGGACGCAACAGGAACGGGAAGCGGGAGCTTTGCAGGAGCAGGCGGAAAGATCGACTTTGCCGACGTTGTCTGCTGCATAGTTGCATTCATCTCCCTCGTCTTCCGTTCCAGAAAACTGTTGAAAAATGAAGCAGAGTCGTCCGCATTGTATGTCGGTTGCGAGGCCTGGGCAGCGGGAGGGTTCGATGGAGGTGGGAAGACTGTTGCTTGCGGAACTGGCGCTGGTTGAGGGGCTGGTGCAGGCTGGGGTAACGGTGCCTGCGTCGGGTGAAATAACGGTTGTGTGACAGTCTGCTGCCTTGGTGGTGGTTGAGGCGGTCCACCTAACGCAAAGGCCAAGGAAGAAGACGAGGTGCTAATCCCAGGAGGAGGAGGTGTGGGATAAGCGGAGTTGGGCGTTGTTCGCTGGAAAACAGACTGAGCAAACGGTGTGCTCTGATAACTGGAAGCCGGCCAGTTTGAAGGCTGCTGAGGCTCCTGATATGGATAAGATCTGTATATAGTCTGAGTAACATGGATATATGCACTCAAAAATATACATACCGACTAGCCTGCTCATTCAAAAGGCGAACAGACTGGTCTCTCGCGGTATGCCAGTGCTCTGTCCTGTTTTGGGGAACCTGCGGTGCAGAAAGGTAGGACAAGTGCTGATCATATTCTGTATACGGTGGCGGTGGAATATGTTGCGAATTATGCTGCTGTACGTGCGTGTAGTCGGGCTGGGCCTGAGACGAATAATAGTTTGGCTGCACAAAGCTTGGGGGCGCTGCCGTCATGGTCATGTTCGCTATGTGTCTCACCGCTATGTAAAATTGTCAGCGGAGTCGATGTAAATGCTTGTGTGATCTCACGTTGCAACGCCGGCGTCGCTGAGGCCATCGGGAAACCTGCCAGCATCTGTTGGGCATGCTGGACAGTCTGGTTGGCTGCATTCGTGAAGCCATGATGGTTAATATTGGTGTTCGGACTTTGTTGCGAAGGGATTCTGGGGTCATTGCGAGGACGATTCTGGGAGTACCAGTGATGATTGCTGTTGTGGTCCATACCGCGCGACGGTCAACAGCATGAAGAGTCGCTGGACGACGTCGACCACGTTCCCGAGAGGATTAAACACAGTGAGCAAATGAATCCGAAGGCCCGCGACGCGCTGCCAGGAACGCCGTCACAATGGGATTCCCACGGGTCACGCCGTCCTGCCGAACTTCGCGAAAAAATAGGCGGTCAAAACTGAATCCGACGACGACCCCAGCGACGGCCACCAAAATTTTGCCAATGCTCGTCTGGATTTCGCTTTCATTCCAGTCTACTCTCTCGTAATTTCTCTGTCATGGTCGTCTCAAATGGCCACTTCAAGCATAAAATCCAGTTGTTGGAGGATAAATCTCTGAAGAAGCATCATCGTCAAAAGCCATCCAAACCCATGCCTTGGGTTGACGTCCCCGACGAGGAACCGAAGAGCAATCTCAAACGAAATGGTACCACGATGAATGGTGACAACGGACATCGTCGCAAGAAGGCGCGACACTCGTATAATTCGGGATCAGGAAGTGGAGGAAGCGCAGGTCCCTCCGCGTCCACAACAATCCAAGAACAGCGCGCCCAATTGCCTATTGCCCAGGGTCGAGAGGCTCTAATCGAGGAGATACGGAGTAACGACGTTACCGTGCTTTTGGGTGAAACAGGTTCAGGCAAAACTACCCGTATGTTCAGTCTGTCTCGAAACACAGTGCACTTCTTAAATGTCTCCAGAAATACCGCAGTACATCTTTGAATCCGGACTCGCAGGGAACGGTGTCATCGCAATCACCCAACCACGGAGAGTGGCAGCCACAAGTCTCGCTGCTCGAGTTGCTCTCGAACAGAATGCACAACTTGGGCAACTCGTCGGCTACTCGGTTCGTTTCGACGAAAAGTACAGCTCGAGTACCCGTATCAAGTACATGACGGACGGTATGATCGTCCGAGAACTATTGTCCGACCCCATGTTGTCGAGATATAGTGTTGTCATCGTCGACGAAGCACACGAACGCACTCTACGGACGGATCTGCTTATAGCCAACCTCAAGAAGATCCTCAAAGCCCGGAATGGACCCATCGCAGACGATGCCAAAGGCAAGAAGCAGAGTCATCCGCTGAAGGTGGTTATCATGAGTGCAACCCTCGATGCGGAAAAATTCAGCCGCTTCTTCTACAAGTACGTCTCCTACCTCGTGCTCTTGCTCTGCTCTAACCCTCTCATTAAGCGCCAAAATCTTATACGTCCAAGGTCGACAGCACCCTGTTACCAATTACTACGCCGCAGAAAATCAACTAGACTACGTCGACTCAGCAATGCGGACATTCTTCCAAATACACCTGGACCGCCCTCCAGGCGATGTTCTCATCTTCCTCCCAGGCCAGGAAGACATAGAAAGTTTACAGGCCTCGATAGACCTCTTCGCAAAGCAACTGCCCTCCAAAGTCCCAGGCGTGCTCATATGCTCAATGTTCGCAGCCCAAGATCAGAGGAAGAACTCTCAAGTCTTCGCACCCACCCCACCCAATACCCGAAAATGCATTCTCGCCACAAATATCGCAGAAACTTCTATCACAATACCCGGCGTAACATATGTGATTGATACAGGGAAGTGTAAGGAAAAACAGTTCCTTGCAAGGTCCGCTGGAGGAGGTTGGTTGTGTTCTAACGGAGTGTAACGGTGTCTTACGGAACTTCTCCAGGATTTGATACCTTGCTGACTAGGGATATCACAAAGTCCTCGGCGATGCAGAGGTCAGGTCGAGCAGGTCGAGAGGTATGTTCATTTAAACCCTTCAGACTCTCCGGAAGGCTGACTGCCTATGGTTAGGGCAAAGGCTATTGCTTTAGACTCTACACGGAGGCATCGTTCAATGCGATGACACCCTCCGCAGAGCCAGAAATCCTTCGTTGCAGTCTTACATCAAGTATACTGCAATTGAAATGTCTCAATCAAAACTTGGAAGATCTCGACCTTATGGATTCTCCCGACCCTGATTCCAGTGCGTACTACGCTTCCCCCATCTCTCACTTTGGCCTGACCCACCGCACTAGTAATATCCTCCCTCAAAACACTCTGGCTACTCGGCGCAATTGACAACAAAGCTAAGCTCACGCCCGCCGGCCGAGAAATGGCCGCCTTCCCCCTTGAGCCCCAATACGCTTGTGCAGTCGTTGCCTCCAAAAACTACGGATGCACCTCTGAAATTCTGGACATCGTCTCCGTCATCTCAGCGTCGTCCAAACTCTTCATTGACGCTTCAGAACATCGCGACACTGCGACGGAAGTTCGTAGAAAGTTCCGACATCCAACGGGCGATCACATGACGATCCTCAACATTGTTCGAGCGTACCGGGAAGTGACGGCTTCGACAGTCAATGGGACTGTCGTCTATGGCCCAGGAGGCTCCAACGAAGGCAGTGCGAAGGGCAACAACAAGGACAAGGCTGCGAAACGAGAGTGGTGTAGGAAGCACTTCTTGAACGAGCGGGCGTTGTTAGAAGCCAAGGATATCCGTGACCAGCTGCGGATGGTATGCGAGAGGGTGAATATCGACTGGACAGTCTCGGCTTTGTCGAAGAAGAGTGGTGAGAACGAGGGGAGGACGGAAGAGGATGCTATCGTTAGGAGTATGGGACACGGTTTGGTGGGGAACGCTGCTTTCCTTCAACCTGATGGCACCTATAAGCAGAATCTGGGCCCTTCGGTACGTCCACCCCACCTTCCGGGAAAGATATTGGTCCTGACTGTTGTACAGACCGTGAAGATTCACCCAAGCTCATCAATGTGCGACAAGAAAGTACCCGCAATTATTTATGATGAATTGGTAGGCGAATATCCAGCTACTTGCGCTTCCCTTTCTCATGCCTCTTCCTAGGTTTATACCAACCAGATTTACGCTCGAGGCGTTTCGGCCATTTCCAAGGCCTTCTTCGCCTCGCACAGCGCCTTCACTCAGCGCAAGGCCTGAGTTGAATTAACGACCCGCCAACGATTTGCATTTACCGCACTGATTAATGGCCTATAATACATGGAACTAGGACCTTCGTTGACCTACGCTTTCTTCTTTGGAACCTTCTTAGGCGGAAGCTTATCAGCCGCTCTCTTCGCTCTGTCATTCTCCGCCGGAATCGTCATAAACTCCAACGTCAGTTTGACCAGCGCAGCCATCTGCTTGTAGTCATCCAACGCGATATCCAAGCTGGCCCAGTTTTCCTCTGTGTACTTCTGGGCTTCTTCTTCCTTCCCAAAGATTCTCTCCCAGAATGTCGGGGAGACCTGTTTTATCCAAGTTTGGTCAACGAGTTTCTTGCCCACGTTGAACCGGAAGTATAGGTTGGAATCGAGGAGGTTGCGGGCCATGATATTGGCGTGTTCGCTTGTGGTGACAAGCTCCCACATGCTCTTGATAGTTCCAGCCGTGGTGATGATATTGCCCACGGGATTGTTGCTTACATCCGGGAGGACGACGTTGGGGTTCATTCCGGTTCCAATGGTGACTAAACAACCAATCGGACGGGCAAAACCAAAGTAGAGACGCGCTTCTCCCATCAACCTAGCATAGGGCTCAGCACTTCGCTCTTGTAAACTCAATTCGTGTTAGCAGGTTTACTCACAAGAGCACGGGGTTGTTGAATCCTACGCCGCCATCAATGTATTCATGGTCGCCCAATTTGATGCGGGTGAAATAAGTTGGTGCAGCAGATGTAGCCCGAGCGGCTTCCCAGATCTTGTATTCGTTGAATGACTTTTCGACTTCCTTGTTGGTGTACGTCCGGAGATGAGTGGCAACGCTGTTGCTGAGATCGTCTGCTCGGCAAGCCAGAACAAACCTGGACAGCATTGTTAGAATACATGTCCAAGATCGTAGAAAGGAGCTGCCAGCATACACTTTGCATCCATCCTCCGGATCGAGCATTGGCGCGTCGGGATTGTTTCCCTCTGCATGCTTGCCAATGACCTTCTTGACAGCATTGGCTAGAGTGTCGCCTGAATATCGAGCACCAGTGGTCGCCCCATTGACGACCTTGGAAATTGGCCCAGCACCAAAGATTTCACTCGCCAGGTCTTCATAGGCGTCGATACACTCGTCGATGGACATCCGCAATCGACCCAGCATAATAGCAATCAAGCTTTGGAGTGATCAATTCAAATGCTCCTGGATACGATGTAATGGAATTTGACGAACCCTCCTGTGCTAGTTCCGGCCATCATGTCGAAGTAATCGCAGGGCTTTGCGTTCTTGTCACCAGTGACCTTGCCCATGATATCTTTCAGAATATGAAGTGCCGAAATACCTCTTACTCCACCGCCATCTAGTCGAGGTGTGTCAGCCTGATACACATCGCGCCGTAGGGAAGGACCATACCGAGCGAAAGAAGGCGTAGTGGCCGCTCTCCTTCACCATAGTTATCATCACGATCGGCACGAAGCTCCTGAGTGAGCAAGGTCGTTTCCACCGACACTGCAGCAGGATCCTTATGGGAGGTAGCTTTAGTCAAGTATTGTTCCAGCGCCGCTTGCAGATCTTTATTGCGCTTGATGACTTTGGCCCAGTCAACCTGAGACCTGGGCACACCCCCGGTGCGACCTTAAAGGGACACCTCGTGAGCAACCTTATCACAGTGGAAGGGGAGAATTTACCCTTGTTCGACAAACGCACGACCAGCCTTGCCGATTGAGCATGTAACTCCCAACCTGCAAACCGAGTGCTTGGGCGAACCGCGATAACATTACCGGGCTAAACGAACATTCAGGGAAGGTTGGTCACCATATGGGGATACACTCCATACCTGAAGGTGGGTGAAGATCTCATGGTCAGGGCCGAATAGTTTCCCGTCTTGTTCGACATCACCAAGCTGGCCAGCAGGGACTTCATGGCTCAGCCAGACCAGAACACGGCCATCTTTCACCTTGGGTTGTGTCGATTCGGGGGTATCGAGGATCACGATATCGAACCAGCTCCAGATACCGGTAGCCCCCTCTGGGAGCACACCTTGGTGTCGCGCGGTGGTAAAGAGTTGAATATCTTGGAACTTGGGTATCGTATTCTCGTCCAGAATCTTCGGCAATCTGAAGTCAGCTACGCGACCACCTGAATGACCACCAAAACCCGACACTTACTGGGGTGGTGAACCAGATAGCGTCCGTTTGCTCGTCGGTCTTGGAGATTAGGTGGCACTCGGTAGGCGGAGTGAGGGTGTAGACGCCGTCAGTAACGGCCTCATTGGTGCTCGCTTCCAGACCCTCTCCCACATGCCAGGCCATCGGCGAAAAGAGATCGTAGTGGACGTATTTCGCCCGCAAGCGCCCATATTGAGCATCGTTGATCCATCCAGGGTGCTTGGCACAAACGCGAATTCCAATGACATTCCCGATCTACATGGGAATGTTGTCAACAAGGTATTATATCCATAGACCATAGGATTAACTTACTTCAATCAAGTCAAAAAGGTCGTGCCTTCGATCAAAGATAATACCAAAGTGCAGAGAATCGGCCGCCCTGGTGTCCAGAGGGTCCGTTCGATTGTTGTGGCTCTTCCAGACGAGCGGCTGCCCGTTCTTTATGACAGGCTCCTCGGATTGGCCATCCTTGAAGACGACGAGTTCGAACCAACTCCAAGATACATTCCCGTGGGACTCGTCGTGGCCTTGGTCGGAAGAAATGGTCTCCAGCTGAAGTTGAACCGCCCTGTAACAGAACTTTCGACTGATAGGTTTGGTCTTGAACCATAGCTGGGATACCGTTTCCGCACTGGATGCCTGGGCGAGCTTGGGGACGTTACTCTCCCCGAGTGTCTTAACAGTGGACATTGTCGATAAGCGAGATAAGGATGCAGTACTGCTGAGCTCCCTTTATAAGAACAGAAGGTCAGTTGACAGGAGACAGGGGGAATACCGCCCACTGTTCATGAATCCTGTTCAAAGTCACCGCACTACCTTAGTTTTGGCAGTCGGGATCATGACCAGGGCGGTCTGCTTCTAGATTCTTCACGTCCAAGAAGGCAAAAGAAGGTTCAACGATACGAAAACGCTGTGCCTTGTCCTGTTTCTTTCGTGGGCGTCGGTATCACTTCTCGGTCAACCGATGTCTCCGGGTTCAAAGCAAGCTGAACACCACGTCGGGGCATAGATTGCTCCTGGAAGTTATGTTCAATAGATGGGAGTAGCAGTCGAGATTATGGCATACGGACATGATACTGTTGAGCAACTCGACGAAATCGGCGAGTTTCAATTGACGTCGACTGGAAACAAACTACATCAACTGATCAATGCCTTCCAGACTTCTGCACCTCGGAGCTTATTTTTTCACTGACACGAAGAGATGTTTGTTCTTCACAGTAAGTAAATCAGTTCCATTTGAAAAACTGCGGCGCACAGTACGGGCTTTCCCAAGGACGAGGGATCCCAGCCATTCCATCAGGAGAGCGCGCATAGATTAGAGAATGCAGCCGTTAGATCGCGATGTGCCACACTTTGACCCCCTCTTCACCTTTGGTCATCATGTCAAGAAGAACCGGCCTTCCCACTCCTTTAGTTAACTTGAACACAGCAGAAGTGCCCGCAAATGTTTTGCCTATAGTTTCGTCAGATCCAGTACATATCACGGGAAATGAAACACACAAACCATTTTCACTCCCAGACCGATTGCACAGCACCACAATTGTCTCCTTTGGTTGGTGAGAAGAGTCGTTCTTCCTGAGCCCAGAGTCATCCTTTGCCCACAAAGGGCGCAACCGCGCAGCCCAATACTCCAGCGTGCTCCAGTCGTTATCGTCTTCGTCAACAGGGTTGTACGGAGATTCCAGCCATGAATTTAAAAGAACCAGGAGGTTAGTCTTGTTCTTCAAACAGTGGTCCGCGATTTCGTATGGCCCTTCCTCTAAACTCCAGGTCTTCCCTCGCTCGGGGTTGAGATCCATGCATATCCCAAGGCTTACCGAACGAAGGGGATCGGGAAGTTTGAGAAACGCGAAGCCGGTGCCTGTCGACGTCCAATCGTGATGAATACACAAAGCGGAGGGGCCAATGTGAAACTCACCAGGCTTTGCCCACGTCATGTCTGTATCGTAGAGATTCGACTTGCGGTAATGACTGACCAGTTCCCCATTTCGGCCATAGACGACAGCACTATTGGCGCCCACTGGGTTCGGGCACGACTTTTCCGTGTCGACGACAGGCTCTGCGCGCTCAGCCTCGGAGAGTCGTTCAGGATAGCCTGCCATGACGTAGCAATTCAGCTTCTTGGCCAATTCTGCGCAAAATTGGGACGTCGGTCCTGTGTGTCGTTCCTCGAGGTAGGGACCTATAGCCTCCGCATCGTCGAATACGTATCCTGCGGTAGACGTTAGCTGAGCTCTGCCACTGAAGCAAGGGTGGACTTACCCGTGAATGCCATTTCTGGGAAGCATATTAGGTCAAGGGTGTGTGGCTGGAGACTACAATGAATTTAGTCAAAGAGAAGCACGGGATCTCCTCTAATTCACCGTGCTTGGATGAGTAGTTGTGCGATTAGGGATTGTGACTAACTTGCTGCATAGCTCTCGTGCTCGCTGGATGTTCGCTTGCACTTGGCCCAACTTTTGGAAACCCAACGTCGATTTAAGCCCTGCAGTTGAAACGCTGGTACATACCTTGGGATTCAACTGGACTACCGCGACTCGAAGCTTTGAAAGCGAACTAGCCATGTGGATGCGCTTTCATAAGAAGAAGACAAAACAGGGTATATATATTGGTATGGGTAAGGAATCGTTTGAGCGCTTCGGTCATGGCCGTTGCCGTTTCCGCGTCTGATGCTTGCACTGTCGAAGCAGGTTTCTCCCCAACTGCGTCCTGGTTCTAATCTATGCCTTGTGGGGCTTGCATTTTTCGGCTTTTAAACCTCTTTATTCGGGAACTCAGAATTCCAGGATGTGCTCAATAAGGTTTGGCCGTCGGTAGTGAGTGAGTATCTTTGCTTGACCGACCGTTATTCGCTAATTGGTTTTGAGTTTGAAGCTTAATCCTCGGTCTCAAAGTCGACTTGAAACAACACCAGAACAGGCTCTCGACGCGCTAAATAAAGCTTCTCTCGCTTGTTACCGCGCACCCCTCCACAGTCTTGTTTCGTTAAACATTCATCACAGCAACATGTTGTGGTGTACCGCGACAATGACAACAAGAAACTGCAGGGATTGGGCTATCTCTGTTCTGCCTTTATTCGTCCAGGTATTAGAAAAGCATGGCCCACCAGCCACCTCTGCTACGATCGTTTCCTTCTGAATCCTGGATCACCCCACGACTTGAGTCTGCCCAGCAGTACCCGTTGTGATACCTATGCCTCGTCGCGACCGCCAGGCCTACAACAACTCTACGACGATGGAAGCCCCTCACGGGCAGTCATTGCCAAAACCTAGGACCTTGGTCCTGTGTTTCGACGGGACGTCGAACGAGTACGATGCAGATGTAGGCACCTGATCGGAATTCAACGACGCGACAGCTTATTGATGGTCGTTTCAGAACACCAACGTGGTCAAGCTCTTTGCGTTACTGAAGAAAGACGACTTTGAGCAGCAGCTCTGCTACTACCAGGCCGGCGTAGGGACTTGGTTCGAGCCTGGTGTAGTATCCCCGCTCTTCCATTGGGGTGCGAAGATGTTGGATTTGGCGGTTGCATGGTGAGTGAATGGCGCACTTCACGCAATCCCTGAATTGACGTTGGATAGGTACCTCGATAATCATGTAATGGAAGGTTACCGTTTCTTGATGGACAACTACCGCACTGGAGACCGAATATGCATTTTCGGTTTCTCCAGAGGTGCTTACACAGCCCGAGCCCTGGGCGGGTTCTTGTACAAGGCTGGTCTCCTTCCCCGGGGAAATCAAGCTCAGGTTCCGTTCGCCTACAAGTTATACAAACGTGAAGACAAAGAAGGCATCGAATTGTGTGCTGGATTCAAGCAGACCTATTGTCAAGATGTCAAGATCGAGTTTATGGGAGTTTGGGATACTGTATCTAGCGTTGGAGTGTTCATCAAACGCACACTGCCCTTCACCAACTCTAACCGGTCCGTCAAGACCTTCAGACATGCTCTTGCGCTGGACGAAGTGCGTTCACCCTACATTCCCAGATGTACAGCCCTTGCCTAATACCATTTTCAGCGACGTGTCAAGTTCCAACCCAATTACTACCACCGTCCCACCCCCAAGGAGGATGACAGTTTCACAACAGAGCAGGTCGATCACCGAAAGCAAGGATCCTCCGATTCGTCCACCTTGGCTGAAGATGATGTTCCTCATTGTCAATTCTTTGGTCGGATTCCATCCAAGCGCAGTCGAAAGCTGAAGAAAAAGCTCAAGAGGGCCCAAGCTGTGAAGGATCTGTACTCAACAGCTGTCAATCGGGCAATGGTGAACGACGATTCCACGGAGCGACTCGGCCCCGTTGATGATGTCCTGGAAGTTTGGTTTGCAGGTTGCCACAGCGGTGCGTCATCTCCATGTTGTTACCAGAATGCCTGTGCTCACACGCAACTCAGACGTCGGCGGAGGCTCGGTACATAACTCCCAGACCCAGAATCTCGGTAACATCAGCTTGCGCTGGATGGTACGCGAAATCCTTGCTTCAGGATGTGGAATCCTCTTCGATCTTGATGCAATGGCCCGAGCCAACATTCGCGTGCGTTTGGAACCTAGCGCGTCCGAGTTGATCCTGGACGATGCGGACGCGTTGCAGGACATTCACGATGAACTCAAGAGACGCAAGGCGTGGTGGTTATTGGAGATTCTGCCTTTGCATCATACTTGGCAGGACGCAAAGGGTGTTTGGAGGAAGAACTACGGGTAAGCATATTCATATCTCATAATTTTGCTGTACGTCCTTTCTTACCCTGTGTGTAGGATCAATCTTGGCAGAGGGAGGAAGATTCCCGATCCTGAGCCCAAGTTCCATATCACGGTTCAGAAGCGGATGCGATCTCATCTCGACTATCGACCACAGGCTCGTTGGTTCCCCGGTTCTGAGATTTACGTCTTCTAGGCGGTACCTACATGCCCGTTCCGTGCTTTTTGATAGTAGATAGACCCTCTGTCGCTCCCACAGTTCCCTGTACTAGTAGATAGTTTCCCTTTTGTAATAGACATATCGTTATTTCAAAATTATTGGGGATAGGAGGGGAGCTGTTACGAGACTAGAGGTGTGGTCAGATGCTGTGGTACACAGGACTGTAAAATGTCATGGATGATCGATGACCGTTTGGGCGCCTAATGTCTTTCACAGCTTACCCGTTCCTCCTGTGAGGCGAGTTCATGAAAGGAATGCGTTGACCGCGTGCAATCATAGGAATACAAAGCATCGGCTTGCGTACAGCATTTATTTACAGCTTTCTCACAGGGACACACCTCGAAGAAGGATCTTCACTCCCAGCGTTGATTACCCAAGTATAATCCATTCTCGATTTGTGTCTTTTCAGAGACGCACACCGCCTGGAAGGTCATAGAACTGGAATGCTGTGATCCACACACTAGACTTAGGAAAGTGGGGGCGAAAGTGAGTAGGAACATTGTTGCGCAGTGGAGGAGACCACAGGATGATTACTGCCAGCGAATTTCATTTTCGGAGTCGGAGCAAGCGGAGTTGTATTTCAGATTTCGAAAGCCGGGTGATGCTGAATTCGAACCTCACCCTTCTACTATGTATAGGGTTTGAATCCAGGCCATACCCTATCGATGTGACATCCCTCTGTTCCCAAAACACTCACAAGACTCGTTGAAAACATAAGTAAAGAATTTGGATCACCGCCCAGCTTCATTTGGACAGCAACAGGCCACGACGCACGCGCGCTGTTGAACACAGGCGCCAGCGTCTAAATTGCAATCGTGCTCGACCATGGGACCCTCAATTCCATACCGCCTTTCAAGGTGAGCCTCGTGTAGAACAGGTGGTCTGGTGCTGTGGTATCCGGTGTTGCTGCTGGCTATAAGAACAATGTCTTCGAAGGCTGTCTCAGCAGAACTGTTCCCAACATATCTCCTACTATGGATAGCAGCCCATTCAACAACCACGAAGTCACAGTAAGCCCCGGTGGCTTAGTGTGACGAGCGCCTTGGCTGACTTGATTTCTTCTAGACTATGCATGAACCTGCAGGTATGCATCCCATAGCCTTTTTCCGGGGACGCGCATCTGAAGGACACCGCTCAAAGGAATATCTATGCAAGATGACAACATGCTGGAAGGGACTTTGGCTTACGTGAAAGGACTTTTGGAGTCTATTACGACGGGAATGCGACAGGACATCCTAGAAAACGCGATTACCATACTACGGGAGGCCATCCGCGAAGCTGACGGCGACAACGACACCAAGGCGAAGGCAGAGGTTGCCCTGATCAAAGCGCTTATAACCCGTTTCGCGTGCCACGGATGGGTGGACGATCTGGACGAAGCGACGAGGCTTTTGAAAGGCAACGAGGCCATCAAATCCTCCTTCATCGTGAGTGCAAATGTATCGGTCAACAAACACAAGCAATAATGTTGGAACTCGTACAGCGTGAACTGCAGATGATGGGTCCTCAGGGAGATCACTGTCCTGAAATTATCGCATGCTCTCTCAACCTTCTTCATGAATATCGACAGTCAATCGACAAATCCAACCTCGACACCGCCATTGTTGTTGCCAGTGACATCCTTGCTTCATATCATGTCGTGACCAATTATCGAGCCCAGCTGGCGCTTCGTGCTGGAAACGCATTGGTGCTGAGGTACCTGTCCTGTGGCGATGAGGACGACTTGTCGTCGGCTAGGGCGTTATTTCAAGACGCCAAGGAAGCGTCCGGAACAGGGGATCCCATGCTGTTAATTGCCCTTGCGGACCTACGGCACGTTGGGTTTGCCAACTTCTTGGAAAGTGGGATGCTACAAGGGATGAGTGGTCTTCAAGAAATGGCACGGTATGTTGAAGCGGCTCGCGTCGAAGATCAAGAAGGACAAGAGGCGTACGAACTGGGATCCCAGTTGATGCAAGGAGACAAACTCGCGATCGATGAAGCCATCCTGCAATTTCGTCGCTCGCTTTCCCTCCGGCCTCCACAGCACCCAAGGCGACACAACACACTTGCACATTACGCCCTTGCGTTGGGTAACCGTTTCGCCTGCACTGGTCAGATCAAAGATCTGGAGCAAAGTATCAGTCTTCATAAAGAGGCGCTATCCCTCTGCCCTCGAGGCCATCCCGAACGCACCGTTTCGCTCAACAACCTGGCGAATGCCCTCTCCACTCACTTCAGGAACAAAGGCAACTTCCTCGACCTGGACGAGTGCATCGCCCTGCACAGGGAAGCGCTGTCTCTCCGCCCTCTCGGCCATCCCGACCATGCCGGCTCGCTCAACAACCTAGCGAACGCCCTCTCCACTCGCTTCCAGAAGAAAGCCGATTTCCGCGACCTGGACGAGTGCATTAAGTTCCACAGGGAAGCACTGTCTCTCCGTCCTCTCGGCCATCCCGACCGTGGCAACTCGCTCAACAACCTGGCGAGCGCCCTCTACACTCGCTTCAGGAACAAAGGCGACTTCCGGGACCTGGACGAGTGTATTGCCCTCCACAGGGAAGCGCTGTCTCTCTGCCCTCTCGGCCATCCCGACCGTGCCAGTTCGCTCAACAACCTAGCGAGCGCCCTCTCCACTCGCTTCGGCAACAAAGGCGATTTCTGGGACCTGGACGAGTGCATTGCCCTCCACAGGGAAGCGTTATCTCTCGTTCCTCGAGGAAATCCCCACCGCGCCGGCTCGCTCAACAACCTGGCTAACGCCCTCTCCACTCGCTTCGACAACAAAGGCGACTTGCGCGACCTAGAGCAGTGCATTTCCCTCCACAGGGAAGCGCTGGATCTCCGTCCTCATGGCCACCCCGACCGTGCCAGTTCGCTCAACAACCTAGGGAGCGCCCTCTCCACTCGCTTCGGGAACAAGGGCGACTTCCGGGACCTGGACGAGTGCATTGCCCTCCACAGGGAAGCGCTGTCTCTCCGTTCTCTCGGCCATCGCGACCGTGGCAACTCGCTCAACAACCTGGCGGGGGCCCTTTTTAGGTGTTTTCAAAGCGCCGGTAACTTTGAGGCCCTCACGGAGTGTATAGTTCATGGGCGAGAGGTTCTGGCGATGCTTTCCAATTCCCATACCTCTCCTGAAAACCAACATGATCCTAGCCGCAACATGTGGAATCATCCAGATGGCTTGAAGGCTGTCAATAACCTCGTTCAGCCTCTCAAAGCGAAGCACAAGATTTGCCGCGACGACGATACTCTGAATGAGATTTTTGAACTCCTCAAGTCTGGGGTCCAATGGTACGGGGCATCGCCCCTGGTCAGATTACACCATTCCAAGCTTTGGGCATCCACTTGCCGTGAATTCCATCGCCCCCGCACCGCACTGGACGCTTATCGTCATGGCATATCTTCACTTCCCGTCCTAGCCTCCCTCGACCTCACGCTCGAACAACGCCAGAATGTTCTCGTCTACGCCAAGGATTTATCAAAGGATGCGGTTCAGTGTGCGATCGAGCAAAATGAACTCGATACAGCGCTTGTATTTCTCTCCACCGCTCGGTCTGTATTTTGGTCCCAAGCCCTCCAATTCCGTGGATCCCTCGACCGCCTCGATGCACTCCATCCCGACCTTGCATCGGATTTCCGATTAGTTACTCGCCAGCTGCAGATCGCGACCGAACAGCAACCCCAACCGGAGTCCACACTGTCTGGAAGTACCCAGCCACTCCGCCCTTACCTTCTTTCCCAACAAAGGGAAGAAATCATCGCAAAGACCCGAGCCATGGAAGGCTTTCACGATTTCCTGCTTCCCCCTTCGGTCGACGACCTCAAGACTGCAGCGCGCAAGGGACCTATCGTCTTCCTGAATGCCAGTAACTTCGGTTGCCACGCTCTCATTCTCAAGGAGGATGGAACCCTTCACCGCCTTGCTTTGTTCGTAGACATGGAGTTATTGCAGCGTTGGGTGGCCACGATTCGCCGGTTGGCGGGAGGATTCGGTCGAAGTGATTCTGAAGACCGTTTTGAAGAAATGGACCGTGCCTTCAAGCCAGTCCGCGCCGGAAAGGGTCGAACGATCGATGATGAATTTCGGGATATCCTGAAAGAGCTTTGGTTGAAAGTGGGCCAGCCAGTCATTTCCGCACTCGGATTCGAGAAGGTGAGGGTATCAAACGGTCATACATACAGTCAATCGATTGCTAACCGGCGACTAGACCAACGACCCGCGTAGAATGTGGTGGTGTCCCGCCGGTCTTTTCACGTTCCTTCCAATCCATGCTGCCGGCAATTACCCTTCCCCTCCTTCCTCAGAATCCGACTGCTTATCCGACTATGTCGTCTCGTCTTATTGCTCCGCTCCACAGGACCTCATCGCACCCCCGCCCGAGCTTAACCCCGAGTTCAAGATGCTTGTCGTAATCGAACCGGATGGACATGTATCGGGGGAATCCAGCCTTCCAGCGACCAGAAAGGAGCTCGAAAAGATCGAGTCGCGCATCCCCGACAAGGGTCGTTTGATTACCCGCATTGGTTCAAAGACAAATTCTGAAAAACCCGTTGTGGAAGACGTCAACTCTGCATCCATCGTCCACTTTGGCTGTCACGGAAAGCAGAATTTATCAAACCCATTAGACAGCTGCCTGCTACTCAGCGAAGGGCGTTTGACGATGTCATCACTCATTCGGGACTGTCAGGCCTCGACCGCTGCCCTTGCCTACCTGAGTGCCTGCGAGACTGCTATGGGAGATGAAGAACGTCCAGACGAGTCCCTCACTCTGGCTGCCACAATGCAGTTTGCGGGTTTCCGTAGTGTAGTTGCGACCATGTGGTGAGTATGGCCTTGTTTGCGTGCAGTGTTACCTTGACTAAACTGTGTTCGTTGGAATCCAGGGTAATCCACGACGACGACGGCCCCATCGTAGCCGACGCGTTCTATCGTCATCTCTTCCGGCACGGTACTGCGGCCCCGCCAGACGTCACCGACGCAGCATATGGACTGCACCTTGCTGTGAAGGAACTGCGGGAGCAGGGAACATCTTTCCATCGCTGGGTCCCTTTTGTTCATCACGGCATTTGAGTATCTTATCCCTTTCTTTACAATGTTTTGGCGTTTCTACTTCATGTACAAGTGTGACCGCTATCGTGATCCCTAGCCTATATATTATGTCCTATGAACTTTCCAGCATACTACACTGCATGTAATCTAACTATGGGATTTTGAATCATGACTCTTATCTTTCAAATCGCCGACGCCGTGTTTGGGAGAGCAGTGGGTTTATCATTGAGGAGGGTCCATTTTGCACAGTCTTCGTCGAATGCCGGGATCGAACTGGAGGCCTCGAGGGTGAGGAGATCAAGGGCAATGACGTCGGTGATTAACAAAGGACAACAAAGTGAGGGATTGGGCAAGTTATGGGATCTGTCTGACCTTTGACCCAATAAAATGGGCAATTCAGCGTCAACTCCTGCAAATGGCCGACAGCTCCAACGGCGTACACAGTCTCCGTCCCCGTCACCAGGCGCACCTCATCGTTCTCTGCGCACAAAGAAGAGATCGCTAGAACTCCCCGACCTGGCGTCCCTCGCACTTACATCCACTTCCAGCCAGCCCCAGAAACAGCCAAAGACTCCAAGCATACCAATCCCTGGCCAGAAACCCAACGCAGAGCAGCCAGAACGTGGCAGACCAAAGTTCTCGTCGACAGATCTACTTGACCAGCGGGCGACGACTTCAAATCAGCCATTTCCGCCTCGTGGCACGCCCTATTATCGACAGCAGCACCAACAGCAGATCCAGCAGCGTCGCATTCAAGAACTCTACAACCAATCTCATGCACCAGCGTCTCCCCCACCTCCCCCAGAGCCCAGGCAACCACAAAGGGCTTCGGCTCCCCCGATTGTGGCCCGGGAAGTCGTCCGCTCGTCCATCCCCGTCGCTCTGGATCCAGCCGCTCGCCAGGCTCCCAACTTGGGCCCATTTGCAAGACAACAGCCTGTTCCCACCAAGATTGTCTGGCGGGGTGGAGGTTACAACGTCGTGTTGGCTCGTGCTGGAGACGACGATTGGAAAGGCAGACGAGTCATGGAACGCGAGTCGCCTGGGTCCCCTGTTTTCGTGACCACGGTCGATCTGCTTCCAGGAACACACCACATCCGTTTCCTCGTCGACGACCAGTGGCGCGTTGCAGACGATCTTCCCACCGCCGTCGACGATCAAGGCTCCCTCGCCAACTACGTGGCCGTCCCCTTCCCCCCTGCAGGGAAACCCAAGGACCCTTCGTTCTTCGTCGAGTCGGCACCTGCTACACCCCCACCCCCACAGCCAAAGACGATCAAGGATGTTCCCAATCCTGTCCAGCAGGAGCAATGGACCAACGTTCTCCCACCAGAGCTACTCGAGGCTTTCAAAGAGGAGGAGATGTACTTGGCGGCCAATCAAGGCCAAGTCGACCCTCATAACCACCATCAACGCGTTAGTGGATTCGTACCCGCACCCAACATCCCACCTGCCCCCACTCTCCCTCGCCATCTTGATAAACTCATCCTGAACATGCGTGTCAGTCCTGGTCCTGCAGCCAACGCCATCGGGAACACTGCTGGTCCTGTCGGAAATGCTGCAAGTGTGATACAGAGTGGTCTGAATGGTGGTGTCGGAAGTGGACAAGGTGGCAGTGGACGATCGTCGAGGAGGGATCGGAGTGACCGGGAAAGAAGAGAGGAACGAAGGAGGGGAAGGGAGAGAGGTTACTCGGATGTCTCTGGATCCCGCCGCGGTATGCAGCCCCCACCACCCCCACCTCCAACCGAAGTCGGCGAGATTGGCCCTTCGTCTGCCGATGGCATCCTCGCAGATTCAATTCCTACAACTATCAACGAGGTTCCCCCCGTCGAAGGAGAACAGTTGCACGAGACCACCGGTGAAGCGCCTACTTCAATCCAAAGCACCGCAACGACCACACCTACAACATCCACGACCCCCATCCCCTCGCCCTCCATCCCTACATCTGGTGGTACTGTATCCTCGCGATCCATCACGATCGACACGAACAACATGCCCTCTCTCACCGACGACGCTTCAGTTCTTCCTGTCCCCAGCCACGTCGTTCTCCACCATCTCTGCACCAGCGCAATCCGGAATGGGGTGTTGGCTGTGGCGAGTACGACTCGGTATAGGAAGAAGTACCTGACGACGATCTATTACAAGCCCACTGCTTGAACGTCGACTGCCCTATTAGATGACACCCGACTACTCGTGGACCGATTTAATCTGACATCCGGTACCGTTTTGCGATCCCCCTCTGGAACACAGTGGACTGTATCCACTTCTATTTTTTTTTCTCTCATTTTTCTGCCCGTGGAAGGCTTGCGTTTACGTGCCTTCCCTTTCCCGTTTCTTCGTTCTGTTGTTCCAGTCTAGTAATCAAGACGTTTCACCATCCTCTATCAAGCACCGGATATACCTTTTTAAACACCAAACTTTCTCTTCTTTTTGTTGTACGATATATAAACCAACCAACCTCAAATATGTACAATTCGAAACGTGAATCAAACAAATGTACCCTTTCGGCGTCCCATAGACGCTGCCCTTTCTTTACTGTTGCTGTCCGAGTTTGAATCCAATTTCACCAACTTGCCAGTGAGCGTCACGACAATCCATTCCATTTACATAGCCCGGTCGATCCTAGTTCTAAAATACAATTATTATTTCAATTTCGACGAGGTATAAATAGCCGTCACTACAAACTATTTGGAGGAAAAGATTTGGAAAGAAAAAAGGTGCCAGGAATTATCATAAGCGAGGTGGGAGAGGGGGGACCGACCCTTTGAAACGGCGGGCAGCGCGCGACCACCTCAATCGCGACACAGCACTGTCGGCGTGACACCCCGATCCGAGAACAGGTGAAGTAACGAGGTACGGAAAGGATTGGTGAAAGGGCGCGTCAAGAATACCAAGAAAAGGAACGGGAATGCGTGCAAGGTTAAAGAAGTAGTAGGCAATGAGTGACAGGGGAGGAATTTATAACACTGGTATCGCAGCAGTACTTGGGATATCGCAGGGAGACAGAGACAGGGAAGAACAACAATTAGAGAAACAAAAAAGGGATTCATTTGGCTCGGCCAGACAACAATCATCGTTATCATATCATCTAATTGTTGGTCAAGTGTGAGCAGAGTTGTGCTTTTACAAGCGTCTCGCATGGAGTTGAAATGTTGGGCGCGTGTTTGGTCGGGCAAGGCAACTGTGACGTCGGGGCTGATGATGGTGACATTTCAAAATGTGTTTGCCCAAGCTTCGACATCCACACTCGACATCCTCGCGTTCTCTATCCATTCGTGTTTCTGTAATCGCTCGTAAGCACAGACCCTGTCAAAAGCAAAACAAGTCAAACGCACCAAAAGATCCTTCGGTGTCTGCCTAGCATCCGGATCCTTCAACAAGCACGCATCAATAAATGACTCTGCAGCCTTTGGATACCTCCCCTCGGGCGTAAGCCTCGGCGCAGGCTCATTCACAATATGCTGCAAGAGTTCCAAAATACTCATCGTCATCCCCCCACCCTGCAAACTCACACCTTTACTCTTCCTCTTATCCTTCTTCGTCGTGCTCCCATTCCCGTTCGCGTTTTTCTGCCGCCGGGGTTTAGGAGGTGGCAGGTCGGCGAGCGAGACGGACCCAGCGGGTTGTGGTGAGAGTGTTCCTTCATAGTCGGACGCGTCACTGAATTCGTCGTCGGATTCGTCAGAGTCGGATTGGGAGAAGGGGAAGCGTCCGAGGGCGAGTTCGATCAGGGAGATACCGAGTGACCAGACGTCGGATTTGACGGTGTACTGCGCTCCCTGTATTCGCTCCGGCTGTCAAACGTGGACGGGTGTTGACAAGCATTGGTATAGTGGCGGTTTCGATTGAGTTAAAGGGGAATTGATTGAGCGGGTGTATACGTTAAATCGATGGATAGATGTGCGGTGGTGGAGTTAGCAATGGGAAGATGCGGCCGGAAGGAGGATCGTTGAGGCGGGGAGAGCGATGGTTACAACGGATTCCGAGTTTGACGATCAGCAACCAGAGAGGCGGGAACAAAGGCTAGTTCACACTCACGCTCATGTATGTTGATGTACCGACAAAGGTATCGGCAATGGAGTTGATCAGTTCACCAGATACGCCAAAATCGCATATCTTAATTTGTCCTCTGGAATTGCATAGGATGTTCGATGGTTTGATATCTGGAAATGACAAGAGGAGGAACAGGGTTAGTCTCAGTCTGATTCAGAGGCAATGATGATGGAAGGAGGGGGAAGGGTGGTTTCGTTATGACAACGGAAGAACGGCGATGGTTGCTTTCCATCGCAGAGGGGATATCGTTGCTGTGCCAAAAAACAACGCATCTCGTTTTTTGGCATCTGATGTTATAAATAGAAGTTGTACGAAATCGAGAATCCCGTTGTCGAGGAACGTGGAATACACGGTGCACAAGGAACTTTACTCACCGCGGTGGATAATTCGGTGAACGTCGTAGAGGTATGTGAGACCTTCTAGCACGGCAAGCGCGATCTTGCCAACAATGTCGATGTCGATGGCTCCAATCTTTTTGTAGATGCCGTCTAGCGAGCCTTTGTCCATGAACTCCATACAGATGCAGATGTTGTTATCTGCCAGGAAGGCTCCGTAGAACGAGATGATGTAGTCTGATCGACAGTCGTGCATGATGTGAAGTTCTCGGAGAATTTGCTTTCTCACAGAAGGCTTTGCGTCGATAAGGACAGTCTACAGGGTGAATGCACAGGGTCAGTTGGCATGTCCGACATCGCGGGTCGTCTGCAGGGTCCACTGGGGCCTCGACGACCACCGAGAGTAAAACTGACCTTCTTCGCCATAATCATCTTTGTCGGGGTATGCTCAACCTTCTTCACGCTACCTCCATTGCCCTGCCCCAGATCGTGGATATCTACAAGATCTTCGTTTCGCAATTCCAACTTGGTCTCCTTGTTCATGTCGAGATTCGCCAACGTTGTCGAGAGGGTGGCGTGGAGGGTGTTTCTCCGCACATTGATGTTGGTCCCTGTGAGCGGTGCAGAATTGGGACCGTTGCTGACGACGAGGAAGTTGCCCGAGCCTGAGTCTTCCGGTGGGTCGACTGAGGCGACGACGTTGCCGACCGAGTTGATTTTCGGCGCTGCCAGCGTCATTGGAGGCGGTTTCTTCTTCAACCTTGGGCCCACTGCGGTCGGGGCAGTCCTTATGGAAATTGGATCAGGCTCGGTCGAAGAGGGAGATGCTGGCTGTGGATCGCCGACATTGAGCTGCAGAGCCTTGAAGTTTCTTTTCTTGCGAATTGGGGTCGCCATCGTCCCAGGATTCAATAATTTTGTGTTCTGTTGTCCAGTAGAGTGTTGTAGCTGGGTGATACTGTGGTTCGAAGGCCGGACAATGGGAGTTGTGGGGATCGTTGGGATGGTTAAGTACAAGCCAGAAACAAGTCCTGATGGATTGGGTAATTATCATATTCCCTTCTTGGCAATCCAGATACACGTGCTTTGATCCCTTGGCACCCCTGTAAATGCATCGAATGAGGTATCGCAAAGAGTGAGTAGTAGGGATCTCGTACATACTGACATCTGAAGTGATAACGATTTTTGAACCATCTACCAATAGGATTCGACGGCAACCACAAGGCTGTGGTAAAGGGGTTCCACCATCTTCTGACCTCGGATCGATGCCTGCGAGCGCCAATTCTGAGCGCGAACTTCAATGTTACAGCAAAGGATCATTGGTGCAGCTACTGATTGCCCACCGCACGGTGTAGAAAATGAGCTTCTGTACACTCTGACCTGGGGCCCTATCATTCAGCTTTACGGTAGACAATATAGTATCCCTGGATCAGTTCAAAGTTGACCAATGGCCCCAGTCAGTCAGGAACCCTGTAATCAGCGTGATTGAAACCTCTCTACATGAATCAGTTCTCGTATCGCGAGATGAACTCACGCTAGTCGCATCTAATGTTGACCGCTCGCCAGTGTTCTGACCAACCTTCCCGTTGTCTACATTACGGCCTCCGAACTGGTTGATCATTCCAGAATTTAGGGCCATCCGAATTACTTCAATTTAGTTGAGCCTGGTATCTCGTCAAAGATCAACAGAGTGAAGTGTGATCTATATCTACAGAATTTCCCCGGTCGTTGGGCATTCTGTAAGTACCAAGCAGCTATCCTAACGAATATCCGACTCGGGACGTAAGCCAAGCGGTATTGGATGTCCTTCTTCCTGGATACCCCGTACAGGAATTGGCAAAGCACTAGAATCAATAACAGGACACCGAGTCGTCTAACATTGCATTAGCTCTTCACCTCATGGGTATAGGTCCTGTCCCCCGATCCAATCCTCGCTCATCTGTGAGAATAGGTACGTAAGATGTCCCCAACAATCCAGCTTGCCAGTGACCGAGGTTTCAGTGATGGATCTGACACCGGTCAAGTAAAACATAGGACTCCGCGTTAGGTTAAGCTACTGGTAAATATATCTCCCTCCTGACTCCTAAAGTGATACCACATGCAGTACAGTACGGCAAGTACCTCGATGAAGAAGGGAGACGCACGCTACGACCACAGCCCCAAGCTCCTACACCCATCGCTTCTGCTCGCACTCGCAAGCTGTCTGGCAGTTTCGCGCCCGATCCTTGATATTCGTATCAAACGTACAAGGGCGCTCAGGTGGGAGTCGCCCGCTCGGTCTGCAATGCTTCGAGCACTGGATACTGTTGCATTTGGGGCCCACGGCCCTGCATTGTACGGGGCTGTCGGTCATGAGCCCGGTTGGAAAGTCAATCTTCTGGGCCACTTCTTCGGGGTTGGGCTCGGGGGAAGATTCCTTGCCGCCATTGGCCGCTGGTCCACCACGGTTCGTTTGACCCCTTTTGAAAAGTGCGTCCGAGTAGTCGCTGAGATCCAAGTCGCGGGTTTCGAATAGGTTGCTGTATTCCAGACCCCGAACGTCGTATAGCTCTGCCTCCCTTGCTTCCAGGAGTTCCTCGTACTCGGCTAATAGTGTGCGTAGCGCGAGGATATAATCTCCCTCGGTGTAGGCCTGGGATAACACCTTGGATGCGAGGGTGAGGCTGAGAAGGAGGGTATAGAAGAACTTCATGGCTGATACTGGTGATGGATGGCAGAGGGGTACGGACAAGGAAGTAGGTCTTGTTGACGCGACTTGCAGCGAAGAACCGACCTTTGCCTTCCTTATATACGAGAAAAATGTCTTTCTGCTTGTAGGTGTCGAGGACGACATCTCAACAACGGTTTTCCATCAAACCACGTCGCCTACCGCTACCCACCGAGTAGAAATCCGAGAAGCCCAATGATATATATTAAAAACGCATTCAAAACTTGTCCACTGACATGCTCTTCTTGCCGGCACATCCATGATCAATTAAGCGCCCGCAAGCCCGCTGCTGCGTCCAATACCAGGTCGAAGAGTGGGCTCTACAGACCCTCAGAGAGCGTTGGGATATTACTAGTCCTGCTGTTTGAATATGTTACGAATCTTACGATGCCTATGTGGGCTATTGCAACAGTTGAGCAAGCCGTGTCTGTGCGGGCATCAAATAAGCGCCCACGATAGCGATCCCATCATGGTGGCAAACCTCGTCGTAGTTATGTCCGAAGCTGTATATGACAAGAAATACAAACAGTGTGCACCACGTATGTACGAGACACGCAAAAAGACCAACGACTGGCTAAACAATAGTTCCACACACCAACACCATTCATACCATTCCCAACTAGTCTACCTGTTTAAATTTGGTGGAAACCTTGCAATAGCAATTGTCGAAACATTTCCCCCCTTCTGTACCCTTGTACTCCTTCTTCGTGATCCACTCTTTCCACCGACATGGTTGGTTACTAGTCCCCTTCGGAGGGCCGGTTGTCGAGCCAGGTCTCTGGATGCAGAAGTCGCTACAGAACTCAACGTTGCACTGAGAGGTGAATTTCATAACCCAACAGGGGAAACCTCCCTTCTGTATCTGGGAGGGCGGGGCATTGGCCCCGTGTCTGAAGGCTTCACGGGTGTCGAAGAGGTCGCCGTATACCACTCCTCGCGCTTCGGAGACGCCCACAAAGTCCAGCTCGCGCGCTTTGTGAACTTGAAGAGAGTCGCGAAGTTCTGCCTCCCTTGCTTCGAGAAGGTGGTCATATTCGGCGAGGAGAGAGCGGAGAGCGAGGGTGTAGTCGTCTTCAGTATAGCGTAGTGCTAGGATTCGTGAAGCGAAGAGGATTAAGATAGTGGTAGTGAAGGCCTTCATGGTTGATCTCCCTGTAGTCCAACCCGTGAGCACTGGAAGACTGGGAAGACTGGGTATAAAGGAAGTCCGCACCAATTTGTGATTTTGTTCGGGGGAAGTGAAAATCGATAAAATCTAACCTTTTTATAAATTGTAGCTGCACTCATCTGCATGTTGATTGTTCCCGACGTTACAAACGACTCTTCCAATACAAAGCGATTCATTCCAATCACTCGTCGACACACAGTATACACGGGACTGGCAGCGTGCTATTCAATCCCGGCGCCTATGCCAAACACCCAGCATCGAAGCAGATGACACAACTGACGCTATGGTTCCGCTCTTTGGAGCCCCTTCACGTTGTCCTACTAGTAGTCAGACTCATAGACAATGTCGTCCGGGTTACTGAGTTATAGAAGGTCCCGCCACCCACCGTCAACCCGTTCGGTCACAAGCGCCCACAGACGATCAATACAGCCGTCGCGAGCAAACAGCGTGGCCCACCACCACCTCATTCGCCGAAATATCCAATTCATTGTCGTATTACGGTCATGACGGCAACGCGCCCATCTTGTGCTATGCCATGGTTGACGTCTGTAGGTGCAAGAGATGTGATCAAAATCAACGAGTTGAGAATGTGAGGAAGGGTTAGCTGACCTTTATTGCCCTTCTCGAGTAGATCGGTCCTCCACTCGACTTGGGCTTTCCACCAGCGGCCGTTCCAGTTTGTTCCTTTGAGAGCACGTTTGACGAACCAGTCGCGCCCTAGGTTGTACCCGTTTGGAACGATCATGTGGTTCCTGCTGGAGTCCTGGTGTTGGAATTCGGATTAGCGCCCGTCAATCAGGTCACTGCCAATAGTTACAAACATATTCCTTCGACGCCCTAAACCATCAGCCCCCAAATCCAAAGGTCTGAAACTACCCTTGTCATTTCAGTGGAGACTGGCGACTCACCCAACGAACCAAGCCCCGCTATCAGCTAAACTGCCGTTCTGCTTCCATGCACGGAAATGCTGGCCGCCTGCTAGGCTTTCCCAGCACGTACCCCAGACCGGGAAGTAGTGCTGTCGGGCGAGGACAAGCTCAGGTTTTTGGCCGTCACCGTCGCCTAGATTGGCTTCATGTTTGTGGCCGTAGTGCAGTCCTAGGCATTCGTGCGAGTAGCCTATTGATCTACCCATACGGATAGGGGTAAGGGTAAGAAACGAGAAAGGGGAAGAGCATACTTTGCATAACCAACGAATCCACTGTCAGTCAGGATGTATGGGTCGGAATTGCTGGATATGATTATGTTGAGAGGTTCGCCTTGGGTTCCGGCTGTGAACTGGGCCAGGATGAATTGGCCAAACAGATACCAGGAGAGGAGAGAACGCACGTCGAGAAGCCTGCCTCCGTTCACTCTTGGATCGTACCATCCAGCCTTCTCCACCGAGGTGGAGTGCAGTATTGTTTGATCATTCAATGGGATTGCTGAGGCTAAAGACAAGAGGATCCATGTTGTCCAAATTGCGTTCATGTCCGTCAGTGCAGGGTATAGTCGATGGTTTGGGACCGGGAAGTTGATTGGGGGCCTCTAGGGTACGGTCCTATTGGAGGGTTAATGGTGCCCAGGAGAAGAGCAAGACGATGTGCATGGATGTGGTACGGTCGAGAGCGATAGACTCAGGCTGGGATTGCCTTGCGGGAGAAGGCCGGGCCGCACGTGGTATGACGTTCGAAAAGTCAACTCCAGACAACCGTTTGACTGGTAGAGGTAGAGCTTGTTCGTCTTCAAATAGGTCGAATACAATTGAATAAATGAATACTTTACACAAGGTTAAAGGTAGATTGTAGACCAGATTGGCCCGGACATCGTTCCCCGCTCACGGGGATCCAGATTCCATACAGTTCGCGTGCCGAAGCTTGGATGGGTTACCGGGATTTCATGGAGAGATTCTGGTGGGAGTTGGCAACGAAGATCGACCAGAGGGAACGGCATGAAAACGCGGAGGTTGCCATAACGCGGTGGCAGAAATGATGGGATTCCCACGTGTGAGTGACGCCAAATCAAGCATCAATGGATTGGGACAAGACCCTCATACTGGTCTTTTCTTTTCGTCCTCGCCATGGAGCCCTCGACGCCCCCACCGTCTGCACCACCAATGCCAACGCTCAGCGCTGTCCCAAAACACGCTCGCTCGCTGTCGCGGGACGACGGCTCCGACGCCGATACCGCTTCTCAAAAGTCTATATCCCTATCTTCACCAGGGGCTTCCCCGAGGCACTCGATGGCCAGCAGCGACCCTGATCCAAGACAGTCTTTCGCCACAACAAGCTCAGGATCGTACCCGTATTCAGAAAGAGACTCAGATGCGTACGGGGGAATGGAAGCAACAGACGTCAGCCCGTTCACCCAGCCTTCTGAGCCGGTATCGACTGCACCGAGCTTCACGGGGGTCCCTGTCGCCCTGGGCTCTCCAAAGGACTTGAAAGAGACTCCTTTGCCGACATATCCTCCACCACAGAACAGGGACGACACTGCGTCCATCGCCTCGACGTCGTCAAGGAAGGCTCGGCCAGAATCCCTCCTAATGACAATCCCAAATGGCCAACTCATTCTCGGCGTGGCCTTGGTCGACTTCAATCATCTGGTAAGGGAGGAAGGGATATCCTGACATTGCCTTGCACTAAACTCGTTCACCAGGTCGGACCTCGTGTCGAATTTTCCCGTGGAGAAATATTTGAAGACGAAGAGGTCTCCAAGATACTCCCCTTCCTCGCTTTGCCAGATGGCGCACACATGGTACATTCACCTCCCCACACAATACCACCCTTATAACCCGACAACCACACAGAGCGCAGAAGACTACTCTTACTTCCACCTCGTCAAACCCGGACCAAACCCAACCACAATATTCGGAATCTCGTGAGTTCCAGAAATCGCGGAACCATGATGAAACTCCTAACATTCTCCTAGATGCAATCAACAAATTGCTGCATCCCTGTTATTGAACAAACCGGATGATGTGACCCGCTCGACTGTGCAAAAGGCGGTGGTGGTGCTGGCATCAAAACCCGTCTTTGGGCCAATTCGGTACGCTCACTTCCCCATTGAGGTTGGAAATGACTTGACTGATTGCTACTTGGACAGTGAAAAGTTACGAGTGGTGACAACGGCGTTATTTGCACAACGGTACATTCATTCATTGTCATTCTTCCATCGACGATCGTCTCTGACCCTCTCCGACTCCAGGGACTTCAGCGACTACAGCATCTTGGATGACTTTGCGTCAACATTAGAGCTGTCATTGCATGGGCAGCTGACGGAGAGTGGACTTTACATGGGTATGCTTGTTTCATAACAATTTCGCCAGATGGCTAACTGCCCACTTGTAGGAACCAGCCTGTCAGTTAGATCGTCCATTATCCGGAGCCAAGCTTACATTCGTTCATTCTAGGCGTGAACTCGTTCATACCTTCAGACAGAAGACCTTGGTGTTACTCAAGGCGCTAATCCTCCAAAAACGGGTATGTCCGATCTTATACCCCTGCTTATGTCCAAGGGCCTAATCACCGGGTAGATCATGTTCTACGGATACCCTGTGGAGAAGCTCTGCACCTTCCAATATTCCCTAGTATCACTCCTTCCAGGTTCGTCGACAGCATACAGCCTTTTAGTGTATTGATGATCATCCCCGTCCCTTTTTTGATAGGTCTCCTACAGAACCTTGACGACTGCGGATCACCACCTCTCGCCAACCGCGCACAAACTCTGTCAAAACCCAATTCACTAAAGACTTCGGATCGGAAGAGTATGATGGCGTTTATGGGACTTCCGTTGGACCTATTTGGCCAGGTATGAAATACCTTTTGTCTTTGGTCGTGATATAGGAATGACCAACTCGTTTGGGGTATCTAGGATGCACTTTTCCAGCCCTACCTCCCATTGCAGCAGCTCGACATGCTGAAGGATACGCCTAGCTGGCTCTGTGGATGCACCAACTCGATTGTGACACAGCAGAAAGAAATTGATTTGTTAGTTCACGTGGGTCATCATTGTCATCATCGCCCCCTTTATTACACTGGTTGCTAAAACTGTTTCCAGACGGAAACAGGCGTGTTCGAATTCCGCGATCCTCAGTTGGAACGTTCGGCGGGTCTGACTCCAGCTGATCGTAAATGGATGGACGATATCATTCGGGATGTTAATGAAGGTTGGGATCAGGATGATCCCACTAAACCCCATGGGATGAAGTACGTCCGCTCGCAGTTTGTTCTCGGGAGGTATGGTTGTTGACAAAACAGATCTCTCAGGTTTGTTGGTAGTGATGATTATTTGCGGTCCAAGGTACGTTCGCTATGGTTGATTGCTATGATGTGGAACTGACATTGTTGTTGCTGTGTGATAGTTCGAGGAGTATATCCACGCTGCGCTGTCGACTGTCAAGTACAAGCAGTTTATGGCCAAAGGTGATGGATCAGGTGTTATCATTACTGGTGGGGCAGGTTCGTATGTTCGATTGGATCTCTAGATATCAGCGTGGTAACCTTGGCCTGCAGCAAACGACGCGAATGCGGTGGACGACTTCAATCCTTTGTGGATAGCCGAGTTCAAGAAGACGCGGGCGTATGAAGTTTGGGAACGTGTGACTGATCCTCTCTTGTTCGATATTGTGGAACCTCGGTTTGTCTTTCCATCTTCTTCCTTTGAACCGACATTGACCTTCACTGCACAGTCATCCTTGCAACGAGAAACCATCCGTCGTAGCAGACCTCGGTCTCCGATTCCAAGAAGGCATCCAAGACCTCAAGCTTGAACAATCACTCGCGCCCGCTCGAGAAGCCGTCGCACGTACCTTCGCCACAGGATCAACCAACCTCCTCAAGGCAGTCGAAGGCGTACGTGGACGCTGGGCTGCCCAACGGTCCCCTAGCTCCAGTTCGAGCGTACCAGCAGCCTCTAGCACCGGTACCTCGCTCAACGGTTCCAGGGCCAGCACACCCCCAGTCGAAGTCTCCAAATCTGATGTCGAAGGAGAGGAAGCTCCCAAAACGGCCACCCAAACCAGCTTTCTCCGTCCTTTCTCGTTTACGACCAAGTCATTCTCGGCTCTGACCTCGCCTAATCCTGATAAAGCGGCTGCGGGAGCCCCGTCGGCTGGCGCGAACTCTTCTGGCTCTGTTTCAGCGTCGCCTGCTTCGTCGCCTGGTCCCGCGTCAGGAGGGGATAGACCACCGAGTGGAGCGACGAGCCCGTTGGCCGGGTGGGGCGCGAATTTCAATTCGATAGGATCATTCTTGTCCGAGAAGGCTTCGAGGGTTTCGTTGGGGAGAGGATCGGTTTCGCAGCAGGGTCAGGCTTCACCTCCGCCCCAACCGCAGGGAGGGGACAGGAATTCGACGGGGAGTGTTAATGGCGTTGTTGATGCTACGGCGACGAAACCGGCACCTTCGAGGGCGTTCTCGACGTGGAGCAGTTTGAGCGCGTTGGTTTCGCCGCCGCCTGTTTCGAACGATGTGGCGCCCAAGTTGGATGCATCACCTCTTCCCCCGCCTCCTGCTCCTGTGCAGAGCCAAAGTGCTACAAGTGAAGCCAAAGAGGGGAAGGAGCTCAAGGTCGAAGAGACTACGGCCAAAGCGGAGGAGGTGAAAGTTCCGACGAAGGCTGAGCCTGAAGTCCAACCAGTGAAAGCTGAAACTTCAGATGCGTCCAAAACAGCATCAGGTCCGAAGGAACCTTCCGCTGACGAGAAGGCGTCCGTGGAGGATTTCAAGTTTGACGCGATATAATCGTAATGAGGAGGGGAGACGGACAAGGTAATGAATAGCATGACCTGACTGATTAGACTATCTAACGTACAAATACCAATGTAATTTATGCAAAGCTTGGAGATTTAACTGTAGTAATTATGGAGATGTTAGTTGGTAGGAAGCGGACCATAGGAATGAGGGGGATTCGTGAGAGGTGAGGTCGAGCGTGTGTTGTTGGTCTTTGGAATCGGAAGGCGGTGATGGAGCTACGATTATGTCGCAGAGAACAGGTCCAATTTCGACTTTGACACTCTCTGACGTTTCGTCAGAGACAGCTAAGAACGAGGCTGTGAAGAGTGGGTTGGACGGGGGTGAAGATGAGAGAGTGGAGGTGATGCGGTATCCTCCTATGCGGGGGTATTGCAAGACTCGCTTTGAGGCCGAGAGACTCTGGGGAGTGAGATATTCTAGCTTCTTCAGATCCTCGTAGTTGCCTAGGTAATCTGCTACGTGTAGCCAAACCTCAACTGGGAGCTTCGACACAGTAGAAGATACCAATGGTTTGGTGTTGCGGGGACCTTGTACAGAGTGGGGAGGTGCGGTACGATTCAGCCAGAACCCCAAGCGGGAGAGGGTTTCTATACCTGGCGTGATGGTCGTTTGCGCGTAGAATGAGGGGAGGAATGGGAGAGCAGGCGTGTAAATGTAGGTGAAGTTCCCTGTGATGTCGTCCTGCGAGATTTGGATGATGACGCAGTGGAATAGGGAAAAGAGGATGACGTAGAATGGCGTTGACATGCGCTGCCCCATCTTTTCTGTATGAGATGATACTTGGTTGACCATGTTGATGATACACGCTTCCCTCCATGCCTCGGCATCGAGGTGGGTAGCCAATTTGAGAAAGACATCCTGACGAAGCCAGTAACCCTCTTGTTCCCATCCCATCGGCAACGTCGCCCTCTTTGGCACACCATCCATCGACGAACCGGACGTAACTTGATTGAAAGTAGAAATGCAGAGGTTGACGAGATCGAAAGCCAGACTCGACAGTACAGGTGTGATTTGTGTTGCGTCAGAAGCTAGATCGAGTCGTCGTAGGAGGCGACCAATGTCGTGGTCGTACATCGCACATCCGACTAGCGTGGAGAAGAGTGAGAGTGTGAGGTCTTCTGCTTTCTGCAGCGTTCGAGGGATGTTGAGGATGTCAGCGATGTCGGCTTGACCGTGGCTTTGGATTCGAGCGTTCGTAGGAGAGGATGTTGAACGGTGGTTGGAGCCGGGTGGTGACGCCCAGTTGTATCGGTATTGAAGTGGCGTGTGGGGGTGGAGGGCGCGGTGTCCGAAGTTGTCAGTTGATATGGCAGCTAGGAAGGTTTGAGGAGGGGGTAGACTACGAAGGTTGAAGAAAGGCTGTGAGTCGACTAGAGGAATGTTCAATGGGCTGATACAATATAAAAGTGATTGAGACGGGGCTTACTCAGGAAGACTTCGTGATCCAAGTCCAACTCAAAGATCCAATCGACATCCAGAGAGTTGTGTGGTTCGTCGGTTGTCACGAATGAAGGCAATGACGCGAGTTCCTCGGAAGATGGAACTTGGGAGTCGGAGACTGCTGCAGCCAATGTCGCTCTGGTTGCTTCAAGCCAGGATGCGTAGTCCTCGGGATGTCTGGGAACCTCTGCGAGTATTTCTAGACCCAATCCTGCACATTCAAGTCAGAGCTGCCTTGGTCGGTTTGCATTAAGGGACGGACTAACCCCATGGATGGACGCGCTCGTTGCACACCTGGACATGGTACGTGTTGTTATACCTGTACACTCTTATGTCATATTGAAGTCAGTCTGTTTGAGCTGGGTACAAGGGAGACCTACTTGTATCCCTTGGTCATACTGCTGCTGCTCAAGGTTTCGCAAAAGCTGACACGCCAGTCAATGAAGCTGAGGATGACAAGAGGCCGAAATGAACGCCGCTCTTCAGTGAGACGTGGGCGGTTCCCCAACGCCTGCACCGGGGCGTCCCCAATATCTCGGCATGGGGCAAACGCCAGTGATTCCAACAGTTCATCATCGCAAACGGGAAAGAGTGAGCCAAGCGTCCGAGCATCCGGGCGAAAGAAGTCGCGTTATTTGCCAATGTTAGCCATCAAAGCTGTTCCAAAATTTCGAACCCAAACTCCGACAGAGGCAAGATTTGATTCCGGCAACTTTCAGAGCAGCACTGAACCTCTTTCCTTTTCTCAGTTTCTCTACACACTAAAAACGACTGCTACAAGTCGGTAGTCAAGTCGAAAAATGTCAACAAAAGTCAAGGCGGCCAAAGCGGACAAGAAAAAGGATGTGAAAGGGAAGAACAAGGCTTCAAAATCCGCCGAATCGAAAAAGGTCGCGACCGAGAAGGCCTCCAAAACTGTACCACCTCCTGAACCTGAAGTATCTGACGACGAAGGGGAATGGGTGGACGAGGACGATGATGAGGAGAGCTCTGATGATGAGTTTGATGGCGTTGACGAGGAGGGAATGGAAAGACTGCTGAAAGCGCTGGGAGAGAATGGCCTGGACGAATTTGACCAAGCTCAGCTCGAGTCTTTACATGGCGGCGATGAAGACTCTTCAGAGGGTGAAGGCGAAGAGGAAGAGGGCGATGAAGGTTCAGAGTCAGAAGAGGAGGAGGATGCGGGCTCGGATGCGGAGAGCGAAAAGGAAGCCAATTCAAGTAAAATGGAGGTCGAGGGAGGGGAGGGCAGTGAAGGCGAAGATGACGAAGAAGAGGAAATAGCACTGGATGAGACAGAGGACTTGGTCGATGAAGATGTTATCCCCAGGAGAAAGGTCGAGGTTGATAACAAGGTTCGTCTAATCTATTCCACTCTTTTAGCCAATGGACCCGAGACTGAACTGGTGTTTAGGTCGCATTGGAGCGTATTCGAGAAACCATTGCCCTCGATCCTTCACTACCGTGGACAGAGACTCTGACCCTCTCATACCCCCACAAAATCGAGGTTGATGTCAACGACGACCTCAACCGCGAACTCGCGTTGTGAGTTCCATGCGGCTTTTTCTTCACGCCCAGTACTTTACTCATTCTGCCAATAGCTACAAACAGGCACTCCACAGTGCAAATGAAGCTCGTGCCCTCGCCGCCAAACTCAAGTTCCCATTCACCCGACCTGCCGACTACTTTGCCGAGATGGTGAAAAGTGATGCTCACATGGAGAGGATACGACAACGCTTGTTGGACGAGAAGGCTGCGATCAAGAAGAGTGAAGACAAGCGAAAGGAGAGGGAAGGCAAGAAGTTTGGCAAACAGGTGCAGGTTGAGAAGCTCAAGGAACGTGAACGTGCCAAGAAGGAGATGGAGGAGCGGCTCAAGGGCCTTAAGCGAAGTACGTGACTCGTCGTCTCCATACAGGTTAACGTATTGACCTCCGATGCAGAACGAAAAGACATGTTGGAGTCAGGAGAGGGTGGCGACGACGAATTCGACATCGCTGTCGAAGACGCGATCTCGGATAAACCAGCCAAGCGCAGCAAGCTCACCAGGACAGCACGCGACAAGAAATATGGCTTTGGCCAGGGAGCAGGTCGACGCTCAAAATCCAATACGAGGGAATCTACGGACAACTTCGGACCTTCAAAGGGCAAGGGTGGTAAGAAGGGAGGCAAAGGGGGTAAGGGCAAGCCCCAGAGACCCGGAAAAGCCAGGCGACAGAGTGCAAGGAGTCGATGATTCCCTCTCGTACTTGGCCCCTCGTTGTATCTTTACATGGCAGATAACTATTCCAGCTGTTCGACAAGCCACACCAACCACGAGATCACAGGAAACCAGTCGACGATCATGAAAACTTGAAGGTGGGTTGAGATGACTTTCATTCTCAGCTATCGTCGGTCCGACTAGCGTCTGGTTCGCAAGATCACTTGCTGCCTGGCCCTGTCGGACTCTTACCGAGGTCACGATGGTCAAGCTGTGACGTCCAAGCCCAGGGGGGGCCGAGCTCAGCTCAGCGGTCGCAATCGTGCGACCCATCCGTGGCGTTCGGGCGAATTGACGCGGCAATGGACGGCAATGGACAACCTCTCCAGGGCGCAGAGCTTGTCGTGTGCATTCTTGACCCTGTCGAAATCGGGCGCAGAGTAAGAGAAAGGCAGATTTTGTGGTTGCCTTTAGGTCAACCTTTCCATCCATGCGCAGGGGGCGCCTCGCGATTGCACAAACCCCCGACCACCGTCCATCAACTCCAAACAGCAATGAGGGCAACTTAAAGGTTATATTGTATCCGGGCCATGGGAACAACGGCCACTACATGTCCTTGATATAAGTAAACCCTGACTGAACCATCATTTTTCCCAGGTTCCTCAACCCCACCCTCGTCCACGATCAGCGATGGGCGCTAAAAGCATCCTTCCATTTCTCTTCCTGTTGACCCTGCTCCCTTGCCATGTATATGCCGTTATCCGGGAGGATTTCAAGGATCTACCGAAGTTAAAGTATGACTTCGTCATTGTTGGGGGTGGGTAATAGGTTGCTCAGTCAGTATGATATGGACTGACAGAGGTTTGTGCAGGAGGAAACGCGGGTTGCGTCATGGCCAATCGACTTTCCGAGAACCCAAAATTTAATGTCCTGCTCATAGAAGCAGGTCCCAGGTGGGTTCATTATGAATCACCAGACCCATACGCTCACCTTAGCTCGGACCAATAGCCATGAAGGGGTCCTTGACATCATGGTTCCACGCCATGTGTCCAACCTTTGGGGAACGCGATATGATTGGAATTATACCAGCGTTCCTCAAGTTGGGTTGAACAATCGCCCAGGGATGATACCACGAGGACATGTCCTTGGTGGAAGTACGTCCATAAGTGCGTTCTGCGATAGCTTTGATTCGTTTCAAGTTGCTTCTCGCTGACGAAGGCCCTTACTAGATGGAATGGGGTTCTTCCGTGGTTCATCGGACGACTACGATAGGTGGGCAGAAGTAACCGGTGATCCTGGTTGGTCATGGCAAAACATGTTGCCATATTTCTTAAAGGTTAGGTTCTCGAGTCCTGGTTGATATTCTACCAAGGATGATAAATGACCGTTACGCAGAGCGAGAAGTGGACCGAGCCGTCCGATGGACATAACACAACTGGAGAGTTTAATCCGGCATTCCACTCTTCGAAGGGCAGAGTTGAAATCAGTCTCCCGGGCGCACAGGTTCGCCAAATGGTGGACTTCAAGATCTTCGAAGCTGCTGAAGAACTCGGAGGTGACTTTGCCTTCGATTTGGACTTGAATGACGGAAGACCCTTGGGCACCTGTTTGTCTTCTTACCCTCAATTTCCTCGTCCTGGCACTCACCCGCATCGACAGCGTGGCTGCAGTCGACCATCGGGAATGGAACGCGGAGCAGCTCTGCAACTGCCTATCTCAGCCCGTTGGATGTTGCTCGGAGGAACCTCCACGTCCTCGTTAACCACCGTGTCATCAAAGTGGTAGAGACCACTCGACCCCGTGACCGTCGACCTTCCTTTAAGAAAGTTGCTTTTGTCAAAGACGGAGCTCCAGAAGGTATACCTCATTTTTGTAATGATCGGAACTTCTGCTTATCGAAGTTTGTCTAGGCAAAGTTCAGTATGCTTCTGCGTCGAAAGAGGTCGTTCTTTCCGCAGGAGCACTCGGTACTCCTCAATTATTGCTTCTTTCTGGAATTGGTGATCCTGTCGACCTTCGCAGTGTTGGGGTCAAACCTCGGGTTGACCTGCCCAGCGTTGGTAAGAACCTAACCGAACGTCCTCAGGTCGGGATGATCTGGAACCTCGGCATCTCCGAGACCATTAATGAGTAAGTCCCCAGAGTTGATTGAATCCGCTATACCTTCCATCACCCAACACCGGGGCTCTAGATTGGCCAACCAGACGTTCATTGAAGAAAGCTTGGAGCAATGGCACACCAGTCGAACCGGATTCCATTCCGCAGTTGGGGTGAACACCGTGACTTCGGTTCGACTGCCTGATGATTGGGCCCATTGGAACGAACATGAAGACCCAACCGCTGGAGAAAACTCGCCACACTTTGAGTTTGCATCCTTTGGAGGGGGTATATACCCTATTCCGGGTCCCAACCTCCTCCTTGGACCATATCTTCTAAGCCCAACCTCTCGTAAGTTTATGCTTGCGCACATATTCTTGATGAAGACTCACAGCTCTCGTCCCAGGCGGCACTGTAAAGCTGAGCTCGAGCAACCCGTTCGACGACCCACAGGTCGATCTCGGTCTGCTGACCTCTACGTTCGACGTCTTGGCTCTTCGAGAAGCCCTTAATATGGCGCAAAAGATTGCCAACGCCTCCACATTTGCCGAGTGGAACCTCACGCTCGCAGAACCTTGGTCCACCATCAGTGCAATGAGTGAAGAGGAGATCATCGAAACCATACGGAATATCGCCGGCGGAGCAGGGCATATTGTTGGCACAGCGGCAATGTCGCGCGTCGACGCTCCGTATGGTGTGGTCAATCCCGATCTGACAGTGAAGAAAGTGTCGGGGCTGCGAGTCGTCGATGCTTCTATCATGGTGAGCGACTTCAGACCTTTCCTTCCTGTCTTTTCACAAGTGCTAAAATGTGCATTGCTTAGCCTTATCTCGTTCTCGGCCACACCCAGGGTCCGGTCTATGCTATTGCAGAGAGAGGAGCAGATTTAATCAAAGAGGCTTGGAATTGAACTCCTAGAGTTTACCATACACTTTCCCTATGCTAGTCTTAACCGCGATGTTATTCCAAACTCTTGACATTTGCACTGACTGCCTTCTCTATCATGAGTGAGTTGCAGAAGAACTGCACCATGAGTCACCATCCAGAAGCCGCGTGGCGAAACGGCAATCTCGGCTCTCTCGGATAGCCCCTATGATTTTTGCGCCACGTGAGCTTCCCTAAAAGTACCGACGGCGGCGACGGAGCAAGCACTGCGATGACGATATGGGTTTCCCCTTCACCGTTCTCCTTGACCGACCGCAGTCGCTGACAGCCATCCAAGTCGTTACAACCAGCGCAATATGATTCTGTAAAACTTGATTCTTCAACCAACAAACTATGAAGCACGTTGCGGTTCTCGGCGCTGGACTGTCTGGCTTGTCCTCTGCTTTTCACCTTTCTCGCTTGCACCCGAATGTCAGAATCACAGTTCTAGAGAGTCAAAAGCGTGCTGGTGGATGGGTACGGAGTACGCGAGTCTCACTCCCAGAAAACTATGGCTCGGTTCTGCTTGAAGCGGGACCAAGGACATTGCGCCCCAACGCCCAATCTGTGCTCGAATTGGTACGCAACATTCCCTCAGTGAATCTGAATTATAAGACTGAAATGCTCAGGTTAATCTATTAGGACTGAAAGAACAGCTTATAACAGTTCCAAAAACCTCGCCAGCTGCAAAATCCCGCTACCTATACATTCCTCCAGACCATGGAACGTCGTACTCTGGATTACAGCAAATCCCATCGTCATTCTTCTCATTCGTCAAATCCCCACTCTCTTCGACTCTAGTAGCTGCCGTCGCTCAAGAAGCACTGAAGCTGAACAACAGAGCAAAGGGTGTCGAGGATGAAAGCGTAGATTCCTTCCTTCGCCGGCGCTTTGGGTCTAGATTCGCGGAGACTTTTGGAAGTGCAATCATCCACGGAATTTACGCTGCGGATTCGCGAAACATCAGCGTTAGGGCGGCGCTCCCGTCGATGTGGGATGCAGAAGCTCGTGGATGGGGTAGCTTGGTTCGGGGGATGTTCATGTCTGTGAAGAAGCCTCAAGGTCAGGCGTATGACGCTGGGAACGTTCCCCAATTGATGGATGGGGTTTCTGTCTATTCCTTCAGAGATGGGATGGAAACTCTAACGAGAGCGCTGGACAGTCACATTCGAATGCGACCAAACGTACAGATATCATACAATGCACCGGTCACTTCTCTCGCATCCACTGAGGACGGGTTCGCGGTATGTGCTACTTGCGCTTCACCTCCTTACTTTACTGACACTCCTTCAAGATAACTGTCGAAGGAGGTCGGACTGTGGAAGCATCACACGTCGTATCTGCCCTTCCTACACCCATTCTTCACTCCATCCTGTCCCCCACTCTAGCAACCACAGAAGTCAATAAAGTTGGATCCTTAACAGCGAATTCCACCTCCTCAGTCCACGTCGTCAATATCGTATTCCCCGGCCCACCTTGCTCAATTCATCCTGCAGGATTCGGGTACCTCATCCCTCGCCCCCCGACAGGTTATCCCTCCACCTCTCCCGAACCAACCAACCTTGGGATTCTGGGTACAGTTTTCGACTCTTGCTCCCTCGCAGATCAAGACACCGAAGCCCGTAACCCGCACGCATACCATACCGCCAAATTCACCAAACTCACGGTGATGATAGGCGGCCCATATCCTCTGCCCCAACTTCCTCCATACTTGTCATCAACCGAAGTACCCCAAGGGGTCGACCGCAAGACTAACAGTCTACCACAATACATGCAAACCGTTCTCGAACAACTCGCAGCACATCTAGGGCACTGGCTTCCAACACCGCTTTACTGGCGTATCGTACCGAACGAGAACTGCATCCCGACGCTATCGCCCGGTCACCTAGAACGCGTAGACGAACTCCAAGGATACCTCGACGAGCGACTGGGTGGACGGTTACAGGTCGTAGGTGCCGGTATTGGAGGGGTTAGTTTGGGTGACTGTGTTGAGGCAGGGAGGACCGTTGCACGCAGGCTTCATTTCCAATGACGAGCATCGACTTTTTCTTCCAATCATCAACCTTTGGTGGGGAGCAAGGAGGAAACACTATGTGAACAGTCATCGACCGAAAACTACACATGTGGTATCGAAGTAATTTCGTATAGTATACTATAGTACCTGGTTCTGATTGTCACGCGACATAAATAAATGCGTAGATAGACATTTGGTGAAGGAAGAAATTTGAACTCAAATTCCATGATGAACGAAAGGAACCCAACGGTGGAATGACCTTCCAAGTTGCCGCAGCTCCTGCGTCGCAAGGTGCAGCGCATACGCCGCGTCAGTGATATCTGGTGGGGCCGTAGTACCGTGCCGGAAGAGATGGCGATAGAATGCGTCCGCTACGATGGGCGCATCGTGGTCGTGAATTGACCTGGTTCACAACAAATGTCAATGGAAACACTCGGGTGGCAGAAGAACATTTAGACTCACCACATTGTCGCAACCACGCTGCGGAAACCAGCAAACTGCATCGTGGCTGCCAGAGTGAGAGACTCATCCGGTCGTTGGTCATCACCCATGGCAGTCTCGCAAGCACTGAGGTAGGCAAGCGCTGCCGTCGAGGTCTGACAATCCCGAATGAGCGACGACATCGTTAAGCGTCTTTCACTGAGCAAGAGGGAGCTATCAAGGGGGTTCAATGGATTCTGCTTGCCATGGCACCCAAAATGGACGATGGATGCAGCGTTGATGTCGTCCAGGATGGACTTTCCAGAGCCTCCCTCCGACCCGATGCGGGTAATCAGACTGTCCTTTTGCGGGACGTGTAATTTGATCTTCTCCAATTCCTGCCTGGTTGCTGGAAGGTTTGCTGCTCCAAATTGGCGTCCGTCTGGTTCGATAGCAACCAGCATCTTGAAGTCGGGAGTGGGGCCTGGTGACGGTGCCAAGAGGTCCTGAGGAGCTGAGCAATACGAGGACACGACATAGTCGGACAGACAGTCGGAATTCGAGGAAGGAGAAACAGGATAGATGCCGGCAGCATGGATGGGAAGGAATGTGAAAAGACCAGTTGGACACCACCAGATCCTGCGCGGGTTGCTGGTCTACTGATCGGTAAGTGACAGTGCATCGAGTAAATGGCCATCTAATGCTCCTACCTTCTCGAAGCCGAGTGCAGAAATGACTGGTTGCCCTACGTTCGCCCAAAGTTCCCCCAGGACACCCCTAAATTCGTCATCCGTCGTTCGACCCCTGATGGTGCGGACTGGTCTACAGGCACGGTCCAGTTCTTCGGAACAGTCTTCAAAATAGTCTTCGCCATCGCTCCGAACGGATCTTCCGGGAACTCGACGAACCGTGGCCACCCAGCCCTCCAGCAGCTTCGTGTCTGCAAGTAACTCAAGCGGGTGAAGAGTACCATCCTCCTTGAGAATGAGAGCATGGCAGCCATATTCGCTCGCATTCAAAAAGACGATAGGTCCTTTGCGGGCTGCGGCCTTGAGGACATCAGGGGAAGGGGGGAGCATGAAATCTCGAAAACCTTCCATGGCCCGGATCTTTGCGATGATTTCATCCCTTTGTTGAGAAAGAAGGTATGGGCGGAGTGGCGGGGTACTTCCAGACGGTGTGGACTCCGGTCGGGGTTGTTGCTCGGTCGCAATCTGCAGCTGGCGAGTAACTGATAGAAATTCCGATGCAAGGTCAGGATGGAGAGCGTAGAGGCGGTCGAGGGATCCACGGAATTGTAGAGCTTGAGACCAAAACACAGACCGCGCGGTAGAGAGAAAGACGAGCGCTGTATCGAGTTCGTTTTTCTCGATCGCACACTGCACTGCATCCTTCGACAAATCTTTCGAGTGGACAAGAACGTTCTGGCGTTGTTCGAGCGTGAGGTCGAGGGAGGCGAGGACAGGGAGTGAAGATATGGCATGATGATAAGCCTCCAGTGCGGTGCGGGGACGATGGAATACACGGCAAATGAACGCCCAAAGCCTGGCATAGACTAATCGGATTATGGGCGAGGCTCCAGGGATATGAGCTCCAGTTTCCAAAACTTCGAAAATTGCTTCCTTGATTTCCATGTCACCACCCAGGAGTTTGTTCCACTCAGTGAGGGACTGTACGAAGCCTATGACCGCTTTCAGGCCTTCAGTGTGATTTCCCAAGGCACGGTTGTAACCCTGTTGGCCTTCGGGGAGGGGGAAAGAGATGTCAAATTGTTCCCGTTGATGCAGAATGCACTGTAGGAGGTCTGAGAGGTTGCGTGTCTTCTGGTAGCGGATGCCGAGGGCGTAGGCCAGGTTGTTGAGAGAAGTGGAGCGACCCGGATGTCCTGGAGGTAAAAGGGAGAGAGCTTCCCGGTACAAGGCAATGCACTGTTCAAGGTCTCGGAAGTCCCCTGCCCCGTTGAAGCGAGCAAAGAGGGCGTTGGCCAGGTTGTGGAGCGAGCTAATGCGATTAGGATGGCCGGGAGGACGGAGGGAAAGCGCTTCGTTGTGCAGGGCAATGCACACCTCCAGATCCTTGAGGTCGCCTTTGGTATGGAAGCGACTGGTAAGGGCCCGTGCCAAGTTGTTGAGCGAGCAGGCGCGCAGTGGATCGTCGGGAGGGAAGAGAGCCAGTGCTTCCTCGCCGAGGGCGATGCATTCTTCCAGGTCCTGAGAGTCGCCCTTTTCCTCGAAGCGATTGCAAAGGGTGCCAGCCAAGTTGGTGAGCAAGTCGCAGCGGCTGGGATGCCCGTGCGCAAGGTGATTGAGAACTTCCTTGTTCAAGGCAATGCTCTGGTCCAGGTCCTTGAAGTTTCCTTTGTGTTCGAAGCGCATGGAAAGGGCCGTCGCCCGATTAACGAGATAGTAGGGGCGGTGGGGATCGTCGAGAGGAAAGAAAGCAAGTGCTTCCTCGTGCGTGGCAATGCACTGATCCAAATCTTTAAGCCGACCGGTGCAACAGAATCGTTTGTACAATGCAATGGCATAATGCGCAAGTGTGTCGCCTCGCCTTGGATGATGAGGAGGTCGGAGGGAAAGCGAGAGGCTGAATTGCGAAATGGATTCTTCGATCGCGGTTATGTCGCCTTCCATGAGCTCCGTTCCCCGCCTGCACGCCTCTCGTGCTTCCCGATCTTCAGCCAGTGCTTTCCCGTGACACCTAACCGCTTCCCGGAGCCCATCCAACCCTTCCAATAGTCCACATTCCATGAACGTGACCAACCCGAGATGTCGCAGGTCAGCACGGGCAACATGGAGTTCGGCATCACCTGCCCTCAAGGCCTGTTTAGCATCCCCCAAAGAAGCCCTAGCCGATGACAAGTCATCCTCGTCGCCGCAGGACAGGTACCGTAACACTAATGCGTTTCCAACACGGAGCGACAGCCGCACTCGATTGTTGGTCACGCCATGATATGAAGCAAGAGCTTCATTGGCAACAGCGATCGCGGTGTCGAGGTTGGGCTTGTCGATTGATTGTCGATATTCGTCAACAAGGCTGAGAGCAAACCTGACCATGTCAGGGCATTGCTCCTCTTCAGAGCTTACCATCCATAGCTCGTGCTGTGGCATATCAAAGGTCACTGCATGTCGCTGCCGTTGAGACGTTGGCACTCACGACGAATGAGATTTCCTTTTCGATGCGCAAGAAGAGCATCATGGCTTCGTCCAGGTCGGGCACCCGTTGATGGCAAGCGAAACGGACTAGGAGGCCTTTCATCAGGGAAATTTCAGCCTGTATGCGCGTGTCGCTATCATTGGGGTCGGTTTTGCGGATGGTCTCCCGCAGCACAGCGATCGCGTTCGCAAGGACATCTTGCTTCGTTCCCTTCCTCTAACATCCTCAAGCAGTTTGTCGACAAGAAGTAAAGTCTCTTCCAGATCTTCATGGCCTTGGGTAGGTATTCCTGAAGCGCTGTTATCAAGAACGTTCGTCCCCAAGAGCGATCTTCGGATACATACTAATTACGGCTCTATGCCCATTCACCATCTAGACCAGGTTAGACGACTCGCGCTCGCCGTTACCCTAAGGCATTGTACTTACCATGGTATCACAGCTGTTGGGAGGACAGTTGGACATGGTTGTGGACAATTCCCGTCCAGAACTGGATGTCACAGCACCTGTTCTCCATGGCGCCCACAATATCAATGTCGGTTTGGAGAAGCTTGAAGCTTTGAAGGTGTACAGTCGCGGACAATCAAACCCAACCAATTTTTACGAAGCATTTGATAGTCTCCGAAAACCGTCGGAAACGACATGTTTGCCTGAGCCGAAACCCCAGTCAAAAAATGGTACCAATTGGTCCATCGGATTGGCCAGAAAAGGTAACTTGATATCTTGGGCGCCAAAAGTTTGGCCGCCCGGTCATTTTTTATCCCAGTAACCTCAAACTATGTTCAATCGATAGCTTTCAAAAATCACTGTCTGTTCACAAAATTTGAGCCCAATTGACCCATGATTTCTCTGGGAAAATGGTGATTAAGTTTGGGTATCCGCGGAACCCTGACCAACCTTTAGATTACCGAGTGCCATTGGATTTGGCTATGGTTGAGTTTTAGAAGGCTCTGTCCCTTCTAGAACACGAACTGCTGCATGGCGCGCCTACTCAGCAAGCAGGATGATTTTGCAAACCAGATCTCGGTGTGCTCATGCACCTCGAGGCGCTTTTCTCCTAGTTTACAGGTCAATAGATCTCGCTCCCGCACCCCTGAAATTTGGCCACCGGGAAAACGGCGTGGGAAAACTTCGGAGATGCGTTTTTCGAACGCTTTCGCAAATCCACGTCTCCTGGCAAGAAATCAGACCAAACCACCCATGATTTCCTGAGAAATCTGCGATTTACTATATTTGTTGGGTTTGACTGTCCGCGACTGTATGGGTGTGGTCGTTAGTCGACTCCGGGCCGACGGCAAATGCAGGACCGTGGCATCACCTGGCATCACTGGTCGCTCTCCATCTGGACTGAGTGACCACCATACTTCCAGCGCATTGACTACTTGTGGTGCGTTGATTCTTTCCAGCTTTTTTACCCCTTTTTTTTACTCATTGACATCTTTTATGGAAGCTCGTGTAATCTCATCACCAATCGTTCAAAGTCTGATGTAGTCCATTCAGACTGTGGTCTGACAACCCCTTGCTAGCCCAATGCTAGCCTTCCAAAAATCCATGTAGCTGCGAGCGACAGGCTGCGATATTCGCCTTCGACAGTCGCTTTCAAACAGGACCCATCAGGCATCCAGGTCGTCAAATGGCCTAACATGGGCCTACAGAGATCAACTATCCAATCAGCCAGCTACGAATGCTCTTCACTTCGCTCGCATTCACCCGAATGCAAAATCGCAGGGGTTCAGTAGCTCTGGAAGCGGGCATTGCATCCAAATGCCCAATTGGTACGCGACTTTCCCCTTCTATTTGAGCTTGAGACTAAATTGATCAGGCAAATCTACTAGGACGAAAGAACATGTTAAACTTCAGAAACCTCAGCAGCTGCCGAATCCCGCTACCTCTACATTTCTTCGTCATTCTCAAGACTACAGAAAATCCCACCCTCCCAACATCCTCCTTCTCATTCGTCAAATACCTGTTGTCCTTAACGATAGTAGTGGCCGTCGCTCAAGAGGCACTGAAGGCTGAACAGACTCCTCTTTCCTCTTCTGCCGACTTAGGTCACTTCTCTCGCACCTACTTTGGATGGATTCACGGTACATGCCACTCGCGTATTTCCTGCTCCTTTACTAACACTACTTGAGGACAACTGTGAAAGGAAACAAAACCCTGCAGCCAATAAAAAATTCAGTCCCTTATCTACGAACCCCACCGGCTCAGTCCACGTCGTCAACATTGCCTTCCCTGGCCCGCCTTTCTCAATTCATCCCTCCAGATTCAGGTACCTCTTCGCTCTGCCTCCAACAGGCTTACTACCTCTGCCTATACAACCAACCCAAGGAAGATAAAGACACCGAAACCCCCAACCTGGACGCATACCATACAGCCAGCCACCTTCACCCGGATACCCGTCATACGGTATACCGTCCTAGACTACCCTGACAGGTCTGGAATGGTAGGGCCTTCGGCGGCTACCCCAATTCACCAAACTCACAGTGATGATAGGAGGCCTATGCCCTCCGCTTCAACTTCCTCCATACTTGCCGTCAACCGCAAGACCAATGCTCTAGCGTGGTGCATGCAAGCCATTCTCGAACAGCCCGCTGCACATCTCGGGCACTGGCCTCCAGCACCACTTTACTGACCGATCATACCCAATGAGAACTGCGTCCCGACACTATCGCCCGGAATCTAGAACGCGTAGAGCTTCAAGGATACTTCAACCAGCGACTGGGTGCAGGTATTGGCGGGGATTAGTTTGGGTTACTGTGTTGAGGCAGGGAGGACCCTTGCACGCAGGTTACGACTTACATTTCCCATGACAATGCACATCATCCATTCCGTCGACCTGCGGTGAACGCGAAACTATACATATCATAGCAGTCCTAAAGTCCAAAGTTACATGTGCAGAGATAGGCTAGTGACGATATTCAAACTCCATGATGAACAAAAGGAACCCAACGATGGAAAGACGTTCCCTGCTCCCGCAGTTCCTTCACAGCAAGGTGCAGTCCATATGCTGCGTCGGTGACGTCTGGCGGGGCCGCAGTACCGTGCCGGAAGAGATGACGATAAAAGGCATCCGCTACGATGGGCGCATCGTGGTCGTGGATTGACCTGGTTCACAACAAATGTCAATGGAAATAGTCGGGTAGTAGAAGAACATTACAACTCACCACATCGTCGCAACCACGCTGCGGAAACCCGCAAACTGCATCGTGGCAGCCAGAGTGAGAGACTCATCCGGTCGTTGGTCATCACCCATGGCTGTCTCGCAAGCACTGAGGTAGGCAAGGGCTGCCGTCGAGGTCTGACAATCCCGAATGAGCGACGACATCGTTAAGCGCCTGTCACTGAGTAGCAGGTAGCTGTCAAGTGGATTCGATGGGTCTTGCATCCCATGGCAGCCAAAATGGACGATGGATGCAGTGTTGATGTCGTCCAAAATAGACTTTCCAGAGCTCGACTTTGGCCCAGCGCGGGTAATCAGACGGTCATTTTCGGGGATGTGTAATTTGATCTTCTCTAGTTCTTGCCTGGTCGATGGGAGGCTTGATACACCGGGTTCGGGTCGGTCGGGTTCAATAACGACAAGCATCTTGAAATCGGGATTAGGCACTGGTTGTGGGGTGATGAGGTCCTGGGGAGTCGAGCAATAAGACGATACGATATAGTCGGATAAGCACTCGGATTCTAAAGGAGAGGGAGTATAATTCCCGGCAGCATGGATGGGAAGGAACGTGAAAGGGCCGGTTGGACACCACCAGATTCTACGAGGGGTGTTCGTCTGTTAACAAGATCAGCACGACGTCGCTCGCTCTATTCACGGAATTCCCACACCTTCTCCAGCCGGAGAGCCTGGACAACTGGTTGGCCTACCCTATCCCACAGAACACGAAGAACAACCTTAAAATCGTCGTCGACGGTCAAGTGAGGATCCTCCCTTTTGAAGAATGCTTTCAAACGAAGGTCTCTCCCCACCAAATAATCACGCATTTCACGTCGCACCTGAAGACCGATTTCTCGTCCCCTGGCCAACTGGCGAATGGCAGCTACCAGGCAAGTCAATAGGACAATATCTGCGAACAAAGGCAAGGCGGTGAAGGGTCCCGTCCTCCTTGAGAATGAGAGCATGGCAACCGAAATTACTGGCATTCAGAAAAGACAATCGTTCCTTTGCTTGCTGCGGTCTTTGAGGATATCGGGCGACGGGGGAAGCAGGAAATCATGGAAACCTTCCATGTCTCGGATCTTTGCGATGATTTCTTCCCTTTGTTGGGAAAGAAGGTACGGACGGAGTGGCTGGGTACTTCCAGACGGTATTGTGCGAGTTTGTGGTTGTTGTGTCGGTCGCGAACTGCAGCTGGCGAGTAACCGTTCGGAGTTCCGATGCAAGGTCGGGATGAACAGCGTTGAGGCGATCGAGTGAACCACGGAATTGGAGGGCTTGGGACCAAAATACAGACCGAGCGGTGGAGAGAAATACAAGCGCTGTATCGAGTTCATTTTGCTCGATCGCACACTGAACCGCATCCTTTGATAAATCCTTGGCGTAGACGAGAACATTCTGGCGTTGTTCGAGCGTGAGGTCGAGGGAGGCTAGGACGGGAAGTGAAGATATGCCATGACGATAAGCGTCTAGTGCGGTGCGGGGACGATGGAATTCACGACAAATGGACGCCCAAAGCCTGGCATGGTCTAGTCTGACCAAGGGGGATGCACCGTGGCATCGAACTCCAGTTTCTAAAAGTGCGAAAATCTCTTGCAGCGTATCGTTGTCGCCAAGGTGCTTGTAATTTTCCCTGAGAGACTGCACAAGGCTCACGATTGCTTTCAGGCCTTCAGTGTGATTTCCCAAGGCACAGTTGTCACTCTGTTGGTCTTCGGGAGATAGGAAAGAAATTTCCAAGTGTTCCCGTCGATGCCGAATGCACTCCTCGAGGTCCGGGAAGTCGTGTGTCTTCCCGAAGCGGGCGAAGAGTGCGTTGGCCAGGTTGTTGAGCGAGCTGGCGCGATCGGGATGGCCATGAGGGTGGAGATCGAGCACTTCCCTGTGGAGGGCAATGCACTCGTCCAGGTCCCGGAAGTCGCCTTTGTTCCTGAAGCGAGTGGAGAGGGCGACTGCCAGGTTGTTGAGCGAGCCGGCACGGTGGGGATTGCCTCGAGAAAAGAGAGATAACGCTTCCCTGTGGAGGGCAATGCACTCGTCCAGGTCCCGGAAGTCGCCTTTGTTCCTGAAGCGAGTGGAGAGGGCGACCGCCAGGTTGTTGAGCGAGCCGGCACGGTGGGGATTGCCTCGAGAAAAGAGAGATAACGCTTCCCTGTGGAGGGCAATGCACTCGTCCAGGTCCCGGAAGTCGCCTTTGTTGTCGAAGCGAGTGGAGAGGGCGCCCGCCAGGTTGTTGAGCGAGCTGGCGCGGTCGGGATGGCCATGAGGGCGGAGATCGAGAGCTTCCCTGTGGAGGGCAATGCACTCGTCCAGGTCGCGGAAGTCGCCTTTGTTGTCGAAGCGAGTGGAGAGGGCATTCGCCAGGTTGTTGAGCGAGCCGGCACGGTGAGGATGGCCATGAGGGCGGAGATCGAGAGCTTCCCTGTGGAGGGCAATGCACTCGTCCAGGTCGCGGAAGTCGCCTTTGTTCCCGAAGCGAGTGGAGAGGGCGACTGCCAGGTTGTTGAGCGAGCTGGCACGGTCGGGATGGCCATGAGGGCGGAGATCGAGAGCTTCCCTGTGGAGGGCAATGCACTTGTCCAGGTCGCGGAAGTCGCCTTTGCTGTCGAAGCAAGTGGAGAGGGCATTCGCCAGGTTGTTGAGCGAGCCGGCACGGTGGGGATGGCCATGCGGGTGGAGATCGAGAGCTTCCCTGTGGAGGGCAATGCACTCATCCAGGTCCCGGAAGTCGCCTTTGTTGTCGAAGCGAGTGGAGAGGGCATTCGCCAGGTTGTTGAGCAAGCCGGCACGGTGAGGATGGCCATGAGGGCGGAGATCGAGCGCTTCCCTGTGGAGGGCAATGCACTCGTCCAGGTCGCGGAAGTCGCCTTTGTTGTCGAAGCGAGTGGAGAGGGCGACTGCCAGGTTGTTGAGCGAGCTGGCACGGTCGGGATGGCCATGAGGGCGGAGATCGAGAGCTTCCCTGTGGAGGGCAATGCACTCGTCCAGGTCCCGGAAGTCGCCTTTGTTCCTGAAGCGAGTGGAAAGGGCGACTGCCAGGTTGTTGAGCGAGCTGGCACGGTCGGGATGGCCATGAGGGTGGAGATCGAGCGCTTCCCTGTGGAGGGCAATGCACTCGTCCAGGTCGCGGAAGTCGCCTTTGTTGTCGAAGCGAGTGGAGAGGGCGCCCGCCAGGTTGTTGAGCGAGCTGGCACGGTCGGGATGGCCATGAGGGTGGAGATCGAGCGCTTCCCTGTGGAGGGCAATGCACTCGTCCAGGTCCCGGAAGTCGCCTTTGTTCCCGAAGCGAGTGGAAAGGGCGACTGCCAGGTTGTTGAGCGAGCTGGCACGGTCGGGATGGCCATGAGGGTGGAGATCGAGCGCTTCCCTGTGGAGGGCAATGCACTCGTCCAGGTCGCGGAAGTCGCCTTTGTTGTCGAAGCGAGTGGAGAGGGCATTCGCCAGGTTGTTGAGCGAGCCGGCACGGTGAGGATGGCCATGAGGGCGGAGATCGAGAGCTTCCCTGTGGAGGGCAATGCACTCGTCCAGGTCGAGGAAGTTGCCTTTGTTGTCGAAAGCGAGTGGAGAGGGCATTCGCCAGGTTGTTGAGCGAGACGGCACGGTCGGGATGGCCATGAGGACGGAGAGATAGTGCCTCTTTATGAAGACTGATACTCTCCTCCAGATCTTTGATCTGACCAGTGCAGCCAAATCGGTTGCCCAACGCAAGGGCACAATGCGCAAGAGTGTCGTGTCGCCTTGGGTGCTGTGGAGGCCGGAGGGAAAGCGAGCGACGAAATTGCAGGATGGCTTCATCGATCGCGAGTTTGTCTCCTTGCATCAACTCTGATCCCAGAATGTACGCTTCTTGCCCTTTTTGATCTTCGGCCTGAGCCGCTTGACCATACTGTGCCATTTCTTGAAGCCCACTCATCCCTTGTAGCATCCCACTTTCCAGGAAGTTGACAAACCCAACGTGCCGCAGGTCAACAAGGGCAATAAAGAGCATGGGATCCCCTGTTCCGCACGCTTCCTTGGCGTCGTGAAATAACGCCCTAGCCAACGAAAAGTCTTTCTCGTCGCCACAGGACAAGTACCTCAACACCAATGCGTTTCCAGCACGAAGCGACAGCTGGGCTCGATGATTGATCACGCCATGATGCGACGCAAGGGCTTCATTCGCAACAGTGATGGCGGTGTCGAGGTTGGATTTGTCGATTGACTGTCGATATTCATGAAGAAGGTTGAGAGAGAATGTGACAATTTCAGGGTAGTGTTCCCCCTCATGACCCATCATCTGCAATTCAAGCTGCACGAATTCCAAAATTATTGCTTGCAATTGTTGACCGATACATTTGCACTCACGATGAAGGCGGATTTGATGGCCTCGTTGCCTTTCAAAAGCCTCGTCGCTTCGTCCAGATCCTCCACCCATCCGTGGCACGCGAAACGGGTTATAAGGGCTTTGATCAGGGCAACCTCTGCCTTCGCCTTTGTCTCGCTGTCGCCGTCAGCTTCGCGGATGGCCTCCCGTAGTACTGTAATCGCGGTTTCGAGGATATCTTGCTGCATTCCCGTCGTAACAGACTCCAGCAGTTCGTTCACAAGAACCAAAGTCCCTTCCAGCATGTCTTCATCTTGCATAGATATTCCTTTGAACGGTGTCGTTCAGATGCGCGCCCCGGAAAATGGTGGTAGGATACATACCTGCAGCTTCGTGCATAGTCTAGAAGAAATCAAGTCAGCCGAGGTCCTCTTCACACTAAGACATTGGACTCACCATGTCTTCGTGGTTGTTGAATGGGTTGCTATCCATAGTAGGAGATATGTTGGGAACTGTTCTGTTGAGACAGCCTTCGAAGACAGTACTGTTCTTATAGCTAGCTGCTAGCAGTCCAACACCGGATACCACAGCACCAGACCACCTGTTCTACACGAGGTTCATCTTGAAATGAGATACGCAGCCGAGAGTCTCATGGTCGCCGTCATGGGAAGATCTTGGGGCATAATTACAGTAGACGTTGGCGCCTTAGAGAGATCGTTCAACACCGGTACATGCATCGTGGCCAACTGCTGTTCAAATGAAACTGGGTAGGGGTTCGGTCCATATCCTCGGTCCCTCTGGGACAGATTTGTGCATTCAGCGAGTCTTGTCAGGCGGTGTCAAGGCGTCAAGCGTTTGGAGGGAGATAGAAATAGTGGACTTGGATGCTAAGGATTTGGAATACAGTCACGGTTGTCGCGGCAGCACCGACGCGAATCAACTCCGCCAACTCCGATTGTATTTCCCGTGTAGCCGGTGCCACGAACCCGAAAACAACAGTCCAGTAGTACTACTGTCCAGAAGCTGGTAGTGGTGTAATGCACGAAAGCGATGCAGATCCTACTTCGCCAGATCAAAGGTGTTTACATAAACGAACCCCTACCGAATAAACCACTGACATATTAGCTGAATCACTTGACAGTGGTAGTAGGACATCGAAGCTATTCAGTGACAATGCACAGGTTGTTTTAATTTACTATAGCTGTAGAGCCAGGCTGTTCGATTCAATACTCTATTCGATCACCTGAATGGGCACGCAGCAAGCACGTTCTTACTGAATTGCTGTGGCGAACAGCCGTGTAAAGCGTGGTGAGGAAGGCCGGCGCTTATTTTCTGATAGTGTCATGCCCACAACAAGGCTACGATTGCCAAGTCCCCAGAAAAGTCCAAAGTTAAACTTTGAATTGCTTGCTATGCCTAGCTGTGCAGGCTGTTTCCCATAAAGCTGTATAGCATTATACCAAACTGTGTATATGCCTTCCCACCGCACACGGACGAATGGTCACCCGGCCAGTAGCGGGGCTCATGGGAGGCGAAACAAACTTCAGAACAGCGCCATTTCCACTTGGGCGCCTATTCCCAAGCGGACAATCCGCGTTTCGACTTACTAGCCCCGGAACCTGACTCAAGATGCAGTCTGGTCCGAATCCTCCTATGATATTTGGACGGAAGCCAGGAATTCGGCGCGAAATCTTGGTCGTTCTCACTGGTCCCAACTAATTCGCGGTCTCCTGCCCTAATGTATCTTTTTCGCGACTCTCATGGCGTCAACTCGTCTCGAGGTGCTTAGTTGCCCCCAATTGGCCGATAACTGGTCGCGTTTATTGTGTTTAGGGCCGGTCCAATCGCGACAGGTCCGGCGACTTGATTGATTGCCATGAGGGGCAAGGGCACCGCTTTTGCAATAATCGCTCTCAATCCAAACCACCATCGTCGTCCAGCCATGCCCAAACGCCAACGACACTATTCCATCTTCTCGCCACCGTCGCTCGCGATGTCAGAGCTCGTAAAGACGACGCTGGACCACGATTCCACCGACATGCTCATCGAAAAGTGGCTCGAGCACCGTAGCAGTGCCCATGACGCCTATCATGAATGGTTCAGGGACATCCGGGAGCGCCAACTTCACCACCGCGTCAGCTCGCATACCAGGCAGATAATAGCCTGGAATAAAGGAGAATTTGTCCCGGAAAACATCTTCTGCCGCACGGTCGACACAGGCAGGCTGATTCCTCTCGATAGGACATGGACCACCCATGTCTATCATCACCATACCATGTCTGAGCGGAAACTATCCATGCTTCCAGTCGTATTCACCATGGTGTGTTGAATCTTTCTCATTTTATCTACCCCCCATTCCTTCTGAGTTCGCCTCATATCCATTTGGACTGTCCTACGGCGCTGCAATATACCCGTTTTACATCATGCTGGGCCCGGTTGATTCAAGTTGTCTGACACCCCCTTTTCTAGCTTCCAGAACTCATGCTATTACGAGGAATGCACGACACGGGCTGCGACGAAGTCTACATTATCGTAACGGACCTCAAGCGGCAGGAAATGGACGATGTCACCGAATACTTCAAGCTCGTGTGTCGATATTGCTTTGGGTGTCCCTGTAAACCCAGTATCGAGCGGAGGATCCAGTATGAACGTATGTCATGCACGCCCTTTCTGTTACTTCCTACCCCGATCCCCCTTTCGAGCCTGTCTAAACCCCTAACCATCGTCCCTGTTTCACTTATCTGTGTGGTGTGGCATGTTTATTCATACACGCTCTCCAAATCTAGATATGCGGCTAAGCCATACATTACTGCGACAAAGAAGGACGCCTTGTTTTCCTCAAATCGACCTCACACTGCGCGCCATCCTCTACGAAAAACGGCCCCGGTTCCTCGTACTCTTCTCCCACCAAACGACTTCGTACTCCCAAATCTTCTTCACTCATCCATCCTATGTCCCCGACGAAGAGATCTTCTACGACTACCCCACTGGCTGCCCAAACCCATGCTGCACCGACGACTGCGAAATGATTCGATTTCCCCGCCGAGGTCTCTCTACCGCGCCCGTCCTCCAAATCAAACTCCAGACAAAGAACGGAAAACGTCGAGGAATCAAAGTGAAATCCAAAGAGATGTGCAACTGGATCGACTGTGATGTCTGCTTCGGAGAGACTGTCATTTCGTCGTCATCGTCAGGGTCGGATTCGAACTCGTCGTCTGGAGGATCACATTCGAGCTGCAGTGATGGATCGGATGATGGCACGTCGTCCGTTTCGACAACGAAAAAGGTCAACTTTGGGCAGGTTTGCAGCAAGTGCAAACTTGTCAAGTATTGTTCACCAGAGCATCAAAGGATGGACTGGGAGGAACACAAGAGAGTGTGTGTTCGAAACTAGGCGTGGGCGGCGGGCGGTTGTATCGACTTCCACGGTCGTCTATTTCGTTGTGCAGCATGTGGACATCTCTTACTGCACCGGCACATTGACAACTTGCACCCTGGGTCGTTGCTATGGTTTTGCTCTGCACTTTATCATCAAGGCTCTGGACATGCGCTCATTGCGCATGTCTCACCCACCGACTTCTCGCCCTCCATCATCATTATTCTTTCCTTTCTTGCCATGACACCACAGTTTCCATTACGCTTGCATTTTCCCTCATCATCATCGTCACGTTTTCCCGTCTCTTCTGCTGCTGTTGCCATTTCTTCTGTCTCTCTGTCTCTCTCTCGGACCTAGCTTCAATTTTCTGCTACTGTCCTTCACTGCCGTCCTTTTTTTATTCGTCCTTATTTTATTTCCATCAGCTGTATAGTGGCATGCATGTAACTTATCGTCTGCCAAGTGTACAACATTTTTGTATTATTAATATAAGTAGTAAGTAGATGGGTAGTACCATCTGGTGGTACAAGTATCCCGCCTCGTATGAAATCGTGCGTCGGTGCACGGTACTTCGTGTCTCCTATCCGCTGGTCCCGTCGAACGTACAAATGAAAGCCGGCAGATACGCCTAGGCCCCGACGTCACCCTTCAACGTTGTGCTCTATGGAATTCCTTGCCGTCCTCTGGAACTACTACTTTGGAAGCGACGCCGGGTGTCACCGCTAGGAGAAGTGATTTCACGGTGTCAAAAGACATACCTCCAAGGACCACAGGCCTGTATTTTGGATGCAGACCGCCGTTTTCATGATGGACCCAATACCTTGTTCCACGATAAAGATTTCATCTGTTTGAATGGAATTAACGGTGCAGGCAGGACCCAGAGCGACAAACAGATTCATCGAGGACGTCATAATTTGTCTGCGCTACGGTATCGACATCTAGGTGCCATTAACGATGGTCAACGGCGACGGATTTGGGATATACATGTAGATTGACATTTTCTGTCAACATTCTGCTCGATGGCATCCCATTCAACCTCTACATCGAACGCACTAAGAATCTCTATATGATCCTTTGTCAGATTCGCACACCGCCTAAACGACAGCTTCTCTAGGCCAGGCCGTGGAAGCAGGGCCACCAGGTCGGAAAACCCGGTCGCAGAGCGCTTAGAGCAGGTGCAGGAGCGCGATTTCGGAGTTTCGAAAAACGTTACGTCGTGGAATGAAAGAAAGGTGAGTGTCGGGAACAGGGAGGGGTTGTGTTTGAGAGCTTTTACAAACCGCCCGCCTGCCGCTCGAGAGAGAACCACTTGTTCTACAGCTGGCATCATTTCGAACGCTTGTTCTACGGCATCTGCATCTCTACGTAGCTCTCCATAGGACAAGTACAGATATTGTACAGCGCCCAGAGACATGCCGCAGAACGAACGGGGTCCGTGTGTTCCCCAGCCCGACAGGACATATACCAGTCTGCTGGATTTGGTCATGGAGAGTGTCGGCCAATGCTCGACACGGATTTTGGAGGATCCAATAACTTCGATAGAGACCGCTTGGTACTGATCTTGGACTCGGACGGCCTGGGACAGCGGAGTCGTGGGCGTCGCTTCAAGGAGCCGTTGGGGGAGAATGGCACCGGACTGTGGAAGGGTTCCGTCTTCCGAACTCTCAATGCGAGCGGATGCTGTTTCAGGAATGGCGATGTGGGCCAAAAACTCGAGGCAGATGGAAAGTTGGCCGCTAAGGGACAGGTGCTTGAGGTGACGGAAACGGACAAGCCGTTCGTCTGGAACTGGAAGGGTCCCCGTGCGGAAGTGAACGCCCCAATCCAGGAATTCCAGTGCTGGAATCCTGGCGAATGCGTCTAGAACGCCAGCTACGTCCCATGTGGAGTCTGTCTCGGATTTTAACTTGAGCGTCGTTAATCCATTGAAGAGGGGGGACGTCCAAGGAATCCTACAACAGTCCAGTTGGAGATTGCGAAGGAGCGGTGCACCTTCTCGCAAAATGTTCCCCAGTTCGTCTGGGTGCTTCGATACGTTTCGAAGTGAAAGGGTGTGGAGTTTGGGCGCAGGACCAAGCCCGCTGGTTCTGTGCCGCAGGTCATAAATATCGCTTTGGATGACGAGTGAGGCTAGTCGGTGGGTGTCGGATAATGATTGCTGCATCATTCTATCGACATCGGGGGGTAGGGCTTTGCCCTTGAGGGTGATATTCAAAGAAGTTCCCTTTGACCTTGCCATGAAGGCGCGAAGTCGTTCCGGGTCGTCGTCTGTGATGGTTGTCCATAAGGATGCGTTGCTGAGGGCAGCGTTCCTCCAGCGACGACAAACGCGACTGATGCGAGCCCAGCGAGTTGGAGCTAACGGATAATGGGTTTCGTAGACGTCCTTGACATCAGAGAAGACTTTGCATAGTAGTTCGTTTGGAAGATGAGCGATGGGGCTGAGGTCGTTACGCTGACTCTTCAGCTTCAAAATCTCCTCCTTGACTCGAACGACTTGGTCCTCTAGAGCTGAAATTTGCTCGTCTATCTGCTGGCGCTTTGCTTCCAGTGTAGAACCCCTGGTGGCCGCTGGTAATGTGGGCACTGCGCAATAGCTCAGCCTGAATGTATGGTTGCGTTATAGCCTTCACTCACTGACTCCTGGAATCTGGGCAGTTGGGGCCTCGTCAAGTCGATCGTAAGGCGCGGTAGTACGCGAAGTTGGTGTACATTGAACAAATTTGACTCACCCCTCCCGGTCAATGGGCAAGGCGCCAAGATGATGAGGTTGGCTTGGCAAATTGGGGACACCCGAGTCGGGTTGGTCAGCCATCAGTCATCGTTTGACTTCTACAACCACCAGGTCCTCCCAGTCAGTCCTTGATTGGACCGCCGACCGCCAGAAAAAAATAAGCATATGACATCTCAAGGCTTCCTTGAACTCGAGAAATAATGTCCATTGGGAATGCTCTGTCAGCAAGGGTGAAAGCGAGTCCGGCAGCACTGCACTGGATCCATTTATGTAGAAATGACTGTCTCAAAGATTTCCCAGGCGATACTTTCCCTCCTTTTTTACTGCAACCATATCGACAGATTCTTCTTCCCACTAGCACCCGAGAATACTTTCTTGCATTCCCCAGCTTTCACAGAACCATCTCCATAGAGCCGCCATTCTGGGTCCTGATGAGCGTTTCCTCCCCTGTCAGGACTGAAACCTTTTCAGATCCACATAGTAGCTGACAAGATGCCAATCTCACCACAACTAAATCTCTCGTGCGTTTTTCCTGGGTCTGTAATTCCGTTGATGAAACTGATCACAAGATGGCGAATGTATCTGCAGGTTTCTTCTCTTTGGCTCTTACCTGTCCATTTCCTTGTTCACCATAGAGACGATGATGTTTTGTGACTACTTTCGAACAAAGTCCTCCAAGAGCGATGGCCTGAAGATCAAGATACCTGTCATCTTCACATACATCATGGATATTGCCGGTACAGTCGGGACAAGCGCGATTGTGTATGTGGTACGTGACGTTTTTACCCTGAGCTGTAGACCTTGACCTCATGGATGCAGTATGTGTTCAACAACTGGAGTGCGGAACCTTTCATTCCCTCGTGTACCTCCCCTGTCTGATAACCGTTGCAGTGGAGGCGACGCCGCGTGGCTCGCTTCAGTGGCCCCATTCAGTGATCGTGTTGACCAACGCTCTGAACGAGTTCGTGGTCCAATGTTTTATGACAAGGAGATTCTGGGACCTGTGAGTACCACATCCTCACTGCACCTTTCTCGGCTTCACTGTGCTTCAATGTACAGCACAAGACTTTGCATTCCATGCCTATTTCTCCTGGCATCCTCCCTCTCATCGGTGGGTCCCGTTTTTTTCTATGGGTGTCAAAACGCAGCCTGATCAGATTCAAGTTGGGAATGAGCATCGTCCTCGTCGTATTTTCCGAATTTCATGACCGACTGGGCGAACGATATCTGAACCTTCGCTTCGCAATGTGAGTTGTCCAATTTCAAAGTAACCGCCTCAAAGGATAGGGGCTGACAACGGTGACAGAGCCTGCCTGGGCTTGTCCGTCCTCGCCGATTTCTCCATCACGGCCTGTTTACTCTATGCGCTCTACAAGCCGAAAATACTTTCACCAGAAACCCGGATGCAAGTATCTAGCGGAGGAGACTATATGCTTGACCTGCTGACATTTCCTGGATCCAGCCTCATCCGTCAGCTTGCCGTGATCGCTGTCCAAACGGGTTGCGCACCCTCCTTCGTCGCGGCGACGTGCCTTATCATCCTCTGCGTTATCCCCGAGACGCTCGGTACGTCCTATCACTCTGTATGGGTCCCACTCTTGTTTCTTACATACCACACCGCAATCCAGTGTCGACGGCTTTCTCGATGTCCATCGGATGCGTGTACACATGCACTATGCTCTTCACTTTGAACAAGCGGGCATATCTCCGGGGCATGAATTCATGGATACACACCACTCCCTACCCTTCCCCAGACGGTACGTGCACCTCGATTCCATCTTCGTCCCTCTCTAAAGTCGACCCACCACTGTCATCGTCAATAGATCTGGCCCCGCATTGCTTCCAAGACGATGAAGAGTCCGGTTCGATGAAATTCGCCCGACCACCAGAGGTACGTTTTTCCCCCACCGCCTACTGATTTTATGACGCTGAAGGCCTGGCAGGTGCATACCGGAGCCGGTTCAAATAGTAGCTGGGATAGACGGATAGAAACGTCACCCCGCGACGCTTTACTTCGGAGCGACTCCGAGCCTGAAACGCATTTAGAGTCGCCTCCTAGCGCCAAGCTCAGTTTCTCGCAACACTCGCCGTTGTATGTGAGTGCGAGCCCCACGTCGGTGGCTTCGCGCACTGCTCCTCTCACACACCCTTGACGACCCTCGCTGGCGGTCCTGCGACAATCGATCGTACCGTCCATTTTCTTATCGGAATTTACTACAGCACCTGTATTCTTACATTTCAGCTCTTGCTACAATAGTGTTCGATTACTTCCTTGACGTCGACTCTTGCACCTGTGATCGGTAGAATTGCATGACATTAGATTTGTGTGGTCACGTCGATACGAAACACTACATGGACAGCAGAAGAAGTAAAAAGGTGGCATATTACACAAGGTATTAGTACAAAGATAAAGTCCATCATAGACAGCAAGTGGAGGAAAGCAAACGCGTTCAATCTATTAATACAGCTACATTGCCGACAAAACATCATCACCGCGACCCTTAACCAGAGCACATGACGCAGGCGTCCTTGTTCTCAAGCGAACACTGGAGCTTGGCTTCCTCGAGCTCGCGCTGGCGCTGACGTTCGAGGGCAGCAGCGAACTCGGGGTCAGCCTCCGCGGCAGCCTTGGTCTTCTCGTCCAAGGAGAGATTGGAGACGGCAGTGGTAGCCGCCTCAACCGAAGAGGACGATGCAACAGGGGCGGAAGGAGGAAGCGGGGATGCTTGAGGGGTAGCGGCCGGGGAAGGAATGCCAGTGGGGCGAGAAGCAGGAGCTTGCCTGGCGGGGCTCGCAGGGACGGATGCAGCGGGGGCAGCCTTCTGCGTCTGCTCCTTGGCGGCCTTGAGCAAGCTCTGGTCGACGGTGAATTGAATAGCCTGTGCCGCCGGTCGAGTACGCAGGTAGTACATTCCGGTCTTCAAGCCCTTCTTCCAACCGTAGAAGTGCATGCTGGTTAGTTGACCCATGGTGGGAGCAGAGAGGTGAACGTTGAGGGACTGGCTCTGGCAAATGAAGGCACCGCGATCGGCAGCGAGGTCAATGACCTTCTTCTGACTGATTTCCCAGACGGTCTTGTAGATGGCCTTGACATCCGCTGGAATGTTAGGGATGTTTTGGACAGAGCCGTTGTGTGCGATAATCAAATTCTTCATGTTGTCATCCCAGAGACCGAGGTCGACGAGTTCGCGGAGAAGCCATGGGCAGACAACCTGGAACTCTCCAGCCAAAACACGACGAGTGTAAATGTTGCTGAAACGACGTCAGGGTAAGGACAAGGTCATGGGAGACGTATGAACGCACCTAGTATATGGCTCGAAGCATTCGTTGAAACCGAGGATTTGACTGGTGGAAGCAGTGGGCATCGGGGCAAGTAAGAGCGAGTTCCTGAGGCCAGTCTTTGCGATCTGTGCCTTCAGAGATGCCCAGTCCCAAAGATCGGAGGGCTTCACGCCCCAAAGGTCATACTGAAGCTGGCCTTGAGAGGCGGGGCTGCCTTCCCAGGTCTCATAAGGTCCGTCTCGGGCTGCAATCTCGGAGCTGGCCTCGAGGGCAGCGTGATAAATGGTCTCGAAGATTTGGAGATTGAGTTCCTTGGCAGCCTGGGAGTCAAAAGGCATGCGGAGGGCCATGAACGCATCGGCGAGACCTTGCACGCCGATACCGATAGGCCTGTGGCGCATGTTCGATCGACGGGCTTCAGGAATGGGGTAGTAGTTGACGTCGATGATCCGGTTGAGGTTGTAGGTCACAACCTTGGTGACTTCGTGAAGCTTCTTGAAGTCGTAGACACCGTCCTTGATGAAGGTAGGGAGGGCTAGGGACGCAAGGTTGCAGACGGCTGTTTCGTCGGGAGAAGAATATTCGATGATCTCGGTGCAAAGATTGGAAGACTTAATGGTGCCCAAATTCTTTTGGTTAGATTTGGCTGTTCGGCTGTAAGTTGGACGTTCGATGTAGTATTCAACTATGTTGCTCACCATTGGCGTGATCCTTGTATACCATGAACGGTCCACCGGTCTCGATCTGGGCCTCGAGGATAGCGTACCAGAGCTTTTGGGCGCGAATAGTCTTGCGTGCGCGGCCCTCTTTCTCGTATCGTTCATAAAGCTCTTCGAATTCAGCACTGTGGACATCATGCAGGCCGGGCGCTTCATTGGGGCAGAAGAGAGACCATTCGCCGTCGGCTTCAACTCTCTTCATACTAGACACATGGGGTCAGCTGGAATAGACGAAGAACGGAGAGATACGCACAAGAGGTCTGGAATCCAGAGGGCATAGAAAAGGTCACGAGCACGGACTTCTTCCTTGCCGTGGTTCTTGCGCAAATCCAAGAATTCGAATACATCCGCGTGCCAGGGCTCGATGTAGATAGCGAAAGCTCCAGGCCGCTTGTTTCCACCCTGATCCACGTAGCGGGCAGTGGCATCGTAAGCGCGGAGCATGGGCACAATTCCGTTGGAGTAGCCATTGGTTCCAGCGATATAGGATCTGTAAAAAAAACCTTAAGCCTATGCACTACCTCGAGCAATGAGGGCGCATGCTTACCCAGTTGCGCGAATGCAGTGAATGTTTAGACCGATACCACCAGCGGTTTTACTGATCATTGCGCAGTTCTTAAGGGTGTCGTAGATGCCTTCGATCGAGTCGTCCTTCATGCAGACAAGGAAGCAGGAGCTCAACTGTGGGTGGGGAGTGCCCGCGTTGAAGAGCGTTGGTGAGGCGTGCGTGAAATACCGCTCCGACATGAGGTTGTAGGTTTCGAGAACTCGGTCAATGTCGCGGCCGTGGATGCCAACAGCAACACGCATGATCATATGTTGGGGTCGTTCTGCAACACGTCCGTTGAGTCGGAGAAGGTATGAGCGTTCAAGGGTTTTGAAGCCGAAGCTAGAAGACGATTAATCTTGCATACTACGTGAGAGGAACGTAGAACGCACTAATTGTAGTTGAAATCGCGATTGTAGATGATAGCAGAATCGAGGGTGTCAGCATTGTCGCGAATAACCTCCCAGGTCTCTTTCGAAATCATTCCTGCAGGCTTTCCATTCTTTGGGTTAACTGTGAAGGCCGTTAAGTTTCCTTTACCCAAGTGATAACCAAGTGTACGCACCATATTCATAAAGGTCTTTCATCACTTGAGAGAAGCTCTTCTTGGTTTCCTTGTGAAGGTTGGAGACAGCGATACGGGCGGCAAGGACAGCATAGTCGGGGTGTTTGGTTGTAAGGTAGGCGGCAGTCTCGGCGGCAAGGTTCTGTTCAAGGAAAATAAGCGTCATCAATGCGACATGAATGTTACCACACGCACATCAAGTTCAACGGTGGTGACACCCTGGTACACGCCGACGACGACTTTCTGGGCAACCCTGGAGGTAGTTTGGTGTCAGAGTTGTGGGATGCTGTACTGCTGTACTCGTTTAAACATACTCGATTGGGTCCACAAAGTTCAGGTCGAGACCGTAGCAGAGCTTGCTGATTCGCGCAGTGATCTGATAATCGAAGAGGTTAATAACCAGACGAATAAAAACGCGATGTCGGGCTCACCTTATCAAACTGAACGCGTTCCTTGCGACTATACGACGCGTCAGGACCTGTGAATCACCTTTCGACGCGCTATGAACGCGAAAAACCTACCCATCTAGAAAAACACGCGACGATCAGGTCTTGTTCGTCGAGCCCGTGCGCGATGGAGAACACGTACCTCGCTTGAATACGTATGTCATCGTCGTTGTAATGTCGTCGCCGTTGCCTAGCGCAATGAGCGAGGATAAAAGTTGGGGGTAAGTGGGAAGAAGATGGTGGATGGATTCAAAGAGGTGAGAACGAAGGTGCTGAAATATTCAATCTCTGACTAAGCCCGTTGAATGTTTGGTCTTGTTATTGCGAAACGGTGGGTGAGCGTGACAGCTCGAAGGCCCTGTTCGCCACCATAATACTGTCCCTTCTGAAGGGTAAAACGCCAGAGAATAATTGATGTCTTCCCTGCGTTTTGGGGCTTTTTCTTCCCTTGGTTCTTTGGAGAATGGGGCCCCAGTATTGATCCTGCCGCTCGCTGACTAATCCTTAATTACCGTTCACGTCGCGTCGAAACGCGTCCGTCATCGCCCCTCTCATGGACGCGTCAAATACGAACGCTCTGAGGTAAGGAAACAACTGTGACAACCGATTTTCCAGTGTCCAGTGGGTGGTAGTGGATGATGCACGTCGACACCGCTTAGCACCTCCATGTCTGACTGTAGTACCCGGCAAGGTCATTGCAAAGGGCGCAGCGGACCTGGCGCCTAGGGACGTGCGCTGAAAATGGCGGTACTATAAGTCCACTAGTATCAAGAGGTGTGCTCGACACCATGCTATGGACTTAGAAGGCTTGTGTATAATGACTCTACTCCTGAATCAGGCATTCGGAAAGCCGCTTCTCCGTAACCTTGATTGAGAGGGCGACGTGCAGCTTCCGCTTCGGCGGGAAGTCAGCGGGGGTCATCACCATGCCCATTATCAGCCCACCGGCTCCTCAAAAGCCTGCTCCAACTGACCTTCTTGCCATTGACTATATGGACTAGTCCGTCTTCAGTGTGACGGCGGTTCTCGGAAATAGATCCAAGGAAGAGAGCATTGATCGCTACTACAGTTTCCAAGAGCATAGTGGTTGACTCTGTGAGCCAGGATCCAAGTGAGCAAACTCAGACTTGAGAACAACACGCCTGACGTTGACAGGTTCGCAGTGACGTTTATGCGAGAGAGCCACCGCGAGGGGCCAATTATAGGTATTTCACTTTCCTCCGCTATGCCATCATTCTGAATAAGACAAGAAGATTACGGCGAACTCTAAGTGATCGTTTGGGAGCGCTTGATTGGCAATGGAAGCAATGTCGACACCACCTTGCAGCCCGCCCCTGGTATTTTCATCCAAATTAAAAAGGTAGTAACTCCACGTCCATGCAGATCAAACAACGATTTGACACTCGAAGCTGGTGTCAAGATCAGTTTTAGGACCTCGGACACCGTGTCTTCTTCAAGTGGTGAACTTTTTCTGCGGTCTCGCCTGGGATTATCGCCGAGCACATTGTGATTATCATCATCACTCTACCCATTGCAGATATAACAGATACAAGCAATGTCACCGAATTCGAGCGCGGACATGCCACAGGCAGAGACTGAACAGTAGATACTTAGGATTCTCCCTACCCGCATGCAATGCACAGGTAGCATCATATGTTCGGGGTTGCGTTATTTCAGTAGTCTCAGCATTGCACGCTCGAGGATTCTCTGCTGCTTCTACCTCTTCCTTTCTCCAAGCTACGAAGACCTGCTTTCCCCTGCTGGGTTGTAGTTTGTCTTCCGTCTGATTTCCAGATTCCAACACTAGTCCGAGTCGGGCAGCTGACTACTGGCAGCGGGTCCGACTCTTCCAACCACGAGGGAGTACCATGACAATGGGATTGTGCTTTGATGCTATTGCTTAGGGCTATGTAGCTGGGAATAGAGCATGCCCCAGGACGTCCCTAGACAGATAGTAGGTGCTGAGGGTACAGTTCTGGCACCACTCACCCAAGCACGGTGTGACAATTCACTATTGCTCTCGACCTTTAGGGAATCTAAAATGCCAATGGTACCGCGGCCTTTAGAACTTGTACGAAAGTATCCTTCTTCACTGTCCTCCCTCGATGTTTCGACCCTTTCAGATTGGCAGGCCCAATACGTGATCATCAAACATCATCAAACTGTCGGGATCATTTCGTTTCGCGTTGGCATCTCTCCAGCGCCCATGCACTGCCCGTGTGGTGATGGACATTGTCCATGAAACTCGATAATTCCGCACAAATGCTTCCAACCTCTCCGATCCCTGTATGCTGGTCTGATCCCCTGATCTACTAGCGGGCACAGCAAGGATGTCTCATAGAGTAGATGTCCGCCATCCTCTCGTGAACGGTGTCTGCCTGTCGGTTAATCGAGATCCGAGAAGTCGCGACGACAGATCTCAGCCCAATTCAAGCAACATACCGTCACAACATCACCACGACATAGACTATTGAGTCTTGGCGCACCGCTCAAAAATAACCGACTTGACCGTCGGAACTGAGCCAGGGCGCTCCCTCCACGGGTTTAGCTCACCGCTTCTTCCCTTGCCACCCGCTCCATCCCATTGCAAGGGTGGCATCGTGCTTGATAATGTACTAAGCCTAGTCCCGTCGGTGACGCTACAGTATGCCGTCGTATCTCGCCGTGTACGAGGATTCAGCCCCGTATTTCACTTACACTGGAGGATGGAGAGCTGGGACGTCTTCGGACGATAGAAGTGCTGATAGGTGAGTATTCTCAAGTGTGCTTATAGAACCTGCTCACCGCATCCTCCCCGCAGATACTCAGAAAGCAGTTTCACTGTCACAGATTCGCCAGGCGCGACGTTCTCATTCATCTTCTACGGAACAGCTGTCTCGATCCATGGTGCCAAACGCGGGAACCATGGACCCTACCAAGTAACCGTCGATGGACAACTTTTTCCAACCGAGAGTGGCCAGTCGACCCCCGACCAATTCAACGTGACACTCTTTTCCACCATTCTCGCCAAAGGCCAGCACACAGTTCAGCTACAGAACAGCGGGAGGTCGTTTAGAGACATTGATTATGTGGGTGACACTTTTGCTTGGTTGCGCCCATGATGGTACAATCTAATTCGCTATATCAGGTTACCTGGGAGGCCAGTGTAGGAGAGCCCGACGAACCTTTGATCGTGAACACGGTCCAGGATAATCACCCGACCTTTGAGTACACACCAACGACAGATTGGACGACGGAACCGCCCCTCGTCGGAACCTATTCCGGTGCCAACGGACAGTACGTTGACCACTTACAATGACCCACGGAAGAAGCATCCTAACCGTGTTTCCTCACAAAGTGCAACAGGGACGGTGGGCGCGAGCGCTGTCCTGACATTCAGAGGTGATGCCATTGCTCTTTACGGGCCTTCAGGACCCGACTGTGCAGCAACCTATTCTGTCCAGGTTGACGGGCGACCGAGCCAGTCATTTAGTGCCCTGAAGCAGTTCTATAGGGCACGACAGTTGCTTTACTACGGTGCCAACTTGGGACCTGGGGAACACAAACTCACAGTTACCCTTACCTCGAACTCGAATCCGGGACAGCTACTTGCGATTGACTATGCTGAAATATACACCGCTCCATCACTGGGTGGAAGGTATGTATTCCTCGCCCAGAGATCTAAATGGCTTAGTCTAATGATCTGACCGTCCAGCTTCGCACCTCTGGACGGTTCAACGAGCCTTCCAATAGGTCTAATCGCAGGCCTCGCAGTCACCTCCGCACTAGCCGTGGTCTGCCTCATCTTCCTCATCTACCTTCTCGTTCTCTGCAAGAAAGGTCGTATCAGGAGGTGCAACGACAAAGACGACATGGCACGCGGAGCGGTGAACATCGAAGGAGCTGCCACTGGCACCAACTTCAACCCTTCGCTCATGCCATTCGAAGTAGAACCTTTGCAGGTTTCCCAGTTCCGCCAGGCGGGGAGTAGCACCCAGGGCACGTCTTCACTATCGTCGTATCCGGCGCAGTCACAGTACCCGCACTATCAGACACAGACATATCCGGTATCGAGCTCATCAAACAGTACCGGACCAGGGTACCCCCAACAAGGAACTCCACAGGGAGCTATAAGTCCTGAAACAGCGGAGACCTCGACGATCACCTCGAATTCTAGATCAACCAGCACGAATGTGAGTAAACCCCAAATCTGCGTGCGGGTTCCGGAATTCCTCAAACTAATGTACCTTTCGTTCAACAGCCGGGAGGGGCATCTGTGTTCCCTTCACTTTCTATACGCAAGATGCGCAACGAAATACATCCAAGAGAGCGACCGAGGGAAAGTGCTGAGCCTCCACCAGCATATAACCCTTCGACCTAATGAACAACGTCTATATTTTACTTTTCGCGTGGTTATCGGTATGACGACATTGACATGGACATTGGAACGACTCTTGCAGTGACTAGTGAATATACGACTCTACACCAAAAATAATATCTTATAGGACTAGGGACTCGGAATGCTATCAAACAACGATATGAAATGTAAGAAGACTATGTAAGAGGCCACGGTCCATCCGCTTCACACATGCGGGATAAAGTTGCTCCATTCGACAGTTTCGTGACCTTTGTCAGTAAGATATCCAAGCCCCCGAAGAGCCAGAATGACCAAAACAATTCGTGCAGGTATATAGAGTAGAGCGCTGCAGCGGGCCAGAAAAGCCAGCCCAGTCGCAACCTTCAAGTTCCTCTGGTAATGCGCCCTCGCCTTCGCAGGTCCGCATATAGTCAAATACAGCCGCCCTATACAGGGTGAAATCAAGAATATAAGTGGGGATACGGCGACATAGAGTCCACATATCCGCCACGCTATTTGGACCTGTCTAGAATGGAAATTGAAATTCCAGGCGATGCAATGGATAGCCCCGAAGCCTGAGGCAAGAAGGGGAGTGCCAATTAGAACCGAGAATAACGCTTTGTCGTCTGCTGGAAAGGCATAGTATCGCGGCAAGTGGGGAACGCGGTCGTCGAGTATCACGGAGGAATAGCTCATGTCTGCAATTTCTTGGGCGAGTTTCCGAATTGAGGTCCGAATGAGGTTGAGCACTGGGAATGATAGATCAGTGGTGACTATCATGGGCTTGGAGCTTCGCCAACTTACAGGCTTTGAGGACGTTTCCGTCCTCCGGTGACGCGACCCGCAAGTTCGAAGGTGGTAAATCAAGCTCCAGCCATTCTTCCTTGTACCATGGCATAAGAGTCCGGTAATACTCCAGGTGACTGGGCTCCGGTGGATGACCAGGGTAATTGGAAGGATCAATGGATATCACCTCTGGACGCTGCACATCCAAAGGTTTACCCCACCACAAGTAGTACACGACACCGTTCAGGGCAGCATACGCCAAAGTGACAATCTCCAGCTCTGTCACATCCAACTTCTCGATGGCGCGAGCGATGCATTGAACTATGAACCACGTCGTCTGAATGACGACAAATGATTTCGCGAGCTCGTCCCCTTTGCTTTTGTCGGATATATGGTCGACCGTGATGGGCATCTCTTCCAAAATGGATCGTGCCGCGGAGTATGGTAGTGGCCGTCGCCTTTGCTCGTCCGTGAGTTCGAGGGGTGGAAGGAGGCCATTTTCCCGAGATGATTCGTAAACATCGACAGGCCAGTCTTCGAGGATTTTCATGAGATCCAGACATCGATGTTCGCCTTCGTAGTCGAAGACTACTCCCCCCATTTGGAGGAAATGAGCGTGTGTGATCGTGCATTTGCTCCCTGCAAAGAATGAGTGAAGAAAGAGTGTTCACAAGTAGCATGACCTACCTAAGATCCCTGAAATCCTCCTAGCACCGACCCATTGTCGATACGCCCACATCAACATCAGCTCCGGGCAAATAAGCGCCCATGCGAATAACACCAATCGCTGTCGGAGACGTTGCCAATGCGTGGAGTGCGGGCTCAAGATGTTTGGATGGACGGAGATCCATGTACAGGCGAAGATCGTGGTTAGGCACATCCACACGATGTCGATTGTAGAGCGATAATTCTTGTTGAATTCGATGCTCGAATCAGGGGCCATCCTTGAAAGTATCGTGTGTGGAAAGGGGAGGAACAATGAATAGGGCGCAATCGTCCTTCTATGCTGGCCTCTATAAAGAACCAGTATCACTCGTCTTAAACAGATGGTGAGCGGCAATGATGTCAACATCCCGCACAACACTCAGCGAGTGCATGTTGACTGAACTGAATGAGCGACGCCACAGACAATGAAACCAGTCACGCACCCATGTCACTGTTCCTCCCGATGTCCTCGCCTCGACTAACCAAGTCCTTGAATGTAACCCAGAGGGGCTGGGCTTCCAAGGAAAAATCTACCACGTCCGTCAGACGGGCAATCGGAGACGTTCAACATCTATGGAGCGTCGCATCTTGCTTCACACAGCTCGTCCATACTGGTGGTGTCGATGAGGTTGCTAGAAGTAAGGAGTACAGAGTCGATTGGGCTGCCAATTCCGGGATTCCACTGTGCATTTCGTTTCGGTGTTGTCATTTCGTTGAAAGAAACAATCGAGAGCGACGCTTGAGAAGGACCTGCCATATACGGATGGCATTGATGTTGTTTACCAAAGGCTTCTGGATTTGGCTTGGAGTTCTTGGATCGACGGTGTTGTGTTGCATTCAATTAGCGCTTCGATGACATAGAACAACGACAACGACAATGGCGACAACAGCGACGATAGCGGCGGCCATCGCAGCGAAAAATCGTCCTACAATACCATCAGGCTTCCCTACTCGCGCCCCAGGCCGCGCTTCCAGGCCAACACCTCTCGTTTTCCCCGACGATGAATACGACGACGACCCCATACTCAGAGAAGCAGCATCTCGACCCAGACGATCATCGACGGTCTCCGCAGACTCCGACTCTGAAGATTCACCACATTCACCAGTCCTGTCTGCACTCGATTCGTCAGCCGCGTTAATCCTCGTACACGACGAGAACGACAATGCGAATGACCATTTCGAATTCTCCGACGACGAGACGGGAGAGGATGATGACATTGTCAGCCCGGTTTTCGAGATCAGAAGAACATCTATTCCTGCCCTACCTTCCCTCTCGATATTGCTCTACCTGCTCTCGCCGTACCTCAAGCTGGGAACCCTGAACGTGCTGGGGAGTGCCGAAGGGGTGCCGTTGAAGCATTCCCTACCTGCCTTGTTCGGCCTTGCGATTATGTCGGCCTTTTCAAGGCAGCTGTGGTACTTGCTGGCACGATACCTGAAGAAGGCGGATATCATGGAGGTCTTTTGTGATGCATTTGCGAAGGCGCGAGGGAAGGAACGGCAGCGTCGGATAATTCGTACGACTGTCAAGGTCTGTACGGCTATTGTCAACGCATTGTTGGCTATTGTATATCTACACGGTAAGCCTTGTGTTGGTTTCAGTATGGTTCTAGCTGACTGTCCGTATACAGAATCTGCAAACAGTTTACTTCCGCTTCTCTCAGATTCTATCTTCGCGCGTATATTCATCGGCATGCTCTTTAGTGTGCTGATACTGTATTTGTCGACTGCTCAATCTCTCGCCTCAAAACGGGTGCTCTGGGCCTCATGGCTCTCAATCCTGTCCTTCCTCGTCTGGTACTCTTGTGTGATTTATGCCCATGCAAAGGGCAAACTTCCACATGAAGGTGGATGGTTCAGCACTCAACCATCGTCATGGCAGGCTATCTGTAAGTACCTCCATACTTCTGTAGCTTCTCGGTCTCTCATCCAATCGTTGCAGTCATGATAGCGTTTGCATTTACCACCACCTCCACCCTTCCTCTTTACGCCTCATTGAAGAGCGGTACTAACAAGCTCATCTCGACCGCCAAAACTCCCCGATCACGTTCCTTCCGCATCCTGTCACTGTTGTCCACCTTCTTGGCTACAGCTCTGATCCTCCCATTGGTTATCTTTGCCGCAAAACCCAATATCCCTGCTTCAGTAAGTCCCCCTGTCCTTCTTCGAATGGTGAATGTTCATCCCATTCAGCGTGACATTCCTCCCTCTTCACAGGCCGTTCCCAAATTCCCAAAACCTTCATCACCAGAAGGCATCCGCATTGCCCTCGCGTCCCTATCCTCGGCCACCCTCCTCCTGGCCGTCCCTCAAGCCATCCTAACCGTCCCAGCCATCCCGCTCCGCCTCGGCCTCGGGCGAACAGGAAATGTACCTCGAACCCTTACTTCGCTCCTCATCATCTTCCTTGCTACCCTCCTTTCTTTTATCCGCTCCTCCTTCATCGCACACCTGTTTACCCCTCTCAACATTGCCCTGGTCGTCTTCACCCTCCTGAGCACATACTTCCTCCCCGCCTTCCTCCACATCTCAGTCCACTTCTTCAAGCGACCACTGGCGATCGTAATACCCAGGACACCCCTCCTCCAAACGTCGAGCAGTAATGGGAACGGTGCTTCGCCCAACGGGGATCCTGGCCCGAGTTCGGTATCGGGACTGGCCTCTGGGGCACTGGGCGAGACGCAGAGAGGGATGCCGGACGAGTTGTTGCAGAGGAAGGAGAGGGCGTTGCAGAAGAAGCAGTTCAAGAAGCGCATCGTGTGGGATGTGGGTGCGTGGGTGCAGGTGTGGTTGTGTGCTGCGGGAGTGGTCGTTGGGTTTTCTTTGTTGTGGTCGTCGTAGGCGACTGAGAACGGAGGAATGATCATGACCTCCTGCTGTTCTTTTACCCCCCGGTTGTATCAACTACTGGACGTGCTCTAGTTGATGGACGGTCTTCGATGTATGTGTGTATCTACATTCGTTCGTTCCTTTCGTGCACTACTGCTCTTTTCCTTGTTTTTTGTATCTGGACATTGCCTTGTACCTCCTGGCTTGAGGTTAACAGTGACTTCCAGTCGGACTAATTTTCTCTTGCATCTTGGTTTTTACCCATCTTGTACATAGCTTGCATACATACCAAGTTCTATCGTTTTCGGGGTTGAATTTTCTGTCTACAAGGACTGCGAAGCCATGATCGGTTTACTTTGCCAACGCCCCTATCTCTAGCGTGATGGGCGATTTGCTTCCGCACGGTTGGGACGGTTGGGACCTGGCACTCTTCCTCCTTCGATTCGACCACGCCTTCCTCCACCAACAGGATCGCTCACTTTCTCCGGTATTACTCGACACTGTGACGCACAACTCTCAATGTCAAAACATAGCGCAGGCGCCGGTTAACATTGCGTTTACATATTGGTTCATTTCCAGCCAATCGCACGTCATTGGGTCTGGCGGTGGAAGAGATCATGACGACTGCCGGGGCGTAGATTCCCTAAATATCGCTAGCTTCGGGGATATATTTATGTGGAATGGCGGTTTATAGCCATCCTTATCACTGCCAACACCGTGACTGTTTTGCGTCCCAACCAACACGATCACCACGGCCCAACTTGAAGGCGTACAATGCCGTTTGAGGATATCCCTTTGAACGACGGGAACAAGGTAGGTTGGCGTGGGAGGACTCGTCTGGTTGGAGGAGAGGAAAGGCTAATCGTCTTCGTAATAGATACCCGCTATCGCCTACGGTTCGGGCAGCGTGAATAAGGGCAAGGATATCCACAGCTACATCGAACAGGCCATCGAAGTGGGGTTCTCGCATTTGGATACTGCTCAATGTGAGTGTCGACTCTGAGCCTCTTGCAACGCACTGCTTTATCCAAATCTCTAACCCATGCCGCCATGTGTATTAGGGTATGAGAACGAAGAAAGCGTTGGAAAGGCGATCCGTGAAAGTGGATTGGAGAGGTCGCAGCTTTATGTGACGACCAAGTATAGCTATGGCCATGTTCCTTTGCGCGAGTCCCTGAACGCGAGTTTGCAAAAGGTGCGTGTGTCTGTCGGCGAGGTTCTTCTGCATAGGTCCACCTGATGCTCATAAGCGTTTTTAGCTCGGTCTGAAGCAACTGGACCTCTACCTCATCCACAGTCCGAGGAGTGTAACGAACTACGTCGAGGCGTGGAAGGAGCTGGTGGAAATCAGAAAAGAGGGTCTCGCCAAGTTCGTGTTTTTAGTTCCTCCTTCCGCTCGCGCGTCCCAACGTGGCCCCTTCCTATTCGTTTATTACAGGAGCATAGGCGTTAGCAATTTCACCATCCCTGAACTGGAGACACTGCGCGCGCACTCCAAAGTCCTCCCGGCGGTCAACCAGATCCGATTACACCCATACAATATCAAGGAGAACAGGGCCCTGCTGGCATACCATGCTCGTCATGGAATTGTTACTGAAGCGTATGGGAGTTTAGCGTGAGTCGCTGCTCGGCCTTCAGTTTGGAACACGAAGAGTTAACCAGGTGGAATTGTTTACAGGCCGATAACGCAGTTCCCGGGAGGACCAGTGGATAAGCCATTGAATGAAGCCGCGAAGCGGTTAGGTGCGACACGCGCCCAGGTCATTTTCCTTTGGTTGAGAGCCAAAGGTGCGGTTATCGTCACGTACGTTCCCTTCGTGTTGTCCAGCTCTTCCAGACTCTTCCGTGCGAGCTGACAACACGCGCTGCAGGACGAGTTCCAAGAAGGAGCGCATGGAGGAATACATTGCCGCAGGCGATTTGCGTGAGTTTTATCGAAACTCTTCAAAAACCGAATCCATGCTGATTAGCTTTGCCTTATCAAGCACCTTTGACGCCTGAGGAAGTCGAGGCGATTGATGAAGCGGGCGCTAAAGGGCCGCCGTCCCGCGCTATCGCGATCAGGGATATCGTTCGGTTTGCTGCTCAGGCCCTCATCACAATTGCTGTTGTGCATTTCGTAATTGGTAAGGGGCAGGCATGGCATGCATCCCGGCAGGGAGCCTTCATCGTATGAGAGACAATCTGTTGTCAGTTTCTCGACACCATGTTTTACGAGTATTACACTTGAAAGCGCCGAAATACGAGCTATAGTACAGGTGATAGTTAACTAAAGTACAATGATCATAGATGAGCAAAAGGGTGAGGACTTCCCAAGCAAAGAACTAGGACTTCATTTTCCCGATTCACTGAAATAGTCCCCCAAAGCGTCTTCCACCTTCCTCACGACCTCCGCCAAAGCCTTCTTCGCTGGGACCCTACAATCCGGGTGCATATACGTCGCAGTGCCCCACCGATCGAAATCCCTCTGAAGAACTTTAACTCTCCCTATCACGTCCGCCGTACCCAGCCCCAACACAGCGTCGCTCCTCGTCTTCTCCTTCCAAAACTCCAACCAGGATTGCGTGCACCCGTGTTGGTGCCAAGTGGCCGTACACGACGTCGAGTGGTCGAAATGCGGAGGGCTGAGACGGAGTTGTTCCCATGTACCTGAGAGGCGGTAGTACCCACTCAGGAGCCGGAGTTGCTGTGTGGATGTCAGAGGTAGCGGGACGTTGGAGGATGGGTCTGGACTGGGTGTGGTGGACAAGGATGCAGTTGATGTTGCACCGGGAAGGGAGAGTACTGAAGCTGCGGTCGAAGCTGCCATCGTCGTCTGAACGTTGATATTCGAGAGGGGTGCTATCGCATTCGCCATCGCAACCAGCGTATTGTGGTTGTTACCTCCAAACTGAACTGGGGCCGAGCCAAAAGGGTTAGTAGCTTGAGGTGAAACCGAGGTGCTGTTGGAAGTTGATGATGATGCTGCTGCTACCAAGGGAGAGGGTGTACGCAGGCCCAGGTCGATGTCGAGCGAAGGGACGATCTTGGCTTTTTGCATCACTTCGAGGTAAGCGGCCCCGCGGAGACTTCGGAGATTGTTCTCGTCTGCGAGCGTCATTGCGAGATAAGCGTAGTGCAAGGAGCTGGACATGAGTTCGCGGAGGAAGTTGACTAGCGTGTCGAGCAGGGGTGTATGCCCGCACAGCTGTGCGAGTGATATCAGACGGGTGAGGTGGGCCGTGCTGTCTTGAGGAGAAGACTCGGATGGAGGGGAGTATGTGTAGGTTGCCGGGCTCGGGATGGTGCTCAAGATAGGCGATGGTTTGCGGTTGACGTAGTCTTGGATTGCTTCCAGAGCCCAGGTTTCCACCGACTTGAAAGCGTACTTGTTCGATATTCGTGCGATGTTGATAAGTTGTGTGAGGTCGGCTGTGGGAGAAGTGACAGCCCGGAGTTCATGTGGCCTTTGTAAGGGTGCAGCGGTCAGAACAAAAGAGTTTCAGAGAAGGACGGTAGCGGGTACGCACAGCGCGTACATGGCCCAGAGGAAGTCTCGGAATTCCTGAGGAGAGTCGCCGTGGAGGACGATTGGGTTGTCCTCCGATTTGCCTTCCTCGGGCAGGCCAAGACTGCTATGGCGCTCTCGAGGAGAGAACATCGTACTGAACGTCGAGCCATCCTTGCTCAGCACAGACCTATGCACCTAAAGACATTGCAATACTACAGTTCAGTGACGGGTCGCAGAGATGAAGCGTTATCACACTCACATTGAACAATGTATCTTTGATCAATATCACACAGCTGCCGTCTTCAAAGTAGTACTGCCCATCCTTGGTCCAGGTCGGACGGTCGGAATGGTCCATCTCGTCGGTATTCAAGAGTTCCTTTTCGTCTAGCAAAGAGTCTTCCGAGTCACAGCCAATATCGACGTCTTCGTCACGGTTTCTCGTATCCATCGTCCTGAATCAGGTCGCGGGGTTCTTGAATGGAGTCGGAATGTCTCCGTGTTCCTGTTTAACGCGCCTATCAAGACTTGTCCATAGGATAGTTAATTCTGCATATTCATTTTAACGTCGAGGTGGTCGTGAATAGTGGCTAGTGGGTACATACTGTTCAGATCGTCATGGTCCTGGTTCAACCCGGTGGACGATGGAGAAGGCAAGTAGCGTCATGCCCGGCTATCTCCTCGGCGTCCGAACGTCATGCACGTGTGAGAAAAGGGGTCATGGCGTTATAGTGTAGTGGTTATCACTCGGGATTTTGACCTCTCATCAATCTTCCCGAAACCCAGGTTCGAACCCTGGTAACGCCTACCGTTTTGTCTTTTTGCTTGTGCATCCAGCGCTTATCCACACTTCATGAAGAAACCACGAAACTCAGCACACTGATGATGGACGAAGAGAAAGGTTTTGATTGAGACTACGAGGAGTACTACAGACAGTTTGATGTCCAGAACATCCGAGTCGGCAAATACGTTTAGCACTTGCAGGCTCCGGCAGTGCAAGCACAAGCGCCGCTGCTGCATTGGCAGCTGCAATGAAGCGAATCAGTTTATACACACACGGTAGTCTAAGAGGTCGACAATACAAACCTAGAGGTGCAACCGGTGCAGGCGTTGCCGCAGTTGAAGTTGACGGGGATCTGAAGATGGAGCCATCAGCGTCAAGGTTCAGGTCAAAGCGGAGCGAGAAGAGTTAGCTTACCGCTGCGTTCTTGCAGGCGCAAGCAGTGCAAGCGCAGGCACCGCTGTTGCACTGGCAGTTGGAGTTGCAGCTGGTGCAAGAGCTGCAGCAGTTGAAGTTGGGGGGGTTCTGCGAAACAAGGTCTATCAGTCGAACGAACGCGTTCAAGATGGCAAAGAAGTACTGACCATTGTGATTGAGTGATTAATTCGAGTGAATTGAAAGGCAGAGGACGACTCTGAGGGACAGATGTCGTCGCCGACGAGCCTTTATACCCCTTCCATCCTATTTGCAACTGTTTTGAAATATGAGGCATTTTCTCACTATGAGCCATGCTCCCCGGGAGCCTCCCTGTATGTTCCCTGTCGATCCCTGCACGTTCCCCGGTTCTCCCTGGCCGTTCCCTGCTTGACAGGGATTACCCAGGGAGTCTCCCGGGATATGCTTCCCTGGTGAGGTGGGGGAGTCGTGATTCCCGGATAAAGGGAGGTGATTTCCCTGTCTGAACCGTGGGGCTCATTAGTGAATGGGCGCATCAGGAATAACCCAAATTTAAAACAGTATTTAGACCAGGAAGGAATCTCGACGGCGACTTACCTTGGGCCAGCACATGAAATGATGTAGGTCAAAGCTGCAGAGCCAAATCGGCAGCATTGAACTACGTCATAGCGCTGGGGCCCCTCCAGGACGTCCGTCGCAATCTAAGGGAGAATAACCATACAGCTTGTTAGATTACCTTCAAGAGAACACGAATATGTCAAAAAAACGAATGCCACACATTTTCTAGTCTATGACAGTTACACGCTTCAATGTCTAATCGTCGTACTCGGGTATATTTGTTCTAACCTGGCTCCTATCACAAATCGCCCATTCCTTATTCCATGGAATCCTCCCAATCAGACATTTGATGTTTGTGATATCTGTAACGTCGGTACCCTGAGCCTTTCTGTAGAAATGGATGTTGAGCTTTGGTGAGAGCCTGCTTGTGACATGGCACTTGTTGACGACACCCAAGACCATGGTTGTCGGTTGAGAAAGTTCAGGAATTCCTTCGACTGCGGGCATGGAAATGGCGAGAATGTATGTGAGCTGGCCATAGAAGATATTGGTCCTGTACTTGGTTGGCTTGTTCTTGAAGCGAGCGTTGAGGTCGACCGCTAGTTTGTACTAAAATTGTTCAATTAAGTGTTATATTTTCATGCAAGTGCAAGTTCACTCACCCGAACGAAGGTCGCGTCGCGTCGGTCATCACAATTGCTGGAAGCTTTCAGGATCTCTGATGCAAGCATGGTATCACCTCCTTCGAGCCTCTTGAGTTTACCCCACTGCTCAACGGTTGAGTTGTTGAGAATATACAAGGCATCATTCATCGTAATCCCACCAGCCTCGGAAGGATTGTCAGGGGAAAACCGGGTGACAAGTGCTGCAGCAACAGCCTTCTGGAGACCTCGAACCGACGTCAAATCAAACGGTTTTCGAGGATAACCGAGGCGGTATCTGGTATCTATGAGGAAGCCTTCAGGTGTGCTGGACTGCGGGCAAATGGCATACGAACGTACATTTCTCGTGACTCGGATTTGGAATCTCATACTCCATCTTCTTCCTTGGTATGCGTAATGTAACGCGGTCGTCTAGGTCATGTAAGGTGATCAAATATGAAAGCTGAGCTTGGCCTAGGACTTGATTATCGAGGTTGGCAAAGGGAAAGCGCCGACTTTTGATGGTTCGAGCCAGCTTTCCACAGAAACGCTCCATTGGAAAGGCCCAGTACACCCATGGGGGGCCCATCTGCTCGATACCATCGGCAATGTGCAGTAGACTGTGGATGGTCAAGGGACATGCAGAGAGACGATCAGCCTGGTACTGGTAAAAGAGCCTAATTGGCCGATATGGTTAGTGTTATCAGTGGACGCTAGACGTCACGATAAGACGCACTTCTCATACGTCACAACCCACTCAATAAACCCTGACCGGATAGCTGCCAAGTCCTCTTGCGTGATCGTAAACTTGAGGCATAGATTGATGAGTTCGACCAGCTGTAGATAGTGAACATAGAACTTCCGCTCAGGAAACGCATCGCGGAGGTAAACAGGTCCGTTCCAAAGGGCCCAGGTGCTGTACATGTCGGCTGTCACACCTTTCCGGTCATCAGAGAGGTTTCGAGGTCGAGCTGCAAACGCAGAGGGAATGGTATCACCAGATTTAGCAGTGGCTGCACCAATCGCTTCCCATGTCTTTTTCTCAATGCGATAGCCCTCGCCGTCGTGCTTGAGATCCTTGAAGTCGCCGCTGAGGAAGTTGACATAGTTTTTGAGGGTGTTCTCGTAACCAAGGTGCATGAAATCGAGGGGGAAAGAATGGGGAAAGGATAAAGATGGGACATGGGAAAGGATGGGGACACCTTTGATGCCGCACGCTTTTGCAAGTGTTTCAGCCTCAACCTGGGTGGGTGCATTCTGGACAGCTCGGCCTTGGGAAAGAAAGTTGTCGTGGGTTCGAAGAGGGAGTTTGGCGGGGTCATAGTTGATCGTTCCATCCGCGGCAGGGGGGAATCCTCGCGGTCGCCGTAATGGAACATAGTAGGTGGTGGTCCCTGGCTTGAGAACACCTTCGATCTCGCACATACGACAAGGGAAAATGCCGTTATGCCCCTTCATCGACATCATCATAGAAACGGCCGGCATGTCTCCCGACCCAAACATGGGGTACGCCTTGAGAAGAAACGTCTCCTGGCGGATAGCATGGTATGCTTCAACGCCGGCTGCAAGTTCGAACAAGTCCTCCACCAATGGATACAAGAATGAATCGAAGTCTTTTGGCTTTTCGGGACCTGGTATGACGCCAACACAGATAAGGTGCTTCAGGTGGAAGCGAATGTCGGAAGGGAGGTTGAGGTTATAAATGAGAATTGGCCAGCATGTCTGCGTGCGTTTCCGAAATGGGGCGAAGCCGTCTGTTGCAATACCGAGAGCGATATCGGTGGCATCCTCGAAGAACTTGTGGTCTAGGACTTCCCCACAAAGCTCGACGGTCTTCTCCACCAAATGCTTGTACCGCGCACCATCGTAGTAATCTTCAATGTCGTTATTGGGGTTGGCGCGGCAGCTTTCTTCGTGTCGATGATTCATCAGTCTGGCCATATCAGGATTGGCGTAGAGTGCTTTGAGTCGTTCGGGGATAGGGATATATTTGTAGAGCCTCCGAGGGTTCCCATTACTGTTATATCGGGGCTCCTGGCAGTAAGGACATTGCTCAAGTTCCGCATAGACCCCAATATAGGCGATGCACGACTTGACACAGCAATCGTAGATGGTTTGGGTGAATCGAGTGAGAAGATTTATATATCGGCGAGCCTTCTTCCATTTAGGGAGCGCATAGCCAGGACTGAGAAAGCGGAGGTCGTCAAAAGCTGCGTCCGTAATGTTGTGCTTCAGTTTGTATGAGTAGGCACGAAGTAGCGCCTCATCGTCTTCTGATAGCTCGAGCACTATCGATTAGTGTCAGAGACGCTATCAAGCATTTATCACATAAGAATGAACACTCACAGTGCTCCGATATCATACGCTCGAATTCCTCATTCGACGTACGAAGAGGAATGCCATCAGCGTCTGTGACTGGACTTGCAGCCTCTTCCTTGTCTTCGCCTCCATCTATATCTCCATCTGCATCCCCACCCCCATTCTCTTCTTCTTCCCAATCCTCGTAAATGAATCCCTCATCATCATCCCCCTCGCCATCCCTTCCCTCGTCGTCTTCAGGATAGTCCTCGACCCAAGCGCTCCTCCGGATTCGCTCTTTCTGCCATGTTTCCAAAGGATTCGTAACAGTCGACTTGTTTGATGAACCGGCTGAAGGCTGAGGTTCAATAACAGGATCTTGTAGGAGCTGTTGAGAAATTGGTGAACCCATGACAACGTCCTCGGCATCCAGGTGAGTTGGCGGAGAGAATTGGGCTGGGTGGTGGTTCATTACTGGGGTGAGCCTTTCTTTTATTTCCTGAAACGCGGTTGCTGTCGCCTTTGCAGCCTTTGTAGCTCGCTCCTTGAGGGCCTTTGCCACCCTTGCAAGAAATGGCGGGTCTTTTGCACGTAAATGACGGCCCTCCGTTTTTGCTGTAACCAGCTTCCTGCATCCACACGAGCATCGTGTCTTTGGCGGTGCTTTTTTTGTACGACTAGTGGCGTTCAACAGGACAGGAGGTGCCTTGGCTTTACGCGTAGTGCGAGCCATCGAAACATGGAAGAAGTTGAGAAAGGATGCTCAAGTGATCCGGCATGTTACCAGATAATTTGACTATCGAACAACATCTGAACTCAACGCTAGTGCTAGTGGATTGAATTTTTACGTATGTATTCAAAGGTATCGCTACATTATTACAAGGTATCTAAAATACAAAACGACATTTATGATTCATAAAGGTAACACAGAACGGGGTGGGCCGCGGGTGTATGGGTATCGATATAACTAGTTGTATTTAATGAGACCTCGAAGCGAGTCTGCATGCTCCTCCAACACACCAGCCATCCCCCTAAGAGTCTTGATCTCTAGCTCCAGGAATTGGAGACGCATTTGCGCGTGATTCTCCGCAGGCTTCAAAACAAATGATGTAGATTCGGTGTTGATAGGAATGGGAGTTGGTCGTCCAGTAGCTGGGTGTTCAAGGGCGCGTCGCTTGTTGGGAGGGAGCTCAAACCCAGTATCGACATAGGGAGGTGGAGCGTTCAACACTGGCACTTTGTTTTCGTTCGCAAGCTCTGGATCCTATAAGGTCCAAGTCGGACATCAGCATAGTCCATCAACGATAACAAGATAGCATACCATCAAAGGTGGAGGGGAATCGGCATGATGCTCAGGCTCAGGAACATCACCTGGAATTGGTCCAATGTTCTGAAAGGCAGCAAGCTGTTAATGAATACGACTGGTGATAGATTTAGTGCCAAGACGTACCACAAAGATTTCCCTCCCTTTCTCCACAGAGTTCGTCCAATCCGGTGGTGGGGTCTTGGGCGGATTTGTGCGCCAATGTTCGCGCCACACTTCTGGCACAAAGGAAAAGAATGACTGAGCTTGAGAGTTAACTGGCGACTGGTGTGTAGTGTGCTGAGAGAGGTCAGAGGACTGAGGGTCCTCGCAGCCGGACTTTGCTGGGCTTGACCATAAGGCGGGAGAGGGATAACGGCGGGAATGTTTCTGTAAACAGGAAGTCAATACATCATATAGAGAAACACCGCCATTACCCACCTTGCTGTGTTTGGCGCTCAACTTCTCTCGACGCTCCTGAAACTGAGTCCAGCTCAGGTTACCAAAACCCCACAACTCCTCTAAGTCTAGAGAGCGATACCCATGGCCCTGTTGCTTGCTACCAGTGGCGTGATTCTTGACATGAGTCGACATGATTGTAGGCGGGAGGATTACGCTGAGTGAGCAGCAAACTTGAAAAGGATTGGGTGGACTGCGATATTTATTAGACTGGTTAAAACCCAGACGCAACCCCGCAGGCTTGGTCATCTTGTCCCAAATTGGTTTCCGCTGAGCCAAATAAGTCACCACCGTGGTACGCCAACAATCTGTAAGTTACCTTTTACCACGTTCCACCTATACGGTCCTTTTCATGGCAACCAGATCTCGCCCACGCCCAATTCCAGTCTCTATCTCTGCAAATGCACCACCTGTCCCAAAGCTTTCGCAACAATCAGCAGCAAAGTTTTCTCGCGAGCTGGTCTCAAAACTTTCACTCACGCCGGCGCCGTCTGTGTCGGACATGACTGCATCCTCATCTTCGTCATCTCTTGGCCAAAATGTACCGCCCTTACCGTTGCTCAAGCGAAAGCTTGTTCCTTCCTCAAAAGAGCCCAGAAACGCTCAGGCCTCGATTCCCAAAGGTACCGTTTCACGCCATAGCTAGTTCACGCCGGCGACTCGCAGTGGTGGCTGATCCTTTGTTTCTAGTTGCTTCAAACAACACCACTACCGTCAACTCAGGTTCCAAGATATCGCCCAAGGCCAATAAGGATGCCCTTGAGGAAGAAGAGCGCCGATCATACCTTAGGCGTATTCGAGAACTTGAGCAGTGGAAGGAGGAACGACTGGGTGCGTTATTGGCAACTACCGCGTAACACGTTCAGAGGTACTGACTATCAGAAGCTGTTGAGGCGAAGGAGAAGATAGTCCCAATTGAGCGTCCTGAAGGGCAGGCCCGCCGTAAGTGGGACATTGGTGAAGCTATGGAGCTTCCTGGAGGTAGTAAAGACGTGCAGTACCGAAGCATGATGGTATGTTCCATTGAACCGACTGTTCAGATGCTCATTTCTTTCCAGAATAAACTCGCTATTCTCCAGGACAAGTACAAGATTCCGAGAGGTGCCTCGTTGGCACGTGGCGCATATGTCACAGAAGTTGCAGGCATCTTCACTGACATGCGCGAGGCCTTTCCGTATCTCTGCGAGCAACGCTTCCGTGATGGTTGGCCCATATACGACATGCTCCAATGCAAACTCCAGGACCAGCGCCAGTACGATAATCAGCGAGAACGTCGCCTAGCAAGTCAGCAGCGTCGGAGGGAGAGGGCCCGGGCAGCGTTGGCAAAGGAGGATAAGAAGAGGGAAAAGAAGGAAAAGAAGGCGAAAGAGAAAAGGCGAGCATCCCCATCTCCTCCAATCGATGACTCAGACTCTAGTGGCAGCACACCACCATCTTCCCCGTCAGCACCTTCCAATGAAAGCCCTATGGCTGAGCCGACGACTCCAGCACTCGATGCAGATGTCAATTCAGTGGGAGCAGAGGTCGCCCCAGAGGATGACTCGGAGGTGGACCCTGACGAAGCTGATAAATTTCTCCTTTCAATCCTTGCGCAGCTGGGACCCGTCCTAGGCCTACACTTCCTCGGTGCGCTCTCCACTCGTTTTTTGCGCTTTCCACTAAAGTCCCATGTCATAGACACGATTCCTCACCCTAACTTCGACTTCACTTACTCGACCTGGCCCCAGTATGACGACGAATCCAAGGCATTCTGGGAGGAAAAGGACGACGAAATCCACGAGCAGCTTTCCGATGCAACCTGTACCTCAGATCCTCAATGGTGGCTTCAGGTGATTAGCGAGCGCATTGTCGAAGACAGCGACTTTGAAGCATTTTGGCCAGGTATGTCTTTCATTGTGTTCATGCTGAGATATATCTAATCTGTCCTTTAGTTTTCTACACCAAGTACTTGGAGCTTGAAGTTGATCCTCGCGACGAGATATCCGAGCCCAAACGCGCTGATTCACCTTTAGACCTCGGACAGCTCTCGGATGTTCCGTCGAATCCCTCCCCAAAGCCAAAGAAGGCGCCCAAGGCCAAGGCCAAGGGTAAAGCTGTAGTAAGCATTGCCTCAAATGAATGTCGCCTGTTACTAACATTTGACATAGAACGTGAAGTTGGAAAAGATTGTTCTACCTAGTCGAATGGGCTCCTCGGATTCGTCGACATCCCCCAAGCGAAATAAGGACACCAAGGGAAAGGGTAAAGCGACTGTAAGTGGTTCGTCGCAACAATGCTGCTTTTGCTGACCATTCGGCGTAGCACATGATAACAGAAAAGCTGTCTCAACCTACCCGGGTGAATCCCAAGCGTAACACCAAGCCTTAAACACCCCTTAGTTTGCCTTTCCGATGTTCATCCACTCCCATCCGTCCATTCCCATCTTCGTATTCACTAAATATTGATTTGTCCTGTTCTTTCATTCACGACGCGTTAGCTTTTACTCGATCTCGATTTGCGACACCCCTGTCCTATGTAGCGATACATACAATACGACCGTATTTTGTTCTGTACCAATTTCCCTGAGAGACTCCGGGAATCTGTCAGAATTCCCTGGCAGCTGCTGGGAAGAGTGCTATAGTGGTCCAGGAGCTTGATATGCTACACCACGGAATTTTGGAACAGGTTCCTGTCTGAAAGCAGCCAGAATCCCTGCAGCGGACAAGGGATCTGCGACGGGAAGGGGGACAATTTGCCCGGGAATCTCCTCCACCGTTCCCGGATGTTGACTCCCTGGCAATTACCTGTCGCCATCGAGGAACATACGGGAACCTCCCAGATCAATCCCTGCTCTAACCCGGGAGCTTCCCTACTCACGGCAGGTAAAACTAGCAGGGATTGAGCGAGGAACGTTCAGGGAGGTTCCCGCCCTGCATGGCCTATAGTGTCTGGATGCACGTCGTAAGAGTCAAGAAGAGTCTGGAAGAACACACTGGACGAAACCTGAATGAGCTTGTGACGAATGCGGCGCTCGCCACAGACTAATTCTACTTTCCCCAAAAAGAAGCAAGATTCAGGGACTGATTGAGTCAAGACATGAAACATTACTGGAACTCGTGGCAATTCTGCCCTCGTGGTGGACGGAAGGGATCGTCCCCCTGTGCTCGTTTGGAAGGTCTTTCCGGCCCTCAATTGTACTCCAAAAATAGGTAAATGGAATTGACGCGTATCAAACGATGCAACCGGACATCCTGAAGGGATCCCTTTTATGGTTAAATTAAAGGCGGGCGTTCTGCGACTCGTCTAAGAGGGCCTCAGGCTGTCTCGATTTTGCGCAGAACGTCTGCATTGTGTTTAAGAGAGGCTTTACAAAGCGTCGAGATCTCAACCTTTCCTGTATTTGTCTCCCTCTATAGACCGATCCCAATAAATGACTCCTCTTCCGATTCTTGTTCCCATCTTGTTGGCTGATAATCATCGGGCAAACCGCCCCGACGCGCACCTGTCAATTGGACCGTCATCCAGAAATATACATATTTGAGGGAGTTTCCGAGTGCACAAAATAGTGTGTACAGTGTATTGCTCGAGAACATCCGCCTCCATTTACTGCCTCCATGCCATTTTTGAATTTTGGCGTCCCCTCCACGTGGGATATCCGACTCGGCGGCGTCCTCGGGTTCAGCCGCCTTCATGAAAAAAAGGGAGTCTGTATCCATGATTCCATCGTGACTCCGTTGAGGCCGTGTCTGTTACCGTTCCAGTGTTGTTGTCTTGAAGTCCTTGGTCCCAAGACCTTGGGACATGAAGAACCATAGAACCAAGTGGCGCCCGACGTGTATACAGTATGTTGTCTGTAGAGAGAAATGTCCATCCATATGACTGTTTCCTTTTCCGTTGTGGCGTTGGCGTTTTGCTTGAACGATTGGCCTTATGACGCGCTGGATACAGTTGTAAGTCACGGGTGAGCTGAGAAAGCCGTTTCAGAGGGTGTAAGGCCAGAACCGCGTGTGTTTCCTCTGTTTTCTTTGTTCTGTCTGATGTGAAGTGGGAGTGATATAGCCCCTATGGAATGGCGCCCTGCGGCGTAACAGGTGGGAGATGCATCCGCGCCCATCGCCTTGTGTAATTAACCCTATTTTGTCATCACGCATCGCCTCTGCTTTCCGATCTTCCGTGTCCAGTGAAATCTCGCTGGAACGAAGGCAGAAAAAGTCGTGGCTCTCGTCGAAAGGCAGTTGTATTCCTAGTATCTGAGTGCTGAGGAACGCCCTTACCCTTTGGAGCACTCCAATAAAGGAGGGCTAACCCGCAACCACTTGACCTTGAAGGAGGGCCGCATCACGCGAGCGGCGACTTGGAGCTCATACACTCGTCAAAGGGAACACGGCTCCGACTCTGGGATCGGACAGGGAACACCGGTGGTCGAAAGCCGTCTCACCTGAGCCGCAGGACGCCAGATGACAGATCGAAACTGTTTCTCCTGCAATCAGTGGCAACGGCCATCTCCACCGACCACCTCTGCCTTGTTTCCTTTCGGTCGAACTCAGGAACGCACAAAATGCCTCAAACATCGGCAAATAGCCTCTGAAAGATATAAAAGCTGCATGAACAAGACGAATGAACCTCAGAGTCCTTCCTCTGCTTTACAATCCCCAACCAACCAAGCCTCACAATGGTGAGTCGGTTCCTCGTCGACATCACGGCCGTCCCGTACTGAATAGACCTTCCCTAGATGCCCGTCAACTTCAACTGCTGCAACTCCTGCTCCGGCTGCAACTCTGGGTACGCATACCTTCCTGCCCCACTCACCATGACTTGAGGCAGAGAGCTTAACGTTTTGCTTCCCTGCAGCTGCCAGTCCTGCGCCTGCACCTCTTGCGCCTGCAAGAACTCCAACTCGATGCCAGTCAGCTACAACTGCGGCAACGCCTGCACCGGCTGCAACGCTAGGTGGCACTGTCCGCTCCTCATCCTGTCATCGCACACACTGACCTCGTTCTCCCCCATCACAGCTGCCAATGCTCCAGTGGTGCCTGCGCCTGCTCTGCTGGTGCCTGCCAGTGCTAAATGTCAATTCTCCTCAAGATCAAGCAGCCTTCATTAACACTACTCACCTGGTTCAGTTGCCCGTGAATCGAATCGTTCTTGCCATGTAGTCTCTGCTTGTGTTTCGATTGAAATGTATCATCTTGCCGTATGGTACGAAATACCTGGAATATCAAATGCGTCGTAGCTTTTTGATTCAGTTTGCCAACTGGCTTATTTAAGTGCTTGTGACGAGATACCTTCGGAAAGACAGTCCCCGCCTAAGCAATCATCTTACCTTTGATCCTGAAGACAGTTTTTGAACAAGAGATCAGAGTTCGGGGTGGAAAAGGATGGCATCCATGGAATGAGACTGGTCCGTCAAAGATGCACGAGAGTCCTGGCTGCGCACTTTGAAAGCGTCGACTGAAATCAAGTATATTCAGTGCTTGTAGTACATGCCTGCGCGTACAGCGCCGCCCAGCTACTCCAAGCGTTACGTAGTGGATCGATCCTTGATCATTGTCGTCACTGTGTAGCGCTGGCCCCGCGTCCCCTTTGTGTCCTTCTGGGAGAAACAGTCGTCCACTGGCAACGGAAAAGTCGTGCTTTCCACCCTGGACGTGTTAGCTGCAATACCGAGATATGGGTCTCGGTCGATGAGAATCAGCTGACGGCGACGTCGCGCAGGGTAGCAATGTGCTCTCGAGTACCCATCATAAAGAAACCTTCAGCATGAGGCAGGTTTCACTGCTTCCTCACTTGGCCATTTCTCGTCCGCTTTCCTCCAACCACCGTCCCACCGCTCGTATTTCCCTGAGATCTCGGCGCCCTTTGGCTTCTTCTAGTAGCCGTTGAGGTTCTTGATGATGTACTATGGTTGTCCACGGTCATTTCTTCTCCCATAGGTGAGGTTGCTGTCGTCGAAGCGGTGGTGGTGAGGGCCGAGGCAATGGAGGAGGCGGGAGCGAAGACGCTATTCGTTGGCGATGCGGGAGCTAAGGAGGGCGCTCTTGGAAAGATATGGGGAGCCAACGAGGGAGGTTTCTTGCCATAATTGTTCCATGGGCCGGGTGCAACCTCTTCCACAGGCTGTGTCGGAACATCCTCTGGCATTGCGTCTGCTGGCACTGGCCTCTGGACACGATCAGGTGCTCCCAGACTGAGTGCAGAGCCCATCATGCTCCTCATGATCTTGTCAATGTCTGTTGTTGGAGCCTGAATTTCGAGACCAATCTGGGAGCCCTTGAGTAACGCTCGCTCATAGATTTCCTCGTCGTCCAGGCGCTTGATCTCAGCACGCAAATTCTGCAGAATTTTCTCAAACAAGGCTAATTGGGTGTTCCATTATCAGAATGTAATCACCAAAGGGAATCGGAAAACGCGTCGCACCTTGTTCTGCGTCACCACCCTTCCCTCGAGCTGGATCGGTGACAAGGGGATCTCGCTCTGCCAATTCTTCTTCTGGTCGAGGGTCCCTTAGGCGTATTCTATCCAAGCACATCTCTTCGAACTCCCAGTCATCCATCTCCATTTCGTCCTCTGGTGTAGCGTCGTCGCCATACTGCGTTCCAATGGATGAAGCGGGTGAAGCGGCTCGACAAGTGACTGGGGGCGCGTAGGCCGTCGTTCCATGAGGATTTTGGGTATGCACTGGCATCGTCAACGCTCTACTCTCGCGTTAGAAACGCGTTAGACGACCGGCTCGATATGATTGTTGTGGCGAAGACGAAGGGCGCGGTGGGGGCGGCCTCCAGTTGTTTGGCTCGGAGGCTATTGGTAATCAAAGGACGGACTTGTGGCGGACGCTCGCTGTTTCTTTTTTTTTTTTTTTTTTTTTTTTTTTTTTGGGGGAGCTGTAGATATTTCGCCTGCACGCCATAGTGTGCGGCTAATATCAGCTAAGGCGCGGGCTTGCCCGCTGAGGATACGGAAGATGAGAACCAAGGGGGAAATGCTCTGCGCACATTCACACGGGGTGTGAGTCGTGTGGGGCTGTGGCAGGACGACCAGACCGGGTGGACAGAACAGGTAGGCGCCGAGGCGCCTATCTGTTCCTCCCCGGCGGGCGTCTTGTCCTGCCAACACCCACTAAAACCCCCTTATCCGATACCCAATCGGGTGGTAGGTGTCCGTCGGCCCTTTCGTCAATTACGGTGCACCACGTAGCTTCCACCACCTTTGGCTTGAGGGCCTTCCTACCATAGGTCTTCTCGTTGGTGAGGGTCCTGTCCCACCGAAGCCTCTTATTCACGGATGCTAGCCACCTGTTCCGGACGTGGTCTCTACTGTGTATTTTTGAGGGGTCCCCTTCGAATTCGATCCTCCATTGGCATCTTAGTACCCATATCAGGTGAATGGACTCGGACACCATGATCTGGAGCAGCCTCGTAGGGCCTCTCTTCACTCTTCCCTCAGCGTCCCTGATCGTGGCCAGCGCGATACCTAAGGCTAGCCCTAAGGAAATGAATGGCTTCGCCTCTCCGTTACGTAGCCAGATCTCTTCGAAGATTTCCACGACCACGACCTCAACGACCACCGGCAATTGAAACGTCTGCATCGTGCAAAACTGAAACATGGCAATTATGCGAAGGCTGTACAGCTTGGAGACTTTGACAATTGTCAATGATAGGTCATTTTGATGGACGAGCACCAGCTGAATGGGTTGGAAGATGTATCGCCGCCCACATCGCAGTTGTCCTATGTTGTCTTTATCCATCGTGTAGTACACGATACAGGCAATATGCCGCCCCTCCAACCACCCAGGGCACCCTCCGACAGGGTTCGCATCGACAGTTTCCGGACTTTGTCGCGTCTTCAGCTCATATTCGAGTTTCGTGTATGGCTGGAGTATCTCCGGGACCACGTTCCTCGCCGGTACGACTCTCCCATGATTCAGCTATGGGACTGTATGTCGTTCGGGGCACCCATTTGCACGCTCCTTGACCTCCTTGGCTCCCCAACCCCCGTCGAGCTGAGGGTGTATGCAGATACATTCAACTTTAATCTCAGCATGGACGAACGAATAACGTTCATAGAAAGCTTCATACATCGGATTAATATTCTCGAAATCCAGGGTCGAATTCCCTATGGCGAGGTGTTAAAGGTGGATGACTTTATTAGTGGAGGTGTCCCAGGTTATGTCAGGGTGAGTGATCAACTTGTATACCCAACCCCTTCGCTCGCTGATCCTTGTTCATCAGGTGCTACGAACTCTTGATAGGATCTTGAATTCTTTACACGACTCTTACCCTGGTATCTTTGTCGCACCTCAGGGTTGGAAAGCGCGAAGAGCGAGCTTGATCCAGCAATTGAAGGAAGCAGAGGCCATACACGTATCACGCCTTTCAGATGTTGCTGTAGGTCCGTTCAAAACCTTTTCGCATCCACAGGACTCAAAAAACCCTAGGAGGCGGCATCGAGACTGTACTCCCAAGGCGACGTGACCGACCCCTCTCTGGAAGGATTCATAGTCAATTGCTCTCGCCTAATACCCTACCACAACATCTTCTATCAGCCCTTGGGCGAGCTCCCGCCTCCTGGAGAGGAGATTTGGGATGACATCTTTATGTTCTCGGTATGGAGCTCCGACCACCTCAAACCAAGATCCATTCTGACGGAGTGATGCAGGACAAACTGCTACGGACCAATATCATCCGCGCATACCATTCGCTTTGTGCCAATTACCTTCCTCTTGTGGATACACTCTCTAAATTGCGCTCGAGACATGTAAGACTCCATGCTCATTTACCGTTCTCTGTTACTAAAAGCAACTTAGCTTGAGTACGCCGACGACGCCGACATGGTCCTCCGACACCTTTCCTTTATCCTCGGCCGGATTTCAGACTACCGCGAAATTCTCCAAGCGATCCTCGAAGTGTCGATGCCCATGAACAAGGACTCCTACGACTCCCTTTGCCGAATGACCTTCGAGATGTACCAGCTGTCAGAAAGTATCGACGAGGCAGGCTTTGAATTGCGCACCATTTGGGCTGCCCGGTGTCTCAAAATGCGCTTGGGAAACACACTACGGTCTTTCAGCTCAGAAGGTCTCGGAACTGCCCTTCTCGACGATAGACTGGTAGTTGACCCAGTTTCTGGAGATCATTACTCCGTTTTCCTTTTCCAGTCTTTGCTTATCTGTTGCAAGGAGCGAAGCTCGGAGGCCAGGACTGCAGACGTACGCTATCCAATGAAGGCATGGGAACTGGGACCTGCCCTTTCGGGGACCTGTCCCTTGTCAATCGTTTGTGCTGTACCTACGAAGAACTTGATGACGATCCATTGCTTTGACGCAGGTGAGTGGAACGACCCGGTTCGCCCATTTGAATCGTAACTAACCGCGCTTCGTGTAGCCTATTTCGAATTATTCTGGGTGGATGGATCCAACACGGAGCAAAGCATAACATTCTACCCGACGATGCCTCAGCAATATACACAATGGGTGGCTAATCTTCAACTCTTCGTCACTCGAATCCTGCACTCGACCTCTGTTCCGAATATGGAAGGTGACGATATTGGGACTGGAGGCATTCGTACAGGAACTTCTTTCGTCCTCACGGCGGAAGAGACGATGTACGAACCTCGCAGGTCCACAGCGCGTGCATGGAGCGTCATAGGAAGGAAAGGCCCCAATTCTGAAAGTTCCTCCCTCGTCGCGGAGATGGGGAATAGCCCGGGCGAGCAAGGTTCCATTCTGAGCCCGAACCTCTTGCCTACGCTATTCACACCCTCACGAAACGGCGAGAGCGTACCAGCAAGTCCCAACACTCCAGCCTCTGGAAATAACCCGCGTCTCCCAAACGGCCGAAACCGCTCTCGCACTCGACCCGACTTTCAATCTGCTCGAAGTCCACTTCGATCTGTGTTTACGAGGGATGATATTTCGCCCCTCAACAATGCTGGCCGATTGGGATCCGCCGCTCCCCTGGAGGAGGGGTTACCAGAAACGCTGGATTTGACTGGACAGATCACGCGAGAAGGAAACTACGCAGTGGCTCATGGTGGTCATTCAGACGTCTGGCTGGGGAGGTTGAAGAAGCAAGCGGACGACAGCGATCAGGAGGTGAAAGTCGCTGTCAAGGTTCTCCGAAATACCACCAGCGATCCGGAGAAGAAAGCAAAACTTGTCGGTGTGAGTATCCGTACTGTTACTACTTGTGCGATATGGCTAACAACCTTCTTAGCGTCTCCAGCATGAATTGCGAGTATGGAAACAATTGGATCACATGCACGTCCTCCCCTTGTATGGTGTTACGAATGATTTCGGTCCGTATCCTTCGATGGTGTGCCCTTGGATGGAGAAGGGGAGCGTCAGCAAATATCTGGAGCATTCCGGCGATATCCTAGATATCTCGGAACGACTGCGAATAGTGAGTCGTCTCAGCTTTAGACAACTCGTACCGTTGCCATTCTGACCCCGGGGGATTTTAGATCGGCGAAATCATGGAAGGCCTACAATACCTCCACCTTTGCTCGATCATTCATGGGGACTTAACAGGGGTACGTATTCACCTCCTTCCCTTCATGGTGGCCTGGAAAGCCTGACCTATCGCCTTCAGTCCAACATCCTTCTCGACACCAACCTTACGGCCTATGTCTGTGACTTTGGTCTTTCTGCGGTTGTACTCGACACCGACACTCATACGAGGGCGTCGTTTACCTCCCATTTGGGTGGGGCAGTACGGTGGACTGACTCGTGCTTCTTTGAAAACCTGGATGAGGAGAACAAAGAATGGAGCGCGCCTCCATTAACGTATAAAAGTGATGTCTATTCGCTGGGTTGTGTTATGCTCGAGGTACCCTGTCTTATGCTTGGAATCTACAAAAGAGAAAAAACTCAAACAATACTCTGCAGATTTTGTCGGGTCGGCCACCATACCACTACATCGCGCTCGACGCTCAAGTTGTCATCGAGTTGCACAAGGGCAACAAACCTAGGAGACCTGCTAGGTCATTCGTGGATGATGGGCAGTGGGAGTTGATTCAGTGGTGTTGGACGCAGCCGCCTGAGGATAGGCCGGATGTGCGAGATGTGGCAGAGAAACTGGAAGAATTGGTAGCACAACGAGGGGATGTGAAGCAGTAGATTGACTCGAGAGATACATGTTGTTATCCACTGGTTCTGCAATGGCCCGGTATACACGCCACAGACCTTGGGTCTCAAGGCGTTATAGTGTAGTGGTTATCACTCGGGATTTTGACTACATACCAGCAATCTTCCCGAAACCCAGGTTCGAACCCTGGTAACGCCTGTAAGCGTCTTCCATTTCATGTTTTTGCGCGCTTTTGGTTCCCCCGGATCGGCTCATAAAATACACTTTTTTTTTATATATTCGGCCAGTTACATATACACATGCCATTGACAATTTCTTCTACCGATACCACCAGCGCACGCTGGAGCTCGCGCCGAAAACCCTCCGCCTGGCGAGAATCATTCCACATTCGCTCTACCATGGTTCTCGTTTCCCTCCCCCTACTGGGCCTTGACAGGTGCTGTGAGGTTGACCATCTCAGAGAAAAGTCGGAGTCGCAGGAAGGCGAAGGTGGCGTTCCTCCCGGAACATCCTGCCAATCTGCCAATGGCAGGTATGGAACATTCTCAACAACGCCCTCTCCCAATCGTGAACCTCTCGATTCCCTGCTACGCGATCCATGAAATGATTAAGACTCGTTTTCACTTTCTCCGAGACCTGCGCTGCTGCGTCAGTGTCGTTTGTCGCAGTGTAGGCTATGGCGGCAGCCTGGAGGGCGGGATCGCGCAACGCTGAGAACCGTTCACGCTCCTTGTAGCCAGCGGCGAGAGGGTTGGGTACGTCAGGGTCCGAGAAGTCCACGAAGCAAGCAGGCTCGGCCAGATTGTCGCCGAGATGTCCTGTCCCGTGTATGCCGTGTCGTCGCATTCCACAAGCAACTCCACATTGAACGGCAAGGCGTTGCAGTCGAGGATGGCGGTGCTTCCATTGACGGCGGTGAAGTAGATCCAGCAATGGTCATCCGGGTCTTCAATCGTGATATGTTTGTTTTCTGGGACGAGGTGGTAGATAATGCGCTCTGCGAAGGGGGCGATGAAGCTCCCCGTGGCGACACCAAAGTCCGCAATGGGGTGTTTCCCCAAGACGAGCCTCGGACGAATGGTACCCTCCTCGAGCAACTCTTTGAATCCTGTATCGGTGAAGAAGTGCGTCAGGATGGCGAGGCAAAGACAGGTGTTGGTGGTTAAGGCGCCGCCCTGGAATCTGAGCCTTTTGTAGAGCGCGTCCCTTGCCTCTCCGCTTGGCGCAGAAGGTCACCACTCTTCCAGGCCCGTACCCCGGCATTCCTTCCCAAGCTTGATGATGCGCAACGTAAAGTTCCTCCCTACTCCAGGCTGGATTTGATCCTCTTCAGTGTTCAGGACTTGGCGGTGGAGACCTGGGTTCCCGACAATTTTTATTTTATTTTGCTGTGAATGATGCTGCTGAGGTGGGCAAGCAGGGGGAAGAATGTCTGCAAATTGATTCGTGCCGTTTGGTAAATCTCTGGAGCCGTTTATCAGCTTTTACTATCTCAGAGGCCAGAAGTCTTGATACTAACTGCAAGTCTTCCTATGTGTTTTCCAGTCTCTTTTCTGACACTTGGGACCACAATATGCAACCTGGAATACGCGTAAGCAAGTCCATACAGCCAATCGCCCAATCCAAGAACTCACTTCAAGGCAGGCCTGACAAAGCTTTACTTTGGTTGTCGCCTTGCATACCGAGCATTTACTGGGGTTGACCTCGAGGACGAAGATGGAAGGTTCGCGTACGCGTTCCCACTCGCTCATTGGCCCGCCCTGCATGCAGTGCCAATTGTCACGGGCGACGGTGGCTTCCACGATGGCTTGCTTGTCCATGGTGGTCAGGAGCAAGGAGGGTGAGACGATTGGTATAGATAGAACCCTATTTATCTGATCATGAGCTTTAACTGACAGGCTTTTCGATAGAAGACAGGAAGGCAGCCAGAGGTCACGAGCGGGCGCACGGTTACCCCGAGTCGGAGTGAACGGTTCACACAGAGCACCCCTCCGGCGCGTCGCGTAGTACCCGGCTGGACTATGCATTACAATTGCCTCTCACAACTCGCTAAACCTTATTGAGGAACCTACAGGTAATAAATACCAGCCCTGAATGAGTCGCACCGGCTTCATGCATAAGCATAAAGGGACAACTTCACCGCCTGAAGACTTACCGAGTCGTCCTTCCCGCTCACCAGATTTGATACCACTCAATCGCATACTACGCTCACCCCCTTCCAGGACTATCGCGGTGTCGGTCAGCGGAGAACTGTAGAGCGGCCGCGAGTATCCAAGCGCAGCGGTACTTGGAGGGTGCCCTCTTAGACCTGGCAAGCATGTCTACTGGCTGCTCAGATTTTCAAATGGCAATCATCCTCGATTCACTGTAGGAGTTCGCAGCCTTCGTCCCTCGGCAATTCGGGATAGCGAGGACGGAACACAGTTCTCAAATTTACACCGTCAGCTTTCAGGACCCTGCCCGATGTGGCAGCCAGACCCATCCCTTATCTTGCGCAGAGTCCAAGCAATAAGGTCGTGTGTTGGGCCATGCCGGTATATGGTGATCAGGACTGGCACCATACCACTCACTCCCTTCACACAGTTCACCTACAGCGAGTTTCAGCCCACTCCGAATGCCCATAGCTCACATGACAGGGTGGGGATGATAAGATAACAAGCGAGACTCACCACCCATTGATGGTCAATGTGAATACCCAGAACCAGTTTACAAGGGCGATACGCTGCAGCAGTCGGCCGGATATCTTCGCGCTGAACAGTGAGCATCAGCTTGCCCTCTTCGGATCGGAGTACGGAACCGATAAGCACAGAAGATCTCGTTCGGGGCACACAAGAAGCGCGTCGAACACTCTGTTGCTGAAGCTTCCAAAAGGCAAGAGGGGAATTTGATGATGATAATCGTCCAAAAATAAAGAGCACATCGTTGATATTAATTCTTGTACTTGAGAAAGAGAAGGGGGGAATCGAAAAAAGGGGTGGCTGATTGAAATTTCATCGTCTACGCTCCACGATTGGCCTTGTCGAGAACTAACGTGGAATACCAGAGAACATATAATCAGCGGCCAAGGCGTTTCGACGGAACTGTAGGACAAGACGCACCGGAATCATACGCGATCTCATCGTAATCCGTGCCCTGAATCTCGACAGCTACACCTTGCAACGAACGTCGGAGAGCATCCTTTGAGGAGGCGTACACCATCTTCTGCTTGATCTTTGCGTCATCGGGGGACCTGTACCGCAAAAGAAAGCCACGAATCAGTACACGGTTCTGCCACCAGGAGGGCCCGTCGCCGCGTCAGATCGCATCGATGAACGTGGATCTCCAAAGCACGCTTCCAGCCACACCCTGGAACGCCATATCGTCAACGAGAATCGAGCAACTCACCAAGATACAAAGGTGATCTTGTTTCGCTTGCCTGCACCTTCCTTCTCGAACTCAAAGTCATACACAGCGAATCGCGGTTGATCGCTGGGCAGAGCGTCAATGAAGTCCTGGTACTCCTGCGATTGGGAGGTTTTCTCGACGATAATCTCTGTGTTCTCCTTGTTCAGGGCGTAGATGATGAATTTGGTCTTCTTGCCCAACTTGAGTTCTTGGAACGCGGTCAGACATGATTCGTTGACGCCGACACCGGAAGCCTGGAGGGTTTGATTATTCTAGATACTTTCGGCGTCGTCCAGGACGATGAACTAACCATTGTGAAGAGGATGCGAGAATACGAGGGTGACGGTGAGAGGGAGAGAGCGGAATGGGCGGTGTTGCGGTTCGAACTGACCTGATCAGGGTATCAATCACCTTAAAAGGGCACAGCCCAGATTATCTCATCACCCTCTAGGGGCCACCGCCGCAGCTGTACATACGAGAAGGAAAGAAACTGTGTATTAATGGTAATCCTACAATTAATTCTTCTCAAAAACCTCGTCTAGCCATCGTAGATAATCATACTCTGGTTCCCCAGCTTCATTCAGATTACTCGGCATCGCTTTCACCAGATAGTCAATCGACGCTTGCGGGATCTGAGCCAACCGCAGGTCCAGTTCCGTCACGAAAGGCTGTTGCTATGGATCAACAATAGGTCTGTCATCATGACGAGGGAGACAAATACCTTATCGTGTGCGATCCCCTGGAACGATTCACGCAATTGGTCAGGACTGGTCTGATCTTCCGTGATGTCCACCTAGGTCAAGTAGTCAGAGCCGTGCTCACGCGAGCAATGGGGAAAATGACTTACCAGTAGGTTGATGAAGGCCTCATACGTTATCGCGCCATACTCTGCGACGAGTTGATCGTAGATCGACACCATATCCTCGTCCGAATACACAATGCCGAGACTCGCAAGCGCAGCCATCATCTCCAAGATGTTCAGCGTGTTCGTTTCGCCCTTGTCAAAGTAGCGGAAGGTGCTCTCAAATTGTTCAAGCTGCGCCGGAGTCAAGTTCGTCATGTTGCGGGAGACGATTTGGTTGTCAATGAAAGCGATCTTCTTGGCAATGGCATGGACGAGGAGCTCCAGCTCGAACTCGAGATCTTGCCATGTGAACACGGTGTAGTCGTTCTCTTCGACGTTGGCTGCTAAGCATTCAGCTTCGGCTGCGGCCACAGCGGCGAGGTCCTCCGATAGCTTGGGTATTCGCTTTTGGATCTCCTTTGCGTTTTGTTCTTGGTCCTACGGCCAGGAATACTGTCAGCGTCCATTGCGAGCAGAAAGTTGAATAATATACCTGGAGCGGCCCTTCTATCGAAGCAAGTTCAACCGACACTTCGTGCAGTCGATCGGCGAAAGCGTTAGCCAAGTCGGCAAACTTCTTTCTCAAATCCTCTTTGATCCTAAGGGATTGCATTAGATTGTCACGGAGACCGACGATTGAACGGGCGTACTTTCGAATCTGTGCATTGATAGCCCTTGAGCGTTTCGCTTCTGATTGCAGGAGCTCTTGCCAAGCGGAGTCCAGGTCGGACGGCGCCAGTCCATCCGGTGGCACATACTCTGCAAGTGCGTACGTCTTCAACTTTGTTTGAACATTCCCAAACAGCGTGATCACGTCTTGACGCTCCGTAACCCATGTTCTCTTCGTCGTTTGCTTGTACGTGTTGAAGTTGGCAGACTGCTCCTTAGCATCCCCATACGTCCCATCGAACTTTGATGCCTCCCACTGCTTTTGAACTTCCGCAACGTTGTCTAATAGCTTCGGGAAGAGTTAGAATGGAGACGACCCATGGAATGAATGATGCTAACCAATTGTGCTCGTCGTTCGTAGTCGTTTCGGATGATCCAAACAGATTGCATGAGCTCTGCGAACTTTTCCACCCGTCGCGATTCGGTTTCCGATTGCTCTAGCCCTGGTGTCAGCCTTCAATTCCTGAGATATCACCACCAACCTACCCATCGATGAGAAAGCATGGAAGAAACTAGCGATGTAGGTCATGACACTACGTTCGTCAGGGTTCGGAGAGTCACAAAGATCTTCCACTTCTAGAAGTTGCTAAAATTCGATCAGTAGAGAGAAGGACCCAAGTATTTCAAACTCACCGCGATCCCAAGATGCTCAGCTGCAATCTTGAACGCCAAAGCGGTATTTCCATGCCGATCTTCCTTGTCCAACTTGTCATAGTCCAACAAATCCGGGCGATGGCAATGAATCAGCGCGCATCTGGGTTCAAGGTCATTGAAATGAGCTGCACAGAGGCAGGGCGTAGGCGCACGAACAAAGCAAGACCGTCCTGCCAACTTCTCGAGAAATCTTGGACATCAACTTCTTTATAGGGCGCAGTCTTGCGTTGGCACCAGAGGAGTAGACCCTCCTTTGCCGATAGACCTTCTTCACTTTCGTGGTATAGCGTAAGTCTTTGGAAGCAGATTGGAGGGAGTTGCGGACAGACCTAATGTCGGCGATGGTAAACCGCAGGATGAGTGTCCAGATCATGCCCAGGATGAGTTTGAGGTTGCCATCGATGATGTCTGGAGGGGGTGAGTAGGTGGATCAGTAAGGTGACGCGACGAAGGCCTACCTTCAGGGCCGATGTTGGTGAGCTTGACGCCTCTGGACGTGATGAATTCCAATGCTTTCGTGACGTTCTCCGCCTTCTGGACTCTCATTCGCGGGTTCTTGTTGTACCTTCCCAATGAGGTGTCTCCTATATTCAAGAGATTTATGGCCGTTTTCTCGATTAGAAGAGCGAGACTAACCCATGATTTCCTTCGGGATCGCAGTCCTTATCAGCATTGTGCTCAGGAGTTGTGAGATGCACCCACCATAAGCTGGATGAGCCGCACGCCATCAGAAAGGTCTTTCACCAACGAAGACATTGGCGGGTATCCATTCGCCTCGAGTTTTGTATTTAACCTTCAAAGCCACAAATTAACATCTCCCTCTGACCGTCGAATAACCAGACCTACGCACCACTTGCAGAAGGTTCGCTCCTGCATATTCCGGGTTTGGATTTCGAGCGACATGGTGGGCCACTTCTAAATGTTAGACAGCGGTTCCTGTCTCTTCCAGATAACACACAGGACGTCAAAGAAACCGTAAAAATGCAAGGAGATGACGGGAGGAAGACAAAACAGGCGGCAGACGATGCCAGTGTCCCCGACATCGGCTTCGACGCGTTCGCAAAATTTCAAACTCCGACACCGCGTCGTCTGGCGTCCGGCTGCATGGTCTTCTCTTTTGGCCAGCTTCTCCCATTTACCCTGACTCAGGGTCCTCTTTTTGACGCTCAAACGACACTTAGACGACGACTATGACGACCCAGTTTGACCGTATCTACTATGGGCTGTCGCCAGAGGTTGGCAGTAAGTCCCAAGCTTGTCCAATGGATAATAGATGGCGCTAATGCTTGAGCATTCGTGGGGTAGAATTCCGAGTGGCAGCGACTGGTATGGGCTGGAAGGGCTCCGAAACGAACACGGTCGTTACCCTTGAAGGATCGAGAATCAAATGGGCGCAGTGGTTGCGCGTTGCACGCAACTTTCAATTGAGGGTCGGCCTTTCTGACCATACAAGGCAGAAATTCGACGGTTTCTTGCGCGAGGTGAGTCACTTCCACAGCGCATCGAATCGAAAAGCGCTAAATTCTCTGCAGGAACACGATAAACTCGCTTCTCTCCTCAAAAACCACTTTGGAATTACTCTAGAAACCCAGGAAGTCTCGTTCAGAGGGTGGAATTGGGGTGTGGCTGATTTCAGAGGTTCGTTGTCGAGTTCATTCATTCTGGTCACTTTAATTTTAACATTTTGTGGTTAGGCGAGGAACTCGCATTCCTTGTCCAAGACAAAACCGCTTTCGAGCTCCCATTAAATCAAGTTGCCAACTCCAACATCGCTGGCCGAACAGAAGTCTCCCTCGAATTCGCCAGCATTGCCGGATCCTCCAAAGGACCAGGAAAGCAAGCCGGAGATGAGATGGTCGAAATTCGATTCCATGTTCCAGGAGCTGTTCCTAAAGTCAAAGGCTCAGATGCAGGTTCCCAGGACGGCGAGCAGGATAACGAGGACGAAGAAGAAATCAGCGCCGCGCAAGCCTTCCACGAGACGATCAAGGAGCGTGCCAACATCGGTCAGATTACTGGCAACATGATTCTCAGCTTCGAGGAAGTGCTGGTCCTTACTCCTCGTGGCCGATATGATATGGACATGTTCCGCGACTTCTTGCGTCTGCGCGGAAAGACATACGACTACAAGATCGTTTTCACAAGCATTTCACGTCTCTTCCTGCTACCCAAAGATGATCAGCATGTTCTCTTCATTGTACGTCTCCATCAGCTACTTCAAAGATCACTTTGAAATTAACGAACAACTGTAGCTTGGCTTGAATCAACCTATCCGACAGGGTCAAACACGCTACCAATACTTGGTCATGCAGTTCACTCGCGAGGAAGAAATCACTGCCGAGCTGAACATCAGCGAGTAAGTCTACGTCTTTCTGCCTGCAGCGACTGCATGACTCACGGTCTACAGCGAGGACCTTGCCAAGTACGACAAACTGAAAAAGAATTACGAAGACCCCACCTACGAAGTCATCTCGAGCGTCTTCCGAGCCCTCTCCGGCAAAAAGATCATCGGTGCTGGCAGCTTCCAAAGGTACATCTTCTGCCCTTCTCATGTGAACCGTTTCCAACCTCCTCCACCTGCAGCCGTGACGGCCACCCAGGCATCAAAGCCAACTTGAAAGCCATCCAAGGCGACCTCTTTATGCTCGAAAAATACATCTTCTTCGTCTCCAAAGCCCCTACCCTCATCGAAATCTCCGACATCCACCAAGTCGTCTTCTCCCGTGTCGGAGCAAGCATGGGCGCCGCCGCCGCTCGTACATTCGACCTTAAAATCATCACCAAGAGCGGTCCTGAATACAACTTCACGTCGATCAACAAGGAGGAACACGAGGTCACGGAGGCGTATTTGAAGGATAAGAAGGTTAGGGTGAAGAATGAGATGCTGCCAGACGCGGACCTGTTGCTGGCTGCTGCGGGTGCAGATGACGACGATGACGACGATATGGCTAGTGTTATCAGCTCTGAAGATGGAAGAGTGAGAAACCGACCATCGAGAGGCGGAGATGACGAGGACAGTGAAGAAGATGGTTCGTGACTTCTTCCTTACCACGGTGTCATGGAAACTAACGCTTGCATTTGCAGAGGACTTCCAAGTATCCGACTCCGACTCTGGTTCTCCAAGTGACACAGATTCTGACGGGTCAGGCGCCGAGACGGCTTCAGACGCTAGCGGAGATCTCCAATTCACCGCTCCAGTCAAGAAGAAGAAAGTCAAGGGCAAAGACGCTGCGGAGGGCAAGAAGGCCGGGAAGAAGAAAGGAAGCGGTTCTGAAGACGAGGCTCCCAAGAAGAAAGCGCCGGCTAAGAAGAAGGCGAAGAACGATGATGCAATGGATGTTGACGAGGATAAACCCAAGCCGAAACCCAAACCAAAGCCCAAAGCGAAGGCCAATGACAGCGACGTTGAGGTTATGGACGTCGACGAGGATAAGCCCAAGCCCAAGCCTAAACCCAAACCCAAACCCAAGGCCAAGAAGCCCTCTGAAGATGACGCTGAGCCCCCGAAGAAAAAGCTTAAGACCACTGACTAGATTCCTTCACCTTCGTTTGCTACCCTTTCAATACGCTTTGCTCTTGGACTCTTTCTCGCTTCGACTATCACATATCGATTTAATATGTTGTATATTGCATCTTTTTCCTTTGATTTCAATTGATGTGCATGCTGTCTAGGTGATGGTATGATGTCTACGGAAAAGCCCAAGGTATTAAATACGGAGCGAAGGGAGAGAAGAGTACCATAAGGAAAACGATTAAAGGGTTGCAGATAGGTTGAAGTGGTAACTCTACGTGGGCGTCTAGGATGAATGAAGGGTAGCGATACAGTGGTGGAATGTAGGTCGGGCCGCTGCCGAGGGAAGGTTTTACAAATGAGGGGAAGGAAAACATGCTAAAGCACGTGTACAAGCGAGAATACACATTGATGCAGGGGGAAAAGTGAACGACGACGACAAAAATGAACCGAGAGAAAGCGAAAGGAGTGTGAAAGTACAACAGAAATGCACGAAGATAGAAAAGCAGAGAATGTGGGCAGAAAAGAATGTGCGGATCCAATTAAATGCTCAAGGCTTGCCATGCAAGAGTGTACCTGGTTCGAAGACCGGGTTACTGCTTGATGGCAGAGGTTTGGGATTGTACGGCGGAGGAACAGAAATAAGCGGGGCTGGAGGGCGTTGAGATGTAGATTTCCTGCCGGCAGAAGTTGGAGCCCGTGATAGCGCCCCTGAAGCGTTGCCTCCAGCTGCCTTTGGGTTGAAGAGAACTTGGCGTTCCTGGTGGAATACATAGGACTGGCATGGCAAAGACATCGTAAATACAGACACTGCCTATTAGAAAACGATTGACTGACCCTGGCTATCAAGATCTTCTCCATCCAGATCCGCCCGTCCTTTTCATTACACGCGAAAGTGTGCAGGTAGTCGGCTGCATTCTCGAAATACGAGAAGTTGTCGGTCGATTTGACTGCAAATGCAAAAGGCTTTGGAGCTTTGTGAGAGCGGGTGATGTGATAGGCGTCGAAATTAGAAAGCGAGCAGAGCATCACTTCGTCTTTGCCCTATCAGACAATATCAGTTCCTACTGATACTCGACATTCCTGATGAACAATGCAATCACATACGTTGTCGCGTTTCGAAAGCCAGATGGAGTGTTCGCGAAGTTGCATCCATCGCTTGCTCCACTTGCCTCGCTTGACCTCCCATTCAACGTACCCAGAGTGAACAGGAGAGCTCGATGGAATAGCCTGTAATAAGAATTAGTCGGTTGCCAAACGAGAATAGGCTCGAACCACATACTGCGCGGCTAAGAGGAATCGCCAAGGGAGTAAGTTTCAAGACGAACAGATTAACCATCTTGTCTCTATTCCAGGATGCCTGGACATCAGACAACAGTTCGAAACTTCGAATAGGGCGCTCTGCAAGTTCGTTAGCATCATCCAATTGGGATACAAGGTACGAAACCTACCCATTCCAAAGTCTTGCGCGACTTCCCAGACCATCCAACCGCCACTGCCGATGATGCCCTTCAAAGTGCCTTGAGCTTCGATCATCTCAACGACATCACCAGCAGTGGTTGAAGATGCGATTTCTACCATGTTGAATCGCTGCATATCACCGATAAAGATACGTTGTTGAACGATCTGGCTCCTGTCAACAGGAAGAGGCACTGGAGGAGGATTCGGCGACTTGGTAACAGGGCGACGAGCTTCTTCCAACGATGGACGACCAGAATGTGATTGGGGTTTGACGAGTTTCCTGGACATCTGCTGAGTGGGTTCACCTGGGTTCGTAGGCAAAGGCGGCACAGGGGGTAGTGGGACCCCGAACTCATCATACCCTGACGAAGGGTGATGATCGCCACGCCTGGTCACGGACAGACTGCGATATCTGCCAGCAGGTGAATGCGGCGTTGATGCAGCTGCAGAAGCAGAGATAGATTCACCGCGTGAGCGACTGACTTGAGGGCGGGACATGGTGGCTTGCCGAGATAAGGCGATCTTCTGCTCAGCGTCCTTGGGTAAGGGAACGGATTGCTGCTCCTCATAGAATTTTCGACGATCCCCGTGGTTGAATGACCGCATGGGCCGCAATGAAGGCTTGGAAAGCGTTGGGCTGGGAGGACTTCCTGCAGCTCCCTTATCACTGCGTCCTCGAGCATGTCCCGAAGATACTGGTACGGGAGTTCTCTCGGAGGTGTCGAAAGACGTTCTCGCAAACCCGTGGGACTCGTATGTTGGGGGACCTGGGGTGATGGGTTGGCGCAGGTGATCTTGCGATAGTTGGACGTTCTGTAGCCGTAGGGTTAAATCTTCGGCGGAGAATGGGACAGCGAGCGGGGGTGGGGCGGGTTTGCTTGGCATTGTCAAGGTCCGCTGCCGTGTGGGGTGAGCTGTGGAAGGTAACGGTGGCTGTGCACTTGTGGTCGCGTGAAACGCAGCTTCCATTGAACTGGAGAGTGCCAAAGGAGGGAGCAGAGGTCCCCCAGCACCTGCCGGTCGTAAAGTCGCGTGTCGCTCGCGTTCCCGGATAGCGGCATCGGATGATTCCCCAGCAGTCCCTGCACGTTCCCGCTTTGCACGTCGCTGTTCCCTTTCCTCCCGAACCTTCTTTCTGATAGACTTCTGTGCAGTCAACGCAGTGGGAATGCGCTGGGCAAGAGGTACGTCGTCGTCGTCAGAGCTTCCTCCGCCCTGTCCAGGAGTCGACGGGAATAGAGCACTAGAAGCCGTTGGTGGGGGTGCGTGATGGGTCTTAAATCCAGAAGGCTGGCCGTAATCGTCCGTCGAATCTGAATCTTGATCGTCTTCAGAGGCAGAGGTGGAAGGGCGAGAAGACGAGCTAATCGACCTGGCACCATTCGAAGCGTGACTGTAGGGTCCTTGAGGGAGTCTTCGTCGTCGATCGTCCTGTCCATCGTCGTCGTCATCTCCACCGCGTCCACGTCCAGTCGTATAGTGAGATGAGGCAGTGTAATAGGCCGCACTGTTCCCGTGGTCCTGGTTCGACCCTGAGTGTGTACGATACACGGCACCGTTTCCAGAGTCCCTCCCAGAGCCATCCACTGCCGCTCCATATCCGTATCCATAATCCATGTTCCCCGGGTGTCCACCAGCGGAGGTAGGCGTGAAGCGCTGAGCACGATACATGTCGTTGTCGTTGTCAAAGAGAGTGTGTGACGACATCATGCCATCCGAATTTAAGCCTGCCTTCTTAGGGTTTGGCTCGAGGCCAAGCTCATCATCAGAACCTTGTCCTCCAAGCCTTGGTCCATCACCACCGTCCTCGATTCCGGCAACGCTAGCCCCCAACAGTGCAGGCGAATGCTCGGAAGTAAAGCATGAATCATGAACCTCCGCGCGAGCATAACCATTTCCAGCGAACTCGTGATCTGCGTCCCCTCCACTCCCAAGCGTTCCTGGCCCATGACTGGCTCGAATTGTATCCGCAGAGGATGGACACGAGCCCGCACCCAACTCGCTTGGACTCAAGAATCCGGTACGTAAATCATGGACGTAATCGGTGGTCGCGCCTGATGCAAGCGACTCGCGAATTAGGGGCCCACCGAAACCTGGATCTTGGAGCGTAAACTTGGCGGGATTGGTGAAGCTGTGAAGACTCTCCTGCATGCATGCATGGCCGTTTGCACTGGAGCCTTCATGCTCGCCGAGAGCAGGCGAGAATCTATTCGACAAGGTTGGGCTGTGCAAGGGATCGCTTAAATCCAAGTCCGAAAGGTAGCTCGATGATCCCGGTCCTGTTTGGCTCCCCATTCTCCAACTCGCAACACGGTCCACGGATGCCTTGGTGCAGGCATACGGCGGAAAATATGAAGTGGAGGTAAACGAGAATGGCGAATGGTTGTATTCGGATTCCGGAGGGGACTTCAAGGAGTCACTGTCGTCAGAGGAGGACCTCGTCATCGCGTAGAAGTGGCCAGTGATCCCATCGTCCAACCCAGATGGGCTCGTTTGGCCCGGGCTGGTGCTCGTCGACGTTTCGAAAGGGTCTGGAACTGCATCAAGGCGATGGTACGATTCACGTTTGAAAGGGAAACGGAAATCCTGGTTGGCACCTGGGTCAAGGCCTTCGTTGGAGCTTGCGGAAGATGTCGAGGAGTTAGAGACGGATCGTGCGAGTGATGCCCGAGTTGGAGGTGATAGATCAAAGGGGGATGCTTGGGATGATATGGGCGAGAGATAGTCGTAATCGGGAGGTGTTAAAGGTGGTATTGTCGAGGCCTTTCCAGTGGTTTCGTGATCAAGGTCCGTGGTGTTCGCCAGTGCAGTATACTGACAGGTATCGCCAAACGTGGCAGGCTGACCATGCGAGGTGTGTCCCTCTTCACTCGACTCCGGGCCAGAATTGTAGGGGGAAAGATAGCCATATTGCTGATCGGGTTGGCTTTCTAACCCGTGCGAAGGGGGCGCAATGTCGACATCCTGATGAGGGGGAGAAATGTCGACATGGGAACGTCGAATTTCGGAGATGTCCAACGGCGAAGACGAGGAAACTTCGAGGATTTGACTGGGCAACAACGGCTGCGTTCCCGGTGGCAAAGACTCGGTTTCTCGAGAGTTGACATCTTGCAAAACCCGAGGTGGCAATTCGCAATTGGGATTGTCCCAGGGCTCAAAGGGCAACCCGGCACCCACGCGCCCCTTGCGAACCTGATAGCAGGAATGTAAGTATATCTGACTGATGAAACAAGGGAAGCGCGTAGATCAATACCTTCTTCGTGAGAACAACATTCATTTTGGCAAGGGTTGAGAGCGAGGGTAATGAGGGGCGGGGAGTGAATGCCGGTCTCGTGTACGCAGGTTGAGGCTGACGAGCGCCCGAAATTGCTCGCGGGCGCGATCTTGGAATGTTTGCCTCGGTGATCACCAGGGTTTTCTTGGGAGAATCTGCTGTCAAGGGCGAGCGCGGTGTTGGGGACAAAGGAGTGACTTCTGGTGGAGAGAGCGTTGATGGCGAATGAGGGGTCACACGCGACACTTTCGTCGGGGATGTGAGGTTGGCAAATGGGTCATCGTCCAATAGAAAGTCGGGAGGAGGAGACGCTCGAGATGGCGAAGGAGGAATGGGTGGGAATTCTGAGGCCAATGGGGAAGTCATTGCACTCGAAGCGCTCGCTGCAGTTGAACCAGAACGGCTGCGTGGGGTCTGCTCTCCACTTGAACTTGGGCTGGAAGTTGGGATTGCAATGGGTAGCAGCGAGTGCATCAGCGATTGCAACGAGGCCCGCCGAGATTTCATCCTGGATGACTTGAGCGAAGATGCACGGCGAGATCGTTTGGGCGACGCTCCTGGAAGACCGTAGAGGTTGGTGTAGAAATCGACTGAGGAAATGGCATCCAATGGGACTCCTGTGGTTTCGTTCCTGAGTATAGCCTATTCACGCGTCGTCGCGTCAGCATTTTAGCATATTGGCAAAAGCTAGACTGCGCTCACCAGACGCGAGTCAATACCCTGGGTCCAGAGGTCAATACTCGACCTCGGTAGCCTGTCTCGCGGCGGGTCTCGAACAAGGACTGAATCTGTGCGCTCTACGGCGACTTTTTTGTCGGAAGGGAGAAGAAAAGGGACTTGGGCGGGAAATTGGGAAACTACGGGAGACCCTTGTGGGTTATAATGCCAGTCCATGCTGCAGGCGTGGGTATCCAGGCGTTCCGGAGAAATGATTTTTGGTTTGCCGTCGACGCCCAGTTTGGCAGGGCAAAATTGGGGGTGCAATTCCAAAAGGAGATCCTTTTGTTTTTCAAGATTCCGTGTTTCTGAGGTCTCTGGTGCCCCAGAGCCGCAGAAAACCGGCTAAAATGTCGAGGGCTGGGAGGCGGAAGATGACGATCCAGGTTCAAGTTGTTTAAAGCGAGGCTAGTGCGTCGCTGGACAGCTTTCTTGACGGGTGACCCTAGATCTGACACGCTCCAAATCCGGTAACTCGTCCCCCTTGGCGACAACAAACACAGTTTTGCCGCCCATCCGCCCGATCGACAAGCAGACGTCAAAGACTGCTGTGGAACGTCCAATTCGAACTCTATCTGAATCAGTACATATCACTACACTCAGAATACCCCTTCCAAGATGTTATCCAACATTCGAGTTTCTCTTCCCGTCCCAGTTCCCAGTAGTTCCCCTTAGTTCCCTCGGTGATTTCCCTGAATTTCAAACGGTTCTCGGACTCGGAAGTAAATGAAAAAGAGCGGGGTTAGTCCACGGCAGTTATAGTATAGAAACCGTTGCCATTTGCTGTGAAGTGACGACTTGCCTGCTCGAATCATCTTTCGTCCTTTTGTTCTCATCGTCTTCTATCCGCACGAAGACCTACTTCAACTAGGAAAGTCGGGACCGCCCTGACAATCATTTGCTCCCGGGCATGCCCCTCAAAACTGGTGCAGAAAAGGACTAATAAATCAAGGCAACATTCAAGAGAAATAGCGCAGTTTGACTGAACGAGACCTGACTAGAGCGTTCACAATACGGTCAGGAGACTAGATAAGAACTCTAATGCGACGAGGGAGCGTCTTGAAGACCTTTTTGTCCCGACCTGGCTCAACAAACATACATACGACACCCATAATTTACAGGGGCCCATTCTCCTAGAGTGGCTTGAATTTGTCTACTCTCGAGGCTCCAACATTAAACTACGCTCCCAGTAGTAATCATCTCCTCTTGTCCGGATGTCTACGGAGTTCCGAATATAATTCTGGATGAAAGGCACGCTCTGCAAGTTGTAAGGCTCGTTCGAGAACCGCGTTGCCTCCATAATAACCTCCCAGACCTTCTGTCGTTTCCGAAAGTTGATCAACCCTCCGCTTTGAATAAGATTGTCGTGGTTGACATTACGTAGGAAGTCGAGCATAGAGGTATATGCACCTTGGAAGGAAAGTTAGCCAAGTTCACACATCTAGACCGAACTCGTGACGGGGATTGCTCACCGATGAAAGGCACACAAGGCGGCCTTACCGATGTCATGAGTTGGCGGTAGGTGGTAAAATTATTGGCACTGTCAATAATCTTCTCGCATGAGGAGAACAGCTGAGTTTCTTTCGGGGGGATACGACCCCACGTCCGCTTCAGCCGCTTGACTGGTGGCAAGTTGAGGGCAGAGATAATGGAAACCATGCTTGCAAAGTTGTTCAAGGAACGACAACGCTGCGACATTCAAAATCAGTGACTGGTAGTACATCGCCCTCAAAAGGAACTCACCTCGGCAACTGTAATGAAGTATTTGATGAGGGCCACTCGTTTTCGAGGATCCTCTTTGCTCAAGATGATGTTTACCACCCAGTTGACAATCTGTATGACCGTGAACCTTGCGGTCTGAATTAAGGATATGCTCCCCTCTTACCTTGTTGCTAAATTCAATCAAGCCGAAAATGTTATCCCGACGTCCCTGCTTCCATGCCCTTCGAAGCAGTTCCCCAGACGATATCCTCTGGTAAAACTCGCTCTCCATGAGGGTCAATTGCCGCGCCAATTCAAGTGGGTGGATATCAAGCAGAAGTCCCGATGTTTTGCTGAATTTGGATATTATTGGAGCGGGAGGGGAGGGCATCGATGTACTTGAAATACGTTCCCGCGCACCTCTACGGATTGTCTAAACACACCAAGTTAGCACAGTCGTCAGTGAAGAGTGACGAGATACCTACTGCTCGGGCGATGAGATTCAAAAGCACCTTGGACGCCATGGTGAACCCGATGAGGTGACGTGACTGCAAAAATCGTTCGATTTTGCCAAGCACAAGGAGGTCATCGTCATCCAAAACACCTGGCTGTAACAGACTTTTGAGCATTCCAAGAACCCTACATCTTACCGTGAGCACTGGCAAGGCTTCGGAGAGAGCTTCCAACTCACCGAGTCTGTACGACGCGCTGCTTCTGATGAACCCAATGTTCATGTTCCTCAGACGTTAGTCCTTTGGGAGGTTGGATCAAAAACCGCGCGATGAGATGGTCAACCAATTCGTTCAGCGTCGTAAAGGTTTTAAAGGTCAACAGGAAAGCTTCCTTGAAGGCATGATCCACTATAGGAGAGGGCCATTAGCATTGGATCCTCGGTGCTCTCTAGATGACACTGGAACTCACGGGTCTCTTCGTGGGCGGTAAGTCTCTCTACGAGTACTTCGAGAGTTGCCGCACGGATAGACCCGTCGTGGTCCATGATGATTTCAGAAGGGTTCAAATTCGGTCGAAGGTACCACGGAGATTGCTGGAATCGTTCCATATATTCACCAACGAACCAGGGATCCGTCGGGGACTCAACCACCGCACCATCCTCTTGCACGACGGAGGCTTGAGTCTGGTTGTCGACGACGAGTTGGATCAACATTCGACGGAAGAGATAGCGTGCTTCAAGGACGTCGCCCTCTGTCATCAAAGTGGATTGGGTTTCTTCCGGTGTAACCTCCATTGCAACTTCTTCCAATGGTTGTTCCTGGATTGCCCCGTTGGAAGCAGAAGGCGAAACAGGTCGCGACCGTCTCCGAGGATTCGATGGCATCGAGTATCGACGGCGCTCTTCAGTCGGGGAGGATTCATCACAGGACGTATCCTCCTCTTTCGGTTCGGCGGGCCTCTCGGGGGATGTGACTTCTGTGACTTTGACCATCATCCGACAGGCTTCACTGAGAAGGGTGTTAGTGGAGACCATGGATGTGAGATGGATGAAACTTGCCAATTCACCCAGCCGTTTTCTCGCCTGGCGAGGTCGCTTCGATTCTCATGGCCGCAGCGGGGACATTTGTTGGAGCTCATCGAAGTCGCTTGCACAAGGACGCTGACTTCGAATGTCTTTCCGGGGCGTAGGTTCTGGTGGAACAGTGTGTCGTCGAGCGCTTGATTGGTACATGGGTCATCCAACTGGTATCGCTTTTGGTCGATGTAGAAGCTTCCTTTGGTCCCTCTGCAGCCTTGCTGGACGAAGAAGTGAACATCCTGAAAGTGAATTAGAATAGGTGGGTAACAAAAGAGCAAGCTTCCCTACGTCGAGTGTATTGGTGAACCGAATAGGGATGGCCAATGGCTTCCCAAGGGGCTCGATAACGATAATTTCTTCGACTGAAATGTGTCGCAGGGAAGGTGGGGCACCACACAGAAATTCCGTCAATTCCTGCGCCCGGAACTGGGAATCTTGTGTGGTACAGTCGAATAACTCTTCAGCCCAGACGAACCTAGTGTTTCGATTTGCAGCGGTCAGCGGGCGACATCTCCGACGAGAAGAATAAACGCACGACTTCAGCGAGACCAAACAAGACCCCAGGGTCTTCACCTGCGAGTTCACCAGCTTCCGAATGGAAGAAACCTCCTCCGGTTCTTCAACCGCCGTCCACCAGTGCCAGACATACAACACACTCCCAAATCTCCTCCAAGGCGGTACCCATCGGTATGGTAGCTGGACAACGTCATCGTGGACTTGCGTGAGAGTAAGGATGCACTGCGAGAGATGGTGGTGAATATCCTCCCTGACAAGCCTCCCCAAATCCGTCTTCCTACAAGCCTGGTATGCTCGCCGCAGGATTGTGGCGACGAGGGCCAATCCCTGGAGGTCGGCGTGGAGTTTCTTGAAGATGCCGCTGGAGTGGGGCTCTACGACAGCGTTCAGTCGGTCAAGGGCATAATTGAGTACTGAGAAGGCGCTCGGTGACGCCCATGGAATGCGCTGGGTTGGGCCATCGGGAGCTGAAGCTCGTTCGGCTGTCTTCACAACTGGATCATTCGTTCGGGCTCGGGTCGCTATCAGTGCGCCATAGGGAGCTGAAGCACGTTTAATTTTCTTCGCACATTGACCGTTAATTAGCGCTGGTGTTGTTATCGGTGCGCCATAGGGAGATGAAGCACGTTTGGCCTTCTTCACAAGTTGATCGTGGGTTAGGGCCGGTGTTGTTATTGGTGCGCTAGCGTGACGCTCAACTGGTATCGGCGCTTGTTGTACAGTGCGATGCGAGTCGTAGTGCCAATGGTGGTGGATTACTACCTCCCTTGAAAAGTCGTTGAACGTCCCGCCGTTTATCGTGAAGTTGCTTGCTCGGTTGAAGAGAGGCATGGCGGTTTATTGGGAAGACATTGACCTTGGTTGCAGCGTCGGGTAGGAGATTAAAGCTGGAAAGTCACAAGAGCACCGCCCTCGTAGTATTTCCACGTCTTTGACACAGTTCATCACTCCAGCATTTGGTTAGGGACTGAGAGCTGTGCACGGGATTAAGAAGCTGTATCTTTGAATTCATAAAGTCGGTTGTTTGACGTTTCTGTTTTAGTGCAGGTCTTGTGGTAAGTCCAGACAGAATTGAGGTGCTGGAATCCAAGGAATTGAGGGGCAATATACCGTTGAGAAAGGAAGAAAGGCCCGGACTCGTCGGAATCGGGGTTCGCCGAGCCTTTTCATTTTCCCACCCCTATTAGCGCGGATTCACGCGTCGCGCCGATGATGGTGCGTAACGTTCGACCCGCCAAAAGCGAGCTGTGACCATGTTCACTGTGTCATACTAGTAGTACCAAGGGTCTACAGAGTTCTTTCATGGTGAACTGGTAGCGAGTCTCCCTTCCGAGAGTCTGGCGAGTAAGTGGACGCATTTCGAGCACGTTCCATCTGGAAGACGCTGACTTTCATCTTTAGCGCCATTCCAGTCTGTTCTAGTGCGGAGGTATGCTCCCCTGGCTTTCAGTGTGTAAACTCGCTGACACTACCCTGCGCGGTAACCTTCGTCATCCCGGCTAATAACTGTACCACTTTATGAAGCGTTTGGCTTCCGCCGAGATGTTCTTCGAGATTACAAGCTTTGTGGGCTCATGGTGCGGAGGAAAACCAAAGCGAACCTCGCCTTCGCCGAGATCATTACCCTCTTCCATACCCATTAGCCACCGGTGTGTGTTGACGCCGCATCGACCCATTTACCTGGCGATTCGACAAAAGCGAGCAGTGGCACTGTGAACCATCCCGCCGCAGTGTATGTAAAGGGTCTGTGAGGACACGTACATGCACCATGCCAGAGCGCCTCTTCGGATACCCAGGTAAGCAGCTGCAGTTTAGCACAGATCTACTGCGATAAGTTGCTGAGCAGATGTGTTTACCTTATATTCATTATATCCTCTCTACATGCTACAATGGCATGACTTGATCAACCCACGTCTACCAGATTACCTTTACTCTCGTGCCAACTGCATCAGCAGCGGAGTACATGTTCGGTTCCCTCCACCCTGAGTGCGATGGTGGTCTGACGTTGATCTCAATTCGCCCACTCACTTTAAAAGGTTTCACCAGGTTCTAGTAGTCTATAGACTATAAGTATACAGCTGTATTATTATTGTTAGTCTCGACTAATCATGAAATATAATTGACATTTTGTGGTGAATTGCCGCCTGCGTGATTGTCAAACCCTAGGGAATTCGTCTGTACCACACCTTGAAAAGATCTTGTTGAGGTCTTGTGAACTGTCTGGCGGACTTGACGACGTCTTGGTCAAGACGATTCCGTCTTATCCCAGAAAGGGGACCTACTGATTCAAGACGCGCGGTCTGGGCGTCTGATGCGTCTTAAACGTCTTGCCCAAGCCCCATCAGACGCGTGTGGGTTTCCTGATGCATCTTGCCGGCTGGCACCCCTCCCTCCCCAAATCTTCAACGATGTCCGAATTCCGTCCATCCCTCATGCACTTCTTCAACAGCTTCAAAGAAAGCTTGTTTCTCGGAAACCCTCGCTGGACGCCAGCAGAAATTCCGTGTCTGAAAGACAAAGTCATCATCGTCACTGGAGGAAACTCTGGAATTGGCTATGATACAGTCAAGGTAGTTTTTGCCTTCGCTGTCGCCTCTACCACGGCTAACGTTCTGGCGCCAGGCTCTCCTGGAGCACGAAGCAACAGTGTACATCGTATCTCGAAACGAGAGCAAGGCTCTTCCTGTCATTGACGAACTCGAGAAGGAAACAGGGAAGCGGGCCCTGTACATCCAAGCAGAGCTGTCAGACCTTAGCTCGGTAAAAAGAGCTGCCGAGCAGTTCCTCAGGTACGAATAAACTTTGTCGCGCCCATCGATCATTTCTCGACGACCGGCAAGCAAGGAAGACCGTCTAGATATCTTGTATAACAATGCGTCAGTAACGGGCTATCAGAAACCCTACGGCCGCCTGTAACCTAATCCGATTCACAACAGGGGGATCGTGTACCCTTTCGCGACGACACCGGAAGGAAACGACCTGATCTTCGAGACGAACGTCACCGGTATGTGTGCTCCTAACAAATGGCTACACGACCTGTTCCCTGATGGCCACTCCCAGGCCACTTCTACTTCACCACGCTGTTGCTTCCATTACTCCTTTCGACAGCTAAAACCGCAGCACCAGGGACGGTCAGAATCATCAACGTGTCATCGAGTGCACATCGCCTGGTCCCCGCAACGAACCCTTTGAAGCTCGATGCAATTCAGGAAGGTCCGCTGAGAGATCAGGTCCTCCGAATGTACGGTTATGGCTTCAGCAAATTTGTGCGTTATCCATTTCCCGTGGGGTCGAGAATGCGAGCTGATGGTGAACTAGTGCTCGAATCTGTATACTAACGAGCTCGCAAGACGGTACAAGGACACCAACATTGTCGTTATGTCGGTTCATCCGGGTAAGCAGACTGCTGGTGCGACACTCCTTTGTTTCTGGATTCTGACCCGAGTCGTAGGGTGTTTCCATACGTCCATGACCGACCATATGCCACAGACATTGGCCAATCGAATGATCAACGTCAGTTACCACTTCCCTAGTGGCGCTGGCTTGAACTCTGGACTGACGTTTCGTCAGAAAATTATATTCATATACTCTCCAGATTATAAAGCTTATACCCAACTGTGGGCAGGCACAGCCCCGGAAGCAGGAAAGCTGCATGGAAAGGTTCGTATTCTGATCTATCCCCTCGGGATCCCTCGTACCCAATTTATCTTGACGGATTCACAGTACATAACGCCATGGAACAGTGTCGGAAACCCACGGGCGGAGACGCAGGACGAAGGTCTAATGACGGAACTATGGACGTACCTGGAAGGGAGGGTAAAAGCTCATGAGCTCAAGCAGGTGGAAGGTGCTTAGGGCCCGGTTACGGGGAGGGTCCGTTATCATTGCCTCTTGTTCCTCCACTCGGTCGCAGAGATTGAGTACCCTGCCAAGCGCCCGAGCCCGGGTCTCGGCGCTTATATTTGATATCGCAAATCTCAAGTATGACCTATCTTCCTCGGACCTCCAGTAGTGATATCGAACATACCACAATGGATTTCAAACATTTCAGTGCAAGTGAGTCGGGAATAAACTACTCAGATAAGAGATCCAGGCCGCTTCGAGGTGAACTCTGAAGCCGTAATCATAATTACATATATAGTGCGATGCCATCCATCCTCAGGCTCGTGGACCTTTGTGAATTATCGATGGGTGTAAAGACAGCTTCTGAGTTGGAAGATGGCAACATTGCAGGTCGAATAGAAGCGTGTGCAGCGGATTCAATTTTGTCAAAGCAGAGAGAAGGCAACCTTAGTCAACCCGCACGACATAAGCCTCGGCACATTCGGGATCACGTCTCAGGAAATTCATTCTCCAAAGTAGGCAATTGGCCACTCCAAAAACATAACCGCGCTGCGCCACACAGTAAAATGGTCTATTAACTCTCACCCACAGCTTAGGATCGACCCCCCAACAATCAGGTTTGCAGATCTTTGTGGGGACTTTCGCAGGGCACGGGCCGACCACCGTGACGGACGTCAATGTGCGGCACAATTACTATCGTTTGCAGGGTGTTGCAACGGATTTCACTCTCTCTTCAATATCTCTCTGTGTACTCATTTTGGGAATTTGAAATTTGGTATTTAGGTTGCTGTTCTATTCGGCTATTCAGTTATTTAGTCATTTAGAGAATCAGCGAAGTTCTCGTTCTGCCAGAGGGAGGCCGGTGGAGGGTGTCTCAAAAGCACCAAAAGTCATAGTGTTGCAACGACTGTGACATGATGGCGAACACTCCGATGTCACATCATTGGCAACTCCGAAGGGGGGAGCGTGACAAACTTTTGATCGTTTGATGAAAGTCGCGGGAGGTCGCGTTGCAAACTGCTGGGAACGCTCTCTCGCTCCTGTCACGCTCCCAAGATTTCTGTTTCGTCTCTTCAGAAAGGGTACGAGGGGCATGAAATGTAGACCAGTGGGTTAGAAAACATTCATTGTTAATTTATATGTAGTTTATGCGGTCAATCCACTCCCACTCATTGCGGAATGTCCAAACTACGTGGGATTTTTGCTTTTGCAACGAAAATTCTACCACTGATAACGCATTCCTCTGAGAAGCAATTGCTTCTCCGTTACAAAAGTAAAATAGAAAGCACTGTCGCGTTCACCTGCATAGGATTATATAAAAATCTGGGCCGATAAAGCAGCGCCTGGGCTGCGATAAGGTCCGTTGCAACACTGTGACCGCGTTGCATACCGTTGTCAATGATAGTAGAAGACATCCGACCCAGTGAAACTCGACATGTTCAGTCGCCCGCTGTCGCCCACACAAGCTTGCGCTTGCAGGAGAATGTAGGTGTGGGATCCTGGAATGCACATTCGGAGAACAAGCGTTCCCAGTTTACGTATCGGCGTCTCGACATTCTTCTCCTACCGTCCTACAACATCACTATTCGCTCACAGCATGGTAGATGACATGTAACACGGCGGTCTCGGCTGAGATCTGAGAAGAGCCTGTGCGAGAAACATATAATGGCGCGACATTTCGAAGCCTGGCACCACTCCCCCCGTTTCGGGCGCTACCGTGGCGACTGACGAAAAAAAGCTGCCTTGGATCCTTGAATCGTCGCGCTTCACGAACGCTTGCACTCACAGAATACGTCGCTCTGTATCAACATGTCGGAAACAAAGCCGGCAGGGAAGCACTTGCGCGCTATGCTCAGAGAGACTTGGTTCCTCGGGAAACCACACTGGTCGCCCAAGGACATGCCATCATTGAAGGGCAAAGTCGTAGTTGTCACTGGAGGGAACTCTGGCCTGGGTCTTGATACTGTCAAGGTATGTTCTGAGTTCTCCCTACATCACACCGATGATAATGCTGCTAATGACCGACTGCGTTCCAATAGGCACTGCTCGAACATGACGCCAAAGTCTATATCCTTTCCCGAAACGAGCAAAAAGCCCTTCCCGTGATCGACCAGTTAGAAAAAGACACAAAGAAACGACCTCTGTTCATCAAAACAGAGTTGTCGGACTTGAATTCTGTGAAACGCGCCGCTGAAGAGTTCTTGAGGTAAGAAGTATCGATACCGGATATCGACAAAAAAAATACTGACCATGGCGCTTGTCCGAATAGCAAAGAAAATAGACTCGACATTCTGTACAACAATGCGTGCGTCCATGTTCGCCCATATGTACAGTCCCAAGTCATTTAACCGCCCGTCGATCATATAGGGGAATCATCCTTCCATTCGCAGTCACACCTGAAGGCTACGACCTAGTGTTCGAAACCAATGTCACAGGTACGAATGACTCGTCGCTCCTCTGCAACGTCCATGAACTCTCGCTCACCTGTTACTGCCCACCCCAAAAGGACACTTCTACCTCACTTCCCTCCTGCTTCCCCTCCTCCTCTCAACAGCCAAAACCGCCCCGAAAGGCGAAGTCAGAATCATCAACATATCCTCCACCGCCCACCACACCGTCCCCGCCGTGAATCCTCTCAGACTCGAAGCAGTGAAAGACGGTCCTCTGCGAAGACAATGGCTCAAAAAGATCGACTATGGTTTTAGCAAATTCGTGCGTACGGTTTTTTTGTTACTCGATCAATACACCCGTGCGGCCTGTACTGACACCTATTCTGGAAAGGTTATGAATCTGTATACGAGCGAGTTGGCCAAGAGGTACAAGGACAGCAATATCGTCGCTATCGCTGTCCACCCAGGTAAGACGTCCATCCTCATCCACATCCCCAACGACGACTGAACGTCTGGTCTCAACACAACAAACAGGGAGCTACAGCACACCCATAACATCAGGTGTAAATCAGCCGCGAGGGCAAAGAATTGCGCAGGTGCGACCCATCAACACCTCCTGTACACTTTGAACTGACTGTTCCTCGCACAGCGTCTCTTCTTCATCTACCCCGTTAAATATGGCGCTTGGACACAGTTATGGGCAGGGACCGCGCCCGAGGCCGCCGATCTGAGCGGGAAGGTAAGCACTCCCTGCCTTGTCGACTGCATAAGCTGACCCTAGTCGACAGTACGTCGTTCCATGGTCGAAACTAGGAAAGCCACGGTCTGAAGTGGAAGATGAGAAAATGATGGCCGAGGTGTGGACCTACCTCGAGGGAAGAATAAAGGAACATGAGCTCAAGCAATCCGAGTCTACTGCACAGACATCAGATAGTCCTTCCGCAGCACGAAATGGAGCGGGCCCATCGCCACCGTCATAATACTCGCGTCCATTTCGAAGTATCAACGAGATGGCACATTAAAGATTAGATCGACACATTCCCCTAAGACTTAGATAAATTGATGAGAGCTTCAATGATTATAGGTGGCCTGAAGCCTCGATTTGATGTACTCCCCCGCGGTAATGATCTCGTACTTGAAAGGGCGTTCAGCGGACACGCAGGTAGGGATGGGCTGAGTATGGGAGACTCCATATCAGAATCATGGCACAAAGTAACAGGGAGGATCCTGGACTCACCTCCAAGGGCGTATTGAAATCAATGCCAAAGAACAAGGGGATCGAATACCTCTCGACCCCACTCCGATTGACAGCTCTATGAACCGTGGACTTGAAGATACCATCTTTGGGCACAGACAGCGTTGACACGGGTTAGATCGTCATGGAAGGACTACTTAAACTTACTTGTCATACGAGCCAATTCGTCTCCAATGCTGACAAAAGGGTCAATAGTGCACGAGGCTTTCTCCACCGTACAGGACGTACTTGATGACTAAAGTACCTGGAATCGGGGGTGCATTCACCCATTCGTTGGAAGAATTGAGGACCTGCAAGGCCTGGATGCCAGGTTGTTGCCAGAGAATCGTGAAGATCTCCCAACTATACAATCCCGTTGAATAATTAATGCATTCCGTCGCGCGTCACCAGGACTCACTCAGTATGCGCTCCAATGCCCATAGTCCTGTCATCCACGTCGCCAGTCTGGGGTGGATAATGTATCAATCTCATCAAGGCAGCCGAGTGCTTCGTCTTGTCGTCGAAGAAGTCTGCAGGTGCATCGACCGCCTGTGCAAATAAGGGGAACATGGTTTTCCCAAGTGCCGTAGCCGCATAGCTAAAGCGCAAGTCGACTTCAATAAAAGGCATCGGAATACGCCAACGAGTACTCACTAATATTTCAGAGCTGCCTCTCGGAAACCGGCAGCATCGTTGGGAGATGGCCACACGTTTCCTCCAGCCATCGCACCACTAACATTGTCGTACTCTTTGTTACCCTCGTCCGTGGTCCCTTCGAGTGGCTCCCAGCCGAATTCGAAGCCTTCCTGTAGGTCTGCTGCACCATAGGGATCATTCTTGCCGCTGAACAAGGGCGAGTAGCCTTTGAAGTTGGGTTGTTTTTTGTTCTCAATCTGGCGGGGGATATTGTCGATGGTGCGCGATGCGGACGTCGCAACGGACACACCTCCATCTTCTTCTCCAGGGGGAGGCTAAAGAATCTCTTTGCTGCCTCCTTCGCCCCTTCGATAGTTTCCTCTGGGATTCCATGATTGGAGACTAGGAACTAGTTAGATGTCAGATCCGGGAAGGTTTAAGGCAGGTACAGCACCATAGAAGAATCCAACACGAATACAAGCCTCGCGAATGGCTGCCACTAAAGCCTTGTTTCAAACGTCAGATCGACGCAAGTCTCCTCCCAGAAATGATCAGTACTTGACGAGCATCCGGATCCTTGCTGGACAATTGAGAGAGATCGCTGAACGTTTACTCGTCAACGCGATGACACTGGGCGACAGTATCGCTATACGAACATAATAGGGACTTCATGAAACTGAGTATCGGCGGATTGGGCATCAGCAATGAGGGACATGGTTGAAGCAGCAAGAGGATCGTTATTCGCGAGCACCACTGGCCTGGTTCTTCAACTTCCTTGTTGTTGATGACATCACAGTCGCCTTCAAGGGCTTCAATCTGGTCGATTTTAGGGAAACAAAGTGGTCGTGGTCGTATCTCAAGCCATGTGTGTCCTGACGAACTTCTGGCGGTTGGCCAACTTGAAGGCGGCCGGTGACGCGACGCGTCGATGGCGACGAGAAAGAATCATGATGGTCACCAAGCGCGCCATCATACTTCCCCTCAAAAAAGTCAATCTCGTGCCTTTTGAGTCCGCCCGGGAAGAGGAGCAGGAGGGCCGATTGGTCGAGGTGGGTCCGGATGATGTGCTCCGTTGTTACCAACAAGCCAAGGAGACAACAGAATACAAAGACTGAAATACATATAAAACACCAGGAATCATACGAACGACTCTTTCCTCAGTTCAGCGTCCTGGGGGCGATTTGTGACTGTCTTTTCTTTTCTTCACCCTTTCGTTCAACGCGTGGCTAGTCTACGTCCCAACTTTCCTTTTCAATCCTCTTTTTGATTTTCGTGTAAATTCAACCCATCGGGATGGTCCAGCTCGCGTCGTTCAAGGGTCTCGTCGGCCTCTTCGCATTGGCTTCGTGCGTGTTGCCAATCTCTGCGGCACCCGTCGTCCGAAGGCAAGGATTCAGCTTCCCCGAACTTCCGTGAGTAGCACTCTCCGTCCGGGTCCCAACAACCGATTGAATTTACACACCACCAGCTTCGCCCAGTTCCAAATCTCAACAACCCCCGGTGGTACCGCTCGTCAAGAAGCTGCCGCCATCTTCCTCGACCCCTTCAATGGCGTCAACCTCGCTGATCTCGATGACTCGATCGAGAAGAACATTGCTGCCATGCGTCAAACTGCCGAAAAGGCCGAAACGGAGCTGTTCAACCCTGCGATTGACGCTGCATCTGGCGCCCAGAAGGAGGCTCTCCAAGTTGGAAAGACCAAGAACAAGGTCTTGAAGCATACCGCTTTCCTCCAGCTTTTCAGGATCAGGGTGAGTCTTTCATGCCCTGCCATGCTGGCACGGAACACAATGCTGATCCCGAATCATAGTTGGCCAAAGCTCAGGCTAGTGGACGCGATACTTCCAAAATTCTGGCTGATATCGCCGACCGAGAGTGAGTAGCAATGCCCGTGTGGCGAAGGGATCAAGAGTTGACTAGGCGATGTAGGAACCTGTTGGAGAAGAACAGCGAGGCAGATCTCAAGAACGCAGGCAAGGCCTCCGCTTCTCCAGTCGCTTCTGAGCCCCGTCCTGCAATTGGCAACACTGGCAACAACAACAACGCCCCCGCCCCCCAGACCGACGCTTTCTCTTTCCGCGAACTCCCGTAAGATCGCCTCATCGACCTCCAACCAAATCCTCTTTAACCAGACGTTTTGGACAGATACGCCCAATTCCAGATCTCCTCGACCCCAGGTGGAACCGCTGCTGAAGAAGCCGAGGCTCTCTTCCTCGCTCCTTTCCAGGGTGTCAACCTCGCAGATCTTCCCGACTCTGTAGAGAGAGCTCTCGCTCGCATGCGTGAAGCCGCCGAGGCTGCCGAGGTCGACCTCTTCAACCCCGCCATCGCCCGTGCTTCCGGTGCTGAAGGTACTTTCCACCCTTTCCCCCGGCCACACAAATACCCGTGCTGACAGAAACCCTCCTCGCAGCTGCTGCCTTGGAAGTTGGAAAGACCAAGAACAAGGTCCTCAAACACACCATCTTCCTCCAGATCTTCAACATCCGACTCGCCAAAGCCCAAGCCGCTGGACGCAACACCGCCTCCATCGAGGCTGATCTCGCCGATCGCTTGGCCAAGTTGGCTACCAACACCAACCTCGACCGAAACAACCGCGGACGTGCCTCTCGCGCAGTTGTTTAAATGCCGAGTAGTAGTAGTCGACTCGTAAATGGGTTGAATTTATCTTTTTTTCTGCCATTCTTGAGATGATCTTGAAGGCTCGTGTTGAGTCATCTGGCACTTGCCACCGTTTCTGAAATCTGAGATTGCGAGATTGAAGATCAAGAAGCGTTCGTTTCACATTTACAGAGGTCCACGCCTGAAACTGAGTATAGCTTACACACCGCCTTGCCTATCTTACATTATACATCTGGACAATCGTCGGTCCAGGTCCATCCTCGCCGTGAACGGAGTAGTGAATCTCGACATTCAGTTCACGACTATTATCCCCGCTCTTGTGGCAGTAGAACGTTCCGGTAACGGTCGTTCCTAAGTAAGTTCGAGTCAGTCATCCGCCCATCCCGTACTAGAAAGCAAACAGTGAATGTTACCTTCAGATACCCAGAACGGCTCGCGAAGCATAAACAAAGTCTGCTTCCAGTGCGTAGGGGTGCTCTGTGGACCCGTGCTGAAACTGGTGATCTTTTCTTTCCTGCTGGAGATGCTCTGTCTTCGCTGGGGAGCAGGCTTTCCACCAACTGGCCAGAGTTCCGCAAGAACGGGCTCGTCTTCCTTCACGTACTTGGGTTGGGTCTCAGGTGGGACCGGGTTACCCGATGTAGTGAAGTAGGTGTCGAAATAAAGGATGAAAGCGGTAATCTTGGTGCGCATGACCGAATTTGAGACCAGAGTGAATGGGGTGGTGAAGTCGAGTTGGCGGGTCGTGATCTCACGAATGAGGAGATCCTATACAAAGTTTAGCGACTGTGCCTCTGAGGAAAGGTGGAACGTACTTTGACAACAACAGGAGCACTGAGCAAGGTTTCTGGGCCCACCACGTCGACGATAGCTTCGTCGTACAGATCCTTTGCCATCACTGACATGTCGAATCCTAGAGAAAAAGAGTGAACAACGACGGAAAAGAGAAGAAAATACAGTCAACGTACCATAGACGTCATCCCAGAACCCTATCCTCTCGCGATAGATTTCAGAGGCATCGCACAAACCCAACATCATCTGGCACTGACTAGGCGCCATCGTCCCACCAGGTCGGAGGAACTTGTCTCTTGCATACAGCACAGAATCCAACATGGACTCGTACAGCAATGCATAACCCATCCATTCCGAGATGATCACATCGACTTCCTTGATATCATCCGGGAGCTCAATCTCTTCAACTTTGCCTCGCACGACAGTGATGATATCCTCAAAACCGTTGACCTTGACGATCTCCCGGGCCTTATCACCGATGTCGCTGGCGTCGACGGCAATGACACGTTTGGCACCCGCCCTGGCGGCGAAGAGGGAGAGGATACCAGTGCCGCAGCCTACGTCGAGCACGACGGCATTCTCAAATAGTCTTGGGCTGGTAAGGATGAAGTTCGCGTAGGTCGCTGTTCGAACCTTGTCGTTGATCATGACAGCGTGGATATCTAACGTGCAGTGGTTTTAGCTTTTCTTCGTTGATTGAGCTGGGGGGAGCAAGTCTCACCATTTTCAGCATAGCTCTGGAAATAGTGCGTATCGTCGTCGCGTTTTGGTGGTTGCTCAGGCTCAGTGGACTTTTCGTCAGCCTCGAGTCGACTTTTGAGGAATCGGCGGTATTCCGCGACTTGTTCCTGAGCTGCGGCAAGTTTCTTTTCGAGCCATTGGACCTTCTTGATCGGGTCACTTGGGGGCGAGGGTGAGTCTTCGTCGTCTGACCAGTCGTCCGAGGATATTTCTATCCAAGGATCAATACAGAATGTCAAGAACGAGAAAGAGCAAGGCGTACGAAGTAAAGGATCGTTTTCCACCACAGGGGCTAGGTATTCGTCCGTTCTAAACCACTCCTCTGTGCCTCTGATAGCAAGCGCTTCAGTCGGCGTTATTTTCTTACCAATGTAAGGGTAATTGTAGCTTCCAGGTTATAAGAACTCACATTTTTTCGGATGTAGTTTATCAGTCTAACACGTTGGTGGAAATCGAGGTCTATTATAGCCAATTTTTGTTAAAAAGACGAGAACAGAAAAAGAGGCACGTTGAAGACTCACTGAGTTTGGTGCACACTTCATTCAAGTTGAATCCATGCGTTGTAGTGTCGTGTTTCAAGGCCTCGTCTGCTGAAGGTAAGACCTTGTCTTCAAACAAGGAAGGGCATTCAACGGCTTCAGAATCAGATACCCAGTCGTCCCAGTTTTGGTCGTTGTCGTCTTCGCTTTCGCTGCTTGACGAGCCCGACTCGTAGTGGTCGTCTGGGTCGGGTATGTTGGCTGGTGCAGGTAGGCGAACGCTCATTCTTTCTTCGTGTTAACACAAAGGTTCAAGTTGGGCGATCGTCGTTGGTTCGAGAAACGTTGAAGCGATGTTGACCCGACCGAACTGATAAGATCATCACTCAAAGATAATCTGCTTATCTCCCCGTACCAAGCCCATCCCGGGACGGCCGGCATTCAAACTAAAAATAGTTGCCTCCGGGAGGGGCTGATGGCTTTGATGCTACCGGATTCGGCGACTGCGCGCTAATCAATGGACGTCGTAAAGTTTCGGCCGTGATTGGCGAAAGGCCCTGAAGTCGTCCATATGGTCGCAGCTGCGAGAACTTGTAAAAGGTAAAGTCTACTGCGGAGATTAACCAGACCCGGAAATTAAACCGTTTTATGCGCTGTACGTGAATGCTTACGCGGATGGTGCGGGCTGGAACGCGTATTTCAGGGGCCACTGCGGGACCCGATGTTTACCAGTCAAGGTACCATGAGAAGGGACGGGCGTGCCTCGGGAATGTGGAATCTTCGAGGTGAGTCATTCGCAGGGCGATTATTGACGAGTCATTAGCGCCCTGTCTACTGGTGTGGTTGCTTCTGGGTGTTCTTGTCTTCTTTAGATGAGGAACCATGTGGAAGAAGAGATGTCGGTCCGTTTTGGGGCGTCATTGCCCTAGTACCACTGCAGCGGTGCTAGTGTCCCTAGACCTTTTGACAAGGCGGAGGCATAAAAGGGACAAGTGGTTTATGAATACTTCTGTTATACCTTTTCGCAATCCCCAACATTCCAACCTTCCCCGTATTCTCCCTTTTCATCTTTCCATTTTATCCCATTGATATGTCCGAAACCAACGCGAACGCGGATCAGGGGGGCCAATCCGCAACCCATCTCAGTTTATCCTCACCTTCAAGCACAACAATCAACTCTACCACCCCCCTCCGTACTAGTGGTGGAAAGCAAATGTTGAAGGACTACGAGGCAGCATTCAGTGTTCTGCAATCCAGATACGGCACGGGTGGAACCGTGCCTTCACCCAAGAAGACGCCATCCTCCAAGTTACCGGCGAATACCAAGCCCAAAGTTGTTCCCCGAGATTCGTCATCCGCCGAATCGACATCCTCGACATCCTCAACGGCAACCATCCAAGCGCAATCTGCTTCTGATAAACCGCCAACAGACGAGTCTGGGTCTAGTACACCGAGCAGCAGTCCCAAGACCTCCATGTTACGTTCGTTATTCAAAGGTAAGTAGCCGGTGGACTGCTTAACAGCATCCCTTTGTTCGCCTTGACTGATTGGGTTCCTTGCACATAGGGAAGCGAAAGGACAAGGCTTTAAATAGCTACTCCGAATGCAAGTGATATTGTAATACAGCCGCATGGTAAAGAAGTGTACATTAGATACGGTGAACTATTTTTCGGGTTTCAGGGTAAAGGCATTTGGACAAGGTCATGGAGCATACCAATATCCTGGTGTACGCCGTCGTGATCGCACACATCACAAATCCCAGTCCGAGTCATTCATCGGAAACGCGGCTAAGATCAAAGCACACTTTTGAGTCGACTCACGCGGAACCGCAGCACGAACGACGTTCTGGAGTTCTTTGGAAGGAATACTCAAGGTCCGCGATTGGATGTGGGCTAGGAGTGAGAATTTGAAAACACAGAGAAAAGAATACCCACCGACACGGCAAGGAGAAATCTACACCCCAGTTAGGCAGGGCAGAGACGAATGCGCAGCGCTGGCCAGTCCACATGACGACAATGTTACCGAGCGCGCAGTAAAAGGAGTAGTTTTCCTTCCGTATTCTTTCTTTACAGGGAAACTACTGAGTTAGGAAATGCTTTGTCCTCGAAATATAAAAACCACACTTGCCGGACGGAATGGTCAAAGGCATCTACTTCACCTTTCATCTCCAGTGGTACCCCATCATGAGCAACAACTCTTCCCGGTCTTCATCTACTTCCACCCCGAATTCTACCTCAAACACATTTGATGATTCTGCGTCGATGATTACCCTCGTCGAGGACCAGTCGAAGTCGAGCCAGTGCCAAAAGCCTGAGGGTGAGCCCATCCCCGTGTACAACTCAGAAAATGAACTGACACATCTTGAGCCCAGGTCCATCGAACAGAAAGTCAAGCAACCAGCAGAAACCTAGTTCGCCATGGTCTGATTCCGATTTCAACAAGAAATCCAGCCAGTGTGGCTGGGGAGCCCCAACAGCGACGAGACCATCCTTGGGTTGAAATTCCTTTCACATTCGTGCAGACCGAAACGAGTGAGTGGAGAGGAGCTGTCGGGGTTGTTTTTGAAAGCCGGAAACTGACATCGAGATCACAATAGCAGCGGGTTACCGGGATCTAAAAGAAGAGTTATGGGGACTTTTCGCACGTGGATACAGATAAGAGAGATGTGGTAATACATTGTAGCAGCCGTCCTAGTTCTTTCCTACCTTCCTTACATGAAATCTTCTTCCAATTCTCGACCATATTTGCGTGGTTCGCTAGGGTCTTCTTCCACCTGGAAGAGTGAATCGTATGACCGTGCCGCCTTTTCGGCTTCTCGCGCTTTAGCAAGCTCTCGTTCTGCTTTTTGCTGTTAACAGTTAAGCAGCGGCACAGGCTTGATTAGGCGACACAACGCACCCTTTCAGCTGCAGCAGCTCGTTTGATAGCGTTTTCCTTCTTTATCCTGTCCACGCGTTCTTGTTCATGGTCGACCTCCTTTTCGACTTTGGTTTTGTTCAATCGATTGACAATGGCGTTCTCCCTTGTGGCGATGTGTACTGGGATTCGTCAAGATCAGAGAGACCTACTCTGTGCGAAACTAGTTCTTACTTCTCTTGACCTACAAATGGCTCGTCAACTAAATGTCTGATACCAGCATAAAGTCGACATACCTTTTTGTCATTGTGGAAAGACACTTGGCCAACAGCCATGTCACCAGTTTTCTAGAGAGGCTCTAGCGATCGTCCCCGTAAAGCCCGACACAGCAAACCCACCTTCAAGTTATCGGCGGGGGTATAGATGATGGTAATGTTGTCCTTCTTGTTTCCTGGTGAAATCAGGGCATGATCATAGGATTTTGAGAGGGTTAAGCACCTTCGATGGAATTGGCCTTGACAAGCTGGCCACAGTCGATCAGTAGTGCTTGTGGGATTGCCTCCCAGGTCATTCCCTCTGGCATTCTGAGGTAGACGTGGGCGGACGAAAGTTTGTCTACATGGAACCAGACATCTTGTGGCCACGCATATCTGATCAGTTCCTCGTCTGGATTTCCAGGTCAATTCAGGATTGACACATTGCACACAACAGGTACCCACTCTCGACCTTGTCCTTGCCCATATAGATCGTCGTTGCCGGAGTCGTAGCTACAGCACGTTTCAGCATATTTCCTACGGGGCTCATCATGCCATACTAACCATTGGAAGAGAAGAATAAGACCATTGTCAAGATGAAGAGAGGCAGTCGTTGCAAGCGTTCCGAGGTAAGATCAAAGCCGCCCATTCATTAGTCAGGCACAGCGATCTCACCGTGAGAAACCGACTGCGACCACCTTTCTTCCTCGACAATCATCACGCGCTTTACAGACCTGCCTTGGATTCTGAAGAAAGTAAGGAATAATGCATACCTGGACTTGTTTCTGTACCAACTGACTTGCCCCAGACTTTACACAGAGCGTAGAAACAAAAGAACGACTGCCAAAATGATGCCCAATAGGTTAGGACTCGGGATGCGCCCCCCTTTGGCGTCGTACGGTGGACAGGGTCCCTCAATGCAAGCTTTGGCGCAGCAACAGCAACAAATGCAGTTCATGCAGCATCAAGGTCCCAAACCCGCCACTCTATTTGTTGGGTCAATATCTGGCGGTATTACAGATGCATTTCTCAACCAACTTCTCGGAGTATGTCCACAAAGTTCATAAATCCCCGTTACAATTCTTAGTGAACTATCTTCCAGGCTTGTGGCACTGTCAAGCCAATCAAACGCCTGATAACGCCCGCCAACAAGCCACAAGGCTTCGGTTTCGCAGAATTCGAGGATCCCGATGGGGCGCTTCGAGCAATGGAATTGCTGAACGGGGTCGAACTTCCAGCATTGGAGGATGGCTGTGCCAACAAGAAGCTCCTGGTTCGTCGTACTTTCATCTTTCTCCGTTCACCACTACACTTTTCGTTTTCAGATCAAAGCAGACGAGAAAACCCGCCTCTTTCTCGACGCATACGCCTCTCAAAAAATGAAGACTGACGTATGTTCCCATTTTTCTGCTATACAAGTATGTCACTTACAGTGCTATGCAGCAAGATGAACAAAAGAAGAAAGAGGCCAAAGCCAAAATTGATGAACTGGTGGCTGATATCAACCGGATTCAACAAGACGCGGCCAACAGCGGGTTAATCGACAAGGAGAAATATGTCATCCCTCCTCACCTGCACGACCTCCAAGAATCCGACCTTCCTGAAACACAGCGCGGCCTCGTCATATCTGAAATTGCCCAATTCCGCGAGCGTGCCGCGAAGAGAGAACGGGAGAAACTGCGTGACGTCCAGGCCAGCATTCCGACATTGCTACCAAGTGGACCAAAGTCAAGGGAATGGGGCAAGTCTGCTTCCAACACTCCGAACGCGAAGGGCATGGGGAAAGGGCCTCAGGGTTATGGACAGCCACCAGGGTTCGTGAAGGGGGAGGCGGGTCACGAGGAGAAGCCACCTGTCAACAAGACTGACGAAGAGTTGGAAGCGGAGCGGAAGGAGGCACGGCGGAGGGACGAGGAGAACTCATTCAAAGATGTACGTCCTCTTTGACCGCACGGTACTCGCAGCTGCTGAGTTTTTGATAGCGAGAACGACGTTATGAACCTCGTGAACGACAGCGGATACAGGCTATAGAGCGTGCCATCGCTCGAAAGGAAGCTCAGCGGGAGGCAGAGGAACGAGATAGGTACGAAATGAGGAAGCGACTAGACATCTGGGACGATGACGAAAGCGACGAGCTTTTCTATGTTGATCGGTATGTCATCCTCCCCATCCCTTGCCCTCATTAATGTTCTAAACCTCCGGCGTAGATCGAGGTGGCGACACCTGAGAGCCAGACGCCTGGAAGCCGAAGAGGCAGCGGACGAGAAGTCGCGGAAATACGAAGAGCAAGAAGCCGAAAACCTTCGCAAGGAGTCGGAAGCATTCCTGGCCAGGCAGATGGACGAGTTGCAATCCCTGGCGGAAGAGCAGCGCAAAGCAGGCATGCTCTTGGACGACGGTGCACCTGTTAAGCTCAACGTTTCCATTGCTGCTGCCGGCGCGGCTGCCAAGGAAAAGGAAGCCCCGAAGGAGAAGACTGCGGTGTTCGTGGAGGACGAAGAGGAGGAGGACGCTCTAAAGAAACGGAAGGTTCCTCTTGTCAAACTCGACTTTAGTGTTGCCGAAAGCAGCGAACAGATTCGAGAACGTCTGCTCAGAATCAAAGCTTCGGTGCCTCACGACAAGGAGTCCCTGTTCAAGGCGAAGGTTCGATGGGATGGTCTGTCTGATGTAAGTCCGATTGCCATTTCGTCTCACTGGTGATTCTGATCTTATGAAATTAATAGTCAATGATCGACCGCAAGTTCGAACCCTTGGTGAAACGATTGATGACGAAGTATCTTGGTGAAATGGAAGAAGAAGACCTGATCCTGTTCGTTATCGAGCATCTGAAGGACCACAAAGCGCCTCATAAGCTGGTTGAAGGACTTGAACCCGTATGTATTTCCCCGCCTCTCCACTGCGGTCCCTGACTTCTCTCCCTCCAGGTACTCGAAGAAGAAGCCCTCGAGCTTGTCATCAGTCTCTGGCGGCAGATCATCTTCGAGAGCATGGCTTACAATGATGGTATCCTTACTGAAGAGATGCTCGTCGACGACTAAGCCCGCGCGATTCCCTACCTGGTTCACATACACCAACTTGATGTGTACACGCGGATGTGGATCGTCACCGTCCTGTTGGGCCAGGTGCGTTTCGTGTAGTGTTGAGTATCCTTTGCTGCTGAGGAGCACTGGTTCGACGAGTCGTACTTTCTTTAGGCATTACTAGGAAGAACTGATGCTGTTTTCTATCTTCTCAACCGGTTCCCATGTGTTAACTATTACGTGAGTTCGCCTTTCCAATCTATTCCGATGCACAGAGGTCTTCCTGCGGGGTACGGACCACGGTATTCGAGCTTTGGGGTGGGACTATCTGTTTGTTGGAGAGGGCTACCTCCACTCCATTTTGTTGAGTACTAGTTATTTCCCTCTCTCTCAAGCGTATGTGCTCTTGATCAAAGGTGACAGTGAGATAAAAGAAGGCCGTCGTTCTCATGCCCGAAGTCAACGGTCAAATTTATCATGTCCAGAGCCTAGGTTCCGTTGTATTGGGCAAGTCCGACATTCCAATTCAATTGTATCAGCTTCACTGACATTCCCTTAAGCGCTCGGTATGTACCCGACCCCTCTTCTCTCGTCTTGGGGATTGGCCAAGGGCTACGAGACTGCTCTGTGTCGACCATTCCGATCTCTCTCGATATGCACTATCCCCCTTATGCTATCATTCTCCTCGTTGTTCTCGAACCTTCACTCCCGCCAATTGACCGCATTGTTCTGATACGGCGCCTACACGGCACATCAATACGACCACGAGCTCATCATAGCTCAGGAGGCATGATCTCAGTCATCGCACCCTTGTCCTTAGGCTTTGAATACAGACGGAAGGTTGGGGTGAGGGTAAAGCCTGCTCGCGAGTCTTGGCCAATTCGAGTCTGATATCGACGTATGGTGTATGTACGGATATGTCGTCATCGTCGGTGAGATTTCTCGTCAATCATGCTTCTCCGCGCTCCAACTCCACTGCCGACATCTTGCATTGATACCCATCTGGAAGTGGATGCATGCCAAACTCTCTCACTGCTGTGTGATGTGCAGATACTCTGGGGTGTGCAAGGTGTGCCGCAGCATGCTATAAAGATCGCCATGAGAAGCAGGGTGGGGTAGCGCGGTTTCCCCCGTCGTATTCGGTCGAAGCCTAGCAGTTTGAATCAGCTTCTGCGCAGCGAAGACGCGTTACTTATCCGCCTCCCCCCGCATTGACTACTTCGACGATGGAGAAGTATAGAGTGGCCTTAATGGCCCTTTGTTCTCTGGGTCTCGCGCTAGAGACTGCCGGACAGAGCGCTAGCTCTGACGCGCCTCCTGTTGCCACCGCGACCCCTAGTCCAACTGGTGGACTTAACGAACCTCTGCCTTCACAAGTCCCTGTGCCTCCCAGGCAAGAGTGGTGCACTTCGGAGATCTTCTGTGCTGGCCCGGTATGTACGCTTGATCTGACATGTGCAACTCTTCACTGATCTCTTTTTGGTTTAGCTCCTGCAAACCGTCAACATCGCGCATGTCTATCCAGACGACAAGACATTTGTAGACAAGGTACGGCCTCGAACTTCTCAACTTCCATGACTGCTGTCTAACGTCATACACGTATGATGTAGCCAACCAGCAAGCCGCCTCAAGAAGTGTTGAACGATTTCCGAAATATTTCCACCAACACTACGTATGGTCAAGTCGTCGCCTTCTTGGAGGAAGCCTTCTCAGGAGAAGGCCTCGAGCTGGAACCATTGACCTTGCAGAACTTCAATCCTGAGCCGGCCTTCTTGAACAACGTCACGAACCCGCTTGTCAGAGCTTTCTCCCAGGCCGTTCACACCTTCTGGACCCAGCTTATCCGAGGCACCAACCAGGAGACCGTCTGCGGCAACACCGGTCGATGCGAGAGCACGCTCATCCCACTCAACCACACGTTCGTTGTCCCAGGAGGCCGCTTCAGGGAGCAGTATTATTGGGACAGCTTCTGGATTTTGGAAGGACTCTTGGAATCCGAGCTCAACGACATTGCCAATGCCACCCTGCAGAACTTCATGGACGAGCTCGATACCATCGGCTTCATCCCTAATGGTGGACGTACCTACTGTAAGTCCCGCTTTCCTCTGTACCGTTTATGCTCGCTTTGGATCTGATAGATCATGAACAGACTTGAACAGGTCACAACCTCCCATGTTCATCCAGGTATGGGGTATTTACGTGAACGAGTGACCTCGGTTTCCTGATCATGCGAGTAGATGCTTGCGCGTTACGTTCAGGTCACCGGTGATACAGATATTCTCGCACGAGGTCTCCCACTGGCCGAGGTTCGTAGAATGCTTGATTTCCCAGAGCGATTCCCTCTGACTATGAGCTACTTCTACAGAAAGAATTGGCATGGTGGTCCTCGGAGAGATCCGTTTCGGTCCAGAGCCCTTTTACCAATCAAACTCATGAAGTATATCGCTATGCCGTCACGAACAGTGCCCCTCGTCCGGAATCATATCTAACAGGTTCGCATGCCCTTCTCCTACTGACCTCGCACCAAACTAAGATCACTGCAGATTACCTCACCGCCAACGATCCCGAACTCCCTGTGTTGAACGAAACTGAGCGTGCTGACCTTTATGCTGAATTGGCCAGTGGCGCTGAAAGCGGTTGGGACTACACTGGGCGATGGTACTCCCCTGGAGGAACCAGTCTACGAGACCTGCATGTCCGCTCTACGATCGCCGTGGATCTGAACAGCATTTTGTGTACGTCCAACTGGTCGTCTTGTCCGAAGCCTGGACTGACACCCCGCAGACCGCAGCCACGTCGAGCTTGCCAATTTGTATGGATCTTCCAATGAAACTGCTGCGAACAGGCATCGTGAGGCAGCTGAGCGAATTCGACAAGCTATTCTAGATCTCTGCTGGGACTCTGAGAAGGTATGACTGATATGTCAATCCAAAGGTCGCCCAGCGCTAACCGGCTGCGACAGCTCGCATTCTATGACTTCAGCATTCTCACCAATGACCGGAACGAATGGTTCACTGCTGCTCATTACTACCCATTCTGGAGTGGCATCATCCCCGATGAAGTTTTGTCGAGCGAGGAAGCTGCTTTTGGCGCCTTCTCTTCCCTGAACCTAGTCCTCAACCGTTACAATGGAACCTTCCCCGCAACATTTGTTGACACTCACTTGCAATGGTAGGTCGTGTTATCTCTAAACGACAAGGCGGCGATGTTGACACGAAGCAACAGGGATGCTCCCAACTCTTGGCCACCCCACCAGTACATTGTCCTGCAAGCTTTGCGCGCTTTGCCTGCCAACGTTTCTTCTGGCCCTCTACCTCAGCCCAGCGATGATGAGTCAACATTCTCCCTTGTTCCAGCTGGACAACTGGGTTTGGAGGAAACCGAACTGCCAGGACAGCCTGTGACCTTCAGCCGGAATGCAAGTGCAACTGGATCCTCGGCTGATATCAACCGCTTGGATGGCACCGTCTTCAACGGGGGAAATGCCACGGAAGGTGAAGGATGGGCCGCCGCCCTCGGTCGTCAATTAGCCAATCGTTATTTCGCGAGCACACTCTGCAGCTGGTGAGTGGTTCGAGAGGGTCTTCGGAACTGCTGGCTACATTTCCTTTTTCAGGCATGCTACAGGAGGATCCATCGAAGGCGTTTTGCCCAGGCTGTCGGACGAAGAGCTCGCTGTGACGGAGAGTTTGGACCAAAATGGACACGTGAGGGTTTTTTTATTTCATCCATGACGAGCACGTATCAATTGACTTGCAACTTTGACAATCAGATGTTTGAAAAGTTCTCCAACCTAGACATCGATTCCGCTGGTAGGGGCGGAGAATACGTCGTTCAGGTGATTCCATTTCCTTCGTTATGATCCCCGACGTATAATGACATATGTGGCGGTTGTTTTCAGGCTGGCTTTGGTTGGACGAATGGTGTTTTGCTCTGGGTCGCGAGCAATTATGGCGGCGCCCTGACTACCCCAGAGTGCCCTAATCTTCTTGAGGTACCCACTGCTCCTAAGCCCGGATCGGGCTCGGGCTCCGAAGACGAAGATGGCGGGAGCTTGGGTCGCATTCATAACGCCGCCGCCTCCTGGCTAATTGCAGGACTTTTGTTCTTCTGGATGTTGTGAAGTTTCTTGGACATCCTGGATTTCGACTTGCATTTGAGGCTTGATACCCTTCCCCAGACAGTCCAACCCCGCATCACCCAGGGCCATGTGTGTATTCTTTGTCTATTTGTATCCGATTGTATCCGCCTTCCCTGTTAATTGAAATATCAACAAATTGGGAACCACTAATTACCCGCTGTCATTTGCTGACCCCAGACCATTACTGAATCCACATGGCCACTGTAATCGAATAATCCGAGAGATCCATGGACTGACAAAGTAGGACCTAAGCTGGGTGCGACTCCTGCTCGCCTGTACTGGCCACCCCTGCTCTATACTTCACATTTGGACTTCTGTGGGTTCTTTCAATGCGCCTCTCTGACCCTCAGGCTCCCGTGTCCTCTTTAAGCAGACATGCACAAATATCGAGATCAAGCACGCACCAGGAGAATGCCAATAGTTCGGTACCGAGGCGCCAAGGCGCATAAACATGGAAAAGGGATCTTCATCCCCAAATTTGTCACCATCGCGCGACCCGGCGGTTCGCATGACCCAATCTTCCAGCAATCTCATCTGAGAAGTTTTAATCACGTCGCAAAATGCCTTTGGAGATGCAAGCAATACTGAACGGGTAGCAGCATATAAGGGATGTCTTCCCTGTCATGGAGGCTGTGAGCCCTCCCCCCCACCCCGGATTCCAGTAGAGATGCTCTCTTCACTGTTGGTTGGCTTAGCCCTGCACGCCGCATCCGCGTACGCTGCTCCTAGCCTCGCGCCAACAGTGCAAATCAGTGGAGGCACCTTCGTTGGAGACCGTGGACTCACTGTTCACAAGTTCCTGGGCATCCCCTTTGCCCATCCTCCGTGAGTTGAATAGTTCCCTTCTGCGTCTCATGATGGGGCTGACGCCTCGCCTTTCTTCCAGTGTCGGCAATTTGCGTTTCCGCCTGCCACAGCCGATTGAGAGCTACAATGGTACTTACGATGCCAGCAAATATGGTCCATCGTGTCCCCAACAGGCCGTTAGCTTACCTTTGTTGAGGGGCCTCCCCGCTGAGGCCGCCGACTATGTTGTCAATTCGGTATTCAAACAAGTCTTCCCAGACGACGAAGACTGTGAGTTCTGCGACGCTCCACGTTCCACGCTGCTTCTAAACCAACCGCAGGCCTCACGCTCAACATCGTCAAGCCCGCCACCGCGGGCCCCAATGACAAGCACCCTGTCCTTGTGGTGAGTTACCGTTTCTGTGTAAATTGGAGGCACGGAAGCTCAGCGTGACTTTTGTAGTGGATCTTCGGAGGTTTGTCTTGACTTGGAATCCTTGCAGTCTTTTCCCACTGATGTCAACCTAACTAGGCGGATTCCAACTCGGAAGCACTTCTATGTATGTCAGATTCCTGTCGAGCTGCTGCTTTCGAACTCAGCTCCCTTCCTCGTCTACGCAGGTATGACGGCTCAGGTGTTGTTGCTCGTTCTATCAGCCAGCGGGAGCCGGTCGTCTTCGTGAGCATGAATTACCGGTAAGCTGACTCTGCACATGACCTTGACCATGCTCTAACACCACTCACTCTGATAGTCTCAATGGCTTCGGATTTATGGCTGGTAAAGAAGTTCGGAATGCCGGCGTTGGGAACCTTGGTCTGCACGACCGTAAGTCAATGCACACATTTGTCATAAGTGCCGCTCTAACCATCGGCATTCAGAGCGGGAAGCCCTCCGATGGATCAAGAAGCATATCTCGGCCTTTGGCGGTGACCCAGACAAGGTTACCATGTAAGATCGAAACCTATCGTACGGCCTGGAGTTTGGCTAACTAACCATCGCACCTAGCTGGGGAGAGTCTGCCGGTGCCATCTCTGCCGCCCTTCAGATGGTCGCCTTTGACGGAAACAGCGAGGGTCTCTTCCGCGGCGCTTTCATGCAATCCGGAGCGCCTATCCCCGTCGGACCCATCGAGAACGGCCAGGGCTACTATGACGACGTCGTTCGCGACACCGGATGCGCTGATGCTACCGATACTCTCCAGTGCCTCAGGACCGTCCCATACGACAGACTTAAGGCTGCCATAGACTCAACTCCAGGAATCTTCGACTACCAGGTGAGATATCCTTTCCAAAACACGGGCGAAATTGAATTAATTAGAACTCTCCCAGTCCTTGCGCCTTACTTGGCTTCCCCGTGAAGACGGCGTCTTCCTCACTGACGAACCGCTCAAGTTGGTTCAGCAAGGCAAGGTTGCCAACATTCCCTATGTTAACGGGAACTGCGACGACGAAGGAACCTTGTTCTCGATCGCAACTATGAACGTTACGTGCGTCCCACTTTTTCAATCTTCTTATATTTCCATCGCTAAGCACCCATACATCACAGTACAGACGCTGAATTCAGGTCTTGGCTTGGTGGTACCTTCTTGCCCAACCTCTCGGCCGAGCAAGTGGATGGAATCGCCAGACACTACTCTCAGCGACCTTCGGAAGGCTCACCGTTCGGCACCGGTCTCCTCAACGCAATCACCCCGCAATTCAAGCGCTTTGCTGCCTTCCAGGGTGATGGTGTTTTCCAAGCCCCTCGCCGATGGTTCCTGAGGCACACTGCCCACAAGCAGAACGTCTGGGCTTATGGTGCGTCTTCAGATTTCGTGTTTCTTTAATCGTGTCCGTTAATGGCCATCCAGTCAGCAAACGCTTCAAGGCGCTGCCTGTTCTCGGAGCTGTAAGTTATCTTTTCTAGAGAAAAGCACCTATGCGTGAAGCTTACGGAAGAAACCAGGCCCATGCCACTGATCTGGCGAACAGCTTCTTCGGCGGTGAGATGGGCGAACACATCATTCGCTTCACCAACAAGCTCGATCCCAACGGCGGTCTCCTCGACTTCAACTGGCCCAAGTACAATACCAACACCAAGCAGATGTTGGTTTACAGAGACGGTGTGGTCCCTCTTGCTAGGACCACGGACGACTACCGTGAAGAAGCGATGAATTATTTGATGGAAGTCACTTTGGCCAACCCCGTTTAGTTGGAACATGGCTCTATTTAATGTTGTAGATAATGGCTCGTATGCGTATGCTTCTACATACCCTTCATGATTTGTATGGCTTTGACGAAATGACATGGCGATTCAGTTACTTTCGAGCGATAAAGTGAAGGACTTGCAGGCCAGTGATCGGGAGTGTTTCCCTACTTGGAAGGCATCCTTCCGTTTTCGATTCGAAGTGGTCTCAGGCTACAAAGGCCCAGTTCCTTGATACCATCGCGAGCGGTTGTAATACTCATTCCAAGCTACATTTCGTTCATGTAAGTGATACATGGTCTCCATAGATAGTTGAATGATGATGCGTCTAGTGTGATCAATGGGGTGGTCATTACGGCGGGCATACAATAAGAATAGCGTCCAATATAGCATAAATATACCAAGAGGCACGAGGCACGATCACTCTGGATCGTCAAACCGTGCCAGACTTTCATCATCAATATCTCTAGGAGGTAATGGGCTAGTGCCATCTTGAACGAAAAAGTCGGCGAGTCGTAACGGTCGTAGGTCGAAGCCCTGCAGCGCGGGGCATTAGTTCGCGTTGATCCGTAGAGGCGGATCGAACGTACCTCAAGCTGTCCCTTAGCAAGCAACTCCTCATTACCCTCTGCACTCCGCATGTATTCGCGAACAGGGACCATGGCTGCGTTCCGACACAGCTCTCGGAGGTCAGATCCGGAGAAGCCTGTTGTGTGTTGGGCCAACTGTTCGACGGAAAAGTCGGGTTCGGTTTTGGTATCTTTGAGCATCTACATGAAGGTCAACGCATTAGATATCTGTCTCTTGTCCATGGAGCACAGCCATCGACGCACAAGTTGGAGAATTTTGAGACGTTGGTCATAGTTGGGTAGTCCCACTGCGAAACGTTTAGGCATCCGCCGCAAGATTGCAGAGTCGATGTCGTTAGGTCGATTCGTTGCACCAAGGACCAATATCCTATCTGTCGACGATGTCAAACCATCCCACAGCCTGTTGACTTGTCAGCTACTCCCTCAGATCACCAAAATAGAACACGACGCACGTCATAAATTCCGCCTTCATCATCCCCGTCACTTCATGGTCACCCTTGGTCCTCTCCCGGAGGAATGAGTCGATCTCGTCAATGAAGATGATGCTTGGTTGGACTTTCCGCGCTAGACTGAACAGTCCGGCAACGAGCTTGTTGGATTCGCCGTACCACTTGTTGGTGAGGACGGAGGCGGCGATGTTGATGAAGGTAGCCCCAGACTCCTTTGCGAGGGCTTTGGCCATCATTGTCTTGCCGCATCCTGGTGGACCGAAGAGCAGGACACCTTTCGGCGCACCAAGGAGTGAGGACGATGCTGTGAAGAGGTTGGGATAGAGGAGTGGGTAGATGACGGATTCGCGTAGTGAAGAGACGATATGGTCCAGTCCTCCAATATCTACACTGGCGTTAGATGGTGTGCTAGACGTATGTGGTATGCCCAACCTTTAAAGGTAACGTGGATGTCGTCTGGATGAATGACCTCGTTCGCTACTCGTCCTGTTACAAGCCATTAGTTCTCAATGCAGAATGCAAAGGACCAGTACACGCACTTTCGTATTCGTCCAGTTCCAAATCAAGATGCCCCAGTCGCTTCAAAGCCTCCATCTGCTTCTCCTTCACTTTTTCTTCCTTGCGGTCAGGAAGCATGGAATCCAGCACCCACTGCACAGAGTTAAATCTGTTAATTTATTGAGCCGGTTTTGAAGTTTCGAGACCGATACTGACTTTCATGGTATAGTAGACAGCTGCCTTGCATGAATGTTAAACATATTTCAAGGATAAACGATGTAGGACACGCACTTGAGAAGCCAGGAACAAGGCGACTGGATAACAGCAAAAGTTCTCTTTAAGCTTTATGTGACGAAGTGCATCTCGCTTCAACTACACACCTTCCAGCGCCGTTCGTTTCATCGTTGGTGCCATGGTGGTATTCTATAGTCCGGTGGCGACGACTTGCGAGGTTCCTGGTGCGTCGTCGTCGTCGACAGCGTCAACGAGCAAAGCTGTACGATGTGGGTTGGAGGAGAAAACGAGCTCGAGTTGTCACGTGTAGCTCAGCTGGAGATGACGGTCAATGCCTCCGCCGCCCGGCGTCAAGGCGGATTTTCACATGGCCGTGCCGCCCCGCGCGTCGCGGATGTCAGGCTGCACAACGTCGACCCGGAGTCGAGCACGATTGACGACCCTGACACTGGACCCTAACACACCAACGCAAATCGAGCATCCTCAAACACAATAAAGATGGATGTGGTGGTGGTACTCCATTGTGCAGCTAATTCAAAAGATAAATGATACATGTAAGTCGATACAGTCTAACGATACACCGGGATAGGAATGAGATGGATGGTTTGTTACATGATTAGTGGACTATGCCGGGTCAAAAAGATAGAATAGGTGAGGCGAAAGCAGGAAAACAATCGACAGCATCGAAAGCGAAATTGGGAAGACGACAACGACCGTAGGTAAAGAGGATAGAACACACGATCCGGGCACGTTCTTGAAGTCGAAGGTAACCCAGGGACCCGAAACAAGCAAGGGGAATAGAGAGATGGAAACGGGTCGAAGGTGCGGAGTACCAACGCCGGATGCGATGGTGTGTGGGTTGGTTTAACAGCACTCGAGGTCCTTGACACTGGCGGGAGGTGCCCTCTGGGCATCCTAGTGCGGCACCAAGGTAGTGGTGGTAGAAGTGGCGGTACCGGGAGGTGAATAGGTTGGTGCCGGCCTTGCGATGGCTGAGGTGCGTAAGTAGTGAGGCCCTCCACGCGAACGAGTGAGAGGAGCCTGAGAGACACTCTGCAGGTATCGCTCAAGGCCCTCATCCGATAGTATCACGCCACCCGAAACTGGCCTTCCACGCATGGGAGGAGGTGGAACCCGTACGGTAAGACGAGGCACCGAGTGCCCACGTCTTCCTAAACGATTCATGTACGGAAAGACCACATAGAGGAGTCCGACGCAAAGGGCCACAATGACTGTTCAGAGGTATCAGCGCCAGCAAAGTTTAGAACGTCGCGGTCTGGTACTCACTCAACGCCCTGGCGACAGCGATTACCACCTTGCTCCCGAGATTACTGCCCTTGCCAAAGCCGTCATCCGCTTTGACAACATGGAGGGTGTACCACACAGGGAGAGCGATGGCATTATGGACGAAGGAAAGTATCAAGAGCGGGAAGTGGACAACGAGGACGAAGAAGAATGTTGAACCCATAAATGTCTGGTGTGATGAAGTAGAGGCGCGTTAAAAGGGCGTCAGGAATTTATAGAGCCAGCGAAAGGCAGCTCGACGACAGGTGAGCCAAACCAAACTGAGGCAGGAAAGAAAGAAGAGATGGGTGGCCCGGAAAGTGGGGGGAATATAAGAACCCAAAGTACTGCTGTACATGCTGTTAGTTAAGGCAAGCGAACGAGCGCTTAACACCACACAGCCCTCCCAAGAACCGAGCCAGTCCAAGCTGGGCGGGGCCAATAGATAACTGTAGGGGTTGCGGACAGACTTCATAGAAATAGGGGTCGGAATAACCTTTGATATCGGCAGAAGCGCATTAGATGGCTAGAAACAATCAACCTATTCCAGCTTGTGTCTGTGGACGGCTAAAAAAAGGACGTAACTGACCCTGGTTTTGGCAGTCGCACCCAATCGCATTGAGAACACATTCGGTTCGACACGCGGTTGCCTCGAGGCAGAGGGCCTTGGGATCAGTAATATGAGGACGTATATCGTCAAGCCAAGTACAGCGGAGGTGCCCGATGACATTCATGATTCCACTGAGGTCGTTTCCATCCTGAGCGAAGGTACAGTATGCAAGTAGGAGCCGCCCGTGGAAAAGTTGAGGTGTTTTGATGCTTTTTGATGACGGTGCGGAGGCGGGCCGTGATTCAGAGGGGACACGCTTCACCAACGTCATGCACCGCGGCTCGACCAAGAACATCGAGCACGAACCAGGGCGACAAGTGCAGCGAACCAGTAGTGACCACCAGACATGGCTGTCTGGCTCTTCGCTGCAGCTCCCATCCTTTTGGCCATCTGGACTTGGACTTATGGACACCGACTGCGGGCCACCAACCATGCTCGAAAACAACAGCTCATTCGATCTCTAGGGCTAACCGAGGACAAGCAATACTCCATAGTCGGGTTCTTTCATCCCTATTGGTATGTCATATCAGCTCTCCTTCAGTCGTCTAGGTTCTGATTCTAACGGCATAGTAATGCAGGCGGCGGAGGGGAAAGGGTCTTGTGGACTGCCATCGCGTCGATACAGCGTTCACACCCCGATATTGTGAACGTTGTCTACAGCGGTGATCTCGATGCTTCGAAAGAACAGATTATGAGCAAGATCAAGGTACCATCCCACTCCACTACGAGTCGAAGCATGTGGAGCTTTGAGCGCTAATCTCATCCACAGTCTAGATTCAATATTACCCTTGACCCTTCCCTTCTGCATTTCGTGTTCTTGAAGTCGCGTCATATGGTGGAAGATTCGACGTGGCCGCGCTTCACCCTTCTCGGACAGAGCATAGGGTCGATTTTCGTTGCATGGGAGGCCATGACGAAACTTATACCCGATCTCTACATTGGTATGCGCGCTCGTACCAAGCGTATGACATCATTCTAACACCTTTTCTTCCCCTTCTATTCATAGACACAATGGGATACGCGTTCACCTTTCCCCTCGTCGCGGCCCTCGGTCGGATCCCTGTCGGAGCATACGTGCACTACCCTACCATCAGCACCGACATGCTCGCCCGGGTCAAGTCTCGAAGGAAATGGCACACGAATTCGAGCAGCATTTCATCCTCGCTAGTCCTGAGCCAGGCAAAACTTTTGTGCGTGCCCGTTATCTCCACCCCTGCCCATATTTGTCCTGAAAGCTGTCCAGTTACTACCGAGTATTCATGTACTACTACGCGTTGTGTCTTCGAACCGCGTCGTTCCTCATGGTTAACTCTTCCTGGACCCGGAACCACATCGACTCCATCCTGCGACATACAGATCTATTCCTGGATGCCATTCACCTACTCCCACCATTCTTGTTCATCAAAGCATTCTCCTCGAATAATGCGCCTTCTCATGCTACCGTGGTTTATCCACCCTGTGATACACGCGCGATGTCATCATTCGACCTCCGTGCCCGCCAGCGGGTGATTCTGAGCATTGCTCAATTTAGGTATGTCGCCATCACGCAATATAGCCATTCATTTAATTTACTCTCTCGATCTAGACCTGAAAAAGATCACGCTGCGCAGCTACACGCCTTTCATGTGTTGCTCAAAGCAAATCCAGGGTTTAAATCGAATGGGAAAGAAGGTGTGCGCCTTGTGATGATTGGGGGTAGTCGTAATGCAGAGGACGCAAACCGAGTCGACGAGCTACGCCAGCTCGCACGCAAACTCGAAATCGAGGTATACGCGTCTCATGATCCAGTCTGATGCTCTCACTAACACCGCCTCTAACTAAGCCTTATGTGGAGTTCATTGTCAATGCCTCTTACCAGGTCGTCTTGGATTGGTTGTCGAAAGCTAGTGTTGGTCTCAGCACTATGGTGGACGAGCATTTTGGCATCAACATAGTGGAGTTTTTGGTAAGAGCATTCCCGTCGCACTTTCCTTGAGCCCCAAAAAGACTGAGTTCTTGCTATTCGCAAGGCTGCTGGCGTGATCCCTGTGACCCACGCATCGGGAGGCCCTCTCCTTGACATTGTTGTACCCTTCAATGGAAAACCGACCGGTATGTCTTTCCGAGCGCTGGGAGAACCTTGTTTTGAACCTTATCTGTTCTACGAACCCTTCAGGCTACCACGCTCGGACACCGGATGAATTCGCCGAAGCAATGCGAACTGTGTTGTCGCTCTCACCTGACGAGGAGATCGCAATCAGGCAGAGGGCACGAACCTGGGCGGTGCAGAGGTTTTCTGAGGAAGAATTCGAGAAAGGCTGGCATGGTAGTGGATGGAGTGACTTTCTGGGGCGTTAATTGTCGAGGGTATAGCCCCATTCTTCCGACGTTGTAACTTATTTGTCTGCCACCTCTCGATATAGGCATCCAGCGCTAATTCTCCACCTCGATGATACTCCGGTCCTCGCGAGCTTCGTGTGCCTGTCAACTACCGATGGCCGCTCAGGATGCGTCTCCGCTTCCAGTCTCTAATTCTTCCAATAGGTTATAGCATCTCGGAGGATACATGAAACGGGTATATGGGTGATGCTGCGGAATGTGCGAAAGACGTAAAACTCATTACAGATCCAACTTCGTCAACACTTCGCTGGCTTTACCCTGAATCTCATTGAGATTCTTGTACCCCGACAAGCCTAGGCTGGTGTCCAAATCGGCCAGGGTGTGCTTGATCACCTGTTCGACTCCAGCTTGGCCTGCAAGAACCGAGCCATAGACGTACGGTCGACCGACTGTCGAAACAGGCAAAGGGGGTCCAAGTCAGCGAACCACGAATGAAAAGGTCAAAACGGGGACAAGGACACTACTCACGCAAGACACCTTGAGCTCCGAGGGCGATGGCTTTTATTATGTCGCTGCCTGTTCTAATTCCTGAATCGAAGAGGATCGTGATCTTTCCTGAGGCCTGAGCTTCTCGGACCAAGGAGGACTTCATGATGTTCTCCAAGGCGTATAGGGATGGAATGGCGCCGTCCACTTGGCGACCGCCTGTTAGAGGAGCGAGGTTAGTCGATTTTCTTTGGTGAGGCGGAACTCGTGGCGGCCAACAGTTGTTTATCTAGGCGCCCGAGTGACTCACCATGATTCGAGACGAGGATCCCATCTACGCCATAATTCAGCGCCTTCTCCGCGTCCTACGACAGTGGCTGTTAGTTTAGAAGCTCGGACATTACGATCATCACGTACATCGACGCTTTGGATTCCCTTCAAGACAATCGGACCTTCCCAGTTCTCCCTCAAAAACGCGAGATCCTCCCATGTCCTATAGATTCCTGAATTGGCCTCCTTCATCCACTCAATTCCAAGGTGCACCATTTCCCGAACGGCTCCATCGCCCTCCTCGAATGCTTTATCGAGCTTCTCGGTGTCGTGGGGGAATTTGACATTGCTTTCGGTGATGGGTTGTTTGCCTAGGCGGCCCATGAAGACGGGGTCGGAGAGGCCAACTTGGACGCCAACGCCGTAAGAGAAGGGGAGGTAAGCGCGGTCGAGGTCGTGTGGGCGCCAACCGATTACAGTGGTGTCGAGTGTGACTACGAGGGCATGGTAGCCTGCTGCTTTGGCGCGGTTGAGAAGGGAGCGGGTTACTTCGTTTGTTCTGGGCCTTGGGTATTGTTCTGAGATCAGGTTTGGAGGTTAGGTGGCGGGACAGGGACATACCAGTAGAGCTGGAACCATCGTTCTCCATCAGCATTGGCCTCGGCCACTTCTTCGATCGTCCTCGATGCGGCGGTGCTAAGGATGTAAGGGATGTTGAGGTTCTTCGCAGCTCGCGCCGGCGCTAATTCTGCGTCTGCGTGGAAGATGCCTTGGACACCGATTGGTGCTAGTAAAAGTGGTGAGGGAAACTTTCGACCAAAGAGGGTAGTCTGTATTCGTGTGTGAAGTGGGCGTGCATTAGTCGGTTTCAGCCGACAAACGCTATCATAATGAGCGGATCCCTACCTCGAGCGTGCGGTGCGTTGCATCGCGTAACATGCGGGGTATGATCGCAAATCTTTCGAATGCGCGCAGATTGGCACGGTTGGTCGAGTTAGTGCCAGCGCTCCCTCCAGCATAGGCGAAGGATCCTGTTCCGTGAAGGGTGTTAATCTAGGAAGTAGGAGAGGGTTCGAGCAGAACGACGAACCGGGGTAATCCTTCAGTTTCTCCTCCGCTTGCCTCTCGATTTCAGCATAAGATACAGTTCCTAGTGGGTGAGGGGGCTTTCTGCTGAAATAGATTTCGCCCAGATACGCCCTCCAGGGGTTGGTCGCGCTTCCTTTCAAGCTGAGGTCGGTCATCTAGAGATGGATATGGATTCTCGTCAACTGGTAGAGTGTTTAGAGTGATGGTTTAGTGGGAGACGGGTAGTAAGCTCGTCCAGCCCCTTTATAACGCCATTGACCCGCATTGGACATGATCTGGCCGGCTCACGAGGAGACCGGTAGCAGCGAAGCTCAACCTGTGACTGATGTCATCTCGCCATTTTGCTCGGGTACCGTATGTTACACCAGCGAGACCTCATTTCATCAGTCTTTTGGTTGCTTCTTGATAGATGGTCGTTTCGTAGGTTTGAGATGGCGGGGTAACAGTGGCACTGATAAGCGATTGGTGGTAGGGATCGTAGGCCCTCCGAGTCGGTCGCTATTGGGGATGATCAGACACATGAATTGCAAGGCGTTAGGACAGCGGCAACTGGGATCCGCAGAGACGTCGACATTGAAAGATCCCATGAGTGCTTGATCCTACCTTCGTGATAGAAGAGCGATGACTGAGTTTCAGACAGTTCCTTCACGTCATACAACCGATATGAAATTGGCGAAATAGAGATAAAAAACTAAGCTCAGAGGAAATCAGTAACTCACAATAACTTCTCACTGCGTAATCGTCCCTCGATGGAGATCATTGTCCATGTCGAGTATGGTGCAGATGGTGCAGCGGGCTTGGGAGGAGGGCTAGGAAAAGAGATAAGATAAGATTGACTTTGATCGGATCTTATCTGTTTCCCAGCCTAGAACGTGGATTGATGGCCGCCCTGTGATGGGCTTCGAGCTTGAAACAATGCGAAGGGCGGCAAGTATTGAACTACGTCAAGTACGTGTTACCGACGTGTCCTGCTGCTACCGTCCCCACCGTACACTGTCCGCCATAGACGACGCCGACAAGATCTGAGCAACGTCGCCAGGGCTCTCGACGACGTGGACGACGTTGCAAACACCAGCTGTCACAACCAATGCTTCGACTGCAACAACTTCCATTGGCCCTGCAAGTCATATCATTACTATTCGCCTCAACCGCATTCGCGGAACCAACCTCGCTTAATGACCCTCTTCGTGCCATAGCGCTGCACGCGCCAAAGCGACCCGGTCCCCCAATATGTTGCTTGCAGTCCCAGTCATCACAGCTAGAGGTACCGGAGGACGAGGTTCTGTTGTCGTTCGAGGAATGGAAAGCGAAGCAGCAACAACTCCAGAACAATCAGTCGAACAACAAACAGACAGAGCAAGAGAATTCAAGCAATTCTGGTGCTGGAAACAATGGGGCGACGTCTGGAAATGAAGGAAACGGTCACGATCCAGCAGCAGGCGCTAATGCTCAAGATGGATCACTACCAATATCCCACACATACGAAGAGTTGGCGTCAATACATCCGGCAGAGACAGTCCTTCCTCATTTCCAAGTACCAACAACAGACCGATTCAACTATGCAAGTCTCGACTGTTCAGCTCGAGTACATACCGCTCATCGCGGAGCCAAATCGGCAGCGTCAATCCTTTCATCGAAGAAGGATCGTTATATGCTCAGCCCTTGCAAGACAAAGGAGAAGAAATTCGTGGTCGTGGAACTATGCGACGATATCCGCATAGACACCGTGCAGTTGGCGAATTACGAGTTCTTCAGCGGTGTCTTCAAAGACTTCAGCGTCAGCGTGGCCAAGACCTATACCGACTCTGAGGGCTGGACGCAGGCCGGAACATATCGAGCGAAGAACGTGCGAGGGGTCCAGGTAAGTCCATCTCATCGTGCAGCGCTATCGTCTTTCTGATTATTGCCGTAGACATTCCGCTTTCCTGAAACCCTACGCGATTTCTACCGTTACATTCGCATCGACTTTCATTCCCACTACGGGAATGAATACTACTGCCCAGTCTCGTTACTTCGAGTGTATGGTCTAACTCATCTGGAGGAGTGGAAATGGGACATTTGGATGGCGGAAAGCAAGGCCAAGCAGGCGGAGGCCTTGAACATCAAACCGCTGTCCATTGAAGCACAATTATCCGACGAGACCGCTGAATCGACGGGGCGCGAAGGTCCCTCTTCTCGAACAGAAAACGAGCACGGAGGCATCGACGCCACCATCATCGAGACATTGGCAGCCCTTTCAAGCAAGGCCGCGGAACTTTCACAGCCTGTTTCGAGCGACTTGGCCTCGGCAATCCCAGACGTACCACCCTCCAATCACAATATACATCCGTATAGCCCTCCGCCACCCAAACCTGCAGAACCTTACTCTCACGAACTTCACGACCCACCTTCTCATCATGACAGTTATATACCTTCGCATTCTACAGATACCTTCGCTAGCCCGGGATCAGGATCCCCTCATTCAGCGACAAACACCGCTCCTTCAGTCCCACAACCTCCACCAACTGCTTCGGCCCCATCCTCATCCACCGCTGTGGCAACCTCTGCGGTTTCGACGTCAACCCGCGCATCGCCCAGTGATTCTCCTGTTCACGGCAAAGCCCACAACAATACATCCTCATCACAGCGAAGCAGTTCCCAAGGCCCATCGTCCGTAATCATCCTTTCATCTGCTTCTGCCGCACCAAGTCATCCCACCGGCGTTCCCCCAATACACGCTACCACTGGTGGAGAGTCTGTTTATCGAACGATAATGAACAAGCTCACGGCGCTAGAAACCAACTACACTCTTTACACTCGCTACATGGACCAGCAGAATGGTGCCATCCGGGAACTCATCAAGCGACTGGGAGAAGACATCGGTCGTTTAGAGGGCGTGGTGCGTAAACCAGCTATCTTCCTTCAATCGCCAGTCTTACATTTTACCAGACCCGTGCGCAAAGAACTCACAGTCAAAAGATGCTGAATGAATGGGAGAAGCAGAGACTGCAAATGCTTATCGAGTATAACCAACTCGTTTCGCGGGTTGAGCACCTCTCTGAAGAGGTAAGTGACCATCCCCTACCTTCTAATAATTCTATCGTTTACGATATCCCGCCTTTACAGATCCTTCTCGAAAAGCGTTTAGGCGTTGCTCAACTTTGTCTCATGCTCGCGGTCTTGATCTTTATGGGTCTCACGCGAGGTTCGCGGGGGGAAGCGATCGTCGTCAACGGGCCAACCTCGATGCGAGAGTGGGGGAAGCGCCATCTTAGTCTCAGTGGCGACTGGACGAGTCGGTTCAGACGTAAGAGCAATGCAGGTCATTCGGCGGCGATCCGATCCAGGCCCTTGACTGCTAAACCTGCTTCACCGTCCAAGAAATCTGCTGCTGCTACAGGTACGTCTTGTTTACGCCTTTCATTAAAGGGAGGAGAATTAACGTGGCTCTAGATGTCGAGGGAAAGGTCGAGTTCCCGTCGACGGACGACGCTCCATTGAAGAAACGGCCTTTGGAACCTATACAGGTCAACAATGCCGACACACCCACTTCCTCTCGTGTTAAGAAGCTCTCACTTACTCGTTCAAGAACACCATCTCTCAGAACAAACGGTACTGGTAAACGAGTTCCACACACCGCACATATCCCCCGACCTCAAACACCTACACCAATCCGACCTGTCTTCCACCACCGGGATTTAGGCTCCCACTCTCTTCAACGCTCATCCTCTCACGGCGCACAGCTCTCATCCGGCCGCTCAGCCAAGAGCGCCAAAAAGTGGGCCCGCACTGCACATCTACATCCAGTCAAAACACCCTTCTATCCTCAGACGAATTCCGAAGCTTTTGCCCAGAGCTATGATGGGTCGAATCCTTCAGTCGGAGCTGGGGGGAGCAATGCGAGTGATCTGGGGTATCAGGATGTCTTTTCAGCGCCTGCTGGCTCTTTTGCCTTTCCCAAGAAGGCGGTAAGGGAGCGAGACTTGCCCGGGACTGGGAATACGCAGGAGCTGAGTCTCACGAGGGATTCGCTGGAAATTTGGGATAGCAAGGATCATGGATGGAGGAAACGGCGGCCGTCGGCGGCGGGGAGGAGTTCAGAGAATGTGGTCGCGGAGAAACTCGAGGACGCGGACGCCGAGAATAACTGGATTGACACAGATAGTGTTGTCGATTCTTCGGATGTCGATTCGATGGGATTGTCTGGTCAGCTATAACCCCTTCTTGGCTTCACCTCCATGGACCTTTTCATGCTATGTTCATACCTGCTATCGTTGCATTCCTTCCAAATCGCATTCATGAGGTTTTGGCTATAAATTGAGCATTCGACAGGTCCAGGCCATTGCTAATCTTTCGGCGCTTCCCGCGGGCGTGGAGGCTATTCATAGCAGCAGCAGCCAACTCGCACAGAAGGATTGCACAAGTCTACACGACGAAAGCCGATGTCACCCGTGGCGTAGTCTTTGCTACTTCTAAAGGGAGCACTGACGCTGGTCACCTGCCATTGGCGGTGAAACAAGGTTAGAGTTCTTAAGCTTACTGTAACTCATTCACTATCTCCGGTCCGAGCAGGTCAGTGAGCGCTTGAGTTTGGAAGCACTGCGGAGCATGTATCTAACTTTCCAACTCAGTAAGGAACAGCTCTCTGGGCCCATGGATCAGATAAATTCGAATTTGAACACCGTCCCAGGTAACACGGCGTCCACCAAAAACCATAGGCACAACTGAGGCCTCAGGCGTGTTTTGGGAAGTACCTTTGCTTTCTCTATCGAAAGGCTCTTTAAAGGCCGAAGGTCCCATTGTGACACGAGCACGTCCCCACGAGGGCCGAAGCATAACCCGGAATGAAGGAAATTTCGATCCGCTCCCCCAATCAGCCTCGAGGACGGTGACACGAGCTATATGTCCCAGTTAATTGATCGACGAACCAGGAACTTTTAGTAGAAGAACAAACTTTGCGGTTGGAACGGGCACGCCGAGAGAGGGAAACGCATGGCATTGGATATGTTATCAGGCCACCGCAACATTGGCAAGTCCATGGAGATGAAAGTTTAAACCCTGACATGAGGAAAAGCTGAAGCACCCAATAAATACAGAAATTCTGGGAGACGTTGGGGCGACGATCAGGTTGGCCGAGCTGGGACGTGCTTTCGCACCCAAGCAGCTGTGGAAAGATTGGCGTTTAGGAGGGGATCAAGAGGTTCGAGTTTCCAAGTCTCGCTGTCCGGAACGTCTCCATCCACTTCAGGGGGATACATGGCGATAGCCGCCAATGAGAGATAGGTGTGGTACGGGTCTGTCAGGTTATTCACACCCATACTGTCAGCGGAACTGGAATTCTGCTTCCAAGAGACAAGGTACCTGGATGTTCTCCGGGAACCTTCGCAATTCCACCAAACTTGAATTGGCAACTCGCAAGAAATTCCGCCATGGCCTTTGTGTCGACTAGCTCGCTAGCGCCAAGTATCTGGGTTTACAAGAAGCCGAATCATGAGATTACATGTCAGATATGGGGTGGATCGTTCACTTTCGCTCACCTTGAGGGCAGCACCGCACCAAAAGCAATAACAGGCATCGGCTTCTTTATTGGTTCTCCCGCAAAAGCCTCCACACTTGGACTGGTTGCTCATTAGCCACCGTATAGTCCGCTCCTTTTCAGCAGGGGTTAAGCGGAATTTCTCCGACAGGTGAGGTGGAGCCAGGTAGATCGAGGCCAGTGCAATGTAGGTGATGCCCCCTGTCCCATTGGACTTCAGTCCCGGTGCGATCTCTGAAAAGTCGGTGGAAGTAACAGACCATGCGCTTCGCAGAACGAAGTCTGCCCGTAGCCACCTTCGTATGTCTAATGGCATCAGCATCGGGGGTTAGATGAAAGGTTCCATAGACTGTGTGGAGTGGGCGTGAGGGCCCTACGCACCCGACACGAAGCGACAAATTCAAGTGCACGCTCAACATCGATTCCGGACCAATCATCGAGCATACTGCTGATTGCAAAGGCACAGTAAAGGGTTCGAAGATCGGACTCCCCGTCCCCCGGTAGAGTAGAGAAACTGTAGATATCGCAGTAAATCAAAGTTTTAGTCTCTTTTTTCCAAAGTGCCTTGAAAGGACGGCCATACCTTCCATCCGGCCGTTGACAGTTCCGCAGGAATTTGATGATTCCTGCGCGATTTAGCTTTGAAAAGTCGTCGCGAAGCATTGCGAGCGACAGCAGAGCAGTGTAGGTCATAATGACATGAGGAGAGTCGTATTTTGTGCAGGGGACCTGGGGCGCGATCTCTCCGTTGAGCTTGATGATCGCGTAATTAGCCAGCTCTTTAACGCACCGTTACATCCTCTGGATGCTTGCCAGTCATAAAAGGACTTGGTCTAAAGCCAGATCCACATTCGCCCTCTGATCTCGAAGCATCGTCAGCAAGAGCACTCGCGGACCGGAGATGATAAGCGAATGAAGCGATGGCGCATACCCACCCGTCTGTTGTTCCCAGAGCCACTCGGTCCAGATTTCACGGTCTCGCTCTCGCTGTTCTGGCAGGGCTCCAAGGAGGTCCATGGTGCCTAGAGAGTAGAACGCGACCCCGAGCCTGTATAGGGGATGTCAACCAATCAGTACCCCTTTGGCCCGTAATCAGGGTTCAGGATTTACCGCCCGCCATCCAGGTCAGTTGAGGACGCGGGAAAGCCTAGCAGAATTGAGGTTAGCCTGACCACATCCCTCGCGACAGAATACACGCACCAGTGTTAAGAAAACGTTTGCCCGAATTAACATGTCCTGAACGAAAGAGGGCTGGGAGATGGTTCGCCATCAAGATATCAACTGAGAACTGAAAGGGATCAAGGAAGTAAGTCAAGCCCGTTGCCGACTTGGGTACAATCATTTTGGCAGGTGCTTCAAAGACGCTGGACTGGGGCGCTATGGGGAAATGGACTACATTTTTCGCCCAGAATCCGTCGGTTTAAATAGTTGGATGGCCCCATAATCCTGGAATATCAACCCTTGGGTCTGAGGAGGGAAAAGTGTTCGATCATCAGCCCTCGGAAGCTAGTAATCATCCCTGGTAATATCACTTCGGTGCGCATCGTCGTCGCGCGGAGTGTAAAACCAGCTTCCACGTTCGATTCTCAGCTTTATGGATGCAACGAGGGATTACAATTCATAAACGATCCTCAACTCTAATGACACCCTCGGGTTCAGAAACACCAACAGACGATGGCGCGCCGGGCCACGGACATGTCTTCAGGTCGACTTACACGGAGTGTACGTCCCTCAGCCCGGGGGAACTGGATGAAACAAGCAGTGTTAGAGGATGATACTGACAATCAAGTACACAGGTAATACACAGTTCGCAAGAGAGGAGAGGAAATGGATGCATGACAGGGGAGTGGAAGTGGAAGAGAATAATGGTATGGTTGAGTAATTACAAAAGGTTAGAACAAACTGGAATTCAGCCTCACGCTATGAGAACACGAGTTAGAAGAGTCTTAGCGAGGGAAGGTGCATTGATGACATACCTGTTACACCCATCTGGAATGAAGCTCGTTGGGATGGGGTAATTTGGCTCGGTAATTGAGCATTCAATTGGCCCGATGGTGTATGAGGTTGAGTTGCTCCTTGACCCTGGTGTTGTTGCGCCAACACGAGTCCTGGACCGTGCAGGAAGGCTGGTTGCGACTTCTCTTCCAAATCAGCATACAAAACTGTCATATCTTTCCTCTCCTTGGACCAGTTTTCAGGATCCCAGTACGTGTACAAGCCCTGCTCGCCGCCTGGCACCTTTTGAGAAGGTGCAGTACCGCTTTCCTTTGTGATCCACAGCCGAAGGTCCTTGTGCCATCGCCAGTTACGATTCCACCTGCGATTATGAAGGAACATGCGTAAGTAATGTTGCTCGCCCACGATCATCAAAAGGGGAAGACAAGGGCGTAGGAATTGGGAAGAAAATGACACGTACAGTTCTTGCGCAGCCACCTCTTGAAGGGCGTCTCTTGGGCTTGAATAGAACATGAAGAATAGTGTCTCATCACTGAACAATGCAGCCTTCATTGGTCCTGGAGGTGGTGCCTGTACACTCAAGTAACAAGGTGGTAGCCGGAAGTCGGGCTCCACTTGGTGTGCTGCAGACTGGTCTGCCCAGGGTGTGATGAACGTAGAATAGAGATTCCTAAAAACAAGCAAATTAATAAATGATCGCACGACGCCAGAGTTTTACTCACCCAGGGAACGACATGTCCAAACCCATCGTCCCCAAGTCCGTCCCTATGCTACTCAGACCGTGATCAAGCTCCGTGCTCGCATTCTTCATCAAAGCAACAAGTGATAACAGGCCCCATCGGTCTGCTGCACTGATGAGAATCTGCTGAGCAGGCGTCTGCGGATGCTGAGGGTGACCCGCCGGGTTTGGGTTCGACGTTGCAGCGGCGGCGTTGGGATGTGAGCTTCCGTTGGGGTTTGCGTTATTGGCATCACCTATTGGAGCGATATATAGATGCTCGGGGTAACGATGTCATTCACAAACCTACCTTGCTGAGCATACGATCCTGTCGGCGGTGGTACGCCTGGGGGTGGGTTGAGATGTGATGCTAAAGAGGCCTGTCCTGCGCCGTTCTGTAAACAAGAGACGCGGGTTAGATTCCATGACGTGACAGAGGCAGTTCACCCACGGTAGCACTACCGCCGGTTTGTTGTGAACGAGATGTAAGGTTGGATGGATTCGAAACGGCATGCGCTGGCTGGCTAAGCTTCAGGTTCTAAAGCCTCGCCAATTAGCGACGACATGATCAAAAAAATGAACAAAGCGATGACGGAGAAAAGGGGGGACACAACATTGAACAACGAAATACACCGATACGCACCCTTTGTTGCTTTTCACTCTCTGGCTGGCCTTGTTGGAAACCTGGATGGACATTCCGTGTTTGGGTATGTTGCAAATTAAGCAAACCGGGTGTACCTTGCAGGCCGGAGGATGTCAAGTCCCCTATCAAGCTCCTTGCACGGCTTTGGAAGTCGTGTTGGAAACCGTTCAGGCCAGGGGGATGAGGTATGCTGTCTTGACTTGAGCTCTGGTTTCCTGATGGGTTTTGGCTCTGGTTCGCGTGTGACTGGCCTCCAAGGGCAGGAAAATCGTCCTGAGTAAAGTCCCTCGGTTGGTTCCCTGATCCGCCTCCAATTGTCCCAGCGTTCGCTCCGGTCCCTGAACCACCTAATGAAGCGGCGGTACCTGCATGGCTTGCGTAGCTCGTCGCATTGGTAACGTTTGCGGGCGTGCTGGTGGTCGTGTTATTTGTCGATGTTGATCCAAGGGCAGGAAAATCGTTGGGGTCGAGTGCAACCTCGCTCGTTGAGGATATTGAGGGAGTACCGATTACAGAGGACTGCGATAGATGGGGTGGCATCGAATTGGAGGTTCCGTTGGCCTGCTGCTGCTGCTGGGACGATAATTGCTGCTGTTGCTGCAAACCTGCCGATGCTTGATGCTGGCCAAGGGTACCTGCACCAAAGGCATAACTGCTCTGCGCTCTTGCTTGCATGAATCCCGGGGTTGGCTGAGGGGTCATACTCTGCACTGATTGTTGGGAAGGCGTTCGATGACTGTTCGGTTGAAGTCCGGGAACATAACCTGCAGCTTGTAGGACATTGACGTTCCTTGGTGGCATCCCGTAGTTGGGAAACGGCGGTCGGAACTGGTTTGCAAGGCCCGGTGTCGTCGCTAAACTTGGCCCTCGTTGCTGTGGTTGTCCTGGGCCTGTTCAGCCTCGATATTCGTGGAGACGACAAGGGCTGGAATTGGATCTTCTTACCTGCACGATTCATGACTTTTGACGGAAAAGCTTAGTCTTAAAACACGATAAATGAGAAGCATAAGAAGGGATGTATAGATTAGATGAGTTGTGCGCAAGCGTACCTCGTTCGCAGTCGATCTGAATAGATTCTGGTATTTTGTAGGAAATTGCAGAAAGGTATGTCAATTGGTTTGACCTCCCTTTGTTTGACCCTATTTATCCGCTTATGTTATCCTCATCCCCAAGTAATCCCAATTCCTCTCCGGCACAGAGTTCTTGAATTCTCTACGAATCTGACTCCATACTGCTCTACCAATATGCAAACTACGAAATACTTCATCTCTCAACGCCAGGTTCATCCAGAAGAAACTATCCATGAACGGAAGCACGGATGAATGATCCATGAAACGATGCACCGGATTCAAGTTACTCACACCCTCAACGGAAACTCTATGACCGTTACAAGCGTACTCTACTGTGCGGACATGGTCCGAACCCATGCTGAATCCGTAAGAACGGAAGGGAGTCATTGTCGAGCTGTGCAGCAGCCGGGAATGAATCTCTTGGCTCGGAGGTCGGGATACGACTCAGGGTCTCCCGGTCAACATCGCGTGTTGCAGGGGTGCATCCAAGCATGTGCGCCGCGGGAAACAGTTAAGTCGACATTCCATCCTGCAGGGTCTGGGTCGAATGTGAGAAGGGACGAGTTCGTGAACAGACTCGGACGGCTTCCGCGATCTGAGCAATCGGCTGCGCGAGGGCTGCGCAATGCGCATCAGCTGCAAGCAACCTTTGGTCACCCATCTTCAATGGGCATCGTCGATATCCCTGAGCTGAATACTGCGTCGTCGCTAGCGATGGCCGGGAGATATGGAACAAGTGAAAAGACGACCCGGGTCCGATGACGACCGTCAACCATCCCGATCTATCTGAGGTTCAATTTCCTTGATGGTACTTTCAATTGCCGACGACAAGCGCCCGACGTTTGTCACTGACTCTCACCGACGGCCAAAAGCCCACTATGTTCACAAGATACCAACGCCCCTAATCAACCAGACGTCAAACCATGGAGGTACTGAGGATTCACGTTATGTCTGCGTCGATCTGAACTCAGCGGAACCCCTAGGTCGTAAATGCACGAGCAGCTCTGCTCTCCAACTACGAAGTCCTTTCTCTCCTCAAGGAGCTTGAAGAGGACCACATAGCACGCACCAAGAAAATCCAAAAGATCAAAAAGGATGAAGAAGCGGCGGGAACATCTATACCAGGCAACATCGGCTCCGTCCTCGAAACGAGTGAAAATCTAAGGACAATTGAAGTCGAGGTACACTTCCTCAGCTATCGCATTGTTAGAGAGTGTCGAAGCTGATTGAGTGTCTACAAGGCAATCCAATACCTCTCATCCGACTATTTGCCGACCTCCACCCAAACCGAAGAAAGCATAACCAACCTCGTCAAAAAGCTCGAACCCTACGACCTCACCAAAGCTGAAAAACTTCAAATCGTCAACCTCGTACCAACCGCCGCTGTCGAACTCTACGTAGTAAGCCACGACATCAATTCTATATCCTCCCAGCGCCTCGCTAACTATCTGAAAACCCGAACTTCAGATCGTCGAAGAACTAGAGGACCGTTTCGGCGACCAAATGGACGCCTTGCTCGCAACCATCCAAGAAATAGCAGAGGCTACGCAAGGAGCACCTGCCGCAGCAGCAACCACGGCGGTTAACGGCACAACCCACATGCAGCTTGACGAAACAACATGGACAAACCCTGCAGACTTTGGAGACGACGCAGATGCAGTGTACGACGAAGAAATGTTTGACGATACGGGAGAGGGAGCAGGTGTCGAAGGCGATCTTGACGTGGAGGAAGACTGACGGATCAGGCTCAGTCGTTTCAAGTCATCCTGACCTCGCCGTTCGAGTATATCAGCGCTGCAAGCTTAGCGACTGTTAACCCACTGGAACGTATGGCCCAGTCTGGGTGCAAACCGCTCCCCCTATAAGCGGCACTTGGATTACTGTGCATTCATCGACGAAGGTCTGGCAATAACCCAATAGCCCCGACCAACCTGGAGAAGCGCTCTCAGAAGGTCCGAATTCGAGATAACATTTTCTTGAATTGCATGTTTTACCTAGTTGACTTGTTGGACACAGCATAAAAGACAGACTCGGGCGGGCATATAACAATCCAACTTCAAAAAAAAAAACACAACTCCGAAAGGTTCTACAGACAAGGAGTGAACGCACAGGAAAGGGAGAAGACTAGCGCACGTATTACTTTGTCTACCGATAAATAACCAACAAACAGGGAGCAAAAGTTATCACCGGCAGCAAAGGTTGGTAAGGGTATCGTAAACTTGTAAGGAAGTTGAAACGGAGAACCAAGATTCAATGTGGGGTACGTACAAGCACAACCGACGATGACCCAAAACGCAAACTCTGGCGGTGATAACTAATACACGGTGAGGAGAACAAAAAGGTGGAGAAAGGTAAATGAGGGAAACCGGCCGACGAACAAAGAGACTTTGGTGGCGGGATGCGGGTAAAGAGTGATTTGAAAAAAGAATGGTATGGTGGAAATGACTGTATGAACGAAGTCCGTGAATGAAAAGAGTCCCATTCAGGCTCGAGTTTGGTTTGGGGGCGTGGTAAGGAATAATGCTACGGGTAAGCTAATGAGGATGCTGGTGAGGATTAATGTGTGAGGCAGTTGGGCATTACGGTTATGGATAGCTCAGAGGAAGCCGTTGCACCAGTATTCATGGCGACCCATGGAGATACTGAAGGCGCCAGGCCAGGTGAAAGGAGAGTGCGTGTTGTGTGAGGGCTATACGAAGACAGCGATGAGGATGATAAAAGGGATATACGTGACAAAGGCGATGCCTCCCATGATTCGGCAGCGTCGTCTCCACGACTTGTAATCTATCGAGAGTGTGAACAACGAAACGGGAAAGTCAAGAAAGAGACGCACCATGTTCGACCTGTGGATCGTCAAGGATGACTCCCTTTTCTTCATCTCCGCCTTCCAGTCTTCGGGTCCTAGGGATCGGGATAACGAACCCTGCAAGCCACCACAGAGGGAAAATGATAAAACCAATGAAGAACAGCCAAGCGTGCAGAGGGCTTCCTCCACGATCAACCCAACCATTAAATGACCATCTCCCCTCACCAGCTTCGACCTCGACCGGAAGCGAGAGCGACCATGGGGTATCTTGAATGCGGGCGGGTTTACGTGGGTCCCGCATATGGAAAGTGCCTGACGGCGTCACCGAAGGCGCATGAGGCGACATGTATGCGGATATAGGGATGGAGTGATTGGATATACTGCGGCGAGACGCAGACCGACGAGGCGTATGAGAATTGACAGTCCCTTGGGCGTCCCTAGTGGAAGGTGGCCGGCTGGACTGGTAATAATGAGCCGGATTTAGACTCCCGCGACTCGACCACGAGCCTGTGGACTTTGCATTTGGGCTGTCACCAATGAGAGAACCATAGGGTGTGCGGGAGCTGTGTTGCGAATGCTCAGAGGAGAGGGAAATTCGTGCTCGTTTGTTACGATGGAATGACGTGGGGGCATGTGAAGAGGATGCAGCAGAGGCGCGGTGAGCTGGAAGAGTGACAAGCGCCGTAAGTCTCGCAACCTCTTAACTGCATCAATGTGGGTACGTACTGCGAGGTTCCGGTGCAAATGTGGCTCGATACTCTCTGGGTTCCTTTGGAGGGGTACTGGCATCGACGCCAGCTTCATCAGCCTTTCGTTTCGCAGATGCAGAGCGCGACTTCTGGATGGGCGGTGGTGTCAGGGGTGTCGGGGAATTGGTGGGCGGAGTGGGTGATGATTTGACGTGAATTCGGCGAGGTGGTGATATGGGGGATGCTTCGGGAGTTGGTGCGGTAAAGGATAGCGAAGGAGGGACGAGGAGATTGTTTTGACTCGAAGGGGCTGCAGTGCCGAGTTTTGGTGGTGGAGGGGAAGGGGTACGTTGAGCGTGCTTTGAGCTCGAGTTTCCAGCTCGTCTCGAAGTAGACCTTCCAGTCCCTTTCACATTGTCTTGTCTTGATCCATTGACGATATCGGCGTCAGACATGCTCGTCGCAGGTCTGGAGTCGATCGAAGGAAATTTCAGCTGCTGTTGAGGCCCCGGCGCTCGAACCACTGAAGGACGGTGCTGAGTTCGTGCTTGAAGAGGAGGGAGGAAATCTAAACAATGAAAACGAGGCAAGCCCGAGTCAGTAAGAACTATCGTATCAATTAATCCGGGCACGTTGCGCACCGGATGTGGGGCGCGTAATAATACTGACCTTGAAAGGAGAATGACGAGCCAAAACCTCTCGCCTCGCCTCCTTCACTCCGTGACCGCTAGAAAAAAAGTTAGTAAAAGAAGAGGAAACGAAACAGGGAAGAGAGGGATTGGGGTCTAAGGATAAAGGAAGAGGGAATGGGATAAAGAAAATTGCCAAGAACTACCCACGTTACGCTCAGGTCTGCCGCGTGCAGATGCATGTCCTAAAACGGAACGACATCGTTACGTTAGTACCGCGACGACGACCATGCATGAAATTCGACATTCAACTCGCCTTCAACGGTATTTTGTTCCAAAGACAGGCGTAGCAACTCCCGAGACACTTTGACTTCCCAAGGCTCGTCAGCTTCGTTTGCAACACCAAGCAACGATGCCCTCTTGGCACTGAACTCTGCACTCGATCTTCTGCTACTGGCGATACTACCTTTACTCTCAGACCTCATGTGGCCTCTTCGCTGTGGTTCTTTTCCTTTAGCTTGATGCGTATCTGCTTCAGAACGAAGGGATGATTTGGCTTCTCGTCTGGCTTTCTTGGATGGTGGGGTGCTAGATGCTCGTTTGTCTGGTTTTACCGATGGAAGTGATCGCGCCGGTCGAGGTTGATTTATAGGTTTGTCGCGACTCTTCCGTTCACTTGAAGGCTCCAACGGTCTTGAAGGGAAATTAAAGGCGGGATGGTTGAGAGGTGGGAGCGGAGGAGGGGTTTCCGTATGGTTGAAGAACATGTCGGACGTGCGCGAATGCCTGTCTGACGACCTCGATGGCGGTGTGCTGGGGACGCCGAAGGTGAAAGTCGGGGAGGGGGTGACCAAGTCCCTGAAGGCAACTCGACTAGAGGATGAAGAGTTATATCGTGTGTAGAAGGTGGATCTTGGAGTAGTCCATTGCGTTTCTGGATCAGAATTTCTCGAAGGAGAAGTATCTCGACTTCGCGACCACTGGCTTTGTGACGAAATGCTAAGGTTTAGCGACTTCTTCGTCGCCAGGCCCCCTCGCCCTTGTCGCCGACTTGCCTTTCGCCCAAAGGTGCCAGATGAGCCATTCCGCTCCCGAAACGAAGGCGATGCCAGCAGCTCTGCACCCTTCTTGTTGCCTGAAAGGAGGTCTCAAGTTAGAGTAAACTTGCTGATAGAGATATGATCTGGCGTACTTCTCAGATCCTCGCGGCTCGGTATCGTGATCTTTTCATTCTCTTTACCAAGAGAGTTTAGGCGAAGTCTGTCTGGCCTTTGGTTCTCGTCGTCCGCAAACTGGAGGGAACGCACACGTTTGCGAGCGTTTAACACCTGCGATGCGTTACTCTCTGTCACTGCATCGCTTCCAAGCGCATATAGGCTCCTCTGGGAGTTCAAAACGCCCGCCTTCACTGTTTCAAGTGGCCTTTTGGCCGCATCTAGGATTCCTGAATTGGACTTCCTGGTCGATAAAGGGGCTTGCATGACGATTGAATCACCCTGATAGTACTATTAGCTCAAGGCTGCGTTCTCTCCAAGATAATGCCTCACCATTCTGCTTGCTCCAAGGATCACAACGCCCAGGCCAAATTTCTGATTTCACTAGAGCAATTGGCTGTAAAGCTGGTTATAGTCTCTAGGAGAAAAGAAAGCAGTGGTCAGAGACAAGGATTTGAATCCATCCCGCCGTGTCAGTAAGTCGATCTAATGCAGCACGTGCGCTACTCACTATCTCAGCGCGGCCTTGTCGTTAGTACTCGCTCGTCGTGCTAAAATGTAATAGAACACATTAGTGATTTCATCTTAGATATTATCTACTTCTGCGCCTCTTTCATTGAACACGCCATTTCCCAATTTCTCTGCACGATTCGCGCTACTCAATTTCGAGCGCGCAAAGGGCGGCTCCGACTCGCGCCCCTGCGCCACGCCTCTCGGGTCACGTGGAAATCAAGGCAGTTCCCGAGCCGCGAGCGGCGGGCACGACGCTCCGAAATATCGCCCAGCTTCGACCAGCCTGTTGCCAACACTCTCTCAGCTATCCTCCAAGAAACGAGCCCACGATGGACAAAATAGAATCTCTCTCGTCGACGCTGGCGAATATCACGATGTACGACATCAAATCGATGTACAATCAGGTTCGTCTCAGGAGCAATATTGGGGTTGCGTTGGTGCTGACGGTGGTGATCACAGGCGAAGAATGTCGTACTGAATGTTAGTGAGATGGAGGCAAAGGTTAGAGAGGCTACCAATGATGATCCTTGGTGTGTAGTCCCCTGTAATCGGGGCCCTGAGACTGATAATTTCTATAAAGGGGTGCAAGTTCGACATTGATGGGTGAGATCGCACAAGGGTATGTCCTGGCGGTGTACTGAATGCATACTGGAACCTGACGTTATTGGCAATATAGGACTTTCAACTTGTAAGTATTCAAGACCTGGAAATATGACACAAGCTCTCAATCCTCGCACAGCGCCCAGTTCAACGAGATCATGCCCTGTATCTACGGACGCTTCATGGAGAAGGAGGCTCGACAATGGCGTCAAATCTACAAGGTAATCACTACACATTCCTTGAATCTCTGCAATGATACTTATTGGAACAGTCTTTGCAACTCTTGGAATACCTTGTCAAAAACGGGTCGGAGCGGGTCGTGGACGATGCCCGGTCACACATCGCTACTCTTAAAATGCTGCGAAGCTTCCACTACATCGACGACAAGGGCAAGGACGAGGGCATCAACGGTGAGCTTTGCGCATCTCCCCTAGGCTAAGCACTTGTCTGAGACCTACTGCAGTCCGGAACCGTGCAAAAGAACTAGTCGAGCTGCTTTCGGATGTAGAGAAGATTCGCGCAGAACGTCGCAAAGCCAAAGCCAACAAAAGCAAGTTTATTGGTGTCGGAAACGATGGATTTGGCATGTCTGGAGGAAGTCGTTATGGTGGTTTTGGAAGTGATAGTTTAGGTGGCGCTTCAAGCTGGAACGGTGAGTTGCCCGCAGCTGGCGTCAGCGTGATCAAAGCCCTAACCTAATGATATAGATCACTACAGCAGTGGTGGAGGGAGTAGCTACGCTGGACGAAGCTCCTACAACGATAGCAGCAGCAGCCGACGCCAGTATGAGGAATATGACGCCGGTGGCGACGAGATTCGATCCAGCTCGAGCAATACCCGATCAAATTCCGTCCGAACTGCACCTAAGAAGGCAGCACCTTCCCCTCCGCCTCCCGCACCCGCTCCTGTTGTTGATCTGCTGGGTGGTTTCGACGACGATGACGGCTTCGGTGCACCGGCTACAGCGCCAGTCGCAGCTCCCGCACCACCGGCCACAAACAAGGCTCTTCCCATGGTCTCTCTCGATGGTAAGGGTTACGACGTTGTCATATATTACAACCACTTATAGTCTCCTTACAGACGATGACTTTTCGGACTTCCAACCTGCTCCTGTGGCGCATGCCGCTCAGCCTGCTGCCCCCGCTCCCGCCCCAGCCGCAGCGGCAGCTGCCAAGCCAAATCTCATGGACCTCCTGAGCCAGCCGCAAGCTCGACCCGCTTCGACTCCTCTCGCCCAGCCTGCTGTCCAAGCTCAACCTCCTCCAGGCTTCGGCCAGCCCCTGGGTGGACACCGACCCACCCCTTCTCTCTCCGCTCAGCCCTCTCAATTCGCAGCTCCCATCGGCCAAGTCCAATCCCAGCCTTTATTTGGCGGCGTACCTTTGGCTCCTACCACCAACGCCTCCTCTCCCGCTGCGCGACCCGGTTCGACCCCTGCTGCAGCACCATCCAAGCCTGCCAGTTCCGCCAACTTTGATGATCTCTGGTCCTTGTCGCTCGGATCGGCCAGCAAGTCGAGCAGCTCTTCTGGAGCACCAGCCAAGTCAATACAGGATTTGCAAAAGGAGAAGGCTATGGCGGGTATCTGGGGAGGTGGATCCGCAACGAAGCCAGCTGGTGCCGCGCAACAGCCCGCCTTCCCCGCCTTTGGAGGAAGCTCAACCACCAACAACACCAGCTCTTCCGGCGGTGCTGATGACCTCTTGCTCTAATTTCTCGACGATAGATCTCTGTTCTCGATACCTGCCATCTTCCGTTTTGACTTTCACCTTTCTTGAATGTCTTTGGATGTTCCCAATGGATATCCGTCCACTTTATTTCCAGGCTTGGATTCAAGCAATTCGAGCTAATTTGAAAATAGCTATTACATTCAAGGTATGATGTCCAAACATATCCTGCAATCGAGCGTTCGTGTTTCCAAATTCATCCAGACCGTATAATTGTCCTTCGAGGAGCGCTCGTCAATGCATAACATATATCATGCATCGATATCACATGCACCAGGGCGAAGGGCACACCATTGCGGCTGCAAAGGGATGGCACGGACGCCTCGTTGAACGAAACGGTATGCAAGATCATGCAAGCGCGGTAATGCAGTTCGACCATCGCGGCCGTGGCCAGACCAGAATACCTAGAGTACAGCGCATCAGGTTTCAGTTCCAAGCCCACGTCGTTTGTATCTATCTAAACTCACCTCTGCGGATGCAGCAGCTCGGGGCCACACGATAGGATCCAAGTTAGACGGACCAGACTGCTCTGCCCAGAGGAGTTGTTGGCCTCCAAGAACCAGCTTCGCTTCCTCTTCAGTCAGGTTGGCTCTGGGGTTGAAAGAATAGGCCTTCTGCCAGGTCTTGAATGGGTCACACCAGCTGTTTCCGTTGGGATTGTTGCCAATCCAACCTCCACCACCGCAGTCGAGGTAGAAGTAATCGGATGCAGCGTGGATGAGTCTGTGGCCTCGCTGGGCAACTGCTTTGGCGTGCTGTGAAGAGATCCATACCCTGGAAAGAGCAATATGAACGTTCGGTGGGTGTGGTGTAGGTCAGTGGAAGGACATACATGGCTACGGTATCGTTTGAGAGGGTAACTTTATGGTCGAGCACCATCTCTACAGCGCTGCTTGAGTTCTCAACGCGGTCGTAGGAGTAAGTATGAGACATACCCTGCCAGACAACAGTTGTCTTGCCCATGTCATGTAAAGCCCTGTGCGTAACTTGAGTGAAGGTATCGAGTGCCTGCTCCAGAGTCTTTCCTTGCTTCTCTACAAGTCCGAGATAATCAGGGTCTTATCCATTCACATAAAATGCAACATACCCAATTCCTTCTGGGTGGCGGCATCATCTTCATAGCAAGGCTGATTGATCTCATCCCCTCCAGTGCTGAAGAACTTGGAAGGGAACAACCTAGCGACCGAGGTCAAAAGGGAGGATGTAAAGTTGACAGTAGCTGGAGAAGCCAATCGTAGCTGTCCAGCGGGTGGTTCTAGTGGACGGGGTTTGGGATGAGAAAGACACGCCGCACAAAAGAATACACTTGCCGTAGGCGTAGCGGGTCCAGGGGGAGGCCTCGAAACAAGCGATGTGTTCGGGATGCGCGTGATGGATGATCGACGTGTGCCCAGGAGTGTCTACTTCAACGAGAATATCGATTCCTCGCTGAGCAGCGTAGTTGACGATATCCTTGACGTCATTGGGGGTGTAGATGGATGCCGGGTTGTAGGCTCCTTTGCGTGACAATTCCTCGAACCCAGGAACAACGAGAGGGAAGGATTGAGCATCAACGATGTGCCAGTGGAGGGTGTTGACCTGCCATGAATTTGTATCAAGCTCGTCAAAACGTTGTTTAAACACACCTTGACCCAGCTCATGGCATCCAGCGTTCGTTTGATGTCGGCAATAGGGAAACTGAGAGACGTGAGCATCCTGTACTGAGGGACTGGGGAAGCCTCTCACTAGTTTCGCGAAGTGTCGAGCATAAGACCGCGATACACCTGCATGTCAAAACGGCCTGTGAGTATCCACACTGAATTCATGAAAAGAAACTGCACGCACATATTGTGGCGCATCTCGAATAGAGACAGGAGCCTGTACTGTGTATACATGGCCATCCAACTCATACCACAGCTGGCTGAACGTCGTCAGACCACGGAATAACCCCAAGGTCGAATTGGCAGTTAAGACCGCTTCCGAGCCGTCCGCTGGAACAGTGAGCGTATAACCCTCCTGGCGAGTCCCGATATCTGCGATCGCCTCTTCAGCGATGGACCTGGTCTTCGCAGTTCTGCTGTTCAGTGTGACTGTGAGCGACTTGAGGAAAGGCGAGTTGCTGATGGAACTCTTGAGGGATGCACCGCGATCAGGAACGAGGAGCTGGAGCTTGTCCTCCCTCAGGAAGTGCTGTGTGCGCGAGACTGCGTCGACCAGGTCCTTCGGTGCGTGGCGCACACCGTTCAGGTTGATGGAAAAGTCTCGAGCGAGCCTCAACGGGCTCGTACCCGTCGTGATGTCGTTGGGGATAGGCCATAAAGCAGACGCTCCAGGCAGTAAGGCTAAGAACGCGGAGAAGGTGGCGAGGATGAGCATCGAGTGTAAGTAAGGAGAATGCTGATTGAATGAAACTCACGTTCTTTTATATATGTGGGACTCCTGGATGTCTACAACGCAGTTCGAAGAAGCCATTCCTTTAATAATGTAGCCGAATAAGAAGGACTAGGCGTCCCGAGGTCTTCTCTGATTGGAGCCACAGTGGTGAAGGGAAACCTTAGGGTGAGCCATATGCGCAGTTACGGTATCAAGGGCGTTGAAGGAATGTGGCGGACTGGCGAAATCTCGCTTATCGCCCGCTAGCTGCCACCCAAGGTTGAATAGGAAGACCTTGAGCACTGAAGAAGCCTGGCCCCCCATTTAGTCCATTTGGTTTCCTGGGATAGTGCGCTTGAGAAGGCCGTAAACCTCGAGACACCTGAACTGAAGGCAGCACTTGGTGGTGGTCAAGACCAACCCCTGCTTCTCACGGAGCAAGCCGAATTCGCAGGAAGAAATTGCCAGTGGTCACAGGTCCAATGGACCACATTGTTTCATGGTCTCAATCGTGACGTTTAGCAAACTTCTCGAGGTAATGGTACACAGAAGAGATCATTGTCAGATCCATCTATTTCTTTGGCTAATTAATACCCGTTGCAATCCCTAAATCGCCGCACTGGACAGGAGTCAGTGGTCAGATTTTCGGCCAGGGGTTCAGGGAGGGTTCGGACGAGAGGGGGTTCCTCAGGTCCGTACACGCGGTCAAAAATGTATCTGAGGTCATCGAAGAGCTCCAATATTAGGCCCTTCCTTTCAGGGATATAGTCGTAGAGGCCGTCACTAACATTGAAGGCATTAAACACCGCGTCAAGATCCTCTGTGGCTTGGTGTTTATCGAGGGGAGAATCATCGTAATTCCGCCACAATCGACCGTCAGAATGAACCACGAGATTTCTGAAAGCCATAATGTGTTGAATCGAGGTCAAATCGTTGAGAAGAACACGCTTAGCGACCACAACCAGGTGATGCGGAACGAGGCGAACAGCGCAAAGCTTCCCGAGGAACTTGGTCAGATTGAGAGCTTTGTGGATTTCCTCCCTCTTCTTTGGTCCACCAACGGTGTTTGATTTGACATACTCGTTGATCGACGTCGGAAGGCCCTGAGAACCTCGTCTGGGGGAACATGTGGACCGTAAAAAGAGAACGCACCTTTTGCCAATATCGAGTAAAATAATCAAGCACATGGTCGTACAGCTGACGGCGGAAGTATGCTCTCCTACTGTTTGCGTCCTGATCTTGTGAAGACTGGAAGCTTCTGTCCACGGCGAGTGCAAAATCGGTGAGGTGCTCGTCTTTGTCGCCAAACTGGACCATCCCGCACTCAGCGAAAAGTTTTCCTATGTATTGGTCGACCCTCGGAGTCGCATCGATGAGATTTGCGGCGAAGAGTTGACGCACTATGGCGTCCGATGAATGGGCAGCTACGGTGAAAGCCTGAGTGCAGGGGTTTATGCCGTACTTTTGTTGGATATACGACCAAGATCGAAGGCGTTCACTGGGTTGATGATGAATTCCCCGAGGCACGGGCATTTTTCCGAATCGATGCCTAACCATGCTTACAGGGTCATCGCGCACAAACCACAGAGAAACGTCGCATTCGCTGCCTGTTGATCCAAGACTGGAAACAGAGGGACCAGTCGACGAAGACTCGGATGAACTGAAATCTACGGGACTCGGGGAGCTAACAAAAGGCTGAGGGACGTCGTCCTGGTATAAAGGTTGAGAGGACGATGACGGTGCCTGCGGGTTTCCTGACATGGCCGAGGGGACATAAAAACTAAAAGACGAGTGCGCAGTGTTCGACAGTTGTTGCCAGGCCAGGTGTCCCGTTCCATATGCCGGGTCATATGTTGGGTAGACATCGTAATACGTGGTGGACATTGTTGCTCGAAGTTTGTCGATGGTAGAAGCAAGACTGAAAAGTGCAATTTTATAGATTTTGAACAATGGTAAGAACTCTTCTTGCCACTCGTGTGGCTGTCGGTTAAACTCCCAAGTCGGCGGACAATGGCAACATACTTCAGAGAGCGAGATATGTAGAAGGTGCAACGCACGCTAGAGCAAGGGTGGTCATTTGACTCCGAGGTCGTTGCGGGGTACCATTGTCCTTCCTAGAATATGACTTGGAGCATCATTGTCCGTGGTATGATATGGCTTGGAACACCATTGTCCGTCATGTAGAGGCACAAGTTGTTGTGGCAGGCAAGTGTTGCGGTGGTTGTCAAGTTGTTGCATACCTGTCGGAATTCACGGGACATGTGTTGGATCTCCGATTCAACGTGTTCGGCAAAATCCGTCGAACTCAGCGGCCAGTGGCATCCCTACTTTGGACTCGCCGTGTTCTAACCTCGTCTCTGAAGCAGTTCCTCCAAAGCTTTCGTATAAACGAGGAGGGGGGACGCTCGAGTTCCTCCGTTACTCTTGAAACCCGATCTCACCTCACCTCAGGGCCCAGTCTGACAAATACAAGTCATTACAAATTTAAATGAGCCGCAACTTATCCTCCGGAAAGTATATTGCGTTGCAATTCGCTCGCTGAATAACACAGTCCAAATGGCGTAGTATGGTGCAAACTCTGTGCCTTGTCTCCTCATAATCTGGCCTTCTTGGTGTCTTTTGCATAAAGGCGACCGAGTCGAACTTCGCGCTCGCAACCCTCCTCAGAACACCAATGTATCTCACACCAACTCTTGAAGGCATCCCCACTGTCGAGGCCTATGTCTCGTCCTCAGACGGCTTACAGATATATGCAACTGCGGTCGGACACAATCATCTCCCCAGTCTCGTCTTCGTTCATGGCCTGGCTTGCAGCGCTCTCATTTGGGCGAGTCTCTTCCAGAACAAAGACCTGCTCAAGCATTTCTTCCTGGTGAGTGGTGCTTTCAGTCGGCACTTCTTTGAGCTATTAACTCTTGTAGGTCGCTTATGACATGAGAGGCCACGGTCGAAGTGGAAAGCCTAGCACGGCTGAAGGGCATCTATCTTCTTTGTACGCGGATGATTTTGCCGCTGTTGTGAAAGAATTCAAGCTAAATACCCCAATTTTCGTCGGTTGGTAGGTTGCGATGGTTTCCAGATTTGTAAATACTGTTGGCTAACGCAGCTGTCGTTCTTCCTCTCGCAGGAGCCTTGGAGGTATGTCTCGTTCAGCGAATTATCAATCAACTTCGTACTAAATGTACTCTTCCTACAGCAACAGTAGCAGCAGACATATTCACCCACCTCGGTCCAGATGCCATCTCAGCAATCATCTACACAGCGCCTGTTCCCTATATGTATGGGTCGGTCGTCGACGAGGTCTCAACAGACGCTGTTGTAGCCCTGCGTCCAGGATTGCTGTCTCGCAATGACACGGCTGCCGCCTTCGCGTCGCGCATCGCGTTCGTGAACTCGTTTCTCCAAGAGCCAGACAAAGTACCGACCAAAACATTATGGTCTTGGGTTGGCGCTACGATAGTGATACCCCCGGACGTGTTCCAATCGATCCTCTTACGGGAACAGGACCCAAGTGCGTTGCTCGAGGCTGGCCGAAGTGGGTTTCCTGCTCTTTTAATCACCGGCGGGAAAGATCAAGACATTGTCGGAGAAAAGGTTAAGGTAGTATTAAAGCCTGATTTCCCTCGCCTGGAGACCTTTGATATCCCAGAGGGAGGGCATGCTATGTTCTACGAATTCGAGGAGGAATATGTTCGCGAAATCATTCGGTTTGCCTCGTCCGTCTTCCGCATTCGCTCACGTCCAGTTGGAAAGGCCTGAAGGACTTTTATCTTATTGCGTGAAATATATGGTCCCGTAGTAAGAGCTCTTGTCTACATGCAATACACTAGTACTGCCAATGCACTTCTGCAGACTGAACTCGAGTCAACCTCGCGCCGGCCGTGTTTCGGATCCGATTGATATGCCGTAGTACGGCATCAGCCGGAAGTTGCGCAAAGTTCCCACACGCCGTTCGAACTTTACACTCCACATTCTCTCTCCGACTTAACGAAATAAAGGGCCGCGTCCCGCGACTGTGGACCTTGCTTTAGCGGCTTGGACGCCTTTTTCTTTTGTGCTCAAGTCGGTTTTGCCTCTCATCGTAATAGGCGTCCCCTTACCTGTCCGCCCCCCTGTACCACACAGCTCAGTCATTGAATGCGACGCGATTTTTTTTAAATAATGAAACTGTAAATCCTAGGTTGTCTGGCTGGTCAGGACACTGCAGCCCTGCATTGTACATGCCGATAATAAAATCACCTTCTCTGCCCCTCACACAAAGTCCCAACACATACATAAGTACATACTAGGCCAGAATCATATTTCTCATGTCAGTCCGACACGTCCCAAAGCCTAACCCGCTCACAAATAGTAAACCCATGATACTTGTAGAGGTGAAAGGTGACGAACGCCAAACCCTTCCTAGACCACTGATGCCTAGCGGGCCATGCGGATTACGACCAGCACATACGAAACATACTGGAGGACACAAGGCATGCCGCCTATTAGTTGTATCCAGAGCAGCAGCATTGTGATCGAACCGAAGGAAGGGTACGATCCAAAGCAGCGGTAATGAGCCAGGAAAGGAATGCCGGCCGATGTTTGCATATCTTTGGAACTCGAGTTTTAGGCACCTAAATCTTACATAATGTGACCTGGTACAGACCTAGCTAAAGCAAGGTCAATGACCTGAACAGGAACAGGCCATACCGCTTCCTATGCACCATTGACCGGTGACGATGCAAAGAATGGATTGCACAGCATCCTTGTTTTCCTCGCTCAAATCAAGCCAAAACATTGGCCCTTGCAACAGCCACCACCGAGGATAAGAATACGTTGTTTCCCGTTGCCTACCTGCTCACTGACGTACATCGACACCTCGATGCACAAGGCACGTAACAAAAAAGATGATTCCGACCAGAAAGCGGGAGAACGGGCTGCTATTGTCGGTTTTGTAGACATCCGTTTCCAAGAAGAGAGAAAAAGAGGACTCGGGAACAGCGAGCACCAGTATATTCGGATATGAGTGGCGTTCTGGGTTCTGGATGGAATATAAAGGGAGTATTGCCTCCAGCCCTGGAGGTGCAATTTCATCCTCTCCTACTTCGTTGGCCTCATTGGCAAGATGCTTCCAGTCCTTGATATCCATGTCGTCGGTCGCGCACGGCGCCTCTCCGACGCGTCTTTCTCATCCTCCTCAGAAGCGGAATCCCTCGCCTCAGCCTCGCCTTCTCCATCTACAAGTTACACGAACCTTCTTTCTACAAAATCTGACGAACTGAAGAGGATTTTCAAGGCACACAAGAACCTCATTGTTTCCCCAGACCGTAAATCCCCCGTCTCTCCCAGCATCAGGTTATCCTTCCCCATCCTTCCATCGGTGACAAAGGAGGATAATATATGGCAACACAGGGAAGCAGGATCGTTGTTGATGGAGGACGAGCTAAACCCTGACGCTCAGACGTTCGTACCCCAAGATGATTTAAAACCAGGTTTCAAATGCTCGGAGCAGGCACCCACACCCACGCAGGACGATTTCCGCTCCATAGACATCGCTTGGCTGCAGAGGCTTTCGCCTGAACTTGAAGAGCAGTTACGTAAATACCCCACCCCTCCCGGTCTTTCACTACCTGTTCCGATCTATAACCCAGCACCTTTGCCTCTACCAAAGGCACAGTGGTTTGCAGCCTTCGCAGAGGGACTGAATTCTCAAGATCCTCTTACATTTGAACGACAGGCCCACCTCGTCGCATCGTCATGTTTCTGGACGGATCAAGATGTTGAGGACCTTGTTGTCGAATTAGTCCTGCGCATCTACGTCAATTCCGAAGACTCGAACGACAACGTAGCATTCTTTGCACACTGTCTCTTCCAAGCATTTGTCTCTGTTTCTGGGCCTATTGGTGGGCAAGCCTTCCTACTGCAGCTCCGGCAACACACTCTCAATATATTTGTCAGCTCTTTGGATCCAGTGAGTACTTTCCTTTCGTCATGGTCTCTGCAATAATTGAGCTGGATCTCAGGCCTCCTTAATATACACCTCGCGTCCGGAGAATCTTTACGCGCGTGTAAATGGTGCGCTTTCCCTTGCTCTATTCATTGCCGACCTCTTCGAGCATGGCCTATTGCTTCAAAACCACATCATGGCATGTCTTCGCCGACTCTTCGAAGGGCCAGTCGCGGTCGAAGAGCATGTTGTGGCCATTGGATATCTCGTGACGCGAGCTGGTTCAGGGCTTTGGGAGCCTTCATTTCCGCTGGAAGACAACCCGATACCATCCTTTCTGGCTAGGTTCAACGATCTGGCTGGGAGGGTTCAGTATTCGCTCCTCGGTAGGGAACCTGGTTGTTGTTCTGGTTGGGTAGGCGCTGTTTCTGACAGACTTAAAGAATGGGAAGCTTCGATGTAGTGCTAAAAATGAAGGGCCTTCACTACAAGGGAATGACATGAACATTTGAGTCGGTGATCGTCTCGTTTGTACTATGGATATTGTCTGGATATTGTTAACTGTAACCTTCATTCATTAATACGGCACGGGGGAATCGAGCATCACCATGGGCGTGTAGATCGTTACGTTGATAGGAGATCATGACGCGCAGGCAGAGGTGGGTTCTCTTCTCCATTTCAGACTCGAGCGAGTTGCTGGTGCAGCGGCCCGGAAAGGCAATCCGAGTGCTAAGAATAGCAACGCCCGTGCCAAGCCTTTTGGATGACCATGTCTGCGTGCCTGCATGCCGATGGCTATGGGACATCGTGATACGAATGGCTCATAGATAACCACACAGGCAGGTGTAGCCTCACGGTTCAGAACTACGCTTCGGCTTGCAGTGGAGAGGACTCTTCCGAGCCATCCATCGCGTTCTTGGCATCTGGAGATAGGCATTCAAAACTGCATTAGATCGACACCATTCAAGCATACCTCTGACGTACACTTGGTAGAATAGTAATACTTGATGAACTCAATATGTAACATTATTTCTGTGAACTGGGATGCACGGTTTCAGGGTCTGGAGAATCCAGGGTTCTCGTGACTGTTTGCTTCTGTTGCCGAGGAGGATCAATCGAGGACCAGCGGAAGTCGATACCTCCGAATCCGACGACCTTCTCCCCACAAGCACCCCATTCCCTCATTCTCTGGGCACAATTTTACCGAGAAAAAAAGAAGCTGATAACACACCTTCAATGGCTCATTTGTAGACAGGGATAAACTTTTAGAGATCAATGAAGTCCAGAGTCTGCATGGCGTTTTAGTTTTAGTGTGACTACTTATTGACGGGACTAGGCGTTCGACACCAGGCCAGCTTTGCTTCTCTTGCTTGGTGCAAAGGCATCTGAGAGGGTTTCCGCTTCCTTCTTCCACTAGTGTCGGCCAGATATTTGGCGGTCTTCCAGGCATTAGCTCACGCCACTTGCGCCCTACTTCATCTTCTGGCCTCCTACTCTTCGTCGGTCGGTCCCACCGCCTTCTTTTTCCTTCCACTCCTTCCCTCCCAAGGCTCACTCCTTCTGCGAATCGTTCGAGATCGCGAAAGCCCTACAAAGTTCTACGATGGAAGCAACAGACGCAGCTACGCATTCGCGAAACCGAATTCACTTTGAGCCCAGCACGAGAATCGTCGTGGGCGCTGTAATTGGGAGCATCGTCGGGGTCATATTCCTATTGGCCCTCTTCCTGCTGTGGAGACACTATTGGCGAGCGCGAAATGCAGAGAGGACGGAAGAGGTCGTCGTGGAAGAAGGAAAGCAGCCTCCCCACGGCATCGAGTCAGGTAGGTCGCGTTTTCAACAACCTATTGGATCCTTGTTGACCAGTCCCGTTCCAGAGTTCCTCGATTCGATGTCAGACCCAGATCCCTTTGCAGCGGGAGAAGTCAGAACCATTGTGTCGAGCGCACACAACACATCTCCTACTCTGACGCCGTCCTCCTCTCCGCAAAAGAGTGAATTCGAACGCGACTCAAAATTCGGAAATGACGACCACGTTACCCACTTTCACGACGTATCAATGACCGAAATGCGCCAGAGCCGCGCATCTGGAGACCTCACTGGAATACCTGAACTATCAAGAACATTCGTCGCTCATGTCCGAGCAACTGCGCGCAGTCCACCTCCAGCAGTTTAATCCACCTCTCGTCACGATGCCACTACTCTTTTCTTTCGTTCCTTTATACCGATATACTCTTTTCTAACACCTATCGCCTTTCCTCTAACCCTTCATTACCCCCACTCGCTTGCTATTTATGTTATCCTCTTGCACACCGCTTTCGTTATTCCATTACTACATACCCACCCGACCTACCAGCTACCAGCTACTAGTACTCCTACCTCTGCTTTTCACCACACCGCTAGTAAGCCAGCACTATTACTACTCCTACTTATTCGATTCCAGCTTTCAAAACTCATAAATCACCCGCCCGAACAATGTGTAGCTGCCTTGCAGATACCGCCCGATTTTGATCAATCGTCGAGTGAACTCGGTGATGGAATTCTGGACGATAGACCACGATTTCACCCAAGGAGCACTAAATACCCATCCAAATTGTACAATCAGTCATAACTCGAATATCCATGGATGGTCCACTCACGCAAGGCATTTTTCAGGCTGTAGAGCACACCAGTGGGGCTGAAGTGGAATCGCGCGGATTTTACGCTGAACCATTCGGTAACGGAGGTCGTGCAGCCGAGAAAGTGCGTCGGTGAGGTTTCGTTCGCTACCGTGGAGGCCTGTCCAGAACACCTATGGCGCAGACATGTTAGTATGCGCCCGGGAGCCGTGGACCCGACGAGACAAGGTTGTTTACCTCGGCCGATGCGGCTGCCCGTGGCCACACAATCGAGTCAAGGTTTTCTGGCGATGACTGTTCCGCCCATAGCAATTGCTGTCCTATCAAAATAGACAAGCCTTGTCGGACACTTGACCGAGGAATGGAAGTGAGCGGGACGTACCTCCAAGGACTAGATGTGCTTTACTCGGGCTGATAGAGTCTTGTGGATCGAAAGTATATGCCTGCAGTGTGGTTTGACGGTTAATCCTGGTGCCTAATGAGCCATTCAATTCGTACCTTTTGCCAGGTCTTGAAAGGATCGCACCAGCTGCGCGACAAGGAAAGGTCAACCACCTCAAGCTGTTGATGTCACGTAGGATGTAGCCCACCTATTACCAGTAGGCGAGTTTCCCAACCAACCACCACCGCCACAGTCCTAAAGGGCCTTCAGCATCTGTCCAGTAAATTGACGGGTTCACTGACCAGGTAGAAGTAGTTCGATGGCGCATGGACGATCCTGAACCCTTTATTTATCGCGTCGGCTGCCTTGCTGGAGTCGGTCCAGACCGTGACGATTGTTTCGTTCGAAAGGCTGGTCAAATCATGGGATAGCGCGATTTCTAGGACTGCATGAGAGCGGTGTCACTGCACGACGATCCGTACCACGTACCTTCCCAGACCACGGGGGTTTTCTTCAATTCCTTCAACGCTTTGTGCGTTGCATCCACAAAGTCGTTCAAAACGTGATCAAGCCCCTTTTTATCGATGGAGAGTCCGGCATCTTTCAACTCAATCTTCGTCTGTTCGTCATCGAGGTAACATCTCAAATTGATTTCATCTCCACCCGTGCCGAACATGGACGAAGGAAGCGTCTCAGCGATGTTGCTGAGCAATGAAACTGTGAACTCTCGGGTCTTTTCTGAAGTGATTCGAAGCTGTCCGGCGGGTGGTTCGTGTGCGTAGTTGTACCATGGGTCGGCCCAGGCACACGCGACATGCTCGGGATGGGAGGCTGCGACGCTGGTGGTATGTCCTGGCGTGTCGATTTCCTGTCAGAAGAGCGTCGTTAGTGCCACTCGAGTCATGAAAGGACTGGAAGAAATACCATCAAAACGTCGATGCCTCGCTACGTAGTATCCAAGGCTGTCAGTCACGTTCTAGCACTGGGAAATGGTCAAATGGACGCGCATTCACCTCCGACGCGTACTTGACAATCGTCTGCACGTCTTCCGTCTTGTATCGCTGGGAAGGTGAGTAGGCACCCTTTTGAGATAGTTCAGGGTATCCGGGTACTTCCAAGGGGAAGCTTTGCGAGTCGACAACGTGCCAGTGGAAGACGCTCATCTTGACCATGCTCATCGCGTCCAAGGTTCGAAGGATGTCATCTACTGGGAAGCTTCGTGGTATTAGAAAATTAGCATTTGTCAAGGGGGAACAAGGCACGTACAAGTTCCTGGACGTGTCCAGCAAGAGACCGCGGTACGGCTAGAGACGAAAACGGAGGTTCATTCGCGAAGTATGGCGCGACAGAACAAAGACTCCTACATAGCTAGGGCTGTCATCTTTAATCACGACTGGCGCTTGATATGTGTACACCACACCATCCCTGTCATCGTCAACCCAGTACCACAGCTGCTCGAACGTAGTCAGGCCTCTGAGAAGTCCCAACGTCGTGTCAGCTGTGATGGTCGCAGGAGACCCGTCACTCGGTAGGTTCAAGGAGTACACTTCATTCCTATCCTCCAATGGCTTGACAGACTCCACCGAGATCGACTGTATCTTGTCAGGTGGGTTCCTGAGAGATAGTACGAGCGAAGAAAGTGTCGCTCCTTCGTTCACGTTGGACAGGTCCTTTGCCCCTCGCTCATCCGTCAACCTTTGGTGCTTGTCCTGCACTATGCGTTCCTTAGTACGCGTCAAGGCCAATAGGAGGTCTTCAGGGGCGCTCGACTCGAGGTTTGACACGAGTTTAATGTCGAAGTTTGGTGAGAGCTTGACGAAGTTCGTTCCGGTTTCGAGGTTTCTGGGCAATGGCCACAGAGCGTGGGCGAGCGTTATCGTAGAAAGACATAAGAGATATTTCAGAGATCGCATAGTGAAAACGCCCTCGTCCGTATCTGCTGGGTTGCTGATAGCAGCACAGACGTCTTCAACGTGTAGAAGGTGGAGCAGCGATGAGCAGGGTCCCGAGATGCCGTTAGGGGTCCCGGTCCACGGTTCTGATGGTATGGTGCCATCCCTAGACTCGTGAACCAGTCGGTTCGGTCCCCTCAGTCCGAATGATGGTGGTGTTGATTGATGATGTCGGAGAATCAAGTTTGCCGTCCGTTGACGGTTCGACGATCCATACTGTTCTCTCTGTTCCCTCCAGCGATTCTACCACCTCATCACTTGGCGGTCGACATAATTGACCGCCCACCTCGAACGCTGTGTCTTCAAATCTGGCCCCTCACACACCTCCGCAGAGCTTACTCGTCTGTTCTTCGTGCGCGCTGTGGACCTTGTTTGTCCATGTTTGCTAAAGGCCCCCGAGGTCAGAAAACGCAAAATTCGTTCTCCTCATCGCTTCTGTGCGCCTATGCCTTGTATCATGCATGGAAACGACTGTCTGACATTCTATCAATCGTTATCTCTGTTCTCCTCTCATTTCATGACCTTTCTCTGTCGCAATCGCGATTATTCTTGCTTTTACCCCCTTCATCATCTGAATTTCGTAGTTTTCTTCTCTCAAGTACTCTTATTATTCGTCTTTTTGTGCCATTTCCAATGTATCCCATTGCCCCAGCTAGGTTTACAATTTGTGGGATGAAATGTGAAGATGAGATGGAGGGACAGCTAAAGTTACTTTCGAGATTGCCAAAGAAACACGTTATTTTCCTAAGTCGATTTTCGCACGGGCCCCTCCCGCCAAAACTGTCCCCGTTCTGACCAGCCGGTTCTGACGAACCTATCCACCATCAGTGGATAAGTGATCCCATCACCCTCTTTCGTCAGAACCGAGCTGGTTCACGAGCCTAGCTCAACCCAAGGCGTCAGTACGGACGCAATTCACTATAGAACGCCCACAGCTCCAGATAATTGTCCCTGAGTGATATATTACACGATAAAGTACAAGTAACACAAAACCTATACTACAATCCCTCGTCCCACATCTTCCGAGCCATGGCGACATAGAAACGCTCTAGATCGGCCTTCGTCTCCAGCTCATTCTTCCTCCACTGTTTCCTCTCCCGCTCCATCATCTTCTTGACCTCCTTCCTTAACGTTTCTGGCTTTGCCGAGGGTAGGATGGAAATGTCGATACCGGAAGCGCCAGAACCAGCAGTAAGAGACACCATTTCCGCTGAAAGCTTCTTCATCTCCTCAGTAGCAGTCTTCTCGAATGGACGTTGCTCCTGAGTTCCGTTACCCGAATCTGAAGCCCCAGAAGTGCTGAGGTAGGGAATCTTTGTGGCGCTGACGAGGGTTTGAGGGCCGGGTATTTGCTCCACTAGCCAGTCGACCACGACAGACAGGCGCTCAGTAGAGGAGCGCACGACTTGATCTCCCTTGCGGAACTCATGCTCCCTCTCCTCCAACGTAGGCTCTCGAACTTCCCTGTCTGTTTCACAAACGCTTTCCTTGTCAGAGGAAGGCTTCACGTCTCGCTTCCAGCCAGTGAGGAACCTGGTCCATTCCCTGGTCGATGATGATTCCTTCTTCGCGGAAGCGGCGGACGTTGAAGCTGCCGAAGTTGAGACACCCAGCCCGATGACTGGGATTGCAGGAAGGTCTACACCAAACTCGATTCCTCGAGCACCTCGCATCTCCCAGTCTAGATGACCTTGAGTTAAAGTGCAATTTTAAAGAAAAGGGGCAACTCACGGTCGCAGCCATCCAGAACACCAAGGAATTCTCCCCACTTAGCGCTCTGCACTGTCACCAAGCCATCATTGCCCCATTCATGCTCGTCCGCCCAGAGAGGAGGCCGCGGTGGGTGCGGTTCCCAGTCGTTAATATCATGCTTGTCGAAATGTTCTTGCATGAGCTGCATCCGCTGCTGCTCCTCCGCATCATCGACAATCATCTTCGTGAACCAGAAAGGATGCAATATGCTAACACCGGGGACGCGACCCGCGACGCTCCAGTACTTGACTCTTGGATCATCCGGTGTAGCTGGGTTGAACACGTCATTGAGGTATGTTGAGGTGAGATTGGCGTAGGCTGGAGAATCCACGACCGAAAGCAAGAGGGTGGTGAAGGACGATGGGAGGGATGAGAAGTTAAAGGACGAAGGTGTCGACGGTGATTGACCATTGGAATCTCCATTCGCTGTCATAGGTGGTGGCCCCTCGGAACCTTGAGAGTGTTTGCCATTCTTGAGCAACTCGATTTCCTGCTCGCGGAGCTTTCCTATCCCAATGTTGTCCTGTCGTAATTGAGTCTATCGCCTGCTCTACTGTTAGAGTTGAAGGTGCACTCACGACGCACCAGTCCATGAATGGACTTCCGCGATGAGGGGTACTGATCGTTGTGAGTGATAGAGGGGTGTACTCAGAGGGCCGGCCGTGCGTGATTAGATGTCTGCAGTCCAGTCCACCCATAGAGTGCGCAAGCATATTGACTCCGCGTCCTCTCGCCTTGTCCTTGAGCTGCTCATCTAGGCGAGCAGACCTAGACGAGATATTGCCGGTTCTTGGATATTTTAGCACAAGCAACGAGATCAAGTCCAAGGAGTCCTACTTACCCGGGAACTGACGTGACTATCACTTCCGCACCTAGCTTGCCGCGGAGGATAGACAGAACGTTCGCCCAGTAATGCATTCTCATTGTCGGGAATGTAGAGGGCCCTCGCACGTCAAATCCATAGAGGCCTGTAGCTCGGTGAACGAAGACCCCAGAAACCTTGTCGCGGTACTCACCATGACAGAGTACAATCGGATAGCGGGGAGTTCTAAGCGGGTCAGATAGAGCAGGGTTGGCGATTAGTTGGTGAATAATGTCCCGAGGTGTCTCTGTCTCATGCTGATCATCCCGACGAGGTGGTGGTCGTGGGTGGTCGGTCTGGTCTGGTTTCTCTGGTGTTGGAGCTGAGCTAGCTCGTCGTTCGCTGCTAGAAGAGAACAGCGAAGGCCACCATGGCAATGAGATAGATGATGCTAAAGCCAATTAGATACGAAATGAGCATGAAGACTAGAGTACAGACCTTGATTGATATACTTGTCCTTCACATTATCCCACTGCTCTTGAAATGGCAATAATGCCTCCCAGCGACATTGTTGAAACCACGTTGCGTCCTCACAGTCCTGAGTCTTCGTCCGCGACGCCTTAAGGTCTCCGTGGGTCCCGAGATGGTAATACGGTGCCTGCCTACTTTCGTCGTGGTGGTGTTTGAAATAGTGGTGTGAGATTGAGAGAGTCGAGACGACGTTGACGAGTCTTCTGAATAAGACGACGACGTGCGTCGGGATCGCGATGCTCTTCATGGCATTGGAGCAGAAAACAAGACAGACGTCGCCCCAAAGGGAGGCTCCCGCCCCACTGATCTCGAACTCCGGCCGAATGCCACGTTTGGCTACCGGTCCGACTCGGCATCAATACACACCTGGCAAGGACTACAACTTCAAACAACGATTCCAATTCGTAGTAAGTACAACATTCGTGAACATACAGATTCAGCAGAGAATAGAAAACGTCATGTTCGTAAGTAAGGATCATCAAGACTAGGACTCATGGAAAATAATAAATCATGGTCAACCTGAGCGGTACAGAACTCAATGGAGTCCACACCCACGCATTCCGAGGCCATCAAGATAGTAGCTTCAAGTTCGAAAAATATTGGATGGCCTTTCCGTGTGACACCTTACTACGGAGTAGTTTTCAAGCTTTCTGGAACAGCAGGGATGGCAGGGACCAAAATAGGGTTGTAAGCAGCAGCCAGTGCCTTTTGATTATCCAGACTTCTTTCAGGATCGGCGATAACTGTACAGTAATGTTCGAAACGCGTTCACCACAATTGAAACTGTTGAGACGCACCATAAACGTAGCCTTCGTCATCAACAAGTTTCTCGAGGCGAGCCGAGTCTTTCAACGATACGTGGTGAATGAACTTCGGATTAACATCGTCCGCCATCCAGACACCAACAATGGTTTCCAACATCGACGAAGGACGGATAGGAGAGACGTCCCACGGTTGGCGTGGTGTCCACTCTCGTGACGCCTGAGGTCTGAACCACTTTCTGAAATTGTAGACGACAACGCCAAGGACTAGCCCAAGCAGGACGAAGGCAGAGGCTAATGAAAAGACTGCGAGTCAACATGTGGCCACACCATTACACAGGCGATAAAGATTACTGATAAATAAGATATCAAGTGCGTTCGAGCATGATTCTTCCCTTCGCTGGAGAACAGGCATAATGTCAAGGCAGAAGTCTGAACACAAGTCCAAAGAGAAGAACAGAGGGCCACGGGGAGGTGGCCAGGGTGAACCATCCACCAGACGTCCTATATAGTGACTCAGGTGCTCCAAACCGTAAGAAGCGCTCCTATTTGCATGAGCTGCTATTGTGTGAAAGCTTTATTGGCGTTCCAACACAACAGCAGTTCGCCTCTACAGCACTTTTCCCGTTTTTGGTTTAACGAAACTTCCTTTACGTACGCAGTCAACTGGAGCTGCCGATAGTAAGTGCAGATAACTACCGCATCCAGGTAGCTTGCACCCACACGAATGATACGGTAAGTAGTTAACTAGCCGAAGCTGATAAAATGGACTGCGAATTACGCTGTCGAAGTCACGTATTTCCAGCTCGAAACTACATACTTATGTGCGATCAATTGTACTGACAGCTGCCCTGATGTTCCATATATATTCGGTGTAATTCCGGGCCTTATCTCGCCCTTCCGCTGGAAACTTCTGGAGGCGGTTCGACAGGCGCCCGTACCGATGTAATTGCTCCATAACAGGAGTAAGTGCTCACTAGGAGGTGTTCCGAGTCAAAGAGCTACTCAGAAGCAAGTATGTAGGCACCACAAACCTATGCGCATTTTCTTTCGAGCTGAAGATCTTAGCTTCCGCCATCGCTCGACTGCAACCAGACAGTAACACATTCCAAGTACGAGTATCACTAGACCTGGAGGCAAGAAGAACATCAGTGTTACTCGATTTCTCTCGAATTGTATGGACCTACCGCCATGGATAACAATCGGCGGCTGTTCATTCTCAGCATGGGCCAGTTCTGATGCAGCGGTACCTCGAGATTTGGGAATCCACATTCGCCCGCCAGAGAATCACTACCTTATTGCCCTGTTTGCAGCGTACACTGGTAGACTCAGACGTCAAGGTGAGCCTGCTTTATGAGGGGAGCGTGGGGGAGGGGGTGAACAGAGGAAGAAAGATGTCTCATCCTGTAATTGTGCCTTCGAAGAAGGCGGCGATGACCAAGGCTGTAAATCCGGTCTGCTCAGGGCAGTGCCTTTTGGCGTGGACTTGCCTTCTAGGAGTAAGGTCCGCAAAAGACATGTCATTCGACTAGGATAATTCGGAATGCTGTGGAAGTGAATACATCCATCTAACCACGTATGTACAGGCTTTCAGATAAAGCCATTTTCACACTATACCTGCCCTGGTAGTGGGTCTTATCTAGGCGCTCTCTGTGACAAGGGATCAGCGCAATTCACTGTGACGCAGATGATTCGGAAGAGATTCGGTATAATATCAGAGCTCGACGACAACGTCTGATTTGCTTCGGAAACCACAACAACTTCTAGGTCGCCAATGACGGGCCAAATGCGAATGCGAACAAGCGCCTGATCGCAACGGGCGCTTCAAGTCAGAATCCCCTATTACCGGTTCGTTGATCACAGAATAGGCGAAGACATTTCCATAGCTCCTACTCGCTGTTTCCCAACTGACATGTCATATTTGAGTAGTAGAGATCGTTTACAGTTCTACAACTTATGTCCCTAATTGTCCTAGGATTGAGAAAGGAAGTACTGCACTGTCATAGATAAGGGGAAAGGGGACGAGAGAGGAGAAGCGCCCGTGAGACTTATCTTCTCTCCCTCGAACACCCAGGGCTTGAGAGGCGAAAAGGAAAGTTAAGACCAAAGGCGAATATAACTACTAGGGCCCCCAAGAACTGCGCGTAGTCGGTCCACTTGTACGCGCCAAAAGGGAGGGTCGACTTCGCCGACTCGTGGACCTCGTGTCACCTGCACAAGAATTTGTCAATGAGATGTTTTCCCCAGAACAAGGGCACTCCGAACGCTTACAGCAGGCAACGGGAGCCGTACCTCTTCTTGACCCGGAGAAAGGCTGCCGTTGCCCCGAGACAAGAAGCGGGCTACAGCTGAACCACTGAACTGCGAAGAACCTCTTTCTCCACTTCTAACAGCGGCTCCAGCAGCTGAGACAGGAACGGAAGCTCGTGGGGCAGGGGAGATTCTATATACGCTTCGAAAAATCCAAACGAGGCAACCAATGGTTAAGGCGACTGGTGTAATCAAAGAGAGTCAGGTTAGAAAATGTACTGTGCATGCCTGTAGCCACCACCACCACCACCAATATCCTTCACAACCTCAAGGAGGACGTACTCAAAAGAAAAATTCCAACCGTCGCAACCACTACCCTCTCAGGCTTCGAGGTCCACATAAAGAGGATACTGTCACAGTAGTGAAGGAAACCGCCGGGTCGGTGCTGTTTACGTAGAAAAGCAACTGTGACCAAGGGAAAGTCTACCAGGCTGGTAAATTCTCGAGGCAGATTAAGTGTACTTATATATATGTATTCCGGATGATCAGCTATCAAGAGTAATATTGAAAGGATAGTATTGGCTGAGGCAAAAGCTGTTAGATGCTCGGAAAAGGTGTAACGGGCAGTGCTTCAAATGCGTGACAGTATGCCTTCGCTGTGAGAAAGCATATCGCTCTTTTCCTCCCAAACAGGACTAGTTTACACGGTTTTTACCCAACGCCTCGTGTCTGTGTGCAACGCGCGCCTAAAGTTCAAGTGCCAAGCCTAGGTGGACTGAGCGGCCCGTCAGAACCCGGTGATGAGAGAGGCTCGGTGTCGCCGCTAGCGGTGGGGCGACCACTTTGTACCGACCAGCTTTCACCCAACCCCAGTTCGACCCACATCCAAGCTGTTGGGCTTGAATCGAATGCTCTGAAGCTGTCCTGAGAGTTTCTGAGAGTTATATAGGCGAGGAGACTGGGAAGGGCACTTTCTGAAAAGGTACAACATCTCGTCGCTTATGAATCTTGTCGGCAGTCCCGAAAGCTCAGAACGAACCTTACAGCTTTCTACAGCTTTTGAACAATGCTGGAAATTCCGCTCACCTTTCCGAATTCTTCTAGGCTCCGTGACAAGAGCTGTGAACGACCACCATGGGGAAGTGTAATCGAACAGAGCTTCCTGTCCGCAACACCAACAGCACTCGAATATTGGGAAGGCTGCAATGATACGGAAACATGTGGTATTGTTGTAGGATGCGAAGATGGGTCGCTGTATGTCTTTGGCCATTTCGAGGGCCCCACCCCAATAGCAATTCCATCAGGAGAACAACGGAAAAGGCGACCGCGAAGCCCTTTACCTTTCCCATCTTCAAGGGGGGCGACAAATCCGAGTACCCCTGTATCGACGTCATTCTCTCTGTCTTTCACAAGGCCACGTACAGTCTCAGGAGTCACAATAGAGCGGGTCGAAGCGCCAAAGAACTTCGTGGACTTTGATGACGAACCCGACAGGCTAAAGGACATTCTCCAGGGAAGAAACCCCAATCCCAAAGGCTCTGATACAGCCTCTATTTCAGCTGCGTCTCCGGCACCATCAATCGCCGAGTCTTTGTCGAAATCGAAGAGGAAAAGCCCTCCAAGAAGGTCGTTGTCTATCGGAATTTCTGGTGCGACGACCCCACGCTCATTCTCACCCAGTTCACCACATTCCCCGCACGAACGCTCACATCGATGGTCGCCTTCCTTCTCACTCCGCTATCACATTATTCCTTCATGCTCTGGACCAGGACACGCAGTCCGTGCAGTCCAAATCCTGGAGGGCAATCAGTACATTGCTGTTCTACACCAACCGGGCGATCTGAGCATCTATTCGACACGGGACGGGGAGTGCGTCTCGTCAATTTCCGTTGTCGAAAAGTTAGATGTCCAGAGGTCTCGCGAGATATGGACCTGGTGCTCGTTGAAAGTCGGAACGATCGATGGGGTAAGAGGGCTCACAGACTTTCCTTGGCCCATGCTAAATTTATGAGCAGGAGACGCTGCTTCTTGTCACAGCGGCAACAGATTCCAGCACATCGGCTGCAACGCCTGACCTCGATGAGGCTTCCTCAGAGAAGTCCCTCACGGTGGCATTCCTACTTGCAGATGGACCTGAAGGGATTCGGTTGGAAAAGTTGGGGCGTTGTGACCTCCTGGGCCCGGCGAGAGGGATTGGTATCTACAATGGACCAGATGGTGAGTTGTAAAAATCTTCTTCGTTTTGCCCGCTCACGCATTTTCAGAATCTACGGCTCTGTTTTCTATCGATGCTCAAGGCCAGTTACTGCTACGGCCAATAGAGCTCGGCCCCCCGACTCCACACACAATCTCGAGCATATCGACCACTCCCGAACCTGACCATCTGGGCCATCTCGCCTTGGCCAAGAGCATCAAAGCAATAATGAATCGATCCCCCGACCATCTTGACGTTTCCTCGCAGCCTGGCCATCAGAAGCCTAGGATACATCTGCTTGGCGCACGCAACGCTGGCGTCCTTCTCTCAGATTCAACGCTTACCGGGCTTTCAACTCGCAACATCGACGGTGTCCTATACGGGATTGTGTGGGCCCATCGTGAAATGACGGTAGGAGCAGTTGTCTTTTGAATAACGTCATCCACTCACTTCGCGTTAGGTTTTTTCATACAATTCCAACTCGCTGCAAGTCCTTCTACGTGAGACCATCCCTGACATCGAGGATGCAGAATGGCTTGACAATACGACCTACGCCCTCTCATTCAAGGTGATCTACCTTCCTGTTCGCATTCAAATAATCTGTAACGTGCACCATAGGATAAGATGGAAGTCTATGCCCTGAAATCAGTGGACGCTGATAACAACTCAATCGCATCCCCTGAAGCTAGCCATGAGACGCCCTGCCGCTACCGGTATGTTGACTAATTTCATGGCTTGTTACACATCTCCTCATTTCCGACCGTATCCAGCCCAGATCTTGTTAGGATTTTACCAACAGGTCCCCACGAAGCGGGTACTTTCATCCCATCCTCCGACCTAATATTGACCAAGGTCGACAAAAAAGGAAACCGAACACTGGTTTCTTTCCATGTTCGCCCTGGGAAGGATAGTCCAAATGGTGCTTCAACCGTCTTATGGCAGCCATGTCATCAGGACAAACCAGCTCGATCAGAGCTTGTTCAGACGGCGACTCTACCCATCGAACTCGAAACCATCGTCCAGGGCTACTGTGGGTCTCTTCTTAGTGGGATGTATTCCTTCCTCACTGATTCTCCTCCCGGTAGCCGATGGTCGATTGAGGCAATTCACCCTTGAACAAATGATCGTGCAGAATTCAGACTCTACGCTGCCGCCATCGGCTGCCTCGAGAACATCAGAGCCGTCCTTCAATGGATGTGTACTAGCCCTTAATGTCGTCCAGAATAAGAGGACCCGTGAAAAATACGTTGTTGGAGGCGTGGACGACGGTTCCATTGCCTTCTGGAGCTTGAGGTTATTTTTATCTCTTGCCCCCATCGTGTCTGGCTGATTCCTCTCCCCTTTTAGCACCTTAGAACTATGTGCTCGTTGGATTGCATTTTGTAGCCCACTCGTACGGGTCATCGCATTTGACGACGATGTTGCTGGTATCCTACGCGGCTGTGTCTTGTGCATTGCCGCTGACGGCACCATTGCTGTCATCGTAGTCGATGGTTTCCAATTGTAAGTCCTCGACACAATGATGGTGCTATGGCTCACAGGACGTCAGTCTGTATCTTATACCAGGTTCATTCGCTCCGTTGAATACCCTCTGTATTCGAGGAAGTAACCTGTTGTTGATATATGGAAACCAGCTGGCTCGAACATGGGATTTGCAAGCCAAAGAGTTCCATAGGTCCATGACACCAGACAAGGCACAAGAGCTTTTAGACCAAGACGAGTGGCTTACGATGCAAGTATCTCAGAGCTATTGTATCCAGACGCGAAGCTGATCACAAAGCCTCCAGATCGCTGGATCCTGGCTCAATCTTGTCACCTTCAGAGTGGAGAACCATCGCGCCTGCATCGACTGGACGGGATAGCGGTAAGTAAGTGAATAAAGGCTGTTCCCAACGGTCATCTCAAGTCAATCCACAGTTGCAACATTAGCGTTTGCCTTGGAGAGGTTCGTGCAAGTAGCGGTGGCCGTCACCAGAACCATCAGCACCAGTAAGGATGAAGTAGAAACTATCCTACGCACTTTCGACCGACTTCGACTGCTACTTGCTGTGGTTCTGACGCCTGGCCTAAGCCCCGATCTAGACTCTGTCTGTTCAGGAAAGCTCAATCTACCCCCCGCAATCGTGGGCGTTGGTTTGTCGAGTCTCAAGACTACGACCCTCTATTCTTCAGCGCAACCACAAGACCCATGGTGTATATCTGGAAATGTTTCGGCGTCACGACTTCTGGCCATCGTGTATGTGACGCGGGCTCTGAGCTTATTTGAAGGTGCGCAACTTTGCGCATGTACTGTTCGCCAAGTTTATCAGTTCCTTAGACGCCGCTGAGGCTGCCAACGCGGTCATCGGATTCTACACGACATCCCTGGGCCCTTGTATCGGGCCCAAATACTGCCCGCCTAGCTTGGAATATCTGGCCAAGATATGGTTCCCTGCTTCGAGTGAGTGGCATTCACTTCGCATTGACGCTTTGTCTAATGACCCTCCAGACGAACTGCGACAGTCTATAAGAACGGTTTTCGACGCTACTCTCGCCCAGCTCACGGACCAGCAAATCATCGACGTCGCGGAAAAATGGCAACAATACTGTAGGTGGAGAACCGCCAGGGTGCCTGATCTGTTCTAAGAACTTTTCTATAGTGCCGTATTCCCAACCAGATGAAGAACGCGAGGACATCCGGACCGCCATTGCATTGTTTATATGTGGCTTCATAGCTGCAGAGCGCTTCAGCCTGTTGTCGGTTAGGTATGGATAAGTACTACTACCTTGCGCTATTCCATTCGCTGACCACCTGTTCAGCGCCCTTCTCGACATCTCTAAATCAGTCGCGTTATACTTCCACGACGAGAACTCGACACATCGCGTGTTGGCCATCGACCTGTGTTCCAAAGGTTTCCATGTCTGGCAACAATACGTCGACACCCTCGAAATCTTGCGCTCGTTGTTCATGCTGGCGACGACCACCCGTAAGGCATCCATCTCCCCGCAAAACGTAGGAGCGCAAGCACGCTTGGCCGTTCTTTCCATCGCAGCTCAAAACACGGCGCTCTTCATGTCGACCCTTTGTGTGGATATCCTTGAACCATCCGGACTGGAGCACAGGCGCTCGGTGATGCAAATCATCGCGTTCCTCATTCGAAAGGTGCGCAAATGTCCGCTGTAGCCTTTGAGATCTTGTTTCTCACGTTTAGTATAGCGTCCACTGACCTTGCGACCTCATATCCCCCGGCTCATGGAAGCTGTCGTGAAATCCCTGGATCCCAACTCGACTGGAAATCGCGAAGCTGTTCTGGGGGCTGCAACTGAAATCATAGGATACGTTGTCAAAACGTTAGTTTTGTTATGACAAGTCTTGTTCTCGAAAGACTGACACCGTTGATTTAGGTTCCCCACCGTTGACTTCCACATGGGCTCCCAAAAGTTAGCGGTTGGAACGAGTGAAGGAGCTGTTGTGATGTACGACCTGAAGACTGCTATCCGCCTCTACGTCCTCGAGGGCCACCGACAGCCGCTGACTGCGCTCAACTTCTCGCCAGATGGGAGGCGGCTTGTGACTGTATCTTTGACTGACCAGCACGTTCTTGTGTGGAAGGTTGGTACAGGCTTTTCGAGTTTCTTCGCACCGGGGTTGCCTCCGCGACAAGGTCACGGTGGTTCAGAACCTTTCAAAAAACTCCCGTTCAATATTGGTTTGGAAGGTAAGATTAGTCACAGAATCTAATGCATATGAGCCTGCCCTTATGGTATCTTTTCAGGGGATGTTTCTGGCAGCAACGTATTGGATCCTGTTGTGTTTGAATGGTCCGGAGACCGTAGTGTCAAAGTCAAAATTCGCGACTGCGTATTGACATTTAGCACTTAATTGTTGGTCGTTCCTTTCCTTTACAAGTATGCATGTTACCCGTATCTTTTCTCCGTATGATCAATCACACTTAATGTAACGATTCGTTCCGAAGTGCGGCATTGCAGCTACGAGTGGTCTGAATGGCGTGCCCTTGAAGAGGGCAGGGTTCTCAGTAAACTAAGCAGGGATACATGTACGATAACTACAGCAGATCCACCCGTGCCAACAACCTCTATGTCCAAGCCCTCGCATTCTTCGCCACAGCAATAACTGGCAACTGCCTGCTATACTGTGCCACAATAGCCCTCTGTGCCAACTCATATTCGAGTGCATCCACATCCATACATTCCACAAACAAGCCCGAGTCGTTCAGAATCCTAACAGCCTCCTTGAACCAAACCCGACACGTGAATGCCGGTTCCTTGTCTTCTTGGCTGGGTGGGACGGCCATGGGGATGTTCTGGACGTATTCGAGGAGGCAAGAGACGTCTAGCCCTTCCATGATCTCGCCGATCTTGAGGAAGGCGATGGCACCCTCGGACGAGGGCCCGTCCCAGCTATCTTGCGCGAACCGCCATACATCGGTGTCTTTGTTGGTGGCGTGGACTTGCCAGCCTGGTTTGCCGTCCTACATACGAGAGGCAATCGATCCCGTCGTTGCGTCCAGAAGGGGGTCGAAGAGGGGTGAAGGGGAGTTGTTTGAGGTCGTGAAAGAGAGTACCAGGATAGCCAGGTGTGTATAGGTTACTTACGGCTTCGACGACATAAAGGCTCCAGTGGAACATTCCTGCTACATTGACTTCGGTGAGAGCGGCGTAGATTTCGTTCTGCTTCATCATCGATGACGAATGTCCTATCCTGTCCTTGTTAGACGATGCCACTACCATATCGAGAACAGGGAGATAGAATACCAGTTCTTGATGGAATTGGAGGATGCGAGTAGTAAAGATGGCGACTAGAGCTGGAACCAAATCGTATTGAGTGCGGCCAGAGTGGCTTTTCATCTGGTCTTGTGGCCTCGTGAGCGACCCTATCAGCCTCGAGGCATGCTTACCGAATAAACAAAGGGCAGCTCTTTCAAGTGGCTCTCCGTCTAAATTCCAGAAATCCTTTCGTTACCAGCCGTATAAAAGCAAGAATAAAGCAGATTAATCGCACGGTAGTAGCGACAACGACGAAAAGCGTTCGTTCATAACAAGCAGAAACCAGGAAGAAAACGAGAAACGGATGGAAAAGAGAGTCCTAATGCAGATTAACTATGTAGGTGATATAATGCTATGCGAATAAAAACGAGAGTGCCGATAAAAGAATGGATAGCTTCTAATCAAGAGTGTGCCTATTACTATAAAATGTGCCCAAACGTCCACAACGCAAGACGGAGTGATGATCCTGAAGATTACTGGAGAGGAAAAAGACATGACATCGCTTGCAAGCCGAGTAGCGTGATAGCAGAGTGCGATAGCAATTTAGCTGGAGTTGAGGTCGAGTTCGATAGGGCAGTCGGCATCACCAACTTGGACGGAAGCCTGAGGACGGTTAAGAAGGCCGAGAATCTTCATCTCAAGAATCATTCGGAACTTGAGGGCTAGTAAAGGGAATAGAACTACTCTTGAGAAACAGTTTCAAAAATGAACAAAGGACTCACGTCTTCGCTTCCCATCAACGTATGTTGCCCTGTTCTTGCAAGCATCATACCAGTTCATCCAGGTCGTGTCGCTGTCGTTGGCAGCCATATAAGTGATGTTCAAGGGGAGGAGGATTCTGGGGAAACCTCTGGCGGGTATCCTACGGCTACCGAGATCGCCTGTGCCGACTTTGCGGCCGGTATCGAGGTCAAAGACTTCAGCTTTGAGTTCTCGGAAGTTCAGGGGGAGGAAGTTTGCTGTGGTATCGAGTTGAAGAGCGGCGTAAGCTGGGAAGGAGAAGTTGGCCGGCGCCCGCGAGAATATAACGTCGATGGCTTCAGCCCACTCTCCTGTTGCGGGTGCCATGGGCATCGAAGAGTTGAAAGCAAAGTGGGGGACTCGGGGGATCGTGAATGCGAGGATGATGCCAATTCTACGCCCAGTTCAGTTGGCGCTCTGGGAGGATAGCGAGACACGACTCACACTGCACACAACCCAAACATAAAGAAGACAAAGACCTTGCGAGTAAAGTACTTGCCACACAGTCCTCGCTGGTCCCGGTTCCATGCTTTCCAGAACTCTCGTCGCCTCTCTGCCTTTTCCTTCTTCCTAGCAGTCTTGGTCATAGCTCGCAGCTCATCTTTGCTCCATTCTGCGCCGAGGGCGGGGACGGTAACCATTTCGACTTTGTTGCCTGAACTGTCGACATGATCGACCATTGGCGGCGCTGACCTCGGTGTAGGGAGTTGCTGGTATCTGCTGGCTGTCAGAGAGCTGTTTTTAAGAGAAAAAAAATCCAATACGCACCCATTGGAATTGGTAGTAAGACCAAGGTTGGTGCTATATCTTGGCCCAGCGTTGTTGAAATCTGCGTAAACGTCCCAAGCCTCCTCCTCGTCCCTCTCATCCCTCCCTCCCTTGACTGGCTCCTCCCTTCCAGCATTCAGATACGATCCCTGGTTGTATCCAGCCGACATTCTGGGTTCGTTTAGGCGGTCAAAAGAATTCCGTTCTGGACGGTAGAACGAGGACACATCATCTCTGGGATGGTTACCCCGTCCGCTTGCACTGCCCGATGACATCCTGGGAAGCTCGGCGTTGAGCGCATCAGATGATTTGCGGCCTTGAAAGAACGAGGATACGTTAGACTTCCGGTCAGCGTCCATAGCTGGAGGCTGTCGTCGGAATCAAGAAAATGGCGTTGGGATAGCGGCGTAGTCGTGGTCGATGAGCTCAAAATGGCTGACAGGAGCCAACCAACCTCATTCCCACGGCCTTGGTCAGCTAATGAAATCACTTCCTTGTTCTTCTCGAGTCTCGACCTAATCGGTGTTCTCAGCTCTTGCACTTGGTTTTGTACAACATTAGCCTTGCAACATGGATTTGTGCAATGGTCCATACAAGTTGGGCAAAAGCATAAGTTAGGTAAAGGTCCAGTGTATATTGCAGCAACTCGGGCAAGGAGACGCTACACTACATACACATCATTACTTAGCTAGTAGGCAGCCGACTGTATTCGAGACTACTATCCAAGTGGCGCGTATATGGATTGACGTCGAAGAGTCAATTTAAGAGCACTGCGTGGAAGGTTAAGCTCAATGGGAAAGGATAATGGTTGCTGAAGGACATACCGTCATGGCCTGTGCCTTGGTGTTCATGATCAGGGCGACGATGAGACCGTAGAGACCCAATACTTCAGAGAAAATGAGGATAAGAATCTGGAACGATGATGTTAGCGCGCGAACAAGACAGAGTCCTGGAAGCAAATAACAACGCACCATGCCGACGAAAAGTCTGGGTTGTTGCGCAGTTCCTCGGACACCAGCATCTCCAACAATACCAATGGCGAAACCAGCAGCAAGACCAGCGAGACCGACAGCGAGACCAGCACCGAGTTGGATGAAGCCTTGGGCGAGCGACATGGTAATGCTCACTGTAATTCCGGATGTCAAATGGGGAATTGTAACAGAACCGGAGAGCAGCTTACAGTTATTAGCGATGAGGACTGATACGACGAGGCCATAGATCTAGAAAATAAAGGTGTTATAATCCGGGGAGGTCAGGGACCGAAGGCAATGGGCAGCGGTGACTGCCAACTCACAGCAATGATACCAGCCATGACGACTGGAATCGAGCACTTCATCATCATGTCCGGTCGAAGGACGGACATGGCAGAGATACCAACACCAGACTTGGCGGTTCCATAACTGCAGGTTGAAAAGGGTGGACAGTCAGACCACGGAATTACGCAGCACGGTGAAATCCAACCACGAACCTAGCGCCGATACCTAATTAGCCCAAAGAGCCAATTCTCTCGTTAGATTCTCATTCATAGTAATGCACACAGCTCAGCAAGAGCGCCTGGACGTACAAGTGAAGACGATTGCAGCGGTGCAACCCTGGAGAACGATGCCGGTTGTTAACGAACACGACAGAATTGACGGGAAAGGGATGTACTGACCATTGCACTGAAGAAGGGAGCATAGACCGGGCAAAGATCAGAGGACATGGTGTGCAGTAAAAGTTACAAAAAAGGAGGAATTTGTAGTGAGCGACGGTGACTACGTAGCGTCCGAACGACTCGATGGGCTCTGGCAGCGCAGAGCCTGCGCCAGCGCCAAGCAAAGTTGGATTTCGTCTGACTTTGAATTCAATCAGACTCCGACAAAGCCATATGACGTCGTCGGCCAAGCTCTTTGCCTTGTTACTTCTTGGACGATTTTCACCGCTTCTAGGGACGACTATATCAGCGAGAATCCCTCTGGAATGGCAACGGCAAGACCTTCGTGATCTTTGTCGCAGGGAAATTCCATATCTTCGGCACCCATACCACTGCGCATCCAATATACGGTCTTCTGTCATATAAGCCCACCTATACCGTCTTCAAATCGCTCTAGTCCCTGAAAATCTCTTCATGAGACCAACAAACGTTCCCTGGCTATATCCCTCTGATGGTCATACCTCTTTTATCTCACAAGCGTTGTTTTACCGTGCATTTATCCAGCGTTATTTTTGCCTTGACGCTACCAAGGAACTTGTCAATGACTTCGACATTCGAACTTGAGCTTGGACACTAGGAGTTGCTTAAATATGACTGAACTTCACACCCCTCCACCCCCGTGCCGTCGTTCATGGAGAACGGATTGCCCGCCAAACGGTCTCCTGTTGAGGTTGGAGGTTTAGCCCCTGACTTTCCAAACCTTAGGCGGGTTGTAGTCTACAGGCTGACTTTGACCCTCAGGCATCGTCTATTCTGGCGTCGGGACCTCCCCTCTGTATGCCTTGAACGGTATCTGGCCTGCCCCCAATCCCGTCCCTTCCCAAGAGGGCGTGATTGGAGGGATTAGCGCAACCATCTGGGCGCTGACGTTGCTGCCTTTCATCAAATATGTTCACCTATCCTTGGCTTTTCCGGTAATGTCCCAACTTTCACGATGACAGGTCTTTATGTCTCTTTTGTTCGGTACCAAGGACAGTACTCCCCAGGCGTTCGTTCTCGTTTTGTTTATTGCCCAACAACTTGGCACCGCAGGACCAGGTTTTGTCTTTGCTCCAAGTAGGTATCCTTTAACCCTAAATGACTCCGGACGAGGAACTGTGATATGCTGACTGGTATCCTTCTTGAAGTGACCGGGTGCAAAGCTATCGATGCAGAGTCAGTTCTTCCTTCTCATTCCCAGAGCCTAAAAGTTCGGGTTTCGATGCAGCTTCTATATTACGGGTGTGTTTGGAGTGAATCGGCCGGAAGTCACATGCTGACTCTGTAGCCTTCGTTTCTGCTTCGTCACCTACCCGAGCATCGTCCTGGCGGACAAGGAGCACGACTCGTTCGAGATGGTGCGGATGTTCCCGATAATGTTTTCCCTCGAACTGTCCCTGGTCCCGCCAATGGTCCGCTGGATTGGTGAATGTCACTCAATCTCCAAACTCCCACTCTGATGTGAATGTTAGGATTGGCTTCCTGCTGGCAGTGTTGGCAACAGTCGGCCCTTTGCATGCCTCCAACCGTGGGTTTTCTGACTTCACGACCCCGGCTAATCGCACCACAAGACATGATCACCGCTACGTTCAGTATCATCCATCAAGGTTGTCAACCCCGAATTGATACCGCCCGTCCGAATGCACCACACCTTGGATACCATCTAAGGCCAGATCTACATCCCAGCCGGCAATTGGATCCTGATGATTGTGACGATCGGCCTCGTCGCCGGATTCAAGAACTTGAGTCAACTAACGAAAGCGTATGGATTTGCAAAGTACGTCAAGGTGAGGTTCCTCGCCCCAGTCGTCAATTATGCTATGAGATTTTTGATCAGTCTATCGCTACTTAGGTGTGTAACTGTATTTCTCAACTTTGGAGTATCACAGTCTTTAGACCAACGAAAATGCCGCTGCCGTGTTCCTCGAGACAGAATATTGGTTGACCTCTGCAGATGAGCGAGTTCTTAGTAGTCGAGTAATGGAGATGTATGACTCACGATCATCTCATCAACGCTGCAATCTAATGGCGATCGTCGTCGTACTTTTCTTCTATGTCTATTTTCTATAGCTTTCGCGGCTTTCATATTCGCATCGTGTCGTACTGTAAATCATTCCTTGACATACCATCTTCAACAAGTTGCCCCCCTGTGTTCAGGAAGGGCTTGGCGGAAGCGGGGAGCGTTGATCCGCTGATCAGATAGATAGCCGTAATATTGTTCCCATCATCGGCCTTGTTTGTCTTTTGCTCGTTTGAAAGCCCATAGCCCTTGCCACTAGCCCAGTCATCTCTCTCTCCGCTAACCACCACAATGTCCAAGACGTTCTCCCTAAAAAACAAGTCCCTCAAGCTCAATACACGAGCAGACATCGAGCCCTGGCTCAAGGATGTCGACCCAACGACCATTGAAGAAGTTCACCTCCAGGGCAATACAATCGGTGTTGAAGCCTCTCAAGCACTAGCTGAATGGTTGTCAAAGGCCACGAACATCAGAGTATGGTTTTGATGTCTAAATGGTGATTTTAAAACATCTCTGACTTGCGCAGATCGCCAACTTTGCAGACATCTTCACCGGTCGTCTGATATCGGAGATCCCTCAAGCTCTCGAGGCCATCTGCAACGCCCTCGTCGACAAAACCTCTCTAGTCGAGATCGATCTCAGCGACAATGCCTTTGGTGGACGCTCCGTAGACCCCATGGTCCCTCTCCTCTCCAAAAACCGCCACTTCCAAATCCTCAAACTCAACAACAACGGTCTCGGCCCAGCCGGAGGCGCAGTCATCGCCAACGCCCTCCTCGAATCTGCCAAACTCTCTAAAGCAGCGGGTCTCAAATCCAACCTGCGTACCGTCATTTGCGGTCGTAATCGACTGGAGAATGGATCCGCGTCTGCTTGGGCAGATGCATTCGCGGAGCATGAGGGGTTGGTCGAGGTGCGGATGCCGCAGAACGGGATCAGGATGGAGGGTATCTTGGAGCTTTCGAGGGGTCTCGCGAAGAATCCCAACTTGGGATACATCGATCTGCAGGATAACGCGTTCTCGACGGAGGGCCAGTTGGATGCTATCGAAGCTTGGACAAAGGCCATGGTATCGTGGCCTGAATTGCACACCCTCAACCTGTCGGATTGTATCTTGTCGACGGAAGGCGAAGTGCCGACTCTCCTCACGGCCATCATCGGAGGCTCGAACCCCAAGTTGAAAAACCTCTTGTTGCAAAACAACAACCTCGAGACTCGCACGTTCGAGGCTCTCGCCGGTGCCCTCTCGACGACGTTGAAGAACGTGATGCGAATGGAATTGCAGTGGAACGATGTTGAAGATGAGGATGAATTTATTGAGGAGATTGGATTGACCTTGAAGCAGCGTGGAGGCAGGCTTATCGCGACGGACGAGGACGAAGAGGAGGAGGAAGCGGAGAAGGCTCGAGAACACGAGGCGGAAGAGGAGCCCATCATTGCTGCTGCCGAGAAGGAAGAGGCCAAGGAACCCACGAAGAAGGAGGATGCTGCCGACGACCTTGACCAACTCGCTGCTAAACTCAGCAAGGTCGAGATCAAGTAGAAGAGTGCGTAGACAAGATTTGGGGCGTCCCAACCACATACCACGCTCATATCACAAGTAAACTGTAATATACATCCATCTCACGGGAGGAACTGCTATTAGATTGCTCCTAGATACCTATACATAATTCCACTGGTTACCTAACTTTACAGACTATCCACCTCCCTTCTACTCCCTCCTTCCGTCGCGTATGTCCATGCGTTGCCCGATCTTCCAGCCAACCCTCGGCTGTCCACGTACGATCGTCGGTGACGAGCAGTGGCTGTAGAGACAATGTCCGCGATAACCAGGTTTTTGTGGATTCAGAGTTGGCATCGCATGAAAATTCTCGATAGGCCGATCGCAGGACTGTCCATGCTGTATCGCGAGCTCTGCTCCGGAGATCGTCTAGGACGGCCAATATCGCTATCTTGGCCAATTGTTTCGAGGATTGAGCTTGAGATATAGAAAGTGCGTCGAGTCCTAGAGTATCCTTTTCCGTGTCCTCGAATATCATCGACATTGATTGCTTCTTGTAGAGTTGAGCAAATTTGGAGTAGTTTCTGGTTCTTAAAGCAGATGCTAAGGAGCGTATCCAGTTGTGGGCGTTTGATCGTCGTGGAAGGAGTTCATCCGAGATAGAGCGAAGGTGATGGTGGTACGTTGTTTGCGAAGGGTACGACGCGACGAGGTGATATAGCAGGGATAGGACGATCGTAGGGCGACACAGTGGCTTGGGACAAGTGACGGATTCGTATGTCCCGGGAACCAGATGGTTCATCACAGCCGCTATCTGCTTTGCCGAGTTGAAGATGATGGAAAGATAGAAGGATGTTTCGTAAACTGCGAGGGACTGAATCAGGTCCCGGATGACAAGTGAAAGGATCTGGAACGAACCCTCCAGAGCGAACTCGTCGCGTCGTTTTGAGGCGTAAACGCCTTCGCGGAGCTTTCCTGAGAAGTGATTAATCGGGGAAGTGTAGATAATGAAGACGGGACATACTGAACAGAATCAGAAGATTTTCCTGAGCCTCGATGCGCTGCTTGTCCGCAGACCGTATTTCCAAAGGATAGCGCTTGCTGAATCCGTCAAGCTAGACAGCCTAGGTTCACCCTGCGTACTCCGGGACATTTACTGCTAGTTCCCACCTTTCCTTGGATAAACTCTCTGTATTCTTGTTGGATATTGTAGTTCTTTAGGCTGGTGGTCGTAGGACGGGACTTTGAGATTGAGGAGCAGCTGGTTGAAGCGAAGGTAGAGACTCACTCATCTCCATCTCTTTCTAGTCCACTGCTTCGACTGACTGAGGCCATTAGCTCCATTCTTGAAGGCATTGGAGTCTTGAAGTTTCCTCTACTAAATCCACCACCGATACCACCCCGTCCTCTACCTCTTCCACGTCCTCCAGATCCTTGATGTTGGTCATCGTGAGGTCGCTGTGGATTTGAATTTCTCGTGTTGCTTTGTCCATTGTGGTAGCCTCTCGAGTTATTCCTCCAAGCATTTCCTCTTCCACGTCCACCTCTTCCACGGTCCATTTTATCGTTCGACGAGGGGCAGATGTGTATATCGCGAAGGAAAGTTGTAAAGGAGCGCGCAAAGCGGCAGGTGTATTCTGGGTGTATTTGCCAAGCCAACCGAAACCTTGGCCCTGACTTGGGACGGACGGACGGGTGGGCCGCGGGATCATCGGGCCGGTGATGAGCCGAAGGCCTCGGCTGATCTCGGCATCGCACGTTACAGCGTCTCTTCAACGACGACGACGATGATTATGCTAAATCTACAGTTTCTTTCGACGACGTACGGCCCGGGTGCCAGTTGCACACCACCATAGGCTCTTGAAGATAGAAGATGGTCAACAAGAACGCGAATGGAGCATTGGTACCCGAGAACGTGCCATTGCGCGATGGGCCCCCGACCAAGGAGGAACTGCTCGTTCATTATCCAGCTCGATTTACGTGGCAACAACTGAAGACGTTTGTTAATTCTGGGTAAGATGTTTACACTATTGGCGTCCTTTCTGTCACTCAACGGCCTGGATACAGAGATCTTGGACTCCTCAAGCGCGATCTGAAGTTGCAGGAAAGGTACGACCGATGGATGGCTGAGATAGTCAAGAAGTATGGATCTGTAGGTAAGTCCATGAATCAATTGGTTTGGGCTCACCTGACATTCTTAACGTATAGTGAACTATCTCCTAAACTACCGTCTACAATGGGGGAAACCGGACACTATCTCCCTGCTAACATCGGAAATCACTGAGGAATACTCCCCATTAAATGCCGCGACACCGACTCCTTACTTTTCGGTGAATGTCCCCGTGGATATGATATGTATTATTCAGAACGACTGGCCATACTCAGGTAAGCATCCGTGGACTTACAAACCTCGCGGATGCTGATTATGCTGCAAATTACAGTGCCGTCTGACGTAGAGCATACGGTCATTTGGACCAAGGCGCCCATCTACCACCCAGAATTGATGCACGAGACAATCAAGCCCCGTATAGACCAGGACGGTCTTTGGGGATTTACGGGAAACAGATCGCCACCACCGTCACCCTCGATGCTTCCCGCCTGCTTGCCTGCCTTGGCAGACTGGGGAATCACCCTGGATAAAATGATAACCTCTCCAAAAGGCTCGGAAGAAGAGGAAGCCCTTGTCAAGAAGGCAGGAAGTGCTGTCGCGGAATTTGTGAGGAGGAGATGGAAGGAGGATGTATGGGAGACGGCCTGGTTTGTCAATCCACCTGTACGTATTCGGTTGATCGCGATGAGAGTGTGCTGCTCATGGCTGTGACAGAGATTACAAAGTATACCCCATCTAGCGCACATTCATGTCTTTGCCCGCAAGCACTCGAATTAGCTAGTAGTTGAGTGTTTCAGTTCCGCGGAGACCATCAATAGATTAGCAGTGTCGCACTTCTTTTGGTTCGTCATCGAAGTGTATGGATGTTGCATTCAGATTCGGGCGCCCATCCAGGTCTCCACGGCGTGGTCAGAAGATTCTTCGCGGCTCTCTTGTCATTCGTTCAGAGCTGACGCGTGTATACCCCAGATTCAGAAAGAGACTGGCAGTTCACCATGTAATTTCATGTCACTTGATGATGGGTAACACGACCTGCAGATATAAAATCGTCCTTCGCGACTCCGATAACCCGTCGCTTCCTCTCTCCCTTGCCTGAACCTACCTTTTCCTGCGAAGATCATGTCTCGAGTTGCTCTTGTTACAGGTATGAAATCGTGCAGTTTTCAGAACTATCTCGGACTGACGTTTGAAATAGGCGCCAACGCTGGCATTGGCTATGAATTAGTGAAGTTACTCTCCGAGAAGGGGGTTAAGGTCTACCTAGGGGCAAGGAATCCAGCGACTGGCAAAGAAGCTGCGTATGTCCACACCCACATCTTCTTGTGTCTCCTCACTTATCGTTGGCCAGTAAGACTCTGGCGTCCGAAGGATTTTCGAACGTCCATTTCATTGAGATCGATGTCACTAAGCCCCCAACCATCGAAGCGACTAGAGACCATATCGCACAAGCCGATGGGAAACTCGATATCCTCGTCAATAACGCTGGTACGATGTTTCACGTTGAAACGCATGGTCGCGCTCTGACAGATTACATGAAGGTGTCGGGGAGTTGGATAAGCCGCAACTTGCCACCGGTTTCGATATCAATGTACTGCGGACAACCACAGAGGTCAACCTCTTCGGGCTCATCCAAACAACTACCACGCTCCTCCCTCTCCTGCAAAAGTCGCCCAACGGTGTCATCGTGAATGTATCATCGGATATGGCGTCCAACGCGACTCAAGCCGGACCCAACGCGATCTTGAACTTTGCTACGGCTTACAACGTGTCCAAGGCTGCGGCTAATGCCTATACGATTGCTTTGGCCAATCAGCTTCGAGACGATGGTTCGAAGGTCAAAGTCAATGCAGTTACCCCTGGCTATACGTCGACCAAGTTGAACGGGTTTGGGGAGGGTGGAAAGAGTGTGAAAGCAGGTGCAGAGATCTTGCTTCCTTGGGCGTTGCTTGACAAGGATGGCCCTTCTGGTGAGTTTCGCTACTTTTTTGTGCTATCGATATCAGTTCCTTAACATTCGTGTAGGCCGCTTCATCAACGAGCGTGGCGAGGAGTTCCCTTGGTAGACAATGTGTGTTTGCAACGAGAATGTCAGCATGTGCTCCGTTGCCGTTGACCACAATTGACTGAGTAATGTCATCAGTGAGATCTCGAGAGATCGTCGACAGCTCGTACCATGAGATGTTGCTTCTTTCGTGCGAGCACCTCGCATAAGTATGCTCGTACCGCTGAATCATTCTACTAGTATTGCTCGTCTCGATAAAGTGATCGTTCCCCTGTTTCACCGGAAAGTGTAAATTAGATTGTACTTGGTTTGTGCTTCAGCCCCTGTCGGTATATGAGCTTACGGTACTATAACGGAAGCAAATCGCCCAAGTGTGGCAATCAATGACGACGTTTTCCGGGTTTCACTCCGAAGAAGTCTTCTGAGACGCCTGCCGCAACTGCCATATGATGAGAGCCTTTCTCCACACGCCATAGGCAACGATGTCTTTCCCGACCTCCACCGCGAACAGCGCCAAGTACCACGCCGTCCCCGTCATAGACCATGCCCTCGTCGCACCAGACGATGATGACAGGGCTCGGAGCGATATCGAAGCCCCACCGGTGTACAAACACCCCGGGAACGTCGAGGAGCAAGATCTATTTCTCAACCGTGCGGGAAATCGACGACGTTCTGGGTCTCATCCCAGCGTCAGTCAGTTCGTTTTCCGCCTCACTGCCGTCGCCGCAGGGATCTTCGTAATGGTGACGGCTATGAGAATGGTTCTCGAGAGGTTTCCCAGCATCGAGTGTGGGAGGGCGTGGCGGGGAGAAGGCTCGACTTGGAGCTCCAAGTTGCCCACTCATTTCACACTACCTTCGGGGGATAAAATTCCCTCTGTCGCATTGGGTGCGTGGCTGTCTTACTTGCGCAGTTAACGTTCGTGTTTACCTCCTGTCAGGTGTTTGGAGAGCTGAGAAGGGGAAAGTGGGAGATGCTGTCAAGGTGTGTTGCCTCGCCTATAGCCATCTTATCTTTCTGAAAACTGCTTTCCAGGCCGCGCTTAAAACGGGCTACAGGCACATCGACGGAGCTTGGATTTACGGGGTTAGTGCAAGTCGTAGAGCACAAGATGTAGCAAACTAAACAGTATTTGTTTAGAACGAAGTGGAAGTGGGCCAGGCAATCCGGGAAAGTGGGGTTCCTCGCAAGGATATCTGGCTTACCTCCAAGCTTTGGAACACTTTCCACCGACCCGAGGACATCGAACCTGCCTTGGACGAGTCTCTCTCCCGTCTAGGAATCGACTATCTCGACCTTTACCTTATCCATTGGTGAGTGTCCAGCGATTCATTCATGGAATATTGTGTACATAGAGCTCAACTTTCGCAGGCCCGTCGCCTTCGAGAAAGATTCTGAAGAAATCAAAATCGATTGGGAACTCACCAATGACCCCTATCCCACTTGGAAGAAGTTGGAGGAGCTGGTAGAAAAGGGAAAGATAAGGAACATCGGGATCAGCAAGTGCGTGCTTTACTATCCGACACTCAGGTGTCCCGGCTGACCTTCGACACTTATTTTTACCCAGTTTCAATATCAAGCGGTAATATCCATTTCCCATGCTGAAAAGAATCGTGCATTGACCCTCTTCAACAGAATCCAAAACCTGACTGCCAACTCCCTCAAGATTCAGCCTGCCGTGAATCAGGTCGAGCTTAGCTACTGGAACCCTCAGCCAGCGTTGCTCAAGGTAGGATGGTTGCCACCCACGATGTCGCTGTATTTACGACGCCCGTCGACAGTGGGCCAAGGAAAACGGTCTTCTCCTCGAGGCTTATTCCCCACTCGGGAGCGCAGAGAAGGTCAAACAAAGTCTGGAAATCCCCGAGGTCAAAGAGATCGCGAAGAAACTAGGAATCACTCCCGCTCAGGTCTACATATCTTGGCATGTCCAGCGAGGGGTAAACTCCACATCATCCCTGAGGGGTCCTTGTTGGGCACGAATACTAACGTTCACTTCTAGACCGTGGTCCTTCCCAAGAGCGTCCACCCTCATCGTGTCGAAGAGAACTTCCATAGTAAGTTGTATAAGCTTCGAAGGTGACACCGCTCCTCACCGCCCACCTAGTTACTCGTCTTCCACAGGCAGAATTCGACCTCCTAGAAGCAGCCTCGCGAGCTCACAAGCCCGAACGATCAGTGGATCCCAGCGAGAGGTGGGGCGTAGATATCTTTGGATAAACCATCTATCGTATCTGTCTTCCTAGTAGAGATGTTGTTAAGCTGGCGTTAAACAAACTGTGTACACGACCAAAGCAAGCAAGCCCAATACAGAACCACGTCGCAATGAAATGGCAGAAGCAGAAAACAGTAGAGCCAAAGAGGTCATAAAGCATGTCGTTACAAACACTGGTCCGAATAAAAACCAATAAAGATAGTCCATGTCCAAGGGAGATGTTATGCACAACGCATTATAGCGTTAGATGAGGGTGTTCACGATTTGCCTTTGGCTTCTGGTTTCCAGGCCACGAAAACGGACATAGACCGACTGAGCTTCTGAGTGGGGTGGAGTTCAGGGCGGATAGATGGTTTCGCAAAGTGTACCGATGGTTCGAGCCTGAGCGAAAGTGGCGATACACTGGTGGCAGACGGTGGCCCACCGTTACGATTAAGCAATGTCTGAGAGTTGCTGCGTTTACGCGTCGACTTGAGCAAGTCGGAGCTGGAAGCCTCCGGTGCAGTCGGATTGCTGAACGGAGGCACAGGCCTCATTAACGAGGTGATGGAAGCCTCTTTCCGGAACCATTTTTCGTATTTTTCGCAAGCAGTATTGAAGATTTTGCGATTCTGGGATGGGGCGGATTCAATGACGGACCACTGGAGGCGTTCTCGTAATGCATGATTGATTGACGCTTGATCCTCCATGTCCCTAAAGAAGAGGCGGTGAGCTGAGAACGAAAATGGTACGACGCAGTACGACTCACATTTCAAAGTTCAGCAACAATTGGTTGAAATCTTCCCTCGACATCTCCAACACGGTTGCACGGTGATCCGAGGCTCCATGACGGTACGCGTGAGGAACATCCATCGAATGAGCTCGTCCATTCGCCCTCTTGACGGATGGGTTCTCGTGAACACTCAACTGAGTCTCCCGCACCCACTCCCACATTGTTTCAGAACAGGCCAGGATCTCTTTGGCTCGCAGCATGAGATGGAGGTTCAAAGTCCTCAGATCGATGTTGAGGGTCTTGTTGGGTATCCTTGGCTCCATGTTCGCCAGACTGGGTGGTATCCCTTTCTGAGTCGTGAAGGTTGCTTTCGGGGCCGGAGAAAGGGCATATAGACCGTAGCGCACGCCATCCAGGGAAACATAAGGCGACGAGCCCGTCATCAAGCCTTGCATGTTCAGCCACCGGTTCTCTTCTGTGAGCTCGCCGTTCTCGTCTGTCAACACACTGCGATTTGACGGGCTGAGCGACTTGCGCGATGACACCGACCGTATTGGACCAGGCTTCTTTGGTGGGAACGAGAAACCTTCATCAACCTCCACGTCCGATTCTGATGGTTTGACGGGCCGAGGAGGGAACGTGAACATGAGCGGAGGGTGTGTTCTTGTGTCTTTGGAAGGAAGATTCTTGAGTAAAGCGACATGGCTACTAGCGACATAATCTTACCTTTGAAATGGTACTCGAGGTAGGTTGCCAGTAGCGCGATTGGAGACGTATTAATGAACCTCGATGAGAGGGTTTCATTGTAAATGTACTCCAGTAATGAGTGGTCTCGCGGATTATTCGGAGCTTTGGCCGGGGTTCGCAGCAAGAACGGCGGGATTTTAGGAGTTTCGGGTATCTGACTGTCAGGCGTATGGTGAGGACCATGGCCCGCATGACCGCTGTATGTCGAGTTATTACATGAAGCGAGGTTCGTGGACGATCTTCGTCGACGGAACAATAGATTAGCTTGGTTGTCTGAATCGGAATGGGAATGGTTGGTTAAAGAATTGAGGAGGGAGACAGCAGAGTTGGTAAATGTCGATGACGGTTTCGGTGGACTCGTGCTGGGGAACTGGTGATTGTAGGGGCCAGATTGGGGTTTCACATAGAGCAATGGTCGTGCCGTAGAGCGGGAATGCGGCGGGATAAGAGTAATGTAACCTTTCGGCGAACCGGGAGGAGTGGTAGAAACTTCGCTCCTGATATCGTTCTTGTCATCAGGAACACCATCCTTGGATAGGTTGGTAATGATCTGAAGCTTTGGAGAGCCAGGGCGTGAAGAAGGTCGCGGGAAAGCCGACATCGGGGTAGGGGTCGCCAGGGACAGACTGTCCGCATTTGGTGAGGTGGGTTGCAACCAGCCCTCCTCCGACCCATCTGCTTCCTGAATGACGGCAGGAACCTCACGATCTCGTCGCCCGTTTGTAGACGCAATTGAACTGCTCCGTGAGAGTGCTGACCCCATGTCCGTCTCATCGTCGTCGTGCTCCACAGGTTTTCCAGGAAAGAACAGGTCTTCCTCCACCATCTGCAACAAGGTTAAACGCTCATAGACAGAGAGAGACAATATCAACCACCTACCTCTAGAGCACCTCCAGGCTTCATGACACGCGAGATCTCATCAAATAATGCATCCCACTAATTGAGTTGTTAATCCCGATGCCGTGTACCAATTGGGATGGAAAGAATACGGACCTTGTCTTCTGGTACACCAAGAGCTATCCGTTTGATATGGCTGCAAGAGCGGTCAATATACCTCCGTGATCTCGGAAAAACCCAATTGCTTACACAAAGTCGAATTCATCATTGGGGAAGGGAAGACCGTCCAAACTATAAATCCGTCAGTGACCACAGAAATTGGTGAGTATAGCAGGCGACGCACAAATTCGCCTGTACCCATGTGATTCTCGAAGCAAAATCCGAGGAGCCAACTCGCTGAAGGTCAGGATGTAGGGGTACGATGTCCAAACCTGACAGGCAACCATGTAAGCCCAGGGTGATGACGACAATACAGAAAGATCACGAACCAACAAATTGCGTTTCCTGAAAGCGGAAATGTGTCAGAATCCACGCGGTGTTCTGGGTTTAGGGCGAGCGACATACCCTCCACTGACGGGCACAATTCAGAATCCAAGTTCCGCTCCCTATGTGAGACGTGAGTGGCTATTCTCAGAGTCTGATGGAAGGTATGCAGCATTACCGCATCCAATGTCAAGCCTAAATTTAGCGTAGGAGTATGGGTGGATGTTCAAGACGGAGAGAAGGTTGTATACTTACACCCTAAGTGGAGGTTCCTCGAATACATGCCACGTTAAGCTTTCGCAGATGTCTTGACAAAATAGTGTTTCCCAGACATCTCTGAGAAATCGTGAGCGACACCCCTGAAGCTAGCAAAAATAGACACTCACAGGTCGATGACCTCGCGCTCGTAACTCCGTGGATATGGCACGTCCTTCGTAGTATATGGGTGATGTTTCTTTCCTGGGCTGATGGTTCCATCTACAAGATGGACCCCTACACCTTTCATTACGAACTGAGCATCTCGCGCGTGGAGATTGCGCTTCAGCTCTTCGAGAATAGTTCTATCTGCCGTTGAGAATTTGGTATTAGAACTCGTCGTTTCGCCTTCATCCCGACTTTGTGTTTGGGATCCTGTGCCTATTCCATGCCAGTAGACGTCTGATGATGACACTGCCGCCGTTGATGATATTGACTTTGCCGTTTTGGGTGTCGCTACTTCATATCCTGGTCCATTGACAAGGCTCTGGGACGAGGGTGCCCGTGTCTGGACTTTAGGGGGCGTCGGATGGCTGTTGGAACGTGATTTGGAGGGGCGGCTACCCGTGCTCTTCCGTCGTCGAATAAGGGCAAAGTCGCTCAGAGTCTTTGTGGATGAAGTTGAAACCCGTGTCTGCGAAGGAAGCGTTGAGTACAGTTGCATGGCGGGGGACGGGAAAACGTCGAGACCCCAACGCTTCACAGGGTTATATAGAAGGTTACCATCTACTTACCGAGTGAACACCGTTCTTCAGGGTTGTGCTTCCACCATTGATGACCGGAAGAGGGGGAGCTGGGTACAACTCCCAGGGCATTACTTCTTCTAATTGAGCTTTCGTCATTGTCAACGAGTTGCGATGACTGGTGCTGGAGGAAGGTTCATTCACGGCATCCTTTTCATTGACAACGTCTTCGGGGGTGGCCTCCAATTCCCATGGAGTGACTTCCTCTGCGGGGCCTGTCGCGGTAGACAAGCGATAGGAACCGCTAGTCGGTTCGCTAAGCAGCGATGCGGGGTGTGAACGGGAAGGGCTGAAAACTGGCGGTAGAGAAGGGGTGTCGCCCCTCGCACTGGTAGGGCTGGCAGCTGACTGAGGTTCTGGCTGAAGTTCCCAAGGGGTCACATCTTCGACGAGTCCCGTTGCCTTGCTGGGGTGGAATGATTTCGGTGGTGGTGGTGGGCCCGGATGTGATTGACCTGTCAAGATTGGCGACGGGATGGCCCTGGGTGACGGTAGGCTAACTGGGACTGTCCCGACTGGGTAAAGCTCCCAAGGCGCAACATCCTCGATGGGTCCTGTCGCCAATCCTGTCGACGACGCCTTGGACTTTACCGACGGAGCCGCCGATCGCATTCGACTGCTGGACTCGGGTCCAGGTTGGAACTCCCATGGTGTCACTTCGTCCCGTGTGCTCGTCGCTGTTGACGGTCTACTTTTCGACTTGGGTTTCTGTGGGCGCACGGGGGCGGCTTCGGAGATCATGGTACTTGTTCGTGCGGGATTTCGTGGCGGTCTATGTGGAGGTAGCTCTGGGATTGGCGATGTCGAGCGTTCTGGCCTGTTGATGTAGGTTGAGTGACGTTTCCTCAGGACGGGCTTTGTCGCTGAGGGCGCTATTGGTGACTCTGGTGGTGGCGGCGAGGGTGTATAGGGAGTTGCATATGATCGAATAAGCTCTGGTGGTCGTGGCAGGGGCGCCGTTGGTGGCTGTCGGAGCTCAGCGAGAAGGTCTGATTTGGGGGGCATGGCGTCGGTATAGGGGGTCGCGTAAAGGATTCCGACGTCGTTTATCGGGCGAAAAATTGATGCGGCTGCAAACTTGTGCCCAACGTCGCGGTTTTGGTGGCGGTCTCTTGGTTAGAGAAAGCAAGAAGCTTGGTAGACAGCCAGGAGTTTGATGCCTCCGGAAGACAAGGACCAGAATGGGGCCGAAATGCAGGGGTAGAGCGGTCCTGGCCTCGTCGATGATGAGCTCGACTATGGCAACAACCTGGGCGGCGAGAACACACAACCGAGCATCTGAGAACGTCCTCGTTGCCCTTGTGAAAAAATCAAATTCAAAACCACAAAAGTATTCTCCAACATCAATCTGGGGCAGGACCGATCAGCATCCCTTTGATTCTCTGTTCTCGGCTTGCTCCCACACAAATCTTATCCAGATTTTTACAGGATTCAAATCCTTCCCTTCAACCCCAATGTAGCCTCCCAGGCGAATCTATACACGCCTCTACATCCTTGAGTTAGGAACGAAGAAACGGTCCGCCCATCCGGCATCCGAACCTCGGCGAGGTATTGCCCCCCCCCCCGTTATTTTCATTGTTTGTACATACTTTCCTTTTCCTCCAACTCACCCTTGTTCAATTGCTCTCTTTACTTGGTGTCACAGCATACAGGTCCTTGCCGTCAGTTATCTAACGGCATAGCCCCAAGATAAGCGTACAATCCAACCAAGAATGGGGCGACAGCGAATGCAGCGGACTCCGAGCTCGAAGCCCAAGAAAACTCCTTATTATTGTGCCTGAAAAACACATACAGGTACACTCTCCAATCCCGCGCTGCAACCAGGGATACAGTCAATGGTCACGCTCTTCTGTAGTGCCTCTGCTCGTCCGGCGACCAATGCGAGCGTCTATGAATCCGGTTCAGTGATCTCCACTCCGTCCCTATCGCACCGCAACACATTCTGCCAAACTTGCGGAATCCCGTCCTCCTCACATCCAACTTGCATTCCGTTGTCTTTCAAGGTATAATACTCTCTCGACTGCGTGTGAACGATTGCAAGCGCAGGATGGAGTGCTATTCCCTTCGCTGTCGTGAAATGAACACTTTCAACCTGGTGGCATCTACCGGGTTTCAGTCGGCATCCTGGCACTCAATAAAGGCTAGCTTACTCGGGCAAGTACAGATGGGGCATTGTAGGCTTGGTGGTTCGGTGCTGTCTGTTCGGCTGTTCAGAGAGTGTCTTCGCTGGCATTCCCTTGAATTCGTGCTCCATTTCCGTGGAGGTCATTGCCCTGCCACTTATGCTGGATACGAATGTTCAATCCGTGATCTAAAGCCGGAATTAGACGATAGGTCCACACACCTATTTCCGACCACGCAGGCCATGGTATACCGTTCCGCTACATCACGCTTATAAGCGCCCAGTACCCCTTCCCCCTCGATCCGCCTGAGCCACGATTTGCTAATCCCTCGCAGGTACTCTTCGTGGTTTGGCCACCGCATGAAATCATTCAATCTCTTCGTCGACGGAATAGGATCTACGTTTGGTCGCCGCAGCCGCGTTAAAGCTGCTGCTTCCATCCTGAATGCGATATAGGCTGACCAATCTGCTCTGGGCGCAAATTGTTGGTCCCATTCGTTTCCAGCTTCCTTTTCCTTCCCTTGCTTTGACGCGTTGACGAGACCTACAACCTCGCAGGTAGACTCCAAGACATAGAAGTATCGAGTTCCAGTGAAAGACTTGACGCCAATCATCCAGATCTCGTCTGTAACTACCTCCTCGGCAAAAACGATGCTCTGTGACATAAAAGATGCCTCTGGATCATAGTGGACCGAGATGTGGAAGTATAGCAGAGTCATCAAGAACCTGATCCGAACGATGAGAAGGTCTTCGAATTAAAACTGAGAAGTGGCGGAGAAACGCACCGAATTGCGATCGTCAGTTGCTTCGGGTGATTCGGGCTAGCCCAGAGACCAGGGCTGATGATATTTCTAGAGGAGGCAAAAAAGCGACCAAGGAAAGAGCGATCATATAGTTCTCGTCGGCGCTGACGTTCAGCGATTCGTTGTCGGAGATAGGGCCAATAATTCATCAAACTAGGTGAATAATTGCTGAAAACCTTGTCCAGGCGTTTTCCAGAAAAGTATCTTGCAAGTCTATGCGTTGCTGAGGAATACACTGGCTTACCTATCAGTCCCCACTTAAAGAACGCTGTGGAAGAATGATGATGACACACCTGAATAGCGATAGAGGCGCGAAAGTGTTGCAAGTGACCATACAGTGTTGTCATCCAAGAAGCTCAGTACCAGCGATAACCGGTGGACATTCTTTCGTTGCGCTATTGTCGGAGGCATGTTGATAGGCCGGAAGTCAGGAAGGTATTGAGCCGCAGAGAACTCCAGGTAAGCCCAAGGAAGAAGCCATTCACTTGACCACCGAGGAGCCGATGTACGTAGAGCCGCAGACAAAAGAGCAGGTGGATATCGAGAAGCTATTACACGCGGAGGTCCTTGGCCATTTGGAATGAGAGGGGCAAAGCGTCGAGTTGACTTAAGCACAGAGTTCGATGCGGAACGTTGGCGATCCGCGTTTCCGTTCCTGTCACCAAGAAGAGGGGCACTGCCTAGGTTCGGACGTCGACCAGGTGCATTCGAGTCCAGCCGCGTTTGAACTGGAGAGGTCTGTCCAGAGGAGACAAGGTGGCGGGGAATGTGACCAAGTAACGCGTTCGCCAGATTGTTCACGGGCAGTAGGTTTCGAGGAAACTTGCGTTTGGTTTTGTTCTCCGGATCGTGCTCGCGATCGCGTTTCCTGGCAAGCGAGGGTGCTGGGTTTGGATTCGTCCATGAGGTTACTGGAACGAGACTACCAACGCGCGGGGGTCGCGTCTGCTCATTCTGAAGTTGACTGGTAATAGAGGCTTCGTGGCTTGGTCGCGTCTGCTGGGGGCTGGGTGGCTCATCGGTCACTGGGGCGGCCTCTCCCGGCTGTTCAGGACGGGTTTGAAGAGTTTCGTTGGGCTGTCTATCTGAGGAAGGACCTGGCTGCCTTTCGAGAAACGTCGAAGCACCAGGTGCGCTAACAGTTGGGTTCGCCTCGCTCAGTATCGAATGTTCATCTGGTTCGGACATGGTACACGGCGTGCTCGTCGCATCATCCGTCGCGTCCACCAAACGCGTCGTCGTTGAGCCACTCGCAACAGAGGACGCGACATCCGCACCCTGGACTCGGCCCTTTTGCTTTACGGTCGTCCGGGTCGACGACGAGCTCGCTTGCATCGCAGATGAATCTACACCAAGCTTTTGAAGAAGCGCTAGCTTGTTGAGCTTGGAAAAGCCAGTGATTTTCCTGTCTTTGCATAGCGCTTTCAGCTGTGGAATCGTCAATTTAGTTAGGTCATCGGTCGATCCCATTGTTTGAGTAAGGCGATGAAGTGGGGATTTTGAGGTGGTTGTGGTCGAAAGAGGGAGTACTTAAGTAGCCAACACGGAAGTCTCCATCAATTGGAATCTGATGCCGAGCAAAATATGCGCATATAATTACAACTTGAGCTTGATTATGGTGCGTTTACTGTAACGTGTGCCCAAAGACCTGTGAATGATTCAAACTAATGCGAGAAACGATGCAAAGCATAATCCACAGCAATGCAGTTAAAAGAAACTGAAAACAATATGTGGGTGATAAAGAGAGCACGGAACATTAGCGTAACCTTTGTGCTCGTGTCGTGACTGTTGAAGGAACTGGTGCCGATTTCTTCTTGGTTGGAGCAACAACGACCGATTCGATTATATCGTCATCGGAATCGTCCTTGAAATCCTGAGCCTTGGGATCCGGCCTCTCTTTCTTGAGTTTCTGCCACTCCTGAGAGAGCTTCCGGATCTCCTGTTGCAGTTGCTGCCGCATTTCTGGCACCTTGTGATCGTGCCAGTCTTCCTGCCTCTGGGCATTTGACGTCGTCCTGTCGTTCGTCTACACACCTGGTAAGAGGGCCGATAACAACTGGGGGGATGGAAAGAACACGTACGCAGCATTTCTCAAGATAGAACTGAGGATTGGATACAAATGTTTGGGCGAGGTGTAGGAGGTACAACCCGCAGTCGCAGTAGTTTGGCTGCGTCGGAACCTTGAAAAGTGAACGCGCGGATGAGTTCAACAGGGACCATGGACGGTGGGCAGGGGACTTACGTAGGCTTGCCGACGTTGAATTACTTTGACCTCGGTTTCGATGCCCTTCTTGTCTTTAGCCTCGAGTTTGAGATACTTTGCCAGTTGGTTACTCGCATGCGTATGTGGTGTCCCCAGCGAGTCAAGGGTGAAGACGTACGTCCTGGACTTGCGTCAGTACAGCCATCAACCCCAGTCGAGTCGAATCACCCACGTATTGGGCAATGGACCTGTGACGACCGCAGGGACATCACTCTTACGACCAACCCGACGTTTCTTCGGCACGGGCCTCTTCTTCCCGTACTGTTTCGCGGAAGATTTCCCGTAGAACGAGCCTGGTGAGATTCCCGATGGTCCAATGTTGAGATCATCTGCCTCAACCTCAACATCGTCGTTAACCTCTGTAACAGGGTGAGAGTCCGTTGTTGTGGACATCGGCGGGGATGGGTTGCGAGACGTCTCCACTATTTCAGGTGAAGGCGATACTCTCATTGGAGACGGTAGGCGAGATGCTCCAGGCTTGGAAGCATCGTTCATAATCTCATCGGGGTCTGCGTAGCTGAGCGTGGGCGATGGTGGAGGCTTGCCGGGTGAAGCATCAACATCCATGACTCGAGGCGCTTCAGCTTTGACTTCCGACGGATCTTGAATTGAGCAGGCTTGGGTTAAGTTAGCAGTGAGATCTTCTTCTACCTCAGCTTCACTACCTCTGACAGATGCAACTTCCACGTCGTCCCCTCGAGGACCGGCCGTCTTCTCTTCCTCCCTGGGTACTTCATCCTCTTGCTTAGACGTCGATGAAGCTGGCGGGGGCGGTCGCAGTACATGTTCCGGTTCAAATATGAGGGCCAAATACCAATGCATGCTAAAAGAAAATACTTAGTGCGGTGCATCGTACAAGACACCAGAAGACTTACTGTTCGTTGATGGGGACTATGACATATTTCTTCTTGAAAAGGTCGAACTTTGAAGTCCACTTCCGAACGCTGTTATAACCTTCCTCGATGCTACAGACATAAGGACCGAAGAACACCAATAATTGGAGAAAGCCCACTTTTTCTTGTTCAACTTCTTGTAAAAGAATGAACTGAAGACATGAACTTGCTCTGCGAGCGCTGGATCCGTTTCCTGCAGGCGTTGAAGCCACAGCCTTCACGATTGGTATTAGAAAGACTACTCAAAAGAGAGATGACCGACTTACTTCAGTCCAAACTCTATCAGCGTGTCGTTCAAGAATTCTCCGGGTTCCAGACGTGCCAAGTCTGCGTTTGTGATGTTCACCGCACCAGGGGCACTAAAAGGATAGACCAAAACCCTGTGATGATATTCAGAAAATCGATCTCCAGAAAAAGGCATGTCGCAAGCATACACTTCATCTGGATCCTCTTGGGCTCTGGACGCCGCGGCCTGTCTGGAAGACCGCCGCAAAGTTTGTTCAGCTGCGAGTTGTTCCGTGGCAGACAGCCTTGGAGGGCCGACAACGGCGGTGTTCTGTATGGCCTTCCCAGTGCTTGCCTTCGGTCTCGGGTAGGGTGGCTCAACAAGATGCCCTGAATGAGGGAGATCTGGGGGACGTCCAGAGGGACCGACACTCGCAGTTGATGCCTTCGTGGAGGGTTTCATCCTGTTTACTGGTATTGTCTTGTAATGCTGCACTAGGTTATTAGCAGACATAGGGCTTGGGGAGAAGTCAGGCTTGGATGAGAGAACGAGGCCACGAGTCAACTCACCTGATGGAACTTTGATCAGCCTTTGATTTGAACAGGAATTTCTTGAACGTCCTGTAACTGTCGACACTCCACTCGTCGTCAGCATCATCAAATATCAAACAGTCATCTACGGGGAGGATAAGGCTGTCGAAGTAATGGAAGAAACGACATGGGGCTTACCATTGACTATAATGATGGCCCCCGTAGGTTTGGCCGCTGTTGCAGCGTCGTCAAGACTGACATACTGGACAGAAATTTAATGATATTGGGACAAACAGAATCATTAGATAGGTCCTTACTCGGATTGTTTTGATCTGGTCGAGAGCGAGGTCATATAGAAGAAGGTTGTTGGAAAGCGAGGACAAGGAGAATTTCTGTGTCTTGTCGTCCCAAAAAAGTCGGCAAGGTATGTCCCTATAACCCTCGTCCTCGGCGCAGAATGCTTTGACAGGAAGGAAGTCCGGCGCTTTCTTCCTTTTGCCATTTTCCTGTGTGCGCTTCTCCTCCCTCTTGACAAAAGGATTCTTACCAGAAGGCATTGGCTACAACGGACCGTGAGCAACAGATGGGTGTCATAAACTGACGAACCCACCGGAGGCCGTTTGGATCTCATGGTATCATTGAAGTCCGGGCGAGGTTGGGCCTTGCGGGCCATATTTTCGAAGACTTGAACTTTCTCCTTCACATTGCCTGTCTGTTGTTTACGCTTCGAGGGCTGGGGAGAGGGGGGGTCTTCAATGGGATCGTCTTCTATTTCTTCAACCTCATTTATCAAGGAGACTGTGGCTGGACCGTCCTGGGCAATATGAAATTTTGGTGGTTTCTTAGGGGGATTGGGGCGGGGTGTGTACGGCTCATCGAGAGATGAGAACTGGGAAGACTGGGGGACTATATTCAGATCATCCTCTGACACGTATATGACCTCTGGAGAGGAATCTGGTCCTAGTCAAAACAGGACGCAAGGCGGTACTCTTAATTAACTCACTGGACTGGGTGTTGTCACTCCTCCGCCTTTTCGCGGGCCTTTCTGCCCCCGAGAGACCGTAGTCTGAGTCCGTGTTACGAGAGCCTGAAGTCTTCATCTGGCTTTGCAACTTTGGCGGCCGGGAAGTCGAAGGGTTCGAATGTGTGGCTTTCTTCGACGCGTTGGGCTTGACAAAACCGACATTGGCAAACGGGTTAGTTCCATATCCCTCTCTCTGCCAATAGATTAGGATACTTCAATGTTGGAAGACGAAGGTTCTGTCACCTTTACTTTGGACGGCCCTGGTATCTTTCCCGGGACCTCAATACGGGTTGGCGGTTTCGTGAATGATCTAAATACGCAGTCAATCCTCTAGGAGAATCGTAGAAATCCAGAACCGTGCTAACTTGGTTTGCTGAAGTCCATGTAGACGAGATATTGGTTCGCGGTCTTTCTGCGTCGCATTCATTCAAGCTGACGTTGAGAGCAAAGTTGGACGCGTTGTGGTTCTGGACAACATGCACACCGTCGCTCAAGACTCAAGCGTCACTCGAGTCCAGTGATGAGCTCTGATCCCGCCGCCGCGGTGCGAGCGCCGAGCTCCGAAATGCGGCTCTTTTTCTTCTTCGACCACGACGAAATGTGCGAACCGATTGCCTCCCTGGAATCTGAGACTGCTTGTAGGCTGGTCTCAAACACATTGGCTCCACAGGCAGACGACAGATTTGTGCAGCGCAGATGATAGCTCAACGCAGTTCATTCAATGCCGTCAATCCTGTCCAAGGTTCTTCGCGGAAGCCTGCTTCATAGCGGAAACAAGGCATCGCCAGGTGACTCTGAGGGTTCGACTGTGGATAGAAGCCAACCCGCTCAAGATCCTTCACTGCATACGACCGACTCAAGCGACACTTCGAGCATTTCCAGCTCTGGTTCTGCCGCCAACGACCAGGTTCCTCACGCGTCGCTTTACAAAGATGCTGAAGCATACGAGCAAGTGTTGAAGAAGACAGGCTGTCTTGACTCCGACTCGTGTTGCAGACATGACGAGAGAGAGCACTGCGGTTTTGACCATCTCATTCGCAAGGATCTGACTTCTGAAGAAAAGGTTTTGGTCTCCCATGACGCCAGGTTTAGGGCAATGATGAACCCACCAAAGTGGTTTGACGACCCCTCTTCGACATCCCAATCCACATCGCCCACGAGTTCTATTCCTCATGAACCCCAAATTCGACGGCCGCCGGGTTGTGAGGAACAGTTGTCAGGGCTGAGTGCGGGCGAGGTGGTCGACATCTTGATCACAGAGTTTGGACCTCTCGCACACCCCGGGGAGGAAAAGCTCTTGCTTGAAGTGGACGGATGCATAGTCATAGATGTTTCTGTTATTGTGCGTCTCATCATCCACACTCGACCCTCGCCTTCGAGCTCACTGTACATCGTGCGAACTAGGGAGTCATACATTTAACTACCCATCGGCTCACATTCCATGCTTCATTGCTTGCCAGCAACCCAGAGGTCGGGCAGTCGATCCTCAAGAACGGTCCTGCAACCTACCACAGGTCTGGATGGCATTCCAAACGTCGGATATGGCTGGAGCTTGACAATCGCATGCTTTGTGCGTACACGTCCAGCAGGGACGCCGACAGGGTGCGACCTTTGTGCACCGTGCTTCGTATGTCGCTCACAGGCTCTCTCTCTGTGTGTGTACAGTGTTGTTAATTCGTTCGATGCAGTCAGTTCCATCAAGGAGATAATGCCAGTGGACCGAAAACATCCTCGCACCATGCGAATCATTCGCACTACGACGAAAAGCCACGCCCACGACTACTTGGAGTTTGACACCCTCGAATCTTCCAACCAGTGGAGACAAGAAATTCAAGGAGCTCTGTTTCTTTCTCGATATGAGCAGAAGCATCTATATGACACTGGAGACCCTGACCAGCCCCGAGGTATCACCATAAGTGTGCCATTACTGCGCATTCAAAGCCTTGAGCGGAGAGTCATGGCCGACTTTCCAAACATCGTTGCGGTGAAAATCTCTCCTGGGTCCGACAGCAATACCATGGTTCAACAATGTGGCGAGATACAGAGGCTCCGAATAGGCCCAATCGCGCCAGTGTCGATGTGGAATAATCTTGAAGGAGTTATCTGCGACGCGAAGTACCGGGCCAGCGCCAACAACCAGAACCTAGCATTTGAACTGCCTATCTTTGTCGACTTCGGCCCTCTTTCCTTTTTCAAACGAAGTGCCGAGAATGACACCGACGAAACGGTTCAGAACAGTACAGTCAAACGCGTCCTTGGTTTCGAACAGGATGAACCAACCTGGAGTGTGTTTCTCTGCAGTCTAAGGAGGTGTTTCGATTGCTTACCCAGTACCCAGTCGTCCCTGCCCGCAACTACGGCTCCTTCTCACCCGGAGGATACTTCGTCGTTTCCGATACCCACGTTGGGTTCTGGAGCAAGAACTTGGCAAAACGCGACATTAAGTATCGGTTCCCTGGCACGCACATTCTCGATGTTCAAGTATCTCGCTCAAATCAGCTTTTCTCTCTACACGCTGTTTCTTTGATACTTCGGGACAAGAAAGAACTCAAGCTCATCTTCAGGAGCTCTGCCTTTCGAGATGAGGCTATCTCTCGAATAAAGAGTGTCATTGCTCTTGGCTGCGAACGACGGTCATCTGCACTTTCGACCACTTCGACCGTCGTTCAACCCATTTCGACGCCGACAGATTCCGCTACATCGCTTGCCCCCGGTCACAATGGCGAACCCGTACCAAAGTCGCCGAACATTGCCATAAACATCTTATCCCCTATGGCGCGCACGGTCAATGCTGCAGCCCATGCTCGAGAAGAGTTATCCCAGGACGTGCGAAATCGGCTCCCCAAAGCGATCAACCTTCCCACCCAGGCTTTACTCTCCGCAAAACACTTCCATTTTGTGTGTCTCACTATTGGTTCGAGAGGAGACGTCCAGCCATATATAGCCCTCGGCATAGGTCTCCTTAAAGAAGGCCATCGAGTTACTATCGTCACGCACGAAGAGTATCGTGAATGGATCCACGAGTACGGCCTCGGTCACCGGACTGCCGGAGGGGATCCAGGGCAACTCATGAAGCTCAGTGTCGAGAACAAGGTCGCTTATCTCTGACTGTTCTACGCTTCCGGTGCTGACTTACGGAGATCTAGATTATGTCACCGGAGTTTTTCAAAAAGTCCTTATCAAAGGTGAGTAAGCTGGTAAGCTATAGCTTTTCCTATACACTCCCTGACTTGGTTGCAGTTCCGACCTTGGCTCGACCAACGTACGTGGAAGCGAGCATGCTACTTACGCACTGAATTCCGCCTGACTCCATGTCACCTACAGTTCTGAAAGATTCCTGGGACGCATGTCAAGACGCAGATGTACTTAACGAAAGCCCATCGGCCATGGCTGGAGTCCATATCTCGGAAGCTCTAGGTGAGCAGTCAGTGGCCAGTGGACTGTATAGCACATCGAATTTACCGAGCGCCCGTAGCGATTCCCTACTTCAGATCCTTCTCGATGCCTTGGACCAAGACGACAGAATTCCCTCATCCTTTCCTCAGCCCCCCGGTGGAATCGCCAGCATTTAACAGTGGCTCGTTCGTCGCATTGCACCTTCTGTCGTTCCATACGCTGAACTCAGCAATAGGTACATTCTCTTTAGGTGAGGCGACCTCGATCGCAAGGTGCTCTGCGCTCAACCGGCTGCGTATGTTGTAGCAATGTCATGTGGGCAGCCACATCTAGCCAAATTAATAGATGGAGGCAAAAGACTTTGCACCTCCCAAGGACCGACATGGGCCACCTCGCTCAAGCGAAGATCATCTTTATTTACTTCTTTTCACAGGTGACTGCTCATTTTTGCATCACAAGACCTTGTCTATTGACGTATCAATTTCAAGTCGGTGGTCCCCAAGCCACTGGATTGGCCGGATACTGTTTCGTTGTCGGGATAGTGCGTCCAAACCGCTTGAACGCCTTTCGTTCTGTATGGCTTACGATGGCCAACAGTTGGTTTCTCAAAGACTCCGACCCAGGCTGGGAAGCGCCCCAAGGCCTTATTGACTGGATGGCGCAAGCTCGGGCTGATGGAAAACCCATCGTCTACATCGGTTTTGGAAGTGTTACCGTTCCCCACCCCAATAAGATGTTGAATCGGCTTATCTCGGGTGTACAGAAAAGTAAGTTCGGCCGCTATACTAGAAGACAACGCAGCTTATGAAATCGATAACCAGGTGGTGTACGTGCCATCATCAGTAGGGGATGGTCCCACCGGATGGACAGCAGTGGCGGCGACGTTATGCCTGTTATACCTCCCGAATGCTTCCTCCTCGAGAAGGTCCCCCATGACTGGCTATTCACTTCCATCGACGCGGCGATGCATCATGGTGGAGCGGGTACCACTGCGGCGAGCATTCGCGCTGGGATCCCCACCTTGATCAAGCCATGGTTTGGCGACCAATTTTTTTGGGCTTCAAGAGTCGAGAGGCTGGGTGTAAGCACTCATTCATTCCTTGCAGAATTATTCTCATCTGTTGTAACTCCAGATCGGTCTCAAGGTCAACAGCCTGAAGACAAGTGTCCTCTCAGCCGCTTTGATTCGGGCAACTACCGATATGTAAGTTTCCCGCCCTCCTATCTCTTGCTGAGCAGTGGCTTATTCCCCCCTTTAAGTGACGTGCGAGAGAGGGCAATGCTAATTGGGGAGAAAATTCGCTCCGTATGTGACTCCCCTTCCCTTCTTCCTTCTTTTCTTCTTGCAACTTTACTAACCACAGCCTATGCAATGGAACAGGAGGATGGTGTTCATAACGCCATCTACACCATCTATACGTATCTGCACCACGCTTCGCAGGATAGAAAATCTTTGGATCTGGCAAAGATATGATGCGACATTCATGTTCTTATTCTTCTATCGAGAAAACTCCAATATTACTTGTTATCCTAGTCTACGCCGCCTTTGATCTCCATACTATATGGTCCTTGATTAGGTTCCCGACTCGGGCGAGACCAGGTCCAAGTGGACCTTGTGGACCTCGCGGTTTCTGAGTGCGGCAATCGCGAGGAACTTAACCACTATCCAGCACGGTCGATGGTTTAGTGGATGGTTTAACGAGACACAGAGGAATGGCATTCCGAATCCATGACCTATGGTCAATAGCTGCCCGGCGATCCAACGTGACCATGGATCTCGGCACGTGTGTCTTGGTGATCAGCTTCCCGCCAATTCGGTAACAGTCCATTGTTTCTTTCGACCCGCCTCCCTTCCCCAGGCCCAACCCCGTAGCTTAGGATCTAGAAATGGCGCCGGAAACTCAAGGAGACGCTTTTCCTGTCTTCGAGGTAGAGGTCAAACGCGCGTCTGATCCCCTTGAAACGCACTGACCCGTTTGACCAGGGTTATGAGATACTCGCCCGACTAAAATCAGGTGAATTTCGCGGGTTGGCTAAACGCGGGCGTTTAAAGGGTAGACATGTAGTTATTAAGAAGGTAGGATCGTTTTTGTACTGGGCGGGTTGGCGACTGAAGGTATGTTCAGGTGGCCGGCAGCGTGAAAGCGGCGGACAGCGAGACGCTGTTGCGAACCCTGTCGATTCATCAATCACTGCACCACCCTAACGTTGTGGCTTCTCTGGCTTCCTTCTGCCAGGATGACGAGGCGTATCATGTACTCGAGCTTTGCTCTGGCGGGAACTTGGAAAACTATCTGTCCCAGACACAGCACGCTCTCGCTACACATCAATTTCGACTGCTTCTGCAAGGCACTGCAAACGCGCTCGTGTACCTCCAGGGACAAGGTATTCTGCATCGAAACATTCAACCAAGCTCAATATATGTGGCCGAAGATGACAGATTTGTACGTTCTGCCTATTGAAGTCAGTATAATGGGTCTGTATTCGACCGCTTCTCTTTAGAAGCTGGGAAATTTCCAGTACGCTGTCCGAGTCCAGGATTCCTCGGAAACAGAGCTTCCTCCACATAATCTTTACACACCACCGTAGGTTTTAGAATTCCTCGATTAGACCCGGTGCTTATTAACCGCAGGGAGGTCGAGGCAAATAAGCGTTATACCTATGCTGCTGACGTTTGGTCACTTGGTCGAGTTTTGTTGTTTGCATCGTCTAGGCAGGTCCATTCAAAGGTGCGCATTTACAACAGACCTGCTTTCACCTATTACCTGACACATGTGTAGGAAGCGGCCTTGTGCACCGTAAACTCGGATTGGTCGGACCTTTTGGAAACCGTGGAGGCTCCATCTCTCATCTCTGGTATGCTGAAAGAGGTATGCTCGAACAGCCTAATACAAGCTCTGTTCTCACGCAGCTTTAGTCGCCTTCTGAAAGGCTGACGGCCCTGCAGATTCAGGAGTACAGTTGGTCTTGGAAAGTCATGGGAATCTTGGATCGTAGCTTGGAGTCAGCCTTGGACCAGTCGAAGCCTGCGCTGAACTGTGATTCCCAGCTCGAGAAACTTCTCGGCTCTGTAAGCGACCTAGAATTATCGGACCTTCAGGTCAGGGAGGCGACATTATCGAAGAGACTCCCGACTGAATTGGCCAGGTATCGGACATTCCGTGAAGCGTACCGTGTTCAGCGCTACGCCTCGGACCCTTTTCCTATGACGACGCCATCCCGGTCTAGAGAGTCAAGGCGACGCACCGTCTCAGAGCAGCTTGACTTAACCCCAGCACAGGTTAATGATGCCTTTCTGTGTGATGAAACTGGCGACGATCCATTGGCATCAAGCGGGGAACTCAACTTCTCTTTTTCCACGGGTGACTCCTGTGAATCTTCCTCCGACGAGTCAATTGACGGCGCCCTTCAGGACTATCCCCCTTCACAAAACGACCTCCATATTTCTCTACAGAATAATGGACAGTCAGCGGGCGAGCTGCTGCTCTGGTCACCCGATTTCGTCCCGTCGATTCTCACCCCCAAAATATATCCTTTTTCGGCGGGCACAATACAGATCCTCCAATCAAGGTACCTTCTCATAGAAGGGCGCTCGGGTCATCATCGACCCCTTCTCGTTGATCCAACCGGCACCTTCGTAAGTCCATTCCATGGTGTACGGTGCCCCCAAGGTCTTACTGTTCTTGTCAGGTGAAAGTTCTGGATCTAGATTATTCTCCGGCGGACATAGACAATCACGACCTCGAAATTGAGCGCACAGCCGCGAATACAATCTCCAACCTTCCGGGAGTTCTTGTGGCACAGTACGAAGCAGCCAGGACGTATCTGGAAGAACTAAAAAGTCGAACACCAATGGTACGTTATGCCGATCATGGTATCGCAGCTTGAATAATTTGGCGCGATAACTTTCAGCTCATTATGCACGTCGTCGAGGGCAAATGCATGCTCATGTGTAACTCACCGCTCCCGGATGTGGAGATTCTCGTTCGCTCTTCGACTTCTAGGGGCTCCGTGCGGATGCTGCGCGTCCGGTTTCTGCGAAGGTCTGGTACTATCGAATTTGCCCAACGGGAGACAAGCGACTGCAGAGCCGAGTGGCAGAAAAAGGTTTGCTCCTGTCAGAATGTCCTTCCTGTTGTGGGCCCAGACGAGGAGCAGGATCTAGATGACATGGAACGACGAGCGCTCAAATTGTTACGGGATTTTATTCGGGTTTGTGATGTCGTGGAGAAGGGTTGCGTGAACCGAAACCAATGATAAGGTTTGCATAAGTACCTTTGCATACGAGCCAGAGTCGGCGGCCTCAGAGCCTTCGGGGTTACCTTGAGGTGGTAGATAGCGTAGGCGGGCAATGAATTGGTTTGTGATCGTTATTATCTAACGGCTTCCCTGAAACGGCGCCTCTGTTTCCATAAAGGGAGCGAAGTGCCTGATTCCGCACGATACAGGGCCCTTAGACGCACCCAACCTCCCAGTACAGATCTATATTACTTCCGCCTCTTTATGGATCGAGGACTCCGGGAGCCAGACTGACGAATGCAAATTAGTAAGCCCGCGGTATCGAGAATTGTAAATCATTCCTCTGGCTCTGTCAATCGAACAGCATGTAGGTTCTTATCCATTTCAAGGGAGAAGCGGCGAGCGCGAACGTGAGATAAGTCCCCGGTCTTCGTCTAAGGTTAGAAATCGAAGGAAAGGGAGGTTTTATGGTTTTTAAGGCTGGTATCGGAGGACCATGTATGGTGTCGTTACATCACAGGTCAGCAGCTGGCAGAAAAGCTGGACAGAAGTCACTGGTTTCAGTCTTCAGAGATTGCCCCAAAATCCTCTTGTGCTTCCCTCATTTCTCCTTTCTTCTTCGAGCACCCCAAATTTTCGCGATGGCGAGAGACGCAGGGGGATTCAAGCATGGATACGATAAAACGGCCTCAAAGGCGGTGACAACGACCGGCTATGAGAATGATGTCCTGACGTATCAGCCCAGGAGATGACACGGCCTCGTAAGTAGATAAATACTAAGTTCCTGGACATTCAGTTATCAGAAGTTCTTCTATTTTTCAAGTTTCACCTCCGCAAATTGAGATAACTCCGCTCGGTGTGACAATCCACACGGTAGGTTGCCTTGTTTGATAGATCTGCGCCGTTCTACGTCAAGGGTGATGCTAATTTTAGCACGATCTCCAAAAAAATAACAGAATAGTAAAAAAAATAACAGAATAGTCGTCAGGATTATAACAGGTAGCGCTCGCAAAAATGTTGTTCTCCCAATGTGACATTCTCCTAACATATTTTCTGGGAGCTTTCACGAGATATGGCTTCGCAATAGGAGCATTGGGGCGGAGAAGTTGGGTCCCAAGGACTTAGGCGCATTAGTAGGCGGGACTATATGATAACACCGCAATCGCACGAAGGCTGTCGACCATACCTTCCCTACTCCCATAAAGACTTCAGGTAACTTGGACTTGGTCAATTTCCCTCTTAAACCGCATATAAAGCCTATATTCCAGGGTAAATGGATCGGGGAAGCCAGCTCAATCCCGCTGAAAGGCCCTTCAATCAGTGCTTCAGCGGCGAGGATGCCGTTGGACTATCTATCGCCCTCTGGCAAATGAAAGGAGACTACCCATCTCCATCGTCAGATTGTTCTGGCATGGGGAACCAGGAGACGTCCCTGGATCTCCAGGCAAGCCCTCTTCCAGATACGAGCCCCCTACGATGTCGGTTATTGATTTTGTACCACCTATTAGGGCGACAGTGACATGGACGGTTCCTTTCCGACCACTATCAAACCTATGGACAGTACGGGCACAGACACAGTTGTGTCCCTGTCGACTTCTTTCTGGCCGGGTGCTCACTCCCAAGAGTGGGACATCGTGTTCTGCTCAACCGATGGTGTCCTTTTCTATGTTCACTCGAGTGTTATAGCAGTCGCCTCCCCACATGCATTTTCATCCTTCCTACCGGCATCGCCGATGCCATTCGGGGGGCAAGTGATTTCAATCCCGGAATCTTCAGCAACGCTCAACATTGTTCTCCACTCGCTGTACGGAACCTCCTGTGCGGCGAACTCTCCGACGTTGGGACAGCTGGTCGAAGCCGTCGACTGTATGCCTAAATATGGAATTGTTCCAAGCGACCTGATTATCCCTCAAACCGCTCTCTACACGCTCCTGCTGTCCCACGCACCCCACAGTCCTGTCGAAATATATGCTCTGGCGTCCCATCACAACATCACCGCCCTTGCCGAAGCCGCTTCCTCCCACCTCCTTGCCTTTCCGTGTTCAAATATAAGCGATCAACAGGCGCTAAAGATGGGTCCGGTGTATCTTATGCGCTTACTCCTGCTACAACATGCCCGTGTGGCCACATTGAAGGAATTACTCACTCTTCCTCCTCAATTTCATCCGGAGACTAAGCAGTGCAAAATTGTCGACCAAAAGAAAATGATCAGGGCATGGGCCTTGGCCTCCGCTTCCCTCATTTGGGAGGCCAGACCCGGTGTGTATCTCATATCATCTCGAAAGCACGGGAACTAAATGTCAACCTCCATTGAACATGGCCCGCAGATCTCTCCACCTTCATGATACGGACAGCGCTCATCCCGGTGGGGAGGGATACTCCCTGCGAAGATTGTAAGCTAGCGGTTGCAGTTCGTATACGAGAAATCCTACACAAATGGTCATCGACGAAGGTAGGCTAGCTATCTCACTCGCAACTGATAAAGCGGAGGTAACTGATACGTGCTTAGTGCACCATCTGATCCGGCTCTTTTGAAAGCCATCTTTTCCCTGCTGTCTTCTTTCCTTTGCCTTGGGTTTCGTGCTTGTTTATTCAAAAGGTGTATGTTTCACTGTAACTTGTATACTCTATGACCCGTGTCTTCGAACTCCAGGAATTCAGCCATTTGAATGCAGCTCTTAAGCGCCCGTTCAACGCTCAACCTTCGAAGTGGCGCTGTGAAGCCAGAATCTGCTGCCAATATAAGTTGGACAGAATGGGAAAGGTATACCAACATCAACATAAGCGTATCTTTCCAACAGAAGGATCATGGTCGCTAATGCGCTCACTCAGGCTAGGTGCCCAAGTGTTGATGTGGATATGTTCAAACTCCACCTTTCTCCGCCTGATCGACGATGACACGAGAGCGTGGTCGAGTTGTTGGGCATTTTGATCGAAAAGGTAGCTGTACCGTTCTTCCTGGGGAATCCTCGCAGCTTCATCGATGTCCGTAAGATGTTGAACGATAGGCTTGTACACCGACCGAGTATGGATGAACTCGTTAAAGTCACCCGCGACGACAATATTGGCGTTGGAATCTCGATCCAGGACGGCTTTGACAAAGTTCTGTGTGTGCGTTGCCATCAATTCAACGTGGCCAGAGACCCGTCCAAAGGGAAACTTACCGCCACGCTGCTAACCTGGGCAGTTCGGCTCTCAATGGGGTTGTTGACCGGGGGTCGGGCGTCGCCTTGCGTTGAGCTGCTTCCTCCCTTGGAACTGAGATGCAAGTTCACAGTGAACAGTTCTTGTCCAAAGCTGGTCTCCCAATGCGCAACGAGAGGCTTCCTGGTCGCGTTCCAGACAGCACCGGCGGGTTCGATCCTGCCAGGGTTGAAGCTAAGATTTAAAGGGTCTGGTTAGTTCATCCTACTTAGTGAAGTCAGATGGAAGACGCACTTGAGTTTGGGCTTGCCACGACGACCTTCAACAGCAACGGGGTCTCGAGACCCCCCAACAGGCGACCCGTTGACAAGCTTCAATACTTCTGGCTTGAACCTGGAGAAATACCGATCGGGTTATGGCGTACTCATCGGCTGCAGTCATTGATAACTTACATGAACGCTGTTCTGATGTTGCCTCCAGGTTGACCACCATCCTGGCCATCGACTGGGTCTACCTGAGCAAACGAGTACCTCACGCCGCTGAGGTCCCGAATGGCGTTGGCCAAAGTTGCCAGGGTAAGGTTAGCCGATACCGTTCCGTCGTCAGTGGGACCAGAGTCGTCTTGAATCTCTTGCAGGAACAAGAAATCGGGGGTACGAAGGTAGTCGACAATATGCTTGGCAATGGTAGGGAGATGACGGGAGTTCGGCGCCAAGTTTTCTACCTGTTGTAAACGTGAATAACAATGGATCGCAAGAGCAGTGGATTCTTACGTTATAGTCTCCAAAGGTAATAGCGCATCTGTCGAAAATTCTATCGATGATTGTCCGCTTTGCCTCCAAGGTCGTAGGCTGGGCAGATTGCTTCGGACGAGAGATCACAGTTGGCGCTGTCAGTGGCACGACGTAGTAGAACCCAAACCTTGCAACCCCGCCATTAAGATTCCTTCTGTACCTGAGCTGGAGCTAACTCACTGGTATGTCACTACTCCAGTGATATCAGAGAGGCCAACGCCCATTGCAACCTGGGGATTTGTCGTTCCATCCAAGGGGTTATCAATGAGAATGGCCTCTGGGTTTCCATCAGGAATTCCATCGGGACCTAAAGCGCGCGCTTAATCCTCCCCAAAACGATAACAGGTCACAGACAAAGCTTACCGAAGGTAATAGTGAGGCCGCCCCGATTGTTCCTGCCTGTAACCGGCCAACGACCATATACCCAGAATTCCCCGAAATTGTTTTGGAAGTTGGTTACAATTGGTCCAGGAATAGTCACAAGCTGACCCTCCAAGCTCTCCCAGAAGTCGAGGCCATACTTGTCAGGTTGTAGCGTGGCGTTTACGACTTGGACGCGACTGCTGTTGTTTGGGATGCTGAGGAAGCCATCAGGACCAACGTCGAGAGAGGAGAAATAGCGTGTCGGGGGGAATCGGTCTCTTCCGAGGACGACGGGAGTAACCACATTGTTGGTAGACAACTTTGTAATATTCGCCGGGTTCGTGATTTCCGTCAGGAAAAGATTGTTGGGAGTCGAAGCTGCTCTGAACTCAGTGACCCGACCACTTAGTGAGACGGCATCTCCAATATCGACGGCGGAAGGGGCCGAGGATGTGAAGATAAAGAGTCCATTCGAGGCGCGAACATCGTCTGACTTGTCTCCAACGAGATAAAAGCCATCGGAGGCCTACAAATCACCGGTATAAGTAAGTAGGACATATAAGAAAGAAGATGATCTCTTGCTCGCCTTGGCTACCACCACTCCAGTAACGTTATGAACCGTCTTGCCGGTAAGAGGGCTCGAGAACGCGGTTCCCTGGATCTCCGTGATTGACACTGAAGAAACAGAGGCCAATGCATTACTCAATACGAACAGAGCGAGGAGCTTCCCCATGATGAACTGCGCCCAATTCTGAAAGGGGGACAGAACGAATCCCAATATCTGGGAGATCCCTTCGTTAAGTACTCGCCAATGACCACGAGATAAGTCCCAATGATATAGTTACCGTTTGACCACATGCTTCGACGGCACAGTCCATGCTGAGCATGAGAAACGAAGGGCGACGAGTGTAACGTTTGGCTGATGGCAACCACTGGATCGTACGTTGGGCAGATGGTAGGCTGGCGACAAGGCGGCAGGTGCAAGGTCTAGCGAACGTGTTCGATGTCGGCCTTTCTGCGCTGGCGGCCTGGCAGAAGCTAACAGAGCCGACGTGCGCAAATCAGGAGGCAGTTGTCCAACTGGCCGTATTTATCCAGGGGACAACACAATGCACGTTCGCTTCCGCAGAGCAACGTTTACGATCGTCAACGCGGCAGGTACCATGAGGGTGTTATCAGTGTCAAAACCAACGGCAGAACCAGGCAGAAGCCAGAAGTGGTTTCCGGAGATTTGGGCTTCCGTGAGAAACCATTTATAGCGCCCTGATGGCGCTTTATGCATAGAGAAAAATGTGATGTGTCTATTCATTATGGTACCGTGAACCATGACTATACTAGATGCACAATTGGATCTCTCAGAGATCCGAACAGGAAGGTCTGGGTATTACAGGAAACCATTTCTAGCCCTTATGCATTTGCTGCGCGGCAAGCGGCATTCTGTTCGTCACAATCAGAGACGCTCAATCCAAGTTCCCTGCCCTCAGCCGAGTTGGCGACGTTGGCACATCGGTTCTTTTGGACATCACAAGAGCGGGAGATGGCAGCGGCGAGGTTTTGGAACTCGGCGTTCCCTTCGACCTGGAATCCACGTCCTCCTGCGATCACACGGGGAGCGGACTGGCCACCGACTGAGTATTGAAAGTTCATGTCAGTATCGGTGCACCAAAGGTAAGAGATCGTTACTCACGAGCACCAGTAAACTTCTGGAGGTTGCCTGAAGCAGGTTCCTCGACCTCAACTTCCTCAGCCTCGGTTTCCTCAGCTTCAGGAACCTCGGCGGTTTGCGTGGGCTGCGCAACTACCACGGTCCTAATAAAGATGCGTTGATATAGGCAAGGTTGACCGCAGAATGCTATACGTACCTGGTAGCAGTGTGCCTTGCTCCACCCTGGAGAAGTTGAATGATCTTAATGATCTTCTTCAACTTGGCGACCTTGTTGTTTCCCGCAACACCTGTCTCGATTGCAATGGGGGCAGTCTCGATTTCTTCGATTTCTTCGATGATCTCAGTTGCGGTGGGGACGGCGGTCACAGTAACGGTCCTTGGTGGTGGGCATGTCGCTGTTGCGGTGATTTCAGGCTCCTCAACATCAGCAGTCTCGGTAGCTTGGGGCCTGCAGAAGCGATGTCAGTGCCTAGCACCCGAGAATGAAGTGCAGAGACTTACGGTTCGCCGACCTCAACGTCGGCCACAGCCGCCTCAATCTCCTCTGGCGTAGCGTCAGGTACGAGCAGGTTCTGGGTGAAGATGCAGCCCTCGGCGTCGTCAATGTCGTTGCAAGAGTTGCCACGTCCCGTGGGGTCGTTGACATCACCAGGCGCGAATGTTCCGGAGAGGATAGCATCCTGGGGATTGCCGCCGACGGACTTGATCTGTCTTGCCAGTTCAAGTGTAATGGCTTTGTTGATTTCTGCCGCATTAGGAGAAGCGGGGTCCTAGAGGGGCAAGTGATCAACATCGCCTATTCACTGGCCAGGAGGTGCGTTGTTGATACCTGGTGCTGCTGGATAGCCGCAATCTCGGGGTTGACGGCTTGAAGGCTCGTGCATGGATCGGAGGCAAGGCCAACCTGGAGAGTATTCCTCTCCAAGGCACGATAGATAAGTGCATCTACCATGCCCTGGACGTCACCAGCAGCCTTGGCGTTGGTGAACGCCTGATCTGCTGTGGCTTGTTGAAGGCATGCTGGGTCTTCGATTGTTCCAGCACCAGTAGCAGCTGCACCGTCACCAAGGAGTCCGAACACTGAGTCGACGATACCAGCGGGGTTGTTTAGCTGCAGACTGGCCTGGACGGATCTCAAGAAGCGCTCGTGTGAGTGTTCTACGTTGATAGACAGTTCCTGTCAACCGTTGCTCAAGAAGAGGACATCCAAATGGGCGACGTACCTTGAGGAACCTCTCGACGGACGGGGGCAGCGAAGGAGAGGGAGGAAAGGAGCGAAAGGAGGACAACAAGTTTTCGTGACATCCTGATGTCGTCAATTAAGTCTTCAAGTATTCCAAAAATCGGGGATTGATCGAAGGGAAGTGTAGAAAGAACGAAACGAATGAACGCCCTGCGATCTATGAAAGGATTGAAATCAGTATCCGTATGCTTTTCATTGGTGGAAACGAATATACATACCTGAAGGGATGAAAAAAAGAAGAACTTGAAGGAAGAGGAAAGAATCTGCTCCGGAGCAGCAAAAGAAAGGGCAGACACAATGGGGTTTCGCATTTTGGGCCCCTTGGATTTATAGCAGAGCGAACAGGTGTTGGAAACAATCGTCAAGGGGATACTGAGTTCTCCGGAATATTGGGAAAGCAACCAGGGGAACGGCATCCACGAAATTTATGACGAGGTACCTGTGGTGTGAAGTCGGTCGCGAAGGTAGGCGCGTCTTTCGAATTCTGATGCTCTGATGCCTCCAACCAGGGTTCCTCCAGCCATTCTCCCCGACGCTTGGCGTACTCTGGCGTACTGTAATAAGGCCTGTTGCATTACATTGCAGGGGGTCAATATATTGCTGATGGACCGGCAAGAGACACCGTTGAAGGCGAGGAAAGACCCGGAACCATTCTTCCAACACCGCCCTCAGATTCAGAGAGCGAGAAGGCGACGCCGCCTTGTCAGAGGAGGGAGAGGCAGACGCGGTGGCTTTTGGCAATTGATCAAGGTGTTAACGACGGCGGCAGCAGTTCCAGTGATGTGTTGGTTGGGGGCTTTCAGAGTACATAGGACTCGGAGCAAAAGTATGAGCCCATTATGTAGTTGGTCAGAACGTCTTTGGAAGCCAAAATGTTGTGCCCGCTGCAGCTCCGGTTCACCAATAGCGTCGCGTAGTAAAATAACAGACATCGACGACGACCTTCACTGAAGTAAGGAGTATGTCGTCATCGTACTCCTGCCATTCCTACTTCCCAGAGGGTTTTCTCCTTCGAGGGGTGTCAAGAAACGCAGAGAAACGCTCATGGCAGAGATTCCGGTCTGAATTCTCATGGTAAATTCACCGAACAATAACCATGACACTCAACTCAGCGTCGCTGTGGCTTCGGGCGTTGTTTTCTTCGGGAAATGGGTATTGCTTTATGATGTAAGAAATACTTATCAGATGCGGTATTCTGTTGACTCTTTCTTTGAGAGTTTTTGGAGGTCCTGTTCTATATTTCGTTATAGGTGAGAAAGAATCCGTCAAAGAGACCTTAGCGCACTCACGGATGCCCCAGACGTGTGATCTCAAATCCAAAAATTCAATGTGCAGACCGTCGTACAGTTTCTTGACCTCCGCCCTGACTTTCGAAATATCCTCCTTCGAGGCTGAAGCACTGCTGAGAGCCTTCAAATCTTTCTCGACAGCCTCGATTCGGCGGACATGAGAGGAAACCTGTCATGGAGAAATCAGAGTCGGTAAAGGAACAAGGTCATGACAAGCGCACCTTCTCAGTGCTAATCTTCAATTCCTCCACGCTCGCCTGGAGAGCAGCTGAGGCGCGTTGGTACTCTTCCAACAAGTGGTAGGCAGCCAGAGACGATGCTAGTGAGAACCCGAACAAAAATCCAACGATGCTGTAGACAGTCTCGGTCTCAGGAATCAGCGTTTATAATGAGAGATGATGTCTGACCCTCCTCGAAAGCCTCCAATGGGTTTCTTCTGAACGACGGTTTCTGTGTTGATGGCTGGAGGAACTTCGCTACGGACGATAGTGGTGGATGAAAAGCCTCTTGTTGAGAGCCGTCTACCGCTGCTTGAAGCAGCAAGCCGGATTAGGCCAGCCATTACACGCCCTGGTGGTTAGCAGAGAGTCAAGGTGGTCGACCCGCCGTCGCTGCCCCTCGCGGTTCAAGGCCGCTTCGATCCGGGGTAACTGCGACTAGTCACGTGGCAGCCAACATTGGGTCATGCAAGTGTCGCTTGGAAAGCGGTCGCACGCAAACGGATATAAGGTCGATGTTGCACATTCTCCTAGTGTCGATTGCCACATCAAGAAAATTGCGAATAGGGATGAATTTCCCTAGTAATGCGAGAAACGGTGATATCTATTGTGTGAGTACAGGGGCCTTAGGTTTTCGAGAGCGAGTGGTTTGGGTAGTTAAACAATTCCTACTACAGAACGAAGGCTCCCATTGGGATATCACATACCTCTAGTCCTCTCCCCGTTTGGTACACAGTAGGATAATACTCCTGCATTTGTACATGCCTGCATTGCAAGGCAAAGCTGGACTACAGCTTTTCAGGCTCCTGTAACGGTTGCTCAGAATATATGGGGCTTTGGATCATACGCAGAGCGCGAATTACTGACCATGATAGATTTAGCGTTTGAGCACAACTCCAGCATAGCTCCATGGACCATCCGCTTACCACATGATAATTAAGCGCCCACCAGCGCCAGACCCGGGCCGTGAAAGCCGGGTCCACGTGACTGACCCCGAAGCGCGACTGGAGAAGCTTCTACACAACCACCACGATCCACATTTCTAGTTCCCCAATGTCCAGCGTTAAAAGACGAAAGGATGGCATCTCAACAGAATTATCAGGGCGAGATAAGAAGAAACAACGGATGGCTGAAGCCCGAGAAATTCCAGTGCAGGCAGCGGGGCCGTCCACACCCGCTCAAACTGGCCCAGCGAAGGTCGTCCCCACAAATAACAGTGCGCTGACAAGTACTGTCGCTCACAGAACTGGCTACTGACACGTCGACAAAGGTCTAGCAGGACTCCCGACCGCGATCGACGTCGAGAAATTTGCCGAAGCACGGGCATTCGAAATTAACGCGATGCATACGGCGATGAAAAGCGCGAGGTGGATCCTGGATTATCCTGCCCACAAGGCTAAATGTAACTGTCTATTTCAGTGTAGCATCGACTCAACGAGCATGGCAAGCTTTACCTCGACACCTTCGTAGACGAGCTGCAAGCCACGATGTTCGGCGGGTTCCACTTCGTTTGAGGGAGAGGGCAACAGCGGAAGTGGGATTTCGAGCATCAGGATACCTTGAAGCAGAGTATGCTAACAGCTGGTGCAGATGGACGCAAAGCCAAAGAAATCGACTCGCCTCCCCAAGAGAGGGAAGTCAAAAGTGGTCACTCGGACAGATAGTTTTCTCAGTCGACAGAGTGAGTCGCTTCCTGTGTGGAATAAATGAAGATATTGATCACTCTCACACCAGAGGATATCGCATGGCTGGAAACCCATTTGTGGCATTGCAAGAGAATGCATATGGAGGATATATGGGGATTCAAATTGGTGAGCCTATGCTCAACCTTTAATTTGACTAAACTCACTATTGGTTTATCAGGCAACACATCCTACCGAAAAGGCTTATAGGCCATCCCATCGTGCTGCAGTGCAAGGATCCATTATTCACGATGCCAGTTACTACTCTCTTGTCGAGCTACGGGGTCCAGAGAACGTGCTCGTCCCAGTGTTGGAGTTATGTTGCGACCCACAGAGTCCCAGTCCAGGATCAATAAGGTTCGTCTTAGCGGACTTGGAACGCCCCCATGTGCTCATTATATTTCTAAGGTTCAAGACGGGGGCAAGAACATTGGAAACACACGTATACCAGCCTGGCGCCTATCCATACGACTTGATTTCGCCCATCTCCATCATATGGCAACCGCTCGACGTGAATAACGGCCAGGAAAAGAGTCTCCCTTCATCCTCGAAACCTACCCAGGCCCCAACGATAACTTCGTCGACCCAAATCCCACATGGGAAACTCTCTGCCCAAACCAGGTGCATCTGGCTACGCTTTCACCCGTCTGCGCACGATGAAGTAGTGGGAGCTCTGAAAACGGCAGCATCTCAACACCTCGCGACGTTATCTAACGGTCCGGAAGTCCAAATACAAGTGACAGAACTCAAGGATCAAATTAACGTTTTCGAGTTCATGGGCCCAAAGTCCTGCCAGGTCCTCAAGGGGGCTCTCAACCCCGTGTTTGATGAGGAAGGTAAGACGGAGAGCAAAAAGGTTAGTCCCTTTCTCAAACACCGCAATAGAGCCTGGCCTGAGTACTTCCCTAGTTTTGGTCATCGCTGGGAGATGTGCAAACATCTGGATCTCTTCCGCGGAATATGGTGGTAGGGTTGAAGGTCTACGACCCGCGCTTGAAGTATGTGTTTTCCTGCTACCAAGACGAACCATGATCTTAAAAAACCAACAGGTTTCCTCCCAGAAATGCAAAGCCAAAAGCGACTGATGCCACAGATTTGCACCCGCCTACGCACATTTTTCCCTCTGTGTCATTAGCCAGATCTGAACTCTGGGACGAGTCTGTTCGGCTTGGCCTTGCCAAACCGCGGTACCAGAAAAAGGAACTTGACATACGACGCGCAAATGTACGCCCCCCTAACCGGACAAGTAGTATCCATTCGTATTAACACTGATACCCTCCTCCTGTGCATTAGAATCCAATCCCCGGCACAGAGCTCAAACCCTTACGTCAAGACGACCGAGTCCCAATCATCCTCGTTCAACGTTCTCTAGAAGCTCAAGGCGACCATTCGACGAGAAGCGAATCCCTCCACGGGTGGACGGTGATTGTTCCGTCCGGATGGGGAATGGCATTCTGGAATTCACTCATATTCACTGGAACACGCGTTGGAGGACAACGAGAACGACAAGTGCAAGCCTACGAATCTGGGACGCCTTACTTCCCTCGCGATTACATCTTTACTTCGGCGTATAACACGTTCTCAAAGAAGAGGGAGGACGAATTGAGGACGAATTGGGAGAGGAAACCCCCAGCCAAGCGGGTGAACTACGATAAACTGGGAGTCATCCACCCATGGCTACCAGAATGGAATCGCATACTCGGCCTGCCAGAACCACCAACGGTGTCCGAAGGATTCGTACCCGCCGAAAGGGAGGAGCAGCAGATGGACGTCGATTCTGTCGATCAGGGCGTCAAGCCCTGGCTCTTTAGGGGCGCGGAGCTGCGCAAAATTGTGGAAAGCGTGTCATCCAGCTTCATGCAGACCACTTTCTTGGACGAAATTAACCGCCTTCGGTCACAGCGAGGACTCGGCCCTTTGGATGGCGGGGCGTCCAGAAGCGTGCAGCTTCTCCAGGGAGCCCTCGTCACCGTAAGGGTGACGATGACTTCTCGGGGGACGCCTGACGATATGGGTATCGTGTATTCCATGAAGGACGACGAGGTTAACGAGGAGTTGAAGAAACTGGCGAATCCGAAAAAGCGGCTCGTAGATCCGGAGGACGAAGAAGAGAGCGGGGATGAAGAAGAGTGGCCATCGTCGGACAGGATAATAGGCCGAATCACGACCGGTCATTACTCGCTGGCTCGAGGGGGCGGGTTTGCCATTGCAGCTGTCCCTCTTGTGAAAATGCTGGAACTGAAGAAGCAAATGACAAGGTGAATTTGTGCTTTCCAGTCCCGGATAGTGTCCAGTGCTCACTCGAACCAGATTACAGGCAATGGGCAAGTCAAATCGCGCCCCGTTGGTCAAGGTTCGCAATATAAACGGTCGGATAAGCAGGAGTGCGAGCATCGAGTTGCTACTCGATGGATACCAAGGCTAAACATTTCCCGTACCCCAAACTACAAAGCATTGAAAGCGTAGAGTATACACGAGGACCTATATTACAGCGGCAGCACTTGCTAAGGTAATGGGCGAGGTGTGAATAAATAGCGAAATGAGTCCAAAGGCCGAACGCTACAGCTTCCATTTGTCAACGGCTGCTTGCACTAACCGGCCCATCTCCATTCTCGCCTGCTTCTTGGCACTCTGTGTGATCCCCTCGAGTGCATCCAACGCGCCTGGTGACGTCGTAAGGGGATCAAACTCCAGCAGGTGGCCGTCTTTCGTTGGTATTGCCACCATGGCGGAGAACGATCTTGTGTGCTTGATGGGCTTTGGTGTCGCCTCGGTACCGTCAGGTATCCGAGGAACAGGGAATCGAAATGGCCCGCCGGGTTGTAATGTAGGTTCGGGAAGGAGATGGGTTGCCTGTGAGTTGTCGCGTGAATGTGCTGTCGATGATCCGGTTTGTGACGATGAGGTGAACAGGCTCGCTTGTGAAGGGTCTCTTGAGTGGAGATTGCTGAAGGCCACAGATGGATCCCGCCGAACAATGATGTTGCTCTTCGTGCGCTTGAGTGTCCGTGCTGCACCGTTACTGCCTTCTCCCAGCCCTTCTGTCGGTGAATCGGGATCATCGTTCATCTCGACGCCTTTGAACCACCCCAAACCGAACTGATAAGGATTTGCGATGGGAGAACCGTTGACGCTGAGCATGTTCTCGTCTTTACGAGGTAAACGCATTTGCATTGTTGTCGTTGGGTCATCAGCCTTTGTAATGGTCGGGAATGCGGGAACTTTGGGTGGTAACGAGGGATTGAAACTGGAGCTTGAAGGGACGCGGGTTTGTGTTGCGGTACTCTTGAGAGGTGAAGCGGGTCGGGGGGCGGGTCGCGGATTGTATGCGCCAGTAGTGTTGTTGAAAGGGGGTCGTTTCTCTGGACTTGAAGGGCCTGGTATCCGGCTTTGTAACCGAGACTGTATTGCAAGGTCAGCACATGCAGACCAGCCTGTATATGTTCAAACGACCTACCGATGAGGCCACGGGAGTCTTTGATGTCGAGGAGAATCTGTTCCCAGATTGATGCGAGGATGAGACGGGTTTCTTTGACTTGACTGGGGAGAATGGAGCGGTTTTGACTGTAAATTGTGTTAGCTATAGTTCATACAAAGAGCGTATGGAATGCTTACCGTTCTTCGAAGGACGAGGGTCTGAATCCTTGGCCGTGCCCTTCTCTCCATCGGGATTTGGCAAAAACTTTCTCTTCCGCATGCTCTTTTCGATTTCACCAAAGTCAGGACCCACTCCTGCCGCAGCCAGCCTGTCCTTCTGGAAGCCCCGTAATGCCAGCTGGATGTTGCCGTTGTATTTCTCTCCAAATTCGCGCATCGTCATGCCCCTGACTTGCTTTGGTATCCGAGAGACTTGTCCCTCCTGGTGAATTGTAAAGTGTTCCAGACGATCTTGCAGCCATGCTTCGAACTGGCGACACCGATGTGCAACTGTACATCGTTTTCAGCGTCTGGGAAAAGGGTTGTCCAGGGGACTCGCAAGGCACACCTTCGATGTCCAAGTTGGCAATGAGCTGCCGTTTCTCCTCGTCGTTGTATTTGCGTTTTGTCGTGTGGATGTTCATGGCTGTTTCGGCCAGCGTCGAGGGCGGGTGTTGTTGGTGGTCGCCGCGATAAACAAAACGGGCAGTGCCAAGAACATCGAGCGCGACAGACAGATTCGTGCCACGTGACACGCGTTGTCGGAGGACGTGTTTCTCCATTTTATTTGTTTCAAGCTATATTAGTAGAGTCGAACGACTCTAAAACGAATACCCTATTCTTCATTCCCAACGCCCACTCCACCCCATAATAATGCCCAAGGACGTCTATATTGTCGTTGGAGGAAACGGTTTCGTGGGCAGGCATATTGTCCAGCAACTAAAGGACCGCGGTGACATCGTTTCCTCGCTCGACATCGTCCAGCGCTATGACGATGTCCCCTTTTACTCGGCGGACATCACAGAGGAGAGCCAAGTTGTTTCGGCATTGAAGCAGGTAAGCACTCCGAAGGTATTCCGGGAATAATGGCTCAGAACTGACTTAACCTGCAGTCAGGAGCTACTTGTATCATCCACACGGCTTCACCCCCAGCCAATCTCAAGGATGAGGCAATCTACTACAAAGTCAATGTGGAGGGAACGAGGGCTATCATCAACGCTGCAATTCAGTGTGGTGTGAAGAAGCTCGTTTTCACCAGCTCTGCAGGTGTCGTATTTAACGGAGAGGACAACATCGACGTGGACGAGCGCCTTCCCTATCCCGACGTTCCTATGGACGCCTACAACGATTCAAAAGCCAAAGCTGAAGCACTGGTTCTCGAATCCAATGGCAAAGGTGGCCTTTTGACTGTCGCAATCCGCCCAGCAGGTATCTTCGGGTACGTATCATTTCACCTATCCGGCACGAACGCTTGACCGACTGTTCTCCAGGCCCGGAGACCGCCAAATGATGACAGGGCTTTACCAGGTGTACGAACGGAATCAAACTCATTTCCAAATTGGCGACAACACGAACTTGTTTGACTGGACGTATGTCGGCAATGTCGCCCATGCCCACATTCTCGCCGCCGACAAACTTGATCAACCCCCTCCCGCTCCCCCTCTTGCTACCCTCGAAAAAGTGCCCCTATCCATGGACGAAGTTCCTGGTTACAATGACGCTGAGCTTGCTATGCTCGAAGAACCACTTCCTCCGATTGACTTGTCTACTGGCAAGCACAGAGTTCCCACCTGCCTCGCTCGCCCGCTAGGACCCTACGTCGAACGTCCCGAGAACGCTGACGAAATCGAGGCCAACTACTTCAACCCACCCCCAGGCTCCAACAACCGCCCAGTGAGCCGCAACCGTTTCGACCAACTCTCCCAAACTGGCATCAACCAGGCCAAACTGCACTACCCCGAGCAACACCCTCTTCAAGTCGCTGGCCAGGCGTTCTTCATCACCAACGGCGAGCCCATGTACTTCTGGGACTTTATGCGATACATCTGGCACCAGTTGGATGCATATTTCCCCGGCAAGAGGCAGCCAAGAAAACCGTTCGTTTTGCCAAAGTCTGTTGGACTGTTGGCAGCTCAGGGATCAGAATGGGTGGCGGCTCTGATGGGCAAGGAGCCCACATTTACCAAATTCAAGGTCACATTCAGCTGTGCTAACCGTTGGCACAATATCGAGAAGGCTAGGAGGGTGCTGGGTTATCATCCTCAGGTCGGTCTTCAAGAGGGCGCGAAGCTCACTGTTGATGTACGTTGTCGCATTTCCCTCATTGTCATTACCTGAAATTGACGGATGATATTTTCAGTGGTGGTGGTCTGAATATCGAAAGGGAACACACAAAACCGCCCACTAGAGTCCATTTCGGATTCCTCCCTTTCACCTATACCTGCCTACCGTACATATTGTCTATATATCTATTGTCGTCCTGCTACGCTTACGCTGTATAATGACCTGTTGCAATTCTTAGTGCCACCTTTGATCTTCGGTTTTGGGTCTAAAAACATTTGGTTCAATCATGCAGCGGCGGACGTTTCAGCACCCCTGTCGGGACCAGATAGGGGCAGACCGACTCGGTAATAAGTAATCTAATCAACACTTCAAGCGGTCGCGCTCCACATTCAAAAATGTCGTCTTCATCTCCTGCCACCAACACTGACGCCGCCAATACCTGCACGGTCCCCATTTTCCCAGATCAGACACCCTCGTACATCCTCTCGTTTCAATTCTCGTCCTGGTACCCAATCTTCTCAGATGTCAGCATCAAATCCACGATAATCAAGCCTCTCTCGGCTCAGTTCAGAGAGTACCTCGAATCGGAGAGCGTTTTTGTACCAGAAGGATCTGAAGATGTGTGAGTCTCCATTACTATCTCTCCTTTCAATTTGATACTGATACTGATTCGCGATCCGCCTTTTTAGTCCTGCTGAGAGTACACTCTCCGACGACGACAAAGACGAGAGCGAAAACGGGGATGAGGAAGAGAAAGGCTCCCCACCACCGACCTACTCCTTCCCAGAACTAGACACCCAAATCAGAGCCTGCATCCAAAAATACGATGCCGTCTTTCCCAAACTCAATTTTACTTCTCCGCGCGTATGTACTTCCCTTTAGTCCCTGCCCTCTTCCAACGATGTCTAACTTATCAAATAGGACGCAGCATGGGTCCTCCCAGCTTCCTCCCCTCTTAAATGCACATCACCTGCAGATGTGTACATGTTACTCAAATCCTCTGATTTCATTTCGCACGATTTGGAACCTAGTAGCGTATTCGAGGGGTGCCGCAAATACGAACATGGTCCCGAAGGAAAGGACGAGGGATCATGGCCCCACTACGACTTGGAATTAGTACTGAGAAAGTGGTACGCAGTCAACCCAAGTCGCGAGTTGCGCTGTTTCGTACGGGATGGCAGATTAATCGGTGCGTGTCCTAGTCCCCCCTTCTGCGAACGAAATCCTAAGGATCGGTAGGCATATCGCAAAGAGATACAAACCATTACGACTTCTTAAACGAACCATCCACAAAGGACAGGATCCTCACCGCAGTCAAAACCTTCTTTGAAACCAAAGTCAAACCTCGGATCCCAAATCAACTCGACTGTACGTCCCATCCTATTTCACAAAACCGAACCCTCAACTAACCCACATTTCCTGTGTTAGACACTTTCGACTTTTTGCTAACAAAAGACCTTTCGCGAGGTCACATCATCGACTTTAACCCTTACTCACCCCGCACCGACTCCCTGCTATTCTCATACGAAGATCTCCGGGACATCGCTTCATCCTCACCACCAGACCACATCGAGTTCCGGACCATCGATTCTGCATCCCATCCTGCCGCGGTCAGAAACGCGCCAACCCACCAACACAACATGATGCCCCTCGAAGCCATTCACCTCAGCAGCGGCAAGAGCATCGAAGAATTCGCTGAGGCCTGGCAAGACCAACTGCAAAAAAGCATGACGGACGATTCTTGATCTAGTAGGAGCACATAATAGTACTTATCAGCTTCAGTGCTTCAAATACAGAGGGCCCTTGGGATGATCCAACGAGGTAGAATTCATATCATTAGCCGTGATGTCCAGTCTATCTATTGTGTAACCAACTCCCGGACAGAAAAGTCAAGTAAGGTATAACTGTGTAGGTGGGGAATGTAGGCGGAAGCCTCTACTTTTCTACTTCAATACCAGAGTCGCTGGCAGATGTCTCGGGCATCTGGGGGCGCATCTGGGCAAGACCATGCGCGTTTTTGAAGAAGACAACATCACCCTCGTCCTCAACGAACTGTAGAGATGGGTCATTAGCGACTGGAGTAACCCTTAATAAGGATTCGTGGACATACCTTGCACTCCTTGTAGACACGGTAAACCTCCCTCCAGCCACCAGGTCGGCCTTCAGTGGGGATACCAGCGCGGTTGACAACCTTCTTGAGGGCCTCACTGGCCTCCCAAGCGTGGTAGTGGGGGATCTTGCTGCAGACGTGGTGCAGGACGTGGGTCTCGGAGATGCCGTTTGTAGCATGGGCACCGAGCCAGGCCATAACTGGGCCCAAGTCACCGAGCAAGCTTCGGTCAAAGGTAGCAAGAGCACCACGAGCGAAGGTGAACTCGGGAGCGCGGTAGTGGGGGAGCAAGGGGTCGGTGTGTTGGAGGAAGGTGATCAAGACGAGCCAGTGGTTGACCCTACAGTCGCGTCAATGGATGTTTGACCAGAATAGGCTCCGGGGTACTCACCAGAGGTAGGGGATGAGGTAAACAACAAGAACGGTGGAGAAGCCCCAGTGGTTGATACTAGCAATGATACCGGCGAGCCAGATCATGATACCAAGGTTGGACAGGAGGACCTGGTTGTAATGGTGGGGAGCGAACATGGGCGCGTTGGGATTGAAGTCTGAAGTATGATTTCATCAGTATCAAACCAATAGCGCAAGCCACAAAGCAGCGTACGGTTAGTGACCCACTTAGGGTACCTCTTCTGACCAGAAGCGTTCATCAAGATGTAGGCGGGCCATCCACCGAGCAAATACTTTGCAGAGCCAATGATAGCACCAATAGGGGAGTCACCAAGAGCATCCCAAAGCTCGCGCTTGATAACCTCGGAAACGCGGGAGCCAAGGAGGTTCTCGCCTTCCTGGTTAAGAGGCGGAAGACCGAGTTCAGAGCGGGTGTGGGGGACGAAGACTTGATCCTGGGTCATGTGGCCGGTGGAGGCATGGTGCTTGGCATGGGTGATTCTCCACGAATAGTAAGGGACGCCGACACTGGAATTGTAATTGAATCGAGGATCGTCGCCATCACGTGTCAGCTCTGTGTAACTGCAAAGGAAATGCAGTGGATAAAAATAACTCACGCAGAGTGAAGGACCCATCCCCAGGCGTTGTTGACAGCCTTGGACTCAGAAAAAGCTTGGTGACCGCATTCGTGACCGATAACCCAGATACCGGTGGCGAAGAGACCGGCGATGAAGGTGTAGAGGGCCCAGACGACGACACGGAGCGCGGTGTAGGCGTAAGGGTGAGGAAGCTCGAGGGTGGCAGGGTTGATGAGCGTGTCAAGGTACGAAGCGGCCTTGTAAGCGCAGCCGATAACGAACAAATCCCAGAACCTAGATAAAGGAACGGTCAGTGACTGCCACGCAGGCATATATTAAGCGGACATGTGCTTACACGTAGGTCGCGCCCCGCCACGCTGAACGCTTGAAGCAATGGGGACTATTGGTAGCATCTGGTCGTTAGTATGGTGCCACAATGTGAACAGCGAGCTCGACGCACGGAATTGCGGCTAGCAAGTCCTTGATAGGGATGTCCGGGACAGGGTAGACCCCCTGGTCAACGGTGGTATAGCCTTCGTCTGCCTTCTTTACACCCATACTGCCCAAAACCCAAGCTTGAAACCAAGCAGAAAGAGAAGAAAAAAGAAAAGGACAGGAAACCCTTGTTGTCGAGGGGCCTGGTCAGCGGCTGGTGAGGGAAACAGAGGCGCTCAAACGACTTGGATTTTATGGGGAGGAATTTTTGATCGGACTTTGCCGCGGTCGGCTTTTGGGGAAGGTGCCAATCAGGGTCGCACAATTATTTCTCGGTCCACATTCTCCCTGAAATCCGCGTCTATCAGCGTCTTCGCCGCACCCTAGATTTGCCCAGCCAGGCCATTGTGGACGATATCAATAATCAGAAGCAGGACAGCCGACCATTCTTGCGTTACAGGCCCTCAGTTTCCCCCAAACTTCTGAATTGCCTCCGTCCTTCATTTACAGAAAATCACCTGCAATGAAATGTGCGTTCCGCGCAAGGGGGATGGATACTGGTACAACATTATTTATGATATAGATGCTTCAGCCTGCTATGTACAATAGATAAGATTATGTAAATGTCCTTCAACTTAGCGACCGAGAGCAGCGAGTCGTTCTGCCACGCCTTCAAGGAACACGAAGCCATCCTGGGAGCCGAATTAATTCCTCTCCGAATACCAGACAAACCCGTCAACTCACTTTTGTAATGGTTCTTCCAACACATTTGTTCGTCACCTTCGCGAAATCCGACACGAGGCTCCCAAGGGCCTTGTTGCTTGGTGCAGACTTGACTTCATAGCGGAGTCGCGCTATAACCCCAAACTTGGCGCGAGCTGGTTCCTGCTGCTGCTGCTCAATAGTAGACCTTCCTCGGCTTGGCCTGAATAAAATGTAGATACGGGGGGTCAACTTTCCCGTTCCGATCACTGCGCCAATTCATACGCACCGCTTTGGAGGGATGAACACCGAAGGATCGTCCAATTGCTTGTACAGCACATCGAGGAACTGGGATCCCTCCTTGGTCAACGTTCTCGAACTGTTCATCTGCAACGCCTTGACAAACTCCTTCACCAGTCGAGCTAGTGAAGCATTGTCGGTAGCGGTTGACGCCTTCTTTGCCAGGTCCAACAATATCATTGCCTTCGGTTTGGCGTAGCGACGTTGGGGAAGCGCCGATTTGTTCTCCTCTGAGCCACTGCTAACATTAACCGTGGCTACCGGCTTCTCCTTCGATAGCAGTAATGTGCGGGGAACCACGTTGGTCCGATCTCCCAAAACAGGCCTGGCAGCCTGAAGGTTGAGATTGGTTAATCCATTAAGGATACCCTCCATCTCATCTCGATGCACCGCACCGGGCACGCGAATACGGAGTGGGGTGTGAATGGTAACCGGTTTGCGCTAGAGGCACTTCAGTCTCCAAATCCATCTAACCATTTAGAGAACTCACCATTTGTGGAGGTTGTGGCGGCCAAACCAGATCCTCACTCGGAGAATAGCCACTCTCTACCTTCAGCTGTCTGAAGTTCTCTATCCAAGTTTCGTAGTCGGGACATTGTTCAAACTTGAGTTTGCGCGTGTACCGAAGGAAGTCTTCGAACTCGACCGGTAGGCCTCGACATAGATCTTCAGGCCTGGCTGCGCGTTTTTCATCCATCAACGCATCGTGTGCTTCATCAGTTTTAGGGATGCCGTTGCGTGTCCAGGTCAGCCCTCTTGGTGTTAGGAGATGGATAAGCATCAGGGCCGCTGCCTCGAGGTCATCTCGCCGTGACGGTACTGCAGACATTGGATTTCATAAAATGACAGCAATGCAGTAGGAAGCAAATGAACTGACCTCGGCCTCTGCAATGGACGTTGACTGAACTGGCATGCCTCGTTAGACCCTCCAACAAAGCCGTGAAACAAAGCCGACACACCTGAACCAGTAATTGCCAATAAAGCTCCGCTTCGACCGACTGTCGGTGATGTGGCGTTTAGTGTGCGGGTCAATATACTGTTTCGAAAACCCGAAATCAATCATGTAAATCGTCTTGTCGTTGGGTGGAAGGCCAATGACACAGTTTCCGAGTTGAATATCTCGATGAAGGACACCTCTTGTGTGCATGAATTGTAATCGGGCGATCTAAAACACCATCGTCAGTATTGCTGGTGTGCTGGATCCTCGGAAACAAGGTTGACTGACGAGTTGCATGGCGATTGAACAAACGCTGCCTAGATCCATGGTATCCTTTCCAGTCTGTCTGAAAAGGTTATCCAAACTTGGACCCAGAAGATCAATGGCAAGGTAATCCCAGCCTCCCTGCATCCCAGCGGCCCACAGTGTCGGCATCCCCTTCCCTCCCTGCAAATATGGGTAGAGGTAGCGTTCGTATCGATTTGTTGGACATTCGTGGTCGACATCTTGGACTTTGAGGGCTACAACTTTTCCGGTATGTAGATGCTTCGCCCTGTAGATAGAGCCTATTGCGAGCCTAGTTAACCACAGTCTTCATCGAAGGCAAAATGCCTCTTGCGATGGATGAGGTGTTCGTACCAGAGTAGCCTGATCCAAGGACCTGTTCGAGGTAGTAATTTGCAAGGACGCGAGGAATAGCCTTCTTGCGTTCTACAACGTCATCATCCGAATCACTGTATCCGCTTGAATAGCAATCCGAATCGCTACCAGAGTGGGATGTGGACATGGCGAATGGTACTCGTTTCGCTTCCAGTCAAGGTGGCCTCGCTCGGGTGGCTGTTTCGTCGACGAACGGACGATTCTTGCTTGTTGTCGGCGTCAGATGTGACCAACGCAAGGCGGCGCGGGCAGCAGATGAGCGGCTCGAGGTGCACGCTGTAGCCTCAACTTGGAACACCTCGCGACACGAACCAACGCACGCGTCGGTCACGTGACTCTGGCACCAAGTGTCAAGGTTACCTTGTGACTGACTCGCGATCTCAAGCGAATGCTGTCTTCTCTGAGCCCCCCTTCAATAGAAAAGTTGCCAGAGGAATTACTTGACACCATTTTAGCCCAAGCCTTTTATGTGGATTACGACCTTTTCTCCCAGCGCTGCCCTTGTCCTTTGATCAGGAGACGCACCCTTACGACGAAGAGACTTGGAAACTTCAACTGGATGGTACACCGCGAGACCGTGTACGCTATTCTCGCGCTGTGGCTATCTCCAAGGCCCTGGCTCATGTACCGTCTTTACAGACGGTTTATTTGCTCCAATCTCACTTTATTCGGGACGGCGACGTGGTTCCTAACGCAATAAAGAACTCTTCCGTGAAGAAGATCTTTTCCAAACTCCCTCCCTCTTCCGACTATGCATTCCAATGCTTGTTGGATCCAAAATTGCCTCCGCGCCTGCGCGAGGTCCTTCGCCTTCCCCTTCCTGGACCTTGAAAACACCCGATCTATGTCCCAATTGGCGACAGAGACAGGTACGTGAGCGCTCGACTCGAGTTTGCTATTAGACTGATGTTTCGAGACTTTCAGGGCGCAATTGCACTCGACCTTTCTCTTCTACAAATTTCTCGGGGTTATGGAGAGGCCTCACAGACACCATCCTGGGGAAGAGTGGTACTGAAATCTCGGTCCTGGCTCTGTCCCACGTATCCCGCATCTATGCCAAAGTGGACACTTGGAATGCAAGGATCCAGTTTAACGTTGCATCATCACGGTCGAAAACGTCCCATTCACGGGGCGCCAGTACTCCCAGCACCTATACGAGAAGACGACAGCTTAACGAGAATATCGCGACGGGTCAATGTATTGCCAAGGCGTCACAGTCGATTTGTAGTACACTGGCTACAAGTTTGGACTCCCTGCGCACTAATTAAACAGTTTGAATTTGGGCAGTGTACCGACGCCCGATAGTCCAGCTTCCTGTGGCCCCACCGTAAACGAGTCATCCGCGGAAGAAGCCGTCCAGCACTGGCCTGTGTTTGACAACTATGTGCACAATGTAGAGTCGCTCTTCGCAGATACTGCTTACCGTTTTTGGTGCCGTCCGACTCGGTTGCCCCTGATTTTGACCTCCCCGATTCACAGAGTTCTTCGGTAGGAGAGGACTAATCGTTTCATCTGAGCCACTTCAATTGACCGCTTATCCCTAGATCGCACTCAAGTATTGCGCACAAAAAAAGGGTATATATTAACTATGATTCCAACTGGAACACATGGTCCTGAGGCCTCTATAATTCCAGTGAGGGATCCGGATGTGATTGAATGCTCCTAAAGGAGCAGTTAGCACAATCCCGAAGAATTAGACAGAAGCTAAAAAGAAGACATACCAATTCACTGAGCCATCATGGAAGGCCAGGGCTGTCATGCCAAAAAAAAACATTTAGGCGATGACGCAGTAGGCACCGTTGCCTGAGCCGCCGCCGGTCTCGAAGTTGGTGGGGATGTTGACGGTGGTGAAGGAGTCCATTGCTGATGTGTGATTTGAACTGCGAACAGTGAGAAATCCACCTTGCATCCAGCCTACCTTTTATACCTTTTTTCAAAAGGTCCATGCATCATTCCAAAGCGGCGCGCAATCGAGAGTGTCCAAGATTCTAACCACGACTTCAACAATTTAATTTCAAAAAACAATCGGGATGCTCGTTCGTTTTTGTTAGCGGTGGGGCTGTAGAAGGTCAAGGGAATTCGGAGGATGGCGGTCTATTCACCTTTGCATTCCGTCGGGTACTCGAGCGCCGTGCTTGTCAATTGTAGGGTGCCCATGCTCGGACCCGCTTCACCTTGTGTCGGTGATCGAACCGCCTGGCCTGAGGTGAGCATTCCAGCGCGACACGAGCGTTATTGTTTTCTGTGCTAAGCGCGAGCCCAATCAAAGGGAATCTGTTGAGCTGAATTTTGTCAGAGGTGTGTCACGGAGCCGCAATGACAATAGCGTGTAGAGGTTGGAAGGGCCATTGTTTGAGTCAAATAGAATAAGGACAACAGGTCCCTGAACTTTCGAAGTTGTCGTATGGGATTCATCGAGTTGTTCATTTCGAGTTCAAATTCGATTCACACTGCAGGATGTAGTTCATATCTTAGCAATTGATAATACAAGTACAATAGGGTCCATTCAAATCGCCCCAACCTCAAGCAATTCAACCAACCTACACCGGGCTATTGACGGTACCCAACTTGGCCGGAGCATAGATGTTCTGCTTGCTGCTCAGCTCAGTCTGCAACTTCAAGATCCTCGGCGCATCCAACCGATCCATCAACACCTCGATCAGCGTAATCTTGTCCGGGTTCATAAAGCTGTCTTCATTGAGCAGCCTATCCAGGTCCTGCTTGTTGGTGAGGGTGTGCGAAGCCGTTTCGGTTTGGCGATCGCCGAGGACGTCCAAAAGCTGGGACCATTTCCAGTCGGCGATGTCGTTGTATTTTCTGCATATCGATGTTAACGTGGGCCACGAGAGATAAAGGCGGAGAAGGGAACGTACCGGTGCTTGCCGTGAATCATACGTTCAATAACATAGCCGTGGTTGTTGAGGACAAAGATAATCGGCTTCAAACCCAAACGAATCATCGGCGACAGCTCCTGAACAGTCAGTTGACTATGCAAGCTTTATTTAGCACTTCTGAACGAAAATAGGACAGAGGCCAGACACTCACAGACTTCCATCTCCCACAAATAGAATGACACGACCCGCAGACTTCATCTCCCGAGCCGCGACCGCGGCCCCAAGAGCAGCCCCTGAAAGAAGATCAGCGGACAATCCAGATGGGAAAGGATAGGGACTGACCGACAGACCAGCCAATACTTCCCCAGAAGATTTGACTGAGGAGGTGCGACTTGGGTGGAAGCGGGACGTCCATGATACCGAAGTTGGCCGTTCCTGAGGGCATTATCAACTGCTGTCCGTGAGGTTCAGTTGATGAAAACACCCACCAGTTTCAGTGACAATGATATCGCCCGACTTGAAGAAATGACCCATTCGCGGCCAGAAGTAAGCCTGGGTAATCGACTGCGTAGCCTCTTGAGGAAGCCTATTGGCGAACGGCGTAACGGGGATCTTGTTGGCGATGGGATAGAATTGCTGAAGTCGGTCTTTCAACTTGGGAAGCAGTTCCTTAAAGCCGATGTTTGGGAACACAGCATATTGGACTTGAGTGTAGGAAGAGTGGAGCTTTATACATTGTCACCGTCAGTATTTCTGAAGAAAGGGGGAATGAAGTATTTTAGGAGAATACGTACTTCGATGAGACGGCGGGTGGGAATGTTATAAGTAAAGTTCCCAGAATTGAAATCAGTTTGAAGGGAACCAATCGAAAGAATCAATTTAGCCTTTTCCACTTGCTCCTTCACTTCCGGAGGAGTGACAGAACCAACATAGATCTGTGTGAAAGTCGAGTTATTAGTGTCATCGAATTATCAAAATAGCGCCATGCTTACTCCTCCATAGCGTTTCCAGTTCTCGTCGACTGCGGTTTTACCCATGGGAGCGGCGAAAACAGGGAAGCCAGTCTCTTTCAAAAACTCCATAACCTCCTTCCGGATGCCGTAACGCATAACACACGCATCGACGAGGACCGCGACGTCCGCTTCAGCCTCCTTGACTCTCAGCTCGATGAGATCCAGAACGAACTCTTCGACTTGAGACTCGTTCAGTGTTTCTCGTCGAGTGAGTGGCGTGTGCAGGCGGTTGGAAGTGATTTCGAAGCTGACCATATCGGTGGGAAGCATCAAATAGACTGGTCGATTCTGAATATCGTTATCGTTGAGTACTCGCTACTACGCTGGGAGGCATATAGATCACGTACCTTGGTAATACATTCGGACAAGGCGCGGTCGATCTCGGACGCCGCTGTGTTTGGGTCGTTTATCATGGTCTGATAGCAGGTGAATTGCCCGGCGGCTTTGCTGAACGCATCGAATCTCCCGTCTCCCAACGTATGGTGGAGGAGGGGTCGCTTCTTCTGCTGAGTGGTGCTTGGCACTCCAACGATATGGAGTACGGGAACCATCTCGGAAAACGCTAAGAGGTGGTAGGTAAGCATTGGCTGCACATAACTGGACGGGCGAGATTCACCTCCGGCAATTCCATTGGTTGCGGACAGTTCGCCCACTCCGAAGCTGCATCGTTTGTTAGTGCAACAGTCGAAGAGGTCGTTCAACAAGAACGCACGTGGTAAGAACGACGCCGATGGTGCTCTTGGCTCTGGCATAACCATCGGCAGCGTAGGCAGCGTTCAATTCGTTACTGAGAGGCGAGTTAACGAAGACCACACGAAAGTTGGGTTCATGGTGCATACCAGTTACCAACCCATTCCATCAAACGATGGTCTTCGACAAGATCCTAAGTTCTGCGTCAATGACATCGACAATGACATGCGGCGACAGACTCACAAGAAAACCAAGGTTGAAGTCACCGGGAACGCCGAACATATGCTAGCGAGGAGTGATGTCATTCGTTGAGAAACTTTCGGTAGATGAAAGGTGGAATGCTCACCCGAACGCCCAGTTGAGCGAGCCTGGTCAAAAGGTAGTCGCCAATTCTCACTGTGTCCGCGCCTTGTTTAGTATGCAAGGCCTGCATCTCCATACGAAGACGAGAAATCTCGGCTTGCAAAGATTCGATATTGCTCCCAGTACCAGGCATTTTTCAGAAAATTTGAGCGTCAGGAGCGAGTTGTGAGTAAAGAAGGGGGGTGAGGAAGGTAGGGTATATCCTGCAGACAGAATTTATAGACAGTCATCTATGAGCACATATTTGTTTGAGGCTTCTTGTCTAGAATACGTAGTTTCAGAGTCTTGCTTCTGGAGTGTGGAACCACGAAAGTGGAGATGACGAAAAGGTATGCGTTATCAGTGGGCCCGTCGCGTTCTTTGCTGCCTAGAGGAGGTTTAAAGATAGGACTTGGTTCATCGTAATCCCAGATTATGAAGCGTCCACATATATAGTCCAGAGGGCATTCGAGATCTGTTCCAGGGATAGAGACAAAGGCAACTTGATGACGACGTCCCGCAGACAGGGGCTGATTTGACGGAGTCTCGCTCCTCTCCCTGGTCCCTCCGACGCCGGATTGGCATGGACCATGATGGACCATGGACCAACCTTGCGATCAAAGGCATCGGCCTCTGATACAAGCACGGACAAGCAACGAGACTGATACCCTCAGGGCTCAGAGTCGGAGTCATGCATCATGATTCCTGGGGCCACGTCCGGGAAGAGGCAAGCTACTGTGTTCTAGGATAATGTACAGAAAGTTGTGACTGATCCCAGCGTCGATGCCGTGTATGAAGAAGTCCCAGAAGCATTTCTCTGGAGGTCCAGTGTAGCCGAGATAAGATTAGATGCACCAAATCCCATTTGATGTGACGTTGAACCCGCCAGCAATGCAAAAACAGTTTCCCTACCTCTACCTATATGGTTCTAACGCGCGTTACGACGCGCAAAGCAGCGTTCTATGCCAGCCACAAAAGGACTGCGCTAAAATGGGGCAGCGCACTGGCCGTTGGACTGGCAGCGTTTAACATGGCCAGAGGGCCAGCAGCGGCGCAGCTGAGCCAATGGTCAGGTGTTGTCCAATCTGGAAATGTCCGAGCCTTGCAACTCATAAGCAACCGGAACGCGTTTGGCTTGGGTTCTTCATTCTCGTCCACAAGATCTTTCTTTTCTTCCCCGCGCTCAAGACTACCAACTTCTTCTCTATTCTCATCCATCTCATCGTCGTCGAATATGGGCTTGACACCACCGCAACCACCTCCGGAATGGAACCACACCGCTGAAGATATCACCAGGCTCGTCAAGGAGGCGATTGAGAAGGATAGGGCCGTCATGGACAAGGTCGGGGCTCTCGACCCCAAGGACTGCAACTTTGAATCGGTAATTACCCATCGCTGAAGCCCATACATGTCCACTGACCTTGTGCTCCAGGTCTTCGTAAGTTGTCGCGAGATCTCCATCTCCTAAAGCAATCATTTAAATAACCGCGACGCCCAGCTTGCCCTCACAGAATCAGACACCCTCTTGGACTCGGTCGTGCAACCCTTGGCCTTCTACCAGAATGTATCGCCCAGCAAGGAGTTGCGCGACGCATCCAACGAAGCTGAATCTCTCGTTCGGGACTTTGGCGTTGAATCGTCCATGCGATTGGACGTCTACAATGCAAAGGTCGCTGCCGAGAAGAACCTCAAGGAATCCGGTGAATGGGACAAGCTCTCTCCGGAAGACCAGCGATTGGTCGAGAAGATGGTATGTGATGCTGTTGTCTGCCCCATCTCCCCAGCGCTCATCTATACCGACACTAGGTCTTGGATGGAACCCGCGCTGGTTTGGCTCTTCCTGAGGAGAAACGCGACGAGTTGAAGAAACTGAAGAAGGAGCTGTCGCAGACTTGCCTCGAGTTCAGCGTGAGTGATCCCAACCTCTTCTGCGCTGGATGTCGCGCTAACCCACTCATCACACAGAAAAACTTCAATGAAGAGAACGTATGTGTGTGAAGGTACATGTGTCCAGTACGAGAACTGAACAAATCACTCTTTAGAGCGTTATCACTTTCACCGAGGAGGAACTCAAGGGCGTCCCCAAAGATGTCATTTCCGGTTACACCAAGCGAACGGAAGGCGATACCACCGTCTATGATGTTACCTACAAGACTCCTGACATCTTCCCGATCGTAAGCCCTATCTTCCCCAACATCCGTTTCATTCCTCTAAGATACCGTATAGTTCAAATTCGCCGAGAACCCCGAGACTCGTCGACGAGCACAAGAAGGCCATGAAAGCCGTCTGCAAATCAATGTCCCCCTGCTCGACAAAGTTCTCGACCTCCGACGACAAATCGCCTCCCTTCTTGGCTACAAGACATGGGCCGATTACATCACCGAGGTCAAGATGATCAAGTCTGGCAAGGGTGTCCAGGACGTGCGTAGCGGCCGCTCTCTGTCATGGGTTTTCCCCTAACCCGTTTCCTAGTTCCTCGACGATTTGGAAAGCAAACTCCGCCCAGTCGGCGAGAAGGAGAAGGCCATCCTCCTCGAGCTGAAGAAGAAGGACCATGAGGAGAGAGGCCTCCCCTTTGACGGCAACTTCTACCTCTGGGACTACAGGTATTATGACCGCAAGTACATCGAGCAAACACTGGATTTGGACGACATGGTCGTCAAGGAATACTTCCCTGTCTCCGTCGTGGTTCCGACCATCCTCAACATCTACCAAAGCCTCCTTGGTGTACGGTTCGAGGAGATCAAGGGTTCGACCTGGCACCCCGATGTTCAGCAATTCGCCGTCTGGGAGAAGGACGCCAAGGACGAGTCGGGCTTCATTGGCTACTGCTACCTCGATCTCTTCCCTCGACGTAAGACGCCGAACCCAACGTCTTACCCCTCCAGTAACAGTGACTGACTTGCATTTTCCAGCTTCCAAGTACTCTCACGCTGCGGTTTGGCCCTTGCTATCGGGATACCAGAAGCGGGATGGCTCTCGCAGCTACCCGCTTGCCGCCATGGTAGCCAACCTGGCCAAACCCACCCCAGACAAGCCCGCTCTCATGCGACATGACGATGTGGTCACTTTCTTCCACGAGATGGGCCACGTCTTCCATGGACTGCTTAGCCGCACCAAGTTCGCTCGCTTCCACGGTACCAGGTACTTTGCCTTTCTTTCATGAGGGTGTCGAGCAGGCTAACACAGCCTTGAATATAGCGTTGCGCGCGACTTTGTCGAAGCGCCTTCCCAGATGTTGGAGAACTGGTGCTGGGAACCCAAGGTGCTCCAACAGATGTCGAGCCATTACGAGACCCAGAAGCCGCTCTCACCTGAGCTCATCGATAAAATCATCAAGAGGTGAGTCTTCCGCTTCCTCAGCCCACGAGCTTGAGCTGAATCACGGGGCAGCCGATACGTCAACGTTGGCCTGTTCTACCTCCGCCAGATCTTCTTCGCCAAGTTCGATCTGAAGGTTCACACTGACCAAGAGAAGGAGGATTACACCAACCTTTGGTCCTCGCTCAGGGAAAAGGTTTCGCTCGTCAAGTCTGGCAAGCCTTGCCCCGGACAAGGTAAGAATCTGGTCTCGATAAGCAGCGGCAATGATTGCTGACCATCGTCCACTGTCTGTAGGCACCTTTGGTCATATCACTGGTGGCTACGATGCCGGCTACTACGGATACACCTACTCATTGGTCTTCGCCGCCGATATGTATGGTGTGTACCTTCCCAATTTCTCCGGTCACGAGTCGATCTCTAATGGTGTTCTTTCAGCTACTGTGTTCAAGGCCGATCCTCTCGACCCTGCCCGCGGTAAGCAATACCGCGACAAGATCCTGCGATGGGGTGGAAGCCGTGAAGAGCTTGATTCACTCAAGGTAAATTAACGGTCCCCCGCTGTCCTCTCCTACCGGATCTTGGCAGAACTGACTCGACCCTCTTACTCTGACAGGACTTCCTGGGAAGAGAGCCGAACAGCAATGCCTTCCTCGAAGAAGTCTTCGGCACGGTCCCTCAAGCTTCTTCGCATCTCTAGATTGTGCCCTGATATTGATACATTGCTTGATACATCGGAATTGCAAGTCATCCTGTACACTATCATAAGTTGAATCAAACCCCAGTTCTAGATTTAAATCGACGGGCGTCCCAATAGAATAATTAAAGTTAACAGGGAGTGGGGGTGGCAAATTGTAAACGAGTCGTTATTGTTTCGGGCCGCGAACTTCAATGGTAGGAGGCTCTTCGTCGTCTTCATTGTCTCCCTCAGCTGCGTCATCGTCGTCGTCGTTGCCGTTGAATTCAGCGGCAGACGAGAAGTCGGGCATACGATCCACACTTCCCGGACCGCCATCTCGACGCTTTTCCTCCTTCTGTAGTTCATCACGCATGGCATGGACGTCCTCTTCGACCTTTCCTGCAATACGATCAATACCAGCTTCGGCAAGTTTGACACGCCTGCGGGAGGTCGAGAGGTGCGCAGCTTTCTTGGGAGGACGCTTGAGACGACGGCGAGCCACCATGACAGGCACGGAACATTTCTAAATAGAACATTAACAATCCTATTTGGAAAGTGTGAATGCTTAGGCAGTCGAGCTTACCTCAATTAGATAATGCGAAGTGGAACCAAGAAGGATGCTGAGGGGTATCTTAGCAAAGGAACACAGGAAGAGAAAATACCAAGAAGACCTACCCGTTCAAATGACTCAAACCTCGGGAACCTACGATGAGCATGGTAGGTTCGACGTGGTCCACAATGTCTGGCACAGGTTCGAAGAGTTAACACTGAATACCGAACGCAACTCGGGCCTACACACCTAGTAACATGTGCCTTGCATTCTTCGCATGCCAGGCCTGGCACGCAATGGTGACGTTGAGACGAGTACGTTGCAAGAGCCCCGTCACTTGACGGGCGAGAATGTAAGCCATTCCTTGACGCTGGGAATAATTATGGCTAGTCTCTTTAATCCTTCTCGAAGGTAGATTTAAACACGCACCTCTTGTTGGTTTCTAAGTTTAGTGCTACGATCTGCAGCATTTGGCACTTCCGGGTCAACTTGAGCGAAGGGTTGAGAGTATGGACAGAGGGGGACAACAGAAAACATACCTTTTGCTTCATTCTCCATGACGTTGACCAATAGCATCTCATCTCCATCTCGCAACACAGTGCCAATCCCCCACTCGACTGCGTATCGGGATTCATCGCTCAGATCACTAGCCACGACATACCGTCTGCGCTTGCGATCCAGTTCAGTCAATTTGGCTTCGGGGTCACCTTGAGTGATAGTAATAGTACAGCGGTCCCGTTGGAATACTGGCCTCGAGGTGTTGAGTGGAAGCGGTTCGTGCGTTCGCATAGTCTTGCGCCTCCTAGGGTTCCGTTTACCTCGAGCACCCGTAGAGTTCAAGGTAGTCGGGAAATAGGGTTCAAGCGGCACCACAACGTTAACGCCTTCACCAACAGGATCGGGGTCTTCGACTTCGGGCAGGGGTTCAGCGGCAATAGGGGCGATAATGGCGTTCTGTTCCGTGTTCCTCTCTGTGACGGGATCAAAGAAATCCTCGTCGCTCAAGGAGTCGTCATCAGAATCGCCATCGCTGGTATCGTCGTCAACGTTATCCGTGTCTTCCCCATCCATGAAAGCCGAACGACTTTGGACCGTTGACTCTGCTTCGGAGTACTCCACATCGGAGTGCCCGAGTGGAACAGGTTGGGGTGGCGGAGAGGAGTCGTTGCCGCGGGATCGCCACTTGCGCAGGGAGAATGGGGAAGAAGAGCGGGCACGCGATTGACTACGGGAGGCTGCCTGCTTCTCGGGAGGAGCTTGGGAGGCGGATTTGCCACTACTCCGCCTTGTGCTGAAGAGGGATCGCCCGCGATCGTCCTCCTTTGTGTTGGTGCGCGACAGAGATAGCATGTTGCTCAACGACTTGCCGAATAGATTTCTCTGCGAGTCGGCGTTGGACTTGTGTGTTTGCTGGGAACTGGTACGCTCCAGAGCGTTTATAATGATTTGCGAGGCCTGGTTGTCTAGATCCTGTGAGGGCGAGGTCAGCATGTTGTTGGACAAACGTCGCTTGGGTGTTCCAGGAACAGAATTCGGGGGAGAGTCGAAAGAGAGATTGCGGATGATCGAAGAGGGACGGGACAGGCTGGGTCTGGAGGACGAGACCGCTGCTGGGGCCTCTGGAGCTGGCGTGGAGGCCTTTGAGCTGGGATTGCTGATATCGAGCTCCTCGCCCTCCTTGGGCGTTGCCAAATTGACGACCGAAGACTGATTAGAGCGTGTGCCCAGTCCCAGTTTGCTCAACGCGCCGTTCTGGGTGCTCGATGAAGAGCCAGTGCGAGCCATGGCGACGGGACGAGTAGAGTTGGCCGACGTTGGCCTGGAGATCATGCCCATCCATCCCCTGCGCCCCGCCTTTGCGTTGTCGTCGTTGCTCATGGTGGTGGTAACGGAACAAAGAAGATTCAAGTTAAAATCTACAAAGCTTACCTCAGTATCGCTCGGGGATTTTGTATGATGATGAGACTGCGAAAAGATCAGTCAGGACCCAGGAAGCGACCTAACCGAGCCTTGGCATACCGCATCCTCCATCATCACTGCCATTGCGGTCGTCTTGAACAGGCCACAGTCTGTCTTACCCCACTTTGCGGAAGGATGCTCCCCGTTTCACTCTACACGTGATATTCTAGATCACCTATAGACTGTATTTAGTAGAGAGTGGCGGATAATTAGTATCAATACACTAGGATAAGTCTAAAGTAATAGGCTGAAAGATCGTATCTAATATTATACACTAGCAGGGCGCTTCGCTCGCCACACAACTTTGGGCTGATCCCCGTATAACTCAGTTTCTCTCTCCGACTCCGCCTTACCAACCCTGGACAAGTACCGCAGATGCTGAATCGCAGGTGGCGGCTGCATAAACAAGTTGGGATTAAACTCGGCTTCTTGCTCGGAAGGCTTCCCGCTATGATTGAGCGAAGCCCAGTACGCTTCCAGTTCGTCTTCCGCAACATGCGACGGGATGAGGAAGGCAGGGTTCTGTCTTGCCCTGGCGGACGCCAAGTTCTCTCGCTTGGTCTCGTTTGTCAACGTCAGCCGTGAGATCTTGTATTTCATTGTCCCTGAGAGTTGCAGCCAGCCGGTCAGTATAAGAGAACACATGGGCAACACGGGAAGGGTGATACGTACAATCTCCGTCAGTGGTGACGGCTGCCTTAATACCCTTTACAGGATCCTCTCCGAGGTAACTCGTCACCTCAACGCGCAGCTGTTCAATTGGACGCTGCTCTTCGGGTCCATTCCACTCAAGAGGTTCCACCCAGATGTACATTCCCTTGGTATCTTCTTTGGTTTCAAAGGTAGCTTTGAGGGACTGACGAAAGAATCAGAAAAGGCGGTGGCATGGTACGATCTGCGCAGCGTACCTGTTTCTTGAAGCAACCCGCCACCTCATCCATAACCTTTTCCATCAATCCCACACACTTTTCAAACACCCGATCGCCGACACCGGGTTCGGTGGAACCGTAAAGACAAGCATCCATCTCGGAGAGAGGGATATACTGGAATCCAAACATCCTGCCAGTGTTGTGGTATGCCACTATCACTCCATCCATGTTTCCAATACGGACTTGGAAACTGGATAACCCATGAGCATCATCGCTTCAAGCACAGTATAGAACTGCTTACCTATATTTCAAGAACGCGGAACGAATCAGATCGTAGTACTCTTTCTCAAAGCTCTCGAATCGTCCGGTCTGTTTCTTGATGGTATATCCTGTGTGTTCCTTGCACGCGTGTCAAATTGAGGACAGGCATCGACGAGAAAATAGGGACACACCTCATAATTCAGAATATCTAACCGCGTTGCAACGCAAGCTCTCGTCTTGATATCGAAAACTCCTGTCCCAGGTAACCGAGGGTCATAGCAATCCAGTTGCGACCGCATAACAAATGCTTTCGACTAACCAGGCATGAGAACCAATGGGCGACCGGGAGGTATGAAAGAGAACGCACCTTGGCGTAACGATACGGTTCCCGCTCGTTTTTCATGGATTCTGATTCCGGAGGTTCGGGAGAAGCCTTCAACAACTGCTTAAATTTGGCCGGATTGAGGGTGAGGAATTTCTCCAGGAGCGTGCCCTGTACAAACCTGTTGGCAAAACCTCTACGAAGCAAGGGATGTCTCTTACCAGCCAAGTAAGAACTGTCTTCTCTGGAAAATCGGTCTTGGACTTGTCCGAGTCAATGCAATACACCCCGTCCTTGTAGTTGAGAATGATGGAGGCCGGCCATCGTTGTCCAGGAGAGAACGTCTTGGGCTGTAAAATTCGTCAGACATGGCTGCAGACCTGACGGCAGGCATAACGTACCTGGTTCCTGAACGCCTGGCTGAGACAGGACGTGTCGACTTCTTTCGTTTCGGAGATCAAGAAATAACACTGCGAGAGGATACCGCTAAGCGATGATGTCGATCCACAGAACCGCTTCTTTTCTCGCAAAGCCAAGGAGCGCAGGTCGTTGTCCCTCGAGCTGGGTACGAAACCAGGAATGCGATCGTAGTCGAATTCTGATACTTTTGGTATCTTCTCTAACCATGGGGTAAAGTTGTAAACTCTCGATCGCGGATCCTGAACCCAATGGACACCTGGACTATAGAACGACTTATGTTAGATGTGGACATTGCATTCAATACAGAGGTAACTTACTTGAACAATACACGATCCAACCCGTGTGCAAGTTTCGCGACTGGAGGGCGAGGGAAATTGGGAACAATATCTAATCGCTATTCGTTAGTCTCGGGCACCGAAAGGAGCCAAAAGGGACACTTACCTCGAAGAACCTCTCCTTCTGGCTTCAGCACTCCAGATACTTCATTCCGGATGAGTGCACCATGAGGGGGCGGGTCTCTCAGTCGTGTCTCATTGGACTTGGACCTCTTCTTCTTCTTCTTTAAGCGTCCCGTCACCGATGGCTTGAGTAGGGTTTGGCCTTGAGCTTTTGCCTTCACAGTCAAATCTACAAGCACAGGTCAGTGAGCTGGATACGGCCCTGAAATGAAGGGACATACCGTCCTTCCACTCTGTTTCCTTCCAATTCTCTTCCATCAACTGCGACAGAGGGGATGGCTTCTTGGCAATAGGTGTCTTGAGGGTCGGCGCCGTGGCCTTCGAACCATTCTTGCTTGGCGCACTCGACGCTGACGACTCAGAGTATATCTCCTGCAAGTGCTGAGTGACAGATGAAGATCTTGTCGGCGGTTCCTGATTACTAGCCTTCTTCTTCTCGCCCTCTAGTGCGCGCCATTCCGTCAAGGATGGTACCTCCAAGGTGCCGTTTTGACCGCCATCGAAAGAAAATCTTTCAGAACGTAGTGTGTCCGTCTCCTTCAGCTGTTCCTCTGTGCTAGTGGTGGACTCCCTCCGAATAGCCCGTCCTTCTTCCGCGAAGTCCTTGGTCTGTTTCTCTTGAGCCTGTTGCCTGACATGCGCATGAAGTCCACTGAGGAAGGGTGTCGGTGCGTTGGAGGACTTCTTCTTTTTACGTCGAGAACGTCGTCCTGGGATGTCGTTCACATGATTAAGCGCCGGACTTGTTTCTACCGCTGAGGGTGTCGCCTGTTGGGGTGTTGCAGACGGTGTTGAGAAGAAAGCAACATGGGCGACTCTTGAAGATGATGCAGACGACGAGGACGATACAAAGTGTGAGAAGAGCGCCCTTTTGCAGGTATTGTGAAGCATAGAGGTTTTAAATGGTGACAAGTGTTCGTCCTGGACGCGCCCTTGGACGTGACGGTGCTGGACGAAAAAGCAGCTTGCCATCAAAACGGGGAGCGCTGCCATCTGATGACGGAACAGAGTCGGCCCGGATCAATGATTTCACCATGACAAGCACAGAGATCAGCTGTGACCAAAGGGTCCTCTTTGGCTTCTTTCCAATTCACCGCCTTCAACAGGTCCAGAATCTTCTCAAATGGCGGGATTCTTCACGTCACTGTTTCAATGGTTCACAGGGTGAGCAAACTCTTGTCTACCTGTGAAGGCTGGCTGATAACGTTTCGTAGGTTATTCTTTTCCAAACAGGCTGAAATTGCCGTCGTTGGGTTACAGGTCCGTTGCTATCTGTTGTGTCTACGATGGCCCACCGACAGTCTATTACTACCAGGCTTCTGGGAAGACCTCGTTTGTCAACGTTATAACCTCTGGCCAGGTTCGTGTCTCCAGTACTGCCAGACCGGAGCCGGGATAATGACGAAATACGGGTCGCGTAGTGGAGCGAAGATGTTGTGCCCACCGTGGCATTCAACTTTCGGAAGATCAGGAAGGGCAATGTAACACTGAAGATTTGGGACGTCGCTGGTCAGGTCCTTGTTATCCGTGCATGAACCCGGGGCTAACCAGACCCGATGCAGGTCAGCCAAAGTTCCGCTCCATGTGGGAGAGGTATTGCAATGGAGTGGACGCGATTGTGTGAGTCCGCAGCAACAGTCGTTTACCCACCCGTGGCAATGTATTGACTCCCTATCCCCTCAGTTATGTTGTGGACGCCGTTGACGTTAGTTCCGGTCTTTATCCCTTCTCGCGCCCTCACTAATTGGGTCGGCCCGCACGCTTATAGCAAGACAAGTTCAACACTGCACGCTTTGAGCTACACCAACTCCTTTCGCAGCCTGGGCTGGCAGGAGTGCCACTGTTGGTGGTATGTGCTACTCGTTAACGCAAGCGCTTGTCACCCTTCCTCTGATAATCACTTCCCTCAAGCTCGGGAACAAAAACGACTTGGACGGGCACGCTTCCGTCAAAGAACTGATCAAAAACCTGTAAGCCCTATTCCCCCCGGTACACCAAAACTGCTGCTAATATGGCCGCTCCCTTCTAGTCAACTGGACAAGATTACAGATAGGGCTGTGTCGGTGAGTTCTAGCGCTAGTATCTCCCTTGAGCAAACCTAATTCAATCTTGTCACCAGTGTTACTCGGTTTGTGTCCTCTCACAGCTTACGAGCAGCGTTCTAAAGCAGAGCCTCCTTCCAGTGTTCGATGAAGAGCCAGCACAATCTGTAAGTTTCCCTCTCGCTCTTCTGAAGACCGCGCTCATCACCTGTTCAGAGACATCGTGTTGCAATGGCTAGCATCCAAGAGTCATTAGGCAAGCACATCCCCACAAGCCTTCCATTTCACACCACCACTCTGTATTATTATTCCCCCTCTGGATATCTGTCGGCTTGGACATTCGCAGTTTCGCTTCCTTCTGGAAGTCTTTCAGGTGTATATCATTGTTTCGTCATATGCTATTCCCGGGTAATACACGCGCACGCAACTTGCATAGCGTCTGGGCTTGCAACGTTCAAATTGAGAAGATATGCTATGCAGAGGAGCAAGGAGAGTTCGACTGCTATCGCCGTTTAGCCATTTGCACCGTCAAGTTGTCGATGTACATTTGCAAAGTCTCGTTGCCCGAAATGAGCTTGTCTACTTCTTTCTGGACGTTTTCTGCTTTGGATAACATGGCTACAAGAAGGGTTCAGGCCAATCAGCAATTCAAAGCATGCAAGGCACATACCGCGCAAGTCCTCCTGGCACGAGAAGATCTCCCTATTCAGTTTGTTCTCCTCAGTAAGGAAACCTAAATTGTATTCTGCAGTTCAACGCACTTTAGGATCTGCTCCTTTCGAATGGCATCCTTCAATATATCCCCAGATTGTGGAGAGGTAACCCCCCAACCGGCGTTGGCATCTGGGTAGTCGTCAAAGTCCATCTCTGGTCGTCGTCGTTCGTAACAAGATTCAAGTCCTCACAGCCAAGCAACAGCCCCTGTCTGCATCAGATCCCGGCGGAGTTGCAATTTCCAATCACAGCACTGACGCGTCGTTCGTCGCGTCTCTCCACCAATTCATCGTCAACTCCCCACCCGTTACCCATTTGTATTCGAAACCAGAGACACAAGAAAGATGGCCGAAACACTTCTAGCATTCAAAGCTGGCCGGGCATTTCGACGAGAAGGCACCAAGTTTGTCGATGCAGACGCTACAAAGGGCGCGATTATCTTGTCAAATGGGGAGGATGGGCTACTGCATTTCATTTGGAAGAATCGAATTACGAACGAGGTTGCTGATGTATGTTCGTGGTGTACTTGAACGCAGAGGATTTAATGCTGATGGTACTACTTGAAGGATTTGATTCTGTTCCCTGGCGATGCGACTTTCTCCAAGGTCACCGAATCTAATGGACGGGTTTGGGTGCTCAAGTTTGAATCGTCTGGCTCGAGGCACTTCGTGAGTCTCTCCTCGCTGTGATATTTCATTAACGTTAATCAACCTATTCAACTAGTTCTGGATGCAGGTAATCCTTTCTGAATGCAATGAATCCCTTCAGTCGTTAATGAGCCCGCTATCTGAAGGATGCAGACTCTTCCCGAGACCAAGAATTCGCTGACAACGTGAACCGACTCTTGGAAGACCCAGAAAGCGAACTCAGCTGGAACGTTAACATCCAATCTACCAGCGGGTCGCAATCAACAGCTGCTCCGGCTGCAGGAAGCAGTAGCGGCGCTGGTAGCCAATACCCGCCAGACCAACTCGCTACTCTCGCGGCTATCCTGAGGGGTGGAGGAAGTGGAGGCAACGATGCCGCTGCTGCTGCTGAGGATGAAGCCTTTGGTGTGTACCATGCACCTCCCTGGTTTCGTTGAATGCTCACCAATCTACCAACTTTCAGCACTGACCGACGTCCTGACGCCAACTAACCTCGCACCATTATTCAATAACCACCCTGAGCTCATCCCCACATTGTTCCCTCACCTACCATCGGATCTACCCGTCCCACCCTCGGCTGAAGCGCTACAGCGAGTCGTGAAGTGAGTGTTTCCCAGTTGGCCGTCGATTCAACATATTAAATCCTCCCCTAGTTCGACGCAATTCAAAGCTGCGGCCGCTAGCCTAGATCGAGCATTACGAACTGGGCTGCTGGGTGGGTTCGTGCGGCAGTTGGGCCTCCCAGAAGAAGCGGGTCTTGGACTAGGTCCTTTCTTGAGGGCAATCCAAGAACAGGCAGATCACGAGAACCGAGATTCTGGCAACAGAATGGACACGGATTAGAGAACGGTTCATTAGCAGAGTGAGCTTTCTGTATGTTATTACTACAATCATATACTACCGGCATGCAAGTCGTGCTGAGCGTGAGGGCGGCAACCAGGACGGTGGATTGTGGAAGGTAGTGGTTTACTCAATAACTTCGTCAACGTCGCTATGAGCCTCTTCTTCCTGGCGCTCGAGCCTGCGTTTATGATTCTTGGCTTTCTTTGCGAGATCTTCATTGGGCAAGCAGTCGGAGATGGCGATCATTTTCTTACAGCCAGCGGCAGGGCAAGCCTTGCTTCCCCTCCCAAGCATAGACCGAATAGCGGCGGCGTCGTAAGAGTGGCCGCATAATCGTCTGTTGGAGGTGTGAGTGCTGATTCCAAGAGGACAAGCAGCTTTACGTACGAAGTTAACGGGTCAATCAAAATGGTCAGAGTAATAGGACACTTGAAGTCCTGAGTTTGACCACCGATCTCGAGGTCGTCATCGTCACTATCATCCCCATCCTCTGTATCAAGGATGAGCATGTAAATTCAAAGAGGGAACAAAGTCGTGCCTTTCTCAATGAAGGTGGTAAGCGGTGGCATAGGCTGCCCTGGTTTTTGTGCGTTCTGAACGAAACACATTCAGCTGCCGTCACCTCCAAAAATGGCCAGACAAGCTCACCCAAATCGAAGACCTGAATTCGATGTATGCGTCAGATTTAGCGTACTTTTGACGCGTCGTTTTCTTCTGGTATTCCTCCTTCTTTGCTTCGACTCCTGACATGTAGCGGTCCAGGGCATTGTCCTAGTCGCACAATTAGGAAAGTATATATGGGGAAGATGCACGGAAGACATACAATTTTCTGGCCTTGTACCAACTTCTGCCTTATGTCGTCTATGACCTCTTTATGGCTGATCATCTCTGTACTGAGGTCGATGAGTTCTCGCATCACGCTGTCCAGCGATTCGATGGGCTGTAACCAAAAGGGTTACATAAATTGCCAAAGAGCGTATAGCAATCAACGCACTTCGCGAGCTGCCTCCTCGTCCACGTTATCCGCAAGAGCAGAAGCAATATCCTGGATCATACTCCAGTGCTGCCTGGTGCTAAATTCGACGTTTTTCCAGTCGACACAGAGACCGCGCAGACCAGCTTCGTTTGCTGCGGGCAAAGGTTGGTCACGAAGCTGCGACACGTCGATTTGCTCATCATCGCCGTCGCTTTCAGAGACTTCATCGTCGTCGTCCGAATCCTGGGTATTCTGGGTGACCTTCTTCTGCTTTCCATATTTCTTCCTAGACTGCGTTGCGGTCCTCGAGGGTCCCTCTCCGTCGCTCACGTCGTCATCAGCCTGTCTCTGGGTGACAACATCGTCTTCAATTTCTTCCGAATTTTGACGTCTGCTCGTTGTTCTGCGGGATGAAGAAGGCATGTTGTTAGCGTAGTAGTTGGGTGCAAAAAGTCGCGTGTTGAAATAATGATTGCGGTCGACGCGCTCGTGGTGTTTGTTTGGCAAACACCCCGGAACCAAACGCTGGGCCTTGTGAATTTGCTGTAACTTTCGCGCGTTCGTCACTGTTACAGACGACGACGACCGCCTATGTTTTCCGCACTCCGAGCGTTGTCTCGGCCGTCGCCATCGACATGGGCGCCGCTCTTGACGCGGACGCTGGCCAACCAACAAGCCCCTAGACGGGCTCTTCTGCCAACACCGACCGTAGCAGCGGCTTTCCAACAGCGCTGTGCCTTCCACGCTACACCGTCGGCATGGAGGACAATGAACCAGTCCATGCGCAATAAACGCAAGCCCAAGAAGTCTCTCGAATCAAAGTCACCACTTCTGGAGAACTGTCCCCAGAGAAAGGGCGTCGTCACAAGGCTCATCATCGCCAAACCCAAGAAGCCCAACTCGGCCAAACGAAAAGTCGCTCGTGTCAAGCTGACCACTGGCAAATCTCTCATGGCTTACATTCAAGGTGAAGGACACAACTTGCAGGAACACAGTGTCGTCTTGGTTCGTGGTGGACGAACGAAGGATTTGCCCGGTGTGGGGTATGCTCTTCCGCTTCTTCCGTTCTCTTCCTGTCTGTTCACGTCACTTTCAGTTATAAGCTTGTTCGTGGTGCCCTCGACTTTGCAGGTGTCGTTGGCCGTGCTACCTCGCGTAGTAAATATGGGTGCGTATTCCAATTTGGTTTTGTCCCATTCCCAGGCTAACCGTAATATTCCAGTGTTAAGAAACCCAAGAAATAATCCATTACTCCTAGTAGTTGCCAGTAATCCGTATCTAATGCTAATCCAGTCCCATCCATGCATGAATTATGTCCAAGCCGTTCATTTGTTCAGCTCTATTAATTTCCCAGTCTCCATCAACTTCGCCTCCCGTTCGCACTGAGTCCGAGCAATCTTCTCAATCTCGGTGTTCAACGCCCAACACCACGCGTCACGCTCGATTCGACTTCGCGTCCGAAGCACCAGTACCTTCTGCTTTGTCGACAACGTCGGGATGTTCCTACTCGAGGTTGGAGCGTTTGTTGGGGCATGTTCTGCATCATTGGCCGAAGGTTGGCGTCGATAGAGAATCATGAGAAGCATGTCCTCCTCCCGGTCATCCGTCTCCAGTCCATCTTGATACCGACGGGGAGCTGCGGGCTTGTTGGGTCTGTACTGTCCTTTGGGAAGATTCAGAGCCGCGAAGTAACCGGAATACACATAGGCGTCCATCAAGTTGATCTTCTTGTGGGACACTGTATGAAGGGACGACCCGGGCTTGATGCGAAATCGAACGAGGTGGCCTGCGACAAGTAATAACTGCACCAATCTACGGGTGGGCTCAGCGTCGGCGTCAACCGTTCATGTTAATGAAGACACTCACTTGTACTGTCCTCGAAGCCCCTTCCTCATGTAAACCTTGCCACCTTTGGTGATAGGATTGCATCCTTCAATAATGCACCAATTGTATAGGTTCTCCATCGCTGGGTATGGCGCAGACATATCCGCTGGTGCTTCTGGGGGCGATTCTTCCTCCTGGCACACTCTAATCTGCGGAGTCAACCTTGGTCGACGGGCCTGTACAAGCTCCATCTCTTCCTTAGCATCAACCCTATGCTTGTGCTTCCAGAAGGTAATTAAGGCACGCAGGCGGTTTATCCATTCAACAGCCACTTTCCGCGAGTGTGTCTGATGACCACCATCAGTGAACTGACGACGACACCATTGCATGACGATCGAAACACGCACCTCAAACCGAATGACGTTCCCTGTCTCAAGGAGCAGTTCGAATGATCTTCGCACACGAACCATTGTTCGGTCGCGGACTGTATTGAGATATGCCTCTCCGCCTTCGTCTTCGTCGTCATCCAACGTGGATGTTTCGGGCTGCGACCAAACGTCCAGCCAACTCGCATCATCACCGGCTGGGCGGTCCTTTTGGTCGTGTCGTGTGGGAGGCACAGGTTGGAAAGCACGCCGCACGGCGACAATGCTTCGCAGGTCGCACACACCACTGGCATGCAGAACCTGATTGGAGCCACGCTCCACTTCCGACTGCCGAAGTCCCGTTATCCAAGAGTCTAGGTCCTGCAAAGTAAGCGCAAGGCCGGGTGGTGCAGGGGGATACGCGTTATCGACATGCTGTATGAAAAGGAGACCATTATGCGTGGAAAGATACAGGGATTGCTTGAATTGGGTGTTGGGTTTGATCCGTTCTACGTAACCTTCGACGGAAGGAGGCTCCTCGATTTCGGATCCATTCTTCAAGTGATAGTGCGTCGGGGCGTGCGATGTCAGACGGATCTCAAAATTTGGAGGCCGAGAGGACTAACACCGCAGGGAGAAAATGGTAAGAACGACACGAGATCTCTGAAAGGGAGATTTAAATTTACCTGAAGGACAGCTAATCCGGCGATTGTAGCCCATGGTCTTGACTTGCCAAATACGTCAACTTCTAGCCACATCCAATCCAGACTTGCATCTCTGCGCCAACATAGCTCTAGTCTCTTGCCTTCTTGGGTAATTTCACGCTCGACGAGTGAAAACCAATCGGGAACAGAGCGTAGCGACTTCATGCAGAGAGCAATGACATTCTCGCGCGAGAGGATGTCGTACAGCTCTTGATGGTCGATCTCGCGCCGAAATGGGACATCCACCGTCACTCTCGTGTTCAAACGTGGATTGTAAACGTCGATGGAAGGAGGTATCTCCCCTCCCCGATATCTCCTGAGAAAAAAGTTTAAATCGTCAGAATTGTTGGGTCGTATATTCCAAACTTGTCAGATATACCAGAGCTGCCAGATCCAGTCCCACGAACGCGATCGACTCTTGTGCTTGAAAATGAAGATGTTGGTCCCTGGCTTCGATCGACTGAATATCCACCGAGAGTTGGAGTTGAGACGTGTCGACATGGGGGGACAAGTGATGCAAAACGTCAGATCAACAAAGGAATACAGCGAGAGGCTGGTCCGGGATGATTTCAGCGGGATGACGAAAGCGAGATGCTTAGTTCCGGTCAGGAACTCGCGACCTGGTACTTTCTGAAAAAGATAAGCGGTGAGCACATAAAGCGGCTATAGAGATGGCTCCAACATACATGGTCCTCGTAGATTTCAATCAAGTCCTTCCTCCACGCCACCAAGAATTCACCCCAATCTTCATGCTGGAGATCGCGTGTAGTTCGGTGAATGGAGTCGTCAAACTTTGGGCTCAGACCGTTGGATTTAGAGTAAGCAATTCTGACAAGCATGCGGTCTCTAAGCAGGTTAGCCTTGGAGGAGAAACACGAAACGCACGCTACATACCTCGCAGTATAACATCACCCCATTCGAACCCCGGAGTAAGAGGGGTTAGCATAGCACCTTGGCTAGTGGTGGGTTCCACTGTGACTTCTGTCCTTTCGAGAACCTCGATTGGGGGTACGGGTGGAGGGGATACGACTGAGGTTGCAGATTGGGTTATTGGCACCTCCGAGTCGTCCTTGATTTCGTCCCCGTAATGCACCTGCCTCCTCTTCCCTTCTGCCTTGGCGCTCAGATGAGTGTCGCTAGAGCCTTGGCGGGCCGAGGAGAGTGGGCTCAATGGTCCTTGACTTCCCGAGGCCTCTGCGTTTGCCCCATTCGCTGAAGAAGACAATAAGCCCGTCCGCGAGTCGGCTATCGAGTCGACACCACTGCCATGAGCTCGACCTGGAACCGAACTTATTGAGGCAGTCGATTCAATCGGAGGTGGACCGAGGTCCCTAGGATGTTCGGCACGAGAGAGGACGATGTTTGGTATCTTCATAGTTGAGGCGCTTGCCCCTGTCGGTCAGTCCTGTCAGTAAGCAGCTAAAGGCAAGGTCGGTCGTCACTCACCTTTATGCATAGTCATATACGGCTTTGAATGCCCTCCGTGAAGGATATTGACCCCCAATAATGAGCCTATTTCAAAGCTTCCTCCCACCCAATGGCTAGCAGGTTGCCGTGGCTCGTTCTTGCGTCTGCGTCGATTGCTCCACGCTTGTCCCCATTCGCTTTCCTTCCACTTCTGTATGATCTCGTCTGTGATGTGCCTCTCGCGGTCTTCGTCCCAATCGTCTTCGTCCGAGTCCCTACTTTGCATGCTTGCATTGTCCCCGGGCCGTTGAGACTTGTGATGCGCGATAAACCGCCTCGCATGCTGCTTGACAACCTGCACGATGTCTTCGCTCTCTTCCGGCTGAGCAGTCTCCAGTTGGCTGAGTGTGATTGCTCCTGTGTCGGCCTTCTTGCGCTTTATTCCTTGCTCGATGTGTGATATGACCTTTTCAGGCATTGGGCCGATGAAGACACGTCGTCCAATGTGACCAACATGGTTTCGGTTGGTAGCAGCCAGGATCCGCGCCAACTGGGCGTTCTGGTCTACATCGCTCGCTGTGTCGCCTTTGAGGATTGTCCACGAGCTGGGGTCCATGTCCTGGAGTGACCGGGTGGTCGCAAAGACCACGAGCCAAGGACTGGAGATGGGCTCGTTTGGGCGAAAAGTGGTGGAGTGTGTCAAGTGCTTGCTCGAGTTGCCATCGGACTCAGAGCGCCAAAAATAGAACATTGATCATCAATCCCATTTGCCTCCGAAACACGATGATCCTTGCGAGTGCAGACTGGAGATTGAATTCCTCGAAGCCACATGGGGCATAGGCATATGCTACATATTAAGAAATAAAAATGCGAGTCTAAAGTGAAATGACGAAGAACTGAAGGATTTGATGCAAAATTTTGATCCAAAGAAGTCCATTGGAGAGTCCAGTCTTGGCGGTCGTCGAGATTATTAGGAGTATACAATATCGTTAGGCGGAGAGGGGAGGGGAAGTCACTGCGGACAGATTGGTTTACTTCTTTCCAAGTAGTTCATGCGATTCCTTGATGTACGCCTCTGCTTCATGGCGTTCGAACCTAGAAGGAAACGAAATTAATACCACCACATGGTCCGAAGATAAAGGAAACAACATACTCAATCTTCTTGCCCTTGGTGTGCATGTCCGGTTCGCGCAATGCGAACGGGTTGACATCGGTGTCATGGTTAAGGTTGGCGAGACTGTGGTTCACGAATCGGTGCGTAGATTCGTCGGACCTCACAGCGTAAAGCAAATCGATCATCTTCGCGTCTGGAGACATCCGCCAGTAGTCAATGGCGATTTCCGGTGCCGGTTTACCCTCCCTGAAATCACGATGGTCAGCGAACGTTTGCTATACATTTGCTTGAGACCTCACCATTCAGGGATCAGACCGTCTTCGAGTTCCTTGATACATTTGGTGCTAGTGATCGGCCGTGTTTAGCGCCGGAGCGGAAACGGGAAGGAACGCATGACATGACGTACTATGTGACAACGGCTTCCTCTTCCAGGTAGCCAACGAATCGATGGCAGGTCTTTGGAGAGAATATATAGGACAGGACTTATTAAAGGTAAGGACAACATGTCACAGGCTTATCAGTAGGACTCACAGAAGAGGTTATAGAACACGCCCTGAGCACCGAGGACCATAGCCCGGAACGCTATCGAAGGCTTTCGAAGAGTCATGAAAGTCCTAAAGTGGGGTTGAAGAAGTCAGCATGTGCACGTGCGGAGAGGAGACGCTGACTGACATTAGATGCATACGCTCATTCTCAGCCTCCTCGAGGCACGTATGAATCCTGTACAGAAAATAAACACACTGCTTCGACTAAGCTCATGCATTCAAGCTTACCAGCCGCTGTCACGACGCTAGTGATGTATATCAGCAACTGTCTTCATGAGGCTAACTGGGCGAACGCACCATAAGACGCAAACTCTGCAGATGTCGAAGGGTGGCTGCAACCATGCCTGGAACTCCGGCGATACTCTCAAGGAAGAGGATACGCTGCGTCGTAAACAAATAAGCTGAGCCGAACTGACTAAATCACGGAAAGCACTTACACGAAGCCAGCCCTTGTCGTCGAGGATATACCCTTGGTCTCTCAGATGTTGAACTGTTAGATCCTTGTAGTTCGGAGGCAAGGGCTTATGCTTGTACCCAGACACCAAATCGAACATCTTCCGAGCCAGGGTGACAAATCCTCTCGCTGCCTTGTCGGACAAAGTCTTTGGTTCACGATGGATAACCTTAAGTTTGACACAACACGTCAATTACTTTGTCTATCAAGATTGAAACAACACCTTACCTCGACCGCCTTGAGTTCTTCAGATGAATAAACGGGATGGAATAGAACCCAGTCTCCTCGGACCATGGTGGGTACCGTGCTAACCGCACTCTCCGTTGTCAATGGATCTGCTTTTGGTGCCTCCTTCGTCTCAGACTTGGTCGAACGGGTTTCTGTTTCCCATTAATTAGCCGGTCGAGAAGGCTACGAGGCTGAACTTACCTGTATGGGTTTCACGGGTCTTTGCACTGGCCGAGAGCGCCGAACGAAGATATCCAGTAGAATGTAGACCCCGGCAAACAAGAGGGCGAGCCAGAAGTCTAGCGGTAGAAAGCGTCGTGGGCGTGCGCAGCTGCACAGCAGTCGTCCGAAGTAACGTAGACTTGAGCATGTTGAAAAATAGAGCGCTTGGATGAATCTGCCCATCTCCATTGTTCCTGCTCCACTTATATAGGACCTTTGCGAGAAAATAGGCACCGTTTCGTCCCGAGGTCTAGTCATAGCTATTCGGAATGCGGTAGCATCACGGGCTTCATCATTGAGCGGACCAAGCACAATTTTACACGCCTATTATCAATCAAGTCACGTACACAGTGGACAACCGAGTCCTAGGCCTTTCTGGGGGTCCAGGGAAGAGCAGGAGGACGGGTTTCGACGTATTCGAGTTGGCGGTTGCTTTCCAGGAGCCTGAAGTGAAATCATGACAATGGTTCGTCCAGCGGAAGGCTCGGTTGTTCCGTCTTGGCATCCACGCGAATTGGGGTACGCTCATCCCAGAATGGCAACACACCGCCATTTGGGCTCCGCACTCGAGTCACAGCCGCCGGGTGCATAATCGTCATGACTATCGGTTACTTCCGGATCGTTCACCAATCGTCGTGCAGATATTTCACGCGACCTGCTCCGAATGAAAACCTCGAGCAAGTCGAAGAACAGAAGTGGTTCGTGAGTGCGATCTCAGCTGAAACTTGTCGTAACTACTACCTACACGGAGTAGCATCGATCGCAAAGGGATTGTCCGTTCCCTAATCCAATGTCATTTCATCGATCCCAAGGTACGGAAGACGTGACAAGAGTGGCTGCAGTTGAGACGGAGTTCCTTTCCTAACAATCACTCTGAACCCTGCAGTGAGCTTGAAACCTCGAGTCGAAAATACATGAGAGAAGGTGAAACTCACGGGCTTCCAAGGTGCTCCCTTCCCGTAATCATCACAGAAAGAATCCAATAGTGTATGCATAGCCAGTGGTTCTAGAAGCTACTGTCGACTTGGATTAGCAAGTCCCATGATGCCAGAGCTCAGGCGTTTAGGGCCGTAGAACACATTAATGTCATCACTGAATGAATCATAGAACGCCGCCTCCTTCACTGGCAGGAGGGAAGGTACCCGCGGGAGTATGGAGAATAAAACACTACGTAGCAGGCCCCACCCAACCTTGCTTCCCGCACCCCAGTTTTTAGTGGACGGCCGACCGCCACTTGGCGATAGGTCTCATCATCGAGCTGCGTATGTCGCACCAGCGATGATGTTGCGCCACGCACAGTTAGGTGGGATAGAAGGTCCTGATCATGCTGCGCAACTGAGGCCTCTATTAATCAGTCGTCCGAGTGACTTTGCACCAGATCCCTGGGTTGATCATGTTGTCTGCCTGCAGGCCCAGCAGCCAGGCGTCTCGGGAGAACCACAGGCAATATGACAAGTCTGGGGATCGATTTAATGCACCGGATTGTCGGCTCAACGAGCTATCATCAGAAAGCTACGAATTTGGGTGGACATTTCCGACCAATATTCGTTGAGTTTTGTGCATCCCGTTGTGAAGGTATGTCGAGCAAGCTTCATCCCTTCTTCTCGAAGATGAGGTAACCGAGGTCGAGCCATTTGAAATAGTCTGCCGCAGGCAACGCAATTGCTCGAAATCCCTCCTTCAAACCAGAGAGAGAGGCATTAAACGAACCAATAGATTGCGCACATCTAATTCCGCCGAGTAGGTCGATGGATCTAAATCGATCAAACGCATTGGGAAGGTACAGCCCGGGAACCTTCTTGCCTTATGTGTGAGGCGCTCTCCATTGATGCCCTCACGTCCATCTCGAATTGATCTCGAATACGAGTAAAAAGACAGATTACAGGAGCATGACCTTGGAGGAAAGAAGAGAACCAACGTTCAGTCAATCGAGGAGGATCAGTTGCACATCGTTATTACCTGAAGATCGGTCGTCGAAAACATGGTTTCGGCGTTGAATGGGCCTAGACGTTAGAGGCAAATATACCTTCTGCTCGTGCTGCAGTGGGTTGCCTGCACGAAAGGGTGTTCATGGCCATCGATTGCCAAGCCTTCTGGCCTTCTCCCGGTGAATACTCCCATAGATATCACTTGTGTCAAAACCCAGCAGACTGGCGGAAGCGTCGAATGTTGCGGTTTAGTCCCCCAATTTTTTGTTCCCCTTACGTTTAGGCGTTCAGTTGTAGTCGCCTGAGCCGTGTATTTCGTTGTCTAGATCAAGGGGGTCTAGCACGAGTCCAAGGGGGCTTTTCCCGGCAATCGTCGCCACACCCTGGTGGTCGTTATGTGTTCCATCGAGGTTCCGTCGCCTCATGCCCGTTAGTTTTCCACTATAGGAAGTTCAGAAATCGAGAACTTGATCGGTGGTGGCAAAACGTCTCCACAAGCGGGGACTGATGTGAAGCCAGACGCTATGGGCAAAGAGCAACCAGAACATTGTAAACTCGTAGGGTTACAGTCCCTAGGGTCGATTTGGCCATAGAGGGTCTCGACGAGCAGGATCTAGGAAACAAGGTTGAGGAATACCAACTGGAGAAGGTCGTTAGGCGCTTGACGTGGGACCCACAATTGGATAGTTGATGGAGGAGGACAGCGCGTGACCAAGCAGTATTTGCGTCCGTTAGAAGTGGTGCTTCGGATTCTCTCTGAAAGTAAGACGGCGAACTCTGAGACTATTGGGAAAGGTGAAGGGCCGAATGGGATTATAACGGGTCCGATGGATAGCAAACGGCGCTTCCTAGTTGGATGTTTTGATTGTCAGCAACTCCCAACTGCCGAAAAGCAGCGAGTCGGTTATTTGTTCAATAGCCAGAGGTCATGGGGTTCGAGAAAACAGAGATGTGGTGCATAATTTTTACATACAGGGACAGAGGTCCAGAGTGGTCGGACTCGGACGTCGAATGCGGTGGCGTGCGCACCGGTGTCGAAACAATATCAGAGCAAGGGATGGAACACAGGAGGTAACGGGGTCCGAAAAAGGTGGGACAGGACGAGACCCCGTAGCAAGGGGCAAGGCGACGAGGGTTTGCTAAAGGTAGGACCAAGAGCTGGAAGACAAGTCCGCGGCTGCAGCACAGGGTAGAGTGGCGAAGGGCATTGTAGGGGAAAACAACGGGACCCAAACGGGAAGATAGAAGACGACCCAAGTAGGCAAAACGACGACCGAGATAGCTGCTGGACGGTGATCTTGATCAGGAACAGCAGGGGCTGAAGATACTCTGGGAACAATGTTTTCGAGAGAGAAACCCCTTGAATCTCGCGGTGGCACCGAATCGATGAATAACGGGAGAGACTTTGGAAGGAAGACGGTGTGTGCCGCATGCGCATCGTTGTTGAATAGATCCCGCTGACGATCCCGCAATCCTGGCAGGTGAGATCTATACCCTCAAAGAAGAGGTTTGGGCCAAATGATAATGCGACCACAAGAAATCTTGGAATATTATAACACGACCAAATTGGATGTCGTCCGAAAATGGCAAGCCCCGTGTCTACAAGGTTTTGACCAGGACGACCACTATAGTTGAGCCTGAGGTGAGTCTATATAAGAACCGGGTCGAATTCACCCAAACGCCCCAAATCCGCCATGGACGTCCATACTGACGATAACTTTGCCTGCTACAGGTCGGACTACCGCCAACCAGACAGATGTGTTTCTACTAGTGGCCAGACCCAGTCCGTAGCCTCTTTGCCTGCCTGCGACGATACTTGGATATACCCAAACTATACCGTACCCCAGGCTTTCACTGGACGAAACCAAATGGCCCCAATGTACACGACTCAGCGTCATCCAGACCAGAGTTATCCCTCTCCATCGCCTTCAGTCCCTTCCCCGGGTCCTCGTGTATCTCCGACCCTCGATCTCTCATCCCAGACCCTGGGAGGCCTTTCAGGCGATAATTTGTCTGCCGAATTCTGCACCCGTGACTCCAGTCTTGGGCCAGTCAGGACTTCTCGCAGTCGACAAGCTGCTACGACCTACAGGCTTTCCCGCCGGACGTCGATCTCGGACCCGCAGGTCCGTGGCCCGCCGTTTATACCTTTCGTTTTCCCCTGTCTAATCTACCTTTAGCTCTCGCTGGATACCCCAGAGTCGCGTCCAAGCACCCCCGCCGACGACCCGTCGGACCTTGTTCCTGAACAGGGCCTATCATTGAACATCAACGGCTCCTGCCCTCTTCAATACCAGCCAGCGACACCCACCTCTCTCTGCTCCCCATACATGACACCTTATAGCGAGTACCCGCAGAATCGCCCGCCATCGGGCCATATCGACGGTCGCCCGCCATCGCCTTCCCTCACTTCCAGGTCTTACATGGCCTCGGGTCCCAGCAGTCCAACAGCTGCCTACTTCCCCGATGTCTCCCCAGCCGCCACTTACCATCGAAACACTCGAATGAGGAAGCACACCAAGAAGAAGCTCGACTCGTTAGAGAAGAAGAGGATCTGTTTATATCACCTCGACCACCAAAATGCACGTCAGGAAGACATCGCGGAAATGTTTGGCATCGAGCGCAGCACCGTCAGCAAGATCTTGAAACACAAGAATCAGTGGCTCAATGTCGACGATAATGCAGAGGCCCATGCTAAGAATAGGTATGTCAAGTAGATCCATCGGGTTCCTTTCAAAGTCAAGCTAATTTTCCGGATCGCAGGCCATCCAAGTTCCCTGAGCTCGAGGCGGTGATGCGCGACTTCCTTCAAGAAGCTCTCGACAAAGACATCCCCCTCTCCGACTCCCTCATCCGCACGCGTGCCTTGGAAATCGCAAAGGGGCTCGGCATCAGCGAAGAGAAGTTTAAGGCGAGCTCAGGGTGGGTCGAAAACTTCAAGCACCGACATGGCATCCGATCTGGCAAATGGACTGGCGGTGTCAAGCACGTTCCGGCGTTCGACAATCCCAATCCAGGCCTCTATGGCCACACCGCCATGGCCTCTCGTACCTATCAGCCCCAGTTGCAGATGGACTCGGAGGATTCGACGTCTGGTAGCCCCAATCGAGAGTCTTCTCCCGAGCTCGACGATGATACCGGAGATCACGGGCGCACAAGACCCCAACCGCTACATCGTCCAGAAGACCAGGACGACTCCCAATGGGCCTCTTCGTCATCCCAACGCCTCTCCCTCTCCTCAGCAGCTGTACTCCCCTCGCCCCTTTCAGCATCGTCAACAAACTCTGCAGATGATGGGCAATCACCCCAGCAGTGCCTCCCCGGTGGAGTTGACCCTAATTCTTCGGTTGTCGACATGCATGCTTCATCCACCACCTACCTCCCACCGGAATCCATCCCCTACGCTATTTCGACTGAGCGCAGAATTCCAACTCTCCAGGAAGCGGAAGATGCGATCAACATTCTCATCGCCTACATCGACTCTAACCCCGACCGGATCCTCGAACACTCTGAACGAACGACATTAACGACGATAAAATGCGCACTCTTCCAATACGCTAGTGGCGTCCCCTTTGATCGGCGCTGACCTCGGCTCGACTTTCCCATTGTGCGTGCCTCTGTGGATCTGCTTCGACAGGAAGGCTCAGGCATGTCAGGTGCTTCTTACCTTCACTAGGAGCAGAGCATCGCGGTAGCACCTCCAAAAGAGCGCGCTAGCTCTCGAGGTCGCTCAACCTCACAGGACCTTCGTTTTCATCTTCCATTCGTGCGGGTTTACGCTACATTCTCGTTTTCTCGATCACGACTAGCTCGTCACTCCCCCTGAAAGCATCATTTCGCTAGCAAGGTTTTGGTGTGCTGGACTACTTTTCGTACTCTGGTTTCTTTTTCTTTCTTCAATTATAGTTTCTTACTGGGGGTCCATCGAGCCGTAACAGCATTCGGCCTCGTCGTCATCTTTTTATCCTCGTGTACATATATTTCATCATTGCCTCGTTTCCTGTCATACCCATGGGATTTGGATTTGGCTTTGGCTTCTTTTGCTCCACTGCAGTCTCGACGGTCGCGCACCGCACTTCAATGCATTTCCACTAGTTTGTTACCCTTTTATGACTCTATGATTCCCCTCTGCCTCCATGAACCCCATGCGCTATGCTTTGTCCGTGTGGCCGGTATTAGCTCGGTACGAGTAGACACCCATCTTCAACACCATCCTATTTTCAGTAGTCACCACATCATCGAGCATTTTCTCCTTGTTTATCTACCTCTCGCCCATTGCCTCATTCAAGGACTATACCACCCTGTACAGTATATAATTATTACCGAATTACAGAGCCTCCGGAATCCTTGTTGGTTTGGAGGACTGTGTACACTTGCTCACAGGATAGGACGATCAGAACGGTCCTTCTACATACATTTTCAAGTTGTATTCGCTGGTCAGAAATCCGTCATAGATTCGTGATAAGGTTTGTTATGTACGGGGTTGGGATTCTAGGGTGCTTTGGAGGCAAAGCTTCATGGGCGCCTTGCAGCAACGTTTCTGTGACACGCGAGCAATGTTCGTTTCACCTTCATGGACCAGAGTCAGCGAAGTACAACTTGTCACACCACGTCTGGAGTTCGCACTCCCAGGGTTGGAACACCTTGCGACGTCCGTCGCCGTTGCACGATAAACATATTGACCATGGTAGCAAGAGAAGGGTTTCAACCCTGTGGTATTACTTGGTTATCATACTCTCATCCATTAGCAAACACATGCATACTACGAAGAGAGGTATCGAAAGCACCAGAATCAGGTATCAATTGGTATGAAATGAAAAACTCACGCCCTCCAGGAGGGCGGAGGAAAGTTGAAACATGGCGAGCGAGCGGTAATGCAGCATAGGCGACGAGGAAATGGGTGCATCGGCATCACAGGGAAAATAGGAAGCTGCACACGCAAAGAGCAGAAAGAGAAGCATTAACAACAAGAGTACGAAAGTCAGCCAGTGCGCACTGCTAAAAATACAGCTTGTCAGCCCATCGAGCCAACGAGGGAATCATCATCGTATCCGAGGGATCTTCAGAAGGCATGAATTCGAAAGCAAGAATAGCGAGCGAAAACGAAAAAAGTCGAGCGCGGGATTCATGCAAAGCCGGGTTCTTCAAAGACATGCAGCGGGTGTCATCGGACAAAACTCCCATACGAATTGTTCGGTGTTGGATATGCCTTCACACACAGGCAAGAATGAGTGAAACGTGCAGTTAAGACGAAAGGTCCGATGTGAAGATAACTCACCGATCCATTCGTTGAATGTGAAGTTGTACTGGTCGGATCGTCGATGGCCATCGCATGTCCTTGAGGCGTTGTTCCCGACGGAACTGACTGTGGGTGGTGATGATGCTGTTGATGTTGTTCTGGTTGATGCTGTCGATGCACCTGGATTGCAAGCTGGGCAGAAGCCAAGGGCTTCGGGGCTACCGAGGCCATATGATTAAGTTCCAGCTCCCCATTCCTAGCTGTATTGAAAATGCGTCGTAATTCTTGAGCTTGATCCCCTGCTTCCTCGTAAGAATGACTGTACTGCTCTAATCCGGCGATGCAGTTGGAAACCTCCGGTCGGCCGAGTCGCGCGAGGAAGGTTCCTGCGTGAATGCAACTGACGTGCATTACCGCAGGATCCAGACGTAGATATCCGTTTGAAGTCAGAACGGCAGCCTGTTACCGAGTTCCAAGTTTAGATGTCATACGATCAGATATCTAGAATGCGACCATCTTACCAAGCCTGCTATTCGAAGAGCACCTTGCAAAGCCTCTTCGACCACCTTCTGTTTGGCAGCCTCGATCTGGGCCGCATTTGGCGGCGGTGTCGCACGTTGGTTCAATTCTTTGACGCCAAAGTCATCCAGAGCAGAGAATAGGATGATCCACATGACATGGTACGTTGCATCACTTGCACAGGAAGATACCGCCTGTGAAGAAGGGAAGATTCAATTCAATTCAATAGACGCCACGATGACAACAATAAGTCAACCCACCGAAACGAAATCCCATTCGCCGTCATAATTGTTGGGAACTCCAACAAGACTGAGATAATTGGTGCGCCATTCAACCAATGCTTCAGTGAAGCTTGTCAGCGCCTCGAACGGGACGCCGTCAGCGTCTGTTGATGGTTTCCACAATGTTCTCGACATTTGGCGTGCAGTCCGGGCGAGTGAATGGGCGGCGCGATAGTAGCCCTGTCCGAGGACACGAAACAACGTAAATGCCACTTTTCGGCTCTCGACTCGGCCTAAAAACGTACCAGGAACTGAAAGCGGGGGATCAGATCACAAGGCCGTTACGGAAAAGTCATGGTCGCTTACCTCCAACTGCTCTCTCGTTGATGGCGCCGGGTTTGCGGGGTCCGAGGTCTCTTCGGGAGAAGGGCCGACAGTGTAAAAGTCAATGTCGTAGTCGTCGTCGTCCAGGATAGGTTTTCGACGGTAATATGCACTTGCGTACGCATCTGAAATGCAGGTCATCCACCACGCGAAGATCATTGTCCCTCGGCTTTCCTTATCCGGTAGGTTGGCCATTGTGGACTTGTGATTGATCTAATGGTAAGGAATGGTCAGAGGGAGTGGGGAACGATAAGGCGTCGAATGCGAAGAGGTGCTTCGTTCGCAGAGATACGGAGAAGAAGAGAAATGCGAACATACTCCGAGTCCGAGAAGATGGCGGGTGGCAGCTGTCAACCAAAAGCCATGGTAGCCTGCAGAGCATTGAAGTGAAACATTAATTCCGGAGATCGCATAGAAACCAGCTGTTGAGCCTACCGTTTGGATCCTCGGGGTTTTCTAAGTCCAATGAAGGGATAAGTAACGTTGACGAGGCTACGCAACAAAGACGATACTCACGGCTTTGTAGGGGCTCGATAAGTAACGAAATGACAACGTGGTCAGACGACGGGATGCGGTGCACCTTCAAAGCTTCCGCGAGATCTCGGGCGCGATCAACGAGCGTTTTTGCGAGAAGACTTTGGCCGCTTGGCCTTTTACGGTCCGCGACGAGGAGAGGATGCTCCGAGAATTTGCTGCCCCAAGCTACAACAGTGGCCACAAGGGCGGGATGTAGAGGCCGGCTATCGTGGTTGAGGGAATGAGGCTCCGGTGGCTTATTTTTGGCCGTTATACCCAGTCTATTACGAAACTGGGCGGGGTTAAGAAGGGGGAGGCGTGTATGTACGATCTGGAAGAATACTTCCACGAGATCATACGCGAACCTGTTAAGGCGAGAGATATTCGATCAGCAAGGATGCATGAAAGACTTGGGCGAATAGTCGGAAAGCCCACACTGCTTCGACGACCTTCAGGTTGCCCGAGGTGCCTTTGAATACAAAGGGCCGAGAAAGGCAGATGTCCATGTGGCGTTGAAACACGGGCTGATCACAATAGGATGTTTAATCTGCGAACAAGACTCACTCAGCTCTAAAACTTTCATCGTCCAATTTCGAGGCAACCTCGCCCCAAGCGTCGTAAGGGGAATGAGGTCGGATGGGAATGATAGGGGAGAATTCATTAGCGCTGGAGACCAATTAATTTCGATTGTTTTTAGTTTTGATTGATAAATGGACGCACCTGGAAGAGTCTGGTGGCGCAAAAATATAGGCCAGGACGTCCTTTGTGGGCGAATCGACAGACAGACGGGGTTGGAAGCCATATCTCACGTTGAGTGGGAGCTGGGCAAGGGCAGACACGGGAGAATGGGAAAGAATGTCGTGCACGGGGGACGGACTAGGGAGGTCAGATGAGTTACGTTGATCATTCAGTGAAACAAACTGAATGGAAGCGTACTATTTGGAGACAGAGCTGGGATAGCGTAAGACAAAACGGCATAAACATGCGATGGAATCACGATGAGAGGCGAGAAAATCGTCAGGGGCGAGGGTTGTGGTAGGTGGGCTATTGGTGAGACGTACTGCGGTCCTGAGCTTAGGTTTCTCGGTCTCCGCGAAAGAGCAGCATTACGCTTCTTCTCACTAGTAGCCTGTTGCACATAGTGTCTGGTGCGGCAATAGAGTCAGCCACGGTTTGGTAGGGTCTGGGGTCCTGGGGGACAACGACTAACGTGCAAGGGTAGTTTTTGGACAGGCAATGCTGAGGCCAACCAAGTTCAAGAGGTTTTTCTGGACGAACGAGGACGGAATGGCTTACTTGACACTGAATAAAGAGAAACGACCGGTGTGTGAGAATGGGTGGATATAGAATACAACAACAAGTAGATGCACCTTCTCCTGACCCGGGAGCTTGTTACACTTAACTTTTCTCGACCTGATGCAGTGTCAGATTGGGCCAACATCGGTGCAGGTTATTCAAAAGCACCTGCAAGCGTCGCAGGCGGTGTTCTGCTTTCTGGGTGGAGGGAGGGTCTTTGCCAGTTCATGTATCTGGTTCTGGAACGACTGTGTCGGTAGAACAAGGCCTGGGGAACGCCACGACCTGTGAGCAAGAAAAAGAGGTTGAATTGAGGAAACTGACCCTGCTGGTGGGCTGAATGACGAGGGTCGTGAAAACGGTCCATGGGGAAGGAGGAGGGACGGAAAGTTGACTTTTGATTAGGGCAGCAGCAAGATGTATTGGGCAAGGATGTATTATATACTACATCAAGGCAGATCCAGCCCTCGGAGCCGACTCAAAAGCTGTGCACCCGTCCTCAGTCGGTCCCGAGAACAACAAAGTCGCCTGCCCTTTCACGGAAATATTCCCCTCAGTCCTCGGCCATGAGACAGCCATTTGCAACTCAAACCAATATGTCCAGGACTTGGGGGAAGCTATCGGCCTGGACAGCAGAAGCGCGGCTTCCGTAGCTTCTCTTGCAATTCAGTTTGGCCGCCAGCGCGGACCAAGCGCTGCGAACAGACTACCCAGCCCTCTGCCCCAAATTACCGGATTCTCAACCTAAGTATATAACGCAGATATTGTCTTTCTGGGGTGTGACATGGGCTTGAGACAAGGCAGGGGCCACGGCAGAGGGTCGCTTGTCGACAAGCAGGGTCCCACGGCAAATGCCGACATGTGGTCGAAAATGATTCCCAGCGCCAACGGAATTATTCCTCACTCACAACCGTCATCATGGTCAAGGTCGAAATCGTCGATGACAAGGACGAGGGCAACTACCCCTATGCCAGCTCTTCGTCCTCGAGGACAAACTCGACAGACTCTCTCTCTTCCGTAGAGTCAGACCTCTCCGTCGATGAGACCTTTGCAGAGCGTCTCGCCGCCCTCGTCGACATTGTTCCCCCGACGACGCGCCACTCCATTCGTTCAAAAATCTCCAAGACTGCATCGGTCGTCAAAAAGACAGGCAAGGTGTTCGGAAACCTTGTGTGGGTAGTCACCACGTCTGCTCTCCTCGTGGCCCTCCCGCTGGCACTGGCCTTGGAGGATGAAGCCAAAATCGTCGCCCAGGAGAAGGAAATGCTTGAACAACAACAGGGAGCTCAGGTTCGCGCCCTCATTTCTACCTTTCTGTGCTTGCAAACTTATTTCTTCCTTGCAGCTCCTCGCCAATGGCGCCTCACCATATGGCCTGCCGCCATCTGAACAGCAACAACCAAAAGCGCTCGTTCCTCCCGGTTTCTGATCGCTCACAGACATTTAGAGAGCACACCCACCCTACCTATATTTCGTTTATAATCTAATGTCAACGATGTACTGTCACGCATGCAAGACTCTTATAATGCACCACCCCAGCTCAATGACCGAGTACGCAAATTTCCCCGCAGCGGTGAACGCTATGCGCTGGCATATGACTTCAGAGTTCGCACGGCTCTATTCAAGAATTTCAAGTCTTCAAGGAAAAGCATATAAAGAAGTCTCCATCTATGTGTTGTATCTATACGACTACACGCTGATAAACTAGTACTGCTCGGGCTATGCAAGTGGTCAGTAAGGCCACTCATTAGAACACGGAATGCACTTACAACGACAGGCTGGGGGCGGGGAGGGAACACCACAGGTCGCACAAAGTTAGCACTGGAGGACAGGACGTTAGCTTTCGCGTTAATCCCAACAGAAGCAACAGTTACGCGGTACGGTAGCGTCTGAGATACGTGATAGCATGGTCTTCAATTTCAGAAGGGGTGACGTCGACGACATCCCAATCTCCGGGAACCTCAGAATCGTTGATGTACCGTCTAACAACCTCGTCGGGGCTCAGAGTGGGCCACCACACGGCGTTTCCGAGTTTGGCGATGTTCTCAGCCACGATTCGAGGAAGGGTAGGTGCCTTCGAAGGAGGTTGAAGGGTGACAGAGGACACGAGGTCCAAAAGGTATTCGTAGGTGAGAGTCGATGGCCCGGGAAGGTTGACGGTGCCGGAAACCTTGGGGTTCCTAACCAAATTGACAAGAGCTTGTGCAACGTCCATCACCTATGGGTTGATGAGAAACAGACCGAGTTGGTGGTGAACTCGCTCGACTCACATGGGCAGGTCGGATTTTGGTCTCGGCATTGTTCAACTTCCACCAGATGGGCCAAACTGTTTACTTTGTAAGAACAAGAACAGCATAGAGTCGTCCAGTAACTTACTGGCCATGTTGGTCAAAAGCTTGTCCTCGTAGCCGTACAGAATCGAAGGTCGAACGATGGTGGCATTGGGGAAAGCCTCGAGCACACGGGCTTCACCTTCTGCCTTGGAGGCGTAGAACTTGGACGGCGAGTTCTCCGAAGCGTTGAGGTGAGAGACTTGGATAAAGCGGGAGACGCCGTTCTCTGCAGCAATCTTGGCTATACGCTCGGCTCCAAGGGCATTGACTTGCTTGAAGTCAAAGTTCCTAGCAGATGTAAGGAAGAGTCGGACTCGGTGACACAATAATAGACTCACTTGGTGGTATAGTCTCTTCCGACAAGGTTAATGACAGTGTCCGAGTGTCGCAGACATTCAGCAATGGATTTTTCGTCCCGAAGGTCCCATTCCTTTTCACCAAAAAGTTAAACCCCGAACGAAACCCGGTATACAAACGTAGGAGCACGCACCATTCGAACAATCTGTCCGAGGTCGCCCATGAGCTTCAAGTGGCGGGATTCATCTTCGTCTCTGTAAGGAGCAACGACTTGGGTGCCGATTTTGCCTGTAAACACGTTGAGGAGAGAGGTCTCTGCAATAGCTCGAACGGGATTGGCCAAGTACCGAGTTTCGACACGAGATATCTTCCCAAGAAGCCAGTGCATCCAAAGACGGTGACGGTGTGGCCTGAAACTGCGCTGTATCCTGGAGGACCGTAGGAGACGACTGGTTTCTTCGAAGGAAGGGTAACAAGGTCGTGGTAGGCCCGCTGTCATCGTTTCTGTGAGCTCGACGTTGGCGGAAATGGGCGTTGCAACGTGCTCACCTTCCCGACACGAGCTATACGCTGCACTTGCAGCGCATTCTGTTTAATGGCGAGCATTCCTCCAGCGCGCTGGTTGAGTGAGAAGTTGACGACGACGAGCTTGCCAAAGTTCGGTGGATGGCGGGATTTGTTTGATGTCACGTGACACGACCTTGGGAGCCCAGCGAACTCGAAGCTTAGCCGCTATCTTTCGTCTGTAACCTCATCTTCTTTTCTATCGACCATGGCGCAGGGAAAGACAAAGGGTCTTCAGGTTAAGACCCCTTCAGGAAGAAAGGCGCAAAAGGCCGCCAATCCCAAGAAGGGCAGGAAGGTCATCCCACCAAAAAAGGCTCCTCTAATCAAGCAAGCCCAGATGCAAAAGGTTCGTGCTCGTCTTGACCTGGGGATTGGTGCATCAGGTCTCTGGAATCTGGTGAAACCTTTACTGAAACGAAACGGAATACACAGGCCCTCTCTGCTAAAATCAATCGATCGGTTGAGGGTCAGATGGTTGCTGCGGCGTCCTCGGGCAAGCTTACTATCATGAAAAGTCTTATTGAAAGGCAAGTATTTTCTCTCCATATCTCGTTGGGCGCTTTTTACTGATCTCATTTCGCGCCTTTTGCTATTGTTCACCCTGCTATTCGTACCCTTGACGACATCAGGGAGCCATCCTCTTCAAAAGGCGCGAAGAGTTCCAAACAGAAGGCAGGGAAATGAACTGCTGCATCCAATCACCGCCAGCCTATGTGCTTTCTGTTGCTGAGGCTTGGGCTCACGTTAGCAGTACCCCAAAATCTCTGTCACATCCTTGAAACGATCCGTCCAACCTACACCAAGTTACAACCATAACCAAACGCATACCCATTCTGACTGCTTCTGACATTAAAAATTGGCTCTGAATTGCGCCCGTCAAGCTTTGTGAGTCGTTTTAATAATGAAAAACTGTATTGAAGCGAATTTGAAAAGGCTGACGTTTGGACTATTGGTGCAATCACTCCAGTCATACAAGAACGCCTCTCATTTCCGAGTTTCAACCATGGAGAAATCGTGTGCTGTTTGAGGAAATAGTGATTCTTATCTCCTATCGCTCCAATATCGAGCGTCTATCCACAAGGCTCTCTCCTTCAACCTACCCGATCGAGCATAATGGATTGGGCGAAGCAACTCATTCGAGCGCTCATTGGTTCTTGGTTCCCGCCTATGACACTTCCTCCAGTTCGTCGCCCCTTACCCTCCCACAAAACAGTTTCGTCGGAAATGAAGGGTCGCTCCCTGTTGAGACCCTGGGCCACGGCCGCCAATGTATTGTCTCGTCCAGATTCCTGTCACAGAACTTGTGTATGTAACAATTTTCATGTTGTCGTCGTGACCCACCGCGGACGTATTTTTCGCGAATTGGAATCACTAATTTGACGTTCCTATTCACCCCTTGGACTGCCGCCCGGGTCATGTGTTCGAGTGCCTTTCCCGTCGCCTTGAGGATCCAGCGCGTGGCGTTTGCGGAATAGTCATGCCAATTACTAGTAAACGGAAGACGGCGAGCGCTGGCCTGTCAAAAGACCAGCTGGGAAACAGATCGGATTCAACTATCCACCGTACAGCCCTGATTATGTGGGATTACCCTGTGATCATTAAATGAGATCGTAATCATAAAATACTGTCCGTTGTGAATGCAGTTGTTGTATGGCCAAACTCGTCCCGCAGCTGACCTCGAGTCCAATGTCGGGGGCAGAATAATCTGGACCATATTGGTAGATTTTCACAGATGTTGACGGCCCTGGTCTGCCACCCACCCCTGTGAACCATTTCCAGCAGTCGCCGCGAGGTAATTGGGCGGGCTGCTCGAATATCCAAAGGGGTACCGCGGTGCATCTGCTCCTTTTCCTCCCATCTGTGCGCTCCAGTACTGCTCTGGGGTGACTCCAAGTGTAGATCTATGCGGCGACGGGGAGGGATTGCTCACGTGCAAGCAACGCTGTCGTGAAAATGGATCGTCTGGCAATGACTGGGAGGCTGTCCGAATGGGATACAAGAGAGAGACCGTGTCGGAGCCAGTGCCCCGCTCTGTCCGGCGAGAGCTGCGGTGAGGTGGAGTGAATGCAGCGCCCTTGCCTGTCGGTATGGGTTGCGGGACCGGGAACCTGAAGCCATCGGTAATTCTATCCGAGGTGTGACTCTCGTTCGAAGTAGGAGATGGGTTGGGTTCTAGATTGGAGGTGATAGGGGCAGTGGAAGCGATGGTGCCGACGGTACTCGAACTTCCGATCGTCGTAGCACGACGCCGAAGGGGTTGGAGGGGAATGGCGCCCGACAGCCCGCCCTGAGCGACATTCAGGTTACTGGATTGACGCTCACTTTGCCGGGAAGCGCCGCCGACACCATATGTGAAAGGGTGCACATCTAGCTCCCGTTCCTTCTCCACCCGAGCACTGAGGGTAGCGAGATATCGTTCTTGAGCCAAACGCTGATGCCGAATACAGAGAAACATCGAGGCAATGATGATGAGTACTCCGAGGGCTCCACCAACAGCACCCCCAACAATCACGCTGATACTTTCGGTGGGGATGCCCGAGGTAGGTGTTGTAGACTGGGGAGGGCTTGCAATTGAACTGCCCAATTCCGAGGATGTCCCCATATGCGCATCATCGGAGAACGCGGATGGCGCAAGGTTAGGCTCCGATGTTAGAGAAGGAGCCGTAATGGACGATGAAATCGCAGGAGGACCGGTAGCGAAGGCTCCGAGCCCCGTTAATGATGGTCTGCTGGCTTCCTGGGGGCGGGTTAATAAGTGAGAGCTTGAGAAAAGGCATTTCACGTACACTGGGCACGACTGACACCGTTTTAGCTAAATTGGCGAATTCCGCGTAGCGCCCTTGACTGGGTGGATTGATTGCCCTATTTGGTGACGAGTTAGAATGGAGCAGATCTTTGTCAACGGAGAATAGAATCGGCGCTGACGGGGTACGCATCCATCAAGCCACACGGAGAAGAAGGGGACAAACGACCTACCCGACCATGCACGCAGAGCAATGAGATGCTGGCCGGTTGGCCTGGCAGAAGAACCAGATAGCTGGAGAAGATAAAACCTGGTCAGAAAGAGATCTCGAGGACAGCGAGGAAACTCACGGTCAGTTGCGTCTTCGACATAAAGATTCCAGGTAGGTGGACCTGAGGATCGGTTTCTTTCCCAACCTGCAAAGCCGGAATTGAAACCACCAGGTAGCGGTGTGCATGGCTCTTCAAAGGTGCTCTGTGTTACTATATGCGCTCTTCAGGGGGTTAGCCGCCCGCCAATGCACGGTAGTCGTGCACTCACTCTCCAGCAAAAACGAATGTGATTGTGTCACCAGGTCTGGCAGAAACAGTTGGCGGGTTGAAGAAACTTCCTTCCAGACCAACCACGATCTCGGATGAAGGGTTACTGACATGCTTCGAGCCACGAAAGGCGGCGACGCACCATATGTGTTGTCTGAGCTTGAGAAATCGTAGCGAGAAGGAGAATGGCAAAGGGCGTTGGTACCATTAGGTGTTTTCGTGTATCGTAAGTTAGGAACAGAAAGAGAGTACTTGGAGACGAAGAGAAGAAGGCGAGATTGGAGCCAGATTGGGACCTCGTTGGATTGATGCCAGGGCATCGAAGTCTATTTCAAGCGCAACCCTCGAGCGGAAAGCGGACCTCGGACGAACGGTGTTAACACAGTCCATATTATTTGTTGGAACAAGTGCAGAGGGGGAGGTAACAGTTGACAGGGAAGCCGCAAAAGGGTTTGGGCGCAGGATGAGAATGGTGGCGGCGACGTCGTCGTTAGAGGCGAGAAACGCGGTTATCTCTCTGTGCCGTCAGGAATAACCGGCAGACTTTGATATTAGTGCGCAATCCTGTGCAGAGCATGAGGCCTTCAAATCCTCTAATGTGAGAAGGTGGTCGAAGGACATATGTGCCCATGCCGCCAGCAAAGTGAATCCAGTTTCATGTTTTGGACAAAGATAGAGCAGCGTGGAGACGAAGAAACCGCTGCGCATAACAGAGCTGAGAATAAGAGGGGCGTAGTTTGCCGCCACCCTAGAAGCGCATCGAATCAGAGCAGTATACTGAGAGCCAGTCTTCAGCGGTGGTTCAAGAATAAATCGCGATGCGGGCGCTTCGGAAGTTGAATACATAACCGTGGGAGCATCATCAATTCTGCCATCAACACCTCGCCAAGCCCAGGATTTTGAGCCCGTATTTTTAGACTCGACCCAGTCGAACTGCACACCCCCAGCGCTTTTCTTCGCTATCTCAAACAAAAATGCCTCGAAGACGAGGGTCTAAAGGAAAGGCAGGACCTTCCAAGCCAAAACGTGCTTCGAAATCCGATGCGTCCATGAAGAAATGGAACACGGCTGACGACATTCCGTTGGACGAAGTTGACGAATGTGAGCAACAATTTCACTAGTATCATGATGTAGAGGACGCCTAATATAGTCGTTAGTTCATTCCAACCGGGATAAGATTCTGCTTGATGGCGATGGGGATGACTACATGGACGGTGACGAGGACGATGAGGTTTTCGCTCTGAAGGGCGTCGAGGATGAAGATTCTGATGAAGAGGAGGACGAAGAAGCAGAACTCGGATACGATGATGACGAGGACATGGAAGATATCCCAGAGCCTCCTAAGGAGAAGAAGAAGGGGAAGAAGAAGGCTAAAGGGAAGGGGGAAATCTCTTCAGATGAAGAGGAAGAGCAGGAACCAGAGGAGGAGAGTTGGGGGCGAGGAAAGGCTGCGTACTACAATTCGAATGCCGACGAACTGGATTCAGATGATGAAGAGGGTCATGAACTTGAGGAGCAGGAAGCAAAGAGGCTGCAGAACAAGGCTCGCGAGCATATGACAGACGATGACTTTGGTTTGAACGACATTGTCGAAATCCAAAAGGACGATATCGAGTGCGTACCCGTTGACTTCGAATTCGGAAATCCCACCAATGAATTTACCCTTACAGTATGATATTGGAGGAGCCTGCAGCACCCCCAGTCGTTGCCCCTCTCCCTACAGAACCACAAGAAATAATTCGACACTTGGAGAAGACCAATCCCGAAGCACTTGCTTTGGCCAGGGATTGGGAGGACACTGCCGAGCAATTGATTCATACCGAACAAAAAATCAAACAGTGCGTCTTGTTTATCTTATTCTAGCTCCATCTTCTGACGAACATAGGGTCGAGGCTGAAACTCCCGATGCATTGAGCTTAGGGATGCTTCATCTCCACTATCGTGAGCACACTCGCCCTTCAGGAGCACGGCATTTTCTAACCCCACCTAGAAACGCTTCTCTCCTACACCACTGTCCTGGCCTTCTATATCCACCTGCGGGCGATGCCCAAGTACGCTCAAAAGCCATCGTTGCTGCAGTCACATCCCATCATGAAACGCCTCCTCACCCTCAAACAAGCCCTTATTACCATGGAAGACCTGGACTTCACCATGTCAGACGATGAAGAAGACGAGTTCGACGACGACATGGACGCTGTAAACATGAAGTGGGATGATATCCTTCAGGATGGAGAGCAGCTCTGGGACAAAGTCAAGAAACGCGGCTTGGAACAGGACGAATTGGCGGAACTACTTCGTGAAGCAGAAGAGGCCGCCGATCTGTTGCCTAGGAAAGCCAAGAAGGAGAAGAAGGAGAAGTCAAAAGAAAAGGAGGAGCCTCCGAAGAAGAAACGCAAAGTTCAGAAGGACGACTCCGAATCTGCTCCCGTCTTCGACCTCGTGGAACCTGAGTTTGTGTCGACAAGTAAATCGAAAGCAAGTTCTTCGAGACCAGCACTCGTCGATGATTCATACGGAGAGGCACAGTTCCTGCAACACTCAGATGCTGCAGATAAAGCTGCCAGGAAGAAATCGCTTCAGTTCCACACATCCAAGATTGAGAGCGCCAGTGCTCGTCGCCAATCTGCCAGGAACCAAGCCATTGGCGGTGACGACGATATCCCGTATCGGGAACGAGCGAAAGAAAAGGCGCTGCGACTGGAGAGAGAGGCCAAGAAACGGCTGGAGAGACAAGGTGGCGCAGACTTGGACGATGTCGACCCTGAGCCGCCCTCAGGGAAACGACCATTCCAGGACGACTCTGATGACGACAGTGAGAGTGACGGTGGTAACGATTATTACGAACTCGTCAAGAAGAAGTCGAAGGAAAAGAAAGAGAAAAAGAAGGCGGAGTACGAGGCTGCAAGGGCTGCAGAAAAGTACGTGATTTTCACTATGTCTCAGAAAATGATCCAACTCTCTCGCTTTTCCAGGTTCCAAGTGGAGGAGGAGGACGCTTCTGGTCCTCGTTCGCTGACAAGGGCAATCCTCAAGAACAAGGGTTTGACCCCACATCGCTCAAAGGCCGTTCGCAACCCCCGTGTCAAGAAGAGGCAGAAGTACGAGCAGGCAAAGAAGAAGCACGCCTCACAAAAGGCCGTGTACAAGGGTGGTGTTGCGGAAACGAAGGGAAGATACGACGGAGAACGATCTGGTATCTCCAAGGTTATCAAGAGTACTCGCTTGGGATAATTTCTTCGTCCTTTTTTGTATACTCCTTGCGCATTGGTCGGCCAACATATTCCTTCTCGGATTGGTAAATATGATACAGTATGCAAAATCGCTACCATTTGGGCCTTCGAGCATTTTGCCTTGTCCGCAAGGTATTCCTGCCCTTGGCTTCCCGCACGCCTTGGAGGTCGTTGAATTTCTTTTTGGCGTAGCGCCTGGCCTCTGCATCGTCCACCAATTCGTCCACTAGCGTCCGTTTTCTGTCGGCGCGAGTAAGGTTCTCCGATGTCGTCGCACCGAATGGCGAGTCGCTTGTGATGACTTTTCCCATCTACGAGGGACACTCAGCTTATGCTCTTTTTGATAATTGAAAGAGGCAAGTCTTACCGCGAAGTACTTGGGTAGGCCCTTGATGCCCTTGCCTTCTCCCTCGTCTTTTCGGTAGAAACGTTTGGGATCGAGTTGGTTTCTCAATCGCAGAGCTTCCACTTCCCGGTACAGTCGAGGTAAATCCGCCTCTGCAGGTGCTGGCAAGTCGAACCAGTCTGGACCTGCAGTCACTTTCTTCAACTAGATAGGGATAAGCAACAGCGCGAAGCTTGGAGCAGCATGGACCCGTACCGCCTTCTTTTCCTTCTTCGTCAGCGGTTTTCCTGACTTTGTGAGTTCTGGTGGTGGAATTGGTGGTTGAGGCACCAGAAGCTCTGTCGTTTTTTGTTCCAGGGCTTCAGCATCTAGATCTCGCTTGGTCGTTCTATCGCGTATTGAGGACCCTGGGTCTATATATGGCTTGGGAAGATTTCCTGGGTCGAGGGGTGGTAGAGGTCTACCTCATAAGTCAACATAAGTGCATGAAGATGAAAGGAATGCTCACCGATCTGACTCCAGGACCAAAACTTCTTCCTCTTCTTCGACCTGTCGTTGCTTTGCAAGAGCATTCTGCTTTGCTTTTTCGATAAGAGAGTCCAGATATTCTTTTGTTATCTCTGGTTCGTCGTCAGAATCAGAGAACTCGGAATCCGAATCCGAACTTGATGAAGACGAAGAGGTCGAGGATTCAGAGTCGGATTCAGAGTCTGAACCAGAATTGGAGGAAGCTTCATGGCGTTCCTCCTGGTCAACATTATCTATTGCCTCTTGATAAAAGCCAGCGGCAATCAAACTGGAACAAGACTACGACTCACCAATGGCCTTTTCTTTGCCCTTTCCCTTGTCCAAGACGGCGAGCATGGTATGTGGAGGAAGAAAAGCGCTGCTATAACCAGCGATCAAAATGGCGCCCGATTTGGACGACCAAAATTTGGCGTTCCGGACAGTGACGCGCTCTTCGCTCACGACGTCAACGATGTTGCGCTCAGGCTCGCGTCTCTGCACCCAAATCTCGCGTTCCTCTCGATGCCTGGCGCGCTTGAACAGTACGCAAGCCTCCCATGCGGCCAATTCCAGCTCGTCCAGCTCGACACAAGAGCCAAGGACGGTTTCATTCGGCTTCAGGACCGTCCCGGAAGACGCCAAAGAATCCCTCGTCAAGGAAGTCTTCAATTCGGTGGCATCAAAGTATGACCTTATGAACGACGCAACGTCGTTCGGTGTTCACCGACTGTGGAAGGACACATTTGTGTCTTCACTTCGTCCTGGCCGACGAGGACCGCAGAAGTGCATTGACGTCGCTGGCGGTACTGGTGATATTGCTCTCCGAATCTTGGACTACGCCAGAGAAAAGTACGCGGACAGGGAGACCACTGTGGACATTGTCGACATCAACGCTGAAATGTTGAAGGAGGGTTATCGACGATTCAAAAAGACCATGTACCACAACAGTATGTCTGCGCTTCACTCGTCCCTGCCAATGTATTAATTCCTCGCAGCTCCCCAGGTCGCCTTCCACGAAGGCAACGCCCAATTGATGTCCCAATTCCCTGACAACACCTACGACATTTACACAATTGCTTTTGGCATTCGTAACTGCACTTCAATACCCGATGTCCTCAAGGAAGCACACCGCATATTGAAGCCAGGAGGTACCTTTGCTTGTTTGGAATTCAGCAGGGTGGGCAACCCTCTTCTGAGCACGTAAGTGGCATTCTTTGTCGTGCTATTCCTGCAGCTGCTGACACGTCAAATGTAGACTATATGACCAATACTCTTTCTCGGTTATTCCTCTTATGGGCACTGTTTTGGCTGGAGACCGAGATTCGTACCAGTATCTGGTCGAGTCCATTCGTAAATTCCCTCCCCAGCAGGAGTTTGCGCAAATGATTCGCGATGCCGGATTCGCGACCGGCAAGGATGAGGATGGAGGTGCCTGGACTGATCTCTGGGGCGGTATCGCTTCTATTCACAAGGGTGTCAAGTTGTAGAGTGTGTAGAGCCCTGTATTTATTATATCCCAGCTATTTCATTAGCCTAATGGAAGTTATCGACATCCGCGTCTTCTGGTTCTGAACAATAATTGAAACGCGCTGATGTCAGGTCGCGCGATCATTCTTAGTAGGGAATCCACTCTTGTCCTAAACCACCACCATCGGCACCATGGCAGCGCCTGCGAGCCTCCCAATGCCCCCGCCGTCAGCGGATTTGGCGACCACCTGGAGGTACCTCGAGGATGGTGTCGACCATATAATGACCAAGTTGCAAACTGGTGTCTCATACACAAAGGTCAGCGTCAATCAGATCGTGAATTGCGGCGAAGCTTATGGCCATCTGCGTGTCCTTTAGTATATGTCGCTCTATACCGTGGCGTACAACTATTGCACATCGTCCAAAATGCATGGAAGCGATGGCAGTATCGGTCTCCAGAACCGAAGTGAGTCGGCCCTTAGAGCGCGGATCGCCGTTGCTAAACTCAATAAACTAAGCAGCAGGCGCAAACCTGATGGGCTCCGATCTCTACAACAATCTCATTCGATATTTCAACGGACATCTACAAGGACTGCGCGAAGTTGGTGTCTTTTCCTTGTTATTGGGTGACCAAAGCTGACAGATAGAGTTAGAGTGCAGAGAATTTGCAAGACGAAGCTCTGTTGCGATACTATGCTGCTGAATGGGATCGATACACCATTGGGGCAAACTATATCAATAGGTTGTTCACCTATCTCAATCGTCACTGGGTACGGAGAGAGCGAGACGAAGGACGAAAGTCGGTTTACCCTGTCTACACCGTGAGTCGCTGCGTTCCTTCCGATCAATACGAGGGGTAATAATCATGATTCCACCTTAAATTAGCTTGCACTAGTCCAGTGGAGAACGCAGCTCTTCATCCCAATACAGCGGAAACAAAAGATAGTCAACGCTTTGCTACGCCTCATTGAAAACCAACGAAACGGGGACACTATCGACCAGGGATTGGTCAAGAAGGTTGTCGACTCGTTCGTCTCGCTGGGCTTGGATGAAGCCGACATCAACAAGGCCTGTCTGGATATCTACCGAGAGCACTTCGAAGTCCCCTTCATCGACGCGACGGAAACATACTACAAACACGAGTCTGAGGCTTTCCTGGGTAGCAATAGCGTGTCGGACTACCTCAAGAAGGCCGAGGAGCGACTGCGAGAAGAAGAGGATCGGGTAGAACGATACTTGAACACTTCCACTCGCAAGGCTCTTATCACGAAATGCGAGCATGTTCTCATCCGCGACCACTCACAACTAATGTGGGATAGCTTCCAATCGCTCTTGGACTACGACAAGGACGAAGACCTTCAGCGGATGTACGCTCTCCTTTCCCGGATTCCAGAGGGATTAGAGCCTCTGCGGAAGAGATTTGAGGAACATGTCAAGAAGTCTGGACAAGACGCTGTTGCCAGACTAATGGGTGCTAACAACGAAGCCCTGGATCCTAAGGAATATGTTGATGCTCTCTTGGCCGTCCACCAAAAGAACGCCGACACAGTCAACAGAAGCTTCCGCGGCGAGGCTGGCTTTGTTGCCAGTTTAGACAAAGCTTGCAGAGAGTTCGTCAACCGCAACGGAGCAACTGGTAATTCGAACTCCAAATCTCCCGAACTCATTGCGAAGCATGCAGATCTGCTGCTGCGGAAGAACAACAAGGTCGCCGAAGAAGGAGATCTGGAAGGTGCCTTGAACAGAGTGGTGTGTCTCTCTTATGCTACATGCACCTGTCGTGGGCTAACTGGGCTTTTCGTCACAGATGATTTTGTTCAAATACATTGAAGACAAGGATATCTTCCAGCAGTTCTATACTACCAAGCTCTCGAAGCGACTGATCCATGGCGTATCCGCTTCGGAAGAGAGTGAATCCAGCATGATCTCCAAACTCAAGGAAGCATGTGGCTTCGAATACACCAACAAGCTTCAACGCATGTTTACCGGCAAGTATCTCATACCCTCTTCAATGCATTCTTCCTTACAGGCAGTCTCCAGATATGAGCCTGAGCAAGGACCTTACGGACCAATTCAAGACCAGAATGGAGCAGAACCACGATGATATGGACATCAATTTCAGCATCATGGTCCTTGGAACCAATTTCTGGCCGCTGACAGCACCTCAACACGAGTTCATTATTCCTGAAGAGATGCTGACGACGTACGATCGATTCCAGAAGTACTACCAAACGAAACACTCTGGTCGAAAGCTTACCTGGTTGTGGAACTACTGCAAAAACGAGCTGAGGACGAATTACACGAATCAAAAGTACATCCTCATGACCAGCACTTTCCAAACGGCCATCCTTACCCAATACAACCGCAATGATACCCTGTCACTGGATGAGCTCGTTACGGCGACGTCGATACCGAAAGACCATCTCGTCCAGGTGTTGGCATTGTTGGTCAAGGCCAAGGTGCTCATCAACGAGGAGACAGATCAGTACGACCTTAACCCAGGTATGATGCCCACCTATCACTCTTTGTTTACTTGTATTCAACCCCGTGTCAGGATTCAAGTCGAAGAAGATTCGGGTCAACCTTAACCTGCCGATCAAAGCAGAGACAAAGGCAGAGTCGAAGGATGTTATGAAGACTGTCGAGGAGGACAGGAAATACGTGATCCAAGCTACCATTGTTCGGTACGAGTTTACCTTGACTCAAGGGTTTGCACTGGACCTTGATGTTGATGCTTGACTAGAATCATGAAGGCTCGGAAGACGATGAAGAACCAGGCTCTCCTCGACGAGGTCATCTCACAGATTTCGCAACGGTTTACTCCTAAGGTGCCAGATATCAAAAAGGTGGGCGCTTGATCGTAGTCTTGCTCATTTGGTCCATTGACGTTTGTTCCAGGCAATCGACACTCTTCTCGAGAAAGACTATATAGAGCGGGTAGAGGGCACGAGAGATACATTCGCCTACCTCGCATGATCTTTTCTAGTCCACTTTGATTTTCATTCGCCTTCGACATGTATTCTTCTTCCCTCGGTGTATTATACATTCATTTGTACATTGTGTTTGTAATGTCATTCATAATCTCCTTGTCGAGTGGAACTGTATCTGCGGTAAGGTGGTAGTAATCGAGTAGAAATCTTTCGCATGTGTCCCAGAGCCTGCTTCCTTGAAATCACCGGTGCTTGGGGGATATACTAATAGAGTTTTCCTTGACCTAAACTGGGGTCGACGTTCTTTGCTTCATGAGCGGTGGGTTACCAGAGGGGAACTGGATGTCGCACGTAGAAGTCCAGGGTGATAACGAGAACGAGTCGAGTGCCCGGGGAATAAGAAGCAGCTTCAATCATCACGGGTAGGTCCCCCTCTCATTTATGCCTTCATATCCAACTTCTGCTGCTGTGGCTCGCGTGCTTTCAGGACCTTCCCGAATCCCTATGCATTCACCGTTGAATGCTTTCATTGGTCGAGAACAATCACGGTCTATTCATGGCGGACGTACTGAGAGATCCTCCTTTCAGAAGACTACTTTCCGCCAATTGGGACAGAGATAGCCGCCAGTTCGTGAGACTTCGAGCATTGAAACTTAAAGGACAACGAGGTGTTCTGATAGTTGATACTTATCGGAATCCGACTTCTTATCAGAAAGGACAAGTCGAGTCCAAGAGTCTCGCGCCGAGGGATGTGCTGCCCGTTGACGCTCTTCCAATCGCCATGAGGACTTCTGCGGCCGGTGTCGTTTGATGGCTGGTCACAAGTCTTTTGGAGTTTTCCAGAGTTGAAACAGAAAAAAGTCAGGGCAGATGATGGACGTCGGATTCGGAAGGATGATCTTCAAACGTCGTGTAGTTGATGTCAGTGACCCGGCGGTGGGCGTGAGATAAGATTATGCTCGGTGATGTCCATGTTGAGTTAGAGGTTTCAGTTGGTCCAGGCGCCGACAACGACGACGACAACAAAGAAAGGCGCGTGAACACCAACCTCGACGACGAGCAGGAAGCGAAAATCATTTCCCACGATGACCAGCACCATCACGCTCCGCGATAGCCTGCTCGCAGCGCTCTCCAAGCTCCCAGGCACCCGCGAATTCCACCTCCATGTGCTCGTCTCTGCCCCTAGGAAAAACAACGCGCTCTTCCCTTTCGCGCGACCGCGACCCCGCACATACCTCCAGGACGTATTCATCCTGCTCTCAGAACAAGAAAATCCAGACAAACCGCGAATCATCGTGACCGCCATCGAGGCGTCCGTGTTCAACATCCCAGCAACCTCAAGCGCCGTCTTTTATGTGTCCAAAGTCGACTCGACCGGCCATTCAACGGGGCCGTCGCCCACAGCGGCCCTCGTTCGCAGTCTCCTGACATTCTACGCCGATCCTGCCACTCGCCCTGTGGCGGCAGATCATCTATGGATACAGCTCTTCGCCAGGGCGCAAGCCCAGTACCTCTTCCCGAATTCGGCAGAATTTGAAGGCAAGAAACCCCTGAACGACGTCAAGCTTTGTGCCTGGTGGAAGAGGCTGCTGTCGCAGGTGGCTAGCGACCTTGAATCCAAGGCGTCGAGCTCGGAGGGCGGAACCAAGGTCAAGGCGTTTTACCTCTTGCCAGGCTATAGTGAACTTGAAGCCGAAGACACAATCAGAATTGCGACGGGCTCAAGGCCACCTCTGAGCAAACCAATCGTTTGGAAATATGGTCACCCTTACTGTGAAGAGGATATACCTTTGCCGTGCCCCAAGGACAACCCAGAAAAGGGTGCCAACCTTGGCAACTACATACCCTGGTTCGACGATGATCCCAAGTCGCGCTTCCTCGACGAAATCGCGTACATGCCTGGGGCAGACGGAATCAAGTCACCTGCGCGTAAACGGTCTAAAACGGCATCCAGCTCGTCGAGTGCCACGCTAGCCAATGATGAACCAACTCCTGAACCCGCGTCAAAGGAGGCCAAGGAGGATAAGGTGATGGGAGAGTTGGGGAAGGTCACGGCGGACGAGTTTTGGGAACGCATGGGATTCCGGCAGGAGTGCGTTGCAGGCGCAGTTACAGGATTCTTCACGCTCACTGCGTCTTCGACATCAAACAAAACGTCGCGTTCAACTATTTCTCCCCTCGCCCCACAGCCTGGGCAAGTGTCATCCCAGATCAACAAACGAATCATGACATCTCTTACCACGCAAGTCGAGTTCTCGACTGTTGAACGATCTATCCGGGCCACCGAGACGCTGGAGAGCGCTATTAAAGGTTTATGCGAAGGGATATCGACAGTCCCAAGCTCGAGCAACAGCACGATCAGACCAACGATTGTCCGGAAAAATACAGAACGACGGACCCCAGAGCCGGAGCCGCCTGCGACTTCTTTGCTCGTTCCTCCCAGAACACCTCCAAGGAAAAACGCGTCTCTCCCCGAGATATCTCCCAACCCATTTCCCGAGCCAATTGCATCTCTGGAAACGTATCGTTCCTATATTTACGGTTCCACTGCCGTTAGCAATCCACTGCCGACATCCGCAACGAAGACATCGAACGGCACGGAAGTCACTCCACATGTGACAGTCCTTACTGTGAGGAGGAAGAAGAAACGGACGGATTGATGGAAGGTTGCCGCAAAGTCCTTTGGCATTGGAGTCTGCGCCGGAGGTGGCTCGGTGGTCTTTTTTTGTGTTTTCATTAAAGAGCAGCGAAGCTTCTGGTAGCCGTTCTATGTCCAACAGCAGCTCCATGTGGTAGATTTGGCTGAAGGAGTTACCAGTTGTAGTAACCAGAGTGTGTTTCACGTCAAGTGATGAGAGTTTGTTAGCCTCGTGTGTGTGTATCATATTTGAGAAGGAGGAGGAGGATAAAGATGGACTGGCATCGAAGCTCGAAAAACGGTCAAAGCTGAAAGGTGACAATCAGATATAGAAATGATGAAGTGGCCTTTGAAGACTAGAGGGGCAATTGTTTGTGGCCTTTGTATTTAAGGGGCACTGGGTATTACATACTCAAAAAGGGACGGTGGTTCTATTAAGAATTCCTGTGGCCCTGTGCTTTTTAATTAACTCCCAGGTTCGAACATTCAACCACGCTTGCCTCTGCGCTTGCTCACCGTCGACGACGACGACCATCAACGTCCCTTCCCAACGGTCGTCGCCTTCTGCTCGTTGTCTAGCACCGTTCCTGGTTGTTAGCAACCCCGACTTTCCTTTGCAACACACCATCAAGACTGTCAGGTCGCCATGTCAGTCAACCACGCCAGCATGACGACGCACCCGCCTCAGTCGTTGCCATCCTTTGCACAGGCGTTTAGCAACCAATCTCTGAGCAATATCTCATCAGCGAACAGCGCTTTGCCGCCCATCCAGGGCCATATCTCCAACATGGACCGCGACAAAGCACGTCTCCAACAACGCTCGCCACCGACACGTCCCTTGTCCAGGCCTGCCAGCGAAGAGAGCATAGCCCGAACTGCAGGTAGAAAGAGGCCTCATAATGATATCGTTTCCGCCTCTCGCGAAGACGAACGCTCGGATTCCGAGTACGTATTCAACTTTGACTTGCCGCCCTTTCCCACTTCTCCAATCCACTTTACGTCTCAACTAATGGCCCTTTATTTTTCTGTAGCCGTGCATCTCCCGCCGCGGCCGCAGTCCGCGTAAAGGAGGAGACCGACCAGGAGATGCTCAATCCTTCCCCTTCACCACCTGAAAGGCCTTCTGAGCAAAGACCGCCGCAGCAAGATCCAAATATGCTTGGCGCGCCCCCACCGTCCAGCATGATGGCTTCGCCCGTCAAGAAGAGGCGCATGACTATCACCGGCGCTCCCCATGCTCTCAATACAGATGTGCGCGTTCCACCAGACCAGACGAACTCGACTCCTATCTCACCTGTTGTAATGGGATTCACGATACAGCGGGATAACCCAAAGGAGGTCGAACAGCTCAAATCCATGATGAACGTGAAGCAAAAGCAAAAAGCTCTTATCGAGCAAAGAAGGGGCAGCCACGGGGGTCCTGCATTGGGAAACACTGCTCCGCCACCACCTGCGTCTGAATCTGGCAACAAAGCCCCTCCACCATCGTCGATTTCCATCAGAAACGCTCGCCGAAGTCCCAACGGGGGTGCTGGAACACGGCGACCCATCGCACCTCAGCAGCCCAACGCTCCGAGGCCAACCAGTCCTAATCCATCTGTGTTCCAGATGCAACAAGCTCAACTTGCCCCGCATCAATCGGCTCACACTCTTCCACCTCCTCCAATCAGCTTCGCACGTCGACGCGCCGCGCAGTTGGGAACAAAAAAGAAACCAGCTGATATTGTCATCAGTCCCAGGGAACAGCACTCGACGGAGCAGTTCCAGCCGTTTATCCACAGCGCCCCTCCTACACAAGGTGCCTTTTACACTGGGAGGCATACCATGGCCCTTCCCCGTTTACCCAATGTTATGAACAGTGGCGGCGGCGAAAGCACCAGGCGGCTCGCGGGTAACGTCCCTCCTACTCCAACGCGGTTCTCTCAGCGAGTTGCCGCCTCGGCCATTCCTCCATCCATCACCGTCTCCGAAAGCACACCACGTTCACCCATGGCGTCCGTGCCCATTGCATCAAGTCTCGTGCCCCCAACACCCGCGTTCAATCAAAGCGAGTTCAGTGGCGACAAGGCCGCGTTTCTGGCACCATTCGGATACTTCTATGACGCTCTCAATGATGCGAAGCAGCTCAAAACCTGGCTTGGCGAACAACTCCAACGTTCCAATTCGCTTTACCAGAGCCTTGCGCAGCAACGGGATAAACTCGACGAGACGATTGACGCCATCGTGGAGAAGAAGCTATCTGGGATGTACAACGAGATTACTGGTTTGAGGAGGAGAGTTGCCGAATTGGAGGAAGCACTTCACGAGAGTCGGTCGGGACGCCATTCGAGCGGCGATCATCCGCCTGTCTACCATTCAAAGTCGCTTCAGAACGGCTATCCCTCCTCATCCGGCCTTCTTGCACCGGATTCCTACACTTTCCCTCCCTCCGACCATTCGCGTTTCCGATCCGACCAGTCTTCGGGTCAAGTGCCTTCGCCTCGGGGCCAGGAGTCTCGAGGCGGCAGCCAGCAGCACCAGTCTGAGCAAGTTGAATATGAAGGTACTTCTGGCTCGTATGATTCCCGACGTCCTTCTGTCTCTGCCTCTCGTCTGGACCCTCCGCGATCCCATCCCCACGACTCGTCATCATTACCCTCATTAGCCCCTCCTTCCCAGTCTCGCATTTCTCGCCTTATGCAATCGCCACCACCCGTGTACCACGATCATGACAAGTCGTCGAGGTCGGAGGTGTCCCGACCTGCACCGAGTAGGCAGCCGTCATACAATGGGGTCCAGGATAGAGAAAGGGAGCGAGAACGAGAGCGAGAACGCGATTGGGACCGTGAAAGGGACCGTCGCGGCGATAGCCCTCGAAGGGAAGACAGTCGAAGGAATTCGGTCATCATGTCCACGCCGGACCACAGAATGGAGGATTGAGTTCGAAAGAGCTCATCCCGGTGATGCCTCGGTCTCTGCTGCAGGGCTCGAACGCCCTCTAGCTTCAATCATCGTGTTATGATTGGCAGCGTCCGTTTTGGTGTTATTTATTAACACTTCCTTGTGCCCTGCTATCGGTTGTTCCTCGTTGTACCCCGCTATCATCGTTGTGAGTTGTATATTGACCGCTGTCGTTAATCCTCCATCGTCCTTCACATGCCATTCGTTCTCCATACGCCCACTCATTTGTCTGATTGTTGTCACGACTTTGATAGCTTTTCTTCCTCTACTTCGTTTACCTTCTTGCAACGCCCTTTGTTCACGACCCGGTCTTGGACGATTGTATGTTAGTGTTGTATCTCCTGCTTTCCGTTCGTTCAACGACGTTTCTTTCGTGGACGCTTCGCGCAATGCTCGCCACCCTGTTCCCCTTCGACCAGTGACGTTTCTTGCATCTTTGCTTTTCTATTTAATCGTTCTGACCCTGTCTTATCCTGACGTTCCATTCCGAGTTTCTCGCGATCTCTCCTCTCTCTCTTTCCATGTGCAACGCAATTTTCTGTATCCATACTCGCTTATGGTTCACTACGTTTAGTTTCATTAGGGATTCAATGCAGATCTATACCCCAGCTGTTTCGATAATCGAGCTTATTTCTTTCTGCTCGCGTCGCGCAAGTAATTTTGCCACAAATTCGGTTGCGTACATACCGGTTAGACGATGTGGAATGCAAATCTCGCCATCATTTCGGACGGCTATTGCGTGCAGATGGCCTTCGACTGGCCAACGGCAAGGAGTGGTTGCGGAGTCTGCGGTCTGGAAGAGCCTGTGCACGGGGACAACAAGAGCTCGGCCGAAAGCAGGGGAACGGAGTAAAAGGGTTTCTTTCAGTTCCCTGGATTCTTTTTTCCCTTGGGTCATTGGGGTTGTTCATCAAGGCAATTTTTTCGGGGTTTTTCTTTAAAGGATTTGGTCAAAAAAAAAAAACCTGGGTCGGTAAAGCCAAGGCTTAGAGGGTAGGAAATTTGGGGGGGGGGGGGGGGGGGGGCATTAGGAGGAGCAGGGTGCACGTGGTATAAACATCTGCACATCTGCCACTGGTTCCGGCAATGTACCAATTGCCGTTGGACCAATGATCGATCGATGCTGAGCAGGTTGAACGAACGGACCCCCAAATTATCATAACCGACCATTTATATTGGCACATCGACAGGTGCGTTCAGAAACGCAAGTCTAGGGCGCTAATCCGGGGATGGTCCGGAGGTTGCGGTCCCAAACGGGAAGGCGACATCACCGAGGGGTTCGTGGGAACCAAATGATTTTGCAGAGTCTGCTGGCTGTCGCCAATGAGCTCAGCACTTTCATCGACGATGTTGGCCAGCAAACGGGGTCTTCAGGCAATTACCTCTCTGGCTCGCGGCTATGCGACGCGTTACCCGCGACCAAGACCAGGCACAGCGGAAAGACCACCACTTAAACACGGAGACCCGGTGACTCAAAGTCGAAACACGACAGTTGTCAATTTAGAGGATGAAGGCCTAACATTTGTTCACCGACCGCCTCCCTCTGCACCCTCTCCCGCCTCCCTCACCACCGCACCTGCCTCACCCTTGCTGCGGCCACAGTCGAAACCCGCTGGCGAAGTCCCTCTTCCTCCCGCCCTCCACAACCACCCACTAAAGGAGCGCAAGACTCTGTCAACGGAGGACATCGCGAAAATGAAGGAATTGCGCGCCAGTGACCCCGTCACATACTCCACCAACAAGCTGGCGAAGATGTTCGGCTGTTCAAGACACTTTGTTATTCTGTCGACGCGTATCACCACCGCGCAACGAACGGCGTTGGAACGGGAGCGAGAGGCGCAGCACGAAGAGAACCGCGAGCGCTGGAGCGACCGACACAAACTTGTCAAGGCGCTCCGGGCCCGGCGCCGGCAGATGTGGTAGAGGGGGATCGCGTGATTCGTCGGCGGAATGCCGTAGTGCCCGGAATTGGAAGTGGCCGATGGAGGTTCCAGGAGATTCCGCTGTTTTACTCTCTGTCCTATTCCAGATTCACATGTAATATTCTAATTCTTTTTATTAAAACAACTAGCGATCCATATATAAACCTAGAGCATTTCAGTCCGCCGCTTTCCCCACATCTTTCTTTCCTCCCACTTTGTTCTCTTGAACCGACCAGGTTCCGCCCGAAATCATGTCTCTGGCAATCCACAACGCTGCCCGCATTCCCCCATATCTCTTCAACACTGACCACGCCCAGCGCGTCCTGGCTCAGCTGAGGAGCAAACACAATGGCCTCGAGAAATATATCTACCTGAACGGCCTCAAGGAACGCGACCCAAATCTCTTCTACGAGCTCCTCCTCGCCAACATGCTTGAAATGGTCCCCATTCTCTATACCCCAACCGTATGTCTGCATCACCCCACAACATATTACGTGACTCACATCAGGGTCTACTCCAGGTCGGTGATGCTTGCTCAAATTACTCTCACATCTGGAGGCGACCAGAGGGTCTTTATGTCACCATCGAGAACAAGGGCCACATTCGAGAAGTGCTGAGAACATGGCCAGCGGGCCAGGCTGCCAGGATTGCCGTCGTTACAGATGGTGCGTACCTTTCGCGTTCGCGAAACACAACGTGCTCAACGGTCTCTTCAGGGTCTCGTATTCTCGGTCTAGGTGATCTAGGCGCGAATGGCCTCCCCATTTCCATCGGCAAGCTGTGCGTTCGCCGCATCCTTTGTCTTTCTCCTGTCGTTCTGAAACGCTTTTCAGTGACCTCTATGTCGCCGGTGCTGGAATCAAGCCTACGACTACTCTACCCATCTGTCTCGACCTCGGCACCAATACCCAAAGGTTCCTCGAGGACCCCTTGTACATCGGTGTAAGACGGAAGCGTCCAGCCACCGCGGAGGTCAGTTCTTGTGTCGGTCCAGAAATATGGCGATCGCGTTTTGACCGGCCCAATCTAGATGGACGAATTCATGCACGAGTTCATGGAGGCGATGCGCGAAGTGTTCCCTCAGCTCCTCGTGCAATTCGAAGATTTCTCGACGGACAATGCATTCCGCTATCTCGACCTCTTCCGCAATCAGTATCGAGTGTTTAATGACGATGTGAGTCTTCCGGTACTCTTAACCCCGTTGGTAGAGAAGCTGACCATTATCGGATGCAGATTCAAGGCACCGGTTAGTAACGGATGCTCTCTATCACTGTTTCCAGACAACTTACCCACGTGGGATAGGCTCTGTCATCCTTTCTGGCTTCCTCAACGCCGCTCGTATCGCCTCAGAAGCTGCGGGCACACCCTTGACTGAGCACAGAATTCTCTTCTTTGGTGCTGGTTCCGCTGGCATTGGGGTTGCCAAGCAACTATTGTCCTTCTTCACCCTTCAGGGTATGAGTGTAGAGGAGGCCAAGAAGCGAATTTATGTGCGTTTTGACATTTCATTGATCGCACAACATATACTGAACAACCATTTCAGACTGTCGACTCCAAGGGTCTTATCACTGCTGACCGAAAGGGACTGCAAGAGCACAAGATTTTCTTCGCTCGAACCGACTACCAGGGCCCTCCCTTGACGAACCTCGTGGATGTCATCAACTATGTCAAGCCCACTGCCCTCCTTGGTCTCAGCACTGTCCGAGTAAGTCTAAACACCTCGTAGTATCCTGTCGTTGAACTTGAAGCTAACCTGTCATCCAGAATGCCTTCCCTGAAGAGGTCGTCCGCCTGATGGCTTCCCTCAATACCCGTCCCATTATCTTCCCCTTGTCCAACCCTGTATCTCTGTGCGAGGTCGACTATGCCGATGCCATCAAATGGTGCGCCAACTCTATTTACAGCTCGACGCTATTCTGACCCTTCTGTCTAGGACGAACGGATCTGTGATCTTCGCTTCTGGTAGCCCTTACAAGCCCGTGGAGTACGAGGGTAAGACATACGAACCCGGACAGGGAAACAACATGTATGTCTTCCCTGGTATTGGAATGGGTGCCATCCTCTCCAAGGCACGACATGTCACCGACTCGATGGTCGAGCAAGCCTCGATCGCCCTCGCCTCTTCCTTGACGCCTGAAGAGAAGGCGGCTGGCTTGGTATACCCACGTCTCGTCCGCATTCGTGACATCAGCGCCCAGGTGGCCCTGGCTGTTATCCGTGCTGCACAGAAAGACGTAAGTTCTTCCGGAGCATTTTTCTCTTACCATAGGCTAAAGCACGCTCTACAGAACGTCGACGAGAACTCGCTGTTCCGAAACCTCTCAGATGATGCTCTCCTTGAGTACATCAAGGCGAAGCAGTGGCAACCCGCCAGCTCCCACCTCCCACGTTTGTAGTCGTTCCATTCCCTCTTCCTTCTTCCCTATCACCGGTCCGTTCCTGCCCTACTCTTCGCTTTGCTTGGATCCCTTTCCTTTTTGCTCTCGTGTACATCAGTTGTATTCATATCGCTTTCAGGACTTCCGCTGCATCTCGCCTCTTCAGGGACTGCTAGACGTCCCCTCCTTTAAAACTGGTCCGCTCTAGATTCTAATTCCATCTGGGGGATTGGTCGTTTGCCGCTCTGTCTTTTTTTCCCCGCCATCCTTTCCTATGTACCCCATCCATCCTCCAAGTCCTCCTTCCTTGCATTTGAGCACCCTGTGCATTCATCTCGTTTGTACTGCTTTCTTTTCGATTAGCGCATTTTACACTACATTTCTTCCTTTGTTGTGACAGCATTGACTTTTTCCGCATTGGTACATATCTACTTACACGCTTTAATTCACGCGTCGAGCTTTGTATCCACCTGAAGACTATCTATATCGAGGCCTTCTGGTCTGCTTGATTCCTCTCCACCCTCTCCTAGATGCTGTAAGCCGAGACTATTGAAATCCTTCCATCGTGCGATCGTGAAGCGGTGGTTCACGCCTTTGAGAGTGGGTAAACATGTGAGGCTTCCGCAGCCACCTGTCTTGGGCATGGGGTAAAGGTAGAAAACCTCTCTGACTCGTGAATGAAGCAGCGCCATGCTACACATTATGCACGGCTCGTGGGTCAGGAAGATAGTTTGGTTTGTCAGGAGGTAGTTGGATCCGTTTTGCAGTTGTGTTTCGTCGGTCGTAATCTCGTTCACTTCGTTGGACGGTTGATTAGATGGTGTCGTGGAAGGCGACCGGCTGGATACCGGGATGGACGCTTGGTAGTCGGCTAGTTTTCGAATAGCATTGATAGCTGAATGCCGAAGAGCATGGGAGGTCGAGGTGCGGGTGTCGCACGCAATGAATGAGGGTGTTGTCGTTTCAGCCTTTCCGTAAGGGGCAGGGATATGGGCAGCCATTGGGAACTAAACATTGGCAAACCTCATTAGAATCTTCCCTATAATCATTGGAAGGAAAATATACCTCTCCCTCCGCTCTCTTGCCTTCCGTCGCCGCTCTTACAGCTTCATACATCGCATCCCATGCCCATGTAGCCTTGCCTCTCGTCCAAGGTTCAATCTCGTCCTTCCGTTTGGGTGTATACATCGTTGGCCAAATGGCTGTTTTGAGGGTCAGCGAGGGTATTGTGAGAGCAGCTGATACAGGGACAGGGACGATGTAAGGCGCCGCCAGTCCCAAATCTGATGGGAGAGGGGGTGGAGTTGGAGAAGATGGATCGGATAGAGGGTCCACGAGGGATAAGAGGAGGGTGCTCAACCCTGTTGTCAAGTTTTTCCGGATCCGTTTGAGGTGGGAGACGTCGGGTGTTTCGAGCTGGGCTTGTTTGAGCCATCTGTGGGACGGGTGGTGGCATTGAGTGGAGGGCTGGTCGGAGGCGAGCGTGGAACGTACTTTATCAAGGTGTTGATATGGCGAGCTTCTGGTACGTCTACGACCCAGGCATTGACTGGATGACGATTAGAAGAGATATGGGATGAGAAGGGGGACACGAACCTGTCCGTATTGATTCTGGTGTTTCTTCTTCTGGAGGAAGCTTGTACCAAGTGAACGGAAGGTCCTCTTCAGAGAGGATCTCATCTGGTTTCCCAGTTTTGTAAGGATTAACAGGAACAGTCCGGACAATCTTCTCGTCGAAAGAGTCCATCCCTGATAGTCCGCCCCAGCCGTCGTCCTTGTTGTCTGCTTCTCGAGTAATCTTGGCACTGGTGTCCTTGCTGTCCGAAGGAGTAAACCACAGGTTGTGTCCGTAGAAGATACAGAGTTCTTCTCCAGGTTCGATGTCGCGGACGGTGGTGTAGCGGATGGATTCAGTAGCGGTGTCGAGGGAGAAAGAGACGTTGGGTGTGTCCGTATGGTTGAATAGAGAACCTGGGGGTGCAGGGGTAAGTCTAGTCCGCAGAATTGAGGTGAGGTTGCGCACCGAGTCCCAAAGCAAGAGCCATGCGTCCATCGGGCCAATTGAAGGTGTAATGATCTAGAACTGTATATTTACCTAGAGAGATTCAGTACAAGTCAATATCTACAGGGCATTTATTACCATGCTGCTGGTATTCCTCTTTCTCAAACAAGAGAACAGGACTGATCTCGACCAAAGTTCCTCGAGGAATTTTCCTTTCGGCTAAAAATGCGTTGGTAAGACTATTAATTTCGTTTAAGTGAGTTCCACGTACCATACACGCCTCTACCCCTCCGGTCTGCAATCTTTATGACGCATCCTACGCTGTTTAGGTGCTCTGGCGGTTGAATGGACGGTGGTGCAGACATCGCAAGAGAATGATTGCGATCATCTCCAAAGGGATAGCGGATCTCGCGGTCCGTATCTCCGTCTCGACACGTCCTCTCGGCGTTGCCGCGCAAACGCGACGATCATGGACACGTCGTCGCTGTGTCCGGCGTGAAGGTCGACTTTGACCACCACCACCACCACCACCACCAACGGCGACGACCGCGAATGCAGCGCAGAAACTTGTAAACGGTGAAGAAACGATGGTACTCGGACCAAACCCTCGCCCTTTGCCAAATGTCTTGCTCTTTGGGCTTGTCCCAGTCGCCTCTTGGTTCGTTGTGCGGCCGTTCATTGACCCAGTGCCCCATGTACCGGCCCTTTACACTTCTATTGGATTCTCCATATTTGCTTTTTTGACTGCATTGTACTTGATTCCGGCTCTGGGACCGACGTTTATCAAATCAAACTTGAAAGGGAGGGATCTGCTAAAGACTTATGCTACGCCCATGTAAGCCTTTGACGCACACACAAATGTTGTTGACGCCAATACTTGTTTAGACCAGAAAGCCAGGGTCTCATATGTGGAGCGGTGTACATTCTGTCGCTTATTCTGTTCATTCCGTTCGCCTTTAACCACCCACTTGAACCGCCTCCCGAGGCAAAGCCGGAAGGGATATCAATTCTGGATTTTCCTCATCACAAGGTACGTCACGCAGGTTAACGGACGCGTTTCGCAATTCAATCCCTTCACAGCTATCTGTCTACCTGTCCTCAATTATTTCACTCTTAATTGCGACTTTCCTGGGCTTCCTGGACGATGTTTTCGACATTAGATGGCGACATAAACTTCCAATTCCAATTATTGCCTCGATCCCCCTTCTCATGGTCTACTATGCGGAACGGGGAAACACCAATATCGTTATGCCTATACCCCTCCGTCCACTATTTGGGACTCTTGTGAACCTTGGTATGTTGCAATCATAAGAATAATTGCGTCTCTAACTGGCGTCCAGGTCCACTATACTATCTCTATATGATCCTTCTTTCGACATTCTCAACAAACAGCATCAATATCCTTGCTGGTATCAACGGTTCTGAAGCCAGCCAGGCTTTGATCATCGCCATTTCCGTTATCCTGAACGACCTCTTGTATCTTCCATGGAGATTTGGGTTCCGTTTCCCCCTCCATTTGCTGGGAAACCGCGCAGAAGTCGAATTTGGCGGAGTGTACGGAGCGGGTATGGCCAAGGGAAGCCATATCCTTGTCGAAAGACATCTGTTCAGTTTCTACTTCATGCTTCCCCTTGTCGCCGTTGTTTCTGCCTTCCTCTATCACAACTGGTACGTAAACTTCGGGTCTTATGACGTCGGCGCTAATCTACCTTCAGGTATCCTGCGCGAGCATTCCCCGGAGATACCCTCTGCTATTTGACCGGGATGGCTTTTGCTGTCGTCGGCATCCAAGCTCACTTCTCCAAGACATTGCTCCTGTTCTTTATTCCTCAAGTATTCAATTTCGTTCTCTCCGCACCACAATTGTTCGGCTTGGTGCCATGTCCAAGGCATCGAGTTCCAAGGTAAGCTTGTCGGCCGACCCTCGATTCTATTGGACGGAAGAGGGGAACTGACGGAATTGCTTCCGCAGGTTTGATCCTGAAACGAACCTACTTTACCCCTCCAAGGCTCAGTTCTTGAAGCCGCCGTCCAGGTTATCGGCGGCTGTTCTCCACATTCTGTCGACACTGGGGTTAGTGGAGCTCACTGTTCACCCGAACGGCTCCATCCTGGAGGTGACCAACCTAACCATACTCAATTTCTTCCTCGTTCGTCTCGGACCGATGAATGAGAAACGACTGAACCAGGTTTTGATGGCGTCGCAGGTATGTGATTCAGGCCCACAAGGATGAACGCCCATTCTGACTCGAACTAAGACCGCAGGAAGTGTGTTGGCATTCGTCATCCGGTATGGCCTTGCTGGGTTGGTTTATGACGGAGATCGACGATGACAAGGCGACCGTTTCACTTGTTCACGTGTTTGTATGGGTGTAACAACTTTTGTAATAACATGGCTTCAGCTTTTCAGAAGGGTTGATTTTCGTCTGCCACTCGAATAACGTTGAAAAGTGCGAGGTTGATGGGGACTCAGGACCCCCGAAAACCAGCTGAGAGGTCAGTGCAGATCCGGTTAAAATTGGGGGGGTCTGGGGGTGGAGGTCAGAAATTTTCCGGGTATTTTGTGGGGGGTTTCGAGGTCGAGGTCGGTTCCTAAATCCGGGTATCATCGACTCTCTGAGGAGGTCACTTCCAAAATCCGGGTATTGGTGCACGGCAGGCTCGCGCGACCTGATGATCTTGGGTGGTCCTGGGTGGTCTCGACCGTGAATTTACTTGCCATTTTGGGCCCATTTTCTACTCAAAACATGTAGAAGTATCTTGACTCACAATCGACTACGATTTGCGACGGTAAATCACCAAACTGGGCTATGAATTGGAATCAATGAGTACATTTTTTGTAGCCTGTAGCCATATGTAGGCTTGGGTCTACATTCTGGTAACAGCTATCCGTCAAAAGACGCCCAGGACCGTCAATACGAGCGCCTTGTCCTTAACTCGCAAGAGTCCAATTCCCTTCGTGTCAACCGCTGCTGAAGCCGTGAAGGGACTGGTGGCGAAACAGCCAAAGAAAGGGGACAGCAACGGAGATGAAGACGAGGGTTGATCATACCATAGTGTTTGCACGTAGTTACATGGATATACGAGCGAAATATGAGAATTCAGACGAGTTTTCGTGACTTGAGGTCTGTTCCAAAATCCGGGTATCGATTTTTGGCTTGGAACGGAGGTCACTGCAAAACCCGGTTAAAATCTGGGGGGTTTTGCGAGATAAAATCCGGTTAACAAATCCATTTCCCAGAACTGACCTCTCAGCTGGTTTTCGGGGGTCCTGGGGACTCTCGAGTTAGCGCTCGAGGAGCCAATAACGGAAAGGAGAGCTCCGACGGATGCATGAAAAGCCGATGTCCCACGGCTGAATGCCGTTGTGCTTGGAAGGTAATCACATGTGCATCTTTAGCTACCCGGTCATGTAGAGCGGGGTTTACTTTTACCAAGAAAATGCGGAGCTCCCAGCTCTTATATACCAACACCCGTCTCCTCACCGCAACTTGATTTCTTTCTCTCATTGTTCACCATGTCTAGCGAAAGAGCCCAATTTGCCGCTGAGGTCGCCGAAGTCGAGAGGTGGTGGAAGGTATGTCTCCAGCCGTCAATGTCTGGGTCGAGTCATATTCCAATGTCTTTCCCCCACAGAGCCCTCGATTCGCTCGAGTCAACCGTCCCTACACCGCCGCCGACGTCGTGTCTAAGCGGGGTACCATCAAGATCAACTACCCCTCCGACGTCCAGGGTAAGAAGCTCTGGAAACTCCTCAGCGAGCATGCGAAGAATGGTACCCCTTCGCATACCTATGGCGCGTGAGTACTCCAGTCGTCGACGGGATGACGATGGGGCAGCTAACGACGCAATAGTCTTGACCCTGTCCAAGTGACCCAGATGGCCAAGTACTTGGAGACCGTCTATGTCTCTGGATGGCAGTCATCGAGTACCGCTTCCAGCTCCAATGAGCCTGGTCCTGACCTCGCTGGTGAGCCCCCACCCGCCACCGGACGTTTTAGATCCTAGACTGACGAAATAATTGCGTACCAGACTACCCCTCCAACACCGTGCCCAACAAGGTCGAGCATTTGTTCATGGCCCAGCTTTTCCATGACCGAAAGCAGCGCGAAGCTCGTTCGCGTATGTCTGACGCTGAACTTGCCAATACCCCCGTGATCGACTACCTCCGCCCCATCGTCGCTGATGCCGACACCGGTCATGGTGGTTTGACTGCCGTCATGAAGCTCACCAAGATGTTCGTGGAGAAGGGTGCTGCTGGTATCCACATTGAGGATCAAGCGCCCGGCACCAAAAAGTGCGGCCACATGGCTGGCAAGGTCTTGGTCCCCATCCAAGAGCACATTAACCGACTTGTCGCGATCCGTCTGCAATACGACATCATGGGCGTCGAGAACTTGGTCGTTGCCCGAACCGACTCTGAAGCCGCTACCCTTATTACCTCCAACATCGACGACCGCGACCACCCCTTCATCCAGGGTTCCACCAACCCCTCTCTCCCTCCTCTTAACAATGTGATGGTCGAGGCTGAGGCCCAGGGCAAGACCGGTGACCAACTCCAGGCCATCGAGGACGGTTGGATCAAGGCTGCCAACCTCCAACTCTTCCCCCAGGCATTGGCCCAGGCTCTCGCCAACGAGGGTGCTTCCCGATCTACCGTTGAGAAGCTCGTCGCCCGCGTCTCTCGGTTGTCGTGGCCCCAGGCTGTTGCCGTTGCCCAGAAGGAGTTCGGCCTCAAGCAAGTGCCTTACTGGAACTGGGATGCTCCCCGAACCCGTGAGGGTTACTACAGGTACCAGGGTGGCACCGAGTGCGCTATCCACCGTGCTAACGCCTTCGCTCCCTACGCCGACCTTCTCTGGATGGAGACCAAGAAGCCCATCTTGGCTCAGGCCAAGGAGTTCGCTGCTGGTGTCCATGCCGTCCACCCTGGCCAGTGGCTCGCATACAACCTGAGCCCTTCCTTCAATTGGGAAGCTGCTGGCCTCAACGCCCAGGACATGCAGGCCTACGTCTGGGAGCTCGGCAAGCTTGGTTTCGTCTGGCAATTCATTACTGTAAGTCCCACGTTACGTTCGATTGGATACAGTTCTAAATTATGTTCTTCAGCTCGCCGGTCTTCACTCGAACGCCTACATTTCGGACTTGTTCGCACAGAACTTCGCCAAGACTGGCATGAAGGCTTATGTCGAGCTCGTGCAAAGCCGGGAGCGAGAGATTGGCTGCGACGTACTCACCCACCAGAAGTGGTCTGGTGCTGACTATGCTGACAGCCTTATCAAGACTGTTACTGGCGGTGTTTCGTCGACTGCTGCCATGGGTGCTGGTGTCACTGAGAGCCAATTCACTTCCAAGTTGTAAATGTAGACATGTATTCAAAAACGTAAACTATGTATTCATTAGCGATAATATGGGACATTAATATTTCTTTCCTCTGAATTTGCCGTCTTGTGTGAAATGCCATCAATTCCATAAGCGCCTGGTCATCGTGATTGATGTGTTCTTGACTGCGACCACGACGACGACCACTACCCACTTCTCTGCGGATACCATGGACCAGGCGGAGCGAATCCAAGCTGTTTCTAATTTCTTGCTTCAGTCACCTCCTGGAGAGATCAACGACGTGTTGAACGGTAAGAGATATGGTGTCGACGATGAACGCGATGAAGCTAACGAGTTGTGGCAGATGTTCGTAACATCATCGCGGACGATGACGCGCTCCAGGAGGGCATTCTACCAGCGTTGAAAGAATACAATGTCACGCAGTTCACTACCGTCGACGTCCCTGATACAGACCACCAGGTGTGTGCTGGCGAAAGCGGACGAAGTTGGGCCCGGTTTTGCTGATTGCCACACCTCAAGAGTATCATCAGTGAAGCTGCCCGAGTGCCTGGATCCGATCCTGACGACAATCGATTCTGGGATCCTAGATCGAAGACGTCGTTTGTGTTTGATCATCTAACGCTGGTGTGTGGACTCGGAATTCGATTGCGGGAAGGATGGAAGGTTACCTTTTGGTTGTAGGAAGCATCGGATCCGCAGCCTTATGAACCTGAAGCCCAGCATGAAGAGTTTAGGTGCGCCGTGGAGAGTTCTGTGTAGTGGGAGGCGCTGACTGGACATGGGTTTCTGGGATTTATAGGGACGCGTTGCAGAAGGCCGCTCTGACGTACATTTCCTCTCATTTCCTGGATGGCACTGTGTCTGTGTTTCCCCCGGCGGAACCTCCTGAAGAGTTTACGGTTCAGGTTGTGGCGAACAAGTACAACCCGACGAATTATTGGTGTGCCTTGACTACGAGTCTGCATGTGTCACATATACTCAGTGGTTTTGCAGGTCGGGACGATGGAGATCACAGTACACTGTGGATCTAACCAAGCGGCAGGTCAAGGGCAGCATCCATGTCAACGTACATTACTACGAACAAGGAAATGTAGGTCGTTGCTGTGCTTCAGACCGATTCATAATGACTTGGGGATATAGGTGCAATTAGCAGCGGACCATAACATCTCGTTCACGATACCGCAAGCAGCAGCATCCTCGCCTCCCGCCGCTGCCGCGTCCAAGATCATTGCACTCATCGCCGAAGAGGAGAGTAAATACCAGGTCTCGTTGAATGAGAATTACCAGGATATGAGCGAGCGGACGTTCAAGGGGTTGCGTCGTGCGTTGCCGTTGACGAGGCAAAAGATTGACTGGGACAAGGTGAGCATTACCATTTGGCGGTGGACGTTGCTTGACTCTCGGCGGGTAGGTTACTGGGTACAAGCTTGGAGCAGAGTTGTCATCTAGCAAAGGCACTTTTGGAGCAACTTCGTAGACTTCTTCGTAATTGTAATAATGAATCCATTCTCCTTGCGAGTTCGAGTCAAGAGGAGAGTGAGTGTATGCCGGTCCGTGCGCGAGGGTTGCCGATGATATTTGATGGCTGAGTAAGCGAGGGACATATTTCCGTGTAACGCTCCTTGCGTCTGTACCACCACCAACTCCAGGATGAGTATCCCTCCTCCTCCCCCAGGCTTTATGCCGCCGCCCCCTCCAGGCATGCCCAATGCACCCCAGGCGTCGGGGTCGCGCTTGCCGCCAGAGGGTAAGTTCTTTTCGTTCACTTGACTCTACCCAATAGTGCTGACGCGCGTTCTCAACAACTCTAGTCATCGCGCAAAAGTCGCAAAAATGGATGCAGATGCAGAGAAAACGGTATAGTGAGAAGAGAAAGGGTGGTTATGTGGATATGGGCAAGCAGGTGCGTTGAAATCTTATATTGGTTTGCAACGGCGAGACTCATACAGGCGCTATGACAGGACTTACCACCTGAACACGTCCGCAAAATCATCAAGGACCATGGCGACATGAGCAACCGCAAGTTCAGAAACGACAAGCGAGTGCATCTTGGAGCCCTCAAATATGTCCCTCACGCCGTAATGAAACTGCTCGAAAACATCCCTTACCCTTGGGAGCAAGTCCGCGAGGTCCCCGTGTTGTACCACATCACTGGCGCTATCACCTTCGTCAACGAAATTCCGCGCGTTATTGAGCCTGTTTATCATGCGCAGTGGAGTACCATGTGGTTGGCAATGCGGAGAGAGAAGAGAGATCGTAGGCACTTCAAGCGAATGAGGTTCCCGCCCTTTGACGATGAAGAGCCGCCGCTCGATTATGGTGACAACGTCTTGGATGTTGAACCACTGGAAGCCATCCAACTTGAGCTCGACGAAGAGGAGGATGAAGCTGTCATTGATTGGTTCTACGATCCCAAGCCCCTCGTGGACACGCCCCACGTCAACGGTCCTTCCTACAGGTACTGGTCACTGACCTTGCCCATCATGGCCAACTTGTATCGACTCGGAAGGACGCTGCTCTCCGACCAGGCGGACAAGAACGCAAGCTATCTTTTCGACAAGAAGTCGTTCTTCACCGCCAAGGCACTCAACTTGGCCATCCCTGGTGGTCCAAAATTTGAGCCCCTCTACCGTGACATGGACACTTTTGACGAAGATTGGAACGAATTTAATGACATCAACAAAATCATCATCCGCCAGCAGATTCGAACTGAATACAAAGTGGCGTTCCCTCACTTGTACAACTCCCTACCTCGGTCTGTCCACATCGCTCCCTACCACTATCCCAAGAATGTCTACATTCGCACCGACGACCCTGACCTCCCCGCCTTTTACTTCGACCCGCTAATCAACCCTATCTCCCTTCGTGGCGCCAAGCCCAAGAACATGCCCCTCGTCTCACACGAGGACTCGATTTTTGGGCCCAACGGTGCTGATGAAGACACTTTCTCGATCCCCGACTTCGTCGACCCCTTCTTCAACGAGAAGGACCTCGAAACCGACTTGACCGCCGACGGTATTGCGTTGTGGTGGGCACCCGAACCCTATGGCAGGAGATCCGGCAGGATGCGTCGCGCGCAGGATGTTCCACTAGTCAAGAACTGGTATTTGGAGCACTGCCCTCCTGGACAACCCGTCAAGGTTCGCGTCTCGTACCAGAAGCTCCTCAAGGTCTACGTCCTCAACGAACTGCACACACGACCGGAGAAAGCCATGACCAAGAAGAACTTGTTCCGTCAATTGAAGGCTACCAAGTTCTTCCAGACAACTAGGTTGGATTGGGTCGAAGCTGGTTTGCAAGTTTGTAGACAAGGTTACAACATGCTGAATCTCTTGATTCATCGCAAAGTAAGACTTACAGGTTTCCACCGTGTCAACTGAATCTAACCTTTCCCTCTCTTAGAACCTGAACTACCTCCATCTCGACTACAACATGAACTTGAAGCCTGTTAAGACCTTGACCACGAAGGAGCGAAAGAAGTCTCGTTTCGGAAACGCCTTCCATCTCTGTCGAGAAATCCTTCGCCTCACCAAGCTCGTCGTCGACGCCCACGTCCAATTCCGTCTCGGCAACGTCGACGCGTTCCAACTCGCCGATGCCCTCCAGTACATCTTTGCTCATATTGGTGCCTTGACCGGTATGTACCGATACAAGTACAAGCTCATGCGTCAAGTTCGTATGACCAAGGACTTGAAACACTTGATCTACTACCGCTTCAACACTGGCCCCGTTGGCAAAGGTCCTGGTGTCGGTTTCTGGGCTCCCGGATGGCGAGTGTGGTTGTTCTTCATGCGTGGTATCGTTCCCTTGCTCGAGCGGTGGCTGGGCAACTTGCTCGCTCGTCAATTCGAGGGTCGTAACAGCAAGGGTATCGCCAAGACTGTGACCAAGCAGCGTGTCGAGTCCCACTACGATTTGGAGTTGCGTGCTGCCGTCATGCACGATATCCTCGACATGATGCCCGAGTCCATCAAGCAGAACAAGGCGAAGACGATTTTGCAGCACTTGTCAGAAGCATGGCGATGCTGGAAGGCCAACATCCCCTGGAAGGTTCCCGGAATGCCCACTGCCATCGAGAACATCATCTTGCGTTACATTAAGAGCAAGGCCGATTGGTGGGTCAGCGTCGCTCACTACAACCGAGAGCGTATTCGTCGTGGAGCTACCGTGGACAAGGCCGTCGTCAAGAAGAACCTTGGTCGTCTCACTCGTTTGTACCTCAAGGCCGAGCAGGAGCGTCAACACGCTTACCTCAAGGACGGTCCTTACATCAGCGCTGAAGAGGCTGTCGCCATCTACACCGCAACCGTCCACTGGTTGGAGAGCAGGAAGTTCTCACCGATTCCTTTCCCCCCTCTCAACTACAAGCATGACACCAAGCTGCTTGTTCTTGCCCTCGAAAAGTTGAAGGAGGCCTACTCGGTCAAGGGTCGTCTCAACCAGTCACAGCGTGAAGAGTTGGCCTTGATCGAACAGGCCTACGACAATCCTCATGAATGTCTGTCTCGAATCAAGCGCCTCTTGCTCACTCAGCGTGCCTTCAAGGAAGCCGGTATCGAGTTCTTCGACACCTATGACAAGCTTATCCCTTGCTATGACATTGAACCCGTCGAGAAGATCACCGATGCTGTGAGTATTCTCCTTGGTGCTTTTACGACGAAGAAACTAATCATGCTCGACTAGTACCTTGACCAATTCTTGTTCTTCGAAGCCGACAAGCGAGGTCTTTTCCCTGCTTGGATCAAGCCAGCCGTAAGTATCAAGGTTCCCATGTTACATATTCACTGTGCTCACTGCGCTTTGCTTCATAGGACACTGAACCTCCTCCACTCCTCGTCTACAAGTGGTGCCAAGGCATTAATAACTTGAGCGAGATTTGGGAGACGAGCGAAGGCGAATGCGTGGTTATGATGGAGACTGTATTGTCCAAGGTCTACGAGAAGATTGACTTGACTTTGCTCAACCGTCTGCTCCGTCTGATCCTTGACCACAACTTGGCTGACTATATCACGGCGAAGAACAACACCGTTCTCACCTACAAGGGTATGTTGGCCACCTTTGCGTCCTTGAACTTAATGCTGATTTTCATTTTTAGATATGGCCCATACCAATGCCTACGGTCTCATTCGCGGTCTCCAATTCTCTGCTTTCGTCTTCCAGTACTACGGTTTAGTCCTCGACTTGCTCGTTCTCGGCTTGCAACGAGCGAGCGAGATGGCCGGTCCACCACAGCAACCCAACAACTTCCTGCAGTACCGCGACTCGGCAACGGAGACTCGCCACCCCATCCGTCTCTACTCCCGATACGTCGACCGCCTCCACATCCTCTTCAGGTTCACCGCCGACGAGGCTCGCGATCTTATCCAACGCTACCTTTCCGCCAACCCCGACCCCACCAACAACAACGTCATTGGCTATAACAACAAGCGATGCTGGCCTCGAGATTGCCGTATGCGTCTGATTAAGCACGACGTCAACCTTGGTCGCGCGGTGTTCTGGAATGTCAAGCAGAGTTTGCCGAGGTCGTTGACCACGATCGAGTGGGAGGACACCTTCGTCTCCGTCTACTCCAAGGACAACCCACAGCTCTTGTTCTCGATGTGCGGCTTCGAAGTTCGCATCCTTCCCAAGATCCGCACGACCTCTGGCGAACAGTTCTCCCTCAAGGATGCTGTTTGGAATTTGACGAACGAACAAACCAAGGAGCGGACTGCCCAGGCGTTCCTCCGCGTTTCTGATGAAGGTGTTCAGGCATTCAACAACCGTATCCGTCAAGTCCTTATGAGCTCCGGTTCGACGACCTTCTCCAAGATCGTCAACAAGTGGAACACCGCCCTCATTGGTTTGATGACCTACTACCGTGAAGCTGTCATCCACACCAACGAGCTGCTTGATGCCCTCGTCAAGGCCGAGAACAAGATTCAAACTCGTGTCAAGATTGGTTTGAACAGTAAGATGCCTTCGCGTTTCCCCCCCGTCGTTTTCTACACGCCCAAGGTACGTTGTTCGAGTGTTCATCTAATCCCCTTTAACTGACGTGTTGTATAGGAACTTGGTGGTCTCGGAATGTTGTCCATGGGACACGTCCTCATCCCTCAGAGTGACTTGAGATGGTCGAAGCAAACCGACGTCGCGGTCACTCACTTCCGTGCCGGCATGACCCATGAAGAGGACCAACTCATTCCCAACTTGTACCGGTACTTGCAACCTTGGGAAGCGGAGTTCCTCGACTCTGCCCGTGTCTGGTCCGAGTACTCGATGAAGCGTAAGGAGGCCAATGCTCAGAACCGCCGACTTACTTTGGAGGATCTCGAGGACAGCTGGGATCGTGGTATTCCTCGTATCAACACCTTGTTCCAGAAGGATCGTCACACGTATGTAGTTTATCTCATTCTTTGAATTGCGCGCTGATAATTTTCTCTAGTCTCGCCTACGATCGTGGTTGGCGTGTGCGAACGGACTGGAAGCAATACCAGCTCCTCAAGCACAATCCTTTCTGGTGGACGTCTCAGCGCCACGACGGCAAGCTCTGGCAATTGAACAACTATCGTGTCGACGTCATCGCCGCCCTTGGTGGTGTCGAAGGTATCCTCGAGCACACGCTCTTCAAGGGTACCTACTTCCCCACTTGGGAGGGTCTGTTCTGGGAGAAGGCGTCCGGTTTCGAAGAGTCGATGAGATACAAGAAGCTCACCAACGCTCAGCGATCCGGTCTCAACCAGATTCCTAACCGTCGGTTCACGCTCTGGTGGAGTCCTACCATCAATCGTGCCAACGTCTACGTTGGTTTCCAGGTCCAACTGGATTTGACTGGTATCTTCATGCACGGTAAAATCCCGACTTTGAAGATCAGTTTGATTCAGATCTTCCGTGCCCATCTTTGGCAGAAGAGTGAGTTTTCTCTTATTCTTTCAGTTATTCATTCTGACGTGCTGTGTTTTAGTCCACGAGAGTGTCGTCATGGATCTTTGTCAAGTATTGGACCAGGAGGTGGAGCCCCTCCAGATTGAATTGGTGCAGAAGGAAACCATCCATCCTCGTAAGAGTTACAAGATGAACTCTTCCTGCGCCGATATTCTCCTCTTCGCCGCATACAAGTGGAACATCTCCCGCCCCTCCCTCGTTACCGATGTGAGTCTCCCTACCCTTGTGTCCATATACATTTGACTAAAGCACATTTTAGGCTAAGGATGTTCTCGACGGTACCACGAGCAACAAGTTCTGGATCGACGTTCAGCTTCGTTGGGGTGACTTCGATACGCACGACATCGAACGTTATACTCGTGCCAAGTTCCTGGACTACGTATGTTTCTGCCTAGTCCATCTTACATATGTACGCTAACATTTTTATAGGTTTCTGACTCCATGAGTATCTACCCATCACCCACTGGTGTCATGATCGGCATGGATCTTGCCTACAACCTTTGGTCTGCCTACGGTAACTGGTTCCCCGGTTTGAAGCCGCTGATCCAGCAGGCGATGGCGAAGATCATGAAGGCCAATCCCGCTTGCCACGTTCTTCGTGAACGTATTCGCAAGGGTCTTCAGCTCTATTCGTCTGAGCCCACGGAACCTTACCTCAACAGTCAGAACTACTCCGAACTCTTCTCCAACCAAATCATCTGGTTCGTCGACGACACCAACGTCTACCGTGTCACCATCCACAAGACGTTCGAGGGTAACTTGACGACGAAGCCCATCAACGGTGCCATCTTCATCTTCAACCCCCGGTCTGGACAGTTGTTCTTGAAGATCATTCACACCAGTGTCTGGGCTGGTCAGAAGCGTCTCGGCCAGTTGGCGAAGTGGAAGACTGCTGAAGAAGTTGCGGCTCTTGTTCGATCGCTTCCTGTTGAAGAGCAGCCCAAACAAGTGATCGTCACACGAAAGGGCATGTTGGACCCTCTCGAAGTCCACTTGCTTGACTTCCCCAACATTGTCATCAAGGGAAGCGAGTTGCAGCTGCCCTTCCAGGCCTGTATGAAGATGGAGAAGTTCGGAGACCTTATCTTGAGGGCGACCCAACCTCAGATGGTTCTCTTCAGCTTGTATGGTACGCAGTCTCGCTCTTTTACTTGATTATACACGGCGTCTGACATTTTCTCTAGACGATTGGCTCAAATCCATTTCCAGCTACACTGCGTTTTCTCGACTCATCTTGCTGTTGCGTGGCCTTCATGTCAACAACGAGAAGGCGAAGATCATCTTACACCCCGACAAGAACACTGTTACCGAGCCTCACTTCGTCTGGCCATCGCTCACGGATGAAGAATGGATCAAGGTCGAAGTGGCGATGAAGGATCTCATCCTTCAGGATTTCGGGAAACGAAACAGCGTCAACATTGCCTCGCTGACCGTTAGCGAGATCCGAGATATCATCTTGGGTCAGGAGATTGCGGCTCCGTCGGTGCAGCGTCAACAGATGGCAGAACTCGAGAAGAGTACTGAAGCCCAGGCTCAAGTTACCGCCGTTCAAACCCAGACCACAAACGTGCACGGCGATACCATCCAGACTGTTACGAGTGAGTACCTTCTTTGTGTTCCTTCAATCAACGGTTTCCTGACTGCTCCTTCTAGCTACCAATTACGAACAGCAGGTGTTCAGCAGCAAGTCTGATTGGCGAGTTCGTGCCATCTCATCAACTCACCTTCCTCTTCGCTTGCAACACATCTACGTGTCGAACGACGATGTCAAAGACGACGCTGCTTCATACACCTATGTCCTGCCGAAGAACATCTTGCGAGCCTTCATTACCTCCGCAGATCTCCGCACTCAAGTCGCTGCTTACCTGTATGGTGTGTCCCCTCCCGACAACAAACAGGTCAAGGAGATCAAGGCTGTCGTCTGGGTTCCTCAACGCGGAAGCAACAACGGCGTCGAGCTTCCTTCTCAGTTGCCAAAGGATGATCTCCTCCTGAAGGACTTGGAGCCATTGGGTTGGATCAAGACTCAAGCACTTGAACTTTCCCATCTCTCGCCAACGGACGTGACCACGCAGGCCAAGATCATGGCTGACCATCCTGAATGGACGTCATCGTCTATCTGCATCACCGCGTCGTTCACACCTGGTTCAGTGTCGTTGTCTGCACATTCGCTGACTGTTGCCGGCTTCGAATGGGGTAGGAAGAATCAAGACCTTTCGGCCAATCCCCCTGGCTTCAACCCTAACATGTCGGAGCGCGTCCAACTTCTACTTTCTGATCGTATCTTGGGTATGACCTTGGTACCGGAAGGCAGAGTTTGGAACTACGGCATTGGCCTCACGCAGATGTGGTCCCCCAACATTCCTTACTCCATGACGATCGACACACCTCTTTTATTCTGGGCTGAAGAACACCGGCCAGCGGCTTTCCTTACTGTGCGTATTGTATCTTATCCTCGCGATATGGCTTGATTCTAACGTGTGCTGCTTTTTTCTAGTTCGCTAATCTTGAAACTGGTGACGATAGCGCCGATGTCGAAAACAGTTTCGCATAGTCTTGTGTTGTTTACATTTCCCGCTGTATTCTATTGTCACATTCTGTAGATATAGGTTATAACTTGTGCTTAGTTGGGACACGGTCCCTAATTCCAATTTGTACTTTCTTTTCGGACAATTTGGGTGCAAGTGTGATAGCGAGAGGTATACATATACTACATTTTAGCAACGCAAAGGCAGATTATCTAGACGCTTCGGTCACTCCTTCTGCAGGACTTGTCTACGAGGGCTCTGCGGCCTTGCACACCCTTCCTGAGGCGATCCAAGACCGGGACAGTGGTTTCCCAAGAGATGCAAGCATCCGTGACGGATTGGCCGTATCTGAGGCCGTTGGGACCGGAGGCAGGGATATCCTGGCGTCCTTCGACGAGGTTACTTTCAAGCATGACACCCATAATGAAAGACGAAGTCTCCTCGTTTGATTCAAGTTGTTGAGCCTAAGAATAGTACCCGGGGAGATGAGTTCTCCGATGATTTAATGATGACCCTGGATGACTCACAATGTTCTCGGCGACTTCCACCTGTCTCTGGTGTTGCTTAGAGCTGTTTCCGTGACTGCAGTCAATCTGGAGATGCCGTTGAACTCGTGTAAGACACAACAATTAACGACGGATTCTCACCATGATCTTTTGCGGAAGACCAGCTTTTCCGAGCTTCTCGCCGGCCTCTTTGACGTATTCAGCTTCATAGTTCGGTCCTTTGGAACCTCCACGGAGGATGATATGAACATCAGGGTTACCCTGCCGTACAAATGAGATGGGTGCCATGTCAATGGATGGAACGTGTAAACGTACAGTGGTCTCGACAATGCTGCTCAGACCCTCCTTTCCGACGGAGAGGAAAACGTGCCCCGTGCGTGCCGCGCGACAAGCATCGATGGCAATCCCCACACTTCCGTCTGTGGAGTTCTTGAAACCCGTGGGCATGGAAAGAGCAGATGTGAGTTCACGATGAACTTGCGACTCGGTAGTCCGCGCGCCAATGGCGCCCCACGAAACGAGATCAGCGGTGTACTGGGGAGTGATGGTGTCGAGGAATTCACAGCCTGCGGGGAGACCAAGTTTGGCAATGTCGAGGAGGACGCCGCGAGCAAGTCGGAGGCCCTTGTTGATCTGGAAGCTGCCGTTGAGATCGGGGTCGTTGATGAGACCCTTCCAGCCCACGGTAGTTCGTGGTTTTTCGAAGTAGACGCGCATGACGATGTGCAGGTCATCTTTGGCCTGGTCGGCGTATTCTTTGAGAAGTTTGGCGTACTCGAGGGCTGCCTCGACGTTGTGGACAGAGCAGGGGCCTACGACGACCAGGAGTCTGTCATCGTCACCCCGGAGGATGTTTTCTGTAGCATATCGACCATTTAGGACTGTCTGGGCTGCCGAGAGAGTCCTAGGGAGAGCGTTAGACTGGGCGCACGTTGGCGAAGAGAGAGACTGACAAGGGCTGGTCTTCCTGGAGAATCTGTGGAGGAATCAAGGGCCTGGTAGACCTGACTCTGCTGTTTTCGAGCCTGGCAAGGGCGTCCTTGAAAGACATAGCCATATCGAGATCGACGACCACTGGACACGTTGGGAGGTCAGTTATATAGAAATCTTGAGGTGATTCGCGGGACCCATTTGGGCTTACTTGTCAAGTCGGTGTTAGTAGATTGAACCGAGGATGGTGGAATGTAAAAGAGTTGCAAGCTCGAGAGACGTTTTTCTTCATTTGATGATGCTGGAAATCGAGTCAAGTTGCTGATTGCCGGCCAAGCCAATCTCACCTCCACATTTTCACAGATCATTCACGTGACCTCACTCCATCGTGAGCGTTTCCGATCGGAGTTTGGCCAGCTCGTCACCGCCAGGCGCGTTACGGTTCTGCTCGACGTGTTTTCTACTTTCACCACAAACTCTCAACGACGACAACCATGGATTTCTCGACTTTCAATGCCGCCGAACAGGCCCACATGAACAAGATTATTGAGAAGAAGCAGGTGTGTAAACAATACTGTCATTGGTTATGGAAAATGGCCTAACACGTTGCCTCGCGAACAGATGCAGGACTTTTTGAAAATGTACTCTAATATCGTCGAGAAATGCTTCATGACATGCTGCAATGACTTTACGAGCAAGGCCTTGTCATCGAAAGAAGTTCGTCGCCACCTCTGTGGATTCAGGTCGGAAAACTCATCGCTGGCAACTTTAGGACCAATGTATCTCCAACTGTGCGGAGAAGTTCCTCAAGCACTCTGAGCGGGTAGGCGCAAGGTTTGCAGAGGCCAACGCTGGTATGTTTGTCGACTCTGAAAGCTAATTGTATTGCTTACCCAGTTCCACAGAGGCTATGGGTGGCCAATCCTAAAAGTATCCATACCTATACTAATGACCCCACCATTAATTTATTGCACCCTAATCGCAACTCCTTTGATGCCTGTGTCCTGGTCGCTCAAGCTCTACCTTGAAAAGTCAATTCAGCCATGTCATGTCGTACGTGGTGACATTGAGTCGCATGGCCTCATTCCGACACCAATGGACTGAACCTGTTCCACCCACATATCCCAGTCCGTTTCAGGTATAGCTAATTGACCTTGCTTCACGATTCAGATTCCATCGTCCACGCAATTCGACAATTGTTCCGACGTTCTCTCAAGGGCGACAGAAGTGACTGTTCCGCTTCCGGCGGAGGACTGAGTGCGTGGGCAAGTTTTCTGGTTGAATAAATAGGTTTGAAACTGGCATTGGGTCTACAGACAGGTGCATTGTAATAAAGATTATTTGGTCCAGCAAAAGTCATGCCACGCGACTCCTCTTCATCTGCTTCTCCACCTCCTGCTTCAACTCCCCCTTGCCATCTTTTCTCACCGAAAAGCCCTTGGCATGCAGCTGTTCCAAGATTGTCACAACCCAATCTAACGGCGTCCATTGAGCTGCCTTCGCATTGGCGACATTACAAGGTACCGGGGTGTTCGCGACGATAGCGCAGAATTCTGCGTATCTCCTGCTCTCGACTTTTCCGGCATGAAGCATGCAGAGGAAGCCTTCGTCGTGTGTTGGGTCAGTGGGTTTGGCTGTAGGTTTGGCTAGGGTGATGTCACCATCGCGGGATGGAACTTGGAGGGTGAATTCGGTGCCTTCTGTCGAGGTGGACATGAGGATGAGGCTCCAGTTTCTGAGACCTGGCATGACAGGCTTGCGGTAGTAAACTATCTTCATTGCGAAGGCCATGATTTGACACTATGGATGGGTGGATGGCTCGTTCCGAGGGATTGAAGGGGTATTGGTTGGAAGTCGGTTGTTCTGCTCTTCCCTCGTCTCTTCGGAGCCCAATATATACTGCAAAATCCCAGTCAAAGCGCTATGTCAAAGCGACCATGGAAGCCACATCGGTAAATGTCAAAGGGTCGCCCAAGGCGCCAAGAAACCAGTCGGCCAGACTTAAAAGCGAAAGTCGCGATTTGGTGCACACAGTTTAACCTTTGCGTCAAAGCACACTGCACGCACAAAGGCACCTGGACGCTTTGGAAATGATTTCGCTCATTGTGGTATCGCTGCAGAAGACATATGAATACTGTGACTAAAATACAATTGTCACTTGAAAGAAAGACAAAGCCTTTGCTAGTTCAAATACCCGCCGGATCCGTCTCGATCATCAAAATGCCTACATCCGGACACCCGCGGGCATGCAATCTCCAATGGGTCCCTTTGGGTTCAGCCTCGAACGTGTTGAACTCTACAGGGGGCCACACAGCATGTCAGACTGCTGTCGCCTTCGGAAGAAAAGGCCGTGATACGTACTGAACATACCACCTTTGATCATTCGCAACGCACAAACCACCATGTGCGTTCTGAGCCGGTTGGCAGCTCGTCGCTAGCCAGTCGACCAATGCAGCCTATGTTATACATTAGCGCCCCCGATACACCTTCTGAAGAGAAGAGGACGAGACTCACCCAGTCGGTTCGACAGTAAACGAGACCGCCGAAATCCTGATTGATGAAGAAGGTCTTGCATGACCTATAGGTCATGGTAACATTTGTCTGGCGCCCACCACATATCAGTCCCAGTTACTCGCCAGTGGGGTCCGAACTTGGTTCCTACCGCTGTGGCAACCCTGAACAATGCCCCGGTATTCTCGCTCTCGTACCGCAATGCATCCGCGATGACATTGCACTCTGCTGGGCTTGGGACTGGTGCTCCTCCAGACGGCGTGAAGCAGTGGGTCGTGCCTAGAGATATGCTTTCAGTGTACAATGTCAGGCGTTCACTAGGGAGATGTTCCTTACAATTAGCCCCGCAAACATTGGTCTCATTGACCTGGCGACGCCATACGGGCGCCTCTTCTTGTCGGATGGAACTGGGAATATAGTAATCTACACTGACTTCTTTGTTCTGTCCGATGTGCGTGGAAACGTGCTTCAGAGCTGCAGAGTCCGGAGAGATGACTGACACGGCCTGTGTACATGAGAGGACAGCGAGCGAAAGAATCGCGGAGAACATCATCTTTGAGAATGGTAGTGGGTAGAGGGTACTACTGAGGCGGCCGTCTGAATGCCACCTTATATCTACTATGCCGAGAAGAAAGAGCCTTTGATCCTGGCGACAGTGCCGACCGCACAGTGACTCGCTTCTGGAGTCATCTGAGCATATTCCAACTTTCTAGACCTCCTAGGCTATCTTTAGCCACAGGAAAACTCCCTACGTCGACAAGAACATCCAGAAAGAAGCAACGGAATTCCATATTCGGATCATCTCCAATTCAAAATAGTTTCAACCCATCAAGCTTTTACGGTTCGCAAGTTTACTCATCCTGCTGCTCTTGCCCTTCCTCAACCATGCCCAGTACCCAGCGAAGCCTTGCTTTTACATCGACGCCCTCATGATCGTCCAAATCCCATTCCAAGAATCTCTTGCAAACCGCCTCCGCGTCTAGCAGATCTTCCTTCTCCTTCTCGGTTATTTCTTCATCCAAAAGCTGTACGATTTCGTGTTGGGAAATCAAGTTGCTAGTTGAAGAGATGAGTACTGCGGTTACTCAAAGCAGGGCGCACTGCGGCGTCGGATGGTATTACCTGACGTGCTGAGCACGAGAGACAATTCGAGCGGGGATCCCAAACATCGCTGCACACTGAGCAGCATGTGAATCTGCTGACAGTCCCCGCGCCACGCTATTTACGCCGTGAGCAACAGAGATGCGGGAGACTTTAAAGGCCTGCCTACCGATACAGGTACGTGATCTTATCTCGAGGTCCGACATGCACCACGGACCCTCTCACACTCTCCACATCGCTCTCACATACCGAGTCAGAGTCCAATGTGAACATGACCTGCATATGGCAACAAGTAATTGGGAGATTCTCAACGTCGAGGAGATCGCGCGTGAATACTTCGTGAAAGTGGGTGGCTACGAGAACCATCGGGCATGCTGGCCCTCGTTCAAGCAGGTGCATTAGAACGCCACAGAACAGACCAGCTCCGTCTAAAGAAATTGCCTTAACTAAGGGGCAAGCGGAGTCTAAGAGCGGATCACTTGCCAGTCGATAAAGTGCCCTTCCCGAATTCGTCAAGCAGGATAAGAGAACGGGGTGTGCAATTGCGGAGGGCGAGGGAAACTTGGTTGAGATCGATCATAAATGCTGACTGCGCCTGAGATACTTCCAGCGTCAACATAGTACTACCGGAAGTCTAACAGCTAACCTTCGACACGGATTCTCTCGTCGAAACGCGAGTGAAAACTGGGGTCATCAGTCTTGATCGGAACTTCAAACGGGCAGCGTACTTTTGTCGACGATTCCTAGAGTGGCGCGTTCCGCTGGAACAAAACTGAGAGGACTTAGTACGCAGGGAAATATGTGCTGAAAACAGTGCTGACCATCCTATCTATAGGGGGGATGTCGAATTTAAGTTTGGATCTTAAAAAGCACGATTTACCTGGGCCATTATCTGAATGAGGGCAATCTGGCCAGCGATGTTAGCCTCTGAACACACAGGTAGCATGGACCAGCGGTACCTGCTTCATGTATACGCTCTGCGAAACGATTTAGTCTCTGCGAGAAAGGAGAAAGGTACAACACACCTTTCCACATGCGTTAGCGCCTGTGCAAAGTAGGATACTGTTCCAATCATCCTCATCTTCCAGGCCCTCTGGCTGAGAGTTCAGACCGGCTCCTCCGACAAGCCTTGCATCATTCGCAACGAATGCATCTAGGATTTGCTCATGCAGAGGGTGTCTGGGTTGTCATCGCATCCGAGTCGTTTCTCGAGTGTAGGGTGTCGTTCATTCTCACCTTCCGCCAACGATCTCAATGACGCTGTCCTGGACGATTTCTGGTCTGACGTAGTTGTTTGTTCGAGAGGCCTGCGCTAGGGAGAGGAGACAGTCCAGTTCTGCACAGACATCGCAAGCGTTGCTCATAGCTTCCGTATGGGTCAACATTTCCTCAAGTAGTTCCTGAATGATTTCAAGTTCTCGATCGACGATGGTTGAGTGAAGGTCGCCAATGTGAATGTCCATATCTACGCGGCTTTAGTGCTCATGGACATGGCTGGACCCTAAAGGACACTCACCGTGCATTTCTTGTGACTTAAAATAGACATGGGCCCTTTGGCGCGAGCGCCAATCAGCAACAGAAAGGTGATGGCAAAGTCCGGACATACTCCGAGGAAAACTAGAGTGGGTGTGTCAGCCGGTTTGCACGATGACGTTCGAAACCAAGTAGACACAAACCTGAAAGGTCCAGCCTTCAACAGCAGGCGTACCTCCGGCCTGCCACTCTTGCCTCATTGGTACACATATAAGGTACCCTAATGGATTTGCGTTGAGTGACCAATCAGGGCATATGCGGTTAAACATTCACCTAACTGTGGAAAGTAGACCACGTTGAGAGACGGAGCAATGTCAGGCGAGACAGTCTGCGAAATCTGCTCTGCCACAGTTGACTGGAGGGGGAAGGTCAGGACCGAATGCGACACGCATGCAGTGGAGTATTCGGTACCAAGACTGAGTCAATTCCATGGTACGCGTGCTTCCAGTTGTCGAGTTCTTCGTCAATTCGAGGTCTTACACAGACGCGCTCAGCGTTAGTTGACTCTTCCCAATCGATCTATAGGGTAAAAGAGCGAATGTATTGAGTGGATTTCCCAAGTTCATGCGGTCACCGTGACAAACCGTATCGTTAACCTTGCCCCCGGTTTCTTTGAACGTCGCAACATCCAGGGCCGAAATAAGCTTCAACCCACCAGGCATGAGAACCAGGCCATAACACGAGGCACGAGTGAATATATACCTTCTTCACAATCTGCACGTCAGCTGCTCCATGTAACTCAGAAAGTGCGTCACGAAGCATGGTCGTGTGGAATGTGAACTGCAAACAGGGTGATATCAGCTTGACGAGAACAACGGAAGGTGCCCTATATGATTCCATTTGTATACATACCTTTACGAAACCTTGCCAGTCCGAGAGTTGGGCTCGGCCAGATGTGAGAGCTTTGAGAATCTTGGGCATATTTTTGATACCCTTCAGATGATTATGCATGAGGTTGGCAGTGGTGATGTTCTCTGGCCGCATAAAACAAGCAACTGCATCTTGCCGAGACGTTATGGTGGAGATTGACAAGGAAGGTCGGAGCAGCCAGGTGCGGAGAAGTTGTCTACCAAGGTTGGTTTTCGTGCTATTCAGAATCCCTGGAAATGCGTCAAAGAGGTAATGCCTCAACGAACGCCACAAAGTCAAGTCTGAGGGGCAAACGAACCGTAAAGGGAAAGTCCCTCCTTGGTTTTGTCCGAGTGAACCGAGGCGTGACTTTCAGTCTCGAAAACCTGAAGAGAGCTAAGGGAGAATCAATCCCTCGTCTGAGCCCATCAGTGCTCAAGCCTCACAGCAATGCATCTGAGTTGATATGCATAACTTGGTCACTAGCCACTGGTCAGAGCTTCTGGGGACAAGCCGGGCATGACTGCACGCACACCGCTAAGGTTTGGATGTCGCGGATATCCAGGTCATTGATTCCATCGCCGTCAAAGTCACTGGCAGCTCGTTGGCGGACAAGATGATCTATCAAGCTACCGATACTCGAAACCTGGTCTGAGGCGTCAACAACCGAGTATTCGAAAAAGGGGCCGGGATGACATACACAAAACGGGGACGTTTCAGCGGAGGTGAAATTCGCCAGACGAATTGCAGCATTCCAACGCTGAGCCGTGGGGTCGGTATCATGGCCTTGCCTGCGCATAAAATCATACGCGTTCCGGGACCGGGACGAGTGGCTGTCAGGGTCGGACATCGTGAGGTCAGGACCATCGTTCTCCACCGGCAATTCACTCAGTCTGCTCAAGGACATTAGACGTTCCCGTCCTCTCTTCGGACTGAATTCTTTGAATGGGCGAATCTGGAATAGGCCACCAGTCGCATCCACTGAACACAGGCTCAAAAAGTCAGTATATGCGGCGCGTGTAGTCATCAGAATAAAGGGAAGAAGATATTACTATGGTCCCTGAGTACATCAATGAACGCGTCCTCGGATTTTGAACTGGTCAACACGATGTCTGGCTGGATCTGCTCGAGGACTAATGCATGTCAGACAAGAAGGGAAAAACGAGGTTAGAACCTAGATTTTTTCCAGTTCAAGTGACCCTGGGGGATTTACGCAAGCGTGTCAAATCGAAGTGAACGGTTTCCTGAGTGTCTTCGAGCACATGTATGACACCCTTGACCGGCTCATAGTACGCGACGCCCACACGGCCGCTTAAAAGGGATGTCAGAAACGTAACATTTATTCACGAGGAGCACACGCACTGGGTACAAAATGCCGCCAGGCATATCTGCAGGCAGACGATCCCCAGTCAAGGCGATATTCATTCTCCAAGTCCCAACAACGTGCCTGCTCAGAAGTCGTCGAATTTTCCTCTTCCTCACCACTGCTACTGTCTTCATCGTCGTCATTCGATTGTCTCGAGCTTCCCTTCCATCGTACTTTCTTCTTGTCAGGTGCCAGCTCCGATGAACTATCGTCAGCCTCGTCGACGTTCGAGGCGACCGACATTTGCCTTTGTCTACGCCTTTTGGGAGGCATCGCTACCGAACAAGAAGAGGGGATTGGATAAAGGAGGAACGAAGTTCAAGGAGTGACGCCCTGCGTCGCGTCTTGCAAGGTCCCATCAAAAACGTCACTCACGTAGCGGTGTCACACGGCAGGAACGAAGGGGACCAAGGTCGAACCCGGGTCGACGCAATAAAATTATACGACATTAGGGGATGCGTACGAAGTAATTACTTGGATACTTTGAGGATATCTTTTACGCTATCGCCCGCCACTACAAAGGATTGAGTTAATAACGAGTTCCTTCCGAGGGGGAGCTAGGTACGAACCATTCAAGAGCAAGCTCTGCGAATCGAGCATAACCTTATTTCCGGAACCGGAGAGGGTGTTGGCAATCTCGCGGGCAGCCTCAAGGCGACGGAGCTCCAAGAAACCTTTGTTCTTGCGCAAAGCCTCGCCGACAAGTTCAGCACTCTGAGCTTCTCCCTGGGCGCGAACGATGATCGACTGCTTCTCCTGGACGGCTTGGTCGACCAAGAAGGCGGCTCGGAGGGCAGTTTGTTGTGCAATCTACAAATCCCTTAGAACACCATACGTGGCTAGTGAAGACGGTCGTACCTGTTTGGCTTCGACGGCGGAGGTGAACTCGGGAGAGAAGGCTACGTGGGTAATAGAGACGTCATCCAAGACGATGCCGAACCGCATTCCACGAGCGGTAAGGTTCTCGCGGACCAGTCGGGAGACCTTGAAACTGAGGTTAATCCCAAGCTGAATGAAATGAACGGCCTCCATACTTCTGCTCGCTGCGTAATCAACTGACTCGCGTTGAACTGGGCAACGACACTCTTCAAAACTTCGTTCACGATGGACGGAAGCACCCTCTCGTCATAGTCCAAGCCGAGTTCTCGGTAGATGCCAGGAAGGTTGCGGATGTCGGGTCTTGACAGCACACGGCAAGTAATGTTGACCATCTGCAAGTCTACAAATACCGTGTCAGGGATATGCTTTCCTTGACGAAAACATTTCTACCAACCCTTCGTTCCCGTCAAACTGGCAATGTTTCTGGGTTTTGCACGGATATCGTAGATGATTGGGGTTTCGAACCAGGGAATCTGGACGCCCGTCAGGTTAAAGAAAAGCAACAGCAATGGCAAAACAGACGTACAGCAAAATGGGTTCCTTCGCCATAGACGTCGGGCCTAAGTCCACCTATTCTGTTACGGGTGTTCACCACTGGCTTCAACTAGGAGTATGTCTGTATAGTTACCTGCTGTACTTGATGGCTCGGTGACCACCGTCCACTGTGAGGACATTAGTTCAAAGTTTGTCACCAAAATTCGACGGTGACATACCGTTGTACAAACTGGAGTTAATGAGCACGGCTCCTCCTACCACTGCAGCGAGAAGACCTCCTCCAGCAAATGCACCTTTGCCTGGGCGTTTTCCGCCACCGCCAGACCGTAGTTGGAGGACGATTCTTCGGAAAGCTTCTTGGCCGTTGTTCATGGTCGCTGGACACAAGTGACGAGCGTTTGCCGAATTCCGTGCGTCGACGCGGTCCTTCTTGACACGTGACAGTTGACCCTAACCCTACGCCAAAGTCTTTTCATCAAAGTCTTGGCGACTTAAACGACCCCACACAGCTTCAGCGTGCTGGCTCAAAGGAATCACCTCACTTCTAACTCTTACAGTCGTTGGAGGCTCTTCATGCTGGCATTGAATGTCAATGACACGCTAAGCAATGTGGTACGTCGGGCCCACCATATCCATTATATTTTCGCTAAAGTCAGCAAATCGGCTAGCTTGGCTGGATCTCAATCGCCTGTTGGTGAACCTCGGCACAATGGTCTCCGTGGCAGGGCAGCATGGTTGACGATACTGCTTTAGGATTGTGGTCTATACTCCGCAACTATACGAGAACTATGTCCTTCAATCCGGCGAAGGCGTCAGCGTCCTATTCGTTGTCATCTGGCTTCTCGGCGACCTGCTCAATCTGACAGGCGCTATCCTCGCGGGCCTGATTCCGCCAATAATCATCGTTGCGGTCTATGTGAGTTTCTCCGAGCTTCACGTTCTGGCCGTCTCCAAAATATAATAACACTTGTCCTCGTTTCTAGTATACCACATGCGACAGTATTCTCTTGTCGCAGATCTATTACTACCGATGGAAGCGTGGTCGTTTGAGCCAACGACGACGGCAATCTGCTGGCCAGGATGAACAGGCCCCTTTAATTGCCGGTGATACCCGACGAGGGACGTCGGAGGTGACGCCTATTCGAGTCGTTCTTCTCCGTTACTCGTGTGCCGTCGTTTTTGTGGTTAGCGTTGGGATCGGAGCATGGTGGATCAGTGAAAGGGTGAATGAAAAGGGTTTCGAACCGCCGGAGACCAGGGACTCCTGGCTGGTCCAGTTCCTCGGCTGGTCCAGTGCAGTCCTCTTCGTACGTCGATTCCTGTTAATCGATTGCACTTATCCTTCACTTATCTTGACCGAAATCAGCTCGGGGCTCGTATCCCCCAGATACGTACGTCAAAAGGAATTACTTAGTAGCGCCTCAAGGACGAGAGCTAACTCCGATTGCAGTGAAGAATTTCAAAACCCGGTGCGAAGGGTTATCACCTGCCCTTTTCTTCTTCTCGATACTCGGGAACACGACGTATGCCTTGTCCATTTGCGCCAAGAGCATGGATAGGGCATACCTCCTTACCAATGCCGGTTGGTTGGCAGGTGAGCGGATGTTGCGATGCATGTTGTGAACTATCTGACAGGGACTGCTTTGTCCAGGGAGTGCACTAACAGTGTTCCTCGACATCTTTGTAAGTAAAAGAATTCAATGGTCGATTTTCGGTGACATGAACGAAAAGGGCAGGTTCTTTGTCAATTTATCTATTACAGAGCGAAGGAAGATGGTCGGATGGAAGAGTGAGCTGTATGACATAGAACTAGGAGACAATAAAAAACATGATGATGCCCAATCAAGTAAAATGTAGAAAATAGGAGTGCGAGGCCCGAGAATGCGGAGCGAAAGCAGATTTGTCTGCCTCGTTGTTCTCCTCGTGTTGCGGACGAGCGTTCGCATGTCCCACGTTGCAGGTCATCCATCACGCAGAAATGGAATCCTTTGCCTGCTTGCAAGTTTTGCATCTACCTCGTGCTCTTTGCGGAACACAGCTTGCGATTTAGTTATCGGCAAAATCGTCTATAAGACATGCCTAAATTTCTCGTGCCCTTTCCGGACCCTCCATCCACAGAAACGTACGTTCATCTCTCCCGTCCGCCCTCGATGAAGGATGTCCCCGCTTACTCCCCCTTCCCAGCTACTTGACCTGATTCCTCCACCAATCTGGGACATCGCCTCCCGTTTCGACGGCCCAGATGGCCACCTCAGACTATGATCCACCTCCTTCCCCCCGACGACGAAAAATGTCGTTCAAGGGGTTCAGTCCGCTGCCACCCCTCCACACTCGCGCCGTTACCCGCGAGGACATCTTCATCGCCCGCCCATCGTCCAGTGCATCCGTCTCCTACCTGAGGGAGGCAATAGCCTCAATCGACGCAAAAATCTCGCTTCTCATCTCGCAGAGGCGGGAGCTCGAGGGCAAACTCGAGCAAGAGGTCCGGATGCAATCCCCCGTCCTTCGCCTCCCCAGCGAGTTATTGTCATCCATATTCATCATGGGCGTCCTGGGCATGGGCGATGAGGACCCCGTAATGGTTCCTACACTGATGCTTGTATGGTAAGCCCCAGCGCCTCTCCATTCCCCGAGTCAACTATTTTATTCACCGGATTTCCCTTCAGTCGGTATTGGGCAGAAGTAGCGCTCAACACACCTCTCCTTTGGGCGAAGATCTCAGTCAGCCCACATGATTCTCTGGAAAAGGCCAGACGGAGAATAGAACGCTCGAAATCGTGCCCACTCGAGATCTCAATCAACTTCAGTCACCGACACGAACACGGTCCCAACGCCACCGACCAGATCGTTAGCGCGACTGACTTGTTTGACGCCGTGCTGTGGAGGACCAAGACGTTTACGCTCATCGTGCCCAGTCGACAGTTGGCGCATGCGGCTTTAACGCGTTGCAAATCCGACGCGCCTATCTTGGAAAAGCTCACCATCCAGGTCCACTATTCGATCCAGGAAGACCGACACTTCACCAAGGCTACACTACCTCTCTTCAATGGCTGCACACCGCGATTACGCTCCTGTTCGATCACCTCTTTCAACTTTGGGTGGGATCTCAACCTCATGGCACGGCTCAAAGTGTTGAAGTTGGGAGGGTACTACAACGGCCTTGCACCATCAGCCAACACCCTCCTCTCGATCCTGCGCCAATGTCCAGAACTTGAGGAAATCGCCTTACGCAACCTTTCCGACGTCGATTCCAACCCGTGCTACTCAGGGTGCGGTGACCAAGAAGCCTCCCTCGTCACCGCGCAAAAGACGATCCACCTTCCTCGACTCACGAAAGCATCCTTCTATTATGCCGGAATCGCAAGACAGATCATGACGTGCATCTCATGTCCCAACTTGGAATGGCTGGAACTCTGTTACCTCGAGAACGTCTCCAACGTCATCCAGGTTCTCTATTCTCAAGCGTTGACCAAGCTACCCCTCCGCTACCTCAGGATAGAGATGTGTCTCTTCAACGAGATCAAGTTCATCGAGTTTTTGAGACGAGCGCAATCGCTGATCACCTTGGAGTTGGTGGATTTGGAGGACGTGACTTGCAATTTCCTCAGGGTACGTCCGATGTAATCGAGTTGAACTGTGGCAAAAGAAACTCATGTCCGGCTGCTATCCTTGTCCCTTTCTATCTCCAGGGGTTGTCTACGTCTTCTCCGTGGGTTTGCCCTCGCCTCGAGTCCGTATCGTTCGACGGGTGCACTTACATCGACTGGGATGCCCTCCGCGGTTTCGTCGAGTCTCGCCTTCCACCTAACCCCCCAACCTTCAAACGTTATCACGCAACGACATCATCTATCGTCTCCTCGGCTTCGGAGGCTGCAGCAGCCTTGGCCAAAAGCCGTATCGCGCCACGAGCCATTGCCCACCCAGCAGCGCAGCCCAAACGCATTCGAGCCATCGACGTGACAAGGTGCCCTCAAATCAGCAAGGAAATGGTTCAGTGGCTGCGAATGTACGTCGCCGAAGTCAAATGTGAATCTGCGAAAGGAGAGGCGCAGTGGGGTGTGGTGACAACATGACGGGGGTTGGAACGCCAAATCTTCTTTATTTGCATCTAAACCTGACAATTTTCTTGAATATCTTCTTGCTTTCGCTTTCATTCTAGACGTCCTTTTACGAGTTTCACGAAGTTATTTTTCTCTTCACTGCTTTTCGCTTGATGATACCTCTGCAATCGGTTACGGCGATCTTTTTTATTCTGTATAATAACGGCTTTTCCTATCTTTCCTTCCTTTTTCTCTCGACAAGTAGGTTCAAAAGATGTTAAGAAGAAGTAAACCACTGTATTATGGAGTCGTTCCGAATACAAGGGAAATGGTTAAATCAGCTGTTGAGATATGCGAGCATAGCTTTCCTATCTGCAGCCTCTTTCTTCCGTTGCCGCTCAAAGGCTCGCCGTCCTCGTCCACCCTCTTTCTTCTGCCTCTTTAGCTCCTCTGAAGCGCGGATATGTGCTGCCAAAGCCGCCGAGTTATGGGTCACCCGCTTCTGAGGTATCCTGTAAGCTCCTTTCGGCCCAGCGACAGTCTTTGGCTTCAACCCTATTCCCATACGATCGGCCTTCAGCACAGTCGATATTGGTGCAAGGAGGGCACGACCCCCATGCCCAGAGACATCGTCGTCATCGTCCATGACAGTCGCATTTTCTTCCGCCTCTTCTTCCTTGATAAAGTTGCCGTGTGGAGCTGGAGGCGTGTTCTCACCCATCTGCTCGTCATCCGATTCCGAGTCAGAGGTCAGGGTCAAGTCGACGATATCGACCTGCTTAACCTCTGTGATGCCGTCCTCCAGCTTTATCTCCACCGTTTGCGTGGTGCTGGAAGATGTCGTCGAAGTCGCTGGTCTCTTGCCTTTGCTCCGAGAAGATTGTTCCTTTTCCTCGAGGAAGTCGGGGAGCGGAGGCTCCTCAACCTTCCGGCGAACAGCGTATGGTCCCAATGTTTCCCCTTCGTTCCAACCACTCCGCTGAAGCATGGAGAAGCCCTTGTTAGCAGGGCCCAGGACTGTCCACACTGGTGGTTTGACCCTCGCTTCTGAAGGAAGAGGTGGTGGTTCCCGAGATAAGATGTCCGCCAGAGTGGGAGCAGGAGTGACAGGGGCAGATTTGGATGCAGAATCGGACTGAATGGCCTTCATGATGAACCAATTGTTTTTGGTCGTCCTTTCTATTGGCCTTTGGGGAGCTGCAGGAGGTGGAGTTGGAACAGAGGGTGGTGACGGTCGTGCGGTTTGCTTCGTGGACGGTGGTTCTGACTCGGCCTTGGTCCTTGGAAGGAACTTGTACAAGCTGTCGACCTTCTCAGCGGCAGGGACATCGTCCAACTTTACTTTGGATGTTGATGCATGTGCGCTCTCCACATCCCAGGCGTCCAAGGGCCGTGTAGCTGGCACGAAGAGTGGTGGTGGCTTAAGACGCTTTTTGAAGGTCTTCAAAGCCTCCTTCGTCCATTCTTCTGACCTCTCCTCTTCGTCGAGCTGACCAGTATCTCGTTCCAGACGTTCGCGATCCTTTGAGGGATCGTATTCAGAGCGTAAGGTATGGGTAACAGTGGCCATGGCATTGGTGGTGGTCGAAGCAGGCGACGGAACCGCGAACAACCTGAGCTACCGTTACGGGCTGGTCGGCTCCAACAGGGCCTTTTCCCACGCTCCACCAACTCATCCCATCGGAACGAAATCCGGAACGCACCTCAAGAAGTTCCTTGTCGCACCAATCCAAACGCCGGTGTCGTCGTCGTCCTCAATCTATGTGTGCTGCTGGTACTGGCTCCGGACGTGGGCAAGTACAGGCCGGAAATATAGTCAACCGATGCTGAATGTTTTTCACATCGCGAACAACCACCATCATTTCAATTCTTCGTCTGCTCGTTCTTCCACAATGCTGTGGATTGTATCCTCCCAATTTCCGTGCGGATATCATCTCCTCCGACTCCGACGCATCTACGAAAGAAGAAAAAGAAAGAAAGAAAAATGACCTTTTGTCAGGCTCTTCGGATTGTCACCGCGAACTTGGGCCCCAACTGCCGCCCCGCCTGAATGAGCGTCAGATCCTGGTGGAACTTGGTGGAACTGGAGCCTTGACTTGTGCTCCTCAGTGACGAGACGAGGATTGAAGAATGACTGTCTTCCATACTTGCGACGCCCTGGACCCATGCCCTCGGACAGCCAGGATCTCACAACACTACTTCATTCTTTACCACCGCCTTCTCGTCACTGTGGCTGTTTCACATTTTTCCAACTTCAAATATTTCACCGTGAAAGTGGGGAGTCCCCTTCAGGAATAGGATCCGCGTGGCAACATGCGTGTAGGAAGTATAGTCCTGTGGAAATCCCGACATACGTTTTCTGTCGAAACAAACCGGTGCTCTAAATTGCCCGAACTCTGTTTCTGTGATCTCATTAAACCTCATTCCACCACTGTATAACCGTTTTACAGCTTAAAAGGCAGAGGAAAATGTCTCCAACAAACAACACAATCCAGCACAACCATCCAACTCCTCTACAATGTTTCGCCTGCCATTCACCACCAACGCTGCCTCACGAGCTGCCCTTCGGCAAGGACCATGGTCTGCCCAAGGTGCCCGACGCTGCATGAGCGTCCGACCACAAGAACTTTCCTCTCTCACCCCGCCACCACGCAAAAAGGTCACCATCCAGACCCTCCACTCGATGCGCAAGGCAAACAAGCCAATAACCATGGTCACAGCCTACGACTACCCCACTGGTCAAGCCGCCTCCTCATCCCCGCTCATCGATATGATCCTCGTCGGCGACTCCCTTTCACAAGTCTGCCTCGGCTTTGGCTCGACCACCCAACTCACCCTCGAAGCCATGATCCATCACGCCAGCGCCGTGGCCCGTGGCGCTACCCACCCCTTCCGGGTCGTCGACATGCCTTTTGGGTCGTACCACGTCTCTGCGGAAGAAACCATCCGAAACGCTACCCGGCTAGTACGAGAGGGTGGTGCAGAGGCGGTCAAGATGGAAGGAGGGAAAGAGCTCGCAGAGATCGTTCACCGTTTGACCGAGCTTGGTATACCCGTCATGGCACATATCGGTTTGACGCCCCAGCGCCAGTCAGCATTGTCTGGGTTCAAGGTGCAGGGAAAGTCCGTCGAAGGAGCCAGCAAGGTGCTTTCAGACGCACTAGCCTTGCAGGACGCCGGAGCATTCGCGATGGTAGTGGAAGCAGTACCTCGCGAGCTGGGAAAACACATCACCGACAAGGTGAAGGTCCCTACCATCGGAATTGGTGCTGGCCCTGGAACAAGTGGACAGGTACGGTTTCCCTGCATGCCCTTTTATCTTCCATCGTACTGATGTCTGCTCTTTTCAGGTGATCGTCCTCGAAGATCTTGTGGGCACCTGGGATGGCCATAAGCCCAAGTTTGTTCGTCGGTTCGCAAACGTGAAGGAGGTCCGCGATATTGGCATCCACAAATTTGGTGAAGCAGTACGAGGCGGTTCATTCCCTCATCCAGAAGAGGAGAGCTACACCATGGACCCGCAACTCTGGCAACAGTTTATGCAGTCACAGGGCGACAATAATCTAGCACTATCTGTATAATCCGACTGCATCCTCTGGGTGCGAAGGGGCACTAATAGTAAATACAACTTTCATATAATAAAACCCTCGGATTATCCGAATATTCTTCGCTTATCGATGGCCAGATGGAATCAAGAACTGCTCGCAAGGGAAACGAATATAGATTGATTTCATGAACAAGAAGCGTGTGCGTGCGTGTTGTAAATGCGAAAAGTAAGAACAAGGGAGTAACAGTACTTCATTAAGTCGAGGTAAGAGGGATTAGCGGTCCCTCAATGAGCCTTCTCATGCACCAGGGGATCTACCGAGCAGGCCTTTCGAAGTAGCAATTTCATAGTACACTCGGACGTCAGTCTTCGGAGTGGTCGCTTCTCTTGGGCGTGGAGTAGGAAGCCTATTGCCTGGTATTTCGTTGGCGCGGGCTTTGCCAAAAAGTCGTCGGGTGAGGTACGTATCCCGAATCTGGAATCCAAAGGTTAACACCCCGGTTGTCTTTTGTAACGATGGACGTACTCTCGGTTGCGGCCAATTGACTGTTGCAGGATTGAACGTTATTTTCTTCCGCTGGAGGAATTCGAGGTCACAGGGCGGTCATGAAGAGAGATGAATGAGCTTACTCGTAGAGGAGAATGTTCGATGGATTGAGGGGAGGATGCAGTTGCTGAAACACTGTTGTTGAGAGCTGTAAAGCCGCCTGAGTCTTCGTCATTGAAGAACTACAAAGCCAGGACGGTTAGAAGATAAACACAGGCAAGAGCCGAAGTGGCTCACTTTGCTCGGCAACGGCCAGGTCGTCAGTCGTGTGTCCCTGAGATTCGGGTTGAAAGGGTCATCGTCGTCGTACTCTACTTCCAGATCCTCAGTGAGGTTCGCATAGACACTTGTGTCCACCACACCCCAATAGCCTTGCTCTCCTTCGCTGGACCTGTTGCCATCCTCTCCATCGTTTTCGTCCGTGAGCCAATGCACATCGTCCGTTTTTTCCAGTTGACGCAACTCCCGTCCTAGTTGCGGATTCCAGATACAGCTCATGCTGTCATTATAGAAATCGGATGGTAGCTCGGTGTCTCCGCTGGAGTCCATCTAAAACGGCTGTTAGATTGTTATGGCATCATCAAAGCCTAGGGGAATGCGAACCACAGGAACGGAGAACATCGGTGATTTTTGCCAACTTGAACTATGTGCATGCGAGAAGTCGACCTCCAGCTCCCCGCTGGGGAGGGTATCCGCTACCGATGTTGTTTTCAATCAAGACGAGACGTACACAGCCGAAAAGGACTGACATACCTGCTCTCGACAATGCACTGGCCAGCCTAGACCTTCTCATCGTCGACAGCCTTTGAGCTCTGCTCTTCGAGCGTCGAACGGAGTGTTCTTTCGAGTAGTACGTGCCTCCCCTTCGTCTTCCTTTTCCTTCCCCGCTCCTCCTCGCCTTTGTTTCCATCATCCTCTCCCTCTGTTCCAGCCGCGGTTCATCAACCCGAAGTCGCATCCCTAATCTGCGGATGCAAACCTCCTTCAAGATGCGCACCAGATCTTCTTCGTCAGTCGAAGCCAGGCACCAAAAGGCAGAGCTGACCCAAACTACGAGGAGAAGGACGGTATAGCTGTCAACAGCCTTGATTACTCGCCGTCCACTGTGGTCCAAGATACGCAGAACAGAGTCGCACTTCGCAGAAAGGGCATTCCAGACATTCGCCAAACCCCGGACCGATAACAGCGCTGCTGATTCGAGGTACCGTAGGGGCTGGCAGTCGTAGACTATGGACCATTCGTTAGGAAGGGTCCCAAAATCGAAGTACTCTGCGATGGGTTCCGGAAGGCCGAAGAACGTGGCTTTCAGCGTTGACCACAACGACGGGAAGGAAACCGTGCTGGTGCTGTGGTGAATGACTCCAATTATCGCGATCGGGGTTGCGTCTTCGCAAGCGGACCTGATGCATTCATGCACCAATGGGCCGAGGTCTGCAAATATAGTGGTATGTGCTTCTGTATCGATTGATGTTCGGATGGTAGATCCCGGTTTGATGATATTGTAAACCGTCGGTTCGGCGGCGGCACCTGGTGCAGGGGACGATCCGGAAACGTTGGACCGACTTCCAGTGGGATCAGCAGACATCGAGGGAGATTGTTTGGGCGCAGATGTGGAGGATATCTCTATAAGGAACGTCAGATACAAGAGTAATGCAATGTCAAGAGCTGCTCACCGAAGATTGGTTCCCATCCCGACCATTGACTTCGAGGGATGAGGATTGGTTCGTAATGCGTGGCGGTGGATGTTGAAGTGGGAGACCGAACTGCCGTCCATGCGTCAGTACCAATCACCCCCCGAAAAAAACTACAACTTTACCAGTTGGGCTGGCAGAGGGGAAAGGTGATTGTCGATTAGCATCGCCCAAAGCGGTCATGAGTGTCTCCGACGTAGTGTATCTGAATGGATATAACGAGGGGGACGCTAGGGGAAAGATCTAAGCTGATAGGAATGGTAATTTTCAACGGCTAGGATCGCACCTTGATTCAACATTGTTCGAATTATATCTAATTTGAAAGGCCTGACGGTGTGACCATTGAAGTGTCGTACAGGGCCAACCGAGGTAGGGTTGAGAATGACATGAATGACCAATATCAGGAGGATGATCCACCACAGGACTATCCCCCATGGGCCGGGAAGATGTGGACCCAGCCCGCTGTCTTGAGGAGGAGATGGGCCTTCCGGATCGCCGTCATCTGGTTCGGATCCAGCAGGGGGCTCATCCTCAGGATCGGGATCGCTGTCGTCGGGGCCAGGAGGCTCATTTTCGGGTTCGGAGTCGCTGTCTTCGGGCCGAGGAATATCTCCCCGCGCAGGAGGTGTAGGACTTTCCGGTTCGGGGGCACGGGCTCGAACATACCTACCCAAGCTTGGGCTAGGTCGTGCATTTCTGAGCCAGGTCGCAGTGCGTACTACGTCGTCATCTTCTAGGTCGGAGGTCGATGAATCGTCGTTGAAATCCACTGGGATAAGTACGTCGATTTCCCCTTCCCGTGGTGCTGAGCCTGGTGTATGGTAGTCGGGCAGGTAAGTTGTCGCCATTCGAAGACTGGAGGGTCGTCGCGGAAGTGATGTCCTAGTCGGTCTTGAAGACCTTCTGACTGGCCTAGGAAACTCGGGGACCTGAGACGCGGAGCGCGATAGGCCTCGGACTCTTGCAAGCTGGATGTTTTCGGCGAGCACCCGAGCCAAGCGAAGGTTGGGGTTTTCGTTCGTTGATGGCAATCGTTGGTCGTAAGTGGGACGCTCGCCAAGCAACGAGTCACTGGAACAGTGAACGATTGAGAAGCATGTTTGCGCTGTGAATGCTGAAATCTCACCTTTCAATATCCTCCTCTTTGATCTGGTGGTTATCCTGGTCTTCTGGACGCGTTTCCTCTTGGTCTTCTTCGTCGCTCTCGTCGGAGTCTTCAGGGGCGGCCTTCTCCTTCCCCTTAAACGAAGGGCGAACTCTGGCCCTACCATTCGTCGATCCTTCAGCACCTCTGTAATACCCTCGACTTTCCGAGCCACTGGAACCGCTTCCTCCAGAACTGGAACCAGTCTGTGACCGGTTGTTCCCAGTGGTGGCTGAGGTGGGACAGGGTGGCCACGGACTGGGGCTGCCTACCGCCCAGGAATTCGAATGCGAAGGCGGAGGGACCGATGTTGAAAGAAAGGTGGATCGGTAATGAGTCATGGAAAAGACGAATAGATCATGATTAAGGTCGAGGACGATCGGAAGCCTGCCTGAGGCGAGGAGTGTCTCGTTCGCTTTCAGACTGAACGGGGGGTTAGGTTGAACTGGTGCCGGAGGGAGTTCGAACACCACGGGTGCACTGCGTCGGAAGTTGCTGCTAGTCTCCCCTCTCCACCAGGTGATGAGGGAAGTGATCCAATATGAAGGGTGGCCAATGTACTGTTTGGCTGTATACTTGACAGAGTCCTGATGTTTGTAGACCTGGTATCCGACGGCGGCAGCAGTGGAAATCAAGGTTGTACGGCGCGTGTATCTCGAGGCGAACGAGGAATCTGCAATAGCTGTTCCTCGAGCAGTGGCCGGTATAAGATGCGGGGCTACAAGTGTAGCGATGACAATTTTGTTTGTGGCCCGGTTGGGTTTGTTTAAGCCAAATTTGTTCTGTGGTTGGGAGCTGCGTGCAGCGACCGAGAAGAATTGGACGAGTAAGAGCAAAATGAGAAAGAGGTGACCTCCAGACGGAGGTCGTTTGCCTTCGCTATGGGCGGGCATCTTTCCCCTCAGGAGACGGGTCGCTGTGGTCAAGGGAGAGATCAAGTTTCGCCATTCTCGAAACTGAGTTATTTATGTTCAGCTGCTGACTGTCCAGGGGTCGACCAGGATCGATCGTATTCATAAAGGAGTGTACCGACGTCGCCCGGTAGTTCCTGTGTTCGTGGTCCGCGTCGTTAGATGCCCTTGGGTTCATGGTCGTGAGATAGCGTCAAGACGCTTGCCGCCATCACTGGCATCAATTGACACGCCCTCGTGACCATTTCGCGACGCGACGCGTTGAGCCGTTGGATTCGACCCTTCAACGTCACAGTCGATCCTCTAAACTGCAATGTCGTGGAAGCAAACATTTCTGAAAGGGATGAGATGCCTTCGGGAAGGCGACGTAGATGGATCATTGCCGTGGTTCACAAAGGTGCGAGCGCAACGGTCCTCAATCATCCTCAGACCTGACTGTTGGACTAGGCACTGGAAGCTAATCCGGAGAACCCCTGCATTGTATACGACGCACGCTCCTCTGCACTAGAAAAGCTTGGTCGATATAAAGAGGCCCTCAAAGACGTCCGCAAGACTATCGAATTGGCACCGGAGCAATGGCAAGGATACAATCGCGCAGCTCGACTGTTCTACCATTTGAAGAAGTACTCGCATGCCACAAAGATGATAGATGCAGCTCTCGACAGGTATACACCTATCTCCAGCTCAAAACGGACGGAAATGGAAGCCTTGAAAGCCAAGATTGCCGCCGCCCATACCAAGTACCTCAGACAGACCCGCAACCACTCCGCCATACTCCCCATCGAACTGTTTTCTGAAGTCGTATACATTCTCCTCGACGAAGACTCGACCTCAGTCCTGCGGCTTTCGCATGTCTGCCAGCACTGGCAAAGTGTTATGGCGTCCAACCCCCTCTTTTGGCGGACGTTGGTACTAGGCAAGAGCCGCCCTCACATCAAGGCCAAGCATTGGGTGGCACGCTCACAAGGGAGGATTCGCGATTTGCGCATCAAGGCTGAAGCACTCGATAAGGGATGGTCAGGTCAAGGCTTAGAAGGGATCGACTGGAGCTATCTGCAGACTTGCTCAATAGCAAAGTGGGACTTTTGCCGTTTCGTCAAGTCCACGACTCTGTCCTCCCTGTCAAGCTATGAATTCATCAGCGAAGACCGGCTACCTGTCGATACGCCAATGCGACTGTTCGACACAGCATGGCCTCTGCAACAAATCGCCCTACAAGGGACCCCATTACCCCCTTACTTCAATGACCTCCCAGGAGAGTCTATATCTTCCCTCGCTCTGCGCAACACCACTGGCACTATGCCACTCGCTTTGGAGAAATACGGCTCTCTCAGGACTTTGGTTCTCGAGAACGAACAGCGAATTATCAGTGAATACCCGCCCAACTTGAACCAACTACAGCACCTCGAGATACACCGCGTCAACGAACATTCCGAGAAGCTTCTCGGTATCGCCATGCCCGAATTGCATATCCTGCACATACGTAACAGCCCCAGAGTCCTGGATCAATACTTCAACATCCTAGCAGGTGGAAGCCCCTCCCATTTGACGCAGCTCGTCCTTTCTGGCATCCCCATCCGAGACGAAAGGCCGCTTGTAGGACTCGTTGCCAGCATGGAGCGGCTCGAAAAGTTGGAACTATCAAAACTCTCCATTGGAGTCAACGCTGTCGTCAATCACCTCGCCAGAGCCGGTCATGGTGAAGGGTCAGACGGGGCTCCGCCTTGCGCCCATCTCATTGAACTCAACCTATCCCACTGTTCCGACCTCAGAACAAGTCCGCTGGTCAGGCTTGTCGCCTCTCGCAACGTACCGAGCGACCATGGGCTTCGGTGCGCCAAGATACAGTCGTTGAATGTCGACGGTTGTGAAGGAGTTGAGGCAGGCAAACTACCTTGGTTCAGAACACACGTCCCAACGTTCAGCTGCATCTACCGAACAAAGAATGTCGTGCGGTACAGGCGTTGAAAGATAAGGCAAGCTGTCTGATAGCTCTCGAGTCTGTATCCAGGTTGACGGTTGATATCCAGAGATGGGTTTGGAAAACTACGTCGAAATCCATGTTCTCTCCCGCTACGCGACTCCGATGAAGTCGGCATGAACAATGCTAATACCCCCCAAGAGCTACGACCTTCTGAACAATCGCTTGGCTTTCCTCTCCGCAAATGGCATCTTGTCGTCAGTCATTGCGCTATAGCGTACCATAACAGGACCATAGCTCGACATTGCCCCAACCTACCGGCGGATAAAAGGACCTTGTCATGGGCCTCAGGCGTCCCCTTCAGGAGGCGGGTTAGGCTGCCGAATGCATCTTAAAGGGTTTTCCTTCAGGATTGCGAATTCTATAGCGGGCGCTTCGAGCGGGTGCGTTACTCGTTGGAGTGACCTCGATGTGACGGAAAGTGGCACTAGTCGCATCCGTACTGGCCGTGACCGGCTGTAAGCCGCATATTCCGGTGTGGACGTGTACTTCTTGTGGTGCTCGACTCACTCCCACACTGGGCAGTCTCAGTATTCGACGGGCGCTGAGTGAGGGCGAGACCAGTAGGAGACTACTAGTAAGATGACTCATATGCGATGATATAGGCCGTCTGCCTGAGCCCCGAGACCTAGTACGCCAAATTCGATTTCCTCTGCATTCAGAGTGAGCATTTGTACTCGCCAGTGTCGGCCTTTGAGTGTTCTTGACAACGAGCGTTAGAACAAAGCTTCACCGTCCGGGGGTTAGGCAATTGCGCCATTCCTGTTACTACCTTGGTAGTAGTAGGTTTTCTATGGAGTGGGTGAGCACTTGCAGAAAACGACCCGATGCGGCCCGTTCTATTGTTCTTTTATGCAATGTTTTTCCTCGTCGCCTTGTCAATGCTCGCTGCAGTCCTTGCTTTTCATTTTGCTGCATTAGAGACACAAGCCTTTGGCTTGCCCCACAACGTGGTGCCCTTCGATCCCGCTATATCTAATCATTTACCCCGCCTTCGCAACATCGAATATCGTTGTGTCCTTTTCCTCAGTCATTCGCACCGCTCCTTTCTGAAGGCGGTCATATCCGCGATGGTATGCTTCACTCCAGATTTTCATTCCCACCCGCGATCACTCTCGCCTTCTCACCGGTTCCCTAAGCCCTTATTCACGAACCGTGGATTCCTCGTGCTGAGGTCATCGCTCCTTACCCGTCAGAATCTGACTCGACCGTGACTGGCTTCCTCTTCAGTCCAGCTCAATTGCGGTACGAAGACGATTTTTACTAGTCTGTACCTTTGTAGCATTTGCAAACGGGGGATCAGGTTAAGTAGTGGTCTGTAGTGGTTCGGTAGTAGCAGGCGATGCGGCGATAGCGCGCTGCATTTAGATATGCCGCGGTCGGCGCGCTGATTGACGGGCGCTTAATAAGTGGACCCTTTGCAAGCATCCATCAACTTGCCGTCGGGTTCGCATTTCCATCCTGCAAGCAATGTCTACCCAGAGAAAGGGGCGCGTAGGTAAGTTTTGTCCCGTCTCTTCGGACGATCTTGATGAAACTGGAAGCTCTCACTAAGCGCTCGGGGGCCGACACATTATTCAGCATTCAAGGATTAATCAATGGGGTCCTATACAGGAATGGAGATTGAGGGAAGGAAAGGTCCTTCGACTGATAAGGTGGATAGAGATGAGACCTTTCTCCATGCAGGAATTGACCAAAAGGGAGAAAGATACTACAAGAGCTTCTTCAAGCTAGCAAAGTCGAGGGAATTGACTCGGCTGTATTCAGCGAGGAGCGCGACAAACTCGGGATCCAGGTTGGCCGCATTGTCAGCATGTGCCTGCAGAAAACGTTATAATGTTTCGAACAAGCTAGACGACACAAGGAGATATACGGTTACCTCGATGCTATCCCAGCCCACGAAAACTCCATAAACATCTGCCAGCTCCTTTGTATAGCCATGAATGGCTGGTGGGTGACTCCCTACGGCCTTCGCAACAGCGTTCTCAAACGCGGCATTGAGTACTTCTAGGTGGTTGTCAGGGAGCCCAGAATTCAGGCCGAGGAAAGCGATCTCAGTCACGGGGGCCTCCAAAGTGCTTTCATGCAGTCTAGTCAATTCGACATGACGTATTGACGTTGGCTTCCCACCCAAAGCAGGCGTGAGGAACTCTGCGATCTTGACTCGATTTTCAGGATCTTGGTTGAATTGAATATGATGTTCGTAGGTTTCCCAGACTATCAGGTCTCGGTGAGGTCGGGGAGCGATTAATGGTGTGAAACCGAGGCGCACCAACGAACAGATATAGCTTCCTAACACTCCTCAGCCCTTTTCCGACATAGAAACTTGGGAGCGTCTGAGTAACGGACAAAGCAGAAGTGAACGATGACGCACTTTACCACACCGTCCAATTTAGGAGGAGAGTTTAACAGGTTCTCGTCGTTCAGAAACGCGTCGGAAATAGGGGCCTCCAGAATTTCCAGACAGGGCATGCTGGCTATTAGGAGAATGCTGCCACCCAGGCGTGGCTCTATATGTAGTGGATAGTGGGATACGTTTCATGCTTCATCCCGAGTGTGGACACATCGCCTCGCTGGTTCGGTACAACACTCGATCTGGATGAATTGCTTTTGGGGTAAGAAGTTCGAAACGGGCCGGTAACTTCGCGCATTCGCAAGAGACTTCTTGTATTCCCGGTAATCTAACGGGCCAACACCTGAGGATCCAGTGTTTCCGCAGTTATCGCACTTGTTTCGTCCTCTAATACGCTAAATTGGAAGCGCTCGTGATGGTGGTTGCGGGGAGAAAGGGACATCACTGCGCACGCGATTATTCATCTACATCAAATCCAACTTCTCTTCCGACCGTCAACTGTCGGAAATGTTCAAGTTGGGAGTCACATCGCCCGCAGTCTCAGACATCCGGCGGCATTTTCGACCCTTATCTCTCAACGGTTGATGCTATTTTCAGCTTATTCGGACCACTTTCCGAGGAAGTTGGACGCTGTATATCAACGGTGGTAGGGCCTTCAGACGTTTGCCTCTTACCGCCCACCTCCCCTTCACCGCGTCTCTCTGGCATGTTACCCATGAAACTTGCGCCTAGGCTGGCCCCTGAAATCATCTGGTTTACACCGTCAGAGGAATACCTCGACGACCCGTCCGTAGTCCTGGACACTATTCACCAACAGTCTGTACACAAAGGGCTATTAGGGTACGCTTCCTGCGACGTGCACAAGGCCTGTAACACGTTCAATAATGAGGAATCTTATCAGCTCGTACTATGGCGCCGAATTAGACAACCCTGCGACAGGAGTATGGGTCATGGGTGTGTGAAACGACAGTGTCCATAAAATCAACACGCTCATGGACAAGCTCTCTAGCATGGCAGTCCCTCGCCAAACACCAAAGTTTCATGGAGGAAGAATCCTATATGGACTTCATCCTCCCTGTAACGGATTCAATGGTTGGCGCGGGAAGGATAACTCAACTCTCGCTCGATCATGGTGACCTGCAGAGAGCATTGAACGCACCTGTGACACAATTCATATACATCACCGTCCGGCCTTTACACGACAGAGAATACGAGCTGCAACCGCTGATCTCATTACTTCAAACTGAGCTGAAGATTGTTCCTGGATGCATGTCTTCTTGCTGGGGCTCATCAATAGAGGATGACCACCTGGAGATAGGGGTAGTAGGATGGAGAAGCATGGCGGTGCGTCCTTTAGATACGTGCGTTCGTATGAATTGGTTGACAGCTCAATGCAACATTCAAATAACAGGACAGAAATGCCGCTGTAAAGGGACGACTCTCTTCGACAATACGTCGGATACGAGAATTGTGTACCGTGGAAATCCGCTATGCGAAACTACGGTATCACAGCGAGGTTGCTCCTCCGGCCGCTGAGCTTTAGACTTGGATGAGCTTCGTTTTTAGACTTTCTGGGTGTCTGTACTGTATTTTGGGCTTTTTGGTCGCTATTCAACTGTAGGTGTACTAACAGTTAATCTCACTGTATCAGTTTCACTAGGGAGGACTCCTTGTAATATCATCTCGTTCGCTGCAATGCTGAACGACTCGCGCAGACGATAGGGGGGTCGGCGAAGGATCGGCAAGGGCTGATGCGATCAGTACCAAATAAGCCCAACTTAAAAGTGCATCTCGGCAGACTGACACCGTGCCGTTAGCGCCCTACCACATCGACCCCCCAGCGAGAGGACTACATTGCGATATGGCCAATGGACTGTCGATACTCGGTTCCACAGAAGATTCGAAGTTGCGATCGCTTTACTGGTTTGAGGATGCCACATTGATTCTAATCATCGGGGATGCCCACTTCCGAGTCCATCATCCCCTCATTTCGCGCCATTCGAATATCTTCAAAACCTTACCGCTTCCACTCAATCCACAAACCGTTGTCTTAACCGCAGGGAACTCCAACGGTGCGCTGAAGAATGACACCTCTAGCTTGATAGTCCAGGAACTCGTAGCTGCTCGAGACTTCGAAATATTGCTCGCACACTTGTACCACGACGAGTGCGTTTATTGCAGGCCAGTTCCCACCCATCACAACTAACTGAAACGAAATGCTAGGCCTCTGACTCAAAAGTCAGATTTGGCTCGTGTATCTGCCATTCTTCGGGTTTCGAGTCCATGCCAGCTGGACTTTCCCCATCTCCATACCCTAGCCAAAAACATATTTGAGCAACTAGTACCCGCCGATCCATTGCGACTCGACCCCAGGATACACTCTCCATACGAGACGTTGGAGTTGGCCAGTCGACATCGTCTAAACTCAGTATGTTTTCTTGCCAATTTGTCCCTCACGATCGCATATCTTAACCTCACCCATAGATACGCAAATCCGTTCTATACTGGGTCGTCACCACACATCACTTCGAGGAGGGGGATACTTTAGAAGATCAGTCATCGAATGTGGATCTTAAACGCTCTCGCGTGACCGAAACAGACAAGAAGATCTGTGAAGACCTGCTGGGCCGCATCATCGAGCATTTCACGCCCATCCTTTATACCCCAGCGACCGGCTCGCATATGCCTTGCACAGATCGGTTCGCAGACCTATGGATGCCCTACGTGATCCAACCTAGTTTGGAAAACGATGGAGTTTACAAGCCTCTCGAAACTCTCGAACGGATAAAGTCAATAGATTGGGAGAAGGAAGGTCTGTGTCCTGAATGTGTGGCTGAGAAGCGAGAGGAGTGGACAGAAGAGCAGAAAACCGCCTGGGAGAAGATCGAGCAATGGATTGACTCCCACCAAGATGATTAAGGTATGTCCAAGTAATCATGAACTGCTTTCCACTGCATTGGACGCGTGATTGTCACGGTCTCCCTTCACTGTTGACCAATCCGGACGCTGACATTACTTTCGAACGTCGACGACACGTAGTTGCTCAGTTCTCTTTGTCAATGGTCGCGCCGTCGAGCTGCATGTTGTAACCACGAGAAATGTTAGTGTCGTTAGTGTCAAAGATCAAACGCAGGAAGCCGACGGCTTGTCAACCATCGGTCTTGGGGTCCGACGGTATAGAGCCACCAATAAATAGCCCCTATCATCTCAAGTTCTTGCCGTCATCATGACTTCCACTCTTGAGATCATCTCGTTCGCCGCGTCGCAGTCGTTCATCGACAACCCTGAGGTACTCAAACCGGCACTCGACACTCTCCGTGCAGCAAAACCTGTTGGGTATGGTGACCACTTTGCCATAAATATGCCTCTTGTACCGACTCGAATTGATAGCATCTACGGAGGAATTCAGTTCGAGGACAAAAAGACCGGATACCTCGCCATCGGCGTGTATTAACGGTGATCAGATATGCACACCATCGTCTGACGATGTGCACAATCCAGTCTGGGACTCGGTTCCTGATGCAGCTCAGAGAAAAGAATTCGAAGAGAAGAGCAATGGGATCATAAACGAGCCTGTCACCACCCTCCATGTCCAAGTGGATTCAACTCTCATCGGCAAAGCTCTCGAAGCCCCAGCAACTGAATTTGCTTTGGCCAAACTCAAGGGCGAGGACAAGCGACAGGCGTTCAACGATGTCACTGCTGGTGTAATCAAGATCTTCAACGCGGGAACAGGGAACTATGGACCTACCTTCGGACCGGTTACGCAAGGAACAACGAGCGATATAGTTATCGTTGTGGGCTGGGATAGTCCTCAGGTACGCTTGCTCTACCTTCAGCTCGGTCGGAGGCGATATCTAACGTTGCGCTTACGCCAGACTCACGCCGATGCGGTCAAAGAGATTCCCGATGTAATGAAGCTATTCGAGCTCTCTGACCTCACTGTCGTCCACGTCGCATTCAAAAAGCTTTGAGCCTTAAAATTAGGGTTCCCGTGCTGTATAATCCAACTGTAGGAATGGAGCATGCCACATGCGACCCTCAGCTTCTTTGATATAAGATGCCCATACCCCGTCATGAATTGGGTTCCCGGTGGCGATTAGGGGCTGGTACGAGGGCAAAGAAGCGTACTACGATGGGTAGAAGCAACCCGTCGATAAGTTTCCGTTGCGCAACTTGATTGTTAAGTGCCTTTGATTGGTGCATAACTTGTTTCTCGACTCCCATCTCGTTTCTTACCTCAGGTAGGGCTTCTCTAAGCCTCACATTAATCGCTGATACTGAGATTCCTCCCAGCAACCATGGCGCTTCCACCCCCCTCGAAAGACCAGGCGTATTGTAATGTCTCTGTGCTGGAGGCTGGTCACCTATCCTGCGCAGAGAACTTGCTCAAGCAACCATGCGCTCCCGATGTAATGGCTGCCTTGCCATGCCTTTGCTTCCTCCTCCAACATTCCTCTCGCAAAGAGAAATTCCTCTTTGACCTGGGTGTCCGCCGCGACATTGAGAACTACCCACCAGCTGTCGCAAAATCACTCCAGCCCGGCGGAGTAATGTCTTGCGAAGTACCCCAAGACGTCGTCGAGTCTCTAGCCAAAGGAGGGTTGGCACCCGATGACATCGATTATGTTGGAATTTCCCACTTGCACTGGGACCACATTGGAGATACCAGCAAGTTCAAGAAGTGTACCTTCATTCTGGGGGCTGAAGGAAAGAGCGTTCTCGAGTCCAGCTACCCAGCAAACCCCGACTCTTGGTACGCATCCGATGTACCTCCGCCCGCTCAGACCAGGTACTTGTCTCCAGAAGGATGGAGACCGATTGGGCCATTCCCTCGTACGCACGATTTTTACGGCGACGGGAGCCTATTCATCGTCGATGCGCCTGGTCACCTCCCTGGCCATATAAACATCCTTGCGAGGACTTCGAGCGATGGAAGCTGGGTCTTCTTGGCAGGCGACAGCGTTCACCATTGGGATATTATCAAGGGTGAAGCGAAGGTAGCAGTTGGCGCGTCGTGGAGCCCCCATTTCTGCATTCACCAGGACTTGCCCAAGGCTGAAGAACATATTGAACATATCAAGCGGTTCAATGCGCTCCCCAAAACCCAAGTGATCCTGGGCCACGACAGTCCATGGTACACTGAGAACAAGGGCAGCTCTACGGCATTCTTCCCTGGCACCATAGCTCCTCGTAAAGATTAAGGACGATTATGCGTAGAGACCGTTCTGTACCGGCAATGTGAATTCTATTGCAGCCCACAAAGTTATGGTTTGCTTGGTTCTAAAGGCGTCGGCAACCACCGGCAACCACCGGCAACCACCTCGTTCTTTGGTTGCAGCACCTGTCGAACTTGTCTCCAACCAAGCTCCTTCCTTCATCATGGAAGACCGTCCTCATGCTCAATTCAACCCGCGTCGAAGTTTCACCGAAAGATAATTGCAAATCCTGAATCACACACTTTTCCGTTCTCAAGACACGGTTGGAGGGAGTATCCGACTCCCAAGGCTGTTCGTCTTTCGCGGAGCCACTGCTGCTCCCGTGGCTCTCACACGATGCAAACTCGGTTTATGCATTATTCCGGCATAGAATACTCGGTACTGTTCCTACGTACGTACTTCTTGGTTATGGAGCTCCAGAGGGACTCGGAGGTTTGTTACCACTAGCGCCAATGGCCACGAGCGCTCGCGGCTCGGGAATGGATCGCTCCTGTTGTCAATGGAATGTTTTTCCCTGAAGTTCATCCCTTGGTAATTCTCGGGAGAGATGCTTTCCGAGAGCAGGATGTCTTTCTCACTCCAGCTAAGGTTTGACGTAGGTCCTCTGCGTTAATTATTTAAAGGATTCGATCGCTTCGCCCTTCTTTATCCACTTCCACTCAGTCGTCCCAACGGGTAAGCCTCGATGTCTTCCCTCTTCAACCACAACTAATGCCTCCCCACATAAAGATCTAGCCCATGTCTCTTCCACAGCCCTCAGCCAATCAGGCCTATTGCAATGTCTCTGCCCTCGAGGGAGGACAGTTGTCAATTGCCGAGGAGGCGATTAAGCGACCTTTTACATCTGGGGTCATGCTATCCATGCCTTCCCTCTGCTTCCTCCTCCAGCACTCGACCCGCAAAGAAAAGTTTGTTTTCGACTTGGGCATCCGTCGCGACGTCGAGAACTACCCTGATGTCGTGGCGAAGCAAATCCAAAGTGGCATCACCCCATGCGAGGTGCCCCAAGACGTCGTCGAGTCCCTGGCGAGAGGAGGGCTTGGGCCAGACGACATCGACTACGTCGCCATTTCCCATTTGCACTTTGATCACATCGGCGACCCAAGCTTGTTCAAGAAGAGCACCTTCCTCTTGGGGGAAGATAGCAGGATCCTGAACAGCGCTCAGGCTGGTTTCCCAGTGAATTCTCAAGCCGCCTTCGCATCCGACGTCCCTCCTTCCTCCCAGACCAGATTCCTGTCCCCCGAGGGATGGAGTGCGGTGGGACCTTTCCCTCGCGCACTCGATTTCTACGGCGACGGCAGCCTCTATATTATCGACTCTCCCGGTCATCTCCCAGGCCATATTAACGTCCTTGCTCGCACTTCCAGTGACGGAAGCTGGGTATACCTGGCTGGAGACAGTTGCCATCATTGCTCCATTCTCTCAGGGGAAGCCAATATTGCGGTGGGAGCACCATGGAACCCTCGGTACTGCGTCCACGAGGATTTGGCCCGAACGGAGAAACACCTTAAACATATCCAGAAGCTTAAGACTTTTCCTAAAGTCCATGTCCTCCTCGCTCACGACACTCCCTGGTACCTGGAGAACAAAGATGGGCCAGCGTTTTTCCCCGGTAAATTAGATCCCCGTAAAGATTGAGTGCTGTGCTCCCGCAGTAGGTATTACTATGTATCCCGAAAGATGTATGTATACACTGTATGTTGCATTAGAAGTATAATCCCGAAAAGCGGAGCTTTAACTGCGATTGTTGATTCCTTTGCCGATTTAAGGCTGCGAATAGTCTTCTTCTCACCAATGAACTCCCATCACCTTCCGATATCATGGCGTCCCTTGAGCGGCACGAAATCGCTCTGAAGGTCTACAGAGACAAGTGGAACGACTTCTACAAATGGGAGGTGGAAGTCGAATGGAGTACTTTAGTCAATGGATTGACTGATCATTGTCATCCGCCTCCTCCTGTTTTGCCTGATACTAGTCATGCAGAGTCTGGGGAGATGGATCTGGACGGGGAGGAAGACGCCTGTTCCACGCTTTTTATCTTTCAGGACCAGGAGCTGCAATGCGAACAACCTTTGGACAACCCGGTGGAGAAGGATGCCGCAAACTTTAAATCTTATCCTCCATACACGATATGCACACCGCTGACACAAAATACGGCCGGTCCAAGGCTTGATTCAACCTCATTCATTCCATACGCCGACGACCACAAATTCCGCGTCGATGCTTATCTTTCACTTTTCCCAAATAGTGAACATCTTGGCTGGCAAGCAGATTTCAAGGATCCCGACCGTAAGTGCTTGGTTCTTAGTCATAGGTCAATGGAGGACTTACAACGGCGAATGAAGATGAAGTGATAAAGCTGGAGACAGCGCGCCACCTCTTCTATGATAAAGGCTTTGGCTTTGACGAGATCGAGAACATTCCTGGGTTTGATGCACGTCTTCGGATTGACGACTGCGACGGCCTAGTTTGGGCGAGTGCACAACGGTGAGTAAAATCAAGCGTAATGAAAGAGTTTCGGTGTCAACTCGGCCTTATCCCAAGAGACCTACCTTTCATACATTGGTATGGGATCAACCAGGGGGACGGCGAAGAGTCATCCGGAGTTCCGGCTCCCTCTACCACCAAGTTCATCCCATCTTCAATTGCTCAGCTTACGGATGGATCCGCGGGAAAGGGTCTTTTTGCCGAGGTTCAAAAGGCCTCAGGTAACTTTTGTCCACATCTAAACTGCCTCAAGTCATACTTTCCGCATTGCCGTATGCATGGTAAGCCGCCTCATGCATGAACACTGTTGATATCAAAATTTCCGTGCCCCAGGCGTGCCTCCAATCCAAGAGCAGAGGCCGAAGAAGCCATTGGCGAAATTCGCAGACGGGCAACGCTGTGGTGACTTCTGCTATCGGAGAATTCCCCGAGAACACAGGACGCACGAAGAGCTGGTAGTGATTTTTTCTAGAGCCAGGAAGCTATATGTACTAATCCAGCTTTTGCGATAGGTCAAGCTAGGCTTAGATTGGACACAGACTGAGATCGCTTTGTTATCAGACATACTAAAACTTTCTCCCGACTCGTCTCCTTGCGACCTGGCAGTCATTTGCAGAAAACCGTGCATGGAAGTAGGCCATATCTTTCCGAACTGTTTAAAGAGCAGTCTAACCAACAATCTCGTAGGTGCTTGCAACTCGCTGTCGAATTCACCCAGACCCGGATGTCTTGGACTATCAAGTGGATGAACTCGAGGGGGCACCAGCGGCTCCGACGGAGGAGTGGTTTCGTGAGTGCTTTTTCAAGTCGAGACGTTAAGAAATGACGCGACTCCAAGATAGGAGATAATAGGCTCGACCGAGATGGCGGAATACTGGCCGGCAATGATCTCTATCATCCGTGGGTACCTTGGTTCATGCTGTCTATGACGACCTCACTAACTATGATATCAGGCTCCAGCCCTGCTCGCACCCAGGCCCTTGTGGTTCTCAAGAATCAAACTGTCCCTGTTATAAAGCCAGACACCACTGCAGTCGAAATTGTCGATGTAGCATGAAGTGTGAGTAGGGGATGCGTCGATGTTCTGCACTCATCTTCACACCGTTGAGTGTCAGGTCGACTGCGAAGAAAGGGGTGCAAATGCGGTCGCAACCAACAGAGAAACTGCTGTCAGGATGAATACCCCTTCTGTCCTTGCAGACTGAACTTCATCGAGTGTGATCCGGAGTTATGCACTTCTTGCGATGCAAGGTGACGATATCTAACTGGAGGAATGGAACGCTTAATTGATACATTTCCTACAGAGTCAAAGGTACATGTGGCTCGACGCCATCCTCATTCTGCATCACAACATTAACTCCAATGCAGAACCGAAGGGAAAGAAGAGCAAATGCAGAAACAATGCTTGTCAAAAAGGACGATTCCCTGTACGTACTGCAGTTGTTACTCAATCCAGCTTCACAAAGCTGACTGAACATCGAGGACAGTTGATCGAGATAAACGCAGCAACCTGGGGTCAGGGAGCTTTCGCGGGACGCAGTATCAAATCAGGCACAATCATCGGCGGTGCGTGCGCTTTGAGAAAACATCGTAATTTCGCTGATAGCAGGCGTTAGAATATGTCGGGGAAGCTTTGCTTCTCGCAGAGGCCGACGAGGGCGTGCAAAGCCTGTGAGTGTCCGCTGGGCGTCCCTCTAAAGCCATCTACGCACTAATTCGGACACTGGTCGGAAGTCTCAACCGGTACAGTGGTCTCAATTATTCGTTTTCTTTGGACCAGACCTTCCTTCTCGACTCGCTGCGCGCTGGCAACGAAACGAGGTTTTTAAACCACACTACAGATGCCAACTGCACCGCGGATGGTAGGTCAATGTCTTCCGAGTCAGGTCTCACTAGCGTTAACCTTTTTCCAACTTGATAGTCATTACAGTCAACGGTGATCACCGGATTTTCTTGATCTCCAGTGAGGAAACTGCATCCCGGTCCCATTCTACGTCTGCTCACTTTGTCAATAGCGAAAGCCATAAAAAAGGGCCAGGAGCTTTTTCTCGACTATGGCGAGGCATTTTGGAAGGACGGGGAAGACGACGAGTCACAAGCACAGCCGAAGGATCCTACCACACGTATGGAGACAAGTAGACCGTCTTCCCCTACTTCATGGTCGTGATTAGCCGCATATATTGAAATGCTATATAGTACAGCTTGCAAGTCATCCCCAAAAGGTGTCCATATACCAACTCTTATGTTCTTCATTTGTCGACATCCATTTTCGCAGCCTCTCGCTCTGCCCTTCTTGCCTCAATGAACGCCTCGATCTTGGCCTTCAACTCCGGTTCTGTAAACACTCTGTGAGAAACAGTTACACCAATCATTCAAGGAAACCCACCTGGAATCACGTCTTCGATCGCTAGAGGGGCTCGATTGAAGGGGTCCTTAGAATCCGACAGTAAATGAGATTTAATGGTAGCACGATCGATAACGGTCTTGGACGAAGGCAGTCGAACGGGGTCTCGCATGACGGTAAACATCAACGGATCTGCAAAGCAATTAGAACCTCGTGCCCAAATTCAGGATGAGGAAACGTGAACCTACCCAAGAACTCCTCTGGAACTTCACCTAGATCTTCCTCAGCTTCTAACGTAGCCTTGGCCGCCTCGACCTTTTCAATGAAGGCCCTAAAGACCTCAATCTCTGACGATGACTTGATGCTCCTCCTCACAGCAAGATTGGCTGCGCGCTCAAACAGTTCCCTCGAATAACTCCTTCCATCACCGGCTACCGCCCTCGCAAACTCTGGCTGGTCGCTGAGATTGATGTAGACTTGGAGAATGTCGCTGAGGAGCGCCTTGGGGTTGAACTTGAGTTTCTCTGGTTCCCGGACGACGAGGTCTTGACACCTGGGTCCGGCAAGCGCTGCAAGGTTGTAGTCCAACATGGCGGCCAGCTTGTCCACGATCTCCGGCATCATGAAAGGTGGCTTCGTCTCGGCCGTGAAAACCTTTAGCATCTCTACTGTTGATCGTCCGAGGGTGGTGTAGCCAGCTGCATGTCGTTCGAGAGAGCGGAGGGTGCCTTCACGCTCGCGTCGGTACTCCAACGGCCTGGAATTCCATCCTTCCCGGTCGTCCATCTCTTGTTGGATGTTGTGGATCTGCGCGAGCTCGCCTAGGGATTCGTCCATGAGGTAGGTGACATCGTTAATCATGAGGTTGACGAAGCGTATGAACTTGTCGACGTTCTTGGCCTCAATGCTCAGTGCTTCTCGGTGCACTGGGTTGTTCCAAATAATCTTCAACACGAAGGCGATGTTACGTCTAGTTGAATGTTAGATGATCTATAGTAGAGGAAATGTTTGCTAAGTACTAACCGAGCATCTGAAAGGAAATCAGGTGAGTAGACCGTTCCAACTATCGAACAAGAAACCGCGCTTACTGAATTTGTCATAGAACTGCGAACTAGCACCAGTCTGTTCGACCTCTATTCAATCTAATCAGAATCTCCCCTGACCCACAACCCGTTGAGTGTGACTCACCGATATAGAAGTGCGTCAAAGCAGGGATCAAGTGTTTCAACGCCAGAGGATGAGAGTTCAACATATTGCCCAGAACTCCATTCCGCTCCCGACCATAGCCCCACGTCGACATGAAGAGGACCTACAACAGAACCGGTTAGCATATAGAAAAGAGAGGAATCAACTCCAAGCAGACTCACGTCGTTGATTTTTGACTTGAGGAAGGGGTTCTTGATGTACCATGTTGATGTCAAGAAGGTCAGGATGAAGATTAGCAGTTCGTTCTTCCCGGCGATCTCGAATTTGTCAGGTGTGTTCCTAGAGAAGAAACTTAATAGGTTGCTCTAAACACGATCGCGACAAGAAGGACTCACTGCACTGCGAAGAACAAGTAGTCGACGACGTCCTCGATGAAATATTCGGGCAATGTCCTAAATACCATCGGCACCTCCTTGGGTAGCGGAAGTCTGTGTAGGAATTAGTATCCATATAATAGCGAATCAAAGCCAACGCACTGGACTGTCGGACTAGGATGCTTCTGGGTTGGGTCGGCCTGTCTGATCACCCATGTCGATAAGAAATTGGTGAATCCAAGGGAATGGAAGACGAGATCGGGGTCAGTCAGAGCAGCTTGGAACGCAAGCTGTTGCATCTTGATCTTCGCCTCTTCAGTCTGGAAAAAAGAATTAGATCTGCGTGTACCTGGTGTCACGAAGAGAATCTACCTTGACGAGCTTGATCGTTGCCTGTACTCGCGCTTGCATAGGAGTCTGAGAAAGAAAAGTGACGAATGAATAATGATTGCCACAACAATGACAGGAAAGACAACACTCACCCCCATCCAAGATCCGTCACCTTCCAACATTTGCAAATGGCGCTGGATATCCTCCATCTGCTTATGGGTGTTATTGTAGGTATCAATGGTCTTCAAGAAGCCGTAGTGTGCCATGGCGACTGTAAGGAAGAAGATATTGGAAATGAAGTTCGGCGGGGCTGTTCACAGCAGTTTTAGTGGATCGCATGCTTGACAGCAGGAAAGATGCCATACAGTCAGTCTTCTTGTGCTGTTCCATGAACTCGTTCGCCTCCTCCGTAGTCGCCTTAATCCTCGTCTCATCTCCCAGCACGATCCGGTCGCAGTGTGCGTAGAACAGAGGGTCGATGCGGTCCATCTGCAGGCCGTTAGTCCGACATCAAACACCGAGTCGACTGGCTAACGCCATACCTTGGAGTAATTAGCATCCATGAAGGGCTCAGCAAACCTCATCAAGATGGCCTGCATGTTCAACATGAAGCTATCCGATGCCACAGTGCCAGGATCGACTTGCATTCCAGCACGCTTCCCGTTCAAGGCAATGACACGAGCAAAGTACTGCAACGTCCTCTCCCTAGACTCAGGACTAGCCCTCACAAGTAAGTTGAAAATCTGGAAAAGTGACGATTGCAAAGACTTCAAGGTTCCACGCAAGCTGGCGAATGACGATTCGATGTCTGCCCTGCTCCGCTTGTCTGGATCAGAGAAGTAGGTGGTAGCGATAGCGGGCTAGAGCAAAGTAAAGGTAAGTTCCGAGAGTATGGCAACGACTGTAGTCTTTCACGTACCCATTCACGGCTGAAGATACCAAGTCTGCAAAGAGGGCCCATCAAAGAGAGGGTCTCGAAGTTGAAAGCAGTAGCGTTCTCCGGGATCCACTCCTCCATACGCGTGATCATAATCGCTATAGGTTTGATCGACACCAACAGCTCCAGGCCGCCAACAACACCCCGCCATCCGGCATCCCCACCACCCAGCCCTTCAAGTCGGAACAGCGACTCGTGGAATAGTAGACCGCGAATTACCGGTGCCAAAACAGAGTCGATCTCATTGTCAGGTTCGAATCGTGTGGCGAGGTCGCGCAGGAATTGGTCGATGTCGGAGGGTCCGAGTGTATTAGGGTCAGGCGTAGAGGAACCCATGAGTGGTGCGGATAGCGCTGAAAGTGACAAGAGAGGCTTGATTAATTCCGGAGGACCCAATTCACGACTAATAGGGAGATAAAGTTTGAATGGGTGCAAAGGAGAAGTCAGTCACACTCACCCTGACGGCTGAGGGAACATCTCAGGTTCTTGCAGGGTAAATCCGGCATAGCTGATGATAAGTTCACGAATCTTCTCGAGCTTCGTCAAGGCGTTTTGCGTGTCGACAGGAGGATAGCCCTGTTTTACTCGGGTTCAGGCTCTGTACCGGAGACGTACAGGTGAATGAAGGACGTACGCGTCTCGTCAACGCCGTTCTCGCGGCATTCAGCCTCTTCCAACTTCCAACTAGGTATTCAAAGACAGTTTGTCCCGCTGGAAGCGATACAAGGACAGGGAGGTATTCGAGATCATCACTTTCACGACCCCGTTAGCATGCGGTGATGAAATGGATTATCCACTGCAGCTCACCTCATTGTCTGTGGGTCCAATTCCAATCTCGCGATCAAGAGTTGGTCCAAGAGGTCCAAAGAAAGCCGATCTAGATGTCAAACGAGTCAGAGAAGAGGGAGGGTTACAGTCCCGTTAAAAGGACTCACCCGTTCCTCCATCCGAAGCAAGATCTTCACTCAGAGATTTCAACCATACGAGATCGTGTCCACTCTTCTCTGCCTCCCCTTTCTACGACACACGGGAGCATGCGTTAGTTAGAGAGGTGAGTAGCCATCGATCCACAGTCGAGACTCACGCTAAGCGTAACCTTCAATACATTCTGCAACACCTCATGTTCCCAAGTGGGCAAGTCAAGTTTAGGCGGCGTAGCTGGCTTTTTCTTGACAGCGGGGACAGGAGACTGTGCGGGTGGACCAGGAGTCGCAATAGGCTTTGCGACAGGTGTAGGTGCCTTTGGCTTTGGGGCCGGACTGGCGACTGAAGGCGATGGTGTGGCTTTAGGACTCGGTCCTGCCGGCGTCGATGAAGCTGGAGTGGCTCCCCCACTGCTTGCTGCAGGCGTTGAGGGTCCAGAAGAGCTACTCGCCGAAGCCGCACCTTGAAGCTTTGCAAGTCGTTTCAAACGAATCTATCCACCATGTCAATCAAGTCATTTCCGTAGGGTCATTCCGGTCGACCTACGCGTTCAGCATCTGTAAGCGCCGCTGGTGGTTGATTGTCGCTCATCGTTGTTTCACGAATGTCGATGCTTGCAAAGGAATCGATATCGGGACAGCCAAACGTTTCAGGTCGTTGAAAATGCCGAAAATAAAAGGGAAGAAAGAAGATGTAGTCTGAGGTAAAGAAGAAAGCTAAATGAGTAAATGAGTTGTGCTTCAAGTTGGCGGGCTTTGCTGAATCAGGATGTGGCCCGATCTCGGAGATTGCTGTGCTGGCCACCATTAAGGCTTGGCACAGCGGGTCAGCGGAGGAAGACGCCTCGACGCTCAGCCCAACCACGACCACCACAATCCGACCAACATGTTCGCCCGGTTAGCAACATCTTGCCACACATGTCTGCGCTCTAGCATCTTCTCCAACAACGTTGTCGCGCAGAGGTCGCTATTCTCGACGTCACCAGTCGCTCAAGCAGGATACAAGCTCAAGTCACACTCTGGCGCGAAAAAACGGTGGAGGTCGTTGGGCAGTGGAACCGCTTTCAAACGCGTTCGTTTATTCTATTTCCTGTTCAAGTCTGGTGCTGACATGGCCTTATCTGCGTTTAGGGAAAGGCCGGGCATTCACATTTGAACGCTCACAAGTCGGCGGAGAGGAAAAACAGGCTCAGCCAGACAGCGTATGCCAACCCAACACAAGCTGCAAACCTTCGCAAGCGATTGCTCCCCTACGGAACCCACTAATTCCTTACACCGACCACTTTGTATGTCCGCGCCGCTTCAGTCAATGTTATTGGTCCATACCGCGAACTGAGAAGGACGTCACCCGACATTCGACGAGACGCATGGTATCAATGTGATGGCGCAAACACAACATTCCGACTACGATAATAGATATCCAACCAACTAATAAATATGATTCGAAAACTTGAAGCGTGCGGCAGGAGGTTACATGATCACACAATCCTTGTCCTTCTTCGCCTCCTCTTGGTATTGAGCCAGTATCTGCTTCTCCTGCTCACTCAACAGCTGGAAGACAGTGTTAACCTGCAGTCCACCCACAAAGAAAGAGCCACTTACCCCCTTTTTCTCTCGCGCCTGCATCGCCTTGATTCTACTCTCCCTCTCCGCCTTAGCCCGTCTATAAGTGAATTATGGATACAGTTGAAATGGGATTGAAATGCGATATGGATACAATGTGTTGAATGACATGAGAAGAATTAAGCGAATCCGAAAAGTGGTGGTGGCATGAAGGAGTTGTATGGTTTGATTGCAAGTGGAGGTCGAGCAGTAGGTTCGTCATTAGGGTCGTTTACAGTAGGTGAAGCCGGGGTGGACGCGACAGCCGAATTAGCGGGCAGATTAACAGTAGTATTGTTCGTGACAGGTCGTGAGGGTGGCATGGAAGGACTACTGCTTCATGAGCGAGCACGAATAACATAAACCAGCAATAACTTACCGATCAGTCTTGTTGAAGGGCATTGACTTGGATGCAGACGCCGCTGCTGTGCTGGTATTGGCCTTGGCCTGAGCAAGGGATTGCTTCATCGAGTTGACCGCTTCGGAAGCCTTCACAGAAGCCTTTGCGTTGATCTCCTTGGCCGTAGAGCTAGCGCTTGAGAGCGCGGGTAGATTGGGGCGCGAAGGTGCAGCGTTCTGGCGTCCAGCAGGGGTGGTGGGTGCTGAGGCAGCCTTGCAATTATGGTCTGAAGGGAAGCGATGGCTCACGCAGAACTGTGCTCTGCATTTCTACACGACAGACCTCAGTAACTAGTCGGACGGGACGGAGACTGAACACGCACATCACATCGAATCGGCGAGAACAAGACTTTCTTGCAGGTCCCCTTTGCACAGAGTGGAGTGGATTTCGCCTGCACACGTCCTGTCACGACACTGCACTCCTTCTCAAAGTGCTGCTCCATCCGAATGTTGGGATCCTGCCCTGGAGGAACAGCGACTGGAGTGTTGCATAGAGGGCCTACCCACATATTCGTTAGTATCTATCTCTACTTATTGCCACAGGACCGAGGACTTACAATCCGGCGCAACCCTGTTGTGCTTGGTCTCGTCGTACTTGGAGCATCGGTGACCTTCGACTCGATAGTGCTCTTGACAGAACGACTCCTTGCAGTGCTGACACTTGAACGGCAAGAAGTCGATGAGATTGCATTGGGGGTGGGAGCATTGCTTCCCAATATCCAAAAGCTGTTGATCGCGCTCAGCCATGTTCGTCGTCGTGGGCGTCCTTCTGGTTGATAGTATGGGAAAGAATATATCCAAGGAGGGTGGGTTTATAAGGACAGTGAGTGTCAGCGCTTACGCGGCCTTGAGAGGCTGCGTGGCCTGTTAGAGCAATGCAAGTGCGGGACACAAATGACTCTGGGCGAAAGTGCTCGAAGCGAGGCTGTGCCCGCTCAGCGTGGGTCGCTTAGTCATCCCCGGTTACGAGATCCTGAGCTTACTCGTCCTGATTAGCGCCCGCTGGCTCTTGTTCCACGACTTGACTGTGCAACTGCTTCGCGATGGTCAAAATTACGTTTGTGAGTCACCGGAGCGTCTTGAAAGTACTCTAGCTGACTGAAACGCGAGAAGATTCGGCATGGAGAGTCGACAGATAATATTGTCAGAGGTTTTGGTGACTGTCGTCGTGGACGCGCTTGACGTGTTTTCAGAGAGACGTGTGGGCTGGTTGGAAGGACGCGACCTTGACCACCCATGGTATGCACTGGAGTCATTTTAATCCAACTTGTAGCTAAATTGGATACCTGCAGGAGTGAAAGTATGCGCGTACACCCACTCCCAACCCCAGTCTGACCTGAACTTTCGTAACAGCAAGCAGAAGCCCTTGCACTCTCATTCGCGACCACATCATTCACGGACATTTACACTTCGGACCTGAAGCGGGCATTTATGACAGCTCAAGCCATCCATGCAGCTCAGCGACCCTCCACCAAACTGCATACAACTAAACTCCTCCGTGAGCAGTATTTCGGCGCAGCAGAAGGCACGAGCTACAAGCACAAACGAGACAAGGACCTCACTCTTCGACAGCACTTTTCAAGGGGGATATATCCCCCCGTCTTCTCCCGACATGAACGCTTCCCTGGCGGGGAGAGCAAGGATGATGTATCGGAACGGGCGCGGGAGTTCATGGATACCGTCATCTTGCCTCTGGTGCAACAAGAGGCCGAGGGGCAGGTGAAAAGCGTGCATATCGCCGTTGTGAGTCATGGTCTATTCATCCCAGAGCTTGTGGTGCTTCTCTGGAAGAAACACAAGAACCCAGTTTCGACAGAGTTCGAACTTCGTCAGAACCTTCGAGGCATGAGAAATACGGCCTGGACGAGGATCGAGTTTGGCTTCGACGTGAGTTTTCAGTGGTTTTCTCATAATAATGCTAGACGGATATAGCCCGTAAACAGGGCGATTCTGCGGGAGACACTGTGTCAAGGCCTTGCAAGCTCAAATTCCTTCATGTCAATTGTCATAACCATCTTGACAGCCTGGTCAGTACAATATTACGAAGCACTGTGCCATGAACTCACCTTGCATCCAGACCCGACAGAAGGGCGGGATTTCGCGCCTAGCATATGATCCTGCCCAGAAAGATATCCGCTCGTTCTTCTCCAAGAACAAATCGTCGTCGTGAAACTGGGTATAACTGATTAACATGATAATACAATACGTCGTCCAAAAGCCCAAAAGGAAAGAGGAGCTTGAACAGGCATTATCGTTTGCGTTTCTTGGCCGTCCCGCGTGTCGACCCTGTCCCTCTCGTGCCGCCTTTCCGCCCCCTTGTACTGCCCCCTTTTGGTCGACCACGGGTGGGTTTTGGCGAAGTTGAACGACCTGTAAGACCCCAAATTAAGTCCAAGTTCAGACAGTGCAACGATATAAACATACGCGGAGGAGCAGAGGCAGATGCATCCTGCATCTCAACGTCCTCATCGTCTCCGTACTCTGTGCCCCCATCCGTTCCCGTTATTACACTATCCCTAGGTGTCTCCGGCAGACCTTCATCGCCACTCTCCTGCGTCAGCGCGCTGCTATCACTATCCCCACCCACCAACCCTGCCATCTGAACCTTGCTCTTCCCCCGTTTCTTGGTTGTTTTTGGTCGTTTAGATGAAGTAGGTTGCGGTGGTGGAGAACTGGGAGGCGTAGATGGCGCTGAAGGTGTGGCGCGCATCCGCCTTTCGGCCACGAGTGCTTCGATATCATCGTCATACGGCAATTCAAACTCCCGTCTGAAGAACGGGTGACATGCTAGGTTCTCGTCCGGTTGAGGTGAAGGTATCGGCACTGGCGGGGCGTTTTTATGTGGGATGAAGGAGTTTTCATGTTCTGCATCCTACGTTCATTCAAATGGACGTCAAGAAGCGAGGTTGAGGACCGTACTGTTTGGAGTTGGACTCACTGCGACCTCCAGAGCGTCGAGGTTGTAGTAGGCACGGAGTTTCTTCCATAGCGATTCAATGGTGACAGAACGTCCTGTATCTTGTAGAATGGCGTTACGGATGGCGAGAATGTGGAAGTAGCGGTGGATTCCGACTGGTCGAGCGCGCATTATGGACCGGAAAAATGTGATCTCGCCTTCGACGGAGTCAAGAAATTCGTCGTCTTCGTTGTGAGAGCCATTCGTTGGCGGAGGTTGCGTTGAGGTCGAGGCGACGGTCATGTCGAAAGCGGGTCTAAAGTCTAATCGCGGGCGTCTGACTCTCTGGGGATGAGCGCGACGGGGCCGACGACGACCGACACGCGCGTGTTGATTATTGGCCTTCGAACCAAACAAAGGCGCGGCGGCAATACCATCAATGGGTCCATCAGAGCGCGCTACGCCCACCGGTGACCCTGCCTCCTCGAAACGAGAAGTTGAGCGCCCATTGGGATGGTCGGGTGCCCACCCCGTTTGACCTGCATATCTCAAACCAAAGCTGTATTTATTGATGGAAATATCTCTCTTCTTACTCTGAATCCCTCTTCCTGCGGTCTTATCGTTCCCCGAATGTTTGGGCGTCTGTCTGGTGCGTTTGTTTTCCATTGAAGCGAGGAATCGCCCTTAATAACTTCCATGTTCTCTTCAGGCAATCAATGCGTCTCATTCACAGGAATATAATGGTTATCACCAAGTAAATACGATCTGAGCATACCTTGAACTTGTATTTGAGGTCTGACTGGCTCATAGCTGTATAAGCCCGCTTTGGTTCGTTTAATACTATTTCTCGCTTCCTGTCTCTCTTTTATCCTGTTATATGTACGCTCTTTCTAAACGTGAAATGGTTTGTCTAGGTGTCTTCGGGGAGACCGCCCTACTACTAGGGGGTGGCAGTGCCAAAACGAAGGTTCCGCGAATTGACGCCGACGCGACAGGCTTGGAGTGGGTTGACCACCAGCCAATACGTGCAGTCATATCTCCATGTCCTCCTCAGCACAAACACCGGCATCAACCTCTCGATACCACCACCCATACTTCACGCCAGCTGAACTCGAACATCTCTCAGAAAAGCAGCGCGGAAAGCTCTCCGTAACGCAGGAAGAGAAGACCAGGCAGAATGCGTGTAGTTTCATTGATGCTATGAGTACCCGGATTGGATTGTACGTGCCTTTTTACTCGTATCTGAGAGATGAGGTGCAGGTGCTGAGCGCTTGCATATAGTCCTCGAAGAACGGTAGCGACTGCCCAATGCCTCTACCACCGATTCCATCTGTTCTTCCCGAGAAAGGACTTTGTATACACTGTACGTACCTTCCATTTTGTTCCTGGGATGCACCTCTAACGCCTGTACAGGACGTCTGCCTAGCTGCTCTGTTTGTTTCCACCAAGATGCATGATACGCTGAAGAAACCAAGGGACTTGCTCGCTGTCGCGTATGGCATCAGGAATCCAGAGTTGGCAGCGAGGTCAAAACACCCTACTGGAGAGGTGGACCTTGACACGATGGATCCACAGGTACGTTACTTTGAGCAGTCTAACGCTGTTGTCGTAGGAAGCTCTAACACAGATCCCGGTACATAGCTAGTGGAGAGCGATAGAGCTCGGTTGCTCGCCATTGAAAGACTCATGCTCGAAACCATTTGCTTCAATTTCACGGCACGGCTACCTTTCCCTTATGTGATTAAGATCGGGCGTGTAATGAAAGGTATGTCCCCTTCGAGTATCATGCAGTCGTCTTGCCCACCACGCCAATGTAGCTTCGAAGAAACTCATCAAATTTGCGTGGAGGGTTGCTATCGATTGGTGGGTCAAGATGTTACTGCTATTCGCCTTCTGCTTAATGTACCGCCCTCTTAGCCACCGGACGTTGCTCCCGCTGCAATACCCACCACACACGGTTGCGCTTGGAAGCCTTTATGTCGCAGCCCTGCTATCGTCATTCGAGCTACCTGTGGAACAAGACGAACCTGATTCGAAAACGAGTCACGAAATTGCCGATACACTGAGTAAACGTGGACAATGGGAGCAGAAATTCCAATCTCATGCTGAAGACCTCGAAGGTACCGCCTCCCTCTTTACCTGATGACTTCCTGATGCCTAAGCTTTTCCCGTCCCGCCAGACATCGCCCACACAGTGCTCGACCTATTCATCCAATCATCTCAAAATCCCTCAGCGAACACCTCGCCCAGCACACCCTCCTCTCCGCACCCACATTCATCGTCACATCGACAACAACTGCCGCAGATACTTCAATCGCCGTGGAAACCTGAACAGCTTATACGTTTGAAGATTGCGATGAGAGAGAAGGAGCTTCCGAGGAAGCCGCCACAGCCAATGGACATGCAATCGGACTTGAATACGGCATTGCAAAGGAGTGCGGCTGCTGCTACGAATTATGGAGGGAAGAATGAAGGAACAGTTAGGTTTCTATTTGGGCCGCCGGGGACAGAAACGGGGTATTAGTTCAAGGCTTTGGATGGAACCGAGCATCAGCATATATTCTGTTCTGGGAGTCTAATCAAGGAATTCAACGAAAATCTCCAAGAAATAGTCAATTAGAGGGGATAGTTATAGATCGTGGTCAGTATGTATACGGTACATGAGGTGGGGTCTCGTATTCTAAGTTTGCGGCCGATGGAACCGTGAGTCAGTGATCAGTGAAGGCTGTTTACAAACCTCTGGATGTTGGGTACAATAAATATTCTCATAGGACTAATGAATGGTGGAATCACCATGCCTCCACCAAGGCCACGACGATGCCATGCGTTCACTGAGTAATACGGGTTAGCCCCAGATGGCAACGAAAGTCTAATGAACACGCACCCATCGGCTGTGCTGCAATAAACATAATGAAGTATACCCATAGCCTACCCGGCCACCCGCCAACCCTCTTCCCAGTGACCTTCCGCCAAAGACGCTCCAGTACCAATACTGGTCCTTGTGCGCCGAAGAAGAGGGTTGCACTGTGGTCATATCCCCGACCCATGTTATACATCGCGCACTCGTGGAATAGCCCAGACGCCAGGAAGGTCCCGAACACCATGCCCATAGGCCCGGCGATCCACTTGCCGGGGTACCCACCAAAGACTAGGAAGGTTTGACGTAGGAGCTGGTGCCAACGCTTGGCCCAGAACTCGTGCATCGACTCCGCAATCCATGGGTTATCCATGACGGGCGGCCAGGAGCGCGGAGAGCTTCCACAGAAGGCGACGGCGATGAGGGTTATCAGGTCATAGACCATACCGAAGCCTGATAAGATTGCGCCCCCGGTTAGTAGGTGGATGATAGTTGCCACGGCGAATCGAAGGGGCGGTTTGAGGTCTGAGTACCAGATGGACCCTCCAGTTGGGGAGCCCACGCCTGGGAAGAGTTTCACCAGGGATTCGAGTAGGTCGAGTAATAGGAAGTTCTTGACGAAGGAAATGAAAGTTGCTCGAAGGAAGGCCTTGCGTTCGAGAGGGCGTTCGAATGGTGGGATGTGCATCCCCTGACCAAACTTCCATTGGAGGCCACGCAATGTGTGTGCTAGCTCGAAAGCATCGTATAGCCAGTAGTTGTGGCGCTCCTCGACCTCGTCGGAATGCGAATAGTAGCCGTTGGGGATGGCAGAGCCGTTGGGCACGTGCTTGGCCTTGCCCTTTGTAACACCTGGACGAATCTCTCCGACCTTGAGCATGCCCTCGGGGTTCAACGCATACTCAAGGCTCTTTGCGATGGCCACTGCTGCGAGGAGTGCTGCACCCCAGTTGTAGACGTTAAGTTCTGGTTGTGTAAAGGTGAAGCGGTAGGCTGCGACGAGAATCAAGGAGATTACTGAGGGCAGCAGGAGGAGTCGGATGAGGTAGGTATCCGGCCTCCGAGCCAGATAGGCCAGGAAGAAGAAAGGGAAGTAGCATGCAATGGGGATCCAGGCTACGTTCCAGTGGTAGGGGATTCGATCGCGTGGATAGGGTACTATCGTCCTGAACGCCTGGTTTGCACCGTCGGCCAGTCTGTTACTTTCTCGTCAAATACTGTCTTTTTCTTTCAAAAATAGACTTACTCGTGGAGAAGTCCTCCCGATTGCATGCTTGGTGGAAAACAGACGAGCGCTTGAGCGCTGCGTGCAAGTGGAACGGATTAATCATCCACACTTGGACCTGCTCCATTGCGTCACAGCATCGGGATTCTTATTCCCACGTTTGCGCCGTACCCCCGCAATCTCCGGGTCAGACACTTGTGCATCGCGTCGATGGTGAAAAAATGCGAAAAATATGTCGTCGAAGGCTGGTCTGTCACGTCGATGAACTTGGTGAAACGGATGAGAGCGCCAACCCCGAACAGTCGGGAGAACAAATACGCGACAACAACGCGAGCCAAGCGACCGCGAACCATCGCTTGGCCCGACGTTTGCGCTAGTCTGACCAAGTTGTTCCTCCCTACGCCGCTGAGTCTTGGCGATGGAAGAGTTGAGCTCCAGGCAGGTAGCCACAGAATCATCGAGAACCATGCTGCATCGGCCGGGAAAGCAGGAGCCAATAGAGCCTGCTCCGTGAGCTTATCTCCTGGAATCCCCGACGTCCTCTGTCCTTCAACCATGGCCTTATCTCTGACAATCTTTGGACGATCAGTGCTGCTTATAACTGCAGGGTGCGTTTGAAATGTGCTCTATTCAGCGCCAGAAGTGGCTGAATTGTCCAGTTTATTGGCCAATGCCATATGTTGGATCGTAGCCGCTATCCTGTTCGCTCGCAAGCCAGAAACCCGGCCTGTACTGGGACAAGCGCTCCTCGCCTGGGTCAGTTATTAAAATCTTCTCCCACTGTTGTATCCAAGGTCTCATTGCGAACGAAGACACTTGGGCTTCGACACGCTTTGGACGCAGACCATATTAGGTACTAGTACTAGTAGGTAATATTCCTATCCATCGTCCCCATAACCACAGCACTGATCGTCGATACAGCTCAGTGTCACCAAACTTGATAACTTATACTCTCTGCCAGTGCAATCGACAATGCGACAAGAAACCTGATCAACATGGGGCAGCTTCCAGTGACTTGTGGTCTCTACTTCTCCCTTGGTCATAGCACCATCGTGTTCGTCGTGGTCAGTCCCAGCTTCTGGTCGCATTCTTCGATGCATTTGATGGACTGATAAATACCATCAAGACGATCGCAATCGCAATCTCTGTCGATGTATTCAATCGGCTCGATTCCGTCAGCAACGTCGGAGGAATCATCGGTAAGGCGGATTAAGACTTCGGCTGTATTGTTCACTGAATCCTTAACAGGGCCTGCGGTCAGTGGATCCTTCTTGTTCATCGTGGGATTGGCCAACTCTATCATTCTGTGGAGAATTTTGCGAAGGCGCAGAAAGGTTAGAAACGTTTACGACGTTAGGCTCACACAAACTGAGCCTGGTTTCCAGCAAAAGCAGCAAGAACAAAGGAACGAAGAAGCCTTGGAAGAGGTGGAAGGACTGCATGATTCGCGCAAGTCGGAAGGAATGCTCATGATGCGCATCCTAGGACCAGTAGTGAACTTCGTCAACCGACCTTGGAAGGTGAGGATCCACTGGTCGTTTGAAAGGGTGTCGAGATCTGACGCGCGTTTCCAGATGTATCCTGTTGGGGTGCTTTTTGGCTTCGGTCAGCATCACAGTCTCGCTCAGTCCAGGACAAGCGCACGTTTAACAATCGAATATCCAGGGTTCGACACGGCTTCTTCCATCGCGCTTATCTCCGTCTCCGCGATTGCCAAGAAGCAATCCGAGTATGGCTCTTTCCCTTCCTCATATATCATCATTCTCCCGGTATGTCTCTTGGCACTTTTCACAAGACGCACGATTAAACCACCCATTTTTAGCTTCTTTTCACAGCGGGAATGGTTCTGCTTGACTCCGCCGACTCGATTATCATGCTCTACTCCTACACAGGCTTCCCTGAACGCACTTGGAAATTGGTAACCCGAAAGCCCGCTGCCCGGGCCCCTGCCCCAGCAATTCCACCTCCGGATGCCAAAGAATTCTCGTCAAAGAAAAGTGGGGTCCCAGAGACTGAGAAGGTTGTTCCTACAGCAGAGGTTCTTCCGGTCGAGCTCGACCCTTCCGTTGGTACTGCGCTTGCAGTCAAGACAAACGTGATGTCCGGATTGAGTATAATACTCACCGTTCTCAGTATCATCCTCGCGTTCAGGTGACTTTCGAATCCCACCCATGCCGCCTATCACTCATCCCAATATGATCCATGATAGCATCTCGCTGATTACAATTATGAGTCTCATCGGAGAGCGGTGTTCCCAATGCTTGGCAGCTGCTGAGGCGGAAGACGGTGGAGGATTAGCAGGACGCTGGTGGAGAGGTTGGGCCAATGCAAGTGGAATTAGTCGAATTTGCTTTTATCACCCACTGACTTCATGATAACAGGCAGCGGAGCAATCAGGGTGGATCGGTATTGGTATTGTCGGTGGCTTCATTCTCATTGTAGGTGGCTGGTATCTCGCACGTTGGTTTGTGAGTCGTCGCCGCGGTTCCAAAGAAACCAATGCACCGGTGGTGAATACTCCAGAAACCAAAGGCCAACTGGCTTGACCCTCTTAAATAGGTTTCTGCCAGTGCTCAAAGCAGTGTTCGACTTCTTTGATCATTGAAATGGTCTTCGGGTTTCCCAATTGATTCCAACGTACTATATGCAGTACTACGAGCGAGCGCTAAGTAAACCGATGTTGAAAGGGACCTTGGCGTGATCTGGGCAAACATGGCATGTACACGAGCGCCGGGCGTGCAGCTGAGTAACCCTGCAAAGTTGTTCTGTAACCACAAAGATGCCGTCTTGGTCCACCGTCACAACCTCTAATGCAGCGTACGCCCCCTCTTACTTGCCCGTGTTCGTCGTGTTTGGCGGAACTAGTGGCATAGGAGAGGCCATGGTCAAGGCCGTAGCACGATATACCAAAGGGCGGGCACACATTGTTGTCATCGGGCGAAACGAGGCCGCCGCCAACGCTATAATTGCAGCTCTTCCGAAGCCTTCTGAACAGGCAGTGGCAGAAGGCGCGCGCTACGAATTCCTGGCCTGTGATGTCAACCTCATGAAGAACATTGACAAGCTTGCCGAACAACTCAAGTCTAAACTATCGAAAATCAACTTTCTTACCCTGTCGGCAGGGGTATTCTCGCTGGATGGATGGGACGGGACTGAAGAGGGTATCGATTCTAAACTTGCGAGTCGGTTTTACTCTCGGTTCAAAGCCATCCATAGTCTTCTACCACTTCTGAGGAAGGCGAAGGAGGCTGGGGAGGATGTCAGTGCCATGTCGATTCTGGGAGCTGGGCAGGGTGCTCCTATTGATTTCGACAACTTGGGACTCAGGAAAAACTACACTGGGCTTGCTGGAATGATGCAGGGGATTTCTTATAACGACTTGATGGTGGAGGTACGTTCATACTTACCACTGGTTCATGTTGACTCTGGCTCACCCGAAACCAGGCTTTTGCGAAGCAAGAGCCAGATATCGGTTTTACCCACATTTATCCCGGGTTTGTCAATACAGGGGCCTTCAAGTTTAGCAGCTGGTATGGCAAGTTGGCCCTTTTCCTCCTCCGGCCTGTTATTTGGCTCGTTGCAATGAAGCCGGACACTTGTGCAGAGTATATGATGTATGCTCTGCTCAATAACAAGAAAGGGATGCATAGGCAAAACCAGTCCGCGGATGATATAGGAACGTACAAATTCCCAGAGGCTACTGAGGAGCAGAAGGAGAAGTTTTGGAAACATTCAGTGGAGACTACGACTGTTTCATGAGAATGATATTATTTTTCTTGCTTTTTCTTGCTTTTTCTTGCGCCTTCTTCTGTTCGTGCTCCATGTTTTCGCAGATTTAGACCAATAGTATTATCTTGCAGAGATACGAGAGTTTCCGAATGGATGCAAATGACAGGGTTCGAACTCGAGAATGGGGTGAAAAGCGCACGGGTGGCGACTCGGAGGTTCAAGCCTTAGCCAAGTCCAACGACGTCAGACAGCTTGCTCCTGAACCATCATCATGGCCCAATATTTTGCCTACAGGCCTCGTCGACCGACGAATAGATCCCCAGGGAAAGTCTCTGATGCGTCTCCAACCCTCTCTGAATTGGATATTCCTGCAGACAGCATCTACGTTTTCCCAAATCCATCCTCGATTCCAGCTAGTCCCGGTCAACCTTCGACCTTATCCGAATGGTCGGCAATAGAGTCGACATTCTCCTCGCCCTCACTTTCTGGGCTTTCCTCTATAGACGGGAGTCTGGTATCTGGTGCCTTGTCACCTTCATCGCCAGCCACCCCAGCGTTTCACGGTGAATCTGACGGTAGACGGGGATATGTAGACGCGACGCGACTCTCCGGACCTTCGCCGCGACGGACGTCGACTGCAGGTAACACGTCTGGCCCGCAGTGGTCGAGGCTGGAGAACTCGAGAGTCGAAGATCTCGTGCCAATATGGGACGCCCGATTGAGTGCCTTGGAGATGTCCGGGGAGCGTCCCCAGTCCACCACCCAACCGCGGCTCGACATCCCGCTTTTGTCGCTGTTCGCGTCATTGTTCTCTGTGGAGAAAAGTAGCCTGGACCTCCTCAACTCTTCTTCTTCAACGAGCTCTCTGTTTCCCGTTCCCCTTGATCCAAATGATGAGGATAGGGACGCTGCTCCTGATGACAGTGCGCACCACACCGCTCCCCATGGTGTCGAGAAACTGTTGCTTTCTCTAGAAGAGAGCAATTCGTTCATTCACAACCGCATCTCAATCGAAACGATGCCGTCTCCCCTTGAACTTGGGACTCGGTTACAAGAGTTGCACGAGGTGATCGTTGCTCTGATTGCGAAGAGCGGGAAAGTTATGTGGAATGTACTAGGAATCAAGACGTAGTTTGGGTACGTTATGTTCTCTGTTTGAAGCTCGATGTGCATGTTCATCTCACTTCATTGACCAGGCAACCATACTGGGTTTCTGAAGTAACCACGCCGACACGGCCATTGTATGCCCACCAGGGGCGAAGCACTCCCTTCGGGTTCACGATGGATTGCAAGGCACCGTCGCATTTACGGGCATTGCCTCCAATTTGTGGTCGGCCGCTGTGATGTCGTTCGAGGGTAACCGCTGGGCGGAAGCCGGATTTAGCACTCCAATTGCTCGGAAGCGCATTTCAGGGACTGTTATGTACCCAATGACCTAGAACGGCATAGTCTAGTAGTTATCTACTTAGTGTGCACCAGAAGCTTGATGCAGCGTCTGTGAATTTAATTTGCCGTTGTAGGGACTTTGCCCCGGCGTCTTAAAAGCAGTTCTGGCAATGCTGTGCAAATTCGCACGTGCCGTTGCTACTACGGACGGCGGCGAAAGGGTTTGTGTCAGGTTACTCACAATCGACGCTGGTCTTCCTCTCGCTACCACCAATATCTTTGGATTTCCTTCATCGTTGCTGTCTAAGGCCTGGGCGCTGCCTTGATATTCCAGCCCAGTTTGACTTCGATGGCTTTGGCAAGCTCAAGCCGGTTTGTCAAGTCCCTTGCACTTGATGTGGATTCACATATCTTACTTCGTACACTCAGATTGGCCGCTGAAACCGAACATACCTTGAGATTCAAGCGTACGTCTGCATAAAGCTCACCGCTTTCCACACATTTAAACAGCTTTGATAAATCCACACAGTTTTCAATGCTAGTGGTCTCGCGAAACGAGAATTGCTCAGTCTTCCCGACCCATTTGCGGTGCTTACGGTTGATGGAGAGCAGACGAGTACAACGAACATAGTCAGGAGGACCCTGAGTCCTGTGTGGAACGAGCAATTCGATGTGTATGTTCTGGCTATTTTGTCCCAACCTCCACCGCTCACAATGGCTTCTACAGCACTGTTCGTCCATCATCCATGATCGCAGTGCAGATATTCGACCATAGAAAGTTTAGAAAGCGGGATCAAGGTGTGTGACAGACAGGGTGTACAGGCGAAAAGCGCTCACCTCGTCTTCAAAAGGATTCCTTGGTGTTATCAACATCTCTGCTGCGGAGGCCATCAATATTGCGACCAACAGTGCAGGTGTTGTGCTGAATAAAGAGCTGACAATGTCCAGCAACAATTTGCCTGTCTATGGAAAGATATCCTTCAGCATTGCTTACGCCAATGGTCCGCCAATGCAATCCCAATCTCACACTGCGACACCCCAGCCCAACCAATACCAACAACAACCCGCCCCTGCTATGCAACAGCAACCCGAGCATGTACAACAACCCACCGTCCCTCAGATACCCAATCCTGCTCCTATGCAGCGGCCCCACACCGCGTCAGAGGATTCCAACCGTCAAGCTTTCGGTCCACATCCGGGTCCCAGCCTGCACCACTCGGCCAGTCATACCCATTTGAACGCGAGCGCAAATGCTCCCTCAAGGATGGAGATGCCGGTTCCGAGACCCGTGTCCACAAGCGCTGTTCCCCAACGTCTAACCGACGACGAGCAAGGGAACCCACTACCTGCTGGATGGGAACGCCGCCTTGATCCGCAAGGTCGAACCTATTACGTCGACCATAATACCCGCACGACACACTGGCATCGCCCTAATCAATACGGGCAGGTTCCTGCTACTCGACCCCAATCGCAACAGCCGACACAAGGTCCTTCCAGAAATCAGAGTGTGGTCGCTACCCCAGTGGCCACCACCCCGGCAGGACAAACGCAGAATGCGTTCCCTGATATCCCCCTACCGCTGGGATGGGAAGAGCGGAGGACGCCAGAAGGGCGTCCCTATTTTGTTGACCATCACACGAGGACGACTACATGGAACGACCCTCGAGTTAACCGACAGAATCAAACCGTTGTCCCTCGCCAATCTATCAACGTAAATCTGGGCCCCCTGCCCTCCGGATGGGAGATGCGATTAACCTCCACGGGACGAGTGTACTTTGTGGACCACAACACTCGAACCACTTCCTGGGACGACCCTCGATTACCGACCAATGTCGACGACAATGCGCCGCAGTACAAGCGAGACTACAGGCGCAAGGTCGTGTATTTCCGCAGCCAACCCAAGATGCGGGTGTTGCCTGGCAAATGCGAGATCAAAGTTCGCCGAAACAGGGTTATGGAGGACAGTTACAGTGCGATTATGGCGCAGACTGGTGAGGACTTGAAGCGGAGGTTGATGGTCAGCTTCGATGGTGAGGATGGTTTGGATTATGGCGGTGTGTCAAGGTGCGTGTGTTTTCGTCCGAGATACTTGTAGCTGGTATGCTGAATTCTTGTTGTAGAGAATGGTTCTTCTTGCTCTCGCACGAAATCTTCAATCCTAGTTACGGATTGTTCGAATATTCCACACACGACAACTACACCCTCCAAATCAATCCGGCTTCTGGGATTAACCCAGATCATCTTAGCTACTTCAAGTTCATCGGGCGCGTAGTGGGGCTTGCAATTTTCCACCGGCGATTCCTCGACGCCTACTTTGTGCCAAGTTTCTACAAGATGATTCTTGGGAAGCCGATGACATTGAACGATTTGGAAGCAGTCAATGCGGAATTACACAGGTCGTTGAAATGGATGTTGTAAGTGCTGAACCTGAAGTATGTTTGTCCAAGCTAATGGCCTGTAAAGGGAGAACGACATCACCGATGTCCTGTACGAAACCTTCTCCCTCACCGAGGAACGGTTTGGAGAGATGGTTACCATCGAGTTGAAACCTGGTGGGGAGGATATCCCTGTAACGGAGGAAAACAAGAAGGAATACGTCGACCTGGTTGTCGAGTATCGAATTTCGAGGCGTATCAAGGAACAATTCGACGCCTTTATGGATGGGTTGTTGGAATTGATTCCTCGGGACCTCATTAACGTCTTCGACGAGCGTGAGCTAGAGTTGTTGATTGGAGGAATGTCCGAAATTGATATGTGTGTGGTCATGCGCTCCATTCTTCTCCGTCCACTGATGACACGATTATTAGGGATGACTGGAGCAAGTTTACCGACTACCGAGGGTATGAGAAGACGGACCAGGTCATTGAGTGGTTCTGGCAGTGTATTCGATCATGGCCTGCGGAGAAGAAGGCACGGCTACTGCAGTTCACGACCGGCACATCTCGCGTACCGGTCAACGGATTCAAGGACCTCCAAGGGTCTGATGGGCCTAGACGGTTTACCATCGAAAAGTCGGGGGATCCCTCTGGTCTTCCCCGGAGCCACACTTGCTTCAATCGACTGGACCTACCTCCCTACGAGGATTACGAAAGCTTAGAACAAAAGCTTTCGTTTGCTATCGAGTGCGTATCCCTTCCCTCGTGACTCACTTCCTGCTAATGTAAATTTCCAGGGAAACGGAAGGTTTCGGGCAGGAGTAGACAGCCTTTTCCCTCTCCCCCATTCCCTGCTTTCTCTTCACCCCGAGCTTGCTTGTGTTGTACACATATGTATTGATTTTCCGCTGTGTGTTTTGTATCTGCTCGTTTTCCTTCACGACAGTTGTACCATCTAGCATTATTATCTAGTACACGACGACTATCTAATTTACAGGATCTATTCGAAACGTAACTAGCGCCTGGGCAGTGGGTTGGGCGTTCTCTGTGGCTGACCCGAAGGGTCCGTGCACCGTGGGAAAGCGCTTCGCTCTTTAAGACTTAGACTCCTTGACTTGTGACTGCGACAACGACGACAGTCTCGAACCCTTTTCCCTTTTCTTTCCTTCATTATCTGGCTACACTCTTAAAAGATCGATACAGACTATTTGCCAGGCTTTTCTCCGCTGCCTCGAACCTCATGACATTTGCAATGGAAACTCCAACGTCGTGCACCACGACGGTGCTCGCTGACTTGGATCCCGATTCCCTCAGGGCAAAAGCCTTGTCGACCCTCAGAGCTAAAAGAAAACGACCAGCAGCTCAACTACCGATTATTTCTCTTCCATCAAGGCCCATACATCAAGCCGATGCCATGCAACTCGATTACGGCCAGGACGATTCCTCTCCACCTTCCGTTCAACAGTCTCAGGAGAAACCAGCGGCTGTTGTTACCCAAGAACCGACAGCGAAACCCGACGTTGATGTTTCAATGCGTGAGGAAGGTGAAATAAGTGACGAAGAGGAGGAACCGGCGCCAAAGCCTCCGCATCGGACAACAGCTGCAATTGCTGCTCAAGACTCTTTTAAATATTCGATAGGGTCGAAACCTTCGCTGTTGGACCGGCTCACAGACCCACAACCACAACCACCGCCACCTCACATGGTCCATGGCCTTCCCCGTAAACCTGTTACATCGGCGCTACCCCCTCGTCCACCGCCTACCCAACCGCGTTCAGCCCTACAAATCAGCGAAGAACAAGTGCGGCCAAATCTTCACAGTACGTCTAGTAAAGTCAAGAGTGAAGAGAACCTTCTAATATATTTGTTCAGTGACTCAAGCGGAGTACGACAAGGCCAAGGATATCATTCTCGATCTATTGGGATGGGGTGTTCCCCCTCATTATTTGGTGGACTGTGGATTGACGCGGGAGATGGTATTCTACGTTTTCAATGAACTCAATTTACGACTACCTTCCAACCTCGACACCACCGGATTGATGCCGTATTCGCCTGAAACCATTCACACTTTCTCCGTCGTCCCCCCGGGACCTTCGCGACCGCCTGTTCCAGCCTCCCCTGCGCAACCATCGCCCGTCAGCCGCAAACCCGAGGGACCTTCTCCTATAGAATCTGTCGCGACGCTTTCGCTACCCGCCACTCCTACTCCTGCTCAGCAAAAACACCTGGACGAGGTGGAGAGTCTGAAAAAGCAGGAGTTAATGGCTCGTAAACAAGCGCTAGCCAGTCGCCGGAGGCGACCCGTCGCTCAGCCTGCTGAGAAGCTCGTCCCGATAGAGAACACCCCCGATGCATCGGTAACAGCAGCCGAAGACTTCCTCAAGTCTATAACGCCCACGGGTCGTGTTCCTCCGTCGCCTATGGACCTTGTCGCCGATTCGCGTGTGCCTTCCTCTCCCTCAGAGCAAACCGGAAAGGGCGCGTCGTTTACGCCTTCGCCCGCAGTTCTAGAACCTCCCCCATCTTCTACCGAGTCCGTCACGACAACCTTTAACAAAACGATGCGGTTGTCCCCGCGTCAGAGCTCTGTCCCTGAGAAGTCCCCGACGACCGATCGCCCGCCCCCCACACCTCAGTATCCCGTTCGCAAAGCCACAAGGCGTCCCGTTGCTTCCGACTTCGTAGACCTCGACGGACATGCTCGATCCATAACCAGGGCGAGTAGTCACGATGGCGCTCAAAGCACCTACAACCAACAGCCCCCTCGGAGCGCGACCAGCTTCATCAGCAATGTTCGCCCTGTCAGATGTGTGATCGATTTGAGTGACAGTGAGTCTGAGGAGGAGGAAGCCCCCGTACCACCACAGAAACGGCATAATGGGATGAAGTCGTCATCTGCTACCCCTTCGATCAGCACTGCGATGCTGGAGGAGAAGGAGCGGGAAATTCAGCGGATGCGAGAAGAAATTGCTAAACGCGAGCAGGAGAGCCTGTTAAAAAAACTTGGGGTGCGTTTTCCTTCCCCCTCTCTGCAGGTACATCCTCTGAACACATTATTTTAGTTGAAATCCGGGCCAGTAGCTTCTAATGGACACTCGCCAGCGCCTTCGACCTCAGTTCCAACACCCGGCGCAGCCATCCCTACGCCACCCCCGCCGACGGCCAATGAATCTCCGACAGTCTCCTCAACCCAACCGCCTCGTATGAAAACCTATCGTCATCGTCCTCCACCTACCACCACTGACAACACCTTCAGCTGGGACCTCCACGGCAACGCCTTCCGTATCCCAAGCAGAAACATGTTTGTGCCCCTTTCCCAGCCCGCTTAATACCATGCTCTGAATGTATGTCCACTAGCATCCGACATGGGCCAGATGATGGAAGTGGATCCAGTGAAAGAAGGCAAGTCCATTCCTTGGTGCCTGGTTAATTAATCTGACTGACGTCTGTGATTTCTTCAATGCGTCACTGTCATCATTATCGCCTAAAGAAGGAAAGATGAATGGAATCAGTGAAGCGGCAAGGCTCCTCCACCCTTTGACGGTTTCCTTTTCTTAACCATCGTTTGTTTGCTGACCATTTAGGCAGCCCAGGGCGTCAACCAACAAGACATCCAGGAACCAGTAGCAATGGAGACGGATGGTGATGCGACATCAGTGCAGGTCCGTCGTGCCTTCCAAGTTGTTCTCTCTCACATATGATGTTTACGCATGCACTACTTAATCGTTCGCTGACATCGAATTTAGCGTCACGAGACGGAGATCGACGGCACCGCATGCAACAAGGAGCCAGACATTGCGACGCACGGCGACTCTGGGTTTTTCAGGCCATACAGCTCTCTGTTCGCGTCGTACCCTACGCTCCGTTTAGGTCTAGGCGGCAACCCCGGCGCCAACTCGATTGCTCCCCTTGACGGTGGTGATGTATCATCATCTCCTTCTTTTGAACATTCATTATTACCTGACCTGCAAGCGTTGAGGGCCGCTGCTTTAATCAAGCAGCTGGATCCTGAGAGACAAATCTGTCAGTTCGAAGTCCCCGGTGGCGGAATATGCCGCGACGCCAAATGCGATGACCTCCACCTCAGTCGTCTTCATAATGCAGAAATGGTTGATCCTGACGGTACGTTTACGATTGCCTCGTCTCGTGAAGCACACAGTTAGTGCCCGTGCTCAACAACTTACCTTGTCTGTTATACTTTTTTGCCTTTTGTGATAGATCACGATGTTGCTGCGCTTCTGTGCAGCACTGGTGGTCTGCCACCGTTGGACAAAGTACTTTCTGCTCTCCAAGATGCTCGACTCAAGGATACGACCTCAACGCTTGAAACTCGAGTCGCCCGGGTTATGCAATCACTCCGACATCCGGGACCATGGGCTCCTCCTTCGACATGATAGCGGCTTTGGTCGACACTGGGCAACGCACCATACAATACGGATTTGAAGATGAGGTCCAAGTTCAGCTACGATTACATGGTGCTACTGAGAGAAGATTCCGAAGATACTCGTGGATACGTCAAGATTCTTGGAACTCGTCTCCAGCCTCGTTCGACACCGATAGAGGAGCATTCAGAAATACCTACCGTGACCCTGGACCCTCCTGGATGTACAAGCCATTCATCGGTGTGCTTTTCCTTTCTAGGCCTAGGGCGAACGTCGGGACGCTTTACTCGATTGTCAAGATCGATACCCGTGGGTGGATGGGAGGCAGGCACCACCTGAAGAGCGCGTAGGCGCCATCACTCAGCCCTGTAGCCTACTCGGAAGATTATATGCAGCTGCCTGCACTGTCTTCCAGTTAGACTACTTGCGTCGCTGTTGTGAGCCAGTGGGCCCACCTTGCCTGAAACTTAGTGGGGTCGCACTGGGACCGACCGTCCTTACTTTCGCTTTCTTAAATGCAATCTTTTTGTGCTTAGTATCTTTCAATATCTGACACCTTTAGAGCTTTGTCAATGTTATCGTGCTTTCTATCGTGGTACCAGACAACGTCGGGCACTTGCTGAAGGGGGGATCTCCACACTTCCAGAGGCGGCCATGCCTGTGATATCGTGAGTTCGTCATCCTTCACTTCGCATGGCATACTGGATCCAAAAGGGAGGTGGACGATCATCATTACCCGTTTAAATTTGGGGTTCCAATCACGTAGAAGGCCATTCACGCCAGATTGTTATCGAGGGTGTTTTGTGGCTTGCATGTCGGGAAGAGGTGGCATCGTGATTCGGAACCAAAGCAAAACACAATGGCTGCACGAAGCCCAAACAGATATGGAATGAGGTAACGATTCAACATGATACACTGCCTTGCGGGTTGAAAATAGACTTTCCGTTACCAATCCGTGTGGTTTCTGTGATCATGGGGTTGGTGGGTACTATCTAAAGTAGGTGCGTACTTAGCTGCAGGCGTACCTTGCGTTGGAAACGGAGAGCTCGGAAAGTAAGGGAATCCCAAACTCGTCGTCTACGGGGGTTGCTACACTCGAGATACACTGCGTTATCTTTGCGCTCCATGCTTGTGCTTTCAGGCTTGAGGGATAGTCTCTGATAGGAAAGCGCACCCCTTTTGCTGAGTAGGAAGGGGGTGAGCCTATCGCCGGATGACCGGAAGATTTAGATATCGAACACTTTATTATTCTGTGAAGGCGGATGACAACATGGCGCAATGATAAGGCTGAGCAGAACAAGGAAAGCTATAACGGCGGCAAAGGCAGCGTCCGCCACCACCTCCTAGTTGCCCTCGCCCTTGGCCAAGCTCCTAAATTGCGTGTAGCCTAAATGACAAAATCAGCCACTAAAATTCTACAAACTTCACGTGGCGGAGGTGTGATACTTGTGCATAGGAGGTGGAATTATCCCCCACCTCCGATTGAATGGACTCATGGTGTCATCACCGTCAACTATTAATGGCAGTCGACATTTTGGTGAAATGGTTTGCTAAATGGAATAGAGACGGAAGCAAATTGAGCATCCCCATCAGAACTAAACGTCGGTGGCTTGATCAACACAACGAGCTTGTTCGCAGTCTTGTTTGAAGACTTTCGTCCTCGTCGTTGGATGAGCGGCACGGTGACGAGTGACGCGTGGTGATGACAGTGGGCGACAGCTGGACTGCGAGTCGGTTACCTGGGTAAGGACGGCGAGATCATGGTATCCGACAGTTTGTTGCACGAGAGGTTCGGATTCGATTGCACAGAATTCATGGTCGTGGAAGAGCGTTCGCCATGGCTCGTCAGCCTCGAGGAGTTTGATATAGACACTTATTGACCCCTCTGAGATGTTCTCGCGAGGGATAGATGTGCTCGACATGAACACCGAACAACAAGGTTTCATGAAGCGTCCACCGACTAGTAGATGTAGACTTCACACGTCGCAGCTCACCAAACCCTTGCAACCCTTGCACTAAATCACTTGTCTCCATGCGTTCGCCGAAGAATCTGAGACTGCTTGGCTGAATTGGCTGAATGTTACTGTTAACGGTGACTTCTCTAGAATACGACGCTTCGAGACGACTGGTACTTGCCCACTTTCTAGTTATCGCCATGATAGTAAACGTGCGGGGTGCTTCTTGTCTTCGTGATGACGGGGTTGAAATTGTTACCAATGGACGGGTGTTCGGCCTTCAAGCTATCCGGAAAGAAGAACACCAAATCGAGAGAGAGAGAAGCACGGGTTTCTATCCGGTTCTTTCCTTCTCAAAGACATGGCCGGGGGTGTCGCATCATTAGGCCCACTATACCAACAAAGAGTCCACGTTCCGCCCACTACGTTTGACCGGTACGTATGACTACGCATCAACGTTACCACCTCCAAATTGAGGGCTCAACTCAACATTTGCTCCCCATAGCAAGCATCCCCGTGCTGCCCAATCCTCCTGGAAGGCCGATGGGGTGTGGCCTGCAATCGTCCCACTTAACAGAGCCCTTGCTAGTGTCACTCTCCGTCCTGCCAGGTGAGATATGTCGTATTTTTACCCCAAGTAGATGACCCACTGCTCAAATGGGCGCCCCATTTTTGAGGCGTTTAAACAGCTTTACAGCATCTCTGTTTCAGGGTATACAAACCATCCGGCGATCTATCTCCTCGTTTCATGATTGTTGTGGTCAGACCAGACCTCACCAAAAGGTACCTTTAAATCAGGACCCACCGCAGCTGCCCTTCGGGTTTTTTGACTAATAGCAGGGTGGTCACGGCCGTTGCCTGTCCCGACACCGAGTCCAGTCAGGACAAGCCGAGAAGGCTTGGGAGATGACGATCAGTGCTACACGTACTATGTAAGTTATGGAGGGCTGGCAGCAATTATAAGCATGACTCATCCTCTTATCATCGTACCTTTCCGCAGGTGGCTGGCACGCGCCCACTGACACATGAAGTCCGTCCAAGGGTTTGAAATTGTTGACATGCGGGAGGGGAGTTAAGACGAACACACAATCTTCCACGAGACCTCGGATTGAGGTACGAACACAATGAATGGTGAATTTATGAATGTGAGGAGATATAGACGGCGACAGAAACACATATCTTATCTCGACCGCTGTTGCCCAGGTCAGGGCAACGTGTGGCCTCATGACGTCGTACAGCCTACAAAAGGCATAATCGTGTACGTATTCGGACGCCGCGATGCCAATTCGTGAACGAAGGAACCCTGCTTCGATTCCTAGATCACAATGAGGCCGGTCTTCGAAATCCCGATTAGGGTGGTGATCGTGCAACTTCGTGCAAGCACTCGCAGACTTCTTTGCGTGATTCAGGGCAAGGGCAACGGAGTGCGTACATGGTGGAAGAGGGGTGGACAAGGATCGAAAGTTTTCAGGGCCAGTGGAAGCCAAATTTTGGAGAGAGTGGTGCGTACGTATTGGGGAGCGGGGGGTATTCGGCGGACAGGATCACTGACAAGGACACGGTGTTGACAGTTCAAGGGCCAGGGAAAGTGTGAACCCGAAGAAGTCGCAGAAATGAGAACCCGTGAGCAGGCGGCTTGTCAAGAGTTTAAAATGTTACGGTATTTATTTGTGGTGGTAACGGTGTTATAAAGCTATCTATTTAGGTTCTTTGACGCTTCGTTGCGGAGTCTGACCTCAGTTCGACCTCGTGAGCTCAATAAAGATTATATTTTACCTCCAGGGGTTGCCAGGTAAATAATAGCGCTGAAAACGTCGATTGGAACGGGAGTTTGCTGGGCGCCTATGTATGGCGATGTCGTTTTGTCTCCGACGTCCATGGCAGGTGTGGGTAAAACCTGTTGTTCTAGGTGAAATCATCAGCGCTCATCTGATGGTAGACAGCGAAATTGGTTCAAAGCCTCAGGGCGGTCAAGACAACGACAAAAGGGGTTGAGATGGTGATGCATATCGATGTCATTGGATCAAGCTTTCCCATTTTTGCACAACGCTAGCTTCCGGGGCTCAGTTTGCGAGTCTCTCAGGCGGGATATGGAAAACTTAAAATCGGATAAAGAGTGTGGGCGATGACTCGACATGGCGGTCAGGAGGACGTGGGGTGCCGATGAGGAGCTACATTGCGGGTATGTCCGAACCCGGTAGATCGGGCCCGGCATGCAACGGAAAGGTACCTGGAAGCATTCAAGTTGGCAATGGCAACCACAGGGCTCTGCCGCCCCACCATGTGAATCCAGGAAGGGATCTGTATTCTTGGAATTGGGAGGAGCAGGAAAACGTTGCGAAAGACGAGAGGAGTCTTATTTTGGAGCTATGAGTGACTAAGGCAATCACAATTAACGGACGTGGCCGACAGAAGATTTCGCGCAATCAGCATGGAAGAGGGGGTGGAGAGGAGCTATTCGCGTGGGAGCAAGCTCCGGGACTGCGCCGAACGGATGAATGAAGCCGGCGCCCGATTTGGAAGGGCCATTTTGGGGTCTAGGGCGGAGCCGGTCCAGATTTATCTCATTAGTTGCCTTTTCTGGAGAGTACCTGGGACGCGATAGAGGTAATTAAGAGTGTATATAGGTGTGAAATCGCACGCGATAAGGGCAGGGAAGTTGAGTGAATCGTCTGGAGGGGAAGGGCATCGGTTGGGCAGAGGGATTGGAGGTGAGACACAAGGCAGTGCGTGCCTGTGACAGGAGTGACAGGTGTGTGACATGTGTGACGAGATTATGCTTGGCGTGAGAAGTTTGGTCTCTTGTGGCTTGCTTTGCTGCCCTCAAAAACAGAGTCCTGATCAACTTTCCCTTTTCGCCCTCTCTGCAATTCCTTTTCCGGCCAGACTCCGTAACCACTCCTCCTCTTTTCGTCCACAACCCATATCCCGTCTCACTCCGCCGCAAGCCAAAACGTCGTCCTACACTCAAGCCTCCTACCCCGTACGTGTTTTTTTTTCTCTTGTCCTCGCTGCCCGAGACGTCCTGCGCGACCCTTGTTTTTCAATACCGCGATATCTTTTGGTTACGGTTCTCATATCTCGACGTGCTCAGACAATGCAACAGAACCCTACCTCGCCCTCGATGCGGAAGAGGCAGCGGACCCTCGACATGCACTCCGGCAACGCCAACCCTGTAGACCAGCATCCTCCGCCCCAGAGCGGCGGTCCAGTCCCCGAGGACGCGTTCATCAACGATCACGATGCAGCCGACAGCGCGGGCGAGGAGGATGAGGACGAGGACAAGCCCAAGTCGGACAAGAAGGCTGGTCGAAGAAAGATTAAAATCGAGTTCATCCAGGACAAGTCGAGGCGCCATATCACGTTCTCCAAAAGGAAGGCTGGTATGTCTCACACCCTTCACTACCCATGCCTGCTTCCTCACATGCCTATTTACAGGTATTATGAAAAAGGTAATTCCTATTCCCAATTTGTGCGACCTCAAAACTTAGTCAAAACTTTAGGCATACGAGTTGTCGACATTGACTGGCACTCAAGTCCTTCTACTCGTCGTGTCCGAGACTGGTCTGGTATATACTTTCACCACCGCGAAGCTCCAACCCCTCGTCACCCAGCCCGAAGGCAAGAACCTTATTCAAGCTTGCCTCAACGCCCCTCATGGATCCCTCCCATCGAGCATGCCTGTCGGGCCACCCATTGGGCGCACCTCGGGGCCCATGATCCCTCCGGTTCCACCCCCACCCAGCAATCTCCCCGGCGGTCTCTCCATCGGTAGCCAGAACCCGGGAAACCTTTCCAAGGACGATGCTGACGATGACCACGACGACGACGCTGCCACTCATGGTGGACGCCCCAACGCTGGCGATAAACGTCGTCGCCGTGCTTCCTCCACAACGGGTCCTCCACCAGGCAGTGCTGGTAGTCGCGGGCAGACATCTCCTCATTCCCCCAATGCGGCTGTACCTCCTCCGCTCAACATCCCTCCTGGATCTCAGCCAGGATCCCAACAACACTCCTCGCACCAACAAAGCAACGCTCAATCACAAATCGCGCTCGGATCCCCCACCTCCCCTCAGCAACAGCACACCCAGGTGCCCGCCTCATCCACCCAGTACTCTTCTGGTTCGTATGGACACCATCCCGGCCAACAGCCGGCACACCACCAGCAACACGATGCTGGAATGTACTCGGGTCATATGATGTCCCCCGGAGCCTACTCTTATCCTCCACCAGGAGGTCCTAACGCTCAGGGGGGACCAGGCCAGCAGCAGCTTGGTGGTCTTGCCGCAGCTGCTGCGTCACATGGCCACTGGGGTCAAGCTCCACAGCAGCCAGTTGGCCAGAGTGGCCACTATGGCAGGAGATAATAGAGCGGGACTTGCACAGCGCTTTCATTCCCCCTTTCTCTCTTTACTGGTGTTCCCGATCGCTCGTACTCACGTCCCCATTCCAAGTTCTTCTGTTTATGTCCTCTCTATCCATATGCTATCCTCTTCCTCGCTTTGCGTGTTGGTCGAAGTAGTTTCCGTTCTGTTACGAGTCAACTGTATCAACCAATCCCCATCTGCTTTCCTTTCTCTTCAGTCACGATTTCCGTCTCTTTTTTATGATTTCCTCGATGCGATCGATACAGTAGTAATGCAGGGCAATGATGATTCAAGTACAATTGTATCACTACGCTTTTATAGCATATGTAACTTTCTTAGTTTCCTGTACTCCTTTGGGAGCCCAGCTTTACGATTTACATTGGCTGGGTTTCGTTCCTCCAGCGATAATGGATAGCCCTGTGTATATAAAATGTACTGTCTCAATACGTGACGTAGAATGAATGTATACCCGAATGACGACCTGGCCAACAAACCCCTCTCGTCCGTCGAGGAGTCGATGAGCGACCCACTTTCGTCCTCATCCCATTTCACTTACTCTTTCCTTTTTGTGCGGTGGGACCTACATGGGTCTACTCCCTGTGGTTAAACTCGATTCGGACAGCCATGTAACCGCCACGCGAGAGCGGAAGCACCCTCAACGATCGATGGGGAGTAAGGTACCATAAAAGTCCAAAGCGCCCGAGAAACCAAGAATGGTTCACGGTTTCGAGGGATGATGATGATGATGATTGGCGAACGAACTGAGCCAGTGATTTTTAGCTCGCCTTCCAGTTTTGTCACTGACGTCCATTTCGAGGTTGAGCATCGTGCAAGCAACAAAGGGGCCGGCGGGATGATGATGATCGACAACGATGGTTGAACTGAAGGGGAAAGACTTTCCTGGCTTTACTCGATATGGATGGGGGTAACACATCGGTTTCCGAGCTGTTTGCGACGGTTACGCTAGCCTGAGCTACGGTTCGCCTGGCGCTTGGAGCTGAGTACTTCGTTGACTGGCCAGCCATGCCTAGATAGACATGGGCAAGGTCTTTCAAGTTGTGTTCAAGTCTTCATATGTCTAGTCTTTGGAAACTCTGACCAACTTCCCCAGTGGAGGGCGCGGTTCAACTTCGCAAGAGACACCAATATACGGAGACGTGCACCGAAGCTGAGCCATTCTAGTACTTTCGAAATGTCACCAGGGGCAAGGTCGATTGATATATCTCTGTGTGCATAGATTTGTTTCAAGGGTACGACAAGGGCCTCTGGCGTGAGTCCCAGCCAGCCATCATGGGCTCGTGAAGGGAAAGAAGAACCCATACCAGGCGATCGCGACATAATGGCGAGCGCTTAACGCTGTAACACCATGAGTCACGAAGTTGTAAGTGCATCCAAAGGGTGTTTCATTAATTCATTCTTTGGCCTTCCGCCATTCTTGTTGCTGGGTTCCATCACGAAGAAGCAATGACTGTAGACTGGGTGACTATCATTGACATTAAACCCGACGACAGTCGCCGTCGAATCATCTCTGAAGAGTTTCTCTAATCCATAAGATACTAGTGCGCGTGGAATCGACTTACTTCTCGCAACCTCCATCATGGGCTAGACAATATCATGGCTTCCTTTCCCACTCTGCTTGATTCTAATCCGAGCATACGGTCGTGGAGGGGGGTACCACAGAGTAACACTCGGCCCATAAAACTCTGGGCAACACGAAGTCCCAAGCGCGCGTTAGAAGAGAAGGCAGGAAGGATGTGCCTTCTCGCTTTCTATCAATTTATGACCATATATGGTGCTCAGGCTTCCAGGTCGCCCTGATCTCCAGAGAAAAGAAGGAGTATAATGCGCGTGAGGATGTTGGGTCAAACAACCCGTGACACGCGTGAAGCCGTAATTATCTGTTCTTCGGAGGGGTTCTCTGCTTCTATGGCGAAGTCACCTTAGGAAGATAGCGGAAGAAACGGATCGAAGCCTTGTTTGAGGTGCTGCTTATTTGTCAGATAAAGTGAGTGAAAAATGAGATTGCGGAGGGGGAGAAGAAGGGGGTCGCCTAAAGCCGGGCTTGGTATGAGGTGGGTTCTTTGTAGGTACCCCTTTTGGACATCCGGTATCTTCCCTCAAACCCACATACAATCATGTGGATTTGCCTCCGCTCAATATACACAGCTAATTCCCTTACCTCTGCCTTGGTTTTCATCACCTCGAATATAGATAGCGACTGGTCATGAGACGAGGCTCGTTTGAATCCAAGAAGAGTTCTGGGTGTTCGGACTGACGGCACACTTGGAATTCTCCTGCTGCGCTTCAAGGGCACGGGGTTGTGTGTAAGAATGTCATTGGTCGATTGGAATACTCGTGGCTCCCTTCAAGCTTCTCAGTAGTGCGGCGTGAACACCCCGTTTGAGGATAGTTTGGGGTATGGTTGTCTGATCTACATTATGGCGCTTATCTCCTCAGAAGCTGTCTAGCTCAGCCTAGCCAGTGCCCATCTGTGGCAGCGGCAACGATTTCTCTCTGATTCTCTGCGGGCAAGAAAAGGACTTCCATTTTGGTCAGCAATCGGAGCGTGCGGCACAGTTGCCTTACCTCGTCACCGCCGTCTCTGGCCTTCCATCGATATCCCAGACCAGGGGACTCGATCTTACTTCAAGTGAACGGTGATAGCCTGAAGAAGCGGTCAATGAGCCCGTCGTATATGTGACGACAGAATAATGGGGTCTGTTTTCAAGCCATCACCTTATCAACACACTGCAGATGTGCTGTGCTAAGTCTGTTCATCACATCGCTTAAAGTTGTACTAATACCAGTCACAGTGGACCCGAGTTCTCCTTCTGGGCCCAAGTCTGGATGCGCAGGACAGCCCATACCGCTTTACACCTCTGCACCGTGCATGTTCTTGACGTAGAATCTAATATTGATATATCATGTTGTATATATCCTCCATTTTGCATGTCCTGATGTATCCAAAGCCCTGTCTATGGTGCTGTTTTTTATACTACTAGGTAGACAAGAAATGTCCCAGGGAGTGTGCTCCAGTGGTCCTCTTTCGGAACCACAATATATTATTTGTGTGAGATGTGATGTGTGGGCAAATTGACACTGGGTTTTGACCTCCAATCCTCAATTCTGATTCACGACACAACAGACTCGGCAAGAGAGAACGACTGTGCCGTGGGATTCCCGTGCGGCTGAAATGATCCGCTGGTGATTCCATCGTTCGATGCGTTGGTGCTTCAATCCTCTCGACTTACCCTGCCTTCAAATGCGGATCATCCGCCGGTCTAACTCACCAGGGATGGACAATGGTCCCGTATCCAGTCTCTGGAGTAGCTTCCTCTGCACCACCCAAGAGCGTTCTACTGATGCCAAAAGGTTTGGTTGTCACCAGCCGGACAATCCTGAACGTTTCAGCGGCCAACAATCTCGATAAACAAAAACAAAGGACAAAGTACTGCGATCAATTGTCAAAGCGGCTCGATCCCGAGTGGCATTGGTCGTCTCGCAGCAATTGGCCAATCGCTCTCCTCTGGGCGACAATGCGAATTCGAGGACGAAACGCATGTATAGACACAGACGTGCACCGACATCTCTACTGTCCTTCGGAAACATGCCTTGTGTCTGCGTGGAAGAATCCAAAGCGGGTTATGCATGTTTGACTGGGCCGCGTTTGATGCCACAAGTGGGCTGCGCCACGCGCGTCTCACCGACGGACAATGGACAAAGCATAGCGCCCTTAGGTCCAAGCCACCTTAACTACCGATATGGAAATGGTTGGTTTCGAGGACCCTGAGCCTCTTAAGCAGCAATTTTCCAACCTGGACTGGTTTTTCTCCGACCACCACTATCTATTACGACCATGGCCAGTGCTCTGCCCAGGCGCGGCACATTTCCGCATTCAACTTCCCCACAACGTACTCAATCGTCGACTTCACCCAAGAATCGTCAGTCGACCGGTCAAGTTGGCGTCACTGCAACCCTCGCCGAGCTCTCCGGAAAGGTTAACCTCAACTCGAGGGCATGGGCGAAATACTCGAATAGGACCCATAGCGTCCATACCTCTGATGCTCTACCTTCGGGGTCCCAGGACGATATCACTGGTCAGGCTCTATTTCTACGATCTCGATTTCCGGCAATATACACGACTTTGGAGCTCTTGACTCGCTCTGAGGGTCGCAATGATTTTGACTCTTTTCGCGGGGTCGCATCCGCCTTCTACACTATCTACATCAACACGTTCGAGGAGCTCAAAAGATTCTCCCAGGAAGTCCCGAAATCCCAAGAGCTTTTAGACTGCTTGGAATCGGGCGCGAGTATTGGGAGGCTTTTCAAAGCATCGATTGAGATTCTCGAGGAACAAGGTCGATCTATCTCGAATCCCTTCGATGCTTTATCACAGCAAGCACACTTCTGTGTGAAGAGGCTCGAGATCATCTACAGAAAGCTTCAGCTCACCCCCGACTACGACATAAACAAGGACCTACCCGGTCTACCCTCGCAGGGAACCGTGCAAGGTTCGAGGCCAACGCTGCGACCCAATGTCGCTCGCACCATGCAGCCGTCTGTTCAGGCGCCCGTTTCCAAATCACTCCCCACCAGACACACGCGACAATCATCCACGGAAACCAACACCTCTGCGCGAACTCATCCAGCTCAGAGCTCCAGGGATTCCTCGTCGACTTTCGTCGCGTCATCTCTGGGCCACTCCCGTTCGCCATCTACGGACACCAGGGCTTCGTCGACCTCCAGCCTTCGTCGGGGCATGCTTGGAGTGCAGCCTACAGCATCTTCTTCGAAGCTCAGACTTGCGGCCGGGAAAGCTGTAGACGCAATGTCCAAATTGAGAAGTAGGAATCAATCGACGGCTACTCTTTCCGAGACCATGGCTGGTCCGGAAATACCTCATTACCTCGCCAATATTGAAGACGTCGAGGACATGGACGACCTTTGTTATCGTAACCGCCGATCCTATTCTAGGGACTCTACCCTCTCCATCGACGAAGAAGTCCTCCGGACATTCGAAACCGCTCAACGACCGACTTCAGTGGCCTACGACCCTGCAGGAAAACCACACGCCGCCAGTATCCATTCTCTTATCACGATCCTCACCACGCGACAGAAAGACCTTACCATCTATCTCCAAACCCTCAGCACCCTTTTTTCGTCCTTCCGGCTGTTCACGACCCCGCGACAACTGTTCGAGGTTTTGATTAACCGCTTCGAAGAGACAGGCCCTGACGTCGTGGACAAGCAGCAAGCGTTCCTATGGGTCGCCGAAACGCGTCGAATTCGCAACCGAGTCGTCAAGATTTTCACCTATTGGCTGGATCAACATTACGACTCGGTCCACGATACGGATATCGTCGAAGAGATTTCCCATTACTTCGAGGCCCCCATTATGACGGAACTGGTTCATTCAGATGTCCTTGCCGAGCTTATCAAGAAGATTCGTGCAATCGAGGCCCCAACACCAAACCCGACACCCACACAAGCTACCTTCCAGCCGAAGAGGAGGGTTCTGCGAACATTCGCCCCCCGGAAGACTATTTTGCCCAACGAAGAGTTCTTTGTACAGATCATGACTTACAACCACCCGCGGGCCCGGAAGGAGTTTGCACAGCAACTCACAATCGCCATGTCCGACATGTACAGCCGTATCACTGCTCTTGGTATGTTGAAGTTTCTCTTGCTGAAGCCAGAGGAGAGGCGCGCTATGGAGGCGAGTAGGGAATGTCAAAGCAAGGAAATACGTGACATTCTCGCCGTCCAGGACATGGAAGATGGCCTGAGCATGTGGGTCACGTATACCATCGTGAAGCAACAAGAGCGGCAACAACGTGTCGACCTGATTGTATTTTTCCTCGATGTTGCAATGGTACGTTCAGTTCTGACCTCTCATATTGGAAAGCATTATTCATTTTACTTCACAGTACCTATTAAACCATCGCGACTTTAGCAGTTGCTATTGCATCTACAGTGGCGTGGCCCATTCAGCCATTGAGCAAATGAAGGAGACTGTGGTGGTGAGTTTCGTCCTTTTAGTTCTCAATCGCGACATTCCTTGCTGATATATGGCCCCAGTGCGTCCCTAAGGACAGCAAAGCACAATACCACAAGTTGAAGGATTTCTTTCGGCAAGAAGACAACTACTCCCATGTTCGCCAGGCGATGAAAATCGTCGGAACCCCAATGGTCCCTCTTCTAGGCGAGTAGTTCGACTCTTTTTGTTAACAGCTTGGTTTCTGACACCAGTGTTAGCCCCCCTCAAACACGACGTCGGTCGTTCACCAGCATTTGGAAAGAAGACTGTCAACATTACTACAGAAGGGACCAACGAGGATAAGGAACTGATCAACCTTCGGTACTATGGCGTGCTCACCAAAGAGGCGGATAGTAAGCTCTCTTCCTTGCGACGTTTTCCTACCTGACGCTGAACTCGATGTTTTAGGTCTCAAGCGACAGCCCCCTTACAAGTTCCAACCTGACGAGACCTTCCAGGTGTGGCTGTTTAGCCACCTTCGTCGGTTCCTTGACGCCAACGAACGTCTGCCATTCCACGTACAATTCAAATTCCATGCCCGAGGGTAAGTCTTATCAATTCATCTAGATCATATATGGTATTGAAGTTGCTTATAGGAGAAAGCGCGAGGCCAAGAATCCTGATCTGGCCTTTGTATCGGCCGACCAGCTAACCCCGTGGCATTTTGTTCCCAAGAGCAAGGGTAAACCTGAGTTCAATCAAAAAGGACTCGCTTTACTCGATGCGAAGGAACTGTCTGTGTCTGCAACCATTCTTCAGCGTTCCCTCTCCGACCTGTACTCGTTCTCCAAGTTGACCAGGAAAACGAAGAAGTCTTGATGGCCAGGTCCACCACAAGTACCAGTAACGACCTCTGAATCTATACTCTACACTCGTTGAACATTCTCTTTCGCAATCCTCACCTGTATTTTTAGTTGAATTGGCAAGCCACATCCACGCTCATTAAGCTTTTTGACCAATCTCTCTAACGACGTTCACGCTCTCTACGTTGATCCAGTTTCTCCTTTCAACACTCCGTCGCATCTCCTAGAGGGCCAATCCACTGTAGCAATTATTAGTATAGCCGTTGTTGTATATCCCGAATTGATAGTGAATTTCCCTTCTCAGTCAGGGTATCTGTGCTGAATTCGAGGCCGGTGCTGCGTTGAGGAATGCGTAGCGAAGACATATGACATAGAGGGCATGAGATAATGGCATGAAGTGTGATGTATAATGTCAAGTAGTACTTTGCTTAAGCACGAGCAGCCTCGATTCTCCTTCGAGCAACCTGTCGGCGGTTCAGGCTGCTTAGTGATGTGGTGGCGACCTTGTCGGTGGCCTTCTTGACCTCAACATCGGGAGCGGAGAGGATGATTTCGACGTGGCAGGGGTGACCCTGGTAAGGGTTGATTCGACCGTGCGCTCGGTAGGTGCGGCGGCGGGTTTTCTAAACGGAACGCAGTGAGTCTCTTCAGGAATAGATATCACGGCTCATCGCGACGTACGGGAGCCTGTTGCACAACGATGTTCTTGATAACAAGACCCTCAACATCGATGTTCTTAGCGTCCGCGTTGGACTCGGCGTTCTTGAGCAGACGGGTAATGAATTTGATGGACTTCTCGGGCCAGCGACCTATACACTCGGTAAATCTCCTGTCGATTCAAAAAAGTTACAATATGGCGCACCTTTAGTGGTCTTGAACTCCTTAGCCTGACCCGTTCGTCCAATACCGCCAGCAAATCGTCGGAAGGGGATCACACGCTTGTGGTCCTTGACATCGGAAAGGTAGGCATACGCCTTCTGGAGCTCAAGACCTGCGGTTTCCTAGATCAGTCTCCCAAATTCACTATTTCCAACTAATCAGGACTTCTAACCAGTGAGAGCGGCCGCCACTTCGCGCATGTTCTTGAAGTGAGTGCGCAAGTACTCGCCGCGTGCGCGGGAGGCTATAGAACCAGGAAATTTCAGCATTGGGGTTGCAGATGGACGGACAGAGGCGATTCTCACTCTTTTCGGGGTTGGTGGCAAGAGCGGCAGCAGCGTAGCGTACTGTAGCATAGGTTCGACATCAGAGACCACTTCGGCACGACGACGGACAGCGAGGACGTACCCATTTTGAGTCTTGAGGATGGCGGCCGCGTTATCGACAACAATGGGCAGCGTTTGGTGTTTGGATTACATAATGGTGGCTTGGGTACTGTACAGTTACTGATGGCCGTCGCCGGATCTGATGTCATTCAAACTCCCAATTCTGAGCGCCTCTCCCTTTTCTAGACTTTGAACCATGAAAACGAATTTTACAGATATACAGGGAAGGAATGTACATGACTACGAAGCAAAACCGACTATCCTACTTCTGGGCTCTAAACTGAATGCTGGTTTGTCCTCTGTTTTTGCAGTAACCGTTCGCGGAGGCGGGCTGCTAATTCCGTCGTCGCCATCCGACTCGTCACTCTCGCCATGTCTGCTCGGCAGTCGACCGAACACGCTATGTCGAAGAGGATCGACCTTGGGTGGTTGGTGGCTTGGAGAAGACTCGAGCTTTTTCGCAGCATCATCAAAGGCGGCTCTCAGTTCTGGGTTAAGTTCAAGATTGAACAGATCGACGATGTAGCGCCGAACAGGGAACCGATATCGTTGTGTCGAGATGATATGGAGAGCGCGGTAAAACATTTCCGGCGATTGGAACGCGGCCTTGCTCTCGCTTTTGACCTTCAACCGTGCTAGTGAACGAGAGGCAGCATTTGCGATTACAGTGTTCGCGAGGTTCTGGATGGCAGTGATGATCTCGATTTCGTGATCGGCCGTTGGGGGCAAGAGTCGTGGTTCGCGCGATATTGGAACCTTTGGCACCCAAGGGGCAATCTGAAGGGAGAGGTCAGGCCAAAGGGAGGCGGCGGCTGGGAGACAACTCACTGAGAGGAATCGGTCAACATCGGCAGGGATACATATTCCGGTTGGGAAGCCCAGTGGAGACAGCGTTGACTCCCAGTGGTAGTCGTCGAGGATTTCAGCACCTTGCGACGTACACGAGATCAGTCCGAGAACGAAGAAACATGTTCTGTAGATACCGATTAGTTGAGGCTATCACATCAAAGCCCGGAAGAACACACCCTCTAACTGAAGGAATGGGCGATCGTTCCAGGATCTCAAGTACCGCCGGGATAACTTCCTCCTCTTCCAGGAAGTGCAGACCGCCTTCCGTAGCGCCAACATTACCCTACAAGGAGTGCTCAGTACCAGCCCAGGCTCCATTAACACCAAACTTACCACAGCCCAAAGAATGCTCTTCAACTTCATAATAAGATCCGGGTCTTCACTCTCATGACTATGTTGACGAATGAACTGAGCGAAATCACTGAAATGTCCTTTTTCTTGAAGAATTTGGCATCCTAATTCCGTCTTCGACATTTCACCATAGAAATGGGGTGGGACAGTTCCATCGAACGCCCTAGCATTTCAACAAGGTCAGCAAAACTCGGAAAGATAATGAGAGCTTTGACTTACAACAAGTCGTCATCGTCGTCTTGATTTGATCCTGCGCTAAACACCTTGGCCAAAAAGACCTCCACCTGTACAACGTAATAGATGTTGCGTTCCTGTAAGAAAAGTGTCAGCGACGCAAATTGCACATCGAAGACCCAAGACTGACATTAAACCAAATATCCATCTCCCTATCAATATATCCAGCATCATAGAGGTATCTGAATCCCATAGGCGTCGACATGAATTTAAGCAAGAGCGGATGGCCGATTTCCCCCAGGTGGTCCATCGTAGGCTGCATTTCCACTAGAAGCTGGAGAATCTCCTTGGACTCGCAAGCTTCTTCCAAAAAATGTACCGCAAGTTCGCACACTTCGGTGGCTGGATCATAAAGTTGGGTGAGCAGTAATCGTAGAGTCCAGGCGTTTGCAGTCGGAGAGTTGCGAATCAACAACCCGAGATGTCGAGTAGCATAGAGTCGAATATGCTGAGGGAATTGAATGAGCTAAGGAAAGGGACAAAAAGGTCCAGGATGATTATTCACCTTGTAGCTCGACGTCAATGCCTTGGACAAGACAATCCTGGAATGACCGTCACTGAAAAGAACATCAATTTCCAGTCAAGGCGAAAGGTCGGTAAAGCGCACATGCTATAATCCAAGTTGTCAACGATGCCTTTGATCAGGTCCTCTCTGCTTCGGAGTTCACTGAGATGGTAGAACGCAGTGAAGATCTTGAACTTCTCCAGCAACTCGATCCCGTCTTTATACTTGCTCAGTGTTCCCAGCATTTCGAGGTATCCATAGGTCAGCGTGTCCGCCACCCTCTTCTTCGAGAAGATGGGATCCGTCTCCGAGCCACCGTTGAACTTGCAGGGGGGAGTCAGCATGGCGAAAATCGAGTAGTCGACCAGATGCACTTACAGGGTCAAGTTGGGCAAACGCCCTTGTGATTTGCGACAGAAGCTGATCTTCTGTCGAGAGATACTTCACTCCCTCCGCGGTAGCCATTAAAGTGTTCATAAGCGAGCAGCCCAACCGTACCCAACGGGTATTCAGCTAAACAAGGGCATCCTTAGCTCAAGCATTGCAGTCATGCTAAAAGAGACACTCACCTTTGTCCGCTTCATATCAGAAAAACGGCGGTTGAAGGGTAGGTAGAAAGACATCAAACGACGAATAAAACGCGAAACGCGCGTGGCTTCTTCCATGCGTTTCGGCGATAGCAGTGGCCCTTCGATGAGAGCCTGGAGAGCTTCGAAGTTCCACTTAGTATGGTCCTTCGTCAAGATGACCTAAATAGTCCACAAGTCAGCACTGAACCCCACCATTGCTCCTGCCACCCGTGCCTACCTGCGTCTCCAGCATCGCGGTCTGGAACGTCTTGTCATCCATCTGCATACTCATCTTCAACTTGGCCTGCTCTACGTGTCTCTGGCCCCGTCGAACAGCATCCTCCACTGAGTTGGCCCGTGGCCGAGGGTTGTTTTTCATATTGTTGGTTTCAAGCCGGGCTTTATTCCGGTTGAAACTGTCGATGGCTGAGACAGCAGATGTGCCCACTATACGATGTTCTTTGTTTGCATAGTCGGTAGCCATGGCAAAGATTTGAGGGATCGCCTAGAGGTGAACGGTACTGGGTTGATTGTCTGCTGGGAACATGTGAAGCCATTACGTACCTGAATCTTCCCGGCAACAGATAGAGGAAGAACACGATTGCTCATGGCAAGTATTTCCGCCATCAGGAGCGTAGCTTTGCGAGAGAGATTGGTGCCCATTGTGGTCTCCTCCATCATGGATGTTAAAGCCTGCATAGAAAATCAGTTTGGGTTCTTTCAGAATGCATAGAGTACTGACATCGCAAAGACCGGCATTCGTCAATATCACCACCAGGAGAGCAAGGTACTGATCTGTGAGCTTAAGTGTTTGGTGCGGTCGATCAGGATTCTCCGGTTCCTTTTGCTGATTTTGGTGTCTGCTCCTTCGTCGATACACTGGCAAAGCCGGTTAGAACAAGCAAACGCATAGCCGAATGTTTGTACGCACTCGTTAGCCTTCGTCCATCAATGAATGTCTTGTACCATTCTGGAGTCTTGATGTTCAGTAGGTCGAAAAACATGTCAAGGATCACGTCCTATTTCTCTGCCTGAGTTTGTCATCCTCGAGAAGGGGAAAATCAAACCTACTCTGGTCTCAAGAGATGGTATCCGCAGGGTGTCGACCAAAGATCGGATTGCTCGCATATCGTCGAGACAGAAATACATTAAACCTGTAGCAGTTTGGCGCCAACTCGATCTAGCCGCACTGTCGGTACTCACCACTCCATGTTCGTAACATGAGCTGGACGACCTTTGCACATGCCTTAATCTTGTCTCGTTGGTCAGGACCCTTTCCATACGCATCGGTTATTGCAGAGAGCGCCAACTAGACACTGGGGTCAGTAAACAAGAATGAACGCGGAACCATGAGATACGGTACCTCCAGGTCTGTTCCTACACACAAGTAAACTCTGGTACGTGGGGAATCCACGATGTGCAAGAAAGCAGAAGCTATGATCGGGGTAAGCTCGCTCGGGCCCTCTCCAAGGACATGTAGCAAAACTTTGAATCCTCCAGAGCGTACCAACAACTCGATATCCATGAGAACTAACATTCGAATGAATAAGCACGAATTCGGTCTGAATAATAATAATAATCATTCGACTTACGGATTTCCGTTAACGTCTGTATACATATCGGGCGGAATGGGTCTTCGGGGTGCTCGGCGACGGCAATGATGGCTCGCATGACCACTTCAGATAACTGAACGTTGCCCATACTGACATTGGTAGCGATTGATCCATCTCGGTGGGTTGTGCTGACTTCGATGATTGTTCGAATTAATTTCAAGGCTTGCTCCTTTTCTTGGGCATGTTTATTATCTCGCTGCAGCGACCTAATGATGTTGAGACGGGTAGAAATGGACTGTAAAGAAGGGTGCTTACTTGACAAAGTACCAGTCAAGTGACCTTCCGAGCTGGGTGACTGCTTCGCTATCGACGAGAGCTTGCCTGATCAGTCGGTACGCTACCGCACGGCAATGTTTTGAGCATTTGTCCGCCAAACAAGGTTCGACCCTGGCGGATGAGTCAACATCACGAGAAGAAGGTTACAGATAATCTGTGCTAACGTTTTGAGGAGATCACTGGTTTTCAGCTCGTATCGAACTCGTAGATGCCTTCGCAATATGTCTGTGAGCTTGTTCATCAAGGAAACGCGTCTGCGATCCGTTTCTATAGCTTCAGCCGTCTTCATATCTCCTGATGAAGACGATTCGCCTTTACTGGAGCCTGATGAACTTTGGGTGATGGAATCCAATTCGCGTAGACATGTAATCGCGTTCTGGAGTGCGGTCCTGAAGTCCTCACCGCCTATCGCTTGATTCAGTCAGCTCGCAATGTATCAAGGCCTGATTGATACGCACTCTTTTCGTCCGTGTCTTTCCCATTCCGCAGGTTTGAAACACTAGCCTTGGCTTGCAGCTTTTGTTGCGCGGCGGCTGTCGCCTGCTGTTTTGACCGCGATGATTCTGTGTTCCTGGGTAAGCGGTCGTATATACGAGTCAAAAAGCTGTCTAATCACGTAAATCAATGTGTTTCTGGATAGCTTCAATCTTGTTATTGGCCATATCCAACTCTGATTCGACTTGCTGGCGAACCGAGGACTGTGGAAAGGAATATTAAGGGGGCGGGACAACGGTTGTGCAACGACAGAGAGACCTACAGCTAATTGCATATCCAAGAGGTTCTCGGCGCCTTCCTTAATCCGGTTCTGCAGCACGAGGTGTTCATTGAGGATTGCTAGCTGTGGGATTTCGGAGAAGTCAGCTCCTGGAGGGCAGGTGGACAGTCGAAAGGGATTGTGCTGACCTGCTCGGTGGGATCCCTTCCTTCGAGCTCAGTCCTTGCGATACCTGTAGCGTGGTCGACGACGCTGCTCCCGTTCACCAGGGTGACACCGCTGGGCGCTGACGTCGTCAGATGGGATATGGTTCCGGAAGCGGGCATTGTGAATTTCCTAGTTGTATGTGAATTGGACTAGGCACACGATCTTGGGTTGTATATCGCTCGCGTTTGAGGCAAGAACGTGAGATTGGATAGTGTGGGCGGGTTAAGATTGTGTGTGCAGTGGTCGAGGTACGCCCGGAAGCATCGATGTTGCAGCAGAGCTCAAATTGGCCAATGAACCGAGCGGCTACGACGGTCCGTCGATTGGAAATCGCTGTTTTGGATTCCGGTCGACGGTGACGGTTTCGCGTTATTCGCTGTGCAGAACGGCGGCGGCGAAGGTGCTGGCGTTCTTATTAAATGGGAGAATATAGGTGGCTGGAGGTTCAGGCGGTGGCCGACAACGAACTGAGTGTTGAGCTCAGAGATCGTCGGTGGTCGGAGGCGACGGGCTCGGCACGTAACAAGTACAAACAGAGGCTGCCAACGCCGAGTCTTCCCTGCGCTCATCGTTCTCCACAACGACCATGTCCCTTCTTCGCGCTGCCCAAGCCGTGGCTCGGCCTGGCGCGGGTCTTCGCACCACTGTCGGTGCTCGTTTCAACTCTAGCAAGTCGGACCCCACTCCAGCTACATCGACCAAGGACTCGGCAGTGGTTCCAACTCCCCCTCCTACCGAAGAAATCCTCGCTGCTGATACCATTAGTGGCGCTCCTAGTTCGTCCACCAGTTTATCCAGGGGTTGCCTAATGCTAAAGTAATTCCTGTAGCTGAATTGAGGCAGCGTGTTGTTCGAATTTACCAGCCAACCCGAAACACTATGCAAAGCGGCTCCGGAAAGACCGAACGTTGGAGGATAGACTTTGACATCTTGCCTGGAGGTTCTCGGTGGGAGAACCCCCTCATGGGTTGGGCCAGCTCGTGCGTACAAAGCTTCAAACGACAGCTACAGCTCTCTGATTTTATATCACAGTGCCGACTACATGCAGGGTACCCGGCTTACATTCAGGTCCAAGGAGGACGCGGCCCATTTCGCAGAAAAGCAGGGTGAGTTTGGTATAGCACATGTTGCCCCCATTCGTTACTAACTATAGAGTGTAGGATGGGACTACTATGTGTGCGTTTTCGATGAAAATGGACGGAGGCAACTGTTTCCTAACTTCAATTTACAGCCAACCTCCGGAAGTCAAGCGTATCCCCCCCAAGAATTATGCCGAGAACTTTGTCTACAAGCCTCACAAGCTCCGTATCATGAGGACCAAATAACGAGCCAACTGTTTCGATTAGTAGAAACCTCTGCTTTCTTGTCCACATCCACATCCGCTTCGAGCTACCGTCGCGTCGCAGGGGTTCCCAAGGCCGTTCATACAGGGCCAATGATAGACATGTTGGTTAGTAGACTCTGGCTTCTGATAGATAGGCGAATAAGATTCCTTGTTCTTGCCATTCGAGATTTGGGTGAGACTTTGCGGGTGACCGATTTGGGGTGCTCGGGGATAAGGGAGGGTGGGAAACTGTAGAAGCCAAGATTGGGCAACGACTGGCCTTGTGCATTGTGGGTCGACAACGAAGCCACCTGGTTTATAATTCGCCAGTTCTAAATGCTACTTTCTTGCCTCTTATCCACATAGTTTTGAGGTAGTAGCATGGGCGATATCCAGACCAGGCCCTTTTCCAAGAACTATAGGTGCGTCTGACAATTCAGTTACTCCCGTTCTCCTCTTGGCTTAGCTTGGGAACATCCTTACTTTCTCTGTATCGCAGTGGGCTAATAAACCAGACCGTTATTGGACTCGGAATCACCTTTCTATGCGTCGGTGCTCAAGAATGGATGAAAAGGAGGAGAAGAGCGGGCTTGAAGGTCCCTCAGGCGACAGGCAATGGTCTTGGGAGTCGGGAGACTTGGGAGTTTGGATAGTACGTCGTGTGTCTTCGCTCAAAGTTCATAACTGACCGTTCGCAGCCTCTATAACGGTAGATCATGGGCAAGGTGCATATTCTTGTTCAGAAAATCAGGCAGGAGGCTCACCATCAGGTTCCAGGTTCCCCTCACCACCGTCGCCGACAGGCTGGCCGCTTTCATGGGTGAAACAGATCGTCAGGTTTCCAGAGGACGAGTTGCACAAGCTGAGAGGCGTGGACGCCACGCTGTACGTTCGTTTCCTCCGTGGATGCTGTGAGTCTCGATTCTCTGTTCAATTTGGAACTATTGTAAACTCTTTGACCAGTCTATTTTGCGCTGCTCCACACATTCACGACGTTCCCCATCTTGTTCCCCATCCATGTCAAATTCTCCGACGACGAAATCCCCTCCAAATCAATGACAAGAGCCTCTATATCTTCGCTTGTGACGACAGATAAAGGCCTTTCCGTCCTCTGGATCCACATGTGCCTATTATTCTGGGTGACCCTCTCCTGGATGGCTACCCTGATATGGGTATGCGACGGTGCCTTCCGCCTACGTGCAAAGACTACACAGAAACTGGCAGCGAAACGGAAAACGTTCCTCCAGAACCCCGAGTCTGTCGACACAGGCATTTACCAACACCCTCATCCGCAATACGCCTTCCAAGACATCCCGACACACGACCGCAATCACCCCAACTTTGGGCTACGCCTTCGAACAGTCATGGTTTCCAATGTCCCCAGCCAACTACGCGATGAAAAGGTCCTCAAAGAGTACTTTGAATACTATCTTTCTCGCAAGATCGAAAAGCCCAGCATGGGCCTCACATCCTCTGTACAACCCGGATTCATCAACAAGTCGGTTGCTTTCCTTTTCAACAAGGCCAAAAGGATTCCTGCGCATCTACCGGAGGTTCTCTTGCCTGGAAAGAGCGAGGATGAATCGGGAGATGAAACGAAGCGCTCCAGTTCACGAAGCAGCATGCAGCCTCCTGTTATCGAGCGGGTGGTTGTCGCGCGCAAGATGACAGAATTGGCATCACTCCTGGAACGCAGGGAAGAGATCCTGCGACTTCTGGAGACGGCTCATATCAAACTCGCTACAAAAGCTCTCGCGGCTGCCAAAGAAGCTATGACCAGGAAGGATGGCAAGAAGCCTGTCCAAATCGCGTCATCAAAGGCCGCCGAAGCGGCGAGGAAGCGGAGGTCGGAGCATGTGCCAGATTTGGAACGCGGAGAGGGCGGGGTGGCGTGTTTGAACGACGAAGAGCAGCTCGATAAGCTCGTTGAGACACTTGGGCCATTCGTCCGTGAGCTCGAGTCTGAGCTTCCGCGTGGTACGCTCAGAAAGCCTAAGCGGAGAATGTCGAAGCAGAGTTTCCAGCGGTTGACCCAGCAATCGCCGACTTCAAGCGCGAACAGCTCAGATACGGAGGAACACACCAAGTACCCACCCGATAAGAAACGGCGGAGGAAGTCGACGAGGGGACATCCGACAGTGTGGGACGCACTCCTCAGTCTTCCCCGTGACATTCTCGACCCCTACCAACCCCTGGTTAGCCTCAATCAACTGTTCCGTGGCAAGCCCGTCCCAGCGATAGACTACTACACCGCCAAACTCAACCTCCTAACCTCGCTCATTACGGAGAACAGATCCAAGTCTATCTCGGATTTTGACCCAGTTTCTACGGCGTTTGTGACGTTTGCGGATCCGGCTGATGCGAGAAAAGCGTGCAAGTATTTGGCTGTCCATCCCAACAATCCTTTGGCATGTTTGGTTACCATGGCTCCTGAGTATCAGGACTTGGATTGGAACAGAGTCATGAAATCTTCGTTCCATGGCGAGGTATGTAAGGCTGTGTTCTTCCTGTGGGCTTTCCGACTCACTAGTATCCTGTGCAGTTTCTGAAGGATTGGATTGTGAACGCCGGTGTTTGGGGATTCACTCTCTTCTGGCTCTTCCCAGTATCCCTCCTGGTCGGTTTAGTCTCCATTCAAAACATCAGTTTGTTCTGGCCAAGTCTGGTAAGCCGTCTTCGCCTTTCGTTTTCATCCCTTCATGCTTACCGTACCTTTTAGAAAACCTACCTTGAACGCCATCCATGGCAATCCGAAGTCATCCAATCCTTCATCCCTACTATCCTGGTCGCCCTACTCGCCATCCTCATTCCTCTTATCCTCCTCCTCATTGCCAAGAAAGCCCATACAATCACGACCCTCAGTGCCCTTCACGACCTCATCATGACCCGCTATTACAAGTTCCTCATCGTTAACGTTTTGGTTTTCTTCTGCGTTGGGACTGCCGCCATGCAGTCTATCCTGCAGTCGTTTAAGAATATCGCGGGTATAGGATTAATTGAAATTGTTGCTGATAGCTTTCCGACTGCAGGGCCTTTCTATGTTGGCTGGTGTAAGCATGAATCTGGTTTGTCGGCTTGGTGGCTTGGTGCTGAATGTGTTTTTCTTGCAGTGATTTTCACGACGGCTATGCACGGAGGGTTTGAACTGGTCCTTCGTAAGTACCTTCCATAGCCCCGCTCAACTTGGATACTGACCGGGTTTCAATTTCCCAGTGGGAGTAGGTACTTGACATCTGTGGCTGGCGGACCTTTCTAACCATATACGATAGCTCCCCCTCCTCACGTACCCTGCCACTTCACGACAAGTTACGCCGTAAGTGACCCCATAGTAACCGCCATTCTTTCGCTCACCGTTATTCAGGCGTAAACGCGCGGTCGGGATCCGACCAAGAACGCTCAACTATTATTGTAAGTTCCCCCTAACGCCTTCCCGTGCGTTACACTGATGCCCTTTCCTCTTCCCAGATTGGTTACCTAATCATCTACTCGTGCTACATATTCTCTTGCTTTTCTGCCTCTTGAATCCGTTCGTGCTGCCGTTTGGTGCCCTATATTTCTTTATTCAATCGGGTACGTGCGCTGCGCATTAGGTTTGTGGGGGTGGCTCAGCTAACCTGTCCCTTAGGCGTCATCAAGAATCAGTTGATTCATGTCTATGCTAAGCATTACGAGGGCAATGGCAAGGTATTGCTCATCCGGATGGTCAGATACTCCTTGGATGGCCTAGTCCTCAGCCTGGTATGTAAACTCCCAGAGTCGTTCGTGATTTTTTCTAATAGTATATCAGGTTGTGATGCTCGCGTATATGGTAGTCCTGCAGAAGAAGGCCAACGTCGGGGTGTGCGCGTTCCTCATAGTGTTCACAGTGCTCTTCAAGCTGCTGTAGGTCCGTCTCCATCGTGTTGAGGACACCTTCGAACTGACTACCTCTCCAGGTTAACCCGCATGTGTCGAGCGCAGTTTGAACTCGATGACATTGCTGAAGCAGAAGCACTCTGTGGGCAAATCTCGTTAGAAGACGACCCCGAAATTAATCCTGACGATCCGGAGAACCTCAGCCATCAAGAAAGGAAGAACCTGATTGAAACCGGAAGCTCGAAACCTTCCGTTTTGACCTTGAAGCTCCCCCGTTGGATGAACTTCTCTTATAACACCCTCCGCCAGCAACCCCGCCATAAATATCGACGGAAACCAATTCCGTTTGATTCTCCACCCTCTCCCGGGGAGAATCAGAGGACGTTCCGCCGTGAACGTCCTTCGGAAGCATCCCCTGCATCTGTCCTCGACTCCGATGCGAAGTTGCCTCGGGATGGATTCCCCTGGCAGGCTGAACCATCGTTCCAATCAAGCAACCCTGCTATAAGGCTCATCACTTCTGCTAACTCCGACACGGGCCCCGTCGTGCCCCACCCTCCAAGGTTGACATGGGATGATCAGGACACGATTGACTTGCCGTACGACAACCCATACTATACCCGGCCGATCAACAATGTTCTTTGGCTCCCAAGAAACCCTCTCGGAGCATTGAATCTCGACGACACCGTTGATCTGAAGATATCTTTGACAGTCGAGTTATCAGCGGGTCAATTGGGGAGTTGGCTTGGGTTGGTCCAGCGTTCGTCGCCAGGTGAACTGTCGCAGTCAGATCGAGATGCCACTTCGTCTCATATAAACGCGGTCTCGCCACCCATGTCTCTCAAGTCGCTGCCCGCTGTCGACGGCACGGAAGACATCGAACTACCTCCGAGAATCATGAGACGGGTCAAGTCAGGCGAGAATGGAATTGAGCCTGCTCTGCGACCTCGACGGTCGACTATCTCACGTAATGGTCGACGGAGAGCCAATACGACAAGTGAAGGCGGACCTCGCCCTCCCTTGGCCTCTGGATCGCTGGCAAGACGCCGAACAAGCATGCTAGAGGTTCCACCTGTGTCTCATATGCCACCCGCATCCGATGCTGGTTCCGGTCCGTCAAGGATGGGTCGGGGGAGGTCGTCATCTATTCTATCCGCGCTCCAACTTGCCGCTCCGTCCAGCCTCAACCGCGTCTCATCCAATGAGCAAGAGTTCGGCGTTCGACCTGACGCTCACGCTCAAGCAGAGCTGGTCCTCTCTGTCGCCAACAACTCAGCCTTATCATTACCGAAGACTCCGACACAGAAACCGCAGAATCTCTCTGCCCAGGAAGCCATCTTCCACGAGATCCTAGCGGAAGAAGAGCAAGCTCTGATCACCCGACTCGAAGACGAAGAAGCCGAAAGCCTCAAGTCCAAATCTTCAAAATCATGGCTTACTTCATGGATGTTCAAGCGAGGCGACTAAATTCCGCCTCCCCCACTTTACTCTCAATGTTCGTGCTTCCATTTGCGCTTTGTTATACCCGTGAAACCTTAGAACACCGGTAATTGGAATCCTGCACTACTTATTGTATCATTATACTGCATTCACCACCTATCTCATGACCTTCACGACTGTCCCATCAGCCTTGGAAGAATTACGATGTACCATTATTGCAATTTATCCGAATCCGAGCTTTTTCCCTTTTGCGCCATCCATTCGAGCGACGCTTGGCCGAGGATTTTCGTTGGCGGATCCGTCGAGGGTACTTATACCCATGGCGGGGATACCACATACTTCCAGTTTCTCCCAAGCTTTCTTACCACTAACCTTGTTGAAAATGCTCGGTCTGCCTTGGGTTTTCCTTTCCCTTCTTGCGGTCTCTGCAAATGCAGGCCGTATCGTGTGGGATGGAAGTTTTAACAACTACACTACCCCCGCAGACTTCGATCGATGTATGTGGAAATCCGCTTACTCTCTTTAGCCTCGAAGCTAACTCCGTCTCCTCTCCAAGGGTCTTGGGCAAACCAAGTCGGAACATACCAATGGGTAGGCGCTAATACCATCCTCAACGTCCGCCTTGGCGCGCTTACGTCGATCCACTGGTATGACAACAGTACATCAAGGGCAGCGGACCTACCTCTCGATACCTGAACCTCGATCCCTCATACAAAAACCCTGCCATCACCTCGGAATTGCGAGGTTTGAAGGTTACCATTGATACCACTGCGACATGGAACTCGCAGATGATGAGGACCGAGCTGATCCCTCAGACCAATGCCAACTTGGGCCAGGGCAACCTCTTCTACCACTTCTCGATCAAGAGGACCAATACCAACGCACCCGACGTATGGCTACAGACTTTTCTCAGATCAGGACGTCGTAAGCTGACAGTCTTCCTAGCCAACTCTTGAACATCAAGTTATGTTCTTCGAGAGCCACTTCACTGAACTCAAATACGGTGTCGGCTCTAACCCTTCTAACCTCGGGTGGTACGCCGGAGGAACCGAGAGATGGAGCACCCCCTTCACCGCTGACACCTGGTTCAACTTTGCGTACGACATTGACGTGAGTGATGTGGTCTTTCTATTGCTTTAGTGTCCAGATGTAACAGGCCCTTCGATATCTAGTTCACCGCTAAGACTGTCGGTCTCTGGGCCTCCACCAACGGCAACCCGCTCGTCAAGGTCGTACAAAACGTTCCTGCCAACACCTTCACTGACTCCCGGGATTTCCACGTCGGCGTGCTTCGAATCGTCAACCGAAATCCCCCCGAGGACTGGTATGTCAGCGGTGTTTACATCGAAGAAGGCCCCATTACCACCCAAATTGGGGATGGATCTTCTCCCGGACCTGAGCCCCCTGTCGTTACCAACCCACCACCTGTGACCACTCCCCCGGTCGTCACTCCGCCACCCCCTGTGACCACCACTACTCCATCCGGTCCTTTGCAGACCAAGTATGGTCAGTGTGGAGGTATGTGATCTTTGATGACAACTCCGTCAAGAAGCTTGTTTACCGAGCGGGTTTTGCGATACAGGAAACGGATACACCGGCCCCACTAACTGCGTCGAGGGGACGACTTGTGTCGCTGTTTCCCCTCCATACTACTACCAGGTTGGTTCACGTTTGTTCCAATGAGGGGATGCTATTGCTCACCCCCGATACAGTGTCAGTAAACGCGGTCAGGACGCGTCTTTAGCCAGAGCCAAGTGCCAATGGTACATATTTAGCTCATCCATCTTCACTTCCATTGCCATGTGACTAAGTAGCGGATTTCCTCGCAGTTCTTTCAATACAAAACATCATTGGAAGCATTTAGTCGAATGAAGCTGCGGCATAATCTCAGGATGATCCAATACAGCGCGGTGGTTCCGTAATGGTAGTCTCCAGCCGGAAACATTAAGCTTCGAAGTCGTCGACGAATTCAGAAGGAAGTGCGAAGAAGGCACGAGAATTCGAAGTGACAAAGTTCCAATAATACACGGTCTTATCGTCGCAACAGATTGTTTTAATTGATTGGAGGGGTCAAATGTCCGAGCTAAAGTATTCAAGCGTCAAAGTTCGTTGGGAAATCTGTTACATTTCGAGTTCATGAAGGGTTCGTGAAAGAAGGAAGTCCATAATCTAGCCTCCGTTTGGCTAGTTTATCCTACGCGAGGATGTAGCATTATCCCCGCCTCTGGGCTCGTCATTCAAGTACAACTTATGTCCCGAAAATCATCCTAAAGAAACGCGAATATTACAGGCTTACTCGACGATAGCTGAAGGGGATTGTTAGCCAGGAGAATGCGCGAAGAGAGGTAGATACTTGCCAACTACACCGCAAGCAGATCGGCCACCTGCATTACCGGTCGTCAACGAATCGTTGTGACCGCCACGACCGAGATCGTCGGTGCCCTAAGTAAACGTTCAGGAGGGCATCAGAGGCATACAAGTCGACTTTGAACACTTACAGCGTGAAGAACAACCGCGCGACTAGAGAAAACATTACCACTGCCCGTCAGATCGTGGAACGCTTGTCACACGAACAATCAACTCACCCAACGATGCTGAAAGGCCCGTTCAATGAGATGACCTTGTCTTGGAAGTCGAGGATGGCCACGCCTTCTTCGTTGGTTTGAATGTTGCCGAGATCACCAACGTGCCTTTCTTTGTCAGTTGGGCCGCCATGCTTCTTGTTCAAGGGGTTGAAATGAGGACCAGCAGAGCCGCATCCCTGGCTGGTGTCTCCAGCTTGGCTATTACACGAGGTCAGCGCCAAGATGTCGTACACACTCAACCGCATGAACTTACTGAACATGGAATCCACGCAGCGAGTTGGCGTCCAGGCCAGTGAGGTTGCCAGTGATCTTCACTGGAGCGAATTTATGTGGCTGTTCGAAATATACGATACCCGAGGCGGTCCCAGTGCCCTGCAACACGACGACGGCCTATAGAATCAATGTCGTCAGAGATGCTTAAGAAGAATTCGAACTGTCGACTTACCTTTTTGACCGTAGGTGGCGACACGGGGGAAGCTCCTCCCCAGCCCCAGAAGGTGCCGTAGACTGGAGCGGCCAAAGAAGCCAACAAGAGAGCCAGGAAGGGTGCAGATTGCATGACTAGGTGAAAAGGTGGTGGTAGAAGAGGTGAAAGGGATGTTTGAGAGTGGCAGTCTGGAGCGCTTTGTGTGTCAATTTATGGCTTAGCGTACCTCGAGTTAATATAGCTCCAAAGGGTCCGGTGTAACTTCGTAAACGAGGACTCCACTGGCATACGCGTGCCACCTGGCGTCAAGAATGTGGTCACTGCCACGGACCGCCACGATGCAGCCCATCCCAGATCCGCCTGTATCTGCCTTCCAAGAACCCCATATTAATGAGGTAATTCACCGATTGGTGGATGGCAAGTTTGAAGGCGGCAAGAGTGTGAGATTTTGCCAGTGTTAAGCTGTAATTTTGGCTCGTTAAATGGCGACTTTAATCCGGTTATAAGAAGCCATATATTCTCGGATATACGACATATGTGCCCAGGAATGCCTCAGTGCGATAAATGTTTGTGTATGTTCGAGTTGTCAAGGAAGCGAATTGGATGGCGGTCTTTACGTATGTAGTTTTCCTGGGCTCGTGCGTCCAAAAAGCCTAGCAGAAGTCAAACAGATGCGACCAATTCAAGCCAGTCCTGTCGCCAAGCGATCCATTCAACCCTCGTCCCGGAATGAGTTCGCATTAAGCCCATATTGCACTCACCAATAATTCCGCAAGCTGCTCTGCCCCCAGCGTTTCCGGTCCGCAGAGATTCCTCATTATTGCCTCTCCCAAGATCATCAGTGCCCTATAAATAGTCAGCCGATGTCCTCTTCTAATACCACCTAGTCGAGAGCCTCACAGCGTGAACAACAATAGAGCGTCTACGGAGAATCAGGGAGAATTGATTTAGCAGGAGAAAGGAAGCCTTTGGAGGAGATACGAGACGCACCCTACGATGCTCAGCGGACCGTTCAAGGAGATAAGGGAATCCTCGAAGGAGAAGTTGGCTTCTCCTTCCTCGTTGCTCTGGATGTTGCCTAGATCACCGACATGGCGTTCAGAGTCCGAAGAGGCGCCATGATTCCTATTGAATGGATTGAAGTGGGCCCCGGCTGAAACACAGCCGTCGCTTATATCTCCCTTCTGGCTGTGAAAAGCGTGTCAATACCGTGTTTCAGAGGAAAAATCGGGCAGGTAGCAGCACGCACTGAACGTGGAAGCCTCGCAGCGCGTTTGGATCCAAGTTTTTGATATTGCCAGTGATCTTCACGGGCGCCTTCCGCGAGGATTGTTCAAAAAACACGGTACCCGTGACAGCGCTATCGCCTTTCAGAACGACTACCGCCTAGCCTGGAATTAGCTGGGGGGTTTATAGGCTATGCCTTGTTGGACCTGCCTTAGTCACCAGTCGGCCGGAATCCTCCCGCAGGTTATATAGCTGGTAACTGGCGAACAAGGTCACGATAATAGCGACTAGGCCCAGAATCAAGGGCTTCGAAGACTTTTTGGGCTTGTGGTGGTATGAGTCCATGGCGGGCAGGGTTCAAGAGTGGGGTACAAGCCCAACGATTACAGGGGTCTATGAGTAGCACGTAAAAATAGAAATGTCATCTTGGCTTGGCGCGCTATACTTAGTGCGGCCCAGATCTTCGTCTTCAAGTTCTGTTCAACAGCGACTTCAACACGACTGTACATCGCTATCACCTCCATAAGCTCGGTGGTCAATCCTGGAACGTCGAATCCCGCATATGCTTGGGTGGCTTTCCAGGTCGAATCACACGCTGATTGTCCATGAACACAGATCGTGGGGCCACCTCCTGAGGTTGGTCTTCGATTCTATCTTGGGCAGGATGACGAAATCAGCACGAAATAAATCTTTCATTTTCTCGTCGCCCAGGTTTGGTTTGGAGCTTCGAAGACAAGTTGCTGGAGCATGGCGCGTATAATGGGGGCGGAAGTCAGTGGATTGAATGATGTCAACTGGGGCAGGCCAGGTAGAAGAGAGATCGGGAGTGGGCAAGGAGTGGGTAAGAAGCGGCGAACGCTTCGATGAACTACAACCACAATGCGATGCTCCCGGGCCCGATTCTGTCGTCGGAAGTCCACCTCGAGGCGTTGAGTATTCCCAATCCTACCTTTTGTCTTCCAAAGCCCATCACGAATTCGAATAGGGTTGTAGATTGGTCCTTGACGAGCGGTCTCCGTCTTGGTCGTCCGATATAAAGTCGTTGGCGACATAAGTATCATCCGCCGACCAAAAGTGGGTTTGTTCAAACCGCTGATCCGGCACGGAAAATGACAGAGAGCGTTGATTGGTTCTTCTTGCTGAGTTCCCCGTCCCTTCGCCAGCCGAAGACATCCTGCCCGAAGGTACCGGGAGTCCTTTGGCTGCCTTCCATGGAGACCGAAGATTTCAGTAGGCCTTAAGGAACATGCAATCCAGCGAGTCCGACATTGGGTCGGACGGGGGATGTTCGTCAAGATTTGTGTACGAACCAGCTCGAATTCTCTATCGGAAGGTTTGTCGTGATTTCAGGTCGATTGGGGATTTTGCGCATGTTGGCAAACGGGGTCAAGCCTGGTCAAGCGCCAAAGGCGGCGCGTCGCGGGGTTCGAACCAGCGCGTCGAGGCCCATCCACAACAAGCGCAAACATATTTTTTCTCTCTGTTTTGATGGGAAGGCGGTAATTGAACTCTAGTCGAATTAGCCATTACCCTTGAACGTTGTCGACGATGGCCGCAGACGAACTTATCGACGGACATGTCTCCGTAAAACAATGCCAAAAGGCCATCGAAGCCCTACATTCGTATGAAACCAAAAGACAGCAAAAACTCGAAGAAGAAGAGCTGATTCCAGGGAAAGAGCCCAACATCTGGTTGAACATAACCGTCAAGAAAATCCCTCCTGGCCACAGAATAAAACCTGTAAAAGTGTTAGTTCTATCTGTTTTTAACGCCCAAACACGTTTTAATCCCCTTTACAGACCTGTGGTACACCCTCTGGTCGACCCCAGGACGTCCCCGATCTGCCTCATTACAAAAGATCCTCAACGAGAGTACAAGGACCTCCTCGAAAGTCATAACATCAAGTTCATCTCACGGGTGGTTGGAATCGAGAAGTTGAAGGGGAAATTCAGGCCTTATGAGGCCAGGAGAGCGCTGTTAAAAGAGAATGGCATGTTCCTCGCCGACGAACGAGTGGTTCCTCTGTTGCCAAAGTTGCTGGGGAAGAAGTGGTTCGAGGCTAAAAAGTGCGTCCCCCTCTCACTTTCAGATCATCAAATAAGCTGACAGCACCCGTCGCCTTGTAGGCAACCCATTCCGGTCTGCCTTACCCGTAAAGACTTGAAAGGCGAACTCGAACGTTCCATCTCGTCTACCTACATGAATCAAAACCAAGGAACTTGCACGTATGTTACCTGATGCAAATATGGTATGCCGGTGTATACTCATGTTCCTATGCAGATCCGTCAAGGTCGCGAATCTCTCTCACAAACCCGCCCATGTACTCGCCAATCTCCAAAAGGCTCTGCCCACTATTGTCGCCAACATCAAGGATGGCTGGGAGAACATCCAAAGCCTTCACATCAAAACCAATTACAGCGTCAGTTTGCCGATATGGACGTGTTCCTTGGATGCATCAGGGGAGGGGCGTTGGCACGATCTCGAGGCTGAAGCCGTCAGTGAAAACGAGGGCCCCGATGATAGCAATGATTCCGAGGTGGAGAACGCCGGAGCTGTGAAGACGAAGAACGGAAGGAAGAGGGAGTCGAGTTCGGATGATCAGTCGGAGGATGGCCCTAGGAAACGAGTGAAGAAAACGAAGGACACGCCTTCGAGGACAGCCAAATCGACCAATGCCGAAACCGCAGTCACCCAGTCCGCAAAGGCGATGTCCAAACCCTCCACCAAAAAAGCCAAAACGGGCGCCGCCGACTCGGGAGAGAAATCCAAGCAGAAAACGGCCTCAAGCTCCAAATCCACGAAGGATGGCCCCCAACCCACAGAATCCGCTGCTCCCTCGACCAAGAAAACCAAGACTCCTGCCTCTGCGAAGCCCGCCCCCACAGTTAAGGCAAGTGTCAAATCGGCCAAACCATCGCAACCGCCTACAACCACACAACCGGAGGATCTGAAGTCGAAACGGGAGGTCAAATCTATTGAGAAGAAAAAGGAGAAGATTATCAAACAGAAGGGTGGCAAGACTGCGAAGAGTTCGCTGCTTGGCAAGAAAGCTGCTCAGAATTGAGATGGACCCTTTTTCTAGACTTCGCCAGTGCCTACTTGTTACCTGATCAAAATCCCATTGCCTCTGATCACCGTATCGACGCTGACTGGAAACCGACGTGAAAAGCATTGCGCCAGGTAGGTCTCCTCGCTTATGGGCATCGTACCTTTCAGCTCCAGGCAGCCCGTTGGTGTAATGAGGGGTGTGGGGCAGATCTTCGGCCTCGATATCGTCTGGTGTTAGGATCTACCGCTGCCAAGTTGGAAGTAAGGGACCGATTTCTCTTTCACGTGGCAACTCGGTAGCCGGCAAAAACCTATGCTACTTGTTCCGGTACGGGGGTCATTGATAAAGTGAGTTCCCAGATTGCAAGTTTCGAATTTCTCCCTTACTATCTCCTCCAGGCAGCCTCAGTGCCTTTGTGATCAATCGCGGGCGAACCAGATTATGGAGCAACGGAGGTCCATTAAATTATCTATTCCGCATCCAAAGGAACAGGACTGCCACCTAGTCGGCATCCTTGAGCAAGTTGACCCAATTCAAACGACTCAAGGCCGGAAACTCGCACTGGTACCTCCGCGGCTACTGGCTCTGACAGATTTGGATGGTGCTGAAAATTGAACTTTGATAGATTCTTCATGGGACTTTAGGGTGGGCTTCCTTTATCTCTTCTTCAATCTCTGTCGCTCAACCCGCCTTGCGACAACGACGGATTATAGGCACAAGGACTATCTATTTCAGAAGACCCTTGCACAGCGTTTGCCTTTGGATTCGCTGGTATGTTCTTGTCACGGTGTTGATGCGCGCGCCTACTCATCATCCGCTATTCCATGAAGCGCTTTGACTTCCGGTGCGTCTTGGTATGCTGATGCGTGCTGTTACCGCACATGTACTCATCTCCCACCGACATATGAAGTGGAAATCATGAAAGCGGAGGTCGCTGGAAACAAGGAGCGCTGCATGAGGATCTCGAGGATTTGCAGGCCGTGGCTGATTACCTCAAGGCCAAATATGGCTATTCAATCGATCTTGTCATAGGTCATTCTAGGGGTTCTATAGCGGGTTTCCGCTGGCTGGCGACCTCGGAGGACGGTAGAAAAGTTTCGGCGTTCGTGAACGTGTCCGGTCGATATCGCATGGAGGTTCGTCAGCTGCAGCGTTCTCTAGTCTCATCTCCGTGGATCACTCATTCGCTTTCTAACATAGAAGATCGTTGGTAAGCCAATGATATAGCTCCTGTCCGGTCGAAACTGAACAGTTTCATGATTCATAGAATCCGCGGCCGGTAAACTATGGTCTGAGGCATTTGCAAGGCAAGGGTACTATGAATGGGACGTAACTGTGGCGAGGAAAGTCGTTCGCGCCAGAATCACTCCCGAAGATCTTCGCTCATTCATCGAATGGGATACCTCGTTCGTCTGGACGGACTTTCCTCAACACACCGACGTCTTGTGCATCCACGGGCTCCAAGACAACGTTGTTCCACCGTAAGCTAGAGTTGTTCCATCCAATTCCTCTCTTCTGCTTGCTTATATTTTGAGCAGGTACGATGCTTTGATCTACACCCGTGCACTAAGCGGGCGAAGCCCGGGAACGACTACACTCCATTTTGCCGAGACTGCGGACCACAACTTCACTGGGCAAAAAGAAGAGGTTGTAGATAGCGTCCTTCGCTGGTGGGACCAACGAGAGAACGGGACGCTGAAATCTGTCGGTATCTCACTGGCAGATGTGAAGGCCCATCTGTAATGCACCATTGACAATGATATTGACTATGTTCGATGGATACAGCGATCGCTACCATTCTGTAAATCGACTCCCGGGTCTTGCTACTCCGTGATTGGCATGCTAGGTTATTGTGCACGTCGGTCCCCTCCAATCCAAAAGCTTGTCACTTTCCTTTCTAGACCGAAAGGCGTTCACTTGCAGTCAAGATACTCGGGACCTCGGAGCAGAATGATAAGGCGGACCTTGCGAGATATCTGGATCCGTGGGCGGACTCGGGGCAAAGTCCATCCCAACCCGAAGGAAAAGGGACGGAGGACGCTCCCTGGGTTGCAGTAACCTCGGATTAGATGGTCAGGGAGATACTGTACTGTCCATCAACGATATTTCCTGCACGGGAAAGGCGCGTAGACGAGCGCGAGTTCATATACTAACGATTTTATAGTAGTAGTGTCTTGAACTGTGCCATATTGCTCTATACATTAATCCCACATATATCATCCGTATCTACGGTTGCAGCGAGGATAGGCAAATTAGATAAAAATATGTTTTCTACGTAGTTCGGGCCAATAATAATAGGTTGAGCTGGTTCCTGGGAGGACATGAAATACTAGTGCTACAAGGTAGATGTACGTGCGGTCCGACCAGTCCATGAGTTGATACAATGACTTGGGCAATGGTTTGTGTGTAAATATGCGAATGCGAGGATCAGAACGGAGAAGGAGATTAGGGAGAGTCCAGCATTCCTTGAATCTTCGGTATTTCATGCCTCTATGGTCGAAAGTGAATGTTAAAGTGGGAGAAATAGATGTAGCTGGTAAAATGGGAAGTGGTTGTTGTGGACAGAGTTCGACCAATCCGCGTGGTGAGGTGCCGGGAGTTGTATTGAATGTACGCCGCGCTTCAGGCTCCAGGTCTAGAAGAAGACTGCGCCTGTTGACGAAGCTCCTCCTTTCACAGTTGTTTGAGAGCCTTGACCTCCGTTGGATCCCGATTTGACTTGGCCGCTCATAATTTGTGAATCGAGACGAGTAGGCTGGATTCAGAGGCGAAGGGCTAGTTGGTACTCTACGAGAGAGAAATTGGGCTGGGTGAATCATTGGGGAATTCCAGTGAGCTTTTATAGTTTGCCCTCGAGATCTCGTATCCAAAAAGATGTAAACGGGCGTTCATCAATTGAGAGACTAATTAGGCAATCGTTCCAAGGGCTCGTAGCCCAGTCGGTACTCAAGAGGTTCGCAACGGTTTGACTGTGGTGCACATGCGATTGGAGTTAGATCGCTTGCCCGATGAAGGCCGGGGCTGGACGACGCCCAAACAGCGGATACGTCAATATCATCAGTTTCATGAGGCTTGTCGGGTAACCTCACCCTGAATATCGTCTCTCTTCTAGCTCGACCACACAAAGTTGCACTGCAGAAGATCCCTAAAGGTTAACCAGGCCGTGATCGTACACAGCACTACAGCATTTCCCTCTGCCAAATTTTGGAAGGAATACAGTGACCAAAACGAGCCGCTGGACGCGGAATGAGTCAACCTAATTATCCAGACACTGTGACTTTCTCTCTAGAAGTCCCCCTTGAATCATGCCGTTTCCAACGGTCTGTATGGTACGTCCCTCTGCTTGTCGGTGTAGGTTGTCTTCCGGACTGACTCATTTACCAACGGGAGGCGCTTTAAAGTGAGAGCACAGGTACAACACTCGGGTTTGTGAGCCCTGTCCATATGGGATCCACGCTGTTGTGGAATTACATCTCAATGGAAGCGCACACACGGCCTCTTTCCACTGGCACGGCTCTGGTGATACGGAGACGGGAACAAGAAATATGTGTCCTGAAGCCCGGAGGGACCAGAATCCACATAGGAAAGAGCTCTGGTAACTCCAGAGTCGTACTGCTAGGAATGCCGTCGAGGAAATCTTCAGTTTCTTGTACTGCTTTTGAGATGGTATCCTGGGGAGACCCGAGAACAACATTTGATGCACCTGAACTCAGAAACGAAACCGATGTTACACTTGCTTCGTTGAGTGTAACACGACGACAAACGGATGCGTTTGTGGAACATGTCAGTCGGGTTCCACCGAGTCGATATGGCACCTTTGTGACAACCAAGGGGACGTGTGCCGCAGTAACCGCAGGGTCAAGGGATGCCACGCTTGGACGATGACGAACCATGATTGAAAGCCAATGCGTTTTAACCTATCAAGATATCAGGCGTGGTTTAAATTTTGCTCAGGGATTGGCTGGGTATTGGTAACATCATAGTGCGGCTAGAATGATCTGGAGAAGTTAATTACGGTTAGCCCATTTGCGCTCCGAGCCATGGGTTGAAAAGGCGCGGGGGGATTCGCATTGACTCGAGTCAAGTATGTTGACAGGACCGAAACTGGGTACTGAGCTGCTATCAAATCGGGTTTCCCTTGTTTCTGGATTCCAGAAGTCGGAGTTGGCATCAACAAGTTGACGGCTCTGGACATACTATTCCAAAGATGACTCACGGTCCTTCGAGTGCATTCCTCGGTACTGAGATGAGAGGACCATCCGCCAAGCGGAGATGCATGGGTGACCCAGAGAACATGGTCTCATCACGATTTTAAACTTGTCTGGGATGTTTGATTATGTCGATCCGGGACACTACGAGACCTGAGGGGGCATTCTCGATATCATTGAAGTTGCCACGCTCTTGCGACGTGATGAAAATGTACTATTATTGGGGTTCTTCAGGCTAATGATCCAACGCCAAAGTCAATGCTAACTCCGCCGACCTCCAATTAGGCGCTCAAGGAGCGCCCGGACTGTCCCTGTCAGCTGTTAGCGTGTAATCTGGATCTTATTTACAGTCTATCTGTACATAGGCGTCAGGTTACTTCGGAGCTGTATACAAGGCTCTTCATCTCACTTGCGCACAGTGCGATTCTCCCAGGAACTTGAAAGGGAGGAGACTGGCCACTTTGCGCAAAGACCAGGGTTGTTGAGACGCCAGTGCATGTCAGAGGGAATGTAATTGTACTAAGCTACTTCAACAACGATCTTTCCGCTACAACGCCAAAACTTAGCAGCATCCCCTAGGACTCAGCAACAATTCACGTCACTTACAAATTCTTGTTAGCTTCCATTTCTTTGTGTGCTTCAATTATTTCATTCCACCCATACACCTTAAAAAGAGAACGATGTTCCATTAGCAGATATACTTGAAGTTTACAACCTTCAACATACCTTGTGGATGTAAATACGAACTGAACCATCTCCGTTCTCTCCTGTGATAACGGGAAGGACTTCTTTATCCAATCTAACGATGCGTTAGAGATGCCACGCATAAGAAGCGAAACCCTATCAGTACCCACCGAGAAATCAATTCTGCCTGGTAGGCGGGAGAGCGGGATCGGAGTGTGGATCCCTGGATGCGGAGTCGTTTGAACAGAATCGGGCTTAAGTCGACGGAGTGGACCGTTGCTCCTGGAAATTCAAACGGGCTGAGATCCCGCCGCGGCATTTGCGGGAGTAGGAAGCATACCACTGAGCAAGGCGAGCATTGTCATTCGTCCGTCCATAGCCATCGCATCCAAGTTCTTGATGAAATGGCTCTGAGCGACAAAATCAATCACCACGTCTGCACCGTGGCCCTTGGTGATATGTTTCACCACCGCTGAAAAATCTTCGACCTTGTAATTGGCGGCATGTGTCGCTCCGTTCGGAATACTCAATAACCGGCGAATTTTCTCCTCTGTAGAGGTCGTTGCAATCACTGTTTGACTTTGAAAGTGGAAGAAGTCAGCTCCATACCATCACTGGCGCGCATAATTTAGACGTCAGAAGGAATGTTGCTTACGCTCTGTATAGGCGTGCCAATTGTATGACCGCAATGCCAACACCCGAGGCACCTGCATGGACGAGAACATGATCATTGGCACATATCTCACCAATCAAAACCAACGCTTGGAATGCTGTGGTGGGCGTGGCCCATGGTAAATCTCAGTTAGAGGAACTGCCTCAATGAATGAGACCGCATCACCCACCAGTTAGAAAGTTTTCTGGGATGCTTGCAGCCTCAGCCCATGTGAGGTGCGCGGGCTTCTTCATGAGATTCTTTTGGGGTGCAACCACATACTCCGCGTAAGCACCCTGCAGAAAATTCGATGAGTACGGAGATTACATGGTAAACTCGCGGGCTCTTCCTACTTACCCCCCCAACGAGACCTAGGACCTCATCCCCGATTTTCCAGCCGACAACATCTGAGCCAAGCTCAGTGACGATTCCGGAGAACTCAACTCCAAGGATTTTACTCGCTCCCGGAGGAGGCGGGTATTTCCCTTCGCGTTGGGAAATGTCCATGCGATTTAACCCAAACGCCTTGACCTGTGATTGAAGGCTCGGGAAAGCTTCATCGATCATCTTTAGATTTAGAAAGTAGTAGTACCGTACCTTGACGAGAACCTGCTCAGCTCTCGGCGCTGGCTGTTCGACTTCACCGATGTAGAGGTTTTCAGCCGGGCCATATTCATCTCTAATCAATATTGCTCGCATCGTGATATGGCCAGCTTGAGTAGTGCGTTGTCTAGAGTGTGGAAGCTTTTAAGTCAACTTCACAAGAGAAGTATGACCGTTCCGCTGTCATATTGCTTGTTGTCGAATGACCTGAAAGACTGTACATAGGGGAACGCGGTTGCGTCATCGGACGGTACCTATGAGCAGCTTCTCGAGTCAGTCAAGAGTTATGCCGCGAATTTATCAGCAGGCCGTTCTTTATAACTTTTACAATGCTTGTTCCACCATACCCTCGAGCTGGTTGAACGCGGAGGCATGTTGGAATCCTTTTCCTAAATCGCACTGTAAATGGTCGGATTCGTGGAGAGAGGGGGCGGCGGGCCAGCAGGAGGAGGCTGTGCTATCAGTCACATGCCCAGTATGTCACGGGATGAGATGAAAGATTTCTCACGGAGCAAAAAAAGCAAAATTGGATTTTTCCCTTTGCTCGACCTTCGACCACGACCACGACCAAGAACGACGACCATGACGATGTGGACGGGACTTAGGCGCAGACCATACGTATTTTAGGTGAGTTTGGGCTTCAGGATCCCGCATTTCTCCTTCTCGTTAAGATGATCTTTGCTATGGTCCGTGTTTCCAAGAAGCGACTAGACACCGCTGCTCCCCTTGCCGAAAACTTTTTACCTAGCTTTCTGAACCCTCCTGTCATTATCTCGTTAATTCATACGCTAATCGCCTTGCCTTTAGGTGCCTCTAATATGTAGATCAACCTTACGTTTTTTCTCGTGGAGAAACAATCGATTCTCCCTGACCTGCATTCAAGTAAGAATATATCCATGATCTTCCACCAGCCTCCCCCGGCCTTCTTTCAAGTGATGAGAATTCAATTTCCCGTGTTTCAGAGAGATGGATTAAGCCCCATCGCTCACCATGCAGATAGCCATTAGTCAAATTTTCTCTGAGCCATTGGATTCAATTCGATTGTAATTCTTGTTGTGCTAACGAATTCATCAGATTCAACCAGTTCAACCCCGTGGTACTGGTATGTCCTAGATTAGACGTTCGCAGAGCAATATATCGTTTTCCACCTGCAACTTGATTGCCAATTGCTCACATCCCGCGTTGGTCAACATAACAAAGAAAATATCGCATTGCATAAAGTCTATTAGGTCACAGTCTCGCTGTGTCAGAAATTGCTGTCTACCCTTGGACTGCCCTCAATTGAGCCTGGTGGGCGTGAAGGGAAACGCGTCAACGACGGTGCGCTAATGTTACAAAGATAGATAACGTACCGGGAGAGTCGTGGCCGCACCTGGGCATCCAAGTCCCGGGCCATTGAGATTCTGGAGGGTGATCAACGAAGCAATAATCCGGGCGGCCTTGGATTCGTTGGAATCATCTGTTGGGAACGACACTGCAACGGATGGATTGTTGACCGCACGCCCTTCGGCAACGTTCTGGGTCAATGCCTACATGCGAAAGAGGTCGTAAGCCAAATTGCCCCTCATACGAAAACACTCCTACTCACAGCAATGAAGGTAGCGCGATCAGGTGGACACGAGCATGGAATCTTGACGACCTGTCCGTTAGCGTTGGGAACTCCGTCGCAGTCGCCGGTTCCGGTAGGGTTCAAACCAGCTTGATGGCCGAGGTCAGGGATGAGGGCAGGGTCGATAGCCCCAGCTGCAGGTGGGCCGGGGGGAGCAGGTGCGGGAGCTTCAGGTGCGGGTGTTACTGGTGCTGGAGCATCTTCAGGGGCATCTTGGATCGCACGCAGCTGGGCCAGGAAGGTGGTTGCGGCAGCGGGGCATCCCACTCCAGGGCCGCGCATGTTTTGCAAGGTTACGAGAGCAGTTTGCATGCGCTCTAGCTGCGAGGCCTTTGAACTGTCTGTCGGGAAGGATACTGCCACGCTAGGGTTATTGACAGCGCGGCCTGCATTGACGTTCGCATTCAGGGCCTGTGTTTTTAGGCGTTTAATACCTTGGACTCGTTGCACGGATGATCGGATGAGACCAACCCACCTGCAAGAACTCGTTGCGGTCAGGGGGGCAGAAACAGGGGATTTTAACCACTTGACCTGCGGCGTTTGTAATGCCGTCGCAATCTCCAGTTCCGGTCGGGTTCAAGCCAGCGGGGTGTCCGAACTCTGGAACAAGAGTCGGGTCTACGTCTCGACGCTGAATCGCAGCTGGGCGAGCAACCACAGAAGTAACCAAAAGCGAGCAAAGCGCCAAAAGCGAACTGAAAGACCTCATGACTATCGGTTGTGAAAAGGACCGGAAATTAAAATCAAAGGAATGAGTGTATGAATGTTCAAAAAGCTTCAAGCCTTCGATATCAGCAGAATTCAATCGAGAACCCTGGAGCGACTAGCGCTGAAAGCGAGATATGGGAGAAGGAAGGAAGAATAAAAAAAAATCACAAGAGGTGAGGGGAAGAAGGGGAAAATTGGGTTGTGGAGCTTAACATCGCTACTCTTTATACACCCTGCCCTGCCACGCGGTAAGTTGCGAACTCTAACGAGATCAATTATAACCTCTACCAATCTTCCCAGGCGCGATGGGCAGCAACCGGCAGACTTCATCCTGATGGTTTCTATCATGGTATATCGTGTTTCAAGTGAAATACTTAAAGGGCCAAGACAATACTTCAAGACTGGCGACTGTGCGGAACGCAATGACCATGTGCGTCGATCTACAAAGGCGAAAGAAAGCAAGCTGCAGGTTTTCAGGTCGAGTCGAGCCTTTCTTCTTTTCAGCCAATCTCACACGGTCGCCGACGAAGCCAGTCAAAGATAGTAGACATCATTCTATAACTGGTTTGTCGCCGGCACGAGGTCAGCATTGGCATCGACATCGACTCCGACTCCCAAAATGCAGATGAGAACTGGTGGTGTCCTTAGCTACAGGCGCCTTCTGCCGGCTAGCATGGATACCCCGGAAGGTGGTCCAACCCCTGCCGCATGCATTGGCGGTGAGTGTGTTTTCCAAGATATTACGTCCATCCAATACTTATTCAACATCGTGTCGTAGAATGGCCTGGGCGTAGAGTAGTGCCGCTGCCAGGGTACGAACGCTGACCTCACGCATACCGTGACGCCCCTTCCTAGATGGTAGGAATACATTTGACACAAGAAAAAAATAAGTATCCAAGTTACAGGAATTGCAATTTAATCTTCGGCTATACGTTCGAAGAACTGCTTAAGAGTGCTAGAGAGAACGTCCGGAAGAGCTTCCACATCGCGAAGGACAACGTAGTACTCGAAGGGGAACGAATCCAGGTATTTTTGCAGCTGTAGTTCCATCCGACCGTCCACATTCTTGAACTCCGCTCGGTCCATGTTGAGAATGGAACGTTGGCCGGCTTCCTTCTGGTTGGAGGACGCAGTGTGGAGTGAGTCGAGGATGATGAAGACGATCATAATGCGTTTCTCTTCAGCTCTTCTCAGAATCGTGCGGAGCTTCTCGTGGTCCTGGCACATTCCATCCGAGATGATGATCTCTAGTTGCCAGAGGTCGGTGGAGGAGGACGATCCCATCGCGCGACGCTCACGCGCGCTTTCGAGCACGTGAAGGCTGGTTTCTAGAAGGGACAGGACGTTGGTGGCCTTTTGGTTAAAGCGGAAAGCACTGAGGACTTTGGCGCCGGCTTGGTCTGTGAACGGTCCATCGTCGAACCCATGAAGGAGTTCCACTGCTTCGCCGAACTTTGCAATGGCAACGTCACCGGACTCCAAACGACCAAGCGCCTTTCCTATCAACGCCAGAGATTCGTAGGCAAGGTGAATGGAGTGAGATTCAGCCATGGATTTGGAGTCGTCGATCGCGATCAGGACCTGGTACTCTCGTTGACTGGGCTTGGTGCGCCGCAACCAAATCTTGTCTTTGGTATAATCACTGGCAATGTAGGAAATGACCTTCTTCATATTGAGTCGCTTTCCGGTTCGATAATCACCCTTCAATCGAGTGGCCAGGGTGGGCTCTAAGATGAGACGAAGTTGTTCGCAAAGAGCGTACGCCAGATCATGAGTGAGCGACTCGTACAGGCGCCATAGGTTCTCGGTGCGATCGCTAGGTTGGTCGGACTCGCGCCACTTTCGCAATTCAACTTCTACTTGTTCGTCGAGTAGCGCTTGGTCGTCATCGGCCTTCGGTGCGGCAAGGTCCGGTTGCATTGGAAGGGTTGACTGCAACGGGGTTGCATGTTGGACGACAGCACCCTCGACGTCAGATTTCTGGGCTCGAGAGGTCGACTCGCCATCGGGAGTGAAGGGCTCAGCATCCATGAAATCTTGGGTCGTCTCTGGTGGTAGATGCTGGTCGACATCCATGGCAGCATCGCCGAGAGGCGCCTCATCGTCTTGGGCAAACTGAAGGTCTTCAAGCTTGGCTGTTCTTTGGTCCTCGGCCGCAGCTAATGCTTGCATGGCCTGGTCGTCTTCTGCGTCAGGGTGAAGGTATTCTAACTGGGGCGTCTGCTGATCTCCGTCGAGAGGCGCTGCTTGAGGTACTTGTTTTTCTTGGGCGTTCAGGATCTCCTCGAAACGGTGTTGGATTTCCTTCATCGCATCACCCAAGCTACGCAGCGGATTGGGCAGTTCCTTGACTTCTGACCGAGTTTGCTTAGAGCCTTCTTGAGTGCCTGATGCTGCTGCTCCTGTTTGCTCTGTTGCCTCGGGAGGGGCGTCCGAAGAAAGTTGATCCGTCTGGCTAGGTCTACCGCACTGTCAGTTCGGCGTAGGTCAAAGGTCAAATGACTAACGACATACCCATCGTCTGCCTTCCTCTCCTCCGAGGACATAAAGCCCTGCCCTGTCGCATTCTGGGAGGTTCCAGGGTTCCCCGCTGCTGAATCACCCGAAACCTGGCCGCCTGGTTCCTGAAAGTCGGAGGCACCAGTGCCATTCGAATTCTCTACCGGCGCAATAGGTGTATCCTGCTCTCGCTCGCCTCGCTCTTCTTGTTCTGTTGGCTCCGCGTCTGCATCGGTTTCGCTGGTTAAACCATCGAGGAGAGCATTGTCGTCTCTGGCTTCATCCTCCCCCTCATCTCCTGATGGGACGTCCTTATCCATTTCGCCAACATCGCTTTGCTCCATTGTCTCCTCCATCGCGTCCTCGTCATCGTGCAGGTCATCCTTCATATCGATATCTTCATCAGCACCATCTTCACCCAATTCCAAGTCCTCCGGAAGGTCCAAAGTGTTGGCATCTGGGACGTGCTCCTCCATGGGTGCACCACTGACCGCAGGATTTGCTTCATCCTCTTCCGTTCCTTCAGGCTCTTCCATTGGTGTATCTTCTTCAGGCATCAGCTCGCTACGTTCCCCCTCTTCCTCCGCTTCTTCCTTGCCCTTATTCTCGTCTTTTCTTCCTTCCTTCCCTTCCCTGGCGGCCATCTCAGATTTGTCATTGGTCTCCGATGAACGGTCCTGGTCCGTTCGCTCCTTGTTATCTTTATCCTCTGGTCCAGACTCGTCCCCCCAAAGCTTTTCGTCAACGGCAGCAGGATCCGTGGCATCCAGATCTTCAATTCGCTCATCGAGTCCTGCATCGCTGGACGTGTCCGATTCATCGTCATCATCGTCTTCCCCATCATCAGGTACGTCTTGAAGCTCTCCTCCAAAGTCTTCGTTCATTTCAAGAGCGCCCTTTTCGTCCTCTTCTCCAACCTCGTTCTGATCTGGGTCTTCTCCATCTCCCTGGAGACCTTCAACCTGGCTTTCGTCCTCGATCTCGTTGCTGACATCGTTCTTTCCAGCACCTTCTCCTAGACCAACCCCGTCCGCGGCGTTCTCTGCCCCAGAATTGTCGTCGTCGGCTTCGTCGGCTTCTTCCGGGGGCGCACAGAACCCCTTTGAACAGAGTGTTTGGACCAGTGAGCAAAGGACATAGTCAAGCTTGAGAAGAGCCTTGGTCCAGTACAAGAGAACTGTGCAATGGTCGTCGGTAAACGATATGAAAGCTTTGAGGAAAGGGAGGGCGCGGAGAACAATCTCATTGAAAGCAGATTGGCTTTTGATTTGCGAAACTGTGTGCCCAACCTGCGTCTGGACGCCCGCGAAATTGGCCAGTGCAGTGACTTGGCGAAGTTGGTCGACGGAGCGACTGATTTCCTTGTCATCATCCGATACTGCACGTTGGCGTTCATGAAAAGCCTTGATCGACTGAACCGAAACGAGGAAGGAATCGATTAGCGATGAGACGAGCGTGCTGTCTGTTGCAGAGTCCAACGCGGATGGAGGGAGCGCGGGTACAGCCTTGACCTCGGAACGGAGCCAATGGTGGAAGGGGCTGAGAGCATGGGCCATATCTGGGTATCGTTTTCCCCAAGCCGACAACTGTTCCAGCAGCCCATTAACGAATTCGGTGACATCAGCCAAAATTTGGAGTTCATCTGTAGACCGGTCAACAACGTTCTGGTCGGGGAGCTCGAGAGCTTACCTTCCGTCAAGCACGCAAGCTCACAAAAATCTAGACTCTGCCTCAAGACGCTGATCGCGTTTCTGGTGTACACGCCCTGCGACAAGTACTGATCTTCGGACGCATACAGCTCGGGCGGAATGTCTAATCCCTTGGCGGAATAGTACTCCATCGTTCTAATCTTCAGTTCCTCCATAGCATCCACGATACGACAAGAGATGTCTTCGATGGACTGGATGTGTGGAAGAAAATCGCCGTCGTAGAATCGGAGGGTCTTCCCTTGGACGGTTTCTAATCGCTTGTACATGCGAAGCAACTTTTCGCGGATTTCAAGCGAAGCAATAAACCTACGGAATTGTCAGTTCAGCGCCAAACTGAAAAAAGATGGTAATTACCTTGTCCTGACGTCGAGTGCGACATGAAAAATGAATTCCGCAAAGGCTATGCCTTTGGAAGCGTCCCTTGTTGTAACATCAGAGTGGTGGCCAGTCAAGGAGGAACGCAATGCCGGGAGGCATCCCTGAATAGCTTTAAAGTAATGTTCTGACTTCTCGACAAGTGCGTCAGTTCCCCGGGGGAGCTGTCGATCATGAATCCAGACGTCACTCTTGGTCTGTCGGACGACGTCGATCTTGAGATTACAGGAGAACCCTACGCGCTTCAGTCCTCTGAGAAGATCTGACCATGCCTTGCGTTTCTGATTTTGGATGGATTTGAGATGCTTCGTTCGTTTCTCCCGATCCATGTCTGGTGGACAGGTGACTGAGGCGAGGCGTCGGCTTTCGGAAATAATTTCGCAGGCTAAGTCATCAGGAAGCCGGAAGGGCGAAGCTTGCACTAGGGGACGAATGTCTTGTTCAAGGATGGCTTCGAATCGTTTGTACGTGCGGCCGAGATGGCGAAGACGTTCTGAAGTTGAAGAGAGAATGTCAGCCGGTAGCAGGGATGGGGTTTCGAGCGATGTGAAGGTTGGGGCTGGGATGACTTGAACAGGATTGTCGTGGATGAATGTAGGTGTAATGTAAGCCGCGGAGGGTTGCTTCAGAACCTCTCGGAATTTGCGAACGATTTTGTAAAGCTGGTGATGTGACTTCTTCGCACTCTGCTTCAAGGCTACTATGTTGATGTCCTTCCAGCTCGCCAGCTTGATGAAATTCTTGATCTCCTTCTCCAACTTGACGCGTTCTCCAGACAAATGAACGACCACCTTCGGTAAGTAAAAGAGGAAGTGGTGATGGAGTGACCGTAGGATGTTGGAAGCGCGCAGGAGAGCCTCCTTCTCTCCGTCCTCGTACGTGCCCGCTAGAGTGGAGACATATTTGGAGAATGAAGCGAGAAGGTCCATGCGGCATTGGTACTCGCCTAATGGGCTCGAAGTGATATACTCCTTGATCAAGGGGATCAATTCCTCGAGGTATGAATCCACAGTTGTTTCCCCTGCTGCTTGAAGGACACCGCGGACAGCAGCGTTGTAGAGACGGAACCACCAAACGCCAGCCGAGTCCTTGCTCTTGTCAGCTTCTGTTTGAAGAAGTGATTGCCAACTAGCAAGCTCCAGTCTGCGCCAGTGTACGATCAAGGCAATCAATTCCTCCCGGAAAGGCTGTAAACTGTTCTCGCGATTGGCATAGATTTCCCAATCCTCGGACTGAAGGAGGAGCTGCTCCATTGCTGAAAGAGCCTTGGCTACAGGACTGTGAAGGTCCAGCTCCATGACCTTCAAGCAACAACTCGAAAGATGGTGCAGAACTTCTTGGTCTGGCCATTCGAGAATCAGTACACCCAAGCGGTCGTGCATCCTCTTCACTACGGGGAGAAGCCTTTGAACCTCGGCAACGTTGGGTTCCAGATAGAAATTCGGGAGTTCGTTGCCCTTCCCTTGCTTATCGAATAGGGACTCGCGGTGCTTTTGCAAAAGGGAAAGTTGGAACGAACGCGAAATGAGGTCGAGCTGCTTGTCGAGGATGGGTGTTTCGGTTTGAAGCGAGGTCTCGAGAGTGGATTTACGGAGTCTCCAGAAGAGCAGCTCGACATCAGGTTTATCGTGGTCTTCCTGAAAGAGGGCGAGGTGTATGTGCATGAGGGAAGAGATGTGATCGGGCAAGATATTAGAAAGACCGGGTGTCGCTTTCGAGGCCGATTTGGTATTCTCCAAGGCATCCTCAAACTCAGGGAAGAGCTCCAGGAATTCTTGCGTCTCCTGATCCGCGTCCGTTGGTGCTGCGCTCTCGACTTTGGATTGTCGGTACAAGGAATTGGATCTTTCCTCTGCTTCTCTCGATCGCGCCTGGTCGATGCTCCACACCCCGTACGCTCGCTCGTACAACGACTCGACCTCTCTCACCATGGGTGTCAACCTAACGCCCACAGCGACCTCGAACGCGATGGCCGATAAAGGGAGCAAGATATCCGTCGAAACGTCGGTTGCATTGGAGCGGTTTCGGGAGACGACCACGATCCGCCGAGCGCTTGAGGCTCGAGGGAATGTGACAATTGACGACCTCAGCTCCGAGACGACCTCTTCCACATCAGCACGTGGAGTTACTTGTAGCCGTAAACCAAGTCGGAACTGGAGGATAGCGAGTTTGATCGGACAAATAACGTCGCTGAAATCTTCGTAAAGTGTTTCCATTCGACGGAGGAACCCGTTCAACGATTCTTGAATGACCTTTTCCTGGAGACAGGCGAGCGCTGGCTGGGTTTTTGCCAGCTCGAGCAAAGGTAGGGTTTTCGAAGGGTGAAGGACTGAAAGGGAGAATTGGGTGACTTCCGCCCAAAACTGATGGACACGACAGAGGTCCCGGTTGTTATCCATCGCTGGCCATTGAGATAATTGCTGCCGAATCGTTTGTAGTTTCGATTCGAGATATCCAACAAGGTCATTGGAAGGATTTCCGGTTGTAATCTTTTCCAATTCTCGGTGCAGCAGGGCTTGCAACTCCGTGTAAGATTCCTCTTCCTTCAGCCTCGAGTGCGCTGCGTTTCGGACGGTCGCAGGGTCGATAGGAATGTTTGGGACGACGAGAGTGAGCAACATGCGGCCAAGCCCCAGCCAAAGGGCACCGGGAGAATCAGAGTGAACATAGGGTATGAAGGGCGTGAATGACTCCTCCGCAAGTGTTCTTAGCGGTAAATTTGTCGTCTTCAGGAAAGGCGCAATTTGTTCCCTAAGGTCCTGAGGTTGTGCAGCGCGAGTGAATCCATCCAAATCACCCTGACTGAAGTGCTCGTCGAAGCATGACGCAATCTGAACAAGGTGTCAGAGCAGGGACCTTGCATATCGACAGCAACACCTACGAGATGTAAATTCTGCGCGAACAGAGATGAAAGCATGGCTGCCGGCGTAATTAACTCTTGACACTGGGCGACGGCAACATCAATACGTGTCCGTATCTCTGTCCGATACCTGTCCAAGCCGTGGAGAGGGATTGGTCGATAAGAACTAGAAGAACATTAGACTGTGTGCATGTGATGAGCCTGCAAACTCCATTACCTGGACGAAACAGCATGGAGGAGATGCAAAGGTGAAAGCAGGAAACCCGGGCCATCGGCCTTGGTCTGATAAAGGCATTAGCTTGTTGATAATCTGTTGCTGAAGGCAGGAACTGACGATTGACGGATTGGAGAGCCATAAACCCTCCAACAGACTTGACATTGACCGTACTCGGTTCTCCAAAGATCCTGCAAAAGGTCAATTGGAAATGAAGATGTCGGTGGAAAGATGATCTCCTTACTTGTCTCATCATTTTTCGACGACCAGACGAGATGTTGGTATGGGACCAAGCGATCAATGGGCGAACTCGAGTCTGCGAGATGGAGATTGATCACTGTTTGAAGAGATGCACATGTCTAATTGTGTATGAGCGAACCATTCGTTGATTAGCCAGTGTCACTGCAATCTAAGTCGCAAAGATATTACCTTGTTCAAATCGGAGGAGAGTTTTGATATTGCCGTTAGCTCCAAAGCAAGCAACTGTTGATCAATTCCGTCCGAAATGGCCGCTTCCAACTTCTCGTCCTCAAGTAGAGGCACGCACTGTGCGGTTGAGTTCAGTCGAGAGTGGCTGAAAGCCATCGCAACGCCTACCTTGTCGAGAGATGTCCAAACTTCATCATCAACAGCGTGAGGCCGCAGCATCGCTAGTGCCAGTACGTCGAAGATCTGCCGGCGAAGTCCTACAGGAGGGTGAACGAAGGTCGTCACGCAAGGTTCGAACCACTTACCAACCGGCTGCGACGAGACAATTTCGGGACGCGAGGCACTGATGGTGTAACGCGAGACCTTGGCACGCTCAACCGAGTAGTGCTTGTAGAATGCTTTCCAAAGACTGATCAAGCCGATACCAGTGGAAAGCTTTAGCTCCTGGTACACGCGATCTACACAGGAAGCGACCTTCGAAAACATGCCTGGTGCGCCTTGTAGGACGTCGAGGATATGTAGGATAGATGCGTGTGCCTTGGAAAAGTCGAAGACGGAGTTTTGCGAGGTTTCTTGTAATTCCTTCACTCTCTTGAGGAGAATAAGCCCTACCTCAGCGCCGTCCTGCCTCCCTTTGAGTATATAGAACGTGACAATGTGGACTATACTTACAGCGCACGAAACCGATCCGCTGAGGCCCTCCGTCAATATCGAAAGGATCGCTTCTTGGAGGGTATCAACGAGATTTCGAATGCCTTCTGATAATGAGACAAAACTGCTGTCGAATTTATCTTGAGCGACGGGGGCCGACGACTTGGTGGCTACTTGGAGAAGATAGTGTTGCGACATCAATTCCAGATAGTTGAATAATGATTCGTGTGGCGACGAAAATTCGTCCCGAACTGCCGTTGATGACGTCGATAGGAACAGGTCCAGGGGCTACTTGGCAGTCGTTAGTTGTCAGGCGTTGTACCATCAAAACTGGACTTGCCTTGAAGGAAAGAAGTTCAGGGTGGTCTTGACACAGCCTGCGTCGGAACAAATCAAGCGTTTGATTGTTCATGAGGTCAGGCACATCAAAGAGGAAGTTTCGGATAGATGTATCTTCATCATCTCCCAACAACGGCAAGGAGCGGTTCAGGAGTAAGGAAGTCGACGGCGATAATGAACGGAGGATAAAAGGAACCGAGAACTTCCAGTCATGCCTGGACGCGAGTTTGAGCATGATGCGCTGCGACGAGAGAGAGATGGACTTCGAGGGACTCTGCACTTGGCCTAGGGCCTTGGGTGCGTCCGTATTAACTTGCAGCGCTGACATTCCTCTGCGGACGGCGTCGAATTCGGGTATTGACAGATGTGGCGTTACATCGCTCGGGGTTCGCAAATGGTCGCGAACGGCGGCCTCGTCGTTTGTGCTGGGAGAGTCGACGAGCGCGATTTCGATGCCTCGATTGCGCATGGCCCGGGACAATTCGCCGTGTTGAGGATCTACGAGCATGAAAAGTCGGAAGTCTTTATGTGGTTTGATGATTTGTACGCGACCATGCAGGAAGCCTCGTTCACTAAGAACTAAGGATCCTTCCGACTCGCATAACGAGTTGAGGCGATCGAGGACAGATGGGTTACAGAGGTTGGCGCCATCCAAGGCGACCCAGTGTCCCAGTTTCATGGCACGAACGAGAGGACCGTCTACCCATTCAAAGCGACCAAGAGCGTTCTTGTTCTCCAGTACGTGTTCCAATTCTTGAAGGTATGTTGTGAAGCCGGGACACACATTCGCCTGAACCAATTGGGATAGAAGCTGGCGAGCGTCCTGGAGGCGTTCTTCAGAGAATATCATGCTGAGAGAAGACCATAATGATCGCATCTTCGCCTCTTGGTCATGAAGGATGGACCAAGTTTTCGAGCCTGTGGTAAGTCGAAGCTCTTGTTGTACCATTTCCAACACGTCGCCGAGAATCTGTCCAACCCTTCCACGGACATCGAGTTGCTCGAAGCTTCCAAGAATATCTGTGGTGTCGGTTGCGTTGTTGATGGGAATTTCCTGCAGGCGACAGCCAGCCAAGTTGGCGAATGTACGGACTAGCTGTGTTTTACCGCTATTGCGCGAACCAACCACGATACTGAGCCAGGATTGATTGATGCAGTGGCCAATGGATTCTATCGCAGAAAGCTGGTGCTGCAGAATTCGACCCGATCTCCGTGTACCACACAGGTTTCGACGTTCGCCAGTGAAGTGACCGATCTGCAGCAGCGAAGGGGAAATAGTATAGGGAGGATTCTTGAGAGCGTCGGAAGTCGTGTTGAACGTCGCGTCAAAAATGTCGCATGCGCGGGATCGGTCCTTCGGTGAGCGGAATCGGTCCAAATAAATTGTACGTAGGTACTGGCCAGGATGTCCGGAGGTCTGGGACTGGCAGAGCGTTCCCCAGCGAATGATGTCACGGAGATTGAATTCCCATGGTGCCCCCTCCCTGCCGAACGTCTTTCGGATGACGACTTGCTCGTTAAGTTGGCCATTGAAGGAAATCATGTCGCGAAGCGCGTCTTCACCGAGCTGGGAGAAAAGATGGCGACACACAAGCTGGTAATCTTCAGTGGTAAGCTCCTCCACGAATACCTTCGTGAACCGGTTGACGAATGACTTCGGTAAACCTTTTCTTCCCCCACCCTGGTTGAGGGGATTCTGTGCAGCGAAAATCCTAAAGGACGGGTGGCATTGGAAGGTGCGGCCGAGCTCAGGGATATAAACCGAGCTTCGGTGATCCAAGACGGCATTCAACCCCTCCAATACGGCCTGAGGAGCAAGGTTCATTTCGTCTAGCAAAACCCAGTGTCCCAGTTGCAACGCTTGCAAGAATTCTCCATCTCTCCACGCAAACTCTCCTGGTTTGCCACCTTCAACTGGCAAGTCGGAGCCGAAAAGGTCGACCAGGTCTGTTTGATCCGAAAGATTGATCCGGTGAAGCTTATGGCCGGTGATGTTGGCGAGGGCGGCGATCAAGCTTGTCTTGCCGACGCCAGGGCTACCCTCGAGTAGCACCGGCTTGGAGACCTGGCAAGCGCGGGCAATCCGCATTGCATTGCTTTGTGTGGTCGGGGCGGAGAGAGTGAAGAGGTGTGGTTTAGGTTGCAAGCCGCCGCACTTCATCGAGAACGGGCCCAGTTGGATGTGGGAGTGTGATGGGACGTCCGCGAGCGCCTCGTAAGGTTGAGGAGGTATTGGGACAAGGGCGTTGAGCTTCTTTGAAGCTTCGTCTTGGATACGCTTAATGGAATCCCTGGAATACCCCGATAGCTGGGGTAGCGATCCCAGCCCATCTAAATAGGTCATATGTGCAGCATGGTGCTGGATGGACATCATCAGTGGGACTATCGTCTTGGGTGTTCCACAAGTAACTCACAAAGATATGAGACGCTCTGACCGTATCCTGATTCCCAGATGGCAATGCAGAGTTGGTGAAAGCGACCCACGCCTAGAGCCAAATATAAAAATTTAGTCCGTGACCAAGGACAACAAGCGACGTACCAAAATGTCTCGCAGCCCCAGCAAACTTTTATCGCCCACACGGCTGCAGAGCCATTCCACAAAGTCGAGGATGTGTCGTGTGTAAACTCGAAGGTCTTCTTTCTTCCAAAGATTGTCGATAATGAGTTCTAAATCACCTCGATCGTCGACACGGGGGACATAGATCTCGGTGAAGCGGTTCCGCAGGGCTGGAGACAGTTCCTTCTTGCCGTAATCACCTCCAGGGTTCATCGTAGCGATAAGCTTGAAGTTTTCTGCAGCGGTAATGATGCGCCCTTCGAGATCGGAACCGCCTTGCTCTGCTAGCACGATGCTCCGAGCGGGTTCAAGAACACTGTTGAGCCGTTCGAGAACAGAGTCTTCGGCAAGGGATATTTCGTCCAGCAGGAAGACATCTCCGTCACGCATGGAGCAGATCAACGGACCGTCGTGCCATTCGAAAATCGACTGTGATTGAAGGAACTTCGTCTGGACCTTCTGAAGCTGGGTGCGCGAATCTGCATCCAAATCGGGGGCAGTCTTTAAGGTCCGTTGAACCAGGCTTGGGACCACCGCGGGGTCAGTGTCGACATCGCAGAGGCGCAACTTCTGAAGGACCTGGGTTGCGTCTTGCAGAGCTTCAGCTTGCATTGCGGAACGGTTTCTTAACGGGCGCAAACCACCAATGATGTCAGCGGTCTCGGTGTTCTGATGGCAGTTGAGACCACGCAATTGTTGATTGGTGGCATCGGAAAATACTTGGCAAACAGAGGTCTTTCCAGAGCCTGTTTCTCCAACCAGGAGGACGGGTTCGTTATACTTGAGGGCACGAGCCACCAGGACAAACAACCTCTGCATTGCCTTGGTCCAGATAACGTTCGCAGTTTGGGGGAAGGGGCAGCCTAGGAACTGGATGACATCGAGTTCGGGTCGCTTAAGGTCGTAGAGAGAGTTTTCATCGATCTTGACGCCCATGATCGTCTCGATGACCTCCTTGACGGCTGCTTTGTCTTCTTCTCGCCTTGTTCGTTCTGCCAAAAGCATATAACCGTTCTCTGCCAGTTCTTGGTACCCTACGGCATCCCTTCCAGCCCAACGGAACAAGTCTCGGAGAGTTGCAAAACCTTGCTTGCTCTCGAAGACACGACTGCTCTCACGGCGCTTTTGTAGTTCCCGGAAGACCATCACGATCTTCTTCCCATAGGATGGGGCGATGCGGCAGCGTTGGCACAGGATGGTTTCGAGCTCGTCTTGCGGTACGTCGTCGAAATGAACTTCGAGGAAACGATTCCTAAAGGCCCGCGAGAGGACCTTCCGACCGCCATACAATCCAGGTGGATTCTGGGTAGCGAATAGCATGAAGCTGGGATGAGGTCGAACAACTTCTTGAGTTTCTGGAATCACTAGTTCTCTATTGTCGTCCAAAAGCCGATTGAGCGCCTCCAGAACCTCGCTGGGGGCAAGGTTGAGCTCGTCCAAAACGATCCAACTCCCGGTCCTCAGTGCTTGTACCAAAAGGCCATCGCGGAAGACGAGCTTCCCGGTGACAGGGTCGGAAACGTAGGAACCAAGGTATTCTTGGATATCGGTATGCTCGTGGTTGTTGATGCGAATGAAATGGTGTCCCGTGCGTTTGGCCAGGTACTCGATGGAACTCGTCTTTCCACTGGAGGTGGGACCTTCGATAAGGACGGGGAACCGTTTGGTGAGGATGATACGGGCGAGGTCGATGAGTTTCTTCTCCACTGAGGGAGTCATGATGTACTCCTCAACGGGATCTTCCGGGAGGGGTCCCTTCTCCAGATAGAAAGGGCCAAACTTGACATAGTTGTCTCTATTAGCAGGAGGGTTGGGCTCTTTCGCCAACATAGATCGAGGATTGCGGACGCCATTGAGGAGGTGCTTGTGGGCCAAAGCGGTAACGACTTGCGCACTCTGCTCATCCAACACCATGGTAAACGCCATCAAGCATCCCTCCCAAACGGCTCTCCGAAGAGAGTAAGCATGAGCGATGTCCGAGGCAAACGTCAGGGCACGGGAAAGCGAACGCATACTAAAGTGTGGACGGTGGTTTGAGCCATCGGCTAACTGGCGTTTCTCGACGAGATCTTTTACCGCCATGTAGAACTCCGCGACGTTCATGATGACGCCTTTATCTCCAATGGCGTGGGATCCGATGTATTGCTCGATGATACTGAGTAGGGTATCTTTGTCCGCATCCGGAGGGGGGACGTCGATCTCCGTGAATCGAGCGCGGATATTAGGCGCAAGGTCCTTCTTGCCGACATCGGTTGCGGGGTTCATGCATGCGAAGAGACGGAAGTCAGGATGCCGGGGGATAGGTTCAAGTTCCCCGTTTTCGGTGAGTGTGATAGATGCTGTTGGACCGTGAAGGAGGCTGGTGACAGACTCCAGCGTCTCCGGGCTCGCCAAGTTGATTTCGTCAAGAAGTATCCTGAATCCATAGGTTAGCGTACAGTGAGGCACAGTGCAATGCAAGTCGCTTTTCTTACCAGTCGCCCTTTCTAAGCGCCTTCACCAGAGGACCTTCAACAAATCCAAAGGCAAATTTGCCCTGCCCGTGTACATGCTGCACCTCAAACTGCTCTACACTGGCCAGGAACCTGTTCCATCTATCTAGCGAAGATGAGGTGCCGTTTTCATCGAGCTTCCGACGCTTGCGAGGTAAAGTGGATTCCTGTTCCCTGTCCAGACTAGATTCTACATGAGCGCAGTGAACAATAAATCGATCACAGATGGCGCACCTTTGGACGCCCTTCTTTAACAACCTCTCCTGAGCCATCCTAACACTCTCCTTCCATAACCCAATTGCCCTCTTCCACTTGGCCTCGTTCACAGCCTTCCTCACCTCAGTTTCAAACTTCTCATTCTTCTTCCGACTGAAGGTCGACCCGAAAAGCTCGATGAACTCCTCGTATAAGGCGAAAGCTGGGACATGTGCATCCACAGGCTTCAGGCCTCCAATCAAGTCGGAAGACTCTGTCTGATGAGATAAATTGAGGGAGATCAGAGGCCTGCGCAAGAGAGACGCCATGTGGGTGATAGCACTGGTCTTTCCTGTTCCCGTTTCTCCGGTCAGGAGGACGGGTTCGTTGAGGGAAATTGCGGTTGCCACACGTGAGAGTAGGCATACTGCCGGGCGGTGGAGTGCGAATGGGCGGCTTTGGTGATTCGAAAGATCTGACTTCGTGATTCGTGCGGGGAGGTAGGTTCTTCCCACTCGGAGTCCGGTGGCATGGCCATTGGCGTCTTTTTGAACATAGAAATCAGGCGTTTTCTTGTTGATGAGCCAGTGGCATCGCTCTTGATCCAAGGAGAGATGTTGGGCGATCACACGAGCGACGTTCTCTGTGGCAGCCCTAGCACTCGCAGTCAACGTCCCGGAGCCAAAGAATACATCCCTGGCCTCTAGGAACAGGTCCTCTCGAACAACTGGGTTCGAGAGCAAGTCTGCCAACGTAATCTCCGAGGGGTTTTGGACGTCGATATCCATCGCTTGAGAGGTTGGAAGTAGCCCTTCCAGCCGTTGACAAAACTTCACCAGTTCACGCAACCCAACTGTCCTGGATGATGATGCCCGCGGTTGCTCTTTGATCGAAGTCCAGAGGTTGATGGCAGCATTGGCCAACGCGCCCGCCAGGTTGGGGAATTGAGTCTTGATGATGGTCTCGAGCTCGGCGGGTGTTGCAGACTGCAGTGTAGTTTCATAGAACTTGTGTGCTCCGAAGAAGGTCGGCGAAGGGAACTTCCCTGTGGGGGAGGGGGCAATGGACCGTGTGGCGAAGAGCATGAAGTCTTCATGGGCTTCAACCTCTCCCCGCCCCGGTACATAGATGGATGCCCGCCCTCCGATCCATTTGTCCATGCCCAAGGATTCGACAAGAGGTTTGAGCGTCCCCAACACCTCGTTACTGGCCCGGTCAACATCGTCCAAGACGATCCATTTGCCCTCCCTCATGGCGCGAACGAGGACTCCTTCCTTCCATTCAAAGGTTCCTGGCTGCGTTGTCGAAGAAATGTATGACCCAAGCAACGAACGTGGGTCCAAGGAGGTGTCAGCGAGGTGAATCGTGATGATTTGGTTTTTGACATTTGGGTAGAGTTGCGCCGCCAAGTAGGCGAGGATGAGGGCCTTCCCCGCCGAAGGAGCCGATGTAAGCAGGGTCGGTAGTCGTAGAGACACATGGTGGGCAAGGGATCTGAGGGTGTCGTTGCCCGACGGCGTTGGAATATAATTGGTCGGTTTCGGGGGGAGAGGAACGGATTTTAGGAGGAGCACTCCTTCGATGTTGGCAAGGTATGGGCTATGCAAGTCGTCAGTATTAAGGCGAGAAATAGATCACGTTTACAAACCTCAAATCTGCTTCTTCGAGCTGAACTCGGGGCTCGGTGTCGTCGGTAGGATAGAAGTTGACCACCTCTGTCACCAACTTATTCCTAGTCCGACACACTCTTTCACTCTCAGCATTTTCCAATATCCAGCAATCCATGTGCTTCGTAGATCCATCAACCTCGCTCCCATATTCCACAACGCACTCCGAGTCGTCGTTCCGACCAACAACCTCTTCCTCGAGACGCATACTCTCTGCATCTCCCATCCCAACCTGGATGGCGTAGCATTTTGCTGCGAGCAAGCGAATACCGTGTTCAAGCCCATTCGTCCACATCAAGGTGGACAGTAGCGCAGGGGACCAATTGCATTGCGAAGGTAGTTGACGATTAGCGCGTAAAATTCGATAGTAGGCAAGTAGAATTGCCGATAGCCGTGATTTGTCTATTGATTCTAGTGAAGTGGCGCATACGAAGGTGAGGGGTCCCCGCGGGAAGTAGTTTTGCATAAGTCGTGAAAGTATTCTACAACGATGATTTAGCTGCGGAAATGAAGTAGAAGAATGTTGAACGCACGGGAATAGTTCCTCGTGAACCTCCAGCAAGTATGCCAGAGCACACAGGTTTCTCTCTGGATTTTTTCCATCCTCCAGCCATCGAGCGCACAGGTCCATGAGTATAGGGCGAAACAAAGTCGCGACGATTTGAGTATAGGCTGGATTCGACAACAAGGTCGACAACGTGTTCAAGAAAGACTGCGTGTTAGATGCATTTTGGAGCTCTGTGATAGAGACTGATCCTGGTGGTATGACAGAGGCTAGATGCTGAGTTTGTCGCTGGAGGTGGACTGCGAGAGGATTTTGATTTCGGTATGTCGTTACGGTCGTCATTGTGATAAAGTTTTGGATGGGATCTTGAAGGTCATTAGCACTGTTCCAAGCAACTTGGGAACATACGGTACCTGAAACCATAAAACCCGTCTAAAGAAGGGCGTTTTGAGGTCGTCAACCAGACAGAAGATGCGAAAACTCAAAAGTTCGTCTGACAGTGATTCCCATTTGGGCACCAAAAAACTCGCGATCAGATCACGTGCACATGGAGAATAGATAAGATAACAAAAGATCTAGTGCGGCACTTTTACATTCGACTACTTGTACGTTACTACTCTACATCCTCTCCAATGGCCTAATGGTCAACAGCTTCAACGCACTACCGAGGACATCCCTGGCACAGAAATAGAGGAACAAACGCGCACTTGCTTTATCCTTTTCGTCTTCACCAAGACTCTTCACGACAACTGCATCCCAAGCGCTGCTGATGGCATGGGCCAACCTGAAGGCGAAGGTGACGACTCCACTTGGTTCGTGTGTCTTCAAGGCAGTCTTGACCACGTCTGGGTACGATCCCAGCAGGAAAGCGATCTCCCTAGCCTGGTTGGGCGTGTGTGGTGACGCAAGGAGTTCGAGCTTGAGGTCCTTGGGCTCAGCCAGAGGGAGGAGGTGCGGGTTCTTCCTCTTGAGCGACTCCAGTCGCACATGTGCATACTGGAGATAAGGGCCGGTATCGCCCTCAAACGACAACATCCTCTCCCAGTTGAAGGTGTAGTTGTTGATCCTCTTCGCCGCCATATCCTGGATCTTCACGCCAGTAATACCAATCTCCCTACTCGTCGTCTCGGGATCCTCCACAGCACTGTACTTCTCCTCGTTCGCCTTCATCTGCTCATGCATCACACTCGCCGCCTCGTTGATGATCTGGTTCAAGAATACCACTGTCCCCTTCCTCGTTGACATACCCTGCACCAAGCCATAATTGATGTGCAACAAATCCTTCGCCCAAGGGAACTCCATCAACTCCAACACCTTGAAGAACTGCGCGAGGTGGAGATCTTGCTGACTCGAAACGACGTAGATCATTTTGTCGAACTTGTACTTTTCGTAACGCTCGATAGCACCGCCGATATCTCGCGTCAAATAAATGCTGGTTCCGTCCTTCTTCCTCACCACAGCCTTGCCCAGCTTCCACTTCTCCAAGTTGATCAACTTGGCGCCGTTGGACTCCTCAATCAACCCCATTTCATCCAACCGCTCCAGTGCCTTGTCTATGCTCTCCTTCCCAACCTCACTCTCTCCGGTATAGACATCGAAAGACACGTTCAGTCTTTCGTATTCGTCTTCGTATTTTTTGATTGACATGGATCGCCAGACTTTCCAGTTCTCGAGGGCAGCGGGGTCGCCATCTTCCATGCGTTTGAACCAGGCGGCGGCATTGGCTTTGACTTCCGGGTCGGCTTCAGCGTCCTTGTTGACCTGGACGTAGACGTCGAAAAGGTGTTTAATCGCGTCGGCCTCGAGAGCTTCTTGGTTGCCGTACTTTTCGTACCCGCTGGCGATCATACCGAACTGGCGCGCCTGTTAGTACAAGCCAGGACCACGAAAGTGAATGCGCACCTGAGTGCCCCAGTCACCGAGGTAATTCATTGAGACGACATCCCATCCACATGTCTTGTAGAGGTTGGCGAGGAAGGCGCCAATGATCGTACTCCTCAAGTGGCCGACGTGGAAGCTCTTCGCAATGTTGGGGGAGGAATACTCGATGATGACTTTCTTGCCTTCTCCAACACTATTTTGTCCATACAAGCCGTCTTCACGTCCAGCAGACTTGGGGACGACATGTGTGAGTTCGTACACTTGAGTGAGCACGGCACGAATCATGTTGTTGGTATTGAGTCGGAAGTGGAGGAAGGCTTTGTCGTGGACGACAGATTCGATGTATTCATTGGGTGTAAACTGACGTCCCCTTGTAAGCTTTAGTCTCAGACATGGGGGAGAATAAACACGCACCTTGTCGATGACCTTTTTCGCAATCTCGTCGACCTTCCCTGGAAGCCTAAATCGGGGAAGAGCAACAGTGAAGTCCTCTCCCTTCTTCCCGTAATCCACTCCGTCATATGCCTTCTCGATGGGCAGTCCGAGCGACTCCGAAAGAAGTTGTGCAATCGCAGTCCTGAAGCTGTCCAACACACATGCTGACGGGTTCGTCTCTGGAATGACCGGGAGGGGTGGCAAAGAGAACGAAGGCTGATAAGATTTCAAGAGCTGAGAGGCGGTCGCCATTTTGGCTGTGTTGTTGGTGACTTTGACAGTCGAAGTCGTCGTCGACAGCGTTCTTGGCGATATTCTTAAGCGCAGAGAAACAAAGGTCGGTCTCTGGCAACGAAGGTTTTTGAGGAAAAGGCGGGATATAGATAGGGAAGCCAGTTTTGTCAGTGATCGATGGAAATTGCAAGTCACGGACAAGTCACAAATGTCAATGACACACGTGGTCTGGTAAGCGCTAAAGGGACCAGTGGCTGTGCCTTCAGTGCGCGACCGACTCGGCGGGAAAGGATCCTGGCGTCGTTCCTCCTTCGAGAAGCACAGCAGAGGTCCCAATACTGAGTACACATGTATAGCGTCTAGGACATTGTGAAAGCATGGAAGTTATGTAAAAAGCTAATATGTATCATTCTATATCCTTTCCGAATTACTCCATGTCAAGATAAAGGAAGGGGAGAAATCGATGGTAATACAAGTCCCTACAAATTCAAAGAAATCCGGAAAGTCACAGCGTGTCCAATAAGGCAAAATGGTCTGATGACAATAGCGGAAACACCTATGTCCGTAGAATGGAGGTCATTAAATACTATTGGGCACGATGATATGAGTCTGAACAGAACTCGGCGAAGGCGTCGAGGGCAAGTCGGAATCCGACCCCGCTTCGTCCGAGCCAGAGTCAGCAGGTGTCTCCACATCTTCTTCGAGATCTTCTCCTTCATCGTCATCGTCCTCTTCATCTCCCTCTGCGAAGGTTTCTACTATGACATACACCCTTTGATCGGCCTCCGCCACCTTGGTGTATCCCTCCTCACTAACCCAACACCCATTCTGCGCAAGAGCATCGAGGATGGAATCTTCTCCCTTCATCGCAGTTGACCAGCGCACAATCCAGTGCCTAAGGCAACTCTGGACCGCTCTTCTCTTGATCTCCCTCTCGATCTCGGTGCCAGGGAGACCAGAAACTTTGATAACCTCCAGCTTGGGGACCAGCAACGGTTTGGAGGTATGCATCGTCTTGACCCCTCCTTCCGACTCCCCCGTCAATACACTCCAAAAACCTGGCCCAAGCCTCGAGAAGTCTACCTCCAACCGCTTCAGCCCTTCCAATGCGCCGAGGAGCGACTTCCAGCTTCGAAGGCTGCAATCTAAAGCGGATATGACTACGGTTTCGAGCTTGGATATGTTGGGAAGTGGGCCGGTATAAATGGACATCGTGGTCGGTGATGGGGATACCACCTGTCTATCCAACACCGTGTCTGATAACAATGACGAGACGGACATCTTCGAACGAGAATCGCTGCCGATGGGCGGGGTTGCAGGGGGCGTGGCCATGACCGTAACCTCGGTCTTGCGAGTAACGAGGTCGATGAAGGTGGTATAGTCCTGATCGCACAAATCCCACGTAATCTTCTTCACGTTGGGGAGATGCAACCTCTCCATAAGGTCACAGAGGTAGTCCGGGTCGAGGTCCGTCAACCCTAGGTCCGTCAAATGCTCGAGGATTATCTTGTTGCTGGTCTCGTGCCAAGCGAGCTTGTCCTCCCCCGTGTCCACTCGGGGGCCGGAATAATGAAGGTTGAGACTCTGGAGGTTGGGGCTGTTTCGGAGGATATGATCCCAGCATTCGTAGGATGGTCGTATGTTGTCGGGATGGAGAGCAAGCTCCAACTTTTCCAAGTTCACCAGGTAGGGGCTACGGGTCCATGGGAGGTTGACCCCGATCAAGGACACGTTCCGCAACCTGGGGAGGGAATTGCTGAACACAACGACTGGTGGCCGATACGTCGCTAAGTACAGGTTCTGCGCTGTGCGATAGTCCTCGAAGTGATACAGCTGGAGGGTCTCCAATCGTGGGGCTGGACCACAAGAGCCGAGGTAGTGTCTGGCCGAAAGCTTGCATTCGTTGTCACGGACCTTGAGGTGGAACGATCGCCAGTGAGCGACGTGGGGGATGATCAATTCAAAGATGGCGTTGATCTCCTCGCGGCAGAGTGTGACCCCGGGGATATGCTCTTCCTGCGCCACAGTATCCACTAGGATATCCAATAGGTAGTTGCTGGATGCAGAGCATCGCTCGAGGTAGGCTTTGGCACGGGGGATGTGGACTGGCTCCCGAAGGTGGATGGTCTTCCATAAGGAGGGAGTCCGGATGGCTATCTGGCGCCAGCGGTGGCACACATGGGAGGCCAGCGTCTGGAAGGAGGAGGGAGGTGGGTAAATATCTTGGTTGGGCTTGAGTAAGAAAGGCGAATCTTCATAGAGATAGTCGTATCCCGCGCCCAGAACGAATATTCGAGTGAGAAGTTCGACAGGGAGAGTGTTGATGGATGCTGGCCGGTGCGAGAACTGGTGGACTTTCATGGCGAAGAAAAGGTACGGAGTCGTCGACAGGGTCTGTACAGAAAAGTGGGTATCCTGTTGCTGACCAACTTGTCCACGGTGATGAGCCCCACGGTCCTGGGTTGTCGGGGTTGCTCGATGCACGAAGGAAGTCTGACAATGGCCGAGGACATTAGGCGGTTGCCCGAAAGCTACAATCTTCCAAACCCACCTTTTGGGCGATGTTACCTACAGAGCCACGACAACAAGAATTTAGCACAATGAGTGGACCAGAAGGAGAATTCGAGCAATACACACCGCTTCCTGACACCGCGTTCCAGCTGAAGAGCGGTTATTACGGAAGACAGTCGCCGTGCGCTAGAACAAAGATGAACAGGCCCTGGTCGTCGCGGAGGCTGACTGGGAAGAACACTGCTTAGTCGATGAGAGGACACGATGCTCAATAGCAGCATCAGCCTTCTACATGACCCGACGATCCCCAAAGCCCACAGTTAAGAACCTTCGGCAAGGAGCATACTGTCAGTTAAAGTAAAAGTTAAATCCCCGATCTGCAGACCCAATTGCTGGTTTTGGCGCGTTGCTTCCCGTCACCGAAGATGGACAGCTTCCACATCGACACACCCTGAAATCGACGTTTATGTATCGCCGCAGGGGGTCCTGTAGGATGAACTCGCAGGGTGCAACCGCCAGTCAAGGGAAGGAAACTCCAGGGCTGACGCCATCTCCGCCCTGGTAGGATATGGAAAAAGGCAAGGTAAAGAGCGTGCATCAAGGTGGGACCGTTGTGGCTATCGAAAGGTGAGAAGAATCTCAGTGGCGCAACTTCCAATCCAATCGTGACGGGAACACTGAATCAATGAGTGTTTTAGTTGTGGCACGAGAGGATTGCGGATGAAGGTAAAACAAATAATGAAGAAAGGGTCTGGACGGGCCCACGGGGCTTCTGATTTCAGTGATAAATCAACGCCGAAACCACTCAGTAGAATATACCAGCCTGCATAACGAAACAGAAAGTATGGGCAACTATGCGAAATACATGAGGTTGTTCTTCTTCTTGCTTTGTACTTGGGGGATTTACGTCAGTATAGGAGGTCCAAAAATTCGGAATTGGATATCTCACCTTCTGCTATACCGCTCAAGAAGTGTTCGTGATTTAGCTTAGTTGCACCTTCGCGTAGTGCAATCATACCGGCCTCCACACAGACCGCCTTGAGTTGGGCTCCGTTGAACTCGTCCGTACTCCTAGCAAGTTCATCGTAGTTGACGTCTGGTGAACATGACATCTTCCGTGAGTGAATCTCCAGGATACGGGCACGAGCGGTCTCGTTCGGCAGAGGGAATTCAATTTTCCGATCCAGACGACCAGAGCGCAGCAATGCAGGATCGAGAATGTCAATTCGGTTTGTTGCAGCGATGACCTGCCAATTGCTTGTCAACTTAAAGTCTGAGTAATTCATAGGATTGAGCTAACCTTGATACGTTCATCACTTCCGAAACCATCCAGCTGGTTGAGAAGCTCCAACATGGTTCTCTGGACTTCACGATCACCACTCTTGTCCGAGTCGAATCGTTTGGTTCCAATGGCGTCTAGTTCGTCGATGAAAATGATAGCAGGTGCCTTCTCCTTTGCCAGGGCAAATGCGTCCCGAACGAGCTTGGCGCCGTCACCGATGAACATCTGAACCAGCGAAGGGGCAGCGAGCTTGAGGTAGCAGGCGTTGGTAGATGCAGCACATGCTCGAGCGAGAAGGGTCTTGCCCGTTCCTGACGCAACGAGGATAAGTTTTGACGAGACGAACGCCAGCAGCGAGCGTACCTGGAGGACCATACATCAAGCAACCCTTCGGCGGTTTAATTCCGAGGGTCTTGAACTTGTCCGCTTGTTCCATAGGCAGGACGATAGCCTCGACTAGTTCCTCAATCTGCTTTTCCAAACCACCAATGTCGGTATACTTCTCCGTCGGCCGTTCATCAACTTCCATAGCCTTCACTCGCGAGTCGAATTCCACGGGGAGGGTGTCCAGAATGAGATAAGAATCCTTGTTCACACCGACGAGATCTTGTGGTTTAAGGTTCTCGGGAGGAACGAGGCCAATCATTGGGAGGAAAACGGTTTGCCGTGTTGAGGTTTTAATGACCGCACACTTTCCTTTCCTCATAGAGTTCTCGTCCTGTGCTGAACCAGCTTCCTCGCCTTCAGGATCCAGGTCAAGAATCTGAAACGCAATAATTAGCGGGGTGGGAGGACGTGATTAATGGTTTACCAACTTCGACGACGTTTGCAACAAGGTAAGGCAATACTTTGTTCTGTTTAATCTTCTCCCCGTTGTCACGAATCTTCTCCTTCATCACGCTTTGCTCGTGTTGCAGCCGGAGGGTCTCTGACCTCATAACCTGCCGATATCGTTTTAATTCTGAAAGACCGCTTCACAGATCGAGCATACCTTGATGTCGTTGTCAATTAGCCGTGTTCGTGTAGCAATTTCGTCTGCACTCAGAGAGAGAATGTCTTCAGGAATATCGTCCCAAGTTTCCTCGGGCGGGGGTGGCGGGACGGTATCTGGGGAGGTGTCCATCTGTGCATTGTCTGTCTGATCTGTCGAGGAGAGCAGAGGCGTCTCCTCTGGCTTCTTCTCTGAGTTTGATGGAGGATCGTTGGGCGGCGTCGAGGAGGACATTGTGCTCGTCGTCGTTGTTGGAGGAAAGCTTGGAATTGCAATTAATGGGTAGCCCACGACGCGTAAGGACACGCGTCGCCCATTGGCCTCTGTTCCAAACAACGACAAGCAACATCCATCACTGGTGCAACCGACCCGCTCACTGCTCTTGTCCTCATGGCCGACGCCAATGCAATACCAACGCCCGAGGACAAGTCCCGTTATGATGCCCTGAGGAGGGAGCTGACCCAGGCAATTCCCAGGAAAAGGCTGATCGACAAGCAATTGGTGAGCGAAAATCTGAATCTTAACACAGTCTGCATCGTAGTGACCACTGACCAGGCCCAAATAGAATTGCAAATATACAACCTCGAGGCCTCATATTTGACGGAGACTGCTGCCCATAGCGGTGGCAACATCATTCAAGGGTTTGAAGGATATCTCAAAAACCAGACGGCAACCAGGAAGAAATATGAAGTCGGTGACCAGGACCGTGTCTTCTCAAACAGCAGCACTACCTACCAGAAGGTACGCGATCGACGACATGGCCTTCCGCTCGACTGACATCGTGTAGTCCTTGGACTTGACCGGAGAAGGGGACGAATCTACCGCCCCTGATGACTTCAAACAGCCCATGAATGGACCGACGACTGTTGTGCTTCCTCCGGCTCCCAAGACCCATGAACAGTCTCTGCAGGCCAAACGAGCCAGGGACAAGGAGTATCAGCGCAGGAAGCGCGCTAGTGCAAGCCTTCGAAGTACTGCCGGCGAAAGTGAAGAAGAAGTCAGTGCCTCTTCAAGAAGAGCCAACAAGCGAGCGCGGGTAGCCGATGACGACTGAAACCTGAAATGTTGTGTATCTTGTGTGAGTCTATCTGCTTGTTGTTGTGAACCAAAGCTAATGCACCAGTAGGTATACTATTGTAATGGATATAATGATATTGGCTTCATGTAAAGTTACAGGTCCAACGTTTGCAGGAAGGCCTTGATGTCGTTCGCGTCCTTCCCCTCGCCATCAGGATCGACGGCCTCGATGCATCGTGCGATGGCAATAGTGTGCTTGACATCTTTGGTGCTAATCCAAACCCGTCCATTCATTCCTATTGCTGATTCCAATGGGAAACGGGCTCCTAACAGCGGGAAGAGGAAGTGTCTTGGGTCCAGAAGACTGGAGCGAAAACCGGTCAAGAACGCGACGGTCCGAACGAACAACACTTACTCTCGGCAGAGCTTCAAGCTACACTTGATCATGAATCCGCCCTTTAATTCTCCAAAGCCCTCGGCTTTTCTTGTCTGCGCGTCGAAGCACTCGAGTTCCGGTTCCATGTCCTTGTGTGCAAGAGAGACTCGGGCATAAATTAGGCTGCCCACCTTGATAGAGAATATTGTCGATTAGTGACCTAGTGGCTGTTTGTGGCACGACGTTACCTTCAGATTAGGTTTATTCCGTTTAGTAGCTCCTTCGAAAGCCAGAGCATCAAGTGAGGCCTGGTGCGCACTTCCAATATCCACTCGATATCCTTCGCCAAGTCGCTGGGTTACGACGCCGATTACAGATTCCTGCGGTGCTGGGACATACTGCGGCAGTGATTAACATGAATACCCGAGAGCATGAAAGGTTTGGAGACGAACACGCCTTGAATTGCCCTCAACCCACCATTTACTTCGGTTTGTAGAGTGGTTTAGAACCCCTGCCTTGGTGGATATCACTGTAGTTTCTGAACTTTCGCCTGTATAATTGGATTGCTGTAATAGACCAGGGCCCAACTTGAGGTTCACATGCTTTGCAGGGACTTGTTCTCCGGGAAGAACGACGGCCATGGTGGTCAAAGAAAGAAAAGTTACGAAACTTCGCAGGGCTTTGCTCGCCATCAATCGCGGCGCTCAAGCTCGGACGACGCCACCACGGTCTTGCGGCGACCTCCACCTCTCTTCAAGCGCTGCGATATGAGTACACCCTTGCTCACGGATTTTCCGGAGCTTTCTCATCTATCGTGAGTAGACAAATGTGGGTGTTGGAAGATGTCCTGCTGACGGCTTATTGCAGCCGCGAAGACCTTGAAGAACTCCTAGAGGATCCAACCTACTTCCAAGCGATTTTCCATTCCCTACAACGCGTCAAGGATCTGTACAATCAACAGGCAGAACTGGGCTCTGCAAACGAGTCGATCGCCAGTAAGCAGTGATATGCAGGCCCCGACGATCACATCGATGCTCAAAGCACCTTAGAGAACAATCTCGCTCTCCAGCAACCGCTCTACAAACTCCGGGAAGAAACTCAAGCGGCGTTTGACGAAGCTAAAGCGCTGGAGAAACGATGGCTGGAACTCGAGAAGGAGCAGCGTGAAGTCTACCAGGTCTGTCCTCGCCTAGACAACAACCTCTTCCCGGTGCTGAGATGCGGCCGAGCAGAGATTTACACCACAATTCCTCCTCATGCGCCTCAAGCACAGTATCACCGCACAGGACGACGCTTCAGAGGCCTTAGCCTCCTCGTTTGTCCAGCAACTTCCCGACCTTCCTTCGTTGGATCGGGACGGCGGGGGAAGCAAGCAAGCCAGGGGCGGTCAAGAAGTCGACCAATTCATTAAGGAGTTCAAAGAAGCGCGGAAGATATACCACAAGCGAGCTCTTTGGGCTGAGAAATGGAGTCAGGGACAGGTTTTCTGGCGTGATAGCTGAATGGTCATGCCAGGACATGTTCTACTACTGCCTGTGTCCTCAACACAACTCTATCCTCCGGCTCCTTGTCGGAACCAGTGCCGATCCTCAGCCCACCTCGCCATCCTAGGCCGATATTCAATCTGGTCATCTTACCCAAATCCCACCGAAACGCGACATGTCAACAGACCCTTGGACGCGCGTCTCATCCATGTTTCCGACCCACTTATTGTCACCGCGCTTCAGAAGAAACTTCGGGCTAATAATTTACCCTGCACCTTCAGCACAACGACAGCGAGTTGCCAGTTCGGTCGGTGGCCTCTTCGATTGCTCCCAGTCGCTCACCTGGCCTCCAGCTACGGTTCCCATGCGAGGTAGCGTGTAAGAGGCCGTTCTCCTAGCCCACGGTTCTCTCGGACTGTGTGAACTCGCCTCGATGTCATTGGCCCTTTGGCATCGCATTTGCATGTCGCCCCACCCTCCGTAGAACCAGCGAATGCGGGCCGCATTTGACCTCATCCGTCACTGCGATTATTGGGAGTCTTCCCAACGCTTCCACTGACTTCTTCAGAGTGACGCTAATTCGTCTAACTGTCTTTGCCGATGATATGGAAGTGATCTATAATTATCCGAGAATATAGCCTTGCATCCGTCACGAGCATGGTTTGCGCTGTGGGAACTCGGGATCTATTCCCCCCTTCTACCTCAACAGGCTATGATTTCCCCAAGCTTCCCCATGGTACCGGTGCAACGACCAATGCGAGGTTAGAACGTCGGATCGTCTGCGGGGAAATTGTATCCCCATCCAACTTCAAGAAGCGCTGATCAGTAAACACAAGCATGAAGACATGCCGCTTTTGTCAACTTTTCTACTCGTGGGCCCCCGCAAACATCCCACCCAAGCTTTCTTGACCATTCGTTCATTTGCAATCCAAACGTTCCGCTCTCCTGCTCCTCTCTCCGCGCCAATGGGCAGCCGGAGCATTCTTGATCTCGTATCTTCCTAGGCAAAAACCCCGGACCAGGTTTTTTTTGATATATAATGGACCTGAAATCATCCTGATTCCAGTAGAGTCCATCTCATATCCTCCGCCATGAAGAACCTTTTCAGCCTTGCCACCCTTGCCGTCCTCCTCTCCAGCGTTTCGGCGCACACCATCTTCCAGGTTGGTGCAGACGTTCCTACTTACTAGGTGATGGAGACATTCTGACTTGTAGATCTAGGAGTTGCACGTCAACGGCGTTCGCCAGGGTCGCACTGTCGGTATTCGAGTTCCCTACTACAACGGTGTATGTCCCAGCTTGATTACCTTCATGTTCCCTTGCTCAACCTTGCTCTAGCCCATTGAAAACGTCAACTCCAACGACATCATTTGCAACGGAGGCATCAACCCTTACAAGACCCCCATCTCCCAGACCGTCATCCCCGTCCCCGCTGGCGCAACTGTCACTGCCGAATGGCGCTACACCCTCGACAGCAAGCCCGGTGACAACTCTGACCCCATTGACCCATCCCACAAGGGCCCTATCTTGGCCTACCTGTACGTACTTGCTCTCTCATTCGATGATGTAACTCGTTGGACTGACTCGCAATGTCTAGTGCCAAGGTTCCTAGCGCTACTCAGAGCAATGTCACCGGCTTGAAGTGGTTCAAGATCTACCATGATGGCTACGATGCTGCCACCAACACCTGGGCTGTTGACAAGCTCATTCGCGACCAAGGTCTCGTCTCCTTCAAGATCCCCGACTGCATCGAGGACGGTGACTACCTCCTCCGTGTCGAGCTGATCGCTCTTCACTCTGCTTCAAGCTACCCTGGCGCTCAGTTCTACGTATGTGGAGCCCGACTCTCTCTTCACTACATCTTTACTCACCCCTTCACTAGATGGAGTGCGCGCAGATCAGAATCTCTGGCGGCGGAAACGTTACCCCCTCCAACACTGTCAGCTTCCCTGGTGCCTACTCTGGATCCGACCCTGGCGTCCGCATCAACATCTACCAGGGTGTCCGATCCTACACCATCCCCGGCCCCAGCGTCTGGACTTGCCCTGCTGGCAGCGGACCCGGAAACCCTGCCCCCACCACTCCCGCTCCCCCCGTCGTCCCCACCACCGTTGCTCCCCCTCCGGTGCAAACCACCGCTCCCCCCACCACTCCTCCCTCGCAGGGTACCGTCCCTCAGTGGGGACAGTGTGGCGGTAACGGATACAGCGGCCCAACTGAGTGCGTTGCCCCCTTCCGATGCGTCAAGACCAACGACTGGTACAGCCAGTGCGTTGCATAGGTTGTTCACGGCCGCTTTGAACTACACTACATACCCACCGCATTTGTTATTTAGTAAAATTAATCTATCTATTCCGCATCTTAGGTCAAATTGCGTTTGGACTAAGCCGCTGGGATGCCAACTGCCATCTCAGATTCATGCCCTTGTACTTCGAAGTTCGACCCGGCGAATGTGTCATTGCCCTACAGCATTATGTACAGCTAGTGTGACAGGGGCGCATGGAAAATGTGGTAAGGCGAGAAGGTCCGGCTTGCTTTAGTTGTATGACGTTCAGGTGCAAGCTGAACGAGAAAATGTTGGAGCCCGACATTTGCTCTACTGCTCTGATTTTCTCCACAGGTATAACGATCTCGTTTGTAGACGAGACGAACCTTGGTCCTTGGTCGGCAATGACCCCTGTCAGGGGAGAACTGCCTGGGAGTCCACACCAAACGATTGGTAGGGAGTATTCCACCTTCTTCATACCTGTGCCAAAAATTAAGGGGAGCGTGCGATATCGATCATGACCAGAGCCCTGTCGACAGGCCAATCCCAGTTCAAAGGCATAGTGTACCCCCGCATCGTTCCATCTCGCGGAAGTCCGCGTTGAGTATGGGCAATGGAGAATCTGCCGAATCAATTGAAGCGCTCGTCGGTTTCGAATTGATTCAGAGGAAGGAGGGATGGTGCGCTCTCGGCCCGAGAGCGCAGCGGAATTCCGCTGTAGAAAAGGTCGCGGCGACCGATTCAACGTAGAACGTATCCCGAAGTCTATATACGAGTTGAAAGCCAGGTGGGAGATATAAGCCAGGGAGATACGCACCCTCGCTGGACTAAGGGAACGTCTGGCAAGGTTCGCGGCTCCGTCAATGGCTGGTTGCGCTGTGCGGAAACGTCAGGTTGCTGATCGTTGACGCCAGGAGCGCCGCTAGCAAATGCGTACCAGTTCTAGAGGGAACAGACGATACACCGTCAGAGGAAAGGAGCGTTGGAGATGGGGGGTCGGGTTCGATGAGACCAGCTAGAGGGAAAGATAGAAACCAGGAAATGGCCTCTTAAATAGCATCGATGCCATCGATGTTCTCACGCCTTGAAATCCGGAGCTCCTCTGTTTCGATCACGGGCGCTTATTCGACCCATCCCTCCGAGTCCAGATGAATCGGACATGGAGAACCCGCTATATCATTGCAAGCCTGTGCGAGGAGAGTGTAGGTTGTTACTGTACATCGTTTCTGTCTTATAACGATACGTTCGAGTCCGGCTCGAAAGTCGATGAGCCCCCGTTTCCTGTCCTTCCAAGGTTTTGAGTCCGAAGGTAGACATCGGTCACTTAACTCATAGTAAAATGAGTTCAAAATCTCATCGCGAGATTTAATACCACCTTCATATACAGCACAACCGTGTCAGTCAAGTCCTAGTCCTGCGAGCCCATACAGCGATCATCGGGCATATATACATCATAGGCTATCGGGAGATTGACTTTGCGGCATTCCATACCCCACACCTCTCGCTGATGAATTCAGCGGACGATGTGAGTGCACCAATTGACATTGGCTGAAGGGGAGGTTGACGCACAGCGTAAGGTCTGCCACAATAGCGACACTCCGAACGCCGGCGAACTGGCTTCGCCAGTAAAGGACGAGAATCAATAGAGCTCTCTTATGACCCAAGCCTCTCGGTGACCTTGGACTAGGGAAATCCCTAGCCCTAGAGGTTTTATTCAGCGCACGTTCTTTGTAACCCAAACAAAGATACTTACTGGCGAGGAGATCTCCTCTGATTCGCGAACCATGGTCATGTTGACCTTGCGCAAGTGCTATGATCGTAGACGAGCGGAACTGCAGTAACAGAATGATTGTCAGCTCTCTGTATGTCCAAACGGAGGTCACGTAACATACAGATCAACACCCCCACGGAAAGGACTGTCCCCTTTGGCCAAAAAAACAGTGGATGAACGGGCGGTGAGGGCAATTGAGACCAGGCTGAGGGCCAATTCCCAGGCCCATGAAACCTATTTATATGATCTCCTTGCCTTCGTGGCTTATCGATGGTGATTTGATAACCATTGTGACTCTCCGGCGCTTAAATTCTCTCCAAACACTTCCATCCCCTGCAACATGTTGTACGGGACCAAATGATGGACGAGACTTTCGAGTAAACAGGATTCCAGTACACCAGACTCATGTTGTAGTATCGCGGTAAAAGGCTTCGAGCTCGACATGTCCCGTCGGTGACGACTCGAGTCGGAGTTGGTTCACTGTGACCCATCTTGGACACATCGGATTTTTTCAGCGTGCTGTCCAAGATGACAAGTGCAGGGCATACTCTGGCTGCCTCGAGGACCTAGGATAGAATCCATGAAGACGTAAAAGACACCCGCAAGCCATGACACATGACCAAGTCGCCAAGGTCGAAGGGGCCGGGAACCACGGGTATGTATTGGGGCAGCAAACAGATGTAGATGGCAGCCTTCTCGCTCAAATCCCAATGAAGAAAAGTTTATACTGTACGACAGATTCATTCGAAGATAGTCCAGAGAGTGATAAAGAATAAGTCGTATGTAGATGGCCTGGGGTATTTGATTTTACAAAAACGGACAGAAAAACCAACTTGGGTTGGAATTCTGGCCGATTCCCTTCACCACTGGCAGTGATACACCACACGAAGGGCTCCGCCCGTAGGCAGAAGCTGGAAAGATGTAAGCGGTGAACCAAGACTAGCCTTGACGAAGGATAAACTTACTGGACGTCGTCCACACAGCTACAAACCCACCCCATATGTGACCAATGCCAAGATCGCTGGAGAGAGCTCTGCAAGGATCATCGTTCTTCGACAAACATCGAGAGAACCTAAGCAACCCGCTTTCCAGTCAATCATTGGATGAAAGGAAGATAGATCATGGGGTTTCTCACCTGGTCGTTCGCCACGAGGAAAGGGATTGAGCTGGGGAATACTATAAGTATGTAGTATTCCCGAAGGGATGTTGGCAACGTGAGGACATCAGATTATAGCAGCAGTTGTTTAGGGCAGGCTTGGAAAGCTGCTGCCATTGATCCGCGCATCACTTCTCTTCATGGAATTAGTGCCTGGAACCCAACCTGACTCAACACAAGTTGAAGCGGAGGAATAAAGGAAGCCACCATGGCGAGGGAAGCAAGGGATGACGGAGCCTCAAGGTAAATGAGAGAGTGGCGTTTATTGGTTGCCGTTCTGTGTTGAGTGTTCTGTGAGCTCAAGTGAGGTACTGTAAGTGATTAATTCGACCGAACGGCAAACATTTCAACAGGTCCTACATGTTAAAGAGGTAATATGGCTTGCAACGAAGTCAACAGGTCATTTAAATCCAGTGGGTCATTCACTGGGCCGGAGACCGCTATTAGTTCCCGTGATGGTCTACTTGCCCAGAAAACAAGCGCTGATCAATGGAGGGTCCGAACTGTTACCAAGCTTTCCTGTTTTAACCCGGCCCCTGGGTTCGGGATTTCCGGGAAGAAAGGGAACAACGCCTTGGCAGAGCATGGCTTGCTGCGGGTCGAAGTTGTCGAAGTTACGAAGTGCTCCGTTGCGCTTGTACGGTGGCAAAAACCGAGTGTTATCGTCCGAGTACGACCGGTCCCTTCACTATGTGACCATTCCATGAAGCACATGGCTTGCTGCGGCTGTGAAGGGAGGGTCGTGTGCCCATCCGCGGACATGAGCGCCTTCCGGGGGACCCTGGGCAATCCCTGAGCGAGGACAAAGGAGGTGTGACGTGGTGCCCTTGGCGGGTCTTGGAAGCAAATGCAACGACACCCAGATATTCAGGGCTTCCCAACTCTACATTCCATGACAATACAGTGCTTTTATCACCGCCCCTTTGCGAGGCAAATGTTCTTATCATGAACATGTGGTCGCCTGCTGATAAGAAAGTGGCACCTGCCGTACTATCCGGTGCGCGGTCGGCGCCGTGAAGATATTCCGCTCCGATACAGATACGTAGAGCAGGCGAAGGGCTTGACTTTGAGTGCAGCACGGTTTGGATTGGGTTTCACGCCCTCTTGAAACCGAATAAATGGAGCATTTTGAGTCGAATTATGTGTCCATGTGAGTCCCCGCCAAGGCGTCCTCGGCAGCCGGATCAAAGATAATTTCCTTTTTTAATATAGACTCCTCCGCAAATTGACTCCGTGGCGCATTTCGCACGGTATTGGATTGAGGCTGGTGTCCAGGGATCCGGCCGGGCAGTTCCTCTTTCCCTTTAACCATCACCACAGCCAACTGTCGTCCACACAATTTATCTTCTCTGCTCCCCAGATTCACATAGTATCGTCGACAAGCCCGTTACATGCATAGTGGTCGAATCCAGCCTCAAGCTTGGTCCACCTTCGCTAATTTCTTTCCTCACGGGGATGCTCCACACCTTGCCACTTCTCCGCTTCCAGTAAACGAGAGTCATGGCCACTTCCCAAGCCCGCAAAAAGTCGGCGATGAGGACGTATTGGGGGATTCAGAGCTTGACAAGGAGCAGAGGGTCTCTGCGGCCTTCATAGACGCGGACACCATAATCGAGGACCATTCACCATCAATCTCACCTGTTCGCCCGAGCGTCTCACAACCAACAACCCTCGCCAGTTCCCCAGCAGCTCTCTTTCTGTCAGCCTTCATGGGCTCCAAGCCTGAGCCCGAGCCTCTCGAAGACGATGAAGGCCAGAAAGTCGGGTCTTACACCCTCGGAAAGGTAGTTGGATTTGGCGCCTTTTCTACCATTAGAACGGGTGTCTCTGAGTCGGGCTCCACCGTGGCAGTCAAGATCGTCCGCAGAGCTGACCTCGTTCGAACCGGTCACGCCCCAGAAGAACGCAAGAGACTGCAACACGAAGCCTCGATATGGTCTTCACTCAGCCATGAACATATCCTACCTTTATTTTCAGCACTCCACACTTCCTATGCCGACTACTTCGTCACAATCTACTGCCCAGCCGGCTCTCTGTACGACATCCTCAAAAGGGACGGACGTCCTGCGTTGCCCCAAGACGACGCAGGGATGATGTTTCGGCAGGTGGTGCGGGGGTTGCGGTATTTGCATGAAGTTGCGGGGTTGGTCCATAGGGACATCAAACTAGAAAATGTTTTAGTGGATGAATCAGGTGTTTGTAGAATTGGTGACTTTGGATTGAGTGTCAGGATTGGTGACGTGGACGACGAGGATGGCATGGACCACCATCACCATGAACACCATCCCATTGATGGAGCTTGCACCGGTAACATTCATCGTGCTGTATCTCTGTCCTTCCCATCCAAGCGCCACAGAGCTGCGACCACCCTCGGTGCAGCTATCGCTCGCCACAATAGCACTCGCAATCGACATGCTGGCCAAAGCTCACATGTCTATCAGCCCGGTTCCCTTCCCTACGCCGCGCCCGAACTTCTCCTGCCCAACACAGCGGATATGGCCCCCGCCCATCCTGGCCAGGATATATGGGCGCTTGGAGTTATGCTTTATGCTTTGTTGACTGGTCATTTGCCGTTCAATGATTCGTTTGAGCCTCGCTTGCAGATGAAAATCCTAAATGGTACGTATGAACGCTTGATCACTCGCCTTATGTTGTTTACCCACCGGTGATATCCCTAGGTACTTTTGAGATACCAGCCGACATCGGTCGCGGTGCTGAGCGCATTCTCCAAGGATGCATGGAGCGCATAATCACCAAGCGATGGACCATCGCCATGGTCGATGAAGTGTCTTGGGGCGTTGGATGGGGATCAGCCGGCGACAACGCCACACCAGACGAATCGCAAGAGGACCTACTTGCATTCCATGCCATCACATCCCCCCTCTCCGCCAAGTCATGTTCAGAGTCTCGCCTCGACAGACTCACCATCCCCGAATCAGATGAAGACGACTGGCAACACGAAGAGCACCATTTCACTCGGTCCGCAATTGAGGCGGGCTCCAGGCGATCGTCCTCGCGGGCGAAACGCTCGCAATCCCGCGCACCAATGTCAGCTCGCAGCCACTCTCGACAGTGCTCTCCTCACCGTAGTGCACGGAGCAGCTCTCGAATGTATTCTGGGTTTTCATCTGCTGCCGTGTCTCGGAGCCATTCGCCTGCAACATCGCCGTTATTCGAAAATCCTCCCAGCAGGAGCCGCTCACAGTCCCGGCACCGTGGGCGACAGCCCAACAAGCGGTGTTATTTCGCCTCTCGCTCCCCTAGCCCCAGTTGGGTCCCTTCAACGCCCAGCGACATCAGCCACATTTCAAGGTTGAGCCTACGCGAACCATCGGAGGACCTGCATCTTGACTCACCTCCCCGCGGTCGAACTCGGTTCTCTTTGCACCACGAAACATTCGACGAAGGAGACGAAGCGACAGAAGGAGTGGAGGGAGGGGGAGCATTGAAGCTCACACACGCAGCCGACGGCACAGGTCAATGTTCGGCCACCGACTGGACGTCTCGTATCACTGCTGAGGCAGAGGACCACGTCTCCCCAGAAAGAGCCAGCTCCCGTCCGAATATCCGCTCGTCGTGGACCGAGATCCCCTTCCGCAACTCGAGACCGGGTAGCACCCCTCCTGCGTCGTCCAAGACTTGGGAACTGTTCAGGAACAAGGCGTCGCATGGCCTGTTGTCGCGGAATCCCTCCCAGGACATGTGCCTGGGGTTTCCGTCGCCTGGCCTGGGAACTCCTGGCATCATATCTCGAAGTCGTAGTATCGATCAATATCATGACCCGACCCGCACTGCAAAAGTTGAGATACCTCCCGCATCAAGTTGCGCATGATGTGCTTACCGATGGATCTTTCTTGCTCATCTAACATCCCCCGTCCCTATTTATGCGTCTTATGGTTTTCCGACGGTAGTTGATTCTTTTTGCTTCTGAGACGTTTCTTCAGTGGTCAAGCAGCGTCGTTGTAGCATTAGCACTTTACTAACCTAGGTTCCGCTTTTAAAACCCTTTTCCTCCTTTCCGCATCTTCTCATTTCTTCTGGTTACTAGGCTTTCTTCTTGAGTCATCTGAAGTTGGTCTTTTCCTGGTCTGCCGTTCATTCTGTACTCTATGTTGGTTGGTTCCGAGTTCGTGCATTGGTACTTTTCCAAAAACAATCGGGATACCCTCATGTTGTAGCAATACGTCTTTCCCTTCATTCCTGTTCAGTATTCACTTGTGGTCCCAAATGCCATCCGTTTTTCACGAACGCCTAGCTGGATGTCTGAAAGATGTCAAATAGAAATGTCGAGGACAAGGAGCGACAAGAAAAAGATAATATACACGAGGCGCAACGGATCCATGTTAGGTTGAACGTTCCATGGAGGTATCGATAGAGTCCGTTGATATTTCCTGCTGTTGCGGTTTACGCTCCTCCGATTTTTGCTGGAGACGCTCGATATCCGCCTGAAGCTGAGCCTACCCAGACATGAGTTGAGAATACCAAATGCAACGCCAGAACCACTCACGGTGCGCCGTTCCAAATCCTCCTTGTTGAAGATAGAATATGGGCTCTTCTGCGGAGTAGTATCCGCCTTGTCTCCAAAAGCAGCTTGTCGGAATACTTCCTCCATGAGTTCGTGGTTCCTCTTGTACCGGGCGAGCGCGAGAGCCCGTGTCGAGATCTGGTCTACTTCATCGTCTGACTGGTCGTCCACATGACGCTATGATAGAAAGCATCGGGTCAAAGTAGGGAATAGGTGCGAGATGAGTTGGACACGCACCCCTGGAGCGCTGATATTCCGCTGGTGAGCCCTCTCCTTCTCCCTCTCTCGTTCATGTCTCCGATCCAACTGTTCAAATGCTCGATTCTGGTTGAGAAGTGCGGCTTGTGCAGGGTGGGCGAACCCGGGTCCTGGAGGTCCTGGTGGCATGCCTGAGCCTTGTGCGAACACTTTCTGGCCTTGTTTGTCGCCTAGAACGTATACTGGAGGTTCTGTGACTGGCCGGAGCGGGTACACTCGAACTGGTCGGTCCAGGAGCGCTGGAATGATAGCTGGTTTAAAGCGAAGGTTCAATGAATTGTTCCGTCAAGAAAGGATGCGGAACGCACGCGTAGGAGACTGTCGTGTATAATGCACAAGGACGAGCGAGGGATGACCACCTCTGATGAGACGATATCTTCGCCGCACTCGCCACGCGCTCTGGTCTTGAGAACCTGGGATAAATCCAGACTTTGCCTCCACGACTTCTAGTTCCTGGAAGTGGATAAAGCGAACTCAAGATGTTAAACACCATGCATGAACGAACATCTGGAAACTCACGCGGCCTCCTGCATTCATCGAATAGACCACCTCTTGTTCTTGGTACCTGATTCCATCGTTTGGAAATTGGGATGTCAAGAATAGCAGTGCGATTTGTCCCTCTACATCAATTGATTAGACGCTTGTCAAGGCCTGGATTGCGGAAACGCGTACCGGGTGGTTTGTCGATGTACCGCCATTGAAACGGAACGTTGTGGGCGGCTTGGTAGCCCTTTGAGAGGAAGTTGAGTGCCTCTTCGAATGGCAGATTCTGGCGTTGACCAAGGTTCTCTGGGAACTGGAGACAGAGACCATCTGCTTGAGGACTTGGTATTGACATTTTCTAGCCGGTATTGATTACAGTGGTTACAGGTTGGAAAGATGGGAATACAACTTCCTTGGCGTGCCGTGTTGTGCAATAGCCGCCGGACAAAACAATGTACAAGGAAATATGGCCCCTATTCAACTGGTGTGTACACGGTCATTGGGATTCCAAGTCTCTCGATAATGGCTTCAGTAGATTCCCAAGGAACTCCAAAATTTCCAGAGTTAAATCGACTACAAGAGTGAGTAAGAATGAACCTGTGATACTCGAGTACAATGGATGATCTCACCAAGCATGCAATTCCAGATTGGCATCTGTGTTCTGAGCCATGAGGTCCCTTAGCGCGCTGTCTGTCGCTGTGAGGATCTGCTCTGGACTATCCTTGTTTCTTCCATAAGCCCTGGATGTAAATAGACACGCTATGTAGTGACTTCCCCCGTCTATGATCAAGCACGTCCCAGCGAGCGAATCTCCATTCTCCTGGCAATGGGCTCGGTAAACCTTGAACGCATCTGGGAATCGCTGTTTGAATGCGAGTGCAATTCCTGCTCCCCACGAGCCCTTTGTGTTGCACGCATGTACCAGAATAGACCCGGCTGGTGCAGAGAATAGGTCGCCAGAAACGTACGAAATGAATGACATGAAGAGAGCTAAGCCCTGTTGTGCGAGGATAGGGGTGATCCGGGAATCAACCTGCCCTAAACACGATGGTTTCATAATCCCCACGCCCCGATTCCTGGTTCGACCAGGATGCTGTGGTTTACATAGCCATGCAATCCCCCTTTGCCCGGCAATCTCAGGTGCTACGATGGTGAGCCTCTAGTTCTTCATCGTGTACCCTTCTACTCACGTTTCCTCCAGCAACAAGTAGGCATAGAGTCCTGGTGCCGCAAGGCGATCAGCCAGGTAGCTCTGCAGCTTTATACTTCGATACATTCCTGTTTCTGACTTGTCATAGATGAGGAAACCTACGCATACGAGCCTTGGGACCGCTTGGCACAGGTAGCCTGTTACAGGCTTGTTTGAAAATCAAATACACCAGGCCATCCACCCACGAACGACGTGTTTCTCGTCGACAAGAAGCAGGACATCGTTATTCGAAACTTGTTCATATAGAGATTGGGCGAGGATCGTTACATGCCAATAAAACACTTTCTTTGCCGCCTCGTGCTGTGTATGTGTGTGTGCCTCGTGTTCCCTCTTGTCAAGTTTCAGGTTGCTCTGAATAGTCAACTCGACATCATTGGGCCTGATCCGTGTTGAATTGGTATGCCATAATATCTATTGCAGTTCTGGATATATGGAGGCCTGGCGGGTCCTTTCTATCTGACCTATCATCCATCAGTCCCCCTCCATCGCCAGCCAGTTGCTTTGGCCCAGTTCTGGCCCCTGTTTTTAGCAGCCTCCACGCCTCGCAATTTCAATGTACGTCTGCGTTCCAGTCGGCGATGATAAGAAGTACTCATCATTACCTCCAGAATGGCCACAAGTGCATGTTCCCCAGGACCAGCTTACTGGCCGCCTGAAATCATCGAGGAGATTGCGCGCCACATCGATGACTCGGAAACAAGTTCTAGTACCAGCACACTGTGTCAATGCACACTAGTCTCCAGACACTTCAGGTCCATCTTCCAACCGCTAGCCTTTGAGCGCGTTGGCATGCACGATCTGGATACCGCTGACATCGAGTACAATTCATCGAGCGGGCGTAATTACAACCGAACACTTGCGTCGTTTGCCAGATTGCTCGGGCTCAGGCCAGACATTGCGACCTTCGTGCGGGGTCTTCATTTGCAGATTGGTTTTGTCTGCACGTACTTATCCCCGCGGGAACACATGCCCGCCAAGAACACGCTGCAATATGGCCCGCGTATCCTCGAAGGTCTTGATAGACTCGATGAATTCTCGCTCGAATCACTCCCCCGAGCCCGCGACACTGATTTCTTCGATGCGATCACCGAAACTCTGAGGTCGGGCTTCGAGGCGACACTGCGGTTGCCCACTCTCCACACCCTCAATGTCTACAATTTCCTTCATTTACCAGCATCGATCGTACTGTCCCCCACATCTGCGGTCAGGTCCCTAAAGCTGGTCAAGTCCTCCTTGGCCCCATCGGGTGAAGACGTTCATTCCGCCAGCCACTTGTCTACCCTCGAGCTTGTGGAAGTGGACATGGGACCGCAACAGAGCTTGGTATCAACAATATCAGCTCACCCCAACGCGTTCCGGGCTCTGCGACACCTCAAAGCGACTAACTCTTCCATATTCGCGGTTGAGAAGATCGCCAGTTCTGCGGGAGAGTCATTGCAGGATCTTAATGTCAGTGGGAGGTATCACTCTGAAAGCACGAGTAAGCCCCTTAACCTTCCTGTCCAGATTTCTATCTTACCCTGATTTACATTAGTTTACGGATCCGTTCCCCACTCATTCGACGCAATCGACTTAACCGGCAACCCTCGAATCAAATCGCTGTCCCTCTCCTACACATCCGGAGTGCGCCCGCGTACGCTCAAAGAAGTACTCCTCTGCAGCACCTGTCCCACTCTACGTACCCTTTTCCGTTCCGATCTGGAACGGTTTACGCTGAAATTCAACGTCCTCCGGAAAGAAGGCGTTGTGGAGATCTTGAGCATCGATGCATGGGCGCATCTCGACTCTGTCTTTTCCGATGGGCATTTCCCTCGCCTTCGAGTGGTAAAAATATGCATTGGCGATGTTTTTCCTCAGAGCCTTAGTAAGGACAGTGTCAACAACATTGCAGAACGTTTAGAGGAGGCCAGGACGAACCTTCTTCCTTCAGTCGCTGCATTAAGCAGTGTCAATTTTGATCTTCTTTCCAACTTTACCGATACAGAGCTGAGTTCCTGAAATATAAGTACATAGTAGACCTAGGCTCAACTAAGGCGGCGGATTTGGTCTTGTGTCGAGACTAATAGTAGACCGTCGCATATGTACAATGCAAGTCGACTGCAAAAATGGAAAGCGTGGTTCCTGATGTGGAACAGAAATACCACGGCTTCGGACGACCTTCGGACCAAGACGCCACGTTTCCCCGGACACGTCATCCACTAATTTGGGACGCGCCTCGGAGGAAATATACGTTGACGGATCCATCGCCAGCACAGACCGGCACTGGTTTTTTGTCATTGCCCACCAGCATTCACCTCTTGGTGAATTTCAAGCTCTTCTTGACCCACAATGTCGTTTATAAGGTATGTCTTCTCGCTGTCAACAATGAGCTGGGTCTAAACTGCTGCTCAGGTTGATAACATGCGTCGCCGGAGTGTACGCAATGTTCTTGGTATGTTTCGTTTAATGGCCGGGATGGTTGGCGGGAAGCTGATAATGGGATATAAAGCTATGGGCGATAGCCCAGGAACGACGTGCGTTGTACACGATTCCATTTCATTTCCAATGTTGCTGACAGGGTCTTCGCTAGTATCTGTTCCGTTTGAACGCATCGACGGAACCGGCTCAGATAAATTCAAGTCACCCTTGATCATGGGCAACTTCCAGAGTGCCCTAAGTTCGTTATCGGCTCTGGCTTATATTCTCCTAAGAAGAAAGAAGAGCGAAACACTGGCGGAGAGCGTTGGGTTGGTACACAAGGAGGCGGTCGTTTCCAAAGCACAGACCAATGGTTCGGCCAAGCAGAACGGGAGCACTTCTTCGCCTTCACGGACGCACCACAAGAAGGCGAGCCATGAAGACCCCAAAGTGCGATACTCTGCTAAAGCGCTTCTGCTTCGATACTTCCAATGTTCAGTGTGGATTACTTGCGCTGCACCGTTCGGATTCGCCGCCCTCTCCTATATTTCCTACCCCGCCATGGTCCTCGGCAAATCCTGCAAGCTCGTTCCCGTCATGATCATGAACGTCCTCCTCTACCGTCGCAAATTCGCTCCCCACAAATACCTCGTCGTAGGCATGGTCACTACTGGTATCACCATCTTCATGTACCTCGGCGACCAAAAGAAGGGCAAAGTCTCCGCTGGCAACAGCAACACAACGCCCTACGCAAACCTTATCGGAATAACTTATCTTTTGATTAACTTGGCCCTAGATGGAGCGATCAATTCGACCCAGGACGAGATCTTCAGTCGACACAAGGTGACGGGCCAACAGATGATGTTGTGGATCAACGTGTTCTGCACGGCGATTAGCACTGTTCTTGCGGTGCTCCCGCTTCCCCACATCCCCGTTATCCACCCTTCTCCAAGTGGACAGACTGAGCTGGGAGGTTTCTTGGCCTTTGCCCAAACTCATCCATCCATCTGGGTTCCCCTCGCCCAATTCGCCTTCACAGGCGCCCTCGGACAACTATTTATCTTCGAAACCCTGCAACATTTCGGATCTTTGACCCTTGTGTACGTTACTTCGTTTCTACAAATCTTACCAAGCTGACCGCATCTCACCCCTTCAGGACCATCACACTGACACGGAAACTCTTTACGATGTTGCTATCGGTCATTGTATACAAGCACAAACTGACTGCTGGTCAATGGTTTGGTGCCGCCGTAGTGTTCGCAGGGATTTCGGTTGAGGCATTTGTGAAAAGGAAAGGTGTGTGGATATAGTATTGCTTCGCTACCATCATTGTAGACACCTCTGACGGCACATTTTTCTCGACTTCGTGTCGTCCAGAGGTCCATGCGAAGCGGGTTATCCAAGAGAAGGAGAAGGCCAGACTAAAGCAGTTGTAATACTATTAGAGCAAGGGGTATACCAAAGGAATGTGTTGGCATAATGATATCAGAGGGTCCAACTACCTACTAGAATAGAACAAAGAGTACGATTACTGAACTGCCAATGGATGTGAAAAAGAACTGCGGAAAAGGGCAAATGATGTTGGGTCTCAGGTATAAGGGACGACGGTCAAGCCGACTATGAAATCTCCATTGCATTTGGATCGATTTCTTCTGAATAGCTTTTAACAAGTGCGCGTTTCGATCGATCATCCGGTCTGTGCAGGTGGGACCGCATGAGCCTACTACTTGAGGTTGAAGGTGAAAGAATACATACCGATCATCCTCATCGTCGTCGTCGTCCGACCGCTTGCGTCGAGGGACAGCTGGTCGGTTTTGGGGATAGGATTGTACTGCTATGTTCGCCCTGTAGATTGCCTCGTACTCCTGTAATCTCGTCAGTCAACTATCCAGTCATCTCGAACGGCCAAGGGGTGACCAACCTTAATTTGTGTCAGAAAACCTCCATTAGGTGAGATGCAATAACGCCGATTTTGAACCATGTGTAGCGCGTCCTCCCATGACAGTTGGTAGTGCTGCATAACGAACATGACCACAAAGGATGGTGAAAGGCTGATGCCACCTGGAATGCAATAGATGAGTACCCATCTCCGGATGACGGTAAGAGGTGGCGACCGCACCGTTGCAATGCACGAGAACACGGCCTCCCGCCGATATTGCCTCGTCGATGAACTTCTTTGCCCTGTCGGTATGGTTGTAATGTCAGTTTGTGCTATGACCCAGATCATGAAAGATATGTACGCACCCAGGGAATACTCGAATCAAGTTCTGCTCCTCATTATCCTCCACGTCGAGAGTCATGTAGTGGAACTGTCCGGGGAAACGAGGCTTCACTGAAAAGGCCTCCTTTGCATCACGAATGCAAACACTGGTGGGGTATGGCCACTAAGAATCGGCGGGCTTGAGAACAAGTACAGGCGTCATCCCGCTCACATATGGGTTATCCCCAGCGACTGGAGGGTTTCTAGTGATTTGGAAGCGACAAAGGGACCTAAATAGAGTCCTGGAAGGATTTCTTGACATTCTCGGCGCATTTCATATCTAAAGAATCAAAAGGGATGTTGTTAGTCTCTTGGAAATTCAACGGCAAAAGAAAGGACGACGCGACAGCGGAGACGATGGGCGTCAACGTACCGCCATTCTACGTCTCCTGGGCCCTGTACGACCGCGCGCAATTGTTCGTCTGTAAGCGTTCCGTTCATCGAAATGCCGTCCAAAAGCCAGGGTTATCGTCGTTGCTTCGTTGGTCGGTGTGGCTGCTGGTCAATAGCAAGGTCCAAAAGGTCTGGATTCCAGAAATGCCGAATCACTTTAATGACTCCGACACGTGACATAAATTAGGGTGCTGTTCCCCCTTTTCCAGCTTTTGCCTTTTGACGCTTCCCAAAATGTCCGATTTTGAAGACGAGATCCCGTAAGAAGTCTCGAATTGTAGTCGCTGACGAGTGTTTCTAATAAAAGAATAGAGCTCTGATTGAACACAAGGAGGAGCCTGCCGACAAGGTGGTTCCTCTGACTATCATCTGCGGCTTTTTGGGCGCTGGAAAGTCGACCCTCCTAAAGTATGTCCGCTGATCACCCGGGTGTCCTTGGCTGACCCACGTTTACAGGCGCATTCTCACTGAACGCCATGGGTATCGAATTGCTGTTATCATGAACGAGTTTGGAGACACGGCAGTAAGTTTCTTCCTCATCAATACGCTCCCCAGCTAAAACCAATCGTCTCAGTAGGACATTGAATGTTCGTCGCGTCGCTTTCCGTAATCTTTTACAAGCTAACCAAGCAATAGCCAAAGCTATCAATGTCTCCTCTCCAGACGACCCGTCAGCATCCTCTGAAGAGTTCCTGGAACTGGCCAACGGGTGTCTTTGCTGCAGCATCAAGGATAGCGGAGTCGCTGCCATGGAGAAGCTCATGGAGAAGAAGGGTGCCTTTGATCATATCCTGTTGGAGACCACAGGTCTTGCCGATCCAGGTGCGTGTCTCTGAGATTCAGCCATACTCTCTGACTGGAACAACTATGAAGGTCCCATCGCGTCCATGTTCTGGCACAACGAAGAGTACGCGACCGGACTCGGGCGTGACATCACTCTCGATGGTGTCATCTGCGTCGTCGACGCGGTCTTTGGAAAACGGGTAAGAGCGCGGACGGATATTCTACCTGATCAATTGTAATGACGCCCCCTACAGCAAATGGAAGAAGACCATTCATCCGACGGTATCAACATCGGTGAAAGTCTAAGGTAGGAGGCTCTTGCGCCAGTGAGGGCGAACGTCGTGTTGAATGCCCTTCACAGGCAGATAGCGGGCTCCGACGTCATCCTGCTCAACAAAGTGGACCTCGTAACTCCCGAACATCTGGCTGAAACAGAGGAACTCATCCACAAAGTCAACCCAGTAGCCCCAATCCACCGCACTATCCAGGGGCAGATCGACTTGAAGCATCTCCTCGGAATCTCTGCCTTCTCCCGTCCTCCGCCCGAGCTCTCGCCGTCAACTCAGCCTGGGCACGTCCACACAGCCGATTGCAAGCACGAGCATGACGAACCGGAGAAGAAATCAACCCACTACGAGATCAAGGGCATTTCAAGTCTTCAAGTCGCTTGCCCTCCCCTGACCCAGTCACAATTGGACAAGTTTGACGAATGGTTGCGCGCGGTACTTTGGGAGAACCACATCCCAGAGGAATCTCCTTCCGCCTCCTCTGCCGACGGCTCTCCGGCACTGCAAGTTCTCCGATGCAAGGGGACATTTGTTGTTAATGGAGTGCACCACATCCTTCAGGGCGTTCGAAGTATGTACGACATATCCGAGTTGGATCCCTCGCAGACGATGGGAATCCCCGACGTTGGAAAGGTCGTATTGATTGGGAAGGGCCTGGATGATAATGTCCGTCGTAGCCTTGAGACGGTGCTGAATTCATAAGAGAGGCATAGATAAAGAATACAAATTGTATCATAGATACCAAGGACATCCAAGACTGGCGGTCAAGCACTCGGCTCCGTTTTGACTGGTGCAGCAGCAGGGATCTCGATCGATTGAAGTTCAGCTTTTAGTCGTTCCCGCAAGTTCGTAGGCCCGCTCTTGCTGCCGATGTTCAGCAATACATACGATCCTTTGGAAACTGAAGACGGGTTGATAGCGAGTGTTGTGCTCACAACCTATAGCATGGGGTTAAAGCAACAGTGCCGACGGGGCAACAAGTCCACAGACCTTGTCAAACTTCCTCAGCCTACTCGGGACAATCAAAACATCAGGAGCATAGTCGATCTCTCCGTCGTCAATTATACGAGCACCGTCCAGGTGGGAGACGTCGAGATTGATCTCATGGGACAGTTCCTCTGGTACTGGGAAAATAGGGTAGAAGCTGGCATGCCTCATTAGTGGAAGCTACGGAGAACAACCATGCCTACGCACCTCCGTTGATCAAGCAAATGTCTGCACAAATTCGACATGGGATCGGAAGCGAGATCACCCTCTCGTGCGGGTATAGGCTGGAGCTGTGATCCCACTTTAAGGTACTCCTCCTTTCGCAGATGGAACAGGACATCGACGCTGGTCGCTCCAAACGAGATATCGTTGATCTTGAACCGGCATGGGTTAGGTTGGAAAATGATTCGCTGAAAATGCAACCACCGTTACGAAGGAATGAGACTATAATCCGCCAAAACTCACTGAATCCCCGGCAATACCGTCAAACGTACGCTCGAATTCGGGCTGAGGGAACGAGCAATGATCGCTAATCATATCCCGAATGCTAGGTATGAAGATGACGATACTCGAAGGAGAGGCGTTGAGGAACTTCCTGATTGAGTTTATGAACCGAGCTTGGAAGATACTTTGTGGTGATGTTTCTGATTCCCCGTTCTTGATCCTTGGATGAGCTGCATCAATGAAGGGGCCAAGCTAGTTTGGATGGGTGAGTATATCTGAAAATCCGGTGTGGAGATATCCGTACCAGAATCAGAACGTTCGGCTTCTTGGGTGTGATGTCGTCAAGGAATACCCGCCATGGTTTGTATAGCAGGTCGGTGTCAGAGGTGTACGGTCCACATGCAATGCAAACTGTCGAAGTTTTGGTCCCTAGCTCGGGGTCGGCTTTGGGGTCTATGAGTCCATCACTCGTCGGAGAGGGTTTTAGAGGTGGGATCTGCGCCATAACAATGAACACGGAATAAGAACCCCAAGCCTGGGCGACTCACAGCTAGAATGGTAGTCGCGTAGAAGTATCCACCTCCTCCGTTCTTTCCCTGGAGCGCGACAATTTGACCGGGAAAGAGGCCATAGCCGCGAGACCCTTGGACAGCTCCTTTGACTTGGATAGCGGGGTCAAGACGGAGGGGAACTCGAGCGCCAGACGATAGCATCCTTGAAGATTCGATCACCATGGAGGACTCTGTCAGCTTAGATCGCGCCATGACATCCGGGTCCTGTGCAATGCGTCCAACGACAGTCACCTCTTCCTATAGATCAAATTAGCCTTCGAACGAAGCTAGTGGAAGATCATCGTACTTCTGTAGTTGAGGACGGATCCGCTAATTCTGAGATGTCATAGTGGTCGCGGATGAGCTCTGCAAAGTCGTCGATTATCTGGTCTAAGACTGAAGTGGGATTGTCAGAAGAGTCTTAAGCCGGGGAATGGTGTTGCCAGACCTTCGCTGCGCTCAGATATCTTCTCATACATGTAACGATCTGTTGGGTAATTAGTGAAATATTTTTGAATACAGACAAGCATAACTCACACGCTCGCGCCTTCCTGGACTCCGAGTCCATCTTCGCACCCTCAAACAGGACATGGGTAGGACCAAGCGAGAGCGTTATTCCCGCTGCTTCCTTCTTCACCTGCATGGGCGAGGAGCTCGATGACGCGCTTGAAGGGCCTGGTCGGTCGATATCCATAGCCCTCGCCTGGTTCATCAACTGCGATGGCAACCTTGACCTATCCACACTCGCAGTCGCCCCGGGTCGCGCCTTGAGTTGTGCTCTCTTCATACTCTCGTTTGCTAAACCCCGTTGAAGTTGTGTCCTGAATGTTCGGAGTGTTTCCAGAGTAATAGGAAGGATTTCGGTGCGTGTATTGGTGGCCTTGTAGTTCATTGCCTCCAGTTTATACTGGAGATCGCTGGGATCGAGGTTGTAGGTGCTGCATATCGACACGCCTAATTTTCCGGTGAGATTGCGTCGTCCGTCTGAACCTCGTCTACTCACATTCATTCACGACGGCCTCGTCTGATGTTACACTCTCTGGGTATGTCGCCTCGATGAGCTTTCTGAGTTTGGAGTCCATTGGTGCTGTCCCCGTCGTCGCTGTGGATTCTGGAAAGCAGAGACGCGCCTGCTTCGCGACTCTCTCAGACGCGTTTGCCATCAGATCCCTCACGTGCATCCAATTTGCTCCGCTTTCCTCGGCATTCGAGTTGCCAGTTTCAGAAGGGTACATGCCTCTCTACAAAAAGGGGCTAGAAAGGGCTGGAATGAAGTCACAGAAAGCGACATGAAGTTATATGGGCGCTATGTACAACATATAGACTCGAAGCAAGTACAGTGCAGTACATTATCAAAGGAAACAATCCTCTGACGATCGTCTAATCAACTGGTAGTACACATGGTGAAGATTCCGAAAAATGGGGGAGTGTAGATGCGATGGGGATCCTAACACACACTGCATGGAGTGTAGTACACTGCGCAATGAGGGCCAGCGGTCCAGGACCCACATCTCACCACCATGATGCATATACGGTTTATAACGAGGTTGAACCCTACCACATACTCTTGGAATGCGTTTGCTTGGTCAACACAGATATAGAAAGCCAATAAAATAAGCCGGTGGAAGCGGCGGGGGCGTTGTTGCAGGACAAAACCAAAAACCGAGTTCTGATGGCGTCGATTTACTTTGATAATGTCGCGGTTGTGGTAGCCTCCTCAACGACGGTGGTGGACGTTGGGGTAACATCGACGGTTGTGGTAGCGGTGGTCTCGATCTTTGCATCGGCATCATGTTGGGGCTTTATCGACTCCTCAGCCTCGTCCGCCACTTTGTTAGCCGGTTGATCGTCTTCGACATTGGAAGTCGTGACTGGGCTCGTGGCCAGGCCGCTCTCTTTGCTGATGGAGTTCGTGGGCGAAATAGAGATAGGGTGAGTGGCATGGCCGTTGACGGGCGTAGATGCATGGGGGATACTGTTCCAAAGTGATCATCAGTCCCTGACCGCGTGCCATGGTTGTTGCGTCCACTCACTTCTCTGGGTTGGGGATGGCAGTGCCGACAGTGCTCTGGGGAGCCTTTCCTGCCTTTGAAAGGGCATAATCACCAGAATCGAAATACTTTCGATCCTGCTCGACCAGTTAGTCCAGTACACATACGGGCTAATTAAAGTCCGGAACTAACCTTTTGCATCTTCATGAGAACATTCTTATGCGTCGGAAGCTTACCATACTTCGCAAAGAGCTGTTGCTCCTGGGGAGTAAGTTTCTGTTGGTCGTTACAAGGAAGGAAGCCGGTATCGATTTAGAGACTGTCATCTTGGATTGAGAGGGAGGTGAGACGTACGCTAATGTCGACCTTGTTGCGTTGCGCAGGGTGCATTTTTCCTGTGCTATGAGAACGATGGGAAGCGCGCAAATGCCAGTGTGGTTGGTTAACGTTGAGGTGGTGGAGATGATGACCAGCTATGGTCCACCTTGGAACGACCGTGTTTGTTTCTCGGACCTCGAACTTGCCTCGATCGGCATCAGACCTCGTGACTTGCCGACCGGCCCATGTCCATACATTGGAACTACCAGAAATCATCCTCCTCGTACAAATCATAACTTCTATCTATGCTCGTTACGCTATCAAGTCCTTCCCAACCATCATCGTCCATCAGCCAGTCTTCCCGTTCATCATCAGGTCTCTGCACAAGAGAACAGTTGGGATCGAGATTGTGATAGGGACCTGACGGGTCACCGAATACATCTCCAGCGATAGAACCAACTTCCAGGTCGCTCCATACCTCCTCCTTCTCGGGCCCAGGGTCGCGAGGGGTGAGAAGTTCTTGGTCCGATCCAGAGAAGTCAGAGAGGCAAGCTTCAGAAGAAGACCGAGAGCTTAGTCGAGAGATTGGCACATCAGAAGTATCCTGAAGACCTTGGGAATGAACGAGATCCCATGACGGAGGAGAAGAGAGGTCGTTTATGCTGTCTTCATCGAGATCCGAATCGAAATCGACGAATTCAGTTATATTGACCTCCATCGTCTGAATGTAGTCCTCAGGGGTCTCCATGCCGGACGACACAAAGAAATGACCCTGTTCGTCATCGCTATCGCATCGAAGAGGTTCGTCCAATTGCTGGCTTTCCTGAGACTGGCCGTCTCCAAAGCCGAAAGGAGCCGTTTCTGGGCAATTTCTGTTTCGTGACCATCGTAAATGGGTGTAAAGAGCGACTTTACCTATATCAGGATCTGAGACATGCGTAAGGATTTCTTCGTCCGATAATCCATTCGATGCATCAACCATTTCTGGCTCTGGGGGTTCCATCATGTCATCGTCGTTGCCAACGTCGCGTGCCACCCGAGAAGTACTCTGTGGCGTTGTGAGCCGAAGGATGCACAGAATGGGGAACCCAAGCACCTTGAAAGCTTTCCGGGACAATCCAAGTTGATATATCTGCTCCAGCATTACCAAAAGTGCTTCATCTGTGCCAAGGCTTGGGCTGCTGGCCTCGTCGTGTGCGCCATCTACACTACTCAAGGCCCCAGACGCATTTGCCACGATGGTCTGGGATTGCCTTGTAATACTCTGCCAACGCTGAGCATCTTCACAAACAACTCCGCGCGAAGACATACCTTGAGAAGCCGGTTGCACTTCTTTCGAAAACGATCCTCTTGGGTTCGCTCCTGAATGGAACGGATCGACTTGAAAATAGACCGCAAAAACGGTTCTTCTTTATTGAGTTGCTGAAGGCTATGTGAGCGCATTTAACGACCGAAAATGTCCTTGTTACCGTGCTCCAGTTGCCGAAAATAAGAGGATACCGCCTTCAAGATCGTCAGAGAATGTGCGTCGTAGTAAAGATAACGTTTTCGTGTACCGAACAAGCTGCCAAGTCACCGCACGGGTAAGCAGCGCATCGAATGCGGTAACAAACGAGAGTGCGCAGCTGCGAGAGAAGGGTTGGTAATCTGTCTGCATATCATCGTGGAGCTTGTCTTCCTCCAACATCTGCGTTTTCCAAGAACAGACCAAGTCGATGGCGTGTAGACGCAGATGGGGTACTGTCGTACGGGGGTTGCGGGCAGCAGCCTGTGGTGTCAGGGACACTGTACATATCTGCGTCAGTACGGTATTCAAAGGGTGTCCTGCATTCGACCTGACTCAAGACGGCGTTTCGGGATGCATCAGGGTATGGCTGTCCGAGGTCGTCAAGCACCAGCTCGTTCCGATTCTAGAGAAGCCCATTAGCGACGTAGATAGGAATGGATCATGCATGCATCGTTGCCATTTCAAAGTAATCTCTCATATTTTTAAACAGTCGAGAGGCAATGAGTTCGTCCACAGTAGCCTGAGCGTTGTTGACAGAGCCCGAGAGAGAAATCAAGATAGTCTGAGCCGCATATACAGGAATATCCTTTGGCAAACGGGCAATATTCTTGATGGAATCTGCAGGATCGTGACCGGATGGAGCCAGTCTGTGGTGGACGTCTAGAGACAGCGAGCAGAGGTCAGACACAGCCCGCAAGCGAGCCTTTAGGATGGGCATAATGGAGGAAGTGGAAGAAGGATATTTTTGCTGCTAAGTGTCTTAGCAAATCTGTTTTGGTTCAGTCACGCTTGACCTGAGCCGACGGACATCAATCAGTTCCCTATCTTTCTTCCTCCTCGTCGCTGCCTCCAGCGGCGACTGCTCAGTAACATCTACCACAATGGTAAGGGGGCGCGACGCCTCACACATATACAGACCTAGAGACTAATCGATTGAATGTCTGATTTCGTCAGGATGAACTCGACCAGAAGATTGGGGACACTTGGCGGCGCATCCAGACAGAGCGCAAGATTCTTGAGGCGACCCAGCATCTGCGGCTGGCGACGACGAACCAAGATGTCCTCAAGCGCAACGATGCAAAGGTCAGAGAGACAGAGCGCAGTCTCGCCTATCTAGAGGGCGTCCTTCGCGAGCTGCAGACCCGGAAAGCACAGCAAATGCAACAAGGTGATCCTTCACGATTTCCCTCTGGGCCTACGCCTCAAGTATGTATGCAACGCCAGATAGAAGCCTCTGTGTCCAATTGACTGCTTTTGTCCTTACAGGTACCACCAAAGGATTTCGATGGGCGCGGCTTTTCCCCCGACGGCACCGTCGCTCGACCCCAGAGGAAGCAATATACCAACCTCGATCTCATCAAGGCTGATACCCCGTTCACACCCAGGAAAATCTCGCGTACTCTCCACCAGTTAGAATTCAAGCTCCAGGTCGAAAAACAATACAAACTCGGCATAGATAAGATGGCAAAATTGTACCAAGCTGACGGCGACAAGAAATCGAAAGCGGACGCAGAGGCCAAGCGGATCGAGAGCGACAAGAAGATTCAGCTCCTCGAAACCGCATTGAAGCGTTATCGAAACCTTCATGTACTCGACGATGTAGCCGAAGACGATGAGCAAGGTTCGGGTATAATTCATCGTTCACACCTCTCTAATTAAACCCCATCATATCAGACACTGGGACCGAAGGCGACCGTCGAGAGAAATTGCGCGCGAAACCTCTCTCTGGTACCCTCTATGTCACCGTCAAGGGAGCTCGCGAGCTCGACCATGCCCCGGTTGTCACGCGCTTCCGTTCATCAGCGAAGCAGGTCACCGAAACACATGTCTCTATCAAGGCCGAAGGCAATCAATTGGCTCGATCGCATCCCTCGCGGACGGACCGCTGGAATGAAGATTTCGAGATCGCCGTCGAAAAAGCCAACGAAATCGAAATCGTCCTTTACGACAAGCAAGTCAGCGAGCCACATGCAGTCCCCATTGGCCTGCTATGGATCAAGATCACTGACCTTGTTGACGCCCTTCGTCGGCAGAAGATTGGTCAGGAAAGTCAAGGAGGATGGGTGACAGCTAATGCGATGCACGGGGATGGTCCAATGGGACCCGGCGGGATCCACCACCACCCAAGCCAGCCCATTACTGGCGACATTAACGCACCTATCGCATTCCAAGACAACCTTTCTGCTTCCGGTCATGGGGCTAGTCATACCGAAGGAATCGAGGCATGGTTTTCGGTCGAGCCAGCTGGTGCAATTGCCCTTCAACTCAACTTCGGTGAGTTCCTTCACCATCGCCCTATCGCCCCCTTCCTAACAAAGGTTTAAGTTAAGGAAAATGTCCGCAAGCGTCCTTTCGATGCGCCGCTTGGTGGCCTTGGGCGCCAAGGCGCCGTCCGCAAGCGCAAGGGCGATGTACACGAAATGAATGGCCACAAGTTCATCCAACGCCAATTCTACCAGCTGATGAAATGCGCATTCTGCGGCGACTTCCTTCTCAATGCCGCCGGTTACCAATGCGAGGATTGTCGGTACACTTGTCACCAAAAATGCTATGAGAAAGTGGTCACCAAATGTATATCCAAGTCAAGCACAGGGGTAGGTGTCTATCTATTATTATGAGACGAAACGGCTCATCATGTCTTCACCTGCAGGAGGACGAGGATAAGATCAATCATCGTATTCCTCACCGATTCGAATCAATCACCAATATCGGTGCCAACTGGTGTTGCCATTGTGGCTACATGCTTCCCTTTGGCCGCAAGAATGCCCGCCGTTGCACAGAATGCGACATCACTTGCCACGCCAATTGCGCACATTTGGTTCCCGATTTCTGCGGTATGAGGATGGAGGTTGCGAACGAACTCCTCCGAAGTATGCAGGATATCAAGCGAAGACGCGAAGATCGCGAGCAACGACGCCCTCCCACTCACCAGCCCGAGCAGCTCCATACTTCGACGCCTTCCCTCGATGCCAGGTTGGGCCAGATGACTCTAGGAGGGCCACCCCAGCACGAACCGGGTCCCCCGGCACAGTTGCCTTCCAGTGATCCATTTGGACGACAAATGCCAATGCCCGCTCCTCAGACCTACGGGCCACCTCCGGATAGATCTTACTATTCCCAATCGCCACCTCCGCCTGCTCAATCTCCCCCTTATGGATCACCTCCTACCCAACAGATGCCGCCTCGCCCTCCAGGGGCCCGAGTACCAGTCCCTTATCAGCAGGAGCATCAAGCACCACCTCGACCTCCGCCTGGAGCGTACGACCCAAGTGCCTCTGGATATGGCTCTCCCTATACGGTAAGTTGCGTTGCTTTGGAAATCAACAGAGGCTCATGGCGGATAGCAGAGCCCTCGATCTCAGCCACAAGGGCTCCCCGAGAAACCTTCATTACCTTCCGTTCCTCAGCAGCAACAGTACCAGCAACAGCGACCCCCCGTTGGACTGCCTCCTCATGTCCAGCCTCAACGCATCCCTCCGCCTCAAGCTGCCCCCCAGCAAGGCATGGTCCCGCCCCAACACCAACAACAGATGATACAGGCTCAGCCGCAGCGTCAACCCTCGAAGAAGCGGAAGGTCGGATTGGACGATTTCAACTTCCTTGCAGTCCTTGGAAAGGGTAATTTCGGAAAGGTCATGTTGGCGGAGGAAAAAAAGACGAATGGACTATATGCGATCAAGGTTTTGAAGAAGGAGTTTATCATCGACAACGATGAAGTTGAGAGGTGAATGGTAACTGACTTTGTCGCCGGACGTCTGCTCACTGCTCGATATCTAGCACGCGTTCCGAAAAGCGCGTTTTCTTGACCGCTGCAAAGGAGCGCCATCCCTTCCTTTTGGGTCTTCACTCGTGCTTCCAGACTGAAACTCGGATATACTTTGTGATGGAATATGTCAGTGGTGGTGACTTGATGCTGCACATTCAGCGGAAGCAGTTCTCGCTGCGTCAGGCCAAGTTCTACGCATCGGAGGTCCTGTTGGCTTTGGAGTACTTCCACCAAAACGGCATCATCTATCGGTGTGTTTCTTCCTTCATTTGGCATGACTTGTTGCTAAATCCCGAGCTAGTGATCTCAAGCTCGACAATATCCTGCTTACTCTCGACGGACATGTCAAGGTTGCCGATTACGGTCTCTGCAAGGAACAGATGTGGTATGGTCAGACGACGAGCACTTTCTGTGGCACTCCAGAGTTCATGGCGCCCGAAGTGGGTCACAATTGTTGCTGTCGAGAGGTCCCTTTCTAATCGCTTCCTAGATTTTGCTTGAGCAACGATACGGTCGAGCTGTCGACTGGTGGGCGTTTGGTGTATTGACCTATGAAATGTTGTTGGGTCAATCACCCTTCCGAGGAGACGACGAAGATGAAATCTTCGACGCAATCCTGGAAGACGAGCCATTGTATCCCATTACCATGCCTCGTGACGCTGTGTCGATATTGCAAAAGGTTCGTTTTCTCTCATTTGAACATTTCTTTTTATTTTCGCTTACGCCGTAAAACAGCTGTTGACGAGGGACCCTGCTCGTCGTCTCGGATCAGGAAAGGAGGACGCCGAAGAAATCAAAAGACAGCCTTTCTTCAAGGATGTCAACTGGGATGATGTGTTCCACAAGCGTATTCCTCCACCCTACTTCCCGACAATCGTGAGTCGCCTTTGGTTCGACTGTGCTACATCCATTGCTGATGATCCTTCTTGCAGAGCGGAAGCGCCGATACCAGCAACTTCGACGAAGAGTTCACACGCGAACAGCCAACATTAACCCCAGTGCACGGTCAACTCTCTTCGCGAGACCAAGCCGAATTCAACGGTTTCTCTTGGGTGAGTTCGTTTATCCGTATCTTGATTAATCCCTTAACCTTTGATCTATCTCGTCAGGTTGCGAGTTGGGCGGATATCTAATGAACGAATGGCAAGAATTACGGACAGGACAATTGTTTCGCATCTTTATATCGCCTACTTTTCTTTATGCAGTCTGTAGTAGTGTTTACCTCCTCCCCCGTTGTTGTGGATGTACCACCCTTTGCCCCAGAGGCATCTGATTTCTATTTATACCATTTCCCTCTCGTGGATGTGACGTTTCCGTCTCTGGTCTCTGTTGTCGATCTGAGGTGTCGTACTATCCTGGGAATCCGCAGCAGACTGGTGCCGTTGGTGGATGGACATTTGGAGCGCGGTCGCCTTGGTTGTGGCACTTGCAGGAGGGTTGGTTCCCAGACTCTCGTCGTGTTCCCAGAGAGTAAGGCCCTTCAGGTGCCGGCGCATTCGAACGCGTGAAACATCAATGGCAGAGTTCTTCATTGCTTGGAGCTCGACACGACATGCCCGCCCGTCCCAGGTAAACCAGGGGCTACCTGCTCCGCCTCCTCGTCGTTCAGTTGACCCGAATTCCTCATCAACTCGTGGAAGCTGTGCCACAGAGCGGCGATGGTGTGGTACTCCTTTGTCATCCCCAGGACCTCCTCGAGTTTACGGTTGAGAACGTTGGTGGATGATAAGAGATCTTCGAAACCCTGGTTGAAGTTTGAAGATAAGCTTGTCGTGGATAGTGGGGATTGTGAGCGGAGCTAAGGTAGAACGTACAGAGGTTATCTCTCTGGAAAGTCTGTCGCGTTCTCGTTCGAAGAAAGTGGGTTCTTCCTCGTGGTACGCCATTTCGACGGTTGTGGTTGTGGTGGATTGTAGTCAAGAGGCGCGGTACTACCGATGTCAGTTTCACCACGTACGTGGGGGAGGTAAAGTGGAGACCCGAGCATCCCTTACCAGCGGCCTTATGGTCTAGTAGTATGATTCCTCGTTTGGGTATTGCTTGCCTAATTCGAGGAGGTCCTGGGTTCAACTCCCAGTGAGGCCCTTATTTTTTCGCTTTTTCTCTCAGTTTTTCTGCACCCCTGATGTTCGAGTTTACTTAGCATTCAGAGGGAGGGGGTGGAAGCTTTGGCTGGCGCTTGTGACCTTGCGTTATGCATGGTTAGAGAATTTCCAGGACTTGGATAACGGAGTTTTAGGCTCTAGCGCCGCGGATGATCAATGGGCGTCTGGGGACGTATATTGACTTTGGAAAAGGCCAAGGACGAATAGGAGTCCTCATTGCGGTGCGATTGAATGAGCCTTTGCCGACAGACTGCATAGAGCCGTAGGGAAAGGTTGCCTCGATGTAAGTTTCCAAGTGCCGGGGTCCTTGAGGTCCTTGGCAGGTTGAAGGAAAGAAATGCTGCTTTTTCCATTCAACTCGTTACGGTCTCATATAAGAGGATCATGGCACTGTCCGCCACAAGGCCCAGAGTGACAGTGGCAAGAGTATCTTGTGTCCTCGATTGCAGCTGGCAGGTTGCAAAGAATTGGATTCGTTGTCCCCAGTAGGTATCACGGGTCAAAATGGTAGATGGAGGATGGAGAAAAAGGTAAAGGTAAAAGTCAGCGTGCGAACTGGATCGGTTGCTTTATAGTCGCGGGGAATTATTTGCCTTTCTTACCGAGTTTTCCAACTCAGTATTCGCTTCCAAAGTTCCTGGACGCCCGTCTTTCGCATTCATCTTCCTGAGTCCTCTTCGCTGAGGATAAGGCCTTTATTTCTCTTCACCACACAAATACCTTTTCTTATTTCTCTTTGCTATTTATTGGGACAAACGGGTCGTGATGGCGCTAGCCCAGCCAATGCCAATGAGATTACCGGGGCCGTCTTGGGATGAGGAGGTCGTGCCAGCCCTTCGCAAACGTACGTTCTGGTCCTTTATATGGCCCTTTTGGCCTTGTTGAACATCTGTTTTCAGGTCTCGAGAGTGAAAGCAGGACGCTTTCAAAGAGAATGTCCGCCATCTCGCTTTCCGCAGACGATGTACCCATGCCGCCAATGCTTTCTGAATTGACATCGCGGTCCAAGGCGCAGAATAGTTCGCATGCTCGAGGGGGAAGCAGTATAAGGACCGCCGGACCAAGTCCAATGCAGATGGAGAACAGCACGTCTGGTTCCACAGCCAGTACATCTCGTAGCATTCCCAATCCGGCAAAGCCACCAGCACCACAATCGTCCAATTATCAACGCTCCAGAACGTATTCTCAACCAGACACAGTCCATGTCCCCAAGTTGACTACAAAAATGCGCCGCAACATTACAACCGCAGACAGCACAAAGTCCACCGACTCGTCGCGGTCGCGACCGACACGTATTCCCAAACCATCGCGGGCGTATGGGGGCTACAGTAATGGGAATACACCCGTCATACCACAAACCAACGGTTTCTCGACAAACAGCCATGGGAGCAGGCCACTTACGTCCCCGGCAACACGTTCGACTGCTGGATTTCCCAATGACCGATCGACCTCGGGACTCTTGAACGAGCCCCCTCCATTTCCACCTTCCTCGTCTACCTCATCGTTAAACTATTCTCAGAACAGCTATCCAGACCCCGACGAAGCTCCGCCAAGGCCCTCGATAGACTCGGAAGAACGCCCTTTCGAGCACTGGTATCGAGGAGAGGTTTCACGTAATGGAGGTGTTGGTGAATTGCGGGTGGGAAGGCAGCAAGAAATGCTGGAAATTGCAAATTATGGCCATATGATTCGAGGGATGCAGAGAAAACCGGTCGTTGGATGGAATAATCATCAGTCGCCACTGCATTCGAGACATGCTACCGATGACTCCCCACGACGGCATAGGAAGCGTGCGGACAGCATTGCAGGGATTACAGACGTTGAGAGGGTACGAGGAAGCATATTGTTCGATGAGGAGGGTATGGATGCGGTAGGCCGCGTTCTGGACGAGCATCCCCTGACGGACATAGAGGGGGAGGAATCGGATATTGCATCGCTGGCTTCGCACCATTATCGACACGGCAGACTCGACCATATGCCAGGCGTAGGAGACATTTCAACGTCGACAGCAACTCCAACAGCCCCCACACCGACCCAGTTTGATGAAACCGTTGATCGAAGTACCACTCCACAACCCAGATCGTCGTCATCGTCTCGCGGATATCCTCCTAGTCGAATACCATCCCGCGCAGCAAGACGGTCATCCGAATCTCGCGCTGCCACCCCTACAATGAACAACCCTCCCACAGTAAATGGCGCGTCAACTTCGAAAACGCCATCTCCGCCTCCCATACCGCCGCAAACCTCTCGTTCAGTTTCATCCCAATCTATACCTTCAACGAATGCTACTCCTAACGGAAAGCGTGTGGTTTCGCCCACTTCTGCGAAGAAGCGTACGCCTGTAAAGTCTCTAAGAGGGAAGCAGGTGCCTCCCGCTTTGGCAAAGAGAGACAATTCGAAAGAACCTCGGACTGTTTCGCAGTACCCCTCACCCGGCGACGGAGAAAACATGGCTGACGCTATTCCAACATGGACCCAGCCAATTCCCAGGACTGGTAATTGGGACGAGGTACGTTTCTCTCCGCACGCTGCGGACCGAGTTCCTTACACGCCCCTTAGGTGGTCTTACCTGTCGTTGCGCGGCAGAAGGGTTTGGACGAATTTTATCAGACTGCAGATGGTAGTCCTCAACCTAAAAAAGTGGAAACGACTATCGCGCCTGTAAGTTTATTCTAACTATCCATTATACTCGACCACTCACACCTCTACCCTTTTTAGGCACCTGGAACGTTTGGTTACGATCCCGCTAAGTACCGCCGCAGAGACGAAGGTGAAGCCATCCCCATGGACGAATTCGGTCGTCCGCATGAACAGGAAGAACCGGAACAGGCGCAGCGCAAACCTCAGCCAACGGAGACTACAACAGACGAGTTCCGACCTTACCAAGAGACCTCCTCTCCGCACGACGAAACGCCGCTTCCCGTTCGAGGAACACCGCCGCCATCACCGCCTCCTTTCTCCCAATATGCTTCACCTTCACCGCAGATTGTGGCAAACACAGTGCCACCTCCCAACCCCAATTATCAGGTGCAGGAAGAAGAGGACAAGGGAGCAGGATGCTGCAAATGTACTATCATGTAAATTGGATGGTCACTGGGACCAGCCCGTTCTCGGATGCTTGCCATTTGTACATCGCCTCTGTCACTCTTTGCGCCCCCGACCCTCTCGCACTCTCCCCCCTGACATCACTCCAACACAGCACACCCCCAACCCTTTCACTATCACCGCTATTATGCCGACTCTCCTTCACACCCCGCGCTACTTCACTCCCCGGCCACAACCACCCCAATCTGCGTTTTATTCCTTTGTGTATTTGTATGTTCTCTTTCGATTTCTTCGTGGACTGGCGACCTGGATTTCCAATATTGTTCCTCCACTTCACACCACCAACACCAGCATTCAAACACTGACTGTTCACCACGGAGGTATATTCTGATTCTTTATCGCTATTGTTTTCTTACTACTTTGAATGGTTCGGGGATTCTCCCATTAACCCAGCTAGTAGCTACCCTAAATCCCTAGTCGCTCCTTACACTATCCATCCTGATTGTCATCCTCTCTGATTGTGTTGCAACGCTCTCCAATCTGCTCATACCCTACCTACCTACCCTATGATATATTTACTGTGCGCACTTTATTACTCTCTCTTTCTTCTCTTCTCGCCTGTCTTAGTCGGGAATCGCATTGGGTTGTCAGCTCTGATCTCTTCGTTGGTGCTCACTTGTTCCAAGTTTGAACTTGGATATTCCGTTCCAAATTCATCCCCGCCCCTTGTCTGTCAAGTACAACGAGAAAACACGTAGTAGTCTCCCCAACTGACCAATGCTCCGTCCTGCACTCTAACCTCCTCCGTTCTGAACTCGAGATCCCATGAATACCACCCGACAGACTCGTCGCTCTCAATCGCGATCATAGTTTGGTTGGTAAACTCCTCCAAAACTGCTCCATCTTTCTTCCAAACGATGGTGTAGCTCTCTTGAGGTGCATTGACACGTGTTGCTTCAGTCCTGAATTGCGCCAGAGGTAGGAGGACAATCTCCAATAGCCTGAACCATTTCTTGGATTCGGGGTTGTACTGGCAGCTCGCTCTGAATAGATCGACCAGGCTCAACTGTCGAAGAAGCGAGAGCCACAGTCCTTCTAGACAGACTTTGCAAAAGTTGGGGACTACGACATTCCGCATCAGGCAGTCGTCATTGGTCGGTCGGTAGGTGGTGACATTCTCGTTCGAGTAGCTGTCGTCAGAAGCGAAGCCGTCGGCGGTCAGTCGGGATCTGGCAAGAGGGCAAGGCCAATTGGTACGTACGTCGGGTATAATCCGTAATGGCCTGGCTTCAGGATGAATCTAGAGAAGCAAAGCCTGTCAGGGAACGTAATCTCACAGAGAGAGACAAACTCCGTCAGCTCACTCTGATTCATCGCCATACTCAAGGACCTCAACGCTGCATAGTTGAGCAACATCCTCCAAGCTCTCTTCCATGAGTACAAATTTGAGTTCATGTGTCCCCGCTGATAAACCCTTCGAGAGCAATATATCGTAGTGCCAACGATCTAACCCAACCGCTGGCTCAGGCTTCCATTTCAAATCGACTCCATCCAACTCGACTCGGAGGAATGAGGCTTCTGGAATCCCGGATAACGAGAATTTGACGAGATGCCTCGAGTAGGCCCCTGAGGATGAGAACTGGGTGGACCATGGGGTTGTAGCATTGAGCATCGTCCATACATACTCTTGAAGGGGCATGACTGAATGCTCAACCCGCGGCCCTCCATCGCTGTCGGTAGTGGGCTCGGTCAGCCAGTGCTTCCAAAATACTGGTTCACTGAGGTTCTTGAAGCTGTTGACACCAAAGTACGCGAAGCCTCCATCATACTCCTCTCCTACGTTGATGATTGAGTGGCCGAGCTCGTGACGAAGCACAAGGGGTCCGTTAAGGTGAGAAGCTGTTACGGTGCTGGTACGAGTCAGATTCTTGCATGGCGATACGTGCATTGGGGCCCATACTTACACAAATTCGCCTCCTAAACCTATAGAGGGAGTGTACTCAGATAATCTTCGAGCTCGACTCAAGACTGATGCTAACCTCCGTAATGCGGGTCATTCGCTGTGGAAGTGTGTCAGTTCGAGTAGCTTCTTGCTGGCAACTGGATCACCTAGAAGAATAGGGTAATCGCACCCCTTTCCGAGAGTGTCGCAGGCCGCTCGAGCAACTTGCGGTTTACTGTAGTAGACACCTCTGAGCTCCGTCCCGTATCTGAACAAGCCAAAGACAGTGCTGGGTGGACGTCAGAAGTCAACCATCTGCCACGACAGACAGAAAGGCGCACTCTTTCGGAACGCCGTCTGCGCCAATGCCGCTCTAGAGGTCCATCCGTCACTTCACGTAGGAGGGAATGGAAGGTTGAACGTGCCTCTTTACTTGGAGAAAACGCGGCCCAGAAATTTAGCAGCGGCAAAACGGTGTGGAAGGTCTGGTTCTGCGTGAGATCTTGAGCGAGCCGTGTTGCATCATCAATGAACTTCGTTCTTTCAGATTGAGTATCTGTAGAATTGTCAAACTATGATGCGGGGACAGGACAACAGGTCATTCACTCACATCCATCAGAGAAGAACACTAAATCAACACGATTGTGGATTGAGCCAGATACCACCAAGGGAACGAGTTCCAGTGGGGGCGCTTCTTCACTATTGACTTCCCATTCGTCGAGTTTGCTAGGTCCTGTCTAGCATTCTACTTGGAAGGCGTACATTCTGATAGTTCTGCGTGACTAACCTCCCCTAGTATTCTCGTCGATGCACAGATATCATCCGGAGCGACAAGTTCCACTCCAGATTTACGGACATAAGATGGATGTTCAAGCACTTGCTGAGGGTGCCGGTGACGCGCCAAGCCATCTATGCAGAATGTAAGGCTTATGAACGTCATTACGATTAACTTGGAGACCTACACTCTATACAGAGAGAGGCCAGACTCGTCGCGACCAATGCGTGGTAGAGGTTCATGAACAAGGCAGTCAATGATTCCCTTTCTCACACACCCCTATCGTCGATCGCGGTGCCGGATGCGGGCCAGACGCTCCGGATGGGCGCTTGCATTCAAGCTGAATGAACATTTTCGTTCAGCTTGCCCTCCAGCCATTCTCCTTCCAATAATCTACGAAGAGTTCCGTAGTCGCGTTCAGCTTGCTCCAGTTCGCCAGGTAATTGAGTGCTTTCGAGTAGGAGTCGCAGCTTATCTTCAGGATGGTGAACTTAAACGGCTGTTTGTTGAAAGACATCAAGTGAGTTATCAAGGCGAGGAGTCTAGCTAATACCTAGAGGTCAACACTTTTATGAGTGGCTCAAACTCGAGGTATAGGAAATTCCAATTTCTGTTCCTGCGACACGACTAATTCAGCGGTAGTATCACCCTCCCTGGAAGTCCCTGGAAGTCTTGAGATCTCGTTCAAATACTAGAGATGGAGATGACACAGTGTCCGAGCTGATGGGTAGTGACGAATTGACTGCTCCAAACTAGCTGGATAATTAGGCATACCCCGTTTTACCCGGTACGATGGCAAAAGCTGGTCCTCCCTTCCCGAACATCTTCCTCAGATCTCCGACCAAGGCTCCCGGCACTTCGTAGGCTGCAAAATGGCCTCCAAATTCATGTTCAGATTCAAACACCAAGTTGGGAAGACTCCACGAAAACCACCTGAACCAAAGTGATGACGTTAGATGCATACGTCGGTGACACAAAGACGGTTCTACTTACTTGATGGGGAACGGAAGTAGTTCCTTCGGAAAGTACGAATGTCCAACCGGGATAGCAGTCTCCAGGTTGGAAAACCAGGCGCCTTGACCGCGAGCATGAAGGAACTCATAGTAAATTCGAACGGAGGCAGCGGGTCCAGCTCGAGAGAACCAGTAGATTGACATCCACGTCAAGACTATTCCTTGCGATCAGACCATGGACACAACATGAGCAAAGTGACATACCTTCATCCTCAGTCCATTTGTAGTCGTCAGTCCATCGATACAACTTCTCGTAAATCCAGCCCAGAAGACCTGCTGGGGAATCTGCGAGGCTATATCCAAGAGTTTGGGGTTGCGTTGTCTGCTCCCACATGTATCCTTGGCCAGTCTTTTCAAATTCTTCGCATCGCCTAAGACGTTCTTTATCCTTTGCTGTATTGCCCAACAGGAGGTGCTTGAGCAATAGGAGAGGTCGGCTGACCGGGTGAGGAAGGTATGTGCTAGCAGACCAAGGATATCAGGGGCATGAAAGCACAATACCTCAAAAACATACTTACAGAGGCATATTCGTGTGCCATGCTTTGACATGCTTGGGTCCATAGCGGTGCGCCAGTTCCCTGGCAATAGCAGAACCCCAATCACCCCCTTGTGCAACTATAACACTACAATTAGCATAAACCGTTACAAGGACAAGACAGACACACCGTATTCGCTATATCCGAGAGCAAGCATCAATTTGTGCGTAGTCTGCGATGTCGGTCATTAGCGCTGGACGTCTTTGACGAGGAGGGGCCTCCATACCTCTGCCATCTGAGCCACTTCAAATCCCTTCTTCTTCGGAGCTTCGGAGAAGCCGTACCCAGGCAAGCTCAGTGCAACGACGTGGAAGCTCGGATGCTGGGGGGAGACCTCAATTAACAAGGGCAAAACCTTACGAACCTCGATGAAACTTCCGGGCCCTAAAATATTAATGCTCGTTAGGTTGTCGCAGACATGCTTATGATCGGCACTCACATCCGTGGATGAAGACGAGAGGAATAGCATCGACAGCCTGACTCTTCTGGTGTATGTAGTGGATGTTGAGGACACCATGGCCCTGGATTTCGATGTCGCGCGTGAACTGCGGAAGCTCGTCGTTCAACTTGGCTTCGTGGATGCGCCAGTCATAACCGTTCCTCCAATACTCCACGAAGCGACGGACATCGGCCAAAGGAGCACCATAAGCACGTCCAGCTTCCTCGAGTTCGTCGGGGAACCTGGTCAATTCAAGTTTCTTGCGCAAAAGGTCGATCTCGCTGTCGGAAACCGCAATCTTGAATGGTTGTTCTTCTCCGGTCATAGGTGGTTGCTAGTGAATGGAGTGATGGGGAAAGAAGGCAGAAGAGGGGTTTGGAGCCCCGACGGCTTATATAGATTTGTTGTGGCACATGAGAAAATACGCCATGGGGGAGGCAAGGTAGAGGTAGCCATCTTGCCCACATCGTGGTTCTGAGACAAGCGTCACAATTGCTGCCGGTATCTGAGTCGGTCGCCGTTGATAGCGCTGATCCGTCATAGTGATGGATGTCATTATGTGTGCTCAAGCAGCAAAGAGAGGTCCGATAAAGATTAGTTTTCATCCGTGACCAGCCAGAATCCATGCATATGGCCGTTTCAGAGAGTCATATCTACAGGCAAAGGCCGTCAAGCTGCAGGCAATGCCTCCCGGGACCCGCAGTCGACTTTTGGCTGATTCATCGGCGGTGCAGCTGACTTGAACATTGTCCGAGTCGTGATTCCGATCCTGCCACAATTTTCGAGCTCATGGGCGGGAGAACGGTCGTAAAAAGGAGGTAAGGATGTGAGGAGGGCGATATGCTACATTGACGGGTGGTACATAATCTTTAATACATGAAGAAACCATCGTAACAGGTGCTGAAGGCCTGTCGCGCTGAATAATCCACAATCCTTGGACTAGGTATCCTTTCACCGTCCAAATGGTAGTCGTGGAGACGTGGGAGTCTGGGCAGCGATAATGACACCACAATCAACCTTCTTTCAATACAAATCACAGCGCCCATGCCCCTCCAAAACTCTGGACCTTACAATGTAAGTTGGAGGATTCGGCGGGGGTATCATTGTGGAATCCTCCCGCATACTGTGCAGGGCAGAAGGGAGTGGAAGTTGCATTATGGCCCTACGAAAGGACAGTAAGTACTCTAGGATTGCTGGCCTATCCGTAGGTTTCCTGTCCATCATCGCTTGAAAAACGGTGCGGAGAGGTTTCGCTGCTGTTCTCAATCGGTACCGGAGTTGTATGACTCTGAACCGTGTCATATAGTGTTCCGGGAGCCCGAGCAAGCAAATGGTACGGATCCACGTCGACTATTACCAAATTCTTGTGCAAGCATTAATACTTACTGCCACGAACGACGTTTCCATCGATCAAAAAATGATTTAACGCAAACATGTGTCTTTTCTCGGGCCCTCGATTCTATGCTTTCGGAGTCTCCACTTCCGCCACCCTGACGGAAACATATCAGCGGCATCCAGAATGAGAGTTAGTATCAAGACTTACAATGACATCCTATATTGATACGACTACCGCGGAGAATCGTGGAACTTTACACTTACCAACACTGGTTTACCCCAGTCAAAGGCGTGAAAGTCCCAACTGAAGCTCCACGGCGGCAATTCCTCCTGAAGCCTCGAAACAATCCGGCGAACCATCCAGGTATCCGAGATCGTGGCTTGTTTGAGATACCGGTATCCGCACGTCTTCGAATCCTTGTCGGGATATGGGTTGGATACGTACAACCGGGAGCAGAGAAACTTGACCACCGTCTCCACCAACGAGTCCATCTCGACCCAGTCCATGTGGGATAGAGTAATATGCTCGAGGTTGGGGAGCATGTCAACAATGTTGGCCTCGAGCGAATAGCGTGAAAGGTCTCGGAGAAGTTCCTCGCTCCCCCAGATTCCGCTGAGGTGGATGCGATTGACAGTTTTTATGCCTTCCAGGGCAAGAATGGAATATGAGGTAGTTTTGTCGAAGCCGAAGATTTGGAATTGCTGGAGTTGACAGTCACTGCGTCCCAGGAAATTGGAAACACATTTCAAATCTTCAGAGCGAAGGTTGTGTGACCTTCGCCGCGACACGGACGGCGGGCCCGGCGCATTGCAGAGACTGAGGATGTTGAGGTTCCGGGCTTTGATGGTTTGAAGGAGGATGTTCGCACTTTGATCCAGTGTCGACACGAGCTTGAATGTTGACAAAGCAGGCAAGTCCACTTGGTGAGCACCGCTGAAGCTTGCTGACGCGGGTCTTCTGCCACCCTGTAAAGCCAGCAGGGTAATGTCCAGCGCGTCCAGTTGCGTTGTTGCGCGCCACAAGGATGGTAGGTAGTGGATTAGGGCGTCCGATATTGAGATCGTCAGACTTGCCAGTCTATCCCAAGGCACGTTAAGGTCGGAAGGCGTGACCATTTGGAAAGAAGTGATGGTAAGCTTCCTGAGTTTTGGTGGCTTGCAGAGCATCGTGAACCTTCCTGGACCTTCCAATGTCAGAGACTGGAGATTGTTGAAAGATTGGGATAGTGGAAAGCCCCCATAGTAAGTTGTAATGATCTGGCAATTGAACGACGCTCGAATCCACCGCTTCGAGTGTGCTAAGAGCCTCGCCATGACGGACGCTATTGACGCAAAGCACGCAGTGGGTTCAAACCGGATTGAAAGCGGATATCGTTTCGACCGTTGAAGGATAAGATCGACGAGCAGATTAACAGATTTGGGGAGATGATTACTGGCGGACGACGAATGCATTTGTTCGATGGAACTATCGAAAGATAAGTCGATGTCCGACCACAACTCTGGCGTGTTGATGATTGCTGATCGCCACTGAAAACAGACTGCACTCAGTCGCCCAACGAAGCTTTCAGGTCTTCGAATGTCGATGACAGGATACCCTGCAACGAAAACCTGCCGGAGGATTTCGATGGGTATCGATTGCAATGGCGATGAGTCGACTGCTGTTGGTACTTCGGAGGCAGACATGATGGGCGTTAACAACAAAGAGGTTTCTGCTTGCCGATTTATTCTCCGACAGCTATTTGAAACTCCAAGTCATTCATCCTTCCAGTCGGCAGATGGCCATTGTCACAAAGCAACACCCGGGCCATGCCACAGTAAACAAACGAGGTGGATGGGCATTTGATGATGAAATACGGGTATCAGGACAGATCATCATGCCCCTTGGATTCTCAAAGTCAATACATGGTTTCGGAGATCGATTACGATTAAGCGCCGGCGTAGCGGGGGTCAGGGATCGACAACGACGTAGCCCCCGATCTTCCCTGCTTCTAAATCACGGTACGCTTTCAAATGCTGACTTCTTGTCAGTAGCCATTCCATTGGAATGGACGCGTTTCGTGCATCCCGCACATTCTGAAGCAGACAAGGAGTGTTGTCCAGCAACCGTTGAACAAGGTATGCGTCCTGGTCAAGGGGTTGATCAGCTGCTATTTGAGAGGTATGAGTAAAGCTAACCTTCAGGCAATAGATCGCCATCAGCCTTCGATTGTCCGGACCACCGTTCTGAAGCACGGGTATCAATCGAAAGTCAAAGTCCACTTTGGTCTCACCAAGGATCCGCTGCGCGACGGCGCCGAGCGCCTTTGACGTCCCTTCGGGCGAGTTCCTTCTGGCAATGTAGTTGAATAGATCGAGGGTAATTCGCCCCGGTATGAGTGGCGCCCGGGCACTTTCCGGCTCCTTGCTTGACCTGTCCCAGGGTGGATAACTCAAGCATGGCTCTAAACAGGGATCCGATTAACGACGAGAAGTATCTCGTTCAGTTCAAAACGCTACATACCTTTGAGCCTCCCCAGTTGTCCGAACGTCGCAAGGTTGAGAACCTGGGCTCGGGCAAGCAGAAATGGCAGGTCAAAACGACCACTGTTATAGCCCAGCACCACATCCGGATCAGTGTCGAGAATAAATCGCCCCCAGGCTGCCAATAACTCCCTCTCAGTTGCGAAACAGAGAGCCTGAACGCCCCGGATAGGTAGGCAATCGTTCAAAACAAACAACGTGCGCATCACGGGGTCGGTCCGATGCGTAGAGTCCCCGGCTAGATCACCCAGTAGTTAATTTTTAAAGAACTGCATACATGAGTGAAACTTACGACGATGGGATACGGTATTAGATATCTGTAGAACAGGAAAGCCCTCAGGATATGGGAATACTCCATCGTCTTCGGGTATCATGGTCTCTATGTCGAAGCTAAGTATTCGAAGGGGTGCAGTTACGGGAAGTCCAAGTGTCGCTTCATCCTCTTCTGAGAAAACTTTCAAGTTCTGGTAGCTGCTGACAGTTAGTCTGATATCGCCCATATAGCAAGAACCATTACCTGACGGAGACTTCAATTTGACATGTCGAACGCTTGTTCACGCAATCAACGGTTCGGTAGGTTCCTGGGTCTAGTCTGACCCAGCTCATTGCTTGCACCTGACGAAAAGTCATTTCTTGCCGCGAGACTCGGAGGCTAAAGTATTGACACTCGCCTGTGTTTCGCGGATAAAGCCAGTGATATACGGAACTCGGCCTTCGAAGGTCTGCTGGAAATGGCCAAATAGGTTTCGGTATTGACTCAACCCCGAGCTAAGCATGAGTGTCGGATGGTAAAGGTGTCATTCCACGTAGTATCGAAGGTGGAAACGTATCTTGTAGTGTGTGTAGCTGGTCCGGAGAAACAACATAGATCTTGAGAAGCGGTTTAAGCTCGCCATTGGCTCTCATGGGCTTTTGGGCCATGGAAATACGAGGGACGGCATTTGGGTTCCCAAGCAACCTCTGGAACAAGGCTTAAAGATATAGCCCCGAAGGCAAGGGGCAACACAGACATTAATCCGCTCTCGGAAGGGCTCGAGATCTTGAGGACCGAATCCAGTTGGCACGGGAACGTAAAACGACTGGACAAAGTCGGATACAATGGTCATGGTCGTACTTCCATCCTGCCCAGAAGGTCAGTCTGCAGACAGAGTAAGTGATGATCACTACACGCCTTGGTCACACCAGACAGATAGATTACACCCTTTCCATCCGCTTCACGACCTTCGTGGATGTGAATCTGTTGGAATACTTCACGGAAGTCAAGGAACGAGTAAGACTTGAGAGCCAAATCGCATGCCAATGGCGCTGTTGGATTCGGCAACAGGGGTCGGGCGTTCGAGGATGTCAGTTTTGCATCGATAGCGCTGGGAAGCTTTCAAATGGTCGTGTTCAGTTTAGTACTGCAAGATTGGATATACCGAATACGATTCACCGTCCAGAAACACTTCATTGTTGGACTGCATTCTGGCTAATTCGGCCTCAAATACAGCTGCAGACGGAATGAGATTTGCCATGGTATCGAAATTGTAGGGAATTGGAAGGGAACAAGCAGGTGCCAAGAACGGAGGGCTGTGCGTTGCGGGTGTTTGGCAAAACCGTCACGATCAAGCAATCAGGCGCAGATCAAACGCATCGCGTCCAGGACTCTTGCATGGCGCGTGACGTCAGTCAAGATTTCCACCCCTTGAAGCTTCAAAGTTGCACCAGCTGGAGTTCGGATATGCTTATAGACGTGTAGACGTAATGGCATAAACGCGATTAAAGATGATACAGGCCTCAAGTCAGTTAAGTAATTCAGTTTCTCCTCTGATATCAATCCTTCGACCCCCGATTGCTGGCACCGGTCGATGTAGGAGCCACACAGAGTAGGACCCAAGCGGATCAGTCCATCTATGTATAGGCTTGAGGTTTCCCTCGCTAAAGAGTTTACGAGTGTCATCTTCCGAGTACTGTATGTCTGGATTCAGTATCCCGTTTAAGGAGACGATCAAGAAACTAATACCTTCACAGACTCTTCAATTTTCAGCATCTCGTTCTCACTGAAGTGGAAATCGGACTTCATGGAGGAAGAGGACAGTGTACACGAGCGTCTCGCCTTATAGTAAGACTTGTGTTGACCTGAATTGGCTGATGTCAGAAATGTATGCTTCCAAAGAAATAATCGACTTGAAGCACGTACGTCTCTCCTACGAAAGTAACTATATGAGCGGACAGAAAAAGTACTGTCAGGCAAGAAAGGCACTCACTGTGTCATAGAAATTAATGTACTCCCAATCGCCCTCGGGGAACAGTTTCTCGTTGCCCAAGACTCGACCGGTATGTCGAAGGGCATTCATCTTGAAGCGCCGACAGTAGCCTTGTGGGTCGTTGTACGCGACCTCAATTTTGTCCTTATCGTCGGTGTGATCCAAAGAGAGAAGTAGAGTATCCCCTGCTCCTGGACGCAACGGGAGCGATCGAAGGAATGCTCCCGCCTCGTCCCTGGGGAAGTTTCCCAAAGACAGGCCCAAGAACATGACATGGAGTTGAATTCGAGAGTCGTCAACCGTGTCAGAGGATTCAGCTGAGACAATAGTGCCATCTTTGATGGATTGGATCCCGTCGTTGAATGTCCCCCACAACCCCTTCGTAATGACCTTCCCATCGAGACACTGGCCGAGCTCGGAGGTCTGAATTTCCCCCAGCGTTTGCTCGAGCACCCGTCTCTCCAGATCAAGCGCGTAATAGTTGGTCGGAGATCGTCCCTGGACGAGACGAGACATGCTCTTCAATATGTGAGCGGTCTTCCGCAGGGAGCTAGATGGTAAAGCGTATAGCTAATCTGTTGGTCATGGCCGATCTTGAGACTTACCCTGAGCCGAGCTCCAGGACAAATTCCCGGGTGGTCCCATCCCGAGATGGACTTCGCGAACGCATAGTACGGTCGGCGGGAATGCCATGGATGAATTTCAATCAAACTCACGCGCGCGAGGCTAAACCCTAGATTAGGGTTTGAGTCAAATCCCGGATCAATCACAAAAACGCAGGTAGAAAGCCCATCGCAATGCTCGTTTAAAGGGATTCTCACTTGTTCTATGGCAATGGAACGTGGATTATGGTGTTTAGAGCTTATTGCTAGTGAATCAGGGGTAGAAAACGTTTCTGCCGTCGCCAAGTTGGTGCCGAGCCCCTCATTTGGATAAAGGCCGCGGGCCGCGAGTTCGATACCGCCAGAAGGCAAACGATTTGCGGAACTCCCCATTCTCTGCCGTTCTTCATTGGACCCAATATCAATTAGTTTCATTGACTGTAAATATTTAGTACTCGGGGCACTGACCCAAAGGTCACTCATGAAGAGAACAAACAAAGGCTTGAGGTCAGCGATATTTTAGTAGTGTGCTGTTCTCTCAGAGTACCTTAGACTACCACAGAATCACCCGTTTCATTCCCTTTTATCTTTCCTCATACTGCCTGTGCCACCCCATATAAATTATCGCCTGGCTATCATTACTTGCGGTGTGTTTATTGAACTTTTGAAGTAACTTAATTTGCACTGCAGAGCCCTTTAAAGAAGGCACCGTCTCTGATTTCCGCGATCTCACGACCCTACAGCCATGGGAACTCTTCCTTGCTGCCACCCTACTAATTTCTGGTGGTCTAAATCGTCTTAGGACCTATTATACCACCTATGATACCCTAAAGCAGGCGCAAAACTCAGTTCCGGGAGATGGGCGCTTGAGTAGGACTCAAACCCTAATATAGGGCTTGAGTCTCGCGCGCGTGAGTTTGATTGAAATTCATCCATGGCATTCCCGCCGACCGTACGCATAGCATTCACGATCTCGTCCGCATGCTCCTCGAGAATCTTCTTCTCCGTCGCAAAAGGATAGTATTCAGGAACCGTTGTTATCACATTGTCGAACAGTCGGAGGCCTTCCTCGTCCCACAGAAGCATACTGGGTAAGGTTTTCTCTCCAACTGGACGGGAGAGCCCATTCAAGACTTCCTGGGAGAGATCAAAGGCTACTGTTCCATCACGAGAAGAGGAGCGAATGTCAAGGATTTCGACTACCATCCTGACGAGTGGTAGAGGTATTGCCCTGACCATCCCGGAACATCCTGCGTTTTATATCGTCTGGACCGCCAAGCCTGCACGGGCTTCGCCGTGAACTTACCTATTATTGAACCCTCCACACGAGTCCATTTCAGCTATGTTCTGCACTGGACAACGATCTCGTCGGAACGTATGACACACGTAGAAAATAGCCGATTGGGATTTACTTTCCGCGTATGTGCGTACCATGGAGGAAGCATCAACTTGGCGTGGAGCCCATTCCTGTACGGGTGCTCCTGAGAACATGGAGGAATATCGCCACCGACCTACGAATGTCATCAGCGCTCAGAACTCACTCCAAACTACATTCTCCCCAATCCGTTCGAAATCTGCGCCCGGCTAAGCAATGTGCATAAGTCGCTCGTCGCTTGCTTCGCGAATGGTGCTCTCAACTATAAGATGTACATCAAATGTGTTTGAATCTCGCCACGATTTGACATGCTAACAGATGTGTGTACAAACCATGAATTTCCGCCGCTTCAAATGTGTTCGATTGCGGGCCGCCCCAAAAGCCATAGAGAGTATTGGCCGAGACTGTCGGTCCACCTTTTCAGCGGTGCGAGGTTTGCGTCAGCGAAGAGCTTGGCCGCGTCGTCGTCGGAATACTGAGGGCCTGGAGTAAGCATCGGAACAGAGAAATGAGAAATCCGTGGAATACCTTAACAGACTCCTCGATCTTTATCATTTCATTCTCAACAAAATCGAACATTGTCCTCAAGGTAGGAGAATACGCTGAATAGGTGCGATTCACCCTATAGTAAGATTCATGTTGTCCTGGATAAAAGTACGCGTTAGAGGGATAGTACCCTGGCGAGTAGTAGTATTGCGCAAGACGCACTTCCTGCCTAAGTCATCGTATGAGCGTCTGAAGACACGTCGATCGAACGTAAATGCTCACCGGGTCATAAAAATTGACATACTCCCAATCGTCCTCACGGAAGAACTGCTCGTCACCAAGGACTCTGCCAGCATGTCGAAGCGCATTCATTTTGAAGCGTCTAGTGTAGCCTTGAGGATCGTTATAAGCGACTTCAATCTTGTCTACATCGTTGTCGTGGTCCAATCCGAGGAGGAGGGTATCACAGGCTCCCGCACGCAGCGGCAGCGAGCGAAGAAACGGGCCTGCCTCTTTCCGAGGAAAGTTTCCCAACGAAGAACCCAAGAACATAATGTGGAGCTGGGTCTGACCGCCCGTAGATTCAGCGGTATATCCAGGGATCAGCCCGCCGTCCTTAATGAATCGGATCCCATCCTCGTAGGTCCCCCATATACCCTTCGTGTTAACCCTTCCCTCCAGTTTCTGCCCAAGGTCGGAAGTCACAATTCCGTTCAACGTGCGTTCTAACTCTCGCTTCTCGAGGTCGAGAGCCCAGTAGCTGGTTGGAGAATCCCCTACTGCAGCTTCAGCAAAACAGGCCAGACTCTTCAGGATATGAGAAGTCTTCCGCAATGACCTGGGTCACGGTCAGCCGTGGAATGATTTGTGAAGGTTTGCAGCGCACCCTGAACCAAGTTCCAGAACGACCTGCGGGCAAGAAATGCCGTGTTTAGTCTGTGAGCGCATAATTGTCACAATCTCCTCCGAATGATTTTTGAGAATCTCTTCCTCTGCCGTGAAGGGGTAGTACTCAGGAGCTGAAGTCGTAATGGCATCGTACAGGCGGAGGCCTTCTTCGTCATAGAGGAGCATAGTGGGCAAGGACTTCTCCCCAATAGGGCGAGAAAGACCTTTGAGAAGATCCTGAGAAAGGTCAAAGACGGATGTTCCCTGCAGAGAGGAAGGGCGAATGTCGACTATTTCAACCGGCATGGTTCAACGTTGGTGTTCGTTAAGCGGACGACGAAGGTGACCATTGCGAGGTTTGCTGAATTTCAAATATCGATAGGGAACTTGTGCGGAAACAATGTCAAGAGCTTCTCGAGTTGTAACTGTCAAGTGGCTTCCGCTGTGAAAATGGGGAGATTGAGCGCAAGTCTGGCAAGTGTTTGCCATCACCCTTGAGGTTAAGCAATGCGTGATGTCACCGGCGCTGAGAGCACGGCCGGGGGAGATCAAAGGTCTTGGATGGTCTACATGTACTTACATGAGCATAGACAGGGTACATAACGTAGTCAAGCCAGACTGGGTATAGTATCAGCACACGCGAGGCTTCCGTCTTCCGCCTTTACCCTTCCTTCCCTTCCGCTTCTTCCCAGCACTAGAATTCGAACCAGGACCGAGCGCGTGTTGGTCGATTTCGGAGGGAGGTGTCGGTAGTTGTTCCGGCTCGACAGACATCCTGCTGATGGTCGGACTGGGCAGAACGCTATGCGGTTGTTCCTCCCTCAGAACCTCCGCAAGCCTCTTGATAGCCTCCTCCATTTCTTGGTCCGATAGCAGACTGAACGAAAGTCGGACACGGGTTGTCTTCCTCCCGTCAGGGAACGCGGTTGCACCTGGGAGCACGAGAACACCCTTTGAGATGGCCTTGTCACGGATGAACGCTGTCGAATCGGCTTCTCGATTCTGATAAGGAAGGCGAAGCTTGATCCAGAAAAACATCGACGCGTCCGGTGGCTTCCATTCCGCAAGCTCAGCGAGGTGTCTTTCCAGATAAGCGTTGAGCGTGTCACGCCGTTGTCTGTAGAAGTCGGCAGTTCGAGATGTATGGGCGAGGAAGCCCTCCAATCCCCATTCCTTGAGGAGTTTGAGGATGATGACTTGAGATAACGAGTTGGGCTGGACGACAGAAACCGCACTCTGCCAGAGGTCAGCCTAAATTCGGAAGTGAACACAGAAGAAAAAAAGCAGTACATACGTGTCTTTCAATAGCGACCAAAAGTCGATCAGGTCCGGTGAGCCAGCCGAGTCGGAACCCAGAGGATAAAATCTTGCTGAAACTGTCGAATCGCAAAACGCGCCCTACTTCTCCTCCGAGCTGGCGGTCCAAGGTAAAATACGAGGGGGGACGAGGCGCGTCGCCGTAATAGAGGAAGTAGTAAGGATCGTCCTCGAGGATAAGCAGATCGTATCGGCGGGCCAATTGCAAGACACCGATCCGTCGCTGAAGGGATGCTGTCACACCTCCAGGATTTGATCCAAACTGTGAAAAAATTATAAAGAAATCAGCCGTGTAATGATGGGACGAGGAGGATAACGAACAGGTACGGTGTACAGAACTCGAGGCAGCGGACCCTTGACATCCTCGTCCCAGGTGCTGAGAACCTTCTCCAGGTCAACAGTAGATATTCCGTCCTCATCCGAGTCCACGATCGCGTACTGGCAGCTCATGGCGTCCAGGATAGGCATAATTGTTCTATATGGGTTGTGAGCCAGTGTCAGCGACTACAACATCGATCTTAGACTCACGGATATGTGGGACCCTCAACCAATATCGTATCACCCGGATTCAAAAGCGCGTTGAACGCCTTGTATAGCAAATCCTGACTTCCAGCTCCCATGCTCACTCTCCATCCTTCGTTCTCCCCCCTCGAGTGCACGGTCCTCATCATCCCCTCAACCCAACCTACCAGCTCGGGTATGCCAGCGGTCATCCCATACTGCAGAGCTGTTTCCAATTCGTCTTCTTGCAAAGTCATATTCGTGATTTTTTGGGTATTGGGAGTGCGGAAGCCTAACGTGATGTGCTCAAAAGGGAAAGTTGACGGGTGAGGCTTTCCAGCGAGCATCGAAAGCATCCCGGGTTTGCCTTCCACGGAAAACAGATCCCAAACTGCACAGCGTTAGCTGGTCATGTACACCAGACATGAAGAGATAGGACTTACTGGGAGATGGCTTTCGGTGTTGGGCTACCGTTGAGAGCCTCGACGAATAATATTCCGGTGGTAGGAACCGAATCTCCGTCAACGAGCTGGTAGTCGTCTCATGCCTGCTAGAGCCTGCAATACTCTGGTTTCCACTGGACACCGGAAGGTGTCTCCCAGCTGCGGCTGGCGTATAGGCCTTCGACTTCGAACGGGCCATTGTGTCTGCTTCGTGTGATGATTCTTATTACGGTTGGTGAAATGGGAAGAGTCGCCTTGATATGGCTCGTTTCGACTTTATCAGCTTCCTCTTCCTGCGGTTATCAGAGAGCCTGGGAGAGCGCAATCATTGTCAGCATCAAGTAGTGAGGAGAGAGGCGGGGAGCGTACAATAGACCAACAAGATCGGTATGGGGGATAAAAGATTGGTTGTGGGTTTGAATGGGAGAAAAACCCCCAAGCTACTAATAGTCTTTTGAGCAACGACTAGAGAAGGTGAAATGATGCTCACTGACACAATGGCAATCTAGTCTCGCGCATCTGCCAATTAGGCCTCCTCAAACGTCTTCTCCCAGACTTGATGGCAACAGGGCAAGGCACTGCAGGCGGTGATTCGTGGATCATCTTGTCACTAAGTGCATGTTCTGCCGTGCCATGCCAGGCTACAACGCGTGTAGAGTGGCGTTTCTTTCGGAGGAGCTAGAATGAATAAAGTTGAAGGCGAGCCATGTCTGAAACTTGAGCTGCAGATCTGTGAGTGAACTCCACTGGCAATTTCACTTCGCCAGGATCTCACCAAGATCGCAGTTGAGATGATGAAAATAGTTTTGCGGCCCCGCATCATATGCACCCACCCGCCCTTGTCCTTCTGCGGTTCTGAGCTTCCATCTTGCGTAAATTCCCAGATGGAGAAGATTCCTGATTCGCCCGTGAACGTGGCCTGCCTCTAATTAGACGGGTTAGCGCCCATGTTTAATGCCAAAGAAACGCTATGCATACCTGAAACGTCCGATAGTGTGCAGCTATGGATGATTGGTTTGTAACGGAGATCACCCAGCACTCAGTGGACCAGTGGCGCAGACATGGAGCAACAGCCCTGGTCCACCCCGGGCTCCCCACATCCCCGGTCCTTCTCCTTTACTAGCCGTTCCCTCCAAAGAAAGGAACGATGTTCTCATCGTTGTGATAAAGCAAGCAACAACGAATAGCTATCACAAATCAAAGATAGACGAATGAAGCTTTGGTGATCCTTTCCTTTGGGCACATTTGTGCGAAATTCCCTTCGGCATATTCAGCTGCCTTCTGTCCCATGCATTCCCTGTATGCAGGCCACGCCCATCAATGATTGAATGGTGGGCGAAGAGAGAAGAAGACCAACAGAGCCGGATATCGCGAGGCCATGGACTCTATGAATAGCAGAACAAGAACGCTTGCGTAGGTTACCGTTGACCTAACGACTGGGGAGCGTCTGTAATAGTCTGAATGGTAGATGTATCTGAGGCCTCTGGTTAGCCCACCATAATCACGGATCGCTCGAAAAACCTACCAAGCTGCGAATGGATGACTATCAACCTGAGGCCTGCATCCCCCGGAACAGGATTTACTCAATTTTGGCAAGCTTGGGCGAATTGTCACATGTCAAGAGTCGAACACTGGATTGTCTCGGTTCTCCGAATCTGACACTCGTCGAGAACCGAGAAACTGAAGGTCGTTCAAAGCCGTTCGACGAGACGTTGAAGAGAAGTTGAGGGGCATCACCACCCGCCGACCCACTGACAATCCATCGGAGAATCCCGGCTGCGTTCCCGGCACCCCTTTCAAAAATTGCTGGGGATGTATCAAGAATGTATGCACTAGGAGAGACAGGAAGTGAGATAAAGGCGGGTAACACTAGGCACAGTGGTGAACAGAGTGAAAGATTCGATGGTATCCTAAGGAGTGTGGATTCTACAGTCCCCTCCAAACGTCGTTAATGGTCTTGGACTCGCCGTCAGGTGAAATAGAATTGTTGCGACGAGCGGGATCGGCTTCCCAAACGACACTGTCCCCATCCTTGCGGAGGTACTTGTACTCGAAGTAGGTGTCAACAGGGATCGGGAGAGTCACTATCAAGGGAGGAGGCATCAGACACCCATCTTAAATGTGACGGCGGAGTGGAGAGACGCCTACCATTCCAGATGGGATATTCAAAGGGAGAAAGAGCAGCAGCGTTGTCGGAGGACCAGCCGCTCAGAGCGCCAATGTTTCCAGCAATAAAGATGTTCTCTGTAGGGAGGGTTGTATTAGCTCCGATGTTAGATATGCCAGCTAGATTGAAGCGTACCACCGGGGGTAGTTTCAGCATAGACTTTGAAGGTGACAAGGGAAGTGGGACCGATGTTGCCAACGCATTGGCCAGGGACCACTAGAGCCTTGGCACCCCATGACCTTGTGGGCATCTCTCCGGATCGAGCAGCGGAGGCTGACAACAAAGAGGCATAGCTCCATGTGAGGTGCGTGGCGCTCAAAGGACGCCCATCGTCACGGTCGTACTGTTCAGACAGGGATCCATCCTCGGGTGTGTATTTGGCATTCGTGGCAAGGAATCCGTCCGCAAATCGCCTGACAGCGTTGGTAAGAGTCACGTAGGTGTCAGAGCCTTTAGCATAGGTGCCAGGCTGGATGGTACTGTCGAACGCGCTGAAAAAGGCCTGGGAGATGGGGGTGACTTCGAGGCTTTCTTGGCGATCCCAGACGATAAGAGCATCATAGAGCTGTTCAGCTGTGGCAGACGTAGTCAGATACCAAGGCTGGCATTCATTAATAGTGAGCATCGCACGCTCGCATGACCAAAGCGAAAGCCTACCTGCCCACCAAAGTAGACATCTTCGGTGTAACGACCGACAGCAACGCCCTGGTCGGCCGGGATATCATGGTTGATGCTGTACTCTGTGCGGAAGGAGTCGACGACAACCTTCAAGTTGGAGAGAGCCTTGTCGGAGCAAGGTTGGAAGGTGGTCGCATCGCAACCAGCCTCGGGGTCAAATGTATGGATCGAAGCGAGAATGGTATTGGCGTCTTTTCCAGTGCGATATCCCACATTGGCAGTGATGAAGCCTTGCTCTGGGTTCCAGTAGGACTAAAGCAAGGCGTCAGCAATGGCCTTGCTGGGCTTAAGCACTCCTCTTACCTGCAGGAAGCAGTGAACACGCTCGACTTGCTCGACATAAGGAGCCGAGTTTTGCTGGAGGCGATCAGCCAGGGTAACACCTTCCTTGAGAGCGCGGAGCTGAACGGCGCTAGTGAAGAACGAGCTTGTAGCGACCTCTTCCCAAAGGTCGAAACCAGTGTAGTTCCAGTTTTTGGCGGTGTAGTCAAGGTCCTTCTTGATCACAGGCCAGACGCGCTCGGTAGCCCAAGTCGAATTGTCGGTGTCAACCAAGTGGTTAGCGTAGTTGATCAGGGCGATGGCGCGGAGAGCGGGACCATCATGTTGAGGTCTTTCGGTGAGGGTACTGTTCAGTGACCGCACGCTTAACAGTACCAAACCGACTTACCGTCCCCACCCGCCAGTGAAAGCGGTGAAATCGATGTTAAACTTGGGCTCTCCTAGACCGCCAGTGTTAGGACCTCCACTCGGACTGGTCACGCCTTGCAACGTTGCTTGAGCAGCGACAAAGTCGTCGATTCTGCCACGGAGGGAATCATCCTCGCCTCGAATGTACCTAGATGATGACGGGGTCAATGACGAGCCAGAAAGCATATGCCCAACGAGATTTACCGTTCCGTGATGCCCTTGAAAACGAGCGCAGAGTCTCGAGTCCAGGTATACACATAGTCAGGGTCTTCAGTACTGGGACTAGCAATCACAAGTCCAGCCTACACACGAGGACAGCAATTTGAATAAGCGATGGATTTGCCAGCAGTGATCATAGTACGTACCGCTGCCCCCGAGGACCTGGCGCCGTCAGGACCGACGTTGGCACTGACACCAGTCCTGGAAATGGGCACTTGCTTTGCAAGGTAGGCATCGACCAAGGGGTCAGCTTGCGCTTTGACACCCAGCAAGGCCGAGAAGAGACCCAAGGTCGTAGTGAGATAGAGGCGCATCGCGGACCGAGAAACAGAGGACACCACCGACCGTGTCGAGGTGATAGAGAGAAACAATGGTTTGGCGACTGGCTTTTATACTCGGACGCGAATCGACGACTAGCTGTATTGCGTCAGAGGGGTGTCTAGAAATATATTCGTCCATATGATTCCGCAATCTTAATTGGTCAAGAAGCTATCCAAGCCATTGGCCTGTATGGCTCAAGGATGGGAAGCATCGCTTTGGTGAAAAACCGATGCGCCAAGTTTCGGGGTGATCTCGAATGTATGCCCAATGCTATTGTCGTGGACCTCAAACTTCATAGTCTGAGTGGAAAATGCGGATCGGCGCTGGGAAACATGGTTCTTTAACGCCCATGTGCATCGTTAAGCTACGACTCTTGCAAACTGTAAAACAGGTCAGTGGCTGCCAATGTAAGGAGGACGAGCAAACACTCTTGAGACCTGGCTGATGGAAGGTCCCTGCCGTGTCGTCTGGTCTCTTCTCGAACCCCTGTTGGACATTGGAATCCAACTCAGCGCACGCATATGATTGCGTGGAGTCGTTCTGATGTTATTTTAACGTGGGTATGTCCATCCTAGTGAGCTTCTATTTTTTCGAGCCCTCGGTGGAAATCCCTTCAGCATTCGATTTGAGGGCTTTCTGGAGTATACTGGGTCCGACTGGAGAGTTTGGCCAGATTCCGTAGGGTGGATGCAGGTTTGGGAATCAATGGAATCGGCGCTGGTAGCGTGCCGCACTGCATCGCTTTGCGCCAACCTCTCAAATACCGTGTTTGCGGCTCAACCAGAAAGTCCGGTGTCTTCAACCTGGATACAAGTGAGGTCATCAAGATTCAGAATACTAGAGAATAAGAAGGAAAAGAAATACTCGCGGCAGTATGTGGGGCGTCTGGGGAAGACCATACAGTGCTGTAACCTTCGATTTGTCGTGGAGAAATGCCCATCGATATTGAGGTCATTCCCGAAGGGGATCAGATCCACAAAGTAGGTTTCCACGCTGATTTGATGGGTCGAAGTGATAACGTTTCTTCCCCATGGACAACCAAGTAGTGTCGACGGAAACACAGGATCTATTTCTGATACATGGGCAAACTAGAAGGAAAGAACCTTGGAAGACCGTTCGATATCAGAGGTGGATTTTCACGTCCATTGGGACATGGCCTTTTTCGGGGCGAATTGAGTTTTGTAAAATGAAGAGAGGCATACAAAGAAGACCTGGCTCAAGTCTGGAGACCTGGACGCTGGTCGAAAGCACCTGGATCGCCTTTGTTTGGCATCTTCATCCGGATCAAACATCACGTGGGAGATGGCAGCCTAGTATCAGCGTCCTGGTGAATGCCCAGACACAGCGACCTCAAACCCTCGTTGCGGACCTCCATTAACGACCTGTTTTCATCCTAGTCCTCTGTAGCCGCAGAATGGTCCTCGGGCTATTATGGCTTTTCTGCGCTTATACACGATTTACAGCCCTGGTCACCACCGCTCACCCAGTCGATTTCCCAGACGACAAGGTGGTAGCCAAGTCTGAGCGACAGTGGTTCTGGGGATGGGCATGGGGGACAGAAAGTACTGTGTCTATAATAGACAGGACCCCGCCGATTTCATTTACCTCGAGACCGGGTAAGTACAATTTCCCCTATGTTGTGCTCCTGAATGCAGACTTTATACTCTCTCTAGCGGCTTTTGGAGCAGAGATTACCGACCCCATTCTGGGATATGTTATCCCACTTTCTGCTTTCACAGAACCCTGTGCAAAGAATAAAACTGTTACCGAGGGACTTCCAGACAACAGTGGCTGCCCCACGCTCTGTTTGAAGGGAGACGTCAAGCCCGACGATACCTGGATTGCCTTAGTCCAGAGGGGTAAATGCGAGTTTGTGAAGAAGGTCCGGGAAGCCCAAAGATTTGGTGCCCGTGCCGTTGTTGTTGGTGGGGAGGACCCAGAGAAGACAGGATATCCTGACACTCTGGTGAATATGTATAGTCCAGGTCCGTCCCAACCCTCTCTAGCTCCATATACACCAAGTCTGACGTCGACAACGACGATATCTTCCAGAGGACGCGTCGGACGTCAAAATTCCAGCTACCTACATTAAGTTCTCAGACTACATGCAACTCTACACCCTTATCTCAACCTCAAACACCACCCATTCTGGGTTCCGTACACTCTCCCTGTATATCACAGCGGAATATTCTGCGTGGGAGTGGTATTCGTTCGTATCCATCCACTCTCCCCTCACTGCCAATCCTAACGCTGGTTTCGCAGGCCGATCATAACTTTCATCATCATTTTGCTTTTGCCGTCTACATTAACATTTATCACCCTCCTCATCCATCGCATCCGAGCTGCCCGAGCAGCACAACGCGACCGTGCTCCAGAAAACGTAGTAAGGAATCTTCCATGGAGAGTATGGACTGGTACAGGATGGGAGAAGCATGAAGGCGGCGAGGATCCCGATTCGGTACCGTCGATTGTCGACCTCGAAGAAGGAAACGCAACTGCTAAGGGAGACGACGATCAGAACGCGTCAACATCCCATCCTGTTACCCCTCCAACAGAACAACCGGATACAACACCACAACCTTGGTTCGAATCCCAGCAGGAATGTGCTATATGCTTATCAGAGTTTGTGAAGGGGGATAAAGTCCGAGTATTACCCTGCCATCACATATTCCATATGAGCGAAGTTGACGAATGGCTAATTCAACGCAAGAAATTGGTATGCGTCGTCTCTTTTTCTCTTCAAATTAGCCTCTCACCCACAACTCCAGTGCCCCGTCTGCAAAGCCGATGTGACGCAGCCACGACCCCCTCCCTCACTTCCTCCCTCTGAACGCGAGCCTGTTGAAGCACAGTCATCTCCAGAAGCTTCTACTTCTCGATCCCCTACTCCCACTGAACGAACGCCTCTCCTGCGCCGCGACTCCTGACAGGACAGTAGTCCAACTGTTGTATAATATAATGAATGTCACGACCATCCCTTCACACTTCTTCCACCTGTAACTTCTCCCCTGGTCAAGTTGTCGCATCTTTTTTCGCTCCCTTGTGATATAGTCGATAGGAAGTTAGCTTTGTACTACTGTATACCGGACACTGTCATGAATGTACTACGCTTTTGACTCTGAAGGTAGTCCTGTTCCATTCCAGTCAACCTTCTTGGAAGAAGATTACTTCCAATCCTCCCTTCATCGAGAAATTATTGCATGCGATTTTGTCCTCCCTTCAGAGCTGGATTGAAGCCTAATTAGGCAGGCTGAAAGAAACTATCAACCCGCCACGTGAGGTTTGTAGGGTGACGTTGACCTGTCTGCTCTTTATTGTTCTCCTTACATTTCGCGCCCGATATCCGCCTGGAACTCAATGGGCACCACCAAAATTACCTCTTCTGAACTGTCTATGACCTGCTCTTCTCATCTCTATACCCGCCGATTGCGTCTTCGGCGCAATGACTAGGCTTTACTGGCTGCTTTTGGCTCCTGGGCACTCACAACGGCGCTTTTCATACCCAACTCCCCCCTCCACAATCTTCCCAGACTAAACCAGGTTGGGATTTGTTTCCGTGCAATATTTGATGGCTATTCTCAATCCAGGTTCCACTGGAAATGAGCTGTCTCTCTTGTTTTTGCGCGTCATGCGCCAGGTCCTGGCTGGTGACTCCAGGGAGACCGTTTCAGCCGCCAGGATCTGAAAAGCAACCAGTGTGCCCACGTTCACCGACACGACAAACACTCTTGCGTTGTGTTGCTACGACTTGCGCTCTCCCGCTTCCTCGGTACCCGGGCCTACCACTCGCGACTGCAAGCGACCCGAACGAGATACCGGGGATCCATTCCTCGAGATCTCGTTTGACTCCTGTTGTCCAGGTAATAGGAGAGACCTCTGAACTTTCCTCGACTCCAGCTCCATATGCTTGTGTTGCAAGTAGGTGCAGATGCTCGATACCCAGTGGTTTGGCATCTTTTTCAGTCGCTGGGATTCATTTAGACCCCCAACTTCGTCCACCGCATCAGAGCCACTCATAAACTGTCTTCCTATTCGGGCTGCTAACTAATTGATTTTTTGATGTCCTTGGGTAGGGCATCCTACTTGAATTGGGCAATCGAGGGGGGAACCAGAAGATGATTCCGCCCAAACTCGGGCTCCTCAAAGCAATAACAATAAAGAACCTATTTCTATCAGACACATCCCCCTTCCTTCTTTCCCTGAATTCCACCGGGAGTCGCACTCAGCCCGCGCCTCCTTCCCTATCGCTGGGGCGTTCTGCAGGCCAGAGGTGAGTTTGGTCCTTCCCCGCTCACTCTATTGTCACTAAGGAGCCCCCTTCTAGATTCGTAGTAGACTGCCGAGGACCTCATTCAGCGCTTTTTCTGAGAAGTTCCTATTCGTTTTTACTTATTTGGGAATCCATTAGTCCGATTGCAAAGAATTCAACTGGCCCCTCGCCCAAAATCCGACATTCTTTTCCGTTTTACCCAAGCAATCCCCCGTCCTCGTGCCCAAGTCACTATTACCTTTCCCGGCACACAAGACCGAATTCTGACGCTGACCACAAGCTTCAGTCCACGCCATTGACAAGAAGAGCCTCGAGGCAAGGGTTGAGCGTGTTCTTATTCCCCAGACACTGTTGCCCAACAATACGCCTTAATCAGTGCGAGTGTCCTTCACTACTCCGGCGACCTAGGACACGGTTTTCTAACCCATCTCATTGTTCAGGCTTCTCGCTAATCTTACCGAGGAAGAGACAGTCGGCGTCGGACCACCAAACAAAAGGTTTCCGTTCGGTCTTGGGATTTCAAGGAAAACAGTTACGGAAAGCACGACCCAATCAACCTCCTGTTAAGATCTCGGGGAGAGCTGAGAACATTTCCGCTCGCCTCCCCGTTCCACGCCCTCGTCCTTGGACACCCCCCGCTCCTCGGACCTACCCCTTCCATCGAACGAAACGGTGTCAACGGTTTCTTAGCTCTTGCTGTGTCGTCAACCAACCCTGTGCCAACGCCTCAAGCCCGCATCCATTACTTCAATTACATCCCGGTATCTGGGTACCTCTCCTCGACTCGGGTTGCTAAACGCCCTTCGAAATGCAGCGAACGAAAAAGCCGCCGCCAGCTAATAAGAGGCACAGTGAGCATCCTATCATCCCTCATCTCACCGACTTTGGACTGACAACGCTATGTGTTGGATTGTAGCCAAGCCTTGCAAGTACTTCCAACTGGGCAGCTGCTCGCTATCGGCGGAAAGCTGCAACTTTGCCCACGTCGTTGTCGCCCCACCTCTCCCTACCAAAGGTGCCTCCATCTGCAGATACTACTCGACTGGAACGTGCCACAATGGAACATACTGTCCTTACGGACACAGCAACCAAGGTATGGGCTGACCTTATGTCACGTCTGGTGGTGTTGGCTCAACATGGTACAGCGGAGTCTCCCTATCAACCTCGCATCCACATTGCCGGACAAGAGCCTCGAGGAGAATGGCAGGCGCATTCAACTTCCCCTATAGATTCCGTACGTATGACCGCCTTCGCAGCAGACCCATGGTGGAATTCTGACTCAATGTTCCCAGGTCTATCTCGATGCTCCACCCATGTACGGCAACTATCCATCGGCGTACTCACCGTACCATCACGAGTGGTCCTACGCCGCCGGAATCAGTGCCCAACCACCGCCTGGCTACCCATCAAACTATATCACACCACCATCCTCCGGTGCACAACCTAACAATAACCAGAATCCCTTCACCCTCGGATCCAAGTCGTCCATTCCAGACCTATCAACTGCTTCGTCCAAAGGTCACCCTGCCCCTGGTTTTACTTCCACTGCGCGGGACTATCCCCATCACTCCCCTTACCATTACCCCCACATTGCTACCCGGAGCAGCAGCAATGACACGACGAGTACGGCCACAACAGATACGACTGTGGCCAGCAGCAGCAGCTTGAACAGTGGGAGCGATGACACAGGTTCAAGTTCGTTTTCAAGCTCGAGCACCGATTCGGACTCAATCGAGCTTATTGTTGCCACCACAGAGGATCCGCAATATCCGGAACGTCGACATGAGCATCAGTCACAAGTGGTCGTCGCGGACCCGCCTGGGCCAGAGCATGTTCCACCGTTTGTAGTTTCGTATCCTCGAGGAGGATACCCCTTCCAACCCCATCGCCCAATGCCTGGCAGCTACAATAGGCCTAATCGAGCAGTCAGTCAACCTACGACTTTTGGGAGCGCTAGGACTGTATCCCGGAACTCTGGAAAACCTAAGCCTAGCAAGTACAAGAGTAAGTAGCTTCGCATAAGCTCGGTGAGAATCTTGGCTAACTCTTCATCCTACAGCTAAGCCATGCAAGTTCTGGGCCTTAAATAAAACGTGCGCAGCGGGGGATGACTGTACCTTGTACGTATCCGCGACATTTTTTCATCCTTTTCCACAGGTGATAACCCTCCGCCTTCTAGCCGCCACGATGAACCACTCTCTTTGCCGAACCCAGGACCGCCTCCCGGCCACCGATATTCACCCTCTCCTCCACGTCTTGAGGCGCCGAGGCCGAGGGCCGCCTCGCAGCACAAGGACAACAAATTCTTTCCAATCTCGTGGAGGGTGATCGGCGGGGGTGTGTTAGTCGGGGGAGCAAAGAACGGTGAGGAGGGAGATAAGATCTCGTCGCCAGCCGATGGCAGCAGCGTGCCGCGTGTTCCCCCCTCCCCAAGGGAACCATCAGCTGCTGAAAACCCGCCCCCACCTCATATCCCTTCAAAGGCAAACGAATTACCCAAGATCCACACATCGCCCGGCACGCGGAAGCGTTCCAACTCCATCCCTCTCACACCTAGCGGCGCCCAGGTCAACGTCAACAATGTGAGCGCCTTTTCTCGTTCTTATTTTTCGCTGCTGACAGATGGTCTTCGATAGCTCTTCTCTGCCGAATCCCCTGGTGTTTTATAGACTGATCGTGCATTTTCACATTTCGGACTTGAACGTTTGTCTTGCCTCGGTCCATACACTTAGCTTCGCTCGTTTCGTCCTTGTCGTCGCCCGATTCGCTCTTCCCTGCGACCCTGGACCTCCCTTTCCCATTTTTGTTCTACCCCGTCTCACTTAACCTTCGAAATTCCATCGGAATCTCAGCACGTTCCTTCCTTCTCATGCCGTTTCATTGCTTGGACAATCACAACAACATGCTTTCAACGTTCGCTTCGAGAGTTGCTAATTTCGTAATCACCCCTTGGAAAAACACCTGTGCACTGTACCAATAATTGTATTTTTATTGCTTCTACTGTTCCCAAGACCCAGAGTTGGAACGCCCGGCGGCCCCTATGGGAGAGTGCCCATTACTTGAAATGTCACGGTCCAACTTTGTTGAATACCATCTCTTCTGGTTGGTTGGGGTGAGAGACGGAGCAGCCACCTTGACTCCGAGTTCCACCAAGCAAGGGAACGGCGCAGACAGAGACCAATTCCCGGAGGTCGAACCCGGGCCGCCAGAAATGATTTCGCCGAGTTGCAACGTTTGAAATAAAGGCAAGGATCGTCCCGACGTCTCGAGGGCTTTCGACCCGACCTTTCCCTCTCCCGATGTTGACGATTTCGCGAGGTAGCGGAGGGTTGGAGTTGATGGAGATGGAGACCTCGGAGGATGGGCCTCTGCGATCAAGGACATCAAGGGCAAGGTTCTGAAAGTGTCAACGAGGAAGATTCAATGCCTGTTGAAAGGAGATCCAGTGCTCCAAGCAAAGAGAAGGGGGCTGAATGACTCGTATCATAGATGTTGGGTTTTCTCCAGTTGCTTCACTACCTCAAGGAAAGGGAGCATACGAGTGTTAAATTACACTTCACGAAGGATAGACAGGAATGGAACGTAATGCGAAACTGGCTAGCCACATTACAAAGTATAATTCAGGTGGACCAGTGGATAGTATAGACTACTAGCTTGTTATAAGGAGGACGATGCTAATGAAGGGCGATTCGTAATTGAGAGTAAGAGGATGAGAGGTTCTTTAAATGACGTTATAAGGCGATAGTAGCGGGTCTACAGGAAGGAGGTGTGTGAGGAGAGAATGAGCAGGAGGATATCAAGCGCCCAGTCCTCTCTCTGGGCGCTTACATCATGCCTGGTGGTCAGAAGGGACTGTCTTCTGGATCCTATGAGAGAGCCATCATTCGAACGTAGACAGAATCTTTGGGAATACTAGATCTCCTTCAAGATTAATGGCCGCGCAAACGCAGTACACCGTTCTGCATTGTGGAGGGATATGGCGGACGGCCGGAAAGCGTCGATCACGGCGGTCGATGTTTGCATCAGGAGGCTTTGACAAGCAAAAGATCAAGTTTCGGCCCTTGGCCCGCTGCTCTTTCGGTTCGCTGTGTAGCGACCACTTGGGCAACTGAACCCTTCATACCCAATGTGTAGACTATTGTCAGATTGATACATGGAAGCCTCGGGGCAAGGACGGATCAAGTCATACCAATGTGAATCACGGTGACGGGGAGCCGATGTTTATCTGATAAGATCCGGGGCGGTCCAGTTCGTGGCTTGTTCTGATGTCCTCTCATCTTGAAGCTCACAGCACGCCATCATCATCACAGCTATAAGCCTGGTTACTACAGGCCCCAGGTTTCCCCAACTGGGCCCACAACCCTTTGTTCCCTCCTTTCCTCTCCTTTCCCCTCTCGTCTCCCTTAAATCTCCCCCTTTTTTCTTTGGTCTTTTCGTAGAATATGGCCGCAACGACCAAGACGAAGGATATCGATTATTCTCAGCCTCTCGCCACTCTGTTGAAGGAGGGGACCCGCGAAGCGCACGATGCCATCGAGAACAGCCAGGGTGCTAAGCTCTTGCTTAGCGGTACGCTCGCAAAGAGCGAGTATATCAAGTTCCTGATGCTGCTCTGGCATGTATACAAGTGCGTCCGCTAAATTCTTCAAAGGAACAAAATTTAACAGGAATGCATTCTCTTATCTAGTGCAATGGAACAAGCCCTTGACAAACATGCTTCACACCCTGCCCTAGAACCAACGTACAACCCTACCCTGCTCGCCCGGACGTCATCTCTATCCGCAGACATCGCTCACCTCCTGGAGGTCGACGAGGATTCATGGCAGTCGCATCCAATCCACCAATCTTTGACGACACCCATGCCAGCCCCTCTCCTCAACTTTATCGACCGCCTCAACGTCCTCAGCAACGCCGCCGACCCCTCTCCGCTCCTCGCCCACGCTTACGTCCGGTATCTAGGCGACCTAAGCGGTGGCCAGAACATGCGGCACATTTTCGCGAAATCTTACGGTCTGGACGACTCGGAGGGTCTGGGAATCTCGTTTTACATCTTTAAGGAGCTCAAGTCAAGTAAACCTGCTGGGTTGGGAGAGATGAAGAGGATAAAGGAGTGGTATAGGGAGGGCCTAAATAAAGCTGGGGAAATCGTTCCTGCCAGTAAACGTGAGTGCACCATGTCATCACCGCTCTTCAGTGCTTCTCTGCGTCGTAATTCGCATCGGATCTTGGGGACGACGTAAACGCTGATCACAACGACACCTGTTCACAGCCGCTATTGTCGAAGAAGCTTCTCGCGCATTCAGACTCAATGCCGGCCTGTTCGACCTAGTCCAAGCCATTACCCTCGAAGACGAGGCCAATCTCTCCGACTCGAAGGAATTGGAAGAAAGCAAAGTGGTGTACGACGCAAGCCAGAGCGACTCGGAAGCAGGATATCAAATGACCTCTTTCCTCGCCGTTGTTGCAGCTGGTATGTCCCCTTTTTGGGTTTCACTTCAGACTCTTCCACGGAACTCACGCCTGTTCTCCTTTCCTTACAGTTTGTTTGGCACATTTCATCCTCGTTGTCGGAGGCTTCACAGGCAACGCCGGGTACCAGAAACTACTTGCTGTGGAGGAATGGCTTTCAAATATCTGGTCACATCAATCTTCGGCGAGCTCAAATTGAGTACTGGATAGCCTGCCTGCTTCACGTCGTCCATCCATCTTCACCTTTTTGCGTTTCGTACCTTGATAGGGGCTTTAAAGCATCATGTGTTCTCTCTCATCCACTCTTCATCTTTATCTCCCTCATTTAACGGTTTACTGCATCATATTTTGTCTATCTCCATCCATCCATCTGAGCTGTTCACGACTCCGCAACATTTTCTTGTGTTATCTCTGCTTTGTATCATGTATCTCGGGGAGGAATACTCTGCCTTTGTTGTACATAAAGTACATTATCCTGGCAATTCGAATGAAAGGTTACTCGTTCAAATGTTTCTCAAGCTCAGGATGCGAGTTTCATGGATAACTTTCTGCCAAAGACCTCCCGACTCACAAGAAATAAGACTAGCAAGCATAAGGAAAAAGGAAATCTATACTTGGAATTATAGTACTATACCGTCTTAAGGTAAATCGGAGATGAAAAGGGCACATTACCCGCTATATCAAGACCTTGTTCGCACAGCGCACAGATACGTAGAGTATATTCAGCCGCAGACCAAAACGAAAAAAATAAAACGAACCTAATCCTACACCAAAGATTAACCAGAAACAAGAGGCCCAAAGCGGACAATGAAGCCTTTGAGAAAAAGGTTGAGAAACGTAGAGAATGTAGTCCGTCCAGCTGAGGGGGGTGTAAGATAAAAACGATAAATCAACGGGCGTACGCAAGCACAGCAATGCGACGTGTAGAGAAAGGGAAGTAGCCCTAAAGAAATAAGACAAAGGATGGGAGGGCTTCCCTGGAGAGTGTAGATCGACAATAAAGCGACTAGATGGCTAGTATATGTGGTGTAGATGAGAAGGGTAGCTCGACAGGCGAATAAGGATATACACAGGCAGGGAGAGTCGAGTCCGTGGGGATGCAAAGAGGCAGCGTAACACAGGGCATCAGAGACGTGAAAAAGGCTGGCGGCAATCGCTCTACCGATACCCATACCCACCACCATAGTTAGGCGTGTGTTGCTGTCCGTAACCGGAATGCCCACTATGCCCGCTATTTCTATAGTCCGCATACCCTTGCTGTGGTTGCCCCAGATCGACATTCGAACTCGAATACTGATCATGATACGGCGAATATGGCTGCTGGTGTTGTGGGTAGGGATGGTGACCCGAATGCTGACTCGCTCGGTCAAACTGAGCCGAAGGCCTTCCCTCGCTGTATCTCGTGGCCGGAAGGTTGACCTGACTCTGGCTTTCAAGTGGGAGATACGCTTCGCCGCCTTTGCCAGAAGACGACATGGCGCCCCGATTATAAGCTTCCTCCGCATCCTGCCTTGCCTGCCTATCATCTCCCATCCCAAACCCGAGCCTCTTGTTCCCCGCAAGACCCCTCTTCCCGCCCTTCTTTTTTCGGCTGCAGCAGCACTTCCAGATACACAACCCAATCATCAGAGCCACAAACGCCAAGCAGCCAAGTAGGATGTACGGCCATCGACTGAGAACCATTTCTTGGTATTTCTTCTTCTTTTCTTCGTCGGAAACGGGAGAGTGGACCATTTGCTCAAAGGGGAGAAGTTGCCAGCGCGAGTCGGTGTCGATTGTATCACTGCCTCCCAATCGGACTTGGACAAAGTCGCTGCGGCCGTTTTCGACAGTGGTGTGGGAGACCATTTGGATGTAGGGATGCGTATCTTCGCCATTGTCGACCCAGTCGCCAAAGTCGAGGAGGGTATAGACGCTTCGGACTGAGTGGGTGTGAGAGTTGAGAGGACGCTGGACGCGAGATGCACTTACGGAAGTTCATGCCTAGAATCATGTCGTAGTGACCAAGCAAACTGAATGCAGTTGTGATGGGTTGGAACTAGGCGCCGAGGTGAGTTGACTCGCCAAGTCTCTTCGTGTGGCAATTACTTACCGAGCCAATGCAGACTTTCTTTCCTGAAGCATCAATCTTGTTAAAGTTATCATCGACGGTATCGAGGGGGTGAACAGGGTAAGATCTGCCACCAAAATTAAAGGCGATGTTGAGGTACTGTCCACAAGGAACCAGCCACCACTCGTTTTGTGTGTCGTAGACAGCGCCCTTTACGCGGCCGTAGATCTGGTCTGCAACTTCTCGTGGGACTTGGGAAAATGTGAAGCTGGCGAGGTCAGTTGGTGAGTTGAATGAATGTGGGAGAGAAGCCGTACCCAGAGTCAATGACAGCGACGAGTTGGCCACTTGGCGCTCGTGGAACGATGGAGTCGACTTGGATTGTCTTGCCGTCTGGACCGGTGATGGCATTGTTCTTGTCTGTGAGGGCTTGCCAATGCTGGTCTACAAGTTTGTGAGAAATGATACATCACGCTCACAAAGGTCGAAACACACCCGACTTGAGCAATCTAGTCACAGTCTCAACGTCCAGCTTTGGCATGCTGGTGATGTTCTCGAAACCAGGGATGATCTCCGAGATGGTCATCTCGCCCTTGAAGGGGTCTGCCGGGTCATTCTGTCGGTCCAGCAAGAAGGTAATATAGTTGGAGCCCAATTTGGCGTGGTTGAAGATGTTTTGCATGGTTGTGTCGGCGTTTTTCTTGTCTAGTTTCTTGCGGACGACGCTGCCGGTGTTGAAGCCGATGCCAAAGAGGCCGTCGTAGCCCTGTGCGTGGATATCGCCTGTGAAGGTGCTGGCATCTTCGACGAGAACTGAAAGGCCATTAGATGAGAGGGGCAAGGGCGTTTTGGAGAGAGTAAGAACGCACGGAAGGCTTGGTCTTTTATAGTGTATCCTCCAAAAGAGACTGGTGCTCTGTGTGCGTTGCCTGTGACGGTGGTGAGCGGGTGAACTGGAGACGGAGAAGGTTGTGCACACCTGTTGCTCTTCCAATTGCATAAGAGAGGGTTACATGCTTTCCAGTGTCGATGAATTGGTCGCGGTTGGCCGGTGGGCTGGCAAAGTGAACCCATAGATCCGAGCTGGTGATTGCTGTTAGATTCTGGTTGGGTGGAAAGCAAAGGACTGTGGGGTGCACACCTGCCAGAGTCGAGCAATACAGGGACCTCATTGCCAGCTATGGAGATGTTTGCGACATATTGAGCGTTTCCGGTGTTGCCAATGTCGAGTCGTGCGCGGCGGGTGAGGGAGGCGGTTGGCTTGTCTGTGAATTTGACTGTAAAGGGGATCCTGACTGCCCAAGACTGTTGAAGGAGCGCTAGGAGTAATGAAAGTGGTAATAAGAAAAGACTGTTGTGCATGATGTAAGTATTAGAAACAAAAGGGCATTGAAGAGTCTGTGTGAAGGGAAAAGGATGAACTTGGGAAGAGATGAAGGCGGGTGGGAAGTGTTGGTCGTGAGAGCAACGCGCGCGGTGATCCCAAGCCGCCTGCGCCTCTCTTTATTTTTCTCTTTCTTTCATGAATATTTCGGCAGCCAAGCGGACATGCGCTGAGATTCAGAAAACCTGTGACTAGTTCTTATGAAACGTATGTACGGGTCACAGCCGTTTCTGGGGAAATTCGAGTGCCAAGCCATCCAAATGATGCAAGGCAAGAGCCAAGTCCAAGTGGCAGCTCGACAAATCGCCGGCAATGAAGCAAGCTTCTACTCCAGTAACACCCACTCTTGGCACAACACTTACAAGAACACTTGTCGACGTTGCGTGGAGTGGGCGAGGCGAACCTTGTCTTAACATCCTTCCCGGGGCCCATTGCCTCTTGTCCCCATGCACCTCCATCGCACCCTCACCGTCCTCGCCTTCTGCGCCCTCCCCACAATCGCACTCCGCCTCCCAATCCACCATCATCCTTCCTCGTCCTCATCAACGGCGTTGGCAAAGAGAGGCTCTTCCCTGAGCCTCCACAACCTCGGTGACAGACACTACTACGCAGACATCGAGCTCGGTGGCCAGAACTACACCGTCCTCATCGACACTGGGAGGTGAGCGCTTTTTCACCACCGCCAGGACACCGCTCACCCCCACAATCTAGTTCAGATCTATGGGTAGCAGGCACCGTCCCAAGGAGCACCGACACTGGCGTTAGCGGCGAACTCGCATACGCCAAAGACACGGTCCAAGGTTCGCTTCATTTCCGGTTATTTCCAGCTCTTCTTGATCCCTCTTCGGCTGGTGCCCTCCTGTGATCCATCTGCCTCGCAGCCTGCTCCCAGTCAACAATCCCTTCTGACCCATCATACAGGTCCTATCAAAACAGCAACCCTTCGTTTTGGGGACTATAGCGTCAGAAACCAGGCCTTTTGTACGTCTCTTTCTCCCATTCATCCTGTCAACCCTGATACATATAGCCTTGTCCAGTGGAGATTACACCAGACGAGATTCATCCCCAAGGCGAGGGTCTACTCGGCCTAGGTCCTTCCACAGGGTCCTTCATCGCGCCCCTACTAGATGGTCATGAAGGCGATCCACCGCTCTACCGCGTATTTAATCAATCACTCTCAACTCCCAACTACTTCACCATCCTCCTTGGCCGAGAGAAGGACCCAACAGATCACTTTACCGGGAGCGTCACCATCGGTGAAGTCCTCCCCGAATATCAATCTATCCTCAACGAAACCCGCCTGCGCTTCTCGAACCCGTCTCCCGATACAGGGAGCGCCCACCAACTTCACCTCCAGGTGCTCTTGGACGCAGATGGCATAATCGGTCCTGATGGAGAACCTATTCCTATCCGAACTGAGGTTGCCCAGGCCGAGGACCCCGCGAGAGCGACCGTGGTGCTCGACAGCGGTTTCAGCTTACCCCAAGTCCCCAAGTAAGTCCTTCTCCAGTGATCACTATCAGATTCCTTAACCTTTTCTTCGTAGATATGTCTCTGACGCCATATACAGTCGCTTCTCGGGCGCTGAGTATGTGATGGTTCAAAATATTGGCGGAATATGGATCCTCCCATGCACCGTCGAGGTCAACGTCACTGTCAAGTTTGCTGGCAAGGAGTATCCCATACACCCCCTTGATATGACTTTGGAGCCCGAGTTTTTAGGCTATGACACTATCAACAATGCACGAGGCGAGAACATGTGCCTTGGAACTGTACGTTGACCTTTTCTTATCCAACACGCATCTGATCTGGCTCCTAGTTCCAACCTTATGTCTTCGAGCGCGGCGATTTCCCTAGTTACGACATGATTTTCGGCATGGCGTTTAGTAAGTTCTTTCTCTCGGCTCTTGGCCTCACACATCGCTAAACCACCGCCAGTGCGGAACGTCTATGCCCTCTTCGATTATGGCGATTTTCTCTCCACATCCACTTCCCAGCTCGCTGAACCCTACATCCAACTCCTCTCCCTGACCGACCGGGAGGAAGCCCACTCCGATTTCGTCACTGTACGGCTAAACGGGACTGAAAGACCAAATAAGGGGTTGAGAGACGATGACGACAAAGATTCTGGCGGGAATGGAGGGCCGACGAAGGGGCGGATGCATTCGGCCATCGTGGCTGCAGTGGCTGTTATCGGAGTGTTGTTGCTTGTTGCTGGATTCTTTGTGTGGAGGGCGAGGAGGAAGGGCGGGAGGGTGTAGGATTGTCCCTTTTGCACTCTTACTTTCGTTTATTCGCTGGAAGTTTTCATTCGGTGCATTGTTGGAGGTCTGTGGTGGGGAGTCGGGGAAGGTGAGCGGCCTTCCCTGCCCGGGTTCAAGGTGGTTGCGTGGAGGAACCGGACAGCATGGTGTGCGCTTTCATTGGAACGGACAATAAGTCGTCCCTTGAAAGGTGGAGTGCACCGTCTCAACTGCCTGTGGGGATCTACGCATCCCAACGTGGATATGACCTAGGCGTCGATCCGCAAACTTTGGTTCCCGCCATCGTCAATCCACTTCAGGACCTTTTTTTTTTATATATATGAAACACAGTCTGCGTTTCATGGATCTGGCGTTGTCCATTTACCTTACCCACCTTTACCTTTAACGCCCAGGAAAGCATCGTGCCACACGTTTTCCTTCGGGTCATTTCATGGGATTGATTGGTATTTATCTCTCCATACTGGGTGTTTGGCCTTCTCCTCGTCCTTCCTATTCTCTGCGCGGGGCTCGAGAGTAGGACTCATGATATACCATATCATACCACAAGCACTACTTCCCCACATACAGACCATGTCCGTTACATTTGTTCTCTTCACCCCCACAGTGGACTTTTTTGGTCATCATCATTTTGGAACTTGTCTTTCTGGTTCTTTTTTCGTATTGTAGTTTTCGTTCAGTTTAGTTATCGTAGAATTCGCTTTCGATATTTTCGATGTTACGTTGACTTTATACACACGCTTACCTAGGAAGTTGTACAATTAGGAATTTAGTTCTGCGAGGCGATGGATTGTTTCGATGGACAGACAAGAACAAGATCAAAAATGAGATCGATCAATGGGACAGCGGCTCGTCGCTCTCCATACATGGAATCCTGCATACCACAAGGTGCTATGTCCAGAAGCTCGCCGCGATCGAAACAAATGACAAGAACGAACGTGGCGAGGGGTTTCACTTGGCATCCATATAAATTGGAGGGTCTGCTCTTTTTCGTTGTTAACGCGAAGGAAGAAGCCTTGAAATCCACGATGGCATCCACCGTCGAATTCGCTACCGCATTGGCGGATATGGGTCCCAACTCTCGGGTCATGCGCACCGGTCAGTGGTCTTGTCTCCCCGGAACGAAGACGTGGTGTGCTGACCGCGTTGACTTGTGCAATACAGAGACTGGGGCGTTCCGTTCAAGTTCTCCTGATGGAAGCCTTGTTCGAACTAAAGACCCTTTGCTCGACCCTCTGGGCAGAATAGGTAGGTGGACAGTCGATCCCCTCAGCCTCGATTGATCTGCGATTCTGACCTTTGCTTCCTTGTGTATAGTTTTTCGACTTCTTACCAGTACCGCGGAATATCAAGGAAGGGGTGCGGGCGCTATCCATTTGTCTGGGCTAACCAAGGTTCGAGCTTTCTTCTTCTCATTGCTTCGTGCACTGGATAAGAATGTGAATAGGACGGCGCGACTATCATAGTGCACATAAAAGACTATGTGCCGACCGTTTCCTCAGGCTTGGACAGCCATTCGTATCTCGGCGGCTTTATCCGTGAAAGGAACATCCAAGTGATGTGCTGGATGGCCCTGTCTCAGCCCGGACATGTCGTCCAGGATCCGGACAATTCTTGCAGTCTGGATGTCAACGTGAGGTAAGCCGTATAATAAATCTGCCATGGTTTTTCTCAATACCACTCACTCCACTGCGTAGCTACCAGTACTTGGTGCCTTTGCCCCCGGATGATCCATGCATGAAGTCTTTGCTCCCGAATGTAGTCCCCCTTCGAATCCTCAGCTTCGACATCGAGACAATGGTCATTCCCAGAAACCCGAGGTTCCCAAAGGGGGCCCTGGAACCCATCAACCCCTCCAATCATGCAGCCCCCGTCCTTCAGATCTCCAACGTAATTTCTAGCCGCTGTATGCACCTTTTCAATTCCTTCCTCGTAATGCCTCGTCCTGACACGAGTTCAGATGGACACGACAATACAGCTGGCCATCCCTTCATGCGTGTCATCTTCGTGCTTGGAGAATGTGATCCAATTCAAGGAGCACAGGCAATCCCTTTCCGCACAGAAGGAGAGATGTTGGAGGCGTGGAGGAGTTTCGTATTATCCGTTGATCCGGACGTTATCACTGGCTACAACATCTCTCGTTTTGACCTCCCTTACCTGCTGGTCCGCGCGGGGATATGTCGGTTGAATACCTTCAAGTTCCTCGGAAGGCTCTGTACGTTCTCGAAGCCTTTCGCAACCTGGCCTTTGTTCATCTGTCGGGTTAGCCCATATTCCTTCAGTGACAACAACGGACGTCCAGTCCTGGAACAGAAACCCAGTCACTGTGGCAGGAAGACTCACTTTTGACCTTTGGGACCATATTTCTAGAAGAAAGGATCAGTTAGGCCTCTTTTCGATGAAGCTGGGCAATGTTGCGCATCACTTCTTGCGTGAAGACAAGGTCGACTTGGATATTGCTGATATTCCCCAGCTTCAAGAGGGCGGTCCTGCGACTCGAAGGAAGCTGGCTATTTATTGTTTGAAGGTGCGTTACTTGTTAATAGAATCCTGTGCAGAGCATGATGTCACTATCGTCTCTAGGATGCATACCTTGTGCAAAGGCTTTTGGATCACTTGAATGCGTTCGAGGACGATCTTGAAGCGGCACGAGCTAGGTCGATTCCCGTAGAAAGGCTTATGAGCAGGGGTACACGATACTAAGCACTCAATAATGTGTATCTAAACATTTTCTTTTGGATGGATTTTGACGATTTGACTATGCTCGCGCTGCATCGGAATCGAACCTTCGACCGTAAGGTGCTGCTTAGTCATTCCGGCCGAACCTGGCCGAAGCCGGACCAGGAAGCTCAAACCGTGACACTTTTGGTACATAGCTCGGTCCATCATGCTCAATAACTGAACTATTCCCCTACTTTGACAACCTGAACCTCTCCTACCGCCTTCCCGAATGAAAGACTGCAATTATTTCCAAACCAAATCACTTTTCACAGTCCAGAGACTCTGGCACGGTCAGCCTAGGGAGAGCAAAACGTTCACGACAGGGGAAGGAATGTCATAAAAACACGAGGTCCATGTGGGACCTTGGCCTCTTCCATCATTATTGAGCTACGATTTGACCGACGTCGACGTTGGTCGCAAATCATTGCTGCGAACTCTTTCCCAACTTGGACTCTGCATTCCATCTGCCGTCACACAGCTCATTTCAAACAGATCCAATGCTCGCCGTGCCTCTCGCGTCGACCTCAAGCAACAGCCATGAATTGTTTGCGCAAAGGCTCACTGAAATGACTCCGAACGTTCCACTAGTTCTCGATGGTGAGTCATTTTTAAGCTGGTTAAATGCCATTGACATAAAGTCGTCCTGACCTTTTGGCAGACGATGGAAGCTACTACTTTGCAATGAAAGGACATGCCAGACCTCGTCCTTCACTTCAAGACCAACGTGGACTCGGTACTTGTGACTGTTCATTTTGTTGGTTCCAAAGTTTCTTCACCATTGCCCTGTCCTAGTCTTTCAACCGATAAGACTCGAAGAAGGCCGCGGAAGCGATGGCACCGGTATTATCAATATTTTTGGCCTCACCGAGGTGAGTCTAAGTCGTATCCGCTAGTTTTGTCCAATACGTCTGAACACGCTGTGTGCAGCACGGAAGCACAGTCATGGTATCTGTTCGTGATTACCATCAATGGTTCTACATGCCCCATCCCGAAGGCTTCAAGGTCAAGCAAGCGCCGGCTTGGCGGGATAAGCTTAATGTGAGAAGGTTCCCGGGTCCCTATCTGGTATGCATATTCTGATTCGAATCCTTTAGAAACTGGTTGGAAAGGATAACGTCGTTGCAAAAATCCTACCGTTGACGGAGGCACTCAAAGTCTACGTTGCTTTACCTGATGAACTGGATAACCTGAAAAATAAGTCTCCACATAACGGATCCTTCCCTGACAACCCTCGCCTTACCCTCTTCCCACAGATGCTTGTTAGCACGGGGACTGTCTCAGAAACCACGGAAGGGAACGACAAGTACCTTGCGGCTTTCATGCGCGAAAAGAAAGTCGGTCGTATTCAACCCTTCGACATAGATGATGCTGACGAGGAATACTAGGTTCAAGTGATGAATTGGCTGTCACTCTCGTCAGGGACCTACCGGGTAGTTCCAGATGACTCTAGGGTTTCAACTTGTCAGCTCGAAGTAACCGCTAGGTCCGTATCCCTCGCTCCTACGTTATTCTTTCGTTTACCTTTCATTCTTCCTAGCGGGAGGAATATCGTGCTTCTTGCTAGCAGTCGTACCGAGCTTGTCACCCAACGACTTCCGGAAATTGCTCCTCTCCGCGTCCTCAGCTTTGATGTTGAAACCATGGTTTTCCGCCCCACACCACCAGCCACAAGAGCGCCTTTCCCACATCCCACCACCTCCGAAGTGCTCCAAATCTCAAACATAATCAGTCGAAGATGTACGTGTGTTCCTACCTTGCTGCACCAAATGACGATGCGATGAAACATCTTTCGTCCAGATGGAAAAGACCAGTCAATGGAACTTTCCTCTAGGGTTATCTTCACTCTGGGAAAGTGTGCTGCCATAAGTGGAGCTCAGGTGTTCTGGTTCGACACGGAGGAAGAGTTGCTGCTAAGTTGGCACCAATTTGTCAAGAGCATTGACCCCGACGTCATCACGGGATACAATATGGGAAGATTCGACTTGCCGTTTCTATTAGCCCGGGCCAAAATTCTCGGGATACAAGATACTTTCGGAAGACTAGGGAGACTTGAAGGTGGGATGCTCCTTCTTTCCGCCGAGTCGTGGAGCTTCATGCGTGTATGCGTCCCAGATCCTTGCCTCCACTTCTCGCCTTGGGATGCGAATGCCCCTCAAAACGAATGGAAGGATATGCCAATCGTACCAGGGCGAATCACCTTTGACGCGTCCAACTACATCGCCCGAAATAAGTTTGCGCTCGGCCTTGCATCTGCAAGGCTCGGGGACGTGGCATTGCAGTTACTAGGTGAAGCTAAGCTAGATCTATGCTTTGAATTGGTACAAGACTATCAGGAAGGTGGTCCTGAGACGCGCAGGCGGATGGCCTTGTACTGTTTGAAGGTGAGTAGGCCGTTACGGTTCCCTTTTGCGAACGCTTATCAAGGTTACTGGGTGGCTAACGACCTTGGTATTCTATAGGATGCATACCTTGTGCAAAGGCTTTTGGACGTGCATTCATGTCTGAGGAATGACCTCGCCTTGGCTCGAGGCAACTCGGTTACGGTGGAGGAATTGGCAACGCGGAACGGCAACAGAAATGCGCATTAGAATCATCGTCCTCGAGTAGACGTGTGCACGATAAAAACGGTGCGCATGTCCTTGGCTTGTTTTACTGGAGATGGACCGGGTTGGGTCGAATTTACTATTTGTATCCGCATTGGTGCTAATCCCCCCAATAAATGACCTCTTTCAGTTCGCTTCAGGCTACGCGCCGCGGGGTCGTCCAGTCATCAGAACGCCTTCCGCATCCCATTCGCTGCGGCTCAGGATTGGTCGTTGGGTCGGCGTTCGATTTATCCCCAGCCTCGGCGCTCGAGTCGATCACGGCGTCTCCTTTGATTGAGGTGGGATGTTGACGAAGCGGGGAAGAGTTTTATTCCACTTGAATGGCCTGTAACACATCGTCAAGGGTATATCGAGCGTCCATGTGGCCGCTGCCAAAATCACTTTCGGAAGCTCGGATCCGGATTCTACGCCTTATTAACCATTGACAAGCGATGATACTCGGTGACCGAGTTTCCATTGCTTCATACTGTATTTTATATATACATTGACTCGTACAAAGCTCCTTCGATCTAATGGACGTCGAGGTAATAGAACTAAAACCGACGGTGGCAAATTTAAAGCTGGCGTCGTTGGGAATCGAACGCGAGGGCTACGGCGAAGGTCACATGGTCGTGTCAAGCCCCTATTTCTGGACGAGGAGCCCTCGCCTCCTGGCCGCAATGCAAATGTTGTCCAACTAGTCTTACTACTGAGACTCAGGGCGGAGCTCCGCCTTGAGTAGAAAGTACCTCCTGTTATACTCTATTTCAAATTATTCGGAGGTCGCGCATCGTCTCCGGGCTCCGGCAACACAATATCATGGGCGCTTAATGGTGGATGTTCTTCCGGGTCCACGTTGAGCGGGCATGGTTCGGGAGGACGATTGAACCCCCCCCCCCCCCTTTCAATCTATTTCGCTATGATATGGTACAAAATGAAACGATGCTCTATGTAATTGATGGCGATTGTAAAAAAGGATGGAACGACAACTGACATACAATCTACAGTAACGAGAAGAATGACAATAAGACAATGCTAGAGATGGTAGCTTTCGGTGTACAAAGTCCACTGCAGATCCCACGAAAGATGCGAAAAATGAATAATGTACATGCAAACATCATAATCGCTCATGCCACGAAACTGTCAATCCCAGGAACCGGAACTTCGCCGTACGATTCCGTCGTAAGCCTTATCGGTATCGAGAGTTGGAGGTCCAGCAATGGTGACTTCCAAGGGCATTGAGGGGTGACGTTCAACATCACAAACTCCTGTTAGGACGCCGGGGTGTCGTTAGTTTGGTGGTCACAAGACACAGATACCGTAAGACAAGAAACGAGCCAAGAAAGGGGGAAGGGTTACATTGGAAAGTGGGAGAAGAGAATGGTCTAAGCTGGAATGATAGGAACACACCTTTACTTGGACGTTGGAGGCGATGAACCCTCCAACTGTGATCGAAGGGTCACATTTCAGCGTTCCTTCCCAATCGAGGTGCTCCTCTGCGCAGTCGGAAGAAGTGGCTGACCAACAGCTCGACATCAGAGGAGGCACCGCCGTCAGACTACCCTCGCCAATAACCGTATTCCGGAAAGCCTTCTCCCCCCTAACCTCAACAGTGACTTGGCGCATGAGGTAGACTCGTATTGGCGACTTGGTTTCTTTCGAGTTTGATTGCGTGGATGAGGCGGTTGTCCGTGAGTCGGAGGATAATACACGGTCAAGAGCACCTGATGGCGACATGAAGAGCTCTTTCAGGCTTGACACGGGGCCAGATATCTGGAGGTGGAATGGGATGGTGTCTTGCAGACCATACACACGACCGGCGGGAATGAAGAGCTACATGGGAAGCCAGTCAGGCATCGCTTCAATGACACACGAAGGTCGACATACATGGACTGGGAGGGGGTCCAAAGATGAAGACTCGCGCGTCTTGATGCTTGAACTGGCTTGGAACCATTCTTCCGGAGAAGTCTTAATTGACGAGAAGAAGCCTGGACTTGGGTAGATGGGCCTGTGGGGTCTTGCTCGAGGGTGATATCGAATTGGTTGGATAATGCTAAGAGCAATTATTAGTCACGTTGGAAGCGTAACACAGGGTACCCGGATCGACTTACTGCTTGGTTTTGGTCCAGAACCCTAGCTTTGAAGTGACAAGTCGCGTAACCCGCACCCGAATCGTGTAACTCGCCTTTACGAAGAGCGTCGGAATACCCTGGAAAAACCCGGTATAGCTTGGAGGGAGAGATCTAGCGGTGTCGCCATCGAGGAAAGTCGTTGGAAGGCTATATCGGATTGGTAGTTGACTCGGACAACTGTCGGCCGAGGGAGAGGATTTCTGTTTAGCCCAAAGAGTTTCCTTATGGAATAGTAGCCGTGTCGACTTCCCCCCGCCTTCGCTGATGGTGGAATCTAGCTTGCCTTCAATCTATTGGTTGGAGTTAGTTGACCCGCCATTTACGAATACCGACGAAGCCTCGATTCACCTCAAATTCCACCTCGGTGATCAACTCGTTTTCTTCGAAAAGTAGGACACCATCGATCACGCCATGACGACCATAGGCAGGAGTTGAGGAGCCGTCCTCTTGCTCAGTCAAGATGATAGTTGTCTTTCCAGACTTGCGAATGAAGGTGCCCGTTGTGTTCGGCTGAGCGTTGAGGCGACTAGGCGTGTGTTGCAGGACCTGTTCGTCGCAAGCTGGTTCATAAGAGTAGGACGGGGCAGGTACGGATTGAGAGTACGTTGGGAGGTCGCCAATAGAAGACAGGTAGAAGGAGCTGAAGGCTGTCATTGAGGACGACGAAGAGGATGGCCGAGCAAGGTGTGCAAGGAATGTGTCCTGGGTGTGGAATGACATAGGCGATCCAACCGCCTCGGGGACCCGGATTTTTATACACGGCGGGCCCTTTGGAAATCCATTGCAAGGCACCGCAGCGATCTACGATTGAGTCATTTCTTATTCCAAAGAAGTGTTCCTTGAAACGGCCTTTGTTTGCGAGCTGGCTGTCTGACGTCGAACGGTTACCGTTTCCGTTCAACCCGTCCAAACATACAAAACTCCCCGCCGAATCGGGCGGAAATGGGGCCTTTTAACCTTTCAATGACTCGACAAAGAGGCAACGTTGGGCTGTGCATATGAAACCAGGTGAGAGAAGCGCTCAGAACGCTCAGTCAGCAGTGGTTGGGAAGAAGACAATGACTCGCCAAAGGCCAATCGCGTCGCAATCCTAATGAATCTGATCCGGTTAGTACACAGGCACCGTGATAGATATCGCTCCATTCGTCAGCACTGCAAACAAGCCAGGGGTTCAACGGCGCAAGCGAGACAAATTCATAAACGTTTCCCTGAAGCTGACTGTGATGCATGTACCTGAATCAAGAACGTCGTGAACCTGGCAAGAAATGATACATGAAGAACGCGAAAGCGAATGTGTGATGTGTACAAGAAATACAAGTCAACGTACAGTTACAAGAGCGATAACAGTCCAAGGTTTTGGGGGTATTGTGGTGTGGGGAAAGACTAAACGTGTAGACCCAAGAAGACGCCACAGCTTTACCAAGCGCAGGATTAAGGGGCAACCTGTAAGATAGAGAGCAGGATTAATACAAATTCGACGTCATGCGACGGACACATGAACAACGTTCATTCCAGGATGGAGATCTATATGGTCTCGGGAATTCCAGTTCAGTTTCTGCTCCTTGAATTCTCCAACTGAGCCAGGGCTTCCTCTCTCCGTCGCTCCCTGTTTCCTTCTTGATCGGTCGAATTCGAATCGCCGTCTCCTTCCCGTCCTTCTCCCCTCTCCAGATCGGCTTGGGTATGCACAGAGACCGGTCGCTGCCTCCTCAACTCTTCCGTCAGGAATCCCTGCAGGAGCAGCCTGCTTCCGCGAGTATTCCCGTAAGCCGGGGGAGGCGGGACCGCAATCAAGTGATCGTCTACATCGCCCGTTCCATGGCCACTCTGGGCCAGGGCAGCAGCATAAGTCGGGAGCGGAGGTCGGTTCCAGGGTGCATAAGCAAAGGAGAGGTCGCCGCCTCGTTGAACCCGATCGCGGTACCGAGGTAGCATCTCCCCTGGATGCAAGAACGCGTAGCGCTCCGCACGACACCGATAAATCCGTCGCTCGAGGAAGACGAGCTGGCCGATGACGACGAATGCGAAGACGGCGTGGATGAAGATAGTGGAAGGGGTTCCTCCTGGGACTTTACCGCCGCTGCGAACCATGTCAGCGACCTTCTTGGATGTAAAGACCCAGCCCACAATGCAGGCGGCGAGAATGAGGAGCTGGAGGACGAGGGCGAGGAAGGTGGAGAGTCGGATTCCGCCCAACGTTGCGCCACATTTAGGCTTTAAGAACTTGAAAATGCCTGGTTTATTGTTCGAATCTGCGCTTGGGGTCGCTGCTGGCTGAGCTGGTGTACCGGTGGATGATTGATTGGCATTAGGTTCGCTGCTGCTTGGTTGAGCGTCGGCACTCGGAGGAGCGTCCCTGTCGGCAGGATGCCTTTCAGGCAAGGCTGCAAGGCTTGTGTTCGATCTGTTGTCAACTTGAACATGAACGCCTTCCACAAAGCCTAGTTCGCCACGTTTTGACGGCAAAGGTCCAGCCTGTTGTCGCACTCCGTCATAAGAAGGTGGTCTGCTGCTCGGGTTCGTTGCCTGGTTGGATGTTGAAGACGACGCCATGCTTGCTGCCAATCACCGAAAAACAATATGTGGGAGGTATGGAATCTACGCCAGGCAGATATAATGAAGTGTTGAACAAGGTTTCTGTGAGCGCAGCTCAACAACAAAGGAATTGGAACAAGAAAGAAAGTGGCAGCGCCGACGTCCGAGGCAGACAGAGGCTAACCTGAGCACGACCAGGATCTCATTTGTTGTGAGAACGCCCCTCGTCGATAAGGGCGCTGCCGGTTGCCACGCTCACGCTGGTTCAAGTGTCTAATTCATCAAACCTTGACTACAACTGATATATATTCTATACAAAAGTGGTTTATGTATCTGATTGGAAAAGAAGACGCGATTTGTGATTCGCTGCGGCAGGAGGCTGGGTACCATTGGGTCGATGGCAGCGAATCAGAATCCGGCAAGGCAGGGAGGGACCTGCAGACCAGTTCTCATCCTTGTTCTCCGGCAGTTGGGACGATTTCACGACAAAAACCGACCTTTAAGCACAGGTCTAAAACGGGAGACAGTCTTCTTTCGAGTCCCAAGCGCGGTGTAGACGAGACGGTTATCCTACCACCGACATCCGGTAGGCAAGGAATCAAATATCCATCTTTATATCCTCTCTAGGTACAATCTCACCCAGATCTACAACAGTGTAAAAGGCAAACGTCTTGATCTCTGGGACTTTAGCCGAATGTCTAGAGTCACCATCGCCCTCCCCACTTTCGGAGGGCATAGGGTCATCTGAGCGATAGGTGTAAGATACCAGCATGTTAAACTAAAAGGTTATCAGTAGTGAGATGCATAAGCAGACAAAGGAAGATCAAACCTTGACCCTGCCTCGAGCCTCCTTGCCAATAACGACCTCCCCGCCAACCAAAGTGGTATTGGCTTTTTTCTCTAGTACACCAACATTCTTGGGCTTTGCCTTGGGGTCTTTGTCCCTACTCCTCGACGCAGCGGTTGCCGAGATTCCTCCTATTCCAAGCTCGTCGTCTTCGACACCGAACATATCTTCATCGTCATCATACTCCCATGCTTCCGCAAACGCGTTGATAGCGAAGGGAGACGTTGGTAACGAGATGGCGAACGGTGGTCTCCTCCCTTTCTCCGGGGATGATTTATCCTGGATCAACGTCGAAACATGCACGCGTTGCACTGATAGTCGAACGTGGATGGGGTCGTACAGTGGGTTGGTGAGAGCGAGGTGGAAAGGGTATCCGCGTCCAGCAATAAGCCCCGTAAGTGCCCTTTCGTCGACGACGACCTGTTGCGTGGTAGATTTGCCAAGATTTCGTTTCGCCAGTTCGGCAAGCGCTTGTTGCGCGTGTGGGAGGGAGACGGTTATTGCTGGCAAATAATTCGCTGCCACTAGTTTGATCTTGTACCGAACCGACTGGGCTTTCTGCTCAGGTTTAATCAGGATATGAGTGCATGCCGGGCATCGTTTTGACCGCTTGGAGTGTAGAGGTATTCGAAGAGGTTTCAAGTCCCTGTAAACTAGATCGGCAAAGATGTTTACTGAAGAAGCATGAGAGGACGTACTTTGTTGCAAGTGATGAAACCCAGCTGTTCTCCCATCGTTGCTCAAGTGAAGACACCGAGGCAATGCTCTCCAGATGCTTCACGATGTCCACATCCGCCTCTCCTCCCCCGCTGCCTCTCGAGCTCGCGGTCATAATATCTGACCGACTCCTATATTCCGCCATCTCATCTTTGTTGATACTTCGATCTTTTCCTGGCCGGCCAGTGGTACTGCGAGCCAGGGGATTGTATTTGGCGACACCAGGGATATCTCGAGCGAGGGCAGCAGAGGCTGCGGCTGTGATGGAGTTGGAATGAAGTGAATGTGAGTGGTGGGGTGTCGCGCTGGAATGAGCAACCGCATGACTACCAGATGTGGATCCTGCTAGAGCCGAGGCACGTAGAAAGGGATCGAAGTGTTCTTTCAACCGGTCAAATTCGAGCGTGTCGGGGGCAGAGTCTTCAAATTTTTGGAGCTGAGCTGGAACAATGTTCAGGTAAGGACTGTTGCGTCTGGTGGCAGCGACTAGACACGTACCTGCCAATCCAGTGGGTTTCTCAAAGGTGATACCTACTTCTGCAGAGTCCCATCTACAGTGGTTGCAGTACAGAAAGAAAGGTGGCTCTCCGACAGCGCTTATTGGGACGTTCAAGTGTCCGTCGCCTGAGTCTGGTGGGTCGGATGGTACGACTGAAAGGGTGTTTCGACAATTCGGGCACATGAAGCAATTCCGTGCACACCTTATAAACGATGTGAGACTGAAGAATGGGTGCCGATATTTGAGACTGACCTATTCTTTTCTGCCCTTACGCTTGCGCTAGGGACTTCGAATAGGCAATTTGGACAGTAGTATGTGCTCACTTCGACGGAAACACATCGGTCACAACGGACAGCGTCGCATTCTTCGCAGAAAAATAGCTTGTGAAGGGGGTGGAAACTATAAGATGAGGAAGGAAGATGTGGTGGAGGCGGTAGCGGAGAAGCAGATAAGCATGGACAATGATATTGTACGCTGGGCGCCATTGGAGGTGAACAAAACACCAAGCCCGACGAAACGGAAACAGCTACTCGACGCGTTGTTTACTTCAAAGGCCTCTGCATAACAACATCCGGGCGCTAATTTAGGCTGGATCAGCTCCCCATCTTCGTGCAAAATCCTGCTCAGACTGCGTGTACTGGCATTCCGTACTCAGCTACTATATATTTATAATTTAGACCCGATGTCAAGATGAATGGGAGAGGAATAGGGCAGTGTCATGCTATGCAATGTGTTGTCTGTCTTCTCCGAAAGAAATGTTAAACTAAGCTTCAATTCTCGCCTAGTTCCTCCTTCAACACCACAGATAAGCGCCTAAGTGCCTCATCCATCTGCTCATCCGATAAAAGACTAAACGAGACTCGAACTCGCGCAGTTGTCCTTCCGTCGACGTACGCGGTAGACCCGGGAAGGGCAAGGACACCTCGATCCATCACTTTGTGTCGAATGAAAGTGTGAGAGTCGGTTTCGGAAGGGACGTTGTGACAATCCAGCGTGGGCGGTAGGCGCAACTTCACCCAGAAGAACATTGAAGCTTCTGGTACCGTCCACTCCGCAAGTCCAGTCAAATGCCGGTTGAGGTACCCCAGGAACGCGTCCCTTCGCTGGCGGTAGAATTTGGCCGTTGCGTCTGCGTGAAGAAGGAAACCTTCGATTTTCCACTCTCTGAGGAGTTTGAGAACGACGACCTGAGTCAAAGAGGACGCCTGGACGACGCTTATGGAACTCTGCAATGATATCAGCGATCCTGGCGGTTTGGAGAAGGCAGCTGAAGACCTACATGCCGCTCGATCGCTGCAACCAGGGTCTCTGGACCTGTCAGCCATCCTAGCCGGAAACCCGCCGCAACCACCTTGCTGAAGCTGTCCAGTCTCAATACTCTCCCAACTTCGCCACCCATCTCTTTTTCAAGACAAAAGTAAGAAGTTGGTTTCGGCTCGTCTCCATAGTACAGGAAGTAGTAGGGGTCGTCTTCGATGATGATCATGTCATACTTCCTTGCAATGTTTAGGACTTCGATGCGTCGCCTCTGACTTGCGGTCATGCCCGATGGGTTGCCTCCGAACTGGAAACGTTCGTTAGTGAAAGTGCTCTTGCAGAGAAGACTGTAGCTTTGCTTACAGGGATCGTGTAGACCACCTTTGGGAACGGCCTGTTCCCATTGTTATCCCAGGTGGAGAGGACCCTCTCCAACTCAGATGTAACAATTCCTTCGGCGTCTACCTCGATAGTGACAGGGTCGCAGCCAATCGCCTCCAGGATGGGCGTGGTTCCGCTAAGAGTGGGTCAAAAACGGTGGAAAGTAAGGCAGTGAAAGACCTACGGATATGTTGGTCCCTCGATGATAACAGTATCCCCAGGGTTCAACAGCGCGTGAAGCGCTTTGTACAATATATCTTGGCTCCCTGGACCTAGCGAGACGCGCCATCCTTCGCTTGGATCCCTCTTATGAACCTCCTTGGTCAAGTTTGTCAACCATTCGCGCAACTCGCCCATCCCAGGGGTAGTACCATACTGCAGCGCTCGATCGAGTTCCTCCCCTTCAATCACGAGGGTTTCGGTCTGGGCGCTGTCAGAAGCGCCCGGAGCTCGTACCCCCAGGTGAATATGTCGGAATGGAAAGGTGGCTGGATTGGGCTTTCCAGCAAGCATAGATATCACTCCAGGCGCCTCTTCGGCTGGGAGGAGGTCCCATACTGTAGAGTAAGCGGGTAAGAGACGCTGGTTCTGGCAAAATTGTGGAAGTGAACTGACTTGGGGCAGGCTTTCGCGCTGCTGACGTCTTTGACAGTCGATTGCGATGCCATGCTTCTGGTAAGGGAGTGAAGGTCAGAGTCATGCTGGATGCAGGGTTCGTAGGGAGGAAGCAGATGTCGAATAGTTTATCTTTGGATCATGAATCCTCGTATCCATCCTTTTATTCCATCCAGACGAGTCATGTAACAACAACTCCCGAGGTTGACGCATTGGTAATTTCGGATACACAAGCCTATGAAGCATCGGCATGGGGGTTTCAAATGGTAGAAGTGAACGTTGACTACGTGAGTTGCGAGTTGCGACATCGGATGCGGAAATGTGTAGCCGGTCCATCCGCTGTGCGATCTTTGAGCGCCGGCACAAGCACCCGCGCCCCGTCAGTGGCTTGGCGCAAATACGATGTAGCTGAAGGTAAAATGGGAGAAAAGCCGCAAGCCTTCCCATATGTGATTTAAGTCAATGTTCTGCCATAATTTGAAAGGCGATCGGAAAGACAACGGAATGCAAGAACCAAAACGTGTGTGGTGTGACGTCGCAGGGTTGTGGATTTATAGTCTTTGCTTACATTTCCGTGCTGTGATTTATGTCAATGTACAAAGGTGAAGGCTCAACTGCGTTCAATTCAATCAGAAGCTCCAATTAAGAAGACAATACGAGGAGAAATCTAGTTTTTGATTGTAAGCTATGTCAAAGAGACATGTACTAAGCAATGATTTAAGTGGACGACGACGACCCAGGTGCTCAATTCTTCCAGGAGTCGTTGATAGTCTTGGATCCCGAAGAAGGCGAGCTGTTGCGGCGGTTGGGGTCGGACTCCCAGACGACGGCGTTGCCGTTCTTGCGGATGTACTTGTACTCGAAGTTGGTGTCGACGGGGATTTGAATGGTGGCTGTGAAGGGAAGGGTTAGAACTAGATCACGATGGCTGCCAGACAATAGCTCACCAGTCCAGGTGGGATAGTTGGTAGGGGCGAGAGGGATAGCGTTATCTGGAGACCAGCCGCTCAGGGCATCGATGTTACCAGTGATGAAGATGTTCTCTGTAAAGATATGTCAGCTGTGAGGCAAAGAGCACAGATCCTATTCACGCACCTCCCCAGACAGTTTCAGCATGAACTCGGAAGGTGATAGCAGCAGTGGGACCAATGTTACCAACGCACTGGCCAGGGACGACCAAGTCCTTAGCGCCCCAAGACCTGGTGGGGGTCTGACCGGAGCGAGCAGCGTAGGCAGTCAACAGAGAGGCATAGCTCCAGGTGAGGTGCTTGGCGCTCAAAGGATAGCCGTGATCACGGTGATATTGCTCAGCCAGAGACCCGTCAGCAGGGGTGTACTTGGCGTTGACAAGGAAGAAACCGTCGGCGAAGCGTCTGACAGCGTTGGTAAGGGCGGTGTAGGTGGCGGAACCCTTAGCATAGGTGCCTGGCTGAACGGAGCCATCGAATTGACGGAAGAAGGCCAAAGAGATATCGGTGACCTCGAGGCTTTCCTGGCGATCCCAGACAATGAGAGCGTCGTAGAGTTGCTCAGCAGGGGCGTGGGTTGTCAAGTACCAGGGCTAGACGTCACAAGCAAGCGATCAGATTCACGTTCTGTTCCAAGGTTCTAGTAGGCTCGGACTTACCTGGCCACCGTAGTAGATGTCCTCATGGTAGCGGCCGACAGCAACAGCTTGGTTGGCGGGAATTCCACGGTTGATGCTGTACTCGTTGCGGAAAGAGTCGACGACAACCTTCAAGTTGGAGAGTGCCTTGTCAGAGCATGGTTGGAAGGTGGTGGCGTCGCAGCCAGCATCCGGGTCGAAGGTGTGGATGGAAGCAAGGATGGTGTTGGCATCCTTTCCAGAACGGTGACCGACGTTGGCCGTGATATAACCTTGTTGCGGATTCCAGTAAGACTGTGGTGGACGTGAGCAAACTGGTCCTCGGTCAAGAGAATCGAACTCTTACCTGCAAGAAGCAATGGACACGCTCGACTTGCTCAGCATAGGGAGCAGAGTTTTGCTGGAGGCGGTTGGCAAGGGTAACACCTTCCTTGAGGGCGCGGAGCTGAACGGCGCTGGTGAAGAAGGACCTGCCGGAAACCTCCTCCCAAAGGTCGAAGCCGGTGTAGTTCCAGTACTTGGCGGTGTAGTCAAGGTCGTTCTTGATCACAGGCCAGACGCGTTGGGCGGCCCAGGTAGCGTTGTTGGTGTCAACCAAGTGGTTGGCGTAGTTGATCAAAGCGATGGCGCGAAGAGGGGGGCCATCATGTTGGGGTCTGAAGTTTCAGGATGGGTCAGCGTGCTGTTCAGGTTTCAGGGGGAGAATGACTTACCGTCCCCAGCCATCGGTGAAGGCCGTCAAGTCAATGTGGAACTTGGGCTCTCCGAGACCACCAGTGGTAGGGCTTCCACTGGGGTTGGTGACACCTTGCAAGATGGTTTGAGCAGCGACGAAGTCGTCGATTCTGCGACGAAGGGAGTCGTCCTCTCCACGGATGTATCTAAAGAACCAATTTTGCTCAATCATCGGAAAAGAAAGAAGGCAGAATTTACGAACCGCTCGGTGATACCCTTGAAGACCAAAGCAGAATCTCGGGTCCAGGTGTAGAGATAGTCGGGGTCGTAAGTGCTGGGAGAAGCAATCACGACGCCAGCCTATGTCATAAACAAGGGTTGGTCAGAACGATGAATAGATTGCAAGGGAGATGAGCTTACCCTTGCGCCAGAAGACCTAGCACCGTCAGGACCGATGTTGGCGACAACACCAGCCCTCGAAATGGGGACTTGACGAGCGAGGTAAGCATCAGCAGCAGGGTCTGCCTGTGCATTTACGCCGGCAAAAGTCGAGAAGAGGCCCAAGGCCGTCGTGAGGAAGAGACGCATCGTCGGGGGAGAAGTGGGGGAAACCAACGACTTGCTGAACAACTGGACGTTCTACTTGCTAGCTTTTATATTCCAAACCCTCCATTGCGCCAGGCCTGAGATATTACAGGGATTCCCTGTTTCCTGTAAGTAACACATGATTACCTGGTAGCTCTTGATGTACAGAAGAATCCAAGAATCGAGCGTTGAAGGCACATCGTATGGAAGAAGCGTCGCGCTGCCATGTGGAGAACCCGCGTGGGATCAATCCTCACTGGGATCAAATCAGGCGCGACTCGGATGCGGCATCTTTAGTTGGTCACTTGCCCTCATTCGAAGGCCAAGAGAAGAAGCTTGAAAGAGGTCCATATGTGCCTGTATGTGCTCACCGATGTCCCTTTAGAAGTGTAGCTGTAGGCTTCTATTCCATATAACTAATAGCATGCCTGAAAATCATCTCACTCGCCCAGGAATGCACGTTAAAAATAGGCTTCCCCGCCCCCACCCCCGCTTCTCCCCACCTCCACCCCCGCACCTAGTAGATCGGCTTTCCCACTGTCCCACCGGAGGGAAGCATATGATATGATGCGGCATTCTGATAGACGTTATGCTTACCTCAATTGTGAGTTCCCAAATGGCCGAAGGAACTCGATCTACTCAATGCTCTGGTTACAGGTGGATCGATCCATGCGGGTCCCTGAGCTTCAGTGAGAACCAGACAGACAGTGGCCTCTCTTTGGCAACGCTTTACAGTGCTAACGACAAGTCGGCCGACGGATTCTTACAGGAATAAACCTACCCTGAGAATTGAAGGGTCAAATGGAAGAAACAGAGCTGCCTTCACTTTGGCGAGGGGTTTCTTAGTTTTAGGTTTTAGGCAGCAGTTTGTCACCATTCGTCGGATTTGCGTTAGCTTTCCAATGCCATCTCTTCAGCTTCTGCCCAGGGCTGTAGCCCTAAGAACCCTTATCCAAGCCATCGGCTAAGGGATCGACGAGTGGAACCTAGCCCAAAATAGTTGCACAGTATGCATCGAAGACCGGTCTTGTTGTTCCCGCCGGTAAGCTTGCTGGGAAGAGGACTAGCAGAAGCGGAAAATAGGCCGATCGATGAAAGGACTCGTCTATATGGAGATTGAGAAGGGCCTTTCTGAACCCACACTGATTTTCCTTCGATTGGGCATCGGTGTTAAAAAAACCTTTGAGAATATCCGTTTTTAGTAATCAGAGTGATTAGCCATGGTCTGGTGTCACAGAGGAAAGAGCACTGATACTACTTCACTGACAGTCGGGGAAATAGCAGCACAAGTGGCAAAGCTTTTTGGAGTTCTAGACAGCTGCTTCCACCGCTTGTGGGCCTTAACATGGAGCTGCCTCGTCGAAGAGGGACGAAAGCGACGCAATAGTCGTCATTGATCTATGACGACACCCTAACAAGGAACTTCTGATGCTTAACTCACTCGGAGGTGGACCGAGGCACTGGAATTCTAAAGGTCGCGATGAAAGACTGGTGACCAACTGTAATAGCCCCGCCAGCGTCGTAAGGCTTCATGTTGATTCCAACACAAAACAAGCACTTGGATGTCTGTATTTGCAGCGATTACCTCTGATTACCTGATTGTTTTTTTCATTCCGCAATGTTCTGGGCGCTTAATGTGCCAACGAGTATTTTTGGGAGCTAGACGCTCGCAGAGTCGACTCCGATGAAAGCCTCTGGCAGCGTCCCACTGACTGACCGGACAACTGACTCCGCTTGTAGCGAGTGTGGCATCTCTGAAACGCCTTTCATGAGATGTAAACTTCCTGAGATTCCTCTCACTGGGTCCCACAAACCCGATTGATCAAAGGCAAAAAGGGTTTGATTCATTCCAAAAGGGGACAAACCTCATTGAACGTGAATAATCTGCTTATTGCGTGCGTATTCTTGGGAGTAAAAGGGGCACCTCGATTTTAAAAGAGCACAAGACACCCACGATTGGAGAACTTATTGTCGACTCGTCGCCATATGATGAGTTTTCTGGAACAATCTGGATAAAGAGAAACGCACAGCCGACACCCAGTCGTACAGAAACCTACGCACAAAGAGCGCATTCCAAACCAGAGCCCGTCAGTAGTGAAGGCGAGAGATGGCACCTCGGATAGGAAGGTGAAGCACAGCGAACGTGCTTACAGTAATCTACCGGGTTTTTTCGCCCTCCATGCGTTGAACGTGATATTCAGGATAAACTTGACGACAACGGTGGGAGTGGGTGCAGCAGAGAAAGCCTGGTCGATGGACTGGCTCCAAATGGATCGAGAAAGGAAGAGAAGACGTCCCAGAGACAATAATCATTCCGCGGGTTAAACGAGGTTCCTTGTAGTACCTCGGCGTCAGAGGTGAAGGCCGGTTGACTATGTACAAGACTCTGAGAGAAACGATAGTCCAAGGCTTGAGGCAGTAAATGACTGTGATTGAACAGGTATGTCTAGTTCGCAGTTTCTCTGTCCCTCGACCTATCCATATCTGACATTCAAGCTCATTGTTGCCACCATTATACCAAACAGCCGGGGCAATGGGCATGGGCAGCGGCAACACGGTGGACTCTGGCCAGGGCGCATCGTGATTCATGGTCGATTTGTGAAAGTGGTGAGACGGCGAGGATTGACGTCTGGGGTCGGGCGACGATTGGCTACTGTGGTAAAAAGAGTGCCTCAAAGCTGCCCGAGGTCGAGTGCTGTAGCATCATGAACGTAGACGACAAAGTGTCGCTACCGCTAAATTGGTCGGCGCGTGCCCTGCGGCCATCTGATGCCTCTGACAGTCGGCTGATTGACATCATACGCAGCGACGAAGGCTCAGCTTTCTGTATCTTTCCACCACCATCTCCACCAACCTCTACCTTCGAATACAACCCAATTCATTGAATTCCACGTAATCGAACGACTGAAATAGGGGAGGACACTGATACACTAATTACAAGAACACCAACACCACAAATGTCTGAAGATTTACTATCCAAGTTCCGCAGGGGCGCCCAGAAAGCAGGTATCCAGGCCACTGCTTTCTTCCACACCAGCTCCAACAAGGTAGCCAGCGGATCGAGGGAGTTTGCGCAGACGTTCACTCTTCCTGGAGAAGCAGAGAAAGCCGCAAAGATCTTGGAGGCTTTTTTGGGTACGTCCAGACCTTTGTCTTTCATCAGACAATGCTGTTCACACCAGTATGGCACTGCTGCCACTGTTGCGCCCTTTCTGAACCATGCTTTGCAATGACTATATCTGACTATCTATGACCTCCAGCCGACCCCGATAGACCTGAATCCGCCCTGAATTCTATCCCCAAAGCCGTCTTGCAGCGGGCTCGAGGTGCGTCGCAACCATCTCACACCAGTTAAGCGCCGACTGCCGCAACTCACCTCAACCCTCGTTTCATTTCCAGGTCTCGCCATCTTCCAAGTACTTAAAGCTGGTTTCGTGTTCTCAGGAAAAGTCGGTTCAGGCCTCGTCATCGCTCGCCTCCCAGACGGCTCCTGGTCAGCACCGTCCTGCATCGCAACAGGCGGTCTCGGCTGGGGTCTCCAGATTGGTGCTGATGTAACCGATTTCGTTATCGTTCTCAACAGCGAAGATGCTGTGAGAGCATTCTCGCTTGGAGGAAACGTTACAATCGGAGGAAATATTGCTGCTACCGCTGGACCGATTGGAACAGGAGGAAGTGTACAGGCTTCGCTTGCCCACCCAGCACCGATGTTCTCGTACTCGAAGTCGAAGGGTACGTCCCGCAGTTACTCTGGTTACTCATACTTTATCAATTTACGTTTCCTCTCAGGTCTCTTTGCTGGTGTTTCATTAGAAGGAACAGCGCTCATCGAACGCAAAGATGCTAACCGCGACTTCTACGGCTCAGCAGTCCCGGCAAAGGATATCCTTGGTGGTCGTGTCCCTCCTCCTGAGGTCGCATCCAGGCTATACGAGATCATCGAGGCAGCAGAGGGGTTGGACGAGACAGGACTTCCCGAGAACTCGTATGTTCCAGGAGGACCAGGTTATCCCAACGACAATCACATGGTCTTCGATGCTGACACACACCACTAAACTAATGTTGGATTCTGAGATGAAACTTGCTTTGGTTTGTGCAGCGCTTTTAGTTGTACGAGTAAGAATAGGCAACAATGCACACGACTCTTTGTTTCTCTTGTTGCCTCCTCGAACATTGGCCTTCACCGCTATTATTCACGCCATGTACCGAACAGTTGGAAACCCAATTTGACGATTTAATTCCTGGTTCACCTGTGAAGTGAGAGCCATAATCCATTGCGAACGAGAGGGAGTGCGTGATAGCGACTGTAGATTCCTAAATATTAAGACGAAAATAAGATAACTGAGTCCCTACCGTTCTATCAAATATCCACAAGATTCATAGATATTGGTCCCAGAATCCAACAGTCCCGTTATTCGGAGCAGCAGCATGCTCGATTCCAAGGAGCTTCATGATCAGGTTGTAGATCTCCACATTCTGGAAGGTGTTCATGATATAGGTATCTTTGGAAGCAACTTGCCACTTGGAATGACATCCACCGTTCCATGCGGATTTGAACCAATCCGTGAGACCTCGGGACGATGGGTTGGCTCGCGCTATTACCCTGGCGTGATGAGAGAAAGGACCATGAGCAACGAACATTGCTTGCATAGCTTCTGCCTTGTTGTCGTAGCCATGGCTCTATAACCAGATTAATATCCGCGCACGGTGGTACAAGGTGGACAGAACTCACCCCTTTGTTCATACCTGCGCTGCCTTGTTCTCGAGTAGTCAAGATATAGCCAATTTTGGGTACAACCCAGATTGGTGCAATCCTTTCGTTCTTTGAGAAATGGAAGCGCTTCGGCATCGTCTCGGTGGTATAGACCTTGAACTTCTCCGGGTTCTCCGCAGATGCGTCGAGGAGCAAGCTGAGATATTGGGTGATGTTAGCATCTTCACGGAATCGAAGGCCCATTGCTGGCCAGCCGTCTACGTGGTGGATAGCCTTGACACCTTCTGTTCCGAGGATGTCGTCAAGATAGATGACTTCAGGGTCGCTGGTATCAGTCATGCCATGGTCGCTGACGAAGACAATGTCGACAATGTTGGTGAGATTGCGGGCTTCCAGTGCGGCGTTGAGGTCCTTCGCGAAGCTATCAACCTGGACGAGAGTTGCATTAACACGGGCAGAGTTGGGACCGGTGGAATGGCCGGCTTGATCCAGGGATGGTTCGTAGGCTAAGGACGCGGATCAGATTTCGATACACAATGGCAGAGTAACGCTCACGCACCTACAATCAGCTGCGGCCTTGATTCCAGTGGCAAGTCGATCCACTGTAGAATTTGATCCAGTTTCTCGCCAAGGGGAACGTGATCCTGCTAATAGTCAGAATCCGGCAAAGGGTGAGAGAAGAGAGATACTCACTCTCCACGGAACGAAGTACGTCGAAGAAGTGTTTGTACTTGTCTTGGGAGGCCCTGGCCACATGAGGTTGGCAGTAATGACCCCAGCTTTCTCTGCCGTCTCCCACATCTGTTCCGGTTTCAGAGGGTTGCAAATTCTGATTGAAAGGATAAAGGCTTACAGGTTCACCAAGCCACCATTTCGATTTCCAGGCTGATTCCACTCTGTTATAATGGAATGTTTCTTGAGTTACTGGATCCCAGAATTCCTGATGCAGAAGCTTAGAGGTACGGCGTAAGGAAGAAGCGGAGGTCATACATTTGCAACAATTCCGTGAGACTCTGCATAGAGACCAGTCCTATGAAACAGGAATAAGACGCTGAGATCGCCGACGATGTGGGGCACATACATTAGAGCCCAATGGTTGCTAATGGGCGTCCGTGGTCAGAACCGTGCCTTCTCGGAAAGATACCATGGCAATGCTCACGGGAAGGTCAATGTCTGTTGTTATCGTCAGCTCAGGAAGAATTGGATTCCAGGGGTATATACTACATACAGGGAAGATTGGTCGCATACTCCTGGCACGAAGACCTTTCTTGCTAATATCCAGGAGGTGAGGCGTTAGACCGCGGTCGAGGTAGCTAGCCCTGTTACATTTAACGAACGATATCAGTATGTGTGTATTCAGTAATTGAAAGTCACGCACCGCAGACCGTCAATAGACACCATGACGACCGTTCGCTTGAATTCATGTGTCCCGTTGGAACGCAGCGTGTCTCCGGAGAACAGGTACGGAGTCGTAGGCGCCATGGTGGATCGTGTCATACCAGGCAGGGGCATGAACATCGACCAAATATACACACCTGTGGTAAACACCATGAGACCTCCCCAGATTATGGCAAGCCGTTTGAACATCAGCTCAATGAAACGCCGTCTGGCTTCATTGAGGCCATCTGTCGCTGGTCGGACCTCCTCGACATCACTGACGGTCAAGGGCAGGAGACCCTCCCGCTCTTCATCTGGTTCGGGAGGCCTGTGCGTCTTCACTGAGAGTTGTGATGTCGACGCCATGTTGGGTCCGGCTTCAGGTTCAAGTCGTCCTGAGCGCTGAGCGTCTGCGTCGGAGAGGATTGAATTCGTTGTGGTTGAGGCTACAAGCGCCGAGCCGTCGGCCCAAGGCGACGTATTAGGTAACTAGCAAGCAGGTACAAGCTAACTAGCACTGCCACCCCGAGGCAAAGTACAACAGACCCTGACGAGTCTCGTTGCGTTTGGCGCCTGGGCGAGGGTGTAGGTATATCATTGGGAACTTTGGCAAAGGACCCTTGATGCAAGAACCGTCCCGTCTGTGTCCAACCCCCCGTTGGACTCGCCCATATCTGTTGCCATCTAGCTCTTTATCCCAACCTTCGAGCCATATCCACGAGACCAACCCGGTTTCAATCCACACCCTTGGGCCAGGTAGATTACTGGTCACCGTGGAAGGAATCGCAAATGGTCTTCAGATTCTGAGCAACAGGTACGTTCCCGGACCTGACCAGTACTTTCGGTCACGAGGTGCCATGCTGCAATGGATATTTAATGTCAACTCAACCGGTTAATATCTTCCAATGCGTTATAGCCGTAGTTGGTTAGAAAACCCCTGAGGCTCCGAAATAATTGATTCGGAATCATAGACTTGTCTCTCCAACTGTGCGACATTTGGCGATAAAAGTCAAAACGAGCGCGATTGTCACCGGACCAACTCCGTCTTCCTCTTTACCTCCAAACCAGTAGCGACATTCATCCCAATATAGGTCCATCACTTCGACACAGAACCACAGGTCTCGACAAGGACGACACTGCCGCTTCGTTCGAGACCTCTTGTGAGACCACCACATCCAGCTCAGTGCCAGGAACTCCTCCCATTGGCACTATGTCCGACAGCAGTTCCCGCTCTCCCTCTCCAGCACCACCGGCCCAGGAGACCCAGGTTGAGACCCAGGCTGAGGTTCAGGGTCCGGCTGGTCACGTTGAAGCACATGGACGCCGCCGTCGCACGCGAGCCCAACCACCTCAGCCTGAGGAGGCACCACAGGGACAGGTACCCAACAACGAGGCAGAATCTCCGTCCGGCTCATCAGCGTCTGTCGAAGACCAGGAGGAGGTTGTGGTCGACAGTCCGGCCGTGCAAGAGGCTTCTGTTCGCCGGCACCGTCGGCGAGCCCAGGCCCAGCCTCAAGTCGAAGAGCCCCCCTCCCCGCCCCAGCAAGAGCAACAGTTTCAGCAGTTCCCTTTTGAGCAACAGCACGACCAGCGCGCTCTTCAGCCGTTCGGTGGTGGAGCTCCAACAGACATGGTCGGCCAAGGTCAAGCGCGCGGTGACGTCACTGGACGGCAACAGCAGCAGCAACAGCAGGGTGAAGGAGGTGGACAGAAGGACGCACTGAAGTTGAGACTTGACCTCAACCTTGACGTCGACGTGCAAATAAAAGCTCGCGTCCATGGTGATGTAACGCTTTCACTACTGTGAGCATCATTACCTTCCTGCAACACCCACAGGATTCACCAAAAGCTTCAGTGACTAACTCTTTCCACAGTAGCTAGACTTCGATCTCTTTTCTCCCGCTGGATACTAGTGGAGTATGCGCTTTTTTGTAAGAACGTAATCCTAAATCCGATGTAGACCACGACGTATGTACAGTCCCTATACTATATTACAATCGAGTTCTCTTTGTATTGTCCTCTGCACTGGCTTTGTGATAACCATCTCCCTTGCAGTCGCACCACTCGTGACTCCCCCCTCAAATGATCAATAATTGACACAAGCATCTTTATAGAGTGGTAGGCGAAGGTTCCGTTCAATCTGACAGAAGATCGATAAAGCCTTTAGGCTCCCTGCCCTCCTCCATTTTGATAATTGGAACGCCTAACCGCCCTCGATGGCTATCCCTCTCCTGATATAAATAATTCTGGGCATACTGGACGACTGAACGCCGCTCAGCCAAAGATGCAGCGCTCCCGATCCAGGCATACAAAGCTGGCGATTGTGGGCTTTTGGAGTCATCGACGAGGAAGGAGTCGTTTGAGGAAAGCAGACCACGAGACGTTCCACTGAGGGGGGTGAATTCGAGTTCCCCAGAAATGTCGGATATGCGGAATATCTTGATTGGCTGAGCCTCGCTGGTGGGTTGGTGGGGGTGCAATGATGCTCCATCGCCAAATTCATTGAAGAATCGCGACACACCCGAGTGACCTTCGTCTGCGGGGATGTGTTTAGACCTTGTAAAAAGACAGGAAGGATGAAAGTTTACGGACCGAAGACTGTCAATTCACATTTACTCTGTCTCTCGTTGACAAGACTCTGGGCGAATTCAGCAGCTTTGTATCGCTCTTGCCCTGCGCTACCTGTCGTGTTTAGTTGCCAGACCTTCTCGCCCTTGTCGAGAACGTAGGTATCCCCTGCAACCAGACTCTGTGCGATCGCGGGTACCTCGCGAACAACGAGCGTTGATGCGGTCTTTCCAGTTGCAGCATCGTGGGTGCGGGTAAGAGTTACACGGTAAAGTTTCTTGACATCGAGTGGTGGAGGATCGACGACCTTTCGGAATCCGGTTGCCACTCCCCCTTCAAGACAGGAGAACCGCGGGAAGTAGGAAAGGAATTGCGACGATTCGTGCCCCTGAACCTCTCTGAATTGAACAGGCATTCCGCGAAGATCTTGATGAAGGTTAACATTCACGGGAATCGGTTGGACACCAGATTGGGAAGGTACGTACGGTCGTCGAGTTCGACCGTCTTGTAGGCTGCTGTTCCAGCTTCATCGATTGTCGTGCTAGAGCCGAGCCAAAAGTGGAGGTTGAACGAGAGATCATTTGGTTCAGGGGAGCTCTTGAAGGTCTTTCATGTCATACTTGAGCGACTGAGGTGTATAAAAGGGCTGGATCGAGGACATACATAAAGGACGATGTAGGAGTCCCCACTGTAGAAGGTTCCATAGCGATCCTGAGGCCAGTCCACGATCTGAAATTGTTCGACCCTCCATATTTTCAGGCCCGCTTCAGCCCCTGCAGATTCCCAAGCTGACTCTTGACCGCCCGCATTCTCTCTGACCTTCTTTTCAAGCTATCCGGTGCATTGTCAGTACCGATTCGATGACGGGTAGGAATGAAGAGAGACCTACGTCTGAGCCGAGGAGCGCGATGTTCGAATCCTCGATGTTGTATACTGTTGGTTTAGTCAAGTAGGCCATGGTGCCTGGGCGGAGGGACTTGGAAGTTGGAAGAGGCCGATAAGGGGTTGACGATCACATATTGATGGCCCCCACTTGCTCAAATAACTTTCGTGAAAACTAGGGTATTCTATGTTGTAGGGAGTGTGGACATGGTAGTTAAGTCTTCGGGGGACTCAAGAAATCGAGCATAGTCTAGAGTGAAAGCTGGAAGTGAGCGAGCATCCTGTTTTGCCATCACGGGAAAGTTGCTTGGTGGCTGTGTCAGAGAGCTTGCTCTGTTCCCACTTCCTCGGCCATCGTTGCTCTGGTTTTCTCTGGTTCTGGTCTGAAAACAACGACTTGGGAGGGCTTTGCTGCAACCAGGGGCACCACGACTGTACACGCGATGTTTCGGGAAGGCACCACCCGACGCTTCTTTGTTACCTGACTTGGACTATCACTCGGAACTCCAACAGACTCGGGTTCATCAAGCTTCAATATCAAGAAGCTCCAGATTACCTATGACATTAGTGCGGGCTAACGTGTGGATCTGGCGTCGCTACAGGCGTTCTGTAAAGTGTTGATCTTCTGCAGAATGTCCATCATCTCAGTGGAACACGCTTTACTCGACCGAAGGGGTAACACGGGAGAACCGTGAATAGGACGCCTGATCGAGCGACAACCCACGAGTGGTTTAATGGAGGAATGCCTCAAACCTTCCTACTCCAGTCCACCTTCATCCCGGCCTACAAAAGCCCAGGCAAACGCGTACCGCGATTTACTACAGTGCCCTCTTACTTTGGGGTTCGTGCCTTCTTCGTCATGAGCACTCCTTTAACACTTTCAACCCTGAACAACGACATCTTGGTCGAGATCTTGGGCTTCCTCGCTCCTGAGGACATTGCCAGAGCCCGCCAGGTGAGCCTCGTCTTCCTCTTTAAGTGCTTCCAACAGGGAGAGTCTGACGACTCCAAAGGTCTGCCGATCCCTGATGATCGCTGCCCAACAGGGGACCGTTTGGCGGTCGGTATACCAGCGCTCTAGGTTATTGTTACCCGACGGACCTTATTCCCACCACCAACCCCGGGACCTTGAACGTCTTTTAATTCGGTCATCGCAACTTTACAAGACCTGGGGTCCGAACCCTTCTCAGGGCCAACGGATCAACAGCAGACTCACATATCCACGCGAATTACCGACGTATAGCTTCGACGCCCAGGTCATATCTGGTCGTTACCTGCAGTTGGCCGAAGACGGTGTCATATCGTGGTATGACCTTGACGGGGATTGCACTGCCCCTCTTTTGGTTTTCGATTGTCCTTACATCGCGACCATACCGGGTTTCTTGAAATTTCAAACCAATGCCCAAGGTGAAGGCGAAGACTCGGTTTGGGTTACCTTCATTCGCTCGTATCCCATGGACATGTACGTGTCATTTCCCCTCGCACAAGCACAAGCCAGGCTAAACCGACGTCATTAGAGTGGTACTCAAAGTCAAGTTTGGCTCGCAACCTACAGTTACACTGGAAGCCACGTTGCCAGCAGCCAGTGTGGTTGAGGTTCAATTAGCCAACGACTACGTCCTTCCTGTGAAAGAGTTCCATTCGCGTGATGAACCGTTGGAGCTCTTTCACATCCCTTCGAAGGGGGTTTATCACGTTCCCAGACATGTACGTGTGCATGTATGTACCCTGTCTTGATACTCCCTAACCCTTTTTGCTAGGCATCCGTGCAGAGGGTGTATGACCTGGGACACATCACCTATCTTTTCTCTCCAAACCACCTCTTCGCCTTGTATCCCCACAAATCCGACACACATATCGAAGCGTATCGTCTACCGAGCGCAGAAGATTCGATCGCAGACCACACCGTTCTCCAAACCCACAGCGGCGTGTACCCCCATTTAATGTCAAGGACATGTGTCTTTCAGCGAGCACCTAACGATCCTCCTTCAACGCCGCAATCGATGCCCTATGACGATGAAGTGACGTTCCTCTCCGTTGTCTGCGCGAGTGCACCGTTCCAGAGCCGTGCACGAACCCCAGAGCTTAATCTTCACCTCTTGGACGCCAAGCTGCTCCCCTCAGGGAAGATCGACTTCGCAAAAAGGTGCTCTGAGCATGTCCCTGTGGGGTCATTCACGCCCACGACCCTGGTCTCCACCTCCCGCAGCGGCTCCGGCTTTGCGATCATTCACGCTCCTCATTCTCTTACCTCCGTCTATTACATCCAGCACCAGGATGGCATGCAGCCTTCGATCGTGCAGCACGCGCTCAAGATTCCGACTGGGTTGCAAGATGGCCACCTGTTGGCTTTCGATGGGTATCGTGGGAGGGTGTGCTGGATAAATGGTTGGCATGATGAGTGGTCTCAGATTGATGTGGTAGACTATGTTGCTTGACGAGCCTCGTTGAAAAATGTGAATCTCGTTAATCCAACGAAGTCCATCAAAGTAACCTCAGCGAGAGAACGGGGATACGAAACCATGAGTGCTTGCATTGACTTTTGTGACTGTTTCTTGCGGTACCGAAAGGCACTTTCATCAAAGGAACCATGGAGCGAGTCAGCTTTGGGCTATGTACAGTGATCCGACGCTCCTTGAGCCACTGACGCTCCTTGAGCCACCTGCTGATATCTCGAGTGTGGATTACCCGATAAGCTAGATCTTTTGTGATATTGTGTAGACCAATCGGACGTATCTCAATTTCGAGTTTCAAGGCGATAGACCAAGTAGGAAAGGTTTGGGATAAAAATCAGTGGCAAAAATGCCGAAATTTGATATTCACAACTTTTCTCTTCAAGGTTTTCTGAATGTAGTATGGAAACCTGCTTGGGGAATGGGTAGATCCGAATACTAGACTATTCTAGCATTATTTTAAGCCCAAATTTGTGGTGATACGGTCAAAAGTAGACGCTGCATGGTGGGTCGAATGTTGAACCCTCATTATCGACTCCTCAAAGGCACAGTGTTTCTCTTCAGATGACATCCTGAACGGGCTCCGGGGTCAAGAGGCGAGGAAGGAGGAGGAAGCTGCAGCCAAGAAGGCTAGAGCTGACACGAGGGCTGCAAAGCGAGAGGCTGTAGCAAAGCTGGAAGTCGAGTGGAAGAAGATAAAGGCTCAACATGAAGAAAACAAGGAAAGATGGAAGCTTACCTGCAAGAAACTGCGCTCCGAAGGCATTTCAAAGAAGAATTTACCAAAGGCGCCCACATGCCCTCGAAAACCGAAGCTCCCTAGCCATTTCACGGCCGTAGTCGACGACGACGACGAAGAAGAAGAGGAATCCGATAAAGATTTATCTGCCCGGAGTACCGGTTCCGACGATTCCGCGCATGTCCCACGGGTGGCTCAACTCGCGTGAATGGCAACTTTTGGGTGCACCTATTTACTTTACCTCCTCTAGCTTTAATACCCCTCAAATAATTTCAGATACTGCACAGAACTATAGCGTATACACTCTACTAATAGATCCCACCCTTTTTTGTTTAAAAATTATACTCGATTCTAAATGGATCCGGAAATATAAAAGAGTGGCTCAAGGAACGTCAGAACACTGTAATCCCATATAGGTTGAATTTGGACTTTGAAGTGCAAGAAAAAGTCTGAGATAGCGCGCCCATTGCTTGCGTGGCCGCTCGGCAAGCAGTTCCTGCGCTCCAAGTAGAACTGAGCTAGCACACCCTGCCAGCATGGGCGCGTTTCTCTCATTGTTGATATCGTCACAGACGCTCCAGGTCTCATGCTTATTAAACGAAGAATTCTATCGAGTTCGACAAGCATATAAAAGGCTTTGTGGAGCATGCTGATTGCCTCCAAAACTACAGCTCCAGCCAGAGATTCAACAATGCCTTCCGTACTCTTCGTGTTCATTTCTGCCAGCAAGACCTTGACAGGGAAACCGACTGTTAGTCCCTCCATGCCCATACCCATGACAACTTACCGACAGCTCTCTCGACAGGGATGGTACCTCCCTGAGGCTGCCCACCCCTACTATATCCTCAGTCCACACGTCCAAATCGACTTTGCCGCCCCTGCGGGCGCTAACCCGCCCATCGACGAATACAGCGTCAAGGTGAGACTCCCCCCCCATTTCATTGTAATTGTGAAGCCCAGGCCCCCAGCTCACCCCTTTTGTTGAAGAGCTACACAGACGATGGCAGCGTAAAATTCCTGAATGACGAGACGGTGGAACAGAAGCTTGCTAATGCTAAGAAATTAGTCAACATTGACTACAAGGAGTATGATGCTGTTTTCTACGTTGGAGGGCATGGTCCTGCTATCGACCTTGCTTCAGACGCAGTGAACGCTAGGCTCGTGTCCGATGTTAGCATGAGTTCATGTCCACTGTAAATCGATGGTCATACTAACTGACCATTTCAACAGTTCTGGAAATCTGGCAAGATCGTTGCTGCTGTTTGCCATGGCCCTGCGTGAGTTTGACCCTCCGTTCCTCGGGTTGTCAGGATGCTGATCGACCACAGAGCGCTTGTTCAGGGCGTTGACGAGCACGGACAGTCAATCTTCAAGGGCAAGAAGTTTACTGTTTTATCCAATGATGAGGAGGTTGCGATCAACGGGGTCAACGTGAGTCGGGCCTACTGTCCTATCAAATTTTTGACGCCAACATCGAGGAACCAGGAAATCCCGTTCTCGCCAGAAGACAAGATCATCGAATTGGGCGGTATTTTTGAGAAAGCCGACGAGCTCTTCGAGGTAAGCGGTACTCGTAGCCAAGCACCCGACAGGTGCTAAATATCAATGTTCTCCCACAGGCCAAGACTGTTGTCGATGGAAAGCTGGTAACTGGACAGAATCCCGCTTCATCTGCTGGGGTAGGAGAAGCGATCTTGAAGCTCATTAAAGGAGATCAGAGGCTGAGAGAATAAATTGATCCCTTCCAAGAGCCAAGAGAACGCGCCGTTGTAGGCTTGTAGGTCACCATCCTTTCCAATGGTATGCACAATGGTTCGAGCAGAGAGGCCAGTCGTCAAGGAGAGCTAGCGAGCATCGGGCGCTTCTGGTCAGGTGAGTCTGTGTCAGGGAGACTAGGGATGAAACTTTGGGGAAGATCGTCCGGAGCTAAGCGCCCAGAGTGACTCTAGGGGCTGAATGAAATGACGAAATGCGGAACGGATGCTTCAGTTGTTTCCGTGCCAACGTCATCGCGATGGAGCATCATCGGCATGGATACCTCTTCATGTTAATCCTGCTGCGGGGAAGGAGAGCATTGTCCAGATATCCGCAACAGAGGGGCTAGGGAAGAGGAAGGTATTCGGTGCAGGGTGTGCACCATGCCAGCTGTACGGACGCTAGAAAACGTGTCGTTTGCGGGTAACTGCTTAGTTATTTAGGGCTGAAAGGCGAACTGACAATAGTTCGTTGGAAATCGCTGAGATTCTGCCGAAATGATGAGTTGTGATGGCAGAGAACGTGCGTGTTGGTCCGGTATCTTCCTGGATGATTCCCACGGTTCAGTCCTCATATTTTGGGGAATGGGATCACGGTGTCGACACGTCTCTCACCAGCACCATCCACAAAAATGTCTCTCCCTCAGCCCGTTCCCCCTTCCTGGAAGGCAAGTTGCCTTATTTCAATACAAAATATCTATTAGATCTGACAGAATTTGTATAGGACCTTGGCAAGTCGTCCAACGACCTCTTGAGCAAGGACTACCCCATCCACGGAACCTCGCTCGAGGTTAAGACCCAAACCCCCTCCAACGTCGCCTTCAAGGTCGCTGGAAACAAGGACTCCAAGTCTGCTGTCATCACCGGTGACCTCGAGGCCAAGTACACCGACAAAGCCCACGGCCTCACCGTCACCCAAGCCTGGACCACCTCCAACGTACTCCGCAACCAGGTTGAACTCGAGAACCAGCTCGCCAAGGGCCTCAAGCTCGACCTCACCACCAGCCTTGCTCCTGAGAAGGGTGCCAAGACTGCTGTCCTCGGCGGTGTCTTCAAGCAGAGCGGTCTCCACACCCGGGCTGTCCTTGACCTCTTCAAGGTGAGCTTTTCGACGCGTTTCGGATCTCTAAAGGAAGCAGGCTGACAGTTGTCATCTTGCCCAGGGCCCTACCTTCACCACCGATGCCGTTGTCGGCCGCGACGGTTTCCTCGCTGGTGCTGAGGCTTCCTACAACGTTACCGAGGGTAAGGTGACCCGCTACGCCGCCGCCCTCGGCTACAACGCCCCCGAATACGCCGTTACCCTCCACGGTCTCAACAACCTCAGCACCTTCACCGCTTCCTACTACCACCGCATCAACCGCGACGTCGAGGCTGGTGCCAAGGCTGTCTACGACCCCAAGGCCACCCACGGCGGTGTTGCCCTCGAGGTCGGCTCCAAGGTCTACCTTGATGCTGCTGCCTTTGTCAAGGCCAAGATCAACAATTCTGGTGTCATTGCTTTGGGGTACACCCAGGCCCTCCGTCCTGGCGTCAAGGCTTCCTTCGGTCTCGCTCTCGACACCCAGAAGTTGAACGACCCCAACCCCGTTGGTCCTTCGCACAAGGTATGTTCTTCTGTAGGCTTTCCTTCTTTGGGCTCGATGCTGATAGCTGGTTGCAGGTCGGCCTCAGCTTCGTCTTCGACTCATGAACTGGCTTTGGGTGGAGGCTGAAGATGACGATACGGTGATGATTCTGGGCAATGGCTTGTTTGCCTCTTCCTGACAATTCTACGACAGTCGTACTTAATGCCTACCATTGTCCTGTTCTTCACTCTTGTGGTCTTCAGTTATTGCAATTCACGATATTAATGATCATTCGTTACGCGGAGAGATACCGTACTTATTGATACAATAAAAAGCGCAACTCAGGCAAGAGGAGGTTAATCGAATCCGGGCGAGTTGCGCACCAGTATTCTTGCGTTGTTTACGAATGCCCGGATGAGTTCGTCGAATGCGCTGCGTTCATGTTCACTGTAGTTGACATCGTTGCGCTTGGCAGCTGTTGCTAATAATAGCTCGGGTCGGGCAATTTCGAGTTCAAGCTCGTGCATTGTTTGGGCCTGGCGCACAGTCATTGAGCAAGTCAGGCTAATATCGATGTTACCAACGTACCGGTGCACCAGGGGCCTGCTGCGAAACAACCTGGGTGAGGTCGATTATGAATTCCTCATGGGAATAACACATCCTATCTTTCCGCCTCGTATGTGTGGGTGTGCCTACTGGATGTTGCACTGATGCAAACGCGTCAATAATGTCGCCCAGACCATACCAGAGGCATGAACATCTCACCAGGGACTTCAAGGTTTACACTGATCCTCCAATCAGCATTTCTCTTTGGACTGAACACATTCAAGTCCCCCAGCCTGATCTTCTTCACGCATTGCACAACCTCTCGTGTCTTCTCGTCTCTCGTAACGCGTATTTTGTCCGACCCTTTTAGTCTCACGTCGCCGTTAAAGAGGGGCTCTGAAGCGTAAAAGCTGTCGACGAGATAGAGGTGGGAGTAGGTGACTGGGGTGGAAGGATGTGACGGTGAGTCGGAGGATGTTTTCAGGTTGTTGAGTAGAGTATTGAAGTGTTTATGTTGATGCTATAATGGGAGAGTATCATGGTTTGTCGCATTAGACTCAACGAGCCAGTCGACGTACAGCAGACATGTTGGATTCGAACCGTACGTCCAGAGCGTCGGGTTGCAAAACTAGACACCATGTCAGGTTTATCGGCGTGAATTTTGGAACAAACACTGGACTCACTGCTCTCGACGAGTACAGGTAGAACCATTCTGGAGCCTGTCCTCTCTCGCAACACGCCGACCTTTGCTTCGACTTCCACTAGGCCCTCCAGATGTGGTGGTTTGGTCATGATCATATGATGCACAAAATCAGCGATTTCCTTGATGAATTCGTCGAGTGGCTCCACTCCGAGGATGGAGAGTGAAAGAGGCGGAAGTGCATCGGAAGGACCGGCCATTGATGCAGACGAACTGGGACCTGGGTTTCCGTTCATTACTTTTGAGTTGGTTCGTGAATGAGTTGGACGTGGTTGTCGTTGCTGTTCTTGTGAAGGATGCGGAGGTGGGTGTGGCGGAAACACAGGATATTGTTGTTGTTGAAGTGTTGGAGGTTGAGCACGATATGACTCTCGTTCCCGTGTCGAAAATTGCAGAGTTTGTTCCCTTTGCTCTCTGGTGGTCGTACCCTGTGCTGGAGCCGTGGAAGAATGTTGCTGGGTCGGCTGGTCTCGCTGGTGTTGTACCGACTGAGGATGAGCTCGAAAATGGTAGCTCTGGGTCGGGAGCGAGGGTTGATTCGACGAAGAATGGAGGTCGACGCGGTAAGATGGTGGTGGTCCTAGAAGCGGCGGTGCGTGCGCCGACGTCGTCGGAGGCTGTTGCGCGCCGGGGACTATTGATGGCGAGGCTGGAATCCCTTCTGGCGACATGTGCGTCGACGATGACGGCAACGTGTTGTACTCTCGCTCCGACCTTTCCACCCGATCCCTGTCGTCCCTAGGCCCAAAATCCGCCCTCGACAACGTCGGCGGTCGTCCACCGCTGTACACCTCAAGGTCATATTCTGAACGGTATTCCACAGCTGGCCTGCCAGAATCGTGGTGGGACTCTGAATCTCGTCGCTGTCGTTTGGTCGGAGGAGGAGGAGCGTATGCACGGTATGCCGAGAGCACCATGGTCGTCGTTGCTGTGGGTGAAGAAGCTTCTTGTTGTGGTTGATAATGCTGAATAAAGTCGCCCCTTTCGCCGCCACTGTTCTCTTCCTTCGCCGCTGTCCTTTTTCGCTTCACCTTGGGTTTCCGTTCGGACTCCAGGGCTGCAGCCGGTCGTATGGGGGGATGTGCTTTGCCTGCAAGGATGCTGTGAACGCAGGGCTTACCGTGTGTTTGACGCCCGTTTCTTCAAGCTCTTTAAACCGGGACTAGTGACCACACGCCTCGGTGGTGTTGTTCAAGTCGTCGGGGGGTCGTCAAGCGCCACTTCCACTTCGCAGTCGATGCACCCGGAAAGACACAGTTAGGGGCTGGAACGTTCGCACTCGAAGGACTTTGTACTTCGAACAAAGCTCCCCGGGACAACTGTCGCCACAGGGGTTGCGAGTATCCAATGGACCAAAAAATCCACTCAGAACAGCTTCGGCGGACTATAAAGGTCCGGGGTCAGCACGAAACACCAAATCCGCAGGCTCAATGAGGTCGGACGATAACGATAAGAAGGCGCGTTATTTGTGGTAATATGATCCCTTTGCAACCCCGAATATGGAGAACCAACTTGATCTTCGGGATCCTGGTATACAAGGATTCTGTGTGTAGACAAGACGACCCCATCGATAATTGCCCCCAGCATAGTCCGGAAACCATACACAAACCTCATGCCAACGAAACGTTGCAAACAAAGACAGAAGTCATCATGCGATGTAGACCGGCGATAAGATGGTTTTCTACGATTATACACTGACGCCATGCAGGATCGGTACAACGTGTTTGCAGAACAAGACGAATTGTCGGGGAATGACCGAGTCTTCGTACCCTCTAGCCGCTCGGAAGTCGAGCCAAGTCATCTCCAGTGGACTGAAATCAAACATGTTTACGACATTATTGAACATTTGGCAGGCAGAACCATTGTCCCTACATGCTTCGAAACTGGATTGAAAACGAACAAAATGTCTGGCAGCGGAACGAGCAGACGCAAGTGAGAGGACACCATGGAGGCGGGTCGCGACTGTCATTATGCTCCATTATCAATATACCGAGAACGCATGAACAAGGCACCAGCAATGAGCATGGCGACGGGCGCCTGCTGGAGCCTTCAGTTCGGGATGTCTCCATCTCCAGCGCTCGGATGTCGGACGACAATGATCATGCAACTCTGAGAATCTCTCAAAACTGGAATTGATATGTCCTGGGCGAAGACTGTCAATATCAAAGAACGCGTCGTTCAAAGATGAAACCTAACCATACAAGGAACGTAGAAAGATGAGCGAACACGCAAATGAAACACTACAGACGAAGTCGCTGCTTCAGTTGCTCGGAAACAAGCTCCTTGGGTAACATGACCGCCACCTATGCAAAGTTAATCAACTAAGTTGAACACGAGGAATCTTGAAATATGACATACCGTTCGTGCCACTTCTTCGCCACCCACGTCCCATCCACTGTCGGCCACACTCAAGAAGCAATTATCAACAAGTCTGCCAATTAATCTATCGAGTCCAAATCGCTCCCCAGTGAACTTTCTCCATCGAAGAAGGTTTCTCAGCAGCTTGACTCGTCGAATGAGGAAACGCCTGCGAGACGGGATCGATTCTGGGTTGAAAGCGGGCGTCTTGCCTTTGACCGAGGCGAATTTGTCGAGAAGGGCTTCAGTATCTTGAATCGCCGTTTGGAACGCAGCGACGACAGAACCAAGGAGATTCTACCCAAGAGGTTAGAAACACAAGGCGACGGATCATTTCAGGAATTTGTCGCGTACCTGGAACTTGTTCCCACTTGCACCTTCGATCGTCGCTTCGACTTCCTCCGCGAGGTCAATCATGCGCTTGATATGACGTTCAGAGTAAACATCCAAGGCCCCGCCCTCGATGCTCTTGCACAATTTGGGAATGATCGCAGTAGAGATCATAGCCGCCACCAGATCGCCATCCGGGCCAAGTTCACCCTCCTCTCCGTCACCTGTCGAAGGACGTGAGTATTCGTAAAGACCCTTATACCATGTGAAGCTATCCAAGCTTCTCGCGTCCTGTCCAAAGCAATCAGTTCGACGTTAGGCAAACAGTCTCTGGACGCTTACCTCTATACAGTCCCAGGAGACGACTTCAAGGCGAACCCAGAATTCCCATACACTGACGACACCCAGTCCTCCCCATGCGTTGCGGTAGCTGTCCCCATAAGTCTCCCTCCACGCATTCCACCGAGCACTGTTGGGGTTACGGAACTCCTCTGCTCGTACGTCTGCAAGTACCTCCTTGGTGCGTAACCTAAGCGAAGTAACTGCAGACGCGTAGTCGGACGCGTCGTGGGGTGGGAGCGAGGAATCTGTCGAATACCCCTCTTCTTCCGGGTCTGGCTTGCGGCTACGCTGAACATGCCTATTGTGTCGTTCAATGCGAGCTGCTCTTCGTTCGCGGAGAAGGGTCGCCGGCGATGGCTTAGGAATTGCACGTCCCAATTCATCTACTTGTTCAGATTCTGGTTCTGGTGGGGTTGGGAGCGGACCATAGAATGAAGTGAGGTCGTCTTCGTCGTCAGTACGGCGTCGTTGCGTGATAAACTCAAGTCGCTCCCGGAGTAACGAAATGTAGTCATCTTCCAGCTTCTCCAACATAGGATACTAGACCACGAATAAGTCGAGTTCAGGAAAACTTGTATTGCGCTCGGTTACGCACCTTCTCGTCCAAGAAACTCGCCATACTTTCGATCCACTCCCTAAAGTCTCCAAACCAGGCACGCTTGTTTTCGGCCTTGACAACCATCTCCCGCATTTCCTTTTCCCGCTCATCCACTTGTTGCCGTTCTAGCGCGAGATTGTTCAATGTCGCAGTGTTCTGAGCGTGTGAGGATGTTAACTGGGCAAGCTGGTGGGATAAGCGAGCCAGTACAGGCGGAAGTGTTGGTATGGGAGTTGCTGCGGGTACTGGAGACTACGTTAGCGTGACTCAAGAAAGGATATGCAGATGCGTACTCGGCGCTGGTCGGTAAACCTGCTTGACTGTCGCGGGGGTTGAAGGCTCTGAAGCGCGATGACCGCCTCTTCGCAATTGCTCTTGCTCCCATTCCAGCGTCTCTTCATCCTCCTCCTCCCTGGGGTAGCCCGTGAGATTTGTTCATGTTGAGAGGGGTAAAGCACTTACGCATCCTCGATCATCTCTTTCATCGCTTCCCTTCGCTTAGCTGCTTCAATTTTCCTTGACTTCTTCCCGAGAGCAATGCGATCCTGCGCGCTTGTATACTCCGCATACTCTGTAAAGCACTTGTTAATGGTTGCCGTGTGCATGATGGAAAAGAAACGTTTCATACCATCATCTCCCTCCCCAAGTTCATCCTCCTCTCGAACAAGTCGGCTCTCAGGGTGGGGTCCGAGGTCTTCTGACCGTTTTGTCAAGGACAGCGAGATGAAGTCTTCCTCTCCAGAGTCCTTTAGCTTTCGAAGACGTTCGCGCTTTTCTTTGGCGACTTTGATGGATGACTCGGACAGGATTTCGGTGGTGGTAATCGACGGAGTTGAGTCATCTGTGAACGCTCGTCAACCGGGCCCACACAACCTGAGCAAAGAATGTACCTTGTAGAACATCGACACTTCGCACAGATATCTCGGTAGAATCGACGTCCATTGGCAAGTCGCCATCGGAGGATTCTGTGGTGGGTAGACTGGGTCGAGCAGTAGGAGTACTGGCTTTGAGCTGGTCCAGATACGCCTGATCATAGGTTGGTCCTCGCTGCGGTGCTATGGTCGCTTGGTCCAGGTTCAGCGGTATGTTGCTACAAGCAAGTCAGATAGGTATTCAAACATGAACCGGTATTGTCCACATACGCATTCTTGCCTAAGGAAATCTTGCTGCCTAACCGCGACTTTTTAACCTGAAAGACCTCGCCTTCACCTTCCTAATTCTTCAATTCGAATCATGCAAGGTCAGATAGTCACAAAGGCTTACCTCTTCTTCTGCTGCTGCACCAAAGCTGAGCTTAGACTTGGTCCCCGACTTCTTTGCCTTCTTCTTGAGCTTTGCGACTAGAATACTAGGCGAATCCTCGCGAATCTCTTTACCATCCTTCACCTCGGGGGTTTCGTTAACGTTATTGTCATGTTCTGGAGATTTCTGCCTTGTTCTAAGGGGTTTTGCCTTTCCCGAGCGCTTGAAGATGAGGGGAGGTTCAGAGTCCATGTTCATCCTCCGACACGCACGTGATCTTTGAATGACCTTGCAATTTCGTAAGTGTTCCCACGCTCCTTTCCTTGACCGCAACCATCATCCCGACGCGTCGCGCGACAAAATGGCCGAGACTTCCGCTCCACGACCACGACCACGCCCGCGCCCACGGCCTGTCCAGAAGAGTTCCAACAATGCTGCCTCAGCGCCTGGACCTTCCACGTCTTCAGCAACCTCTGCAGGACCGTCGAGCTCGTCGGTGCCGCAGACCTCACGGAACGCGGAGGATGATGACATCGATGCAATGTTTACCAAGAACAGGAACCGCACGGCGAAAGCTTGGACTAAGCTTGACCTTGTTAGGAAGGGTGCGTTATTATTTTTCGCCTGAGCGATCGGAGAACGAACGCGTCCGGCAGATGACCCCGAAGACGACCACTCCGGAGACGACAGTGATGAAAACATTTCTCCTGGCTCGAGGAAACGCGGTCGCAAGAAGTCGGCATCACTGCCCAAACCACGGTGGCAACAAGACCCAAACTACTTGAGGTAAGTTGAAAGTCTAAAGTTTACCCTGCCCTTTATATTAAGGCCTTTGCAGAGAAACCCTGTCTGAGGGACCCGTTATAGACCTGGGCTCAGACTCTGACCTCGAAATTCTTGGCGACCAAACTCCCACTGCAGCGAGTCGCAGGGAAAGCAAGCGCGCCAAACGGAGCCGCTCGCGCTCAGTTACACCGCCGCCTCAATTGCCCCTGCAACAAATAGAGAATGTCCGAAACGTCGTGATGTTCGTTTCGCTCGCTGTGCCCTCCATCACCTTGGTTAACCGTCCTTTGTAGGAAAGCGATCAGCGAAAAGGACCGCAAGTCTAATTATGTTACGTTTGACGATGACTATGGCCTTGACGAAGGAGACGAGAGTCCTGTCGAGTTGGATCCTGAGCTTCAGAGGATAGCCCAACAGGTTCAGAGGGAAATATCGTCTACTCCTGCTCCAGGCGCCTCATCCGACTTCCCTGGGCGTGCAGCTTCTGTTCGCCCCGAGGATAGAGAAGACGAGGAAGTCCTCATTCGCGTCAAATGGCATAACCATCCTTTATCGGAACAAGCAGACGACAACATCATCTGGGAGTACAAGCAAAACAGGGTTAGTGACTACCCCCCTCTTGGCTTCCGCGTAGCTGACATTGTCGATCCCATAGAGCGATGACTTCCATGATCTTTGGGAAGCCATTGCGGACGATGCGGGGAAAAGAGCCGACGCTCTGATTGTTTGCTACGACGGCAAACGCGTCTTTTCCTCAATGAAACCCTCAAACTTGAAGATCTGGGGAAGCGGTGACTTTGGTGGGTATTGTCATCAACTTTCCAAGGCAGTACAGCTCATGTGTGGCCCTTCAAGACGCATACGAGGATAAGACATACGAATATATTCGTGAAAACAATGCATCGGCACTTGCAAGTTTGATACAGAGTGCAGAGTCCCAACGCCAGGGATCCGGGTCGAGAGCAGGATCTCAAGCAGTGGTTGAACTCTCAGATAGCGACGATGACACTATGCCGGCACCTCCTCGTGCGGCGACATCCCAGGCAACATACAACCACTATTCTCAGCCTCAAACAACCCAGGTGGCGGCTGTTGCGTCGCAATCCGACGCTGAGGACGATACCTTCAAACTCACTCTCCGTTCCAAGCACAAAGAGGTTACTGTCACCGTGCGTCCAAGCACCAAGTGCGGGAATATTGTCAAGGCGTACCTCAAGAAAGCAAAACTGGAGGCGATGGCCGCTGGGAAAGATCCCAGATTAAGTGTAGATGGGGACAAATTGGATAACGACAGCCCTATCTCAGATGCTGACTTGGAGGATGGGGACCTGGTGGAGGTTGTGGGACTCTGATCGTGACCAGACCATTTTTCACTTTCCAACATTTCGCATTCTCGGGAATCTCGTTTTGTCATTGCTTTCGTTTAATTTATGTGTTAGTTCCAGTGAGTCACTTCTGAATTCGTTTCATACCAGCGCGTCCCATTTACGGGACGAGTTTTCCTAAAAACACGCTTATATTCTACTTTGTCAACTATACCTTATCTTGGCACATTCCCAACTTCCCCTACAGCTTAGTCCTTACACTATTCGATACGGTACCGAACACAATCTCCTTGTTCAACTTGATCTGGTCTTCCCCTGCACTGAGTGCCTTCTTCAGGTCTTCCAAAGCCCCGTTAAATCCAGCATCAAGAACCCAACGCCTGGCAACCTCGATGTCGACATCATGAGTCGGCTCTCCGATGTTCAAAGCCCAGAGTGCATGCTCCAAAAGGGATATGCTAGATGCGATGTAGCCGACAACCATAAGGCCGGGGCGGGCAGCTAAAGGATGCATGGGGGTCGAATAGACCTTTGGAAGCGTGGCCAACGCTTCTCGTAACAATCCAGTCGCATCGTTCAGTCGAGGCTGGACAGAGGAGGGAATGGAATCGATGATTGTCTCTGCCCACTGTTAGAATGTAAGCAGGTTGAGTGCCTCCATTCGTTTTACTGAGAGAGGACGCCGAACTCACGGATGTGAATGCTTTCAAGGTGGAGGGATCCAACGCGGACCTCGCCAGGTCCAGTGCGAGGACGACAACCGTACCTTCCCAAATCCTGAGTTTGAAACCATCAGTCATCTTTTCCTGGATGACATCAAGCAGACTACACTTACTTCTCAACCAACCCATCCCTGATAGCTCTCCCGATTCCATTCTCCTCCATGTAGCCGGCGCCTCCAAGGGCAGACATTGCCTCCTCCATGCCCACACTGGCCTTCTCAGCACAAAAGGCCTTCACAACCGGTGTCAGCATCCTCAACCTCTTCGCCTCCTCCCCACTCGCGACCCCACACTCGACCTTACCCATCAGCCCTGCCACACTAAAGCACATATGCGTCAAGGCACGGTACAAGAGGTTGATTTGAGCCAGTTGAGCAACATGGAGAGGGTTATCTTGGAGGAGCTGGGTTCCGGATTTGATAGCCCGGACACGCGCGTAGGAAGTAGCAATGGACAGGCACTTGCGGAGGTGGCCTACGGAGGTTATGGCGGACCAGAGGCGTGTAATGTTGAGGACGGGCGTGATGTGTTTGACGCCCTGGTTCAGAGGACTGATCAAGTACCCTTCGGTGTTCTGCAAGCTGAGTTCGGCGGTTGGGAGGACGTGAGTTCCTATCTTGTTCTTCAGTCGGTGAATAAATATGTTGTTGGAGGTTGAGGATGGTTTGGAGTCACTAGGCGCCGGGAAGAGGGGAAGGCGGAGTGGGATGAGGAAGAGTGAAAGGCCTCTAGACCCAGCAGAGATAGACCCAGTCCGCGCGAGGGCGACCGATACCTCGCTATCGGTTGCACTGGAGAACCATTTAATGCCATTCAACGAGTATTTGGGTCCGTAAGAATGAGTCTGGGAGAGATCTGTTGCAGTGGTTTCGGTCAGGGAAACATCTGATCCTCCAGGACGCTGAGGGATGGATGAGCAATGATTCAGGCTTCAGTGGGAGTGACGAAAACGAACCTCGGTCATCCACTGCCCTGCGGTGAACGCTTGCGATGGGTCGCGGCTATGGGGATTGTATTAGCTCCACAGGCGGATGCAATATGCCTACCGGGAAATACACACCTGATTAACCGGGGCAAAACGTCCCTCTTCAACGCCGGGTTTCCAATCAGCTCGATTACTCTGGCAGTCCCATCTGTCATGCTGAGAGGACAGAACACCTCCTGGGTGTCCCCGACCATCAACAGCATCTTCGCGAAGCCATAGATACGACTATGCTCCCCGTACGTGCGTTCGTAGAAGATGCCCGGTAAGCCTTCCTGCTGTGCGATCGCTTTGAGCTTGCGCCAGCCTTCGCTGGTCTCCAGGTTGTCGATTCGACGGCCCCATTGGTCGTATTGGGTGAGGGTGGGGTTGGAGACTGCCGCACTGTCGGCGAGTGGACGAATTACTGGAAGGCTGTTGAGTGAATAGGGTGCTCCATTGGACGTTGTGGGTCAACGGACCTGTGAGGACTTCCTTTCCGAGACGTTCCAAGTCAGGTTGAACGTCTCTGAGCACGCTGTTGGGGGCGTCGATCAACGGGTTCAAAGGAAGGGCCGAAACGGTCCACAAACCTGTTGGGGAGCAGGCGACGCAACAGTGAGGGTAAGGTAGGGTCCTCTAGGTAGACATTTTCCTCAGAGTACGGGATCTTAAAGAGTCGTCGCTTTAGCACAGGGCACTCCTCAATCTCTGGGGTTGGACATACAGGCTGAAATCCGTCTTCAATCCTCATTGTCCAGATCTTCTAGTGTACAGGCGGCTGGAAGAAGGCGGTTCAGACTTGATTTCGCGAGGACATGGGCGTCATAAACGCACACCTATATGAAGGTTGCACTCCAACCTGTGATTCTTGGACATTCTCCTGACATGGAAATGTTAGTATCCATATGGCTCCCGGTCATTTGATGTTTCATTTGCGGCCCAGGCTTCACTTTGCTGGACCTCTCCACACCATAAAGGATAGTGATTTCACCCCGTCCCCTTGTCGTACTGCTGTCAGTCGTTTAGCAGACTGTCCGTGCCGAAGTACTTATTAGGGGCGTCAGGAGCAGCAGCTCAGAAAAGACATGCAGCCCCTAACAGGATCGTGAGAGAAGGCCTAAATTGATTGCATCAAATGTCATAGTCCGGGGCAAGTCCGGGGCTAATCGCGTCGTTCCTTGACCCTCGACGGTCTCGTTACCACCGCCTATCTCAACCTGTTCCTCCTGGTATCCAAGTACACTGATCAATCGGAATTTCATCAAGACCTGAAATGTCTGCCTGTCTTAGATTTACTCGAAGAGTACGTGAGCTACGCTAAAAACTTGATCCAGAAGCCTTATAATATTCGCGACTTGCTAGGTTTGGAAGTCGTTTGTCGACAACCAAGGTGCGTGTCTCTTTCTACCCAGTCGTGAAATCTACTATAAGCCACCTGAACTCATAGGCCACGACGCGCAATGTTTCCCCAATGTATGTGGGTCAATTACGTTGCCCTTCCTTCGATGTTGACATTGACTCTGGAGTTTGCAACCCTCGATCTTCATAATTCTTGATTCGACCGCAGTTGGTCGTTCATAGAGCTGTTCCCGGGACCGTCGAAGCATCTTTGAAGATTGAACAATACAACAGTGCGGTTCTCTATCCTGCAAAGATGTGTGGGGGTCGCTTACCCGATTCTGCGTATCTGTGTAGCTAACAGAGTTGGAGTGCGTCCGGCCAAGTGCTTCGAATGAAATAATATTGACAAGAGCTCTACCGGATCGAATCAGACAGGTGCCTCCCGTCTGCTCATCCTCTCACCAAACATGAACTCACCGAAGTCTCTCGTAGTTCATGGAGGCTTGATCCTGTCGCTCACCGACACGCTTGGCTCATTAGCCGTCGCAAGCAAAGGCCATTTCATGACGGGTGTCTCAACAGACATCGGTACCTCATTTGTACGGCCTGCTGGCCGAGTTGGAGATACCCTCCATGCAAAGGCCGTACTCACGGGCATGGGTACGATTCTTTGGCTGTTCTCCCCCGACGAGTCCGACGCTCATCTACTATCTTACTTTAGGGAGGCAACTCGCTTACACTCGTGTAGACTTCACCAATCCTGCTGGAGATTTGGTGGCATATGGCTGTGCGTGCCTTTCTCTTTGCATCCTGTCCGATTGGGTACTGACGAAGCCCTACAGATCATACCAAGTACATCGGAAAGTCTTCTAACCATCACGTATGTTGTTTGTGAGCTGGGTATGCAATGCTGTACTGACCACGGGTACAATGCAGGAAAATGTCAAGTTCTCGGAGGATGGTGAAAAGGTGATTGACGGAGAAGACGTTGAGTAGATATTAGATGTTTTGTGTACAATCTACAGTAGGGAGTGATACAAGCCTATTCCATCGTCTCGCGATTGATGTCAGAGCTTGGCGCGTCACTGACCGCGGGTTTACACTAAACCACCACGGCGCACGCGTCAAAAATGTCCCTTACCCCTCGCGTCTTCTCGCTGCGAACTAGGCTACTGAAATCCCCGTTCTCTACCAATGCTTTGACGCGAGCTTCTCTGACCCAACAATGGAGGGAACCGCAACCCACGACATCCCGACACTTCACAAGGACAAGTTACCGGGAGCACCAAAATCCTCTCGGCTTACCACGTAACAATGCTCTACCGCCTCCTACCATGCCTCGTCGCGGGGGGCCAGTGAAAAGAAATATTTTGAACGTCAAAAAAGTGGTAGCGGTTGCCAGTGGGAAGGGAGGGGTTGGGAAGAGTACCGTCGCTGGTCCGTAGTCCCAGGGTCGATTTTCAGTGCTCAATTGAAATGACCATTCCGGATGACCAGTCAACCTCGCTTTTGCATTGGGTCTTCTACAGAACCCGTCTACGCATCGACGGCTCCGGGTTGGAGTATTGGATTTGGACATTTTTGGACCCTCCATCCCTACGCTTATGGGTCTGACCAAGGCTGGTGAACCGGATTTGACACCAGGTGCGTCCGGTATTCCTTTCAAGTACATATTGGACCCTCACGAGAAACTGTAAAACCTAGCTGGTGCGCTCATCCCACTCACTAACCACGGGGTACCGTGCATGTCCATGGGGTTCCTCATACCTCCTACGCAAACGTCGGATAACACGGATACCCCCATAGTCTGGAGGGGCTTAATGGTGCAGAAAGCAGTTCAGCAACTGCTGTTTGACGTTGACTGGGCCGCCTCGAGTGAAGGAGGCGGCCTGGACGTGGTTGTGATAGACATGCCTCCTGGGACGGGAGACGTGCCTTTGACGTTGGGGCAGTTAGTAGAGGTTGACGGTGAGTGGTCGTAGTAAAAGACAAGAAGGTATGGACTCTGACCCTTCTAATTGTAGGCTGTGTGATAGTTTCCACGCCCCAAGATGTTGCTCTTGCGGATGTGAGGAAGGGTATTGCGATGTTGAGGAAGGTCAATGTACCAGTGTGTAGCCCCTACTATGTCTCCCGCGTTAGTTTCTTCCTCTGACCTCTCTGCGCAGATATCTGGCCTTGTCCTTAACCAATCGCATTACCTCTGCCCGACATGTGTCAATCCGGAGCCCAAATATCTATTCGGTGAGTCGTCCTCTTACGAGACTTTCACTTTGGCTGTAATACTTACTGCTTCCCGCAGGTACGCCCGACCGCTTCAGAACAGTCGCGTCGAATCTCTCCATCCCTATCCTCGGAGAGCTTCCTTTGGTTGAAGGCGTAAGTGGGGGCGGAGACCAAGGGTGGCCCGTTGTCTTGAAGAGTGGTGGAGGTGCGAAGGAGGCGGGTGAGAAGGGTGAACAGGCTTGGACCAGGACGATGATGGGTGTTGCAGAGAAAGTTGCAAAAGAGATTGGCGTCTGGTCATAGATAGGAGGGTTGGACAGGGTTATTGGCACTCGTCGTGGTCTACCACTGTCCGCTTATCTAGAGAAATGTCCTTTGTATGATAGTATGCCCTTGGTACAGTGTCGTCACTGAGTGCCCCTGAGTTACGATCGCCGTCTACATCCGCTGCCAAGACCGGTCCAATGACGACGAAGAGGTGCCATCAAGTAGCCGAAGTAAACGCGCCTCTTCCACATTCCCCATCTTCTTCCTTTTCCTCGACGTGTCCTCTGTAATTGTGCGCCGGCCTCTGCTGTCGAATACCTCAGACGACATCGACCGGCCGTGAAGACTGCCTGAAGCCCAGGTTAACCAATTACTGCTTATTCCAAGGGCGAGGGACTAGACGACATCCCACCGAGTTGCTCATAGAGGCAAAGAGAGCGGTTTGCTCTCCAGACTATCTGTCATATTCAACTAGCTGAACAACTGCGACGTTGACGATGGACAGCGACGACCTCTCCGCACTTCCTCCAGAGGACGCCATTTTCCCCCGACAGAACAGCTTCTCCAGCAAACGATCTTCAAAAACCCGACCGTCTTCCTTAAATCCCAAGTGGTACCAGACGCATTATGATAGAGATGTCAGTGTCAGCCCAGCGGCTTCACTGTCCGGAGCAGAAGGGAATGGATACTTTCCAGAGGTGAGTTTGCGGTTTGTCTTCGCATTTCCAAAACTAACAGCGACGGTTGTGGTCCAGGTTCGAAACATCCAGTCGACGTCGTTCCCATCCTTGTCTCAGTCGAGTTCACGCACAAACCCGCCAAACATCATCGCACCCACTCCGCGCCGCCACCTCATAGAAACTTCAGAAAGCCAGCATTGGCTCAACCTCCATCACCCTGAATTTTCGCCCCCAAGCCCAGCCTCGCCCACAGGGAGCATAATCTCGATAAATGAAGGCAGGGGGATATCCCCAAGCACACCTACCTTCCCCTCCAACCAACGCCGGCCATCTTCGATAGCCTCTTCAACGTCTGCGGTTAACCTCGCCGGCGGCTATGGCAGTGTCAGGTCGAGAGGGACGGGTTCGACCAACCCCTCCCATTCACCCGTGAGCCACCACCAACGGAGCTTTAGTGCACTATACCAATACGAACAAGGCAATAAAACGTTGAGGAGACGCCAAGTATCGAATGCCAGTATTGCGAGCAGTGCGACTGTGACGACGAACGCGGGGTTGCATAAGGCGGCGCTGCTGAGGTCGAAGCAGACGCATCCTCATGGAGAGGGCGCGGAGCAAGCCAGTGGGAGGCGGTGGGTGAGGTGGATGCACAAGAATGGGTTGAAAGCTTGGGTTATACCACTGTCCATCGCCCTTGCTACCCTCGTCAAGTTGTGTATAGGGGTAGGGAGTTATAGCGGTATGTGGTTTGGCAACACGCGCGGAAGATGGACTAATAGCAGGACCCTCGTTAGGTGAAGCTACACCACCGATGTACGGTGACTACGAAGCCCAGCGGCATTGGATGGAGCTCACCACACATCTGCCGTTCCGGGAATGGTATACCTATGATCTGCAGTACTGGGGATTGGACTATCCGCCGCTTACGGCGTATGTTAGTTGGATGTGTGGTTTAATGTACGTCCCGTCATCCCTTGCTAAGTGTTTGGTTTCTTGCTGACACCTGACTTTCAGTGCCCACTACTTGAACCCTGAATGGGTTGCACTTGACGCGTCGAGAGGAATCGAAACCCCTGGAAGCAAGCTATTCATGCGCCTTAGTGTCGTAATCCTGGACTTCCTGGTTTATATCCCGGCATTGGTGATGTTCGTACGGACATGGCAAGGATCACGGAGTCGTAGAACACAGGTTAGAGCGTCTTTCCTTCAGTGAGAACCTCGGTTTAACCCTTTCCTAGGAGCAAGCCTTTCTCACTCTCGTTCTCCAACCCGCACTGCTCGTGATCGATCACGGCCACTTCCAATACAACTCAGTGATGTTGGGTATGTCCCCTGTACGATGTATAGGGCAGGAAGGAAACTGACCCACTCAACAGGTTTTACACTGCTCGCGATCAACTTCTTCACCCAAGGAGATGATCTGTACGGCGCAGTCTGTTTCGTCATGAGTCTCGGTTTCAAACAGATGGCTCTGTATTACGCGCCTGCAATCGGGTCGTACCTTTTGGCGAAATGCATTTGGTTGGGATGGGAGAAAGGGTACGCCAGCATGGATATCGCTTCGTAAATAGCTCCTAACGTTCCACAGACTTCGCCTTTTCATACGCCTAGGGGCTACCACGGTCTTATCCTTTGGCGCACTCTTCGCACCTTTCTTCCTCCCTCCATTCGCACCCTCGGTCACGCACATCCTGCACCCTATCACCCGAATCTTCCCCTTCAATCGGGGTCTATTTGAAGACAAAGTGGCCAACTTTTGGTGTGCGAGTAACGTCGCCATCAAATGGAAACGGTTGGCTATTTCTGCAGCTCATGGTGAGGGCCCCTAACCGAAAGTTTCGGTGGACCATTTTTACTGATAGCTGTGAACAGGGGATGAAGATAAGGCCCGAGGATGGCTTGTCAAGCTCTCGACCCTTCTTACCGCCCTCGGGTTCTCCCCCAGTGTGGTCGGAATTCTGAGGTCATCTTGGATTGCGAAACTCGAAGCCGAGGCTGATGGCACGGATGCCCGTAAAGAAGAACCGCCGGTGTTTATCTCTCTCCTCCCCTACGCTCTCCTTACATCCTCCATGTCCTTCTTCCTCTTCTCGTTCCAAGTACACGAGAAGACGATCCTACTACCCTTGCTACCGCTCACACTGTTGATGTCAGCTGCGCAGCCTGGAACGACGTTGCATAATTGGGGCGCTCTGGGAAACAATGTTGCTGTCTTCAGGTGAGTAGAATCCAATTCCATTCGTGGAGCACTCTTTGAACAATGGGCATGTAGCATGTGGCCTCTATTGAAGAGGGACGGTCAGGGTTTGGCGTGTGTTGCGACATTGATGTTGTGGAATCGCGCGATTGGGTATAACCCTTTCAAGTGGATTCAACACAAATCGTCAACTATCAAGGAGAATTTGAGGATCGCGTCGCTTTTGAGCCTATCCTTTGTGCAACTGGTCTCGTTGGTACGTCCTTGCCTGTCCTTGTTCGGCGACAGCTAATGCCCACGATTCACAGCTCGCATACGCAGCGTCCATCTGTCTAGTGCTCCTCGAATTTGTCCTCCCGGTACCAAAGCGATACCCGGACCTATTCCCAGTCCTCAACGTCCTGGTCAGCACACCGATATTCGTTCTAATTTGGCTATGGAGTATCAAGTGTGGATTGGAGATTTGGTGGACCTTGGGAGGCTGGAGTAGTACCACTAGCAAGAAACAGACGACTTCAGAGAAACGTTTGTCTGCTTCTGGACCAGCGGTAAAGCCGTTGGAAGTGAAGACGAGCGAAGGGAGTGGGTCGTCGGAGGTGGTTGGTGGTAGTATGGATTCACCGATCTCAATTTGATATCCTTTCTAGGAGTGGATGGAACTTGGTCTTTTCTATTTTCTGTCGCTTGTTGTACGCTTGTATGGGACTAATTTATTTCTTAATACTACGAGTGCTAGCCTCTGGCGGCAGCCAACGCGGTGTCATTTTGGTCTACTCGGAAGGGAAGGGAGTCATGTACTTGGAAGCAGCCAGCCATAATTGACTCGAGTAGGTCTTCCACAATCACGAGCCCTGTATCTCGTCTCTTCAAGTGAAGTAGGATCTATTTCCTGAGTGCTGTCCTGCGATACAGGAGTGCCAGGGTTGAAAAGTGAGTGATCATTTTCGTCCGAATATTATCCCGGGGGGGGGGGGGGGGGGGGGGGGGGAAATAAATACCCCCCCCAAAAAAGGGTCCCCACCCCGAAGGCGGTTTTTGGGGGGGGGGGGGGGGAGTAGATAGCGCCGTCGAAGAGGGGCTGCCGAGTCGGATGCGGTGGAAGTTGATGGAAGCGGGGCTCGGCACGGAGGAGCACGTGCATGCCGAAAGTGGGGTCACTGGTGTCGTGAAAAACTTGATCGGGCGCCTTGTTGTTCCCAATAGCTTTTACCTTGACTCCTAATCTTTCCCGGTTTCTCTGCGCAAGACGCCAGCAACGATGTTGGCCGCCGTGAAGCGCACCAACAGTGTTTCGCGAATCCGCGTCCTCGCTGTTCGTCCCTACGCAACAGAAACTGTCTCAACACCGACGTCAGATTTACCTCCGCCCTTCCCTTCGCCGTCATCCCCCAAGAACTCAAAGATCCGCTTGTACCCAAGGCCCCGGCCAGCAGTCTCCCATAAACATTCGCCGCTCCCAAAGTTGCCACCCTCGTTTGGCAGCAACCAGCTCTTGCCCGTCTCCAACTCGACCCGCGCACTCCTCGAGTCTATTGTCGCAAAGTTCGACGCGCCGATTCGCTATGCGTTCGCCTATGGATCGGGAGTGTTTGAGCAGGACGGGTATGCGGAGAAGAAGAAGGAAGGCGCAGAGGGCCCGATGCTGGACTTCATGTTCGCCGTAACCCACCCCGCCCACTTCCATTCTATCAACATGCACCAATTCCCCAGTCATTACCCCCTCCATGCACGTATGTTTGGATCTTCATACGTTTCTCGGGTGCAAGACATTGGACCAGGAGTCTGGTTCAACGCGTATGTTCCAATGAATGGAGTGGTGCGTCCCTGTTCCACCTATTTCGTCACTTTGGGGAATTGACAACTTGGCGGTAGACCATCAAGTACGGTGTCACGACTGTGGATAACCTCTGCGCCGACCTTCTCAACTGGAGAACGCTCTACCTCGCGGGGCGGATGCACAAACCCCTACGCATTATCAAGGATGACGCACGGGTTCGCCTCACCCAGCAAGTGAACCTCACATCAGCCCTTCGAGCCGCCCTCCTCTCCCTGCCTTCGTCTTTCTCCGAAACCGAGCTCTTCGAGAGGATAGCTGGTTTCAGCTACATCGGCGACCCGCGCATGCTCCTTCCCGCAGAAAACCGCGGAAAGGTCGGAAACATTGTCCGAAAACAACGGCCGCAGTTCCGCGAATTATACTACAGATTGGTATTGGGCTTGCCGGGAGTTCATTGGTCTTCTTCATCAGAGATCATTGAGCAGGACACGAGCCCCAACGCCAGAGCTGCTCATCTCAGGAAGCTGCCGGTCGGACTCCTGAATCGCGTGAAACAGAATTACGAGAGCAAGGGCTTTGGCAAGGACGTGGAGCAGGACGAGACTGCGTTTTGGGTCAAGATGGCGGGAGACGAACAATTGTTCAACGTCATTCAGAAGGGTGCGTTTCGATTACTGTCGTTAGTCGACCAGCTGTCTTATATTTCATTACAGAAATGGCTGGCATTGTTCGAGGCCCAGCGACTATTCAATCCGTCAAGGGGATTGTCAGTGCCGGACTGGGCAAGAGCATCCGCTACAGTTCTGCCAAAGTCAACAAGTGGTGGGAGGGCTCATGAAGGATCGAAGCATAGACATTCGAATTTCGTAATCTGGCATTGGGTCTCCTGGGACACCAAAAGGTTGGGGTCTTTTGCCAATTTACCATCTATTTAGACAATGTTAGCTACCCTATATTATGCTCCTTACTATGTACCCTATTAATCTTCATATGGTTGATGTATCACTACCGTGACATCCGCACGTTTTCAGCTGGAGAATACAATAACCACTTCTCTAACGGAATCCCAACAAGGACACCCTGAGGAATGACACCCTCTTGCCCATCCCAGAGTATATGTTTCCGGAGGATGATCCAGGAGAGTTTGCGGGTGTTATGATCAGACGGCGATAGGCTCCGATGGTTTGAGTGTTTCGAAACTTCTGGCATCTTCCTTTCGATCCGCTGAAATTGTTATAAAAAGGCAGTTGTTCTCTCGCTTTCGTCTCCCTTCAAGAGCCAAGTCGAACATTTTACAAGATAACCAGAATGACACTTGTACCAAATATTTCTTCAACCACGCCGCGTCCAGGCACCAGCCACGCGAGCCCACCTCCAGCGTTGGCCCAACAGTCCGTTTATCCTCCTCCGTTGACCAATCCCGCTGTACTAGGATCGACCAAGACCTCCACCACAATTCCGAACACCAAACCCGGATCGAAACCGGTCAATATATTTTCCAATGATGGCTCATTCCTGGAGAGATTCCACCAGCTGAAGCAGGTAAGTGCTCCACACCTTCGACCGAGGTTCCAATCCCCTGGATCTTTGACGTTATCACCGGCCGACCGTTAACAATGTTTATTGACTTGTAACAGGAAGACGACGTGAAGAAGAAGGAAAAGGAAATCTTGGAACGGTAGGTTCCTCAGCCCGTTTACGATCCCGAACATTATAACCCATCCATTGAATATCCTCAGGAAGAGGAAGTTCGCCGACAGATTTGTGAGTTTTTAAATGAATATCTCCGATCCCGTCCTGACCCACACCGCTCTTTATCAGAAAAACCGAGGCAAGCGAGCATCAAGCTCAAGCAGTGGTCATCCCTCTGGTTCTAGTACACCCTCTGACGGCGCAGAATCCTCCGAACCCGCAACCAAGAAAGCTAGAACAGACAACTCGTCGGACAAGGTGGATCAGCCTCTTAGTAGGTGCTCTCCCCCTCCGTGTCACGGCGATGCAAGGGACCACGGTATTGAACTCCGTGCCCCCCTGCAGACAAGTACCAACAAGAGCTCAAGTCACTGAACATCAATGCCAACCTCAAGGATGCTGGAACCGGTGTAAGGCCTCTTGTTAAATGACCAAATTCTACTCACTCATTCTAACCTCTTTACGTGAGTAAAGGGTTTGAATTTCCTCGATCTCTTCCGGTGAACGAATACTGATATTTCTTCCTTTGTCGCGAGCAGATCTATGTGCCAATCGTTCCCTCATCACAAATAGGCACAACACACCTGGCTTTACACTCTCACCTCTCTTCTGGTCTTTGGGCTTTCGGTTCCTTGCATCTGGGTTTTCTGGCTGGCGCGCTCTCGTATCTGGGATATACATCATTATGCTTCAAGATTAGGCATTGCTGAATGGTTTGTGATTATATTGGAATAGTTGAGGCTAAATCTAAATAGGTGGAATATATGGACTATTTGCGTTTATCACCGAAAAAATCCAAAGACTCAGAAAAGCGTATGTTACGCAAATCGATCCTCGCGAAACGGGAAAAATGTATCTTCATAAAATCATGCCTCCAAAACCCGATAAATCTTGAGAACACCGCTCTTTAAGTCGTCCAAACGATAACTGACTACCTCGACAGTCTAGGAGAGGAAGTTAGTAAGAATCCGGAATGACACGGATGAGAATAGTGACTCCGCACCTGTTGACCGACATGTTGGTTCGCTTGGAACACTCGCAACTTGGACTTCTTCGGCTCGAATTCGCTGATAACACCAACAACAGGCTCATCCGTGCCAACAATGAGTTGATATGCTTGAAGACCTTTGTGTCCCTTGAATTTGGCGTCCGACAACTCAACCAGATCACCAGGCATAATATCGCTCGCGCGCTTCTGAACGGCTCCCCCAGTCTGCTTGTACACCAAGTACCCCCAATCCGAGGCCTTGGCCGCATTCGGAACCTCATTCAACACAACGCGGACAAATCCAGGATAGGTCCCGTCCCCAACCAACCCCTTCTTGGACTTCTCAAACAGTGTCGTGGCAACTTCGCAAACTTGAACGCCAACACGACCCCATACCGCCATCAAGTCGTCAGCGGAAAGTTGGACGTCGTTGGAGCTCTTCCTTTGTTGTTCCATCCCAGTTCCAGCTACCTCAGCCAGCCTTGGGCCCGGGGTGGGTTGAGGCCTTGGGACAATGGTGACAGACTCCTCCAATGCAGGTGCCGCTTCCGCCTCAGTCCATGACATCGACAAGTCCTCGTTGCCAAACTCCAAAGTAGAGGTCGGGATGTTGGGCAACTCCCATTGCGAGGAAAGACTATCCTGACCTTCAGGTGCTGGCGGAGGCCGGCTAGGTGCCGGGGCCCGAGCACTTGGCCTGTTGCCTGGAAGAGGTGGTGGGACTTCCTCCCCTTCCGGGTCTTCGACCATGACATAGTCAGATTGTCCTCGTAGAATTGGCGTCTTCTGAGGAGGGGACGAGACCGTAGAGTCGCCCGATGTTCGTCTCTGCGAGGAGATAGTCTGGTTGCTGGCTCTACGAGCAGGAAGTCCCGCTGGTACTGGTGGGCGAGTGGGAGGCGGAGGTGGTGAGCTCGGGGTGTCCAGAGATTCCTTGCGAATCTGACGTGCTCCTCGTGCCGGAGGTGGGGGCGGCGCTTCTTCAGGCTGAGCATCTTCGTGATGAACTTCCTCCATCTCACTTTCCTCTGCTTCGACCTTCACCGCATCGACGGACGAGGCGAGGCTTTCTTCCTCGGATTCGCTGTCGGCAACTTGTGGAGGCAGCGGGGGTCGAGAAGGAGGTGCCCTGGTGGGTGGTGGAGGCGATTTCGGTGCACTAGGTTCCGGCTCCGGTTCTTGCGGGACGCTTGCTTTGCGAGTCGGGAAGGTGGGAGGGAGCATCCCGATGCGCATCCCACCCATACCTGCCAGCTTAGTAGCAATTCTCTCCTTCCGTGCCCGTTCCTCTTCTTCTTCGGTCAGGTCTGAATTTCCTCCGGTGTCTTGGAATTCTTCCTGAGCCTCGGAGCGGCGGCTTTCCTCCTCGGCCGCTGTTGGTAGCGTAGGACGACGACCTGGAAGAACTGGCGGGGCGGCACCAAATTTAATACCTCCCAGCTTTGCCATACGCTCAGCGATGGTCCTTCGTCGTGCAGCCTCGGCATCCTCATCTTCTTGGGCCTCTTCCCTGGGAAGTGGAGTCGGTTCTTTGGCTGCGATGGCGGGCTCTTCAGTTGTCGCTTGGGGTTCTGGTGGCGTTGCGTCAGTAGAAGAAGAGAGGACAGCGGAGGTCCTGCGGCTCGGGCTGTGGAAGGATGGATCAATGGGATCTACATCAAACACTGTAAGCGATAACAGCTCGTGTCGTACAATTAGGACCATACCTCCTTCCTCTTCATCAAGAATTTCTCTTGTACCTGGCACCTTGAGAGAGGATTGACTGCTTGATGATCGGACACTGTCGGATTGATGCACCGTTTGGGTAGGAGGAGCGTTGTGAGGTGGTGCCTGATTAACAGGGGTTGGAGACTTAGGCATTACCGGTGGAGGGACAATGAGGGGTGCTTCAGCATCGGAGGTCTGTCCTTCAGATCGATGGGCCGACGACATGGGACGAACAGGAAGGGCTTCCTCATTATCTGAAGCTTCTTCCGCTGGAGGAGGCGATGGCGGGAAGCTCCTTGGTAGGACTGGAGATGGCTGCTGTTCTTCCGCCGCACCAACATCTTGTCGCTCACTCGAGACCCTGTGCGGGACAGGCAAAGGAGGCTGATGACCATCGTCATTACTCTCGACTTGTCCTGCCTGAACGTCGGTAGGCGGGGAACGAGGGAATCCAGGTGGTGGGACTAGAATCTGCGAACGGACAAGGACTTCGTTCTCTTCCTCTGAGTTTTCCTCTGGATCGGCGCTGGCATCGAGATTGCGAGGTGTCTGATCTTCTACCGAAGCCAAGTGCGAAACTCGAGGCGGCGGTACAGGGATGGTGTCCTCCACCTCGGCCACAGATTCACCCGTGAGTTGAGCAAGAGATTGCCTGCATTCAAGGGTCAGCAACGAAAAGGAACGAAGACGAGATAGCACACTCGAACCTTTGGAGGATTGTAGATGTGACAACTGGGGCAGCTCCAGAATCGTTATCGTCGTATTGGCTTTCTTCTACATAATCCACTGCATCAATACACCTGGTAGTGGCTAAAAGAAGACATGAAAGAGTCATTTACCATCGCTCGTATCTGCTTTCCCAGCAACTTCAGAAGAGGGTTCAATGGGTTTTGTTTCATCCTCTCTTGTTGCCGCATCGTCAAGTTTCTCGGGAATCGAAGCTGCAAGTTCCGGTTCAGGCGACAAGGGTGCGACGGATTCGGCCGGGACGTGCTGGGCTTCTTCAACTGGAAGAGGTTGCTCTCCCTTCTCGTCCGCAGTCGTGGGTGGAGAGGATGAGAGAGGAGCAGCGGAAGATGAATCTCGTCTGGGCAAGGCCAACGGATTGACAGCACCCATCCTTGCGAGGCGATCAGCAACCTTTCTCTTCCTCGTTTCTTCATCCTCTTCACTTTCTTCAGATTCGCCATCCTCGACGTCTTTGCCAGAATGCTTCTCATCCACTGTCTGGACCTCTTCCGATACTTGCGCTGGCTGCTGGACAGGAGGTTGGGCTTCGACGGAAGAGTCCGCCGATGCATGTTCGGGTACTTGGCCGCTTACTTCGGTGTCTTCCGTCGGAGTCACAGAGGATGCAGCTTCCTGGGTATCTTTGAGGGTTTCGGGAACGACAGACTCCCCCTTATCTTCATGCTCCTGAGATACATCATCAGGCTTGACGTCAACCTCTTCCTTGACAACCTTCTCCTGAGCTTGAGATGGCTCTTCGGACTCCTGAGAAACGACAGCGTCTTGAGCAGCGACTTCCACTGGTGGTGGTGGCGGCGGCGGCGGCGGTGGTTGCTGAGGCTTGGATGCCTTCTTGCGAGGTGGAGCAGCTCGGCGAGGCATAGCAGGTACAGGCATGGAAGGGGGACTCTTCGAGCCATGGGATTCACTCGAGCTAACTGAAGCAGGGATTGCCTCCGTAGACTTAGACTCAGTGACTTCTGCAAATTAGATTTAGCTTTGCACTGGAAGATCGGCGGGGAAGCGCTACCTGTCTGTTTATCCTGTGACTCGCGAGATAAGATCGAAGCAGAGTCGGTAGGGGGTGATGTCACGAGAGGTGCTAAATGTAAAGTCAATACATGTTTGCTTAATCGAAAAGGTAAACGCACCTTCTGTGATGGTGGCCGCTTCAGCCTCGGTCTGGGGTTCTTCCTTCGGTGGTTGAGGTGGTGGGGAGGCCGTCTCCTTGGTTGGTTCCGCCTTGGCAGCATCATCATTGGGTGGAAGCGAGGGTTTCTTCGTCGGTGGTGGTGGCGGCGGCTTGCCAAAGATCGGAGCCATCCCCACACGCGTCCCCCCTAAACGCGCCATGCGGGCAGCGATCGCTGCTCGTCGCTGCCGTTCTTCTTCGTCTGGGTCGGTTTCTCCTGTCTGTTCGTTGGATTCCTTCTCGGTTGCTTCCTCTGAGGATCGCCGTTCACTCGAGTCTGATATCAGCGAAGAGGGCTGTGGAGGTGATGAGGCTCTTGCGAGCGCAGCAGCTGCAGCTGCTGCTGGATCTGCAGGACGATCGTCGTCATCATCAACCGGCGGAGACACCACTGGCGGGGGCTTCCATTTGGGCTTCTCCAGAGCCGGTTTAGGTGCAAGAGGGGGTGGTGCTCCAAATGCACCTTTCCCTTGAAGAGCAGCCATTCGTTCCTTGAGACTACCACCTTTTACGATGCTGTCCTTCGCATCCGAGACCGACATACCGCCGGATGCTGGTTTGGAGGGTGTAGATGCATTGTCTGCTGTTGTGGGAGTCGATGGCGGTGAAGGTTGCTTCGGTTTCCAGGTCGAGAAGCCAGCTGGCTTGGGTCGGGGCGCTGGTGCTGGCGCTGGCGCTGGTGCACTTGCCCCAGCTTTCTCGAACGCGGCGATCCTGTCTCTGAGAGAGCCAACTTTCTTTGGCGGTGCGTCTGGTTGGTCTGACATTTCTGGCGCTACAATCACTGAGCTGGCAAGAAGAGGAGCGACCACGATCTGAGACGGCCTAGCCGTAGCCTTAATACCTGCGTATTGGTTCCCACGCATAATTATAGGGTCTACAGGCACATCACTACTGATCTTGACTGATGTTGTTCGGCAGTTTATTTAACTACGGTACATTGTCCACAAGTAGTTCCTAGCTATGCTCTTGGTTTGGGTACAGCTGTCACTGTTATCGAAGATTGGGCCTTTCGCAACCAAAACGGACCTACTCGCGCGCCTTGTCAGAATTGTTGTTGGCGGAGCCATGTCCCCAATAATGCATAACTCACCAATAGGGTCGTCTGGGTCATGGAAGATGGTCGTCCACGCCCCAAGGACGCCATACTCTGAACGAATACCGCCAACTTGGACGCCGTCGGAACTTTAGTAGGGCGTAAAAGTCACCAAGAGTCTGAACCCTGAGAGACGAAAAAGACGTACCTCCATATAATATTGCCAGCTTCCCCAGAGGTCTAGTTTATCATGAGAAGGATGGCCATGACCTTCGAATGGAGCAACTCACAAATTGCCATCGAGCGTAACCTTCCTTGGTCGCGCTCACCTTCCCTGTGAGGACAGTATCAGGGAGGTTCTTCATAACACCCACAAAATATATAGTCGGTTGGGTAGGATGATCTTTGTCGAACTCTGTCTTGGTAACCTTAAGCTGCACGCTCATGCAACGAATAACTTCTTGGAAAGTGTCTCCTTCGAGAAGAGACGTGTCTCGTGGAAAACCCGCGGTGGTCTGGGCAAACGAGATGGCCTATTTAACTTTCGTCCAGGAAGGGTAGCTTGAACAGACGTACAATATCGTCGTTGAAAACTACTCAATAGTCAGGGCATTTGGTCGAAGGAGCAAAGGGGATACGAACCTATGAGGATTCTGTGGTCGCAAAAGCAGAAGGACACAATCCATTCTCCTTCTACACCTGCCCAGTCCGACGGCTCCGGCTCGGTATCAACTTCATCTCGAAGCATAGGCTGGATATACGGGAGACCTAAAGGGTATATTGTGTACTGGGTTTCTTCATCTAAGCCGTCGTCGTCGAGTTCAGTCGATAGGAGCTGGCGCGAGATAACTTGGCGAATGGCGTTGACATGTACCCAGTTGACCGTCCCGTCGTCATTATAAGGGCCGAATTCGTTGTTCCATGAGTAATTCTTCATATTGTACACAAAAGACCGCGACTTGACTCTGGCGTCCGCCCTGGTGTCGTTGTCGGTAAGACCATAAAATGTATGCAGCTGATTGACCAGTTGAGTTTCTTTCTCGTTTAAATCTTGCTCCTTTACAAAGTCAATCCACCCGTCGTGGAGAAGTATCTGGGCTATGGTCAAGTTATTGCCGATGCGGGCGAGTGGGTCAGATTTGGGAATCGTATTCATGACGAGGTTGACGAGGGTGTTGAGGATTTCGCCTAATTCTCCCTGTCGGCCTAATGACTTCTTCGCAACTACTGATTGTGCTCGAACGAAGCGTTGGAGTTCCACCTTCCAATCAACAGACAGCTTCTTCTGGCCTGTAATATCGATGCATTCGCGTGGGTCGTCCAGTGGTTGTGCGAGGTAAAGCTGCCTCCAAATCGCGCTGTCTTCCGAGTCATAAACCAAGGAACGAAGAAAGCGGTTAGCTTGGGCTACCCGTGCGACATCGAGAGGATGGCAGAAAGTAAGTATTTCCTCCACCAGTTCCCTGGGTAGATCCAAAAGTTCCATGGCGATGTAGGGGAGAAGGACAGGGAACAACGGTGGTGGCCAATGATCGCGCTTACATCGGCTCTGATTACCATTCGCTGATCACCGATGCACATCACTTCGAGACCTCTCGGCATCACTGTTTACATCTGCCGACTGCCAGCAACCGGCTTTCTTTCAGCTCCCCAGTTTACATGGGCGCAATGCCAAAGGCTGTATTATTCAGAATCGAGGTCCATCCGGCCTGGATTTACATGCTCTAACTATACCCCAGAGTTTCATCCTTGAGATGATAAGATCCGTATTGGCATCACGCCAATCCGTGCTCCACTCGCCGGAAAGCAGAATTTCATTGCCGATTCGAGGAAGGAGAGCACCAAAACCGTCAATGTTCAATCGTCGTTGGAGAACAGGATCCCTGCTGGAATTTTGACACCGACTCACAACGTTAGCCCAGTCACACCAAGTTCCCGTGCATTGTCCATCTAAATCTCGGAAGTATCCTGAACACTAGTGCCATCGTGTATTAAGCAGTGATACAAGGATAATGTATGAATTTACGATAGTGTGTCGTGAATGGACTATAGCTACAATAGGAGCCCCAAAGCAAGAAAACATTGCGTTGACGAGAGAGCAGGGTGAGACGGTCGTGAATATGTCCATATCGTTGTTAGGGAGGAGGTCCGTGAGATAACGAGTGAGAAGTCCTTGTATCGTGAATGACAAGGACTCCAAGGAGTGGATGCAACTGAGAAGTAGCAAAAGGTAAAGAAGACTGGCAACAATCAGGAAAGGTGAACACTTACAATCAAGGACCGGACCAGTGAGAGGAGGGTATTGCGTGTTTTATATGATAGTGATGCTAGAATCTTGATTTTCCTTTTAATTTGACGTCGCTTGGGGTCGAATGTTCAGGCTTCAGCCAGCGTGCCCCACTCGTCCAACAATTTTTTCCCAATAGTTGGCTCTAGTTCGGTACCGTCTCTTGAAATCTTAATTTCCCGGCCTTTGTTCCAGGGATTTCGGAGGTGTCGCGTTTGGTGGAACGGAATCCTACGGAGTTCGAGCCATTCAATCTTGAAACACTCTCCCCACCCGGGCGTAGAAGGCGCCTCCCCATCCTGCTGCCTGTCAAACTTCGGCTCTTCGACCTCCCTCGACTTCGCTTTCCCATCTCGATGCTGCGGGCCAGGCGGATCGTGCATGCCTGCCCTCACGGCTCTAATGGGAGCCTCGGGATCCAATTCGAAGGCCTCGCGCGGTGGATCGAACTTCTTGCGTTGGTGGTGGTCCAAACTGAACTTCAGGGAAGGCGTCCTCTGAGGTCCTTCGTCGCCATCAAATCCCCCACCTATTTTGGGCGGCGCAGATTGCTGTTGGAGTAGGCGGGGCGGGAGAGGAGTTTCGGAGGACGAAGGTGGTGGGCTGTCGTCGAGGTCATCGAGCTGGAGTGGGGATTCGTCGACAACGTGACCACCGTCGGGAGAGAAAAACATCTTGGGTTGGGGAGAACCGGAGAGTAGTTTGGTATCCGTATTGGCTTTGAAACGATTGGCGCGTGGACTGGTAGTGGAACCAGACGGAGATGGGAATGAACCGTCCGATCGAGATGCCCATGTCACTGTTCCTTCTCCTCTTCGGATAGGCCCAATCATTCTGTTCGAATGAGAAACGAACCTGAAAAATGTTGCATAAATAGAACACAAACCTTGCGTAGCCATAAAACTCTCCACTCTTGTTCACACTGAAAATGAGGAAGACGTCTTTTGCTGTTCGAAAAGCTTGATCCAGGAGCAATTCGTTGTGTTTCTGAGTCGCCCATAGGCCGTTCTTGACACTGAGGGCTAGATCATCCTGTTGTAGTGTGAGCCACTTCAATTACACTCGATAAGCGGTCGCGTACCTCACTTAGAGACTTGAGGATGAAGAAGCGCGTCGGGAAGTACTCGGCCAGGAAACTGGACGTCGTCGAAGCATGGGAGTCTGAGCTGCTGGAATGGGTGCCTTTCCTTCTATCACCGCTCGAAATGGAAACAGAGCCTAGAACGTTTGGAAAGTGGTCTGCGTCACTGCCTGAATTCCCCTCGGAGGCCTCAATGTCCGACGAACCACTCGCCTGACATTTCTGCATCCTCTGGCTTTGGATCCACTGTTTGTGGAGACCTATTCCTCGCTGACCACCAACTCCCGACTTCAAGTCGTCTGCCGACCGTCGAATTTTGCACACTAGCATCGGACATTGGGGATCGTTCGGCCGCAAGCGTTTCCCATTAAACGTCTGAATTGCGCTACTGACCGACGACTCGCTACTGTAATTGATGAACGCGCAGTTGGACCGGCCTATCAGAAAAATTGATTCAACGCCCGCGTTCAAGGTCGCATGGGCATTGCCAGTCTCAGGAGGATTAGTGAAAAACCTCCAAAGCTCTTCTTGTGTCGCGTCAGAAGGCACGTTCCCTACCCACATTGCCCACGGTGAGCGGTGCGCTGGTGGCCGAGGGTGCCATTCACGACGGACCACAGGTTTAGAAGTGGTGGAAGGCTGTCCACTACTCGAGGGAGAGTCTCGACCGGCAATGGAAGAACGAGATGCAGTAAGCGGCGGTGAACCAGGCTGTGAGGCCGAAGGGAACTTTGGTTCGGAGAGATGTGTTCGAGGTGGAGCGGACGCCGAAGAAGGGTGTCGCGAGACATGGGAGGATGATTCCCGTTGCTGCGCCGGAGGCTGGTATTGATAAGAGTACCCTTGTCGGTACTGCTCGTACGGATGTTGCTGCGACTGTGGGGTGTGGGGAACAAAGTACCATGAACCTTTATGGAGGTCCTCGACAGATGGAGATAGATGAGGCTGGTAGGACACCGCACTATATGGCCGATAAACTGTTGCAGGCGGTGAAAACTGTTGCGGATACCCGTATTGGGGTGAGCGCAGAGAAGACGGATATCCCATGCCTGAGAGGTGTGGGGGACCCATGTACTGTGGGGTGGCCGCGTTCACACCCGCCATATCGTTGGTGGGATTGGTAGAAGGGAAGGTCGGGCTGAAGACTGATTCGCTTGACATCTGGTTGGAAAAAGAAACCGAGGGATTGGGCCCATCGTTGCTCCGGTGCTGCTGTGGATAGTGGTACAACGGTTGCTGAGAATAGGTCAGTTGTGGAGAAGTAACGCGATTGTTGGAGTCGGAGACTTGTTGCGGGGATTGAAATGGATGGGGAGGATAAGAATACGCGTGATGAGGCTGACCGATATTCAGAGAAGGCGGATGCGACGGTACCGTGTATTGACCGTAGTAGCCACCTCCCTGACTGAACGGATGGGGTGATGTTGGGAACTGAATGACCGAGGGTTGAAATGAATTGTGAGGGGTGGAATTGTCATTGCTAGAAGAGGCTGGCGGAAAGTATCCATGAGAAGGCGACGAGACAGAAGGAGGGCCAGCTGACGGCCTGCCTGCGCCTCCTGAAACAAATGGTCGTCTCCTATTGTTGGCCCTGGATCGATTTCGCACTGGGGTGCTTTCGTTGCTCGCATCACCTGGCATAGAATCCGGCGGTGTCGAGGCACCTTCGTCGTAAGGTTGTGTGTGCTCTGTAGAGGTAAAGGGAATCAGGCTATTCTGCTCATGGAAGACTGGAAGGAATGCGATTTTGAGTCGCGTCGGAACACTTGTAGAAAGTGCTCGAACACTCACGAGAACACGGTCTAGTAAAGTGCGACTCAGAGACCCTGTCTAAAAATCATGAAGAAAAAGGAAGGACATTAAGAAACGACATTGGAAAGAAGGAAGGTGGAAGGGCGACACGGCCGACTCTAACTGAGTCTCTGACCTCGACCAGAACCCCCCATCCGCTTGCCCGATTTAACGCTGATTTCCTTCAACTTTTCACGCCCACGTGCAGCGCGAAGTGAGACTCGGGTTAGGGTTACTCACCTCCTTGTGATGGACCCGCGTCTCCGAGGGTATGGAAAGATTCACCCAATGAGCTCTTAGAGCTCTGGGTTATAGCCACTGGGGTCGTCGCCCTGGACATACCCTCGGCTTTAAATTCGACCATGCTCGAATAGAGTCGGGGAAACGGTTCAGGCCGTCGTTACACAGCTCCGGAGGATCTCGCAAATCTCCAGGTGGGGTGTTCGTAAATCTATGTGATCAAGGAGTGAGTCAGTACACATGGCGTTTGACGGGTAAGAAAAATGACTCGCCTTGAGAGTGATTTCTCGAGGGTTTGGCGCTTTCGATATCCACATCGCAGTGACTTGTATACCTCCAACGAACTGGATGGGAACTATGACGTCATGAGCTAGCCTCGAGAGCTGTCCCGCTCATCCTCAAAAACGGGGGTCTTGTCTGGTCCGGAGGAGCACTGTGGAGTGGAAAACGGGAGTTACATGCAAGAGATGCCAGGAAGAATACATACGTCAAGATTGTACCGTCACGGAAGGAGGCTGTTCCACCGCTGCCCAAGAGCGTCACCAGCAAGCAACTAGAAACCGACGTGGTCTATTATAAGGCAGGTCATCGGTAGCAAAGCAATCCAAGCCATAGGCGGACCTGCAATTCAGTGTCGGAGAACGCCCTGGCTCCTGATATTGCATTCCAGCAAATTTGTGAGGGTGACGAGGAGAGGGGAAACAGACTTCTGATTCCTGAAGCTCGACACACCTCGAGTCGTTCTGCTTCGGACGTACCTTGGTCTGGATTATCGCGCCCATCACTGACTGGCGTTCTCCAAAGCAATGGAGAGCTGGGCTTCGACAGCGATTGGATCGTATTCGTCGAATGTTATAAGCGGTATGTCAAAGTAAACTATGAGCGGCAACTTGCAAGAAGAATGAGATCTGAGTTAAATCGAGCATTATGTTTATAAAGAAGGCGGGGGCCTGACGTGGTGCGCAGTGAGAATACAATCGAACGTACCAGAATATTAGCGAGCTTGTTAGAATTATATGCAGTATTGCGAAGATCCTTCGGCTTAGCTGGTTTTGGTAACAAGCACCCGACGACTGGCAAGTTCTCGAAGATTGGAACACCCGAAAACATGGCGAGGAATGGCAGTGGTGGGATGGGTGGCCTCCTTCATGGCAGTCAAGTTGGAAGAATGTAAATATCTGCTTGGCGTACTTGTCAAAAAATGGCCTCGAGAACTGTTCACGCCTGGCCAGCGTCGTTTCCCGGAGGGCATCGTCCCACGGTCCTGACTGTAACGATCCATGCAATTGGTTGGGATGCTTGCCCACGCCACTCGGTGCTTGTTCAAAAAGAATATTTACCGTCATTGGGACCTAGGTTTCTTGCGCCTTTCAGCAGGGTAAAGGGGGAGCGTCTGTAACTGGACTATGCAACAACTTCAAACTCAGTCCAGAACCCAAGGGCCAGCGCGGCTCGAGTCCCTCTTGTTTTTGTAACTCCGCGGATGTCTGAGCCCGCGGATAACTGCTGCCGGCGCTGCCGTTCCATATGTCTGCTGGAATCGAAGGGCCCATAACCAGCCCCTACGGGTGTGAGGGCTGAGCGCTGAATATTGGACTGTCTCTTGTTTAGCCAGCCCTTTGAAAAGTCCCGTACAAGTCAACGCAATCTTACCGATGACTGGTCTACAGGTATGCACTTCCACCTTTAATGTTCCTTTCCTCATCCCCTACTACTTCGGAATTACCTTTGAATCGAGTAATTGGCTTTCCTAAAAGAGGGTGATTCCTTCGCAAACCACTGAGCGTTGTTCCGTGATTAGGCAGACAGGATGCATTGATGCACCCAGGTTACTCCATGTATCAAAACTGCTCAAGGTTACTAACCAGGGCTCCGGTCCTTCGGGGTGGAGTATCTGAAATTTGTTAGATTGGCATATGCCCCACAATGAGAAATTGTATCTTTAGACTTCAGGGTAGTGATCCTGTAATGCGCCCAGATCCTGACTGCGCAGTGGAGTCTGCTTGAAATTACACAAACATCTAAACACGGTCGCTCCACTTGCCTCTGTACCCTACCCAGGGGGATAATCCAGTCATGCGCACAGGTCAGTTGCCAGAGAGGAAGGGTCCTTGTTTTACATCCAACATTTCACAGGAAGTCTAGCGACGTAAGTCCCAAGTTCCCTGAGTAGGCGTAGGATCCCTTGACGTCAGTCACCATGTTGCGCAGTGACGCGACGAATAGGTCACAGTTGTACGGATATAGTTAAAGTTCAAACTTCTCAATGGTACGAACCTGCTCCGCTCCAGCCGTGATACGCGAAACACTTCCCCGCTCCAGCCGCTTGGGTTCAACCTGTACTCGTCCAGCGCTGATCGTCTTGTATTCGCCATAAGTATTAGGCATCGAGGACGAGATGGTGATGAAAAATAAGATGCAAAGATGCTTTGAAATGGAAGGCCACCGGAGCCCGTATGAATATGAAAACATGCAAGAGCAGAGTGAATTTTGGTGAGAAGATCGAAGGTGGTATCGAGGGCACAAAAAGTGAGGGTATATGTAAAGATATGCAATATCATGGCTATGCAAGGTCGAAATGGTGATGCAGATTATTCGAGATGTCCGTTCTCTTCTTGGAGATAGAATCGAGAGCCAATGCTCGACATCCAGAGGCTAAGCAAACCTCAACCAACATGTCCTCTTTGAGGAGATCTTCGACAAAGCGCAGCCGCCGGAGAACATCCATCTCCGGGATGGAGCAGGGACGGCTGCAGGCTACAGACCACCGCATTTTCCATGCTGCGCAACACTGCCTATGCAGCTTGCACTGCGGCGCCTGTTCGAAAGGAGGTGGGGATATTCGAAGATGTTTCCAGTAAGCAGAAAGGGAATGGTAGCCAGCGAGGAGGTGGGTCCTATGTTTCCGGGTAAGAATGGAGGAGGGGTCTGAAATGAAGTTGCTCTCCGTTAAACGGACGCCGAGTTCGACCATGTGGGTGTAGTATGCGTGGCTGAGGAGACTGCGAAAGTCACATCGGTCTGCCAAGATGATAGCAGGAACGGGAGAGAGCTCGTGCCATAGGATACGGGTGATCCACTTGACTTGTACGGCAGATGATACTTCGGGAAGTCGGTAGAGAGAGGCCAGTCGAAGGGCACGAAAAAAGATATCGTTCGAAGCGGTGCGCAGTGGAGAGTTTGCCGCTGGGATGAACAGAGAAGACATGGCTTTCTGTGACCATGTTTTCAGATGAGTAAGGCCAAAGTTGAAAGCCCATTCTGCGATGGAGAGGACTTGCTCCAGCGACAAGGAATTAAGGTCAATAGCTGGACTAACCAAATCATTTAGTCACTCCCTTACCGCACGACGAAAAGAACTGCCAAACTTACTATACTGTAGAAGCGTATAATAGATGTCGAAACTGAGTAATGGTGGGGCCACGCAAATAGATAGGTTTATCTCGAGATGCTCCTACTCCAGGTGGTTGGATAATGCTCTGACGCGGAAGTGATGGCATATGGTCGAAAAATGCTTCTGGAACCTGGATGCTGTTAATTCAGCACGCGAAAAACATGGACATCTAATACACTCCGTACGCACTTCCAACAAACCCCCCTGTACATAAACAAAATAGCTTCTCTGGTCGTGGCATCGTAGCGGAGTTGGTAACTGATTCATCCCCCTCTTGGCGGATGGCTTTCGATGCGACTTGAGAGTCTTCTCTTGTGTGAGTATCGCCTCCGAGGTCAAGCAATTGAGTGTGGCAGAGCGAACGATGCATTTGACACGGAGGGATACGCCTGTGTCCTTTCTACAGACGATGCCCATGGCAGTCTTGGGTGGTGAGGGAGCCACGCTTGGGTGAATTCCGGGGCCGTGTTAAACGAGTCAGTCGCAGGACTCTAGGTCCGAGTATACAGAGTCATCAAGACAATGGAGCCGACAGGAAGGGCAGACAGGGGGAGGCAGGCGCGATACAACGGTCTGTATCGTCGTGAGGGGTTAGAGGAGACTCGGAAGGGGGGCGGTCATCCTCTAGGGCAACGTCACACACAACCCCAATCGCTTTAAAGGTCTTGTTAATTGTGGGCGAGAAAGCAATGTCCGCCGGATTCAGGCGCCACAGATAGATCGTGGGTCTAAACCCTGGCCAAGCACAAGTCATTCGGTGAATCGGCGTCGCTCAGTATGGAAGTCTGAGCGCAGGCCAGACAATAACGAGGCTCCGAGTCCCAGGGAACGACGTAGGGTTATGTTTACGTTCACTTATAAAACATCCTTCCTATGCCGTCCAGAAGGAAAAGAACCTATATCATTGCCCTATATCGGAAAGAATAGAGAGCGAGAACAAAAAGGGCCTCAAATCACATATACCAGAGTTCCGGTCCATGCAACAAGGCCCAACAATAAGTCCCCTAAGCTTGCGAAAGCGATAACCATCGTGTAATCAGAGCCCTAATTGACGACGAGCTGTGATTTACCAGAACCGAATTGGAGGGATACATGCCTTGTCCTTGGGCCGGGGGTGGGACGACAAGTCAGAAGGACAAGATCGGAGTTGGTGCATAATTATAGCATCCCCCGATTGGGAAATTGCACGTGCCTCGAAAAACTCTAACCCTCTCGTCCATCTTCCTTGCCAAAAAGTCCAGTAATCGGACGCAAAAAATGGCAAGTACTTTTCAGAATTTGTTGTAGTTGAGGTGTAATCTGACCTTGGAACAGAGGCCAATTCTTTTGCAAGGTATGTCCTAGCGATCTAGCGACAGAAACCGAGATTTTGAACGAAATGTCAGGACATGAACGATCCCTAACACAGATCAAGTTCAACCTCGAGGGAGACCTCTTGTTCACCTGCTCGAAGGACAGTGTTATCAACGTATGGTACTCTCACAACGGTGAACGACTAGGAACGTACGATGGACATAACGGAACAGTTTGGACGGTGGATGTGGACCGTGAGTGTTATCGTTTATCCTTGGCCTTCGTCAGTTGTATTGAAGGGCCCTCGATTTCACCCAGCATCGACACAATATATGATTTCCGGATCTGCCGATAACGCTATGAAGCTATGGGAAGTTTCGACCGGCAAATGCTTGTACACCTGGGAGTTCCCGACGGCAGTGAAGCGCGTAGCTTTCAACGAGGACGGGACCCAGGTGGTTTGCATCACAGAACAACGAATGGGATACCAATGCGCCATCCGAGTCTTCAGAATCAACAAAGATGACCCCAAGAACCGTATGTCGTTTCTTGAACGCGAGGGCGTCGAGTCAATACCCAATCTACGTCTATTTTCCAGAATCGAAGGAGCCATTGTACATGTTCAACCCTATCGGCTCAAAGGCAACCGTCTGCGCCTTCACCCTCACCCCTAACATCATCATCACTGGCCACGAGTCAGGAAAGGTCGCCCTTTTCGACGTCAAGTCTGGAGAAGAGATCAATAACAACGAGCGCGCTCATGGTGATGTGATCACCGATTTGCAGCTTAGCAAGGACCGAACATACTGCATCACCAGCAGCAAGGATAAATCCGCCCGTGTAACTTTCATTTCGTCTGTTCATGCTAGGGACCATCTTAACATCAATTTCAGATACATGATACCAAAAACCTGATGGTCATCAAAACCTTTACGACGGAAACGCCTCTAAACAGTGCCGCGATCGCCCCTAATCGCCCTTATGTGCGCTCAGCCACCTTTTCATCTTGCTTGGTTAGCTGACTCTGCAATCAACAGGTTCTCCTCGGTGGTGGACAGGAAGCTATGAACGTCACGACAACATCCTTGCGACAAGGAAAGTTCGAAACTCGGTTTTGGCACAAGGTGTTCGAGGAGGAGATTGGCCGAGTGAAGGGTCACTTCGGTCCTATCAACACGTACGCGTCTTGTACATTGGGGTCATTTTATCTGCTCACCATTGACCGGTTTCCAGCATTGCCATCCACCCCGCCGGCACTGGATACGCATCTGGGGGAGAGGACGGTTTCGTGCGGGTGCACCACTTCGACGAGTCATACTTCAAGGCCAAACCATACGGAGACCTGGAAATAATTGATTAGGACAGTATTATATCCCGTGTACAATAGTCCTTTGTACCTTTTATCTCTTTTTTTGGCATCCTCTCATTCCCCTCCGTCCCGATTTGGCTGCCATGGTTGTCTTGAGCGCAGTTTCACCTTTCTGCGGTATTCTCCCCTCTCCCCCTCCTTCGTTGGATGACGGGTGCCACAGCGCGAGGCTCGACCCACTGACAGTTATGTAATAGGCGTCATTCGAATGGCTGCACTTCGCGCCAGAACCAGTTTGAAGGCAAGTCCAACCCCACTGCTGGTCGCAGCACGCCTCAAAATGCTACGACTTGGCGTCAAGAATCTTGCCGTCTTCCTCGCCCTGTGCCAACCCCCTCACTCCATTGGCGCAATTGACGAAAGCTTGAACGTAGCTTCCCGGCGGATCCACCAGAGGAGCCTGCAATCTAAAACCATGTCCCGAAATACGGCTTCTACAGCCCCCTCAAACGCGGGGGGTCGCTGCTAACGGCGAGTCTCACTTTGGCTTCCTTGACCTCTGTGGCCCTCATCGTTCTGGTATTGTGTACAGGTCATCCCCGTAACATACCCCATGGGACAGGGAGAACCGATAAACGCAGTGATATCTGGTCATTCCGATCCCAAGGTACTGGATAGCAGTTGACAGCAGGCTGAGGAACTATTTTCTGTTCGTTGTCCGTTAAACAAAGTGGAAGGCGAGTTGTGATCTTCCTGTCACAGGTCCTTCGGATTTTTGGGAGAATGCCTAGGGCAGCATGTAGGGACTCATCAAGCAGCGGATCTGGGGGATGGGAACGGGTTCAATACGTCCTTGCTTTCCTTCCAAGTGCGTATGTGTTGAACATGACAGAGAACGAGACCGGCGTAATGCGATGGGACTATCACGACCCGGTGTTGGGCGCTTGTAGGGAGACCATAGGAGGCGGGAATCATCTCAGATATTGGGTTCAAGACGGCCACCTCGGCAACAGGTGAATCTTATCCTGTAGTATCCTCGCTCCAGGCTTTCTGGATCAAGCTGCCAGTGGTGCGGCTTTTATGGCCATCTCATACGAGAAAGCATACCGAGGTGCGCTCGACTTGCTTTAGCCCCGATGTCGCACAAAACAAAACTCGTCTAGAGTAACACGACATCATCTTGAATGGCTACAACTTAGGACGGTGCGAGGAATCCAATAGTAACATCTTCCGCCCACCGACGCCCCGCCAGTGACTGGTTGGTAGGAAGCATTACCGACTTTCCAGTTTCCAGCCAGTCTCACGAACGGATCGACATTCAATGGTATCTCGGCCTGGGCTGGCTTCACGTACAGCACGGACATTTCGTATATCGCCGGATTTCTACCAATCACGAGCGACGGAATCAACCACAATTGGACGGTTGTAGACGAGGGTATCAATGACTGCGATGATCTTCTTGCCGTGTTGAATGTGCGGATAACTCACGAACCAGATCCGATGGACGTTGTTTCATACTTTGGCAAGAGGCCCATTGAGTGGTTGTACAGATCCGCAAGCTTTTCACTGGGATACCATAGGCAAAAGTTGTCGTTTGCTAGTAGTTTTCTTGTTCTTGGCTACATCATGTAGTGGTAGAGATTAGAAGAATAGGGGGGTTTCCTGATTGGGTAGAGATCTTTGTTGTCGTCAACGTTCGAGTCAGTCAGCTTTGTTCTACGCGCCGACGCATGACTACACTCTGGACAGCTTTCCACCCGCCGCAATGACAAAGGGATTCCGCCATGTGTGATTGGATATAAAAAGGAAGCGGCTAATTATTTTGCAGCGTGCCATCTTACGCCCACAATCTCCAGAACGCGCCTATTTGTCGAATCACAGAGCCGCCGCAACCGTGACCTCAGCTGTCAAAAGTCGCCAAGTTTAGCGAGCGTCGACCAACGCTCCAACGAGTAACATTATGCCGAACCTCCCTGACCGCAGAAAGGAAGATTTTCGACCGTCGTACATGGATCGCTCGATGAGAGACTTGGATTGGGACGAGCGGGGGCGGGGTTCACGCAAGAGGCAGCGTATGGACGACGACTATTACGACAACACCTCCGAGGGCAACCCTCTGGACGGTGAATGCGACGGGCACAATGTGAAGGACAAGGAATTTTACTCCGGGCCTCAAGAGGCCAATGAGTCTGTCTTTTGCTTCAAGGGCGTTCTGTTCAAAGTATGTCGGGCTCTTGTCATTGGCCGTGTGCCAGCTCTCAACGTCCAATTGTCCAGCTCAGCGATTCTGCGCTTAAACGATGTCCAAGCCTCATGACACTCTTACTAAACGAAGACGGCCAGTTACAGCGTACTACAGACGACGAGCCATTATGCATGCACAGCAGGGCGCACCTCCAATGTACCCGCGCGAGTTTCAGGGCTCTAGTATGGGCACTTCATACCCCGTAAAGTTGCGCTTAGTTCCGTTCTTCAGCTTTATCTGATGCCCTACAATTTAGAGAGGAACGGCTGAGAGATCCCCAACCCTATGCAGACACCGACAGAATTCTAACGCTCGCCCCAATATGCACCGTCTTCGGTCTCGACATCCTTCACAACTGGGTTCTCGGAATCATCAAAAACATAGTCGCCGACGACGTCCTCATGGACTCCTGCGCCTCCGCCACCCTCCAGAAACTCATCCAAGTCGCATCCCGCCTAAACCTCGCCGACGTCCTCTCCACCGCTGCTAGCAAGTGGTACAATCGCATTCTCACCAAGAAGGAGGGCTCCATTGTCGCTCTTCAAACCGCTGAGAAGTACAACCTGGACGACCTGCGAGGTATCGCCTACTACGTCCACCTGCAAGATATGCTGGATCGTCAAACGGCATCCAAGGATGGGATAGCCACGGAACTCAAGGCTGATGACAAGTTGAGCTCTGCCCAGGTGATGCGTCTATTGTCTGGGTACTGGTCCCTTGTCAGCTTCTGGGAACGCTTCAGAATGGCGCCGTTGGAACTACCTCGAGCCCCGGATTGCTCAGAAGCGGGTCACAAGAAATGCTCAACGACATGGGTCAGAAGATGGAACTCCGCAATTGGATGGAGGCGCATTTTGTCCTACAACTCAGCTGATGCCTTGAATCTCATCAGCTGCTTGAGGGACCAACTCAGTAATGACGATGACTTGAAACTCAACGTCAACCCTTCGTGCAGGCTGGCGGGTTTAACTGCTTTGAAGACCAAGGGCGAGGATGTCAAGAAGAACTTGAGATCCCACTTCGTTGCATGTAGATGACACTTTGGAAATGTACATACGAATGCCAGGTGGTTCCATTTCAATTCCTTTTCTGACCCTGTATTCCTTGCGTACAACATTATAACCTATCTCACATCGTATCGCTCCCACCATGCACATAGGGCTTGACCGCTCCCAAGTACCCAGTAAATCATAAATCCTTCATATATTTAGCCGTAAATACGTGACATCGTAAGAATGAACTGCCGAGACGTTAACATGAATCAAGAGGCGTAGGTAACAAAGTATTTTAAAGCAAGAAAGAGCAAGGGAGAAAGGAGTCGAGCGTAACCGTAACAAAGTCGTCGGAGAACCGAGGATTCGTGAAAGGGTAGGAAGATAGACGTGACCGGCGTGAAGGATAAAAAAAGGGTAAGCATAGGGGAAAGTGGGCGGCGTTGAGATAGGAAAGCACAATAACGACTAATACGAACTTTGTGTACGAAAGCAATTCGAGAGCGGAATAAGATAGCAATGTAGCGATTGATAGCAAAAGAAATCCGCAGCGAGCAGATTGCGGTTGTTAATGTGGGTATGAAATGTTGGATGATGAAGGTCGAGAAAGTATGCAAGGTTGAAGCAGAACGAACGTAACAGCTATGCGCATGAAGAGTGCGACCGAAAGCTGGAAGTTATTCAAGTGGGAGTGAAACAGAGATCAGTTGGCGTAACTGGGCCGGTCGGTTGGGTCAGTAGACTTTGGACGTTCGCTTGGAGACAACGGCCTTTCCAGGAACCATGGCCTTGAATGCACGACGAACCATTGCTACGGTTCCGCCTCCTTCGTCTTTCGAGCCGACCGAATGCAAAGGTGTGGTACCAGCCTCACCCTCCACATTCGTCATCATCCCCAGCTCGTCCACCGACACGGCCTTGTTCTCCATCTTCTCAATGATGTCTTCGCTGGACACTGGCGGAGGCATCGGTTTGCGCGTCGACGAGAAGGGTCGGAAGCTTTCACGTTTGTTAGTGGAGGGGCCGAGCGTGTTGGAGGTTGGCCCAAAGCTCTCGGATTGGTACCCCTTCCCGCATCGTTTCACCCCGGAGGTCATGAGGAAGCGATCGTACACGTTCTCCATCTTGAGTCGATTGGGGGTGTCCATGTAAGAGACGTCTTTGCTCGGGCGGTTGCGCGATGGGTAGGCCTCAACGTGGCAAGGAGACCCGGTAAGGTCGTCATATGATGGCTCACGAGCGAAGACGAAGCTCGAGTTGTCAAGAAGGTTGTCCTGGGAGACAAAGGGTGAAGGGACAAAGAGGCTGCGATCGACGTCGGATAGTTTAATGAGAGTTTCTGAACCTAATGATAGGGCGCAATCAGCACTGTCCTGAACATGGCCCAAGGACAAGTTACGTACTCTTCTTGTGGTCAGGGTCAAGGCCGAGGGGTGTGATACCCAGCTTGGTCAGGGTCGACTGGCTCTGGTTTCGCTTCGCAGCAACGTAGGCAGCAATGTTCAAGTTGGAGGTCGAGGCTGAATAGTCCACATTGTCAGCGAACTTGGCAGATATGAGTGGCTCAGGGGAGCGAGTGGACACAGTCGCCCTTCTCTTTTGCTTCGAGGGTGTCACAATTTCTGGGATGACGAAATTGCTACTGGCAGCGGAGACCAGGGGAGAACCTGAAGCATGAGGATGTACGGAAATCTCCTGGCTTGGACCGGAAGACCCGCTAATGCGTCGAGGAGTGCCGGGGCCGGTATAGGCAGACGGAGGTGGCGGTGGACAATGCTGGGTCGAGGACGTCATACTTGCTTTGTTGGAAGTGAAGCTGGAGTCGGCGGTGGATGGCTGTCCGTTCTCGTCGAAGATCTGGCTTGCAGCAAGGACACGACGGGGAAGGCGGCTGGACCTATTCTGTCGACTCTGGGACCTTGGCAAAGGAACAGGAAGGGGCGGTAGAGAGAACTCTTGGGGCGCCATTGCTTCGAAGTTGGCCTGAGTCTCTTCAACTACTTCTATTGGTGCAATCTCTGATCAGATACTGTCCGTCAACACTAGACGGTAGCCTGAAACCTACCTTTGACATTCTTCATCCAAATTGCCATTCTGTCCATCTGGGTCTCAGCCGCAGCCTGTTCCATCATGGCAGCATTCTTGATAGGGCCTAGAGGCGTGATAGGAGAAACGACGGAGCCAATGTTGGGTGAAAGTGGTGTAGAAACTGTGTCAGAATCATCAGCGTCCAGATACACGCAGATAGTGCCATGCAGTCAGCAGGGAAGACCGAGATACTTACCTTCCTCCCTGTGCTTTGAAGTGCGAGGCTCATCTCTTGACTCACGGCGAATCTTCGCCCCTGCTTTCTCCACTTCTCGTACAATGTCAAACGAGAACCCTCGTCCTGGTGTAGCTGATGTAGATCCTCCGCCTGTTTTCGATCCTGCAGCCCTTCCAATTGACGGGGCTTTGCAGAACTGGACCGTTTTATCTATACGAAAGTGAGCCACCAGGTAAAGCTGATCATCATATGCCACACACCGATGGAGGCCTTGATGCTGTGTTTGAAAATGTTCTGCCTGGATTGCTTGGCAGGTTGAGGCGCTGGAGGTGATTGAATAACAGTGTTATTTGGGGTCGGGGCAGGGAAAGTGTTCAACACTGGAAAGACACCGTCAATAAAGTCGCCTGTGTTTGTGGTAAAGGACAACTCACTTCGGCTGAGCGGCGACATAACAGGGGGCAGCGGTAGAGTGGGTGGACTGGCATGCGATTTCTGCTTCTGACCTGGCTTCGAAGCACCCATGTTCTCCTTCTCGCCTTCGGCGTCCGCGCTTGCTTTCTTGGACCTCTTGTGGGTGACGGGAGGAGCAGCTAGTGTGTCCTCTTTGTTCTCCTCCTCCTTTTTCTCCCTCTTTTCCTTCCGCCTTGCCTTTTCCCTTTCGAAATGTTCGTCTCGCTCTCTTTCAAGCTCTTCCAATCTTTCCATTTCCCTTAGCCTCTGCTTCTCTCGTTCCCACTCCAGTACTCTATCCTTGACATTATTCGAGCCGTTGGCCCTCAGGCTACCTGACAGCGAGCGATCTCCGTCCTTCAAATTAATGTTGCTGGTCTTGTTGGACAGTGCCAAGTTACTCCTGCTTCGTGTGCTGTCGAACAGTCCGGAGCGTCGTCGACTCGTCATCTCGTCTAGTGTCTTGATAGGAATGCGCGTTGACAATGGAGGCGGCGGCATGATAGTGTTGTTATCAGGAGCGATGATGGCACCAAATGCCCTCCTGGATGATGCAGTACCATGCTTGTTCTCTTTGTGACCCGCCACTGATCTATTGCGATTAGCAGCTGCCGCCATGTTCTCTTTAGCAGAAGCAGACGCATAGGGCGAGGCAGGTGGTGAAGCCTTAATTGGCGAGAGGTCGATGACAGGTGGCGCCGGCCTCCTGCGAGGTTGGACTGAAACTAGTGTCAATACAAAGAGTTGACAGATCAGATGTTAGACATACTGTTGGAAGCGGTGACTTTGGGTTGAGACTTGGACTTGACGAGAGAGTGACGACGGGTGGATGAATCGAGGTCTTGTGGAAGCGCTAGACCAGGAGGGGAGACAGGGTTCTCACTCGCATCCACGGTTCGCCTACTGCGAGGAGGGGTCATGTTGAGCAGCTTATCGAGGTCTTTCTCGAACACAATAGATGAGATTTCACTCGCAGAGCGGCCTAAAAAATGGTTCTTGAGCCGACCTATTCACTGGGACAAGATTGGCACTCACGATGGGTGTTTTTGGACTCCTCTCGTCCAGGAGACCAATACCGGTCTGCGAGGGCATGAGCAGCCGTACATCTCAAGTCGGCATTGGGGCATATCATGCGGCGAAGCAGTTTTTCCATGCCGGGACTTACATCCCATGTGCCTACCCATTTACCCCGAAGCTAAAAGGCGTTAGATACTATGCCAGAAAAGTGGACCAGTAATATACTCACAGTCCTCGCCCAGTAGCGCTCAACGGCCTCTTTGGTAGATAGCGATTCGCCGTCAAATTCTTCAAACGGCGTGCGACCATTCAGAATTTCGAAGAACGTGACGCCTAGAGACCACACGTCTGACTTGCGCGTGTCGTGGGTGAGGCCTCTTGCTCGCTCAGGCGAGAGGTACTGCAGTGACTGGGTGAGCCTGTGTGTTGGTGTAGCAGGAAGATCATGCGCTACCTCGGGAGTTCCATAGGCGAGATTGGAATGGAACGAGGTCTCATCCTCTGGGTCATTCTTTTCTGCGAACCCAAAGTCGACAAGGACAGGGATGTTCTTGTGCGAAAGGAGGATGTTGGCCGGTCTGTTAGCAAGTTATCAAGTATGCATCAGTAATCGATAGGTAAAGTATTCGACGGAGTACAAGGAGACCATAACAAGAACCACTTTACGTACTTGATATCGTTGTGGACCACACCGCGTCGATGTAGGAAGTCAACCGCGGAGAGGAGGAAGCGGAACCATTCCCGTGCCTTAACCTCCTGGACTTCAACAGGCATGGGCGTTGGGAGATATGTCCTAAGAGGGAGGTCAGGTCTTGTTTTGAGGAAGATACCGGATGTCAACTCGCTTACATGGTAATCATGGCGTATTTGACGCTCACTACAAAAGAATGAAATGCAATAATAGAAGGATGCTGGTCTGCTCTGAACGACCGCACAATCTTCATCTCGTTCCATCTTAAAAAGATGTTAAGGTAAGAAAGGGAAAAAAACACTTGTTTGACATTTGACGCACAAGGACTTGATACGTGAAGCATTGGCTGGGGACTTTTGGTCTCTGTGCACGAGCTTGACTGCAAACTTGCGCCCACCAACTTTGAAAGCTGGATGATGGCATTGCGGTCGTGAACGTTTGGGCCTGACCAGCCAAACGCTTCCCCAATTCCCGTTGCCGATCTGTGAGAGCGTTGAGTCATCATTTGGGCCATCGTATGTTGCATTCCGGTCGCACCTCTTCCACAAAGTCCAGCTCTGCAGAGACGGTGTCATCGTCTATCGAGAACACGTCGTTCGGTTCTTGTTCGAGAGGACTCGTTGGGGAATTTGTGCGTGAGGACGAAGACGAGTCCATCGTTTCGTTCGGTCGTTTTTCAGGTTGTAGGCTGCGCTGGGTCGTTAGAAAGGGCGTTCGACAGGGAGCTTATCCGACTGGACGACGAGCAGGGGGTACAGTGTCGAAGAACCAGCAAGCAACGACGACGACCGCGTTGTTTGAGCCCAAGTTGAACTTGAACTTGCTCGGCGACATTCAACCGGACCCTTTGATCCCAACACCCCCTCCCAACCCGGCAAACATGTCACAACAACGCGTGTCACCGCGCTCGTGGGAAGTCCATCCTTGCGATAATCTCTTTATTAATCCCCTATCTAACCTCTTGTAACGGGTTAACGCCAGATATTCATTCCTTCGAGCTGGTATTCTCTCCCTAGTTTCGAGGGGAAACGGCTGGATATGCCTCCGCTTATTGCCAAGAGGCGAGGCAGGGAACGGTCACATGGGTCAATCAACGTGTTGGCCGATCGCGTCTGATGATCACAGACCTGTCAAGTTAGCATGTACATACCTGCAATCGAATATGATACTTAAGGGAAACCAGGCTTAGCACTACATAAGTCCTCCATTGTTGCACGATTGACTACGATTGAGTAGAACGCAAGGACCCGGCTAGGGGGGGGGGGGGGGCAGGGATGTACCAAATAAAAACCTCCGGCGAATCACCGGCCGAAATCAACATATTCCCCAACATCGTTGGGCGCTTGTCGATGGCTCCCTTGTTGTTCCTCCAAAGTGTTAGGTGGACATCGCGCGGTATAATGTAGCTCAGTATTCTATGGTGTCACTCTGCTGACCCGTTTAAGTTGGTAGTTGGTGTTTGAATCCTCTCTAGAAAGTGACTTTGAACGGGTTGCACGCTACTATGGTTAGCATGTAAGAGAAAGGAATTGGTTAGACTAACCACTCGAGGGCGGAGTATCGTTCGAGCATGTACCCAGAGGACATTTTTGGAAGACAAATGTCAGGTATTGGTGCCATCGTGGTATCGTCAGGCTCGTATCAGAATAAATTTGCACGGAAAGTTGAACCTGGCGCGGAACGCTGGTATTGAATGAAAAACCCTCGACACACTAACAGAAAGGACTTATGTAAGGAAGGCTGGATAGAGCTGGCCCAGCGGACAGTGACGTCATCGCAGAGGGGCCAAGGCGGCCTGTGCGATTTGAGCCCATGGGCCCGAGGATTACATTGCTCCCCATGGCCAGAATTGCTGCCTTCACGGGAGATGCCAAGGCCGCTTTGCGTCAGAAGTTCGTCGATAAAATAGTACATACACGAGTATTGGCTTGCGCATCTGCTCTACAGTTCCCTTCTTCTCCTTTACACCCTGCAATTGTCAAGGTTGAACACCATGATGTCCTCTGCACCTATCTTTCCAAGATCGTCCATCACCTGCGCCGACTTCTTCTTTTCCACCATGACGCTGATCGCCACCCAGTTGTCCTTCTCCAATGGACTGACTGTGGGCGCCTTTCTCCCTGGTGTGACCGCGGTGGCTCCTTCCAGTTTATCCCTGGAAATGTTGTAGTGCATCACTACGTATCTGCCAGCGGCAATGACACCGGCAATACGTTTGGTGAGCATTTCGATTGCGGGTGCGAATTCGGGCTTCTTCTGAGTCCTGGACTGGATGAGCACAGCTTCTGTCTCCAGAACAGTTCCGATTGCGTGGAGACCTGCTGCACGCATCGTCTCTCCAGATTCTGCAATTGTCGGTTAGACGGAAGCTGGATTTTATGATCGCACTAGAGTGGGCGTACCGACAAGGTCAACTGAAGATTACGGGATCAGAGCTGTACTGATGCAGAAGGACTGGTGCTACACTTACCGACGCCATCGGCCAAGCCGAGGGAGCAAGCTGCCTCTACACTTCCTCCAACGTACTCGATCTGTGTGCCTTTACCTTCTTGCAGGCCCAGTTCCTTGTCGATGTTGGCGAAATACCGGCCAGCGAGCGTTTTGAAGCTAGTAACCACTCGTTTCCCAGCGAGATCGGACGGCGTTTTGTATGATGAGGTTTCGGGGACTTGGACTTGAAGTGAGCATCTGCCAAAGCCAAGTCGTAGAACCTCTGTTACGAAGGGCTCCATCTCGGATTCAAGAACAACGTCGTGCCCAGTAATTCCGAGATCGACATTACCCTTTCCAACAAAGGAGGGGATGTCAGCTGCTGGAAGGAAGACACTGCAAAAGTGCTGTAAGCCCAGTCCACTTAAAAGGTAGTCATTGAGACAAACAGGGCGATTGGGTGATTGAGAACCAGAGCGACATCTAATCGATTGTGTCTGCGGAATTGGACATCGGCGCCTAAGAGAGTCGAGTCAGATAAGTCCGGTTCTTGCAAATCAACTTTACTCGCCGGAAAGGAGATTGAGACACTTGTCGTGAAGCCTCCCTGCACTTCATCAATATCTTGCTCTAAGAGCCGTCGAAATACTGGAAGCACCTTTCTTCGGTATGGCGAAAAGCAGACGTCCCTCTAGCGAATCGGCACCTGGAATCTGATTAGCTCAACCAGTCAAATTGGAGTTTGATTTATACGTACTAAGCATGGTTTCGCGACTATAATGTCCTAAAGATTCTGAAGCCTTGTCACTCCAAGCGAATTGAGTCAGGGGAAATCGCGGGGGAAGGGAGTCGTTCACAAAAAGTTTAAGGACCCTACGGACCGGCCGACCTCGCCGATGAAGTGATGGGTGGCTGTGTCCCTCGCGAAACCTGGCGGCCAATCGAGTTTGACGTTTCTTGCAGGTTTCTTAAATACCGAGGACCAGGACGAACGTTCAACTAGAGTCCAGAGCTCAGTCGGTCGAAGAACCATGGTTACTGGTGCGACTGTGCTCATTAGAGTGGCTTTAGCATATTTAAGGTGCCGTGATCCTGCAGTCTGTTAAATGCACCACACTAACCATTGGGCCTATGCTTCTGGGAATAGAGAGGACACATGCCAGCCTTGAAGAGATCGTTAAGCGCCTAATGCCACCACAGCGTGACACGAATGGCTTACCTCCTGCCAGAAATGAATTGCTACCTGCCAGCACCCCGTACATGGACACTGGATCCTCGATGTGTGCAAAGCCGAGGACAGGACGATGGGCTATTACTCTCCAAACCACTCCGCTGTGATTCTAGAAACGATATGCTCACCGTTTCCTGACTTCTCGGCTGATACTACATACTTCCCGACGTTCTCGTGCCTCGTAACTGCACATTTTGGCCTCTTCTATTTGCGGAGCATAGGCGCTTATCCGTGCTTATAAACCAGAGCCAAATGACCTGTTCGTGGGTCCACATTCCCTCCTTCGTGCAGTGTGTGAAACGACTCTTTCCCCACGATGGCTGCTGTGCAGGACAGATCTCCCTGGCGCAACTCTACTTTCGTCCTGCCCCCATCCTACTCATACGGCGGAAGTATGTCGCGATCTGTTCGAGGAAGGCCCAATCCCAACTGGAGCCCGCGAAAGATACCTGAACCAGGTGTCCTCGAGGCTCTTCCTCCGGATCGCGAGATATCTGAAGGGCTCAAGGACGATGTGATTGCCAAGATCGAGGTTCCTCAGGTTGAAGCAGACGACGAGAACGTATCCGTCAAGGATTGCCAGTATATCGGTTCCTACAGTTGGACCGACCGAGAGACCCCGACTATCATCGTTCCAGGTACCTTTCCTCACCGTCGTAGGGTTCTATCTCAGCCGCCTCACCTTATCTCAAATAGGGGCACCACCTCAATGGCAGAATCGAAGCGCGCCTTACAATGTGCAACCGGATCGCGGTGTTTTCTTTGTGGATCAAAACGGATATCGTATGGGCGCAGCACCTCTGGTCCCCCTCATCGCCGCGGTGAACGCGCGTGCCGAAGCCACCCCTCAGCTTGAATTCGATTGGTATGAAGTGGATTTCGTCACCGACCGGAACGCCTTGAGGAAACTTGTCCGTTGGGTCAAGGACCAGAATCCCAAGGATTTCCGCATTGATTTGGAACTGGCCGGGGAGAGGACTGTTCTTATGAATCGCTGGGAGAAGCGCACGCGTGAACATTTCAACGGGCGGACCTTTGGATTCAACTTTGAGAAGGCATCGACATTGCCTGTACCCGATTGTCGCGAGGGAACTGGCCACCATAGGATTGTATCTTATGTATGTACCACGTTAAAAGTGAACTAATTTAAGCTGACTGGTTCTTAGGACCTGAATGGCCTGAAGATGGTCGTTCGCTTTGAAGTGGATGCCTGCATCCCTCCACCACGAAGCTACTCTCGACGTAGCGTTGCTACTGTCGACGAGATTACTGCTTCCCTGGCTAATGTCGACCTCTCCAAGCGACCGACTCCGGCTTGCGAGAAACGCTTTCAAGTCAATGTCATCAAGGGCGGCTACGAAGTCTCTCCGTCCGCCATCATGGAACTATCGACTCGCTCCGAGTACAAGCAACATGAATACGACTTCAAGGAACTCTACCCCCAACTTTTCTTTTCTCAAACTACCCATCACGTTCTCGCTGTCCATAACCGAGGGCGATTTTCGGCTATCCATAGACGCAAATTATCATCCCCCGAGCTTCAGCAAGTGGACATTGAACTTCAACCCAGTCTCAAAGCCGTACGGAAGGCATTGAAAGTGATCCAGGACCTCGTCATCGAGCATGGACAACGGGGAAGGCTGAGCCTTGTTTGCAAGGATGGCGTCCTCAGGGTCTACGAGCGTACTAGCGTGGAGAGTTGCCTTCCCGATCACTTAATGGAACTCTTCGAGAATCCAGGTCTTTAGAACACCATCCAGCTCCTTTACACCGCTCCGGGATGATCTGTCCTGATCCCTTGGGCGTGTCCTGGTCTTCGATTGTCCTGTTTTGATCGCGCTCACGATTGTTCGTTTATGTCGCCTACAAGTACTTCGATAAATTCCTCTTCAGTACCGTGATGACAGCGCACTGTTTTCTATATGAATTTAGCCTTGTTCTGGGATCCCCAATTCAGCAGTCCTTTGGCTCTCTACATACAGTGCACTTCCGACAACGGAATCATTTTGTGGCCCGCCGTGTGACCCGGTCCGGGATAGACCCGGCAAATAAGGATCTGCGGACTCAAACAAGCGCCCACATCCCGTCTTTTGCCCCAATTAAGGGAGAAAACGGGAAACAACTCGTTTGCTCGCTGATCTTCGTGCATGGGGTACGCAGGGAGCGTCATGAGGAAAGACGCTCAAGGGCTGGACCCCAGGCTAGAAGTGAAACAAGCAGGTGAATTTCGCTGGTAGGTGTCGTTGAACAAAATCTAGAGTTTCGGGCTTAGCTCGGAAGTACCTCGAGAAGCTCGTGCTGGGAGTTGGGGAGGGTGATTCGAGCAGCCTGGGGGTACAAGCTCTTGCCATCAAGCATAAGAGATGTAGGACTTGCGGTGCGGCGTGAGCTAGTCACTGACTCTAGGGAGAGGGGGCTTCAGAGAGCTCCGATCGCATAATTGGTGATAGAATCTGGGCCAGACAGCGAAAGAATATAAGAGACACTCTTCTACGTTAGGTTTCTTAGCCAAGGTCATACTGAACACTGGGTTTTAAGGTCACCCGGCGGGAGCCTGGAGAGAGAACGAGTCGCCTGGGGAGAAAGGTCAACTCGTCGGAGGGCAGGTAGTCTTCAACTCGACAACACGCGCTCTCCCGTGCGCGGGTTGGGGTATACCCCGTGGGGCTCAATATTTAATCCCCATTAAAGCAAATCATTAAGGAATGTCACACTTCGGCTCCCGCAAGAATCGTTTAATCGCTCTTCTTCTTCGCATCGACGAAGGGTCCATTCACGGGGTCATCTGAGAGCGCCATTAAGCATATGACTCGCAGGGTGTTCGATTAAAAGAACCATGGCTCTGTAAGGTTTAGTTTTGCGTTCAATCAAAGGAGACCGGTATTTAGTCGGTGCGTTCTGTGGGTACGAAGCTGGAAAATTGGTCTCGAAACTGCATCCTCGAATAGGCTCTGGGGCTTCTATTTCCTGGCCACCTCTCCCGTCATGTATATAACTCGGAAATATTACCGAGTTAATATTTTTGTGTTTCTTCATTTGCTCTGAAACTCACTATAAGGAAATGACATCGAGATCGCGTTTCCTTATTCTCTAAATCGGGATTAGATGGACAACGCGCGGTGTCGTCGCATTCACGGGCTCTGGTGGCCCTGACAATGGGAGAAAGCTCACTGATCATCTGAGAGACGAGAAGCTTCCGACAGGTAGTCGTGTGGAGGCTTAACCTAAATCTCAGTCAATACGACGCTCTTTCTAAGGCATTAGCTTCGTTGTTTGCTGGCTCGCTAAAAGGTCTAGATTCCGCGGGGACCAGTGCAATCTGAAATTGGTTGGAGGGTCGAGGGTTGACCTTTAATCGATTAATATGCATGCTACGGCTGCACCTGACCAGAACATGAGGCATGACTTAAACTTAGCACCCAGCTGCTGTGATAATGACCGTGAGCGACCTTCGGAAATACGTTCATTGAGCGCTCAGATTGACTCGGAAGATGGTCTTCACGCCACGGAGGCCGGTCGTGTCGCGCTTCTAGACGTCTCTGTGCACTCGCTTAGTTACTTCATCGAGGGGCGACTAACTGCTGCGTCTCAGCTTAAAGTCATGTCGTGCACATGAAAAATAAGCACCATGTTATATGGCCGGGAGTGCTACGGTCGAGGTATCAACTCAGACGCAGGAGAGAAAAGAGCGCGATGGCAGTCTCGGGAAAACCGCGGAACGACGGTTGACACATAACACAAAGCGTTGCCAGAAGTCCTAAGAGCCAGCTGTTACGTTTGGGTGCACCGTCGTTGGAAATGTCGCAGAAACCTCGCTAAATCGAAGTCCAGGTCGTAGGAATGATAATAGGTGAAAGGAGACAATTGGCGGTATCGAGAGCGCTGGCGCTGAGGCCTGCTTTGGGGACCGACCTACCGACATACTTGGGAGCACTTTCAAAGAAAGATAGCCATCCAGCATGGCGGCATATTTCTGGTAAAGGGTGCTGCCGGGTTACATAGAGATAGAGAAGAGGGCAGGAAGCGGGCAGTTCAATGTTTTTTCTGTCTAGTTACGATACACTAAAATGAAGTTCCAACGTTGAGGATCCTTCAACGAACACCTCACTGTAGGTAATAAGAACGCCTGTATGTCATAGTCATAAGGTCTGCACCGTTTTTAGAGCTATCCAGTCGAAGTCTAGTGGGAGTTGTTTGCCCATCAAGACGGATGCCGACCTCGAGTACTCTCGCGAAGTATCATTAGCCCAACTCGGAGATTCGGTAGTATAACGAAGTCACTCGAATAGGAGGGGACTGCTGGGGAACATAGTTGACACGGGATAAATCATAGAGCCGCTGATAGGATCGAAGATACAAAGGAAGAGGACATACTAGCCTCTCGTGAATGTTTCCTGCCATCTAAGCAAGTGGGTTCTTAGTCTAGACGTCAGACGGTAGCAGATGCTCCCTCGGCAATGGCCTGCTGTACGAGGTACCCTTCTGGATGAAGAAAGCCGAGGGAGGATAGCCTTGACTCGCTCCCGTGCTGCACAGTGGGCCCTTCCACATGACGTGCCATCAGACAGGAACAGTTCCCTTGTCGGCGCTGGGATGCTGGAATTTGGGCCAGATTTAAATTACTATGAATGAGAGATGCATGGTCAGCGGACCTCCGTGCGCAAAGAAAAGGTAAGTTAATGCTGCGGAAACTTGGAGGACGCTCATATGACGCGGGCTCCCTGTGGGCAGGGAGGAAGTGGACGAAACAGGGATCGGCTACAAACTCGACGATGATCACATCCCTTCAAACCCGAGTTCTATGGGAAAGATTTGGCCTCTGGCATGGGTAGTTCACACAAGAATTGAACCAATTCGGACGAACATGTTAGATATAGACGGGATCGGAAACAAGGTATTGATTGCATGGTAAATACACACTAAAGTGGTGGTCGAACTGGTAAGAGGACTGGAAGATGGACGTCGTCAGTACAAGAGCTCAAAGGCGATGTAAAAGAAGGTTCAGAAGGAAGGCAACGGAATAATCCACAGGGGGTTATGCGCTCTCGGATTTTTGTATAGTTTACATCCGTAATGATTTCATCGTTAAGTTGCAAGCGTGAACAAGAACTCACCTCGAAACCTAGAGGCCATGCGAGTTAATGTCGAGAGACAAGCAGTGAATCGAGCGTCGCTGAAAAGGAAACGTGAAGGAAGAGGGAGGACAAGGGCAATCTCGCGAAAATTTTGAAGGATCAGCCATCAATCCATCACATATGGATTCCCACCGGTCCTTGGCCCCTGTATCCGACGCTCAACAAGAGCGAGCTTCCCGGATCGTCACAAGTCGTTACTGTGTATTGTGCAAGGAAAGCAAACTCTAATATGCTAGCAAGAGGCTATTGTGATAGACTACGAGCAATAGATGCCACGTACAAAACGAACGTCAGCTGTTAGCCTACATAGTCCTAGTACAGAATCAGTCGTGCAGGAGTCGAATAACTTGGCGCAACCGATTGACTGCTACGATTCAGGACTAGGGGTGCAAGTACCCAGTAGGAACAGGTTGGAGAAAGATACGGCAACTAGTACTACGAGTGTCACAAGAAAGGATATAAGAAATAAAACAATAGGAAAGCTAGAACCTGCACAAATGGCCTGGTGGAGCGTATAACCAGGGCTGCAGCCATGGACGGCCGCAAGAGGGGGGAAAGGGTGAAACGTGCTGCGAAAAGGAGTGCGATGCAGAAAGAAATGCCTGAAATCAATCAATGATCCTTGTTCTGTAGATATCTGTGTCCCGAGCCAAGTCAACCGAAGTGTGCATGTGCCGTCGATAAGCTCATGCTCCCGAACCAGCTCAGGTGTCTATAGCAGCAATGATGAGAACGCCAGCGCCACCATGCCTGCTGCTGCTACTAGTCCCTCTGTTCGCAGTGTTCGGGCAGATGGAGCGGAAGAGCGTTTCTGGAACGTGTGGTCCAAAGATCGCTTTTCCTTGCTGTCGACTCGGACCCAAGTATCATTACGCAATGACCGTGTGGGGTGCATGTTGGGTGTCTCTGAGCGGAGGAATTGTGGTGCAACAGGTCGGCCGTCATGTTCGAAGAGGTGTAGCTTGTAGCCCTGGACTGGGTCTTGGAATATTCTCCAGCCGCGGAAGTACTCGGTGACGTTGTAAGTTTCGATGAAATTCGAGATGGCCGCGCAAGGATCTTGGATTTGTTGGAAGCCATCGCCGAAGGGAACCATTGTTATTGACCCATTGCTGTTCAGGGTGTATGTGCCGTGGACCCATCCAATGACACCCGTGATACATGTCGGCTCAGAACCTGAAGTAGAGGTCAGAAGGCATGTTTACCAATGGGCAAACCCACTGACCATTGCTGAGGAAACGGTAGCGCGCAATCTCGTAGAATCCGTCAGCGGTGCTGAAGATCCCATTTAATACGAGTTATTTGCCAATAAGCAGAAGTCAAACGTACAAGGAGAATGAGACACCGGTATTCCTGGGATAGAAGAAGGTGAGTTTTGCAGGGTCGACGAATTCCTAGAAGGGGCTCAGCAAACGTCATTGTCACATGGAAACTGGTGGAACCTACAGGACCAGTTGTAACTGCTCCGCTCTGTGAACTCCAGGTTCCCACAATTGAAGTTGCATTGTGTTCTGCGTCGTATACAATGTCTCCTCCATCGTCCTGAGCGTTCACGAATTGGGCCAGTGCTGCTAGCACCACGGTAAGGAGTGGTTTGAAAATCATGATGTCTTCTTGTTGTATGAACCCCTTTAGTTGGCGAGTTGCAGGAGGTTGTGAATTAGACTAATGAGTTCAGTAAATCGTGAAGAGAGGCGGTTGAAGAGGGAAAATGAAGAAATCGAGGGAAGAGCGGCGACGGCGACGGTGCTTGAATGAGGAGAAGTTGTTGAGAATCAGAGAGCGGTGCTTTTGTTTGTGCTTTGTTTGCGCTGTTCTTGGGCCAAGCCTGGCAAGCCACCCAGCGAGAGCTATCCAACCGCGTCTAGCGGCTTGTCCACAGTACAGAACCAAGGAAAATCGCTGAAAGGAGAGGTGAAGAGACTAAAACGCCTCGTAAAACAAACTAGAAACAGAAAGTACCAGGCCTCGTTCCTCAGGGCGACACTGGGTCCTTAACGACGGAGGAGATTATGTAACTCCTTAGGCTTGGGACTCCACTCTATCATGATGGGCGGGTGTAATTTGCGTATGATACAAGGTCGACTATGACAAGCTGCGAGAGTAGCAGTACAATCGTTCATAATGTCCAAAGAAACCGTTGGACGATAGAATAAATAGCGTGATCTAGAATACGTCGAAGTTGCTGATTCAATGATGGGCGATGACGAGAGGGACCAACGGGCAGGCGCTCCAGCGAAGTCGCGATACTTTGGATTCCGGTGGCGTGCGAGGAGGGGTAGAGTATCAAGAGAGTTCCGGGAAAGAAGATCGGATATATTGTGAAGTGAGAGCCGACAAACTTTAATCCTTCTTTAGGTCCCTCCTGATAACAAACACCCGCTCCCCATCGTTTGTTGCAGTCACTTCTTGGACACCCCGAACGTTCTGTAAGCTCTGGAGAGCGGAGCTGTTTTGCGATAGCACGACATACATCTCCAGACCATCACCGACCTATAGGGGGGATGTGAGTGAATAACACAGCATGGAATAAATGTGGTGGAGGTAAAAGGGCGAAGGCGAGGGAGCCGGACGATTACAAGGACAAGATCAAACAGCACAAACGAAGAATGAGATAATGTCGGGATGATAGACTGACCTCGATGTGACGTTCTGTGGCGCCAGTGAAAGAGTCGATCACAAGGGCCAGTACCGTCTGAAGGGGTAGGTGTTGAGGGAAACTCGTTCCAGGTGCGGGCGTCTGGTTCTTGAAGTATATCTGCGTGACCAATGAATCAGTAAACTAGTTGGCTACAGGGAAGGGCGTGACGAATGGAGCACGGGACTAAGTCGGTGAAGGGTCGGATCCCGCCTGTCGGGGCGCAACCAGGTTCGTTTCAGACTTTTCACGCGTCACTTGGTTGGGAATGGAATAAAGTAAAGCAGAAACAGAGTCTGACCTGGTTGTCCAGGAACGGTTGTACAAGTGATTGCGCTGCTCCAGCAGCCCGACATGTTTCGCGTTCATATGACCCTACAGGATCGAATGAATATACAGCGCCCGTACCTAGAAGTCACAATAGAAATATCAACAGTTAGCTCAAATGATAAAGGATCCTTGACATGTGGGACCTGGCCAAGGAAAAGACGCAAGAATAATAGCGTAAAAACGTACCGTCTTCCTCGATTCCCCCAAGGATATTGTAAACGTAGTATGGGAAGAAGCGGCGGGCGTAAAGCATGGTCTGTATCAGACGAGCAATTGAACGGATCGGCATGTCTTTCGCATGAGCATGCCTGTACCACTACGAAAAACATGTTTTCCCGTCAACGACCAACCAGAAAGTGAAGAAAATAATGCTCACTTCGAGGCGTTGTTTAACTTTCTTGACAAACATGTTGCCGTCTGCTGCAAAGCCATTCACAGCAAGGACAGCTTTGTCGGTTCTGATTACGACGCGACGAGTTAGAGTCGGCGTCCATCGATCTGAAGAGATCATGCACGCACAGTTTGAACACTTTGGGAGCATATCGCGTCTGGATGTTGTAGCCCTCGCTCTGGCGAGTGTCTCCAGCGATTACGGTGAAATCAGCACCAGCCACCGCGAGAATTGTTCCTCCGTTTTCAGTGTAGGGGTTGAAGGCCCGTTGGTGGGGCTGCTGTGCTGCTAAGGAGACCATGTTGGGAGACCTGGTAATGGCCAATGTAAGGACGGAGGAGGAGGAAAGGGTTGACCAAAAGAATCCGAAATACAGACCTTTGAGTGTATATATAACAGAAGAGAACCGCACTCAACGATTAAGAGGCCGCGTAATGACACCCCCGATGGCGCGTCTACCGTGTGGGAAGATCTGCCCAAAGGAGCTAGCTCCTATATTTCTTCCAGAACCCAATCCTCCTCGTCTTTTACTCCGAACTTCACCCCCAAATTGGTATCCCGAAGACGCAAGAAATCTGCGAACCACATTTTATGTTATCTTGGCTGCTCCATTGAGCAACTCGATCTGCTTCTCGTCCAGATGGCTCTTTTTCTCGCCTCAAAGAACCGTCACGAAGATCCAACCCCCGGGTGCTTTGCATACACTCCTCCCAACCACATGCTTATCGCTGAACTGGTCTCTGGGAACGTCTCTCTGCTATGTCTCTGTCGCTGATAGCGAAGTGAACTCCGTACTCTCTGTAGTTCTACCTCCCTGCGCGCCACCAGCATTCTCCGACATCTCTCCGAGCCTGACACCAGGTAGTGCTCTCTTGGACGCAGATTGCGGTCTCCAGCGTCGTAGATTTCCTCTGGGTTGACGTTGAAATGTACTCAAAAAGCGGCGGAGCAAACTCCACCATGCTTCGATATCGTCGGGCTGGTGTCGTTTGGGCTTGTGACGCTATTTCTCCTCGAAATGTCCTGTATGCTTCTCCGTAACGTGCTCGTGACCCGTTGGCCTTCATGATTCCTCCTGTGGTACCGGCGACCGGTGTAGAGGAGCCGGCTTAAACACGATAAGGCGAGATACGACAACGAATTGGCGTTCATAGGCACCGTGCACGCGTAGATATGTGCGTATGTATGCCTTCGTCCTTCTGGTATGTACTGACCGAACCCAAGTGGCTGGATCGCGATCCATGAAACAGACGTGCCGAAGTTTGATTCTTCCAGTGATGTATGACCACGCTCCGATAGCGGAACGGTACGTTCTTCAGCCTCACTTTGAGCGTCAACTGGCACTGCGCAGTGCGCACCTGAACAAGGAAGAGCTTCGTTACCGTTCGGAAAACCCTTCACCTTGTCGTTTGTCCTTTGACAAACAGGATTTGTGTGGCCTCCCCTGCAGTGGTAAACCGTCGCCGACTTGAGTGTCCATTTACGTCTCACCGTCATCGCCGCGGTCGACATCTATTGGTCCCTGATAGAACGACCAGTGGTTAATCTCAGATATTGTCGTATCTTATTCCACGCGCTTTTGTCCCTGGAAGTGGCCTATTTTCCTCCGGTAAAGCGTGCCCTCTTTTTGGAGTGTCACCTCGAGACAATTACCACCGACTGCCTCTTTTTGCATGTAACAGAGCTCTTAACGGAACGAGAAGTTTGCACACAGCCATTTCCGCCCTTGGAGAAGAAATGAAGAACGCTTCTAGCGAGGGAACTCCGTGATGGAAGAATGAGGCAATATAACCTGGGGCAGAGAGGCCTGTTGGCATCGGTTTGAAAGCTCTCAGCAGCTATTATACACCACTTCGCTTCACACCGATCATCCATTATCTACAACGAGCCGGTGGCACTCGATACCATGAACCCTAGAATTCGATATACGCACACCTTCCAGGTTAGTTATCACCTTGTGCCAAGGCTTCTCTCCTGGCATATGTACCGTTCGCCCGGTCATATCGGCTTACCTTTTCGAAGCCAACATGGACTCTGGAAGGTCGGCCCAAAATGCCTATCTAATCTCCAGGCAGACAGGGTGCTGAAGCGATCTTTGTTCGACGACGGTTCTTATCGCCAAAACTATCATTCTGACGTGCGGTATTTTCAGCTGTTATAAGGCATATCAACGGGTCCTTAATGTTGACGCAACGTGGAGGGTTTTGTTGGGGCCTTGGAACACGCAGCGACCTCGGTAGCGGTCCTTTGTCGGCCTCGATGCGCCGCTTGGTGCTTGAAGGCCTGTAACTGGTCTGTTTTCTCTCAGTCTACGAAGCTTACGCTCTTTACACTGGCTTTCGTGTCCTCGGACGTGCCGGTGTTACCCACTCCCCGTCCTCCCCGTAAGTATAAACTTTCAATCGAGAGTGGCTAAAACACGTTTGTTCTCCGATCAAAGATTCAGGCGAGGCGGAGGATACTCACTGCGAAGTCGGCAAAGGATGTGAAGGTACCGAGGTTTTCAGTACGCAGTTTCTTGTCGAGAATGATTTGCATGGACATTGCCGAAGGTCTAGGGATGGTCAAATGTGTCGAAAGCAGTCAAAATATGCCTCTTGTCCTCTCTCGGGAGTGTCGAATCCCCTGAGGAACGGACGGAGATATCGCATCAGGGTGTTGTGGACTGTAAATCACCGACATTCCGCCTTGATGTTTGACAAACCTTGCCGTCATACTATACTCTCTTATACTCTATACTCGGGTATCTGTTTAAAGTTTTAAAGGATTTTAAAGGGCAGGCCACCTCTTCATACTAAGCCGAGAAGAGGCGAAGGTGGAGCCTGCAGCTATGGTGGAACGAGATTTCTGATCGTATCCTGTTTTTAGGTGCCTAACAAGCGCCTACATGTATTGATGGGAACAAGCAACATCTTCGAAGTTAGAGGGCCCCCGAGAACGGACAAGGAAGAGGACATATTCTGGCGGCCAGATCGAAGGGCTCAACTAGTCATCTGCCTTCGAAGTATATGCCGTACGATAACGAACTTCGGTGGGCCCTGAGAGGCGCTCACCCTGCTCCCCGTGCCTATCGACCCTTGTATTCCTGATGATCTGGGGTGCATTCTCGATTCGAGGGATGTGACGGATTGAGGGTCGAAGGCGTTCCCTTTTCACACTTGAGGATGGATGAGATACCAGTTGATCAGCACAGTGACACTCGCAAGGACAGCTTCTTATCGACCACATGCTCAACTACTGACAGCACTTATGACGGATCGATCTGGAAGACTTGCATTGGGAGACACGTCGATGCCTTTGTCGAAAATACCATCTTTAGAAGTAAGCAACTTACTGAATTGATCACAGGGCTCAAAACCTCTTCAACTGATTAAACTGGTAGAAGTTTCATTGAAGCCTTCGTTCCGTTGCAGCCTGCTTCCGACGTCGACTTAAGGTTCCTCAAAGCCGAAAATCCAACTCCAGTCATTCTTCTAGAAGTAATCTAGAACCTCCAGAACCAGAGTACGAGCAAGTATGCAGGCCCATGCTCAGCGAAAAAAGCCGTAATGGCCATCTTCGAATTGCCAAAATAAACCATTACACAACATGACCCTCAGGGTTAGGCGTCTGTCTGCAGACGCATTGAACACTTAAAGGGGCCTCTGTCAAGTTTCCTGGTCAGAAGAGTCATAGTGTGGGCACCCGATATGCATAGGACACCTTTTAAATCTATATTTCCATCCATTACAACTATTTGCAGTATCTCAGCACTTTTGGCCGTCGCACTCGTCGCAGAGTCCGACTCGTTTCTTCCAGTTTGAAACTCAGCACAAATCGGTGATCCGGCTTCGCCGTTCGGCGGTGGGGACCGAGATGATCCGGTCAATTTCGGCCAATATCGTTGCGCCATCGCTGGTGACGGTGACGAGCAGTCTTCGAGCGCCGATGTTGAGGCGAGTTGAGGATTGACGCGGACTTGCTTCGCCTCGAACTCGAACTCGACCATGAATCATATTTCCAACCTCGAAGCAGAACGGACGGACTGGTAGACCTGGAAATTACGGCCACAAGACCAACAATCATCAAGGCACAGGCTTCTCAGGGCCAATTATATTCTGCACGATGCACGAAGGTTTTGAACACCATCGCCGTGAGCCACAGTCAACGATCCGTTGTGACACTGACAGGGTCTGACGTTGACCGTCGTGTTCGCTTCAGCGTCGGCCTCTCTGAGCCGAAACTTCCAAACGGACGCCTCGATGCCTACCCTCATACATTCCCTTGTCGAACAGAAGAGCTCCGTCTTGAGTTTGGCAGCGACCAACAGATATATTTTCTCTGGTAGTCAGAACGAGGACATTCTGGTCAGTTTGTCGCTTGGAATCGTTCGATCCTCTGCTGAACAGTGCGCAAGGTGTGGAATAAAGGCACGTTCACCTTGAAGAAGACGCTGCACGGACACACAGGAAGCGTACTGGCCTTGGAATATGCAAAGGATAAAGAATGGCTTTTTAGTTCCTCAGGTGGGTTCTGTGCATATGTGGTCATAAAGCAGCGGGTTGAATGTGAACAGGGGATTCGACTGTCAGAGTGCGCGAGGCAAGATCCCTTCTTGTTGATGTTAACTCAACGATTTCTAGGTCTGGTCAACAAAGACTCTGGAGCCACTATACGTGATCACGCCTTACCAAGACCACAGCGCTGGCGACCTGTACTCTATTGCCTGGCTACCCTCGATCCAAACCATCTACGTCGGGTGCCAGAACACCTCTCTACAATGGCTGGAAATCAACAATCTAATTACGCGGTCGGACTGCAATCCGTCCCATGACTCTGGGACTTCCGTGTCGTCTGGAACCTCCACGCCCTCAAGGTCCAGCAGCCAGCGGCAGGCGCACAAGTTTTTCGACAGTTATCCCATATACGAACGGAAGCCAGCAGACGTGTTCGCCCGCAACAGTCGGATTGGCGGACGTGGCAGTCCTGATTCTGATTTGTCGATCTCCATCTCAAGATTACACTTGGAGATTCCTTCCAAAAACGTGATCGACTCCGCCCATTACGGGTACATTTATTGCATGACGATTTTGAAACCTGGAGAGGAAGACAAAGAACCCAGACTGGCTACAGGGAGCGGTGACGAAAGCGTCAAGGTGATACACTCTGTCCCCTTCCAGATGTTCTTGTTCCCTGACTGTTGCAATCTAGATATGGAAATGTCAGGCAAATCGTCCAACACTCGAGCACCAGTTCCAGTTTAGCCACGGTGCAGTTCTGGCGATAGTGGCGAATGGCGATACCATTTTCGCTGGTTGCCAAGATGGCTATGTTAAAGTATTAGACCTTGAGACTAAGACGCTCATCCGGACTATCATCGTCAACGAGGTGATCACAGATTCTTTCAAAAGCTTAAAACCAGTGGCTAACTGGATCCAACGCGGCTTCATCTAGGGTGTTGATATCCTTTCAATGTCTATGTTAAATTCCGATCTGTTCACATGCTCAGCGGATGGCCGCATAAAGGTTCGACTGTATATCACCCTCGTTGACAATAATGCCCACTCACCGGACGCCGATTTTTAGCGATGGTCTGCCTCGTTCGACTGTATCGCGTCATGGCAAGCCCATAAGAAAATAATCCTTTCGTCGATCGTGACAGGTCGGGGCAACGCATTTGAGCTTATTACGGGAGGTAACGACTCCCAAATCAAGGTAGACACCACGCCCTTTTGTCGAATGATCGTTCAAGGGATACACATTGTGTAGGTTTGGGAAGCGGTCCCCTCCAGCAGATCAATATCGCAAGAAATCCAGAGTTCGCCGTGCATAGGAGCACACGCCGCAGATATCATGACATATGCCCTCTCGAAGTTTGTAGCGATTCCAAGCATCAGTTCGATATCTTCGCACCAGGAAGACTGCCGGCAAGCAGCAATCTGGCTCCGCAAGTGCCTTGCTCAATTGGGTGCTACAACCTCGTTGGTAAGCCCTTTTCACAGACACCCAGATCCGTATTGACTCCTTATTGCAGCTCCCGACCGGCGAAGGTATCAATCCGCTTGTACTTGCGACGTTTACAGGGTCTGTAGGTGAACAACGTAAACCGAGGATACTTTTCTACGGGTTAATACTTTTTATTCGTGAATCTTGACACTCATCTCACGAAATACCACAGGCATTACGATGTAATTTCTGCACCCCCAGATGGTTGGGATTCGGATCCGTTTATTCTGACGGGGAAGAATGGGTATTTGTATGGCCGAGGCGCAACGGACAACAAAGGCCCGATTCTGGCCATTGCCTGTGCTGCTGCAGATCTCCTGTCTAACAGGGCACTCGGGGTCGATATCGTTTTCCTCATCGAAGGCGAAGAGGAATGTGGTAGTTTGGGCTTTCGGGATGCGGTGCGAAAACACAAGGTTCGGTTTGCCTCCAACAGTTGTCATCATTACTAACTTCGACCCGTAGGAGGCCATTGGTCACGTTGATGCAATTCTTGTCAGGTATGCGGGAGCCTCTACTTTCGGCTGTTGGCTTTGACCCATCGCTGCAGCAATTCCACCTGGATCACAGACGATCGACCTTGCATCACATATGGCCTTCGAGGTGTGATACACTGCGGTCTTGAGGTAACAACTTGTCAAACGTGCGTTGAATAGGCTGATCCCTTATTCGTTTAGATCTCCAGCAATTTTCCTGATCTCCATTCTGGTGTCGAGGGAGGTGGAGTCGTTGAGCCCATGGCGGACATGTATGTCAACGACGCCCTGAGTCAATTCAGGCCCGCCTGGTACTGACCGGTTGATAGGGTGAAACTGCTTTCCACTCTCACTAATGACAAGAATCGGGTTCAAATACCAGGATTTTGTAAGCTAGATGATCGTTCCCGCACCCTGTGTCTTACCTCTGCTTTCCAGACGACAGCGTGCGACCAGAGTCTGAAGACGAGAAGAGAAACTTTGAGCTGCTCTCCAAGATAACCCACAAATCTTCGACGACACTTGAATCTCGATGGCGTGAACCGTCCCTGACGATTCACACTATTGAAGTGTCTGGTCCAAAACGTCGGTATAGCGCTTCTGTTCTCGGCCAGTCCGTATCTAACGCACCATACAGACGCCACTGTTATTCCTGGTTCTGTGAAGGCGCAGATTTCATTGAGGATAGTCCCAGATCAAGATCTAGACAGAACATCCAAATCCCTCATCGATTACCTGAAGAAGGTTTACCACGGCTTCCGAAGTCCCAACAAACTGGAGGTACGTTCAGATCCTCTATTGTTCTTTCGAACGCTCAGCCATGGTATGTGGGCACCTGGCTGATCTTTCCTCGTGTTCATTAGATAAGTGTCAATCATACGGCGGACTGGTGGCTTGGGAGGCTGGATGACCCGTGGTTCAAGGCTTTGGAGAGCGCCGTCAGGGAAACATGGGGAGAAGAACCGTTAAGAATTCGTGAAGGCGGTGTATGTACCCGTTTCAATTGCATATCTGCCTGATTCTGTGCTAATCCCCTTTCATACAGTCTATCCCTTCTGTACCTTACTTGGAGAAAGAGTTTGGATGTCATGCGCTTCACTTTCCAATGGGGCAGGCGTCGGTAAGTCTGCTTCGCTCCAACTCTTGATGTCGCGGGAACATGAGGCTGAATTTAACCCAGGACCAAGCCCATTTGCCAAACGAGCGCATTTCTCTGATAAACCTCCATAAAGGCCGTGATGTCGTACAGCGGTTCTTCAGGAAGGCTGCGGAGCCTGACTTCTTACGGTTTCTAAAACCAGTCACCGATGCCGATTCGTGATCATATCCCATTCACGCCCTGCAGCTATGTTATTGCTTCGTACGCACGTCAGTGGATACTGTGGCTAGTTTCGTGTCCCACAGTGTGTACGCTTCACGTAACTTTAATAATTTATCTGAAGGTGGTTCATACTGTCAGTGGAAATAAACCTATCGGGGGTATTGTAGCTTCTTCTCCTAAGACAACCACCAGTCGTCAGGTGTGGTCCCCAATCCACCCTCCGTGCACCGATAAGCTATCTGGCTCGTATCCTATCTTCAAGTTGCAAAAGCGGCCCTAAATCTGATAATTGCGATGGTTCTGTGACGTGAAGACACCGGAAAGCTCAATCCCCGCGAGGTAGCCTCTTTATTCAGCCTCTGGTATTCCAGTCCAATAATACTTCGGGATCGACTTCTTCGCGTCAAGATTAGTGACGGATGTCGACGTCAGTGAATGAATTGGGCTACCCGCCATGGATTTGGTCTTGAGGGCCAGACTTGAGCCGACCTGACCATTGGTACCGGTTAGGCCTTTAGGGGGCTTGATCTTGAGCGGAGCAAGTGACTCTATCACAAAGCAGGGAACCTTACCATTGGCTGAAGGGCAATAGACAAACTAAACATGGATTGGTCGCTGTTATTCTGTAACCGTCCCCACCGGCTGCAATACCGATTATCCTCCCAAACGGAGCCGGACCACTCAGGCCTGTGAAATTAGGCACAGGCTACAGCAAGCTAAAGGCTAGCCTGTAGCAGCATCTGCCCATTCTTTACCCTCGACCACCACCATCCGAGAAGTTATGGCTCCCACAGAGAACGCAACGACAGCCACGACAGCCACTCCCGGTGCCCCTACGGGCTTGCAGAAAGCGGTCCGATGGCACCCTCCGTCATATGACATCAGAGTCGAGGAAATCCCGATCCCCCAGTACGAGAAACATTGGAAATCTTATTCGTTTTTCTAGTGCTGAAGGTTCGATTTCCCTGTAGAATCGAGCACCCTGACGATGCGATTGTGAAGATCACAGTAAGTTTGGAAGTGTCTTTAGCCCCTATACGCGTCATTAATTGCTCGTCCTCCGCGATCACTTTCTAGTTGGCTGCTCTTTGCGGTAGGGGATGATCTACCTGGACCCTTCATGCTCCCCCCATTAACCCGGTTTCTTGGGAATAGGAAGCGACCTCCACATCTACCGCGGTCATGGTGGTGTCAGTGAAGTGTACGTTGCCACATCTACTGCGATACCCCCAACTCAAGTGTATCGTGTCTAGTCATACCTGTGGGCACGAATTCATCGGAGAGGTCGTTGCTCTTGGGTCTAGCTTTGGCAAGGATGTGAAAGGACGACCGGCACTGTACTCCAGCCTCAAAGTCGGAGACAGGATCGTATCCCCGTTCACTGTTAACTGTGGGGAGTGCAGGTAACCCTTTGTTCCACCGCTGCGTTAGATGCGCGTTCTCACAATCAACGCAGCGTTTGCCGGCTAGGATATACCGGAAGATGTCCAGAAGGCTTTCTATTCGGATCTCCCGCTCTAAATGGAGGGCAGGCACAATACATCCGCGTACCCAAAGCCGGGGGCACTCTATTCAACCTTAGCGATCCGTCGACCTGGTCATCAAGTATGAGCGCCGAGGAGAGAAAGAATGCCCTGGCCAATCTCTCTGACAGTTCCCTCTTGATGTTGGCCGACATTCTTCCAACGGGTGTCTTCGCTGCCCTGCAGGCTATAAATCATCCCAAAGTGCAACCGGTATTGACTGGGAAGCCGTGGCCTCTGTGCTTCACGGGAGCTGGTGACGGGGTTAGCATCCTTGAGGAAGACAGGGTATTCACGGCTGCAATCATTGGACTGGGGCCTGTCGGTGTCTGCGCGGCCATCAGCTTACTCGACACAGTTTCGACTGGAAAGATTCCATTCCGTATCATCGCCATCGACCCAAACGCTGCGAGGAGGGAGAAGATGAAAGTAGTGTATGACACCATTGACGCCAGCGGGAAGGCTGGCGGAGAGTTTTCTGTGCTGTCTATCGACGAAGCCAAGGCGAAGGCCAAGGAATGGACGAATGGTGTTGGATGCACCGCGGTTCTGGAGGTCAGTGCAGTGAAATATGTGACATCTGCAGGTTCGATAACATTGTGCTTAGGTTGTCGGAAATGTCAGCGCCTTGAATCTATCCTACGAACTGGTCAGCGCATTTGGGGTGATCGTCTCGGTTGGTGTCCATGGAGAGCCACCTCTCCCCTTCACAGGGCGGCAGGTGTACAACAAAAACGTCTCACTGGACTTTGGTCGATGTCCAGCCCGGGCTATGTTCCCTCCAGCCTTCGATCTATTAGGTTAGTCGCCTCCTGCAAGTTCAAAACAAGCCTCTCACTTTGGTTTCAGTGAAACGCCAGGACATTTTCGGTAGCATCGGTGAGCCCGCCAGCCTCATTGACAGCGTTGTAGACTTCGGTAAGGCTGCGGAGAGTTACAGTGCCTTCGACAAAGGAGAGGTTGGGAAGGTGATCTTCGATCCTTGGAAGTAGCGTCCAGGATGTGACCGATGATGGCTGGAGAATGCGAACCAAATCCCCGTGTATTGACGCATAATCCCAAGAGTATGATACAACAATGATTCAATACTACTCAAGCTTGTCAGAATAAGTTTTCAGCTGAATGGTGGGTTGCACTCACAACAGAATGTGATAGTCCGGGTTACACTGCCAGGTCTCTCTCCTGCAACTCTGACCAACTTGGTAACCCTATAACGGAAGGAAGGTGGTCCCAAAGTTCCAGCCGAAGCTGTTCTGCCTTCGAGACGAAGTCGGAACGGCACAGAGAGCATATACTTGCAGTGGACCGTGCCTCTCCAATGACTTGGCGTATGAAGTAAAGAGCACCTGTCTTTGGCTGCCATGAACGGTGTAGTCGACCGACAAGATGGGCGAACTGCCGACCGCAGACCTCAACCTCCCCGCATTTAGGATTTGACGTATATCGATGGCAAAATCCGCGAATGAAGTCCAGGACAGAAGTGATACGATATTGGTACATTAGGGTATAGTCACGGATATCGGCGGGGCTAAGTGTCGAGGCCGGTCGGGATGGGTGCTTCACAGCTAACTTTGGATGTTTGCCTTCCAAAAGCTCCTGTAATTGATAAACAGAAAGGAAGTAGTAGGCTGAAGGCTTCAGGATCTGTGTGTTGGTTTCGTGCGCCAAGTTGAGGACGTGCAGTGGGTGGACGTAGGGGTATGTTAGGTTGTTCACCACAGGGGCCGCGAGAGCCTTCTTCACCATTTCATCGTGACCTTCAAGAGTCGATGTCCAGGTCTTCAACAACAATTGGATGACCTGTGACCTGATGCGATTGGCGAAATATTTGGTTGAAAGGCGCAGAACCCCTGCAAGTTGAAAGAAGTCTGTAGGATCCGTCGGATCAGAGGTTCTATTTTGACCTGGCATCAGCGGGCTTCTAGCGCCTGGTTAGCGATACTCCACTCACACACCGTCATAAAGCGCCTTGATTAAGCTGGAAAGGTCGCTTGGGTTGTCGTACATTGGTACCGCTTGCGGAGTATCGCTCAAGGTACCATCTACTGTAGGTCCAGCGACCTCAAACATGTCTTCAAAAACATCTGAATGGCGAGCCTGACCAATTGGACCCAAGTTCCAGGGGAAAGGGGCCTTCACTCACAAGGACTCCGCGGTGCAGACGAAAGGCTGTTGGTTCTTCCACCGTTACTAGTATTACATTGCCATCATCAAAAGAAGGCTAACAGTTCAAAGATATTTAACCAGTGTTTAATTAGCGATGAAGAGATAGCTTACCTCTCCAATCGTTACTTCTCGACCAGCGATGAAGGTCGTTGACATGGAACTGGATGAAGAAGGGTTCTCCGGCGTTTTCGGGATCGCGTCGGCGTGTCGGCACGTGGCCATGATGGCGGTCCGATAGGCTCCGGAACCAATACCGTGTGGACTTCACTCAGACGAACACCATCGCTGAAGAGGATGGCACACACCCCAACCTCCAGAAAGTCTTCTTTCGCCGCTCCTTCTAGACTAACCCTTCCGCCAACTCTGAGACCGTCCCCGTCATTATCCAACTTTCGGGCACATAGCCATGGATCAAGCCCACCGCACGAGGCCCTCGCAGCAGCAACGAAGTCCAAGGAGTTGGCATTGGACAGTTCAGCGTCTTCGATGGTCAACATGGACATGGCAGAAGGTATCCTGATTCAGGAGACAGACAGCAGCGTCGACCCATTAGGTTCGGAAGACCACGTCTCAGTGTCCGCCCAACTCGATCAACCGATGAGCAATGCGGATTCCAAGCAGCTGCTTCGAGAACAACTGAAGAGATCTCTGAGTAATAGACCCCAGCAGCCAGGTTAGTGACTGAAAATTGCACGAGGTCAACTCCGACTAACTGTTATATGCAAAGAATCTTCCGAGGCTGCGCGACTGAGGGGAAAGCATGCGGCGATGAACGAGGTGGTTCTCAACGCCGGTAGGGCCATCTCTCTTTATTGGGAAATGTCGAATTCAGCGCAATATAGCTTCTCGGTACCGGCCTAGAGAATACTTTATTCTGACAGATGCTGGAAAGCCTGTCTTCGTGAGGTTGGTCATTCTCTGTTGACCTCTATTGCCGCGGTCTCAAAGCCCTTAGTCGGCCTGGAAATGAAGATCAGGACAATACTGCATCAGTTATCGGCGTGATGCAAGCCCTTATTTCTGTTTTCATCGACGACGGGGACAAGATCAGGTGCATAAACGCGGGCCCAACTCGAATAACTTTCCTTCAGCGGTCGCCACTCTATTATGTCTGCGTGTCATCTTGGGGAGAGCCTGAATCCACGGTAAGGAAGCTCTAGAAGTTCGCCCCACGTCTGAAGCTGATTTGAGTATGATACTCTGTGAAGGAAGACTAGAGCACATCTTGAATACCTCCACCTACAAATCCTGAGCATTGTCACCGCCTCGCAGCTCAAGCGAATATTTGAACGGAGAACAAACTTCGACCTCCGTCGCTTGTTAAATGGTATAAGTTTTCTAGCGTGTCGTTTCTTCCACAGCTAATCATAGCCACAGGAGCGGAGCCGTTCATGAACTCCATGTTAGAGCGCGTTGAAAGTGACTTGGCTATGACAATGTCATCTCTTGGTTCTCTGAAGCTAGATCCCGGACTTCGTAAGAAAATCGCAGAGACGATAATGCCGTCTTCAAAGATCAAGGCTAGTATTCCCTCCATCTGTTGCTTGGGACTGTGGACTCACAAGTACTGTATAGGACATTCTCTATATCATTGTTGTTGCGCAGGATCGGGTACTGACCCTGATCAGACCACGGAAGCACTCAATTCATCCTGCCGGTTAGTTAACGTTGTTGTTGATCTCCAATTGTAGTGTTTCAACTACCGCTTCAGACCTGCACATCATTCTCAACACTATTAACACACCGTCGGTCTATAACAACCCCGCTGCTTCGTCATGCATACCCTTTTGCCTTCCAAAGTTCAGGCCAAATGGGTTTGTGAACGCCTATGTATCATTTATCCGAACCGATGATTACCAGGGCCCGTCAAGACCAGTCTCTCCTTCCCCTAGCAGTGGATCTGAAGGCGACGAGGTTTCACATGAACCATCCAAACCCCCTGGTTTGAACGACTTTGGGGTAGCCTTGGTCTGCATCACAGCCAGTCAAGACTTTGAATCCGTCAGAACCTGGGGAGACAACGCCATCAAGGTGATCGCCCTTGCCGTACGTTCAAATTGTTCATGACGCTGACCTTCTCTCAGAAACTCGCGGTGGAAGGTACTCTTCGGTCGCTCTTACACTCGTTCAGGGCAGGACAGACGGAATACTCGGCCTCGGAGCTGGGAATACCAGGCCTACGCCACTTTGTATACAAGTCCAGAGCCCAGGTGCAGACTACTAGTCCAATATTCGAAGACCCATACGACAAGCAGTCAGACCGACGAAGACTTGTCACTCTGTATCAGCTTATACATGATGCAATTCATGCCCGCTCGGGACAGGAAGCACCCCTGAAACTCCAGTACGTGCGGACTGAACATGAATGTGTTATGGGCTGGGTAAGTCGATTGTTGATTGATTGACCACGTCTTTTCTAAGCTTCGATGTAGATCACCCAACCATTTGAGCTCTACGTTGCTGTCTCACCGATGTTGCCCAAGACAGCTGTTGTGGGAGCAGCGAATTCGGTCACACGATGGATAAAGAAAGAAGAGAGCAGATTATTCTTGCGTGATGCTCCTGTATTCTAGACTCGCAATTCCATTTGTTCTTTTTTTAATAGATACCCTTGCTGTGAATCGAACCCACGCCTTCGCGCGTCGTACAGATATGCTGGCGCGTCGCTGACTAATGCGATCAGTGATCACCAAATTCCTTCACCAGGGACTCGGAGGACGACGACAGCAGCGACGTCGGCTTCAACTTGTACTCGGAACGACACCAACCAACCATGTCTCTCTTCTCCTCATTCCTGTCGGGCGCCAGTGCCAGAATATGCCGGTCGACGCTCTCGTGTACACGATCCTTTGCAACAACTGTGACGAGTGCTGGCACCGAGCGCGTTGTGCCCCCACCTCGAGGTACCCCTTCCCACTTCCCTTCCTCCCAGTATCTCGTTTGAATACTATCCCTAGGACCAGGCAAGATTAGGACTCCTGAAGCCTTCCTGAAGGCCATTGGGCGCGAGGCGGATACCAAGCTATCAGCAGACGGTTGGCAACAGTTCTGGATGCTCTCAGGACAGGATATGCGTAAAGCTGGTCTTGCTGTCAGGGACCGAAGGTGGGCACTGCTTCCTGATCTTATATTGGCGCTGTACTAATCATGACATATCCAAGATACATCCTATGGTGCATGGAAAAGTACCGACAGGGAGTACCTATTGAAGAATTCGCTCATGAGGCAACTCCAAAGAAGACTATTCGAGGGTGCGTTTTTTTTTTTGGTTTAACCCTTGCTATTCGACTTTTACTCAGGTTGCCATGTAGATGGGGACCGAAGGTCCAGAATGGCGAGCGTATACGGTCGAAACGTATCAAGGACAAGACGAAGAAGTCGCGTCCCTAGATTTCTACCTGGTATCTTCCTCGATTAAGTATAGCGTGCTAATGACAAGTCTAATGTTTTCGCCCCCAAAGAGGAGCTATTAAGTTCTGTGGTATTGATAGAAAGGGCAGTGGTAAAATAAGGTATATGGTGAATGGGAAGATGCATGAAACCAGGCCTATACATATCCGTAAGTGAATCGTTTCCGGTTCGTGAACAACATTAGGTGGTAAAGCTAACAAGAAATGTGCCAGAAATCATACTTATGCGACGACGATAAATCTAAAAATACAGTTCGGTAGGAAGAACGAGCAGTGGGTGGCTATGATACAAACAAGGAAACAGCGAGGCCCTGAAGGCGTTGAGATAAAGACCACGAATGACCATGAAAAGAGACTGACTAGGAGATGGGAGTGGGGAAGCAGACAAGCAAGGAAAGCATTATGTGAAGTGTTCAAGGTCAAAAACGAAAGTGAAAGGGGTCCGTTATTTAGTTGTCACCGGCAGCGCAGGCCTTTCCATAGCAAATGCCACCCTTATTGTTGAGGTGCCTTTTCAACGCGTCGCGTCGGCTGAAGGTCATTCGGCAACCACCAATACGCTGTTTGCCGTTGAACATGTAAACCTCGCCGTCGCTGCTACAGCTGCGTCGAATCTGGTCCTGTTCCTTATGCGAATAGGTGAGGAATTCGCTGTACAACAAACCCTTGCACCACCAGCCTTTGGACTCGTCGCTGGGCGAAGCACGGATGTGAGCACTGAGGTGACGCTTGAAGTCGGGCATGCGCTTATTGCCTTGGGCGGTCCTGCAGACCGGGCAGAAAAAGTTCAAGTCCACAGCGGTGGGACTCTCGAGCGCTCTTCGGATCAGGTCCGCGATAGCACCGTCAGCCTGGGGGAAGCGCGAAGAGGACGCGATGCGAGGGCGCTTAGCGGGAGGTTGACCGTTGGACTTTTTAGTCTTTCGAGCTGGGAGGGGCTTGGTGACACGAGCCGAAGTCGATGCTTTGGGTTGGCGAGAAGGTTTGGAGGGTGCTCGACGGCGCTTGCGACTAGTCGAGAGGTCGTTGGATGGGACGTATTCATCGTCATCGTCGTCGCTTTGTCTGTCGTCCTGATAGTCGCTATCTTGGTCGGTAGGTTCGTCCCGGATGGGTGCCTGCCGCACTTCAGGGAGGGGAAGAGACCTTTGACGGTAGGTGGCAGGGGTGGAGAGCAGGGAACCGGTAGACGATGAGGAGGGGGAACCCTCGGCCTCTTCGAAGATATACAACGGTCCGATCGACGCTGAACCACTGTGGCATAGCAGATAGATGAGCCTTTGATGCACGCGACATCCAGCAAAGAAAAAGAAAATACTGACTCTTCGTACGGGCTCTTAAAGGCGAGCAAGTTTTGTTGGGTTTGGAAATATTGAGGGCTGACATACACTGGCATGCCGCCATGGGTGTACGACCCTTCTACCTGAGGAGCAAGGTAATCGTGTTCGTTGGGATCGCTGGTCGTGTACGCGGGGTCAAGACTTTCAGGAAAAACCGGCCATTGTTGGAGATTGGTTGGGTACGCCATGGCGAAGATTGGTCGGGAAATAGGTGAGGGATGAAACAGAGAGCCACCCCGTCCCTTTTATTTGAGTCGACATTCTCCTTTGTTTGAAAAGAATTTGCCGCATTTCCCAATTCCTCGCTCGAAGGGGGCAGTAGCAAGGACCTACATTGTTGGGATCAGCTCGCCTCGTGTCATAAAGCGAGTCCGAGTCTCCGGAAGCTGATCACAAAGGAATACAAAAGCCGCGGTTCAACGACTCGTTTTTCGATTGGGTGGCTTTGTGTACGTCGATTCGATGGCAACTGCCACACACTACGCGAGTGCACGATATGGAGAGATATGAAGCGTCTCTTTATTTTTCCCTCGAATTTCAGTTCATTTTTACGCGTTGTACGACGAGATTAATGCGATTAAGATGTGACTTGCGCGAGGTTGATTAGATAACGCACATGTGTCTTTAGGGATATATGTACGACTTTGAAAGAGGCACCATTAGTGCCCACAAAACAGACGAAAACATACGGTGTATTGATTCTTGGCTCGAAATGAGCTAGGTGCGTCCGCCTCGTGTTCGCGCATGTTGCCGAAAGGCCATGATGGGAGTACGATGGGCGCCTTTGAAGGCCTGTTATCGCGTCAGGAAAGGGCTTCTTGGCGGAATGCGTGAGTACGTTGCAGCGAAAGAATGACGATGGTCCTAGTGGGGGATAGGCGGACCATGAATTCGAAGGCGATGACATTTTGACTCGGGGAATGGGTTTCAGACTCCCTCGACATGTGAACTTTGCATGTATGGTATGTGGGGTCCAGAAGCATCAAGCCGCATCATCGTGCAGCAGAACGTATTCGCGGTCAGACGTTCCAAACTTGATCACTGGAAAGCAGTGTAAGACCCTTGCAACCTGGAAAGAGCACAGTGCACATACCGTCGCTAGCTCTGAGCTCATAGTAACGAGCCGGGGGAATCTTTTCGTCATTGACCATAGTACCGTTAGTAGATTCCAAATCAATGATAAATGGCCTGCAATACTTATCAGATGAACGAAATAGGCGAACAATGCTGAAACCTACTTGACTACTCCCTTGATTGTTCCGAACTCATCTTTCTCGTGAACGAATCGATCTGCAAATGTGTAAATGAAAAAAAGATTTTGCTCAGGAAGCTCTGGCTCGTACATTGTATGGCCGCATGTTGCTTGGAGCACGAGGGATGGTCGAGGACAATGTCCGCTACGAGACGATCTCTGCCAATGAGATACGCACTCTGACGATAGATGTGAAGAGGATCTGACATGGAGGCAAATAAATCATCAAATGGGGAAGAAGTTTGAGCTCGTTAAGGGGACGCACCTAACTGTTCCTTGCCCTTGAACACATAAAGTCTCCACCCTACAGAAGGCTTCCGTGCTTCAGGTGGTTCATTGTATTTCAAGACTGTTGCGGTCCCGTCACTGGCCTTGACCGTGTTCGTCTCGGCTGCGAGTAGCCCTGACGGTTTGAAATTCGGTTTGCCCTTGTCCTTCACCTCTTCATCTTCAACAACAGCTGAGCCGGACCGAGACCCTCTACGAGGCGATGCTGATCGGCCATCTCTCCGCCTACTTGGGTCTGCGTGCGCGTCGTAACGCCCCCTGTCCCTTTGTCGTTCACGTTCGCGCTCGCGTTCGTCATAACCCATCAGCTCCGAGTCTCTTCGAGAATTCCGGCTAGAATACCCTCGTTCATCGTGGTATCCTCTATTTCGTCGGTCTGAATATTTCCTTTCGTCATTCGACCCATAGTCGCGACGGGAATCCCTCCGTTCATAGTCCCTGCTGCTAGTAGAACGCCGGGAAGAATCTTCGTAACGTGAGCGTCGTCGTGGAGAGACAGAGTCACGAGGCATGTTTAGCTCCCAAGCGAGGCTTTGTTGACGGCGTTAGTGTCGAAAAGCGAGGCTTGCAGGCTTTGAATATTGGTCGTCTGCCAGGTTTTCGTCACAGTCAAAGCCAGTCGTCGCAAAGTCGTCGTCGTACAACGCCAAGACTAACTCAACAATACATCACGTGAGGTCCTTGCAAATGCCGCCGCGGCGAAATCAAAATTGAGACGCCGACGGTAAAATAAGCGCCCAATCACGGTTGCTTCGCTACGACGTCTACTTCTCCGTGAACCTCTGCGATGTTCCAAGTACGGTATGGCACTTATTAGCATTATAGTATCCAAATAGGCTCGGAAGGTTACCCAATGCTGTTCTGTGTGTTCACAGCCTAACAAAACGAAGACCGGTAACCAGGAAGCAATCGCACTGGCAATAGCTTCTCGGTTTACAACCAGCTTCCCCAGGGAGAAGACATTCCGGAGTTAACCACGCGAGAAAGCGTCATATTCTCTGTCCGCCAATATACCCATTGGCACCTGGCAGGTCCCAACAACGAATACTTGGGTGTGGCCCGGAAAAGTCGCATCGACGACATTCAAATCAGATGCAGGATTGCAGCCTGGAGGCGGGCGCTAAGAATACCGAGAGCCGGAAATCAGCAATCTGCCATCACACAGACAAGCCACGGCCCACAAGCATGCCAACTTCAGCGGTCCCGGAAGACCACGTCTCCAACTTCGACCAATATCGCGCTTCGGCGTGAGGTGGGTGCAGTTGGGAAATGTCACGGCGTCGATGTAGGCGCGTCACTTTGATCCACTTTCTACTACCGGTTTTCAGCGTCCGTGTGAAGGAGGCATTCCCCAGGGGAGCTGGAAGTGCGTTGAATGTGCTTGGGGTTTAATTGGCGCCGAAGGCGCGACCGCAATCCTTGCGCTGTACGGGGTAGACCGTGCAGGGTCGTTCAGGTAGGGACCTTTCGCCTGTGTAAGGGAAGAGATGAGCAAAGGCAGTGGGGTGATCCTTTAACGGAAGATCCCGTGGACGATTACCACCCTTTTCAAGCAACTAAAAAGATTGAATAGATTCGAAATTGCACCCGGCGCAGAACGAAGGACAGAAAGAATCTAAAGAAGTGCGCTAATTCCGTATCGCGAGAAAGAACACTACCATGGAGAATCCGGAGATTATTAAATGATAACCTTTCGCCGTCTGGAAAAACAGGTACATACCCCAGTACTTACCATCCGAGGGCCAGTGGCTCGGCGCGGTGAACAGCTCTACTCAATCTATGGCGCCCGGCGTGTATCGAACTGGCAGTCAGGACTCTGGGTACTGCACACGAAAACTGGAAAGAAAATCAACTACTCGACGCGAGGACTATTTAGGACATATGAAGCATTCCGGGCTCCGTTGGGTTGCCAGAATCCGTGACCTTCGAGAATCGAGGGAGAATCAAGCCAGGGTTTCCGAATCAGTTCTCGGTGTTCGCAAGGGGCACTTCTCACCTCAAACTGGCTGAAGTATACATCTTCTTAGAAGCCGGTCTAAACAAAAAGAAATGAATTGTTCGTCGAAGTGTGGAGTAGAGTTTTGAGAGCCGCTCCGCCCTACCGCGATGGTGAAATGGAGGTCATGCGTGAAGCGGAGCATATGGTCGTCAGCCTTTTCGAGGTCTGGAATGGAACATAAACAAAGCATGACTAGTCTGAAAATGGCGTCGACAGTAGTCATTGATAAAACGAGCCCCTAACCTGGCCAGCGCGAACGTTAGGAGTCACTTAAAAAACGGTAATTACTTTAATTTAGCGATCGATGAGTTGGTGGACGGTCGATACTTCACAGCCTTCACTATGCGATCATCACTACTGTTACAATCAATGCGGCCAGGTGGAGGCAAAAGCGGGTAGTCTGGACGGGACCCCGAAAGGTGATCGAAAAGGCGGGGTTTCCGCATTTGGGCTTTGCCGCTGACAGCCGCTCAGCATTGAGCACTGGCAACTCAATGGCAACTGGCAAAAAATATCAATCGGCCTCCACAACCCTCTATTGTAATGGCTTGGTTAACTCCGCAGTACACAGTGGAACACCCCAATACCGCGGTTCAAGATTCTAGAGAGAGATGAGTTAAAGCGATCGGTTCTTGGCCTCGTCGTCTTCGACCCCCGGGAGGGCAGCAATCTGGCCCTGGGCCAGGTACGAGATGCCGTATATGCAATCGTTGATCTTCACCGTCGAATAACGCTGTGTGTAAAGGATACGTTAGCCTAGGTATCCATTGCGCTGAGCGCGCTCCGAGGTCAAAACAATTGTAACCTCACGACGAAAGATGACGTGAGATTTGGGTACCGCATGGTAGTATGGGAAGTGTTGGGTTGCTGGGTCCGTGTTTTTGAACCTGCACGATCGAACGGCAATGTCCTTATCGTATATCCAACTGCGGTCAGGGCCGTTGTGTGGAACAACGGCCGGAAGGATGTCCTCCGAGTTTCTCCAGACTTCCCTAATCTTGGGGACAGTTTACCTTTGCAAGTCCTGACTCGACAGCGTTACGGATTGAATGAAGTGCGAGGGAAGTAGTGACCGAGAAACACGGTCGAACGGGCCCCCGCCTTGGACTAATGCGTAGGCGTGACGTGGGCGTGATCCGACTATGACACGGACATGGCAGAGTAATAACGAGGCAAGCGAGAGAATTGGGTCGTGTAAGTCACAGGCCTTTCATTGGTAAACGGGTGTATGACCTTACCATTGACATGTTAAAGGCCGAAGTTTGTGCATGGTCCATTCGGGACAAAACATACGCAGAGTCGCGGCGCACGGGAAAACCCAGGGAAGAATTGGGACAGAGAGTGAGCGCGAATAAGGACTTGGAGGAGATTCTGAGAAGCGCAATGTTCAAAAATCACAATACGGTATCCCATATGAACCTGTCAATGTATGACAAATGGTCTGGACGACAAGCCGTCTTTTGGGAGAGGAAACAAACTTGTGATAGAGTCTGAGAAGGAGAAGTGGCTCAGTTGACCAAACGAGCAGGCATTGAATTAAAAGCCCAAGGTAGCAACAAGCCATGGCAGGCGCTGGAGAACGATCTGGCCAGATCGGGTTTTCGGAATCTTGACAGATGACAAAAGGGGTTCCCCGGCTCCGGCCAAAAAGGGGTTGCTTGCCGGAGCATGTGAGGGTATGGCACGAAAAACGGACTTGCTGCTGGCTGCTGGCGACGAAGCAAAGGGCGAGGGACACAAAGGGAGGTAATATTGAGCGAAAGGTCGGTGGGAGAAAAAGGGAGCTTTTACGTGGAGGAGCAGGGACGAGGGGCCAGAGCGATGGTTGGCACCCAAGGAGAGGGTGAAGCCGATAAAGGAAATTGCAAACAAGGGGCAACATTGAACAGATGGCAACAGGGCCCGATTGCGAAAACCCTGAGATCGACCCTATGGCTGCGCCTTCCATAGAAAGCTTCCCAACAAATGCTCTGCCAACTTTCTGCAAACATATATTTGGCCGGCATATCTTTTCACTGTTGGCCAATTCCATTCCCTGGGGTCCATGAGTCTTGCCGCTGACACCGTTTGACTTGTACCCATGTTCACCACAAACCGTCCCCGTACTGCCAACTCCCAGCCATTCTCCCCTGAAATTCCTCCTTATCGCGGCCCAGACTACTTCACAGAACACACACAGATCCCCAGTATCGCATCATCGTCCATACCGCGCCAGTTCGCGCCAGAGCATGCTCGCGATGACTTCTACCACGGCGAATCCAGCTTCTATGGGGGTTCGCGAAAGCACTATTATCCGAGAGAGCATCTCACAGCAACGCCGTCGATGGTGTATGCCCAATCCTACGACAGACGGCATCACAGTCCGCCTGACATGAACTTGCCTTCTTCGTCTTATCGAAGTCAATACACAGACCGGGTCCCGATGGTGTCGCCATTACCACATACCATGAAACGACATGATTTGCCACCTGTGTCCCTGAACGACTTCACCCTCACCCCGTCTCATTCGGCCTATAGTCCTGAATCAGACCAAATCCTCCCCCCACCGCAAGCGTCACTGCACACAGACCATTCCCTCGACTCGGACTTCTGGGGGCAACACAGCAACCAGTCCCACTCCCCGAGCTCTGTCTCTGTGTCGCCCACAATTCCACCACCACCATCTGCCCCCTCTGCGCCACCCCCGCCCCCAGCGGATCCCCCCAAGCCCAAGAAATCCCGACGAGAAAAGCCTCGGATCGAGCTTGCCCCAGACCAGCCTCCCACCACCCAGGGCAAGCCTCGCGAACGTGTCTACGTTGCATGCATCCAATGGTGAGTAACGGCCCTCTCTTATGTCTCCGAGTCGGGAAATAACAGGCGGAATTTTTTAATTTAGTCGAACGAGGAAGATCAGGTGCGATGGCGCAAAGCCAACTTGTCACAACTGCAGCCGCCGTACTACAGGAAACAACGACTGCACCTACGACTCCGTCCCAAAACGCCGCGGCCCCGACAAGTGTCCAGGCGCTCGCCAGAGGTCAGCGCGTGGGGCTAATGGCGAAGTTGTAGGCCCGCGGCGACGACGTCGCACGACCCGGTCAGATACCACTGCGTCAAACAGCGACACGAACGCAAATACCATCTCCAAACAGGCACCAGCTGTCGAGCCCCTAGTCCAGGCTCTGCCTCAGTCCCCTCTTGACCCCGGCCCCCATCCAATCAACGCACATGCCAATCAACCTCATCCTGAACAACCTAGCCACTCGGTGCCCGACTTCGTTAAACCTTATCCGCCGGAATGTGGGTGTCATGGGCTAGTTGACTGTCCAGATCTGTTGGGGGGTTATTCACTTACCGACAGCAGGAAATCGTCCGCTGTGCGTAACATCCTTGTCTTTTAGATTCATAGAGGTTATATTTACAGACATGTTTCCATCGGGTTGCAATTATAGATGCCTTCTCCGACTTATGACTACCCCTTTGACCATTTCTCCATGATGCCTCCTCACCCCCACGTCGAGACCAGAGGGGGATACATCACCGAAATCGACGAGAACGGTGAAGAATGTGCTCATCAACAACGTCAGGAAATCGACATTGGTAGCCAGCCCTCGTTGAACTTTACCCGCAAAGTCTGGTGGGACTCACTCTTGTCTCTATACGCCTCTTCCAACCCCTTTCATCTCAGAGCCATATCCGCCTCGGAACGCGAGACCATTTCCCATAAAATTGGGGCTGACTTGCGCTGGATCTTCCGTGCGTCGAACTACTGGTTCTCGTTCTTCCATCTCCCGACGTTCTTCGGCAACTTTTATGACCCTCACAAACGGGAACGCATGCAACCCAGTTTGGTCCTTGCCCTACTCGCCATTTCCACGTTCTTCCAGAGCTCTGAGGTTGGCAACGGCCAAGGAGGACGCGAGCGCGCGTTAAGATTTCGGGACGAAGCCCAGGGTGCTTTGGAGGCGAGCTTCAATTCAGGGTGGATCGATGAGACACTCGCTCAGGCAGCATGGGTACGTTGTGTTGCCTTGCCTTCTTCACGCTTCTGACGATGCTCGATAGTTGCTTGCCTTGTTCGAAGTTTGTGCCCATCCCTCTCATAGCTCGGAGAGATCGGGCTCCTCTATGCTCATGTTGGACTCACTCATTCGCAGTCTTTCCCTCACCCTCGTGGATGCGGACGATCCCAACACAACACTCTTCCCTCCGGGATCTGTGCCGGTCGTGAGCCAACCCCACCGCCGCTTAACGCAAGTTTCTGGCAATCGGCTTTGGTACCCGGACCAACCAACTGTCCCCGACCTCAGTTATCCGGCACATAATGTATCGCACCCCGAACCATCGGGATGCACCTGTCAATCTATGACCCTTGGCGAAAACTGGTCCTCCGCCAACGACCTGGTTCCCATGTGGGGGTCTACCCCGGCCTGGGGTGAAGGCTGGTCAGAAGCGGATCTTCGCAAAGAATCGATCCGCCGCCTGTGCTGGAGCTCAATGATCCTGGCAGCTGGCCACATTTCATACACAATGGCCCATAGACAAACCGGACTAGACTTGTTCATTTCTGACCCTGCGAATGTACGTGGATTTCTCTACCACCCTGGTTTATCAGAAGCTCAGCCTTAGTTACACAGTATGCCCTCCTCTTCTCGGGAGAGTCGGTTGCTCGTTCGCCCTCCCTTTCTGGTCAACAATCCTCGAAGGACACGGTTTGGGCACTGTTTGACCGCGCCTTCTTGCTTTGGCATGGTTGTATCAGGATGCGGAATAACGCTCGCGCGAGCGATACCGACAAGGCGCAGTTCGCTGTCAAAGCGTGGATAGAAGCAGACGCTCTTGAGCAAGCATTGAACAAGCACACCTGCGCTATTGAGCGAGCTTTCATTTTCCAGGCCAGAGAGTACATCTTCAAGTACGTTGCCCCTTAGCCTCTACCTCGACCCCTACTGATCGCTCTACAGTACTAGAATGTGCATTTCCTACGAATTTCGCCGCTTTGTGCCCCTCGTTTCGGCGTAAGTTCCTTCCAGCTTCGTTGATTGGATGGTGGTCCTAATTTCCCACCAACCGGTAGAAATGTTGACAGTTTGTTCCATCGTACGAAGGCTGAGGAATGGCGTACGTGTTTGTCTGTATTCACATCTGAACCATGTGCTTACCTCCTCCCCAGTGTCCCATCAAGCGACGGTTGCTCAACGCTTCATGCTGGGCCTTCACACCATCACTGGCAACGCCAACAATCTCCTTGCCCGTCGACCTTTCTTTGTCTTTTGGTTCATGGGGCAGATCGGTCGCGCGCTCGCTTTGTGGCAATGTGACAACTCTTTGACGGTCGCGCTCGACGTTTGCAAGGCATTGCTCCCTGCAATCGACTACCTTACAGCACTTTGGCCGTGTCTCGGTAAGGTCTAACTACTTTGCCTTGGACCCTGAGATTGATCACCCTGCTAGAGCAACGCCTTCGATACGATGCTCTCCGAGACAAGCTCGAGCAAGCCTGCTATACTGCTGGTATCAGTCCCCCACCTCCACCTAACCTTACCTTGCCACTCCCATCTACTCCTGAGGCTCTCGTTTAATACTTCGTCGCTGATTATTCAATTGCTTGTAATAATGACACGCCCTTCGTTCTTTCGCCGTACAGCCCCTTTATATTCTATACCTGCCTATCTGTATTCTTTGGGTTGACTTTGTCTGCACCAGTCGTCCTTTCTGGCGTTGTGTTTACTGTAACTCTCCAATAAGTAGCATGATTTCTACTCTTCTGCATAGGTGCGCATTGCCAGACTCGACGCGCAAGGGTGACTCGGCCGGGTTGTTCGGATCGGGTAGGCCAAGCAATTGTTAATTAGGGTTACCGCGTTTGGAAGTGTGGCTTTATTCTGTCAGCCAGGGCCTCGGCGGGAACGAACGCAACTCTAACCACGACAACGACAACGACAACGACAACGACAGCCAAGATATGAGCGAAGACCAGGTCAACGCCATGACCACACAGCAACAACAACAGCTACCAGTGCCTGAGTCATCCCATTGCGCGATGAGCCTCAGCGCCACTCTCAAACGACCTGCGTCTCCATCATTTGAGAACGGCGACCAGCCAGTGCGTAAACGCCTGAAGGAGGAGGCTGATAAGGCGTCGATAGTTGAACAGGACGCGGAAAAATCCCAAGACGCGAGGATGGTGGATGAACTCGCGCTGGAGCTGCAGTGTGGCTGCTGTTCTGAGCTGGTGTATAACCCAGTCCTCGTCCTACCATGCCAACACTTCTTCTGCGGAAGGTATGCACTCTCAACTTCTCAACTCGTTACTCAGACCTGTAAACTAACGACTGTCTTTAAGCTGCTGTGTTCTATGGGTCAGGGTGAGTTACTTTTCAAAATCCAATATCGCCACCACGGATGGTCTCTGTCCGAATCCGTGTCACTCAGCTCTGGCGCCGTATTCTAACGTGAATATTTATTCAGAATGGTGGGACGAATTGCCCGGCCTGTAGAGGCGTTTCTTCCCTTGTAACGCCATTTCGAGCCATCCAACCTCTTCTGGATACCCTTCTGCGCCTTGCTCCCGAGAAAACACGGGCAGCGGGTGAGAGGGCCCAAGCCGATGAAGTCTACAGGCATGGTTCTTCGCTCCGCGTATGTCTACGTCAATTGTGAACTCTGTGACGGTATCACTCATCCTACTCACAGATCCCAAGCCCGAAGGAGCCCTCGCCCGAACCGACAATCAATGTTAACGCGGACCTTGCCCAGCCCTGTCCCAACTGTCCTCCAGGCAATCCCCATGGTTGGAGATGTCCTCACCCTATTCCAGATCCTGCAGCAGACCCCGACAATGCATGGCACCTCGACGACGGCATCCCGCCTGGCCATGGACAGTGCGGACATTGGTATGTATCTGGCGCCGTTCCACAAACAGGGGAGACTGATGGTCCCCGTGATATAGTGAGAATTTGCTCGCCCTTGAAGCACCACTAACCACCAAGTGCGATTTATGTAAAGTCGTGTTTTGTGGCATCAACATTCCAGGTAGATGCTCCGCGGTACCCCTCGCCCTACAGCACCCCCAGGGTTTGGCGAACGTCGGTGACCTCATCGAATCAGCGGAAGTGTATGAATCGTTTGATGGGAATACCTATGAAGTCGATATCCTTTTCGACTATCTTAGAACCCAAAACAAGTTGCCCCGTCAGATTTATCGAGAGGTGTGTCATGAGCTCACTTTTTCTGCCCGTCACATTGACCTTCGGAATGTAGATCATAACGCATACGCTAGCCCAACCCCGCGGTCTGCAGCCTTTCTTGGAATCGGACGCATTCCTCGATGTGCATGGTGGCGTCCTCGATGCCATTCCCCAAGGACCTTTCAACCGGATCTGTCGAGTCTGTGCTGCAGAAGCACTTCTCTGGGGACTCAAGGATTGGTGGATTCGCGAACGACAGAAAGGCCATCTTGACACGGCTATCCTCGGTCGTCCAGACTGCCCGGACGGCAACGCATGTCAACGCCAGAAAGAAACTGCACATGCTAAAGAGTGTATGTGCCAGTGAAATTGTATGACCTCTTTAACTCATTGACACCATTCATTCTAGTCAACCACATCATTTCCCCACCACAATCCTCACCGCCACCCAATGCATCCCTACCCATTAGCGCACCGCCAGAGGGAGCTGTTCCTCTTTTGGCATCCTCCTCCGTGGATGATGTCGAACATCTTATCCTTCCCCAACCAAGTTCGGGTTCAATGACCTCGCAGCAGCGCGCTTCGGCTCTGTCGTATCTCCTGAACTCCACCAACCTCGATGAACCCGAAGCTCTTCACCGCGCAATTGCCCGCAGGCTGCAATCTTCAAGCCCTGACCTTCGCGATGCGATTGATGCGCTAGCCTCTTAACTCTTCGCACGACTCTCACATTAACTTCTCCTCATGCATTGAAGTAGCTTCACTCGCTCTCTGTGTCGCCCCTTTGTCGTCCCTAATTCCTTCCCGCTCTGTTTTCTGTACACGAACCCCGTTACGACTTTCCAACCATCCACTTCATCCCTCACCTCGATATTTCATAGCCGGCATTTCTCTGTACTTGATAAGTAATACATCTGCGCAATCATTCCCTCTTTCATGACCGATATCACCGTCGTTATTCGAGCGCTTCCACCAGGGTACACCTTGGTCGAAGACATTCATTACCGCAATGCCTTCCCACATCAGCAAATCCATGCCGAGTTCCAAGAGATGTCAGTGCCAGAATCCCACATTTCAGTTGTTGTATGTGTGATTCTGTGATGCTTCGCGACAAAAAGATGGTGCATGTCAAGATTCAGCTATCCGACAGGGATCCCAAATCAGATTTGCAAGACGCTCAAGCACAAATACGGACCATGCTGACCCACAGAATTCTCAGGGCTGGCGTTATTGATCTAGCTTTTACCCCCTTCGTCTTCGTTATATCATGAAACATTCACATAGAATGGGATGTCATCCCGGAGTCCAGTGTACTAACGCAGAAACATATGGTGGCGAGTTGTTTCTTTGATCCCTTATGCGTTTCGACCTCAAGCCGGTGTTCCATGGAATTTCTGCCGCCGCAAGATTCTCGACATTGGTCCCGATGTAGATCAGGTCCAGGGCTGGGAGTGGGTCAAGAACCAACTCTGCATTAGAGGTGAGCTTCGATTTAATCATCCAGCAGGGCCCAGCTGACTGGGTCGGGATTTCCGGACGCAGTGGCTCGGACTGTATGTAGTATGTATATTCCATTACATTCCTCCGGACACTTGACTCGGCCCTAGAGCAAAGCCAGAAGACGCCATACACCATCCAATCGACAACGAATTTGCCGACATTAACTCTGTAGTTACCCCGAGTTTTCAGCTAGTTCTAGTTGGAAACGGTCAGAGGTTTCGTCATGTCCATGTAAAGATGGGACAGGGGGGTACGTATACCATGGTCGGAACGTCCTCCCCCGAAACGATCTGGTTGCTCATCTCACTCTATCCAATCTTGGAGCCTTTCTGAGCTGGGATTCGAATCTGCGAGGCCAAAACGTGATTAACGACCGTGTCTTTCGGGTGGTCAGCGTTCTCAGGCAAGAAGTAAACATTCTTCAAGATGGTGACGAGCGCTTACTTATCCGGGCGAATTGTCTCCATAAGTTGTGTCATCCGTGGAATAAGGAGGTGGATTCAATTCCCATGTCTGCATCGGCCATTGGTGAGAAGTACATAGAGCCTGTCAATGGACGTGATACCGCCCTTTCCCGGAGCATCAGTACACCTCGGATTGCACAAGACAATTAACTGACATGGGATAACGACAAACACTGCCGGCGGGCGGTGGCGTCGATGTCAATCCCTTAGTCGATTGAGGCCTTCCGGAGGTTCTTGCAAGCTGACAAGAGATCACAAGATTAAAAGCATGAAGGGGGCAGGCAAGCGTGAAAGCTCCAGAACTTCCAATTTGATAACAGATAGCGAATTAGAGGCAGACCAGATGCGAAGAAAAGCTGGTACATGAAACGAATGAATCCCACATAACTGCAAGCCTGTAAATCGAAGGGAACAAAGAAAAGGGTAAATAATAATAATACATGAATCAAAGTGGGGAAAGGGGCGAAAGATTATGCTTATCATCCTGGATTCAGAAGCCTTGCAATTCCACGACCAGAGTGATATACCGTCTACTTGTATTCCGAGCTGCTGTAGCCGCTGCCGCTGTTCATGGTAGCCATGCCACCGCCCATCGTCCGCCACCTGGCGTCTGATGTCCCGCGTGGTCGAGCTGTAGAGGAGAGATGGGCCAAGGTCGGGTTTTGCGGTGGGTCCGAGGTGTTAGGCCCGTGCGACGGACCAGCTTTGTGACTGGAATCGTGCATCCGTGACCCGGTCTCCCTATGTGCGGTCGAGTCGCCACGGGACCGCGAGGGTCGCTTTTGCGTATACGACTGGAAAGGAACAAGGACAGCCTTGCGGTTAGGAACGATCTCCAAGGCGAAGGAAATACTAGAGCGTCCGAGCTCGAGGTAGGTACTCACCATTACAGTTTTCAACGCGCTAGATCGGTGGAGGGGATGGATAAAGGGTGAGAATGGGAGGGGAGAGTCAGTTTCAGGAACAAGGGCAAGTGGTCACCATAGTGAGCGAGATTTCACGCACCGAATTTGAAGGCTTCGGCAACTGCAAAGCGTTGCTACTTCATACACTCCCACTGATGTTGAATTTGAAAGTGCCCGGTGCATCGCGTGCTTCACGAGGGATTGCAGATGGGGAAGTTTGTAGGTCATTGATAGCACCAGGAGTTGATTGAGCACGGTGGGTGAATGTTGAAGGGGAGTAATCAGAGCCAGGGAATAAAGATATTGTACAAGCGCCAGCGCAATAGGGTACGGTTCCGATAGATGGAATTGACGAGGTGTCAACCGGGGGTCCAGCTTGGGCTGTTCAAAGCTCATGCTACCTGGTACCTCAGGGAGCGGGACGTGCATAATGGATGTAGGGAGGTGGGCCAGGGTAGCGTTTGCACTCTTGAGCAGGCTCAGTCGCTTCTCCTTGAACCACGGCCACCTGTCCTCCAGGATCTTGCGCGAACAGGGGATCTTTCGACCATCATCACAGACAATTTCAAAATCTGTTAACACCCTCTCTTCCAATGCGGCAAGTCCGAGCTCTTGCATTCGAATGTCGAGTTTGAGAGGCGGGGCTTGGTAGATTCCGAAAGCTTCGAGATCAATGACGGCTACGTGGTCCCAACTGAGAAGCCTGCGGTTATAGTCGTCGACCAAGTTGCCGTGCTTGTTTCCGAATATCAGGAATTTGTTTGATTCTGGCCACAAGCATCCTCTAAACCAGGAACCTGTCTCCAAAGCCTTGCCGGGATCGATACGCGACCAGGTCATGCTGTTGAGGTCCAGGACCCAGATGGAATAGGACTGGTAACTGTGGGCGAGGTATGTGCCGGCAATAATGAGATGGGAGCCCAGAATTGCGCCTGTCGGGAATCGTAGGCCTGGGGGAAATGTCGTTCCAACCATGGCATTGGACCGGTCTTGAATGGTGAAGTCGACGTCGGGGAGGGGAGAGAACACTTCTAACTCGCGTTTAACATCGGTGAACTTTATCATGGTTAGCGGCGAGTAGCATTGTTATAAAGGGCGCACTTACGTTGTAATTGCTGTACAGGTAGATGTCGCTTGGGTGATCTTCTGTAGGAGTGGCAGAGTACGGAAGGTGAATGAGGTTTGTGGAAGGGGTGATGTCTGGCGTTGAAGCGGAGGATCTTGGAGGGATTTGGAGGGATTTATTACTTGGTTGGAATCGTGAGCCTGGCGGTCCTAGCGTGGAAGATGAATATCCTGCCTGGACTTCGTCCTGAGGGGAGCGGATGGTGATATTGGAGGAAACGGCGACGCTTCGGTAGGTTCCGCAATGCCGGGGGTAGTCTCTTCGCTGAACCCAAACTTTAGCGATTAGGTCGTAGACGCATACATCGTCAAGCCAAGTGTTGAAGAAATCCTGGCCGCCAATGATGAAAAGTCGATCGGCTGTGACGGAAGAAAGATGAGCATAGCGGGCGCGGGGTATCAGGCCTTCTGGGGTCGATGCTGGGATTGGTGCATTTGGTAGCCAACGTCTAGTCTTGAGGTCAAAGAAGCGAACATCGTTGAGAACTGTGAGTTCTTCTGGACTGGACGGGTCGGACTTGTTGCTCATTCCACCGAATATAACAAGGTGATCGTTCCCTGTAAATCGTCAGAACTGTAAAGAGACAGCGTAGAATTGAGCCCAGGCCTACATGCGTCAGCGCTGTGGAAGTATCTGGGTTGTGGAATGTCGTCGCCTGGGGTGTAGGGGATCATCTCCCACACGAAAGTTTCGAGGTCGAATACGTAGAGATCAGAGACCATGCGCCGCTCGGTGACCAATCTGCCACCCTGAAGCAAGTTTAAGCATGCGAAGGCGGTTGTATAGGCTTTAAGCTTACAAAAAGGTACATCTTTGACCCCACGACGGTCGTTGAAGCACCCTGGAGGACGCATGTCAGGAGCAGCAAGTCAGGGCAATGCAACTTGTGAGCTTACGACGAGCTTTGCGGGGACATCGCCTGCTGTTTTCCTGCAATAAGTGGTGAGGTCGTATATGGAGTGCAGCATTTCTGGGTTTGAGCTCGATGTTGCGGGGACGACGAGGACGAGCTAGATTAAGTCGGGGATGGGAGGAGAAGAGCTGCTCGCAGTCACTGGCACGCTACGATCCGAGTCGATCACCTAGGCACCGAACCTCCGGTCAACGGCAGTGATGGCCGTTCTATTTCCTTGGCTTGCTCGCTGTTCGTGATGACGACGACGGTCGCTTGGGATGATTTCAACAGCGACAAAACTAGTCTCTGACAGCCCATACCCCAGTCTGTTCGCTCACTCCAGAGCGATGGGCTACCGCAGGCCAGGCTATGTAACCCTAACCCTACAACGGTGGCCATTGGCCCAAACATCATTATCGGGACTGAGTGGTCTCCAATGCCCCTCCGACGTCTATCACTGCGAGCCCGCTCCCCTTCATTACCTGCTCGCCCCCTGACCAGTAATCTACCTAGAAAATTTCCCATCGCAACCATGAACACGGTTCTCTCACAGCCAGCGCCGGATACGATCCAAGTCGTTCAGCACCAACAATATCAGACGGCTGATCATCTTACCCCGACCAATGCTGCTCACTCTCCGCTGGATCAGTTCAGGGGTTGGTTCAAGGAGGCCGTGGAGCGCCGTGTCGATGAGCCTGAGGCCGTGACCCTTGCCACTGCGACTGCCAATGGCATCCCTTCAGCCCGCGTTGTGCTCTTCAAGCAGGTCGACCATCGGGGTTTCGTCTTCTTCACCAACTACACCTCTCGGAAGTCCAAGGAACTTGATGAGAACCCTCATGCAGCCCTTGCGTTCTACTGGAGGGAGGTTCATCGCTCTGTCCGGGTCATTGGGAGAGTGGAGAGGTTGACGAAACAGGAGAATGATGAATATTTCCAGTCTCGACCGGTTGGAAGCAGATTGGGAGCATGGGCGAGCAAGCAGAGCACTGTAATCCAGGAGGACGAATTGGAAGCACGCTTGAAGAAGGTCGAGGAGAAGTTTGGGGTCAAGTCAGACGATGCTGAAGGTAACGTCCCCACCCCGGATTTCTGGGGAGGATGGAGGATAATTCCAGAGTGGGTTTGCCCTTGAATATAATCGGCCTTCTTTCTGACTCGTTTATTAGGGAAGTCGAGTTTTGGAGCGGTAAACCATCGCGTCTGCACGACCGAGTTCGATACCTGCGAACCAACACCGAAGATATCAGCGCTGAGCCTGCCTGGAAGATAGATAGATTGTCTCCATAATTAGAGTACTTAGAAGAATAAATTTGGAGCCGACAGACGGATCGTACAGCCGGTGACTTTATGGATAACCGGACTTCGCGGCGCTTGTCCCAAAACTTCCACGATGCTCAGCCTATCTAGACAGTCTTTGATTCGTATCTCGAGAGCGGGGCTGTCCCGGACCAGGCCAATATGCAGGAACTCTCATTCAAATGCAGAAGTACGAAGACCACCGGGCTCACAAAGGGACGACGATGATTTCCGTCCCCCGTGGGTCTACACGACGTCTCGAGTTGGATCCGTGGTTGTCATTCCTGGTGAATAGTAACCTTTCTGGTAGTTTGAAAGCTCGCTGACAATGCATACCAGTTATTGCACTCTATACCATCTTCGTTTACGACTGGGGAGATCACGAACACGTTTTCATGCCTGTACGTGTTCCCGTTTCGTCTCTCGCTGGCCGTCTTCACTCAACGTTGTCCGCGTCCAATAGCCCAGAAGATGGCTAGCCAGGCTGAAGCAATCGTTCTTCACCCTCTCCCCTGAAGAGGAGGCCATGCTCAACAAGGAAATTGTCGAGAAACGAGTCGCCCGTCTTCCACCTATCATGCCACCTCTACCACCAAAGCTCCCTTCGGACAAGTCGGAGTCGGAATAAGCTTCTTTCTGTTTTCGCATCCACCTGGAATCCTGGTGGACGAACCGACATTGAGCCTAATCGCTTGGAGGCCCAGGAGGACTCACGACCTGCCGTGAAACTGGCATCTCACCTATATTTGAGACGCACTGCGGATCTACACCTATTATAGATGGAATTTAATCGGGTTTCCTGGAGATTGATTGGTTTGGCTCATCGATGGCGCCACCCATGGGGTGCTCAAGGGACGATCGACTTTTCGTTCCGCATGGGCAATATGTACATGGACGAGGAGGACACCCAAGGGTGATTGATGGCTTCTCTGAGGCAGCCAGTGAGTCCAGGCTTTACCGTAAATCCTTCCCAATTCGAACATGCAGCGGTCCCTTCCAACATTACAGACAGAGCTATTACTTCAAATCCTCCTTCATCTCGCCCGTGATGACGTCTTAAAGCCAACACGAACTTGCAGGGCTCTCAATGCCGTCGTTTTCTCGGTTTCCTTTCAGCAGAACGGCCTAGCGCTCGAGAAGAATGCAACATTTCCGGCCGACGATTCAGAGCCTGCCCCTCCGCCTCACGAGGTATTGAGCATGGCTAGGCAGTCCTTCTCGTTCGGACACCAGCTACGAAACATGTCTCTACGAATGACTCAGTCGGGCGTACGCGAACTCCTACAAGCCGTAGATGACCTGAGAACCATTTTCCATCTCTCATCAAGGCTTGACGACGTTCGACTTGCGTTTAAGATAGAAGCGCCGGTGTGTGTGACCCTGTCGACTGCGAGGGATTTAAGACTCACCTCGGAGAAGTGGAAGTCCGAGTTTTGTTCATTGTTTACTTCGATCGTGAGCAAGGGATGTTGGATGCTGGAGATTGGGACAGGGCAGCAGATGACTGACATCGACCTGAGGGGTGAGTGCGAAAACGAATTTCTGATAAGCTGAAAGCTTACAGTTGACTATACATAGTCTTCCATTCTGGGCGAGTAACATCTAAAAACCAGACAAGCGCACCATCTAGCAAACTCAGCGCCTGGTTCAAGGGTCTTTCGATTAAAAAGAAGGCGCCAAAAAGCCATACCACCTCATCCATTCCACGGCTTCCACCCAAATCTCTGGCACCAGTGCCGCCCATCCATTCTTACTCGATGACCCTTCGCCTAACCTCAGACGTGCTCTTGCAAATCTTGTTCCTTGATTGGATGATATCACTACTGTGCGAAAGTGCCTCCACTCTCACTGAACTCGCGTGGCTGCTGCCTGGCGCACTGCCCAGGCGAGCCATCGGACGAGGCTGGCCACGACAGCGGATAAGCGCTTCCAGCCAGTATCAAGACTGTTTCCCTCCACCTCTCTCCTTCAGTGACAAACCCCGGATGGAATGGTTTGCGCGGAAGGTGGTTGAGGCCCTGTTTCCTCATGGGGTCGTACTGCAGATCTTCCAGCCTGAGAGGCCTCTATGGCGAAGTGAGGAAGCGCAGAGGGAGTTGATTGTAGAGGTTGTCACTAGAGTGTGTACTAGCGTTCGTAAGTTAGTGGTTAACTGGAACTATGTATGTAGCTTTGTAGAGAATCCCAATGTAATTTTTGATTGAAACTCCGCTTGAAGCGTGTCTTGGTCATGTGAGCGTGGCTAATCGCGTTTCATTGGTCAGACGAGCGGTTGCGCGCTTTCGCCGCCAGTTCAAGTCGTTGGCGCATTCGCAGCAAGTCCCAATGTCTGGGCTAATGGAGCCTCCTCCACTAAAAATTCATCAAAAACCGCCTCTCGTCACTCCTTCTGCATCCCCACCGCCATCCCGTCCATATCTGCCCAAACAACCATCGTCGGCGCCGTCCGCAACGAGTAGTTCACACCGTTCTGCCTCAGTCTCGTCCGCCCAGCAGCGATCTCGCGTTTCTGCGACACCGAAACCTCACCAGACGCCGGCACCTTCAACTGGTCAAACCCCGTCACCAGAGGATATTGATTTTCAACAGAAACGGCAAGCATCGGCCCTGCGTTTACTTGATGTATGGTCTAAATTGGCGGAACGGTATACCCGCCGCCTGGACGAGGATGATATAGTCGACATTGTCTCTGGGAGGATTGTCAAAGACAACGGGGTGCTGCGGAAGTCGAAGACAGTGTGGTTTGGAAATGGGGAGAAGACACATGGGGAGGAGTCTGGTGAGGACGAGGATGAAGAGGAGGAGGAGGACGGCGAAGAGCGGGCAGGGGATGATGGGCACCAAGATGATGATGATGAGCTGGATGCTTTTGCGGACGTTGACGACGGTGGAGACGAGGAAGAAGACAGAGAAGGAGATCAAGAGGAGGAAGAGGAAGAGGTGCTGGAGATTAAAGGTAAGGTGGACCCTGTGCCACCGGTCACGCCTCAAAATCCCCTGGATGCTGCAGACTTGAAGGAGTTCCTTGAGACGGAAAGGCTGCGGCGCGACGTCCTAGGGAGCGAACCCGAGGACGACCCTGTGGACCCCAATGCTTTGGATAACGACGGTACGGATGCCTACGGGACCGGAGGCTCAGACATTTACGACGTGGATTATGCCGACGTTGAAGTGGATGTCGAAACGCCAAAACAAAAAACCGAAAAGTCGACTGTGCGGAGGAGCAGGGGTGTCCCGCCTGTGGGCGAATCTGATTCCGAGGACGAACTCAATTTCAATCTTGCCGAAGAAGCAATTCCCGAAGACATCCAAGAGCCTGAATACCTTGCATCTTCAACGGACAGCGACGATGAAATTGAAATTGTGAAAATCGTTCAACGACCTCCGCCTAAACCCAAGGCTTCCCCGGCTTTCAAGGCGCCTATTGTGAAAGCTGACCATCAAACGCAGCTTCAGACACCACCATTATCCAGGACTTCCATGCAACCCACTTTCTCCTCCCTTGCTGATGAACTTTTCTCGACTCCGCCCCCTCAGGAAGAGCCTTCCATTGACGCCCCTCCGGAAACACCGGAAATTCCAATCGCCTCCACGTCCTTCAAACCTGCGAAATCCACGCCTCGTACTCCCAAGGCCCAAAAGTCACAGCCCAAAGACATTCCTTCAACCTCGAAGGCTCAGAAGCCGATTTGTGCGACTTCCTCACCTTTCCCCAAACCCAAGGTACCTGGCAAACTGGTCCCAGAAGTTGTTATCGAAAGGCAGACCCCATTCGAAGGCGCCTCACATCACTCGATGAACAGCGTTGAGCGAAGACCTGGCACATCCCCGACGAAGGGTGAATTGCGACGAGAGCGGCTGCGCGAGGAAAAACGGGAAGGGGCCCCGGAAGACTCCACACCGACGACGTCTGCGTCAACTCCGAAGGCCTCTCGAGGCCCGACCGCGTCTTCAGTGAATACAAAGTTCCCAACTGTCGATATTCCCTCCATAGATAAAAGACCAGATTCTATGAACGAGGACCACCCAGTAGCGGAACCTTCTAGCCGTCGAAAGCGGAAGAGGAGCATTCCACCCTCAGCTTCTCCGGGAGAAACACTCGCGGGTCCCTCGCGCTTTCCCCAGCACAGTGTCGCTTCTTCGTCCAAGGTGCAGCTCACAAGTTACCGAGACCCCGATCCCAATGTGTCTGAAGGGGGGTCTCCAACTCGAGGTGAGCTACGGTCTCATAGATCCTGCAATTGTGTCTCTAACGTCTCGCTGGGCGAAAAGCCAAAGATGCCAGGAAAAGCATTCAGCAGCGATCGCCGCGCAAGCGTCGGTCTAAATCTCGACCTCGGCCATCCCCGTCTGAAGATGCGGACGACTCTGGATCTGAAAGCGAAACGCTCCAACATCCCAACCATTTTTATCCTTATTACAGTCAACATCCGCCCAACCCGACATACCCCTATGCGCAACCCTTATACCCACCTCCCCCACCTCCTGGTCCATCTCAATACACCAGGGGATTCACGCCTATGCCACCTCCGAATGTACCACAGCACGGTCGAGGTTATACGCCGATGCCGGATCCTCACTCGGACTACTTCGTGTCGCAGGTCGCTTCGCGAGTAGTAGCGGCACTGTGGAATCCGGGTGCAATGCCTCCACATTTTGGCCCTCCCCCTGGGCAACCACCTTTTACGCCTTCTTCGTCTCATCATAGGATGAGCCACCATTATAACTACGCGACACCCCCACACCAACATTATCCATATCCACCATATCACCATCCTGATTTCTCACGTGCAACAGCACCTCCTGACACACCGTCTGAACGAGAGTCTTCCTCTTGTCGGTCAGAAGGCGGGAGAAAGAAGAGTATCGTGCACAGAAGTCGTTCGAAGGGAAGGGCAGTCTCGTTCAAACCCTCGACGGATAGGAAGAGGAGAGATGCCTCTCCAACGGACGACGACGACGACGACGACGACAGCGTACTCGCACATTCCAGTCCCTTGAAGGGAAAGGATGCCGCGTCGACGTCAGCTTCTGGGATGAGGCGAAGCAACTCGACTTCGGCTATTCCTTTCCATGCATCGACTTCCAAAGGCAAAGGAAAGGCTCGCCAAGAGGACTGGGAAGATGAGGACGTTGCGGATCGTGCGCGCTCGAGATCTGACCCCTCTAGCGAAGAGGAGTCTGTGGAGGAAGGCCCGCTCTCATCTGGTCTGAGAGGCCGATCTCGAGCGAGAGAACGGACTCCTCAACCACCTAGTTCTTCCAGATCCAAAACCGCTTCGAATTCGAAAGGAGTTTCAGTTGCGAAGGAAAGGAAAGGCAATGTCAGTGGCGGTAATAAAAAATCGACAAAAAACAAGTCGGCCGCCATGTCGATCTCATGATAGGCTATGTGAAATGTATTTGCTACGTCCCGTCTCCCCTCTCCGAGTTGGAGGCCATTGTATGCTTTGTATGTGTTACTTTCTGTGACAGTACTCATTAGTCGCTATAGTAGTATGCCTTCCCAGCTGTTTGCAAATGTGGAATACCCCCCGCTCGACGCGAAACCCGCCTTTTGCTTACGGTGAACGTTGTGTTCTGTTGTATTTATATCCGCCTGAGCTATCGGTGCCTTCATGCAACAACGAATGAAAATTCGAAGGTGCTCGAGGCGATTATTACCTCATATCCCGCGAAGAATTGCGCGCCCACATGCATTATGTTGCACCCCGAACCTAGCCTGAGTTTGGTTTCCTCTGACACGGCCATACTATATAATTATTCTCAGAAGACACCCGTACCCATACTGACAGTGAAATATGACAACAAGAAAATTCACCTATACAACATCTACTGACAACACCGACTCATAGCTATCTTATCCAGCGCCGATTATGCGGACCAATTATTTCCGTTTCCGAGTCGTGGGGAAAGTACCAGTAAACAGGCTAGAGTACAACACAATAAACTAACCACACTCTGGATCCACTAAGTACTACACAAGCTGGTTGAGAAGGGGTGCGCCTACAAATCTCGTCATTGTGGACACGCTGACCGACGTCTGACATCGACCGTTTTAATTCTTTGGCTTTAGATTTGAAGGACTGCGAATGGTTGAAGAAAATTACAGGACTGCAGCGAACTCTTGAATTCTCCACACAGTGGATATTGCATGCCCGATACCAAGGTATCTTCAGCCAAACGACGCCACAAACCCACCAGCCGAGCGTCGGGAGATTATTGGATTGGAATGGACGCACAAGGAGTTCTTGTGCGCGTACTTGTTCTTGACTTTATTGTCTCGTCGTTAACGAATTCACTATTTCATGTCTGCTCAAGTCAATATGCCGAACGTCTCCAAAGCCCCCCAGTTCTTCTCTCTTCCGTACATCTCTTCCTTATCTTATTTCCTTCTTACTTTCGCCTGGAGCGCTGGTCTGCCTATCTATTCTACCTATCTATTCTTCGTTCTGCGACAATCTTACTTCCTACCCAATTCCTTAAAAGCTTGAAGTAACGCGTGAGTGTATTCGCCTAGGCCTTCTCTTGTAGAGCCAGCTAACCCCCCGCATGGTCAGCCAGGCTTTTCAAAGGAAACGCGATGGATTTGCCCGATCCCAATTTCCCAAAGAACGTGGAGGAGCTCCAGGCGCTTGAAGCATTTCTCACTGGGGAAGGCCGTCCTAGCGACCCGTCGGAAGGTTCTGGATACGCTACATGCGCTGGGCAATACGAGAGCAAGACGCTCCTCTTTGATCATTGCTGCGAAGTGCTGAATACCTTACTGGGGCGCTCTGGGGACGCTGCTCTCAAACGGGGCCATCTCGGGCCCAAGGTCAATTACATCCACAAATGGGTCGACGAACTATTCAGGTTAGCTGCGAAGGATCTCAGAGATAAGACTAGAGAGCTGCCCAACAAAATCGCGAAGAACCCGAGCAAGAGGAGAGAGTTACTTAGTATCCTGCGAGAGCGCCAAAAAGCAGCCTCGGTGCATCCTTGTCCATCGGGTGAGTAATTCGTTCCAGAAATTACGGTGCACATTGACAAGGGCTATCCAGTGTATCAAGAACCATCGTATAGCCAGCCTTCGCTCCGCGGCGATGACTTGCCTCAGCAACGAGGATCTGTACTGGCTCGGGGGAAACAGGGGAAGCTTGACACTTCAGACTTGTTCGGTCTAGGCTACGGTGAACATGACATGCACCTCCTGGCCAATGGTCAACATTTCCTAGGGCAACGCCAGCAGCTATACCCAATGCAAGTTCGAATCTCCAAACCCGCCGCGTTCAGTAATGGCAATGCGGCGACCGGCGCTGCGAGGTCTGCCTCTGGTTCCTGCCAACAAGTCGAAATTTCAACCCGGGATGCAATACAACTTCTCAACGCAGGAGGGACACCATTAAGCTATCATGCCCAGCTCGATGGCACGGTAACTGCTGGCATGACGGCTATGGATCAACAAGGTAAGCTTTGTTTTCATATATACTACAGACCAGCACTCAACTGACCCGCCAACCACAGCATCGACGGCGATACTGCTACCTCCAGTTGAAATCAAACAGGAAACCTCACAAGCTACAGGTCTGCCTTCTACTTCCAAGCGAAAGTACGACGGTCTGGATACTAGTTCTTGTTCAAGCCAACTTCATGCTCAGGATCGCCCCACTGGCATGAAACAATTAAAATTGGTTGCCGCCCCTAAACCCCAACGTGCAACTGCCAAACGCATATACGATGCTCTTGATCCGACGCCTGGCTCAAGTCGCCTATCTACCGCCGACGAGCCTCCTCCCAAGAGACAGAAAGTAGTCCCTACACCGGCGCCGATATATCCGTCTGATTTGCCCCTCCCTCTGAATCACGACTCGCCAGGTCCCAGCGACTATCTGACCCCTTCGACTACGCTCATCGGGCTCGGCTCAGCATTCTCTTCCCGGGTGGGGTCACCTTTCCCTCCGCAAACGCCTGGGCCCCAAGAGTTGTCCGGTAAAGGCTCGGTGTATGGCACGCCGATGTCGTTGAACACTAGGATTGGCACCCCAGCTTCATTCTGCGAGAGTCGTTCGGATTGCAAACCGAAGCGGGGGATGCTGGCCGACAGAGGTTTGAAACCACTGACCGTGAATACGCAGCTAGGATTAACCGTTCGTGAAGAGCCTTCCCAACCCCTATCCGGCTCAGCCCCACCTACCGTGTATCAGCACAACGTTCCACCTATGCCACAGGTTGCCTATCCTGGCTCGGCTCCTGCTACAAAAACCAGCTATCCCCCGGAGGTGACGAGCTCAGCCGGTCCTGACGTTGAAGGCACTTTCCCGAATGGAAACATGGATTCAGCCTTAAACATGGAGTCGTTATTCAAACCACCAGCTGAAGGTCCTTTTAAGCCGGAAGACCTCGAGTCATTCACAGCGCAAATTGACGAGCTCTTTGGACGGCCGCCCTCTCGTTCTCTTCCTCCTTTGGTTATTCCACCTCCCAGTGGTGACCACGACATTCTTTTTGATGTCGTGCCGCCCACAGTTGGCCCCGATGGTGAGGATCGCATACCAGGGACTGAGGTTGGCAACATCGATACCTCGACAATAGCTTCTGGAAACGAAGACCCCGAGGCTTCCAGCAGCACACTGCCTCCGCCACCAGCGGAGCAACAAGGGTATTCCACTTCTGCCGGTGCTCCAGGGGACGACCAAGGCAATTGGCAGATAGACCCTCGAACTCAATTCCTGTCACAGGCTTGGTTGGTGGCGGAGGAGATGTTCGCAAATCACCCTCACACAACACAACGCGTTGATGATGATTTGAACTCGGTTTGGGCGCTCACCCGCCTGTTGGCCACCGACGAAGCCGCGTGGAATGACTGGATTCGGATGGGACAGCGGTGCGCTAGTGGTCTTCACGATCGCATACAAGCATTACCAAGTGTCGCTCTTTATCGCTAGCTCTCGATAAAGAGTTTTGCTCATTCTTCCCTTGTCCCGCCTTAATTGCCGCTCCACGAACTTTTATGTACATATGCCTTCTCTCTTTCTCGCTCTCCATGTCCTGCATTCCTTGTTATGACTACATGCTATTATCTTTGCTCTCTGCCTTGCTTTCCACATTGCTCTGGTTTTCTTCATTTACGACATCCGACGACTTCCAAGTTGTTCGCTCTCTTTGTGTCAGACCTTTCAACTGTTACATCGAACTACTCATAACCTTGTACTTTACCCGCCGTATAATATTCCTGTATTATCTTGTTCTTTAAAACTGCCTATTCATGAAGCATGTCGAAGTTGCCGATTGCGCCAATTGAAGGATCGCTACATGACTTGAGCGGGACTCGGGAGCGACAGCATTTCAATCTCAGGCAGCCTGCGGACTTTGGCACACTTGAAGCACCGCCTTACCCCAACGGACATATCTTCCGATCAACAGAGGGTTGACGGCATCGACGAACACCACTGTGACCGCCTTTTCTTCTGTCGACGTAGTAGGCTCTCGATGTTGCTGGACAAGTGATTTGTCGCCTTACATCTTCTAGGCCCGCAACTGTGGTCACCTCGCCGGCACGCTGTCTCCCACCATTCTCGTATAAAGAGGAATCGAACGACGCCAACGGCACCCACCACCAGTAATTTCGTGGACCACTTCAAGTACGAGGGAAGGGACGATTGGGCGATTCGAACCTCGAACTACTGGCCTTATTGAACGCTAAACAACGAAGAATACAATGGCGATTGTCGACGGTCATGAGGCTGATCCTACAGCCCAACTATGGGCTCTAATCACTCAGCTCAGCGAGCAACTGAGCCAGAACCAGAGCATGTCGGTCTCTCTGTATACCATGGCCGGAAAGATCAAGGTGAGCCTTTCACGTTCACATTATGGTGACGATAATCCTAATTCCATCCATCTAGCACCAAGCGACCAACTTGCAGACAGGATTTGTTTTGCGAAAGTGAGCCCTCATGATATCGTTTGTGGATTGCGGGTAATAACCGGCGTTGCAATGGTGCAGGTTTAATTTGGACAAAACCCAAGGTTCGTCGGGGTTCCATTCTGATAGAGGTTTACGTGCGGCTCTTTCTGACAGATTCGTTGGATACAGAGGAATATGATGCGGCTCTGGAGCAGATGAACGGAGCTATGGGTGCCGAGAACCAGGCATTGGCGCATGATAACAAGCAATTGAGCAACTTGATCAAAGAATACGAGCAAACCTTGGAAACACTGATGAGTACGTGTATACTCTGTCGTCACTGTTGGGCCAATCATTCATGGGCGTGCACATCTAGCTACGTTCCGGAATCGTGCTGTGAGTTCTATTTCGAATTCTGGAATGGAATAGACGCTTATTCTCGGTCTATGTCTTTCAGCAACATGTCCAAGAACGCGAGTTGTCACTGATCCGAGACTTCGAGTCTAAACTCTTAGCATTGGAAGAGCAAAATGCCATTGCTGAACTGCAAGTGGATTCAGCCATCTCAGTGGCCTTTTCTCGTCTATCCTATCTCCTCCGCCAGCTATTGAGAGCACAAGGGGGAGAGGACGTGGATCCGCCACCATCACCCATTGACGAGGCTGCGGAACGAGAACCTTGGACTGCAGCCCAAGCTGCGGATCACGCCCTCGAACGCGAAATCGAGCTCGCTCGTCTTGAGAAGGAGAACGAAGAGCTTAGGCGAATGCTTGGATTACTTCCTGCCCAACCTCGCCGGGAGAATATTGACCACCCATTCAACGATGTGCGAAGGACGGACTCGATGCATGGCCATCCCGCTAATGTGCAGCATATGAGGCCAGGGCATATGATGCCTGCAGGATTTGGCGGGGCCTATCAGAGGATGCATTCACCAGGACCTGGTTGAAGGCGCCTGTGGCGATCGCCTAAACATAACTGCACTAACTAAAGGTGAGTAGGTGATTCTATGCGGCCAAGAAGGAAGTTTGCTCATCCTTGGTTGACAGACAGCACTATTAATGGAAAGGACCCACGGGATTCATGGCTCGTGTCCTTTGATGACGGGGTTTTCTTCCCAAGTCACAGGGCATTGTTGATTGGAAAGGAAGTTCTTCACGTTGTGTTCCAGGGACTGATGAAGAGGATGCGATGGAGCAATACACTTTTTCACACCAATGTACATACATAACACATTCGGAGGCCCCGATAACGGGTCGGTAGGACAAGAGGTCGTTGTTGGTTTTAATGGCTCTGGTTGGCTGGAGGAAGTTGCTTTTATAATGAAAAGAACTAGAATTCTTTTTGCTTCCGGGCATGTGCAATCAAAATGGGATAGGGGATCCATGCGGTCGGATTGGAAGATCAGGGCGGCGAGATGCCGAGCTGGAGGGTAACAAAGGCCGGTCAAGGCACCAACGGGCGAACTGGATGTTAAGGTACTGCTGTAAGCTGGTCAACAGTTCCTGTAGAACCGACACTCACCAACTCCACAACCCACTTGCTCACTGTCGCCAGCAGCGCTGGGGGCGATCGCCCACAACGAGCACGTCAGGGAATGTCACGGCCTACTACGGCTCCGGAGCGATTTAGGCGTGATGATGCCAATGCAACTGTCACGGTCAGTCTTCTTATTCTAGCCATATTTCTTCATAACCTGACTGGGCGCTGTCTCCTTTCTTCCGCCTCCAATGTCATTTTTCCTCTGACGTTCGCCATAATCAGTCCTTTACTCGTCGCCACTATTTCTCATCGTCGACGAGCGCGATGACCACGACGACCACGACGACCACACGCCCGACGTCGACTATTTCCATATTCCCGATTCGTTTCTCCCAAGAGCCACACAGCCCCGACTCAGAGTTGCCAACGTCGAGAGCGAGTCGCCTTTCTCTGCAGTCCTTCAAGTCGAAAGACAAGGGTAAGGCCCCCTTGCGACCTGGAGCCCCACCACGGCCTGACAATATGGGTGAGCTGGAGCTCTATCTGCGCAATGGATGTCGCGTAGACTAACACTTTGACGTGTTTCCTTTAGGCAATACGGACGCAGACTCGGTCAAGACCACAAGGACGATGGGCTCTACGCCATTCGCGGCGTACAGTTCAACACGGTCATCGTCCACGGACAGGGTAAACTCTGGCTTCAACTCGAGGAAGAACCGCGGCAGTCTCCTAGGCGCCGCTTCTGATGCCCTTGGATTGAAATTTGGCCGCAAACGACCCATAATCCGTCAACCGCCATTGCCCATTATCCTACCGGACGTAATAGAAATTAGTGCGCCCCCTCCGGACCTCGAGGTGGAAGAGCGGAATCGACTGCGTGAGATGGCTGCCCAGGCGATAGGCATCTCACCATATATGGCCCAACCGGACTCGCAGTCGCAGGAAGACAGCACAGAAGACGACGACGACGAGGACGCGTTACGTACCCCGGCTGACACTTCTGAACTCCGAAGGTTTGGCAATGCCAGAAACTCGGAATCGGCCCCAGATTTCGAAAACAAGAACCTCTACCTAGATACAAATGTATCTTCGGTAACGACCCCCACCATGGTCTCTGCTGTCTCTTCTCCTCTGAGGCATAGGTCAGGCTCTATGATTCACGCAAGATCCAACTCCATTACACATTCCCCTATCCCTTCATTCCCAACCAATGTCCTCTCCCTCAACCCTTTCCTAACATGCAACGGTTACCTCCCGAAATACACACAGCCCACATCAATGCGGATATTCACCCTATCATCAAAGAACTGGAAGAATCGCTATGTTATATTCACGTCACCCGTTACCCTAGTTTCCAAAGGCGCCATCCCGACCACTTCCTATCTCCACGTCTTCAAGTCAGCAGGACCCGACGAAAAAGAACTGGAGCGCCTAGAGATCAACGAAGACAGTGTAATCTTCGTTGCCGAAGACGAGGTTGGAGGGCGCCGGAGCGTTGTTAAAGTAGGAGGGTTGGAAGTGGGCGGGCTTGCACCCAAACCGGAACCGGGGACCGACAAAGCCCCTCAAACCATATGGCATCTCCAGATTACCGACCCGTCTGAGTCGCAGAAATGGATTTCAACCATCAAGAACGCTATCCTAGGACAACGGTACGTATCAAATCGCAATTGGTACGACGACGGTTTATTGACTTGATAAATTATTTACAGGACTGTTAGAGCGGGCCTTGGGCTTCCTTCAACACCAAGTGCCTACGAGCCTCGTGGAGACTTGGACGTCATGCTCTCGATTCGAGCGCAGGGTCTCGCCACTACTTTGCAAGCTAAAGCCATACCATCGCCCGCCTACGATTCTTTCCCGCCCATCGGGTCTCCGCCAGATCCCAACTATGCCTCTTCCATTTCTTCCCAATCGGTCAGGTCTCAGAGTACGGTTCCCAAGCCAGCCCCCGCTGGCGCGGTCTCGGCGTTAAAAGGATTATTTACCTCCCGACCTCGGTCCAATTCCCGTGCTACCTCGATTGACCTTGATGGGCGTTCTTCCGAACGTGAGGCAGAGGGCTCGTTTTCAAGTATGGGGAACAACCTCCTGAAGCTTCGGAGTAACAACTTGGCGCCCAGCACCTCCTCTCCGATCACACCACCCAGTGACATTAACAGTCGCAGCACCTTGGTCCTCTCTGGCCCCTCAGGTAAACGTCAGGAACGCAAGGTGCTTGCGGATCGTCAGGTAGACCAGTGGATCCAGCCCGAGGAGATAGACCCTGTGCAGCTGTTCCCTCAGAAGGAAACGAGACAAAATCGGGCGATGTCTCTGGGTTCTCTGTCACTCCAACCTCCTCCCAGAAGGCGGTGGAACTCTATACGACCGACCACAACCAGTCCAACAAATCATGAGTTTGCCTTCACATATGTGAATCGCGATGCGACAACGACAACAGTATTTGAACGGCCATCCCTCGACAGGGCAGAGACGGAGCCTCCTACTAGCCCGGTAGATTTCACTACGTTCGCCATTCCCGCACAACCACGCCCTCGTGCTCCTTCGTTGCAATCCGTTTCGACATATGGTTCGGAAAACACGACTAGCGTAGATCGTTCAAGCCTGAACACCAAACGCAGTTCCGGCACCACCAACAAACGTTGGTCAAGGCAACTACCCCGTCGATCGACACCGCCTCTTGGCCCGCCTCCCGCCGTCCCTTCCAACGCATCCGTGACCAAATTAAACGTCCATCCTTTCGGCCTCGACGATGTCCCAAGCACAGCATCGACTCACTCTTCAGCTCGAAGTCAGAAGAGTAGTGTTTCTACAGTACCTTCGTTTTCGAAGCGGACGTCTATCTCCTCTTCGATGAGTGGGGCCTCGTCCATTCAAAGTGGAAGTACGAGTACAGGACCAACGCGGGCAATGCGACACTCCATGCCGCCACCTCCTAAGCCAGCGCCAACTTCTGCGCTACCACCTGCTCCGGAACCCGAAGAGCCTTCCACACCCACACCTCCCCCTCTACCCATGCCACCCGCATTGAAAACATCATTCCGCAACTCTGTAGCACAACGTGCTATGCGTCTGTCCATGATCGCTCCGAAACCACCTCCCTCGGCCACCCTTCCGCCGAGGCCCGATGAGGTCGATCCGAGTATGACCAGCAAATCGCATCACCGACGCTCTTCAAGTTCAGGAAAAGCACCAGCACTAGACACCATCCCCGAACCTATCACGCACAGCAACCGCAGCTCCCTGACTTCTCCTTACCCACCTCCAATGGGTCCTTTACCACCGCCTCCTAGCACGGATACTACCACTCCTTCGGTTTCCCGACACTCTTCTTTGAAGCATCGGCTTCGCATGCTCAGCGCCCCAACTCCCTCTCCCATCAACTCTGCGATACCCCTTCCTCCCTTGACGAAAGCGTCTGGTACCACCTCCACACCTTCCACACCTAACGGTGAAAGACTTTCATTCCTATGCAACTCCAACTTTCCGGAACAGTCTTCCAGTTTCCTTCATATGCACACCCCTGTGCTATCTGCCATTCCCCCATCCCGTATTTTCGAGGAAGCGATCGTTGATGCTCGAGAAGCGCCAGTGGATGAGGGAGACGTTTTGGACCATGTTACCTCTCTTTCGCCTCCTCCAAGGAGACACTCAATAGTCAAACCTCTCATTGACACAAACCGGGGATCCGAACGACAGGTGGACGAACGGGCAGACAGCGTGAAGGGCAATGCCTCTTTAACGCCAACGAACGCGGACGAAAACATCGAAACGAACGATAACATTGATGATACCCACGACGCCAACGACGGTTTACGGAAAAGCGTGGATTTTGCACGACACCCTTCACAGATCTTCTCTCTCTCGCCTCCTGGAAGTGTCGCCTCTCTAGGGCCGGCGAATCTATAAATTAGATCGAAGCTTTGTTCGCGTCTCTTTCTTGGTTGTGCTGTACTGTTTCCTCCTAGCGTTCTTTTCTTCGTACGATACGGAAGTTGAGGGTTTCCTTTCTGGATCGCTTTTGATTACCCTTCTTTATGCAGCTTACCTTGTTACCCGTTTCTTGCTCAACTGTTTCAGTTAGTCGAGCTCTCATCTCTCTCGATGGAATTGTTTATCCATACTCCCTGTTCATCTGTGGACTCGTAGATTGTTGTAACCTGTCCAGTTGTATAATACCTACGTATTTATCGCACAGCTTAGTCCTAGTATGAGACTCTTGAATACCAATGCAATCACATATCACAACGGTAGTCGACCCTGCGAGGTGTCAAAACTCAGGAAGCTTAATCTAACGAGATGTTCATGTTGTTTCAAATGTGACCCTTGTAAGTATATAAAAAGCGAACAACTTAAAATCCAGTTAGGCCGGGGTATGGTACGGTGACAGTATTTTTTAAAGCTGAAGAAATTCCGTTGTTCGTAGCAGGGGATGACGATCTTTGATACGATCAAAGGCAAACACCGAAAGGGCTGATCGGACTCTATTGCTGTAGAAATCGACCCAGCTGTCTTGGCAATGGCAAATCTTTTACTTTGACTGCGATGCCTCCAAGACCTGTTCAAGAAATCTACAATACGAAAGGTCGACAGTCGACTGGCGGTACTAGGAAGAAGGGAAAGATAAATAAACGGAAAAAGCACGCAGCTACCGGCGATGGCGATGGAAATTCAGCTGTACAACCGTCACAACCTCGAGACTCGAACGCGGAGATTCTAATTCCCAAGTCGAAGGAGGAGAGGGAGAAGGAACGGAAGGCGAAACTGCTTAGAGAGGTTGGTGACGTGTTGCGTCGAACAATGTGGAGATATTGACTAGGCGTGTCTACCAGCTTCAAGAACAAACTGAGGCCAAATGGACTAGCAAGAAGAAGAAACGGTTAGAGAAATATATTGCAAGTCACGCTTAGCCTACTCGAGTCTGGGCTTGATTGACATTTTTTACAGGAGAAAAAACTGAAGAAAGAGGAGCGCGTTCACATCTTTGAGAAGCTTGCGTACGTCGGGAATACCAGAGCTCACAACCACTCGTTAATTGCCTATCCGTTCCAGCAAGAGCCAAGCGACTTTGTCGACTGCCGTTCTACAATCTTCTTCTACCCTCGGATCCGGAAAGACTCTTTCGCATCTAGAACGTTTGGAGAAGGAAGAAGATGCCGAGACGCGGAAAGCACTGGACGGGCGCCTCGGGAAGCGGAAGCGCCGTCGGGAGGAATACGATGTAGTCCACGGCGTCGATGAGGATGATTCGGATGAGGATGAAGATCTCAAACCCGCATCGCCTTCGCCCTACTTACTCCCTCACAAGGACGTCGAAATGGAGGAACCTCCGCCTAACGAGCCTGAACCGGCAGTAGTCGTCAACTCTTTGCCTCAGTCTGATCCACCAGTGGTTGGAAGTGCCCTGCGGCGGAACCCCGATGGCACAGTTGTCCAACCCAAAATTCGTCAGCGGACGAAACAAAAACAGGTTAGCACTGTCTCTTGCCTAAAGTGGTTCTTGTTGACGATAATTTCCCCAAGCTCAGGCATCGAAAAGAGGGTGGGGCTTCAAGAGGACAGTGGAGCAAGAACCTGAAGACTCGGATAGCTCTTTCGACAGCTCAGATTCTGCTTGTGATTCTTCGGATAGCGAGAATGGTGGTACAGAAGACAGCGAAAACGAGGAAGGATACGAGTCTGACGGTTCTCACGCCGGCAAATCTGAAATGGAGGAAGAGCCTCAGACAGAACCACCACCGAAAAAGAAACTAGCGTTCAAAGATTGGGCCCAGAAGCAGCTTTCCATGACCAAAGGATATGTTGCTCCGATACCCAGTGATGACGCACCCGCGATGGAAACTCCTACCACGACAATCGAGCCCCCACGGAAGAAAGTCAAACGCGAAGGTCCTCAAGATATTCGTGGCCCTCTTGGTCGCGACCTGGCCCTTCCTACAACTACCTTTGGACAGCACGTCCTGAAGACCGCGAAAGTCGCCGCGACATCACCCTCAATAAAGGTTATGGAGGTTAAGCGACCTGCGGATGTGGAAGAGGCTCGTCTACTGCTTCCAATCGTCACAGAGGAGCAACCAATCGTGGAGGCCATCATGCTGAATCCTGTGGTGGTTATATGTGGTGAGACTGGTAGTGGAAAGACTACGCAGGTCCCACAGTTCCTCTACGAAGCTGGTTTCGGTACTCCTGGCAGTGGTGAGTGCAACAACAAGCAATGGTGCGAATACCAACAATAACCCACACCACGCTAGACAACCCTGGCATGATTGGTGTAACACAACCTCGTCGGGTAGCAGCAATGTCTATGGCCTCGCGTGTTGCTCATGAGCTATCCTTGGCATCGTCCAAGGTCTCCTACCAAATCCGATACGACGCCACGGTTTCGAGCTCGACATGCATAAAGTTCATGACTGATGGTGTCTTGCTCCGCGAGCTGGCGACCGACTTCCTTCTGACCAAATACTCAGTCATTATCATCGACGAGGCACACGAACGAAGCATCAACACCGATATTCTCATTGGTGTGCTGAGTAGGGTAATCAAGCTTCGTGAGGAGATGTGGAGGGAAGGAAAGGAAGGTGCGAAGGTACATACTCAGCCCTTTCCTTCAGTGCAGAACTGTAAACTGACCCGTGTATCTAGCCTCTCCGACTCATCATCATGTCCGCCACTCTTCGCGTCAGCGACTTTGCCGAAAACAAGACACTCTTCCCGACCCCGCCTCCAGTAATCAGTGTTGGTGCACGGCAACATCCTGTCACCGTCCACTTTAGTCGCAGAACCTCTCCAGACTACGTGGGAGAAGCCATCAAGAAGACTGTCAAGATTCATACTCGCCTACCTCCGGGAGGAATCTTGATTTTTTTGACTGGTCAGAACGAGATTACCGGTGTTTGTCGCAAACTCGAAGCACGGTTCGGGACGAAGGTTTTGAATGCAAAGAAGCAACACCGAGCGACTATCGCGGCCAAGGCGCACGAAATCTTCCAGACTGAAGAACGCAACGTTAATCCCTCCCAAGGTAAATAGGTCGGTTGTCTATGAAATGGTGTTTCTGACGTCTCCTCTTCAGCTGCGGTCGAAGTTGAAGATTTGGACCTCGGCGTAGACGACAACGAGGATTTGGCTCTCGACGTGGATGACGGAATGGCAGAGCAGGATCCTGAAGCTTTGGATAGTGATGATGAGGATGACGGCGTTAATTCTGAGCTCCAACTCGAGGAAAGCGATGGTAGATCTGGACTTTGTTCTTTAAAAGCTCCTCTGACTCTCATTCCAGTTCCCATGCACATCGTGCCTCTATACTCACTATTACCCAGCGATAAACAGATGAAGGTCTTCGAGGCCCCACCCCCTGGGACGAGATTGGTGGTGGTTGCAACGAACGTGGCCGAAACATCGCTTACAATTCCGGGCATCCGTTATGTCGTGGATTGCGGTCGTGTCAAGGAGGTAGGAATGACATGGTCTCAAGTCTTCTTTCGTATTGACAGTCGTTTCCAGCGAAAATATGACCCTGCCACCGGAGTTCAATCTTTCCACATCACATGGACGTCGAAGGCATCAGCTCAACAGCGAGCTGGTCGAGCTGGTCGTACTGGACCGGGTCACTGTTACCGACTCTACAGTTCCGCCCTGTTCGAAAATTACTTTGATCAATTTTCCCAACCCGAAATCCAACGCATGCCTATCGAGGGAGTGGTCCTCCAGATGAAGAGTATGCACATCGACGCTGTCGTCAACTTCCCCTTCCCCACACCACCCGATCGGTTAGCATTGCAAAAGGCGGAACGGATTCTCATAAACCTCGGTGCACTCAAGGCGGATCCGACAAATACACCGACTACTTCTATAGCGAAGATTACGGATTTGGGAAGGGCGATGGCGTTGTTCCCCCTTGCTCCTCGATTTTCAAGAATGCTTGTAAGCGGGCAGCAACACGGGTGCCTTCCCTATGTCATTTCCATCGTTTCAGCATTGTCAGTAGGGGATCCTTTCCTCTACGAGGAATCCATCCTTCAAGCTGAATCCTCCGACTCCGAGTCGGATGGGTCTGATTCAGATGTAGAAGTGATTTCCAATGCCAAAGAGGAGAGGAGACTGAAGAGGAAGATGTTTTTCCAATCTCAGCACGTATGTCCGTTTCCGTGTTTAAGTTAACAGCGAGGTGTTTATCTCCCTCTTCTAGTTGCACTCGTCGCTTGGAAAATATACGAGCGATATTTTCAAAACACTTTCCGTGGTCGGGGCTTTCGAGTATGCAGGTGGCGGGCACAAGTTCTGTGCTGACCATTTTGTTCGTTTGAAGGTATGATGTCGCACACATCGTCCGCGAGATCTTGCCTAACTCTGCTGAATAGGCTATGGAGGAAATACACAAATTACGCGCACAAATCAGCAACATCGTCCAAGTCAATTTCCCTGCTTCCAAACCCAACTTCTCTGTGAAACTCCCACCTCCCTCGGATTTCCAACTAAAAGTCTTGAGACAGCTCTTGACAGCTAGCTTCATCGACCAGGTGGCAGTCCGCAAGGACCGTGTAGAGACGACTGAAACGAGTGGGACACAATTCAGGACAGCAAAGGGCGTCGCATATAGGGCATTGGGTATCACTGAAGATGTCTTCATACATCCGAGCTCTGTCCTCGTAAACAACTCACCACCTGATTTTGTCATCTTCCACGAAATAGTTCGAACTGGACGCGCGTATATGAAGGGTACGCTCCTTTTCTTACGCCTATCCGAGACAAGCTAACGAGATCTTCTAGGAGTAACCACGATAAATGCTGCATGGCTGTCTAAGCTTGGCAAGTCGGGAGGACTTTGCACATTCTCTAAGCCCGTTAAAAACAACGCCGGCCAGGTGATGGTGATACCCCGCTTTGGACCACACGGTTGGGAACTCCCCGCCATCAAAGCAGAAGACGCGTCGTGACGCTTTTTGCAAAGCAAAAGTACGTACAGTATTAATCGTGCAATGTAATGGTATGTAATCCCTGGGGGCGGGATGCGTGGCGATGCGCTCTATGTATAATTATGATGATACAGTATCTTTGTCCCGATTGTCAGTGCGATAGCTAATGTCCGAACGTAAAGATGAAAGCAACATGCAAGTATGGTCGACGAGGTTAAATCATGGCTACTGGTCTGGGTGTCAGCGAAACACTTGTGGCAAATGAAGATCTGTGACTGACCTTCTTTTTCTTCTTTGGAATGAACATCGACATTCCAGTCTTGGCTCGTTTTGGCGGTGGAGGTCGAGGTCCATTACCTGGGCCTGGCCCATTGCGTGGTTTTGGTGGGAGCCCGTTGGGGCCATCGTCCTCAGCAGGTCTTTTGAGTTTGGGGCGGGGTGACGATGAAGACCCTGATGCCGAGGCCACGGGCTGAGCAGGCTTGTTTGGAAGGCTGGCGGCGGTAGGGGGAGGATTGAAACCCTTCTTCATGGAATTCTTAAGAGCCTTCGGAGTGGCCAGTCCAGCTGGCAAATTTTGCGATTGAGAAGGTAGGTTGTCAGGACCTGACAAGCGAGGCTTCTTCCTCGAAGGTGTCTTCAGTGCCTTCATCACTGGTACTGAAGTCATGGCGCTTGGTTGGGTGAATGTTTTCGAGTCCACCTGATGTCTTGGTCAGCGTTGTCAACAGGGAATGAATCAACCGGGTATTTACATTCACGATAAGGTTCCTCTCTCGAGCGTCTGCAATTGCTTGCTTCCAAATGGATTCACTACGTTCCAAAGTTGGAACGTTTCCTAGAATGAACAACGCAGATTTGGCACGAGTGATGGCGACATTCAGTCGACGGACATCTAACCAGCAAGAGCGTCAGCACTGTGACCATCTTGCGCGAGTAACTACAACACTTACCTGCCATGAAACCAATTGACTTCACACCGGGTCCGCCACGAACACAGGAAAGGATAATAATGTCCTTTTCCTGACCTTGGAATCCATCCACAGTGTTGAAGTCAATTTCATCCAGGACAGACTGGCCAAATGCTTGGAAAAACGAACGCTCCAGTTCCTTGATTTGGGCACGATACGGCGACACAATCCCAATCTTCCTTTCCAACCCGAACTCGCGGAACTGAGTGCTCAAGCGGCGATACAACGCCGTGGCAACCTCGACTTCGGCTCTGTTTTTTAACGAATTCTGGGGCCCTTCTTCCGCGTTTCCATTGACATTGAAGATTTTGTAAATGCCTAATAGGGGTTCCGCATGCCATGGTCTAGCCGTGAGCTCCTTCATATTAGGCCCGTCTTGAATGCGGTCGTTATAGAAAGCTTTGCTTGGGAATCGACTGATTTCAGGATGCATACGGTATTGGATGCTGCACAAGAGCTTCACGTCAGAACGAGTTCATAAGGTCATAGATAAACATATACCTCAACAGGTGAACTGCCTTTGGAGACTTCTTGAAAAACCTCTGGAAGAGCGACTGATCGTACTTCTTGCTGGCAGCCTGCCATATATTGTTAGTCGTCCAAACCACGACATATCCAAAGAGGGAGACGGCGAACCTGTTGGGAAATCACAGTAGGAGGAAGCTGTTGAGGATCTCCGACCATAATGCAACGTTTGCTCTCGTATTTCAGCGGGATTAACGAGCTAAGCTCGACGGCTTGAGCGGCTTCGTCAATGATGACCATCTCGAATGTTTGGTCGAGAAGGGCTTCATGACCTGAACCAGATAATGTACTGCAGATGACGTCTGCATCCCTGATGATTTCAAAGCGGGCCTTCCGGCGGAGAGCCTCCATACTACGGCCATCCGATTTCAGTTTATCTCGTAGCTTGTTCAGCTCAGCGGCCAAGGCTTGACGTTTTCTACCCATAGCCTGGGTTTCCTGATCCAAGGCATTGTGGCGAGCATAGTTATTTTGGAGGTTGGTCATCTCCTTCAGCTTCTCGTCGCGCGCATGCTTCAAGGATTCCATCTCCATCTTCAACATACTGATCTGGCGGTTCAGTTCTTCAGTGGGAAACCCTTGATTTCCCGTCTCTTCCTGAATCTTGTCTTGGACGAGGGAGTCGAGAGAGACACCCTTGACCGCAGAGCCGATCGAACCCTGGGCACCCATGCGAACAATACTGAGCTTCTTCACTGGGTCGCCGTCACAGTATTTGGCCTTCAGACGCTGGGCGATTTCGTCGATGGCGGCGTTACTTGGAGCGCAGATGAGGATTTTGGGCTTGGCGGGCACTTCTTTGCTCCCAGGTGCCGTGATAGGAATTGCGCGCCGGGACATAAACCTGGCCACCAGAGCACAGATCGTCGAGGTCTTACCGGTACCAGGGGGGCTTGCAAAGAACGAGATGTCAATCTGGAGAAAAGTACTACTTTCTCAGCCACTCACCCCTGAATCAAAACAAAGCCCGTAGAGGCCATGGCCCCGATAATTGCGGTGGCTTGCGGCTCGTTGATCTTGTAGGTCGACATGGCCTTTTCCACCTCAGCTGGATCGATGTCAGGCATTCTGGCTGCTTTGGCGTGGAAGATCTGATCGCGTTGGGATTCGATGTGCGGTAGGGAAAGAAGTGCTCCGTACTCCCGGTTAATCGTGCTTAAACTGAAACGTACAGTCAGAGAATATCGTGGCAAACGGAAAGTACGCCCTCACCTGTACAGCTTGCTGATTTTCCAAGGGGTAGAGATAGTCATCCCCGGATCAGTGAGCTGACCGTAGCACCGGATGGTGGCCACGGCACCCATTTGACCTTTCCTAAATGTGACGGCTTTGCCCATAACAGTTTTCTCCCCGTCGGGACTTTCGAGTAAGACAATGTCGACATCGCTGAGGTCCCAGTCGTTCGGGATGGGGTCGGTGGCAGAGAAATCCATGTCAATCCAATCGCTGACGTATTGCTTCGAGGCAACGGTAAAGAGGTAGCTCGGTGGAACCTCCTTTTTCGTCCCTAGAATCTGGGCCCAACACTCGAGCAATAGAAGTGGCTCGAAGATCCGATGATATTGAGCGTAGTCTCTGAACTCCTCGGGTACTTGTTGCAAAATATCCGGGTCCCAATTGCCCGAGGGTGGATACGGACCGCTATGCTTATAGTCCCAGGAAAGGATAATCTTGTGGAGGTTGGAGATGTCAGGCCGTAATCGCAATGCTTTCTGCCTGTCCTTCTTGGCTTGCTCGATACGTTCTGCTTTCGGATTTGGAGCGGTACTAGCATCCATCATCTGAATTGTTCTTCGCTGTTCCTTCCTTATTTTGGGGGATTTCGGTAGTTGAGGACCAGCCGTTAGGGCAGCCAGAGCAGCTCCTGGATCATCGTCATCACTGGACTCCTCAGCTTCTGATGATTGCGGAGGATTCGACGTCTTGGTCGAGGATGCGGCTTCGGGTTTGGGGCCAGGTTTCGACGTGGAGGCGGTGGGCTGGGCGATCTTCTTGAACTTCGGCAGTTTGGATGCAGCCTTGATCTTCGCCTCGTCGTCTTTCAACGACTTGAAGTTCAACTGCTTCTGGCGAGAATCGAATGTGGATTGTTTGCCCTTGGAGCTGCTCAGCTGCTTGTTCAGCAACCGCTGTTGCTGCACATGAGCCGGGACCTCAACCTTCTTTTCCTCCTTGACAACTGGTTTGACTGCGCGCTTGTCAACCTTCTCCTTCTTGGGGGGTTTGACATGGGAGATGATTTCAATCTCGTCGCCGTCGTCGTCGCCGTCGGAATGGGCGTCAAACTGATAAAGTGCTTCGCCCAGCTCCATCAAGCTCGCAGGATCGAGTCGGCTCTTCTTCTGTTCTTTGTCATTGCGGGCACTGGCGACGAAGCGCTGCAATCTCTCGAGGGTGGTGTTGTCCGGTTTCTCGTCGGTTTCTTGGAGGACTTGCAGCAGTTTCCGGATGATTGCCAGTGACTGGTAAAGCAACTCCTCATCCGTCAAGCGCAACCATTTGAAGAACTGCGGCAGCATAGCCTTAAAGCAGGCCACGATCTCTTTTCCAGCGTGCGAAAGGCCTTTCGAAGGTTTGGCTGAATCGGAATTAATTGCGCTCTCGACGAGTCTCCACTGTCCGACAATATCCCTGCCTAATATGAGGGCGTCCCGCATCCACACCGTCATTTCCTTGGCTTTGTAAAAGCTTGACCAGACCGGCGTGTGTTTGAAAATTGTGGTAATGCATGTGGTCAACAGTTTCCAGAACGACAAAAGTCGGGATGCAGGGCCTTGAGGATCTCCAGGTCGAAGAAAAGTCTTGCTGAGCAGTAATCCATCAGGGCTCGAGCACAACACCTCCAAAACGTCGTTGAAACATCGAACGAGGGATGTGGACAGTGTACAAGCCTCCGGGACTTTGTTCGCGTGCTCTTGGAACGTCGTAAGGAAGTCGGTGAGACCTTCGAAGGTAATGATCGGGAGATTGCTGAACATTGCCCGGAAACAGTCCATTCGTACGTCAACGTCGAATGCGAGGCCGATGATGGATTGAGCTGCAGTTTGGCAGTCGGGCATGGGGGATAGGAGAAGCGAGATAACGGCCCGCCCGACCTCTGGTTTCGCCAAAAGGTTCATGGCAGTAGTTGAGAGACTGCTGTTCGTAAATCGGGAGATGGCGTCGAGAAAACCAGAGCGAGTGCCTGCTAGCGCTGCATTGATGCTGTCGATCGCCTCTGCACCAGCAATTGTGCCTTGACCGTGAGCTTCGACCCTCTCAATTTTGTGATATGACGTCTTCGTGAGGACGGACAGATGGCTGGTTTGTGCGGAGGCTAGAACAACATTCGCTATCGCGGTATCATCACGAGCCTGGATGGCAGAGTGAACCTCTTTCCATAGTGAGGAACAAATGGCTGGCGCTGGAATAGAGGGACCTTCGCTTTGTGGCAGAACTCCATTCATGATATCGCAAACCCGGTCTACGGTGGAAAGGATCCTGGTCGAATCGCGACCAAAGATGAGGTTGAATAAATGGCGAGCTGACTTTCGGGTTTCGGCCCAATCGTTGCTTGTATGGCTGCGACCGTAGGCAACGCCAACCAGTGCCAAGCCATGAATGTCGAGCGTGTTCCTGAGGTCGTCGTCGTAGCGGGCTTCTTTATCCTTTCCACTCCTCTCAATGACAGAAGTTAGCAACTAGCGAAAAATCAGTACCAGTGTGTAAGGTCATTGTTGGATATTACTTACTCGGACTCCCGCTGCCATGATAGGAGGCCGCGCGTCAGCGAACCGTTCATGCTGAAGTTCTCGACAGAGAAGATCGACGGCTTTGGCGAGGACCTCTCCATATGCACCTGTACCATGAAGGGTATAAAGGAACTCTGAGATGCCAGGGAGGATCCGAGCTCTATCCTTCCCGTGAAACAGCTCCAGAAAAGCCTGGTTGTCCTTCATGGAATCAAAACAAACTTGGGGGAAGTCGTGCGCTTCGCCCGTCCAGAAATTCTTCCCTAGGCGTTTGAACAGGAAGAATAGGGACTTGAGAACATTAATGAGATCTATATACCGCACGTTAGTCGTGAAACGATCGTCCTGCACGGGGTATACTTACGGGGTCCAGTGTCATGCAAATGGCTTGTTACGAGATGTCTTAAATCTAGGTTCTGGTTGCGATTCGACAAAATCCAATCGGCTGGAACAAGTCGCAAGACGGTGCTGAACGCGGACCAAAGGATGATAGGATCTGAAGAAAGCTGCACCGTTGAGATTGGAGAGGCTGGATTTGACTGAGACTGGATAGCTGCGGTAAGGGCTCGAAACGCCTTGACGTAGGAAGGGGTAAACTTCTCCAATGACATTATCGCAAGCTCCAGTGATGGGAGTTGACGGCAAGCCCATTCACGAAGCTTCTGTGAATCGTCGGACATCGATATGATTAGACCAGGAGGGCAATGATTTGACGGCCAATCGGGTACGGCACTGTCGGGTACGAAGGCGTGCAGGATTGCTTGAACATTGGAGTCCGTAAAGACTGTCCAATTCGCCAGGATCCGGTAGAGTAGGGGAGGAGGCACCTCTGCCAATGTGCGGCCTTGGTTCCGGGATATTGGCGCAGTCGAAAATCCTCGTGTTTCCAGGTCTGCCAGCACCCTCGTCAACTCCCAAGCTTCAAACTTTTGAAAGAATGTGTCCAATATCTCCTTGGTATATGCACCAAAATATCTAGGGCAGAATGTGAGATGGCTACCGCTTGAGTACTGACAGAACGTACGTGGACCGTGCCGAAATCTTTATACACTCGAGGCTTTCGACGCAAAACGCGCAACTCGAAAGACATCTGTGAAAATGCTTCTTCCATTCCTCCACCAACGGGCCGTCGAAACCAAAAAGGCGAAGCAAGAAGCTCGCTGCAGCAACGGTGGTACGTGATGCCTTGTCGCAAAACCAGTGTAGGTCTCCAGGTTTGGCTGAAACGTCCTTGATCAAGTAGTCGTAAACCCGTCCGAGGACGTCGTCGCTGGCTGAAGCATTGTCGGCAGGATTGTCGCGCAGATTTTCGAGTAGGGCATCAATGGATTTGCCTCTGTTCTTGGTGCTCATAGGACCCTAAAAACCAATTTTATGGATCGCGTCGGACCCACTTCTGATTTCGTGAGAGAGCCTGAAATCTTGCAGGGACCACAATATTCAAAAAGTCGAGCTGAAAGGTAGTGAGCCCCAACCACTGTTCGGTGGCATCTAGCAGTTGTGTCGTGGTCAATGCCAGGCATCGCGAATAATGGGCGGAGTCTGTTAGTGTGTCCAATCACCACGTGAGTCAGGTCGCGTCGGGGGCGCTCCAATCTCTGTTCTCGTCCTCCTCCACCACCACCACCACCACTAAAATTCCTATCGAATATTTTGATAGCGACCATGGATCCTTCAGATTTGGAACAGCTCAATGTGCTACTCGATGGAGACTCTGAATTGCGCGAGGTGAACTCTACCATCAATCTACACCACCCACCATAACCACGAGCGTCTCGGGACAGAAAATCAGAGATCAAGTCACTGAATTCGACAAGAAGGCGCGTACCATGGTTGGCCTGCTCAACCGTATCCATGTTACTCCGTCTGACGCCAGTCTGTGTCGTATATCGTCCCAAGCACAGACGCTACAACCGACTTATGCTTGAGTTTCTTAGTGCCCGCATTGCTGGATTCCGTGCGACCTGCCCTTTTGAGCTGCAGGGACGTAGCGGAAGGACTCGCCGATCTTATCCCCCCGAACCAGTTCTGGCGATGGAAGGACATGTGGTCCAACTCGCTCAGAACAGCTGTCTTTGCTGCCGTTCTGGTCGAGTACTTGACGTCCAGGACCCTGGCTTCGTTATCTCAAGTGTCTGACCAACTTGGTTGTAAGTGATGACATCTTCTCGTGGCGTATGCTCATCGGCTTCAGTGAAGGAGGAGTGGAAAGATAGAATACAGTTGGCCGTTGAGGACTATCTCCACGGCATTATCAGTGTCGTGAATGAGCTGGTGAGGAGTCGCCCTCCGAGACGACTTGGAACCCATTTCTCACTATGCCATAGTCTCGGCTTGCGGTGAACGCGGTGACGCTAGGAAACTTCGAGGAACCTCTCAAAATATCTACATTTGTGAAGGATGTATTTGTCGGATTCTCCATGGTAAGCCTCTGACATATGATGACAGAGAAATATACTGAGCCTTAACCCGAGCTAAACCTCAAAAACGATTCATTGCGACGTCGATTTGATAGTTTAAAATACGATCTCAAAAAGATTGAAGAAGGTTCGTGGTTTGGAGTATCCTCTGGTCTGTACTAAACATAGTCACAGTCGTTTATGACGTTTCTTTGCGGAAATTGGCACCCGAAGGAGCTGTAGCCACCAACACTAGTTCGTGAGCTTTAGAGGCCAAGCGTGTAAGGTTTGCTGGATAATTATTCTATGAAATAGTTTTACAGGATGGAATAAGGGAAATGCGAAAGCGAATGCTGGTAGTAAAAGACGATGAATTGTACAGAGGTCAGGAATGAGGACAGGAAGGGGAAACGTGCGCCCTGGAATCCTCGGCGTATGATGCCTCCAGCTTGGATGCAATCGACGATGGAGGGTAAACGACAGGCAGGTCAATCCGGTTGGCTCGTTTGCTAATAGGTCGTACGTCCTGGGTTGGAATGGGAGATCGGCGAATCCAGACTACTTTGTGCATTTCGCCCTGACGCCAGAGGTGGAATGTATCCACTCGCAGGGCCAATGGGTGGGGCCATCCATGGTGGATCTTCCTGAATAGCGGGAGGAAAAGAAATGTCAAAAGACATGAGTTGTAGACAGGTGGTAAGTGGTTAGTTTACCCCGGTGACATCCATCATCTCCGAGTCTACCGTCTCTTCCTCATTGTCAAGCTCCTCGTTCGTGTGACCGTTCACGAGTGGCGAGGGTTTGGCCGAGGCGCTCGTAGCAGTAGCGCCGTTCCTCCCTGACCGCCGCTGGCTAGCCGACTCCGCCTTTGAGGAGACGCTAGCGCTCCGGCTGCTCTTGGCAGAACCAGAACCCTTTTTAGGTTTCGCAGTAGACGCCGATGCAGAGTGGCCATTGGCCTGAGCCTTCCCATTCGTGCTCGCCTTTTCTTTTTTGGGTTTCGAGGATTTGGAAACCGTGGATGAGCTTGCTGCGCCACCGTAAAAGGGGGTGTTGTTCATGTAGGGAGGTGGGATGTACCCGCCGAGTGCGGGGTCTTCCTCTTCGAGTTCTTTCAGCCTTCTCTCGCGGAATTCCATGGCGTATTCGATGTTCATCGCCCGAGGAATAATGTCTGCAGGTATAAGCCAACATGAGTGCAGGTTTGGCGATAATAATGTATTGAACGCACCCTGGAGGAAAGCCATCTCGGGTTGGTAGGCAAGGGGCACAATGGCTGGAAACCAGTGGTCAGCAAGCGTCGGCGCTCTTTAGAACCCGACCACCACCTACCCATATCTTCATACCGTATAAGATTCGACTTTGCGTGCTGCGCTTCGTCCCAGGCAAATTTCACGAGCATTTTGATGAACTCCTCCTGCACCACGACATCAGAACACAACGGACCACGGGGAAGGGAGAGAATGGGTGGTAATACGGACTGTGGCGATGGATAACATGAACTGGCCCTCCTTTGACATTCCAAGATTGCTGCCACTGGCGTGGATACCTGCAAGGGAGACGGTTTGAGTGGAACGGGGGACCAGGAGTTGCGACTGAAAACGCGACACGTTACCATTGGCTTGGAGGAGATTTTCGATCTTGGAAGCGGGGAATAGTGTGGAACCAGGAACGCGTACACCGGGTTTACTGGTTGACCCGCTTCTTCCAGCGGTGGACGCTGAGGGAGGGGCGGCGGATGAGGTCGAGATGGAGGGTGCAGAGGGCCCGGTTGCGGTGGGGGCAGGGGCTGGTTGTTCGTCATCTGAGGGATCGAGTTCATCGACTTCGAGCTCGGCCTCGACGTCTTCCTCGTAGGGCAGATCGTCGCTCATTGGAACGTCGTCGGATATGGAGGCCATTGGTGTAGCCATTTGGGCGGAAGGGGGTTGGGGGACGGACGAGGAAATCAACGTGGCCCGTGCAGGATGAACGGGGGTGGAAGTTTTAGTCTTAGAGGCGCTGCTGGCGGGGAAACAGGTCTCGCTAGTCTGGGCATGTGCGACTCATTGGGCCTCAGGTCTGCCGAACACAAATCATTTGTTTATACACTACTGTACATCTATTTTACAATTCAACTCCACCCCTAGTCAATGGGTATTACAGTGCTTTCTTTGTTCTCCTTCGCTTTTTGCAGTATCACCGTCAGCACCCCGTTCTCCAACTTGGCCGACACGCTCTTGGGGTCAACTGGCTGGGGGAGCCAAACGGTGCGGGTGAAGGAAAAGTTATTTGAATAGTTGACAGGTCTTTCTGCCGATATCTGGGTGTGACTCTCGTCCTTTTCCGTGATGGCTTGGGCAGTGGCTGGAGAGACGGTGGAGGTCAGCCGGGGGTCCATGAGAGACGGAACATCAGAACACCTACCATTCTCCTTCGAAGATCCAGAATCTTCTGTGGCAGGCTGGGAACGACCCCTGCCCACTATCTTCCCTTGGATGGTGAGGCTTTCGCCGTTGTCGCCCAACCGGATTTCGAGGTTCTCCTTTTTGATGCCTGGAAGGTCGGCATCGACGATGTACTGCTCCCCCTGCTCCGAAATATCGACTGCAGGACGAGTTATAAGGTTGTTGAAAGGGTCGATTGCTCGAGGGTTCGAGAGACTCGGGTATCCTCCATAGAACCCTGCCCCAGCGCGGCCAAACGGCTCTTCGAGCAGTCGGAAGAGAGGGCGGATTTCGTTAAAGAGAGAACGGCCAATGGACATAGCTATATGGAGATATGCGTTTCGAGCGTACTGACCTCCTAGTCTCTCTCCATCTCTCCTTTATATACTCCCTAGAGCAGCGGGAAAGGAGTCACCTACTCCTTTCTGCTCCTTTCTCGAAATTCCGACGCCGATCGAGAACATTGGAGGTCGCTCCAATCTTGGTAACCACCCCACCTGCCTGGACTTCGTTCCAGAAAGCCATAGAATTAGGAAAGTCTAGGGTTACAACAGAATACAATGATGAGATGATAGGGTAACTACATATGCAAAAAATCGTGAAGAGATGCAAAGGGGCGAAGATCAGTGCTTCAGGATGGTGCGGACGGGTGGGGATGTTCAACCACCCACTCTGCCGATACAGCGTGCTCCTGGTTGTCGTCATCCTCGAACTTGAGCTTGTAAATTGGTTGCTTGGCCTAGGAGTAAAGTAAGGCTCCATGTAGAAAGTTCGAGAACGAAAGGCACTTACCCCGGACAAGGCCGTCATCTGCTTGGGAGTAGCCATGACCTCGGCACGATAGAAACAACTTGTATCAGGATACAGTCCTAGAACTGTCGAACCCACTGGAAACTCGTGTAGAGAAGATGCTTTGGGATCCGGAAGTGGGATCACAAACTTCTGAGGAGCAGTGAAGCTCGCAGCCCTAATGACCAATCAGTCAGCGTCAAAACCCCCCGATCTAAGCCACATCACTTACTGCGAGCCTTCCTGCTCTTCAGCGTCTCGGACTTCATATCTATAGGTGAGAATTAGTTTAGCGTTACCTATCATCACAGCGGAACGCACGTACACGTATTTCCCTTTCTCACTGCTAACAACTCTGATGACGATGGCAAGAATCCAGTCTTCTTCAGAGTTGGGGTTTACCCGACTGTTCCACAATGCGACTTTACGACCGCCTTGCAGCGGATGTATCCTCTTCTTATTGGACGGCCCTACGGAGCTCGTTCGCGGGGGAAGAGTTATAGAGACCCCCCGACTCGAGCTTTGAGTTTGCCCTGGTGTGGGCGTACCAGCAGGAGATGAAGCTCGAGGCGCTCGCTTAGCTCGTTTATCTGGGGATTGGATTTAGTCCAGACTGCCGTTCCTTGGCAAAAAATAAAAATAGAAAACTACCTGCAACTGTAATCTGTTCGGGTGGTGCCTTCCTTAAGGCCATAAGAACCTCAAGGTGCTCCAGAGCAACGTGAAGTAATCTGTGCGAGGACAAGTCAATACCAAGAAATCACCACTTCGAACAAATAAAAATCCAGGAAAAGACCTACTGAGCTTCAGCGTCCGCATTCTTTCGAACTTCATCCAATGAAGTCGAGAGTTTCTTGTAGTTCTCTTTAAGGCTCTTCCAGCCTTCTCCGGGTAGATCATCGTCCGTGGGCCATGTGGATATTAACCTGTTGGCGCGCCCTACCAAGTCCAGCGGTGGGTAATTAGAATAGTGCTTCGCCAGATTCCTCAGAGCTTCTGCGCTCCTGGTCCAATATTCCACATCTACCAAACACCAAGTGTCCAAGTAAATGACAAACGAAGGCATTTGCAATTCGAATGCGCATCAGATAGAGAAAGCGCCAAGAAAACGTTTCGTTAAATCCCCGATGACGAATGGTGAGGAGCTGTGCAAACCCACCTTCAGAATATAGCCGTGATGGGCCACCTCGTCGTCTATCCATGTTCGAAATGGCTAGAGGGTGGATATGTGGAAGAAGAAGGACTTCCTGGTGGCGTCTTTCATGAACTCATTAGAAAGAAACGGTCAAAGACACAAACGAGGCCCGGTGACATATTCAAACTCCGCTCTGTTTGGACACATGCCTTCCGAATGGGGCAGATGGACCGAACTCCGCAAGGTGGTCTCGAGTTCGAGTGGTGTGAAAGGGGGAGTTAGGCCAGCAAAAGAGGGCGTCAATGTGACTATGGGTGACCAGGTAACTACAGTCTCCTTGGAAAGTGTCTCTGAGCGTTTTTGTTCGTTGACATGGTGTGACATTGGCCCTTCACACAGTGGAACTTCGCGATCGGGCACTAACTACCCCAGAAAGCAGAACTTGCAGTCCCTGGGAACACAGGTCCTGCTGTGCAGGCGAAGATAAGTTCCTCCAAAAGTGGTCAGTACGAGGCAACTAACCATACCAGCGCACTCCTCGAGTTATATATCTGATCCGTCGGTACCACATCTTCAGTTATGTAACATACAACCTTCCTTCCACCTGGTGCCTGGAGCTGTGTAAAGCTCAAGAGGATGCAGTCAACAGTATCTTCTTGAGCTCCTCGCAGACAACGCCCTAAAATCTACATCCAACGTTGTCACTCACACATCCCACTCTTCCCGCGCCTACCAAGCAAGCGATTGTTTCTGGGATCATGCGGTAGGCCCGTTCCACGCTGTTCCACGCCCGCTATCCAACACCTGGGGTCTAACGTATACAGTGTCCCTCGACTTCGCCGGTGCGCGATCTCCTCAGGGCCTGCCTTAACCTTTTCAGCACACCTCTTGTGGTTGGGGCAAGAACGGTGGTGCGACGAGGATACCCTCCTTCGATTCAACTGTATTGAGGTCTGAGCCCAACGCCAGCCGGCCAAATTTTGTTATATGGGGGACCGCACCGGACAATAATAAATAGGCCTTATTTCGAGATTACATAGGCTTATTTCATCAACAAGCGGGATGATTCCATGTAATACTTATTTCATGAATATACTTTGTTATCTGGACACGCATGCGATATCCTTAATTGCAGCGGACGACCCTTTTTCGGGACTTAGTCTTATTTCATGGATACAGTACTATTTGCCGACTAGTGCTATTTGTAACTTACATGGGAGATTTGAAGTAGGAAACGTAGGTTCTGTTATTCTCAGTGCTCTTTTGATAGGACACGCTAGGTCATAATTACTGTTGACTTCTAGGATAGGCGGGATGCGCCTTGATCTGTCCACTAGCGGATAGGCGGCCCGCCACATGACACGTCGCGATCCCATTCAGCGCTCAGCGTTTGGGCGCTCACGGCCAAGGAAATGGGCGTTAATCCATAGCTCCGGTTCACTATAACCTGGAAAATGTAATGGAAAAGCAAAGCGATCCGCTTTCCAAGAAGCCGTAGAATTACTTACCTAGGTGAAAGCATATCGAACTTGGATAAAAGCAAATACCCTTCCCCTTGACACCGCTAGCCTGTTCCATGATTGTCAATGGGGAAACTTCTCCATACGACTAACCTTGTAGTGCCACCTCGCCTCCTGACCCTCAGGCCTCTCCTGCCCGCGGGTTCTGTAAAAGCGGATGTAACTCAAGGCAGTGAATGCTTACCAGTCAAGTTCTTCCATATGAATGATAACTCATCGAAGCCGGTGCCGCAGTGCGGCGTGTAACTACCATAGCCTTTTGCACCTCGCCGTCCGAATTCTTTCTCTCCACCACTTCTCGAGAGGAACTTCATGAGCGTCTTCAACATGCACATGGTCTGGCGGAAAGCCCTAAAGCGCCCTGCTAGTTCTGAGCCTCCCAGGTCCTGACTGTCCAGTGTCAGTTGCCGTAGCGATGTTTTCGAAACTTACTGAGGGTCTCCCAATATGTATATCATGACATACAGTCTTCTGCTTGGCCCTTCTTTTGTTTGAGTGCAACGCGACTCCCGATGCCCATAGTGTTGGAATCTACTCGCTGGGTCCAAGGTAACCGCGTAGGATGTCTGTATTTTACGCTGCCTTTCGAGCGCTTTTTTTTTTTTTTTTTTTTTTTTTTTTTTTTGAAAGCTAAGATAGGTTTTCCTACGCAGATTCTGAGCTTCTTGAGACCCACAAACGCGCCTGGCGCTCGTCGTCGCGTTGGCGAGTCGACGCGTTTTCACCGATTCGCTTGGGGGAGTGTGGGGCTTGGCGCCCCGATTAGCGGACCGTGGCTTGCCAGGCTTGATTGTGGGGCGACCAACGGTATTCATAGATTCTAGAATAAGGTATATATTATTTAGAGTGTAGCGACTGCTATTGGTGAAATAAGATGTGTTTCGTAAATTGCAATACTGCGGGACTCTGGCCTATCGATGAAATAGGCCTTGACCTTGAAATAAGACCTACCTGTGAAATAAGGACTATCACTCACATACAACTGTTCGCTAAATTACTCGCAGGCTTCGATCTAACGCGTATCGTCGAAGGAAACATAAATTTGATTTGCGGGCAGGGCTATTCACAGGGGTCCCACTATCTCACACAAGGGCTCTCTAAACTGCAAGTGGGCGGCGTAACCGCGAAATAAGGACGTCTAATTCTCAAATAGTGGCTATTTGGTTTTGTCTGATGCGGCCGCTTATATTGTTATGTCATCACCCGCGGGCATTAGATAATCTAATCCATACGAATAGGGGGCCTCTCTGGTAAACCAGCAAGCGGAGCATCTCTCCCAGTTTGCTTCTGGTTTCCATATCCTTGGATAGCTCGCTTCGACAAGTCAAACACCGTCTAACCTCAATATATTGCCCTTATCAACACCAAGCGCAGGATAACTGCGAGAGCAATGTCAGCCTCCAAGATCAGCCAACTCCCCATCATCAATATTGCACCATTCCTCAACGACAATCCGAATGACGAACCTCAACGACTGGCAGCTTCCCAAGCACTCCACCGCGCCTGCGTAGAATTTGGGTTCTTCTATCTCAACCTTGAAGCGTTCATCGATCCCAAAGAACCGGAAGAACTCACGCGATTGGGGAGAGAGTTCTTTGGGCTGCCGCAAGAGGAGAAGGACAAACTCGCTTTGAGGAACCAGGATTATGCAAGAGGTGGGTGATGAATTGTTGCCATTACATTGCTTTTCGTAGAGTTGAAGAGAGCAAACAAGAAGACAAGTGTATTGATCAACGAAGCTTCATCTATAAACAGGTTACCAGCGCCTAAAGGAGAACGTTACGAACGGCAAAGCCGATAACCACGAAGGGCTCGATTTCTATAAACCTGTCGCGAACCCCGACAAGGCGAAACCGCTTTGGGGAGAGAACCAATGGCCAACAAACGAGATGGTCGTGGGGTTTAGAGAGAAATACGAAATATGGGTGAACAAGATGAAGAAGCTGGGAACGATCGTTATGAGAGCGTATGTTCTTTTGTTCATGTGGTATCGACTTCATTTGACCCCAATCTCGCTGGTGCATCCAGTATGGCCGTCGGCCTGGGAATGGACGAAGACGAACAAGAAGATTTGCTAAAGAAGGTTGATGATAGCTTCTGGGTGATGAGAGTTATAGGTTCGTTAGAATCATATCCGTAGAGCTGATGCAAGCGAACTCACCGTGACCTCAGGGTATCCCCCATTGCCCAATGACCACGATGGATTCTCCTGTGGGGCACACAAGTGAGTCTCGACACCCGTCCAATCATAGGATATCAGCGCTAACGACAACCACCAGAGACTACGGCTGCCTAACGTGAGTGACCGGTCTCCCTCTCCTTCCACCAGTGTTGACTGTGGTGCAGATTCCTACACGCCGACCCAACACCCTCTGCTCTTCAAGTCTTCCTGCGTAGACCGGGAGCAAAGGAAACAGACGAACAAGGACTTCCCCGCGAGCAGGGCGAAGAAGAAGGCGTGTGGATCAATGCGGACCCGATTCCAGGTTGCGTTGTGTGCAACATCGGTGAAAGTGAGTTAATTCTCTGCGCCCTTCATGCGGCGGCTAGGACATGGGTTGACCGGGTCGAACTGCATAGTGTGGGAGACGTGGACGGATGGGTTATACAAGTCGACTTTACACAGGGTTGTGCACCGAGGCTCAAACTATCGGTAAGCATGCCTGGTTGAGTCAGGAAGGATCCTTTAAGACCTGACCCCTTCCTCCCCTACACGTATGCTGGAACCAGAGTATCGTACGTGATCAGCATATCCCGTTTCCCAGTTGTTGACGCATCTGTAGGATCCCGTTTTTCTTTGAGCCAAACTTTGACGCGCTGGTCGAGCCTCTGCCAGCAGCTCTCCGCGCGAAAGCAAAAGAGACGGGCGTCAAGTTGGAGGATATCCGGCCAGAGAAAGAACCGATTGTATACGGGGAGTTTTTGATGAAGAAAGTGGGCAATAACTTTGCTGTCGAGGGTAGAGATCGATACTAGAAGTCCTGTGGAATCTTGTTAGACAAGGGGACGAATACGTAGCTTGCGCACCTCGGCTGTGTTGAAGTTTGGTCTTGATGGTTCCTCTGAGAACCCGGAACGGACTCAGCGCTCAGCGTCGGCGTCATCGCTGGCCGTCATTCACTTTGCTCCCTTCTGAAAGCCACCACTCGTCTGTATTCACCCTGAGGTTTTCTCTATCCCATCCATTAGACAGCTTCAACGAGATAAGCCCAAGACAAGCCTTCCGAACTTCCTTTTTATACCCCCAGCCACGTGACATGGCCTCAATCCTGACTCGGATATGGCTCCCTCGAAATCTCTTCTCTCATCGATTTCTACGACCTCACAGTTGCCTGTATACACGACGGAACATGTCTTTCCAATCGACCGTCGCTGGCCTTCCAGCCTCTGTCAAAGATCTCGTCCTCAAGGTCACCCAAGATGGCACTGATGCCACTCTTCTCGGAGAGAGCGAAGCTGATCAGAAGAGTGTAAACGGTTGGATCGAGAAGACTGTAAAGGGAGAGATTGGCAAGGCCGAGAACCTCAAGGTGCGTTGTGCCTGTATATCTTAGCGACGAGGAGACTGAATTTTCGGATCTGACTAGGACCTGAACGAGATTCTGACGCCCAAGACTTATCTCGCGACAAACTATCTTACCGCCGCCGATGTCGCTTTGTACGGCGTCCTCCACCCCTCTTTGGTATGTAATCAAGCATAACGAATCTTCAAAACATTTATCAGACTTTTCTTGCTTCCATTAGACCGGTCTCAAAGGAAACGACTTCTTCACCCACCCATCCGTGACCCGCTACTTTGACCACATCCAATCCCAACCGACTGTTCGATCATCCGCAGATGCACTCCAACAACAATTCCCTCTCATACCCATCAGCCTAGAGAACGCACCTGGTGTAGAGCGCAAAGCTGAACCTTCTAAGAAGAAGGAAAAGGCTCCAAAGGCAGGCACTGAATCCGCTGCTGCTGAGGGCAAGGGCAAATCGAAAGAAAAAGCACCCGCTGCCGCCGCCGAAGGAGGGGAGAAGGCGCAGAAGAAGGAGAAGAAGGCCAAGGGTCAGGAAGAGGGCGGTAGCAAGAAGAAGGAAAAACAGAAAGCTCCTGCTGCTGTTGACGATGGCCCTCCTGCACCTTCTATGATCGACCTTCGGGTTGGACACATCGTCGACGGTATGTTCATGTTTTTCCTGTTGTTATTCCTAACTAACCGCTCTCATTTATAGTTGCCAAACATCCCGACGCCGATGGATTGTACATTGAACAAGTCGACCTTGGTGAGGAGACTGGGCCTCGTACTGTCGTCTCTGGTCTTGTCAACTACATCCCTATCGAAAAAATGCGAGATCAATGGATCGTCGTCGTCGTACGTATAATATTTTCGCCGTGAGATATAGCTCGCTGACTTCTTGCAAGTGCAACCTCAAACCTGCCAACATGCGTGGTGTCAAGAGCCATGCCATGGTTCTGTGCGCAACACACAAAGATGGCAAGGATGCTGGCATTGAACTCGTTCGACCACCCGAGGGCTCCAAGCCTGGCGAGCGTATCTACTTCGAAGGAGAGCAGTACGAAAATTCAACCCCTCTTTCCCAGCTCAACCCTAAGAAGAAGATCTTTGAAGCCATCCAACCAGGTACGCCCCCGTATATCGTTCCTACATTCGGTGTGCTCACCTCATTCCAGGTTTCACAACCCTCGAGACCAAGGAGGCTGCTTGGGTCAACCCCGAGACCGGCACTGTCCACAAAATCCGTACAAAGGATGGTGTCTGTGTTGCCCCCACATTTGTCGGTGCCTCGCTTTCTTAGAGCATGTAATTAGCATAGAGCAAAAAGAGAGTACATTCCGCATTCTCCGGGATTTCGAACTGACGCGTTCCACGCGTTGTTGTGCGATGACTTTGGAACCAAACAACCCGACGGCGCGGGTGACCAAAAACTTGTCGGTGCAGGTCGTTCCAAGTGCCGTCACAATGCTAGCTCAATCCCGAGTATTGGCGTCCTCCTCGTTTAAGCGGTCGTTCAGCACCTCATGTCGCCTCAACTCTCACATTGGTCGTGAACCAATCAAATACAGCCCAGAGGTCACCCTTACACGTACACCGACCGCGCTCTCAGTCAAAGGTCCCAAAGGAACGACCGCGGTGCCTCTCCACCCATTCGTCCAGCTCGACATGTCGACACCGAACACCCTCTCCGTCTCTGTTGAAGACGCTAAAATCAAACAACAACGCCAAATGTGGGGGACGACACGGACACTTATTGCCAACGCCATCACCGGTATGACGGAGGGATTCAGTGTACCTCTGTATTTGGTTGGAGTTGGATACCGAGCTAGCTTGGAGAATGAGGGCGGAAAGAGGATTCTGAAGATGAAGCTGGGTCATTCGCACTTCATTCACATGGAGGTCCCGCCACATATTGGGATTGAGGTGCCGAATGCAACCAAGTTAGTGTTGTCGTGTACGGATAAACACGAATTGGGACTGTTCGCTGCCAAAGTTCGGGCTTGGAGAAAACCAGAGGTCTACAAGGGCAAGGTGCGTTTTGCTTTAGTTTTGAAATTCTGGCCACTGACATCGTGACTTAGGGCGTCTTCATTGGCAACGAACAAATCCGGCTCAAGAGCGTCAAGAAGAAGTAGTCGTTAACACCTCCCCCCCTACACTTCCTCTTCGCTGTCGTAATACTCTCGCATCATCTCACTTACACCACTCTGCATAGATAATTCAGGATCCCATAAACTAGTTAATAGCGAAAACGCGTCCAACATGTGCACACACCAAACAGGCAAAAGTGAGCTTCTGTCCTGGAACAGTGTATCGAAGAAAAAAGTCCAAATGTCTGGCACATTAAGGAGGGTAAACTAATGTATGCATAGCGAAACCGAACTAGTCTCCAGCTAGTTGTAGATGGGTAATGGCAGCAACCTACACGTACCTCGTAAGTGGACGCCCTTCAAATTGAAATTAGAACCCACCTATCCGCATTGAACAAAAAGTTGTTCGCGACATCTTCCCCTTCCAGGAACCTTGTGGGGTAGACCACCAGGTGTCCGTTCAACTCACCCAGCAACTTCTCCATCTGGTCTCTCTCCCACTTCTCGAAGACTTCGGAGCCTTTGGCAGGCCTTGAAGGGGGGCGCTTGAAGGACTCATTCGTCGCGGCAGATGATGGCGCTTCCTTGGGTTCTTTGAGCTCTGGTGGTTGCTGCTCTGACGCATGGCCTTCTTTACTGGTTTCCGAAATCACGTCGCTCGTTGTAGCAAGCCCTGCGTCCTCTTCAGACTCAGACGATACGCGCGTAACGGGGTCACTCGGGGCCTGAGGGAACACGGTCAATGATTTGTTTTCCCATCCCAGCTGAACAGCACACCCACAGGTTTGTTCAGCTTATCGTGGTGCAAGATGAATTCCTTGTACTGCTTCCAGGTCGTTACGAGGTCATCCGGGATTGCGTGGAAGACCTTTCTGTAGATCTCCGTCTAGCCACGACGTTAGTATCCGTCCCCGCCCTCGCGCTAGAAAAACTCACATTGTGTACCGCACTGGCAACCCATTTGTCCTTCCAGAACTTGTCGCAAATCGGATCCTCGAAATCGTCAAACGAAATTTGGGGGCGAGTCGTCGGGACAGTCCAATTGGATTTGATGCTCATGTTCTTCCTCAGTATGCTGCGTACGTCAGCCGGATTCCTGTCATCTTGGTCCAACGAGGCTCTGGGAGTAGTGCTCCCGCCAGCCTCGAGACGCGTATTTGACCTCGATCTCGTGCGACTTGGAGGTGGTTCCAGCAGCACGAAGTCATCCGTCGAGGTCTTGGCGCTCGAGCCGGTTCTTTCAGTGCCTCCATTCTCGCTAATCTCGATATCTTGTGGTCGCTCTTCCTCGATGATATCTTGTTGGATGTGATGAGGGTTAAACCGTCGGGTTGACGACTCCTTGCGTGGTCGATTTTCCATAATTGTTTTCTCTTCCAGAGTCGGGACTGCTGAACTAGCGAACCCGGTTCGCTTGCTCCCACCAGCTTCGAAATCTTTGCGCTCCTCCTCCAGAGCTTCCGTCGTTGCATCTTGAGCAGCTGGTCCAGCGTCCTTTAGCCCAACAGTCTGCATCCCTTTGGTACATCCCAGGGAAAGCGCATCTGCACCCCCACGGACAGCTAGGCTAGTTAAGCATTTCGTCATGACACCGACGGAGATGTACCCACTTTGCCCAGCTGCCTTCGCACCAAAGTGAACAGCATTTCCGACAACACCCTTATTTTTTCGAGGCTTTTCGACATGGGTCACACCATCCTCCTGAACAGGAACTTCCTCCTTGTCAGGATCCCACGTAGTTTGCTCGAGTTCGCTCTGAACTGGCGCATGCGACATTAGGTTCTCTTCATCCGCGGCGTCAACGTCGATGCCAAGATGTTCGCGCATCAGGCGCATCCGCAGGGTGTGCGCGAAACGGCCGACTTTGAAGGGTTTCCCGGCCATTGTCCTAGTCAAAGATCCGGTCTAGCTTCGCGAACCGTATCGAGACCGTAAGACGCACCCTTCAATGAAATCCGTGTCCCTAATGACGGCAGCCACCTCAGAATCCCGGTCGCCTCGTTGGGATCGTTCATTGATATTCGCGCTCCCGATGATTGCTAACCGATCATCAACAATGCAAATCTTGGCGTGAATGTACACCTATACAAGAGGTCAGTATTTCAGTGGATTCGGACACGTTGCCGACGAACCTGTTCGGTAGTCAGGATATCTCCTCTCATCTTGGCCCAATTTCGCAAAGAGAAGAACGAGATATAATCGTCCGGCTGTCAGCGGTATACGTTTTCAGCAAATCCATACTACTTCCATGTTTAGAGAAGAAACTCACATCGATACCCTCTTTACGAAGCTTGGAGAATATCGAATCAGATCCTCTTGCAATCGTTCGATTCTGACATTCAAGGATTATTCGAATCTGAAGACGATATTGAATCAGTATCAGCTACTTCTGCTCTCCCGAAAGGCAAGATTTCCTGACGCACCGCGCTTGCATCACTATGATCGACAGGGAAGGTGAAGCCGGGAAGAAGGGGCAGCATAACACAACACTTCCAAGGTTTCCCATCTTTGTGGGCGCGGATGATACGCTGAACAAGGGCATCACCAATCTTGTTTTCAATTTTAACTTCGTTGACAGTGGTACTAGATGTCATTCAGCTGGGCGCATTCAAACCAAGATATGCGTTGTGCTTACGAGGTAATGAAGAATTGGTTCTCAATGTAGACGAAGTGCTCAGACAATTGAATCGCTGCGTGGCCCTGATTAGGATAGGAACATGTGAAAACTATCAGGAGTTAACCACATACCTTTCAGATAGGCATTCTGAATGGAGTGCTCAACCCTTCCGGGCGTCCCAGTCGACCACGGTCCAGCGGAACGGACGATTTGAAGTTCGCAGGTTCCTGTCAGGCCCAACTGAGTAAGCTGCCCGGGGCGATACTCTGGCGGTGGCAATAAGAATGGCATTGTCCTCGAGTGGTTCTGAAAAACTTCATATCAGCATTGCGAACAGACGTCGAAATCCGGAAAGAATGCCCCAGCCATCTCAACTCCGAGCATGCCTTGAGATGCACAGAAGCAAATGGCTCGGTGGAGAACTTGCGATGGTGACCAACCTTTATTCTGAGAAGATAGTTCCACCTATGATAATCAATGAAAGCATGCGATCAGTCATCACAAAAATGTGGGGGCAAGTGGGCAAAACCAAAGCAATGGGTATATGCAGAGTAGCTTCGCGGAAAGGTGGGATGAGAATGAACACACCTTTGAACAAAATGCCTTGCCAAGTCACGTGCAGGCTGTCCAACAATCTGAAGCGAGACATCATGCCTGAAGACATTTTCCAGGTTAAGATATCAAATTGGCCCTGTGGACTAGGAAGCCAAAGACTGACCAAGGCATACGAGGCACCTTCGTGCGGTCGTACATATCCTCCTCTGGCTTGTTCAGCGTGTAGAAGTCGCCAACCCTAGGGTTGCTGTAATCCTTCCCTAAATAAAAAAGTCGTCAGATGGGAAGCCTGTTGGGGTACGCAAGGATCCTCGACATCTAAACAGACGACGAGTGGAGCAAAGGAGGCCGAGATACAGAAGTACGTACCGGGCCATATCTCAGGCCTATCAGTGTCCAGCGTATCATCAGTAAGCGCGTGTTGAGGGGTATCCCATCTGCTTTAGGAAGTCAGTGACCGGTTAAAGGCTACAATACCTGGGACCTGACCTGCCAAAACAGATATCAAGGCCACCGAGGAACGCGATAGTTTGATCGATAACACAAAGCTTCTCGTGCTACAAACCTCGCAGTTAGACGGGGGAACGGAGGGCGACGACCGATAGAAAACCAACATGAGCCCAATAGAAGGTTCCAGTTTGGAAATGAGAAGGTGCACGCTGGACCATGATATTAGGATGAAGAGAAGTCAATCTCTGCTTCGTGTAGCTGAACGAGGTGATATATTGGGTGAGAATCACTGCCACAAGCGCATGAAAAGGTCCCCCTTACTTGCTGTCAATTGGAGTTGTTCGATTCGACACTTCCAAGCTAGATGGAGAGCTTTAATACCCAAAAATCGTCGGCACAGAGGACAGAAGAAACTCACTAAAGGACAATATAGATCTTCACCCCTTCCTTGGCCTTCCGTTCCAACAGTCTGTCAAGACGATAGCGGTCCATATTGGGACGGCGCATCAAAACCTCGGGCGATAACCACCAATCATGAAGGTAGATGCTTTCTTTGGCCAGAAGGATGGCTCTAGAAACGTTCCAGAAGTAATCGCGCTGTCAACAGGGTCAGGCCTCAAGGTTAGAAAAATTGTGTTATATGAAACGAGATAATTACCCCATCAACAAGCCATTGGGCTGCTACATTCGTCCTGACAGGCGCAAAGCTGTCGAAACGATGGTGTTTGGTGAAAGGAGATGTCTTTGCAATTCGCTCCAAAGCAGCGATGAATTGGAGCATTTGCCTCTGCAGGGGGGGAAAGGTGAGGAAAAGCTGATGCAAAGGTTGTGACCAACTAACCTCAGACCGTGCATGCAACTTCAGCCTGGTCTGCGAATTGACAATGTAGAAAGTATGTCGAGATACATCTTTACTCTTCGCCAAAGCCTGTTCTGTTGCCCGCTTCACAGCCGCATTCGTGTCTTGAAAGTTGTCCTCAGCATTGCTATCACGATTGAATCCAGCGCTAGCGTCTCCTTTAGACTCCTTGTTTTCGCTGGGCTGCGTGACCGTCAGGATAGGGTTTGGGTTTATCGATGGGTCGAGTAAAGGTGTTCTAGCGCGGTGGATGTCTTCGCTTTCGTCGCTGGAGGAGTCTGGTTCATTTCCATCATGGGTACTACGACCAGAAGCGTAATGGTTACTGCCAGACGCGCTGCGCTTTCTTCGCCCGTCGCGATGAAAGATTCGGGAGACCCTTGATCTGATTGACGAGATTACAGATTTAGTGTCGTCAAAGGCGGCATCGAGTTTGACATTTTCACTACCATGGCGGCTGGTGTGAAGATGTGAAGCAGCTGTGGACGACTCAGCCTCGTGGGATGGTTCTCCAGATTGGGACGAGCGGATGGTTCCAGACGTAGTTGTCGCCGTCGTAGTCCGGGTTTGACCACTGCTGTTGCGCCTGTGATGTGTACTGCTTCTTCCACTGGGAAGTACGGATTGGTTTCCACCATCCGCCTGGCCGGACGGCGGATGGTCATCTTCTCCTTCACTGTCATGATGAAGCAGGCCCAGTCCTTGACGATAGTACCTTTTAGGCCTCTCGATCTTGAAGTCGGAGTCAAGTAGGAAGACATCCCAGACAATTGTCTGTAAAGCTGTTAGACCATTCGAGATAAAAGTTGGTAAGCGCTCACCTCCCCCGGCTGCTCCAGCGCAACGAGGTAACTCTCCCTCACTGCACACCAGCGCCATTCCTTTCGTTCTCTCCACCCCACACTCTTCCTTCCAAATCCTGGAGTGTTATTCGTGGTGGTTCCGCTCCCCCTGCCACCTCCTGAAGGGAGTGTCATGGAAGTAGCTTCAATCTTTAGGTAACCTGCTTTATACTGGGCACCACCGGATTGTGCCAACGCAATCGAAAGCGCCGAGATCTCCAAAAAGGCGGACAATCTGTTTGAGGAAGGATGAAACATAACTGCGCGAATAAGCCCAATGAGATAGTCCTCCAGCTGTTGGCGCTGCAGTCGCGCGAAGTCGGCCTTCGAGATCTTCCCTCCTCCGTCCTTGTTGAGAAATTTGAAATAAGGCAGACCTGTGGCACAACTAGTTAGCTAATCAGTCGAACAGAAGAAAAGGGACTAACTGGTTGTCGGGAATTCGGGTAGGCGTTCGTGGACCTTTCCACTGGCCCCCTGCACAGCATTGACGAGTGTATACTGGCCATGTAATGTCAGGAAATCTTTCAATTCCCTATAAATGACCCACTTCGCGACGCCCGCGTACACGCATTCAATCCTGAAAACGCTCTTGGTTTTGTGCAACGGATGTAACGAGTCTGTGATTCGCAGCTGGAGACGATGTAAGAGGATAGGAACTCGCCGGTGACCTTTCTGGTCACGTTCAAACCATAGCTTTGGCATGAGCGTAGCCAAGCCCCCAGCGATGAGTTCGTCGATAATGTTGACGTTCGGTGACACTGCAACAGCAGGAGGGTTGGCTTCTTCTTCCCTCTCCTCGTGGAGATGAGGGAATAATGCGCGCAACTTGCTCCAGCGACTTCCGGTTGACGGGCCAGTGGCTACATTGTCATCTTTGCTGCCATCGGTAGAGAGTTGCCGTTGGGAAGTGGTTGCAACCGAGCTTGGTTTGTGGTGGGAAGAGAAAGACCACCTTCGTTTGAGGCGTTTGTGTGTAGGGGTCTTGGGCGACGATGGAACTGAAATTGCTCGTTGTTGATCGGGGTGTTCAGCAGTGCCGAAGTTCTTGATGTCCAACTCGTCCAAGGGATTATTATCAGGGACTGGTTGAGAGGCTGTCAGCGCCTTGCCCTGTCTTCTAAAGAGTAGGGAAGACGAGTGGATATGAGGGCTCCCATTTACACTCGACGACGGTGCGGCTACAGATTCCCGTTCTATTTGGGATGCTTCCTTGGGCTCGCGATGGCTGTCGTGGTCGTGGTCCGCAGGTTCGTCGGTTAAGGTTGTTGAAAGGATTATTGAGTTCGCGTTGGACCCGCCAGGGGGAGCAGGCGTAGCGGTACGAGGTGGTTGGTGTTGGTTGGAAAGGGAGCTAAAATATGAATCGCCCGCTCCCGAGGGGGCCTTTTCGTCTCTCGGCGAGTCGTGGAACCATCGCAGACCCTTCGGAAGCCAACTCTCCTCCGTCGAGCGTCTTTTCCCTTTGTCTTTGTGACTTTGGTCTTTCCCTGAGCTGGAAAATGACGATTCGCGTTGGGGGTATTCTAAAGGAGTGCGAAACTCGGGGGCATTGCTTTGAGCACCGTTGACGGAGAAAAACAGTTCCTCGTCAAGGTCTCCGTAGTAAGCCGACTGGTTAGGGGAGATACTTTCCGCGTTGTCCTCTTGGGTATAAGGGTAACGTCCAGTTTTCAGAACTGGGGACTGGGGTAGGGAATATGCAAATGACAGCGAACGTGGAGGGCCTGTTCGGCCTGAAGGAGTGTCGAGACTCGGAGAACGAAGGTGAGATAGTCCAGTTAGCGACATTGACCCGTTATCTGGTCGCAGTGGTAGATTCAACGCTGAATCCGTGGAACGTTGGTTGTGGCCGTCTTGATGGATTCGGTCGTGTGCACCAGCGCATCCAGAGGTGTCGGCATCGTCGATGGCGATTGAGACATGATCGTCGTCGTCTTGATTCTTCAGGCTGGCATCTTCTGGTCGATATCTCGAGGCGCCTGTGGTGACCTGGACGACCTCTGCCAGCTTTGCCATTGCAGAACGTCAGTGAACACGAGCAACCACGCACGGCGCAGTAGCCTGTGACATTGCTGTATTTTGAACTCCGACACCTTGGTACAGTACCTGACGTCACTTGACTCCAGGCAATTCTCTTAGTACCTCTTGTGCCTTATTTTTGGTCAGGCCATTGCGAGAGTTAAAGCGTTAATAGAGATACGAGAGACTATAGATACACCACTGTATCATCATCGGCCTGACTTGTGCAGCATTGGACAGTCTGGTGTAACGTGGCGCCTGGATTCGCAAGTTGTTGAATCAGTACTAAACTTCTGCTCAGTGGAGTTAGCAGAGAACGAGTACATACTTCAATTCGTTTCCCGCATCCTATGAGGCGGAAGTGATGTCGGTATAATGATCAGGACGATGTCGCCGGCGCCTACATAGTACCGAACCGCAAGACATCCATTCCCTCGGGCGCTTAAATTAACTCCGAACGGACTGCGATATTATGAATCTGGTCTCTGACACCCACGAGCCATCCCCACGCTCCACATTCAATCTGCACCCCGTACGACGTCATAGCCAGAGGCTCTGCCCGAGACCAGATATTCTTGAAGGCGAAGTCAACCTTTTGGGGGGTTTCATTCCCGTATTCTGAACTTGAGGGATTTCTCGGGAAGCATTTATTTGGGCCTTTCCACCGCTGTCGCCGTGGTAGGACACTGCGCGTTTGCATCCAGGTCGACAGGCCCCACTCCCTGCGAAAAAGCCGTTGGACCCCATCCAGAACCGGAGGACCCTCTTCCAGATGACGGGGAAAGTACGTATTGAGAAAGTGCCTTCTCTATCAATGATATCATGTTTACTCGGGCGAGCGCTTGTCACCGAGTTGTGCGTGTCATTTCGACGATTGTGGGACAGGATCGGCAGGTAGATGCACCGTTCACTCTTAGGGCAGCATGGATTCGAACTCGATCCCTATAAACAGCTGAAGGAATGGGGCCGGATGCCACGATCGCGGCCCGCTACGGTTTTGTAGTTGATAGTATGTGTGCACTTTGCGAAGTCTATTCCTTCTCGTTTCGTGCACCTCACGTTGCTGAACGGTGCTTTGGAACCCCACTGGAAACCATGTTCTGTGCCCTAAATCCGAGCTCAACGGATACAAATAGCCTATCTACCCCTGTTCTGCTGTCAACGGGGCCGAACTAGAGTATATGCTGAATTGAATTCTCTATTCAATCCTCTGTCACTACTGGTGTGTTGAGTAGAGTGTGGAACCACCAAATCTGGAAAGCTAAACAGCGTCAGAACGGCGAAGTTTTGCCGATACCTCGGAAAAATACAGTTGCCAACGAGCAATGCACTGCAATCTGCGTCCATTAAAGGTAGCTTTTTGAATTGTTCCAGACGATTGTCGTTTGGGGTAGGCGTCAAACTCAAAAGAGACTTCGTTTGAAGTGCGGGGGTCGGATTTCCTTCAGGAAGGTAGACTTCTATCAGAACATCCAACAAGGGTCCACAGTATGTAAGCTTCCAAAAAGTCACTTTCATAGATATTGAAAAGGAGGAGTTGCACTCTTCGAATCTACCAGAGCCACTGAGATAAAGATTCTGGTTGCAAAGATGGCATTCAATACATTCTTCAAGGGCGAGCTTAAAGTCAGAAGCTTAGCCGTATTAGAGTGGCCTTGTAGACGATAATACTGCGGTTTCTTCCTAGACGATCGGAGCTCCGTTTACGCCCTAAGAGAAACACGGACTGAGTGAAAGAAAGTCGCCGGGTCGGAGTCCAAGTTAGCGCCACCTGTAAGAACAGTCGAAGCGGCCGTATTACCACTCGTCTCACGCGGTGTAGATCATGTTTTAATGGAGGCAAAGTATTCAAACTTTTCACAACGAAGGACGGTCAGGCTGCTTGAGCTACGCGGGCAGTCACAAAGGAGTTTGGCAGCGAAGCTTGGTTAACTACCATTCACCGCCTTTTAATGAGTCTCTTGCCCTATCAGACCGGCTCAGCTACAACTGTAGATGGGAATACAACGCGTTACACGCCTCTGCTTGTTATTATTCACTGTACCGGGTGGTTCTATGCCTTCTTCGCACGCGCAGAAGAGAGGAGACTGGAAGTCTGGAGCGGCCCCCACCTCGTGGTTTAACCACTGTCCCCGTCGGTAGCCATCGGCTTTGCGGTTTAGAATGGAGCTGACACGGTGAGCATCAAGCGCACTGGTGCATACACGGCTGAGGAAGTCTGTGTTCCTTCCAGAAAGTGACACTCATCTAGCCCGCGGATCCCCGTGCCATTCCACCCGCAGTGGTGGTCAAAAGTTTGGTACTCAGGCAATTGGATTTCCTGTTAAGAACTACAATGCTGTTAAATGAAGAGAGGCCAATGGCAGAATCTCATTACCGACGTCGCCTCTAAGCCGCGGTAGTTGAGATTCTCTGTGAACGACACAGAACGACAATTTTTGTAATCCAATCCCTCTATGTCTCCGGGTATCTAACGCAGCCTGAAGGAGCTCATGGCCGCGTGGGTCGACCACGAGAGACGTTCTCGTGGAATAAGGTCCGTGGCCTGAAGCACTATAAATGGTGCATCGAGATCCGACTCGCCCGTGGAGCCAAGCACGCGCAAATGCATCCGATCAGTGACTTTCGATGTATTGCCTTAAAAGGTAAATCCTTTCGATGGCGGAGGAAAAAGAAAAATCAGTGTTGAGTGAAAGCAGAACAGAGCACTGGGTCTGAGAGTTAAGATCCAAAAGGTCCGAAAGTACCTCCAGTCTCCCCAGAGAATTCCTTTTTCCACCTAGTCGTCTTTAGTATAAGTTACAACCGACATACATAGTGGTGGCCTGCTAACAACGGGAACAAACCCATGGACCACTCACACCCCATTTGCATATGCGGGGTAAAAGGTACAGGCGATTATGAAGGGTACGTAACCGGAAAACGGATCCTTGAATCCCAGCGTGAATCCTGGAGAAGTTCACAACGGATTCGCGCCGATGCTGGGGTTTTTCCAACCTCTCAACGGCCGTGGTGATTCCCAAGCATCCCGCCACCTATTCAGTATGTAGCGCCGACCCACCAATAGATGACACTCTGCTGAGGTTAGTCTGTGACGCAGCAGGCGAGCTAGCAACGTCCCATGGTGTGGTGGGACATCAGGCAACTGAAATCTGGATGCGATGACAGTGTTGGTATTTTTAGACGTGAAGGCCTCGTTCGTTCACGGGTCACTGAGCGATGATCGTCCTTGCACTCTGTGAAAACAATTGTTCCTATATTTACTGGCCTTTCTTCTCGTAACATGGGGTCTGGTGCCATGATATGAAATAATACATTCGTGTTATACTGCATGCTCCATTTCTCAGAACACAGAAGGATGTGCCCCACGCTCCAGGCTCGGCGGCCTCTGTATTGCAGTAGCGGTGGTAGGCCAGTGAGCGAGAGATGCACTGACTCCAAGTCAGAATGATCAACGGTTGACCTTTCTCGTATCCCTTTTCTGGCTTTGGCGCTCGGCATTTGCCGCTGTGAGGGATAGAGCGCTCACAATCGAAACACCGATCGACCCAACTCGCCTCGTCAAATCAAATTCCCGTCTCGAATGACAATATTGAAGCCTCCTCTATCAATGGCTTTTGAAGAGCGAGAGCCTCACAGCGGTCAGTTCCACGGGTCCTCTGTCAGGCTCGGGAACCGATTTATATGAGTTGTTAAATTTCCCGGGAAATGAAATCACGCTCGGGATTGTGATGACTGAGCTCGACGGTGAGTTCCAATACCTCTTATCTCCATTCTCTGAACTCTGGCCCATCGTCTGGCTCTCAGTGGGGAGGGATGATTCGTTAGGTGCTTGGCTACATGGTTCCGGACATATCGGGAGACAGTTCATTCTCTCAACTCCGAGCTTGCCTGTGATGAAATGGAACCTCAAATCAATCATCATCAACAACAGCAGTGAGAGTTCGAGACGTACATTCAATGGAGAGGCTGAAACCTAGGCTGATGCATCATAGAGGCGCTACCCGGCGTCGTCGAAGTCAACCTTAAGTCGCCGACCAGCCACCTTTACGCCGTCAACCGCCATCTCCCTGTTGAGCAAACGTTTGCTTGTCAGATAAAACTTCGCAGGGTATGTAGTAAATCTGTCATGGCTAGCTACTAGGCACTGCCTATAGCCAGGACCCGCTCTTTCGTCGGGACAGGATAGTCTGATCGCGGACAGAATTTGACTTTTCCTACCAACAAAACGACGGGCGATCGATAACTACCACTTCGGGTACGAGGCATTTGAAAAGCTAATAGGTTGTCTCAAAATAGTAGCTGTCACTTGTCTCTCGACACATAAATGTCTTGCCAATCAGATTTGCTACAGAGCATCCTTCGAAAAATATTGTTAAAGGCGCCGGCTACCAATTCCGAACGCAGAGACGAAATCTCATGCATTGCTCCCATTCTGGGGAATTACCCTGTGAAACCTCGTTCCCTAGACCGCCTTCGGCGAAAGTCCGGATTTGAATGTGGGGAAGGAAGCTAGAAGGGCGACGAGATACCTTTTGAGAAAGAGTGAACCATGACAGTGTGGGGTAAGGAGATGACATACCCTACTCACACCGTGACACGAGATCTTTTGACAAACGGGCCTCTTTTGTCAAATGGTGCTGCTAAAAGATGGGAAGGCGAAGAAGGATGGAAAAAAAAGCCAATCCAATCAGCTATTACTATCCCAGAACGAAAGCCGGAATGGGCATTGCACAGTCCCCTTTCGTCTAGCGCGACAGAGACGCGAAGATGATCTCACTCCGTTGTCCGAAACTTGACAGAGGCAGTTCCTGGCGTCACAGATACTCAAAGACTAGTATGAACCAGAAGCGCGGCTGCGCGGTTCCTCTCGGAGACTTGTCGTTGGGTCGGGGGAACGAGGATTAACCACTGAGGCACTCATTTAGAGTTGCCGCCCTGTTGAACCTCGGTGAAAGGTTATCACCTCATGTATCATAGAAAGGGACAGAATACCATTGGCCCGCACTCTGGTTGCTGTTGGATGAAACGTCGAATGAAACGGTTGATCTCGGAAGACTTGTAATTGCAGTTAAACACAAGCCTGATGCGTAGGGTAAGATTGCGAGGCAAACCGTCAATCGACTAATACGAACAGAACCACGGCTATGCCATACTCATACGACAAACTGTGCCACTGCCAGTATTGCCATCGAAAACAAAGAAATTAGCGATTGGAGGCTCTCGTCCGCCAAGAGCTTTGAGAATATCCTGACCAAGCATACCGCCTAAGATCGCACAGACAGGAGAGAACTCATGCTCCGCGGTGGTAGCAAGTGTTCTAGATCATTAACATCAGAAGGAAAGTTAATTAAAATAGACAAAATAGAGCTTCTTACTCCACAAGGTTTTGAGGAACTTTGGAAAGGACTTGCTTGTTGACATCGGTGCTTGATATCAATTCATTGGCAATGGTTTCAAGTACCGTAGCCTGCTCCGGATTGCTTGGGAGTATATTGTTGTGTGCCGATTGGAATTGCCATAGGGCTGGACATATTGGTGTTAAAGCGTCAGTCTAAGAAGCTAGAAAGGGCCGTACCAAGAATCGAGAACGCAAGTCCGGGATTGAGAGCTTTCGTTTGCTTCCTCGTGAGGCCGGACCATTTGTGAGTTAGAGCGACCTGAAGAGGGGCGTACTTGACAGTCGCCTTGACTGTCTTTGGCTGATCCTTCGACACTGAACGATCACTGCAGACAGTGCAGTATTGAAAAGTGAGGTCAGTAGGTTCGGCATCGGCTTAGAATCAAGCAATAGGCCGTACGGGACCAAATACTCATGGTCGAGTAGATCGCAAAAGATATATCCAAAGATCCCGTATGTTCCTCCCGAGTAGAATGGTTTGCCGTATTTACGACAGAGGTTATTGATTCCTATCTTTTCTCAGGTATGTGAGTTTGTGTGATTCGATAGAAGCACTGAGAGAGAGAGATATTCACCAAAGTGTCCCTTGCTTCATCCGTAACGCACACGAGATCGACATTTTGAATTATGGTCTCGAATTCGGGGCTGTCAGCGGGTACGCGTCTCGCAATAGTCTCCACAGTCACAAGGGGATTAAGACTCTCTATTCTTGGCTTCGCAACATCCAGTCTCTGAGTGGAGAGAAAAAGTAAAACCGATGAATAACCATTGTATATCCGCAACATAGATTTCAAAGACGTGGGGACATGCCTTCTTTCCCACATCCTCATCTCGAAAGAAGAAACCAGCGCCCAAATCTTGTTCAGACACTTCTTCACCATCCAGGATGATGAGTTTGCCAATTCCAGCGAGTACCATATTCTTGATAGCTTCAGTTGCAACGCCTCTGAGCCGTACTACCAAGATGGTAGCATTTCTCATTCTATTGAGATGCAAAGTCATTAGACCATAAACATACACGTCAAACGGCGTTATTCAAACTTGCCTTTGCTGTGCCTCGATTCCCCATAGTCTCATTTGGCGATCATACCGGCTTGCTTCCTCTTCTGTCAGGGTCGCTGCAGTGGCGCCCCCTTCAGGTTTGGTGCGGGAGTCATTAGGTGAAGCAGACATATTGTTTGTTCAGAGTTAAAAAATGGAAGCCGGAAGGAGAGGAACCATTGAGTATGGTGGTTTGACTCCAAGACGTTGGCGGCGACGCGCTCAACGCGCCCAAGCCACTCACAAACAGAGCCAAACCGTCCCTTCGAATAGGGGCAAAAGAGATTGAAAAGAATGTGTTACGATTGCAGACGGTGATGATACATTCGACATAATAATATGACACAGATATAAGTAAGTTAACGGTCGGGGTATGGATAGTACTGAACAAAACGCTACAGCTGACCGATTGGTGCTACATTGTACAATGCGATCACAAATGAGAGAAGAAGGAGAAGAGGTATTAAATATACAGTTATCAAGCCACCATAGGGATACCGTCGCCACTCGATGTGCCATCCCTGTCTTCGTCCAGGAGATAGTTCCGTTCGATTTCGGAGAGAATGCTCAAGAAGTCCCCTACGAGATACATTGAGTTTTCGTGACAATCAAGACAGAAAGTGTTCTCACAAAGGTAGGCATGGGCGCGAGCGGCAGAGGCCGGTGCAGTTTCAGCTTTGCGCACGGCATCCAGCAGCGTCGAGGCTACAAACCGCACTTTGTGGACCTTGAGAAACACAGGCATATGTCAGATTGATGTGAGGGATCGTAGTCACGATGTATGCACTCACCAAACTGGGTCCATTCGTTGCTATTGACTGGATCGGGATGGTGTGCAGGATGTTCAGCAAGTCACTAGCAACCGCTTCTCGATCCTCTGCAATTTTCTGTTCGTCAAGACTGCCGTGGAGAGTCATGATAAGTTCATCGCGGTATTGGTCGATCACAAATCGGACAAGTTGCTTGAGAAAAACAGAACAAGTCAGAACCGAGCATCTCACTTGGTTACCAGTGGCTGAAACCTACCTGGGTAACGTAAAGGTTGGCTTGCATGACGAGGAATGGGTTAAGGGCGTTTGCGCGGGAAGCGTTGGGGTTGTCGAAGAAATCCTTTACTTCAGCGAACGTGGCCTGGCGGAATCCAGCCCCGCCGTATTCCATGGAAACTTGTTGATGTTGGCTCGGCGGCTTCAGTCGAAGGGGCTCGGGTGTATGGCTGAGAGCGGACATAATACGTTGATGGAGTGATTGCACTTCTTCAAGTCTGGCAGTAGCAAATTGACCTTGGGGAGGCGATCTCTTGTCCACTCGAATTCTGACCAGAATCTCGCCGAGGAGTGCAAATATCCGCGAGATGTAATTAAGACCTGAGACAAGGGCGGTCTTGCCGTGGGGCTGGGGTAAGTAAGCACTCGGAGTAATGCTACGAGGGTGGGTCAGGGGTGTGTGGACGTCGAGAAGATGATTGAACCCGTACTATTCGTCATCGAGTTCTTTAGGGAAGTGCACGGTGCAGTCCTCGTCCCGGAGGCAAATGGGACGGCCGAGGAGAATGGACATTGATTTGTCCGCTGTTCCCAAGGAATTGAGCAAACGTTGAGGCAAAGGATAATCGAATTCTTACCGCCGAAAAGGAGCCAGAATATCCTCCGCCGAACTTCGCATTCGATCGGGTCAAGGCCCTCATACGAGCTCTCCTCGTGCAGACGAAGAGTAACAGCAATGTGGGCAGCTTCACCAAACGCAGCATGCTGTGTCGCATCATGGCCCTCACAGAAGTGGTAAATGCAATCACTACGTCCATATTGTCAGCCCAGGGAACACTCGAAGAAATCGACTTTTTCTCACAAGTATCGAATCACCACATGTGATGACGTCGGCGGGTCATAGGAAGCAATCGTGATATGTCGGCTGGCTTCGTGGGCCGTCTAAACAAGGCCATATTGGTGAGGGGAAAAGATAGCGAGCGAGCTAAGGAAACCCACCTGGGCAAGTTTGCGCACCACTGGGCGGTCCATAGGAAGGTAGGATCGTGGCACCTGGACCAGTGTCGAGGCAACTGTAGACATAACGAGAGCGAAGAATAGGGGGTCGCGCTCCTCTCGCCGCGAGTGTAAGTCGGCCATAAAGGAAGGTTTGTGGATGCAGGGCGTTAGAGGGTATACGAAATCGAAGAACAGAGCAATGATGAGCGAAATGGTATCACGAGGAGCGATTTCTTCAAGGCGCCGAGGTCGGTAGTAGTACGAGAGAGGGGGTACGGCTTGGGGAGGTGGCAGAGGTACCATTTGCGGTTGCTTGTATGACCATTGGTTGAACATGCCAGGGTAGTTGTTATATTGGTCGGGAGGATATGGGGTCTCTTCGGTCTTTGGTGAGGCATGACCATGTAAAAGGGAGGGACCACTCGGTTCGACTGCTGAACGGGGACCACTGAAGGAGGGTGACTGAGGGGTGTGAGAGGGGTATTGGGCGTTGTGATAGGTATCAGCAGCAATAGGATAGCGAGACGGGGGCAAAGTCATGCTCGTGGGGACATTCGGATGGGGCGCTAACGTTGGCTCCAAGAACGCTGTCGGGCTCTTGGTGACCAGGGGTGAAGTCACGATGTGCTGTGGTGGACTGGCGGTATTGATTGGAGGCTCAGCTTGGTCCGCAGGGGCGGATTCTGGTTGAGAATTGGAAGATGCAGCCGCAGCAGCTTCCTGGAGCCGTCGCAAGTACCTAAGTTTTCTGGTTAAAATGGCGCCAAACGGTCGGAATAGGTGGCGACAACTCACAAATTGGGAGGTCCTCGCTTTTTCGGTTGGTAGTCATAGGTGCAGGGGATGCCCAAAGTTATGCAATGTCTGCAGGACTGCTTGGGATCGTCCGCATTCTCTCTGGCGCACCGAACTTTACGGGCCCGGCAGGCATCGCAACCTAGGGTGTGGCGGTGATTGGGATCGAAATTCAGGTAACAGGAAAAAAGGACTAACTCTGAGACTGCCTCCTAGACGCGGGGAAAGCCATTGTGTCAGTATTCGTTATAGATGTCGAATGAAGTCGATTAACATAAGATGGAAGTGGGGTAAGTGAAGTAAGAGCAAAGTGGGGAATGTGGGGATTCAAAGGGGACAACGCAGGTGAAAGTAGGGCGGAGAAACATCGGACATTGTGTAACATACTTTCTCTTGCTTTTGCTGTTTTCGGCGTGTGAGTCTTTATGTTGGCCGTCGTCAGATGGAGGAGTTGCCGATGTGTTCTCCTTCTTGGGGCGGGCAGCAGGCATTTGGCGGACGGCGGTCGTTGGCGGGGGAGGGGGACGATGAAACAAGGGGCAGCGGCCTTCGCGTTCGAGTCTGCGATTTTGAGCAGATCTAAATGTTTGCGTTCTCGTGGTGGTTGTTTATGAGGTTCGGTCGTTTTTCCTCGAGAACTTCTTGCAAACTTATATGCTCTTTCGTCTTCTGCCAGAAACTGAGCATAAAGTTGTACCGCGCATGGCCAGGGTATCACGGGAACATTTCCGCAAACATTGTAGCGATCCATACGGCCAATCCCCGGATTCCTCAAGGGAACCCGGGCTGTTGGCTCCAACCGTTCCCAGATATTCGTGATCTCATCACACATCTCTCCCCCGGTCGCTTCTGCTTTCTCAGTTCTGCGGCATTTTTTGGAAGCATTCCCAAATTCGTATCTCCTTAGGCGTTTGGCGGATCGCTCCTTTCTCATAAATCTGCCACGTGAACCTACCGGATGAGGTCCATCGTCTAACGCTCCCGATCAACCCCACACCCTAACAAGCAAGAAGCCCTTCGATAACTGTTTGGAATTCAAATGGTCCCCTCTAAGAATGTACGGATTGGTTCCTGCTCTTTCTCTCCAACAGCCCTAGCATGCGCTCCTGCTCCTCCGTGGAAATGCTTCCCTCCCTACCGTGAGATTCAACCAGGTTTGCGATAGCCACCCGAAGTTGGGTGTGTTCGATATCCCGGAAGCGCACAGCTTGCCGAACCATAAGATCCCAGAATTTGAAGGCCATCGCTGGATCACCAACCTGAAGCGCCGCCTTCGAGAGGAAGATGCCCATCTGTGCTGAAGTCGAATTGTTGGTGGTCATCCATTCTTCCAGAATGGACATCGCCCTCCTAAGCCGCGCTGCACGGTCTTCCATTGGTTCTTCAGGTCTTGAGAAGGCCAGGGCCCTCAATATCCCGGCTACCGATTTCAAGGTAAATCTTGGTACCTTGAACCGCGCCTTGGGCCCTACAAGGAGGTCGATCATGTCATCGACGAGCTCGAAGTCGCGGTGGTCCAGAGCCCGCGTCATGATTGTGCCGTAGGTGGTTGTGTCGGGGCTTAAACGTTTAGACTCGGTCATTTGGTTGAGAACCCTCACCGCCTGTCGTGGATCGCGCAGTGCTATGCCATTCAGCATGACATTGATATCGTGACGATCGGGAAGTTCTGCTCGCTCCGTAAGAGCTTGCATGAGCGCAAGTCCTTCTTCATGATGCCCTGCAACAAAGCACGCTTGAACGTACGTTGTGAATACAAAATGTGACGCGCGGCTAATGGGATGGTGGCAGCGCTCGTATTCGTCAAGAAGCCGGTCCAGAAAGCCTTGCGCGCTTGCACGGTCTTGCCGAAGGATTGCCGGGTCCTTGCCGGGTCGGGAGGGACCATTTCGGCGACGAGTCTGGGACTCTGCTTCAGCCCGCTCCAACTGCTTATCCTTCTGCTTGACCACCATCGCAAAGAGGCGCACCATTGGAACGAGTAGTTTTGGACTGGCGAAAACAAGGTGGCGTTCCTTCCCCCGGGAATACGCTTCCCAGAGACTTCTGGCCAAGCTCGCGTTGCCCGCTGAAGCCGTGGCAGCAATGAACCCGGGTCGCATTGCAGGTGGGAGAATAGCTGGCCTACGGGCGACATCACTGGCGAGACACCGCAGGAGATCGAGCTGTTGGCTGCTTGTAGAGAGGTGTTGCATGAGCCAGCCGAGCGTCGAGTTGGGCGGGAGGGGATAGGGATGGGTGGGGGCATGATGGCGGTGGCGCACAGAATGGCCATACAGCTTCTCTGCGGCAGCTCCTTGATCGTATTCCTTTGCAACTTTGTAGAACTGGACAATAAGATTGTCGGGCACGGGTTGGATAGCATGGGATTCTTCGATGAGTTCGAAACAAGCGTTCATGTACTCGAGAGGTTGGCGTTGAACAGGGCCGTCGAGCAGGGAGGCAAGGGTCTCGATGGCGAGAAGAGGAATGAATGGATTCTCCTTTGCTTTGGGGTCGAGGAGGTCAAGGGTGAAGCGCGCGGCGGCGAGGAACCATCCCCAGTGGATGGAGGCTTTGGATAGTGACGAAAGGACCACGAACTTGATGTCCGCGTTTTCCATTGCCTCTTCCCCAGGGAGGCATTCCGCTGGAACGTTCCCAGTATCCACGAGCAGGTCAAATAATGCAAGTGACCGCTGAGGGTCGTCGGAGACGAGGTCTCTAGTTAGTTTGAACGAAGCACCGACGGCGGCTGGCGGTTTGAAGTCGAGAGCATTGACGCCGGAAGGTGTTTGAAGGGTAGATAAGTGCGCCATGATACAGTCGAACCCAGCGGCGAATGCGGACGTGTCGACACCTTCCCGGCTGAGGAAGCGGAAGACACCCTCCGTCTGAAGCTGTTTAACCTCGAAGGGGGAACTCTTGATGAGGTTGAAAACGGAAACAAGGGCAGCTGGGTCGAATTGATCCAAGTCGTCGCGTTTCAAAAAGTCATGGAAGACTGTGAGGCGACTAGCCGAGTCGACGGAATAGATCTTGGTGAGTTGTTGAAGCAGGACGCTGGCCACATCGTATTGGTCGTGGTCGAGGGCTATCCGTAGGCCTTCCTGGAAATCTTGAAGGGCAGGAATTGTCCGCTCTTCCACGGAAGCATGATCGACTTGGGTTGGCTCTGCGTTTGAAGTTAATGTTTTGGCGATAGGTTCCACGTCAGAGCTACCGCTCCAAAGCGAATGGGTTGTAAATATAGCCGACGTTGTTGAAGGCTGCACCCGCAGGCGTCCAATGGGCTGTTCCAGATGGTGTGCATTCGAGAGACCAGCTCTGAGTCTTGAAGCCAGCAAGGGAGGAATGCGACGTGACACGAACATACCCTTCTTTAAAGTCAACTTTAGAAGTGCAGAAACTTTACGATATACTTACCTCGAGGTCTACCCGGAAGACCCTGTTGACAACGGACGCAGTGAGCACGGAGCAGACGATGAGCAGCCAAAAGACGTGTCGAGCTCAAAAGTCCTCCGATCCGAGTCCGGCTAAATTTCCCGTGGAAATGGCCTTCCCAAAGCGCTCAATGATGATATGCACCGCCACAGTGATTAGGCAACTGCATGGCCTCAAGCCAACCGCGTCGCTGCTGCGACAACGATGGGTGCTGAACAGTCGACAGCGTCTCAAGGATATGTACCACCAAAGGGACTCCATGTCTTGCGAGTGACGCCGTCTTCACCGGCCTCAGAGACTGACATCGAGTCTTACTTTGACTTTGTCGTCGGCTTCGAGGGCGATTCACCGTCTCCCAAGGGACACCATGACATCGACGTGACCCAACTGGAAAAGATCGTGGAAAGCCACGAAGGGAGGGTCCTAAATCTTCTGGTCTGGAGTAGCAAGAGTCGTAAAACGCGAGGCAAGTATCTCCAGAGCCCATGATGTGCATCGTACAATGTACTGATAGCTCGGTCTGTTCTCAGTGGTCCCCATTGTTCCTTCACGAGAATGGTCACAATCTCATCTCGACGCCACCGCCTCTAAAGATACTTCTTCCAACGCACAACCATCCCTGCTGGGTCTCAGTATGCGAATGTGTAACCCAGAAACCGCAACTGAAAATGTCTGGCACGTTCTTGACGTTATCGAAGGAAGCCCTGCAGAGAGTGCTGGTCTCGTTCCCATGGGCGACTGGATCTTAGGTAAAGTATCTCGACCATACATGGAGTCTATATCTTTAACTAACTTCTGCAGGTTGGTCGGGAGGGGCTTTGAGCGCGGAAAACGATTTCTATGACCTAGTAGAAGCAGTGAGTGCCAATTTATCCGAATTCACAGAAGAAGTTCACCTTTCATCGTCATCCATGATCACAGTACGTCGATAAACCACTTCGGGTATATGTGTATTCTTACGATTTTGAGTGAGTCTTTGTTCTGTCACATCGCCGAACGGTCCTGATCAACATCCTGGGATCAAGCACAACGAGGGAAGTCGTTCTGATACCCAATCGTCATTGGGGTGGCGAAGGCCTGTTGGGTTGTATATTTGGGTAAGAAACATTCCCGTCTTCTTGCACAGGTAGCAATAACCTGCCGTAGATTCGGGTTGCTTCATAGAATCCCCCCGCAGCCAGAAGGCCGGGTGCCGGGATCGGTGCCTCCAGAACTGTTAGAGGTCGACGAAGCTGAATACGAGGAGCAATCACTTTTCGTTCCAGCTGATCTTCAAGCTGACCAGCACGACGATCACTCAGCCCTCGGCTACGACGGACATGGACCTCGCCCATCTGAAAGCTACCCTACCCAAGGTTCGCAAGGGTCCTACAGATATCCTGACACGAGGAATGTACCATCAAACCATAGCTCACCTCCTCGAGCACCTATTCCCACACGCCCAGGCGCATCCTATGGTCAGCTGGTGAATGGTAGCTCGTTACAGTAAGGCCTCCAGCTTTTTCGTACAAATGAAAGCATATCCAAATTCTTCGTTAATTCCGTCGTTCGGCTTCTTGACGGTATTGTCGCAACTGGCTTGCTTCTTCTCGTACACTCAATATATTCGATCTAGACTCGAAGCAAACCCGAATTTCCGTCGGCTCTTTTAGCACACCTTGTCAAAACGATCCCTGCTCCTCTCGAGAAGCACATTTTGTCGTTCGACGCCAGGTCAGGTCACGACGTTGATATGTCCTACCACCGCCTCTATGGTGGCTTCGCCAAATGGCTGCACGATCTGCTTATTTTTCCGGCGATGCCTTCTGCCTCCGAGCAAATGCTCGGTATCCTCCCAGGACCTTTTCTCAGGGGAGACCGCTTCTAGGTTCAGATTTTCTCATCGATTTTCATTCTTTTACTTATTTTAATATGAATTTATTCGCTTCATCGGCCTCGCCCATGTGGTCCAGTGTGGCCCCTAGTCGGCCAGCGGCGCACAGCCAGCACCGCCGCCCTGTTATGGAGACAATTTCACCTCGTACATCGTTCCATGGGGAGTGGGTTGCCCGAAGGATGGATTCGCGCCCCTCTGCGGCACCAGCGTTTGGCGGTGTCGGAGAAATGGCGGTCAGAACCAGGTAGAGGGAAAGGTCCCGCTAGGGCGGAAGCAACCGTGACCTCTTCGTAGTTCCTAATCTTACAGACAATCATCGGATGTAAAGGTATCTGGACACTTTACTTTGGACAAGACTTGCACAAGTCTGCGTGCTTCTCGTGGCCGCTGCATCGCAGTGAGGTATATAAACCTCCAGAGCGATGTATGACAGCTAACGATGAAGCTCATTCTCGCCCTCATTGTAGTCTTACCAACTGCCTTTGCCGCCTTTGGGGTGGTCAGGTCCGGTAACAATTTCGTCGTGGACTCTGGCGCCGGTCTCGTAACCACGAGTAAGTCATCTCCACCCCACAACCTGCCACATTTTTCGAAAACTGTGCTGTCCGCTTGGACCGTGCTACGGTTTTTCCTGTCTACTTACTCATCCCTTTTTTATTTTTCATTTTTGAATCGAACGATGTGCAGTCAATGCCAATAACGGTGATATCACCTCGCTGAACTACAATGGGAAACAACTGCAAGACCAATCCAAGTTTACTCATCTGAGCTCAGGACTGGGTGAGAAATATTGATCTCCACTACAAGCGGCCTGGGACTTGGGGTCCACTGACAAGTAATCTATTCAGGTTCCGCCTCTGTGACGACCCTCGGTGAACAACAACATCGCTGTAATCACTATCCGAACCAGCACGATTGTAAGTTACTGCTGTCTCTCATCATTGTCTAAGCCCCTTCACTCGCACTCTCGCGTGCGCTAGACTCACTATTACATTGTCCGGTCTGGGATAAATACGATTTACGTTGGCACATATATTACCGCCCAACCTTCGGTTGGAGAGCTTCGCTTCCTCGCCCGGCTTAACTGGAACTCTCTTCCCAATGGACACCCCAATGCCGCTATCCGGGGATCCAGCGGTGCCATTGAAGGTTCCGATGTCTTTATGGTCAACGGTCAGACGCGTTCCAAGTACTATTCGAGCGTGAGTCTCCGTCCATTCTTCTGGCGCTAAAATCATAGTGCCCTTCCTTTCGATAGGTTCCTTTCATAAGAGACCAGGTTCACGGTGTTACCGGCAATGGCGTTGGTGCCTTCATTGTTATCCCTGGTGTTGGCTACGAGACGTCATCAGGCGGGCCTTTCTTCCGAGGTGAGGCTGCACTGCACTGCAGAACAAGGGGGGGGGGGGCAATATATCTAACAGCCCGACCATAGACATCAACAACCAGGGCGGGGACCAACAGGAGCTTTATTGGTATATGAACTCTGGTCACTACCAGACCGAATCCTGGCGCACCGGATTCTTTGGTCCGTGAGTAGTATTTCATCCAACCTGACTCCGCTCGCGTGGCTTCAAAGGTTAACCATTGTCGCTGACAACCGGGTCCCGACTTATAGATATGCCCTTGTTATTACCAATGGTCAGGCTCCATCCCCAGATCTGGACGTATCATTCTTCGAGGATCTCAATCTCCAAGGATATGTACGAGCCTCGCAGCGTGGTACCGTCACTGGATCTTTCTCCGGCGTCCTCCCTGGACAACCGGTTGTTATCGGTTTCAAGGTAGGTACCGCCCAGAGGGACTCGCTAGCCTCGTGGCAATGGAGATGGATCGATAACGTCCCATCATAGAACGCAGCGGCGCAGTACTGGGTCGAAGCTTCCGGGTGAGTTGTGCTGCTAAGTTGCGATTTTAACTCAGGATGCTGACCAATGCGATGTCATGGTAGGTCTGGAAGTGGATCGTTCACTCGCAACATGATGAAGCCTGGTACCTACGATGTGACCTTGTTCCAGGGGGAGCTTGAGGCTGGCGCCGGCCGTGTTACCGTCAACGCGGGCCAGACCACCGCCATTAACCTCTCGTCTAACTTAAGCAGGCCCAATGTTATCTGGTCTATTGGTGTGTGACATTTCCCATGTTTCCGAAGCGCCATCGTCTCTAACGTGGTCTTACTACAAGGTACTCCTGATGGCACTCCACGAGGGTAAATTATCACCTATATTTTTGTCGCGGACACCAGCTCATTGGATGTCATAAAGGTTCTTGAACGCCGATAAGATCGAGATCATGCACCCGTAAGCCTTTCGCGCGTAAAAAAGGTCTTCAAGACGCCAGTTGGAGTCGAGCGCTTTTGTAATAGGTCTGACTCCCGCATGAGCCACTGGGGCCCTACCACCTTCAATGTTGGCTCGAGCCCAGTCTCAGCATTCCCTATGGCTCAGTTCAAGGGTGTAAGGATGCTTACTTGACATTTTAGCCACGCAGTTCCTACTTATTCCTCTACCCTCCAGGTCAACAATCCAACCAGGGTCCAGTGGAATGCCAACTCAAGCCAAATTGGTCAGTCTTTGCCTTTTCTCTCGACCTCGCCAAGCTGAATCACAACGCGAATTAGGCGCCCGAACCTTGCGCATCCGCACTACCGGCGCCTTTGCTGGCGGAAGGCCACAAATCTACGTCAACGGCCGATGGACATCCCATGCCCCTCCTGGTATGTCGGTGCTCCGAGGCCGTGCTTCGTTCCCTTGGCTCGATACTGACACACTCAAGCTCCACGTAATCTTAATTCCAGAGGGTAAAGGTTCTGTTGGCTTGTGATAATGTCACTCGTGTTGATGTCTCCCTTCTACTTTTCACCAGTGTAACCCGCGGTACTTGGCGACGAGATAATCAAGTTTGTGAGTTATCTGATTGACTTCCAATCTTTTGTCACTCTCCGACTAAGATGCTGTGATTCAGATGACTTCAACATACCATCTGGTGCGTAACGAGTTCCTCCCGTTAACAATTGACAGGCTAGCCCACATGATTACACCTTGCAGGCATCCTGGTGAACGGACAAAATACCATCGAGATCAATGTCATCAGTGGTAGCTCCGGCGATCGTTTCTTGAGCCCTAACTTCATTTATGATTCTGTGGAGCTTTTCTAAACGTATTGAACGCGAACGAGCAATCAAATAGCCGAATCTACGCTAAACAAATAGATTCAACATTGCATTGGCAAACGGATATATTACAGGTCAAAAGGGGACAAAGAGAGAAAGAGACCAGCTTAGTAGGTGGCTCTGTCGTAGCCTTCCGATGAATAGTACCTATGAGAGGACTGGTGGGTTGTGGAGGACGAAGGCTGAGGGGCCGTGGGTCTGAATTCGAGGCTCTGGGTGATCAATGGCCAAACTGGAAGCGGGAATTTGTCAGAGCCGGAAAGGTCGAAATCCAAGCACACATACCCTCTTCAAATCCTGGATGTCGCCCGGTGCGAATTTGTCGCCAGACCTCTACCATCGATTCAGACGACCGGATCTCGTGCCAGTGGTTCAAGAAGAAGTTGATTTCAACCTGTTCTATAATGAGGGTAGGTCTAGAGGAAAGGAATCACAATGTTACCTTGCGTATCTCGTCGAACACCGCAGAGAAAGGCGAGAAGACCTCGTAGGCGATGTTGTGAACAGTCAAGGACTTGACAATGTGCTGCAAATGAATGCATTTAGGATCCGGACCTAGGAAAGCACCCGAAACTTCTCCCGATTCTTACCTGAGCTGCTCGTTCCTTGAGTTCAGGGATATCAATCTCTGTTCACAATCAGACAGCACATCCCATTAGAGAAGTCTGGTCCTCAACTCACTGTCAGCAACCCTATACACTGCCTTGGCTGAACAGGGCTCTGGTCGGCCAGGGAACTCCTTCACCCATTCCGCAATCCACTCTGCTCGACTTGCAGGAGCTTCGGTTCTTTTGGCCCCAGGAAGCTGGTTACTGGAGGTGGCGGCATCGGCTGCTGGCGTTGTTGGACTGGCCACCGAAGCAGTTTCCTTCTCTTTGCGGTTAAATGACGAGGAGAGAGGGGCAAAGACGATGTGACCAGTGTAAAGCTAGATGCAAGTGATCCGGTCAGCCTGGAGAAGGCATCGAGAGACAGGCATAGGTACCCAGTACAGAATCGCTTTGTAGGTGCGGTAGGCCACGTCTTTCACGACGATGATTGTCTTGGGAGGCCCTCTGTCATTCTTTCGGGTGGGGTTCTGAGGTTCCGTGAATGCCTCAAGTTTGGACTGAGATTCATCTGTGGGTGTTGTTGAACTGGGGGATGTCGCTGGTGCGGTCTCCGATACTTCCTCGTCATCGCGAGCAGAGTCCAGGCGATCATGATGCGCGGCCTCGCTTGTCGATGTTGCTGCATGAAGGTTGGGCAATTCAGGAGGATCCGCAAAGTCGCCCTCATCATCGTTGTCATCTTCCTCGTCCGAATCTTCAAACTCGTCCATGTACCCAGTAAAGCCTTCCGATGGACTGCTGCTCAGCCGCCCTAACACAGGTCTGCCGGTCAAGCCTTCCGCAAAGTCCGACGCAAACACTGTAAAGAACGTCAGCACATCGAAGAGGGTAACGTCGGACTACGCTTACTCGTAGCAAAGTATTCCACTCGGGCGAGCATCTTCTTTGCTGCAACGATCCGCCGCGCATTGGCTGGATCGCCTCCTTTGGGAAAGACGAATTCGACATCGGAGTACAAAGGGTCATCCAGGAGTGAGCCAACTGTATCCAGTAGTTGCTTGGGTGCCGAAAGACATGGATAGAGTGGAGCCGATGGCGGTCGGGGGGAAGAGACGACATTGCAGGTGATGAGCATAGCATCTTGGGCCCTGATTGGCGGGCAATTGTAGTATATGGTGTCTCGTCGAGCGAACTGGGCCCTGTGTCACCCAGAGTCAGAAACCGGATATCAGTGTTTCAAAAGCTCAGGACCACTAACCAGCCCCAGTTTGCTGTCTATAATTGGAACACGGAAATGAGGAGCGTACTGATGTTTACATGAAACAACATACCCTGGACGAGAACGAATGATTTGAAGCTTCTTTGCTGCTGTAAAGTGTACTCTTGTCGAGGCTGAGGTATCGGGCTGAGCAAAGCGTCTTCTCAGTGTCGACAAAACAACCTACTTGCGAAGCTCGAAACTGAACTTGTAGTTCCCTTCTCGGACCCATCTGGACGTAGACGTGAGCCACCATCTGCAATGACCTCGTGTCTGCCATACCTTCCAGAATCAGCCAAGCCTATTTCTCTCTCCTCCGGAGTAGGCTACTCATCAGTAAGTATGATGGCTGGCTCTCTTGCCACGGAAACCAACGCACGTCGCAGGACAGATAAAGACTAATGTAGCCATCGGGACAGTTTGGGTCCTTTGGCAGGCCAGCGTTCGCATAGAAAAGAATCTGAAGGGTCGGAAAAGGGTGCTCTAGCATCCGACTGGCAGGTTTCCTTGAGAGATTACTCACCTGCCATCTTCCGTTGTCAAATTTGCCCGATCTCGCGACTTTGGACTTTGCCTCCCCTCGTGTCGATTCGAAGAGGGTCCTGAGACCTTTCAACTTCCAGTCGAAGGTAACGGTATGGCTTTCTGTAGCTTCCGAGTCTATGTCCATTGGTCGCAGCAATACAAAGGTAGCAAAGAGGAGGACATGGGAGTACGAAAGCAAAGGCTAAACAAGGTCCGCGCACCGACGGTACCGGTCCACGTGGGGAACGCGGGGTCGTCGGGCGCCAAATTAGGCCTTAACCCCAACGGAAACAAGCAAGCGCCTTCGACGTCATCACTACCTAATCGAATAATCTACTTTTCCCCCTCGAGCATCTTGCGGAAGTCATCTTGCCCCTTGTTAGCCTGATTTGAGGCTCCTGAGCCACTTGATTCTGCGGGAGGAGGGGCTCTCGCAAATCCAAGACCAGCTCGCGGTCGTGAAGCAGCGCCGGCCTTGCGCGGGACAAACAAACCGCCGGTCTTCGGCGGTGGTGCGACAGGCCTGGCTGGTGCCCCATCTTTGCCTTCCTCCGATAACTGCAGAATGACATCGTTGAAAACCAAAGGTTCAGTGCGCAGCAGTAGCTTTCCAGCCTCCTACAACGGAATCAGATATAACCCCTAGTATCCCATTCCAAATACAACGTACCGCAGCGGTCTCCAGCTCCACCGCAGCCTCTCTCTTGTCGGCGAATACTTCCACCCGACGCACAGCTGCAACCTTTTCGAATGTTTGCTGCAGCAGACCTTCTTGAGTGTTGGGAGGCAGATTTCGAACACGGATGGATCGGCTTCGAATTTCCGCGTTGCGTCCGAGGCCGGTCTCCGACCTATGACAAACGAAGTCGGTCAAGAGGTGCACACATGGGGAGAAGGGGCAGGACGTACTTGTTATGACGCGCGCGCACACGAGGATCCGCAAGGGTCACTGCAATTCGGCGTTTCTTCAGCTCGTAATTGTTTGCGTCAAGCGCTCGCCTAGCGTCTTGCTATAAGGAGGATTAAGAATGAGAGGGTGGGGAACGACTAAATTTCTGATACTTACCGGCTCTTCGTATTCCACAAAGGCGTAGCCCCTTGCGTGGCCATCTTGTTCGGTAGCCATCCTCACGTCCTTGACTTTACCATACTACAGCAGCGCCATAAACACAGGCCATGGCTCAAGGAAAGGGGAGCTCACCGTCGCAAATAGCTTCTCCAAATCAGCTTTGGTTGTGAACTTGCTGAGACCAGCGACATAAACTTCGCGCTCATTCGCATCATGGTCGGTCCTTTCCTTCTTGCGTTCAGGATTGGAGATATACACATTCAGAGGTAGGTTGGGTTCAAGTTCCTTGCGGTGTAGTTCAAGCGCCTGTTGGGCAGCATCCTGTAAAGCATGTGAGTTGCACCGTCACCTGGTAGTAGACACCCTGAAAGGAACTGACTGGAGACGTGAATTGGACGTAGCAGAAGCGACGGGTGGTCTTGAACTTCTTGCTGGGCCACCTGACATCAAAGAGCATCCCATACTATACGGGTTGAAAAGTCAGTGTGTATGTCGCCAAGACGAGCTAGACGACTTGCCGTCCCAAACAGATTTCGGATGTATGCGTCATCCGCCGATTCAGGGAAATTAGTTACGTAGAGCGTTGATTTCCAAGCCAAGTGTACGGAAATTTCTTGTCCTTGAAGCCTCTTCTTATCCTTGGTCAAAGCTGCGGGTACGCTGTCCTAGATGGGGAAGTGATACGTGAGAACAGGACAGGACGATCGATGGTGGAATGCTGTACCCGTTCAAAGAACTCTACAAGAGCGACGACAGCGTTTGGCAGCTTGGTGATCTTGACCTCTCGAATGGAACCGCACTGACCGAGTTGGTGAGTTGAAGAGGTGGGCGCTTGGGATGTAATGACAACGCACGTCTTTGAACAAGGACTTCAATTCATCTTCGGTGACTTGCTCTGGTAAATCTGCGACGAAGACGGTGGTGTTTTCACGGTCCCTATGAACCAACGTCATGCCATGATTGGAGGTTATCGAAAGGGAAGGGCATACCGCTTCAACGCCGGAGGGTTGGTTTCTATTACAGGAGATGGAGATTAATAGAGTAAAGGATGACCTAGGCGTAACTGCGTACCAAATCTTGCTCGTTTTGAGGTTTCGCCGCTGGGTTCGTCCTCGTCTGTCCTCCGTTTCTTTGAGTCCAGAGAAGAGATAGCAGGAGTGTCGACATCCATTGCAGAAGGTTCTGGCGCGCTTGGTCGCTGCGCGTCGACGTTCATAGCATCCGTAGCTGGATCTGTAGCAGATGCTCGCGCAGCTGCTGCATATTGTTGTTGATTCTGGTATGCTTTCTCCATTTCCTGTCACGAGCGTTGGCACTCTGTCGTGAGCGATAGAGGCAGAATACTCACCCTGGCTCTGTAGAAGTTCAGCTGAGCCTGCGCCTTCTCGATCTTATCCAAGCAAGAGTCGATGGTTTCGACAGACCCATGCAACTGTTCGAACGACAACCATGCCTCCCAGACTGCCTCCGGCCAGTCCATACGTTTGGTATGCACCTCTGTGAACACGGATCGTGCTTCCTCGAAGTTTTTGTGCTTGCTAGACAGGCGTCAGACTAGTCCACAGAGCATATTGCCGGGGGCTTACATGAGAGTCTCGGTGTAATTCAGCCATACGGCGTAGTTCCCTTTGTGCTTTTTGGAGGCGGCCTTCCACACCTTGACCGCATCCTCAACGAGACCGACATCACCGAGCTGAATATCATACAGCCCAGAGGTCAGCAATTTCTTTGAGATTTTGTGGGGGTTATACTTGCCACGCCAGCTAGGAACTTCTCAAGTCTGAACTTCGGGTCGCCCGCCTTGTCGGCTGAGAGCAAGGATTCAGCATTCGAGAAAAGAGTGCGGTGAACCAAGACATACCTTTGAGCACTAGATCGATAGCACTCTCGGCTGCTGCAATGAGGTTTGGTAGGTCATCGTAGTCTGGAGGGTCTTGGGCCTCGATTCGTCTCTTCTCCCATCCTGTATAGGCGAGGGTGACCGAAATAATGTTCTCAACGTCGGACATTGCACCGCTCGAAATGGCTCGACTGTACGCGTCCGCTGGTGATTCCAGGCCTTCGGTATCCATGGATTTGGCAGCGCGTTCCTGAGAATGACAGTAAATAACAACGGCGTGACGCTAGAATGGATAGATTCCCACCAAGAACCGGATGTATCGGGACCAAACCTCTCCACTAGCAGGAGCGCTGCGAAGAGCGCGAGTGTACAGTACTTGCTCAACGTCGATTCCAACATCTTGAATCCTCTGTGGTCCCCGTGAGACTTCCACTTTCTGTACATGTGACTCAAGGCCCGTACCATTGCGTCCAAATAACCCGCCCAGAAAGCTCGAAGCGCTTGCTCTGATCCCTGCTCGCCCTTGTGTCTTCGACTCGCGGCTTCAGTGATGGCGCGTTCATATATACCCCGCGTCGAGAGGAGATCAGGATACCTGGCTCTCCTCTCGAAAGAGATGTATTGTGCGAATGAGTCGAGCGAATTGTTGGACTGTGTGAGAGAGGTTTCGAGGGAATCCCGCCGTTCATAAGCTTTGACACTCGCTCCCCTGACCTTGGAAGCAGCGACCATGAGTTGCTCATACTCGGCAGGAGACTTGTATTTCGTTGTGAAGGACGAGTAGGTTTGGAAGGTCTCGTCCGAATCTTTGAACCAACTGTGTCAGCGCTGTGCTCTAGCACTGGCTAGTTTTGTGAAGGACGTACTCGAGTGTGGTTGCTTCAGACGGACGTTGAGCAGTGTTTCGAGGTGTTCCTGGAGAATTGGCCTACAGGATCATGAGCACCCACATGTGTGCTGGCTGCAAACATACTCACCTGTCTTCCGGAGACGAGGTTTCCAATTGTTCCAAAAGCCAGTCCCGCTGCGCGTCGAACAGCAAACGACTCTGGCTAGCAGCTCAGTAACTTGTCGTTCATTTCGAGGGTGAACCAACTTACCTGGCTCAAGTGGGAGATACCTTTAGCAACGATCTGCTCAATGTGGACCAAACTCCAGCCAGTTGAGAAGACCTCTCCCAAGGTTGCAGGTTTAGGTACGGCATCCTCCCCAGTATATCGAGCATGACCGTCAAGGATAAACTTCAAGTGCTTCTGTAAAATGGGAATAGCTGTGACATTGGTCTGGTCTTGAACAACGCGTTCGGGCAGAAGAACTGGTTCTTACATAGGTAATCACTCTCGGCGCGTTCGAACAACTGCAACAATTCTGCAACACCCTCCTCCGTCTCCAAGTCTACGGAGGTTTCTCTTGCTTCAATCAAAGGCAGCCATACTTCATCACCAACGGCGACGAAGTCTGCCATCATCTGGAAGGCAGATAACTGGGATTCAAGATCATCGAGCTTATTGGCGAGTTCGATGTGCCGGAGATGCAAACCAATGTCGAGGGGTTTTTCGGATATCTGGTTCAGAATGTCGGATACGGCTTCGAGTGACTGTGTGTCGTCCATATTTGCAGCTCCTTGTACTTTGTTTGCTGCGCGGTGGGGCGTTGACGATGACGACGGAGGCAAGCCAACCGCGTCGCGCAGCGTGCGAATATATGCACCGCCACGCCGCCTCGTTCTTGGCATCGTGACGCCATCATGATTCTCTTTTGCTGTTTTCCTCTGTTCCTCGACGGTTACTTTTATACGAACGTAAGTCGTTGCTCTGTCATTGCCAAAATCGCAGTTGTGACCAAGTGAACTGGCTTTAGGAATCACCAATGCTTTGTGGTATTCTGAGCGCCTGACTGTAGATAGCCGCAATTGGCTATCAGAGGGAGCACAGCACTGGGTTTCTTTGTTCAAGGCCTCCGATTTCGTATTCCCGACAGAGATCGGTACACTCTCCATTCTGCCATCTTGTCTGTGCAATCCATTTCAGACAAGAAAGCACACAATATATAAAGTCTTGTCCTAGTTCCTATGTGTGACCACTCTCCTTTCTTTTTCTCTCGTCTCTTCTGTCGGGGCCCTTGCAGATGTTGTTCGGTCGTCGTACTAACGATACACAGGGCCCTGCAACATTCAGTCGCTCCTTGGCCAGAACTTTCAAGCTCAAGTTATCGATCCCCTTGTGAGTTTATCATCTCGATCGCGGCTACCAGGCGTTTTCATTAACCCTGAGATAAAAGCCTCACTTCGAAGTCCAAATGTCCCCCACCAATGTACTCCTCACCCCCTTCACCACGGAGGCCAGAAGACATTAGTCGTCCTCGTCAACTTGGGCGATACAGGCACCACCCAGAGCACCGGCTTCCGGCTCACTTCATCCAGCGCCTTCCCGTGGAAATCCTCGCCCTCATCTTCATCCAAGGGGCTCAAGACGACGTCTACTTCCCCGTCACCGTTTCCCATGTGTGCCGTGCATGGAGACGAATTGCCTTACGCACTCCCGCATTGTGGCGACGGATTACCCTTGGCCCTCAAGAACGCATGTGGAAGGAGAGGATTAAACGTGCAAGGGCCTGTAGCCTCGATGTCCAACTTCTACCCACCAAGTCGCGCTCACGAAGCGAGCCCCGGCACGCGGACCTCGATCCGTACTCCATACAGTGGCACATGCACATGGTCATTCCCCACATCGCCCGTTGGCGATCGCTGGAGATTGTCTTCCCAGAGCACGGTCCCTACCTCTGGAAAGCGTCCCTCTCCCGGTGCTGTGCAACCAGAAACGCTCAGGCACCCTTGTTGGAAGACATACAGCTTTCCTACCGAGCGAATGACGATCCAGAGGCCTTCACCCTCTTCTCAGGAAGCGCTCCCAAACTTCGAAGCGCCACACTGGACGGAATTCGACTGAATTGGCTGCCTTCGCTCTATTCCAACCTGACTTTTCTGGATTACACACATCACGGATTTACCGCCGGGCACCAAGCCGTACAGGACGTCATCAATATGTTGACGGTTTCCTCCCAGCTCAGGGAGCTGAGGCTCACTTTCCCCCGCAAGCCAGTGGTCTGCCTTCCGTGCAGGGACGACCCAGTGAAGACCCGGGTCGTCCTACCCAAGCTCAAATGTCTTCACCTCCGCGTGGAGGGGAAAGACATCCCGTTTGAGCTCGCACAGATCGCAACCCTGCTTGTGACCCCTTCCCTCACTTCTTTGCGGCTAGTTGATCTTAACCGCTCTTACAATTCGTTCGCCTCTCTCAAATCCTTCTTCTACATTTACGCCTTGCCTCCTTCGCTTCGCTCCGTCAGGATTGAGTGCGGGTGGTATGATCCTAGGATGATCACTCCCATTGTTCAGTCCCATGCCAGGATCCGACAGATCATCATCAAGAGGCCGCATTCAGCTGAGCAGGTGCTGAACCTCAAGCCCTCACCTACCCCGCCCCGATCGAGGAAAGGCTCATCTCCATCAGCACCACAGTGGGAGAATACCACTTCTTCCCTCTCTGCCGCTTCTGCGACCCGCAGCAATCACCACAACAGACATTTCCAGATTCAGCGTCTCGACGTACAGTACCTCAAAGCTCGTTAATAATCGCTCCTTGATATGGCTTAAATTATTCGGGAGGCTTCTAGCCTGCTCTGTATGTGTATATTTTCGCTCGTTCCATGCTTGATGTCGTTACAGCCCGGACTTCGGTTTCCCCTCTGTATTATTATTTTGTCTGGCACTGCGGTGCCACATTCTGTAGCATAGCTTGACCGGTGACCATTGTTCTCTGTCGATGTAACAAATTGCATGCGTGCTTCCGATGTTGTCCATGCGTATGCTGTCTTCTTTCCCGTGCCTTTCGACACACGGTAATGTAAGTGACCTGAACGTCCGGTCCGAGACGAAGCCAGTCTGCTAATATATAAAGACCCCGTCCAATTAATTAAGTATTAGCAGTCTCCTCTTGAGAGTTTCCCCGTGTCTAAACCTCTCTCTCAGCCTTCCCTACAACAATCTAACCGACATCGACCATGGCCTCCTACGTCCCACAAGCCATGTTTGATCTCCGTGGACGCGTAGCAATCGTTACTGGTGGGGGAACAGGCATCGGGTGGATGATCAGCAAAGGACTTGCCGCAAGTGGAGCAAAGGTTTACATTACAGGACGGCGCCTTGATGTCCTAGAGAAGGCTGCCAGTGAGTGGGACAAGGCGATCGGTGGAGATATCGTTCCGTGAGTCTGGTTATGTGGCTGTTGGCTGAAGGTTTGGATGCTACTGACGTCGATGATTGCCTCGTGCCTTGGAATGATTTCCTATAATGATGCCTCAAGGCTGCAACTGGATGTCACCGATAAGCAGAGCATCTTGGCCGCCAAGGCTCGTATCGAGACTGAAGAAGGAAGATTGCATATCCTGGTTAACAAGTGCGTAGGAACGTCTCAGGTTTTGTCTGGCTTGCTGATCGACAATGGTGTAACTTCAGCGCTGGCCAAGTTGGACCATGCTCGAACTTTTTCGGAGACCCTTCTGCTCCGGAGCAGAAGGACGCTGAGACGTTGGGCCAAGCCCTGTTCAACAACGAGAGCTTTGAGCAGTGGTCACAGTTGTATACGATCAATACCTTTTCCATCTTCTTCATGACCACAGCCTTCCTCGGACTGCTTGCCAAGGGAGGCGAGGAGATTCCAGGTCACTGGTCAAGCGTCGTGAATATCACCAGTATCAGCGGTGTAATGAAGCTCGCGCAAGACCATGTAAGTGTCTTGGCTGCTCGGTATACGATGGATCTGTAAATTGATCCACACGCAAAACGTCGGCAGTTCTGCTATAATAGCTCCAAGGCGGCTGCCACTCACCTTACCAAGATGCTGTCTACCGAAATCCTCCTCAAAGGTTATCCGATCAGAATCAACGCTGTTGCCCCAGGAGTGTACGAGTCTGAAATGACTTGGCACACTATTACACCTGAAGCCGTGGATAAAGTCGCGAAGGGCGTTGTTCCTGTTCCCGCCAGGCGCCCAGGAAGGTAAGCGGCTCTTCCACCTTCTCCTGTATAACGAGGAGTCTGAAGAATGTCTATTTCAGTGGGGAGGAAGTAGCGGGGACTGTTGTTTACCTCGTCTCAAAGGCAGGGGGATATACACATGGACAAGAAATTGTGATAGATGGCGGGGCTTTGGCAGTCAATCCTTCCGTAGCCTGATCGAATACGTCGCGTTGTACTTTATCTGACTTCCGAGATGATACCCACTGGAACGGCCTGTGGGCGGCTGTCGGTGCCGCCCTTTGCCATATGGGGAGTTCAAGAAGGCTCATGGATTTCCGTTTTCAGTTGCTTCCGCACCTTGGACGCGATCGAAGTTGGTAGGAGCGTCGGATGAGTCGCCCTTCTACAGACGATTTGCTCTGTAGGTCATGCTGGCGCTAATCTATCAATGAGACCGGTCACCGCTAGGCTAAAGGGGTTACCATTGCCTCTTTATCACAATACCAATTGCCGGCGTTGCCCGCCCATTGGCCCAAATCCTGATGATCTCCGCCATCAGTGACGCAACACTGTTCAGGGGGTTCGAAACGCGAGCCAAGGAGAATCAACGAACAACCCAGTTGCGGTCATTTTGAAGGATTAAAGGAGGATTAAGCGCGTTTATATTGGATCTATACGCGTAAACCTCCCCGAAATGCAGTTAAATAAACTTTAAAGCGATGTTCCTATCGATCCGGAGCTAGGAAGCGCCAAAGTCGCCGTGAGGTGGGGCTAGCTCGTCATGTGCACGCCTCGTGTCGCCCTCTCCACTCCAACCCTGAGCGTGAATTTCCATAAACCTCCGGTGCTGGACCAGCTTGTCGTGTAATTTCAAGGGCTTGTGTGGTCGCCTTTGAGGAGATTTCGGAGAACGGAGGCGGTGCTGTTGTTGAAGTTGAGGACGAGGATCGTGAGAACGGCCAAGGTTGGCCGAATTTGGAGCTCGCAGCCACTGGCCCAAGGTCGCAGACTCTTTTCTCTTCTCCATGTCTCGTCCATCTCGCAGGCAGGTCCAGTCTTACCAGCCCCCAGCGCCCGCCACATACTCCTCGGTGCCCCAGTCGAGCCCACCGAGAAGGAGCTCGCTGCAGCAGGGCCCAGGTTACCATTACCATTACCAGTCCCAAGTCGCTGGTCCAAGACCAGTTCAACATGGTCGAGCCCAGTCAACGAGCAGTCATGGTCATTATACAACGACAAGTCAGACGCATTATGCACCCAGCCAGGGTCACTACACGAGCAGTCACGGCCATGGCAGGTCAAGATCCAACGAGCGTCGGTCATCCAGCAGGAATGGTGTAACGATGGGAGTTGCAACAGGCCAGATTGGCTCGGCTTATGGTCCTTATTCTGTGCGTATTCGCTATGCGAGAAGCCTGGAGAGACGACTGACAGCGAGCGCAGTATCATACAAATCCTCCACCACGAAACGCTGGCGTATATCGCCAAGGACGCTTCAGCAATACGCCCTCAGAGAACTCCCTCTCAACCGGGGACCATACATCACAACAGCCTCTGCACCAGCCGCAACCGGCTCCTCCTCAAGCACCGCTACCGCAGCGCACAACGACAGTCCCAGCTTTCATGTGGGATAAAGAACCAGACCTCGACGATGCATTACATACTCCCGATCCTAGAAGAGACAACAGCTGGACACCCTTCTCGTGGAGAGGCTGGGTGAATGTCCTGGGCATCCTCATTCTCCTCTCTGGACTCTTGACGTTATTCATCGGTTTCCCCGTCATCGACTATGCTCAGAACCGATACCGTGCAATCCATGGCTTCAGCGTTGGCGGCGTCAATGGATCAGGACAGATACCAGAACTTCCGGGAATGCCTCGGTTGATTGACTATGATACCCCTCAAGAAGCCTACTCGAGAGTTGGAACAGATGGACAGAGATACGAGCTTGTCTTCAGCGACGAGTTCAACGTCGACGGGAGGACGTTCTATCCTGGAGATGACCCGTACTGGGAAGCTGTTGACTTGCATTACTGGTAAGTTGGCTAAGTTTTCCCGCATGCCATTTGGGTCCTGATGTCCGCTAGGCCTACAAACAACTTGGAGTGGTATGATCCCGGTCATGTTACAACCGAGGATGGCAAATTGGTCATTACGTTCGAGCAAAGACTTTATCGAGATTTGAACTTCATGAGTGGTGGGTATCTGCTCTTTTTTTTTTTTTTTTTTTTTTTCTTTTGGGCGGGCTTTCACTTACACATGTATTAGGGATGTTATCATCATGGAACAAGCTTTGCTTCACGACAGGGTACATTGAAGTCTCCGTCAGCTTGCCTGGAAATGGTCAAGTTCCAGGCTTGTGGCCAGGTATGGACGCTGTTGCCAACTACTCTAATGTTACTCACTAGGCTTCTGCTCTAGCCGTCTGGACACTGGGGAATCTCGTGAGTATCTCATGCATTGTTGGTATTTATGATTTTCTCTGACCCTTGCTCAAGGGACGCGCTGGTTACGGCGCAACCACTGAAGGCACGTGGCCATACTCTTACGACGAGTGTGACCTGGGTACCTTCCCTGGGCAACAGTCACCCGACGGCGTGCCATCCGACGAGATCCTCACCTACAGCCGCACCGGGGCACGTCTTAGTGCATTACCTGGACAAAAACTGTCGGCTTGCTCGTGCCCTGGCTCAGATCATCCTGGTCCTCGACCTGATGTCGGACGGGCGGCACCTGAAGTCGACGTCATTGAGGCAGAGTCGAAAGAAGGAATTGGTCTTGTTTCCCAGAGTTTCCAAATTGCACCTTACGATTATGAATACTGGCCCAACAGGGAGGAATACTCCACGATCTACAACGAAACTATCTCGCACGCTAATTCCTACACGGGTGGAGAATACCAACAAGCCATCTCAACGGTTTCTGAAGTGACCCCTCGCAATGGCCCCTACAATGGCACATCATATACAACCTTTGGCTACGAGCTTTGGTCCGACCCAAAGAATCGAGACGACGGATACATCACTTGGTTTAGCGGAGGTGTTCCAACATGGACGCTTAGGGCAGGTGCAATTGGACCCAACAACCGAACGAGAGTCGGCCGTCGCATAATCCCGGAAGAACCCATGGTTCGTATGATTTCACTTCGTCGTTTCCTCCGAATTCATAACTTCCATTATAGTACATCATTTTCAACGTCGGCATGGCTTTCAATTTCGAGCGACCCAACTTCAATGCCCTCGAGTTCCCCGCCAAGATGCACATCGACTATGTGCGAGTGTATCAGCGTGAGGGAGTCAAGCATGGAGTGACTTGCGATCCACCGAACTATCCAACGGCTGACTATATTGAAAGGTATGTTTGCAACGAGACTATTAAACCGTCTCTTGAACGACTCCCCTAGGCACATCAACGCGTACACCAACCCGAATTTGACGACATGGGAAGGAGCAGGCAATACGTTCCCTCGCAATAGGCTTTTGGATGGCTGTTAATCCTCACCTCGCTTTGCTGGTGAATACGATTATTGCAAGACGATAATGTACGACACTAAAGATCTTCAAGACTCGCCAACACGCTGCCCCCTTTCCACCACGACACACTCAAAACTACCACTATCACCACGCTACGCGGATTCTATTGGCAACCATCTCACGGACCTCTTATTCCCTACTCACGCACGCACGCATCCTACTCACGACCTTTAATGAAACTTGTCTTCGTTTCTCCCTCACCCACATCGGTGTGAGTGAAGGAGATTCATATGTTTGATTAGTCCATCCTCCCTTCATCTATTCTGTTCTGGTGCATTCCCAAGTGGTTCGCTTTTTTCGTTCTTGTTGTACTACTCAAACATTTACACGCACGATCAACCATACGGCACCTCAAGCATTTCCCTCTGGTGTCGCGAGAACTGGTCGCTACGACACCTTCCACATCCGCATTTTATCCATCACCTCGGCCCTTATCCGAGACCCCGTTCTACCGCGCACATGACATGTTGCTACTCTCCATATCTCTTCATTAGCCCGCCCTATTTATTCCATCCCATTCTCTTTCTGGTTATGAGGTCTAGTTTTCTCTTCCGCTTTCCCTCAATGTTCTTGCGGCTTACCGAGGTTTCTTGACGTGTCTTTGTAAGAGGGAATTGCTTTACTCACTGTGTATTTTTCTCATTGCAATAGAAGTTTACAGAGACCCAGCTACGGCACAGGAGAGCATGGTCTTAGCTACTACGTACTACTACTTGGCGCCATCGACATACCAGATGAAAAGGGGCCCGTTTCTCTAAAAGAGTCGGCCTCCTCTGCGGATATATTCCAACACCTAATAGGGGTAGAAGCTCACAACAGTACCGTTACAATGCTCAAGGGTTGGTCCACCTAGTTCTCCGCATCATGCTCGCAGATAGGTCGACACAGCATGCCCTTCCTCCACCTGGTAATCCCGAGTCGGACAGTTCCTACCGGGTGAGTGGGAAACCTCCCAGAGTTACTGTCCCCGTCTCTCATGCTACAAGATGGTTCCCAGCCTCTGGACCCCCAGAGGACCCTTTCAAAACGGCCTTCGAGCACTCGCCAGAAAGTGGAGGGCCCTTGATGGAAAAGCTCCCAGTTTCTCCTATGCTCACGGGAGTCAGGAATAGTTGCAATAGTGCTACCTATAAATACACTTTTCCGATGCTAAAAGTACAAACGAAATAATGGGAAAACAGCCAGGAAGCATGACGAGCAATTCCAGTACCCATAACGCCCCCAATACTACAAACACTGCTGAATAGTTCACCCGTATCTCTCTACAAGAACCCGCTTTCCTGTAACAAACGTGCCATCTTTTCGTCTTCTCTCTCGCGAGGCTCCCGTTCCAGACTCAGCTGCCAAAAGTGGTCGCTCGATGCTCGGGTATCGCTGTACTGATTGAGGGATTCCTCGATGTAGTTCAGGACGATAGGTAAAGATTGAAGGTTGAATGATTGTGTTTGCCATCTTTTGATGTCGCTGATGACTTCGGATGCCTTCTGTCGTTTGCGGAAATTGACCAACCCGCCAGGCAGCATGTCGGGGTTACCATCCTGAATGAACTGTAATGTCGACAGGAAGACACCTGATGAGGGAGAAATGTCATTCACATACAACGTCAAAACACGAACAGCAAACAGCTGCAACTCACCAATGAATGGCACACATGGTGGGGTTACCGAGGCCATGAGTTGACGATACTTGGTGAAATTTTTGTTGCTGTCGATGGTCATCTCGCAAGCCTGGAACATGGACATGTACCGCGGGCTGACTTGTTCCCAGGTACGCTTCAATCGTCGGATGGGAGGCGTATTCAGACCAGAGGTGATAGCAATCATGCTCGAGAAATTGTTTAGTGACCGGCAACGCTGTTATCACAACAATGATTAGCATTGCGGCAGAAAGCCAGTTTGAAGGAACACGCACGTCTGCGATAGTGATGAGGTGCTTGACAATGGCAGCTCGTTTACGCGAGTCCTCCTTGCTCAGCACCAGATCCGCAACCCAATCAGCAATCTAAGAAACATTGTCAGACGTATAATCACGGCAGGAAAGACACCAAGACCTCGTACCCTATTGCTAGTCTGGATAACAAGGGCAATATTATCCATGTTTTCTGTCTTCTGCTCTCGAGCACGTTGAAGACATTCCATGGGTTTGATGCGTTGATACAGCTGACTCTCCATGAGGGTCAACTGTCGAGCGAGTTCCAATGCATCAATATCAGTAAGGCGCAGTTTCTTCGTCGACTTCGGTACTATAGGCGGAGGTGGAGGCACCAGATTGGTGTTGACCATAGCTTTGAGGTTATCGCTGCCACTGCGTTGCTGAAAATAAACGTCAAGACAACGAGACCGGTACGCCAGAGTGAGATAATACTGACCGCTCGCTCGATCAGGTTGAGCAATTGCTTTGCAGCAGGGAAGCCCACGACATCATCTGACAGAATGAAATTCTTGATCTTGTCGAGAATATACATGTCTTCTTTTTCCAGAATATCTTCACCCTGAATTATTGACTTGAAGGTGTTGATAACCCTGTGACCACACATAAACACATGTAGCTTTATCTCGACACACACAAGTCCGCTCACCGAATCTGAATGATATGCTGCTTCAACTTGGACCATTCCTCAAGTTCGGCAGGGTTCAACTTGTCCGGAGGCTTCACCCTAAACCGTTCAATGAGAAGATCCACAAGTTCGTCCAGAGTCGTGAACGACTTGAACGTCATCAGGAACGCCTCAGTATACGTCCGATCAGCTATTGGGAAAATCATTTAGCCTTCAATCACCCAATCAGCAAGCAAAAGCCGGGATATACTCACTTAGTTGCTCATGTGCCGTTAGTTTTTCAACCAACGCTGGAACAGTACCGCCACGGACAGACCCATCGGACTCGATGATGATATCCTCAGGGCTGTAGCTGGGGCGCAGATACCATGCTATCGAGTCGGCTGCGACCTTGTCTGCGTATTCACGCCCGAGCCACGTCTCCAAATCCTTTTGCTTGGCAGGTCGACTTGGAGCCTTGGGAACAACTGCAAAATAAGGTTGTTAGATCGATCAATTAAACGAGGAACAAGGAACACGGAGGGAGACGGGGGCCGATGAAAACACACTCACGTTCATCATCAGAAAGATCAATATCGAGGTCCGACTGACGATCAGGGGGTATCGTGGATACCAGAGTCTTATCCAGGGTGCCCGCAGAATCATTGGCGTGTTGGTATCCATCGTCATAGGTACCATTCGCGAGCGTCCGACCAGATTCATATGAAGAATCGTTGGCAGACGAGAGCTTCCGACCACCCTGGCGATTGAACGCAATCTCCAAGTCTACGACACCTTCGTTCTCCGAATCGTACGCGGTGTCGTCCTTGTACTGGGAAGTGCCAATTTGGTTGTGAATCATGCTCAAACGCGACATGCGCCGCTCGATCGAACCTGTGTAGTCGCCTAGAGCGATGTCGGCTTGTTCATGACCGATGGAAAGGATGGCTTCGATCGCTTGGCGACATTGGCTGAGGTTGGAGCTGATGGAGGTGCAGAGTTTGTCGAGAAGGTCGTATGAGGATTCCCGTTCGCCCGGAGTCTGGGGAGTGTCGCCATCGTGAAGGTTCTGGGCCGTGAGGAGCAAGGCAGATGTATCGTCGTACAGTCCTTGCAAGACCGTTTCCAGAGTTCGAACCAGCTTCCTAGCACTTTCCACAGTCTGGGAGTAACGCCCGTCCTGAGTAGCTCGATCCTGTGTCACTGTACCATCAATGTCGATATGGCGGGCAATGTGAATGTCGGCAACATATGATAGAAACGCCGAAACCTGTGTTACGGACTGTTGAACCCTTTGGCGAACTTGCTCCACTAAAAATCCGTCAACGGCTATGAAAGTAGAGTAGAAGAGAAATTAACTATACCTGATGAGTCGCTGCTCACGCGGAGAGCCTGTCCCAGACCTGCAATGGTATCCAGAAGCGAGGACAAATGGGCAGTGACCTCTGATGCGACTTCAGCACCCAGAACCTTCTTCGGAGCAACAGCGTCGCTCTCCAAAGACACCCAGCCAAAGCCCTTCCAGCTTCCAGCTTCACCAGCTCCAACCAATCCAAGCCCGAGATTAGCGTTCGAGAAAACACCTTCCAGTCGCTTGGTCTGAGATTGAGGAGAATCGCCCGACTGCTGGACACGCTCCACCTCCACTACAAACGACTGAACGGCCCGCTCCAACTCTTCGGCATCCGTCTCTATCCTGTTGAGGGTATCGGCAAGCTGTGAGCCTGAATCATACTGCATCGCTCTGGCGCTGAGCACAAGTCGAGAAAGAGTTGCTGTTACCCGTCGCTGTACCGGCTTCAGGGGTGTCGTCTGCGAGGACTGTGACCGCACGTCACGAACGCCTTTCGGCAGGACGCTACTGGGTATGTGGCCAGTTGGAACCGCAGCGACGTACAAGAGATTGCGAACGGCCACGACCACGCTAGACACCAAATCATCGAGGTGAGCATAATCTTCCGGTGGCCGCGTGACGCCATTGCTTTGGATGCTATCGACGACGGCGTGGATGGCGGCAGTTGCGATAGCTGACAGGTCGGTCACCTTCTCCACCGGCGGAGGCTCCAATGATTGTTGAAGCGATTTGGCAATCTTCTCGGCTGATGTGAGTTCGAACATGTCGGGGTCGATGGGGTCAACTGGTTGTGCGCGAGGTGCTGGTGGTCGTCTGGGCTTGATGTGATCAAGGGGTTGGACGTCTGAACTATCCGAATACACGCTGAGACGGGAATTGTCTGTTGCTCTGTTCGCCCCTGGGAAGGAAGACGAAGGGTCGGTTGCCGTTGCAGCTGCTGAAGGACTTCCATTGGTTGCCTGTGGCCGTGTCCATTGGGCAGTGCCGTCGACCGTATTGTAATAATAATAAGTGCCATCACCGGACGTTTGCTTGACCCACGGCTCGGGTGTGCGGACGCCCCTTGAGGTAGTTTCAGCGGTGGATTGTGAATGGAGACTGGTATGGGATGTTTCTGAAGAGCCGTTTACGCTGTAGGGGAGATTTACAGAGGTTGCAGATCGTGAGCTGGACTGTGACGTTAGACCGGCCAAATCACCGTCCGATGTCTCGTCCTCGGAATCGAGTGGTATTTCTCTTGCTCGCTGGCCAGTTCGTTCATTAATATACCAGATCTTGTAACGCTCTGTTTAGTGGACGAGATCCCCGAAAAGGCAGGCGCAGGACTTACTTGGTTGTCTGGTGTGATTTCTGGCATCCAATAATCACCGGGCTGCGCCTTACTACTACTCGAGGCCTTGTTCGAGCCGGGCTGATGGCCATTTCTGTGGGAGCCAAGCTCGCTATCAAGCCATTCTTCGTTCTCGGACAGGCTACCACCCCTCATCAATGCATGGGACATGTCGACAGTGGAATTGTCTTGATTGACGACGGTGGTGTTGGAGTAATCAGCGGTGGACATTTCTGAGCCGGAGAATGCCTGGTCGACTTCCTCATCGCTGATGATAGTGACATAGTTTGAAGGGAACCATCCGCGCTCCTCTCCCAACAGACCGTCCCACCAGCCCGAGGGCTGCTGTGAGAGGACCTCTATGATATCTCCTTGCCTGAAGGACAGCGCGGACGAGTCTTGGGCGTCATAGTTGTAGAGTGCCCTGCAGAAAAGAGTTGTGAACTGAGCGTCGAGGTCGTCCTGGTCGGACTGGGACTGGGTGTCGGTTGTGGTGGTGGTGGTGGTGGTGGTGGTGGTGGTCACGGCGGTGGATGATTGAAGAACGGAGGAGGACGCTGGCGACGACGATGACCTGGAATTCTCTACGGCAAAAGGTGTGAATTGGTCACCCTGTGAGGGGACGGACATGTCTGTAGGATGATTGGCGAAAAAGGGATGACAACTCAGGACATAAGCTCGTTTCCGAGTCCAAAAGCCAAACTCCCAAGATCACCTCTGGGCTCCCCTGTGGAAGCTGACTAAGCGCCGTTTCCCACATTGTCGACCTGGCTGGTCCGGGATGGGACTTGTTCGAGACTCTGAGCCTCTACCGTCTCAAGTATTATGCCGAGGAACACTCATTATTCCACAGACGACCGTCCTTCGTCCTCCAGGCGCGATGATGACCGCAGCTATGCTCGTCGTCGTTCGTCTCGCTCTCGCTCACCGCCGCCAAGGCGCTCAGACGACAGGGTCAGGGACAGAGAACGAGATAGGGGACGTTCACCAAGCCCGGGTCGAGACAGACACAGACGACGCCGGTCGTACTCGAGATCGCGGTCGCATTCGCCATCAAGGCGCAACACTGCACGCGACACACGATCCCGATCCAGGGACAGAAGGCACCGACGGAAACGAGCGCGTTCTTCATCCGCTTCCTCAGCCTCGTCCGAGGAGGATGACACTCGGTCAAGGCGGAAGAAAGATAAACGCAGGGAGAAGAGACGTAGCGGCAGCAAAGAACGTCGGAAGAAGGAGAAAAAGGAAAGAAAAGAAAAAGTGAGCATGCGTTGCCTGTCATCGTCTATCCAAATACACAGTCTTGACCTTCCAATTAGAAGAAACGCTCCGCCAATTCGTCACAGTGGGGTAAATATGGCATTATATCTGACATAGAGTCGGTCATCTCTTCTTACAATTCGACTTGGTCTCACCCTCGTATTACACAGTATCTTCTCCAAGCAGGCGGAATTCCAGACCTGGCTTGTCGAGGAACGAAAGATAAATCCAGAAACAATCACCAAAGACCAAGAGAAGAAGGAATTCAGCCGCTTTGTCGAGGATTATAACACCGGTTAGCTGCCTTGGCTTTTCCCGAATTCACAACTAATCCCTATTTAACAGCCACCTTGCCTCATGAAAAGTACTATAATATCGAAGCTTACGACAAGCGAATGAACGCCTTGCGACAAGGAGAGTACCTGCCTCCCACAGACGATTTCTATGACTTTGAGGCCGACCTGAAGGCAGCCAAAGGCGCGCACAAGAAGAAACCGGTCGAACAAGAATCCTATCTGAGTCGGGAGGAACTGATGGAACTTAGAAAGGTGCAACAAGAACGAGTCGAGGTACAGTCGGACGTCTTTCAAGGATTCTGCTTCTCGTTGACATGCCTTCCTCGCAGCTCGGAAAGATGAAACTGCTGGGTATGGACATCAAATCAACCTATGGCGTCCGAATGGAAAAGACCGAGTTTGACGATTGAGAGGTATAATTTTCCTTCTTGCTATCTTCATGTCGGCGTATCTTATTGGCCACTGGGTCATCCACATAAATATATAATGTACTCTGTGACCCTGTACAACTCGGACTGTTCAATGCAAAAGGAAACGACACACTAGATATAGCAATTTCTCTGCCGTTGCATGAACTCCAGCGGCTCGCGATATGGTCCGCTATCCTTCCTCCTCATGATTATTGCTTTCCTGTTGTTGCCCCTTCTTCCCAACAAACTGTTCCAAAGCAGTTGGAGCACCCTTCAACGGCGCCACAGCTGAAATCATATCCTTTACTTTGTTTTGTCGTTTAGGTTCTGCCGAAACGAAAGGCAAAATATCTATATGCAACGAGACGAAGTCAATGAACGCGTTAGACACCGTGTTCATTCTTAACCGCAACTGCAAGTGCTTACCGTCAAGGAAAAGAAATTCATCCACGCGTTTCGCTACGCTCGCTATACTATAATCAGCACTGACACCACCCGGAGGAGAAGGATAATGTACCTATATCCCGTCCTTGCACAGTCGTCCTATTCTCTCGATTGGCGACCCTCGCCCCAGCCTCCGTTATCCGTCTAATGAACTCCTCAGTTGCCAATGAAATGAGGAACGTAGCGTCTTTAGCTACTATGGGTATATCCTAAACAATCTCATTAGCTCTCGTCGCCGAACCTGACGGTACCAAAACGCACTTTATCCGCTTTAATGATTTTCTGAACACGCGCAAGAGGGAGTAACGATTTTCCAGGTTCTCTCTCAAGCGTCTGCGCTTCCTTCTTCTTCTTCGGTTTGGATGTTGAACTCGTTGTCGCCGTCGTCTTGGCCGCCTTGGTCTTTCCGCCCTTCCCTGCCTCTACCTCTGGAGGCGGCGGTTCGTCCACATCCATCGCATCTTCCTCCTCCTCCGGAAACTGCGCCTCATCTTCATCTGGAAACTGTGGTTCGTCCTCTTCCGGAAACTGTGATTCATCTTCGTCTTCAAACTGGACTACATCCCCCTCCTCGTCCACCAGTGTGTCGTTCATGGGCTTGTCCTCTTCCATTGACGCGTGATTCTTGTTAATGGGTGATGATATCGGTGAAGAGGACATGATTCGTTGTAGATTGATACACAAGGTGTGTTAGGAATGTGAAGGAAAGGCCTGGCGGCGTGGTGGTCGTGAATTGAGACGCGTCCAGCGTGTAAAAATCCGACCGCTGGCACGCGTCGTCGCTTTCTCACATCATCAACGACATAGGGGCTACCAGCAATCCAACGCTGAATTCGCGTCTCCTGTCTAGATTAAGTGGGTTTTTCACTAGACTAGAGGTGTGCCTTAAGCTTTGTCACAAGTTCCCGAGCCTCATCTTCATCCAGTACATCCCTCGACTCAAACTCCAGTTTGTGCATCTTGCTCAAGCTCAGCTTGGTCCCTTTCCCCTTCTCGCTGGTAGTAGGTTCGGGTGATGGACTTCTCGAAGCGGTCAGCTTGGGAGCTGGGATAACATGATAATGCACCTGCATCGACAACACAGTCAGTTCCAACCCCACAACTAGTACAGCGAAGAGTAAAGTGACTGACATGAGGTACGACTTGAGCGTATTCTTGGTTACACACGACGTTCAAGCCGGTATGATCCAAGGCTAAAAAAATAGACAAAACTATCAGATACTTACTGAGCTAAAGCGCGACAGAACCATTGAGCTCACCCTTAGTCAAAGCCTGCGCAACCCTCGAAACCGCCTCCCCAGTCGCACCCGCATACTCCGGCGGCAACTCTGACACCCTCGGACAATGTATCTTCGGAATGACAAGTGTATGCCCTTCTCTCAGCGGAAGAATGTCTAATCATAACAGTCAATCCTTTACTATTCAGATACAGCAGCGGGATCGATCTCACCAAGAATTGCAATCACTTTATCTGTCTCGTATACCACCGCTGCCGGCGATGTCTTCTTGATGATACGACAGAAAGCACACGAGTCGTCCGAGGCCCATTCGCGCGGCATTTCGCGATTTACATGGTCTTGAATAAGGAAAGAGGTCATCCGGGGCCGCCTTGGTTCGAGGTAGAGGTAAGACGTCAAGAGCCCATACAGCGCCGAAATGACTTCCGGAAACAGCTCCCGTATATGACGCAAGAAGCCTGACGCTTTCCAATATATCACAAGAGACAAGGGTAACGGCTGTGAATGAGAATACATGGTAGAATGCAGAATAGTAGTGATGACAACAGGACGGACATGAAAGAAATCTAATACAAATACATACATAAAAATAGTCATAGATCACCCCAGAATCCTCGGTAAAATACACATCGATCCCTCACCCCGAGCGAGGTGATCCAGGTCCCTCATTCCCCAAGAACAAGAACCACGAATCCTGCACCGAAAACGCATCCTTCATCCCCGCCATCCCATCCCCGCTCTCACATCTCTCCCTCGGCTCCCTCTCCAAACTCAAATTCCAATACTTGTCGCTCGAGCTCGAGCCACCGCCGCCACTCGCATGGAACCTCTCCCCCAAAGGTCCTAACGAGTCCTCAATGAAATCCATGATAACAGGAACACGCTGGAGGTTGTACGAGTGTGACTGCCATCGTTTGGTGTCACTTATGACTTCAGCAAATTTCTGTCTTTTGCGGAAGTTGATGCGCCCGTTGGGATGGTTGTCTGGGTTGCCGTCTTGGATGAATTGCAGGGTAGAGAGGAACACACCTAGGGGTAAATCAAGTCAGTGTGAAGGCAAAATACTGGATACGGAGGTTCGCTTACCGATGAAGGGGATACATGGGGGCGTCATGGACGCCATGAGTTTGCGGTAATTGGAAAAGTTCTTGTTGCTGTCGATGATCCCTTCGCACGCAGCAAGCTCCTTCATCGAGCGTTGATTAACGTGTTCCCAAGTTTGCTTAAGCCGACGAATTGGGGGAGAGCTCAAGCCAGAGATGATAGCAACCATGGTGGAAAAGTTCTTGAGATGTCGACACCGCTGGTATCACCGAAGCCACCGTTAGCGACTGAGCTGGCAAGAGTCGCGTATCGACAACTCACATCGGCAATGCTGATAAAATGTCGGACAATCTGGGCCCGCTTCCAAGGATCCTGCTTGCTCAATACAAGGTCTGCAACCCAGTCCGCAATCTATGGCCAAGTTGAGCTCCTCGACGACAGAACAGGGAGTAGCTAATCGCACCTTATTGCTCGTCTGAATGACGATTGCGATGTTATCCATATGCTCCGCCTTCCGTTCTCGTACACGCTTCAGACATTCGAAAGGTCTTATCCTCTGGAACAGCTCGCTTTCCAAGATGGTCAACTGACGAGCGGCTTCGAGGGGGTCGATGTCCACGAATCGCATCTTCTTGTTAGCTCTGGGGATAATGGGCGATGGCGGAAGAGTAGTATTGCTGACAACATTGTGAAGGCTGCTCCCACTGCGCCTCTATAGGGAACGTCAATCCTGGCTCTGTTGCCTAGCCCTCAAAGAAGCGATATACATACCCGTTCGACCAGGTTGGAGAGGACTTGGGCCGCAGGTAAGCACGAGACATCCTTCTCTTGAACAAATTCTCGGATCCTTGCAACGACGTGATGGTCATCGTTCTCGATTATGTCGTTCCCTTGTACCATCAACTTGAAGACATTGAGCACGCTGAAGCAGTTTCTATGTCAATTCCCAGTCGTTTATCCATGCCAAAGAACCTACCGAATCTGAACGACGCGCTGCTTCATTGAAATCCACTCCTCCAGTTCGTTGGACATGAGCCCTGGAGGAGGAGCAATTCTGAACCGATCAATCAACGCGTCCACCAGTTCGTCAATACTAGCGAAAGTCTTGAATGTCATCAGGAAAGCTTGGGCAAACGCTCTGTCGGCTAGAAAGTCGTTATTACCGTTCACACTTTGTCTAGAGTCAGGTTCACTTACAAACTTGCTCATGTGCTGTTAGCCTCTCGACAAGCGCTGGGAGACTTCCGCCTTTGACGGATCCATCTTCACCAAGCATGATATCTGGAGGAACACTCGGTTGCAGATACCAGGGTATGGCCTTTGCTCCGTAGATCGAGTCACGTCCCGAGTCGTGTGCTGTAAAGGAGATGGTCAGCGGGAAGTCAGTGAAGAGACAGGCAGCTCGGCTCACTCATGGACAGCCCCACGTCGTCCACAATGGGAAACCCAAATGTAACTGCCGACCCAGAACGTTCCTTCAAGGTCACCTTGGACTCGCTCGCATGAGAGATGAGGGATTGGGAATAAGTTTTTCCTTGGATACTTCCAGAGTCGTTCGAAGACCTGCTGGTCATGAACGACTTCTTTGGCTTCAGGGGCAGCGGGATCTCGAGTCCACCATGTGAGTCTTCGAGCTCAGAGTCTCCCGAGTCCCCAAGTCGCATGGGGAGGTGCCATGCCCGCCGGCCTCGGCCATCTGAGGTGGGCGCCCAGGGATGTCGCCATTCGACGGGAGGCGATGTCTGCCGCGGTTAGTTAGCGCCGTTGAAAAGAGAGAAAGAGTTTGGCGCACCTCGTCGTTAGGACTACTACGCGGGGTCCAAACAGTCGGAGATTCGAGTGTGGAGGCCGACCTCGGTGACTCCGAGATAACATGGGCGGCTTCGTCTTCGCTGAGGAGGACAACATAGTTGGAAGGAATCCAGCCCCGGACATCCCCGAAATAGGCGTCCCACCATCCCGAGGCATCCTGAGACAGCACCTCGATAATGTCGCCCTTCCTGAAGGAAAGACCATCGGGGATACCGGCATCATAGTTGTGCAACGCTCTGCAGAATACGACGGACTTCTCTTGAGCAACTGGAATCGGCTCCACCCTTGCTGCGAAGTTCTGATTGCCTTGGGTTATCTCCAAGGGCTGAATTTGCGAGTGAATGGGGGCAGACGTGCTGTCATGTGGAGTTGGGTTGTGGACTGGGGAAGCGAGAAACTGTCTTGTTTGGGGGAAGGGAATCACGTTCGCCTTTTCTTTTTCCTTCGTCTTCTCTTTTTTCTTCTCCTTCTCCTTGGGCTTGTCTTCCTTCGTCCGAGACTTGACCTTCTTGACTTTGGGTGAGGCTGGATTGTCTTCCGTGAACAGACCGTCGTAGAGGCCCGCCTTGTGGAGTGCCAGCATGTTGCTCGACTCAACGGGGGGAAGAGGCAGTGGGAGAACAGGAAAAGGAAGACACAAACAAGAACCGAGCTCCAAGTCCGATAAACACTGATCAAGATATAGTGTCCATGATATGTTTCCGTGTCTTGGTATGGCCTGTTTCAGCTCCCAGCAGACCAAAAAAGCGTTGAAATCAGGAACGGCGGGAGGATCGTTGGACCTGAATACCGCTCGGCATGCTCTCGACCTTGTAGATAAGCCCAAACGTTTCCAAGACCAGGCATCCCGCAATAGATTCGTACTGAGTTGGAGGCGGAGTGGGCAGCAGATGCGCTATTCCAAACACGTTCATCGGATGGAGGAGACGAACGTGCATTGACGGTGACGACACGCTGATCCCAACAATGGTGAATAGACCTCGCAAGTTTGGTCGTATTTCTCCGCCGGGACGCGGCATTTGAGCGGCAATCAACAGGGGCACAACGTCTGCCAAATATGTACTACTCTGGCAGACTCTGGCTCTCGGTCCCTGGACGTATAGTATGCATTTGCATTTGGAAAGACAATCAGGCCTCGAGGTGGAGCAAGGGCGCGAGTCTAATAAAGGCTTCATTTGGTCAGATTGGTACTTCATTCAATGTACTGGTACAAAGTTACTATTCATACATTTGAGCATCAGATATCGAGGGGCAGAATGGAAGTTACAGGGCAGCAATTACTTTCAGAAGGAGAGCACGTGGTCCAGTCGATGATAGACCTCACAGAGGTTAATTCGGGGGCAGGTCGTACGCAATGCGACCGCCAATCCAAGCGTAGGGGTAGTTTCGCTGGTACCAGTTTCGGAAAGACCTTCTGTTGGCAATGCGAGGTACGGTTGCATAGGAGCCGCCCAACTACAAATGAATGGTTAACGAACTCCAAAGTCGTCAAGATGATGATGGAGAAAAGACTTACCACAACCTGATGTTTTCCATCAAAAAAGTCCATCGAGTAGCCAGGATACAGCGCTGAAGGTCGGAAGCCATCTACTTGATCAAACACCGTCGAGGTCCATTCCCAGACCCCTCCGTTGTGTCCCCGCCCATCAGCCTTGTCCAGGCCGGTCGTGGCGCTAAACGGCGGATGTCAGTGGCGTGATGCAATCTATGATCCGCGGGTACACTCACGGGACTGGGTGCCAGTTTCTGAAGCCAACGTTTGCTCCACCTTCGTAGCCGGCTTCAAACTTGTCATAAAAGAGTCGCAGTTCAGGCTCAGTCGGAAGTCGACCGCCCTTGACGATCGCGTATGTGGAAAGGTTGTTGTAGGACGTGATGACTGGCCAGTCTTTTGCGATTTCCATATCGACGGAACCATACAACGTTCGAACCTGTGCGAATGGCACCTCAGCTTAAAAGACCAGTTAAAATACGGGAACAAACAAACCTTGATTGTGCCATGCCCTTTGATCCAGCTGGCAGGAAGGTCAACCTTGCCCTGACCTTCGCCAGTATAGAATGAGTAAAATTCGCCGTTGGTAACGGGTCGCCATTCGATAGCGAATGCCTTAACCTCGACGGTCCTCTTGGGATTTTCGTTGTCCCAGCCGAATTCGTGTTGCTTGACCTTCTCGACGTCCATGGCTGTCGTGTCTTCCAATTCGTCATCATCGTGTCCCAGGTTCACAGAGGCCGGTCCAAGGACAGCAGTTTTCTTTCCGGGGACTGGTGCATTGTTCCATCCCTGGACCAACATTTCCCAGTGAGGAGCTGTGAAACCTGGAGGGGGAAGGGTTCCAGTGCCAGCTCTTTGAAGCAACATGTAGAGAAGCGTCTCCGCGTGCATCGCTTCATGCTCCAGGGTCATGAACAAGACACGGGCGATCTTTCGAGTCATGGGGACAGCGCCTGATTCTAGATCGTCGTAGAGCTTCCTCACTCGCTGCCGAACGCGAGCTTGGAATTGGAGAATCGATTCTAAACTTGGCCAATCTTCCTTCTCTTTGGGAACTTCTGAGTGTGGCTACATCGGATATGTGAGATGCATATTATCAGGGGTGGGAGGAAGAAGCATACGTGGCATTTTGTGGGATCTTCGACGTCAGGATCGATTCCTCGCTCGAAGATGTACTGGAAAGGAGAGATGTCAGCACAGAGCACATAGCAAGAGGAGAGGACATACTTTAAATTGTTCAGGTTCCGTGTGCGGCTCTCCGAGTAATCGCGAAAGATGGATGTCCAAGAATGTCGGGATATGGCCCAGATAGAAAAGGCAAATGTGCCTAAGATCAATCGGTTTCTCATGAAGCATGGAAGGAGGGATCATGCCGAGAGTGATGGTATTCCAAACCTCCCACATATCCTCCCAGTCACCTCGAGTAGGGAAGCTGAAGGGGGTCGCAGGGATAAGGCCTTGCTCTGTCTTTGAGGCACTGGGCGACTTCAGTAAAGGGAAGTTGAAAGGCGGTCGTTCGAGAAGCCATAATGAATATTGGCCGCGACTGTCGGTCCACCTCTGGATAGGCCTAAGGTTGGCATTCGTGAAAAGCCTCCATGCATCGACCTCGGAGTACTGTAGGAGGTTGGGATATCAGTTGAAGATATCCCACCAAAAAGTAGTATATTTCTCGTCACCTTGACGGACTCTTCGATCTTCAACATCTCGTTTTCTGAGAAGCGAAATTCCGCCTTCGCAGAAGGTACCACGATAGAGTGAGAGCATTTAGACTTATAGAAGGCTTCGTGTCGACCTGGAAGAAAGAAAAAGGGGGGTTTGTGAGCGTGACGCGCGAAGAAAAGGACTTGCGTGGGGTAGCGTACGTTGTTTCTAGGAGAGATTATTGAAGTCAGCGACCTTCTAGGTTGAGACGATACTAAACGTCACACCGAGTCATAGAAATTGACATATTCCCATTTATCTTCGTCGAACATGTGCTCGTCGCCAAGCGTTCGCCCGGCATTTCGAAGGCCGTTCATAATGAAGCGCTTGGTATAGCCTTTCGGATCGTTGTAGGCAACTTCGATCTGCTCCTTATCGTTGTCGTGGTCCAGTCCAAGGAGGAGCGTATCTCCGGCTCCTGGGCGCAAAGGAAGGGAACGAAGGAATCCGTCTGCCTCTTCTCGAGGGAAGTTCCCAAGAGAGGAACCCAGGAACATGATGTGGAGTTCTGGTTGAGCGTCGACGGGGCTAGAGGGATGACTGCTGAAGTCATACGAGCTGGAATCACTTTCGGAAGAGCCGCTCGAGATAGGAGAGCCTCCTCTGGCCGTGAAGCCGTCTGCGAAGGGAGAAGATAGCCCTCCGTTTTCGATAAACCTCAAGCCGTCGTCGTAGGTGCCGCAGATGCCTTTGGTGGCAACCTTCCCATTCAACTGTTGACCGATTTCCGAGGCTTGAATTTCACCTAGGGTACGTTCAAGCTCCCTTTTCTCGAGGTCAAGGGCGTAGTATGTGATGGGGGAAGGTCGGTTGGCATCCTCAGCAAATCGGGACAAACCCTTCAAGATGTGAGAGGTCTTCCTCAGAGCGCTAGCGAAGGATGGGTGAGTTATGGCCAGTGCAACTAATGGCCTGGACCCACCCTGCACCAAGCTCCAGGACAACCTCATCGGAGGAATCATTGTGAGGGTTTCGCGAATGCATGGTCCGAACAATGTCGTCCGCGTGGTTCTTCAAGATTTCCTCCTCAGCGCCGAAGAGGTAGTATTCAGGCGCAGCCGTTGTGATATCGTCGTAGAGTCGAAGACCCCGCTCGTCGTAGAGGAGCATCGTAGGCATGGTCTTCTGTCCATTAGGACGCGACAAGCCATCGAGGATTTGCTTAGAAAGGTCAAAGTTGGATATTCCGTCCTGGGACGAGGTTTGGACGTCGACAATTTCGACCGGCATGTGGATGGTGGAGAATGGCGGATTTATGGGAGAATTCCAAGTAGCCCGAGTGTTTCTCTGTTTCCCACTCCTGCTCTTATATGAACGGCCCTTGTCTTGGAGGGTCACGCCTGTAGCACATGACGTCAGCTAATATGGCCCTTTCAAGAGCGGGGTGCATCCAATCGGTTCAGAATAAAGGAGAACGGGGGTCGGCGTTACAGCAGAAGCGCCACGGACACGAGCTTCGGATCTCAGAAGGGAGATTATTATGGACTGAAAGTTCCATGATAGAAGGTGAGCATCAAGTTTGGGGCAATGTCGAGAGGTTCTGTGCCCACCACGTAGCCCTGTTTGATAGGTTCGCGCATTACTGTCAGCAACACGTGCGACGGGGACCTCAGGTGAGTGCTTGAATCAGCAACGTCTCTTCGCAGGCTTCCCAGAATGCAGCTAGGTCGGTTTGAAGGTGGAGAAAAAGGTTAGAACAGGGGGTCGAATTGGATGCATAGCACTGGGCGTCTTGACCTATTGGGGCTAGATGTTTAACGGTGGCAACGTCACCAATGTGGATGCGGGGAATAGGAAACAAGAAATAACTTGGCGTCGATTTTCCTGGAAAGGCAAGTAACCTGGCCAGTGCTCTCCGCGGGGTACATCCTTTGCCAGTCAGACTGTAGACCGATTCGAATTTGAAGCTCCGATTTGGCTGCCATGGCAGAGATTATCTCGATTAATTGTCCGCTTTATGGCGAGGGCCCCGACAAGGCGTTTAGTGTAAAGATCCAGGCGAACGACATCAGCATCCTCAAAGAATTTATAACGACGCGCAACCGACTTTCGAATGTCAATCCAACGCACGTACGTCTCTTCAAGGTCTCCCTGACGCCAGACGAGCTACACAAAACGATTCCAAACCCAGAATCCGAGCTCAACTCACCGCTTGCAGAAATCTCTGCCATCTTCAATGATTTACCAGAGAACAAAGTTCATGTTTTAGCAGGTAAGCAAAGGTCACAACCGTGCTTCATATCTTCACTTGGATTGCCGCTGTCCTCCCCAGGACTGGCCTCAAACGATCTGCTCTCGAGTCTGCGTTCCAATTCGACGCACTCAAGCGGGCCAAGGTGGTCACTGAATCCCCGTCACAGCTGGCTCAAAAGTCGACCTATGAAGAAGGGTGGGTGCATGGAGACCTTCCATATTGCAACATCCTCAGGAGCAAAGACAAGCAACGGGTTTGGGTTGTTGACTTTGACTGGGGAGGGAGAGATGGTGAAGTCTACTATCCGACTCCAAGGCTGAATGAATTGTTGGTCGAAGGAAGGAACTTCTCAGATTGGAAGATTCGGAAGGAGGATGATGAGAGGATTTTGGATCTGACGTTCAAGAGACTGGGTCAAGTGTAGAATGTGTGCGGCTGAGGTGGGATTTGTCTGCCTTGAGGACCATTGCTTCTTGCGCCGCTTACCCACTGTATATGGGGCTGTGCGCTCGAATAAAGCATTGGTGCGAATAGTGACCGAGATTGTAAATTGGTCCAACCAAGGGTTCTGCATGCGAGAAAAGGGGAGAAATAAAAGAACGGAGAAAGGAGTAAAGACAAGTCGACGATGGAGTGGGAGAGAAATACTGAATGCTATGGTAGGACGCTCTCGTGGGCGGGGCTGATGATTTCGACCTCGAGCCTCAACTTGAAGTTCATGCTCCCCGTGTACAGATCTGGCGAGGTCGTGGTTGAATTCCGCACTGTGACACTGTACACAGAGGTAGAAATCCAGCCTTGCCGGACTAGATCGAGTCCGCAGGGAAGAAACCGCGGGCACGTCTACCTGATGACCTTGGACATGACTGGCGATTCAAAGAGGATCGTCAAGGGATTAGATGTCGATGTAGATCCATTGCTGTCCACCGAACGACAACACTCTATGTCGACCCGATCTAAAAGCTTTGACAAGTGAGTAACTGCCAGACTCCGAACGCTCAACGTTTAAAGCCTGTAAACATTAGATTGTAGATTATCGACCAAATAGTATGCTACCAACGACACCGACAACGAAGGCACTCGTACCAACGGCAACGAGTTCCCATGTCCTCTGACTAAGGGAGTCGAATGGTGGTTTCAATTGTTGAGGAAGTGGTGAGGGCTGGGGTTCGTCGTTGTCGGAGGGAGTGTATGGAGGGGGTGGTTCCGCTGCTTCGACTGGGGTGGGTTCGGCGGTAGCAACAGAGGCTGCCAACTGCTGTGCTAGAGATAGGATCAAGGCCTCTTGTCCCTCCAGGGAACTCCGGATCCTCGACGTGCTCTCCTCCAGCTTCGTCAGATAGTCTTCGCTCAGTTCCTCCACCTTTCGCTCAAACGTCTGGGCTAGACGTTTCCTCTTCCACGGTTCGACCAAGATAATGGCCAAGATGAAGACGATCAAGTTGAGTCCTAGGGCCGCCAGCTGTCCATAGGTCGACGCGCTCCGGATTTTGTCCGACCAGACTTGCTCTTCGTGGTATCGAGCCAGAATCAGCCGCATGAGCTGGCTAAACTCCTTCTCGACCGCGTCTTCCGTCGAGTTAACCGCCGCTTTTGCTCGCGCCTCTTCCTGCTCGTACAAATGGTCTTCCCGGACAAGCGTCGTAAACCGACTGACGTCGTGGTCCGTCCACATCGACTTGCGCTGGAGAAGATCGTTGACTTCTCTCTGGGACTTTGAACGCTGCAGTACCGCTTCTTCGTACGCTGTTTTGGCTTTGCGCGCAGCAAGACGGGCTTCGTTGATTCGGTTCTCTAACAAGAGACACTTTAAGTATTGAAGGATGTATCACCAACGACGAACGGAGTTGGAGACTCACCTTGCACCACGACCTCGCGTTTGAGGGCTTCTATTTCTTCGTAGCCAGTTGCCCTGTTCAGGTGTTGCCCCAGCTGGGAGAAATGGGTTTTGGCATTAGCTGTGAACCCATCCGCTCGAGTGCGGACAGCGATGGCAGTTTGTTCCGTCCATTCCCGTATCCGTTGCTTGACCGTCTCTAGTTCTGCATGAGACAGTAACTGGGATTTGTCAGTAGACCCTATTCTTGGAGTAGATTCTAATGGAGGGCTAGATGTTGACGCGGGGTGATTCTGGCTGGGAGGTTCGTTGGATTCGGAAATTGCTGGCAGGACCTCCTTGTCATCGACAACGGTCTTTCCTGATTGCTGTTCAGCACTGTAATTTCGCTTTGGCAAGCTTCTCCATACTGAGACTGGTCGAGCAAACGACCTCGAGATTGAGGATCTCAGCATAAGCTGGTGTCGGAGCAGTGCAGAACCAGCTGGTGACAGAGGCCGAGTTCATTGGGCGCTACAGCGGCAATTTCGTCCGTCCCGTGTGAATTTCATAGGACGGTCCGGTAGCCGTGATCAAAGCCCAGGTTCGTATCGCGGCAAAGTTGTGGAAAGCGAAAGCAAGAACTCTACTTCATTGGCTCTAGTGAGTATGTACATCCCGATCCGCAGGTCATACAATTATTATAATCGAGAGAAGTGGTGCTACCCATCGGAAACCATTAAGATACGAAAACGCACTGAAAAGGGAGGAGTCCAAACCCAGTGGAGAAAACTGTGCTGTAGATCGCGATGACTATACGACAAAAAAAGGAGAGTAGTCGATAAACGTGAATAAAGCATCGAGACATGGTTTAACTCCAGACATCCAGCATCAGCCGCGAGCGTTCCTTGAGCAGCTTAACCTCTGCTGCGCCCTCGACCTCGGCAGACCCACCCTTCGCTTCACCCAAGATGCGAGCAAGAACCTCTTCGACTTGCTTGCTCATGTTTTTGGCCTCGCCGCAAATGTACACGTAGCCCTTGCCCTCGAGAATGGCAGAGGCGATGTGCTGCCGGTCTTCCCATAGCAGATCCTGCACGTAGATCTTGCTGCCATCAGGTTTGAACTTCTCGCGCGAGAAGGCCGTGCGGAGGACGAATTTGCCTTTGAGCTCTTCAATGTACTTGTCCCACTCGTCCTTGTACAGGAAGTCTTCCGTGGAGCGGCGGCAACCATAATACAGCGATATTCTGCCCCAATCTGCCAATGCATCCGGACCGTTCTTATCTAGGGCACGGCGGGCGAGAGCCACACGTTCTTGGACGAAACCACGGAAAGGAGCCACACCCTATGGAAAATGTTAGACTGCGCAAGAAAGAAGACAAGTTGTTCTCTACTCACAGTTCCGGGGCCAATCATAATCACTGGACTCTTTGGGTTCGTGGGCAATCTAAATGTAGATCGTCGCACGTGGATTGGTGCCTTGTACGTTGTGTCGACCTTGTAAGCACCGCGGGGACCTTCGATGAGATACGCTGGGACGGAAACACGTTCTTCGCCATCTTGAGTAACAAGGGGAACTGATTCGTTGTTGGCCGCGTGCTTGAGATTGAGAAGGAAATTTGAGCCGACGCCATATACCCATTTCTTGGAGACAATCTCGCTGGGGATGTTCTCGTGTTTCAGGACCACCACAGTCGCGTGAATAGAAGTGGGGTTGAGCTTGGGACTAGAGGAGATAGAATAATAGCGGGGTTGAAGTCGTGGGATTGCCGATACGACGATATCGAAGGGAATGGGCCATGCTGTGGTATTGTCCGGGGTGGGAAGTTTGCGGATATCATTGCCTGCAGCCAACTGAAGGACCTCTCCAAGTTTGAGGCATCCATCGGCAACGACAGTATGGTACTTCTCCTTGTTGGTATTAAGCTCCTTCAAGAAAGCTTCGGCCTCCGGGTTGGGAGCGAACTTGGAGAGGGTGCCGAGAATTTGGCGACCAGCGACAGCGCTGATGTCAATGTAGTGGCGCAAGACAGTACCGTAAGTCGTGGGGACGGGGAAGGGAACTTTGGCTAGAGCAGGATCGAGGGACTCAATGCCGATGACCTTATCCCTCTTGTCGTGCAAACCGAGTGAGCAGAGAAGACGCTCGACTTCGAGGTCGGGATTGATAGGCCATACACCAAGGTGGTCACCGTGTTGGTAAGTAATGCCAGAACCTTCGGTGTTGAATTCGATGTGAACGCAATTCCGATCAGCGTGGGGGGTGAATAGTTCACGAGCGACGGCGATGGGAGCCGGGAATGGGTTTTTGGCATCGTGGATACCTTTGGTCTTTGTCAAGGCACGGGCCGAGTACTCGCCTAATATGGATTGATTCCAGTCAGAATACATGTATAATGATGTCGACGAGAGCGGACATGCGCACCTAGGTAGACCTTTTCCGGAGGATGGGATTCGAGCTCCGAGACGACAAAGTCGGCTGTGTCACCACCCTGACCCTCTTCGACACCCATGGCGGTAGCGAAGGCTTCCCACATACCATCCTTCCACTCTAGGTAGTCCTCCTCCATGCTCTTGTCATCGTCGCCCTCGCCACGTTCCCCGATGCGCACGGCGCCCATGTTGGTTAGAGCAGCGTCAACACGGCGTCCGATCACATTATAGTGCTCGTATGTCTTGTTGCCCAAACCGAAAACGACATACTTGAGGCCATTGAGATTGCGCTCTCCGTTGCTGAACTCGAAAGACTCGTCCTCGAGGTTCTGCATCAATTGAACTGCGTTGTCGGTAGGTTCACCTTCACCGTATGTAGCCATGACGAAGAAGGCGGCGCAGTCTTCGGGCAGTTGGTCGAGATTCTCGAAGTCGTATTCCTCTGGATCGCAGACGAGGGAGGCGAGGCCAAACTTGGACTTCGCCTCCTTGGCGAGACGAATGGCATACTCTTCCGCAGTACCGGTTTGGGACCCATAGAATATCACGAGGCGCTTTTTCTGAAGGATTTGGTCGTCCACGTCAGTACATCTCCCGACGGAGAACTTGAACATGATGTAGGTAGACGACACGTACACTCTCCTTCATCTTCGCAATGAAGTCGCGGGGGTTTCCTGAACCATTGGCGGCTTTTGTGGCGACTGGAACGACCTTGGGCTTCGATGTTGCGAAAAGCTGGTCACGGAACAGGTAGAGCGCTGCTAGTACGACCCCCAGGCCGACTATAACAGCGTCTGACGACGATGAAGCCATACCGGTGGCAGATAAGGCGACAGAAAGGCCTGGGCGCAACGACGACAGGTTACCTTCGGGCATTGGGGTATCGTGGAGGGGCGAAATGGGGCTTACCAGAAGAATCGGAGCCTGCCTATATACCGAAAGAGAAGCAACGGCGAGTAATAAAACTGGCCGAACCTCTAGGAATAAGAAAACCCAGGGAACGAAGATGACAGTCAATGAGAGACGTGGTCAGCTCCCGGTGCCAATCAAGAATTGTTTGGCTCTGGCATTCAAAATCGGATCACTGAGAACAGATGCCCAGAAATAAGAAATTTAGCTTCCTCTGTCCCTCCCTGTCAATACCGGTCTCGCTATTGCTCTTCTTTCGTACAATTGCGAATTTCAAATCCATAAATACAGTTCTTGGGCCGTCCAAGCCAGCTTTCTCTCAAAAGTCAATTGTCCCTGCCTGGAGCATCCTCCGAGACCATCAGTCAGCAACAATGACGAGCGTCAAAATGGGTCGACATTCTGCGTTCGGACTCCCAACTGTTATTCCTTATCAGATTACCTATAGGCCACTAACAACACAGAGTAACCGTGGCATCAAATACCATCAGGACCGCCCACCTTCATGCGCTCCCGGACGCTCCAGGCCCTGTGACTTTGAGGCCTGGTCACCGCGTCTTGAATTTCCTTGACAAGGGGACTATCTTCTCCGAGCTCATAAGCATACCACTTCATCGAGAGCAAACCCCATTGGCGAACTGCTTCAGCGCTGGATGATACAAAAGGTTAGTAAGAGACCAAATGATACGAATCAACACCTCAAAGGACAAGGGTAGCAGAACTCCGCTCAAGGGCCTTCGAAGTCGCCAGACGCGGCGCCGTCGCGTCCGCATCGGTATCGGTACTATCAAGAATCGGAACAAGGTGGAATGAATCTTGGATACTCACTCGCCATGGCCCGCTGCGACCCACACGGCATCTCCAGCTAACCGACCTCGTTCGCTCCAATAACCTTCCTCATCGCCTAACTTCCATATCGCCTTAATATGGTCGATCGCTTCCACTCCAGAGATCTTCCGTTCCATCCAACCTGCCAGTTGACTGTGGTGTTGTGCCATCGCCAACAGTCGGTTATCTGAGGCTTTTGACTCCGCCTCTGGCAGTGCACAAGAACCACAGGTGCAGTGGAATCCATAGTGGTCTCTCAGGTACGCTCTGTTCGGGGAGGAACAATCTAAGCCGGGTGAAATGATCACCATACTCTGTGGAATCCACTTACCTCCTCTCATCTCGGGGCTTCTTCGTATCACTGTATGTCGTCAAGACTTCCTGTTCTCATAATACCGGGACGGTCAGCCACTGACTGTAGATGTTCAGTGATAACTTACGCTACCCCGAGCAATGTCTTTGATTGCATGAATTAAGAGTACCCCCTCTTGTCCTCGCCAAGAGTAGACAGCGTTGAATGCACTCGAGCAGCCATGGTTAAGGCGGGCCATCCGCGGAAAGATGCCTACACTTGAACCAGCAGACACTGCATTGGTTTCGAAGATAGCCAAGGCAAGGTGCTTCTTGTCTTTCTCAGGGTTCTTGTTTTGAGCAAGTCCGACGAAAGAAAGGTTGAAGAAGGCTTGCTTCTTGTTTTCCGTCAGGTTCTCTACCTTCTCCCAAATGAACTCGGTGGGGGACGTGTTAACTGTTTAAGAGAGGATATAAGCTTCAGCCAGAGAAGACCATGCAGATATCATAGCCTACTTGTAGGTGGAACGAGGAATAGGGGCTTCTCAGAGAGAAGGAGTTCCCCTTGCTAGAATGACGTTGAGACGGAGTAAGCTGCCACCGATCTCACCGAAATTAACACTATTCAGTCGTACCCGGATGTCCCTCGATGCAATTGCGCCTTTACCCTTCCCTGGAATATCAACGACATCCCACGGGGACTCGATGTCAGGGTTGAAGATGACAACCTCCCTATGCTGTTTCTTCAGAGAGTCGTCTTCCCATCGACCATAATACCAACCGTAGAATAGGCCAGCCAGTAGCCCAAACCACAGTATCCATATCTATGACTGTTCAGTGTGAATCTTCAGTCGAAGTGGAATACTAGACCTCACCCCAGGGAGTCGATGACCGTTATTAGCAGGCTGCGCTGGCCGTTGCTTCGCATTTTGTCGTGGCGTTGTTTTGGCGCCGTGAGGCACCTTAGTACCAGCGCGTTTGGAGGGCATCCTTGACGACAAGGGCAAAGTGGGTATGTCCCTTTAGCCCTGGGCTTTGGAAACGGTTAAGGGTCTATGGAGAATTGAATTGAACGGAAACAACGGACAGGCTTCCTGATTGTGCAGAACAAGAGGTGTGTACCAGCGGCAGTGCTCGTTCCCAGAACTCAACGCGTCGGGTGATGCCAAGACCATCATGTCGCGGTGGAGGAAGCGCGAACGAGCGCGATTGGCGGCGCTCTTTTCCGCTGCGCGTCGCCCATGTTCAGGGCAAGGAAGATGAAAATGAAAATAAAACACACGGACACACACAGTGTCAAGCTCAAGACTTCGGGTCATATTACGCGTCGATGCCACTGGCGCCCCACTGTTCCTCCAGGCCCATTTTGACGGCGCGGCCTGCGGATAAAATCCCGGAACCATAGGCATTATCGCATCGAACACGAGTTACAATTTGGAGTAAGAGGGGAAAAAGGTCATATCATATGTCCGTACCTCAGGCTTATCACAAAAAACTGACATCCCCCATTACATCCCAGCACGACGCCTCCGTGTTCCTGAAATGACGAGATACTTCGCCATAGCGCGCTGCAATAACGCTGGTATATATTGGCAATGCTGTATGAAGGTGCAATGCACGTCACAGGATATCTGGTGGTAAATCCAACCGGAATTGAGTAGGCAAAGAGAATATCCAGATAATAGAGAGTGCGAGGGGGAAAGCCTGGAAACGTTGGGATGCGCAATAGAAGTAGAGCCTATCCTATAAACCCGTGTAGACTATAACCATTAGTTTGATTGGAAAGAAAGGAAACTTGTCCGTCCCAGAAGCGACCGACTTGTCGCGATGTAGACGGTGATGGAGGCAGATCACGTCCGCAGATTAGGCCCTGGGTGTAACCTGCCCGCTAGCAAGATGCTGAATGTTACTGTCACTAGGGCAGTCATTGAGACGGTTACAAATCCTACGCCCATTCGGGCAGCGGGGAAGTTGCCTCTCGTTAAGGATGACTGAATTATGAAGTAACGGAAAACACCTGAACAACGGTCGATAGTCAAGACCAAAGTGGTTGGAACAAGTAATGAACACACACCGATAATCAAAACACTTAGCCCGACGAGGATGGTCGCTGCCCCCAATGGTCGCACATACGGCTCTATCGGGCCTGAGAGGAATGGAAGAACGCCGTCAGGTTGGGAATGATGATTCGATGCCACTGTGAAGAGTTGAATGAGAGCTGGAAGGGTTCATTAATCAGTCAAGGAACTGATTGTGTAGCTGGAGGAACACCCACCAACGCCGGACGATGCAACCGCGAGGCTTGTCCGCACGTAAGCCAGGAAAGTTCGCTCTGAGGCGAGATGATCGCGGGCAACACTTCCAGAGTTCTCCAGGCTCAAGGAGACAAAGTCAGAGTGGTACCACGACAACAGAGTGTTCCTCCAGGTATCTGAGGCGGATTTGGTGGTGCGAGTGGCCTGATACTCGGAGCAATGGCCACAACACCTGCACGGTGTTTCCGAGGACGACGGTTCGTCCACCAGAGGTGTTGCATGACCAGTCGAAGGGATAAAAGAGGGCTTGACAACATCCTTGTCCTTGTTCAAGACGACATCGGGGTCTGATATCCCTGAGTATTGGGTATCCTGGTCCCGAGAGTGAAAGAAGAGGGGTGTCGTTTCGGACATCCGAGTCATGGTAGGGTTTAGTCGTTCCACATCTCGTTCAAGGGCCATACGGGTCGTAAAGGTCGTAGAGTCAATAGAGCCGAGACGAGGTCGCCACTGTTCCTTTTAAGGGTACTAGATTCGTCGTGGTGGGCGGAGGAAGCGGTCAGCTGTCACGATGGAACCTTTAAGTATGCTAAAAAGAGCATGGACGCGCTGGGTTTCTGATTTCTCTTATCTCCGACAGCACACGAGCATCGACCTCCTCCATTTCCTTCCGGCTGCAACTTAAAGCTGGGTAAGTATTCGGGCGTCGTCGTCGAGGGCAAAGAGTGAAAGCGGCGGCGCCGCCCGATGCCGTTCAGTAGATACCCCGGACCTGGGCGGATGAGTGGATGTGATGGTAGCCCCTATCTCGCCTGAATTTCTGTCGTTTGACCACACTGTCACCTCTGCGAAGATCCATCGCCACCAGGTATATGCCGTTACACGTGCTTCAAATAGGTTCTGGACTCGGACAAATTCACAGTACTTTCAACGGTAACCGGCGCTCGCTCCACGCGAACGTCCCTCAGTGACAGTATCCAGTGCAGACGCAGTCATCGACCACGGGCACCAAGGGGAGGACTTGTCCGATGCAAACACCGAAGATTGGAGGTGCTGTTGATCTTCGAATGGCCGTGTCCACTAACGAAGGAAATGAAGATACTGCTAATCGGTGAGCACTCTCGCTTTCGCTAAGTATGCTAATTTAAATTAAATCCGAAAGAACTCCTATCTCGAAACACCACTAGTATCCAACAGCGGGGGTACCCCGACCCGTCCATGAATGGTGTTTGAGTACTGAGTACTGGGACATATGCATACACTTATCTGGGGACATGCCTTTTCCTTGTTCAGCGGGCATGGGGAGGCCGAGATGCCCGATAGCCATCGATCAAGTCTTTCATAGGGGCTCATGCGCCCGAAATACAGGTAACAGTTTCAGGCAACTTTGCTCAGTGGCTCTCATTCGGCAAGCCACCGCACCCAGGCGAGTTTAGAAGATTTTCGCGGCCAACATAATGCTTTTACTGACTAGCCTGGCCAAAGCGCTTGAACATCGTCAGCCTCTGATGGCTTAAATATAAACCCCAACTCCAGGGCCTGTCTCCTTCACTGCTCCAATCTCTCTTGGTTCTGTCTCTCTCGCTTTTCTTACCTGGACTTGTCATGGTCACTGTCAATCGTTGTTTGCTCTCCCTCGCTGTCGTCTACCTCTCGTCGACCAGTGCTTATTATGTCCCGGAAAGGCGTGTAAGCATTTGTCTCCTCCTATTCCAAGAAACATTCTGTTAACACTCTATTTCAGCAAGTGTTTCAATTCGGAAAACCGTCAAAATACAGAACCGTTGACCTTCCGACGCCGACATTTGACGCTTCCTTCCCATCTGCAACTTTTGCCATTCCAATTGTAAGGAAATGATCAAGTTCAATATATATAACTTCCATTCACGAGTTCGAACCATTAGGGCGGCGGGAATGCAGCCCAAGCAAACATCACGGATATCATTGGGAACTTCCTCGGAGGATCCAGCGGCTCCAGCGGTGTCGGTTTCACCAATTCGAAAGGACAAACTGTTCCAATGGTCTCCACAAGCTCTTCTGGAACGGTTCTCGACACGATGAGCGGTGGAATGTTTGGAGATGACTCTGAGCCGAGCGACAACTCGATTGACACTTCAATCATCAGTGCTCATTCCAACTCTGGGTCGACCGGCGGTTTGACAGGACACGGTCTCGCCAGCCCAATCAATCTCAACCAACAAAGTGCCCCAGGAACCTCGCAGATTGGGTCATCCATCCTCGGAATTCTCCAGGCCGCCAACGCTGCGAATCCTGGCCCAGCCTTCCATCGACGTGATCAACCACAACGGACCAGAGCCTCCCGATTCCGAAGCAGGATGAAGACCCCGACTGATGAGACCCTTTCTAACGACAAACGGCAAGCCACCGCAGGCGACATCCTCACTACACTGGGAGGTGCGGCCGCTTCCCTACCTCAATTGCCATCGGCACCCTCCCTTCCTGCTGCAGAAGGCGCCGTCCCTGCAGACGCAACTGGCACTGGTGGTTCCGAGGTCGCCGGTCCTTGAGGGGCAAGTTCAAGGCGTCGACGGGAGGTAGGAGAGCATGAATGACTGTACAACCCTATTTCACCTTTCAGGACCTTTTGAGAACATTTCGTTTGTATTTGGCCATCCAATCCTTTAGAACACGTCCCTCCCTTTCGAACTTCACTCTCTCCATTGCTTTCTTTGTCGTCGATTTTCATCATATTTCCTTCTTTTTATTTATTTAATAGCAGGTATACATACTATACGTACGCATGATGTAACGAGCTCTTTCACGACCTTCTACGAGCTTCAATGTACGGAATTGAACGGGCGCTTAATGAGGACAACAATCGGCATGATCGGCGTGATGGTTGTTGAGGGGTTTGCCGACTTCTCTCACATACACAAGTATAAGGGTTCGACAACCTCTTCGAGGATCGGAAGCTGTCCAAGCTCAAGTTAAACTCCGAGCGCAAAGGTACGAGAGCCTTGAAATATTGGTCCACAGACCGAGAGTGAACACGCTTCGTTATTCCACGCCGAAGTTGGATCCGCCTTGAACTTGGCTCTTGCGCGCTAGTTCGAAAAGGAATAGGCCCAACGGTGTTTCAGCCTGAGATGGCCCTCAGTGACCTGCCAACGGAGACGATCGAGAAGATCTTATCGTCATTTTCGAGGCCACTGCGAGACCGAGCCACACTCTCCAGCTGTTCTCTTGTTTCTCGACAGTTCGTCGACATTGCGCAACGCCTACTCTACGAGCAACTGTCCATCAGGCGATTAGACTCAAACTACGTCCAGGGCCTGGTGGAATTTATAAAGGAACACCCTCGAATAGCATCGCATGTCTGGGAACTCTACACCCATCTTCCCTACAATCACTCAGAGCCGACGGGCAGAAAATTCCAAAATCCATTAGAGGGGCTATTTGAAGTGCTTCCCCATGTCAAGTCTCTCATCTTGCATGCCGGATGGTGGAGCCCCATAAACCTCTCCACTTCGGCCATGCATGCTGTCGAAAAGGTCGTTGGAGGGAAAACGCACCATTCACTCCAAAGCCTCGTTCTGATCGCCACTCCCGGTTTCCCCATTACTCCCATCATCGCTTCCCAAACGCTGAGAAAACTAGAAATACTTGAAACAAGAGGAGAAACGTTCTGCAAAGACTCGGTTGACGCAGCTGTCAAGAGCAAAGGGCATCCACCAGCTTCCCTGCGACTGGAAGTGTTCAACAGCGTGCCAATGGATGTTGACTCTCCAAGACACGACCTGGTCTCCATCGACCCTTCCATCTTCTCGAATCTGAAATCGTTGCGGTTGGCGGTAACGGACCAGTCAGATGGCCAAGTATCCGGACGAGCCATGACCGAGATCTTACTGAACTCCTGTTCGCGCACGCTGCAATCGCTCAGCATCGTGTGCGAGCAAGGGAAAGCTAGTACGTGTGCTTGCCTAAACTCGCAAGGTGAAGTCCGTACTCAAGTGATGACAGCCCTGCCTCACTTAGGAGCCCTCCGATCTCTCGAGTCAGTAACTTTTGAGGTGAAGAACACTCGCGGTCCAAAGTTCACCTTCCCGTTCCACGCCCCATGGCCCACAGCTTCCGAGTGTCTATCAAATGTTTGGACGCTCCTCGCGACCATGGATTCCAACAGTCCCGTGAAGGCGTTGACCTTGAAGTTGTCCACCAACTTCACCGACCATAACCCTGAAAACTGGAGGGAGACTCAGTTTCTAGTTTCGTCACCCGACATCCTGCCGGTCTGGAAAGTACTCGACGAGTACATCTCCGATCCCTCTAAATTTCCCTCGCTCAAAGGCATAACAATCAGCGCCAAATTGATCTGCTACGGGAATAAACGAGGACCACTAGAGCGGGAGGAGAACGGTGCACTTGACGAGGACTTGAAGGAGGAATACCAGGGAATACAGAACAATCGAACCTTGACACCTAGGGCACGAGATGTCCTTCGAGCAAGAGTGGGGGCCAAACAACGCGAGCGCAATCTTCGACCGTCGGTCTTCTCGACGCAGCAGCTACTTCCATTGACTTCACAACGAGTGGGAGTAGATCTCCATTTTTCGCTGGAGGAAACCGAGATTCCAGGATGTTGAAAAGCTTTCACAGAACTATGCATTCCAATAAACAAAAGTCTCTTGATGATCTCATGGTGCATGGTCAGGTGTATTGAGGCAGCTCAGCTGACCATCGTGTACAGGAAACTCCCAAGGAAGACCATACCCGCACCTGTCCCGAGTTGTGTGTTCCAGGGATTGCCGAACCACCACACACTCAAACATAAGCTGAGTGCTTTGCGAACTGTTAATGCAATGTTGGTCGATACAGAAGACACCCGCTGCCGAGTCGGTCGTCAACACCAGTCCTGTTGGTAGGGCTGAAGCACATACCGATGATAGCTGGTTCACACCGGAAACACATGCGTATTGTGAGATCAGGTTTGCCAGCAGGATCACATAGGGGAGATGGGGTATCGAGTTGGTCTTTATGTTCCTGGCTTCATACAGGCTATTCAGACCTTGCCTAACGTCCGGAATCAAAGGCAAAAACGCAGGCAAAGCGAGGAAATGCTACACGGCGACGCGGAGTCAGTACAAACGAGCACAAAGAGGCGAGGACACATACTGTATAGAACAGCCCTTCCTTCCATGCGGGGCCATACTTCTTATATGTAAGCTCCTGAAGGACCCCGAGAGTAGCCGTGCAAACGAGAGAGGCAACCAGCATAGTTATCCCTTTAGCGTATAGTTCCATGTCTTCGACGTTACCGGAAAGACTGAAACTCGATGTTGAAGTAGCTGAACCAGACAGTGCTGAGAGGAAAGCGCCAACAGTGACCACCGCCACAGAAACCTAGAAGAAGTGTTTGTTGGTTCACAGCCCAGTCAAGAGTGTAGAAGATACGTACCACTTGCATCAAGCGATACCGCTTCTTCAAGAACAAGAATCCAAAGAGAAGGGATACCGGTAGGCCTGAGGAGCTGGGGTCAGTTCATTCGGGCGAGAGGGGTGCACAAGTCACCTACCAGCAGAGCGGAAGACGATCAAGACGGGCAACGGCACCTTATAAGCAAAAGCCCAGTTATTCATGAGGGACCCAGTCGTCAAAACCAGCACTTGGAGGATCCAATTCTGTATTGGGACCTGTCTAGGTTTGAGGCGAGGTATCATGCTGTTACTCGGGAAGTCTATAAAGGCTGGAAACATCTGTAGCGTGATGAAGAGCATTTGGGAGAAAGTCAACGCGGAGCCTAGGTCAGACGATCTTCAGCCTGGGTACAACGCGCATCGAGCAATGGCCGTGACGAACCGATTTTCGGGTTGAAAAGTAGGAGTTTCTCGTAGGCAACGACATTTCTGAGAGGTCAGGTAGTCAGAGACCGATTTGGATGGGTAAAGGGCCCAAGACGAACGAGCAGCATCCTCCATAGACGAGTCCTAAGCTCTACTAGGGTCAGTCCCTTTTACCAATTCGCAATGCAATGAACTTACAGATGACAATTCGACTACGGAAGGTGCAAGAAACTTTAGGCCCAAGCTTGGTGCCAGGCTCATTGGCTTGGTCGAGCCATTTGTTGCTTGGGTATCGTCATTGGACTTGGTGGGTTGGTTGTTGAATTTGGTCCGCTTCCGTGCTCTAGACGACGACATCGCAAGCTCTAGTCTTTCGCAGACACCAAAGGGATGATAGTGTACAAGATAACGGGTTGGCCTCTAGGCAATCATGGTCGTCGTGAAAGTGGGTGACCTTGGGTTCCAAACGTCGTTCGTCACGGAACAACACGTCGGTGATGGCTACAATGGCTGATGATGTCCATCACGACACATTTGGACGCTGAGCGGCGCCGGCCCTTTTTATTTTCTTTTTTCCTCCTTCCTTGTCCACACTCGTAGAGGAAGACACAGCGAACACGAGAACCCATGGATTCATAAAAATACAGCTACAGAAGTCTTGTTCAAGGATCCTTGACGAGGGCCGAGAACCTCAATCGCATATATGTCAACGCCCAATTTCCTCCCTCATCCTGACAATCGACTCGACAATGGTCCACCACTTCTTTCATGATCTCTTCAGCTTGCTCGTCGCTGAAGGCCTTCAGGAATGAGCTCCTCACGAACAGCCTCAGCCATTCCATGAGGCCCGTCGGGAGTGGAGTGATTCGAGGGGTGAGAGACATTTGCGTTGGGACGAACCCTGCGGTAACGAGAAGCTAACGAGAAAAATCAGCTTTTGCTTTCAGACATCAAGGGATCTATACACCCCAACGGACCTTGACATAGTCTTCGATTGAAGGGAAATACCACGGATCCACAACCTTTGGGTCGTAACCTCGTCGCCGAAGGGCACCATGGATTGCTCCTCTTACACCTGGAAACGCATTTCAGTGTTCTTTTCTCAGGGCGACGAGCGCAGCGACTGACCAATGCAGTTCATGAACCCACCCATCTCCGCTACTAGTCGACCTCCGGGTTTCAGCGTCTTGCGAGCACCAATCAGGACTCCTAGTGGGTCCCGTTTGCACCAATGCAGCGTGGCATTGCTGAATACCGCGTCGAATTGTCCCGCGAGACTTGCGTACTCCTGAGGTAACTGCAACTCCTGCGCGTCCCCTATGAACGCGTGCCGGAGGCCATTCTTTCGCGCCATCTGAACCTACGAATACGCGGTGAGTACCTCTACCTTATCTACACTCTCCACTAAACACTTACCATGCTCTCACTAGCATCCATACCAAGCACCAACCCCCCTGGCCCTCGACTTACAATCCTCTCAATCTCCAAACTCACTTCTCCACTTCCACAACCGAGGTCCAGGATCTGCTCGCCGGGTTGAGCGTCCAGGAGGTTCATAACAGGAGCTATGAACGATGCGGAATACACAAATGACGCAGTCTTGTTGTACAAAGACGCGGACCAGCCACTCGAGTCAGGGTTATCCGACGAGTCGTTCTCGCGTTTGACGCGTGTCGCGGTTTCAGACGTTGCTGGGAGAGAAGACATGGCATAGGGGAATCGCGTTTCGCTGACCATGAAAGAGCCTGTGTGTGGAGTATTGAAGGTGCAGTTGTAATGTGGTGGAGATTCTGGTGGGTCGTACAGGGTCGAATTCGAATTATAACACCTAACGGTGGAACCTCGCAGGCTATAAATAAAGAGTCGCTTGCAGCGCCTGCTTTACGGGACCGCGTCGCTCTTTTCGGTCCAAGAATGATTCGCTATGTGCACCCTCTCGGCCGACTATCTACAGCAACCTTTTCGGATAGATCGGAGCTCCTCCAATTCTCAAATGTCTTCCCCACACTCTCTCTACAGTAACGAAACTCTATGATCGGAGCTGTACCGCGCTATGAGTAACAGCCAGGAGAACCCTGAGTTCTATCTTTTGCGGTGCTTAACTTCCAACACGTTTCTATACGACGGCCGAACTCTCTGCAACCTCCCATTGACGGCCGAATGCAAACATTTGAAATGACCAGGAATTGCTACCCTCCGTGTCTATGGAAAACGCCGACCCAAGGACGATCAGCGCTTCTACATCATTGGGTGTCAAGGGCGTCGAAACGGTGAGACCCATCGTCGGTCCCCTGTTCAGGTTACACCCTTGAAAGAGAAACAATTACATTCAGTATTCGAACAGATTTAGAAGTCCGTGAGCTTCCGAGCCGTTACAGAAGAGTACGATGCCAGCAAAAAAAAGAACACGAAGAAATCAGACGGGACGTGCAACCCCAACTGTCCCAACCGGATCCTATTCTCGAAAGTCTAGTGGACCTTTGCCGTCCCAGTCACCCCGTCCTGATGTATTGGCGAGTTGACTCGACCCTAGTGAAGGACCGATCGCATTACGTCGAAACGGGAGGGACAGGTGTCGCCCCCGAACCCCCTTGCTTGGCCTTCTCCTCGGTAGCGATACGGCGGGCTTCTTCTTGGATATCATGAATCTGTTTCGAAGTCGTGGTGTAGAACTCGCGGACTTTCTGACCGATGGGTGTGGCGAGCGCCCTGGTGTAATACTAGATCCCAGTTGGATTAGTCTCAACCTCCAGCGGAGCCGCAAACGAAAAGGCACTACGCACATCGCGGAACGCCTTTACATATCCCTTCTGTTCAGCCTGCTGGTGAGCAGATTCGACCGTCTGCTGCGCCTTCCCGGAGACGGTCTGATCGGGACCTAGGGCCCTTTCGCCGATAGTCTTGTCTAGATGCTGAACGTAATCTAGGAACTTCTTCGAGATACCTTTCTGTTCTAAGAACGGAGAAGTCGAGAAGCGTTAGAAATGGCCGTCGTTGCATTAAGAAAGTCACAATCGCGACTCGCCAAGTACTTACGATCCAGCTCAATTGCCCGAGCGAGGATGTTATCAGAAAGCTGATAACCTTTGGCAAGGTACTCGGCCGCGACTGCGATGGAGAGAAAGCTAGTCAGGACGGGATCGAGGATGGGGCTGATAGGACCTTGGTACTAGACGTACTTCCTGCACGAGGTTTGTCTTCCTGCTTGACATGCTCCGTATCGTGCCCCTGCGGAAGGGGATCAGAGTCATCTTGGTGGACCACATCCGAAGTGACGGTCAAGGTGGCGCCATCGAGAGTTCCGCCGTTTAGCTATTGAAATGGCTGTTAGACCATGGAATGCTGGCGCATTAAGCTCATTATATCGCTCACCATCAACGCGGTCTTGGCGGCAGTGGCCTTCTCGAACGCGATGGTTGCTTTGCCAGACTTTTCCTCATAGTCAATAGAGCTAATTCTGTGACAATTAGGCCTATGGCCGGGTCTGTCTTTCAACTTAAGCCACTCACTGTCCACAGAATCTGAAAACAAGAGATGATTAGCGGCCTGAGATATGAAGTGCCTTTCAGTTGTACATACGTGAAGAAATCGTTCAATTGGGCCTCGGTTGTAGAGGCAGAGATTCCTGTAACCTTTTGAGGAGTAAGTATAGACTTTCGTTCTGGGATCAGTGGAAAACCTACGTTAACGGTGTTGGCCATTGTGGTTGAACGTTGAATGTTAAGCGCTTCAGGCGCAGGTTGGAGTGGTTTTGTGTTGTGGATGCATGACGTCATCCACGCGTTAAGGCTCCTAATCGAGCCCACTCTAGGTTTCAAACTTCTCCTGTGTTCTTGAGCCCATGCAGTCATGAATCAATTTCAAAGTTGTGGCGTGGATACAATGGATTCAAAGAATCAACTGGAAGCCTCGCGGGAAGCCACTAAGTCCCCGAAATGAAGCCACTAAAGCACATCCTACTCGTAGTATCACTCTCGTAACTGTTCGCAGATGACTTTAAACTACAAAGGTTAAAGTAGACCACAGAATGACGGAGCTCGTGAACAGTGACTGTATGGTCCGCATTCGAGAGCACCTCTCGACTGGGCTTAACAGGCAGCAGACAGCTGGTGAAGGAAACTACAATGCATTCTCCGCAATCTCCGCCTCTGTTTCGGATGGAACATGCGCTGTGATGAATTTGGGACAGGAGCTTAGAGGTGGTGAAGGGTACGATGAGAACATGCTGGAACATTACGGGGCCAACCAACACTCGTAGTTGGGTACTGCCGTACATGTTGACTTGGGGACGGATGGGATATACATTTGTGTCCAAATTTGTTGGCACCCCGAGCTTAAAGTTGGAACATGCGAGCGTTGACAAACAGTTTCTTTTTCTGGGAACAACGAATTGGATATTCTCTAGACCTCCGCAGAAACCTTGTGTGCGCGACGATTTCACTGACAAGAGACACGAACGGGCGCTGTGGCGAGAGACAATAAACGGACAAGGGGGAGCGTGGGAATGTGGGCGGCGGAGAAAGAATGGGGATGGCCAAAGGCTTGGCGTAATTAATGTTGGAAGAGGGGTATTTATAGTGGCACTCCCAACCACCGTACTGCCATCTAGGTCCGCTTCTTATTCACTGGTCCGGCCACGCCTCCAGCCCACATTTGCTGGGCTCTGGGGCGTCTCAGCCAGCCAACCTAGTAGCCCTCGACCCTGGGCAGAGCCTGGACAGGGGAGCAGAGTGCGGCCATTGAGCCTCTTTCCCCGAGCACTGCGACTCATTAAGTGTGTCTTCTACTTCTGGCCTTGTCACAGCCTCTCATTTACCTTTTCTTCCCTCTTATTTCAGAGCCAACTCGTTACATAACCTTGATGCCTTGGCCCTTAAAACAGCAGCCATCCTCCTTCTTTTCCTCTGTTTCCAAAATGCCCAGCCCCGTCGTAGGTTTATCTCTGCATGTCCTTGGTCTCCATGCTCACTTCACCCAGTCGTATCCCCACCGAGGCCGTGGTCGACCAGACATATCCTCCACGACTACAGGCAGCATGCCTCTGAAGCCTTCAGCGCCTATCCAAATACCAGCAGGCCGTCGATCCGCCGTGCTATCGTCGACTTCCAACTATTCCCAACCGACATCGCCAGATACTGTCTTCGAAATGTCGCCCATTACTACAGAATTTGTGGGACACCAGCGACCTTCCTTCTCCCTTGCACAGAATGAGAGGAGTGCGGAATCTTTCTTGTACAACTTCCCCTCCTTCTCTGGACGACAGCCTCAGACGATCTCGGACAAGAACTCTCCGACACCCCCGGATTGCTATGGCGCAGCCCTATGCCAGCGGAACCGTGTTGCAGACCCTCTGGCCATCAGGATGTCTCCACCGCCACCGAAGAGCAGCTGCGTGCTCGATGAGTACGATCTATCTCCTGGGTTCGTGTACCCAGATGAAGGAAGCAGGTCATCGCCATCGAAAGAAAACTACGACTACTTCCAACCCAGATCTAGACGGCTGGGACGTCTTTCCCCGGGGCCTCGCCTTCCTTCGTCCAGCACTTCGCCGTGGATAATGCAAGGTCGAGGAGACGCCGCAGCAGAAGATACTATAGATGTGGCGTACTCACACATGGATCCGAGCGCATTCGAGTTCCAACGCCATCTTCTGCAGCGAATTGAAACCCAAAAGCCCTCTCACATTATGAACATGCGCTCATACATGTAGAGTGGGCACCACAAGCGCCCGATTACAGCTTTTCACAGCCATTTTCGTAAGCCCCTATATCCTCTCCTCCATTAGGATATCCCAACTCATTTCTCCTCACAGGTTACCTTTTGCATCTCATTCATAGACTGTTCTGTTCACGCCGGATCCCTCCAAAGAAATTGCTATCGTGCACGCTTTCGCTTTCGCATCCACTGTTTTCAACATCATCCACTTTCTGCTCAAGCACGTTCTGTCACCTTCCTCCAAAATTGCCCTTACGATACATGGCCTACTACTTATTCTTCCCTATAGTTATACTATCCCCACTGTTGTACACGTCCACCCATCCCTAGCCTCTTGATAGATTAGCATTAATGTTTGTAGAAAAGGCACGCCTCACTAAAAGCATCGGAATCAACAAATCGTTTATTAGCCTCGACATGCCGTTTGTCAAAGTAGAGTTATTGAGTGACACTTCTATGCAGCCGCCCTAACAGTCTCTTAACTGTCTGTCTTTCTCTGTCAAAAAAGCGACAGTTCGTTCACGGTACCTTCCGTCGGCGACGACCCACAACTAATGCCCGAGCATGGATTGGAAAGGGACAAGTGACGGGAATTTTACATAACACTCAGCAAACTATATCCTTTACTATATCTCCCGATGCATGCGATGTCCTGGGGAATACTCGTCGCATCGTCGAGGTGTAGAATCGTTGCTGCCCCTATAATAATAGCACGATGGCGATCAGGCCTATGTACCCGATTCGGACATTTTGCTTCCGTCTTAGGGGCTCCACCCAAACCCTCTCTCTCCGCACGAGAATCCTCGAAGACAACTCCATCACGAAGAAACTTCGGATTAAGGCGCAGACGCATGGGATGGTGCTCCAGTGGTATGATCACAGGTCTACAATAGATTTTCCAACTCAACTTGGCATCGCCATCGCGCGGGATGATGTTTACTTGTTTTCAGTCCGTTCACACTGTGATGCAAGATCTATCATACATCAAAGAGGAAGCTTGGAGAAGTAACCCTGCATCATGGTGCATGAGTACCACGGCCTCTCTTCCATCAGCGCATGTAGCTCCTACATCCCGGATCCTTCTATTTTGTGGTCTGGCAGAACTTATCAATGTCAAGCTGGAAGGAAGTACCCCGATTCTATCCGTCACACTGGAACACAGGTACTCTGATCGCGCCATGTCTACAAGTGGCAGAAGAGGTCGTTCTCTTCAGCTTCCAGGACAGAAGTGATCAGGACAATCAAGGGGCTACCCTAGAATAGCAAAGAAAGGAAGACAACGGAGATATTGCGAGGACCCAAGTTTCAGGTCGAAAATCTTTATCAACTTTTCGCTCCGTACAGCGCGAAGGGAGGGACAACCTACGTTTGGCTTTTTGCACCCTTGATATGTAGAATGATTGAAATCTTTTTACAGGCGGAGTCAATGACGCAGAAACCGTGAGTTGAACCACCAAACCAGTTTCACTATTAGATTTCGAAGGCTTGATCGCCGGATGGGCTGTGTCGTCGCTTGCCGACTATCAAACAATCATCTAGTAGAGATGGATTGTCGGGAGCTTCGACGAGGATACAGGATATGCAACAGACCTCGAGGCGGATCCGAGCGAATGTACCACGCGTATTGTGAATGTTGGACTGTCGATCCACCATCGAGGCTATGTTCGTTGTCCTAGTAGCAAGGCGTAAGTATCGACCAATAGTTACATTTAGCAAGGCGCCGGCGTCTGTTTCATTCGTTAGTTGCATTGGACCGAGAGCGACGAATAAAGGTTAATGAAAAGTATGGGGGGTTGTGCTCGGGGCAGAGCCCTGGCTCATCGCCGGAGAACGTCTTTATGACCGTTGTCGTGCTCCAATGTTAATTCCGTTTCGGGGGTCCAGATAATCGCAAACCTGGTACAAGGTTCGGACCACGGAGTCGGTGGATGCGGGCCATAAGGGACGTTGGTGCCTTCTGGATACAATCAATCATTCATACGTCTAGTAGAAGATAAGAGAGACTTGACTTTGGACAGACTGAGAAAACGAAACTGTCAGAGAAACAGCAGAGAACCGGGAGACATCCACAAAAGCAAAATCCACAGTCCCATGCGTAAGAAGATAGGTCAGCAGGTTTTAATCCACAAATAAAGATGAAGAGGTGGGCGATCATCGTACGAGGTACCTACCCGTTATTGAATGCGGACGCTCTTGAGTGGCTCGTGGAAGCTAGGCGGTGGGCTGATCATCGGGTATTCGAAAGCCCCTTTCGCACCTTCCATTTCCTGTATCCATGCTTGAAAAAACAGGAAACGGACATGAAATGCACATGCAAGTCTCCAGAGCCTAGTCAGGCAGTTAGGAACCCGAGAGGTAGTAATCTAGAACATGTAGATGCCGTCAGTATGGATGACTCCCCCTGAGTGAAGTCCATGGTTCGAAACAAGGCCTGTTTGGTCAGGTGAAAAGAGAAGAGGCAATTCTGTTCGAGAGAAGTGTATGGCGTGCTGAGCCAGATTAGGAGAAGGCCCATAGTGTAACGAATCCAGTTACTTCGGGATCGTCTGATTCTGAGACTAGATCCACCCATTCACTGGCTCAATTGATCTGGCCAAGACGAGACGGTTTGATTTAGGCTCGCTACCTTAAAGCATGGTACGAGAGCCCAACATTCTTGCCAACAGCGTGGATTTCGAGCTGCTCCAGGATACTCACGAGTCTCGGAGTGGGAGATATAGGGTTTGACGTTTGGTTTGTCGCAGCCCTGTCACTGTATGTCGTGGAGCCTGAGACAGACAAGACGTGGGTTAAGAGAAGCTCGAAAGATTCGCCTTGTTGATATGAACGCTTGCGCTTGTCTGGAAGGTCAGGACAGCGCTTCTAGTCGTGATGGCAAGATATCGCGTTGGGGTTGGTTGTGTTACAGAAGGCATTGATTGTCCAAGACGACTGCGGGTCAACAAAGCATGAGACGTTGCCTAGGTCGGATCGCGAGTCAAACAAAGCTTCAGTTCAGAATCAAAGGCCTTCTAGCACAAGGCGGTTGCAGATGGAGAGCACAAAGCCCGCTGGGCGCCATTTTCGCGTCCTGACGGAGGTGTCGGGCCGACGAGTAAACAAGGGAACGGTCACGTGACGACGCATCATCGGGACCCACAGCTTGAAGCTGGAAGCAGGTCAACGTGCAACGGCCATCGTCAGCCTCGCTCATCGTCCGGCGCAACGATGTCTGTCGCCGTCCACCGCCCGGCATGGCAGACAGACGAACTCCAAGAAGAATGGATCGACCTCGAACCCGAAGGCGATGATGCCGACGACGACCTCACCTATGGCACCCAATCGATATCCCTCACTGCCCCGCTCAGCACCCACATTCATACTCACAGTGGCATCGAAGGGAGCGCAACGCCATCACAGACGGGCACAGCTCGTGCAGTAGGAACATTTGTCTTGCATGAGGATGCCCCAAATGCATCGATGCCGTTTTTACCCAAAACACCAGGGAGAAATAACAAGAATGGAATCAAGGACTTCTTCACGCCTCTCCCGCTTGAACGCATGTTCGACCCACCGACTCCCCCTGTTGCATCGCTCTCGAAGACAAGTTCGTCAACGGCCAAGTCACTGTCGCCCCCGCAATCGGCAATCTTGAAGGCTGGGGAGGACACGGAAGAGGTCGCGGAGGATGAAGACGAGATTTTGGAGACCGACATGCCGAACATGCGGTCTTTCAACGGGAGGAGACCCAGCATCGCGTGTCAATTTACCTTCGCTGTTCCGAAAGGCCTCAGTCCCAACTTTCCACAGGCGCAAAGTACCCCGCATCCACCGGCCAACCACGGCCTCTCTGCCCCCCCTACAGATTCGCGTCTGCGACTCTTCCAGTTCCAGTATGATACCTACACCCGGGAGCATCTCTCTGCCATGGTCGACTCAATCGCTGTCAACACACCTTCAGGGAGTGGGACGACGGCCACCCCACCGAGTTTCCAGCAACAGCTGTCTCGCGTCACTGAGCGAACGTCCGACACCAGTCATCTTCGCAGCGCTAAGCGCCTCAAGCTCAGTCCAGCTTCTGACTTCTATGGGGAGGGTGCGGGTGCGGGGGCCGTGATCAAGAGGCCACCCTTGACCGGGAAGGACTATGTCGGTGAATCGCGTTCCCTCATGGAGAAGATCAAACAGGCGCGCGATTTCTCAACACTCTCAAGCGTGGCGAGCGCGAAATCTTCCCCATCGACAGAATCTAAAACCGATGTCGAAAACCCACTCAATCCTGAGCAAACGGGATCCAAACCTGGTGAGGCCCCTTGCTGCTTAAGTGTCAGGTCTAGGTCTGACTCGTATTTCCTAGATTCCGCGAGGCGAACCTCTGCTTACCTTGCAGTACCCGACAACAACAAGGGAGGGTCATCGACACCCAGTTCAGTCACTTCCAAGTCAAACTCCTACTCTTCCTATCGGTACCGACAGAACGCTGCTGCACTCATGGAACAAATCAAGAACGACATGAAGGGATCTAAACGACTTTTCTCAGCCGACACCGACACATCTGTCGGAACGTTTGACGATCAAAATGAGTCCTATAATTGTTCTGCAGTTTCGACAACACCAGCGCCTCGCCCCCGTAACTCGGCGGAGAGGGAGAATCGGAGCCCCAGCTCACAGGCGCGCGGTCATCGCCGGACTTCCTCCTCCAGATCTCATGGCTCGCGGACAAACCAAAGTCCGAGCAGGGTGTTCAACCGGTCCACCCACGACGAAGTGAGCCACCGACTCTCGCGCCTATCTTTAGCAAATGTCCCAACAAATGCTTCCAATCCGCCAGAGGCAGAACCCCGTCAAGGTCGTCCTCCGTCGTCTCTCGCTCCACCTTCATATCCTTCGGCTTCTGTTCGCGCAAATGGGAACGAAGACCTGAACCGTTTCGTGTCCTCCAGCACAGCATCAGGGACAACGCTTACAGCGGGAAGTGCTCCTTCCTTCACCAAACACGCCGGTCCCCCTCATTTAAGGACCATCGCTCCAACTGACCTTCCGCCGATGCCGGAGAGGCTAGGTGATATGCTTTTCGACAAGGTTATGATGAAGTGGGTGAAGAACACGGCGCATGCGACTGGAGACCCGGATAAGTCGGGCATCTCCCAGGATGATTTGAGCGACGATCCTTTTGGAGACATCGAGAGCCTTCGTGACGACTCCGGTGGTCAGGAGACGAGATTGGACGAGGAAAGGAACGCACTAGAAGTTGCGGAAGACCACGATGCACCTAATGCCTCGGTGGCTGAGATGGATGAAATTGAGGAGCGCTCGGAAGCCGAAGACCATGAAGAGTTTGAGCTTACTAGCTTCTCGACTGATGCTTCGATGCACGTAGTCGATATCATGACGGGAGTAGACTCCACGGGCTACAACGACGGTGACGAGACCACCGACTCTGAGGACGACGAGCTAGACGGTACAGTGACAGCGCAACCTGTCCCTGTCGTCGACTACGAGTCCGGTGATGAGGACCTTAGCATGAGGAGCCCCCCTCCGGTTCCCGGTGTCTCAATTCAGACAGCACCTGAACATCCGCCACACGAACCTATCACTCAACTTAGCACGCCCAACCGACACAATAGGCAAACCCTTTCGACTACGCCCATCCTTCGCTCCGCTCTAAAGAGTGGTAGCGCAACACCTACATCTGCCCTCAAGGGCAGCCGTGGTCGACATCAGACGCCTAACCAAAGCGGTATCCATCGCCGTTCCGTCAGCTTCTCCGACGGCAAGCTGGATGGACCGATCCAAGACTTAAGCGGTTCGACTGATACGGATTCATCGACGAGCCAAGCAATTGGCGTCACACCCAACATTACCCTTCCATCCGCTAGGTCAAAACGCATAGCCGACATGATGGAAGCTCTAGCCAACTCCGGTAAGTTTAGCTCGAATGCGTCCCGACTTAGTATTGACGATCTTTTGTAGACTTCGACGAGGAGGATTCACCTTCCAAGACGAGCAGCTCTGGAAGGCCGGATGAGCTTCGCCCTCTAGCAGAACGAATGCAAGGGTCCACATCGATCCAGAGCGGTTCTCCGCGTGAAGGTTCACGTCGCGTCTTTTCCCGTTCCCAAACCCACCGACCCAGCCCCAGAAGAGCCAAGTCATCCGAAAGAGCTAATGCAACCTTCTTGACGGAGTGTTCGTTCGGTGTTGCGCATGACCGATTAGTGGAGGTGATCACAGATGTTCAGCCATTTGAACCATTTTGGGATCAACTGGGTTCAATCGATCTATCTGGCAAGAAACTTGAGAGCGTGGCGCGTCTCAAGGAATTCTTACCGCGTCTAGACTCGCTGAATCTGTGCGTTCTTTTTCGCTCAATTTTCCTTGTTTATTGACCAATGCCCGTTCTAACCTTCGGTTTTACAGCAATTACAATGAACTTGCGTGGTTAAGTGGGGTGCCGGCCACTGTTCGGACGTTATCTGTAGCGTCCAATAGGTACGTTATCCCGATTCTGTCCCCTTCCCCCATGGTCTTAAACTCCACATTTAATATTCACCTAAATTGATCACGCGTCATCAGCCTTACAGGTCTAACGTCCTACAGTCACCTGCTTAACATCGAAAACCTTGATATCAGCCATAACGAGGTGGATTCATTACGGCGTACGTGCTTAATCGTCGATTTTTGTCCACTTTTACGCGATGGACTAACGTCAAAACCTCATGGGGGTGGATTTACAGAGCTCGAGTGTTTGCGACATCTAAGGGAACTCAAAGCTGACGGGAACAAGATAACCAGCGTAGACGGGCTTCAGCGCATGGATGGCCTCGTAAAGCTCAGCTTGCAAGGAAACACCATACAATCTCTAGATCTGGCCCAGTACCGATGGTTCGTACCTTCTCTGCCCGCATCTTATTCTATTCTCCAACTCTTTTGATCTTCTCATGGTGTATGGGGGCCTTTCCTCAATCGCTTGCTTCCTCCCACACCGGTTTGTTCGATGGGGAGAATATGGGATACCGAACTGATGATTTGCTTTCTTGTTTAATCCACCTGTAGGACCCGGTTAGAGATGCTGAATGTTAGTCACAATCGCTTAGATAGCGTGCGGGGCTTAGCATCACTCCAGGCTTTGATTGCGGTAAACCTAGGTGAGTGTTCGCACACTCGTTGAACCACTTCACCTGGTCTCGAATTTCGTTATTTCTCCGTTCAGGGGGAGTACTCTTTGATTGTCCACAAGAGATCGACTATGCCCATCATTGAAAGTTTATACTGATTATGTCGTCCCTTGGTCTACAGACAACAATTCGTTGCGCAAGGTTGACTTTGGGAGCGGGATGCCCCGTTTGCGCATCCTGCGGCTCAGTAGCAACAAGCTGACCGAGCTGACTGTGTCTGCTTTGCCTAATCTTCGCACGCTGTATGCGGATAACAATTCCCTCACCAACCTCACCAAGGTGGATCGGCTCACCAAGTTGGAAAACCTCTCATTGCGGAATCAGAGCGGACGAGTATTGTGAGTTGTGATTCTCTATTCAATTGTTTAGATGGTATCGTCGGTTGGGACTAGTTTTCCACTTTACGACCCCTCGGTACGAGCATTCATCAAGCAGCATCATCAATGAGATGGATGGAATGGCTTGATTTTGTTCGTTATTCGCCGTCACGTCCGACTCTTTTCCATGCAACCTCATTTTGGATGATAACCAACCGAATACGAGTGCTGATGGTTCTACTACTTGCAGCAACCTCCTGACCCGCGATGTGCGCGATGTGAAGCGCCTATATCTTTCTGGTAGGTTTTCCCTTCTCATGCCTCTTTGGAACTTTTCTGTGTTTCGCTGCATATTCTATTCATCCGTTGGTCGGCAAGGATGAAAGAAGCGAAACGGAAGTGGTTTCACAACCACTTCCGTTGGCGGTGAGGTGGTGTGCCTGAAGAATCCCGCTTCGATGCTTCTTTTTGGTCTCGACAACGGGCGGCTTCTCATACACTGTCGTGCTTTTACTCTTCAAAACCTTCTTTCCTCCGTTTCGGTGGCTCCTGTTATTTTCTTTCCTCATCCATCTCTCGTGCCTTGTTCGGTTGATGATGCTGATTTACTGATTGCGAATCGTTGTTCTCCTCTTGGTCCTCTCTTTCGCCGCCACTCTCCGTTTTTTCTCACTTGCAGGAAACCCAATGAAGTCTCCACTTCTCCACGAACCGTGTTACAATCTGGTCTATCTTGAGCTGGCGGCTTGTCGGCTGACCGCTCTCCCCGAGGAAGGACTAGCGAAACTCGCACCTAATCTTCGGGTGCTGAACCTGAACTACAACTTTTTAGAGGACGTGAAAGCCTTGGAAGGGCTGAGTAGACTGCAAAAGTTGACGATTATTGGGTCAAGGTTGAAGAGTACCAAGCCACTGATCCGCCTCCTCCAGCATACACCTGATGTGGAGATGCTAGATTTCCGGTAAGTGACTTCAAACGTCCTTTTATTTTGCTTTTTGTTTTCGGTTGACTGGGGGACATTGTGATGTGGGCGGTGGCTCGGGGACTGCCCCGCCCTGTGTTGTTGATCCCTTGCCCTTGTTTCATTAAGGCGATCCATTTTATGACATCATTTTCTGGACGCTTTTCTACGATTTTGCTTCCGCTCCGCGATCCAGGATGACCGGCCTCAACTAATCTTGTTCATTTCGTAGGATGAATCCGTGTACTTTGGGTTGGTACCTGCCATTATTGGTGAAGGACCTGCCCGGGGCCTTGCAGCCGTCGGAAACCACCACGACTGGGACAACGAATGGCAGTGGCGGTGGGCCTGGTTCTAGGGGCAAGGGGCCGTCGTCGTTGTCGCCGGGCAAGAAAGGATCAGCGACGGCAACATCGAACACAAGTTCAAGCTCGCAGGTGTGGCAAGAATTAGACTCGAAATTCCGACGCGATTTGCCCGACGAGGCGTACGGGGGTCGACTTGCGTATCGGGGTCTGATTATGCGGGCCTGCCCGAAGATTCGGCTGCTGGATGGTATCACCATCAGCGAGAAGGAGCGGGTCAAGGCGCAGCAACTGTTGCAGGGTATCCTGGGGCGCGGTAAGGCGAAACCTGTTCAGGGTTGAGCGCCGTTATACTTTTTTTTTTCTTGTCGCACTATTTATTTTAGATTTGTTTTATCGGTCGTCGTCGTCGTCGTCGTTGCTGTCGTTTTGCTTTGTTGCTTTGCTATCGTATAATGTCTGTCCGCATTAAATCTGTTTACCATCTAGTTAATGAACGTGTATCATTGCATCTGAGTCGGGTACAGCCTTGGGGGGAGGAGGGCCGGCGGACAGAGAGCATCTTGAATTTTGCAATATAACCCAGTTTGGAGACAAGCGATCGGCCTTGAGCCGGTTCGAGATCTGGGAGGGTCAATCTGTGATTAATTGAGTTTTTGGTGTAGGTGCCATTTTTGGATGGGCAAAAAAGGATGAAATTGTGTTCCTGAGATCGGCTAATTTTTCATCTGTGAATCTCAGAGAGTTGTCGGAATATGGAGTTGCTCCGCCAGTCGACGCTTCCCACAGGGCGAGTGTTTAAATAGGCCTGGTAGATCGAGGAATTGCTGCCCGTGCCCCAGTTGCAAAGTCCCTCATGCCAACAGACCATTTGCCGCCGCAAGACAGGGACCAGCTGAACAGCTACAACGTTGCTCAGCTCCAGTTCGCACTGTGAGTACACCGAGTCTGTTATTCAGCCGCTGTCAATCCAGGTGACAGCGGCTACCGATTCTTCCCTTAAAGTCCTTCAAGCGCTCATACTTCGTCTCAAACAGCAACTCAAATCCAAAGTGCGACCAGGACACTATCCAGTACCTCCAAGATCTTTCCCCCTCCGCTTCTCCAAACGTTATGTGAGTCCTGCCCTTTCCTCTTTTTTTTTCGGCCCAAAACTCACCCAATAACCATGCAGTCCGGTAGAGCCAGACCTGGACTACGACTCACGACGCATGTCGAGCTCGGCTACATCCACCGCCGACACAGACAGTAGCATTGTCTCGCGCGCAGAAAAACGCGCCCCGACGCCCTCAGACTCGCCGCTGCCAAAAAAACAGCGCACGAATAACCTCGATCAAAACAATTGGGAAGACTCGTCTTCAGCCCATGCTGCGCCCCAGGAAAATGCTGCCAACCTCGATGCTGGCATCGACCACACAAAAGTGCAGCTGCCATCCATCACCGCATTTGAGGAGAACTACCCGCGCCGCGCCTCGCTCCCCATGATTCACTCGGAAAGTCGCGTGCGGCACCAACCATATCCGCCAACCTCACTAAGACACGCCTACAATGCCAATTCCCAGTCAAATCTATCCAGCTACACCTTCCCCGCACCTGCAGATGATGCCTCAAAGCCCAACTACGACGACCCCAAACCAAATTCACGCCCCAGGCTCTCCACTGACTTGGGTTTTGGTTCTGGCGGCATCCCTCAGCCCAATTCTTACGACTCGCCGTACTCACAGTCAGGGTTGTCCAATGGCACAACCCCAAGCTCCACCTTCTCCTCATCCGCGTTTACTTCTCCCATGGGCTCGGAATTCCCCCGATCTTCAGGGCTCTCCCCATACCCAGACTCTGACAACTGGAACGCGTCTCCCTCAGGCATCGTGCGCCCAAGTTCAACTCCGGGCCAAATGTCGACCCCTCCCGTGAAATACGATGATGGGTTACGCCATGCTTCCTTTAGTGGGGCACCCATGTCCCAGGCACAAATGTTTCCAGGCCCGGGACGTATTTCGGGACAACATGATCGAAGGCCTATGCCGCAGAGCGGAATAAAGAGCGAGTGGCAATATCCCAATCAGGATTTTGTCCTGCCCCCTGCAAATTCCCACTTTTCTCCCTCTATGGCTCCCGCCCCTCCTCCCATCGCCAACGCCACCTCTCCCGCTCGTTCCCCCTCCACCATCACCTCTTCCACATTGGTTGACCGTCCTCAACGGAAGCGCGGCAGCTGCCCAAAGAGACGACCGACTACCTCAAGGCTTGGCTGCACCGACACTCTGATCATCCTTACCCCAGTGAGGAGGAGAAAAAGCAGCTCTGCCACGCGACTGGTTTGAGTATGAGCCAGGTTTCCAACTGGATGATCAATGTATGTATCATGCCCCCCGTGTTTCAACTTTTTTCGTTTTCTTAACCGCTCCTGTTTTAGGCTCGTCGTCGCATCCTCGCGCCCGCGCACAGGGCAGCATCTGGTCCGACTACCACGGCGCCCTTTCCCCCTGCTGGTCGCAGCGCGTCGCTGAACGGGCTCATTGACCCCATTGGCAGGCGGGCATCGATGCCTGCTGAAGGCCTCCAGCTCTACCATCCCATGACCCTCCAATCGGTCCACGGTGCCGGAGGGAACCATCCCTCGGACTATCGTATGCTCGGGCTATCTCGCTCAGGGCATCACCATCCGAGTGCCGGCGGCGGTCCGACCAACAGTCATCTCGACTTCAACAGCAACCGCCCCCTCAACCTCTACGTCTCTCCATCCCAATCCGGCCACCACCACAGCAACTACGACGTCCCTCTCTCCGCTCCTCCAACCATGTCCTCTGGGAACCCATTCACATCACACGGCTCTTCGGGCCCATACCCTATGCATTCTTCGACGAGTCCCAGATTGCCACCCGTTCAGTCGGGTGGATACTTTAGTGAAGGTCCAGCGCATTCTGGATCTGCACCAGGTTCTGGGTACGCAACGCCTCAGTGATAATTAAACCAGAGATGGACATTGTGAACCTCCCTTGCCATCGCTACGCCCTTTTGTCGACGCTCTTGTTCTAGCCGTTATTATTTTATCGCCTCGATCGATACCACTCGTCGCTGTCTCCGTTTCCTCCTCGATCTCATGACTGACTTATTGTGCATACCCCTCGCATCTAATCGTGGACATTGATCATTCCTTCTCTCTCCTTTTTGTCGTGTGCTGTCCTTCTCGCCTTGGCTCGAAGTTTGATACTTGCTCGCCGTGTTCCTTGTTGTGTGTATAGTTCTCAACATATAACGCAATCTAATTGTACTACAATCCCACCCTTTCACGTTCTATGCTCGCGTGCAGTCCGAGATTCTTACCGCACCGTCACCTTGACTCTCCCACCATCACCACCCAGCGAACCTGGCCTTTTCTATTTGACGATCTCTACTCGCCCTCCACCCCGCACTTCTGATCGCGGACTTGCATGTGGACCTTCTCTTGAATTTTGGTCAGGCTGCTCCCTCTCGGATCCTCCCCGTCCCGGACTTTTGCCTTCCCTCCCCCGCACTCTCACGCCTTTACTTCATCTTCATCCCTCTCGGGTGGAATTCGCTAGCCACCGCCAAGATCTATCTACTCCACGCCTCTCGCCCCCTCCCCCTCCCTTTCCATTTCCAAGTCGTCTTTGGAATTCCAACGTTCTGGTTGGCTACATTGCAATCCGATTCACCCACGACCCGCCCCGACAAACGGGGACTAGGGAGAATGGCCATTGCCGTAACCAACACCCTTTCTTCCTCCCCTCCCTCCATTCATCGATCTATTTGCCTCTTTTTGTTCTGGGCTGCGCCATTCCCTTCCCTTCCATGGGCCATGTCTTTCTGATATGGACTTGTTGGACTTACTGTTACTGACTCATCGGTTGACTATTCTACGCAGGTCTGCTCTTCACCTTCGAATCCTTTCGATGCCCTTCTGGATTGCCGTCCACAAGGTCTTGTGTCCTTCTAATCGATATCACATATCATAATGCGCCCTTCTACTTCTTTCCAGTCCTTCCTTTGTCTCAAGGACCGTTGTTGTACTTATTTTCTTGCCTTTGTTTTCTTTGCGAGTCCTTTCCGTTCCTTTCGTGTGTACTCTGCGTAGTAGAGTACACCGTGCTGGGTTCTTGCTGTGAACCCGAACTTAATGAGCAACGTAACTTTAACCTCTCCGCAAACGTCCTAGTCTTCATTTCCGTGAGATATTTTCTATCCTTTAACCTCGAGATGAAACGACGATGAAAGACAAAGGGGGAGAGACTCGAATCCGACGTGGCGACATCCAGCATGTAGTATCGAAGGATCATGACGATGAAGTGAAGTACATAAATTTATCTATCGGATTGATATATAGTGTATACGACATGGTGCATTATTCTATTGCGAAGTCTGTTCTTCTGATGTTTTCCGGTGATTGCGATGACTGGCCTACGTGGAATGCGTGTACACGAAGGCAACAATAATATGGGCGCTTATTTCACTTTTTTTCACGCAGGTGTTCTCTTCGCATGGGTTCCCGGTTCTGTTTCGGTGTTTGACCAGTGATTCTCCTATTCAGGTTTAGCAGCAACTATTGAAGTTTTCATGTATAGAAACGAGGCTCGATATCGTTGGTCATTTAATCTCATCCCCACCAACTCGAGGTTTCTCAGGACCCACACAACATCAGACCCTCGGGGTCGGTAAGGAAAATTGGTTATTAGCGCTTAGGTACTCCAAGCTCGTTAAGCTTGTAGACTTTTGACACCACTTAATTGGTGCCCTCCACTGGTGTGACATGATATGCGGGCGTTCTGATGAAGAGAAGGTTGATATCGAACGCAGAGCGTCTAAACCCGCGCTCTCGCGGGAGCGAGTAAGGGAAGCCAGTTCGCAATCAACCCAGAAGAGGCAGTGACGGGGGCGACGCGCTCAAAGCTTATGCACATGCACCCTTTCACCCACTCGCACTGCCCGGCGCATAATCACACATCCCTTCTGAGAAGGGGATTTGAGATACGGAATCTGGTGAGAAGAAAGTCGAAATCGCTGGTGCGGTTTGGTGTATCAGATGATTTAATTTAGCGACGGTGAACCGATAGTGGTGTAGTGCTTAGTGGTGTTCGTGCTATTGGTCCGCTCCTTCCTTGAAACTGTGAAGGTGTAGAATGGAGGGAGGTGTGTTAGCGAAATGTATACGGTTTCACGGGTGAGTATGGTGGCAATACTGCGTCATTCGGCGCCTAAAACAAGCGTCGGTCTTGTACTTTGCGTGCCTTGAACTTTTTACCTTGGGATAAGCTTGAATGGGATAGGAGTCCAGGGAGGAATTGTGACATGATTTCCGCCGAAGGGATGAGAGCGTGTTACTCGAGCTTTCCCTTCCCAAGTAAGTACATACTCTATTCCTATCTCAGAAGACGAAATTCCGGTGGTGCCTGTGCATTACGCGAGGCGTTTTCCGCGGCCTTATTTTCGTGATCTGTGCTGGAAAAGTGCGCGCCTGGTACTAGTAGGGGCAACGGGCATACTAAAACGTTCGTTCCATTGGGAAACATAACCCGAGAAAAGCATAAATGGTTTAAAGTGTCTTCAAAGTAACGTAAGTCCTTTACATTACTAGGGCCGCTCATTATCCGCGATTTGTTGTTGTTAAATCTTTTGTATACCCCAGATCCCGAGGTGAGATGGTCACTCGGTCGTACTCCAGCTAAGTATCTACGCGGCCTGAATGGTGATTAACGGTATACTGAATAGAGAAAGAGGGCACGTCGTTGACCTCAGTTGAGTGGGTGAGATAAACTCGTCCACCTAGTCGGACAACAAAATGCAAGGGTAGTGTGCGTTGCGAGACTGGGGTGGGTCTTAAAGTTTAACCCAGAATCGTTTCCTCTGCCCGTGCGTGAACGAAGATATTTCATTTTACCTCTGCGAACCAAGGTCATGACGGAATGGTTGGAGACCGATTTCAAACACTGGAATGGGGAACGGGGCAGGCGGTGGTCTTAAGGGTTCTCCGGTCTTCTTGTCACGCCAGTGCACAAAAATAAGGATAGAGCAGCGGAGAAGACAGGTGACGCGGTGACGGAGTAGGGCATCCCGTTGAGGATGAGCGGATCGAAGTCGGGGAACCCCCTGTCCCAAGTGCAATCCGCTTGTCAAGCTTCGACTCAGACAACCCGTTGACTGCCTTTTTCCATTCTAAAATGTCTCCCTGCGGGGACATGTCGAACGGCTCGTGGCGGAGAAACTCATGAGTGGGTACGCAGTCATGATGCGGCACCTAATGGGAGGAGGTTAGGGTGTTCGGCCCCTCTCCTCCTTCATCAGTGGATGTACTAATTTCGCGTCGTCAGTGGGCGACTGAGAAGCGTTTATACATATCCCATCATCGATATTGAGATAACTTCACTAGAGTCACTCGTTTGTTTCAAAGCAGTCTATCTTTTTGTATTGCTCCCATCACTACGGTGGTGGGTTGAAGATGAGATGGATGGGGTGTATCGTAAACCTTCTGAGAGTTTCAGGTAAAAAGATAGCCCATCTGTCCTAATAGGAGAGATGGAGCTTAAGTGTGATAAACGAAGGTTAACAGCGATGGCCTTACCTGTGCATTTTTCTCTTTCTCATTACGATTGTCCGCTCGCACGTAAATTTCTGGGTCTATGTGAACCACAGCGCAGCACCGGAGGGCTAGGAAGTCCGGTGATGCCTGGATAGTTACACCGTCCCTGGTAATTAATGAACGGAAGAAACGAAGAGAAGAGGGTTAAGCTCGATACGAGTCAGTTAGACACTGCGGACCAAGGCATATTTAATCATTATTTTCGTTCCAACGGCCAAGAATTTGCTCAAGATGTACAATTCTGAGCCAGTATAGATAAATTGCGGTTCACGGCTACCCGTAGTGAGTGACCAGAGCGCCGCAGCTGGCGGACAGTCGTACGGCTAAGGTGTTAAGTGGATTCGGGCTCGGAGAACGTTGATCTTAGTCAAAACTCTGCAGGCGATATCTGAACTATAACGACAGTTGATCAACCTGGTGGCAGAATAGCTCAAGGCGGGGTTTCAAGGTCTTGCAAAAATTATACCTACACTCGGCGCACAATCCCGGGCGGTGACCTGTCGTGGCTGATATGACTGAGAAGTAGTACCTGATTGAAGGTAAATCGAGGGATTATTTGAAAGGCATTCATGCGCCTGTCTTCGACATCCCAAAAACTGAGTAATAGTCGACGCTCAAAGGATCCTCGCAACTGCTAGAAGACTCTTTACTTAAAAAATCACCGGTTCGTGTCCGGGCCAAGTTCAAGTATGTAATAGACTGGTACGTCAGTCTAACGAGCCTAACAGGAGTCGAAATTAGAGAAGGTCGGAACCTTCAACCAACAGCCATTCAGCGCCGAGTGCTACGCGAAAGGAAGCCACAGGGAATGATTGAAAGGGGCGAGAAACTGCCTACGGGAATGTAACAGCGGCTTCCCTTAGATCCAGCGCTTTATTCGAAGTTTCCAACGATTTCCCTTCTCTTTATATCTGAATTCCCCCCTCTTTGGATAAGTACGCTTCCAACGCCGTCAGCTTCGCGATCGAAGGAACTCGACGCAATCACATTAAACGAAGTGCAATTTGATGCGGCGGCTGCGAATTCTGTTGGACTTCAGGCAACTCGAGGCGAACATCGCCCCTACGGAAAAAGAAAAGGGCCTGCCTTCGCGGTGGCACGCAGTCTTCTGTCTTCCGCCTGCCGATAGGGTGGGAGTTACCCCAATACGCGCTCCCTTTAACCATGTGAGCAAGAGTTTTGGGTGAAGTTATAGAGTTGTGATACGCAGCGAGATCATTAATCGTAACAGTTCTGGGGCCACGATTAAGGCCACACGACCAACGAACATTGTTACCGCGGCGGAGGACTTTTTGAGGCACAAAAGAAGTTTCGGGCAGGAAATGATCGTGGTGTCGGGCGCTTTGCAAAGCCTCGGACACTGGATCAGTGTACTCCACCCAGACTTGAGCCCGAAATGGTCAGGTTCCCCACGGGCTCTGTGTCAGGTTTCCCGTTTGCTACTTGGGAAAGAAAGGCCATTCACCATCGCGTTTCTGATCGCCATCTAGGATGTGGGCATGTTTTCGCCAACCCCATGCTGTTTCCAGCTTTCGAGATAAGCAATTTTGATTCCGCCTCTGCGATGGAGCCTCTGTAAATTGATTCGGAGATAGGTTCCGTGTTCTCATCCATGAATGCATTATCGCAATGCAGGGAATGCAAATGGCATTGAAGGGTAACGACTCGGCCCATGGAAGAGAAGAACTGATTCAGCCCGTCGGAAAAGGCGTGACGAGGGTCAGGCACGCAACTCGGAGAATTAAGGTCCAAGAAGTCGAGTAACACAGGGTAAACATCGTCGATGAACGTGTCCCATGACAAGACGCGTCTTTTCTGCCCTAGTACCTCCGCTACGGAGGCAGACCTGCGGTTTCGGACGAGCGAGGACAGTCTAACATAGTTCAAAGCGACCTTCATGCGTATCGAGACCTTCAAAGGAGACGCAGTGTGAAGACTTCGACAATGGGTGTCTCTGAATCACATCATGGAGATGATAGTACGGTGGGGCATATGAGCAGAGTTTCCTGATGGAGCTGCCTGAAGTTCCAGATAAGTAGTTCGGCCCAGGCAAAGCAATGTAGTGTCTCCTGGCGCTAGTGGCCCTGGAGTCATCCGACCTAGTTGAGCTTTGGAACGTGCGGCGAAGTCATTGTCTGACAACGTCCTTGAGCAATCGCTCTTAGGCGACTCGTCCACGTCGTCTGTATCACAAGGAAGCCAGTCACCAACCCCAGTTATCGCAGTGAAACCCGGTGGAAAACAAGCCAGGCAAAAAGGTTGAGTAGGCACGAAAGTACGGAACGAACAGAGCAATCAGAAAATCGAAAGGAAACAGTGAATGGCAAACGCCGAAGGGACCAGCTGGTTCGCATTTCCAATTTGAGATGCCGAGCGAACTTCAGGAAATTGAGCCCAAACTGATACAAAAAAGGAAAGAGCGATTAACTCCGCGACGAGTTCAAGATTCTGTGTCTGCCCATCCTCTACGGTCCACTGCAAATATAATTAGGGATTTTCTGACGGAAGTGTAAAAGTAGATCGAATAGTTCGCCTCTTAGTCTACAACCTGAGGCCAGGGATGTCGCGTGTAGGCATTCGTTGAGGCCGTTCCGGACGGGCTAGTATCAGGAAGTTTCCGCGAGGAATGGACCAATGTAACAGAGACAATGGCGCCACCGCCGCTTCCCTACATAGGTTGTTAGGACCTCCCATGGGCTACCTGATCAATGCGTAAGAATAGGGTTATCACACAAACCGTTCCAAGTCGCGCAAGCAAAGAAGAATGGGTTGATTTGATGCTGAAGTACGTCCTCCACACCCTCGTGTACGCATCGCGATTTCAAGGTTCGAACACGGTAACCTACGCGCCATAGTATGATCCTGATTCTGGCGGGGATAACCTCTCAACCCGTGCATTTCTGTTCATCGAGTGCAAAAGGAAGCGAGGTTCGAGGCTAAAACAAATATGGTGGTAGGGTCGGAAATGTGCGCGGGCGTTTCGATGGTCGGATCAAATGGACCGACTCAGTTCCGCCACCGGTGCATGCCAGACGGAAGCAAAACGTGATTATTACAGAATAAGGAAAGTGTGACGAAAAGAAAGAAAAATGGCCCTCTTGCGGCGATGCGCTGGATGAGTTTACAGACCTCGAAGTTGATTATCGCCGGAACTAGTTGGGTGCATAGCACTGATCGCTTCATAGACAGGAAAAGTCATTTGTTGTCAAGGCTGTCAAGCTCGATCACACCGCGATATCGAGTCTATCATCCCAATTGACTTGGTGATGCCAATGCTTCAGAGCGGGCATAGCGTTGCCTACTTATCCTATAGATGAACCGACGATTTCGAACGACATAAAATAGGAGGTGCCGCGATGCACAGAACCTTGTGGGTCCTTGGGCCGACGTCGGGTGGTCGGTGTATTCCTGAGTCATGGGTCCTAGTCTGATTCTTCAGTCGTGCTTATTCCCATCGCCTGCGCAGCTGCGATGAGGCGATATGACATGTTCGTAAAAACTTTCCGAACGGATTTCCCGATTCAAGGCTTGAATGGCCTGCCGGATTCGGCTCAGTCCGACAGCACTCGCTCCTCGCGTGTACATTACAGTCATTTGCATGATGGTTCGAACACCCGAAAAAAAAAAAAACGGTCACGTGCCCGCGGAGGCCCTTGCCAAACACACAAGATAAGCCTGTCCGAGTTTTCGGGCCCTAGCCAATGCTCCCGAAATATGAATAGGGGGAAACTCTGCTGCGTATCCCCTCGACAAAGAGAGCTTTCTGGATAGGATAAACGATATGTTTGAATACCAGGGTAGCTAATGAAGAGCACAGATGAAAATAGACACGTATAATGCCCTTGCATGGCATCATAAGGCTGTTATTCCACGACAAATTCAGGGTCTGATTAGGGTCAGCTTTAAGATTAATTATTTGGCTCTTTCCTTGAATTCCTCTTTCAAGACCATAGCATACGTCTAGTATCATCCGAAATTGGGGATGGCATGCAGTATAGCGGGAGAACAATGTGGTACGACGAAGAGCTATCTCTCAACGCTTATCGCTGCGTTATCTTGTGTGTTTGGCAAGGGCCTCCGCGGGCACGTGACCGTTTTTTTTTTTTCGGGTGTTCGAACCATCATGCAAATGACTGTAAGTACCAACTCTGAGTTCATGATACATGATATCGCTCCCCAGACCATCTGACCTAGCCGACCTCCTTTTTCCCCATGTTCACAAAATCGGGATTTCGCAGAGGCCATTTCTTTGAATCATCCCGGTCTAGGGCAGAGGCAACGGGCTTGCTGTTAATGCGTTGGATCCATCGTCCGTATGCATAAGGTCCCCAGCTTCCCTAACTCTCCTGGGACCAAGGGTACACCGGTTAGGTTGCTGGACTCAAGAGGACTGGTTTTTGCAGCGAAAGTCCGCTTCCGTGCCATTGAGAGCGCAGGAGCCGACCATCCCCCGACACATCCCGACGTCATGGCGGTACCTCAGACTCGTCAACCAAAATCTGGCAACTTGCATAATACCCGGGAAGCGAAATTTGAAGTGAATTCTACTGCTTTCTGTTGGTACCTGCGCTAGAAGCAAAAGGTGGAACAGGCACCATGTATTGTCAGGAACGCCGATTCCCGAGCAAGTCTTGTGAGGGTCTATTCCCTCCAAGTTAACCAGAGAGAACATCGCAAGCAGCTAACTCGCTCGCGAAACAACTAACGGGGAACACTGCGAACCGAACAGCGTGAGGCTTTTTTGTGATGAATGGTTACGTCCAAAAAGCGCTATACAATGGGAATAGGAGGATCATAGGATAAAGAAAGTCATGAACACAGATGAACACCTCGAGGCAAAAGACGAGTTGAACCAAGTGTTCCACGAGGCAGTTCAAATCAAGGTAGAAGAACGGATGCTAATCGTCCTTCACAAGTGAGCTGGCGGATCGTGCATCGAGCCAGTTGGATCAAGCTGTCGTTGAACTGGTGGACGCCGATGACGAGGATCGACGGTGAAGCGCTGACAGATAACGCCATTGACGTCGTCGATTGACAGGTGTGTACTTTGCACACAAACGGCTTCAGTGGCCACAACCTGCCACAACAGCTTCAACTTTCGCTTGGTGATTATACCAACGTAATTCAATCGGACGGAAACGTGTTTGGACATTTTAATTACCAACAGGGCCAGGTTTCCCTGGGCTACCAGCCGATTTCCAAGCAGCGAGAATCAGCGATACGACATCGTCTATTCCCTTGTCTTCTTTCATGCTGGTGAACACAGTCGGCCCCTCTCCACGCATGAGTTTGGAATCGCGCTCCATGACCTCCAAGGAAGCGCCGACGTAAGGGGCGAGATCAATCTGCAGCTCGTAGTATTAGCTGGGCGTCATACGCTCGAAAGCTGATTCTGCTTGCCTTGTTGACCACGAGCAAGTCAGACTGAGAGATCCCAGGACCACCTTTCCGAGGGATCTTGTCCCCGCCCTGGATTGACCGGTTATTAGATTAAAGAACACGAGTAGAAACATAAGAAAATAGGTTACCGAGACGTCAATCACATATATGATGTAGTCTGCCAACTCCCGAGAGTAGTTAGCGGCGAGGTTATCTCCCCCGCTCTCTACGAAAAGGATCTGACAATTGAACTTTGCTTGAAGGGTTTCAAGAGCACCCATGTTGGCACTGATGTCCTCACGGATCGCAGCATGGGGGCATCCTCCGGTTTCAATGGCCAGAATTCGGGACGGCGGTAAAGCTTTGTTCTTGATCAAAAACTCCTGGTCCTCTTTGGTGAAGATGTCGTTGGTCACGGTAGCTGAGGGTAGGGATACCTACTTCAATCGACTTGTTCATGGAGCTCGTCGAGCTACGCACCAATGTTGTAAGAGTCTCTTAGCTTCTGACAAAGTGCGAGAGCTAATGCAGTTTTTCCTGATCCAACAGGGCTATTGAATTCAGGTTAATGACTGGGATGTGGTACGAGCGGAACAAATGCACGCACCCTCCAATTCCAACCGTGAATCCGCGTTCTTCAAAGTTACGGGACGAGTAATCTGGAAGGTCTCGCTCGGCATACTTTCCTACAGGGCTCTGTTAGCTTTTCCAATAGATAAGCAATTGGTCAAGCCAAGTACGGTACCGGGATGCTCCAAGTGTTCATGGGTGTGTCCGTGTTCGTTCAGACCGTGGCCATGAGAATGGGATGTGGCTCCTCCGTCATGAGAATGAGTTTGCGGACTACTGTCGCCTTGAGAAGCACCCTTGTTAATGAATTGGACGTTCATTGTTGTTGAAGTTCAAGAGCTTCAGCAGAATGAGTCAAGCTCGTTCCACTCCCAACTCCAAGATAAGATAACAGCGTGATGGGTTTAAGCGCGAAAGGGGTTAGGGTTTGTGCCCGCTTTCTTCCTCGAATCACTACGGGTGGCAGATTCAGTCTCGAGTATCCTGTATGAAGCGACAGATTGGCCTTTTAGCTGACTATTCGAGCTCAGAAGAAGAAGAGCACGATGAACAGAAGATTGTTGCGACTAAACCTGAACCGCCAGCCAAAAGAAAGTAAGTCTTGCCACACCGTGCGGTAAACCGTGTTTGAGAAATTTCTTCTTTTAGGAAGCTGCCTGCTCTTTCCGAGAGTATATCTGGTCCAATACACAAAGATGACCCTGCACTTCACCAAGGTCGTATACGAACAACGCCGCATGTCGAGGGGCAGTTCGCAGCCCATGTGTACGTTTCCCTGAGTTTGAAAGGGAACCCAACACTTTACAAGTTACTCAAGGAGGTTCTTCGCGATGCAAAAGAACTGGTACCCACATTGCACGAGCTGGTAGCCTTCGACACAGGGTACAGCGACCTTCACGTGTCACTGTCCCGTCCTGTGTTTCTCCGAGCTCATCAACGCGAGGAATTCAAACGGTCCGTCAGGAACATAGCAAAGGAACAATCGCCGTAGGAGCTCTCCCATCTGTCCGCGCGACTTCTGTGTACTCAGTAACGGGGTGCTTCTAGATTTGCCATCTCCTTCGCTGCTTTCTCGGAGTTGACCAATGATGAGAAAACTCGCACTTTTCTGGTTCTGGAAGTTGGTGCGGGGCATCACAACGTGAGGAAACTCATACTCTGAGCCACATTTTTACTCACATTCTCTTCTGATAGCTGCGAACTTTGGCCAGCTCATTGACGTCAGTTATGAAGTCCTTCCGCCAGAAGGAATACTACGAAAGCCCGCGATTCCATGCGTCCATTGGTTGGGCATTGTTGGACATACCATCGCCCCTGGATCACGAACGCAAGTCCGCCGCTCGGACCGCCAGCCCCCTCGACTTCCCTACCATCCCTCGCTTCCCCAATACCCTGTTACCGTTTCTTGAGGAGAAGTATCACAAGGCCCTGACCTCAGGAAAAGTCGCTGTCTTTCATGTGGACCAAGTGACTGTCAAGATCGGGAAGGAGATATCCTGTTGGCAACTCTCTGGCTCCAGCACCCTCCACTAACGCGACGGACGCAGGGTGCTCGGAGAGGTATGGCTCCCGATACGGCAAGAGTGGTCACCTCCTATCTTCAGCCAACCATGGAAGCACCACCTGATTCAACGCCTTCCTGATCCACCAATCGCCCCACCTATTGGGGGAATTTCGTACAGCATCGCGGACTCATCGCCAATCATCACGCTCTCACACCTCACCGCTTTGTTCTCGTTGGAGAATCGAGATTGCGGCCCGCTTAGCGCCTGCTTCTCTTGTGCGCCATGACCAGCCTTCGCAACTTGCCATCTCGTTTTGTGACAATGGAATTTTGACCCAACTTGGCCATGTGTGCTCCAGAGCCGGCGATACGTACACCGTTCATTGGCCTTCTTCGTATCTCCCGTGGCTTCCATTGGGTGTCTTCGGCAATATACATTCAGTACATGGCCTACCAAGCGTTCCCGATTTGCGACAGTACCGTGACGGTTACTGCTAAAGTGTCTTCGACGCTTATGTTCAAGGTGTGGAGTGTATCAGACTTATGGGCATCTGCTTCCGTCGACTTAACGTAAACCTTATCTCTCCCAAAAGTGAACTTGAATTCTGACGATACACTTGTTCTAGAAACATTGGCGGCCGGTGTCGTCACAAGGGAATATGAAGTTCCTCCCCAGATCGCCTGGTCCTGTGTTCTTGATGGTTCGTGACAGACATAATTTAGTGTCGATTCGGAGCTAAGCGTGTGTCAAGGCGGATTGACATGGGGTTTGGTTGATTCACGTCAGACGAGACTTCCTCAAGGCGCTGAAGTACGCTTACAATCCGGCTGGCCTTCTTGCTTTGACTGCACAGGAATCTACGACAGAGCTCTTTCGCTCGAATCCTTGAGAGATGGACGATGATCTCGCTCTCTTACTTCGCCTCCTTCCCCCTCACCGTTCGCACCAGAAGAGGTCCCTTAATTCAGCCATTCTCGTTCCAACTGCAATCTACCAGATTCTCGGGTTGTACTTTCTGGATCGCGCTGGAGGTTTAGAGTCAAGACACGCCTAAGGTCTCGCCACTATTGCTTCCGACAACCAGGCCTGATCCAAGTCAAGCTGGTTCGCTTTCCATAAACTGATGTCAGCCGTCCGACGAGTTCGATGTCACCTTCAGGCATTTCGACGCAAACGACACCCTAATTCCCACTGCCGTGTGCCTTTCGACGACCTTTCCGTGATGGTGTTGGACACTTCCGTGGTTCTTTCATTATGGCTTTTGATGCGAACCATTGTCTTTCACCGACAGTTCCCTCTTCGGCCTCTTAGAGGAATACGTTTAACCACTGGCTATCTGCGCAGCCTTCGTTTCCTGCTATCACCGCGCAGTGCACATGGATCATATCAACTACGACCATTCACAGGAAGGCACCGTTCGGGGCAAGGCGAACGCCGTGAGTGCGAGCCATTTGAATGCCATAGCTCACGAGGGGGTTGGGGATTTTTCTTGACTTCAGCCTTGATTCAAGTTGTGCTTCTGATCATCGCTGGTACCCAACCCATTGCGCCAAGCTCTAGATGAAGCGCACTGCGTGACCGCCCATTTCTACAGATCTTTGATTGTGGTGCAGAAAGTGTGTACCACCTTGATCATCTTTTTCCTGGTCTTGTGCACAATGGAGAGCTTTTATCTCGACTGTACACTACACTACATACATCAACGCTGTGGTGATCCGGAAACAAAAAAAAAAAAATCTGGGCGCCTCCACTGCTACTTACGAATGGTTAAATTCCGATGGTGAAGGAGATTGTCTCGTGCGCGCGGTTTGCCCGGCGGTGAGGCGAGGGGTGGGCGCATGTTAGCATAGCAGCGATACGGTTCATGTTTCATTAGCAGTCGAATGGGCTCTGGCTTTTCTTGATGCTCGGTTGCTTTTGCGGCGGCTTGATCAAACGGAATCTGGTCACACCTCGAGGCGGAGGAAGGGGGTTGGCCTGTCAACGCCGCCGTACGTCGCTGATCATGACATTGAATAGCATTTGGCGTTGAATTGACGGCGGGCATAAAATCACTATTAGGGATTAATTTCCTCTTATGACCGGGAACTGTGACATTTGCTATTACTTAGTGTGGGCTGGTAAAGGAAATGTCAGTGGTCACTGCAGCGCGATCTTGATGGCGCATCGTCGGGTTGTGGGACTAAATGGCGGGCTATAGCTATGTATTACCCTGTTATCAAGGGGGCTTGTTGCGGACCTTCTCTAGCAATCGAGCGGTCGGCTGTATGATTAGGGGAGGTCAAAGTAGCGCAGATTAAAGATGGACAGGGTAGAAAGCGCATTGTTGATGGATTTTTTGTGTGGATTCGAGGTACATAGATTCCGTCCATAATCTTTACTCTGACCTCCCCTATTATCAGGGAGCGACCAAAGTCCCTGGGGATAACCGCTGAATACGGAATGGTTCCGGCGCCAAATACGCACGTCGTAGGTCTTCCCGTGATATGTATCGAGACCTTCGTAGTCTGTAGACAGGAATAGTTCTCAGAAGTGCTTGAAACTTTATTCCTTAACTCCACTTCAAGAGATATTGCAGCACCTGAGAGCCAGATCAATGAATGGGGGGTCCGCAACGCTAGTACGAATGGAGGTCAAGACCATCGCTGGTCGTAATAACAGCAGGGAAGGAAACATTGGAAGGCAATAGAGCGTTGCTACTAAGCCCTAAACAGCTCTGTCGGTCTGTACACAAAACAATGGTGGCCGATGAATGGAATCTATTTCAGTTGCCTGACCGTCCGACAAGTTGGAGCGGTCTGAGTGGCTTGCGGAATGGATGCAGAACTTTCCCAAACCTCCAGCTTCCGATCAACGTCTATCCGAGGGTTGAAAAGGACACGTGCTGTCTGGTTTTCCCTGAATTCGAACCCTGCTTTGGCAGATTGGGATCAACAGAGTACTACTATGGCCTGAAAATCTACCAAGTTCGAACGCACAGCCTTGAATCGAATATCCTCGCGGCCCATTGTTGAAATGTCTGTCTACATCAGGCTAGAGCGACTTCCACCTGACCCCCCGGGCTTAGGCAGGACATAAGCAACCAGGTGAGCATCAACTTGTATGTTAACCGGGAAATTATTATCACCTTTTGAGCAGGACCTTCAGGTACCGTTGCGCTTCCTGAACACCCAAAGAATACCAGCACACTGATTATCATCTTCTACACAGAGTAATGGACCCTCACAGTTGGTGGCAACTGATTCTACCTTATCACTACTATCATGTTCGCCTCCACATTGTCGATTTGTCCCTCAGTTGCGCAATCTACCTCAACTACCCCAGGTAAATCCACCTCGTTGAGTTCAGAGAATTCCAACTCATGTCGTCGATAGGAAGAGCAAGAAGTGATGGAACGAGGCGGCCACGAACTCCGCTGGGCGTCCGATCATCCTGACTGCCGGAGGGTTCTGGAAGAAAAGATGAGCGCCTGTGGAAGGGTTCGAACCCGCCGCACAGAACTTACCATCGATCGAGCTTGGAATGCGGGGGAGTGATGGGATCATACACAGCCACAGCTTTCACGTGCTGTGAAGTCATGGCGGGCGATGTCATTGACTTGCATTGACCCATCCGATGGAGGAACTATTTGCAGGAACTACTCGCTTGTCGACAACCACCACGACTGCTTCGCCAGCATTGCCACACACGATGACCACCGCCATGGACACACTAGCTCAACAACCTCACCATATAGCAGAACCTGCATACGCAATTCTGAGAATAAAGCGGAGAAGAGACGAGGAGCCTCTCGACGCCCTGGGTGTGTCCCTAATCAATGTCCATCGCCGGAGCGAACGCTGAGGATATACACGTGCATTTCAGTCGTTGAATCCAAGAGCAGAAGGAAGAAGACGAAAGGGGGGCCTGGCGTGTTTCAGTATGTGCAAACTGTAGAAGACACGGTGTGGAATAGCGAAAAGGCACAGAAGGAGCTGCTCGAGGTGAGTCAGGATATGTTTCTAGGAGGTTCCTAGTATTCATCGCCACCGCTAGGAAAAGATTCCCCGCCTTGCACGAGAGAAGACGCTACATGCAGACTGGAAAGCACAAGCCCCTGATCGACGTTCGCCTCTGCTGAATAGAAACGACAGGCGGTACACTATCATCGAGACGGACCCTCCGCTATCACCACAGAAGAGCAGCCCGTATGTCATGGTTGACTTTCGGCGAGGAGAGACCATTCTAAGAAAAACGTCATCCTAGACCTGTAGTCTCGGCGTCACAGAACAACGATACACAGCAGCCATGCTCAGATTTCAAGATGTATGACGCCGTCCTGGCTACCCCAGCCGAGACGCCTGATTTGGATCCAGAAATGGAGAAATTCCAGTCCATGCTCTCCGACTACTTGAAGTGTGCGTGTTGTCAATTTGTTCCCAAACGTCTTCTTACATCTGTTGCAGTGAACGAGGTGGATGTTCGACCACAAACCCAGCAACCCAACCTAATGGTCGACAGCGCAATGAAATCACCAGATACCGAGGGGGACTATGTGTGGGACGTGTTCTATCATCGCCCTGCAACGCTTGCAGAGTGGAACGAGATCGCTAACGTCGGAACATTGTGAGTCCATTGCCATTCCAATCCGCCAAGTAAGACCCTAACTGTCGAATCTACGTGCAGGTCCGGTTTTCCTGCCCCCAACACGGATTCATATTCTTCAGATTCGGACCAATCTGAGGAGGAAGATGAGGCAGACGAGGATTCCAATGGTACGTTATGTCCTTAAAATCTACACCCTGTTTCATCCCTGACACCCCCCTAGACGAGGACTATTATAAGAATGATTACCCTGATGAGGAAGATGATAGTGGTGCGTCTTCCATGTCTCGCTTCTCTTTGCAGAGATGATTGACCCCGTCCAAGACGAGTGGCACGAGGATTCTGACTACGACGATATGATGGGTTATCACAATGAGAGGGAGCAGTTTGACTTCTGAGATGATTGCTTCCATCCAATTTCTTCGAATACAGCGAACTTCAGGATTCAGATTTTGAGCTTCAAGTTAAGTCCACACACGGTAGCAGACCGAATGTTATTCTGTCAAGAGATCGTTGGTGTCTATAGGACTCCAGAGACCTATTAGATTAGATTAACTAGAGGGGATAGCTTGAAGAGATAGTAATGTGCATGTAGGATGGGTATAGATTTTTCAATAGCATTTAGTTAAGGGCGTCGATTAAAACGACCCTCCAACAGATTCCATTGTCTAAGGCTTGCTGTCAGCATTGTAAGAACCAGGGATGCCGGTTTGACTCACGAATGGTGATGCGGTGGGTCCATCGAGGATAGCCAACTCCTCGCTCGTAAAGGAGAGGCGAGGAATGAGCCAGATGCGAACAGGCAGGAGAAGCATGATTACGACAGGGAAGCCAACCGCAGCTACAGATAGATCAGCTTATCGTGCACACATCCACCTAAAGATGCAAGAAACGGACCAATAGTCTGAGTGATAGCAAAGGTTCCTCCAAATCCTATCAACTGGATAGCGACGAATAGCCAGATCCTCGACTTGCGGACCTTGCGCAGTGGGTCTCTCGGAGAGGTGAGTTCTTTGTCTCGAAGGAGGTAGAAGATCTTTTTGGTCATCCCGTTGGAATAAAGGGCGTCTGCGCCCATGTACCAGCTGTGAATACTCGGTTAATCTATGCAGTGACGGATAAAAAGGGAAATGACTGACAAGAGACCAGCGAGGACACCTGGTACAACCATACGCATTAGTTACGACGGAGTGTCACTGGACGTGGATACGCACCCCTGGGAATGAGGTTCAATACATGCAAGAACGGGCCCGTCAAAAGGACAAGGCAAAGCGAACCCTGAGCCAAATTCGAGACCCGCTGCTCTACAACAGCAATGGGCACATCCTCATATCCATATTCTTCTTCTTCCTTCACATCTTCTTCGCGGAGCGATCCTCTAAGGGATCCAACGGCGGTGACAGTTTGGCTCGCCCCTTGAGACGCTGGTGAGACAATGCCCATGCCACCCGCTTCTTCGTCTTTGGCGTGCTTGTGTTTGGGGGAGCGGCCCTTGACAAGGAGAGAAGTGGTGTGGATTGGGGCTTGTGGGATTAGGCCGTTTGGAGCGGGGAGGCCGAGCAGGCCCGAGATAAAGGTGGTTACTCCGAGTAGGAAGAAGTCCCAGTGGAACCCTGGGGGCTTGCGGAGGGGGAATTGAGAACCTTGGGCCATGAGGGACTGTGGAAGGAACATTGAGAAGGGGCGATTTCTGTAGAGAAAGCATTGAACTCACAGAGACATTGTGATCGAAGAAGAATAGTATCCAAAGGATGATTCCGAAAGGAAGGGCAATTCCGACCCATTTACCTTCCAGTTGCCAAAACTTGACGAGCCATTCTCGATCCGCGGCGGGCATGAACGCTCGGCCGACAGGGAGAGTGGTTGGGTTTGCAAAGTTGAATCGTCCCCAGTAGGCCATGGCTGAAGCAGCGACAAGGGAGATGGGCATCCCATAGTCTTCAAGGAATCGTCGGACGTGTCGATGGAACAGAGGAGCTTTAGAAACGACTTGGAAGGAGAAGGAGCAGAAGACCATTAGAAGCGCGAGGATGATGCTTACAAGGGCACCTTGTTCTGACGGATCAGCGGCGTCGGAGGGGAATTGGCGGGTTAAAACCTGGATTCCGTGATGGAGGTAGACCCAGGCAACATAGAAGCCAAAGGTGTCGCATGAGAAAAGAGTGACGTATTTCAAGAAATTGCACCCTGAAAAGCAAGTCAGATGAGAGCAAGAAAGAGACCATGGATTGAACATACAGTTCAAGATAGCGGTTATCCAGTGGATGATCGCTGCCCAGAGGTAGACCCATCCGATAAAGTGAAGGTAGACCGGAGGGCTTTCTTCTCTCTCTATAATGTCGTAGATGACCTTGTTGAATACAGTGATAGGTCCTTTACGTGACGATTAGCGAGTTAAGGCCGAAGAGTGGGAATGCCACGTACCAGTTACACCAGAGATGGTGAGTGGCTGGGCACCAAAGACTGAGAAGACGAACGCAGCCATAAACGAGGCCAAGAGGACCTCCGCCACGCCATATTGATCTGTCGTTTCAATCAAATCTAGCGAGAATGCGATTCCTGGTAGTACACTGAGCGGCCAATGTCAGCAGTCTGGGTGGTGTAGATGAAGGAATTGCACGTACTTTGCAAAGAAGATCAGGGCTGTCGCAGGGACGATTCTATAGTTCCAAGCGTCTTTCCAGTCACTGAGATACCAGGGTGCTCTTGCTCTGACATCGTTTCTAATTCCCGAGCCGAGGCTGATGAGCCATCTAAGCGGGCGACTATGGAGATGTGCGGGGGATGAGACCCGGGATGAGGTGGGGGCGATCGTTACACCCTCCTTGTGCTTGACCGTTTGTGCCCTGCCTTCTTTCGTGTCGCTGGGTCGTTGTTGCTCTTGAGCTGTCGTATTGTGTTCCTCTATTGTGTCCATGATTTCGTCGGTGAGGTCGTTAAAGTGATGTTGGACGTCTAGTATAGCAAGAAGCAGGGACGATTAGAGAGAATTTGACGTGTCGAGTTCGTAAAACAATGGTCCAGGACGCTATTTGCGACGATGAGCAAACATGGATCGCTCGCTGGGACCTGCGACGTGCCCAGGGAATGTGGTGGACGATGTGCAAGAGTTGTTTAACCTAGGCTGGATTTTATATACCCTCTTGCCCGTTTGCCCCTTTTTTGCCACGCCCGGAACGGAAACCAGAGTGGGGGCTTGAAGGAGGAAACATGAGCAAACAGTTTCATTCCGTGCAGAGCCTGACTTTGCAACGGGTGTTACACTTGCCGTGTTTTTGACAAAGCATTGCTACTTGGCGCGCGCTCGCAGGCGAGAAATTTGCAGGCTGGACCAAAGGCGGGCGTCTAAAGTCGGGCAACACCCTGACGAACAATGATTATTGTCTAGTCTCGACGCAATGAGTTGAGCCTACGTTGTCGTCTGAATCGCCTTGAACAGCCGTGAACCAGACTCAGCGGGGAATGGGTTCCCTGGCGACAAGCTCTTGGCACACCTCGGATGCGAGCTGGGCGTCTAATAAGGGCGGGCGGAATGATGGCAAGTCGGCAACGTTGACGTTATCGTTACCCCGGTTTTCAGCAGCGCTCATCCTCTCTTCATATCCGCAACCATGCCTCCTGTTGTGGATTGGTTTTGGCGCTTTCAGAAGTTCTCCGTTGGCTTTGGGATATGCTACCTCTCCCTAGTGGTCGTCTTGTGCATTCCTTTTTTCCAGAGGCAGTGAGTAGACCATACGATCTCTTGGAGACAGGGAATACTTATTGCGCCCCCCAGTATGCTATACCTCAATGCCGTCAGGGTCCCATTCGGTGCAGACTTTGACTCTCCTGAGAGCTATGGCCTAGCTCGTAAGCTCATCTGTGTTCACGCCCGTGCCCACCATTCCTGACAGTGTCCCAAGCCAACAAGACCCTTAATTTCCTTATCCAGACGCCAGACAAAGAGTCCATTGGTGCATGGTTTCTGCTATCTGAAGAGTACTACCAGAGCCTGCCCTCCATTCCTACCAACGTATCCGAACACGTCGCTCCAGCTCTCAAAGCACGACCCACAATTCTCTACCTCCATGGCAACGCCGCTACTCGCGCCGCCAGTATGAGAGTAGCTCAGTATCAAGCTCTTACTGCCAGATTGGGCGCCAACGTTCTCGCAATCGACTACCGAGGTTATGCAGAAAGCACCGGGGTTCCTTCTGAATCAGGGCTGGTCACCGATGCGCGAGCAGCGTTCGATTGGCTGGTGGATCAGGGTGTTCGAAGCGACGATATCTTGGTTATGGGGCACAGTTTGGGAACTGGGGTTGGATCTCAGTTGGGTGCTCAGCTCGGGGCTGAGGGTATCAAGCCACGAGGGGTCGTTCTGATGTCAGTAAGTTGACAACTTCCAATGCCCTAGCGATTGCCAAACAAAGCTTGACCTTATTTCAGCCATTCGTGAGCATGGGCGAGCTTCTGCAGAACTATCATCTCTTCGGCTTCATTCCTTTAATCAAACCCCTTTATGCTATCCCTGGCGCCGCCCGTAAGTGCCGCAGATCCAGGGTCTTTGGCGGTTTCGTGACTGATTCTGTCCTTTAAAAGAGATTGTGACGTGGGCCCTTGTGCACAAGTTTGATTCGCTGGGTGCAGTTCCTGTGAGTGTTTCTTTGCCTGCCCGCCACCATACAGCGCCTGACGACCTGCGGTCTAAACCTAGAACATTACGGCCGATGTGCTCATTGCACATGCGGAGAACGACTGGGAGATCCCTGACTCCCATTCAGACATTCTTTTCCAAGCCTTCATGGAACCTTACCTTCCTGACGTCTCGACCCCCGAACTCGGCAAGATGTTGAGTCCCTCGGAATGGGAAGAGTATTCCGATACCCTACAAGCCAGGTTGGCCAAGCGAGAAGCCTTGATTACATCGACGCCAATTCCTAGATTCGGACGAGTGGATGAGTTTAAACAAGATGGACGAACAGTTTTGCTTGTGAAGAGTCATGTTGGATCACACAATCTCGTTGGAATTCAGGAAGGATTACAAGATATCATCAAGAAGAAGTTTAGATTCTAAACTCTTTCTGATTTGCTTCATGGCTGGCTGTACATATGTAATAGAGGTTAATGTAGCTTTCATGTGGATCGACGCCAGAGAGAATGACGTCATGCAAAGCTCATCAGCACTGTGACTTTGGCCCTTTGGTGTTCGCACGAGAATTGGCTGTTTGCTTGTTGCCTGTGGATTTTATCATCCTCCGTCTTTTTTATCGTACACGGCCTCCCCTCGAAGCTTGAATGCCATTCGGCAAATCAAAACCAGATGCCAACGATCCGCGAATCCCTCAGCTGGCCCCACCACCGTCTTCCTCTTCCTTCGTATATCCTGTAAAGACCCTGCTCACTGGCAAGATCCAACCTGCAATTGAACAGGCTTCGTCGTCGACATCATCAGAATCATCGAGCAAGGCAGAAAGGAGAAGGTCGCTTAGCGATATCGATTCTGGATCCCTATTCCATGTCGATCATCACCAAAGTGCAGAATTGGCGCCCTCTCCAGGCCAGCGTGCGCAGGAGGCGGCCGACGAGAGCAAAGTTGAGGGAACTAGCGGGACTACTTCAACCAAAACAGGCTATTTCAGCACTCCCAGTGCAGGACACTCACCTCAGGTCGCTGGAGAACCCCCTCCCGCCGCGATCAGACGACGGTCAAATACATTTTCTTCAATAAACAGCCCCTCGAATGACGATGACGCTCCTCCGCGGCAAGTCAAGGCACCCGACACTCCCAAAAAGCAGAAGAAACGTCGGAAGAACACAAATTATTACCATTACCCCGCAGGCGAGCAGACAACTCCCCGACGATTTTCGACCGTCGCACCCACAAGTCCAGAATCAAGGGCAAGCGATAGCTCTGCGCCTCAATCCCCGGTGGTTTCGTCTTTGAGTGCGACCGACTATGCCTATACAGAGGAGCCAGAGGTTGTTCCAGACGTTCCCTTGCCGTTGTTGGCAGCAGACGCCCTTGCTGCGACTGCGGCTATCCTCCCATTCGCCACCCCGCCGATGCCCACTGTCACACCGACCAACACAGCTCCTGAGATAGGGTACTTCCCACCCATGGCAGCGGAATCTGATTCTCTACCATCGACTGAATCACAATCAAAACCTTCCAACCAAGAAGAGTCCAACCCGCCACCGTCTGATCAACTCATAACACCTGGACTCAACCCAGTAGACGATGTCAAGGAAGAGGAGCCGGAACCTTCAGAATATCTGCCGTTCAACCTTTCCGAGACTGGCATCGTCCATCTCCCTTCTTTACCGCCTTCGAAAGAGAACACTGAAGATGACTCATCCCGCGGTACTTCACGTTCTCCCTACTGGCCAGGCTCTGGTTCAGGCAGGCGTTCAACTCATTCCTCGAACCCGGGTAGCTCAGACCATAGGCGAAAAACCTCGAAGAGGGGAAAGAAAGGGTCGTCGAGAAGCCACGAGTTCACTTCCAGCCCCCTTCTGCAAACGGCCTCTCAACCTTATTCCTCAAGCGGAGAGCATGACGATTCACATTCCAGTCGGTTGAGCATTAGCTCGGGAGAACACCATATGACTGTTCAGTTTGAACATGTGGAAACAGAGGATGGGCATCATGTTATTATGGGTCGTGAAGGGAAGCTCCAGCGGTGTGAAGATGAGGTATGCTCGGTGCTGTTGTCACCCCAGATTTTGGGGCACTGGACTCAATCGCTGATATTATTTAATCCACAGCCCATCCGGACTCCTGGTGCGGTACAAGGATTTGGGGTGCTCATTGCGTTGGACGACCTGGAAGATGTTTTGCTCGTTCGACAAGTCTCCGAGGTGAGAGCGATAGCGTTGTGTAGGGTTTGTTCTATGGGCATTTACTTATTTACTTTGTTGGTTGGCAGAATGCGACCGAGATGCTTGGACTCCCACCCAAATACCTTTTCTCCCTGGAATGCTTCAGCGATGCACTGCCAGACCACCAAGTCGATGTTTTGTGGGACAACATTCATTTCCTCACTGAACCGGACACTACAGCAGACGACGATAGCAACTCCCCTCATGTCTTCCGCCTTTCTGGCTGGGGAGCACCTGGGTCAGCGCTTCCCGGTGATCCCGACGCTGTCGATGGACGGCGGACGTGGACTTGTTGGTGTGCAGCCCACCGTGCAGAAGGGTTCAGTGCGCCAGACTCTATTAATCCAGGGCTAATCATCATCGAATTCGAACTGGAGCGCGACAAGTTGAATCCACTTTACCCGCCGATGGATGCTTCCGCAGTATCTTCCCCAAGTACTTCGTCCGGCGCTTCGGAACCGCTGTTTACAGGGGGGGAAGTCCTCCCCCGCATCCGGCCACACCAGTTCTGGAACCAGCGTTGGAACTCCGTCGGGCATATCGGACAAGTCCAAACCCAGCGGCATTGAAGGCGAGGAAAGTTGGCTGCCATCTGCGTCGAACATACTCGAGAGTACCACTAGTTACTCTAAACCAATCCCAGCGTTGGAGAGGCTGAGGCGCATGTCTCGTCCTGCGTCATCCTCAACTCCTCAAACTGGTACCCGCCGCGATCGAAAGGGACGGAACAGACCGCCCAACGAACGGGGTGGCGCTGTAGGCATGATGGACGTCTTTGCAGTTATGGCGCAGATTAACGAGCAGATTGGGGCTGCGCCTGACCTTGACACCTTTTTGAAGATTGTTGTGGGTGTCATAAAAGACTTGACACAGTTTCATAGGGTTATGATCTATCAGTTTGACGAGATGTGGAATGGGGAGGTCGTGGCGGAGCTTGTAGATTGGGCACAGTCGCATGATTTATTTAAGGGTTTGCATTTCCCTTCTGGTGATATTCCAGCTCAGGTGCGTGTCCTGTGTCATACCAGTCTTCTTGTTGTATTAACATGTCCTGTGTAATAGGCAAGGGCCCTATATGCCGTCAGTGAGTGCATTTCAGTTATGATGATAGTGGTGACACTGACACTCTCCTCTAGACAAAGTCCGGCTTCTGTATGACCGGGCGCAACCAACTGCCCGCATCGTCTGCAGGGCAAAGGAGGACCTCGATACCCCGCTTGTGAGTTCCCTTTCATCCCAGTGAGCCGCATCGCTGAATCCAGGCCTCTCATGGAATCACAGGACATGACACATTGTTATTTGCGGGCTATGAGTCCTATCCACGTCAAATGTATGCCTTTGGTTTGTATTGCATCCCCCGCTAAGACGAGCCCTCAGATCTGGAAAACATGGGAGTACGCGCATCGATGTCCATATCTATCATGGCTTTTGATCAGTTGTGGGGTTTGGTGGCTTGTCACACTTATGGAAATTATGGGATGCGCGTTTCTTTCCCAGTCCGTCAAATATTGCGTCTTCTAAGCCAGTCGATCTCGAGGAACATCGAGCGGCTGAGTTATGCGCAGAGGTTGCATACGAGGAAGCTGGTGTGTGGCTTTGTGTGGCTTGGTTTCGCCATTTAAAATGTTTCGTTTCGGACTGGGTCTAGGTCAACACTATTACCTCGGAGCAGCATCCGGTCAGTAGCTTCTATTTGGATTCTGAGCACGCCGTCTGATTCCTTCCTTTACCGTGCAGACTGGATATATCGTCAGCAACGCTGATGATCTTCTAGGTCTTTTCGATGCTGATTTTGGTATCCTGGTGATCGGTGAAGGGGCCAAAATCCTTGGCCCGAACCAGCACGGTCAGGAGATCCTGGTCGTTGCCGAGTATCTGCGACTCAAGCAGTTCGAGTAAGGCTCTTTAGCCTCCAATTTTTTGACTTTGTTCTAATGCTCGATCAGCACCATTCAAGCCTCGCAGTCTGTCATCGCAGACTACCCAGATCTGAAGTTGACGACAGGTTGGTACACTCGCGCCTAGCATTACGCCAATATACTCAACTCTTCTCAGGGCTGGAGGTCATCGCTGGATTGCTCTATGTTCCCCTCTCCCGGGGTGGAGGCGATTTCATTGCCTTCTTGCGTCGTGGCCAGCCTCGCCATGTGAACTGGGCTGGCAAGCCTCTCAAAGAAGGACAAAACGCGCCGTCCCTCGAGCCTCGCAAGTCTTTCAAGATATGGTCGGAGACTGTAGCCGGAAGGTGCAGGGCCTGGAACGACGAGCAGCTGGAGACAGCCGGAGTGTTAGCTCTCGTCTATGGCAAGGTGAGAGCAATGGGAGTGTGATGTGTAATCTTGTCTTTACCTTTGTCGTTCTAGTTCATCGAAGTGTGGAGGCAGAAGCAAACGGCGATGCAGAGTACTAAATTGGCAAATCTCATCCTGAACAATGCGAGCCATGAAGGTCAGTCGTCACCAGTATCAAGAACTGCGGTGTCTAACTGATGCCACAGTGCGAACGCCGTTGAACCACATAATCAAGTGAGTCCCTTGCCCACTCAGCTTACAATTGGTATCTGACGAAAAACACAGCTATCTCGAGATGGCCCTCAATGGATCTCTGGACCAGGAGACAAGAGAGAACCTGAGCCGCTCACATGCTGCTTCAAAGGTGAGGGAATACGTTCATGTTCTTATCACTGGCTAACTCTCCTTTTAGAGCCTCCTCTTCACGATCAATGACCTGCTAGACCTCACCCGCATCGAGAGTGGCAACGAAACATCATTCTATGAACCTTTCAACATCCATTCGGCGATTGAGGAGGCGACCTACGTTTACAAGGCTGAGGCGGACCGTCGTGGCCTGAACTTTACTCTGGAACTTCAAAGCAGTCCTTGCACCGTCATCGGTGATTCCAAGAAGATCAAAACTGTCGTCCAGAACTTGACTGCGAATGCTTGTGAGTGCAGTTTTCGGCCCATCAGTTTGACTTTCAGTGACCTAAACCGTCTCTGCTAGTGAAATACACGGCGAAAGGATCTATCACCGTCACGTGTACGACGTTCTGCGAGCCTGAAGGTCTTCGAGATGAGGATCAAATCGTCGTGGAGATTGTGGTCGCCGACACAGGGTGTGGTATCGAATCTGTCAAACTTGAAAGCATCTTCCGCGAATTCGAACAAGTAGAGTCTACAGAAGGCAAGAGCAACACTGATGCTGGCGTAGGACTCGGCTTGGCCGTCGTGGCACGGATAGTCGAACAGCTAGGAGGCCAACTACGGGTCGACTCTGTCGTGGACGAAGGCAGCCGGTTCTCGTTCTTAATTCCACTCTCCCTTTCGAACCGCGTCGATTCCGAATACAACCAATCGGAAGGGTCCTCTCAACGATCGTCTGGGCGCTCGTCCCTTGCTCGGAGTGCAGGCTCTCCAGGAGCCGGAAGCGGCCACTCCAATGACATTGACACACTGGTGGACGTGCTTGCATCCAACAAGCTAGTGGACGACATCACCGAAGGACCGCCGCCTCGACGGAATGGCTCCAATGGCAGTTCAGGGTCTCGTCACGCACCTGGTACATTCCCCGTTACAGGATCCAAGTATCCTGTTCGACCGGTCAAGATTGACAACTTCGAGAAGGCAGCCGCCGCGTTTGCAAGTGGATCGGGACCTGCGCCTCTACGATCGCCCCCCGCTGAAAGGGAGCACCGGAAGGTGTTCGTCTCGTCTCCATCACCGCAAGTGGATGCCCCGCCACCCTCCCAGCCAGAATCGCCAAAGCTTCGAGTTCTCATTGTCGAGGTAGGTTGACCCAGCAGCCTACTTGGGTCGCTCTGGTTGACCTGAAGGTTTACAGGACAATGACATCAATAGGGTTATCCTGGCAAAACGGCTGACGATGAAGGGGCACACTGTGGTCAATACCACTAATGGTCAAGAAGGTTTGGATATGGTGAAGCGCGACCAAGCATTCGATGTAATTTTCATGGACATACAGTGCGTTCTCTCCTACTCTTTTTTCGCCTCATTGACTGACCGCCCGAACCACCCAGAATGCCAATCCTGAATGGCTTTGAAGCAACCGAGCAGATCCGCCAAGTCGAGCCGCAGCCGTCCATGCCATCCCGGCCGTCTTGCAAGCTCAACGATGGTCGTATCCCGATCTTTGCGGTGTCGGCGTCGTTGAAAGAGAGTCAGAGGGATGAGTTGGCGGAACACGGGATGGATGGGTGGATACTGAAGCCGATTGATTTTAAGAGGCTTAACACGATCTTAAAAGGTGTGTTGGATCCTGATCAGAGGAAGAGGGACATGTATAGGATGGGGTATAATTGGGAGGATGGAGGGTGGTTGCATAGGCCTGAGAGTAAGAGTGGGAGTCGGAAGGAGCTAGAGGAAGGGGATACCACGCCACAAGGGAAAAGGCAGACGCCAGAAAGCACCAGTGTCGTCGCGATGTGACATTGGCCAAAGCGCCCTCATCTCTATGCCTCCATTGCCTTTCGTTAATCATTTTCTCTTGCTTCATATTCAGCTCGACATGCTTTGTTTCTTCACGGGTCTAGAACTAGACGTTTCTCCTATTTTTTACTGGTGTATTTTTATGTGGGTTGGGTTTGGTAACCGGTTGTAACAGTACGGGGTATGGGATTTAGGTTAGCTGGATGGGGACATTCAGTTCATACAGCACGGGTACCAGAAACGTTTCATAATGTACTGGACTATCGTTCTGACTAACGCACCTATCATGTATTAACGGGTATGTTTCTACGATTTATCGTCGCACCTTGTTTTCTTTTTTTGAGTTCTTCGCTTTCCTTCTTGCTTTCGAGCTGCATTTTGTACAGCATAGCACATACACGGACACTACGCATGCAATTACGAGTTTCTTTCGACTTTGTCTCAAGTGTCTCAGGATTAGGCGCGCTTCTGACGAATGAGTGTATTCCCGAAAGGCTACCTGGGACCCGAAAGAATAGGAACGATGAGATGTATGAGCAAGCAAGAAACCCATGTGCGATTAGTTTGACTGAACGGCAAAGGTTAAGGTAGATAGAGCGCGAAAAGATCGAAGCAAGGAATCATCCACCGAACAGATTAGATCTCTCAGAGAGCGAAGGCGCCGAGTGCAAGGCTGAACAACGAAGCGACTAGCAAGAGAGGTTTGGTATACGCAGGGGCAGGTGCACCACCCTCTTCTCCTTCCTCGCCCGCGCCACTGGTTCCGTTACCACTGTTAGTCGAGTTGCCAGAGGCTGTTCTGTTTCCAGTGGAAGGCGTGGAGGTGATACCGGTGACTTGGGGGAGGGAGGTGATGGGGGTCCATTCGGATCCTCCTTGGTTTGTGTCTTGGTCGAAGCTGAGCCATTGGAGTGTGCCTTGCGAGGAGCCGAGTTGAACGAGTGCGTTGGGCGAGGCGGCGTACATTGCGTAGGGGTCGGTGAGTGGAGGACCGGGAAGACGCATCGTGGTGTTCGTCTATCAGGATTGTTAGTGAGCCTTATACTGATGATAAGAATGAGGAGAACGTACGTTGTAATCAATCACGTAGGTGTTGCTTCCATCATCGGGAATGAACGCATAGTGGGTCTGGACGCCTGTATCCTTGAAGAACGAGGCGGTCTTGCCGTGAGTGTTGGGGAACTGGATTTCGCCGTATGACTGGATTTCAGGCTGGAGGTACGAGAAGTGGATGACAAAGATCCTGTCTGTTCCAGGTTCCAATCCGGGTACACCGAGGAAGTGGACGTGGTTCCGTGCGAGAGCGAGGACGGGTTCGTACGACTGGCCTTCACTGCTTCCCTCGCCGCCCGGGGTCAGCTGTGGCGTCTGAACGAGGTTCCAGGGGATAGCCTCGTCCGTGGCGCTCTTCAGCAACTCCATGTTCAGACTCCTGATATCGCCCTCACTCAAGACATAGAACACATTCGTATCATGGTCCAAGATGGCACCAAAAGTCTCAGGGGCGTACGACGCGGGTGGGTCAGACGTGACTTGCTTTGACCACGATTGCGCGGTGGCGTCGTAGATGTAGACGGAGGAGCGGTCGTTGGCGTCCGCGTTGAGGACGTAAATCGAGTTTGTGAATTTGGAGAGGAAGCAGAGGGGAGACGAGGATATGACGTCGAAGGGTGGTCGGTTTTCGGGTTGGGTAATGTCGGTGGACTCAGAGAAGGAGGGTCCTGGACCGGCATTGTAGTCTTTGCCGTCAAAGTTGAAGGCGAGGAGGTTCCAGTTGGCGTCAAAGGTGATGCATTGTGCTGGGCCAGATGGGGAGGGCGCTGCCAGCGACACCTTGACTGCTGGTGCTAAAAGTAGCAGCGATGAAAGGATGAATCGGACGGAAAGCATTGTTTTTAAGCAAAGGAGTGCAAGGGTAAAGGAGAGTAAGAGTTTGGTGCTGCGGAAGAAGGTGAGGAAACAAGGTGAATCAGGAGCCCTCCCGGAAACTTTATACTCCATTTCAGATCATCAAGGCTTCCCATCAGCGCCTAAACGCGGTCTCGACGAGACCCTTGTCGCCATCACATTGTCGTTACTTATTACGCTACTTTCCAGTTTTGCTTCTCGAAATATATATAGATGCTACAATACGATGGTCCAGTTGATGCATGCGAATGTCCGGGTGTAAAGAGAAAGGAGGAAAAGATCTAAAAATGCAGTCTTGGATGAAGTACGAAGGTGGTGGTGGGGCCCGAAGAGAAGAATGTACACTCCACGACATCAATCATCAAGTTCGCTCACTAGCGAGAGACGTTCTACGCATAATCGTGCCACGGCGTCTCCGTCTATAGGAATCTCATTTCCTTGGAATCCAGGAACGTATTTGGGTGTTGGAAGTGCTGGACTCGTAAAATGTCTGCAGGGTTCACGTTTCAATATTGGTCTTCTCCGGAAGGGAGAGCACGTACGTGTTGTTCCAGAATCCATAGTGGATCATACCAAGAGCACGGGTGGTATACTCATAATCGTGAGCGAAGCCTCCAGGGTAGAAAAACTCCATAACTGTCGCTCGAGGTGAAGGTTTCATCCAGATAAGCGAAGTCAGACCATTCCCATGTACACCCATCATAATCTGTAGACAACCTTCAGCGACCATGACGGGAGGATGAGGCCAAGTGTACTCACCGTCGTCCTCGCAGCGAGCCTAATCTGTTCCTGCCTCGACATATCTTCCGCATTCACAATATTCACTTCGTACCCATATTCTCTGTTCAACCTCTCGAGGGCCCTGACCAGCCTGTCATGATCCTCTGGCAACAGCATCCTCCGACCCCACTTCTGCCTCGAGATGTAAGTGATAACCGGTGTGCTTGTCGTGCCCCCTCCGACGCTAGGATCCAATCCCGCAAACTGCACCACATTATTCCTAATCGGCATCCACCAATTCACACTGCCAGGTAACCCAAACGGCGACGCCGCCGTCCTCTGCCACCGTGCAAAGTTGAAGGAAAGCATCGCAGCGGAGCGGTCGGCGAGTACGACGCGTTCAAATACAAAAGGGCGGGCCATTTCTGCACGGTCGATCCAGTCGTCTTTAAATTCCATGGTGACGGAAGGGAAGGAGGAGCGGAGGACCCATTCGTTCATGGATGCATAGTCCCGCCAATGGAAGTTGTCGAGGTTGTTGAAGATGAGGCGGCGGGCTGGGGGCAAGGTAGTGTTGCCGCTTTCGGGGATGGAGGGGTCGAGGGAGGTGTAAGTGCGCCAGAAGCCGAACCACAGTTCAGCTGACCAGTGGTAATAGTGCGTGATGCTATATCCAGGGATCAATTTACTTTCATCTGTACTTTTGACGTGGAAGAAACGTACAATTGGGGAGGGTCGTTGATGAGGAACTAGAGTGGTGGTTGGGTCAGGTGCGGATCGAGATGGAGAGGGAGGACGCACGTTGACACCGTCTATAACCTGGGCACCCGTTCCAAATAACCGTTTAGCCTCGTATGTGCTAATGACTCTGATCTCCTTGTCTGTAGGTAACCGCGACTCTTCAGCTGCGGCGCCGTTCTGAATGTAAAGACCTTTCGAATAAATAAATTGAACATCGGGAACAGACGTCGGTTCGTCCGAGACGATATACACCACGCCCTTGAGAATGTACAGTCGGTCGAATATCGTCCATCCTATAACGCACATGAACGCGGTTCATTTCGTCAAGTAGAAGAACGTACCAGGGGTATGAGCAACGATCTTGGTTTCTGGTGGTCTCCCACTCCCTGCACCAGCAGCCTTCCCTCCCTTTCCCGAATCTCCCCCACTCGAGGCGCCAGAATCCCAAGTCAGCCTCGTTCCAAAGGGTTGATGTGGCCGCTCGGGGATGTCCAGTATCGGTGGTTTGCCCACTAGCACTGCTGAGCCGTCTCCACCCTCATCGAAAGTTGTAGGGCGGGAGACGAGACGTGTAGCAGCCAGCAAGTCGGCGGGTGAAGTCTTGAGGTTGCTGAAGAGAAGGAAGATGATGAGGAGCGTTGTGACGATGAGGATTTCGCGTTTGGTCGGGGCCGCTGAGGCCATTGTGTGTTAGGGAGGTATGGGCAGCCCTCCTATTAGTGATTAGAGTAGAGAACGAATGAATGAAGGAAAGGAAGGTGTCGTGTTGTTTGCTCTCAATTCTGACACCGCCAAGTATCCTTTCATTGATTCATCGCCGCACCTGCCAAGCCATCATTGGTCCATATTTGGGCAACACTCCGCTTTAGCCTCATTCTTTACGATGGCTCAACTTCGGTACTTGACCAACCAGGACTCGCAAGGATGACAGTCCATCGCAAAAATAACAGTTGGCACCAATCAGGCTTCAAGCTTCAAGTGTATAAAAGATTTACTCGACAATGTAGCATGATCATCTTACATACGTAAATCTCACTGTCGTTACTTGTCTGTTGTCATCATACAGCGGGCTGGGGCACAGATCAAACAAGTCCTAGGGATACAACGTGACCAGCACCGTGACGGTTAAGACCCAACTATCGACTTCCAATCATCCCCGTCCAGTCGAACTTCTCGTACTTGGCTTTAAACCCAGCGACCCTCTCCTTGTTGCTACTGAGTGGGATCTTTCTAGGGCGCCTCCACTTCCTGGGCTCCAAGTCGAGAACATTTCCAATGATCTCCCCTGCAAAGTAGGGAGGGAATTCTCCGCCGCCCTTTTCGCCCTCTTCCAATCCATCTTCATGTTCCATGGCATCTGCAGTCCCTTCGATAACATGCCCGTACCCCTTCTCGCCTTTATGGTCGAATTGAACCATGAAGTAGGGTAGATCGGGGACCATGGCGCGTCGGAAACCACCTGGTCGGGCGGAAAAGTCGATGAGTTTCTTGTGTTGCGACCACTCCGCTTCGGAAGCAAGAATCGATTCCTGTATGAGGTTCATTAGATGAGATATACGGTGCGAGCTAAGGAGACAAGCACACCTTGAAGTACTGCGGGATGAGGTCGTAGATGTCCCAAGGGAGGGGCACGCATTCGATAACGGTGTGGTGTTGCCGTTTGAGACTGATCACAGTCTCGTAGAATATCACGCCCTTGTCTTCTTCTGCGAACATCCGCATCAGGCACTTCATAAAGTTCTACGGAAAAGGTGTTAGACCAGGGGAACAAACGATTTAAATATGGGAGAACTGACCCTGACTTCGTCCCAGACGTCATCGTCGCCTTCAAGCATACACAGATGATGTTGGATAGGAACGATGAGACAATGACCAGGAACGAGTTCCTCTGTTAATGTACAAGACAGATAAACCCGCGTCCCCATCGCCACTATTGGCGCTTTGGGTAGCGAATCATCCTCCCCATAGCAGTAGGGACATGAAGCCAGGACCCTTTGCGTTCGCTTGTAGTCTTCCAAATAGTCAGTCACTTGACGTGCCAAAGATGGGAATGTACTTACCATGAATAGCAAACTGACGCTTCATTGCGTCAGACCGCATCTTCTGCCTACTCAACCTCTCCGCGTTTTCATCGAGATAATCAAGATCGTTCTAACGAGAAAAGGGTCAGTTACAATCTCCAAGTGACAATTCGAGCAAGGGCCGCACCTCAAATTTGCCATCCCCCATGATAGCCTTCGCAAATTGGGCGTTCAAATTCTTTTGGTCTGCCATACCGGCACCGAACTTTTCCTGCCTCAACATTTCACCCAGCGTCATCTCATCATCATCCGGATTGATTCTGATGACCTCCCCAGTCTTCCTGTCGTGCGTCTCGAACTTGGGTTCCTTCTTCCTCCTATTGCCAGGCCGTCTCTCCTCTTCATCGTCGTCCTTTCTACCGGTGCCAACGTCGTAGAGACGACCGCGAACATCAATAGTGGGTAAAGCCTCAACTTTAGTCCGTACACCCGATTTCTCGTCGAATTGACCTTGGGCCTTGCGGGCTTCGGCCTCGTACTCTTTCTCGAGCTTTTCCGCGTCGGGCGCACCCATAAGCTTGGCCCGGAGGACCTTGGCTTGTAATTTATTGAGGGAGGAAGGTGAGAGGGCGCGTCCTCCGCAGCTGCCGCCGCGAGATCCAGAGGCCAGAGGGGGAGGGGTCAATACTGAGGGGATAGGAGTATGGGATTGCTGGAGCGGGGAGTTGGCTTGAGATGGGAGGCGGAGTGAGTCTAGGCGTTTGTTGGCCGGCATAACACCAGGTGTCGACGGTCCACTCTGACTGGCCTGCCCAGGACGTTTGAACGACGAGCTGCGACTCGACCCAGTGCTATCCCCCATCTCAGTAAACATGAACCCCTTCTCCCCGCCTCTATTGTCTCTCTCCGAAGGCCTTCCCCTTTCCTTTTCACGCTCGGTTTTGCGACCTTGCCGTTCGTCGAGAATTCGCCGCTCCTCTTTGGCCTCTTCAAAGGCCTCGAGGGAACCGAACCGCTCGATACCGACTTCTTCAACGGGTCGACCTTCTTCCTCGGCGGTTTCGTAGCATTTTCTGAGGCGCATCATGCGCCAGGAAGAGCCTGGGCCGCCAGGAACGTTCTTGGGTGGTGGGGGTGGTGGCTCGTCATCGAAAGTAGGCACTTTGCCTTCCCGTATGTCGGGGTTAAGTTCTTTATGGTGAACGACGGGCTGTTTGGGAGTTAGTTCAAAGGAATGGGCGTCTAATGTAGCTACGCACATGGTCGGGATTTGGTTTGTCAGGTTTGGGATTCTTCTTCCTGTGTTCTGTGCCAAGGCTTGAGAAGAAGTTGACCCCACCGGACATATTGCGCGCTCCACTTGATGGTTCACCATAGTCTTCGGTCAAAGATTGCTGGCTTCTCAATGAAGAGGGTCCGTCGGAGGGAACAGTGAGTATTGAGGGAGGTGCCAGCATCCAGTCATCACGTTTCAGTTTGGATTCAACGGTGGTCGTTGGAGGCAGCTCGGCTTGTGCTGCACGTTCGTCTGCGGTGGAGACAATTTCAAGGCTTTCTGCCGTTGGTATGTCTGTCGCTAAGACCTGGAAGTTTGTTAGATGAGTGGAAATCGATAATCGAAATGAACAGCGCACTCGTTGACCGTCCATGGTGATATCCTTCTCCACCCACATCTTGGGGTCCTTGTCGTGGTCGATTATCTGCATGCGCTGCTCTGTATCGATCTCCTTTGGCTTCTTCTTGTGTTCCTTGTCCTTATCCTTCTTGTGTTTATGCTTCCGGTGTCGGTCCTCGTCGTCGCTTCCATCGTCCCTATGCTTCCTGTGCTTTTTGCGATGTCGGCGCTCTTCATCGTCAGAGTAGTCTCGTTTATCTCTGTCCTTCCCCTTATCCTTCTTCTTCTTGTGTTTCCTATGCTTCCTGTCTTCTCCTTCAGACTCGTCGGAATCGTGTTTTCGACGTTTTCTGTGCCTGCTTTCCGAATCGCGGTCTCTGCTCCTGTCCCTGTCCCGTCCCTTGTCTCGTTCCCGGTCTCTATCTCTCCTCCACGGACTTCGACTCCTGCTTCGACGTCTTTCCCTGGATCTTTCCCTGGATCTTTCGCGGTATGAATGTCGGCTCGCGGAGTATTCTTCAACGCCTTCCATGGTCGTGGTGGTCGCGAAACGCTTCAACGAGCGCCAAGCCCACTTCGCGTCATAGGCCTGCAACTGACTCACATGACCTACACCAGGACCCCCAAATATCGCGCTTAAGGTCGGAAGGGAATCCGGAAAGAAAAACTGGGTTTTGGCCACAGGCCGGATGCGAAATCCGGACAGGAAGAGGCCAAAATATCGCGGAAGGCCAGATAAAATCCGGACAAAAGTCCAACAAAACTGCCATTTTCTGGCCCCCGACCCCGAAAAAAAGCGCCCGCGTGGGAAGATATTCCCTGATCCGGCCAGAAAAGAGCGATTTTAGGGCTCGAGGATGGTGAATTTCCCGGACAAAAAATCCAAAATTTGACCATCTGGTTCCGGACGGCCAGCCCAGAATCTCATCCGGCCTTGAGGGGGATATTTGGGGGTCCTCCTACACCATTTGTAATCTAATCTTATCTTGATTCTTGGCTTCCGTCACCGCTTCCGACAGAACTGATGAGTCGAAATGATCTTTTAAAAGTGTAAATCGCTGCTTGAACATTGACTGACACCACAACGAAGACTCTTCAAGACAACAATGGCGACCCCCGACCCCAATAACGTACGAATTATAACGACTCTGGGTCACGTAGACCATGGCAAGACGACCCTCATGGACGCCCTCCTCGCTGCCAATAATATCATCTCTTCCCGAATGGCAGGCAAGATGAGGTATCTCGACAGTCGGGAAGACGAACAGGAACGTGGGATCACGATGGAGGCTAGTGCAGTCTCCTTGAAGTTCCAGGTGGTGGAGAACAAGGATGGTGGTGCGTAATTATCTCGCTCAGCTTGGAGAAACCAGGAAATGGGAAAATGAACGGGATTTAGGAAGATCGACAAGGAACTACATTGTGAATATGATTGATACACCTGGGCACGTCGATTTCTCCACAGAGGTGTCCACGGCCTCACGGTTGTGCGATGGAGCACTGGTTTTGGTGGACGTTGTGGAAGGAGTTTGCACACAGGTATGACGTTTCCTCGATATAATTAGCTCATAATACCGATACGTTGTATCGATAGACTATCGCTGTCCTTCGTCAAGCGTGGCAAGACCGACTACGCCCCATCCTCGTTATCAACAAGATGGATCGCCTTGTCACAGAACTGAAACTGGCCCCAACCGAAGCGTACCAGCATCTCGCCCGGCTCATCGAAGACGTCAACGCAGTCATGGGCAGCTTCTTTGCAAGTGAGCGCATGGAAGACGACCAAAGGTGGCACGAGGAGCGAGAACGTCGATTGGCCGAGAAGCGGGAAGCTCTGGCGGACGAAAACGACGCGACCGTCAACGAGGATACAGAATTCCAGGAGAAAGATGACGAAGACATCTACTTTGCTCCTGAGAAGGGCAACGTTATCTTTGCCTCTGCGATTGATGGATGGGGGTTTAGGGTTGGGAAGTTTGCCCAGTTGTATGCACAGAAGCTTGGTGTGAAGGAAGCGAATCTCCGACGCGTGCTTTGGGGGGATTACTTCCTCGACCCGAAGACAAAGCGAGTCATCAGTCACAAGCACCTCCGAGGAAGGAATTTGAAGCCCCTATTCGTCCAGTTTGTTCTGGAGAACGTTTGGGCAGTGTATGATGCGGTCGTCATCAACCCGTGCGTCATCCACATTTCTCCTTCCGACTCTCCGCTGACTGGGACATAGGAATCCGGAGAAAGTAACAAAGATTGTCACGGCCCTCAACTTGAAGATTCCTCCCAAAGACCTCAAGTCTAAAGACGCGCGATACCTTCTTTCCTTGATTTTCTCGCAATGGCTATCTTTATCCACCGGCATCATCCAAACCGTCATCGATGTTATCCCTCCTCCCCCCGTCTCACAAGGCAGCAGAATACCCAAGATGATCTACCCAGACCTCCGCGAGGATACCCTTCAACCCAAGAACAAACTCGAGGAAGACATGTACGCTGCGAAATGCGGTCCTGAAGCCTACGTGAGCGCGTATGTGAGCAAGATGTTTGCTGTCCCGCTCAAGGATCTCCCGGAGAACAAGAGGAAGGCTTTGACGGCGGAGGAGATGCGAGCGAGAGCTAAGGAGGCAAGAGCTGCGAGAGAGGCTGCCGCTGCAACAGCTGGAGAAGGTTCGAGCCCAGGGGCCCTGGCACCGGAAGGTCACCAGATGTCTCCCTCCCCGGACTCGAGGGAAGTGTCACAGGCACCACAAGACGAAGAGAAGGAGAAGGCAGATAAGGACGCAGAGGTTGTCCTTGGCTTCGCCAGGCTGTACTCTGGAACGATCAAGGTTGGTGGAACTGTGTATGCGGTTCTTCCCAAGTACAACCCAGCTCTCCAGCCTACGTCGCCGTACAACTCGAAGTATTTGCTCAAGGCAGAGGTTGAGGGGCTGTATATTATGATGGGCCGTGAACTCGTCGCCGTGGATTCGGTCCGAGCTGGAAACATCTTCGCTATCAAGGGTCTGGAAGGAAAGGTTTGGAGAAGTGCTACCCTGTGTTCGATGGGAGCATTGGATGGCATAGAAAACGAGCCAGATGTCCAGGCGCATAAACCATGTCTCATCAATTTGGGATCTGTGCGCAGATCGGTATGTGTTAGTCGTATCATTGCCATCCGACGGTGTTAACTGGAGCTAAATTAGGCTGCACCGATTGTCCGAGTCGCGCTTGAGCCGGTTCACCCAGCAGACATCCATAAACTTGTCGACGGTCTTAAGTTGCTCAGCCAGGCAGATCCTTGCGTCGAGACCTTCCAGCAGCAAACTGGCGAGCATGTCATCTTGACAGCAGGCGAATTGCATCTAGAGGTACGGACGACACAATATGCTGCACGATCTGTTCGTTGACACGCCGTCCTTTCCAGCGGTGCCTGAAGGATTTGAGAGAACGATTTGCTCGAGTGGAAATACAGCCCTCCGAACCTATCGTGCCATTCAGGGAGACAGCTGTCAAAGCTTCTGGTAAGAACCAAATTTCACTTTTATGCTCGTGCTTGACACTCACGAACCTTTGTAGAAATGGCACCGACGAAAACTCCGGGAGCACCTAGGGGAACAATCAAGAGCGCGAGCTCCCAAAACATCGTCAAGTTCACCATACGCGCTTCACCCATTCCCGCGGACATTCTCCAGTATATCCTCGAGAATACGAGCATCATCAAGAAACTCCAAAGCGACCAACTCGCAAGAGAGCAAGGTAAATCCTCGGAGTCGGAAGAAAGTGGAGGGGACCCAGACGCGAGTGAAAACTACGGCGATGTCGTACGCAAGACCACCGTCACTCCCGATCGGTTCTGGGAGGTCCTAGAGGAGAAGTGTAAGGAGGCTGGTGGAGAATGGGAGGGGATTGTGGATCGGATTTGGGCATTTGGTCCCCACAAGGCTGGTGGATGTTTGCTCATTGACTCGAGGCAAACGAATGGTGCTGGCGCTTCGCTCAGGAGGAAGTTGCAGAGGACGAAGGCAGTGGAGGAAGGAGGTCCGGAAGCGGAACGCGTTATTCGCGATTTTGATAACCATATCGAGATGGGCTTCCAGATCGCGACTTTCCAGGGACCGATGTGTGCTGAACCTGTAGAGGGCTTGGCTTACTTCGTAGAACAGGTGGAGGTAGACAGGGAGGCGCTGGATAACGAGATTGGTGAGTTTTCTATCCCGATGTGGTGATGAGCTAGACTGACTACTATTGTCAGAGCATAACCGCGTTGCGCAAGTGACGGGTTCAATCATCACATCCGTTCGCGATGCTTGCAGGAACGGCCTACTGGACTGGTCGCCCAGGCTTATGTTGGCCATGTACACATGTGACATTCAGGCTTCCAGTAAGGTCTCTTTATCTACCCCCCTTTCGAAATTTCATTGACAGCAACTTTGTAGCTGATGTACTTGGCAAGGTGTATGGAGTAGTCGCGAAACGCCGTGGACGAGTCACCGCTGAGGAAATGAAGGAGGGAACCTCGTTCTTCAACGTGACCGCATTGCTACCCGTGGTCGAGAGTTTTGGTTTCGCCGATGGTATGTTGTTCTTCCCCCCGATATTCGTATATAATAATCATGTCTGCCAGACATCCGTAAGCGAACATCGGGAGCAGCGAGTCCGCAATTGATTTTCAGTGGATACGAGTTGCTGGATATCGATCCTTTCTGGGTACCTACAACCGAAGAGGAGCTCGAGGATCTTGGAGAGAAGGCGGACAGGGAGAACGTCGCCAAGGCCTATATGGACGCTGTTCGTACCCGCAAAGGTTTGTTCGTAGACAAGAAGATCGTGCAGTTTGCGGAGAAGCAGCGCACCCTTAAGCGATGAGTGGGTTGTAGTTGGAATGGATGCGAACGTATATTACTATGCATTGATTACAGAATCGGGCAGATACGATGAATGGCTTGTCCAATGTCGATGAGAAAGTGTTAAGTAAAAATGAACCCTACGTGGATCGTGATGGCTCGTCCCAGTCCAGTAGTATGAAGGAAAATCAAGCATATGCGACCCAGAGAAATAGTCACTTAAAACTAGCGGTTAGGCGGACGCCGCCGACGATGACCAAGCTTGTTGTGGCTAAAGGTTTTTGACAAACAACAACGAAAAGTCCGAGGGCATCGGGGAATGACGTTTGCGGGGATTGCATGACATTATCTTTGACTTTAAAAGCTCGCACAAGCTCAAACCAAGTTCCCGTCCAACGATGAAGATCGTAACCACTTTTCACCCATCTTCGTCAGTGGTCAGCTCAGTCAAATGCCGATTGGCCTCTCGAGACCTTGAGCATCTCGTCATCGCCAAATTGGATAGGATAGATGTGTATTCCCTCCAACCAAGTGGTCTGCAGCACGAGTGCGGTATCGATGTATGGGGGAGGGTTCTCTGTGTAAAGGTGCTACCCATACCTGTACGTATTCCTTTATCAACACAGTACTGCCGCGTTGCTAAAGCTCGTAATCTCGCCGAATAGGGGACGGATAGGTCCAAATTGGTTCTAATGACAAGTCACCCAGACCCAGAGCTCGTATTCTTCTCGTACAGAGATAACGTAGAGGGAGGGGCCCAGTTGAAAGTGACCAAGTCGTTATCGCTGTACGAGCGATCATCCCGAACGGCTGAATTCTTCAATGACCTTTTGATTCACCCCTCTGGAACACTAGCTATCGCAAGCTGTTATGTTGGCAAACTCAGGATAGTTAAACTGGAAGGTGGTGACTGGGTTGAAGACTATGATTATACGTAGGTTTGGCTCTTCATTTCATTAGAGCTTAATGTTGACAAGGACCCTATTTAGGCTTCCAGAACTCAATGTCCTCTCCATTGCATTCCTACCCACCGAAGAATATTCTATCGCCATCCTCCATGTGGATCTTCAATCTCGTGTTCAACTTCTCGCTCGCGAAATACCAGAATCCTCAGACTCAGATTTCTCAATACGCCCATCGACCGTTCTGAATCCAACGGTGATCTCGAATAAATCTATTCCCTTCCCCACCGAGTACATTCCCAAACTCGTCGCAGTGCCAGCCGGACAATATGAAGAGGTAGACGATGATTCGACCTTCTTGGGAGGGGTATTAGTCATCGGAGGGCGGAAAATACTCCTTTACGAACTAGCCTCCGAGGAAAGCAGAGAAAAGCAGAAAGGGAAGGCAGCGAGGTTAGAGAAGATGCTGGCCGATTCAGACAAGGCTCAGGAGGCAAGGGCGAAACAGGCTGAAAGGGAGGGCAGGAGAAGGAAGCCTACAGCATCTGTGGTATGGCCTTGGGACGAAGTGGCAACGTATGTCGTATAGGCAATACTTCTCTGACGCGCGAGCTGACATAGAAGATAGATGGTGTGTGATCGACGACTCGCGTTTTCTCATTAGCGATGTTTGCGGTGGCCTCTCCTTACTCGGCGTTGACAACGTCAAGACCAATGGGATGACCCTTCTTCCTTTGGGAATGGTACGCTCCTTCTAACTTCTCGTCAACAACCACTTATCAACTCTCTTTAGACATCCCCACCGACAAGCCTCACCTACCTGACCAATCAAGTCATCTTCGTTGGTTCTCACCTAGGCGATTCCCAACTCGTGCAGGTCTCGTCAACACCCAATAATCAGGATGGCCCGATGCTTGATATATTGCCAGAAATCAAGACTGTTGCCAGAAACATGCCTGCCCCTAGTCGCGATAAAGGCAAGGGACGCGCGAGCGACGAAGCTATGGATGTGGATGACGAGGACGATGACGACATCTCTCGAGGGCGAATAATAAAGCCAGAAGGCTCTCATCTCCACGTATTGCATTCCTTCAAGAACATTGCACCCATCAACGATGCTGTAGTCGTCGATGTTGAAGGGAACGGTCAGGTAGGGCGCTTCCGGCCTGACGAATGTTATCTGACTCTAACCCAACTCCATTAGAACGAAATTGTCACCTGCTCTGGCGGCTATACCAGTGGTTCATTGAATATTGTTCGCAGCGGAGCAGAGTATCATGAAGCCGCAACCCTCCCGGGAGTTTGCAACGTTAACTCGCTCTGGACAATCAAGTCTAATTTTGAAGACACGTGAGTCCGCCTTTCCAGCTTTCTCCCCGGGCAGGAACTGACCGGTTCCCTTTTCAGCATTCATTCCCATATCGTCGCATCCACCCATGATCGCACCTTATTGTTCCGTATCAAAGACGATGGGAGAAACACTACGTTCACCCTGTTGGACTCGACCGCAGCGCGTGATTTCATCACCGACCAGCCCACTGTTGCCTTGGCCAATGTCAGGAAGCGAGTGTCAGTGGAGAGAAAGTCTGTATACAGAGACTGTAACTGGGTAGTTCAAGTCACTGACAACGTCGTCAACCTGCTGGAGCACGATGTCGTGTTGGGAGGGTTCAATAAGCGGGCAAGTTGGTCACCGCCCAGCTCTGTTGCACCTCGACCAGTCGAAATTGTGGCAGCTGATATCAATCCAACTCAGGTTGTGTTGGCTCTGAGTGGTGGAAGACTGGTCGTCCTCCGGCACAACGAGGAAGGTACCGCATTCGAATTAGTGGCGTGAGTTTGAATCTTGGGCCCATTTCCACATTTCCCTCATACTAACGGTTTTCTCAGAGAAAAGAATACTCTCCGAGAAATCTCAGCAGTCTCGTGCCAGGCTGCAGACACCAAGACACCATACACCAAAGTCTTCCTCGTCGGCTACTGGGAGCAAGTTGCAGAAGCAGATACCGACCGGGACACTGTCGTCGAGATCCTTGAATTGGAGAGACGGTCCAACCCCGGGTCAGGCACACCTTCGTTAACTTGCCTCGTCAAGGTCTCTAAGAAATACGTGCCCGCCCTTCCGCGATCACTCTTGCTCTACTCTTTCGGTGTCCCTGATAGCGAACCTACAAACTTGAAACCCAACTCGCAGCCCACACATTTGTTCTGCGGACTTGCGGATGGCTCTGTTGCGCATTTCGTGGTGTGGAAGGATGGAGGTTTGAATGTGACTGATTCTAAAATCGTGCCGCTGGGTACGACACCTGTGAAGTTTAGCGCCTGCGTAGTGGATGGGAAGAGGTGTGTTCTGGCAGTTGGGAATAGGGCGAGTATATTCTCGTACGAACGGAAACGAATGGCTCATTCGCCGGTCATGTTAAAGGTATGCCCATACCTTTTTCCCTATCAATGTACGAGTAGACTCAATCTGTTTCAGGACTTGAACGCCGCATATCCTTTAAACACGCACACCTTCCCCACCTCCTTCATCCTCGCTAATCATCAAGGGTTGACGATTGGTTCTGTCAAGGAGATAGGAAAGATTTCGATTCGAACAGTATGTCGCCCGACCGCTGCTCTCTGAAAGACACTAATCCATTGTGATAGATTCCCCTAGGCTACGATAACCCTCAGCGCATCGTTCACATTCCACTTCTTAGAGCGTACGCCGTAGCGTGTGCGACCTACACGCCGGTTCGCGTTGGCGATGCTGAGGCATTTAAGGGATCTTTGAAACTCTTGGACGACCTTACCTTTAAACGTATGCTCCTTGGATTACTTCGGTCTCACTTTACTGACTCGGTTCTTAGAACTGTCTCAATACAACTGTGACTCGGATGAGGTCATCTCCGCTCTGACGACGTTCACGGAAGAGATATCGGGAAAGGAAACCCCCTTACTCGTCGTTGGCACTTCTTCGTCGAGCCAGGCGAGATTGCTTGTGTTTTCTGTCGCTTCGTCGGAAGCATGTCAAGAATTGACTTTGATCACTTCCCTGGAGGTCAATGGACAGCATGTAAATTCGCTGTGTGTTATGGGAAACTATGTGCTTGCCGCTGTGGATTGTGCAGTGAGTAACTCTCTCTCTCCTGCTTTCCATGGAGCACCTATTCTTACGACGGTAAACGTGATCTAGGTGTTCTCTTACAAGTTCAAGGGAAGCTCAGACGACACAGATAGCCAATCCTCTGAACTGAAAGAGGTCGGCGAGTGGAATCACAACTATATCGTTCGATCTCTAGGGTCGTTCAACAACAGCCTCGTCATCGGCGACATCGCAAGCTCGGTTTCGTTGGTGAACGTGAACAAGGGTCAATTCACTCCTATCGCGAGGGATTATGCGCCTCTGTTCCCTTACGCATTGGAAGCATTGAGCGAGAACGCTCTCATCGGTGGCAATGTGGGTATAAGCAACCATGGCTAGGATAATGGAGCTGACACTGTTCTAGGATGCGTCGAATCTTTTCACGTTCTCACTTGGACAAGGGGGTATGGGTCGTAAAGTCCTTGAAAGAGATGGCAGTTTCTTCCTAGGAGATCTCGCGACGAAATTCATCCGAGGTGCGTTCCATAATCCGACCTCGTCTGGTGTTTCATCGCCGAAACTGGGGACTGACTTCTGTCGCTGGACTCAGGTTCAATAACCACCGACTATACCGCCATAGAGGCATTGGAGCCCATCGCAATCTTCTTCACCGGTAGCGGTAGGATAGGGGCGGTCATTGATATCAAAGATCAGCAATTGGCGCTGCACTTGTCTGGATTGCAACGGAACCTTTCTGCATTGGTCCAGGGCGTCGGTGCCTCCACTCACACAAAGTAAAGTGTTTTTTGCTTTAGAAAGACTTTAAGCGCTTATTGACTTCTTTCTCCTCAGATTCCGGGCACCGCGTAATAATCGAGGTCGTACGGATGCAGAGGCAGCAGGATTTGGCTTCATCGACGGGGATTTCGTGGAAACTTTCTTGGGTATGCTTGGAGATAAGGGGATGGTGGACAAGGTCATGACCGGGCAGAGTGCACCGGAGAAGCTCGAATTCTCGGTGGACGAGTACCAGAAGACCCTGGAAACATTACAAGGGCTGCATTGAGCTGGCAGAAGGGAGCACAAGGAAACCGAGTCGCATATGGGCAAACAACATGTATTAATAGCACGAACCATGACGTGAAGGAAGCTGTAACATTACAGGTGGATATGCAACATTCAAAAGTGACCAGAAAACGAGAGAACTCGTCTGTGAATGCAACAGGAAGGCGGAAAAGCAAGTACGTGGTAATCAACGAGGAGAAGCAAGAAAGCAAGAGGAATGGTCATCACGAAGGTCCGTAAATAAGAAAGGTTGCATGGTATGAACGGCGCCTTTTCACGCCAATATTTGCATTCTGGGCAAGTGTCTTATTGCCACATCTAGTACCACCAGCGGGTAAGGTACCAGCGGATGGCCTGCCAGGTGCTCAACATGGCAGGATATTCTTGCAGCGTCTCTAAATGCCCGGTGTCAATGTCTACGGCCGAAGGGGGAGCAAAGTAGAAACCGGCAAGCAAAACGAGGTAGCTAAGGATGAGGATGCTGCCTCGGTGATAGTTGCTCTTGGCCTCGATGTAGGTGTAAGTCATCAAGAACATCGAGAGGATGATAGCGATGACATCCCATCGGGGGAATATGAGGCTAAACAAGTGTTTAGTTTTAAATCAGTTTGGGTCTTTAGTGGCATGCGATTGAACGTACGAGAATGTTTTGGCGACTTCACCCATGTGCTCGGGATCGTGCCAAGCAGAGAATGCGACCATCGCCGGGATTTGCAGAAGACAGACCTGTAGGGCGTAGGCCGAACCAATCTCCATACTGCATACATGTTAGCTGGAACCAAATATCGGATTGAAACTGCACAGCGAACCTCAAAGCAATGTTTCCGTTAAGGGCGAACGACATGGCGTTCATGAACTCGGTCGTATTGGGGACGAGAGCAAAGAGTGTAACACCCAGGAACTTTTCGTCGATCCCTGATCCTTTCAGGACAACGTCCACAACGTCAACAAGGAGTTCTATAACAGTTGTCAGTGACGTTGAAATGGAGCTAAGCGAAGTGAGGCCATACCAGCAATGAGAGCATACAACGCAGTGCAGGCCAACAAAACGCTAGCGCTGGCAGTGCGGCTCCAAGAGGGTGCATCATGACCACCATGACCACCAGCTTCATCCCCTACGGAAGCGCGCAACTTCCCAGTACTGGCGTGGGTTTGTTGATGGCGAAGAGCGCTGACAGTCGCAACTGCGACAGCTCTGGTAAAGTCGTCCGTGGTCATAGCCGGAGGAAGTTGGATATTCGCCAAGTCTGCATTCTTGACAGCAAGGTCAACACTCTCCATGACTGGCGGAGCGTATGCAACTCTTCGGGGGAAGGTCGGCGAGTAACTGGGGCCCGAAGCGCCACCAAGGGATGGCTCACGAGCGCCCGTGCTCGTTACAGGCTCAGGGTTCGTTGCATTACTGCCTTTGCGGTGCAACGGGGGCATTTGCGTCCCCTGAACATTGTTTGAGGCCACTTTGTTGTGCTGAGAGATCCGGTTTCCGTGAGTGGGGAGTTCCATTGGCTGCATCAGCGGCTGGGGATTTTGCCAGATTTGGCTAGCATGGGTCCTGAGTGAGAACCATAGGCCGATCAAGTACGACTGAAGGACTCTCGGTCAATATATATTTCATCTCAACGATTGAATTTATGCTCACAAGTAACAGAACTCCAGTGCAGAAGAACATCAAGTTTTTGACCGTGGACTGGTAGAAGGGGTCATCCACAGGGTCAGGATGCTTGTAGTAGCAATGGTCACAGATCCACGGCGCATTTCCAGGGTTTGTGGGCGTCGACGGACAGCCACTACATACCAGTTGAAACTAGTGATACGCTAGTGAGTTTGATTGTCTCGCCAACTCTAGCGGAATCACTCACATTGCCATAAATCTGATAAAACAGGGTGGGCGCTACACAACCGATGATGGCCATGATCAACATCATACTCGTCACACCAGCGCTCTTCGCGTTGAACCTGAGTTCCTTCCTGCGAAGAGCCATGCTGCACATACTCATGCCGGGCATAAGCAACACACCAGCCAACAAACTCCCGACAATGGATCCTTCGACGAGACGGCCTTTTCCTTGGGTCAAGGCGATACCATAGAGGATAATTTCAATGATCGAACCGAAGGTTGCGTTGATGACTGCACCCATACCAATGGATGACTGCGCTGAAATAGAGGCAACAGCCATACCAATGAAGTAGGACAAGGGAATGACGCTGAGCAAGCTCAACAGAAAGATGAGTGCGTGCGAGGTGAGCATCCGCAAAAGCGCTGGAACATGCTGTCCGTGGTGTTCAAGCCTCTCGGCCCATGGAAGGAGGACGAATCCGTCGAAGATGACGAAGAATACGATGGGTAGTAAGTTCACAAAGAGGATGTTGACCCCTCCAATGGTATACTTGTAATATTGAAGGCCAACTGCCTTATAGACGCAAAGCAATACTGTCGACGTTGGGGATCCGGTTGGAGCAAGTTGACCTTCGGAAAGACGAGGGTGCTTGACGGAGAAATGCGCGACTGCAGGTTCTTCCGCGGCGTTTGCCCCATCCGCACTTTCGTTGGGAGGAGTGCTGACCACCACGACAGGGGGCGCCGCACAGAAGCGGATGGTGAAGGGTCGCGTGAACAGGTACTTGATCAGCTGCCAATTGAGCTTGGCCATCGGGATTGTAACAACCAGTGCCCAGCATATGAGGCAAACGATAAGGAGAAGAGGGGCGAGGATGGTGATGAAAGCGAGCCAGAAGCATATTTTGCCCAGCCAGTCGCTGGCCTTGGACTGGGTCGACACTGCCGAGGTACCGAACTCATCCGGAGGAGTGTAGACGGTTGTACCATAAGACTTGCTAGGGGCGGGGAGATTCGAATCACGGTGTCGAAGAAGAGAACTGCTCTCCCGAGGGGGATGCTGTTCTGCAATTTGGACCCTTGGTTGGGTGTCATCCCGTTGTCGAACCGTGTCTGTAGAGGCTGCGTCGTGATCTTCTGGGACTTGAAGACCGTCAGCGTTACCGTCCCACGGATGGTTGCCTTCTTCGTCATCCACTGGTGCATCCCCTTCGACGTACTTGCCGAAGGGCCAAGCGATGTACCAACCTAAACCATAGACCAATCTAGCGTACTTCTTGCCGCCAAGTGGAATGATGTAAAGGATTGCGGCAACAATGAATGATGCTACCCCGAGCCACCATCCAAAGGCAACAACCCAGAACAAATTGCCGGGCAAGAGATGGCGCTCTGCCTGTGCGGAGGGAATGGAGTGAAGCGCAGCGTCTGCATTGCGAGTGACCGATCGCGTCTTTTTGTACAACGCAGGCTTCCAGATAGGAAGACCGAAGGGGTGCTCGACGTTGATGAGGGACTGGCGCTCCTTGACGGTAATGGGGTCGTCGTCTTCTCTCTCGTTTTCAGGGTCGTCGTCGTTGTCACCGGAATCGCCAGAGTCAGCAGACTCGATGGGTGGGGCGACTGCCTTGCCAGGTCGACGGTGGCGCTGACGGGGCTCCTGGTCATAGTCTTGTCCGTGTTCATGAACTTCGAAAGGGGTGTCGAGCTCGTCGTACTCGCTGAACGCGTCGTCGTCCCTGCGCCTGCGGGATGCGGCCTGAGAGCTGCTTACGCTGTTGCTTCGCATACCTCGCCGAGTCGCGGAAGAATTGCGGGCATTCAAGGGAGATGCATGCTGCCACGAGGAAGGTTGTGAGGAAGTAGCAGGGAAATAGGAGGTGCCCTGGTTATGATGCTGGGGCGTCTCAGCCGGTGACCACTGCGAGCTGCGGCTCATACTTCGATGCGGTGTTGGCGTTGGCGTCGTCGATAAGATTATAGAAGCACTGTCATCACTGCTTGGAGACGGGGCGCTCGCCATAAATGAGCAGCGAGAAGGCTTTCCGTTGTTGTCTCGGGCGTCGTCGAGGACGATCTGGTTTCGTCCAAGGTCGTCGTTGATCGCGACCAACCGTTTTCTACCCACAGAGCAGCCCTAATTTGGTAAACAGTTCGGAGTTTTCCGAAATAGGCCTAACGCCTAAAAATCTAATTAACCTGAAAGCAAACTAAAAGACCCTAAGTACATGTGCAAAATAGTGTATCTGGTATCATAAATGTTCATTTCTTCAGTAACTTCTCGTGCAACTGCGCACCCTTCAGCTTGGCACGCAAGTAATCCAGTCTAGCCTCGTATCGTAGTGCAACCTCTTCACGCCGCCGTCGTATCTCCTCCATCTCATCCTCCACCTGCAATGCGTCATCGGTTTTGCCTTCCAGCTTATCATCATCTTCGTGCACCACGTCCATAGGCAGATGTCCAGTGCTGCGAATGAGACTAATACTCGAGTTGTTGGCCGCTCGGAGATGACCATGCGAAATCGTAGCAGGCAACGCCGGGACGGGTGGTGGTCCAATCTGACTTCTATCGATTCGTCTATCCATCGAAGTGAAGCTCGATGACGAGTTCTTCCGATGGAGCGAAGCGGGTGAAGGCAAACTTGATGACGGCAAGAGGACTGAGGGGTTAAGGCTACTCTTCCCTCTCAGCGTCTTGCTCCTGTTCGAGTAGGCAGACCGAGCCATGGAAGGAGCTACAGAGGGAGCCGTGCCTACGGAGACACCAGACCGTATGGAGACTGCGTCACTTTCACTTGGATTGAATCTCTTATGTGACCTCGTATCGGAGTGATTCTGTGAAGATTCGCCTTGGCTGCCGGTAGCGGACTTAAGGGAGGGCCTCGCTTGATGCTGACGTCGCATTTTGCTGAGAGTGGTTAATTCAAGCCCATTGAAGGCGTCCATCAGTCGACGCTGCTCTGCTTCGACAGCTTGAATTTCCTTCTGGATGTCCTGAGCCGACTTGAGATTCTCTTCATCAAACACGTCACGGATATTGGTCGCGTATCGAGCGTCTTGGCCAATGATGCGAGTAGGAAAGGAGGAAGGTGGAGTTTGCAGTTTTTTTCTGATGCTGCCAGAGCGCGAGCCCGAGGGGGAAAAGTGGTGACCGTGATCAGAATGTCCTTTATCAGAACCCCCTGGTGCGGCACGTTTGGAGGAGATGGAGATGGAATCGGCTTGGGCGCGGGATGTGGTCGTCCCAATAGAGGAATTGCTCGACTTCTTGGAGATTGACCGGAAACGAAATATTTTGGAAGAGCTCGATTTGGCCGACCAAATGCTCGAGGCGTCGCTATCTTTAGTCGCGGAGGAGGTGCTGCGCCCAGTCGCACGTCGTATGAGGTCAGCGACGCCGTCGCCGAAGGACATAGAATTTCGTGAGTGGATTGAAGTGGGGCGCGGTAGTTCCACCTGGAAATTGGAGATGGGTCGAGAAGCCGCTTTAGCCAACAGAGTGAGCATTAGAATGATAGAACGCTGAGAACGCATGAATGAATCCCTCACGTCGTCCATCGGGATTGACATTAGACTTTCTAGGCCTTGGCCGCGCTGCAGGAACGATCGGTTCCTCTTGTGGGACCACTGAGGCATTCGCAAATCTCTCGAACAAACTCTGGCGAAGAAGGCGGTACTCGTCGTCGCTAAAATAAGAAACACGATGCATAAGTGCATAGTGCATGGAAGAGTTGAGAAAGCGACTAACTTTAATAGGCCTTCTGCGTTCGCTACCGCCAACTCATTTAATCGGTGCGCTAGGGTAACCCTAAAAGACTGTTAGGCCTTCCCCTACAGCCTGGTAACTTGATCCACGTACGTGACACTGTCTGCCTGTTTCCGCTGAGGTGTGGCAGACAACACGACAGAGGCGTCCCCGTCCTTACTGGGCGTTGACGGGGCATGTCTGGAGCGTGTGGATGCTCCTGAGCTGGACGGTGCTACTACTTCTATCGTTCTCTTCTTCGAAGGCGTGCTGGGGGGCAGTGGGGGTAGAGACTCTTGCGACTTCTGGAGGAGTATTCTCCTGTGGGAGACGCTGGGCCGGGGGCTGGCGCCAATTCCGTTGGCCACGGGCGGTGGTGGTGACGAGGGCAGGAGTATAGAATTGACGGGGGGACCATTGTACTTGCTCGTTGTGTTCGTGGGGAGTGGTGGAGCCGAGGAATAGGGTAGTTGGTCGACCTCCCGCTCTTTACCCTTCTTTCCGTACTAAGTGCGTCGACGGGACAGCAACGATAAACCCCAGTGGGCAAAGACGTGGGACCGAAAGCAAGCAAAAAAAGACAGAAAATGAAAAAGATATTAGCTAGGCGCTCATTACTCTGCCAAAATGAAACCCTGGGACGTACGAATCGTGAGCGAATGACCTGGACGACCGACTTGTCCGGGGTGGAGGTTGTGGCGACGGTGACATAAGAAGAGTCGGCGGAATCTGGCTTTTTGGAGGAGAAAAAACCCATGTCCTCATTACGCGGCACAACGGTCCTGGTCGTCGAGGCTAGTGGGAATGGCGCGCACGATGGCGACGAGGACGACAAGGGGTCAGAGCGGCACTTGTTGACCTGGGTTGATGGGAATTTTGAGTTTGCCACCCAGCAACGCCATTCGATTTCGGATATCACACGGTGGTGGCCCATTTAAGCGCGAGACGGACAGAAGGACAGGCGGGTTATAGCAAATGTTACACTATGTCTACAACACATCCGTCTATATATTTTGTTCGAAAGCCCTTCAAACACCCAAGAGATGGCTTTCATGGGTTTCAGTACGCACGCGAACTCAATCACAATTGGCATCCCATCAATATCCACCTGTGCACTCGGAGTTTACGTTCGGACATGTTAGAGCTGACGCGGTAAGGTAACGCGAACCCAACCCTTGACACAGCATCATCCCCCATCCTGTAACGCATGACTATGGTGGGGAGCGAAACATACTTGATGTGATGAAGTCCACCGCCTGTCTTCAGTCATGTCGCCGGGTTTAAGTCTATGTTCCGGTGCAGCTTTGTCTACGTTGGTGCTGGCGTCGATGCGAGGCTGGTGTCTCTGTAGACAGGTTCAATCCTCTTCGAAAAGAATGAAGCAAGCTCTTTGATACTCTGCCCAAAGGTATCGGTAACAACCAGACGGTTTCCGATCCATTTGGGAAGTTTGTTTCGGATTGTAGCACTTGCATATCTTCGATCGAGAAGCAATAGCGACGCCCAATCATTTCGATGTCGTATTGCGCGCCCTGTCCAACACAAGATTAGATATGTAGGCTAGATTCCATTGCACTTGCGACACACCTATGCTCTGATTAACAGCATTCATGCAAATGTTCTCGTACAATTCAGCTGCAGCGTCCTTCTGGCCGGCGGGTTTCGAAAAATCCCCGTTCTGCTGGCGCTTCTCTTCCAACATCTTGACGTATTTCATCCTCTCTCGGAGCTCCGGCGAGCCAAGGTTTGCAAACGGCAACCCTACGATTATGACAGTTCGTGCAAGGTCATCAGAAAAGTTGAGACCCTCGGAGAGTTTTGCCCCTATCACTGCAAAAAGAAGACCGCCGCCTTTCCTATCTGAAGATGGCACGCTCTGTTCTCGGTAAAAAAGACCGGCAGGTTTGTATTGGAGTCTCTGGTGGGCAATGAGTATACACACCTGGGCGGCTTTGGAATACTCTTGAAGGACCGACTCGACTGCGTTACTTTCCTCCGGTTCGAAGAAAACCTGGCCCAGAGTCCATCAGCTGTACTGTACGATACAAGAATAGAGAGGGTAGCTCACCGCTTTCTTAGTGCCGAATCGGTCCAAAACCTTGCTCTTACCCCACGTAGCCTTTGCAGTATTAAGAAAGCTATACGAGGGAAAGAATACAATCATTCCGGCCGGCGTAATCGAGGCGTAGTTAAAAATAATCTGTCCCAGTTCAGCGAGCTAATACAGCTTCGTCAGCCTAGTTAAAACCCGTCGAAGCGCGGAATAACGCACCACTGTTGGATCACTCTGCCTGTTGGCTCGGAAATCTAGATCATGTCCTTTCGGCCCTTTCATCACGGCCAGGGGCTTTAAGTTATCTTCAGGTATAACGTGCCCACAGGAGAAGTTGGACACTCGTTCTCGTGGAACGCTATAGAACAATTGGTTGGTAACGTCCGAAATCTATCACAACGAATGGCTCTTGAGTTAGACAGCAGACCGTGACCGATGAGGATAAACACTGACCGGTGACATTGTTCCACCAGCAAGAATGATCGCTCGTGCATCTTCCACAATCTCCAGAAAGTTGGGCGCAGGATTCAACAATTGGTATTTCAACTCGACTGTTGCCTCTTGGCCTGCCGTCTCCACCAAGGTAAAGGTTACGCGGCCATCTACCTAGTGTATTAGCTTTCCTCCAACCATCACTTGGTAGCGAAGTTGAAACCACTAACCATCATTCACGTTACTTAGAGATTTCATGAAGTCTTCGACGACATGAAGCGGCGGGATCGCGCCCTTCCGGCTCTTGCGACGCGGCACCGAGCTGGCTGGATTGGTGTTTCATCAGTTTCATCAGCGACGCGGGACCGACGCCACTCGTACCCGAGTCTTTCTCCGCCTGTTTGTCGACATAGCCAGAGATCTTGCGAGCAATCTAGCCGTGTTCTTTAGTCCCGTAGGTCTAAATGTCTGAGTTCTTCAAGTCCTCACCTTGCTTTTCTTTAGATATGCTTCAACTTCAAGCAAGTTGATACCTGCGGCCCTACGGTCCATCCGCTGCATCAGCTCAGCAACGGTCATTACCTCTGTCGTATCCGAATTATTGTTTTTGCCCACACGCGAGGTTCTATCGGCCTTCCATTGCGCGACATACTTTTTCAGGGCCTCCAGAAAGATCACCAGTCGTTTTAGTTGCAACATGTTCGCGGGTGACAGTCGGGTCTTAAACCGCCGGACATATTCAGCCACTTGCTGCAGCGATATCGCCAGCGTCCCGTATGACAGTCTGTGGGTTGAGAGAGACAGTAGCGTAGGTATCAAATCTGGAGAAGCATTCAGTTTGAGTGAAGACGCTACAGATCCATGCAACTGGGGAACTCACTGTGAGCTTCATCAATGATCACGATCTGTCCTTTGAGGTCAATCCCGAGCGCTTCCCGGGCAGATTTCTGCAACAAAAGGTTGTAAGGCAGCGTTACCAACTGTCAGGAAGGTCAGTAGAACTTTCGGGCTATCTCAAGTGCTGATAGGACGCACCTCCGCCTGTGGAATTGCCTTGCGGGATCCAAAGTACGGACAGGTATTTGCCAAACGACCCGCCTCGGCCAAATCTTCGATGTCCTTTTGCGAGGCCTGACACAGATGTCAGTCATGATCGCTGTCTAAGCATCAAATGGCAGACGAGGTACCAATATTTGGTCTCTGAAGTCCAACATGGCGACTTCTTCCCCCGGAGGTGGAAGGTGCGGGCAGCGTTTATCTGACTTTTCTTCGATGTACTTTAGTCCCGTGTATACATCGTGGCTGTAAGAACGTCGCACCCTACCTCCAAGTAATTCTCGGCACGCCTCGTCCAAATCCGAGCTTTTTTCCCTTAGTTCGTCGTTGATGCAAAGCTGCTTCCTGGATCCAAGGGCAACTATTCTGATCCGCTTGCCAGCAACTTCTTCATCGGTATCTTCGTGCTCTTCTGCGCATCGTTTCCGCCCTGTGGACGCCTGATTACCGGAGGCAGCGGATGTACAATGGTTGGCCACAGAGATTTGTTGCTTCAACTTCAGTCTGCGAAGTTCCGGCAAAACTTGGGAAAGTTGAGAGTGCGTCCTTGAGGCGTAATAAATCTTGGTGCATGTCGTTTCTTCTTCATCACCTAGCTGACCCGTTCGCTGGACACGGTCTAACCTGCGCGACAGTCAATCGGCTAGGGTATAAACAAATTGAAGTAGACTGACTTCTGCATCAGAGCACGGAGGGCAGGTGATACATAGTCGCTGTCCTCATCGTCTTGGTCGTTCTCAGGAAGAAACTGGTCCTCGTCTTCATCGTCGTCGACTTTGGGATTCGATGATTCTGCTCCATATCTCTAAACCGCATAGGCATGAGCAATTTGCAACAGGAAGGCCGATCCTGCATACCATCTTCTTTGTAACCCTGGCCTTGGCCATGCGTCGCAGCTGTTCTTCCCGTTTTCTCGCCCTTGCCAGTTTCTCCTCATATTCGCGTTCATCTGCTTCCATTTCTCGCCGAACACGGGCAAGGGTTTGCTCGATGACCCAGTCTTTTACTAGAATGCCAGGAGTTAGACGACTCCATCGTTCTCCATTTAAATAATCGACTTCCCCGAGCCTCACCTTCCTCTTCTCCGTCCACCCCGGCGACCTCCTTTAACTTGCCTTTCCTCGCCCTGTCTTTCTCATCCAATAGCCATGTCAACGACGAACATAACAACGTCAGCGTTTTTCCCTGAGGAGAGTTGCCTTTTAGACATCATTTGCGATCTCTTTTGCACTCCACCACTCACAGTTCCTGTTGGACTTTCGACAATGGTGACATGTTTCTTCTCTATCGCCTCGTACACATGACGCATGAGGTCGACTTGAATCGCGTAAGGAGGATCATAAGGAAATGCCGGGAAATCCGAAGGCGTCGCGAGTTCAAGATCCATGTCCCTCCCCGTCGCCCTCGTCGGTCGTTGGTTGTCGCGGTCGCGTTTCAAGTGGCTGAGTCGCGTCACAGCATTTGCGTCGCGTCAGATGCCAAGCCATCAATCCATCAGCCTATGGCAGTACGGTACCGTGACAAGACCTCGCTAACATTGAACCAGCCCTAAAAATGCGACGAAGTCCTCCACTAACGGGGCGGTGGATCGAGTTGCTCTACGGTCTCAGATATCCAACTTACAACACTCTTCCAACGTGTCCAATTTGATAGGTGGGTGTAGTGGTAAGGCAAGGGAGTCTGCGATCCCGTTGTCAGTCGGGCAGGGAATTCCAAGGCTAAAGTCTGTTACACAATCCTCCCTGGTAAGCTACGAGCCTAAACCCAAAGTCAATCGTACTGCCCTCCCAGAGAGCTGCTCTACGGAACTGATACGTGGATGCTACAGCGATGATCAACCCCATCGTAGTTACCCTGACTAGTGCCGAACGCACTCGGTGTCGTCAGCTTTCCATAGATTCCACCCGAGAAAACCGATTTTTGATGGGTGCCCAAAATATGCCCACAAGCCTACACTCCTTGCGGGGATGCGCCAGACATTTGCCTAGTTACTCCACCAGAAAGACACTTAACAGGGGAACATCAGCTATTCTCCTACTACTAGTACGCGCATATGGTGGGCCACAGGGGTTGGGAGCTGAGCTTGAAAGGTGGTGTGGTTCTCTCCAGGTTCACCAAAAGCAATTTCTTTTTACTTGACATGACCTAGACTACAGTGCGCGCTTTGTGTCGTTAGCTTAACGATTCACTCTTTCCACTGTTTCCCGCGGCAATCGCTGGCTCGAATACAAGCGCTCGTGGGCGCTTGACGATTGGAATCACGTGTCGCTAAGTTTGCTTCGATCCGCAGCACTACGTCTGGAAGATATCAACTTGGTCACCGGCCTTTCAAATCCAGGATGCCATTTTCGTCTCCAACCTTCTGAGGTCTGAATCGGCGGAACATTGCGGGTGACTTGTTGTCTCCTCTGTAGACCTCGAGTTCTGGATTAGGGGCGGCGGATCCTTCGGGCTCCTGGTTAACGCAAAACTCAGAGACTCGATGTATGTCCCTGGCCTCAACGTCACGTTGCTTTCTATAGACCCCTCTTCAGATTGCTCCTGCCTCCAGTCTTTGGATTCTTGACACGGAATGTTCTCGAAGCTGTACGAGAAGCAGCTCTTGTGGCTCTGGCAATCCCAATTCATCGTCTTGGACGCGTCACGCGCGTCGCGTTCCCTCTTCTTTGAGCGCCCTTTAGCCTTTGTCTCTTCACTGTCGACGTCAGTTGACGAGGATGACGTTTTCGTCGAGCTCTTCCTAGCACCTCTGGCGAGTTCTCACTTCCATCGCGAACGACCATGACCGATTCATCTCTGAGCATCCCACGAACCTCACCTCCTCTTGCAATGCGTGAAAGTAAGTGTGGCTCGGGCGTTCGATAAACCGTATCGAGGCGCCTCTAGAAATTCAACAACAGGCTTCTACTTCGAACACCGGGAATTATTGTCGGCGCGTCTGACATCCAGGATGTAACGGCACAGGCACTCTGCAGTACCCGCTCTCGGCTGTTCATTCATCCTATTCTCGACCCCTACCCCGACGCTCCTGTTTCGCCATACTCGCACGGAGGGACAGCGCTAGGTGCTGCGGAATGGATATGATCGCTCTTGGCGCGCCGGCAGACCTGCAGGCCTGGGCATCCGGCCCCCTCATCTGAGATACCGCGTTCCGCTCGTCGACATCCAACCGGAATTATACTTAGTTCATATCTAACCTGGTTTCTCGTACGAACAGGCGTGTCCGTGTCGGGAAAAGAAAGGAAAGCATCTATGTCTCTTAGTCCAACCCAAAAAACAAGTCTTGCAATAGAACAGGGAAAGAACATATAGTACAAGCGTAGCGGTATAGTCATGGTACAGCGGAATTAAAAAGAAGAAAGTATTGAATGTTGGTGGTATGTAAAATGTTCCATGCCAGACGGTTGAACAATGTCAATCGATTCTGCATCTTCCTGCTTTGCCAGCCATAAGTGATAGTAACAGATTCGAGTGGACGAGTGCGCGAGAGCAAGGTTCTTGAATGCCACCGCAAGTAGCGATGGATGCAAGTTTACTACGGCCCGAAAAGACCACAAAAAGAGAAAGTATCGCAAACGTCAACCTCCATCGATTTCCAAAGGGGTATTTCAAGTTGGGAACGTCATGGATCGTCGTAAGATTTGCTGTGTACACATTCCCAATAGCGGCTGGTCTTCATCATCATCAGATTTAGCTATCTTCACTGCCAGGGCCATTCTCCTTGTAGTAATTCCTCAACCACTTCTCGGCCGTCGCATACTCCTTCTTGACTTGCTTGAGCATATTCTGGATGAGGGAAAGAGCTTCATCATTCGAGAGAGCTCTATCAGCTTCTTCGTCCCGTAGTTGACCGTAATGCTGAATCTTCTCGCACGATGCCTGCACCCGAGCCACGCCCAAAGCAGCAGACGAGCCCTTGAGATAATGGCCTAATGACGACAACGTGGAGAGATCCCTGCTCTCACTAAGCGGGAATGAAAATGTCAGTTGATCGGACACCGACGCCATCCAGTACAGCATCGGAACACGACGTACAATGCAGCGTCCAGCTCCTCGAATGTCGTCTCTGCCTGCTGAAAGAACTCCCAGACCATTCCCTTGGAGAACTCTGGATCATCATCGTCGAGGTCTATCAGCTGGGAAAAGGTCTCCATGTCCATTATGTCCCCCTCGCCGTCCGGAGATGGTTCATCGTCATCCTACCGAAATAGCAGGTCAGAACGGGGAAAGGGACGCGCCGGTGGCAGGGGGCTACAGCACCTGATGTGAGGGTTGTGGAGGCTCTGGCTCTTTTGGTCGTGGACTGGAAGGCGGGAATGGTTCGGAGGTGGACGGCTTGGGAGGGCTGGAGGTCGGGGGTGGCGACTCCCTTGATTGATGGCTGTCGATGGGCTTAACATCGTTGGAGCGGGAGCTCGGCGGTGAGCGGGGAACAGGAGCGTCGGCCGGGGTGGACGGAGGCCTGTCGTCTTTCTTGGGTGAAATAGGTGGTGGTGCTGGGACGGGAGACATGAGAGATGGCTACAAAGGCTACCTGCACACAGACTATATATGACCGAGCTGATCACTGACCGCTCTGATAATATCAAAATGCCCTTTACTCAATTCTGACAAACACCAAAAGAACTACATGACATCATATTAAGATCACGTGATTATCATTTAGCCCCTAACTCAGATAATTGCGCGAGAACGAAGTCTACTAATCTCTTCTCTACTGTATCCAAGTTCCTCCATAACCTGAGAAGCAGATATTAGACTCTACATAAAACCAGCTAGATGAAAGGACAAACCTCGGTTGTGTGCTCCGAAAGCCAGGGCGGTGGTAGCCGGACTGGCATCTTCTGTCCGTTGTACGCGACTGCAGGAGCCACCAGCTTCAACTTGCCTGATCGACCGTGCTGCAGGGATTAAAGCGTCCGTAATTAGTTCTAGAGCGATGGCCTATGATCCCTCGCCTACCTCAACCTCAACGGTAACCTGGCGTGCGATTGCCTGGGCGAAGAAGAGTCAGCGTATAACGCCAGAACGTAAACCCCTCCAACCCCACCTGCGGATGTTCGAACGTCTGCTGAATGTTGTTGATCGGGCCAAATGGAACTCTGCAGAACTCCGCGTCAGCTCTTCCTCCTTCACATCAAATACATATCCCGGGTAGTGGGAATGCTATTCTTGGAATAGAGAAGCAGATAAGTAAAACCTACCCCAACCCTTTGAATTGCTGCAACCAGTGTTCTCTATCTTCCTCCATCAGCGCCTCGCTGATGATCTTCACAAGTTCCGTCCGATTGGCGACCCGTGCATCGTTTGTCGAAAACCTCGGGTCAGTCGCCAACGTGGGGTTCTTGAGTATCTTCTCTGCCAGTGTTTTGAACTATTGCCAAGCGGGTCAAGTTCATTACGTATGGAGTGCAACCGAGGTGCACAAAACAAGTGTACCAGGGGAAGTACGCAAGATGGTCGTGTGAGTGCAAGGGTCTTCGTAAAACGACTGTGCCCCACTCACCTGCTTGTTGTTCCCAGCGCCAATCATCAAGAAGCCGTCCCTGCAAGGGAACACTTGGTATGGCACGATCGATGGATGGGCCGTTCCATGTCGGGAAGCTTCTTTCCCTGCAACCAAATAGTTTGAGGCGATGTTGGCCAACCCTGCAATCTATTGGTGCTGAAGTCAATTCCCCAGAGCGAAAACGTGGCACGACTTCTCAGGATTCCGCAAGTTTGCACCACCCCAACTTAATCCCAGCGATTCTGGCCCGACAGAGACGAACAGCAGGGTCGCGACAGCGGGGCGAACGTACCTGTGTCTCAAATAGATTACAATCAATCCAGACACCCTTTCCGGTCTGTTGTCGTGATAGCAAGGCCGCCATAATAGCTCCGTGTGCGTACAACCCTGTTGCGATGTCAGTTGCCGCCACACCGACTTTACAGGGAGGTCCATCAGGTTCTCCGGTGCTGGAAATGGTAACGAAGGAGGTTAAGAGACAGTCTTCAAGGAATGTTGAGTTACTGACATATGCATGAGGCCGGCTTCAGCCTCGACAATCACGTCGTACCCTGCAGCGCCCTTATAGGGACCTGTCTGACCATATCCTACCCAGGCACTGTGTCAGTAAGGTTATCATGGAAAGAGTTAGATCCCGGGGCCTGGGCCTGCGTACCGGTAATAGACGCGTATATCAATCTAGGATTGAGCTCGTGACACGTCTCCCAACCCAGGCCCATGCTCGCCAGTTTGCCGGTCACAAAGTTCTCCACCAGGACATCCGACTGTTTCACGAGTTTGTGCAAGATCTCCAAGCCTTCAGGCTCCTTAAAGTTGACAGTTATCGAGCGCTTATTCCTGTTCACAGCTAGGAAATATGCAGATTCAGGCGGGAGGTGCGAGGTTTCCTTTGGGGCTGTTGGGAGTGTTGGTGCGGAGGGTGGGTTCCATGCACCTATCAGTCGGACCGTCATTGACAAATTTAGACACCGGAGCTGAAGTGAGCTTAATGCATAACAAGCGCAGGGAATAGGGATAGCACGTACGAGTGTCGTCACCCCTCGTCACTTCTTCAACCTTGATCACGTCGGCACCCAAGTCCGCTAGAAGCATAGTCGCGGTTGGTCCTGCCAATACGCGTGTCATGTCGAGGATCTTGATTCCCTTCAGAGGTGGTGAGATGCCTGGACCATAAGGCATCGCCGGTTCATGCTCTGGGCTCCAGGTTTCGTACCAGCGCCTACTGGTCACTGTGAGTGGGGTAGCACGCGGGCGCCAGACTAGTCTGGTTGACCGGCAGACGTGACGACGCGAGGGGAACATTGTGGAAGGTTGAGATAGAGTCAGTGCTCGGTAGTGAGCTGGGCCCAGTGTAGTTGTGGGCAGTGAGGATGAAGAACGAAGTCAGGTTAGGATTCCGCTTGCGTTACCCGATTGACCGGCTCCGAGGGAAGCGGGTGCTGTTCGAGATTAGATAGGGGCTTTCGAATGGGGATCTCAAGAGCTTGCAGCACTTGTGAAAGTACGTAGTTCGTACCTCCACAGTAGGGTCATGCCAATCTTTAATAGTTTATTACGACAAGTGGGCCACCAATCTACAACGAATACATACAGAAAGCCGGGAAGAGATCCATCACGAAAGGTATTATGCTGAGAGGAAGCTCGGATAAGGTACATACGGAAGAGGGTGGTCAAACTCAAACGACGCTGCTCGATTAACGTTGGAGTATGGGACTGATAGGTAACGGGAACCGATGTAAACTGAACCCGCGGTTACTAGTAGGTTACTTCTGGGTGGATGGCGGGTCTTTTGGCAATGTTCACGGCGACAAGGATATTGAGGTCATGTCGTCGTCTCTGGCTTGCCTTGAATGGGGCTGCAACGTTTCGAAAGCTAACGTCAGGGTTGTTGCATGGACGACACTCTGTCAAAAGAACATACCGAGTTTGTGATGCTTTGGGTTGATCCGCCGGAATTTCTCGAGGCATCTGAAGACACTGAGCTGACAGATGTCTGTCGATTCTTCGGCTGAAAGGTCTTCATAGGGACCACTCGTGGCCGAACATTGGATTCAGGTTGGAACATCGGCGTATTGCACATGGCAGTGAACACGTTCATCGCGGATGACAGGAACGAGTCTTGTCGACCGCTTGAGGATACTCTTCGATTCGTGGACATCGTGAGCTTTTCGAGACAGAAGGTGAGAGCAGAGGCTAAAGACTCACTCCATCGATTCATCTCATATTTAACTCTTTGTTCCTTGTCAAACCTTTTCAGTTCACCCACTACGACGTCATAGCACAGGCGCCAAAATGATTGGGTAGCCAAGCTGGGACATGTTTCGGTGCCAAAGAGGCGGTTGACACCATTTGCTTCCGCGACTGCACGTGATGACTTCTGGAAAAGGAGATTCCGGGACGAAAAGACATCTTTGTCGCCAACGGCGACGCGAAGAGCGAGTTCACAACTGTTCGCAACGTCGACAGCGTCTATGAATTCCTTGGTCTTTCCGAACGGCCAACTCAACGTAATGCCTCTCTTGGGAAGGTTTACTCGGAACTAGCGGAATATGATGCATTCATTGCTCTCTTCGTCTTGCAAGCATCAACCTCGGAAACGCAACCGACGATAAAGACCTTTGGACAATGGCTCTGTCCCATCTTATGGCTCGCACCGCGATCGTGACAGGGGCATCCTCAGGAATTGGGAAAGGGTCGGCGATAGCGCTATCCAATGCGGGCTGGAACGTGGTGTTAACAGCGAGAAGGGAAGACGCCTTGCAAAAGACAGCGACAGAATGCCCTTCGTCGACCCTGGTGGTACCAGGAGACGTCACTGACGAGGGTTTCGTGAAGACATTGTTCTCTTCCACTGTTGAGAAATTCGGTGGGTTGCCTGGATTACAACAATGACTGCATGGATGCTGAACCGCCTGACAGGTCGACTGGATTTGTTGTTTAATGTAGGCTATTTTCTTTCACGAACTTGGCGGGGACACTGAATCAGCCGACCCAGAACGCTGGCATCCCAGGGCCGCAAGCACGAGTTGACGAAGTTGAAATCGACGACTTCAAGCACGTCCTCGACGTGAATGTCACAGCTTCCTTCCTGTGCGCCAGAGAGGCTTTCTATATCTTCAAATCCCAGGATCCACAAGGAGGTGAGCTCATGTCTCAAGGCTTCCTGTATCCCACAGCACCAACTGAGACGATCACGACAGGTCGTATCATCAACAACGGTTCCATCGCCGCGCATGTCCCCCGTCCTCACTCATCTGCATACGCAATCTCCAAGCATGCGATCTCGGGCTTGACAAAGTCAACCGCCTTGGATGGACGCCCTTTTGGAATCACCTGTACTCAGATTGACATAGGTACCCATCTCTTTCCCTATTCCTGCCGTTCAAACCCTTACACCTCCCTCCAAAGGGAACGCTCGAACGGAACTCGCAACGGCATTCAAAGCGGGTCCTGGCGCTTTACAGCCTGATGGGTCTTACCTCCGGGAGCCGATGATTGAAGTGGAGACGATTGCTAATACCATCGTCCACATTGCCAACCTTCCGAAAGACGTTGCGATGCTTGAGGTCAATATCATGTACGTGTTTCTGCTTCTTTACGTATGTGGGACTGGACTGCGGCATTGTGGCTCAATCCTGGGCTGGTCGGGTCGAGGTTGACGCAGTATCAGTCACCCCAGTGGCTTGCGCATCATGAATCTGAGTCGCTAATCCGAACAATCTTTCTAGGGCGGCAGGAGCTCCCTATGTGGGAAGAGGCTGATCTTCTCGGAACATTACCTCCTTATTTGCAAAACGCTGTCAACAATTGGAGGTATTGTATATTAGACCATACCTTTATGCGCTGCCAACCTTGGCTCCTCATTGCACAATCTGCGAGAGGGCATTAGACCCGTGCAACCGGTGGATCAATCGGGATGTACCATCGCACCATTCGCGGACAGTCTGTGGATAGGATGCTTCAACCATTTGAACGTTGGTGATACGTATTTGTCTTGGTATTTCGCACAAGGAAGGTTGATACTTCTTCCCCTTTGAATGACCTTTTGGCTTCTTATTCACTGTCCAAGTTGTGGTGAAATCCGGAGTACGATGCCTTAAATGCTGGTGCTCTATTGACCCCTCTTCATCAGCCCGGAAGTCCATGATCGCCCTGTGCGCCTCATACCGCCGTCGCGTTAGATTGGTGTGTTTGGTATGTACGTGTTCGTTATGCGATACATTCCCTTGTACTGACTGAATTCTCCGTTCACATATTAACCTATGCTAGCTCCCGTTCGCCACTTCTGTCCGCGCATTCAGCTGTCTGCATGGAGTTGCCAGTGTTTTATCTCCGTATTTGCCCTTCGGCAAAACTGAATGACACCTTTCCCAACAGTTCTTCCCTTCCTCGGTTCGGATTCAATCCCCACGCGTTGACGACGCGACTCCCAGGCACAAACAGGGAGGATTCCGATTTTCTCTCGACTTTCCCAACGCCGGCCGGTCAGTAGTTTCTGTCGTTGAATCTACCACGGGCCCGTGGCGCATTCCAGCGACCAATTCATGAGAATTGACAAGAATGCTACATCGGTGTTTTCATGGAGTGTGCAACCCCACCCAGCGCCCACTCAACCTACTGCATCTCCCCACCGCAACGGCATATAACGAGACCAATGAGGGCTCGAATTCGTTGTATTCACGGAAAGAAGTGCCCAACTCGAGGAAATGCCTCCGAATGAACGGGAACAACGGCACAAAAGGGGCGCTCTTCAAGCGCGTTTCCCAGCGCTGTTTAAGAATAGAACCCTTACCAACAAACGGTTGTTGCTTCAATGAAATCTCCGGGGTACGGCCTCAATACGATTTATATGACCGCAGAGAGATTTGGCATGTCTGACCTTCGAGACTGGTTCTTGGTGTGGGTATTGGGGGGATTATAACGGCAACACAAGAATCTGTATCAGTGAATTGATTCAGGTTTGCTTTGGTGAGCCCATCCCCACTGCTTTTGTTACTCCTCTTTTCCGCGTTTCTATCCTTTCCCCTTTGTTGCATTCTATATTTCCATCCTGAAGGTCGACTTCAGCCTTTGCGGCTAGGCATGTCCGTCTCGAGTCTCATCGAGGTTAACTTGGGCAAGTCTTGTAATTGCCTGCTATCGCAAGACGCTTATCCTCGGTATCCAGGTCCTGTGCTATTGGGTATCTTTGGCAAGTGCTACAGTCCGCGATGCAGACCAGCCCCATTGACGCGTCGATCAAGTCAACACGTATCTCTATGGGATCGTAACCTATCAATACGCGTCCTACTGGACTACGAGTACGCCCCTCGCGCCGTCACAAACATGACCGAGTCTCACTTCGGACCATCGACAGAGTTCAATGACCCGCCCTGGATCAAGTTAGGGTACTCTGTTGACACGCTGGACTATCGCTAATGGGCTTCACAACATCTAGGCTAACAGTCCTCCTGCTGTTCCTCATGGACACCTTTCATAGCAGCTCGTAAGTCTTGTACCTTATGAAACGTCTACTGCCTGGTCTCATCATCAAACTTCAGGTTGGTCTGGATGGCCTGGGTATATACGTGGGTCAACCCCGAGTTATACCTGCGCGCTCGCTCACCCGCGGCCATGCCCTCCTCTTCACAGAATAGAGAACTTCACTGACCCTCTGGGACTCCTCGGTGATTTCCATCCCACATTGGTTTCAAGGCCATCCTCATGACTGATCACTGCTTTGTCTTCTCCAATAACAGTTCCCGTCTGGCCCTACCCAAACACCATCATTACTACCGGCCTCACTGCGTTCTCCACACAGTCATTCCTTTCATATCGGTGAGTAGGCGGGGCACCGCGTTGCTTCTTTGAGGAACCTCCTAATTTAATCAACTTGAAAACCAACAGGGTATATCGCCTCACCAAGAGAACTGTTCTTTACTTCAGCAGTATAGCTATCGCGGCTGGAACGCTTGCCCTTGGGATGGTCTGTGCTGTGAAAGCTTTCTACGTTACCAAGTAAGCTCGGTTTGCATTCGCGCAACCCAACGCGATCTGGTCCCTTTAGGAATTGACTGACCGACTAAACCTTCGCTCTCGTGCATTATCCTGATTTTAGTTACTTGGAGCTCCCTAGTCTAAGGCCGTATCTCACTGTATGGCTATGCATGGAGATGGCCATTGACCTGGTCATCTGTGGTGAGTGGCAATCTCTATGTTCCGGCGATGCTGGTCGGTTGGTTGAGTTCTTATGGGGCAAGTTTATAGGGATTCTCTTGTACACGCTTGGTCATTCACGGACTGGGTTTGCCCAATCCGACACGGTGATTCGACGGCTGATGCGTGCAGCTGTGCAAACGGGATGTTTTGCAACTGCCTTCGCCGCTGTTACCCTGGTTCTTTTCTTGACGAACGGGGACACCCAATTGTATAGTTTGGTTGGAATACCCATTAGCCGAGTGTATTCTAATGTAAGTATTCGCTATGCTTCGCGCTCGCCTGACTCACGCTAACCTCCTGGTGGCAGGCCCTAATGGACACCATTCTCTGTCGAGGGGAGCTCAGAGACCTTGTTCAACGGTCGCGGGGTGGAGAAACGAATACACAGGTGTGTGCTGTGAAGCCAGCCCCATTCAACCAAATTTAACCTTTCGGCTCGTAACAGCAAACGAACACCTACGGGCTCACGTCCCTGACTCCCAGTGTTCAGCTTCACATACACAAGGAAGTCCACACGGACGTTCATTATGAGCGATCCAATGCCTTTGATGTGCGAACAACAAGGGCGTACAAAACCTCTCTTCAGGACAGGATGTCCCAGCCACGATCTTCTGATGACTCATAGACCGACGCAAAATTCTCCAGGACCCGTGTAAATTAGACAAAACATTAGTATGTATAGTGAAAATAACTCGTCGAATGGCTCCCAATTCCCGCCCCATGGAATCATGGTGCTTGGGAACTGGAGGCACCAATCGTTTTGGGCATTTTCTTGTCGCCCTTGGCCATTTGTTCCAGATCGGTGGGTTTGAAGTAATGCGGGGCGACTAAAAGCACGAGAAAGTCAAATGGCTGGTGATGGGGATACCCAGGATGCTACTCTTACCTTCGAGTAGCCAAGCAGGCTTGATTTCCATCACTTGCCTGTGGGAACGGGGTGGTCGGTCAGGAGAGCTTCTCACAAGGTAAATACGGCGAACTTACCGCATGTAAGACTTGGACGTCATGACCAATTCGTAGTAAAGGACGGCCTTTACGGGAGGTTGATGCTGGAATAAGCTTGATGAAGGATGGATGTACACTGTGTGATTTGTCTTCAACGTCCGATACGAGTCCCCGCTCTTTTGCAATTGAGCCTGAAATCAGAAAGCCACACACATTAGTCAATCAAGCCACAAATTGGACGTAATGAAACTCACCGTGTTATAAAAATATCCCGCCGTTATGGCCTTTTGTATTGGGCTGATATCGTTGGTGTTTGGGTTTTGCTCGATCACAATCTCGACCCGTTCACAGAGGCCAGCCAACTGGTCGCGGATATCGCGAGCGCGACTGATACTCTTGAACTGCAAGAATTGTTCGTAACAGAATTGTTGAGAATAGTTGGTTTCGGCCCATTGTTCCCAGACATTCAGAAGTGTGAAATGGTCACCACCGGGTCGCACAAAGTTTTGTCGAGCTTGGTCGGCGTGAAGCTTCTTATCCTTTGGACGGTAGAAGAGCGATCCTGATTCAGACAGCATGGCGATGATGGTGAGGACCTGCGCAACGCTACGGTGAGCCAAAGTCAAGATGATAGTCGAGAGGTTTGATACATACCTCGTCTGTACACTGGTATTTCTCGCTGGCAATGATGGACTTCGACAGCATAGGATCAACGGGGAATTCAGCCATTCGCCGGCCCAGCTTGGTGAGTTCACCGCGGTCGTTGAGGGCACCGAGGGCATAGAGAAGTTCGAGTGCTCTCATGAGCGTCTCGCCCGGTGGAGGGTCTAGGAATTCGAATCCGATCAAATCGTTGATACCCAATGACTTGAGCAGTAGGACGACCATTCCCAGATTTGTCCGCTGAATTTCGGGGACCGTGTTGGCTTCTAGCTCATTGGAGAACGCCCACTTGGTGTACAACCGGAATGCTTTTCCTGGACCGACACGACCTGCACGCCCGGCACGTTGATTGGCAGAAGCTCGTGAACACTGAAGAATTATGGGTTAGTTTGTGCAGGGTATGCAGTGGTGATGAGATCGACTTACGGGAACCACAACCAGCGAGGACATTCCCGTCCGAGGGTTGTAAGAGTTTTGTTTCACAAACCCAGGATCAATAACGAAGACAACTCCGTCAATCGTGATAGACGTTTCGGCAATGTTGGTGGCCAGGACCACTTTCCGCGCCCCTTCTGGTGTCGGCTCGAAAATCTTAGCCTGCATTTCACTCGGCAGGTTGGCGTAGATCGGACATATAATGAGTTCCTTGATTTTATTGCCCAGGGCCCGAGCTGTTTCTTGTAAGTTCTCGTGACACGCCTCGATCTCTTCTTGACCCTGCCGAGAAGAAATTATTCAATGCGCCAGGGATCCAGCAACAAGGAGGCGACGTACCGTTAAGAACACCAGGATATCGCCCTTGGGTTGTGTCGTGTGGATCTGGAAGACGGTGGTGATGGCGGCGTGGAGGTAATTTGCCTCGGGTTGAGGGGTGTAGTGGATGTCGACAGGGTACATGCGGCCGGGTACTAATGCTTGTTAGGCGAAGATGAAATTCCGATATGCGAGCAAGACTCACCATAGAATGTAGGAGCATCATCGAAGTACTCGCTAAACTTCTCTGCGTCCATAGTCGCACTGGAAATCAAAAGCCGCAATTCAGGCCTGAAACGCGCAATATCCTAACACATTCGGGGGCCGTCAGTCACAAGTCTAGAGAAAACCTAGTTAATAGTGAAACACTGCTAACCTTGACAAGAGCAAAAAGGATATCCGTACTGAGCGTTCGTTCGTGAGCTTCGTCAATGATGAGGCATGAGTACCCCGCCAAATCTGGTTCTGTTAAGAACTCCCGAAGTAACATTCCGTCGGTCATGTACTTGACGACCGTCTTGTCGCTTGTACAGTCTTCGAATCGTATCGAGTAGCCCACTTCGTAACCAACTTTGGTGCCCATTTCCTCTGCGACACGGGCTGCGACAGACATTGCTGCAACTCGACGGGGTTGGGTACATCCAATCTTGCCTCCGTTAGCAGTGTAACCCGCTTCATGGAGGTATTGTGGCAACTGCGTGGTCTTGCCTGAGCCCGTTTCGGCGACGACGATGAGAACCTGGTGCTCTTTCACTGCTTCGATAAGTTGCTCCTTGTACGCGTAGATGGGGAGTGACTTTCGAGTTTCCTCGATTGTTTTAGCTAAATGCGAATATCAGAACAACTGTATGATCTGGGAAATGGCTGCGGACGTACCTCTCTTCTCAGCCTCTTCAATTTGCTGCTGGAGCAAACGGTCTGCCTCTGACATTCTCGTCCCCGGTAGCTGCGACTCCATGACGAACTGGATAGTCTGACTTTCGTCAAAAACATATTCGTAGTTGTCAACAGCTTCCTGCTTGTCCATGGCACCCGTTTTGAAAGTACTGTTCCTCGTCTGAGCCGCCTCCCACTGGTCGACATCGGTAACGAATTGGTCGTCCTTTGGTTTGGCTTCTTCATAGCGGCGATACAGGGCATTCTCTTTCTTCTTCTTGTCGATTTTGCCCTGTTCTGTCAGATAATCCTCCGGCAATTGATAACCTTCCCACTTGTCGTTAATCTTGAGCCGCTCCTCCACCAATCTCAACAGTTCCTTCTTCTGCTCCAGTTCACGCCTCTCCCGCTTCGTGATCTTCATGCCCGCGAACAGGGCTTCATCGTCCGCGATTTCTTTACGAAGCAGCTCGATTTGTTGAATTTCACGCTTGGTGAGATATTCTTGACGTGAATGCAGCCGTAGGGAGGGAAGGGCCTGGCTACGGGCTTCTGCGTCGTCGGCGAGTTGTCGTCGCAGGGCAGCCTCTGAAGTAGCACCGGCGTTCCTGGATGACCGGTCCTCAACGACCTTCTTCGTCTTCTGCTTGTCGCGCTCCTTCATTCGTTCGGCGAAAGCGTCACGTTCTCGAATGTCCTCTAAGCGCTGTTGTTCCTTCAGCGCCTCTTCGTCGATCTCCTCCGCAGGTTCACCGTCCATGTCAGCATCCTCGTCGCGCCGCTCCCCTTCCTCGTCCCCTTTCCACCGTTTCCGCGCCTTTTCCTCCTCGTCGCTCTCCCATTCCTTTCCATCATAATCCCGCTTCCGTATTTGTTTGTCACGTTTGCTCTTGGATGACTCCCTCGGCTTCTCCTTCAGAATCTCTATCGACTGGTCTTCGTCTTCCAACAAGAGTCCATACTTTTGTGACCTCAACGCTTTCGCCTCCTTCTCCGCTTGCTTGCGGGCAGCGTCTGCGGCAGACTTCTTGCTCCTGCGCGGGACTTTAGAGTATAGTTCGTTGACGAATTGGTGTGCGTCGGGTGAGTCTGGTAAACCGGAAGCGTTGAGGGAGGCGAAAAGGCTTTCCGCAGATTTAGCTGACTTTGCTATAGGGAAGTTGTATCAGATTTCAACCTTTCGAAATAATAGCCTGTAGACCACATACCTGCGGCAATAATGAAGTCTATGATACTTCGATCTGCAAGTCCAAACAACTATGTTTTCGTTCAGTCCAATGCTTCTGGATGCCATAACGTATTGTGAAACTCACTTTGAGAGCATTGTCACTAACGAACAGGTCCAACGATGCCATTCAAACCAAATTCGTGGTGGGGAGTAGATGAGAGTTGAAGAAAAGCCTCCGAGGCGTTCTCAAAGCATTCCATGGCTTGCGGTGGCTGTGTTGTAGCCCCTCTCTCAGACGATGACGGCGGCTCTTTCTTCCAGCGTCCTCAGACTCTGGCCCACAGTTTCCAAGAGCGCCAGACGATGTCCCCGACTGCCTATTTCTCGACGACAGCTTTCGACGACACCCGTTGGAGTCCTGGGCAACCCTCTCAGGCGGTCCTATATCTATGTTCCAAGTTCAAATGGCCGCATGTTGGCGAAGAGTCTCGATATCGGCTCAGACGTTGTGATTTACGACCTCGAGGATAGCGTATCGCCTCTACCAGCAGACAAGGAGAATGCTAGGGCCAAGTTGAAGGCCTTCCTCAGTGTCAGTTCTGTCTTGCTCGCCCTGTGTCCATTCACCGAACAACACTCCAGGAAGCAGACCCCTCGCCCCTAACAGGCAGCCAGATAGCCGTCCGAGTCAACGACATCTCAACGCCTTTCTTCCAAGACGACATAAAAGAAATTGTATGCTGCACAATATTTTATGGCCGTGGCGTTGGCTCCCCTAACGCCATCCGTAGCTCTCCAACATTAAAGTCAAGGCCGTAGTCCTCCCCAAGATCCACTGTGCAGAGGACTTGGATATACTCTCCGATGCCCTACAACAGGCACCTCTTGCAGAGGCGCGAGGAGTGCCCGTCGAGATTATACCTAGCCTTGAGAGTGCTCGTGGAATGTGGAACCTGCGCGATATCGCTTCGTGGAAATCGAAGCACGAACCACGCCTGGGGGGAGAACTTCGGGCCTTGATGGTATGTCATCCAGCTTTCAGTGTTGCCTATACAGTGTTTTTGACAGGGCTCACAGTTCGCCTGTGAAGATTGTGAGCCAAAGTAGCTTGCTGGATATGTCGCAAACCTGCTCATACACCTGCCCAAAGACTGTGCGGACACGGGCATCATTCGAACGCCTTCACGAAGGGAACTTCTTTATACCCGCTCTCGCATTGTTCTAGCTGCCAAAGCGCACAATCTAGATGCCATTGACATGGTGCAGGACTCGCGTCTCTCCCACTCGCACCGAAGCTGAACCCCACTTTGCGGCAGGTTTGTATCCAATACAAGGACAAGGACTACCTAACAGACGAGTGCGTCGATGCTCGCCAGCTGGGCTTTACTGGAAAGGTAGAAAAAACTTAGTCAAGGCCCTTCCCCATGACTAATTCCCACTACAGCAAGCAATTCACCCTAGCCAAGTCCCCATTATTAACTCGACATTCGTCCCAACACCAGAAGGTTCGTCCCATCGCCTTGGAATATTCCGCGAGCGTCTATTTACTCGCACCGGCTGCCCTCAGAGATCTTACGAGCCGCAAAGATCCTGAAAGGGATGAGAGAGGCACATGCATCTGAGAAGGGTGCCATCGGTTTAGAAGGAGAGATGATTGATGCACCCATGTTAAAGCAGGTTGGTGGTTTACTCCACATGTTCATCCGCGGTTCCGTGCTTGACTGCTATACCCACAGGCAGAGAAAATCATCGCTATCGCTGAATGCGCGGGTCTGCCTATACCAGCTGTTTGATTCCCAGTTCGAGTGTCGGGGAGGTGTACGCATATACAATAGTCAATTTTGTTCAATTGTACGGGGTTCATGGCATCGCTCCCGCAAACAAGACACAGTTTCTTCCGTCCCCGAAGCTTGGATCCCATCGAGTGCTGTTATCGAGAGCAGCGCAAGTGCCGAGCTGGCGGTATAAGATTAGGATTGTATACATTGTTTTATAAAACAGACGAGAGTAGTCTCGGCAACCCATCCGTTTTCGTCGACAAACCCAAATCGGGGCTTGCCGGCGTAAACGTCTGGGATACCACGGTGCAAAAAGCGGGGGGTATGCTTTCCGCGCGCTTCGGACAATTCTGACGGCTGAAGTAAGCGAGAACAATCGCGCTCAGGCATCCTTCTCCACCTCAGACCACGTCCTATACCCCGTCTGATGTCTCTTTCATGTAAAATACCCATTCATAATGTCACTTCATACATCCAACTTGACACAAAGAATGAAAAGGCCGCGCTTGGCCACCTCACATATGGAAAACAAGCCCGTTCAACCTGCAACTCCAGCTACATCAACCCCCAGCACCGTCTCATCCTCCATTGCCTCAAGGACTCGAATCCATTCTCGCGCAAGGGCATACTCGCAAAAAATGGATACAAGAAGTCGCCCAAGACTCCCTAGGGTGGGGAGGGTTTTGTAGGTGTCTGAGATGGGTGGGGCATCATTTATCAGGCTTAGCTGGGATGGTGAAGTCGAGATGGAGGTCATCATCGTCCAGAGGAGCATATACAAGAAGTTCTGAGGTTGTATCGTCAGGAAGAGGGGCCCCAAATGGAGAGGAGCTGCGAGGACGTGAGATTGTCCATTACAAGGGTTATAGAATGGATTAATGCAGAATAAAATACATCAGACGGGGTGTAGGACGTGGTCTGAGGTGGAGAAGGATGCCTGAGCGCGATTGTTCTCGCTTACTTCAGCCGTCAGAATTGTCCGAAGCGCGCGGAAAGCATACCCCCCGCTTTTTGCACCGTGGTATCCCAGACGTTTACGCCGGCAAGCCCCGATTTGGGTTTGTCGACGAAAACGGATGGGTTGCCGAGACTAAGACGAGAGTACGACTGAGTGCAAGAATACATGTATGTACAAGGTGAAATATAAAGATAACATTTAACACCCAAATATAGCCTCCTCATAGCAAAGCATGGTAGACAAAGCAACGAGAACTCCCAAAATGACCATCGAACAGAGAAAGACACAAACCCACTACGAAGACGGATCGGGATACTCAAGTTCAAGCTCAAGAACATTCATATCCACATCGTTCGTATCCCCGCTAGAATCAAGACTGCGACGGGAATCTCCCGACTTGAACAGTGAAGGCGACAACCCAAAGAAATGCCGAAGGTCAAAGTTTAAAAGTTTGAATTCTCCAGTGGTCGGAGGTGTAGCAGGGGCTGGCGAATCGTCTTGCGTATCTTCGGAACTGGACCCGGTGCCTGAACTCCCAGCGTCAGTGTTGTTAATGGTCGAGGACGAAGCACTGATTGAGGAGGTAGACCCGGTGCTCTCCCCCTGTTGCAGATCAGCTTGGGCGCCGTTGTCGTTCTCAGGAGATGCCTTGGGCGTGGTATCGCACTTGATGGGATGCTGAGGCGAGGAATCAGAATCTGACGATGGCGGTTGCACAAGGAGTTCGACTTCTTCGATCTCAGGTTCGCTGTCTCTCCGGTGTAGATCTGCGGATTTCGCTGGACTAGCTTGAAGAACAGGCCCAGGTTTAGCTTTCTGCCTAGGTTCAGAGGTTGCGACAGAGGAACTGGACTCAGAGGTGGGCACATCATTTTCCATCCTCTCGGTTGACACCTTCGGTGGACTGCACAGCGGAGTAGGCGGATCTGATTGCTCTGAGTGTGATTCGGTCGTAGCAGTAGGTTTTGCATCGACCGTCCCTGTAGTGAGGATCACAGTCAGAGACTAGGACTACATCAATACATAAGGCACTCCTACCTTGTCGCGACCCAACGCTGGGTGACCGATATTCATCTATCAACCTCTTTAACAATTTCGCCGTTTTGTTAGGTTTCTTGGGCGAGTTGGCATTCAGGGTCGCTAGATTGATTAATGGATGTTTCGTGGACAGAGAGCTGATATCAGGGAAGGGGTTTGGATCTGGTGTAAGGTGTGTTGCCTTGTGTACCTCATCCTTCGTGTTCTGGGCGACTGTGTCAGGAGGCAGTTTGGGCGACATAAGAAGCGAGGGAAGAGGTTGGGAAGGAGGCGACGGAGAAGTGGGCTCTGTAGGCGATACGGGACTTGCTACCATCCCAGTTGGCTGGTCGGCTTTGGATTCCACAACCTGAGAACCGACGTTGTCGCCTTCGATGTCAGTGCCCGTCACCTGAGGGTCCGGGGTGGCAGAAGCCAGCGTGGCCGTTTCAGACGGTGTCGATTGGGCTAAATCCATCACAGCGGGAGGGGCGAACTGTTTTTTCAGCCCCTTCGGGACACTCAAAGTGAAAAACCTAGACTGGCTGAGAATAGGCACTCCTTCAGGATTGGAGCAGAACGACGAAGGCGCTAGCGGTGGTAGGCTCCCCGGCGGTCGACAGAGGATACAGAGATGGTAAGAGTTCGGTGATTGAGACCCACTGTCCCCTTCACCAACGTCTTGTTGCGCATCTGTCATAGCTTTGTCGTACATCGCCTGTAGCTCCCCTTCTTCGTAATCTTCCTCGTCCACAGGTATCGGGGATGGCGACCTTTGCATGCCTTGGCCAACTATTGGAGGTGGCGACTTCTGCACGTCCGGTCTGGTGTCCATCGAGTCTTGTTCCAAAGGCGATGGTGGGAAATTCGACGCAGGAGATTCCGGACAAGGTGACGGTGAACCCCGCTCCACAGGAGACGAGACGATATTTCTCTTCTTCCGCAGTGGAATTGGGCGAGGTGGACGGTGAGCAGAGGAAGCTAAAGGAGATTTCTGAGAATTCACAGGTGTCCGGGGAATCGACGACGTGGGCGGAGAACCTTCATCCTCTGAAGTCAAGATGACGATTGTGTTACCTTCCAACGCTGTCCGGACTGGAACTTGGATACTACTCGCGGTAGGAGATATCGTTGGCGGCTCGTGGTCTGAGCACAAATCAATGATCTCTGCCGTCCCTTCTGGAGGTTTCCTGGTGCGTTTACGCCGAGGAGATGGTTCTTCATCGTTTTCTTCATCGTCGATTTCCACTGTCCCCAGTTTGACTGTGGTGCCTATAAAGAGATGACTGAGCTCGCCTTTCTCTGGTGGGCACGGACGTACGATGTCGATTCAAACTCTTGACACGTTTTCGTTTCTCTGTGATCAGGAATGAATGGAGCGCACTCGATTGCAGATCAGAAGCAAAGCCTACTTTGAACGACCGGCCTTCCATGACTCGTCCATGCTGTTTGAGTTTGACCACGCTTTCCCTGAGACGAACGTTTTTGTGCCGCTTCTTTCGCTGCGATTGAAGCAAGCTGGGTGCTCAAAGTTGGCACGTCTGAATCCGAGCTAGATTCTTCCTCCTCTTCAGGTTCCCATCGTCGTTTTTGACCTCTCTCCGCAGGCATATGAACAGGCAAGGGCGAAAGAACCGGCGCTGGTCTTGCTAAAGTTCGCTGTGAACTTTGGGGTGCCCTTGACCTGGGTGCGGTGTCCTCAACGGCTGGTGGTACGAGGCAAAACCCAACGCGTCAAGGCCCTGCGTTCAAGCTGAGCCGAAGGGCCAAACATACCGGTCTTGCGTCGCTTGGCAGTCCTGCTCGTCGCGCTCAAACTAGACGGTCCCGGTTCATGGTCTCGTTTGTTCGTCCATGCGCAAGAACGCTGGGCCATTCCTTTCAACGGACACACTATTTTGCAGAGATGGTCACTGTTTGAGGTAAGAAAACTAACTAATTGTTTGGCACTCGCTGCCGCGACAAAACGTGGCGCTGACCGTGTGATGGCATGCTGTCACCTCACCCGAAAAAGGTTTAGGGGGTATACCCTCTCAGTGGCCTAGGCGCCTACGGGCGATAATCACGATAAGCTTGTCTCGTACCCATCCGTTTTCAGTCGTTTGACCTCCGTGGGTGAGGGATAGCGTTCGAAGACGCGGCTCCCACGGGAGATCCTGAGCCAAAAGCGGATGGGAACGAGACAACGATAAGCATACAGTGACATAGCATTCGACATGAGTATGAGTAAACGACAGAATTGGCATGGAGTTACGGTCAATGAAACCATGATATAATGTCCCTCCGCGAGAGTCGACTGCTGCATATTGTCGGCTCATCCATGAAAAAAACGATATCCACTCCAATGACAATGAATCCGGTCCTCCACGAACAAAGGCGACGATACGAGCTACCCCGAGCTCCCACTTGACGATAATGATCTTACCAACGACGGAGACTATGAAACGAACGACAGCAAAACATGATTGAGGTTGCTTGAGTGATAAAGGATACCGCGGTAAAAACGGAAGGAGTCGGAAAATCGCTAAAGAAGAAGCTGCCAGCAAGCTACTGGTGCCAGCCCATGGCGGTCCAAGCTTGACGAGCAGCTTCTTCTTTAGCGATTTTCTGACTCCTACCGGTGCCACGGCCGTATTCTTTGCCATTCACTAATAGGACCCTGGATCAGTAAAAGCGATCACAATGCACGGTGCGGTGAAGCTTACAGCAGCATCGAACATGCCAAAGAGGTGCATGTGGGGGACCAGACTGCTCTGCAGGGTAGGTTACATGCACGCCATTCTGGGCTGCCTTCTGATTCATCAAAGCCACTGTGACCAGGTTCTGTTGAACTACGTGTCCTTGCCCGGTAGTTGTATGCATCCCGTGCGCTCCCTGCGCAAAGCCAGTAGGCCCACGGCCGTATGGCGTTCCAGGAGGCATCGGTGGTGGAGGCGCCATGGGTTGAGGGGGAGGAGCGAATTGCATGGGTACGTATCTCTGCGCAGCAGGAGGCGAAGAAGGAACAGGTGGAGATGCGGTTCGATGAGTAGGCATATCTTCCAAGATCGCAGTGGCACCATTCGGGTCAATCAACCGCGAAATCCACTGCTGGATCTCCTTCAGTCCATTGCGGTTGCGGAAGTAGACGGCGCCAACATAGGTTTCGAACACCTTGCGCATTTCCTGGCGCAGACATTGATTAGATGGGGCGGGGGATCAGTTAGACTGTACTCACCGTACTAGAATTCATACTTCGTTCCATCTCTGAAGGGGCGATCCGCAGCTTGGTCTTCAATCCGTAAGCGTTCATCCATGTGTCCACAGTGGTGTCACTCAGTGACTCCTTGATCCTGGCCTATACCATGGGCGTTGACGGAGGTTGGGGCGGGAATGGGGACGGAGGGACTTACGCTGAGCTGGTCGGCCGGGAGACTTGGATTCTTCGCATGGAACCAATGTGTGGCGACGACCATCTGCAGAACATAAGCACCTAGCTCAGCTAGACGATCTGTATCTCCATAGTCTTCATTCAACGGAGCACCGGTCATGCGAAGAGATTTATGAGTGAATACATCGAGTAAGAGCTCAACATCTCCTTCAATCTTGGGAAGCGGTGGTAGGTTGGCCATGCTGAAGAATGTGGGAGATGTCGATGGGAAGAATCCCAATCAATGGGGCGCTGCCTTTATATATGTTGTGGGCAAGCCCAACCCCCGGCGAGCGCTTGCCACGCACAGCAAACCGTGTGTGGCTCGGAAAAATCACCGTCGCTGCTGCGCACAACATGCCATCATCCTCAGCTAAATCTTTCACAAAAATAGCACAAAGCCTTACTCTTTGTTTCCCTTTTTTCCTGTACCATTTTCAGGAGAGAACACTGTCTGTGGTACTCGTGGTACGGCACGATCCGGCCATGCCGTCGTTCCGTTCGGCAGTTTGCCGGAGATTCCGGCCACTGCATCCCGCAGCATCCTCAATTGAGCGCTTAAGTCGCAGCAACCGTGGGTTGGAACCAATGGCTGTACGAGTAACTCTTGGCGACGCTTCGACTCGCGTGATTGGCTCCGAGGCAGCTTTTGGCACGCTACAATCGGAGAAGAACATGTTCAAACTCAGACCAAACGCTCAGCCACTGGCGGTCCACGGATCTCCTCGAAGTTGACGTTCATACCATTCCGTGATCACCGTCGAATACCCTACTATCATTGACAACGGTATGCAACGCGGTCACAGTGTTGCAACGGACCTTATCGCAGCCCAGGCGCTGCTTTATCGGCCCAGATTTTTATATAATCCTATGCGGGTGAACGCGACAGTGCTTTCTATTTTACTTTTGTAACGGAGAAGCAATTGCTTCTCAGAGGAATGCGTTATCAGTGGTAGAATTTTCGTTGCAAAAGCAAAAATCCCACGTAGTTTGGACATTCCGCAATGAGTGGGAGTGGATTGACCGTATAAACTACATATAAATTAACAATGAATGTTTTCTAACCCACTGGTCTACCTTTCATGCCCCTCGTACCCTTTCTGAAGAGACGAAACAGAAATCTTGGGAGCGTGACAGGAGCGAGAGAGCGTTCCCAGCAGTTTGCAACGCGACCTCCCGCGACTTTCATCAAACGATCAAAAGTTTGTCACGCTCCCCCCTTCGGAGTTGCCAATGATGTGACATCGGAGTGTTCGCCATCATGTCACAGTCGTTGCAACACTATGACTTTTGGTGCTTTTGAGACACCCTCCACCGGCCTCCCTCTGGCAGAACGAGAACTTCGCTGATTCTCTAAATGACTAAATAAATGAATAGCCGAATAGAACAGCAACCTAAATACCAAATTTCAAATTCCCAAAATGAGTACACAGAGAGATATTGAAGAGAGAGTGAAATCCGTTGCAACACCCTGCAAACGATAGTAGGTCGTTATAAAAACCCATCGGCTCGCCACATTTCAGACCGCCTTCAACTCCATGGGCCCCATACATAACAGAATGCACAGACGCCATCGGCCACCATAAACGTCACCATCAAGGGCTTCAAGCTTCAAGCTGCTGCCTTCCATACCATAGTGACACCAATCAGCCAGTCAGAGTCGTCGTGAACGTCGGAGACCTTCATTTCCGAACTGGGTGAAAGGCATTGCCCGCTCTGTACCAGCGAGTGTATTGGAAGCCGCACTGCGCGAAAGACACTCGTTGGTCGGCCGAAAGGGGGCTTCATCGGCGAATCAATATAGCAGTTCACCTTGACATTGCCTTCCAGCTTTCATTCCACTGTTGTTACACTCCATCGGGAACTCCGTTTATATACTCTGGTCGCATTCGAGCGTGCACGCCGCATACAAACCCCAGTAACGACGCGAGGAAATTAGTGCTGAAAAGGGTACATACTCCATTCTGCGATCTGATTTATTTTCAGGCAATCCACTGACTCATTTAAATCACAGAACACTTCAGTTTCGAATCTACTTTGATACCAGCCTCATACCCTCACATACCATGACCCAATACACCCAAGACACCTTCCGAGCACTTGTGAAGAAGCTCGTCGAGAAACCAGAATATTTCAGTTCGGATGATCTCAAAGTAGCGCTCAACCATCTCTTCACCCCCGACGTCCTCCATCCTTCCCAGATCGGCGCCTTCCTTACTGCCTTGCACATCCACCGTATCGAGCGACGTCCCGAATTCCTCACCGCAGCCGCCTCTGTGCTTCGACAGAAAGCCCTTAAAGCCGCTGTGCAAGAACTCGAGAAGGATTTCGTAGTAGATATCGTTGGAACCGGAGGTGACGGGTACAACCTGTTCAATGTTAGTACCACCGCAGCAATCGTGGCTGCTGGTGCCGGTGCACGGGTAATCAAGGTAAGTTTCAAAGTTGCCTCGTCTTCCTCCCTTTGAGCTTATGGTTTGTCAATAGCATGGTAGCCGGGCATCAACCTCTTCATCAGGCTCCGCTGATCTCCTGGAATCACTCGACTGTCTGTTCACCGTCCCCACACCAGGCACACCGATGCCCATCCCCCGCGTCCCCTTCACCTTCATCCTTGCGCCACACTATCATCCAGCAATGGCTTCCATCGCTCCCTTCCGCAAAGCACTCCCCTTCCGCACCATGTTCAACGTCCTCGGTCCCTTGATCAACCCAGCAAATCCCCGTGGAATGGTTCTCGGTGTTGCCATTCCCGAGATTGGTTTGGCGTTCGCAAAATCGTTGAAGGAAGGAGGAGTAGAGAAGGCACTGGTTGTCTGCGGTTATGAGGGACTGGACGAGATCAGCTGCGCTGGTCCTACCCACGCCTGGGAACTCCATCCTGACGGTTCAATCACAGAAAAGGTTTTGAAGCCGAAAGACTTTGGATTGCCAGTCCATCCATTATCCACGGTCGCTGGTGGTTCTCCCCAAGAAAATGCGGCAACGTTCAAGACGTTACTCACCTCTGGTGACAAGATCCCCGAAATCCTCATCCCCGTCCTTGATTTCGTGTTGATGAACGCTTCTGCTTTGCTCGTCGTCGCTGGTATTGCGAGGGACTACGTTCACGGCACAGAGCTTGCTCGCCAGAGCATTGTCTCAGGCGAGGCATGGAGGGCTTTGGAAACTTTCCGAGATGCTGGGCGGAAGGCTGCCGCTCAAATCGCATCGTAGGATACCTGTCGGTCTCCTGGTATCCATACTCGAGCCCGTAGTCAGTCAGGACAAAATGTACTAATATCTTCCAAATAACATCACAACTAGACTGAGCAGACTAGCCCGCATCCGGACATTCCTATCGTGTATGGAGTAGTCCGAGGAGCCCAAGTCCCAGGAGTACTCACCTTGATTTATGACTCGGATCACACTTACAAGCCCGTTCTAGGGCTTGTTAGAACGTTAAACTCTACAACCTACGATTGGCATTCGGAAGTAGTCAACATCAACTATCTACAAGATGTACGGTCAAGTAGAAGTCGACGTTGGAAGGGATGGCCTGGGGTAATTAATTTTCAACAATGAACATCGACTGGCAGGAGATACCCGCCAGAGAGACGTTCCGTCCGGAACCGATCCATCCCTCAACGGGGCCCGCTGAGGACGATAGCCCATCGAGAGAACGAACCGGTCACCGGATATAACACTGCGAAGAGCACCGGCAACATGATATGCGGGGGCAACTAAGCTGTCCTACGTGAGAACTTGAACGATGTGCAGAAAGCGCCATGGCGCGCTGCGCCCTCCTACTACGATCGAAAGAACTCAAATGTACTACCCATCAGGAGAAAGCCTTCAGGGTTCAATGCTTGGCTGTAGTGGATATGTCAGCTAGGAAGCGACAGGAGAAGCGCAAGGCAGACTAACCGAATAGCGGATACGTTATCGCCATCGATTCCTAGAAGTCGCGAACCGACGCAAACTTCTTGACTGTACATCCACACTCTAGCAGAGGGGATCCTGGAGCTATCGGGATGGGAGTTAGAATCCCAAAGCACCCTCAAAGCAGAATGTTTGACTTACCCAACAACGAGACCCGGGACGTTGTCGGGAAATACTGGGCGGTGCACAACGGCAACCTAAACGGAGTCCACTGACAGGGACAAATACTGTCGCAGAAACTGTGTTAAAACGAGGTTGCATGCACCGAGAGTCGGACATACCGAGAAGCGAAAACCGTATCGCTCTCAACCAGATACGACCACCATGGTCGGGGAGACCTCTCCAAAGAGACAAGAAAGGGAATTTTGAGTTAATGAGCCTGGCCACTTTAGGGCCGGCTGCGGAGTTTCACTTGCCATCACGGGACCTTGCCCCTGTCTACGGTGCTCCTCACAGCTCATAAGCACCTGAATATGGAATCCTACCTGCTGTTGTCCTTTAAAATTTCACTGTAATGGTTATCATCAAGAAGATACGTGACAGGGTCTAGGTAAATTAATCATCATATAACGCCAAACCAGCTGATCGAACGAATGAATGGCCTCGGGTAAGGCTTAAGGAAGACCAAGGTATGGACGTATGCCGTAGTAAATAAGTATAACAGAGAAAAAAAAGGAATGCTGAACGAGTCCATTTGCACATCTTACGCCGCATAGTACGGATGATTCCACTGGCGTTTCTCGTTATCCGAAGCCTCCAAAGAGGAGTGAGTTGACGCATCGCCCGGCCTTCTATTGCCAATAGAGATTGGGAGCACTGTTTGGTGCCCATTGGGGACATCCACGAGCTCATGAGACTCGACATGGACAAAGATCTCTGGCCTTGAAGCAACGCCGACCTGAACACCGCCCAATTCCCAAGTCAGAGAGATGAAACGCATCGGATAGTTTTGGGATAGATTGCGCTTACCGATCTAACGTCCTGTTGCAGGCTCATACGTTGTTTCGAGACAGCGCCCTGGCTTCCTTGTCCGGTGCCGCTGCTCAAACCATGTTCCGATTCAAGGATAGTCTTGTTTTGATCCTTGGTGTGGAAGTTCCATCCCTTTCGAGAGTTCAAACTACTCATCAGAGAGTTGGTGTATAACTTGGCCAGAGGGAAATTGAAGATGAGATGACTTTCAATCAGAATTTGGGTTAGTTGATCGGCAATCGACGAGTGCAGGTGGATCCACATACGTTCCCTTCGGCTGCGTGCAGTTGACATGTTTAGCATCTTTTCCGAGACGGGGCAAGATAACGGTATGCTTACATCTGTCAGGAAAGTGATCAAGTCCAAGCTCGCAACAATCATGGTGAGAAGACCCGTTTGCATAGTGACTACAGGGTAGGGATTCAGTATTCAGCTTCGGCTTCGCCACCATGGGAAGAGGAGGAGTAAACTCACGCCGAATAATGCGATCCACAATGAGGTCGGAATGCGAGAATCCGGTCTTGTGTTGTCGCTGATATGAAGCGAGATGAGCCTAAGCCTCTAGACAGTGTTTCGACGAAAGTCTTACCCTGAGAAGATGTTAGCAGGCCATTCGGTTGAAAGCACCCATCCTACTCACAAATACCAGACGAGAATTCCTGTGATGAGAATATCGCAGAGAGCTTCGGCAGCGAGCCAAACAATGACGGTAGCCTACAGTACCCGTGAGCGGTGTGCGACGTGCGGAGATGTCCGAAGTACATTTACATACCTTGAAATTTTGGAACTCAGTGAAGGTCGGCGTTCGACCGACTTCGAATGCAGTCCAGATACCCGCGACTGAATACGAAAGGTTGACATGGGAATGATGCTGAAGTTGGCGTGTGAGCTTACCTCCTCCAGCACCGGCAAGGAGCCCGATAATGACTGCACCAATCCAGCTCTTGGTCAGAACTTTGACTCGCCAGGCAAAGAACAGCTGAACGGCCATGGCGATTAGACCCTGATACTAGAGTTAGCCCAAGCTTGATCTGCGACATGGTCGGGCTGACTTACTGTCAGTGCTGGGTCTGAAGACTGAAATCAGCATGCAGTTGCGAGGAGACGAATAACTATGACCACTAACCGGTGGCAAAGACTAGGAGAGACGGATATGTGTAAGTATGGAGGGGCGCCAAATGGCAGGGTCGATTACTCACTCCAGTCAGCTTTGTTGAGGATTTCAACGATGCCTAGAAAGATACTGTGAGGACTTTAACACCTTCGATACCCAGGGACACTTACCATAGAATTTAATCAGGGAACGGTAGAGATAAGCAAAGAGGAATGCAGTCTGGAAAAGGTCTGCGATGAAGATGAGCGCCACCTTGACGCCAGTCAGCCCTTCTGAAGTGCTTCTCTGGGGTAGATCGACAGGATAGATCGACGTACAGCAATCTTAATCCACACAGGATCCCTAAAGCAGTTGAATTAGCCAGAGGAACACATTGGCAAGGAAGTAGACCGACTTTTTATACGTTACACCATAAAGATATACCTGCGTGATCATAATGCCACACAGCAGAACATTAATGAAGAACCCGATGAACATCTGTCCATGGCTGCAAGGCACGACGATGAGACAAGAATTGTCAGCGACTCTGTCACTGAGATGAGGCACTACTTACGCAATCTCTGCGGGCGATCCTTGCAGGGCGACTTCCCCAGCCATGTTGACAGCGGACGCGGTGTAAAAGGGGGAAGGGAAGAGCTTATTCCGGGAGGGGGGAGGTGTCCAAGGGCGTGGATAAAGGAAAGATGAGTTGCGCTTACATCCCCCTCTGGATTTATTGGCTACGCGTGGTACCCTGAAAATGCATTCGGAAGGCTTTCCTCTTGGAGTAGAAGCTGGGGATTTCGCGCCTGTCAAACATGTCATAGCCGAACTGCCCTGGTTTCTTCTTGTTCGCTCACCAAGCTCTCAACGAGGGATTGATGCATCAATCATTGTGACGGAGCTACAACTTGGACGTCTATTTTCAGAATATACCCCAACACAGTGAACCCTGGTGGAATTGAATGTTGATTGGATTGAATGGAGCATCTTACCTCCTAATCAGCACCCATTGTGAACCGCTCTCGTAACCGTGATCGTGCGGAGCCGTCGTTTCCAACTGAAATTGAAAGTCAAGGGTCGTTGCCGGACGAGAGAGAGCTGGCGCTGGTGACTGAAGGGGCCACTGTTCTGTGCGAAGTCCGGGTTGAATGCCTGCCGAGTAGTATCGCTGGTGCTGGTGGAGTGTAACCATCACCTATGATCATCAGTAATGCTTAGAGCATTTTCTCAGAAGGAAGGCTATCGAGAGATTGCCTGTCGAGAGACGTGCTTCTCGTGATGGATGGCTCTGTTCGAGTCAGATGGCGAGCATGCCTACAGTCCACGAGGGCGTCGAGGAGTAGAAATGAGATTCCTAACCGCATGAGTCCTCGAGGCGTTCTTCTGCCGGTGATGTTCCGTCGTAACCCACTTTTGAAGGATAAACATCGATGTATTATCACCTGGAGTCAAGGAAGCTTGCACGCCGGGTAGGTATTAGTGTTGTACAGCATTTGCAAGATAGAAGAGATTGTTAGTGTGGAATAATTTATGGTCACAGGTATTGCCTTGGCACGCACCGCCAACGATGTTATTTCAGGCGCAAAGAGCACTAGCAAAAACAGTAATTTGCCATACGAGGCAAACAGCTCCGGTGAGTTAGCGTCAACTGGCGCGATATCATCGCGATGAATCTCGCGCGCACACCTGGGTGCCACTGGATAACGTCGAAAGATCCTCTACTGCAAGCGGCCCTTACAATCGGAGAGGAAATGGTGGTTTCAGCTTTACCCAGCGTAAGCAGCCGAAGACCAAGGGGTCTTTTGGTGCATTCAGATTTGTGTTTGCGCCGCCATGAGCTCAGCGTGGCTTTCGATTTTCGATCGGTGGTGCATTAGAAACTGGAAGCGATACCCCGATGATTGAGGGAGTCGTTACACATGCTGATACGACTCTCGACATGACCGTGCCGGGACGGGTGACGACAACTGGTAATTCTTCTGCACGTCCTAAGTACGGAGGTTGAACGATTGATAAGCCTTGATATCATCAACCCTTTCAGAAGCAGTGTATTCGATGGTGCGGGAATTTAGAACACCTTCACTGGGAAGAGGGAAGTAAATGTGAGATTGAAAGCTTCTTTGTAGACGCTGAAAGGATCCAGTCAATGTTTACTCTGGACTCCAAGCAATGTGGCACCAACTGGCATGAATTTCGGCCGCGTAGAGACACGCTAAAACTTGGATACGTCGGTCAGCCAATGTACCTGATGTGGCAGTATAGCCTCCACGTCGTATGCTTGAAGACAGACAGGCACTTGAGTGGAACCTGTAGCTGGATGGAAGATATCTCGGCGATGCCGACGAAACTGTCAAATGTCGATGAGAGATGTGACGAATCAGAGAGATGGCGAATATCGACTCACCCGGACGTTTGATCCTACTCTCGAGGTCAACGGTCAGATAGACCATGCAAAGGAACAATAGCGACAACCGTCCTTGTGAACAATATGAGACGTTGGACTTTGGCATGTATTCGGAAACTTCGACCAGGGGATGCTGTGAACAGAAGCATCCATTAGAGGACCTTGGGAAGGTAATCTTATCAGGTTCTACAAGGGTGCATGAGCGAAAGATCAGAAAGCTGGAGGAGCCCTGCCAAACGTTAGAAGGCCTATTGGTGTAGCGTGGTATGTATAACGATGAATCTCCGTGACTGGGAACAGAAATGGATCAGCAATCAGTCAGTCGCAAGGAAAGTGACATACCACGGGTATGGAAAGACGTCTACGCCCCTTCTCCGTCTAAACAACGTTCCAAGACGAGATCCCAACAGTCAGAGATTCAGAACGCACTCCGTTCAGCGCAAGGTTCGAGAGTGGAGGTCGAGGTGTCATTGTTCCAAAGTGTGTGCACGCAACAGAGGTTGCACAGTTTTGCCTTCGTCTTCCGGACTGAACGAGGTGAACATATGCAGTCCAAAGCAGTCCGAGTAGACCTTTTGGTTTCAACTGTAAGTTTGTCGCATCATCCTATTCCTTAGGCTGTGGTTGTGGTTGTGTTTGTCCAAAGCAGGCGAAGCCTTGACGAAGTATGTATGGCAAAATCCGAGGACTAGTGACGGACACTGCCACCCCCTAATACTTAGACGAAAAATCTCTCCGCTCTCTCTCGACAGCAGTGGCTTGGTCGACTCTAGGCTCCATGAAAAGGTACTTTTCCTTCCCATTGATATAAGTACAACGTGTGTTAAATGGAAAAGCGATAACATAAATGATTTTCATGTTAAATGGTACCCAGATGGATCTTTCGCTGTACGAGAGCCACCTCGGAACTGGCCAGAAGGCGAGTGCTATCCGCACCAAGCAACATAGTAAACCTTCCTTAGGCGGCGACCGAGACATTCGCCACGGTCTCCAATCCATTGGCATATTGGAATTCTCCCGAGTTCTCATGCTAAAGTAATGCTGATTAGATTCCTACATGGAGGTTTCACTAAATGTAGACTCACCTCCCACATGTCAATAGCTACTTGACAGCTCTCGCGAACGACCTGGGGCGAATCCTCCCTAGTCATCCATTCCCGCAGGTGAGGCAAGACTTCAGGTGTGGCGATTCCGCCTAGAGCTTCGGCGGCTTCATGGCGAACCATGTCGGATTCCGAAGCATTTTGAAGGACTTGAAGTAGCGCAGGTACGGAGTGGGGGGATAGCATCTGACCGAAGATGAATGCGATTTCGTGTCTAGACCCCGAATGTTAGAACCGGCTATAGAGAGTGATCGTTACAACGCACTTGAACAAAGCACTGTCATCGGCGAATCCGGAGGCAAGGGCATCGACAGCCTCCGCGGTCCCGATGTTCCTAAGGGCAAACATCGCCCGATAACGTTCGAAAAGAGGCAGTTTGGTGTCGACCAATTGGGCCTGTAGGGCTTGGATTGATTCAGAGGAAATGTCCTCGGGCTTGGGCTTGCCAGCCAGCAATTTCGATGTAGCTGGTGCAGGGTCAATGGATGTGTATCTAATAAAGGTTCAGCATGTCAAACACTCTAATCCGTCATGGACGTACGGGACCGCGTTCTCTGCCTCGCGCTGCCTTTTAGCTTCCTCGGAATGATCCCATTGAATTTTAGCGATTGCGATCTCGCAGGTTTCTCGCACAGCCCTCTCAGAATCTTTCAAGAACTCCTCCAGGACAGGTATTGAGCCCTTGGAAGAGATGGCACCGATTGCTTCAGCGGCCTGGAGTCAAGGGTCAGCTTTGTGCACAAGCCTTATCAAGGTAATGGTCGTACCTCATGTCTGACCATTGGGTCTTCAGCGGTATCCCTCAGGACAGCTTCGAGCTTGGGTAGAGCCGATTCCTTCTTCAACTGACCCAAGCAGTAGGCGAGCTCATGTTTCAGCAGTGCCGAAGGGTCGTCGAATCCTGTGGTGGGCTGATTATAGCACTGGTGACAGTTTTATCAGACTATTCTTCCATACCTTTCGAAATGATGTCCACGGCTTCATCGTTGTCCAAGCCCTTGAGGGTGAATAGGGCTCTGAATCGAACATGTAGAGGCACCTTGCCCGAAGTATTGAGCAAGCATTCCTCTAGGGCCTTGAGCTCGTCGGCGGCAACAGCAACCATGATGATGGAATCTAATCAAGGGTCAAGATAATTTTGGATCGGACTTCGAAAATCCTTGTCCTTCTTATCCTCCACCATGCCCCGGTCAAAACGAGCTAAACTTGGTAGGCGTTGCCGCTTCTATCGATAAAGGAGTGAAAAATGCTGAAATAACATTTAGTGTCTCTCACAAAAGTCGCTAAAAAGACACGAGAACACAAAAATGCCATGATGAATGAGGTGCGTTGTTATACCACCCATGTTCGAGCCTAAAGGACTGAAAACCGCGCAGTTGCAGGTCAACGCTGAGAAATGGCGGTATTGCTGGTTATTCGAAGTCGGATCCATGCGAAATGCTCACCTTAAAACTGTGCGGAACCTGTGGAAAGAGTGCGCCCCCTCGATTCCCAAAATCTGGTTCAACTCTTACCAATTTTTAGTTCTGCACGGATATTCTTTGGGCGAGGGGCTGTCATGGCGAAGGCGCTGGGCACGACGCCAGAGGAAGAACACAAGGAAGGGATCCATAAGCTTGCCAAAGTGCGTATCAAAGGCGGTTTTTCATAGACGGGGACTAACCTTGTTTCCCACCCGGTAGCAAATCAAAGGACAAGTTGGCCTGCTTTTCACGGATACCGAACCCCAGGAGGTCATCGAATGGTTTGCTGACTTCAAACAGCCTGACTTTGCCCGAGCAGGCAATATCGCAAGTCGCACTGTGATCCTCCCTGCAGGTCCTGTTATGCAACGGCACTCAGATCCACCTGAGCCTTTCCCCCACAACGAAGATCCTCAGCTGCGCAAGCTGGGCCTAACGACCATCATGGACAGAGGTGTCCCGACCCTCACCAACCCTCACAAAATCTGCACGCAGGGCAAGCCCTTGACCGCAGAACAAACGCAGCTCCTTAAGCTCATCGGCGAACGCATGGTTCACTTCCGAGTTGGCCTTCTCGCACGGTGGGACGCTGCGACTGGTGAAGTTGTCCAGCTAGAGTCGTCTATCACACCTGAAGAAAAGGGAGAGGTGCAGTTGGAGGAAGGTGCTGAAGATGAGGGTGAGGACGATGTTCAGATGTCATGAGCGCTTTACTAGTGATTCTTGCTTTCTTCCCCTGCAAAATTATCCTACCTTTCTACTGTATGTAATCATTAGGTTTTGTATCTGGTATCCTTGTATGTGAACGGTACCGAGTGCCGACATGGCCTCATCAGCTCCCAGGATCACTCCATCCAGAATTCTGCATGACGGGACCGAACACGGACGTTGGACTTCAGCTTCAACCACCACAGTTGTCGTGTCTGGCGTCGACCACAGCCTTTGGATACCTTGGATGAAGCTCTCGATCCCCCTTTTGGGACTTTCGGGTCAGGTCCCGTTCACCAGTCCTCCTATTGCCTCGAAAGGGGCACCAGCGCCTGTGAGGGGCAATCACAATTTCACTCTCAAGGAGGGTGCAGACACGTTCTCGCCTCGCGACCTAGTGCGTATTCTTAGCGAGTAGGAAGGAATGCAGTGGGTTCTGACTTTCAGGTTGCAAGGTTACTCTGGGTCGCCCAGGCTCCGCGATTGCCAACCACGACGGAGATCTTGCTCTTGTTCCATTCAGCAAGTATAACCTCGAAGAGAAGAGGTGAGAATCTCGTGGTCCTATGAGCTCAGTGCATGACGACGGTGTTCAACTGTTCAGGAATTACAAGTCCTTGTTCGTCATTGCGCTCGACTGCGACAATGTCAAACCACTCCAGATTCCGGTAAGCATGTCGAGCAGCTTTCTGTCTGGCACCCGTTTACATACCACCCGTAGCAGCTTGAGAAGGGCGGCGATGCATTCTGGCTGGCCTCTCGAACAATTGCGACAGTAGTTGAAGGGTCGGATGGATCCGAACTATACGCCCTTGACATTACATTCGAGACGTCTCTTCATACCTCGGGAGAGCCGCAGCTTATTGGAAGATTCCCAACAAAGACGCCCGCAAATTTCCGCTTTAACCCTCATTCCTCCTTTTTGGTTTTCTCCGACTATGTATATGAAGACGGCAATCTCACCACTGTCAATCGACAAGACGAGGCTTGGGAGAATCGCGGAAATAGCGCTTATGTGTATGATGCCACTTATGAACGACACTGGGATACCTGGCAGGGCCCCAAGCGCCCCCAGCTTTTCAGCGTCTCTTTGGCCCAAGGGGAGGACAAGAAATGGAAACTTGGGAAAGTATTTCACAGCCCGCTAAAGGGAACCAAACACGTACGTCTTCCTTTTCACACCGGCGGGCTGCATGTCGTTTCTCAAATAGATTTCTAGTATTCTCCTGTGGAACCGTTTGGGGGAACTGATGACTTCGATGTATCCAATACCCACATCCTGTACACCGCCAAGGATCCAGAGCTTCCCGAAGCATGGCATACCAAACAGAACGTGAGGGTCGATCTTTTCGTCTCGCTCCGTGAGGTCTAACATCCGCACCTAGGTCTACATTGTCGATATAGAGGGTGTCTCTTCGCCTAAGGAATTGACGTCTGGTAAACAGGGTGCAACACACAGCCCTGTCTTCAGTACCTCTGGCACCAAGGTCGCCTGGCTTGAACTTGATAAAGACGGATATGAAAGTGACAGGTAATAATCACACCCCCTGGCGCTTATATGGATCCACTCAACTTCCGTTGCAGGGCAAAGATCGTCATTTATGATCTTGAGAAGGACATCAGGTTCACCGTCACCCAAAGTTGGGACAGGTCAGCAGACGGTCTTGCCTTTTCCGAAGACGACAAATTCTTGTACCTCACCGCGGGTGATGAAGCTAAGGTCAAGGTATTTGCGTTACCAATAGCGCCAACTCCTGAACATTCCACCACACATCCTCGCTTGGACAGCAGGTTTTCCACCCCTGTCCCACTTACCCATGCACGTGCAGCAAGTGACGTCCAGCCTCTTCCCAATGGCCGCCTACTCTTTAGCCAATCATCATTCACCCACCCCAAAGACGCATTCATCATTCGGAACCTACATTCCATCGAGGCTGCTATACTTGTAAATGATACGGACTATCTCAGCGGAATCGAGCCTGTTCGCCTCACCAATTTTGCCAAAGATGATTTACTGGGAAAGTACTTGGGCGAGGGAGAGGAATTTTGGTTCAAGGGAGCACATCACAAGAATGTCCAGGGCTGGGCGATCAAGCCTAAAGGTTGGGAAGCGAACGCAGCTAAGAAGTGGCCGGTAGTCTTGCTCATTCACGGAGGTATGTATTTCGGTCTTTCTGATAGTGCATCGTGTTCGATCGGCGTCTTCCAGGGCCCCAAGGCGCTTGGGAGGACCAATGGTCCACGCGGTGGAATCCAAATGGTAAGGGTGGAATGTTTGATCTCAGCAAACAAGCCTTCTAAATCTCATCCTTTAGTGTTCGCCAACCAGGGCTATTTTGTCATTATGATTAATCCCACTGGAAGCACCACGTTTGGTCAGGGTATGTGTAACGAATCTCCGACAAGCGCTATTGTTAACACCCCCGGTGGTTTCAAGAATTTACCGACGCCATCGCCGAAGACTGGGGAGGGAAACCCTTCATAGATATGATCAATGGCTGGAAATATGTCTTGGAGAAATATCCGGAGGTAATTTCCGTGTCTTTTCTACGAGGATATCGGAACTCGTGCTCACAGTGCACCTTCCTTCCTAGATTGACGCGGAAAGAGCAGTAGCAGCTGGAGCGAGTTGGGGCGGATATGCTATCAAGTCGGTTCAAACGCAAATACCATGATTTGAAGAGTATGCTGACCTCAGTTCCGTTGCAGTTGGATCCAAGGACATCCGGAGTTCGGGTTTGGTTTCAAAGTGGGTGCACTTGCGTCAATATCGCATACATTAATCTAACGTTCAGGTAATGGTAGGCACTCGTGGCACATGACGGGGTCAGTCTTCATCGGAACGAATCAGCCGGTTGCTTGACCTTGCGTTAGGTATTTGATGCCACATACAATGGGTATTCAACGGACGAACTCTTCTTCGTAAGTGAGAAACTCTGACTCGAGACAACCTGGCTCATGCAAAACTTTCATCGAATTCTGATCAGTTCAACCACGAATGGGGAGGGAGGCAAGTTTGAGGTTCGAGTCATTAACCTCCGAAGCTTGAGATTAACGAACTGCTGTAGACCGTGGGAGTCCAAGAGTAAACGACTATCTGAGAAGTAAGTCCTCGATTCCACTGGCCATTGGTACATTATTAATTGCGGCTTAAGGATGAGTCCATCGAATTACGTCCACAAATGGTCTACGCCTCAGCTTCTCATCCATGGAAGCAAAGATTACCGCCTGCCTGAGACTGAGAGTATTGGCGCCTTCCATGCGTTGCAGCAGTGCGTCGATAACGTCATTCACATGTTTAGCGTTCATTCAGGGTCTCCAATAGGCTAGGGATCCCCAGTCGTTTGGTCATCTTCCCAGACGAGAATCATTGGGTCTTGAACCATGGAAATAGGTAAAGTAGTTCACTTCTTGAGCTTGGCTACATTGGCTGATGAAATTGTACTTCGCGAAAGCTTGAAATGGCACCATGAGGTGTTCAGATGGTTCGACCAATTCGTTGGCGATAATGAAGTAGAAAGCGATTAAGCGCCGACCGGTTGGCAATCGAGGCCCGATCCTACATCCTTTACAAAGTTGTATACGTTTTATCATGGGATCTTGATTCCGTAGGTGCTTGACGCGAAAATAGTGTATCGGCTGCAATCCGGAAATACAAGGTTGTACTGAGAACGGACCGTAAGGTAAATTAAGCGCCCAGGAATGGGGACGTACCTTGTGTCCACCCAAGCCCCATGGTTGTGGAGAGGGGTTCCAAGTCAAAAGATATGAAATTCTTCGGCCTCGAGGGGGTATACAGCGGATCGAGACGTCACGTTTCAGCGAGAGCTTCGACTGGCGGGAAAGTGTTGGATAGTCCACAGCTTCTCCGATATTTCCCTTGCCGTGTGTGCACGGCAATCCGTGTATCTCCTAGATACAGACTATGCATCAGTCAATTGTCGTATCCATTGCGGACGATACAGAGAACTTCAAATTCGAAAACCATTGAACTAGACAAAAGCACACCCCTCGTATCGCCGAGCCGTATATGGCGCGGTGTAAACCCAATACCTGCCCATCCAACTTGAAACCACTTCAGTCAATCTGAGAGTCGGAGCTGTAGCTCACCTCTTTAGACGGTGTGGTGCTGAACGTCTGCTGAGCTGTCGGAGGCAACTACGTGAACATGGAACGGAGAGGGACTGGATGTATCTCGACTACTGCTGGTGGTCGAAAGGCCGTCATAGACCTCTTTTATTTTTTTTATTGGTTGGCCATCCTGGGCGAGAGTCCACCAGGATAGCCATCGTCTTTTCGTAGCCACCAGTCAGCAAAGTCGACAGGACATCCATGACAATGCCATCGGTCACAGGAAAAAGAAGTGAAGTGGATAATACTAAGGCAATGCCTAGGCAGGCTGGTACAAAACCTTATCCTCAGTCCGCCGAAGTGTGTCGGGATAGATTTGCCAACCTCCCCAGGCCTGCGAAGAAAAGAGGGGGAAAAATGGGAAGGGAGGTGAGGGATGTGGACTCCGAGGGCCTCGTCACGATTTTATAACCAGGCTTACCAAAGCCAATAGCACAGCTCTTTAAGCGCTTACAGTCGTCGAGAACCCTGCCACGGTAATAGAATCACGCCAGAATCCTGCAAATCTGGGTCGACTGGAAACCACACAACACGGTGACGTGTGCGTGAGATCGTTGGCGCTTAATATGCAGGATAAAGCATCAATTAGCAGTAGTAACCATCTATGTATGATTCGATCGTTTATGCATATACAAGAAGTGCAGTGAATGGTTCATTAAGAGCTGTGCACGCGTACCTTGTATCCTTTAACTTAAACATGGTGAGATACCATTCTTCAGAATTCAATAGGCGCGCATCTTGTTTCTTGGCTTTTTCAACGTGGCCTGGAGCGTAAGCTAGGCCAGGCGGAGCGCCACCATTTCCCCTACTCTTGGGTCCAGGACCGCGTTTCGTTTCCCAAGCTAGACGTGTTCGGGGTCCCAGGAGGAGCGTATCAGCCGTCACTCGCACAGCATGGTACCACATCAATACACCATGGCGGCTGCCTGTACACAAGCCTCCGTGTCGGTGACGCGGAGGAAATTCAATTGACTGCCACTAGATTTGAATCCTGTCTTTAGCGCCTAGTACCTCAAAGGTTTACCATGCTCTGTCATTCTACAAAGGAAGGATGCGTCCACCATGATGGGCAGACAGGATTGACATCCTTCTCTGTCATAGAACATCTTGTAACGACAGCTTTTCACCAGAAATCCCATCACCCGATGGGCCGAAGCGGTTTAAGCGCCCGTCATGGGACTTATGAAGAAGACACGAGATGAGGCGAGGATCGGGGGAATTGGTAACCAGAGCCGCTTAAAACCATATTTTGGCGGCCGAGGTGCGGTACAACCTCGCTTTCGAAAGGGTCATGGAATTCCGATGCTGCCATCGGTATTGATACAACCGCATGAGTAGTTAATTGTTTTCTCAATCCGTCACTAGTATTACCGTGACATAAACTTGATTCTGGGCTCAAGCACAACAGCGGTATAGATATTCTTCTACCCGATCATGTGGCCCTTCTATATATTCCAAGGTCATCCCTGACTGCAACCACAAGCGCCCGTAGAGCATCTTCCCCATTTGAATCATAGAACTCCAAAACCTTCCGTTCTCCCCCTAGCATCTCTCGAATCTTATCCATGATCATCTTTACACCCTTCCAATGTTCCCCCAACTCTGCCCAGTCCCGAACTCTATGTCCGGAGAAGACGGCTTGAGTACGCTGTTGAATCCTCCGAGATTCCAAACGTGTTTCGAATTGAGCTGTTTTATCAAAATAGTTCAATGCCTCCAGTTTGACGGTCTGAAAAAGGGCGTCGCGGCTTTTCTTGTCGTCTCTCTTTCTGATCCTTTCCGATTCTGAGATAGACCAGTTGTTCGTAACAAAAAGGACGAATTCAGCGTACATCGTGCGGTCGGGCTTCAGTTTCGCAATGCCTTGCCCAGTAGGCCTGAACATGTATGGATCAAACCATTTCATGGTGCAAACCCATTCATACACCTCCATTCTTGTTTTGAATCCGGAGTTATAGACTTCCCTGGAAAGGCCCAGGAAGTCCATAATGTCGTCGAAGTTGACGCTCAACACGAAATGAGGGTTAGGAGGGTCAGGAATCTAAATATTTTAAGGAAAGTAAGCGCCCAATCATAGCGCTTGATAAGAGGGGAATTTAACTCGCCTTTAACCCAGTTTGTCCCAGCTTGAGTCCAATGTTTGCTGCCATTAATCCAAGTATCATTCCCATATCTCCATAAGAATGGAAGAATTTGATCCTCTCGAACTCGTGTTCATCCTCGCAAGGATGGACGTCGACCTGGGAAGTGTGCCATTTGAGAATAGAGTAAGACTAGTGTATGGAACGGATCCTAGTCGGCTATCCTTACCTGGTAGAAGATTTCGCCGCTTGGTGCGGCGTCTCTGGCAGTCGCTTCGTCAGTCTGGTGACCCCATGCGCTCCATTCTCCCATTGTGACAGGAACGGCATAGTTGGACGTCCTGTTACCCTCCTGGTCTATCACGAATCTTGCTCCGAGTGCGGCGCGAACAATTTCGTGCGGGACGAAGGCGGCAGCGGCTTCAGATCCAGCGCTGGTAGTGCTCTTCCGCGAGGACTTGGGTACGGCGACCAAAATATCCAAGTCCCCGTAGCTTGTTTTCTCTGGCGCTTCGATAGGTACCGCAATGAAAGTGTAGAGATCTGATATCTTTTCAAGATACCGTGCTTTGATTGCTGCATAAACTTTGGGGGGCATGCGAGGAAAGCACTCTTTGCCCATCTGGCTGGCAAAAGAAGCGCCACCCATGTTGAGGTATGAGAGCAAGCTTGCTTATTGGGTAGGTTCCATCTTATATAGCCTACGAGAATGATTCATAAGGCATAGATAGCCCAAGATTGAATCATTCATGAATCGGGAAGTCACAGTGCTGTCACGAGTCAGGCAGACTGTCCGGTCGGAGTAGATGAAACTTACTTATCTCAGTTTAGGGCAGTACCAAATTCTCTACTGGGGGCCTTGGTGGTGGTCACTTGGTGAGCGGTTCCTCGCAGTAAATCGATAAGAGCCCACGGGGTCACATGGGCGCTAATGGTTTGCTTCGTCCAGAATCGCAGCAGGTGTAGGATTCCCAAACAGATCTCATTTTTACTTAGCACTTCACATATGTCAAATAAGGAATATAGTACCTTAGAATTAGAGCCTGCAATGAGCCGAAAATGGCAGGAACCGGTGAGCCTTGCTGTCGCTCGTTCTCGATGAGGGCACGAGTGTGGCGCCTGGGGATAGACAAATATGGAAGGTCTTCCCCACACCTCAAAGGGTGCTGGCGTCGCCTCTCGATTTGAACGACGCCCAACAACACCAATTCACCTCACCCCAGCCACTCAGCAATGTCAAAGTTTGCGCCCCACAGAAGGTCCGCCAACCAGCCGAAAGCGACATCGTCCACTGTCTGTCAAAAATGCCTGGAAAGAGGTACGGCTAACGAGTCTTGTCCCACTGTGCCGTGGCTGAACGACACCCCAGGACACTTTACTTATGAGTGCAAAGGCGCTCGCCCATACATTTCCCGTCCGTCACGAACGCAACAACTGGAAAACCCTCGCCTGAGGGCAAAAGCGACGCCCACCGTTGAGGTTCCAGAAGAATTCAAAAGACCGTGCGTTGCGGATGTTCGACTACTCTAGTGGCAGTCAGTTAACTGGTTTATGTTCCTAGGGCAGGCATTGCTTCCAAGATTTTGGAGGAGAAGGAGAAAGAACGAGCTAAAGAGGAAAAAGGAAAGGCGAAAGAAAGCGAACGGGGACGGAAAAGGTCTCGTCGGTGAGTCTGTGACGTCCGACGTGTCTGGGTTTGTCGAGACTGAAGTTTCCCCTGCTTCACAGTTCGAGGTCCTCAAGTTCTTCCAGTTCATCATCCACCGATTCTGATTCAGACTCTGATTCCGATTCGAGTTCAAGCTCGGATTCCGATTCTGATTCCTACAGCTCCGGCTCTGATTCTTCCCGTTCCAGGGAAAGAGGCCGCAAGCGACGAAGGCGGAGCAGAAGCGAGTCCTCATCAAGCTTTAATTCTTCTCGTTCTCGGTCGAGATATCGTTCACGCTCGCCGCCCAGTTTCCGCTCTCGTTCAAGAGGAAGAAGTCCCCATCCAAGGAGCCCCCACTCTGATGATTCCAGGCGGAGGTGATGCTAGTGCACTAGACAGCTATGTATATTGTCCTAATGCAAGTCCGGGGCCACTGTGAAAGTGACCACATCGACGGGCATCCTCGTCACACCTTCCATCTCCCAAGTTGGCACGGTGTGACTTTGAGTGGCGAAGGCATAGTTGGCAGTAGAGAAAAGACAACGCATGAATTCGCGAGAAAATTCAGCAAGCAGCGATTTGTGACGAAACCTTCGTATTCATGATGAGGGCCACGATAAGGCTACACCAACGACCATTAGTTCAAGTAACAGAATAGGACAGGCCCGAATGCGCACCCGTATAAACCGAGGACCTCGGCGAAAATGAGAATTAGGACCATGCCGACGAAGATCTTGGATTCGTGAACATACGCTCGAACGCACTGGTTGGTTCAGGTTAGATATAAAAAATAAGACCAGTAATTGATGCTCACTGAGTCCCCGACATGGCCAATAGCGTATCCGGCAGCCATTCCAGTAAACCCGCAGGCCAACCCTGCTGCGAGATGAACGAAGCCTGCAAACAGGGAGTAATTGTTCGAAACTGAGAGAGACAGATTCAGTAGACTGGCACTGGAAACTTTGCGGAAGGACTGAACTGGATCCTGAGATCAAAACCGAGACGACCAATCCATAGACAGCGATAATTCCAGACATAACGACTGGGATGAGCGACTGTCGTTCCAGGTTAGTTTCGTGGACCATTGGGAATGTTATTGGCGAACCTTCATGATAAGTTCTGGTTTGAATTGACCAAGACCTGCAATCCCAATGCCTGCTTTCGACGTTCCAAAGGCTGCACCGACGGCTACAATGGCGACGACGTCAGATAACTTGGGAGCTCATTCTCCATTACAACTTACTGCTAAAGACCATCTGTTTGACAGCGCCTCTGTAAGCGTCTGTGTATTCACAATGCTTTCAGTGCTTACCGCTGCAGCGACGCCAGCAAAGCCGAAGAATGGCGCGAATGGGGGACAAGTCGACATTGCACTGTGGTACGTTGAGGAGAGCTGGCACAGCGAGCGGGTTCCGGTTACAGCGCCAAGTCAAGGCACGTGAGGTGCATCAAGGGCCGGTCCGGATAAAGTCCGGGCTCTTCTTCGATGCCTCAAGCGCTCACACGTCTGCAGCCACCGAGAATTATCGAAAGTTGGGGAATGCGATGTTCCTGACTGACGACCACAATCCCTGAACTCAATCCCTGAGCTGTGGCTCGATTTATCATCCCTGTAAAGGTCTTTCTTCCTGGGCGATACTTCACACGACGACGATCGCTGTTCCACCATGTTGCAGCTCATCCTCATGTGCGCACTGATGGGTGCAGCTTCTTTTGGGTGTGGAATGCTGCCTTTGGCTTTTGCTTTCTCCAGTGAGCAATAAAGTCTCCTATTCTGCATTTATGATCCTAATTGACACATGCAGAAAGCCACATTGAACGACTATCGGCTGTAGGAACAGGCCTGCTACTTGGGGCTGCGCTGGGTGTCATTGTACCAGAGTACTGTCCCATCTCTCGTCTCCCATCCCACAGCTCGATTGAATTAAGTGCCTTCTAGGGGGATCGAATCCATTGTAGAAGCGAACAAGTCTAGTGAAGTACCAACAACCAAGATCTCTCTGGCGCTATTATGTGGCTTCACCTTCATGCTCCTTATCGAGCAGCTCGGTATTGGAGGGCATTCTCATGGATCGAGCGGCACCAGTGACCGACCTTCCTATACCAGGGCAAAGCAGTCGGCGCCACTGGATCAAGTTGAATTCGACGCCGAGTTGGATGAATTGGAAAGAGACGAATCTGGTCGTGGTTTCCACACGCGGTCTGCAAGCAACGATAACGAAGGTCCTCTAGACTTGGCCCAGGGCAAAGGGCGTGCGTTGCCATTGACCCTGGGGCTCGTTGTCCATAGTTTTGCCGATGGTTTCGCATTGGGTGTTTCAGCTCTCTCACCGAGCGACGAGAGCAAGGCGAATACCTTGTCATTGATCGTATTTCTCGCCTTAATTCTTCATAAAGGTGAGGTAATCGATCTCTCGTTAAACCAGTGCTGACTCGGGTTCATATCTATTTGCATATCTTTCATCATGGACCTCACGCTCCCTGCGAATGTCCAATAGCTCCCACCTCGTTGGCTCTTTCAACCCAGCTATTAGCCTCCAGTCTTCCCAGAATCGATTGCAAGAAACACCTCGCTGTTTTCTCCGCCGCCACTCCCGCGAGCGCAATCATCTGTTACCTTTGCTTTACCATCCTAGGCTCTGGAGAGGGTAATGATTGGACGGGAATTGCACTGCTACTTTCCGTAAGTGCTTCGTTCCCTGGCGAAGTGACGATGGCGACGTTTTGCTCACCGAGCTCCCGGGTACTATGTTTAGGGTGGCACATTCCTCTATGTGGCAACCGTCTTGCAACCAGTGTCACATCATTCTTCGGGAGGAGGGACCCCAGAGTTACCTCGAGTTTCCCGCGTTTTGCTCATCGTTATTGGGTTGTTCATCCCGATTTTATTGAGCTCGTTCTTGGGCCATGGGCATTAGAAGACGGGTCCTTTTCCTGTTTCTGTAGGCTTCTACAACATGAAACCTCGTTTACGCTTAGCGGGCGTCTATTTGCTTCATAGGATGACGACATTGTCGTGGTTAGCTCATGTATTTCTGTGAGCGTGTTCGCATAGTACTCCAGCAACCAGTTTCCTGGGTCGCATGGCCCAGTTTGATTCGAGCATGAGTTCTTAGCATGTCATAGTCCAATTACGGTGATGTGCATTATAGCGCCCATTTTAATCGTTTGGGGGCAAGGTCGTGTTTCACACTCCGTTCAAATGTCGCGGGCCAATTGTTGCAACCTTCCTGACGCAAACAAAATGTCGAACAGCAAGGCAGACACCGGTCGCTGGAGATGTCGCCTCACGCAGGATATGTGGACAGTGGAGGTCCTCTGTTTTCGCAGTTGACGCGCGTGGACGCATACCTAGTATCTATGGTATAGACATCCATCTGCACACATTGGTCGGTTTATCTCTTTAGGAACCGGACTGAATTCGCATGGGTCCGTGTTGGCCCTGGACGGTTCAGAGATGATATTGTGTTGGAAACCAGCGTCACCACCATCATTCTTCCGGCTGCCTTTGGCACGGTGGGATTGGCCTCGGAACCATGACCATCCCCCTTGTTCCTGCCCAGCGCTCTTGCTTCAGCCATTTTGGTTATCAATCCATGTGCAGCTGCGTGACGCGGGAACATGTGCATGAAGGCATGAAGGCTCTGGCCCTGGCTAAATTAATCGTGATTCTCCTTAGCAACAATGTGGAATCTTGTGAAGATCAACACCCTACACTTCCTTGCGTAGAGGCCTCGAAGAGGAATTGGCAAAGGGGCCACGGTGAGAGGATGTCAGGATGGCAGGGAAACACATCAGAATGTCCGGGGAAATAATGTACAATCAAATTGATGCGGTATGTGGGTCGACTCGTAGCAACATCATGCTTACGGAGCACTCTTAAGCAGATCCTCTCCGTTATTCTTGAACTTAGTGAGCTCTTTCCTCCAAGGTTCCCATGCGTTGCCGTACTTCTTCAGCAAGGTCGCCAGTTCTTGCCTCTGCTCCCGCTGTGGGTTGAACCGAGTTACGTTAGACGACAACCAACGAACGACACCACAGCATAGAAATACGCACGATATTCCAGGGCTCCTCCCCGCCGTACACATCGGTAAAGAGCTCCCCGAGTTCCCAACGCTTCAGAGATTCGGACCTCTTGAAGGCCTTCATTACATCAGCTTTGAGCCGAGCCTTGAGCTCTTCCTCCGCCTCGTTGTTCCACCAGCCTCTTGATTCCAAAAAGTATCTGAATCGAAGGATGGGATTGTCCAACCTCTTGCGATCCTCAACTTCGGAACGAGGGCGATAAGCAAACGAATCGTCCGAGGTCGAGTGATGCCCAACCCTGACCCAGGTTTAGTCACCCGCTTCCGTGTCAGAAAGACGGAAGACTTACCTGTACGACATGGCTTCGATAAGTACGGCCCGACCTTGCCCTAAACAGCGTCTTCTGGCTTCTCTGACTGCATTGATAACTGCCAAGACGTCATTACCATCCACTCGAATGGTATCAATACCATATCCAGGACCGCGACTGGCAATACCGTCGCCATGGTACTGTTCCGAACTGGGCGTACTGATTGCAAACCCGTTGTTGCGGGCGATATAAAGCGTCGGGGCAGGTATGGTAGACGCCAACATCAGACCGGCATGGAAGTCTATCGAGATCATTATCATGGGCGCGCGCTGGCATAGTGGGGAGGTCCACTTACCTCCTTCCGAAGCGGCACCCTCCCCAAAGTAGCATGCTGCGATGGAGCGGGAGCGGCGGTTGGGATCACGCCGAAGAGCAAAGCCCACACCAGCAGCCTGGGGAATTTGTGTCCCAAGAGGAGAAGAAATCGTGTGAAAGTGGTGTTCAGGCGATCCAAAGTGCTGTCCATGGTCCGAGGATTGAGATATGAAGCTAGGCGTGGTGGAAAACAAGGGAAGACGAAAGAACCTACGACAGGCATCTGGCGGCCCTTTCCAGAGGTGTCTTCTTCGTTTCCGAAGCATTGACCCATTACTTTGTCTAAGCCAAAGCCTCTCCAAAGCAGCACCCCCATCTCACGGTATTGGCCTTGTGTCGGATGTCAGGTTGGCTTCGGACCATGTTGTCTGGCGCAGACGTACCTAGAACTCTTTGAAACGTCAGGGCCAACGGCCTTTCTGATACGATGGACTCAATAAACTTACTCGTCATCATTCTCCAATCCTGCGGCGGAGCCAATAATAGTGGCCTCTTCGCCGTACTTTAGGGAGAGGTTGAGCCAGAACTCTGTAGGCATGTGTGTTCAAGGATCTTACCGAAGTCATCTAAGCAGGGGTGTTAGCTTCCTAGGACACTCAAGAACGACTTTGGGTACTCACGTAGAAAGAAATCTTCCCCTGCCGCTGAATGTTGTATAGAACGTTGTCCAGAGTCGGCAACAGTTGCATGTACTCATACAATCGTCTGGCATAGGCTTCATCCATCTAGTAAAACATTAACAACGCGTTTAAAGTACTTTAGAAAAGCATCTCTTACCTCTGGTAGTTCCGCCCCCTCCAGTGGTTTACCAGCGCCATCCAGAACACGATAGGTGGGTATCTGGGTGCCATCCCCTGTTACTGAATTGAAGAAATCAAGCTTGGAAACGATTGGAGAGTTCGATTTGGGTAGATTCTGCGCACTGGGGGCATATGGCCGTGCCAAATGCGCGTGCTTGAGAGGCTTCAGAGTCGCTTTGCCAGCTAGACGCTGCACAAATCTCGAGGGCCGGATCATGGTAGGAGGAAGAGTTGTAATGTCACGTGCAGCCCCGCCCCGCCTAATGAATCGCGATCGGCGGGGCATCCAAAAGGAGTAAATAGCATGGCCAAGCCATCATTTGTGCAGACACGGTGATTCTTGTTAGTCCAAAAACCCATTTGTCGATAACGACGTTGTTCCCATCGACTATTCCACGTTGTGAGGGGGACCTCTGGGTTTCTCTTTTCTATATCACATCACGAAGGCTTTACTGCTAGGCCGATCGCCATGATATGGTCCAGGGAAATAGTCTGATGCCAGGGGGTTCAATTGAAGTAAAAGGACCGCCAATGTCATCTACAAAGCTCCAGGGCTTCTTCTTTTTCTCCCCATTCACTTTCTCCTGCAGCTAAGGTCTGCCCTTTTCTTCTTCCCGCCCTCTTCGTTCTTTTTATTTATGCCCTTCATGCTCCGACTTGCGCTGTGCGTTTTGCTTTTCTCCGGCACGCAGGTCGTCTTGTCTCTGGCCAGATTACAGTTCAACTTTTCCGAAGTCCAGCAATGTCAGCCATTCACGTTCTCGCTCAATGGACAGCTTCCAACGGAGGCACCGGTGGCGACATCTCTTTCTATCATTCCGTTTGGATCGAATCCTGTCGTCATCCCTATCCCAAACGCTCAAGCCATCTCTGGAGGCCTGTTCTCGAGTTTTGTCCCCTTCCCAGCCGGCACCAGATTCGTCGCAGCGTTAGAAGATGGTCAAGGAGCAACTATGATTAGAGTGTCAGATGTGATGGAGGTTCAACCGTCGCAGGTCGCAAACAGCGATAGGTGTCTCGATCCAGATCCCAGTCCCACTCGACACTTCACTGTAGAAGAGAGCCCTTCCCAATGCGGGCAGTTGGCGTTGGCATACAATGTCACTTCCATCCCCCAAGCGCCTAGGGTTCGAGTCTACAGCCCTCTTGGATTCTCCTTCTTCCTCAACCAGACGTCTGACGATCCTTCCACTGGAACCGCGACATACCTCATGAGCGTTTCTCGAGGAAAGCAAGTGGTGTTGCTCGTTGACGGAGGAAACGGAATTCGAGAAACTAGCGCGTTGTTGACAGGTGAGTTCCACAGACTTCCATAATTCCGACGTAACGCGTAACGACTCAATGTCTTTTCTAAATATAGTGGTCGGTAATTCGTCGAGTCCTCAAGAATGTCTCGGGGAAGAAGATAGAGTGGAGGCAACCATGGACAACAATGCCACTGCAACTAATGTCCCCACCAAGTCGGTCACTTATACCATTTCTTAGCGAGTATTTCCAACTTACCTTTCCAAAGGGCTATCATCATTGGCAGTGCTGCAGGAGGGGGCGCCGTCGTACTCATTGCCGTCGCGATGTGCACATTCATCCTATGCGAACGGAAAAAGAAGCGTAAAGTTCGCAAGGCGCGCGATGATTCATTCGATGGTACTCGCATGCACCGTAGTATGGACGAGAAGGCCCCCATGCCTCCACCCACCTTCGTCATTTCACCTGCCCCCGCGATGACGTCTGCTAAGACCGCAGAAGGTCTGACTGTACCGACACGGAATGTCGGTAACCGTACCGACAGCTTGTCGTCGTGGATCCAGGTCACTCCGCTTGACCAACGCGTGCCGATGTCGCAAGTTGGGAAGAATTTCAGACACACTTCGCTTGCACCTTCGCTAGCCATGTCGGAAAGCCGGAATGTCATGCCCCACCCGGTAGATGAGCGTGAACGACTATCCATTAACTCGCTCGACATTGAAGGCATGCTCAACATGGCCAGCATGCAGTCCGAATCAGCAGCTAGGAAGAGTTCTGTCAGCACCCTACCATTCGGACCCGACCTTTCCTCAGCGTCACCCCCCAAGACTCGCGCTCTCACCGACATCGACATTGCAGCTCCACGAAGGACTTTGAAGGTCAATTCAGATATCCCGGACGACCTGCATTCGGCATATTCCAGGGATTCTGTGAACCCTTTCAGCACTGTGTACGATCCCAGTTCTCCTGCCTCTGCTGTCAGCCCTACCGGTCCTCGAAGTCCTCCAGAGGAACCAACTGCCGTTTCTAAGACAAGCGGCAACGGTCTTCCCTCCTCTCCACGAGATGGGCGCGCAGCCCCCGGACGGAGCTCGATAGCAGGAAGCGATAGGAGCAGTTCTGACTGGTATGGTGTTGGCATCGCACGGTGATAAATCGTTTCGTTTGCAGACATGGACAATTACATATCCACATTCCTTTCCTTCGCTATTCTGTTCCAATGAGCCCTCGCTCTTTTGTGTTTTTCGATTGCTTCTCCAAGGACGATCAGTGTAGCCATAGTTCTTTTCGTTACGTTGACAGACAAGGGTACCAATGTAGCGTTCGTTGCCTTGTTGGAATTACAGAAGCGCCTCCAGAGTTGCTACTGTCCTATCGCGAGCTTTCCGCGCGATTTGGCCGCGAAGGGCCAAGTCGGCACCTTGAACCCTGGCCAACCATCGAACCGTGATGTACGATGTATGATCAGCACTAGTTGACTCGCTCCAGGTGAGAACCAGGCCAGATCCCTGAGAAGGACGCGATGTTTTCGACAATTGCGCCACAAGTGAACTACCCGGTACCTAGAGCACAGCTCCAGAATCTACCTGCAGGGAACGGACTTTCTTTCGCCGGAGGACGTTGAGCTTTTGATTCTGAGGAGTGGTATTCTGGTTGGGCAAAAGCACTGGCCAGGGAGTCAGGCAACGAGTCGGGATGGGAAAAGAGCAGAATGGATTGACAATTACGATGAGAAGGATACTACGACATTTCAGCGTCTTCAGGAGGCGGTAGTTTGGCGGCTTCTTCTTTAGCTTTTCTCCTCCCACCCATCATCAAGGCAACATAGTCTGCGCCTCCCAGAACGGGGCCTTCACGGGGACCTGTCTTTGACTTGGAGGCTTTATCCTTCAAATTGCTCTTTTTCTTTGCAGCCTGAGCTTGAGCCTGGGCGGAAGAACCGGCAACGTTGTTCGAGTTCGACCCCGCTTTGGGCTTTTTCTGTGAGGAGAAAATGTCAGCTCGCATCCATCGGAATGAATTAAAAAGCAGACGGACAACACGCTTGAGGAATTTAGCACTTTTACCCATTTTGACTCGGCGCGACGCGATAGTTTCTTCTGGTCGTCGAGGAGAAGAGTTTAAGATAGGGTATCAATCATCGTCGTTGAAGACAAACAGCTGCATATGGCCGACGATGTGCCCAAAATCCAATCAAAGCCGGTCGCGTCGGACCGCTAACGAATAGGGGCGTTTTCCGTCTCTCGAGGAGCAGTTGGTGAACAAGATTCATACCAACGAGGCTCGCCTATATAGTTAGACTCTGACCTCCCTGGATAAACTCGGACGCCTGGCTGAAGCACCTTACCAATGCCCTACCATAGTGCTAGATAGTAGATATTGTCCGGTGAAATGCCAACCCGAGTTAATGAAGCCCCATGAAGCAGATTTGATTAACGAGAATACATCAGGATGAGCAGAGAAGACGCTGTCCAGGAAGTTACCGATACCGCAAATTCCTCATCCTACCAGTAGCAATGCTCTGGAACTTGCTCGTCTCTCTCCTCAACCTCCTACTAGCTCTCTCCCTCTCAATCTCCCTCTTCTCCAAATCCTCTGCCGTAAGCAAATCAAACGACGTTGAGAATTCCTCCGCCTCTTGCCAGTCTCGCCAAACGCTTCGAAGGACCTTGGGCCCGCGCCCGTCCCTCGGTGCGCGACCCCATCCAAGACCCAGTCCGGTCTTGTCTTTGAGCAAGCTATAACCGCTGCGGTCGCGCTTTTCGGGCTGGGCGGGTTCGCCGAGCGCGGGTGTTGCTTCTTTGCCGTCGTGCGCAGTAGGTCCCCCAATGACTCCCCACTCGACGGCGTCACGTTTGTGTTTGACCAGTTCTTCGTGGACTGCGTGTGCAATGAGAGGTGCTGCCTCTCCGGTTAGCCCGAGGTCTGCACAGAGTCCGCGGGCGAACTCTTCAGGTGTGAGGGGTGAGAGTAGGTCCCACTCGATATGGTCAAGGAGGTGGTGGTTTGCAATTTGGACGTCGATCTAGGGTAGAGATTGAGTTCGTACGCAAGTTTGTAGTGGGGAAACCAGACGTACGCTGACGATGACGCGACACTCAGGTAATTCATCACCAGGCTCGGCCATTTCCTCGGGAGAGAGTGCACTATCCATTCCAATCTCCATAGATGCAACGTCTTGGTATTCTTCAATCTGTGCTTTGATTTGATTCGCCACAGTTTCAGCCCAAGGAATAAGGGGTAAATCAAGGTCGTTACAAAAGATGCGGGCAAAGGTTTCTGGTTTGATCAGGTCTTCGTTGATGTTCCACGCAAAACAGTCGCGTATTCGGTGTGTTTCGGTTTCGAACTCGACTCGAATGGGGACGAGTGATGCGCGTTTCTGAGCTTGGGCTATAACTCTGTCAGGCGGACTGAAAGAGCGCGTTAGATAGGTCGCTGTGATGAGGAAAAGGAACATACGGGTATTCATGCATTGTAGGTCCACCAAGACCAATAGGTATTGGCTTTGCTTTGATGAACCGAGCTGGAGGTTGCATTCCCAGGTAACTTTGGTCCAACTCTTCGTTCTCTGGTCGAGCGTTGGCCTGAGGTGCGGGAGAAGCATATCCCCGACCTGTATTCGCATGAGCAATGAAAAAACGTTGGGAATGCTCTGGGGCGCACCTTGCTGTTGTCTGCTCGACGATCGACCACCCCCGTTTGCTTGGAACTCTGAATCATCTGAGTCGAGCTCTCCGGCATCCGGAAGGTCATCCCCAGACCCTGGGTCTGCATAGTTGATCACCGCGCCGCGTCGTGATGGCCTCCCCGTGCCTGATAGCAAAGCTAATGTTGTCGACTGAAAGATGGGTTGAACGAGTAATGATACGCCCGTCTTCATCCTTGAAGCATAGGTGGATTGCAAGGCTTGAGGCACCGTAGGCAAAGGCGCCTTGGGAGGGTTCATGGGCACTGAAGGCTGTTGGATCGGTTGTTGTACCTGCATTGGTACGACAGGGTGCGAATGGGAATAGATTGGTTGAACATAACTTGTAGCCGAGGAAGTCGCTGCAATGGGCATGGTTGGGACCGGCGTTGTTGGTGTCGGGGTGCCGCTGCCCGCATTGCGAGTACTTCGCGCTCGCGATGGACGCGAAGACATTGAGGCAGTTGGCTTTGGCGAAGAGGCCGCTGACCAGGCTTGAATATTCCGCATGTACGCTGACCAAGTACACTGAGTGTCTCATTTCTTCAACGGCGAAGATTGGTTATGCGTACCTTTACTCTGAGCCAATTGCGGGGCTGGTGCTACATAAGCTGTGGAGCCTGCAGACATGGTTGTGGCTGCAGTTGCTATCTGCGACCATGTCTGTCGAAACTGAGAGTCCGTAAGAGAACGCATCTCAAAATTAGAATTTGCGGCGATCGGTAATGTTGGAGTTGGGACAGAACTCGATGCTCTCTGGCTGTCGCTCATCGTTGTATGCAAATATGGCCAGTGTCGAGGTTTTTTTCGTCGAAAGGGCCGAGGGAGAACAAGATTGAACCTGCACTGCGGCAAGTCTGGAACGGCTAAATTCAAGTGAAAATTAGGCACATCAACGGTGGAACGCGTCGCGTCACAACATTTGACGCCGTGTGACCGATGTGACACACGGTGAGCTCGACGGGCAAGTCTTTTGCTTTCTCCTTCGGCTCGCTTATCCACAATCGCAACCCCATCCAGTCCACTTCCCCCTCAAGAACATTGAAATCCAGAAACACTCTGATATCACCTTCTCTTCCTACCCACCCAGTCGAGCTATGGATTTATGAATATCAACGGTTCGATGGCGTAGTTGGTTATCGCATCTGTCTAACACACAGAAGGTCGCCAGTTCGAACCTGGCTCGAATCATCTTTTTGGACTCCGAAGACTAATCTTTTTGTCGGCATCAATCACCTGCTTTCCTCGTAACGCCCATGTCGCACGAGGGGCGCAGCTCTCTTCCGTGTCGGCACCCAGCACTAGGATAGCAAATTCGGTACGTGTCCATCTTCAGTCAGGTTACAACTACTGGAGCTCACTCGGTACCGCAGGAACCAATGTCAACGCCAGAGCTTAAGATTGAATCTGAAGTTGCCGCTGAGCTTGAGCCCGACAACCAACCACAACTGGCTGTCTTGAGAAATCAAGAACTCGTTTCTGAAATATTCAGTCATCTTGGTCCAGAAAGAGGCCCCTTGTACCGGTTGGCTGGTATATGCAAAGCGTTCCGCGAACCAGCTCTCGATCGACTATGGAAATCAATGGACAACCTCCTGCCACTAATTAAAGTGATACCAGGCGCTGCGATTGACAATGGAAATGTCTTGGTACGTCTACTCCATACTGAATCGTTCATTGCTTCTCAGGGCATGAATCTCGTGCTCCAGATATTCCAGGATGTTCCCAGTGCGAAATTGACCAATCAATTCAAAGCATACGCTCGACGCATTCAGCACCTGCACATCGGTATCTGGTGTGCTTTCATTTCCGCACAAGCCTATACGATCATGGCCAAACAACTACTACTCTGCGCGCCCAGCTCTGAGAAGGCGGAATCCCTCCTTCCCAATTTGCTTTCCATCTCTATCGCTGGAAACATTCACGAGCCTTCCTTTCTGGCTTGTTTTGATCTCTTGACTTCGAATTCGAGGCTCCAGCGAGTTGAAATGGACCCCTCTGCATCCATTCGACCCAATCCAAACGCTACATTCGGTCCTGCCATGGTAACTCAGCTGGCACAGGAGACGCCTACCACTTTGACCCGTCTTGTCCTTACCGACTACATCCTTGCCAGTTTGGAAACCGCAGGAGTGTACGGAAGCTTGAAGAAGCTGATAGCCCTTTCCTCCCTCACTCTCGTCTGCTGCCTACCATTCCGACTACCCTCGCTGTCTAGTTTGGTGGCAGTTGCCCCTCGTTTACAATTCCTCGAGATCCGAGGCAATTGCCTGGCCGAAAGTACCCCAATGAAGCCAATTCCAACCGTCTCATTAACCTCCATGTCCCTCGCAACCCCCGGCACCTACGCTCACATCATAGCGAACCTACTCCTACCCAGCCTTCAATCATTATCGTTATCAGTACTGGAAAATGACGCGGGGGAGCCCATCTATTTTGAGGTCGAGCGGCTAGCCGAAGCCCTCGCCACGACGGCACCCAAACTCCGGAACCTCCATCTTGTAGCAAACTGGGACGCCGTCAGCTTTGCGCAGCTAATCCCACTGGTCCAACTTCCCAACCTTGAACAACTCATTATGAAAATGCACATCCCAGGAAGTTGGATAATCCGCAACCCAAACAGATGGGAAGACGTTGCGGAAACAACAGCCCAGTTTCTTCAATTTCTAACTGCCATTTCATCCAATGGTGCCGAGGGCAAGGCCTCGGCGTTGCGCGTGTGTTGTTTTCCCCATTTCAAGACGTTCATGGTCTCCCTCGACGGCCTCCGCTACCTCTCGGGGATCAAGACAAGACTGGAAACCGTTCACCTCAGTATCGATTCCAGCATGAGCGAACGGGGACTTGATCCTGATCTCAAGGCCACAGTTACCTCGCATACCAACGCAACGTCGATACGCCATCTGCAAATCGATGACGCACGGCCCAATAGTGTCCCTACCAGAATGCTTCGGTCTCTAGCTCTCTATATTCACAAGCTATTTCCGGAATTGGTTACACTTGGTACGGTTAGGATGTCGCCCGTGGCGGACATGCAGGAATCATGGGCACTCATCGACCAGTTGCGAAGAGATTACCAGGAACTCGGTGTGTAGCTTGTATATGGGTGGGGTACATTGCTGTATATTATATTTACTCTCTCTAATTCGTACTTCCTGTCATCCACATATCTCCATGTAATAATAACATATGCTCTATGTACCGCCCATTGCAGCATCCTGAGCGCTTAAATGGGATCTCGTGGGAACACAATGCTGCCAATTTGAACGGTAACCAGATCTTTTCTTGAACTTCCACCTGAGCGATTAACTGGGCCCCGAGGCGCGATATATGCGCGAACCGAATCCCACAGGGATCAATGGAACGGCAGATACTCTGGTTGAGGCCCTTGGAACACCACTTGAAAACATGTCTCCCATTGACGCTGTAATCTTTCGAAACCAGAAGCTCCCTCAAGAAACCGTTACAAGCTCTGACCGGGTGTATGATACAGAAGAAAGGGCTTGAGAATCCTTCTTCTCCCTGCCGCAGTTTTCAAAAGAACTCAGGAATTGAGTATGACTCATTTCATGGAATCTCTAGTCCCCTTCCTCGTTATCCTGGCGGTCCAGGCCTGGTACACACGCCCAATCTTTGGCGTGTATTTGGATCGTAAACTTCGTCTTCATGAGCTAGGGTGTCGGGACGGTCCATCTGAACGAGTTCAAGAGTCGCGAAGGTCAATCCAGGCGCATAGATATCTAGGCGGGACTTCCAAGGACTGTAAGAGCCCTTTCACTTAACAGTGGCTGGTCAAGTAGGGCATCTCCGTCATCGCTGTTTCTCGCCCTCGTGGCTGGACGATCAGGACACACACCGTCATGAATGCTTAGAAGATTGGACAGGTTTCTATCGCCATTACCGGCTATATCGTGGCTGTCGTTTGGGGACGGATTCTTGGCATCGAATTGCGCAATGGTGACCTATTGCCAGCACACGTTGACTTCTTGCAGACCTACAGCACATTACACACGTCCTGACACACCATACTGTCATAATCCATCGCCTTGATCCATCTCCATTCCATGCTGGGCAATGGGGAAAAGAACCACACGTTCGTCCTTAGCCCACGTCTTCAAACCATATCCCATCAGCAGTATCACACAACACCGCGATCCTGGATTTTCCCAGTCTCCAATTTCTTTCACGTTCCTTTGTTCTATGTTGTGGACCCAATCCATGCTCTGCATACCGTCGTATTCCGAGGTCTATGCGCTCCGACTTGTAATGGGCAAACAATGATGATTCGACCGCATGCACCTGCGGAACATGTCCCCATCGTCGAAGTACGTTTCCGAAAAAATACCTTGGGGTATACTATGATGCACCGTCATAGCTACGAAATGAATCGCTGAGTCTCGTTGAGTCCGCGAACTGAGTACCCCCGCATCCCCAAGGTCCTTTTTAAGCCCAAGGTCCGAACAGCCTGTATGGGAGATGAAGTCATAAACAAATTTCCGAGTCCGAAGCCGAAGCGACGCCGGATGGATGTCGGGAAGTGCACGATCAGATCGTAGGCCACGTCGACGCTGGCCTTGAGAGCTTGAGAACTCAACGGCTAGAACACTGTCGAAGCGTCGAAGCCTAGGCATGGGCGAAGGTCACCTTGACAGTGCAGATCCATCAGGTCATTTCGGAGAAATGCTTCGAGTTTCCTTGAAGACCAAAGGGTCCTGTCAGGTCCTTGACAGCCGTCGAGAAAGCAGGTGGTCGGGGCTGCGAAGGTATTCATTCGGATCAGTGCCAAATCTTTATCACGAGGGAATGCTTTTGAGGCTCAGTACAAACGTACAACAGCACTATAACAACAACTTTAGGAACAACAACAAAGGTAGACAGGATGAGTCCATATCTGACGCAGTACAAGTACAGTACGATATGCATGATGAAAATGGATGAGGTTGAAAAAGAGGATCCCGAGAGAAAAGAAAAGTGATGGGTCCGGCATGACAGAATGGATTATAGATAGATGCTCGTACACACGAGAGATAAGGAGGGAGGTGGGAGGTCTACAGAGAAGTGAATGAGAGAAATAGAGGAGAGATAAACATAACGCATAAAAGAAACGCAGAAGTGGAGGGAGATGCAGTCCATGATGATGAATGATGGAGAGTATGGGGAGGAAGGGAAAGATGGTACAAGAGGACAAAGGGGATTGGGATGGGGTGGATGAAAAGCGAGGGGTAGCATGCAACCGGGGAAGAAAGGGTAAACACGTCTATGGGGATGTGATGGGGGTGCGTACAAGCACCCGGGAGTAGTGCGAAACGGAAAAAGGTGGGGATGGTATGCAGTGAAAGCCGCACCGACAAATTACAAGGTGAAGGATGTTGAAAACTCTATAGTATGTTATGTCATGGAATATAAATAGCTCATTAGCGACCTGGTGTGTTTCGTCGCTGTGTCGTGAATATGAATGGAAGAGGGTGAATAGGAAGGAGATGAGAAGTGGCGTCTTCCGATGTCACTTCGGTCTATAGCAGAGAATAAAAAAGGGTAGCATGAAGAGGGGACGATAAAGCGGGGTGGTAGCATGAGTCGACAACAAGTGATAATGGAGAGTTTGAGAGCATAAAACAATGGAGACAGCGAAGTGAGAATCAACAGACGAAATCGATCGACATTTTCGAGTCACCGAGGAAACGGGGCCCAAGCGCAGCTGCTTCAAAATCCTTGAACCGCGGTAGTTCGATCTTCTCCTTCTCAGCGTCGTCCTCCTGTCCTACCTCTCTATCACGCTTCGATTTGCTTTCTACACCAGCACCGTCTCGGCCTTCCTCTCCTCTGACCGCCGAATCTTCACCGGGCTTGCCGATACCCTTGAACAACAGTCCGTCACTCGGAAGCGAGTCGAGTGCTCTGCCGCGCTTCTGGGAGGGCGGTGAAGTGGAGAGCATCTTGAGAGGCGGCAAGGTAATCGGAGGCGAGTTTGATCTCGAACCTGGCATCGAGATGGTTCCATTGGTGAGCTTACCAGCACCGTGACCGAAGCTTGTAGGGTGAGGATGCGCAAGTCCACCTCCAACACTGCTATTGAGAGGTTGTAGCGGCGTCGAATATCCCGAGGCGGAAGTCGGCTGAGGCGGGTAACGTTCGCGAGAACGGTCGCGACCCAGCGTGGAAGTTGACGAGGAGGAAACGGATGGTGTATGTATGGGTGTCATACCAAAGGCCAGGCGAACAGAGTGAGCTAGATGGTGATGTTGAGGTCTTCGATCCCGTTCGCGCTCGCGGTCCTCTCCACGGACATAGCTCCATGCGGCTCCAGAAGTAGCAGGCGGGGAAGGAGGCCTGGACCCAGCTGTCCTATCCACATGCATTCCGCCCAAACCGATGCCGGAAGGAGGGCTGCTCCCAGTACTGCTGCTGGCACTCGACAGCTGCGGCGTAGTCGCGCCGGTATTGGGGGTGCCGGTCATCACCCCAGGTCCATGATGCAGATTGCCAGCACCCATCCACAACGGCTTCTCCACAAAGGAAGGGTTGTGGGGGAACATGTGGCCGCCACGCCCGGGTCCAGCACCGCTACTCGGCACCTTGTCACTGCCGGACATGGTACGATGCAGGAATGAAGATGTGGGGCTACCCATGGTGCTTCCCGGTCTTGATTGGGAAGACACGATGGTAACACCACCATCCCTCTCCGCGCTGAGCTTGCTATTGATAGCGCTGGACAAGAACGACGGCGGGGGTAGAAGCACAGGCGAAGGGGCCCTACTTGGGTTGGCACTGTGAATGTTCAGGGTCCGCAAGGGCCCCAAGAAGGGACTTGTGGAAGGTGTGAAGGCGGCAGAGTTGGAGTGGAATTCGGCATTGGTGGTTCGAATGGAAGAAGAGTACTGATAAGGTGGAGAATGGTCCGCTGAGACAGGGGTGGACTGCAATGAGAATATTCTTCTCGTGTTGGTGGTGCTGGCTGCGGAGGTCAAGGGCGAGTTGGGCTGAGTAGAAGCGAAAGGTGTTGGGAGTTCGGAATCCGAGCTCATCGGTGAATCTTCTGGCTGACCGTTGTTGGTCATGCGTCGGTGGTGAGAGGGAAGATAAGGGTGGTGAGAGCCTGCCCAACTGTGGTTGTATGCGTGACCAGTTTTCATCATGGTCTCGACAAGGTGACCAGAAGATCGCGACTGGAGCAAATGTGAATGACCGGGCTGTTGATGCCAGTTGGAGGGCGGTGCATGGGTGCTGAGTCTCCTCTTCCGTTGCAACTTTTGACCGTCTTCGTCAAGCTGAAGTGGGGGTGGTACTGGCCGGGCGAATTGGCCGTCGCGTTCGTGACTGATGTTGTTGAGCCCAAAGTAGTTCCTCTCCTCGGGTGTGAGGTTGAGATGGTGGGTCTTCATGACTGGGCTGGTCGTCGCGCTTTTGCTCAGACGACCGTAGTGCTGTAGGCGCTGGCGGTTTTCGAGTTCTGCGCGACGGGCTTCGTATTGAGCTCGTCGGAGGGCCTCCTGGCGTTCGAGGACGTAGAGTTCGTCCATGGCGACCGTGGAAAGGGCAGAGAACGGTGAGGAGACCGCCGGGCCATTTTGGGTGGGTAGTGCTGCAATATTTGTGGTGGATGTGGAACGCCTGGATGGCTGGACTTGGTCATATGACCCTATTGCAGTAGGACGAGCGTAGGATTCTCCCTGTGGGTAAAGAAATGTTAGAAAAAGGCAAGAGAAAAGTTAATTTTGTCAAGTGGGAAAGTGGTTGAAAATAAGCCAAGGGCTAATTCCGAGAGTCATATGGGTGCAATTGACGTCCGATAAGGGCGTCCACCCGGTCGCAAGCCCAGATAGCGAACGCACCTCGTCGTCACTGTTGGCCCTGCTTCTGGCCTTTTTCTTTATCCGTGCGCTGGCGGATGACAGTGATGTCGGTCGTTGCGTCGCGTGGTCGTAAGAGCCATCGAACATGAGCTCGTCACCGGCGCCCGCTGCTGTGGATGCGTTTTTCGATTTGTTTGCTGAGCCCTTGGCCTTGGAGGCAGCGGTGGACTGATGGTCGTTGTTGTGTATTCTCGAGTGCCTCGTGAGTTCATCTGAGCGGCTGAATCGCTTCTCGCAAAGGGGAAATGTGCAGACAAAGGGTTTTTCGCCGGTGTGGGTTCGAATGTGGCGTGTCTAGATGGGTGGACGATGAGCAGTGCAGATTGCAGTAGAGAAGAGATTGTACCTGATGCTCGAGACGGCTGAAGGAGCGACCACAGAGTGCGTAGGGGCATTTGTAGGGCCTTGCGACGGACTTTTCAGTCGTCGGTGCTGTCGCTGACGATGAGGAGATGTCTGAGGAGCCCATTGGTGGGGCTGGGTGTATTGGAAAAGACTGTATAGAAAACATGAGTAAGGGCAGGGGTAGTTGAAAGAATAGCGTACAGAGAGTGGAAAGTGTATAAGTAGGCGGGCGTTCTCCGGGGTTTTGAGACGTGGAAAAAGGCAAGGCTGACGGCGCGAAACAGATTTCAATCTGGTGTATGTAACCCAAATCGGGCCGGGTTGAACGTTCACACATGCGTCAACCCGCAATTCCTTGGCCGGCCACGTGCATCATCCATCGCGCCATTTCGAGCTACCCCACACCATCAACTTCAGCGTTTCTTCCTTAACAGGCATGTGAAATATCTTTTTTACACCTGAAATAACCTCGGACCTATCCACAATCAGTTCCACTTTTTACGCGCCAATCCACTCACCATTTTCATGCCGCTTCTTCATTTCTTCGGAGAGTCTATTTTCGTCCCAAGAAGCCGCTCTATCTCGTCCTCCCGCTCCCCTCGTCGCTAATACCTTTCTCATGAGCCCGCCCCACTTTCTTCGAGAACACAACCCCGCTTGCCCTTCTTGGCATCTTTTCTCAGCTGTGACCCCCAAATCAGTCCGAGGTAACATCCTTGACAGGCCACTTCGTCGGTAGGCCGACCTCGATTGGGATACCCACCTTCCACGGTCGTTCAACGCCTGCTATCTCCAACGGCTACCCTATCCTTATGTTATCTTCTTTGGTCCCCGTCTCTTCTGCGAATACATCGACCCTGGTTCTCTTTCTTTCAACTCCGCCACCGCAACAAGTCGGAGAGAAGTTCCATCCCAAAGATTTACCGCGAGTGTACCCTCCTTATCTACTTCTCCACCGTTCCGACTTCCAGACTGATAACGGTCTTACAAACCTCACCTCGGCTGCTGAAATGTCCCAGTAAGCACGTTCTGGAAGGGGCCTGGGTCGATATCGGTCCCAATCCTATCCCTTGTACACTATTCTGCCAATTGGTCACCCACCGTGCGCGCCTCTTTACCCGTAACAACACTCGAGGCTCGGAACGGAAGATCTTGTCATGGTAATAACTCCGCCTCCCCCAGCTTAACCCAAAAACGTTCATGATCACCTCTACCCTTTAGTACAACAGCTTCCGATATTATTAACTCATCGAGGCTCCGCTAATCTCTTAACGCCGTACCCATATCCAGCCCGAATCGATAACAATGACTTCGGTTCAGAAATACTTCACTCCTCTCAACTCGAAAACGTTTCTGGGGACCCCATCTCGTCCAATCTAGACAAAACAAGACGAGATCTCACGTCCACCTTAACCCTGAACCTCGGCGTCCATGTCGCAGACAGCTCTGCGCTTCTCTAGCTCGACTACTCCTGAAGGGTCTCGTTCCTAGATCTGGGCCGCTGCAGTATCACCCTGCTTGTCGCTTCCTCGTTTCCATTTGGCAATGAAGCCTGCTCGCCCAATCCTCGATTACCGACTCGGTTAACAGTGAGGGTGGTCTGCCTTAGTCGGATAGGTTGACTCATACTCAAGGGTGGTCTAAACCCCCCTAGAAAGCCGATGTATCTGGACTTCCCGCCGTTAAACCTGCACGCGTTTGAGCGTTGTGATGCCTTGCGCCAATCCCTCGTCAATAAGGTGGACATCAAGTCTCCATTGTCTTGGTTTATTCTGTTGGGCCGTGGGTCTCCATGCGACTTATACCATCCTTCCAAGCGGCCCATTCATCGGATTTCTGATCGACCCTATCCCATTGTGACATACTGACGAAATCAGAGGCCAACACCTGATTTCGACAAGAGCTTGCTCCCAGCGACACCGATACTTGACGTCTAGGGGTCCAACCCTAGATTTGAACACCAGAAAAAGAGTCTTCCATTCGAACTTTGCACGTACGGTACAACACCCCAATCCAACAGCATGGCCTTCACTATCGCTGGGAATTACTCCGACGCTCTCGCGCTGACAAAATAGCCTTTCATGGGTACCATGATTGCTGAAGTTGCGAAAATGACTCTCGAAGAAATACGGCCAAGTGTGCATTCCGTGGCTTTCAGCTCGGAGATTACGACCAACAGCCAAGGCTGGGGTAAGTTTCGCCGACCGAGTTCTTTGCCGTTTCAATTTCGTTTTGTCACTCTTCTTTCGTTCTTCCGGAATTCAATTCTCCTCCTCTTCCAAAGTTCCAAGATTTTGCTTGTTTCGAAGATGGCAAGTTCTCCGTACCCGGTCGGTTGCTTCGATGTATTGTCTTGACAAAGTCCATACTTTCTCGAATACATTTACTTCAATTCATCCACTCAGTGGAGCGGAAAGTGACAGGTTCGTCGAGGAAGAGTTATTCGAGGAATGAGTCGAGAAGTTAACCCCTCCAAGAAGTCAACATTCAGCATTCATGGAACGAGGACAGCATGGGTGGTTCTCGGTTGATCCTAGTCGGCACATCCCCTGGAAGAACTCCGAAGTGATTACCTGACTTACCTGACCCAATTTCAAGTACCCTCATGTGTAACCGCTTCCTGCGTTCGAAGAAAAGGCGGACCAACTGGTTGTCCTACCATTTTACAAAGCGCTGGCCCGGTCGCTTCCTGAGACCTGCGACCGGTATCTTGCGAGCAAGCTGACGTCGTTTTCTCGTCATGAAGCTTGTTCTAGGATTCCCCCAGACTCTGGTGTTAACGCGCAATTTCCAGACTTGGAGCCTGCATATCACAAAGAACTAAGCTGTCGTCCAAAAGAAGGAGCCGGATTATAAGAAGGGTAATGGCAAATTCCGATACCCTATTCCTGACTCCTGCACCAGTCATCGCCCCTCTTTCGAAAGCGACAATGCGCGCGGTATGTATGCTCTCAAGCTTCTGGATCTCATGTTCTGCGCAGCACCCACCACTCTATACTCCAGTCACGCAACTTGCCGCCGCTAAAGAGCGAAGGAACACCTTGGCTTCCGTCCACCTTCTCCTTTCTGACACCCTTCTCAGGTGAAGAACCACCATGCTGTTGATCGGCGAACTCAGAATACCACTGGGTTGGAATGTCCGGCGTTGCCGAAGGTCCGGCAGAGCGGCAGCGTCCGTAAGTCCGGCCGTCCGGCCACGGTCTAGTAACGTTTCCAACGTTTTTCGCTGCGGCTGGGCCGTCTACTTAGTCTGAAGGCTACCCTACGCATACCCAGCGCTTAGTATACCAGAATCCGAACGCATTTAGCCCACCGGTACGCGCTACCCCTCGGTTTTAGCGCTTGCGGCATGATCGCGTGCCGTGGACGGCTGGTTGATTAGTCAGTCCTCGCACGCTCCAGGTAAATTCGATCCAACATCGACTGGGAGGCCTTAGTCCCGTTAGAAATATGTCGGACGGGCCCAAGTAGGCATACCTAGCAAGCCTTGCTTCTAGTGTACGCTCTTAGTGTACGCTCTGGATCCAGGGAACCTCGACTTCGCTGATTGAATCCGTGCTGACTAATCTAGCGCCTTCCAAGCCTATGTTGGCCTCTGTCTCTAAATAACGGCTCGGAAACCTCATACCTACTCCCAACTCGTAAGTCCCCTGGCGTCTCTCCCATTTTCTTCTCCATTCATCCCCTTGCCAGACTGCCGGACCACCCCTGCCGGACGCCCGGACCGACAGACTGCCGGACATTCCAATTCCGAAGTGTTCTCGGCGAACTAGAACTGATTAGCTCACGGGAACTAGTAGCAACTAAGTACTAGGTCTTCCCACTGTCCGCATTTGGGCGAGTACTTCGATTTGGGTATCACGTTTACAGCAATACAGGTTGGGCTGCAGTTATGTCACCTGGATAGCCGGTAAGGGGGGTATCACCGAGGAGAAGCCAGTCAAGTGCAGCGCCATACTTCGCGTAAGTAGGCGACTTCTCAGGGGGGTGCATGGCTTGAAACTAGTTGACCCTTTGTATCAACCGCCGGGTTTGAGGCGGGGTGGGCGTGTCCGAGTCGGTTCCCTGGGTGCATGTGGCTTCATATGCTCCTGAGCTGAGTGAAGACGATGCTAGGATATGGAGTATCGTGCTGCCCAGATATATAGAGTGAAGGAGGAGTCCAGAACGTCGCGCTTACCGCCGGCTCCTCGGGTGCAAGCAGTCTCAATTCACCCTCAAGGAATACATCGTCAGAACGGGAATTGCTCGATGCTTTCCACGCGACATAGATGGCGCTGTTCAACTATTGGGGGCAACAGTCGGGCCTTGGAAGAACCTCTGGTGCTTGGCGTTGGCGTTCATCGACGAAATAAAAAATGACATGGATGCGCCTGAGCCTCGGTCAGCAGCCAGAAGAAAGTGTTCACAATCAGGACCCACAGGCGGGTATCGCATGAGCAGTATCACACAAGGTCGGCAGCCCTGTCGGGAGGGACGGCGCTATCGCCCGACGGGCGCTTAATTAAGAAATCGCCTAAACAGGTGCATGCCCCCTTGAGTGTGGCAGGCCCGAGGCAGCAATAAGTCGAACACTTAAATTACTTTTAATTGGGTCAAGAACCTGCGCCCTCCGAGTTCCAGGTGTGTTTTAATAGCACGTATTTTCCCTCGATCGATGCCTAATTTTAAATCTGCGCGCCATGGCCCCTGGTAGATTGAATGAAGAACAATGCCGTTTAGGGGAAGTTCAATCGCCTGTCAAAACTCCGACGTTGGTTCTCTTGGAGAGACCTCCAAGTGCATTTCTGTAAATATAGGTCGTATAGGTGATGCTGAACTTGGAACTGCAGAAGCAGTTGGACTTTTCTTTGTTCGGTTTGTCCGGCTCAAACGAGCGGCTAGTAGTGCTTAGTACTACTTGTAAACCGACGAGACGGTCTCACCGCCTAGTCCGTAGTCCGAGTCTGTAGAGACCAAGAGAAATGAAGGGGCTTACCTAGCTCTCCCGCACGCGAGCTCGGTGGCTTGCTGGTGAGATAGGGGGGCGACGTGGGCATGAAATTGGCGAGTCGGTCTGACCTCAATGGGCCTTACGAGTACCTGATCTTGCTTGCGAGATGCATGGACGAACGAAATCAGCGCTTCGATTAGGGTCTGGTTGTCACCTGTTCACTCGGAAATAGGTCAGAATTCGTAGAGAAGCGAGTTGTTTTCCTCAAACTGATCGTGCAATGGCCCAGACCGTTAACTGGCCATGGGATCTCTCAGCTATTTGCGACGTGTGCGTTTATGGCTCAACAGATAGTTTCCGAAAGTAATTTCTAGGTAGAGAGAAACATCGCACCCTGGTGTCCAAACGAGACATCTGCCCTTCTCAGCACAGCGAAACAAGATGCGCCATTCCTTCAGTTACCCCGTTCGATATATGTGGTACTCATTCCAACACGAAGGCAGCAATTCTACCGACAGCAGTGCGGGCAGGGACTTCCTGAGTCCCGGTGCACTGTTGCAACGCATTGATTCATTATGGCATGTCCTGTCAAGATTCGACGTCAAAGTGAGAGAACAAGCGTGATTCCCGCACGGTAACACACTGACCCTGCTCCTTCTCTAAACACCCGCCTACTTCCCAGCACAGTTTGTCCCTGTGGTTGATAGGTAGGAAAATGTGGCTTACCGTCTCACCCTCATTCGAAGGTGCGCAAGGAAGATCCTCGGAGGACACTCATGGCAGTCCAACGGCGGCCATGGCTTCCTCGTTCGATACGTATTGAAAGGTACGATAATTTCTACTCTCTATCTACTCCAACACAGCCAAATATAACGGTAGGAATGGAACGTCCCCCTCGAAGGCCCAACCCAGCGCCAGAAACAGAAGAATCTAGCAGCTCGAGCCGTATCATTCTTGGCTGTTTAAATTGGAATAAAGAAGTTGTTCAGTAGACCGAGAATCGTCAGCCCAACACCTAAAAGTGAGGAAGTTGTTGATGCACTCAGCGCAAGGCTGGGATTATCGAATTACGCTGTGCTAACTCCCGTTCTTAGTGTGTTTTCAACATTCTCCACGACCGAGATGTGCTGTTCGAATTCCAATAGGCCGGAGAAAGCCAAAAGAATTCCGACGGGGACCTTGAGGTGCAGATCACTATTAGTTTCGCCGAGGTTCAGACGCAGTCTCGGTGGATGGAGGGCCGCCAAGGACTTGGTAAAAATACAGAAGTTAGTGAAGGACGTAGGTTCAGCGAAGTGAGTCCCATTCGCACTGACGGTGATATCATAGTCACTGGCGAAGCGAACCAAAAACAGTCCCGACCGTGGTTCGAACACGGGACCTCGCGATATTAACACATTGCAATCGCACGCTATACCACTTAGCTATCGAGACATGTCTATTCATGAGAATACAATTTACACCATCACTTTTCTTTCCCCAAATCCTTGTAAGCAGTCCGAAATGATGTCAAGCTTTGCAATGCATGACCTTTCCGAGTTGATCTTGTCCACCACCATCCATGTTCCTGGTTTCTGAATGAATGGAATCGACGCATTCAAATGGCTGCGCGCAAAGCCCAGAAGGCTGCCCTTCGATCGCAGCGTAAACCAGAGCGGTGTCTCAGAATCACTTCTATCTAATGGATTTCCCTATTCAAGGTGAATACTCGAGGGCTCGCAATTCAAACGTATTCTGACGTGGGTTACCACTTTCCGCCGAATGACATACTAGGAGACTGCATTCCCATGAATCATGCGTGAATGCGCTGACCTTCTCGTCTGGAGATGGTCGCTGGATGGCAAGTGGAGGGGATGGTAAGAGCCTTTCCTCGTTGGTCCAGACAACGCACTTTGGGTTCATGTTTCAATCCTTGCAAGGTAACGCGCCATCTGACGCACTTACAATGTAGATAAGCTCGTCAAACTATGGGACTTCCATCAGGACGATGTTACGCGACCCACTCTGAACCTATCGGGCCCAAGGGTTGGAGACTTATTCTTCGCACCCGCACGAAATGGCAGCAACTCAATCGTTTCTTTAGGCGAATATTCTCACATTAGCATTCTCTGAAAACAACCGCTATCTATATTCGTAAGTTAAACTTGATCGTTACAATGCGTATTCCATTGACGTTGTTTCCAGGGGCGGTGTATGCGAAACCGTGTATAGATATGATATTTCCACTCTCGGCGTGGAGGCTGTATCTCCAACTCCTCAAGGAGCCTACATAGACTCAGACGTAGGTTATTTCTGCGTGTCTCCGCTTCACAGTAAGCTCACGTTCCCTTCAGGACAGCATCAGGTCCATTTCTTGCCACCCCTTTAACGAAGATCTGGCTTTGACTGCAAGGTGAATATCCTCGTTGGTTTCTTGGAAGAAATATATCTGCTAATTACACGGTGATAGCGAGGATGGATGTATCTACAGATATGATGCTCGGGATGTGAACACCAGGCGCACAAGAGAGAACACATTGGAGCTAAACGCATCTGCTTCCGGCGCTCTTTACCATCCAACTATGGCCCACATATTTCTGACTTCAGATAGTCGTGGAAGGGTTTGCCTCCGAGATGAGCGAATGGCTTTTGGATCCGGGGAAAGGACAGATGGTGGCATTGTACAGAGGGTAACGTGTCGATCGTCAGTCTTCCTCAATTGATCCCAATCAACACAGAACAGTATAACACCAACCTAACTAAGAAAACAGTCAACCACCTGAGCAATCCAGAAGCAAGCAGCATTGTGTTCGATCGCACCGGTAAGTCGTCCTCCATTGGCTCAGACTCCCAATGAAGCGAACACCTGCGGACAGGTAGCAAGTTTGCTATCACGATGGTGGTGAGTTGGACCTGCCTCCTGGCTCCGTTATCTTATTGAATGCAACGTTTCGATCCAGAACTTCTTCCCAACAATCTTCTCCACAAGCGACCCGAATCCGATCGCAATCTGCAGCGGGAAGTATCTTCCAAACGGCGATTTGGTGGATACGACCTCTTCAAGAACGTATCAAAATGCATGCACTATGAAGGTAGGCTTCTCTCTCCGTGGACCCACCTGTCTCGACACGGTTATTTGATTTCCTACTTCAGCATGGGTCATTCGGTGGGCCTGGGATGGACGAAGACATATACTATGGAGCTGGTTCAGATGATTTCCGTGGATATGTCTGGAAACTTCCCCCTATCTCAGAGTTGGTCGAACAGAGGCGGGAGATAAACGCCAGTGACTGGCACGCGGCGGAACCAGAAAGCACCATTGGTGGGACGACCATTATTGGACCTCGAGAAAGGCTTGTACTGACGCACATCCTGATTCAGCTTTTACAGCTGGTTTCTCTCAACCAAAATACGTCCCTGTGGACATCTCTCAGCCGTTCTGTCACTTGAATGGCCATCTCTCGATCGTCAACACTATCGTATTCCATCCACAGTTTCTTCACGTAGCCACCGCTGGCGTCGAAAAAGACATTATCTTACACAGTCCGACGCCTGGTTCGCCTTGCACCCGCGATCTGGCGCGGTCTCCACTCGAAGTCCGAAAGCTGAGCGAAGATGGCACCGAAGACAGACTTCTTTACTACACTTCGCTGGTGAGCGATATCGACCGGACTGAAGCTAGGACTATTAGCCTGTTCGACCAGTGAGTCTAGAATTCGAGCTCGAGCGAGGCACTCTTCTGATGCGCATCTGTCACCCTCCAGCCTCATCCGAGAGGAATCAGACAATGATATTTTCTTGACGCGACGATGGAGACCTGATACGGAAGACGAAGAGGATTCGGACGAGGAGATGGCAGGAGATTCATCGAGCGGGGAGGAAAGCGACCAAGACATTGACCCATATTGAGACAGGTCTCTCTCTCGACATGATACTTTCCCATTCGTGGCAGTGGAGTTACCTACAAGAACAACGCCAGCCCTTGAATGGAAACGGTTAATCAGAGCCCTGGTTCCCACTCGGATAAAACATGTCGGTTCGATGCTATCGGGGGATTGGACATTGGACGATAAGGGTCGATGGGGAATGCTGTAAATACTCCAGCACTTTAACCAAATCCAAACACATTGGCAGGCTTGTTTTCACCGCGATGAATGCCCAGATTCTAACTTTAACGTGGGTACATAGGCGCACGTTTTTAGGGAAACGGAAGGATTAAGGGTGGTTCCTCTAGCCCTACCTATCGGGTCGGGGTTCCATAGAGTACAGCGATCGTCTACGTGTCTACATGAGTATAATAATGTGACCGATGGTTTTGCTGGAGAAGGGAGCCAGGTATGTGGCACCTGCCAAGAAACCCAAGATGCCCAACCAGGATGTTGTCTAGTACCAGATGCTTCGTGTCCGATGAATAGGGACTATATCCTCGGTTTCCAAACCCTCGATCGACTCTTCCCCGCTCTCCAACCGTTTCGCAAGGTCCCAGAGGAAGAAATCGATCAACACGCTGCTGATTGTCGACCCAAGTACATGCGAATTGTCGGGGTCTTCTTCTTGGATGGCAGCCAGAATCTCTGCGCGGACGCGATCTACAGCAATGATACTGGATGTTCGGAGGCTGAGCTCCTCTCTACATCCCATTGGGAGATAAATGCCTTGTCTGAGTTGTTCAACGAGAGAGGGCGGATATGACAAGATTCTGAGATGGTGGAGGATTTGAGGGACGCGATAGTCTGCAAACATGGTTAGCTCGTGGATTGCAGGTCCTTGCTCTCCGGGGAAGATGGGATGTCGGTCGCCTTGAGATGCGGGAAAGAATGCAGCCCAAGTTTCAGCGACAAGGATTTGCGGGCGTTTCCAGAGGTAGACTGTCCACGGCTCGTTAGGGTGTCTTCTCTTTAGTGAGTGTCAGAGCATAGTCGCACCTTTGGTCCCGTCGTAAACGGTCTCATCACGGAAGGACGGGAAAGTGTCCACGACCATTCTAACAAGGTCTAGTGCAGTGCCCTGACCATTGTGGCGACGGTGGAATTCGTCTAGGAATCCCTGGTAGCTTCCCCCAAAGGACTATCGCCAACCGAACAGTGGTCAGATGTTATGGAGGGTGTACGAAACAGCACCACTTACGCTAGTGAGGATAGACCCCACTTCACGCATGATAGATATCCGTTCGGAGAGCAGAGGTATTGTTTCAGTACACCCGGAAGCTTCCCGGAATATGTGACTGATCAGGGCATCCGGGCATCGCGTCTCCGAGCCATAGAATGTCGGATCTGTAATGGGTATACCCTCTTCTAAAGCTGGTGGTGGGCAGAAGAGCTCCGTCAATGGTTCATTAATGTCTCTGAAATTGCGGCAGACTTACCGCGGTCTAGTGCAGCAACTAATGACCAATATCCAGTATGAATCTTTCTTTGCGTTGACTCCCAACCGGCCCTCCATTCAACCCCGTAGCGTTCAGGAGTCCCTTCTTTTTCCGACCAAAAACTGAAGTTGAGGGCTGAAATGAGAAAGATCCAGTCTAACACCTTCCTTGTCATCGGATCTGCAGCTCGATATGGCTCCGGAGGGCAGATGTGCAACGGATGAGTCCGCCATGTGCGTGGTGTATATGATTCTGCCCTAAGCTTCTGCCGAATCTGCGTCCCATGCCCACAGTTGAAATCAATGTTCCGACCAAGGACGAAGGATGGGTAACTGACAAGTTTTGCTGCAAGTCTAACGCCGTCATCGTTTATTTTTACGAGATCCGTTGCCTGAAACAGAACCGCGTCCGTCATTTGGATGGGGCAGCGATAGCTGGAGTTATGCCCTACCTGGTATACGATTTGTGACGTTTGAATGACAATATTGCGGCTGCACTGGACTTTCTCTACTGAACCCGAGGCATGCCTTCCGTACAATTCTGGGGTATTGGAACCCATCGTCTGAACCTGCACCGTCATGCCTGATCACTTTCTCCACGTATGGTTCATCAGTTTTGCAGGGGGGAAAACATCCATTCAGAAACTTAACAGGAAGCTCACCGGCGCTAATCCGGTGCCAGTCCACCTGCCAGATAAAAGCCAAGTGATAACGATGTGGCGTCTCGCCTTTGCCTGTGCGGGTCGATGAAAAAGATGTTCGCCACGACATCGATTGGACACAATGAATTAATCGGTGTTTTTATTTTTTCCACGTGGAATTCTCCGAGAAGGCCGGCGCCCCTATCATCCGGTTCGAGTTGCTTACTCTTTGTCGTCCGTTCGTCTAGCGCAAACATCAAGACTGCGAAATCATGCAAGCAGGCTGGACTGTACCCAGCCATTCCCATTTTCGAAAGGTAACAACGTAAATACGGAAGCAGAGAATATTTGTCGAAGCGATGGCCACGTCAGCAATGATAATTACTGAGGTAGACTATGCAAAGGGCACGAATAACTGCGGCTGGTATTATTAGTACAAGGAAAGATTAGTCTCTTTTCTGTTTATCAGCTTCGTGGGTCGTCCTTCCGTCCAATATTGCTTGCCCATGCTCTTTTAGATCAGGCTGATGGTCAACAGGTCAACTTCGCCGAAGATATTAAAGAAGAAATTATGCCACGCACCTTTCCTAAGACCTGGGTGGGCACAGAAAGTCAGAGCTGATTGTAGCAGCTTGAATCGATCAAAAAAGCTGACTTACGGTTCCTCGGATTTTCTTTTTTTGTAGCGTTCCGCATGCATTAGTTCCTGTGAAAATACTGCTGCGGGGCCACGGTCACAACTTACTTGAGCGCCGCCTAACGTAGAGATGGCCGGTCAACTTCCATATCACATATAGAGGTCGATGATACAAGGCAAACCTACCGACTACTCGTTCCTTGAATGGAATGTTGCCGTTGAAAGTTCCGGATAGGCCTTTGCTTCTGTCGTCGGATGCTCTGGAAACCCGGACTTCACTTCCATCCCCAGGTTGCGTAGAGGCTAGAGTGCACATCCGTCTGCTTGAGTGGCGAAGTAGTAAAGGTGAGCTCCCTCTTCTTACCCTGTTGTGGTGCAGTGTCAACATGGCCGCCCTGGACCCCAGGGACGATCTCAGATGGTGGGGAAGCACGGAACTCTCCGCTTTCCAAATTGGTGGAACCATGAGTTCGAGTAATGCGTTCTTGCTGGGCTGTTACAGGCATAATGGTACAGAGAAGTCTTCGAAAGTAAGAGGGATTGGGGTATTCGAAAAGACATACTGCATACGGGTATGGGTTTAAATGGGAGGGGCACACGGTTGACGTCATAGACATGGACGTCATCGACCTCTCAAATATACGTCCGCTTCGACAGAGCCAAGAGAGGCCAAGAGAAGCGGGCTCGCCCCGATGTGGCTGGGGAATATACAGACGAAGCGTAAGAGGGACGATGGTTAAGTGGCATGATGTGAAGGAGGGTAAGATTATAAGGAGAACGACGAGTGCAGAGAAGATGGCCTGGCCACTGGACCAGTTCCCTGTTGCCCGGGCGCCCACGGGTCGGTGGTCAAGCGTATGCCAATCACTTGGCGTAGATCATTGAACGGGGACTTGAGAGGATCTGGCGGATTCATGGTGAACAACAGACAGTCCTGTACCATTTCGGTTAACCATCACTCCCTACTTGACTTCAGCCTATATTACGGACCTTGACACTTAATCCTGCGGCCCTGAAAGCAGTCGCCCGCACCAAACTACTGAATTGAATTTCCCCGCTGTACGCGATCCAATTGGGTGCATCGGCCTGTTGAATGGGATGAGTAGCTTTTACCAAGCTATCAAAACAAGCCTAGACTCACCGCTACTCTGAAGCTAGCCTCTCCAATACAGTCTACTCTCCACATTTCACGCTTTGCTTCCGACCGGACGACGTTTCTAGGAGAGCATGTTCAAATCGTGGCCGGACAAGGTACAAACCAAGTGACCCCTACCTGACGTCTACGGTTGATTGCCTCATGACTTGTAGTCGTGTTGGCTTTGGTTGTCCCAGGGTGACTGCAGTGGGACTCATCGGGAGAAATGCGGAAAGTGAGATTGGACTCGACGACAACAGCACATGAACAGGGATTCTTTGGGAGAGGCAGTATGTTCGCGTTGCCGGGATGTAGAGCTTTGCCATGATGTCCTGCATCCCTATTCTCCTGGAGGATATCACTGACTCAAAGACGTTCCATTCGATAGACGAGGTAAACCCAAAGGAGTCCGTCGACAGGGGTGGTGGTAGAGGGGAGGGTGGCCTAGTTCGGGGAAAGTAAAGGAATGGGGTGGTTATATTTCTAATGGATGGAATCGCATCATGGTCAGGCTAACCAATGGGTTGAACCTGAAGCACTCACATAGTGCCAGCAAAAAGTCCCATGGCCTTCGATGTAACAGGACTAGATGCATTCGGTTTGTTTACGATAGCACTGACGGAATACTGGTGCGGTGCCCGTGGTTAGCACAGCACCACAGGGAGTATGGGGGTATGGGGGCCCTCACATCAATATTGGCGGTGAACCCCGGGAGTCCACTAAGTTTGACACTGAATGTCGGAGGCAAGTCCTGCAGAACATGGATAAGTGCGGCGACGAAATGAAACCTCATTTCACTTACATAGTTAACCTCTTCGAAGGTGAATGTAGGAGGAAGATGAAGAGAGAACTTCAACGTGCTGGGACATGAACTGTTCAATCGATCTTTGACATAAAGGACTCGAGTGTCGAGGCAAAGGCGAACCGTGGAATGGCCGCCTTCCGCAATCTCTCTGAGCCTCAAAAGTCCTTCAACCTACGACATCAATCGTATGGTAAGAATTATGATAAGTACCCCTGAGTCATTGCCGGAAAATAGACGGAATTACCTTCACTTCGACCCTCGACACATTCTCTGTCCTCGACAACTCCACGAGCCCTTCCACAGGGCCCGCAGCGTCGTAGACAGGCAGGTCCGCATCCCCTGCCTGTGCGAACAGTCGCAGAGAAGCGTTGCCATTCCTTGACTGTTTAACGAAGGTTCCTGTTGCAGGCATACCAGTCGAGGGAAGCCCTCCGGTCAATACAACCCGGTAGTCGTGAGGCTCATAGGAATATCCAGAGCGATGTACCGAGTCCGTTGGACGTTGCGACAACAAACTTGTGGTCGACATGGTGCAGCGGCAGAAGGAGTTGCCTAGAGGCTATCGTGGACCACCCGGTCTGAGGAAGAGAAGGCAATTTAGGTCGACTGAGCGAAGACAAGGCGAGTTAACCGAAGTTTCTGGGGTAGGTTGCCCCGAAAGCGGTACGGGCATGATTAGAAGCATGCGTTCATGTGTCACTCACTGAGTCACTACCCTGACTTGGACTGAGAATATGCGATACCACATGGATGACTATTGGACCACTTTACTAAACGCCTGAACGGCTCTTCGATTGCCCACGGTGCTCATGCTCCAGTGGCACCGAAGCCGCGCTCTGCGCCTTCGAACAGGTAACAGGAAAGCCGGATTTCGAGGAGAGGTCGATTGACGTTGACTCGGTTGCTCTGCGGTTCGTAGGCTAGAAGGGAGGAACACTTGTGGTGCCAAGGGCCGAGACCCGAGGCCCTCGTCGGCCGATGAATGGTAATACGGTGAGCGAGAGGAAACAATCCAGAGGAGCGGAAGGCAATAGATTACAAAAATTCTAAATAACACCATACAGTACGTAAGTAATACAGGGAATGTCGAAAAATATGCACAGGTAATAGAACGCAACGAGAAGAAAACTAGGTGCCAGGAGGTGGTCTCCGCAATTGGACTGGTTTGGTCGATGTCGTAGGCGTTGCGCCAGTTGCAGGCGTACCATCAGCGGGTTTCAACCGCTTCGCAAGAGAGTCGCTTTGACCAGTATTATCCGATTCGTCCCGAGGTCGTTTGGGTCCTGCAGTGGAAGCTGCTGCTGCTGCAGCAGCACCAGCAATCGAAAGGCCTCCCGGGGCGGCTGGCTTCGTTGGCAGTGGACGCGAAGGAGCAACACGACCCAACGGCACACCACGCCCACGTACTGCGGCCCCTCCTCGGGGAGCAGCGCCGGCAGGAGCTTGCCGTCGCACTGGGGCACCAGCAGCAGCAGTCGTCGCGGCAGCGGTGGTGGCAGGTCGTTGACCTTGGATGGTAGCGGGAGCAGCAGGTTTTGGAGCAGGCTGACTCCGGACTGGGGCAGCAGGTTTTGCAGCGGGCGTATTTTGTGCTGCAGCGGTCGTAGCAGGAGGTGTTTGGGTAGGCTGAGCGGCAGTGGCAGGTTTTGCCTCAGGTTTGGCAGCAGGCTGAGTTTCCGTGGGTGCAGCGGGAGTTGCAGGAGGCGGCGCTGAAGAAGCTACAGCCTTAGCATCTGGTACTACCGGAGGAGGAATGCTGGCAAGGCTGCCGGCAGGTAACAAGCCAGAAGCTTCCCACTCGTGGATATTCTGCTCGAGATCCTTAACTCGCCGTTTGGCCTTTTCACATTGCTTCTGGACGACGCGCAACTTCATTTCGGCTTCCTTCCGACCACTGTCCCGCGCACTGTTGATCTGCTGCTCGAAGGATGCCCTTTCAGCGGCCAAGGCAGCTTCGATTGCAGCCTGTTGATCCGCAGGCTCTGATTTGACGGTAGCCTGTGGGTCGGGCTTGATCTCGGCTCTTTGCTTGGCCTCCAGCTCCTTTCGCAAGCTTTCCAACGCTTCTGCATGCTGTTTCTCCATCGCCTTGATCTCCTGTTCTTTCGCGACTTGCATTTCAGTCTTCGTCTGCTCGACTGCCTTCTCAACTGCGACCACATGTCGCTCTTGGTCGGCGCGGCGTAATTTCGTCGTATCAGCAAGTCTTTTCTGGAAGTTCTCCTACATAGACAATTAGCCAGATGTGACAATGTCAACACGGGACACACTCACATTCTGCATCTTCAAGCCTCGTTTCTCTTCCACCAATTCCTGGAAAGATGTAAGTGGAAATGCCTCCACATAGAACACGTCAAATATTACCTTAATTTGCTGGACGGCCTCGTCACGCGCCTTGATTATTTCAGCCTTTTCAGCCTCCCAATTAGGTGCAGGTGCACTCGATGCTGCCGCTGGGACCGCCGCGCTGGCAGCTTTCTCCAACGCCTCCTTTTCAGCCAACAAGGTGGCTTTCTCGGTCTGCAAAGTAGCCTAAAATAGATCCGTCATTTTGAGAAAACACGGACAAGCTACAAACAATCCACATACCACACTTTGCTGCAAGTTCTTGATTTCGTCTTGCGATGACAAAGTAGCGATTTTGGCCTCTAGCTTAGCGATCGTGGCCCTCGATTCATTCCTCTCCTCAATTAATCGTTTGCGCTGCATCTCGATCGCGTTATTCAGACGTTCCACGTTGTCAGAGGATTTCTTAACGGCATCTTCTGCCTTCTTCTTAGCGACTGCGTGTTCCTCTATTTCAGCCTTGAGTTTCTCGACCTCTTCCTTCAGAGCTTGAACTTCAGAGGCATCCACTCGCTGATACTGCAGAAAAGTTGTCAACAAGGCAGCAACGCCAAGAAACTAAGGATGCATACCTTGGAGAGCAGACGACTGTTCCTCTCTTGCCAGCCACGGCTTTCCTGCTCAAGCCGTTGTACCTGTCCTTTGGCGGCCTCGAGTTCAGCCTGCGCGACGCGCGCCTGTTCCTTGGCAGGTTCCACTTCAGCACTGAGTTGCGCTAACTTGGTCTCCAAATCGCTGGCTTTCTTCGCGTTGCTTGAGCACTCGGCACGGAGCAGACTATTGCTCTCGCGGAGAACATTAATCTGTTGCATCTTCTCCACGAGTTCAGCATGTTGGGCGGCCGACGCAGCGCTCTGTACAGCGCGTTCGCGTTCCTATGAATGAGATGAGTTATGCGCCAAATGCAGTGTTCCCCTTGCTACCTACCTCGGAGATCGTCGTCCTAGCCTCTTCCAATGACTGCGAGAGGTGTTCAATCTGAGACTTCAATCGCGCATTCTCCTGCTTGCCAAGTTCAAGCTGCAACTCCACAATCTCCTTCTCCTTCCTTAGGTAAGAGACCACAGGGCGAAGGTTCTCCAGTTCCTTGGCAGCATCTTCTGATCCATCTCCCTCGGTTGCAGGAGTAGAAGCAGAGTCGTTCGCTGCTTGTCTAATGCGTGCAGCCTGCGAGCTGACCGATTCAAGGTGCTGATGGAGGAGCGTATTTTGCGACGAAAGATCCTGGCATCTATGAAATCATTTGTCAGAAATTGGCAAGAGTCGGAGGGGACGAGAACGAACCGAGCGTTGAGATCAGAAATCTCTTTATCAAGGGTCTCTTTCTGTTGCTTCCAGCTCTGCTCAGAAGCAGCCAACTTCGCGACAGCAGTCTCCGAAGCAGCTTGATTTTCACGGGCCTTGTTCTGAGCATCGGAAAGATCGCGGCGGAGTTGTTCAATGGTCTTGATGGACTCAGCATGAGCGACAACCTCCTTGGAATAGCGTTCTTCAGCGGCCTGGGAACAGGGTTCGTGAGTCGAAGAGTGATACCAAGAAAAACAATCATGGACATACCTTGGCCCGTTCCTCAACGAGCTTGATCTCCTGTTCTCTCGACGAACGATCACTCTCCAAGTGTTTCTCAGAAGTAGTCATGTCGACAATAGTGTCCTCCAAGATCTTCTTGTCGTTCTTAAGGGCAGTTCGCTCCTCCTCGAAAGCCTTCTGAGAGGCATTGTATTGTTCACGGAGTCGAGCCAACTCGGCGCTGGCGGCCTCGAGTTTCGCTTCCAATGCCTTGTACTCAGCCTAAACGCACAAGGTCAAAACGTTATAGGGATTGTAGAAGAGAGCTGACATACTTCTTGTCTTGCGATTTGGCTCTCTGTAGAGGACTTGTACTCGTCGAACGTGGAGTTGAGGTTGGCAAGAGCGACTTCGTTAGCTTGACTGATCTCCTTGAATTGTTCGACGTGCCCCTTGGCACTAGCCAAATCGACCTCTGCAACCTTAAGAGCGGATCTGAAGAGATGTGAGAGCAAGTTGCGACAAAATGTACAAGCTGACCAACCTGAGCTCCGCAACTTCTTGCTCGAGTTGCTGCTCGCGACTCATGTTGGGGTCAACAGAAGGTGCTGGTGCTGCAATCGCGGTTGAAGGACGACCCTCGTAGACACCGAGCTTCTCTTCAAGGCCGTGCAACTGCTTCGTAAGGTCTTCAACCCGCTGCTCGAGATGTTGCTTGCTAGTTTCAGCACCGACAAGGGTCTCCCGGGTCTTCGACAACTCGAGGTTCTATGGTAAAATAAGTGAACCTCAGCTGCATACAACATGGAAAACGCGAACGTACAGCCTTGTCCAACCGGCTCTGGAGGTCCTTAGACTCGAGGTCCTTCTGCGTGGTGACATGGCGAAGGGAGTCGCGCTCGCGAGACAATTGGGTTCTCAGATCCTGACTGTATTTTTCGATCAGAACCACCGACGCGGTTGAGTCTACGTCAAGGCCAACTCACCTTTGAGCTTCCAGCATCTGCAGTTGGTTTTCGAGACGACGGCGGTCGTTCTCTCCCGAACGTTCAAGGTCGTTGTGCATCTTCTGAATGTTCGCCATCAGATCCGAGAGGTGCGATCGCTCCATGGCCAGAGTCTTGTTCTCATCCAACAGTCGGGCCTGTACACCTTCCCAGATCTGTTTCTCGGCACGGAGATTGGCAGACTCATTCCTGAGTTGCTCAAGGCGAGCATTCGCGACGTGCAAGTCTTCGGAAAGTCTTGAACATTCAACATCCGCTCTTGTCCACTGATCGAAGAGGGCCTGGTTGCGCTTCGTGATCTCTTCCAAATCGCGGCTGGTGAGTTGATATTGCTCAGCGTGGACTCGGTGACGCTCTAAATTCCAGTCAGCCACTGTCAGACACAAAGCATAAAGACATACCGTTGAGATATTCGATCTTTGCATTAGCCTTTGCAAGACTGGTGGTGAGTTCATGTACTTCTCGCTGCGCAGACGTGAGCTCATCCCGCAAGCGAGTAGCGTCATGGCCCATCTCCGTCCTGTATGCATCGAACTGCTGCTGAACCTCAGCAAGTTCCCTGGCAACTTCGGAGTCTGGCATGACTGGAGCTGAGGTCTCTGCGGAAGGTGGTGCCTGGCCAACGTCAATGCTGATGCCGGCGCGAGATGCTGCAGCCTCTGCTCGCGAGAGCATGGCCTTAAGTGCGTCGCGCTCCTTGACATATGACTGAATGAGGGTGTCGCTGTTCTTCTTCTGTGTCTCCAACTGCGCTGCCAACTCCTGCATAGCTTCGTGCGCTTCACGAATGGCTTCAGCTTGTTCCTGTTCCATCGCAGCCTTGTATTCCTTCTCCTCCGCCTCCATCTTCTCTCCCAATTCCCTCGTGATCCTCAACAGCTTCTGATTCTGTTCCTGCAAAGACTCGATGCTTCGGAACAGTACGAGGTTGTTGGTGATGATGGTGTTGACATCGTTAGCGGGTACGAACGGCACGCTCTCCATTTCTTCGTCGGTTGGGATGGTGGGGTCGTCACGACGAGCTATTTCCTTAAGCAAGGTTTGCACTTGACGTCCAAGATCTGAAAGTTGCTGTTGCAAAAGGGCGTTCTCTCGAGTGGACTTCACCAGTTTCTGCGTCTGCGTTTCAGCGAGCTTGGCTTGAGCTTCTCTATCAGCAAGGGCATGCGAGAGTTGCGCGGATAGCTCTGTGGCCTCCGCAGTGACTCTCTCATACTCAATTCGTTGTTGGGTGAGAAGTGGCGCCTACGAGAAAATCAATATGCAGTTCATCTCATGTAATGAAGAAAATACTTACCCGCTCTTCGATTTCGGCCAAGACAGCGGTCAAGGTGCGGTCCATTTGGTCATGTTCAGCACACTTCTTGGCGTACTCTTCCTGAAGACGAACATAGTCGGTGTAGACCTCCGTGAATGTCTTCCCGCTGCGCTGAGACTTGCTTGCCAGAGCCACTGTGGGACTAAGACCAAGCATGCCGTCGAAGTCGGTGCCGTTTCCGGGAGTGCCAGGTGTTCGAAGGGGTGTGCCAGGGACTGGGAGTTCGCCACGGCCCATGCGATGCAAAACCTTTTCGAGTTGGTCGACGCGTTTCTCGGCCTCTTCTCGACGTTTGGCTTCGTGCTGCAGTTGGTCCTTCAGTTGATTCTCCCTCCTCTCTGCCTTCTCGCCTACTGTAGCCCATTGACTCTCGATGTTCTCCACAATCTCCTTCGCCTGCTTCTCCCTCTCCTCCATCATCTGAACCAACCGTTTGAGACCGTTCGCCTCGCTGGCATACTTGGCTTCTTGTTCGGCTATTTGGCCATTCAAGGATTGAATCTTCGAGAGCGCTTGCGTCAACTGGGTGGTTTGGGCGCTATGTGCCGATTGAAGAGCCTTGAGAGATGCCTTGGACGAGGTGAGTTCTTGAGAAAGAGAATCGTATGAAGATTGGAGATTGAGCATTTCCGCGTGCTTGGTCCGTCGGTATTTGGCGAATTCCTCCGTCTTGGTCGTAAGTTCGGCATTGGATCGCTCAGCTTCCGTTTGTGCGAGTTGGAGTTGTTGCGTCAAGGTGTCGAGTTTGAACTTGGGACTGTTAAACAAAGAAATAAACAAAAATGAGCGGTCGAACCTTGGTAGACGTTTCCTGAGAGCGGAGTTCCCGTATTTGCGATTCGAGTCTCAGATGTTCTTGACGCGCTTCTTTCAAGCTGGAGCGCAAACTTTGCAACTCCTCTAAGGTGGGGTTAGGAATAACACGGTGTTTGACCTGTAAGCGGCGCACCTTCACGCTGAGCCTCTTCCTGCTTCGAACGACTAATGACACTCATGAGATCACGCTTCTCCCGCTCCGCATCGCCCAATTGCTGCTTCAGAGACTGAACTTCGGACGAGGACGAGCTTTGCGATTCCGAAAGGGTGGATATTTGTGCTTTCAGAGCAACGTTGTCTTCAGCTAAATAAAGGTGTCCATATGAGTTGCTGCAATGACGACGACGTGTAAAGACGGGCTGAACCTAGTTTATCGTGTTGGTCCTTCAGCTTCGCATTCTCCTCTTGCATAGAGGTCTGTTTCGCAAGGGAGTCGTTGTTCAAAGCCTCCTTCTCGGAAAGGGCCTGCTCGAGCTCCACTTGGGTTCTATCGTATTCAGCCCTGAGCTCATCCATGTCGCGCTGGGACGAGTCGAGCAAAGTATATTGCTTTGACACGAGCTCATACAGAAAAGCGACAACACCTGGGGTTACTTTATAAAGATCTGGGATCTCTGGAAGTATTTCCGCCAGATGCTGGGGGTCGAGTTCGTCAGGAATGGTCACGTCCATGGTGTCGGGGGCAGCTGCCACCGGGGCTGAAGAGCTGGCCGCAGCCTCAGCCTCTTCCTGTGCCTTCCTCCTCGTCTTGGTCATGATGGTGTCTTGGAACAGGCGAGGTCACTGCAGACAACAGTGAGCTCGAGTGGTTTGAGAAAGACTTCCAAAACGCCCAACAATGGCCCAAGACCGGCTTTGTTCCCACGTGCCTGATTATGTCAGCGAGTATTTGAGCTCAAACCTTATTTTTCGTTTCTCTCTTCTGTATCAACACAACCTCGAACTTTGGGTGAGTCTTGGATTCCTGCCTTTCCGTCGTCGAACGTCGCTAATTCTCCTTAAAAACAGTCACCTTCTGACTCATAGTTATCGAAAATGAGTTACGTCGCCAAAGATAAGGACTACGACGCCGCCGGCCAGCCCGCCCCAAAAATCCACAAAATCCGAATCACCCTCACGAGCAGCAATGTCAAGAACCTCGAGAAGTGTGAGCTCTGTCCGTTCTGTTCATAATATCCAGTAGCTAATAGATTGCAGTCTCTACTGACTTGATCAACCGAGCTAAGGACAAGCAGCTCCGTGTCAAGGGCCCGGTTCGTCTCCCCACCAAGGTCCTCAGGATCACCACCCGTAAGACTGTGAGTCGCGTCTAAAGAAATATGGCTAGATTTCCCTTTCTAATATTTTCTTTCTTTAGCCTTGCGGTGAGGGTTCCAAGACCTGGGATCGTTACGAATTGAAGGTTCACAAGCGCCTCATCGATCTCCACTCCTCTAGCGAGATCGTCAAGCAGATCGTAAGTCGTAGGTTATCTATGCGATCATCCCATTTTCTGATGAGGTTTCTAGACTAGCATCAGCTTGGAGCCCGGCGTCGAGGTCGAGGTTACCATCTCTGCTTAAATGTAATCGATGTACTTGTGACCTTCGTTATCATGAAATGTGCGATGTCGCTTTGTGAACCTCATTCCGCCAGTGTGAAAAAACAACGCAGCGGCCTTCCTCTGCATGGTGCGTCCATTTCAGAGATTTCATTTGTTGGCGACCCTGGGCTTCATCGGTTACCCACCGTTCCCTGTGCACTGTCATTTTGTTTCTCTCGGGCAATGGATGGTCTTGACTGTGGTTTGGAGTATTTCGTGGATGATATTCTGCTATTTGACTACAAGATATTACATCTCAGTTCACTGCAGGGTGCTGAATACAACAACAAGCGAGATTTGCCCCCTCGGTGCTGCAACTTGAAATTCGACTTCGAAGTATTGTGAATCGAGGGCCATGGTGCATACATCTAGCTGTTCACAGTATTAGCGCGTATCATTGGTTTTGGAAGAGCTTGTACTGACCATACACAGGCTTTCCTGCGGATGAAAAGCGGGGTTGCAGTTGGAAAAGGGGTGGATAGGCGGACGAGGATGGGGATCCTGCCATCTGCGGCTGTCAGGGTAGGGACAAAAAGAACCTCTTCCGTTGTACTCACCAGTGTTGCTTCGTAGTCCTTTGGGTCAGCGCTATCTCGCTTCTCCAATACCATCGCATCTTGGGGTTGGATATTTTGGTGACGGCGTGCCGACGAGCGCTTGGACAGATCCAGGCTACTCCACCCCAGACACAGGCACCCACTCAATTCAAAGATCAAGTCGGAGAATCCAGGCGTCGAAACGCAGGCACATGGACTTAATCATTGAAGGAGCGGGACTTTAGATCCAGGTGTCATGGACGGGGTGGAAATGCAGGACAGGCACTGGCTCGCCCACTGCAGTTGCAGTGGATAGGCACTGGTAGGACTTTCGGGGTGCTTCGGTCTGGACTAAAGTTGATAAGCTATGGCGGACTACGAGAAGGACCATGGGACGTACTGGCCATGGGCAACGACATGCGTGCAAGCCATGAAGATTATGTGAGGTGATGCAGCTGGGCAAGTCGTCGGAAAGCCGTCAAATGGGATGTCTGTGCTGCTTGATGAGAGAAGAAAGTATGTGATGACCCCTGTAGTGGTTGGGGGCTTCGCCGCGAAGGGGGCCTTGCGACCCAGTGATTGGGGGCGAAGTGAGGAGGGAAAGGCAGCAAGCAGGTCAGGTTATATAGCCTTTGGGCTGACAATAGGAGCTGACCACAAATCGGAAACCTTTCAGTCTGGCCTAGGGCAGACTCATAGACACACCACTGGTTTAAAATCAGATAAAGACGTTGGAGAGCGTCACAGGCGTCACCAATCTACCCCCATGACATTTGCTGTCGATGATCTCCCAGCCGTGATGCAGCGTCGCTCATGACTCCGTCACTCTCCACAGCCTGACATAGTCGACCAGGCGGATTGTTCGACTCATTTGTGGGCTATCGATAGCCCATATCCTCTGTTCCAATCGTACGTCAGTTGGGGTAAACACAGTCAACTGACGGTCACCGACAGTCACCGACTCGGAAGTAAAATCAGACCCCTATATGATGACAGCTCTCACTGAGCACTCCCCGTGCGTCGCGTTTCCTGGACACCGTCTTCCTTGCACGTTATGATCCAAATTCGTTCTCGAGGGCCAACAACATGTGCATTCAAACACCCGTTCTGAGCGCACGTCTTACTAGTTCTAAATATCATCCCGGTGCTCCTGCGGTGAATACGTGTCGAAACACGATGGGAGTTACGTAAAGACGAGGCAAACTTTCCCAGCGCGCCACGAGATGAGCAGCACCATCTCTTGGACGCTTCCAACTGCTCGAGGATGCCAGGCTTTGGGTTAGTATCCTGGACGACGGCAGCACTGTCGCTGCTGTCTTCAAAGCTCGTGCATCCAGTGTACTTTCCATATCCCTGGGCACCAGTTCTCCATGCAGCCAGGATCTCTCTCGTATTCCAGACCCTCAGTCGACGGGACAACGCCAACTGGAGGCGACTCCTGTGGGGACCATACATCTTTGGATACCTGGTAGCATGCTGGGGAGGGGGGGTCCTTTCACACCTGGCTATGGGCCTGCCACCACCCCAGTTCTATTCGTTCCACCCTTGGGTGAACTATATCACCGTTCACTTGGTCCTCACTGCTTTCTTCAACTTCTATCCTAATGTACGTGCTCTACTGCCCCTGTGAACACTGATACTTACTTCCTGAAATCTGATGCAGCTGCTGGTTCCCAAGATTTACGACACTTTGTTGTTCCCGCTGGACGGTCTCCTTCGTGCACATTCCGTTGTTTCGGCAGTATCACTATTCGCGTCGCCATCCATCTCCAACCCATTATCTGCCTTATCGCAACCCAGCCCCTTCAAAAACATGGACACGGCATTTGGCCATATCGTTCTGGGCATTCTCGCATCCGCAGCCGGTGGCATAACCCTAAACACTCTCTCGCTATGGTCCGAGGAATGGAGATTCGCGACCCCGCCTATCTTGAAGGCCAGTCTTTGGGGGAGTGCGGACGTCTGGGGTGGTGCTCTTGCTGGTGCGTATTATTGACCCCATCTCTGTCTTTCCCTTGGATGCTAAAAGCATTCCCATTTGCAGCAATTGTCTACTCCTCCTCAATCCACTCCAGCGCATTCCAAATTCCATCCCTCGACAGTCTCACGGCCGCCCACTTCCCACTCACTGTCATCCCCAAGTTCATCCTCCGAATCTTCTTCAAGCCCAGTGTAGGAGGCTTTGGAGCAGGTCTAAACCAGGTCTCGCGGTTCTCCATCCCATTCATCTATAGTCTCTTTGGGCTGGCGAACACGAAGACATCGTTTGTAGAGGCTGATTCAGAGAAGCCTCCTACTCAACAAACGACCGCAGTCCCGATGGGCCAGGTGGAGGCGAAGGCACTTGCTGCTATCATTTTGATCACTATTTTCGGTGCGCGTGTGTTGGCTACACATTGGCTTACTTCGCCTCCAAAAGCAGGCCGAGGAAACAAGTCCAAAAAGGCCGTAACAGAGGTTTCTAAAGAAGCGAAGAGGAAGTGATCAGGGCTGGTCTCGTGGTTGCCAGAACTGTGCTGTATATCATTTGGATGTATCTTCCGCTTGACATGTATTAATTCACGCTTTCTGTGGACACGCCCGGATGCCAAGTATCCATCTATGACAGTGACGTGCACAAAACATTGTCCGAGTCGGATTCTGCGCAGAATACCGTTCAAGCCCTGTCGAGCTTCCCTGATCGTTCACCAGTCTACCCATTAGCCAGACCAGTGTTTAACATTAAGCGAATTCTAAGGATTATTTCTACCGACATGATCTACATGCAGATAATCACCTAGAAGAGTCCGCGATACCACCTCTATACTATCAGATCCTGGAGGGTTATAGAGGCCTGTACTCTATTAAAGGCGAAACATAAACGTATAAATTAAGCACCGGTGGCCCTGGGGAGGAACTGGGTGTGAGTGATAACGACTGAGCAGTCAGGGTCGGGCGAGGCGGTCGGCGCAAGGGTGCGAGTGACAGTGTTGGTGAATGGGCAAGAGGTGGAACCGCCTTGGGTGACTGTGAGGACGACGGAGCAGTCACCGGGCCCACCGGCAGAGCCGCTGGTAGTTGAGACCTGCGGAGCGGTGGTAGCTGAAACCTGCGGGGCGGTGGTAACTGACACCTGTGGGGCGGTGGTCACAGAGATCGATGGAATCGCGTTCACTGTGGCCACGGAGGTGCTGACACTTGGAATGGGAGCAGCGGAAATGGACGGGATAGCGGTAGCCACAGAGGTCGTAACGCCTGGCACAAAGGTCGTAACAGAGGTGCTAACACCTGGTCCACCGGCGGGAAGGGTAACCGTAACAATACTGGTCTTGCTACAGGTAGCTTCAAGTTGGGGGGCCTCGGTCACGGTGACAACGACCGAGCAATTGGGATCGAAACCCCCGAGGGTGCGGGTGATGGTGCTGGTTTTGCTGCAGGTAGTGGGGACAGCAACAGCGGAGCTGACAGAACTGAAAATGTCAATTAGCGTGGAGATCCGGTCAGTAGAAGTTAGTAACCCACATAGGCTTTGCGGACGCCGCGTTGAAGGCAAAAGAAGCGAGGACAAAGGAGAGGAGCTGGGCCTTGGTGAACATGCTGGAAACTTGTAAAGAATATCGAGTTTTTCTGAGTAGGGAATGTGAGGAAACAATCAAGCGGAAAGGTAATGAAGAAAAGGGAGCACTGAAAAGCGCTATTTATTCATTTGGTCACTACGTAGCACGGCGACTGTACTCCGCGAGCGTTACTGCTGAACGCTCTTGTGACGGCATGGAGGATGCCAGAGATCACTCCTCGGAGCAAACAACCGAGGATCGACGGTCGCACTCGACCGTAAAACGCAACGCAACAAGATAACGGCGGAAATAATTGCCTAGGTGCATTATTTCGGATATCTACTAACCGAACTACCGACCCGTCCGGAGAGCCAAATTTATTGGCAACTTCCGAGTGCAAGAGGCGGCCAACATAGACTGAGTTGACTGACAGGGCCGATAGGAAATTTGGAAGGCACTGGACCGCAATTCGCAGAAACGGACGAAAACGAGGGTGATTCCTTGGCACGCAGGTGGGAGTTGACGAAAAGAAGGGAATTCCATTCAAGATAAACACCTTTCGGACAGCCAGGCAGTAGAAGACTGAAAGGAGTAGCTAACGACCGTGCCCCGCCTCCTACGTCCTTCAGGTCGCGAGCAAATTCAATCCTCGTGGTCCGACCACCTCGAGATCTCTCCTTCCTCCAACATCGACACGGCCCTCATGGTCTTGCTCCTCCTATGCACCGGTTTCCAGGTAATGTTATTGTCGGGCTTTACAGATGCTCGGGCAGAGATGGGAGGGAACACATAGTCCCCTCGCAGATGCTTGGCCATCCGTTGCATCTCCCACTGCGAAAGGTCCGTCTGGCTGTACATGGGAGGCGGGCGACGGGGTCGGGGCGGTGGTGGTGAGCTCAAGGTCACCCCCTCCGGAAAGCAGAATCGACGATTGGGGGTGTAGGGCTCGACATATTGTGTGTCCCTTATGTCATCCAATTCGCGAATTGCCAGCATGAGGAGGAGAGCGATGATGCAAAGACCGACGATAGCCATCTGAGGGAAATAACCTATACAGTCTGCGCGCCATCAGATTTGGAAACAACCGGTCAGAGAAGGGTACACACCAATCAAGATACCTGACAAGTCGAGATTAGATAAGGTGAGTACAAGGTCGGTAACATGAATCACGAGAACTTACCATCCAGGCCAGGTGCATCAGGCATGCTGTTTCGCAATTGAGGAAGGGCAAGGAGAGTCCCTGCGCAGATGGCCAAACAGCATAGCAGCAATCTCGACCCGTCGCCCCGCTTGGCGATGACCACTTGACCTATGCATATATGCGTCAAGAGCCAGCTGATAGCGTAGAGCAATAGAGTGAATAAGCGCGCAGACCCAGGCCTCTTGATATGCAGGTCCACACGTTGAGTTGGAGATCTGATCTCGTTCAAGACCATATAGCGCCTGAAATCTGTAGAATCGACATTGAAAGATGAAGTTTGGTCGACGGTCAAGACTCGACTGATTGACAGAGGTAGAGTCTGGTTGGCTACCAGAGCTGCCGCTCGAAATTCTATCTGAAGTCGATAGGTATCGAAGGGGTATTGTCGCGCTTGATGTACGTCGAGGACATGGCTAGTCTCGAAGTGGATTGCGCTTTCTAAGCTAAGAGATAGAGAATCGATCTGAGTTCCGGAAAAGGACAGGACACGATCAACGACATACCTCTTCCTCCGTGCCGTATCTTCGTCGAAGGGGACCAAGACGGGATCATACGCAAAAGAAGGATTGGCGTTGCTGTGCACGGGACCAGTACTATGTTTAGCGCAATTAAGGAATTCTAGACAAAGAAGAAACTCACTTATCAACAAAGATGTTCACGCCAGTGACAGGTAAGCCACAAGCCTTGTGATCAAGAACACCTTTGGATCCTTGCAACACGGAATCTCCACCACACGCGACAACGAACCAACGAATGGTAACAGAGGGTTCGTCTATATCGATATCCACGCCTTCTCCAACTAGGAGAATCTGGTCGTAACGGGAATCCAGTAGGAACAGCGTGTCGTGATCATCAGTCAGTAACTTGGAGTGGAGGAGTAGACATGCGCGGGTGCACTAACCCCTGGGTTGAAACGTGAGACCTCGTCTAGCGCAGAAGTGAATTGGTCGTAGTTGTCCGAAGCGCGACCAATGAGGGCAACGGTGATGCTACAGATGAAGACAATTGATGCCAATGTTGCAAGAACGACGATGGTTGTGCCGCGAATGGTGATATTGTCGAATCTTTCCCTGCGGCTGGACAATGGAAGACCCTCTCGCCCATCCGAGCGAGGGGACGTAGGAGAAGTCAAGGGCGTGTTCGCCTTGGACGGAAGAAGATGAAAGGAGCGTAAGTGAAGGAACGTGTTTCGCAAGCCCATGGTTGCAGCGAGAAAGACAAGGTGGAAGTGGGGGTATCGCTCTGTTGGCGCACTCCGAGCCCTTGATCCTTTTAAGAATCGCCTTGCTTACGGGCTTCCGGCAACGTGGTACAACCTAACAGTCTCGGACGAAGCTTGAAGAGCAGGGACGAATCTTGAAGCTTGGGATTGACTAGAAGTTGTACAAGTGGAGGGATATAACGTTATTCATGATGAACCGGAGGTCCTTCTGCTGAGAACGTGTCACCGAAATCGGGCTAGCGCTTGCCATTCCGGTTTTCTTACGTGGAGGCAAACAATAAGGAATGTAGATAAAGGATAACGGACTTCCATACCGATTGGAGCAGTCAGATACCCAGCTGGATCCTTCAAAGGGATCACTGAACGTCTTGCAGTAAATTCTGTAGAACTGATATCTCTGCGAGGGGTCCGTCTTCGTCCCCTTCTCTTCCCAGTACGTCAAGGACACGTTTCGCCAACTCTAGCAGACGAGATATCGCAGCTTTAGCTTCTGTCTCTTTGGACTTGCTCGGTTGGGAGATCACAAAGGAATAGTTCCAATGGGTCTTCGCCATCTCTAGCAAATGCATGCCTGAAAGGGGAATATGAGCATGGACAAGGTCAGATTAAAGTCAATGTCGACTTTACCGATCTGTGGATAGTTACACGGATATACGAGCAAATACAGGGCCAAAAGTGCAATACCGCTCTCGGCAGCCAAGTCAAAGTTTGCCTCGTGCGATGCCTTGCTGAAGGTCTCCGAAAGCCACTTCATGAAATCTTCGTTCAGCACAGGATGCAGGTCCTGCGGCAGTTCCGACATCGAAGGGCTTTGATACTTGTCGGACTTGAGATAGGAATCAACGTTCACGAACTCCCCCACCCTCCGAGAGAGATCTTTTAATTGATCAGGGTCTGTCGGGGTCTCTGGGATATGCCCGATCGAATTGAGAAACAGGCAGGCCGGACAGTTGCAATTAAAGCCATAGGTAAACTGAAAGATTTGACGTTTGGTTTGCGTCAAAGCCGGGTCAAGATATGGGATACAGATCTGCAGAGGAAAGATTACATCGTTTCTGATACACGGTAATCACTGGTAATCACTCCACTCACCTCCTCGCCTTGGTGGATATCTTTCAGGGCGACCACCTCCATAATAACTGGTTGGTGCGCGGAAAAGGTGTATTTTGGAGCAGCGTTTGGAGAACAGGAATGATTAAACGACCGGCTCGCCAGAGGAAAGATCCCATGAGCTATAGAGTTAAGATGAGAATGCATCGTAAAATTGTTGTTCCCAAATCTCTCGAAAAGAGTCGGGATTAGGTCTGCCTTTGGAGGCGGGCTAATCGTGCATATCAGAGGTGGTTCGCTGCCGGAAGAAGGCCCTGGAAGAAGGGACAAGAACAATGTCGCTTCTTGCGATTGCTCGAGGTTGTACGCCGTCGGAAGCGTGGACAAAGACGCGACAAGGTGGTTCAACAGCAAAGCGTCCATTTTCTCGTGTTCCTCCAGTCCTTGGAAGACGGTAGAGCTGGTGAATTGGTTAATTCGTTTACAGATCCGCTTGTGATGTGTCTGCCACTGGGCACTTTGACCTGTATAGAAGTGGCGTTAACGTCAGGTGTCTCGATGCTGTGAGGGGAGATGATCCCTGAAGCGAACATTGTGCATCGCAGTACCAATATGCACTGCAGCCCGTACACCTCCTCAGAGGCTGTCCCTCGGTTGGTAGCCGCATGCAATGGTCGCAACGATTCCCCTTTTGCGAGAATTGTAGAACGGTGGCGAAGGCTGGTATTTTGAGAATCGTCGAGCCAGTTGGGATCTCGGCCTTTGCCAGTGCCTGATCGCGAGCAGTGGGGTGTGGTCGCAATTCTATAGTGTCCAAAGTCGATAGCGAAGAATGTACCATATTTCTGTAACCCTCTTCAGTCGATCAGCAGCGCTCAGTATCGACGGGACACGGATGGATGTGGAAGGAATTCTGGGCGGACAGGCGCGCGAAATGCTTAGTCAGCCCCGATCCCGATAAATAGCTCCCGGTTGAGAGGAAATTCGCAAAGAATCCAAAAGAGTTCTTGAATTGAAAATAAAACTGTACTAATAATACACCGATGGTTTGGAGTAGAGTGCGAGGAATATACGGTGAATGATAGATGTAAGGCAGACTAGTCGGTAAAGAGAGGGTCGCATAGTATGGGCGTCTTTTTAAATATATGCAGATCTTCCAGTCGATGGATAAATATCCGAGTCACAAGAGTTAGCGATCCTGTCGGTGTTAAGTAAGTACCATAGAGTGCCTGAAGGCGGCTGAGAGCTGAGCAAAATGAGCGCGAAAGTTACGAGACCGAGAATGGAAATCTATGAGCCGAAAGGAAGGGAAATGGAAATTTGAGAGCAGAAAAAAGAGTGGAAAAAAAACATGCGGAGCTTTTCAGAGTAATGACCGAGTAATTTAGGAGTCCCAGATGGCGCCGAAGGCGGGGATGCCTCTACTCATCATTCCGTAGACAACCTTCTCAGTGAGAGGTTGGTTAGAGATGATTGCGACAGCCTCGGCGTTGAACTCCTTGACGAGACGAAGGGTCAACTTGACCATATCGGGTTTGCCGTGTTTGCGAGTGTCTACATCGAAAGTTAGTAACATCCTATGTCCATGCCAAGATGCAAAAGCGTACCATAGATAACAGCCTCGGGGTTAGCCTCAAGGATGGAGTCGACAAGCTTGTCACCGAAAGTCTCGCGGACATTGGGAGCAGTCCACAAGACTCGCATGGGGATGCGTTTCTCGAAGATGGCGGGGGCACATGGACCGATACCAGATCCGGTGGCGACGATGACCATGCGGCGGAACATGGGGACAAGCTTCAGGACACCGTAAGTGGGAACGCCCTTGACCCAGAGCTTGGTGGGTGGGTTGGCGATGTGCTTGGAGGTCCAATCACCAGCGCGAGAGACAACGAGAGAGTAACCTGTCCTGCCAGGGATGGGGATGGCCGCGAAGCCGTGCCATTCCTTCAGAGGAGCATCGGAGACTCGCATGAAGGTACCAGCAGGCGGAGTAACTTCACGGTGTGGTCAGTACATCGACTAAGGATGAATTCTTCAGATGAGACATACCACCGTAGTCGAACCAAAGACGGACGGCGTGGTTGGAGAGGACCTCGGGTTTGACATCAACTTTGCGCAGACGGAACCAGGGCCAGATAACGGAGCAAGTGAGGATGATGACGAGCCAGAATTGAGGGGTCTTGACCAAGGTCTGACCGAGCATCTGACCTTCGGGGAGGTAATCAATGGTGAGGAACATGAATTGAACCCACACCAAGGCGAGAGCCGACCATCCGAGGAAGCGATGGGTGTTTTCGAAGGTATCATGGAGTCTCTTGCGCAAAGCAGGATATGCGAAGATGACGATACCAAGGAGTTCGGCCAGGATGACATAGGTGATTGCCACAGTCCGAACAGATGTCTGGTAATAAAGGAGCGTCAGCACGGAGAGAGAGGTCACAGAGAGAAGAAAAGTGTACCTTGCCGCCGTTGATCATTTCCTTCGTCGCTTGAGCAGTGAACAAGCACAGCCATAGAAGCGAAGAGACACCAGCGCCGGAGTGTATACCGCCGATGTGATAGACCCTGGCAGCTGTGCGACGGATAAACAAAGGCCAACTAAGAAGACCTCAATATTTGCATCCGTATAAAAGGTCAGCGGACTTACGAGGACGGAATAGAGGTGAAGATCAGGAAGAAAGTGTTGATGACGAGCTCTTGTCGCATCAGAACACCAATGAAGACGTTCGCAATGACAATTCCACCAATCCTGTTGGCATCGTACTCCTTCTTGACACAGATCCAAATGAGGATGGCAGCGTTGACGATGAAAACCACACTGAAGAGTCGCCTGTAGAGAGAGAAGATTTGATGACGGAGGTTTCGAACCAGTCTTCCTTGCGTCTTCTCTGGGTGGTCGTCATCTTGGTAGCCAGACCAAATATACTCCTGCTTCTCGAGCTCGGAGGTCGAAGAAGCTGAAGAGTCGGCTTCCTTGACCTGGGCACTGATCTTGGTGTTGGTTGAGCCGAGACTGTGGTCGGATGGCCGGTGGGGGATGGTGAGCTCGGTCTTGGGAGCGGTGACGACGGTGGGAGGCAAGCTGATCCAGGCGACATTCTCGGGAATGGCAGCCTTCTCTTCCTTGAGCTTGGCTTCCTCTTCCTTGGACTCTATGGCCATTTGCTGAAGGACTCTCTTATCAGTTTTGCCATTCCTGGAAAGCGGTGAGTATTGAATAATTGAGCTAAGAATAGATGACTCACGCTGTCTCGGGGAAGTGGTCCATGGTCAGGATCTTCGAAGGAACGGCGTAGTAAGGCTGGACCTTGTGCGCGGCGGCCTTGATGTCCTCAGGTGAGATGTTGGATGGTTTTACGAATCCCCAGAGCTCTCCGTCGATGAGAAGGGCAGTAGCACCTGTAACACCTGCGCAGGTCTGAAGGAGATTTAATCATACTGGCGTTCCAATGAATAGAGAATGTCACTGACCTCCATTGCAGTTGCAACTCCGTCAAGTTCCACGCGGAAGCCTTTGATCTTGACTTGATTGTCAATACGACCAAGGTGTTGTAAGGTGCCATTAGAGACCCATTTCCTGAGAAAGCGTATGTCGTTAGGTCGAAGATCTTCAAGTTTGACAGGCAGCACTTACCCCAAGTCCCCGGTGTTGAACATCATCGATCTAATAAGAAATCCCGTTAGCTACAGTATGGACACGGGAATGACAATGGGCCATACCCATCGTTGGCGAACGGATCTCGAACATAACGTTCACTGGTCTTGTCGGGCAGGTTGAGGTAGCCCTTTGTAATCCCAGCTCCCCCTCCCCACATAACTCCGGTCTGCCCAATTGGCACTGGCCGCATGTTCTCGTCCAGAACATATGCCGTATTGTTTGGGGTCGGCCCACCAATCGTGACAATATCTCCCGGTATGTGCAATTGCATGGTGTTCGCGATGGTGACCTAGTGCTGATTGTTAGATGGCTTTGGGTTACAAAAGGCGCTAACAATACCTCAGTCGGACCACATGCATTCCAAAACTTGACTCGAGCGCCCCAGGTATCAGCAAGAGCTAGACAAGTATGAGTCAATGTCTTCTGGCTCCGGTGGGGACATCAGAAGCTCACCTTTGGGGCATGCCTCTCCAGCGACAACGACGGTCTTGACATTAGGATAGTCGACCGGGTTATGAGGGGCCAACATAGAGGGTGTCGAAAAGAGGATGTCAACGCTCCTCATCACAGCTTTCCAGTCCTTGGATGTCTTTCCTCGGGGGCACAAAGTAGCGCCGTTGGCGAGAGAGCCGAGGATTTCCTTTGGATCCATTTCATGAGTTCCATGGCAATATCAAACGGTGAAAAGGGCTTATGCTTACCCATGCAGCGAAATCGAAAGAGATGTTCAACATCTGAGAGACACGAACACCAGGCTTCATGCCTAACTGACCAGGCTCGATGCAGATAACTATGGGGAAGCATAAGAGCCAATGGCAGCCGCATGTTTGGAAGAGGCTTACGATTGGTAACGTTTCCATGTGTAACGTGGACGCCCTTTGGAGTACCAGTGGTCCCTGAAAGGGGGGAATGAGCGGAGATTTCAAGGACGTTACATCGAGGAGACTCACCGCTAGTGTAGATGATGTATACGGAGTCCTTTGAGGTGGTGGTGTCGCGAGGCTTCACACAGTGGCTGGGGTTGTAGCTGGGGCAGATGGCATCGTCCAAGAAGACGACGGGAACAGGGGCACCTTCGAGACGGTGCTCGAACTTGCGCAAGGTGAGGGCGACCGTCGAACCCGAGTCGACAAGAGCGTGCTTCAAGGTGCTGTCGGAGACAATGTTTCCGTCAAGGGGGATGTATGCTGCACCAGCCTTTAGAATGCCCAAAACTGCTACGGGGAGGGTTACGGCGCGTTCGACGAGCATGCATACGCGGGAGCCCTGAACAACGCCAACCGAGCGAAGGCGAGATGCCAGGCAGTTCGCCCTGCGATCCAGCTCGCCGTAGGAAAGGGTCGTCCCGAGTTCATCAACCGCAGTGAGTTGCGGGTTGCTTTTGGCGTGGAACTCGAATGCGTGGTGAACGCACTGGAACGGGACAGACACCTCGGCTCCTACGCCGTACTTCCAGAAGAGAGCTCGGTCAGTCGCAGACAAATGCGAGAGGAGATCTGAAGAAGCCATTGCAGCTGGATCGGTGACTGCACTGGATGAGGAGGTTGAAGCAACCTAGCACCAGAATGGTCCTCCTTTTAACATGGTCGGTAGGTCCCAAGTTTGGGAAATGAGATACATCCCAGTGAACCTTTTGGGACACTGCAGGTGATCACAGAGATCTGGTGTATGGAGTCATCACCCGGGGAGTGCGTTGAGTCCGAATACAGTTAGGCAGGTCCCAGGGGAAGCCTGAAGCGAGCGCATGAGACGGAGACGTTTTGCTCTGGTTTCCGGTTGATGTAACGATGATGTTGCGTCCGAGATCCCATAGTATGTCGACCCGCATGGTTTTGACAGACTGAGAGAAGATTAGCTGGGTGTGAAGGGGTCGAAACACAGCCCTAACTGGATGATAGGATGTCCAACTTGACGAGATAGCGGGTAGGGATCGACATGAGGTTGTGGAATTCCTCTGTTGTCACAGATCGCGATCCAACGTCCCGCAAAAGAGCTTTAGGCGTTAACGAAGCAAAAAGGAGAACAACTCAAATTGGACGATGATGCACCGCTTCTGAATGCATCACTTATTTGGCGATGCTTGCCTCCTTCCTTGATACCCACGCTTCCAATCCCCGCCCGGCGCCGAGCCCCCTTTAGCCGTCGAGCCATTTGATAGAAACTGAGAGCTTCGGTCTGTTGTGGGAACTCTGAATCAGACCAGAGGACATTGGGAAGCAGATTCTGACGTTTGTGGACGTTTTAGCATGCGTTCACTACATTAACTGTAACTGTCAACATTCCCAAAAGTACTCGGTGGAGTGCTTAGGGGCCCTTTAACCGATCATCGTAGTCAATTGGAGTCCTCGATGGCAGAGGGCGCTACATGTACTTCGGCTGGATGTGTAATGGCATGTCCCACCATCACTTACTTGGACCCGCTGCCCAAACTGGTCGAAGCAATGCAACCATAACTGCAGGAGTCCTACTCGGGGTCGAATAATAACAGTTGATGAGACTAAAAATGGGCGCAAAGGAGCTGAAAGTGATGGAAAGCATAAAACAGAAATTCGAGACCAGTGCAGATTTCATCGGAATCGTTGGCGCTCGATCACTGATTTTTGCCTGGCGTCTCTGGAAACCCGCCTGAGATAATTTGAGTTAACAATTGGAAGCCAGATTGCTGGTAATCACCCACCAGTAATACTCCATAACGTCGCTCTGCCCCAGCTTCCGAAGGAAGTTTTCGTCGTGTGTGATGATGATCAGCTGGAAATTGGAGTGTGACTTGCGTTCATTAATAATGCTGGGAATTGGATTAGAATATTTGGGAACGAGATAGGGAAGAAGAACGTACTCCACGAGGCTCTCTGCGAGGGCGTCTATGTTTTCGGTATCCAGAGCGTTCGTGGGCTCATCTAATGCCAGAATGCCGCAATTTTGTCCGAAAGAGTCAGACAAAGCAAGTCGGATAATGATGGAAGCAAGCATTTTTTGCCCGGCAGAGCATCGACCACGCATATCCATTTCAACCTGGTCCTTCGTCATCACCACCTAAAGAACGTGAAAGTTGCGGAGTCAACACCTGACCGATGGTGAGCGGAATGGGTATAGAAAGTACTGACTCTGTAGTTGTATGAACGTTTCGAGGCACCGCCCTCGACGTCAGATTTAATCTTAATACCGTCGATATCTGAAAAGGTGTAAGCGCGGGAATTCTAGCAGGAGTGGCGGTCACAAACCTGTCCCTTGATACGTCTTGTTCCATAGGTGCTTCATCGTATCATTGACTTCCTCCATCTTTAACCCATGGTATTTCATGATGGCGCTTAATTGACATAGTTGAGAACGGACACGTGTGCACCATATTGGGAAGGACTTACTTATCCAAGGCCTTGGCGTATTTCTCCAAATCGCTATTGGCCATGTCCGAAATCTTTCATCGCAGCGAGCGCAAGCCGTCACTGTGTATTCACTATGGCCAAAAGGGGTGACTTACTTTAACCTTGACGAGCTGTTCGGTATACATCTTATTGACATCTTTGAACTCTTTGATGTCGCTCTCTAGCGTCGCATGTTGACTCTTGAGACTGCTGAGCTCTCCCGCAAGATGGTGGGTCTTGGGAGAAGTTAAGAGCTGAGGCCTTAGGATCGACGGGTACCACTCACCGACTTGTTCAACCGTTCTTCTTTCTCCTTTCGCTTCTCCCACTGGTCCTGGAAATTTCTCCGCGCTTTTGCTGCCTCTTCAACGTCATAGCTTTCGATCTCTGCCTGGATTTCAAGGATCTCTTTTTGCAACTTGCGAACCCGAATATTCTCCCGAAGGTTGGTCTGCGAGGCACCGGCCTCATTTATTTCCTTCTCAATGACCTTGATGGCTTCACGGCAGCCTTGTAGCCTGCTGGTCGCTTCACCCTGATGTTCCTTGCACTGCTTGATGTTTTCGATGCATTCCTCGAGCAACCGGTCCCGCTTGTCCCTTGCGTACCTAGAATTTCCATTCAGCGGGGAAGCTTTTTAACCAAGTGATAAGAAGCACACCGTTCAACATCTTTGTGTACTGCCGCCAATTTATCCGTCCGGGCATTCAGTTGTCCAAGTAACGACTGCGCCTGCGACATCTTCGCATCGAAATCTTGTTTCACCTGTCGCTGCTCTTCCTCCAATCCTTGTATCGGAGCCTGAGCCTCTGCTATTTTTGTATCGAGGTCCTACACATAGTGGCTTCACATCACCATTTGCTAACGAATGGGGAAAAACGCACCTTGAGCTGCGCAGTGAATGTCACAATGTCGTTCTTCATCTGTTGAACGCGTTCCGACAGTTTGTCGACTTCATTGAGCTGGTTAAGCAACTTCTGCTCTTCCACTTTGAGATCGTTGAGTCTGGTTTCGAAACTATGGAGGGCCGTGGTTTGCCTTTCCCGCTCAGTGGAGATAGCCTGTCTCTCCTTCTCAATCGCTCGTCTATCGGGATGTCAGTATCGCCCAAGTAGCCAAAGGAGTGAGTGAATAGTTACAGTCGACTGGTGATTTCATTCAACTCTGCCTGAACGTCGTCCACCGTCTTCGTGCTACCAGATAGCGACAGATCTGTCTCGAGATCGCTGACCTCTTTCTCTGCCCGTTCAATTTCTTTCTTCAAACGGGAAACAGTGCTGACGTTCTGTTTCAGGGTTGACAGTGCCTTCAACGTATCCTTGGCCTCCTCGAGTTCCTCTCCAAGCTGTTCGAGTCAGTTTTACCTCGAAAAAGATATATGCATCCCACTAACCGTTTCCGCCTTCTCCTCCAGGACCTGGTGTTCCTCCCTTTTCTCTTCGAGTGTCGCTTTGAGGGCAGGAATTTCTTTGGTAGTGATATTGTGCCTCGAATGTTCAATCCCCTTGAGGTTTGTCAGGCTAACAAGAGTGCGGTTCCATTCTTCTAGATCATTATTCAAATCTCGTTTCTCGGTTTTTTCCGCGTCTTTGATCATTCCTTCCAACTGACCAGACGTTAGCTGTATATGTACTGGAATATGAAATGAGCGAGACTTACGTGGTTCTTGAAGTCCTTTAGTTCCGACGATCTCAAGCCTCGATTGCAACCCAGGCAAATATGGTTGTTCACACCTTCCTCGAGAATCCTTTGGTAGACGGCGATTGGCCCAAACTGTTTCTCTAGGTCACTGTGTAATGTCAGCGGCGGTGCCCATATCGGACAGAAGGCAACACCTACCTTCGGATGTGGTTGATCTCGGTTTGCGCAACTTCTATCGCGTCGTTGACGGCTTTGTCTGGTGACAAGTCGAAGGCCCTCAAACTCGAGGTTATCTTCTTAGTGTGCTCTTTAATTCAAGAATTTTAGCCTGGCAGTGAACAAAACAAGGTAATATGACCATACTTTCACATTCGCTTTCTTTGGCGCTGATCTGGGCCTTGATATTGGCCATTTCTGTCTCCACTGAGTGGAGGCTTGCTCTTGCAGAACCGAGTCCGGCTTCCAGTCGATCCACGTCATCTTCTTTCTGACTATACAAAAGACGTAGAACCCCGCTTCAGCGTAGCGACGACGGAAACACTTACCGAATCACTCGGTCTACTTCAATTTCAGCGGTGTCGGCATCTAAATCCCGTTTGGCATGTTCTCGGTACTTCTGATTGACTGTCTTCATGCTACCAGCAGTGTCAGTGATGAAGAACCAGAAGTACGAGGTCGCTCACATTGTCTGGATCTCGACCGTCTTCGTCCGAATTTCAGTACGTTTCAGGTCGAGCTTCGCTCTTGAATCAGCTTGAGTGCTCAAAGCGCGAGTCTCCTCCATTAGGCTTTCGCGTTTCTCCTCAAGCTGTCGCGCCAGGTCGATCTTTTCTTGCAGCTTCTTGTCATGCTCAGAGTTAGCCATCTCTTTCCGGAGCTTCTTGATACGCTCTTCCTTCTCTTGCATCTCTTCTTGAAGCGAGTTCAGACTGGCCTGATGAGTCGCCTGTTCATCGAGCTGACGCTGGGCTTGCTTGATCGAGGCATTACGCTCACTCTGAGAACAATTTGAGCATAATGTCAGACGAGAAGAACGTAAGTCCTACCAACTGATCCTTCAGTGTCGTCTTTCGGATCTTGTGGGTTTGAACTTGCCGGTCAAGCTCGAGGCGCTGAGCATTAAATTCGTCGTTTTTGGCCGAGGCATCCAACTACAGAGTCCGAGTTAAGGCCTCAACGTATCCTGAGCGAGTAAATGACAAACCTGGAGTTGCTCGATCTCTGAAGTTCGATCCCTCCTTAGATCGGTGAGACGGGAAAGGAACTGGCTGACTTGGGATTTATCCAAACTTTGCGACGAGATACCGGTGATGTTGAATTGCTTGGCGATCTCCCGGACCAACTCCTCACGTTCAATAACGCGGGCTCTTTGATTCTGAATGAAGTTGAGCCGTCACTCTGGAAGTTTGGATGAACAGGCCCACCTTTGCTTCCACTTCATACTGGGCTTTCATTTCCGACAGCTGTACCTCTCGGTTGCGAAGGTCAGTTAGCTCATCCTCGATGTCTTGCCTCCTGCGCTCCTCCTTCGCCAATCGCTCCCGCTGGCTGTCGACATGCGCGTCGAACCGATTCAGCCGGTTTTGGAGATCATCGTCAGTGCCTATCAACCTATCAACGTAGTTCTTCAAAGAAGATGGAAATAAATCTTACCAGAAATTTCCTGGAAGTTACCATCCCGAGCCTCCTCGAGATCCATTCGTTTACTCTTCTTTTTCTCTTCGAGGCTTTCGACCTTCAGATAGATTTCTCGGAATTTGGAGTTGTAGTCATAAAATATTCGATTACTGTTCTGGACTTCCTCGTATTGCGCTTTGGCATTTTCATATTCCGCTTCTTTTGCTACAATAGTGGCATTAAGGTCTTTCATTCGTAAACGGAGCTTGTCAGCTCGGTCTTTCTGCAACTTCAAAGAGGACAGCCTCTCTTGCTCGGCTTTAAGGTCTGCAACGCGGTCCTTTCGAAGTGCTTTAATGTTATCAAGGGCCTTGGTATATCTGTTAGAAACTGTCAGCTTTGTTGCACAGAGATGGAAAGAGACGACAGACTTGGTGGCTTCGAAAATCTCGTCAAACTTCTTCTTCAGGATTGATGGCTCGGCAAGTGGCCAGTACGAGTCCTCTTGGTGACAAAAGATCACATTCTCCAAGACAGCCTTGGAAACACCAAGAAGCTGAGGGATCTCGACATCCATTTCGGCGCACTTCGTAGAGATAACTGCTCTCTGGAATTTCTTCAGCTCGTTAATTCCTGCAGACCAGACGCGGTGCACACCTTGTTAGTCTTCCCTGGGTCGTCCAATCCAAGGATACTCTCCAGGGTCTTCATGGTCAAACCGGCGGTCTTCTTGACTGTAACGCTCAGGTTACGGACTGCCAACATGCGCGTGCCATTAGCCGAATGGAACCTCAGCTTTACTTGCGCCTTGACCTCCTTCTCGTTCGCCATCTTTGGGTCATGGACGAACGCACCACCGCGGGTGTTGGGGGGCTGCTCTCCGGTTGTCGCATACTTGAGGCATTCAATGATGGTTGTCTTCCCACTACCGTTGTGGCCAACTATGACAGTCACTGGAGAGAAGAACTCGATGACAGATATCTGTTTGTCGTCAAAAGAACGAATGCCTCGAATGGCGAGCTTATTTAGAGAAGACATGGGGTCGGGCGTGTTGTCTCGTAGAGACTATGGGGGTAACGTTATAGATTGCTGTCGTTTACAGAGTACGGCGTGAATGGATAGAACGTGTCGTTGTGATCTCCGTCGTCGTCGTCGTTTCCAAAGGTCGTGTAGGTCACTGCTGAATGCAGACACGAAGTTGCGGGTGAGCGCGCTGTCACGGTCAGCGTGATGTGACCATCAATTAGTCCTGAATCCGGACTGTCACGTTTTTTGTCAGGTGACGGACGCCTATCGAAGCCTCTAGTAGAGACGGGACTCCGGTCTAACCATCAATATGTAATGTCACGCTGACTGCGACGCGTCCCGGCTTCACTCAAGCGGAACCCAGGCTGACTAGACTCGCAACCACTGACCAGGGCCTTTCGTTTCCCCATTCTCACCAGACCAACGCCCACTAACCACATCCACTAAGATGGCGCAACCTTGGCCGCAACCGCTCATGCAGTCCTTCACTTATGCAAACCAACCGCAATTTGCCACTGACGAAAGCGTCTTCTATGGCCCCTACACTCGGCTCCTGTATCATCTCTTCGGCGTGTTGGGCCCCTATGAGATCTCCCCTCAGTATCACATCCCAAACGCAGCGCGAGATGTCATCGATGTCGTGGCACTGTTCACAGTTGAACTCAACAAGCACCCTGTCTTCTTCATAGAAGTGAAGCCCACCGCCTCTCTCAATCTCGACTCCAAGCGAAAGCAGGCCGATGATCAAATGCGCGATCGCTTCCGGGATCTTCGCCACACCCTCATTACCCCGCGCTTGCCCGCTGTCAGTGCATTCGGCACGCGTCTGTGCTTTTACGAATACACCGTCGCCACCAACGCAGTTGTGCCAGCTGCCATACCAGCTGATCCACTCATCCTCAATGATGTCGCGCCAGCTGATCGATGGGACTGTGATCTCCTCGAAGCCGATGGCGCCGCTCGTTTTCGTCAGCTTGTTGAATCCGTCCTTGAAATGTGCCAGGCTTATGAACAGTAGGGCTGCTGTCCTCTATATTCCCTACCTGTTGTATGTATGCCGATTTGTAATTTTACGAGGGGCTATGTAAGACCGGTGGCTTACCACGGTTCCCATAACGTGCACATATACCTGACGGTGGCTCAAGAGCTAAGCTCTTGAGTCATGTTGCCTTTTGGTGTAGCGGCAGTGAGCGTCAGGCCTGTCGTCTTACAGGCTACCGGCTATCCACGTCATTGTGTGCAGCAGATTTCTTTATATTACCCACTTGTCTCCTGTATGCAGATTTGTATTTTACGGGGCTGATTATCCATAAATCTACCTTGCCTCCAGATACGTTGTGATGTAGTCGCGGCATCGGGCGAACGAATTCTCAAAACCTTGATAATATCTCGTCTCGCCGAAAATGGAAGCCCCACCTCAACTCATGGCATCGACAAGCAAAGATACAGCTCCGATTGAGCTTAGGTCAAAGTCTCCAATCTTACCTACCTTCTGGCCTTTACTGACGATCTACTGATAGCAAAGAGACTCCCAAGACAGAGTCCAAGGCTGCGAACGCAGCCGCCGACACCAAGGCCGACGGTGCCAATGTGTAGCGTCACGGACTCTTTTCTTCCCGTTTGATTCTTTCGTTATCTTATCAAAATGGTAGACCAAGTTGTAAAGATACAAGCCTCATTTAAGTACATCATCGGCGGGGCTTATGCGTCAGGTATTCCCAGCCGTTATGGCAACTGGAACGGCGGGTCCGATCTGTTGAGTTTCACGCACTCCAAATTGGTCCTTTGGCGGAGAAAAATCTCCCTCCTGCCCCTTGTGTGGGGTACCTCCTACCCTCCGGTACGGGATTCCCGGCCCGGGACCCCCTTGGTGTTTTGTCCAATGTCTCTGTTCACTTGGAACATTTCTCATCCAAGTGGATGTATCCAATTACCGAGCAAATACCCACCGTCTACATCAAGTTGTGTTGGTGACATGTATACCTCGAAGATTGAGAAGACGCCACTGGAGGTCTCTTGGGTAACGCTTTCTATCGGATACGAACTGCGGGGCTTCCGCCTAAGCCTTATTCAACCTTGACTAGCTCCTGGCAGTATTCGACCGTACTGCCCGAAGACATAACGTTTATTCCTCATATCAGGGAATATTCCAATAACGACTAGTCGCTCTCAAAACTCGGAAAATGATGAGATCTCCATTTCATTCTAAACCTTTTTGAGAGCCGCTATCTTGAATTCTCCGCGTTCGAATGGTCGAGCACTGCACATATGACTAGGAGATTGCCATTGCGCCACTCTCTGTCGCACACAGCAACACGACTGCGTTCTGTGGCCCTCAGAGTGTACCGCACTACACTTCCCGTGTCAGCGGCCTCGAGTATTTCGTTTTAGTAAGAAGAATAACTCGCCGACCTCTTGGCCGATGTTGCTTGATGGCTCTGGACATCCCGCCACCTGCGCTCGACGGTCTCCCAGACTTCGAGATCAAGGGCACAGATACTCTGCGTAGCCTCGAGAGAGTCCCACCATTACTCATCTCCTCCGTACCCCGATAGTCAAAAATACTGGCCCTCCTAGAGTTCCTCCCTCGTTTCCGTCCTGATGGGTCGCGTGGTGATCAGCTTCTTGCCTTGATTTGGTACCGGGCCCGCTGCCAGAAGCCCCTTTCTGGCCTCGCAACGACCGCTGTCTTGAACTTCCACCGTCCTATCTTCAAGTCTCAAGTCAACATCTAGTCTGTGCCTTCTCCAGGACTTCCGGTGCCCTTTAGGAGGTATCACACTCAATCTGACTTGGACACGACCAACTTGAAACACCTTCTGACTGTCAACCGCCGCAGAGGCAGTCAATTGGTCCACGCGATATCAGAGCTACTCTGGCTAGCGAAGGATATGTGTGCACCTGTATCTAATACCACCCGGAGCGATCTCACCGGTCTTTCCAGGGAAATCGCGACATAGTCAACTCGCCATTTGGCTCTGGTCTGTTTTCACAGCCTTTTCAAACGCTGCCACACCCACCCCACCTGTACATGCCCGTGTACTGTGTGAGATATACGCTACTAGACTTCTTTGTTGTCGGAAGCGAATTTCTGCATTTTGTGATAAGACTGAAGGGTGTCCTGTATCACCGTGATAAGTGCTGCTCGCCTTCTACCCTATAGGCTTGGTTAGCCCCAACATCTATCACAGACGTCTCAGGACCCCGGAAAACCTGGGGCGAGCCTAGTGACGACATTCTGTCGAAAAATCCGGTTTCTTTTCTGCCAAAATTGTCCGGTTTGTCGCCAGGTTCGTGTCTGGACGCTCAAAAATTCCGGTTTTGGAACCTTGGTCTGACTTTTTCTTTCGCGTAAGCGCCCAGAAACGCGATTTTCCCCTTCAGCCACCTTAACAGAAGCAGATAATGGCGTGAACCGCAACGTGAATATTCCACATGCTGCATGTCTTCTGCAGCTGTCTTCTGTCGGAAGTTGCCTTGAAACATCTTTGATATAGCTGGGCTCGTACGTGTCACTGCTACTCGGTGTGGTATCTTTTCGACTAGTTATCGAGCGGAATCTCTAACATTTCAATCGGAGGGCCTCCCCCAGGCTTTCTCTTTGAAACTCTCACCTCGATTGGCGACTTGCGGTCTGTCCTATAACATCAAGTGCTATAATGAATGTTTTTTCGGTTCTTTGAGGAGAAAAGCAAAGTTCCGCTTTGTGTGAGCTGATGGACGTCGGGCTGAGGTCATAGTTCGGAAGCAGTTTCGCATCAGAGGCTGATTCAAGCATTGGCAAGCAACCAAAAATCACCGGAGGTTTCCTTCCAATCCTAACGTCGTCAACGCTGTCACCAATGAGGTCAGGTCTTCAAAAGGAAGTGCTCAACCTCTATCGCAGGTGAGGGGAACTTCAGCATTCTTCTGATCTCGTGTTGGCTGAGTTGAGTACCCAACCCCCAGAGCCCTTCGCATGGCAAGATCGAAACCACCATCATCCCGGCCCAAGTTCCTCCTCTATGTCCAATACAACTTCCACATAAACGCGACTTCCATTTCTCCTCGCAATGTCAGCGCAGTAGAACACCTCATCCGCAAAGGCACAAGGCAAATCGAAATGTACGAGGACCCCTCTGTCAAGGACTGTTGGGTGTCGAAAGAAATGCTCGAATGGAAGGAGTCCCGTCGGATGCCTCCAAGTTCAAGTTAGGCACCACAAAAACGAATCCGGGAATGTGCAGGACATATTATAGCGAAATTAATAACAGTGTAGTAATGGGCGGGTTCTATGGTCTACTTTCGGTTGGGAACGTCTCCAAAGAGTCCAGCAGTCGCGGTCTCTGCTGCAGTCTGGGGTCTAGAGGATGCCTCGGGCGCAGCAGGGGCGGATTCGCTCTCCTTGGCCGGTTCTGGTACAGCTTGGGTAGCTTCAGCTGCAGGTGTCGAAGAGGCTTCAGCATTGGTAGAAGATTCGGCGGCTTCGGTCGTCTCGCTGGCGGCCTTCAACAAGCCCTCCTCCTCCAGCGCCTTTCGGGCTTGAGCTTCTTGCCTCAACCTCTGTCGGCGGAGTATCCTTCCTTGCTTGGTGAACGCGGTAAGCTCTTGCTGAGCTTCAATCAAGGCGTCATGTCGAAGTTGGAGAAGCTTCTTGTCCTCGATTTGTTCCTGGTGCTCCTTGATGAGTTTGACTGCTCCTTGGTAGGCCAACCGTCGCTCGTTCATAACAGCCTTGATACGGGCCATAGTTTTTCGGCACTTGAGGGGGAAATAGCGTCAATATTTGACGAATCGAGAGGGCGAGAATGCACATACCGCGCCAGCCATCACCGTTTGCGCTTGCAAGTTGATTTTGATACCCATGCGTCGTGCCTCTTCGCGTTGGGTAGCGAGGAGGTTTCGTTCACGAAGGGTGACATACCAGAGAGTGTGGAGGTCCTGGAAACTCTTCAGTCGTAGTTCAGAGGCCCTCCAGGCGCGTCCTTGAGAATAATGTCGGTCACTGGGTTACGGTGACGACGTGTTATAGTACTCACCACTAGCTGGTTTCCTAGCGGACTCGACCGTCTCATATGCGTCCTCCCCACTCAGACTAGGATCCGCCTTCCGTCTGAAGAACCCATACAGCCCATGGTCATCCCTCACCGGCACTTTGCCAGTCCTCCAGTCGGCGCTGGTCGAAGCTGGCGTCGTCGACACATCGTTAGAAGGCGTGTTCGGCGCGACCTGCGCCAGACAACGCGCCAAAGGCTTGCAGACGCGGTTGTGAGGTCTTCTGGCTAGCGAGAACATTGCGAACAGCTAGTTTCCCGTCCCATCGACTTCGTGGCTCGCTGGACCTATTTTCACCGGTGCGGGCCGGGAGTACCCCGGGAAACGGAACGGCTTGATCGGCCAGTCCGACCGATTCCGGGCTTCATTCCTCTCTGGACGACCACCACCATCGTGATTCGTTTGCGGTTTTCTTGCTGAAACTCAACCTCTGCTCTGCTGATTACCGAAGGTACACTGAAATGCACGATACTATGCCGGAGAATAACCCATGTACCAGGTTTACGATCGTCCTACCCAGCCGTCCTAGGTTTTGAGCAACTGTCGACCGCTCGGTCTCAACTAGGATTTGACTCTGTTGCATTTGATATCGAAGGTCCAGGTAGGGTCGACCGTCAGTATCACTGTACCGACTGTTGTTGGAAGATTCTTGTCCGGAACGCACAACCTTTGGCACGAGGTCTGGCTTGAAGCACGCTGTATAATCGTTGGTCGACTCCTTGAGCTCTATTTATGAATCGCCGTCTCCACAGAGAGCCTTTCGATGAAAGCCATCACAGATATGGTTTAGACTCATGCTAACACCGCCTGACATTGGTCGCGTATCTGGCTAGCTCCTTAGCTGTTCAACGTTCAATCCTCACTATTGAGTAGATAGTCCTCGATCCCCGTGGACGTTCTCATTAACCTTCACCTAGACAGCTCCTACCTTTGCACCTGCCCCGAACAAGGTTAGCTGTCCGTGGAAGCCTATCGTCAACGTTCATCCACAGGAGCCCTACTCGAAGTCATTGGCTGTTTTTAGTTGTTTGCATGGAACCAGCTGGAGCCAGACAGTCTCGTTCAGGGCCTGGTTCGACGCGACTTACTTTTCTATCCCGGGAGCCCGAGGCGTACGCTCTCCTTACACTTGTCAATCCAGCCCTTTGGCTGTTTTGAAATCATGCTGAATGAAGATGCCTGTCACTTGCGTCACACTAGCCAATTGGAAGTTTCTCGACCACTTCCATCCAATTCCTTCAGACTGCAAGGTCAATATCATCTACCCAATTCATGGTTATTTACCAGAATACTTTCTACTCACAGGACCGGGACATCCTACCTACCGTCCTTATGTAGTGCGAATAGGTACATACGAGCCCCGAGCATCGTTTAACAGCGTTTAACTTGGTCTCTTGGAGGATGGCATTATTGTGCGGAGGCAATATAGACACTGCCAGCATATGATGGGATCACACTGCATCCGAACAAACTGCGAAACTGAGCATGGCGGTCGCCTCGACCAGCGGTGACGTCCTCTGCTTCTCACTCCCACCATAAACTCCCACAAACTACAGCTGAGAGCTGGCATTCCTTTCTCCGACTTTCTTTTCTGATTTATTGTCATGCCTCAAGATTTCACACTCCTAGTCGACGACCAAGACCCCCAGATCAACTACATTTGCCCGTCGCTGAAGCAACAATTGCTGGCCGGTTCGTACTCAAACAGCACATGGACGACAATCAAAGAGAGCTCCTGTCGCAAGGGCTGGTTTGAGTATTCATTCTTTGGTACGTTCGTCCAAAGGTTTGCCGAGAGCGCTCGGGCTAATCTCATGTATGCTGGCTGTTGCAGGAACGGGCATCCGGATCCGTGTGCCAACCTCAGGCAAAGCTGAAAGTGCCGCAGTCCTTCTCGACAACGAACTTTTCAAACCGGATGAAAACGGTGTATTCGAAGCTCTCGACCTCAAAGATGGACAGCACAACTTCACCTATGGCATCGGAGAAGTCTCGACTACGCCCGTGTTCGATTACCTGACTGTCGCCGCCGGGCCCTCAACCCCTTTGAACGGAAGGACACTTATTGCTGATGATACGGACGAGTCAATCAACTACATAGGAAGCTGGACGACCGAATCACCGCGTCCCTTGACGTTTGACTACTCCACCGCCCTCTATCGAGATACCGCCCACTGGAGTTCTACAATCGGAGATACAGTCGAATTCCAATTCACAGGTTCGTTACAATACAGTTCGAGATCTCACCCTCAAAGCATACTGAGCAGTTGCCTCTTAGGTTCATCCGTGGCTGTTTATGGCCTCGCGGCCAATATCACATCTGGGAACATCACAGCGTCTTATACCCTTGACGGAGTCACAACAACCCAAGGCATCCCTCGCGGGACGTTCGATTCAGTCCCTATGACTGAATTCTTCCGAGCCGAGCTCCAGCCTGGTGCCCACACTCTCATCGTCAATCTGACTGAGATTGCCTCCTCCCAGGCCTTCGGTATCGACTTCATTGCATATAACTCGTCGGTCGATAGCATCAGGTCTCTCCCTGGATTTGACCTTGCAGCTGGGAACGCGGCTACCAAGTCGGAGTCTGACCGTGCTGGATCTTCGAACTCACAGAAATATGCCATTCTTGGCGGAGTTCTCGGGGCAGTTGGGTTCCTGCTTCTTATGGGGCTTGCGTTTTTCATCTTCAAGAGACGTCAGTCTAAGCAGGCGCTTCGATTAGCCTCAAGCAACTCATCTTACGACGATATTGCTGGTGTTGGTAAGATCATTTTTGACTTGGAGTTGGCAACAGTCTGATTAACTTATGTTCGAATGATTTCAGAGAAACCACCCCAAACTTACAACAACACCCTGCCGCAGGCCTAACTCTATCATCATTCTCGCTGGTTATGACCCACCGACGTGTCCGTATGTCCTTATGAAGGCTCCCTGAACTCTCCTGCATGACACCTCTCAGCCACCATGTCGCTTGCTCTCACCCCTTTCCTACCTCGGGAGGCCATATCTTTTCTGGACTGGTTCAGATTGCGTGATATATTAGTTTTCGCTTTGACTCCTGTATTCATACCATAACCTTACCACTTCAATGGCACCCGTGGGTGCCCTTTGGCAGGTGCGACCCATCGGGCACGGGTCGAGTTGCACCGGCTGCTTCTCCATTGGCCTCAGTTGCGGTTATCTGTTGTATTCTTAACCTCGTTAATCTATATGCTCATGGCAAGACCATTGTTCGGCACTTGGAATCATGACACCTGTTTTTCCTGTTCAATATTTTTTGGTACGATCTCACCCAAACTGGTAGCGGCCCTCACCAAAACCAGGAAGGAGCGATCCGGATGGAACGGGCCGTTACGTCCGGATGACACCTGGAGTGACGGCTCGAGTTTTGCGTCTCACCACCACCGTCCACGAAACACCACCGCGTCCGTTCATATGCTCAGGCGAATTCTAGTCGCCAGTGGACAGTGTGCAACGGGCTCTAGAGCTTTGGTAACTCGTTTTCGCCCGACCTCAAGGCGAACGTATGCGACGGACACTGATTCGGGTATAGCTAACCCAGCAGCCTACTGCAAGGACCTGGTTCGAAAGCATGACTACGAGTCGTTTTTGACTTCACCATTCTACCCAAAGGCAAAGCAAGATGCTTACTTTGCTATAAAAGCTTTCGCTGTGAGTTTGTTCTTGCTCGGTCATTTGCTGAAGCTCATTTGTTGTTCGACGTTCCGTCTGTATAGGTCGAGCTGGCAACGGTGCAGGAGAACGTTTCGAATAGTATGATTGGCCAAATGAGGATGCAGTTCTGGAAGGATGCTATTAAAGACATTGGCACTGTCGGTGATATTCTATTCCGGAAGGAGACGGACGATTGATCCATTGGACCGTAGGGCAAATCCCCGAAACACCCCATAGCCTTGGCCTTGCTTCGAGCTTCAGAAACAGCTAATCTTCCTGCTTACCACTTCAAACGCATCATTGACGCACGGGTTCGTCACCATCGTTCTTTACCTTTTGCGTCTATGAAGTCTAACCTTGTCTTCCACGATCGTAGACTGCGGAACTAGAAACTCCATCACATCTCACAATTGAAACTCTGACCTCGCATGCAGAGTCTACGTCAAGCACTGTCCTCTACCTTTTGCTTTCTCTACTCTCCCTGCCGTCATCTGCCCTTTCACATGCCGCTTCCCATTTGGGTGTTGCCCAGAGCTTCACGACCCTGTTGAGGGCACTCCCGTATCATGCGACCAAGGGACGAATGGTCATTCCGGCTGAAATCACCGCCAAACATGGAGTGAACCAAGAAGAGGTGTTCAGACGGGGTCCCGGAGCTGAGGGACTGGAAGATGCAGTTTTTGAATTCGCCACCATCGCGAACGATCACTTGATTACTGCACGCGAGATGTTCAATCAAGAAGGAATGAATGGATTGATTCCTGACGCCGCCCTTCCCATATTTCTTTCCGGGGTACGTGTGATCTCGAATCTTGAAGGAGACCCTGTTTTCGCTGATAACTCGGTATTGGGGGCTGCTGGCTGATACTTTAGGTACCGACCGCCAGCTATCTCAGTCGATTAGAAAAGGCAAACTTTAATGCGTTCGAGCCCCAACTTCAGGTCCGGGATTGGAAAATTCCGTTCAAGATTTGGAGCGGCTACTACAAGAAGAAGTTTTGATTTCTCAGGGGCTACACTACCAAAGAGGATATGTCTGGAGGGCCAGGAACGCGGGCCACAATTTTGTCGAAATTTGCTGTCCGAATAGAGTAAATGCATAACTAATTATAAAAAAACTCCGCAATCTCAGTCGTGGATCTTAGAGTGTGTCTGCCATCGGAGAATGGTATCTATTTATTCTGTATTTGCCTCTATGCGAGTCATTTCTTCTTGACTTCCTACCACCGCCATATCAACCCCACCTGTCTCTCTCCTCCCTGTCGCCCACAGCGACAGACACCCCTTCCTCGTCGTCGTCGCCGACTGCAAACGCCCTTGCTGGCCGCCACGCCCTGCGCCTCGCGACCATGGAACGGCTATGCGGTGAGCGGACCACGCTATCCTCCCGGACAACAACATTGGCTAACGATCTTCGGCAGTCGAAGTTCTCCAGCTCATTTTCTTCGAGCTCGTTGACCCAAGCCCTCTGACTCTGGTGTCTCGCCGGCTCTACTCGTTCTCCCAGGACCCTTATGTTCGGGCCCGCTACTTTCTCGCTCACTATGGGCCGGCGGAGGCCATGTTTCAGGCTTTGGGTCGAGGAAAATTGCTCACCGAGCGGGTTATCGATGTACGTGGTCACAACACGCTTCCCTTCACTACGGCCCCATTCGAGACATCTTCTCACCAATGGACCGTTGTCAATCTCGCAGATTCTCCTATCAAGCGGTGCACACCTGTCCAGATATCTCGTCCAAATAGCAATGCACCATTACTTTCATACACAAACCCATTTCATTCGGACGCCTTGGGTCCGAAATGTCCCCTTCGGAGTATTCGTGTATTTTATGCAGAAGGCACATGCGAAGTATGGGGATATCCCAAGAGGCAAGGTATGGGTTTGCGGCTCGGGTCCACATGTTTTCAGTGCTCACAAGAAGCGGGCCTTGACAGGGAGAAGATGATGGTTCCCTCTTCATGACCTTCCTCAAGGAAAGTCGCTTCCCATCTCACCTCAAGTCGGTCACTTGGGAGAACATCCTGGAGATTCTGGAACAGTACAAGGTTCGTTGCCAAATTGGTTCCATTCGGATAGGATTGAGTGCCAATACACAAATTCACATAACAGTTCATGCCGTTCAGCAACAGGGTGGGCATTACGTCTCTCCAGGATGGATTCCTGTCATCTAACAATTGGGTGCTTAGGATCCCATCATGGCACAATTCCCTTTGATCCTTGCCATCGAACCAAGGCTCCTTCCTGCCGCTGTCGAGAATGGCTTCCGGATGGATTACAAGGTGGATATTAAAATTTTAAGGTTTGGACCCTATGACTGATTCATTCCTCCAGTACCGAGATTTTGTATTTCGGAAGATGTTTGAGCGACACACAGGCGACACTCAGGCAGAAGATGTGGCTAACAACATTCGGGAACTGTGTCAACTAGACCCAACGTAGGTTCCTGTCGTCCATCAAGGCGTGGAGTTAACCCAGCGAAACAGGATGTTTGTTTCACGTACCGTGGCGGCCGAAGTGTGCATGGAGGCCAAGTACAACGATGTCGGATATGGTGCGCTCAAGCAATTGGGCAAGACGGGTGACTTGCGATTTGAGCTAAGGTGAGTTCTTCCTGACGCCTAATGGACGTATATTAATGGGGCTCGCGGCAGAACCCTCGTAGAGGACCTCTTGAAAGTGAGTCCCGCACTTTGGCCGAATATCACGGTACTTACGAAGGTGTGTAGACCTTTTTGACCACACGTACCATCGCACACAGTGGCACCGGAGATATTCTTCGACAGTTATACTCCGATTATCCGTCTACGGACCCCATCGTCCGTCTGGTTGTCATAACCGCCATCTTCATCTCCGCCGAGAACTCTCGTCTCGGTGTACAGCAGGTCCATGCGAACTTAGAGGCGACTGGGCTTACACCCTTAACCAGAAAAGACGCGTACAACGTCCTAATAAACCCTTTCGTAGAAAAGTACACCACCGTATTGGATTATGCCAGGGAGGAGATCGGCACGAACGGAGATGGGGGAAAAGGACTGGGCGAGGCAGAAGCCCGCGGGCTGGTGGAAGATGTTGCTCGGAAATGCCTACAAGTCGGCTGCAAGGTAAGCATGGCGTCCCCTGGCGAGTCGATCGAATCTAACGGAATGGAATTAGGGTAAACTCTTGAACAGACTGATCGAGGGCTTCCCTCACCTCAAGGATGTCCTAGTAAACGAGGTGGCGGAGCGACATCAGATTCGACTCGAGGAGGTGCCGTCATGGGTTGGCCAGGGCTCTGTCGCATACACTGCCAAATTAAGCGGCGATTACGCTCGGAAACGTTCAGGAGAATCACCGTATTGGGATGATTCGGAGGGCAATGTCTTGACAAGGAATGTAGAAATGGGTAGCGACCAAGCCGGGAACGATGTGGATAGGGCGCCCCGCGAGGAGCCTCTTATGTTGAGCGCCTCGGAACATGAGGTTTTGTTATCCGACCTGGTATGTACCTCTCCCTTCAGCCCGGCCTTCCTCACAGATTGGATAAGACTCACCATGTTTCCTGGTGACATGCACAGGGCGACATAAGTCAGGAGTCTCTGACAAACATGATACGGCAGGATGAGCTTGCTCCAACGCGGGCCCGCCGTCGCTGGTTTTACACCTTTGCGTATCCAGATTTCGGAAAAGCCAATTATCCTCATGGTATGCTCCGCGCGTCCCTGGGTTTTTTGCTGGTCTGATCAACTCTTGTAGATGCACTGCCAGTGGCGAAGTGCATTTTGAACCAATATGGAACCCGAAGCAAAATTGTAGCCATTTTCCTCACTCATGCTATCATCAACGATAACACGCAGGTAAGGGCTATTATTTTGTGGGCAACAACCCTACTTACCCACCAGCAGGTGTTATTCTCGTACCTCATGAGGACGCAGGATTCAAGCTTCTCGTCCTTCAAAATCGACCTGCAAGTGCCGGTCACGCTGAAACATTTCCAAATTCTTGCGCGGTTAGGACGGGCACCTGTACGTATTTGCCGACATTTGGTTACGTTCCCATACTGAACTCCAAGTCGTGTTTCAGAGTTACTGTATTTATCATTGCATTGAGGCAGGGGCTCCCTTTTACCTCGATGAAGACGATTACATTTCCAAAAGCGATCCCGCGAAGAGTTTGATCAGCGCTCTGGGAGTTAAACACGAGCCTCCGAACCTGACTATTCCGTCATCGCCTTCATCGAGCACAAGGCCACCTTCTCTCCGCGGACGAGAGCGGCTCCGACGACTGGCCACTACAAGCGTTCGTTCATATGCCGTCCCAGACTCGGATGACGATATCATTATGGATTCCGACGATGGACTTGAACCGCGGCGTCGAAAGCAAGCTCCGAAGAAGAGCGACCTCCAGCTGTGGATTCAGCACCTCGCCGAGCTGCAGAAATCGGAGAACAAGAAGGTAAGTTCCACCCTGTGGTATCATCGTTATCGACTCTCATGGCGATCGTTTGACAGTTCAAGGAACAGAAGAAGATTTATGACGCAGCAGGTTGCGAAGGAACCACTGCGCGATTCAGGAAGGTAATATACCTACTACCCTTCAAGAGCCTTAATCCGAGTCTGATCCACGGAACCTGCAGAACGCGTTCTTGAAATCACTGTCCACCCAACTGCGCTCGTTGCGAAAGCTTGATATACAGACCCGAGAAAAGCAAGGGATGCTCGGGGAAGACCTCGAAACTCTTGATGATGAAGATGACGACGACGAATACACATTACGCCCGTCCAAGCGAAAGAAAACCTGCACGCATCCACCGATTTCTCTGGCTCTATGATGCCTGTGAATGACATTCGACTGACTCGCAATGCATGGACCTCTACTTTATAACCTCATCGGCATTGTTCTGTATTTGTATGACTTCGTTGACACACTACGTTTCATTGACATTGCATCCATTCAAACTGACTGTATACGTAGCACAGCTGTATCCCGTGTATAACCTTATGTACATCGCAAATTCATTCACCATTATGGCGTTTTTAAGGATTTGTCTAATAGACGTATCGGTAGGTGATATGTCGGTCTCCCAGTCGCAGCCGCTCCTCTGGTGTCGAAGGACGCAGGTCGCCATCTTTCATTTCCTTGAGTAGTCTGTCTCGTCGCCTGTTCTCCTTGCTCATCCAGATTGCCAAGTAAACGGTGACCAGGATCGAGAAGAGAAGATAACCGATGGAGATGATATGTGGAGTTCTGAAATTGTTCCCCGCGAGGCTGGGCCGGTAGATCAGAACGCTAACGTCAAAGTTGTAATTAGCTCTTGCACATTAGCCATCCAGGAGAGACTTGCCCAGCAATTGCTCCGATATCGCCAATTGTGATCTGCATCGCGACTGCGATGGCGCGCTTCGTCTGGGCGGATACATTCTCGCCAGGCCAACTGGAGGAGTCAAGTCAATTAGTCCACAACACTGGTAATGGTCGAGTCGCAGTTGATTAACCTAAGTAGGAGGGCATTTCCGGTATAAACCCCTGCTGCAGCGAAATGGACACCAACGTATTGTGCTCCGGCTAGGTTAAACCGAATATTCCAAGATGAGCTGGAGAACCATGATTCAGACTTGACAATCAGAAATACTGACCAGTCTTCGTTGTCAGAAGGATGATATACCCTGGATCGCAAATGAGAAGTCACATCTCTATCGCTGTGGTGCCTGCAGCGCAAAATAGAACGTACCGAGGATTGCAACGAAAGCAGATCCGATGATGAAGGGGGCTCTCTTGTTAACCCGGGCGGATACCCAAACGGTGGCCCAGATGGATATACTGGCGAGACTGTTGGGTGGAACCGTCATGCTTTTCCAAAAGATCCGTCAGGATGGATACGACCTTCAGCAGTCTTGGATACTTACAGTTGTGCCTGCCAACTGGCGAATCCCAAGTCTGCGATGATGGTAGGCTACATGCGCAATTAGTGAGGGGCCCGATGGTCGAGGAGGATGTAAGATCGCTTACCATGAACAAACTCAGCGAGTACAGGACGAAGGCAAATCCGTGGAAGAGCAAAGCGTATCCCCAAACTAGGTGGTCCTTCATAGCTTGTTTAACGTAAGTCCATTCGAACTTCTCAATCAGTGCAGCGTCAGAATCTGCATCCAATCGTGCCAAGAGACGTTCCTTTTCGGAGGTCGTCAACTACATGGGAGTCAGATGGGAGTAGAATGCGCTGTTAGTCCCTGGGTAATGGCGATATCCTCGTAGCGTGCTTACAAATTTGGCGTTGTGGGACCACGTTGGGACGACGAAGTAAGCGAAAACCGCAGAGACGACCGTGAGCAATCCTTCTATGATGAAGATCCTGAGCCAATGTGAGCCAATGTCCCGGTCGACTCATAATGGGGCTAGGACCCACCAAGCCCATCCTCGCTTGCCGCCGATACCTTCCATCTTGCCAATTGCATACGCAAGAATGCCTGGACAAGCACTGTTTTTGAGCTGTTGAATCATAATGGTCAACCGAGGGGGCGTACCTCCGAAGGCACCCGCCAGTGCAGCACCACCGAAAAAGATTGCAACACGCCAGCTACGTTCATGCCTCCTGTAATAGACGGAGAAGACATAGATGACGCCCGGGAATAAACCGGCCTCGGTTATACCAAGTACTGTCATTCATGCCTTCAGCGAAAAGCCTAGATGTGCGGATGACAAAGGAGACGCACAAAAGCGAACGGCGAATAGGGAAGCCTTGTTTGTCACGAATCCCTGGAAAACAGTGACTGTTCCCCAAGCGAAAGTTAAAGTTGGAAGCCAGACTTGAGGATTGAAACGCTTTAGCCTGAATAGAGATAGGTTGAGGACTAAATGGCGAACAGCGTGGAAAGATGCGTACACAATCTGGACAAATTCCAAAGCTTAGTCGAGATATGGTTTGGAAGAGGAACACGAGAACCAGCGCGTACGTTAGCGGGAACCTCGAAGATTACATAGGCTACGAAGTAGAGCGCCAATGCAGTGTTGTACTCGGGCGGTGAAATTTTGAGGTCCTGTTTGTGGCGTGAGCAGCGGGAAAGGGAACGAGTCTACATATTGACGCACCTCGACAAGGCCTATGATTCTACGGAAATACTTGTCAATGAATTGACTTTGAGGGAGAGCCGCCTAACCTTACTTGGCATTTCCAATATTAGATCTGTGAAGACATAAGCAAACATCCTAAATTGATTTCAAGGTTAGGCTCGAACAACTCACCTGTCCAAGAAACTTAGCAGGTACAGGAAGGTTAAAATCGGTAACAGCCTGACAAACACGTAGATCACGACGGGCACGGTGGTAAGAGTCAAGGCAACCGAGAACCATCATGAACAAGCTCACCGAAAATCAACCTTTCGGAGTAGTTTCCTGTCCTCCGGCGTATCAAAGTCTTCTTTCCCCGCTGCGGTTGACAGGGATCCCTTCTCTATCGAGCCTTCGCGAGACATTGAGGGCGGTTTTGAGCGCTGTGCTGATAAGCATAGTGAAGCCGTCCTCGAGTTTATGTAGCTTCTCAATGGACTGGAGTGCTCCATTCTGACCATTCAACGCGCAACCTGCCCCAGGGATTGCGCCATGTTACATGGCGCTCCAAATGGGCGTAACAGTGTCATGAGGCGGAGATCCTGAAGCAGTGTGCCTGTTCTCCGGATGTCGGACCCCGTTCAAATATGTCGGAATTAATTCAGAACTTCTGCGGACAGCCAAAAGAACATCGAGTTCAATCTTGGGAACGCTTATAAATAAGCAGAACTCACTAAATCCTGATCACAGTTCTTGTCGATGAAGAGGTGGGAAGAGGGATGGGTTGACGAAACGGAAAGACAGCTACGTTTCACTTACCCTGCCATATAACATCAGATTGGCGACGCGCAGAGTATGTCCAGCCAGCCAGAAGCCAGCGTATTAAGGATACGACCACAGTGGCACTTTTCCGGGTCCGCCGTTTCGAGATGAGCAAGGATGTCGCACAATCTGAGAACAGAACTTTACAGCGGCCGAGTCCAAAGAAGCAAGGATAGTAGCCAAAGAAGCCAACATCTCGACATCGATAGAAAATTCCATCGAATCACCAAGAGACCTCCAAGAGCCTCCAAGTTCTTGTTCAAATCGAGAGGCGCACAACGACATTTGGGAGCCGCGGATTGTAAGTCGAGCAAGTGCCACGTCAGATTTATGCTTCCGATGAAGGCAGTGGTCGCATCGTCTGAGGACTGCCTCCCATTTGTCGCCAGAGTCCAATGTTGTGACAAGACTCAGAATCTCAGGCTATCGAAGATGGTGGTTGTGGAAGAGGATGATCAGACCATCAAAGTCCAGCATCAAGCGCGATGTCGCATCAGCCCGACGTCCCCGACGCTAAGGCCCTTCGCTCCCGCCCTCACTGCAGGGTTGCTTCGCCCCTTGCTCCAACTCGCTGCATAGAGAGGATGACGAATTCTCATTATTCATTCGAATGATTCAAGGAATTAGAGATACACGCCAGTTGGAGCTAGCGTTCGATTGCATGTATATGCATTCGATTAGGGGCCCTTGAAGCCCCGGACACAGCAAGCTCTGTAAGCACTGTCATATTTTGTTATCGCGTTGGACAGCCAAGGTCTCACCTGTTAGTCATTTTCAGGTGCTAAAGCCCATAAGTATACCAACTGCACTCCTCTTTCACCGGAAACCATTTTTGACCCATGACCTTCGACCAACAGCAAATCCTCCGAAACTTTCGTGAAGAACTCGTCGCCGAAGGCATCCTCCACGAAGGAGACACAATTGGCTCCGACCAGACCACTCTCTTGTGCGTCGCCCAGGTCTTTTTGTCGCCTGCCGACAATTGAATGAAGCTTGCGACAGGCGTTTTCTTCGCGCCCGTCGGTATAATATCCAGCTAGCCAAGACGCAATTCCGTGAATGTCAAGAATGGAGGCAGACAGTGCAAGGAATAGGGATTGACGAGCTCTACCGCCGGGTTGACCCCTTCAACGTAGGTGGCTTCCCTTCGGTTCACAAACGTTAATTTAAACACGCCCAGTATCCCGAACGCGACGTGATATTCCAAAGTTGGCCCATGTGGTACCACAAGGTGTGTCTATCTCCGTTAGTAGGTCCGTCTTGTCCTGATCTATGTCCATAGACAGATAAGCAAGGACGTCCCATTCACATCCAGGTCGTTGGAGAAATGGGGATGCGTAAGCTCCACAAGCTCTGTCCTCCGCAGAAGCACTGGGAAGCGGTTCTGGTCATCTGTGAATCGGTATGTCAATTCTTCCGAACCTGCGGCTGGCAGGAGAGTTGGGAAGATAACCTTGTTCACCTCCCCACTTAAACTAACGTATCCATATTCAGCTTCCCCGCGAGCTCTTACCGGCTGCTAGTCGTGCAGCTGGAAAGTCAATCGAAAAGGCGTTTGTAATCGTCGACTTGAAAGGGTTTGGGTGCGTTGTTTAAGCTTCCCGTGTCGTCTCCTCCATTGGGAGCGCTTCATTTTTACTGATATATTCCCAGTTTTGAACAATTTTGGCAAATGAAGTCCATCCTCCGAGGTGCACTCCAGATATCACAGAACTACTATCCCGATACGTAAGAGCATCGAATATGAAACTATTACCCAAGCCACTAACGTCTTATCCTCGGGCAGGATGGGAAAACTGGTCGTTATCAACGCACCTGCGTCGTTCTCGAAGATCTGGCCTGTCTTGAGAAGGTGGTTATCTGACGACACTGCGGAAAAGGTGGAGATATTAGGGGACAACTTTGCTGAGATTCTGCTCGAATATGTCGATGCGGAGAATCTTCCTAGTACGTTAGGAGGAAAGTGCACTTGTGAAGAGATGGGTGGCTGTCAATATAGCAACGCAGGCCCATGGATAGATGGTCGGATAATAAAGCCTTGATTCAGATTTGAGTAGGATTATACGTTTACTGCAATCCACTGGGTTTGTTCTTTGCCCGTCCCGGGGAGGCTGCCCGGTATGCCCGGTTAGTGCTGGGCCCGTACAGCCACTGATCCCGCCGAGTCCGCTCCGGGCACCGGATCTTTATTTGGCCACCACCGTAGGCCACCGCTGGCAGCCAAACAAAGCCTGGCACCTTCCTGTTTAGGCAATGCAAGTCTTGGTCATTGTTTCCTGGGCCTTGACGCTTAACGACGGTGCATTGTCCAGCGACTACAATAAAAAGCCTGTACTTCTCTGATAAATGTGACGTCTGAGTTGATTCTCCTCGGTTGCTCGGTTTCTTTCTTCTCTTCCCTCTTCACATATCCTTGACGGATAATTGCTGGCAATTTCGTTCTGCGAAACATGAATCACTTTCTGATATACAGTCTTTTCGTCTTGTCGTTCTTTCAAGCATTCTCGGCGGGCTCTGTGATCCCGTTTCGACGAATAAGAATACCGGACTCTGAGTTGAATCGCCGGAAACTAGACATCCTAGATCTCCCTGAAAGAATATCAATCCCTTTTGAGCCGACAGGATTCGTTATCACACTTCGACCACGACCAACTAGTACGCCTTCCCAAATCCCACCGACGGCGGAAACGTTTTCTCCAGTTACACGCTCTGCGAGCACTAGTCCCAGCAGCGCTGATTCGACAGTTGAACCATCTCAAACCTCACCCGCTTCCCCGACTCCGACCAATGCTTCCGGCAAATTCGTCGTGGCCCACCACATGGTTGGAAATACATTTCCATATACCAAAGATGATTGGTTGGAGGATATTCAGTTGGCCCATGCCTCCGGTATCGATGGCTTTGCCTTGAATACTGGTCGAGAGGTTTGGGAGCCCGAAAGAATCGCCGATGCGTGAGTATGTCTACGTTACTTTTCAATTCCATTCTAATCGTGGAATACGTCAGGTATCAGGCTGCGCTAGAGTTGGGTCACGACTTCAAGCTATTCCTTTCGCTGGACATGGCGTATGTTCCTCCAGTCATCCACCTTTCAAGTTAACTGGACTCACGCGGAATTCCTTGTGTAGATCTCTCCCTTGTAATTCCCATGAAGACGCCGCTTACTTGCGTCGCCTCGTCTCCCAACACGCTTCCCATCCTAACCAACTCATGTACAACGACAAAGCTTTCGTATCCACCTTTGCTGGGGAATCGTGTCAATTTGGACATGACAACGTCGTCGAGGGGTGGAAGCACCAGTTCACCCTTCACCCTGAGCTCAAAGAAAGAATTTACTTCGTTCCTTCGTTCTTCATGGACCCGGCGAGGTTTGGAGAGTTCAAGGATGTCATGGACGGGACTTTCAATGTATGTCATCTCTTACACCCTGACCTTTCAGAAGCATACTCACTGCTTCTACCAGTGGAATTCCGGCTGGCCCATCCAAGTGACGACCTCATTTGCCAGGGAGCAGCTCGACAAACTCGCGGAAGCAGCACCCAGCGAATCGTCGAGGGTCGGAAGGTTACCTCTGTTGGCCAACCCGCTTCAGCGGGCGGTCAGTGACCTCATTGGCACAGTCGACAGTGACAATGAGCATCTGGAAGCTCTCAATGCCCTGACACCCGATCTCAATAGGCGAGATGATGGAGGCAATCTCGATAGGCCCGCGTACATGGCCGCTGTCTCACCGTGGTTCTTCACCCACTACGGGCAAGATTCGTTCAACAAGAATGCAAGTGACCATCCTCACCTACCCAAAGAGAGCGGCCTAACCTACTATTGTTTTCATTAGTTCGTGTTCTTGGCGGACCAGCACCTTTACGCCAAACGCTGGGAATCTCTCGTCGAGTCTCGGGACAAGTTTGACATCGTGCAAATCTTGACTTGGAACGACTTTGGAGAGTCGCATTATATCGGTCCTATCAAAGGTGCTCAACCCAACAGTGAAGCCTGGACTGATGGGATGCCGCATACCGGTGAGTAACCTCCCTCGCTTGACCTTCTTGGATTGCTTTCTGACGGAGACCTACCAGCCTGGCTCGATTTGACGAGTTACTACGCTAGAGCTTTCAAGACAGGCGAGTACCCCAAGATAGAGAAGGACAAGATCTTCATGTGGTCTCGCCCTCACTCTACCGAAGCTGAGAGCCCTGACCCTGTTCCCAAACCCGACAACTTTGAGTTGGTGAGTCTCCAGCTCCGACGTCATCGTCATGGTCATGGTCGTGGTTGAAACTAATTCCTGTTATTCTAGATGGAGGACGCAATCTGGGCAGTCGTGATGACCACCAAGCCATCCACGGTCGTCCTGTCCACTTCGCCTACGTCTAGGACCTTTTTCCAGGTCCCTGCTGGAGTCTCCAAGCTCTCTGTCCCCATCACCCCTGGCGGGACGATGAGGGGTACGATCGAGCGGGACGGAGCCGTTATTGTCGACCTCCATCCTTCCTCGGAGGAGTTCACCTTCCAGGGCAGTCCCCAATCCTACAACTTTAACGTCTTCGTGGCTAGTGCCACCGCCTCATGAGCCATACCATTTACGTCCTTCGTTCACCTTGTAGACTATTAAGCACTTACATTTGTTGTTTCATACCACACATCCCGATGTTGTAGCCATAGATCAAATTCTGTATAGTCAATGTAATTTAGTAGACGCAAACCAGGCATGCTGTGCTTGTCCTGGACGATTATATACACGGTATAAGTGTCAAAAGCGAAGGTTAATACATGACGACCACGAGAGATTAGAAGATGGGTATGAAATCCTGTATCCTGTCCCTCGCATCCTGCGCAATGCACTCCGCAATCCACGTCAAGTTCCTAATCTCCTGCTCCTTCAGCTTGATATAGCTGAAGAACACACCGTACTGGAACTGTTGCAAGAACGCCTGTTTGTTGAGGAAGACCTCCATCCTGAAGAACCTATCCTCCAACTGCGTAGCGGCTGCGAGCTCGTCGATGCCATTGCCGGCAGAAGAAGCAGCGATATCATTGAAGAACGTCCTATACTCAATGACGTTCTCACAAGCCTGTCGAACCTGCTCCATATCATCCGCCCGAGCCAACTGGTTGTTCCCTTCTGGCCAAAGTCGTCCGATTGATGGGAAGAGTTTAGCTCGTTGTTCTTTGGAGAGCTCGGTGTTGAAGGAGTTGATGGTGATGTTGACTGTGCGTCTGTCGGCTTCGAAGGCGAGGATGGTGTGCATGACTTCGGCGGTCGGGTCGCCTAGGGTGGAGCAGAACCTGTCGAAATCCTCGAGGTAGGCTTTGTAGACTGTGTTGCGGATGATTTCGATGTTGAGGTCGTCGAGGTCGTTGGCTGAGAGACATTCGCGGAAGTAGGGTGCTATAGGAGAAGGCAGGTAAGTGAGCGGATGGGTACAGCTAGCGTGGAGGACCAACCGAGAGGAGTTTCGACGAGGACGCTTTGGTAGAGTTCCTCTACGGTAGTTGCAACGCATAGAGCGGGCATAGATTCGAAGATACCCAGAGGGTGACATCGTTCGAGGAGTTCGTGAGTATCGCGTTCATGAAGAGTTCCAGTAATTAGAAGAATGATGTTGTCGATCATGTACGAGTACCTGCAGCATCCTCCGGGGTAAGCAACAAGTTCATTCCGCATGGCAATAACCGTACGTACGTCACATATTCAAGGAATTTGCTGAGAGGTTCGACAGCGTTCGCGCGCAGGTAGTTGAATTGGTCCACGAGGACTTGAGTTGCCTTGTCCGCGATGGTCGAGGTGGAGAGTGGGAGGGGCTCATTGGCCAGGAAGTTTCCGTAGTCTGTTGCTGATAGCTGCGTTCGGAAGTCTATATGGACCCGATGTCGACCTCTCTTTCAGCTGTGTATTCTGGCGATACATGCTCGGTCTGCGCACCTTCAAGGGTTTCGCATTGGGTCAAGTTAGCGTACTGGTTCTGGGTGAGGATTCCAGCTTTATAGCCGCGAACGACGCCCTCAAGGAAGCCGTGGTTTATCTAGGGTAGAGGCGGATTCTTTGGTTAGTTTAGAGGTATTCTAGAGGATAATATAGGATTCACATTGAATGAAAGAGCGTTCATCGTCGTCGTCACCGTCCAACGTCAGACGGCGCACTGCGATCACCTTTAGTTGGCCCATACCGTGAACGGGAATGAGACTCCCACGAACCTCGGCTATCCCCGTGGCGCGTCAATCTCCTTTTTGGAATCATGGCGGGTTCACTGCGACCATGACGTTGAATATTCCTGGCAGTCGAGACATTCAATCATTTGTCATGTCCAACCCCAAGGCGACTTCAAAACTCGACGTAGCTTTGGAACATATTCAGACGCAGACTGGCTTGGTCTCATCGAAGGCCGATTCAATCTGAACTCCTATTGAGCTATATAAACCTGGTCGCCCTCCAGGCTCTTGCTTCCTCACTTGGTCTTCATCCACTGTCACCACCTCTCCAGTGGTACAGCCAACCCATCCTGGGCCTAGTTCCTCATCAACGACAAGCTCGATGATCGTCGCGCATCTCCGTCGACCAAGCAAACCTCGCCCTCCAGGACCAACCAATATGTCCCCATTAGGACAAGGAATATCCGCCTTCATCCAACCCACCCTCTCAAAAGCCGTCTCCGTATATCATGGCCGTTAGTACCTGACCTGCACATTCTATGCCCTGTAGCACCTGGATTTCAAGTCTGGCACCCTGCTAGAACTTCACTCGAAGGGACCAGCGTTGCGTCAACGTTGGGCTCGTTTGATCCTTCTATGCTGTGGTGCTAGTGCCTGTGCATATACCTGGGAAAGATCCAAGTGCCTGGTTCTGTACGACTCTGTTGTGATCAAGCCTGGCTTGGGTGTTCCGTCCCGACGGTTGGATATCCCTGCCTACCCAACGCAAGGCTCGTAAACGGGTGTCAATGGTACGACGCTTTGGGCCTGCCTTGACACTTGTACTGAAATATTGCTTCAGACTTCCAGGCCGCATTTTGCGTGCACCACGCCCGGCATCATCCCAATCCAACCTCTGCCCTGCCAAACCAGCCTTTGTTAAACGTCTGTCTTATCTCAAGGCTAGATGGCCTCTTTCTAACGACGCATGAAACAGCACTTACCCTCCAAGATGCCGAATACCACACCACGGCTAGTATCACTCCACATCCATTCGCCAAATGGTTCGTCCCATGATCCCCCAACGAATACAGCTGTCCTTACCTCTCACAGTCAATGGACATGGTCGACTGCCGACGCCCCTTTGGACGAGACTCCCTCTGCAATTCTTCATGCACCTAGATAGACTTTCGATTAGTGTCTTCCTACAAGGTGCTCTTGTATCGTCGTCTCCGTTACTGTTTGGCTGTCGAATTGTATTGCCTTTCTGCTTCCCTACTTCTTGCCACCGGCTGCAAATTGCCTTTGATTTGCAGAGAAAGGTGCATGCTCGAAAAACCCAATGGGAGCTAGTAAGAGCAAGTATGTTTGGGCGAAGGATATATTGAATATTCCACCGGATGGTATGGCGAGATAATGGTACAATACACGTCGGCGTGCGATCGAGTCTAGGCATCCCCGAATAACCTCCTTCTATAAAGTCAAAGTCAATAGTCCGCACACTACCAGAAGGAACGAACGGCACGTACACCCTCACTGGCGCATGGCTAAAGATAGTAGGGCCACCAATCATCTCCCTCGACCATACGTCCCTCATAAACCACCCGACATGTCCCACTGCACATCCAAGCAAGTCGCCAGCTGCTGCTTTCCATGTACCATGGAGGATCCAAGAGAAGCCTACAAGTGCGATGGGAAGGTAGGGTGCTGAGATGGTGATTAGACCGAAGAGGGATATGGGTGTTGAAGGGTGTCGCCTGGACCAGACGTAGATTGGGACAAAGGCGAGCGGTGAAGAGAGGAAGGGGAGGTTGAATAGCGGAGAGATTCCCTATGGTTTGGAGATAGTCTTCAGTGAGAAGTAAGATAGGATAGTGAAGTAGGGCGTACGAGAAGCATGATAGCGGAGAGGAAGAGCATCCAAAAGTAGTCGGCTTTACGGTTTGCGAAGGATGATTCTTCCAGCATTCTGCTGTATCTCATACTGCGAGAATATTCTTCAGTGGTATTCCCAGAGGAATGGGAGGTGTTTTAGCTCACAAGAAGAACAGGTGGAAGACAAAGTCCAGAGACAGCGGTCCAAAGTAGAAGAAATTGGTTATTGCCCGCCATGGCTTGAAATTCAGTCAGCTGCCGTAGGCCATATACATGATACCCACGCGTACCTGTCCATTCAGGAATGTGATCTTCCAGCTATGGTACAATTGCAGGGGTGTAACGATTTGACATTGCTGCAGGGATCAAAGCTATGAAGTCAATATCCAGTCTTCGCTCAGACCTGGAACGGCCAATGCGTGCGTACCACAGCCAGACTAGAGAACACAGCTAGAGCCAGCCAGCATCTTGTTATAGGAGGGATCTGTGTAATCCATGCTTCGATACCGACGGGCATGGTGGTCGTCGTTTGGATGAGATATGACGCCGGACGCCCAGCTCGCTGTTGGCCAATGGCCACGACGTGTAAAGTGGCCGCGATCGTGTCTTCCCACGGGCACTGCCGAGCCAGTCGGCGGATAGGGGTTTGAGCTTGCCGTTTATGGAGGGACTGCATCGTCTCCAAAGCAGACGCTCAGGCTCGAGTCATAATGAGATGGCTCTTACGGCTAGTTGAAACGGCGACTCTTTCGGGTTTTAGATGAAGCGAGTTCCAAAGGCGAGTAGGTGGGTATCTGGGGCTTATCTGCAAGTACCAAGCACCGCTCTTTGCATCCTGCATCGAGCAAAAGGCCTCGAAGGATATTCGACACAGCACCAGTATCGCAATCATTCAGAGAAGAGATGATCAAAATCAACATACATCCTCATCCAGCGCTGGGATGGGCCTTGGGCAGTGTTCCTCAAAGAGATATACTTGGATACGTTGATCCCAGCCAAGTGCCTGGGTGACGTAGGGATTATAATTGCTTACTGTGGACTGGGGCCTACACAGGTACAGAGTTCCAGCCTCGATATTCCTTTGTAAGTTGACGCTACACGTCACACCGGAGGAGCAGTTTCCTCGTCCCTTGGACATCGGCGGCGCACAATAACAGACCGTTGATGTCGAATCTCCTTTGCATTCTGTGATGATGAATTGAAGGATCCTGTGCGTTGAGCGCAGAGCTTTTCTCCGAGTGATGGTATGGAGTGTCACACTTGGAGTGGGATTGGAGAGGAAAGAGACGAATCTCCCCTTGTGAAGTGAGACGAAAAATGGAAGAATAGTTGAGTAATGGCTCGAGGAAACATCATACAGAGTGTGATAAATTTCTGAGGAATTGTGGGAGAGAAACAAGGAAACGGAAATGGAGAGGACAAAAGGCGTGACAGCAAGTCACATGGGGTGGTCCATGAGCTGGCCGTGGGGTGGTTGTCAACCGCTTGAGCTTTTACTCTTTTGTAATCGCTGCTCATCCTCGCCGCTCCTTCCTCGTCGTGCTCGACGTCGACAAAGCCTTTTCTTCGCTAGACCGGCAGGCTCCGCTGGTCTTGTCTAGAACACTCGCAGAACCCAGTTGACGACCACAACCGCAATTTGCAACTCCCGCCGTCTACCGATCAGCTTGTTTCTAGCAACGTCCACCGACTCGACGTCAAGGACGCTTTTCTCCAACCAACTCAAACTCTTTTTCGACACAAAACGCTCGCCAACGACGAGCTCAGTCGCTTGTTGACCGATCGTCTCAAAACAGCAACCCATATTCTTTTATCTCTCTTCTTTTTTCCACAATGAGTCTTCGACCTCCTTCTACCAGCCCCAGCCCCTCTCCAGGGCCCCAAGATGCTAAAATCAGCGCCCGTCAGTCGATGGGCCCATCTGCGCGTGGAACGCCGACTCTGGCACCCGCTTCGCCTCGTCCTGGAGGACAGGGAAGCGCCAGACCCACCAGCGAGCTCTTGGGTAGCGGTTCAATGTTCCAAACACCCGAAGGTAAAATCAGCCGCTCTTCTGACAGTAGTTTCCTCCAGCTGACGACCTTTCTCACCGCAGCGGAGGCGCTTGATCAATGGTTTGAAAATCTGCAAAACTATGAAGCCACTCTGGTGCGTCCGCCTCAGAGATTATGACAATAATCTGTCTCATGCCCGCTTAGGAGGATATGGCTGCAGCTTCCCTCGACGTTAATTTCAAAGAAGAACTCAGCGCCATCGAGCAATGTGTGTAAACAGTCAACCACTCTCCCCCTGTGTCTGACATAGTCCGCCATAGGGTTCAAGGTTCTTTCTGAAGCAGAGCGCACAGCCGCTCTTTACAGTCTTCTTCAACATTCCACTCAAGTCCAAATCAGGTTCTTCATCACCGTCTTGCAGCAGATGGCGAGATCGGACCCGATGACCGCCCTGTTGAGCCCCGCTATGGGTGAGTGACTTTCCCCGTTGAGCGTCTGACGACGGCGCTGACAATCGAACAGGCTCCATGCAAAGTCAAATGGAGGCCAAGCTGGCCACCCTGAAGTCGCCTGGTCTCAAGTCGCCCCTTCCGGCTTCCCCGACTGCTCGCAACTTCAACCCCGGAAATCGTCAATCTTTGGCCTTGGATAACAATTCCAACTTCCTCTCCCCCGACTCTGCTGCCAACGCTAACTCCAACAACAACAATGATGCGGCAGCGACTCTTGCTCAACAGCGTGCGAAGCTCAAGGCCAGCAATGCGGCCCATCGCATTTCTGCCCCTGTTCTCGCTTCGAGCGGTTCTGATGCTCGTGCTTCTTGGGGTCCTTCTCAACTCAGCCAAGTCAGCGAACAACAAGGCCCGACCCAAGAGATCATCATCAACCCGTCCCGCCCCAAGAGCAGCGACTTCTCCGGCACTATTGCTTCACCTCGTCCTGGAGAGAGTAACCAGAGCGAGAGCTGGGCGAGCATGGTCTCCACTCCTCATCTGACCATGTTCCCCAAGCCGGCGGAACCACCCAAGGTTGAATCACACTGGTCCAGGAACCCTGCTCCTTCCGTTCCGAAGATGGGCGATCCCACTACCCGTCGTCGCAACAAGGTTAACAATGACGGCAATAACCAACCAGGATCAAATACTGGTGTCTACGACGATAACGGAAACCCGATTGGCGGACAAGGAGGCAACAACAGGAACGTCAGCGGAGGCTGGGGTTCTAGAAGCCCGGCGCTTTCTACCAACTCTTCGAACAGGTTCGGAGGAAACGACGACAACAACGGCATGAACGGATTGGGTATGCAAATGAACGGCTTTGGTGTTGGGCTAAGCAGCCCCACCCTCGGCATGGGTCTTCCTGGCCTGGGTGTACCACCGTTGAGTCCTTTCAACATGAACATGGGCATGTTGAGTGCCATGGGTATGACACCCGAGGCCCAGGCGCAGCTTCTTGCGGCGCAAATGGCCGCGACTGGCTTCGGCCAACCCAACTGGCTCGGTATGCAGCCCATGTCTGCTGGCTTGGGCAACCAACGACGCAACATGTCTGGAGGTCGATCCCCTGGATTGAAGAGTGCGTCCAGCGTTGGTAGCCGTGCCGACAGTGGAACCCCCAAGGCTGAAGAGGATGTCAACCCCGAGTTGCTGAACGACATCCCAGCTTGGTTGAGGAGCTTGCGCTTGCACAAGTATACTCCCAACTTTGAGGGTTGCACTTGGAAGGAGATGGTGGTTATGGATGAAGCCCAGTTGGAGGCGAAGGGTGTCGCTGCTTTGGGAGCTAGGAGGAAGATGCTGAAGACGTTCGAGATGGTCAGGAAGAAGATGGGAATTGAGGGTGGTCCACCTCCCAGCGCTCCTCCCAGCGCAGCTCCCTCCGTCAAGTCCCCTTAAATGTGGCGACTGTTGAACACCTTTGAAGAATTTCCCGGGTTCGTGGACCCTTATACCCTTTCCTGTATCTCTTCCTCTCTCTCGCATATGCCCTTCAAATTTACTTCTTCCGCGAAGAACGATATCTTTTCACCTTTTCCTGTTTGACTGGTTCCTCTGAAATCTTTCTCAACTTGATGGACGTTCATATGTATCGGCGGCGTAGGAAGGATGTATCGCGTCGGGAAACGCTTGATCACGATGACGATTTTCGAAATCTAGTAGTGACCTCTTTAATTTTCTCCCCTCAACTCTTCCTCGACCACCTTCGGTCACCCTTTTTTTTTTTCTCACTTCACCCTTCTCACCCCCTTTTCGGTCTGTGAAATTTACGATGTGATCACTAGTACGAATACTTGTAGTCTACTCCGTTTACTTTTTTTTAGTCTCTGGTCGTGTCGACGTCTGTGACTAGGGAACTTGCCATCGTGTCTCCATCCCCCCGGTGTAATTTATCTCGAAGACTACGTTTTTTCTGTTTCAATACGATATCTATGTATCATCAGACGTCTTACTCTTCGCAACGGTGCGATTTCAACGTGCTAACTACCAATTGTTAGAGTATGAGGGCTTACCGCAAGAACGTGCTATAAACCCAGAGCATGTGTCAACTCTCCTGCATTCCAACCCCGCTCTTGAAGATGGCGGTCCTTGAGTGGCTGCGGGGTTGTCTGTAACTATTGGCTTCCTGCTGGTAGGTGAGCGGTTTGAAAACCGTGTGAGCTGAATGAAAGAGCGAGGCACACAGCAACGATTCATCGGCAAGTTTCTTCAAGGAAAGTGAGGTATGTATATGCAGCTAGCAAAGCGCAAGGAACGAATGGTAATAACAAAACTAAGTGGTACTGGGGAGACCTCGGCGGGTCGACCCAGTCCATAAATTATCCAAGAAAAACGAAATTGGCGCACTTGGTGTCCACTCTTAACATCTACTCCAAGCCTCTCGGGACCCGATGGATGATACTGAAACCTTTATCTTCCTTCTCCCTTCAGTCCAACCCCCAACCCCCGAAAATTCAGGGTCTAGGAGGCTGTCCGGTAACGGTCTCCCACTCCGTCCCCTCTGGGACTTCCCAATCCCCATGGCATCCCCATTGCCAATCAGTATCCTTGATGATTTCCTTCTGAGCCTCAACAAAGGCTTCAACAGGGCACATTCCGTCCTTTTGCTCAGGGCAACCGCGGATACCGTGCAGAGGAGCCACACCATCGTTGATGATGACACGGATTTGCTCACCGGGAGTGGAGGTGCAGGAGAGGACTGTGTGTGTAGAGGAATTAGGAAATGAGCTGAGGGAAGATGGAGGGGAAGGACGTACGTTGGAACTGCACGTTGGTGGCGAAAGGCGCCAACTCGGCAACGCGGAACTTCCTGTTCTTCGGGATATGGGTGTAAGGCAGAGGTCCATCCTCCGCGAACGTAGTCAAGTTCAAGCCGGTGATAACTGTATGACACCGGTACCATCAGTGTCAAATCCCAGGACGGTGAAGCAGGTACGACAAAAAGGATTATGGGCCTTACCGTTGAGGACGACGACTTCGTGCGTGGCGTCAACATACAACGCGTGTCCGAGGGGGAAGGTGATATCGTTGTGGAGCGTCGAGTTGGTGCACGAGTTGTGCTCGGTGATGGGAGTCTTGGTGAGGCGGGCGACGAGTTCTTGAATCCAGCCAATGCTCTGGACGCGAGCGACAGGCGAACCAAAGGCAGAGCCGTACCAGAACAGGAGGTCAAGGCTACACAAGGTACGGTCAGCATCGCTGACACACCACGATAAATGACGAGGTCCGCTCACCCATAATCAAAGCCTTCCCACTCCTCTTCAGTAAACAACTCGCAGAACTTGGAGTAGCCCAGGGCAACAGTCTGCCATACAGTCCTCAGGACAGGGTACGCCAAAGAGACCAGCGAAAAATATTACCTCATAAGCACAAGTCTGCTGCATGATGTATACATCTTCAGTGGTAAGGTCAAAGCCCTTGATCTGTGCAGAGAGTCTCTCTTTCGCATCCTTCAAGTAAATCTCAGCCCAGCGTTTCATATACCAGACGCCCCTGGAAGCTTTGGATGGGACGTGCGCGTTGGGGCAGCTATTTGGGCAAGGCCAGTGAGCAACGTCGTCACTGGCAGGGATCCGTGATTACTTACGTATCATATGGTGCGAGGGTGTTGTTGAACTAGAGAGTAGAAGAGTTCGGGACGCGTACTTGTCACTGAACAGGTTCGAGACTCACGCCAATCTCTTCAATCATAATACTTTGCTGGTATTGTCCATCGAGTGGATATCCGAAGAAACCGATGGCAAAGTTGAGAGCGGACTTAAGCATGCGGTCCCTGTAGTTGTATATCATCAGGTAGGAATTCATATGAGTTTGAGACTGTGAAGACGCACTGCGACTCGGTGCGGAATACGGGAAGGGTATTGGTAGCGGTGAAGTTCTATGAACCAGGGTTAATTGTTTGGTGTGGATGGAGGTCACAAGAGCATACGTTAAGGAGGAAACCATATTTCATGCGGAGGGAGTAACCCAAGTCATCTGCAGGACAGTTAGAGCCTATCAAACTTCGGAGGGGAACGAAACTCACAAAGTTGCTTCCTTCCGAAAGGAGTCAAAACTGGGGTAAGGTCAGGGGCTGGTACCTGAGCTTCTCTATGTATAGGAACTAACCTTCTTCACCAAGTTTAAAGGTCCTGTGAGGCGTTTGTTATGTCAGAGACCTCGGGCCATGACGACGGTGCTACGTACCAGTCATTAAGGAAAGACAATTCTCCAGTAGCATCCCAAGACTGGGGGTTCTTGTGGATCTTGTTCGCGAATTTGGCGGGACCACCATACTCGGCTAGTGTTCATAGATGATGTCAATCACGAAGAACGGAATCCATCTGACTGACTGCTAAATTAAACTTACACCACCGGGTTGGGTATCTGGCACCATGTCGGTGCAAGAAGTGCAAGCCAGTGATTCTGCACGTCTCAGGCGGCTCCGGAGTCGAATCAAGGCCAAATCTTCCCTTCTCGACGCTGAACCACGGGGAGAGGTTACCCCAGTTTTGGAACAACTTGAAGTCCTTTGATTTCTGGTCTTTCGCGTGCGACTGTAGTTTGTTCGAGAAGCCTTCGGGTGCGATGAGCTGGTTGGAACATTGGCCGGATTGGTAAGGGTAGACTGGAGCGGTGGCGATGGCTGCTGGTTCTGCACCAGTGGGGGTTCCACCTGGGTAACCAACGTCCGAAGGGAACATTGAGGGGAAGGCGTTGGTGGGTTTGGTGGGAGGGAAGTGGTCGACTTGGGTGGAGCCAACGTACGGGGGTGCAAAGTTCGCCTCGTCGACTGGAGGCATATACAACGGTGCCGATGATTCGATGCCGTGTTTCTTCTGGAAACACGAAGGTCCACATAGGGCAAGCTGCATGACGATGCAGACGAGGGCTCCGGAGACGAAGGCAGCGAGAATGTAGGTTAGTTTGACGGGGCTGGCCTTGCGGACGCCTTGGGGACCGAGCCCCTTGAGCGACGGCTCTCCATGCGCGTCGTCGTAGGTGGGAGGAAGGAGGGCCTCCCGCTCTGCTCCTGAGGCGCCATATTGGTCGGTGTGGTCGACACCGTTGCTGAGGGACTTGGACATCGCGAAAAAGGGTCTCGCCGGACGACGAGAACGATGGTGACCGTGCCAGGCCAAGCCCCGCGCCCCCTACTTGAGCTAAATGACACGTGGGAAATAGCGTCTAAAGCGCCCGCCTTGGTCAGGGGCTGCACTTTCCTCTTTTTCTTCTACCACAGTCTGGTCGTTGTACGACGTGTCCGTAGCTTCAATAACTCGCTTTGAACGCCGATAACTTATTGATGAAAAAGGAGGTGGACGCTCACCCCCGTCCTACCGAGAATTTTCCCATCCGAAACTCGAGTGGATGGGTTGAATCGCCCACGTTCAATAACGTGAAGGCTAGTAACCTACGTTTTACCTCGGAACTTCCGGTTCTAGAGAGCCTCACGAACTCTCAGAGCTCCGAGTTCTGTGAGCTATGTCAGGCATAGGTTCGCCACGATGTCCTACTTCGAATCCTCAAGGATGTTATGGGTGTCAGGCTCTTGAGCACTGTGAACTATGGGCATCCCTCTTTTGATCCAGCATTGGCCCTTTCAGGGAGGAGAGAAGAGTCAAGGCCGGTATCTCGTCGGCCACGCTCCTTGGACTTGAATGATGCACTTCAGAGCATTGGAGTATATATCTGCTTTCCAACATTCATTCCTACACACCATCTCGGACGAGACATTCCGATTCCCTGTTTTCCATCGCAGGTTGCACGGGGGACCATGTGTGGATGGAATAGACAATTGTCAGTGAAGAGATAGATGCGAATACAGAGGAAGGGTCACAAGAATCCTCCACCCTTGCCACTGCTGAACCGACTCCCCAACCCTTTGGCCTCCTGTAACATCTGCTTCCGCTTCCCATCGTCCATAAGCCTGCCTCCAATCGCCATGTCTCGAGCGTGGTCCCAGATCACCGGTGGCTCCTCCGAGCCTTCCTTGGACGCAGTCGCAGCCGCATGTTGGTCCACCAACGCTCCACCTCGTTGTTTCTTCTACAGTCCTTCTGTGAGCACGCATCCACACCCGTACAGCAGAGAGACAAAGGACGAACCGTGTACTCCTCAACTCCCTTCCGGATACGCTCTTCTTCCTGCTTCCTCCTCTTCTTGTCCGGATCGTCATCAGCAGGTGCAGAATCTACCGCACGCCGCTTCTTCCCAGATACCTCATCCGCCAGTCGTTTCTGCCGCTCCGCAGGAGTTTCGGTCCATAGAGATGTATCCGTCGCTCGAGGTTCTGCTGTACTCTTGGAAAATTGACGGCCTTTCTTAAGTCTACTTGGGTCCAAATCTGGTCAGGGCGAATGTCAATCGTGTATTCTCTGGCGAGAAGGAACCAAATGGAACGCACTTCCGAGGAGGTCAGAATGGGATGGCGGGACCAACATCCATTCCTCTCGTTTGGGCGCTTTGGGTTTACTTGCTTCCTAGAAGTCATGTTCGAGGAAGGTGCTGTAAGCTTCCTAAAGCAGCAATAGCGATTAGCAGGTGCGTACCTCGAGTTGCTTTCTCCGTCGTTCCTCACGCTCAATAAATTCCTGCACCGCGCTCGACTCCTGGTGCTTCATACCAGCAGGCAGCGGTTTCGGTCCCACATCGTCATCGGAGTCGTCATCTGGGTTCTGAACTTGGGAGTACGTCTTGGGGTCGTAGGTGGGAGCGTAGGTGGGGAAGGAGGGGCCGATCACGCGTTTGCCTGGGTTGGAGGGGCCTGGGGAAGGTGAAGGACGTGACGGCCCTGCAACTGGACCTATCGAAGGACCGATGTCGTCCCCTGAGTCCTCTTCTGCATCATCTTCCTTCTTCCTGCTCAGCAAATGAGCTGGGATTGCAGGTCCTATTCCGACTGCAGCACCCTCCTGCTCCTTCTCTCTCTCGTCGTTGTCGTCTTTCTTCTGAACAAGTGACAGTGGTATCTGCGGTCCTATAGACGGAGGTAAGGAAGACCCAACGTCATCGTCGCTTTCTTCTTCGTCTTTTCGACTCTCGAATTGGTTTTGGAGGTGTGGGGGTAGCTGAGGGCCGATGTTGGCCATGGTGGTTTGAATTTAAGCGCCGTGACGCGGTTGGTCACCGCCATCAAGCCATCAGATGTGCAAATCCCCGATTGGCTGGATTTGAGTTGCCGACGGATGTATCCGGATTGCCGAATGGAGTCTCTCCTCGGCGTTCGCTCAGAGCAGAGCCCCTATTTTCATTCGATCTTCCTCTCCTCGTTCGTATGATGTCCATCGACTCGGCGCTGTTCAAGAATCATGATATATCTTCAACACGAGATGGATCCATGAGGGACGGATCGGGCTCAGGTGACGGCGTCGACCACGGCATCGTAATTGGCAAAGCATCTTGGGAGTCACGGTCACCGCCCAAGATGTCATAAAAGGGTATTCCCCAAGGCCGGCCGTAGTAAATCTAATTACCGCCCCCCTTTTCGTATTACTCGGTGCAACAGACACCCAATTCACTCGCGATCTCTACCGCTACTACCACGACCACTCCCACCGCTTTGCTCTGGGACTCGGAATCGACAGTACTCGAACTAAGACTTGTAGGATGGCCGCCAACCTCGTCAACGGAAATACAGCAACTGGTAGCCCTAATCCCAGTGGATCAACAACACCAGTGACTCCAGTTCCAGATTCCGTCTTTGATGACTCTGTCGTGTCTCATCGGTTTGCTGGGCATATCGGGTTCTTGACGAAAGCGCAGACAGAGGCGTTTGAAGCGTTCAAGGAGTTGTTGGTTCAAGAAGGGCTTTACCGGCCTTCTGTGTTATCGGAGGATGGGAAGAGCGTAGTTGAACCTGCTTCGCATGACGACCCTACCGTACTGTGCGTCTTTCTCTTTCTCCTCTCAGATATGCGGTGCTCTGGTCGTTCGGCTATCGAGTCTAACTCGGTAATTGCTACAGACGATTCCTACGAGCACGGAGCTTCCAACCGCCAGAGGCTCTAGCACAATTCAAGCGCGCAGAGGAATGGAGGAAGGAACAAGACGTAGACAACCTATTCGCGACGGGGTTCACAGCAGAAGAACTGGAGACTGCCCGCCGGTTCTATCCACGGTGGACTGGACGAAGAGATAAAGTGGGCATCAGAGTTGTCTTGTCTCTGGGGGTCTAGGTCTAATAACTCAATACCCATCTCTCGCCCAATCCAGCAAGGACTACCGTTATATGTGTATCGGATTGCGGCTCTAGAATCCATGCAGAAGGAGTTGGATGCCGTTCCTTCTAAGCGAAGGTATCAACGGATGTACGTATTTCTCAATTCTCATGCGTCAAGCTAACGGGTTGGTAGTGTCATCCTATACGAGATGATGGTCCGCTTTATGTTTGGATTGTGCTCTCATCTCCCTCACCCAACATCCCCACATCCTATCTCATGCACGACCAATATCATAGATCTAGGTATGCTCCGTTTCTCTTGGGTTTCAAGTGTACTGACCAGCACGTATAGGCGATGCCAGTTTCACATCGATGTTTAGATTAAGAGGCCACTTTCAAGAAGCATCTAGGCTTGCAACGCCATACTACCCTGAAACGCTAGGAACTATCATCGTCGTCAATGCTCCGTCCTACTTTCCTACAATCTGGTCTTGGATCAAGGTACATTCATCTCACCTCTTGCAGCCTGCCAAACCTCCAACACTGAGGGATCCTCCCTTCATAGGGCTGGTTCGATGAAGGAACTCGGCGCAAGATCCACGTCCTCGGTAAAGACGCAGCACCTACGCTAACAGAACTAATACACGCGAAAGATTTACCCAAGATTTATGGAGGAGAGTTGGAGTGGACGTTTTTCGATCAGCCGAATTTGGATGAAGATGCAAAGGCTGTATTGCCTGATGGTTTCCCGGAGGGAGTGGCTAGCTTTAAAGATGGGAACGTTATAAGGCCCGGGGAGTCGCAGTAGGTAGACTGACAATAGATCTAAATTGTTTCGAGGTGCGTCTTCCGAGGGACTGGGAGCGTACCTTGTTGAGCTAAATTCTCGAGTCGACACCCCGCTTCGTGAGATGCTCCTTGAAGCAGTCCCAAACACCATCCAAGAGCGAATTTATCGGGTGTGCATCCGCGAGGCGTTCGTTGCCGTTGTGCACCAATGGCCAATCACAACACCAATAGAAGAAAGGACATGCATCGGGCACGAGGCGAAGCTTCTTGAGAGATAGAGTCGCCGCCTTTTGCCCTCGGTGCGGTGTCGTATACTAGGTGCCATCCCCCAAAGCAATGGCAGGATTCGAGCCAGCTTGTATTGCACCAATGTCTCGAGAATAGCCGGTCTTCAGTGGTCTAGCGTTGCTCCATTGTTCAGTATGTCCATTAGAGCAGTGCCCGTGTGTTCATACCCCACCCAATCGTGATCACAGTCGTTAATAGAAAAGGACCTGAACATGCTCTCGACACGAGGCGCAAGTCGAGGATTGGTTCCTTTAAAAATCGGGGTTTGCTGGGAGTGTGCTGAAAGCAATCTTTACGCGATCGCATTCACATAGGCACAAGTAGATGGTCAGAATGACCTCTCGAATGTCGACGGTCGGTTCGTTGTTGGCGACGACAGGGATTGGGAAAGCGGACTTTGGGAGTGTTTCGGCAGAGGGTGAGATCAGAGGGTTGGCAGACCACGTGGCCAATCCACCGCCAACCAATCTCTCTTTCCTCCAACCTACTCCAACCCGCTACAAGATGTCCGTCTCCCTCAATCCTCCTAACACCCTGGGCTTCAGAAGTATGTATTCAAAATTCACAATTCACTATTCATTTCTCAACTCGTTGCAGGACCTTTGACCCAGCTCGTCAAGCGTTCCCTGACCATTACCAACCACAATGCCCAACCAATCGCCTTCAAGGTCAAAACCACAGCTCCAAAGGTACATTCCCCCGAATTTCCGACCCCAGCGCTCCCATTAACGGCAAGTAACCACAGTTGTACTGCGTACGACCCAATTCTGGACGAGTTGAGCCCGGGGAGAGTCTGGAGGTTGCTGGTGCGTCATCACAATAGCCGCTCAGAGGGTCGAGTGCTGACCGACCGTGTTGCAGTTATGCTCCAAGCTATGAAGGAAGAGCCACCCCTCAACACAAAATGCAAAGACAAGTTCCTCATCCAGAGCACTATCATCACTCAGGACAAGGAAACCATGGCTCTCCAGGACATCGTGCGTGTTCCCCAAACAATAGCGGACAGGCTGGCTGACTGACTCTTTCACAGTGGGCAAATACCGATGCAAATGAAGAAGGCAAAGTGTATCAGCAGAAACTACGTGTAGCATATCTACCGCCGGAGGGCCAGACCCTTGAGGAAGAAGACGAAACTGCGCACGCGAACCAATCGTCCTTTATCAACCCCAGCGATGTCGTAAGTCATTCATTCATTTTACCTATTCATTTTCTCAAACTATCTCTTTCCAGACGTTCGACACTGTCCGCCAGCAACCCCCCGCCAACGGTCACCAGCCTATTCCCCCCTTTGCTGCTCCTCCGCCGCCCCAAGAACCGCCTCGACCCTCGACCCCACCGGCTGTCGACTATTCGGTTGCACGCGAGGAATCACAGGACCACACCCAGCCTCAATTCAACAACATTCCGGTTGTCAACGAGCCATCCCACCGTGCACCCACACCTCCGCCCGCCGTGCCCCAAGTCGCTGCTGTCCCTCCTCCGCAACCCCCTGTCCAGGTCGAGCATGCGCCACAACCGGTTCGGGCGGCGGCCCCCGTTCCTGTCCCTCCCCCTGCTCCCGCCCGTGCACCCTCTCCGGTCATCATCACCCAAGAAAACCCCATCAACGAGCAACTGGTTGTGGAGAACGAGGAGCTACGGGGTCAGATCGAGAGCCTGAAGCACGAATTGGCATTGCAAAGGGCCGAGAACCAGGAGGCTCAGCAAGCCGTTTCCGAGCTCCGAAGACGAAGACGCTCCTCCATTGGCGACAGTGGGTCGGACGTCCGCACCGCGGTCGACGAGCCTAACATCCACCAAGACGGTGTACCACTGAACGTGGTCGTCCTCATCTCCTTCACCGTCTTCTTCATGACGTACATCTTCTTCTAACCTGTCCACTCTTTTCGTCTTCACTGTCCTTTGCTACTCGCGCGGTCCAATCATTCATCCCGGCTTCTGTCCACTTTTTACGACCTGCGATTTTTCTTCTTTCTCGTTTCCACCTCTTTGTTTACCCTAACCTTTTATCTCGGTTTCGATGGTGTGGCTGGCTTCCTATTGTTCACTACCGTGTTTTAGTACTACGACGACTTCCTTCACGACACTAAAAGTAAAGGACAGTTTCTTAGATAAATATATTTATTCTCCTAGTATGCTCCACTATGATATTACTTGCTTATAGCCCCTCAGTTCAGATGGAGAGCCCGTGCGTTCAGATGGAGAGCCCGTGCGTCAGTTTAATTGGAGGACAATGAGGACGTACTTGGTTGTTTGCCCCATCTGTGGCATATCCTGCTTTACAAAAGCAGCACACCATCTGACCTTTCACTTCATTTCGTCTAATCCTTTTATTAACAACGATGTTCATGATTAAGCAAATGGGTATGCAAGCACGAGAGCGTGACTAGTAATGATGATATATGTAAATAGACAAGAAAAAACGAACGAGAGATGGGTCCGACAATACTTTAACTAGATCATTATATGCATGGCGGAAAATATAACCAACAGGTTGCAATGGGGCGAAGGTCGAAACGATGATAAAGATATTCCCTTTTTCGATGCTTGTACAAAACGAGTCAAGAAGCGGTCTAATCGTTCGTGCTGAGTGCTTGAAGCTGGACATATTCGTAGTAGTCTCCTCGTTTAGCGATGAGTTGGTCATGAGTGCCAGATTCGCTGACACGGCCTTCTTTGACAAAGTAACTATAGATCACACAACGAGGTCAGTCATGCCGGAGGGTTACTGCGACTGATCATTAAAGAATACTCACATGCAATCGGCGTTTTGGATGGTGGATAATCTATGGGCAATAGCAATCGTCGTTCGTCCACGAGAAGCTTGGTCAAGCGCGGCTTGCACAACCTTCTCAGAGTTGGAATCCAATGCAGAGGTGGCCTCGTCTAGAAGGAGGACCTTGGGATTGCGAAGCAGGGCACGAGCGATGGCAATGCGTTCTAGGTAACCGACATGAGCATCATGTTTCGGGAGAAGATGAGATCCACTCACGTTTCTGGCCACCGGAGAGTTGGGATCCCTTGCCTCCGACTTCAGTATCAAAGCCTTGAGGCAAGCTCTTAATGAAATCGAGAATATTGGCGTCACGGCAGGCTTGTTCAATCTCTTCCTGGGTAACCTCGGATTCCGGCTTGATGGCACCCAACAGGATGTTGAAACGAACGGTACCAGCGTAGAGGGTAGGCTCCTGAGACACGAGCGCGATCTGCTTGCGGTACTCCTGCACGTTAAGGTCCGTAATCTTTTCACCGTCGAGATAAATCTCTCCAGCGAGCGGGTCGTAGAACCGTTCAATCAGTTGGATGCTGCAACGAGGTCGATCAGACAGGTGCTGCGGAACGGTTAGGAAAGATCGCTTACACAGTACTCTTGCCAGATCCACTAGCTCCGACCAAGGCGATATAGGTACCAGGTTGCACCTCGAACGAGAAATCGCGCAAGACGCGGACACCGGGGCGAGTGGGGTACCTAAAGTGCACGTTCTCGAAGCGAAGGTGTCCCTTGACGTTCTCAGGGTTGACCTTCTTGCCAGCTTCAGACTCTGCGTCGATATCTGGGATAGAGTCCAAGAGCTTGATGATGTCGGATCCTGCACCCTTGGCGGAGGAAACATCGGGCACGAAGGAGAACACGTTTCCGGCTTGCATGGCACCGAAGGTGGTGGCCTAAAAACGATCGTTAGCAAAGCCATTCGCCTACATATGTAGGGAAAAAAGGACACGCGTACCATGAGACCAACGAAGAACTGGAATGTTGAAGCTTGCCCGCTGGCAACCTGTCGTGAACCGAACCAGAAGACGAGGGCAATGACGAAGAAGACGGTGCACTGAGAGATGGAGTAGAGACCCTGACTCCAGATGGAAGTGCGGTTGGACTTTCGCAAGGGCTTCTCGAGAGACTCGCTGTAGAGGCGCAAGCAATCATCTTCACGGGTGAGGGCCGCGACGGTGCGAATGGAACCAGCAGCTTCGCAGGCGAGTTGGGCAGATTCTTCGTGGGCCTTCTTGTTGGCCTGGTCCTTGAGGACGACGACACGGAGACGGATGTAGCCGGGAGAGACCAGGACGGGGATGCAAGCTTCGCTGAGGTCAGTAACAATAAGATCAACAAGCGTGGCAACACATACCAATTCCAACCAAAGCGATCTTCCAGCTGAAAACGAGACCAAGGACTGCACCAGTGATGAGAGTCGAGATTGCCTGGACAATGGCACCGAGAGTGACACCAGCGAGACCGTTGACCTTCTGGGGATTGTCACTGAGTTTAGCGGTGAGGCTTCCAGTCTAACGAGGCGTCAGTCTCATGGAGTACAGCGATGAGACCAAACCAAAAACTTACACTGTTCTCATCCTTGTCAAAGTATTCGACTAAAGAAGACGTCAGCCACGGAGCCAGGCTAAACGACGGTAATTACGCACTGTCTTGTCGCAGAATAGCCTTGAAGCTGAGGCTTCGGAGGCGAGCGGTCAAAGCGGCGGCGCAAGCAGAGAAGAGGTAGTTGGAACCGCAAATGGCGATGGTCGAGATGATAGCGATGATGAAGAACCAGAGACCGTTCCGCTCGCCAGCTCGCATGATGTCGTCGTCGTTGGTCAAAGAGAAACCTTCGATACCCTTGGCGAAAACGATACCATATGCGGGGTAGACCATACCGACGACTGGTGGACATCAGCGATTGCTCTTTTCCACATTCAAAAAAGGAAAACTCACTGATGGCGGAGAGGGAAGCAAAGCAATACTTCTTCCACTGGTCGCGGACAAGCAGACCCATGCGCTTGAAGAGATAGAACAAGCCGTGGTCGTCCTTCTTCTCCTTCTCGGCCCGCTCCTGGTTGCGCTTCTCCATGATTTCGCTAGCAATGGAACGACCAGTGTTGCGGCGACCAAGGGGCATTTCCTCCCGAGCGGCCTTCTCCATATCGGTTTCGTCGCCATCGGGTTCAGAGCCTTCGGGAGCATCTTCGCTGGGACCGGATGATTCTCTCAACTTCTGAGCCTGGACCAAACGAGCGTAGGCACCATCGAGAGCCAAGAGTTCGTTGTGCGTGCCGGATTCGAGAACTCGTCCATCACCCATGACATAAATGACATCGGCATCCTTAATGGTAGACAAACGATGGGCAATGGTGATGGTGGTACGGCCTGTATTTGCGGTCAGTGAAACTGGACATAGACAGTCGAGTTAAAAGAACCCACCGGCTGCAGCCTTGTCGAGGGCATCCTGGACGATTCCTTCAGACTGGGTATCGAGTGCGCTAGTAGCCTCATCCAACAACAAGATGCTAGGGTCGGAAACGATGGCTCGGGCAATGGCAATACGCTGCTTCTGTCCACCGGAAAGCAAGAATCCACGCTCTCCGACCATAGTGTCGTATCCGTTCGGCAACTTGCTGATAAATCCATCCGCATTGGCCTTGATGCAAGCCTCCTTGATAAGCGCCATCTTCTCCTCATCAGACTTGTGTTCATGAGGGGTGTTGATAAGACCATGTGCGACGTTCTCCTTGATGGTCGTGGCGAAGAGGGTAGGTTCCTGAGAGACGAGTCCGATTTGGGAACGGAGCCACTTGAGGTTGAGGTCTTTGAGATCGATACCGTCAAGTTTGACAACACCGGATGTGGGGTCGTAGAATCGCTCCACCAACGACACGATCGTCGACTTTCCGGATCCAGAGGCGCCGACCAACGCGGCGGTCTTTCCGGCCTTAAAAGTGAGGGTGAGGTCCTTGGTGACCTGGACGGAAGGACGGGAAGGATAGCTGAAGTTGACATTCTCCAAAGTGATTTCACCCTTCACGGACTCGGGCTTGAGACCACCAGGATTGGCAGAATCGATGTCGGGGACACGGTCAATGGTGTGGTACAATTTGGCGGCAGCTCCGATACCATGAGTGATGGCTGAAAATAACAAGGATGTCAGCGGGTGCCGCGGACTTTTAGGAAAAGGCGTCATACCTTGCATCTCCGGCGCCAACATCGCAAGTGAGAAGGAACCAATCAAGATGGCGAAGATGACGTTGATGACCTTTGCGGCATCAGCTGTTAATGCAGTTCAGACGGGTTGTTGAGTAAGAATGCAAGGAGAGAGCGTACCATGACCGGCGATGATGAGCTTGGTACCAAACCAGAAAGCTAGAAGGCAAGGGTTAGCCATGTCAAGCGATGCCAAAGGTTGTGTGCGCACCCAGAGCATATCCGGAGTAAATTACGAAAAAGAACACAGCCAATCCTCCACCGTGCCAAACAGCGGCCTTCATATCAACATTAAGGGACTGGTCGACGTGGACATTGTACAAATCGGAAAGGATCTTCTGAGTTCCGAAGGCTTGAGCAGTTCTAATGGTTGAGATAACTTCCTCGGCCATAGTTCCTCCATTAGCAACATGCTTGAGTGACAGTCTAAACTCAAGGTTGAGCAACCAAATGGTTGAAATGGAAGGTAAACGGTGGACATACTGCATGTACTTTGAGACAAACTTGTTCATCACACCACCGGCGATAGCGATACACGGCAGCATGGCAGACATAGCAAGGGCCAGTCGCCATGATCGAGCGTAGGCGAGAATGAAACCGCAGAAGAATGCTCCCAAGAAGTTAACGACCAACGCGACTTTCTCAGAGATACCTTGCTGGACAAGATCTGTCGATAGAAGCAAATGCATTAGCAACGAAACCGAGTTACTGTCAACTGTAGGGCTTACGGGTATCCGTTTGAATGCGAGTCGCTACTTCTCCCGCTCCGACGTTGTCGAAGAAGGCGATGTCCTGGCGAAGGATAGCTTGCAGGTACTTCTCACGAATCCTTCGAGCATTGACCTCGCCGGTGTAGACCCAAATGTACATGTAAGTGTAAGTGCACACGAACATGCCGATACCTGAAAATAAGCCGTGGAGTTATTAATGGAGACTGATCGCCGGAGACGACGACATACCGATATAGACCAGGTAGCTCGCATTGTTGGCGGCTGCACGCTTGAAACTTTCAGCGGCAGCAGGAAGTCCTGCAATGGCCGTCTGATTCCCCTGCTGTGCCTCTAGTGCAACGTTACCGAAAATGACGAATTCTTGTGTCAGATTGCCGAACAGCAATGACATTAATGGCTAGTAACCGTCAGCGCAAACATCCTGGTTCAAGCAAACCTCTACGCACCTGTGCAGCGCCCGCCGCTGCGGATGCGATGAGACCGATAATATCTATGAAGATTTCAAACTTGGTCGAGAACCTTTGAGAGTGGGTTTGAGTGTCAGCGTTCAGATGGATGCTCCCAGAATAGCTGCGTACCGGAAGAGCTGGAAGAAGGTGATGGGCGGTATTTCAGGCTCTGCTGGCTTGACCTCTGTCTTGGAGTCGGCCGCATCGTCGTCTGGCTTTTCCTTCAGTTCTGGTGTCTGAGGTGGGGTAGACTCCTTCTTGGTGAACCAGCCCTTGGAACCCTTGCGGGTTTTTTCCGAATCGTCCGCGCTACTTGGCCTGGACATGGCTGTAGAAAGCCGTGTGCGCTAGACCTGTGGTATCGATAATTAAAGGAAAAGGAAAGGAGTGTGGTGGAAACACCTGTCACGAAAGAGCGGCGGGGCAAAGAGTCAAAGTCCAACACCGCTATATATATACTTGGCGCATTCAATTCAATCATTTCGGGTTAGGGTTTTCGGGACATTGACCCGCTCCAGGCGTAATCCACTTGACAAATGCACCCGCTCCGAAATCTAATCTAATCTCGTTTTCCGAGTCATCGTCATCGCCTCCGACCACGCTTCCGTCGAAACTTATCGAATCTTCGGCTCGCTCCATCTCTTGTTCCTGCACTTTGAATCACTTGGCTGAGGCATTTCTCATTCAAATTGGCGGAAACCAAGGCTAACCAAGGTCCTCTCTTGCTGACTCGAAATGATTTTCCCGGGACCGCCTCATCATAGACGTGGTTGCCAACATGTGCTTGCAGGTCCTGAACATGGGAACAATCGACCAAGGTTGGAAAGGTGATAAAGGCGCCCAACCTTTCCAATGTGTTGCTGCGGGTAGACCCTCCTCCCCATGCGCAGTTCGCGTGGGCCTTCGCCAGCCCACCAGGCGTATTGACCAAGACCCACGATCAGTCGCTTCGCTTCAAGACCACCCAAAATATGGGTGAGTCTATCGGTACGCAGTCTCTCCGGCTTACGTGTCTTCCGGCAAACAAGGCATCGACGCTGCGGCTGCGTATTTTCTATTGGTGTTATATGTTCTGCAGATGGGTATCAGCTTGCATTTGGCGGCTGTAGTCCCGGAGCGGGGTGAGTAGCAGTATGTTTATGGTTCGATTTCAATCCAGAAGTACTACAGACTCGGTATCAATCTTCCGATTGGACGCACTAGACCAATGGTCTGCCCCTAGCAGCCTTATCAGTCAGCCTCTGGGATCCCAAGGACCTAGTAAGTACTTACATCGACTAGGGCTCATACTGGCATTGGTCTATGGCGTTCGATCTGACTGGCTCGTAGTGTTCAATTAGATGTGCTTCGGAATTTAGGATGGCAGGGGAAGTACAAGCCTCCACCTATCATCTTCTGTAACCGAGCATCACGGGTCGGATATTCAACCCTTCGAAAGGGAGGGGAAACGTCTTCCCGACTTTTTTCAAATCTCGCTGACCGTGCAGAGCGAGAAATCTCCCTCTGACCGAGGCCCGAGTTTCACTTGACGTTCCGTATGGATGTCCACCCCCCAGTTCTAATCGCGTGTCTGTGTGGCGGAAGAGCTAACCTTTGGCCGCCGAGGGCTTCCAAGCGGTTCGCGACATGAAGTCGACACCCTTCTCGTCCTCATTCGCGATGTCGAACGGCGACGGAGAAGCCTCGTGGATCTTTCTTGAAGCCATATTCTGCGAGATTGCTGTCGAAGACCCATCGATTAGCATGCTCTCTTCGGTGTGGAACGCGAACAGCAGTTTCGAGAAGGCCTTGGGTTAATTAATAGGACCAGTTAAAGAAAAAGTATAGGCATCTTCATTTCTTCCAATCCGGGTGATCTTCTGTTGTCGGGCGAGATGGCAACGCCTGTACACATAGTTTGTGTAACAGGACGATCAGTAAAACAGAAATAGTTCGGAATCACGGGTACATACTCCTTGGATATACTTGTTAGAAATTATATCCAATCTATCACAGTGCCTTCTTCGCACAGGCTTAAAGTTACCTGAACATCTTGGAAGACGACATCAAGCGCCCGTCCGAACGGCCGCTAATTGCTTGCGAACATTGAGATCTCCGGATATCCTGGACTTGCGCTTGCAAGACATGAGTGCTTTGCTGCTACTGTAGACTCACGTCAATGTCGATTAGACTAATATCACTCGGGCATGAGTCCAAGTACACTGTTGATTACTTTGGCTTCTCTGACGACAGTTATTGGAGATCGCCAGGTTCCGACATTCATGATCATATGGTGCAGCCATTTCCTGTCAATCAGTTGCGATGTACATGAATGTCGAGAACCCGATATAAGCGTTGAGGAGAACCTTTGAAGAGAAAACTGTTTTCCAGAGGACCCTGACATATCAAAAACGATGGAAAACATCCAGGCCAGGGGCCATCGCCACGCAACGACGGCATGTCCCAGATCAGAACGCCCCCAAACACTTTTGCGCTCAACCACCACCAGCAACAGTCAATTTTGCCTCTGATCCACGACAAATACCCAGCTCAAACGTCCAGAAAGCAGGCTTTCTCTCATTCCCGCACGCTCCTTAATTCCAATACCGATTAATCACCCACAGAAGCTTAATCCGTTGCACACCCGACACACACCATGTCCTGGCTCCGCGGCAAAAAGTCTGTCAGCAACCTCAAGGCTTCTGAAGACCTTTCACGAGCGACCACACCCACACCCGAGAACCCCAATGGCAAACAGGCAAAGCCGAGATTTAGGTCGGGTTTGCTGACGATTCGTGTGCTGTGGGCGGAGGGATTGGCTTTGCCAGCTGGCGTGGCCGTCCCGACCGTTGTCAGTAACGCACTGTCATCACAACAAGCCAAGGTTGCTGCCTCTGTCTCGCCCTCCAGCGTACACCAACAGCGACTCGCGAAGAAGTCCAAGGGGAACAGGTTCGTGTTGCTGATGGACATGTGCTTCGGGATCGTCAGGAGTTAACGACTGCATTTCAGGGACAGCGTGCAGCGAACACAATGCTGGTGGCTCCCCTACCTCGTCATGGAATACGAAGTCAATCAAGTCCTCATTACACCTTTGGGTGGTGATCTGGAGAAGCCATTGTACATGTATCAAGCCCATTTGTGAGTTCTAATCCTCCAACACACGAGGACGATCACCCCTGATTTAAATTACTTTCCACAGCGATGTCTCACGAAACTCGGAAATCTCGTTGCAATGTTACCTCCGAACGGAAGAGCCCAACTGTGCAGGTGACGGCCTCGCAGACAACCTCGGAAACGATATCTTCTTGGGTGGCATCAAGTTCGTCCCCAACTTTGACGACTTGGGCAGCCAGGATCAGTGGTATGACTTTGTCGGAGGATCTGGAAAGTTGCAGTTGGGCGTTTCGTACCAACCCAACTATGGTCAATCCCTCACCATCGACGACTTCGAGTTGATGACCGTCATCGGCAAGGGCAGCTTCGGCAAGGTCATGCAAGTTCGCAAACGCGACACGAGCCGGATCTACGCACTGAAGACGATCAGGAAGGCGCACATTGTGTCCCGCAATGAAATTACACATACCCTTGCTGAGCGTCTGGTGTTGGCTCAGGTCGACAGCCCATTCATCGTGCCCCTGAAATTTAGCTTCCAGTCTGAACAGAAGCTCTACCTCGTCCTCGCGTAAGTCCTCGTTCTTATGGAATTGGAACGCGTTTTGACCGCATCTTTTTCGCAGCTTCGTAAACGGTGGTGAGCTGTTCCATCATCTCCAACGAGAACATACCTTCAACGAGGAGCGGGCGCGGTACGTGGAGTCGTCGTTGCCACCACACCTGAAACCTTACGTTCCCTCTAGGTTCTACAGCGCCGAGCTTCTCCTGGCGCTCGAACATCTCCATGAACTTGATGTTGTTTATCGGTAGGTTTCGTTTCGCCCTTCCATGTGGCCTCGAACGTTAATCTCGTCCCCTGCCGTAGTGATCTGAAACCGGAGAACATCCTCCTTGATTATACCGGCCACATCGCCCTCTGTGACTTCGGATTGTGCAAGCTGAACATGAAGGAGAATGAGAAGACGAATACTTTCTGTGGAACACCTGAGTATCTCGCTCCAGAGATTCTGTCGGGCAATGGCTATGGTGAGACGACCTCTTCCTAGTGTGTCATTGTGCTCGTCCCTGACATTGTCCTTAAGATAAATCCATTGATTGGTGGACTTTGGGTGTCCTGCTCTACGAGATGATCCACGGCCTCCCTCCATTCTACGATGGTAAACCTTTGCACCCTTTGTATACGGACGAGTGCTAACACCGCATATTTGGCGTGCAGAAAACACTGACAAGATGTACGAGAAGATCTTGAACAAGCCTCTCGAGTTTGGAGATGAGTTCAGCGAAGAAGCAAGGAGCATCTTGACCGGGCTGCTGAACCGTGATCCCTCTCGCCGCCTCGGTGTTAAGGGAGCGGAGGACATTAAGCGCCATCCCTTCTTCCATAATCATATTGATTTCAAGTTGTTGGCTCAAAAGAAGATTCGTCCTCCGTTCAAGCCCAGCGTTGTGAGCCCTGTCGTAAGTGGTTGTACAATATGCGCCATCGTGTGGATGTGTAACCTGTTGTTTTAGGACGTATCGAACTTTGATACTGTCTTCACGGAAGAAGCGCCGATTGACAGTTATGTGGAGAATTCAAATCTGTCGTCGACTGTCCAGGCTCAGTTCTCTGGTATGCCCACCTCTTATCCTCCTTATCGTCGTGAACACGCGGCTGACATATCCTCGCGCGTCAGGCTTCTCGTTCAACGGTACCAACCTTCCCTCTACTACCCCCTAAAGTTGAGCTTTGAGCTCAGCTCGTCATCAACATCATCACCGTGAACTCACCCTGCAACGTACGCATCTCGCATTCCTGCCTGTTCGAGCTTCCAACAATTCCCTTTTGCTGTGCATTGTACCCCGTCGTATGCTTTCGGTCAGCTTCGCTACGCTCCCTATTATCTTTCTTAATAATCCCACTCCTTTCTCCCCTTAATTTGTATCGCGCTTACTGCTATTATTAATCGCTGATGTTGTGTCCTGTTTTCGAGTACCGTGGCCTTGGTATTACTATTGTGACATCGTGAGTCTACTTCCTGATCTCTTACTAACAGCGGGCGGGCACTGAATGCTTTCACAGTATACAGTTGTTGAATACAGTACTGGAAAGAAGATCCCTGAAGATCCTTGATTGTTATAACTTGAACACGACCGAATTTGTCAACGGTTTGAACGGGAAGCGAAGAAAGACTTTCGCTCGACAACGATGCCCCACTGTTAATCCCTCCGGGGAGGGCGGCACTTGCTCATCCTGGCGAGTTTTGAGTAGCCGTCGGACCCGCCCGCGGGCTTCCCTCCCCTCCCGTTTACAACGGTTCATCATTTGTGGTTTGATTTCATGTGTTGATTGCAAGGTGGACTTTGGAGTTGTCACAATGCCCCTCGACTCTGTGCGACTGAAATTTGGTCTGCCCGAGAAACCCACCCACGCGCCCGGCAAACGCCCAGACGTCAGGCTCAAGTCTCGCTGCCCCCTTCCGTCCCCGGCAACCCAATCTAGCGGCATTGTCTATTCTCCGTCCCCACCCTCCGAACGGCTGTTCCGGTCAAACAGGGCAATAAGGGACCAACGGGGATGCACGGTGGTGTCACCGTAGACGGCAATGTAGGCGCTTAGATCCATCTATGTAGGTATGTAATTTGACTGTGGTCACCAGCATCATTCAAAATCAAAATGATCTATCGGTTTTTAGGATCTAGAGAAGAAATGGAACATCACGAAAGTGGGCTTTCTCCGTCGTGACATGGGGGATGGTGGTCCTTTTCTGGTAGGTGAGGTGGTTGGGTACCTCGCTGTCGCCTGGGTCCTATCTCGCCGCGATCCCGTCGTCGATGGGCGCACTGCATCCTTACTCCGTCTCTCGTCCAGACGCTGCGCGACATTGTTCGTTGACGGTTATTATATCCAAGCCGGAAGACTACGTCGAGGCGAAATGCTCCAGTGAATGGGTTCGGAGTTAGTACGCCTTTTTCCAACTCACTTTCTCCTGGCGCCAGTTTCACCGGAGCCCAGATCTCCGCGCGGTCTAACTCGAATCAAGGAATATTCCCTTTATTTGGACCGAATGCTTCACTAAAATAGTCGTGATAATACAATCGACCACACACTCCGTCGTCTGCTACAGCCTCTCCAGGCGCTTCTCCGGAATCTCTACCAGATGGGACGCCCTTTACGTCGCTTTCTCGAACTACCGCATAGTGCGGTCTTACGGTATGTTGTAACCCAGCTTATCTTTCAGCCCGAAAATCTGATACCCTACTCTGACCAGGATTTGATTGATGGTCAACACACTACACATGCCCCCATGACTGGCGTATGTAGCGCCCTCCCCCGACTAGGTTGATTGTCGTATCTATATTACGGAAAGAGACTAGTGGCAACACCCTTTCTTCCCTTTCTCCATATCCCCCACAGCACGCCAACAAACTCGTCGTTCGCTCACTTTCCTTCCCTACCGTACGGGCTCTCAGGGCCTGAAGGCGTCGTTTCGAGAAGGTGTTGAGAAACAGTATCTGTCTTGTTAAATTATTCGGAGAGACGGTTAACTGGGTTAAAGTGGTATGTCCTCGATTTCTGTGCTTCAGCGGAATACACGCTAAACAAGCTCGCGCTCGGTTGGGATCTATCTGCAGGAGTGGCCATGTCGTCTTTTCCCTGGGCGTTGTCCGAGCATTCGCTCTTTATGATAAGAAACAATAAAGTGAGCACTTTCTAGGTGTCGGAAGACTCGGTGCTGACCCGTAGACAGTATGTCGGAGGTGAGCAATAACTGTCTTCCTCTTCCATTCAGGGAGTCTCATACAGCCATCGCCTTCGTCGCAGTCGCAAGTCTTACCTTTTGGGTATGTCGGCTATTTCTCTGAAACTGCCATTTTTTGATCACTGAGCGGGACGGATTATTTTTAGTTGGCGGATTATATCCAGACATTCGAGTCCGAGGTGCGTCCCCTGAGCCGATGTCCTCGCAGCCGCCAATTAAACGAACAATAGGTGTTCTTGATCTGGTGGCATCATGCAGAATGGACGTCTGTGCAGTACCTGTGGTTTTTGTCGCGCTACCTGCCCTTCCTGGATCTCCCCATAGCCCTGGCATGTGCGTCCGCTATTACATCATTGTCAGCCTCGCTCGATACTGACGTCAACCCACCAGATCGATTGCATTACGGTTTATCTCTCACTGTAAATGCGTCTTTTTCCACCGTTATGAACATTGGATTCACAATCTGCCACAGTCGTGCAAAGCTCTCTGGGCTATCTCCTTCTGTAAATGTCCGTCCTCCCTGGCCGTCGAACCGTTCTCATCGTTTGTTACAGTTGCATTCTATGCCAGCGGTTCCTTGGCAAACAGTAAGCAATCAGGAACGATGAGATGGATGGAAGTGCGACGTTAACGCGACAACTAGGTTTGTTGGGCGCTCGGGTCGTGGCATTGTCAGGCCAGAAGTTCTATGTGGTTCTTTTTGCGAAGATCTACTATGTGGTGAGTCTATTGTGCGACAATACACAGTCTAGTTTCTGACCGCGTACTCCATGTGCAGGGCGTGCAACTATCGGTCTTTATTCTCAGTGTAATATACCTGAATTCTTTAAAGCGTTAGGAAACTTCCACCGTCTGCCTCGCTTCTGGAGTCTCACGTGCTTGTTTTTCAGACGAGATATCACCAAATCCTGTTAACCCAGGATGCATTATCACGGACGGTCACGACATCCTGCTTTCTGTGATATTTGCCCTCATGATGGGTCAACAATTCGGTACGCCTAATGTTCTTCAGCAGAGCGTCTGTTTGACTTTGATTTTCGACATCCCCAGTGTTCATGGTTATTGCACTCTGGATGGGAGCTGTCCGATATCGAAATGCCGCCACGAAGAGCCGTATCTTTGTGACTTTCCAGAGGGATGGTATCTGCTGCTTCATTGTCCTAACTCGTAAGGGCCCTGCTCGATAATAACGGGCGAATACTGACTCTCTCGTAAACAGTGATTGCAACAACCAACATCGTCGTACATCTGGTTCGCAGTGTAGGTACCGCCTCGTCTATGTGGAGGCAACCTTGGCTGACACACTTAATAGCCTGAGTATCAGTTCCTCCTCGTTCTGTCAGTTTGTTTGTTATTTCTTTCGTAACTTATGGATCGGACTGACACCTCGTCTCAGGCCTCTTCGTATTATGCACAGCATAATCTCCACTCGCACCGTCCTCAATATGCGAGAGAGTACTTGCACAGGTGGTGGTCTCTGCTTCACAGCTGCCCTCGTGGACCATCCCCCTGCTGAGCGGTACGACAACGAGGAACTGAGGCTCCGAGAATGTACCATCGAGGTGGCCATTGAAGTTGCAAAGGACGTCATGGAGGACAAGGAACTTTCGGATCGGATGTCCCAGAAGTCCGACTGCGCCTGTTCTGATCTAGGCCACCGCTAGATATTCCTCGGCCATGGCTATCCACGACTTCAACGAACCCTACGTTTCCGCCGAACCCTTTGCAACCTTTCAACACTCGGCTCCTACCCGTCTATCATTCATTTGTACTATTTATTGCACTTAAGCGCTCTGCTTCCCGAGTCTACCGTGACGCCGCCTCGATGGTCCCGCCGGGTACGGCGACTCGATCCCCCAGCAAAGCTTAGTGCCCATACGTACCTCCTAAACCGTTGTAATGTTATTGTTCTTCCTGGCTTTCTTCGAAGCTCTCCCGAATAGAAGGGGCCTTACATTTACCGTGTTGCTACTGGTATTATATTATTGTGTGTAACGAGCGTTCTTTAGAACGCATGAGAAGCTAGGCCATATACGGTGTATTGTGTCGAGTCCGTAATTAGACTGTGATTAATGACATAACGATCCACATTGTGATAAGGGCGACATCAAGTTCTGCAACGAAAATTCTGAAGGTTGAGAAAGAGGCGATCATTGGCAACTATCTTTGGTCCTTCCACCTGCAATGGTGTCGTATCGGATCCAGGTTCCGAGGCTACGGGCGGTGTGGAGCAGGAATGGAAGGACAAGGCGGTTGGTCTGATTGTCAGTCAACGCACCAGTGAGCCCACACCGAGTCGCACACAGTACCCTGCACACCCACATCCAACGAGGCCGGAACACCGTTTAAAGGCAAGCATGGTAGAGAATTTCAAAATCAAAATCATAAAAATACACACAAACACTAAAAACCCTGCTGTGCATGCGCAGCCTTATTGCAATGCCCATAGCTGCAACGAAAATCAGAAGGCGCGTTGTTTGGGCGCTGAAGGCGGAGCAGATGCGAGGCGGTAGTACCCTCTGGGCGTCTGAGAGGCTCCTTATCATCAACACTGACTTAGTCACCCCTGGGAAAGAGGCAGTCACGCCTGTACTCAATTCCAGTGGGAAGCCGGTGACCGTTCGTGGAAGGCAAACTTTTGGGCTATGCATACCTGGCGTCACTTAATGGGCTCGGAGATCAATTAACAGTGACGCTGGCTGCCTACATCGGCGCCCTTTCTCACCCGGCGCTCCCCCATCCTCCACGCCCACCCCTGCCTCGGGTTAATCTCCCATTGAATTTCGCTCTCCATTGTCCTCTCGGACAGTTGCTGCTCAGTGCTTGATGATGACGACGGTCGATCGCCGTTTTGGTTAGTCCATTGCCATTTTAACCTTGCTTATAAAGGTGGGAATTTGGGCCCTCAGGCTGGGAGTTACCCTGGGTCCAGAGCCAAGCAGCCAAAGCACTGGCAAAATGTATCGTCTCACTAGTGTCTATTAATGCCTGCCGACGGTGCGTGGTATTCAAGTGGCATTGGATCCCACCAGAATTCCCTTGATCGCTAACCCTCTGGCCGACATCGAAGCAGAGACGCGAAGGCAGTTGCAATTGATCATGAACTCTGAACGAAAGATACAAGAGTCCATTTCGAAGTATCGTAGATAGTACACACTTAGGTAAATGATTCTAATAGATAAAAAAAATGCTATCGCGAGACCGGCGTAGATGATGATACAATTGAAAAAGGTTTGGTTACGGAAGAGAGAAAAAAGAAAGTAGAAATACACGAGTCGGATGCGAAGTGGAAAAATATGTCAGTAGATACAACCATGTGATGAACGTAAAGCAAAGAGAAGAATATCAAAAGAAATGTAATGGACCACGCTGCTGCAACGAAAGAAAGAGTGAGTGTGAGCTGTGGGCGCGGGAATGACAGTACTACGAAAGGGGCCTTCGTCATCCCTTGTGCATGGGAAGGCGACGAATAAAGAAAGTTCATACGAAGATATCCGATCCAGACTGGAAGGGGTAATGTTACAAGATAACATAGTGACGAAAACCATCGGTATGGTGGAGCAAAGGTGGACCCTTCGCACGACGTGGGGGCGTGCACTCAATCCATGTCCATGTCCATGTCCATACCATCCCACTGTTCCTCCCTCTTTTGAAGAGGGGGCTTCCTGAGCCTCCCAACACCGTCCATGTTATCCATGTCCTCGTCCTCCTCCCTCACGGCATAATCAAAGTCATCATCTTCATCCCTCTTCACCAGGCGTCGTCCGTACGACCCAGCACCATATCCACGACCATAGCGCCCTGTGAAAGAGTCGTACGACCTGGTGGAGCGATGTCCATACCTCTCCCTGTCCCCTACGATCCTGATGCCCCTCGCCGAGTGACGATCATCCTCAATGCCATCCATTTCGTCAAATACCCCGTCGTCACTGGGCGGGCTATCATCGCTGAGTCGTCGCTGGCGGGCACTGCGATCCTCCAAAGACCCACTTCTGGAACGACTGGGGCTGGGGGGCGGACTACTGGCACTCCTGACCGAGCTGTTGGGTAACGACACGCCTCCGGCGTAAGCTTGATGCGAACCATGGCTGTACGATCCCCAGTTATCTCGAGAATACCCAATGGAGGCTGAACCAGCGCCATATGCGTCGTATCCATGCCGATTGTAAGCACCCGCTGCAGGTACAGGGACGGGCTGAGTCCCTTCGTAACTTCCAGTACCTGTTCCAGCTCTATCACCAATAACAGCGACAACCCCTGCAGCGGTGGGGACGCCAATCAAGCCGGGCCTGACCTGTGTTACGGCACCAGGGCTAACACCATAATCATGCAAACGAGGACCGGTGGACATAGCGCGTGCTGGTACGGAGCTGGATACGGGGTGCGCGACATAAGAGTTTGACGGGGATATCGGGGGAGCGTTGTGTGTTTGCTCCTTCTGGGTATCTTTGGTCGCAGATTCTGGGGGTGGAAGTGAGCCACCTGACAGGAATGACGGCCAGAGTGAACGATCTTCTGGCAAGGACCTGCCTCCCGTAGCTGCTGGAGACATGTGTGACAAAATAGCTGCGGCCTTGATGTGCTATTCTTAAGTGTCTGTTTCAGAATAGATATCCCAAATAGTCACTGACCTCCAAAAGTTGTACTTGCTGGTGCTTGCTCAGCACGTACTTCGAAGCTTCCCGCCAATGAGGAGTATGTTCCCAACGATGCTTGATCAGACAGGAGGGGTGTCGATAGATCTATTCGCAGCGGGTCAGCATGAACGCTCAGCGGAACAATTGCCGGTCAACTTGCCTTGGAGCAGCTTTCACACTTGTGATCAATGCCTCGTTTCTTGCCGGTTCTGCCATTGGCTGAGGGAATTGGGATGGCCCCAGTATCGTTCGTTTCTTCTTCACCAGACTTGATGGGGATAGAACCCGGGTTACCACCAGAACTGCCATCTAGTGAAAGGTAAATAGAGTGTTGCGGAGGGTTGATGTAAGCAATTAGTGATTGGGCAACACGATCATATATTACTGGGCACTTACGGTTGGAAGAGTTGGTGGGATTGGGGGGTGCAGGCGCCAACTTGCGGGAAGCTCCGGTGAAAGAAGACGAGAGGTGTGCAGGATAGCTGCCGGGAGGGGGCGAGGACGATAAGGACAAGGAGGCGAGTCCCGAGGTGCTCGAAAGCAGACTAGGGCTGGAAAAGAAACATTTTGGATATACCATCATAAACCAACGAATACAAAGGTTAACGAACGACTAAATGACTCACGAAGGCCGATTCGCAGCCTCTCGAGCATCGCTCAGTCGTCTCCTCGTCTTGCCAGTCGAAGAAAGCCTTCTATGATGCTTGCCGCCATTGCTCAAGCTCGACGACAAGGGTACCGACGTCGAAGGAGCTGGCGCAAGGGGTGGTTGATGCGGAGCTGGTTCGACCTTGGGTGCGACTGCTGCGGTTGCGTCGCGCGGTGCCAAGCCTCCTTCGGAGAACGATAAGGAGAGCAGACTGGCAACTGCGTCTGATTGCTGCGAAATTCTGGTCAACACCTGGTGCACAAAGGAGGCAGGGAAGGCGCGGCGACGGCGCACAAGGTTAGGGAAGATTGCAGGTTGACGTACAGTGAGAGGGGGCGCATCAAGTTTGTCGAGACCGTTGGCAACAGCGACGGCGGACATTTGGGGACTGTTAATGGTTGTGAGGAAAGAAGTTGTTCGAGGGAATTCAAAGGATCATGACAGAGAGAAGGAAAGTTGGATCAGCCACATAATTGCCCATACAATCCAAAAATTATTCACGGCATCACTGCATTCATATACCTTTCGATTGCCTTTCTTGGCCCTCTTCCTCCACCTATTTACAACAAGCCAATTATCCGAAACAGACACGTTTAGAGAACACTCTAGTCCCTCTATTGTTCACAAATTTATCTTGGGACTTGGTGCATTCACTGCCTTTGGTCGCTCCACAAGGCACACAGCGCACATCCCCTAATCGAATCATCGAGAGCGCAGTAATAATCTGTGTCACTCCACAGACTTGGTATCAAGCCAAAGTTAAGGCCGAGGCGGTCCTCCACAAAGTTCGCTGCTCCTCTTCAACCTGACGTCAGAATTCAGGATTATTCAGGGTCTGTTTCTCAATCTCTGCCGAGGGTCGATCAGGGGCATCGGTATGCCAAGTTCTGGACGACCTGTGTATTTCACTATCAGCACCACATTGCCCTTCGAGCCAATTCCATTGGATTCTCCATGACCTTCGTCGGTTTTGACTTGAAGCGAGAGTTCTAGGACACCTGAAGCCTTCCTTTCCAGTGCCGTTTGAAGGTCTCGACTTGGAATGTATTTCCAGATTGACAAATGGAAACGCGTGCAGACGAGCCATAGCAGTAATAGTCAATGTGTAAAGCCTCCTCGCCGACCAGTAAATTATACTAATACACCGAACCAAAGATTAGAATAAATTAGTCCTTTCACACCATAGCTCCAGGAAGGAATGCCAGAGTCCTATTCATCGGCGCCGGTCGCTGCTGGGACGCAGGACTCGCCGCCACACTGATAGACGGAGTCGGTGGCGTGGACGGGGTCATCCCCTCCGCATCCTCTTCCTCCACCTTCTCCTTCTCCGCATTCACGGTAGCGAGGTGAACAGACTGAGATGGGCGGTAATTCAACCTTGTCACTCCCAGGACGAGTTCAGGTAGTGGCTGCGGTTCGTCATCCTCCTTTTCCTCCTCGCTTTCTATGTCACTTTCCTCGTCCGAAAGATCCGATCCATCCTCCCCAGGAATCTCCACAATCTCATCTACGTCGCCCGATTCGTCAGTCCTCGCCCTCGTTTCCTTGACGCGCTTGCGTTTCTTCTTGCCTACATCTCCGTCGGGATTATGTAGCTGCCTGTAGCTGCCATACGAACTCTTGACCACGTTCGCATCGCCATACAGCCGACTCGTCTTCAAACTAGGCATCGCAACCAGTACAGAAATCTGTAACATCTCCGTCCGGATTCGATACTTGCTTTGAGACCGCGGAGGAAGCCGCCCGCCTGTCGCAGTCGAGGGAGAAGCCGATATTTGCATGTCGTCTGAGTCGGGTAAGGCCTGATTTCTGCGAGAGAAGACGTTGGGAAGCAAACGAGCGCGGAGGCCCAATCTCCTGTCGTTTCCATTTCCATCCACTCGAGGACTGGGAGGGTTAGGTTCCCAATTGACTGTCCGTTCATTCCCGCCCGAGGGGGTACTAGGAGTAGGAACCGGTGGAACAGGAGGGGCCGGCAGACTGGGATTAGGCGAGATGATTTGTCTCCATGTTGTCGAATCTGAGCGTTCCCGGGAGTGAGTGGGAATAGGTTGTCCTAGACTGCTACCAGTCGAGTTTCTCCTCTGCCTTCTGGATTCTCCGTTGCTTCCTCCTCCTAGATGGTTTTCCAGAGAAGGAGAGGGCGTCAAGATGGAAAGAGCGCTATTTCGTCGCGAGCGCCGGCGAGTTGCCTCATTATCGAAGGAAGTCGAGTGGGAGTGCGGGAACGAAAATAGACCAGGCCGTGCCTGGTCAGCGAATTGCACTGATAAAGGTCGTAACGAGCGCCTCCTCTCCGTCGGGGTATACGGGGATACCTCTACAGGGCTTGATGAAACAACAAAGTTGGATGGCGGTACGATATGTGGAATGAGTGGTCGAATACCAGATGAAGTGCCGGTAGGTGGTGAATTAGGAAAGAGCGAAGGTGGTGATGCCGTTAGTTGGGTGGTCGTGCTGAACGCAGGAGATGCTGCTGCATTGGTAGGGTTCCCGTCGTACCCAGTGGGTTCGGGTTTGGCACGTCGTTTTACAATGACAGTTTGCACCGTGACCGGCTTCAGGCTAATATTAAAGCCAAATCAACGCATGCTTTAATCAAGCACGTACCAACATGTCACACCAGCGCCCTTGCGACGACCCTGCCCAAGCCGAGGTATCCTGCTTCTCCTTGATATCCGTCGCATCGGATTCCTCCTTGGTAGTAGTGGCGGTAGCGCATCCAACCCACAGAGGTGCTATCCATGTGTCGTATAGTTTGGGTCGCAAGCCGAATCTCTTCCTTTTGCTTCCAGGTGCTCGAGGAGTGAGCACTACGCCGTTCGCTAAGGCCATATTGATAGTCCGTTGGTACCGCCGTCGAAGAATGTACGACCGCAACACGATGCCACATGACACAAATAATAGGAGAAAAAGTGTCGCAAGGAAAGTCACCCTTGAATTGATACGACATCAGTACGACTGGTAGTCGACTCAGCCGAGGTGGACGTACAGGTAGAGATTGCTGTTGTTTGTAGGCCTCCCGTTCGTCGTGTCGTTCTGGCCAGTGGCCTTGGTGGGCGTTGAAGATGCAGTTTCCGACATAGCTGCGTCGCCTTGAGTAAACCACGGAGGTCGTTTACTCTCGTCTTCCCGTGCATACAAGACACACTCCGTCCTACCGCTGACCGCGCCGTCGAAGTCGCCCGCGTCCTCACTAAACCCTCGAGGCAGCTTGGTTGGAATGGTCGCCGGCGGTGGTGGAGGGAAGGAAGACTGCGACTTGTCGCGATTCAAGCAGTCGACTGGTGATAGCGGTGGAAACCTTGCGAAAATAGCCAGATGGTCTGGAGTGTGTGGTGATTGATGGGAACTAGACGAAGTGGGCGAAGCCGCGAAATATCAGACAAGAACGATGAAAGTAGATTTTCTGACCACTTTACCCTTGAGCCGGACAGCTTTCGTTCTCTCGACACAGGCAACGTTCGTGCTTCAATCAAAGCGTCGTCCACGGATGGATGTCGGGGGATTCAGCAGAACGGTAAGGGTTTCGGTGGCTGTCGTTACTCCTCTCCGCGCGGTCTCTGATCTTCAAACTGAATCGCAAGATGTTGGAGAGCTGTTATGAGACTAATTCAGAGGTTAAAGGAGCTGTAAAGTGGTTTATAAGAAGGCGAACACCTGGAAGCACACAGCCCTTGTACTTACCGCCCTGCGGGTTCCGCAAAAGAACGACTTTATTAATGGACAATCCGGGAACAAGGGCAGCGGACGACGGCGACGGGGGACAGCGACAACGATGGAAGCTGAGAGCAAGAAATGGTGGGGGCTGGGTAATTTAACCCAACGCCGCACCTTCGTGCAAGAAGACTTTCTGAAAACCCACCCTATCCACGAAACCAAAAAGAAAGAATTCAGGGACATGGCAGCCTCAACCACGCGTGGGATGCGGAACAATTCTACAGACTCCGCCGCCATCCCACACTTGCCATTCAACGTGGGTGTCACTTCATGTTTGCTCCTCCTCGACAACACTTCAACGTTTCACCAGTTCTCGAGATCGCCGAGAAAATACAAGGCTCGAGTGATTAGAGAAAGTACACACACCAGGAACGACTGAGGGCCGACTCGCGTTCGGCGCTTATCTATATCAGCTTTAAATTGGGCGCGACTCGGCAGGACTAAAAATGCTCCCTGCCACGAACGTCCCTTGCGCATACGATGGAAGGTAAAGGAAATGGGCTGCGGCACTCTTGACAAAGGCATCCCCAAGAATATTCTCCGATAGATTAATGTCAAATTGGGCGCTAAATCCTTCCCATGGATCCCCCACCGTGCCACGAACTCCCAGCTTAAATGTGTGCTACATGTAGGTCGAGAAGGCTGCAGATGTTTGGGACAATACTAGAGCTTGAGTATATGCATCTCGGTTGAAATAACCAGTAAATCTAGAAATACGATCTGCAGTAGAAACGCGTTCTTCAAGCGACCAACGTAGCCATTATCTCCGAGATCATGCCGCAGCATCCACTAGAGCTTCCCCTTTCCTCATAATCGAGTCTTCAATAGTTCTGACCCTCCGGCCAGCAAGAAGAAACGGGGAGACGGGAGGACGGTGCACGTAAAGCTTAGGGGTGAGAACATATTTTTTCGAGTGTCCGACTCGGTGATCTCGGCCATAGGGTTTCGCTCTCGCCCAGGAGGCAAAGTGGGTTATCCAGAAGATAGCCCTACAGTCGAGATGTCCACGAGTCTGAAGAACTGCGTACAGGTACAAATTGTAACTTGTTCAAAAATCCACACCAACGCTACGCCTAGTTCCCTGGCTTACAATTCACACTCACTTCCTGCTTCCACCTTAAGACTCTCCAAACCAGCCAGAAGTTCCCGACCTGCGCAGGTCGAACAAGCACACTTATTACAATGATCAGAGTCTTCTGCTAACTGTGTGCAATCCAATGTCAGATAGCCAAATCCACTGCACAGCAACGCTTCCTTTATACGCGTCGAATGAAGAACACGAACGCACCTTTTATGTATGCGTCCGCCGGGGTTACCCACCGGACGGACTCGTCCTCCGCAGAAGTGATCGAAGCAGTCGTCGCATTCTTTGGTGACTGACCGTTCTTCGGTGTTCCCAAAAGCTCAGACTGTGAATCTGATGTTCGGGGGCGTGATTCCAGAATGACCTATTGTGCGCGAATTTCGAAATCGATGTACTAGACGTCCACGATGCTTCCTTCCAGGCTGTGCGCCCTCACGGACTACACCCTTCGAAGCTTTGTTGTTCAAGTCCAGTGACAAGAGTCACCCTTCCATCTTCCGTGCAAAGAAGATGCTTCTATTCTGTCCTACACATAATTACTACAGGTACAACACTCTACCACCTCCATCCGACCTGGTATTCATCAGGATCACAGAAGAACTATCCAACACACTCGCTCCTTCTCCAACATCGAACCCCGACCCCCCCCCCCCCCCAAGTACAGCCCCTAAAACCAAAAACAACTAAAGAAGATTAGAACCAAGCTTCCGATAGATCTTTATCGAAAAACTGCGTTCCAAAAGTTAGAAGAGAGAAAGGTAGTACAGGGGTAGTAAGTAGGGGGCATATGACAGACATATCACGAAAGGAAGTTGATAACAGCTAGTTTCCGATAAAACGGGGAGGAAAGGATATATATCGTACATCCAGTTGGAGAGTTTTACATTGTGCGAGAGAGCGAGAGACTAGTAGTAAGCGCGAACAGACCCGTAAATCCAATACGAACACGTTTAGATCGGTATAAAGATAGCAGAATAAATAAACAAGGGGGCAGTGAAGTGGAAAACCATACAAGCAAGAATTGATATGAAAAGGAGTGGTTCAATCAAGTCAGGTTTTGTCAGTGGCAGTAGTAAGTGGAGTAAAGCTAGATGGGGGCGAAAGCATGGAGGACGACGAAGAAGAGAAGATGGCCAGGATGGGGAGAGGAAGGTGGTGCTAGCCTTTTGAAACGCGGGAGAAGACGACAGAATCGGCGACGTAGGAGCATAAAATGGGATAAGCATCAGCTATCTGTCAGGATCGCTGAACTTGGAGCCCCGTCTGAGCAAGACTTGATGAACCAAGGTCCTTGAAACGTTCCAAAACCAGATAACCAAGCCATTACGAGAAGTAAGGGGTCTTGAAGCCAGATGCGACCACATCGGAGAATCTGTCCAACACATCCACCACACGAACAAGTGCCAACAGCCACCATCCTCCACATCCAAACACGCTAATCCCCTTCCGGATCTCCCTCAACGCACGCTCATTATTCCTTTACTTGGCCCTTCCATAACCCTCCTCAATAACTTCTCGGTTGATAGTAATCTTGACACCCTCGTCGGCGACGAGATCGTCATTGCCGACACGACCCTTGCTCTCAGCACCGACACTGCTCTTGTCAAGGTCGTCAGCACCGTCCCAACCACCCTCGGGCTTGCCTCGCATCTCATCCAGAGTGTAGGTGTGGGGGTTAGTCGTGATGTGGGCGGCACCGCTGCGAAGACCGGGGTTTCCAGAAACGTGCGAGAGACCAGAGAGACCGTGGATGTGGGGGTTGGTGACGTTGCCGCGGGAAGAGGTGCCGTGGTTCGAGTTGGAGAGAGCAAAGGATCCTCCATAGTCGAGAGAAGAGCGGATGGAGAGAATGATGCGGAGAGTCATGGAAGTGGTAAGAACGGCAGCCATGCTGTAAGAAGTAACATAAAATTAGCTTCTCCATCTTTTGATTAGAAACCAAGCTGAAGTTCGGCTCTTACCTGGTGACAATGGTCTTGACGGGGTCGGCGTCGTCGGTGGGCTTCATGATGAACCAGAAGAGCATGTTGGCCATGTTGACGATCCAGATCGCACCGTAGAGGTTCAATCCATCTCGCAACATGAGCTTCCAGAGGGAAAGGGGCCGGGCCTGGAGGGAGTCGATGGAGCGCTTCAAGGCCAGGGCGAAAGAGGCGGTGTACAAGAGAGTGGGGGCGAGCCAGTAGATGCCGACCCAGTTGGCCTTGGGACCAGCAATGCAACCCTGACCCTCAAGAAGAGGAACAGCTAGAAATTCCAATTAGTCACACGGCCATGGGAACGATAGAATTCTGCGACTCACATCGGTAGAAACCACAGCAAATGGCTGTCACGACGACCTGGATGGCGAAGAGGAGGGACATGACACCCAGGATACCCTTGTTCTTGTCGTAAATGGCGTTGATACGGATAACATGAACGGCGGAGGCGGCGGCCAAAAGGAAAGCGGTGCAGATGGGTTCGAAGAGGTAGAACTTTTGACACATCTCCTGCGTCCACGTCGTGTCGAAGAAGGCGACCGCTGTGAAAATTCAGGTAAGCACGAAGAAAAAAGGCCGGGAGAATGGGTTTTCCCTGCGCGCGCTCGCGCTGCAGGTCGACCCAGGGCAGTACTCACCGACGATGATGAACTCTATGGGCATGAAAAGCCTCAGGAAGTGGAAGAGGATTTTCAAGGCGGGCCATCCTGGGGACCTGAAGAGACGCCACGTCCTGGGGGAGAGGACGAGGGTGTCCCAAGCGGCGACGGTGAGAGTGCAGACAAGGAAATACTTGTGAGCGCTCAAGTGCGGTGGGAGATCCAGCGAGGCTGGGAGAGGGGGCATTCCTCCTGGTGCGGCCATCTTGAACAGAACCCTAGCGAATTAACGTCCCGTGGAGGTTTGGTCTACAGAATACAAGAGACCGGGTTTATCGCCACACTGCAACGGGTAATGAGCCTGGAGAGTTGGGATAAATGGGCGGTGTGGACTGACCTACCACGGACGGGGTATTTGGACGATAAGAGGAGTGGGTTGAGAGAAGGTGGACGGGGAAGGGAAAGAAGGGGGGAAGTGATGGGAATCCATTTGAATCATGGCCTAATGTTATAAGGGCCGAGTGATGAGAAAGTTGTCTGTCCCCATCATCATCTTTCTCCGCCCATTCATCCTGATGGAACTACAAATAACTTCCCTTGAACTGCGTTCTCATCTACGATACCCATCAAAGAGGCTGTTTTCTATCACCAACTCTGATACTTCTTGAATCCCAGCCTACGTCTACTGTCCATAGTCAAACTTTCCCCCTCTCTGCCTCATCCCATGGGAACGCTAAAATTCTCGGTGCTCACGAGGCGCCCATGGACCGCTGTCAAGAGTAGATCCCATTTTCCACAACACTCTGATGGTGGAAATTTCGATCGATCGAGTTGAAATACTTCACGCGCCCGGCCTCACGCCCATAGGGGTTAAATTATAAGGCACGCGGGCGCAAATCCCCCCTTGGCCGCCGTTTCTGCTCGGGGCGCTCACCTCCTACATCAGTGACTTGCAACGAGGTCTTGAAACCAACTCGAGTTTCAAGACAATCAGTCAGCCACACCAATCCAAGACAAAAGAAACATCCATTGACCTCAAGCATTCTGCGCCTCAAAGCATCGGCCACCGACTCTTAACACGGGGCTTGGCGCGGAATTTCAGGAGGAGGAAACGGATGCTCATAGAATCAACGTATGGTACAAACTGGATAATAAGTAATGCAGGTAAATGCCTATTTCAGACCACGACAAAAGAGAAAAAAATAACACCAGAGCTTGAAAACGAGACGAGAAAAAGAGAAAGCGAGACAAGGAGAGGAATAAAGACTATAAGATATACGACCTATGAAAAGAATGAAAGTTCATGTTGGATAGGAGTACGGGAATGATTAGGATAGGGGTTGAGTTGAACGAAATCGTTCAAAAAGGGTGCTGGCGTCGAGTAACGATTACAAGCGTCGGTCGATGAGTGAAGGCTGAAGAGGGCAACCGAACACCTGGAGCTGAAAGAAAAAACACAAATGAAAAAAGGTGATTGGTTCTTGTACAAATGCGAGGAGACGAGAGAAACGAACGAACAAATTCATACAATAAAGGACAGGTGGTACAACTGCGACCAAGGCAGGAATGCATATTTCATGGAGGGCGATAAAAATGACGAAGGGACGATTTTTTTCGAGACCGATATCCAGCGTGTAAACTTGACCCAAGGCCGAAACGTGTTGGAAAACGAACGAGAATGGCGAGCGAATGAAAGTCAAATCAAGACATGTCCGACCATAGAGAAACAGAGCCTACAGAAATGGGGGATGCCAGAGTCTAGTGCAGATGAGATGAAATGGCGAGTGGTAAATGCGAGAGAGAAAGAGTTGGCGTGGTGGCGGCCGCGACTATGAACCTTGAGCTTGTCGCTGTACAGATTTGAGCTCAAGAACAAGGCGCTACAAAACAGGGGTCGGTCAGTTGTCGGCTAGCATTGGCACAACGAGTTCACGAACCTCGGCATCCTTCTGCAAAGTTTCGGCGTCCATTGGCTTGTCTTCCCGGGCGAGCTTGACACAATACTGCATGAGCTGAGCCATGTAGTATGGATTGATCAAAGTCTCCTTTTCGCCTAGCATATCTTCAATCCTGGGACGCACAGCTGGAGAGAAATTCATTTAGTACCACTCTCACTCAGCGGAATCAAAAGGTATCTCACGTTCAGGTTCATTACCGGTCAAACCCAGCCAAGGCTGCTCCAACAACTCGGGGATCGTCGCGCGCTCCTTGGGGTTGCGGCAAAGACAACTCTTGATGCCCCTGATCACGTCTGCTCGCACGCGTCGCTTGAGGTGCTCCAGTCGTTTGGGAGGTTCCACGGTTCCATTGCTGCTGGTCTTGGCTGGGATCGATGGGACTGTGTATTCGGGATATTCGATGACATGGCTGAGGTCGGGAATAGCCTTCATCTTCTGATACACGGAAAGATGTTGGAAGGGTGGGTGTCCGTACACCATCTGGTACAAGATGATACCCAACGACCAAACGTCAGACGGACGGCCGACCTTCAGTCGACGCATACCGTCTGGAAGCTCTATAGCTTCGGGACTCATGTAGTTGACCGTACCGATCTACAAGTAACGTCAGTATATGCCGCAATGAACCAACACTAGTATAACACACCTGGTGGTCACGTTGAATATTGGTAGTGTCATTCGCAATCGCGTTCGCGATACCAAAGTCAATCAACTTGAGCTGGCCTTTGACCAACACAAAGTTTGCAGGCTTCAAGTCGGAATGAACAATCTTCTCTTCGTGAATGACATGGACGGCTTGCAGCATCTAATGCCCACAGGTATCAGACAATGTACTTTTCATCCGAACGATTGACACGTACCTGTTGCCAGTAGTACGAAACCCAAACCATGTTCAATGGCTCCTTCATCTGTTCCTGGAGAAGCTTGGCCAAATCGATCTCGCCGCACTCCATCACCAACAGTAGATGCCCCTTGCTTCCCCCAGGACCAGGTTTGACTTCGCTGTCGATCAACCGAATGATACGGCTATTGCCTTCGAGTCGCTTGAGAAGTGCGATTTCGTTCATGTAGCCACTCATCGTCTCAGCATCCGTCTTGTCCAGAGAGACGCGTTTAATCGCGTATAGTTCGTTGGCGTGGTTCAAAACCCGGAATACGCGTGACGACCCTCCCTTGCCAATGATGTCAATGCGAGCGTAAGCCTTTTTGTTGACCTAAGAATTAAATTAGCGCGGAAAATTGAAGACTAGATTGTGTAGACATACCACAATGTGACGGTTGAGCTGATTGGGAGCCGGTATCGGTGGTTGTGGTGCAGGTGCAGCGGGCTGGGCAATAGCCTGAGGCACTTGTGCGTAGGGTTGGAGTTGTTGTGGTGGAGGTTGAGGGGGTGGTTGCTGCTGCTGCTGTTGTTCCCTGCGCTCCCTCCTCTCCCGTTGGGCTTCCAATTGCCGTTCCCGCTCCTTTTCCCGATCCTTCTCCCCGGAGCTGGCAGGATCAAACTCGTCCTCGCGCTCACTGCCACCCCATGTCTTGGAACCAGGCGGTTGTTCATGGCCACCGATTTGGCCACTCGTCGTTGGAGGTTCGGGGGCGGTCGGGCTGCGACGATGCTTTCCCGCATCCCTACTGACACCTAGGCGATTACCGGCATTGGCGGGGGACACGCGACCTTTGGTGGCTGGCGGAGAGACGCGTCCTTTGACTGTTTGGGGAGACTGTCTTCCACGAACGGTTGCTGCTGGAGACGAGCGCCCATGGGGGAAACGATGCCCCGTGGGCGATGGTCGACCATTGGGCATATCCATCACGGTAGGGGATCCAACAGTGCCTGCAGAATTGGGAGGAGCCAAACCACGAAGCGTATCCGAGTCGCGTCTACGATGGCCATTGGCGACAAGCCTTTGATGTTGGGGATGGCCGTGTGTTGGTGAGGGTGATTGTCGATCGTCCTCGTGTTCTCTGCGGAGTTCTGAAATGTGAAAGGTGCTGTAAGTACAAGAGACACGCGTGAGAAGTTGAACTGCACATACTCTTGTGGGCCTCTAATTCCTGTCGTTCTCTCTCCTCAGGATAGACGCGCCTTGGACCTGATTCGGCGTTCAAACCTGTCACAAAGGAATAAGCGTGCTTACACAAAGAAGCTGGACGGTCACGTACCAAGGCTGGTCCCTGGGCGGGAATGTCCGTGTGTAGGTGGAGCGGCCACTTGGAGTTGGTAGTCGTCGTGGGGGTCTAAAGGAAAGGTCAACAAATATCACGGTTGAACAGAAGCGTGAACAACATACATAGTGCATCACTGAGACTAGCTGATCTCCTTGGACGGTTGCTGCCAGATTGAGCCAGGCTTGCAGCTTGGGCATTGATGTTGAGTTCTTTGCGTTGCCGTGGGTTGAGCGAAGAGCGAAGGGGAATGGCGGAAGGTTCCAGAGGCTCGTCCTCCGGCTCCGTATCGGAAGCAGGCGGCGCGTAGGGATTTGGTTCGGGTAGGCCTTGTTGCTTGTGCTCATAATCGGAACTCTCGACCACGTCGCTCAAGCGGTCTTGGTTGGACGTGCTGTATTTGAGCGAGGTCAACGACGATTTCATGAGGCGACCAGGTCGCGTTAGACCGGTCGGTGGCTGCCGTGCGGTCCGCTGAACGGGGACGTCAGCTAAAGGGCGACCATTGAGACTTCCACCGATAGTCGAGTACGATATCCGTGCCGAGGAGAACCGTGAAGCTGTGGAGCGGGCGATAAGTGGAGGGGAATTCCGTCTGTTGACGAGTTGAGGCCTTTCGTCCATCTCAGCGAGGATATTCTCTTTCTCCTCTTGGTGCGCGTATGAATCGCGCGTGGCATAGTCAAAAGTTTGCCTCGATCGGACGATTGGCTCCTGTCGTTCCCGATTATGACTGTCTTCAATAATACGGCGAGGACCTCCGCGCGTTACAGCTGCTCGACTGGTCGCTGCAGCTGTTGGAAGAAGATACGATGGGGTTGACGCGACGCGTTGAAAGGGTCTTGCAGGTTTTGGGTCGGTAGCCGCTGCGGATGTACCCTGAAGTATTGACTGGGCGCTTTCCGAGCGAGATAGTGATTGGCGGTTGAGAGGTGAGCCTGCAGGACTGTCGTTGTCGAGGGCTGAATCTGGCAAACTTTCTTGGTCGGTTGGGGGAGATGTCGAGTTTGATTTTCTGGACAGACGGACGACGTTGCCATTGTCGTCGTAGACATAGTCGAAAGAAAGGTCGTCAATTATTGAAGAATCATCTGAACTTGGGGAGTTTGAGGTTGAAGCGGTAGGCCGGTTGTCGTTTGGTGTGCGAGGCGGGGAAATTGAGGGCGAAGTGGACATGACAGCGAAAGCGAAATCGATAGCGACGAAAGCAGAGCGACAGCGAGGAAGAAAACAGAGCAAAAGAAAGTAAACCACTGACAAAAAGACACAACTGATTCAATTGCACGTCGCTGTTGGTTTCGACACACGAGGCACCTGGGAAACTAAACCAAACACGGGGTCCGCTGCCTTTTTCAGCTTCACGTGATCGCGACCCTTCCCTTTCCAGGTAACTCTTGGCAAGCATATTTCCGGGGTCCCATCGCAGACGATCACATGACCCGCGCCCGACACAAAGACGCGTCGAGAAAGACATAAACGCGTTTGACATACAATCCGACTCTACGGTACAATTTCTAATCCAACTCTGATAAACCCGTTGTCGTGGAACTACCTACAGCGCCCTGCCCACTAACACGCGGAATTCCTCGAGCCCGCTGAATACGTCCACCTCCACCGTCCTCATCCGCCATATCATCGTCGTCGTCATCGTCGCCACTGTAATCTTCCCACTCGTCGTCCTCATCAGGACCGTCATCGTCTCCATCGTCCTCATCAGGTTCCCACTCCTCGACATCCTCGTCAAAGTCCAAGTCCTCATCATCAAAGTCCTCCACATCTGTGTAGTCACTGTCGCTGAAGATGTCAAACTCCTCCAGATTGCTACGGAACCAGCGTTCGTCCCGGGTACGAATGTCCGAATCTCTGTGCATCGCAAGCCGTTTCAACGGAGCGCCGATTTCTTTACGCAATTCGACGAACTCTCGGACGTCGGCGCTTGATATGTCGCGAGTCTCGAGGTGTTTAAGTCGAGGGAACAGCAAGTTGGGATGGACTTCTGGCGCGGGCGTCGGCGTCGAAGGTGCTGCTGGCAATGTGGATGGAAGAGGCGCGCTGGGATCCGGAGGGACGATCGACAAAGGCTGAGTCGATGGCCCTGCAACCGGAGACCTTGCGGCTTGAGGCTTTTGGGGTGACGACGGTTCCTTTGCTTTGGCTTCTTCCGCACTCTTGACTAGTGTTTTGACCGTCTTCGCATTCTCTACCATCTTCTCCCAGATCTTCCCGGGTACTTCCAAATCGTAAGTCACTGGAATGCCTAACGACAGACTTTGGAGTTCGCTGAGAGAGCCGATCATTGCATCCACCTTCTCCTCGCTGACACTTCCCAATGACTTGATCGTGAAATCCTCCAACAATTGGAACATACTTCGCCGGGTCGACGTGCCCCGCAGATGGGTGGTGTAGACGTCGACGATATCGTTAAAGTCTCCATTCTCGTAGTCCAGCGTCAAGGTCTTGATGTTGGGGAAGAAGAGTTTGGTGGCAAGGGCATGCGCGTAGTACGGCTCGTGGTTCGCGAGTGAGACATGGCGAATGGACGACACCTCGAGCGGGTAATGGGGCCATTCCCATGGGTTTTCTTCGGATGCCTCTGGTGGAACAGCTGTTGCGGGCGTGTAGTATGCGGAGGGAAGTCCAGTTGCCGGTGTGGCTGGCACCACTGGCAATAGACCACCATTCTCCAGTGAAGGACCTGCATTGTCGAGCTCCAAGCTTTCCAGTTGAGGAGAGTTCTTCAGGTAGGTGGCGAATGTCTTCCACGACGGTCGTTTGAAGAGGATGGCCAAGTTGAGATGTGTCAGGTTCTGGAAGAGGGAAACAGCACGGTCCCAATCAACGTGCACACCCCACAGGCTGACGCCCAGGAGCCTCGGTGCATTCCCGCTGAACGGCAGGGTGGGGCTTTCTAAATGCCATTCGATGGGCTCCTCGTCCTCGTCCACCTCGACGCCATAGTTGTCGCAAAGGTCTTCGTCATGTAGATGCAGATATTCCAGCATCGGGGCTCCTGGAAGTGCTGCGATACGTTGAAGAAGCTCGTGCATGTCGTCATGTTGTCCCAGCACGATATCGACATCATACCAGCGATCTACATGAGGAATGATCATATCGAATGCTCTTCTAACTTGTTTTGAAGATAGGAAGGGTGGAGGGCCCTCTGGGCGCTCATCGGGTCCCCAGTTGGGGTCAGAGTATTCGACGTAATCGGGGTGGTCAGGGTGGTCGTCAGCATCGAAGTCCTCCGGAATAGAGCCGTCAATCTCGATGATGAGAGGCTGGCCTTTTGAACGCTGAAGGTAGGCTTCGTAGAGATCCCATTTCGGAGGTCCAGCGACAGATATGCGCCTCCAGAGTCTGGGGGTGTTGAGAGCGGTCTCTCGCCATTGTCTGCAGACATGCGAGACGAGAATCTGGAACGGAACCTCTTCCTCTTCCTCCTCTTCTTCATCGCCCTCGTCGTCCTCACTTCCCGTCTCCGACCCATCACTGCTGTGCTCACTAGGCTCGTCCTCCCATTCATCATCATTCCCGTCATCATCCACAACCTCAATCACTGCTTCAGGTTTATCTTCCTCCATCTTGTCCCCTTCTCCGCTTCCCTTCTTCCCCTCTTCCCTCACCCTCGTCAGCTCCTCCTGGAATCCCTTCCTCTCCTCCAAGCTCGTTACTTCTTCAAAGTCATCGTCCGAACCTTCCTCTTGTAACCACACGCCAACTCTGAAAATGTATGCCAACAATTCGACGGGGAGTTCGTTGATGATACATCGTCCGTCCTTGGGCGGTACGTAGGGATTGTTTTGGAGCATGAGTTCCTGCACTTTTCGGATGGCGTCGTCATGCTTGATACCAGGATTTTCAGCGAGGACCTTCTTGAGTAGGTTCGTCATGTCGTCTTTAAGTCGTTTTTCATGATCGACGTAAGTGGTTAGATAGTGCGGCTGGTTGAGGATGTGACTCGACATTTTGGGATTATCGCCTCTTCCTAAGCTCGTCGGCTCTCTGGGTCGAGAGAAATAAGTTAAGAAAATTGGGCGGATGGATGAAGAGAGATGAAGAGAATTTGCCGTGCATGACGGCGATGCAGACTCGTCAACCCACCACGTGCGTTTGATCTTATCTCAGCGGGATCGCGGTCCGGGCCGTTCACCTCCTCGATGTACCCTTGGCTGTTCTTTGCTTTTTCTCCTTTAGTAACGCGCTATTCTCTTTCTTGAGTTTTTGAATTTTCTCTGCTCTCTCCTTTAGTATGTCCTATTGGCAGCTTCACGTCACACTGTAGATCGGCACAAAACCTTGCGACCCATTGATATGTGCCTGGTGCCAGTGGTGTTGCTCCACCGCATCCTTCGTGGAACAGATTAGAGCAAGATCATGTCGTATTTTTCATAACCATCAAGTGCCCTTGAAATTGACGGGAGGGCGACCTGATGTGTCTATAAGGCCCTAAATTCCAAATCACTTCTGTGCCCAAACCACCACAGAATGTGCGCACCCAAAGTGCATCCAAACGGCGTTATCTTTCCACTCCCAATCTACCACCAGAAGACTGGATCTGTTTCGAATCACATCTCGCAACCTTTCCATCTCGAAGCGTGGCGCTTGTTTTCTGGCGTTCATAACGAGGTTGACGGGGCCGTCGCGGGTCCAGCTTCACCGATGTGCGGGTGGTCATCCCCGTGTACCTGCGAGTTCCAATCTTCTCCTGGAACAATATCATTCCCAGAGACACCTCGTGGCCGAAGCTTGCAGACTGACTGACGTGAACTATGACGGCCTTGTTATCCATCACGACATATAACCCCAAAGTCTTGCAGAAATGGGCAAAGCTACACTCGGAAGATGGTGGGCTGACCTAACAGCATGTCTGGTCGCAGGACTAGACCGTACTCCCCGGAAGCCTCGTTCTTGATTTCGGAAGGAGGCATGGTATTTTTAGAAGACGATGTTAAAAAGACTGCACTAACGGTCATTGTACTTCCTATTGATCGCTCTTCACAGGAACCATGCCAAAAGCATACATACCGTTCTGTATGTCTATACCGCACACGCTATCTGCTTCTCCCATAAAGATCGGTAATTGCACCGCTGGCCTGGGGCTCCAGAGACATCGCGGGTGGCTGAAACATGGATGTCTTGACAGTAATGACAGTTGGCTCTGAACTTCGAAGGAATCGGAAAGAAGGGAGGCTCGTCTCCGAGGACAACCCGCAAGACCGAGAGGTCAATCGATGGGCATGACCCCCAACTGCGAGGTTGGAAGACAATCAAAGCCAACGCTCGTCCCGAATGTTTGGTTATCCTACCCGTTTACCACCCATATCAGGTATGCTGAACAGATGAAAAACTAAGATTTCGACATGGCTTACGGCTTCTATTGTTTCACTGTATTCCTGGGTACTTCTTGATTATGCGCAAGTACGACACGAGGCGAGCTCGCGTGCTTCGCGTCAAACCCAGGGAGGCTTTGGTGTCGGAGTGGATTACAATGAGCCCGCGTGACTTTGCCTGAAAGTTGGTGAGAAAGGTTGAGTGGTATATAGATGAAAGCACTTGAGGGACGTTCCGAGTGCCGAAAGGTGTGCTGAAGACAAGCGGAGATCGATGGACAGGGTCCAAGTTGTCGATATCGAGAGCCGGCGGTACCGTCACGGGCAGGAAAAGGATCAATTAATTTGTCAAGAACATTACTCCGTGTAGGAATGAAGGGTCCAAGTCATCTGTGCAATGCGTGAAGACCAAGCAACAAAACAGACAAACGTCCCAGCTCCTTTTCTGCGAAAACCCAAGTAGGCTCCAAGAACTTGAGTAGACTCCGACTCCGACTCGGTCCTGCGTCATGTCTAAGATTAATTCCCCACCCAGTATCTAGAGATGAAATCACGCATGGTCATTTGGGTGGCTTGAAGGTGTACGTTCGGGGAAGGCTTACCGGTGCATCCTACGTGGTGGGAGCTGAGGGAATTGTTTGTGTCAGTGAGATGGGCGGGGCTCAAATTGTATTGTGGTGGGAGTTGATTGAATCAGCCCCGGATGGTGTGATCTAGTCCGCCGACGTGAAGAAATGTCGAGGAGAGTCACCAGTGGTGCTCAATCATCACCTTCGGCGCTCCAGAGAGCACGCGCTGATCTGGATAAGAACACAACACGATAGCTGGTGGCACAAGCTAACCGTCAGTTAGCACAGAGTGTAGGCATTAAGCCCCAGGTGATTGGAATGGACAAGGGTGTTGCCTCATGGCTTTGTTTTCCTTACCCTCTATACCCAAAGGACTCGTACGTTGGGGAAGAAACAAAGCTTCGTAAATGAAACCCAGTTCCGTGCATCTCTTCTGCCCGCTTACGGTCTTTCAGCGCAAAAGTTGGGGCGGCAGCCTGCTGGCCCGGCCCTTCTCTTCCCGAGACGTTTCAATTCTCCGAGAACTCGTGCAATAAGTATAATAGAACTTAGAAATGATCCAATAATTCATGCCTTCCGAAACCCATTCCTTATTCAAGACGCGTGGCCTGTGTCGTCATTGAAGAATTCTCGGTTGTCAATTCTGGAGAGCAATATTCTTCGAAAGGCGCTCGTAGCTTGACCGTGACGAGCGCCTTCTGCGTGTCCACGATAACCGGGAGATCATCTTCTGCCGCAGTCACAAATCGAACCTTAATCCACACCTGCCATGTCAAGCTCTCATATAAATGAGGCATCTTGAAAGCCAACCCGATCATTACCTTAATGAAAATTATGTGGTCAGGATCTACGGAAAGGAAGGCAACTTTGCAGGATACGCAGCTGTTCGAATCGAAATTCTGGGGAGGGGGGAGAGCATTTCATTGGCCGACTCCTTGGGCGTGTGGTCGAGCTTTCGTGGTCGTCGGTCACCGGCGCACCTGGCACGGAAAGGTCCTGCAGGCGCAGAAATGAGAAGGATCAAACCCTTCTGCTTCTTAAGAGACGATTCCACCGGGTTTCGGATGTCCGGCAATACGCATCTTCCCTCCGGGATTGAGCACTCGTCTTCACGTTTTCTAACATGTCAAGAGTTGCGTAAATATCAGGGAGGGCTTGATACGGGGATTCTCCTCTTCTAGCTCCTGGTGGGCTCCTGCATGCAAGCAGGCAAGCGGTGCGAGCGCCACTTACACATGAAAAATGAAGGTCGTTGGGAATCGACGAATTAAGGATACACTTCGCCCCCGAGTACTGTCTCTCGAACTCCCTCTAACTATTGAAGTCAATCATTGTGCCTCTCGAAGAGAGTGCAATGTCCCGGGAAGCCTATCTTCCAGGACTTTAGGGCCAGTCTATCGCTGTCTTTCGCCGTCTCGAAGAAGACTCCTTGCTTGAGACTCACCTGACTGCCATTGATCACCATGCATACAAAAGTTAGTAAAAACCCACCAGTCTAGCTTCTATCACTCCAGTCCCAGATCTACCGCTGAACATCACAATACAGACCTTCCGTCCTTTCCCCTATCACTCCCGTGAAGGCCCCCCGGACAGCAAGAAGGTGGAGCATATATCATTCAATCAGCTGCAGACATGATCAACTTGCAGACATCCACATTTTTACCCGCTCATTACGGCCTCCAAGCTGGGTTCCCATCGCTTGAGACGTCTGAGGAGCGGGCAGACTATATACACGCCTTCCCTCGATCTTCCGATGTACCGAACGTAGTAAAGCGTTCCCTTCCTTTATCAACCCAAACGCTCTCAAGTCGAGAGGAGCTTCCAGTTCTCTGGGTTTCCTCTCTCCGTGGGCGTCGAAGGAATCGGTACCTTTGCAGCAGGATCACACTGAGTATGGGTTTTCTTTCCCGACACCGGTGAAAGAAATACCTCGCACTTCGAATTTTGGATCGAGTGATTCAGGCCTTTTCGCTGAACCCCTTTCTACGTTTTCCATGCTGAAGCTCTGAAGTGACTGTGCTGACGTTGCGTTGCGCGGCTACATGAAACGCTTTCTTTCGAGTTCCATTGTCCTTCTGTGATATCGTTGACTCGGGTAACGTACAGTTTCGTTGGCGCCCCAAGCCTAGACTCTGAGCGCTGCATTCCGCAACCTGGAAGTATTTCTATGTGCGACAAGAAGCTGCTATTGCGTCTATTGTGAATAATTCGGATAATATAATATGTGGGTTCAAAGGCATAACATGTCCTATCGTGGCATGAAGGGTATCTAGAGCGTGGTATAGTGACAGTGTGTAGAATGGGAAAGGAAAATAATAATAAAATGAACGGCATTAGTAGACGAGTGATGGGTGCGGTTCGACGTGAAAGGAGGGTCCTCAATGGGAAGGTGCAAATCCTTCGTTCTCATACATGGGTAGGGGCATTCAGGTGGATGGAGGCCAAGAGAGAAATCTTTTCCGCCAAGGTTCGAATTTCATCAGCGAGAGGTTCCATCCCAGTCGCCGTCCCAACGGCGCCCTCAGGATTGGAGCCACCCGGAGGAGCAAAGTCCAGAACCACGGGACGGCAGCCGTTGGCGAGGTCTCTTGCGGGGAAGGCGGTGGTAACGACAGCGTTGAAGACGACATCCTTGAGGCGGTTGTGTAGCATGGTGCTGAGAGGGGACCCACTGCGGATATGAGTATCGGCCCACTTGCGCGCAATACTGAGAGACCGCTCGTCGGGACCATCTCCAATCGTGGAAGTCGAAGGCGTGGAGACGGAGGAGGCTAAAAGCGAGGACAGGCAAGTTGGTGATGACGAGTGAGAGAGTCGACCAGTTCGGGCATCTGTGGCCCTTTTCGCGACCTGTAGAACCACGTCCTCTTTAACTACGCGCCAGGTTTCTGCTTCTTTGCCATTCTTGTCCGGGTTCCTTGAAAAGCATCGACCAGGTCGGAAGTTACCTGCAATATCTCGGATTTCGCGCTTGATTCTGATAAGGTCGGCATCCGTCAGCTTGGGAGGCCCGCGGTTGGAATTGGAGTTGTCGGAGAAAACCAGTTGACGAAAGAGGAGGAGGAACATATAGAGTGCAGTCGTATCAGAGGCGTCGGAGCTTAAGATATGCATGCGTGCATTGTCGAGATAAAGAGTTTCTGGGAAATTAGGGCTGGAGTCGACGCGGAAGATGCTGTTGGGGTTGCGGGCGGGGTGTTGGTTGGGGTGGATGTTTGGGGCGGGCATGCGGCCGGAGGGTCGAAAACGAGGTCGACAATACCTCGTAATACCGAGATATAGAGTTGCTGGTTGCCCGATAAAGTGTCGTACCGAAGCGATTTACCTGGGAATAGGGGGTGGAAAATCGGTTGCGATTGCAGCATGGCTGAGTGGGAAGCCTCAATCCACTCGCGTGTGGTGTTTAATGACGCTCCGATGCCACAACGTCCCTTCAGCGTTCGTAATTCGAACTGGCCGGATGTTCGTAGCAAGAATGGTCGAAGGGTCTGGAGTTGGTGATTGGCGATGTCCTAGAGCAGCCCATAAGTATCCGAGGAACGTCTAGGGAAGGGATACATACGAGTTTCATTAGCTCGAGGATCTCCATACACATTCGAATAGCCTTGATAGCATCTCGAGCTGATTTTTTGGGACCCGAACCACACTGCTCTGCAACTCGAATCATGGCTTCGACGGACCGATCTCGCATTGGTGCACAATGTCCCTTTAGAGTCTCCCCGATTGTCCGGAATAAACCCGAGGGATCGAACAAGTTGCGCCTAAGCTCCTGCTCGATAAGGGCAGGATCGAAAAGGGAACGAATATACGCCGCTTGGGCGGAGTGTTCTTGCATTTGTGCCTTGAAGGTGTTAGGGTTGACATATATCCCTGATATGCTCGACAGTGGCTGAATGACAAGCAGAAGAACCTCGAGAAATTCTGTGAGAAGCGAAGGGACGCGTGGTGGAATGTGAACCGTGTATAGGTCGGGACCAACTTGTTGTAGAATAGTGCCGGACGAAGTTGAAGACTCGCCACATATGCAGATAAGCCGGTGGGGTTTTCTGCGGGCCTCGAAGGTCATGCAGGTACATCCATGCTCGACTTCTTGCACGATGGCGGTCCAGTATTTATCCGCCATTTCACGCTTTCTTCTGCTCCCGGTGGGCCTGAATTGAAGCCCAGGATCGAATAATAGGTCATGGCCTGAATGATAGTCAGCGAATTGGGAAACCAAAGTGACGAAAAGTTACATACGGAGCTGTGGATTTCGCAGAATAGCGTCCAAATCAAGTTCCTTGAGTGTTTGGCGGTTGATGAGGGGCTGTGGCGGCGGAATGGGGAGCGAGTTCAGGTCGAAGGGCACGGAGCGGAGCCATGGCTGCTGGACGGGACTGTCATCACAGAACGAGGCGGTCCTGGAGCGGAGCAAGGAACCACTGGAAGGGCCGGGGTCGGCTGTCGGAACAATGCCAATGTCCTCGAGGTCGCTGCCGTGACGAACAGCGGGTGATTTGGTGGGTGAGGACTTTGGGGAGCGTCGGGAAGTTTTGCGCCCCGATATCCGCAGCCTGTCCAACCTGGGGCGCTTGGTGGCATGAGAGAGGCGCTCCGTGGACAGAGGACTAGAGGCAGGCGTGGAGGAAGAGGGCCACAGAGATTGGTCTGATTCTGACGCGAGACAGGGCTGCCTCGGAGCGTTCAGAGTCGCGGAGACAGGAGGAGAAGGCGCCTTGGCCTGGTCAGGCCTCAAAGGAACTTGGGGCTCCGAGCAGTCATCGTTGTCTGCCTTCCGCTTCCTGTGGTTGAGAGGGTAATCATGGGCTAGGTTATCCATGTGTTCGTTCGGAAAGAAGAGAGGAAAAAAGGGCGGATGAAGGGCCCTATATATAAGATTGGAGGGGCTAGTAGCCGACACATGGTGAGAGACCAAGACTGAAAAGGCGTGTGGACCAGTTGGGTGCCATCACCCAATCGCATGTACAAATTTGTCCGGGCTTGGACATCCACATTCCATCGTTGAAACTATACTCTCATGCTTTGACATCCTTGATCTATAACACTTTCGACTTCTTCACTTCGACAACACCGGTTTCTCAAGAACCCTAATCATTCATTTGGCGCATTCAGACTCTATCCGAGATTTTACATTTTTAGATGCCCTGGAATCTCCAGATTGAACATATGTATACCCGGCACAGGCCCACTGCTACTGAGCTGGGTTATCATCTGATCCTTGGTTGCCTTGAGGCCAGAGCCTGAGCCTCGCGCCACCAAACCAAAGGGTCCTGGCTCCTGTTGTCTGGTTGCCTCGCTATCTGTCTCCTTTGGGATCGTCTTTCAGATGGCTATGGGTCCGACTTGATGTTCCTCCGCAAACCGACCACAGTTACGGAGATGATCGTGGTACCTCCGAAGTTTTTATACTCAAACGTGCTCTCCGCAAGGACGGAAAATTATTTCCCTTTTTCCCTGCCTTGATTTGGTCCCACTCCCCTTTCATGATTTCGAGAATCTTTGACCGGGAATAGATGCCCTATCTTAATTTTACCTCGGTAAAAGCTCTCACTCACCCCAACATGCTCTTCCTGCCTTTCTCGATTCGATTGCCAACCACCCCACACCTGTGTCGTTCTTGCTCCGATGTCCCTTCCATTAACCACTCAATATTACTCTCGGGCCCTCCCGGCCAGCTCCTCTACCCTGCCGCCCGTTCCAATTGCGAGATGAACGACTGGAGCCGTCCCTTCGCTTTCTTCGATTCAGATGCCACCTGGGTTGAACGAATAGGGAATATTGCGCCCTTTCTTCAATTCGAGATGTGCTTGCAGAGACAACGCATAGAAACAAGCCAAGGACGCCAAAGAACCTCCGTTCATGTCGCTGTTCGATACCCCACCTCAGAGCCATAGGGTCTTTCATGCTAGCCAACTGTCGGTGGCTCCCTGGACTGCTCCCTCTCCGCTCTATTGTCGGATGGCACGGAACAAGGACTGCTCATAACAGGATAGTCGACCACTAACGATTGATACATTTGATCCTACGGACTATCTTCCATGGACAAGCTTTTGGCAAAAGATCGTGGGCCAAAAACGGCCTCGAGTGTGGGGTTATATGTCCCGCACTGGTACAATGGGAGCCAATCAATTTGTAGCCATGGGCCACGGGATGTCGACGTCGTCTGGACCAGGCTAGAGATACCCTTGACATCCCTTCATTTTATTTCCATGAAACCGCCCTCAACGCCCGCACTATTACGACTGAGATGGTTCCATTAGAGCGTCCAAGCCAAGGTGCTCCTTATCTCGGTGAATTGACTCCATCATTTTTCTACACACATCTGAATTAGATTTTCATCGCAAATTCATCTCCCACCGTGGTCCATTTGCAATTCCAACTCCCAGTTACTGTACCGTAATGGTGCCACCCACCGTTCTCCTCGCAATCATCACGTAGCACCGCGTTTCAGCTTCGTCAACTGCAAGTGGGTTCACTGTGGCGCCCGGGTTACCTCGAGGGTTGTGATGCCACCATGGGTGCTGAGGTGGTACCGTCACCCTCCTTTCCCCGAGCGTCGGTGGAATCACTCGCCATCGACACCAGTTTTCACAGAGCGACGCCTCAGCGGAGACAACTCGGGTTTCGACCGCTTTGAATTCCCTGTGACTTTAGATTGCTTGGCGCATCCAAATGAGAGGACAACTTTCTAAGTTTATGGCCAGTTCTGGTGGAAAAGAGAAGGTCTCTGACGTTCTGGCTCCGAAATTAACTTCGGGGGCGAGATGTCACCAGGAAACAAGACACGGCTCCTTGAACCCAACCCCTTCACAGGAAAAGCTTAGAAAGTGCACTGCAGATCATGCATACCTCGGTACACTGAGATAGCTGCCAAAAACCATAGCTACAATCCCATATCGCAGTGGCGTCCTCGAAGACACTAGCATGCACGTAAAGTAGAAAAATGAATTCTCGTGAATGAAAAGAGCGCTTGTAGTCGATATCGAGAACAAGGGGACAATGGGTCTGTAAAGAAGGTTATGTCAATGCTTCGAGAACGTGACAACGAAGTCATTAATCATAGTTAAGCATCAATTAACTTCTCCTCACGCCTGCTCTCTTCATGGCTATCCGTGTCGGCACCGGGAGCAGGTTTCTTCGTCGATTTACGAGCGTAGAACTCTGCAATAATCTTGGGGTTGATCCGATTGAGCTGTTCCTTAGGGAAGATGCGCAGCAAGGACCATGCAAGATCGAGAGACTCGAAAATGGTACGAGATTCATAGGCGCCTAAGAGCAGCGTTTAGTGATAATAGTCAGGGTTATGAGAGGAAACTAACCTTGTCCCACGAATTGCCGTTCGAACTTGTCGAGGAATTCCAAAGCGAGTTTATCCTCTGCGGACAAGGCTTCTTCACCAACTACAGCTTTCATGGACGCTGCATCTCGCCCAATGGCGTATTTGGCATACTATTAATGAAGAAAATTTCGCAGTTGGGAATTTTACGCAAGAAGGGGCTTGAAAAGGACTCACCAGCTGATTCGAGACGTCACCATGGTCTTTCCTTGTCAGTTTCTCGCCGATAGCACTCTTCATGAGACGCGACAAAGACGGAAGGACGTTAATGGGAGGATAAATCTGTCGGTTGTACAGTTGTCTGTCGACAAAAATCTGTCCCTCGGTAATGTAACCTGTGAGATCTGGTATAGGATGTGTGATATCTGGCCGCCGTGGAAATGAAAGTCAGAGCCTGTTCATAGTTCGCTATATGTAACTTACCGTCGTTGGGCATGGTTAAAATGGGAATCTGGGTAATCGAACCATTCCTGCCTTCCACACGACCGGCGCGCTCGTAGATAGTCGACAAATCCGTGTACATGTATCCTGGGAAGCCACGACGACCTGGGACTTCTTCTCGGGCAGCTGATACCTATAAAGGTATGGGCTCACGTTCAACGTCACACCTATAGACCAGCAAAAACATACCTCGCGCAAGGCATCCGCATATGAGGACATATCAGTGAGGATGACCAAGACGTGCTTTTCGAGCTGATAAGCATAGTACTCTGCAGTTGTCAATGCTAGACGAGGAGTAATGATTCGTTCGATGGTGGGGTCATTTGCCAGGTTGAGGAAGAGGGTTACACGGTCGAGACTTCCGTTTGATTCGAAATCCTCCTTGAAGAATCGCGCGGTCTCCATATTAACACCCATAGCAGCGAATACGACAGAGAAGTTGTCCTCATGACCGTCGTGTACGTCCTTGGTGGGCCGCTTGACGAGACCAGCTTGTCGGACGATTTGGGCAGCAATCTACGAGAGACAATAAGCCAAATGAAAACCCAAAAAGGTTCTGTAACGCGTTACCTCATTGTGAGGCAAACCAGCAGCCGAGAAAATGGGGATCTTCTGGCCACGAGCGATGGAGTTCATCACATCGATAGTTGAAATTCCGGTCTGAATCATTTCTTCCGGATAGATTCGTGAGTACGGGTTAATGGGCGAACCTGTTCGATTGTTAATACCGCGTGAACGAGAGTGTGGTTGATCGCCCGTACCGTTGATATCGAGATAGTCCTCAGCAAACACCTTTGGACCCTGATCAATAGGATTGCCTGAACCGTTGAAGATTCGACCAAGCATGTCTTCGGCGACGGGAAGCTTCATGCTACTTCCAGTAAATTCAACGTGAGTTGCTTTCACATCGACGCCTGAGGTTCCTTCAAAGACCTGTACGATCGCCTTCTTGCCCTGAACCTCGAGAACCTGTCCTCCACGTTTAGTGCCGTCTGGCAGTGTCAATTCAACGATTTCATTGTATGAGGGGAACTGCGGGGGTGAGGTACGATTAGCGTCGGTTGTGCCTTAAATACCGCCGTTAGACCTGCCTTGACGTTGTCCAATACGACCAAAGGGCTGGATACAAGCGGTTGAGCGAAAGCAAATGAAACGGAGAGGTCACGAATACCCACCCGTTAATGGCGGAGACCGTTCGATAGTCTGTCCGGTTACTCAATAATGTGTCGACTGGTGAGAAAAGGTTGGATATGCCTACCTAGGTGAGGCTTGACACGATACTCTTGGGTGACCGCAGCCGCATTGAGAGCCGCCAATTCTCTATCGCTGAGTCGAGGGTCCGACATTGTGGCTACAAGACCCGGTAGATTATCTTGGTATTAGCAGAGCTTTCTGGGGGTTGAAAGTGGCGAGATTGTGGTTATCGAGAGAGCAGTCGCTGTGCAAAGATGGCCGCTGGAGCCAAAGAAGAGAGCGACGTCGCCCAAGATCGGTTCGCTCATCCCGTCCAGTATCATCATTTCGGATGACTATTCCCACGAGTCATCGTTCTCGGCCCTTTTACTGCTCTTCGGGGGTTCCAGCCTCTATTCAGGTACTACCCTAATTTACATGGTTCTCTTTGAATACTGATGCAATCTTCTCAGCAGCCTCTTTAGCCTCTTCTTGAGAAATAGTGGTCCTGGGAGCAGTTAGCCCTCATGCAACGAACAGTCTGCCACTGCACTCACCACCTGGTTTCCAGCAAGCTAGCTTCGATCTCGCCGGTGTCGTCGATCCCATAATCTGCGCTCTCAACCTGCAGGTAGAAGTACTCCGCGGTCTCGTACCGAGTCTACGCCGGGATTAAAAACGCGAATTAAATAATCCTCATCGTAATCTTACCTTTGGGAAGGGATGTGCAAGGAACTCCCCTATCAAGTGGATATTGTTTGCTTGGATGGAGGGGAAGACCATGAGTTTCACAAAGCTGGAAGAATGCAAAGCGGTCAGTGCTACCCCAGCAGAATGTTCCAGGCACCCACATCTTCATAGCCTCGTGGATCCTCTGAACACTCTTCCACTTCCCAGCGTGCTTGGTCGTCAGTGTCACCAAAGATTGCAACCTGCGAAACGTCAGCCTGAGATTATCTGCATCAGACGATCAACTCGACCTCTTCCGCCCTCGTTCATCCTCACTAAGAGGTTCCAGACACTCTTCGTCCAAAAGAACGTTGAAGGTTTGGAATATGGGCAGAACTATCTTGTTCGACCCCGAGTTGGCAAAGACACGGCCCAACAAATCATCGAGAAGAGACACGAGATCATAGCCGCCGCCATCTGCTACAAGCGGGAGATTCTTCGTATAGTTCGCCAGCGCTTTAGACATCTCTTTTTGCTGTCAAATCCGTATCAATAAACGAAACGGCTCTGATGATACTGATCTCCGCCAGCTTACAGTGCTGTCCGTTTTACTCCCAATACTGTTAACAGCTCCGTCAAGGACACCTTGCCTGTAGACAGGCAGATCAAGGAGCTTGATAGCACGAGGAAAGAGCCACGCAGCATCTGCCCAATCCCTGTCTTCCGAGTCGCTGTTCAACGGAATGGATCAGTTCCCGAATCGTAAAGGTGATAGATGCACGTACGGCGAGAATAGATCCCTTAACAGCTGGAGTTCGGGAAGGTTCAGCCTATCACTAGTGTTCGACACCTGTAACAATCTAGCAATACTCTTTCCAACTTCTTGGCGGACGTTATCTAATCTTTCGACGCCCTGCTTGAGAATAGAAGCGACGACGGTGAGATACAGGGGCGGTGAGAGATAGGATTCCGGTTGAGGGACTGTGCCGCCATTCTTGATCACGAGCTCGGAGACAGACGTAAGCCCTTGTACCGAGGCTATTCGAATCCAAGATCCAACGTCTCCACGCTCGTCTATCGTGTAGTCGTCCAGACCGATCAAGAATTGCTCCATAAACGTCGCCATTGTTTCCGCGGGAAGTACTGTGACATGTTTTGAGTATTGACAGCTCATGAAACCAAACATTCGTCTCTTACGTTCGATCAGGTTTGGAAGCATACTGCTGCAGATAGAAGGGATAGCAAGGTACCACGCTCGCCGAGTTTCAATGGTCGTTCGAGGCTAGTGCGACGGAGGATGAGGTTATGCGACGGATGCACCGAAAGCGAGGACATACCGATGGCTTCACACCTTCCAACACGCAGGCTACCGCCTTGGGAAATACATCCTTGTTATTAACATAATCCATTGCACTTAGGATCTTCGCCAGACTCTGCAAAGCAGTGGGTGACCCTTTGCCCAAATCCTTTATCACTGTAAAGAAGACGTCAGACACGCGCAAGGCCAGCGAAAATGAAAACATATCTCATAGCATAGGGCGAGATGCTCGTCAGTCTTGAGTAGGCACCGACAGCCTCGGCTGCCGCGTCTTGGACATTCTCCACACGATGTCGGATTCCAATATCAATGACTTTCCTCCAATATGGTGCATTCTTCGCGTCTAAGTTCTCAGCTGCCTCTGCTTGTGCTTTAGTTAATGTCGTCGCCACAAGTCGACAGGCCGCCTGTGTGACCAGGTGATTTCTGGGAGCGGCGATCAAGCTTTCTGGTACTTGGTCGAGATAGGTGAGGAACTATCGTTGGTCTTGTCAGTTCACATACGGCATCAATGCACCCGCAAAATGAAAAGCAGGACATTACCTTCTGAAGCGAACTATCTCGTACATCCTTGCCTTCGATCGATTCACGGTATGCGAGACCAAGCTCCGTGAGGGCCAGCAAACCTCCATGAACTTCTGTCGGATCGAGCGATTGAATGAGAGGGATCTGGAGGATGCGAATGAACTTTCAATCAAATCTGAATCTGGTAGAACATCCTCTACTCACGATCTTCGGAATGGCTTCACGAGCCATCTCCTTGAGATTAATGAGGCATAGCTGGCGTAGGGACTGGGCTCCAAGTTCCCTCATCGACACATCCCAATGTCGCAAAACCACATTCAGGACATGATGCAAAAGGGGCGAGCGGTATTCCTCATGCCTGTAGGACGTCAACTGGGGTCAACTCCTTCCTCATGACCACATCACAAGGTACCACCAACCTAGCAACTTGTGGTGCCGCAAGGATAAATGAATGCTTTCGTATGCTCACAGAATAAAAATCCGTCTTGCTCAACACGTCGATTCCATGCGGGAAGAGACTCTGATAGCCGTGAGCGAATATATGAGAGGGACTTCATTTTCACAACAACATAGGCTTACTCACCGTCCTTCCCACATGCTCCTGGTAAGCAGCACTGGCAGCGCGCCGTATGTGCACCTCCCGATCATAGATCGCGACCGAGGCGAGGTGGGTCGCCAAAACATTGGCATGAGGTTTGAGCGTTGGTATATCCTGTGTGCGCGCCAAAGCCCACAGTACGTATGCAGCTGCGTCACGGACGTTCGATCCTATGGAATGAGCACCCTTTCGGATGTCGAAATACAGCGCCTGTAGTCACATGAACGCAGCAAGTAAGTTCCATGTGATGCCATGAAATTGAACTCAGTCCCCAAACCTTTGAAAGCCAGTCAACTAACTGGGGCATATGCGACGCTGGTATGATGTTCCTTCGAGCCATCTCTGCACAGGCTAGACATGCGCCATGCCAAGTTGCCTCTGCTACAGAAGGCATGTCGTATGTTGTTGCCGCTGCTACCGAATGGATGGAGAAAAGTCCGAAGAGTGTTTCCAGGATCTGGGTGGCGAAATCCGTCGGAAGACTTTCAGCAATCCGTGCAATCCCTTTGGAGGCAGACCACCGGACGATGGTATCCTGTCATGGTACATTAAAGACACGTCGCAATGGCTTGTGATTTTGAGCCGACCTTATCCTGAACGGCTTCAAAGAGCTGCTCGAGAATGACTTCGACCACTTCAGGAACGTCAGCCTCGTCTAACTGCGCATGCTGATACTCGAGAACGCCGCCTTCAAGGGTCTTCCCTACAAGGCGGGAATGAGCAACGTAACCGGATATACCGTAAACCGGCCTCACCATACTTCCGCCTACCAGCGGCTGCAGCGTGGGGCAGCAACCTGAGAGCAACCCTGGACAGAAGCTTGGATCGGTATTTGCGAACCAGCGTATTCCTCTTGAGTGAATCGATCCCCTCAATCTTGGAAATAAGATGCAATATCGCCTCTTGTTCATTTCTAACCAGGGCCAGCGGTCCGGACTTCGCGACTTCAGCAATGACTTGCAGGATCCCAATCATCTATTTGAGTACACCGAGGTGAGAAAGCGGTCGGTTGCAAGGAACCCCAAAAGACCCTAGGGAACCCAAGCAACTCACTATAAATCCTTCATTTTGCTTCTGGAATACTTCGGTTGACCATTTCACAAATGCAGGGAACCGCGACGCAGTGTCCTTTCTGAGCAGAGCAAACGGGGACGTCGTCAGCAAGGTCACGTCCGTTCATTTCCGACGGGAGGGCCTCCTACCGCATGTACAACCTGGACAACAACAGTGCCGCACCTTCCTTCTCCAGGCCTGCCCTGTCCAGGTATTTCTTGCCCAAGTCTTCTACGGTGTCCGCAACCTTGCCGATGCTCCCGGGCTCGTCCAGCTGGGAGAGGTCAAAAGGGATCATGCAGACGATGGACAGCCAGAGCAGAACAACATAGCGAAGTGCCCACTGATTCGGTAGGTCGACAAAGTCAGCCCGTATACGGATGTAGTCGAGAACTACAGACAAGTCTGAGACCTCGTGAGGGAAGAACCTGACTGTCAAACAAACCCTCTCAGCCTTTCTTGTAACGTCCAGATCGATCAACGAGGACTGCGGTGAAAGACAGACTGACCGATGGTCTTGTAGCCTCGGAAGTTGGTGTATTTGTAGAGAAGTTTGCAGAGGAACTCGACGCGACTTGAAGATGGTTTAAGTTCTGGGTTGAGCACGCAAGATTTGATATGGTCTCTCAGGCGCTTAACTACTGGAACGACGAGTTGTTCCAGGTATGGATCCAGGAGGTAGGATTGTTCATGATATCCATAGAACTAACATGACACTGAGTAAGAAACAAACATTGAATGACTACGACCCACGGTCATTTCAAGTTTCTTGAACAGTTGGTATTCCTCTCTGTCCTCCTCCATCGTAGGTTCCTTGAACAGGTCGACCGCCAGAAGGGCATCTTGAGTCGCAGTGAACTCAGCGTGCCCTTCAAAGACAGTAAAGTACGTGTCTTCGTCCGCCATGGTTGTTCTAGAAATTTCTGGTGACTCGGGATGGGAGGAAGAGACAAGCAAAGCTGAGTGCAGTGGATGGCGATGGACAGCGATGAGCGCGTCGGCGGCTCGCGTGGGCCGGACTTCATGATTCTGATGATGGCCTTGGCTGTTTTCGTGAAGCTTCACCGGCAACGACGACCACCTTCAACCCAACCACCTCTTATTTTTCGACAAAGTAAACCCTCTTGGAGACGGAAAAATGGATGGGAATAAAAGGCCTAACCTCAAAAGGAAGATTCGAGAAATCTCAAAGGACGTAGGTACACGAGTTTTCCAAAAGACCATCCATTATCGCTTACATTTCCTGCTCAGGACCTACCTACAAGAATAAATGGAAAGCTGGTATGGGAGCCCCAATTCCCGAAAGAATATCAACTCAAATGAATGATGGATAGCATCGTAGTCTCCAAGAAGTCTATCAGGCTTGCAAAAAAGCCAAAACATTCGAAACCCAGAAGCTGGTTAAAAAGTTGAAGGGTCTTCGGTACGTTCTGGCCTCTCCGTGTTGAACCTCACGACTGACTCAATACATCTCCAGAAAGGACTCAAGTGACACAAACGCTGTCCAAGAGCACGAGGCGCAGTTGACTGCTCTCAAAGTAACGCTCTCCTTGTCCAGTTTGGCACGCACCTGTTGACCCTCTGGCTAGGAACTCGACATCCACTCTATCGCAAGGACAGCCTTCAAGACCAAAGTCCTCAAGGACCGTACTCTTCGAGATAGCGAACTTATAATGTCTGGCCTGGAGAAGGAGATTACCAACACTATCATTCCCTCTCCCGCTTCAACACCTCTCGGCAAAGTCCAAAGCCGACTTCTCAGCTCCAAACACCTGTCTTCCCAAATCTCCATCTCCATAGACGGTCTTAAAGTAATCTTGGACCCCGAGTATGCACCACAGCAGAAGAAACAGCGCACGACGTCTGCCGAGCCTCCGAACGCCGCTTCCATTGCATCCTCCAAGCGCACGCGAACCCAACGTCATTCTAAGGAGGGCTCCCTCCAAGCCGCGGACGTTGGCTCAGAGTCAGAAGACAGTGAAGATGATGATCTCAGAGACGAAGAAGGTGCAGATGACGAAAGCGAAGACGGGGATGGTGCAGATGGATGGGAGTCAGGCTCAATTAGTGGGGATGAAGACTATGTTGGACGGTTGGCACCCTCTTCTCCCGTTGGCTCAGATGAAGAAAATTCAGGGTCGGAGCAAGATGACGATGATGACAGTGACCCTGAATCCGACGAAGATACCAAGCCGATGAAGAAGGCGAATGCTGGTGGCTCAACATCATCCAAGACACCCAAAGTCGCTTCCGGCGCCTCCTCTAAACCAGCCAAGATCAACGAATCTACCTTCTTACCCTCACTCCAAGTGGCATACATCTCTGGATCGGACGACTCTGATGCTGAAGCTGAAGTTGCAGAGCCAAGAAAGAATAGGCGCGGTCAGCGTGCTAGGCGAGCGTACGTTTCCCTCTGTATGGATAAGATAACTACTAATGCTGATGCATGATCTCGTCTACGTCATACAGGATTTGGGAGAAGAAGTATGGCCGGAACGCGAATCACAAGAAGGCAGAAGCCAAGGCAGCACCGACAACAGCAGTTAAGCAAAACCCTGAAGGAAGATCATTTGCCCATCCGAAGCAGCCAAGGGGTGGGGTTCGTCGCGGGCCTTTGGTATCCGGTCCCAACTCTGCTGCGATTCAAGGGAAACAGCGCGCGTTTGGTCAGAAGCCGCCTACCGGTGCTGCTGCTCCGTCGACGAATTCAAACCCGAGCAACAAACCGTTGCATCCGTCTTGGGAGGCGAAAAAGAAGCTCAAGGAGAAACAGTCAGGTATTGTTCCGAGTCAGGGCAAAAAGATCAAATTCTAGTACAAATGTATATCCACTGGTAAATTACATACAGGAAACTAGGGCTTGTCCATCATGCCGGTGGACCTCACACACTTTTGAGGGTATCCAATTAACGCATAAGCCAAAAAAGAGGGGCACCTAGAATCCACAGATAGGTCGGGCCAGAAATCCGAATTACGATGCCCATACGGCATTTTACAACCCGGGGCAGACATGTCTCTTCCCGCCGACGAGCCTGCATTCGCGGGAACACCACATTTGCTTGCATTTGCCGCACTGAGGGAAGTCGCGGCCTGGTTTACGACAGGTGGAACATTCCAACTTCTTCGCACAGAACTTGGAAGCGCGCTCCATACGCGCGAGGACGGGATGTAACCCCCGCGTCTCATGGATAGACGATGCCGAAGAATCAGGCGATGGGGGCCGGGGGATGGATGTCAACGTTCTCGTTATAAGTGGGACATTAGGTGATGGGTGTGACACGGAAGATGTAGAGGACGAGGCGGACGGCGAGGTATATGGGTGAGACCTTTGGATGGTCACCGTGAAGGGCACGTCTGATTCAGAGGCGTCGTCACCCGAATCTGAATCGAGAGCGGCGATGGTACGCAGGGTACTTGAGGCGGATGCGAGGGGTACAAATGAGCCCCATGCAACTTGCTTCCCCGTTTCCCCATGGGCGAGGCTTGGGTCAGGGAGAATGAGCAGGCGGGTGGCACTACTCGTCGAGGCGGTGGACGAGGTGGATAGCAATGACAGCGTACGACGACGACGATGTGAGTATGTCCGCCCAGCAGCGATATGCGCAGCCTGTAGGGCGAGTCAGAACGGTGTCAAGGGCCAGATAAAGAAAGGGAGAACCTACCTGATGGGAGGACGACGAGGAAGGAAAGTGGAAGCCTGACATTGCAGCTGGGGTCAGCGGGTAATGAGAGGTGGCGTTGCGATACCTGATGGTGAAGAGTATCGAAGCTTATATAGTGCAAAAAGGTCCCAAGTCTTGTTAAGGACTGAAGAAACTTCCTGACGGGTGATTTGATTTTTAAACGCTTTCGGACGAAGAGAAGGGGGTCCCGACTTACTGGCGTGAATCTGTCGAGCGCCCCTGTGTTAAATATGAGTGTTCAAGCGTACTCTGTGGTGTCTAACTGATCTCTTGTAGAGAATTCAGAGAAACTCAATGCAACGAGCGGACTTTTGCAAATGACTGTGTGCTCCGATAGCGACAGTGGTGGTGGTTAGAAGATAACCTGTATCGTGTGCGTCTTTCTGCGCCCAGCCTATGACACCCTCGGATCTCGATCTCTTTCCCACGATTTCAAACTCAGCGCTGTCCCATTTGATCGGATAGTTCCTGTGGCTGTGTCCAAATGCAAATACCTGTGTCTTGGCCTCAGGCAAAGACCATCTTATTCCGCGAACCGTGGCCATAAAAACATACAGAGCGCGCTTGTCTTTCTTAATCTTTCTCCCTTCCTTTCACAACCCACCTGGATAATCTCTATGCGACTCGGGGGCGCCTTGCAACACTGGACCCGTCCATTTTTTGTCAAGATGTACAGCTTCCACAGATGGTACACTGGCCCCGAAACACTGCTGTGGTAGACGTCGTTTCCCTTGCCGCTCATCGTCCACCGACTTGCTTTACGTGGTGCTATGATTCCAGAAGAACCGCCCATCTTTCCGCCGATGGTTTCCCAGCTGACACGCCATTGACTTCTGGAGATATCTTCTGTCCATTCGGTCGATACCAACCTACTTCTTGAGGCAAGTACGAACGTCGACTCAACGCGAACATCTGAAGAACGTGCGTCCCTATGTGGCAATAACACCCTCAGCCTTTGGACACTGTCTGTAATGGTTGGGTTTGTGGACGACGCGGGAGCATCTCGTTCCTGCCGCAGATCTGGTCTTTCAAGGTCCCCCGCGATGACGTTGGCGTTCCCGCCTGTCCCGGACCTTTACCGGCGAAATAATTTGGAGGTGGGCTCAACGGGTAGCATAGACTAGCTAGCACCCTCCAGTACCTCCAGTACCTCCAATGCCTTGTCATCTGACGGTGCCCTGGGGGCATATCCAGCTACAGCGGACCGCTATGCAACCACTTCGCTGCGTTCTGTGCTCCCAGACCATAAGGTCACTTGGTTCTTTCTTCAGTTCTATCAATAGAACTTGGGAGTATGCTTCGGTTTATGCGAGAGATTTAAAGAAACCACAGTCGAGATTACTGGTTGCATCTCTCCTTTTCTACTCTACTTCTCTGCTCTCGTAGAAATGGATATCGATAAACAAGCTCCGGCGAGTCCAACGGACTCCTTGGGAGACAAGGTGGAAGTTCAGGAAGATCAATATCATCGCCATGCACACAAGACTCCCGAGGAAAGGCAGGCTGCTTTGCGTGAAGCTTTGGCTGTTGATCCCGGACCAAAGAAATGGGGCTGGCCTGCTATCCATGTACGCTTTTCTCGAGTGTTCTTATCTTGGCTAAAAAAACAAACTATTGACGATTCTGCGTGCCGGGTCATATAGATGTATCTGATAACCCTCGTAGTCTGCTGCTGCTCGGGCGATAGCGGTTTCGATAGCACGGTCTGACATCGTTTTTTAAAGTTGTTTCCCATTGCCGATTCTGACTAACTGGTCTTCTATGCGCTCGAATGATAAGGTCATGGGAGGCATCAATACAATGAAACAGTACCAGGACTATTTTGGTATGACAGGGGTAGGAAGTAAAACGAGGTAACTCTGTTCAGTAATAACGAATCCGCCACTCGGTTCGAGGCGTTCTAATGCATCTCTCTTCGCAGCATTGTCTTTGGAATCTTCACCATGTACGTATTAATGGTGTTTTCCTCATCGCAAATTTCTAATCATATGGCGTATTGCGGTTCGAAGTGGTTCAATATGGTATGTACAACCCCGTTGTCACTGTGCTACCGAGAACTTACGCTCCACCAAGCGGAATGATCCCTGCCTGTACGTCAACTTTAGCATCGAAGAGTAGGAAGAAGCATCTAAGGCCATAGCAGCGTATCTTCCGGATAGATTCGGCCGGAGACTATCCATGTTTTTCGGGAATGCAGTGCTGATGTACGTTAATCTTGTTTTGAAGGACCGACTTAAAGCTCAAGTAACGACTCGCGTCGGCCCCATAGCGTCGGTGCCGTCATTACTGCCAATGCTACGACCAAGGGGATGTTCCTCGGTGGTCGGTTCTTGACGGGTGAGTGGCTCTTCTGTCGGTTTCTTCTTCTATCCCAAGCCCATCCCAAACGCGCACTCATATTACAACGTTCGTAGGTCTAGGAGCAGCATGCGCAGGTGCATCCGCAAAATCGTACTTGGCTGAAATGGCACCCGCACACCTTCGTGGAGCTTACATGGGATTCTTGAATTCCTTGTACGTTGGCTTGGTCCCTCCCTTCCATGTGGAGTTCCTGGCCATGAACCAGTTCTTGATTCGCTTCCGACCCTCTTTCTCCACAGCTACTATGTCGGTCAGATGTCCGCAACTGGTATGATGGTCCCGACTGGGCGTTGGCAGAACGATCTTTCCTGGAGGCTTCCGTTATACATTCAGGCACGTGTAGAATCCGATTTAACGACTTCGAAATTCGGTCTATCCCTGGCCTGCATGCCTTACTCCTGAGTGCCTTGGATCTGATTAAACCTTCCTCCTAGACCGTCCCCGCAGGAATCAATGTTCTATTTATCTATCTCTGTCCCGAATCGTATGTCTTGACCTTTGTTTCGGCGTTGAGTGACCATGTTGGGCAAAGGTTCTAACTCCTCCCGTAGCCCGAGGTGGCTTTACAGCGTTGGAAAGTCGCAACAAGCTCGTGGAATTCTTGCTAGGTTACATAGCAGGACGCAAGATCCCAACTCTCCTCTTATCAACCTTGAAATGGAAGAAATTGAAGAGAAGATTCAGGTGGATGGCGTCGATAGTAAGTTGGCGACACGTTCTACCTTATCGGTGCGCCTGCTGCTGTGGAAAAACTGACTTGTGGGATAGAACGCTGGTGGGATTTCAGACCTCTCTTCCGGACCCGCGCGGATCGTTATCGCGCTTACATGGTCATTCTAATCGGTACTTGACCCTTGCGCGCCCTTCCACCCTCTCAGAGGCTAACCGGGCCATATGGATATTCAGGATCATTCGGTGAACCCGCCTCTCGCACTTTCAGTCATTATCTCCAACGCTGACATCTATCCATCTTCTATTTCTGTTGCGCCCCATCCTAGGGCAACTGAGCGGAAATGGCCTCATCACCTACTTCATGCCGATCCTTCTCGAGAACGCTGGAATCCACTCTCAAGATAAGCGCCTAACGCTTAATTTCGTGAATAGTGTGACATCATAGTAGGTGTCGCGTTGTTTAGCGAGGCGCGACTGACTTCCAGGACGCGTCTGGTTGCCTAATTCTGACTTTTCATTTCCTTTCATAGTATCGGAGGTGAGCTGCTTCGCGATTGGCTGGCAAGGCCAGTGGTGGCCAGTACTGAAAAAGAGGACGGGGTCGCGAAATGACTCAGCTCTATCGGTCAGTTGGGACTGCCGGTCGGCGGTATCATAGTGTTGCAATTATTGCTCACCGGACGGCTTGTGTTTTTTGACACCCAGGGCTCCGCAGTCATCGATCGCTTCGGACGACGAAAGATTCTCTTGGCCGCGACGGGTGCTATCACCGGTATACTCGCGATTGTAACGGGATTGCTGAGCGATGCTGGCGAATTGAACGCTGTGCGTTCGAATGCTGGGATTACGTTCATTTTCCTGTTCATGGTGGTGTTTTCGTTTGGATGGACACCCATGTGAGTGGGTATCGGTGTGAACATCCATCTCATAAAGCTCTGACGGTGCCGATGACATCCAGGCAGGCCCTATATCCTGCAGAAGTCTTGACTTATGAGGCCAGAGCGAAAGGACTGGCATTCCTTGGCATCGTTGCCCAGATGGCGTCTTTAATTAACACCTTTGGGTGAGTTGGACGCGACGCGTTGTCCTGATCATCGTCACATCCCTCATCACCATCATAGACTGCCCGTTGCCCTCGAGAAGTTGACTTGGAAGGGTGAGTACTTAGAACAAGTACCGGCGGTTTTATAGATTAATGTCTCCGTCCAGTTTATCTTATCTTTTTGTTCTGGGACATCTTCGAGGTGGTGATCATCTATCTCTTCGTGGTGGAGACCAAGGGCTTCACCCTGGAGGAAATTGGAGAGATATTTGATCATTCGCATCCCAAGAAGTACAGTCAGGAGTTGCTTAGGAAGAGAAAGGAGGGGGAGAAGGGCTCCGCCCAGACTGGTGCTGCGTGAGCTTGCTCGAAACCGGTACAATCTGGAGCTCAGGGCTTCCTGGAGGACCATTGGGCAACCGCATATGAATTTAATGAACAACTGTACATTATTCGTCTCCCTTGATTGCAATTTTTTGTATCTGCATTTTTGACTGCGACGAAAGAGTGTGAAAAAACAAGGCCAAACAACCCCGTTGAGGCAGAGGCGCTGTGCAGGCGCGGGGCAAGGGGTTGGACCACACGACCATATTCAACACACAGTCGGCATTTTCTCTTCAAATCTTCCTTTCTATTCTCACATTCCCTCGGCCAACTCGTCTAATTAGACGAAACGCAGCCAGTCGTCGTCGACATCGCAGCATAATTTAGTCGGGAAGTCATTGAAGATGGTCGGTCATCGTTTTCTTCGTGGGGCAAATTTGTACCATCATACTCAACCCCAATTTTGCAACGATCTTTACAGGGTCAAACACTCTCGTCGCCAGGTCGGTTGATCTATTAGATGAACCCTTGTCCAAGCTCAATCTGATTGCTTTAGCGACGAAAAAGACGTCGGAAAGTGGTGGAAACGCTCGTTTTCTTTATGGCGTTTCTGAAATGCAGGGGTGGAGGATCAGTACGTGTTTCGATAGATCTAAACCGGTGTTGTCGTGTCCTTTGGACAGTCTAATTCTCGCGCTCAACAGCCATGGAGGACGCCCACGCTACGGTTCTTGATCTGGACGAAGGAAAAGAGGACTCCAATGCCTTCTTCGCTGTTTATGATGGCCACGGCGGTACGAGCTCCACAACCCTACTCAATCATCTCCCATCTCATTTCTCCCTCTCAGGCTCGACTGTCGCCAAGTTCGCAGGTGCCAACGTCCACAAACGTCTCGTAAACGAAGAATCGTACAAGGCGGGCGATTATGAGACCGCACTCAAGCGAGCCTTCTTGGGCACTGATGAGGATCTGTTGGCGAGTGCGTGACAATTTACCTAACTCCCCCTACTTCCATGTTCATCATACTAGATCCCGGTCACACTCGCGATCCCTCTGGATGCACCGCCGTCGCTGCGTTAATCACCACGGATGGCAAGATTTACGTGGTCAGTGTCCCTGTCTCCCCAATGCCTTTTGCTGTTGAATTGATCCCCGCCTTTGGTTAGGCCAACGCTGGTGATTCCCGATCGGTTATTGGAATCAAGGGAGAAGTCAAACCCCTCAGTTTCGACCATAAACCAACAAGCGAAAGTGTGTGATCTTGCTCTTCCTCGTCACAAGACAGCAGTGTGAACTATTTTTAGCTGAGCGGGCACGAATTTCCGGTGCTGGGGGCTATATTGAATATGGACGCGTAAATGGTCTGAATACTCGGTCAATCATTTGAATGTTCATGATACTGACTTCCATGTAGGAAACTTGGCCTTGTCACGGGCGCTCGGTGATTTCGAATTCAAGAAGAACTACGCCTTGCCCCCAGAAAAGCAAATCATTACTGCGGACCCCGATGTCACCGTGCATGAAATCACGGAAGAAGATGAATTCCTCGTCGTGGCTTGCGACGGCAAGTGCTTCATTCATTCAGATGTAGTCTTTGGCTAATGGCAAGATAGGTATCTGGGATTGCTTGAGCTCCCAGCAAGTGGTCGACTTCGTCCGGTATCAAGTATCTCAAGGCAAAGAGTTGCAGGAGATTGGCGAGATGATTTGTGACCATTGCCTGGCTCCCGATACATCGTCGGGAGCTGGTATTGGCTGCGATAACATGACTGTCCTCATCGTTGCCATCACCCACGGGCGGACCAAGGAGGAGTGGTACAAGTGGATCACGGATCGAGTGAACTCGAATTACGGTTACGCAACCCCTAGTCAACCTCCACAACTGTATGCTGCCAGTCGAATTGCGTCATTCCGAGCACGACAAGAGGCACAGCAAGCACGCGACCGATTGAACTCGCAAGGACTCAACGAACCCGCTTTCCCAATGGAAACTGACGACTTCCTGCGACGATATGGACTGACTGTTTCGACGTTTGGAGGTGGAATCTCGTTCCGCCCTGGTGGTAACATCATGGGCGACAGTGGTACCCTGATGTTTACGAATGATGACAGCGACGAGGATGACAGCGAGGACGAGGGGGTTGGTTCTCGATCTTTCTTCACAGAGACTCTTGGGCTTGGTCGATCCCAGTCCCCCGACGCAACCAAGAATCTCAAGGCTCAATTGGAGGAATTCGAAAAGAGTATCGACGTCGACGAAGATGGTGATGCGCAGATGAGTGACCCTGAGGACGACAACTCTAAATCGTCGTCAGAAGAGTCAACAAAAACTCTCCAGGGTGAAGCTCCACCTCCTCCCAAGGCCCTCCCTAACGGCGATTCAAGTTCGATAGCCGTTCCAGTGAAGCAACTCGAGCCATTGCCCGCTGGTGACAAGCCGGAACCTGTGTCCAATGTCGAGGGATTATTGGACAAGAGTGAGGAACCTTTGAAAGGATAGCCCTCTCAAACTCTATTTACCACTATCCATTCCCCGTCTTTGTATTGTTTTTGATATCATCCTGGGTCTTCTTACCTCCTCTCCTTTCGTTCCGTATCTATTGCTGTAGTATAGCTGTTGACATCGATATCCCCCCGTGCAAACATTTGTACAACTGTACCCAATTCATCATGGCGTAGACGTTATTACCAGCTTTCACTACGATACATTTCTCAGGGCTTATAGTGTATGTACAACAGAGTAAAATATTATGATGCTGAGGAGCATCCCCGCTATGCCATATGCCACGTGCGATCCACCACGAATATTTATATCTTCTTCATCACTACCAATGTCCCTTCCAGCAAGCAGACTATGATGAACTCCCCTGCACCGTTGGTCAGACCTCCAACGCCCAGCAGAGCCTCTCCCTCTCCACCGTCCACTCGAAGGATACTCTGCTTCGCCCAGTTGTCCTTCTTGGCAGCTGGTCGATATATATAAACATTCCCTCCCCGGTTCCGACCCCCGCCTTCGAAAGAGAGGACTGCCTTCCCTGGGACGATGTATGTGAACCGAGTGTCGCGCTTGGAAGCAAGCACGAATGCGAGTGCCGAAAACGTCGAGTCATGGATCCACAGAGGTTCCTCCGTGGTGGAAGCCTTCAAATTGAATACCAACCCGTCCAAATTATGTTTGATGACTAAAGGAAGCTCGGTCGCGTGGACTCCGGGCAAGAGAGTTGCAAGAAGTTGGAAAGGAATTTGCTCGGTCGTGTTAAACCACGCAGGTTTCGCCCCATCGGCCGCTACCCACGTCAAATAGACTTTTCGGCCCACCGACATATCGACCTCTTCGTCTATTTCTCCGCTCGCAAGACTGGGCACGCCAGACCCGAGACCAAGGCCACTCGCGTCGCTCCCGTCTCGGAGAGATGCAGTGTATTTTTCGAGGGTTTCTCGAATCTGCCAGAGTTCGGATGGGTCAAGGGTTTCGGGAACCTCGACATCTTGAGGATCGTTGGATTGAGTGCCTGCGGCGGCGAATACGTGCATCCAGCGGGTGCCTTCATGTTGTTTCTCGAGGTGGAGAGTGAGGAGGCCGTATGAGTGTTCAGCACTCTTGTCCCATGTCCAGAGTGAGGACGACGGCGAGATGGTGTCCCATAACTCTTTGGCGGAGTAGCGAGGAATCGGAATCGAAGTTGACGCCTGGTAATCGACATGAACGGTGATAGCCTTGACAGAGAAGGCAACGCGAATGTTGTTCTTTGAAGTGGCCGATGGAAGGGGGATGGCAACGATAACGGAATCTGGGGTCTGCGACCACGAGTAGGGGGGTGGTTTCTGAGGTTCTGAGGGACACCCTCCGGATTCGTCGAGGTTTTCGTTGGCTCTTGGAATTGGGGCGATCTCACTGGGGGACGGTTCATAAGGAGCTGGTGTAGGGATGCTGGGATCTGCATAAACGGTCCCCCCGATCAGGATGTGCGAATTGAATTGCGGTTGGAAAGATCCATAGGTTGGAACATCTTCTCCGCAGTGGTGCCATAGAACGTCGAACGGAGTAGGAAAGCCGTCGGGCCTAAGTGAGAGAAGATTTACTTGGACAGCCCATATGTCGAAAACGGTCTGATTCTGCCGCTTCGAACCGCTGTCAGAATTACCGTTTCGGTTTGGGACCTTGGAAGAAATCACAGCAATTGCCGTGGTAGGAGAGGAGCGATGACAATAATGGAGCTTGAACGGTCGGTAATCATTCTCTCTTGGCAAGTGGTAGATCCCAATGGCCTCGGACAAGCCGGTGTCCTTGATCGAAAAGACATAGAGGAGCCCCGCACCGTCAGTCGCAAACACCAAGGTGGGCCCAACAAACACGGCACATGGGTATTCTCGGTGATTGGCTGTAGATCCTGACTGCACTGGTGCAGGCATCTCATGGACAACTCGGAAGGATGGTTCATCCTACTTCGGTTTGCAAACATTATCAGAAATTCGAGGAGAACTTTGGGAACCACATACCGTTTCAAATTGAATTAGGACCACTCTATACTCGGTATCCACGTAAAGGGCCTGATTTGCTCCGTTGTCTATGGCAAGATGATTGTGCGTGATGCGGCTTTGCATTTCCTGGAAACTAAGAGGGATTCTCCCCGAGGTTGTAGATTGAGTTGTTTTGTACGGCAGAGCATAGCGCGATACTGCCTCATCCTGAGGAATCAGCGAAAGCCTATAGCCTTCAAAGTTTGGATTTGTGAGCGATTTTATTGGAGTAAAAGCCATTCTGCTGGAGGATGTTGCTGGAAGAGACCAAAAACGAAAGTTCGAGATTCAGAACGGCCAAACGGCGCGTTGCTTGGCAAAGCCATCCAGACCAAATAAAGAGCGTGAATAAATATAGATTTCGCACGAGCGGCAATCTTGATGATCAAATCCGACTATCCTCCTACTCGTCTGACGTCGCCAGCTTGTAATTGGGGTCGGGCTGGTGTCTCTGATATCGACAGAAACGATCTCTCCGACGGCTCGGTTAGCTGCTACGACAGAGCGAGGCATTCTCGGAGTATCCACAGTGGAATAACCATAAACAGGAGGTACCCTCCTGAGGTCTTCGGTCTCGACTTCGTGGGGCGCGCAAACCCTCAAGGACAGGGGTTAAGATTATCCTTTGGCTACTCATCTACCTTCTGCATTATACGAACGAACTATGTCGTGGTTCAGGAGAGCTCCTGGCGCAGAACAATCTAGCTTTTGCGTTAACTTTATGGCTTGGTCGGACAAACCCTCCTTTAACCCTGGTGAAATTTCGGCGGCTCCGCTCAATGCAAAGAATCCTCTGCGCCTCACGTCACCGTCGAGTTCCCCTCCGACGATATTCATCTTTCCTGAACTAGGTTTTTCTCCATGATTTTTGGGGCTTTATCTCCAGGACGATGATCGTTTCGCCCCAAACGACGAAGAGGTTTCTGATTTGACTTTGGATGCAGGCTGTGGACTCTCCTCTATCGGTTTGGAAGTCATTGGCGACCTTAAAAGGAGACCTTCCAAATCTTGGTGATCAAGAAGTCAAAACTTTGGTCTAACAGAAGCTTTGTCGATTGACGATTGACTTCACCGCGGCCGCGTGTTGTCCGTTTCCACCCTATCATTGCACCGATTACTCATGGCGAACCCTTCGAAAGCACCCCATTTCAACTCGATCCACGACGGAGATGAGTCTTGTCGTCAATCTTGATCAATTGTACAGTAAACACAGGGTTCTGAAGAACCATGGTACTGCCGCATCTGACGATCCCAAGTATTTAAGGTTTTCTCAACGCCACCGGGATTTAGTTCAAAATTCTGGGTTCGTAGGCCTGACTTTGAAGTATCGCAAAGTAGCATCCTACTTTTCATTTTGTTTTTGATTCATGACTTGAAAATGTGATACATGATACATTGCGTTGTGGAGCAAGTTTTGTTGAGACGGATCGTGAAGGGTCTGGTCGATTAGCAAGTGGCAAAGTTTGATGTTGTATAAATGGAGGGATCGGCTGCCATTCACGGTATGTCCCGGGCTTCGCTGTTTCGACCTGTATATAGAATGCCGAAACCCCAAGGAGACTCCCTTCTCATCATGTCCACATCCTAGTGCCCCTCTCCGTCACCTCGCTCACGTACAGTTGTCGGATCGGCCTTTTATCGTCCTTCCTGTCCAGAAAAAAAAGACTGGCGCTCTCTCGATCTCTCGAAAACAATTCACCGACGGACCGCACGGCAACTAATTGAAATGAAGTTCCTGTGCAGAGTATTTAACCAGCTGTACTTCCGCAAAACTGGGGATCCCGACTCCCAAAGTACAATGAGCTTCGGTTCCACTCCCTCGTCGTTCTATCATGACGAACTGGAGCGAGCTCTCGCCGAACAACGCTTCGGTGTCCACTCCTACCGCATCTTGAGCTCATCACCCCGACAATCATCGGCGTTTGTTACAACTCTCGAAGGCCACAAGTTAAACGTGGCTTTGACTGCTCAAGGATATACGGTAACTGCTTTCTCGATCGCTGGTCTTCTTCGCAGGCTATTCAATGACCATACTAGGTCGAATCTAAAAGGTCCGATGGGACAGAATCCACCGTCCCTCCGCGCACCTACGAGACTATCGAAGACCTCCTCCAAGCTATCAGCCCGTCGTACTCAATACGACGGCAAGAGCGCCTCATATCAGCCCTACAAAACATATCACGATGACGGACCAGCTATCTCGCAGGTGAGTGTACAATTCCGTCCTGCTTGTACCTGCCGACTCACGAGACCATGACCATATTGATTCCACAGATGTGAAAGATGTATTTGGCTCTGCCGACAAACAATACCTAGAATAGACAGCCATACGGACGCAATAGGTCTGGTTGTAGACGCTCTACTCCGTTGACTCCGCGAGCCCATCCTTTGGACTCTCGTCCCCAGGCACCGCGCCTCCAGCCCAGAGATTCGCCTCGTACTCCTTTCGTGTAAAGGCATAGTCGTCCTCTACGTCACGAACTCTATGTATCAAGGCCCTAATCGCATTCCGACGTTCCTCGTTTCTGATACAGTTCGCCCACCATCGGTCCATGCTGTTGCGCAATCCAGGTGTGTTCAGCTCGTTGTGTTCGCTCTGTTCGTTTAGGACGTGGAGTAGGAATCCATAGTTGAGGCGCTCTAAACCCAGTTCAGAAAGACATTTCATGATTCTGGATATCCGAAGATAGTTGTGAGAAGACCCTAGACAAGGGAAGAGCGAGAGATCAGAAGGGATCAGGGAGGGAGGTGGTTTGGATACGTACTGACGAGGTTTCGGTATCGGCTGACGTAGTTTCGGGGCGGACGGACGCGATCCACCAGCCCAGTCTCTGCTGAAACAAGTCTCATGCCGTAGAAGTCAAGCATGAGCTTGTAGGACTCGATGATGCGCCCGATGACAATTGGATCCGCTTTCATGGCTTGGATTTCATGGGGCTGCAGAGGTTGGGACTGGTAGTTCATTCCATATTCGCGGATAGGGAATCTACGAAGCACGCTCCAGCGAGGAAGGGTTCAGCTTCAAGGGGTTTGCTTACAGCCACTGGATGAAACCGTGCTTATACTCCAATGTATCATAGTCTCCAAACCACCTGTAAAGCGCTGTAGGCATATCGCAACCTCGGATGTTGGGGCACATCAGATACGCACTCTTCGTGAATCTCTTCGATGAGTTTTCTATCTGGACGACATCGAAGCTTGTTCAGGTAAAACAAGAGGTTATCGCTCAGGTCAGGCTCGTCGTCAATGTCTGGATAGCAGTCCAGGAACTCTTGAACATCGCGAGGGATCGACATAATGGCGGTGGGTCGACAAATGCTGTCAACTTGAGAAGACAGGACGTCGAGCAACACGTGGATTGTAAGAAAAGCTAATACATAGCAATATTAGTTGCGCGTCTGATGTTATGTTACTTTCCCGACTTCATGTAGGGCTCTCACTTGCGCTGTTCGATCCCCCCGTAGTGCAAATTTTGGAGGTTTAGCCCCGAACCTGGGAGAGGAGTGGATAATTGCTTGACAGTAATATCTCCTGATTCATACCCTGCAAGCGAACGCAAGATCCGGGTGTCCCCAAGAAGCTATACTGTCCGAGGCAGAGACCTCGAGGCCAATTAAACCCCGGTCACTGTCATGAAAGTAATTCACAATCGAGCAAGCATACGTGTAGGGAGCCCCGCAGCCGAGATGAAGGAGATTCAGAATGGCAGAGGCTTAGCTTCAAGATCCGTACATGCGGAGGCGAGACTGAACCACAGCATTATATTAACGTGATCGTTGCGTTTCACGATTGAAACTGTGTTATCAAGAACAGGTGGCCTCTGGGCCATTGATCCCAATCTTCGAGAACGGGAGTGAGGTTTCTTGTATCCAGAGGCGGGCCCTAGTAGCCCTAGTCGCTCGGTAGGGCATGGCAAACCAGCTATTCTAGCGCGAAACGCGGAGAAAGGTTCTTGGCCTCACCGGGATGACTCGAATCATGAGGCGGAGTCCCGCTCTGAGGCTGCGCTCAATGGTCCAGCCTAGTACCGAGATGATATGACGTTGGGGAAGTAGAGTGGCTATCTCCGAGCATGCTTGCCGCTCGAACACCCTGTGCAGATGCGGGGAATGCAATGCGGCCTGCGCCACGGGTGTTGAAGGGTCCGCTTAGTTGGACGCACATTCCTTGGAATGAACCAGCCGCCCAGGATCGGAAAGGTAGAGTGAGGTGCTTGCGACGGTGGTCTGGAAGGCAGATGCCGGTAGACGTGGGGACGTTGTCCTCTTCGCTTCCCAACAGTTAGGGGCGCAACCTCTGGCCCCCTCGCCACGGGTCATTGATCCCTTGCGAGACGACGAGTTCGATGGTTCATACATCCCCTACTGTGTAAGAATGCATTCCCTGAGTATCCCTGTTAGTACAAAGCTGGCAAAAATAAGCAGCTAAGAAACTCACAGCGGGGCCTGTGTTCCCCAAATACCTAGTTTCCGAGAATAACAGAAGTGCAAGGCGAGAAGGGCGGCTAACCACTTAGCAGATCTCCCGACGGGAAGGCCGACGGGAGCATCGACGAGCCTGGTTTCGAAGATCTCCGGGAATCGCCATCGAGTCACCTCGACGACTATAGCTGGCAACGGAGGGGAATGCTGCAGCGCTGGAGTAAGCAACGGGAATAAGAAACACGGAAGGCAAAGTGCAGCCGAGGTGGAATGGGAAGCTGGTTGCCGGTTACCAATGCTCTTGTGATTCAACGTTCAGTAAGGCCCAGTACATCCGGCATACAGAGGGAAACCGGCTTCAACGGCGTAGGAAAGGGAATGAAGACGCGTGGACAAGAGAGTGAGCCCGATGGATTTGGTACAATGCATACCGGATTCAACAATTCCGGCGACGTTGAGGGGCGGAGGTAAACGGCGGCAAATGGGAGCCAAACCTCCAGTGACGTCACGGTTTTGCTAACTTGGGTGTGTAATCGAGTGCCTTTGGAGGTCCAGCGCGGCTATCCACCAAGGCAACATCGCGACAACCTGGAGGTAGCCCGGTGGTACCACCTTATCCAAGTCTGACGTACGAGGACATCGTCGACTGACGTTACCCAGAGTAACCTGAGCGATATTGCCAAGGAGGAAGTGGAAACGCTCTCCATAGATTCGAGTAAATTCGACAGGTGAACCGGAATCACAAGCCTTTTTCCCCAACATGGTCACCGCCATGGTCAACAATGTAGTTGCGCGGACGCTAGTTTTATGTAGTAGTGCCAGACTGACGAGGTCCCCGCAAATGCCAGCGCGCTGTGGAGACCCAGTTGATATGTTGGGAAACCCCACATAGACCCATGTAACTCATGTAAACGCAGTATCCATTCAGCGGAATTCAGCTGTAAGGTGATCAAGAAGATATCAGGATGGCACGCGAGCAAGATGAGATGGTCCGGTACTCGCCTGTGCCTCATCTTGATCTCCAAGGCTCCCAAGATATCCTCGAATGCTAAATGGCGGCTATAAGCGTCGGGGAAGGGAGACAGCTCAGATCCAAGGCAAACATACCCCATCGGTTACAACACGATAACCACTTAGCAGATCGCTACGCGGCGGACAAATCTGTGGACCAACTGATGAGAGTGGTAGATGTTTGACAGCCAATGCCCATGTCAGGACGTCGGGATTGTCGATGGATAGCAGCCAGAGATCCCTCCCGAATCTGCGACCAACGGCGTCTATGTCCAAGACATTAAACCTTCCAGGTTCCTGTCAACAATGAATAGGTTATCAGCCAGTCCCAATAGATTGACTGTTGACTTACCACGTTCTGCACTCGATGTCCTGTCAGCCTGCAGGGCCAAGGGCAAATTTCCCCATGGATTTGGGAGCTCGACAAGCGGCTTTGTCACAGATTCATTCACCTACAAGAGTCGAAAGCAAGTGCCCTCCTTCCACGACACATCGGGAGAAGGACAAGAGATATACCAATATAAAATAGAAGCCCCCGTACACGACCAGCGCGTCCTGCGAACATGTGCACTTCAGGCTTCTCATGATGACATGAATGTCATTCCAAAACAATCCATGAACCTCTCCGTTGATGAGGTCGGCCATAGATTTCCTCTTGTGATGGAACTCATATCTCTTACGACTGGTGCGCGGCTATAAGGCTGAAGGGAGCTGTGAGTGACTGATAGGGACAGGGGAAATAGAAGTCGATAAAATGACATGTACTTCACCGCTAGTGGCACTATGACGGCCTCGTGTTCTTGTGATACTGAGTGTTCTCGCCTTCTACTGGCTTAAAAAAGTGCGACCACGAGCGGTTATTGCCCACAGCATTGTCATAAAAGGACCTCGGACTCCCATCCTTAGCTATTTAAGGATCCGCGACAGACCGCTTAATCATTCAGTCGGTGCTAACTAACTTCGAAGACCCTGGAAGGAGAAAGCCCGTTACTGTGCGAGAACACTCTTCCAAACAGGATTTCAACTTACCTGAGCTCAAGGAAAGCAGACTTCGCCGCTGCTCTCTCGGGCTAGCGGTGTTTCCATGTGTTGCACACCTTGGGAACGCCATTCGGGTATTTCATGAGCGCGTGAGCTATGGCATAGTTACCCTGCTTTCGGGGGTATGGCCACGAGTCCGAGAAATGGGAGTCGTGGACCTTTTTGAAGAGGCCAAAAAGTACCTTTCCCTTGCGTGTAGGTTGTGCGAGAAACTTGTGCACCGTTCACCGGCTACTAACCCTGGTCAATATGGCGTTGCGTGGGGACACAATATCCCATTTCCAGCCGCGTAGTTAACGATAGAGTTTCTCCGAAGTTATTATGTCCTAGTACATGTTGCCGTTGGTAAGTGTGTGGATGATCCGTCCAAGGCGACACTTACTGTGGATTCGTATCACCGCGAGAACCAGAGGCCCAGCTGTGTACTTCCAAAGATATGTACTCCTGCAAAGGGGACGGCTGGGCTTAGACCGGATCACTGACACTGCGGTATCTTCCCCGCACTGACTTCACACCGAAGTAACGGGGAGCATGGAATCGTGATGATGCCGTTAATACCTCAGACAACCACGATGAAAGTTGAAACGTACTCGGAGGTACTGTCAGCACATTCATCCATCTCAGGTTAACTGCTTCAGAGCATGCGGTGGAACATCGCCTAGATTTCCCCGCATCATGTTACAGATCTATAACGAAACATATCAGTAATCTGCAGGCCATGAGATTATCAGGCGTACTATCACCCTATCCACCAGACTGCGCCAGACGTTGACGATTCCGAGGACTAAGTTGCTTGCGCATTCACCCGTGCAGGCTAATTGGGAGGCAATGTCACAGGCCTCGATCAACGTATCAGACCGAGCCTAAGTGAGCGCGATGTAGTACTTCGACGGAACGTAGTCGTCTGAGAAACAATGGGAGACGGTTTCCACCGTAACATCACTGAGAGACTGCATTTCGCGTGGCAAGGTGGGCCTGGTTTTCATTATGAAGAAGTTCGAGGTACGACAGAGAACCTAGGTGAAAGAAGCCATCTACGACCTGGGTGAGAATTTGTGGAGAAGTCTGGGAAATCAAACGAATGCGGGGGAGAGAAGCACTCACTGGTTGTAAAACCTCCATGGATGCGTGGCGATAGTGGCGACTTGACAAGGGCAGCTGTGCGTTGTAAATCCTGGACAGCGTGTTCAGATGTTGGCCCGTTTCGCCTTTCAGCGCTGATTCACGTTCCCAGATGTGACCGAGATCGAAAGAATCCGCTGGAGGCAGTGGCTTCTGCTAGGTCCCTGCTAAGCCCTGCAGTGGATTTGGATAACCATCCGAACAGAGGGCTGGCAGTTGGTGCATCCGTGGAATATGGGATCCTTAATGAGGTTGGGTGCGAATATGCATAACGCGAAGAGGCTGGAGTCGGCGAGAATGCAACGTGAACGCCGTCAACGCAGGCTAGTCCAGAACAGCGAGCCTTTCTGTACAGACCCTGTCCATTCCATAGGTTTTTCGCTATCAATCGGCCAGCGCGGGATCCAGGCAGGCGTCAGCGACGCTGTCGTCGTGGTTCGAGTTGAAAACTTGCCCGAGAACTCGGCATTGTGCCATCAAATGTTCCATCAAATTACCCCACACCAGCCCCTAACCGTTATAACCGCTGCACCTCAAAGTCCATGAAACATTCATGAAGGGAAGGATAACTCCAGGGGAGTCTGCTAAGAGTATACCATCCAAGCCCCTCTTTATTCGCTCAGCGCTAGCGTCCGACCTCCGCGCACCATCCCCTCTACCACTACCTGAACACTCGGCCAGTTTCAACCACCGGAATGCCCACCTTCGATCAATGCCCGAGGCTGACTGTCTATGCCTATCATCGTATGGCTGTCATTGTTCCTCGTGGTGTGGGGTTGGACAGGCTAGCCGGCTCCAGACTATATCTCTCTTATTCGGCGACCGCGGGGTACAGAGTAAATTCCGAGCGGACGAGAAGAGGAAGCATGAGAGAGAAGGATAATAGGCGTAGGGGCAAGTATGGGTAAGAATGAGAAGCTTAGCAGGCAACCTTGTGAGCGCTTAGCGCCGCCCTCCGATCATGGTCCGATCGATCGAATAATAATTAGACGCTCTCACTTTGGTACTTGGACAATTACGACTCAACTTGAGGAGGAGAAGTCTGAACATCCGGTAATTTAACCAGCAGTTCTGCTAACTTCCTCGCATTTAGTTTGCTCAGGAAACCGAAGCAGCTATTGTGCCGCGCTTTTCTCAATTGTTGACCGGTATTGTGAGACTAACAAAGGTTTAATTACGAAGAACAAGCGGGGTCTCATGTGCTACTGTATCATTATGAACCACTTAGCTATTCATGCTCGCCTGAATGCTTGAGGTGAAACGCTTATGAGCGCAAAAGGACGTTAATATGTGCAGAGACCGGCGATCTGAACGCACCGCGTTCATGTAATTCCATGGAGCGGGGAGCAGGCGGCGCGCACTTTGAACTAACCCGACTCGTTTATCCTTGTTCCTCGCTCCCCGCTGCCTCGGATTTGAGTGGAATGATCCTTTCCCCGCATTGCAGTGCTACTGCTATCAATCTACATTCTTACAGCAAAAAGCATTCAACCTGACCTCTACGACCTCTCTAGCCAGTATTACTACTGTATGGTTGCCTCCGCTTGACAGTCTGTATCACATTCAAGGTGACCAGGACAGACACATCGTCCTCCCAGGTTCATTAATACCCAGGTTCATTTAATAGGCGCACGGGAACTCTCCCATAATGTACCTGAAGATACTCGCCTCACTTCAACAAGTTATTCGTGATATTATGTCTTGCATATGACTCACTATGAGCCTATGGATGCTGTAGATAACTTCAACCACCGTGAAGTCCGTCAAAATGCCGCAAAAAGCAAGAGTTATGGAAGGTGGGGGATATGTTCATGAACCATCCACCCTCAAACTTTTAGGCTATATTGATTTTTCAAGAAATGGACAGCTTGAATTGTCGCCTAGCTCATTCTCATTTATTCAAGATCCTCGTGGGGAAAGCTGTACCCAAAACGTGCATGACCTCACGAGCAGTTGGGCGCTTGGACTTCGAGGGGATGATACCACTGGTTGGCGCCCATCACTCGCGCCTTTGAAATGATCATTTACAATGGCTAATGACAAGCGTCTCCTGGAACGCACCCCCGTTTCGCCTCGAAAGAACACGCTCTCCGGCCCAATACAGAGATCTACACCCATGGATTGGATGAAATTCGCTTCCCTGCTCACCCTACCCCTGTCATTTCCCCAAGAAACCTGGAAAAGGAGTATTCAAAATAAAAAAGGAAACTCGGGCCATTCATTCCAACTCGCTATCGCCCAGGAGTGAGAAAGGCGGCCTGCAAGTCGATCGTCTCATTCGTCGCTGCACCCCTACATTTTGAGCGCGTTAGACTCACTGCCCTGAGGGGCCGACCCGTTGCTCTGGATTGATATCTGCAACAGAATTACAAGGGCAATCCCCTGCATCAAGCCACCATCTTTGCACGGTCTCCATCCTCCCTCTCCTTGGAGACCCTGACTGACCGGAACCAAAGAAACACCTCACTTGAAATTTCCAAAGATAGGTATTTCACCAAGGGGGAGTGCTCCCTCCACCTCCATCAACTGGCCACGAGCCAGCCACGCGTTATTGAATTGGATCGTACCGGCCCTCCCTTCCCACCCTGAGTGTAAATCCACTGTGGGTGCAGAACGGTTAGGAGTGTCGGCTCCCGACGCAGCGTGTAATACATGTGTTCTTCGGTGCGCGGTGAATCTATCCAGGGAATGCACCGACCTGCCTGTAAGCGTCCGTTTCAGCTCACGAGAAGTGTTACCTGAACGTCCTCGAAAACCGTAGGTAATTTCTAAACATCCCGGCGGCGTTGTAGGGGAGACATACGAAAATGACCAGTATTATGGCGCACCATTCCGTTATATTTCCCACTCGTCCGTAACCTAAGGCACACTGTTTTCACTTCCCTCGAGCACCCCTTGCCCAGCAGCAACCAAAGAGGGGAAACGATATCAGCGCCGTATGTAAATCAAATACGAGCGGTGGCTCTCCTCGCCCCTTCTCCGCGCCCGGAGGACGTTATGAGATAGGACGGCCCGCCACGGAGACCGTTTCCTTCGCAAACTTTGTTCAAGACTTGAATTTCTCATCTCCAACAGAACCAGGGAGACTCCAACTGTCATACCAATTCTGTTCATCGCATGATATCCCTCTTCTGGTGTCGACAAACCAATGCTTCAAGCTGCAGTCCTTACTTAACCTCGCCCTGCGATGACAGATACGTCCTAGCACCCGTAACGCCCGTACAGAACGCCCATCTTCCATCTCCCATCCCGCAATCCGATGCTTTGCTGATCGCATTCAATACTACCCCACACGAAACCATCTCACCTCACTGACATATCACAACAACTAACGCCCACCCCGTGCCCGGCGAGGGAACCACTGCTAAGTCCCACTTCTACTTTCAACAACACCGCTTCCCCAAATTAACCATATCAACCAACAACTTACGACGATAACAGCAGCACTGGCTAATGGCTAAACCATGAACAGACATCTGTCCTGTAGAACTGGCTATGTCGGTTTGTGGACGCCGAGGACTACGGAGAGAAGGGGTAGGAATACGGACCGAAAGGTGTTTTTTGAATCCACAGCACAAACACACCATGTAGCAGCGTGAGCACCGCTTTGTGGGGGATTAAGGACGGAATGTGACGCACGCACCTGTTATGGGCTGTCTGCTTGTCTCAATGTGTGGGCGTCAAAATCTCCGTTATCGGAAACAGATGTCAGGCGCCCTACTAGTCATCTCTCTATTCTCTTTACCCTTACCTTTTGAGTCACTTCCTTCCCTCGACGAGTGTTTAATTGTTTATCCTCATTGGAATGTGTTAATTATTCCTTCCCGTCCGCCGTGGAATTATGATCTCTTTCAGTTGTTGTTGAATGAAGACCCCGGAGAACAAACATGCGAACGAAAATGGGAAGTGCTTAAAGGCATCCCGAGGACACACCATGATATCATACTAGGCGTCCCGAGCACCGTTGAGCTCAACCGGCGAATGCCAATGCCAATATCCAGGAACTCGAACTTGGGTGTTACTAGTACAACAGCAGCACAACAAAGACGTAGCAGATCGAGAAAACAGGCACCACTTATCGATATGCACATCTCTTTCAAGTTCGAAACGATGTGGCAAAATTGAAATGAAATCTCGTGGTCTCCCAGAATACCGAGTCACAATTCAAAGAGTCTTGTGACTCCTAAGAACGAACTTGGAGGCAAAGGATTCCCTCAAAGGCGACAAGTTCGAACTAATCGGATGTAACGGAAATGTCGGAATTCCACAATCAATCGCGAGTGACAGGCGTCTTTGAAAAGTTGGAAGGGCCATGGATATGATCAGCTGAGCATATGTGCAGCCAAGCCATCGATTAGATAGATAGTCAGTTGTGTACGCCGAGTCATCGTCGCAGATAAGTGGATCTACGCTCAAGTGACAAAGCCGAAGACCCAAGACGATCCTATCTAGGTATCTAGTTATCGATAACACCTATCGGGCTTGAGTCTTTCGAAAATCGGGATAAACGGACAGCAATGGGACTCAGCTCTGTCTATTCAAAGTCAGGCACGATAAACAAAACCCTCGCACCAGGGTATCTTTTTACCCCGCACCCCGAAGATAACCGAACACGCCGACAGGCCGTTGCAAAGTACCACTATGACGTCGCATGCTCAGCACGAAGCGCCCAACTGCGGGGTTTGCTTTTCCCTTCATCCCCAGACTAATGCGCTTGACTTAACCGACCTGTGACCAGCTGCAATCAGACACCTCACCACTTGATCCCATAGATCCGAGGGGCTCCTCGCACTTCCCGAATTCCGCAACCCGCCCCTTTCAAACGAACTTTTGGACCTTGGGGACGCTATCGAAGAATTCCCGGCAATCCGCACCCCCACTTGCGCATTTCCGCGTGCATGCGTGGCGCCTCCGTGCGGCAACGTCACGAAGAAGAAGAAAGAAGCGTAAGCAAGTAAAATGCTGTAAAGAAGTAAAACGGAAGGACACTCGATACTCGAATTCCTCCAGAGAAGAGATTAAGAAAAGAACTTGGAAGCGCTGATCTCACCTACGAGGAGCGTTCCAATGTCAACTGTAAACTGCCAATCGAACGTCGCGCCTCGTGTCTCGTGTCATCCAAAAGAACTTTTTTCATGATTGACCAATCAGCGGGTACCGAGGCTCGTGTGAGGACGTTGGACGAGCGAATGAGAGCGTGCAAACGTAAAATGCTATGGAGGTATTCAAAGCGACTTGCCTCATGGGGTCTCTGGTTAAGCAGGGTGGGCGTTTGATCGTCCAATGAGCGCTAGCCTGCAAGCTTGAGGGAATGAAATCCGGGAATCCAAGGAGGTGTGGAGAGAGCGAGAGCGAATCAGCGGGTCGAGGCCTCGAGATAGGCGTACCAAGGTATGCGTTCCAGCCACGGTCCTGGAGGTGGTGTTGGAGCTTGCGTCGAGCTGAGCTTGTCAAAACCCCGTGTCCCTCGAGAGTCGCGAAATGCAAGGACTGCTACCATAGTGGATGGTCGTCCCTGCAAAGGGGTGCCAAGTTAGCTTCGCAATTCGAATTCCTTTTCTGCATGCTGCCAAAAAGACTTGAAGGAAAGCGAAGAGAAAAAGACCCTAGTACATAACTCATTTACGCAAGACATTAAAATTTGAACCCCCATTGGAAGCACCCCATCTCAGGGCCTTCGGGCGACAGAGGGGGGAGGGGGGCAAAGAACGGCAGAGGAGGAGAAGATAGCACAGCGATACTTAAGCTAAAGCGCGAGGTACGAGGTAACGTTAACCCAATACCTTTCGAGAACAGAACGTTTACATACCCTTGTACCCGGACAAAGCGGCGTTCAAAGTCCCAAAAGCCTTGAACTTTCCTCGACGCACGAGGGGTCTGAGGCTCTTGAGCTACGTGGGGTAATTCGGACAGACTTTCGCCCCGCCTTCGTCGAATTACGATTGGATGCAGCCAATGCGGGCCAGGCAGTCACGACCCTTCGTAGAAGGTGCGCAGCGCCGTCCTGGATGGATGTTTGACGGGCCTACTGTGAATTAGAGTTCGGTTTGAGTGGGCAGTCGAGGTATTGTTGGCGTCCACGGATCAAGGCATCGCCTTCTGAAATGGGAAGTTAAAGTGGCCCGAAGGATGGATAAGTGCATAGCTAATGGGCTGTAGATGGTAGAGCACACGATACTCTTATACATGCAGTGCTTACTGACCATAGGATTGATATCAACAGGCAAGACCTTCGAAGCCTCTCAGCCACAGCGTCCGCTCAGCACGACCCTCCGACGAGTCCGATAACTGATAAGATGAAGCCCCTAAGGAGTCACGAGTCGCGGTTGGCCTATCTTTAGCGCTCATTCCGTCCGAGGTGTTTGACTCACCGCATGAACGAACGAGCGATCCGCGTGAAGCACCGCACCACAGGACCCAGGACCCGCACCGCTTACCCCACAAAATGGCATGCGACGAAAAAGGCGAACCATGATGTAGAAGAAGAGCAGGTACATAGCGCTCGACGCCCTAGTTGGCAAGTAGCAGCCCTGGTAACACAACTGTTGGTTTCATCTTCAGCGGCCACGGGATGATCATCTAAACAAGATTGGAGATCGGGGTTTTGGTTGCTTTATTTACCTGGTGTCCACTGACGGATGTGGGGTAGAAGCGCCTGATGACGTTAGAGCGCTCGATGGGGCGGTACTCGTCTCGATGGCTTCGAAGATGGGAATGGGTGGTATCGTGGATAGGTAGGCAAGTTCGAATTTGGGCGAAGCGCAAGCTTTGAGGAAGCCTAGTGTGGAATCGGAAACGGATTGAGATTCGGATGGGGATTGGGGTGTTCGGAAGAGGGAAGGAGGTGGAATTGGTTACTACTGTATAATCAACGACTTGGATGGAGTATCATTGAATCAACCAGCGAGGATCGACGCCTCGCCATGCTCCAGTACTCCAATGCTGCAGAACTAGTAGTAGTTCAGGGCCAGATAGCCAGTCAGTCGTCGCAGAAGGACCCGGTTTGGGTGGAGGTACCCCGTTATCAAGGGGTCGAATCAGCGGACTCGGTTTCCTAGTTGGAAGCTGGATGCGTCAAGGGTGCGGATGCAAGTGCGTGTCCTTGGATCAGCGAAGGGTGGAAACCAGCACGGGGACAACTAGATAACCAGGTATCTGGTTATCGGAGCGATAGGGAGGTATACCATAGTATACCAATCGTGCAGCTAGTGCCCCAAGGAGGCCTGACAGTCAGCACGCGAAACAGCTGCGCGCGTGAGACCATAATGAACAAGGGTTCGACCAAGTACAGGGTCACCGAATGGTCGGCTGGCGAGTGTACCCCGATTCCGAACGTATCTACCCTCGTACTCCGTCAGCCCCAGTCGTCGAAAAGTAAATTCAATGCATGGCCGATTGGGCTGCTTTTGGATCAGGGCCAACCAGTCGTCTTGAGAGCGGACGAGGCTGACCGAAGACCGCAAGGCACGCTCAGAGGGTGAAGATGGCTGCCAGAACGGATTCATGGAGGCTTACGATTCATGCGAGGGCGGGCCCTAGCCCCAGTCAATAGTACCATATCCGCCAGTCCGCATCGGGAGTTGTGTTGAAACTTGGAATAACATTAATCAAACGTGCAAGGCCCCTACGATTCATGTGTGTGTACCTGATATTGAAAGAACGTTGCAACGCAAGGACAACAAGGGCTGGACATACCCGAATCGCAATCCGAAGTGTCGCGCAAAAGGAAAGCACGTTGACAGGCGAGAGATGAGATGAGAGAATCAGAGGGATGATAGATGATGGGTACTTACGGTTTGTTTTGACCAACTCTTTTCAGTCAGTCAGCAAAGAAGGTAAGTAGATGGATGACGTCGTTTGAAAGGTCTGTTTTGCGATTACGACGACCTCGGCGAAATCGGATAGTTCCGAGATGAGTTTGTTGGAATAGGTGTTGGAAGACATAACAATCTCTACTTACCTTCTCGAGTCATGGTGTAGTGATCTCAAGTAACTGGAGGTATTCACAACGGGCTCGACGACCACGGGGCAACATCTGCAATCCATTTGCACCCATCGATACCACGCATTCTACATTATATCAATACTCATCGCCAATATCCCACTACCACACTCTAATGATACCCTACAACACCATGCTTATCAACAACCCACTGCATAATGCGCCACCTATCTATGTTGCCCTCCCGTCGTCGTCTGGTCTGTTCGTCCTCAAGCACCCAAAAAACGCCAGTCGTCTTCAGCTGGGCCACCAACCACTTTTCTCCCTCGGGTCTTACGAGTGTTTCTTTTATGTGGGTTTGTGTCTGTCTTTCGGTTCTCGTTTGCAATTCGTGTACTTTTTTAGCCATCCTGAACTTTTTTCTTTCCTTCTTGTTTATATTCCCTCTTCTATGTATATCACGGTGTAACATTATTGGTTTTCTTTTTGGAGACGATGACCTTTCGTCTTTCTCAACTTGATTGCAGTTAGTGCATCCAACGACTTTATTTTGTCTTCTTTTTTCATACCAGTACATACCTTGCTATAGTCTTTTACGAAACGGAACGAATATAACTTGTTTGAAACTTGAACATATCTTGTGTGAAACTATCGCTCAGTTCGAACTGCTTCTGGTCTACTCAGCTCGGGAAGAAACTCAGAAGACCCTCCAACATGGCAAGAGATTTTAACTTCGAAGTGTATAGGACCCCCTAAAGACCAAAATAGCAGGTCGACCGTACTGTACGTGTGGGGAGGTCATGAGGGCCTTGAGGCGGCGGTGAGGTCACCCTCTCAGGACCCCACCCCCTGTCTCACAAATTTCTCGTTAGCGCGAGGCTGGGGTGCAACCACAAAAGTTGTGCAGGGTCGCATAGGAACTTGTTAATTTACAAGGGGGGCCACGCTGCATGCAGAGCACACCTCGTTGCAACAATCCCCGTCCGCGTTGCGATATCTAAAGTCCGTATCACGTAGTCCCTGCTGCTGCTGCCTATTCGCGTCATGAACTTTGAACCGCTGCTAAGTAGGCCGAATCACGAGCTCTTGTTCTTTTTTTTTTTCTTCGTTTCGTCTACCAGTGCCGGCCGTTGTGGACGGTGTGCACAAGCGCGAGCACATCGCACATCGGCTTCCTACCGGGCATATGAGCATATGCACGATGAGCCATTTTTTTATACGCGTTCATCATGGTCCGTCCCTGAATTGAATTGAGAGCAGAGGATGGCTTTACTTTGAAGCGCTGGTAGGTTAGCCGGTTTCAGGAGCACGCATTACTACCCCAACATACTACCCTACCTACTACCCCATACATTCATTACTCAGGTGGGTGTGTAGTCCTGACTCCTGATGTATGGCACCATACGTAGCTACTTACATCGTTGGCGACGGAGTCCTATACCTTGGAATTTCAATCATGTCTTTTAGAGGAGGTGATCATTCCAGCCAAGCAGCGAGAATCTTTCGAAAAAGGCAATGTGAAATCTTGAATCAAGGGGTCCAGTCCCCGATGTTGAACCTCCGCCCCTCCGACCAACGGGACGTTGAACGATGAAGTGGCAATTGGTGTGGTTTTTTGACATGTACCCTTGATTTTTTGAGGCTTGGGTTTTTTGGGTTGTACGAGGGTCGGGCGTGTGTTTGGAACTGATTTCTGGTTTAAGCCCGTTAGACTTTAGGGTGCAGATAGAAGACTCGGGGGTGGGGTGGGGTGTGTGTTGTTGGTGGCGGGCGTCTAAACCACTCCACTAGTCTCGCGCGCCAAGCTTACCAATAAAACACCGCTGTGGTTATCCACATTCTTCTTCTTGTTCTTCTCGACGCTTCTCATATCATACTCCGGTGAACTAGCCAAACATGAAGAGGAATACTTACATTCCCCTCTTGAGAAACCGAGGCTGTTTTCTCATGGACGTATGGGTGAGTTTAAGCCGTATCGATAAGCAAGGACCTATTATTGTATGGGTATCCATAGCTATTCGCCCATATGCAATAGCCGGGGGATTGAGCGGGCGGACGCGTCGGGATTATGCCTTAATGAGGAGGGGGGCGTCGATGATTGAGGATGGATGGATGAATGGGGATCGGGTCGTCGACTCACTCGAGCGGTCCTGCCTCGCACGCAAAGCTTGAAAAATATCAGCTGGCATCAGGCGCGCGTCGGGTGATTTGTGGCGTGGGTGTGGGTGATATCATAGGAGAAGGTAGAGAATGTGCGCATGAGAGGTATGAGAGAGAGCGCGGTGCTAAGTCCCGCTGCTAAGTCGTCGAGCCTGTGTTTTCTATGGTATGACGTATGTCAGTTCGGTCTTTCAAAAAGTGGGTATGTTTTCCAAGTTGGGACGTTCGGTGGTGGGCCTCTTGTGTGATAGTTTGTTGGAATGCTCGTCACCGATGGGCTAATGTTTCTTCTCAGTTCGTTCTTCGAGGTTCGAATTTGTGTTTCTAGTAGAGTCGGGAATGTTCAAACGTGGTAAAAGCCGGGCATAGAATCCCTCGTATCGCCGTACTTCGTGCGATACCTTGGAGTTATCTAGAGGAACCAACTGTTAACTTGCAGTTCCAACTCCTTTGTTCTGTCTTGCGCCCTTCGTCGACTCCGCGGATGGCGTCTGTCAGGTATCACAAGAAGTCGGGAAATTGGCTGGCTGGACTATCAGAACGAAACGAAGCTCGAAGCAGATGTATTGCGGACAATGAAAGAAAAGCTTTGACTTGAACCTTCTTTCGTTGAAGCGAGGAGGTTTAAGATACCGGCTAAAGGTATGCACCCTCTTTCCAAGCCGCTGACCTATTGACCTATTTTTATCTCTTGACATGGGCATGCAGCGAGGTCGGTGTTCAGTCCAGGTTGGAAAGGACGGAAAGGATGTGTGATGCCTAAATTAGGCCATGGTTATGTGAAAAGGAATAGTGTGTGGGTAAAGTCGTGATCGAGCGCCTTCGAGGTTGCTTGTCGTGCTAAGGGCCAAGTCGGATTGGATTTGGAAGTGGCTTCGAAAGGAGGGGATGGCGCATTCGAGAAAGGATGGAATTCATCGTCTGGGAAGTATATTCATCGCAGAGTATTGGATTTCTAATGTGACAGCTAAAGCTTGTATTCGGAGTCCGTCTCTAGCTAGAACATCATGTTCTTACCTAGGTCTGTGAAACCTACGATCGAAACTCGAAATGATCGTTATCCCATGTCTGCGCTTTTATCACCCTCGATTACAAGGAAGTCAATCCACGCGCCTTGCTTTGTAGTCCTAGCTATACATAAACACGGCGCGAGACTTCGAAGGGTGCCTTCGAATTCTTCTCCGCACTTCTCGAAATTCATTTTATTGCGCAAACCACGCCTGCCAGCCATTGGCTCACACACCGAGCTCCGCCGTTCCTTTTCTTAGTCCTGTCACGTCGGTGAGGTCAAACTCGGTGTGGTGAAGGCTCCAATCGCCTATTGCGGATGATGTCCGGCACTTATCTCTACTACTATCTCCTCGCGTCCGCCCGCCACTCCTCGAGGCTCATGGATCCCTTGCTGAAGGGTGCCACATCGTACATAATTTATCACTTACTCGAGGCCGCGATTCGGGAGAACGCGTCTGAGTTGGGTAGGTGTTGAACGTAAGGTATTGCCTTGCAGCTACCACTTACGGCTCAAAGCATACGTGCTGATTATCGCGTGGAGCCTGCCTGTCTCCATGGATTTCGACTTGTCCTTGTGGGCTTCTCGTCAACAGACTCTGCATCTCCCTATGGTCGTGGAATGACATTCGGCGACCTCCACCCGTGCTTTGTCTTGTTCTGTCCTTCTTCGCCAAGTTGCATGTGCTCCCGGGCGTGACTGCTCGGGTTGGTCTGTAGGTAATTGTCCAAGGGCGAGCCTAGTTCGTGGTCGAAATGTCCATCATCTCGCTCGGGCTAAGTATGGCATTGCACATGCAAGTTTGAGAGACATGAGTGAGATGATGGATCCACAGTCCATATCGCCCATATCACCTTGCGCCATCGAGTAAGTTAATTCCAAGACTCTAAAGGGCAGGTTGCACTTTCTGATAGCAACAGTTACCGCCTTTAAACAAGGCGCCTGGCTGAATGCTGATGAATTCATCTCGGTTTAAACCGTGCTTGGTTATCATGGGGAACCCTAGCCTTAGTAGCCTACATGCTGCGTAGCTAAGTCCTGGCAGATGGTCGATAACGCCTGCCACAGGACTATTCGGCACTATTTCATGATAACCAGCTCATTAGGCTAAGACCCCATGCTGGTTGCTATCCCTCTTCAGTGACATGTATTACCCAGACACCCAGCGTACTTACTATCCCTTTCACGTGAGGGAAATGAAGGATGATAGATTGAGGGGCGTTGGTATGTGCTTCGGTTGCAGGCGAATGGCGTGCTTTTTTGGGGATGCATGATTTTCAGTCTTGGGCCCTTTGCCATTACTGTTACCCGTATCACCAGGTACACCAGGGTACACCGAGCGAACGTTGCTCACTTCTGGCCAATTTGGTTCCGCGCCGACAAAGCAATTGACTTTTTCAGAAGTTGGGCCGACAGACCGAAGGTGGACAGGGTAAAGGGGAATGTACGTGTAATTCTGGACTCTGGATACACAAACGATCTCGGTCCAAGGGGGTAGGGTTTGTGTCTTAACATTTCAGACCACAGACATATTCACTATCTCTTGCCACTGTCAAACGCCAGTGTCCAATGGTGAGAGTGTATTATTGTCGTCATCTTTATTCATATCGAGCTAGAAAATTCTTAATCTTGAGTGAATGGTACCTCGATGCTCACACCTGTCACTGCACCACTTACTCAGAGGCTTAATTGAAAGTAACCTCTGATTTACATACACTGGACCCTCGGGCGTCTATTTTGACAACATGTTGTCGTGACTTTGGCCAAGGCGCTTGCTCCGCCCCGATGCCCTCGTAGCTATCGCTTCACCGTCCCGAATGACGCTAGGAACTTCAGGGCCGAATGATATGGCTAGCTATTCTGATGCCTACAAATGGGCCAGCGGAGAAATATACTCGATATAGAGCCAGCGTCGCGTAACTCAAAAGGGTCCTTCCTCGTTTTGGTAACCGATGGAGGGTGCGATTGATGATGGCGAGCTGGCGACGACGGGAAAAGCGAGCGAAATAGCGATCAAATCGTTCATCATGCACACTGTCGATTAGGGAGCACGCGAGAACGTGGCAGAAAATCAAGGAAAACCGGTACGAAAATATATTACTTTCAAGGTCCCCGCTGATGAGAGTTAGGAGGTCGTCTGAATCGGTCGTGTGCGCTCCTCCAATGTTTTCACCCAGTTAACCTCCTGTGGCTAACTCGTGGTTAACGTACAACTTCCTCGCAGGAACATGAGAAGCGGTAGCTCCGGCCAGTGTGTCCATGGAATATCCACGACACTCCCGGACTCTAGTAGCTAAAACTATCTGAGAAGATGGGTAGGGTGGGGACTTAATGTTGCATCCAAGTTTCACCGGAGAGAGAAGGTGGCCGTAACCAATCCTGATCTCGCACACAGAAAGTCTATCTCAGCCATATGTTCAGTGTCGACATAGGCGACGATTAGGCACGGCTAAAATCTTGGATTGCCCCAGCCGAGCCCAGAGTGTATGTTAACATTCCACGGGGCCGAAGGAGGCCGTCGAAATTGCAGAATAGACGTCGGTCGCCGTTGTTACTGACATGAGGCCGCAGCGAAAATTGAAAAGACGCTGTTTTAGTGCGGTGTATACCATTCTTTGTCGGTACGGGCAATTAACCTTAGCCCTCCGGCATAGAGACCCAGACCTCAGGGGACGGGTCTGTTCTGCTCTGGCGCGGCATTGCAGCGAAATTTACTTCCGCTCCGTAATTTGATCTGGGGCAGCGGAAGCAACTGTGCAAAAAGCGGAGACAAATTGCCGTTCGTTGGGTGAGACTCCACATCAATCAGGACAACAGGGGCCAACGAACCAATGGCGCTTCGTCTTGACCTCCACTCCTGAGCGCCTGTACCCCGCCCTTCGCACCGTACACCGAGAAATTAACCGTCGCCTATATTCCTTTATTGGACAGCAGTCGGGTGGCCCGAATAACATCAGTGAAGATCCTGCACCGGTCCGTCTTCCAGGCCGTCCCGTGGCAATATGCCCGAGTCTACCCATGTTTAGAAGGCGTTGTATAACGCTTGTTTCCCCGCATCATCAATACGCACTAGACTGAGGACTTAGCAGATCTCATGAGTGGGACTTAGCGCTCAGCCGAAACCTCATATACTTGTCTTTACGTACTCTCACAACGGGTTTCGTTGAGTGCGCCAGATGTCGGGGTGCGGGATCCAAATGAGGCGCGGGGGTGGGGTGACTTGCGGCGCACCAACAATGGAATGAAAGTGAAATAGGTGTGGCTGTCAACACCCTATTCAGGAACACGGGAAGTGTCGTGACCTGGTCATGACCTTACTCATGAGGTCAGTCAGAGGGTGGAACGGGAACGACCAAGTGGTTGGCGGACACAGTGAAGCCCCTCCACCCAGACCAAGTTCCGGCCAAGAAGCAGATGGCGACAACCATACATATGTCCCTGTGATCATCGAAAAGTTTTTTTAAGTCATTCCTGACGAACATGCTTGCCCATCGACGTTCATTTTTCAATTTCGTAATTCCTGCGACGCGTCCACGTAAAGCCTGTTGAAGTCTTCATTCCAAATTGCATGCCCCTAGAAATGCAAATTTACAATGTTCGATCTCAACCCTAAGTGCTTGCATGAATTTGGAGAATGGAAAAAGGTAGGCCTTGATTGTTGCGACAACGAAGCATGCGGTGTGATTGGTTTCGAGAATGTCGATTAGAGATGGGCGACACCAGAACCAAGCCAAAACGAGGGTCGAGGCGGGAGACGGTAAGCCAAATCACATTATTTTCGGAATGAATAGAACTCTCGAAGGGCGGCGACTGAGAAAGTTCTACGTGTGTGATAGTACAACAGAAGGTGACCAGAAATGACCCTGGTGAAGTGTGGCGAACGCAGCTCCGAGGGATCAACCTCCGATTCCTGGATGTTAAGTCCCAGGTCGATGAGACTTAGCAGAGAGTTATCCTAGCCGAAGATTGAGCGCCATCCTCCGTCGTACGAAAGAGGGCGCATCGGCCTACTTTAGATTTGGCCGAGGTTAGTACGACATCCGCGTTGCCTGCTCAGCGCTAAGCAGCCCTCGAGAGACATCCGAGGTTTGTCCAGACCAAGTTCCATCGCAGTCGCCATCCCGCCCTGGTCATCGATTAACCTTGGTATTTCCGTCTGGTTTTTTGAGCGAGTATTCTCCAGGAGTGGGTGCCGATGGGCGTAAAGCCAGAACGGCGATCGAGGCCGAAGACACAAAATGTGAAATCGTGAAGTGGTGGAGTTTCCCCAGGGCCAAGTTTCCTCGTCCGTCTAGAAGCGGTGTTCAACAGCGTTAGTTCCTCATGTTCGGTGTTCGCTTTGAATACCGGAAGATAGCACGAGCCTTTCCAGCGTGAGGGAGCATCAAATCGCATGTCAAGGTGACCAGGGTTGAGAAACCACTAGACTTTGCGCATGCACGTAGTTTGAAAATTTGGGGTCCTGTCTAACAATAAGTCAGTATCTAATTGCACCAGTATGTTGCACCAGCTTGGTGGCTACAGACAACTTGTTAAGTCCCTTTGTGCGATAAGTAGCATGTCTTCCATACACCGTGAATCAGTTGACTGATCAAAACCTATCAGAGAAGATCTTCGAAAGAATCTAGTAGATCGACGCGACGATAAGATAGCAGGTGTGAGTCGGGCCACAAAGAGGAAGAAAGGAGAATCATAGGAGCGATCGCAGACAACACGAGGTGCGGGGAAGTGGAAATAAAGCCAAAATAAAGCGAAAGAATAGGTTTATGCAGCCTCGGAGATGAAACGAAGACCTCATGTCGAGCAGTCGGCTTCTCCCTGCTTGTCAGCAAGCTCAGACCTGCAGATTAGAGTGATCAAGAGAGGCGACGGGCATTGAAAGAAGGCTTACCGTAGCTGCAACCGCACGGATGTAGGAAAGGATGAATGCGGCGGAAAGAAGTTCGGAAGTTAAGAAAGTACAAACGACTGACGCTTAGAACGACGTCCGCCGGGAGAACGAGTGAAGCTAGTGGAGCCAGATGATCATAACGAGGCGATGTCGCCCAGCTCGAATCGTGAACTTGCATCGCTGCGACCCTGGCCCATTCTGGTATGTTCAGGTCAAGAAACCGTCCCGAACTCGGATATTGCGGGCAACTCTTTTTTTAGGCGCCCGCCGTCTCACAGGTTGCTCCTCTTGCGCTTTCAGCTCGCCAAAGGGGTTCCTGTGTTCTGGTGGTACCATGGCCGTGGATCAGTTAGCAATTGTGACCAGTGAAAGGAGAGTTAGCATGCACGTAATAAAACATCTCCCGTTCGTCGATGTTTGCTGCGTTCATCGCATCGTCTACGGCGTCTGCTAGTACATATGACGTCTTGGTTGAATCCGATCTATGAAATATCCACTCTGTTTACGTATGTGGGGATACAATATGTTCAGGTGTTTCCTCTGGTGGAACTGGGCGGTCACCTACGGCGACCATACGAGTGCAAGTGGCGGGCGATGTGAGGAGGCCGAGAAGACTTTCGCTCAACCCAGAAGGCGGGAGAAGACGCTAAAGTTTGGAGTGGGAATGGGGAAAAACTGACCAACCCACCTGAAGGAAAGTTCCGACTGCGGTTTACCACCCCGCCCAATGACGAAGATATGATGCTCGTCTTGTGTGTGGACACTCAGGAGGGTTTTGTTACGTGTCGTGAGGATCCATGAGGCTGCTGTGAGAACAAGTCAACACATAGCAAGCAGTGGAAAATGAGTTAATAGCAAGTGTTCCGTGTCGGTAATGGTTTGCATGAGCGAACAAGCACGCACCTCCACACTTCAGTTGCATAGGGAGGGAGCAGCGATGACGCCAAACACCGAGATTTCCCCGTCCATATGTTTCAATTCTCTCGATGGGCCCTGGGTGAGAGAGATGGTGAGCGCGATATGTAAAGAGGTACAATATCATCCCACAGCGCCGGTAGGGGTGAGGGGAGACCGGCATTTTGCGATTTGATTCCGAATAAAAACAGCGATTTATGGGCGGATTTCGCCCTTTTACAGTAGATCCATCCCCGTATCTCCCGAAAACCTAAAAAGTCTCCGTTCGCTGCGAGAGTGTGGGCATCTTTAGAATATTGGGAGCGCCCAAGTCCATGGGGTAGACGAAACCAGTTTGGAAGAGCGCACCCAGAGATGAGGTAGTTGTTGGCAAGGGGTTGTGGAATGTGTGCTATCGTCGGCAGGTCAGACCGTCAAGCCAATAGCCATCGGAATGAAGGGCCGGTCGACATTGTTCCAGCACGCGAGAATTCCCTCTTGCAGCATGTAAGTAGTCATTGCAATGGTCGACAGCCAGGTACTGAGAAACCCGAATGCTCGGATGATGGTCCTATCCTGGCTAATGAGGAACGTCCGGTACGGGCCAATAGAGTCCAACAACTGCCCCGGTGTCAGCAGGCGCTGAACAAACTCCTGACATGGGTACAGCACTTTGAATGTCGCCGTAGAGTCGTTAGTTCCGTGGATTTGCCTTATGTAGAGGCAACCAATCCCGGCGGCTCACCTAGGAGATGTCGTAACGACCGTTGGCTGCGGCACCACACATCTGGATGAAATGGTCTTTGACAATTGGCAGACAGACGGACTCACCTGATAGGTTTAGCTGAAAGCAATCTCTTTGTGCCAGCTGCCTTTCTGTCAGATTGAAGGCAGGGTTGAGGGGCGTTGGGAGTGCAGGCGTTTTCATTGGTTAGCCACCAGGGAGCATTCTGGTTGGACCGTTTTGCGAGCGGAAGCTTTCATCAGTTAACGCCAAGTCGTCCATTGTTGGAGGGATAGTAGATAGCTTGAGCCCGCTAAGAGGGCTTCCGTCACAGATAAGTCCCAAGAGAGTCGGGCGACGTGTCAAGAGAGGCGACCTTGTGAAGTCGCTTGGGCAGAAGAGGAGATACGAGAATCAAGAATGTTGGGACCTGTTCTGAGACAACGTGAGACATAGGCATTGACAAAGGGGTAACGCATCCGACTCGATGCAGCCCACAGCGCCCAGCCGTATTCGCAGAACGGCAAGCAGGGCTACACGATGAGCAGATGCAAAGACAAAATTGCAACGCGATCGTGACGCGTTCGCGCACCGTGGGAAAGACGGTTGGGGAGGCCCGGAGTTCCCGACGCGCTTGGACCGTTCCGCCGCGCGCTGAGCACTTTGAAGTCTTGCCACAACATACAAGTTAATGTCAAGCTCAATATCGCCGACCGCTCTTGCAGATGCCCTGGCAGTCGTCTCACGGACTGCTCACAAGCTCGTAGGAACTGTGAAGTTGCCTGTTGTGCAGGTGTCTTGACTCTGAACTTTACAGGTAGCGGATGCCGAGGGACGGGCACGATCCGAGGTCGCCAGTGCGGTAGCTGAAGCCAATGAGGCCCGCTCTCAGCGCGAAAAGGCTTTGAAAGACCAACAAACCGCAGAACGGGAAGCTCAGGCATGGAAAGACGAAGTTACTACCCTAAAAGCTGCAGTGAGTAGTGCGTCATTTTCGCGTTGTCTAATTTATTGATTCAAGTTGTTAGCTCGGACAAGCAGAGCTCACTGTGCGTGTTGCTCACCCTTTACCAGTTCTTGTACTCAAAAAGCTGGTGTAGATTGCACACCAAACAGATACTATTACCCAGCAGATAGAATCTATTGCTCAGCTGAGGAGAGAAGTGACCCAATGGAAGGATCAGTCGCAAAACTGGCAAGACCATTTCACTCGCGTCGAGCAGGAGCGGTTTGCTCTTTCCACGCGGATAGACGAGCTCTTAGCGGAGAGAGTGCAGGTGCGTCTCCCTCGCACAAAGCTACGCTGGCTTAATCTTACACTTCATTCAACAGTGGACACGAACAGCTGCAACAAGTGCACTGAATCCATTTACTAGCACACCGCAGTCGCGATTCATCCCTGGTCAATCTAGTTCATCTCAGTCCGCAGACAACAGCCGACGGAACGCATACCCTTCACCTTCCCGCACCTCCACCAATTCCAATAAATCATCTCAGCAGCAGCCAGCTGCAGAAAGCGACAGCGCGACCCTACAACCAAAAGAAGGCTCGACAAAGCCACGGAAGAGTCTAGGGACGGGGAAGCAACCCGGGCTTACTCCCAAATCCAAACTCAACAGAAGCAGCGCCTCTACACCTCTCAAACCTAACGCACTCAAAGGTGAATCTGCCCAGCCTTCAACTTCGCAGATACAACGCTCGACAGACGGGAAACCTACAATCCGAGAAACAACTGTGATTCGGCGGGTGCACGCTGTCGTGGAGGTGAAGCGAGAAGAGAGCGACGATGAAGAGGAGGAACAGCAGCCAGCACGACAGCAATGGTCCCAATCGGCAGCACCACCTCCGACTGAAACCTCCAGACGGCGGAATAGGATGGTGGTGGAGGATGATGATTATGAAAACGATTTCAACGAACAAAGGCCTAGGAGACGGACAGCAACGAGACCCGTGAACTATGCTGAGTCGGATGACGGCGAGTCGAGCGAAGGAGACGAGCTTACATTGGGTAACGAGGTATGAGCTTTCCAAGTGGCCTTGAAGTTCAGTAACTCAGGAATCCATACAGAGCTGTCTTTCAGGCCATCGAACTAAAGGGGACCCTCCAGGTTCACCCGCCAAAAAGAAACGAAGGATGGTGAATAACCAGAGGTAGCCAGTTCGACACGACACCCCACATCTTCTTCACCTATGCTCGGACTATTTATTTACTTCTTGCACGCTCCTTCCCCCTCGCTATCTGTGTATTAACGCTCTCATGGACTTTGGACTTTGCTTCGCAACCGCAGTCTTGTTTTTGCATAGGGAAAGATAAATATCCCTTCGTCAATCTATTGACGATCTGGCTAAGTGTACAGGTACATTACAATGCAACAAGGACTAGGTCAAGTCATTAGATGCGTTTCCCCGATGACGAGGAGCCTCCAGATTTCTTGATGGCCTTGGCAGTCACGAATAGCGCACTGTCGACGAGAGCAGCGACGGTGAGGACTCCTCCAATGACAGCGCAGGTTCTAAGAAGTGGAAGTATTAACTAGGCAAAAGAATGAAGTGAGAGACCACGTACGATGTGAGGAAGTGAGCAAAGCTCTGCCGTGATTCGGCGTGAACTACTTGAATGGGGGAGATTTCGTAGTTGAAGAATGCACCTAAAGGGATCTCCGTAAGAGGCCAAGCCAACAAAGTTGAAGAGGAAGTAACATACCAGGCAGGCCACTGACGCCGTGCTGGACGCGAATACCACCGTCATCTTGGTTCATACCCTCGCCGAGGTCTCGTTCGAATGAAGTGGTACTGTACTGATGGGTGTTGACCTAGACGAGAGGTGTCAATGGACTTTCAGGCGCTACGAGAAGGCTGGAACTCACAGTTTGGCCATCAAGAGTGCGGAATCGGGTAGAAACGACCTTGAGGAAGTACTGGAACATGTATTGCGACTTCCAAGTCTACTCCCAATGATTAGCTCTGAGAAACACATCCACGCGACAACTGATCGCTCACCCTAGCTTCGATGCCGTCCAAGGGGTTCTCAGTCAAACCCATCCTCCTCCTCATCTTCTGACCAGCCTCAGCCTTCCAGTAGTCATATTCATCGTCTCCCTCGAAGCCGAAATGGTGAATGATATGCGAGAAGTCATGGCGGTTTTGGTCGTCACGGAGGTATGGCACGAGTTCATAGATATTTCGCGAGTTGGATTGGAAGGAACGACCAGGTGACATGTGGATGTTGCCAATGACCTTGTTGACACGGATTCGGCCAGAGATGTTGCATCCCTCGTCGGCTTGGTCTCTGAGTTTATCTGCCCATCCTTCGTTTCGACACTGAACGGAAGTTTATCAGGATTGGAGCAGGGGGGATGAAACGATCAAGAACGCACTTGCTCAATAGCATCGGGGTTGGTGAAACTCCATCCACGGTTCACATAGGCCATCCTGACATCCTCGCAAGTGTTGCAGCAGCCACTTTCAGGTTCCAGTCCACCATAGCAAGAGCCGCAATATCCTTCCTTCTTCGTATGGGACAGCTTCTCAACGTCGGCAGAGAGGTCTGCGGTATGCGATCCGGGCACTTCTTTGCCGCTTCGGTCCAATCGTACTTTGAGAACATTGTGTGAGATGTCGCGTTGGACTTCACCGCTGATGTCCATGATATCCAAACTGAGAACTGGATTGAAGAAGGTAAGAAAAGAGCAAGCGAGATTGGACGTTAAGATGGTAAACTCACGGTAGCAGGGGACCTTGGGGAAGGTCACATTCAAGTTCACGGTCAATTTCTCTCCTCGGCTCCTGTCGACTACGATAGAGGTGTCAATGAAGACCTTCCTGTAGTCGAAGAATTCCATAGTCGTAATAGCGAGGATAATGGCAGCAGAGAGCAAGGTCACTGTATTGGTTCCCATCGTCTCCAAGTCAGCGATTTGACCTCTTTTCGACAGTTTTTTTTGGATGAACTCACAGAAAGCGCCAGTCCTAGTCTTGACTTTGACATCTTCTGTTGTCTAATCGAGCGAGGTTAACGCCAGTTCATCACGATGAAGAAGTTGGGGGCAAGTAGTAGCCCACAACAGCCATCGACTTACTTTGCCAAAGGCGTCGATGCCTTTCAACGTTGAAAAGAAACCCCTTGCCATTGTTGACCGGTTTACCCGCGAGTAGACGGCTCTGGCGTCGTCAAAAACTCGAAAACAGGGATATCAGAGGGAGGAGAAGGAGGATGAGAACAAGAGCTTAGTGGTAGAAATATTGGAATTGATGTCAGTTGCCGAGCCTCTCCTGCTACCACGGAACCTTTTCTGCGAGCATGTGACTTGCAATTGACGTGTCACTTCGCGTCCTCCACGCGTCTCTAGGAGAATTCTCGCCGAAAATTAGCCTGTTCCACATGTACCGTACAGAGAGATAAATAGAGTCTAGAGCGCTATGTACTACAAAATCTGATTATTGGATGCCTATTCGATCGACACCCTGCTTTACTTTGCCAATGAGGTTCAGCACACCATCCCTCAAGCCGTCGGCCTGGACGTTCACACCGTCGCTGCTCGTTCGATAGACGCCCGAGCCAGCAGGCCCACCCAAACTCACATTAACACCCCCGAGGTTGAGATTAAGGACTGGCGCGTTCGACGACGATTCCGGAGGTGGATCGTACACTGATGTAGGGAAGTTTTCAGCTGCAGAACGGACCATCTCGATGTATCTGTTCAAAACGTCAGATGAGCAGGGGAGAAACAGTTGAAGAGTGGCGTACGAGGCTGATCTGTGCACGCAGGTGCCCCCGAGGAGGAACCGCGTCCCTGTGGAACCAACGATGCTGCCATTCGTGGCGGCAGAGGGATCTTGGTTGAAGAGCGTCACTGTCCTGGCTTCTTCGTAAGTGACGCCTCCAATCATGAAGATGATTACATCTTGTGGTCTGAGAACTGATGTTAGCGATGGCGGAACTGGATGAGGTGTCCCTCTTACCTCTGCAGTCCGGCATTGGGCCCAGCGTTATCAAGGAACGGATAACTTGGCTCCTTTAGCCTTCCCTTGAGCAGGTTTTCAAGAGTTTGAGATAGATGTGGTGTATGTTGCATGTATACGTTCTCAACTCCCTAAAGTCTGACATTAATAGCGGGTCAACGAGGACGGGGCGCAACTTACTCCGAGACCACGCAAAGCAGATCTTCCCTTGGCAAGTAGCGACTCTGTCGCAAAGAGATCGTCTTGCCGCTGGTCAGCTCCAGCGATGTTCAGCAAAACGTACACAAGCTTCGCGTCTTCCCTGGAAATACCGTTCTCCAGCAAGAGGTTGATGAGGTTTGCGATGTTGGCCGTTTGCGTCTTCTGATACCGCAGTGCGTATAGCATCACGATCTTCAACTTATTCCAAGGAGGGACGTCCTTGTTCATGATGATCGCTTGGACGGCCTTAGTTCTCCCAATTAGCATTGTCCCTCAGCTTTATATGAATACGGGGCGTACCTTGTAGTCCGCACCAGCATGTGTCGCAAGACCCTGCTCGATCTCTCCAACTTCCAACAGCTTATCCCTCCCAACCAGCCTGCTCAACTCTCCAACCAAAGCAACGTGCTTGCTGACATTCCCGCCCAGCTTCCTGAACTCTGGGTATTCCTCCACGAACCGCTTCATATCCGCAATCGAGTTAATTGAAGAGGGCGAGGTGGCGAGGGATTTAGCCTGGTATTGCTGGACGTAGTCCTTTAAGGAAGATCCTAGGTCGCCGAAAGTTGACATGTAGTGGGTTTGGAAGAACGGGTCGGTGCTCGTGGTCAGAGTGATTTCCTATAGCGCTGTCAGTTATGACTGTTTGTGCAAGTCAGCCGTACACGCACCCTTAGGTCTTTCTGGACGTCTGGAACATTGCTCAAGTCCACACGCCCATTATGAATCCCTATCAGTTCGTGTACCATGGCTTGATATGTCCATTGCGACAAGAGAGGTGTTACGGGATCATTTCTCCGATCCAGGATGAGTAGCAGCGGGGGGACCTGGGTTAACCGGAAATCGAACAGAGTCGACTCGGCATTCATGCGGTGCTTAGAGGTCCTTCAGTTAGGAGCCTACGGGATAGATGAGGCGTACTTACCTGTACTTCCGTGGCTAACTTCTTCGCCATACCGCTCATCCTCTCGTACCGAATGACCGGCTTCTTCCTCAGACTCAGCAACACAGCTGTTACACCTTGCACCGCCAACTCGAGGGCTCGCGAGTCCCAAGAGTTTGGTGTCGAGCCGTATAACGGTTTTGACGATGTTGGCGCATAGTTCAAGGAGAAGAGAGAAGGGAGTATTGGACAATAGTCTGCAAAGTATTCCTATCCACAAATGAAAGCTCAGACGATTGGGACGGTAAACCCGAGTACAGGGAACGTACCTGGACCTCCCTCACAACCTCAAACTCGTCCATCTCCGCTAATCGTTCAATCGCTGCCTTGCTCAGGATATTACTGAAGTCTGCGTGTACAAATCCATGCACAGTCGCATAATTGAGGGTGGAGTTTGGAACATCGGAACGGAAACGAGGAGGGTGTCAGCAACGTCCGTTCGACCCAAGGAAGAGATGGCATTCACCGACTGACACAGATAGTACTCTCCGTATTTCGGCTCTTTCAGTTCTTCTGACAGAGCGTCCATGCTATCTTCGCTTGGCTGTAGGAAACAGACACATTTCATATGCGGCATCCGATCTCGTTGCTTGTTGTCGATCCGGTCAGTGAGGTAGACTTGGTGCGACAGCAACATGGATTGCGTTGCTGAGAGGGAGACAATTGGAGTCTAATTTGGGTCATAAATTCGTTAGATTTGGGGTGTATGACCGGTGTAGACGGGGTTTACAACGTACGGTGTGTGAATCGAGTAGCAACACCTTCATAGATGGCGGCGTTGAGACCATCTTGGTCACGTAGGTTTCTATGGCTTTATAGACGTCCATGGCGCTCGGGTATGAGGTGGTGGAGGGAGCGCCTTGTCGAATAACCGTCGAGGTTAAATAAGATGTAAGTGGTTGGGGTCAAGGTAGGCAAGCGGAAATCATCATCAGCGCGCTGCGGCACAGCGCGTCACGTTCCTGACATCATGCTCCTCCAATGACTCTGAGGTCTCGCGATACTTTGAAGCGACAATCAACGTTGGAGTAGTAGTGCAAGTATCTTATATTACAAAGTTAATGATACACGCCATCCCTTAGAGTGCTCCCAGAGTCCCAACAACCAAGATTTCCAATGTAAATCAACGCAATCCAAGTGTCTTCAACTCCGGCCCTTTGGGACCTGTTCCTCCAGCCATGTCCACAGCTGACCAGCTAAAACAGGATCTTCGGTCTCGGGGCGTGGTCTTCCCGCTCTTCCCCAGGGTATGATATACTAATGCACTTCAATGTCGAGTCACAAGAATAGACGCGGAAAGCCTACCTTCCCATTCAAGCTCCCAGCTTCAGGCGCAAGTCCCGCCCAAAGCTGCGTTAGGCAGCCCCACTCAGGGGGATAGATATACAGCAAGTATTTCTGGGTTCGCCTATAAATAACCAGGTTAGAGGAGACGTTCATTACACACTCACAGAGAATGTATTTCTCCAATAGTCCTGAATACCCCGGGTTAAAGACGTCGCAAAGTTTCCTGTTTCCCGTTGAGCAAATACATCCGACTAAGGAAAGTACGACATACCCGGATTCACGGCCAGAGAAATAACGCCCTTCTCGGCATACCGTCGAGCAAGCTCGTTCGAAAATAGGACCATAGCCTACAGAAAAGCGTAAATTTAGAACATGTAGTCTGAGAGCTTAATGCAGTGTGACGTACCGCTTTGCTCTGGGCATAAAAGTGGTCAAGGTCTGTATATTTCCGTCTTCCAGGACCATCCTTCAGGCTACTGAAGTCTATCGGTGGGCTTCCAGCAAAGTGATGCGCGGATGATGTCAAGTTCACGATCCGGACATGGTCTTTAGTGTCGGATAGCCTGGCTGTCTGAAGGAGGTGGGGTAGGAGGAGCTTGGTGAAGTAAAACGGGCCTAGCTTTAATTCAGTATAATGATCTGGTGACCACTAATTCGCTTGCTGACCGAGTACGTTCGTATGAAAAGCCATGTCGTAGCCATTTGTGACTGCCTCAATTGACAGATTTAATGTCCCTCTTTTGTATTCGTTAGGATACAGTTTCAAGGACCGGGCAGATCGAGACTAACGCATTATTAAACAGAACATCAAGCCGTGCTTCTTTCCTAATGTTCCGTCAGGGCCCAATTCGTTGGTCATAGGGTAGCCCATACCGATTGAATTCGGAGGCAGCAGCCTCGACAGATCCCAGGTCTGCGAGGTCTACCTTCAAGAAGTGTGCCTTGTGACCTGTTTCATCGAATAATTCTTCAATAAAGGCCAGCGACTTCTCCTCGTTCCGGGCAGCAATGTAAACTCGAGCTCGGTGCTTCAATAAGGCCTTGTAAAGGGAGATCATCCGTAAGATGTAGCTATCGAGAGGAGGTGAGGGCACTTACTCGGACAGTATCCGCACCCAGGCCTGAGTTACCCCCAGTAACAATATAGACCTTTCCTGAAAGATCGGGGATATCCTTCACAGTCCAAGCTGGCCGGCCCAAGAACCAAGCTTCCTTAAAGAAAGCTATAACGTTGCGAAAACTCGAGAAAAATCGCGCCCAGTTTGCCATGAGCCTCGGTGTAAGGTATGCATAGGAGGTGAAAAGAAGTGAAGGGGGCTTGATAAACCGATATTGCGACACTTCCGCCCACCATCCAAACATACCCAAGTAGACGTCGCACGTCACAAGAGTCGTAAAGCCCATGGATCCTTTTGCTTGAAAGCCGATAACATGACATGTTTGTGCCGAGAGTGCATCGTTTTTCGGATAAGAGGTGGACGAGAACCCGGTCGTGCCAGTGGTGAGGTGCTGTTGCTGAGAATCTTGAGGTCAGCCATTTGAGAGATACGTAGATATGAACAAGTAATGTTCCCACCTGAACCGAGAAGAGGCCGAAAAAGACGCGCACTTTGCAAGCGCTTTGGAGGGAGGACACTAGAACGCGAAAGCGCGACTCATTTTGAACGGCGGCGGGTGGATCATAGTCTGAGAATGGAAGGATAGTTCTGGAAAGGTAGATGCAGTAGGCTCAAGCGCTTGGCAGGGGCTAGCAACACTGTCTGACATTAAAGTTTTGAGGTTGCTGCAAAAGGGACATTGGCTGCCAGGGTGTGGTCGTGGGTTAGAAAAAGCCGACGTCTTCTTTTCGAGTCATGGGACTAATTCGAGGCAAGCTTTGTCGACTTTGGGCTTTCATTAGGCGGGTGTAGAAACCTTGTCTGTCGTCTGATAGCCCCGTCCAGCGATTTCGAGTTCTCGAATGGAAACGTAATGTTGGCACCAGATTGGCACAGTTCCGTCGCAGGCGACGTGTCCAGTCGTGGTATCAACATTCCTACATAGAGTCTCTGGCGTATTGGGAGGAGCGCCGCGACTCTTGAAACACAACGAAGGGATTCCAGCATTCGACGGGGCTGTTCTCCGAGGGTTTCAGCGCGATCCTAGCAATGTAAGGCACAGCGCACACCCAACGGTAATACAGGGACCGGTGATTTCTCCTGGTTCCTCGTATTCTGGAGTTTGTCCGTGATTTGGAGCAGCGTAAAGTAGATTCAAGGGGATTACAGTCGATCACAGGAAATGAAGAGCAATTGGAGGACCCGGAGGCAAACTCCCTTGTCGGTTGATGATGGTTTGATGGTGACTTCCCACGCCTTCCACCGAGCGCTTCCCGCGAACTTGGCCGCGCCGCTGCGACTCCCCGCCTTGAATCATTTCCGCACTTACCACCATGATCCACCGCGAGAACCTTCAAGCTGCTACCTACACCCAGCTCAACGACAAAAGCAGATTCTGGAATATACGACGCAATGTGACACTGCCCATGGCCTGTAAGCAGAAGGGAGGTTCATGTTGGAGAATGTTCCTCATCCTCCTTGTCTTTCCTGGATAGTGACAAATTGGGCGACGCCAATACCTCACGGCGAACGGTGGGACTTTGAAACGCGCTATGGAGCATTAATTGAAGTCCCTCGATACTTGAAGCGAACAAGTGGAGTTTCCAAGGACCAGGTGAATACATTCCACCTGCTGTTGTACAGACGGTATGCTCATGATCTCATTCTACAGATACCTATGTACCAACCCACGTCCTGTGACGAAAGAGGCCTGGAACTACCCTTTATAACGGCCACTCCCCCCGCCACTCTCGAGTGTGCTAACCCAACATGGCTTCCGACGCAGGTTGCTTATCTTTCCTGCGAAGAAAATATTCCAGCCAGGGACGCGACGTCGATCACAAAGCCAAAGGCCGTTCCCTTTCAGAACGCAACGAAGACGACCGAGGGGCTGTCCCATCGACGGGAGAATATGTCATAGAGGCCTCCAAACAGACAATCGACATTTTAAGGGAAGCCTCAGATTTCCTTCCCTTCCCCGGCGCAAAGCAAGTGCTTGACGTTGCTCTGCTCCTAATGACGACCTACGATGTGAGTTAGATATGCTATTGGTGGCGGTGAATAGCTATTAACACGCGATATTGATCCAGGACGTTACTGCTCTTGAGGAGCAGGTCAGAAGCCTAAACAATCGCATAGGCTACCTGATGGTGCTCATGGTGCACGGTATTAGTGGGAAGGACGAGAAAGACATCTCAGTCCCAGTTCGTCAAGATATCGATAGCCTTGGACGGTTCGTGGCCACAACTCCCTGTCGTCGAGATATCCTACTCACTCCGAGCGCTCCAGTGACCTCCAAATTATTCAACAGGATCTAGCGAAGATTACAGCTCAGAACAAACTACTCCTCATATTCTTCAAAAACGCCAACAAATCAAAGGTCGACGACTGTGTCGAACGGCTTAACGATGCGTTGCAGTCGTTCCAGGTAAGTCGTCCAGCATTCTCCTCGGTCTTCCCATTAACCAAACCAACAGATGAGTCGCACCATCGATACGGGCAATCTCCTCTCACAAATTCAAAGTAAACTTGGTAACATCCAGAAAGGAGTTGGAAACATTGAACAGAAGGTGGACGAAATACACGCCTGGATGGTACAGGAGAAAGGGCCTAGTTCCGACACGTCTACTCTTGTCCTGGAGGAAATGCCTGTCCTGCCCAAGATTTTTGGTCGCGAAGAGATCATCGACCGGGTTGCGCAAAGGCTAGTAGAGTCGAGGCCGAGAGTTGGTATCCTCGGCGCTGGTGGGATGGGCAAGACCATGGTCGCGGTTTCAGTTCTTGACCATCCGCAAGTGCAAACGATATACCAGCCATCCTATCGGTACTGGGTGCCTTGCGTCGGTGCAACCACCCTCCTTACCTTCCTTCAAATTCTCTGCAAGGCACTGCATGTTGCCTCCGACTGCAGTTCTCCCCTTAAAGACATCATCGACACCTTGAAAGCTTCGCCACATCGCCGCTTAATCCTTCTCGACAATTTGGAAACAGTGATGCAGCTACCGGATATCGTGTCAGAAGGCGGGAGGTTATCTGCTGAACGCATTCTCAACCAGCTCGCCAATATTCCCCACGTCTCTCTTCTCGTTACTGCCCGGACAAACTCTCTTCCATCCGATGTCATCTCCTGGGACATCGTCGCCCTGGGTGGCGTGGGCCTGGACGCCGCTCGAGCAATCTTCACCAACATACACCCTCCTTCAGCCGGGCAGTCCAAACTGGACGACTTGCTGAAGGCCCTAGGGTACATGCCTTACGCCATCACCCTGATGGCGAAGCAGGCGTCCAAGTCGGGGGCGACCCCGAAGCAGTTACTCTCCTCTTGGAAGAGGAGTGGCGCGAAGTCGCTCACGAAGGACTTGCGAGAACGGATGACACGCTCGATCGAATTCTCCGTCAAGAGCGCGACGGTGGAGGACGACCCTGACGCACGGAAGCTCCTGTCCATCCTCGCCAGGCTTCCGTCTGGTACTACCAGGGAGCATTTGGAAAACTGGTGGGGTAAGGATGTGGACAACCTTCTCAATGGCATCGCGGCACTTAACGACACGGCCCTCATTATCCAGCGACAGCGTCGCGTTACTACGTCCCCCATTCTGCAAGTCCTTCCCGTGGTTCAGTCGTACCTCCACGAGCACCCTCCCTACAACGCACCTTCGACCCTCCAATCTGTCCTCGAGGCGTGTTGTCTCTTCGTTCTCCACCACAAGCCCGTTCCAGGTGACAAATCTTTCAAAGAGGATTTGAAGGAGCTTGACGTTGAGAAGAACAACATCCTATCCATCTTTTTGTCCACCACTACCGAACGGCTGAGATCCCTTTCCATGCTCGACAAACAGTCTTGGGTCCTCGACGCCATGCTTGCTTTCGCGTGGTATCAGTACTGGAGCAAGAGGAGTACAGAGCTACTCGTCCATCTACTCGCCAATGTCGCCAACGAGGGCACCACTGAAGACGCCCCAATACTCCGGCGGGTCGATGAAGCACGCCACTGTCTTGGTCGGATGAACTACCAACTCGGCTGCTTCCAAGACGCTTCCACAGAGCTTGAGAAGGCTTGCTTCACCTTCCGCAAACTGGATACCACGGAAGACCGCGTCCGAGCGGGAGAGGCCACTCTCTCCCTTGTCGACGTTCAAATGGTTCGAGGCCGACCGGGCCATGAAATCCAAGGACTCGTCGAGGCCGCCCAACAGGATGTAGGAGAGGATGTCAAAGGCAACGCCTTGGTGTTTCTCAGGAGAGGACTTTACAGTCGCCGGAACAAAGACCCGGAGAAGGGCCTAGAATATGCTGCACGCGCCAAAACCCTCCTCTCGCAACTGGACCATAAACCCGCTCGCGAAATCTCAGACTGCTTGCTTCTTATTAGCCAGTGCCACGGGACCCTGCGCTCCAATCCAGATTGGTTAAACGCCTGTCTTGAATCACTCGAGTTTTCGAGGTCGATTGGGCTTGCTTCCTGGATATGTGCGGATTTGCATCTTCTTTCGGGCTGTTATATCTGGATGGGGCGGTATGATGAAGGGATTGGGACGCTGAAGCAGGCGTTGGAGATGTATGATGAAGTTGGGGACCCGCAGGGCATTGCGGCTGTGCTGCGAATGACAGGGTATGCGTATGCGAAGATGGGGGATTTGGTTGGAGCTAGGGTTGCGTATGAGAGTGCGAAGAAGAGGTATTTGGAATTGGAGGAGGCAGAAAAGACGAGGAATGGGATGGCGCATTGTGAATATAACCTTCGTGTTCTGAATGGCGATGTATTTGGGGAGGATCAGTTACAGACGCCGCCGTTGTAGATGAACAGATATATTCTGTGGTATCACTATTGGCGTTTATCATATACGGGTAGATGAGTATCTGAGTTTTGAGAGCCACGACTTGATCATAGCGCAACACCACCCGCAAAGCACCTCCACATCCTGCTGACAACCCTCAGTTTGTCTTCCCTTGCTATTGAGGGGTCTGCGAGGTCGTTCAGGTCTTCTAGGAATGCCCCTCGGAGGTCGAGTCGTGTTGAAGACGCAGAGAGTCGCAGTCCGATTGTCCCAACTGATCGTCCAAGTGGTCGCTGCGAAGATCCAGGTAATGGAGAATACACAGGCAGCGAGTTCCCGTACACACGTAACCGGGCGAGAGACAGGAGGATGAGACCCGTGGAGAGGGGAGAGGGATGATGCTGAACCTCGTCTTTCGGGGTGCCGCCACGGATTAATAGCCTCTCCACTCTCCTCAGGTCAGCCCATGCTTGTCGCAGGGAGACCTTTCCAATCAGGACAGTTTGAGACTTCCCAGTTGTACCCGCAGAAGTCTTGTTCCCGAAGATGGCTTTCGAAAGTTCCCCTATCACACCCTGTCCCGCCCATTTCTCCACTGAGATCTCTTGCGTCCGCAGTCCGAGGAGGCTAAGAAGAGTACATACTCCTGCAGTGACTGTCTTAGTCCCCGACCATGCCCTCTTCGCGAGGTTCCTTCCAAGGGCCCAGGTCATTCGGGTGAGGGTAAGGCCGGTTTGGGACACGATGTAAAGGGTGATGAGTGCGGGGGCGACGCCGACAAAGGCAAAGGTGAGTTGCTGTGACTTGAGGAGATGGTCGATACCGGTGAGGGCTTGGTCAATATCGACCTGTGGCAATCATGGATCAAGACTTCCGTCAGGCTGTACGGGGTTCGGCGTGAAACGAACCTTGGCTTTCTGCACTTGGATAAGGATGCCTCGGACGAGTGTACCAGCCAATGCACTCTTCAAAGGACTTCTGATGTCGTTTTCGTAGAGCTCCATCAAAGGTGTGAGGTCTCCTTGGTTGACCTGAACTCGGAGAAGCTCCAGTTGAGTGTCGTTGTAGTGGAGGACATCTTTAGCGAGGGAGAGGGCCATCCTTTCAAGGGACTGTCATTTGAAAGTCAGGTTAATATAAGCCCAAAGTTGATAGAAGTATATCAAACAAACGAACCTCGATATCAGCCAATACCCCTTGCCTCCGCACGAGGCCTTCGCGCATATCCTCACTGGCTCGAATGGTGTTCCAGACGTCTTTCAGAGGTTCAAGAACCCATCCCTGCACAAGTCCTTTAAGAGCCTCTCGCCCCTCCTTCAGCCATTCCCGAACCAGGTGTCGCTGGTTGTAGCCGTATCGGGCCAGCGAATAGGAAGAATACAGGAGAACAGTGTTGAGGAATATCTTTGGCCACAGCTGCGCAAGGGCTGATGGTCGACGGTGGGTGGAGATCACCTTCTGTTCGGATTGCGTTGAGATTTGTCCCGATTTGATACCAGCGACGGTCGGATAGAATGGCTGCAAAGCCAGTAGCCCAAGTTGTTCAGCGCGTTCGTCGCGAATACGTTCGAGAGAGGACAGGTGGAACGCGCATTCTTGTCGAGCTAATTTCAGTGGGCTGCGTAATTTCCTTAAGCTTTCTTCATCTATGTTGGCTAGTCGACTTGGTAGGCCTGCAACATATAGAACACTCAGTTCTTTAGTTGCGAAAACAAATGAGGGATTCCACATACTTTGGAGGATGTATAAAAGGAGGGCCGAGTCGGAACTAGCGGTATCAGCCCACCAAAGTGCCTCTTGCTCAGCTTCTAGAGCTGACTCTAGTTGTTTTTCCAGAGCCTTGACGTGTTCAGGAGGTCCATAGGCGCTTGTAAACTCGGTCATCGAAGGCAGAAGAGAAACGCAACCGGGGTTGGAAACGCGTGACGTCAAAAATCACGTTCTCTGTACTGCCACTGATGTTTCCCGCGCCTCTGTAACAGGCGCTCGTTCATGCACAGGACACATGTTGTGTGTCGCCACCATGAGTCACTTCACCCTTTGCACCCCTGGGATGCGGTCATCTCGGACGGAAGGCAATCTGAAACAAAAAACGACAAACGGTTGTGCCGTTGGGCGCTTGCCACCATGGGCACGGTACTCTTAGAAAAATGCATGTCGAACAGCGACTTCGTCAGGAACGCTTTCCCATTGGTATTTTGACGATGGAAAACGATTGGAAAGTACGTGAACTATCAAATCCACAGGAGAGTGGCTCACCTTCTCTCAGGAACGCCAGGCATCCGACTCTAAGCGCTCATATCGGCAAATTTGACGTTTCGATGAAGCACCTCAGCGTCAAAGGGACGGCCTCGTGCTTTGGGTCACATTTGAACTATATAATGGCGCCTTAGGGGCGGTATCCCTACTGTCCACCCGTTATGGCACCCGCTGAAGACGCCTCAGACTTTGGATGCTGCGGTTTTTTCTCGACTAGGCGGTTCAAGAAGCTCCCCTCGCCAGCGCGCATTGCCGAGGATGAGAAAGGGAAGGCTCGGGAGGAGCAGGATGGGGTGGTGCCCTCAACGGAAGAGTACATTCTTCACACGACGAGAATGACGATTGAGGTCCTTCAGCAAGCTGCGGATTTCCTGCCCTTCCCTGGTGCAAGGCAGGCTCTGGACCTCGGTCTTCTTCTTTTAACGACCTACGAAGTAAGTGAGCGATGCTGGGAACTGTGCATGCATCTCACTATATCATGGATTAGGACGTTAACTCACTGTATGGTCAAGCAGGGGGTCTGAATGACCGAATTGCACAACTGATGCTTCTGATGGTTGATGGTATCGCCGGACAAGACGAACAAGACGTCTCACCTCGAGTCCGTCAAGACATCGAAAACTTGGTGCAGTAGGTATCATGCATGTCAATGTCGGATAGAAACGGCCTCCAAATTATTGGCTTTGCAGGGATTTCCGGATCATTCAAGAAAACCTGGCAAGAATAACGGCACAGAACAAGCTACTACTTGTCTTCTTTAAAGAGGCGAACAAATCCAAGATTGACGAGTGCGCGGGACGCCTCGACGAAGTACTGCAAACCTTTCAGGTGAGTAACCGCCCTGGGCAACTGCATTTACCGGTTCGCTGATTCCTGTCGCTTTAGCTAATGAGGACCATCGACGCTAGTAGCATGCTCACCCAGATCCAGGCCAAACTCAAGTCGCTTCACGAAGACGTCAAGCAGACTCGGCGAATGGTCAAGGACATACACACATGGATGAACCCCAAGATAGCCCATGGCGGTGACGGCAACCTCGGTCTCGAAGCGATGCCAACGCTGCCCCGGCTTTTTGGGCGCGACAAGATCATCGCTGGCATTGCATCTGACCTAGCCTCCCAACGCCAACCTCGGATTGCCGTCGTTGGCCCCGGAGGCATGGGCAAGACAGCTGTCTCCATTGCCGTCATGCAAGACCCACAAGTCGAGGCAGTGTATCGCGAACAAAATCGCTTCTGGGTCCCTTGTGTAGGCGCTACGTCCCTTTTCACGTTCCTACAAATCCTCCGCAAGGCCTTGCGTATCACTCTCGACACCGGGTCCCTTCTCAAAGATATCATCGACACCCTGAAGGCAACCCCGGAACCGCGACTTCTACTTCTTGACAATTTGGAAACAGTAATGCGTTTACCGGAAGATGTTTCGGAAGGTGGAAGGTTCTCTGCCGAGATTGTTCTTAACCAACTCTCCGCCCTGCCCCATGTCGCCATTTTAGTCACCATTCGGTCAAACAACCTCCCATCCGATACAATCTCCTGGAACCTAGTGCCTCTCGAAGGACTGGCCCGGGAAGACGCCAAGGCAATCTACACCAGCATCTGTCCTACAGCATCCAAGCACCTCGCTGTACTGGATCTCTTAGTGGAGGCTCTTGGCTACATGCCATACGCCGTTACTCTGCTCGCCAAACAAGCCGCCAAATCATTCATGACGCCCGACAAACTTCTCGAAGCCTGGAGGAAGAACGGTGCCAAATCCCTCACCGGGGAACTTCGAGACAAGATCAACAATTCAATCGAGTTCTCAATTAACAGTCGGACCGTTCAAGATGACCCAGATGCACAGAAATTACTCTCGATCATCGGGAAGCTTCCGTCTGGAACCACCTTTGACCACTTGGAGGATTGGTGGGGAAAAGACATCGAGAACCTCCCTGGTGCAATTGCGACGTTGAGCGATACTGCGTTGATCACCGTCCGAAACCAGGATACTGACACCCCTACATTTCATGTCCTCCCAGTCGTCCAATCATACCTTCGTACACACGAATCCTACAACTCTCTAAACTCTCGTCGCCTTGCGCTCAAAGCTTGCTGTCGATTCGTCCTCGATCACCGCTCAAGACCGGGAGACAGGAACTACAAGGCACATCTGCAGGAATTGGACATTGAGAAGAACAACATCCTCTCCATTCTCCTTGGAACGACGATCGAGACAGTGTCTTCAACCGGAGAAGAAAGCGATTTACCCCTAGTACTCGATGCCATCATCGCTTTCGGCTGGTATCAACTATGGACAAAGCGGAATCCGGAGCTCCTGGCACACATGCTGGCGAACATAGCGAGCGAAGAAACTGCCACTGAACCAACCATTCTTCGCCGTGTCGCCAAAGGACGCTACTGCCTTGGGCGGATGAAGCTGTTGCTCGGCGCGTGCAGCGACGCTTCTTCCCACATAGAGAAGGCTCGTTCAATTTCTCAGCGTTTGGGCTCTCCGGTTGACCTCGTTGAAGCGGGAAAGGCAGCTCTACTCCTCGCTCACGTCTGGAGGCTGGAGGGTCGGGGCCATGAGCAAGTACGGGATATCATCCGTGCAGGGGAGCAGGATGTAGGCGAGGATGCGAGGGGAAAGGCCTTGGTCCTCCACCACCTGGGAACATACCATTTGTGGATTAAGGAACAGGAGGTTGGGTTGGACTATGCGATCCGGGCGAAGGCGGCGTTCGACAAGTTGGAGAGGAAACCCGCTATCGAAGTCTTCAACTGCCTCATGCTCATCTCGCGATCTTATGGTTCGCTACACTCCGATCCCGAATGGCTCGACGCTTGTACGGAAGCTCTCAGATACGCCAAATCGATTGGTCTACCCACATGGATCGCTCGGGCTTTGCAAGACCTCGCCGGCTGCTACATTTGGAAAGCGAGGTACGATGATGCCATTGAGACATTAAAGGAGGCTGTGGGGATGTTCGAGAAAGTGGGGAAGCCTGATTCGTTGGCGCATGTTATGATGTTGAGTGGTTATGTGTATATGAAGATGGGTGATTTGGTCGGTGCGAGGTGCGCGTATGAAGTGGCGGGGAAGAGGTTGGAGGAAATGGAGCAGACAAAGGCCACGAAGGCTCGGTTGGAGCAATGTAAAAATAATGTAAAGGTACTCAGTAGAGAGGTGTTCGATGAGGCGGAGTTCAAGGTGCCATCGCTTTTACCGAAGCGTGGATGAGCTCTTACTTCCGTCACTGAATAAATGGGATGCAAATTCGCAAATACAAGTTGTAGGTAGTGGTTCCATCGGACATGGGTAGCTGTGGATCTTTTGTCCGGCACCCATTCGCTCTTTGTGCGAGTCGCCTGGCCCAGTGTCGGTTGATTTTCTCAAACAAGCGCCCGCTTCCATCATATTTCGACATTTACTGTGTGCACTCGTCCTGTTAATTTGAATCTGGATGCTTGCCGACTGTAGCAGAGGCTCTTGAACTGCACGTCATCGACAGAATATAAATAGGACCTGACTCATTCCGTTGCGTATTTGTCGGAGCATTCTGACGTCGACTTCCAGCACCTACGACTTGACCAAGCTCTCTGTTGAGACACTATGCAGCAGGATATTCTCAGTGTACTCGACCAAGAAAAGATCACGCTCTTCGATCTGGACTCCGAGGCTCCTGGAAAGGCGTTCTCGCCTTCAACCTGGAAGGTTCGGTGCGTAGTCGCAGCCTGCCTGCTCGTCGACCCGTCTAATTTGTCGAGCCAGCTATTCACTCAACTTCAATAAAATTCCTTTCGTAACACGCTGGTTGGACTTCGTGGAGGTTCAACCACTTTGTCTCGCCATTGGTGCGAAGCCGACGAGGAAGAGGCCAGATGGGAGTGACATGTATACTCTCCCCGTTATCTACGATCCGACAACTAAGAAAGCGGTCTCAGAATCGCTCGCTATCGTGGAATATCTGGACCGCCAATACCCCCAGTCGCCTCGAGTTATTCCGGACATCACTCAAGGCCTCGTTCGAGCCTTTGTCCACGCGTTCAGCAAGGAGATCATGATCTTGTACCAGTTCGGCGTCCTTCTTCAGCTGGAGATCGTTAAGCCAGGCAGCAAGGAGTACTATAGGAGGGATCGGGAGGCGTTGCTCGAGGCTTCTTTGGAGGATGTTGTTCCGAAGGGAGAGAAGAGAAAGGTCGAGTGGGCGAAAGTCAAGCAAGCGTTCGACACTTTCTCAAGTTGGTTTGGCGATGAAGGCGAGTTTGTGCCTGGCGGGAGGAGGAAGTGGGTCATGGGAGATTCGCCCTCGTTCCCGGACTTCGTTTTTGCGGCGCACCTTCAATGGATCAGGAAGGTCTTGGGAGAGGAGAGTGGGGAGTGGAAGGATATCATGCGTTGGAATCAGGGGAGATGGGCTCATTTGTTAGAGCAATGTCGCATTTATGAAGGGAGTTGTTAGATGTTCGAAAGTTCCGAGCACGCTCTATTCTCTCAACAGAGTCATTTCGCCTACACTTGCACCGCGCCTGATGAATGGGACAGGCTCTTCTAGGCGCCTGATGGGCGCTTACAGAGATCAACCCTCGTGACCATGTTCAAATATCCTGGCCATTAAGCGCAGTGCAATGAGATGTCCTTGTTAAACTGCTGGCTCGCAGGGTGCTTATGAAGGAATGATTACCCCGTAAGCCTTTGCTGCACGATGGTTTTGGGATGCATAGAACCGGGACTTTCAGTTTCGGAGACGCGGTATGGGTGGGGTTGCCATGCTCGAGACTGATGGACTTGCCTATCTCATCTTCACTGAGAATTTCTATAGATGTTACGCTTCTCTTTTATCGAGACAGTAGTGTGTCGAGACGCATGGTGTCCGCGCCGAGGTCAGCGCGTAATCCGGGGTCTTCAGGGGCTAAGTTTCCCGTCGGGGATATGAAAATCACGCTCAAGTTGTTTGATCATGCCCCGTTGACCGGTTAAGCATCTCCCTTGAGTGCGATGGCATGCTTGCCTTTATATTTCCCTCCGCCATTGCGACTCGCCCCCTTTTCACATTTCCCTCCTTGACTCTTCGAGTGCCCACCACACAGGGTGAGTTTTCTGCTTTGAACAGCTCCCGGAGCATGGTCTATGTGACGAATACTGACCCGAGATGTCCGTATGCAACTTTATAGGTCGACATACCTACACCACATCAAAAACTCGCCTTTCAGCTCAGCCAAGGACCTTCTCAACTTCACGACCTACAAGGATGTCGCTCGTCACCCCTGTAACGGAGCTTCTCGGGATCCGAGTGTGAGTTGAACAACCGGTTTTCATCCTGGCGGTCTTTGCGGCCAGTGGTCCGTTCGACGACATTGACTGACAACTCGGTTTTGAGTCCCGTTGTTCAAGGTGGAATGCAATGGTACGTGAATTCGACATGGACGAACCCATAAATCCGACGTATGCAACTTGAATGTAACCAGGGTCGGAGTGCCGAAGCTCGTCGCAGCTGTTTCAGAAGCTGGTGGTCTCGGTACGTTCAGCGCAGTCTGCCACCACTTCATCACGCTATAAACACGTTGAACTGCTACTTAGGTGTCCTGACTGCCCTCACCCAACCTTCCCCTGAGGCTCTCCGAGTTGCCATCCGCGAAACCAAGAAGCTCACCTCGAAGCCTTTCGGCGTCAACATTACCCTGCTTCCCAGTATCACCCCTCCGGACTACCCTGGATATGCTCGTGCCGCTGTTGAGGAGGGCGTTAGGATCTTTGAGACTGCTGGAAACAATCGTACGTCGCTCGTTTCCTAGGCCCGAGCCCCGCCCCAGAGCAGTGCAACTGACCGGTCGGCCACTTTCAATAGCCGGTCCTTTGATCAAGTACTTCAAGGAGAACAACTGCATCGTCATTCACAAATGCACAGCTATCCGACATGCCAAGGTCCGTGAGCGTGTACTGTCATTGCTTGGATTACTTGCTGAACTATTCGTCGCTTCTAGAGTGCTGAGCGCCACGGCGTTGACATCCTGAGCATCGACGGCTTCGAATGTGCGTTCTTTTAGCCGTATCCGTTATCCTGTACTGAACTGTCCTGTAGGTGCCGGTCACCCTGGAGAGGATGATATCGGTGGTCTGGTCCTGGTGAGTCTACCATTTCCCGCATACACGCGAACGATATATTGATCCAAGTAATAGCTCGCCCGAGCAGCACGGGAATTGAAGGTCCCCTTCCTCGCTTCAGGAGGTATTGCAGATGCACGAGGCTTCGCCGCTGCTTTGACTCTCGGTGCTGCTGTAAGTACCACGTATCGTCGCCACTTCAATCACATCTAACAATCCGGCTCTTACAGGGTGTCAACTTGGGAACCCGATTCATGTGCACAGTTGAGAGCCCTATCCACCAAAACATCAAGGAGAAGATCGTCGCATCCACTGAACGCGACACCGTCCACATCTTCCGCACTCTCCACAACACCGCTCGCGTCTTCAAGAACAAGATCTCCATGGAGGTCGTCAAGATTGAGAAGCAAGGCAACGCTAAATTCGAGGATATCAAAGACCTCGTTTCGGGAGAGCGAGGACGCAAGGTCTACGAGTTGGGTGATCCCGATTATGGTATTTGGACTGCCGGTATTGTTATGGGATTGATCGACGATATCCCTACGTGCAAGGATCTGGTGGAGAGGCTGGAGAGGGAGACGGTCGAGATTTTGCAGAGCACTGCCAAGTTGGCTGGATTGGAAGTTAGACAGAAGGCTAAGTTGTAAGTTATATGAGATGAAGCGATATTGTATATTCCAGGAGATACCTGTCTTATTGCTTTCGGAACTAGTCCAAGGGCCCTATACATTAACCTTATCATTGGTTGACTTGCAACCCTTTACACGAGCATCAGCACCAAGGCCATCGTCGCATATCTTTGAGGATCAATCAATGACGATATCATCGGGCGAAGTGGTCCTTTTGGCTAGCGATTCCTGTTTCGAAGAGGCTCATCGAGGGTCGAAGAGAATGGGGGCAACGTCCCAGCCCCTAAGCAGAGCAAAAGAAGGTTGCGCCTCGCCGCCCTGCTGGACGCTTTCTGAGGTGTGGACCAAAGTGTGCATGGCCGAATGGTGAATATTTGGGCATCAACCCAGTAGATCGTCGAGAAACGCTTCCATTTCAGCTTTCTCGTCTTTAGGCTTGGTGGCTTCTGCAGTCGGCAACTCTGGCGCCTGCTCGACTTTCGCTGTGCGGGCCTATTAGTGCGCAGCCTCAAGGGCCAGTGCGAGGGACTTTACCTGCTTGCTTTTCTCGGGCAGACTTGAAAACTGGTTTCGCCTTCAGCTTTTCAGATTTGGCTTTGAACCGTGCCTTTAAATCCCACTGGGCTTCAGCAGCCTCTTTCTCCCTAGTCATTTCATCCAACTCGGCATCCCATTCGATCTGCTGCACTTTTCCTTTGCGGTCCGCCGTCACCCGGTTTGTCGGTTTAGACGAGATGTGTGCTAAGGAGGCGTCAACCTCATCTTCGTTGACGGCGTCTTTCCCTTTCTCCAGCGGAGCGAGAGAAGTAGGCGATGGAGAGGAGATCCGCTGTTTCTCGAGGAAAGTTGAGAGGTCGACCTCAGGCTCGACAATTGGTTCGCCTGCCCACATCCTCGACTTAGCATCCCGTGACATTCGAAAGGTCAGAAACGACATACCATCCGAGTCCAACTCAGGTTCTTCCTCTTTATACCGATCCACATTCGTACCTAGCTGTCTCCTCGAGTACTTGGCCAGTCGTTCAGCCTTTTCTTCCTCGTCCTCCTCTTCATCCGGTCCTTCGCCTTCAAGGAGCAGCCGCTGGGTGAAGTGGGCAGGTCGTCCACCACCTCGATGTCCTCGACCACGAGCGCGTAGATATTTGCCCAATCCACCGCGGTTGGATCGCGGCCGTGAGCCGCCGCCGCGCCCTCGACTCGGAGGTCCAGTCGAGGGGGCTGAACTGGGAGGGTCCATAAGATGAAGTTGGAAGATCTAATCAAAGCTGTGAGCGCCGTACACATCAGTGAACGATAATAAGAGCGGGTGGGTGCATCGAGGTTCTCCGCTATCACCTGTAATCATAATCCGATATGGTGTAACGGCTAACATTACCGCCTTTCACGCGGTAGCTCGGGGTTCGATTCCCCGTGTCGGAACTTTTTGTCTGGTGTTTTCCAGTTTCTTTAACACCCAAACCTCCTTCAGACCTCCCCTGAAGGTCTCTCCGATGTCTCCATTCAATCCGATATGGTGTAACGGCTAACATTACCGCCTTTCACGCGGTAGCTCGGGGTTCGATTCCCCGTGTCGGAATTGCAGGACAATTTTTGGTGTAGTTTTGTCCTTGTTCTTCAGAAGTATAGCTGACATTCAGTCGGACCCATCGAAGAGGTGATTGGAGAATCTGGACTGTTCTATCCCAGATGTCGCTCGTAAAAGGCAGGACTAAGTATATCGGGTTTCTATTTTCCCAAGCCAGCCTCGAGGCAACCTGGAGTGCCAACTTCTTTCTTAGCTAAACTTGAGCTCGAGAATCGTTCTGTCACCCCCTTGCGGCGTTTCCCAAGGTTTCCGTAATCAGTATGGATGCTGTTGCTGAGGTCTGCAAGTTCCTTCGCGGACCTTAGTTATTCAGACATTCGTAGGAATTTACGATTGGATGTGCCACGGGCGCTTAAGCTATCGACCTATGTTGAACACCTGCTCCCCTTGTAGACCTACGACAACGAAGTTTGGTCTTCGAGGATTCGACGGACAAGCGAAGGACACCAGTATTCGTTTCATTTAAACTTTAATTGCTACCTCGCTCCCCTGGAATGCTCCTGACGTCCTTTCCATAGAACATCCTAGCGTTACAGCGGTTTGCATTAGTCTTTGCGCGAGCGATTTCACAGAATCCAATTGATGGCGTGTCGGAAAACTCCGTGGGGCTTCCATCCTGCCAAGTTTTGCCTCGAATACATGGCCAATTTTACGATTTGTTGGTGTGAAAGGGACATTTCGCTGTTTCATACCATTCCATGGAAGCACAAGGAGGATGGTAAGGGTACGACGACGAGGCAAGCAGCTCACAACCAAACCTGAACGACGGTCAAAACGTAGCGTCGAGCGTGACTTGGGCTGCCATACGGAGTTTTCCGACACGCCATCAATTGGATTCTGTGAAATCGCTCGCGCAAAGACTACTTAAGTAATGCAAACCGCTGTAAGATGGTTTTTTCGATATGAAATACATCAGGAACTTGAACCGACACCTACTGAATACGGAAAACACGAGTCACCCAAATCGAGATCGGGCTGCCCTTGCCAATTCTGAATTCTTGATTCGAAGCACTCGAGTCAATACACCTTTCACTGACGGACAATGGGAAAAATCGAATGGACTGAGAATAAGATGAATTGATAAGGAGGGATAATCCCCCTGCTCTTGATCTTTGCGCATATCTCGTTGATTTCAGTGGATGGTGCTCACCATGAGCCGCGAATCATCCCCCGACATTCTCGATATTGTAGGCCCTCCGTTACCCCACGAACACTACTCACCTACCTTCCGTGTTCTACCTTCCTCCTATTCCCCTGTTCCAACGTTTCAAACCCTCAGCGACGATGGAGACTCGGAAAGAGAGAGGGACACAGCGGACGAAACCGACGAGCTCAGCCTGAGTGACGATGACGAACGTCTGGAAAGCGAGGGATTGGTCATGAAGATGGTAACAAATGGTATCGGGAGGGATACGAGTCTCAGTGATGAGAGGGAGCAACCAGGAGGTCAAGGAGGGAAGAAGCAGACTGGAGAAAGCGGAGAGCCCATCTCCCAGTTACCGACAAGCGATGCACGGGAGCCAGAGGCGACGCAACTTCCTTCACCCGTGCTCACAGCAGACATCGAGGAACCCAGCACGACACATTCAGAGAGGGGGTCAGAGTCTGGATGTGGTGTTCCAATTTCATACACACCTCCGGTCGAGACAGAAGACACAGCTCCAATCGTTGGCCGATCGTCCTCTTACGAGTCTACGGTGATACCTCTCGTTCGGAGATTGAGGAGAAAGAGAAACGAGAGCTCGGAAATCGAAGACACTCCGGATGAAATACCAGTAGTTCACAATGAAAGGCGGACAATGACAGAGTCCCACGTAGAACGTGTCGAAGAACCCGCGAAGGAAGATGGGCTCGCCCATGAGGACAGTGTCACGGCGATCGCAGGCGCGGAGAAAGAGGCACAACATATCCAAAATGGCCCTGAGGACGTCATCAGGACGGAGCCTCTTCCTGCCGCCCAGCAAGCAGACCAGCGAGCTCCTGTGGCAAGCACTCCTTTACCTAAGCCCATATTGGAGTCAGCCATCGATGAGGCGTCAACTTTTCCAAGCACACCTTCGGACCCGCCAAAGAGAAAACGAGGTCGCCCTCTCGGATCCAAGAATAAAATTCGCTTTGGGCTTCCAATCAATAAGCCAAGTGCCCCTAGAGATGGACAAGGAGGTCGAGGTCGCGGTCGAGGGAGAGGAGGGGGCGGAAGCGGGCGTGGTACAGCAAATCCTGATCAGGCCCACGCTTCAGTGGCCGACTTCCCCGGGATTTCGCGCACCGTTCGACCCAGGCGTTGCCCCACATACATTTCACCCAGTCCACCTCCTCCTCAGCATGACAGTCAAGCAGGCGTCGCTCTTCCATCCGTATTTCAGCCAAAGAAGGTCACGTTCTCACTCCCTCGGTTGAACCTGGAGGATCCGGCCTTGCAATTCTTCGAAGAAAACGAGCTTCCGGAGTATGCACCTTTGAAGGTCCCGAATGAAGACGATGACAATATGTACGCAGATGACGAAGGAGAACATCTCAACCCAGTCACCGAGGCCCATACGGCGGCGCATCCGGATAACCGGCGCTCTTTAGCGCCCGAGCCCGAGCTGACACTATCTGAACGGAAGCGCAAGGCTGGTGAACAAGGTGAGATTCACGTTTCTCGATAACATTTTAGAGCGTTTAACTGTCCACGTAATGTCAGTTGCTATACCCCGTCCTACGAAACGGCCTCGCCGACGATCAAGCTCAGGCGAAGTAGAAGTCGTGTACGACTCACGAGATCAAGCAAGAGCTGCATCCCCCAATGACGCAGAGTGCGATAAGGTTGACGAATGGGATCTGATCCCATTTAATGAGTATGTGCTGGATGAAGACGACTTATTGGACACTCCGGTCACGAACGCATCTGCTGGTAAGGGGCCTGTGCAAGATATTCCAATGGACAATCCAATGGACGACCGCGACATGAAAATCCACGAACTTGAGAACCAAAGTAAGTTGTCGTGGGTCCTCTTGCACTCTACGGTCCAATTTACTACTCTTCCAGTCCTTTACGAACAAGAACTCCGTTTAACGGACAAGCTTGCCGCAGCACACGAAGTTCTTGCTCTTGGTAAGGACCATCGCAAATATTTGCGCATTTCCTCGGGACTGAACATACATCCAGTTAGAATGAACTTACGCCTTCACTCCAAGAACGCCGAAGAAAGGAAACGGCGCGCAAAGAAACACATCATGTCTTGAGATAGACTATTGGTCCGTACGATGTAGTATATTTAAAAAGGCCGTTGCTACTCTACCTGCGGCATCTCCAGCAGACTTTCGTCGTATTCTTCCGCACTCAGTACCTGCAAGCTATACTCCGAGTGCTTTAGCCAGCGTCCCCCTTCCTCGGTCCTTTCCAGTTCTCTGAACTTCCTTGTCGCGACCTCGTACGCCAGCTTGGCACCCAAAATGTCCCCCATCTTTGCGTAAGCGTACCCACTCAAAGCCAATACAATTGCCAAGCGCAGCGGAGACCCCACTTGTTCACAGAGCACCGATGCTTCCTTCAAGGTACGTACGGCGTCTTCATAGTTTCCGAGCCAAATATGACAACCCGCCAAACACTGGAGGGCCGCTGCGATCGTCGCAGGTAGACCAGCCCATTTCGCCAACTCGACGAATTCGATGCTTGCGTCCAGCCAGCGGTCTGTGTGGAGACTGGCGTGGCACTTGGTTACGATGAACACACAGTGACACAGCTCCAATCCAGGCGCGGGTTTGAGTTGGTCAAGCAATGCCCTCGCCCTCGCCGCGTATTCCAGCCCTTCCAGCGGCTGACCGATCCATAGGTGGTAGTCACCTAAACGCTGAAGAACCATCGCTTTTCCTTTGAGATCGTCGCCTACTTCCCCTTCGGCATCATGCACCAAGGTTCGAACCAGGTCGGGGTGTTGATTCAGCCGCATCTGGACGTCGGCCAGAAGAAGCGTTGAGTCTCCAGCGCGAACGAGGTCCTGTGGGGTGCCGAGTTTTCGGAAGGTCGCCCGAGCCTTCTCAAGGTCCGCACAGGCATCTTGGTATCGTGAGATAGCCCAGTTCATTCGTCCAAGGCAGTACCGCGCTTCAGCCACTTGGCGAAGAATCGGGATTTCCGAAGCACACTCCTCGTTGATGACCTTCTCGAATAAATGCGATAGCAATTCGAGGCTAGTCTTGGTCCGTAGTTGATACCACCCAAACGCTACCATCGCCTTCAAGACAAGCTCGACGTCGTCACACATTTCCAATCGACGGAGTTTCTCCATCGTCGCGTCGAGAAAAATCACCAGTATGTTGGTCTTTTCAATGTCGAGTTCTTCGAGGTGGGTCTTGAAATGCCTGTCTCCGGGGAAGGAAGCATGGTCCAAAACGAATCGACAGCACGCTTCCAGAACGAATCTTTGGTCTTCAACGGTATTGTACTGAGGATGTTCGTGGAGGTAGGACTGGACAACAGGAAGGACGTAAAGGGTCGGTGACTGATCGTCGTGGTGTCGTATGGTAACCAGAGCCGTGTCATTGAGCGTCGCGACTGCACTGGAAAGGCTGTCGATGTCCTTTCCCCACCATTGTTCCAGATGGCGCCGGGTTGTTCCAGAAGGGAGTTTTCCAAGGATTGAGAGCAACCTTTGCGCATCCGGGTCGTCCTTGAGAACGGGAGACTCTATCGAGAACTCGAGGGAACGGTTCATCTTGTCCCGCAAGTCCTTCGTCAAAGCTTTGGCACCTCTTCGTTTCCACGCTTGAAGAAGGTCTCCTGGGTCCATCACAGACTTTACAGCCTGTTTGGCCAGGAGGGTCACCGCGTAGGGCATATAACCCAATGCCTCCAATAACTCGTCCAGGCCCGGTTTGGCAGTCGCCGACGGACAAATGTTGGTGAAAATGGCTCTGGCATCTTCGCGAGCGACACCCTCGAGATGGATGAGGTCCCATGAAATAACGTCGGAGGGAAGGGTATTGGATCGGATGGTGACCACTAGGGAGATGTGGGGGATGGCTGCAAGCTGGTTCAGAACGATCTCTCCGGACAGCTTTCCACCCTCCGAGATAATCTCAGGGAGCTGCATAACTGTCTCCAGATTGTCCAGCAGAACAAGGCGGGGTTCTGGCGTCGACTTGAGAGCGTCGAGGATATCCTTGAGCGGGGAACTGGTGTCGAGTGAAATGCGAAGCGACTTCTTGAGGATTAGAACGAAAGTGAGAAGAGACGTGGCGCCGATGCATGGAACCCAGAACCGATGGCACTCTTTGTAAATGGCATGGATTCGTGGATCTAGCATTGCCGCTACAGCCACGGACGTTTTCCCCATCCCGCCGGCTCCCACAACTCCAATTCGAGGTTTCGGCTGCATCAAACGTTCGACTACCTCGGCGATGACCCGCTGGCGCCCAAATAACCGAGGCAGAATGGGCATCTCCTCCAGCGACAGAGCGTATTGCCCATTATGAGCGTCCTTGCTTTTCAGCATCCAAGCGTGCATTTCGTCAACCTTATTCTCGATATTGCCAACACCCTTCTGGATCCCTCCCAGCTTTCGTTGAATTTGTGAAAGCATATGGGCCGCATCCAGTGTCCTGCTCATCTAGCGGAAAACGTTAGATGGACGTCAGAAAAGAGCAAGGGATATGCATACATTGAAGGACTGCAGTGCATCATTGAGTCTTTCGATGCAAGAGTCGAGCTTGGACCTATTGACGTCCTTGAAGAAGACTAACAACAGTCGGTTCTGGGCGGTGATCTTGGCTATCTCCTGCTGGATAACTTGTAGATCCCTGAAATCCTCATTTAGCGCTACCTTCCAGGCACAGCAAAGACCTCGACGAACACTCCGAGTTTCTCGATGTCCCGGAGAAGCTGCGCGGGGATATCATGCACAGTCTTGTCCGCAAGTCCGTACACCATGACCAACATCAATTCACCGATGCGGTTGTTGAGTCCTTTGACTTGCTCATCGAGAGCGGAAACGTCCTGTTGGAGAGAAATGGAGATAAGAATTGGGACGGGTGTAAAATGGATGTTAGATTCCTCACCTCATAGGTAGTCATAAGCAAAAGCCCAATCTCTAGGACTTGCTTGGCGCCAGGCACGGGCAATAGCTCAGAGAATTGTCGAAGGATGTCGATCGTCTGTTTTGTGGTGTCGAATGCATATTCGCTGGCGGATGATTGTGTCGTTCCCGAGGTACTCTTGGTCTTCTGCTTATCCTTGGGTCGGAGAGAACACGAAAATCGATCAGTGCGACTCGAGCTCGAGTCCACGGATTTGCGACGGAAAAACGACAGACATCCAACCTGTCGTTCGGGCGGGTTGGGGCTAAGAAGGTGGGATGCCATGTCGCTCAATGCAGACCGAGGGGAACGGGTCTATTTATCTCGACATTGCAGTTTGTGAGAAGTCAAGAAGCCCTCGACAGCATATTATACCCGCCACCCACAGCAACCTGCATCTGTCGACTTTGTTGCACCCAAAACCAGACCAAACCTAGGATTGTAGGCGCCAGCCTTCAGACAGATTGATGTGATGGTTGGAGGTAGTGTGGATTGACAAGTCTAAGTAAGGTGTTGCTTTCCTTTGACCTTTGACCTGTCTCCGTCGGACGTGTTCTACGTCCGAACCCAACTCGCGCACACAACCAACTCAAAAGACTTTTTGTTGCTGTCCACATGTGCATATCAGGTCCGCGGGTTCTTCTTGAATAGAGTCGAGACTGTCGAGTCAATGTACACGTTATGCCTGCCGTCACAGTCATTTCTATGCCGGTAAGCGTCGATTCGCTGGACAGTCGCGAGTTGATTGCAGGAAAGCATCGAGACAAGGTGGTGGTCGAAGACAACGGGCGCTGGCCCGGTTCGAACCTGGGCAACCGGCACCTCCGGTGATGCCGGAGCACCGATCCGTGCAGTAAAAACATACGCAATCAAGGATGCGGCAGTGATGACGGCATCCAATCGGAAGGCTTATCAGCGAAGCACAGACGAACCATGACGAGCAAGCTACGGTGTTTCGCCAGCCGCAGGCATCCTTTTCCAGTTTCTTCTAAGTCACACCAGAGAGATCAGTCTTAAACCGACGAACTAATACCTCAAGGCTCGTACAAGATGATGCAACCACCTGTTGAGAATCTCGCACCTCCCAAGGACGACCCTTTCACCCCAGAGGAGTTGGCACAATATGACGGGAGCGACACCTCGAAACCGATATACGTTGCCATTAAAGGTGGGTCCTTCCCCTTGAATAAATATGCCTGTTGAGACGTTGATCAACGTGAACAGGGACCGTATTTGATGTGACAAGGAAGGCAGATGTCTACGGCGCAGGAAAATCCTATAACATCTTCGCGGGGAAGGATGGATCGAAGGGATTGGGAATGTCCAGCTTGAAACCAGAGCATGCCATTGCAGACTACAGTGATTTGGGAGAGAAGGAGAGGAAAGTGTTGGACGATTGGTATTCCTTCTTCGAGTGCGTAGCTCGTCTTTCCCATTCCAACTCTTTTTCAGCTGGGATGTTCTGACCTTCGTGCTAGGAAACGATACAACATCGTCGGAAGGGTCGTCCCCTCTCCTTCCCTGTGATTACACCCTGGTCTCTCGATTTCTCCGACCTTCGCTATACCCACCAAGTTGTCCAATGTACCAATATCTCCTGTGCAACAAACGTCATACCATGCAACGAAGTATTTTGACACCAATATAACGCGGACCCCTTGTCCGTATAACCTCCTAGGTCAATGGCCTGTCATCTACCATGTTACTTCCAAGAACTGTCAGTCTTTTAAACCTTTGACCAGCTCGTGTCTCTGCTCAGAGCCGCGGAAAACGCTCGGAAACTGACCTATACTAACTATTTCGGAACTACGCCGGAACTCGTCTCTCAGAGAATCTTTTAAATTCCAGGTAAACCTCGCTAGTTGCTTCCTAGCTTCCGTGCATTCTTTAGCCATTCAACATGCCTGAGATGCAGCCCCCCGTCGACAACCTCGATCCTCCCAAACACGACCCTTTCACTGTAGATGAACTCGCTCAGTACGATGGGAACGACAAGTCGAAACCGATCTACCTGGCTATTAAGGGTGAGGGGTCATCACAATCATTCGACGTACATACAAGGTCCCCCGCCAACTTCTATTGATAATAGGCACGGTGTTTGATGTTTCCCGCAGGCCCGAGATGTACGGTCCTGGTGGAAAGTACCACCCATTGGCAGGCAGAGATGCATCCAGAGCCCTAGGAAAGGGAAGTCTGGAGAAAGAAGACCTGAGTGACAACCTGGAAGGACTGGATGAGAAGCAGAGAGAGAAAGTGGATTGGTGGTTTGACTTTTTCGAGTGCGCTTCTTGACCTGCTCCTAAAGATAAGCGCTAAGCTTTAACCACTTCCCCTCAGGAAACGGTACAACATCGTTGGGAGCGTTGTAGGCCGCGAATAAGATCTTTCCCGTGTAAAGCGATTGTATTCCGACGTCAATATAACAACGTAGCCTTCAGCTCCTCTGGTTCGAAAGACCCTCTGTCTAGTAGCAACATCAGATTCCATTCACACTCTGCGATATACCCCGTCGTCCCATCGCTCTCTTCAATATCCAAGAACTGTAGCCTTGAAGTTCATACGCCACCTTTGCTCCAGCACATCACCCATGTCGTCCTCGGTGAGTCGTGCCATGGATAAACAGCTCGGGTGATTGAATCACTCGCTAACGTCTTTTGAATGCATTTGTTGGTCGTAATCCACCCAGCGTGTGGTGAGGCTAGAGAACCCAGAAATCCAGAAAGGGAGGTAGGCGCTTGTCGGAGGTCGAGTATCGCCGACTGGAAAGTCCGAGGAAGAGCGAGAAAATTCGGCTGCTCTATCCGCGTTTCCTTTGCTCTTCAAGTTCCAGTATCGATAGAAAGAGGTGTGCCATTACAATAACCGTTGATTCGAAGTTGACCCGCTGGTGCACGGCTTGGTTCGGAAGAGGCGGCTCAAGATTGCAATTTTGAAGCAAGAGTCAGATCCGCAAGGACGTAAGGACAAAGACTGATATGAGCACCGAGCAGCAAAGCTCTGCAGGGCTGGACTCAAAACGATGGGTTGGTTCAGGTTCAGGTTCAAGGTCAAGTCGCGAGTCGCGTCAGGGAGGACCGTGGGACGTTTGCTTGATACCCCTATTTACGACGTCGTTGACGATCAGTTCTGTCCAATCTCTTTCCTTCCACCGGGAAATGGCCAGTCATCTCGACGTTATAACCAAAACGTGTCTGTTACAGTCACCACAAATTCTCGTTCCCTTTCTCTTGACTGCAGAGTCTACTGGATTAACGAGCGTGCACTTTCCTGAATAGTTCGCCTGGCGGAGAGTCTACGCATTCCAAGAAGCTAAGAAGCAGCCGTCGTCTCTCTAGCAGTAGCCCCACTCTTCGATTCCTCACCCTCCAACTTGGTCAACCACTTCTCGACGAACCCCTGATGCGCCCCGTAGTTCATCGTGGTATCCAACGCGTCCCTGTACCACCGACACAACCAGAACGGAATCTCGTCAGCGACCGAATCTATTCCTTCTCGAGCAGCCACAGAGTTCCCGAGGACTGTCGTCCCCTGACTCTAGTACTATTCGAGAGATGGACAACAGCCACAACGCACCTCACAACGCCCTTGGAATCGATCACGAACGTTACTCTCGCAACAGGTACTAACCCCGCCATCCCTCGCGGCACACGATACTTGGCTACCGCTTCTTTCTTAACATCGCTGAGGATAGGGAACTATAGGGAATTGCGATTAATGACCCCGCCGCAACGAATACCCAGCCCCTCGAGAAGGGGGAGAAGGGAACTCACAGGCAGGCTGTGCTTCTCCACGAAACCCTTCTGTTTCTCGACAGTGTTCGCACTAATACCGATGATCTGAACTCGGTCCGGGTTGAAGTTGACCTTGTCTTTTGAGGGACGACGTCAGGTTATTGGTGCGTATGGTCCATTTACGTGAACGGCTGGCACTCACCGACAACGGCGTCCCGGAATTGACAGATCTGCTGAGTGCACCCATATGAACCTGAGGTCGAACAGCAGCAGCACAGAGACGTTGTTCAGCCAGTTGGAGGACCCAGGAAGAACCTCCCACTCACCTGATTCAGGATAGAACAGAATCGCAGTGGGCCTTCCACTTGCACCAGGCTTGAACTCGAACGTGTCTCCGTCATGGTTGGGCAGCGAGAACGCCGGGGCTTCTTTACCGATAAGGTCTGCAAAAGTCGACATGGTCGTGTCTAGGAGGTGCTAGTTGCAAGTCAAGGTTGGGGGGAATCTAGAAAAACACCAGGTTAGGTTATATAGACACCATCAAATGTGCTAATCTGACCACACTACCGGCCATATTAATGCGATGATGAGCTCGGAAGGGGAAAGCGTGTGAGGTCATTCTCCATAATCGATGGTGTTTCGAAGTTAACTCTAACCATCGGCACCTGGATGCAATGCAGGTTAAAGGGCGACAATTCTGGAAGGTCGCAGTAATGGAACGATGGGGCGCGCTGCGCAGCGCAAAAATGGGCTGCCGTCCCTTCAGAGCGCCTCATCTCGCAAGAGCGTCGAACCTAGACGGCCGTGATTGCAATGTTTTTGTATTGCGTGTTGCATATCATGAAAATGAGAAAGGCAAACATGTCGGGATTGATCATACGTTACGCAAGGCATGGATAAAGACAGAATGGACCGCATGAACAACCCCAAATCCTGGACGCATTTACTCGTCATCCTCCTCCTCCTCTTCCTCCTCAGACTCATCCTCAGCCTCCTCCCGCTCAGCCTCCACAACAGCAGTGGCAATACGATCCAAGTCCCGCTGACCGTCTTGCGTAATTCTTCGGCCACCGTTCTCGGTCTGCTCGAGGACACCAATCTTCTCGAGGGATTGGCAGATTTTTCGTTGGACGTTGGTGGAGGCGTCGGCGTGGTGTGAGGGTCGGTTGCCTCGTCGGTTGCGACCACCGTGGAGTTTGGCGAGAGCGCCGACACCGACGTCTTTTCGGAGGTAGATGTGTCGTGCAACAGCAGCTGGATTTCAGGGATTGCGATAAGTCTTGAATTGGGTGCGTAGGAGGTGATTATATGCTCACCGGCACGGACATAGTACCAATCAGGGTCATAAGGGGCGAGTTCCTTGTAGGCACCGGTCTTGACGAGGTCGACCCATGTTGGGACCTCAAGCTTTCCCGAACGCTTCAAGTGGGAAGCATAGGCCTTGATGAAGGCGTCAGGGCTGTATGTCGTGGAATAGCACAGATTTTGTAGATTTTGCAGAGTCGATGATTTCCAAGTCAAAATGAGCGGATTTCTCAAAGAACATAGATTCGCCAACGAACCTGATATCTCTTACTCCCGGCATGTTGGATTGGACGTTGCTTGAGGACCGGAACGCAAGGCCTACGGCTCGTTACTGTGTCGATTTTGCGTCTTCGCCAAACACTGTTGATCGCGCGCTCTGCTCCTCGGCAATCTCCGGCAAACTGTACAGGTCCATCAATCTATTGCTTTCGTGCCGAACATTCCGCCGACCATTCTTTGAGCTCGTCCAACGCGTTTGCGTGCTCGACGTGTTCAGAGCATTCGATGACGACGGCGACATATTCATTCATTTGAGACGAATATGTTGTATCTAGCTCCCTGATCAAATCTATCCATTGGTCCTCTGTTTCAGCACGCAGTCTACAGACAAGCAATAGTCGTCCAAGTTCCGGGCCAGTCGCAGGTTGGCATACCCCATTGGCGAGCCTGGGGCACAGAAACGGCGAGGCAAGCAGTATGTAGAGGCGCCTGGGATGGATTGTGGTGTGTAGAAACGCCTCCCAGCCAGACCCTGCCTCCCGCCACACCCATTTCCCACGACTTCGTCATTGGCAATACTAATCCCCTGAATTGTTCCTTTGTCCAGAGCCCACACCACGAACCACAATGCCCAATTCGCCCCGACCAGCCAGCACAGAAGCACTCCCCCCGGAGCTCCTAATCGCCATATTCCAAGCCTACGTGAAGGACGAGACGTTGGGAGTTTTGAAACTCAGGAGCGTCTCGCGGAGGTGGAGGGACATTGCCAACTCGCTGCCGAACCTGTGGCAGCACATCTACCTCGACAGTTCATCCGCTTCCATCCCGAACCTCCACCAAGTCGCGACGCTGTTCCTCCAGAAGTCGGAACCTCTCCCAGTCGACGTCGAAGTATGGGCATACGACTCGGACTGCGTACTCCCCATCCTTTCCCCTATTCTGCACTCCGTCTCGCGTTGGCGCACATTCGTCACTTCCGGATACCGCACCGAGTCCATCGACATGTCAGCCCTCGGCACGTACCACAAGGCCGCCTACCCCTTCCCCATGGACAGACTCACGCTCCATCTACACGACGGTGACTTTGACGGGAACCTGGACGACAGCGATGGAGGTGAAGAGCCCATATTAAATCCGACCTTCACACCGGAAGGGGAGATGCAGTTGTGGGTCAACAGCCTTCCACCAAAGGAGCACCTTGCACCACTCCACTTTACCCGCCTCAAGATCTCTGCCCAGGGCCTGGAAGCAGGGCATGTAACACCCGCGTCCATCGCAGGCGTGCTCTCAGCGTGTCCTTCGCTCGTCGTCTTCTCATTCGAGGGCTGGGTGGAGGGCGAGGAATTCGGTTCGTACGACCGGCCTACCGCAACTGTTACTCTCCCAAACCTCGAAAGACTCAAAATTCGCGGGACGACCCTCACACGACCCATCCTCTCCAGTATAATCGCGCCGCGACTCCAATACCTCACCCTCGCATACCTCAATGTCGACCGCCAAATCGGAACTGCGGATCTCTGTGGAGACGACGGGGAGAGTGAGGACGAGGCCAACGATTTCTCGCAGTCGCCTTGGAGCGACAGGGCCACGGGTTTGGGCCTACGACAGCTTATCTCGCGTTCACGCCCTCCGCTCCGGACACTCGAGATGGACTATAGCGATCTCCGTACGAAAGACTTTCGATGGATATTCGACCGCCTCGACACACTCGAAGAGTTCCGCATCGTCGCATCCGACATGTCGGACAAGGTCATCAGGCTGTTCAAGTTGGAGACCCAAGCTCCCCCTCGAGCCTCGTCCTCTTCTGGAACAGACGCTTTAGTGAAGATGAGACTGCCTCGGTTGAAGAGACTCGAGCTGATACAGTGCCAGCGTCTGACGGGGAACGCCGTCGTCCAGGCTCTGGTCCCCCGAGTCATCTACACCGATTCAACGGCTGACACTCGTCGCTTTAGCAAACTCAAGTTTGTGTCCACGGTGGGTTGTGCTGGGATGGAGGATCGACATGAGCATGTTTTGACATCTACCTTGGGATCGCGGTTTGTGTCGTGACTTGGACAACTTGGGTTTCCTCGTAACAATAACAGTAACAGGGAAACTCGTGTAACGGACAGACGAACTATATGGCTGTTGTATGTATTATATTGTATTCATTATCGTATCGTATTGGGACCATGCAGAACTGGCTTCTTTCTACTTGCAGCTGTACCTCCAATCACAACATATACCCTACCAAAGAATGTTCATACCCGCCGAGGATCTACAGACTTGAGTCGGCGCCAGCCTGCAGTGCTCCTGTCGGTTCTCCTTTAATCGAGCTTTCAACGGTGTGGACGTTCCAGTTATCGTTTGTAACAGCTTTCTCGTCGCCCCGTGGGGCACCCGGAGCGAACGAGGGGAAATACTTAATCCATGGAATCGCATGTGGATCACGGCTGCTGCACAACGAATAAAGTGATTGGTGTGCGAAGGCGACTAGCGAGTGGATGTGTCTGTGGTGCTTGTACCTCTCGGGCCATGTCTGCTGTGCCAAGCGTAGTAGGATATTCGAGCGGCCATACGCGCCTCTCGTTTCTCCGTGAACCTTGCAATACCACATGTAAATCGTCGAACGTCCGCCTAGCACCGTTTCGCCCCGAATTCACGTTCGAACAACCAAAAACTGCTCTGGAATATCCTGGCCTTCGTACGGAAGAAGGCACATCTCCGCGACCTTCTCGCCGTCTGCGCGAGTTTCAATCGTGCGTCCAACCTAATGAGACTCCAATAAGTACTCCATCGGGGAGAGGGGTGAGTAGAGTTCTGACCTGCCAAACTCTAGTGTTACACCCAAATTGAACGAGCGAGGGTCCACAACGGCGGACAAGGTCCAGTGTTTGGGTAGGTGTCAAGAGGGGACGAGGGTCCTCGCCTTGGATTCCATCTTCCTCGTCTTCGTCATTCTCTTGGGCGCCTATTTCAAGGGGGTAGTTGACATGAACTGTTCGCAATTTCTTTGCGTGCTCAAGGGCTTCTGGTAAGGCATTCTGCGGCGCAAATAAGCGAAACCAGTCGGGAGAAAAACTTGGACAACGCACTAAAAACCGAGGTTCCACTACGACGAATAGTTCCCTCAGATTCGGGGCGCGAATGCACAACTCCCGTATAGAGGGTATACCCAACGGAATGCGATGAATCGAGAATCTCTCCAACTTCTCTCCATGCACCCCAACCAAGTTCGACAGAAACCGGGGGATCGCCCCCACCAAACTCGTCGTCGAATCCATATGCGAGGAGAGCGTCTCTGCGGTGGGATACCGCGGTGCAGTAGAAGATGTCGCGTAGATCTGGAATTTCGTAAGGTCGGAGGAGGCGGAGAGGAGGGTTAGGACTGCCTGGGTCCATTGCTGCGGATCGATAAAGTGGGAGACTGTGAGCGTTATGGATTGGAGGTTTGTGAGTGCCCGGGAGTGGATACAGTGTTCTGCGAAGGCTGTCATGTTCTGTGTGTGAGGGCGGTAAGGTATGTGAGGATGGGACAATAGAGATTATGGGACAACATACGAATTTGGGAGATACACCCTCCAGTCCGAGAGCTGTTAGACCTGCTTTGTTCGCGTTCAGGATGGAGATGATACCCCGCTCCGTTACTTTAGGGCATCCAGTCAAGTACAATTGCTCTAGATTGACGAGCAGCGGAGCGAGTGTTTCCAATACGCTATCGTTCACCACGGGTGATGTCTGCAAAGATCGTCAGCTACGAGGAAAGTCCTAACCACGGACGGACGAACCTTGCAAATCACAGTCAAATGCTTCAGCTTTTCTCCAGAACAGCGTAGCATCGAAGTCAACTGCGAGATGACGGCGCCACTGGGCATGATCAAGGATATCTTCGTGAGATTCCTGAAGCGAGACAAAATCTGGGGATCGTATTGTCCTTGGCTATGTCCATTCAACTCGATCTCTTGGAGACTGGACGAGCAGCATAGTGCGCCGAGGATATCCGAACTCAACGTCCCGTCTCGCGTCCAAGTACAGGCATGGAGGTTGGAGCAGTTCTGGAGACCCTTGACGACAAGGTTTAGGATGTCTTCTTCGGAAGATATGATAGCCTTTGGGAAGTCGCGGATTTCTAGGTTGGTTTTGCATACTTAGGTCAGACGGTTGTTTGAATTCGGGCTGACCGAGCAACCAACCTAGACGGCGGACGTGTTTCGCGAGGTGTGGATAGGTCGCCAGTGTCGTGAACAGATTCAAGACCTACACCGACATCTCTTCAGATAGACATTCATTAGATACCGATGTACACTACGCACCTTGACCTTCCCTCCTTTATGCCACGAATAGATCGACACCCGGCTATACAACCTCGGTATCGCAAACGACTTGAACGTGCTATTCACCAACGAGGCATTCGCCAAATGTTGTGGTTTAGGCAAATATGCCAGAATCAACGGGAGTATCTCGACCGGCAAGTCCAAGAAGTCAACCATGGTGATGGTTCAAAACCAAGCAGAGAAACTGCGAAATCCATGACATTTCCAGAGACCCAAAGCGTGAAACGGAGATACTTCCGCTGCCTCCGCAAACCGGACTCTGGAGATTTGGATTAACTCTCACACCAAAATATCTATTTTTAACTCTTTCCTCTTCCTTCATCTCTATCCTCCCCGAGACTACGCTGCAGTCCCGGAATGCCTCTGGATGGGCATTCATACTTGGTCTCGCAGGGATGGGGCGGTAAAGGCACTGGTCTCCGCCAAGGAGCCATAAGCAAACCCATCATCATCGCGCAAAAGAAAAACCTCGCTGGACTGGGCAAAGATAGAGACGAGGCTTTTCCGTTCTGGGATCAGTGAGTTCTCGTGCCGATGTGCAAAAAATGGTTAGTTGGTTCTGACCCACCCAACCTCGTGGTGTTTAAGCCTGTTCTCGGCGGCGGCAAGCTCAATTAAACTAAAAGTCGACGACTCGGACGACGAGAATACGACGAGCAGCGACGATGGGGGGAACAAGGTGCGCCCTCTCTACGCCTACCCATCTTAGCCCTCATCTCTAATTAACACATCATCCCCAGTTTGCACTCAAACGCACGCAAACGGGTATAATCTCTAATCGCAGGCCCATAGCCGGCACACCCGCTACAGGCTCAGGCTCCTCCACCCCCTCAGATATCACCTCCACCTCCGACAACACCCCTCAATACACACTAATCGTCCGCGCCAAACGCGAAGCTGCTCGACGAGGGCTGTATTCACGCTTTTTCCGCGGTCCGACGCTGGGCCCTGATACCTCTATCGAACGGGGGATGAAAGAGTCGTCACCTTCACCACAATATCCTGTGGAAGATGACAGTAAGGCTACTACTGCCGGAGGCTCACAGTTGGATGTGGTCAAGACCATAGTGGCCAACCAGAGCTCTTCGAAGAACTCGACGAGTATAGATGGGATGTTGCAGAAGAAGAAGCAGAAGCGGTCGAAGGGAGATGACGAAGATGATAGTTCGTCGCCCAGGGTTGACGACGAAGAAGTGCCGAAGAAGAAACGGAAGAGAGAGGATGGAGAGGAGAAAGTGAAGAAGGACAAGGAGAAGGAGGACGGGAAGGACAAAAATGACAAGGCAGAGAAGAAGGAGAGGAAAGATAGAAAAGAAAAGGGCAAGGAGAAGAAGGACAAGGATAAGGAGGGTAAAAAGAAGAAGGAGAAACGGGCCAACGAGTCGAAGGATGGCGAAAAGAAGGAGAAAAAGGTCAAGGCCAAAAGCGACGACAAATCCTCCAAGAAATCCTCCAAGCAAGGGAAGGATAAGGAGTCCATCGAGGACGATTCTACGCAGGCCTCCAAGGTTGAAAAGGAGCGTAAGAAAGAGAAGAAAGAAAAGTCGAGAAAGTCAAAGTCCAAATCTTCATCTCCATCGGCAGAAGACACCTCCCCATCCCCATCCTCCGATTCCCCAGACGACAAGAACCCTTCCAAAAAATCCGACAAGAAACGGAAACGTTCCGAACTCGAGGACACCACAGAACCCAGTGGCGAGTTCAAGGAGAAGGACAAGAAGCGCTCATGCCAGACAGTGGACGACGACCAACCTCTCAAGAAGAAGAAAAAGAAGCGGAAGACCGAGGAGGAATCTGATTCCTAGCTCGTTCCCTTTCTACTCGTTCACATGTACACACACTCCTACCTGCTAAGACTTCTGTCGAGCCCTCTTCCCATAATCGAATCTCATGCACAGGCCAGGACCAACGTCACGCCAGCCTCACTCCAGATGGAAATATTACGATTCGGAAAGAAAACGTGGTCATCATGATCCAGGCGTGGGTCGTACAATACAGAGACAGAGAGAATCCAATAACATCGGTATGGAATCAAGAATCGTATGTTAAAATTGAGAAAGAAAAAGATGACCACTAAGCTGCCCTGGGTATTATATACCGTACATTAATCACATCCTCCTCCCAACGAGGAGGAGCAACAAGGACGAATCAACACCTGAACAACGGTCATAAACGAGTAGTAATAGTAGTGGGAAGAAGACGGGCTCCAAAATCGTAAAGAAAATGCTTTCTACGTAGCGTGAGCGTGAACCTGGCGATGCAGATGTGATGGGTTGTGATATAGTACATTTGAAAGGGTTTAATCCATGACGCCGAATTCGTCCAGACTCAGGCTCGAGCGCTTCTCCAGGCACTCTGCATGGCAATACGCCTTGCCTACAAACGCAGCGTCGTCAGCAAATGGACCTCAAAAATAGATCTCAAACATACCTGATCAAGCGAGATACTATCCTCCCTCAATTCAACCTTTTGCCGACCATCGTCCTCATCGTCATCATCGTCATCAAACCCAGTCCTCGCCGCGCCAGGCCTCATACCACCAAACGCAGCCTTACCACCCGCCAGCGAGAACGGCGTCGAAGCCACAGCCGTCCCAAAGACACTCGCGTTCTTCGGTGCACCAAAGGCTGCGAAATCGGTCACAACCTTGCGAGGTGGGGAGGATGGCGGCGATTTGGTGACTGGAGATGCGATTTTGGTTGGCGGTGAGCGAGGGGGCAGGCTATAGGATGAATACGAGCTGCGCAACGAATGACGTGCTTGCAGGTATTTGTCTGTGAAGCGGGTGCCGTGTACCTAAAGACCAAGGTCAGTTAGTTGTACAAGACAAACAAAATAAATAACCATGTACCCGTTTCAAAAGAGGCCTGGCCTCCGCTAATGACGGTGCTTGGGTGAACACCGCAACGTTATGCTTCGCTTCCTCCGACTCCTTGTAGATACTCTCGATGACCACCTTCTTCGTGCTCTCGTTCCTCAAAAGCAGCTTTTCATGCAACTCCCGGGCAACGTCGTCCACGCTCTCGTTGTTCCCGAGGATGCGCTGAGCCACAGCATGACCGACCTCGCGCACGAGGCGCTCCATGTCGAGGTTCTCGAGCACGCTGCCCACGATCGCGTGTGTGAGGAGGTCGGCCGTGGTCAAGGGCAGCATGAGCCCCGAAGTGATAGAGGTAATAGCTTGGTAAAAGTCGGTGGCATACTGCGATGATGTCAGTCAATCAGACAGACTCTTGGGGGCGCGACAGATGCTACTCACCGAATAACCGCTCAAAGCAGGTTCACAGGCGACAAAGAACTTGAAGAAGGTTTAGGGTATCAGATCTGACACGAACACGGAAACCTACCAATGTAATGCCCTTGGACGCCATCTGCCTCGCCAACTGTAACGGGTCATATCCATCTGGCGAACCATCGTCGAAGCCTTGAATCTAACCTATCAGCGATTATCCTGGTCACTTATAAAAGGACGAACTCACCATCCCCATACTCTCCAATACCATGAGGCGGCGCATCCGCAATAAGAACAACCATCTTACTCGCATACTCCCTCCAATCCATATTCAACGCCTCCGCTAACGCGGCCGTAACAGCCTCCGGACCATCCCCTCCCCCACTCGCATACAAACTCGACAAATCCCGATGCACCTGGCTAATATCACTCGAAAACCCAAAGTTCTTGGTGACGTAGGTGTGGTCCTGCGGTGGGTGGTCGCGGAAGGCTACCAGCCCTACCCGGAGGTCTTCTGGGCTCTGGAGCTTGCCGCTCTCGAAGATGTGGGCGCAGATTTGCTCGATGTTGCGGGTGGCGGAGCTGATGTAGCTGCCTTGGCTGCCGGTGCAGTCTTGGATAAAGACGAGATCGCTGTTGTTGTTTTTTGCGGGGTGGCAGGGGGTGATTAGCGACGGTGATGAGAAGCGTGTGTTTGCATGTCGTCGAGGACAGAGATAGTGATTAGACTCACAGCTGCTTGCGATTGGGATCGCCCATGTTGGTCCTGGGCTGCTCCTGGAAGGCTGGCTGGAGCGGCGCGGGGCCATCGAACGCCATATCTTCATCCATTATTCGTGATGATGGTGGTGGTTGCTAAACAAGTCAAACGAGTCCTCGTCGAGCCTGAAATGAGTGCAACAGACGAAGAGACGCGAGCGAGTCGGTTAGTAATGAACAAACAGGTTCAGTCGAAGAAAACGCTGGGACTTGGTGGAATCGCAAATATCTCGAGACCTGAGATCGATGGGGTGTTCGAAACAAGGCAAGGATTAAGTAGTCACGACACACAACTAATTGGCAAAAGGGCTGCTGCTGCGAGGCCACAGTCCCAAGGCCACGAGTTCGCCTCACCACCGCGATTTCGGAGATCCCTTGCTCCATAAAGCATCTTTCGGCGCTTCCGGCCGGGCCAAATCCCCAATGTCGTGAAAAAGCCTGCGTCACATATCTACTATGTACTAATGTCTAGCTGTAAATTATCGTCTCGAGCTCCCCACCAACCAGCTATACATCCACGGTGGTGTCCACGAAGGCAAGCCAGGTCCCCCAGGCCTTGCCAACGTCCGAAAAAGCATGATCAACCCTGCCGTCATTCCCCCAAGCACCGCGGTGACCGTCACGTAGGTCTTGAACCTCGCGGCGGCTGTTAGTGCTCGATCAGCACCTCCTGGTATTGCCGAGTATCTGTGGGTGTGGAGATCGATAAACCCGGTAAAGAAAGAGTAAGGGTAAGACGTACGGGTTCAAAGCAATCCCCACTATCGAATGGAACACGTCCGCGATCTGGCCCGTCTTGACGCTCACAGCGACCGGCACTTGCAATCCTAGCCGTCTGCAATACACATCAGGCTGGACTTCGTGCCGCTGCAGAGCAAGATCCAAATCAGACTTGGTGGCCACAAACAAACTCGGGATATGGTCTAGGTTGTATTGTTGCTGAAGAACCTGGTTAGTCAACATGCAACGATGTTGAAATGAAGACATACCCGCAGATTGGAGATGTACGAGAAGGAATTCGTGTCGCTCGAGTCGTACACATACACGATCACATCCGCCAAATCCGTCTTTTTCGGGTTCCTCAGCGTCTCAGCTTCATACCTCGACCCAAACTCTTGCAACTACCACCCGCAATTCAACCACCAGACGACAGAGATAACCCAGATAGCACTCACCACCAAGTACTTTTCAGACCCATCAATGTCAACCGCATTCACCACACTAATCATCTTGCTCGTAGGCTCATACCCACCCATAAAGTTCTTCCCTGCAAACGCCCTCAAGAGACTGGTCTTGCCAGATCCAGCAGCGCCACAGACATAGCATAGGAAAACGTTACGCGTAACTTTGCCTTTACGTCGGTCGACCTTGCGGGGACGGGTAATTTGGAGGGCAGCGGTGCGAGGTTCCCCGGGGTAACCTAGGTAGGCGAGGTAGGCAAGTGTGGTTTTGTGATCCAGGAGTGTTGTCATACTGAGAAGGCATCAGCGAAAAAGACAGAGGAAGGGAGAATGAACCATACCTCCACTGGGCTAGCCAACCTTGCAATGTCACAGCTCCAGAGTCGTCAGAAAGTGTCGTGTCCGGGAACTTTTGCGCTGCCCATGGGTTGCCCGGGGAGGTGCTGAACAAATTGTTCAGCTCTGTCACGTTCAATGCACCGTCTTGATCCTAGAATGGAATTAACATTCAGCATACCGGCGGAAGAAGGAAAGGAAGTGCGCACTTTGTCAAAGATTTCGAAGATGTCGGTAAAGAACTGATACCCCAGCGGGCTCAATTCCACCGAGCAATCATACGGAACGTCGAATCTGCAAGGCTGTTGGCAAACGCAGGGATGAACGGGTGAAACGGGAACGTACTTGGGCAGCAAGAAACTCTCTGTCAGCCGAAGATCTTCCGCGTAGCCAAACTTTCTAAGCACAGTCCACGTCGTCTCCAGCCGCCCCCGTTGGATGAACGTTGTGTGCAAGTAGAGGAATCCAGCTTCCGTCAGGCCTTCGTCTCGGATTCCTCCCTCTGCATGCTCCCGGACCATTGCTTTGATACCCTCGAGTTCTTGCGCTTGGAGTGGTGCGTCGAAACATTTTCTCTGTTGAGTTGCGTCAGTGTCACGTTTGAATACACAGCTCTCATTCAACTATTTTTATTTCTGCGAGGAGTTCCAGGCGGGCTTTGCACTGTGAACTTTGCAACTCCTGAAAGGCACAACATCAGGCATTTGGTGTGCCGTTGAAGCTTGAGCGCTTATTTTCCAGCCCTATTACATACCGACCTTCCGCGTTTGGGGAGAGTTACCTGACGGACGTCTCGTATGCGGATGATTGAATCCACTACGATATTTCTCGAAATAGATGCCACGACGAAGGCAAGACAACACCCTCCTGGAATCCTCAGAAATGAAGAGAAGGGATATGACTTACCTGGAACTCGTTCAACTCCGCAGCATCAAGTACACCATCCTTATTCGTGTCGCAAAGCTTGAATATCCGTTTAAGCGCTTCTACGCAGGCAGGCTTGAGGACCTAAATATTGCAGGGCATGGATTGAGGCATTCGTTGCAATTCGAAGCAAGTTGGGACATACATGGTCCCGAGAATCGTATAAAGGAGCAGTCGGGTGGAGGACGGCCTTTTGAGCAAAGTAGAACACTTCGGACACGTTCAGTGGAAGCTTAGCCGAACACTCTACGCAAGTTTCAACCTCCTAAGTAAACAGGCGAGCGTGGTATCAGCAAGCGTAAGAAAGATGAGATAAAGATCCACGGCGCACCTTGAACTCGGTCATAATAGGTATAATCTCCTCTTCAAGCGCCTCATTCGTCACCTCTCCGCCACGAAGGTCGATTTTGTTGCCAACCAAGATGACTGGGACCTAACCACGCATGCGAATCGGTCAGCAAACGCTCCGCTCCGTGTAGACATGATAGGAGGCGCACATTGACACCTAGTTGTCGGAAATGGGGTAGCCAGTAGGTGGGTATGCGATCGAAAGAGTTTGGGTTGTCAATCGCGTAAACGACGCAGATGACATGGGCTTTGCGTATCTCGGATTCAAGGTGGACACGATCGTTGGGGCCAGCTGTTAGGTTTAGAGGATGAAATGAGTTGCAGTTTTGAATTTCGTAAGGTCTGACGGACCTCCCGAGTCGACAATATAGGTTGTGATGTTCTCCGGCGTTACTTCTGGTGGGATGGTGACTTCTGGGACGATGTGTTGGACCTGTAACTTGTTCAGAATCTTGTTCCTGTTGTAGAGACGACAAATAGAGTCTAACATGGGAGACAAATGATTCCTTGATTAGAGAAGTGATAATTGTGCTCTTGCCGACGCCCTCTGCAGTGCAGGAAGCAAGCCTCGTGAGCAACGGGTATTGGTGGTGTGTTAAGGGCTGTACTGACCGTCTCCCACCAGCAGAATGCGAACATCCCTCCTCATCGGCTGCGCGTTGTAGATTTTTTGTGTAAATGACTGACTGCGTCGAGGAATAGAATTAGCTGAAGGAATATACGTATAAGAGAATGAGTAAACCGGCGTGAGCACGACGTCTCTCGGCGAAAAGCACGGAAACGGAAGGCCTTGCCACGTGATCTGATCTCCTTTCCTTTTTCATTTTCGCCTTCGGCTCGGTCCGCACGCGATAACGACGAGGACCCGCTGCAGTGATTGTGACTTCTATAGACTCGTTTGGATCCAACTATTAAAATCCGCGAATCGTATCAGATTTGAAGAGAAACCAAAGCTTATTACTTACTCTCTTGAAAGGCCTTCTTACGTCCATTTGGCGTGTTGTGTACATATTTAACGCACCACCCACCTCCGCTTGTCTTCCACCAACAATGCCTCTGACCACTCTCCCAACCGACATACTCATCCTCATCCTCGCATCACTCTCAATCACAGACCTCGCCTCTCTCTCACAAACATGTTCTCTACTCCACTCTCTTGTGCGCATTACAAAAACCCAATAGATCTCCACTTCACTCACTAGACAATAGGTCACAGAATTCGGCTGGGCAGCTTACTCCCGTCTGCACCCAAGGCCCTCGCACAGTCTCTCACACGCCCGCAGAAAATGGAGTGCCTACACTCAAGTCCAACACGACTATCTAACCGACAAAGCCTGGAAATCAACCGAGTTCATCGCGAGACCGCTCTCCCGCACCTGGGCGGGAAAGCAACAACCCACTCTCGCAATCACACCTACCCGACTCGTCGTCGCAGCCGGGACGAACCTCTATTCCTATGTTTTCGGTTGTAAATCCTCGAAACCCTCGATATCCTTCGAAGGTGTAGTGAACCTAGACGACCCCCTCGTGCGCGGACGCAACATCACGTCTGTAACCTTCCTAGACGACGGGGAGTTAGACTCTACCCTGCTCGTGGCGTACCAAGAACAACGTGTAGAGATCATCACACTCATACCCGTCCACGGTAACAACAACCAACAAAGGGGACCGGGTCTGACGTTCAGACGCACCCGCCACGCTGCATTCCCCCAGGACGATTACGTCGAAAGCTTCTCTACATCACGACACCACCTCCTTTCTATTTCCTCCAATGGGACAGCGAGGTTTCTGTACCAAGGGGGCGTGGTACCCTCTACCGAGTCCGAGTCGTCTCCTCCCACTCCCTCAGCAAGAATAGATCTAAACGAGCGTAGCTGGACTTGTCACCTCTCAATGGACGCTTCAACGCCTTTTGCTGCATTCGGGACATCCGGTAAAACACCCTTGACAGTCTACTCCATCTCTCAAGACAGAATGTCTCCTCTCCCCGAATACATCCTTCTTTCCAAGAAGTACGGCGATACTAGCATCTCATTAGACTCCTTACCTTCCTTGGCAGTATACGGAATAACGCGAGCGCCGCTCTCCTCCCCATTCGGCGCATCCCCCCAGGTCCTCGCATCAGGTTGGTTCGATGGTCAAGTCCGGATATACGATCTCCGCGCCTCCGAGTCTCGTTTAACCGCTCCCTCTTCACCTTCCCAGACCACCCCTTCGTCGTCTTCCTCCTCCTCCTCCGCAACAATCCTGTCCCCAATCCTCACACTCCAAGACCGCTGGTCCCCCGAACCCATCTACACCCTCTCCTCCGGCGGCGGCTCCTCAGCCCACATCGCAGCAGGCACCGCCCGCCACAGCGTCGTCTCCTTCTGGGACACCCGCTCCCCGCGCCTCGGATGGAGCGTGCACGCACCAGGCAACGACCGTTCCCCCGTATTCGACGTCATCCTCGAGAGCTCCAGGTGCTTCGGTGTAACCGAAGCTAGGCCTTTTGTTTATGATTTCGTGAGTGCCCTCCATTTCTGGAACGCGAGGAGGTTTCTGACGTTTTTGCTGGTTGCCTTGCAGGGCCCGAATCCCAGTTTAGACGCCTACCCGACTCTGACGCCGAACCGCGAGTTGGCAGCGGTGACACAACCACCAAGAGGCCAACGCCAATACCACCGCGAAGGCATCAAATACAAACCCAATCTCATGACTTACGAAGTGGCTAAATACACGCATGCCAGTTCCGGTTTATCATGAATAGAGCATAATAGACTCTCGGGAGCTCAAGCCAACGCAGGAACCTAGCGCTACACATGTGCATCATTGACGTCCTTTTAATACACGCGCACGTCTCTTTACAATCCATTCTACTACTTATAGACCGGTGTAAAATTACATACAAAAAAAGAGACGACGTCGTCTCGATTCACCGCCCAGAGTGAGGCCTTGAGGAAAAAGCGGTGGGTGAAATGGCACGAGAGTAAAAAAAAGGTAAGAGGAAGCCCAGAGGACAAGAAAGATCCGAATGAAACTCTTGTAATATGGATATATGAATGACGTTGGAAAGCCCCAGAAACTATTAATGATAAGTAGATGCGAAAGTGGCCGTCGTCGTGGACTTGAGAGTGGAATAATGCTGCATGGAAAGAGGATGAGAACGAAGGGTCGAATAGAATGAAAGCTGACAAGCAAATTGGGTGTAGGGTGAAAGAACCTGAACGTCATGAACAAAACGTCAAAAAAAGGTCAGAACAAGGTGGTCATTACGGTAAAACGAAGAAATCGAAGGATAGAAAGGCGAAGAGGGGGAATCACACAAGGTATACTAAAGAAACACTGTACAAATGTCGAGAGATTATGGTCAGAACGAAAACGAAACAAAACGAGAAAGGGTTCATGGTGATCAACCAAACGAAGGATGCTAAAAGCGTCCGGCGGCCAGGTGAAACTGAACAAATTTCAAAAACCGGAAAGACATGCAAAGGTGATGAAGGTCGAAAGAAAGGGTAATGTCCGCGTGTAGATTATAGCAATGCCCGTGGCCAGAAAGCTACCGTCATGAACTAGTAGCCTGAGGCTGCGACCGTGCCCAATTGAACAACTGCCGCATATCATTCGTCGGCGCTGAATCGGCCGCTTGCTTCGGTTCCACCAGGAGACTGAGAACCGTCACTATGAGCACCTCACCCCCGATACATAACCAAAGTAAATGCACATACCTGCGTCGATACAAATCCTGCAAATCACCATGCGTCTTCGCCCTCTCAAACGCGAGGTTCAGATATTGCTGAACCTCAGGGATGGCCTTCAAATTATACGGAACCTGGAACCTCTGCATATCCTGTACGATCCTTGCCAACTTGTGGTACTTGTTGAAATTGATGAGCTTCTTGTTAGGGTTCCGAGGCGATGGACGGTGAGAGGGGTTTCCTTCCCGGCAGAAAGTGACGTCGGTGAGGTAGAGACCGAGGAAGGGTACAGCGGGAGGAGCGGTGTTGCGGAGACGTGAGCGGTATTCGTGATAGTTCCGGCTGTGGTCTGCGAGTTTGCGCAGGGATTCCATTTGGAGTTTGTACTTCTGGGGAAGACCCTGAAGAAAGCATATTTGATCAATGGGCTGGAATCAGTGATGAGATGAACGCCCTTACAGCCCATGTCTGTCGGAGCCTCGAGATGGTTGAAGAATCAAGTGCTGCCAATATCGATCTAGACGTGCTAAAGTTCTGCAGTGTCACACATCGCTAGAAATCCAACGATCATCAACCTTCCACTCAACCAAGTCCCAGTCAAAAGAGCACTCACATCAGCAAGCTTGACGAAAAACTTGACCAGCAGTGTCCTCCTCTTCAAATCCATCTCATCCAGAATACTCTCCGCAACCCAACCGGTAATGACCGTACTCAACGACGTCACAGCACGCACATTCAACGGGGACGCAGCACCCTCCTGCCCAGTTTCCAACACCTCATTAGGTTGAATCGCACAATACAACTCGCACTCCATGATCGTCAACTGTCTCGCCAACTCGAGTGCGTCGAAATCCGTCACCGAGATGTTCCCAAAATCCCTCTTCCGTAACGACATCAGTAGCGTTTTGGTCATCGTCGGACGGGGGATTTCTGTGGTCGGTGTGATCACGGGTGGGTTGATCAACATACCTGGGTCACGGCTGCGGTCGCCTTTAGGGCTCACCGCCGCTTCGGACTGTCGTCGCATGTTGAGGAGTTCCATGATTCGCTGTGCTGGACCAGGGAATAACAACGCTAGACCTTCCCGCGTGAAGAGCGTAAGTGGCGTCAAGGCGGGATCATCAACACCACTCCTCCAATACGTATCCACCCACGTCTTGATAAAATTAGAGACGCGGAGTCGAACAGGCAGACCCTTCTGTTGCTGCCACAAGAGTTCGTCTTCCCTTGAAATACCAGGCGGAGGAGTGAGGTTGTACCGCGCAATGATGGCGTCCACCAAATCGATTGGCGAGGAGAAGAGTCGGAAGGTGAGGAAGAAGACAGCCGAAAAGGCTGCATCGACCAGACTGTCGTGAGGAGTCATCTTCTCCACGAGAGCAGCCATTGTCGCACCGACCAGATGTCCATCATTGTTGTATGCAACGTCTTCTATCGAGTAGTCGTGCGAGAACATCCATGTCATAGGATCTGGTGGAACTTCCAAGTCGTCAGACGGGAGTGCAGGAAGGTCCTCATGAAGCCGTTCGGGAACCACAGGTGGGGGTTCTCGAATGCTACCCTCCCACGTCGTTCCCTCATCCGACCGCACAAACGAGGTGGGTGAAGGCAAGTCGGGCTCCACGGGAGTCTTGGGCAGTAACCGCAGAGGCGCCAAGCCATTGGGAGGGCGCCTCGGCTCCTCGACCGATGTGGCTTGCGTTTCATCCGAGCTTTGCACGGAGACCTTAGAAAAATTGCTTGATTCCGACCCTGTAGAAGGCTCCCGATGTCTGGTGATAGGTGAAGGTGTGACAGCCTGAATCGTGAGGTCTTCGTCCTCCATACCTGCAAGGTGATAACCATTGCCTCTTGCTGGTTCTGACTTGTTCGCAAATGTCGACAGCTGCTTGTTGGGAGTAAAGGGTTGCGAGAGGTCGTCCGAGTTGGGCAGGTTGACGACGAATGGTCGGGCGCCTATTGACCTGGTGACGCATACTTTGACCGCAGCTACACAGTCCGCTCCCGCCTTGAGTGCACTGGTAGCAGAACTCAAAAGAGCTTTCTTCTCCTCTTCTTCCGACAAACTCGATGGTAGTGACGATGTCAAGAGTCGAACAGATTCAGCCAGGGAACTTGTGACGTTATAGAGACCTTCCTTGGCCGACTTCAGCGTTCCAATCCGGTGCGCCGGGACGTCAGGGTGTTGCATCACGGCTTCCACGAGTGTTAACAACTTGCAGACAAGCTCAACGATCTCCCGAACGAGGTCATAGAGCTGTCCTGTACTTGAGGCATGGGATGTCCGTGAATGTGAATGGGCGTGACCGATGAATGCAGCTATTGTCGACAGATACTGGTCGTGAGTGTATCGCAGCGCCTCCAGGACCTGCTTATTACTACATTGACCGCTGGGGAAGGGTGGAGGTGCCAATGATGTGCCGGAATCTTGTGATGAGAATGATGAGATGGAGGATATACTGCTGGTCGATGGATTTGGCCGATGTCCTCGCCTGAAAGCCGTGTTCTGCTCGTGACGCATCTTGTTGTCGAGTGTAGACGTTGCAGTGACGCTCCCATTCTGAGGGAGGGGTGAACGAAGCCGTCCCCGCAGGTCTGCCTGACTTTTCATTCGTATAGGTGCAGAGCGCAGATTCGGTGGTCGACCCGATATCCTGTGTTGCGTCGGCGTTCGTCCCGCTGTGCTTAAAGGCGTGTCTGTGTCTCCGTTCTCGCTCTGAGTAGTCCACTGTGCCATTCCTGAATCAGGTTCTTCAGGTAAGTCGACCCCACAGTCCGCTGCAACGGATAGGAAACGGCGGACATGCGCAAAGACTTGACCCGCCAATCGAACCATGGCAGCCGTCTCTTCACTCTGTTTCTCTTCCGGCTGGCTGTCATCTGAGGCCTTCTTAGCTTGTGCAACCAGTGAAGCAAGCACCGTAAGGATTCTTCTCCGTTCATCGCCTAGCTGGGGATGCTGTTGTAGGATGGGTGCGTCCCTTTGAAGGGTCTCGGTGGCAGAAAGTATGGATCGGACACAGGATATGATGCAAGCTGTCGATGGTTGAAAATGGGTTGTGCGGTTACCCCGTACGGCGTTTTGAAGGAGCGTTAGGCCGTGTAGGAGAGGTACCATCAGCGGGGGACAGTATGATTCACTTTCTTCGCTCCCTACATCCGAAACCGAGGGCGTTTGACCATGGGAGCCTTGAGAACTCGTATGGTGTGACGATGAGGAGCCATCCCAGGATGTTACTGATACAGTCGAGTTGGTGTGTCTGTGACCTGAGCGAGACTGGACCCGGGCGTCAGTGGTTCCCAAAGCTGGACAGAAGAAAGGGAAGACCATACAGATTCCGGTACGACGGGTTCCTCATCTCTCAAGTTGGAGACTTCTGAGGAAACGTAATTGCTAGGAAACCATCCTCTCCGTCCCTCGAGTTCGCCGTCCCACCACCCGCTGGAATCGCGATTGAGAACATGGATGACCTGACCCGCTCGGAAGGATAGGCAGGTGGTGTGCCCGTGCTGGGGGAAATAATCGTGCATTGCGAGGACATATTCCGGACCAATACGAACTGTCTCTTCCATGGACGGGCTCATTGAACGGGATCTGGAGGAGGACCTTGATCCTGATCGGGATGAGGGGCGACTGTCTAGAGGGTTTGGGATTTGAAGGGAGGTAGTCGATGCATTAGTCGAGGAAGATGCTGGAGAGACGATGGATAGCGAGGACGCTGTCGAAGCGTCTGAGGTCGTTCGTGGCCTTCTACCTGGAAGTTTTGGACCAGCGGGGGAAGAGGCACGGGTATAGCGTGAGGTAGATGTTGACGGGCCTGCAGCGGCAGCGTCTGTGACGAGGCGGTACATGGCAGCTTGAGATTAAAAGAGTCTCTGTGGCACTTTTGTCTGATATGCTAATAGTTCCATCAATGACAAAAGACAGCTATGACGGGAAACACAAACCTAGTTTCTTCGCAATCGCGTCGTAGTAGTGGGAACAGGCAGGGCCAGGTGTCGTTATGGTGAGCTTCGGGACTTCCAGAGCGTCGAGAAAGACTCTAGAAGGCCTGATATCGTCCGCGATGATGTACCGTCGCTGCGGGTGTGGGTGTTGGTGCAGCAAAGGCAGGGAACGGTGAGCGGGGCGGTGGTGGATGTGTTGAGAGAAAAGAATCAAGTCATAAAGCGTGAAAGGTCGTTTGGGTCTTGATAAAACGGAGGGATTAGAGGTATTTGGCCGTCCGCCCTTGGCGAGGATTATTAGCAGAGAGAGACTTCCGAACAGCCATTAACCATATCACCCGCTTTGGCGCACACCCCGACACACTCAACCGTGGGATTCTTGCCCCCCATATGGCCTCCTCCCCTTTGCGTCGACAAACCTCTCGATTCTCTATAACAGCAGTAGAGCTTTATCCTGCCTGTCTAGCAGCTGCGAAGACGATGCAGCAATTTCCTCGTAGGCATTTACACTGGTATGCGCATGAAAATGGCTGGGCAACTTGTCCGATTCTCGGCCGCATCCCACACCACACATGGTCCATAAATGTCGTCGACAACGCCTTTCTGGAACTCTCTTTGCAGTTTTCACGATCGATTTCAATGGCCGCCATCTGCTTCACCTTCTTGTTCGCGTTTTCTCCTGGGAGCACGCGATTAGCATGAGAGTTGAGGCGTCCGAGTGGGTGTCTCACGCTACCGCGCCCCATCTTCCATTCCAATTTAATTGCTATCAGTTGAGGAAAAATCTAAAGTAAGTTCAGCCTCTATCGCCACTTGGCAGTCTGCATTCGCATCTCATGTTCATGTCCCTGATGACCTCCTTTCCAGAATCAAACATTGATAATTCGGCTGCCCACCGAAACCCTCACGTTCGTTCCTTGAGCGGAGGAGTCACATCATAAGAAACATCAAACATAGCACCAACCAATGGTGTTTTCTGATAAGCTACGGGTACCCTGCCTGGGTAATCATTATTCATGTCATGATAACTACAAGGCCACTGACAGCCCAATCCTGGATCCGCAAATGTTGACGAAAATACTGTCACCCCTCGTGGCTACCGGGACACCACCGTCAAACTTGAGCCTTCTCCCCTACCTCCCTTCTTGCACTAGGACTCGAGAGGCCCCACCTGACTAAAGGAAACGCACATGGTCGGACCATTTCTGGGCGCTAACCCAATTGGAGCGAATAGACGCGCGCCAATCTTCCGATCGAACAGGGAGCCGTATCAAGTGTTGCGCCCCTAAATCATGAGTCACCTCTTTCTGATGTCATAGTAGAGAAGCTTTTTAGAGATCTCATTAAGCTAATAATGGATAGGTGATGCAGGCAAACATACTCCCCTAAACGACCTGTCGGCAGAGATCGAGCGTCCATGGTTGTTGTTGACCATGGCCCGATACCAGGGAATAGGCTCCCGCTGTTCGACGCCAGCCGCGAGCCTCTGTAAAAATAACAGAAGCATAGTGTCCAAGTCGCACTAACAGCATCAGGTTTTAAGGTTCCAGTGCTCCTGGACAAATGGAAGCCTTGCACCATCGCAGCATATAGCATACTCCAAATAATAACCAATTTGCACTACTGAGTAGATGAATTCGAAGGAGATGCGAAGAGAAGGCGCGTAGATCATGAGCCAGGCGAATAAGGAACGATATGGCACCTAAACGCTCGTCAGAACAATACTTGGACGGGAAGACTATTTATCCACATACCCTATCAGTCCGCGCCCTCCCCATCCCTTACGAGGAACCAAACTAAGCGTCTTTTTCTCTCCAGAACGCAACACTTCGATGGATATTGGCCGCTAAAATTCAAGCATTACTATCGCTGCCGTAGATACAAGAGACACGGGGACGTACGTTCTCGTTTGCAGCTACATGCTGAACCAGAGGCTGCAGAGACCCAGTCGTAAACGACCGCTTCGTCAACCCGCCAAACTTGACAATAAGATCTTCCCTCAGCAAGCCCTGCATCCCCAAAGTTCATCGAAATCAATAACTCGATCAATAACTCTGACCGTAACAATGTAAACAAGACTCGAACTCACCGCTGCACTAGCAGGACTACTCGGCGCCACGCCATCCACCTTCGCATATGGCTGCTCCTCCTCCCCAGCCTCCGCCTCATCCTGCGTGGTCTGGTTACTCGGATCGTAAATAAACTCCAAAACCTTCGACATCTCCTCCATAACAGCTTTGAAATCATTCCGGAGCTCGATGATCCGCACTCTCGCAGGTCTGACGGCCCAGATATCGATATCGGCTCGAGGAAACCCCTCGGTGTCGACGAGAGGCGTCTCCATCGTCACACCGTTCGCTTGGAGGATGCTGAAATGCGCTTCGAGCTCTGCTTCGATGTTTTCTTTGAGCTTCATGAGCGACTTTGCGCGTTGGGCTGGTGGTTCGTCTTTGAGGTAACTGAGATCCATGATCAGCTGGTTAGGACTTGGATGGGATATGATGGAAGAGATGGAATGAATAGAGGTCTACGGTGGGCTTCGAGAACATGACTCTGTTGTGCAAACGAGAGAAGTGTGATCGGCGGCAGCAACGTAATCGCTTTCCGGTTTTGGAGGCTGGACGAGCCAATACATATCCGGAACGCCCGGAAGCCGGCGCCGTTGACGCTCAGCGATCCCGAGTTCGATTCTCGGTTGGTGCTCTACCTCAACCACAAGATTCAGCTCTCTCAATCTACAAGCACTTTCCAGGACATCTTGTTTGAATTCGGATGCCATGCGTCCCCAAGCATTTCACATATGTTACAAATAATGATTTACAATTCTTCCCTTGACAAAAGCTACACTTAGGCGACGACCTTGCCGTTGACGACCTTGTGTCGGTCCAAGATGCGGATAGCCTCATGGGCAGCCTTGTGGCCACTACCAATCATAGCACCGAAGGTAGGACCCATCCTGTTCGAACCGTCGTGCTCTGACAACTCCATACCTAGGAACCAAGCGTCAATATCTCTTCCCTTTCTCTCAGAGGGTTGGGGTGGGTTGACTTACCAGTCAAAATGAGACCAGGAACGACCTCGCGAGTGCCGTTAACAATAGCAGGCTCAGCGCGGTTCATATCCAATCCCCTCATGTTGCCCAACTCCTTGAGCAAGCCAGTGCTAACGAGGCGCTTGGCGCTGAAAGCACCCATAGGTCCATCATGGCCAGTCGCCGAGACGATAACAGGCGCAGTGATGGTGTTGGGGTCCATGCATGACTGCGTGTCGTGGTTCAAGGCGACCAAGGTCCAGTTGGTGACGACACCAGCAACGCGCTGCTGGCCGGCGAAGTCCTCGTGGACGATGAGGTCCTCGACGGCGGTGGCGTTCATCATGACGACGTTGGGTTTGGCGAGGACCTTGGAGAGGAGGGTGGAGGTGAAGAGGGCGGCGTGCTTGACGACGACGAAGTTGCCCTCGTCCTCGTAGGGGACGCCGAGCTCGCGGAGGAACGCGTCAGCGGGCTTTCTGATGACCTGTGAAGGAGGTGAGATTTCGTATTCTCGATACTTGTGAATAAAGCTGAACTACGAACCATAGGAGTCATCAGCTGGCCACCGAGCCATGCACCACCACCGGGGGCAACACCAGCCTCGACGATGGTGATTTTCAACTAACAAAAGTAGGTAAGACGGTGTCTGAAAGCACTGAAAGTCGTGAAACTCACGTCAGGTCGCTGGGTAGCGAGACTGTAAGCGCAGGACAATCCAGCGCTTCCTGCACCAACAATGACGACATCGGAGATGGCCCGATCGTACATGGTGTTGAAGTATCTGGAAGCATAGGTCAGTGCCTTGACCTCGGAGCCGCACGATTAGCCCACTTACCGCTTGATCATAGCCCGGGAGACTTGCGCTTCCTCGATGGGGGCGAACTTGTAGTTGCCCTCATAGTTCTCAGACGTCTCGACGGACGCAGCCTTGCGAGGGAAGGCGTTGGTTTCGACGGGCTTCTCGAGGGTGAGTGCAGGGGCCATCTTGATGATAACGATAGAGAGGTAAACCTGGTTCAATCCCAATCTTATCGCAGGTGCTTTTATATCTTTTAGATTGTCTTTCTTATCGGATTACACCCCGACAGAAAAGAAGCTCCCACCCCGAAGGAACCTGTTGCGTCGTTGGCTTCCAATTGCATCGCCTCTATTGCTCACCACAGTTTAACACCCACACTCAGGGAAAGAATCACTTGGTCCGCCCGAAAGACCTTCGACAAGTGGAGCTAAACGTAGACGTGTGCTTCCTGGAACGACTTCGAGAAAGAGGTTTGTGATTCCTTCATATTCCGAAGGACCAATTGGGCGTTTAATTGGGGAGGTATTTTGATGGACAGGGTTTGGTAACGCCAAACCAGCTTCGAATCTTGTCTTGGTGCCAGTTGGTGCCTAGTTCTAACACTTGTTCTACTCAATCGATGAGAGAGTACGCGTGGATACTCCGAATATCTTGGGCTTGGGTTCACCGCGGACTCTATTCAGGTTTCTTCCCCTAGTTTGCAACACTCGAAAGACGTCCTCTAGAGGTCTTTGCTCCAACTTTATGAAGTGAGGTCATAGCTTACCGCGTTTTTAGTCAGATAAACCTCTTTAAACTCCAAAGTTGTAGCTGAACATTGGAAGATAGCTTTTCGAAGGATGACTCGCTCTCCGTGTCGGATACCAACTTCGGACGAAAACCAGCGGAGCCATATGACGGTGAGCGACAGTTGGCGTTCGACACAGACGTTTCGACATCCTTGCCCCATTATCTCGCGATCGCCTGATAGAGGACATATTATTCGGCGACATTCCCTCTGTTTCTCTTTTTCGAGTCATATTCAAGACCCAGTAGCACAGTGAAGCCAAGTGCGATGTGATTGGCAGGAGTCCTGGTAGCTATATTGAGATTGATCTGAATCTAATGGAGTTTCCCCGCAAGGTGGTTGCTCTACCTGTTTATCTTCAGCCCATATGTGCCTTGTGCCCAACCTACGGCCTCGTATAGGTATCCCTGAGCTTGTTCCTTTGTGCCCAATAGAAAGATCTGCAAAGGAAACGCCTCATCGCAACAAAGTTACCGCCGGCACTCCGAAGTGTTTTCGGCTTTATTTGGCCGTTGCGTACGGAACGATCGCTAAAGCCACAATCAAGCTGTCTAAACTAATCCACCATCGACACCGAGCAGACCACCGTTTTCCTCTGAATTATCCACGTTGTACATCGAACACTACACATCGCAACTAGTCTCGTCCAGAGCTCGATTCGACAGGATGATTTCGTTGAATTTTATGACTGGGGAGGACCCTCTGTCCCTCGACCGGATCAGAGCTGTATTGACTCGGTTGGAGGATACCATCATCTTTGGCCTCATCGAGCGAGCTCAGTTTGCGCACAACCCCAAGATTTATCAGAGAGGAGCTTTGAAGGAGCTGCAGACATTGGGTTTTGAAGGAAGTTGGCTAGAATGGTTCTTGAAGGAGACAGAGACTTTCCATGGTGCGTAGTGTGGTTCCATGAATTCCTCATCTTGTTGATTCACGTTCCCAATCACAGCCAAAGCGCGGAGATACACCAGGTACTCGAGTCACTTTCAAATCAGTTATCCTAGACTAACCAAACGCAATGTAGCCCAGACGAATATCCATTCACCAAAGACCTGCCAGAACCAGTTCTCCCACCCCTGTCCTTCCCATCTATCCTCTACCCAAACAACATCAACGCAAACGCCTCGATCCTCTCCTTCTACACCCGCGCCATCGTCCCCCGCATCACCCGCCGCGCAACCCTCGCACTCGCGGCCCAAAAGCGGGCACTGGGCATCCTCGGCGACGATGAATTCGAGGACGACGGTAATTACGGAAGCGCTGCTACCATCGACGTCGAAGTCCTCCAATCAATAAGCAAACGAGTGCATTATGGTGGGTGATTCCCCTACTGGTCGATAGCTTGATCATAAAACTGAGCAATGTCTAACCATTTCGATGTGCATGATTGCAGGCAAATTCGTTTCCGAATCCAAGTTCATGAGCGACCCCGCCGCTTTCATCCCACACATCCAGAACCCAAACCGCGCAGCCCTCGAAGCGCTAATCACCAAACCCGAAGTAGAACGCAAACTCCTCTTGCGGTTGCAGAAGAAGGCTGCGACCTATGCCCAGGACTTCGGGCCTGATGGGGAGGCTATGGTGAGCCAGGGCGGGAATGCGTTGAGCTCCAACGCTGCGGTTGCGACCAAGGTGAACGGAGCTGGGAAGATTGACGTAGACGGAGTGGTAGATTTGTACGAGAGCTACATCATCCCATTGACGAAGGAGGTGGAGGTGAGTCTGGAATCTACAACCCGGTGTTGGATTGAGGTGTACATGTCATTTTGGCTAATACCCCTGCGATCTTACAGGTTGACTATCTACTTCGACGTCTAGATGGACTTTCGCAAGAGGATATCGACAAGTTGATAGAGAAGTCGAAGGAGAAGAAGGGTAATTGATATGGAGACAAGTATAGTAGCTTTGTGACGGACTTTGGGGCAACTTGGACCCACTGGCATGCATGACTGCGATTGACTGTTCGTTATGTACACTAACACATTGTCGCTCTTGTCGACTTGGGACGAGAGGGACCTAACTTATTTGAATCTTAGAGAATCCCTCAGACACGCAAGGTTGGATTTGAAAGACAAAAAGTAGTCAAAGGTATCATTCACATCTCGCCAAAAAAAGACAAGCACACTTCGGTATTCACTACAGAAAGCACAGGGGTAAACAGAGAAGAGAGGGGATATAGAACAACGAACGGTATAGAGCAATCCAGGCATGAGTGGATGAACAGTAGAGCAAACAAGGAAAGATGGCTACATACAAAGAGATTGAAGGGGGGTAAATGAGTGTCGAATCAGCAATAAAAAAGAAAGGTATCCAGAGCAAAAGGGGAATATTCACAACACAAAGTAGGTTGATATACATGAAGCTGTAGCACGAGTAGCGGTGGAACGCTGGGGAAGATAAGGTTATGTAGATAAGTATAAATCGAACGAGGGTGAGGGGATCCAGCCGGTCGGAAGATGGGAACAAGCAAACACGACTGCGAAAGCAAACGGCAATGCAAAAGTAGGAACGTGAATCACAGGCCCAGATCTACAACGACGAACGGCAAAAGTCAGGTCACAAAGTATTCACCCAAGCTAATTGCCACAAACGCACCTTCAAGCAATCGTTGTCTTTGTTCCTCGGATATCTGAGCAGTGGCGCGTCGAGCCAACAGCTTCTCCGTGCGGTATTTCTCGTACAACACTTCTTTGGTCCGGATTTTGAGGAGCTTTGAATAAAACTGGTTAAATACTATCTCTTCTGTGTGAGAGAGGGCTCTTCCTCACCTTGAAATGAGTCGACATCACAGCCGTCCGCATAGCCGCAAAGTCACAGTGGTCAGGGTTCAGCACGTCCACCGTCCCCCAGCGGTAATTGCGCACAAACACGCCCTTGAGGTCCTCGGGCGGGGGCACATTGAGGTACGCAAAGTTCTTCCCACTGTAGGTCGATGCAGGGGTAGGGGGCACGTTCCCATCAGGACTCGTGGCTCCATCCTCCGATTGCTGCTGTTCATGACTTGGCGATGTTCCTCTTTCACTAACACTGGCAGCAGTACTCGTCGTCGAGATGGGCCTTGGTCGCCTCTTGCCTGGCTCCGGCGCAATCAAGGCGAACGGCAGCATCTCCGTCACGTCAACCTTGGCCACGATATGGGCCGAGAACCGCACGTTGGCGACGCTCTCGAGGTCTGGAGAAGAGGGTCGGCGGTCGTCATCCTCGGCTACACGAGACAGATCGCGGCGGGAGCGAGATCGGGAGAGGGGGCGGCCGTGACGCTTGGGGCGAAGTTTGATGATAGGTCGGGGAGTGCGTTCGTCGTCGTCGGCTGGCGATTCATCTTCGACTACAGAGTTGTCTGCAGCGTCCCCGTTGACACCTTCAATGGATGGCTCTGCTTCGTGGCCATTGGCGCTTCCGTTTCCGTTCGGGCTTGAGAACTTGGTGCGAGTCTTGCGCTTTGGAGTGGAGGGTTCTTTGATCTCTTCCGGTGCGAAAACTCCCAGATCGATTCCGGCTTCAGCCAACCCGTTGCGCACTGACCTTTCCATTAATAGGGGTTTCGTGACGAAAGCAACCAACAGCACATACCGGCTTTCTTCACAGCTTGCAATTTCTCGTCCGTCAAAGAGTCGGCGTGAGCAATGACAGGGAGAACATTCGCCTTTGCTGAAATGCGGCGGATGACACGTAGTTCAGCAGGTGACATGGTGAGCTGCTCCTCATCCTCCGACTCGCTCTCGGAAGAAGTGTCTGGAACAAGGTCTGGCGGCTGTGACTGCGAAATGGTCGTTTCTGAACGCGTCTTGCCAATGGTCTGGAAGGTTGTATGAGAGCTTCGGTCTTCCGCACTCATGATGGACGAGGGGTCAATCATGTAGATGCAACTAAGCACTGAATGAGGACGCGTCGCACCAGAAAGATTGAAGCCAACTTACAGGTGAATATGCTGGTCTCCTTTGTTCTGACGGACGACTTTGGATTCCTGTTGACAAGCGGTCGTCAGGGGGGAGGCAGGGCGCTTAAGAAGTGGCGTAACCATACCTCGCTCATGGTATCCGCATACTGCTGGTCGATATACTTTATGACCGAGCTTACTTGACGTTCAAGCTTAAGTTCCCTCCCCTCTTGGAAATCCAACCCAGGGGTATCAATGACAGAAAACAACACCCTGTCAAAGCGCGACTCGCAAATCTCGATGCACGCCGTCTGAATAGCCTGCGTCGCCCTCGTCGACCCCTTCAAGAACTTGTCCAAAGCCGCCTTCTGGTCCACAGTGGCCGTCGGGGAAATGTCTGCTGTATCCAACAACAGCCGGAGGAGTGAGGTTTTGCCCGTTCCTTTGCCGCCGACGACCTGTAAATGCGCATGAGCACCTTACTTTAAGGGACTAAACATTGAAACTGACCATAAGGTTGAAAGTTGGTGGAACGCGGGCCCGCCGCTGGCTGTACTTTGTTGAACTGGAAAGAGAATGGGCTTTCTTTGGCTCAAAGGTGGGTGGACCCCCGGGTGTCATGTAGAGTGCAGAAATGCCCCCAGACTCTTGCGGATTGCCTGCGGGAGGTCGAAACGGTTTATGGAACGGTATCGCACGCTCGCTCCCTTGAAAAGAGGTTTTGGCCGCACCTAGGACGGGGTGGTGGTCATCGGACGACGGCGGTGGCGGCGACGACTCGCGGATGGCGGATATGTCGACGAGGTCCTCGGGCCAGGGGATGCCCTGGCTGTTGAGCTCTGGCAACGACGGCGACGTACGAATCACCGTCGGTTGCGGGTCCTTCTTGGGTTTGCGGCGAAACGAGAACATTGGGGACGCGCGAAAGAGAACGACAACGACGAGTTATGGAGGACAACCTGTGTCTGAAAGCTAAAGCTCTGGAGCTTAAGAAAGAAAAGGTCAAAGAAATCAAACAAAGGGTCAAAGGAAGAAAGAGAGTGTGTGGTAAACGCTATTGATAGCTACCCGAGAATACTGACAGCGCCGGAGACTTGACTGGTCGCTGCCGCTAACGACACACACACAGAACGACCCAGCCAATGATTTTCATCGTCCCATTTGTTCACCGCATAAAGCTTCCGTGAAGCCCATCAAACATACTTCACAGGCACTCCAGAAGCACACTTGTCCTACAGTTCATCCCCTATGGATTCATCAAATGCAAGTGTAACAACAATTTCTTCGCTAATAACAAGTACACAACGTGAAGAGTAAAGTCATGCTGCAATATGCAAAAAAGAAAAAGATAGCTAGCTATTTAACTAACGCCCAAAAGCCCAAAAAGAAAACAGACGGACGCAAGAATGCGGAGGAGCCAAAAGAAGAAAATTGGTGTTTCATGATCATGAAGAAAAGTATATACAAGTCAGAAGGGAAAAGCAGAGAGCATGTTAGAGTGGTTGCGTGAGCATGAGAAAGAGACGAGTCAATGATTGGATGGGTTGGATGAATGGAAGCCGAGACAGACAGAAGAAGGGAAGGGAGTAGTCTACAACGGGTGGAGAAACAACAAATGGACAGTGGCAAGAGCTACACATGAATGAAAGAAGACGAGGAGGAACAACAGACAAACATGGGTATAGCAAACTTACTGAGCGATGGAGACCCCACTGTCGTCCATCCTCATTTTCTTCGTCACTCGGCCAAATTCCGAGTGGTCCATGGGTCGTTTCAATTCTAGTTCATCGTCGAGATGATCACCGGCCTCGCGAGACATGTCGGTCCCGATCGACGGGGTAGGCGCCATCCGCGAGGAGGGTGGAGAAAGCGACTCGGGAGAGTCGGCGGTCGTTTTCGAGGTCGAAGCTCGTCTTTTCTTCAGTCCAGACGCCGTGCTGTCGTGGGCATAGTTGCAAGCAAGTTGCCTGCGAGCGCAGCTTGCACATGCAGGGTGTGCCCCATCGCACTTGGTTTTACGAGCTGCAAACCAAATGTCAGCCAGAACCTACTAAACCTTTCCACTTCTTACCTCGACAAAAGTTGCATGCTACTACTTTGGGCCCAGAGGTTCCAGCGAGTCGAGTAGTCTTACTGGGGACAGTAGCCGCGCGCTTCCGTAACGCAGCCTGCTGCTCAGAGGCGGGTCGAATGGGAGCAAGGGAGAGTGAGGGCGCCGACATTGGCGCAGGAGTCGAAGGCGAAGCGTCGGGCAGCAAAGTCGCGATGTGAGGTAACTCGTTCTTTTCGTTGTAATAGTTGTGCTGCGGAGGTTCGGGGGGATGGAGGATCTTTGCCCGCGAACTGGGTCCGGAAGGAGGCCCAGGGAGCGGAACAGAAGCAGAGAGCCCGTTAACGCTCACGGACGAGGAACCGGCGACACCGCTTCCGTAGACATCCCGACGATCATTCAATGGTGGGAGTGTGTTGGGAGGATGATAACCATCGGGGTGAAGTTTGTCCACATTTGAACTGCGGCGAGACACAGTCTGTGACGAAACTTGAGGTGATACAGAGGGTTCAGGGGAGCGACCCTCATCACCACTGTCACTCTCACTCTCCTCACCTTTCGGACGCTGTGAGGTCTTACTGACCGTTCCACGCCGTTTGTTCTGAGGCATATAGTCACAGGGATTGTTCCGCTTCGTGCACTGGCCACATGCAGGGCGTCCCCCATCACATTTCAATTTGCGAGCTGCAGATGAATGGTCAGTAACAGCTTAAACAGTAAAGAAACGGATTTACATCGGCAGAAATTGCAGGCAACCGTAATCTTTTTCGTTCTTTGCCTGTTCGTCTCTGTTAAATTAAAGGGTCAGTCTGAAGGCGCTCCAACCGACAGGAGTGTACCCACTTGTCGAAGACTTGGCAGAACCACTTCCCACCGCGCTGTCCTGCATGGGGCGCGCCGACGAAGTGGGGTGCATTTCACCATGATGGAGGGGTGGCGGTTGGCGATGAATCGCCTGGGGTGCGGTATCAATAGCCAAAATGGGCCGCGAATTTGAAGGAAGCATGGACATTTGTGAAACAGAGTGGTGCGAAGGGGGTCGTTTCTGGTGCTGCAGCTGAACTTCTTGTCGAAACTTCGAGAAGAGATACTCCTTCGTGTATTTCTGTAAAGTCTGTTTGTGAAATGGAAACGTAAGAAGGTTTTGAATAACGACCGAGTGAGACAGGAATATGCTTGCCTCCATATGATGGAATATAGCAGATCGGAGTGAAAGGAAGTCGCTGTGAGTCGGGTCGAGTACGTCCAGAATCCCCCATCGATATGTTCGAACGAATTTGCCCCGGGCTAGTTTGGAGGCATGTGCGAACTGAGCCGCATACTGCTGCATGAGTTCGTGACGTGATGGAACCTTTCGGGGTACACCATCGCTGTGGGAGTAAGCGTCAGGGGAGATGAGTGCGTAAGGCAAACGCAGTGCAGCAGGCGTTACAGGGGAGACCGGGGGAGAATTGCCGTTGGATGTTGATGTTCCGTTGGGGTAACCACCATAGCCATTGGAAGACTCCGACCTGTCCTCCTGGGGTTGCTGGTACTGCCCGTCCATGTCGAATATCCCGAACCCGATGCCCGCTTCCGCCAGGTCCCTCCGGATAGCCACCTTAACAGCGGCGAGGCGTTCGTTGCTGAGCACATCCGCCCTGGCAATGACAGGCAGGACGTTGACTCGTCCCGACAGACGGCGAATGGCCGCAATGTCAGCCTTGGGAAGGACAGGCCGAAGCATGTACGGGTTATTGACCGGAGGCTCGAGGATAACGGGTTCTTCGGGCTGGGAGAAAGAACCATTCCGAGCTCGTGGAACCACCGGAGCAGGGGGACCCAATGCCGTAGGGGGCACGATTTCATCCGGGTCCAGGAAGTAGATGCATCTAACAGGAGGCGGTGCTGAGTTGACAAGTGAGTTGGGGAAGGAGAGTGGGGAGACATACAGATGCACATATCGGTCGCCACTGCGCGCCTTCCACTCCTAAGGGCGCGATATTAGTTGATGGTGTGGGCGGTGCATGGGTATGACATAGTTAGCGCTTACATCTTCAAGACCTTCAACAAAACGCGAGTCGATATGATGGAGGACGTCGGCCATCAGGCGTTCAGCTTCCTGCTCGTCGTGGAAATCAAAGGAGGGTGTGTCGATGAGATTGAGACCTAGGGGTCGCCTTGTGTTGGGACCATCCGCGATTTCTATGTCGAGGGACGCGGTTCTGATATGTGTTGTGTGGCATGCGCAGCCCTGGACGAACTTTGCGACGGAGGCGAGCTGGTCCTTTGTTGTCGTTGGGGAGACGTCGCTGGTGTCGAGCAGGAGGCGGAGAAATGAGGTCTTGCCTGTTGTGATCCGAAAGCGACGGGGGTTATTGAACGTTCCTCTGGAGGATTGCGCACTCCGGGACGGCGAGAAGAAGAAAATACTCACCTCCTCGACAGCCAGCTACGAGAAGGGTGAACTCTGAGCGGGCGGTGTCTGTGGAACGGCGATGGACGATGAGCAGGGCTGGCCCGGAGACGGTGGCCCATGGCGCATGGCGGGCTTACCTGGGGCCTCATAGGCGTTGGGCTGAGCGTTGGGGTCTCGGTCGTCATGCCTTATGCGATGGTCTCTTGGGTTCATGGACGCTGGAGGCTGTTTTGGACGACGAGCAGGGCCTTTCTGGGCAGCCTTCGCTGGACGGAAGAAGGTCCAGTCTGAAAGATGGGCGCACCAAAGCAAAGCGGCAGTGATTTCGAAAAGCTCTGATGCGAAGCCAATTCCCACCGAACCTTGATTTGTTCCGATTGGTGCTTCACCGTCCCTCTCAAGGTCAAGTACCCCGCTCTATTGTACAACAAATAGCTTCCATATACACTACCGGCTATTATGCTCTAGATATACGACAAAAATATACGAGTAATAAGCAATTATGCAGTCCTCTCTATCAGCTAGCAAAAAGAGGTCTGTCTGTCAGATGGTCGCAGACCTCAGAGATTAGGGTACAAATATCGTGGGAGTGGTAGGCATGCGCATTGAGTGCGCACGTAAGAACCTAGAAAAAGAATCGATAGCAACAGGAGACGTAACAAGGAAGCTCCAATGAACATCTGTCACCCTGCGGACAGTGAGAAATGAATGCGGGGGACAACCCGTCCCTTTGCACAGGCTCTGCAGTCCTTGTCCCGTGCATGGGACAGCACCCTGTCCCCTCTTCACATCCATCCCCCCACAATCAAAACATTCGACGTCCAACGGCCGAAGCATAGGCGGTGGTCACCGGGAGCATGCTTTGTTTAGAAAAGACCGTGATAGGGTGAAGGCCGTCATCTCCTTGTGATCCGTGGTGCCAGCTTATCCCATCTTCCTATACATTTCTTCTGCATCCGAACGATCTTCTGAGCTTGTTTCCCGACTGCGGGGCCCAGTCCGTGCGCGAGAAGGTGCTGCATTCGGAAACGGAGTCGATGAAGGATAGTTCGGGGTTTCTGGAGGTAGGCGAAAGCTAAATTCCTGGAGTTCTGGAGGCGATGCGTGAAAGGTGTGCAAAGAAGACGAGTTTGGGGGGAGGGGAGATTGATCCATGGGCGTTGGCAACACGCTAGATCCGGCATCTAGTTGAGTCGAGGACGACATAGACTCCGATGTTGCGGGTGTCATATTGGCAGCAGCGGCCGCTGCGGCCTGGGCCGCGCGCTTCTTTGCCCTTGGTCCTTTTGGATTCTTCCCTGGGCCGCGTCGCCTCTGGAAATGGACATATACACATTGGTACCCCCTGCCCTTGCAATTGGAACAAGGCTTGTCCCCGTCGCACCGGAGTTTGCGGCCTAAAGGGGTTTCGTTAACAGCAAGTACGAAAGCGGAACGACAACGTAAACCTACCCCGACAGAAATCGCAGGCTACCGAGGTTTTGGGCCTACGAACGCCATCCTCCTTGCCGGATTGCTGCTTCTTGCCCTTCTGGGAAGAGCTTTCGTTTGCACTGCCAGCGTCATCTCCTGAAAATCCGCTGCTGAAGGTGCTAAAACGGGAGTCGGCGGAGAAAGATTGGAAGTCGGGGCTAATACCACGCATCGGGTCGTGTTCTGAGGATTGCCCGGGTTGTGGTGGAACAAGGAAGGTACCGAGCTGAGAAGTAGAGTAGGGATAGTTCTTTGGTTGCTGTTGGTCCTGGACATTGGAGTTGCTTGACTCTGATGTGAATTGTGACGGAAAGAGGGGACCAGGTGACGTTTTGCTAAGGAAAGAAGGAAGCGACAACGCTGGGAAGGATCGTAATCGACAGATAAAATCAATTAGCGTTGTTGATCGTTGTGCAAACAGAGCATTGCACGTACTTTGCCCGGGCGGGATGAGTGACATGTCGTGATAGCCTTCCTGTTCTGTGTACCGCTTGTCCATATCGGCGGAGAACGAGCTTCTGTCCCCACCTACCGGGGCAGAAACACCACTCCCGAAATGGGCGATCGCTGAACTCCAATTTCCGGGCTGGTTTACGTTGGCGCGATCCTGAGTTTCTGGCCAGGGACCATCTCGAGCCCGCGATGGCCACGAAGGTTGTGGTAGATCTCTCGACGTCGTAGACGGCGGCTGATTCCAGACAGGATCGCTCCAGGACGGCGGTGCAGCGTCACTTCCTTGCCATTGGCGAAGAGGAGACGCCCAAGCGCTGTCCTGTCGTGAAGAGGGTCCAGCCTCGCTGTCCCGCCTCGTTACTGATTGAATGGCATCGCTCCGGGGTGGCGCCGTGTAAGGATAGCTTGACGCTCGTGTATATTGGGATCTTGACGCATGAAAAACCGGGTCGCTGTAAATAGGACTTCCAAATCTCGTTGTGGATGGCAGCGGGATCGCCGGTTGATGAATTGCAGCGCCTGCGAGATCCAAAAGGGACGTCGAGGACGAAGGGATATTTTTTGTGGTCTTGTCGTCCGCGGGATCAAAAGGAGCGGTTGAGCGACGGACAGGCAATCGTGGCTCCAAGGGTGGGAGAAGCTGAGAAGTTGAGAAATCATCTGAGAGAGTTGTTCGCGTTGAACTGTCCTGAGGGCCTGTATAAAGATGGGGAATAAGACTGCTGGGTAGGGAGGAAGACAGGGAATCGTCGTCGCGGTTGTCCATGATTGGGACTGAGAGCCATCCAGCGCGTCGACGGTGGTCTAAAACAAAAATTTGAAAGCGACGACAAAGCGACGACGGAACGATCGAGCGTCGCGCGGAAATTTATCCACCGCAAACACCAAATTACTTCCGCCCATTTCTCGTCCGTCTGAATTATCCTTAAATCAATTAGAAAACCTGCTCAACCCTTTACATTTCCAAGTCCATTATCGATATCTTCCAGCTTGCAATTCGTTCGTCAACGTGTTTTGTGCCGCTTGGAAAACGCGACGTTTGCGCTGATGCTCCCCCTATCTCCCTATTTGGTCATATGGACCCACTGCAACGGTACCAGCGACCGACTCTAATTAACGTCAATTTCGCTGCCCAGCATTCGTAAATCCATGTCTAATGTACGACTCCACCCAGAGCCAGGCTCCCCTTGCGCCTACAGTATTGTATCGTCGACGTCAATTTCCCTGCCCCGGTCTTTTACTGTTATCAAGCTCCGACCACGTTTCCAGCACAAAATGCCGGTGAGAACCTCCGAGCATTCTGGGGCCCGCTTCTATTCGGTGAAATTTGATTGAAGACGCACAGTTCAATTTCTGTGACATTCGATGGCGTTTTCTTGTCGAGTCTTTCTGGGAAAACGCGCATTTTATGAAGAGAGGATGCAGGGATCGAGGATGGAAATGATGGCGTTGATGGGACTGACCGGAGGCAGTACTAAACCAGGACATCCGCCAGCCGAGTCCCCGGCATCGGCCCGCACCGTGTGGCCGCAAGTTTTTCCCGGGGATTTCGTCCGAAGCCAATCACCGTCGAGTCAATTCTTTACTCGAAACATTTGGGTTGGCACTCGTGGTCGTCCATACGCGCGACCTCTTCCTCCATAATGCCGCCAAAATATCTCCCAATTCGTCGTCAATGGCTCCGGTCAGCGAGAGGCTTGTCTACAACCGCACGGTGCAGTGACAAGCCCGTCCTGAACCGGTACAGCAGGATCATCACCCAGCCCAAGGACCAGGGAGCAAGTCAGGTATGTCTAAACACGTCCACAACGGTCCCAGTCTCTCAGTCGCGTTCTCTAGGCTATGCTCTATGCTACAGATGGCATAAAGTCGGACGCGGACTTCAACAAGCCGATGGTCGGTGTCGCCAGCGTATGGTGAGCAACTCTGGTTTATTTCAGGAAGAACCAATATACTCATCAAATTCTATCAGGTATGAGGGCAACCCGTAAGTGCCTTCTGTTCATTTATTGCATCAGAAGAAACCCACCGTTGTAACAGATGCAACAAGCACCTTCTCGGACTTGGCCAGGAAATCAAGGCTTCCCTTACCGAGGCAGACATCATAGGCTACCAGTTTGGTACGGTCGGTGTCAGCGACGGTATTAGTATGGGTACGAAAGGAATGTCGTATTCCCTCCAGTCGCGAGACTTAATCGCTGACCAGGTGGAAACTGCTGCCGGAGGTCATCATCTCGATGGCATGGTAGTAGTCCCTGGGTGCGACAAGAATATGCCTGGTGTTCTCATGGCTCGTAAGTACTGGCCTTCTTTCCATTCATCAACTACTAAACTCCGTTGTTACCTTTTTGCACCTGTTTCCTCTTCGACCATGCTCTCTCCCATTTCACAGTTGGCCGTCTCAACCGACCAGGTCTCATGGTCTACGGTGGAACCATTCGCGCAGGCTCGTGTGAAGGCATGCCTCAATTGGATATCGTTTCTGCTTTCCAGGCCTACGGAAAATACCTTCAAGACGGAAGGACACCCAAGGCTGAGGAAGAACGATACAACACCGTTCGACACGCCTGTCCTGGTCCTGGTGCTTGCGGTGGCGTGAGTTTCCACATTCCCAACTATGTTCTACTCGAGTTTAATTGACATGAACAGATGTACACTGCAAACACAATGGCAAGTGCAGCGGAGGCTTTGGGAATGACCCTTCCCGGTTCTTCCTCCTTCCCAGCGCAGTCAGAGGAGAAACATCTAGAGACCAAGTCTATCGGTTCTGTGATGTACAACTTGCTTGAGAAGAACATTTTGCCGAGGGACATCATGACGCGCTCTGCCTTTGAAAACGCGATGGTTGGTATATTTCTGACTGCTTTCGAAACTGTGTTCATTATCTTTCTTAGGTCCTCACCGTCATCCTCGGAGGCTCAACCAACGCAGTCCTCCATTTGATCGCCATTGCTCACTCAGTCGGCATCAAACTCGACATTGACGACTTCCAAAAGGTGTCCGACCGGATACCCTTCCTTGCCGACTTGAAGCCCAGCGGAAAATATGTCATGGAAGATGTCTACAAGATCGGTGGTATCCCCAGTAAGTCCTCTTCTTTCATAATGCCTTTTGAGACTGGGGCCCCTCTGCATCTCCCTTCGAGCAACACGTGTTGGGGTAGATATCTCCTTCATGTTAGTTACCGTAATCTCTTCCGTCTGGAAGGCCTGATCTCTGTGGTTCCTGATGCTGTTCCCATCTTGTCTACCTGCTTGTTCCCCTCGTATCATACTCACCTTCCCCAACAGAGGTTCTCGCGTTCTTGCTCAAGAACAATTTGATCGATGGTAATAACATGACTGTTACTGGTCGCACTGTCGGAGAGAACTTGGACCGATGGACGCACAAGTACGGCGAGCTCCACTTCGACAAGCAGGATGTCATCCGACCTCTGGATAAGCCTATCAAGGAGACTGGTCACATCCGGTATGTGCTCTCTTCGGTTGTAGAATTGCCTGTTTCTCCTCCCCCTTCTTGTTCACATATGCCTGGACCCAACCTTTTGCGTCTTTTGACCCCAATTTTGACTCTTGCGGAACAATCACATCATACTATATCTTTCGCAGTCTTCACATCGGCGGCGGACCCAAAGTCACCACCCCGTTTTTTACATCCTTTCCGAGTTGGCTTTTTTGGTCCCGAGGACCGTGTCAGACGCGCAGTCCCGTCTTATGGCCGCCCTTCGCCCTCTTCAACGCTCATTTCCCTCGTTTGTTCGGATATAAGATTTGTCAACTGACCAACCCTCTTTTTTGCCTCTGACAGGATTTTGAAGGGTAACCTCGCCCCTGGTGGCGCCGTCGCCAAAATCACCGGAAAAGAAGGCCTTGGTTTCGTCGGCAAAGCACGTGTATTTGATTCTGAGAACGACTTCGTCAAGGCTGTGGAATCTGGTAGCATCAAGAAGGGCGAGAAAACCGTTGTTATTTTGCGGTATCTCGGTCCTCAGGGTGGACCTGGTGAGTTGAACATTTCCATGTTCACGTTCGCTGTTCTTCAATTCTATTGTGGCGCGAACTCGCACCTGTGAGAGGATAAGACTTCTGGGTAACATGCCCTAATACTCTTGGTTTCTCCGCGAAGTCATTGCATCCTCTCACAGGAGTTTCTTTTCCCTCCGCGTCTGTGGACGGAGTTCGACTCTCCATGTTTCGAATAACGCCACCCGGTGTTCTGTTTCCTTGGGGCAGTTCTTCCCCTTTCCCATTGTCTCCGCATCTTCCGTCTTCCACCTTTTGACTTAATCACAACCTGCGTACTCATCGTGTCCTTTCTTTATTCTCAAACAGGAATGCCCGAGATGCTTAAGCCTACCAGTTTGGTGATGGGCGCTGGATTGGGTATGGATGTCGCCATCTTGACTGACGGACGATTTAGCGGAGGGTGAGTGGTGTTTTTTGCATCGAATTTGAATTATACGCCTTCGCGTTGTATACGCGGGAAATGGGATGGCACGCGATATCTATCATTCTCCCGCATTTCCTTTTCCTTTCGACATTTGCGTTGACATTTCCCTGGCGATGCAGATGCCATCGTTTGGTCCTTGTTCTGCTATTTGACGTCCTTGGAAGGGCATGCGGTTACCCCTAGTCCCGGCTAGCAAGAGCACGTTCAACGCGAGGCTGTTCTATAGGGTGCTCACCCCGTTCCGGAGGTCAACGAACCCTCTCTTCTCTTCCCATAATCCCTTATTCACGGGACCCTTCTCGCCGCGGAAGATGTATACCCGTCTTCCTACCCGCCTATCGCGTAACTCGCCTAGCTCTAGCTCTTCTTCTTGCCTCCGATCTAGACAGGATAACCCGATACTAACCACCCCTCCCCTCGTCCAGATCGCACGGATTCTGTATCGGACACGTCGTTCCGGAAGCGCAAGTCGGTGGCCCTATCGCCTTGGTCGAGGACGGCGACATCATCTCGGTTGACGCTGTGAAGAACACGATCGAGTTGCAGGTCCCTGAACCCGAGCTTGCCGCGCGAAAGGCTGCATGGAAGGCACCCCCTCTCAAGGTCACCCAGGGCACCCTCTACAAATACGCCAAGGTTGTCACCGATGCCAGCCATGGGTGTGTCACTGATGCTTAAGCGTTGAGGACGCGAACGTGGATAAGTGGCTCGCGTGGTACGGAGGGATTTCTTTGCACACTTGACTATCAGGGTGGACTTTTGGTTCCCTTTCTACGATGGGTCAAAAGCTAAAAGTAATGAATTGGGTTTGTACAACTACTAGTAGCGTTTGTCGGCTAATTCAGAAAATGTTGTCTAATACACTGGAGGCTGGGTTGCGAAATTGGGTATATGGACTTCTACACATTGCAACACGCGAAAGCTGAGCGGAAAGGGACATGGATAGCAAGAAAGCGAGATAACACGATGACGAAAGCGGGGAGTTGGGAAAGCAGGAAAAGGGTGTCGCGAAATTTGACCTGGTGGTCGATAAACAAGGGCTGGAGGATGAGGAGGTAACCGCGCTCATGCTGAAGTTCTAACTTTGAACGCGACCTTCCGAGAATCATGGAACTGGGGGAACAATCTTCTGACTTGGGTTCGAAGGGTGGGGATGGACACTTTGTCGCAGATGGGGAAGGTGCGCAACCCGCTCAGGACGATATTGAACGACCGCAGACTAGGAAACGCAGATGGCGTCTGCATCACCCTCTCGATGGCCGTCCAATTCGCAAAGTCGAGGACATTGACCAGTGCGTCTTCGTTTGTCACTGCGAACTCGAGGGTGATTCGTTCGACTTTGGAGGTGGATCCGGACAGCGATTCGAGGGAGGTGCACATGCGCGGGCCAAAGTCGGTGAGGCGGCCGTGCATTGTGAAGTAGCGGAAATGGATTTCGCGGAGTTGGGTGTTGGAGGAAAAGTCGAAGGGGCCCATTGACTCTGCTAGTTCTTCTGCGTCTGCGCCCACTGATGGGACATGGTAATGTTTCCGTTTTTTCGTTCGTGTGAAGATGAAAAATAGTTGCATTCAATAGGTTTTAAAGAAGGGTACGATGGAGGAAGGGAAAACGTACCTTGGGTGTTGCAGCACCCTTTGCATTCGAACTCTTGTAGTGCTGGTCCAGCCTTGGAGAGGATAGTTTGGACAGAATCAACGTTGAAGCGGTTGGAGCTAAACCGGAAACGGCGAAGGTCTGCGAGGGCTTGTGGATAAAAGTTGGGAAGATCACTGTAAATCCACGACGAGTCGATATCGAGTTCGACTAGAGACACTTGGGGTTGGACGATGCCGCCTTCCAGGTGTGGCTCGATGCTGATATTGTCCAAGGTCAGGTACATGAGCTTTGGGTTGTGCGTGATCTGAAAAGACGGGACGTCCTTGATCGAGCTGCCCACTGTGAGGCGAGTGATAGGCGTCTTCATGCAGAAATTTTGTATCGTGCTCTGGAGAGGCTCAAATTCGTCCCAGTGGATCGAGTTGGATGCTTGGAGCCAGAAGTGCTGTAGGCGCGGCAACAGCGGTAATATCTGTGCGAGCAGGTCCAACGTCGCAGGGAGAACATAATTGAATGACGTCCCCGCGGTCAACTTTTGCCAGTGGACGTGGAGGGTGACTTTGAAGACGCGGACTTGGTCTGCAAAATGCGGGTTCTGCTCGATGTAGTCTTTGAACCGTTCGAGGGTCGGCAAGTGGAGACACCTGCGCGGTGCTTCAAGTTCGTCTTCATCGTCACTGTCGTCTTCCGGGACTGTGTCCCGAACATGAATTTGAGAAGCGACTCTTTTGCTGAACTCGTTGTGAAACGCTCGGCAGACTAATGAACACGCTTTGAGTGTCTCGAGGCACCTGAAGGGGACGGGATCGTTGTCGACGTGTGTCGCGATCTCTGTGACCATTTCTGGCGGCAGACCACGACAGCGTCCTGCCTCTTGCGTTGGATATTCAACTCGAGGCATGATGCTCGAGGCCCAGTCTTCACGTCAAAAGTGGCGACTGCATCAGCCTCAAGACACAGTTCAAAGGATTCCCAGCAATCTGGACTTACCTTGTCTTTTGGAGAAATCGACGCGTTTTCTTGGAGGGAAGGAAGAGATGAAAAGGAATGAAAGGAGAGTGAGCGATTCAGCTTGTTCAACGTTCCATTTCTGAATCGTGAGTCATGTAAAAGGGAGATGAGAGGACAAGAAAGAAAACGCTTTGATGGTCATTGTCTTTGCCCATTCTTCTCGTGTTTCCAGCGGCCCGAAATGAGGCAGAAAATGCCAAGGGGGTCCCGGGCCGGGAATCCCGTACCGGAGGGTAGGAGGTACCCCACCGCCAGGTCGGCCAAAAAAAATTTTGTGCATACCCCTATTTAGGCAATTTTGGGCGGGTGTCGGGCGGGTATGACGACGTTTTCCGTACCTAGTGGCTTAATATAGTCAATACGATCGGTTTCAAGAAAGGCGAGAGCAATTTTCCAACTGGTGTCCTTTGCATTGACCCATTTCCTTCGACTCTACGACTGACCATGGATGGAGTTACTCAACAGGTAAGTTTCGATTGATACAATCATTTATTGTTCGATAAAATTGGTGAGTACTACGACCTGACTTCCGTTCAAAATGGGTATTGAAACATACCTAGTATCACACTAAGTGTGTTAGCGCGTTGACCTTTTCGAAAGGAACTGGATTTGTGAGAACTGGAGAAGGTCTGGGGAAGGAGGGAGCAAGCGGGCGCGCGTTTGACGGATATAACATTACTATATATGGGAATACCCCTGATTACATACTAGGTACCCCATGACCCAGAGGGCGTTAACAAAAAATCCGGGCCTCGGTCTTAGAAAAAAATCCCGGGACCCCCTTGGAAAATGCCTCGTTTTTTGACACCCGGTGTGGCAATTCAATATTCAGGGGATTATAATAGGCTTTATTGATTATAGAGGCCTCTACGTACAGAATTAATCATATTACGGTAGGTAAATCGATTATTGCGGAGGTGGTACATACTGGGTTACCATGGGAGGGAGGGAAATAAATGTCGTCCTACAACTTGGGCGGCTCGCAGACACACTAAAGGTGATAGCATCCGAACGCACAAGGGACGGGAGCGAGTCTTTCGTCCTTTCTATCGCGTCTTTCACGACTGTGGAAGTTTCCGAGTGACCAGCACTGCTGCTCTCTCGCCTAGCAGGGATCACAACCACCTGCTGCAGGTACCTCGGCTTCCCCGTCTGCAAACTAACTCGAACACGTTTGAACATGGGTCGAATGGAGTGCAAAGTATCCAACCTCGACCAGAAAGGCGACCCGAGGAGGTTGACCAAGTCTGTTTCTGTCGAGGACAGGAAGGATAATTTCAGTTCGTCAATACAGAGCTTGGATTCATGTAGAGTCTGTAAGCTCGAACAGACGACTTTGGAAAAGTCGTGGATGTTTCCGCGAGGGGTATTGTACCGGAAGTGGAGGGTTTGCAGAGCCGTACATGTCTTGAACGAGAAGGGCCCGACGCCGGCTGCTCCTTCCGAGTCGCTGGAGCTTCCATCTTGGGGAGAAAAGATCCTTAGCCGAGGATTTACGCACAAATACAAGGTGTGGACTTACAGTGGTTCATAGCCTTGCCTTCGCAGCTGAACTCCTCCAGCGTCCGGTGAGCCGTGTCGATGAGTTGTTGTGTGTCCCGGTTCATGACCAGCCTCGTATGAAGGGACTGAAGATTCTCGAATCTTGACGGTGAGTGTGTCAACAACACATTAAACGCCGAATGCTCCACATAAAGCTTCGTCCACGTCCCCGCCTCACTTTCCTTCTCTCCCTCCCCAGCCGCACCCCCGTCCTTCCCTTCGAGCTCCTTCCCGTTCCCATTCTGAGAATCACAAACCACAACCACATCCCTCAACTTGACCGACCCCAATACCCTCCCCATCCCAAACAACGACGCCGGCAAATTACACACATTCCCAAACTTGACACTGACCAGCCCCCCACCCGCGAACGCATGCTTAATCGCCATCCGTATAGGCTCGTCCAGCTTGACCCAATCAATCCTACTATGGCTCTCAAACACCAAACTCTTCAGCCTCCTCAACTGCTTCATCACAAACGGCAAATCGGGGTAACTCTGGCCAGTCGCGATGCGGCGGGGTCGGCGGGTCCACGGGAGGGAGAGGTATATCGAGACGACGTAGTTGCCGAGCTGGGGGTTGTTCTGGAGAAGGGAGCGGAAACGCGTGATGCGGTTGCTGGAACGCGGGTAGGAGAGCTGGAGGATGGGCGACCCCGCGTCGCGCAGCTCGATCTGCCTGAACAGGCGCCGGCGGGTTTCGTGGTAGAAAGATTTGCAGCAGAGGGAGCATGAGGAGATGGTTTCGTAGCACCCCGTTTCGCGTGTGTCGTCCCAGACGTGGTCGATGATGCTCGAGGTGAGTTCTGGTGGGAGGATGGCCATGGTGAAACGGCAAATGTCGCAGTTTGGGACCTTGGTTCGAGTTTGACGTGGCGTGGAATTTGGGGAGATGTTGTGGATCTTTATGTGGCCCCGCTGTGGACTCAAAACATAGCCAACCGAATGGTATCAAGGGACACACTCCCCTAGGCCGCTGTGGCAGTCCCAAAGACCGTGCGTGGACAGGGAATCGGAAGGTCGGAAAGCAAAAGCCAAAGAGTGGGGCGTCGGACCCGTTCTTGATTTAAGTATCACTTGGCTCATGAACGAATGTTGCCTAGTTCCAAGTAAAAGCCCAGGGACCTCGTCGGCTAATGGAGAACTAGAACTGATTGAGGGATGAAGACATGATGGTGGTGGTGCTGTTCGACGCTGACCGAAGACGCCGGCAATCATAATAATATACCCCAATCCAGAATTCAAAGAGCGCTCGTGAACCTGTTTGGGAATTAGGATCTGCTGGAGACCAACAGAAGCACCAGAAACTGCGTGAAACTTGTCTAAGTTGGGTCATATGTCTGGTTTGGCAGCTTGAACAGGGGAAGGAAATCTATGGTCACGGTTAGGCACCATAACAGTTCTGCCGCATCACAAATCAGCGCGCACGGTGACCAGGACCCCTACCTTTGGGAACAACAACACGATGTTGCATCTCGGAGAGAGATTCCCCCGGACCTTTCCTGACAAAAGCGTAATCACAATGTGTTTGATTGATTAATATGTTTCCGCAGGGACTGAAAGGGGAACGAGGAGAAGAAGAGATAAACTCGGAGACACAAGACCTCTAAGATGATCTCGCCGACCTCTTCACCAGCTTCTTCTTCTCTGCCTTTGGCATTTTATTTTTGCGTCGTTCTTTAGCTTCGGCTTTGACGGCCTTCTTCCTTTCCTATGATCATTGAGAACGGGTGTCAGATCGATCATGAGCGCTAATTAGATGAAGATGCTCGAACCTTCTTCGCTTCTTTGTCTTCGTGTCTGTGGCCTCTGGGCTTCTTCTCAAACCTCTTCTGGTCCTCTTCCTCGTCATCGTCCTCTTCCTCGCTTCCGTCCTCGTCTTCGTCGCCCTCCTCTTCTTCGCCATCTTTATCCGGGTCTGTGCCGGTTTGTTGGCTTGGGTTGTATGTAGGCGCAGCTTCTTTATCCCCAGCCGTATTCTCCGCCGATGCAGGCGCAACCACTCCAATAGTCTCGGCATAGATCAACTGTTTACCCTCTCCTCTCGTCAGCCTATCCACGTCCCTCTCAGGATCATACACCTCGTTCAGCGTTCTGGGAATGTATGACTTCATGAACACCTCATCCTCATGAGCCGCAATCTCAGCCTTCTTCTCCTCCTCCACCTCATCACCTCCCCCGCTCGTCCTCTGCTCCTCCAACCATTTCTGCAACACCTCTTCCGGTGACATCCCTTCGTTTTCCTCCGAGAGCTTCTCCTTGGTCACAAACTCGAATGCCTTCCTAATCCCCAACGTCTGCACCCCACCCTTCCCAAAGAATTCCTCCACATTCTTGATATCGCTCCGTAGGAAATCAAAGGCGGACGGGTGGTCGTGTTCGACGCTCTGTGAGACGTCGATAATACAGAGGCGGCCTTCGTGGTAGAGGATGTTGTACTCGGAGAGATCAGCGTGGACGAGTTTGCAGTCGTGGTACATGGTGCGGATGAGGCAGAGGAGATTGGAGTACAGAGGGATCATTTGGTCCGTCGTAAGCTCTGCATCTTTCAGACGAGGGGAAGCCCTAGATACCATGTCAACCAAGAACAGGGAAGGTATTTGGTGGGTGGACTTACCATCCATCCCTATCACCAACAAAAGTCATGACCAACACATTCTCTCGAACTTCAACAGGTTCAGGAGACTCAATCCCGGCAGCTCGCAATCTCCTCAAATTCCTCATCTCCTTCTCAGCCCACAACCGCACCATCTTCCGTGGATTCCGTGAGTACCCCCGTCGGAACCGGTATTCTCCTGTAACGTACTTGGAACGGTCTTTGAATACGAGGATGGAGGTTTTGTAGATTTTGAGTGCGAGGTGGTCTTTGGTGGGGGTCGTTGCGTGATAAACGTTTGCCTATAGCATGTGAGGTTGGGTACCATCGGCGTAGAGAAAAGGAAAACGCACCTCTTTTCCTGTGCTCACACATCCATTCACTTCATGGATAAGACCCCTCCCAATCATCTTGAATAAGATCAACCTCGTTCGAGGATCAAGCACCTGCTCATTCGTCGCCCTATCACTCTTATCCTTCATATTCGCATGCGCACTCGGTCCCTTCCTATTCACACCCACACCCATAGTAAACGGCGTATCAATCTTCGCCAGCCTCGATGAGTACTTCTTCGTGTACTCCTCCAACTGACTGGTCGTTCGATCTTTGGCAGCGACTCCAGCCGGGATGGCTGCGGTGGGTTTTGCAGCTTTGACGGCCTTGGGGATGTTGACAGCGGGGAGAGCGGCGACAGAGGCGCTCTGGTTCGTTGCTGACGCTGAACCTTGGGCATTGCCTGTTTTTACGGCGACGTGTTGTCGCAGTCGGTTATACTGTTTCGTGAAATCTAAGCGCCAATGTCAGTCCGAGTTGCCTGGACGGACAACTGGAACGCACCTCGTTCTGCGATATCCCAATCTTCATCTTCCACCCTTGTATTATCATAATAATCATCTTCGTCTAGTAAACTATCGTGGTCTTCGTCTTCCTCGTCTGAAGAAGGCGGCCAAGCATGGTCGTCGAGGTCAAGTTGGGGTTCAGTGCTGGGGTCCACAGTGTCGATGTAGGCCACGTTCCCTCGTCCGTTTATCTCTTCAGGAGCATCGTCAAATTGCCCTGGTTCTACTTCATGGGATGCCATGGCTAGGTATTGCGGGTGTAGTCGTCGTCGATATCGTCGTTCCAAAAGACCCACATTTTCAAGAGTGCTCCAAGGGAGAAAGATAATCTGAGTGGCTGTGCGATAAAAGGGAAATTATGTCCCGTGATGTCCGTGTGGATCGGAACATCCCGCCCGAATTCAGGAGTCGCGTCGCGCCTTCCTCGTACAGACGAGAGGACTTTACTGACTGTGCCTACTATGCGTCTAGTTTGTGTCTAGTATAAAACACCTTTGGCTGATACAGTCTACCACAGCTGAGTGTCCGTGATCAGCAGTCGTTGTTACGCCGCGGACCGGCTGCATCCGCCTCGCTTAGTCATCAAGCGCAAGGCCGGAGAACGGTGCGCGATCCGACAGGCTGTGGTCGTTGTACCATACGACGAGGACGACAAGATGCAGACAGGTTTACGCCAGCGTGTGCCTTTCACCTTCAAGCCTGAAGATGACGATAACGACAATACTGTTCTCGACGATGAACGTGAGCCCTGACCCAAATTAATATCCACTCATTTCTGAATTGGAGAACCAGAGCAAGAAGAGATTCTGAAGACGCTTCGAGCTGCGACTGCTGTGATGAATGAGCAGAGCCGACTGTTGGTTTGGGTTGTTGTTGGGCTATCTGCGCTGCTGTAAGAACATAGCCATGTTCCAAGTCTGGTCTGACTTTTTCTGCAGACAAATTGTGGTTCTATTCAAGGCCTCACCGTCACCACTTCTATTCCTCTTCCCAAATCCCAAGGCGGGCCATATACCCTTCTCCATTCCTCTAACGCTCCTCTACATCGCCATCCACGCCAATCTCCTCGTGCTCAGCGACATCCCCAACGGGATACTCCAATCTTCACAAGCACTTCCACTCAAATTCCTTTACCCAGTAGCAGCCATCGCGCCTTCTCTATCCATCTACTTGCGAAACCCATGGCAGGTGTCGATTTGGTGGTGCACGACATTCACCATGGTCTACCTTACCCAGTTTATTCTGGATACGATTGAAGACCAGAATTACCAAGTTGCACAGTTGGAGGGTTTGCGGTATCGAGCACCAGGAGCGTAGGTGGGACTAGGCTGGAGACACTCGTAGAATAATCTAAGGACATTTGTGGTCAGTGTAGCCATTTTCCAATCTCATGACCCCTTGACCGCCATCGGCCGCAATAGCCACGCTAGATCTTGCCCAACGACCTACCAAACCCACTCAATTCAATTTCCTCAACGACCAAACCCTCTTATCAGCGTCAACTACTCCGTCGACATTGCATCCACCATAACTGAAATGTCGAGCTAAAAATAGCTCTGGTGGACCGAGGTCGACGCGACGCAGCGGGTGACCTCCAACTCCCGACGATTTTCCATCGACCACGGCTTCCAATTCACACCGCTTCTCTTATAAGGACTGGCCATGGGGTCGACCCTCCGCACTGACGTGTTCCCGCGACAATGATCCTCTCTTCACTGCTATGGCTTTGCTGTTATCTGGGGTTGGTCAATGGCAAGGTGTTGTGGGATGGTAGGGCACCGAGGAACTATACCTCGTTCCATCTCGACGCGAGTGTAGACCCGTATTTGACGTGAGTGCACAGAATTCTGCTTTACCTTCAATATGGGCTAACGATCGCGCAACAGGGTTGTCAAAGGACCTCGTGCAGCATCCATTGTATGCCCCTCCGCTTCTCCTTGCGCTTCCCATCCTCACTCCCAATTCACAGTACACCCGTCTGCTCGGCCGTGAAGTAACCCCTACTCCCCTCTGGAACGACCGCCTCTTCCCCGAAGTCCCCTATCCCGCCGTCTCCACCGAACAAACCCTCCTCGTCCTCATCGGCAACTCCTCCGTCTTCACCCCAGGCTCCTCCGGCCGCCCCCAAACAGGCTTCCGCCGCACCGAGCTCATCGCCCAAGTCAATGGCAGCAACATCGACCTCATACCCATCATCGGCAAAGGACGCGTTGCGTTCCATTTCAGCGTCCTCATGGATGAGTGGCATAAATTGGATATGATACATGAACACCAGCTTGTGTTTGTGGAACCGTCCGATGGGAGTCATGTTTTTACTTTGCAAGTTGGTGGGTACCAGTTATTTATTATGCCTCTCAAGGATCGATATGCGGGAATAGTGTTGACACAAGTACACCATTGCCAGGTTCACCCTTCACAAACCCGACAGGACCCCTTCCAGCTCCCCGCGCCGACTGGCTCAAAATCCTCAACCACAACCTCGACGTCCTGTTCGAAACCGAATTTACAGACGAAACCTGGCACAACTTTGCCGTCATCGTCGATTGGGAGAAGCGCACACTCCAAGTGTGGTACTCGCAGAACGAGAACAACCTCGTTTGGGTGACGCCGGTTTTGCCGAATAAGACGGTGAAGAGGGGGACTGCTGGGCGAGGGGACTTCCACTTTGGTATTTTGAAGGTGCGTGGTTTTTGTCGTTGAGTTGGGAGAGGGAGGGATGGACTGATGGATGCGCGCGTTGTTTATAGTTGCCCCTTGTGAACGTTGCGGACCCTCCTGAAGTGAGAGATGATGTTGTGCATTATGGGATTCAGCCCCCTACGACGCATGGGATCATGTACTCTGGTGTCTTTATCGAGGATTTGGAGGACGGCTTGAGTGTTGGAAACAAGTTCATCCAGGAGGTTTGAAACGATACATCCTCTGTAGCACTGACTCGAAACTGTAACCTAGGAAGAAAACGAAATAAAAAAGGTCATAATCCTGCTCTGGAAAGCCACTGCTAAGCAACAAAGTCCCGTCTTCACGTTCTTTTCACCCCCTCCACGACCGACTTTAGTAATTCCAAGCTAAGCGCATCCTCTTCATACGAAACACCATCCACCCACGCGAGCCAACTCTCTGCACGTGCTCCTCCAGCTTGGTCTTGGTCGACCAATCCAGTTGCAATGTCCATCTTCTGTTCTCCTTCAACATCTCGCCAATAGAACACCGTGGCTCCGCATGTCCCGCAGAACTCCCTACGGGCATTGGTGCTTGATTTGAACTGTTTTAGAGCTGGTGGTCGGGTTTTTGGGTCGGCTGGTGGATATGCTTGACTTCGAGTTTGTTGTGTTCGGATGGACACTCGGACGAGACGAGAGTACAATCAAAAGGAACATACGACCACGTCGTAACGACACACCCGCTGCTCAGCCTGCAACTGGTACAAAAACAGTACTCTGTGCTGTACCGGATAGGATCGGAGGGTGTTTTGCCTGGGACGAACCACCATTCTTCGGAAGGGTTGGTGATTATGGTGGGTCGTTCGATGTGGAAAGAGATTGATTTGCAGAGGCAGTGGAAGTGGAGGAGGTCGTTTGAGGGCGTGGTGGTGGTGTCTGACGGCTGAGGAGTGTGATTCCAGTCATGTGGAAGAGCGTCTCCTGGACTTCGAAGAGCCTTGTACCGTGGAAGAGTATTTCCTCCATAACGCGTGATGTGTTTCGAAGCACCACCGTCAAGTGTGTCACCCAGGAAGATATGTTTGTCAATCGTGACGATCCCGTCGAACCTTTCCAACACCCCCGCGCAGGCTTCCCATCTCACCTTCCCGTCCTTGGGATCCTCAACGCTAAAGAACATATGTGCACCGCATGTGCTGCAGAAATACCTCTTCCCGCCCTCCGAGGAAGCGTACGTCGTTAGATTCCCTTCCTCATCCAGATTAGCTACTGCAGGTTGGGTCTCCCCCGTAGACGAGGTTTCGGTGGAGAACAAGGACAAAGGCGGACCGTCCAAATCAACGTACATAGCAAAGGATTGTCCGGTCGCGTGTCGACAGGTGTTGCAGTTGCAGATGGAGGTCGGGATGGGGAGGGAGGAGGTTGGGAAGGAGAGGTGGTATTTGTTGGTGCCGCAGAGGCATTGGGCTTTGACTAGGGTTGACATTGTGAGTAGAGGAACAGGGACGGTTCTGGTAGAGGATTTGTTAGATGTTGTTTCTTAGACAGTTGGTGGATGGGCTCACCTCTGCGTTGCTGGGAAGAGTGGGGAAAAGGGCGGGAACCACCGGTCTTTAGTGTCCTAACCTCTACCTTTATTGCCCTCCAATGTCGTTATCAAGGTCATGTTACCACTTTTAAATAAATTGAGAACTCGAGATAGATATGATAGGCATCGTCGTTTTCGTCATTGGTTGTGGTGGTTCGGAACCAAGTTGGAATCGAAACTTGCAGCTCAGCGCATACTGAATAAAGCCCCTAACTTTGAGTAGATTCCCACGCCGACTTGAAATTTCGTTCCGTCGCGTCAACGCGGTCAGTGCCGTGTCGCTCGCTCTTACTAACGACTTTGACCATGGCTTCTCCAAATCCTGACCAGCAACAACCCTCTGCTATCCCCCCACCGCCGTCCAGACTCCCACCTCCAACTGGAAACCTTGTCTATGACTCTTTTCAAGTGGGTCTTATTCTCGATTCAATATGGTCGAAGCTGACGAGTGGAATTGTAGAGCGCCCGACATGTGACGGAACTACCTTGCGCGCGGAATAGTTTGTTGTATGGGATTGCTGGTGGGGTTGGGATTGGGGTCGTGAGAGGGTTGTCTGCTCGTGCGTTTCCCATCATCCCTATTGCGAAAGGAATCTCTGACTGACGAGCAATTCAGCACCTATGGTTGCGGGTCACTGGGCAGTTGGGACATTTGCGCTTATCTCTCTGGGTTCTTGGTTCGTACTCTTTCCATTCTAATCTCCACACCCTTGAAAATCCCAATAATAAACTAAAAAAAACCTGTTCAACCAATAACCGTATCGTGCCTATAACAATACTGATTAACCGTGTATATCTAAAACAGGCATTTATGTCAGAAACAGTTCCGGGATGAGAGGAGGAGGATCGAGCAGATTATTGAAAGTATGCCTCCGAGGAAGGTGAAGCAGGATGGTGCGGGTGAGGCTGGTACAGGATCGACGTCAACTTCTTCGGCGTGATGCGTGTATTGGCCTGGTGGACGGATTAGATGGGTTTGGAGGATGTGAAGGGCTGTGTGGGCCGGAGGCGTGGCTCGATATTTGGTCAGCATGGACGTATCCTATCGGATACTGTGACGGAGGGGCTGCAGAAGGGCAGGATTAGGGTATCCATATCAGCTGAAGATGGTAGGAGGCGGGAGGTGATAGGATGGGGTATCCAAAGTCAGTCGACGGTCGATTACCACGTCCTCCAGTACTCTGCTTTATAGTTCTCCACCAAGTCGGGATCATCCTACCAACGAGCCTTCGGTTAGCAAAATGAACCCCAACTCAGATAGTGATATAACGACGCACCTTGTATTTCACCTGGAATTGAGTGAATCCTTCTCGCAGGACGGCGATTTCTTGGCTCTGATTAGGGCCCAACAAGTTTTCTCTTGTTTCTTTGTATATCTGTCGGGTGGTATCCGTTAAGATAAGGCGATGGGTTGGCCAGTGAGGTGGTGTTTAGCGTACCCTTGCAGCCTTGGGACCTCTAGAAGGCCATCGTATCAGCAACCGTTGAACAAAAGGGACACAACACAACATACCGAACTTGGGAAAGCGCACAGTGGAAGATAACGAGCGGGACATCTTTCGTATCCTTGACGAGCTCATCGACGGTGTTCAAGAACTCTCCCGACGGCTTGTTCAAGCACCCAACGATGTTCCCACCGATAAAGTCGTCGTCTCGAACGTCCACGACCAGGAAATCTTTCTTCGCTTGTTTGGTATCGTCCTTCATCAAGGCTGCGAGTTCCTTCAACGGCGATTATGTACTGTTAGCGCTCTGGATCGGGGTACGGAGGGCATCGATTATGGCTTACATCGCCAGTAATGTACTTGACCATCGTGCCAACTTTTGTGTTCACTGAGGAAGTTGCTTTTGAAAAGAGACGGCGATTGGGCTTTATAGCAGCAGTGACTCGGCGGACAGAAGAAAGGTCGGAGAATCTCAAAAGAGGAAGGTACATGTGCATTGGCAACACTGTTACTCATCCTCGCACGCCCCCAGCACCTTACCGGCACGAAGGCCCCGACATGATCAAGACTTGATTTCAAATTGCATTCTACGGATTTGTGATTTCGGTTGACTATTTGGGCCTTTTAGGAAATGCTCATGCCTTGTTCAGGCCCTGAAGGAAACGGAGAGAAAGGTATGGAATGCTTGGAAGTGTCCCGGGATTTTGTTGTCCAGCTTCAGGCGAGAGATAACGGTGGTTCTAGAGTCTCTCCGGAGATCCATACTCAAATGGGTTTAGTGCGTTTCAGTGTTCAAGTACCGTTCGATAGGTGGGCGCCGGTTCGAGAACTGTTCTGTGAAAGAGTAGTGAAAGAGTAGTGGTAGAGTAGTAGTAGGAGGGTACGTCACGAGTCACCTTCATCCCAATCATCGCAATCACACAATGGTGAAAGATATGTCGTCAACAGGAAAAGTAAAGAACAAACCAGACCAGAACCAGACCTCCAAGATGGATAGGTACGAGGAGGACAGCATGTACATGATCGCGAGCTCTCCCATCGGTGGCTGTGCGTTACCATTGCTCTTCCCAAACTTCCAACACCTTGTCCGTACCTTTCGGTATGGTCTTTGTCACGCTGGCGTTCTCTTCTCTGGCTTGTAGACGAAGGAACTCGAGCGCTTGTGCAGATGCTTTCCAAGTCACATATTTGCCGACGTGTCAATTCCCAATTCCGGAATGGGCTCGGCGCTTAAACGGAGGAATATGCCTCCTCCTCGAACCCGCCTCACTTGCGGCGCTCCCGAAGCAGTGGACTTTTCACTGTGTGACTCATATTGACTCGAAAGCTCGAACTGCGCCTCTGATTGAAATTCGAGTGCTATCACGCTGCCACGTGCACTCTCAGGCTTTGACCGGGCCGGCAGCAAGGCAGCCTCAGGCTGGCTGGAGAAAAGCTCTAGGGCCCAGATGCGACTCTACCTCTGCGTGGAGAGATGAGGTCAGTTCTTCATTTCCCCGCCGCAAGTCTAATCAAGCTGTTACAATGGCATTCCTTTGTGCCACGCTGCGATGCTATCATGCTTCGCCCTAGCGCGGCGGGGAGGGTTCTTTCGTCGACGCATGTATCTTTCCCTTTGCGAACATATTCCAGACCGACATGAGACGCTTGACGAAGGGAAGGTCACTCCCTATCTTCGCTTTGGGAGCGCAGGACAATTAAGCGCCCGTGACCCGACTGGAGAGGCAGGGTGCAGCGTCACCAGACTTCCATCTAGTCCGGTCGACAAGGAGCTATCACCTTGGCGGTTTCTGTAGCCAAGATGAGCAGGTCGATCTCTTAGGGTGCCGCGTCGAAGAACGGATTGTCAATAGGCCGAACTATAAACGTTTACCTACATCGATTCTCTGGTGAGTTTGTAGTAAATTTCAATCATCCATGCACGCCTCCAAATTGATTTACAGGAATAGTTGCCAGTGACAGGCCTGTTAACAGGAGATCAAATCGGTTTAAGCACGTTATGTAATGGAGCATGCATGAGGCAGGAAAGTTCGAGTTGCGACGATCGAGTAAACACCCTTCTTCTAGCCTTGTTTACTGCCTTCCCTTCCACTTGTTGCTCCCCAGTCAAGCTTCTCCCGACTCCCCTCGTCATCATTCTCACCGTCGTCACCCAGTTCACCGAACAAAAAGTAGTCGTCTTTCTCTGTCGTCCGCGCCGCCAGTCAACCTTTTCTTTTCATTTCGCTTGGGTCTCGCACTAAACCTTCATCGAACGGTCATTTCTGCTTGGAACCGCCGGATACACCGACATCTTCGAAGAGGGATACGGAACGAGGTCCGAGTGCGATGCAAAGAGTGTGGTCGACTTATCTGAACCCCTTATCCAGTAGCAACGATCCGGAAAGCGAGAACCAGAATAGGAGCAGTGGTGGTTATGAACAGGAGTCGACAAGAATGAATCCGAATCAGACCGACGACCAAGGGAGCAGAAGCACTTCGCCCATCGCGTACAACTACATGAGGCAGTCCTCCTCGAGGCAGGGCGGAGGCAGCAGGGATTATTCTTCAGCGCATAGAGCGCATGCGGATCGACAAGAGCTCGTGCCTCTCAGTTCGACCAACTACCATTATGACGCAAATCTCAATTTTCGAGACTCGATTTACTCTTTGGTGAGTCTTTTCTGTTGCACTTGAATTTCTTGAACGTCCCGTCGAGCTTGAGGCCGCCACTCATCCTATCCACGTACTTCCCGTTTCGTGGCATTTAGCGGCAGCGAACACAACTAGTTCTTCGATCTAACAGGGACATTGGACTGGATGATCGACCTCTCTCCTTTGAGAAAGTTCGACTCCGGGACGGACCCAATAGAGGTGGAGCATAACGGCAGTGGCGAGTCGGACTGAATGCCAAGCACTCCCTCGAGGCATCGTCCTCGGCGCCACTGGCGAACGCTTCAGTGTTCGCCGTTGCTGTCCAGCTGGTGTGCCTAGATCCTTGCTGATCCTAGTCGCGTTGACTCACCCTTCATGAGGGCTCACCGTTCACTCGATCTTGACGGGTCTTGGCTCCATGACCAGCATCGACGCTACGACATCGCCAGGATCATATTGCATTGAAGTTTCTGCAGTAAACTGCATTGCCGTCGTGCGTGCACGCATTGGCTAGCCATGCCTGCTCCGGCATCGAACTTTACAATCTAATTCTATCCTTTTCACCTTCATATTCGTCATCATTGTTGAGCTTGTTACTGATTACCTTCTCGTTCCATACTGGTTCCCTCTAACTGGTTTCCTTGATCGCCGTGTCGCCCACCGCGTACCACCTCTCGAATCTGTTTCACGACCTCGCGACGAACCATTCTTTCAACGGCCGCGGCTGTAACATCGACGCGAAACCGGAAATTAACTCACTCGCGGCAACCATTTCATGGTATGCGCTTCTTGGAACGTTCTTTCATTGGGCTTGGAAAAATCTAGTCAGGAATGGATGGGTACGTGGCCATTTTATTCGTGTCAGATAGGCTACCCGGGATCGAATATTCTTGTTTGGCACGAATAGTCGATGCTTGCGGGACGGGCGCTCTCTCACACCCCGACAATTAGGGAGGGCTTGGCGCTATCTCCATCGGCTGTGCTCCAGTCGTATCCCTTTCTCTGTGGCTCTCATACTTTTACCTAAACAAACTCTGTATGAAGGGATGATGAAACTGAAGCTGACCTTTATTCCTCTGCTTCCTTCCCGCCGACTCGTCGATCTGGCCTCCTTCGCCGTCCAACAGACCGTCACCACGCACGTCGTTCTCTTCACAAGCTGCATCGTCCCGGCCCATCCTGGACACACCTTCCCCTGACTCGAGCATGAACCACGGTAGCAGCAGCCATGGACCGTCGTCGCCATCAGCTACACCCAACCCCTTCAACGGACGGACGCCCCGGAGCAACAACAATGCCGGCAACAGCAACTTTACGGATAGCCTGTTTTTCTCGCTGGGACCTCGGCTAGGAGAATTGGATCGTTACGAAGAAAATCCCTACCTGATGGCACCACTCGAACCTCCGTCGGCACCGTTCGCGCATGGGTTGTCAGCTAGCCCAGCCCATTCCTCGAGCAGTTCTGTCCGCGCCGATTCGCCGGGCCCGTCGATCGCTGGTAGTAGCAGTCGACCACTGTCCGCCGCCTTCCGGTCTGACTCTGCGTCCAACATACCAATGCTAGGAGCATCAACAGGAGGTCTGTCAAGCGGCGATGCGAGCAATGTCTCGCTCTCTGTCAATTATCTGCCGACCAAGTTTTCGAGCGGGATGCTTAATGCCGAGTTGGAGGGGAAGAGCGGGACGAGGAGGAGGAGAGGGAAGGGGGCTATCAGGGATGTTGATGTGATGTTGAAGGTTCCGAAGATGGGAGGAGGGTTGGATGCGTTCAAGGCTGGTGAAGCTAGGATGGGAGGGGAGGACGAGGATGCCGACCTATATGACACTAGTCGGTCGACGTCGAGCAGCTTTGGAAAAGTCATGTTCTGGAAGAAGGACAAGAAACGACGCCAAGGATCATCACCGCCTAAAGAAATGCGATGGAACCGCTTCAAATGGATACTATTCATCTCCAATACCGTGCTCACAATCTACTCCTTCGCATGCCTCATCGTCTGCCTCCTACTCTGGTTCGGTGCCTGGCAACACGCGGACGTCGTGCGCGTAGGGAACAGGACGGAACTCATTATCTCCACTCTCGCCTCGTGTATGGGGTTGTTCACCTGTTTGCTTGGGTGGGCTGGGATCTTGATGAACAACCGGGTGTTCTTGGCGATTTACAGTTTCCTGCTGTGGATCACATTCATTTTCCTCGTCATTCCCGGATACCTCACCTATAAACGACGCACGTTCAACCTCGAAGGCAAGATCAATGCGCAGTGGTCGAGGGATTTGGGACCTGTTGGAAGGATTACGATCCAGAACTCGTTGTCGTGTTGCGGGTATTTCAGTCCGTATGTGGAGGCGACTGTCAGCCAGACGTGTTATAGCCGAAGCGTATTACCTGGGTGCAAGAAGGCGTATATCGATTTTGAGAGGGACGTGTTGCAGAAGTGGTATACGGTGGTGTTCGCCATCGTTCCCGTCCACCTCGTCATTATGACTGCCGCGTTGCTTTGCTCCAACCACGTCACCTACCGCTTTGGAAAAGGGATGATGCCGAAGAGGTATAGGTTGAGTTTGAGTAGTATGGCGCTGATCATGGAGAATTATGCCCAGTACGTTCAGCCTCTTTTTTGAGCTTTGGCGTTTTCGGTGTTGACTTTGCGTTTTAGGCAGTTGGTGGAAAGGTATGGGACTGATGTGGCCTCGGATATAATGTCCCAGTCGAAGAGCCAAGTGAAGTTGGGTTCGCAGTTGCCTCAGGATATGGCCCCGACTTTACCGTATCTGGCCTTGGGGAATGTTGGGTCACTTTCGAGTGCTGGGACTAGTTTGTTGAACAACAGCAGTAAATGATGATTTGATCTATGTAGTGACTGTTAAAGCACACATCGAACTTCTTTCTCAGTCATCGCTATTTAGACTCTACTTACATACCCACCATGGACCTTGTTCTCCTCTCTTCATGCAGAGATTACGACTCGCCACGCCATTGTGTAATAGAAAAGGTTCAATGCTGTGGGACTGGGCCAGTCAAGCTTGGTCACCGACATCGCGGGGTCTGCTATGACACGAGAACAAATGGCTTCCGGTCTGTTTCTCAACTCGCCCAACGAATACGAGGGGGGAACACTAGTACTCTATGTCCGGTGGCTGTACAGTCTGCACCGCCACATCAGTGCCTCTGGGCTCGGCTAGGCTTGTCGGCTTTGTACCTGTTCACAAGCTTCAGCTGTGCTTCCTCCATTGCATGAGCAACATTCGTCAGACACTGTGAACGACGCTCAAACGATGAGACAAAGGTCCTTTCTACCGCTGATAGCGTCGACGAGCTCGACTCTAGAACGTTGTTCCTAAAGTCTAACCATCTTCCTATAAAAATGCATCGTCGATCGGTGCGAGTATCAAACATCTCACAACCCCGCTTTCTCCTAGAGGCCAGCTATGTCGCCCGATCTTCGTCTGCTTTTTGCAATGGACTACTTGCTTAAAGCTCAGGACGTATTCTCCACACCAGTTTCGTCTATATTTCGACGGGCACGGGAGTTTAGTGACTCCAGGTCGAGGAGAAGTTCGGTAGTGTCGAGACGGTCGAGTGGGGGGTGATAGTTCGACGACGAATGTTGTGGAGGAGGTGAAGGAGGGTGAGCATAGAGTTAATGTTATTGCGAGGAGGATACATGGATGGACGTGGCAAGCTGTACGTCGTGCCTTAATGAAACATGGATTGTTCAGCTTAGCTTTGATATCAGTTTCCAATAGGGATGGGGACGAGTGCTGTTTTCTTGACGTTGTCAGGACACGAGGGTTCACCAGCAATAGACGTCTTTGAAAACATATTCTTCTTCGCCACGATTGGTATCTTTGGACTGAACACATTGACACTGACCATCCAAGCGATCCGTACGTTTGCTGCGCGTCTTTGTTATCCTCCCTGGCTAACCGTCCACCAGTCTATCCGAAACAAGCGCTTAGGACACTAGTAAATCCTGCGAAAAGCGTCTTCGTCCCGCTATTCGTGTGTTCATTCTTACCCTGTGGGCGTCTCAGGGCTTAATTCAGCGGTCCTCTAGGTTCTGTCGTTCGCAAATATCATCATAGGTGTCATACATTATTGGCACCTAGATGGAACCTCTGCGTACATTCTGCTCTGGTAAGAATCTTTTCGATACGCACCTTGTGGTAAGAATCGTTCACTGATCCGTTGTTCCAGGATTTACGTGGGCCTTGCTGTGTTGATCTGCCTACCACTGTTGGTGGTCTGGTTCAACCAGCCCCATGACCTATATCAGTTCACACCCGCCTCGGCATTTCTGGCAAGTAGCATATGGCTGTATTCCGATGGTTTCGTGACTGACACTCTACTGATAGATCTTTCCAATGGTCTGTCTCTTCACTCGACCTGGTACGAATAATGTAGGGCTGACTCTTCGCTAGATGCTTGTGGGAGTGGTAGCCTACAACGTGCTGGACGTCATGGATTACAACGAATCAAGGTCCATAGGTGTCCTGTTGGTTGGCTACTTCTTTCAAGGTATGTCCCCCGTGATAGTCTCCTTTACCCAGCGATGTCTAACCTGATTCTAGGCTTGGGATTCTTCATGACTTTCTTCTACATCTGCATATACATTTTACGAATCTTCTTGGTAGGTATCGGTTGCCATTCATTATTGATATGGCACTGAAGGCCACGCAGGAGGTGCATTGATTGTTTGCGGGCCTCCAGGATTCACCGCACTCGCTATTATACAACTGGGAGACAGAGCTCGTAGCATGTACGTTCCTCTTGCGAGTTAATTAAGGCCTATATAGAAACCTGACCTTGCTTTTAGTCTTCCAGCACATAACCTCATCACCGTCAATTCTGGTGAGATATGGTATGCCGGAAGCGTCATGGGCGGTCTCATGCTATTTGGACTGGCCGTTTTCTTATTCGTTTTCGGGGCCTTTCCGTTCTGGTTCAAGACTAACAAGCGGCTGCACGATATCTTGGGCTGTGAGTACTGAGATTTACCTCTCGGTATGGTATCCCCTGACGTTTCACTTAGGCTGGGCCCTTACATTCCCTAACGGTGCGACCAACAGTCATCTCCCATGACATAATCATCTAACCTCGATTCCCAGTGGGATGGATCCTCACCCTCCGCGTTCTCGGGAACCTCTTCGACATCGACGGCTTTAAAATCCTGCATCTTGTGTGCTGCTTTATTCTGGCCGTAGTTTGGTTGATTCTCTTCGTTCTCACATGTGTGGCCTTTTATAAAGGCTTCATCTTCAACTCGGAGGACGAGGATGTTATCAAGGACTCGTTCTACTCTCTAAGGGAGAAGAGACGGAAGAGGCGACGGTATTCGCACATGGCTGCACAAACTGTGACACCGATGAGGACGCCTGGTGGTACTCCTCCTACCACCCCTGGCGATACACCTTCTTCAACTCCTCGTACAACACCTCCAGCGACACCGCTTGCCACAACACCTCGCGCTACATCTCCTTCAACGCCGCCTCCCCCAATCCCTCCTCCTCAAACTATTCCGTCAGAGGACATAGTTTGACGTGGACGTAGTATATGTTAGAAATACCCCTACACTTTAGATGCCCTTTACATGGATTAGTAGACTGTTGAACAGAATACGCTGCACCAACGCTGCTGATACATAGGGGCTCGTCCTGCCTTATCGGTATTATTTTCCCACGACCGTCTAAGGTGACGCAAACCCCGCGAAAAAGAGCTGCCTTGTTCTCGAAATGAATTTCTGCCCTTCATCCCGGGCTTTAGCGCCCTCTGATCCTGTGTCCAATACACACAGCTTGACTTCACACCACCACCTTCCAATCGGATAACTCACGATGGCCTCCAACAAACCAATAGTCGGTTCCATTGTCGAACGAAAACCGAGCTCGAAACCTACAGGGCAAAAACCAGGGTTTGGAGGAGGACCTAGTGGGTTTCCTAGTGTTCAACATCGATCGAAGAGTGCATTCGCTCGTAACCGAGAAGAGGCTCAGAGAAGGAACGCTGCAGGTGGTGTGAATGGGCGGCCCACTGGCCCACCGACCGTTACAGCTTCGACATCGAGTTCAACAGCATCTTCAACAGCAGGTCCCACCCCGAGTACGAAACCACAGCCGTCACCCTCCGGTTTCTCTCTTGCAAACGACCACGCACCACCAAAGGACGATATCGCGATTATGAGAGAGCATATCAGTCAGGAGAACGAGAAGATTATTGCTGGGATGAGTCCTGAGGAGATCGAGGAGGAGCGAAGGCAGATCATAGCACGGTTTGGGACTGGGATTGGTGGGGTATTGGAGAAGGCCAAGAAGAATAGAATGAAGCGGGAGCAGGAGACCAAGTTTGTTGGGTCGTCGCATCGTCGAGGAGCCCTGCCCCCGCTACCGCCTGAAACACCAGAGGAGCTACGGGAGTTGTCTGAAGGTATGTAGAGCTCATTCTACCGCGCCAGGCATCGAAGACTCACAATTCTCCAGTACCCATCACTCCAGAAGGACCCAAACCAACAGAGAGAGGTATGTAGCAATGTACTCCCAGTCCAAGCGATGACTGATTCATTGTAGCCCGGTCGCCCCCACCTCCAGCGTTATCGGCAGCCAGTAGCCGGCCCTCCAGTCGAGCAGATAGACGCCTTCGTTTTGCGGAACTGGAGCCCAAGGATGTGTATGTCTACGAATCAAGCCCTCCTACACCCAAGAAACCCGTGCTTGCCCTGCCTCCCCCGTCAGACAAGCGCGACCCAACCGTGGTTTCACTAGGAAAATGGCATGGAAATATGGCATATCCACCGCAACCAATGGCCGTCCCTGATTCATCTGAACCGAAGAAAGAGCATGCACCCAACAATACTGAGGAAAAGGAACCAGAAGAGGGCACCCCAGAGTACATCCGACGTCGCTACTTCCCTCAAGTCCCTGCCTCCGATCCCAGTATCGAATGGATGATGGCTAAGTCTGACGATTCAACCAACGACTCATCCATCCGCTTCGACCTCCAAGGTGCACCCATCCCACCCGACCTGAGATCCAAATTACCCACCCACCTTGGCCTCCACCATCACGCCGAAGGATCGCACGCAGGTTACACTCTCGACGACATCTTCCTGCTTTCCAGGTCGACTGTGCCTGCGCAGAGGGCTGCCATGTTTACCGTTATTTCAGGGATCTGCGAGAGGCTCTGTAAGATGGCGCACGGGCAATCGGTACCGGGCCTGGAGGAACTGAAAGGGAAGGAAGAGGAATTGAGGAAGAGGATAGCAGCTGCTGGCGTAGAAGCTATGAATGAGAAGGGAAGCGTGGGTTTGCAAGCGATTGAGGTCGTTTGGCGCTCGGTCGCCGATTGGGACAAGGAATTAGTTGCTGTCGGGTTGGATGGGGTCCAGTTGGAGGCGTCTGCAGACGAAACAATCCAATCCCTCCCTCTGGATTTCATTCTGCCTTCCATCTCCACGGCCTTCAACCTGTATGGCGAAGCGTATCCACCTGCAACACTCAAGCAGCTTCTTCAGGTTGTTCAACGGCTAGCACTGCAAAACACCAACACAGCAACCAAAATTGTGGAAACTGACAAACTGGTCCTGGGCATAGGTCGTTGCTTCCTTCTTTCGCCGACCCTTTCAGATCGTGGATCGGTTCCGGACCCGTCAGCCATAAACCTCCTGACGTCCTTGGTTCGCACATCCCGCCAAGCAGCAGAAACCATTTCCAAAGCGTTGGCCGACGACCTCCTTCGATTCATCGTTTCTCTGCCGACCTCGTCAATGTTGAAGCCCTCACTAGCAACCGCTCTGGTCGCTTCGACTCTCGACTTCTATGCCGCACTGGGGATGTATGGGTTGTACACCTGTGTTGCCAGTACAGCCATGGAACAGTTCAATAACCTCAGTCGGTACATCCTGTCCCTTGAACCCGAATCCAGTCCTCTTCTCGGGCCATGGTTGAACCTGACGCAAGTCTGGACTATATGCGCTATCGAACCTCACAACACCTCTCCACCTCACGACATCCTCTGGAGCCGCGTCTCTGCGTGGGGATGGCAAATGGATATTATGCAGATGATGGATAAGCTCGAGCTCGAGACGGTTGACCGGTGGAAGGTGTGGGGTGATTTGTTGGGGACTTTAGCCGCGTGGATGGAAGGGGCGAAAGTTAACGGTGTTCGAGGCGGAGAAACGGAACGAAGCGAGCTGCTGGCAGTGGTTAAGCCCGCCTTTGTTAGCGGTTCTGGGGAGCAATGGACACTCGTTAACAAGTGTATTGACTACCTTCAATCCGCCCTGTCGCAACCAAGCCCTTCAATTGCGGACTCTCGGACCAGCGCTGGCGTCGCACGCGTTCTCTCGAATGCGATACGACTTTGGCTTTCTTGCCTTCCACCTCGCCTAGAAGGTCCTCCCGAAGCGCCTCCCTTCGATCTTCCCTTTGCACGCATCTCAACATTGGTCGCATCTCTCTTGACCAATCCCATGTGGACAGCGGCCACCTCCGCCTTGGACGATCGGGAGCGTCGGTATGCAATTGTTTACCTACGGGACTTTGCATCGCTTTCGGGCTGGTACCTTCGCCTGTCACGAAGATTGCCGGATACATCACAAGGACTGTGGCTCGCCCAAGCCTTCTCGATCGTGCTGCGATGCCTTCCCGGCGATGAAGAATTCACATTGAATACGATCGACAGCATCCTCTCCCTCATTCCCGAAATCAATCCGGCTATCTTGGAGCCCTTCATGGAAGACGCCGTATTGCCACGAGAGAAGGTCGAAACAGGCGACGAAGACGATCAGGCGGTCGAAGTCGTCGAATCTAGACCCCGGTTGAGCCCTATTACCCCGACACCCACATCGATAACCACATCCACGGTTTTGGTGATGCCTTCGCCATTCATTAAGCACCATTCGAACAAGAAGCTGTCCGGTCTCCCCTTGCAAACTGATTGGATGTTGGGTCCGTTGAATGACCTGATTCATTCAGGCGAGTCCCCGGTGTTCCGACACCTGCCTCGAGGATGGGACTTTTCGGAATTGGATGTGACCCGCGCTACCTTGGCGCTGGCGCTTAAAGCGCGACAGATCCTCTCGGAATGGAAGCTTTTCTCGTTTGTCCTCAAGCGTGGGGAAGCTATTCTCGGGTGTATGAAGGTCTTTATGCTGGAGCATGGGCTTGTTCAAGATACGCAGAAGACTTCAGAAGGAGAGGTGTTCAGAGACAAGATCGTCGAGGAGTTGATGGTAAAGCTTATTGACCCGTATCGCGTCGGGGCACCGAGTAATTTGGCACAGTTGGATTCTGGGAAAGTCGAAGACCTGGAGAAACTCGCCTCTTCGATCCTGGGCCCGTCAACTCCATTTTATCAGTTCTACACCGACTTCATCGGGCTCTATGACGCCATATCCTTCTCACATCCTATGTTCGGCCTGCTCCTTCTACCACCAATCTCCATGCGCTACGCCGTCGACTATCGAAGACTGTTTTGGAACGACTACTCCCATACGCTTCGGACGATTACTGTCTACCCAAACCAGGTCGTTGCGGCGGATCTGCGAGAGTATCTTTATCCAGTGGAGAACGACGCGCAGGTGATTGGAGGTTACTTGAGCGCGGTGCTGAAGAGGAGTGCCAAGGAGTTCTTACGATGGGTCGCTCTTCACCATGTGGCTTCAAACATTTGGGTGGACCTGCGCGACGAAAAGGAAGATGGGCCATTCAACCAGGACCGGGCGGTGAAGCTTTTGCAGGCGATAGTAGCGCAAGGCGATGTGGATACCATTGCCGGTGTCGTCAAGTACAAACAGCCTCCTCGTCACGAAAAGGCGAAGTTGCCACAGGATTGCGGCCAGCCAGAGGCTGATGTTTTGTCATCGAGAAAAGTTTGGGTCCAGAAGAGCCTGGGAGACGGGTATACAAAAAAGATAGAAGGATTATTGTAATAATCGATGTATCTAATCTACTTGTACCATCGGATTATTGACTTTTATTCTGTATCAGGGCCGATAAAGGAAGGCAGGTTGTCGGATCAACACCAGATTGTCGGGATGTCATATGTGGTGATGTTGTTCACGAACCCAATCTAAGGTTAGAGCTCTCTTGACCACTCTCACCCACCGCCGGGACGTTACTACCTCCCGTCAACCGACATGATCCTGATACAACAGTCCCAAATTTGCGATCCAAAGTATGTCTGCTAAAAGTTTATTGCAGTTCTCGTAACTATTCAACGTCTGACATGTCTCCGAGTACTTTTAGGATCCGGATGGTTGGTTCGACGACATTCGATGTCGATGAGCCATCGACAGCCGCCATTGCCCTTCCAAGTTTACCCAGACTACCTGCCATTACCCCTCCGAGTCTATTGGACTCCTTGCCACTCGAGATTTTGCATGAAATCTTTGTCCTGTGTCTTCCTGAAGACTTTAGGAAGGAGGCGAGTGGGAACAACGGTCCACCAGCACCTCTCAAGCTTTGCCACGTTTCGCAGACGTGGAGGCGGGCAGCGATAAGTGAACCACGGCTATGGAGAAACCTCAGGCTACCCACAAAGCGACTAGAAGCGTCCACATCCCTCGATTCGTTCACCAGCACCATTGCCAAACTCACAGCCCAAGCTGTTTTCTGGTTCGAGAATGCGGGAGACGCGGGCATTCGGCTGGTTTTGGACATTCCCCGCCCAGCATTCGAGACTGCGGATGCGGGTTCCGTGGTCACGATGTTGGACGGCGGGCGGAACGTGACCAACCTTCCGACGGAACTCGATCTCTTGGTCGCTTGGAGGAAATTCGTAGCGGTGGTCCTAGTGCAGCGCGCATCGCGTATCAGGAGCCTCGAGTTGCGACCATTTACGAAAGCAGCGTCGGCTTGCATCGCGCCTTTCATTTCACCAGACCTATCCCAAGACTTCAAACGGCTCGACTCGGTGTTCATCATTGGATCGCAGTTGCCTGTCTCGTCGTGCGCAGGGTGCCACGCCAAAGGCCTCTTCGGTAATGCGCCCAGTCTGAAGAAAGTCGCCTTGGTCTTTTCGTCCATTGCCTCGAGCCTCCCACCCAGTATCCTCCCCGATACCTTCTTACCCTGGAAGCAGTTAACGCATCTCATGATCAAAATGCCCTGCTCAGGGTCATTTTGGAAGAGGGTCCTTCTGCAATGTGGGCAATTAGAAACCTGCGTCATGCATCTCGAACATTCACTCATTGCCGAAGATCGCGATCCAACTCTCACGGATGCAGGTATCGTTCTTCCCAAACTCCACAGGTTGGACGTCACGTTCCACGACGAATTCAGCTCCATCTATTTCCACCCCTTTCGCTTTCCGGCTCTGACAAACATCAGCATCGCTTGCGACATCGGGAACGGGTTCCCGACCTTTATTTGGCTCAAACAGTCCAAGCCTCACCTCTACGCCCAGTTCAAACAACTCACATCCTTGACATTGTCCTATCAAAACATAACGTGGTCCGATCTTTTGGAGTTGCTGAAGGAAACGGACGACCTGGAAGAGCTGTTTGTGGACAGTTATCTATTAGACCACAAGGCATTCCTCCAGGCGCTCACCGTCTACCCCGACCAAACCGCCAAACCTATCATCCCGAAACTCAAAAACTTCAGCCTATTCCTGGAATACTACGCTGAAACTCCGCCTACGACTTTCGAGGAGCAGGATTTGTTGGTGATGATGGCATCGCGGTCGCCTGTCGCATCGGAGGTTGCAAGGCATATCTGCATCATGAACTCGATAGAGTTGCCCGAGTTGTATTCGGCCAGGGATCCTGGGGTGCGGGTTTTCGCTCCGGATCGGTTGGTGTCGACGTCTCTGGGCTGCGTGGAGTTGTGGGTGGATAGCGAAGACGGGACCAAAGTCGAGTTGCTGGAGAAGTTCCAGCAGTTGACGGAGGCACTTGCGGAGTCTGACAAGTCGGACGAGTACCCGCCCTTCTCGTTCCTGGTAGACTTTGTCAGCCCATCCGAGTGGTTGGTCCAAAGCAACGAGCCTATCTGGTATAGCTATTATTGATTTATCTGGATCCTGTTTCTGACAAGCACTATGTACGAGTAGCATCCCTTTTCCGTTTGGTTTTCATTCGTGATCATGATATTGATCCTCTTTTCGTTTGACCAGAAGTTGTACAGTAGCATCATCGCTCCTCATTTGCATTCGCATTCGCATTGGCATCTCTCCAGCTTTGTTATCTTATGCCTATCACGCTTTAACTTACGACGCAACTTGTAGCCTGTACCGTCATGTAATCATTATGTTATCCGAGCAATACCCAATGCATACGTTTTCCTTCAGTCAGACCAGAACTAAGGAATCCAGTACGCTAAACCCGGTAGCAACACCACCCTCGTTGCTGTCCTTGCCCTTGGTCCGGACGAGCCATCCAACTTCCTTCTCCTCAATCTTCTCCTTCTCGCCATCCTTTCCGAACAGTGCCCACCCAAAGATTCCAAGCTCACTAACGACCTCTGCCTCTACAGCGTTGTGCGCAGACAAGGTATCGCTCGAATAGCCGACACTCCCAGCTCGGAGTAGCCACCCTCTAACACCCTGTGGGACCTCTATGAGCCTCATTGCGATCCATGCCTCCCGTTCTTCAGGAGGAAGTTTATCGAGGAACGCGGGTATATCGTCCTTGTAGACATTATTTCCCCCTCCTTCACGTTGTGGTTTTAACACCAGCGACGCGAATTCCTTCCTCGCCTTGGTCGTACCAAGGGGTTCCGATTTTCCTTGACCTCCCGTCTCCGTCGAGCCTACTGCATCCTGTGAGTCCTCGTCGAGCCCCCACATATCCATAAAGCTTCCTCGAAGCTCGGCAATCTGCTCGGCTGAAAACTCGGGGAGGAACTTCTCGACGACGCCTGGTCTGGTAAGCACCTCTTGAACTTTCTTTCCTCCCGCGAGTTGGAGAGCGATCGTAGGGCAATTGATTGCTTTGGAGCTTTCGAGGATGAGGCGGACGGTGTAGTGAGCTGGCGTTGGGTATTCGTGGGGCATGTACCCGGAGCGGTAGTAGACGACGGAGATTTCGGTGGTGGATGAGACGGTGAGTGTTTCGTTCTCGACCTTTGCGGAGGTGATCAAGTCGTCGAAGGTTTGTCGGAGAACGTGTATCGAGTGTCTATTATCGTCATCAGCAACCAGGGGTGATGTGGGAAGGAAAAGTACCCACTTTTCTAGTAGCTCGAATTCAAGCCATTTCTGGTCGAAGACGTTCCGTTCTCCTGGCTGGATGACGAAGAGAATCTTGGATCGTGGATTTCCGCCCTGGGATACATAGGCCTTATGGGCAGTTGCGAGGCCTTCGGCTAGCCCGGAAATGCTCTCGTTTGGAGGAAAGTTGTCTCTCTGCAGGTAGGGTGAAGAATCGAAATAAGACGTGGCCGCGAGCTGGTACCGGTGCAACTCGGCTACTCGCTGAGCGAGGCAACCGAACGATATCGAGATCGTATTGAATTCGACCTGTTTTAATGATGGCTTCTGGTCTCCTGGGATATGTAAGAGGTAGTCAGAGCGGAAAAGGCCTAAATGAAGCGGCTACAGATTGAACTGGTTGAGAATATTGCGCTAGTTGGTGAATAGAAACGGACTGACCTGGGGTAGCTTCCCCTCATCTCGAAGTCTCTTCCAGCCTCGCCATAGCTCTCCGATAAAGTCGTCTACCCTTCCAACGCCCTGCTCAGCACCCATTACCTCGTCTAGGAAGGGAATATTCATTGCGATCCGAGAGTAGAGGACATTGTAGATCGTTTGTAGTCGTTTAGCACTCTCGAAGAGGTCCCTCGGGAAAGGCGAAGGTACTAGCGACAGCGGTGCATGAATCGCTGCCTGAGGTGGCGGAGAGTCCAGTGGGTACCCCGGTGGAAGATACAAAAGCCCATGAGCTAGCGAGTACGCTGAGGCCGTGCTGACCAGTTCGTTGAGCTGTTCTGGCGATAATTTAGGTGGCCAGCTCGCGAAATCGAAAGCTCTGCCGTCGTTTAGGCTGGACTTGGAAGCCATCGTCTAGATAAGTTATGTGGGTTAAGGAGAAATAAGAGGGACATGGTGAGGGTATTATCTATACAAGTGATTTGATTACAAAGTAGGATCGTCCAGGCTTGCAAGCAATGGCGACATCGTCCTTCGGAGCTTCAACTGTGTATTGTGCTTCACTGATCCGGGAACGTAAAGGCCTTAAAGCTGACAGAGGTTGCAATTGAACGGTACTAACCAGTGCCACTGCGCATCTAAACAAGCAAGGCCGAAACAGTGAGCTGCTCGAGTTACGGAGCCGGGCGCGAGAGATTGAGGGTAACTGCTCCCTTAGATAGCACTCCGATTGTTGTTTTTCCGTGGCATTCCCTTTTCAAGCTTGAAGTTCACCTTTGGAAGAACAGCTTCAATATTTTAGTGGCTTAACCAGGGTTCGAACGTGCGATCCGGCAGAGACTCCGGCTCACTTGCTTGCGCTTGCTTGGAGTCAAGGCCGTAACCAAAGTCTGCCAAATCCAAAGGCATGAACTTTGCACGCGCTCGACTGTACACGGATTCGCTTCGACTCTGCCAGCCATCGATTCCAGTCTTCCAACCGCTGTTAACACAAAATACCTGCAGCGAGACCCATAGAATGTAAGTCAAGTCCTTTACCTACGCCTTCAATGCCGCTTGAAATCAATATCGAGCAGCTAGGCCATGACCATTAATCTGCTTGGCTCCCTGGCGGACGTACAATCATGCCAGTCCGTTGGACAGGTTGACGCCAAAATAGATGACCTGGAACGGCATATTATCGCTGTCCAAGCTCTGCTTGTGGAATTCAAGAAGAAGCACAACGAACTCCTCCCCATTTCACGACTCCCACCCGAGATCCTCTGCAAAGCATTTCTCGAAGTCAAAGATGACTACATTCGAGTCGCAGAGGAAAAATTCTCAAAACCCTGGTTTCGACTACCTATTGCTTCCTGGTGTCGACTTACTCATGTGTGCCACCATTGGAGACTAGTAGGGATTGAGCACTCCCCTCTGTGGGCGAGTATCAGAGGCAATGTCCCTGACCATGTGTTGACCTTTCATTCGCGATCGAAGGAAACACTCCTCGACCTCGAGTGGATGGAACCCGATCGACAAGGTCTCGACCCTCATCTCGGCGCCATCCGCAGACCGTTATCACAGACGAGCCGAATCCAATCCCTGAACCTTGGATTCCTTCGTCTGGACACCATGCTCGCATTGGTGTCCTCACTATCATCGTCAGCACCTGTTCTCCGTAATCTCTCCCTTTCCAGATCCGAATACTATAGGATGTCACAAGAGATGCCGACAAGAAACTGGCTCCTACCCCAACTATTCGACGCTGGTGCCCCTCATCTTCAGAAGCTTTCGCTAACGGCATGCGCAATCCCCTGGACGTCAGCCTTGTTCAACCATTTGACGGAGCTTGAGCTTCAAGACATTCCAATCCGACCGGATTTCCCCACGACCCTTTTTGACCTGTTCAGACGCTCTCCAAGATTGATTAAAGCCGTCATCCGGCCAAGCGCTCCGGAAGACAGAGATGTGGAGGAGTATGTTCCACCAACCGTGAACACTCCGATCGCTCTCCCCCAACTCGAGTATCTGGAGCTTGCAGGTCATGTGCAAATGTGCTGCGATACTCTAGCCTATCTCTCAGTCCCCGAGAATGCCTGTGTCCGGGCCGTCTTTCATTACATAGGGGACGCGTGGGTCACCACCCTTCCACAGTTCCTCCCATCCCGATTTGAAGGAATCCGCTCCCTTCGCATAAACCCGCAAGGCACAGAACATATAGCGGTCACCCCTTGCAGGGGCTTGATCGACTTTGCGCCGCCGTTTGACCACCATCGAGAGGACGAATTCACCTTCGACGATTTCAGAATGTGTGAAGAAGCAGCGATTTTCGACACCTTTTCATTTGGCAAAGTCGAAGCCGTCCATTACAAGGACGATGCTCATGGCTACGCGGGCGGGTTTAATACACGGGTCCTGCTCTCACTACCGTCTGTGAAAAGCGTTACTCTGTCCGGTGCGAGTCAGATCGCGACCTCATTTCTGCAGATTTTTCGAGGCCACTTGACTCGGAAGATCCACGGAGGGGCAGGAGATGAACCCGTCATCACTCTTGATTTACTGCCATCCTTACAGCACCTCTCATTCGACTCCGTTATCCTCCTTAGAAGGGGCTGTAAATATTGGTGCAGTAGACATGACCCAGTCCGAATCACTCTCCTGAGCGACGTGCTCCGGATGAGACGCGAACTCGGTGCACCCATCAAGTCACTTCGATTCTATAGGGGCCGCAACATATCACAAGATTTGCTTGACGATCTTCGAGCGGAAGACCCACTTGGACCCGAAGGACTTCAAGTTCTATGGGATGGAATAGAAGAAGAATTGCTATGTTATAGCCCGGACTGTGATTGCGGCCTTAACAAGGGCCAGACTTCTTCAGATGAGTAGATACCCCTAGTAGTGCTGTTGGTAGTAGTTATGTCATTCTGGCCCCTGTTCTGTCGCCTCCCAGTATTTAAATCGGACAATGCCCTTCTAATCCTGTAATGCCAACGACATTGAGATGCGAACTCCGACCCAGTTCAGATCGGTCATCCGAAATTCCGAGGGAGAAAAGTACCAGTTCACTTTACCGTTCCGAATCGTTAGCAACTCAAGGTGCGCTATGGGAGGAATCGGCTAATTGAATGGCGTTGATTCAAAGAAAAAGATTACGCTGAAGATTCAGTTGGTCGAGGAGTCCTCGCTCTCTCTTGAGCACGGACTTGTCCAAAGACGGGCAACAAAGAGGAAACCTGTTGCCAATCCCGATCCCAGGCCTTTGGATGAGCTCGCGCTGAACCCCTAGTACTGTACTCGTGGCAATCGACCGCTCGGATGGTCTTCAGATTGGGAACAGACCCGACATGAAAGCGGCGGTTTTGGTGGGATTTTCAATTCGAGAACACCGAACGTTCAGGTATGATAACTCGGCGTGGCTGTCGATCAGTTGCGGATCGAGGTGTGAGCGGGGGCATCTAGAGCTGGGAGCGCGAGAGTCTTTAATTTGGGGAAGGACCGTGCGATGGGCACTAAATCTCGAATGTCTAGTCGTGGGGAAATGTGCACAGCAGGCTCTGGCCCCAAATCCAGGGAACGGATGCCGCGAATTGCCCGGCCGAGGCTGAGGAGAGGGGGAAGTGGGGTGGCCCGGGGCATCCATATCCTGAGGGCATGGACGTTGCAGAAAGGTTGTAAAGCGTCCAGATGATAGGGGTCGTCCGATAAGCCAACTGCTGGATCCATCCCTTGGGTCCAGACGCCGATGCTCAACCTCTCCAGGGTTTTCGAATTGATAACCTGAGAGAGGCGCTTGAGAATCAAGGGAAGGTCGCGGTCGTCACGGGAATTGGATTGGATGTAAAATTCGAGATCGCTGAGCGGGGAGTGGAAAAGGTGGCCAAGGAGGCGAAGCAGAGGCTCTGTTCCGCTGTCTTGTCCTAGCACAAAAACCTTCAGGCGAGTCAGGCTCCGGAAGCCTCCCGACGGTCCACTAGCAGACACATCTTGAAGGAGTCCCATTTCCAATTCTAAAGTTCGTAAGCGCGGAAGGTGGGAGAGGGTAACCAAATGTCCGAGCGAATGGATGGTCTCGACGTAGATTTCCTGCAGTTGGTCCCAGTGTCCTAAGGCCCTGTCCAACACTACGGACGAGAAAGGACCAGAGCTCATCGCTGGGCCTAATTTTAATTCCGTGACGTTTTTGCATTGGCGAGGCAAGGCTGTTAATATGGACACATTTTCTGGAGAATCCAACGGGATGTCGAAGCGCAGCTGGCGCAGAGAGGGCCCGGCAAGGATGCGTAAGTACGAAATATCCTGTGTTTTATCTGCGGACTTAACCCAGTCATCCGCTGCCTTCACCTCGAGGGTTCGCAGATTGGTGAAAACAGGAAAGTCCGGGAAGGTGATGGCGGCTTGGATTGTTGACAGTCTTTTAAGGGACTCGCTGATGCTTTCCCTTATCGTTATCGTCAGCTTTCGAACCCGCTTAGCACGTAACTTCAGCTTGTCCAAATCATGTTCTGTGAGATATCGAGCGAAGACCTGGGAAATGGCTGTGGCGACGTCGAGTCGATTCAAGTGACATGGTGACTTACCCTGAACTTCCTCCTCTTACGTCCTGAAGGACCGTTGTATTCCTTCTCCTCAAAGCGCCACAAGTCTTCTGGCATCGCGTTTAAAAGGGGTTCGATGCAGTCGAGTCGGGACCATAAGAGATCTGTTGCAGCGCGGTTGAAAAGACGACTCGTTCGAGCAACTCTAGCCAGCTTTTGACGAGACTCCAAAGTATCGAAATCGACCAACTCTGCACATACGAGGGCAAGTATTTCGGGTACTTCGAGGCACGGATGCATGGTTTTGTCGCGTCGCTGGTTTCGAGTAAAAGGAGAGAAGCTGTCAGTGGTAACTGAAGTTGTCGGCAGCTGATAGGGTGCCATCACAGCGAAAGTCCCACCCCTGATGCCTTCCTTTACCTTTGTCGGATCGTCGACGAGTGAGGCTGAGCCTCGAGTTGGAATGTGCACAGAGCCCAATTCCAGGGATTGGACCACCGTTTGGACCACCGGATTGGACTTTCAATCCCATCGGCGGGCCTCCACTCTAAGGCCTGCACTGCTCACTTTGTGGATTCGGAAAACGAAGTCAATAACCATTCCTGAACTTTAAGGATCCCATCAACTCCCAGTCAACCCCGCTCTCTCGTGAGTGCGAACCCTCGAGAGGTCGGGCAGCAACCTGGTGACCCGATCCCATGGGTCGCGTACGCCCTCTGCCGCAATCGAATGTACAAGAAACATGATTGATGAACCATGGTTAGGTTGGGGAATCGATGAGTTCTCCTGCTACATTGAATCGCTATTTCCCTACAGGATCCCGCGGGGAGTTTACCAATGTGTCATTGATACGTGCTATGGAGGGGCACTTGAGAAGGCCCTCGAGCGTTCTTGAGCGCGCGCCCTCTTCAGAACCGGTAGCCAATGCATAACTTTTTGCCATGCTTTGTGCCACTCGGGAGCTTGATCAGTCCAATTGAAGGCACGAGGCCGAGACGGCCCACACGACAACTGTGATGCATGCAGGGATTCGAGATTGGGGAAGGCGTCGGAAAGGAAGAGCGCGACTTCGGATGTACAGTCGATGGGCGACATTGACACGGACAACTTCGTCAGTCTCGTCTGCTGTTCTGCATGAGCCTGCGTCGGGCTAGGTTCTGCGGGCTTGGAGGCGTCGACTGGTATCGCGAGTTCTGTCAATCGGGGAAAGGTTTGGCAGATGGCGGCGAGCTCTTGGATGTGGATCTTTGGCTCGAAATAGGCCGGGATAACTGCGCCAAAATATCCTAATTGCAACGTGGTCAGGGAAGGGGCGAATTGTCCAAGTGAGAGGATGGGCAAAAGCGTGGAGACGAATGGAATCTGCAAAATAAGGGTGCGGAGATTGCGGAAGGGTTGAAGGGAATGGAGCTGGTAAGGGTCGTCCACCAAGGGAGGTAGTCCTTCAAACCGACGTCGATTGTCTCTGACTCGAAGAATCTCCAAGGACCGCGGGTTGACGTGACGGGTCAAAGTGTCGAAAAGCTGGGATAGACCATCGGGGCTGATTGTGCTAGTTTCGACCCCAAGGTTACAAAGCGGCGTGTCTCGGAGAAGCGAAAGGAAGCGTATGCAAAGGTCGAATTTCGCTCCCGCCTGTACTGAAAGGTCTCGCAATTTCGGAAAACCGCCGCTTCTGGCGATATCTTCATCCGGGATGCCTTCACAGAAGAGTATTCCGATTTGCAGCCTCTCCAGGTGGCCCAATCGCGACAATGCTTGAAGCTGCTCCCGATAGTGCACAGCAATCTCCACCCGCTGCAGTGCATCCCAGTTAGGGACCATGTCTTCGAAGGACCTGGGAAAGACGACATCCTCGTAAAGGGGTATTTGAACTCGCAGATCCAGTAGCGACGGGAAGCGGCGCACGAAATCAGTGAAAAAAGTAACGCTATGGTTGTCATAGAATGAGAAGTTGAAATGAAGGTGATGCAGACTGGCGGTGGCAAATGGTCCCAAGCGGGAGAGATCTAGTGGAATGTCATCGTACTGCGAGGTAGCAAACTCGTCGATGCGTAATTCCAGTAGCTTGGAGAAAAATGGGTAGTCCGTGTATGTTGCGAGGGCCTGGAGCTTCGAAAGTATCTCCCACCAAGAGTCGTCGAATTTCAACTGGACTGAAAGGTAGCGAACCCGTGATGCACGAGCTTTGAATTTGGCCAAGTCCGTGGCGGTAGCTGGTCGATTGAAGGTCAACTCCCACTGTATCCACCGTAGATTTAGTAGTATCCTCTGTATGTTTCATGGTTGTACTTACCAGGTTACACCATCGCGTTGACCTAGGTAGTACCAACAAATGAGACCGCGGCTCTTCGAACTCATACAAATCGCCTTCCATGGGGTCAAAGAGTGGGCCTATATCGTCAAGACGCTCCCAGAGCGCCTCTGTAGCAGGCCCATGAAAGGCCCGACATGTGCGAGCAAGAGAGGCAAGATCTCCACGAGCGCCTTGGGTAGATAATATGGCACAGATGTGCGTGAATATCTCAGTCACTGAGAGACATTGGTGCATGGTGCTGGTCAGGAAGTCGAGACTGAATATTGATTGAATCGTCGGCTAAATTGCCGCACTGATGCTGAGTTTGAAGCAATCGGCTTTCGCCGCCTTCCCCGGCAAGAAAGATGACGTCACGCGTTTAAATGAGAGAGGACAGAATACAGCCATGGAGTCCCATTTCTACCTCCACGAATCATCAATCGTCTTGGACCCAGACCCAGGGCTCGAGTTCGACCGATTGGGATCCGACTCCCAAATCACGCTCCCATCCCCTAACTTGCGAATGTACTTGTACTCGAATCTCGTGTCAACAGGTATCTCGACGGTGACTATGGTGTATCGTCCGTTAGCTTTTCCAGCAACTTCTTTCCGCTGTCGAAGAGGGTACTTACCCTTCCAGATGGGATAGTCCGATGAAGAAAGTGCCAGGGCGTTGTCTGGGGACCAGTTCTTCAGAGCGTCGATAGAACCGGTCAGGAAGATGTTTTCTGGTTGCGCGAGGTTAATCGACTCTGTTCTCGTACCATGCATATGAGTTAAGACACCTACCTCCCCATGAGGTCTGTGCCTTCACGCTGAACGTGACGCTCGACATCGGGACAGCGTTACTTTCGCATTTCGAAGGAACCTCCAAGCCACTAGCTCCCCAGCTCCGAGGGATGACACCCGACCGAGCAGCGTCAGCAGTTAGGATGGACGCATAGCTCCATGTCAAGTGTTTGGCGCTAAGAGGCTCGCCAGTCTCCCGATGAAACTGCTCGGCCAAACTTCCGTCTTCTGGGGTGTACCTGGCGATGACTTCAATGAATTCATCGGCGAACCATCTGACGGCGTTCTTAAGGATCCTGTACGTCTCTGAAGAGTTTGAGTAGGTTCCTGGTTGAACGGAATCGTCGAACTGCCGGAAGAAGGCCAGAGATATTGATGAGACTTTGAGGTAGCCTTGCATATCCCAAACCATCAGGGCATCGTACAGTTGCTGAGCGGCGGCTGCAGTAGTCAAGTACCACGGCTAAAGGGCGACAGTCAACCAGAGACGAAGCAAATGGAGAGGGGAGACTAACATGACCACCGTAGTAGACGTCTTCAGCATAGCGGCCAGTTGCCACGGCCTGATTGGTGGGAGTGCCATAGTTGATAGGGTAGATCGACCGGAAGGCGTCGACGTAAACCTTGAGGTTGGATAACGCCTTGTCGGAGCATGGCTGGAAGGTGACCGGGTCGCATCCAGCGGCCGGGTCGAAAGTATGAATCGATCCTAAGATAGAGTTGGCATCGATTCCGGTTCGGCCACCTCCCGTATTCGAGGTGATGAAGCCTTCAGAAGGATTCCAATACGACTAACGTGCGGGATGAGAAGGCGGAGGTTTAGAAGATCACTACACATGCCTGGAGGAAACAGAGAATGTTGTCGGCCTGTTTGAAGTAGGATCGCGCTAGGTCGGGCTGTCCGATCCGACTTGCGAAAGCGGCACCTTCCATGAGGGCGCGATGCTGGATGGCAGACGTGAAGAATGAACTTGAAGATACTTCTTCCCAGAGGTCGAAACTGCAGGTTGCTGTTAATGGTCTCCGTCTGAGAGACCCTGAATGAATTGGCGCACCCTGTCGTGTTCCAATACTTTGCAGTATAGTCGAGGTCCAGCTTAATGACAGGCCATACGAATTCCAGAACTACGAATGGCTTCCCGGTGTCAAGTAGGTGATTTGCGTAGCGTATAATCGCGATAGCGCGAAGAGGAGGGCCGTCCCTCTGAGGCCTGTCAAGCTTCGTGTGAGTCTCGTCAGAGCGATGTGAGATTCAAAATGCCCACCTTCCCCAGCTACCAGTGAATGGCGTCAAATCGATGTTAAATTTCGGTTCCCCCAATCCTCCGGTCGTGACGTTTCCACTGGGGTTGTCTAGTTGCTGAAGGTACGCTTGGGCTGGAATGAAGTCCTCAACTATCGATTGGAGGGAGTCGTCCTCGTCCCGAAGATATCTGACATGGATGTTAGAATGAGTCAAGGACTACTGAATTGTGGGGGCATACCTGTCGATGACGTTCTTCATAACCAACGAAGCGTCCCTCGTCCATGTGTAGAGATAGTCCGGATCTTCAGTGCTGGGGCTTGCGATTACGACTCCCGGCTACATGCAAGAGGTCAAATCCTGGAAAGAAAAGTTCGAGTGCAAGTCGATACCCACCAAAGCGCCTGAAGACCTCGCACCGTCGGGTCCAATATTCGCCAGCAAATTCTCGGTGGCGATTGGAACCTGCCTTTCAAAGTAGGCGTCGGCGATGGCTATGGGGTCGGATCTGGCGTTTGTTACAGTCGAAAAGAGGCCTAGGAACGTCGTGAAGAGTAAGGAGCGCATCGTCGTTGCTGCCTCCTGAGTCAAGGACGATGCCTTGTGGAGAAGGGTCGGAGTGTCAGCCAACCAGGCTTTAAGAGAAACGAACTGTGCTTCCTGTTGGACCAGAGAAGCGGGCAAGTTGATATAGAGAAGAAATAGAGCCCCGGCTACTGCAAGAAAGCAGATACGGCGATCCATGGTAGGGGGATTCCAAGCCAGAAGGCGACGCCGCTGACAGACTTTGGGCTCCAAGTCACCTGTTCCGCGCTGGGTTGGGTCTTAATTCGGTGGTCAAGTGGTCTTCATCACAGTGTGTAGGTAGTCCTTTAGACATACAGAGCTGAGAATCAACTTTAAGCTCGAGAAGAATCTGGGTCGTGTAGGTGGAGGTGTAAGACCCGACGACGGTGCCACGACGGCAGCGCTCGACTCATTCGAAATTTGTTCCCACCCCTATCTGTGAGCGCTTAATTCATTGAGCGCTGGGATTGATGAGGCGAATGTATCCAATAAACTAGGTGCACATTCTCTCCATTCGCAGACTTACATCTCTAATTGCAAACGCAGTGACAGCCCGTCTGAAGGCCGAGTCCGTGCCGTCTCCTCGATTCCCAATTGAAACTCAGCTCAAAATCGAACTTCTTCTTTGGTGCCTCCAACGTCAAAAACTTTCTTGAACAACCAAGCCCGCTGTTCTCACTCGATACAGCCCGCTCCCTATTCCTTTCCAAGTCTTTGGCTCTTTTATCTCTGACCATGGATCCTCTCGTCGAAGGCCAAACTGACACCAAAAGATCAATAAAAATCCCAACTCGAGCTTCTCCCGCTCAGCTGGCGATTTTGAACCCAGCTTTCCAGAAGAACAGCGCGCCTACTGGTACCCAGTTCGAAGAACTCGCGAAGGAAACAGGACTGTATGTATTTTCGTCTTGGATCGTGTGGCCTCGATTCTGGGAACTGGCTTAGTGGCGCGCCGTATAGACGAGCGAACGCGTCCGGAAAAGCGAGAATAACACGCCCAAACAGGATTAGCGATCGCTTTATTTTATGTATCAACCTAACTTTGCCTTTGCCTTGTAGCCCCAAGAAATGGATCGCGTCCTGGTTCACGCGACAGAGGGCGAAGGCCAGGAAGGCGCGTCCCAGCCACAGTGGGTCGGCCACAGGTCCAAGCGATATGGTACGTTAAAGGGGATAGACCCTTCTGATTACCCCTGATATCTATACTCTATCCCATAGTCTGCCGGAACCAGCGAGATTCTGGCCATAAAGAACGAACTAGACGGTGTCACCACTATTGAGACGTCAGTCACTGCCGTGGTTCGCGTCGCAAAACGAAAGGCGACGAAACAAGGCCAATCAGAGAACCCGCCAAAGAGGACTAGAAAGAAGAAGGACCAAAGTGGCGACGCGGTGAAGACTGCAGAGAGAGGTCCTCTCGAAACCATCCAAGTCAAGGCCGAACCTGAACCAGGCCCTGGTGTTGCTTTGCGATATACTCCCGAGGTGCAGAGCGAAATTATCGGCAACCAGCAAGGAACTGTTCCTGGACATCATGGCTATGAACCGGAGAATTACAGCAGACCGTCCATTGACAACCGCGTGCATCCTTCGAATGCGCGCCCCTCTCATCTGGACCAGCCTAGCATCCCTCATCCAGTTCCCAGTGGTGGCTTCTCGGACGGCTCTATGGGAAGGCAATACCTTCAACCAGTCGACGATTTTAGGCTTATTACCTACGTGCCCCCGCCTCCTGTTATGTCAGGATCGTATCAAGGGCGAAATGAACACGGTTCTTCTGTCGGCGGCTCTTCCCAGATGCATGCTAAACCAGGTCATTACAAGTCGGCATCGTCGACCTCCAGGTCCTCCTTTTCTTCGTCGAGAAGTCGTCCAACCTACGATGAGTTCTTTTCGACCCCCAACATCGCAGGAGCTCCTGCGATGCCGAGGCGTCTCTTCGATAATATTCCTTCTGGCACTCCCGCGACCTCTAGCACTAGTCTGTCTTCGTTCGCGAGTCGCAGTACCGATACCGCTCAAGCTCGAAGCAGCTCGTTTGCCGAGAAACGTCAGGTCGGGAACTCGAAGAATGCCGAACGGTATACTGAAGAAACTCCACCGGTAGAGACGGCAGCCAACCATCCGAACTGGCGCCCTACAGGCGACCCTCCTCGAATCCTTCAAAGCAACGGTGCTTATCACATCCCGCACGTCCATCAAGGAGCGCAGGTACGGCCTTCTTCTGCATTTTGGTTCCGTTAATTCAATTAACGATTTGGTTGAGGGCCCCTATCCCTATGTGGCCGACTATCATCCGCCCTCCATTCCTCCTGCTGGCGCTCAGACAAACTCCTACAAGCAGACTTCGAGCGAGAACGTGTCGACGACAATGCCCACCCTGACCTCACCCTTTCCTACTCACCTCAACCCCAACCTGGCGCCTCTCAAGCATGTCACAGACATTGTCGAACCTTTTGTCGACGAGGCCGGAGGGTATTCTAGTTTGATGGACCTCGGAAGCGATCAGCGGAAGGTCGTCATGGAACGCCTTTTGGACGAGGAAATGGGAAGAAAAGATCCGTTTAAAGCAGCCATGGGATTGGTGTTGGCATCGAAACTTGGACTTGAATGGGAGGCACCAGGAGCAGCATGAGCAGACAAAGAGCAATAAATTACGTCGTAAATCCTGTAAAATATTGTATGAAGTCATCACCGGTAACGCCGGTAACTCCGAAAAGAAGACGTCATAATTCGTGAACATCTGAATTTACCGATCTGACCCGTCAGTCCCACGTATAACGTCGAGTGCGCTCCAACCCGTTCGCCTTTTGATTTGGCTCAACCACCTTCGACGGTCTCCACATCACCTTTTGTCGCTGCATTTGACAATGTCCGCTCGATTTGCTCGCACTCTTTTCCAGGCTGGCGCTCGTCGCGCACAGACCACCGCCCCAAGGCGCGCCCTGGGCAGGCGAAACATGGCCAGCGAAGCGCATACCCCCGCCACCAAGTCTGATACGCCCTGGATCGTGAGTCTATAGATACACCCCACGTCGACCAAAGCTAACACCGAACCCTGCTCTAGATTGGCTCTGCGCTCATTTTCGGTCCTATCGTGCGTCGTAGTTCACCATGGAACGTCATAGAACACCGGCGCTGACACGAAGTGTTCAATTGCAGATTGCTTACCTCGTCTCCCCTTCAGCACGCAAGAACACCCATGCTGTTCACAATGACAAGAAGGAGTACCCTGGCTTGAAGAAGAAGTCGGAGACTGCTGGGAGTGGGGAGCAGCACCTTAAACCTGTGATGATGACGGACGACGAGGGCAAGGAGGAGAACGTTGCTGGCAGTCTCGCTTTGGCAGAGGTAAGTATAGCCGCGCTTCCAATACATGTTGGACGAATGGCTTATGATCCCAATAGAAATCCGACGTTCCTAAAGCTTCTGATTCTGTAAGTCGCTGACCATCTCTCTTGTCTCGAGACATTTTGTTGACGTGGTAGTCGTCTGAGCAGCCTGCAGGCTTCGAAGCCGCCAAGGCCGAAGCTGCGGGAGACGAGTCTGCTCCTGTCCAACCCGACGCTGCTGTATGTTTCCCAAAAGCTTCGCATTTTGTTCTCATCTGATGCGCTTCTTTTTACAGCAGGAGATCGGTAGCACCTCTCCCAAGAGCCACCACGACAGCAAGGGCACCTTCCAAGACGCTGCTGATTCTGAGCCCAGCCCCACCCCCATGGGCAAGGCCAGAGAGGCTGCTTTGGTACGTTGAATAAAATTATGCACAGAGTAAACACGACTAATATCCCTCGGTAGGAGCACATCACCCCCAAAGAGCACGCCGAGCAGACGTCCAACTAAAATGTCCTACCGGATGAAGACTGAAACGTACATAAATTGTGGTGCTTTTAACGCACTGCAGTTGTCCAAGGCGAACTTGTTGATGAACTCTTGTAGATAGAGGATTTTGGACTCTGTAAGAATTCGTGATGTGGCCCTTGTACGTACATAGTTCAGTTCGGTGTGGGAGGGTCGCTTTCCCGGTATCAAAAGCAATTTCAGTATCGATTAACGCTGTAAGGTGGTCTCTTTGCGGAAACCAATTATAAGAAGTCCACACAAACATGGAAAAGGGTAGGCAGGTAGGTAGGGTACCTAGTATTTGCCTCACGTCGTGGGTCATATGTTCTCTGTCTGCTCCTCGAGCCATTTCCACAACCGCTCTCCGAGCTCTTGGTCGAGAGCCAAAGGGTTTGCGCTACCATATCTTGCCCATGGTTTCAAAAACTGTAAATACAAAGTATCCATTAGTCCATTGACATGCAAGGAAATGAAGGAGGTCGACATGCCTTTCCATTCATGTTCAGCCCTTCATCTGACGTCCCAGCCCAGAGCTGAGTCAAAGCCCCATACTCGGCCGGATAGAACATCCACTGTGGTGCATGTTCAGACAACAGTTTTGCTTATCGTAGTAGTAGGACTCACCCCAAGAATCTTTTCCGCCATTGGACTGTTCTTCCAGATGCGGTAACTGAGAAAGGCAACGAACCGAGGACGTTGGTTCCAAACTGCATATCGTAACCTTGCACCGTTGTCATTTCGATGGGTGTGGCACCGACACCGCTGGAAAACGCTGTTTAACCTTGCCTTTCACAGCGTAATATAAGGGGAACTTTGACGCACGCGTTATTGAACAAGATGTGCAATTCCGTTTCCTTTCTGCCAAATCAAAGCAAGCTGTTAATCGTACGAATTCTGCTAGACGAAGCAACATACCTTTGGAACTCCTCCGCAGCCTGCTTTACCGACTTCAAATCACCCAGGTCCAGTTTCAAAAAGAGCGCCTCTTTCCCCGTCAGCTCTTTCAAGACGCGAATGGTTTCTTCGGCCTTGGTTTCGCTACGCGCGGCCACATAGACTTTGGCATTATGAGCAAGCAGGGCCTAGTGAACATGATAAGGTCATCTCTGGATGGGATGCAGCGCGGACGAGACGGTAATGACTATTACCTTCGCAGTTTCCTGCCCTATGCCTGTCGCAGGGTAGGTGTAGGGTCAGCGATATGCACGCATGCCCAACGTATAAGTTATCTTCCTCACCGGCAGTTGCACCTGTCACGATAACGACCTTGCCTGTAAGGTCTGGGATGTCGTCAACACCCCATGTAGGCTTGGGAGGGAAAGCCTCCGTAATTGATTGCCAAGCGCCGGGCATTCTTTGTTATCGAGGGGGATGGAAGAGGGGAGAGCAATGTCGAGCCGAAGTCCGCCATGCAATGTTGTGCGTTTATATAGGTTTCACGACTGCCGTAACCAATTCAATTCCAGATACCACCGGCAGAAGTAAATGATTGCGAGGTGTAAGTAACCGACAGCGGTGTTACACTGTTACTGCGCTTGGGGACCGACAGGGATATGTGCTGCGTCCGTACCCTCGTGCACAATGACACCCGCAGCACCGTTGCCGCAAGCGACGGCGCGATGTCCGTCGAGAGTGACCATTGACTATGCTTCAGACGCTGCCCATTCGATGCCGGGGTTCTGCTGCTGCTTTGCCGCATCCGCAGTCCCTAAACCTGGAAACATTAGCAAGTCATGTACATGGCCTCGGTAACCGGTGTTTCAGCCGCTGGTGACCCGGTCTAGGAGGTGATCGCCTTGCTTCGAATGACGGCGTCAAGGGAAAGCCAAATTTTCCTGGCTGGCTGTATAGAACCGAAACGAAGTTAACGTTGCTTCTCTCCCTCTTCGGTGGGTCGGAAATCTTTGAGAAACAATACATTCAGTAGCTGCAGAAATTCACAAGGAGTTCATAGAGAAAATATTCAGGATTCGTGAATAGCGAAGGTAGATCATGGCGGTCGAAGGTCAAGTTGTCGATTTGTTTGTCCCGCGCGTCCGAACCAATTTGGTGGCCGTTGAACGCGACGCCAAACAACCGCCCTTCCCATCGTTCCTACGATGAGCAAGCCTAAACCTCGACCAGCACATGGCCCAGCTACAGGTGTATACAAGTCAGATGCCATTAAGGTGTGTCTGTAGAAGAATCTGATGTATATCCAATCTTTGACACACCAATAGGACATTGCAGAGTCCTTAAACATAACGATCTCGGACAGCGTTGCATCCTCGCTTGCTAGCGATGTCGAATACCGGATACACCAAGTCATAGAGGTGAATACAACCCAGTTAATGTCGAGAAAACTCTCAAACAAAGCCCAAGGAAGCAGCTCGTTTCATGCGACATGGCCGACGAACCACAATGACCACCTCGGACATCGACAACGCCCTGCGCGTGCTCAACATCGAACCTCTCTACGGCCACACGCCCTACAACACCGCAACCTTCCGCCGTGCCCTCCCCTACCCGCAAACCCAAAACGCAGGCCCAGTCTACTTTGTAGAAGACGAGGAAATCGACTTTGATCGCGTGCTGAGGGAGGAGAAGATTACTCTGCCAAAGGGTGTTACTTGGACTGCGCATTGGTTGGCGGTGGAGGGCGTGCAGCCGCTTATACCCGAGAACCCACCTGCTATTCCTCGCGAGGTTGCGCCAGAGGCGGGTGCTGCGGCTCCTGACGGCGTTGGGCTGCCCACTCTCGCAGCGAAGAAGGAACCGCAGATCAATGGAGGGGGGTTGTTGGGCAACACGCCCGCTGCGGCGAACAGCAAGCTTACCCAACAGCAACAGCAACAACTCGTCAAGCAGGTGCTTTCGAGAGAGCTACAGTTGTATTATGCTCGCCTTACAACGGCTTTGCTTCCCCCTACATCCGATTTCGCCAAACGGACTGCAGCGTTGGCGAGTTTGCGAAGCGATGCTGGTTTGCAGGCTTTGTTGCCGTATCTTGTCCGGTGGGTGGCCGAGGGAGTGGTCGGTGCACTCAAAGATGGGACACAGACGGAGAACGATGGAAAGGTGCTCGAAGTCCTCATGGATGTCGTCAGTGCCATTCTCGAGAACAAGACACTCTTTGTCGAGCCATACGTGCGTCTTCCTTTCGGCCTCATGAACGTTTCTAACAATCTCGTATAGCTTCACCAACTCCTCCCGCCAATCCTTTCAACACTACTTCACTCGTCCTTACCCCACTCACATTCGACACAACTGCGAACATCAGCCGCTCAAACGCTATCCAGACTCCTCACGCAGCACTCGACGACTTACCCTTCACTATCGCCTCGTATCATGAAGACCCTTTTGCTGGCTTTGATATCACCAGGGAAGAGCAAGGGAACCCGGGAGGGTGCAGTCAGAGGTTTGGTTGCAGTTGGCAAAGAAGCTGTTCGCAAGGGCCTCGTGGAGAGTGGGGGTGCCAGGGTTGTGGCGACCGAATGCCAGCAATCCGGTGGGCGAGAAAGTGCGAGCCTCATTGCCTCAGTTATGGTTCGTCTTTCCATCTTCCATTTCCTCGAAGGAAGGCACTAAATACGATCTCGCAGGATGCTTTGCGAGTGCTCCAACCGCCGAGTGAGATGACGGACTCGCTTGATCGGACGAACGAACGCGACGCCGCTGTTTTGAAGAAACTTGGTGAACAATTGGGCGATTTCTTCGCCTCCAAGGTGGCGACTGACGCCGCATGGGCAAGGGAGATTGTTGGAACATCGTCATGACATAATGTGTATTCACGTTTGGTTTGTATTTCTAGTGCTCTGCTGTTTCTCTAGATTGATTATTGTACATCTACTTGGTAGCTGGTTGATCGAGGCTTGTTGCTCAGCGCTGCCTAAGTCGGACGCTTCGATGCATACCTGCTTTGTCGCTGTGCTTCTAGACAATGAGCTCACTCGACAGCCTCACGCATCCTATACTCTTAAAGTAGCGTGTATTATCGTCAAAGCTGCATTCTGGTGCGTTGTTGTTGCGTCTATTATTGTAGGTCAAGCAGTATACTAGTCTTGGTGTGGAGAAAGTGGTGTCGAAATGGCGGCGTCATGACCATACTATATGTATCATCCATCCACCATAGCGTTCATATAGCACGTAAAGGCCTAATAGGCCACACACGACTCTGAAGATCATGAGAACAGGATACTCGGTTGTCCATTCGTTGAAAGTTGCGGTGACTGCCTCGACCGAAGCGAAAACCTTCTCCTTGGACTCCATACACCCTTCTTTCAGCGCCTCGTAACGGTCTTCTATCCGACCTAGGTGCCAGTCAGACGATTCGCAACGAGTTGAATTGGATCCGAGGCTTACCGCGAGGGAATAGGCCGTGAGTGAAGAAACCGAGGTAGAAGGCAATGAGCACTCCTATTTCTTGGAGCAATACGAAGGGAATCAAGACGATGATAGGCCCGAAGAATATTGAGAGTGATAGGAGGGAGACGATATGCGGATGTTCATGAACTGTGTTTCGGTTGGTATTAGTCTTGGAGCGCGAACCAAGGGTCGGACATACGGAAGCCATAGACGCCCAACAACCCACGCATAGCCCAAGCGCTCGGATCGCAGGCAACGTTGCTCAGAAAGCAGACTGTACGGCCGGTTCACATCCCTTGTTTCTCCTAAAGGATAGAAACTCTACCCACAGATTGAATAACTGCCTGCTCGAAGACCGGCCCATACGTGTCCAGCAAAGTTCTCTGCAGGAAAGTCAGTTAATGGAACATGTCCGAACGAGGATAATCTTGCCTAGTGCGAAGAGAACGGCATCGACCCATTCATAGCCCTCTACACTCTCCACAGCTCGGTTTACGGCCATACTGTTAACAATAACATTTCCAGTGGCTGCCTCGGGGAGATACATCTTCTCATAACAGGCCCACGTCGTCCCTCAACGCGCCACGAAACCAAACCACGTAAAACGCGAAACGGGCCTCGGAATACGATTTGAGTGGTGTCCGGCTGGCACTTGCAAGCCAGAGACGAAGAAAATTGCCAGTCAAAGGACTGAGATACGGTCTTGTCAGACACCCGGATAATCGGTTTCGGGGGTGGGGCCAATCGAGGTCGAGAGTCAAGTCGCAGGCGTGGGTGAGGCGTGGTGATCGGCTACGTTGCGCATCGTCTACACGTTTCAGCTTTAGCTACCGTTCTTCCTTCTTGCTCGATAAGGTTGCGGTTTGTCTGTTGTTCATCGTGGTTGTTTTGCAGAGGAAGACGGGTTGGGTATTCAAGAGTAAGACTTGTGTTTTCATAACCCATGCGGGCCGCAGCCAAGAAAGGGATTTGCCGAGAGGCTTGTTGGTCAAGCAGTGCCAAACCTTGGACGTATTTTGCTCTCGACCACCATTATCTTTGGCGCTGAAGGCTTTGCTTACTGTTACTGGATGCGAAGGGGCCTAAGGCTGGATCACTGGAAACTTCTGTGGCTGTCTCTCCTTGTACTGTGGCACTGTGAAGACTCTCGCCAGCCCCGCGTTCGGGTGTCAGTCGGGCGTCAGTGTGTCTCCGCTCCAGGTCGACGCCTAGCTAGAATTGTGCCACGACTGTAACTCTGGATCTCATCAGTGGAAGAACGAACAATATCCCGGAAGCTTCAGTCTGGAAGGATTGGAAATTGGGAGATCTATTCTTAGGAAAATGAACCGGCGTTTGCAAACTTCTTCAAACCTATGAATGGTTCTCTTGAGGGCCTGATGGTCTATTCTTAGAGTGTGTGATTGGGATACTGGAAACCTCGAGCCTCGTATTCGCCTCGCGATGGACTTTGAACGGCATTGTGGCGATTTGGGACCCAATAGTCATCCCGTTGATGCTATGATTCGGCTCTTCCGACTTCATCTCCGTCATTGGGGATGCCGATCTATCAAGCTAACTCTGGTCATATCTGGCCCAAGCAATATTCAGCGATCTCCGGTGGTCAGGTGGCTCAGGGATGCAATGAAATTGCGAATTTTCTGTGTTTTCTGGTGTATAAAAGGCTCCCGGAGATTCGGGGTCGTGAACTCTCCAGAACCAATTCCTCAGTTCTACAAACCCAAGCCAAGTAAGTACTCGGCCTCCCTCTCACTTTCCTGTATCGCTAACCACCCTACCGGTAGTTCAACATCATGCTCTACCACCTCTTCGTCAACAACCAAATCAAGCTCCAGGACGACTTCAAGGCGGAAGCCGTCGCCACCATCCGCTCCAGCGTTTTCAACTCCAAAGGCGGAACCACCGTATTCAACTTCCTCAGCGCGGGGGAGAACATTCTCCTCCACATCAGCATCCGCCCCGGTGAGAACGCCATCGTCTTCAACAGCAGGACCAAGGGTGGCGCTTGGGGCCCCGAGGAACGTGTCCCGTATGCGGGCAAGTTCAAGGGCCCCAACCCCAGCATCACTGTCTTGGACCATGGCGACAGGTTCCAAATCCTCTTCGACAACGCGACTGCGATCTACTATACCAAGAGGATTAAGGAGAACGCGGCTGCGATTGCGTACAGTGCGGAGAATTCTTTGTTCTCCTCGCCTGTCACCGTCGATATCCACGGATTGCTCCCCCCTCTTCCCCCCGCTTAGGTTTGTCCGTCTCTTTGAGTCCCTTGAATTCCGGGATGCTGACACCCTTCCCCAAGGATGCTTGCTAGCTGTCGGTACCAGCAACCGTTCCACCGTGATAATGAAAGCGTTCGAGACTCCAATGGACTTGATACTCGCTCTTAGTTGCACTACTGAGTAGCTTTTGTTGATTGCCCGGCCAATACATGTATAATGTTGTTCCACACACGACAGTCGAAGGAAGTACATGCCCCTTCTAACATGATTGACGGGCACCAGTTATGGGTGAGACTCGTGCACTTCATGGGGCGGTCCGAGACGAGCGCCTATCTTCTTCAGCGGAGCTTGAATCCATCGTCTCAGTGATCTCGTGCTTAAAGGGTCTTTTTCGAGCTGCTATAGCGAGATTTGTAGTACAAGACTAGAGTAGAGAGTGGGATACACATTGCGCTCTTTCTTTACTTCCGAGAAGCATCCGATGGGGCTGAGGAGCTTGACGCTTGACCTATTGTGCAGGCAACCAAGGAAGGGATTTGCGGAAAGAGAGTCAGCTTGTCGGGGAGGGGGTCCTCGCGCCCGTTATCATCTTCGGCGGTGAAGCGGCCCAAATCTCTGTCCGCCTTACTCGGTACGCGAAGGGGCCCAAGCCTGACGCAATGAGGAAATCCATGGCTGTCCCTCCTTGTACTGTGGCGCTCTGAAGATTCTTGTTATGGCGTTTGGATTCGGGCGTCACAGTCTCCGGACCTCTCTTCTTCAGTCGACACCTTTCCAGGACTGCGTCACGACTATAACACCGGACTCCCTCATCCCTTGGATGAATGCGAACGACGTCTTGGAAGTTTCAAGTGTGGAAGGATTCTCAGGAAAATGAACCGGCGTTTGCAAAAGTGTCGAACCTCTAAATGGCCCTCTTGGAGACCTGTGACCAAGGGTTCTCTATTCTTAGAGCTTATGATTGGCATAGTGGAGGTCTCGAAGTTTCTATTCGCCTCGCAATGGACTTTGAGCGGCATTCTGTGCGATTTGAGCCCAGGATTACCTTATTTGTTCCGGGTATCAGGTCTTCCGACTTCATCTCCGTCATTGGGGATGACGATCTGAGTTTAACTCTAGTGGTCTGACAGTTATGGACAGTGGAGAAGCACCCCCAGGAGTATGCTGTGTCCGGGGAGAAGTGATATCCGGTGGTCAGCTGGCTCTGGGATGCAATGAAATTCCAATTTTCTTGTCGATTTCCTTGCGCTTTTTGACGTATAAAAGGGTGGATTTGAGGTCGTGAACTCTCCAGAACCACTTCCTCAGTTCTACAGCTCAAAGCCAAGTAGGCATTCGACTTTCCTCTCATTATCCTACAGTGCTAACTACTGTATCACCAGTCTAACATCATGCTCTACCACCTTTTCGTCAACAACCAAGTCAAGCTTCAGAACGACTTCAAGCCGGAGTCCGTCGCCGCCATCCGCTCCAGTGCCTTCAATTCCAAAGGCGGAACTACTGTGTTCAACTTCCTCAGCGCGGGGGAGAACATCCTCCTCCACATCAGCATCCGCCCCGGCGAGAACGTCATCGTCTTCAACAGCAGGCTCAAGAACGGCGCCTGGGGCCCGGAGGAACGCATCCCGTACGCTGAAAAGTTCAGGCCCCCCAACCCGAGCATCACTGTCATCGACCACGGCGACAGGTTCCAGATCCGCTTCGACTATGGGACTTCCATTTATTATAACAAGAGGATCAAGGAGAATGCGGCTGCGATTGCGTACAATGCGGAGAACTCTTTGTTCTCCTCGCCTGTCACCGTCGATGTCCATGGATTGCTCCCCCCACTTCCCCCTGCTTAGGTTTGTTGGTCTCTTTTTGGATTCTTGCATTCCAGGTTGTTAACGCCCTTCTCCAAGGATTCTCGCTGGCCGTCAGCCACACCAACATATTGCCACTCATAACGAAAGCTTTTGCGACACCAACGGACTTCATACTGACTCTCGGTTGTACTGAGTAGCTCTGACTTAATTGCTTGGCCAATACATGTATACTGTTCTTCCACAAACGTCAGAGGACCCCGGGCCCGTCTCGAAAATCAACATTCTTGAGTGATATATGCGAACATTCAGTTTGGATGAGCCCTTTACACTGGCGTTGCCTCCCTCAGAGCGGTTCGAGTTAGGCGCCTATTTTCTTAAGCGGAGTTTGAATTCATCGTCCGATAATTTTCGTACTCCCATTTTGTTCGTCTTTGAGCTACTTCAACGAGATACGTTCGAGAATAAAGTAGAGAACGGGTCATTTATAACCCCCCCCCCCCCCTTCACTTTCGAGGCACAGGTCGGATGGGGGCGACGAGAGGTTGCCTATCGATGACGGCGGCAGACTGTGTCATTCTAGGAAGGGTTTCACCAGTACCCTTGATCACCCACATGTCAACACCTTGTTCATAGAATAAAAGGTCAAAGTTACTTACGACCATCCAGCCAGGGAATCCAATCTCGAAAGGAAGGATGCTCTCGAGATACTGAATCTGTTCATCGGACAGGGAGAGTTCCAGCGCTTCGATGTTCTGCATCAGATGTTCGACTTTGCGACCCCCGATGATTGGGAAGACGTAAGGAGCTTTGTGCATGACATAGGCAATCGCGACTACAGGAAGGTTCCAGGTCAACCAGCAGCTTAAAAGGCGAGTAAAGAAAAAGGGACCGACCAGATGTAATAGACTTGGCACCCAACTCGTTCGCCACCTTTTCCAAAGCGGCAGACATAGCCTTCTCTTTGTCATTCCTGAGCCAATCCGGGCTGAACATCTGTCGTCCCTGTTCACCCGACTTTTGGCGCTCCTCTTCCTCCTTGTCGGTTCTGAATTTTCCGCCTGCGAGGACGTTCCAGGGCGCCAGAGCCATTCCCTCGGCGCGGGCCATTGGGATGATCTCGCGTTCGAAGGAGCGCTCGAGGATGCTCCATGCGCCTTGGTAGATGACGAAGGGGGTAAGGGCATGGTCCCGGGCGTATTGGTTGGCGCGGGCGACCACCCAGGCGGGGGTATCGGAAATACCCTATAAACATGGCGCGGTGAGGCACCTTGCAAGGGAAGGGAGGGTGAAAGCTGCTCACCAAGTACAGAACCTTGCCTTGGACCACGAGGTTGTGCAGGCCCCTCATCACCTCCTCGATGCTCGTTTCCCAGTCCCACCAGTGGAGGTAAAGCAAATCGATGTAGTTGGTTCGAAGTTTCTTGAGAGAGGCGTTGACGGAGACGTGGAGAGATTTCACGCTGTTGCCGTAGAGCAGCACACGTTGCTTAATCGAGGGGTCGTGTCGCTTGTAGTCGGAAGTGTACTAGAGGGATGTCAGATACAGAATGCGTTGGTGACGTTAAGGCAACTTGCCTTGGTGGCGATGAAGAGTTGGTCTCGAATCCCTCGTTTCTCAGCCCACTCGCCGATGAAGAGCTCGGAGGTCTCATCTTGGCTTCAGAGGGCGGTGGATCAGCAGGCCCTCGATTGCACACGGTGGTAAAAGACTTACTATCCGTTGGCAGTATCGATGAAGTTTCCACCGTTGTCAAAGTAGGCATCCAAGAGCTTGAAGCTGGACTCCTTGTCCATCTCTCCCATTCCGAAAGGACCCCACTTGTCTCCGATGCTCATCGCTCCCAGTTGGAGAGGAGAAACATGGACACCAGCGGTAGTGGACAATTGGCGATAGCGGCCCAGCAAGCTGGGAGGAGGGGTAGCAGGCCTGGCGTAGGGATTCTTCGACATGACGACTTGGGGTGAGGCTGTAGAATACGATTGCTGACTGATTGTCCGCCTTATATCTCCCAACCTTCACCTCTCGAAAGCAGTATTGTGTAATCATTGCGAACCGTGTGGCTCCAGGAATTCTAAGAAGGTTGGAAAAGTGTCTCCTCGTCGACAGGCCTGGTCCATATTGGAGATCAGGTGAACTATCATGACTAGGTTGGGACGACAACAGGGACGAAAAAGAAGACGCGGCCGGAGATATTTGAAATATCGGAGAAATAAAGTCCAAGAGATGTCGAGAGGTTGCGTCAGAGAGGCATACACGGCCAGTGCAATCCTTAAGGGTAGTCGTTTCGGCAGGGTTTCCGAAGGAACGTTGGCTCGATAGAAGGTCAGTCTCGCACTTTGGTACTCCCCAAATAGCGGCCATTCCGAAAGTTGGCAGCCTCCTAGTGTTACAAGAAACACTGGGTCGTAATAAAATTACGGAGCTCGCTTTTACATCGCCCAGGTTGGCACATTCTCCGCAGCAGTTCTTTTGGCGTTATGAAGATGGTGGTCGAGTTCCAAGGACGAAAAAGGCGCCCTCGGCACCAATTGCGTCGGGTGACACAAACATGACCATACAGTAATACGCGACAGCGAAAGGTTTGTCTTGGCACCAAAATTACTTCGTAGCTCATCGTCGCCGTTGTCCAGGATGAGCGCCGCCGCTGCCGCCTCCACCGTCACACAGAGTCTGCGCGACAACCTCACACGATTTGGCCGCCACCCAAGAATCACCAAACGGCTCAAACTCGACCCCAAAACCCGTCTGCCAACACCCCACGTCAAGCTCGTCACCCGCGAATTCGCGCCATGTCGTCTCGAAGACCACTACTATAACACCCTCCAAGATGACCTTATGTACATGACCTACAAACACGAGTACGAAGGCACGCGCAAAGAACCTCGCCAAATCCGTCTCAAATTCGACCCCGAAAATCCATACTCAAAGTTCAGGAACAACATCCCCGTCGGAGGTTCGCAGGTTGGCAAGAAACCTGCCCCGCCGAGCACACCTGAAAATACCGTCAGGCTGGAGAGGATCCAGATACACACCATGGTCAAGGACGCTTTGAACAGCAAAGCAAACTTGTTGCCGACGTTGATGATGTTGCGGGCTCTGACCGGAGAGACGGAGCACGGCGGAGGACACCATGCTGTCGAGGGTGTTCAGCTTGTGCGGGGTAAAAAGTCGATCGGTGGTTGGCTGAGGAAGGGTATTCCTGTCGGCGCCAAAGTCGATTTGCGTGGCCAGAGCATGTACGACTTCCTCGGAACGCTGGTCGAGTTCGTCCTGCCCCGTCTCCGTGACTTCAACGGCATCGTTCTCCCTCCCAAGTCGTCCTCAGTGAACACACCGAGTGCCGTGGCAGGTGTCGTGTCGTTCGGTCTCCCACCACAAGCCATGGTCTTCTTCCCCCAACTCGAAGTCAACATTGACGCCTACCCCGAACTCCCTGGTATCCACATCCACTTTATCACGAACGCGACTGGTGTTGGCGCCCAAGACCGTGCTCGTGCCCTAGTCTCTGGCTTCCAGGTACCCTTCGTTCGCAGATAGACGCCCAGAGCTTGCTGTCTTGCTTTCCATGTCTAGACCAACCGACGTGAGTTGTACCTAATTTCGTCTTTCAGCAACGAAAACTAACCCAGTGCTTGACTAGACCAGTTGCTACCACTACAACCATGCGCGTATTATACCGTATACGGGAGGTTTCCAACTACCCATTTAATAATCCATATAATATAAAAGACCAGAACCTCCATCAAGGACTGATAAATACAGCGCAAGAAACCGCCGATGATGCCACAGGGAAGGAATGTGTCGTGATGTTAGTAGAGTGAGATGCGAGGACAAGGATTGTGACGATGACGATGACGAGGGATGCGAGTGAACGACAGCAAAAATTGGAGTGCGACGGGAGAAAAAGGTATTAAATGTTCCAATCCACAAGAACGAAAAAGTAAACAATAATGGCATAAAAGCGTTCGTCGTATATGACGGAAATTGGTGATAGGGTTACCATCGATTGGCGGTAGGAGTGCGGTCTTGGTTGTTGCGATTCATGCTGGAACTATTCGGCGGTGTCGTTGGCTGCCATGGTATTTCGCCCAACCTCTGCCTCGACGAAGACCTCGAAACTTTGGGTATCCCAAACCCACCAGTCGAAGGTGAGGAAGGGACCACGCCCGACGCCTCCGACGCCGACCGCCTGGCTCTCTTCGGTATCAAGCCTTTGGAATGAGATCCGGGTGTCATCGCGAGACTATTCTCATAGCTGGACGATATCGACGACCCATGCCCCAAACCCGACGGTGGACTTCTCCGAAGTCTGCTCTCATAAACTCCCCCACGCTCTCTGTATCCTCCCAGATAGTGCTCACGGTCTCGATCCCTCTCCCCAGTCCCATGCCCGCCTCCATGATGACTGCTTCCACTGCTTCCGAGTCCAGCAGGTTTCAGAGCAGGGCGAAGAGTAGGCACAATCTCTCTCGCCAACTCCTTGACCAAGACAGCTCCATCTCCTCCACTCCTGCTGAGCTTCTCCACGATACCCAGCAGCCCATACCGCTCGACAAGGACAGTCCTGTTGGGATGGATCTCGCAAACATAGCGCAGAATCCTCAAGAGGTTCAGTCGTACGACAGCCTTGGAGTTGTGACCCAGTCGATCCACGATCCTCTTGAAAAACGCAGAGGACTTGGTAAGGGCGATTGTAAGCGTATGAGAGAGACGCAAGATCTTGAGGAACGGGTCGAGGAGGTTCTCGAAGGAGTTGGCCTTTGCGTTGACGAAACACTTGAGAAGCGCTTCGACCGCGTATGGCTTGAGAAGTTGGTCTTCCACTCGAGCAGTCTCGTCTTGCAACCACGAGAGAACGGATTCGACGGCACTGACTTGGAAGTACGGATCGTCGAGGAGTCTGATGTACATCCCGATACCGTCGTGCTGCCAGAGGAGGGTTCGACAACTCTTTCCGGCACTGGCAAGGTCGCAGAGGATAGGGAGAGCGAATTGTTTGAGAGGGGAGCTGGTCTCGATGACACGCTTGAGACAGGGGATGATACCAGCTTGTGCAGCCTCCTCTTGTCGGGATTTGCTGAGGCGACAGAGGTTGTAACATGTTTGGAAGATATGGTTTGCCATTTCCTACGAATATGATCAGACATGGTCAGAACTTCGGGGCGAGGCAGACATACAGTGCTATGAGGTCCAGAGGACTGTTCCTCGAGAATCCGAATCAAAATCTCGAGAGCGTTGGCATTCTGGAGGACTTCGTGCAGTGTAGCATTCATGGACAAGTGCTTCACAGCCTTCAGCATCTGTACCAGGCATTCTGGATCCAGGAGTTCACATGCTCTCAACAACCCTGGAGGAACCACTCAGTGGACGAAGGCGATAAGAAAGAAGAATTGACTCACGTCGGATAACCTTCCTCGTTCCCAAAGCATTCCGAACGTGGATATCGGACTGTGATACTTGGCAGAACACCAGAAGGATCTGAATGACCTTCATCTTGGTGCTCTTATCGACAGAGGCAGGTTCATGATTGGACATGACATTGAGCAAGGCGGCGGACAGAGGGTCAAGCAAGCCTTCCCGGATGAACATGCGACAAAAGTCATTCTTCGTCGTCGGACTCTGCAGCTCGAAGACACTGCCGATTCCATTCAGAGCATGTTCAACCAGCTCCGTTTGCTCTCCATAGTCTTCGTCTAGGAGGTCCACTAAGACTTTCAAGCCACGACATCTAACAATCGCTTAGCCTTTGGCCTGACAGAGAAGTGGGAATGTAGCCACTCACGAGATGAACATCTGGAGAGTCAATACGGAGGTGTGGCAAAGAAGTCGGATAAAGTTGGATGCCTCCAAGCGGCACTCTGAGGGGTACTTCTTGGAGGTGAATTCTAGGAGGACAGTCAGAACTCGCGATCTAGATGGTTGGCCTGTCACTTACCCATCATCACAGGAATACCACTGCGCCAAACCGTCAGTATTGGAGGGAAGGAACATTGTCTCGACTTACCCAATCAAGCAAAAGCTCTCCAAGAAGCCCACATCCTCTGTGACCAACTGGTAAAGAGAACTAATCAGGATCGACAGATTAAATGCAGCGCTGTAGGGATACAGACCACGTTGATGATCTGCAGTAGCTTCATGATGACATCTCTGGAGCAGCGTCCTTCAAGAACTTCCAAGATAGCAAGCATTCCATGCGAAGAGACCAATTGGCCTTGCATTTCTGGTGCCTCTATGATGATCTTCAGCTGCGAATAGTCAAATCGTTAGCTTGGAAATACTAGGGTATCAGTCAACCGCACCAGTTGGTCACAAGCATCTCGCAATTGGAAGTCGGGAGCAGAGGGCGTCAATTCGTCAATAAGCTGATTGACAGCGTTGCACAAGCGAGCGTGCTTGTCTCGCTGCAGGTTGGATTCAAGGTCGTCCTCGTCGAAACCTTCGTCGATCTGGAAGGCATGGTCAGAGCGTTATTCATCAGTCGGCTGGTTGGGACTTACCTCTGCGAAAGGATCCTCTTCGTCGCCATCGTCACCCAGCTAATCGATTGTCAGTCCATTATTCTTGTCGGCACCAAGATGAATGATACATACCCATGACTTGCTCGACAACCGAGTATTGAGTTGAAGAGTTTGCATAGACATGCCGGTGGCTACTAGAGTATCAGTATCGAGCATCACCCGACAGGTTAACCATCCACTCACTGTTACTGTTTGGCTTCCCGAAGACATCGTCATAATCATCATCATCGTCATCCTCCGTGTACTTTCCGAATTCCGCTTGATTCTGCAGTCGACGAGCTTCAGAGCGGCCAAAAGAGCCCGACCCTGGGTTAGACATGGAGGAGGATCGTCCATGGGTCCCCAAAGAAGGTTGGTTGGATCCACTGGCGGTCGAGGGTAAACCCATAGGGGTGAGCATAGGTCGCGACGGCTTCCGTGTAAGCATAGTTGGAGGAGCTGATAATGGTGCGGGATCGTTCGTGACGAGGCCCACAGTCTTTATATCATCGGGATGGAAGAGGCCCCGACGGGGCTGATTTTTCATCTAGTAATATCGTTGTTTTATAGTTCCTTCCAGAGATGGACTGGAACTAACCTTGAAATCAGCCACCTTTTCCTCTAACCACCCTTCATCTTCGTCAAGGGCTAGGTCAGAATAGTCTTCCACAATAGGAGCAATGCTTGCAGCCGGAGGCTGAGCTAATGGAACAGTCTTCGCTCCTGGACTCTTTGTAGGACGGATAGTCTGCGCATTATCCTCATTTGGTTCGGACTTGTCCTCTTCATGGGTAGATTTCTCCAGCGCTAACATGTAGCATGAGCACCGAGACATTATCCTGTGTAGGGAAAATAGTTACCTTGTAGTTTGGTGAATGAGATCCCTCCCTCGAAATCATCGTCCCAATTGTCCGTCTGTTCCTCGGGTGGTTGCAAGACGAAAGCATGGGGCTGAATCTTCTCAACCAACGTGCCAAGTTTCGGGTTGCCCGACATTCCACCTTTCCAACCGAGAGCTCCAGGGGTGTGTGAGCTTAAAGAGGTCGAAGAAGACGATGAATGAAGCTCTGAATGACGTTGCAAAGGCGAGTGAGGTCGAGTGTATCGAGACGGTTGCTTCGATGGGCGGGTTGGGGCTGATGGAAGGGAAGTCGTTAATCCCATCGGTCCCGGAAGCCATGATCAATGATCTTACATTTGAGTGCTTCGTTCCATTCCTGCACCTTGAGAACAGCTTCGTCGTAGTTATAGTTGGATAGGGGCCTTCTCGTTCCTTGGGAGCCAGACGCGTTGTCTCCGGCCTGTTCACCAGATTGAGCTTTGCCAGCGTTCATCTGTTTCCGGGTCGCCACCATCCACGGATGCTTCAACAGTTTCTTCGCGGATATTCGTAAGTTGCAGTCCTTCTGGAAGCAATGGTAGAGGAAGTCCTTGACGATGGCAGATGCTCCCTCGGGGATTGGGGGACAGTCGTCTTGTACGATACGAAAGAGCGCCGGCATGGGGTCCAGATTGTGGTAGGGAGGGCGACCTTCAAGCAGCTCGATGACGACACAGCCTACGCTCCTGAGTTTGCCCGTCAGATAGGAAGACGGGGTGGGGATGAGGGAATTAATCTGACCAGATGTCTGACGCAGTCGTTGCTCCAGATTGCTCGATGACTTCAGGTGCCACTATTTCCTAGACGTTAGGCAGATAGCACGCAGGGCCTGTGGGTGAAGGACTTACTCCAATAAGGACTACCAACGACCGCACCATCCACTACACCTCCTGTTCTCGCCGCAACTCCAAAGTCAGCCAGCTTAACCGTTCCATCCTTGTTGGTCAAGATATTGGCACCCTTGATATCCCGATGAATCACACCCTGATCATGCAAATACACTAGACCTTCGAGAACTTGTGAGATGTAGACAGCCACGAGGTTTTCCGGGAACTTTCCAAATTTCTTGATGATATTGTGTAGGGACCCATTCTCACAGAACCTGTATGGGGCGTGTCAAGAAGGCCGCATCCTAGCTGGAAGGAAACCACACCGACTCCAGGATGATGTAGAGAAATTCACGCGTCTTGACGAAACCTTTATACTTGACAATGTTCTCGTGCTATCCAGGTTGCATATTAGATGGGCGGGAATTGAAATAACGCGAAGAGTCAGACTGACATTGAGGTTCTTCAACAGATCAATCTCTGACTGAAATCCAAGGTTAAGTTGCGCATCGACACAGGCAAGATCGCGATGCCACACACCATAATCTCAGGAAGCTCGCCTTTGGGAATATTGCTCAGCTGGATCTCCTTCACAGCGACCGTTTCGCCCGTCTCCCAGTTCAGGGCACCTGCAGAACACTTTTGCATCACGACGCCGTCCCCACGTCCTAGAATAAGTGCGTTGTCGACGTACGGTAGACCTGACCAAACGCGCCCTTCCCAAGAGAGTCACCGAGTTGCTATATGGCGCACTTTAAGCAACGAAATGCATTGATTCGAACTTGGAAACACGAACATATCCACTGAGTGATTTAGACCCTCCCGGTTTGGCTGCAGGCATCGACGAAGGCCTTGACGGGGTCGACATGGTCGGTACTAGGCTCCCAGCTCAAGCTGCTGGGGGGACTTTTTGTAAAGTTCTAGTTTGCCAGGAAGATGGTGGTGAAGAGTCAAAACGAGAATCGTCCCTCGTTCGCTGCAGTCGCGTCCCGCGCTGACCTCGAGTTGTTGGGAAGAAGTCCGAAACCTTGCCGCAACTTGGCCGCAACAGGCTAATTGATGCCGACTCTGCCAAACTTGCCACAATAGGCTTGCTTGCTTTCGGAATCGGATTCTCTTGCCACAAGAACGGTCTTTACTTATAAATAGTTCTCTATTGTGGTGCAGAGCTTCTGCGGTGCACAGAATATGAATCGGCACGGATTGGGTCTAGGCAACGTCGTACAAGCTGTCAACTCTCTTACCCGGAGAAACCATTTGATTCCGGCGAAACTGCCTCAAGACACGAGAGAAATGGAACCACGTCCTGTCGACATTCCTCAGACCCGTAGGACTACAGAACCGTCTATTCTCCTCTTCAAAGGCACTTCAGAGGAGCGCAAAGACAATAAACCTTGAATGCACCGGATTCTTGACAATCTGCGGGAAGCCCAACACCGATGATGACGAACAGCTCAAAGTCAACGACGTCACTGGGGTAGACTCTGCGCACGCTTCGACTGGCAGAGGCAGAAGGTCTAATCTAGCTTTATATCGCCTCTTGCGCGTTCTAGCTAATTTTTCCCGGTAAGAAATGGGCCAAGGGCTGGGGAGGTCACCACTGCTCCACTTCGTAGGCAGTGTGCTTCAACGTGAACTCTTTAACTCGAACAATACAGAGTAAGTTAGGGTTTCGGGACTTGCGGTGGATCGACTACTGAGCATAAGCACTATTAACTGCGCTCATGAAAAATGAACAGGATCAGTCAGCGCGGTCAATGACCCGCGGTGTTGGAGACGGATGACTGGGTCGTTGTGGATCTCCCTGTAGCGCGGATGTGCTACTTGAGCTAGTTGACCTCTGATAAAATCTCCTCCGGCGGTGTGCAGAAAAGCTACTACAAGACTCGGCTAGGTCGCTTGAGCCAAATGCCCTTAACCATCCGCGTCCTTGATGATCTGAACAGACTATATCGATGAATCTCATGAATCTCCCAAGCTTCGGCTGTTTCAATGGATTTAAAAAGGTTGACCCCGCCAAAGCCGTATCTTCCAGGCCTCCTAAGCAGGATCAGTAGGATGCAGAGTCAGTACCCACCTCTCCACTGGAGTAACTTGAAAGACGAGGACCGCTGCGTAGAACAGTCCAGCTGAGGGTGGCTGTCAGTGAATTCATTCGACTGCCAGGTTGCAACACTGGCAGCTGCAGCGGAACATCCATCCACATGGAACTCAGTCCAGTCGCTAAGTTATAGCCATAGATCGTGGGTCATTTAAAGCGTGCGATGCTTAAGCTTAGACAGTGACGGCCCATGCATTCCGAGTCCTCCAATTTGGGAGATGCTCTTTCCTCATCGAGGTAATCGATCGACAGAATACTTCCGAAGAGCGCGGGGACCCTTTGGAGCCTACCCAGGCCCTCCTCGAAGAAAGACAGTCACGTTCAACTCACATAGGACGAGATAATATCGGAACCCTTGTTATTCCCAAGTCACCGTATTAGAATCTAACAGTCCTGATTCGAGGTGGAGAACAGGGTCGAACGCTATGAACAACGGTCATGCCACTGTACACCCCAGATAACCCCCTGCTCGATACTACCCAGAGACGAGAACAACCCTGGAGTGAGGTCTTCAAACAAAGCCCAATTGATCAGCAAGACTCTCAAAGGTCTCCGAAATGTCCAAAGAACCTTACCCAGATCATTCGTCCCACACCGATGACAAGTATCCATAACCCTCGCACATGCTCTCTTTCCATTCGCCGGGTTGGTAATTCCAATCCACTATGGACAGTGCTCAGCAATAATATCCAGAACCTAGAGACTTAGGATTGAGCTGCTCACCTGGTAACAGCCCACACCTCCAGGTTTGTTCATAACCCCAGGGCTGACAGCAACGGCAAATTCGTGGTTATGGACGTACCGCCCACAGAACGTAGGACGGCCACTTCCTTGAATATCGTAGTACGTAGCCTAGTTATCACGATTACAATCCAGCCATTCTCTCATCAAAGCTGATGGTGCTGACCTTTCCTACCCTCGTGGCGACAACAGACCCTGCGGTAGCGAACAACGGGACGAACGAGAGCAAATTCATAAGGTGCGCAACTTACATATCAGACCCTGCGTTACCGTAACCTTCCGCATCTTACGATCCTTGTGTAATCCTGGCCTCATTGCGAAGGAGCCTTGGTGGCTTGCCTCGTTGACTTCGTACTTGCAGCCATAAGCGCAACTCAGGGTACACGAACTGATCTCACTACCACTACGAATGCACGACGGGGCCCTCAATTCATTAGCCACGATCCATGTTCGTGTTCGCCTCGACGGAACTTGGCGGACGACCCATCTCAGGGCGCAACAGACGCGGAAAAACCTGAATTAAGGGATCGATGATTTTAGGTGTATCTAATACGTCAAAGGGTAGTATAAGAGCTATAGTAAATCCATTAACCCGTATTCCAGAAACGCCGATAGATGTTGAACGCATACCTATCCGTCTAGTAAAGCATGGAGGACAGGTCTGCACGAATTCTGTTGTAGTCCAAGAGACCTTCGATGCTTCCCGTTGCGGCGAGAGCGAACTAAAGGAGCAAAAATTAGTAAATAAGGAAAATGAAGAGAAGCAAATGGTACACACGTCCTTGTCCCAGAGGTATTTCTGGGCAACACGCTTGATCTCGTCGACAGTGACGGCGTCGATGGCAGCCTCAGTCTCCTGAGGAGTCAAGCGACGGCCAGTGGTAACGAGCTGTCGGCCAATGTCCTCAGCGACAGCGGTGGTACCGTCAAGGCTGAGGAGAAGGGCAGCCTTGAGCTGGCTCTTGGCACGCTCAACCTCGGTGGGGGTGGGGGCGATGCTCATCCGTGTCCACTCCTTGAGGGTGAAGTGAACGAGGTCGTCGATGTTCATCAAGTTCTCAGTGACGAGGTAGATACCCCAGAGACCGGTGTCGGAGTAGGAGGTGGAGAAGGACATGAAGGAGTTGGCGAGGTTGTTGGAGGAGACGATGTGGGAGAGGCGGGAGGAGGTGAGGGGGGAAGCACCGAGGCCTCGGTCCCAGCTACCGAAGATGCTCTGCATGACCATCATGGGGAAGTAGTCGGGGGAGCTCCAGCTAACACCCTCAACGGCGATGGCAATGTTGGCGGTGTGGGACTCGTCGTCACGGATGCGGACCTCCGAGCCAACGAAGGCAGTCTTGGGGTGCGAGAGACGGCCGAGGGGGGTGGGGTTGGCAGAGGCTGGGAGGGAAGAGAAGTGCTTCTCGGCGAGCTTGACGAGTTCACCATGGTCAACGCCACCAGTTCCAACGAGGACCATGCGGTCAGGGGTGTAGTTGGTCTTGATGTAGTTGGACAAGTCCTCTCGCTGTATTGAGAGAATGTTCTTCTTGGGTCCGAGGATGGTGCGACCGAGGGGTTGGCCTAAATGGAGAAAACGGTGAGGATGACGAGCAGGCAAAAACAAGGTTGCCACGTACCCTGGAAGGCAACAGCGTGTAGGTGGTCGAAGACAACCTCCTCCTGTTGCTTGTCGACTTCCTGCTGCTCCCGGAGGATCACATCCCGCTCCCGTTCAATGGCACCGCTCTCCAACTTTGAGTTTTGGAGAATGTCGGAAATGATGTCGACGGCCTGGGGAACGTCCTTGCGGAAGGCCTTGGCGTAGTAGACGGTCTGCTCGCGGGAAGTGTACGCGTTGAGGTGGGCACCGAGGTTCTCGACTTCCAACTCGAGGGCATGTTGCGTGCGCTTGTTGGTACCCTTGAAGGCCATGTGTTCCAGGAAGTGGGCGGTTCCGTTGGTCTTGTCGGTCTCTGCACGAGAGCCAGCGTCGATCCAGACACCAACGGTGGCGGTTTGGGACTGGGATTGGGCTTCGGTGGCGACAGTCAAGCCATTCGAGAGGGTTGTGATTTCAGTGAATGGGCCAGCATTGTGAGCTGTCGCGAATGAGCGCACAACACGCTAAATTTCCTGTAATTTAGCCCGGAAACATAGTGAGGAGAGTGGGTAGAAAATACGAACCTGTTGGCGCGCAGCACTGCGAACGACACGACTGAGCAACCTTCGAGAATACATCGAATCCCCGTTACAAGTTTTTTGGAGAGAGTTTGTAGTCGGGAATTCACGGTCCAGTGACAAAACGGCAGCTGCCGGATTGGAACTCTCACGCCTCGGCTTCCAGCCAATCAGCCGTCTTCGCTTATTCAGTTCTGGGCCCCCGTTGTCGGCCTTATCCATTCATACACTTTCTACTACACTCTATAAACCTGCTACTTGTTCCTCGAGCCATTCCCAGAGATCTCCAGCAACCTTCTCATCGAGTGCTTGGGGCGTAGCCTGGCCGATCCGAGCCCAGGGCTTGAGGTACTGGAGAAATTGTCAATCTTTGTCCACAACGCCGATAACGAAAATCATACCTTGCCGTTGAAATCCAAGCCTTCTTTCGATGTTGCTGCCCACAACTGTGTCAAGGCGCCAAGTCCGACGGGGTGCATTTTTATGAAGAAATGCTATCAATACAGTTTAGCTCAAGGCTTGCAGGTGGAGAGAAGGCGGACGTACGAGGAGGAGCCACTCCAGCCAACTGGTATGTCGCAGCAACTCAGACTGAATGTTGCCAGGATTTAGGGAACACGAAACGAGCCCTTCGGATCCATAACGCCTCGCAAATTCGTTGGACATCATCACATTCCCCTGTTGATTCCGGTCAACGAAAACACCCCGTCTCTTCTCTTCACCCCGCTCACCAATTTACTCATGTAATACATGTCCCAAGGCGTCTTGTTCCGCCTCGCAGGTCCGTCCTTGAACGCATTGAAATCCAGCTTCCCTCCTACCGAAGCTTGCGACGAGACGTGGACAACACGGGCCTTCCCCTCTGGCGAGGCTTTGGCGGTAGAAAGCAGAAGAGGGAGGAGGAGTTTGGTGAGGTAGAAGTGGCCGAGGACGTTCGTCCCCCATTGGCAGTCGTAGCCTTGAGCTGTAACGTGCTCTATGGGAGGGATCATGACGCCGGCGTTGTTGATGAGGACATGGAGTTGCTTCTCTTTGCTGTGGTTGGTTCGGTCAGTGGCCGCGCGATGTCGAATGGTCCCGCAGTACCTTGTGAAGTCCTCAGCAGCAGCCTTGATTGTCGGAAGGTCTGCAAGATCGACTTTGAACGGTATCCCCTCCTTCCCAGTTAAGTCTTTCAGCTCCGCAATGGCTTTGGCAATCTTCTCTTCACTTCGACCGCCGATATACACCTTGGCGTTGTTCAGTAGTAGGACCTTTGCAATTGCGTTAGCCGCTTCGACTTCGTCAACGGGGATATCGGGAGACATACCCTTGCTGTTTCCTTTCCAATTCCTAGAGGTCGTCGTCAGACTTGCCACCCCGACAGGGAATGACCACTCACCAGCGGTCGCTCCAGTCACAATATAGACCTTCCCCGTGAGATCGGGAACATCCTTCTCTGTCCACTCAGGCGCAGGTGGCCACCCTTCATCGAAGAACTGTTTAAGACTCATGTTTCTTTTGAACCAAGGTCACCGCGTTGAGGGAGGTTGGGGTATGAGACACACGGGTGGGCGCTGTAACCCGGAGAATCAAATAGTCATTCGAGCTTCACACTGTTTGTACATATCAACTATCAGAAGCCCTCGAACCTTATATACTTACATCAAACAGCGCTCATATCGAAGTCGATGGGATGGCGTACACGGAGTTGGGGAATGATCAAATGGTCCACGTTGTACCCATACCTTGGGAATTAATTCGGAGGACGAAAGCTGGGCTTCTTGTGCGTGGCCGCTCGAGCAAGGTCTTCCCTTGATGGCGCCCAAGGGCGGGCAGCTGCATGAGGGGATGCCGACGAACTTACCAAATGGAGAAGTAGTACCGACGCAAGGAGACGAACTTTGTGACCAATATCGAGATTCGACGCAACACGACTGGGCCCATTTACCAAGACACTTCCGGTACACTGATCACCCCGGGATAGCTCACTCGAGCTTACACTTATCACTTTGAAGGCTAGCACCCTGGTGCACGGATACCTCGGTAACAGGCTACTTCGATCGGGCGCCAATTCGTAGGATGAAAGACCCCCTCCATCGTATACTAAATGAATGAGCGAGTGTTGGTAGAAACGTATATGTAACCTTAACTCTTAGAAAGATAGTGAGCTGCCCTCCCGCTCGGTAGAGCGAGCGCATCTCACCATTCCTAAACAAGCGGGGGAAACCTCTGGGCGCTTAATTGGCGACGAGGGACCATGGGTTCACCGGGGCTGTCTGAGTGCTGTGTTGGCTACAAGGTGGGTCCTAGCAAATAGTTCATCCCGAAGTTAGTCTTAAATGCATATGTTCCCCTACATAGGAAGGTCTGAGATTTGTTTTCTTTCGAAATGCATGCCAGGGTGCTTCACCGGGCGCTAGTGAGATGTTCGATCTCCAATATATTCCAGATTGCTCATATCCAATATTTCGAGTACGATAAATACACGTAGCGTATATTAGCATGCATTAGACCCAAATAACACCCATCATGCTCTATTCACTTTGATTGCCTTCTGCCCGATACATCCTCTCCGCTTCCTTTCCTGGCAGGATACGGATCCTCCTTGAACGACTCGTACGTCTGAATTTCCACAACTCCTCCAACGCTACTATCCAGTCTCCCCTTCCTGTAATACGCCGAGGTGCTCCTCAACGACTCATCAATCGTACTCAACCTCGAATTCGGATTCTGAATTCTAATCATCGGAAAACTCCCCGTATGCCCTTCCTCATCTTCGACGTCGCCCTCCCATGAGCTCTGTATCGTATCGGTATGACAGTGGGGCTTTGATCGAGATCGACCTGGTTGGTTGAATCCTGGAGCGACGATATGGACGTCCCCGCTGACTTCGAGCCGCGTCTTTTGTGTGAACATGCTCGGCATCTCGGGTCGGACTTCTGTGTCGTTTACTTTGTGGACAGATTTCTTGAGGTTGATTGTTATACGCGACATCATTGCTACCTGTTCCCAGTGTTCAAGACAAGCAATTAGGGATGGGAGATGGTAGTAATGAGAGCGCTAAGGACTTACCGTTAAACTGAAGAACAAGAAGTCGAAATCAAGTTTGCATCAGTCACCCGAAGAACTCGATTCAAGAAGTCAACCTACAGCAACTCCAACCTACGTCAAGCAAATGAAACAGCAGAGTCAAACATAGGTCAGTAACGACTACCCTGCAAGATATAAAAATAGACCACATACTGGGCGGTGATGTTCTGTAACCCAGGTGGAGCAAAGATGATCATCAATGTCAAAACGAGGGTCACTGCAAAAATAGCGCTATACTCGTGGGCACCAAAAGTGATGGCACTCTCACGATTTCTCTGCCAAAATCGCAACATTGTAGCCTCGATAAGCCAGTACCTACTGCACGTATTCCTTGCAAACTTTGCATAAAGAGTGTGTTCTCAGCCTTGTATAATCTACCCAAAGATGAACCTAATAGAGACAATGCTCGCCGAGATCCACATTGGCCTCAAATGTATATTTTCGATATAATTTTCCTCTTGCACTTTCAGTTCGGAGTCATTCCAGCTCAAACTCCTTAATATGATAGGTACATACAGCCTAAATTTATACCTCAAGCGATTTGGTGAAATCTTTCTGCATTGCTGAGAAAGGTCTTTAACGAGTTGTCAGTGACAGGGTGCCATCACTTTTGGTGCCCACGAGTACACGGGGTACATGACGGAATTCATTAGCATCGCGTCGCGCAGTTGATATGTAGACTCTCAATAAACCAAACTGGTCGAATACAGGTAAAAGGGATGACAAGTACTCACGTATAGTAGACGAGACCGTCTTGGAACAACCGCTTCATGATGTATGACGTTCTGCGATTCTTGAGAGAAGGTAGGGTACGGAAGAGGGTCAGACCCAGGACGATCGTGTCGTATAGAAGGGGAAGCCAAGCAGAGGCAGCAGCTAACCATCCCGGACTGATCATCCCGGTCAGAATATTGGAAGCGAGTGGGTTGGGAACTGACTCGACTCACACTGTCGGCGAGAAAATCATGGTGCATGCTAGTCATGGAGGAGTCAGCTCTCCGGCAAACTATGATGTATGTAGAAACCACATACCGACTACACCAGAGGCCGGATTGTGATGTACCCCTGACGAGCGTGAATGTCAGAATACATTACTGGAAACGGAGCAAAGGGAAATCCATACGTTGACCATGGGTGAGCAACCACGCATTCACGCCGAATTCCACGCACAATACCACAAATACACTGACCAATACTGGTATATTCCGATGATACAGGGCATGGATGCGAATGAACATCATTATCGCTATAGCGTCAAACGCGTCGCTTTGAATCAGTAACCGAAAAATCGCCATCCCGAGCGAGCGTCGGGGGCCCTTGGACTCACCGACGACGTTAATCCCAATGACGGTCATCGCACCCTCAAAACGAATGAACCGATCGCAGCTGGGATAGTTTTGGTGAAATTGAATAGAGTGGTTCGCAGTCCCGAGGACTTACACCTACAAAATCGTAAACATATGGTCAGGGGAGCCGACAAATGACTCGACTCACTTCGGGTGTCCATACGGGAGAGAGATAGGCTGCAAAGCATCATTGCTTTAGACCGTGGAGCCTGTGATACATACGATTCACCGTACCGTATAGGTTAACCATGAAGCCTAACGGCGTCAAATAACGATTCTTTGATGCGATGTATCAGCGCGATGTTAGGTTTCCGAGCCGAGCGAAATTAACATACCAGGAGGAAGAGCCAGACAACTGGCCAGTGCAATGAACAGATCCCCGAGGTCAGTCCCTATTCCGGCGGAAAAGACGATTGACCCGTACTTGCTCCTTTCTTTCCTTTCCAAATGAACTCGACCTAGGTTTTTTTTTCAAAACCAAAGCAAAGGAAATTGAAATTTGTAGACGACATCTGGTTTAAGCGATGTCACTCACTTCATCGGCGAATGTGTCAATGTGGTCCCAAACTAACATGGTGAAGCTCGCGAACCCCATGTACTACATTGCGTTGAGAACGAGCCCGATTAGCATTCCGGTTCGAGGTCGCATGACTGCGACTGCCAAAAGAGGGCAAAGAGACTGACGTTGGTCCGAAACCTGGCACATATCAGTGAGCTCTGTGTTTTAAGATTTACTTCTTATGAAGCGACAGATGGAAGCAGTCATACTGTTGAGAGATGTCTTCTATGACGGTGGGTATCTCCTGCGCCATCTTGAGCTGTAACAGGGTAGTTTCTTCCGAAGCCTAGGGTCGTTCGACGGGTATCGTGCTGAGAAACAGCGCAGGACTCCGACAATTGACTCTAGAAGATTCCCGCCATTGATTCGCGGCTGGGTGGAGACAAGAGGAAACTGGACGGGCAGTAGATCAGGGGGACGACTTGGGCAGTTCCGAGGCAGGTCTTATATGCAGCGAACGATGGTTATATTAAGACTTCCAAGGCAATACGAGTGGGCGTCTGCTGTACGTTGCTCGGAAGAGACTAGAATGTGACGAGAAGCAAACGTGCCAGCTTAACACATCAACCGAAGCCACTGGGAAACAACAAACTCACGATCGTTGGTTCATCAAGTCTGGGTCTCCATTTGATGATGTCGCTAAGAGGGCCACGGTCTGTTGCGGTTACAGCACCACAAGGGAAGTACAGCCTATGTTGCGCCACGCGCTCAAGGTTAAATACAGCTGCGCGACATGCACTGATCGGAAGGGCTAAGTCGGTTGTGAATGTCCGATGTTCGTGTTCTGAAGGAAGGTGATAGCTCACCATGCCCCTGCAATGCCCATGTCCTTCTCATTGCATGGATACACATCCCCACAACAGTGCAAGGTCCAGAGATCGTAGCTCATGCAGAATGCTTTGCTTCGCGAGGCTATCCCTGCGAACGCCGGTCAATCGTTATACATAGCTGACACCCCTGGCGGAGGATCCAGTGTCGTCATTGATATAAACTTCTGTACGCGCCAGAGGTCCGCTAACCTGAAAGTCGAATCGAAACCTGCCCTTGTACGATAACTATGGCTCATGGTACGCGGGCGCTACGTCACCTCCCAGAAACGAATGACGGTGGTCGAACACAGAGCGGCCACATTGGCAGAGCGGTTTTCCTCGTAACCCTTGCAGGAGGAACCGAGGAGGTCGAGACGTGCGTCCAACAAACGAAACTTGAAGACCGTCAGGTCCTGAGGCCTGATAATCAAAGAAAACGCCCACCAAACAGCTAGTGGATCATAGAAGACGTAGCGAACAAAGAGATGGACGACGATAAATCCTCGTGCTGATTTGGTTTTCAGGTCCAACAGAGCCTGGCTGTGGATATTCAGTGTTCACGATGAGAACGAGACGGCCTCAGACGGCACTAATATGAGTGTTTGGTCGAATCCCTCAAACCAAACAGATGGGCGCGGTGGATTGTGTCCGTGGATCGGCCGCTCGACAATTGTGTCGACGAACCTCGACGACCTCTCCAAACCGTGAAAGTCAAAAGCGACAATTCGCAAGGTCCAGGAAGGATCGAGTTCTGCTCGCAAAACCCGGGACAGCAATCTTTCCCCAACCACACAGCGCAGCTCTCCGTGATGCCCCTCAGCCTTCAGGTCTCATTTCATGCGGCCGCCGTCGGACACAATGAGGATAGGACCTGAGTCCACACAGGACATTGACCACTTCAATTCGATCCAAAACCCTGTCATCGTATTATACGAGATACCAAAATTTAAAAACGTATGGGTATCGTACGTGTAAAGTAGTCGAGAAACCGCCGGTTGCACATTACTAACCAGTTCAATCCCTTCCGTCTCCTTTCACAACAGGATACGGATCCTCAAGCGACTCGTACGTCTGTATCTCCACAGCCCCAGTATTCAGATTTGACTTCGGAGTGGGATTCTGCAGCCTGATCATCGGAAAACTTCCTGGTTGCCCCTCCGTTTCGTCGATCTCCCATGCACTGTCGGTATGAGATTTCAAGTTGAATCGAGCTGGCCGGCTGAACCTGGGAGCCACGACGTGAATGCCGCTGTTGGTCTCGCTTCGCGATTTCTGTCCGAACATTGTGGGCATCTCGGGTCGAACGGACGAGTCGTGAACTTTATGAGCCGATTTCTTGAGGTTGATGGTTATACGGGACATCATTGCTACCTATTTTTTGTTAGACACGTCTATCAGAAGGCTGGAAATAATAATAACGAGGGCGTTGAGCACTTACAGTCAATCTAAAGAGCAAGAAAGAGACCGAAGTCGAGTTTCTATCAGCCATGCAAGAGAACCTGAATCAAGAAATGGGCTTACAGCAACTCCAGTCTATGTTAAACGAATATTCAGTACGGATACTCAATAAGGAGTCACAGAGACTACGTACTGAGCGGTGATATTCTGCAATCCAGGAGGAGCGAATATGATCATTAATGTCAAAACGAGTGTGACCGCGAAGATTGCGCTATATCCACGGGTAGCAACATGTTATCAGCCTGAACTTGCAGAGACAAAAGACGAATGTAGAGGCAACTAGAAGGCTAGCACTCACGTATAGTATATAAGACCGTCCTGGAACAATCGCTTCATAACGAAGGATGCACCTCGGTCCTTGAGGGATGGCAAGGTCCGGTAGAGGGTCAAGACCAGGACCATCGTGTCGTACAGGAGAGGGAGCCACGCCGATGATGCAGCTAGCCATCCGGGTCTAATAATACAGTCAGTCTCTCGTCGTAGCCAATGGTGAAGGGCGCCTTACACCGATGGCGAGAAGATCATAGTACACGCTGTCCATGGCATTGTCAGCTTCGGCCTGACTTACTTCAGGAGAGTCACGACGTACCCACTATCCCAGAAGCCGGATTATGATGCACGCCTACACGGCACCCAGAAGCGTCAGAAGCCATCGTCGAAAGGGGTGCAAAGGGAAAGACATACGTTGACCATGGGTAAGGAGCCAAGCATTCACGCCGAATTCTACGCACAGAACGACGAACACTGTGATAAGCACAGGTCGATTACCGTGATATAGGGCATTGATGCGGATGAACATCATTATGGCTATATCGCCGAACAAGACACGCGTATCAGCTATGTGTACTGAAGGGAATATCCCTCCGACTGGGTCCTCGGACTCACCGACTATGTTTATTCCAATGACAGTCATCGCGCCCTCGAAGCGGATGAAGCGATCACAACTACAAGTCGATTAACTCAGATGAGGGGAGGTGCGCATCACCGAGCTGGAGAACCTACATCTAGAGTAAAAGTCAGTTGGGAGAGGCAGGGGAGTTACACGCTGAACTCACTTCGGGCGTCCATACAGGAGAGAGATAGGCTGTAAAGGACCAAACCTTCAGAGTTGAACGTGTAGGTTTTAGGCTGTCCAGGATGCCATACCATATAGGTTAACAATGAAGCCTAATGGGGTCAAATAACGATTCTTTGATGCGACTCGTTAGCGTGACAATAGGGTTCCGACGCGAGCGAGATCCACATACCACGAGAAAGAGGTAGACAACTACAACGGAAAAAGCATTCGTCATGGTCAGTCGCTGCTTGGGAACAGTATGGCAAGACCCGTACTTGGTCCTTTGGTTCCTTTCCAGACGTACTCGACCTAGAAGACCCGAGACAAAGAATGAGAACTGCGCAAGATATTAGACCAAGGAAGTATCACCCACCTCGTCGGCGAAAGTGTCGATGTGGTCCCAGACGAGAAGGGTGAAGCTCGCAAAGCCCATGTACTGCGCCACGGTCAAATTGCGGGGGTTAGGACTTCGACTATAGAGCGTATGCTTCACGCTCAAGGGAATAGTGGACTGACGTTGGTACGAAGCCTGAGTATACGTCAGTAAGCACCCTACTATAAGAGATGCTTCGCACGAAGCGTCAGGTAGAACCAGACTCACTGCTGAGCGACATCCTCGATGATAGAGGGTATATTCTGAGACATGCTGTTAATCAGGCAGGCCTCTTCTGGGCGTTTGATATGAGATGAACTTGGCCGTTCAAGGGTATCTGTGCACTGGTGTCCTTCGAGAGAAGTTTGTTGTCCTTCAACAACCGACTCTAAAGGCCGAACACCATCACCTCGCGACTGGGAGAAGTCGGAGAGAGCGGGGGGAGGGGAACGGAATTGACGATCCAGACTGTCGAGGAAAGCCTTATATGCAGCCGGTGGTGGGGTTAAATCAAGACTTAACAGGAAAGCCATAGAATTGGACGGGTGAACAATGATCGGAAGGCAAGGACGGAATGAGAAGTCAAAGTGCCGTTGCAAAATCGAGGATTGAATGCGCGCCATGTTGTCCACTTTGCCACAGGAGTCAGGGACAGTTTATGCACCACCCCGCGTGGGGAGCGCCCTCTGTTCACCGCCCTTCAGCTCCACAGCCGGGCGACAGACACGGATCGAAGGTGCACCAACTGGTCCTGCTCAGTCGGTTGTGGTTGCGCAATGTTTGTTCTATGAAGGAAGACGATGGCTCGCCACCTGCCCGCATCGTCCTCCTATTCCTTGAAGTCGTCTCCCAGCGGCAGCCCACGGCAGCTCACGGCCCAGAGTTGACTCGGAGACGAAAGTCCCCCCACGCAGAGTCTGGTTCCAGTTGCCACTTTTTCTCTGTGTATGCCGGTCAACACGGATGCTATACCGACCTCGGCGAGGATCTTAACTGATGTCGTCATTTTCTTTTCTTTGGACAGTCTCTGTTTCTTCATTCCCAACGGGCTCCTGAGAAACGATACAAGGCCAAGCAGACAGCAGTCAAATAGGAAGAGAGATGTCGAGGTATCATCTCACCTGTGGCCTGAGGATGTGTTGCAGATGGCTAGTCTTACAAATGCAAGGGAAGAGCTTGCGACAGCAGGGTTGCAGCGGGGTCGAAAAACCATAGAGGAACTCCAGGTAGATACAATAAAATAGAAATACATATGCCATGAATGTCGTGTCGAAATGAGTGTCCTGTACTCTGAAGGTCAGTCAGGCGCCAGGGAAAAGGTGAAGGGTGGGCCCACCAAGAATACATTCCTCCGAAGACAGCGGAGAGAAAGTAAGGAAATAAGAGTTCTACTAATGGCTATCGGCGTGCCGAACTGTAATGACAGGGAGGGGGCGACGGCAAAGTCATGGGGCATAAAGGTCAAGGAACGCAAGGGGTATCCCGGTATCCAATATATCGCCGCGATGATCATGATAAGATCTAGAGAATGATCACCTTAGTTGAAACCTCAAAAATGCAAATTGGTGGACGTACCGCAAGCAATACAACTGCAACCACTACCGAAAGAATTAGCAACAAGCATGCAGCACGCCGCCCTGCCCTTCTTTGATATTCATGTGCCGTCCTCAATTCTTCAGAAGCTGCCCCCGTGTCAGCAGCGACTGACGAAATGTTCATCTCAATGTTGTCTAAAGCACAGGATGAGCCCCCAATCGTCTTTTTGCCATCTGAAATCTACTCACCAAGCATTCCACCCTGCTGGTTGACAAGCGTGCCCAAGTCGTGGAAAATCTCCGCCAGTTCGTGAATACCAGTTTCTATTTCTCGGATTTCCTCTTCGCGTTCCTGAATGAGAGATTCCTGGTAGGCGAGTTCATGGGGCGACAATTGGGCTTGTAGTATCTGTGCCTGCCGCTGAGTTTGAGAAGAGGGTTCGGGTTCATCTCGCCTGTTATAACAAAGTTAATAATGGCGCTCAACAGGGACCTGTTTCATTTGTCGCAAGCGCTTGGAGAAGTTCCGGCGCTCCGCCCAGCAGCCTGCACCAGGCCGAGGCGAATAGACCGGCCGAGAACCGGGTTTCCCCATAGCGATCTCGAAACGACGAAATACGGAACTCACGTCGACGAATCGTCCTCCACTGCCAGTCTCACTCCCTGTACAACAGTCCTCTGCCGTTCTGCACTGACTTGCTGTGCCCGCTGGAACGCGACTAAAGACATTTGGAGGTCATGGGAGGTCTTTTGGAGCGCAGTCTTCTGGTGAGGCTATATATGCAGTGCCGGATTGAGCCTTAGCGGGTACACGTCGTAGAGCGCATTGAGCATACCAGCCCCGATTGTAGTGCTGAAAGGCGTTTCAGGTCTTCTGAACTCCGTTTCGCCATTGCGCGTGTCGATTCCGTGAGGTCATGTCTGGGGTAGGTCACCACCGCGGTCAGTTAGTACTAGGGTATGCTCTGGTGTAACTTACAGCGTTTTCCTGAGAGTTGCATTGTCTTTAGGAGTCCCAAGCTGGTCAACGTATTTCAGGATGCCCTGAACGTTCGCATTCATCTTGAACACCTGGAGTGACAATGACGACTGGAGTTTCTGGAATTCTGCATCTTCGCTGGATTGTGGTGCATTTCTCGCTGTTGAGCGATTGGGAAGGCCATTACCAGCCTCAATATCTTGGAAGCTCATGATGGAAGGCTGTCGAGCTCGACGGGCGTGCAGTCGTTGGTGGTTGCGGAGTGGTCGTCGTTGGACAACAAGGAAGGTGGCGCAGTCGGCATTGGCTCGGATTTAGCAATGCTTACCCACGCTTAATACTGTGGATGGACTCCCAATTAATTCGGTTCGACAATGTCCGTGTCGACGCCTGTTATCGTGGGTCAAGCGCCCTTCGCGCTGCACAGCTCAACAACGTGAATACTATCTGTGAGCAGATAAGTACAGGTGCGTACTTTCAAGCTCCTTGCCACTGACTTGGATCTGATATTCGGAACACCAGAATTCGACTTCAAAGCGTCTCCTAATCTTCAAACAGACACAATAGGTCGATGACAAGGAAGAGGGCTACGCGTCTGCTAATCGAAAGCCTTCAGACACAAGTAGTATCTACTGAGAGTTCTATGTACAAGGTTCTGTCGGCAGTTGGTCGGCAATATTACTGCGAATGATTTATTTGGTTTCAAAGGTTATACCAAACAAGGTTCACATCCCCATTGTTCTTCGTTGATCGCTTGTTTTCGCCATTTGACTGGGTCTACCGTCAATATCCCCTCAATTCTCAATGAATGTAGGACGTCTCGAAGCCCCAGAGGATACCTGTGCTCTTTGAGCCGGGAGACACGCAAGGGACCAGAGAATCGTCCGAACCGTCGCTGGCATCGATTCGACTTCCTTCCCGCGCTCGTCATCCCACCTACGAGACTGGAAACCACCCAGAGCGGGGCCTGATAATGGTGATCCAGAACCTTAACAGTCGGACGATATCCCAAGCTCGTTCCTGCTGGTTTTTAGTCGAGAATGTCCCAATAGGACTGCTTGACGTCCTTGACAACCTTGTTCTTTTGTCTTTGGACCTCGCTGCCGGTAATCGTTCTTCCTCGCCTAACAGAAACCAGGAATTCTAGGTGGCCCATCCGATGCCTACTACTGTCATTCTTTCGGAGTGGCAAATTTATGGTACGTTTCATTTTGTTCTCCGTTGCCTATTGGTGGCTGATACCGACGTATCGTCTCTGCAGAATATATGCATTAAACATGGCCCGTTTATCCTAGGTCTCGACAAATGAACGTGCATAGTTGACTCCGCCGATTGTAGCACTGCCTTCAGCGAGGTTCGTCGCCAGGGGGGTCAACATCCTCCCCCAACGAGCCTGCTTACTGGGTTTCTTTCACCGCGTCCTGAGGTGTGTTGGCACACTCCCCTTGCTGTGCCCGACGCTTATTGTCCTCGCAGAGCAGCTCTCATCTCACCCTGACGACCATGCCATAAAGGTTCTTCTCCTGTGTGCATTTTCATGGTGTCCTCGATAGCGCTCAGGGCGCCCTGGGCCGACCTCTTTACAGCTTACCTTGCCGTGGCTGTTCACACCTGTCAGAAGCCCTCCGGGACTCGGGAGAGAGTCGGTCCAATAGGCGCATGGGAAAGTCAGCCCGCCGTTTTTGATTGACCTCGTGCCTTCGATCCAACCCTCCTTCTCAGCCAACCGAACGAACTCAGAAGAGAGCCAGAACCGTTCAACAGATATTCGACAGCATGCAGAGGGTCTGGGATGCACTCGCGCAAGCTGCGCGAGAGCTGCCCTTGAACTTTGTATACGACTCCTTCTCCTCCCCTCGACAAATCAGATCGGACACCTTGTTTCGCGCTGAATTCAAAAAACACGTCGACGCAGCCCAGATTACGGATAATGCGGTTGATCTCTGGAGGACAGGCCCAGTTGAAGTGAAGCACGCCTTCACGAAATGTGCGGCTGAAATTCGAAAGAACTTCCCTGGCGAGCTTGAAGCTTCGAGCGACACAAGCCTCAACCCGGGTAAACAATCTGTGTGGAAGTTGGGGCCGCAAAGGGCTTCTCCCTCGTCTTCATCGCTGTCCTCCGGTCGTCGCCAACCTGTCCACCGCCAACCGAGTCCAGCCCCTTCGCACAACTCTGTCGAATCCATGGTCCATGTTTGGCATCGCCAAAACCCCGGAAAGTCCAGCAAGGATGGTCGTCGCGTCGTCAACCCAGCATTGCACAAGTCATCGGCTGTACTGGTTCTCAGTGGTCGACAAACCGGCCCCGTTCGAAGGGCGCGCACTTCCCGATCGATTTCTCCTCGGCTTCGATACGCGGGCGAACGTCCTCTTAGTCGCGGGAGCACGGCGAGCAGACCCAGCACGCCCACCAACGCCTCGGACCAAGGTGAGAGAGAGAGCTTTGTTGAAGGAGATGGATCAGTTAACATTCTTTCAGCTCTCGACATCACTCCTTTTATTTCACGGACAGAAACTCTTGTTCCTTGTCCTCTTTTGGACGATGCCCTTGTCCCGCAGGCTTGCTCTGTACCCACTCAAGGTCAGACTGATGGGCGTCACAGCTTCCCTTCAGCCTCGGGATCAATTCTCTGCGAACAACAAGGACATTCAGATTTGGCAACCCATCAATTTACGCCTTCCTTGGTCAATCCTCCCGGCGGTCCGTCGAAGTCCGCCGGGGTGCAAGAGACTGGACGCGGCGTTCATTTGGGGCCAGACATCACAGATCCGGAAAAGCTTGCACTCCAGGAACCCAAGCTAAGGATCGTCATTATCCCCGTGGATCCCAAACTAGGGAACCCCGGCGACAGCAATATAACATCAGGCTCCCGTCCAGGTTCGAGCATTAGCGGCAACTTGGATGCGTGTCTCGACCCAGACCCCCAAGCCGCTTGGACAGCAGCTCAAGACTTTTCGTCACACCCACTGGTATTCGCCGACACTCAACCCCCTCCGTTTGACGATGCGCCTCTGGAATCAAGTGTGCGCTCTTTGGATCAGAATATTTGGATCACATCGTACAACCCTCTGCCAGCGGGTCAGCGCCAACAATCGCAACCTCTCATGTTCGATCCCCTCCTTGGAAATCCCGCACCGTTTGGCCGCGAGTCGGCTTTCGGCAACCAACTTGGAAGTCCAGGCATGGGGGAAACACTTCAACAACCTTTCGATCCCACCTATCCTACCCAAGGAGTCACCCAATTGGGGCAAGACGGTACATTCGCTCGTCCTTCGACTTACCCACTCTGGAACCTCGCACACGCACCTGCGATGGAGGAAACTCCTGGTACCCACCAGGAGTGCCTGCCGCTCCCTGACTCGGAATGGAGCGCAGATGGAACAGATGCACGACTCATTGATCAGTTCACAATATCTCAACATGACGGTATTCAAGGCTTTGCGCATCCTGACTATGGTCCCTTCCAATCGTTTGCTGGCGCCACGATGCCACTCGAAGATGGTCAACACAATTTAATCCCTCTTTTCATTGGTTATCAACCTCCCAATTTCGGTGGACCTGTATTCGGACAGCAGAACGGTCTTCATGGACTTCATTTCCCTGGAGAACCCATTATCGAACAGAATGCTTGGGATCCGCATGTAGGACGGATCGACAGTGGCCCCTTCCTCGATTCCTCCATCTCCAACACGTTCTCCGATGATTGTACGATGCTCGATCCTGGTACCACCGGTAGTTCATCTGCATTCACGGACTACGGCGGAGAAAGTGATGCCGTAGACCTGAACCCGAGCCACAGCGCACCCTCGGCCTGGTCGGTAGATTACTATACTGCCCCGAACGAGCAAGGCCCACGTCCAGGGCAGCTTGGTTTTTTCGCCATGGATGAAGAACCCCAAGCGTTCGATACTCCTACTATTGGCTCTTCGGATTCCCTTCCGGTGTTCGAGCCCCAGTATCTGGTTTGAACGTTTGACATGGGCTTATTTATCCTTCCTTTCGTCTTCCAACGGTTCTTAGATCGAGAGTCAATACCTCGACTCAGATGATGGACATCGCTTTCGCGTTTTATTTATCAAACCCCCTGTTGTCGTGTTTTCGCTTTCTTATTTACTCGGCGCTCTACGCTGTGTTTGCTTGCTTTCGTTCGCCTCCGTTGTTCTCTTTCTACTGGAGTAAGTACTGTTCCTTGGTTTGTCGCTTTACGATACTCGTGCCTTTGTGGATTTCTCATGTAGTACTCAACATGGACGCTTAGTTGCACTTTTCCTGGGGCGCCGTCACGGTTGTTTCCGACTCGGGGCCTAGACTGACTCTCTTCGGGGCGCTTGTTAGCATCTGGTACCAGCATACCTGCTTGAAAGAACGTGTTCGCTACTCGAAGAATCTGCTCACACATTGCTAGCATACTAAGGAGCTTTGGTTAAATTGCTTGGTCAATACATCTACACTCTGTTAGGTTTCCTACATTTCCGACAGTTGGTACCGCGTATGCGTATGGTGTAAAGCTCGGTAACTAACTTGCCTAAAGCTTCGCAGTGCGTCCGTTTGGCTTCGAGCGATTAGCAGCCAGAGTCTTCGCCTGGTCTCGCAGGACTCTACGGAGCAGCTTGCCGCTGGGAGATACAGGGATTTGTGCGATGAACTCGACTCCGCCTGCGAGTCGCTTGTAGTGGACCTTCTGATCTGCTACGTGCTGATCAAAAGCGGTCAGAGCTATCCTTGACATTGGCCCATGGAACGGACTCTACCTTGGTGATAGACGCCTTGATCCTCTCCGCTTCCATGGGGTCTTTCGCCCTCGTCGCTGCGCTCGGAGACAGTGCGACAAACGCCAGAGGGACTTCTCCGCCTTTTGGAATCGAGTTAGGGTGCTTCTGCCTCTATTTAATGTTTGGTACGCACTGTAATCATCTGGAATGCCGACAACGCAGGCATTAGAGACATCTGGGTGCTCCAGCAGGCAGCCTTCGAGTTCGGCAGGAGCCACTTGGAAACCTCTGACTTTCATGATTTCCTGCAGGCAGCGTCAGTACATTATATTGCAAGCTGGGGTGTGGCAACTCGCCTTGATCCTATCCAAAACCCGAACCTCGCCTGCCTTGTCGATTACGACTTCGTCTCCTGTTCGTACCCATCTATGGGACGCTAATCAGTTATGACAAATAAGAAGGAGATAACCGTCGGACGTACCCGTCAATGAAAGTCTCCCTCGTGCTTCAAGAGGTAAAGATGGATTGATTAGTCTGTCGGAACTCTGGATAACCAGAGTCGTGACCTACGCTTCCTCATTGTTGGCGTATCCCAACGTAATCGCTGGGGTCTTGATCCAGAGCTCTCCAGGTTCGTCGTACCCGGCGAGAGTGCCATCAAATTTGACTACGCGAGCCACAGTTCCGGGAAGAAGATGCCCGCTACCTGCAAAGTCACCCGGGTCAGTATCCACGGAGAGGCGAATGAAACCCAAGAACGCACTTCCAGGTACTCCACGTTTCTGCGAGATCGGGAAGGCCATCGTCAGAGGACCGCTTTCGGTCATACCATACCCTTGGCCTATTTGGGCATTTGGGAAAAGTTCGAACATCTGAGCATTGAGCTCGTGAGTGAGGGGTGCAGCGCCGCAGAATACCAGGCGAATCTGTTTCCGAATGGGAGACTCGTTGATTCCAGGATACTAGGTTGAAAGAGGAGAGATCTTTTAGTCAAGGGGTGATTGGAAGACAGTGGACAGTATACCTTGCAAAATTGGACGACCATTGGAGGTACGAGGCTTTTCTCGAATTGTGAGACAGGAAGGCGGGAGTGACGATGACCCGACAAACTTACTATAGGTGCGTAATGCGGTACTTTGCAATGGATTTCATCATAGAGTCGATGTTGAATCTTGCCGTCACTACGACAGACATCTGAGAGAGACCTATGTTTGAGAAGGACTGAGAAGGACGCTTCATTCACGTACCCCTGCGTGTAACAATGCATGCAACTAGCGTTGACTCTCGGTTACATTTAGCCCCTATACAACCAAGACGCGACACTTACGTTGAGGACCAGGCCATAGATATCTGCGACGTAGGTAAGTGGGATATTTCAGCTTGAAGACGACAAAAGAAACATACGATAGAAAGGTAGAACTGTAATCCACAGTGTCAAACTGAGTGCCCTTGGAGGCGAGAACTTTACATACCGGCAGTAGCGACATCGCCTGGACGGAATCGCTGCTCTGACCATGGGGCATAATCGTCGTTCACTTTGTTATGAACAGCCCACTGTATGATGTTCACAATGACGGAGTGGTGCTGAATTGCGACCGCCTAAATCACGAATCGCTGTTATTCTTGGTTCCCCTTTTCGAGCAGGTGAAAGCATACCTTAGGCCTTCCTGTCGTCCCGGACGAAAAGCTGAGGAATGCCAATTTCGTCTTGCCTTCTCCAGGACGCAGCTTCAACTCTGTGAACGAGATTGGCTGACTGAGGCCATACTGGACAAGGCCTTCAACGGTTTGGCGCGTCGAAGGTGGCTGGACGCCTGGAACGTCAAATAAGATGACATTTTGGTCAGGAATGCCAGTTTCGCGAGCAGCTGCTAATGCAGTGTCGAATGACTGGGGATGTGCGATCAAAAGTCGCGCCTTGGCCTCCTGAATTTGATATACAAGCTCCTGTTTGGAAAAGTCTGGATTCGCCCCACTGAGAAATAGTCACTTTAGTGTCATGAGACTCGCAGAGAAAGGTCGCATCGAAAACTGACGAGATGACACCTCCGAGTTGTTGGGTGGCCCAAATAGCGACGGGATAATCTGAACAGAGAGGGTCATTCTCAAATCCCTTATCCGGATGGAGGGGAATTTCAAGTTACCTGTGTGGTTTCGACTGTAAACGAGGACTAGAGATTGTGTTTAGAAGGTTCTTCCTGCTGGAACGGAACAGCGGGAACCGTACCGACGTCATCTCTCCCTAGATGCAGATGGTCATTGCTGGTGCCAACGTCGATGTAAGATTGACACTCACCTATGCCATATCGTAGATGAAGAGCGTTAGACAGGCCTAAGGTACGCCGCTTGAGCTTCAAGCACGTAACGGCGCCGCGATGAGTGCCTGCGCTAATGCCCTAGATCTGATCCACTCACTTCAGCGCCTCCCAGTCGTCTCCCCGTTTCATCGTCAATCAGCCACGGAATGTCCTCGTTTCTCTTCGGTTTGGTGGGATGCTCTGCATCGAGGATAAATTGTGGCAATGTGAGGTCGTCCGGGAGATGCGGTAGGGGTACATTTGGCTGGGGTAGGAACTCCATCTTGCAAATAGCTTCGAGTGTGCCGTGCCGTCGGGAATGGGAAGAAGGAAGAGGGAGAACGCGTCGACAGGAAGACTGCTCAGGTATATAAGAGCTGCTGAACCCCGTACTTAAGAATATTTGATAACGCCCCCGAACATAATTGCGCAATTGGCGACACTCGGGGTCATTCGTCTAGAAGTAAGCACGACAGGGGAAATCCGCGCCTCCTATACCCGGAGATCGTGAGTGACTGCATGCCGAATACGGTAGGCAGGTGTGGGGAGCCGAGGTGTCAGGTGGGCACTAAGTACTCAGGGGCCACGGGCGCCAATCAAGCCCGTGGGGTTCGGAATTTGAATTTGGCGCTACGGTCGTCGGTTTGCCACAGACTGAAACTGGGAAGGAGCGCCCAAATAAGCAGCTTCAATGATGAGATCGGGTAGCCGAGAGGACCTATTGACAGTTCTTTCTTCAAATTTCTCTTCATTAGCATAGTTTTCGTTCCAATCGTTGTCCAGAAGCGGTGGCAGTCCATCATGATATCTTCTATTCACCCCGTCTGGCATCTGGCATCCCTTAAGCACCAGCGACTACCAGGTACTTGAGTGAACATTCGATATTGTAAATACTCGTCAGAGTACCGAGATTGTCAAAATACTTTTACACCACCTGAACGAAATATCCCCAGACACGGTGGGACATAGTAAGAATTTCAATTCGTTTGAGTCAATGATGGTCACATGCACGGCATCCTCTTCTGCGCATAATCATAAAGGTCATACCTACACATTTCTTTGCGATACAAAATTGTTCCGAATATCAATGTGTGTCGTTCATGAAGGAACCAAGGTCAGCATCATTACAGCGGAGACTAATGTACTTAGTAGGCTAGTATTAGATCGCGACGCGACAAAAACCGTTTCGAACGGTGTCAAAGCTTCGCCCGCACCGCGAATTTGTCTGACTCCATTTGTAGGTTGGAATTGACTCTGTCCTTCAATATTCTTCTCAGAATCTTCCCACTTGGACTTTTCTGGAAGGCCCATCACGGCGTCACGGACCTGGCCTGAGAGGTTAGTAGGAGATGACTTACGGGTATTGACTCGATGAACCGAATGCCACCACGGAGATGCTTGTAACCGGCTTTTCGAGTGGCGACGTACTGTTAAGTAGACTATTGAATCTTACGTTCATCAGAAGTGAAGTGATTGCGGTACTTACCTTAGAGATGTCCTCAGATATCGTGCTGTAAAACTGGTCGTCGTTTGTCCAGTCTGCTATACTGGGAGAGGGTACGACGTATGCCAGTGGGATTTCTCCCATGAGTGGATGGGGAACACCCACAACACACGCATCGTCCACAAAAGGATGCCCCAGTAGACATCCTTCCAACTCCGCAGGGGCGACCTGAAACCCGTTCACCTTGAGAAGTTCCTTTTGAAGGAAGGATAGCCCCTCAGCCACCAAAAGTATCCTCACAAAGGCCACGTTGAAGACGAACCTTCACTCTATCATACACATACACCTCGTTGTCCTCCGAAATGGCAACTTCATCTCCGGTTCGAACCCATCTGTCGCAGAAGTGAGGGGGACAGGTTTTAACCAATTAAGATGATTAGACTCTGATTAAACGACGGTGATGAGAGGAGGGAACCCACCCATCGAAGAAGGTTTCTCGAGTCCTAAAACCGTAAATGATGAATTGTTAGACCGAGACTGTGGTGACATAAAACCATCCCCACTCACGCTCTTGGGTTTTTGTAATAACAAAGTGCGTTAGAAGGACCTTTAACGAAAAGCTCTCCTCTTTCACCGTGGGCTGCGAGGCGCCCATCCGACTTGAGGACACGAGCTTTGATACCTGGAAGCAACCGGCCTGCGCCTGGAAGTGATGTGAATATGCAACTTGGGCAATTGATTGATGAAGATGTAGAACTCACTTCCTAAAGGACCTCTCCGTTGGCAGGACGAGACCAAAGCCACAGTCGTTGTCATTTCGGTAAGTCCTATTCCAGTACCAGAATTAAGCTTTCAGCACCGGCGGCTCTGTGAGACCCAATGCGAGTCTCGTACCATAAGCTTGACCGATCTGGGCACGAGGGAAAAGCTTGACCAATGATTGCTGAACATGAGGCGAGACGGGAGCGGCTCCTTGGACTTAAGGTCAGTATACGCGACCCCAGGAGAAGCGCGAAGGGATGCGAATTACCGATGAGAATGTATTTGACATGGGAGTCGACACTCCGATCGGATAGGAAGGAGTGCTGACAGATGCAGGTCAGAGATGCTCACAATACTCAAGATTACAGGGAAGCGCCGATAACTCACCTTGGACAAGGCGATAGCTTGAGGTGGTACGAGCCTAGGGGGTTTGATATCAACTTCAAGCTGCTTCTTGTTGGTGAAGCTAACTCACAACAGATGGGAAATGGAATACTGCTGGATGGAAGCGACCATCGACCGTAGCTCGTACTTTGGGATGACGACGACAGACATCTATGAGGGTGCTTTCAGCCCCACCAACTCTGGGAGACAAAGAAGAAGATGACGCACCGCAGAGAAGAGTGAAAGATGAAGCTAAATCCTAAGTTTAGAACCCGAGATGCCCATGCAGAGGTGATACAGAAGGCAAGCTGCTTACTGCTATAACGAGACCAGCGACATCTGATGCATCGGGGAAGGGTCAGTGCCGTGCCACGGGGTAGTGAGAAGGCTCAAATGCGCACGGTAAAAAGGTAGAACTGTAGATTGCGCTGAATTTGAGCAACTCCGACATGCGAAGAGTTGAAGTGGGTCCACGCACCTCCTAAGGCAATATCCCCAGGGTGCCACGAACGCGGGGATCCCATCTGGTCAGGATGGCCTCGGAGGCCATTGTGGACCGCCATCTGGATGATATTACACATTATTGCGTAGTGGGAGATCGCCACGGCCTGTGGCGAGGAGAAAGACGCTGTTATTAGCTCAAAATCGATGGTTAGAAGAGCAGAAGTAGACCGACCTTGGGGTTGCCCGTAGTGCCCGATGACCAGCAAAAGAACGCAACCTTATCCTTCGCCTCCCCCTGCTGCATGGTATAGGGGACCAGCGGGGCTGAACGCGCTGCGCCCTCGTGCACCAAGCCCGAGAGGGTAGGGAAAATGGGGGGTGCTGTCCGGTTATCACACTCGAAGGGCTCGGCATCGTCCATTAGGACGACCCTCCCATTCGAAGCCAGGCCAGCCATGCTCGAGGCAATCAGCATAGCTTTTAAATTACCGGAATGAACGACGATTAGACTTGGTTTGCAGATCCCAATCTGATAGCTCAGCTCCTCAGCCGTAAATTGCGGGTTAGTGCACCTGAGATAAAGTAAGTTTCATCATTTTCAGGGTAAAGTAGCACTTGGCTGTGGTGTTGTGGCGAATGAAACGGCGAAGTTTGAAGGGGATTAGGCTGAATAACTCGGGCACGTACGTCACAATTCCGCCGATCTGATGAACTGCCCAAATGACCACCGGATAATCTGTTCGAAAGCGCGTTAACAAAGGGACAAGGGAAGTGGACAAGGTGAATGTTGCTCACCGACATGGTTCGGGCTCGCTATCAGCACCACATCTTCGCTTCCTGCAGAAGTAGTCAGGTCTTAGACATGGAGGAAGGAGAGAAGAAAGCCCCACCTATACCATATATGTATTGGAGGGTCGAAGCGAGACTGGTAGTTCGGTGCTTGAGCTCGTCAAGATATAACTTTCTGGAGCTGGAGGCGTCAACCAAACAAGCGACGGAGCTTGGCCTTTCGGGTTGGATTTCATGTCGATAATCCAGCATAAAATGGGACAGCGTAATATCGTCAGGGACGGCGGGTAGTGGCGTTTTGTTCTCGAAAAACGATAGCATCGGGAAAGCGGATACAAAACAGACAAAAGGAAGGAGAATCACTTTGGTCTAACATCATCCTCGCCCGGAAGGGTTATATACCTTTCTGAGGCAGGGCGTGGCATGAAAGGGGTCGCTGAATAAGTAAGGGAAGTCAGGGAAGTCCGGTAAACCCCAAATCTGAATCTGAAGTCCGAAGAGTTATGTCCATGTATATCCCATCTACATCGCCAAACTTTCAAACTTCTTTTTTCAAACACATCCACGCTTCAATTGCACTGTCAACGGGGCTTCAGGACCGGCATCGTCAGCCACACCATAAGCAATGAGGCCAGGGCCGCCTTACCTTCGAATTTCAGCGTTTCAAACCCTTTGCCACCATCCTGCATTGCATACTCCGAGTGCTACTAGCGTCCCAAATGCGGCTTGTGCGGTCGTGCGTTGAATTCCAAATCCCCGACGGGAGACCACTGGACGTGCCTGTTCAAGCGTTCAAGCTCCTAGTGATTCGTTCTCGGCAGCCTCCATGATACAAGAGTTAGATCAGCCAGCCAATCCGCGATTCCTGTTACAGGTTCAACTTGGGCAACAATCGAAATCAAGGCAGGTCCCCTTTCAAGCAGCCGCAGCAGCTTGCATCGTCGTCGCGTCGGTGCTGCATTCCCAAGTTCGTTTCAAAATTGATCACCCGCCAGGATTGCGAATTGACCGTTACCCGCTCTACACCCCCCTCGTAAAGAGAGGAAGTTCTAAACCCAGGATAGCTAGCCAGGTATAGCCAGTCACCCTCTGTTCGATCGAAAGGGGCGTAGCCCGGAGTTCGATATGAAGCGCAGAAATGGAAGCGTATTGCCCGAGCAGAGCCTTGTTAATGAAACACCCCCTTCGAGAAACGCGGTGACCTGTTGGCTTGAAATCCAGATCCGATGCCTGCCAGTCGATAGAGAGAGCATCGCGGTTCGAGGAAGAGGAACGAGGGCGTTTTTGAATCAAGATCGAGGCGTTGGGATGTTGATTGAGTGAGGTCAAGAGGCAGAGGGGCTTGATGTCAGAAGGGGTGGCCCCCGGTAATTAGATTACATACCGAGGCTCTACCGGAAGGCTAAGGGACTTCCTGATGGTTCCGCTGATACCTTCTGGTCATCAGCGTCGACTCATTTGAAGCTTCAGGGTAGCACCAACTGTAACTAAACCTCACGAAGAGGACTTCAACAAGCTGGGGTCCAAATGAGGCGACAAGGCCGGCTTCAAGAAGGCAAAAGGCGTGCCAAGCTGAAATAAACCGGTTGCGCCGGATGGGAAGCAAGCGTGCGCACAGACTTTACCGTTACTTGAGTAGCTGCAGTCCCAGCCCATGGCCTTGCCTGTCTACTATGCACGATTTCGCACAAAAGACAAGATCTTCTACTGAGCCAAGAAAGAAGTTTCAAATGTCTGACCAAATGTCCTATCTCGAAGGAGATCAGCCTTTTTGAAAACGTTGCTGAAGATCTTCAAAGGACACGTTTTTGAGAACTAACAAATAGCCGCTCGCCTTCTCTTAGATCCCGCCGGATCTGGAGCCACAGCACACCAGCACCGAGTCTCGCAGCGCTCACTGTAAAACGTAAAAAGTGAGGTAATATCCATATCCCCTCTTTCCGAAACCATTGCCTTCTCAACACTTGGATCCGCCGGAATTTGCCTAGTCGACGTTTTGTCGGGAGTGTCAAAACCAACGATGCATGAACGAGATCCAGATCCACCGTTGGGACTCGGGAGTCTTGCGTGGGCAATTAAATCTGCGCGAAATATGTCGTAAAAAGCAGATTGTGCATCTACTTTCTCGAATCGGGAACGCGACCGCAGTGCCTATTACATGTAGCAGAGAAAGGGAGAGATCCACATTGAATGGGAACGCAAAGAGAGAAGGGAAGAAATGCGTCGAATAGGTGCCTGGACACTACTGCTACCATAGTAGAGACGATGAAGCGATATTCTGTTGCATTTGGTAGATTAGGGAGGAAACAGAAAGGTATGTCGTCCTAAACTTACACTAACACTAGTATAAATTATAGCCTCGCTTGCGTGTCATCCTCCTTCGATACTGCGTCTGAATCGTGCATCCCGCCTGCAGAACGAACCATTTCCTCCCGATTCGCGTACCACCACCGCATCGCATACTCCTTCTCTCGATCTCCCACAGATTCCAAGATCTCCCGGAAAACCTCTTCGACCAGCTCTTTCCTCTTCTCCTCCTGGCCCTCCTCCCCGTGCCTTCCTTCACCCTCCTTCAGCACAATGATGTCGTATATCTCTGGCAGGACTCTAGCCAATAATGGTAACGGCAAGGACGATATCGTCGAAATGAGTGTAAGATGCAGTCGATGAACACGGTCGTGAGACATGTCTTGACTCGTTTCTCCCGCCGTCTCCGTCTCCTTTTCCTTCCCCTTCCCTTTCAGATCCAACGCTCCCTTCGAGCCCTGCTTGATCTGGGAGAGGGTATCAAGAAGCATCTGAACACAATACCACCCCAAAGTATATCTTGCCGCAACTTGGTTCTCGTTCTCGGCCTCCGTCGTACCCCTCTTCTTCTTCTGGTTCTCCGCGAGGTTCTCGTTCTTGTCCTCTTCAAACTGGCTGTCGGCGATGCGTTTGTTGTTGTTCCCGTTCTCGAGGACGTTCTGGCCCCTGGACTTCTCGACGTCCTCCGCCTTGGTCAGCTCCGACGACCCCGCATATCCACAGGCACATGCGCTCCTAACCAGCGCAGAATACGCCATGCAAAGTTGAGGTGTACTTAGTCGACCTTCGGTGGAGTTCTGTGTATTTTTGGCCGTGTTAGGCTTTGGGAGTAGTGGATCAAGGTAGTGAAACGGGACGTACCTCGATCAAACATTTAGCGTAGAACGGAACCATCCGTTGGACGAGCTCCGTCGAGAAGCCTCTCTCGACGGCGATAGTCTGCTCCTCTTCCTCGGATTGTCGACTGTTCCTGAGCCCCCTCCTAGTATTCCTCCATCTCGACCACCTGGCGAAGAGGGAACTAGGTGGGCAGGAAGCGCCAGAAGTTTGGAGGAGAGACCGTCGTTGATGTTGCTGTGCGGCATGGGAAGCGAATATAGCTAGGATGACGGAATGGGAGGACTCGAATGTTTCTCTATTCGAAGGGTCACTGAGGTGTCTGTAAATGTTTGCGAGCCCAATGTCAGAAAAAAATGGCTGGATGAGTGTGAATACACCTACGGATAGCATACACCCCATACCCAATCCCTGACACACGCATCCCCAATGACAGGAACTAGTTGCTCTATACTTGCGAGGGTAAACGCCTGCTTCGCGTGTCTGAACGTTACATTCCCCTCCCCTCTCCCTTCATGCAACGCGCGGCAGCTATCCCGCACATACATTTCAGCTTCATGCCGCCCCTCAGCACTACCACTGCTACGAGCCAAGATGTCCAAGCTGAGGTAGAACGTCTTCTTGAGTTCTTCAAACCCGTTCCCCGTGCTCGTTACACCGCCAAACTGGGAAATGACGAAGCTGAGGTGGGAGAGTGCGTGGAGGGCAGTGAGAGCCAGTGTCGAGGGTGTGATAGACGGTGGTGGTTCAGCCGTGGTTTGAGGTGGGTTGTGATTACCGGGAGAGGAAGGTTGGGGTGACGAGGGACGTGCTGGTGAGGGAGGAGCAGGGAACGCCGAGGGCGGTATGAATATCAATGGTGACAGTGCACCGTCCGCAATCATGATAACAGTGAACAACAGTGTTTTCAGAATCGTCCATACGTCCTTCGCCAATGGTTTGGAATCGGGAGCGATACCAGCATCCGTTACGCTCGCCAATGACGTGGAAATCCAGTCTCTTTCAACCTTCTTGGTTACTTCGCGGAGGGTGTCGAGTGTTTGCCAAACTGCTATGACGTCTTCAGCGAAATGGGAGGATGAAGGCGAGTCAAGCATCAGAGAGAGCACGTTGGACGTGAAACGGGATATGGATGAGATTGCAGCCGTCAAGGGGGAGGTGGTTATGGATTGGAGCGTTTGGGCGAAAGCGGACGAGGGCTAGAGGTGATCAATTAGAGAACTGAGGACTGGGAGAATTAACCGGAAACATACAGAAATGTGAACCTGGTGCTCAGGAGATAATGTGACGGACGCGGACACGGATGACAAGAAAGCCCCGTTCTTGAAGGTCGTAGCAATCGTCAAGGTCAATATTTGCGCCAGGGCAGGTAATGGCAAGACCTTCAGCTTATTCTGAGAAATCAGAGGGAAAGATTGCGAAGCGAAAATCAAGGCTAATGATAGTAAATCTATACAGACGGAGCGAGTAGCATTCAGTCAGTTGTTGACCGATGGTGTGTCGTCTGGAACGTACCTTGTCCAGCAGGTTGGAACTCCTTTTCCCATTCTTCGATACCCAAATGTGCAGAAAACGACGAGCTATGTCCATTGAACGTATATGCATCCATGACTTCTGCCAATGCCACGATGTCCTCGTCCTCTACGAATCCTCGAGCCCCCACGACGTTTACGCCTTCCCCGGTCTCTTTCGACGGCCTCTTGAGATCCTCGAGACCCAGTAGAAGGCCACTACAGCATGCTATCCGCAAGACGGGATGTCCTCCCTGCACGCCCTTCACTACGTCTTTCATCCACTGATCCAACGATCCCACCAAACTCTTCTTGAATAGCCCCTCCAAACGCGTTCGTTTCCGTTCGGATTGTGCTAGCGCCCTAAACTTCAGGTGCGACGCATGCCTAAATGCCGTCGACAGGGAGTACAGCTTTGCATAGTCGATAGGTTGTGAGAGGTAGAAAGGTGAGGATATCGCTGTCGCCGCGAGCGGTGTGGGGGACGGTGAAATCGTTGCGAGGTGGTGTGACAGGGCTCCCTGGATCGTTTGGAGTGGCAGCGTTGTTGCTGGATTGTGCAGGTGGTTCAACAGCAAGGTGTAGCCTCTGTCAACCGACATCGTCGAGGCTTGGGAAACTGGAGAGAGACAAGAAGGAGCAAGCTGCTGGAAACACGACCGGAACGGGTTGAGCTGCCGGAAATCATGCGCTTCCGGAAAAGGTAAGTCACCGGCTATTCCCACCTCCACCTAAGCGCCAGTGCCCGGCTTGCTGCCGTGAAGTTCTGCAGCTCAGATAATGTACACCAAGTGAATGTTTGTTATAGTGGGACGCGAGAAATCCTACAGTAAAACTTAATTCCCCGCGCCTGTCTAAGTTTTACAGTGAGAACAACTGTTCATTCAATGGAGTTGCGACCAAGTTAGGCACCAAACAGCAGGGACGGTTATTGCTATGCACCGCCAGAACTCTGAAGAAGCATGCACCATTTTCCTGACCGCACAAACTCTAAGCACGATCCAAACGTACATGAGTCCCCACGGGGCAACCCAGAGCCACCGATTCAACCTGGCTTCCCTCCCCATGCATTACTACTCCAGCGTCACTGGCAGTCACGAATCTGTTCCCCAAGGTGTGAATAGCTTCATCGTTAAGGTCAGGCTCTACAGTGGAGAGAATTTCTTGGACGGTAACGAATTCGATGGACTGCTGAGGTGACGAGTGGGCTGTCGAAATCGAGAATGGCGAGGAGTCTGGACGGAGGAAGAACTGAACACAAGCGTGAAGCACTAATCAGCGACAGAAGCTCCAAAGGCAAGGGAAGGAGGGTTACCTGAGCAGTAGAACCCGACGAAGGCGCCTGGTTCGCCATCAGAGACAGCGGGCCTCGGGAAGGATCGCCGGCGCTTATTTGGTACATTCGACTCGTGCGTCCAGCGGAATCTTGGACCCCAAGGAATATCCTCTCATGAAGGAATTGTTGCATCGGAGAATAGGATGACGATGTTTTGTCTCCGGAATCAGCCTTTTCCAATGCAGCAAGGAGAAGTTGTGTAGGGTTTGTGTTGTTTATGGATTCCACGATGTTCCCGTTCGACCTAGTCCACGTTGAGAGATATGTATTTGGGAAGGAAACATGACATACCCCGTTATTTTCATGGAAGGAGAGATCGCTTGTACTCCATGGACATTTAACCCGGAGGTGTACGAAGCTGAGGATCGCTTGAGCGCTAAGCCCACTGCGCCTTCAGAATACGGCTTGTCGCCGTACAATAGAGTCGACGGAAGCTCATTCACAGTAAGCGTCGAAGGCGCCACCAGACCCAACTATAGAATCGCTCAATTCCGTGGCAGCATAAAGTACAGGGAGCAGGGCGTACTTTGGAGGCATTGGGATAGTGGCGAGTGAGAGATCGAGCAAGACCTTGGTAGGACCTGTCCGTCAGATACAGGAACGCAGATATGTCTTCTGGCCTATACATAGATCAATAATTTGAGCGCACGAAGTGACAGAAGGAATGCTAACCTCGCGCCTTGCAAGTCCAAGGGTATAGCGCCGTCGTCTTGCCCCTGTTTCCACACATTCTCCCATGAAATATTCTCTTCGAAGCTCATAGATTCATTCCACGGCGCCTCTTCAGGATGTTTTCTGAACGAATGCCATCGTCCCACCTGCGGTTGGCGGTCCCCTGGGATCTGCGAGCGAAAGGCAACAGCCTCGCCGGGTTCGAATATTCCAATCGAGCAAGACAGCAGCTCAGAGAGGTTCTTCCCGTCTTCTTTCGATCCAACGTTGTTCAACGGACTTGACAGGCACCCTACGACATTTTCAATCTTCCCTTCTCCTGCAATTCGTCGTAGTTGCCGCCAGCACGAAGTCCAATCCACGGAATCGCTCGCCGAGAGCGTGAACAGACATAACAAGTTATTGCCAGCGTAATAATCAGCTAGTTGTCGGACGTGTTGTTCGATAAGCTTGGGGTTCCGCGACAAGAGAGTGGTAAGACGCAAAGGCATGGTCGCTGTTGGCGGTTGTCGAAAGGCGCGCGAGCTCGTCGTTTCCCACGTAACTCGGGTTGTCTTCCACGTCCATCACGCACCGCCTAGCCGACCAGTACTTATGGCTTCACAGGCAAGGATTGAAGAGCTGCCGTCTATGCTATGGGTAGCGTAGGTATTATTGCATTTGTCTGATTGAAATGGAATTTTGAGCTGACATGGCGTTCAGCGTACCTTCCGTCCTGCTGGTGTCAGCTTATTTCGTTCGGAAATGGTATCTTTCCTACCGACTCAAAGTCCATGGTATCGGGCGAGGAGGTAAGCATATAGTCTCTCAGGGAACTCGTCAACCCGTTAATGACCTTGCCTCAGCCAAAGGATTCCAAACGAACGTTCGCCAAGTTCGCGTAACACCCGAAATCGCTGAACGGCTTCGACGAGGTGAAGAAGTCAGCCCTGAAGAAATAGCAGCTGCAGCTGCGAAGATGGAGGAACTCGAGCGACAGGGGAAGGCTCCGGCGCCTGCACCCCGGCCACCGCCTGTGTTCGAGGACGAGAAACCCTTCTACGATTCTAGGACGCCCAGACCGCCCTCACCTCCCCGTGGTACCCCGTCCAAGAAAACAAACGACAATGTGGATAACGAATGGCTCCCTGACACCGTGACAAAAACAACGAAGCGAAAGACAAGGGGGAAGAAGGCGTAACTATAGATCTATCGCCTGGTGGAAGGATGTTAGGTTATTTATTCTCATTGTGAGTGCAGCGGCAACTTCCCTGTCTCTGACTGGCATTCTGATTTCATTGATTCCAGCCCCTTGTACATGTACACTGTTCTCACTTTATTTCATCTACCGGGGACATCGGAGGGTTTCAACATATCTCATGACAAGTTGGCCCTTATTCCGACTTCGAAGTTCGTCGAATCATGGGCATGGTCCGGTGCAGTAACGTGATAAGCTATAAAACAAGGCATCCTATCGGAGGAAGATCGCCCATACTCGCTTCTTTCCAACTGCCATGACATCCGCTACAGCTAACCCTCCGCAATTCAGCACTACAAACCCGGATATTGAGCTCGTCGCTGGGCGGGACGGGAAGGTTACGGGCGTCTCCGTCTATCCACCACGAGCGGAGGTCACTCGACTCTTCAAATTCGTTATCAAGACAGGCCAAAACCGAGTCTCAATTAGTGGCCTTCCGAATGTCATAGATCATCCTTCCTTGAGGTCAGGTTCTTCGAGCAGTGTATCCCAGCGCCCTCAGACTGAGTTTACGCATCCAATACAGAGTGCAGGGGCACGGTGCAGCCACTATCCACGATGTCTCCCTGTCGCACGATTTGCCGCCCGGGGCGAAGACGAAGAAAACTTCCCCCAAACTTGAGGAACTGGAAACTGAATTGGACAAAGTAACAACTTCGCTCAGGAGGGCGCGGGACGCAATCCGGTTTCTTGAAACGTATATCTCCGATCTTCGATACAACAGTAACAAGGAAGTGAAGTACCCTCTAGTCGACGTCGTCGAGGACTATACTACGGCGGCTGGCAAATTGGACGCGCAAGTTTTGCAACTCACGGCGAAGAGGACAGAATTGCACACGAAAATTGCGAATGAGGAGGAGTCGTTGAGCGAGCCTCTGCAGAATGAAAGACTGGGCATGAAGGTTTCCATTGTTGTTTTTGGTCACACCGCTGGAGAAGTCGAGATTTCTCTCACTTATGGTATGGCGTGTTAATTGATTTGGAACCCGAACACCTCGTTGATAGATCCTCAGCTGTTAGAAATGCGACGTGGAGGCCTACCTATGACATTCGGGTCGATTTACAAACCAAAGACAAGCCCGTAACCCTCGTCTACAAAGGATCTATCATCCAGAATACAGGAGAGGTATGGTGCTCACACGGAAATTCCATGCCCTCTCTCGTCTAACTGTTCTCGTAGGACTGGACCGACGCACCAATCAAACTTGAAACAGTAGCGCCAGCATTCGACATTGCCATCTCCTCCCTTCAGAAATGGACTCTTTCTCTCGAGGACCCGGTTCAAGCCCAGAAACGACGGCAAGAGCTGGAACGTGAATACGCTACTCGGCATTGGACCAACTACCACTATTCGGCACCACAGATACAGTCGGCCCCCATTGTTATACCCTCACCGCGGGGAAGGTCACGGTCACCCAGTAGTCGCTCTCCCCGTCGATATGAGCGGTACTCAGGTCGGAGAAGTCGATGTAGTAGTAGTAGTAGGAGTCGGAGTCGTGCAAGAATGTCCTCCGTGGCAATGAGGGCAGCTCCCGAGCCTGAAGTTATCACTCACAGGAACTTGGATGTGGGCACTGGAGGAAAGGGGGACATCAGCGCTACGTTCGTCGTCCCCGGACTGATGACTGTCCCGAGTGATAACGTCGCTCACATTGTTACCATCGCCGAGTTGGGGTTGGATGCGGAGATGGAATGGGTGTCGGTGCCTAAACGTGATATTAGAGTGTATTTGAAGGTCGGTGTGCGGTTGATTAGAAGATGGGTTGAGGAACTGACCTGACGGATTCGCTAGGCAAAAGTGAAGAATGCCTCAGAGTATACACTGCTCAAGGGCCCTGTGAGCGTGTATGTGGATGGAAGTTTCCTCGCTCGCACGAACATCCCGGACGTAAATCCCGACGAGACCTTCGATTGCCCTCTAGGGTCAGTAGCCTCGTCTCTCAAACCGTCACCGCCATCTTACCTCCCACTTCCGCAGAGTCGACCATTCCGTCCGTATCACCTACGCCCCTCTCTCAAAGCAGCAATCCGACAGCGGCCTCATCACCAAATCGCGCGTCCACACCTTCACAAGGCGCATCAATATTCAGAACACCAAATCCTCCAAACCAGTGGCGAACCTCATCATCCACGACCACATCCCGGTGTCCGAGAACGCGTTGATCGGCGTGAAGCTAATCTCGCCTGCGCTTCAACTGCCTGCGCCAGAGAACTCTGGTTCCAACTATTCGAACGCTGGGAGTTTGGCTAGCTCGACGTTGAAACAGTTTGTGACGGTGCAGGGAGGAGATGGGATGACAGTCAATAAATTCGGTATCAAAATACCCGCCCCGGTTAAAGTGACGAAGGATGTTGTGGCTCAATGGCAGGGGGCAGACGAAGCTGAGACTCAGGCCGATGTACAAGCCCTTGGGAGCGATGGGAAGCTGGTCTGGAAGTGCGCAGTTCCAGCCCAGGGAAAGGTCGCGCTCTCTTTGCAGTGGGAAGTGTCTGCGCCCGTAAAGTCAAATATTGTTGGATTGTAACGATATGAAGTGGAGGATTGCCAATGGACGGGTATGTATGAATGCGGGTATCGCGGAGGGTATATAAGGTCAGGAAATAAGTATACAAATGTGGGGTGATAGTGTACAAATGCTGTGGGTTCATTATACTTTGGCTTCACTATGTTTTTTTAATCGCTCGTGAGTTCATCATTCTCAACCTCGCCGGAAGCATCGCTGCCAAACTCTTGCTTCCACTCCTGCATTGCGGCTCTTGTCTCCTGCAGGAGGGTGTCGCCGGTGTCGTTATCGTTGCTCCCATAGCCTGTCTGCTCGCAAAGGAGGCAGCATGCTCTGGAAAGGGCGTACTCTTTGCTTCCAATAGCATCGGCCAAGTTGGGATTACTCCGTCCACATTCGATTTTGTATCTTCGAACTGCATCAGCCATAACGTTGTCGTAGCGCGTCAAGAAATCTTCAGCTTCCCGGACAGCGAGGTCTGTTCGGACGTCGGTGCTGGGGTCGTGGGACTCTTCGATGATGGTCATGGTGTCGGGATAGATGGAGGTGTTGGAACGGGAAATCCATTCGGGCGTGCGGTAGGACCAGCCGTCGTGGTGGGAGTCGACTTCAGAGATGAATTCGTCCATGAGGAGGTAGAGGATGGTGAAAGACAATCGGCCAAGACCTGGCACGCGCCTTCGTGTACCGGGAACTTTAGCGCTCAGCAGGTTCTAATTTGACAAAGTTAATTCTGGACGTGCGGATCAGGAAGCGCGCGCGCTTACCTCGATGGCTGAGACTACAAAGTCTAACTCCTGCAACCACTCGAGGTAAAGTTCGGTGGCTAGGATCTTTTCGCCAGCCTTGTCGAAGCGAGTTTTAACAAGTACTTTCACGCGTTTGAGGAGTTGTCTAACGGATGCAAGGGCGTCGCTTTCCCCTGGAGAGGTGGTCTGGGTTAGTGGCCAAACTCGAGACGCTCGCCACACCAAACCCACCTCTGGGGAAGTTCTTGATTTCTTGGATAGTAGCTTGATCAATGGGTGTTTTATTTGAAGCGCATTTTCGGAGAGTAGAAGTTAAGTCGCAGATGGTGGTAGGTTGTTTTCGGCCTGTATTTCTGGAATGTCAGGAAATGTCGCCACTGAACAGGTCGGAGAGAAAACATACGTCGCTTGCTTGGCGATCCCGAGCTCGATGAAGAGTCTAGAGAGGCGATCGAGCTTGCGGGACTGAGCGGGTTCGAGCCACTGCGCTTGACACGACTGAACGCCGGGCTGTCCTCGTCCTTCAGGAACCTGAACCTCTTCCTGGGAGGTGTCCAAGGTTCCTCAGTATCGCTCGAATTGCACATTTGCATCAGGTTCCGTGCAGATGCGTGCCTCTTTAGAGCTCTTCTTGTCGGGGTCACAGTAGAGGTAGAGGTTGCGCTCGATGTTGGGCTCGCCATTGTGTGAACGTGGAGTCGACCCTTGCTACGTGGTACTGGCTGGTCAATGGTAGAATGGGCGGTGGTCGACAGCAGCGACGACGACGAGTGGAGGAATTTCGAGACGAAACTGGGAAGGGCGAGAGCAGAGAAAAGTGAGAGAAAGGCGGGCTCTAAACAACTTATGCACGCACGTCACCCGGGCCGTTGGCGGGAACACTCAACGCGTTCGCGTTGATCAATAAACGGCCGCACGTGCCTGACGCGCTGCTCACGCGTTCGGCGCGTTTGATGCCGAGGCGCATCAATGGTTTGTAAGCGCCAATCGAGGAGTCGTCCCCGGTCTCGTCTCTTCTTTCTTTTGTCTTCTTCCGCCGTTACGTTCTCTCGACTGTTGTTTCTCAATGAAACCTTGCAGACTGGTTTAGCATCCATGGCAATGGCTGTCTTTAACACTACCGGTCTTCTGGTCTACAAGCAGGTGGCTCGCAGTGACATTTTTCGCGCAAACTTCAAAGATGATTTTATGCCCTGGTTCTCTGCATGCTTTGCGATAATTTCTCCAGATCACAACTTGGACCTCTGTGACTCGTTCAATCATTTCCGATGATCAAGGGCCATCCTTCTCTTTCTCGGGTCTGACAACTCGGCTGGGTCCAGCAAGAGCCTTTTCCTCGACTCTAACCACACGAGTTACAACTCGAAAATTCGACAAGGCGGGTCTCGGCACCATCGAATGACAGCTGCCACTCGTCTATCCCCTGCACCCTAAGCCCTATCCGATGCTCCGTCTTGGACGGTAGGATAACCTCCACAAGCTTTTGATCTGCGCTGCCTCGCTGCAGTCTCCATTTTCATTTCCTCGTTATTCAAGCTTTTGGCCCACCGGTTTCATGCACTCGGATCCAGTGGCTGGTCCCGAAATTCACGTTTTAACCTCCCGAGGTGGGTAGATGAAAGCCACGCTGGATCGGCGACGGTGTATTTGTGACGTTGGTGTGCTCCTCGATGGAAGGTTAACTCTACAAGCCGGGAATTGTTCAAGGTAAGCGAGGTTTTCGTCCCCGTCGGATGCTTCTCTCTATGCCGCGAGGGCCATATACCCGTATGCGAACCACGCGACAGGCGACTGCTCTTTCTCGTCTGCTGACTCCTTTGCCTTCTCCCTTGGTGCGACTGGTTATCATTCGACTTCGGAGTTTGGGATCCCCCTCGCATGCTCGGACTCGGGCTGCGCCGAGCCACGCTACGGTCCTTGAATGTGGCTCACCACCACGAACTTGCTTTGCGGTGCACTGAGCCCCGGTGGGATGTGGCTACAAGGGAATAAGCGTTCCCTCCCGTGCGCGATTTGAACGTTGCGGGTTCCATGCGATATGCTACCGGGGTCCTACCTCCAGGCTGCCCTCCCATTCGTTGGCTATCACGCTGCGGCTCGTCAGTCTCGAAGCGCGCGCATACAGTGTATTTCCTTGTCGTTGGCTTTCTGCATCGGGGAAATTAGAAGCAGGTGGGTACTTCATCCGAGTTCATTATGATTTTCTATGAGTGTTCGCGACTTCTTTCATTCCGTGGCCACTAGGCTTCGCCATGCCCTCATGGGTACATAATGTACCTATCCCCGTCGTTCCGTAACATAGGAGAAGGGACAGGTATCATTGGCGGAATTTATAACGTCTGTGTACTAAGGTAGAGGCCATCAGGTACTCGCACCCCCTTATGTAAGCCAGAATCCCCGCCAACGTCGAGCGTTATTGGGTCACAATGAAGATACCAATCGCGTATCTGACTTCAGGGAACATTTCCTTTCATGAATTGGAAGAGCTCCCAGTTTTCCGTTTTAAAAAATATTTTTATTTGGGTGAGAAATAAGGACTTTTTCCAAAACACTAAAAACGCCCCAAATGGTGTTTTGAGCACTTCTGCGTCGAGAGAGAAAAATAGGAATTTCGGGAACGACTTTTTCGCCGCTCTTGGCGCCAAGACAATCGTCCATTTTAGGAAACTTAGCCCCTCATCTACCAGATGACTATGCAACGGGCTGTGGTAGCCTCAGAAAAGTTCCAACCATGGGTAATTCGACCATTACGAGGCTTAGAAATAGTCCCAGTTCCCCTCTCCACTATACCTGGGAGCTTCACTTTTTTTTTCGAATGCGAAAGTCCAAATTTCGCCGCTCTTGGCGCCAAGACCTCTGCTTACATAAGGGTGCTAGTACCTGGTGGCCTCTACCTTATCTGCTATCACAGCGTATCGAGGTAGAATGTGCGGGCCGCCAAATTGAGCTCAGATTCCGGAATCCAGCGGGAATCCAAATGGAATGTGACCACAACGCTCGTTTTTTACATTCCACTTCATTGTCGGGAATATAGACACCATTTGAACGAAATCTGGCTCTCAGAATGCAGCATAATCCAACGCCGCTCACATTTCCCTGTTGCGCGCAATCCAGAAATTCTACTTTTCCCTTGCATTTCATTCCTGTATATTCAGCTCAAATCGATATTATTGGTCTAAATATAGCCCAAGGTACAAATGACACCGTACACGACCCCGCCAAATTGCCCCCTCCTCCTTCAGACCACGCTTTCTTGCCTCAAAACCCAGCAGAAAAGTCACGGAGACCTCTTTTGGCATCGACAGTCGACTACAGAAATGCCGACACTCCGAAAACCACGCTCCGAAAACCACGCTAAGTTACCAGCCCTCTAGCTACGACTCCCATGCCGCATCCCCGCCAGCCAGGCCAACTTCTATGTCCTCCCACACTGCCCACAGTCCTCCAGCTAAGCGCCTTACTCCTGTCCCCATAACCCTGCCTGCTGCCAAAACCACGCCCAATCCAACGCAACTTCCAGGCTCCCGCCAGCGGCCGCTTCCCAACTTCTCGCAGGTACCGAAATTCGAATAGTTCCTAGGCAATTTTCGACACGCTGTACGATAGCGGAGGCCATTCCAGTGATGATATTGTGAAACTGGAACTTGGAAGAGGTGGTGGCGGGTGCAAGCTATCAAGAGTCGTGCTAGTCGTTGGAAGGGATTGGAGCCTCGCGCATGTTGCAAGCCACCTTTCGGTAGGAGTTTGAATTGACTTGTATCAAATCAACGCTTTTCGCCTCGCAGAACTTAGAAGCGTGACAACTGTGGAATCTAACAGCGGTCAGATCTCCGCCGAATTCTCGCTGAATGCCAGAATGTCTTGCCTCACATATTCTGGAGGCAGAATTTCGCTCGAATTGCAGTCGTGTGCGAGAATTTTTAGCATTCATTATATGCTTCTTCAATTCTGGCATGCGGATTCTGGTGTGCATTGAGAGCAAATTCTGACGTGTGGCTAAATTCTCGCCAGATTCCGCGTGAATCCCACAATCCAATGCAATCCAGGCGCTCGCGGATTCTGCTCTGATACGCTGTGTATTGGCTCCTACCATTACACGTAAGTTCAACTCGAAATGCTCAATGACTCTGACTGGTTGATTGCTATCGCGGTAGAACTACGGACGGGTTTTCTCTATCGATATCATTTCGGAGGCGTTTATTCTGTCGACGTTTTCTTCGCAGTGACATCCTCATGCCCACAGTCGACTGACCCTGGATCAGCGACGACCAAAAAGTCTTTTTGCCGTATCGATAAGACCGCCGACTCCTAAGCAGGGAACTAATCCCATCAATAGATGGACAATGATTTCAGCGGGCACGTTCAGGGCGAGACGATGTCATCTCGTTCGTCATTGACCTCACTCTCGAGATGTTCTGGGCTTTCTGCGATGGGAACGAGGGGCCTCGCGGGGTTACAATGATAGAAGTCATTGGCTATCTAGGATCCCCGTACGCTTCTTTCTCGGGGTATACGTATGGTTTGGTATTTCATTATCGGAGAGGATAGAAGCTGGTGTATTTCTCGGAGGGGAGGGGAGGGAGGAACGGAGTGGGGTGGAGTGGGAAGGCGGGTTTGACCTGTGTTAATAAGCGCCCGTGGGGGCGGCCAAGTAATAATTGGTGGGAGAGTACCCAAAGATACAAAGCGATGCCCCAGACTCCCGTCCTTTGTTCTTTCAGGACATACTTCTGTGACGAGACGTGCCGTTTTCCACAACACTTCTTCCGCGTTGTTGTGATACATAGAAATACAATAAGTTTCGACGAACTAGAAGATTAATGAGGTAAGTGCCCAATTACGGCTGTGGCATATGCAACCATTCATCCGAGCGCGCGTCTATTTCAATTTCCATTGATCTGTCAGAGACGTCAGGTCAAGCCATCCATTCAAGTCTGTTTAGTTGTCGCAGGGCTTGGAGGACTTCGAAGAACGCTGATTGGCTGCCTAGAACTCGTTCACGTCCATCCTGACCTGACGCCTGAACCTGAATAACCTTTCCGACATTGATTGTTCTAAGGGGGCCGGGGGACGAGTTTCGTGATTGTAACGGTAGCCTGAACAGACATCAGGTCCAGAGGGCCCATAGGCGGTTGACAAATTGTTGGCAACTGTTGGAACAGGGTGCTTACTCGAGTCCGACGGGATTGTTGAAGGGTGCATGTAACTGTGGGCTACCGCGTGTGAGATGCCTGGGCTCGCTGGGAGCACTGGAAGCTAATTTAGTGCGTGGAAGTGAGAGGCTGCATGATCGACCTAATTATTGTCGATGGGCGCTAAGATTACAGACTCAGGGATGAAGTACTTACTACCTGCATATTCAAATTGTTCGATTACTTATGCATACCGGCAGAAGCTGTACCGGCAGCAGCCCTTCGAAGGAGGCTACAGCTCGGTGCCTAGATTTCTGACGTTCCTTCATTCATGATTTGTCGGTGTTGAAGGGGGACGAACTGAGGCTGGCAAAATTGGTGTGCTTCTGGGGTCATTCCACAAGTGTCGAAAATAGGTGTTGCAGATGTGAATCATCATGGGCGTTTTCGAATAGTGTGATATCATGATACTTGGTTGGTTACTTGCGCACCCGTGAAGTGAAGGTAAGTAGGGAAGGGATTGAGTTGAATTGAACGGTGTTCAAGTTGGAGGGGTGGTGCTGTTGATTGGTCAGGAAGTCATGCGATGAGGTAAAGACATCATCGGAGATCTTGTAGACCCGGTATTTCACAGTACCGTATAGGATCCTGGACATTATGCGGCGGCGTCGCAGGGCCACATGTATCCTGCTGCTGGGACTAGAAGCTGGGAATGCGCACTAGTACGCCAGAACAAAATTCCCCGTACAGCGTTTCTCATAAACGCCAGAACTCGTCGGTGTCTGAGGAGGTGTGCGTGGGAGTTGGAATTTTTTGTCGTTTCAGCGGCGTTTTTGGGCGCTATCGTCGGCCCCGGAGCTTCCACGTTCAACAGCGATGGGAGAAGCGAACGGATCGGGAGACCGAAGCGCTATTTATGAGCGAGAATCCTGGGGTCTTCTTTGTGTAGTCCGCGAGGCTAGTGAAGTTAGGGCCATGAGGTGACTGTACCAATCAACGAATAACAGAGAAGGAAGGGGCTGTTGGTTTAACTGCTGTTGTACGTGGGATACGGTGTCGGCAGACGGCTGTTCCGGGTGAGTTATTAGTGCGGGGGAAGTTAATTCTCGGTGTGGATTAGCCATTTATTTGGGTAAGGGTTGGATGAAATGACATTGTATACTTCGTCAGTGGCCCCTTGGATGTCGATGACATCGTCTGTTGCCAAAAGGAATTGATAGTTCATGGGATGCGCATGGTTGCAAGGCTAACGGCTGGCTCATCCCCAGATGCTCGGTGCAGTGCTGCAGCAGAGGCAGATGGTGCAAGAGAGGACGCAGGGGTATTCTCAAGATTGTGAAATTGGGCGAGAACAGGGCTGGCCAGCGGACTTTGATGGGGTGGCAGAGGTCCGCGCTATTCCCGAAAAGGCAAGTGAGTTTGGGACCAGTTTGAAGTGTAGGCTTTTTGGTGGGATTGTGAGAACTTTTGGAGCAAGAGCATCCGGTTTTCTCTGGCAAGGTGTTCCTTGACTTTCCTGGTTCCTTCTTCCTTCGCCGTCGTCGTCCCACACGTCCCCAAACCCCTCGAGCTCGTCGTTGTCCCCCGCGCACTGGTCCCTAGGTCATCGACCTCGCGCGCTCAACGCACCATAGAAGAGCCGTCTCCCCCCGCGTAATAATAACCTTGGTCATGCGAATAAGCCGACTTGATTCCTCTCCAAGCTTCAGTCCACTTTCGTCGTGATTTCCGAATACCAGCTTTCCACCACCGACCAACTATAGTACTTATACCACAATCTTAGACAACAACTCGACCACTACCTATTCTTACTCACATGGCGTCCAGACCCTACAGTAATAGCCCCTGGCCGTCACCGACACCGGACATTCCTTCAACTCATCCTCCACCGCCTGCGGTCACATCGGACGGTTATGTGGAAGGTCGATCGATGAAGCGTAGGAGGTTACACTCAGCCCAGGTCTTGGAGGCAAGACGAGATGGCCTTGTCGCACGGCAGATAGTAGCGGAGCAGGCTCTCATAGGTGCGTCGCCCCGGCCGTCGTCGTGACGTTATCCCCGCGACTCACACATCTTGGTCCCTAGAGCAAGCTCGGAGAGACTGCCAACTATTGTCCGGCAACGAAATCATCTCCTGCTTCCCTACAGCAGGCATCAGCATACCCCAGCACCAATGGGCCACCTTCGTTTGTAGGTGTCGTCGCCACATAGTTAAACTAATTTTCCTCCCGCTCACGGCGTGTCTTCAGGGAATTCTCGCAGACCAGAACTCACACAATTCAACCGAGTCAACATCTACCTCTTCCGTGCAGACTCGAGGCAGGAAGTCCTCCGATTCATGGACCGACCCAACCCCACAGACCAAGCCGGTGTCGTCACCGCCAGAGTCGACGATCGATGGTTTGGTAGAGACGGAGAAAGGTGGGAGGAGGGCCGCAACATCAGCTACCCGTTCTACTGGGTGATTACTCGAAGTGACGAGGAACTGAATGGCAACGAGATACCGCAGTCGACCTTCAGTGCTATTCGTGAGTGATGTTCGCATCTGTCACACATCTGGCTTCTCAACTTCGATCTGTTTTGATTCCCAGAAACGACATACGCAGACTCCGTCTCAGCTTCCCGCTCTTCCGCCTCGGTTGCTTCCGCTTCTTCTGCTTCTGCAATCTCTGCGTCATTATCATCCGCCTCGGCGGCGTCGATGTGGTCGCTAACCGCTACCAGGATCACGACCATCTCAGGAACGCCAACAACGTTGACCGGTACCCTCGCCTTCCCTACGGGCAATGTCCAAGAAGATGCTGGCAGTGATTCTTTCCCGCGCTGGGCAATCGCAGTCATTGTCGTGCTCGGTTTCCTCGCCATCGCCGCGACTTGCATCTTGGCCTTCCTCATCCTTCGCCGAATCCGACGCCGAAATCAATCAGAACTTGACTCCCACCGCAACTCGATGGGCTCCGCATCACCTATGATGGCCAACGCTGCCCAACAACCCTCTCCCGTCATCGCTCCCACTATTCTTCCAACTGTAAGGCGCCCGGATTCACTTCGGCGCAATGACAGCCATGATCGAGGGGGTGGACAGAATGCGCCTAGTGTCGTCCTGCATGACGGGGAATCGGGCGTATCAGGCGAGGGCGGTCCGTTTAGTGGTGCTGATGCGGCTATTATGGCGGATGCATTCAGGAAGATGTTGCGGAAACCTGACTTTGCTGCGGTGGACGAAGGGGAGAGTCCTGACTCTGCCAATGACCCTGGGGGACCGGCTGGAGGTCAGCACATGCTCAGCAGGGAATTGGCTGAAGAGGGCAGAGATATCAGAAGCGTAGGATCAAGTAGAGGGGTTAGAGTGGAAAGCCTAAGTGATGCTGAACGTCCTCGCGATTCGCACCACCCGTCGTAACACTCTTTCCTGAACTTTAGTCCCGCTTCGTTCTTTGATTTTGGGCACCGTGAGGTACCTTTTATTATCTTTATATCCCTGTTTCCTGAGATATCCTTTTTTTGATCTCTGCGCTTTTCCATTCCTAACATTCAATGTTCCCCCTTTTTTGGATTGTGTCGTCTTGGTCGCTTTTTTTTTTTCTTTCCGTCTTCTCATTTGCATTCAATTCACAATCAATGTAGCATTTGTTTCGCAATTGTTTTCTGTTTTCTCATCCCCTCTTTATTTTTATTGTGTGACATTGTTTCCGTACATACCATTTTTCGTCATGGATATTTTTCCATGTTCTTACTACTACTAGTTCACTAACCTCCACCTACCTACCTTGCGCGTTTACTGGTTTACACCTTGTCACTCCTTTGGCTTCTTCCATTCCTTTTGTCGTCGACTTTTTTCTTCTACTTAGCTTAGTTTCTCCCCCCGTACTACACCCCCCTTTTGGACTTTGAAGCACCGCTTGATTTTATACCTTTCACTGCGCTACTTACTCTTCCTTCTCGCAGTGCAAATGCAGCCGTTTGTTGTTGCCTTCTTCTCATCAAGCTTTTCTTGGGTTTGTGGGCGTCTGGCAAGTCAGTGTACGACGACGACTCTTTCATCTACATCCGTCGCTTCCTTCCTATCTTCCTACCTTGCTTTCGTTCAATCGATTGTACTACGCCCGCTACCTCCAGCTTCTCTCCCTTGTATCCCTATCCTCTCGACCCATATACCCCCGTCTTCCCGACTGACGACGTAATGACGACCACGACCCGTGATGGCAATAACTAAAAAACCTACCCCAAGCTTACCTGGACCCCGACCGACCGTGGGTCGAGCTGCAGCTCGGCTTGCGGAGTATGCTTCTTCTCCCTTTGGCTGCGCCTTGTACATACTCATTCCACTTGCTTCCTGGGGGCTCCAGTCCAGTCCACTACATATCACCGCGCGAACATATTTGGTCCGCCGAGCATACCTCTACTACAGTCTACCGGACGCACAGGGACGACGTGTTCTTACCATGGCCACTCAGGCTGAGCCCCCCTGGATCCCTAGGCCTCCTCCTACCCAACCTTCGACCCCTCGTTATTTGTTTATTCCATCACATTATCCCATCATCGCGTTCGAGTCGAACATTAGGGCCGTTTTCTTTTTTACTAGGACACTTCTTTTTTTTCGAACCTTGAAAAACTTGCAAAGATATGTCAACTGTTACCCCCTACCTACTAAGTACTAGCTATAAAACTGGAGTGCCTTTTTTTGTTTTGTTTGGCGGGTTGGGTTGAAGTGGAGGGAGGGCCCGAGTGTGCGTGAAGATGTGGGTGTGCGGTTGTGAGGAGATCGGGATGAAGCTAGGGGAGGCTGGGGATTTAATCAGCAGTTGGGTTTTTGGTGAGGTGTATAGGGCCGGGAGGGCGCGTCGGGGCGCATCACTTTGATGGGCGCTTAAGGGGAACCTGTAATTATCCATCCACCATGATGCACCTGTTGACGTTACTATTGCCTCATCGACATTCAATATTACCGGATGCGAGTTGATACCGTTTAACGCTATTTTTTGAACTCGACTCGGAGTTGCCCGGTATGTGGTTCTTCCATCCCGCCTGTCGTGCAGGTCGCTGGTCTACCTCTTGGCCTGTGAGATTCGACTTCCATGACCTTCGCTCTTCTATTTTTGCTATGGCTTTACTTACGTTGATTATGACCTCGTGTTGAAGGGCGAGTTTCATTTCCGGGTGAAGTGCGAACGACCGACGTAAATGTCACAGCGCTCGGGTGCGCGGTGGTCGTTGAATTGCTCGAGGCTGGTTATATTTATAGAGAAGTGGATAAGTAATAAGTTGGACGTGATATTGAGTTCGACTGGTTCTCGATATGTGTCTTGGATGTCCACACTGGAGAATCTGTTCCAGCTTTTTTGAATTGAGTGGTCGCTCAGATTTGGGCGCGTGTGGGCGCGTGGCCGTGGTGTACTGAAACCCGGTATTCAAAGACGGAGAAACCTCCTACCTACTGTGGGCTTGATAGTGTTTCTAAATTCTCTTACCTACGCGAGTGAACAGAAGGCATCGGCAGCTTCAGCTGGAGGCTAATATCTAGCACTTGAATCGGGAAGAGTTGGCGCTTTGATGGCGCGTTGATCTGAGAGCGTCGCCAAGGACATTTCTCACACAAGCTTGACCAACGTTCACCGGCACCAGCGCGGTCACGTCGACCCCGAACGATGAGGACGCGATAAACAACATCAAGTCCACAGAAACAACAAGAAGTCCAGGTCAAGGATAATCGGGGAAGCCGCGTCGGCCTCGTGTATTACGGCTTTCAAAACGGTGCATGTGATGATACGGATGCGGACAGGACTATAAAGGCACCCGCTATCGCCGTTTGACTACTAATCTTTCCCCCGTTTCCTCCTCAGACAGGTCGTCGTAATGTCACCCAGCAATGGGGGTGACCTCAAGTGGCTTGTACCATGCATTGTGCTGGTGCCTCTGGTCTACACCTACCTCATCTCTCGCTTGACGATATCGGTTTCGCATACACCTCAACTGCCATCCACCCCAACCCCAGAGAGAATCAACCAGGCCCGCCAACGACGGCAAGCGCTTCAGCAACTGGAGACGAAGAAACGCCATCTCTCTCGTAAACCGTTTCCTTTGTTGAAGCTCCCTGTGGAACTCCGGATCCTCGTCGTACAGCATTGCGCCTCGTCCCCAGAAACGTTTTCGAGCCTTTTGTTGGTGTCGAGGCATGTTCAGCACCTCGCCTACACTAGTTGTCTACCCCTACTCCCCATTCGACTCATCGACGAGCATCAAATCATGTCGTTCTCTTTGTTCTTGGAACAGAAACCTTCGCTGTCGGGGTTGGTTCACCACTTGTGGGTTACGCCTCTCCAGGAGCCCTGCGTGACCACCGCGGTGGGGATCGTGAAGCGATGCACAAACCTGACAAGTCTAGCCTGTACAGGCAGAATGCTCCAAGACAGCGTTACCTCGGCTTTCCGAGGCTATCGACTCCACCATACTCGACTCAGAGAGCTCACTCTGTTGTACACAAGTGATGCTAATTGGGCCAATATACTCCATTCTCAAAGCACCATCTCCTTCTTCCAGCGGCTTACCCATCTTCGGTTAGTGGGCGATCGCGTGCCAGCTGGGATCAAGTTTCCTAACCTCGTTCAAATCTCGTTCGCGTACAACGCGATGCAAACTTTGGGGCACGAGCTGCTGGAGGATAAAGAGGCGTATCCGCGATTGCAGTCGGTTGCGCTGGTTCGAGAGCGGACGCATCTTGGGAGCAGTGTGCGTATTTGGAGGAAGCCGAATCCGGACCCGGCGCACACCGACAAGAATGTCGTCAGCAACGTGTTTGTGTATGAGATTCCTGCTCAATGGACAGAGCTTAATATGTGGTGTGACAACGCCTTGGGAAAGGGGTTCTGGCAACTCTGCGCTGCGACATGATGGTGCGTGTTACCCTGTTTCATGTCGTCGTGCGCGATTGACGCTTTTGTCGCAGTGCTCTGAATCTAGACGAATTTCAACTGTAACTATACGACTGTATCCATAATGTTTTACTACGCGGTCTCCTGAGGCCAGCACGGCCAGGCTGCGACCTCATCCTTGAAGACTCGATCGCGATGACGCGCAGATTATCTTGCAGTTGTCACTTCTCATTCGCGAGCCACCGGCCAGGTATATAATGGAGGTCTGGCTCCTTTCTTTCTTTCTGTCCTTAGCCCCGGAACTATCACAGCAAGACCTCTCTCTCTGGATTGTGTCGACCCTCGGTCTTGCCCCACTATGACGCTGGCGAACGCCTTCTCTATGATGGCGTTCCCCACGTCGGTCTTGCTCATGGCTCACATGTTGCAGCCTGCAGTCCCCAGTTCCGTCTATTACGCCTTCGACGAGCTCCGCGAAGCTCCTCGGCAAATCTTCAATGGTCTACCCACAGCAAACCGCATCCTCTCCCGAGTTGAACGCATTATGGATGGGGTTGACGCCCTTGCCAATGAATTCTCCAGCGGTACTCTCTTCTGGACTTTTCCCATCCTTGAGAGGGAGATTCGACGACGCGAGGGCTACAGGGGACCCGAAACTTGCACCCCCATCTGGAACGCTTCCAACTATTTCGTCCTGTACCAATGCCCGCTCCCTGGACAGACCAAGGTCCGCAAACCTAAACTCGAATTTCCACCGCTTCCGTTGGGTCTTCCGCCCGCCCCTCCCCGGCTGACTGATCCCCATCCCCTCTCATACGTTGTGCCTTACTGGGAGTGCCCTGACGAATTGGTCGGTTCTCCCGTCCGTCCTTGGTTGCCTCAGCCCAAGAAGACGTGCGAGTACCCTCGTCCTCCTCCGAAACCCAAGGCGCAGCCTGTCCTGGAGCCCAAGAGGGAATGCCAACTCTTCTCTCGGACCTGCTGTTCGGGGAATGGAGCGCCATATCCTAGCTGGCATATCGCCCTGGACTTCCTTCTCATGTTTATGGCCGTGTACTTGTTCTGTCCCGAGGTGGTCTGCGAGACCATAAAGGAGACGCTTCACAAGCATTGCCCTCGATCTGGTATGTTCAGTCCTCTCCTCCTCAAATGGTTTCATTTCTGAAGAATTTATTGCTCTTAGCCGAGCGGTGGTTCTACTACCTCTTCCCTTCGGAGAGGAAGAAAAGGAAGAGATGGCCCTTGTCCTACTTGAGACCCGGAGCCCCTCGCATCCCGCCTGCCCAACCTGTACCGCGTTATACCCGTCCACCTTCCCTCTATAAACCAATGCCAGTACCCATGATGACCGAACCCGAGAAGGACCCTCTGTGTGTCATTCGGGATGCGCAGCTTGTTGCAGTCCCCTGGATCGTGCACGTTTCGCTCGTGGTTGGCGTTCCGTGTTTTAATCCGGAGGGTATGGTCTTTGACCTTCTCTGTCGACTCGCTTGTTGGATGGTTGGTGAGGTGTATACGAGGGTCTTCCCCGGACCTGAGCCGACCATTGTCATTCCCCCGGTCAAGCCTACCGTCGAAGCTCCTGTTACACCTCCAGGACCCAGTACCCGCTGTGTCCCCGCTTTGATATGCATTCCTGGTACACCTTACGTTCGCAGGCCTAGGAAGACTGTTCGGGATCGGTATCGTGTGGTACGTGTCGTGCTTTCCTTGACTCGATGGTTCACGTATTGATTTGTTGGTCGTGCTGCTTAGAAATCGGAATTGGAGGAGAAGGTTGAACGTAATGACACTCCTCCGTCCAAGAACTTGAAGGATACGACTGCTGTCAGTGACAGCCTGGTCGTTCCGGAAGCGGTGGACTTGAAAACCCCGGTAGGTGTTGACTCTCTTTCTAGTCTGGGAAAGGAAGGCAGACTGACTGGCATTTGTAGGTGCAACTTCCTGCCAAACCGTCTAGTACTACCGATAGTCAGCCCAATGTTCTCGAGAAATCTGGTTTTGTAGTTAACGACGAAGTGTCTGCTGTCAGTGACAGCCCCGTCGTCGACGAGGAAGCCATCGAGAGAACATTGGTATGCCTTGATTCCTTTTTCGTCTGTTGAGACTTGGCTGACTTGGGGGTCTGAAGGTACAACCTCTCACTAGCCAGCCCAACTCCGCGCCCGTTGTCATTGTCGAGACTTCCGTCCAGTCTGTGGAACCGGCGGACTCGGACGCCGACAAGTACTCCATCTCCGTCTTGCCTATCCCTGCTGAACTCGCCGAAGACTGGGTGGACGTCGCCAACGAGTGTGTTTGCATCGATGCTCCGCCAGATGCGACTGCTGATACTGCCGAAGACCACGGTACGCGAGTCGACGTCGCGGAGGAGTCTCTCGATGTCGGGACGGTCTGTGCCACTTTGCCTTCCTCTATGCCTGGGTCCTTCCCCACCGGAGATCTGGAGGCCACTCTCGAGCTCAGAACTGTTGCAGAGTCGGTCGTCGAGCTCGCTCCTGCTAAGATTCAAGTTGACGTCGAGGAACAGAGGGTTACGGGCGAAGACTCGATTGGTCCTATGACTCCTGTCGTCGTGCTTTCTCCTCCCTTCACAGATAGCCATACCCCCTCTGGCTCGCCTCCAGACATGTACCCCATCGCCATTGGAGGCCTCGCTTGGGGTGTCGGCCCGGGCTCGAGCTGCAGCACCTCAGGTACTACCGCGTTTGAGGACTCCAATGTAACGACCGAAAACTCGATTGGTCCTGTGACCCCTGCCGTAGTGTTTTCTCCTCCCTTCACAGATAGCCATACCCCCTCTGGCTCTCCTCCAGACACGGTCCCCATCGCCATCGGAGGCCACACTTGGGATGTTAGCCCAGGCTCGAGCTGCAGTACCGGTACCTCAGGGATGACCTCGTTTTCCGCCTCCAATTTGATGATGGACCTAGCGGGCCTCGTCGAGGGCATCGCTTCGAAGATCGTCAACCTCGCGGACCTCGTCGATGAACTCAATGCTGATGATAGTGTGCTCGACGCTCCCGTGTTCTGTGAAGAGGAGGGGATTGTGGTCAGTGTGCTCGACTCTTCTGCTCTTTGTGAAGAGGAGGGGATTGTAGTCGGTGATCTAGCACAGTGGCAGGAGGACAGCGTTGAATCGGCGCCGGAGGACAGCGATGATTCACCACGGGAGGACAGCGATGAGCCAAAAAAGGACTCGGAGGTGCTCAACGACTGCAACGCTCTCGACGAGGTGCATCTCGCTGATGCGGCGCGACTTGTTGCCTTTTTCAATGCTGAACTTGATGCGCACCGGTCGGCTCGTGCTGCTTCGACGATTTTCTGGAATTGTGAGAGGGCCCAGCTTTGTGATTCGGTTGTCGAATCGAAGTCAGAGCCCTCGCAGTCGGACTCGGAACCCCAGGATCAGGAAGGCGAGGAATGTGAACTTCACGACGAGCAGCAGTTCGATCACGCAGCACCTCCTTCCCGTGAGTCCCTTCCCATTCTCAACCATCCAAGCCAGAAAACTAACTCCCAACAAGAACTCGTCCCCTTCACCCGCTCAACCTTCTTAAAGGCTTTCCTACGTGCCCGCAAACGCGCGCGAGACCGCGCCCGTCTCCGTTCGGAACTCGTCCTCCTCATGGTCTACGGTGGAGGGTTCGAACCCGACCTCGTGAACCATCCTCGGCCGACCGTTGACAAGGGACCGATTGAGCTCCCGCATCCGCATGGGCTGTTCAAGCGGAGTCGGGGGTCGAAGCAGACGAGGATTAGGAGGGCGAAGGAGAGGGATGCTGCGAGGAGGTGGGTGAGTGGGATGCGTGCGTGGGTTGATGAGGTGGAGGAGGAGGATTGGGAGGAGGAGGATGAAGAAGACGATGAAGATGATGAAGAGTACGAGGGGGGAGATGATGGAGAGTCCGGGGAGGAGGAAGGTGATGAGGAAGAGCAGAAAGGGCTGGATGAGAAGAGGGGTACATTGGTTCAGCCGGAGGAGGAGGCTGGAGTCAAGGAAGATGATGTGGAAGCGGTCGAGGAGGCCCACCAAGAACAGTCTCCTGTGATCGATGAAAGAGTCGAGAGTGTTGATGAGGCGGTTGTGGATCAGGTTGATGAACCGGGTTTTACCGTCGTGATGTCCCGCAGTGAGAGGCGGCGGGCACGCTATGCTAGCATAGGCGAGCGAATTGAGGCACAGCGGGGTGCTGTAGCGGCTGAAGGACAGGCTGTGGAGTCATTTAGGGCGCAGGAGGAGGAGGAGGAGAAGAAGTAGAAGGTTGTGGTGGAGAAGAATAAGCCCGAGGTGGTGAAAGAGAAGTTTGAGGTGATCGATTGGTCACGGGTCGAACCAGTTGCGCCAAGCAAGACACCAGTCAAAGCAGGTACATTAACCTGGGCGCAAGTCGCAGCAGCTGCGGCGAACCAGCCACCGGTGGAAGCAACATCTCCCAGTCCAGCACGGACCGAGGCGCCTCCATCTAATCAGCTACGAATTGAAGAACCTGCACCACTGAACAGGGCACGGGTGGAGGGTGCGACACCAAACTGGGGACGGATTGCGACGGCCGCATTGGACCAGGTACGAGGGGACAGAGATGCGCCAAGGCGGACGCGAGTTGAGGAGGCCACATCACTGAACTGGGCACAAGCAGTCTCAGAAGAACCTGCACCAAGCGCCGCGCGAGTCGAACCACGCACACGAAATCGGAAGAAGGGACGGGACGAACCCGCTCGACGAAACCAGGTGCGGCTCGACACGCTTCGATCGAACCCAGCGTGGGTGGATGCCAGCGCACCTGCGCCAAATTGGTCGCAGGTCGAAGCGGAACCTGTTGGCGGTGCCAGGGGCACAGGCCGGCGAGGTGGACGCACTGGGCAGAGGCAGCGTAAAGGACCTGTTCGTCCTTGAATGCGACCGGTAGGACTGGAGCGACATCATCTATGTCTGGTATCCGTGTTTTCATTACGATATACTTCTATCCATGCCTTGAGCATACACGGCAGGGCCCGTCGTGTACGTTCAAGGCTTGGCTGCAACTCGTTGCATTTGTTATCTTTTTCCCCGCCATGCTTTGGAATTTTCATTTCGTTCTGTTGCACTTTTCGGTTAGTTTCCATCTGCTTCCCGTCTATTTCTTTTCAGTGTTACACTCTTCTCTGCTGTGCCTGGACCTTAGCACGTATTAGTACTGTAGATCTACCCTATATCCCTGCTTGTCTTTTAGTTTTCAGTCTCGTTGCTACCATTGCTCCTATAAATATTATTTCGCGCGCATTCTGTTCATAGTTCAAATTGAGTTGAATTCGAATGAATGGGCATGCGAACTCGGTTTGTCGAAGGAGTAGTTTGGGTCTGTAACGGGAAGCGCTCCAATTAAGCGCGCGTGGTTGATCCGGGCTCCAAGAGTGCATCCCGGTGTCCGGCAATGTACCCGCCAGTGTGGCCATGCTCCGTTAAGATAAAACGATGGTTATCACGATCAAACACCGAAGGAGGGGTCAGGGGAACTGAGGGGAACTGCTGTACCTATGTATTGCAAATTGCGCAAAGAAAGCTGGGGCGCGCTACCGGTTAAGCACCAAAAGCCAATCGGAACGACAGAGACCTATGTAGGCCAGATGAACCCGATCTATCTGCGCGATAGTACAGGAGAAACCACTGATTTCGGCAATGTCCTTTCTTGTGCTCTTCTACGAAGGAACAATGGGCTGACAGCTCGTTACTGGCAACTTGACGTGGGTTGAGTTGACTGAACCACATGTCATATGCTCGGTGAATCTTCGAAACACGCGAAGTGACGAAGACGTCGAAGCACAAGAACCCCAACAGTGTTGAGGACATGTTTCCGGATCCCGGCTATTGAAAACACCCAGAATGCAGTCAACTGTGGCGAAGTGCTTGGTCTATCCAACCGAGATCGCGTTGGCGATATATCGTTCTTGCGGGCTTCAAGTCGTAACGGAATTTGTGGAGGATATCGTGGTATCTTCACAGAACCCCGCACGACCCCAGATGTGGAGAAGGGCGTCAAGAACGGTGAGCGGAGGCATATTTGTTTGTCGGGGTGGGTCGGCAGGAGATATCACGTGGCAAAGAGGGCGCGTGCCGGTAGCCGGCTAATAAAAGGGACGTCGACACAAACACCGGAGCCGCTCGTCGCACAAACCCAAAAGCTGCTGGACACGAGCGGAAGTGCTTGTTTTGCCTTTTGCCCGTCGTCGTCGTCGTCCACAGCTTAGCCCACCTCGTTTTCTATGCTCAGACTAACTGCTGCCAACGTTTCCAAGAGGTTCCTCGTAAGTCGACTTCAGCATGGAAAAAGGATGAAGCGTTCATTTATTTATCTCATTTAAATTTGTAGATTCCGTCTGCCTCAACGTCCACAACGAGCATCATGTCGCGCAAATCGTCGACGAAAGCTGCGGTCCAGGACCCACCACCAGGCTACGCCATTGACCCCAAGGCGCCACCGATGCTCCGATACCAAGCTTCGCTCCCTAACCTCCCTGTCCCCACACTCGAATCCACCGCCGCCAAATACCTCGAAACCGTTCAACCTCTACTCACCCCCGCCGAATTCTCAGAAACTCGTGCAGCAGTCGACTCCTTCCTCCAATCCCCCCTGTCCAAGGAGCTTCAAAAGCGCCTCCAGGCACGCGCGAGCGAGAACGAGAGCTGGCTCTCCGAATGGTGGAATGAAGCTGCCTACATGGGCTACCGCGACCCCGTCGTGGTCTTCGTGTCCTACTTCTTTGTGCACATCGACGACAAGCTGCGCAAGGACCAGGCCAGCCGTGCTGCCAGTCTGGTGAAGGCTATGTTGCCCTTCAGGGATATGGTTGAGAGTGGACGGTTGGAGCCGGAGAAAGTGAGGGGGAATCCTCTGTGCATGGCCAGCTACAAGTGGCTCTTCCATTCTTCGAGATACCCTGTCAAGCCTTCGGATAAGGCTGCCAAGTTTGACGCCAAGGAGAACAACCATATAGTCGTCTTGAGGAAGAACAGGTTCTTCGTCGTCCCTCTCACCAACAAGAGCGGTCAGGAGGTTAGCTACGCTGAGCTCGAGGCGTGCGTGTTCTCCCTTGCTTTGCTTTTGACTGAAATCTGACGTATACGATAGTCAATTCAACAAAATCAAGCAACTCGCTGGCGACAACGCCGCTTCAGTCCCTGTTGGCGCCCTCACCTCCGACCACCGTGACTTGTGGGCAGACAACCGCGCCAAACTCCTTGCTGCTTCCAGTATGTCCATACTTCCCTTGTAAAAGCTCATTTCCCTGACCTTTGATCACCAGGCAAGAACGCCTCCCTCCTCCAAAAGATCGAGAGCGCCATGATTGTCGTGGTTCTCGACGACGTTGCCCCTGTCACCCGCGACCAAGTCAGCTGGCACACCTGGACTGGCAATGCCAGGAACAGGTTCTTCGACAAGCACCAAAGTGAGTTGCAGTCTCCCCACCCGTCCCCACATATTGACGCCCCTTCTTTCAGTCGTCATCTACGAAAACGGCAAATCCGCATTCCTCGGTGAACATTCGTGCATGGACGGTACCCCCACTCTCCGAATGAATGAATTCATCCTCGCGTCGATTGACAAGGGCAAGATCGATTTGACCCCCAAGCTTTACGAGCAAGTCATCGACAACGTCGCTGCTCCTGAGGAGCTCGTGTTCGAGACCAACAAGGAGGTTGAGGAGGCCGTGAACGGTGCTTTGGAGCGTTACGAGAGGTTGATTGGTGGTCACGATCTCCAGGTGCGTGCATCCACCTCCTTTAACTTGGCAAATGATAATGACATCACCTTTCTCATCGTACTATAGGTCCTCCACTACGAAGGATACGGCAAGGAGCTCATGAAGCAATTCAAACTCTCCCCCGACGCCTGGGCCCAACTCGTCAAACAACTCGCCTTCCACAAAATGTACAAGCGCCCCGGTGTCTGCTACGAATCTTGCCAAACGCGTAAATTCAAGCTCGGCCGAACCGAGGTTATCCGTACCGTCTCGAACGAGAGCAAGAAGTGGGTCGAGGCGATGGAAGACCCCAGCGTCACCGACCCCACCTACCTCCGCACGCTCTTCCAGACTGCTGTGTCGCGCCACATCCAGTATGCCGGCTGGGCTGCTGACGGCCAGGGCGTGGATAGGCATTTGTTCGGGTTGAAGAAGTTGTTGAAGGAGGGCGAGCAGGTTCCTGCTATCTATACCGACAAGGCCTTCTCCAAGTCGAACCACTGGGAGCTCTCCACTTCCCAACTCTCGTCCAAGTACTTTGATGGCTGGGGATACGGCGAGGTCGTCCCTGACGGGTTCGGCCTGAGCTACAGCATCGGCGACAACTATGTGCGGTGGTGCGTGACGAGCTGTGAAGATGAGGGTGTGTGGGATACGGAGGGCAAGGATGAGGCATTGAGGAGGAGGAAGGTTGAGAATGGCAAGGCGAGGGAGAGGAATGCGTTGATGAAGCATTATTTGGCGGAGGCTGCTACGCAGGTTAGGGAGATGCTTGAGGCTGCGGCCAAGGTTGACAAGGCCAAGGCTGAGAAGGCCAAGTTGTAGACGAGGGAGGTGTATATACCATATTTGTATTCCCGATTTATTGCAGGCTAATCGTTAGGATGGTTATTGCGGTTGGATGACGACGCGAGGGTATGAAGTGACGAATGTGAGATGGATAACTGAGAGATTTTATCGAACAGCACACAGACACAGACCAGCGCGCTTAACTTGCTTATATCACCACTAAGTGAAAGCAATGTTTTGCTTTCCCGGACTACATACCTTTGTGGCTTGCCAGTGTAAGTTTTTGGGCTTCTATTTTATGTATTTGAAACACCGCTGCCATCAGGATCAACCGCCCCTTTGGCAGCTCGCTGGTATCTCATCGACATCGCCATTGGAATTTTACGATCATTGCTTTTGAAAATGCTTGGTGCTGTTGCATGGGATCCCATGAATCCTTTGGCGGAGCCGCGGGAATTCGCTGTCAACCTTGCGGCAAACGTCTTTGTTTTGGTCGCAGTGCTCGTAGGTGCGTCCGTCATCTCCCCCTATGCTCACACTGATTGAGCTCCTGCAGATGCTCATCTGGAAAATCGTAAAAGTTTTGTGCAGTGCCATTCGATTCGCAGTGCGCCGGTTGGTTAAAGTTTCAATCGTGGCCAATGCCTCTCCGAAGCCTGTGCCCTATCCAGGTTCAGGCCCCCATCCAGGTTCTGCGCCCTGTCCAGGTCCTAGCCTGAGAGATTAATTTGAAGTTTGCGAGCCTCTGACAAGCATGTATACTATCCATCCTGGCAAGGGCAGAGAAATCGATGGATCTCAGTGAAATTTGGCGAAATTGTGCTCTGGTTGTTGGGAGATTGGGAGGCATGCCGCGGGACAGGCTGTCCTACGGCGTACTCTGATTAGTACTTTCCCGTCGTTATCCATCGCCTGCCAGTCATCTGCACACATACGATCCGTTGCCTAGGCCGAAACTCGTTCCTGAATCCGTCCACGCTATTTCCCTACCGATATCTGAAGAAAATGTCACGGAGACTCCTACCCCTGCTTAAAGTCAAATTCCTCTGCACATCAGGCTGTCGAGAGTGTGGCAAGAGCAGTGCTTTCGGAAAGCCGGCTGCCAGCTTCCGGTCATTCCGGAGTAAACCTCAAACTTGGTTGGACGATCGGTGACACAAACAATGGATTCGAGCAGTAACAGTACACATTCAAGCAATCCTAGTCAAAAGCAATGTCTTACAAGGCGATCCGGATATCGATACTCGTCGTTCGGTGGTACACGCAATTGGTGGCCAGTCAAAGTTAAGTCCCTCACTCTTCCACGGGGAACAGGCGCACATACGCCTCCCAACCAACTGGTTTGATCTTCCAGTCGCTGGCCGAGTTGGCTTCGGGGTCACGGACGGAAATAGTGCCGTCGGTATTCCACTCCGCCTCGAGCCAGGCGACCTTCTCGGGGCCGATTCCAGGGAGCGCGGTGATTCCATCTTTCAAGATGGCACCTTGTATTTCTCCCTTCTTCGGGACCCGCTTGACCTTGCGTCGGCCAACGATAGGGAAAACTTCGAGAGACGGCATTTGTTCCTTGGGGACAATGTTACCGGAGTACTGTTTTCGAGGCGTGTGAGTTCTAAGGACGTCCAACAACATGCCAGTGCGGTACTCACCTTAACAACCTCGTAGTCGAGGTGCTTCTTGAGATAGTCAGCAATTTCCTCCCGACTCAGCGCGTCCAGCTCCTTATTTTCGGTGTCACGGACGATGGAAGCCAGCGCACGCGTGGCGAAGACTTGGCCTGCAACCATATAGCCGGATTGCTGCTGCTGGTGACAGTTCTCACAACCGCCCTCTCCTTGAGTCTTGGCGTCGAGCTTGGACGAGAAATTGACGACGCTACCAATGACCTTTCCTTGAAGGAGGACGTTCACAACGAAAGGAAGACCGCGCAGAGCGAACCTGTGGATAAGGGTCAAATGGTTGCTGGGGCATAGAGATAAGGTTGGACTCACTTCTCGAAGGCGACGTTGATGATTACATCTTCGTTGGCCAGAGCAACAAACGTCTCTGGATCGGGTTGGTAAAGGCGGTCGACAGCCGCGATGATGCTGGCCTTGTAGTCCTGATCATTATCGTACTTCCATCGTTGGAGTTCGGGGTAAGTGTACCCAAAGTCGAGGTGGTTTCGAGAAGCGTTGGAATCATAGATGTGACCTTCCTCGTCGCGGCGGAATGGTTGCAATGGGTCCGTGGGGTGGACGTAGCGGATTATCTTGCCATCCTTGTCGTGGACGGGCTCTTCTTCGAACCACTTATCTTCGTGCAGCGTCTGCCAGATGCTCAAGATACGGTCGATATTCCTTTCGGATGTCAGTAAAGAGTGAGAGGTAGAAGAAATGTCCGAGGCTTACGAATGATGAAGCCAGAAGATAGGATCGAAAGCGGCAACGGGAACATGGGCCATGTGGCCGAACGGTCCGCCAATCCAATTGTGCAGGTTGCTGTCGTGGGTTGAGAGGTTCGTTCAGCATGGGGCAGCGTTACTGCGATCAGCACCACTTACTTGTGAATACCCTCCAGAGACAGCCAAAGTTTCGGGTCCTCATTTTCCATAGGCCTCTGGGTTGTCACGAACCTAGTGTAGGTATTGAAGTAATCCTCACTGAGGAGCCGATGGACTGCTTCGGGAACTGTAGGAGGGTCGGGGAATACTTTGAATTTTTTCGGCTTCGACCAGTTGTGGTTTCCGATAGCCTGTCCGACCAAATCGTTGTTTTGCCAACCAAAAGGACCAAGGAAATTTTCCAAGTCCGCCTCGTTCTTACTGGGATTACCGGGCCATCGACTGGTAGCCTGAGCCCGATCCGTCTGCATCCGAATGTGAGTACCTGAGGGTTGGAAGATAAAAGTGAAAGCCTTACCGGGGTCGCCGTATACGGCTTATCGTCGACTTCCTGCGGCACGATACCATATTCTCCCATTTCGCCCTTCGCCTTGAAGGTGTAGAATGGATTGTCGATAATGACAATCGGACCACTGTGAGGGGTCATCGGGCTGGACACCTCCACCTCCGGCGCTTGGACGATAAGAGGAACGTCGTAAATCATGACCTCTTTGCCATCCTTGTCCTGGCGTTTCTTCTTGACGGCCCAATCCCAGTAAGGAAGGCGGAATTGCGCCGCCTGCTCTTTGAGAACTTCTTGATACTCGGCCGGGTATTTGGGGATCACTGTCCCAATCATGATTTCATAGAGACGTTGCTATATACGATTTCAGGATCGGGGCAATAATTTGACGGAAGAGACTGCTTACCTCGACCAAAGCCATGTAGGGGCGGTGCCAAGTGGCAAAAAGCGGAGTACCGTGTTCACAGTATTGTCTGCGGTAGAGACCCGCCTCCGGGGAGTCCCAAGGGATGTGGGGTAACCCGTGAATACCTGTAGAGGTTAGGTTAGTGGGTTGTGGAGGCGGGCTAGGACTGCAGAGTAGATCAAAACGTACCAGCAACCTGGAAGTACGACAACTTGTCGCTGTAAGGCATCTCCTGGAAAATCTTCATAGCCTGGTAGAGGAGGTCGAGCTGGAGAGCATATTTTGGGTTGGTAACCAGCTCGTCCACCTCAAGACGAAGGGGGACTTGGCCAGGCAATGGCCCGTGTCCGTCCTTAATCCCGGTGATAGGGTAGTAGCCGTTGTTGGTGGTGTTGGTAGACATTGCGAAGACTAGTAGAGCTCTGCTGGTGGTTAGACTGGGAGGGTCTGAGGGAAATCTGCGCAGATGGTTCTGCTCTTATAGACAACGGCCCACGGGCAAATCTTATCATTGGACCAGACTCGTTCATGCACCCTTTCAACGATTTTGCGGGTGTGTGAACGAACCTGGGACGGACCAGGAACGACAGTCGTGCGATCTGTCATAACTGGGAAATGATACAGGTGCATCCAGGCCAAATGAGCACGGTATTGAGCGGTTTCCGGCGATTAGTATCGCCTGTTCACCTGAGTTCTAGATAACTAGTTGGGTGTTTTCCAGGAAAGCCTCGGCGATGGAACATTGTTTGATAAGGTGGCGCTAGATAGACGTCCTGCATTGAAACAGTTAAGGCACATCAAAGGGAAAGCGCTCGGAATATTGCCTCAACTCCACAGGATCAGAAAACCCATGACCAGGCGCCCCTTCATTCGCAATTGTACAGCAGTCGTTGTTCGAGGTGCCACAGGTACCCAGTCTCAGCGTAATAGACAGCTCGGAGGGTTTGGAACGGGGCCCGAGTTCATAAAACGCCATAGCCATCTCCTTTTTTCTCGTAAAACAAAGGCACGGGCTCCAGTTTCGTCCCATCCATTTGATGGTCTTGGGATGACAAGTCGCATTTTGTCGGGTTGCTCCAACCTTGTTCCAGTTGTGCAGAATCGACCTGTTCTGAGGCCTGGGGCGTTCCAGCGAAAAGATCGTTAGCTAGTGGTCCCAAACGATGCAGGCATAGACAAGTCAGAGAATGAAGTTCAAGAATGGTCGACGAAGAACCCAGCTGTATTTGACCTTGTTAAGAAAGGAGGACGATGGCTTCGCTTCTCACGTCGTGGGTTCGAATCTCGTCTGCTACCCAAAGAGCCTCAGGAAGGATGACCGATTCACTTAACAGTTGAAGCGCCTCTGTAGGCACTGTGCAGCATTACTCCCGGATCATCTGAGAATATTGCGGGGAAGAAGAAATATACGCTTGTTAACGCGTGCCTAGTACGGCGTATTCAATCACGCGCAAGGACTACAGCATGCTACTTAAAGAGAGAAGCGAAACGCTCTGAGTATCAGGAGCCATTAATGGAGCCTGAGGGTAATATCTAGGTCCGTAGCTAACTAAATAATAATATATGCAAGGTATTGGCAATGAAGTCCACGTGTAATGAAAATGCGATGTGCTGCGTGCGCAGAGTAATATACAATTGTAAGTGAATAAGAGAAAGGATCAACCAGGTGCAACTAGCAGGGGCAGTAGTCAGCGTTGCAATTACTACCTCCTTGTAGCGTGCGTGTCATTTGAGCCCCATTCGAGATCATCCATCTGGATGTCATTGGGATATGGTAGCCCCCTGTCATTTCTCCGCCTTCTTCTAAACATTCAGGGTCAATCCACATGGTTCCATACGACTTTGCGGAAATCAAGTAGAACTCACGGAGAGCCCAGGGAGGACACTATGGATCCGGTCTCTCTCGAACCAGAAGCCCCGCTTGGGCCAGGATCTTCATTGGACGGCTTGACTGTGGGCTTCGTACTTGCTGCGGCCTGAGATTTGATCTTTTGTAGCTCGCCGACGTCGATAAGCTCGTCTCTGAGGAAATCCGCCGGCCCCTTGAGAGAGCCCTCCTCCAACAAAGCCGGGTATTTCTCAAGCAGCGCCTTTTGTCTGTCCCGTCTGCAAATAATTCCGGATGGTGAGAGGGGTTTCGTCCCTGTACAGCATAGTAAGCCCATTAAACATCCAAGCAGGTATCTCTGATTCTGGGCTTAACTCACCTTGCAACACGTTCATGTAATTAGAACCGAATAGAAGAAGAAACAGGAGGAACAGGACGCTCAAGATTCCACCAATCACTCCAAAGGCTGCCAGCACAGTCTTCTCCCTTTGGTCAACCACGAACTCCCAATAGGTGTGGTCGTTCTGTCCGAATAACCGGAATGATCCCATATTTGGCTTTGGGGGCGTGTTGGGGTCGGAGAAAATTGGGTTTACTTTGGCGAAGAAGTAGGTCCGTGTACGCTAGATATAGGGTCAGGGTTTTAGAGTAGAACTTTTGCTAAATGGAAATTCGCGCACGCTCATCAGGAAGGCAGCCCAGAAACGGTCGATAATCCGTCTCCTGACTCCCATGACAATCCCTCCGAGAAGGCTGACGCCGGGGAATATGTGGATCGGACGTGTGGCCTCGAATATATCCTCCAGATTGTCTGTCATTCCCAAGAGAATAGAGACCGATTTCCTTCGGGCGTAGTTGAGCTCAGGGGAGCCTGTGCTTGCATCGAGGGCAGTGAAATTGACTCGGATTTGGAAGTCGGGTGAAGCGGAAAGGGTGTAGGACTTGGTGAAATTGACCGCTAGACGGGAAACTCCATGAACATCTCTTCCGCAGAATTGAGAAACCGCAAAGTACCCACCACTAACGGGGGGCAATCTGCTGGGACATGTAAAGACAGCGGCTTGGATATTGGAGTTGATGTAGGCAACCGACGAATTCTTCTCCCCGAGGGCCAGGACGTCGTTGAAGACACAGAGAGGCTTATATTCACCTATCCCTCGTCAGAAAACGTCTCTGGGAAGAAACAGAAGCTTACTCGAGTCATCCCAAATCGGGGTTACACTCAGCGCTTCTTCCAGGGCGTAGGCGGACTGGTTTCCTTCTTCCACATACTGAAATGCCATCACCTCAGCACCTCCGTACAGATAACTGATGGAGAGTACCTACAGCGACGACAGTCCAGATGGGAGGCTTAACTTTCAGGCCTTCTCTCAAAGCCGGAGCCGTTCCGCGAAGAGTCTTGGCCGGGATTGCGCTTGTTTCTTGGATAGGTTCAATGAGCATCGAGTTGACGGTGACGCAGATGCTGATAATGAAGATCAAGCCGGCCACTAGTCCTCGAGACGCGATGAATTTCTTTGATTCACCCCTGTGTGTAAAGATGAAGTGAGTGGGCATGGACACGTAGTAAGTCATATCCTTTGACACCCACGGGGTCCTCTGGGCCCACAGGGATCGTCCCAGCAGACGATGCCAACGGGACTCTTCCTTCTCTTCCCCTTCTTGTTGGGTAGGATTATTGGTTGCTGTCGAGTCCAAGATGGTTGCATCGTCGTCCAGTTGCAGTTCAGGCCCCGGGGGGGATTGACGTCGACGAAGGCACGAAGTTAGGATGGTGAACAAGTGGTGGCCGTCCCGGATAATGAGAGTAAAGCCCAGCGTAATCATTAAAACAATGAAGCTTCCGCGGTAGATGATCAAGACTCCTGGGGCCCAGCGATTAAGTTCGTGAGACCGAGCGCCGACGATGAATCCGACACCTTACAACATAGGTTTCATGAGCGAAGGGTTTGAAGAGTACTTGTTCAGAGGGGGCGCCTACCGATGAGTTCGGCGACTTGAAGCACAACGTTGACGAACGGGACCCACCAGCGCCAGTTGTTTGACCAGAGGAGAAGGCTATAACATAAACGGAAATCAGCAATGTGTCGTCAATCACCATGTTTGTACCAAGTACGCACACGGCGGATTGATGCAAGCCGCTTAACCCGCAAAGCGCAAGGACTTGGGCAGACAAGGTCCAGTCGCCCTCAGCTTCGAGGGTGGAGCATGGGGTTTCATTGACTTGTTGGACGAAGATGATCATCCCTGAGATGAGCAGGGAGATGGTTGTGTATACTGTTGCCCTCCCGCAATAGATGCGAGCGTTGTCGATCCGTCGTTGCATGCGGGAAAGCGTTGGTTGTAGACAATAGCGCAAGGGAGCGTATGAGTTCTGGCGAGTTGCAATATGGGGACCCTGGGGTAGAGAAACGCACCGTACTTATGCGATCCTCTCCATTCTGTGTGTAAGGTCAAGAGAGCGAGCGTGGCGGGGTGTCGGTCGGGGCTATCCATGAGATCTGGAGACGATATCAGTGGGTGGTTACGCAGGACGTCAGGGCGAGGCGAGTAGTTATATAGCGACTACATCCCTGCTACAATTTTGAAAGAGAGCTGTAAACGCGTGGGCTCCGAGATGTCGACCGACGGGCGCTTACCTCGCGTGGCACCGTGGCTGTGGGCATCATGTGTGACTTTCCTGCAGATCTCCTGCAGATCTCGAAGACGTTTGGCCGAGGTTTCCAGGGCCTCAAACTTCCATTCGATAGATCGGACTGGCCTCCGCAGCTTATGAAAAGGCGACATCCCCGATAACGAAGACAGAGCATAGCAATCCCAACCCAAGTCCAACGACCTGACAACGTCGCACAGCATTGAAAGCAACTGCTGTCGCGCGGAATGGAAGATTTAACCTGGGGAAAGCGTACGAAGAGTCAATATTCAATTTTAAGGTGAGAAATCACTAAGTAGGGGAACCCGATGTGTTGAAACGAATACGATATAGGCGTACAGATGATGGTGATGATGATGATGGTGACGAGAATTCCAACGATAGTTCCAAAGGTCAATATGAAAGTTATGCTAATAGTAAGAGTCAATGTCACAGACGGACTTGTAATCCTATCATTTTCGTAGGTGACGGTGCACCCTGAAGGATCTTGAAAATGGTGAGTGGTGGTGTGCGCAGCCTGGCCATTTCCGCGTAGCTGTCGACTTATGTCGGCAGGGCTGCTACCGTTGACCCAACGCAGACAGACTTGTGTCCATTCTTCCTAGTGAAGGAGCCTGATGCGATGGACGGCTGCCCACGTCGATCGAGAAGCGGCGGGCCGTGGGCTGACATATAGTACAGCGTATCGTCGCGATCGTTGGGTCCGTATACATGCATTGCAGCGGGGTGGTGATACAACCGCAGAGGCGCCTTCTCGACATCGAGCTGGGGCGGTAAATAATTCCAATGTTCGTGCCAACTGGCACGACGAACTTTACGACGTGTTCTGGCGTACCGCCGCCAAGTGTCGCATTAGTAGTTCGTATCTGCAATAAGATCACGTTTAGCATTCGGACGCGAGGAAAAAGGTATCAGGACTCACGTTAGCATGGTCACCGCGCTATTAGGGACGGTCCTCAACAGATTCACCGATAGCCCCTTGTACAACGCCCGCCACCCTTCCTTCCTCACAACCTTCTTGACCGTATAGATCACACCGCCTCTTGTATATCTCTTGATCATCCCATCTGATGACATGTCGTCCGCAATTGGCCTCTTCTGCGTCTGCAGCCGCGTTCGAATCACTTCGTGTGGGTAGGTTGCAATGGATGCAGTCATTTTGGAGACCGCCGTGCACGCGAGGATGGCCTCGCTAGAGAGCGGCTTGTCCGAGTCACCCTTGGCCCAGATTTTGAGTTGCTCGTAGAGGGGAAATTGAACGGCGACATGGGCTATTCCGAGAAGACTTGGGAGGAGACCACGGTAGAACGCGTTCAGACCTTCCGTGCGGTAAATGGTCAAAGCTGCGTCGAGGGTGTGTTTGTATCTGATCTCGCCTGGCATCTGGGTCTACAGGATGCCCGTCAGCGAAAATCGACTCATGTTAGGAAAAGACGTACCATAAATCTAGTCTTGATGACCCAAAGAGGGTTCGTGCAGATAGTGCTGATTGCTCCGGCGGTCATGGCAGAGAATATGTATATTGACCACGAATGGTCCCGAATCAAGGGCTGGTAGCCCTTCACCTGCGCAGCAGGATAGATTTTCTTCTCGCCCACTGGGCCACCCCCATTTGCGAGAGGTGGTGCGCCGAAATATGACTTGATCCCGTCGTACACAGCAAAGTAGATGGCCCAGGTCGGGAGGTAGCCTAGGATGGTGGGGCCAAGACCTCTATACAGTCCGCGAATACCGTAGTCTCGTAGAATCGTCCTCACAGTCGCTACAAGAACGAAAAGAAATCGGTATAAATTCAGAAAATAAAGCCCAAGTGGAGCCCATTACGCACTCAGAGAACCCTGGTATCCCTCTTGCCCTTGAACTGCGCGTTGAGCTTGTAATTTGGTCTTGACAACATCGAGGGGACAAGTCGCAATGCTAGCTACCAAACCACCGCCGGCTCCGGCTGCTCGTTGAAAACAGAATCGTCCCATGTCAGTCGTGTGCTCGCAGTGACCACCAGCAACAAATGGGCTTTGTCCTCACCGATTACGCTGTTTGTGGTCCATTTTTTGTGGCCTTCCCCCATATCTCCCCGCAACTGTGCGGGGTATTGAGTAACGGGACGCCGCTAATTAAATATCTGCTCTCGAGGGTGGGTCGGGGCGGTTTTCGTCGTGGAAGATGGGGGAAAAGGGACTTTTTATTGAGCGTCGGCACCGTCAGACGATGTCAACGGTAAAAACCGGGATGATTCCAGAAATGGCCCAAGCCGAGACTCCGTTTGGACATCGCGCGATCGATCCTCATTTATGACGTTCCTTTTTCTCTTTGCTCCCTCCAAGTGCCATCGACATCTCTGGTGCCCGTGGACTCTGTGGTGTATGGTGTGGCGTCTAGTGCCACAGTTGGGTCTGCTGTGACTGTTATCATCGATTCCAAGCAGTCTCAACCAAGTCTCAACCAATAGCCTCGACGTCATGTCGAGGAAATCAGGTTCCTTCGACCCTGGCTGTCTTCATTCTCCCCTAAGCGACGAGCTTCGAAAACGACCCTTTTGGAAGCCTCTTCTGGAATTGCACCAGCCTCTGGGTACCCTGGAGTACTCTGGTCCCTCTTGATCTTCTGACCCGTTTGCCAGTTGTCCGTGATTTGGCAGTCGGGACTGACCGCCATGCGAGAACCCGGATCCATTCTCCAGAGGTTGTCTGCTCGGAAACTGGACGGAAGAAAGAGACGGAGTACGACGATCGATCCAGCATATCTTCGTGACCTTGCTCACGGGCGCTTATAACGGGCAATTTCTTCTAGGCCGTCACACCCCCTGTCCCAATCCTGCTCCCGAAGCCCGGGTAAGTTCTGACACCAAATGTCGCCAAACGTGTAATTGCATGCTGGGCACGCGTTAAATATCTTTGGTTTATTTTACTACTAATACAGGTCCGTCTGAAAGTGGGTTCCAGATCGGTGTCGAAGAAAGAAACAGGACGAAAAGAATGATTGCTATTAATACAGTGGATGCAGATAAACAAAGTGCGTTGTGGGTATGATTGTGGATTGAATGGAGACTCGAAAGCATGGGGTGGCGAAGGCAGAAGAATTAGGATAGTGAATAGACGAATATGTTGGTTAGGTCCTCTGGGTATGAAAGTGCAGGTTGATGAAATGATGAAGAAAGAGGGCAAGAGAAGAGAGCAGGACGGCAAGACATTGCCCATGTGAATTGGCTGATATGGGCATAGATGCGGTAGACAATGGGGTGCAGTTGGCGGTTGACGAGGAAGGACGCGCACGAGGCGCATTGAACATTATGTTCCTTACGCAGTTGGGGCGGTGGCGCTTCGAGGGACATTCATGAGGGCACCTAAAAGGCGAAAGATCTCCTCTGACCATCCTCTTGCATCTTTGCCACTTGCACCTCCAGCGCTCCCAAGCAAAGACCTATTCGGAGGTTTCACACCCGCTACACCAACGTTACAAAGCCGTGCCCAAAACTCCCCGACGTTCCCAATCGTTCCGGGTTGGGATTGTCCTGTTGCCGTCCATGACCCAACTGCCTCCTGGGGACTCTTCTGAGGCACACTCGCACTCCGCTCGGTGTTTGGACACCAAAGTCCCCAACCAGCGTAGTCGAGGATGTGGAATATCCCTTGGATGTGTTCAGTGGAGGAGGCTTGGTTCATAAGGATCCGGGTGCAGGCTTGGACGGTATATGGGCTGAGGAGGTTGTAGTTTGCACAGGCTCCGAGGAACTTGCAGAGCGCGAGGGCCGAGGCCACGTAGTCTTCAGAAGGGATGTTGACTACGGAGTGGAAGCATCGCTGTAGGGAAGTAAAGGACTTGAGTTGCCATCGTCGTATGGAAAGGAAGGAAGAGAGCGTACCTTGTCCCAGGAAGCGAGGAAGGTGCCAACCGCGACACATACGACGCGCTGAAGGAAGGCGCCGGCGGTTTTCCGTAACCTGGAAGTGCTGTAGAACGCATGGTATAGGCGACACATCCACTGGACGAGTGCGTATACAGGGTCGTGGGGGTCACCATCTTTATACATCCCTACTCCCTGGACAGAGGGATCGAAACGGATGGTGGGGGTCCAAGAGGAAGGGGCACCTTCAGGGTCCCTGAGGGTACTGGCATGGGCGATGCAATAGTAAGTGAGCTCGTCGATGACAGTGTCCTGTGTTGAGCGTGTGGATTCCGAGGCGAGCTCCCTGGCGAATTTGTTCACGCATGGGGTGCGAGGTTTGGGTCTTCTGCGCTGGTATGATGGGGTAGGGGTATGGATGAGAGGCTTGTTCTCGTCTCCGGGTGCACAGCGCACTCCTACATGGAAGTACCTATACCACCATGGCGCGATGGTGACTTTCTTGACCTCTATCGAGAAAATTGCGTGGATGTGGGATGTGGACACTTGCATCGCGTCATCAACCGTAGAAGGGTCGTAGAACTCCCATGAGGGTGAGCCAGCTTCGTTCAAGGAAAGTGGGAATGTGTTTAAGATATTATGGAGGACCCAGGGTGAGGTGCTTTTGTATGGTTGGATAAAGTTGATTCTCTGGCGTCGCCCGTCTTCGGGCTCGGAGAAGTCCCAGGAGAGTTCGTAGTCGCCGACGTGTGCTTGAGACTGTTGTTTCTTCTTGAGTATAGGCTTCACGATGCGACCTCCGGAGACAACATAAAGCTTGGAGGTGGAAGGTTCGGGGCGAGTCTTGCGGGGGGACCTCGTCTTGTAGGGGCTGTAAAGGCGACGGGTGCCCGGGCTGTGGATAGCGGGCATGCTTGGCACTCAACGCGAAAGTGAAGATGAAGGAGCGTTTGATGTTCAGTCGACGGTCAACGCGACGTTCCTACTGATGGTAGCAGCTGTGTCGTGTACAAAGGATCAACCTGCCAGTGGTGGGATAAGTTTCGGTTAGAACACTGTGTCTGATTAAGTTGACCGCGTCAAGTGGCACATTGATTGTTTTCAATGTTCACCGGGCTGAGTCTTATAAGAGGAATGGACCGGTAGAATCGCGCACTCACCTTTGCAAAGCAGAACGAGCAGATAGAGTGCACTTCTCTCTCAACCCCAAGTGGTTCGGGAAGAAACGACAGCGACGACGGTCCAGTCATTGTTGCGGGTTTTATACTGTGGCTAGCTCCGAGATAAACAAAGAACATAAAGGTTTTCGGTACCTGGCGCGTCCTTTCAAAGGTCGAGCTGACCATTGAGGCCACAGAATAGGGGCGTGATGATGACGGACCTGGTCCAAGACGCGTGCGACCCAAATCAATTGTCCTTTTGCCTCCGCCGCCATCGCCAATGGGCCCAGCTCCAAATCTCACTGTCGCCTCGAAAGCGTATCTGAAGATATACTTCCATGCCGCTAAGCATCTTCATCAGACGATAAATGGCGTTCTTCTAGGAAACCAGACTGGAGGAAAGATCGTGGTGGAGGATGCGATCCCTCTGTTGCACCATTGGACGAGTCTGAGCCCTATGATGGAGATTGGACTGGATTTGGTGAGCCTTCTAAACATTCACGACAGAACGAATGTCTTCTGACTGAGTACAACTTCTGTGTTCGATTCAAGGCAGAACAATACGCGGCGGAAGCTAACCTGAAGATTGTTGGCTACTACCAAGGACGCGCTGCTGTTGGCGACGTTGGATTGGGACCTGTTGGAGAGAAGATTACGCAGAGGATTAAGGAGAAGTTTGCTGACGCCTTTGCTCTGACGGTGAGCTCACAGTTCATTGTCCCGGAATTCACCCCTGATATTCATATGACCCAGCTCGATGGAGAAGACTTTGGTACCGAGAAGGCTGCCTTGGTTGTAAGCCGAATTCACCTCGTCCATAATGCTCAACGACACTGACCGCCTGTTTGAAGGTCTGGACATACACCGAGAATCAATGGAGGAGAATAGGGAGCTCGGGCGCTTCACCACCGTTCACGTCAGGTTCATCAATCCAACTCGACTCGCCCGACCTGCCTCAAAAGGCTTTATCGTACGTTCGCGACAAGAGCCTGCACCTGCAATTTGGGGACTTTGACGATCATCTGGAGGATGTGAAGATCGGTGAATATTTGTCGCTCTACCGACCCCACGAATGTGCTGACGGTTTGGGCGATAGACTGGATACACAACCGGGAATGTATCCCTGTGGAGTAGATAAGCGCTGTAAAGCGAGAATGGGCGTATGTTTGAATGAAATCCGGTCTGTTTGAAACCACGAAACGGCGGCGAGAGTGGGTTTTCGAGTCCTCTCGCGCAGCTGTGCTTCACTGTCGCGTCCTTCGCATACGCTGTTCATGTATTAGCAATGAATGCAGTCATGGAATCTTGTCTATTGAATTGCTGTGTTTCCAAGTCGAAGTTAGAGCCATCAGCTCAAAGCTTCAAGGAATTGACATGGTGGTGGTTGCGAGTTAAGATGTGTGGGAACATCAGATTCAATTGAACTTTGGTCTGACCTCCTCACGATCACCTCGTTCTGCCAGGACTTCTACCCGCCCGGGTTTTCTGTTGTATTGGAGGTAGACAAAGGTCTTTTTGCTGAAACAAACCTCCTAAAAATTATGCCCTGGACGGCCCACTTCTAGGCGAAATCGACCAAAACAACATGCAATCGCCACGTTACTCACCCGTCGACGACACCACGACGAACGACACCTACTTTAAGCCCTTCCTCCCATGCAGTACAAATGGAGAGCCTCTGGCCGACCCAGGCGTCTACTCGCAAGTCTGTCGTAACACTCATTGTGCTGATCCAGCCGGTAGCCTTTGCATGTCTTCTGCCTTTTCTGCTCACCCAGCGATTTGGATTTCTTCCCTCTGGCAATCAAAGACTCCTTCACCTATATTGACACGACATTAAATCGTCTTATGCCCTCAGAGCGGCTCCTGCGAGGCGTTGATTTCCCTCTTGAAAATTGGTGCGCGTCGACAACGCGTCGGCCGACTCTCTCCGACGCAGTGACACCTTCCAAATGCGTGCATGGTCCTTCCTAAACGGGCCACGCCGTAGGGAACCCTCCGTTTCCTTCGTACGGTGAGCCCTCGCCCTTCATTTGACTAGTGTATCAGATATACTCACTTTTATGATAAATCTAACATGTAATTAACTTGGAATTATGCCCCTGTGCTGCAAACAACCCTCTTTCACGCCCCGCCGCAAATTAAACGCTGCGGACTTAATCTGGGGTACCAGGAACCCGAAAAGAAGATTCAAGTTGCGTCTATATAGCGCGTAGATGAAATGGAGGTCATTGGTCTCTGTGCGGCAAAGTCGTGTCGAATACCGACGGAACTCTGGATATGAGCACCATTGGTAAAACAGACTTAATTCCTCAGTCAGCTGCGAACTCTGGCCAGGCAAGTCTGCGCCTCATGTCGTGGTGAGTACATTGTACAAAGACTCTGCTTTGGCTTTGAAACTTAACGACCATCATTTGAAAGCCACTTGGACGGCCCTGGATTCAGGGTCAGGTGGTAACAGCGAATGGCCCAAGCACCCGCCGGCGCCGGCGGCGATGGTGGTCATTCGGCCGTCTCGTATCGATCTTGACGCGTCTGGGGCTCTGACATTGTTCAACTCGAGCAGAGTCACCCCACATTATCTTTGACGTCCCCGACTGACGGATAATGGAGGCATTGGCTGAAGACAATCCAAATTTCAGTCGGCGAGAGGTAGGTTTGGACAATGGGACGGTGTGGCTCCGGCCGCTCGGAGATGTTCCCAAATCGAGTGTTTCTACCACAGCTATGTCACGTTTCCTGTGTCTACTTCTTTGCCAGTGGCCTTCTATAAAATCTGCAGCGCAAGGGTTGGATCGGGTACTTACGCCACTCCTACCCTTCAATTGCTACATCAACTGCTACATCTCCCCGTCACCACAGTTTATCGACAGGATACTTTCCATCTCTTCCTACGCGCTCTCTTTCAAACTACTTCAACGAGCTTATACGACAAGGTGTGTTGTTTGCAGCCGGAAAATAGCTCTATCGGAACTTAAACAGCGCCAGACCTCGACTCCACGTCCGACATTCTACGACACGATCTACATATCATGGGTCCTGAGCAATCTCCGTCGGGAGAACTATCTGAACCTACATCCTCTCCGTACAGCCTTCAGCGGTCACCGTCCTCGCCAGACACTCCAGGTAGCGCTTCCACAGCCGCCACCACTCCCCCAGTGGTACAGGCCGACGCGTCCTTGAAGCTCGGTCGGACTCCCACACCCAGAAGCTCTATCAGCCCCCTTGAACGCTTCATCGAATCGAACGGCTCTGAAACTGCTAAATCACCCCTTCCCAACCTCACCACACCTCGGCATGCCACCACGAACACAAGTCCTCCACACGCGCAGCTTCTCGATCTCATCGGAAACCACAATCTCCTCGATAGTATGTGGGTAGGCCCCATGCCCGTGGAGAAGTTCCTCTGGGAGTATGGATTCGCGCAACAGTACGATGAGTTTAACTACTATCAGAACTGCCTGCGAGACGATCCCATTCCGCGGCCAGGTAACATCTTTTCAGAGATGCCATCGCTAGCGCCGACGATGTTTGAAGGACCGGAGGACCTTGAGGACGAGGGATCGCTGGCCGTATACGCTGAGAACGGTCTCGTCGAGCAGCGGAGGAAGGCGGCTGATGCATTGGTATGTCTATTTTTCCTGGTAAGATAAGTTGTGCTGACCTGAATTCCAGATTTCTGCAATTGATCAAGCGGGCATCTTGAAGGACATCACCCTTCACAATACTGTGTACCTGCCTGGAACGGTCCAGTGCCACACCGTCCAAGTGGAGAAGACCGAACTGGTCTGCGAAGACAGTGAAGACGAGGAAGACGTCTCTCATACCGACGGAAGGATTTCTCCTTCCTCGGTAAGCTCGTCCGGAGGATCGAGAATCGTTCCCGTAACCACCACTGGAGACCGACCATTCTATGTCGAACTTCTCCCCGACATCTCTACCAGCGATAAGCTGTCCATACCACCGGAATGCTTGTACGAATTCCATGCATCCCAGGAACTCCTCATCGTCAACACCGGTATCGACCCCTTCGACCCCTTCCTCACCCCAGGCCTCACCTCCGACTACTCACACGAACTGCACTTAGCCGAGCGCGACTCCATGGATGAGGTCGAATGGACGAAACGAGCAAAGATCCGCGAGGCGTGGGCTCAGCGGGACCGGATCAGCGTCATGATTAACGAACTTTACTCCATTTACTCCCACCGCAAGTCCAACAGGCACTCTCCCCGCTCGGTACCACTCAAAGGTCTCAGGACGCACACCTACCTCGTTCTTGTCTTCGACCCTTACGTCCGCTTCGTGCGGGTGGATTATAGCGGGGTGGTTGTTAGCGGTAGGGCTAACTTCCGTGATGAGGGGCTGCCCGGTCCCGATCCTCGACGCCCGTTCGAGGTTTTCTTGCGGGGGTTTGGCGAGATGGATCCTGGTGAGAGGGGGTGGGATGAGAGTGTTATGCTTGCGAATCGTACGGTTTATGGAAAGCGTATCAAACAAGCGAAGCAGGCGTTGGCTGAATGGGCTTGGGACGATGAGCCAGAGTTTGTGGGAAACGAAGAGGACCTCGTCTGCACGTACGAACCGTGTAGGGGTGATCCACCCCTGCTGGCGTTCAAGGTTCCGACTGACCCGAGCGAAGACGCCAAGGATGGAAAGGAGCAGTTCGAATACACGACCGTCTTCGCTCAGTACCCGCTCGAGGAACGTCCGGTCGGACCCAAAGTGCATCTGAAATCCAAGAAGGCGATCGCCCTCGATGACCTTAGGGAATTCTATTCCCCATACGCCCCTCTCTACGACTGGAAGGACGTCCACATCTTCTCGCGCAACACCCTCGTCTTTCCCGTATACAACCCCGGTACCAAGAAGGTCAGCTTGATGAAGGACTCGTGGCGCATGGTCGACTCGCCCCATTGTCTCCCGGAGAGTGAAGTCCTACGGAAACTTAACGCGGATGGAGTGAGGAATGTACCCGAGTTGGAGTTTGGGCAGGACGTTGGAAAGCTGGGCTTTTGGCCGTATAGTCGGGCGAGCAAGGCGGAGTGGAGGCGAAAAGAGCTGAATGAGTACCAAGAGACCCTCGGGCACTTGTATGCGGAAGAGCAGTGGAACGTGCTTTGGGCGGACTGGAGGGTTGGGGGTGGGAGTCGCAGGGGGCCTGTGAGGCATATGAAGAGGGTGCACCATCGGTTTGTGACCTCGTTCATTGGGAAGAAGTTGGATGATTGCAGGGGATTGGAGAACTCGTATCCCTTTGTGAAGATCATTTATGATGCGCTGGTTGGTGAGTACTTGACATTTCTCTGCAGAGATATCGAGCTAAAACTGATATTTCCCTTCTCTAGCGCATGCCGATGCGGTCATCAAGAGCGGTATCTTGCACCGTGACATCAGTATTGGGAACGTTATGCACAACGGCGAAGGGGATGGTGTTTTGAACGATTGGGACCAAGCCCGCTTCGTCGATTATGAAGTCCAACGATGCGAGACAGCAGGGGTATGTGTTTCCTTCGCCTAGTGCTTGAATCATTGTCGCTAACACATTTATCAGGGTACGCACGCTTTCAAATCTGCCTGGCTCATTGGATCCGACTCTGAACGCAAGAACACCGTCCAAGACGACCTAGAATCCTTCCTTCATGTTGTTCTGTGGCAGTTCATGATGCATATGGCCGATGTTGTGGACGACACGGACAGCGATGACTCAAAAAAAGACGAAGCTGACGACGATACCCTATTCGGCGAGGCTGAAGAAGAGCCTGACACTCGTCCGCCGCTCACCAGACGCCAACTTCGCCACTGGATGAACGGTTTCTTCAACGCTCCTTTCAGAGGGGAACTGCCAGGTCGCCAACCCATGTCGGACAAGCAGCGCTTCTGCATGAACGACCCGCGGTGGAATGCAGAGAATAAGCGGGTGCTTGACCTTCTCAAACAGTGTTCCCCTCTCGATTGGCTCGTCACTAAGGCGCGCTTTATGTTGGGACAGTGGTACGGCTACCAGAGGAACCTCTCGATCCCTATTCCGATGATGCCGCTGTGCAAAGAGGAAGCAGAGCTCTCTCCGGAGGAGATACATGGGACGCCCGAGGAGCTAGGGTTGGATCTCGCAGACCATGTTGTCATGCTGGACGCGTTTTACGAAGCGCTTGAGATGGGTGGGTGGCCTGGCGAGGAAGATCACGAAGATCAGGACGGAGAGCAGCCGATGTTCCTCGAAGATGATTCGGGACTCGTGGGAGGCTTGCTCCAAGTGGAAGAAGAAGACGAGAATGGTGAGCGGCCGATACCTCTGGAAGGAGGTTCGGTTGACGCGCCTCCTCTTGTCGATCCACTCAACCCTTTGGGACTTCCAGATCTACTCCCTGGTGCGGCGGGAAGGAACGTTCGACCTGCGATTCAATGGGAGGACTTTTCGGACGCCTTGGAAGACTACGAGTTCTACGCGTCATCTGAAGAAGAATCCTTCTCCAACACGGATGAATTCAGGAGTCAATTTCTATCTCCAGTTAGCTGGGATAAGGAGGGTTACGAAGAGGCCGGAGCAGGGGAGTATGGCGAGGATCCGACAGAGGAAGTGGCTGACGAGATTGGATTTCGTCCAGAAATTGTTTCCCCCCCTGCTTGGGCGAGGCTCCCGAGCATGTCAGATGCAAGGGAGGAGAAGGAGAACACCGACGAGGAAGGGGACGACTACAGCAACTTGGGACCTAGCACCCCAGCCAAGTGGGCTAAGGTCGCTCGCCGTAGGGACGAGGACGACGAGGACGACTGCAATGACTACGATAACGAACCACTCACGAAGAGATTCAAGCATAATTGAGCCTAACGCTCGATGGATACTGGCAACCCGTATGTACTTTGGGCATGGATGGAACTGTTGTGTGTACTTCTATATCATGTGTGTATGGATATGTGTGACAATAACGTTGATGCATATTTACTAAACTAAACCCACGAGTGACAGCGAAACGTATTGTTTAACTATTAGTTTGAGCAGTAAGGCGCTTCTCGAAACTCTGTGCTGAAGGGGTCGCAAAGGACATCCGCTTATTAGATGGGCGTCGGTTGTTTTAGCGCCCTGGCGCTTAATTAAGTCTAAGTGACGTCACTACTAGGTACCTCACCCCTGGATTGACGCTTCGAACCCGAGCAACGTTGCCTTAGCCGACCTCCCGCCTGCTCCCTTCCAATAATGAAGGTCGAATGTGAAGCACGAGGTGAACCGTGACATTTTGATTAAATCTCTTACATTGATAGTAAATGACGACAGAAAGCCGATAAAACGCCCTGTTGATTCGGGTGTCACGGCGGTCTTGTGCCATTATTTCCGGGCGCTCGTGGAGAAGGAAAGGTCTTGGGAACTTCTTGGGGAGTGGTGACATCGGAAGTCAGCTAGGCCATTCTTGTGTTTTGGAAGGAGAACAAGATCTGGTTTATATCCACTACCGGCTTGAAGGAGGTGTGGCGTGTTTTGCGAGTGCCCTATGTGTGTGAGGACGGATTGATCGTCCACCAAGTTTTGTATTGTGGTTTGCAAGTGCATCGACCCTGCGTAAGTAGAAGAGAATAAAGAGCTAGTTTAGGAAGGGTGGATGGCCTGTGTGGATCGTTTTTGACAGTTGTTGGTGTTGGTCGGAGGGTGGTCGCGAGCAACGCACCCTGATTTTTGGCGCCTGTGGACATGATGCTATCCAGTGGCAGTTGTATTTCACCTTCTCCAAGGAGGCGAACGTCGGATATCAAAGAAAGTCGTATAGGCTGACAGATTCGATAAGTACACAGTTATGTTTTCGTGATACCTCGGCATATTCAGTGGCCCTTAATAGTTATTAGGTCCATGCAAGCGATTGACACCTCCGGCCTACTGCCAGTGCTTGATGCCACCGAAGATTCGTGTGCTCGATTTTTGGAGATCTTAACAATTAATTGACGGAGAGCTGGTGGTTTATCGATTGCGTCCGTGCCAAAATGTAAGTGCTTCCGGCATCGCCGCTCTAGCCTCATCGTTTGGACTTTCCTTCGGAGAAATCGAAAGTATACGGGAGTTGTACTGCGATATAGGTAGGGATGTGGAGGGATGGGTGGACGGTGCCGAAGCAGACATTGGTCTCGGAAATTAGAGGTAGGCGTGACTGAGGTGGTATGAGAGATCATGGAGGTCGACCTTTAGAATCATAGGTAGGTTTGTCAGACGAGCGCGTTAGATCTTCGGTCGTGACAAGACCGACTGTGTGCACGACAATGTCATTACCCGAGAAGGAAGATTCTTCCCAGCTCATAGCGCGAGAGTAAATCCTCAACAGCGAGAGAGACAGTACAGGTTATTCCAATGACCGTGCAGGCTAGTATTTGTCCGAAGGATCGGCCCAATAGTCAGCCTGAGCGGCATCCAGACGGTATGATAATGAACCTAGGGCTCTAAAGAGGACATCGCGGGTTACGTACCTCTTTCATCTTCTGTTATCTACCGAAAAGCGACTTACCTTGCGTTGTGCGGGTTTCATGACACCCTCCCCGTCACAAACAAAGACGAATATGTCGATCGCCTACAGGGCGGCTTGATGTGATAGATCCAGCAGTGCTACGCCATTCATTTCCCTATTATCAAACTCTGGAGGGATCTAAATGGAGTGGAGCGGCTGATCAAGTTTTGCCTCGAGGCAGGAAGGCGAAGGAGGCTTTATCCAGTCTTATACGTGTTTGTTTTTGTACCTTCGAAGCTGGGGTAGCGGCGAGTTCTGTGAGCTTCGAGGTGGGGCTGACATCAGGGACACCTGTTCTCTGAGCCGGGTGCGGGAGTGCTGTTCCAGAGCAGTGCTTCGGTGCAATGTTAGGGTGACCATCGTGGCTCCGAAGTGTGGTTGGCGGGTCCGGAAGGAACCCTGCTCATGTCACGGCGAATTTCATGACAGGCAAGCAGGGGAGTTAAGTTGCCCAATGCCAAAGTACGATTGTGTGATACAGTCAAGCCTGGTTGACGTAGAAAATGAGTTTCAGGGTCCCGTATGTGATCAACGGGGCGGAGCTGGTTTCAAGGGCAGGCGGGCAGTGAGGGGTTGATGATGGAAAAGAAGTCTGATAAGTGGTTTGGCTTGGGACTTCTGCACCGGAAGGAAATTGTACGAGCGGTCCGTTTAAAGTCTTCAAGAGTTTGCTCTTGGATAAGTCAGCAGAGATGAGGGCGCTATTCAGTTACTGGAGCTTGTCTAAAGAACGAAGATGGTGGCCATGCGGTGTGAACGGAGCCTTTCCAGTTTCGGCATTCGAAGCTCTAGGATATCAGTCACGGAGACCTCAAGACATCGTTCTGACTCCGCTTTGTGAGGCTAAATCTCTTTGTGGAGATAAGGATCTATATGGAAAGCGGTTGTTCGCAATGGAAGGGGTGTAGTCGAGGAGTCGAAGGGACTACGCACCGCAGTCAGAGGTGGCCGAAGCTGGGTCAGGATGGCCGTTCTGGTAAGACGGACGATCGTGAAGGGCCCTCAGTATAAGTGGAGTATGTACCCACTTGTCAAACCCGAGGGAACTCGTGGCCTGGCATCAGAATGATAGCAAATGAACCAACCGCGACAGGCGCAGGGCCATGGGAAGAAAACCTGAAATGGGTGCATGGGAGAACATTAGTTACACAGCATGTTCCACGAATAGAACCTGACTATATATCTTGTGCAAACGACATCAGAATCGGGTGTACTTCCAGCTAGGGCCCACCTCCGAATCGCACGCAGGCCCTCTCCCCTTTCCTCCCTCCCAGGGACGCAATGTCGTCTGGATCCCCCAGGTCGAATGGCGACCACCGCCCAACGAAGAGAGCGAGGACCCATACGTCAGAAGAGCCTGTTGTCACAGGCCATGTTGACCATATCTTCATTGCGGACGGAGTTTCAGCGAAGAAAGCAGGCGTGAAGAAGGTGCGTTGGTACATACTGCTTCGAATTCCCCTGGTCCATAGGGACTGACTGACTGAAACCGCGATTGTAGACGCCACTTTCATGTTGTGAATGCCGACGGTGGGTGCCATTCTGCGAAGCTAATCGACGCGAGGCTGATAGGGCATACTATTTGCGGTCAGGCTGAAGCTCAAGGTTTGTGATAATCCTAATCCTTCACTGACATATATTGAGCTGAATATGACCGCAGTGCGATCGCAATTTCCCCTGTGCATCCTGCAAAGTAAGTCGACTTTCTCGATGTACGGGCTGGAGACGAGTCCGCAGGCATCGGCCACCAGAACAATGGTGATGATGTGGCGGGCCGCTGAACCGCATCGCTTGATCCTCTTCCTTCCAACCAAACCAACCGCTGATCACCCGTGTTAACAGAAAAGAGGATGCGCAGAGATATGTCCGGACGGTATGTGATCTCAACGAAATGAAACAACCCCAAAACTTAACCGAATAATACCAATTAGGCGTTCTGGTTTCCGGCAAGGGAACTCGGTTCATTTTGGCGAACACGGAGCAATTGCACAGCAAGATCCATGAAATGAGCGAGCGGATTCGAATTCTGGAAGATGCACTGGGCCAGCTTCACAAAACACACGAGGTCTATGTCCGACGGTGTTCCAGTTTGGGCTACCGTCCTCCCATGCACAATGGGTTTTCTGATGACGAGGAAGAAAGTGTACCGACGCATCCACTGCTGCAGCCCGAGTTCCTGAGCATCAAGAGCTCGATGGGACTGTATACAGGTGCTGCGAATAACAACCAAAACCAGGCGAATGGCCGGCAGGTCGGGAGACGAGGGGATGAATCGACGACGCGACCTGGGACCAGCTATTCGATGGATGTGGAACCCCTTTTCGAGAAGCAGCGCGGGTATAATGAGGACGGTGGGTCTGCGACGGAAGATCAACAAGTGCGTTCCATTTCGCGTGTTTGCCTTTTCTCGCTTCCACTCACACTGCGACTCCGCTCATGACAGAGAATCAGCCACCATGATTCATCACGACCCAGCACTGCACACACCGATTTATCGGCACAAGTCGCGCGGTTGAGCGACGCGTTTCCCCTCAGCTCTCAGAGCAAGGTTGTAGCAGCCTTTGAGAGAGACGGTAATCTCAACTGGAGCGAACATGACAAGAAAATGGAGTTGAGGGGCTACATCCGGTCTCAATTGCCTTCGAGGAATGAAGCAGACTATCTGTGGGAGCAGGCGAGAAGGAATGCTATGTGGCAGTAAGTTTTTTCCTACGCGACTTGGCTCCTCCTATCCTCAATTGCATACTACTATTCTAGGTATAATCCACATCCGTCCCCGACGTTCTTCGCCAATCTGGTCCATCATGTATACAATTCCCCTGTTCATGAACTCTGTCCGAGGCGGCTGTCTCTGTTGTTCATGATATTAGCCGTGGGCTGTCACGTCGATTTGGATGAGCGGGTTGCCCCCAAGACTTACACCCCGACTCCACCGATGGACGTGAGCTCGCCCTATCCACCACAGGCGGGGCTCGAGAACCCCCTCGCCGAACGCTACCATCAACTGGCACGAGCTTCCTTGTGCGAAGTCCCGATAATGGAGGAGACAAACGTGGATGTTGTTCTGGCGTTATTCTGGGAGATCTGGTATTTGCTGGTATTTTCCGACAGGAAGAAGGCGGCAGGCTATGCTTGGGGCATCATGGGACTCACGGCAAAGTTGGCTCAAAGTGTATGTCTTCCTTTTCCTCCTCTTCCTTCTCGTTCTCTTTGAGTAATGATTCGGAGCTGACCGTGATTGCTTTCATTAGATCGGACTTCGTCAGTTGCCATTGGCTACCCGTTTAGAGTGTTGTATTAACTTTTTGTTCTGCATCTCAGACAGGAATGGGGGGAAATCTAAGGTGATTCCCGAAGAAGTGGAGAAACGCCGCGCCCTCTTCTGGGAGTTGATGTACCTTGACGCTCGACTGGTAGGCAACTTTTGCTTAAACCTTGAAGGAGTCTGGCTTAACCGATGTATGCAGTCACTCTCGCTAGGCCGACCTCCTTCACTGTCGATCAGTCATGTCGATTGCATGCGCCCGACCTATGCTCCGGACGAGGGTGTCGACATTCGAGAGAGTCTCCATTTCTGTAGGCATATCACTTCATTGATCAGAGCTTATTCGAGTGGCTCAACAATTACCTTTCCTCAGATCAAGAATGGAAACATTCCTGTTACATGACCTGCCTTGCTCCCGTCCTCGAGGCAATTTCGCAACCAACTGCCAATTTAGACTACTGCAAAGTCATGGAACTCGACCGCAAGATTCGCGATTTCCCAATCCCGGACGTGTTGCGCAACTGCACCAATTCCCCTGTTCAATCTCGGGCTTTCATCATGCAGAAAGGCAGTTTGTGCACAGCGGTTGAAACAGGCAAGTGACATCTTCATGCTCGTTGCTATTGTTGTTGACCTTTCATCTTGTTTGGGTTTAGTTCTGTTACAACTTCACCGCACCTTTTTCACTCGAGCGCTGAGCGGGTTCGACGAAGCGTTCAATCGGAAACATAGATACGCTCCGTCCGTCGTTGCTGTCTTTTTGAGTGCCTCGCGGATGATCGCGTCAGTACAAGACCTGTACAGACGAGAACCCCATATCACTTCCCGCTTCTTGGGATTCTGGAGTAATGCGTTTTCGTCAGCGGTAAGTTTCTACTTCTGATAACGGTCACCATCTTTCTGATTTCATTTCTCGTCGTTATCCTTTCCCTGTATGCTCTAGGTGGCGTTGTGTATGCTCATTTGCCGAGCACCTTTCACCTGTCTGTCGCCTGCTGCGCTACAAGAGTTGGAGCGGGCGCGGTTACTGTTCCGAACGGCGAAGGATACCTGTCCCCGCGCCCTGTCAGTCTTGGTGCGAATCTTTGATTTTGATTGAGCTATTTGTACGAGTGCTTATCACCGTCCTCAGCCTATCTTGGAATCAATGATCGACAAGGCCAATGATATCTACAACCGATGGTATAACGGAGAAGAAATTCCTACGATGATTCTACGACACACAAACGATGATGATGGTGGGTGTCCGAATTTTATTGTTCCTCTTGGATCAGGGTCTTGGAGCTTGCGCTAACAGACTGTTGTAGGTTCGGGCCACGGTTCCGGAAACCATGCGCGGGGTCAGCAATCGGATGCTCGAGACCCTTTCCTCAACACACATCCCAGCCTTGCCCAGTGTATCGTCGAGGTGCACGAGAGAGCCAAGGTCCTCTTCCCGTTACGAAAACCATGTCAATGCGGCGGGGCGGTCTCAAAACAGTGCCCACCGTCCCATTCATGGATGCCTCCGCCGCAACTTTCTCCTCACCAACAGCAATCGCCGGTTCTACCACCTGAAGCACCCTCCGTCAGGACCAACGTAATCCAGCATGCAAGTGGAACAAACTCTTCATACCCATCTCCGCCGCCTTATCATCGGGGAGGTTCCATTCCGTACGACAATAACACCATGTCTGGGAACAGCACGTCCAGTTCAGGACTGTATTCCAACAGAGTTCTCCCAATTGATGGTCCGGCGCTCCGTCCGATCTCGACCCTGTCACAAGCCTCCAAGATGGCCGTTGTTGACACGCTCAACTTTGAGCTCGGTGCTCTGAATGCAAACACGGAGCATAACTGGATGGCTTTCTTCTAAATAGAGATACCCTATTCACCCTGTGACGACACCCTCCCTCTCCGATAACGGATTGCTAGTGTATTCTATATTCTTTCGAACTGGAACTCTTTCTGTATTAGAGCTGATGTACATAACGTTATGCACCCCTCCTCCGTGTGGTATGTCGATGTATTATACTGGATGATCTTCAATACACCGTAGCCTATGCCTTGTTTAAATAAATCTCGACCTGTGACCCTGGATATGTCCGGGGGGAGCGGGCTCGTTTCGTCATTTGGTCCCGTCCGGACTCCGAAACCACAAATTTGGGGAGATTTGATGATTGTGTGTGCGCTTGGTCGGCGAGCAAAGCCTGCAAAGGTGTTGTTTGATGGTTTTGTCACCCCCTTTTTGCCATTGCCATCTCTTTCAGTCTAGCTCTGAGATTGAAATTCTATGTATAGCGCCTTGTGCCCCGTTTAGGGAGGGGTTGGATGAGAATGGGAAAGTTGACATGATTTCCGGCAGGCAGCGCAACCTCGTGGGCGACATGAGCAAACGACATTGTATTTCGTTTTTTTCCTGAATACTCGATGAATCGATCTCAGTACTGGGAGGGGCAAAGATCAGAAGAAAATGGGGAAGAAGAGTCCGACGAATAAGGTCATTCCTGGCTGGAACCCTGCACGCCGAATCTTCCTCCGCAAGTCGCGGGAATAGTCGCTCCGACCAATCGAAACGGCTGTTCGCCCTTCCCTTCCATATTCAAATACGCCCTACGCTTCTTGCCATTCAACCACCACCATCCAACCGTTGCGCCCCTTCAAAACCTTGTGGGCAAAAAAGTCAACACGCAGAATCCCAGATCACAGAGCTTGTTTCGCACAGCTTGCCTGCTACCACCGACATGTTCGGAGGTTCCAGAGGTTTTGCTCAGGACACTCATGAACCCATGGAGTCAAGGCCAGCAAAGCGTCCAAGGAATATCTCGGGGCCTGCTGAGCATGGATATCGCGATGCAGGGCCTAGTATGCCCCCCGCGGACGTTCCGATGCAGTTACCACCCCAACGCCTCGACATCCAAGTCGTACCCCCCGCTACAGCCAGTAAACCCCGAGGCGAAGATAAGAATAATCGGAAATTGTCCTGTAAGGAGTGCAGAAGGTGTGTAGTTGGTTTCTGCGCTTGGGAGGACGTTGGGTAGCTGACTGGAGGGCGTGGTTGGGATCAGGTTGAAGCTCAAGGCAAGCTGCTGCTCGATCTCTTCTTGTTTAACGCGTCTAATCGTTGTGGACTCCTATTGTAGTGCGACCGTAACTTTCCTTGTCAGGCAGGTTCATGTTCTAGCGTTCGTGGGACCCGTTCTTATTGGGTTTTTACAGTCGTGTGTCAAGCGTGGTTGTGGGAGCCTGTGCCCGGAAGGTTTGTAGAATTATCTTGCCCTACGCCGTTTGCTAAATCTATACAGGCGCCTTGACTTCTGGTAGGGGCAGCCGGTGAGTGCTGCCTAGCCGTGTGGTTTTCCCTATCTCAATGCAGTATAAACCAGGTTCATCCTCGCGAACACCGAGCAGCTACACGAAAAGATTGGCCAGCTGAGCGATCGGGTACGGCAGCTGGAGGACGCGCTGCAGTCTCTCCAATCGCAAGTGTCGCCGCACCCACACCCCCTGCTCACGCCAGAACTCCTCAAGATCAAGACGTCGCAAGAACTCTATGGTGCAACGGCATCTGCACCCACACAACCCTCCGGCTCCGGCATGGCCACCCAAGACCCCAACGCCCATGCAAGGGATGATAGACTTAGGGATTCGGTCGGTGCTATGTCCTTGGAGCAGCGTTCCGGGCCCACGTCCAATGCCATGGATCTGGACCATCGCAGGGATACCACTCCACCAGAAGTGCCACCTGACATCCTCCAGCTCAGTGCAACCTTCCCCTTCCCCTGGCAAATGGATCTCAAGATACGCAAGCGTATTCGGGATTCGCTGCCCCCACGCGATGAGGCCCGGGCCATCTGCGAAGAAGCTCGAAGGAACGCCCTCTGGCAGTAAGTTTGGGCACTAACCCGGTGATTAGAGCGAAGTTTAGAGCTAACTCGTCTTGCGGGGGCGTTCTTCGTTTTTCCCCTTGTTTCCGCGATGCTTTTGCAGGTACAATCTGGACTCATCGGAGACGTTCATACCCAACTTGGTGCACTATTGCTACACAACTCCGATCGAAGACCTGAGTCCAAGGCGGTTAGCGTTGTTGTTGATGGTCCTTTCTATTGGATCTTTGGTGGATTTGAGCCGTCCTCTTGGGTCGCTACATGGGGAAGCTTACCACCATCTCGCACGTGCTGCCGTTTGTGAGATTCCTCTCATGGAGGAACCGGATTTCGATGTTTTGCATGCACTGGTATGTCGTCGGATTTCTCCTAGCGCTCCGGTGTCGTACACCCTTTCTCACCTGTGTTTCTTGTTGTCAATTTCTAGTTCTTTATGATGTGGTACCATCTAATCTTTTCTGATAACAAGAAGGCTATCGGCTATGCATGGAACTTGATGGGATTCGTCGCCAAGCTGGCCCAAGGGGTAAGTGGTATTGCCTGCTGTGTACGGCGCTTGGGACTGACTGGTTATTTTCTCTCGCACTCCAGCTTGGACTACGTATGCTTTATTGCTTCCTTGACTCATACCCGGTCACTGACAGTTGGTAACAGATCGGGACTCACCCCGACTGAAACTCATACCGGAAGAACACGAAAAGAGAAGGGCTGTCTTCTGGGAACTTTTGAATATGGACTGCCGTATGGTGAGCCAGAGGTTCTTTCCTTAAAGCTTGTGACCCCTTCGTTATTAAGTCATTGGCTCCTCATTAGAGCCTCTCACTCGGTCGACCACCCTCCATATGCCTGGCACATGTGGATGTACAGCAACCGACTTACGTTGGTCCAGGGATCTATGTACCCAAGGAAGAGGTCGTGTGTAAGTAAAAAGTGTCAACAACCTTTTGGGACGTCGATTTTGCTGACCAAAAGTCCGATTTGTTCTCAAATAGACCACGAATGGAAACATGGATTTTTCATCAAATGTCTGTCCCCCATGTTGGAAGTAATGATTGCGAAGGAACAGCCTGATTATTCCCGCATTATTGAATTGGACACGTCTGTCCGTGACTTTGGAATACCGGCTTTGCTTGATGTGGATTCGAGCAAGTCCATGGAGGTCGCTCCCCGATTCTTGTGCATGCAAAGAGCTATGGTTGCGCTGAGTCGTGAAATTGGTATGTCACTTTCTCTACTCGTTTGCGTTTCGGACTAGTGGCTGATCTGCCTTTCAGCTCTTCTTCAACTGCACCGCAAATACTTCACCCAAGCAATGAGTGATCCCGCGGCATTCGACTTGCATCACCAGTATGCACCCTCAGTTATCGCTACGTACCTAGCCGCATCTGGATTGATATCCACCGTGGAGACGCTGTTCGATCAAGAACAGCAGCTCACCGCGCGATTTTTGCACTTTTGGTTCAATTCATTCTCTGCTTCGGTGAGTAGTTGTTCCTAGTCTTGGCCTCTCGTCCTTTAGAACTTCTGGTTCTTCCCTCCCCCTTCGCGCCAATTTATATCTCGCCTATTGAATCAGAGGAGTTTTAAAAGGGAGGACGCTAACCCCGAATCTATTTACGTCCCCCTCCCCCTTCTTTCTACTTTTACTAGGTCACGCTATCCCTCCTTATTTCCCGAGCGCCATCGACGCCACTGGCGCACTATGCCTTACAGTCGCTGGAGAGGGTTTGTCAACTGTTCCGTCGGGCAGCTGTCATTCTACCGTTTGCGGGGAAGGCCTTGGTAAGCGTTGCGATCAGTTTTTATGAGAGGGTTGGACTGAATGTGCTTTTACCCGTTTAGCCTGTGATGCAAAAGCTGATTGAAAAGTCCCGCAAGGCACTTTTGCACCATCAACCGAGTTCAATGTATCCCTCGTCCTCTACGTCCCCTGCCGAAATGGGCACTTCGTATACTCGACACTCTGAGCCCAGGCCGTTGCCGACGCCGTTCAAGCGTGCGCATCCGTTCTTGATAGGCAAGGTGGAGACGATCTTATCGTCGATGGCGGCTTCTGGCTCGAGTGCGACTACACCACCCACGACGTCGACGTCGTCCCTGAACAGGATTCTGGATCGTGGGCCACCGCCACCCGAACCTCCGACTCGCCGTTCCAACTCCCTACCGCCTCCTGAATCGTGGCTTCCCGATATCTACAAGTTCTCAAGTCTTGGACTTGGGCTGGAAGACCGATACAACTTTGCGTCGTCTCAGCCTACTCCGTTTACCCCGTCCTCTCCTCGTGTTGCGGAGAATAAGGATTTCAATTTTGATCATGGGGATATTACGGTCGAGCTGGTGGAGGAGACGAGTTATATGGCTTGGTTCTAGCTCTTTATTGGAGGGGTTGGATTTCTGTCTGTCCATTTTTTGGTAAATATTCTTGATTGGTGAGATACATGAAGCGCCATGGGTTCTGTACGATAATCACTGTATATATATTTCAATCCCATTTTTTTTCTTTCTTTTCTCCTTGTGCCAACCAAGCAAGCGCCGCTGGTAATTGCTTAGTCAGCCGATCTGGAGGAGTTGAGTGCGCGGCTTGTTCTTGTTGAAGCGAACGTCGAGGACGCCCATTTTGAAATTGGTTTTGTCTCGCTATGGCCCGAATACGAGATGTATGGGCCTCAAATATCGAGATTGAAATGCGTAATATACGCGATGTTATCGACAGATACCCGTATGTCGCAATGGTTGTTGTCCTTCATCGCTCGTTTATCCAGGACGCCCTCGGCTTACACCTTTTATTCCCTTTTAAATCCAGGACACGGAGTTTCCTGGTGTCGTAGCAAGACCCATTGGAACGTTCAAGACCTCGTCCGACTACCATTACCAAACGATGCGCTGCAACGTAGACTTGTTGAAGATCATCCAGGTTGGCCTCACATTGGCCGACGAGGAGGGACATAATCCGCCTGAATGCTCGACTTGGCAGTTCAATTTCAAGTTTAGCCTTGCGTGCGTTCTCTTTCTGTGCTGCTTGTGTTGTGGATTAAAGAGCTGAGTCGCGTGTGTTGGGTTGGGCAGGGAGGACATGTTCGCACCGGATTCGGTGGAGTTGCTTCAAAAGTCTGGAATCAACTTTGAGCTACATGAACGTGAAGGGATCTTGCCCAATGATTTTGCGGAGCTTATGATCACGTCAGGCCTAGTTCTGACAGACGAGACAAAGTGGATATCGTTTCACAGGTGCGTAATCATCTTTGGGGGGATTTATCTAGTGCCCTCGCTTCATAACAACGAATCCCGACTGACTAGGCTATCCTACCTTGGCTCTACTTTGCAGTGGCTACGATTTTGGATACTTCGTCAAGCTGCTTACAGCACAGTCGTTACCGACATCCGAGGATGATTTCTTTGCGCTGTTGAAGATCTGGTTCCCGACTGTGTACGATATCAAGTTCCTCATGCGGGCCGCGAAGAACCTCAAAGGCGGCCTGCAAGACGTCGCAGACGACCTAGGCGTGCGTTCATTCCCTATTCCCTCATATCCAACCCGACTATAGTCTAACCTCTTCTCACAGGTCATGCGGATAGGATCCAGCCACCAAGCCGGATCAGACTCCCTCCTCACCTCCTCCACCTTCTTCAAAATGCGCGAAATCTACTTCAACGACCAGATCGACGACGCCGAGTATTCTGGGAAGCTCTACGGCCTCGGACAGACGTTTTCGCTCACGAATGGGTTGACGGATCACGGGCGGGGTGGGGCGACGATTGCGGAGAGGGATGATAGGGGGTCGTCGGTGGTGAGGGATGGGAGCCAGCATGGGCATAATGGGACGCCTGGGCCTGGGTCAGCGGGTGCGCCGCAGACGCCCGGGATGTTGCCGTTGGGGCCTATGCAGGCGGGTGGACCGATGCAGGCTGCTATGAACCAGGCGGGGTATGGGCCGTTGGGTGCAAATGGACCTTTTGGACTAAGATCGTCGCTGGTTGGTGGTGGGCGGTAGAAGAGATCGCTTGGTTTATGTTGTGGGTGAGGTGCTGTTCCTCTCTGGTATCCTTCGTTCTGTCTTTTTTTCCCGCTTTTCTTTTCTGTATTATCACGATGTTGTATCACCATTAATTATTGCATTCATCGACTTTCGCAGATATACGGATAAGCGCGGACGGGTAAATCGGATGTCATCACAGGACCTTGCTCGCCGACTGCCTGCCGAAGTGAAAGCGAAGAGGGCTCGATGGTGAGGCAGGCAGGGCAAGGCGGATCGGTGGGGCATTATGAACCCCAGGTGGTGGCGAACGTAAGTGAAGATGCAGTCGTGGAAGACGACTGGCATAGTTATGAAGGTCATTCCGGTCACTCAGACCACGACGCGACCAGGCGACCATCGCGTACCCCTGGCGGCCTGAATTCACGTTCTTAATGACACGACGCTCATGATCCCACTTTGGGCGTCATGAACACATTTGCGACATCCACATGCACAGTAACCGGTAACCAGTGGCTTTTAGAATGAAACAGCCGGCAAACTCGAGGTGCGAGTTAATATTATAAGGTCTCAAGGGTTACCGGTTACCGCCCGGCCTTGTGTCCGCGACAATCGAAGCATTTCGGCCTTGCTCATTTGGACTTTCTGGGAAGTTGGCTGTCGGACGTGTGGATGGATGGAGGGACCCCCTTTTGAACGAGACGGACGTCGTACTTATTTTAAAATTAGCGGGATACAAAGAAAACAAGGTGGTTGGTTGTTTTATTCCATTGGGCGTTTTCTCGACAAATGAACCCCCCCCCCCCCCCTCCTTCCCCCTCCCTCTGGATCTGCCTCAAGGACTTCCCATCTGTTGGATTAAATTGGACGGGCGCCGGAGTTATTGCTGCCTGTAGCCAAGCAATGACTGAGTGGCTATCTATCAAGGCTTTGTCCCAGTTGAGGACTAGCTTCAAAGTTGCATCTGCCATAATGATGGTGATCCTTGTCGGCGCTGGATATACCAGGTAAAGGTTTTCTCTGTGGAACTGCAGAAAAATGATTGGAAAATAGCAGGCCTTAGGTATTCCAGGGAGGCTTGCCGTCCAGTTTACCCGTGATCCCCAAAATCAGGCCCCTCGTCATGCTTGGGCGTCCCGAAGAATCTATTCACTCGGGAAGACCAACCCCAAAATAGGAGATCTCTGGGCGCCAATACGCGGCGGAGGGCAGAGGACGATATATTAATAAAGAACACCCGTTTGAATTCGTGGAGACAGTCTGAAGGTGAACCGGGAGTATGGCGACGAGTGACTTGTTTTGGACCGTTTTTCGGTATGAAAGTTCACCTTCCTTTAGTTCTTTTTTTTTTTCTGTATGGGTTTCCAGAATAGTGGAGTTTCGGGAGGAAGATGCTCATCGCATTGGTTATTACCGGATTGACAAGAGAACAGGATATGTTTGCATCCCATCGTCGTATGACTGATATCATCAGGCAGCCTCTGACCGAGGCCCGAGAGGGGGCATTTACAGAGATTCGACCTGAGTTACGAGGAACGTAGGTCGCTGTTAGCGGCCGTAGAGCAGGGGATAGAAGACGACAAGAACACTCACGTAATTACTCGGGAAAATACCTTTCCGTCCTTGAGAGTTGAATCCTACAAAAATTGGAGTGGGAGAGGAGATAAAATCAGAATTTTGTACGGAAGCGATGAGGTGACTGGAGGCGTCCAAACGGCCTTGAAGAAAACGCACCTTCCCACCACCCTTCAGCATAATTCCGACCGCCGGTAGCTCCACTCGATAGCTCAAGAACTTCGCCTTCTGTGAGCGGAAGTTCGTCTGGAGTTTGAGCCTGGTAATCGTAGATCGCTCGCACTGTACGAGGATGCGGTAGGGGTGGTTGAGGGTTAGAGTCAGTTCATTAGTACGTGACCAGCATAACCCAGACTCCACAGAAACCCAATAACACGGGGGTAAACGGCGAACGAGGGGACATAAAGACATAAACATCATCCCATTCCAGAGCCAAACCAACGGCCATCCAAGAATAGGAGTCATTTGACATAGATGGCAATGATTTGTAGAAGATTCGTCTGATCCATGAAGTAACAGGGAACACGAACTCACCGCGTTGTCCGGATCCTTGATTGTTGATAGTCGACGAGTTAAGTTTGGAACTTACTGGGCCTTGTGCTTCAAGGGCACTGCTGCCCGTGTCCTCGATATAGGTCGCAGGGACCAAACCGCTTTCGCCCCTTGCGTTGGACACCTTGACCCACCCCGATCCGTCGTCTGGTTCCAGCATGTACAGGGTCTCATTCTCTGTGAAAAGTGAAAAATCATTAAATCAGACATGAGGTCAACACACCGTGCTCGATGGTTCGATGTTTTCGCAAGGGTTGAAGTGAATGTTGCTTACCACGAATGGCCAGTTCGAATTCTGAAGAAGCCGGAAAGTCGAAAATGGCGCGAACGGTTGGGTAGGATTCAGATACTGATGATTCATCTGATTGTGGTTCCGACTTGACGAATGAGGAGGGTGTAGGAGTTCGAGAGGCGTCTGTTGGACCTCCTAAAGGATATAAATGTATTATCAGCCTTAAGCTCTTGCGATAGGAGCGGACTGCTCGAAGGTTTTCACATACCAGGAACGCTCAGATGTGAAGAGGTCGTCGTTCGTGTGGTAGAAGCTGTGTTGGATCTTGCTAAAGACGAGCTTGACGGGGATGTCGGGGTGTCCTCTTGCCCACAGTTCGCAGGGATCTATACCAATTGTAAATGAGGGGTTCGTCATCCGACCATATACGATATCATTTGATTTTACCTTAAGTTCACACCTGGTGTGAACAGATACGCCGCAGGCCTTGCAGGTTTTCCCCTGCTTACTGAGGCCCCAAATCGACGACTATTCGGTAGAATTTATTACAATTATCTCCCAAAGGTCAGATCGAAGTTCAAACCTTGCAATATCCGCAGTGCGTCGGGATCGAGAACGACGAGCTCTTGAACTGGTGAGGGCTCTGGGAACCGACGTCGGCTGGAGTTATTTTTAGTACCCGTTATACACGCCAAAAGAGCGAAATTGCTGACATCCAATGGTCGCGACAATCGTGTCCTTCTCAGCTTTCAAAATGTGTTCTGAGTTCAGGTAATAAATGAGCTGGTGTTCGGCTTCGAGGTAGCTCTAGATTTAGATTGGGTGAGTGTCTGGATTGATGGATGAAATCCATTCAGTCTCACATCGACCAGGTCGTCTATCTTGCCCAGTTGGTGGTCGGGCTGGTAACCTTGAACTTGTCTTTCCAGTTGGCCGACCTCACTCTCTAGAAAGGAGTCGGTTTCATGGTTACTACGATCCAGAGGGTAGCAAAACTCACTCTTCGCATTAATGAGCGGCTGTAACTCCTGAAGCTTCTCCTTGCAGCGCCTTAACTTGTTTTGGATAAAGACTTTGGGAACTGGCTCAACGCTCATAGCGTCCTAGGCAACCCCCGTCCATAGTTGATTAGCTGCGTGCACTGGGCCTGTTGTTACGCGGGTCTGACGTACCGTGTCATAATGACCCGCACAAGGCTCGAATTTCCAGTCCAATGGCTCTGAGAATGGGCGGATGTTGTGATTGATGAATAGTTCCTCGTCTTTGACCGGGTCAACCGCATTCAACCTGGCTTGAACGTTCTGGATTCGAGATTTGACGGTATCTAGGTGCTGGATCTGGAGTGTTTGACAATGTTCGAGGATTTTGGCGAAGCGCTGGATGAGTCGCGTTTGCAGTCTCTCTGGGAAGGGTTACTAGCGATCGTGAGGAAAACCGAATGCAGCTCACGGTATTCCTAGCAGGTTTGTTAGAACTCGAAGGTGTGACAGAAAGGGGTTTCCTACATCTTCCAGTCGCGGTAGATCCTCGCTGTAGAAGCGATGCTTGACCTGATTTGCAATGGCGATGGAGATCAGATACACGCTGTGGGGGTGATCATGAAATCCGTCAAGAACCGTTCATGGAGAAGGCGGAAGAGATGAAAATCACTTCTTGCTGTTCAGCATGTCGTTGCGCTGTTGTTCTGCTTGCTTCGCGGCGCGATCGGCGTGTTTGTCGTCAGAGGCTCGATTCTAGAATGTCGATTCAGTCGGCCACTGGGGGCAGGGTTTGTGGAAAATACCTGTTTCTGTCGGAATGCTTCGACTTCTAAGCAGTCTTCGTCATACTATCTCGGGGTCAGGACAAGTATCTCTGCTGGCAAGGCGGTCTAGGGCACCTTTGTCTTGCTCTGTCAAGGTCCAGAATGAACAGAATGAACAACAGAAATGGGCGTTTAGATGACTGGAAGAACCTTTAGACGATCGCCATAGACCCTATCCCTATCTGCCAACAGCTTTTGAAGGTGCGCTACTTCCTGTTGGGACCGGTCAGACGGGTTGTCCAAGTACAAACGGAATGCGATAGGGACGGGCCTTCTTCTTTGCCTCCTCGTTCCTCCGTTCCAACACTCGAAGGACTTCCACAACCTGTCCTGTTACCGAATCGGCGATATTAATGTGGTCCTCCGCAGTGCTTGCTATCGAGTTGATGATCTCGTCATACGCTGCGTTCAGAGTGCTAGAAAGGCGGTCAATCCACTGCACGGCATCCCACATAGACCGACTCACTTGGCTTTCAATGTTCTCGCATCGAACGACCTCGAAGGATCAGTTCCAAGGACGATAGCCTGCTCCATCTTTGCCTTCTTGTCCGCGGCCTTCCGTGCCAATGTCTGGAGTTTGGTTGCATATTCCCGCTCCAACGCTGCTCGTGCAGTGTAGATTTCCCGTACCTGTGAAGAGCGAGTGAGCTTCTGGGTTGATGAGAGCTTAAACTGGAGCTCGCACGTCGCCGATAAGCTCTAGATGGGTGTCGAAGTAGGTCCCAATCCTGTCGGCTTGATCCTGTTGCGTTCAGTGAGTGTTCTGTACTCTATCGCTGTGGGGAATCAGGCGTTACTGGGAGAGTTTTTCCATAGCTTGTCGTCGTTTCTGCCATCTTCGCCGTTCCCTGGCTTTGTAGGTGTGGCCAGGTGCGGTCTGTGCTGTCAAGACTGTCTGGGTCAACAAGGTAAAGGTCAGAGTTGCCCGCCGTCGTCGTCGTGATCGCAGTGAACACCGCAACACAGCCACATTAGGCTAAGCGCTCAGTCTTGTCAGATTTGGTAGGCATGACATCATGGCCTTGGCAGGGATTGAGGAACCTGTTCATGAGTATGCTTCTGCATCGTTCCGCCAGTGCTTCAGGATCCAGTCTTGTGGCTCATATAGTCAGTATGGCCTCACTCTGAAGGGTGAGATTCAAGTCTTCCTTGACAATTGATTAATGGCCGTGAAGGGAGGACGTCCTTCAGGCTGTTAAGTAAGCTCTAGGATATCCGGCGCGGTGTAGAGTGTTGGATAAACTCTGTTATTGAAGGCACCAGGGTAGACATTAGAGGACCTTGGCGTATGGAGTTAGATAACTGTGTGTTAAATCACATCGACCTCCTTTCTACCGATGCTGACGGAAAGTCTGGACTCTAAGTACTCGAGAGAACATTCCGCTTTTCCGCGAATAAAAAGGATATTGCTCTTGATGTTCTAGTTTGACGTTCTATAGGATGACGTCCGTCTCGTAGACTTCACATATATCTCGCTGGAGGGTCCCGGAATTCCATGCCAGGTGCTCTCCAAAGTTTAATATTCGTTCAATCCGGCCTGGGTCCGACAGTACTGAGGTCTGGGTATGGAAACGATTCCCAGAATCCACCCCTTTCCACAAAATTTCCCAAGTGACATACAGTCTGTGAAAACAAACTCCAAAATACCAGTTTTCAAACTTCGCGTGGTAGCGGGTACCTCGTGAGTGGTTACAGCCGGGCACAGCTCGATTAGGTAACCCCTGCTCCCAAATCGGTAGTGGTCCTTCTCGGTCTCTTATTTCCCACTTCCCCAGTCTTTTCTTCGAGACGGGGTTTCTCTCGACTCATGCAGACAAATCAAGAAGGGAACGATGCGTTCCACAAGGTTCTGGTTCCATCGAAGCCAGCACAGCACTTCTAGGCACCCTGGATCTTGTGTTGAAAATCGTACGACGTGGCACCAGAGCCCTTGTACCCGCGGCTTAGCTTTGCACCACACATCCTACCTCATCGCAATCAGAAGGCACTATGAGCACGGACCCAAAACTGTCCCTGTTACCTAACACGAAAGTAATATCTCTATCACTCTTAGAGTGGTGCAGGTGCGACCGGTGACACTATGAAAAAGCTAGTACGTGTGTGAGTACCTTTTCACGCGTGCACGAAAACTTCGACCTGATTTGCGATCATCCAAAAGCGATACAGGGCGTCCGCGCTCCCTGGAAGGGTAATAGCCTTCCCATCTTGCATCTAATCGCCGTTCTTCGATGAGGGTGGGGATATCCTGATTGTGGAGCTGCCGAAAAACTCATGTTACGCTTCTTCTTGGTAGCCTGCTCGGCTATAAAAGGTCGTCGATTCGGATTCCATATTGAATCGTCTCATTTCTGGCCCCCCTCTTGCTTCGTGTCTGCGACTCGCTCCCCGAGATCCCTCTCCATCCGCCTACACTCTAACGACGACGAAAAATGCCGCGTTTTATGCTGTTTATCTTCTCAACGCTGCTGGCTACTGTGTTCTTGATGATGGGGACGTATGCGACGCCTGTTCCTGGGAAAGAACTGGAGAAGCGGATTACTCGTGTTGGTAGAGTGAGTCGTCTTCGATGCTCTAAGTGTCAGAGTGTACCTGAAGCTAATCATGGGCCTTGATCACCATAGGGGACCTGGTACTACACAGGTTAGCACCGCTGGATCGTGTCCTCGCAGATGATGGCGCTAACCAGTTGATTGTAGGACGGGGCAACTGCGGAAAATGGAGCAAGGATTCTGAACCCGTCGTGGCGATGAGCAAAGCCTTCTACGACCGCAATAAAGGTATCAACTGCGGACAGGTAAGAGTATTCCTGTCCTTCTAGAAAGCCGTGTCCGCTAAGCTTAGATCTTGTATACCAGTGGATCGAAATTGTTGAGACCTCTAGTGGGAAGAAGGCATTCGGTCAGCTGTGGGATAGCTGTGAATCGTGCAGAGAGCAAGATATTGGTGGGTCCCTATCGGGCGCATCGAAAACAGAAGCACATCTAACCACGCGTGTTCTCGTTTAGATCTTTCTCCATCCCTTTTCCAGAAGCTTGCCCCACTCTCAAGGGGTGTGATCACCGTCTCGTGGCATTTCATGCCCAGGGACTGGAGACCATAATTGCATGGTCATGACACGAGATCGCCGCCCTTCACATTTCGATCAATCATCCAAGGTGACTGTCAACGCTCAAACCTACTCTGCGAGACCGTCGTACACGGAAGAAGGCTGTATTTTTAACTTGTGCTGGGTGCTGCCATAGACGCCAAGTGCCTGCTATTTATTGCATTGGGAATACTGGCCCGCGGCCATAGATGTGTTCCTGGTCGGGGAGTTTACTCTCCTTCGGCATCGTTTATGCAAACCCCTTTCTCCGCCTGCTTTATGTATTCGTCCGGATTTATCTTTATACCACAGTCTATACGGATGTGGCGCTAGCGCCTGATGTACTTTTATACCCTGTTATCATGATGCTGTTGGTTATTGCGACACTAAAGTGAAGTAGAGCAGTGCAGTACTTTTGCAACCGTTGAGGCTCGAACTCGGGGCCTTGCCAGCCTATGCGTACCACTCGCAATGAGACGACCCGAGTCGGGTACGAGGATGCTCGCCCCTTGAGGGCTTGCACTATGTTTAATCAAAGCTACAGTCTATTCGCCTTGAACTGTCTGCGGATATAGGAACCTTAACCTCACAGCGCGGGGACAGATTGAGCCTTTAATTGGCGCGTTGCTTGAGATGATTCAATAAGGGGACAAGTATGGGATTGAGGAGAATTTTCGTAAAGATTGCCATACTTTGTACATAACAAGAGGGAGCAAAAGACATAAGGGTGTCATGTTCTTTAGTTCAAGTCGTTGGAGCATCGTCTACTTTCTTCTGTCGTCGATGGTCCGGCCATCGAGTTCGAGCCACTCACCTTCATCTTCATCTGAACTGTGAAAAGGGCGAAAGTAGAAGAGTACACGGAACTAAGGAGAATCATCATAAGAATTGCCATACTTGTGCATAAAGCCCAGAAGAGGGAGTAAAAGGCATAGACTAGGGTGTCATATTCTTTGGTCGAAGGTCGCTGGAGCATTACTTTCTTGTGTTGTCGATGGGGGAAGTTTGTGAGTCACGTCTGGGCCATTGAGTCGGAAACGCTCAGGACCGGGCTCTAGCCACTCACCTTCATCTTCATCTGAGCTGTTATCAGAGCTCGGCATTCGGGACCGATGGAGAGTCGGTAGAAGGACCCTGAATGGCGTTTGCGTTAGAAGCGTTACAGCGACCGGGTTTGCGCCTGTGTTTAGTGAGATTTTCCTTGTAAATACTCGAAAACGAGCAGCTGGGGCAGTTGAAACGCTTTGCATTGGGACCGTGGATTCTCCAGTGCAATCTAACGTTGCACTTTAGAATGCTCGAATAAGTGCAGTCAGGAGCTGGGCAGTGAAATCGTTCCGCATTTGGATCGTGGATTCTCTCATTCCTCCACTCTGCCTACAGAAAATCTGCAGTGTCTTGGTAAATCCAGATAAGCTTCACCGAGTCCGAAGGTATGTTGTCTGTCCAAGCTGAAAGGAATGTCAAAGATAAACTGCGTATATGCCCCGTGAAGACAATTACTAATTTAGAGGTTGTCATGTGTGTTGAGGGGCGCCCACAGATGTTTTCATCACGCACATTCATGGCGTTAACATCTCATTCAAGTCTTCGAGAGTACTCTAACTGTATATACTGTTTATATAAGAGTGATTGCACGTCGATCTAGCAAGAAAACGCGCGATTTTCAACTGAGGCCCTTTTCTCGAGGGAAAGAGTATGCGGGGGAGGGGAACGCGCGACGCGTCAATAACAAAGCCAAACAAGTGGCCCGACGCGTTTATTGATGGGGCAGCGCTCACGGTCACGCAGTGGCGGGAGCGAATTACACGGTCGCTTGCACGGGCCACCAGGGCAAGTTCTCACCACCACATTCAAGACGACGACCGTCCTCGACGCGACACTCGACGTCCTCGCAATATTTATACGCTAGACGGATTGCGCTCGTCGTCCATTCCCTCGCCCAAAACACATAGCGCGCGCGGCGCCCGATACACTAGCAGCGACTGCGACGATGGTCCTCCTCACTCCCCCCAGCACCTCTCACCGCTCAGAGAAGGAGAATACCGCTAAATTCACCTTTTCGCTCAATGAAATCCCAAAGTTGACAGTGACAACCGACCCCGCATCGTCGTCCACATCGCCGTCGTCATCGTCCGCCGCGTCGACCAGCAAGTCTTCTTTGGCAGCATCGTCGTCGCGCAGCGTAATTTGGTCACCACACAACTCCTACCACTCTCTTGCCACACCGCCTAAACCCAGACTATCATCAGCTGCCACCAATGCCATGGTCAAGGAGCGCCCCGTCAAGCCCATCCTCAAGCGGCGGCGGGTGAACCCACCACTGAGTGACGCGACCAACGGTCCCAAGACAGCCAACTCCGACTCTCTTTTGAATATTCCAGAAGATTTGGATAGCTTTTTCCGGCAGCGAGAGACGACCCCAGAGCCATCCGACCCGCTATGCGATTTGGCATACCTCGAATATCCCGTCTCGCTCATCCTCAAGCCCGACGCCAAGCTACGAGAACTCACAGAGGGATACAGTATTCTCAATGCGCGACTCCGGGGCACTGTGCAGTACACCACCGACGCGGACGCCAGCTGGCCACTCTTCCAGCCCATGCGCAAGAACCGAGAAAAACTCGTTGATTGCATCATTCGCGACCTGGAGCGGGCATTTGTCGACCCTGTCAACTCCCCCGACTGTCCCAAAGGCGACGACTCCATTCCCGACGAGAATTGGGATGATGAGGAACCTGCCGACAATGTTGGGACGCTCCCCTCTCCCAAGAAGAGTCCCAAGAGGGCGAAGAAGAAGGGCATGAGCGCAGAGCAAGTCAAGTTTGCGAGGGACCTCTGCACGACCGCTCATGCAGTCATCAAGCTCCTGTGTGTTATGCTATGCTTCCCTGCGATCTATGGGGTATTCGAAAGTAAATATATGCGCATATACGCCTATGAACTCGCTAACCCTCCTCTGCAGCGATTGAACTGAGAAGAATGCTTGGTGCCGTGGTCTCCATTCCCATCACAGGCAACCTCCCAACTCCCAACGCACGCAAAACTTGTGCTCTCGCGATTATGGCTATCCAGTGTCAGCGGCTACCAGAGGCAGTTCTCTTGCCTGTCCGGGACCGCATCGCCTTCGCCCTAAAGCGTGGTATCGATGGTGAGTTGGGTAAAGAAGGCAAGAAAGGGTCTGCAAACGATGGTCTCAAAGTATGTGGTTACGCCCTTTCATTTTTCACGGTCATTGACGGCATTCACAGGCCATTGGCGACCTTTGTATCTTCCAACCCAGCACGTTCGTTCCTGTGTTCTCCAAAGCTGCGGTCCTTCCCTCCATCCTACAGAACCTCCTTGCACCCACCCTCGCCCTCCGTATTCAAGCAGCCTACGCCCTTGGAGGATTGGCATACTCCCTTGCCGGACTTACCCCTTCAAACACTCACGCTACTGCCGCTGACATGGTCGCCGAATTCATCCTTACACCCTCTCCTTCGACACCATCCAGGAAGAACGCCTCTCCGAACAAAGATTCTATTGTCACATCTAGCGCCATCATGAGGACTTTGCGTACTACCATGAACGCCCAAGATGCCGCACACGTGGGCCAGTCCCCTGTCTGGGCGCTATGCGTCTCTGCCAGCTTGATTGTGCTCCTGGGTTCCAAGATGTATACCGACCGCAAGGTCTGCGTAGCGATCATGACGATTTTCAAGTGCGGGGCCAAGCACAAGAAGGCAGCAATTCGGCATCTTTTCTGTGCGGCATGGAGGGCTGTGAGCTGGGCATGGTTCCAGCCTGATTACGACTTGTTCAAGGCCGAGGATGAGAGCGAGGCGGAGGGTGACGGCGAACAGTCTGACTCAGAGAAGCTGGAGCTCAAGCGGAAAACGAGGGAAGCGTATTTCCAGGTCTTCAGAGAAATACTGGAAACGCAGGTCGCGCTTGGCACTGTTGCTGCTCTGTTGTCCACCCCACCGGCTCCCAGTTCTCACCTTGGTATCAAGGAAGATGTCCATGACGAAGCGCTTCGGCGAGCACTCGAAGTTATTGACTGGATGGCTAACAGTCCTGATCCGGACACTATCAACGAAGCTGCCTCTTCCCTCCTCAACTTGGTGACCCCGACCGTCGATAACAGGGATTACACCCAACCCTCCGAAATGCTCGCTGAGAATGCGCGAGCATTGCTACCCCGACCTCTCTTCACCCAAACTCCCGGAAATGGTGTCTTGTTTGCAGATGTCACTTTGTCTGGAGCGGGGAGCAACAGCGTCATGGCTGCGGTTCGAAAGATGTTCCACAACGTACCAACAGTAGAGGAAGTTCGTGCCCTGAGGAAGGAAGAGTTGCGGAAGGACTGGGTCTGGAAGGGCATGCTTAAAGCATGGACATCAGTTCTGGGTTCTCTGGAGATGACGGATGACGCTCTCCTGCCTGTGAGTAATACATTCCACTCAGACTTCATCTCCGGATAACTGAACTTCAATCTCACAGAACGACCTCACTCAAGTTTGGGAGTCTCTGCTTGTCAGCAACGTCAGCCTTCTCCAAGACGAAGGCGGCGATGTTCCTGAGCTTGCCTCCAGGGTGGTCGACGTTCTAACGAACGTCTTCCTGGACTCGGGACTCAACTTCACCGTGAAGAACCAAACGAGCACTTCAAGTGTAGCATTCCCTAGCATCGGTTCGAAGGACAGAGAGGTCACCGGCACTACCCTTTGCACCAACGCCGAGCTGAAGATGAAGGTCGTCAAGTCACTATGGTCGACCGTTAAGACGGTGTTCCCTCGTAGTGACCTCGGCGCCGCAGCCGACAAGCTACTGAGGACCCTACTCGAGAATTCTGGAATGCTCACCGAGCCGCGAAAGAAGAAGGTCCGATCGCTCTCCGGCAACCTCAACCACGTTATTGCACCCATCACAACGTGGGGAGACCTTTGTGCAACTATCATTCTCGATAGTGGTGTCTCCGAATCAACAGAGGCGATGAAGATGTTCTGGGGTCTCGGTGACGAAAGCGAAGCCAAGTGCCATTGGGAGTCGTTGGCCGTTTTCGATAATTGCGAAGCAAAGAGCCATGTCTGGAAGGCGTGTCTCGATGTCTGGAAGCAGGAGGAAGGACAGTGGGAAGGTGCTGTTGTCCTGCTCGCCGCACCCTTCGTCGTCGGTCCTTCGAAGTCTCAGGACTGGTCACTCAGCTCGGAGGAGGTCGTCAAGTGGAAGGAGTTCTATCAGTACGCATCCAACAAGGCTTTGGACAGTGGAATGGACTCCACCTCGACTACTGTCATCGACGCGGTGGCCGGAGTCGTCGCGTCTCATACCACCTCGTCGACTTCTCCTGCTTTGCTCATCCAGGCTTCCGATCTCCTTTTGGACCACCTTGAAGCAACTGAGATGCGCGAGGTACCGGTTAACCTGGTGGATCTCCTCAACGCTACGCTGAAGACCGCCTATCCCGTCAACGAGCGGAATGTTAGCCCTGCGAGCTGGTTCATTCAGACGCTTACGAGGGTGTTCGAGACGTCTCCCAGGGATCTCATCAAAGATCTTGTTGAGGGCGTTGGAGAGGCCATTACAGTGTGGCTCAAGGACGAGAGTGAAGTGTGGACTGACGATACCCTCGACTACACTGTAAGTCGCCCTCCTCGATTTTTTAAAGACTTGTGCTAACTCTTTTCCGGCAGTTCGTTCCGCTTTACCAACATTTGCTCCTTCGTATCCAAGAGTTGCCTACGGATCTTCCTTTCCTTGCCACTGTTTCCCCCTTACTCGACTCCGTCTTCTCCGGCCGGGCCTTCCCTGAAGCTGTCCAAAATAGCTTCCGCGAGGCATTCGACACGTTCTGGAAGCTCTCCCCCTATGCACAGATGGAGGAACCGGCGGACGGTTGGCCTGCTTCACTTCAACATTGCCTTGCCCATGAGCAGGTTCAAGAAGTGGAAGTGTCCGTGCCTGTGTTCGAAGCTCCTGCAACGCCGTCCAGGAAGGTGTTCAAGGGAGATGGCGCTTCTCAGCCGCGCACGCCGATGTACCCGATGAATGGTTCCAATATCCCTTCCCCTCGCCGGCCTCACAGGCCCCACGCCGATACCGACGAACCTTTCTATCCTCCCCTACCTGTCGATCGCTCTCCTCTTTCTCCTGTTCGCCGACGACGAATCTCATCGTCCAGTTCATTGGGCGAACCGAGATTCAGCGTGTCTGGATTGGCTGCTTCACCATTCTCGCGTCAAGGCGGTTTCAGGAATCCTGATCTCTTGTTATCACCCAGCAAAAGGCGAAGGAGCTTGGATCATGCAGACGAGGACGAAGAGATGGAGAAGGAGAATGCATCCCCTCAACATGCTACGCCGAAGAGAAGGAGGACTGGTTTGCTGAGCAGTGCTCGTGTTGGCTTCGACCTTTCGCCAATTCCTATTCACGAGAGGATCGCCAGCGTCGGCAAGGCAGGGAATTCATCTGTGCCGACCACGGGGAAGAAACTGAAGCTGAAGGAGAGGATGGGCAAGAACAAGAACGGGATGACACCTGCTGCGAAGCGTCCTAAGCTATTTGGAAGGACCAAGTCGCCTTCTCCCGCCCGCAGCGAGGGTTCGAGCCAGGGCAGTAGCGATGACAGCGAGGATGAGCGTGGATGGGTTGAACGGGAGTTGGTTCCTTTCCCTAGTCTCGGCGGGGAGGACGAGAAGGAGGACGGTGCTACGGTTCCTGACGAGCCTGCTGGTTCTGCGAGGAGCAGCGCGTCAGAGGAAAAGGCTGAGCCCCAAACCCCATCGAAGAAGCGGAAGAGGATGTTCATGGATTCGGTTCTCATTCCACCCCTCGCTTGCCTGGGCAATACCAACCCGACTCCCAGTAGCTCCATTCCCTCTGCCTCTGAGCTCCTTGTAGAGATCGGCCGTGCCAGGTCGAAGCGGAAGTTGAGCCATTCCGCCAGCTTTGACTCTTCGACCGCTGGTAATGCCACTGGTGGCTCGAGCGGGACCACGGAGTTGTGGAGCACTCCCTCAATGAGGCGGAGCGCAACCGCGCCCATACCTGCGACAGCCTTGGTCATGAGGTCAGGGGCCGGTTTGATGCGTCAGGCTCGACGATATCGAATGAGGACGGAGAGTGACAGTGGGGTCGGAAACGCGGATGATGAAGATCCTTTCGAAGCCGAAGTCAGGACGACGGAACCTTTGCCTGCTCTAAAGATTCCTGGACCTTCTGTGGTCGTGAAGGCTCCCCAAGTCAACAGCGACCCTCCCAGTTCCGACGGACCTAGTTCTGACGATAGTCTGCATCTGGGTCAAGTTACCCCTCACCATCTCATCTCTCCACATCTCGCTGCAAGGACCACAGAAGTGTATGGCACAGCTGCATCTCGGGTCTCGGCATTGTCGTTCACTGGCAGGTCAGGCACGAAGATGAGCGCCACCTCCCAGATTCTGGCTCGAGGTCGCCGTGTGTCGGTCGACTCTATGCCTGGCAGTGACGACAGCATCGGAGGCGGAGCACCAGATTCGTCACCTACGAGGAACGTTGTCGCGCGAAGGAACCTTTTGGGATTTGGACTGCAGAGGAGGGCTAGTTCGTTGGGACTGAGCTCGGTGAAAAGGGCTTAAATTAGATTCAGACAGCACAAATTTTGGACTCGTTGCATTTTTTTTCGGTTATTATGCATAAGTATGGTATGTAAGTAGGTTTTTCGTCACTTCAATACCTTGTAGTTTTATCTTTATGTTGTTCGATACCAAAGGAAATCAATCGCCTTTCTAGATTCTCAAGCCACATTGGTCGTATCTCGGACCGTCGACTCTCATAATCGCCACTAGGATTACGTCTAAGCGCCCACCAGTAAGCGCCGAAGACGCACGTGACCTTAAAGTCACGTGAGCTGGGACCAGAGGAGAACGGGAACAGTTCAAATCGAGGGGAGACCCACGGCAAAGTCCGAGAAGACCCGTTCCTGGGTCTTGTTCTCAAACTCGTTTCGGGGTCCTTTTCTATAAGTAGAATGCCGCATCAAATTCATCATTCCGAAGACGACGGCTACAACGGCATACACGATAGGGAATGCGCAGATGTACTACACAGCTACTCTACCTAATTTACTTCGTCTTGCTCTTTTTTGACTGTCTCGCCTTCACATTAACGGAATGCGAGCGATCGCGCTTCAAGTTTGACTCCCCGGGATGTTGACAGTTTGTCGGTATTCCTGTGTCTTGCTCACTGGTATGCCCAAGCTGCTCTCCTCTTCACGAGATATGTGACATAGGACAACCATATCGGGCGGAAAAGGAGGCAGACGACTGTTTTCATCGAGGTGATGGGAGAGCATGTGGTAGAGAAGGTTGTACTTCCAGAATGTCGTCAGGTGGGTGTGATTTGGATTATTTCGAGCACATATTGGGCAAGGAACCGGGACGTTGGTGCACGGCTGATTATCGCTCGACTTAGCAGCAGCCGAATACTTCATCCTCTCGTAGTGGTACTCGCAATTTGAAAGCACCCGGTAAGTTGTCTTGCCTGGTGGGACTACAAGCTGAGTTTGACACCCAGATGCATGCCTTCCGCACCAGCCACATGGATTTGGTCCAATCTAAAGGCAATATAAGTGCGCGTTTAGTGAAGTAAGAGCGAAGACATTTACCCTAAGCCCAGGAAGAAGATCATCAGGTACGTCCCTTATCGCCCGAAGGATGTGCTGGCCAACATGGTTTCGAAGGGCACTTAGTTTGGACTGCATTCCGCAGCAATGGCAATGCACCACATCGTCACCGGAGCGCTTTTCAGAATAAGCGCCGAGTAATGGCTGGGTAAACTGCGGTTCGCCACCAGCCGTGTACGGGAGCTTCTCTGAGGTGAACTCAGGGAGTGCCTGAAGGTCTGCCAAATTGATGTTACCATCGACGCTAACACAGTCCCATGCACCCTTCAGCGTATCTGCGAGGTCCGTTGTGGTGAGTTTCCATGTTGGTAGCGATGGATCCTTCGGTAGAGGGGCGATGGATGCTGATATCGGGTGGAATTTAGAACCAGGTATCGATAGCACGAGGTCTTTCTCGGCGGTCGTCTTCTCTGCGTTCTAACAGGTGGTCCCCGGGGCATTAGAAGACGACTTTGAGATGCTTCACTCACTCCGTGTAGCCGCCCTTAAATACCCAGAACCCGCCTTGAACAATGTGCTACTAATGAGTTGTTAACGAGAGATGCTATTATTGAACCGTTATGTTGTCAACATAAACACAATCGCACTATCATGACGGTCACCAGCTTGTAATGGTGGCCTGAAGTAGATAAGATACGTGAAAGAAATCCTGTGTTCAATCCGAGTCCTTTTCGACGCTCTTTTGTTGCACGGCCTTCGCTGATTAGGGGCTATTCGGGATCACTGCCATCACAGCGACATCACAGCCTTGGCGGAGACCCCACCGAGACTTGGCGGAACAAGACCTGGGAACTCGAAATTCCGGATTTTGCCGTGGGCCTCCCCTTGGTTCAAATGCTGCTCATCATGATGTTCAAATGATGTTGCCGACGGCTACTCGGCTTGTTCAAGTTGCGGTCTGTTCACAGCAGTTCTACGGCGCTGTTATCCGATCCCAACTGTGAAGAACCCCACAATGTCGCCCGCCCCAAACCCGTCCCAGCCGCCAATCTACGAACTACCTGACGATGTTCTTTCTGAAATAGCGGAATACGTCAGACAGAACGCCATCGCCACAGAGTCCTTCCATATGCTGATCACTCACGAACCAACGTCCCTCGACAACTGTTGTTTCGTATCCAAACGATTCAACGACATCTTCCTCCCCATGCTTTATAAAACGATATCGATTTCCCCCCATTGGGATCCCCGAAAGGGCGCAGTTATAGCACCATCGACATTGCTCAGGAACGCTGCCTTGCTGTTCAAGCGACAGCCTCGAGCTGGCTCCTGGGTTCGCGAGCTGCACATTCATATCGACGAGGAAGTCACAGCGATGTTGCTGGGCGACAGCGCTTACTCGGACCTAGTGGCGCTGCTTCGCAATACCACGGGGTTGATCAGTTTGCACTTGGTCGGAATGACCTCACTAACCTGGGGGTTAATTCACCCGGACATACAATCTGCTCTTCGACACCGATGTTTGACTCTAGAACAGATCGTCGTAGAAACGCGACTGGTACCCCCAACTATCACACTGTCATCTCCTTCCCTATTTTCCTTGACCCTTGTCGGCACCCAGCTGGAACGTGACGAGCTCGAACGGGCGTCGCAATCGTCGGATTGGACAGCGGAATCGCTGGATGCGAGTAGAGCTCCAATGCTTTACTCTTTTACTTGCCACAACGATTGGGATATTCTCCCTGTTTATCGTCAAGTATGCCCATCGGCATTCGAAGCATTGCGATCCCTGGTCCTCTCGAGGGCGGGACATTTCCCCTCCGCAAACCAAATGTTGGACCTCCTCAGACTTGCGGAAAGCAGCCTCGAGTCAGTTCGCATCGACTTCGATGAATTCAACTGTGAGTCCTGCTCCACCAACCATCGCCCTGCACACTGACTCACTTGAATTTCAGTGGTACCTCTCCGAGGGCCAGGATCCGCTCCCTGTCTCGACTTTACGAAGATGGAGAATCTTCGTGAAGTGAGCCTTCGATACGCGTGCAATTTGGGCCGCGCTTATAGCCTAGAGTCGGGACAAGACGCTCGGAGGTACGAGGACATGTTGGTAGAGACTCTTGGAACACTTCGATTCGGACATCGACTCGAAGATATCGACATAGAGCTTACGTGGCTGTGGGAGACCTACGAGGGCCTTTGGGAAGATAGATTCGAGGAAGAAGCCAATTCCTTCTATTTGAGGATTCCATCCTTTTTGCAAAGGTTGGACTTGGCGTGGGCGGACTTTGCTCAGAGACAGGAGCAGAATGGGTCGCTGAAAAGACTCCACATCCGTTTATTCCCATGGGTGGGACGGGGGCGGTTGAGTTCGACAGAAGCTTTGGCGGTGGAATTTGTTGGCCGGCCACTTGGTGACCTTTTTCCAACTTTGCACGCAGCGAACTTCTTCACGTATCAATTGATGTAATTTTGCGAACCATTTGAAATGTATATATAGTATTTTTGTAACTGCTCTCCATGTTCGGACACTGGAACAATTCAGTACACTTGTACAAAGCACCTGTCTTCTCTAACTCCCATGTCCTGAGCTAAATCTTTCGGGCACCGACAACTTCGATCTGATCTGGAGAAATTCCTGAATTCCCCAAGAATTCCTAGGCTATCATCGACTCTCACTGCCTTCGTAGTGCTTTACTAGTAGCATGTCGATGATAACCACCATCAGTCAATTGCCGGACGAGATTCTCGCTGAAATGGCGGAATACGTCCGTTCTTACAGCTTTCGCGATGAAGGCCAGCATCTCAACACACTGATCAAGTGGTGTCCAACAACGCTTGACAATTGCTGTCTCGTTTCGAAGCGATTCCACACAGTCTTCCTCCCACTACGCTATAGCTCTATCCACATCTGCGCTGGACAGTGGCCACGACGAGAAGTATCAATACTTATCGCAAAGCTGCGGGCGGCACTCGAGGTCCAGCCACAAATTGGCCTATGGATCCGGGAGCTGATGTTCACCATCGATTACACGCTGGAACGCAAGCTCATCGGCATTGTCAATCCTTCGAGCTTCCTTGAAATCCTCAACACGACTACTGCTTTAACTGCGTTTAGACTGAGCGGACGAGTAGCACCGTCGTGGGAGGCGCTTTATCCGCTGGTGCCCGCAGCCTTGCGGAAGGTGTTTCGACAAGAAACCCTCAAGAGCGTTACGATAAATACTCGATTGCTCCACCCCATCCTTCTTTGCTCATCTCCTTCACTTTCTACCCTCAACCTCGTTGGAAACAGCCGAGCATCAAGGCCTGGCGCGAGTCAATTTGCGACTTGGAGAAATGATGTGTTGGACGATCCGCCATGCGATCATCCCAATATCCTGTCACTTTCATGCGAAGAGGATATCGACATTCTGCCTCTTTATTTCGACACCTGTCCCTTGGCCTTTCGGTCGCTGCAGAACCTAAAGATTACTAGCACCGAGCCGCCTCCACTCATGTCGGCATTGAACAGCTTCCTTCGACTTTCTGGGAAGACTCTTCGAATGCTTGATATCGATTTCGGACAATACAAACGTGAGTCTTCTTCTACCTGATACCACAAATTCCTGTTGAATATAGAGCAAGTAGAAGAACCGCGGGTGTCTGGGTCTTTCCTTGACCTCTCAGAGATGAAGAATCTTCGCCAAGTCAGACTTCGATATTTCTATGATTCCGGAAGGGATTTAGAGGACTACGAGGCCATGCTCATGGAAACCCTCAAATCAATCGTAAACTCCAGCGAGTTACGAAGTTTGGAAGTAGAGCTCGAATGGTATTGGGATAGCAGGTTTCTGGGCGTGGATGGGGTAGAGGTGGGAGCCGCTGGTGTCGTTGCAAGGTTGCCGGCGTTTCTCCAGGCCTTGGATTCGGCGTGGGCTAGGTTCACCGACAACGACAGCTATAGATCATTGGAAAGGATTTATGTACGCATTGAGCCTTGGTCATGGGGGGAGGGTAGGGCCGGAGATCTGCCAGACTTGGTGCAACGGTCAACTATCGATTTAGTTGCTCGGCCTTTGGGAGAATTGTTTCCGAACTTACATTCCGCAGCGTTCTTCGAGTACAATCTTGCCACTACTGTATCTCACTCAGGTTATCTCTTTCTGTACTAGTCCGTAACAAGTAGCGATACGTTACATATGCATTGCTACAAAGACCTTTCCTCCAGTCTGGTTCCGTTCGTGACTGATGACATCGCCTGAAAGAGGTATACTGACCCCTATCCAGGACGCTGGTTGCGTCGTGGCATGCCCTGTGATGTGGCTGGAGCTATAAGTCGATGGGCCGGCGGAGGCTCGGATACACTCCTCACTCTCGGGTCGAGTACTTGTTTGAGATTCACAATAAAAGATACCTATGGGCTTTAAAAGGGTATCATAGTCACTTAGTTACAACATAAAACTTATTACAGATTCATAAGAAATCACAACATAGACCCTTTAGGCGTCGCAGGTATCCTTGACCTCCCATTCGACGCCATTGATCAATCCAAGGCTCAAAGAACCGAGCTGCTCGAAGAGCGAAGGCGAAAGGTCTATCTGATCCGTTAGCGTATCATCGTCGAGCCGTTAAATGCGAACTTGCCAATGTCATTGGGGCCACAAGGAGCGCAGGACTCAGAGTAGATTCCGCACACTTTCTTCCCAGTGGTGGGGTCGGTAATCTCGACAACCTTTCCGCAGTTTTGGGCGTCGAAGACGTCGGCGCCGACGGCTACGACTGGGTCGTCGTTCTTGACGATGGTGCCGCAGGCGGTGGGGGTGCCTGTCTCAACGTTGTACCAAGTCGCCTAAGGTGGGGTTTAGAACCTTGTTTGAGACGAGTTCACTCTCGAACCTACCCTTCCGGTGACGGTGCGCCTCTCCAAAGGCGTGGCGAAGACGCTGGAGACGAGGAGTGCAGCGGAGACGGCAGCGACGAGGAGGCGGGCCATTTCGTAAGAAGAAAGTAAGGCGTAAGAGGGCGTAAGAGTACTTTGGAGAGATGCGAAGTCGACTGGGTCGATGCTTCCTCAAACTCGAAAACTACGCCCCTTTTATACCACCAGCGGGCGTTGGTAACGTACATGGTTTCCTTGTTGGTCGTGTCCGAGCCTAGAAGGAACTATGTTGAAACCCGGCGAAGATCAGTATCCGGGATCCCCGAGCGAAACCTGTCACGCTCAGCGGGAGGGGAAGGGTTTGGAATTTCTGATAGATTGAACCGCGCCCCGTGAAAGGCATTGTTTACAAACACACGGCACAGACCTTTGCGGTAAAGAAGGACATGAAGTGAGTAACAACGAGTCACACAATCAGTGTCTTGTTTTCCTTGTTGTAGCTTGCCATTTAGGGCCTTTCTCTTACTTGATCGAGGCACAGCGGCTTATCCGGTTCTCACGGGTTGACACAAATGTCTGATTTTGAGTATCAACGTTGTTCTGCGTTGCATCAGGTGAGGTGTGCGTTAGGAAAAAGTTTTATCTTTCTTTATATTCGTAAGGGTTAACAAAAAGCAAGGGCCAAAAGGGTATCTGACCTGAAGGAAAGAAGCATCCCGGGCGCACTTTCGGACTGGTGGGGAAAGGGGCCAGGGTGCTGTGAAGGCCTAGATGCCAAAGTTCCACACTAAAGGAGGTCTGTAGCTGTAGAACGGATCAACCGCTGCTAGAAGCCGAAGACTTGTGTTGCCCTTCCACTTAGGCGCCCGTGCAGGCGCTCGCGTGTTATCTCGCATTCCAACGGTGTTCTCTAGGTCCCAAGGTAGAATAATTTTCAAGAACAAGGTTTTGTATCGTTTCTTGGAGCTCAGAACACTCGAACCTCACAGTACCCGCAATTCAACCGCGCAAACATGAAACTTGCCCCTGTCTCCGGGATCACCGTTGTAACTTGGAACGTGCAGATGGTGCATTGACCATATCCCGCTGATCTATTGTTCGGCTGTCTCCCTCTGGGTTTGTGTAACTGGCAATTCAACATTCGAAATACGCCGATGCCTGTGACAGGCCGTGAGTTACTAGTAGAGTTCCGAGTGTTTTGCTACGATGCAGAGAGAGTAGGCTAGCCGCGTCTTGACCACGTAGGAAGCTGCGATTGTCAAAGAAATGCCTTCGCCTGGTTTGATGTCAGCCTGACGTGCCAGACCCCAAGACGTCAAGATACAGGCCTATATTAACTAGGCAGGGGTAACTGAATGGGAGAAACTTACTGCAAGGAACGAGACCTTGCGTTTGACAGCAAAGCAAATTGTAGTTTTAAAAATGCAATTAGGAGCAGAGACTGTGAGTGGATACATGGAATTCTAAGGAATGTGAGGAAGTCTGACGTAAGCCACAGAGTCGGAGGCGGCAGATAGAGTAGAAAGAAACAAAAGAGCGTGTAGGGACCATCCCAAGGCAAGTAGATTCTAGTAGAAGGCTTGATTTTGGTTTGAGATTGCCAAGTAGTACCCTGAGCATTGGCATTGACCCAGAGATTGTGAATGGATGCATGGAATTCTAAAGAGTGCGAGGAAGTCTGAGGCAAGTCACAGACTCGGAGGCTGCAGATCGAGTAGAAAGAAACGAAAGAGCGTCGAGGAACCAGGTGATTTCGGGTGAAGTATCAAGATGAAAGGAGATCTATGAGTTCACAAGGTAAGTGGATTCTATTCGAAGGCTTGATTTTGGTCGGAGGAGTCGGAGCTCGAGGCTGGAGATTCAGGTTGCCAAGCGCCGCCTTGAGCAATGGCATCGTCCCAGTTGAAGCGCTCCAGATGATTCCTAAACGCAGTTTCGAACTCTTGCTGATGAACGGCGGTAGCAGCGCTGTCGTCCATTTGCGGGGCCTCTGAAGCGTGCAAATCACTCTCGCTGTAACGCCTGGAGGAGAATTGCTGTTGGAAAGCTTGATACGCCTCTGAGAGTCGGGCGAGGCTGGGCGCTTGATTAGGACCCTCAGCGACCCCCTCCCCTTTCAACCACTCGTTGAAGCTAGCGATAAGGTAGTTACTAAACTCGTCATAGTCACCCACAGGGACAGGCGCTCGAGGACCGTTGAAATGGGTCTCAGAGCCGGACTCCAGGCCGAGCACAGGACCAGGAGCTGAAGGAGAAGTTGGGGCGGCAGAGAACTCCAGGATGTTACGCGAAACATAGTCATCAAACGCAGCAGCCAAGTCGCTCATGGTGACGGTGCCAGTGGGGGTGACAATGGGGTCGAAAGTCTGAGGGTCGAAAGTCTGATCATGAGCCTGGCCGGGAATGGGAAGTTCCTGAGACCCCCCCGGGCCCATACTAAGGAAGTTGGGGTGGATGGTATGGAAAAATTCATTGATGTCCGCGGACATAGCCTCGTCGATATCGATGTGGTCTGGACTGCCCTCGGGGGTCGGTTCAATCCATTGGCTGTCCGGAGAAGCTCGCAGCGTATGCGTAGTTGAATCCATGACTGAGATCGATAGTAGTTAGTCGACGGGTGCTGAGTGAGGTTCTTGTCAGGAGTGCTGGAGGTGGTTGTCTATAGCTATCTCCGCCGACCCCTGGCTTTTATAGGGTTTTCAGAGAGACAAACCATGCTCAGGCCGCGGTTGTAGTACAGCGTTAAATTGCCATAAAAGGAGATTTGCGCTTTGATCTTCCAGCGCGCGTTGACTGCGCGCCTGCGGGCGCTTTGACAATTCAACGGTCCTTAACTAGGCGGCCCAAGAGTCAAAGCGGGAGGCGAGGTCCTCCGTTGCGTCTCTCAACTGGCACTCGCGTGACGGCTACGCCCTAATTTAGCGATATGGAATGTTTTTTTTTTTCCATCATGGTTGTGTCCGGTCGATACTTTGAATGGCGTTCGTGCCACGCTCAAACCCCGCGCCCTGGCTTTGTTTGAAGGCTCAAAGGCATGGTAAAGAGTAGAAGAAGGAAAAACGCACCAGAAGAAACGCCGTTCATAAGTCAATGGGAAAGAGATGGTCTGACCGGGGATACTGATTTTCTTCATTAATATTTAGAGTCCGTAAATACGTTTACACAGGATGATTAAACCAATGTCATGCGGAGAGGGGATTCGGGAATACAGACAGAACCCGCCAGGGGTTGAAGGAAGAAGATTGCGACTGAAAGATGTTACTTGATTATAGGACATAACAGAGGAAGAAAGGGTTGATGTTGAGAGTAGGAAAACATGATCATAAACGAGATTCGTAAGATCGATTGCGGGACCGTGACTTTGAAGAGACGTGTTGAATGAAGTCCAAGTTGTTAGTACTTATAAAGGCGTATCAGGGAACAGCTGGTTCCAAATCTCGCGGTTCTCCTCAAAGAAAGCCTGAGATTCATCCGCAGCGCCAGGGACGCACATGCCAGATGCGCCATTGAACGCGTTCCCAGCAGTGATCGAGTCGAAAACAAGTCCCAAGGCATTGTCCAAGTTCATGGCAGAGCCGATGACATGTTCAACCTGCACCACGCCGCTCGCCTGGGCGCTCCCAATGCCTTTCAGGCGGGCAAGCTCAGCTTCGAAGGCTTTATGCGCTTCCGCGAGTTTCACGAGGCGGGGATCTGGGATGGTGCGTTGCTCGGGCTGTTCGTCGCTCATGTCGACGTCGGGGGTGGTGGCTTGGGTGCCGTCTTCCTGAGCACCGATAGGCAGGCATAGGAAGTCAGCGATTTCTGCCTCGGACCAGCTGATGGCCTGGTCGGTGAAGGGAAGGGAGGTCAGGGTAGAGGCAGCTCTGGCAGCGGCGATCCCAAGACTAGAGATTGGACCGGCTGTGTTCGTGGTGTTCGCGATTGGGGTGAAGGGCCAAGAGCGCCTAAAGGAAGGTGTGAAGTCATCCACTCCGTCCATAGGGTCCTTGTTGGCGTTGGTATCCTCGGGATGTTCGACGGCCGGGGTCGAAGATGCCTCAGATGGAGAGCTCGCATCGGATGGAGAACGCGCATCGGCTGGAGAAAGGAAATTGTTAGTGCCGGCGCCATGTTCAACGATGAACGACTCACCATCCAAATTCTCCGCAGTACTCGTAGTTGCCCTCTGCAGCGTTTCATGCTCTACCATGTGCTCCTCGAACACGGCTCTGCTAAAGGTCCAAAACGGACACCCCTTGATTTCGCATGGGTAGGACCCCTGGCCCTCCCACACATAATGCGGGTTCTTGTGCTTCTTCTGGTGTCGCGTCACCTCGCACTTGCGGAAAGCCGTGTACGTGCAGCCCTCGACCGGGCAGGGGAGGCGCTTGCGGTTCACTTTGTGTCTCTCCATGTGGCTCTTGAGGTGGCTAGGGTTGGTGGTCGTGTAGCTGCAGTTGAGGAGGTCGCAGAGGAGGATGGGTCGGTTCCGGATGATGATGGTTTCGGGCTTGCGTTTGTGCTCGAGGATGTGGTCGCGCCAGGCGTGTGCGTCGGTGAATTTGAATTTCGCGTCGCAGTGAGGACAGTCTATCACGTCGTGGTACTCTTTGTCGGCGGGAGCGTCGTGTTCGTCGACATCGGGAGTGGGGTTTCGACTCGCGTCGCCCAAGTCCATGGTTACTCGAGAGAGATTAAGACTCGTGTGCGTGAATGTCGATGAGAGGGAGGAGTTCAGTTAATACGGAGAGACGCGCTGGTTGTGGTGGGTTCGTAGCTCGTGGTGGTGGTCGTTTAGAAAGAAACAGCAACCGCCAGCCAGGGTTTAAGAACCAAGCATCAACCAAGGTCACGAATCTGTGGCCAAAAGTTTATGTAAGGGAATTAGTTCGCACGCCACTCGTCAGTGATTGGCGCCGGTGCGTGAGTGGCTGGACGCGACTCCGAGGCAAACGGGGGATGGTTCGCGAATGCAGAGGGCGTTGACGGCGTGAAACAAGGGTTGAGCACACCAAAGAGAGGGAATCCTGTCATAGTTGCAAGTGCTGATCCTCCGTCCACGACGGCCCGGTAGTCCAGTAAGCGTTGCACTCTGTAATCCAATCAGCAGTTCCAGTCATTGTCTGTGGGCCACAGCAAAACCAGCGGGGCACCCTTGAAGGGATACTTCACCAACAAGCCGGGTTTTAATGTCATAATTGATCTTCTCGGTGTTGCCAGAGACGCGTTAATCGGAGGCGTATTCAGTTCATGGAGGAAAGGTGGTGACTAGTCGTAGGACGGCGAAACACATACATGTCAATTCAGATCGAGTCCCTAGATCACAGGTATATAGTCCAAATGCGGAGCCGACGCAGCTTAATGCTCGATTTCGTGGTTTGCTGTCACCGCGGAATTCGAGTTTTGTAGAGGAAAAAGCAAGATCCCAAGCCCCCGTTGAAAGCTGAATATTGACAACCGCGAAGGGCGTTGGAGCAGTTCGCCTAATTATGCTTTCTTTTCGAACCGGCTTCAGTCGCTTTGAACGCGTTGCTGATGTTGTTGAACGCGTGGACTAAGACGAAGAAGGGGACGATAACCCAACTGTACATGGATGGTTAGTGGGCTCGTTGAAAGGCTGAGGGCCAGAGGAGACATACATGAAGTTCATGAACTGTCAGAGAAGGAAAGAGGCTTGTCTTAGTGCAAGGGTCCTGACAATTGCAAGCAGGACAACTTACGAAGAGGTAAACCCATTTGTTGAGGAACGTCGAGGTCTCGAGGTTGGGGCTCCCAACCAACCATTCAGGCGAGAAAGTCATCCATCTAGAATGCATCCATGTATGCATCAGCATCATACACACTGAAAAAACGAAGGAGCGATCGCAATAGCTGCTACATACCCTCCATAAATCTCAGCGGTGCTCAGAACGACGAGCCAGAAGTATCCTCGGTGGTCGTTGTTGGCGAGGAGGTGGAGGATGTAGAAGCAGAGAGGGCCGGCGCCGAGGACGGTGATGATTTCGATTGCGACGGTTGTTGGGTCTGCGACGCCCCAGCGGAGGTCGGCGAGGGCGTATTCTTTCCCTGTTCAACGATGAATTCGCGAGGTTAGTTCAGAATTTCAACAACCTGACTATTCAGGGCAGCAGAAGGGTACGCACAAATATCAGCGATAATCCCTGTGCTGGTGTTTACTGTTCTTCCAAAGGTAGAGTAGTAGACGAAAGTTCCTTCGTAGAGGAAGTGAATGAGGGCGTCGAAGACCTATAATCAAGCACACCAATTTATATTCAGTTTCGTTTCGATTTTTGTGCTAAACTATACACTTACAAGCCAGATAAAAACATATCTATCCGCCTTTCGTGCATTCTTGGGTAGGAACACGTTGGCCGCTGCAGAAGCCGACACACCCAGCAACGCTACACCAGCAATACCCAACGTCGATTGAAGCGTCAGCAGCGATGTCATTGTAGTCTGCTCGTCGTTCGTTGTTCAGTTATTCGTGGACTTTGTCTGGTAGATGGGTGAGCGACCTGCTAGCTGGACGAAATGAAACTCGGACGACTGTAGGGTAGGAAATGGGGTCAACGACGTCCACCCCACGGTGACAGCGATGTTCCCACTTGCGAATCCCAGCGCCAAACATGGGCCATCCCCAAGGAGTGTGATTGGCCAGACACGATCAAGCCTGCCCTGAAGTCTTTCTAATGGGGATATCAATGACCCTCGAGATGCGTAAGCCCGACTTTGTAGGCGCCATCTGTTGTTTTCCTTCTCTCACTTTCCAGAATCTAAGGGCGAAGCGATAGACGTCTCTGGTCTATACTCTCCAAAAGCTGATAATATGTCGGATAAGAAAGAAAAAGCTGAACTTTCGAAACAGAAGGTGCGCTCCACATTATCTCCATCGCTGCTCTGAATTGACTTTCGAAATAAATCGCATTGGTACTTGGTTTTTTTGTATCATCATAGGGCAATGAAGCGTTTAAGAAAGGCGACTACGCCAACGCTGTTGGGTTCTATACCGCAGCGATGATGGAGAACCCGAGCGACGTGACCTACCCCCTCAATCGAGCCGCTGCGTATTTGAAACTAGGCAAGTACGTTCTTGAGGTGTTTTTCTCTCTTCTCTTTCTCTTCTGTTCTCTTCTTTTCCTTACCCTTACCCTGTGCTTGGCGTTGAATGGCGTTGAAATTTCGGTCATATTTGGAGTGGATAAGGTACTTACCGAATGATATAGACACCTAGACGCAGAAAGAGATTGTACGACTGCGTTGAAGATCGATCCGAAGAGTGCAAAGGCGTTGTTTAGGAGGGCGCAGGCGAGGGTTGAGTTGGATAGATTGGGGGACGCGGCGGCTGGTGAGTGAGCAATCTTCCTTATTGACTAACTACAAGTTCAATACGGGGCGTTTGTGGATGGTTTTGACTGACGAGCACCCCGTACTTGCAGATCTACGAGAAGCGCGTCAACTCGCTCCTAGCGACCAATCGATACTAAAGTTGCAGGCCCAAGTTGCGGATTCGTTAGAGCTGAAGAAACAAGAGGTGCGCCCTGCATCCGCCATTCAAACATCTAACATCTCCCTGGGAGAACTCATTCATACCCCTACGATATAGAAATTGAACCATCTCGCGCAAGTCAAGTCTGGGAAGTACATCGAACCGGATGGCCAACCGCCCAAACGGCGGAGGGTGCCGATCAAGATCGTCGAAGCGCCTGAGGATGGAGAGGGTTCGACGGTGAAGGGGAAGGAGGTTAAGGTTAGGGGAGGTGAAGAAGATGGGGAAGGGGGGAGCGGATTGAAAGCTGTTTCGACTAGGTCGTTGAATGGGGGGTCGACTGCCAAACCGGAGTCAGATCAAGCCAAAGAGAAGGAGAAGGACAAGCCCAAGTCGTTCAAGGAGGCGAAGGAGGCTAGGGATACGGCCAGACCTAGTCGTGTTGGAGGTGGGATCTTTACTCGTACGGGAGCGAGTAAGGTGTTTCCTACGCGGGAGGCGACGCCTCCGGCCAAGTCGCCAACACCGTCTTCGAGCGGTGTGGACTCGTCGGTGACGAAGGAGGAAAAACCGCCATCGCCCGCTCCTCCTTCCACCGCGCAAGACACTAGCCAAAACGAATCCGAACCTCCAACGACCCCATCCGAATCCGCTGCGAAACCGATACCAAAACTAACCAAACCCCCCTCCACCCTCCTCGACCTCCTCAAACTCTGGTCCTCACACTCCACGCCCGAAGCGCGCTGGTCCATCCTCCGCACCCTCCCTCCACATACGCTCCCCTCCCTCCTCCAAACCTCCCTCGAACCGCCCTTCCTCGCGTCCCTCTTGAGCACGTTCAACGATATCCTCGCGACGGGCGATTTGGAGACGCAGATTGCTGTCAAGGAGTATATGGAGGTGTTGCCGTTGTGTAAGAGGTTTGAGATGGTGGTTATGTTTTTGAGTCGGGGGGAGAAAGAGGTTGGTAGGGAGGTGTGGAGGCGGTTGGGTGTTGAGGTTAGGAGGGAGCCTGAGGCTGGTGGGGGTGGGGCTGCTGGGTGGGAGGGGTTGTTGAAGTAGCGTACGGGTGGGCTTTCTTCTTGGGGTGTATCTGATGAAGGGGTGTCTCGCTTTATTCTGTTGAAATGACATTTGATTCAGAAGAGGCATTTACGGATGAAGTGTCCTCTTTTTCTACAATCTACAGTTCGTGATAATGTTACAGGGTTCGTGCTGTATTAACGTTTTAGCAATTCTAACCGTACACTTCGCATCCGAATTCTTCGTTCCCTTCTCGAGTGAAGGTGATGATATGGTCTGTCCGAAGAGTTCGTCAACACGCATGGAGAAATCTGGGATTTGAATACGTACCTCCTAATAATCGTTTCGTGAATCCCACCTCGCAGTAGCAGTAATAATCTTGTCACCTCTATAAGCATGTTTCCCGACTAAAGACAATTAAAAACAGTAGCACTCACATATCCACTTCCTCCTAAACACTTCCACCTCCTCCTCCTTGCCCATCACATCAGGGTACTCCCTCTCCAATGCAGGTCTAATCACACTTGAGAATCTGCTCTCGAATCGGCGGCGCCATTCGCGGAGGGTACGGGCGTAGTGTGGGCCGATGTTAGTTATGGAGTCGACTGTGAGGCGGGATTGGGAGCCTTGGGAGAGGGATGTGAGGAGGTAGGTTAGGGAGGGGAGGTGGCCGCCTGGGAAGATCCACTTGCGAATGAAATCCACCTCGCTTTTGTACCTCTCCCAGCGTCCTTCGGGGATCGTGATACCCTGTACCACGCCCACGCCTGTAAGGGGTTTGAGAGCCCAGTCGATGGTTTGGAAGTAGGTGGACATGAAGTGTTCGCCGACAGCTTCTACCATTTCGATGGAGACGATGCGGTCGAAGGAGGAGGACCAGTGGGGTGGGAGGGCGCGGTAGTCGAGGAGGTGGAAGGTGATGCGGGTGGAGAGGGGGGTGTAGGGGGGAAGTTCCTGGTCCTGGTCCTGGTGTTGGTGTTGGTGTTGTGAGGAGGGGGAGGGGGATTCAGAGGATCGTCGTCGTTGTCGCCGTCGTTCGAAATCGCGAAGCGAGGCTTCGCGGACCCTCTCCTGAGCTAACTCGAGCTGGCTGGAGCTCAAGGTAAGACTGTCCACCCAGACGTGTGGGTACCGCTCGCAGAGCCGGATGGCGAGTTCGCCCCATCCTCCGCCGATTTCGAGGACCCTGATGGGTTGCTGCGAGCTGCCATCATGATTAGAGTCGGGGATGCGTAGTTTGGTGATGATGTAGTCTAGTTTGCGGAGTTGGGCTTGGTGGAGGGGGTCGTTGTCCTCCTCCTCCTCGCTGTCATTGTTGTTGTCTTGGTCCACGTCTCTAGCGCTGTGGTCGTCACTTGGGGCAGCTGAGCCTGCTTGAGCATGCGAGGTGGCACCTAGCCGTTCGCATGTCTCTTTGACAAGGTCTGCTGTCCCCCTTCCCGGTGTTTCTGGGGCCTGGTCGGAGCGGGAGGGCGATGTTGAGATGGAGGGCTCTTGGTCTGTTAGAGGTGGAGAGGGAGGGAAGTGGGAGCCTGCCAAAACTTCGCCTTTGATTCCAGGCAGGGTGGTTCTAGAATTAGAGGGCTTGGTCAGAGGTTGTCTGATGTGACGGTGGGGACTCCTTAGGTCCGCGTCTAGGTCTGGGAAGATGGCGCATGAGTAGACCATGTCTTTTGAGAGGAAGCCTAATGTCATTAGAAGTGGAGATCCTTGAGTAAAGGGATACAATGCAAAGGCTGGAATAGGGTTCTCACCAGCAAACATCTCATTAGAGATATCGTAGTGTGCTGAAATGTTTGATCTCGAGTTGCTTAGAGAGTTGACGAAGCGCCATGACGTTAGCTTCTGGGGGATGGAGGTGAAGAGGGAGGCGAGGTAGGAGTCGTTGAGGGTTGAGAGGTGGGGTTTGTTTGCAAGGAAGATCTGTGGGGGTTGAACGTTGGGGGGTGGTGAGTTTTGCTCTGTTGGCCCGTTAAGGGATGGAGATGCACCTTGAATACTTCGATTAATCCTTCAGCGCCACCTTCTACATCCACCTCGCCGTACATGTAGGATTCGGCGAATCCGAGGTCGCCGGTTAGACAGAGACGGAGCCAGAATGTGTCTTTGAGGACGCGGAGGGTTGCAGTGGGGTGTTCGTGCTCGTGCTGTCCTGGTTCAAGCTGGCGGTCGCGTTCATGAGAGGGTTCGGGGAATGTGTACGTCGTAGATGGGGTGTGGATTGTGAGTTCGCCGATTTGGATTCTCTTCAGCAGTCTAGGCAGTACAGTAATGTCAGTACTCTCCTGTCAGATTGGCCTTGGTGGATGCAACGCACTCTGTCACCCCGCCCTCTGCGAGACGAACGACTGCACCCCATCCGACACGGGAAATCGCGCCTTCCATGAGGGTGCTCCATAGTTTGTCGGCTAGGCCTGGTAGTGAGAAGGGGTGTTGGGCGGGGGTGGAGAGGAGTTGTTGCGACGACATTGCTCCCTTCCTTGGTGGTTTCTGTCCTTGTTTTCCAAGTCGAGGCGTGTGGGGTTGGGTTTTAAATAGCCACGAGGAGAATGTGTGGGCACTGTGATGTGTGCCGTGACAGGGTTATCGGTTTAAACCCCAACAGTGTGTGTGTCAACGGAGCGCACAAGACAAGGGATCTCCAGACTTCGCGGGGACTGTGACCTTTATACTGCGACAGCGGCGCAAGGGAATTGCCAGTAACTTTGCCCCGTCCAATTAATTACAACTGGTTGGATGGCTGTCAGTGGGTTTATGAAACGTTATTCTGGGTCATGTCTGCCCGAGTCGAGTTACGCATGGGACACGTTGTACATCGCAGGAATTCCCTTCATTATTGTGGCTGTCGCTCGATCCCGTCGTGCAGAAAGAAGTCTAGATCGCGTCCGTTTGGCATAGAGAATGGGTTGCGAATGGGAAGAAATATCGTGGCCGTGTCCAGAAATGTTCGAATAGAGGATAGGAAGCAGCAAGCGTGACGGGAAATGCACTCGATGAGAACCTCGTTGCTTGTCAACATCGGACAGCGTTTGATCCCATCAGGATGATACTGCGAGTTATTTTGGGACGGGATCGTCTTGGGATCGTCGGGCGCTTTGTTCATTGTAGCTTCGCAGCTTCGAGCTCATGTTCGACTTGGGCACGACCCACGAGAAGCTTAAGGCCTGCAAGACATTTCTGGGAATTGTTGGTTGTTTTTCTGTTGGTGGTGAGAGTCGTTGAGAAGGACGTCGAGTTTGGTTATGTGAATCGCCGTCGGCAAATCGGGTGTCGTATGAGGAGTCTGTGGGTGTGTAGTCAGACGACGCGATGCGACCTCAAGGATTCTTGTCAGAAACATAAGTAGGCGCCCTATGCAATATTCCCGAAATCGATCCCGATGGCGACCAAGGCCCCGGGCTAATCTAATCTCCATCTTATCTACTCGTTGTTTTAATCTAATCACTGTATCGCTTTTGATCTCCGCTTGAAACTCTCACGGGCCGAAACCCTCTCACTCTTGAGTGTCATCGAGTATACAGCAACTTCAGTACTCTAGCGCTTATGTCCCAAAGAATTTGGTCTTCGACACAGTACAATCAACAATACTGATAAAGGAACTGACAAACGTCTACGGAACCCGTCCGACATAGAACCCAATGTGTCTGAAAGATTTGCAGAGGCGTAGGCCTCTTGCTTCTAATCATGTACCTATTTCGAGGCATCGAATCCAGTTGGGAATTCATTAGTATTCACTCGTTGTCCTGTCCCCTACATGAGCGAACCTCTTGTCACAAAGTCCGCCAACATCGACAACGCTGAAATACTCATTACGTATATTGTACACGGAAATCGGTATCGAAACCGGAAAACACATCAACATGAAGTAACAACGGCAGCGATGACAGCATAGTGAAAGCGCAATTCAGAGGGGAAGAAAGAATGAGGGAAGCTGCACCTCAAGTGAAGACATCATCGTTGTTCGACTCTTGGGATCGACCAGGACCCTGGCGGCTCGAACCTTGGGGGAAAACAAGCTGTTCAATGACACTGTCTTCATCGCCCTCTTTGCCTGGGAGGGACATCGTGCGCTGAATCGGGGTATTATCGGTCGATTGGAAGCCAGCCACGACTGGGGGTGCCACATACTAAGGGAAACAACGTTAATGCTAGAAGGATATAGAAACAAGCGAGATACGCACATTGACAGCGAACGGCTCACGGGGGATTGGAGGAGTTTCAGGCCTTTGAGCTCGCTGATCCGACAGGTAGGTATCAGTTGTCGAGGAGGAACGAGCAGGGATCCCGGGAACAGCGAAGGGGAGGCGCTCATGATCCGACTTCTTCAATTCCATGAATGGCTTATCGACGTTGTCCTTTAGAAATCTGAGAATAAGCCGCTGAAAACATTCGTGGATGTAATCCGGCTCAGCCCTGGGAGAGTCGTGCGGGAACCAATGAGGATCAGTCAGCAGGTAGGCCCTCATTTGCACGAAGAGATCAAGAAGAGGGCTGTAGGAGGGATGGAATGTGTCGTTCGCGTGAGCAGAGAGCGTCTTGCGGCCCGCGTGCAATTCTGTCCAGATGTTCGCAGGGATGCCCGGGTCGAAATCTTCCGCCCCTTTCTCCTTGATACTGGTCGAAGGCTTTGCCAGCAAGCCCCAATAGTACATGAGCCAATAGACCGATTCGGCATCATGATACAGTCGTTGTCTCCAGGGGAGGAGAATCTCGTGCGTGGGCTCCCCGACTTCGTTTGCCTCAATATTCTCCTTCCTGTCCAGCTCACGGAACCGAGAAATGCGGTCCGGGAAGTTTTTCTCGTAGGTACCCAAGTGTGCAGAGCTTGGTATCGGGACCAAGGTGACCGTGTGATAAGGCTCGAGCTTGATCGGCTCTCCATTTTGAACGGCTCTGGCCATGAACATGGGAGTTCCCTTGATCCAACAGGTGAGTGACAGGACCTTTCTGAAAGAAAACATGGCATCTCACTGTTCGGGCACCTACCGCATGTCCCCCTGTTGACTCGTCCTCAGGCACTATTTCACTATAGTTGAAATCGATTAACAGGGCGGAAGTCTCCATAGAATCGATGCTGAAACATGTCGTCAGATATGAAGAGAGCTAGACCAGCCACCTACCTTTCGCCGAGCAAATACCTGACGAAACAGTAGCAGGAACCGTCTCCTTGATTCTTTCCTACGGCAGTCGCGTCGGGGGCCTTAATGGTCTTAATGATCTGTGTCATTGTGCGCCGGGAAATATACATGACATTCCCTTTGCTTATGTCGCGGTGCAGGACCCTGCGTCGGGCGAAGAGCATGCGGGTGACTTGTTCCGTCAGTATCTGCCCAATCGACGTGAAAAGATGGACATACTTTCTAGGACATCATAGGCCACCATGAGCATCTCCCGAACGGTCTTGATCGCCATGAAAGGTTCGCCCTCTTTGTCTAATCCCAACCAGATTTCTTTCCTATGTCCGAAGAGGTGCGAGGAACTATGGGAACAGAGCAAACGGATCACCCCAGGGAGGACGGCATTTTTGTGTATGTGGTTCAGCACCATGATTTCGTTAAAACGACCCGAGTCGCGACAGAGCTGTATCTTGATGGCCCTGAGAGGAAAACCGTTGATAGTTTGAGGCTGGGGGCCACCGTGGACGAAAACGTGCGTCCGAGTACCGAAGGAACTTTTTCCATATCGACAGAAGTAATTCTTGTATACGGGCGCCTTTTGGGAATCCGAGCACGGGAAAGTGAGGTTGTATACACACGAAGGAGGCTTGTCTTTGGTCGACGCTGTCCTGAAGCATGCCTCGATAGAGGTGTTCGCCCACTCCCCTGGGTTGTATAGTCGGTATACCATAGCGCGCATCGCCGTCCGCAGGTCGCGGCTTCCCCAGGAAAACGAGAAAAGGCGGATACCCGCACCCGTCTCCCCAACGAGCACGAACACGCTGTTTTCGCTGAGCAGAAGACCGAAGGCGGCTTTGAAATCGGGCCGAGCCTCAAGCAGAAGGTCGAGGTAGGTGCCAGCATGTTGGATTTGTTCTCCCTGGGTTTCGCTTGACAAAGCAATCTCCCCGGCAAGCCTGATGAGAGGCCATAGCATGTGGGACTTGAGGTCCTCTTTATGAGGGTCCGCACTGCCGCCCTTGCCGGCCTCGGATTTCTTCTGAGTGGCAGGAGCTCGACCATCGTACCAATGATCTTCGAACCCGGCAACCAAGTCGGGTTTTGCAACTGTATCTGAAACATGTCCTTGCTGGATGGTATTTTGTGTCTCTTTGAAGATGAGGAGACGCTTGAAGTTGAATGCTGGTGTTCAGATCAGATCCGAGTCAGTGGCAACGAACTTGAAAAGTACGCACCTGCCCTCATCTGCTCACAGACGGCATTCACGTCTTTGAAGAACTCGTTCAGCGAGTTAAATTGTGGGGTTCCATCAAGCTTCAGAGCAGGATCCCCAATCGTGAGGTTGACTTTTGCCAAGAACGGTGGACTCGCATCGTCGATGTGCACAGATAGCGGTGTGTACGCAGCGAAGATTTGGCGTTCAGGTCTGTTGTTCAGCGCGAAGGGCGCTTGCCGCACGATAACAGGGGTCGACGCGGACATTGTCGCGCGACGCGAACTTGAAGTTGGAAGCCAATTGAGTTCGCAGTGCCAAGTGGGACACGTGATTGCGCCCGGCCCGCTCTGACTCTGAGTGACATCAAAGCTCTCTCTTTGATTCTTCTTCCCGCCAGTCGCAGCAACCTACGATGAGCTGAAATCAATGGAGACAACCTTCCTCAGCGCGCCAATCGACGTTCTGCTCGATAGTCTTTCAGATTCGCCTACGACGACTGTTCACGATACAATTGAAGCTTATGCGTTGTTGTACAATCGGCTTGTCTCGTTGAGACTCTACCCTAACACTGGGTTGACGAAGGATGGAACTACCGGGGAGGGGGATCTGGAATCTGGGATCGCGTATTTGAAGAAACATCAAGACACGCTGGTGGGATGCATTAAACGAGATTTGACGCGTGTGAAGGCGTTCTTACCGCCCTCGCTCGCTCATGTTGAAGAGAGCTATGCATATACGAACCCAACGCTCACCTCAGAAGACTTGGCGGACTCGCATACCTTCAGTTTACTGGCTCAGTATGTCATTCGGGTTGCGTCTTTTCTGGTGCTTTGGAGATTGGAGGGGGAGTTGGAGGGGGATGGGAAGGACGAATCAGAAGGGATGAGGACCTCTCTCTTTCGGACAATCCTGCAGATTGCAAGAAAACCAAACCTGTCGGTCGTCAATGCGTTCAAGATATATGCGTTGGTGTTTAATATGTTGGCGAGCAGGGAGATCCCTGAGGGTATCTTACGGCCGAGGATTGGAGGCGTTGTGAAGGCTTTGGAGAATGCGGTTGTGGAGGAGAGGTGTGGGGATGTAGCGAAAGGGTACGCCTTCCAGGTGCGTATTTGCTGTGAATTTGGCTGGTGGATTGTTGACGAGGTTATTGAGGTAGACGATTTATAGAATCCTCTCGACGTACCCAGATACTATACACTCGTTTATGCATTTGCTACCAATCGTTCTGGCACATTTGACATCCCCGGATTCGGATATTGCTCAAGCAGCTTTCAACGCCCTATCCGGATTCGCACTCGCGAAATTCCATCTACTCTCAAGGCATGAGGACCCATACGAACAACCCACCGACGACATTCACGACAAATTGGCCAACGATGTACACGTATATCTCAAACAACAAGATTCCCAGTCCATCAAGAATAGCTCTAATGCGAGCGGAAAGGCCGGGGGAGGTGCTGGTGGACCTGAATCCGTGCCAGAGTCGTGGCAGTCTGAGCCAGCGGCAGCGCCTATCGCCCTCCCGGACTTGCTGGCTGCATCTCTGAACCCACCGCCCGCACAGCCTGGAACGAGCGAACAGCAACCTCTAAGACAGCAATCTCGAAAACTCCCCGAACGAACACAAGCGTGGACGCTAACCCTCCTCGCCTGTCTTGTCTTTTTGTCGGATGGGACGTTGTTTGAGAATCCGGCGAGTTTGAGGGTCGTGTTTAAGAGTTTGGAGGCTGGAGCTGGGAGGGTTGTGAGGTTGAGGAGGAAGGTTTTGCGGGAGTTGGGGCAGGTGGGGGTGAAGGGGAAGGAAGCGGATGGAAAGGGCAAGGAAGCGGATGGAATGGGCGAAGAAGAGGGAGAGGAGGCGAAGGAGGGGAAGATAAGAGAGATGGAAAGAGAGTGGATGGAACTTGAGAGGATGCATGGCGAGGTGTGGAAGATTGCGGTTTGGTGCCTAGGGAGGAGCTGCTCCTGGCGCAGAATTCCCGCTGGAAAAGGTGAAGCTGTGGACGGGGAGGAGAAGAAGGACGAGGATGCGAGTACGATGAACGAAAAGGCGAAGGAAGGAGGACCAAGAACCGATAAAGGGAAAGCGAAGAAAAGACCTAATGATCCCTGGAAAGACCGGATGGATAGATTCGAAAGGGCGTTCCGGATCCTTGTGCAGGATCTTTCGGGAGATAGAGTAGCGACGAGTTTGGTATCCGTGGTTATGAATGCTTCCCTGGACGCTCGAGGACAGGATCGGCGTCGTTCAGATACCAACGCAAACCCGGGACCTACGCCTCTCCAAGTCGACGAGTTTAGGATGAAGAATGTGGAAAGGTGTTTGAAAGTTATGGGTGTGCTTTTCTCGTCGCCTGCTTCAAAGTCTGGTCGCCGACGCTTAGAGAAGGAATGGAGGAAGTTGAGGGAAGGCGTGGATGTTCTTGCGAGGGTTGCTGGTGCGATTTCTTCACCTGTTGGGGCACTGGGTGGGCACGGTCATGGGGTCGTGAGCGAGGAGGACGAGAGGGATGTATTGGATCCGAGGAGATTTGTTTTGGAGGGTGTGATTGGCGAAGAAGGGGACTGTGAAGAGGATACCGTGGAAAAGGGAGGGAACCAAGAAGAGCAACGTCAAGACAAAACCTTGCGCCGTCTAGTGATTCCACCGCTTTCTGACTCTGAGATTGTGGATCATTGGGATGGACTCGTCGGGGTTTGGGTTGCGGCTTGTGAGAGTGTGGTAGGACTTGCTGGGTTGGAGACGGACTTGGATAATGCCACGGAGAGGGCCTCGGCGTTCCGCTCAGTCCTCGACGACCTCACGTCGACGTTTCATACGCTCCTTTTGCACCGCTCGACGTTGTTGGTTTCGTCCCAGGGGAAGGTGCAGGCGAAGTTTGGGCTGGGTGGTGGAAGGCGGGGTAGAGGCGGAGGTGGAGAGAGTGGCGAGGAAGAGGAGGGTGAGGATGACGATGTGGGAGTTAAAGTTGCTGCTGTTGTCCGAGAGATCTTGGTTGGCTCGACGGTGACTGTGGCAGGGGCCGGGACGAAGGAGAAACCAACCAAGGAAATGAACCAAATGGAACAGTGGGCGAGGTTGTTCCTGGTGAAGAAGTTGTGGAAGGTGTTTAGAAACGTGTTCTTTACTCCTGCGCCTTCTATCTCGGTTTCGGTATCTTCGTCTTTGGATTTGTCGGGTGCTAGTGTCCACGGAAGGGAGGAGCTGGGTCGGGCGACCAGGATGCGAGACAATGACAACACAAAGACCATGAAGACACTCGTACCCCTCGCAGAAACCTTCCTAGCCGCTCTCATCTCTACCAAATGGGATCTCACTTCGTCCGATGGGGCAGTGCGAAGCGTTTGGTTAGACCTCTGTCGAGAATGGGCGACGATGTGTTTAGAATGTGGAGCGGGGAGCGGGTGTGTGCTGCTGCACGTTCTATGTCGGGGGTCGCTTGTCGGTGTGGAGGGGGATGGGGGTGGGGAGGTGAGGAGGGTGTTGTGGGGTGTTGTTGGAGGCTACTTGGTGCAAAGTGCGATGCGGGTAGGGAGACGTACGGCGAGGAGGGTGGGTTGGTTTGGCTGGGTGGAGGTTGTAGAGGTTTTGTGCGTGCCTTTTGCATCGGCCTCGGCGTCCCGTTTGTGGACTATGAGTGAGGAAGAGCAGGAGTTGTTTGCAAGGCTGTTGGATACTGCCGTTGAGCTGGCTAGAGGTGCGGTCTTGGATATCGGTGGAGGTGGTGTGGAGGTTGAATGGGAAGTTGAGAAGGTCGTTTTGGGAGTGGTGGAGGGTGTGCTGGGTGTTGGCTGGGAGGGTGAAGGTGATTTTGAGGGGGGTTATGGTGTCGATCTCAATTCGTATGTTGTTCATTTGTCCTTGCTAGCAGTGTTCTGATGTATGGTGGGTAGGTTCGTCCAGAGGGCTCCCGGGTGCTTGGCAACAATAGTGGGGCGGTTGGGGAAGATGGCGTTCAAGCCTTTCGTACGGCCTGTGGATGAGGTGTCGACGCCGAAGATGGGATCAAAATCTCTCATGCCTCCCCCAGCAGCAATTCCCTCTCTTACCCACTCCAGTCAATGCCATGGTGTCATGAAGTTTTGCAACTGGGTCCTCTCCTCGCTGTACGCCAGTGAGGAAGAGGGGGATAGTGCAGGGAGGAAGAAGATCAGGTTGGGCGTGGAGGCATTGGTTGAGCTCTTTGGTGCACTCAGGGAGAATGTTGGCGGGCTAGGTGCTTCGAGCCCAAGGGAGGGCGGACATAAGCAAGGTGCCGAGTGTGGAGATGGCGGGCTTGTATCACTCCTGCGCATCTTTGCGCCGACTCTGACGATGTGGCTTGAAGATCCTATGGGAGCTTTGAGTGCAAAGGAACACTGCGTCTTGGTGCGTTGTGAATCGGATTTTGTGATCTGTTTGCTGACTTCGTATTGGATGTAGGTTGAACAAGTGTATACCCCGCTTTTGGAGTTCGTCTCGCATCATCTACGGAGGGGGGAGGGAGCAGAAGGCGAAGGTGGTAGTGATAAGACAGACAAAATGAAGGAGGTTCTGGACGTCCTGGAGGACGTGATCGTTGCAACGTTTATGAGGGATGTTGCGGGAGGACCAGAAATCCCTCGAGGCGACCCGTTGGATTTCATTGGGTCCTCTCTTGAACTTTCGAATTCTCTCGTCTCTGGCCCTCATCTCTCTGGCCCTGTTTCCTCAAATCCCGCCGGCTCTCCTCCCTTCAGCCGCAGTTCTCGGTCGGGAATCGCAATCAATGTTACCCCTTCGAGCCATGTATCCCGATTGTTGGAGGTGGCTGTCACGCCCTCCCCCGAGCGTGGGGGACATGAAAACTCTCGGTCCCAGTTCTTCTCTCCTCATCAATCCAACCCGTTCGAACCCCTTTCTGCGTCGGGACTTTCACCGCCTCCTCCGAACCAGCCCCCTCCGCCAAGCTCCAACTCGAACGGCCACCCCGTCAATGCACCAGAACCGCCGAGTTCAGTATCCATCGCGCTTGCTGCCCAGGCGCTCTCTTCCTTCTGGCGTAGCGCGGGGTACCACCACCTCCCCCCTCAGGTTAAGAGGGAGATTTGCCCGGAGATGTTGGTGATGTGTTTGAAAGCTTGTAGTGATGTTTTGGATGGGGAAGGGAGTTTGGGTGAGGGTGTGAGTATTGGAGGTGGGTTTAGTTTGGAGTCGGTTGGGAGTAGTCAGGGCGTTGGGAGTAGTCAAGGAGTTGTGGTGCGTGCTTACATTCGCTTTCTGTTAAGGCATCGTTGAAGCTAACTTGGCTATTCTATCTTTGGTGTGCGGTTGGTGCAGTCACCTTCGTCTTCGAGTGTTGTACCCGATTCGCAGCCTAACCAAGGTGGAGGAGGGGCGACCTCGATTTGGTCGCCGTTTAGGTCGTTGGAGTCTGATTCCACGGGAGGGAAGAGTGGAGGAGATGGGTACTCGAGGTTTGCGGATTTGGCCGGTATGGAGGGGTACCATCTCGTTGGCGTTGGACGCAGCAACACAGGACAAGCGGGTCCTGGTGGAGACGATTCTGGGGAACAGGACGTCCGTATGGAGGAGCGCTCGACGATACCTCAACCCCTACCGCCTAGACGGACAACACGAGGATTAGCAGAGCTACGCGAGTATGAAAGCACGATTGGTGGAGGTAGCAGCTGCTTTCATGCTGGCTCGTCGATGCTTGTCGATCCAATGGGCGGGGATGAGGAGGATAGTGGTTGTCACGAGGGGACGGGGGAGCCGGAGGAAGCGGGTGTCGACGAGGCAGATGCCGAGGGATCGTTTTTGCGGGATGTAAAGAAGAGACTTTTCGCCGAGGACTTGCTGGAGATCGGGGATCAGAGCAGTGGGATGCAATCGCCTCCTCCACCGGCACAACCGCCTGTTGAAGGTAGTCGGCCGCTGAAGAAACGACGCACGATGTCTGAGCCTTATGGCAGCCACGGCAGCTACAACGCCAGCATTTCGGTATCGGTTTCGATGTCGATGTCGATGCCTACTCCGTCATCGTCTTTCCCTCGAACCAATCGCGGCCCTTCGGGAAATGCTTTGACGCCTTCGGTTTCTGGTGCTGATGTTTCCCGTCCGGCGATGCGAAGATCCAAGACGACTCCGCCTGCCAGGTCCTTGCTGAGGATGGTAGAGGAATCGGGAGTTGGGTTGAGCTCCAGAAGTGGTTTGGGACAGGGCGGCCAGGATGTGAATGACAGCCACAAATATGACGAAGGCAAAATCGTTAATCAATACGACCGCGATGACCGCGACGTTACCCGAAACGACAACGAATATGATCACGAATTATTGGAGACGACGGGTGGTTTGGGACCTCCCGATGGCGAGGACCAGGGGTCAGCAGCGGATGATGGTGATTTCGATTCATGGGAGGCGAGTTTGGAGGTGGAGGGTTTGAAGGAGCTTCATAGGGAGATGATGATGGACGTGGACGGGGAGGGCGAAGACTGTGTGCTGGCCGCAGGTGGCGGGCATCTTGATGGTCCCGATTCTCCCGAAATACCTGTTCCCCGTGCTCATTCTCGCGGAGAGCCCAGCGTTGGTGACGATGAAGAGGACGACATCGAAGTTGACGAGTCTATGACCCGACCACCTCCGGGCGCTCTTGTCAAACCGAAAGGAAAATCACTGTTGACAAAGCTTGGAAAGGACGGCTCGGATGAGATTGAAGAAATCGAACACGATTCGATCGAGAGTCCCTTGTTCTCGTTGGAGTCTCAGCAGAGGGTTCAACGGAAAGAGATCATCCATCATCCTCAGCAGTCGCGTCGACGGGATCGGTCGCAGACGGCTCCTGTATTGCAGTTTATTAACAGGTCTCCATCGCCTATTGCAAGAGCGGGTCCTTCTAGCTTGGGGAAGGGTCGTGTTCATGTCCCTCGTGCTGACCCGAAGCCATTGCGACGTTCCAGGACCTCTACCTCCTCCATCTCTTCATCATCGTCATCGAATCGGGACGGTGCCGCTTCCAAAGCAGCAAGATCAAGTGGGGAACTGCAACGACATCCCTCGTCTCAGCTTCTGGCTCTAGAGACAATTTACACCAATCTCGTATCGGCGAGTGATCCGCTTGGCGTTGAAGGTGCCGCTGTGTCACAGATTCCTGATGAAGAATTGGGCGAGGCGAAGAGAATTGCGAGTAGGATTCGAGGTGTGTTGGAGGAAAGGGTTTTGGATAAGTTGGAGAGGAAGGCGAAGAAGGGTGGTGGGTGATGCTTTCGGCGAATGGATCAAGGACTTGGTGCAGGATACAGGTATACATTTTGTCTTGTTGCGGATGAACGCACTCGGACTCTGAAGGGACACTTGTTTCGATACCCCCAGACTTTATGACTTTATTTATTCATTAACTTATTCATGTATCGAGGGTGTAGGTTACTGTATGCGAGCTTTTCTGGATATCCAGATAGCCTACCGTTGAGATGCTCTGAACATGCTGCGTTGGGGATCAGAATCAGTCCATTGGTCCGGTGGGGGATTGGGGCCACATTCAGGTTCTGTGCGAATCTCCCTGTGATCTTCTGAAGAGGCCACGCTCCAGTTGTACCTTGTTTCTTCATTTATATTCCTGTCCGGATTGCCGCTTGCGTCCATGGCTACCTTACGCGGGCGGCCTTGGAAGATCATAGAAGGAAAGTGCATGAGTGGAAGGGTGAGCCCACTCCTGGATCCTTTTTTCGGAAGATTTGGATTTGAACAATTGCCGTTTTCCCGCCTAAAGTTGGAATTTTTTCTCCTTCCATTGCCTCACCTTCGCGTAAGGTTGACACAGATGCTACTGCCAATGCCAATAACTATCCTTCGATCACGGCCTTCCTCTGGAGCATAGAGTACTTGTGATTGTTTCGAGAAGGACATGGACGTATACCATGGAGTCATCCTTTGTCTCTCGTCTATCTCTTTATCCCTCCAGTCAAACTTCCTATTCTTCTCTAATTTCCGAACTTTACGATGGTAGCAGCCTTCAATCCAATCTCGTATGCCTTAGGACGCTAGTAAACGCTCTTGTATCTCTCAAAAGTCAGGGGGTCTTCAATATTTGGGACAGGGTAAGTTATCGGAAACGAAATTGTCGATAGGCGCCCAAGTTTCGGGCGGGCCAATCAATGAATGAGGAGGCATCTGTGTCAATATTCCATTCTTGGATGAGCGCTGTGCTAATATGTAGGGGTATCCAAAGGCGCTCTTAAGGCTGCGCTCTTTTGACACTGGACAATGGCAATGGCCACAGTGGCTACCTAGTAACCTAACCCGACGCGCTGACCGGCGGCAATCAATGTGATCAGTCGTGGGAACTGATTTCTAATCACGAGCATTTAACCACAAATCGTGACTTGGGTTGATCTCTGGTCCTTGGAATCGTCCTTGACAAACAGCGCCTTCCCTTAAACCACTACCATCCTAAACTTGCACACTGCTTCTACCAGCTACCGTCCTCTAATCGACTTCAACTCCCACAGTCTAGCGCACCTTCGCACTTTTCGCGAACAAGTATGGGTAGCGGCAACCGTGTTCGTCGCTTCAAAGAGCCTGTGGAGGACAATGCGCCGTTTCAATGTCAAAGGTGCAAGGAGAGGGTTGAGCCCCAAAGCTTCTACGAACATAGCGCCACGTGCACGCACCGGGTGATCTCTTGCGAAGTCCCTGGCTGCCTCTTCCGAATCCCATGTTCTGACAAGGTTGCTATGGACCTCCACATGTCTCTGCACAAGACGCCTTTCTACACATATCGACCGAAAACCTATCGTGAATTTATGCTCTGGTGCAAGATTCCCGGGTGCAGGTTCTTGGCTTACGACGACGAGGATTTCCAACAGCATGCTGAATACCATCGATTGTCGAACAGCATTGCCGCTGCACAGAGTTCGCACGGCCTTTTCTGGATGACTGGACAAGGAGAGCATACTAACAACCCATATGCCACAGCCAATTATTTCTCCTCTTCGATTGTCGCGGGTCGTGCCAATGACAGTGGCATCCCTGCGGGCTGGCCCGCGAGATTCGCGCCTCTCAATTCTGGACATCAACCTTTCGGTCCTGTTGTTGGCTCCGTCACGACCGTAGCTCTCCCGACGCTTGATAATCATGTTCTTGATTTTATCACCGGCCCACCCTCGACTACGATCATGACTCCCACTGATGCCGTGCAGAATCCTATGCCTGTCCTTGATTGGCCCGGTCCAGGACTCCACCCCTTCTTGCTCGAGGGCCTACAAGCATCTAGTCACTCACAGACCTATCCCTTTAACATCGACGCGCAAGTCGATCTCGTCTTTCCCACTCCTGGCAGCCTTGTGCGACTTGCAGAAGCGCATCGAAAGTTCGAATACGAATTTGCCAGGAAAGATGATTCACAGTGGGTAGATGTTCCCGAGATCATCAACCTTGCTGCTAGACAGGAGGAAGACAATGCGTTGCGGCGTGCTCTCAACTCGTTCACTTGGGTCTCGGACGAAGAGGTTCAATCTTTCTTCAACGATAATCGCGGGATTTGGAACCAACTATTCCCTGATACCCCCATCTAAGCAGTATATCCTCTACAAACATCCTATTGATAGACTTTTTCTTTGCCGATTTTGTTTCTTTTTTGGATCATTTAAAGCTCTGAACCCATCAACCAGACATAATCTCTATCTCTATATAGCCCGTTATTAACTTTCCTAGTGACTTTCCTTACTCTGGATCATTGTCAATTGCCCTTTTCGTCTCCGACTTGTGCCTGGTGTACTTCGTCTTGTCATGTATTTATACGTCGTCTCCCTAAATGTCATTCTTTATGTAACTCATTGTGAGGAAAGGCTTGTCTTCCTTACGCACTGAATTTATCTCGGACTTCCTTTCCCTCTGAGCGGTCTGATGGTGAGATGCGACCTCTGACAGGAGCGGAACCCCAAGTCCAATTCATACAATCGAGGCAGAAGCACCAAACGTTCTTTATATACTGGGACGTTTGTCGAACACAGTTATCTCTTCTCCAAAGGAATCGAGGCTGGTTTACAAATTACGAGTCTCGACGAGGGGTCTCCTGGCCCTGTGGCAGGGAAAAGTGGCATGTTGGCCATCATTGACTCGGACGGGTCTTTGTTCGCGGGCCTAGAATGTACTTGTACACGAGCGACTCCGATATCGATAATCGAACCCCATTCAACCAATATACCTCGCATACTTTCCAAACTCCTCATCGGTTCTCAACTGCTCCATCTCCTCCTCCTTCAAACAAACAGCCAACGATACCTCTCCATCCTCCCGTTTCGGCATCAGGTACAGCAAGCTCTCGCACGGTGTGAATTGCGGTCGCCTCACCGACACAGGCTTCCCGAGACCCAAACCAAAGTCGAGGGAGTATAGGGGCGGTTTGGACCAGGAGCTGAGCATGATGGAATGGGCGAGGGACATGTTGGCTGTAAGCGAGATGTTACCCCGGGAGGCTGGGGGCGTACGCTGCATCAGGGTCGCAAGAGCTCGGGTGGCGTGGTTGAGGTCTCGCTTCCACGACTTTGGGTCCACGGCTCGACGAAGGTCTGCAGCAATGACGCCCAGAGGTGCGGACACGATTTGGGAGAAGGGGAATTGGTGATAGGTCATGTTCTGGCAAAGACCGGTGTATGTGTCGGGGACGCCTAAGAAGCGTCTGACGTCCACTGCACGGGCGAGTTGGGTCTCTAGGGTCGAGGTCGAAATGGATGCCTTTTCAAAACGAGCAAATCGGATGCGGGTGATAGCCTGCCAAATAAAGGCTGTGAGGGCGTCGTCTGTGGAGATGAATGTTGCGTCTGCGGGGAGGGCCTGTGAGGCGATGGATTTGATCTCGCGAAGACAATCAGCGCTGAATGAGAAGTATGCCCATACACATTTGGGAGGGCGAGAGGCTGGAGCCAAATCGGGCGAAGCGTCTCCGGGAGGGGCAATCTTCACGAGTTGATTGTCCAGTTCGGGTCCTGGTTTGTAGTCCTTGTCTAGAAGAGGTACGAGCGTATCCCTCTGAAGGTTTCCGGACGCGATCTCTTCACACGTGAATGGTTCGCCTTTGCAGGCTTTGTGGAGGAGGTGGATGAGCTGGGCCTGGCCCGTCATGTCCATCGCACCGTGCTGCCCGAGGACAGTGAGCAACAGTCCGCCAGTGATGAAGGTCGCTTGCAACAGGAAGACAGGGGTAGGCTCAGTCGAGGAGAAATCGTCGGGGATGGTCTTCCGAGGTGCAATGACACTCTCATCGAGCATCCTCATCGGAAATTCGGATGCTTTGAGAGTCGCCATCGATGGGATAGAGCGGTCGTCGCGCAGATCCCTGACGATCAAGGGCGGGATGGATTCGAAGGGAGCGATCTTGCCATTCCCAACGTCGTCCTTGCTGATCTGCCCTGTCACCCATGGAAAGGATTCAGACAAGCGCTCCAGACCGCGCTTTAGCGTTAAAATGACTTGGTCGGTGGATGAGGGAGAGTCGTCGGGTAGATCGAAGCAGAGTGTGATCTGTGTGTAGATCAGAAGCAGGAAGGGCTGCTGTCCACAGATGTCGAGAGGGTATTCAGCCATGGGGTTAGGTTGAGGTTGGTTTGCGGGAAATCAATGCCAGAACGCCTTCTTTTGTCTACAATCTCGGTACCGGCGGCTATCGGACTCAAGTGGGCAATTGAGCTCTGACTCGCTCGATGCCCGAACCGTGGCCACAGGAGCCGAGGGCTTGTTCCTCTTGGCAGCTGGTGGGCATGGAGTTTGATTCAATGATTGGTTCATTCTTTTTTGGAAAGAATAGGTTAAGCGCGGAGTCTATTATTATTTTAGAAAATTAGCTACATTCAGAGCATGGAAGCACATAAATAGTGTAGGTATCGAAGATTAAAACAGAAACTGTACCAAAGTTGAACGGATCTAGGCAAGAAAACGGAAGTTCTGGTCTATGGACTGATCTTTGGGGGAGGAAGTTTGGGATCTTCCGACGGTCCATCAATTATTCGAAAACGCGGTTCAAGGCAATTGTCACCACCACCACCGTTCTTTGCAAGGCTCTCAATATTCGCAGCCATTGCGGTGGTATTTACAGACGCGCCGCGATGAGACTTAGTATGCACCTTGACGTTTCCCTTGTGAATGGTCGTAAAGTTACAACCTGACACCGGACAAGCATACCGCTTTGCATTTGGATTGTGGACTCTGGCCATATGATTTTTGAGATAACCACGATTGTTAGCGTTGCACGTATAACCACACGCTAGAACTGGGCAATGGAGTTTCTCGGCGCACGGGACGTGCAGTATTGCATGTCTTTCGAGGACGTGTTTATAAATGGTCGAGAATTCGCATCCGGGATACTGGCACTGTAAACGCTCTGGACAAGGGAGTTCCTCGGACCACGGAGCGTGCCGTAGTGAATGCCTTTTGAAGGATGGTTGATGAAGGGTCGAGAATTAGCATTCGGGATACTGACACCGTAAACGCTCCGCGTTTGAATCGTGGATTTTGGCATGCCTCTGAAGGCGGGAAGGAAATTGGAATTTCTTTCCACATTCGGTACATGTGAATGGCGCTTTAGAACTCATGCTTTACCTGTCTTTGGATGAGAATTGGATGGCAAGAGACGAGAGGTCAGCAGGTGATAGCGGAGTTGGGGTTTATGGGGGGAACCCTTCCAGCAACCCTCGCTTTTATATCATGTCAAATCAACGCGCTTTGACTTGCGTAGAAGGGCCCATTACCACCGGAGTCATGCCTTAGAAGCACCCGGCAGCGGTTCATGCCCAAGCGTCACGGTCCGAGCGTCTCAAGGGCAGCAACAACGAGCACCGCGCTTTGACGCCGTTAAGCGCCCATGGCAACTCCGCCAATTGGTAACCGAACCTGTGACCTCGGACGAATCTGTCGTTATTCTGGCTTGGCACCCATGTAGCGCTCGTAGTATGCATATCGCTGAACGACTGGTCGGGACTCACGCTTTATCTAACAGTTATGTAAGTTTAACCTTGCAGCCAGGAGTTGTCACAAGGTTTTTTTTTTTTTTTTTTTTTTTTTTATCATTGCCTGTACTAGTTCGTGTTATCATATTGGGTAGGTTAATTAGACAAGCAGGAGAAAAAGACACTGCGCGCCTTTAGCCCAGATCTAATAAAAAATTACTCTATTTTACAATATTCCTGAGGGGAGGAAGCTTGAGATCATCCGGGCCATACATTCGGAAATGGTTAAGGCCAGGTTCCGAGCCAGTCATCCTCATCCGAGTCGTACTCGAGGGGCCCATTATTGGTGACGGCGGAAGAGGCAGAAGAGGTGACACGGTGTTTACCCCTCAGCACATGTCTATCGAGGCTCAACTTATAAATTGGCTACGTCGAATGACAATGTGTTGCTTTGACCCCTTCAAGCGCTCACCAACCCACAAATTACTCTCGGCGTGGATCGAACCCCAGTAGCGCCTTGGAAGCGCCTATGACGTCGACAATCGTATTTAGTTAGTACACCCCACTGTCAAGGGCCGTACCACCTTACACAGGTTGTACACCAGAAGAACAAGATAACATTTGGTCGTAACGGGGTCGTAACAAGGTCGTAACAAGTAGCTAGTCGTAAACGAAAAGAATACAGTCAGATGGAAAGCGTACAACAACAAAAGCCAAGCGTCAACAGAGAAAAATAGGGAAATAGTACAAATGTAACAGATATACCACGCAACGAAAAGGCAAGTCACTCCTGGCTCAAATCAGCTATAGCTGCCCATGGGTAGCACCCGGATCATCCTTAGCTTTCACCCTGACCTCCCTCCAAAACTCCTCCCATCTCCGTGCTCGTGTGGGTCGACTCTGCAACTCGACACCGTCCGCATCATCCACCTTCAACCCATCCTCTAACCGCAGATCATCAACCACACGCGCGGGTGCAGGGAACCCATCCCGCGCCTGGGAGCTCAACGGACTATAAATCTCCATCTGAGCTTTCTGTATCCGATCCACGGCTTTGATCAACGACGGCGTCGCAGGGATTGGGATGGCGCCCGGTAGCGGGGCTGGAGGGGACAGACTTGCACTATGTCGCTTCAAGAAAGCCGGACTCCACTGGCTATCGCGAGTCGGCGTTCCAGGCCGGGAGGACGACCCTCGCTCCTCAATCCTCTGCATTCCCAAATCTCCATCCTCCCTATCAGAATAATCAAGGTCATTCACATCCCCTCCACGAAGCTTCTTCAACTCGGCCAACTCCTTATCGTAATCCACCTTCTCCAGGTCCACATCCGCAATCTGAGCATCGGTATCTGCGTGATCATGCTCCGAATTCGAGCGCGATCCTTTCGCGCCACCACCGACCAGCGTAGGCGTGGACGAAGAATATGAAGGCTGCTGGTTCGTGATAATCCACGGTCGCTGAACCTTTGTGTTCTTGATCTGTGCCTCGACATCTGAATCGTCTGAATCAGAACTGAGCTCGTCGATGGCACCGAACTTGATAGGTTTTCGACCTCGTGTCGATTTGGGAGTCTTGGACTTGGATTTCTGGGAGCGTGATTTCTTGAGGAACGTAGGTGAAGTAGGGACATCGTCGACGTCCGAGTCGCCTAAACCTGCATCCCCTCGCTTGAGCTTGGCAATGGATGATTGTCGGTTTAGAGGCGGTGGTGCGGTGAAGGGCTGGATGTTGAACGGGCCCTTCATGTCCTTGTCCGAAGGGAAGATGATATCGTCGTGCAGTGCTTTCTTGGCGTTGAAGAGGTCGTAGTCCTTCTGAGGAGCGCTGATGAGCCTATCCCAGAAGCTGGTGAGTGGTTGGAAAGTCCCCGCTCGGTCCTTCTGGTTTGGTAGATCGGCGACGTATTTCTGCAGGTATTCATCCCACTTCTATACCAGTGTCAATCGGGGCTATGTGCAGGGCAGATATAAGAAGCACCCACCTCGTCAGGACACTCGCCGAAATACCTCCTCATTGCCCAATCAGCGCCTATACCCACAATCCAGAAGATACCCCAAGCAGCACTGAGGCCTTGTTCCTTGCCCGACCCCCATTCTTCCCCATTGTGAACCCATAACCTTTCCCAAACGTTGGCCCAGCCGTCCACTCGAGGCGTCAAGAGCAACGCGATCGAGACGACCAATCCGAATGCTCCGCTCGCTGATGTACATGTTCGCAAAACCGGATGGAGGAGACTGGCGGTAAGTCGGGGGATGAAGGCTGAGACAAGTACAAGCACAGTGAGTAGACATGTGAAGACACCAAGAAGGATGAGCCTGGGTAGGCGAGATGGGTGCAGAATGACGGAGATGCCGAGGGAGATGAGGGCGCTGTTACGTGATAAGTATAATGAGAGCGTAATTGAAAGTATGGAGTGGCTCACCCGCCCTCCAATCCAGCGAACAGAAGTGCTGTGAGTCTGTACCGGGCTGCAAGGAAAGTTGTTGGTAGACATGAGAGAATCCATACTGCGAGAAAGGCGTTGGGCGATAGGGAGGCGGATGGAGTCCTCGCTGGGATCAGGAGCGAAAGGAGGGTCGCGAGGTGTACTGTTTCAATGATTAGAACATTGTTAGCCTCGAAATGATAGCCTACGCACCTCCAAAGGTATAGCCAATTGCAATTCCTCCAATTCCACCCTCCAGATACCATTTAAACCGTCGTTTCCTCGGTTTGAGCTCGAAAAGGCCTGGGACGGCTGAATACTCGGTTTCTTGTTTCGGTGGGAATGAACGGGTGCGATCCAGGGTCAGAAAGGTGCCAGAGAAGATCAGAAGTATCGAGAGCAGCAGCAAAGGGAGTGTATAAGCGAGAGTGTAGGGTGTAGTCGGTAATAGCGATGTGAGTTTAGAGTCGGAGGTAGCCATTGTCGTCAAGGGTCGTTAGTGGTGGTATTACAGTTATAAATATACAAGAAAAGAGAGAAAAAGGTATCGCTTGCTCGGCTCTTGAAGCGTTTGAAGCTTCCTGTCTTGAGCCTTGCCTGGACTGCGTTCCGCCGTTCTTGAGGTGGAGGACAAGGAACAAGAATGTGTCAGGAGAGTCTGCCCAGATTAGGCTTCTTGTTGTCCAAAGCCATTCGAGTCAAACAATGACGCCGGTCTTGGCACTCAAAATCTATGTGGGCGTCTTTTACTTCACGAGTTACGTTTTGTCTTGATCTTCGACTTGACTTTTGCACTGTGTGTGGTCTACTTGGTCAATCACCGCCTCTTCAACTCTGCACCTGACCTTCTTGGCTATCCCAAACAATACCTTCGGGGAATCTCCTGCTATCTCTGGCATTGTGCCAAAACCTCTAACTGTATTCATCATGACAGACAGAATGGATCTTTACGTGTTCTCCCAGGGACAGGAACGACCTTCTCTATAGAAACGCTCCCCGTGCTCAAAAGGTCCCGCAATCTCGCCGTTCTGTGTTATCCTGTTCCGAGTGTGTATAAGTACCCACCATGAGGCCGGCTCGAGTCGGCCAGCAGCCACCCTCTTTGCTGGCGCACTCTCTCCCCGTCTCTTCCCATCCCAACGCCCACCATTACGACCGCGCTATCATGGAATTCACCTCACCCATTCCGTTACCCCCAATCCCTGACGATGTAACTCTGCAAAAGTTTCTCATGGAACTTGACCATGTCGCAAAACCCCATCGTGGTTTTGACATTCCTTTGATGATTGACCCTGACACTGGGAGGAGGGTGACTTGGCATGAAGTAGGTGCTCTTGCTTGGATCCTGGTTTTGACTGGTAACCTCACATTCGCTGCAACCTGGGCCAGGTTCAAGACAGATCCCTCCACCTTGCCAATGGCTTGTTTCTCAAATACGGACTCCGTAGGTTCTTCGACCTGACACGCAGATCTGTTAAGGTACTCATTCTGTCCGGTAGGCCGAGATGACGTTGGTACGTTCAACCGCCATATGGGCTCGGCAGTTTCCTGACCTGCTTCAAAGTCCTCATCGTCAGTCGCAACCATGTCGGTAAGCGCCCACACTGAGTGTTCTACCATTCGCCTCCGTCATCTTTTACGATCATGTAGACTTTCCAATCATCACATTTGCCGTCCACAAGCTAGGCGGCATCGTCTCGTTCGTCCTTTTCCCTCTTTCCTAATTTAAACCTGACATTCCGTCCTCTCTTAAGCGGTGCAAACCCAGACTTCTCAGCCGACGAACTCTCCTATATAACTCAAGAATCCAAATCCACACTCCTCATCGTCCATCCTGACTGCCTCGACCGAGCAATCCAAGCCGCGTCTAAAAACTCGATCCCACTTCGGAACGTCGTTCTACTGGAAGCTGCCAGGAGTTCTTCGATAAAGGGCAGCTTCGAAACCATTGACGGGCTAATCTCTTACAGCAAATCTACGAGACTCATCTCGTTCACTGAGATCAAGTTCGCACCTGGCGAAGCGAAAACAAAGATCGCTTGTCTGAGCTTTTCGTCTGGGACGACAGGTCGTCCAAAGGTGCGCCCGACCACTCCCTACCGGAAGATCGGCAATTCGAAGCATGTGCTCATCACACCTACTCTACCCAGGCCGTAGCACTCTCTCACTTTGGTCTCGTCGCCAATGTGGTCCAATTCTCCGTACACCATAAGATGAACCGAAAGGATCTGCCACCCGACTCTGAAGAACGGAGATACCGAGTAGGGGATGTCGTTCTTGGGAGTACGTTCTCATTTTCTATTTCATCGCTTTCCTCGAGAGCGGTAATCTGTGTACTCTAATGCTAATTTTATCTCCCTTGACGATTCAGTTCTACCGTTTTTCCGTGAGTACCCATTCAGGTCTATCTTTGCACTGATCCTCACCGTCTGTTGTCTGGTTCTTCCGCTTCCTCGATGACTGATCACCCGTTTCTTGTGCGCTTCAGATATTTATGGGCTTTCTATTACGGTAAGATTCTCGTTCTCGGGGGATTCGAAAGGGCGTTAGTGGAGCTGATCTTGCAATGTGCTGCTGTGTTTGTATCCCTCGACCATGTGTTGTTACATCGGCAGATTTTCGTTACGTTCTTTGCGGGGGTAGGTTTCCCGTTTCGACTTGTTCTCTGTCATCCCGGCAACACGAGAGAATCTCACGTCGGACTGCGTGTCAATCAGCCAACGCTGACCACTGTCCGCATTGTTCTTATAGATGACTCTAGTTGTTGTACCAAAATTCGGCTTCACGGATATGTTGAAGATCATTCAGACATACAGAGTTTCGCATCTGTAGTAAGTCTTCTCATAGTGCTTCTTTCTTTCGAATTGCAGTTTTTGACTGGTACGCCGTGTCGTATTTTACAGCATTGTACCTCCAATCGCACTTCTACTCTGCAAGGTAAGTTTGACTCCGTTCCTCCGAAATCGTTTTGGACTTTGTTTTGATCTACCCTCAACGTGCACTTAGGACCCAGCCGTGAAGCGATACGACCTTTCGAGTATTCGATTTATGCTTTCGGGCGCAGCGCCTCTCTCCCATGAGCTACAGAAACAACTGCAAGATACGTTCCCCCGTGCACACATCGGTCAGGCCTTTGGTGAGTTTCTCAGCATTCCGATCAATGCAAAGAGCACCTCCGCTCCCGTCGTGCTCGTGCAAAAGAAGCTCCCGCAAGTTCACTCATACATGTACTTCCACCCAGGAATGACGGAAACAACCACGGCTGTTACCATGTTCTCTATCGAGAATAGGTCAGGCGTGCCAGGAGGAAGTGGAATTCTTATGCCCGGCGTAACAGCGAGGGTTGTGAAACCCGATGGAACGCTGGCTGGGTACGACGAGGTTGGCGAGATTTGGATCAAATCACCCTCGATTGCACTGCGGTATACGAACGACAAGGAAGCGTGAGTCCTTTATTGTCGCGTTTGTTCGAGGCGGGGAGACTGAGGAGTTCGGCTGTGGCCGTATAGGACGGAAGAGACGTTTGTTGATGGGTGAGTTTGCCTTTGGAGGAAAAAGGAATATGGGCTGGAATTGCTGTTGCAGGTGGGTCAGGACGGGAGACCAAGTTACGATTGATCGACATGGGGAAGTACGTGTGATGGATCGACTGAAGGTACGGTCTTTTATCCTCCTTTCAGTTCCCAAATTGACGATTCTCGAAGGAAATGATCAAGGCACGTCTCCTCCCCAGGCATCAAATTGCCTCTCTTACCGTTACCACCGACAGGTCAAAGGCTTCCAGGTGGCACCCGCCGAGCTCGAAGGATGTCTCCTAGACCACCCAGCCGTTTCGTCTGCCTGTGTCGTCGGCGTGCCTGACTCGTTCTGTGCGTATGATCCCCATTCATCTCATCATTCGTTAATTAATACTCCCCCTCCTCCTCCTCGACATGTCTCCATCTGACCTATCTATCACCTACCCGGGGTTAATAACAGGCGGAGAGGTTCCCTTTGCTTTTATAGCACCCACCCCGGAGACGTTACGGGCTATTCAAACGAATCCGGATCTTGAAAGGCAGTTGCGACAGGCGCTTCTGAAGGTGTGTTCCTCCTATCCCTTCGCACTTGCCTATCCCCCTTCAACGTCACGAAACGTTCACTTATTGGAACTTGAACCTACAGCACGTCGCAGAACGCAAAACGTCGTATAAACACCTCCAGGGTATACACTTCACATCCCAAATCCCAGTGTCGCCAAGTGGAAAGCTGTTGAGGCGGATCATACGCGAAGAAGCAAGGAGGCTCTGGACTGACAAGTCCACGGCGAGGATTGGTGGGAAGTTGTGATGGCGTGGGGCCTATGATGGGCTATCTCGAGTTCTTCAGTCGTATATGTACCCCCAAGTTGTCACACAAATCAAATTAAAAACATATTACCCCAGATTACATTACCCCTCAAGCTTCCTTGGCTTCTAAAAGATGGGCAATATCACAACGTGTGTCCTTATAGGACTCTATAGGTGCTCCTGGGTACTTATTGCGCAAACCAACGCAATATCATTGACCACAACACTTGGCGTGGCCGTCTCTTGGGACCCTTGAAGTTCCATCCGGATCCTAATCGGGGGTGGTGTTCCTTTTTTTCGATGTTTGACGATTTTTTGTTTTGGGGTCCTGTTGTCGTCATGTCTACAGAGCGTGTTCCTGTCCTGTTTCAGAAGTTTGCTGATTTGGCAATTGCGGGGTAGATTTGCCGCCGGATGTCTACCACCTAAATGGGAATTAGCGCCGTTGGGACTTTGGGCGGGCGCTTATTCGGTGGTTTGGACTGTGTTTGGAGTAGGGGTTGGGATTGGGTAGGGGAGGGGGTTTGGATGCTGTCTAATGTTTATCCAAGGTATATGGTGGCGGATGGGTGTTGACAGCGATGATTATGCATGGTTCGTTTGGGCTGTTACGACCACCCTTGCTGGCGAGCCCTTGTTGGTCCGGATCATGACCAGATTGTTACTCGCGCGCGCCTCGGACGGTCCAAGTCTGGAGAGAGGGCGTTGATCGTTGAGAACCCCAAACGTAGTGTAATGGTGTATGATCCATTCCTTTCCCTGCGTTCAAACCGCAAGTGTACTTCGCGGGATGCATCAGGTTCCGAGGCAGACGCGTGCGGGTGAACCACCTGAACAGTAATAGTCATCCTCTACGTATTCATTGCTCTTCATGATGAAGCTTTATGACACCTTGAGCCTCTGTCATTCTCCAATGTCAGAACGGGGACCTCGTTAATTACATAGCTGAAGCTCCGTCCCGTTCGATGTGAAGAATGTCAGCATCGACAGCATCTATTTTCTCGTCGCTTCGCGTTAATTTAGGACGAGAAGGCAGGGTTGCAAAGTTTTGGGGTGAGAAGGCGCGTAATTTACACGAACGTTTGAACCTGGGTCCGAGAGGTTTTGGCCACACCAATAAGGAGAGAGAATCGGGGCAGGGGCAATCAGCACCGTGTGATGGTTGTGGACGGATATGTGCGCGTCTATTTTTAGCTCCGGGGTTCCGAGACGATGACATCTGCGATGATAGCTCTTTCCTGTTCATACCATGGACGTTTTGGAGAGCTGGAAGTCGTCGAAAAGGCTGTAAAGTGGCTTTGATCTAGACAAACTTTAGGATCGAGAAATAAGGTTTATGATTCTCTTGAGGGCTCTGGAAATTAGGGAAGTGGGTCCGTGACATACCCCGCAACATGCTGGGTTGTCATGTGGGGTAATGTACAGGCAAGAAGGCGCAAGTTCCGTCCATGTCTGTTTCGAAATCGAGATTGTTGGGAGCGGTTCGCCAAACGAATTAGGGCCCAAGTCTTGGCCTTTATTTCTGCTGAGCAAAGAATTGATGTGGTGGACCGGGGGAATGTAAAAATCTAGAGCTCAAACTGGGCAGATCCCGCCGTGCCGCTTTCTTTGGTTCATTCGAATCTCCGACGCTGCACATCTCTATAAAAGAGTTCCAGCCTTTCATCGCTGAACTCATTCAGTCCCTCAGAGGTTCTTCTTCTACCCACCCAACCACCACCCAACCACACACCCATAACTGTTGATGGCGTCGACCCCAGACGTTTTGTCGGCCGCCAGCCACAAGCTCGCCGTCCCAGGCGACACCCGCAAACAGCTCCTTGAGGACTCGCCGGGATATACCACCCCGGTCTTCAAGGGCAAGAACGAACAGCGAGCGTTGGTCGAGGCCGATATCATTGCAAAGGTTCGTTCGTCCGTCGTTTGCTCGTCGTCCCACACGACCAGCCGAAAAACTCTGATCCTGATCGATATCAACATCTAGGGCTTCATCCCCCGAGACCTCGTCGCCAACGAAGTCAACTGGTTCTACAATGGCTTGGGCATCGACGATACCTACTTCCAAACCGAATCGCGCGAGGTCATTGCTGATCATATCATGGCACTCTTCGGTGCGAAGATCATGGCCTTTACCAAGCACGATCCCGCTTCTCTCGTTATCGACCTGGAAAGGATTGATGATAAAGGAAACGGCGCTACTTTTATTCATTCCAGCGCACCTGGATTGACCACCACCGAGGGACCAGGCGCTACCTGCGAAGCTAGGTGAGCTCACTTTTTTTTGTTCACTTTTTCCTAATCTCCAAAATGGCGTTATTGGGTTTTGGGCACGCGATCTTGCATTCCGCTGTCCTCCCCTTGGCGAGTTGGTCGTCCAAGCTCGTAACGATGAAGGGAAGGGAGAGGTGTCCGAGGTCCGATGCTCTGGTTCGCCGAAAGGCCCGACACTGAATTCCATTGGTCCTCGCACGTGCGGGAACGATTTCGCTAACGTAAATACTATTTTCCCTCTAGAATCGACGAGCTCTTCCTCGACAAATCCACTCCTGATAACGCCTATCGACTGGAAACCTTCCGCTCAGCTGGCTCGATCTCCTCCGCCTCTTCCCAGAACTTGCGATGCTACTTCGTTACCAAGGCTCAATTCGTCTCGAAACCCGAAGCAGGCCAGACTGATGGCAAGACCGACATTCGATCGGTCTCTGACAAGACTTTCCTCGAGCGTGCTACTGAGAAGACCCTCGACATTTACCAGCAGGTAATTCTCGACCGTTGCTTGGTTTCACGAGCTATTCTCACTTTTTTGTCCAGATCATCTGGAATGTCGAGTCGCGACATGGACCCGTCATCGAGGTCTTTGAGATTGAGGGCACTCGCGAGCGCCGTGTCGTCATCGGCTACAAGATGGGAGCCACCTCCAAGTTCTTCAGCGCTTTGTCGAACTTGTATCACTTCTATTCCCTCTACTCTACCCGGAAATATGTCGGTATGTGTGCTCTGGACTGATCCTTCTGTCGCGTGACACTAACGACACGTATCCAGAGCAATTCTCGAACGGAATTACCATCGTCTCGCTCTACCTGAGACCACTCCCCGACACCAACGCCCCTCCCATCGAGAACTCGATCTTGCAAATCCGGAAGGAGGCTTCTCTCCTCTTCTCACTCCCCGACAACCCCTTCTTCTTGCCTAATTCCAAGGGCAGCCATGCTGTCCAGGAAGCCACCTACGCATGTACGTTTTAATTCTCCTTGATTCCTCCTTATGGACTGGAGCTTACTCGATTCGTCCGTGTCGTCTAGACTGCGGCTGGATCTTTGCTCAACACTTCTGCAACCGTCTCGGTCCTGCTTATCTCCAACTCAAGAACATCCTCAACGAGAACGATCCTACCCATGCTGAGGTTCTCAATGACATCAAGCGACGATTCCGTGAAGAGACCTTTACCCGAGAGAGCATTGCCCAGGCCATCCATGCCTACCCAGAGCTCGTAAGTCTGTGCCGTGCTTCTATCTCGCCTAGATCTGACTTCTTTTTTCTAGATTCGTCTGCTCTATGTCAACTTTGCCATGGCCCACTATCCTCCTTCGCATGATGCTTCTCAGCTTGGGTAAGTTCCTCGCCTGATCTATTGAATGGTATACCCTAACGCTTAAGTAGCCCCACCCTCTCCTACCAGCGTCTCCAGACCGTTCAGCCCTTGTCGGACGAAGAACTCTACGAGAAGCTTCGCCGCACTGTCTCCAACAAGAACGATCTCCAAGTTCTCGAGGCCTTCTTGATCTTTAACAAGAGCATCCTCAAGACCAACTTCTACCAACCCACCAAGGTCGCCTTGTCATTCCGCCTTGCGCCCGACTTCTTGCCCGAGGTCGAGTACCCCAGGAAGCCCTACGGCATCTTCATCGTCATTGGTAACGACTTCCGGGGCTTCCACATCCGATTCCGCGATGTTGCCCGTGGTGGTATCCGTATCATCCGCTCGAGGAACAGGGAGTAAGTTTGGCTTCCTATTTGATTTCAGTTCTTCGCGTTAACCTTGTAATTTTAGAAACTACTCTATTAATCAGAGGCAGTTGTTCGATGAGAACTATGGCTTGGCCTCGACTCAAGCTCTGAAGAACAAGGATATTCCTGAGGGTGGTGCCAAGGGAACTATCTTGCCATCGCTTGGTGCTGACCCTCGACGATGCTTCGAGAAATACGTCGATGTAAGTTTTCATTTCCTGCTTTCGACAGGCAGGAACTCAACGATTTTGTAGTCTATCATCGACCTTCTCATCCCTGGTCAAACCCCTGGCATCAAAGAGCCTCTCGTTGATCTCTATGGCAAGCCTGAACTCTTGTTCTTCGGCCCTGATGGTATGTGACTTCGATACCCCGAGGCATACTTGGCTAACATATGTTGCAGAGGGTACCGCTGACATGATGGACTGGGCTGCTCGTGAGTCTCGAGATTTCTTCGTTGTCCCGTCTGCATAGTAACCTTTCCTTTAGTCCACTCCCGTGCTCGTGGCGCCGAGACCTGGTGGAAGTCGTTCACCACTGGAAAGACTGCCGCAACTCTCGGTGGTATTCCCCACGATACCTACGGAATGACTTCTCGTTCCATCCGACAATACATCATCGGCATCTACCGTCAACTTGGTCTCCGCGAGAAGGATGTTACCAAGGTTCAGACTGGTGGTCCTGGTATGTCGCTCTCTGTCCGTCTACGTCGTCCTCCCATTCACAGAGATCAAAGATGGTGACCTTGGCTCGAACGAGATCCTCCTCTCCAACGACAAGACTATCGCTGTCATCGACGGTAGCGGTGTCCTTCATGACCCCCACGGCATCAACAGGGAAGAGTTGATCAGGTTGGCCAAGCTCCGTATCCCTGTTGGCTTCTTCGATACCTCCAAGTTGAGCAAGGACGGTTATCTCGTCAAGGTCGAGGACCAGGACGTCAAGTTGCCCTGTACGCATTTCGTGTCCTTTGCTTCGTCCGTCATCAACTTACATGTATGTTTGAATAGCTGGCCAAGTCATCCCCGATGGTACCGACTTCCGAAACACTGCCCACCTTCGCTTCAAGGCCGATATCTTCGTTCCTTGCGGTGGTCGCCCCGAGGCTGTCAACATCTCCAACGTCAACGCTCTCATCGACAGCGAGGGCAAGCCTCACTTCAAGTATGTCGTCGAAGGTGCCAACTTGTTCTTCAGCCAACAGGCTCGTCTCTTCCTCGAGAAGCGCAAGGTTATCCTCTACAAAGATTCCAGCGCCAACAAGGGTCAGTAATATTATAATCGCCACGATTGATAGGCTAACACAAGATTACACAGGTGGTGTTACCAGCTCTTCCTTGGAAGTGCTCGCTGGTCTTGCCCTTTCCACTGAGGAATTCGTCGATCTGATGGTCTTCAAGGATGGCAAGCCCACCGAGTTCTACCAGAACTACGTGAAGGACGTCCAGGAGAAGATTGCCGAGAACGCTGCCAACGAGTTCCAGTGCATCTGGCGCGAGCACGCCCGTCTCGGTGGCACCAAGCCTCGCACCACCATCTCTGACGAACTCTCGCAAACCCTCAACAACCTCCAAGCCGAGCTCGAGAGCTCTGACTTGTTCGATGATCTGCCAAGCAGGAAGGGTGTCCTCCGACGTGCGATTCCCAAGACCTTGGTTGATAAGATTGGATTGGAGACCTTGATGGAGAGGCTTCCCGAGACGTATCAGCGAGCTCTGTTCTCCAGCTGGGTTGGATCACACTTTGTACGTTTCGTTGTTTCATGCTTTGGTGTTCAATCTAATCTTACTCTTCTCGTTTCGCAGATCTACAAGCATGGTGTCAATGCTTCCAGCGTCGACTTCTTCCTCTTTGCTCGCGGTCTCGCCCAGTCTGACTAGATGTCCTCATCAACACGCTGGATCCTCCAAAAGTTTAGTTAAAAGATTGCTTCTTGATTTTATTGTCTCATTTCCTATTCCTTTGCATTTTGAATACCACTTCTTTTTGATTTCGCCCCTCTCTCTCTCTCCCACTTGTCGACGACAGCAACCCTCTTCATCTCGACTCTGATTCAGACGTTAATTGTGTACACTAGCGCAGCGACTTGGCTTCCGTGAAGGATTTTTCATTTTTGCATAGGGTACATAATGTTCCGCTTTTTTTCTTTCTTCGTAGATGTAGACCTCTTTTCTTTCGTGAGTAATTTGCGCTGCTTGTTTACATCCTGGAATTTGATCTAACCCCTGCTCGTCCTGTCGACTTGACGCGATTGTCCAAGGCGTGCGCGTGATTGACCGCGGAGACCGATCACGGAGGCCCCTATTACCACAATCTAGTATCCGTCATTGGCTCGCTCTCATCTCCAAGCCACGATCTTCCTTTGGACATGTCTTCTACAGACTCTTCCACGTTACCAAAACCTACACCGCCATGCTGGCTAGCAGACGTTAGGACCGAAAGTACATTCGAGGAAATCCCGGTCATGTTAGCGAGTTCTTTGCTTGACTCAATCTCGTCAAATGTTCATGATGTACGCGGCGCTCCAGCGATGTAACTGCTGCTTTCTCGTCAGATAAGAAAGAGAGAAGGGAACTGGCAGATAGGATACGCGATTCTGCTATTAATGTGGGTTATATACTGTCTCTCTTGTGGAGGATGGTTGTCTGACGAGAAGTTGGTGGATAGGTTGGGTTCTTTTATCGTGAGCTTATCTCCCCCACCTCGCGTGATCCCGAACCTCACTGAAACCATCCTCCTCCTCATGACACCGCCTCGCAGTGAAGAACCATGGTATACCCGAAGCCACAATCACTGCTGCAGTGGAAGCAGGAAAGCGATTCTTCGCTTTACCCGAATCTGAGAAGATGAAGATTGACATACACAAGACGGCGAATTACAAGGGTTATACGGCGCTTTTGGCTGAGAATACGGATGTTACTGGGAATGGGGATTTGCATGAGGGGTTTGATATTGGGTGGGAGGCGAAGGATTTGGCGTCTGGTGGTGCGGTTACGGAGGACCGGTGTGGTGAAGCTGGGAATGGGGCTGGGGGAGCCATGCAGGGAGGAAATGTGTGGCCTGAGGGGTTGCCTGGATTTAAAGAAGCGGTTTTGGAATATTAGTACGTGCCTTTCCCGGTGGGGTGGAGTCATCGTTACCGTTCTGACTTGAACTTGTGTATAGTCACGCTGCTTTTGCATTGGGACAGGCGTTGTTCCCGCTGTTTGCACTTGCGCTTGAATTACCTGAGAGGTGGTTCGATGATAAAGTGGGTATCTAAAAGTAGACTCAGGTGGGCTATATGTTGAGGATCTGTTCCGCCCTTCGACGGGTGGTGTTTAGACGACGAACCCTGCTGCGATCATGCGGCTGCTGCATTATCCGCCTCAAGATCCAACGAAGCTGAACGAGAAGGAGATTGGAATCGGGGCTCATACAGAGTCAGTATGTGTTTCATCAGCTTTTTTCTAAACTGACCCGTTGAGTCCCATAGCTACGAGGTGAGTGAATACCAATGTCTGCCGTATATGAGCCTTAATCCATACTTTCAGTGCTTCACCATCCTTTGGCAAGACCCCTGTGGCGGACTTCAAGTCCAAAACACGTCTGGGAAGTGGGTCGATGCAGTTCCCATCCCAGGGACTGTAGTCGTAAAGTATGTCTTCTGCGTTCCGCCGTCATCGTAGTTCCGCCAGGCATCTAACCCTCCCGCGCTGCCCATGCAGCCTCGGTGATCAATTCGCGCGATGGACTAGTAAGTACCTTCTAATTTCTATTCGATGAGCATTCTGTGGTTCTAGAGGTTAATCTGTTGAATCTTCTTTACCGGCTGGTAGATGACGTCTTCAAGTCCACGCCTCATCGAGTGATTAACCGGTCGGGTCGTGAACGATATTCTATCCCTCTGTTCTTTGGGACAGATTACAACGTTCTTCTCGAGGTGCGCCAGCCGCGAGCCACCCGCTCCTTCAATCTCCTACTTATTCCCCTCTTTTCCCACTGAAACAGCCCATCGAAACCTGCGTATACCCAGATTCACCACCCCACTACGAAGTGATGACCGCAGGGGATTACGTTAAATCCCGTCTTGACGCTACCTATGCCCACTCCGCACCTGCTTCCAACATCTAGAAGAGCCGCTTGCCTCGAGTGGGATTGGCGTTGGTGCCATTCAGTTCGTTTTCTATGAATCATTGGCGTTTTAGCGCTTGCTATATGCATATATATTTGGTTCTTTGGTCTTCTGGAACGCCTGCAGGTGGGATTAATGACTCGCCAATCGGTTCGCGGAAGAGAAGAAGCTGGGTGTAAGCTAGTTGTGAGGATCCGCGCATCCCTGTTTCCGTTGTGCATGGGCTGAACTGAGAATACGCGGAAAATGTACAGTCCAAGAATGGCGAGCGCTAAAGCTCTCGAGTTCCATCAGCCACGACGGGGAGGATGATCTGACCTCAGGCTATTGAAAATCTTTATCACTTTGTATTACCTGAGTCTCCGTGAAGGACGTTGACAGATGGCCAAAATTCCCAAAGGCTTTCGACCCTGACGGAAGTGACCAACCACGGTATGTAGCTTTCACGGTGCCACAGCGGGCGTTGTGAGCGAGTTAACGGGCCCACACCCCATCTTCCGGAGCAATCAACCGTCGATTCGATGAAGGGTGTCATCTGCACTTCAATCTAGCAATCCGTTTTTCGATTTGGAAGCTGTTGAGCTAGTAGTGTTCCGCGCTCGGAGGCAAGACTGAAGTAGAGTGGAGAAAAAAAGTCAGGGTCTTGGGTGAAGCCGAGTTGCAGCCACCTGGGCTCCTTGAAGGACAGGTTACTACTATCACGTCCGATGACGATGGTCATCATAGGCAAAGGGGTCCGAAACCACTGCTTGGAGGGGAGAGAGGGCCTCGTATGGAGGGAGGCGCACATATGGCGTATCAATCAATAATCTGAAAGCCAGTATCCGTCTGATACCCTTCTGTACACCCTCATGGGGTCTGTGCACGCAATCGGACGGATAGATGCTCGTCGAAAAAGGCGCCCGTCCGAGATAGGGGTCACGCTAGTTCCCACGATCCCTGGAATTCACCGGGCGGAGGGTGGTCGACAGTTCTTTTTGTTCCACGACAGCTTGTGACATCGCCCATGGGCGGTGAGAACGATGCATAACGGACGTTGTTCTTTTTCTCGAAGCCTCAGGGTCCTGTATGTTAACTGAATTTCAGCTTCGCATGGCCCATGTCCGGGGCACCACTTCGTCTCCAAACCAACTTCCGCACGAAGGTTGGAGGGGAGAATAAAAGTCAATTATTTAACTTACATTTTTCTCTTTCCGACACTCTTCTACATGAAAAGAACAGTGAGTCGACTCTCTTCATCCTCTTCTCAAAATGTTTAAACGCTTGAACCACATCGCAGGAACCAAACACGAGATCTTGTTCCATTTGTGTTCTGGTGTGCCGTTGAAAGGCCGCAAGTTCTACTTTCACCGGCGGAACAGACCATCATTCCTGAAGAGGGTTAACTGACTCTCATGGGGGGGCTGGAATCCCAGGGTCATTCGTTCTTTCCTCCAAGGGGGAACTTGGACCGCCCTAAACTATAAAGTCTAGCGGCTCCTTGGGAAGTAGTAGCCCTTACTCACCTGTCTAACCGCAGGCTGTTCTCCGAGTCTTTCTCTCCGCACGGCTCAGAGTGGTCGCCGACACTACTATCCACCTACCAATAGGAGACGACCACTCTAAATACTTGCCCCCCTCTTTGGACAATCACCGCCCACCGCGACTCGCGAACCCTTTACTCGCTCGAGTAGGCTTCTTTTGCGGATCTCTTGTTGACCAGGCTGGGAGGTCCTCCATCCCCACTCTCGACTCTCTATAACGTGCACCAACTCCAACACTTTCAAAAGCCCCACGAGACATTCTTTGACGCAAACGAGCGATGGGTTTCTCGCAAAGTCGCGATAATCAAGCCCTCAGTCACGCATCTTCTACCTTGTTGGACCCGGATCCTCCGGCGGCTGCGGCTACTACTACTCCGTTGGCATCGTCGTCTTTGCCATGGGCAAGTTCGGACTCGACGCATTCGGCTTTGAGCCCCGCTGCGATATTCAATGTGGAAGGACTCGTTGCTGTGATAACTGGTGGAGGGACAGGTGAGTACTTGCATCGCGTATGAAGTTGGAACCGATGAATTGATTCGCCAATTTCGAAGGTATTGGGCTTATGATGGGTAGAGCTTTGGAGAATAACGGTGCTACGGTGTATATCATTGGCCGACGGCGACAAGTACTTGAAGCTGCAGCTGCTGAACACTCGGTGAGTTGGACGTCCAATCAAGAGTCCTATTCTAGTGTCCGAATCTATGACTCGGAGAAATCCTATCTTCCGAGTAAGAGACTGTATAGCGTTTTCGTCGAGTTGCCTAGCGGGCGTCTGGCAGGTCCTATTCATCGGACATTAATACCTCCCCCTTCTTCTTGACTCGTGCCATCACAACTCTATTTCAATCTCGCTGACACACGACATCTGCCCTTCCACTTCCACTTCTTCTTCTTCCATATCCGTCATTCATCTCCATTGCGGGGTGGAGTAGAAGTTCGGAAGGATACACCCGCTCGAAGGCGATATCACAGATCGCGACAGCCTCCTCTCCCTCGTCGAAAAAGTCAAAGCCCAGCACGGGTTCATCGACCTACTCGTGAACAACGCTGGGATCGCGCGAAACCTCTACCCCCACCCACTTCCATCACCGAATGACCCTGCATCGAGGAGTCATGACCAGCATCCGCCTTCGCCTCCAGCCTCGCCAGGCCCGACGCCCCAAGCGCCTTCAATAAAAGCGTTCCAGAATACATTGTGGGAAACGGGGTCACCACAGGATTTTGCAGATGTCTTTGCTACGAATGTTACAGCACCCTACTACACCACCATCGCGTTCCTCGATCTCCTACATCAAGGCAACATTCGGCGTCAGCGTTTGTCCACCACAGCCGGGGCTGCGTTTGGTTTCCCGTACCAAACATCACAGGTCCTGACAGTGTCGAGTTCTGGTTCATTCAGGATCGATGCGAAGGTGCTGAGTCCTTCGTACACGCTATCAAAGATTGCAGCTACGCATTTGGGGAAACTGTTGGCCAATTTGTTGGGTCCGTGGGGGATTAGGAGTAATGTGCTTGCTCCTGGTGTGTGGCCTACTGGTAAGCCCAGCGCGTCTAGTTCTCGACGCATTATATGGTATTCTGACGAGGTATCGTGATGGTATTTTCTGCGATTGGGCGATGTAGAGATGACTACTTCGCCGACGCCAGACTTCAAATTGGACCCCTCTGTACTAGCGTCGACTGTTCCTTTAAAGCGAACAGGAACTGTAGAGGTAAGCTTCGTCGTTCACCAATCCATCCCTTAACCTCTATCGTGTTCGGATTCTTCTTCGACCAGTGGGGCGTGAAGTGGTGCTAACTCGATCCTTCTTTCTGTTCTACTTTGTGGCTGCCTCGAATGATATCCTTCCGCGATGATGGGCGCGCTTCGACGGCTCGACGTTACGCCTTCTACGATGATGCGATGTTACCCCTTCGACTTGAACCATGGTGATTGACTATGCGTCCCCACCCCGCATCCCGAATATGATCGCGATAACTTAGGACATGGCTGGCACTATCTTGTATCTTGCCAGTGCGGCTGGCGCCTATGTCAATGGTGCTGTGTGGCTTGTGGATGGCGGCAGAGTAGGGACTGTGGCGAGCACGTATTAGCTTGGATAGTACTAGCCGAGTTGGACACCGTGCACGGTGCTGATGTTGCAATCGTCTGTCTATACAGGACGATAGCTTATCTTCTTCAATTCCTCTATCTATGTATTTTATTTACATTTGCACATATTATATTCTAGATTCGAGGAATTTTGGGACAGACTTTCCCCAACCCGCGGACTTCAAATCGTCAGGCATCTGACTTCGCTGAATACAGACGGCAGAAGCGTATACCCGAGGAAACGACTCGCGATAAACTAGATTTAAGCGTTTTAGCATTCTGTGATGATGCAGCCCTACAGGACAAGATGAGACCAGTCACCTCCACCCGACTAATACTCTCCAAGTTCCTCTTCCTCGGCAATGAGTTTTTCCACCTCGAGGGCGGCCATGCAGCCGCTTCCAGCACTGGTGATAGCCTGGCGGTATCGTTTGTCCTGGACATCACCAGCGGCGAAGACACCCTTCACTGATGTCTGGGTGGTTCCGGGGACGGTGATGATGTAGCCGTCGGGGTCGGTCTGGAGTTGGTTGCGGACGAGAGCGGTGGCGGGTTCGTGACCTACGGGGAGTTAATGTTAGCGCCGATAAATTAGGAATGGTACGGATCGAGAACACGTACCGATGGCGTAGAAGAGGCCGTTGACGGCGAGGTCGCGTTCTTCGCCGGTCAGGACGTTCTTGATTTTGAGGTTGTTGAGGAGGTCGCCGTCGCCCTGGCATTCAGTGGCGACAGTGTTCCATAGGACGGTCTGTGTGACGAGGTGGTTGGCGAAGGAGGTGATAGAGGACTGGAGAAGGGACTTACGATCTTGGGGTTGTTGAGGAGACGTTTTTGCATGATTTTAGATGCTCGGAGTTCCCCTCGTCGGACGAGGACGTAGACATGGGAACCGTATTTCGTGAGGTCTAACGACAGCGTCAGCCGGGGAAATTCAGAGGGGGGAATAAGAGCGTACAGGTAGCCTCCTCAGCAGCAGAGTCTCCACCACCAATGACAGCCAAAGGTTTGTTCCTAATCCGCCAATTAGAACCGTTATCAGAAGCAAATCGACGAGCTGTGCTGCGTACCTGAAGATGGGAACGGCACCGTCACAAACAGCGCAGGCAGAGATACCGCTCTGCCAGTAAGTCTCCTCGCCCTTGAGGCCTAATCGCTTCGCGCTGGCACCAGTGGCGATGATGACAGTGTCGGCGGTCTCAGGTTCCTGGTCCTCCTGACCTTCCCGCCAGTACCTGAAGGGGCGGGCAGAAAGGTCGATTTTTGAAACGGTTTCGGTAATGATCTTTGTTCCAAAACGAAGGGACTGCTCTCGGAACTTGTCCATGAGCTCAGGCCCGAGAATGCCTGACGGGAAACCAGGGAAGTTCTCCACTAGAAGCAAACAAAATCAATATCGACATTGATCGCTGAAATGACGAGTGTGATTTGGAGACGTACCGTCAGTGGTGGTGGTCAATTGACCGCCCGCTGCGAATCCGTTGGCCATAAAACCCTCAAACATGACAGGTTGCAGATTCGCTCGTGCGAGGTAGATTGCGGCCGTGTGCCCTGCTGGTCCTGACCCGATAATCACCTATTTTCCTGTCAGCTCTTTTCATTTTTTCTTCACTGTGATTTGACGACTACTGACCACTTTAGAGTGCATCTTCTTGCTCTTCTCGACTCGTTGGGTAGTTGGTGCCATGATATTGGATGAGGATGTGGTAGAATATGGTCTGTGGGAGGTGGCGACAGCGATAGATCCTACTGCGGCGAAACTTGAAGGATACGAATTGTTCTTTGCTCTGAAAGCAAAGGAAAAGAAGAAACGAGACAGGTTGGCCGTGGTTATCGTCGAAAAAGGAATTGACTTGGGGGGTTTGCGTTCTTCCGTCACAGTACCCGGCCCCGGCTTTTCTTACCGCGGCTGGTCTTGCTGAAAAATCACCTGACGAAGCTAAAGCGTGACTCGCACGTGACGGGAATTGCTTGCCAATCCTTCCGCCATCTTCTTCTTCCGCTCCAGCTTGCTCAGCGCCATGCACTGGGTCACACTTTCTGGGCCACAGTCGCCTTTCTCTGACTAGCGGCCAGGGTTAGGGCAAGTGGCAAAGGAGTCGATCCTCAGGAACAACCTCCGGAACCATAATTACTTCCTCTGGTGAGGGAGAAAACGTCTTGGTTTGGATCTTGGGCGGTGTCTACGCTCTATGTATCTGGTCATTAATTCTGTTCCGACCATGCCTGTCTGAGTAAGGCGCCTGCTTTGCTGACAATCGTTTCTGGTTTACGGTCACTCGTGGGGCGATCATGTGGGCAGAAGCCGCAGGATCAACATGTCCTCCGATGCCAATGTGTTCGCGCCATACGGATGCTCTAACCTTGGCCACTGGGTCTCGTGCTTCTCACCACTCGTTCCTCAGTCGACAACATGATCTGTCTACTGTCTCGCCGCTGTAAGCTAACCTCGACATCCGTTTATTAAAACCACGTAACGCGTCGAGTCTGGGCCTAATGACAAGAACATGCACCCCGTGTTTCCTGCTTTGTCCTCCCTCTCTATGTCGCGATTAACCACCCCAGATTCAGATCATGACACGCGTTACTCTAACTGGACCAGTTGATCTTCCATTAATGAAATGAAACGAACGAGCCCGCGATCTCAGTCCGGCAGGCTCAATCTCCTGTTTCAAAACCCTCCTCCAAAACTGTCAGTCCTCAGCAGCTTCACCCCACTGTCAACCGCCACTGCTCCCCTCCGGTAACCTCTACCTCTCAGGTCCTCTACCACCCCATCGTTGCTGGTCATCGATTCATTCCCAAGATGGTATCGTCCACTCCCTCCCACTCCATTTCCCACCTTTACGTCCTTATCCTCACCATATACGCCGTCCTCTGCGTTTCTTACGCTACCGCTTCTTGTCTTCCTTGCACAAATCCTAGCAAGAGATTGGCTGATCTCGGACTACTTGGGTTGGACGTGGAGGACGAAGCTGTTTCGGGTTCGGCTGAGGGATCTGAGGCTCGATCGGAGGGTGTGGTCAGGGAATTTAAGCGCGATGTGTATTCGCCTCGAATCACGCATCCGACGAGTGGGAGTGTGTGGAAGGCTGGGCGAAATGCTACTGTTACGTGGTATGTGCATTCTTGCTGCGTAGAGACCGAGATGGTGGACTGACCTGGCGATTGGATTTGTGACCAGGGATCTGAGTGATATGCCGAGGAACGTTACGAATCCGTATGGGACGCTGATTCTGGGATACATATCCGACGACGACCAATATAACGAACACCTCGATCTTCGTGAGTCTCCTGCCCCCTCTCCTCTCTACCCCAAACCTCATCAATTACATCCCCCATGTCTAGGTCACCCTCTCGCGCTCAAGTTCGATATCCGACACGGCAATGTCACGTTCAGAGTCCCAAAGGTCAGTAGCAGGGCTGATTATGTAGTTATTCGTGAGTTCCTTCCTGTTACAAGTGATGTGACGGCCAGGCTTATGGTGGATCGTTTGTGGTTTGTACAGTGTTTGGAGATTCTGGGAATCGTAGTCCAAAGTTCTCGATCAAGGGTTAAAGAGCTGGTTCTTTACCTTGGCCTGATATCATGATCAACATCGACACCCTACGTTTTGTCCTGTCGTTTCTCCTCCCGCTCCATGAACCACCATGACTAGCTTTGCTACTTCTCTTGCGTCTCCCTTGCCAACAATCGTGTTCCCTGCTTCATTGGTAACTCCAGCTCTGTGCCAGTTCGATACCGGCTTTTCAAAGAGAGACCCCCGCGTCAATAGCGAAACTCGGAAATGAGTAGATGCCCGTTGCGAAGAAGACTTTCTAACAGGCTACGTACTGTGCATCTCGTCGATTCATTGAACTGGGATCTGAACGTTATTCCATTGGACTGCTCAGGTCAGGTCATGGCAATCGGCTTGAGCCCAAGCTTGCTTCTGTCCGTCGAGAGAGCACGTCACAACAAACCCCTTCTCCGGCCCTCAGCGTGGGGTGATAGCGGTGACCATTCCACAGCTCCTAGGACTTCATTCCCGTTCGTGATCGCCAATCACCCGACTCCTCTTCTATGGCAACTCCTGCCCGAAGCTGACTCCAATGGTAACGTCACCTTATCCGGCTCTTCAAGTGCATGTCCACTTCTCTCGGACTCATCGACCTTCCGACTCAATGATCCCGAGTGTGTCCGTGCAAATGGTAGGCACCATCGACTCCCCAGTATCCAACGTTCGACCCCTGGTCATCAGACAAGTCCCAATTCTCTGAGGCCCCGCTAACATATCTGCGTCTTCCTGCGCCAGATTTCTCGGAACTGGGTCTCCATCAGTACATGCCAACGCGCAAGGGGACAAGAAGATCAAATGGTGTGACTATAACTGGGAGCCATTATTTCTCCAAGCTGACCTCCTGAATCTGCGAACCGTGATGCAAAAGGGATGCTGGCAAGAGAGTTCGAGAAAGCCCTGGTGAATCGCAGCAACCAAAACTTAACTTTGCGTCCATCCCTTCAGACCTCCCTTCTTCCTGTCCGATAACTACAACCTTCAAACTTCAAGCTCTAGATCCTCGTTTCAAGCTCAAGTGGGATTTGTAGTAAGTACGTTATTCGTCGTGCAACATGGTGTGATGATTTGACGCCTCTTTCTCTGATTATCATTATCTACTCGAGCTCGGACAAGTTCGAATTGGGGAGTCGGACGGTTGAGTACCCAATATCAAGGGCGTCTCCTGGTGCCTAGACACAAACCTGCGAAAGCACCGATCGGTGTTGAAATGTACCAACTTGAATATCCCCTATGTCCAAGGTGATAACAACGCCGGGGAAGATCCAGAAGTCGCCAAAGACGTATTAAGACCCGCCTCGTTGCGATACACGATGCATGGGTACGAGCCAAACGCCGATACGAGTGCATCGTCATCAAGCGATCAGGGAGTCTGAGCGTAAGTCGGAGTGGAGCGAATGAGAAGGTTTGCGCTGATTGGCTGGTTGGTTCGTTGGGATGGGATGGGATGGGATGGTGTTGGTTAGATGAACAAGAAGGGTTGGTTCGTTGGGATTGAATTCGAAGGAGAGGAAGAAGGAAGAGGGGAAGAGCGTGATGGTGATACTCTTTAGGGAATCATAATGTACCTCCGCTGTTCGCGAAGGTATATAAAGCGGGTGGGTTGAGGCGGGTGAGGGGTCATTGTACTCCCCGGCTATTTACCTTGATATTATTCTCCTCTCATATCCCTCTCTTCATTCCCCGCGTCTACTCCCTCCCCTTTCATTCCACCCCCACTAAATCACCAGCCCATCTACTAGCCCCTAATGTATCACTCGCTCGCCTACTCCGTGCTCGCATTCTCCCTATTCTCACTAGTCCTCTGCGCACCTATCCCAATATCCACGGTCAAAGGCGCTGAGCTACCAGCTGCAATCCCGTCAATCAGCGACCTCCTCCAAACTCTCCCCCTCCCACTCTCCCAAATTTCCCCAGACGTCGATCCCCTTTTCCTCCTCCCAGTACCCCTCAACTCACTGAATAAGGAGGGTGATGGTTCATCTAACGACTCCCCGGAATACCTGGAGGACGTCACGGATGTGTTGTTTCCAGAGTCTGAAGAGGAGGAGGGAGCGGCGAACAAGAACCTTATCGTGATTAACCCGAAGATCACGACGCCCAGGCAGGATTCGTATTGGACGAAGGGGTCGAGGCAGATTGTTACTTGGGGTGAGATCCTATGTCTATACCCTGAAAGATGCTTGGGCTGACGGTGGGCAATGGGTCGTGGTTATTAGATACCGACAAGATTCCTCTAGAAAAAGCGACTGCCACTGGGCTCATTCTCTTGGGATATTCGACACCTGACGATGACAGCGAGCATCTCGACATTGGTGAGTCGAACTCCTTCCTGTGACCTAGCAGCTATTCCAACCACTTGTACTTTGCGGCGATCTAGACCATCCGCTAGCTTCGGGTTTCCCCCTGACCGATGGTTCAATAGAAGTGACGGTCCCAGCAGACGTCGCTTCTCGAGACAACTATTTTATCGTTTGTAAGTGGTTCCATACTATCGAGTGGTTGAAGGTAGCTCATGGAGGTGCGGCGAACAGTGTTCGGCGATTCCGGAAATGTGTCTCCGAAGTTCACCATTGACTCCGAGTCGGTGAAGAGCATTGCATCCAGTGCTGCCGGCCCTTCACGATCTGTTATTTCATGATCGACATAGACAACACATTCTTTCAACGCTCTTTGGGTTGTACGACTCATTCCGACGACCAGCTGCTCAAGTTTTGCGGTAACAACTATGCCCTTGCTGTCTTTTCCAACTACCAATTACTATCGCAGAACGAATAACGAACCCCTCGAACGATACTCATAGTACCCATCATATGGACACGATTTGTATTTTTGTTGGTTTCCATCTTCTCTGGTATACTTATCATATCTAGGCTCTTCGAGTTAAGCTTAACGCTATTGCCACTCATTCACTTCTTCTCCTCGGACGTCTTGGGTCGATGCATATATCTTGCCGTGTCGTACATATAGGTAGATTAGTACTGCATCTTGTCGGGTGTAATGGACGATAGAGTAATGGCATTGTGGGATTTTAGCGCTCTGTTATTTGATATGTACTCCACTGTATGGTGTCGGGTGAGCAGTGACAACTCCTAGCTGCAAAATTACATCACTGTTAGATAAAGCTTTAAAGCATGAGTTCCGACCAGTCGTTCAGCGCTATGCATACTACGAGCGCTACATGGGTTCCAAGCCAGAATATAGATACAATCGATCGATTAATTGGCGGAGTTGCCATGGGCCCTTAATGGCGCCAAAGCGCGGTGCTCATTTTTGCTGCCCTTGAGACGCTTGGACCGTGACGCTTGGGCATGAACTGCTGCCGGCTGTTTCTAAAGCACGGTCCTGGTAATAATGGGCCCTTCTACACCAGTCAAAGCGTCTATTTGACATGATATAAAAACGAGGGTTGGCGGAAGGGTTTCCCCCCACAAACACCAACCTCTGCTATCAACCGCTAACCTCTCGTCTCTTGCCATCCAATTCTCATCCAAAGACAGGTAAAGCATGAACCCTAAAGTGTCACTCACATGTCCTGAATGTCCTGGAAAGATATTTCAATATCTTGGCAGTCTGTGGGCCCACGCCAAAATCCACGATCCAAACGCTGAGCGACTCCGATGCCCATTTCCTAGCTGCGAATTCTCAACCATTTATGCGTGGTCCTTGAAGGAGCATGTGACAGTACTGCACGACCCAAACGCTGAGAAATTCCATTGTCCAGTTTTAGAGTGTGGGTTTACGAGCAAGTACCGAGGTAGTCTCAGAAAGCATTTGAAGATACATGATCCAGATGCGAGGAGGTTTGCTTGTCCGGTGGCAGGGTGTGACCTTACGACCATTCACAAGAGAAACCTTAGGGTGCATATGATGAGGGCTCATCGCGGCGTTTCTGTCACCACCACCACTACCACCGCCAATACCACTGCATTGGCTGCGAGTACTACTACTGAGGGCCTTGAGGACGACTCGGACGATGGTGATGATATCGATGATCATTGGCTTGAACCCGGTCTCGAGCGTTTTCGAATAATCGAAGGGCCGGAGGATCTCAAACTTCCTCCCCTAAGGATCAGGCGAGACTAAACCATAGCTTCTTTCTTGTCCGGATGTACAGCTTCTGTTTTATGTGCTTCCGTACCTGCCTCTCACTGAATCAGACTGAATGTAGTTGAAAGAAAAGTAATAAAAATGCTCGGCTTAACTGGAGATTTCATGACCTATTCATGTGCTTTTAAAGACCCTGTGAGGGGGCACACAGTTCAATTCAAAGGCAGAAAGAAGATACACCATTGGCCCGTTGTGAAATTCTGAGAAAACAAGGAGCCATGTGAGTGCTTTTGAGATGTAATTGCGAATCGCTGAGCGGCTTGGAGATTTGGGTAAGCACATTTGAAAGCCAGACATTGTGTCTGGTGAAGAGCGAAGCGACGTCGACCAGGCGCGCTTATCTTATCTGGCGGGACAAATACGCGCCGGCCCCTGAAAGTTGCAACGCGGGAAGATTTCACACGCGCGTTTTTCTCTGCAACCACCATCTCCAAAGTTCCTCCATCGACAACCCCAAAAACGCCACCAATGTCACTGTGGTCGACCGCACAACCGACGTCGTACTCGTATGCCTCCCCGGGATGCACCTCGCCCTTCTCACGTCTCCCACCCGAAATCATCTCCCTTATAGCCGAACAAGTCAAAGAGGTCACTATACACTGGGGCTACGAGCATCCTCCCTTCAACTTTCGCTGGCCAGGCGCGAGCTCCCGTAGTCTATACCACGAAAACTCCACCCTCGTCAACTGCTGCTTCGTTTCAAAACAGTTTTATGCGCATTTTCGACCGCACATTTATACTGCTATATGTGATGAGACACCGATGGGTGGTGAGGAGGGGGATAGGAGTTTGACTGGGACGAAGTTTTTGAAGAAGGTGTATAGGTTGTTGGAGAGGGAGCCGAAGGTGGGGGAGTGGGTGCATGATTTCAAGCTGTGTTTAAGGGAACCGAGGGCGGAGGGTTTGGATTTGGATAATGCAAGAAGAGTCTTTTCGTGGGCGGAGTGGGTAGCGGAGGACCGGATGCTCGCCTACGTCCTCAACCGCCTAACGAAACTACGCGAATTCCACCTCTTCGTCGCGCCCATGCCTCCGATTAGTTTTTGCGATTTCAGTGAACCGCTGAAAGAGGCGTTTGGGAGGGTGTTTAGGTTGAAGACGTTGAGGCATGTGGATATTAGGTGTGTTACCTTGCCCCCTGCGTTGGTGTTTTCGGCGCCGGGGCTTGTGCAGGCGAATTTGTGGTTTGATGTGGATAGTAGTGGGAGGAGGTGGAGATCGCTTTTGGAGAGTGAGAAGGAGTTTTTGGGTGGGGATGAGGAGGAAGTGCAGGTGGCTAGGCCTAATTTGACGGGCTTTGGGTCGGACGATCATTTGACGCTCGTACCGGACCACTGTATGAACAAGTTCCCGGCATCGTTTGGGAGGCTGAGGCAGTTGGATATACGGGGTGTGTTCCCCGAGTTGGGCCGCATACAGAAGTTCTTGGACAAGTCTGCAAAGACTTTGGAAGACGTCGAGGTCATCGTTTCTGGCAGTCTACGGCGAGGTGAGTTTCCTACGTACTTCGTGCACGACGTTGTTTGACAACTCTACCAGTTCAAGATGTCCAATCGATGACTACTACCCTCGACTTTGGGAAGCTCGAGAGACTCAAGAAATTGAGTCTCTCCTTCCATAGTGTACCCGTCAGACTCATGCCCGCCGTCTCCTCGATGCTAGCCACTTTACAAGACATCACCACCGTCGACAACTTCAGACTCGCCATCACCTGGTCATGTTCGAGTCTCAATGCGCAGGCCTTTGATATTACCCCTCTCCTGCGAGTCATTGACGACGGGTTGGCCGCGTTGGCGGAAAAGGCTAGGGCGAGGTGCAGGACGCCTGTGAGGGTTGCGATGGATTGTGGGGATTTCTGTGATAGAGACGCGTGTATGCTGCATCTGGCGTTGTTGCGGGTGTATGACGAGGTGGACAAGTGGTTCCCGAAACTTGGGGAGACAGGCAAGTTTGAATTTGATGTAATTTGGAGGAATTGAGAGGGGAATAGGGAATGGTGATTTCTCCAAATATGTACTCAACTGTAGCATACGTTATAACATGACATCCAGGGGTCCGACGGCGATAGGCTACTCTGAAGCAGGCAGGTTAATATTGACTGGAGTAGGTGTGGATGCCCGGTTTGGACCTGGACGGTTCAGATAGGGCCCGGGGATATGACATTCCTGAACATGTTTGGAAAGCGGGCCTTGTCGCAGGTATGCAGTGAGGACTTTTGTTTCGGTACTGGAGATAAAGAAGCATATGGGGAGATGAAGGATCGCCTCTTCAATAAGCTCAAAGAGGGCCTTCAAGGCGAAGTCGTCACACTTGTCCAACCCATCGAGTACAACCAGAAGTGGCTTCTGCTGAGTTGGATCGATGACGAAAAAGGTTGGGACAAGCAACTTGCCCATCTGGTGGCGCAAGGGCCTTGTAAAAAACTGGTCCGCATATTTTTCTAAGCCTATATTTGTCGCCGTACTGACAAGGGCGTTTCGCCAGGGGTCGCCCAGATATTCCGCAAAGTCGGTGGCTAGGTTGGCCACAAACCCATCCAAAAGAGCAGCGGTACTGGTGGGCTTGGTAAAGACATAGCTGGCCGCTAGCGAATTCCTTTTCTCGCACCCATCAGCAAACCAGTGTGCGACCACCGATTTTCCACACCCAGGCTCCCCATTCAGCCAAAAGATGCAGTTGTCGCGAGTGCACTCAGCGATCCATGTCGTACACTCCATGAGGATGTCTTTCCTGAATTTGGGATTGCACATCTGGATGGTGTGAAGTGGAGACAACAGGCTGGCGCGATTATCTCGCTTGTTCACGATTGTCTCATAGCCTTGGGACTTTGTTAAGCGAACATGGGAAGGTTATGGAAATGGATGTAACTCACAGGGCGATAACTGCGCTGTTTTATTTTCGAGAAGTTTGCTGCATTCCATGTTGCTCAACTGCGGTGTGCACAAGTTGGGTAAGAAATTTAGAAGAAGTGGATTCAAGACTCACACATTCCAAAACCCTAAGGGCCGATGCCTTTTTCTGAATCTTCTGTGCCACTGCCCGGGCATGGACTGTGTCTTTATCCGCGCAGGCGGACTGGTATTCCATGGCAAGTTCAGCAATTCTGGATAAGAGAAAAAAGTATGAGTAGATAAAGCGCGGTTGGCTGCGAGCGACACTACGGACGTGTTCAAGGATCGGTCAATTCCATCCTTAGTACCAGGGGCAAAAGGACGCCCTGCTGCGACATTGTCCATGTGCCGGGATCGGACACCGTCCGCGACGTGTAGATAATGCGAAGTGAAGTTCTTCCAGTACCGATCTAGGAAGTTCTCTTGAAACCAGCCCGGCCTCTTGAAAGAATGGCTGGAGTTGAGGTTGTCGGGGCCCTTGATCTTGTCTTTCGGTACAGGGATGAGGAAGATGGGGAGGTTGCAGTGCGAAAGGCGCTGCGCATTACTATCGGCCGCCATCAACACAGAAAGAAGTGAGAAAGGACTGTGCTCAGCGTTCGCTAGCTGAGCGCAGATTGAAGGTCATGATTAGCTTTTTCTGGGTGCCTCGAGGCAGTAGCATTAAGTATTTTAGCAAGGTGGAACCAACCCTTGAGGTCAGGTTCACGGCGCACGGGCATTAGCATCGTCTCAAAGGATCAGCTTTCCAATGAAGAATTGGATTTTTAGCCCAAACCTCCGGAGTCCGTTCATGCAATGTCCGTTTAGTACTAGAATTACTTAGTTGTTGCAGGTCACTATATCCCCTTCCCACGTGGCCACCTCGAGGCCGCAGATGGTACCCACAATTCCACGCAAGTGTGCGCATCTCACTTTGAACACACTGTTGACGGACACCCGAGTCATGGGTGTTTTCGACGAACTTGGTCGATCCGAGGTCTATTGGAGAGATCATTATGAATGGTTCAAGGAGCAGGGGTTTGAACTTCGAGCCCGCTATAAACCAGGGTGGATTCCCTCTTGGAAAACAGACCCCACCTTGAAGCCGGGGCTCAGCGAGGATTCGGAAATGTTCAATGTACGTTCCCTGCTCTTTCATTTCAGTGTAGTTTACGGCTAAAACGTTTCACTTCAAGCGCAGCCACCTCAACGATGCTACCCGAATCGCCGACGGCAAGCACGTCGTTTTAAAACGAATCGAAAAGTCTCAATATCCAGAAGAAGTGTCTATCCTCAGGTATTTCTCAGAAAAACCACTTGCTTCCAACCCAGAGAACCATTGTGTTCCTGTTCTGGCGGTCTTGAACCCTCCTGACGACCCCGAGCACGACATTGCTGTCCTACCGATCTTACGGGATTACGACGACCCTCCTTTCGAAACCATTGGTGAGGTGGTCGACTACATCGGGCAGATTCTAGAGGTACACAGACGCAGACACAATGATTAGACACCCTTGTCCTGACCTCCGTTTTCTCCAGGGATTCGTGTTCCTCCACGAACATCGTGTTGCACATCGGTCCGTGTCAGTACTCCTTGCGAGAAAGCGCCCACTAACTCCTCCAATATTCAGAGATGTCCGAAGGGACAACATCATGATGGACCCTCATGCCATGGGCCACAGTTCATGGCATTTTGTCTGCCCCGAAAAGACGCGCGACTACAGGTCAGAAGTTACTCACAAGTACACGCGCACCGAGCGTAGGCCAAGGTATTATATCATTGACTTTGGGTACTCTGCCCAGTTCAAACCCGAGGAGATGCCGCCGTCGACTCTGCCAAAACCGGCCAGCGACACCAGCCTTCCTGAATATAACAATCTATGGAAGCCGTGCGATCCATTTCCGATCGATGTGTATGTCGTAGGAAATATGATTCGTATGGACTTTTTGGATGTAGGGGTTGCTTTCTTTCCTTAATCATTGTTTCTCAAATCCCTGATCCATCCCCGTTCACCAGGGCTACCCGAAGGAAGGTTTCCTCAGCTATCGCCATTGCGAGAAGATGCCCAGCACAAAACGCCTTGAGTTTCTTCGACCGTTAATAGACGCGATGATTAAGGAGAACCCGAACGAAAGGGTCACGATGAAGGAGGCATTCTCTCTCTTTAACGACATCGTGTCAAAGGTTGGCAACAGTACGCTACGGCGTAGGCCTGACGTGCTTGGTGGGCTCCCTCGTCATGAGTGGTTTTACGAGCGCATCGCCAATACAGCCTCGCACTGGTACAAGACGATGCGTTGTGTCATTTGTAGGATTCCTCCCATTCCGAGAGAACGCACGGCACCGTGACTGGACACATCTTATGCACATATATCAGCACCTGCACCTACAGTCTATGTTTAGTTTCAAATGTTTCTAGGTATCCATCGGGTGTACATTCTCAGTCCTGCTGCGATGTACTCCTGTTTGAACCACCCGCTCGTGCCAAGGTTATGTAGCCATTGTCCGGCCATATCGCTCGTACTGTTATTCACCCATAACGTTTCCAGTCCGTTTGTTCGACTACCTATGATATATGATCTATCGTACACGGTGTTCTCGCTCATGAACTAGTGGCCTTTTTATCTCGTAATTCAACACTCCCATTGCACCTCTACCTGGACAAAATGTGAGCGCATTGTGCGGAATATACCATCATACCTGAAAGTACCGCTTACTTCCTCCCCAACACGTTCAGCTTGACGAGTCCCTTCTCCGTCAGCTGCGGCAAGCACCTCTCGACCTCAGAGTACATGTTCAAAAGTCCCCGATGCACTCTACACTCTGACCTATGGCACACGCACCCGAGCTTCATCTCCACGGGCTTCATCCCGGGGAACCTTTCCTTGTCCGCGAGGAACGCGAGTCGGTCGTCGATGTGCCGGAAGAGGGGTGCGAGGTTTAGGGGAGGCGGGTTGGGCGGGGGAGCGCCGAAGTCTTCCCAGCACAGCCAGGTCATGGCGAGGTCGAAGGATTTGAAGCAGGATGCTGTTTCGTGGAGGGAGCCGAGGGTTGAGGAGATGGAGGTCGTGAATGTTTCGGGGATTTGGACGGGTATACCGTGGTAGGAGAGGTTGAGGTGTTTGAGCGTTTTGAGAGGTGTCAAGTCGAGGGTTTTCATGTGTGCTTTTTGGGAGTTGGTTAGTCGCGTCGAGGAACACTTGGGTGTTGGGATGGGAAGAACGTACTTATGTATTTGTTTACGCCCATTACGAGTTGGACCTCCTTCAGTGTTTCGCCGGATGAGTCGATGAACTTTTGGATGGCTTTTAGGGAGTCGACTGAGCTGTAGAGTCTGAGGTAGCGCAGGGTCTTAAAGGCGCCAGGCCACCGCGTGATACAGGTATCTGGGACTAGCGTATACGGGTCGTCAGACGCAAAACTCTTCAAGCTCGGTAAAAGCTCCAGATCTGGCTGCTTCGCCCCACCCTCCGTCTCCATCTTCTGCAACATTTTCTTCCAGCGATACGAGCACTCTGCTCTGTACCACAGATTCGCCTCGACCAAAGAGGGCGCTGAGAAGATTAAGGATGGGGGGAAGATAACGGAGCGGATATCAACGTGTGTTAGGCTTCGTGAACTGAATAGACGGTGGAAGGATGCTTTGAGGGGTTCACTAAAGTCGCACCAATTGATCTCGGAAGGCCCCTGTGCAACATAAAAAGTGGAATAACCCGAGTTTAGGCATCTTGTCCAGGACGTCTGCGAGGATTTTGTCCTGTGCTGCCCATTTGGCGTGCTGCGCCGCCTGTCTCTGCTCGCGTTCCCGAGCGGTTCCACTAGAGAGGAAGAGTATATTCGTGTGATCCACGATGTTCACCCTGAATTCTTTGATCCATGCTCCGATGTGTGGCTCCCTTTGGAGGAGTTCGTAGAGTTTTTGGAGAAAGTAGGCGCCGGAGCGGATGTGCCCGTTGTGCTCGACGGTTTCGGCGCAGATGGAGGCGTAGAGGTGTGGGCGGAAGTGGGTGTAGAAGAGTTTGGAGACGAGGCAGCAGTTGTGAATTGTGGATACCCAGGGTTTGGGGAGCGTCCATCGAAAGTCGAACGGTGCGGGTTCGAAGCGGATGGATTCTTTTACTTGTTGGGCGATGAGTGTTATGATTTCGGGTGGGAGACGCGAGAAGGGGGGTGCCAGGGCTTTGGAGGACATGGTGGCAGGGAGGAGAATGGTCGTGGGAGGAAGAAACAAGTGTGTTATATATGAATCTGCGAGTGGTGGCGTGACCAATTCAAAGAACACTAGAACCATCAGAACATCGGTTAATTTCTACTGATAATACATAATGACAAGTACAATACAGAGGAAAGAAGGAAAAGAGTAAAAGTCAAGTCTACGACTTTCGCCTCTTGCTCCGCCTCCCATCATCCCCAGCCTCCTCTCTCCGACTCTTCTGCCCAATAATCCTCATAACCTCCTTCTTCCTCTCCTTCTCCTTCTCAGCCTTCCTCTCCTCCTCCTTCCTCTCCTTCCTCCTCTTCTCCTCCTTCTTCTCCTCCTTCTTCTCCCTCCGCCTCGCCACCTGGTCCTTCCTCAGCGCCCGGATCTGCTGCAGGAGCGCAACGGCCTTCTTCTCCTCGGGCTCCATCACCACTGCCCGCTTCTGCATATACGTTTGGTTGGACTGCGGTTTCATGAGTTTAGGCTTCGAGGCGTAGGGCAGGGCCGCTTGGAGTTTCTTGGGAATTACGAGTGGGTTGAACCGCCGTTCGGGGCGCTCGATCTTTTTGTAGGTCGAGTTCATGTTGAGCGGTGTTTTGAGGCCTTGTTCGCGTCGTACTTGCCCGGTTAGGCGCATGCCTTTCCAGCTGGTCTTATCGGAGAGGAGGAGGGAGGTGACGGGGTTGTAGAATTTCCGGGGTTGGACGGAGTACCATGCGCGTAGGAATATGATGTCTGGAGGGAGGTTAAATAAATTAGGAAGGAGGAGGGGAGAAAAGGGTGCTTACCGCTCTTCAAGACTTTGTCCTCGAATGTTGCTCGGAATGCTCCATCAGGTTTTGGCAGGGCTTTCTTAACCTGTCCCCGGATCCCAGACACAGTCTTGATATTCGCCCCCTCAAACTTGGCCACCTCCAACGCACTCGAGAACATATCCTTCACAAACGCCGTATTCTTAAATATCTTATACGGCACGCCCGTCAACTTGAGTTTCTTCACGATCTTGACTGAGCGGTCGATGTCCAGAACGACGCCCGTAGCGGAGACTCTGAACCCAGCTGTCCCCTCAGACAAAGAGTTGAAAGCGCAGAAACCGGTGTTGGGGAGTGTGACGGGCCCGTAGAAGGTGGCGTAGCAGTGCATGTGCTCGGGTGTGTATTTGAGCATGCGCATGCGGATGGAGTGGTCGTCCAAGGAGTAGATGGGGATCGTTTGGAAGCGCCGCCAGCCCAGGGAGAAGATGAGGGGGTCGTTGTTCTTGAGTGTGCGGGCGTACCACCTGTGGCGTTTGATTCGGACTTGGACGTACCCGAAGCGCTCTTCGGCGGGGAGCAGACCCCCGACGACGATTGGGTATGTTGGGTCAAAGTTTTCCACCATTTCGGCGGGGACGTCTTTTAGTTCGATGCGCACGTAGGAGCCGGGACGGTACCCCTCGACGAGGACGCGAGCTTCTGGGTCGATCCCTTCGAATTCGGCCTTGTTGAGCGCGAGTTGTCGGGCGATTTCCTCTTTCTTTTCGTCGTAGAAATCGAGTTTGGCGGATTCGGGGTCGTCGTATTGTTCGTCGAATTTGCGTTTGAGGGCTTCTTTTTTGGCGGCGAGGGAGGCTGCGCGGGCTTCTTCTGGGCTGAGTTTCTTTTTGCGTTTGGGGGTGCCCTCGGTGTCTGAGCCTTCCGAGTCGCCGTCGGAAGAGTCACCTTCGGAGTCGTCGTCCTCGTCCTCGTCTTCGGCGTTGCTGCCGTCTTCACCTTGTTCGCCCTCTGCCTCGTCGGATCCGGTGATGAACATTTTCCGTAACGAGTCCAACATCTCCTCGTCCTCCCATTTCTTCAACTCTTCGGGGTCGATACCCAGTTTCGTCCTATCCGCGATATCATCCACCTCTTTAGGCCGACTCTTGACCTTGAAGAAATCGTCCTCGTCGTCATCTTCGATGTCAGGCTCCTCTTCCTCCTGGGGTTCCTCCCCGGCAATGATCTCCTCTGGTGTCAGGGTCGTGGTGTAGATCAGCTTTGTCCAGTCTTTCCGACGGGCTTTGCGTGATGAGGAGGCGAGTTGTTGAGCTTTTTCGGCAAGGTTGCGTTTCCACTTGGGGACATCATCCTCGTCTTCCTCTTCGTCGCCTTCGTCCTCGGACATCTCGACGTCCTCGTCGCTGGGGATGTCGTGGTCCTTGGCTTCGCCTGGGACCTTGACTCTACCTACATCATTGTCCTCGTCGTCATCGAGGCCGAGGTCAGAGTCGCTGTCTGCGTAGTCAACGTGTGAGCGTTGTTTGCTTGAGCTGGGCAGGCCACGCGCGGATGTCCTGCGTGTCGTTCGGCCTGTGTTGCGTGGGTCTTGGGAGATGTCGAGGTCCTCGTCCATTGCGTCTTCGTCTTCGTCGTCGCTGAGACCGGAATCATCGAACTCTTCTTCATCTTCTGCATCGCTGTCGAATTCTTCGTCGGAGGGGACCTCATCGTCAGAGGCGGCTTGAGAGGCGGAGTGGGAGGGATCGACGCTGAGAGGTGCGGAGGAGGTGCTGAAGAGTTTGATTTGGCTACGTGCAACTGCGTCTTCGAGTGTTGCGTTTACGTCTTGGAGGTCCATTACCATTTGCTCTCCTTCGCCTTGGGGTACTGTAACCGATACCCAGGTGAGTGGAATATTAGTGGTAGAGTTGGATGAGACTCACCATCCGCATTCCCCCTCGTGAAACTACCGGGGACGTTGATCCATACTGCATCTTTGTCGTACATGACCCCACCCACGTCGCTCATAGGTGCATGGATCAACAGCTTCTTCTTCTCGCTCAGCTTTCTCCTCTTTTCACTCTCCTCTGTTGGGAGAGGACAAGGGTCTCCCAACACCGTCACGTTCTTCATCTCCAGATCGCCGACACCAGGGATGTGGACTTTACTCCCCATGCGCAGGTTCGTCCCGCGGAGGTATCCGTACACCGTAACCGTCCTATCGCATTTGCCTTTACTCGTCCGGACTTGTTCTCGGGGTGTCAGATCCTCCAAGCGGTCAGCCAGCATATACGGATGGGAGTTTCTGAAAACGAGAGGCCGGAATTTCATCACAGAGATAAAACGGGAGAGGTTCATGATTTCTGTATCTGGGTATCGGCCATTGATGACGCCTGAGAGGTAGAAGAGTTTAGCGCCTTGGTAGATTTCTGTCCAGAACCGTTTTTTGAGTTCTTTTTTTGTGGATTTGAGTGTGGCGGCTTTTTTGATTAGGTCGAGGTGGGTGAGGATGCCGATTACTTTTGGGAAGCCGTGGCTTTGGAGGATGTTGAGGAATTCGAAGGTTTCCTGGAATTATATGAACATCTGAGAATGAGGATATGGTTTGGGGTGGAGAAACGCTACCATTTCGAAACCGAATGAACCGTCTATCATGAGGAGCACGAGGTCTGCGATTTTGCCAATGTCGATCATGCTGTTGAGGTCGTTGTTGCATTCGATAAAGGTAAGTCGCCTCTTTTTGCCGGAGACGACGGTGATGGGTCCCTTTGCTTCAGTCAGAGTCTGTTTGGTGTACCGCCGGACTAGACTCTTGAGCAGGGTTGTTTTGCCGACTCCTGGTGGACCGACGATGGCGACAATGACGGGTGGAGGGTCCTCATCTGGTGTTCTGTTCACTAGGGGAACGTGTAGCCTGGTTTGGTCCTTCTCGGCTGTACGACGACCTTGTCTGTCTGCTCTCCGACCTGATTTTGGTGCAAAGGCCTATACGATCTATTAGCGAACTCGGGGCGTAAGAAATAAGATATACCTTTTCATTGAACCCATGTTGTTTCTCCTTTCCCTTTGCCTTGTTCTTCTTCTCAGCCTTGTTGCCTGACTGAGAGGCTCTGTGTGGTTTGTGAGGTCTGTCGTCCATCGTATTGGACTAACCAACCTTGCGTTTTCGAAATTTTGGGTTTCAAGGACTGATTGATGCAAGCCCTAACCCGAGACTAGGGTTACAGTCCGACACGGTACACGTGACCTTGACGCGGTGTGGTTGTTGTTGACTTGCTTGGCTTTTGCCAGTTTCTTGTCGTCGTCGCCGTCGTTCCTCTCTTCCGTTCTGCCACCCACAACTTCCCCAGCGACACCGTCATTTTTTCCACCGCGTAATTTAAAGGACGGCAGAGACAAGACAGAGAATCGACGATGAGAAGGCACGGCAAAGGCTCTGCGTTCGACATCAGCATCCACCACGATGAGCTGGAGCAGCACCGCCGCCAGCTCGAGCAGAAACTCAAATCTGGGATTTCGGCGCCTCTACCTGTGGCCAGCGACGACGAGGACTCACCGTTTACCAACAACAATAGTTCGATAGAGTACCCGAGGCATGATTCTGGAGCGATACCTTACCCGGATTTTCCCTCGTTCGCGCATAGGTCGGGAGAGTTTGTAGAGGCGGATAGCCAGATGCATGGGTGGTCGTATAGGACGGGCGATGATGACGAGGGGATTAATCCGTATGGCCAGGAGACGATGTCGACTATGCATCATCATGCTAGTGCCCTCACTATTACCGCTGGACTCGGTGGGCGGGGCGCGCGAAGAGACATCAGCCTCAGCGGCGCGGAGTACGACCCTGACAGACCACTCAACCAAATCATGGCTGGCGTTGGCAAATTGAGCATGTTCGACGAAGGGTCCAAGTCTAAAAATGTATGTTTTATTTTAACATGAATGCCTCGTGGACTGTTGCTGACATTCGATTGGGACAACAAAGAATATCAACAGCACTACCTTTGAGCCACTCGTGGTTGATAGCACCGCTGAGCTGGACAGGATACTTCAGTCTGGCTACGCGCCTCAAATGTCCATTTCTCGTTCTGTCCATCCGACTCCACCGCTGTCAAATGCTTCGTCATCCAGCTCGGACTCGGAGTCTGGTGGTTCACCATCCCGCTCAAGACTCACAGACCACCTCCGCAACGTTGCCTTTTCGCCTAAACGCCCACGAAACGTCCTCGCAAGGACGTCCATGTCCCCAGCTCAGCCCAACCACTCACAACATTCTTCAGGCTCGCCTATGCCAAGGAGACGGACCACCGCGGGAACGAACAATACCACACCTGCAAAAGACAGCATGGCCACTCCCCGACCATCGAGACGACTCTTTAGCGGGGCTTCGAACAAAACGCCCGTTGCTCAGCCTGAGGTCCGCCTGCAACCCCCAACGCCTTCTACAGCAAGTTCCAAGTTTACTCGGATGGCACGCGGGATCGCGAAGGATATAGAGGAAGAGGCTAACAGGCCGCCGCCACAGCAGCAGCAACGTAAACCCTCCTCCCACGAATCTCCCCGCCCCAAGGATGTGGGCAACCAGAGTGTCAGGAGTAACGCTACCCGACGCGGCTTTTCCAGGGAGCATTCCAAGAGCCGAATTGTCTTGCCTGATGTGACTGGCTTGACGATGGCTGTCGAGTCTCCGGCGAGGTTGGGCAAAGAGTACTACCCCTATGTGAGCGGCGCTCCTCGCGAATCCGAGGTCCGGCTCTTGCAGACCCTCAATAGTGTGCAATCAAAACTTCAGCAACTCAATGAAGAGAATACGATATCCCGCCGGCGTGTGCACGAGCTGGAGATGGAGCTGGACGAGTGCAAGCGGGATGTGGCGCGTGAACGGACGAGGTTGTTGGAGAGGGAGGAGGTTATGGTGCAGCAGCATAAAGATCTTTTGGAGGCTGTTGGGAGGGTCAAGGGGAAGGCTAAAGCGAGGAGTGAGGAAGATGAAGAGGAAGTGACGAAGAGGTATAAGGAGGCTGTTGAGGAGAAGAAAGGTCAGTGCCCGCTTGGTTGTTTGTGGTACCGTGTTCTAACGTCCTTGTGCATCGTTCTTTCGTAGCTCTTGAGGCTTTGATCAACTCGCTCCGCACTCATTTGACGCGGCTTACTTCTGAACTGTCGTCCCAGCAGGAACTGTTGTGTGAACTCCGTGACCTGCGCAACGCTGACTCTCAGACCCTCCGCGAAAAGGGCAACGAAATTGTGCGGCTCAATGAGGAGGTCGAGCGGTTAGCTGGGGAAATTGAAGTGTTGAGAGGGGTGGTGGAGGAGGGGTTGAAGGAGAGGAGAGCTCAGCGGGAGGCGTCGATCCAGCACGACCAGGCTGATGTTGGGATGTCTAGAGATTTGGAGGAAGAGGAGGAGCAAGAGGAGGACAATGGGGAGAGTGATCGCGACGACGGGGCGAAGCCACCGGAAGAGGAGGAAGAGGAAGAAGACCTTGAAGGATTCGACTCGTCCCGTGAACGTTCGCGAATCGCTGATCGTACCATGCGCACTGACTTTGCCACTCTTGGTTCCTCCCGCTTTGGAGCTTCGACCTCTACACCTCACCGTGTCCAATTCGTTGACCAGCGCGAGCTCGATGAGATTACTGCTGAAGTGGAGGAACGACGGTCGAACAACTCCGGGGCCAATATGAGTCGGTTGACCATCGAGCCTTCGTTTGCGGTTGATGTGGAATCTGAGAAGGAGGATGGGGAGGACGCGCAGTCGTCGTTTAACGGGTCGTATAGGTCGAGAAGTCCTTCGCCCATGCCTGTGCGAAGGCCTAGTCAGCAGCAGCAGCAGCGCTTGGGTTCGAGACAGCAGAGTGGCGCTGCTCGTGCGCCTGTTATTCCTTCTACCCCTCCTTCCCGCATCGAACCTCTCCCTCCTGTCCCAGCTCCTTCCAACCCAGCCCCCGCCAACACTAACGCCAACGCGAATCCTCTATCTAAAAGTCAATCACGACGCGTCTCGTCTTCTAAACGTGCAACGCAACCCGCTGCAGCCCCGCCAGAGGTTTTGGAGACGCCTTTCCCTCAGATTCGGGGTGAGAGGTTGGAGCGATTGTTCTTTTCAGCGCCGGAACATAATCCGAAGACGTGCAATGTGTGTTACAGGAGGAGGCAGCATCGGGATGACCCCAGGCGGTCGCCGAGCTATTTGCCTAATCAGCGGCGGGGTGGTTGGGCTCGAGGCGGTGCTCAGGACGGTGAGCATGTGGATGAGGATGAGGAGGATGAAGATGATGAAGGCTTTGCGGAGGGTTCGGATGATGCGCATGGGGGACGCGCAAGGGCGGGTGTGTCGACTGACCCGAATGCCTATCGGAATGCAGGACGTAAGGCTGGGCTGCCCCCTCAGACTGTTGTCATGCGTGTTGTGCGTGATCTGGAGGATGATTTTACGCATTATAAGAGGTGTGCATTTTTCTTCGTTCATTGGTTATGGTTCCGGTGTACTGATAAGGTTTGTCTGCGTAGTGTCTATGTGGAGTTGGCGGACCAGTATAAAGAGATGGATGCTGTGAGCGATGTTCCCAGGCGGAATTTGCTTGCGAAGCATTTGAGAGAGGTGGTTGATATTTTGGAGCAAAAGGTGCGTTTTTTCCCGCCGTTGCCGTCGTTGTTGTTCTGAGGAGAATTGGGAACTGACTTTGTTTTTTCTTTTGGTATAGGGCGACCAAATTGCTTCCCTTTATGAACTGTTGTCGTTTAAGGATAAGCCGTCTGCGGAGTCTGGTGTTCCTTCTACGAGGCGGTCGTAGAGTGTATTTATTATTGAGTCACGGTGGTGTGTGTAGTATCTTGACTGAAAGCTATGCGTACTCGTGTTCTGTCCTCATTGATTTCTTCCTGTTCTCGTCACTTCTTATTCTTCTTCCATTCATACATTTCCTGTCTTCCTTCATCCAATCCATCTCGTCTCTTTCGATCAAAGCATTTTCCATCTCATTCAACGCGTTTCTTCATCCATTCAATTCAATTCAATTTCATCTCAAGATTTGCTTAGTTGTAGCTCGTTCCCCTCCCTCTCCTCTCCGGACTGGCTGTCGATACATACATATCTCAAGCGCTTGTTCACAGAATTTCTTTTTTTTTCAAGTTCTCAGTTACATTGCAAGTAGTTTGAATTTTAGTTTACAGTTTTTTTGTGAATAGAATGATGATGAATTGTTCTGCGCAGCTGCGGTTGTATGGTTTTAGAGGGGATGTCCTTTGAGGGTCTTGGGTAACGCGGCGGACAATAGGCTACTGTCCACTCGCGATCGGACCTCGCGCTGTCCACTGGTCCGGCACATCGCTGTCCCCACTACCATGCCCAATGCAACTCTTCGTAGTAATCAATTGCGATGACTGGACGCGTGCCCTCCTCGAGCACAAAGATTGCCTTTGTTTCGATGACGTTGAATCAGTTCCCTGACCGTGGAACAAAGGCCAAAAGACTCTGCTTGCTCAAAGGAAGCCACGTGCCAGTCTAGTGGACAGGTATCTTCCAAAGCTAGTGGACAGCGCGAACTTGGATCAAATTGGACGGCAGTTTGTCCGCCGTGTTATAATCGGAACGTACTTGGGATGGGAAGCGCCCGTGGAGGCGCCCAGGGAAAGGTTTGGGTATGACTGTACCACCGGGGAATTAGAGTTGTTAATAATGGGGATATATTGGACATTAGTCCGGTTTCTATAGAAGTACTAGGGCATTAAGACTAAGGTAGTAATTTAAACGGAGAATGCAAGAAACCAGTTGAGCTTTACTGGAAATCTAGACACCGATTGTATCTCCGAAGTCCGAGTCTGTGTATAGTAACTCAAAGCCTGGAGGCATGTCATCGTAAGGATAAGGAAGACCTGGCACAGGTTCAAGGCCCACGTCGTAACCTTGACCAATATCGGAGTTATCAACAGGGCCGGTCGACACTTGAAAGCCATTCATATTGCGTGCGGAGCGGCGAGAGGGTCTGAGTTGGGCTGTTGGGCAGCTTTGAAGAACTCGGCGATAAAACGTTGACATTCAGCGGCGAGTGTGGCTGGGTCAGCCAAGGGGAGTGGGTGTGAGTCAAGGGGCTGTTGGAATAATCCTTGGTTTGAAGTGCTGAACGCATTACTAGTCCAGTGTGGCGTGAAGCTGTCTGAAGCAGTAGTAGTGTGGTCCAGAGTGAGAGACTCTGCACTGTGGCCGGGCTGGGAGACTGGATTGATAGTAGAAGGGCTCGGCTGAGGACTGCGATCTTTTAGCATATCAGCATGAGCTTTTTTCGACTTGTGTGTAGTGAGATTGTGCTTCCATCGCGTGGAGTAATTGCACCCCGGAAAAGGACATTTGAAGGGTTTCTCTAAATCGTGCGTGCGCCTGTGCGATTCGAGATTCTGGCTCCAGCGACCAGAGTAAGTGCACCCCTCAAAGTCACAGTAGTACTTAGTCGGGTTGGAACTGTGCATGGCGCTTTGGTGGGCGGCGAGACTCCTCTTGTCCCCAACATATGTGCAGCCCTCGTGCAGGCATGGGTGGCCTGGGGGATTTTTTACTGCTGATCTTGTGGCTCCGCGATGGGTCCCCGTGTGCCGTTTTAGCTCACGTTTACTGGTGGTGCTGAAGGTGCAGCCATCCTCTGGACAGGAGTTGTGAGGTGTTCTCGTGTGTCGGGTTAGTGACTTCTTCAAAGGAGCGGTGTAGGCACATCCGGGGACGGCGCATTTGAGAAGTGGTTGATGCTTGTCGGATTGTTCGTAGAGTTGGTTGCATGGAATCTGATACTATAGGATGGTAGTGTTGGTCAACAAAGAAAGAGGGTTGACCGATGTTGAACTTGCCTCTGTCGGTAGGCTCTGCGGAAGTTGGATAGGTGACATCGTGCGGAGAACTCGAGCAAACTTGGGAGTGCGATGGAAGGTCGTGTGAGGTCTTCTGGTTCGTCATTTTACATGCGTCCTTTATAATAAGAACCCGTCAAAGCGCCTGACACAGTTGAAACGTCTAGAGTCCAAGCGGGTGCTGGTTGGCAACGATTAACGATGGTCCAAGCCAAGGGGACTTTGACGCGCCTCTTAGTCAGCAGCAATAGAACGGGAACGCGGTGGCGACGCGAGGGAAATGGTCATCAAGTCCACAAGCATCAAAGAAAACGGTTCACGAATCCGAAGCACGATGTCAGATGGACACAGATGCAAGCGCCAGCGACGGGATTCAGATGCATTTCGCGTCGACTCCGACGTTGGCGAGAAAGGGGATACGCCAGGTGGTGCCTCAGATTTCCGTCGAGATGGTGGTGAAAGGAAACAAAGACGTGTGCGAAATTTCAGGTAGGTAGGGAGGGATGTAGTTTACCGACGCGGTCCCTGAGCGGGCAAGGCTCTCATGGTCATCACGTTCAGAAAGTATATTTTCTTTACGATCTGAACTGGTATTGGCCGCTACGCATGCCCCGAATTGCTGGGGTCGACATCCGCCCATGGCTTTCAGCTTCTCCAGGGAGCTCCAGGTCGCCGACCAAATAGGCGCGTTGCTTAGTCATGTACAGTGGGCAGCTTTCCCTCTTCCTGTCCTCGACGCTCGTTGGCTCCGGAGTTTTAAACAGCAACTTGGCGATAGAAATGCAGCTGTGCTGCTGTGAAAGCCTGACCTACAAAGCCAGAGATTCTGCTGTTAAGTTCCAACTAAATGTGTGGAAGCCCGTCTCTGTTTCATCACCAATGTGTGGCTGTGACAGCAATATAAACTCTTTTTGACGCGACGTCGACGTCGAACCCCCAGGAGAACGAGAAAACACGAAGACGATGGCGAAAGAAACACGCAGTGCAAAACGGAAAAGGGGCGAATCGACTACTGCAGAAGCGTTGACGGCTACCACCAGTGAACCTGCCAGCGTCAACATCCAACGATCCCAACAAGTCTGGTACGATGACGGAAACGTTATTCTCCAGGTCGAAAACCGCCAATTCAGAGTTCACAAAAGCATCCTCTCGAAACATTCGCCGGTGCTTCGAGACATGTTCTCGATGCCGCAACCGGATGGCCAGCTAAAGGAAGACTGTCCGGTTGTCGTGTTGGAACACGATTTGGCGAAGGAGTGGGAGCAGGTGCTGGCGCTCATTTATGATGGATTCAGGTACCCATTTCGTAGAGGGTGTATGTATTGTCAACTGAACGCTGCATATGTGTCCAGGGAGGTGAAATATGGAGTAAAACTCTGGTTCTCGGAGATACGCTCCATCCTGTCCCTCAATCACAAATATGACTTGCCTTCTCTTCGTGAAGAGGCACTTTCTCGGCTGAAACTCGAGTATCCCCTCGGTCCAGGGTTCGAGGAGGAAAACGCGGTGAAGGAATTTGGGGAGCGCGATAAGAGCATGGAATTGGACAATCACACTTCGATGTGGGATGTGGTGAATATGGCCACCAAGTATCGGCTCGAGCGATGGCTCCCTGCTATCTATCTGCAGGCTTTGATGCAGCGAGATGACGACGAGGCTCTCACCGTACGTTTTCACGGCATTTCATACCACGGCTTCTGACGCACCAAGCTTTCCCGAGAAAGACTCTGATTTTCGACGGTACCGTAGCCAAAGACGGGACGACGACGACACAACTCGAACCGGCGATACAGAGACTCCTTCTGAAGGCGCGCGACAGATTTCGGAAAGTAATGAAGGACGAGGTCTTTAATTACTTGTCGAATGAACGTGTCATCCCCGGCAACGCCTGCCCTCAACCCAAACGATGTGCGCTAGCACAAGCAGGACTTCTGCGGGAAACATGGGGCCAAGGCCCGACAGTCTCCTCGGTTTTTGCTCTATCGGAGCCAGACGTTGGCAAGCTTTGCCCCGCTTGTTCGAAAGCTGCCAAGTGTACCTTCTGGAAAGCGAGGGTGGAGTTGGTCAAGAAGTTGCCTGCGATGTTTGATCTCCCTCTTTGGGAACAGTTGAAGGAATACGAAGGACAGGTCGCCGAGGATGAGGAAGGGAATAACCAGAATAACCAGTGACATTGTGTGAGTGCCAGTGTGATTAGTGTCAGCCAGGTCGAACTGAATTCTTCGTAGTCGTTGTTGAGGTGTGTGGGTGCCATCCTGGTGGTGGTATGAATTTGGGATCTCGTCTAGGCGTATTGGGATGAATGACTTGGATTTGGTCACTACCTTGTTTCTTCTGGACAGACATATTGGTACATTAGACTCCCTGTTAAGGTATTGTTATTGTGTACAATCTTAATTCCCGGTACTTTAGTACTGGGTCTCCATCTCATCCATTCCAAAAAACTTTCCCCGATCAACTCGAAAATGTGCTCGGCTAATGCCGGTCTTTTTATAGAAATATGTACCCATGGATGTGAAACCATGATATCATCCCTTCATCTCCACATTGTCGTTTCATCTGTTCGTTTTCAATGGCCGTATCCTTCGCCGGTCAACAAATCTCTGCGGCATGTTGTCCTCGTCTTGGTTGTTCTCTGGTGACGCCCGCGTTCGCAGCTACTATTCGTCTTCACTCGTCGTCTTCTTTTACATATTCCTATTCCATCGGGTCGTCCGCTATAACGACACTTTGTCAGCCTCGAGTGCGTTCTTCATTAGACTATGATTTCGTTCTTGGTTCGGATTGCTTTCGCCAAATAACATCGGCAGGTTTACCTATTCATTTGCCTATTTCTGATGAATATGATGATGTCGATTATCGGCAATTACCTGCCGTTTTTCCCCTTCATAGTAGTCCCTCCGTGCCCACAACGCAAACAACACCTCCTTTGCCTTCATGGCAGTATCCTTCGCCTTCACGGCCAATGACTACACCTGCAATGCATGACGTCTCGTCTTCATCGTCTTCCGTATCATGTCGAAGTTATACTACATCGGATGATATTGGTTTCCATCAATGTTGTCGATCTTTGCGAGGCAAGGAATCAACCGGTCTTTTCGCTTCGCCTTATGAGCCGGATATAGATAGATTAAGTGGACTTCTACGCCTACATGGCATTAAAGGTAACTTCGATACTACCAGCGCGATCGAATTAAGAAGTACTTATATAAGGCACATCTTCACTGGAGATTGCGTAAATCCTTTTCAGTCTTCTCAACCAGATGGATGCAAGGTATTCGCTAGTGGCTTTCGGAATGCATCTGATATTTGTTTCCGTCTATTTCAATATATGGGTTCATGTACAGTCGAAGACATTGATACTAATAAACTACATATCATCGCATCCTGTTTAGAATTTCGTATGCAAAGTTCTACTAGGAACTATAGACGTCGTCTACAAGGACTTTTTCTACGAGAATGTTATAGATTTGGATCGACATCTTCATTGTCGCCTTTTGTATCACTAGATCCTATTCACGTCATCAAAGACTTTAAGAAACATTCAGGCCTATATTGGAAGGAAATATTGCGTTCTCATGGGATTGAACTCCACCAAACAGATAATTCGGTTAATGGCTATCGGCGCTTATTTATCAATCATATTGTATGCGGCGCATGTAACGATAGTGAACCTCGATTTCCTGGATGTTTAGCAATGAACTCAACTGTTGACGAACGTTGTAGTCCTCGTGAGTCTCTTGATCAGACTACTGAAATTCGAGCTCGTATATATCTACGAAACTTACTTTCTCTTTTTAAAAGTCACATGAAAGTAGACGGTCTTCGCGAACTCCTTAATCAACTGCATTTGGCGTACCAACCTAGGGACCCCATTCATCGCCTGCAGTCTATACTTTATGATTACATTCAACGACTGCAGTCCGAATTAGAGGTTTCTTCTCGTCGTTGTAATTCCAATTCATGGCCGCCTAAGGTACCTCAATCGGTCAAAGACGACTGTATTCAAAAATTTCGGGAAATGACGAGCACTGCTGCTTTACAAACCCGGACATGCGCTTCCTGTGCATCTCAATATTCGACTGATACTATGTTCGATGTATTGGCTTCCGATCTTGACTTCAGTTGTTTCCTTTCACCTGAAGCAAGGTTTCAAAAAGGATCTGCTGTACCCGTCGATCCGTCATACTCCATACCTGAAGAAGCTAAAAGTTCACTTTATGGCTTTCATTCTCAACCACACGTATTATTACATCGCGACGGCGTACAAGTTGATCATCACAATCGATTCATCATTCGCCTTTGTAGGGAATGTAAGTTTAGTTCGTCTAAAGGTAAGGTTCCTCCTCTCGCCATGGCGAATCACAATTTTATTGGAACCTGTCCATCCGTTTTGGAAGATCTTTCTGTCGTTGAGGAAGCTATGATATCCAAGTGTCGTTCAAAATGTTGGGTTATTCAACTGTCGGAAGAGGATCATGACCGTAGTGGAACTGCGTCTCAACGGGGTCTCAAAGGTAACATTATTATTTATCCTCAATCTCCTTCGTCTGCCGCCCGAGTTTTACCCCCTACTATAGACGAAATGACCAAACCGATTTGCGTTGTTTTCGTTGGTAATACATTACCTTCCAAAGAATGGTTGTTGCAGAAAGCTAAACCTCTGGCCGTTAGACCACAACGAGTTCGTGACGCTTTAAGTTGGTTAAAGGTTCACAATCCATTGTATAATGACGTTGACATTGATTATAATCGTTTAAATGGACTTCCCGAAGATTACATTTTACCCGTTGACATTCATCACTATACAAATACATCTGCTGTAGAGGGACTTACATCGCGTTACGATACCACCGACTCCACTAACGAATCAATAGCACGTATTAACCAGGTTTTGTTCGATAAATCTGTTATACCTGATTTAAGCTCTGAATCCTCGGCAAAAGAGATGAGAAATGCCGCGTTGGAGCATATGAAAGAAAGGGACGGTGCGTTCGTTCCTTTACCACATGAGGAACGGCCTTCGAACGAATATAACGATCCTTACCTATTTCCTAATTTATACCCGACACTCTTTCCTTGGGGTTTAGGTGGTTTTGAGCATCCGAAACGTACGACAACGGTATCTATGAAGCGGCATGTTCGTCACAATTTTTCTTCTAACCAACTAGGCTTTCGAGAGCATAATTCTTACCTTTTCACTGTTTTTAACATTCTTCAACGTCGTCGTATTCTAGTAGATACTTCTGTCCGCGTAAAAAAACGAAACTTTGCAGAAATTGCCTGTCAATGGAATGGCATCAGTTCCGGAGCGATACATATCGTCACCGAAAAGCTTGGAAATAGCGATTTCTTTCACCCTCTCACCGATGAAGAACGAGCAATCGCCAGATTACTTCAAGAAGTCAACGTCGTTACATCGCACGTTCCTGGGTCGAACGCATCTAAAGTAAAAATGAGGAATGAGATTCGCGCAATGATGATTGAGAAAGGCCTACCATCTTTTTATATCACTCTTAATCCCGCCGACGTATTCAATCCAATCGTAAGGATAATCGCCGGCGAAGATTTCGATGTAGACGCAATGACTGATAACGATGTGTCTGATTTCAGATCTCAGTCATGGTTAATTGCTAAAAATCCATATGCAGCTTCCACTTTTTTTCATAAATATTTGACGGCTTTCTTTAGTTGTTTGCTAAATTATGACAAAGGGAAACACGAACAAGAGTTGGGTGTATTAGGACGTTGTGCTGGTTATTATGGATGTGTTGAAGCGCAGGGCCGTGGATCTTTACATTGTCATATGCTCGTCTGGATCAAAGACTCTATGGATCCCAACACGTTAAAAGACAGGTTGTTAGGAAGCGAGGATTTCCGTCGCGAAATGACCACTTACTTGGATGATACCATATCGTCCGAAGTTCCTGTTGATCCATTGCCTTCACTAAATAATTCATCTTCGCCGAATAAAGGTTGCTATGCTCGACCGTTAAATCCATTTCAATCAAGTAAGGTTGATCGTCAGCATGATATGCACTACCTCACCAAACGATGTCAGATTCATGAACACAACGCTACGTGCTATAAATATTGGAAAGGTCCTGGCGATAAAAAGGAGTGTCGGTTTCAAATTAAACCCGAACGTATGTATCCGGAAACTTACATAGATTCAGAAACCGGGGAGATTTGCCTTCGTTGTTTAGATGGCCTTGTAAACCACTTCAATGACACCATCCTCGAATGCATGCGGTGTAATATGGATATCTGTTAGACTCTACGGAACTGCGGAGTCTGCGGAGTCGAAGGGACCTTGGCCTCAACGTATTGCGTTGTGCCCACGCTGGTGGTATATGGTCCAACCCGAAAGGAGAGGGGAGGAGAGGGAGAGAAAGACGCGCCTTGCGGCGGAAGACGAGTAGAGAGAGGAGAGAGCCTTGCGGAGCGGAATCAGGAGCACTGTGCGGATATGCGGAGTTATGCGGAAAGCTCTAGCAAGCCTGAAAGGCTCAAGACTGGACAGAGGGGAAGTTCTGTATAAGTCTGATTCGAGATTCCGGATGAGTATCTACTACAGAAATCTAGCTAGCTTATATATCTGTAGATACTCTGGATATACTCTGGGATAAGTCTGGGACAAGAGAAGAAACTGAGTCATAAGAAATGCGGAATACTGCGGAATGCGAAAGGGATGAGTAAGACAATTCCAAAGAACAATAGAAAAGCAAAGGATGAAGTCGTAGAGAAGCACAGAGGGTCACATGCAGAATCTGGGCGCCTAGAGGGCGGTTACGAGGTTTCTCCGCACGGTCCGCACCGGCCCTCAGTTGCGGGCCGTGTCGGTCCGCTGGTACTTGCGGGCTGCGGACTTGCGGATGCGGACATCCATAGAGCGGACACATGCGGGGAGTCCGCATGTGCAGGAGTGGGATGGAGGTGCGGAGATGTGGGAGATGCGGGATGCGGAGAGATGATGGCGAGTGCGGGGATGCGCGGGGTCATGCGGGATCATGTGGGACTGTGCGGGGGGTGTGGGTCAAGGCTGGTGGGTTGTGGGTAGATGTGGGTGGATGTTTGAGACCCTAACAGTACCTCCCTGTTAAGGCCGAGCCCTCGAGGCTTGTGTTAGGACTCGGTCCATGCACAGAATCTGATGTCCGCATTTTGCAACTTGGCATCATCAGCATGCTTGTGACTCTGCGGTGCGCTTGCGGAGAAGTGAAAAAATAATTTCTTGTCCTCTTGAAGTGGAAATGGGAAGTGCGGACAGGAAATGAAAGTGAGGAAAAAGAAGCGGAGGTAAAGGAGAAATTGAAGCATAATGTGCGGAGTAAGGGAAGGCATAGTGGAGCGGAAGAAAATGAAAACAAGTGGAGTAAGTGGAGTAAGCGAGAATATCAAGAAGAGAGGAATGCGGAACAGGAAAAAGGTCAAACAGGTAAGACATAGAGGAATGGAGGAAGCATAGAGAGGAAAGGAGTAATGCGGAACCACAAATTGTAGAGAAAGAAGCGGAAAAAACAGGATGCGGAAAATTGCGGAGAGCGGAGAAAGACAAAAGTAGAACTTAGAAAAATAAAAGGATACAAAGGTGAAGAAGAAATGCGGAGTCAATTGCGGAATGGCGGGGGAATGCGGTGGAATCACCAATGAGGACCAGGCTTGTCTGGGTACCTCTTGTGGAACTCTCCAACGATCTCTTGGGCGTGTTCAAGCTCTGTGGCAAGGAGCCAGCTTCGTTCCTCGTCCGTATTCTCGTATCCGCGCCACCGCACTTCGTAGAGGAGCTTGCAATGTTTGCGGCGACGATCCAATTTGGAGTCGAGGATCTCCGCAATCTCGTATTCAAGTTCCCCATCCACCTCGATTGGAGGCGGAGGCGGTTCGTGGCGTTGCGGAATCTGAGAGGTGTAATGCGGTTCGAGCATTGAGACGTGGAAGACGGGGTGAACAGCGCGGAGAGAGTCGGGGAGGCGGAGAGTGTAGGAAACCGTTCCAACTTGGGCAATGATCTCGTAAGGGCCAAAGTATCGTTCCGAGAGCTTCTTGGTAGGTCTGGTTGTGCGGAAGAACTGGGCCTTGACGAAAACTCGGTCGCCCACCTTGAAGTCTGGCGGAGGTAAGCGCTTTTGGTCCGCATAGCGGCGTGCGGACTCCTGCGCGCTGGCGATACTGGTGCGGAGGTGTTCGTGGAGCTCCTGCAGGTCGACCGCAAAGTCGCGGGCTGCGGAACTCGCAAGATCGCGTTCAGGGTGAACAGAGATGTTCGGATGATAACCCTTATTGGCGAAGAATGGCGAAACACCAGTTGTGGCACTAGGCGCATTGTTGTACGCAAACTCCCGCAAGTGGGAGGGAGTTCATGCCAGTTGTCCTGCTGGGTAGTTACAGTAGGTCCCGCAAATACTGCTCAAGCGTCTGGTTGACCCGCTCTGTCTGTCCGTCTCCTTCTGGGTGATAGCCGGATGTGAAGTGGAGCTTCATGTCCAGGGCTTCCCCCAAACTGCGGAAGAAGTGGGAGACGAATTCGGAGCCGCGGTCGGAGGTTACATGGCCAGGAACACCATGTTTGGAGAAGACGTGGAGCACAAACAGTCGCGCAAGCTCTGCGGAGGTGAGGCGGGAGTCTGTCGGAACAAAAATGGCTTGTTTGGACAGTCTATCCACCACCACCAAGATATCTGTGTATCCGCCGGATGCCGGGAGCTGTTCGATGAGATCCATCGAAATGGAGTCCCAGGGGCGGAGCGGAATAGGCAGGGGTTTCAGCAAACCATAAGGCTTGTGACGCGGAGACTTGTTGCGCTTGCAGACTGTGCAGGAGCGGACGTAGTCCCCAACGAAAGTGCGGAGTTCCGGCCAGACATAGTCGCGGCGCACCAGCTCAATCGTCTTGTTCTTGCCGTAGTGTCCCGCAAGCGGATGGTCGTGTTTGAGCTGAAGTACGCGGAGGCGGAGTGCGGAGTCGTGCGGAACGTAGATGCGTCCGTCCTGGCGGAGTATACCATCTGCGGAGAGAGTCCAGCGAGGGTTGGAAGGTGTGGGGAGGTGTTTGGAAGCGATTTCTTTCGTGGAGTAAGCAGCCTTGATGTCCTTGAGGAGCGCTCCCTCATCAACTACGATCGATGCGCGGAGTGCGGGGAGCATGATCGAAGTTGCGCGGAGCGATGCGGACAGCTGCTCATTGGTGAAGATGGGTCTGAAGTTGTGGGGATTGACTGACGCGTAGTCACTACCTCCCTGTTTAAGGTAGACGTCCCAACGTCTAGTGAGGGCATCGGGCTTCGTCCCCAGCTTTCCAGGGCGAAAGCGGATGACAAGGTTGAACTGGGAGAGATACTCCGACCAGCGCGCTTGCCTGCGGGTGAGGACCTTGGAAGTGGCGAAATATTCCAAGTTCTTGTGGTCCGTCATCACATTCACAGGCTCCGCAGATCCCTCGAGGTAATGCCTCCAAATCTTGAAGGCCTCGAAGATAGCCAGGAGCTCCTTGTCGTGGACGTCGTAGTTGAGCTCCGCAGCTTGGAAAGTGCGGGAATGGAATGCGACGGGGTGGATTTCGCCAGAGTCGAGTTGTTGGGACAGGATGGCGGCAAGGGCGTAGTCAGAGGCGTCAGTTTCCACAATCAGGGGTCGGTCGGGTTGCCAGTGCACCAGGATGGGTGCGGAAGTGAATGCGGACTTGAGGGTTTCAAATGCGGAACGTGCGGAGTCGCCGAACACGAAAGGGGTGTCTTTGCGGGTGAGGCGGGTAAGCGGAACAGTGATGTCGGAGTAGTTATGGATGAAGCGTCGATAGAAGTTGGCAAAACCGAGGAAGGACTGTATATCCTTCACAGAGCGCGGTTCAGGCCAGTCCTGGATGGTCTTGGTCTTGTCCGCAGACATAGTGAGGCCTGCAGGCGACAAGATGTAACCCAAGTATTCCACGCGCTCCGCATGAAATTCGCATTTCTTTGCGGAGGCGAAGAGACCATGCTTCCGCAAGCGGCGGAGGACTTCCTTGACGTGCTTGCGATGATCCTCCATGTTGTCGGAATAGATGAGGATATCATCCAGGTAGACGATGACACTGACATCAACCATGTCCGCAAAGATATCGTTCATGAATCGCTGGAATGCGGAGGGCGCATTGGTCAGCCCAAAAGGCATCACCAGCCATTCATACGACCCATAACGTGTGCGGAATGCGGTCTTCCACTCATCCCCGTCCGCAATGCGGACTAAGTGGTAGGCATGCTTCAGGTCAATCTTGGTGTAGACCTTCGCGCGGCCGGGTGCGTCGAGGAGATCGGAGATCAGCGGAAGCGGATAGCGATCTTTCTTGGAGATGCGGTTGAGTCCGCGATAATCGACGCAAAGGCGGAGCGATCCATCCTTCTTCTTGACAAAAAGGATGGGAGCGCCTAGGGGAGAGTTGGAGGAGCGAATGAAACCAGCCCGCAAGTTCTCTTCAAGGAACTCGCGGAGTGCGGAGGTCTCCGCAGGAGACAGGGAGTAGAGACGACTCGGTGGAAGCGGAGCGGCAGCGTCAAGCTCGATCTTGAGGTCGTAGGATCGATGCGGAGGCAAGGTGTAGGCCTTGGCATTGCTGAACACGTCGGCAAACTCGTGGTATTCCTCTGGAACAGAGGAGAGGTCGACGAGTTCCGCATCAACTGCTGCGGCGCATGCCCGCACCACATTGTCGCTCTTGGAAAGGGAAATGGAAAAGGAGTGTGAGCCACGCATCGCGGATGCGCGGCGGAAAGCGGCTGCATTGACAAAAGAAATTGGAACTGGATTGCTGGTGAATGCGCAAGGAGGGGAAGTGGGCGGAGCACTAGGCTCCGGTGCGGAGAGAGGCGGAGGGATGCTGGAGGTTGCGGAGGTCTCGACGTTTGCGGCGGCGAGTGAGCTCAATGCGGAGGAGTTATCGGATGATTCGAACGAGAGTATCTGGCCTCTGCGCCAATCAATCAACGGATTGTAACGGGCAAGCCAGTTGTGTCCTAGAACCAACGGATACAGGGCATCCAGGGTTGTGATGAAGCACTTGATATGGAATTCCTCGCCTGAGGAGATGCGGAGCGTGATGTCCGCAGCTTGCGATAACCAGCGCGAAATGGTTCCATCGAGGAGTTTAAGCGGAACAGGCGGAATGTCATAGAATTCGATATCATGCTTGGATACAAATGCGGAGTCGATAAAACAGTCCGTACAACCCGAATCAATCAAGGCGCGGAGTTCAGCAGAGTCCAGAGAGGAGGAATGAGTGGGGATGCGGAGAATTGAAAAGAGAATGGAAAGAGCATTGGGATCAGAGAGGGCTGCCGCATTTAGTCGGACCTCAAGCCTTTCTGCGGCGGAGACGCAGCCCTGAGGGAAAGGCGAGGTCACAGGGCTGCTCAGTGATTTCCCGACTGAGGGGAGTCGGAAATCTGCGGAGCGGACGCGTTGGCCCTGCGGGCACGGCGGGTGCGCGGGCAGTCCGCTGCGCGATGTCCTGAGGCAGCACAGACAAGGCAAAGGTTGTTCCGCATGCGATGTTCGCGCTCCTCAGGGCGGAGGCGACCATTAGCGTCCAGGTTGTTGTTCCAAGGGCGCTGCTGACCACCGCCCTGACGGTTGTTGCGGTTGCCGCCTCCAGGAGAGTTAGCGGAGGAGGCGGAGGGCGCGGACGTGGAAGCGTGCGGAGCGGAGGGTTGCCGTTCTTGCGGACGGCGGAAATTGTTGCGGGAATGATGGTGACGAGAGTGGTTGTTGCGGAAGTGTGAGGGGGCGGAATGATGCGGAGTGGAGCTGGAAGAGGAAGGACCAGGACCACCGGAGGGGTGATTGTTGCGGGGGTGCGGAGCAGGGTTGGATCCGCGGTTGGTGGTGCGGAGTGCGGCCTGCTCCTTTTTGATCTCCTCCTGGCGATCCAGGTAGCGCTCGTCGATCTTGAACACCTCAACCTGGAGGTCCGCAAGGGTTGCGGGGTTCTCCCGCTTGGAGAGCTCGTTCTTGATGCGGTCGAGGAGTCCATTGTAGTACTGGTCGCGGAGCGGCTCCTCATTCCAGTTGATCTTCGCCGCAAGCTGATTGAAGGCCGAGATTAGTCACATGGTATGGCGCGCCCGGTCATTTTGAGCGCCTTGAGCTTGCGGGTGGCGTCCTTGATGGGGTCCATTGGGTCCAAACACGCGGATCAGTTCGTCCTTCCATGCGCGGAAGCTCTGGAACCAATCCGGGACGCGAGCGTCTCCGCGCGCGCGGGCGGCCGCAATCTTGTCGCCAAAGTAGGCATAGGCGTCGCCCTTGAGGTAGGTGAGGGCTGTTGCGACGCGGTCCGCATCGTCGCGGAAGCCGTCCTGGTACCTCCCGAAGTAGAGGGTGAGCTGGGTGATGAAGTTGTCGAGTTTGTCGGGGTCCTCCCCATCGAAGGGTTCAGGGGGTCGTGCCTTGGGGCCCTCGTGCGGCCTTGTGAGTGCGGCCTCCATGGTCCGCGCGAGGCGGCGGTTGGTCCGCGTGAGGCCGGCGAGGAGCCGACTGAGGAGTTGCGGAACATCTGGTTCGTCGTCCGCATCGGAGTCAGATGAATCCGAGCTGTCATTTCCATCGTCCGCAGGGCCGCCGGGTGGACCGCCGGGTGGGGGCCCTCGATTCGGCTGAGGAGGGCGACCCGGGCCCTGAGGTGGTCCGTCTCCGCCCTGCGGAGCGTCTGCGGGCGGCTGCCCGTCATCCGAGCCTGGAGGGTCTCCACCCCCGACAGGCGGAACAGCAGGGGGTTCGTACGGCGGAGCGGGGTCGTTGGAGCCTCCCGCAACCGCGTTTGAAGCGGTGCGGAGGGGCGCGGGCGTGACATAGGATAGGTCCGCCGATGCGGACGGTTCATCGACTGTTCTCCCCTCGCCGGAAAACGGGAGTAAGGCGGCGGTGACTGTGGCCTCCTCTCCGCGTTCCTGCGCTGACTGCGAGGAGAGTCCGCCGGGAAATTGCGGAGTGTTTGCGGAGGCGGTCCGCGTCTGGACCTGTGTTGCCATCGGGTTTCGGTAGACAGAGGCCGATGTAGCGGGCCCAAGGAAGGTTGCGGGCGGACCCCAGATTGGCTGCTCCTGGGGCCGCGGGGCGTCAGGTTGGCGGAAGTTGGGTGAGAAGGGGTTGTGGAGGGGGTCGTCGATGACAGGCGGGTGTCGGAGATGGTGTGTAGAAATCGAGTAGGAAAACTCCGGAGGGGTTTGCGGACGTTGGAACACAATAGAGTAGTTAGTGCTCCTGGTGCGCATACCACAGCGTGCGGATCCGGAATCTACTGTTAGACTCTACGGAACTGCGGAGTCTGCGGAGTCGAAGGGACCTTGGCCTCAACGTATTGCGTTGTGCCCACGCTGGTGGTATATGGTCCAACCCGAAAGGAGAGGGGAGGAGAGGGAGAGAAAGACGCGCCTTGCGGCGGAAGACGAGTAGAGAGAGGAGAGAGCCTTGCGGAGCGGAATCAGGAGCACTGTGCGGATATGCGGAGTTATGCGGAAAGCTCTAGCAAGCCTGAAAGGCTCAAGACTGGACAGAGGGGAAGTTCTGTATAAGTCTGATTCGAGATTCCGGATGAGTATCTACTACAGAAATCTAGCTAGCTTATATATCTGTAGATACTCTGGATATACTCTGGGATAAGTCTGGGACAAGAGAAGAAACTGAGTCATAAGAAATGCGGAATACTGCGGAATGCGAAAGGGATGAGTAAGACAATTCCAAAGAACAATAGAAAAGCAAAGGATGAAGTCGTAGAGAAGCACAGAGGGTCACATGCAGAATCTGGGCGCCTAGAGGGCGGTTACGAGGTTTCTCCGCACGGTCCGCACCGGCCCTCAGTTGCGGGCCGTGTCGGTCCGCTGGTACTTGCGGGCTGCGGACTTGCGGATGCGGACATCCATAGAGCGGACACATGCGGGGAGTCCGCATGTGCAGGAGTGGGATGGAGGTGCGGAGATGTGGGAGATGCGGGATGCGGAGAGATGATGGCGAGTGCGGGGATGCGCGGGGTCATGCGGGATCATGTGGGACTGTGCGGGGGGTGTGGGTCAAGGCTGGTGGGTTGTGGGTAGATGTGGGTGGATGTTTGAGACCCTAACAATATCAAGTTCATTGGCTCAGGTACGGCTGCTAAAGCTGTATTGTATTATATCACTGATTATATCACTAAGTCGCAGCTCAACACTCACGTTGCATACGCCGCCCTTGAAGTCGCCGTAACAAAACTTGGTGAGTTTGATCCCTCGGAAACAGACGTCGTATCGCATTCCAAAGCGTTGTTACGAAAATGCGCATTTTCTTTACTAAGTAACCAAGAGCTTTCCGCCCAACAAGTGATGAGTTATCTTATGGAATACGGCGATCATTATACTAGCCATACCTTTCGAGGATTCTACTGGCCTGCTGCCGTAAAAGAGGTTTCTTCTTCTGATTCTAACAACGAACAGGATACCGACTTTGTTGTAAGCGAAGAGGAGACGTTCATCGATGTATCCAAGTCGGGAAATCTTATACAAAAATGTGCTTACCTTGAAGATTATATCCACCGCCCTACCACTCTCCATTCGTTCAATTTATGGGATTTCCTGTCACAATTCGAAAAAATTCGAACTGCTACTACAGCCGAGAAGAAGATGCCAAAATATAAGCGACATCGATCTATTGCAGTCGATGACGATGACGTTTCTTCAGGCAGTGAATCCGATGAATCGAGTGAATACTCCTCCAGCGATATGAGCGACGACGAATTGTGTCCAGCGCCTAGAAGTAATAAGTTTTTCTTCAAAGACGGACATCGTCAGCATAATACACATCATCTGAGACGGCGTTCGGAACATCGTTATGTTATTCCACAACCAATAGGCCCTTCACTGCCTAGAAGAGATAAACCTGAGATCTTCGATCAATACAAATTGACGATGCTTACATTCTTCGTACCGTGGCATGATAGAGGAAGCATCGACACCCTTTTTTCGCCAGAAAGTACCCAATCGTATGATCTATTTGTTAACAACTGTACAGACCGAGTGAAATGGTTAATGTGTAACATGCAGTTGCTACATGAATGCAAGGACAGTAAAGATGACGATTACGCTCACCGTCGTGCTAGGGAACACAACACAATGCCCAGAGTTGTAGCACCTGATAACGCGACTAGCAACGATGATTGCAGTCAGTTAAATATGGACGAAATCGAACGAGAACTTGCTTTACAACACCTTCAAGAATTGGCCGCTACCACGTCAAATAACAGGTCGTCTCGTCGCCAAGCCGCGGACGACGCTTTGGAATCAATGAAATCCGGAGGTGTTTATAACAAACACGTTCAAAGTAGTCCAATCGAAGGCAATGAGTATAGGACCACAGATACATATCAAGAAGATGTATGGAAAGCAGAGTACGAACACCGTCGACGAAACTGGAAGCGATCTGTAGTTGAACAAGCCAAACATACCGCGCATCAAAGTAATTCAATTACCGCGAGCGCTAATCAAAATCAACTCGACGCTTTTGGTTCGTTATCGACTTCTGCGCCCGTACCTACCTATACATCACTTGACTTGGATCGAATGACATCTAATCAACTATCACAATTACTACATACGAGAAAAGAAATCATCGCTTCCAACTATTGCTTAAATGAAGCACAACAACGAGCTTATTATAAAATTGTTCAGTCCCATATATTTGCTGTAGAGGGTCGAAAACAGGGTCCCGTTCGTATGTTTTTAACCGGTCCCGGAGGAACTGGAAAATCGACTGTCATTAAGGCGATTACGGAGTTCTTTCGCTATAATCTTGAAGAACCCCATGTTCGTCTATGTGCGTATACAGGTGTCGCTGCTAAAAACATCGGTGGTATGACCCTCCACGCTGCTTTAAATTTAAATTTAAAACTGAGTTCTACATCTACTACTGTAAATCGAGACTTAATATCTTTGTGGGAAGGTATTGACTACCTTGTAATCGATGAAGTATCAATGATTGGGTGTAACACATTACGAAAAATTAGTGATTCTTTATGTGCAGCTAAGCAATCTAGCGCTCCTTTCGGTGGCATAAACATCATCTTCGCAGGTGATTTTGCGCAGCTACCACCCATAAAAGAAACACCATTATATTCACGGTTAAAGACTTGGAATGCTGCAAATTCGTGGTCGCAGGACGTTGTTCTTGGTAAACTATTATGGAATTCTATAGATACCGTCGTTCGACTTGACGAGGTTATGAGACAGGCTGGTGTTCGTCAACAAAGATTCGTTGAGTTATTGTCCCGTCTTCGTAAAGGCCAATGCACCATCGAAGACTACGAATTACTTCAATCAAGACGACTTTCTCGGCTACCAAATGAAGAAATACCAAGCGCTTTAGACACAGTTACATTAGTCACATCTAACGAAGAGAAAGATTTACTTAATGAGCAAGCAGTTAAAGAATTTAGTCGCACTACTAACAGACCTTTACACTGGTACTATGCATCGGATAAAATAGGCCAAAATACAGTCCAATGTTCAAGCGCTGTTACTGCGTCGTTAGTTAAATATTCCGGCAGTCAAGTCAAATACCGACTGACGAAATTACCTCTTGTAATAGGAATGCCGATAATGCTCGTTCAAAATTTCGATGTGGCCAGTGGCGTTGTCAATGGAATAATTGGAAAATTGAAAAAGATTCGCTATACGGTTGATGCGGAAGGATTTCGTCATTTGACGTCTTGTGTTTTGCACTCTGATAACGCGAATGCATCTGCTATGTCTTCACTAGAACAATATGATGTTCCATGTTTCGAAGACTCGGTGTCCATTTCCTTTAAAAATTTCTTCAGTGGCAAATCACTGAATGTAAGGAGAACTCAAGTACCAATCGTGCCCGCCTTTACGGTCACAACCCACAAAGCCCAAGGTCAAACTTTAGACCGCGCTTTTCTCGATTTAAGCGCTTGCACAGGTTCCGAAAATCCATATGTGATGTTATCGCGAGTGCGAACTCTAGATGGCGTATTTATCATAAAGGATTTTCCCTATTCCAAGATTACTTCTCGTCTTTCTGAAGACCTTCGGCATGAATTCAAAAGAATTGACGTTCTCAGCGACTATGGTGCTGGCATTGTTCATTCATCTGACGTTAATGAGTTTCATTCTCGATTCCTTGATCAGTTCAACAAATGCCTTCGACAAATCGATAACTTTGCATTCGACCGTGCAAACCATGATTCCTGCTATGTGGAAAAACAAACATGCCTTCGCAGTATCGAGGAACGACTTACTTCAATACCACTTCCTTCAATGCCTGCACTTCGTTCAAATGTTACTGTTCCGCCAAGAATCCCCATCAGTGACGTAATTAATGCTGGTGACGCTCCTATGGATGTCGACCGCCCCGGTGTTTCAACACCTGTTTCTCCGCTCCAGCAACCCTCCACTTTCGCTGCGGACAGAACAGAATCGTCGTCTATGTTTGGCATCGACGTGACACCCGCTCTAAAACGTTCAAGATACGAAACTTCTCACCCCAACAAGCGATGTAAAAACTAATAAAACGCGTGTCTACGCTTGTCCCAGCGATGCCCAATAGATCTCTAACTCTGCTGCTGCGTTCTCAGCCATTATTCTTCCCTCGAACTCGTCTTCACTTATCCATTCAGTGGCAACTGGCGAGAGCTACCAAATCTAATTATCAAGAACAACTCGGTATATTATTGCGTCGTATCCACTGCATCATGGCCACCGACATCCCAATGCTCGACTTTGATCCTAATCAAGAACGTCATTCGCCTGCCACTACAAATGCGACCACTACGAACGACGGCAATAACCATGCCACATCGGCGTCCGGTTCCTCCAATTTGACTAGAGAGTACGATCCTGGTTATTCAGGCAACGACGACCCTTACGAAGCCCGAAACTTACCCAACGGTCCGTATGAAACTTTAACCAAATGCATCGCGACCCCAGAAACACAGTCCGACTTTATTGCCTCTGGCGTCGTTCGTCCTAACGTCGACTATCGAGTCAGAGTGCGCCATGCCCGGCGCGCCGGAGGGTGGAACAAGTTCCAGTTCTACACTCCAAACGGCGACGAGGAAGAGTTCCGAACTTTGCTTTATGGCGAACTCAGCGATCGTCAAGCCGGTACTCGTATTGGCGCTATGGGCAATTTTTATACCGGTGGAAACGATAGCTCGAAGGTAGGCATCTATAACTTTCCGTAAACCATACGTTAACATAAATTAGAAAATCATCGACGGTACTAGCGTTAAGAACATATATTGTCTTCATCATCCTTCATCCGCCCCTCCCGCAATTCGAGTAGGATTCGACAATCAACTCAACGCTTTAAGCGCCATGGCCGACATGGTTGGCGAGTTATCGGTATGTATTTTCTACCAACTTCATTGCCTCATTAACGAATGACAATATATTCAAAGCACAAAGAAGTTGGTCCCGTCTCTGCTACTGCCCCCGATGGACATACTCCCATCATCAAATGTTCCGGCCCTCAAGTTTACAAGGTCCGTAAACTGCTTCGCATTTGGTACACTACTAATATACCCAAAGGATTGTAGCCGTGATCCCAAGCCATCCACTGTTGTTCAGAACACGACGACGCCTATCTAGTGAAGGACATGGGTTGGGCTGACCCTGTGGGTTGGTGGGTATGGGTCAGGTGGGTGTGGGTGTGGGTCACTTCTGCGGCACCCACACCTAACCCACCTGACCCACGGGTTACTGGAGTCTCAAGTGCCAATGGGAAAAATGCTTCTGTATGCAACTATTTTGACCTCAATTGCTCTTGTATTAATGCTATCTACTCTATTAAGTTAAATATTTATGTCCAATATCTATTTGTACTCCAATCACTCACAATTCCACTCTACCCATGCTTCCAAAACCCATGGGTTTCAGACCCACACCCACACCCACATAAACCCACGGAAACCCACACCCACACTCATGGGTATGGGTTTTGGTGGGTATGGGTGAGGGTCAGACCTGAGTGAGCCATGGGTGACCCATGTCCTTCACTACGCCTATCACCTTCGAATCTATTTCCAGCCTCCAAAGCTGTTCTTCCGCAAACAGAAACGATAAGGAGGATAAAACACGCGGTACGTATTACCATCTCTCTTCCCATCCATTACCTTTAATGGCTTCATAGACACCGCTAATATCGAAGAGGGGGCTTTATATCCTTGCCATTTCCTGCCTGACCACACTGGCAATCGATTCGATCATGTCTCTTCGGTTGTTCCCCAACCTCTTGTGTACGACATCAACGACGACCTCGTACCACCATGGTTGCTGTATACCGTTTTGAAGCCGGGAGTATTGGTCATGATCGAAGGCGTCCCAAGCGCCTGGGACATTCCTGGAGTCAAAACGGTAAGCTTCCGAAACCTTTTCACGATTACATGCTAAACTTTCAACAGACTCTTCAATTTAACGTCGATTCTGTCAAAGTCATAGGTTATTCAAACACGTCACCTCAAGAGCCTCCCATTATCCCAATTGGCCCTATGGAGGACAATAAACCACTGACAACTACCCAAAAACGAAGCTCCCATTTCGACGCTTTTAACAAGACCACCAAAAAACCCCGCGTCGAGGATAGCCCTGCCACCAATCGCCGATCAAATCTTCAAACCAACAGCGCCTTCTCCACTACGTCATCATCATCCAATTCTATCGCTTCCGCTTCGAACTCGACTGTTACTTCCAATAAGCCTTCAACCACGAAAGGAAAATCGAAAGCAGTTTCCCGAAAGTAATAGTAAACAGTTCTTTTCTTGTTTTTTGTCTTTATCTCAAATTCAATACTACAAAACCACGGCTCGTCCGATGTATACTATATTTTCATGACTACTAGTGTCTACCATACACATAGTCCATTTTCTCGTTCAAATAACCACACGTCGTCTCTAATCTTGTTTGAGTTGCTCCATCACCGAATCTGAAGTCGCCACCATATTGACGTCATTTGTTCAAAATGTCTAGCTTCTTTACGTATATTACCCCTTTTCGATGGCACTACGTTGCGTCCACGACGTCCACAATGTCTTTCCCCTACCATTCGCCTTTGTTCTCTAACCCCTCCGATCGCCGTAACTACGACCCGCTACGGTGGCAAGCGCTTCAAACTTTATGTGAATCGACTAATCATGTCGTCGATGACTTCGCGTTCAACAACCTCATACAATGCGACACCATCAACCCTGTACTTCTTCGAAACTACAGCTACCCGGAAGCTTACCATTGGACTGTCAACACCGCGCAAAATGTATCCACTATAGCTCTATTCGACTTTCCTGCAATGATGGTTCCTCTCGGGGAGCATAGCTCGTTGTCAACATACTTCGACTTCGACTTCGACCCTCAGAAATGGGATCTGGATCACGTTCTCAGCAGACGAGCTATTGTCGAATGTGGATTACTGGAGCAAGACGAATATGCTCCCTTTCCTTACATCGCTAAAAAGAGGTCCGCCGATATGATGGCGTTATTGCGGAAGGTGTACCAAACTACCGAGATGATCCCCGCCAATTCTGAAAGTACGTCGATTTCTAACTTGCAGTTATTTCTCTATTCCTAATTTATCCCAGCTATCGCAGTTCCCTTCTGGCGTTCGTATATCAATGGTCCAGATGTTTTCCGACTTGAAAGCAATCCCATGTTTGAGGTTCGACAACATGCATCCCCTTCGCCACTATTAACAGTTTCCGAACGTCATCTTCGCCACTTAACCGACAAATGCGATCTCTATCGATCAATTCGCAATCTCAACGTCGTATTCACGCCCCCTGAAGTCTTTTATTCCAATGGTTCTTTCCTCCATCCGAACGACTTCCTCACCGTCTTAAAGCCTAAAACAGTTGTCTGGATTTCAAGCGCTCTCTGCCGGTACATTCAATTTTGAATCTCTTAAACTCCCGCTAACATCGTCACAGCGTTCAAAACACCGACGGCATCGATCATTATAAACATCGTCTGCTTAAACTACATGTCGTACCTTCCAACCAGGTTTCCACTTGATCTGACTCACACATTTCGCTCCTTAAACATGTATAGCCTAGATCAATATTTATGCTTTCCACATCTCATTCGTAAATCGCCCCTGATGTCCTTCCCCAACGGTGACTTCCCTCTTTTCGAACACGAATGGCAATGGCGGTCTTCCGACCCCAAAGCTTACGACTCTATCGAACTCGCTACCAACCAAGCCAGAGCTTATCGAAAACCGAGCAGACGCTACATCAATGCCATCGCCAGACCTTTGGCTTCGAACAACAATTTATTCGATGCCAACAACAGCTTTTCTAAGACTTGGGACGACTATCATAATCCTGCCAACGGCGTCCTCTCTATTCCTCTACTTGGCCGAATTTATAGACAACAACAACCCGACCTCTACCCACCCTCACTTCCTCTTGATTTAAACGTAAGTCAGTCAATTACTTTAATCGTGCATCAACTTATATCTCACTAGATCCCCTCCAAAATATCCACCTATCGATGGCACTTTCAAATCGAACCCTTGTCCGTCCATCCATTCTCTCCTTACGACTGGGACACCAAGTCCCTAGTCGAAGAAACCAAATCCGAAATCACTCAACTCGCGGCCTCCACATCCAGTGTGTACAGTGTTAATCCTTTTCCTCCCATTCTAACTTAGTTTAGAAATAGACGCTTTCGTCTGCGTTCCTACCGATACAGTTCTCATAAACAGTGGTGTCGACAAACGCTACAAGATTGAAAGCGACCGACTGTTCCTATTTGATGGACAAAACAACCCTAATATCGTTCATCCTCCCATCTTCGACTGCGCAGACAACCACATTCAATTTAACGATATCGACCGCATGCTTCGACACAGCGCACTTGTCTGCGCACAAGTCGTCCCTATGGTGTACGCCATGCTCCGATCACTGTTCCTTATTTCCTAATTCTACTACAGGTACCACGGGACTTTCAAACTGAAATTAGCCGAGCTACGTTTGTTAGACTCTTGTAACGCTACTACCGTAACTTAAAATACTATTCAAAGTACCGGGCTTTGCCACTTGCTGGCCCTACTCCTTAATCTCCCAGCTAGGGATGAATTTGCGACCACCGGACTCGGCGCGTATTACGTGTTAGGCACCTATTGCGGTGATCAGACACTAGTCGACTATAAACGCGCCGCAATACGATTAAAAGTGCTGGGTAAATATGAGGCGGTCTGTTAGTTGTACATAAAACTTCCTTCCAGAGTCACATTCTCCTCAAGTTATCTGTTGCCGCTGTAGCCAAAAATCATAGGGTCAATCGCCTCTTTACATGCGTGCTACTACCGAGGCTGTACCCAATCGAGGCCATCGAACCAGTTATTCTCCGTGCGATACTGGAAGAACCTTTGGCGCCCAAGATTCGGGAAAAGCGCCTGATACCCAAACTCGTACAAGTTGTAGAACCGTTGAATCCAGTTTCCCAGATCGGGCGACAAGTCGTACGGCCTGACCCCGGACTTCTCGCTCCACGGTTTAAAGGACAGCCTTATCCTCTTCAAGTTTTTGTACCTTTCCCTGTCGGTGAAGGGTGCCCAAGCGGTGTCCAGCTGGCCGATGAACGGGACTGATCGTCCGAGAACGCGCAAAGCTTCGTGGAGCTTGGGAGGTTCTAGTTCGTCAATTGCTTCGTCGCCCCATTGCCAGCTGAGGATGACGTCGAGGGTTTCTAGGTTTTCGAGGGAGGGAAGGGTTCTGAGCATGTTTTGGAGCATTGTTTCGTATTCTGGGAAGTGGCGTGCTTGCCAGGTGTATGTGAAGCTTAGACTGACGTGGCGCAGATGGTTGAAGGTGGTAAAGTCGAGGTAGGCCGAGGTTGGAGTTTGACCTGAAGGGTCGTGGACTTGGGTTGTATGAATAAGTGCCATGGAAGGGGATGATTGGTAGAGGGTGTAGGTGAACTCACGATTGAACTCGTTGAATGTTATTTTCATGTCCTCGAGCGTGTCTTTGACGAGTTCCATGAATTTTTGGACTTCGGAGATGGGTGGGTGCTTCCAGCTGTACGCCTCGAGTTCCAGTTTTTGAAGGTTCTGGAATAGCGAGGGACAGGTCTCTAGATAGATTGGGAGCGGATCCATGCTTGGAACAGATGAGAAGGATCGAATGTTGGGTCCCCGTCGTCTCCCTTCCTGAGGACAGTTCTTCTCCATCCATTGAACCATCTCCGCTTGATACGAGTTCAAGAAGATGACATCAGATTCAGTAATACCCCACAGTCCATTCAGCACCACAGATGTTATAGAGGGCGAGAGGTGGGCGAGGATGTCCGGCGGGATCGTCCTCGCTCCTACATTGAGCGTCTTGAGCGTTTTGGAGGTGTACAACCGCAAAAGGGCGTCTCGCATCGCTGAGGGGAAAGCTCCAAACGGGACACACGTTTCCGCACCGCTGAGTTGGAACTTGGTCAAACCCGTTGCTTTTTCGAGTATTGCAGCGAAATCCTTCGCTTGCTGGGTGGGTTCATCTTGTTCAATTTTTCTGGTGGGAAAAGTTGTGAAGAACATGTCGCCGCTGTGGATGATGAGAGTGCGGGTCCATGGGCCTATTTCGGGGTGCTGGTCGAGGAGTCGGAAATTGTGTAGGTCGGTGCGCGGGTGTCTGCTGGGCCGAGGGTGATCGTGTGGAAAAGCAAAGGACGGAAGGCTGCGTTGAATTGTTTGGAGACGAGGGTGCAGGTGGGGATGTCTGAAGGCGAGTGAAGGTAGACTGTGGTGGCGAGTTTGGAGAGGAGTTCTGAGGGGAGTTTGTAGATGTGCGTGCGTGCATTGGGAGGTGCCATCGTGGTGGTCGTGGTGGTTCAGGAGAAATTTACGGCGCGTCACTGCCTTTTACTTATGGACGGACACTGGTACATTAGACCCCCAGCCAGGGCTAAGTATTTACTCTGCTCGAAGTTATTGTGTACGATCTCAATCTCCCAGCTAAGAGATGAACTTTCAACCAACTTGAAGCGAGCTGGACTCCGCGCGTATTAGGCTAATTTGGCCCCTATCGCGGTGATTAGCAACCAGTAGACTATGCACGCGTCGCGATCCGATAAAAGAGCTGGGTAAATATGGGGCGGTATGTTAGCCTGTACATGCGTATCACTCATCGTCCTGCCAATCATAATCTTTCATCTCATCCCAAGGCGGAAGGCCGAACATTTCTGGTAAGGATGCGATGAGCACTTTCTGGCCTTTTACGAACGAGTCCTCGGCGATCCCTGCGCATCGGTAACAGAATTGGTCAAGGTCCACGGGCAACGCGAAGGCCTTGTCGATCTTGAGCTCTGGTAACAAATGGCTACGCAGAAGCTTGTCGCGCTCTTGGGTGCATGTCACAGAATTCGTGCATTTGTATACAGGAATGTGGCTGTTCCAGATATACCTGAGGGGTTTGCTGATGATGGCGTTGTGAAGCCTGTCGCGGCCTTTGAGGAGAACGCGCTGAGTTTCAGATGAGAGACGTGTTATTGCCCCGTCCTGGTTCTTCATTCCTTCGAGAATGAGCGTCTAGACGTGACCGTGAGGTCCGATTTGATCTTATTTGAAGCAGTTAGACCTACTACGAGGTCGCCCGGCTTGGCCCCCTGCATAAGTGCCTGCAAATAGATCTTGGAAAGCATCTTTTGCAGGCCATACTCTACTGCCAAATTCACCACGTCCCAAAGGGAGGCATGCGGGGCGAGCGCGATGATTTTTTCATCAAATTCGGCGGTCAGGCTCTCCCATTCACCAGGCGGGTACACCGACCTCAACCGGCCGAGAGCAGATTCGAAGATATCTCTACACTGGTATTTCTTACCCAGCCGAAAGGCGGAGCTGATCATGGCAAAAGGAGGCACCTTGCCTGGATCGATAAACCTTCGGCACGATGTGAACAGATGATATCTGAACGAAGAGGATACCATACTTGAATCCATTGTAAACCGACGACAGAAATAGCTCCCAGTCAACGCTCGAGTCATGCTCCAAAACGACTACTGGGGGGTCGGACGGGTTTTCGATGGTGGCCTGGGGTAGGGAGAACATATCCCGAAAGACGGGGGATTGGGCGGCAAGTATGCTTTTGTGGACGCGGAACTGTGTGTTTTCCGCTTGGAGAATGAGATTCCCATCTTTGTACCAGAAATGGGAGCTGTGTATTGGCTGGTGAGGCTCCGGAGCTTGAGAGTCAGAGGAGGACATTGGGGTAGAGGTCAGAGATGAGCCGGCTTACTCAGCACGGCACGGGTGCGGAAATGGCCGGGATGTTCACGTGAGTTTCTTGGAGGTGTTTTGCGTTCGCGGGAGGAAGATGACGGTTAGTTCATAACTATTCACTGGACAGGGATGTTGACTCGTCCGGTCGCTCGTGGTTTTTCTGCGCCTTTACCAAGGCAGTTCAGAGGCCTCGTTGCTCGAGGTAACCTCAGGCCTTTCGCAACACCGGCGGCAGCACCCCCGTCACCAAATGACCCTTTCGCCAATGGAACAAACTCTTACTATGCCGACGAGATGTACCGGCTCTGGAAGCAGGACCCAAAGTCGGTGCACGCGTCCTGGGATGTCTACTTTTCCGGTATGGAGAAGGGCTTGCCCAGCCACAAGGCCTTTACCCCGCCCCCAAGTCATTTCCCTCATCCCACCGACGGTGCACCTCCTCTTCACATCAGTGCCAGCGGAACTGAGCTCGACTTGCATTTGAAGGTATGTTTTTCTTATCTAAATCCTGTTTCTGTACTCAAACTATGTATAGGTTCAATTGCTCGTTCGTGCCTACCAAGTTCGTGGCCACCATGTTGCAGAGCTCGACCCTCTCGGTATCCTCGACGCCGACCTCGCAGACGTCAAGCCCCCAGAGCTCGAGTTGAGCCGTTATGGCTTCACCGAACGTGATTTGGACAAGGAGGTTACCTTGGGTCCCGGTATCCTCCCCCACTTCGCTACAGAAGAACACAAAACGATGAAGCTTCGTGACATTATCAAGTTGTGCAAACGGATCTACTGTAAGTTCTTGTAACCAGACTCAGCCCGAGTTTTCCCTCACCCGTCATCAGGTGGAGCCGTCGGTATCCAATATGTGCACATTCCTGACAAGGAGCAGTGCGACTGGATTCGAGCCCGCGTTGAAGTTCCCAAACCCTGGAACTACACCGTCGACGAAAAACGCATGATCCTTGATCGTCTCATCTGGTCAGAGTCCTTCGAAAAGTTCATGGCCAGCAAGTATCCCAACGAAAAGCGTTTCGGTCTCGAAGGATGCGAAGCTCTCATTCCCGGTATGAAGGCCCTCATCGACCGCTCCGTTGACCACGGTGTCAAGCATATCACCATCGGTATGCCCCATCGTGGTCGCTTGAACGTTCTCGCCAACGTCGTACGGAAACCTATCGAAGCCATTCTCAACGAGTTCTCCGGTGATGAGGACGACAACTGGCCGGCTGGTGATGTCAAGTACCATCTTGGCGCCAACTACGTCAGACCCACGCCTTCCGGAAAAAAGGTCTCCCTATCCCTCGTCGCCAATCCTTCCCACCTGGAAGCAGCTGACCCCGTCGTCCTCGGCAAGACTCGCGCTATCCAGCACTTTGAGAACGATGAGACCACACACAAGACCGCCATGGGCGTCCTTCTCCATGGAGACGCCGCCTTTGCTGGTCAGGGTGTCGTTTACGAGACTATGGGTCTTCACAACCTCCCCAGCTACGGCACTGGAGGTACCATCCACCTCATCGTGAACAACCAAATCGGTTTCACGACGGACCCGCGTTTCTCTCGCTCCACTCCGTATCCCTCCGACATCGCCAAATCCATCGACGCACCCATCTTCCACGTTAACGGTGACAATATTGAGGCCGTTAACTTTGTGTGCCAGCTCGCCGCCGATTATCGCGCCAAGTGGAAGAAGGATGTGGTCATCGACATCGTGTGCTACCGCCGATATGGTCACAACGAGACGGATCAACCCAGCTTCACCCAGCCGAGGATGTACGAAGCCATCAAGAAGCAACCGACCCCGCTTACGCAATACGCCAAGTTTTTGGTCAACCGGGGTACCTTCACTGAACGCGACATCGAGGAGCACAAGAAGTGGGTGTGGGGTATGCTCGAGAAGGCTGCCGCTGCCAGCAAGGATTATGTTCCTACCTCCAAGGAGTGGCTGTCGGCTGCCTGGCAGGGCTTCCCGTCACCCAAACAGCTCGCTGAGAAGACCCTCCCCACCCGTCCCACTGGCTCGGACGAGGAGACCCTCAAGCGCATTGGCAAGGTCATCTCCAGCTTCCCCACCGGCTTCACCCCCCACCGCAACCTCGCTCGTATCCTCGGTGGCCGCAGCAAGGCCGTCGAGGAGGGCACCGGCATCGACTGGGCTACCGCTGAAGCCCTCGCCTTTGGTTCCCTCGCCCTCGAAAAGATCCACGTCCGTGTATCCGGTCAGGACGTCGAGCGTGGTACCTTCTCTCAACGCCATGCTGTGATCCACGATCAAGTCAACGAGCAGCAATACGTTCCTCTCAACAACCTCGGATCCAGCCAGGCCAAGTTTGTCGTGTGCAACTCTTCGCTGAGCGAGTTTGGTGCCCTCGGTTTCGAGCTCGGTTACTCCCTCGTTTCTCCCGACGCGTTGACGATCTGGGAGGCTCAGTTCGGTGATTTCGCCAACAACGCCCAATGTATCATTGATCAGTTCATCGCTGCCGGTGAGAGGAAGTGGTTGCAGCGTACCGGGTTGGTCGTCAACCTCCCTCACGGTTACGACGGACAGGGACCTGAGCACTCTTCGGGCCGTATCGAGCGATTCCTCCAACTCTGCGACGACCACCCCAACCAGTTCCCTTCACCCGAGAAGATCGAGAGGCAGCACCAGGACTGCAACATGCAGGTTGTGTACCCCACGACGCCCGCCAACTACTTCCATGTCTTGCGTCGCCAGATCCACCGTGACTTTAGGAAACCCCTCATCGTGTTCTTCAGCAAGAGCTTGTTGAGGCATCCTAGAGCCAAGAGTGATCTTTCCGAGTTTGTTGGTGAAACGAATTTCCAGAGGTATATCCCTGAGCCGTTTGAGGAAGGCTTGGTTGCGCCTGAGGAGATCAAGAGGCATATTCTTTGCACTGGTGCGTTTTTTCTTGTGTTTTAGTTGTGGTGGGTGGAGGATTGGGACTGATGTGACGTGTGTGTTTCTTGTAGGTCAAGTGTATCATACCCTTTTGCAAGCTAGGGAGGAGCGTGGTATCAAGGATGTTGCTATCAGCCGTATTGAGCAGATCTCGCCGTTCCCTTACGACATGGTACGTCTCCCCCCTTTGGCCTTGCCGCTCCCGTCACCTTGTTAACCCTCTTCCCCTCCCCGCAGATCACCCCCCACCTCGACAAATACCCCAATGCCGGTTTGATGTGGTGTCAAGAAGAACCCCTCAACAACGGTGCCTGGAGCTATGTTGGACCACGCATCTATACCGCTGCTGGCCAGACGCAGCACCACAAGGGTAAATACCCGCTGTATGCTGGACGGGAGCCTACGAGTTCGGTTGCGACTGGAAGTAAGATGCAGCATAAGAAGGAGATCGAGGCGTTTGTGAATGCTGCTTTCAACCTTGATTAGAGAGTGGGTGGATGGATGATGTGGAGTGTAGACCATGGACTCTTCAGTTGATGGTGTGTTGGATGGGCTTTTCTCTCTTGTTCTTCGTGCATGTGTGTAAGTAGTAGAAAAATGGTTTTTGTCGTCGTTCGTTGTTTGGATTTTTTTTCCGTTCATCGCCTAATTGAATTCTCTGACTCGTACCTACCTACCTAGCTACTACATACGTATCCGACCCTCTCCTCTATCCTTTTATTAGATACGACTGTAATACGAACGCTTCGGATATTCCGCCCATCCCGCTCGTTTCTTTTTAGACCTTTAATACGAGAATACATATGTATGCTACTTCTTTTCTCGAGTTATCTCTAGATCTCTCTCTCTCTCTAGATGTGGGGGTGCGCGTGCGCGTGTGCGGGGGTGGGGGGGGGGGGATGGGGAGGAATGGACCGCTCCGGTCTCGTCTGGGAAGTTGCTGTGAGTTATCTACGGTTCCCGGACCCCCGACCATCCGTGTCCCGCCAGATTGACACAGGTAAGGAAATTGTAGTTCACGTTTCCAGTGGTGGAGACGATGAAGTCGATATGCCAGAAGCGTAGAACCGGTCCACAAGTAGTCCACTAGCCTCCGGGAAGCAGAGTATCAAACGCCCGATAACGGGCGCCTATTTAATCTTCGGCGAGCCACCTGTCAAACGGCCGTCAACAAGCCGGGGGCTTTGTCCACCAATCAGCGTTGCGGGCAGATTTGTTCAACCACCACGACAATGTCGTGTCCTCAGCCTGAGCCACGGTCGCCCGTTCGCGACCTCCCAACGGAGACGGTGGTTGAAATCGCAGAAGTGGTCTACCAGCATTCCCGCATGCAGGGATCAGCCACGATTTGCACTTGTCACCCAGGCGTCAGCAAGGATCTTATCAGTTGTTCTCTCGTTTCACGGCAGTTCAGCGCAGTCTTCCAGCCGTTGGTTTTCAGGACGATAAACCTCCACTACCATTATCCGGGCACCTATGGATCCAATCGACCCGTCCAGATTTTACTCGAAAGACTCTCAACCTTGTTGGATGCACGTCCGGAGATTGGTGGTTGGATTCAGGAACTGCACATTGCAGTTGACACGCGAGATACCGATGGAATGCTGGAGGAAACGACCCAGCGTTATGGGTTTTGTTTGGATGTATTGGCCAAGGCTACCGCCCTGACAAGCTATGGGTTCATCGGGTCACCTCTACCGTGGTGGGGAGCCCTGCCTCGGGAGATCCGAGGAGCGTTACAGCGGGTTTTCCAGATGAAGACGTTGCAGAAACTCGAGATTGGGGCAGGAATGATACCCCCTCGCGTGCTTCTAGAGTCGATTTCGTCCGTCCGGGATTTGGTGTTGCATGATTGTGGGGGCGTTCGGGTAGGAAGTGGTATTGTCACGGAAACCCTGGACTCGGAGGAGCCGGTAGAATCTTCGCAGGTTACAACACTTTGCACCTTGCGCTTTCGCAACGATTTGGACAGTCTCTTGACTTACGTTCGTGATACGCCCGAAGCGTTCGCGAATTTGAGAGGATTGACGTTCACCGTTGGGCCTGGTGCCCTAGGGTTTGGTTTGGACAAGATCCAGGAAATCTTGGACTGTGTTGGAAGGAGGTTGGAGAATCTTGACGTTACCTTTGATGAAGTCGAATGTGAGTGGCCGTGTGGTAATGATGTGTCGCCTTCCTACTCACTTCAGGATGGTTTTCTGTTGCTGGTTAGGGCACGGGCCGGGATTCAGTAATGGCTATTGCCTTGACCTTTCGAAAATGACGAACCTGCGCGAGATGAAGATGCACTGTGTTGCATATGTGCGCTACGAGTCTCGAAGCGAGCAGGATATCCACGAAGTCATGTTCGTCGAAACGCTCGCATCTCTTCGCAGTTGTCACGACCTGGAGCATCTGGAAGCAAAGATTGGATGGAGTTGGCCAGTGAATGGGATGAATGCGGCGGGGAAGATTAAAATGGTCTCTGAACGGATTCCAAAGTTTATTCGACGGCTGGATAAGGTTTTGGGGGAGTTGGTAGACGGAGAGAAGTATAAAAGGATGGAGGGGATCCAGTTGTCTGTTGAGCCTTGGACTCCTGCCCGGAGATGGGTGGAGAGGCGGCCTGAATCACAGCCTTTGATTGATAGGTTAGCTACTAACCCGTTGAAGGAGTGATTTCCGACCTTGTATTCGTCTGAGAAGCTTGCTGTTGCATGGCTTACTTGAAGCTACCTCTAGTTGAATGAGGCTGGAATAAACCTTTCCTTGTCTCGCTTGGTTCGCTTGGTTTATTATAAACATTATCGGCGTAAGAATAATTCATTGAGCCATCTTGCCTTGCTCGAGGTCAGACTGAACCTAATTCGAAGGTCAGACTTTTGACTTCGCCACTGAAGCACGGTCGCGAGGTTTCTGACTCGGATAAATTACTTAGGGGCCCTGACTTCCTCATGGGGCAATTGCCTGATGCCACGCGCTTAGATGCCTGCCAACCCTTTACAGTCGTTTGTATACATAAGTATTATCATTATCATTATCACAGAGCTTCTGCGGCCAGCTGACGTGTCGTGGGTGTGCCTTCTGCCACGACCGCAACAATGTCTCTCCCCCAGCCCCAACCAGCCATCTACAGTCTCCCTAACGAGACCCTGGTCGAAATCGCGGAGAAGGTCTACTACGAACAGTCACAGATCCTGTTACGCGGCGACCCGAACTCCAACATGGATATCACCAATTGCTCGCTTGTTTCGCGGCAGTTCAGCGCCGTCTTTAGGCCCTTGGCTTTCAGGACGATATACCTCCACCCTCACAATGTGCACTGTGCAGTGTCGGACAGACCCATCCACGTCTTACTTGGGAGACTCTCGGTCTTGTTGAATCGGAACCCAGAAATTGGTGGCTGGATTCGGGAACTGCAAGTTCGAGTTGACGATCGGGACGCCGAAGCAATGATTCGGAAAGACGACTATTCATCTTTTGTGGATGTCTTGGACAAGGCCACTGCCCTAACAAGCTTTGGGTTTGTCGGCGGGCCTATGCCCTTCTGGGGATCGCTGGATCAGGATATCCGAGCAGCGTTGCAACGGGTTTTCCAAATGAAGACGCTGGAGAAACTCGAGATCGGGGGGAGTATGGTGCCCCTGCGTATACTTCTATCGATGTCGCCCGTTCGGGACCTGGTGTTGGTGGGTTGTAGGGTTGTTCAGAGGGATAATGCCGCAGAGAAATTAGACGAGTCGATGGAATCTGTTCAGGCGACACGACTTCGCACCCTCCGCTGCCAAGTGAACTCAGTGGCCCACCTCCCGCATTTCCGTAGTGCGCCTGAAGCGTTCGCGCAGCTGAGAGTGCTGACGGCCATTGTTGGGCTTGGCAACTTGCATCCTGGTGCGGAGCAAATACAAGCCATCTGAGAACGGCTGAGTATTGGAATGTCGCAATTGTCGCAATTGTCCCAAATGTCGCGAGTGTCCCAAATGTCCCAAGTGTCGCAAATGTCCCAAATGTCGCAAGTCGGTCGAACCACCCACAAACCGGGCGGCAGCCGCGATGACTTGACCTCCGACATCGGAGATCAAGCCGAGCGGCTTAGCGCCCACAAACCAGCCACCATATAGTAAATGGCCGTCGACGAAACGTCACGGCTTGTTCCTTCACCTCCACCTCCATCTCGACGCCCAGCAGGCCTCCCCACCGCCCTCGACGCTCTGTTGACTCGGCTCGCGCTAGTCATCATGAATCGAGCGCATTGGTGGAAAAGTCTGCTTGAGCCGGAGTCCGACCTCTCACGCTTTGCTCATCTTCAACTGCTTCACCACCCGACCTACACCCGTTGCCCAGGATGACCGCGGCCAAGTCCAGATACAACGAATCGGCAACGGGCGAGCGTTGTCCGCAAGTACGACGTTCAGCCGCCAGCCAATGAAAAGTCGGTCGCCATCAGTTCACCTTGCAGGTTTGGGTATGGCGTGATTGGGATACCAAGGAACTTAGGAGGGACTATGAAAAGGAGGGATTTAGGATGGAGGTGCGTAGTTTCCCTTTCTCTCTCTATCTATCCGATTCCTCTAGCTACCACCACCCCGATCCTCTTGTACTCGACGCACAAAATTCATTTTTATCAACCAATTTATTCGCTTTCTACTTAAAACATCGAAGTACACGCGCAAGTGGCCGGTCAATCAGTGCCTCCATATGCGAGATCTACGACTATGACGCACGTAGCCAAACTGTGAGTCAGCCACCCTGGCGGGTTGGCACGGCGTGCGCGATGATGGTCCATGAAGCATCCTCTTGAACCTGAGCACCATGGACGTTGTACCGTCGCTGCACGCCTGGTTACTCTCCTTGGACCAGTCTGTCTCTGGATCTCTCGGCTTCAAACAGCTCTTGATGTTCATAAACCTGGCATCACACTTGAAACGCGAGATTCTCTTGACACAACCTGCTGGGCAGAACCCGTCTGTAGCTCCTTATGCCTTGCCGCCCGCCGTTACGACTTTTTTGGGAACAGCGACCTCCATTCCAATCGGTTTTATTCCTGATCTCTGGTTCCGCCTCAGGGAATTCATCTGGAATCGTGTCGGGTCTACAGAGCCTTTGGAGGAGCTTCCAGAAGATGAGCATGACCGGATGTTGACTTGTATCCGTTACGGCCAACCTGTTGAAATTGGTAAATTGTTCACCTGAGCTCGAGGGCGCCAGCGACGGGTGATAAATTGATATCATTTCAGCATTTCGTCCAATATTTCCGCCGTTCCTTGTATGTCCAAAGCCGGGGTGCACAAGAACTGCAAGTGGGCTATGTCTAAGCAAATCGGAATCGCGTCGGGTTGTTCTTTTCACTATGGACCACGGCGCGATTCCGACTTGGTCGACCCACCTTTACTGCCAGGGTAACTGCAGGTCTATTGTATATGCAACCTGTTTGAGAGCTGAAAAAATTGTTCTATAGCATGTGCGATCAACTATCACCACAACTACTCCGTTCACGAAGGTTCCCGCACCTACTACGACAATATTCCATCCATTTTGCAAATAGGAGAGCATCAGTTTGCGGAAACACGCCTCATCAACTCTTGGATCAACCTTATGCTCGTTGCATGGGTTTCCGCTTCGAACTGCGCTAACCATTATAATGCAACAATGTTTAAACACAAGGGGAGAAATCTTCTGAAGGAGACCGGCTGGCAATTCCAAACAACCATGACTCATGAATTGGTCTACGACGCTTTTACTCTCCTGTCTCTCTTGGAGGACTGTCAACGGCGAGAACAGCATCTTATCCTACCACATACCGGGACCCAATACGAGAGGATGAAGAAAGCCGTGGACGACGTTAACACTCGGCGACGTTATGTCCATCCATATCTTAATCACAGCTGTGATTTATGCACCCGACGATACGATGGTAATGTATCATTTCTTATAAATGAGCTGCTGGGAACTAATGCAAGAAATTAGATAAGGGGCTCAAAGTTACAGCGGTTGTTATCGATGGAATCACTCTTGGACATCCCTGCTGTGCTGTATACAACTGCAAGGTTGATCTTGAGAAGACGACCCATCGGTATTGCCCCCAGCACCGACACATGGACCGTGAATGCATGATCGTAGGCTGCACATCACAGCGTGCTGCGGGTTCGAAGGCCTGTTCAGACGACCGTCACCGAGAAGTCATCGAGATCTATGAACTGCGTGGTACTGCTCGCTTTCAGCTCCAACATCAGCTCAAGCGATCTCGAGTGGCTAATCCGGAGTCCTCTGCGCCATCCTCTGAGGCTGATATCCAGCAAACCATCCAAGAGGGAGAACTCGAGCTTAATGCCCTCAAGGTACAGGGACGTGCGAGGACGCATAATGAGCAGATATTCAATTATCCTTGCGGTATAATCATTGGACGTGAATCCTTCTTTGGAGCAGAAGGCCCCGGCGCTGTAATCGTAAGTTGGCCGCAGATCTTTCCTACATATCTGGTTATATTAATCCTTCATCCAAATTCAGGAAGCCACAAAACGAATATTCCGGCACGGACTCCCAGAACATATACTTTTCGACAACAACTGCACCCTAAAGAAGATGGTGAAAGACGACCCCGATTTCGCTAACGTTGGTCTCACAGTGGATGTTTTTCATTTCAAATGCAAGCACTCGCAGCTCGACACATTCTGTCAAGAACACTGCAACCCCGAGTCCTATCCAGAGCTCAAGAAGGAGGGCGGAAAGGGTTGGTTTTTCAACTCATCTATAGCTGAACAGACCAACGTGTGGCTAGGTGGTTACCACGCCATTTGCCGCACAATGTCAGCAGCAAGGTACAATTTCTTTTTAGATGAAATGATTGAACGTCGCAACCGCAACACCATTTCCAAGCTTCGTGCAATGGGCGCTCATCCGATTACTATAGACCGCAACTTGTAATATACACAGTCCACACAAATCTTATGGCGATGCCACCAGAAATACGTGATCTTAATCACAACTCACAAGGCTGAGACGTGAAGAGGTATCGCGCGATTTTATTCCATATACCAAATACAATACAAATAAAAAGAATGACACTATACCGAGACATGCTTGAACACTGGCGAGGACAAGAGGAGGTTTCACAGAAATCAAAGCTAATTGAACAGGGAGTAAGGCAAGAGAAACGGGGAAAACAAGGTGTCGCGAGAGAGGGAAGGGAAATGGTATTGCGATGAGACTCCAGAGATGTGTCACGTCAAAGATGTTGCCCTTCAGTCCGAGATTTCCAAAATCTGTTCGGCGGCAGTCGAAGGGTCACCAGATGCCTTCACGGCATCCCTGAACTTGGACCACAAAGCGCTCTTCTGGGGTCCAAGATCAACGTAGGTGGCTTGGAGAGTGGAAGATGCTTGTCGCCAAAGCTGATAGGCACGAGAAACCCGCCTGCGGTTATACACAGCGTTCGCCCCAAAGTAGGTTCGGAACAAGTTTTCATGGAGGCGAGCCCCAGCGTCGGGGGTGCTGTTGCTCCTGCCTCTCATCGTCTTGGACTTAGCGACAAAGAAAGCACTGACTTCACAAACATGAAAGTCATCTGGCCATACCTTGAAGTCGCCAGCTGTGAGGTCGATAGGAGCAGTAGACAAGGACCCTTGGGGGACGCCGAGTGGTTTAGAGGGACCAGTACCATTGCCAACATTGCCCTTGCTATCAGTGTCGGAGTGGTCGCTGGTAGAGGAGGTCGAGATTGGGCTGACATGGCGAGGGCGTTTACGTTCTTGACTGACTTCGGGAGACGATAATATCTCGATCGGCTCATGTTTTGCCACTGCGTCCAACACCAAAGGTTGCTCTGCTTTCACAGCAACAACAGCTACAGTGGCTGAAGATTCTGGTTGCAGGTCCGGCTGTGGAGAGGGAGAAACAGGCGTTCTGATGATGGGTCGAGGCCGAGGCTGAGGTCGAGGTCGTTTTTGAATTGCCTGTTCATCCGGCAAAGAGAGAGATGACAACGATGATGTGGCGGTTGCAGGGGTAGGCAGGAGGCCGGAAGAGGATGATGATGATGATGATGATGACGACGTGACAGTTGGGACCACCAAAGACGAAGAAGTGGCGACAGCAGCGACAGAACTGACAGTCGAGGTCGCCTTGAGTGCCGTGCGAACAGCCTTTCGTTCGAAGGCAATATTGGAATAGAGTTGGGGAGTCGCCATCTTGGAAAGCCAGAGATCGAGGCCAACACAGGTCGTGTTAGGTCGCAGACGCAAGAAAACATACGGCGGGAACTTCGACATGTCGTGGATGTAGCCCTTGTTGATGCCACTCCAAGTGGCGGCCTTCACGTCGTAATACTCCAGACCCTTCCCTCCGCCTTCCAGCAGCCCAACTGCTTCAAGTACATCATCCGTAATCTTGAAATATGGATAGGTGTACCCATCTTGGAATGTATGTGATCTCGACGTGTCCCAATCCTCTGACGTTTGACCCCATCCCCGGACCGTGACCGTCTGTCTGGCGCGATTGGCAGCTTCACGTTGCTCAGCGTCGGCACGACGTTGGCGCTCAGCTAGTTCCTGGGAAACGCGGACAGTCTCAGTAAAGATTGCAGGCATCTGAGAGGCGTGTCGAGGATTCGGGCGAGGATCAATAGGAACTGGAGGTTGTGGGCCAGGTGGAATAGGAGCCGCTGTGGCAACAGATCCAGACGAAGAAGGCTCTTGGGCGCCCCGTAGCGAGGAACGACGGGCGGTGGGTGGGGGAGCTGGCTTGACTCGGTGATTTTTGGACTGGCAACCACCTTCCATCTCGCAATGGGCCTTGCATCGCTGCCGCCCACAATCTTGAGCAACCCGCCCTTTGCATCCTTCTACAGCACATGCGAGTTTCTGATTTGGATCGCGGTGCGGAGGTGGAGGAGACGATGGGATGTGGACCATCGAAGGTGTGTGGGGCGGGGGCGTCGGCGTGGTTGTGTAGGCCTTTGGCCACCACCGGAAATACCGGGGACTGCATTCAGGAATACACTATAAAAGGATACATGTCCGTCAGAGGGCTTTCATCAAAAGAATAGAATCTAGATGTCGTTGACATACATGGATTTTCAATCGTCCCAGGTTGCCATTTTCTGCTGACTTGCAGCGACTCCACCGCATCTCGCGGCCACATGTTGGGCACGGCTTAGAAGCCAGTGTACTCGGGTCAGGCTCGCCAGGGATGCCAGGGGGCCAAGACGGGGTAGACGACGACATCGATGACAGCTATGGTAACAAAAACGCGTCAAAATTGCTCTTAAATGAGCCTATCAGAGCACTTACAGATGTTTTGGGCAAGGCGGGATTCTAGAAACGCAGATGTGAGGGTTGAAGGAGGGCGGGAGGGGGAAAAAGGAAGAAAGAAAGGACAAGTGGTGGCCCGTGGGCGGGACAAGAGCCGCGGTATTTAGGGATCGGAAATTCGAAGTAAAATAATACAAAACATAATAAAAACGAAATGTGAGATCGAAATAAGACGGAAAGATATCATATCGTGCACGCACCAATCATTCCCCTGGCCATAGGTAAATGTAGAGGTGGTATGTGGTGTCGAATCGTCAAAATCTTCCACAGACAAGCCCCTAAACCACATCACCTAACCAAATGGACTGTCGCATCACGTTAGACCAGGGAGTCCGGGACTTCGCACTCCAAAGCGGCACGAAGAACATGAACTCACGAGGTGCAAATGACTTTCCTGCAAATGCTCGAAAGCTCTGGTTGTATTCAAGGGCCAAGCAGACTGCCTCGTCGAGTCGTCAACTTGAAGATGGCAGCAATATTTCTTTCATCTCCAGTCTCGTGAAGACCATGCTGGTTGATACGGATGGTAAAGGCAAAGAAAAAGAGGGTGTAAAAGGTGTAAAATGGTGTAGCGGATAGACGAGCCAAGGTAAGCGGGAAGACGCAGGCACGTTGAGATCGAGGGGACAGCCTCGCTGGCATTCCTCATGGGAACTGTATTATTAATGCCATGATTGCCGTCGCGTTGCCGCTTCCTCTCGCGGCACATGCGACGCTTGGGACACTTGGGACACTTGGGACACTTGGGACACTTGGGACACTTGTGAAAATTCAACAAAACTGCTGCGACATTTGCGACATTTGGGACAATTGCGACAACCGGGACACTTGCGACATTTGGGACAATTGCGACAATTGCGACATTCCGAGGCTCAGCCTTTTTGAGCCATCTTGGATTCTGCTGGAAGGACATTGGAGAGTCTTGACATTACACTTGAAGAATTCATACGTACGTTGCTATATGCTCGTCGTTGATTTGTTTCCCCTACTAACACAAGACCCGATTCTATGCTCGGTTAGCGCAAGTACTAAATGGGAATGACGGCCATGTCCAACCTTTTGACTTTTCAAAATTGACGAACCTACGCGAAGTGAAACTTCGTTACGTCGTATGGGTCACTCCCGGGTTCATGCATCCCAAGTCTGGAGATGTGCAGTACTGTGAGGCGATGCTCGCCGAAGGGCTCGCCTCCCTCCGCAATTCTCACAGCATAGAACATATGGAGGTGAAGCTGGGATGGAGTTGGACAGTATCTGACCGAGATTTAACGGCGAAAGCGAAGGAGGTCTATCGCCGGATGCCAACCTTTATGCGACGATTGGATGTGGCTTTGGCGGGGTTTCTAGACGAACAGAAGTATAGCAGGGTGAAGGGGATCAAGCTGTATGTTGAGCCCTGGAGTTATGCCGAGAAGTGGAGGACATGGTGGGTCGGAGATTTTAGGCCTTTGATTGATGATTTGGTAGCTCAGCCCTTGAATGAGTGGCTTCCGACTTTGAGTTCGTCTGGAAAGTTTCTTGCTGTATGGCTTAACTGATGTTAGTTCAAGTAATTGAAGTACTTTTATGCTTCACTTTGGGGTCTTGTCTCCATTGAGCAACGTCAGCGTCAAGAATGGGGCACGGATGGTCAGGCCCAGGGGTCGCCTCTCCGGGCGCTTTCCGAAGCGCCCAGCCTTCTCCCATCACGGATGTCGATGGGGACACGCACTCGCTGCGCCATGTGAAAGGATGCAACCATGAGTTTCATGGCCTGGAATGGCGTGACTTTGAATCCAATGCATTGTTAGCCCGTTCGTGTTGTCTTTGGAATTCAAGGGGAGCCGAAGTGAGTACTGTACCTTGGTGTAATCCGCGCGCTGCTTGTAACTTCAGAAGCATGGCAGTTGTCCCATACCTCCCAATTCCAATTTAGCAAAACTTGTCGGATGACTCTTACTATTGGATTCCGTTGGATATCTCTCCTTGATGTCAATCCCGCGATTTTTTTTTTTTTTTGATTGAAAGGTTGTTGGGATTCTGACAGACCCTTTTTTCTCCCACCACCACCACCGCCACCACCACCACCGACATGCAGGCAGCCCCCCAACCGTATCTCACGAAGCTACCTAACGAGATACTGTCCGACATTGCAGAATGCGTCAAGGAAATCAGTCTACGTGAAGAGGGTGATTACAACCCGCTGAAAACAAAACTAAGCAGATTTAACTTCGAGGCTGATGTGAAGGCACGACAAGCAACCACCGCTCTCGACCAATGCTGCCTTGTCTCGAAGCGGTTCCACGACATATTTCGACCCTTTCTCTTTAGCTACGTGAACGTCAGTTGCTGCGTCTCTGGCTCGGGGGGTAGTACCAAGTTCGTCTCTGCATTGGAGTTGATTCAGGGGCTGCGAAGGCTACTCGAGCATCGACCAGAGATCGGTCTCTGGATTCGGGAAATACGGTTTTCCATCGATGACGAGGTCGATGATTTGCTTATGGGGCATACAAGCGTTCATCCAGACTTCGTGGCGATGCTTTCAAAGATGCCAGCCCTTACCGCCTTCAAGTTCGACGGGTATATGGTGGGCGCTTCATGGGGTGCCCTGCACCCTAGCATTCGGGACGCATTGCGAGAGGTATGCCAGCTAGATACCATTCAAGAGCTCCGCGCTGCAACGCGGATCATCCCCATGGATGTGCTCATGTCTTCACCTGCGCTCCGTAACCTCCAACTCTTCGCCACATCCACTGCCTTCGAAGAGGACGACAGTCTTGAAGACGCTCCCTTGAATCCATCAGAAGAGAACTCGGCATCTGCAGCAGATGTGTCGCTTCGAGTTGGTCGCCTGCCTGGGATTCAATCGCTCGTTTGCACCGACTCGGAACGTCTAGAAAGTCACCTTCCGCACCTCTGCGCCAAGTACTCGCCCGCTTTTCAAGACCTGCGAAGCCTCCTGCTCGTTAGCAATATTCCCACTTCTCCATTGGTACTAGACCTTGTTCAAAAATTCCTTCGTCTGACTGGAAGCAACCTCCAAGAACTTCAAATCCAAATAGAATGTGAGTGATTCTGCCTTCTTTGTACTATGTCACTTCTTAACATGTCGGCCAATAGACGGCTTTAGCTTCATTCGCCCTCTGGACCTTACACCGCTGACACAACTTCGGAGGATCAAGCTGCGTTCCAAACGCGAGGGGGGCGTGTATGCTAACGACCCGCCCAAGTCTGACGACGAGACATTCGTTCAGATGCTCGTTCAGACCCTCAAGACACTCGAAGGTGCTCTTCACATCGAAGAGATTGACATTTGGGTTGTTTGGGAACACTACCAAGATTCGCATAACGCTGAAGATGGGCATGGACGTCATCCAGATATCCTTCGCCGCTTGGATTCAAGTCTGGGGTGCTTTGCGGATAGAGCGCGGTATCCTTCTTTGCAGAGCGTGGTGATTCGCATGCTCTGCGTATGCATGAATCTTTCCGGGGAACCCTGGGAGGAGGTAGACGAGCCGGGTGATTTGCCTCGGAAAGACTTGCTCCCTACGCTGCACTCTGACGACCGTTTCCGGCTCGATGTATTCAACGAAGTGGAGGTCGATGAATGGGACGAATTTGACCTAGCTTGAAGAGCTTGGTTGAGCCCCCAGTCGCTGTTCTGCCCGCATTTGGTTACCTGTACCCCAATTACTGGCCAGGATCTGGGGAGGTGCCAGATCTCAGGAATCGTTCTATTGTGAAGTTATGATTTTCATGCGTCCAAATTAGGCACTTGCTGTTGTGGAGCCCTGAGTCAGTACCTAGCTTCTATCGGAGGACGTCTTTTGTTGGAGGACTTGTGACTGGTCCCGTGGTATGGTTCCTTGGTGTGCATCAGTTTGAAAGGGCTTTGATGGCATGCCAACAAAGGGCGCGTATAAATCGGTATAAATAAATGCCACGGCCTTTGACGACCTCTTGCTATTCCACCAACATGCCACCTTCGGCGCTCCGACTCCAGCCAGCAATCTACCAACTACCAAACGAAATTCTGACGGAAATCGCTGCATATGTGAATCAAATCAGTCTTGATGAAGACCCGAGCAATGCCAAGAAAGCAACGCTGACCAAGTTCGACTTTTGGGTTCCTGAAGCTTCGCGGAAGGCTGTCACCACCCTCGAGAACTGTACATTCGTCTCGAGGAGGTTCCACGATGCCTTTCGGCCCTTCCTATACCGTTTCGTCAACCTTCGGACTCACCGAGTCAGACATGGCAATGGGCGCCCAGTCTCCATCCTTAGGCTCCTCAAAAACCTTCGGGCGCTACTCGATCGCGAACCCAGGATTGCGCGGTGGATTCGCGTGTTGGGGTTCTGGGTCGATTTCGACTTTGAACTCATGGCTCGCAGAGCTGGATCCCATTCGGACTTTGGGGCTATACTCTCAAAGACAACTTCTTTGACGAGTTTCCGGATTGACGGGTATGCGCTGCTTTCATGGCAGGACCTTCGCCCGGGGGTGCAGGCCGCGTTGGAGGGTGTGTGTAGGTTGAGGACGCTGAGGGAGCTTAGAGTTGTTACGCGTCTGCTGCCACCTGCGGTTTTCCTTTCGGCGCCTTCGCTTTGCCGCCTCGAGTTGGTCGATGCGAGGGCAGTGGAGGGGCACGCTCGACCAGGGATTCAAGGGCAGATCATATCCTGGAGCGGGATGGCTTTGAAGGAACTAAAGTCTCCACTTGGACTTCGTTCGCTATCGTGCCATCAAGATCTCGAACTCCTCCAGTTCTTCCGCGACGTTTCACCTTGGGCATTTGGGAGGCTAGAACGACTGGTGTTAGAATGCAAGCACCCTCAATCCGAGACGAGCTTTATCCAGGACTTCCTTCAAGTCGTGGAAGGTAGCCTGGAGGAATTGGACATTCGATTCGGAGACATGTTCGGTAAGTATCTGTGATTGAGCTAGCGTTCTTCCATGCTAAATCAGCGTTAAGTAGGCTGGGCTCCTTTGGAAGATCCAACCCCACAAAGTCTTCCTAGCCTCGACTTTGCGAGACTAGTGAAACTTCGACGGGCGAAACTTTCTTACGGATGCAAAGCGGGTGTGGACGACCAGGTCTACGAAGACATGTTGATTGATACGCTTGCATCACTGCGTAGTATAGACACAGTGGAGGAGGTGGAGTTGTATCTCCCTTGGAGGCGGGATTACGTCTCTAGCCCGGACGCAGATGACCCTTCGGACATTGAATATGCAAGGCTCCCGGCCTTTCTTCGTCGATTGGATGGGGTGTGGTCAGGGTTTCGGGATGGGGGAGGGTACAGAAGTCTAAAGAGTATCAAGATATGCATAGAGCTCTGCGGACAGGACTATGGAGAGCGAGAGGGTTCGATGGAGCTCATTGCTCCGGAGGATCTGGTGGACCTGCCATCTGTTGAAGACCTTTTCCCTACTTTACACTCTTTCGAACAGTTTCGATATGAAACATTGCAGTCATTTTATTGATTATGTATTTAGCTACTAGTTATAGAGCGAATATACCAGACTTGCCACAAAGGAGAGGTAGCCAACCCCTGTCGAACTGCTGACGCGCGACGCGACGCGCGTCCATCATCCATCATTAAGTAGGAGTAGCACCCCGCGACGACGCGTCTCGTGTGCTGACGCGTCCCTAGTGCCCTGGATCGCCTTCATGGTTAGTAAGCAGGGCAACAATTTCTTCCCAATTCTTGCGTTTCTCCTCATCGCGACACACTACAACCGATTTCTGAGCCCTGGTAAGTGCAGTATCGCCATCCTTGTCCCGGAGGGTGACGTCGACGCGGCAGGATTCTAGCAGGAGGGAGACCATCCGGGGAGTGGTGGCCAGCATGAGGGACGATTCTAGGAAGTGGGGTGTGGTGGCATTGACATCGACTGTGTCGAATTCAAGAAAGGCCTTGACGGCACCTACTCGTCCTTTCGCCACTGCGCACATTAGGGCTGTACGTCCTTGCTTGTCACGGATATTCGGAAGGATATCTTTGTGACGGAGGAGTAAGCGGACCATCCCCCCACGGCCACTATCTGCTGCATGCATCAGCGCGGTTGACCCTTCCTTGCCTTTGAGGTTGACTTGCACATCGGGGTGGGCGAGTAAACGTTCTGCTGCCGATTCGGTGCCGCCTCTCACCACGTACATCAGCGCCGTCTCGCCGTCGATGTCTTTCAGGTTGACCTGGATATCCTTGTGGCGGAGCAGACTTGTAAACGTCTCCTCCTCGGTTGCGAGCATCAGTGCCGTCCAACCGACCTTGCTCTGGACGTTGACCTGGACGTCTGGGTGCTCGAGTAAGCGCCGAGCTGTCTCTGGATGCCCACAGGCATGCATCAGAGCAGTCCGTCCAGCCGAGTCTCGAAGGTTGATTTGGCCCGTGAAGAGGTGCATACCGGGTTTACCGTGCCCACCGATGACGTTCTTGAGCATCGTCCTCCGTGTGAGCTTTAACAGCTTGTCGACGGTTTTCGTATGCCCGTTTTGGGCTGCGAGCATCAGAGGTGTTTTTTGCCATTCGGAACCTTCGGTGCGGATGGTGATGTCGCCTTTGGCGATGTCGAGGAGGACTTCTTCGATGAGGTCGTCGAGACCGAAGGCCGCGGTAACGTGGAGAGGGGAGTAGGGCTCGAGGGAGAAGCCATCGGATACTGGGTATGAGGTGCACTGTTTGAGGAATTGGAGGACTTCAGAGGAGTGAGCAGGGTCGGAGGCGCAGTGCTTTGCGTGGTATGCCCAGTGCTCGTAGGAGTAGCGGAGGGCGGGGTGTCGTCGAAGTAGGATGTAGAGGTCGACATCTGTTTCCATGGTTCGGTTGTTGGGGATGTTGTAGGCCAACAGGTGTTGAGCTGCTGCCCTGAAGAGCGCAGCATGGGGGTTGGGGAAGTCGCGCATTAGGATAGGTGCCAGGGCCTCCTTGGCTGTAAAGTCTGTACAAAATCCAAACCCGTCTGAGGTTATCACTCGTAAGGGAGTAAAGTTAAACCTATACTCACGGACGAGGAGAACGAGGTTGGTCTTGACTTCGATGCGAGCCAGGCCACAGCAGACGCTGAGAACCGCTGCACCATCAGGCAAAGGCGCCCCTTCAGCGGGAACAGCATCGTCACAAGTGGTGACGACAAGTTGTTGAAGGGCGGGGAGTGAAACTGCCTCGTTCCCGAACACGAGCCACAACAGCACGTGCTTGGCGAGATCGACGTTGTCTGGCGGGCTCTGTTCGCAGATCCGTACCATGGCTTGGTGATACATGCCCCTGAGCTTGGCGGGGAAACGATCGAGGTTTCTCTGTACGCATGTAATGCTTTCACAGAGGTGGATGATTTCGATTTGGAGGGCTGCGTGAAGGATCCTAGAGCGAGTACCAATAAATTCAGTTGCAAGTAGGGACTATAGTGGATAGGTACTAACATTCCGCTGGACTTGTTCAAGATGCGTCGAATCAACTGGTCGCGACAGCCATATTTTTCTAAGAGGGCTCGAAAATGCGGGTTTCGGTTGATCTTCTGTATAACCAGGAGCTTGATATCGGTCGCGTTCGGGGTGACGGGGTAGAATTTTGTCGCGGGAAGACCAGACTCTAGCCTCTTCAAGGGCCGAGATGTCAGAGCAAACCGTCCTCGCAACGCATTGACCGCTTGGATCAAGTCGAATTGGGTGTCCACCAACGCCTCGTCCAGCCCGTCGATAACGTAGTACACGACCTCGAAGTGCTGTTCCAACTGCTGGAGGAGTGCGAGGAGCTCAGCTTGGCTAGGGCGTGTTTTGCGCAGTTTGTGATGGGAGTAGATGGGTTCGACGATGGAGACGAGGGAGGGATCACATTCGAGGAATTGCTTCACGAGAGCTTCGAGAATTTCGTTCACTGGGAGGCGCTCGGAGTAGCGGCAGTAGGCGAATAGAACGCATATTTTCCCCTTTACGGTGTTTTTGTATTCTTCGAGGTCGTGGACTGCTCTTGAGCTATGAACGAGCATGATCAGAACGTTTGATCTATACGACGAGGAACTACACTACTTACGCCAATACAGTCTTTCCAGCCCCGGCTGTTACAGTCGGACCATCAACAAACGAAGGGTATGGCACTTTATCTCTACGTACGTATTCCGGTACCCCAAATGATACGATTCCCTCCCTGTTTCCACGACTTGTAGAGGTCCGCAGTGAGGAACCAGGACAATGTCCCAGCTGTCCATTTTTCAAAGTTCTCGCTCTGCACATCTCTGAAATAGGAATGAGGAGCCAGCCAGTCCACTACCTCGTTCAACAGGCGGGATTTAGCTTCTGCTTCCTCCCGCAGTCTTTGTCGTTCTTTTTGAGATCAGTGGTCAGTGGCAGAATAGAACTTTCTTGAGGGGCGAAATATACCTTGCCAGGTTTCAGAGGCGGATGGGGTTAAGGTGAGGGCGACGTTGAGATGTACATCTCCGCCTGCGACGATCCCGCCGCTGATGTGGGCGTTATCGGACATGGCTATCCCTCCGATTTGTCCAGTGGGGGAATGGGAGGGCTGCGCCTGGAGCGCAGAGTCAGGGGTTTCATGCTCGCCAAGCTGGAGGGTCATCTCCGGTCAGGATCGAGTCTCAACAGAGCGGGTGAAGAGATGACCTACTTCCAGGCTGGTAGAATCCATATCGTCTAGGGTATCCTTCATCTCGATCTAGGAAGAACATTGAGTTTCACACAACCTGGCTGTAGGTAGAAGATACCCGGAATTACCTGTAGCTTTTCGTACCCGCCATGGCCGGAAGCTGCTATTGCCTCTTCCTCGACGAGCGTACTGTGCGAGTCTGAGCCCTTGAGATACGTGTGCAAAGTTAGCTTCAGATCACGCCCAAGCCACGCAAAGCTTACCTGGAACGACGCGCTTTGACCCATTGTACTGGAGAGTATTCTCTATGAGACCGTCGTGCAACCTTAGTGCAGAGTAGTATCAGCAGGGGAACGTATCCCCTGGGCTAGAATGTTTAAAGATAGCCACTGGACATAGTGACGCTTTGACATCCCGATTTGCACAGACTTCTATATCCTCGAGGCTCGTCAGCTGATGATACCGTGAGATGTATCGTTGACGGTATAAACCCCTTTGTGGGTCCCCTTGCAAAGTCATAAGCAGGTGGAGGTAATGGTTTGAGGGCGTTGGATGAGAGGAACATGGAAGTTGGGGGCCAAGTTTGGCGTTGCGCGTTTTCGGGTGATGGCGTTGATGGGTGGCTGTGTTTGATGCGCCATCAGGACTGCCGACCAACCTTTGCGAGAGATGCTTGGAAGGGATTACATTCGGTGCTGGTGGATACGGTGCTGCCGGGTGCCAGAGGGAGATAACCCAAGCAGAAGGTGGTTACTGCGAGAATCGTTTCGGAGGAGGGGTGGTAGTTGTGCAACCATGTGTCGGAATTTGTCCCGTGGACTCTGGATTTTGGTGAGTCGGCGAGCCCGTTGATTCTTGGATTGAATATGGTCTCAACGACGAACCCAGAGCAAAAGGTGAGCATCGAAGGTCGACTCTCGAGCGCCGTTTTCTGTATAGAAAGCTTTCGTTCTTTCTTGACGCTGCCAGTGTTGGCGGTAGTTACATCTAATAAAACGACTCTTGACCTTGATCTTTCCCTGTGAAATTTGTACAGTGAGTCGTTGTCTCGTAGACGTTCTCGAAGACATTTGACCGTTCTCTGCTCAAGAGTTAAGATGCTTAGTTCCATAGATAATCATGTTGGGCACGTCCCGCCACGGCGAACATCACCTAGAGAGTCCGACCGTTTCTCCCGCCTTATCGCGACCTCGTGCTCGTGCAGTTCGTATCTCTTCCAAGGTCCGGGTGTCATCTGGTGCATATCAGTTTCGTCGCCACACACTGCGGCCCTTGATGCCCTCTTTTACCTTTTGTAATTCCTATGGAGGAACCTTCCAACGTTGAATTTATTTGAACATTGTACCATTCGCGGCAAGGATTCCTCGAGAACAATGTCCGCCGTGTTGTCGGTAATATTTGAAGTGTGATTGGTTATGTGTGCTGATAGGAGGGTTAAGGGGATGGTCCCGGGTGTTTGGCGTGGATCCTGGGCTTTGAATACGTTGAGTGAACTTGAGCTTGGGTGAATTGTGGGGTGGAAGAGGGTTGGAATTCAAGTTCGAAGGACGTCGATATGAATGAAATGATGTATCATGTAGACAGGCGCTCGTGATCGTGAACTTTGATTGATCGTCGGCCGCGTAACTCCGATTGGTTCTATTGGGTCGCGGTGCGCTCGCGGGTTGGCTCATGACGGCCATGAGCGAGCCCTATGAACGCGCGTTTCTTCAGTGCCTTCAAGCCATGGTAAGTGGACAGAGAAGGAAAGAGGCTAGAACACAAGATCAAGGTATTCTCGAGTCGAACTTGAACTCGTGACGGTGACGATAGCACTGCCGTCAGGCTAAAGGACCCAGCGACACGGCTGCGCGTAAGCCAAGTGCAATTGGGGTTGGAGTTAGATCTCCCCTTGTCAGATCTACTGAATCCACGGTTGATACTTAAAGAGGAGAGAGGGTGCATCTATAGATACCATTTCAGACCCCAAAATTCCAGTTACGGTACGTTCGACCCCTGCGCCCACGCGTTGCTCTTGGTGTTGTCGTTGCTGTTGTTGAGCTTGGACGGTAGACCGGAGCGAGCGCGCTATCTTATCTTCGCTGTTACTACCATCTGGGTCAACTTCACCACCACATTTTCACTTCATCACTACCAACACTCATAGTCTGCACCCTCTTTCTTCCCCGCCGTCGTTGCTGTTAGAAAGAAACCAGGATGCCATCGAATTATTCAAGTCGGAATGCCTCGCCGTTGAGGCCTGCGTTTTCGGGTGTTGCGTCGTTCAAGGTGGAGAATTTGGAGATTTCGGATGATATGCATCCTGTTATTCATGCTGGGCGTGTGGCGGTTATTACGGGTGCTGCGAGTGGGATTGGGCGGGCTGCTGCTAGGGAGTTGGCCAAGTGCGTATATTCTCCCTCCTGGTTTATCCCTCGGGAGGGTCCATCGTTGCTAACTTGCTTCTGTTATACCGTTATCATCGTGGTTGATACTATAGGTTGGGCTTGAAGGTTGCCATCGCGGATATCAACGAGAAGGAGCTGGAGGTGTTTGGGAAGGCGCTGGTTGAGGAGTTTGGGGAGGGGAATGTGTTGGTTGTGCCTACTGATGTTGCGCAGTATGAGCAGGTTGTGGCGTTGAAGGATAAGGTGTATGATGCTTGGGGAGAGGTGAGTCTCTTCGTTACTGGTTCTGACAGCTTGCTCTGCTGAGGAGCTGCGTGTTATCTTCGATGCGAGGGCTATCGGTTCCCTATCTTGGGAGCGGGAGCCCCTATCCCTATCCATGATCAACGCGCGGCTGCCTCCGGTGCGATTCGCTGTGCTGCGCTTCTTCGTTTTCCCTCCTTATTGGATCTGGTATGTGTATTTCCAGTCTTGTTGACTATACTTTCAGGTCGCTGTTCTGCTGAACAATGCGGGTATTGCGGCCAAGGGGACGTCTTGGGATGGGATGGAGAATTGGAAGAAGATCTTTGACGTGAACGTGTTTGGGTGAGTGAGCGCCTGGCGTCAGATGTCTTGGTGTTTGCGAGGGCGAGATGGAGTGAAACTGACTCTACGTTTGCAGTGTGATCAATGTTCAGCAGGCGTTTGTCCGCGTAAGTCTTGCCTGTTTCGACGTGAGGCAGTATCGGTCTTGCTCACCCTGCTTCCTCGCTCGGGTTCGATGGGTGTGGTGAACCAACGTTCATTAGAGCATGATCCATCAAGAAAACCAGGCTGTAATCATCAACACGGGTTCGAAGCAGGGAATCACCAATCCTCCGTGAGTCGACTTTACTGGGTGCCGCCTGCCTGTTTCTTGCGCCTGGGACACTCAGTGTTCCTGGCTCTATTCTTGGATTATGGCGATTCATGACGCGATCTCACACACGTTCACTACTATTTATAGCGGAAATCCTGCCTACAATGCATCGAAAGCTGCTGTAAAGAGCTTGACCGCAAGTCTGGCGCACGAACTGCGAGAGAAGGCGTATGCCAACGTTACTGCCCATCTTTTCATGTACGTCTTTCCTCCTCTACCTTCAACACCCCACCTACTGAGCGCCCTCCAACAGCCCTGGCTGGACATACACTCCGCTCGCAGGTGCTGGAACGGCCTTTACCGAGAAACCGCGAGGCGCTTGGACGGCAGAGGAGACGGTCCTGTACATGCTGGATAAAGTCCGCGAAGGGGATTTTTATATCCTCGTTCCTGACAACGAGACGAAGCGCGAAGTTGACCAGTTGAGGATTATGTGGGCTGCCGCGGATTTGGCGGAGAATCGACCTGCGCTTAGTAGGTGGCATCCGAGCTACAAGTCGTTGTTCGAGGAGTACATGAGGGAGGGGCTGGCACAGTTGGAGTAGAGAGGGAAAGAAGAATGGACTTTTTTGATTTTTTGATTTGGAGTTTTATAAACCTGGTAAAGAGAAATGTAAACTAGAGCCTGGAAATCATCTTTTTTGTGTGCTTTCAGATTCGCGTGCCAAGATATGGGAAATGGGAATTGATGTGACTGCACGCGTCGCGGTGTCACGCTCGCGTGATTTGTGACGGTCGTGTCACGGCGTCTTCAGGTTCTGCTTTCACCAGTTCTCTTGAGCGCTTCCTTTCTCCAACACCCACATTTTCTCAACGACGAGGCAGGAGGAACGTTCTCGTGAAGAGAAATGTATATCAAGACCCTAACGATCCAGGGGTTCAAGTCCTGTGCGTTTGCCTTTTTCTTGGTTGAGAGTTCATTTGGGTAAACTGACCCATTCAAGATCGCGACCAAACACAGATTGAACCGTTTTCGCCGAAGCATAATGTTGTTGTAGGAAGGAATGGATCGGGGAAGAGTAACTTCTTTGCTGGTGAGTTTGTGAGTTTTGTTGTGAATTGGGTGGAGGATGCTGATACGGTATTCTAGCCATTCGGTTCGTCCTTTCGGATGCGTACACTTCCATGTCTCGTGAGGAGCGAGTCTCGTTGTTGCATGAAGGAGTTTCGGATAGTGCGACTCTCTCTGCTTTTGGTGTGTCCCCTCTGGTTCTGCAAGTTAGTTACCTTGCAAGTCTGACTGTGCTTGCAGTGGAGATTGTGTTCGACAATTCGGACAATCGGTTCCCGACTGGCCATGATGAAGTCGTCCTACGCCGGACGATTGGCTTGAAGAAGGACGAGTATAGCTTGGACAGGAAGAGTACCAGCAAGGCGGAGGTTATGAACTTGTTGGAGAGCGCTGGGTTCAGTAAATCCAATCCGTATTATATTGTGCCTCAAGGACGGGTACGTCTCTTTTTTCTTTGGCTCTTGCTTTTGAGATGGCTTGTGCTAATGTGAAGACTATAGATTACAGCCCTTACGAACGCGAAAGACCATGAACGCCTGGCGCTATTGAAAGAGGTGGCGGGAACCAAAGTCTATGAACAACGGCGCGCGGAATCGCTGCGTATCATGGCGGAAACTGACTCTAACGCGCGAAGATCAACGAGTTGCTAGAGTATATCGAGTCGAGGCTTGAAGAGCTCGAAGAGGAGAAGGAGGAGTTGAAGGAGTTCCAGGAGAAAGACAAGGAACGAAGGTGTTTGGAGTATGCGTTGTACCAGAGGGAGTTGGAGGAGGTTGGGAACGCGCTGGTTGAGATTGAGGAGGACAGGCGGGCGGAGGTGCATGGTGCGAATGTGCGACGGGAGATGTTCAATCAGCGGGAGAAGGAGGTTCGGGATTTGGGGAGGGGGATTACGGAGGCTGAGCATCAACTTGAGACGCTTGCGCAGAGTAAACGTGATGTGCAGTCTGAGTTGGAGGATTTTGTGAGGAAGAGGACGGAGGTTGAGTGTGTTATTGCGGATTTGCAGGCTGGGGGTGTGAGTTCTGGGAGTCGGAGGGCGGAATTGGAGGAGCAGATGAGGGTGTTGGAGGGGAGGATTGCGGAGAAGGAGAGGGAGTTGGGGGAATTGGTTCCAAGGTGGGAGGAGGAGAGGGGGAGGGAGGTGGCGGAGAAGAGGGCGTTGGATGAGTCGACTGCCAAGTTGAATTCGTTGTTTGCGAAGCAGGGACGGGCGAGCAAGTTTAGGACGAAAGCGGAGAGGGATGCGTATTTGAAGCAGGAGATTCAGAGTGTGAAGGCGTATCAAGCTTCGCAGGGTGCGGCGTTGGAGAGTTGTAGAGCTGAGCTGGAAGATTTGGTTAAGGCGCAGGAGGAGATTGATGTGAAGATTAGGGAGGAGCAGACAAAGATTGATGATGGAAGGAGGAGGGTCAAGACGTTGTCGGATGAGGTTGCTGAGTATAAGGAGAAGTATACGGAGTTGAGTGACAAGAGGAAGGAATTGTGGAGGGAGGATACGAAGTTGGATAGTTTGGTTGGTCGGGCGGCGGAGGAGTTGAGGACGGCGGAGAGGAGTTTGGCTGGTATGATGGATAAGGTGAGCTGGTGTTTGTTCTTTCTGAATTGTTTCTAACGTTTGTGTGCAGGATACTGGACAAGGTCTACGTGCTGTCGACAGCATTGCTGAACGGTACAACCTTACTGGTGTATATGGTCCTTTGTACCGTCTGTTTGAGGTTACGGATCCCAAATTCAACATTGCTGTCGAGTTGACTGCAGGGAACAGGTGGGCTGTCACTGTCATCTTGCTGACCTTGTTAACTAACGGTGTCGCAGTCTGTTCCATGTTGTGGTCGACACAGACGAAACCGCTTCCAAGGTCCTCGAGGTCATGCTCAAGGAGAAGACTGGTCGCGTCACTTTCATGCCTCTCAACCGCCTCAAGCCCAAGGTTCCCAACATGCCCGTCAACGCTGCCGACGCTGAACCGCTTCTCAACAAACTGGAGTACGACCCGCTTTACGAGAAGGCGTTCCAGCAGGTGTTTGGAAAGACGTGCGTCTGCCGAGATTTGACCATTGCTGCGGCGTATGTCAAGAGCCATGGGATCAACACAATTACTCTGGACGGTGACAAGGTTGACCGCAAGGGTTCGTTGACGGGTGGTTATCACGATGTTCGACGTTCGAGGATTGAAGCTATCCGGAACGTTACTTCGTGGCGCGAGAAACATAGTCAAGAGTTGGAAGCGTCGAAGAAAGTCAAGGAGTCCATTTCAAGACTCGAGCAGGAGATCACGCAGTTGAATGGGAAGATTGTGTACACGACTGGACAGGTGAACCAAGTGCGGGAAGCGAGGGAGAGGTTTATGGATGAGGGTGCGTCGTTGACGAGGAGTAAAGATCAGAAGAAGGAGAGGTACTTGAAGGTGCAGAGTGATATTGAGGAGATGGAGTCCGAGTTGGGAGGGTTGGAGGAGAGGTTGAGGAGTTTGAAGGAGGAGTTGGGTGCGCCGCTTGTTGATGGGCTTACTCCTGAGGAGGAAGCGCTTGTGACGAACCTTGGAAAGGAGGTTGAGAGGAGGAGGAAGGAGATGGTTGAGATTGGGAGGAGGAGGCATGAGTTGGAGATGAGCAAGAATAAGTTGGAGATTGAGTTGAAGGAGAGGTTGAGGAGGAGGAAGGAGGATGTGCAGGCGAGACTTGATGCGCTTGGGGAAGAGGATGATGAGAATTTGGGAGATGATCTTGAGAAGAATAGGAGGGATTTGCAGAAGGTTAATGCATCTATTCAGACGTTGACGAAGAAGGTGCAGAGTGAGTCGTTCCTTTTTTCCGATTTGTGGGGGGATGGGTGACTGATGGGTTGCGTAGGTATTGACAAGGAGAGTGAGGGTCTTACGACGAAGATTCAGGAGCTTAGGACGAATCTTGAGAGGGTGCAGACACAGCAGGCTGAGGATAGTCGGTCGATGTCGAAGCAGCAAAAGACGACGGAGAGGTATCTCGCCAAACGCCAAATGTTGTCTACGAGGAAGGATGAGTGTAACAGGAATATTCGAGATCTTGGTGTCTTGCCCGAGGAGGCATTTACCAAGTACTCGAATGAGCGTGTAGAACGGGTATGTTTGGTGATATCTGAATTGCGGAAAAGGAGACTGACTTGCCGCTGTAGCTGGTCAAGAAACTGCATACCGTCAACGAAGGCCTCAAAAAGTTCGCTCACGTCAATAAGAAAGCCTTTGAGCAGTACAGCAATTTCACTAAGCAGCGGGACCAGCTGCTTAAACGACGAGAAGAGCTCGATACCTCGGCGGAATCGATTGAAGAGCTTGTACAAGTGCTTGATCAGCGCAAAGACGAGGCTATTGAGAGGACGTTCAAGCAGGTTGCGAAGAATTTCGAGGAGGTGTTCGAGAAGCTTGTTCCGGCTGGACGGGGGAGGTTGATTATTCAACGGAGGGTTGATCAGGATGTTGATATGGATGAAGATGAGGAGGATGAGACGCAGCAGAGTGCCATTGATAACTATACCGGTATTTCGATCAAGGTGTGTGGGCTTTTTCAATTGGTATGAGGGATGGGATCTGACGTGACGGGTGGGGCGGCTAGGTCTCGTTCAATTCGAAGGTGGATGAGGGGTTGAGGATTCAGCAACTTTCGGGTGGACAGAAGTCTTTGGTTGCTTTGGCGACTGGTAGGTCTTTCTTGGTTAGCGGTCCTTGAGGTGGAACTGACCTGGTGCAGTCTTTGCGATCCAAAAGTGCGATCCTGCACCTTTCTATTTGTTCGACGAGGTGAGTGCAGCGAGTTTAATTTTGGTGTGTTGTGTGCTTAACGCTTTCCAGATCGACGCCAATCTTGATGCTCAATACCGAACTGCTGTTGCTTGTATGTTCCCGTTCGTTTTGAATTTACGAATTTTGGAGACTCATTCTCTCGCTTTTCAGCCATGATCCAATCGCTCTCATCGACAGCGCAGTTTATTACGACCACTTTCCGACCTGAGATGTTGGTTACCGCTGACAAGTTCTACGGTGTGCTCTTCAACAACCAGAAGGTGTCCTCTATTCGCTCTATTAAGCGAGAGGAGGCGCAGGAGTTCGTCGACCAGGAGGCGCAAGCACAGTAGATCGAGAGTCGTTTTGGCCCGTTTCCTACCTCGTATGCTTCATTGTAATTTATTTCTGCCTTTTTACTTGCTGTCGTTGTTCTGTCTGTTGTACTCTAATAACTTGCGGTTCTGAGACTGCTGTATACCACTAAAATTAGACTTTGATTTTCACGGCGGTCAGCTTGGGCTGGCACTAGTACTGACAGCCAATTGAGACCGACGCGACGAGATTCTGACGAGACGCGCTGCGTGTGAATTCACGGTTTCGTCCCAACTTCCATGTTCTCCCGCATACGATGTGCTCGCGCTCTCCCTCGTAGCCTCGTCAGGTCTTACTCTGAGAAGAAGTTTAACCAGAGACTGGTGGATATTATGGAGAACGGTCAGAATTGGTTGCTGTCGTGGGCGATTTATGATGTTCATGCGTCGTCCAAGTTGCCGTTGGGATTTGACCGGTTGCTCAAGGTGTGTGTATGTGTTGTCGTATATCCAATGTCTGTGTTACTGAGGCTTGTAGGAATAGGCTCTTAGGTACCAGCGCTCTCCATTCATATGGAAAGCCTTGAGCGATGCTAGCCCACGTGAAGTCATCGAAAACCCTGCTGCGCTGTGCCAACTCGTCTCTCGGGCTGTCGCCAACAATAACCTCGAATTGGCACTTCAATATTTGCACACTCTACGGTCCAAGAAGCATCCTGTGAATTGGGAAACGGTCGCGCCTTTGGTCTACCTTGCGGCTTCGAGGAATGAGGCAAGACTCGCGATTGACATTGCGGTTTGGTTCGAGGAGCATTCGGGTGTCAAGTTGGGCAAGAGGGTGTGGTTGGAGTGTTTGATTGCGTCTGCGTTTATTCGTTATGTGCGTGCCTTTCGGTGTTTTATATGGATGAGTGCACTGATTGCTGCTATAGGATGAGGGATTGGAGACGTGTTGGAAGCGGATTGCCAATGGAAGGGAGATGCCTGAGTTTGGCTCTTCTCGGTTGGAGGTGGTTAATGCCGCGAAGAAGTTAATGGCATCTTAGACTGCCAGTATGGGTATGGCAGGTGTGTATTCAAAGCTACTAGCTACATGCTTGGGACCTTGACGTTGAAATCAGGTCGCTCCTCAGGATATTCCAACCACGATTTCTACTAGAAAGAGCCGCCCACTTGGGATGCCACCCCGTTCTCTTCCCCTCCTCATCAACTTCCGATAGCAAGTCAATGAATTTTGCGCAAGCACCCGGATCGCACGTCGACGCTGCGTTGCTGTAATCCTTGACGTACACCGTCTCCCACACACTCTTCCCACAATAGACGAGGACAGGCGACGAGAATCTGTTGCCTCGGAGGAACCGAAGGATTATCTCGCCCGCCGACATGTTCAATACGACTGTCCCGCTGTGTGGGTGCGACTCCCACCGACTGTTGTCGGTCACGAACTGTAGGAGGAAGTTGGATTCTAGGCGGCGCAGGTGATCTATCACCCATGGATGGGAATTCAGCTTTGTGGAAGGGAGAAAATAGTAGACAATATACAAACCTTCGTTTTCTCGTATCCAGAATTTAGCGGCGAAAGTCGAGGGCAGAAGGATGACTCGGATTCCGAGCGAACGAGCATGCTCGGTTTCGGTCTCGACCATCTCGGCTCTATCATCCACCCAGACGATGGTTGGCTTCAGCTCTTCCTCTTGATTGCGTTGTCGTCGTTCACCCTGCTCGCTCCCATCCAGATTGCTGAAAGCGTTTCCTCCTGAAGAGGATTGTCGTCAGCTTTAAGGAGGCTGAAGGGACGATAGGACTCTCACTGGGATTGGATTTTATCTTCTTTGCGAATCCCACTACACTCCCCGACCCAAGTGTTTGCATGAGGTTCCTTCGAGGTATGATCCCCAGCCCTTCTGGGTCGATTGTGAGTGCCATTGACGCGCAGTCACAATCATCAAGGCTTTCTCTGACCCATCCCTTAAGTGCAACGAAGAACTCGTTCGGCTCTGCCGCGTCTAACTGTCAAGGGGCATGGTTAGAACGCGAATGTGCGATGTAGAGAAGGAAGCACCTCTCCGAAGCAAATCTCCCAGAACCTAGAGGCTTCGGCTACACCAGCCTCGCTAGTTCCAACCCGTTTAATGGCCGGCCCCTCCCCTTTGTCGTCTGTTGGAGCAAGGGTCGCATCCGGGTCCATGCGAGAGTTCTGTCGACTGGGACCAGCAACAGTGCGTATCTGGATTCTCAACGCGAACAACTCGATCCATCTTGACAACCTCTTTTCATCGTCTTCCAGTCTTCCCAATAATACGGAAGGATTCACAAACTCCATGATCTTCCCAAACTTGGATCGGTCCTTATCCTTGACCAATGCTATCCTTTCACGGATGTTGCCCAGAATCTCTGCCAATTCCAAGAACATATCTGAGATTCCATGGGGAGATAAGGAGTCGAAGAGGAGGTCCGATATCATTGGACTCGATGAAGAAGATGAGTCTGGCGCTGAGGTGATAAGCGGTTGGAGGGTTTCGACCAGTGTTTTAACTCTCCATTGGAGTTGGCGGAGCTTCTCCTTCTTGGACTTGAGCTCGTCTATGAGGCTGTGGATGCCCCTTGCGACCCCGAAAACGCTCAGCACGAGCCCTGGGATATCCATGGGCGTCGCACCGACGTTCAATCCGGCAACAGTTGATCGAAGGAAGGAAACAGTTGGAGTTGGATTGAAACCATGGTGAGTTCGGACGCAGTGGAGGTACAGCCATCTTGCTGATTTGTTTGATCTTGCTTATCACCGTCCTTGGCACTCAAAGACGGGATCTTCCATCATCATGGGCGTCAATATTAATGTCCGGTGAGCGCTAGCGAATTGTCAGCAATGTTTTCTGACCCGTGTAGATCGGTGTTCATGTGACGACCCAACCCCTCAAGTTTCCCTTTGATATGCCTTCATGGAGTCATGAAGGGCCCCGGTTTCCCTTCCATCACCCAGAATCAGGCAGATGGGACTTCCTAATCTCGCCGAGTAGGTATGATTGAGCGGCTTTGTTGCAGGAGGTAAGACGCGGTCCGTCCTTGTATCCAAAGCATAAAGAGTGATCAGACTTGTGGGTTCCCTAGATACGCAACAAAGCACCAACCAGTCGCTTGAACGATGCTCAACATCTCTCTCACCTCGGTCATTTTCTTGATACAGCTGCTGACTCTGCCAGTTTGCGCTGTCATCGTTGACTCGTATCGCGCTCTGCCCAAGACGAACTATGATTTTGTGATTGTTGGAGGTGCGCCATTTGCGAAAAAGGCTGTTGGTCTGTTTCTGAGGTTCTCGTGTAGGTGGTAACGCAGGCGCGGTGCTGGCTCATAGACTCTCGACTAATCCTCGGTGGAAGGTCCTCGTTATCGAAGCTGGTCCAACGTAAGTTCTTCAGCGCTCTTTCTCATATGGCAGCACGTTGAAGTAATGTTCCCTTGGTCGTCATAAGACACGAAGGGGTATTCAATTCTCGCGTCCCTGGCCTCGTCGCGTCACTTCAGAATACGATCCATGATTGGAACCTTACCTCGACGCCTCAAGCTGGGTTGAATAATCGCGTTCTACCCCTTGCCAGAGGCCATATACTTGGTGGATCCAGTTCGATCAGTGAGTGTCTTCAATTAGCCGAGGTTAACGAGGTTGATTTGGTAACTTGGCTTCTTGCACCACAGATGGCCAGTTCTATACCCGTGGATCATCTTCTGACTATGATAGATGGGCCAGGGTCACTGGAGATTCCGGTTGGTCATGGAAGAATATTCTTCCGTATTTCAAGAAGGTATGGGCTATTCGTTGCCCGAATACGTCTACTTGTAATGATCCTGGATTTCCTAGAATGAGAAATGGGCTGTGTCGGCGGACGGACATGACACGACCGGGCAATATGATCCAAAGGTCCATGGGACGGATGGGATGGTGTCTGTTAGCGTTGTTGGGGCGCCACAGACTGTTGACGCGAAGGTTATTCAGGCGAGTAAAGAGTTGGGAGGTGACTACGCATATGTCTTGGACATGAACGATGGGAACCAGCTAGGAATAGGTATTGCATAGCGACTGGGCATTCTCCCGATGTTAATGCTGACCACTTGCTACAGGTTGGACGCAGTTGACGGTTGGAAAGGGAGAACGAAGCAGTGCTGCAACGACTTACCTGGCGCCGAAGTATGCCAACAGGAGAAACCTCCATGTCCTGGTCGATCATCGAGTGACGAAGCTCGTGAATTCGGGAAAGAAGGGCAACATACCTTCTTTGCGAACTGTACAGTTTTCGTCTCGCAACGAGCCCGCATCCAGTAAGCGCACCCCCTCTCTTTGTCCTAACGCGGCTAAACAGGATTCCACAGCACTTGAAGTAACGGCATCGAAAGAGGTTATCCTCAGTGCTGGAACCTATGGGACCCCGCAGATCCTTCTACTATCGGGTGTAGGAGACTCCGCTGAGCTTCGAGCGAAAAACATCGATGTGGTCGTTAACTTGCCAAGCGTCGGGAAGAACCTGACAGACCATCCCCTCTTGCCTCTTGTATGGAGCCTAGGGGTCCCTGGAACCGTCCAGCCAACACCTGAATTGCAGGTGGAGTGGCAAGCTGAGTGGAATGCCTCTAGGACAGGACCGCTGACGGGGGTCGGGACCAACCACCTCGGGTGGGTACGAATTCCGTCCGATTCGGAGATCTGGAAAGAGCACGAGGATCCTTCGTCGGGACGACATACTCCTCACATTGAGTTTGGCTTTTCGGTAGGGTTTTAATCCCATATTAAATATTATGCGGCTAATGATGTTTAGGGGATGAGTATATACCCATCGCCACCAGCCATGATGGTTCCCGTCATCATCCCTGTCCAACCTGCCTCGCGTACGTGCAACGGAGCCCAACGCATATCATCTCTTAACTCTTCATTCAGGTGGCTCAGTAACGCTGGCGTCGTCAGACCCCTTCTCCGACCCGTTGATTGACGTGGGGTTCTTGTCCTCGCCGTTCGACTTGTTCACATTCAAATATGGTGTCTCGAGTTTGAAACGCTTCTTCGACGCCCCGGCGTGGAAAGAGTATAATCTCACCCTGGTAGGAGTTCCGGAGGGAGAGGCGGAATTGGAGGAGTTCATTAGGAATACGGTATCAAGTGGAGCACATCCAGTGGGAACGGCTGCCATGTCTTCTCGTGGAGCTCAATGGGGTGTTGTGGACCCGGATCTGAAGCTCAAGAAAGCCGAAGGAGTTAGGATTGTCGACTGTAGTGTCATGGTACGTTTTCTTTATCTCTTTGGTCAATCTTTTCACTAACGGACCCCTAGACATACGTCCCTGCAGGTCACACAATGGCGCCCGTCTATGCGGTTGCCGAGAGAGTGTCTGATCTGATTTGGGACACTTGGTCTAGGACTAACTAAGGTAGTCATGTTACCTCATATGTAACTGAGGGCAGTACACAATCCAGACGTGATCCAGGCACTGTATGCTGTCAAGGTGGGCGCCAGAACGTGGGCGCCAAGTGGCTGCAGTGGGCTTTGCAGGATCTCCTTCCTTGGCCTCTTCCCTAATTCAGGGCTCTCAGGCCCCAGTGAACGTAAGTATCGGTCATGTGTCGGAATCTTCGCTGATGGAGAGCGATTCACCATTGTTCTCCGCCTTGAAACACAGCGATTGAGCGCCCACTGCTGGACCCACTGTTTGTATCTCTCCGTCTCGCGCGCGGAATTCTGATATTCCACCTTTCTCCCACAAAGTCTTGTGCCCGCTGCGCGGTCGCAGTATCGGAATTCGGACCCAATCCGCCCTGGTATTTATGTCGCTCTGCAAGTCGGAGGTTTCCCCAGGGACTGTAATCCGTCTTATGCAGAATGGCTTTCCGTTTTGCTCTCCTGCAGTTCGTGCTTCTTGCACAGCTGCTAATTACCCCCGCCTGTGCCGTTATTGTCGATTCGTTCGCCGCCCTTCCGGCGAACACAACGTATGACTTTGTCATTGTCGGAGGTACGTTAGCTGTGGCATTCCGTTGACTACAGTATATTCATGCCCCTTCTAATTCCTATACAGGCGGAAATTCAGGCGCTGTGCAGCTAGTGAAGGACACGGGTAACCCGCGGGTAAATTTACCCCTACCCGTACCCGTACCCGCGCTTACCCGTACCCGCAACCCGACGGGTATTCTGCACAAAACGAGCCCAAGAACGTCCAAAACGGACCAAAAATGAGCGAGATATACTCAATTTACTTAAATCAAGCGTAACCCGCCCATTTTATGGCCGTTTTGGACGTTTTTGGGCTCGTTTTGAAGGGCGCGGGTACGGCAACCCTTACCCGTACCCGCACCCGCGCCTACCCGTACCCGTAACCCGCCGGGTATCGAAAACCCGTGTCCATCACTATGTGCAGCCTGTGCTTGCCCATCGACTTTCGAGTAACCCCCGATGGAAGGTTCTCGTCATTGAAGCTGGGCCAACGTAAGCTTTACGGCTACCTCTCAACAGTGCGGTCTGGGTAATTGAATCGCGAACGATAGGCACGAGAGCGAAGATGCTTTCAGAACTCGCGTCCCCGGATTTACCTTTTCTCTCGAGAGGACTATCCATGACTGGAACTTTACTTCGACGCCTCAAGCTGGTCTCAATAATCGCGAAGTACCTCTTTTTAGAGGTCACATTCTGGGTGGAAGTAGCTCCATTAGTAGGTCCCCTCCATATGGCATACCTTCCACCTGAATGGACATTCACCGTTTCTCTTTCCTCTAGATGGAATGTTCTACACTCGTGGATCGGCAGCGGACTACGATAGATGGGCCAGGGTCACCGGGGACAAGGGGTGGTCCTGGAGGAGAATGGTACCCTACATCAAGAGGGTAAGTTCCACAGTATTTTACTCCGTGTGCTTTCAAGCATAACGTTAATCACCCGTTGCCTCCCGTTTCCAAAGAGTGAGAAATGGACTGAGCCCGCCGATGGACATGACACGACGGGACGATATAACCCTAGTGTTCACGGGAATAACGGGTTGGTATCTGTTAGCATTGTTGGGTACTCTCAAGCGATCGACGATGCGGTCATCGACGCAAGCGCGGAACTTGGGGGTGACTTTTCGTATGATGTTGACGTGAACGACGGGAACCAACTGGGAGTAGGTGAGCTGTATTTCAGATCACAATCCGTTTATGATGGTATCCTGACGGATGGTGCTAGGCTGGGTGCAGGCGACGGTTGGGAACGGGGAGAGAAGCAGCGCGGCGACCTCCTACTTGGCGCCGCAATATGCCAACCGTCCAAACCTCCATATTTTGGTTAACCATCGAGTTACTCGACTTGTGACGTCTGGAATGAGGAAGGGTGTACCCTCGTTGCGGACAGTGCAATTTGCCCCGCGTAACAGCCCTGGATCTCCTGGTATGTGTCCTTTTGGCGATATGGATAGATGACATACTGACTCAACTTCATGACGCAGTGATGGAAGTCACAGCGAAAAAAGAGGTTATCCTTTCCGCTGGAGCCTATGGGACACCCCAAATTCTGCTTCTTTCTGGAGTAGGCAACCCTTCTGAGCTCCAAGCCAAAGGCATCACTCCCGTTGTTGACTTGCCTGGTGTTGGGAAAAATATGACGGATCACCCCATGCTTATCATGCCTTGGGCAGTAGGCATTCCTGGGACCATCGTGCCGACACCTGAGCTGCAGGAGCAATGGCTCGACGAGTGGAACACCTCGAAAACTGGACCATTGACTATACTTGGAATAAACCACAATGCGTGGATCCGAATCCCTCCGGAATCAGATATTTGGAACGACTTTGAGGACCCCTCGTCTGGAGAACATACGCCGCATGTGGAATTCGGGATCATCGTGAGTCCGGTGTAACCTTCACAGGGAGTGCTACTAATCGCTTGCTTAGGGTGGAGCTATGCAATCGGCACCTCCTCCTGTGATTATGTCGTCCGTTATCCCGGTTCAACCGTTGTCTCGTGAGTGCCACGTACCTGCCCTTTTTTCGATTCCTAACTTCTCGTTATTAAACAGGAGGTTCGGTTACGCTCGCGTCCTCGGATCCCTTTGCTGATCCGGTCATCGACTCTGGCGTCTTGACCTCCCCATTCGACATGTTTACGTTCAAGTATGGCATCTCGGAGATGAAACGCTTCTTCAACGCATCGGCGTGGCAAGAGTATAATCTCACGCTTGCTGAAGTGCCAGAAGACGAAGACGATTGGGACGAGTGGATCAGAAATGTTGCATAAACCGCGCAGCATCCGGTCGGAACGGCTTCCATGTCTCCTCGAGGAGCCCAGTGGGGTGTTGTCGACCCGGACTTGAAACTGAAGAAGGTACATGGAGTCAGGGTTGTTGACTGCAGTGTCATGGTGAGTGTTTTGGATTTCGATGACGGGTCTTTTACTGATTGGTTAACAGCCGTACATCATCGCCGGCCATACCATGGCGCCAGCTTATGCTATCGCTGAGAGGGCTTCCGACCTTATTCGGAAGGCCTGGTAGAGTTACCTAATTGGGTAGGGGAGCTACCGTATGTGTCGACTACATTGAATTAATTTTCTATCATCGCAAAGTCCATGCAGCTGGTAATACAGGGGAAATCCACGAAAAAGCGAAAGGCGAACACAATGGACCAAGGCCAAACGAATAAAGGAAGTAAAAATGAAAATGCGAATACGCGTGACCTAGTTCTGCTCCTTTGTCTTTGGCGGTTCCAAATGCCGCTGCAGGCTAACCTCTACTACTCGTCTCTTCTCTCCAAGAGAAGCCAAGTGATCGTCGTTCTGATCGTAAGCCAAGAAGAAAACGCCCGGGGTCTCTTCTACAGCGACAAGCCCTTCCCAACCTTCTAGCGTTATCGCGGACTGGTCGGGTGTCCAGTCCCAGGGACCATGGATGTGGTTGATGCTCTTCGTCTTGTTGCCATACTTCAGCGACCCGTCTTCCCTGTCAGCGTATATCCAGTTCAACTCGGGTGGATCGCGGGAAATGGTGCTAACCAGTCCGAGTGGTTTCGAACCGGCTGGATAGTCGATGTAAAACCCAGAGAAGGGGTGGCCGTCTGGGAAGACGCGATAGTTCTCGTCGATAGCGTCGAGGTAAAGCTGTTAAGCGGAAGCAAAATGCAAAAAATACCGGTTAAATGAAGCAAATCACGAAACGAAAAAATACCGACCTTTCCTTGGCGAAGAACCACCATTTTGTTCTGGACGAGGTTCTTGGCTCTTGAAGTTTCGTCTGAACAGAGCACTGAAAGGTTGAATTTAGCGAGGCGAGGGTCCTCTTTGTCTACGTCTTCATCTCCCCCTTTGCCTGCGCCTTGCTGCTGGGCACTGAGGCCTTGGGAAATTCCTGCAACAGCGGTTGTTGTTGAAACCGCAGATAGGGGTATTGCCACCGAGCCGGCTGCAACACCGACGATCCCTAGAATATCCATGCTACTGAGGGAGAGAGAGAGGTTTCGGTGGGGGAAATTGTGGTCGTCGCAGGACACGATGAAGGACTAGTGGGGACAATTTAGATGGATAATCGCTGCTGACATCATGCGTCAACTGCTTTCTGATGTCGGCAGCGACATACCGAGTTTGGAAGTCGGCTGCCTTGCGGCTTGCCTCGTTGCCTTGAGACAGTGAATTGGGTACTCTCCCGGAATGTCGCCTCGATTTCATCATCTCCGTCATACTTACATCAGTACGCCACAGACGTTTTGACTCCACCAAGATCGCGTATGCGAATCCAGGAATAGACTGCTCGATTCGGAGACATAGACTTGTGTCTCCACCTATCTGCATCAAGAGTAAACTGCATTTGGTTATAAACTCCAAACGGACACTGCAGCCGTCACACCAAGCTCTCCTCTACTTATAAAAGCGCCCCCCACAACCACAAGTCTTTCAACATAGGTCCGTCTTTTCGGCACAGAAGTACCGGTCTCGATAAGAACGACTCGTCAATCACTGCTACTTCATCCATCTCAGCTTCTTCTATCGCCATGTCTGACAACGAATCGCGTTCCCGCTCTGCTTCCCCCGAGCCATTCGAGAACCAACAGCAACCTCAAAGCCCAGCGCCTCAGGAAGCCGCAGGTGGTCGCCGCCGTCGTCAACGACCCCAGCAACAACCCCCGTATCAAGAGCGGCCGGCTCAACAATTCCAACAGTTCCCCCAACAGCAGGAGCAAGGGGGCGCTCTGCAACCTCTGGGAGGCAACCAGATGGTGGGACAAGCCGCTGGTCAGGCTGGCCAGGTGCTCGGAAATACTCTTGGCTCGGTAACTGGACAACAACCACAAGGCCGTGGCGGAGGGCAGAAGGATACCCTCAAGTTGAGACTCGACCTCAACCTCGACGTCGACGTTCAGATCAAGGCCCGGGTGCACGGTGATGTCACCCTTTCATTACTGTGAGCATCTTAACTCCTTTTTCTTCCTGCGAAGCGCACATAATTTACTGAGTTCAGTGACTGAAAACGTTGACCAGTAATTAGACGGCGCCCTCCTGTTATCAGCCCTTCTCTTGCCGATGTTGTTGCCGTGAGTTTGCTCGCTAACCTTTTGTTTTTTGGGTTATGGTTTCTGACAGGTCCTGATCTCTTTCAGCATGATTTACATGGAGTCGTCGCCGTCAATGGACTTCCGCCGAGCGAGATTTAACTGTCCGTTTCATTCCCCTTCCCGCTCCCTTTTTTGTATACTGTACCACCTTGTGGACTAATGTCGGACTCGTACCTACGTTTTCATTATTGTCTAAACGAACATTTGATGTAACCTTGTGACTGTGCGCATTTACCAGCGTCATCTCTTGAGTCTGCCTTGTATTTCAATGGGATATCAATTCTTTGGAATACCAGTAATGTAGGAATTTGAGCTTCACCGAGCTTCTGAATTCAGTCGTCGTGTATTCCAACCTCTTCCAACCTCCCACTGATTCTCCGGCCACACGCTCCGCAATGTAGCTGCTTCCATCTCTTTGCTACAATCGAAAATGTCTTTTCACCATTCCTGGACCAAACTGGCTGCTTTCTTTGGTCCCGACGATCCCCACTTCGTGTTGCCCCTCAAAAGACCATCACGTACTCTGAGATAAGTTGCATTTTTTCCCGCCAAAGACGAAGCGTCGAAAACATATGCCGCCGCCTTGACAACAGCCGTTGTAACCTAACCAAGCCCTACGAAGCTTCGAGTCTACAAAGGCTTTTCCTTCGGCTCCACAACCCAACCTGCAGATCTATTCGGCCCTAGTCTACTTCCGGGAACTCAGTAAGTACCTGGAGTAAGTACGGGTGCAGTCAGGGGCAGAGTGGAGTGGTTATGGCGTCACGAAGAACAGAGTGGAGGCGGAGTGGAATACGGGAGAAGAAAGAGGAGGTATGCTGCGGTTTATTCCCTCTTGCCTCCTCTTCCTCATCCTTCTGCCGTGCAGATGGAGTTGGACCTTCCGGCGTTGCTGAGAGCAAACGTCGATGTACCCTGATTTGGAAGGAAGAATCGACGTCATACCGAAGCTGCAATGTCACGGTGGATAGTGGAGTGGCTATATTTTTGGAAGTGGTTGAATCGAATTCGAATAAGGCGACCTTTTTGGGTCTTTGTATACGTATTTCGTTGTGGGAGAGGAATCGCAAGGCATAAGTGGAAAGATGGCAAAGCAAGGCCCGATGATATCATACTCAGGTTAAACCAGGTCTGTGATGTCAACTCGTGCTCGATTGCGACTGGGGTGGTGCATTGGAGCAGCCTTATACGCGTGAAGAAGGAGTTTAGAACGCTTTCTTCCCCAGACTTCACTCACCACGCTATTTCTTGCCCGCCTCTAGTACGCCCAGCTCACCTTCTTACAAAAATCTAACCTAACCTGCTCCCTACAGCTATCTATCTTTTACCAACCAAACCGCCGAACCTCTTTTCTTTCGTCGAAGATTTCATAATGGGCGCAAACTCTGGGCCTCTCATTCGCTCCGATACACTCTCATTAATCACCGTGCTGTGCGACTCGATCCCACAAGCGGTCCAATTCTACGTCGGGATCCTCGAATTCAACATCAGATGCGATGAGGACGTGAACGGCGAACGTCTCGTCGTCGCAACACCACCCAACCTCGTCGAGTTCACACCCGTCGCCTCACTGCGATTCAGGGAGGCTGTGACGGAAAAGGACAAGAGGGCAGTAGGGAACCAGGCCGGAGATGGCGTGTTTTTGCAAGTGGAGACTGACGACTGGGATACGGTATATCCGCGATTGAAGACCATGGGGGTGAGGTTCGCAGGGAACGGCGCGGAGGAACCGCGGCAGGAGAAGAGACACAAGGCTGTTACAGTCTTTGATCCTATGGGCAACAAGGTCAACGTTATTCAGAGGACGACTACAACGCTCGGGAGGGTGTTTATGATGGACGTCGGGGAGTAAAGATTTTCTAGTTTCGCTTTCGAACGCTCGTTTTCGACTTCAACCACGGAGGATTGTCATTTCCTTGTTATTCAAGCTGGAAACGAATTGTTACCCGCGCTTTTGCTTACACCCTTCGTTGTAAATCGGTGTTGTCTGTCTCATATTGTACCCTACTAATTTGTTAGCCTTTCTTCTGTCGTCCCTTGATGCTACCGTATGATATTCAATGACAAAGGACGTTGATATCGATATGGAACAGGAAAACATCGACGAAGGGGACGTGCATGTTGACGCCAAGACTCAAGCACGGGAATCATTGGCTCCGTGTCCGACTCGGTTGAGAAGGTCAACGCCCAGAAGCTCAACGTTCCCTGGTAACCCCAGGAATCCAGAAAAGCACTGTATTGTATTCGGAGACACAGGTTCCAGTTACTACGCATACAGGGTGCGTGAATACATAGTCATTGTTCCTTTGAGATTGTCCCATTGGCAGGCATGCGCACTTTGCGCTTCGTTCTATGATCCAGCATAATGCATAATGGGCCAGGGAGACTCCAAGAATGGTGGGTATATCAAATGGTGGGTATATGACTAGTCTGTAAAAAAGAATAGACACAGAAGAGGACTACCCACGTCTAAGGCGGGAGATAAATAACAGAATGATAGAATGGTTAAATAGTTGTCGCAGGTGCCAGGAGATAAATAACAGAAAAGAAACCTTCAAAGAAGGTGGGCAGCCCTGAATTCCCTCAGCTAGGCGCGGTGCTGCTGTCAGAATCAAAAAAGTTGACCCACTCGGAGTCTTCAGATTCCATATCGATTACTGGAGGTCGCCTGCCGTCAGACTCAGACTCGTTAGACTCACCATACTGTTCCGGTGCATCATAGTCGTAGAGCTGGTTTCCGACAAGTGACTCACTGAGGTTTCCTTGGGTAGCGGACTCGTCATCCGTATAATCCATCCCGTCCTGTTCGTCAGCAGAGTCACAATTGCCCTCACTGTCGGCATCACAGTCCTCATCATCACAGTCCTCATCATCACAGTCCCCATCGACCTGCATTGCCGTGTCCGCTGGATGAGCATGTCCCATGAAAGTGGTGGCGGTATACGGACAATACGGGCAGCGCCGAAGGGGGATCCCTCGGGATCCATCGTGTACCAACGCGTGCCTTTTGATCGAGCGTTTGCCCCAGCTCACCGCTTTGCGCGTGCGGCGGGTGCATCCGGGGGAAATGCAATGGTAATGTTTTTTGCATTCTCTGTACGTCGGGGTAGTTTCGATGGCGGACATGTTGGCGTTGGCTGAGTGCTGTATCTGGCGAGATATCTTGCAAGTTCGACGGGGAACTAGGTGAGGCCGGTGGGACTGAGGGAATCTGTTCGCCTTTTCCCGAGCTTTTAAACGATTCCTTGCTTAGACCACCCGAGTATTTCGAAACGGTCAAGGTCAGTACATGAGTGGTCAAAAGGTAGGTACAATGTCAAAGCGGCAACAGGACCTTTTCCAACTTGGTGCCATAACACACAGCGGCAGCACTGGTGGTAGGACCGTCTCAAACTGCGCAAGTTCGAGCGTTTGGAGTGAATCGATTGAAGCAACCGAAATTTCGGTTTGGGCCACTACCAGTGGTTCGGATCGTAAAGAGAATCTATTTTCTGAATGCAATGACTGTGGGGGCCTTTCCCAACTCTCTGTTCAGGGACCGCGTCAGTAAACTAGAGTACCCTGCCTTTGTCACTGTACCATGTCCCGACTCGGCCTCGAGGCTATGCTCTGACCCTCAGCGCAACAATAGTACCCCCCTTAAAGTTTCCGGAGACGCTGACCCCTTGTTCTGCAAAGTTCAATTTGAAAGGAAACGATGGCTGCATAGCAACTGCATAGTCGTGCACTAAGTTTGGGCGACAGGGAAGCAAGAGGCAATCCCTGCTTGTGCTTCATGGTTTTCGCGGCTCTCGTTGACCCGGGGATGACCTGGCTCAGCTGGAGAAAAGAGCGGGTATTCTGGTCAGTGGTCACTCTGCCTCCAGCAGTAAAATATAGTATACGAGTCTAAGTTTACAAAGTAGCGATTTTCAGCTTTCAACATTGGAAACTCAAGGTCCTTAAGGGGTCGATCAATTGTCTAGGAATTATTGCATTATATTATGGTAAACAGCCGATTAGACGTATAACAAGATTAACGGAGAGAATGGTCACGCACATTGGCAGAGAGGATCTATCTGATAAATAGAAAGAAAAGACGATGTCAGAGTACCTTCAAAGCAAGTGGCCACGGCGCCAGAGCACTACGCTCAGAGGCCAGGAAGATAGCTAAACTCATCAAGAACCGAGGACTCAGCTTTTAGAGCATTAAGGCCTTGAACGATCTCCAACTCCTTCAACCGCTCGTTCCTGGTGACATCGTCCAGCTGAATGGCAACCGGGTCCTCCCACTGCTGCCACTTTTGCATCTTTTGAGCCTCTTCAGCACGCTTAAGGTCTTGGATCCACTTGAAGTCCTCGGGGTAGGGTTCATCGAGGTCATCAAAATCAAGGTTGGAGTAGTCTTCATCCATCTGGGGTGGTGATGCTGGGGGCTGATCAGCGACAGACATGGTCTCTTCCAAGTGCTCCGTCGAGGACTGCAACTGCTGACGGTGTACCCAGTCCTCGTGAGAGAACTCAGGGTGAGCGGTATACCTATGGGTCCTCAAGGTGGTGGAAACGAATGGACATAGAGGGCATTTGAGGAGGATACGTCCTTTGCCGGGCTGGTGTTGCCTCATGTGTTCTACCAGGGAGCGCTTCGTTTTGACGCTGTAGGTGCACCCTGGGGCAGGGCAGTGGTACAGGCGGGGTTCGTCTTCTGTTTCACGGTATTCCCACACGGAGTCTGACATCGTAGACGTGCTTAAGTCGTTGATAGAGTGGGATATGGGGTGAGAAAGCTTTGAAAAAAAAAAAGGTTGAGCGAGAACTGCAGCTGGTGAGATTGGTGGGGATGAAGTAGACTTTGCCCCCGCTTTTAAAACCCCTCCTCGACGAGCGAGGGCAGTGACAGAACCATCTACGCTTTGACGCTCGCTTAGCGCTCAAAGTGCCAAATTGGGTACTGGGTGGCAAGATGCGCAAGTATTGTCAAAGCGCTGCTCTGCGCGCAAGTTCCATCCGAAATTCCGCACGCTCCACTGGCTACCGCACGACCGTTGGGATTCGAACCGGCTTGGTCTGCGAGGTGCTGCACCTTCCAATGTCCCCGCCCGAGCCCGGATTGGAGAGAATGCAGCCTTCGATGGGTAGTCAAGAGAAATCCAAGGACCAAGTCGAGAAGGGCCAAGCCCAAGGTCAAGCTTGCCAGAAATCATGTCTGGATTCATCAGTTCGTTCGTTCGTTCTACACACAACAAGAACAGTAAATCCTCATTTTTTCCACCTAAGAACAAGAAACAACCGGAATGAGGGGCAGGTATGTACCTGAGCTGTGCTAGCCTACGTCGATCAGGAAGCTCGGTCCTCTACGAACAGAAGACCAGGATCAGGAAGGTCCTTCTACCGTGACGGACCTGGAAAACACACGATGTAGCATACAACGTACATACCCACCCAGCAGAAGAAAATGTACCACGGAAAAACAACCAGGAGGGATGGAATTGGAATACAACATTGTCGGGTTGGAGAAAACAAGGGTAAAGAGCCTACGCTACAGCGTTGGCTGTTGGTGAGAAAAAGGGTGAGTAAAAAAGAAGAGGGTTAGTGTACTTCGTTTGAGGGTGTAGTTACTAGTAGAGTCAACACCTTCGTCAAGCGTCAAGGGGGGAATGGTGAGGAGGGGATACGGAAGGGAGGAAGGGAGGAAGAGGGGAGGAAGAGTATGTATGTATGTATGTAAGTACCGAGATATGAAGCAACGGGATATATATACGCAAGGGGGTGAAAAAAGTCAAGCAGGAACAGATACCACTGGCGGCTGTGCGAGAAGAGAAGAATAGAAAAAAAAAAGGTATATATAGTATAAAAAGGTAATAAATAAATGCGAGGAAGGGGCTCGTTCCGTGGTGAGACGAGAGGAGAGGTGGAAGATAGATGGGGTGGATCAGTGAAGAGTCTGAGTCTGGTCGAGGGTTAGAAAGTAGAATCCGACAGATCTAACAAACAAGATGAAGCAGGCAAGGGAAAAAAGGGCAAGGGAAACAAGAGATAAGGAACGGAAGGGAATACAGTAGTGACATGAACAGGCATGAACGAAGCTTGACTTGTGCACTCTTGCAGGCTGGGCTCCCCTTCCATCCGAGTTTCCCTAGACGAGTTTGGATCTGAAGGGAGGGGGAGGAGTGCAAGGGTCGTTAAGGGCGTGAAATAACAGACTTGAGAGATCAATCCTCCTCCTACACCGCAACCGTCCTTTCTTATTTGGCTTCTCCAACGACTCCTACATCCGCACCACCACCGACGCTTCAACCCACTACCACCACCACATCGTCCGGAACGACACCACAACACCGCAAAGACCATTACATCCGCCACACGCACACCCAAAAACCTTACTACCAGTTCATCGTGTTATCCCTCAAGATCGGCGCCGAGATGGCGTTAGGGTTAACGTTGATGTTCCTCCTCTGGCTCATCTGCTGCTGACTCTGCTGATGATGGTTATAGGTATACTCCTGCTGCGCAGCAGCACCGGCATAACCCCTCAACGAATCCTCCGCGAAATAGAACGACCTTCGTCGCTGACCACCGATGGAATCTTGGTCGAATTCGCGGCCTTCAGGGCGGTACCCATGGGCGTCGGCGTTGGGCGGGTCGGAGAGTCGTCGGTGGGCGAGTTCGCGTCGGCGTTTGAGCGAGCGATAGACGAGGAAGATGAGCACGAAGAGCGCGATGGCGCCCAGGGCCGAGACGACACCGATGATAGCGTCCTGTCGGCTCTTACCGTCGGAAGAGGTCGCGCCTGTGTTGCCCGGTGCACCGTTCCCGTTTGTGCCTGAGTTGTTGCCTACGCCCGGGTCTTGGACGGAGCGGAGGGCGAAACCAGAGTTGACGTACTTGGCGAGGTCGCCGGCGATGCCTGGGGTCGCGGTGTAGAACTTGGAGTTGCGCGTCTTGATGGCTGCTGCGAGGGTGTCGACGAGTTCGGTGGGAATGTACGCGAGGTACATGGTGCCTAGCTCAGTTTGGTCCGCTGGGCCTGTGTAGGAGGTCGGGATGTAGACCTGGAGAGCGTACGTCTTGATCGAGGAGGCTGTAAGGCGGGTGTTAGTGAGGAATTAAGGAGAGTGAAATGGGGGGGGGATACGTACTTCCGATTTCGAGAGTGTTAGCGATGACCATGGGTGTATACGCAAAGATCTGGCTGGAGGCGTTCTCGTTGCGGATGACATGCGGCCAGTTAAGCTCCCGATTGAAGAGGATGCTGATCAAAGTGAAGCCAGTCAAATCCTCGTCCTCACCAATGCGCTTGTTGGGGTAAATCTTGTTGGGAATACCCGTGGGAAGAGGTGCGGCGCTAAAGGACTGGGTAGCGGATTGTGTGACGATGGGCTCGGGGGTGGCGGTAGCTTGGTCGGGGTCGCTGATGGTGGGGGTGATCGTGGACGAGGGCAAGGTGTTGATCGCCAGCTGGGATTCGGTGAGCACAAAGGAGAGGCCTGGGTCGATGCCGACGGACGTGTCGATAGGCGCAGAGAGCGTCTCGGAGGGCTCTGGGACTTCAGGCTCGAGGCTGGGGGTCACGCTGCCGCTGGGGAAGCTGATGGGTGGTTCAGAGATGGAGACGGAGACAGAGCCTGAGGGACCGGGGGTTGGCTCAGAGATGGGTGGATCGGAAATAGACGGTCCTGGGTCAGAGATAGAGGGTCCTGGGTCAGAAACAGAGGGACCGGATGGACCAGGAGTTGGCTCAGAAATGGGGGGATCTGAGACAGAAACTGAAGGGCCAGGTTCCTCAGAGGTGGGACCAGGACCGGGTTCCTCGGAGGTAGAGGGATCAGTGCCGGGGTCTTCAGTGGTGGATGGGAGCGGAAGGGAGATTGAGATGGATGGGAGGGGGAGCGAGACAGATGGGAGGGGGAGCGAAGGGAGGGGGTCTGATGGCTCTGGGACGGGTGGCTCTGAAGGCTCGGGAACGGGGTCAGACGGCTCAGGAACAGGATCCGATGGCTCTGGGACGGGGTCAGAGGGCAGCGGGAGCGAAGGCTCTGGGATGGACGGCTCTGGCTGCGACGGCTCTGGGACGGATGGCTCTGGGACAGGGACAGACGAGGAGGGGGTGGGGATGGGCAGCACCTCGGTGACGATTGAGCCAAGGCCTGAAGTCACGTCGCCCACAATTGAAGTGAGTGTGGGCAAGAGACCGCTGGGCGTAGATGATGATGATGGCGCAGATGTGGGCGCTGGCTCGGGTTCCTCGCTCGACGGCGCTGATGGCTCGGTCGAAGGCTCTGGGACGGGCTCGCTGGATGGGTCTGACGGCTCAGGAACGGGCTCGCTGGAGGGGTCTGACGGCTCAGGAACGGACTCGGTGGGCTCTGGGACTGGTTCGCTCGACGACTCTGGGATGGACGGGTCAGGCGACGGCGTTGGCGAGGGCTCTGGGACAGAGTCGCTAGAAGATTCATCCGGGGTGGGCACTGGCACGGGATCCCAGCTGGTCGACATGGGCGGGGGAAGAAGGGTGACTTCTTCCTGAGTCGGCGCTGGGTCTGGCTGGTCATCGTCGTCGTCGTCGTTGTCGTTGCCGCTGCCTGGGAAGCCTGGGAAGAGGGGGCCGTCACCACCACCTAACACGCCATCGAGGACTTTTTGCGGCTCAGCGTCGTTCGTCGTGGGAAACAGGGCCAAAAGGGCAGCTCACCTGGGATGTCTAGCGAGATTTGCCTGCGCTGGAGCTTGAGGGAGCGCGAACGTCGCTGGGGAATGGAGTCGTGGGCATGGGCGTGGGCGGCAGCGAGTGAGGAGAGGAGGAAGAAGGATAGAAAGTTTGAGAGAGAAAGTCGCATTTTCAGCGACCTCTAGTTGGAAGAGAATGAAGGAGCGTGGATATTTTTTAGCAAAGGATTATTGGGCGCACTTGGGCGCAAAACAAGACGGCGCTCGCTGCAACAGAGTGCTTTGCCTGCAAAAGAAAAGGGAAAGAGTCAAGTTTAGATAAACCATTTCACATCAAACACAAACAACACCGCTTCCATCACGACAACCAACTCGGCAACACCCGGCAACCCCTATTTGCTGTTAACCCTCTCCCTTGTTCTCCTCTTACAAGCGACCTCTATCTGTCCTCTATCCATGTACCGTACACCGTTTATTGCCCTCCTCATCGCTGACCTGCTCGCTCCCCTCCACATCTCAAGAACACTCGCCATCCCACGGTCTGCCAAGACATGATCTCAAATTCTCCGTTGCCTTGCTTCCCCCGGTCATCGCGCTTCTCTCGCCATAAAAAATCGCATTATGGGCATGGGCATGGGGGCATACAAAATCGAAATACTCAGAGAAAAAAAAAGAACAGGTGCAAGTGAAATCCAGCTACATAATACATTTAGATGAAGCCAATCTACGTAGGGCGAAGACAGACGCCGTCAGTCATGGGTATAATGCATCCGCGTGAATAGATCCCACCCACCTTGTTGGCAACATCCAGAGCGTCGTGATCGGCCGTCAATCGCACGTATGCCTTCTTCTTGCCATCCGGTCTGCTCAACCCCGTCAGCTACAATCATTCATCCAGTTACAACCAAACCCACCGGATGAGGGTGTTGATCTTGGCAGCCTGCACATCGTAGAGCTTCTTGACCGCGTCCTTGATTTGACGCTTGTTGGCCTTGACGTCAACGATGAACACCAGCGTGTTGTGCTCTTCGATCTTCTTCATTGCGGATTCCGTGTTCAAGGGCCTGGATTCATTTTTGTGTGTCAGTGGGTGTAGACGATGATGCGAACACGTCGCAAGTGAGATGATACACAAGTAAGGCGATGCAGTTGACGTACGGGCGCCTACCAAGGCCAATCCATCACGCCGCACAGTCCAACGAAAGGTAATCGCCCAAAATAGTGCCAATCCCAAAGCAGAGACAGACACTCACGAAACAATCGTCCTGAACTGATCCATACGGGGTGCATGAGGGATAGACTTGCGGGGGTACTTGGGGTCACGAGCAAGGCGGAGAGTCTTGGGGCGGTAGAACGAGACAGAGGTCCGCGTCTTGCGAGATCGGTGAGAGTTGGCGCCCTGGAGTGCGGCTTTTTTGGCGGACTTGGCTTTGGCGTCCTTGGAGGCGGCTGGTGGGCGGTACGCGAGTTCAAGCAGGAAGTTGGAGATTTCATCGAGGTTAATGGGGTGAAACAAGTCAGTTGAAAGTCCTTCATTCGAAATGCAGACTAGACGCACTCTTGCCCTTGGTGGTTTTTGTGGTGGCCATGGCTCCGGAGGGTCTACGAATGAAGAAAAATCGCGTTAGCACCAAAATTTCAACCAAGTCGAAATTTCCAAGAGATCGAGGTGTAAACGGGTGTCCTGCGAGTCAAATCCAACGGCCAACCCTCCAAAATCAACCAAAATCCAACCCTCCAAACCCTCCAAAGCCCTATACCACACGATCCTCATCCAAACGCCTTGAATCATCCAAACTCCCAAATCGCAATCCAGCCCCAACTTCCGCCTTCCAATGACCCAAATTCATCCAGACACCCTGTATGCACCCCCGAGAAACGGAATAGCAGCATTTTGGGCTTACCTTGAAGGGCGCGGACGACGACGACGACGGTGTGGACGAGGGCGCGGGATTTGGGGTGTGGCTTGTTGATTTTTGGGTTTGCGATGCCGTGTGCGGGAGTGATGGCGGTGATGGGAGGTGGGCCTGCCGAAAGGTGCCGGAGTGTGACGTGGGGCTCCTCCGGACGCGGAGTTGGACTTCAACTTGTGCTGCGACGATGGCTGCGAGTGCGACGGTTGAATCGATGGATTCGCATGGCACGGCTGCATAGCTTTTCTTCGTCGAACTTTGGCCTATTCGCACGAGCCTTCTCACCTGTGAGAAACCGGTTTGAAGACCCAACACTGCTGGTGTACCCTGCCTCTGTATGGCGGTCAAATGTAACATTTAATAAAACACACCTAAACATTGACTTTTAGTAGAGAAATCACTTACTTTTTGTCCAACTTTGGGGTGTCGAGAAATTTCGGGGCTGGAAAGCTAGAGTAGGTGGAATGCGCGAACACCGAAACTCAATATCGGTTGCCAGTTGGCGAAAGCACTCCACCGAAATTGGGTAACACTGAAGTTGTAGAACACCGAAATTGGGGAACACCGAAATTTGGGCACACTGAAATTGTACACAAGTCCTGTTCAGACTCTTCAAGTGCTAACTTTCACAGCTCGAGGTAATAAGTTAAGTCAGGATAGGAACCCAGCAGTGTGTAAAGTAGTGCCATTCAAACCCAATTCAATTATCCTGAAATTTCAATGTAGATCTATCTAGGTATGTACTTCCAGTCCTCCACTGCGATTCAGAGGCAATCTGACCAGTGGCGCGAATGGAGGGGCCTTGGAGTCGAGAGATTAAAATGACTTTACTTCATACCAAAGCAAGAAGAGGAGAACGATGTTGTGTCCGAAGGGGTTACTGTGCTCGTGTTTCTGCAGTGTTGAGGGTGATGGATCATGGTAGTTAATCAATCCTCCCATGGGTTGAAGGTGACAGCAGGAACCGCAGAAAACACACATTTACGAGGAGCAGAGGTATGTGAAATGATGTTTGTAGTGGTTGCAAGGGCCGGGTGCAAGGAGGTTGAAGACAAAGGTTCACCAGGGCCACTTGCCCTGCTGGGAATCAATGCATCAAAGGTATCAGTAGTGTTGAGGCCTAGATCATTGATCTCGCTTGCCATGTATTGCTCAAACCAATCTAAAGGTTGCAAAGTCAATCAAAACTGGTGCCATCGGATTAAGCCAGCACATACCATCTGTCTTTGCCCGCTTTGGCTCTTGTCCTTGAGCTGATTCTTCGCCTTCGAGTCCAAGTTCCAATGATGCTGCATGATTACGTTTCAATCCGGAAGATTGTTGACCACCAGTGCCTCCAATGGACGAAGGAGGCGCCAACTCATCAGAGTTGCTGCCAGGAACTGTGGTAGCCTTCATCTTTCCATTTCTTGCACTGCGAAGTTGTTTCTCGTAGTTGTTAGAAGTCTTCTTGTCATTCTTCATTAGGTTGGGGATCTCTTGAACTGAATTATCTGTCTCATTTCCTGATTCACCATCATTGAAGTTGTCAGTAGTGGCAGTACTCCACTTCATGTAGACGTGCTCAGGAATATGGACCACAGGCACTGCACAGTTTGCATATTTAGAATCAAGTTATATGACGGAAGGCATGGAAGAATGTTATGCACCAATTCGAAAACTGGTTTCACAATGAGAATGGGATGCGGGGCCTCGGGCACTATAGATATCTTCCCCAGTCCAACTCAGGCGATCGTGCAAGTACAGGCACTTATAAACCTTCCTAATGGCTCACCATTGTGCCCCCTCTTCTCTGGCTGCATCACCCATCTTTCCATCCAGGTATTTGAATGGTAAAGGCAACAGAGACCGGAGCCAGGCATCGACATCATTATGTTGCCAGTGGAGGTCAAAGGTGAGAGGCTCGCCATCTGGGGTCTTGTCATTGTAGAGCCCATGTCTGCGGTACTTCTCTAGCAGATCTGGGGTGGGAGCTGTCGGCTTTTGTTGAAACAAGATCACTGCTCATCTGTATAGGGTGTCAGTGACGAAAATTCAACAAAACTAACAGACACGCACATCAAGACCTGTCAGAATCATCATCACAGCACCAATCTTCTTAATCTGGCCCCTGTCATCTCCCCACCTCTCTCAGTCACAAACCGCCAGCAAACTCGCTCAGCAGCCGCCCCTTGGCACTCCACTTATGGCCACCTCTCGATCGTCCACCCTGCCATGGTCGATCGTTTAGCCGGCGTCCTACTCCTCAATTGGCCCGTTTCGTCGACGAGAACCACATCGACACTCATTGCTCGGGGTTGGAATGGTGCACGGACACCCTTTTTGGTTATTGGCGGCATGCCTTCCGTCGGATTGGGTCAAATGCTGGGGCCTGGACGTTAATGGGTGAATAGTTTCTGTCCGATTGATGATGAAGATGATCGCTCACCACTGTCTCGGCCGTCCATTTGAATCTTAGCCTGATGACGAGGGCTTGAAGGATGGGTCTCGGCAGGGGTGGGTTGAGTTTTCACCGGGTATTGGGCTAGTTTCGCACTCGTGCCGGGTTTTCAATTTTCATCAACTGGTGCATCATAGTGTTTCTTTCACATAAAGCTTAAACTTACCGTCTCATATTAGCCTCACCTTTCGTCCTCACCGCATGACCCGCCAACGTCGCCCGACCGAGAAAGGGGAGTCGTACTCGCAAGAGGTTACGGCCTCCAAGTCCAAGAAGAAAAAGCGCAAGCGTGGTGACAAGGACTCGAACGACACCTCGGCTGTCGCGAAGAGCGAACACTAAACCAAACCAAAGACCAGTGATGCGGAGCAGATAAGAGCGGCGAGTGAGATAAGAGCAATGAGCGACGAATGCAGATGAAGGCTGAAGCGATGTATTGACGAAGAGGTCAAGCTGAGGAAATACAGAGCGATCTACCTAGCTTATATACCTATCCTACCAGCTACGTAGTCATAATGAGTCAGAATGACGAGTGAATGATAGAACTCAGAAGAACAATAAGAAGTGTCATGAGGCTGCGCGACGGCTGCGCAAAGAACAAGAGTGAAACAAGAATGAGGTGGGAAGGCGCCAGAATGAGTCAGAAAGCAGTGAAAGGCAGTGCGTAACAATAAAAGAACAATAAGAGTAGGGCAAAGGGCAATACGAGGCAGTGTTCCATAGTGAAAGAGTCCATAAAAGGATGAAAGCGAAAAGATAGGGGTGAGAGAGAGAAAGATAAGATGCAGGGATAAGATAAGATAAGACGAAAATAGGGGCTGGTACCGGCTGTTCACGACATTACCCCCCTTCTAAGCCTTATCGTCCTCGATGACCAATGGTAGGCGGCGTCCAAGTTCCCAGTCGAGGTCGGTAGACGGAGCGTCAGTGAAGTTCTCAAGTGGGCGCCAGGGGAGAGAGCTGAAGATGGTGGCGGCGATGCGGTGTGGTGCAGAGGGGTGTCGCTGGTGGAACTCCTTCACAATCTCGGGTGCGTGCTCCAGGTTCTCCTCCGGTTCCCAAGTGTCATCCGTCGACCCGTAACCCTTCCAACTGACCAAATACTCCAGTTTGCGATTCTTTCCTCGACCTCTCCAACGGCTGTCCAAGATGTCGTGAACTTTGTATTCAAGCTCCCCCTCTAGTTCGACAGGCTCAGGCGGGGGTGGCAAAATGCCGTTGACATCATTGCCTTTCCAGGGGGAGAGCTTGTCGACATGGAACACAGGATGAATACGGGAGAGGGACGGGGGAAGTTCGAGGCGGTAGTCGAGGTCGCCGATGCGTTCGGTAACTTTGTATGGACCAAGTTGAAGATCGCCGAGTTTGCGGGACGGAACCTTGATCTGGATGTCCTTCGCGTTAAGCCAAACGTAGTCGCCAACCTTGAACTGATGGGCTGTTCGCTTGCCGGACTTGTACACATCCTTCTGTTGGGCCTTCTCGAGACGTAAGGCAGCTTCCACATCCTTGCGTGCTTCTTGTAGCTGCTGAACACGCTCGTCAACAGGGCGGAGCTCGGTTCGCTTGCCGATGGGGATGTTGAAGTGGGGAATGTAACCATAGAGGACTTCGAAGGGTGAGTGATCATGAGCAGAGTGGACGCGGGAGTTGATCACAAATTCGGCCATCGGTAGGTGCTTGTCCCAGTCATCCTGTCGGCGGGAGACGTAGAGGCGGAGGTACTTCTCGATTTCTTGGTTGGCCCGTTCGGTCTGTCCGTTGGCCTGAGGGTGATAGGCGGTCGTGAGGTTGGACTCGATGCCGAGGCGCTTGAGCAGAGTGCGCATGACCTTAGAAGCGAATTGAGGTCCTCGATCGCTGATGAACCGGAGTGGTAGGCCGTGGAGACGAAACACTTCACGATAGTAGGATGTCTGCGACGCCTTCGGTAGTGATGTCAGATGTGCAGGGGAGGGCATGAAGGACCTTGCTGTAGTGATCGGTGAAGACGATGATTGCGTCGTATCCATGGGCTTCTGGCAACTGGGTAATGAGGTCAACTCCTACTATCTCCCAAGGTCCTTCAGGAACGTCCAACGGCTGGGTGGAAAGCTCGAGGATGCTGGGTGTGCTTCCTCCGGGCGCAGACATCACAGCCGTCGACATACTTCTTGACAAAGGCTCGCATCGTTGGCCACCAATACTGTCGTTCAACTCGCTCGAGGGTTCCATGTACACCAGGGTGTCCAGAGGTGGGGTCGTCGTGACACTGCTTGAGGATGTTGCGTCTGAGTTCGTCATCTGGAGGTACGTACACACGGCCTTTGTAGTAAACGAGGCCGTTGTCTTCCTCCCATTCAGCGAGTCCGGATGTGAGGCGACGAGGCCCTGACTTGCGGAGTTGGGCGAGTCCATCTAGGACCTGAGATTCGCGGGCGCTGGCTCGACGAAGTCGATCTTCGAGGGGATTGGCAAGGACGGTGTGGGCGGCTGCGAGCTTGGCGAAAAGCTCTGGTTTGAGAACAACCTGTTGCTTGTTATCCTCTGCGTCCGCAACCTGATGAGTGTCGAGGCGGGATAGGGCATCAGCTTGGGTGTTGGCCTTTCCAGGACGATGGGTGAGCGTGAAATTGAAGCGAGAGAGGTAGAGGGACCATCGGGCCTGTCATCGACTGAGATCTTGTGCAGTGCACCAGTATTCCAGGTTGGAGTGATCGGTAACAATCTCGAACGGTTTGGGGAGTCCTTCCAGGAAATGTCGCCAGTCCTTGAGTGCTTCGATGATAGCCAACATTTTCTCGGTCGTAGATTTCATAGTTGCGTTCGGCCGGTGCATGGGAGGCGGAGCGGAAGGCAACGGGGTGCCAGAGTCCATCGTCAAGCTTCTGAAGGAGGGCTCCTCCAGTGGCAAACCCGGAGGCGTCTACTTCAACGCGAGTCGGTCGATCGGGGTCCCATAACGTCAGGATTGGAGCGGAGGTGAACACGTTTCGGAGGGTGTCGAACGCCTGTCGTTGCGGCTCGTTCCATTGCCAGGGCATGTCCTTCTTAGTAAGGTCGTTGAGAGGTCGGGCGATAGTAGCGAAATCCTTGATGAAGCGGCGGTGGAAGTTGGCGAAGCCCAAAAACCCACAGACAGCGCGAAGGTTGCGGGGGACAGGCCAGTTGCGGACAGCCTCTACCTTGGCAGGGTCCATACGGACTTCTCCCTCCCTAATGACCAGGCCGAGATACTCGATCTCTTCCCGCTCGAACTCGCATTTCTCCGGACGAAGGTAGAGGTCGTGCTTCTTGAGACGACAGAGGACTTCGTGTACGACTTGGCGATGCTCGTCGAGGGTAGCCGTGAAGATGAGGATGTCGTCCAAGTAAACTGCGACCTTCCCTGAAGCAATGAGATCAGCAAATATCGAGTTCATGAGTGCTTGGAACGTTGCCGGGGAATTGGTGAGGCCGAAGAACATGACCAATGGTTCAAAGAGTCCCTGGTTGGTGGCGAACGCGGCCTTCCATTCGTCTCCTTCCTTGATACAGATGTGTGTTGTAGCCCCATCTGACGTCGAACTTGGTGAAGTACTTGGCGCCGCGGAGTCGGTTGACAATGTCGGAGACAAGGGGGAGGGGATATCGGTTCTTCACCGTAATCTCGTTGAGCTTCCGATAGTCTTGAACGAACCGGAGTTTTCCATCCTTCTTCTTGACAAAGAAAACCGGGGAGGCGAGGGGCGATTTAGATGGTCGGATATAGCCTTTCTTGAGGTTCTCCTCGAGGAATCGGTTCAGTTCCTCCTGCTCGTTCTGCGACATGGGGTAGACTTTGGTACGCATGGTGGCCGGTGCTCCTGCAACGAGGTCGATGGCATGGTCCCAAGGCTTGTGCTCCGGGAGGCGATGAGACTCGGATTTCAGAAAAGACGGAAGCGTGCTGTCGGTACTGGGGTGGAACCATCTCCCTCGAATGTCTTCTGGGGTTTGTCCTTTCTGGGATTTCTCTGGCAATCTGCTGGGAGTATGTGAAGCCTGCGGCACACCAAAGTTTGTC